TTGTCCAATTTGCTTACCAAAGCTTGGGGATACCTTACCAACAAAGCCAAATTGGTTTTATTGGGGGATCAACTGCCCTAACGACCACCCAACTCCCGATTCCGTGGACGTTGCAGCGGTCAAAACCCCCGAGGATATTGGCAACGAAAACAACGAAAATCAATTGCTATTCTTTGAGCCTTGGGACGAAATCTCGATTGAGGAGACTATTGATCACATTGGAGCACCAGATTGTCTCAAAGACCCCAATTCTACTGGAGAGGCCTGTATGGATGTTAAATGGGACTACCTGCAGAGCCCTCAAATTTTGGTGCAGCTCTAGAGAGGTTCACCACGCACTATTCAAGATACCCCTAATATTAACAATATGTTTATCAAATATGATTATTAAATATGATTATGACATCTTCAGGGCTGTTACTAGTAAACTCAGTAGTAGTTACTGTATCCTTATTATGATTCAGATAAGAGCTTCGGATTAAACGTAGATCAGGGTCTGAGCACAGATCCACTTAGCTACTGTGTAAGAAACATAAGACTCTCTGTGTCAATCGAGTTAGCCGAGACCATGTTAAACTTATGATGACTGATAGATCTATGGATGATAGTCTAGAAAATAAGTTAAAAGACGGAGTATGGAGTAACCATATAAGCAGATTGTACCTTGTCCATAATCCAATATAGGCTTAGCTCATGTGTTATCGGGGATCGCGTCACCTGCCTCTCTTATCCGATAACGATAACGGCGCTTTGTTCATCTTGGGGGTTCGTTCTCTTCAACTTTCTCCTCTCAACTCTCCACAGAACTTCGAGTCAAGTCGAGGAAACATGGCGAATCGCAACTTAATTCCGTTCCTGGTCACGATGATGCTAGTGACCGGGGTTTGTAATACTATTCTCAACAAGTATCAAGTACGCACCCCCAAGCCGACCGAGGCTAAATCAAAGGCCCCCAGCTAAACAACATTGTAATCCTAGGACATGCAATGTGTGCGTAACTGTGACTCTCCTGACCCTCAGGAGTGGAAGACGTTTGAACAACCGGTTATCCAAACGTAGGTGCTTTATTTCGAAGTGGGCCAGTACGATTTGATTGCTCACAGTGATCTATTTGAACAGGGCGCAGATGTTCTTGGGTGAGATGGGCTGCTGGCTGGTCCTTGGTCTATCAATCCTCTATAAGAGCTTCATCGCACCGCGTCTCTCAAGTAACGAGTCACCTCTTCTAACAGGCGGCTATCGGCCCGTGCAGGGGGGAAGATGGAATCCTCGACGACGACGATGATAACACAATTAGCGGCCTGATCCCTGATCAAGAGCGCTTGAATAAGCCAGAGTCAGAAGATGATTTTAGGATTCCGCTTCGTGGATGGAGAATTCTTCTCCTTGCCGCACCATCCTGCTGTGACATTACAGGTACGACGCTCATGAACGTGGGCCTGCTCTTTGTAGCCGCCAGTATCTACCAGATGACCCGTGGAGCCTTGGTTCTGTTCGTGGGATTGTTCAGTGTTATTTTCCTCCGCCGGAAGCTGTACTTGTACCAGTGGTCTGCACTAGTCATTGTCGTGCTCGGCGTAGCTGTTGTTGGTCTTTCTGGTGCCCTCTTCAGCGGCGACAGCAGTCAAGTTCAGAATGATAGCATTTCGACACAAACCGCAGATGTCCCGGATGCCGTGCAGTCCGTTTTAGGAGTGCTGCTTATTGCCGCGGCTCAGATCTTCACGGCCTCGCAGTTCGTACTTGAGGAGTGGATCCTCGAGAACTATGCTATGGATCCTATCCAGGTTGTAGGATGGGAAGGTATCTTCGGTTTCTCGGTGACCTTGATTCTGATGGTCATTTTGCACTTGACTATTGGAAGCACCACAGCTGGCCAGTATGGCTACTTCGATATGAAGGAGGGATGGCACGAGATCGTTTCAAACCGCGCTGTGACCATCTCCAGCCTCGCCATCATGGTTAGCATTGGGTATGTCTTATCTCTCCGATTTACTCACCTAAATTATTGCACTCACTAATCATCACCAAGGGGCTTCAACTTCTTTGGTTTGTCCGTCACTCGTAGCGTTTCCGCCACCTCTAGAAGCACAATCGATACCTGCCGTACCCTCTTCATCTGGGTCGTATCACTTGGACTAGGCTGGGAATCTTTCAAGTGGCTTCAAGTTGTTGGATTCGTTCTTCTTGTCTATGGAACCTTCCTGTTCAACGATATCGTTCGGCCTCCTCTCAAGGCTTGTCTACCAAGTGTAAACCGGGAAGGCGAGGTTTTACTCCCAGAAGACCCAATCGAGCACATCTAAAGCAATATACCAATCCTTCAATACCTCGTTCGTTGATTCGAACTACAATCATCCACGATTGAATCTGATCATCAAAGCTATAAGCTTTCTGTTATATGTTGGCTACGATCTTGCATTTCAATGACTTTTGGGTTGTTTTGTTTTTGTGGTTTGGTCATTTCTTAGCTTTCATGAGATGGTTCTTTGTTCCATACATCAGTTCTTGAACTTCTGTTGTCTTTCGAATGTTTCAGTCTATAGTCTTATTTTTGACACGTACTTTTGAACTCGGAGGATATGCAATTGCCCCTGGCTATTTGTGTCCCAATGCATACATACTTAAACTTGACTTGAATCATGATCTGATCTGTACCGTAGCAAACCCAAACTTTGTACAATTTCTACATCTACTAGATGTTACGACTTTCAATGTTGAAACTAGCACAAAATGCATATCAAACCATCCAATTGTGGCGCTAAATCACTCATCTGTTGACGAAGCATGTACAAGAAAAATCACTCTTCTCAGAAAGAAGACCAAGAGAGAATGGAGATAATAAAAAATCTAGATGGAGATGTTGAAAGTAAAAGATACTAAGGCTGGTGTGATTTGAGGATGCCCATGATAATTAAACAATCCACCAGATGAATTTTTCGGAAGGTACGTCTTGCTTCAACCTGAGATAGCTGAAGTGTTTTTCGTTTCACTTCATTCGCTCACGATTCCGTCCAGTCGACCTGATCAGTTACTGGGTTTGAAGGATCCTGCGCAGATGTGACACGAAGGCGGAGGCGGAGTTTGGGGGGTAGAGCCTGGAAGAGGTTAGCATTTACTGTAGTTATAAAAGAGTAAGAAGGGAAAACATACCCCATTGAGTGCCGTGATCCGCAGTGTTTGGAGTCCTTCATCACCAGCATCAAGATCAGCCTTGGTAATAGCACTCAGCTGTAGGCGCTGGCTTTTGGGCACAGCAGCCTGCAGACCGACACTTGTGAATCTTTCCAAGTTAGACTCGTTGCGGAAGCGAGCCAAGATTTGGGCGTTGGTTCCGCTCCGTTGAACTTGCAGGTTCAACACAAGGCCATCTTTGCTGAAAACAGTATGGGCAGGGGCCGAAGTGGCAACAGGTGCGGGAGAGGCAGAAGGTGAGAGCGCAGATTCGCCCATTCCACCGCCTAGCAAGTCCAGGCCGACAGAGGAAGATTGGACAGGCTGAGGGGTGGATGTTGCGTTGTTAGATCCAAACATATCCATGATGGCAGAGCTCTGGGTAGCGGCGGGGGTTGGGGCAGGCGACGAGATGCCTGAGTCTCCGCCGAGGATATCTGCCAGCAGATCGGCGGTGTTTGAACCGGAGGATGTCGGACTGGTCACGGGGGCATCGGAGCCACCCATCAAGTCTAGCAGCAAATCGCTGTCAGCAGGTTTGGAAACCTTGGTGGATTTACCACGCAGAATCTTGCTCTGGCGCTTCTTGGTAGGTGCACCCAGCACACGTTGCTCTTCACGAATCTCGGGTGCGGGCATCCGTTCGAGCACACCGCGACGGATCTGGTCGTATGCAAAGAGGTTGGTGTATTCAACGGCACGTTGCTGGATCTCGACGCTCAAGTCGGCAGTTCGACCGGAGAGGAAGCGTCGCAGGCGTTCAATCTGAGCGGGGTCTGACATGCGCACGGTAAGCTTCATGGACGCAGTGATGACATACTCAACGACAATCTGGGTAGCGTAGGTGCTGTTGAGAATATTGGTGAATAGATTGACAATGTCGCTTTCCTTGACCTCCTTGACCAATTCTTCTTCCTCGTACTGACCACCCTGCAACAAGCTGTCGGCATATTCACCGATGGTCCATGTTGCAGCCAACGTCAGACCCTCTTGAGAGATATCATCCTTCAAGGAGGCGTAAAGCTTTTGAACGGCATAGGTCTGCAGCTCGGGGGAAGTTGCAATGAGACGAACAAATGATGACAGAATCTGCTCCTTGACGTAGTTCCCAGCCAGCTTGAGAACGCGAAGAATGGTATCTAGGTGCCAGCGCTTGTTTGGGGCAAATCGGTCTGCTGCAATACCAATCTGGGTGGTCATTGTCGGCTTAAATTCGTTGTCGGCAGACTCCAAGAAAGCAAGCAATTCTCGCACGAGCACCCTAACATTTTGGTCGTTTATCAACATGAAGCTGAGATCGAGCGCTCGCCGGCGAATGCTGATATCAGGATCGCGCAAACACTCAAGAATAGTATTGCGATGCCTTTGTACCGCGTTCGGCTCAATGGCCACAACTTTGTTAAGAGTGTTCAATGCAACATAGCGGATATTGTTATCCTTGTTAGACAAGAATTTACCCAAGATGTTGACACCCAGGACCCTCAATCCAGAGTCGGCTTCAATATCCAAGATTGTGAGCACAGCTTCGTATAAGATGGCATTGCCCACGTTCTTCGACGAGTCAGTATTGGTGGCTACCTGGGCCAGAATATCGTTGATCAATTCACTGGTAGCAGCATCTCCTCGGGCTAATACCCGCAAGAATCGGAGAATCTTCACTTGAAGGAAGGGATCTGTAATTCCGGACACATCGTGCTCTGGGGCATATCCTGAAGTGGTCAATCCTTTGAGAGAACGCACCAGCCCACCGGCGAGCGGCCGGAACGCCTCAATCACGCCCTCTGGACCTTCCTCCTCCTCCTCTGCCTCGCATAAATCTGTCACGAATGTCAAACCACAGAGAAGAACGCCGTGATTGCGGTCTGAGAGCAATGTCTTGGCTTTTTCCAGGAAGTGCTCGAACAAGTCTGGAACCTTGCGACAGATTCGCATGGCGCAGATCGCTGCTTTCCGCCGAATGTAAGGGTTTGCGGTGGACATGAGAGATTCGACTTCGGGGAAGAGATCACGCGACATTTCGTCAGAGGCGATATTGCCGAGGGCGCATAGGGCGAGACCGACGATATACTGGTTGGAATGATTGAGGTCACTGAAAAGGGTCAGCATTGGGTTATTCACGTAGTAATATCGTCAATTAATCACCGACTTTTTCAGCGAATTAGTCACTAGTGTCAGCACCTCCTGATTTTCATCCAACAACAGCATTGTCCCTAGATATCCCAGTCGCTTGTCGGCAAAGCGGTGTGAGGCGAGTAACTTCAAGCATTCGATCTGACCAAAGTGTGTCCGCTCTCCGAGAGTGAATAGATATAGGAGCTTTGCCACATTATTTCTCCTGCGAAACATTAGCTATGCATGGCCAATGGTGGTCTTTGGGACGGGTATGGCTAACCGAACGCCAGAGTCATGACTCTCTTCACGGAACGAGGCTCGAATGGCGGCGCTTTCCTTCTGAATAACTGCCCGCTCATCGGCAATGGTCTTGGCTGATCGGACATTTCGAATAAATTGCTTAACTGTTGGGAAATGGGAGAGTTAGACTCAATGTTCAGGGGAGGAGGGGGCGGCGGGCAGCAACTCACGGGAAGCCATGGTGGCTACAACCCCCGATGGGGTCAGAGGGACGAAGAGTCAATGAAATAGAGAGATATAGGATCCCACGGAGGGTATGAAAATAACTCGAGGGTGCGTTTTGATAAGTGTAGCTATGCAGTGTCCTGCGTCCGTTCTGGACTGCTTTATTATGGCCCGTGACTTGGTTGACCTGGCTTCTTGGCGGAGGTAGAGCTAGTCTATAATAAGAATAGCGTTATACTACCAAGCTGAATAAGCTGAATAGATTCACCGCCTAGTAAGGTACTTGTAAATTACATGTAATTTAATCTGCATAATGCATGATGGATCGAAGTATAAAGTGTTAAACTAAATTAATCTAAGTGGTTTGTAGTTCCCCGGTAGATCACTGATTACTCATAAGCCAAGATGTTCTAGTTATAATAACCTTGGACACATGATATAGTTGAGAGTTGCTGCCTTTATGTATGGTCCCATCGGAGCAAGGTCCGGTAAGATAGATCTGAGACTGACGTAGTGTCCACACACTGTTTGCTCACCTCGAACATAGTTCAAGTGTCTGTTAAAAACGAGATAACACATCTAGTGAGCCTCTATTCTTTTGCTTGTTATTAAACTGGGTGCTGAAATCTTCGATGTCATCCAAGTTTTCTCATTTCGCAAACACGTTCCTCTAATGATGTCAACTGCTGTCTCTCACGATGCAGCCTCAACACTGCGGCCACGGGCCACATACACTGCACCCACCCCTGAAACAGACCCGGGCCTCAAGCCGCCACCAGATAAACCGGGTCTAGATAGAAGGTGGGTTAGATGACTTGTCATTTATGGCATTTTCTGTTCAATTGCTCATTGTTCTTCCAATATAGTGGCCACTCCACTCCCGTCGCAGAAGATGCTCCCCCCTCGGCGCACTCGATATCGACAGCTCGCAAGCAGGTGCGAGCTCGCAATCGTCTATTCTATACCATTGACTATGTGCCACGAGTGTCCCATTTCGATCCCGAGAGCGACTACCACAATTTCCGGGGATTTTTCATTCTCTTTTGGATCTCCTTGGTCATTATGGTGGTCACGACTGGACTGCGCAATATCAAAGATACCGGATACCCACTGCGTGTGAGAGTCTGGAGTCTTTTGAGTGCCAATTTATGGGAAATGGGAATGAGCGATTTGGCCATGGTAGTGAGCTCTGCGCTTGTTCTGCCGCTGCATCGGCTCTATCGCCGTGGACCAAAGTGGCTACAGTGGTCTCGCGGCGGTATGGTAGTTCAATGTATTGGCGAAGCGGTTTGGCTCGCTGTCTGGATCAAGTGAGTCGAGTCCCTCGGAAATAGCCATAATGTGCGAATATGTATTGACTGGAAAATAGTTGGCCATTTATGCGCCTGTGGACTTGGACTGCCCAAGTCTTTTTTACCCTCCATCTCTTGACCATCCTGATGAAGCTCCATTCTTATGCCTTTTACAACGGTCATCTAAGCGAGACCGAGCGTCGTTTGAATGCCCTCGACAAACAAGTTGAGGTAACGCCGGGTTCCTCTCGAGAATTTCACTACCCAGATACGTACGGTCTGCGGCCATCAATCCCTTCGCAAGATGAGGATTCTATTTCCGAGCTATCTCGTCTCCGTGAGGGCTTAGCTACAGAGCTGACATCTCCCTTGGGCAACATCTCTTACCCGCAGAATCTCCACATTGAAAACTACGTGGATTATCTTTTCTGTCCTACTCTCTGCTATGAGCTCGAGTATCCCCGGCGACCGGAGCGTCGCTGGTCCGAGATTGGCTATAAGACACTGGCTGTATTTGGATGCATTTTCCTGCTGACGTTGACAAGTGAGGAATTCATTGTCCCTGTCCTAAGCGATGCCAGTGGCCAGTTACATCTCTCTATAAACATTGCGGAAAAGGCTCTCATTCTGGCAGAGACCATCAGCATGCTCTTGTTCCCATTTATGATCACGTTCCTCCTTGTCTTCCTTGTCATATTCGAGTATATACTTGGCGCATTCGCAGAACTGACCCGATTTGCGGATCGACACTTTTATTCCGATTGGTGGAATTCATGTGACTGGTCAGTTTACATTGCCTATGGCTCTTATCTTCTATCTGGTATTTCATCTTATACTAATGGGTTGTTGTTTCAGGCTCGAGTTCTCCAGAGAATGGAATATCCCTGTTCACAACTTCCTTTTCCGCCATGTCTACTATCCATCCCGCGTCAACTTTTCCCGGCCCGTTGCTACATTTATCACGTTTCTTGTCAGCTCCATCTTCCACGAGGTGGTCATGAGTTGCATCACCAAGAAGCTTCGCGGGTATGGCTTCATCGCCATGATGCTCCAGCTACCAATTGTCGCCGTCCAGAAGTCCAATTTCTTCAAGGGACGGACGACTCTTAATGTAAATGACCATCCCTCTTCCAATTCCAGTCCAGACCGCTGCTAATATGCTATTTTCCTCTAGAACGCCTTCTTTTGGTGCTCAATGATATTGGGTCTATCGATGGTAAGTTCATTGGCAGCTCATATGTGAAAAGATCATTTCTAACCCCATGGCAGATGTGCGTATTCTACGTGTTGCTTTGAGAATCAGGCCTGGCTTGGCTTGATACCTCTATCGCTTCGGTGATATTGCGTTCACTTGGATTTAAACTGGATACAGCGCGCTACTTATCAAATACCCTTTTGCTTTCAGTTGGTTTTGTCAGTTTCGAATAAACCTAGTCTAAGTTCACCTAGTTGGGCTTTTAAACACATTCAGTGTTTTTTTGGTGGTATAATGGATGTAGTGTTGAAGATGTTTGGACCCTAACCGATATAAGGAGATAATACAATTAAGGTTAATTTATCTCTAGGTAGCTACCTAGGGACTGTAATATATCGACACACCTTAGGTGAGGATCTGAAGGGTCTCCTCAAGCCTTCCAAGGTTGAAACCTCCCGTAAGATAAAGAGACGAGGGGACTTATGAGAAATCAAGTGCAATTAGTTAGCTAGAGTTCTTCAGATAGAATGAACATATTTCATACACAACACCTGCTTTCACAGCCTAGTAGGCCCCAGATTTGGTACTTTATTTGCCTCTTGTGCGTGTTGGTAAGGTAGTACATATTTGATGGTCTGGATATGATATTCCCAGTCTTAAGCTTAACAAGGATGGATATTTGTTCTCAATCTTTGAGACTGTGTTTATTCCATGAGATATTCCGGTAATTATTCTCGGAACTGGGTCCCTTGTTCCCTGCAACTAGCCCGGTCTTTGACTGACTTTTCAGGTCATTTTTGTCCTTGGAGTTGGTGCTTTCGGACTTCACTGATTGTAATGTACAGGGCTGTTGTAGTTTGGAGTTTGACCATAGCTGAACTTACTGCCCGCTGCTCCATTGTGTATTCTATATCTTGCATGATTCTTCATCTGACGGCTCTGAAATATTCTGAAACTTCTTCTACGTCACAATCTGCATAGGTATTTTGAACAGCCCTCCAGGGGCTGGAATCAAGGCTATATGGATGGTTTCAGTTCTACCTATGTCGTACATGCATAGCCTTGGAATGAGAGCCGGTCGTAGTAATGCATACTAACTGCTTAGCCACTCTATACTCTAGCTTTCAAGACGATAAGAACTTAACTCACCTACTTTGTAGGGGCAGGCTCTACAAAAATAGGGTATATAATTCCTCTCAACATATGTCCTTCGGGTCTAATGGGCATGTTGCAAAAAACAGAGAAGATTCGCCTTTGTCCTGACTAGGCTGGAAGAGAGAATCAACAAGACGATGACCATCTTCTTTTCTTTTTACGAAACGGTCTTAATCAGGGCGTTATGAGGTTGTTCCAATTCTGGCAAAGCTACGAGGCTATAGGTTTGAAACCGAGTGCGCGCCTTTTTATTATATCTTTCTTTTGCGTAGATTAAGGCAATATAGAGAGATGAGTGTGACTTACCTAGGTAGGTAAAAAAAGGAGTATATCATATTTACGTGACAAATATAAGGTAATATATGCGTATTTTGAGCTCAGGGATGCACTAAAGCTATGCCATTTCGCCATTCTGATAATATCTCATCTCGCGTAGATACAGAAAAAAAAACATAAAAATCAGAAATACTGTAAAATATTTTCATCGACTCATGGTAATAATCATATCAAAAAGCATAAATTCGTTAAGTTAGGATATTCCAAAACAGGTTCCACGGGTATATAGATAATTTGTTTGTTTGTGCCCGGGATAAGGGGGAGTTCAAGGCACATAAAGAGTTGGAAACAGGCAACAGAAGAAGAAAAACCACGTAATAAGTCATAAAGGGGGAGGAAAGAAGAGTGCAAGGGATTTAACTATGCGATTGTGGTTATTTTGTATGTTGGGTTTCAAGCAGAATTAAAAAAAGAAAGAAATAATAAAGGCGAAAAAGTGAATCCCCGATGCACCGGCATGAGATCTTGAGCTCTGGGCCCGCAGGCTCTTCATGCGTACACCGAAACCGTCCCAATGCTGAAGGGAATCATAATGAATTTGCATGGATACGCCATTGGAAATGAACTCGCGTTTGTCATGCTTCATTGGATTCCGAGGCAAGACTACCAAACAAGTTGTCGATGTATGGACATGTGGACAAGATGCAATGAGAATTGAAAAAGATTCTGTCGTTGAAGATTCAACACCGGATCATTGCGAACTGAACACAACAAGATATCAATGTCAGATATGATATCGTCGTGGATTTCTGGAATGACCGAGGCATATAACTGAAATCGCTCGCAAGCGAAGGATTCGTCGTGAAGTTTCGTAACTACGTGTAGGCCGATTGACGTCTCGGTCCTATGGGAGGGGGATGCCGGCTGTGACTGGACCGGCCGGCAGACACGGTGGCATCATTCGGTCGAATATGGGTATACTTGACATCCTCAACTCGACCATGATACGTGATATCCTCAGGTCGAACATGCGGGGAATATTGTACCTCGCCATATTTCCGAAGAGGTCGCACAGATTGTATTTTGGGCCGGGTAGAAGAGACGGACTCGTGATGGAGGGTGCTGGAGCGCTTGGGAGTAGTCCGCGAGGGACCTTCCCGATCTCGATCCCGATCCTTTTCAGGCGAACTAGAACGGTACTTGGACTTCGGTTCGATAATGATACGTGGTTCGTCATACGTATAGCGAGCAGTCGCTTTAGGCGATTTGTTTCCAGGCATTTCGGGCGTGCGAGGACTTGAGTATCCCGAGTCATATGGATCGTACTTTTTGGATCGTACTTGGCCTGCCTCGTGGACCATATTGTCCAAGATGGATCCTTCGCGACTAGATTTGGACCGCTGGAAGCCAGTATGGGTGGCCGAACGGGTGAAAAATGATGGGCGCATGGAGGAGGTCTTGTAAGCTGGAGATGTTGCAGCCGAAGGCATCTTGGGCTTGAATTCCTCAGTCCGAGTGGAGGCAGTAGATAACTTGGGTGGCTTTTCATTACTTCGAGAATCCAGATGCTCGTAAGAGTTACTGCGTGACGAGGACTGGTCCTGAGTCGAGCGGATAGTAGAAGAGCTAGGCATTTTAGGGGATTTGAAGTCACTTCCCCGTGTGGAAGGGGAAGGCATCTTAGGTGGTTTCGACTCATTGTTTCGAGAAGAATCCAGATGTTCGTAAGAATTGTTGCGAGACGACGACCGATCCCGGGTGGAGCGGGAGGACCGAGCCGGGTGCCGTGAAGCTGCAGCTTCTGGTTCCGTCGCCTCGTATCCACGGGTTCGCTGTGGAGATGGTTGCTTCGGGGTCCGCTTGGGAGAGCTTCGCCGTGGGGAGCGAGAGTTTCGTGGGCGCTCCCCTTCGTACTTGGTCCGCTCAATATGCTTCTTGGCCTGCGTGTGCCAACTATCGTGTTTGTTGTTGGCATAGCGGTCGGGATAGTCGTCCTCTTCGTAAGCCCGTTCACGCCGGTGCGAAGGTTCTGATGGACGTCTCGACTCCCGAGACTCACGAGCACGGCGGGGCATCTTGAGACGAACGTAGTAAGAGCCGCTAGAGTCGTCGGAGACATCGTCATTGGAATGATCATTGGCCGCGCTAAATGAGTTGTATTTCTCAGAGGTTTGTCGTTGTCGTTCTTGATCGCGGCGCCTTGCACGATCTTCCTGTGCTGCTTTCGCCTCTCGAGCCTCCCTTGCTGCTCGATCTGAGGTTAACGGCGTCCGGGTCTTGTCTTGAGATCGGGTCTTAGAGGGAGCTCTGGATTTGGAAGGAGCTCGTGTTTTGGATGCAGATCGGGGCATGGGCCGCGTGCCGTATTCTTGATACTTGCGACCCATGGGTCGAGGTTCCTCTGTAAATGGTATATCTTCATCGAAGAATGAACTCATTGGCTCTCTCTCCTCTACTTTGTGGCCATGGCGAAACTCTTGCGCGGAGCCACTACCACGAGGAGTTGCGTATGCAGATTCGGTCCGGCGATGCTCTCTAACCTCACGCTTCAGCTGCTCCAATTTTGCCTTCTGCACAGCTTGTTGATCGTAGCGAGCGCGACGAGTGTCGTCCGAGAGTAGTTCGTATGCCTGTTGGACCTTCTGGAATTCATCCTGGGCCGCAGCTCGTTGCGATTCATCTTGGACTTTGTCGGGATGGCATTTCAAAACGCGCTTTCGATGAGCGGCTCGAATTTCGGCGGTTGTTGCATCCTTCGAAACACCCAACACAGCATATAGGTCTATATCGGGTGGAGTTGACATGATGTTATGGATGGGGAGAGGAAAAAAGATATCATCAATAGATAATGACTCCTATGAATTGGAAATGAAAGAGGGAAGTGAAGTGAGGAGGGGAATAATGGGAAATCGAAGTGGCGGTGGAGGTATGGAATGCCGCAGGTTGACGTCTTTGAAGATCGGGAAGAATCCGGGACAGAGACACATCCAGAATGATCTCGGGAAAGATTGTATTATCAATCAGTCAGAGTTATCAACTGCATAGAATGGCAAAAGCGGAAGTAGGTTGAAGTCGGAGGACCGGCAGCTTTGAAAAGAATAAACAGAGACAAGGTGACCCGAGAGAACCGATATTAGATGCCAGGGGCGAATGCGAGCTGAAAATCATATTCCGCCACCTGGGCACTTCTTAGCTTCAAATTTTCTTATTTTTCTTATTTCTCTTCTTCTTTGAATCCTTAATTTTTTTTCGGTTAACTAAATAGTAAAGGAGAGTAAAAGTCAAATGTGGTGCCCAAACTAATTACGAAAACGGGAAGTCAGTCTTATTTTGACGGCGCTTGGATGATTCTCCTCACTGGTTCTTTCACCGGTTTTCTTACATATATTTCAAGGTCTCCGATTTGCTTGCTTGCTCACCAATTAGATGTAAGAAATGGATACTGTTGTCTTGGTCATTTCAAGTGGGGCGATCAATCAACACGATCTCCTTTTCATAAGTACCCAAGTACATATGTTGCCTTGTGAGGTACCGTGTACTTCCTATTATTTTTGGCTTATTTTTGCTTATTTGTTGATTATTTTGATTACTTTGCTTATTATTTCTCTACTTATTTCCCTTCCATTCTATATCATTCTATACTGTTACTCGTAGTAGGCATACTGAGATCTCCAATCTATGTCCTGAGTCTAACTGGTTACAGTGATGGATCCTTCTTCCCCCCCGCATACCTAATTCAGCTGGGCTGATCTTAAACTTCGCCTCACTTCCCTCTCCCTTTTCCCTCACTTTATCAAGTCATCTGATTGGCTGTGCCTGAAAATGTCTTCGGTTGCCGTGTGAACCTATTTTCGACGCCTTAATAACAATACTTATGCTGCAGGTCTTGCTGCAAGAGAGAGAGATGCTATATATAGGTACCTAGGTGTGTAACCAGGGTTTCCAGCTGGAGGTTGATTATAGGGTAAAGAGTATAGACGTAGAATAGTTATAGAAATTGATAATGGCCTCATGAGTCCATCTACCCCTCCATTCTAGACTCCAGCCCCCCTCTTAACCCCTCCATCTCCACTGCTCAACTTCCTCTTTGGGACACCCAGTCATCTGGTCTCGGCGAATGCGGTCCGGGCGGACTTGAACTAAAAAATCCTTTCAATCATTCTTCACAATCACAGGTTCTTAGCTTCTTTATCATTTGATGCGGTTTCGGAACCTTCCAAGGTTGGAACATTGATCGGGATTGCTTTCAATTTCAACTGCCATTACACCTTCCCACTTTTATCTAGGTGATTAATCCTCCGGTAGGTACAATGGAGTCGTACAAGACCTGAAAACGAAAAAAAAACCCCAAAATTTGGGGAATATCGTCACTTGCCCACCTGGGCACCTGGGCAAAAATTGGAAGCTCCGAGCTTTTTTTTCATCATAGCTCCACTGCTTCACCTTCACCGGTCGTCTAGTCAAGCTCAGTCTAGGTTCCCCTAACCGCCAGATGATAGATAGTACAGAGTCGTCACTTGGGAGATCCATGCATGACTCCTGCGCCATTTGAATCGTTTCATTCAAAGTGGCCACTCATATCTCTAGACCTTGTGAAATTGGAGATTAGAATTACCTACCTAGCTAGGTATGTACTGCTTGTGAAGAAGATCTTCATCTGTGATGTCTCCAAGGTCACACATGGAAGAAGTGGCGCACCGTCAGACATCCATTGATTAGGGCTAATTGGCCCGCTCCCTTTCCCCTCATTTGGAAACTGTCAGTTCCCAAACCCCGTGACTTTAATATCAGTTCTGCAGATGACTAGGATGTCCCATGAAATTGTGATAAATTCTTGGTCTTACGGCATTTCCAGAGACATGTCAGACGACGGGGATAATCGGATCGCATTGTACTACCTATAGCTTAGTTGGATCAGACAATTCGAGGCTCACAATAAGTTGGTTTAAACTTCTGATGTATCGATACTTGATTTCTGAACTACCCTATACCGAAAAGAACTTAGAACGGTCGAAATTTGACGCGTCTGTTCGCAGGACGATCGAACTTTCGGTCGCATCACTTGGATCGATCAGCCAGTCCTACGGGTCAAGCACACGAGGGAATGATGTAAGCGTTAGGGAATCAATGTAGTGAATAAATCCGGTTCGCCTTGATAATTCAACCAACGAGAGCTGAGATCCAAGATCCAATGGGCCAAAGCTCGGCGGTCCTGCATGGCAATGGGAAGCATCCAAAGCCACGATATGCATGGGGACCGATTGAGCGATCGAACCCTGCTGTCAGTTTTTCGTGCAGATTCTGTCTGCCTAAATGAGAGAGCTAAATGATTACTTTACCTCTTCGGGTCCCCCTCTTGCCTCACTGGCAGATGGACGTCAACCACGATGGGTGCATGGAACCGCTTGCCTCCACGATGCGGCCAACTAGTCGCCATGATGGCGGCGTTGACAATGCACGTCTCCCTTCTGAGCGTCTGCGCTGCACAGCCATGATCTACAACGTGGCTACCTGCGTTTACCGTCGGCACGATGGATTTCAGAATGGAAAATGCTGCAGGTTGGCCAATGGAAGATGGAGGTGACATCGGGCTCATTTCCAGGAAGTCGCATTGTGCAACAGCTGAGCCTGAAAAGCCCGTGTTGTCCAGCGAGGGAATGCTTTTACCCGTCAGATCAACCAGGCTCTGTTTCTTGCTACCCAGAGGTGGCAAGAAACCAGGAGTGGTAATGTCGTCGTCGTCGACACCACCATTTTCTGTGGCAACAAGCGACCGCCAGCGGACCCTTTCATATCCTCTTCCCTCATGCACATGGCCACAAACAGATAATAGCGGCCTGATGCGCCTGAGTGTCTGGCGAAGAGCATTGCACCCGACGAGCATGCCCGTGGGTTTCTGGTCGCAGTGCGATTGAGGTGGTGTATGCGTCACGAGAATGTCTACGTCGAGAGGAATCTGATTCCAAAGTGCATTGGTATCCTTTGAGTCCAAGCCAAAAGCCCAATTTCCCTCAGATTGGGAGTACGGCGATCCGAAGACTTTGAACATTGTGTTTGGTCCGTCTGGTCGAATCAAGCGAATGATAGCGGCTTGGTGCTGGAGATACACGACAGAGGGTGAGGATCCGCTCACAATGTCAATGCACTGCTGCGGGTCTTCGAGGCGACTGTGAAAGGATTGCCCATGTTTCGCGTAGAATTCAGGATCGAGTGTGATATCGTGATTTCCTGTGGAAGATTATAAAAGTCAGACCGCGCAAGAAACCTTGGAACCTCGCGCCGTGGCGCCATATATGCAGTAGACTGGCACTCAAAATGAGTGCGATCGGGAGCATTGTTTCCAGAGAGGGGTTATCCAAACTGACCAGCCACGATGATCTTTATTTCGAAGTTGGCTTCCGAGATCCAAGCCATAGTCTTGCGTAGTTCGGCCGTGCTTCCATTTTTTGTCAGGTCCCCCGCGTGTATCAGTACATCTCCAGCGGGGAGCTTGAATCCTGCTTCTGAGGGCGTATATCCATGAGTATCTGAGACGCAGACAAAACGCGTTTTTCGAAGCATGATTTCCAAGACTCTGAGGTCCTAGCTTTTCTGGAGCTATATCCCCCGAGGGATTATCGGGTAATTGTGAAAGTTTATTTCAAGATATGCAGGGCTGGTCATTTTGTTTGAGACTAGCAATGCCACAGAATGAGCGAATAGGCTTAGCTGGAACCAAGAATTAGGTGGAATTGACGGGTGAGTTCTAATTGAAGGAAGAAAAATAATGATCCTTGGTAGATATTAGTCATCGAGCCAATAATGGCTCCAGATCATTCCTTTGACTGATCTATGCAGATACGCAAGTAGTAGTAAACATATATGTACCTAGGTAATGAGGGGGAAATCTTCAATTTATGTCATTCTTAATTGAATGCATTTACAAAGTTCACATTGTATGGGTATTTGGGATGTAACTATCTTGGGAAAACACATTGATCTGAATAGAACTGGGTCAAACAGCCCTAAAGACAAGCCCTAGGAACAGTAGGAGCATATGTAAAGGCCTTACAAAAAAGGAAGTTAACATACTGACATAAGCACATTCAATTCAAGGGTGGATCATTATCCTAAGTCACGTGACTATACTCTCCCACCATTGGCCAGGATTAGGGCTGCGACCCTTACCACTAGTCCACACACAGTTGGTCCCACTTTGGCTCGCTTAGCCCCTTCGCCTTCGATCCATCCGACTGACCGTTGTGTGCGTTGCTTTGACTCCAACGACAACAACCGCCGACAACCATTCAACCCAAGGACATATTCCTTAAAACGGTGACAGGATGTCCTCCTTTGAATCAGTGGTGCGTCTCTCTTGCAATCGGTGCCCTCGATACCCGAAAAATTCAATCTTCAATCCGCCTTATTCGAAGATTAAATCACTAACTGAATGTCTCCAAATCAGGTCGTCATCGACGGCAAGGGACACCTACTCGGTCGCCTGGCTAGCACTGTCGCTAAGCAGCTGCTCAACGGCCAGAAGATCGTCGTTGTGAGATGTGAGGCCCTCAACATCTCTGGCGAGTTCTTCCGCGCGAAGCGTACGTTCAATCCTCCACATCCCCCCGATTCAAATGCCTGGTATCACAAAAGACAGTAAGAGGAGGAAACGAATTCACAGAGAATATGCGATCAAAATAATGAAATGTCAACTACACGGGATCTGCCCACAAATCTCTGAATAGAATACTGACTCGACTACTCCAACAGTCAAGTACCACGCCTACCTCCGCAAGATGACTCGTTTCAACCCCACTCGCGGTGGTCCCTTCCACTTCCGTGCCCCCTCCCGCATCTTCTACAAGGCTGTCCGCGGCATGATTCCCCACAAGACCGCCCGTGGTGCCGCCGCCATGGAGCGCCTCAAGGTCTTTGAGGGTGTCCCCCCTCCCTACGACAAGAAGAAGCGTGTTGTCGTTCCCCAGGCTCTCCGTATTCTGCGTCTCCGCCCCGGCCGCAAGTACTGCACTGTTGGCCGTCTGAGCCACGAGGTTGGCTGGAAGTACCAGGATGTTGTTTCTCGGTACGTATTGAAGCGGATTTGGGATCTGAATTCTTTAATTATACGGAATGCTAACATCTCATTTTCTATAGTCTCGAGGAGCGTCGGAAGGTTAAGAGCAAGGCTTACTACGAGCGCAAGAAGGCCGCTCGCCGTAACCTTGCCAAGGCAGAGCAGGGTGCTAAGGTTGACAGCAAGACCAAGACTCAGCTCGCGGAGTTCGGTTACTAAATACCTCATATCATGCGGCTGGTTATTGAGTGACGGGTGTGGGTTGGAATCGCGGACGGTTTTGTTTCAGCAAACTTGAACGGCAAGCCGATCGACCTTGATCTTCTTAGTGGCTCCAGTCTTTTCCCCTTGTTTTCCCTTTCTCATGAATCTCACAATTATTCGTTTGATTGTGATGCATACGCGGAGGGAGGACTTGGGAGACTGGGGTCTCTTTGGAATTCTCAAAAGCAGAAAAAAAAACGGAGTCGCGGGATCAAAGGTTGTTTCAAAATAGCTGGCTGTTTGTCTCGCACCGTTGGCGGTTCAATTCAAAACAATTTTCAAGAGTTCATTATGACCTTAATGATGATACAATTTCATCTTTTTCACCATTTCTTCTAAAATCTAGTGACCTCGTAAGGCCTACATAACCCTGTTGATATGAATAGTACTTTTCTTTAATCTCTAGGGCTATCTGTGTTTGTAGTACAATCTTACCAGATTCCTTAGAATTGGCGTATTTCAACTATGGAAATGGAAGTGAGCATTTCAATATGAACTGTTCTGAGAACCCCTAATCCGCAAGGGCGCTAGCTCCCGAGGCCCTGAGATCCCCGGATATAGCAAACCTGGTTTCCATGGGCTTGCCCTTCCCCGCATTTATAAAGGTTCCCTCGGCAATTCCCCTGGCCTTCTTCATTTACTCGATTTCAATCAATTCTGATTCCTGAAGCATCATCCGGCAACAAAGGTATATAGCGAGTTTCAACAATACCCGAATTTCTTCAATGTCTGGAGTCAAGTCTCGATTGGCGAGCCTGCTCGCTCATATCTCACCTGAAGCTTCAATCTCACCCTTTGAGCATAACTTCAATCGCCATACTCTCTCCCCTACTTTCTTTCTTCCACGAGCGGCTGAGATTGAACCTGATGTGAGTACTACCTTACATCCTTCTTTCAAGTTGTTGTCTTGAATACTACTACTATAAGAATGCTTCTGATACACATCTAATCACAGGCAGAGGCAATCTATCATGTTACAGCCGACAAGAAGATCCTGCGAAGAACTTACAAAGAGACAGCTGCTCGGGCCCAGGGGTTGGCATACTATTTGAAACATAGAGGGTACCGAAGGGTCGGGATTCTTTGTCCAAATACTCCGGCATTCCTGGAGGCTATCTTTGCAATTGCAGCTGCCGGAGCAGTAAACATTGGTAGAGTCATCTGATAGGTTGGGTACGAAGAAAATATTAGCTGATCTTAATTAGCCGTGAATTGTCGACTGAAGAAGGACGATATTGCCTATATCTTTGCGCATGCAGAGGTGGACATCATCCTGGTGGACAAGGAATTTGAGCCTCTACTGGAGACATATCGAGCTCAAACCCCCAATGTACCCCTTATTATAGATGATGATAAGTATAGTGAGCCTTGGAATCCCATTGGAGCCGTTGGCGATGCCATCAAAGAAGGATGGAACCATGATAAGGCGGCCGGGGGACATGGGTGGGCAGGACTCGAAAGTCAGGCTGCCGATGAAGACTCCGTTATTGCTTTGGCATACACCAGTGGGACTACAGCAAAACCCAAAGGCGTAGAATTTACGCACAGAGGCTGCTACTTGGCTAGTTTGGCGAATATTGTTGAATCGGGGTTGAATCATACCAATGGACGGGCCAGGTATCTCTGGACACTTCCAATGTTCCATGCAGCAGGTTTGTAATACCCCATAAAAAACCTGAGGCCAGTCACTGACACAATTTCAGGATGGACATTCCCATGGGCAGTCACTGCCACTCGTGGAACCCATTACTGTTTGCGCAAGATCGACTACCCCGAGATATGGAGACTGCTCAAAGAGGAGCATATCACTCATTTCAATGCAGCACCAACAGTCAACACGTTACTCTGCAATGCTTCAGAAGCCGAGAGGCTGTCTCAGGCAGTCAGAGTCACAGTGGCTGCAAGTCCGCCGACAGCTCACCTATTTGAGCAAATGACCGATTTGAATCTCCATCCAGTCCACGTCTACGGAATGACTGAGACATATGGGCCTATCACAAAGGGCTACTATATGCCTATTTGGGATGAGATCCCATTGAAGGAGAAATACAATAAGATGGCGCGCCAGGGTCACGGTTTCATTACTAGCCTTCCAGCGCGAGTGATCAAGACCGAAGTGCCCGACGGAACTATCATCAACGTCCAAAAAGATGGCAAGGAGATTGGGGAGGTTGTGTTCAGTGGTAACATCTGCTGCAAGGGCTACTACAAGGACCCTGAAGCAACCCAGAAGCTTTTTGCTGGAGGTGTACTGCACTCTGGTGATTTGGCTATATGGCATCCTGACGGTGCCATTCAAGTTCTCGATCGTGCTAAGGATATTATAATCAGTGGTAAGTTCGGATTCAGCCAGACTAAACCCCATTCATCACCCCTGACATTATAATAGGTGGTGAGAACATTTCTTCTATAGCTCTAGAAAACATGATGAGTGAACATCCGGATATTCTCGAGGCTGCGGTAGTTGCCGTTACAGACAGCCACTGGGGTGAGCGACCCAAGGCCTTTATAACGATAAAACAAGGGAAGAAGCTGGATGGAAAGACTGTGATCGAATGGGCACGTCATACAAGTGGCATTAGTAAATTTATGGTCCCTCGTGAAGTAGAGATAGTGGCCGAGTTGCCCAAAACTTCAACGGGCAAGATTCGAAAGAATGTGCTGCGAGAGTGGGTAAAAGGCTAGAATAAATCATGGTTTTTTGTTTAATTGTTTTTAGCTCATCATGGAGGTCTGAAATATGTATTTAGGCCTTGATATAGACAGCTGTGCATATATTCAGTGGTCAATGAAGGAAGTAAACTTGGTGTGGTAGCCCTAAATTGTCGCTCCGCTGAACACTTAAAACACCCATCCCAAACTTCAATTAACAGGCACATCGATGAAAATAGAGATAACTTTGGGAGACTAATTGAATTAGTTCTAGGATCGTAGATTTCTCATACTTCCAGTCTATTTTTGGACTTCCCCTCTTCAAACCAACAAACACTAGACGAAATCACCTGGCTTATCACACATCGATAAGCAAGTGCCAAGCACACACTCTCCGCGCCTGTGAGACCCGACTTATTGCCTCACCACCCCTCCATCCTTGCGTTTACTTCCCTTGCGCTCTCATAAATCTACTCATAGGCGTCAAGAGGCTGACGCGTCTTTTAAGCCTTTGGTATTGTTTATAAATCACCTTAGTCATAACGCCACCACGACGCAACTTCGCCTTCTGCTGCAAAGAAGGCACCAAAGAATCCACAGCCTCACGTTGCGTCATTATCTATCATAATCCTACGTGCGCACACTGATCGGGAATATTGCATATCTGCATCATCTGGAATTCAGGTCTTTCCGCAGATCCTCCAGGAGACCCGGTCACTCAAACGCCTGGAACTCTGAATCTTCAGCGCTGACCAACCTCCCTTTCACACCACACCGCCTATGCAAACAACGCCTGGCGAGTTGTTTCAGCCCTAGATCTTAAGACTACTTTCAGATGAAAATTTGATTTGCGGATCTTTACCAACAGATCAAATGACTCGTCCACGCCCTATCGCTCGGTTGTCGAGCGAGGCCCCCTCCGAAACCTCCTCCTCTACTTCTCCCGAACGCGCCGTCGACGATGACACAGACTTTTTCATGGAACAGGCCAACGACTCGGAGTCCTCGATTGGAGTTGCTAATTTCCGCGATCCCCATGTAGATCAGAGTCAGAATGTGGCTTTGCCGCCGATTAGCCGCCTCCCTCCTGAGCTCTTGATCGCGATCTTCTCCAAGATCGAGGAAACACAGGATATGTTCAACTGCATGCAGGTGTGTCGTAGCTGGGCCGCGAACTGCGTCGCGATAATGTGGCATCGGCCATCGTGCAATAAGTGGCGCAAACTGGTGAACGTTGCGTCATCAGTCGGAAAAACCGATGGTCTCTTCACCTATGCCGACCTTATCAGGCGCCTTAACCTGTCGGGTCTAGTCAAAGACGTTAGTGATGGAACAGTTGTACCGTTCACTCAGTGCAAACGCATCGAACGATTGACGCTCACAAACTGCTCCCAAATCTCAGATAAGGGAGTTTCGGATCTCGTTGAAGGGAACCGACATTTACAGGCGCTGGATGTTACTGATCTACAAATGTTGACCGATCATACGATTTACGTGCTCGCAAGAAACTGCCCACGCCTGCAGGGACTTAATATAAGCAACTGCAACAAAATTACGGACGAGTCGTTACTCGTCTTGTCGCAGAGCTGCCGCCACATCAAACGGTTGAAACTTAACGGGGTTACCAATGTCACGGACACGGTTATTAACTCATTTGCCCAGAACTGCCCTGCAATTCTGGAGATCGACTTACATGGCTGCAAACAAATCACCAGCGCAACAGTAACGACTTTGCTCACGACCCTCCGTCATCTTCGAGAACTACGCCTTGCGCATTGCACTGAAATTAGTTCCTGGGCATTTACGGACCTGTCTCAGAATATAAAGCTTGACAGCTTACGTATTCTTGACCTCACGGCGTGTGAGCTTGTCGGGGACGAGGCTGTGGAGCGGATCATCAGCGCCGCTCCTCGCCTGCGAAATTTGGTGCTGGCAAAGTGCCGGTTCATCACAAATCGATCCTTAAGAGCAATTAGCAAGCTGGGCAAGAATCTCCACTACGTTCATCTAGGACATTGTTCCCTTATCACCGATGATGCGGTGATCGAACTCATAAAGGCTTGCAACCGCATCCGTTATATTGATTTAGCTTGCTGCACCGAGTTGACCGACGATACCGTTATTCACTTAGCTGCTCTACCAAAACTTAGACGGATTGGATTGGTAAAATGCGCAAAAATCACCAACTTCGGCATCAAAGCCTTTACCTTCAAACACCCACATCATCGACTCAGCATCAGCAATCTAGAGCGTGTCCATCTCAGTTACTGCACATCATTAACTCTTGAGGTATGTTTCGCTAACTGTAACTTTTGTCAATGAGTATCTGTTCATATCTGATTCTAGTCAATTCACCCGTTGGTCAACAAATGTCCAAGGCTTACGCATTTGAGTCTGACCGGTGTTCAACCGTTTCTGCGACCAAATCTCACCGGCTTTTGTCGTGCGGCTCCCGAGGAATTCACGGAGCAGCAACGAGATGCCTTTTGCGTGTTCAGTGGAGAAGGAGTGACTAATTTACGCAATTACTTGAATGAACAGGCAAGACATCAGCAACAACAACAGTCAATTGATACCGTCATGTGGGATGACGACGAGGAAATGGAAGACGAAGAGGGGAATATCACAGGTCTGATGCATGCGACTGGTCTCGATGACGGAGACTACATCGATGTTAGATCTCTTGAAGATTGATCTGACAACTCATATTTATCATGCCTTATTCTTCGGGTTAGTTTTACAGGGAACCTTCATTTTCATTTTTTTTTTTCTTTTTCGCCTTCATTGTGTTTCTTTTTACCACTTGGGGTTTCCGTTTCCTTTCAACAAAGGCTTTCAAAATACAGATTTCGAGCTTGGAGTCAGGATTCAGCGACAAATTACCATATATCTACCCATATCAGCGAGGATTACCCTATGCCATTCACTATCTGCGTTATTGGGAGGCAATGCATTGTGAGGTAGCGAATATGGACTCCACGGAGGTCTCTTCTCTTTCTCAATTATTTAGCATATTTTACGTCAAACTAAAGTTTTTGTTTGTGTTTGATTCCATAAAAAGTAATTATACAAAGTGTTAACCTTGGCGCGTATTGATGACGGGCAACTCCAAAAGAGCTCCCCCGCATTCTTTGCTCCAACTTCATCCCTTCCTCAACCATCCGCTCTTCATGGCGAATCCTCTGGCCTTTACCCCATGGCCAGTCACCATTATAACCACTGTAGTCTACCTGGCCCTGCTCGTTCCTGTGCTGCTGATTCATTTCAACGTCCCAGTCGCGCCTCGAACCAGTCCTAATGGCCTGAATCTCACCGAGGCATGGGCAGATCTCCAGACTCTTACAGGCGGATTTCACCCCTACAATTCACACCGAAACGATGAAGTACGCGACTGGCTTCTCAAGCGAGTCAACTCAATCCATCAATCCGTGAGAATATCCAAGGACGAAAAGGTACCGGATGTCTTCGTTTTCGACGACCTCACCTCAAACCTTACCTCCGTTGACGGTCGCCTCGGCGTATACTTTGAAGGAAACAATATCCTGGTGTACATTCGGGGTGCAGAGGATGTGAAAGAAAATTGGTGGGAGATTGGGCACGTGCCAGCGAACAAGGGAGGTGTTCTTGTTAACGCTCACTTTGATAGCGTATCGACAGGATACGGTGCTACCGATGATGGAGTCGGTGTGGTCACATGCCTTCAATTACTTCGGTATTTCACTACGCCTGGCAATGCACCTAAACGTGGCCTGGTGATACTCTTGAACAATGGAGAGGAAGACTACTTGAACGGCGCTCGCGCGTACAGCCAACACCCCATGTCGGTATTTGCACATACATTCGTGAACCTTGAAGGTGCCGGTGCTGGTGGCCGTGCAACCCTGTTTCGTAGCTCAGATGCGGAGGTTACGCGTGCATACGCGCAAGCGAAGCATCCATTTGGATCGGTGATCAGCGCGAATGGATTTGAGAGTGGACTTGTCAGGAGTCAAACCGACTATGTTGTTTTTGATGGCATGCTGGGGCTGCGTGGGCTGGATATTGCATTCTTTGAGCCTAGAGCTCGGTATCATACCAACCAAGATGATACTAAACATACTAGTATCGACTCGTTGTGGCATATGCTCTCTACTGCTGTCGCGAGCACCGAGGCCCTTGTTTCGGACACCTCTGACGAGTTTGATGGACGGAATCGGGAAGATGGCAAAGTCTCTAGCGGCACAGGCACGAAAGCTTTATGGTTTGATCTCTTTGGAGCGGTCTTCGCCGTGTGTCGTTTGCACACCTTCTTCGCTCTGTCAGTCACTATACTAATTGTGGGACCTGTCACGCTGCTGTTTACAAGTATTGCTCTATCCAAGGCTGATAAGATGTATTTGTTTCGCTCGTGGGCATCCATGGACTATGATGAAAAGGTGCCACTTCGAGGTTTACGAGGTTTCTTCCGGTTTCCATGTTTGTTCATCATCCCCACCGGGACAATTGTTGGACTTGCATTCCTCGTGACCAAAGTCAATCCTTATATTTCACACAGCAGTTCTTATGCTGTCTGGAGTATGATGATTTCCGCCTGGGTCTTTTTGGCATGGTTTGTGTCTCGTGTTGCCGACTTCGCTCGTCCCTCAGCTTTCCACCGAGTCTACACATGGACCTGGATCTTTATCATCACGTGGTCCTTGCTGGTGATTGCTCTTGTGTACGAAAACGAAAGGGGACTAGCTGGCGGATATTTCATGCTCTGGTATTTTACAGGTGTATTCCTGGCTACCTGGATCTCATATCTTGAGCTCTTCGCACTTCCCAAGAAGTCAGAGTACCTGAACTCAATCTCACTCATCCAGGACTCACGGCGCCCCAGCAGCTATGGAAGCCGACTCGCTCTCAATGAGGATGAGGAAGATGCTGATGGCGATGAACCGACGGAGTCCACCTCACTGCTGCGTAGTCAACAACGGACTACATTTGCGAACTATGTCCATGTTGCTAGTAGTCATGTAAGAGATGGAAGTGACGATGAAGAAGAAGACCCAAGAGTGTACCCATACGAACAAGCATGGAGTGGTTCGATGCCCACTTGGACCTGGTCTCTACAATTGATTCTTACAGTCCCAGTTGTTCTCACACTGGTCGCCCCAATCTCTCTTTTGCTGACGAGTGCTCTGAACCAAACGGGTCAGGATGGAAGCTCTCAGCTTTTTGTCTATATTTGCATTGCTAGTCTGACTGTCGTCCTTTTCATGCCAATGTTGCCTTACATTCATCGCTACACCTACCACATTCCGCTCTTCTTGTTCCTCGTGCTGATCGGTACCCTTTTATACAACCTGATCGCCTTCCCATTCTCAGAAAACAATCGTGTGAAGATGTCTTTCTCACAACAGGTCGATCTTGATCGGGGAAACTCTACCGCCTATCTGACTGGCGTGCCTCCCTTCGTGGAAGAGATTGTCCGCGGTCTCCCCAGCGCCCTAGGCAAGACAGAATGCCATGAGTACCTCAATCGCGTGCAATGTGGTTGGGCCGGCCCTGAACCCCAAGTAGTCCCCCACGGCACCTTTATGTCGCCTGGTCCTTCCAAAGACTGGGTTTCCTACAGCATCTCCCATACTCAGAGCTCTTCTCTCCGGTTTGAGATATCCGGCCAAAACACCCGCTCTTGCCGCATCACTGTGGACCGTAATCCCATTAAAAATTTCAGCGTCTTAGGAGGCTCTCTACCCGATAGACGCTTCATCAGTCCCGATTCAGATGGCCTACATGAGATCCGCCTTTGGAGTCGTGACTGGGATAACAAGTGGGCCGTGGATGTCGATCTCGCGGAGCATGGAGTCTCTGACGTGAAAGGTCGCATCTCCTGTATCTGGAGCGACCATAATACCCCTGGTCTCATCCCTGCCCTTGATGAGGCTATCCAGTACGTCCCAGCCTGGGTGGCAGTGACCAAGCTGGCTGACGGCCTTGTAGAGGGCTATCGGGAGTTTCAACTCAAGAAGACTGGCTCGGTGTGGAACCAAGTTTAATACCTGTACACGACAAAACTGTAAGCCTGCAAACGTTTGTCTCTGTTTTATCTAGAATGTTTTCGTTTTTCGGTCTCTTTTCTTTAACCCTCACGACAAGTCATACCTTCTATATCTGTTGTTTATCCATTTTGCCACAGGCGGGGTTGGCACTAACTATTTGAATATGTTATTTTACATTGTTTGCTCAATTTTCATCGATCAAATGTCACAATATTTTTCGGGATTGTTTTTTATACTCACCTCCACGGAACTTGGAACTTCCATGGGGGTAAACGGGGGTTGATAGGAACACGACACTTCTTTACGGGCAATTCTACCTTGGTAGACTTCCTACATTGAAGTAGTTAGTAAGTTATATCCACTTCCGCCTTGTGTCATCCCTGTGGCAGATTGCGGTGAAATTAGATATCGATTGCTAAGCTCCGAACTCCAGATCTATTCCGAACTCCGGATCTATTCCGAAACTTGGGATTCCCGCCTTTCTAGTGTTCTTCCCTTCAAATTGAATCAAGGGCCAATTCTGTTGGTCGTGACCTCTCCGTGATGAAAGATCTTTGGACACAAATCATCTCTCAAATCCTAGGCTGGACATACTTCGTCTTGTGGTCACTGTCCTTTTACCCGCAAGTCCTGCACAACCACCACCGCCGCTCAACTGACGGCTTCTCTATCGACTTTGCACTTTTGAACACGCTTGGATTGACTGCATATACTGTTTTCAATGCCTGCTTTCTGTTTTCGCCGGTTGTGCGCGCCAGCTATAGCCAGCGACATCCACGGAGCCCCGAGCCAACTGTCCAATGGAACGATTTCGTCTATGCCCTCCATGGGACCTTGATCTGTTACTGGATAGGCAGCCACTTCCTCTGCGCCCGGTTCTGGAACTTCCAATCCAACCCGCAACGGGTAAGTACTTCGGCCTTCGTAGTCTTCTGTGGCTGCCTGGCAGTGATAGCCCTAGCCGTTCTGTGCGTTCCTCTGTTTATGTCGTGGGAATGGATTGATGTGGTAAGAGAGCAACACAGTCCGCAAATGATTAACTTGTTGACATGCGCTTACTGAACTACTTGCATAAGGTCTACGTGGTCGGCATGACCAAGGTTTTCCTGACAGCCATCAAATACGCTCCCCAGGTGGTGATGAATTATAGGCAGCAGTCGACGGCGGGGTTTTCCATTGGGGCAGTCTTACTGGATCTGTCGGGCGCAGTGCTGTCGCTGATGCAGCTTGTACTGGACTCCTCACTGCAGGCGGACTGGTCAGGCACCGTGGGCAACATCGCGAAACTCATGTTGGGTAACATCACTGTCCTATTCGATTTCATCTTTATCTTCCAGCACTTTGGTCTGTACCGAAAGCGACCAGCGGGGAAGAATCCAGGACTATCGGAGCATAACCCTCTCCTGGGTAGCAGCCATGGGATATAAATAGGTGGTTGCTAGGTGCACCTGATACTAATATCGATATAGAGATAACATTGACGAATCCAAGTATGGAGAGTTACAATATAATGGGAATACAATATTGGAACTTGCCAATTGTATCACCACAGGACACCATATTCAATGTGTTTATATATTCTCAGGCTATATCTCAACAACATAACTTCAATAAAGTTGGTTCAGTATGAATGAATATTGATATGGCTTCCGAGAACAAAAAAAGAACTTTCAAGCAGATCAAAAGCTTGCATTATTATAATACCACTCATGACCTCGAACATAATAGTAACTAGTTATTCCACAGTATTATATCGTGTACCTAAATGCAGTAAACATGCACTAGCCCGTGAGCAGGCACACCATTGAAGAAAGAGCTATCAAAAAGGGGTTCATAAATTTCTTTAGTGAATTTCAAAGTAACACACCACTAACCATGCGAACGAATCGAGGTCTTACCCAGTATCTAGTAATTGCGAAATGCAATGCGGAAGGCACAAGCCGTGAAAAACATCAGCCCAGCAACTACTGACCACAGAATGACCAGCAAAGGGTCTTTGGCGAGGGGGGACAGTGCCATCCCTAATAGATATCCTAGCCCCGCGGTTCCGATATAACACGCCTGAAGTATTGATTTCATGCTCTTGGGAGCATGGGAGTATGTATACTCGGAGCCTGTCGGCCAACAGAACACTTCGGCTAGGGCGATGATGATGAAGGTGGGGAGCTGCAGCAGCACATGGACGCGGTTCGGGACCTGTCCACCCTCAGATTCCTCGCATACAAGAGGGTATGAATAGCAGGGGCCCGCACGGTAGATCATGTCCTGCACTACGGCCGAGTACGCCATAGCCACTGACATGATAACGAATCCAAGAGTGATGCGGTTCACTATACTGAAAGGAATCTTATGTTTTTGTAAGAACGGATATAGATGTTTCTGAATGATGAATCCGAAAATAACATAGGCCAGCGGGTTAGCTGATTTGATCAGATCGTTAGGAATACCGTGGGTTTCCATTTGCCCGGCCTGAGAGATGGACACTTGGGCGCCTTCGCCCATGCAAATCCAGAATATCGGCCATCCAATGCTATTCTGGTTAGTCGACCCATATGATCCACAAAGCAGATTAGGGGAAGAGCATCACGCACCAGATCTTAAAAGCCGAAAGGGCATCTCGGAGCTCATCAACAAAATCATCGTTCCATGGGACGACTCGATGATACACTTCTAGTTGATTTTGCGGCAGAGCGGCATCGAGCTTGAATCCTCCTTGGGCAGCACACCATAAACAAAAGGCGGCATGAGGTAGCCGAGAGCCTTGGACAGGGGATTGGACTTTGTAAAGAAAGCATTAGACAGACATATTAAAATCGTAGTTCTACGGAATTAACGACAAAAAACCCACCAAATTTTGTTTTCACCATTTGGACGGTAATAGCGCATAAGAATATTGCACCGAGATCCAGCAGATATGCCGACCAAAACCCAATATATTTCTCCATGAGTGTGGTGGCGATGCTTCCTAGGGAGCCGACATTGACCATCCTTGCCAATTCATTAGCTAAAGTCACTCGGTCTTTCCATTATCCACTCAGATACCTACCAGTAGTACAGATTATAGATATACTGGATTGTGACTTCGCGGTCCTCTACGACCCTTTCGCCCTGTTTAGTGACTCTGATACGCATTTCGTGATCGGTGTACTGCTCCGCTAATGTCTGATCAGCTATGGGGTTCACCGTCTATATAGCTGCACTTACCGATGAATGGTTGGATGGAAGATTGTACTCCCCCTAGCCCAACTGCAATGAGGAAAGCCCCGACTCCGAAGCCAGGAGTCGCGATCCCGGCCGCCATTTCGGAAGGAAAAGAGGTCGCGAAAAGGATGGCCGAACCCGCGGCATATATACTAGAGATGAAAAGTGGCAAGGAGTTAGTTCATTAAGCCTATGTAAAGCTAACAACAGCTATAGGTCACCTAGTTTCCTACCCTGTGAATATCTGAAGAGCTTTGTATCGGCCTAGCCATCCATCGACGAGGACAGAGGTTGGCAGTGGGAGGATATTCACTAGCACAGTGAACGCCAGGTTGACCGTAGTCGCCCGAGATTTGCCCAACCCCATTGCGCCTGGGACTAAATCGTTCGGGCTATTCTGAAGATAGTTTTCTAGAGTTGAGTTGCATTAGTGGAGCAATACGCAAGGTTTCTAGGGCGTATACTAACGAAAAAGAGTCTGCGTTCCATAGTAAGAAAATCGCTCAGCCATTCCGATGATCGCCACCAGCCAGACTCTCAGTGGAAGATGTGCTGACACATGGCGCAGTTCTTGAATTTCGTTTTCAGTAGCCAGGTTGCCCTCAGGCGTGTGCATCGAGGCCACTGACGCCGCATGGGCTTCTAACTTTTGAATGGATTCATCCATTGGGAGGTTTTCTCAGAAACCTTGATTTGGGTATTAGGAATTGAAAAAGATAATCATTCGTACTTAATCAGACATCACAATTTATAGCAGTATCGGATAGAAGCTTGATCCAACTCCGGATATGAGTTGATTTCGGAGTTGATTCCGGAGTTCGGAATTGCATGATACCAATATTATTAAACCAGCTTCGGGGCTTTCAGGGGAGCTTTCTTTTTTCTTTCTAGTATTAGAGAAAGAACGGCATCATATCAGAACAGGCATAACGCAACAATGTCGCCCGAGCAATATATTCTGCTCGATGGCACTCGGAATGGTATATTCCCTTCCCAACGAACAATCTGAACCATGTCACCTCTAACCTTTCCCAGTCCAAATGGAGATCGAGGCCATTAGCAATGAGCCACTTCAAGGGGTAGACATACCCAGATGTAGTGTCCTTACAGCTAAAGTTCGGCCTTTGAGACAGGACCTGATCAACAAATATGAAAGTTCTCCCGATCCAGCGATGCTGCAAGTGATGAATGCAGGCTCTGATATACCGGTCATGGTACCCATAGAACCTGGCAAGCTTGATGTCCTCTGCGCGTGTATGAGCGTTTGGAAAGATCAGGAAATCGTCAAGTTTATTATTTCTAATGAAGAGGGGCACATAATTCGGAGTGATATATTCGAGGATCGACTACGGGGTCGCCCGGGGATCCGGGTTGTAGGGCTCGTTCATCCTCGGCAATTTGTCTATCCTCCTCCCTACACTACACGAGCAGGTCTAGGGAAACTCCTGGAATTCGCCGTATGCTGTATTCTGATCGATAGCGGCAGCAAAAGTTCCAAGAACCAGCTTTCCGATCAATTGCAATCGCACCTCACTGAAAGGCTCTCATTTCCTTGGTTGTCACCGACGCCAATTTCTTCGCGCAGGCTTGCTGTAGTCGGTGAAGTCCGCCCGGCGCACCTCTCCTTGCGATTCTTTCAGGCCGCTCAAGCCCTTGGGGTTAAGGTGGTGGCCTTTGGGCCTCGCGGACATTGGTTACAGGATCAAGAATCCCACAACGCCCAAATAAAAGAAGCTTTCATCGAAGTGGATTTGTCCGTAAATCCTGGGCTTCCAGACCGCATTTTAACCGCTATTCAAAGCTACCCTGCTAAAATTGATGGAGTGACTACGGTCACCGAATTTCTGCTCATTCCAGTCGCTCAAGCTGCCGAACGACTAGGTCTCCCTACCTCGCCAACTACGTCATTTATCAAGTCCGTCAACAAGCACAAGACCCGCCTAGAGGACAGCCCAAGCTCCTGCCTTCTGGTTTCTAGCTTGGATACCCTCCAATCACAGTTAGCATCCGGTAATGAAGAGATACTCCCCCCGGGCCCACCGTGGATTGTTAAGCCCTGTAATGGCTGGCATAGTCTTGGAGTCTCCAAGGTGGCCACCAAGGAGGGCTTAGCTGCCGCCGTAGAGAGAGTGGCCAAATATGCCGCTTATTCTAGGGACGAGCCGGAAGAAAAGGAGCCCCAGTGGCAAACCAATGTGTTGATCGAGGAATATTGCGATGGGCCGGAGGTAGACTGCAATTTCGTCTTGTGGGACGGCCAAATCCTCTTCTTCGAAGTGATTGACAACCTTCCGTGTGCTGGTGATGAGGTAGGAGAGGACAGGCAAAGCTCGGGAAATTTCAAGGAAACCCAGCTAGTATTCCCCTCCGCGTTGCCGCCATCAGAATTGGAGACGCTCAAACTCTCTCTGTACACCTCCATTACGCGATTGGGATTTCGCTCCGGAGTCTTTCACGTTGAAGCTCGTGTGCGTGATTCTAGTTGCCGATATCGATCGGTAGAAAAAGATGACTCGTTAGACTTGCGCCCTAGCCTTGAGCCTACGGCGCAAGATCCGACTGTTTTTCTGATTGAGATCAACGCCAGGCCTCCGGGCTATATGGATACATGCGCTAGTTACTTTGCGAATGGGGTTGATCTTTTCGCGCTTCAAATCCTCATCGCACTCGAAGACGAGTCAAGGCTACGAGCCTTGTCACAGCCATACAAGTCTTGTAAGTCTTGTCCTCACGTCGTGATCTCAGCGATCCAAGCAGCCAAGTCCGGGGTCATTGTGTCGGAGGATCCCTGGAAAGACCTATCCCAAAAGGATCCAACCCTGATGTCTCAAGTGGTGCAAAATGTCACGAATTTTGGAAAAGGTGATTTTATCCAGGACCCGCGGTCAGATACCACGCCGTGGCTTTCTGCGTTCATGGCATATTCACTCAAGGATCGAACGAAGGCTTTGGAAATAACTTTACAGGTCAAGGAGAAGTTTGAGTGTGAAATTGACTAGTTAGAAATTAGAATAAATGTAACGGGTTTGCCTTGTATATTTCCGACCATCCAAAGTGATAGCTATTTCTAAAAAAGATAGTTATTTAAATATTTATTTAGATATTTATGGTTAAAAAAATTAGTTACATAAGAATGTTATTACATAATTTTTGTGGTGTCTCTAATTAGTCCAAATTTTGTAGTGTTTCTATCAATTCCGCCAAGGTCAGGGCACATAAAGTATAGAATTTGAAACCAACCTCACATCAAAAAGGAATGAACCCATTTCCCACACGATCAGCCCGGCAAAATGCAGCCTGGCACCGAGCTGGGCTTATATCTGAATTTCCAGACTTAGATCTGGATAAGGACGCGTACCGAATAGCTCCAAAATGCAAAGCTTTTCGCATTCCAAAAGACGATCCGTCTGATCCCAACGCCCCATTTGAAGCAGACCTTGATCTACCGGGAGAATTAAAAGAGCAAGTTCTTGTTTTTAAATATAAGGGGAAAATGCATGCTATCGACCACGTAAGTAATTCGTCAACCTCCAAGCCTCGAACCGAGTTTCAGGAACTCCTTTATATATCAAGCTATGAGCTGGGGCTGTATTTGGATAAGGTGTTGAATATCAGCTAAACAAGTACGCAGCAATGTCCCCACTCATCTTTTCCTTTATCACAGGGCACCCTGTTTGATATTGAAGATTTTGGAATCACACTCAGCACTGGCGTGACCTGTCCTAAGCACGGCTGGTCCTTTGATCTTTTTTCTGGTCAAGCAGATCGTGGCAATTACAAGCTTAAGATTTGGGAGGTGCAGCTTCGTGACTCTTCGTTATGTTCTGGAGAGGGCGCTGAAAGTAGTGAACAGGAGGTGTGGGTTAGGCGGAAACAGCGTATTGGCTGATTGATGTACCTACGTACGATTTACTACCCAGACATGTGCAGGGAATCTGCCAGATATGTAATGTATATGGGTTATGCTATAGCGTCGACACTGCGCGACTTGTGATCGGCCTAGTTGTGGCTGAATGATCGGCGCACTAGGCCTGACTACCCGGGTGTTGCAATAGCTGCTAAAGGGTTGGCGATTGAAAAGCTTCTACGAGGACTGATAATGGCGCATATTGGCACCGGACCTCGAGATGAATGTTGGGAGTATAAGTATATATCACTTGCAATCCCAAGGTTCATTACACCAGCCGGTCTTCTGAGGGAAATAGGAAAAAGGTTGGCCCCTGCAATAGATCCATTCATACTCTTTGACCTTTCAGTCTATCAGCTATCTTTGTATGGGTTCCATATCTGGGAAATTCTAGTGATCCATGCCACCTGCAGGGCTGCATGTGAGTGAAGCAGGATCGTGATCTCGCCTCTAGTTAGACATTGGAAGTCACAGCCGTATTCTGCTAGGTGCATATTTCAACAAATCCCTCTTTCTTTCTCACGACTTGTTCTATGCAAATTGAACGTACTTATCTGCAATTTATCTTGGAAACTATTTAGCGACAACCTATTAATGAATTCCTAAGGTTTGCATTAGACGCTGGCACATGCAGATCTGTGCAGATAGATAGGGTCATAACGCGAAAAGTATCAGCACCATTGGCTATGGACTATGGACTGATGTGGTTGATTCGATATGATAGTGGTTTATTTTCTAGGATGGACACAAATGCCGGAGTTGGTAAAGAGAGATCGTTCAATGGCTTGAGTCTAATGAAACCTTGGAATGCGAAGGAACTAAGTAGTATATCATCCAAGGTTGTCAATGACACAATACATATCGTGAAATCATACTTTTCCTTTTGACAGTCAATGTGATTGATGGGCATTTGGACAAGATGGACAGATTAGATTACAATCAATCTAATCAGATCAAATAAGATGTTCAATCGAAATGTTCAGAGCATTATCTAATGACGATTTGCGCTCTACACTTTAAACCAGCAATCTTGTGAACATCCCGAAGCCGAGATTGTATTTTTTGCGATTCATATCCAATGGATCACTAGTGCATTCCTGTAAGAAGCAAATGTGCACGATTTACACCTATGAAAACATCCAGGGTCTGAAAAACAAAATAGTATAAGAAAAAATGATGAAAGAAAAGAAAAGGGAAAAAAGCGGCTGGCAAAGACATTGTGACAGAAAGGAAAATTCCAACTCCGTTTTTATATCACTTAAACGGCCAGCATCTTCTTGACCTCGGCTACAGCAAGACCAGGGTTAAGACCCTTGGGGCAAGTCCGTGTGCAGTTGAGAATGGTGTGGCAACGGTAGACGCTCATGTTGTTGTCAAGAGCGGCCTTGCGCTCGGCGGTCTTCTGGTCGCGAGAGTCGGCCAACCAACGGTAGGACTGGAGCAGGATGGCGGGGCCAAGGTACTCCTCGCTATTCCACCAATACGAAGGGCAGGAGGTTGAGCAGCAGGCGCAGAGAATACATTCGTACAGACCGTCAAGCTTCTTGCGCTCCTCGGGGCTTTGGCGGTTCTCAAGGCCCTGTTGATCGTTAGTATACAAATCCCGCACAAGGGTTGAGGAAATCCATGAATCACTCACATCAGCAGTAGGGGTATCATTCTGGAGGTAGGGCTTGATGGACTTGTATTGCTTGTAGAAAAGGGTAAGATCGGGAACGAGATCCTTAACGACGTAGGTGTGAGGCAATGGGTAGATGCGAGACTCCGAGGCAGTATCGGTAGGGATGCGGCCTATCTAGAAGATTAGTTACTCTGATATTGGGTTTATGGTGTATCGCATCACTGCGTATGAAATCGGGTGGCGAGAATGGTAGAGCACATACACAAGCAGGCAAGAGTGTTGACACCGTCAATGTTCATGGCACAACTACCGCAGATACCCTCACGGCAAGATCGGCGGAAGGTCAGGGTTGGGTCCATTTCGTTCTTTATCCGGATAAGAGCGTCCAGCATCATGGGACCGGTCTTCTTGAGGTCAAGCTGGTAGCTCTGCATGGTTGGCTTCTCGCTTGGAGTATCCGGGTTCCAACGGTAGATCTTGAAGGTCTTCAATGAGGGGTTCTCAGAGGCAATAGGATCCACGGAAATAGCGGACTCAGCGGTCGCATAGGAGCGAGCGAAAATAGCCGGGCGGAAGAATGGCCGCGACGCAGCGAAGAGTCGCGATGTAGTGCGGAGGGAGGCCATGACGAGTGCGAAAATCGAAAAATTGCCGAGGGAACCGACAATTGGTAGGTAGAACACGGAGAGACGGTGATATTCCTGTGAGGGGAGAGGATCGATTGATTGGAATTCCGAAAGGCCTGGAGATCACCACTACCAAGTTGACGACTGAAGTCAAGGAGTTCGAGTTCGAATTCGAGGTTCAATCTTGGTCACTAACCTCGGGTTTGAGGGTCGGTAATTGCATGACTAAGCCATATAGCACCAATCACATCGGATCTAATTGTCACAGATTCGGGCGGACACGGCGGCTTCGACTCTGGCATTTAAACACTGCCGCTGCTCAATTGACGATCTACAGATCAACCAGATTTATAGAAGGGCGAAATACAAGTATAATCTGATACATATATATCGGATTTTTTTTTTCAACTTGCTCTTCTCTATGCACAGGCTTTTATTCAAGTTGTAGCATCTTCAGGCATCAAGGCACCAACGTTCTCTTTGCCGAGCGGCTTCGGTCCAGTGGACCGGGGTATGGAGTACCCCATACGACAATATTATTTCTCATTCTTAACTACATTTCAAATACTCAAAAGAATCGACTCATGGACCATAGCTCGTATGAGCATGCAGCATAATAATTTGTCTCTTCTTCAAGGTATAGCTGAAACACTCACCAAACAGCGAATCACTAATTAACTAACTACTTGATACTGTCGCATCTACGATGGTAGGAGTTTAACCGATGTGCAGAGGTCGAATACAAAAGAAGGCATATAATTCCTAATTTGGCTTGAATTATGTCCTTCAGCTCCAATGGTCTTGTTACAAAAATACGAGGCTATGGACTCAAAACTGAGTGCGCGTTCTTTATCTATTTTTTATAGACCGAGGCGGTCGCCGCTGACTGACCTCATAGATCTGAAAGTTGAAACAGCATAAAAGATTCCGACGTCTTCTTCGAAAAGCCTTCGAAATGTTTTATCCGATCTTCAAGTACACTCAGGTGAAATGTCTTTCAGCGTTGCTAGGGAAATCAGAATATTATTTCAAATCGTGACATCTACAAGCTTTTTGTACCAAGTGACGCATGCAAAGAAGGGCTTCCTGGTGTTGGTGATTGAGAGAGATCATCCACACTCTCGATATTAACCTCATTTGTCACCTTGATGCCTTCCGATTTTGAGCGTGGTCGACGGTCATCTGGATGATGGGAAGCTTCCGGGGCCGTCATCTCATACTCATTACCGCCAATATTCGACCAATCAATCAACCGCTTATCGTCGCGAGTAGCCGAGCTCAAGGTGTTAGTCACGATCCGGGATTGATGAGTTCGCAGTCTGCCGACAGACTGAGAGCGAGTGCGGCTTTCGGTGTACTCTGTCATGTGATTGAACATGTTTCCAAACGCGGGCTTCAGGGCGGGCACAGAGAGGGCAATGAGCGAGCTGGCAATCTCGGCATTTTCAACACACAACATTTGGTTGTAGGGCCAACTACCATCTGCGGCCCACTGACCTTCGACAACCAGCCAGATGCGGATGGCGGAGACAACGATGACACTGACAAGTTAGACCATGAAGTATTCCGGGCTATTGCAAATGAACTCACAATACACCAGGGAACATGACTATGGAGAGCTTGATCTTCTTCCTCATGCTGATATGAAGCTGTTTGATGAGAATCGCAGGAATAGCGAACATCATCACATCACAGACCAAGGAGATACCTGAGTTGACTGAATACACCAAGCCCCACGACAAACACGTATAGTTTATTGGTTCGGGCTGCCAGGAATAAGGCCAGAGTCCGGTTACTGGTCTGCAGTGGAAAATCAATAGGAATAGCTGCGGAAGGTATGCAGCAAAGAGGAATGGGGCCGCAACCATAATGATCTTGTTTAAGATACTTGAGCGTGATGTGATTCGGAAGTAGAAGGCCAGACCAGAGAGTCGACAAAAGAAAAGGGCCGTTGTGTAGAAAATGTGCGCAACGAAGTCGAGGACTTCAGTCTGACGGACGGTGGACATGGGTAGTACATATTGAATGTATTCGATATGACGACCGCTTCCCATATTAATCAGGACAATGGAGAGAACCACAAATATAATATAAAAAACCTGTTGTCGAGAACGTGTGGTTAGCCTCCATGACCAAGGTTTCCCTTATTCGCGTTCAACCACAGATCTCTAGATATACTCTTCGGACACGAGCGGTTGGATATGACTTGAACTAACCAACATACCAATGTCAAAATGGCCAATGCATCATCGAGTCCGACCTTCTTGACCAGAAAGAATCGCGCATATAGACGTACGATCAGGATCACCCCAGTAAAGCAGATAATGAACAAGATGCCTACGATAGCAGGGTGATCACGCGACTGTGCGAGGTAGGTGAGTGAAACATCACTAGGAATACTCCCTGCCGCCTCGGCCGCGAGAATATCGGCAGGAATTGCCATTGAGGTTCCAAAGCTGTGTAAATTCAATTGAAGGGCATTGGTGCAACAAATTCAAAAAGTCATAATGTGGGAATGACAATGTAGGAAGAAAAGCTATTCTAAAATGCTAGCAACAGCCCTAGGAGTAGATGGTGGCGCTCTGAATATCGCCTTAGAAGCTCTAGAGAACATTTAGAATAACATCAGATCAAAATCTTACCTGCTTACGGGCAAAAAGTAGCGAAAGCGGGTCCTTAATTAGAACTATTTGATCAGCTAATAATATTGATACCGAGGTACGTATTGAGTTCAACATTACTGTCATTTAAAAAGAGAACTGTGCAATAAAAAAGGAAAGCGACGTCAGAAATAGATTAACCACAAGTACCCGAAAGATTAAACGCGTATTGAGATTAGGTTTAATGACGGATACTAATTGTAGATGTTAAGTAGGAATTTTCAGTCCCAGTGAGGTATTTCTCGCTGCACATCAAATCCTTTTTAGCCGAGCCAATATTATTCTATATACGCTAGTTTCATCTTCGAGTCTTTTGGACCATTCAGTGAATCGCAGTGGATCGTAGTGGATCAAGATCGATAGATTATCGCTAAGAACGACACAGTTCCGGACCTACGCGAAAGTATACTATTTACAATTAGGAAGGAGACAAGAACATCAAAAAAATATACATAGAACTATGGAGTGCTTTGGAGATGATTGTGGATCTGCAGGCGGCTCATAACATGCAATTGGCGTTATATTGAAATCCACACCTGGCTTCCGCGTGGACTACCATGTGTTTTTAAGACCGTTCTGGGAATAGCAAAGTCATTCCGCAGCTTCCGATTTTATTTCCATGACATCAAATATGATACTATGGTGGCTCTGGCAGTGAAAAGAGATAACGGAAGACGGAAGACATGTATGGAATATGGGGCAATAGCTGGGAACCTTGCAAGGCTCCCCCAGTGGTTCATGTTTTACGTCGATTCTCTGGATTAGTAACGAATGGACCCATCTAACTATCGAGGAATATGAAAAGCTAAGCTTCCCCCCTGCCAGCTTTCAAAGTGGCGCTTCAAGTTCGATTGCCAGCAAACATGTCGCATCTGCTGAAGACCGTCGTGACCAGCCTGGCTCTAACCAGCGCCGTCATTGCTTCTGAACCAGTTGACACTCTAGTCACTTCGCAAATTTTGGCTGATCCTTATGCCTTTGACTTCCCTCGTCTGGGCGCTGCCGGAGATTTGTTGTTTCCTATGCGTAAATGCCACGGCTTCAAGTTGGAGGAAGCAACTGTTGATGAGATCCAGCATCAGTTGACCAGTGGTAGCCTCACTAGTGTTGAGCTGTTGGAATGCTACCTCGATCGTATTCACCAGACACAACCATATCTCAAGTGAGTGTTATTATTATGTGAAAAGCTGATTTTATGATTATCTTAATGCTGACTGGTTTATTAGTGCCATCCTGCAACACAATCCGGATGCTTTCTCTATTGCACAGAAGCTGGATCATGAGCGTGCTCAGGGTAGGGTTCGTGGTCCTCTCCATGGAATTCCTTTCATCGTGAAAGACAATATTGCCTCCAAGGATCGCATGGAAACTACTGCTGGCTGCTGGGCTTTGCTTGGTAGTGTTGTGCCTCGTGATTCCTTTGTTGTCCATGGTATGCGCAAGGCCGGTGCTCTGCTCCTAGGAAAGGGTGCTCTGAGCGAATGGGCTGATATGCGCTCCAACAACTACTCCGAAGGTTTCTCTGCCCGTGGCGGACAGTGCCGCAGCGCCTACAACTTCACTGTGAACCCCGGCGGTAGCAGCACCGGTCCCGGTGTTGCCGTGGGTGCCAATTTGATTCCTATTGCTCTCGGCACCGAGACTGACGGAAGTGGTACGTGGAAACGATTCTTTGATCTGTCAAAAAATAAAAAATAAAAAATAAAAAAGAAACTAACACAATTGCCAGTCATCAACCCTGCTCAGCGCAATGCTATTGTTGGAATCAAGCCCACTGTCGGTTTGACTTCTCGCGACGGTGTTATTCCCGAGTCTCTCCACCAAGATACCGTCGGTACTTTTGGAAAGACCGTTCGTGATGCCGTTTATGCTCTAGATGCAATCTACGGAATCGACCCCCGTGACAACTACACCCTCGCCCAGAAGGATCTGACTCCCTCAGGTGGCTACACCCAGTTCTTGTCTAACAAGTCTGCCCTCAAAGGCGCCGTGTTTGGTCTGCCCTGGGAGTCTTTCTGGGCTTTGGCCGATGCCGAACAGCTCGCTCAGCTCCAAGAGCTTCTCACTCTGATTGAATCTGCCGGTGCCACCATCATCAACGGCACTGAGCTGCCCCACTACAAGGACATCGTCTCGCCCGACGGCTGGAACTGGGATTACGGAACTTCTCGTGGCTTTCCCAATGAGAGCGAATACTCCTATGTCAAGGTTGACTTCTACAACAACCTGCGTGACTACCTTGCCGAGCTAAACAATACCGATATCAAATCGGTCGAGGACCTTGTTCAGAACAACATTGACAATTACGGCTCAGAGGGTGGTTATCCAAGCATCCACCCTGCCTTTGGCTCTGGTCAGGATGGCCTCATTGCCTCGATGGAAAGCAAGGGTGTCATGAACGAAACCTACTGGTCCGCCCTAGAGTACTGCCAGCGCACCACTCGCGAGGAGGGTATTGACGCTGCTCTGAAATATGGAAACAGCACTCTGAGTGGCCTTCTTGTTCCTCCCGATGTTGCCCAGAGCATTCAAATCGCCGCGCAGGCTGGATACCCTGTTATCACCGTCCCTGCTGGTACAAGCAGCGTGTCTGGCATGCCGTTCGGCCTTGCTATCATGAACACTGCCTTCTCCGAGCCCACTCTGATCAAGTACGCTAGTGCCATTGAGGACCTTCAGAAGACCTCTGGCACTAAGTATCAGCGTACTCTTCCGGAGTGGCGCGGCTACTTGGAGCGAAACTTGCCAGTTATCTAATTCTAAAGAGGTACGGGTTTACGTGAAAGGGCGTATGGAGCACTAATTGAGTCACTAATCTCCACCTCCTTGTCCATCTGCGTCATATCATTTACAAATACTTCCTTTAAATCAGTTAGATGAATAGTGACTTTTTTAGATATCTGTGTTAACATATTACCTAACTTGAAAGTCACTGCTGAATTTTATAATGTAACATCTTTTTTCAATGGATCTGAACTATGCTAATGGATGCCGGGCGATGGATGAAGATTGATAAAGAATGAAGATTTTCACCTCACGGTGCTCTGACGGGGATATTGTTCATTCCTTACTATACACATGTCACTGAATACTACCATCCACCATGAGTACGACTACCTTTTTTGCTCTAGGTTTGTGGGATCCTATCTTCAAAATTTTGATATTAATAACCAGGGGAAGCGGAAAAGTCTTTATAATCGTCAGATAAAGAAGTGTTCTTTTCAATGCGATGATTGGGACGAAGATTTGGGCGAATTTACTACACTTCTTTCCGATTGGAATCAGCAGCCGAATCAACCTCTCAATCATGATTCATGACTTAGAGTTTGATATTGATACTCTACCTACTGAGTTTGGCTCGGGGTTTGATCAAGAATAATAAGATTGGCTATGTATGGTCTTTTGTATCTAATCTAGAATGTAGTGGGATTTCGGTTCCGATACATATCAACCAGGTAAGCGGAATATTAAAGCCGTCAATCCCAGCTGATACTGTAAACGCTCCATCCCGCTATTTTCGTCCTATATAGTCGATCGCTAATTAGGGTTGCGATTTCAGTTTATTAATCCGATAGAGAAGCGGCTTAATGGTGTCAGGAAAGTAGAAGCCTATAATCTACTATGTATTATCCATCTATAGACCTTATATATCAATGTGTAAATTAAGGGTCTTGCCTAACGCTAATAGATTGCCTACTTTAAAGTTACCACGGCGGGCATGGTACCTTCTACTCTGAAGATCTATCTCACTTTGAAGTATTTGATTCAAGTGAGAGGATCATCACTACATCGCTAATTCTTTGAGTTCGTCTCATGCCAAGTATAGTAGACCTTGTGCCTTGACACTTCGTTTTCTTCAGGATGCTCCCTAACCTAGCGCGAAATCTTAGCAGGGGCATAGGTAAAGATGAAGGAATCAATAAGGTCATATATGACTTGCGGAACTTGAAGATCTTTATGAGACGTGTGCTAATGATGTTGGATGGAAAGGCGAGGGTTCGGTCAAGCAAGGGTGGCTATATACTGAACTTACTTCCACAAAGAAATCGCTCTATACAGCGAACACATCTCTGCTTCTCAATGTCTGCCTTAGATTTATAGCTTCGGGTATACGCTTCATCTTAAGAGCAATGATATCCATATCGATGATATTATAGATTATTACTTAGTTGATAAACAGAGTGTTCAGCCTGATTTGCATCAGAGAATAAAAGCAAATCTAGGGGCAAGGTCACATATTCTTTATAAGTTCCTTATTAAGCTCAAGGGGTTTGGATTTAATCCAAGCTTTATTGCGATTGATAAGGATCTAGCAGAGATCGGAGCAGTTGGATCAATCTGGCGAGAGGCTACGCATTAGCTTTATTAGTGACACGCGGAGTGCGCTATTAGCATGAAGTTAGAGGACTCTACTAGGCTGGCAACGCATAATCAGTATGAAACAGAGGATGCAACGGTGGTTTAGAAGGATCATCTTGAGATTTGATGGGGATCAATCACAAATAAAAGACCAAAAGAGCATAGATTTAGTAGTAAGTTTCTTTCCCTAGTACCTTGCCCTACGTTTCTAGCAGTATTGATTTTAGAATTGAGTAATATTGATATTTAGGCCCTCGTCAGTTTCAGCGTCTCTTACGTGGTATTTGGCCTATTAAAAATCGAAGGCTTGTTAGGCATATTCCGCCGACACTTCGATGTCCATCCTCTGATTCCTGATCTGAATGGTATTCAATGCCAGCAGAATCTCCATCGAGATTGTGCTCAAGAGGTATATGATTGGTGTCAGCCTCGCGACTATTACCATCTCCGAGCCTACCTCTTTATCAGCCGGTATAAAAAGGATCAATAGATTCTCTGTGCTCGGGCTACTAATCCTGAGAAGATTCCTGTGCTCAAAACAAAAATGATTATAGATTCGCATTGGCGAATGATAAAGCATGACTATCTTCATCGGTTCAATTGGCCTCGAGTTGATCTAGTGGTGGTCAAAAAATAGGTAGTCGGTAAGAAGTATACTGCCTATAACAGTAGTCTAGGGAGTTTAGAAGAGATTCAAAGTAACCTTGGAAGCTTAGTATTGAGAATAGTGGTAGTAATGAGGAATATATATCTAATGATGAATGCTCAAGAAGAATTTACTGAAACTGATTTGCCTTCAATCGTCAGAATCGTCTTATTTAGTCAAATTCATCACATTTTGGTTCTCAAATCCGTGTTTGGAAGTTCCCATTTTTTTCTAGAATTTTTGGATTAACGGGACCGTCGGATAACCGAAATCACGTTAGATAAACTGCACTGAACGACATACCTGCATACGTACGATTCACAGCGATCTTTTGTGATTGTGACTTGGCATGAGGAGAACATCAATTCTGTTACCATCAGCAGAAGTTTGCGTGGACTGACATGGATTACAGTACTACTAAGTAGATTTTCAATTATCATTGGTGTATTATTTCTTCAACATCGCGAAAAGCTATGACTGAAAGATCAGATTGGTCCGAAATGCCAAGAAGGAAATATTCAAAGAGTAGATTAAGGGGCGACGTAGATAGTGCAAAAAAAATTACAATCACGGGAATTCACCGGAAAAACTATTCATTAAAGCAAAACAACCCAAGGCGTAGGTGTAGAGTATCCGCTCACGGAGTAGACCCCCCACAGAGTAAAGCGTGGTTATCCCGTCCTTGAAAGCAAATATCAGGTGGAGCGAGCGGATAACGCCAAGGCCGATAGAGTGAAACATCTTCAAGAAGCGTGCTTGAACCTGTCACTTTTAGACTACCTTAGTTCGTGGGGCTAACCATTGTTCCAAGCTTCTACTGGAGAGAATCCCTTGGACCTCTTGAGTCTCCACAACGTTGACCTTGGTTTAATATGATGGAACTCCACTTAACATTGCAGATACAGCCCCCTGCATTGTTGTCCGAGTCTGATTCGTCTAGTGAAATCTTTGGAGACAGTGATATTGAAAAAAGGACCAGTTCTGGCCTTGCGATGTGGAGCTTGGGACTCCCAAGGTCATGAATTCTTTCATCTAACAGTACTTTGAACTCCGAATGTATTTCTTTTTCTAACGACTAGTTTTTGCGCTAGCTGAAATGGGAATAGGCCGGCCTTGAAGAGCGACTTCTTACTACTCAGGTTCCTATATAAAGAGAGTCAATTCCGCAAATAATGGAGTCTCCCGTTCAAGGGTTCTTTCTTATTCATCTTCTCGCTTCTTCACGATATGAAGTATAGTCTTACAATTGTCGCAGCTTTTGCTGCTCACGTTGCTGCTGTCAGTGTCTCCGGCGCCGCTGAGGGTTTCGCCAAAGGTGTTACTGGTGGTGGTGATGCCACTGCCGTCTATCCTACTAGTATTGCCCAGTTGACCTCATACCTTGGTGATGATGAGGCTCGTGTCATTGTCCTTGACAGAGAGTTCGACTACACTGATTCCGAGGGTACAACCACTGAAACTGGCTGTGCTCCTTGGGGTACTGCTTCTGCCTGTCAGTTGGCTATTAACCAGAACGACTGGTGTGACAACTATGAGTCCGATGCCGCATCTGTCTCTGTGACATAGTAAGCTCTTCAAACTCCAGTTAAGAAAGACTGTTTACTGATGGTATTGGCCTGTAGCTACAACGCTGGTGTTGAAGGTATTACCGTTGGTTCTGATAAGACCATCTTGGGTGTAGGCTCAGAGGGTATCATCAAGGGTAAGGGACTTCGTCTCGTCGGATCTAGCAATGTTATCATCCAGTAAGTGCTCTCAAGATTGCAAGCGGTTCTGATTTCAACATCTAATCATTATCTAGAAACATTGCTATCACCGATCTCAATCCCAAGTACGTCTGGGGTGGCGATGCTATCACTCTTGATGACACTGATCTAGTGTGGATCGATCACGTTACTGTAAGCAAACATTTTGAAGGATTTGGAAGAGCTTTTGTTAATAGCTTCACAGACTGCTCGTATTGGCCGCCAGCACATTGTTCTGGGCACCTCTGCCTCCAACCGTGTGACAATCTCAAACCACTACCTCGACGGTGTGACCGACTACTCTGCCACCTGCGACGGCTACACCTACTGGGGTATATACCTCGATGGATCTAACGATCTGGTGACCCTGAAGGACAGCTACATCTACAGAACTAGCGGCCGTAGTCCCAAGGTCCAGGGCAACACACTCCTCCACGCCGTAAGCTCAATTCTTTAGAAATGAAATAATGGCAGCTCACTAACATCCGATTCAGGTCAACAACTACTGGTATGACAACAGCGGCCATGCCTTCGAGATCGGCTCGGGTGGTTACGTTCTGGCTGAAGGAAACGTCTTCCAGAACGTTGATACCGTTGTCGAGTCTCCTATCGATGGTGACCTGTTCACTTCGCCCGACACGTCTACCAACGAAGACTGCGAGACCTACTTGGGACGTGCTTGCAAGATCAACGGATTTGGTTCTTCTGGAACCTTCGATCAATCTGATGAGGGTTTCTTCAGTGACTTCTCGGGCAAGAACATTGCATCTGCCGACGCCTACACTACTGTCGTATCATACGTCAAAGCTAATGCCGGTCAAGGTAATCTGTAAATGGCTCAAGGCTATATTGGCTCCTGCGTTTGCTGCTTGAAAGAACTGTAAATAGCGGAGGGGTATCGTGACTAGCCACTGATATTATACGTTGAGATCTGAATATGATTAGGCTTAAGCCCACGAAGTGAGAATAATCTCAGTACCTAAGTACCCGAATAAGTGATTACTTGAGAAACGCCCGGGCGTAGAAAAGGGTTTCCTCTCAAACAGACGTTGATTGGTAGTTGCATAGGTCAATACTTGGGCTTAGCTTCACTATAAACACACACGCATTCGTAATGGTAAACAGCACAACATCCGATATACAATCGAGTCCATTCTACCCGATCATCCCGACAATTCCCATCTCCCCTTAATTGACAACGATAAGACCAGGACCAGCAAGGGTCCACTTAGCCACAGAATTTGCATCACCGAACGGTCCCTTGTTCTTCGTCACTGCTGCGATAGTAAGGCCGTTCAATGAATGTTCATCGTATGGGAAAAGAGCCTGGGCGACAACGTCACTTCCATTTCGTGAGACAAAGGTCAAAGGCTCGACAACAGGCAGATTGAGCTGGTTAATGTAGGTCAACCACAAGGTGTTCTCGGTTTCGTTGCCGGGTTCGTTGAATTGGAATGTGATGTTTTCCGATTTCGGGCCCGGAGCGGTGTTGATGGTCAAGGGCTCGTAAGTGCGAAGTGGAATCTCATTGATGTTCGGGCAGCTTCCAGGGACCACGAATCCCTGGATAGCGGTGAAAGCGAAGTTCAGGTCCGAGGTTGTCACGAATGGAAGATCATTTGGGATACGACCCTGCATCACTCGGAACCAACCCTGTTGCTCTCCTTCATTACCAATGACCGATGCAATCTCGCGAGCAAGGTCGACATCTTGACCAAGGGCAAATCTTTCAATCACATCCTGCAAGGTACCAAGAACAACCGATGTGAAGGTGGATGCGAGCAAAATGGCCGAATCAAAGTCCTCAACGGGGAAGGTGTAGACACAGGGCTCAATGGGGCTCTGCTTGAAATGAACCAAGGCATTGTTGGCCCGAATTGCGTGAAGTTCCTCTTGCTGTAGGGGATTTAATCAGTACATATGAAATAATGGGACTCTGTGGCATGGAGATACTCACAGCGAGAATGGCCTGCAGGGAGCGAAGGACAAAGTCACGATCACCACCGTCGGTGAAGCGGTAGCCGTCGATCTTCTCAGTGATGTTTTGGATCAACTCGCCAAAGAAAGCGACCTCAAAGAGCTCGTTGAAAGCAATCAGCTTGAGATTGTTGAGACCTTTGTTGCTGACGACTGGCGGGACAGGACCGTTTGGTAGTGTTCCTTGGGATTTCTGCTCGATGAGAGACAGTTCACTGGGGCTTGGGTATGGCAGACCATTTGGCAGCTCATTTCCAACAGCCGGGAATGGTCCTGTCGGGATTGCAACAGCGAAAAAGATGGAGGTGGCGCTCAGAAGAGCGATGTTTGCAATAAAACGCATGGTAATAGAGAAGTGCATACGCTGATTGAAAAAAAGTGATGAGCAAAGATAGTCACTGGGAAAAAGTACGGCTTAAGTATGCACTGGAAGTATGAAAGAAGAGAAGTAGCAAGGGTGAGGAACTGGAAGATGTAGGACACAGCCTCGAAGTATAGGGAAGGAACCTTTCTATAGGAAAGAGCCCTTGGGTCCCGGGAGCATCACACATTCAAAGACCACAATTTTAGAATAGGAAGTAATTTGATTGGAAATAGAATGCAAAAGATGAAGAATTACAGTGGAGTGTGCTACAGCAAGTCTATAATTAGGTTGAAAAGGACGAAATGAGATACTTGATGTAGGTGGTGTACAAATCCAAGCTGGTCAGCGACACGAAACGCGGGCACCAATATGGAGCATCAGCCCATTAAATCTGGAATCTGGGCATCTTACAGGCCCAGTTCAAAACTTCCAATGTTCTTTTTCTGATGAGGCGCAGTGGACCAAGCTACATTTACTTGAAGTAGTAAATGTGGGGCTCAGGGACTTAAGCCTTGATATGCTTACTTTGAGATCAGATTCAGCATAGCCCAGACCCTTATCCCGTATTGATTTATTTCTGTTTGGATGTGGCCACTCATATAGTTTTGATAAATACTTTACAGGCTGCAATAAACTATTATTGGTGCAGGTTGAAATGGTCTGGAGCCTCGATTACTTTAATTTGGTCCTGCTACGGCCAAGGCTGCCCAGATATTCTTTAGATCCATGGATAATTTTCAAAGAGAATCTCGGTTTAAATTGTGAATATTTTGACATTCAGCGTGCCCGTTATAGTAAGACCTTGAAAGTAGAATTACTGGATCTTCAATTGCATGTTGTACAGTTCGGACCAACTCGCCTAAATTGGAACGCTGGAAAATTGTTTTACCGTTACTGAGAAATGTTCTCGGTTTTCATGGGATAATAATCTAGATCTGCAACCTTGAAACTACATGTCCATCCCTTAATGTTCGGATGATTCTAAGGTTGTTTCAGCACCTTAGGTTCTGGATAGATGATCCCGAGGTCTGACCTATCGCGGGTTAAATCGATATGGATTAAATTTATTATGAAACAAACTAGTAAGTCATTCCGTACTTATCAATCACCTCGGGTCCAACTTCCCGAAAGACCAAGAGTATGCGAGGACCCGTTGAAAGTGGTAAATAGATGTCTGGTCTAAGGATCAGTTAACTATGATGATCCACTCAGAGCCAAGATTACATAATATGGCGTCATGTATAATTCCCAGATATGGTGAGTTTATACTCCGTACTTACCCCGCACATGATATGTACCGGATTTTCTATGCCAGTTCCTGACGTTCTTCTTCTGTATTAGTGCTCACCCCATTGCTGCTTTTGGTCCCTGAGTAGAACTGAGCACGCCTCTGGGCATTATGCTCCCTGATCTGCTCAGTGAGGATTCGGCTTGACCAATACACAAAGAATAATCCTTTTTGGGCCCCACTGCCAAGCACTTAACATGTATAAAAACATATATTTCACATACTGATTTCTCCAATAGAAACAATTCAAAATCGAATTAGGACTCTGGTATTGATCGCAGCCCTCAACTTTACCCTACGTCTATCATCAAGCATTTGTTGCTGTTTCTTCCCTCTCCAGTCAGTATGAACTCTTCCACTAAGAATGCGCGCGAAGTCATCGGTGCAAGATTTCCCGGAAGCATTGCTACTTCACTCACCATATTGGATATTAGGTATTAGTTATGCTGTTAAGTTTTCTCTTAGCTAACTCTATGGGTATCTTAATAATAAAATAACGCAAAACTACACCACCCGAAAGAAACCCAAGCAAGATTGAAGAAAGAAAAGAAAAAAAAACACTAAAACTAAAGCTGAGATATCATCCCACCTTTGGTTAAGGCAACCGAAATGGTAGGAATACCCGGCCCTGTACGCATGGAAAATGTATTGCGCATGGATGCACCTGATAAACGGTGACCGACGGGTGCTATTCTCTGGATGGCGTTTTCTGAAAACCAAGGCCCCCATGGTTGTCCATCCTCCTTCATCAATTGGATATCCATTTTGCAAGTTCTCAGCTTCTATGTGGTACAGTTGGCGTATAACACATTTGTCGTGTTGAGAATTGGTCGATATGTGAGGCAATTGCTGCTAAGGTACAACCACTCACACATAAACACAGTAAACACATCACTTCCAGTGTCGTTTAAGATCAATATCTCGATGTATTGATTGTTACCTCCTTCAAGAAGGGGCAGACACATCCGGGCTTTGATCTAAAGCCAAAAGGTTAGGCAATCAAAAAAAAAGATAGTCAAGAGAAGAAAAGCTTACTCACCTCATGCATAGAATTCGTAGTGCTAATCCCTTAGGTGGCATTTTTCTGCATTGCTTGGTTTAATGGACGTTGGTTACCATGCTGTTTCGTATTAGCAATGATAAAGTAATCCATGTTAGTTCTAACTTACCTCATGGAAGGATGGTTGTTTTGTTGCTAGACATTCTTCATAGTTGGTTACTCGGCGTCCGCCTGAAACCCAAACATCGTCATCGGTAGTGACAGCACCATTTTCATAGAGTTCAATAACTAGTTGGATATTCATCTCTTGGCGATGTCCGTAAATAGGATCGGTGAGGTCAAGCACATGCTTCAAGAAGGCCACTCTCTCCTCAACAGTAGGGGGTGGTGGAAGGATATAGGGTGGAGCTTTGAGATCGCTATAGTAGGGTTCGGAATTCGACATTTTGAATCGAATAAAGAAGGGGAAAGATAATAATGAAAAAAACCTCGGAGTAGATAAACGCGTAAAATAAAGTAGTTACTGTGTACAATAATAACAATATAGGCTAACCTAATATAGACTAATTGATAAATAAGATTTATATAATAATAATTCATTAATTGAATCTAACTTAATATAGACTAGTGTTGGACTAGTGATCGGTGGCGATCCTCTTTCATCTCTGCAACTACATAATGGGTCAAAAGTCTGTTCACACTCCCGCATTTTAGCGCGTTTTTTTCGCGTCGTCTATACTCGCCTTTTTAATTTTCGTTTATTTCACTAACCATGGCTCCGTTTGGCACAGAAATTAGTGAAAACCGTGGCAAAAATCAAGAGCTATCTACTGAAAAACTCTCTGCAATTATCTCTAGCCTCAAGAATGGTGTATCGCCCTCTAAAATTGTTGCTATTCATGGCTGCTCCCGCAAGACAATCTACAATACTCGCGATCGCTACGAAGCCACCAAAACGCTTGAATCTTGCCCTCAAATTGGACACCCCTATCTATAATGGAACCACTAAACTTTGGATTTATTTAAAAGCGCGTCGACATCCATTTTGGAGCTATAGATGACTTGCTGTAAATACCGATTTTCACCCCTCCCGATCAACATTACAGAAATCTTTAAGACTTATCACCTAACTAAACGATGCCGAAAGAATAAAATATCTCTTGGCCCTCTTCTTGCGAAAGACCGACTTGAATTTGCTCAAAAATGGCGTCAGGATGTGGATTGGAAGAAATGGATCTTCTCGGACGAATGTTTGGTTCAAAGAACATCAAATTCTGATGTCCAATAGGCTTGGATATTGAAATCGGAGACTTACTTAAGTCAATTTATCAATCCTAAAGCCCATGTGAAGGATATTTCGCAGATGGTATGGGCTTGTATATAGATTAATGATCGTTCAAAGTTGGTGGTTATGGAGCGTGATTCTAGGTCTAAAGGTAAAGGATTTATATAAAAGCCCTAGAAAAGGGCCTTTTACCACACTATGAGGATGTTGATATATTTCAGCAGGATAATGCTAGAATTCATACATCACAGGAAGCAGGAAGGTGGTTTCGATGTTGGAGGATTCTTCTTGAAAAATGGCCTGCACGATCGCCTGATATGAGCCCTATCGAACCATGTTGGTACCTTCTAAAGTGTAAATTAAGAAAGCTACACCCCGAATTAGTCGAAATGGGCCAAACTGCAGCTGATTGGGCCTATTTTAAGGCCTGTATTTGCGAAGCTTGGGATGCCATTCCACAGGCGACGATTGATAGCCTAATTAGGTCTATGCCATGTAGATTGGCCGCTGTACGTAATTCTAGGGGATATTATACTAAATAGTGAATAAAATTCTGTTCTCCTGTCATTTTCCTATATAAATATATATACTATACAGCTATAGCTATAATATTGGTGTAGATATAGGTGGTTGAAGTAATTATATATATTTGGGGTGGGTGGGGCTAATTCCCGTGTGTGTACAGACTTATGACCTATAACGTACCTAATCAATCATCTTTCTACTTTGAGAGCTAAAAATGTCGAATTCCGAACCCTACCTTAGCGATTTCAAAGCTCCACTCTATATCCCTCCACCACCCCCACCACTCCCTACTGTTGAGGAGAGAGTGGCCTTCTTGAAGCGTGTGCTTGACCCCACAGATCCTATTAACGGACATCGCCAAGAGATGAATATCCAACTAGTTATTGAACTCTATGAAAATGGTGCTATCACTACCGATGACGATGTTTGGGTTTCAGGCGGACGCCGAGTAGCAACTATGAAGAATGTCTAGCAACAAAACAACCATCCATGAGGTAAGCAAGACCTAACATGGATTACTTTATCGTTGCTAATACGAAACAGCATGCTAACCAAAAACCAAATCACCAATAAACAGTGACCTATAGGTTATCTAGGTAGACTAGGGGGTCAGTGATATGCGATGGTCGCTACAATCTGCCATCTGGGCATCAACTTGGAATAAGATATTTTTAAATTCCACAGTATTTTTTTTGTACGTGTGATGGTCTTGATCCCTGTGATTAGCCATAGATTTAAAGCTTCATGATATGATAGTTTATTATGTTGTCTTGGTTTAATATTTCATTGAATATATTCTAAGATTGGTGTGACTATTTTGTGCCGAGAAGTGTTTATTGGGGAGGATGAGTCAATCTCGCCGCTGGCTATCATCATAAGATAGTTCTGACGTAAAGCCTGTGATGCCTTAGGTGAGGAAGAGAATGGACCAAGCGGACCCTTTCCAACTTAGAACGTTGAGTGGTACGCGAGACCTTGTACATTTATAGTACCTCTAACCGAAAACGTTAGTGTTCCGATTGCTTTGAAGAGGTGCTTCTCAATCTCATATTAGTATATTGAATATTTATATAGGATATAAATCGCTTAATTATAGCTAGAAAAGCAAAAGAAAATACTATAAAATAAAAGATATAGGAAAAGGCTTAAAAATATGTTCAAGAACAGATTTGCGAGTAGCTTTAGGAGCAGGTTCAGAAGCAGATTTTGGTAGAAAATGATCTAATAATAGCGTTAATAGAGAGATTGTCGGAACATGAGCCTGAGCCTAGACTGAAATTTACTCAGTGAGCCTGACCCTGAGCGCCCTCATAAAAGCGGCGGCACCTAAAATAGGAAAGCCTTAGCATAGAAAAAACGGTACGTAAAGCTAACTAGGTGTTTCAACATGTTCAAAAAACAAGGCCAGGTAACAACCAATAATAGGTACTACGACGTACACAGTATCCATAATAAAAATTGACCTGCGCAGTACATCTTACATCGGAATTTGCCGCCTCCCCGCAGGCGGATCGTTTCCCCACTGATCTGGCCCAATGATCAGCTACAGCTTAGCAATCGGGGCTGGACTTGTCCATCAGTAATGAAGCTGACAAAACCAATTCCCGAGCTTCAATTTTCAATTTCTAGAAGTGCGGGGTGATACTTTATAACTCTCGCCCCCGACTTTCTCTTTTTCTCCCCTTCCTCTTGTCCCTTGTATTACACTTCATTTCTTTCCTGATTTTGACAATCAACGACATCATGGGTGAATGCCCAGTTCACAAATTCGACGCCAATGTTGCTGGCGGTGGTACTAGAAACCCTGACTGGTGGCCAGAGCAGTTGAGGTTGAATATTCTGCGTCAACATACTGAATCTACCAACCCAATGAGCAAGGATTTCGACTATGCTACCGCCTTCAAGAATCTCGACTACTATGCCCTTAAGAAGGATCTGAACGACCTGATGACCGACTCCCAGGACTGGTGGCCGGCCGACTTTGGCCACTATGGTGGTCTATTTGTTCGTATGGCCTGGCACGGTTCTGGTACTTATCGTGTGTTTGACGGCCGTGGCGGCGGTGGTCAGGGACAACAGCGTTTCGCCCCACTTAACAGCTGGCCAGACAACGTCAGTTTAGATAAGGCCCGCCGTCTTCTGTGGCCCATCAAGCAAAAGTATGGTAACAAGATCTCCTGGGCTGATTTATTACTTCTCACCGGCAATGTCGCCCTCGAGTCCATGGGTTTCAAGACCTTTGGTTTCGCAGGTGGCCGTCCCGACTCCTGGGAGGCCGATGAGTCTGTATATTGGGGTGGTGAAACCGTTTGGTTCACCAATGATGCCCGCTACAAGGCCTACAATGAAAAGGACAAGGTCAAGCAGAGCGACATCCGCACTCGTGACCCAGAGGACCCCTTGGCCGCTGTGGTCATGGGTTTGATCTATGTCAACCCTGAGGGCCCAGATGGCGTTCCTGATCCCGTTGCCTCAGCTCGAGATATTCGTATCACTTTCAGCCGCATGGCTATGAATGATGAGGAGACTGTTGCTCTGATTGCTGGTGGTCACACCTTCGGTAAGACTCACGGTGCCGCACCCGCAGATAACGTCGGTGCGGAGCCTGAGGCTGCCGGCATTGAGTCGCAGGGTCTTGGCTGGAAAAACAAGCACGCCTCTGGCAAGGGTGCCGATGCCATCACCAGTGGTCTGGAGGTCACCTGGACCAAGACCCCCACAAAGTGGAGCAACAACTTCCTGGAGTACCTGTTCAAGTATGAGTGGGAACCGACCAAGTCCCCCGCCGGCGCAAACCAGTGGACCGCTAAGAACGCTGACGACATAATCCCCCATGCCTTCGACGCCACGAAAAAGCAGAAGCCCCGTATGTTGACAAGCGATCTGGCTCTACGCTTCGATCCGGAGTACGAAAAGATAGCACGTCGCTTCCTTGCCAACCCTGACCAGCTGGTCGATGCTTTCGCTCGTGCCTGGTTCAAGTTGCTGCACCGTGATATGGGTCCACGTGCCCGCTGGCTCGGCCCCGAGATCCCAAGCGAGACCCTGCTCTGGGAGGATCCCATCCCCACACCTAACCACCCCTTGATCGACGGCGAGGACATTGCCGAGCTGAAGCACAACATTCTGGCTTCCGGTATCGACCCTACAGCCTTCATCTCCACTGCCTGGGCTTCGGCCTCCACCTTCCGAGGTGGTGACAAGCGTGGTGGAGCCAACGGTGCGCGCATCAGACTCGCACCCCAGAACCAATGGGAGGTCAACAACCCACCCCAGCTCCAGAAAGTCCTCAAGGCCCTCGAGGATATCCAGAAGCGATACAACACCACCCAGAAGGGTAACAAGCGCGTGTCGCTGGCTGATCTTATTGTTCTCGCCGGTAGCGCTGCCCTCGAAAAGGCCGCTGGTATTCCCGTCCCCTTCACACCCGGTCGCGGAGACGCCACAGAAGAACAGACCGACGTTGACTCCTTCCGCTGGCTCGAGCCGTTTGCGGACGGCTTCCGCAACTACGGAAAGTCTACCGGGCGTGTGCGTAGCGAGCAGATTCTCGTTGACCGAGCACAGCTTCTAACGCTCTCCGCACCCGAACTTGCCGTCCTAGTCGGTGGTCTGCGCGTCCTGAACACCAACTGGGATAATTCCCCAGCCGGAGTCTTCACCAAGCGACCTGGCCAGCTAACCAACGACTTCTTCGTCAACTTGTTGGACATGAACACAGTCTGGAAGCCTACCAGCTCCGAAAACGAGACTTTCGAGGGTCTCGACCGTAAGACCGGCAGCAAAAAGTGGACCGCTACACGTGTGGATCTGATATTCGGTCACCACGCTGAACTGCGCGCTCTGTCTGAGCTTTATGGTAGCTTTGACGGCCAGTCTAAGTTCGTCACTGATTTCGTGGCTGCTTGGACCAAGGTCATGAATCTTGACCGGTTCGACGTGGTCTATCACCCACCTACACCAACTGGTCGCCAGACTCGCCTATAATTGTATGAAGTTAAAACTTGACCAAAGTTATGTGTTCAATTATTGAGTTATGAAGATTGATATGTTTCAAATCCAATGAATTAGCCTTGTTTTCACCTTTTTTTTTTTCTCAAGATATTGTAGCAACACCGGAATTTTTAGGAACAAGCAACGTTAGAAATAAAACCTAAATCCTAATCTCGTCGATAGATCAATACCTACCGAAAGAACAGTCGAAAGCGTCTAGTTACAGACTACCTCCAGTGAGCTCGCCTTTCATACTCATACTGCTCCTCAGTATAAGAGTCCCACTCATTTTTCATAGTACGTGCATCAACAGAGCTCCTAGTGCCCTGTTCTTGAAGAAGTTGTCCACGAAATTCAACTCTCATCCAATTAAATTCACCCTCGATACATCCATCACCCAAAAAGGTGATGTGGCCGAAATTGGCGTTCCCATAATGACTTGCATTCTCGTGTTCCCTGCCCCTCCAAGTGAAAGACACGGACTGATGAGATGAAGTCATGGGCCGTTTATCAAAATGCATGATTCTCTCGATGATGCCGACGCTGAATTTTCCCCAGAGCTGGCAGCCATCAAGTGTCAACGTCAGGAAGAAATCCTCGTCGTTAAAGCTCCATTCTTGAAAAGATGTTCAAGTGAGATTATAGTCGCCGTTGAGAAGTCTAAGTGGAGGAAGGGGTCTATCATTATAAATCTCTTCATCTTCTTCCTCATACTGCTCCTGAGTGATATATGAAGCCCACTCATTCCTCATAGTGCGCGCATCAACAGCACTCCTAGTGCCCTGTCCTTGTCTTCAATGCGCACAATTCCCCGTATGATGCTAAAATAAAACTTGCCCCAGAGCGTGTTGCCATCAAGGGTTAAAGTCAAGATAGATCGATTTCCTCGTAGCCCCAGTTTCCAGAAATCCAAGAGAGAGTGTAGTCGCCATTAAGTAGTCCAAGTGGAGGAAGTTCTTCGTTAAAATTTTCTTGAGCCGCATACTCCGTATAAGGCTGGGTACCACGGCGAGCTGTCTGCTTGTTCCGAGGAGCAGGCGCAGGCGTATCCTCGACGTCCATGACATCCTCCACAGGAGCAGCCATCGCCTTCTTCGAAGCAGCGTTAGAAGCAACAGGCCGCTGCACCGACTCACCCCCATCAACAACATCAATATTTCTCTTCCCACCAGCCATAAACACACACACACACACACACACATAGTAACTTTAGCTGAACTAGCCGTCACCGCAGTCGGCGTAGCTTGAGCATTCTTACTGTCCCCTCTCCTTATTCTTCGACTCCTCCGCAAAAGCAGCCTCAAGCTGATTAATCTCAGTGGGTACAATCAAATTCCCATGTCTCGCCGCGTCATGAAGTATTACATGTGCAACAGCCTTAACCTTAGAAGCTTTGAGTCCACAGTATTTCAGTTGAGCTTCAAGCCAATGCCATCGCAGAATTTTCATTGTAGCCTCCATTTGCGGCATATTCTTTTATTTCGGCTGCTGAGGCGCGGAAGTGTAGATTTCCGAAGCTGGATTTTGCGAATAAGACACAGTGTTTGTAGTCGAAGCGTCTTTTGAGCTTTCAGATGCCATTTTTTATGGAGTTCGGTGCTTCCACGGGCTTCGGGTTCGCCATTAGGTTAGTTTGAAGGTGTAATTGGGCCGTCATTGAATAGAACGTTGGTTGACACTTCCAGAGTTGAAACTTGAGCTTGGATGGATGATGTAAATGTAAATGTAAATTTAAATGTAAATTTCATTAATTCCACTGGAGGCTAGACCGGAGCCTTCCACTATACTAAATCATATTCAGTCCCATGATAATAACTATCAGACAGAAGAGCTCATTACAAGACATCAGATGACATAAATGGCATGACAGCGAAGGGACTTCAAGAAGCACAATCAGCTGCACAGGGGGTAGGGGTAGGGGTGGTAGCACAAATGTAAAGCTTACAAGCCTTGAAAAACTCCAAACTCGAAGCGCAAACCGTCTAGAACCATACAATTCCGGCTACCAAGCCGATTACGACAGCCATACAGCTGCCTTGTAGTTCAGGGGAATGCCGCCCTGCGGCATCGGTGGACTGCTGTTCACCAGGCACAATGTGGGACTTGGGGGTTTGCACCGCGGTGGAATTCGAGGCGTTGGTGAGAGGCCTCGGGGGGATTGACGTATTCAACAGATTGAGAGACTGGGGTATCATGTGGATTATTGACTCGATGTAATTTGAGCCGTGGATTAATGCAGGTATATAAGGGGCGTCCTTTGCGATGTCCCATAGGCTAATTGCAGCTCGGCAGGCCTGCTGCCACGCACTGTACTGGTATAGAACCTGCAGTTCTGATTTCTCTGTCGTGGATGTATTTGATTTGATCGGAGTATTTGAAGCATGATCGGGCTGTTTGTTGTAGGAGGTTTGTAAAGGGGGGCGAGTGGAAGATGTGATTGTTGGGTCCAGACTGGCTGTCTTTGCAGTGACATTACGACTGGAAAAATGTGTGAAGAGTTGATAGCCATCTAGCTGTTGAATGAAGTATGTGCGGAATGCGCGAGCTCTTCTGCTGAATAGGAAAGAAGATTCCGAAGCATAGGATGAGCGGCTCTCATTTGCAACGGTCGCAGTTTCGCTGAATATCGTCGATGCCCCATTACCCCATCTTGACGATCGCGGTATGCGATTCCCACACGGATGAGGTAGCGCAGGTTTATACCATGACTTGCGAGTGTCACTCAGAAGTGAATCGGAGGGAATGTCGACATTATCCTGGATAAGAGGGACTTCTGAAAAAAAACGGTTAACTCCGGGAAACTCCGCCACTGTAAGTCGTGCAGGTGATACATACGACGAGCGCCACTGGCAAAGGGAAAATCTGCCAGCTTGAGGTTGTAGATATTTGACAAAGATGGTACCAGGGTGAGGAGGGAAAAGACAATCAGAGCCAGAAGAGGGAGTGCGCCTGGTTTATCAAGCCCCGGGCGCATTGTCCAGGCTCGCCGGTCAAAGGCCGGCCAGAGTTCAGCTCAAACTTGAGATTCAAGGAAATACTACTGAATCAACGCCATCGAGGAGAAAAGTGCGGTGGTGCGACAATCAATGTTTTGGGATTTCACGGGAGGCGTTTTAGCTCGAGTAAGAGTTCAGACGCGCTAGCACTCAACTAGTAAGGGTAAGGAGTAAGATAGAGAAGAGCAACCACCACTTAACCTAAAATCGATCAGAGAAGATGTAGAAAGGAAGATTCGAGGAATGCGACAAAAGCTTAGCCTAGAATGTCACTGACACTATCATATCTCTGTCTTGGCTTCTTTTTCTTTGCATGACGTCGATGACGGTCGCATAGGTAACGGTTGCAGCGGTACTTTGTACCTGGACTACCTCTAGTACACGGATTATCTACGTGGAAATGATCGTTCATCACCGGGCATTCGGCATTCGGCATTCGACATTTTATATAATTTTAGGATTCTGGTTTTCTCTCAACAAATTCTAAGAATCTGAGCCTGAAATAACAGGCATTGATTACTTGATCAGCTGATCAGCCGTGATCGGCGCTACTTCGGGGTATCTTCCCAAGTCATATTTGTCTGTACTCGTCCGAAAACTCTCATACTTTGACTTTGACTCTGAACTGGATCAGAAAATATTATTAACACGCTATATAGCAGTGCTGCTATATACTAAGTTGAGAGAGCGTCAATCATCATACATGTACAATTAAGTTAATTCAGCCCAAGTCCCCAAAATGGATGTTGTGGCATGGTGCAAACAATAAACCCACCCGTTCTATCCCGTAAGGAGTAACCAGTACTCCGATCATAGCTTCGACAAACCACCTGGAAAGTCTAAGCGAGCAAATCCCTAAAAAACGCCCCATTTTGAAACACCCAGCTTCGAGCAGGTGAATCAAGGAAAGAAGGCAACCAACTGGGAAGTGGTAAATTGGTATTACTAGTGACCTTCTCCCCACCTTGGCTGTACATGGAAACCAATGCATGCTCCAGTTGGAAAACATTGACACTGCCAACAGTGCCTGCCGCAGTCAATGTTCCTGGCGCGTAATCCACTTCAACTATGTCCGGATATTGGTTGCACGCTGTGGCACGCACTGTTCCGTGAAACCCTTCCATGATCCTCATGGCTTTCCTGGCCAGTGCATATCTGGGAGCTTGCTGACAGATCACGTTGTATCCGTTGAAGAATGCCGCGTAACTATATTGCAGTCCCGGGTCGGAGCTGACCTGGATCCCGTTTGCTGCAAGAATGTCCCTGTCGGCTTGGATGGACAACAAACATACCCCAAGACATGTCAGTGCCTCTGTCATGAATGTTGGAAATAGAAACAGGTTGTCACCAGCTTCGCTCCTCTCATCTGGTGGCAGCATATAGAGCTTGTGGATCGAGCTAATCACCCCGCAGGTCTCTTTCATCAGAGACCGTCGATGAGACAGGGCAAGAAGATCACCTCTGTAATTCGGGCGTCCATCCTTGGGCTGACGAAGATTGTTGCAGGGGTCGGCGAATGCTTTGTATAGCGCGGCCTTTGTGGAAACGACAAACATATGCAGTAAGCTTCTCTTGCCGGTGATGGTGGGATCCACGGCGTCCCAAGTTGTGTCCGCATTATCGAGCCAAAATGCAGGTGGCAATTGATCAAGAATAACCTCCTGGAAACGCTGAGAAAAGTCGGCGACAACAATCGGGTCGAGTTGGTCGCTTCTCCAGGAAGGTGGACTCATGAAAGCGGTCATATATCGCGCTAATTTGATATGAACGACTCGGCTTGTGAATGGTGTAAGTATATAAGGGCTGACTGTATATGCCTGCAGATTATCATGGGGAAGATCAATGTCAAAATAACCCTCGGGGATGAGTGGCCAGTGTCCAAAAAATGAAGACATGAATCTGTTGAAATGTTAGGATCGTCTCCTCCAGGCAATCTTGGAAAGAATTCACATACCTATCCCAGACGTACAAAGACCAAAAGGTTCGTCTGCGATATTCCAAATCTAATTCACTGATAATAATGCCTGGGTCCTTTAGATGCAAACCAACTTCATGCGCATCCTTGATCGCAGCACTTAGAACAGACCAGGCTTCTCTTATTTTGGCGTAATTCTTCAGATAGCACACATTGAAGAATCTTTGCTGAACCGTGATAGTGGAGGGAGGATGAGGTGCCCGAGCTGTATCGATTTGGTCTGCTGTTGCGTAGAGCCATTCCTCCAACTCACTCAGATGCGTATGCACAACTCCCTTGGTAGGGTACTTTGGATGTGGTAGACACTGACAACTAAGCAGACACATGCGAATAATAAGCAGGCCGAAGTCGCAATCGTCGCCTGGAGATGAGACGACTGTTTGAAAGTCGTTATTTTCCTGGGAGATCCACCATGAGTTGTATCTTGTTTGGAATGCCAGGGGGTGTATGATCTCATAAATGCGATTCATCTCATTAAGGAACATTCCAGTCAAGAAGTCGGCTACGGATCGCTCTGGCCAAATCCTTCGTGGGCGCAATGATCGTGAGAGTGAGTGTGCAGGCGACAAGCTGGAGGATGATTTGCTAGTCTTTTTTGGTGGTATCGGGGATGTGGCGCTGATTTGGTAGTTAGAATACAGGAACGAGGCTGGCAGGACGGGAGGATGAGGATTGCAGGATCGACGAACAGGTTGTCATAGTGTGTAGCCGGAAATAAGATCTTTGTATCCAAATTTGGCAAGTAGCCCAGAGCCTCCAAAGAATCTACACCTTTCTCATTTGGTTCGGAATCATAAGATGATAGGGTTGTTGACGTGTCTCTTTCGCGATTTTGATCAGTGCCAGTTGAACTCGAACGACGTCCAGCGGGGTAACTGCGGCCTCTGCTAATGCCTCTCTGGGAGTATAGGTTGGAATAAATGCAAGCATGCTCTACCCCACGACTGATGCAATGGTTGCATGGTTTTTGGCGATTGCACTAGAGAGTAATCATCAGTGATTGAATTCCTTCGGGATTAATTGGGTAGCCTTAATTCCTTTACCTTTTGTTTCCGACGATTGCATTCCAAGCAAGATTTAATTGGTTTGCGACGAGTCTTCTTTTCATGCATCTTTTGAATTGATTAAGATCCAAAGGAAAAGGGAAATTTGGGACTGGGCAGCAGTTTTATCTAAGAAAAGCGAATGGGTAGTTGCGGTACTGGGGCCTTTTTTGGTTCTGGTTAGGGAAAATACGCCCCCACCATATCCAGCTACTAACTACTTATGGCATTCCCAGTAATGTGGTATCATATACGTTTTAGGCACGTGTGATCATCGTTGTCGAAGTTAAAAACAAGTTAGGTATACGGTGTTGTTCCAGTCGGCCATGTGGTATTTGGTCCTATAGTTTTACCGATCTACACCTGTAAAATAATTCCAACTGATGCCCAGCTACAACACAGATAATTGTCTATAGTGAATCATCCATTATTTAGGTAGTAATTCATTATATTCCAAGGCTCATGATGTAAATCTATTTCTCTTTGGGTATGGAACTTCCTTCGGAAAAGCCGAGATACGTGGAATCACGGAGTTTTGATTAATTAACTAATGATAAGAAGATGATAGGTAAGCATGGGGCGCAATTTAGTGTACCCAAACCGATGGAAATAGCTCCACTTAAGGGAGGGGAGCAAGAGGGCCCGGAAATCTCCCGCCTAGCCATAAACGCCGCGATATTAGGTATAACACCGGAACTTGACCGACATAGAGTTATCAAAAGTGACAAATATCTAGAACCTTGGAACCTTTTCCGAAACCCGAGTATCACAATTGATCGAGAAAAAGTAGGTAGATGAAGTGAAGTATGGGAAGTCCCGAGTTTTGTGAGTTCCGATACTGATATCTGATTTGTTAGTCAAGGGTCTCTTACCGCCATTCAGCAATATACTACCAACAATATACTTACTATAATATGCGGGCGGAGCCTTGAACTTTCGAGAAAGTTTTCAAGGTTCTAGTTCTCTTTAGTACCGAGTATAAACTAGCACGGAGAACTTCATATTGCAGATTCCCAAAATCCCGACCCCCGGTAAATGCTTAATATTTTAGGCCGTTTTTATGATATTGTTAATTATGACCCTGATGGACATTTGAACTGTTACTAACTAGTGCAAAAGTTCTAATCTGATTCATATTTGACGTCATTCACCAAATTAGGTAGCCCGATATATTGGGCATATTTGGCTAATTTGTTGGTTCTTCAATTTCTCAGCTAGCTAAAATTGCACGTTTGAAGTAATGACAAATAATGACTACTTAATGGATGTAATACATCCTGAGACGACAATCAGTGGGGTTACTGCGACTATATATTGTAAGCAAACGTAAGCTCTACTTCAACTGAAAATATCCCGACGCTATCTATTCTGTACCTACTGTGTAGATAGTAATGTGGGTACATTGAAATTCTGCAGCTATTCAAATTATAGTTTCGGTACTAGTTCATTCATAGTGGATTAATAAGGGGTTTATTGTCTGATTTGGTAGCTTTTCCGAATAAGACGGAGCCACCCACAAAATACTCCGAATTACTCGGGGTTACAATCCTAAAAAGATATGTTTGCCAACAGTGGAGAATTGATTAACATGATCAGTAATTTAAGTGACCGTGACTATTTTTACCTAGGTAATCATGGCAGGATATCAATTACTCAAATACCGAGAGAGAATTGCAACCCCATGCTTTGATCTCTTGAACTGACGCGCTACATAATGCCACAAATACGTAACAAAAGATTCATTTTTTTTGATTAAAGATTAAGATGTTTTGTCTGGATAAAGGTTTCAAGTCAAGCCTTGGGAGTACCAAATATGTTTATACAATACACCTACGGGGGACTTCCGAGATCTCGAAAATGCATGAACTTGGGAACTCTCTCTACTATGTATCAAATCGGTTCCTTCCTTCCCGTCTGTCATATTATGATCATCGTCGATTCACTTCTAAACCAAGGCTCTTTAACCTTTCCGACTAAGGATCCACTCTATCTCAAATCTCAATTTCGGAGTAGCTAACCTGAGCTAGCAAATCCTTCGCACATCACTGAACTGGGGTCACGATGTGGAAATCGGTATCTCCACTTTAGACTCCGCACAGACTCTTGTCTTCACGTATTCATTCTCTTCTTGCCTTTCCTAATCCAAGACTGGTAAATGAAACTTCTCTTTTTGATCCTTCGCAACTCTACCCAAAGTACGGGGTAAATCTAAATTCCTGCCCCCGAGGTACCGATGTCTGTAATTCTATCTCCATACAAAAGAATCACGCAACATTGATGATTGAAATGATGGATATTGGAATGTCGAAACAAGGAGAACTCCTTTCCCTTCTTATTTCACTAGTGTCTTTTTTACCGTATTCGGTAAAAGAATCTATATCCACGTGCTGAGACACGTGGCACTGCAATATACTTTACTTTAAAAAGTTACTCCGTACCTAGTGCAGCTCCAATCCCAGCCAAGGCTCGCAAAACTTGCCGCAAGATCTTTCCAAAATTTCTTCAGGTTCCAATCTATTTAGCTTTAAAAGTTCATGTGACATAGCTATCTGGTTATGAAACCTTTTTTCAAAACTGGGCCAATTGTATTCCCATTGTAATTGTAAATTCCCACTTATCCACTAAGGAGTAAAGAAGTATTGATTTTCTGGAAAAAAGTTACTCCGTATATCCGCAGATCTGCCCAGGTGGTCTAAGTATAGAAAGTGCTGATACAGTAAGTTCGAGCCCCCTTAGGTCCGTGAGATTCAGTTCTCCATAGATAAAATGAGGTCATTTAGCTATTTAAGGATTAATTTTAGTTGGTTCCAAAACCTCCTTTAGTAGTACTGCCCACGTGGGCAGGCAATCTACCGGCAATCGGCCGAGGGCCGAGTCCCGATAGTCTATCTTAGTGCAATAACTGAGGGATATCGCCTCCAAGGACCAATCACTTGGCAATGGAACCTCCTGAAGATATTTGAAGATATCTGAAGGTGATACTAGCAGTAACTGATACTACCGTGGCGGGCTGACTTCCTTTCTGAGCTGTTGCCACTTTTATGACCCTCAAATCAGTTCGCACTATACAATACCTGCTTATTCCTTACTTAATGAGGGCTGATATGGTGATAGCCGCTAAAAGCCAGTTGCGTTGGAGTTTCTATCTAATCATCCCAGAGAAGTCGGACTAAAATTGCCTCTTTATTCGTAAGGCGTGAAAAGTAAGGCGTGCGACTACGCGAAAAGCGGCGACGTCTGAGCACGAAAGGGAAGAAAAACGCCACAGAGTGGAATTTTGACTAGGATAACGTTCCCCGGTACCTTGGTAAGATGTGGGTACCAATTGTTGGACAATTTATTCGATAAGCGAAGATTTTCCCTGTTATCCCTATCAGTTTACTTTACGATGGGTTCATACCCCAGGCACTTACACGGTAACTAGAGGTCATCTAAAGTAAATCCTATGAGTGGCGCACACATATGAGTGACCCAGAACACCATAGTAAAATAAAATAAAATTTAATGTCATATCTCAACAACAATGACACTGATAATATTTAAATATAAAGTCAGATATAACAATAATGATCTCTATAAAGAATCAACTCACTTTAAGTAAATTAGATAGATTAATTCTATTTAGTGGTATCATATATTACTATACATTACAGCATAATTTATCTATTTTAGCTTCACCTACACCTCACTTAATGATTTCCTAATCCTTCTTTACATCTATTTATCTGATCAACTAGAAATAATCCGAATTCAAGATTTGAAATTATTTGAACTGGTGGTTGTTGAGATATGACATTAAATTTTTTCGATTTTAATATGGTGTTCTGGGTGCGCCACTCATAGGATTTACTTTATAGAGCCGAGGGCGAAGTTATCTTCTTCACATGGTAAAATGACTCACGCTTTGAGAAAACTTGCAACCCGCTTAGAAACTTGGAATAAGCAATTTAATTCCGTGGAATTCCACAGACCTTGAACATTGACCGCACAGATCGCTATTTTGACTTGAGGATTGTCCCTTGTTACATTAAGCTCATCATCCATTGTTGGATATCCCTTGTTAAGTCACTTTATATGTTGAAATACCCCTTGGCACGGAAGAATTTGACGAAAAGCGCAGAAGTCTTGGCTGTTATGTCCGCGTTATCCCTTCAGTCAATCCACTTTCAAAGTTCCAAGGTATTCATGAATGTTATGTAGATAACGCATAGACGCCAGATACGATGTTCAATCGTTACATCCCCCTCAGGCGGCAAGCAGCCGGTCTATACTCTCGTATAGAAAAGAAAAATTATCACGAGAAGCATCAAGTCCAACATTGAAAGGTAAATCAAATGGGCCACTCGGTAGAGATCTCAGATTCATTTGGCAATTATTTTGTCAATGACACCAAGATCCACGATCCTTACGCGAGCGTTCTTAACATCGAAGATGTCGGCATCCACCCAGCGCAGCATAGTCAAGTCCAACTATTCGACAGTGAGCCATCCAATGGACAGAAATGGAAGCTGGGACTACGCGAATGGCTCATTTTGATATGCATTGGTATATTAACCATGATGGATGCTTTTGATTCCACGGTCTTGATCACTATGTTGCCTGTAAGTCAAAAAAGTAGTCAATCCATTAAAGTAGCAGTACACTGAAGAGAATGGATAGCATTTGGCGAACACCTTCGATAAGTCACTCGTCAGTACCTTCTGGACAAATACAGTCTACCTCGTTCTCAACGCCGGCAGCTTTCTATACTTCACCATAATGTGTGAAGTCTTCAGCCACGGAGTCCTATGGATAATTGCATGCGTGTTCACGACCATCGGCACAGGAATATGCAGCGGGTCATTGACTCTGGTCGAACTGATAGTCGGGCGCATGATCCAGGGAATAGGCGGAGGCGGCGTCCTAGCTCTCAGCTTTGTGATAATGGCAGAGTCGATCCCTGAAGCGATGCACTCGCGATATTCATGCTTTATAATGCTCATGCGGCTGATTGGGTTTATTCTCGGTCCGATCTTGGGCAGTATATTAAGCAATACTGCCAGGTGGACCTGGGCCTTCTATATCAATTTCATCTTCTGTGGGTTCGGAATGATGGCAATTCCTTTCGCGGTCGATATGCGCATTTCGAAGCAAATTCCGCTCAGGAAACTGCGTGTCTTAGACTGGTCTGGCGTAACAATGGCTTTTTTAGGGCCCGGTTGTATGCTTCTTGGTTTGAGCTGGGGTGGGGTTTCTTACCGGTGGAATCAATGGGAGACGGTGATGCCAATCGCGGTTGGAGGCGCGGTACTACTGTCGCTGGCGTTTTACGAGGTTATCTGGGCGTTGCATCCGCAATTTGATCGCCGCTTGCTTCGGACTCGGGCGATTACAATGACCTATCTGGGTTGTTTCTTACATGGCTTCGTGGTAAGTTTTCAATTACCCATATCCATGGATATCCATCTACATAAGCTTGAGCTGACTCGTACAACAGGTATTCTGCCAGTTACAGTTTTTTCCACTGTACCTCATGACAACCAAATATCTCTCACAGACATTGTCTGGCCTCTCTCTACTTGCCGTAAACGGCTTTGCAACCATACCGTTGATATTAATCAGCGTAATCCTCGCTGGAAAGGCGCATAAGCAGTGGATAAAGTGGATTATACCTGGTGGTTGGGCAATAACAATACTTGCGGGAGGTTGCTCCATTGCCCTCAGCCCTAAAACCCCAATTGCAGGATGGATTATCCTCTTCCTCACGGCTGGCCTTGGTCACGGGCTTTTGATCGCGGGCTACAATATCCGGGTGCATAGCTGTTCTTGCATACTAGGAGAGGATTCAGAGGAAGATGTCCCTATGTCAACCAAACCGATTACTTTTGCACTTTTCATGTGGGCGTGGGGAATGGCATTTGCTGTTCCTATTGGTTCAGTCGTGTTTTTGAACATTTTTGGCAAGGAGCTTCGACAAATGGGGCTCGATCGAAATTTCATCAATTCCTCCAGTGGATATTTAGTATTGATGAGTCAGGTCGAAATGAGTGATGATCAGAGAGAGGCGATAAAGTTCGCTTCGTCATTGGCTTTGCGGGTGGTGTGGGAGGTAATTATGGGTGTTGCTGTGCTGGGATGTATTTCGTCCGCTTTTATTGAATAGACAGGGTGATTCATAAATTCGAGAGCAGGTAGGTGGTCGTGAGTGGACTTTGTGTACAGCCCCAAGTGGATGGAGCTTTGAAAATTGTTGATAACTATTGGCACCAACTTAATAATACAGGGCCGAGATATGGAATGGGTCAAGGCCTGACAAGTCAGCAGACTCACAAGGTTGGCCTATCAATTCTTCAATCATTTGAGTTCTTGATGCTTCAACCGCTCGAGGACTATAAAATCTCGCCCACCCTTGATCTGTCAACCGTTAATTCGTTCTTAGACAAGGTCTTGTAGAGTTTTCTTCTCAGCAATACTGTACAAGCTTGGATCCTAGCGATCGATATTGAACGGCTGAATTAGCGAAACGGGCAGGTTGGTGATAACCCGTGAGTGAACCATCAACCGATGTAGAAGTACAACATCTCCTGTATTACCCGTCATTTCATTTAACTCCTTACAGTTCTCAAGAACATATTAATTATTAAGAAAATTCCCTCGGCTTGCAAGACTTCCAGCTTCGGGGGCCATATATGGAGACACGCCTCGATGGTTATCATACTGCACAATCGAAGTTAGATCAGTCTTTCAGCAGAATCGATGGATCCCGCTCAAGGTGCTTTGCCAACACCTTAACTGAATCAGTACAGACCATGATACTGCCGACCTTTTCCTGAGTGTCATTGAACAAGGGAATGACCAGCAGTCCCTGCCCAGACAAATCGAGAAAAATTTCACAGATAGTAGATCGTGCCTTTGACATGAACTTTTTGACAGAGATTTCTTGTGTTAAGGCATATGTGTGCATTCGGATGTCCAGATTGCCTTGGGGAAGGGCTCTGTTCCACGTGTCGGCTGTCCATTTTGCTGCTTTCTTTCGAGAAAAGCAGTTTGGGATGTGGGGGTAGCAGCATTGCATGAGATGGGCAATCTGCTGGGGAGAGCTTGTAATCTGAATCGGTTGCCATTTTATCTACATTTTGTATAAAGCATGTCAACAATGGGAGCCGTGGATGTGTTGAATGTTGATGCCTTGACGTTGAGTTCGGAACGGCAAAGCACCGACTTTGGAACAAAATTAGGTAAAAAATTCGTAAAATTTAGATTATGGGATGAAAGTTGAGTTGAGAAATAAGTTCATGGTATGAATCTCGTTGAAGCAAGCCGTTTTCGTTTGATACCTTGGGAATCGACAGCTGGCTCATGCGCTTCCCAACATTTGATTTTTGTCGATTGAGACGCTCGTTATTTGCCTTGCCTGATTTGAATTGTAATTTGTTGCTTCTAGTAACCTAGTTATCTTAAACCGGTAATTTGAAGATGAAGAGATAATACTGAAAGGGTTGCCTTATTCTGACTCCCCAAACCCTTAATCTGACTCCCCACTACCTAATTCCTAAGGTTTCAACTCCACTTTCCCTACCGCTTTACCGCTTGACCGCCTTACCAATACACCAACCAGCGGGGAGATTAAGGGTTTGGGGAGTCAGAATAAGGCAACCCTACTGTCCTGATGGAAGCCCCACTTACCATATTAGGCTAGTTTCTTGTCATCAATTGTACATGTCTCATGAGATTTGTTCCTTGAGATGGTGACAGTCATTTTAACCTATTTCGGGTGATAATTATGGGTCTTTGGACCGAGGACTTAGGAGTTAATGGCATACTTGCGGAGTTAATAGCTATAGGTGCATAACTTTGCTCCTATCCAAGTAAGATATAAAATGCACATCCCTTACCTGGAATCCCATCTTCATTTCCAACATTCCAACTCCGCAACATCTATCGAAAACTCAATTGCCTCTCAAGATGTCTGAAAAGCAAATCCTTCGTTCCGAATTTATACTGGAGAAGTATGGCAAATCACTTGCAGGAAAGACAGGTAAGTGATCTGCTAATTTCCATACATGAACTATGCCCCTAATTCAACGCCCCGGAAGTCTTGATCACTGGTGTTGCCAGCAACTCAATCGCTGGAGAACTCGCCATCCAACTATCCACCGCGAGCCCTAAGCTGCTCATTCTAAGTGCCCGCGACGAATCGAAAGTGGCCGGCATCATTAAAAAGATCCAAGAAACTAACCCGAATGTCGCGACCCGTTTCCTCAAGATGGATCTAGGGGACTTAGGCGAGATTCGCCAGGCTGTCAAGAATGATCTTGCCGATGTCCCTCTCATCGATCATGTTGCTTGCGTGGCTGGTGTCATGACTTGTCCGTATGGCAAAACCAAAGATGGATTTGAGACTCAGTTTGGAGTCAACTATCTAGCGAACTTCTTGCTGGTGAAACTGCTCCTGCCAAAGGTCCAAGCTGCTGGGCCATCTTCTTCTGTCATCATCGTGTCTAGTTCGGTTGTTAGATTGGGTCGTATCAATTTCGACGATCTTGCGTTTTCTGTATGCAGTTCACCTTACTCAAATTTTCTGGAAAGGACTGAAACTGACATTTTTAGGATGGCAAAACTTATGATTCCTTGTCTGGATATGCACAGTCAAACATTGCCAGAGTCATGTTTGCCAAAAGATTGGGGGAAAAGCTCAAGAGTCAAAAGATCCGCGTCTTTAGTATTGATCCTGGTGGTATGTTGTGCTCTGAGCTGTTTATCGAATGAAGTAATTGACATTGCCTTAGCTGTTATTTCTGGTCTTCAAAGACACGTCAACGAATCGACATTTGCGAGTCTTTACAAAGACGATCGTCAGTATCAGATCACGTTTCCTCTTTTTCGGCGATATTAACGCACATTTAGCTCCCCGTGATGTAGACGGAAAGCTGTATGAAGGACCCCCATGGACCAGCCCATCCGAAGGAGCTGCGAACATCATTACCGGAATGTTGGATCCTACAATCTCGGGTCAGTACTGATAAATTTGTCCGCTTTTTTCTTATGACTAATGAGTATCACAGACCAAAGTGGAGCCTATATCGAGCAAAATGCTATTGCAGACTCCGTCTTGCCCAAGCAGAGCCTCGACGAAAACAACTGGACCCGACTCTGGGAACTCAGCGAGAACTTCATCCAGGAGAAATACTCTATTTGAGTAGGTGGTAATGTGAACAGTCCTGTCTTCAATGTAAACCCTTGATAAAATCATTATACTATTGAATTTCTTCGATGCGATCTCGATCGTTCCCCAATTTCCCAAACTCCAAGGGTTCTTCCCCCTCATCCTCCTCCAATAATTCGTAGAGTCAAGGACTTCCGGAAAACTCATTAAAAGCCAACTCCATTTCTTTATGAAGATTTCCGAAATCTCATAGGCCGCAGGATCCCAAGGCTCACCCCACAGCATCATTCCAACCTGCCAATCCGAACAACCATCAAGCCCATGAATATCAACACATAGTTCATCTTCGTCATAACGGCCAATATTCAACAAAAGACTTTCGCGGAAAGACACAATTGGCAGTAAATCAATCCATGGATGGTGAATGATGGATTTTTGCGCAGAAGTTGGTTGTAAGCTTGGTGGTAGAGGTACTTGGGGACCAGGAATATTAAATTGTGATGCAAGATTTTCATTCAAGATATCAATTGTCAGCCCAAAATGGGCTGCATTCATTACCAACGCCTGAAATAGGTTGTATTGAATGATTGGAATCTGAAGATCAGGACCAATGAGATCTTGGATTGTGCCATCGGTGATTCGCTTTTGGATTTGAGCTAAGAATAGCTCACCCGAGGCTGAGGTCTTATAATATTGGGAAACATTGCTATTTTGGCCTATTATTGAAGTCGCCTGCTGGGCTTTTTTTGTTACTGCAGGTGGTGGACTTTCGATATCTTTATATTTTTCCTCCGGAGGGGATGTTGAGTCTTTCGTGTAGATGACCCAGCGTTTTACGTGGTTATCTGACTTCTTCCCGAGTTTTAAAGCTCGTCTTTGACCTGAATACCAGTAAGTCAGTGTTCATCTGAAAGGGTGGTGAGATGCTTACGGCTGGCCCGTTGGTTAAGACGATTCTGTAGTCTTCGCTTTGTTGCAGGATCTAGCTCTGGTGGATGGGTTTCCATGGCTAGGTGAATGCAGTCCTAGTGCTCGACAAAGATATTGATAATCTATTCGACCAAATATTCGATTCGTCGGTCACGTGGCAGTACCAAGCTTGGTATATATCATGTGATACGGAGCCTGCATAGGCATTTATAGTTGATTAACTACTTTACACTGCCTCTTATAAGACGGTGAGAGGTTAGCGGTGTCCAGGGGCAGAATAATACTAAATTCGGCTCCAATCATGTCTTCGGGCAAGGAACGGCCAAAAGAGATCAGAAGCGAAGATTAACCTGCCTGAATTGGGGGCTGCAGGTTCAATTAATAAGACGTAGCTATTATTTTTTTAATATATAGATCGAGGCGACCGTATCTGTGTCATGTGCACACCCGACTCGTAAAAAACGAGTCGGGTGTGCACATGACACAGATAGTAAGGCGGATTCGCTTCAGCCATGTGATCTTCCACATGAGCTGTCTGTTCTTCAAATAGCTCCTAGTTTTTTTGTCAGATTGAATAGGTTGATACTTTTAACCTTCCATGCGCAGGTGCTTTCAAATAGTATATGTAAACTCGTAAATTTATGTTATGAATACTAAGTTATCTTAATTTTGTCGAGAGTATCACTTCAAAATACTCACTAAGTCTATCGGCAGGCTTTCCAAGCAAGCGAAGAGCACCAGGCTATTAGCAGCGAGTGAAGCAGTATCAGACGTTTTTTCAGAATTATGGGGCGAATCAGAAGAATCAGAAGAATCAGAAGAATCAGAAGAATCGGAATCTTCAGATTGAGTATCATCTGTCGAATGAGTCGAAAGTTCCAAGTCCATAATTTGTGTCGGAAGAATACGATCGAATCTACCGTACAGTTTGCGCCAAGTCTGCGAACTGAAGCCAAATACCTTAAGGAAATGCGATTCAGACAGATTGAGAGTAGCGTCGTCAATGCGAGAAAGAGACTCATGGCAGAGATGGAAACGATCCTTCAGTTCCTTACTTTGGTCTGGTGCGTTCTTGTACTCGGAGAGAATTGATAAGGTGTCACTGAGCATCTCATCCATGTCATTGACCCCTGACAATGAGGCGCCCTTGTCATATTTATAGAGAAAAGGGGATATACGGGCTGCGATGAAAACCAGTCCGCATACATAGAGGTAGTTCAGGGCATCGCATGGTGACACCGCACTTGTAGACATATGAGCTGAATTTGTGCTCGATGACACAAGCGACAAAAGCTGACGAGCAGCAGTTACACACTTGAATGACGCATCCCGGATAAAACCTAGGATCGACGGATGATGAAGAGATTCTTGCTCTTTTCCGGTAATGTGGCGTACATCTGAGCAGCGGTCACATTTCATGGATAGGGCAACCGCGTTGATCAGGAGCGGACGGAGGAGTCGAAGCCGGATGTACAAGTACTGAAGATGGAGCGATATGCGTAACCGGTGAAGAACGGGGTTCTTCGTGGGATCATCATCGTCCAGGTGATCGTCCCACAGAATTCTGGGCAATGAGCGTTGCCAAGTAGAGAGAAAGTCGTCAATTCTTCTAATGTCATTTGTATCATTTTCCATGACTTTGCGAAGGGGACATTTAACGCTGGTAAGCCGATACGAAATTTCTGTGTCATAGAGATCGTACACAAGCCGGGAAAGCTGGCTCTTCTGAAATAAAACCTTCAAAATCGGATCAAGTAACTGATTTTCTGATGACAACTCAGGAATCTCCTTTGTCCAGTCTGATTCCGTACAAGACAGGAAAGGAAGATTACCGGAGGCATGTGAGAAGGGTCTGAATCCCAACCCAAGACACAAAGCGAGCATACGTTCCGTAAGCTGAATGCTGTGCCATATCCGGTATACGAGTCGCTCTGATCTCGGATCGGTAACAATACGACACCCTCCCTTTGTATGGAGACCGAGGGACTGGGCTTTACGTACCACTAGGCCAGTAATTTCCCACGCAGTGCTCAGATTTCCTGTTGAGTAAAGATATTGAATTTGAAGGAGGTAGCACTGAATGAGGCCCAGCCAATCTGCAGAGTCTTCAATTTCATTGAACAGGGACCGAGCGTACTTGTAGAAATCTATTGATTTGGGAATATGAGAAGGGCCCTTTGGGCCCACACAAGCAAGAGCAAAGCAAAGGCTTAGGATTGCTGATTCGGTCTGATTCAGGGAATGAGAATTAGTCTTTGAAGACCTGTGAATTGATTTGAGATTTGAAATATTCAATATCGGCAGAGCTGGAAATTCCAGGTTCAGGTAGTTGTTCATCAAGTTATCCGAAAGCTTGGGAGGGAGGGGCGGCGCCTTTATGGACTGGGAGTCCGAGGATTGGGAGCAAAAATAGGATGGTCTTTCCATGGTGCTGAATTGAGGGCTTTCCATGCCCTGTATTTGCAATCGAGGAGTTGGATTCTGTTTTATCGGGGGTTGAGAGATAGAGATGGGTGGAGGTGAAGCCGAGTCCAGAATTGACAGAAATGTCCTCAAATCTGAGAGAGTTGGGATCTCATCTTTCTCAAGTGCATCATCAATCAGAGAAAGTAGAGGCGCATGTTGTAGCTGCTGCTCTTCCGACTCAGTATTGATATGTCTCTGGAAGACGCGTCTTAAGCATCTTAGGGCTGTAGAACTAAATTTCCGTTTCCCCGCGAATTCTAATGTTTCCAAACAAACAGCTAGTTCTGTCGATTGCATTGTTGACGGGTCCAGGAAAGGTGCCATCAAAATAAGCTCCAAACACTTTATATCGCACATGTTGAAATGGACACCCCCTCCACGCCCTTTTGGCTTTTTCGGATCAATAAGGACAGACAAAATTGATGAAAGAATCTCTATTTCACGGATGTACTCTTCAGGGTATGTGAAAGTTGAATGTTGTTCTTGTAGGAGTTGGTGAATTTGTGACATCGTGTTCGTATGGATGAGGCCATGTGTAGCCTTTTCCTGCAAAAAGACGACTATTTCCCAGCGAGGACGGTCCACTTCAAACATACCAGGGGGGAGCTTGGTATTCTTGGAGGGAATAGGGGATCGAGGAAGCGATAAATTGGTTTGTGGCACCTCGCTACACCTTCGTAGACTATTCGTAGGTGATTCATTGTTGGTAGTAAAGCCAGGAGGCTCTGACAATCTCAGCCGCTTTGCAGGCGGGAGCTCTGAGTCAATCGGTGCTAGCGGTAAGCTAGATTTCATCGCATCCTCGGGTGGGCTGGAAGAGGGTGAGCGGCATGAAATGCCATTAGCGCGACAGCTCCCGCATACTGTTCATTTTATTTTTATTTTTTAGCAATGACTTTTAAAACACTCTGCAAATAGGAACTAACTGACCTGGCTTGAGTCTGTCACAATCGTAATGTTTCATTTTGCAATTGAGGCATGGGCGTAAGAAGACAGACTGGGAGCCATCATTGGAGGACAGCATTATGTGTCAAGCTTGGAGTTGCCAGCCGAATGAAGTCGAGATTCGCTGTATAGCGAGGCAAGGGAGAGTGGAGAGTGGAGGGTTGTCGTCCTCAAAGAAAAAAATGAATGTTTCATGTCAAGGTGCTAGCCTTGAATATGATAAGAAGAAAAGCCTGCGTGAAGAACGCGCCAAAATACGTCGCGAATTGAGGACGCGGAGCAGATGGGGCTGAAAAGCAAAAGTGAAGCTTACTTGTTTATGGTCCTGGGCACTTAAAATCACCCATTTATCAAGTGACTAGCTACTGGCCATATCAATATTGAGGTTGTCGTGATTGGAGCTAGGTACCTGCAGAAACGTCCAACGGAATTAACCCGCTCAAGCAAGTCACCTGACTGAGTTCTACAATATCCCTACTTTCCAAGAATGCTGTATTTCCTAGGTGCCTCAATAAAATTAAGACAGAAGCTGGAAGGTTCTTAATGATTACTATGCACTGATATTGTTCTATTGATAGATCGTATGGCAGTTCTAGTGCTTCACGTGCGGTTATCACTATCTGGCAAATGCTCCAAGCATGCATGGGAATATCATACAAGAGATTATGTGCAATAAATGGACCGACTGTCTGATTATTTCTCAACTTCATCCACAAGTTGCTCAACTTCTTGCTCGGTCCATCGGTGGAATAGCTTCTTCGAGTCGGAAAGGTCAGCCTCCTTCGGTAATCCATTGCTCACTGATTGAATATGAAGCACAGGCACGTCAAACACATAGGCATCATGCCATGACTTATTTCCAGTCTCCATAATATCAGTCTCCACATATTCAAAGGGGCGTCGCTTCTGCAACTGAATCACAGTATTTTTTGCGGTATCGCAAAGGCCACAACCGGCACGAGTGAAAAGGGTCAATCGAGCCTGACCAAAGAGGATGCGTGTAGGTAGCATAGCGAGAGCACGTATTTACATGTGTTTATGCTTGAATTCGCTATTACTTCCAGTGGTAGTTGCAATTGAAGCTGGCTTGAAGTGGCGGGTGGAATCAACAAGTCGACTGTGTGGTCAAACCAATAGAACCTTCGAGCTTCATCGAGCTATACCGCCTTTGGTCGTATGCGCCAGTTTGTTCAGACCGCACGTCTATAACCTCCACTCAAACCTCTCGGTGAATTGACCAAATTATACTGTTCAAGCCCAGTCACTTACTACGCAATTATGGCTGGTAAGTGTGTTCACAAAGGATGTGGGAAGACTTTTTCCGACCCGGAGGAAGATTGCGTGTATCATCCGGGTCCTCCAGTGTTCCACGAAGGACAAAAAGGTGAGTAACTTGATGTATAGATATTCTAGATGTTTCATTTTCCATCTTGGATACTGTATTGCAACTAAATCGACATTTGGAAGCCGCAAATGCTAACTGGTCAACTATTCAGGCTGGAAATGCTGCAAACCCCGCGTTTTGACCTTTGATGAATTCCTCTCTATCCCACCATGCACGACTGGCAAACACTCCACAGTTGACGATACACCTGTCCCTGAACCTCGCAAAGTTGTGGAGGAAGCTCCTGCCCCAGCAGCTCAGGTGAAAGCGCTGCCCGAGAGACCTGCTATATCTACCACTGTCGCGCCTGCTACACCCCCCGCCAAGCCACAACCAGAAGAGCCCGAGTCCGACGATCCTGATCTGGAGATCTCCGCCAATGCGACATGTCGTCGCAAAGGTTGTGGCTCTACCTACACTGGATCCAGTGCTCGAGATGACGAGAAATGTGTGCACCACCCTGGTCTTCCAGTCTTCCATGAGGGCAGCAAAGGATGGTCATGCTGCAAGCGTCGAGTGTTGGAGTTTGATGAGTTTTTGAAGATGCCAGGCTGCACTGAAAAGACAAGACACTTGTTTGTGGGCAAGGCCAAGCCTCCTGGTGAGGAGAAGGTTGACACCGTTCGGTAAGTAGCCAGTCACAAGTAGTAGATCAAGATCATCGCGCTAATCCACGTCTGTATCTAGTAACGATTTCTACCAGACATCAGCTTCCGTGAACGTCTCCCTCTACTTGAAGAAAATTGATAAGGATCGTGCCCGTGTTGATTTGACAGCCGAGTCCATAACACTTGACCTTCCTACGACCGATAACAAGCGCTACCAGGATACTTACAAACTATTTGCGCCAATCGACGCCGAGAATTCATCCTTTAAGGTGCTTGGTACGAAATTGGAGCTCACACTAGTCAAGGCAGATGGAACTAGCTGGCCAGTGTTGCGTAGTGATGACAAGTGGACTGGAGAACGGATTCAGATTGGAAATGCTGGACGGGCTTGAGGGCTGGACTATATAGATTACAAAAAAGCCGTTGTATGATTTTACTCCCATGAATGAAGGTGATGGTTACAATGAAAATAAGTTGACTGGGCCACTCTATCCTTCATTGCTCAAAACACTGTATACTATCACAGGCTTATGGTTTTATCGCGGTTGGCTCACGATGACCTTGGAGCTCTAAAAATTGAAAAAAAAAAAATCATGCAAGATTACAGTAAGCATTGAAAGCAATAAATCAGGACAGAAAAGAAGTAAATAGTGTAATATAGTACAGAAATAGCGAGAGAAAAAAAAATACACTAAACCAGGCCCATGAGTGCGGTTATCGACAATCCCCTGGGTTGAGCTGTTGGAGCCCTAAAATCACCTCTTGAAAACTATTTAATAGTTCTCACCAGCTTGGAGAGATCAAATAATTATCCTAGGTACGATCCGCTTCTCTGAATTTATCGATTCTTCCCTCTACACCATCTTCACCCACTGTCCATACACTACTTTTAAATCAGCTCTCCCCACCGTTTGAATAGTCACTGTAATCTTTGTGGCCACCAATGGCAATTAATGGCCCCCAAACGAATGGAAATTTCCATATTGAAAGAGATCTAGACATGAGCCTAAGATACTATGGGCATTATAGTAGGGAAGCCACGTCCATTGGTCCTACATATGACGATGCCGATTGTAGATCAGGCCATAGATTAGATTGCCTCACAACAATCTTCCCTAAATGGATCATTTTGACATAGGGTGGGTTCTCTTCATTCACGAGGGCGTCTTCAATATCAAGAATTTGCTGTGAATTCATGATAGTCGAAAGGATGTTGAGAGAGGGGTAAGTGTGATAAAGGTAAAGGAGAAGTTATTTAAGACGCTTACTCAGCGCCCTGCATCATGATACAGTGGCGTCCGTTTGGCCATCGAAGACTGTAATGTCAGTGATTCCGCTTGGGGAGGGGAGGGGGTGAGGTTCTTAGAATGCGAGGTGAAATTTTGCTCTTTAAGCTACCTCCTCGTCTTCTGCCTCCCTACTAGCTGAAACGAACGTCGTACCTGTTCTGCCCGTACTTCTAACGTGTACTGCCTACGGAGTAACATGGTGGGTGACCATATGTGAATTCTGACTGTTGGTGATTTGGATGAGAATGGTTGAGAATTCTTTAGGGAGTTAATCTTATTCTCAAGATTTTGAAGCGGTTGGAGATAACTCTACTCGAGAACGAGAAGAATGTCATTTAAGATGTGATGGATATCAACCAATTTTTGAACCGAAAGACAAATACGTGGTTGGTTGTCGATTGCTTTTTGAAGGGGTTTCTGCCAGTACGCGACACAGTAAAACCATTCAATCGGGTCAATGTAAATACGAGCTCCTTAACCTGGAGCGAAGACCTTTTATCATAATTTACAGTGGACTGAGTACAGATGAAAATACGAGTTCATTTGATATTAGATTGAAGGGACAAGACATGTCGCGAATCCTCCACAGCTTTAACGCATGAGGCTCCCCGAAGGGAACCCTAGCCAAGCCATATAGGGAGACGCTGTCTATCTGCAGGGCCGGGAACGGAGGACTATCCAGGGAGAGCAAGGATAATCCTCAGCAAGCCTCCGTAGAGGAGCCATGGTTATAAAAATTTACATTAGTTAATGTAAACCTCTACTGATGATGAAGAAAGGAAAAGGAAGACTGGGGGCAGGACGACCGATATATATACCCTAAGAAAAAAAAACTAGAGAGCTAGTCCTAATTAGGACAGGGTAAATCATTAGTCCGAGTCACGTGTAACCCCGGTGTATCTCCAATAGGAAATAAGGGTTTAAGGGCTGGATCACAGCACGTGATATGCCTCAGGTTTTTGGCATGTGAAGGCCCCACTGGTTTATCTCAAACTTGAACGCCTGAGAATTGAGGCTTAAGGCTTGTTGGGAACCGGAAGCGGTGAAACGAGAACAGGACACTTTCCACTATTGTATACATTACAAGAGATTCGAGAGCTCGATATTTATACCTTTTGTCCAACATGATCTTCAAATCTAAAGGACCGAAGTTCAAGTTTGTAGTTAATAAGTAGTAATTTAGTAATCATTTCAGGGCCCATAGTACAATTAAACTGGTACGCCAAATCGATAATTGCCGCCCCCCGCCTCTTCCAATCATGGTTCAGAGGCACGAGACCATCATCTCCCTTAAAGTCTCATTCCTACCAATTCGATCTCTTTTCTTTTTGCCATATTGTACCCCCTTTCACCCCCTTCATCTTCATTAATCTTCCTTCTCCATCTCCCCTCTTTCTTGCATCACCCTGCAGATCTTCCCCGCTATCAATTGCGGCCCCCCCCCCCCAAAAAAATATAAAATGTTGAGCCTCTCAATGCCAAACTTTGTCTTAAAACACAAACTAATCTTGCCTAGTCCCATTTGGCCCCCCTGGCCTTCGTAGATTCTGATCTTCCTACACAGCGCTCGACTACGATCCCATCTCCCTTCCCCTTATCACACTCTTCACTATGGGTTCTCACTCGGACCTTCGGTACATCCCCCTCTCATACAACCCCGCAGACTCTCAAGCCTCTGCTTTGCGACTCATCTTGACAATCAACCCTGATTGGGATGGCCCTAATAACAAGATCGAGTTCGTGCGCTTCACCGACGGCATCACCAACACGGTGGGTTTTTCTCCGCCAGCACCACTCACCCTCGCCCCTGGGGCCTATAAGGGGCTCTTTCGCTCGAAAAGTCAATGATAACTAACCATATTTGATAGCTACTGAAAATTATCAACCGCAAGGCTGGTTTGACAGACGAGGAAATAGACAATGATGCTGTACTGATGCGCGCGTACGGAAATGGCACTGAGATCCTCATAGACCGAGAAAGTACGACTTTCTGACTCCCTCTGCGCCTTTATTGCCCGTGCGACATTGTGCTAAAAGTAAATTATTAGGAGAAACTACGTCTCACGCCCTTCTTGCCAGTCGCGGCCTTGCGCCTCCTCTTCTCGCACGTTTCAATAACGGCCTACTGTACCGATTTATTCGTGGCAAGCCCTGCAGTCATCAGGACCTGGTTACACCGCCGATTTTCCGAGGTGTTGCTCGTCAGTTGGGTCGCTGGCATGCAGTTCTCCCCGCCAATGCGACTAGCCCTGCTCCTGCTGATGAGGCCACTTCTGTAGCCAACTCCATTACCCTTACCGAAAAACAAGATCCGGAGTTCACGCTCATCCAGCCGCGTCGTGATGGTTCTATGTGGTCTGTGCTCCAGAAATGGGTTCTCGCTTTGCCCGCATCCACCCCAGAGCAGCAAGCTCGACGACTCAGCCTGCAGAAGGAACTTCAATGGGTTGTGGGACAGCTCGACGATGGAAAGGGTATTGGCGAAGACGGCGTGAGTATCTTGATCTAAATATATCGCAACAGAAACAGTCTGATTGACTTTCCTCTAGCTTGTTTTCTCACACTGCGACTTGCTTTGCGCCAATGTTATTGTCCTACCCATGAACGACAGCGAGCCTTCCGAAGAGGGTATCACCGCAGTGAACTTCATTGACTACGAGTATGCCGTCCCCGCACCTGCTGCCTTTGACATTGCCAACCACCTGGCTGAGTGGATCGGCTACGACTGCGATTACAACATGATCCCCACGCAATCAGTCCGCCGCGAGTTCCTGACCGAATATGTCAAGAGCTATTGCCAATACCGCGGTCTAGATGCTTCCTCCGAATCCGACATCGTCAGCAGATTGTATGGGGATGTTGACCGATTCCGTGGTATCCCCGGATTGTACTGGTATGTATATCTGATACACGACTTTCACGAACAAATATTGACATAAATCACGAAATCAGGGGTGTTTGGGCTCTTATCCAAGCACAGATTTCTCAAATCGACTTCGACTATGCCAACTACGCCGAACTCCGCCTGGGCGAGTACTGGGCCTGGAAGCGTGAGGTCGACGGCAGTCGGCAAAAGTCTGGCGAGGAAATTCCCCTCCGCGAGCAGCGCTGGCAGCTGGCATAGAGCGGATTACGGCAAAACAACAAATACACTAGTCTGCTTTTGATCTACGCTGACGACGCCTTTATTTTTCCCGGTCTTCTCTGGATATTATTTTGCTCCTCAAGCTTGGAACCTCAGGCTGGATTGTCCTTTTCCTCTTGGCCTCAAAATGGGAAAGAGGACCAATCGATTGCGCGATATGGGACCACGTGACAACAATTAACTTGCATAATTTACATCATTTTTTCAAGATTGTCTTTGTAGTTCTTCATATATTAACTTGATAGCTAGTCTTGCCTTTCATGGGACGCTTTTTTGACTTCTGTTTTTGTACTTTTCCTGCTTCGAAAATCTGGTGTTTGAATGATTTTATTCGAGTTACTGCATGCAGCACATACATGGCATTGAAGGTGATCCGGCATCAATTGATTGTTTAGATTAAAGATATTTCAATAGTCCGGGGTTAGTGGCCTAAATCCCCAGATATCCAATGTTCCAGACTCATGCTATAGGTATCGACCTCGCCCTTCCGTCATATCGTTTCTTTTCATCATAGTTCTCAGGGGCAGTGACTCGTAGACGAAGTTATATATCCTGAATTTTGTCGGATGGCATTTCGGTGACCTCTCTTCCACATGACTAAGGACTTCAACTGTCGTATTCGTGAAACGCATCGACGTGAGAACTTGGAGAATGAAAACAGTCGGCCAATCTGGATTTTCCATCTCGATGATAGTCCATATCGATATTTACCAAACTAATCTTCCACTATCCCTTGTACCACGTGGTGTTTATCGGGTAAGGCGTGGTGGCACTTACCGTCACTTAAAAGAAAACTTGTGGTATCATGTCGTAGCAGCCCAGAATGAACATACGTCCAAATCACCTCTATTGTCGTAGTTCCAAAGCCTAGAAGTCAACATACTAAGATGAATATGGCTTCTTATTGATGCATGGTTTGAAATGAATGCTGCTTCATTCTGAAGTCTTCATCGCAGCTTTATTTTCCCATCGAGAACTTCGAGCTTCGAATGCCAAGATTCTGACTCTGACTTGAGACTTACTGACTACGGTAGGTACTGTTATATTATCAACACCAACCCCACGCAACCTGCCTCAGAACCGGAGATCAATACTTGCACCAAATTCAACCGTCCAAAGGCTCTGGATCAGTTCCTCTCGAAGAATAGAACTCGAAAAGTGGCGACATACTTGTCATGTCGCACGGCTAAAACAAAAAGCGACCATCACAATTGTCTGATTGTGGTTGATCGTCGCAGCATCTTGTTCACATCAGATTTACAGATGGAATCCACGTGCTTAGAAAAGGAGGCTAATGGGAACACCTAGACTGTTGAAGACACGAGACTGCATAACTCTTTCTTCTATCTTCAAGAATCTTATTTCAATCATCTTCGGGTAAATACCCAAAATACTCACTCAGTCTGCCCTATTAATCTATCCAACCTTGGGGGTGACATTCGGTGGTATTAGCCAATGGTCAAAATCGCGCAGTATCGTGTCTTTAGCTGGTGTTTCACAACTGCACGATCCCTCTCATGGTCAAGCAAGCACATCCACTACCTTCATGGATCATGCTTCGAAAAGCAATCTTATCACCATTGGCAATCTCCACTCCTGGCTAGAAATAGGAAATTGTGCATTTCTGGGAGCTTGCACAATGATTTTCGATAATATTGGTCCTGATGCTGAGCACCAATCCCTCAACTTATAATCAGGTGACCCTAAGCTCACTCTCACTGCTGGGCAGCCAATCCAATCTACCTGAAAATCCTGGATGATGATCATTTTCCAGATAAAGCCTAGAAAGTAACAAGAAACAGGTGTGCTTTTGACTCACAGTTGGTAGTCGGCGCTAGATGTTTCGAAATTCAGTCTCCTTGACCGGAGATGGATCAGCTCTGCAAATTTGATAGATAGGCCCCGGATTGTCCTGTTTGCGATGGCGCTAGCCGGCTGATCTTCCATGTCTACATAGCATCAACTGCTGAAATCCAGAGATATCAGGAGATATCAGGAGACGGTTAGATCTATTCAGCATCTAGTTTCAATTATACGCCCTGATGAAACGAATGCAGCGACCAAATTAGCCTAATTCCTGCTGAATCCAGGGCCACAGCATCTCACTTCAGTGGAGAGATTGATCGTCCATCTCTATCATATACGTTTTAAAGCTCTATGCTATCCCTAATCTGTCGCTGGTAGGTAGTTGTAGTCCCCCTTCATAGTAACATTATGACTCTAGATCTAAGGATTCTTTATTACAGTTCAGGCTGGCGAGACACTTTCGTATGAGGATGCCTAGGTATCATCGAAATCAATCAACCTTTATTTCGTTCAATTCGTACTTGGATGTCCAAGTTTGATGTCATACGCAGCAGTTAGATCCTTTTTCCATCTGGTCATTTCTCAAGTTCCAGGACCCAGCCTCTGGATAGAGATCCTGTACAGTAACGTGAAGTCCAGTCGTACTGTCTGACTGTTGACTTGAGAAGACCCAAGCCATTGTTCCGTGAATTCTCCAATGAAGAAAGACTGTACTAGAGAGATCATGTGCTTATACAGATATCTCTCGACCTAAAAGAACAATCGGCATCACCAATAATTTGATGCATATCTCATGAGATCTGCCTTAGGCGGCACTGACTCAAAGCTTGAACCGACATGAAAATTCAACCCAGCTCAGCTTGGATTGCCATCCAAGTTCTGCAGTCTATCTTTGATGTAACTGGCATCATGGTTTCCATCCTCATCCACGTATTTTTGGAGGACGATATTCCGCATGAGCCGTCGAGGTGCGCGGCGTCCAGTGAAGAGTTCAAACTGGGCAAAACCTTGCTCAGGGAGAACGTCAAGACCATCCATGGGAACCCAGCCCCGGTGCGACAGAGCACGTATTTGTTTCATGAGTGGTGTGTGGAGGGGTTTGTATGCCAGCTAATAACATGTTAGCGAGAATAAGAGTTGTTATACAGACTGGGACCTACGTCGATGACAACACCCCCTGTCGGGCTTTCAAGCCACTGGCATGGCACGTTAAAATTAGGAGCTGGCTGACCGCCGATACTATGAGCCGGGATACCAGATACAATGATAGTCGGTTGTTTGTAGTCGACTGGCCAAGGATCGCCTAGTGAGCTTAAGGTCATGACCCTTGGGCGCCCGTCGCTTCTTCCTTGTTCAGTCAAGTGGCGTTCTTGGCGATTGTAATGATGGGCAAGCTTCTCGGCATTTGCGAGAGTTTTATTCCAAACAAAGATGTTCTGCACCCCAAGGTGGATCATCGAGTATATAGCTGCGCGGGCCATGCCACCAGAACCGATAACAAGACCGGTTGTGGAAGGACACACAGCATTCGCAGGTGAAAGACCTCGGCGGATGCAGTTGCAGATACCGATCCAATCAGTATTATCGCCATGTAAACCCACGACGGGACCAGCCCGGCATTTTTCGATACCTACTGGGAGTTGGGGATCGAATGTATCCATATCTCGGATAGGAATGAGGGTGTTGACAGCACCGATCGCTTGGGCATGCGGTGACATGGAATGTAGGAGAGGAATGACTTCGGTTTTGTAGGGTAAACTGACACTTGAGCCGCCAAAGAACTGATTCTGGACAAGATCGTTCAATCCACGAAGAGTAGGTGACTGGTAAAGCGAATATTGATGAGGCATCCCGCACAGCTTAAAGGCCGTGTTATGCATGGCGGGTGACATACTGTAGGTGACATTGACACCAAAAACGTAAAATCGCATCGGATCCACTGTGAATGAGCTGTAAAGGGCCTGTTGAGCTTCACGGGCAGTAATTGACGAACGCATTTCTGTTGGACTTTCATGAATTAGGGCTGGATGCGTGACTGGCGTCAAAATAGGATTGCAACAACGAGATTTGCGACCAAGGGGCCCGGTGTTATAGGCGATTAAAGGAAGTGCCCCAGGAAGATTTCGAACACGGGATCGGAAACTTTCAACGGCAAAGTTGTCTTCCATCTTCTCAGCTGGTTGGCAGATCCGGACCATATCACATCCTATTCGCTTTGCGCGTTCATAAATCTTCATGTATTCCTCTCCATCCCAGCCACCAGGTAGAGAGCGGAATGCCTCGAAATGGCCAATGACACTCGTGCATCCTTTGAACCTCACAATTTCAGAGACCAAACTCTCATCACGAGAGAGATCAACGGTCACAAAAGCTGGTGCGAGTCGTAGGCCATGGAAGACTAGATGGAAGTAAGACTCATTGGTAGTCTGGGCTGGAGAAGCAGACCCTTTCGTGACATGGCCATCGACGTGATATATAAGCGGCACAATAATATGCCGACGAATGATGGACACAACTTGGCTAATACTATCGTGTAGGTTGGCATTTGACTTTTGCTGGTATTTCTCTGACATATCCCAAGGGGTTGATAGCTCATCTGAGAAGCTTCCCATGTCGATTACTAGCTCAAAAGCATCTGAGCCGTATTCCAGTTCTTCAATATCAAGGGGCTGTTCACACAGTGCGGAGAATGGGACTGAGATTGCAGAGGTATATGATCGAGCTTGGACTGGTAACAGCGATAGTGGGAAAGAGGCGTGCTGGCGAGTCAACACCGTGACATCATTAGTAACAAAGGCGATGAAACGAAGGAAGTCTCTCTGGAGCCGCTTCAAGGTCAAAAATGGTGAATGTGCGTGTGTCGGCCCTGGGGATGGAATGTGGCCTTCTTTTACTGAATTGTCTCCGTTAGTAGGTTCGGAGAGGTTGAAGAATTCCAAATTTGACAATCCTCGGTAAACTGGACCGCTCAGCAGCAAGAAGAGCCGCACTTTCTCAGTATTCCACTTTTTTAGGTAGGATTGGATGTTATCGGGATCTCGAGTGACATGGATGACCGGATGACTTTGTGCATAATCTCTCAGTAGTTCCTGGGCACAACTCTCCAGTCCACCGCCACATACGATAACACACCCTTCCTTGTTATCCTCAAGCATGGATTGGAAGACCCGTACTTCTTGCTGTCGATTTTCATTGTCCTTTTTGAACTCGGCGCGCGAGCAGCCCGTCACCTGGTGAAAGTAATGGTCGGCATCAATCAAGCGGCGTCCAGAAGATGTCGCAAGAATCACAGCTAAACTGGATTTCCCTGTACCTCGAATCCCGACAAGTACGATGGAGGCCTTTGGACTGAAGTTTCGCGGAGTTTGGAAGGGGTGATTACTGATGGGAACAGGAGTTGCGTTGGTTGAGATCGACTGACTGTGTGAATTGCCACACGTATCAGGCTGCTCACTAGGTTGGCGCGAGTTAGATTGCGAGTATGTTCGATCAAATGCCTTCCATGAAGCTATCCTGGAACTTTCTTTTCTCCTCTCATCAGAATCGGAAGGCTCAGACAATTTGCGCTTTGGTGGGCGCACCAAGACGGACATTGCATGAGTGTTAGTGAATTAAGGGGATGAGCATGTCGTCAGATAAGCGTAGACTTGAGCCAAGGCTTGGATCCCTGCAAGCTAAGGGGTGGTAAGAAGCCGGTGGGGGATGAAGCCGAATTGGTGTTAAGACGAATGGAGATTGCGGGGTGCAGAATTAGTAAATCTGTTTGAAGATACGGTATTATAACCGGGGCGGCCAATCGCTCTGCCGGCTGGTATTTTTTCCATTTTTCCTTCCCCGCGGGGTGAGCTTCATGCAATGCAGACTTGTTAGGTCCTGGCGATTATGAGGAACAATAACGGAATTATACCTATATTTAAAGACTGAATAGTCCAAATACTTCGGGAATACAAAATATATGATAATCAAAATTAAAATAAACCAAAATCTTACTGTATTGGTCTCTGCAAAAGTCTAGAAACATTTTGCCTTCAAAGACTTTACCGCTAGCGGATCAGAGCCGAGGTTGACCTTCCTGCTGACAACTGCATTATCCGACTCACTCATCCTAGTCATCCACGTACTCCGTATTCTACGGGGTAACAAAACCCTATTCAACCAGTCTTGCACGGTCCTTTTTTCTCCGGTGGGGGCAAATCGTTCATGGAGACCACCATTTGACTGCCCCATCGGCAAAAGGTTCACCAGAATCTTCACCCTCATCGCATAGCAGTATCATGCGTCTGACACCGCCCGGTGGAAAATCGAATCTGTCACAATGTCCTCCGACCTTCGCCAGGCCACCGGTGCGGGTAAGGGAAAGCGACATTTGAACTCCGACGATCAAGACAACAGAATACTGGAGGATTCTGCAGTGCAGCCTAAACGACAGCGCGTTTCGCGAGCATGCGACAGCTGCCGCTCTAAAAAGGACAAGTGCGATGGAGTACAACCCGTGTGCTCAACGTGCGCATCGCTATGCCGACCCTGCACCTACAAGGCCAACCCCAAGAAACGAGGCCTACCGACAGGTTATATTCGGTCGCTTGAGCTGCTATGGGGGCTGGTATTCCAGAAAATACAGGGCAGTGAAGATGTGATGCGCGCATTAATGAGGTCCATCAACCTTCCCAGTCATCTCGCTACAATGGGCAAGGAAGCCGAAGGATCGGATACGTTACTATCTTCCTTCAAAAACAGTACAGTCTTGAGGGACATTGAGCGAATATTGGTGGTACTGGAGCTACCAGAGGAAGAGAGGGAGCGCAACCTCCAATTAATCAGCGATGAGCACACACCCTTGGATATCGATAGAATTCTTGCCTCGTCCGAGGCTCATGAATGGCAACTTCCAGAAGGGTTGGAGCAACGAGAGACTCCCCTCCCCGGCGTATCGCCATCACGATTATCAATCGTTGGCGCTGCTCCTCTGAAGACTTCAGCGCATCATAATCGAGACTCTGGCGTACAAACTTTGCCAGACGATCTTCACTCTTCATCAGTCTCCCTAAACCCGCCCCTTCAATCGACCTCAAATAAAGCTCCCATTCAGCTCCCCTATAACGCATGGCCACTTCTCGACATTTACTTCTCATACACGCAATGCTGGTTTCCCATTCTGGAAAAGCATGACATCCTCCGAACAGGATTTCAATATACTGAAGGTGATGTTTATGTTACACGTACAACGCCTGGCTCTGGAGATCACGCTGCTTTATGGGCCGTCTTGACTCTTGCCTCACTCCAAGATGCATCCATTACTGCGACCCGCGATAATAACCACCAACCAGAACGAATTAACTCTTCGCAACTGTACAGTACCGCCAGAGAACTGATTCCCGCCGAGAATGGCCCGTTTGAACTTGGGCATGTTCAAGCGCTACTCATATTGTCTTTAATAAAGTTTGGTCAGAAGGAGTGGACTTCTGCTTGGATGCTGGTCGGACATGCCGTGCGAATTGCGCAAACCTTGGGTCTTGACCAACCAAGATCTCCTGCGCAAGGCAAGCAACTAGGCCGGGCGCAACATGTATTTCTAGGATGCTTCGTTCTCGAAACACTGATCGCGCAACAGACGTCACAATGTCCCTCGCTACGGAAAGACGATTTGACTAGGGTAGGGTGTATCAACGAGGACGGACTGGAGGAATGGCACCCATGGGAAGACCAGACTGGCCTTCGACCGTCACAGTCATCCCGAGCTTCAATGCAGCGTGGACCACTCCATGCACTCAGCACTTTTAATCGTCTTGTTTCTCTGGTTTCGATTCTGAACGATCTGTGTTACCTCAAACAAGATCCTACTATTTCCAGATCACAGCTCGAGTCACTAGGGATTCAGCTACAGCGCTGGGTAACAGATCTGCCGAGGAGTTATCGTGTTGATCTGCAAAGTCGACCAATCAAACTGGCCTCTCCCCATATTTTCAGCCTCGAGATGACATATCAGGGCATTGTTTCCGCCCTCAGCCTGCAGATCGCATTACGGGAGAGTGATCAGAACATCCCCGACATGCCCCATAAAGCTCTTGCAATTGAAAGCTCAAAGCACTTGCTTTCACTCCTTCAAATATACATGGAAAACTACAGCTTCTCGGCCACCTTTCCAACATTTGGCATCATACTATTATTCTGTCTCCCACATACATACTCTCGGGAACCTATATCAGATCTTGACATGGGCATGCGGAACAAGATCCAATCATTTTCATCTCATCTAGCGCAGCTCTGGTCGGTTTCAAATCGGCCCAATACCAACCAGATTTCCATGCAAATGAGTCAGGCGGCTATCACCTCCCCGGCTACGTCTCAAAAACTGCGAGTGTCAGCGTCGGAAGACTCTACACATAGGCATGGCCTACCACCCATATCCACTCCTCAGGGGCAAGTTCAACAAACCCCACTCCTGACATCTACACCTGACCACTACCTTTCAGCCCCGTGGCTCAGAGTCACTCAAAATATAGAAGATGGAAGTATGATTTCCACCCCTACTCCACCATCTTTGTCCACCGCTGGCGGTGTCTCTGAGGTATCGCTACCAGGACAATTGGACGGTGGGATCGAAAGTGGACGCCATCAGGCATCAGCCAAATCTCATAACGGGCCAGCGATAATGTCTGACCTTGGAACGCCGTTTCCTTCAGGCCCACAATACCATCCGGCATTCCCAGATCCAGCCCTTAGTCTTGGCCATTATGTCGAGATGGATGGATATGGGCCACCATCACGACGGCAACGAATTGCTCCTGATTTAGACGCATTGTTTGACGAGCTGGCATCGTTAGATGGTGCTGAAAAGTGAGTCTGCCAACTTTGTATTTACTCGTTAAATTACTAATTCATCCATGAAAGGGTCGACAATCAACCCGAGTTCATGCAAAATCTTGGGTTTGTGTCCGAAAGCGCGGTTCCGGAGATTTACTCCTTTCCGAGTCAAATTGAACCTTTCTTGCTAGCGCAGACGCAACAGATGCCTCGAAACGGATCTACCGTTCCTCGGCGAGAATCATAACAGCTGAGCATGGTAGGCACTCCGAAGAGGTGACATGAAATTCTTTAATGAAGACTCTTCTCTTATGACTGCCGCCGGTCGGCACCAGTTGATGAGCCTGGCCACACATTTGGTACACGGCCACTTGCGAGACAGGTGTAGTTGCACGGAGCTTGGAAAAAAGGGGTATACTTCTAAGCAGCATGACAATTCCGTCGAAAGACTCAAGATTTGCAGATAATAGACTATATCGGAATCAATAAAAGACATCAATAAAGTATCCAGTAGTTTCGGAGAGCCCCATAATAATGTCTATATGTACACACAAATTCCCGAAATCTCAGATTCATTTTGAATCCACCCTTTTGAAAAAAAAAAAAAAAGCCGCTTACAGAGCAGTCTTATCATCCTTCTCCAATTCCTTGAAGTTAAGCGCAACATGCTCAACCGCAACCTTATACCCATGAACTCCCAAACCAACAATAATGCCCGAAGCCTTATCACTAAAATAAGAGTGATGTCTCCAAGGCTCGCGCGCATGGACGTTGCTCACATGCAACTCAATGAAGGGAATCGATACGCCGAGCAACGCATCGCGGATAGCGACGGACGTGTGCGTGTATGCGCCGGGGTTGATAATGATTCCGTCGACATTGCCCCGCGCAGCCTGGATACGGTCAACAATTGCGCCTTCGTGGTTGGACTGGAAGTGCTCCAGGGTTGCGCCTAGGCTTTTAGCTTGGGACTTTGCGCTGGCTTCGACTTCGGGAAGGGTCGTTGAGCCGTAAATGTGGGGTTCTCGGGTTCCCAGTAGGTTGAGGTTGGGACCGTTGATTAGGAGGATTGATTTGACCATTGTCAATTGTGGTGGCTGTGATTGGTATTGAAATTTTGACTGATGGAATGGAGTATAGTATGGTTTCTAGAATGGAGAGGAGGCTAGATAGGAAGAAATAAATAATGGATTAAATTGATATCCGTCTGTTTCTCCGCATTTTTAATCGCCCCTCAGCGGCTGAGCACTTTACCGCATGGACGTTCCATAGTTCGAGTAATAAAACAGAGGTAAATTTCCGTACGAACTGAGGTTGCTACGATTAATCCTGTGTCGGTCTGTGAGAGCTTCGTTAGTTATTACCATTTGAAGTGTATAAGCGCGTCTGGATTTACTCTCCTTGCCTAATATTTCAAGGTAAGTTCCCTGATCTTCCTAAGAATTAGAGATTTGAGCTCAGTCCAAATGGCTGGACATCAGATGAAATAGAGCCCCGCTGGCTAAAAAAGATATTCATTCCTATGACTACTTGACATACAGTATGGTTAACTGACGTCCTCATATCCATTCAGAATCGGTTTATTCATTTCCTCAATCCCCTCTCTAGAAGGCTAAGACCAAGGACATGGCGATTGTGGCGGATTTTCTGGCCTTCCGTAATATTTTTGAATCAGAGCTCCATCTTATCTCTTTGAAGTATCGTTCCTACCCTTCATCCTTGAAACTAAAAAAATGTAGACCAAGCGTCGAGCAGCCTGCCCATGGTATTCATCCATCCACGGCTCTGGGAAAGTAGCCCTGACCTATCTATTTTGAAGTGCTCTATGTATGTATAGAACTCAGGTCACGTCACCTAATATCTTGAGGAGGTTCACCTATTATGTTACTTGGATACCTCTGACATTCAGCTGTTGATCAAAATATTCAAAACTCGGTAAGATGGAATTCACGGGCGAGTGCCCTAACCGAGTCCATACATCACATAAATGCGATAAATCTTAACTTTACATGCCAACCATCAGGGCTGGTATGAGGATCATGCTTTGCATACTCTAGATATGTACTTATCCTAGTAAATTGATAAATTTTCAGAAACTCATAGGACATAATCTGCCTGAGAAATAAGGCATCCAGGATACTTCATTAGGAAATATTGATCGCTGGGCAACTAAAGCCACCTGGGTAGAGGTAAAATGGAATCAAAGAGTCACCTGAGCAGGATCCTTCCAAGGGCTTAAAAACTTGTGATCTAAAGTGGAATGTAATCGAAAGGAGGGAAGCGATGCAATAAGTAAAGGATAGGTATTATAGTTAGTAGGTAATTGTTAATAACTACTTGCCCACTCTTTATGCTCTTGATGGAACCATAAACTTATCCTACCATCATAACACATAAGTATCAGCTTGATTTAAGAACAATCGCCAGCGTCCTACTCCATACTCCATACTCTTTAAAAATGACCATGTGTGAAGGACCCACAGTGGAGAGCTACGATAAGCCTGATCGGCTAGCAACGGTGCGATCCCCGACCATTTTGCAACGACAACTCACTCAACCCCAATCCACCTCCTCCAGACCTATTCAGCATCTACAAGTCGCCCATCTAGATCATCGTTCAATCTTGAGCTATACCAGAATCGCTCCGCTGAGCCACACATTCCAACACCCTCCGCCATGGCTGTTGACCCTCTCTCACAAGATGAGCTGAATGAAATATATACCTTTGCGGTGGACCTCGGCCGCAAAGCTGGAAAGATACTGATGGACCGTATCGAGATGCGGATCTCTAGAAGCGAGGCTCAATCGCAGAAATTTGAGGAAAAGGAGAATGCCGTTGATATCGTGACTCAGACCGATGAGGGTAAGAAGATATCTAGTCGTGGAGGGATCTTCGTACTGCTTGCAGAGCTAACTGTGATATCGATATAGATGTTGAACTATTTATCCGGACAGCTCTTCAGACTAAATATCCCAAGCACAAGTTCGTCGTCTTCTTACCCCGCACTTCGTACAACCAAGTTAACCTCCACCCCAGATTTCTCGGCGAGGAAAGCTATGCCAAAGGCCAGTCGCGCGATTACCTTATTGACGAACATCCGACATGGTGTGTCGATCCACTAGATGGTACATCGAACCCCAAACACCAATCTAATATTCCCGAGGCTAATCAACATCTCAGGAACCGTCAACTACACCCACATCTTCCCCATGTTCTGCGTCTCAATCGCCCTCATCGTCCAACACCGCCCCGTAATCGGAGTCATCTACCAGCCCTTCACAAACCAACTCTTCTCCTCCTGCACCGGCCGTGGTGCCTGGCTCAACGAGACACGCCGGCTGCCACTCATCCAAAACCCGTCTATCCCACCCATGCCAGCTAATGCACCGTCACAATGTATCTTCTCTTGTGAATGGGGCAAGGACCGCCGTGATATACCGGACGGAAATATGCATCGTAAGATCGAGAGCTTTGTGAACATGGCTGCGGAGTTGGGCTCGCGTAATGGGAAGGGTGGTATGGTGCATGGTATGCGCAGCTTGGGTAGTGCTACCCTTGATTTGGCATACGTAGCTATGGGATCATTTGATATTTGGTGGGAAGGCGGCTGTTGGGAGTGGTAAGTTCCAGACTTCAATCAATAAACGAGTTTCTCCCTGCTCATTGATTACTAGGGATGTTGCGGCTGGATTTGCGATTCTTCTTGAAGCTGGTGGGTTGATCACTACTGCTAACCCACCTGAGAATGTGGACACTGCTCCTATTGAAGAAGTGCGCATGGGAAGCCGGTTGTATCTCGCTATCAGGTACGTTTTGCCATATCTCGTTTACGACACTCTTAACTAACTTGTGTCTAGACCTGCTGGCCCCTCAGACACTGAAACTGGCCGCGAGTCACAGGAACGTACAGTGCGGGAAGTTTGGCGGCGGGTCCGTCACCTTGAATATACACGCCCTGGGGCTTAAGAGTCCCGTAGAACAACCAATGTACAGGTTTTGGTTATCTCAAATAACTTCAACGTCAATATTGTCCATATTGTCTTGTCCATATTGTCTATATACTAGGTGCACTGAAGATCATTTGGAGGTCAAAGTCATATAATTCGTAATCAGCGCCATCCATCTATAACCAAGGCAAGTGTCCTATATATATTCCATAATAATCACAGGTTAGACCTAGTGGCCGCTGCTCTCTTGGCCACAGACCCGTTGACAAGTTCTTTCACCTGCTCAACTAAAGCAGGATTACCAACAATATCCTCGCCAGTCCAGAGACGAGCCTGCTCAAGACCCTGCCAGACCAGAGCCTCTGAGCCCAGAATAACCTTCCAACCACCCACCGAAGCCAGCTCAGCAATCTCCGTCCAAGGAACGGGGTGGTAACACATCTCAAGAATGACACCCTCCTGCTTAGCCGCATCAGCGGCAGTGCCCAGGAAAGCCTGGATGACAGCACGAGCTTTGATCTCCTCAACAGTCTTGGGCGGGTAGTTGGGAATACCAGAGACAATAGCAGATGGGGATTCGAGCTTAGCGGCCTCGGCAGGGTCAGTCACATGTATGATAGGAGCCTGGGTAATAGGGTCTGGGTTACGCTGGCGGTCCTCAGCAATGATGGCGGCGACCTCGCTTGCGTCACGGTTGACAACGTAAATACGGCTTGAGCCGAGCCAGCGGCGCATGACATAGATCGCTGTGCGGGCGGTACCACCACCGCCAATGATGAGAGCGGGCCGGCCGCGGAAGCGTGACGGATCTGGTGCGTTCTGGGTCAATGCCTCGCGGATACCGTCGCAGTCGGTGTTTGTGCCGACTAGCTGGCGCTGGCCGGTTATTGGGTCGTTGCGCAAGAAGATAGTGTTACAAGCGCCTGCTTGGGTTGCGTGTTCGGTTAGGTCATCTAGGTGTGGCATAATGGCGACCTTGTGCGGCATTGTTACGGATGATCCGACGAACTTGGGGTTGGCGCGGATTGTGGCTAGGAACTTTTCGATCGGTGGGGATCGTGTGAATGGTGGTGGGTAGGTTTCTGATGTGCCTGTTACGCTGGATAGCGGGATCTGTGTCCAGTTAAGTCCGAGGGAGCTGTATACAGTCTGGTGAAGGGGTGGTGACATGGAGTTTAGTAGTGGGTGGCCATAGAGGTAGGCCACGCCATCCAGATTGACAGGGCTGGTGATGGGCTCCTCTGGTTGTTGTGTAGAGGTTGTGACTTGAGGTGCGGCCATTTTGAATGGATGATTTTAATTTTGACGAGAATAGAGAATGATATTATCGTAGGAGGGATTGGTGGTTTTATAAATTTATGAAGAGGTGGGGAAGTATGAAGTAATCGAAGTACCATATAACTAGTTCATAAAGGTACAGCCGCGGGGCGGAGAAACACTTTTCTCTTCCCATTCTAAACATAGTGAACGCTGCAACTAGTTACGAGTCCCAAATATCTATTCTTAAATCCTAATGGGATCTCATCTCCATACGGTCTAGGGCTAAGCGCTTTGCCCAAACACGCCCCTTTACCCCACGGGGAAATCCTTCTATGCAGAGTTTTTGGATCCAATCAGATTATGTTAGTTTCACCAAATTGCCCAATCAGATACACGGGACAAATACGATGCCTGTGACTTAATCTACGCGTGGATCTCAGATCAGCCCTGCCGGCCTTGTGTTCTTCCATTTGTAAAATGTCTATGATTGGTCGCTTTATCGTGGCTTGAGTCCAAATGAAACAAACCACGTGACCTGGGGTACCCCGGATTCGAGATTGTAGCAAGTCACATGTTCCATTCGACTTTTCTGGACTCACCGGAGCCACTTTTACACACTTCTTAACCTTTTTTCTTGGTATCTCTTCCTACCAAGGGCTTGGCTTCTGCTCGGCCTACTTAACATCTAACACTTCGTTTTGCCGGCCCTTAACCAGGTCATGTGAAAAGGCTAAAAGCAGTTATTTCTGCGCTATGTCTTTCTCCGCCTCCACTTCTCCACGAAGTTCGAGATTTTCATTTGCCCCTGTGGACCTCACGGGGGTGAACCCCAGATTTTCTCTTCTCCGCCGACCCTCCTGTAAAGAGTATTTAGATCGCCCCGTTCCTCTAGCTGTTCTCTCTTTTTTTCTTCATCCAACTCCTTGATAATCTCTTCTCCCCCTTAAAGAGGCAACAGTCCTCTTCATTAAGGGCCGCACCCTCCTCTGCGTATCAATTGCAGTCGCATCTTCTTTTTATCTTTGATACTCCATTCCAGCCACAATGGGTATCTTGTCATTGACCGAGGATCGGCCGACGCCAAAGGCTGTCTACAATTGGCGGATCTACCTATTGGCTGCAGTCGCCTCATGCACCTCCTGCATGATCGGATATGACAGTGCCTTCATTGGTACTACTCTATCTCTGGATTCTTTCAAGGCCGAATTCGGCTTCAATGATATGTCCACAACTGAGAGGAACCTCGTGAGCGCCAACATCGTTTCCCTCTACCAAGCTGGCGCCTTCTTCGGTGCCCTCTTCGGTTTCCCTCTCGGTCATTTCTATGGTCGCAAGATTGCGCTGTCCGTTTCTGCCCTAGTTTTCATGCTGGGCGCTGGTCTTATGCTCGGTGCCAATGGCGATCGTGGCCTGGGTCTGATTTACGGTGGCAGAGTCCTGGCTGGTGTAGGTGTTGGCGCTGGTTCCAACATCACTCCTATCTATATCTCTGAACTGTCTCCTCCAGCTATCCGAGGTCGACTTGTAGGTGTATATGAGTTGGGATGGCAAATTGGCGGACTTGTGGGCTTCTGGATCAACGTAAGTTTGCTTTGCATGAAACTCAATATTTATAATATGCTAACCTCTGTAGTATGGTGTTTCCGAGACCTTGGCTCCTAGTCATAAGCAATGGATTATTCCATTTGCCGTTCAACTCATCCCTCCTGGACTTTTGTTGATGGGTGTTTTCTTCATCCGCGAGTCCCCTCGCTGGTTGTTCATGCGCGGTAATCGTGAGAAGGCCATCAAGAACCTCTGCTGGATTCGCCAACTGCCCCAGGATGACATATACATGATTGAAGAAATCGGTGCTATCGACCAGGCTTTGGAAGAGCAGCGCTCAACCGTTGGTCTCGGCTTCTGGCAGCCTTTCAAGGCCGTCGGCAAGAATAAAAAAGTCCAGTGGCGTCTGTTCCTGGGCACCATGCTGTTCTTCTGGCAAAATGGTTCGGGTATCAATGCTATAAACTATTACTCTCCTACTGTCTTCAAGGTAAGCCCCTTTTGAGTTTACTCTTCTTCAATCACCTAGACACTAACGTCCCTCTGCAGGCTATCGGTCTTACTGGTACCAACACTAGTCTTTTCACTACGGGCATATTCGGCGTCGTCAAGACTGTGGCTACCTTCATCTGGCTCCTATACTTGATCGATCGCTTTGGACGCCGCAACCTTTTGCTGTACGGATCCCTCGGTGGCTCCATCTGCATGTGGATCGTCGGCGCATACATCAAGGTCGCCAATCCGGCCAAGCACCCCAGAACTCACATGAGCAGCGGTGGCATCATGGCCATGGCATTCTTCTACCTCTGGACAATATGCTACACTCCAAGTTGGAACGGAACCCCATGGGTCCTCAACTCAGAGATGTTCGACCCGAACGTCCGATCCCTAGCCCAGGCCTCCGCCGCCGCATCAAACTGGCTCTGGAACTTCCTCGTCTCACGCTTCACCCCGCAGATGTTCGCCTCAATGGGCTACGGGGTCTTCTTCTTCTTCGCCTCCCTGATGCTCTGCTCAATGGTCTTTGTCTTCTTCCTGATCCCCGAGACCAAGGGTATTCCCCTTGAATCTATGGATGCTCTCTTTGAGATCAAGCCTGTCTGGGTCGCTCACAAGCAGACTATTTCTCGTATTCAAGAGGAAGAGGCTCAATTCCGTCACGAGATTGAGGATTCGGGTCTTGCTGCTTCCAAGATAGATAATGAGCAGATTGAACATGCTAAAGCCGATCCCGGAAAGTTTGCATGATTATGTTGTTTTATGATTTTGATTTTTTACTTTGGTTCTTGGATAAAAGGATATGAATTGTAATGAATGTATATAGCGAATGCAATGCCTTACGACTTATATAATCTCCATCATTACCGCCGTCATAAACCTTGAAACTAGACATCTGAAAGACAGCAAAAACCCAGTTCTTTCTCCAAGCGATTGGATAAACCAAAGCATTTGATGAAAAAAGAGGTGCACATCGGCCGGGGGTAGTGTAAGCCCAGTGACATACGGTGTGGTCAGAGCCTGTGCAAGCACAGGAACTGACCACTAGGTGTAAAAAATAAGATGATCTTTATACATCAATTCTTGGTATCCAGGTGGAAGTTTTTTCTTCCAAGAGGACAAAAGAAAGAAAGAGGGAGAGGGGAGTTTGGAAGGGAAGGGGGTGGTTAACGGACTCACCTGCTTACTCTCCATACAATCGTAGTTGTTCGGGGTCACCACAAGGCCACACTCGCCAGCATATCCCAGTGGAAGAAAGTGGAAATAGGATAGCCGAGTGGTAATTTGAGTGGACCGAGTCGACCCCGCCTCAACTACCCAAGGTCACACTCGCCAGCACATCCCCTGTGTAGATGTAGAGAGTAGGATGGATGTACAAGGAACATGCTCCAAGTTTGAGTGGACCGAGACGACGCGTGTTGACCACTAAAGTCCAGGTCCGCAACGGAAAATGGAAGAGCTAGGAACGAATTCACGTAGCCAAGGGTGGTCAAATGGTCATGTTAACAAAAACTCCGTCGGCCACCTATTGAGGCAGCCGCAAGACTGGCATCTAGTGTGAACACCAGCCTTCCACCCCGAGTGTGGCAAGAGCCCAAATGCGTCATGTTAACAAACTCAAGTCAGCCGAAGCCAAGAGCCTGGTGCCTAGTGTGAACACCATTCTCCCACCCAAATAGTCCTGGCAGGATCTTATCAGAGTGGCAAGAGCTACGAGTGGTAACAAAACTCCAGACGACCACCCTCAATAAAGGTGGCCGAGAGTCTGATGCCTAGTGTGAACACCAGATATCCCACTCTGAATGTCGGAATGTGGTAAACCCAGGAGGACCGAAGTCACTGGGATCAGAGTGGCAAGAGCCCGATTCGTTTATCAAAACTTTTATAATAAAAGCCCGAGTCAGCCGGCCATAACGAACGGCAGACACCCACCTGACAGAGTAGGACCAAAGCCACTGGATCTGTCAGATGGAAAGAGTCACAATGTTTCAAGATTGTGATTTTGACAAAACTCCAGACAATCAGCAATTGGTCGAAAATCTAGCATCGCATTGTGTATGGCAGACTCCCACGCTGACAGAGCAGGACATTGGTAAAGTCACTGGGTATCAAGGGTGGCAAGAGCACGAATCGTGATGAAACCAAAACTATATCAGCACCTTCACAGGTTGCCGAGAGCGTCTGGCGCCGAAGCGTACTTAGGACCTCCCATCTGAATAACCCCGGATCATATCAACAGGATTATCAAAAGGCAATAGTTGCGAAATTTGTTCGCCTCGTGTGACCAAAACTATGTCAGTGTACCTAGAAAAAGGATTACTGAGAGACCTGACGCATAGTATGTACGTCAGATCTATTTCCATCTCTGAATATTCCTGAATCAAATCAACGGGATGTGACAGAGTGGAAGTATAGTCACGCAAGGTCGTCGACCGTCGTGTTACTCACTCTTTGCGTTGAGTGGTAAATGGTTGTCGTGTCAACCAAAACTAAGTCAGCCAACCTGATAAGAAAGCTGAGAGTCCAGTGCCTTGTGTGAACACTGGGCTCCCACCCTGAATAGTGTCGAGGATCTACCAGAGTAGCATAGCCACGAGTAGTCGGTTAGTTGAGTAGTCTGGACTTTGTATGCAGGTGTGTGTGTGCTGGGGAGAAAGAAAACAGAAACAAATGAGGTGGGTAACAGTGATGAGCGACGGTGATAAAGAAAGTAAATAAGTAAGAAAAGAGCAGTAATGAAGAACGAAAACAAATAACAGAAAAGATTTCGAAAGAAAATACAGTGGAGGGGTGATGGAGAAGAGAGAAAAAAAAAGTGAGGAAAGCTGGGAGACGGTCCTTTTAAGGGTCGAAAAACGCGTGCATGTCAACAGTAAATGACCTCATAGATGAATTATTTCCAGGCACCACCTAGTAACTTTGTTACAATTGTCGACATATATTAAAATTGAATATCATGATGTTTCTCTGTCATTTTATCGAATTATCTGAGTTGTAGCTTTCATGACTCAGCCAGTGAAGCTATAGTTAGAAATTGAAAATTACCTACACTACCTTTGATTACTTGATCGAGGAACAGCGGAGAATTATACAGGCAGTTCCATAAGTCTGTTCCTAATAAGACAATGACTACAGATTTGATTTGAAAATGGTGCTCACGACTACCAAAGCTCGTGATATAAGTCTCTGTTGAGCTCGTCTTCTAATATCATTTCGTAGATCTTTTGGTCCCTTAGTACCAACATGGAAGAGTCTAACAGCTAAGCTTGTGGAACTACCTGCTAACATTTGAGAAGGCACTGTCAATGAATATCTAGGTATTTTACCACCTCGATCTTGCTCGACTACTCATGATAAACCCATTAAGCCAACGGATCAACTGCAATATCGACCGGCTGACCAGTCTGCATTGCCTTCTGGATAGCCTCACAGACGACCAAAGCACGCAAACCCTCCTCCCCAGTACAACTAGGCTCAGCCACGCCCCTCACAACATCCACGAAATGGGCAATCTGAAGATCAAAGGGGGCCACATTATCGGGCAGATCAATCTTATCAATGGTCAATGGCTGCGACCAGCTCTTCTCCGGCTTCCCGTCATAACTCCAGCGCGTAAGATCCGGCACGCTAAGCGAAGCCTCCGATCCAAAGATGCGATAGAAATCTGACCCATTATCCGTAGGTACAATCATCGGGTTCTCACCCGTGCCAACCTCGAAGCTATGCGGCGAAGGCGTAGCATCACAAACAAGGAACGTACCCACGACATCAGAAGCAAAGCGGAGCGTGAGTGCAGCACCCTCATCTGCATCGTGAGGCTTCGGCCGTTGTGGGGTGATCCGCTCCGCCTGCACACGAACTATGGGCCCGAATAAGTGGTGCATGAGGTCAATATCATGGACGAGGTTGATGGGAATTACACCGCCGCCTCGATCCCGAGATGCGTGCCATTCTGTCGGCGATGCAAAGTACGAATCTGGCTTGTAGAGTGTCCAGAGGCCGTTGACCGCAATGAGACGGCCTAGAGACCCTGCATCAAGAATGGACTTGGTGGCACGTACGTAGGGATTGAAGCGGCGGTGGTGACCAGCTAGAATCTTGAGATGCGCATGCTCGGGCGCTTTGGCAAATTCCAACAGTGAGCGGCCTGTTTCCAGGGTATCGCTCACAGGCTTCTCGAGGAGAATGTGAATTCCACCTGCTAGTAGCTCTTTTGCTACTGGGACATGTGTATTATTTGGAGTGCATATTATAGCTGCCTCTGGGCGGTTCGGTGATGCTAGTAATGCTGCTATGGAGGGATAGTAGTCTGTTTTCAATTCGGAAGCTGTGGCTGGGCCTGTAGGTGCGGGATCAACAAGTCCAACTAGCTCTGCTGAGGGGTTTTTGACGACGGAGTGAGCATGACGAGGTCCAATTATACCTGCGCCAATGATGGCAATTTTAACAGACATTATAATTTGTTTTGTTTTGGAGATATCAAGATGAAACTGTCAAGAATCAAAGGTCAGGATACAAGTACTCTGGATTCGGATTGAGACGTACCAACTGAATTGGGGTAGGCGACAGATATAAATACTCGTGGTTTTTAATGACTCAGAATGAAAGAACCTTGAATGCTGCAGTCTTGGCAACATAAACGAACTGTTAACCAGTACTACTTTAGTTACTTCAACTAAAATTCCGGGGTAAATGAATTATGTAATAAAGTGGGGGGTAGGCGGATAAACGCTTTCAACTAGAAAGTCTTAGCCGGCTGATATCCCACCTTTTAGAGGCGAAATTTGAAAAGGTCCAGAATTACAATCAGCCATTGCACCCTCATTCGTTAAGGGAAGTACGTTTAGTCGCTCCTTATTCAGCTCAGCCATTATCCGCATAAGTCCCGTAATTGTTTAGTTTGTTCATCTTACAATTTCAAATTTCTCTGCATTTCTTGTCCTTATATCGAGTCTCCTATCCATCTGCGCATTTACTCGCCTTCCATTCATATATATAAATCTCCATATATAGCAACCGTCATTATGGTCATCAACCGCCCCGGCATCGCATCCATGTCCCTGGGTCGCCCCGGCATCCACGACCTCCCAGGCAAGCTGATGCAAGCTGCTGCACATGGCTTCGAGGGCATTGAGCTATTTTTCGACGATCTAGACTTCTACGCTCAACGCACATTTAACGGTGACCACCTTGCAGCCGCACACGCCACCCGGCGGTTATGCGAGCGCCTCGGCATGGTCATCATCTGCCTGCAGCCCTTCTCCATGTACGAGGGACTGATTGACCGAGCTGAGACTGACCGTCTCCTGCACGATAAGCTCCCCAAGTGGTTCCCCCTAGCGCGGGCGCTAGGCACAGACTTGATCCAGGTCCCCTCGAACTTCCTCGGGCCGGACCCCGAGACCGGAAAGGCGCGGACGACAGCTGATCGCACCGTGATTGTGAACGACCTGCAGCGTCTTGCTGATTTGGGAGCTGGTGCTGGATTTCGCTTCGTTTACGAGGCTCTCTGTTGGGGTGACCATGTCGATACCTGGGAGGCCTCTTGGGAGATTGTCCGTGATGTGGACCGCTCCAACTTCGGACTATGCTTAGACTCATTTAATATTGCTGGTCGTGTATATGCTGATCCGGCCTCACCAACCGGTTGCACACCAAATGCCGCTGCTGATCTCGCCGCCTCGCTGGAGCGTTTGCGGACTGCTAATATCGACCCCGCCAAGATCTTCTATGTGCAGCTTGTTGATGGTGAGCGCCTTACTTCTCCTCTTGATGAGAAGCATCCCTTCCATGTGGCTGGTCAGCCCGTCCGCATGTCCTGGTCACGAAATGCTCGTCTGTTTCCGTTCGAGGAGGAGCGTGGTGGGTATCTGCCTATCTTGGATGTCGCGCGTGTCTTCTTTGAAGACCTCAAGTTTAAGGGCTGGGTCTCTCTCGAATTGTTTAGCCGCACATTGGCTAACACTGACCCATTTACTCCGGCTGATCATGCCCGCCGTGGTATTGAGTCTTATAACAAGGCTGCTGAGATCTTCCAATGGGAGGGTCAAGAGAAAAAAACAGTCACAATGGTTCCAGAATATATCCCTGGGCCCGCTCCTCAGCATCATCTGTGAAGAGATGATTAATGGCACGATTTATCCTACTTTAACTTGATATGTATATAGTTTTTTACGTTTGATGATTGTCTATGATACATAGATAGATCTAGGTACAAATACCCAGGCGATTGGAAGACTTGATGCGCGCATATTTGAGCGCATAAGATAGGAGCTCTTCCAGCTTGGAAGTTTCTTATATGATTTGTTTCCCAGTTTTGAACTTCACTTAGCAAATAACAGCAAAATAGACCTTACTTTGATTCAAAGGGATATATCCATCATCTTCTATCATATCGCTTCGTGTACCGAAAGGTGGGTTAGATACAATACTATACAGATTAGTCTTTTTTCTTCTTGAAATGAGGGCTTTCTAATTTTGGGATTTAACCTAATACGGACTAGTAAATCGGCCATCAGCCCCACTTATATGCTCCTCTTGCCTGCCAGCACGAACACTTACCTCTCGCCTGAGCACCAACTCTCTAGTGCTGTCACACTGCGGCTTTTGAACTCACCAGAAAAGTCATCTTCTCATGGCGACCTCCTTTCAAGAAGAACCGTTTAGGTTCCCTATAGATGCTTTCCTTTCGCAAGCCCAGCGCCCATTCAATTACAACCTGCAGAACGAGAATCTGTTCCCGATTGAGCATTTCTTACCCTTCCGAAGAGGAGGACCTGCTGCTGCAAGGTCTTTCTCTGCCATGCAGCCAGCACTTGGACTGATTTCGAGAATCATCCTAACACGACCCAGCACCTTTGGAATCTTTGTGAAGCGTGCAGAAGCTGGCTCTGAGGATGTTTTCCTCGACGATAGTACCGAGATTCCTGTTCCTGACGATGAAATCATTACGGCTATCAAAACTCATATGCATTTCTTTGAGCTGAGCTCAGACCCGATGTCGAGTTTTTCCGAAACCATATTCAACCCAAAATCCACCAGGGACACTGTATGCCTCGATTACTCTCTAGTCGAGGCACTTCATTTCGAAAACGACGGCAGCAACTCAAAACCCCCAATGCTTTTCTTTCTAGCCGCTCTCATTGGTCACGAGATTGCACATATCCTCGAATTCCGGTGTATTCGTTCGGGGCGCCTGAATGGTGATAACGCTTTTGTTACGCCTCCGGGCCTAACTTGCCGGGAGGCAGGAACTGCGTGGGAGGTCCGCACTTTTGGGGGGGGAAGATAATGCCCCTATGCTCTCCCAATATGATTATCTCTGGACTACGAGGCATAGGACTCAAGAGGGTAGCCTGGGACTACATGGTTATGAAAGTTGACGACAGATTCTTGAGCGCTCTTTTCACAGAGGAACACTGGACACCAACAAAACCGAAGAACCAGTTACGAGATTACTCGGTTTCAATTACTGCTTAATGTGCAGTGATTGAAAATGCTTTGGACGATGAGAACTCAGCCCCATCGACACCGGGGAAAGGGAAGCAACGTATATATGCCTTTGCAGAATTCCCTATGAAGCGACCTCGTCAACGAATCTTTCGAGAGATTAACAAATGCGGCGGTACATATGTGGGAGTTGGCTCCGCGTCTTTACTCAATCCACTACGATCGCAGGAAGCCCAACGAAGCGACCTCGTCGACGACTTGGTTGAGAGATAAATAAATTTGGCGGCATACATTTGAAACTTGGCCCCACGCTATTATTATGCCTTGCTATATCTTTTCAGTGACTCTTGTTTCTTGTACCGTGATACTAACTTTCATTTGTACGTTTAATACAAAAGTACAACTATTATATTCAAAGTGCACCTTATTAAGTAGTCATTAGTCTCCCCCAGTGGTATCTAGCCTTGAAGCTACCTCTGGTATGAGCATGCTGCAACTGGCACCCTTTTTCATTACAGTAGGCGCTCCACTGATTATCGGGCAAATAGACTGCTTTGATAGCGTCCATGCTAGTAATAGTGCTTACGCAGCGTGCTGGTACCTGAATGAATCCGAAATTATGCATACTGTATTCCGAAGAAGGGAATTGACAGAGATTCCCTCAAGTGTTCACGACAAAGGGTCTAGCTGTCTCAAAAACTCCCGCAGTCTAATCTACAAACTGGACGAAACCCCATTACCCCTTCTCTCTCTTATGATTTGAGGTTCTGAGTCAGAGGGGCGTCGGAATCGGGGCAGCATCCGCGTGGAATGTTGGATTGATCTCCGGTTGAATGACTTGCCAGAAACTCATGTGTCGTACTTCGCTGGCTGGTTCTGTTTCGTCTTGATAAAGTTGTTGTAAATGCTCTTGGTTGGATTTCTCTCCATTGTTTTCAACACGTCACGTTGCTCTATTTGACTGTGTTTTCCCTCAAGCACTCCGACCTCTCGAACCTCTGTCGCATGCTTCGGCGAAGGTCTTATTCCTTGTTATTGATGAAATGCTGTTATGCTGAGTTCATTTGTGGGTGGACCCTGTTATGGAATCCTCGAGATTGGCAGGCGAATTTCTTCTGCAATGCTCGGGATGCTGAACCTGGGAGACAGACGGGTTTGGTGGAAGCGAAGGCACGGATATCACCCTCCTCTAGTGTTGATTGAACACACTCCGAAACCCATGAAAATGCTTCAGAAAAGCCAAGAAAAGCTTCTCAAGCATAAATATCTTCTTACACCAAAGCTACAACAGGGTCTTACACGTCTTTGCCACTATCACCAATTACGCGATACAGATGTATTTACATATCATCTATTGCTCTACTAGGAACTAATCATACCATAGATTTCAGACCAGCTAATATCCCTGCTAAGCTAACAAAGAATGGCGTCAACTATTTGTCCAAGGATTAATTGCTCTCTCTCTCTCTCTCTCTCTCTCTCTCTCTCTCTCTCTCTCTCTCTCTCTCTCTCTCTCTATTTCTCACACACACACATAGGCCAGCCCCAGAAGACACATATGTATATGTTTACTGAAGTGAGGACCTTCCACCATCTTCGCCACAATACCTCACACTTCCTGCCAACATGGAAATTGATGTGGAAAGGGATATCAGCCCGCCCAAGAACACACTATCGGCCTGGCCTGCGACTTATGGGCGCTAGGATGCACACTTTTTCGAGATCCGGAAACAGATTGCACTCCGGTACGGGATTATGGTGAAGAAATGCTACCAGATATAGTGCGTCTCCTTGGTAAACTACCTCTGTGGGATGATTGGAAAGCATGAAGGAATTTATCTACTGATGAGGGAAAATTCATCTCATTCGGTGTCGAATACCCACTCGATGCAGCGCTAAGAGAGGATACAGAAGTTGTATCTGTCAGGCAGCCAGATGAGACTGGAGCGATGATCAGTTTGCTACATGGACCCTTAATCACACTCCAAAAGGAACAGCATTTAATAGCAGGTCTTCTGCGTAGGCTATTGAGCTACGAACCTGAGAATCGTCCAGGAATCGAGGAGGTACTGGCGCATGACTAGTTTAAGATGCCAATGAAGGGAATTGAGCCCACTAATTAAAGACTTATGCCCAGTATTGATTAACTAGGAAGATGATCAGTAGGTAGTGGCTGACTGAACGAAGCCCACTGAGAGACTTTTTTGATAGGGCAACGGATAAATCTAGGTAGGTTGGAGGCTGAACCAATCAACATAAGAACTGGAGATTCGGTGAGAACTACACTGCAATTTTAGCTCTCCAGAGGGGTTGGAGGAAGGATGCTGGGCCAATCAACATAAGAACTGGAGATCCAGTATCCAAGAGTCATGGATCAACCTCAATCTCGTCGCCTTGGCTCTATGAGGACTTGACCATAAAACCTTCCAAGAATCGATACTCTGAAAATGAAGTCTGGACGTCAGGATGATGCTGACTGTCGGGGCGCTTGTCCCTCCTGGGCGATAGACGAAGGTATTCAAGGTTCTTTTCTCGTCAATGACTGACGCATCAATCTTCACCCTCCATCTTCATCTCCATATCTATACTATTCATCTGCTACGGCCATAGCTAGGTTTCATTGAAAAGTCTGTCATTATGCCAGAATATACACTGTCAGAAGCTGTTGTTCCAAATGACCTCATCTTAATCAACGATCGCCGCATTGACCCCAGCAGCAAAACCGAGTACCTTCTCTATCCAGCTATGTTCCGCGTCCAGACAGTATGTGGAGACAGCACAAATCCTAGTGCCTCTTCCGTCTTTGTCCAGGAAGTCCTCCGCAAACGACTGCCAACTGCCGGGTACTGGACCATGGATGGTCCCGACGTTCGCTTTTTCAACGAAGATGAGGCTGGAGATACGGAGCGCGACTCAGACTCTGAGGATTGTGACAAAGATTCTTCTCTTAACAACAATTTGCAGAAGGTCCTTGATTCATTTGAGAACCCAGTGAAAATCATCGTAAAACCGCATGGCCGGTAAGTTCCTGCACTCCCCTAGGTTCTAGCCCTGTCATACATTGCTGACTTGGGATTTTTAGAGATGTCCTGAAGTATTACTACTGGGGCCACTGCCCGGAATGCGGCGGATCAGGCTCATTCTGCCCCGGCTGTGGTGGTGTTAGCAGACGATGGCCAGATCTCTTTGGCAGTTGCGGCGTGGACCAATCATGCCCTGTATGCCTTGGCTATGACTTTGCATATAGGGAAAAGTTGGAGCTTCGATATCTGGAGCAAGCTAGCGACTCCATCAGTTATGCAATCAGTGCGCTGAAGAAGCCCGACTCATCCAAGACTATCGAAGAAGTGCTGGCAATGAAAGCAGAGTATCTCTTGGGGGAAAGAGAGAGGTATAAACTTATCAATGCCCAACGGGCCGAAATGGGCATGAAACTTCATAATGTGGAGAAGATCGTGGATATTCTTGATAATCTGGAGTTCCTTTGCATCAAGAATGATAATGTCGATGACACTGCTGACAGTGATACTACTGGCGAAATCGTCGATACCGCTGGTGTTGTTTATGTTTCTGGGGATGTCGATACTGCTGGTGATAGTGGCAGTGGGAGTGACACAGCCTAAGGGGTCCACTATTCAGTCACAAGGCATCCTATGCTCTACACTTGTACTATTACTTATTGATGACGTTTTCCAGGGTTGTTTTCCATTCTGGGATGATCATAATCCACTTCTTTCCCAACATGATATTAACAGAGAGCGGGGTTATAGCTATTCAATAAATTCAGTGACCAACAAAACTAGTCAGTAGACGCGCCAAAAGGTCTTTCTCATATTTCAACCCTTCCAAGATCATAACCATTTATTGCCCAACTGGACAAGTCCCAGGAGAAGAACCTCGTCTTGGAGGTAGTAAAGTACAAAGTGATAGAATAGGATAGACTGCTCTAGGTTGTTGAATGAGGAAGTGCGAGATATGCGGCGACAGCGAAAAGAGTATATCGAAATGGTTAAATCAGCCGAACTTGAAGATAGCCTGCTCTCGGGTTGCCTACGTAGTACAAGGAGCCATATGATAGCTTATGTGTGTGGTATACTTGTATTGGAAAGCTTGCCCATATAGTTTCTATAATCGGGTTATACAAGAGTTAGAGAGGAAGGATCAACCTTGACAAAACATTGAAAGTGCTGCATTGAAACCTTCCTTTTTTCATCAGAGGTCCGTCATAAAAAATCGGTCATGCCACCTTCCAAGGGTGGAAGTTCGCTCTCCGATCTCTGGAAAACTTGGACTATGACGCATTGTATATTTAGCATACCTAGGTATGCGTTGGCCATGTTAGAAGAAATAGACCTTGACTCTGAGGTCCTAAGTGCTAGGTCATCAATGCGCAAGCCCTGGATGTGGGGTTCTCGTTCAAGTGATGTACAATAAGGCTCGTCTCTGCCAGCTAGATTCAAGCTAATGCATTCCTAAGCTCTTTTGCTACTTTGGCAAAATGGGACCTATCTTCCGATTGAATGTGACTTGAATCTAACTAACACCACCCAATTTTGAATCTTCAGTCAAGGGGCAGCTTACAGCCCTCTCAATGATCTTCAGATAATGCAGTATGTCGTGTTCCAATGTTGGCAGGGGTATGTTCCAAGATTGGGATGTGGCAAAGGTCTCTGACGGTCTAGTACAGTCTCAGGACAAAAGTACCGTCAAATTAGGTTAGCTACAGAGTTTTGCTGACCAAATCACTGATCCCCCGGTAAAATGTAGATCAATTGGGGTCATGCTCCATGTGCACATCTACTTGCTGAGAGGGGTAATATGGTAATATTTGAAACGCAACCCGAGTAAAATCCGTGCACCTGTACCTAGAGGTCGGCACGGTTTTACGGATATCCGTATCCGTAACCGTAACCGTAGAATTTCTACGGTTACGGATACGAATAAAATCTCTACGGTTACGGTTACGAATAAATGCCCTCTATCCGTACGGATATCCGTAATATCCGTAGCTTATATCACGTGTCTAGAACCACATGCAGTTCTAATATATATTTCCAAGTCTATAGAGTTATAAATCTCATGTAATTCTCAAGTAAAAGAAATTTCAATTAGGAATCAATATTATATACATCTCTTAACAAAACTAACTCTCTCATGGTCTTACTGTTCAGAGATTGTCGACGAACACCCAGGATATCCCTTACAGAACTGAAAAGTCTTTCAACTGAAACCTCAGCTGCTGGAATACCAAGGTAGTCCCTTGCAACTGCTGCCATCCTGGGGTATTGATCCTTATGAGCGTTCCACCATGAAAGCAGCCACTTAGAGTCATCTTGGTCTTCTATTAATCCTTCTACTTGAATAGGAGGCTCATCAAAATAGCGATCAATATCAGAAGCCCGAGATACTTCTTGAGAATGTACTTTTTGTAGAAGACGAGCTCTCATACCTGGTCGAGCAGGAGGATCCATAGTTCTAGAAGTAGAACTAGAGATGGAGGTAGCCAAAGGGGGATATTTCTTATGAAGAAAGACCTTAATGCTCTGAATGATTCCTTGGATAACCCCATCTTCAAGCTCTTGTTCTAAAAGAGCAAATTTGACACGTGGATCAAGAGCAAGAGCTATATAATAGATATCTTGCATATCCATAAGATCATAGTATTTCCTATACTTTTGCATTCCAACCAAGACAGCAGAAGAGATATCAGGACTAAGCCCTATAAAGTCGCCTTCAAAAGAAGCTGCTTCTATAAGGAGGTCATGCAATTCATAGTAAATAGGAATTACTAGACTTATATGAGGTTGCCGCTGAGAGATAAGTTGGGTAAACTCATAGAATCTTGAAAGAACCATGGCAAGATCACGAAGATTAGACCAATCATCATTTGAAAATGGTATCAGCTGATTCTGAACATTATTCCAATGTTTAATCTGCTCTTGAGCAAGGATAGCATCTTGAATCATAAGATATGTCGAGTTCCAACGTGTCTCGATATCATACCTAGAACTATAAGTATATATAAGAAAGAGAGAAAGGAATCTTGCTTACCGAACGAGCTTATCAGGTAATCCATGCGTCTGACAAATGATTTGCCACTGCTGCTGTCTTTAAGGACTTCCAGATACCCAAAGGGCTAAGATTCGTACACGAGCTAGCGCAGAATGCCCAGCTGGTAGGCTCTTATGGCCCTTTAGGATACCACAGGCATCTAAAGAAGATTGATAATCGCCAGATTTCAACTCTGATAGAATCTTTTGGACAATGAGATTCAGAATATGCGCCAGGCATCTAATATAGCTATCAAGACCTATCTTAAGTGAGTTTAGATAATTAAAGAGAGAGAGAGAGAGAGAGAGAGAGAGAGAGAGAGAGAGAGAGAGAGAGAGAGAGAGAGAGAGAGAGAGAGAGAGAGAGCTTACCCTGAAGATTTGCTGGAATGCTGTAGACTGAAGAGCAGTGAAAGGGATATTCTCCAAGACTATCCATCGAATCAAATTCTCCTCTAATGCCTCTAACATAGATTGACTAGTTTTTGTCCGAAACATAGAAACAATAGATGCTTGCTGAGTTGCTGATGATATCATTGATCCATGTTTTTTTCATCAGATGCGTTTTCATATTAGAAGTTGATGTATCTCTCTGGGAATCCAAGATCTTCCATTCTCCACAATGAATACATACAATCTCTCGGTCCTGTAACGGCCCTTTACCCCGTTTAGGATGCCAGAACTTCCCTGGAAGATTGCGGATTGTAAATTGACTCCAAAGGGCTTGGTTTTTGGATTTTGGTGTCTTGGGCAAAGAAGAGTCTAAAGGAGTAGACACTATAGAAGAGGTTGTTTCAGGGATTTGACTCGCTGAATCATTCGGAGAGATAGATTCATCTTCATCTTCATCTTCATCTAATGGGGAGTGATAACGTGGTTGCTTTTTGATACGATCACTAGGATCAGCTTCCTCATCACTACCATCATTTAGAACAAGGTAATCCTGTCGTGGAGCGCGTTTAGGGCGTGGTAGGAGACTCATTCTATCAATGAATGGATAACTATTTAGATATCAAATTAGGGACTTCGGATGATAAGTTTCTATCGTAGTATCGTATGATTTATTTAGGCGGTGGCATAATATCACGGATATCCGTAATCCGTATCCGTAACCGTAGAATTTCTACGGTTACGGTTACGGATAGAAGCTCTCGACTACGGTTACGGATACGAATAATCCAAAATCTTACGGATATGTATCCGTGCCGACCTCTACCTGTACCTGGTTTGTCTTCTTTTGCAATTTCGAAAGATTCTTGAGGTCCATTTATCCATCTAGAGTTAGAAACTGGGGTCCACGAAAGTGACGGGGTATTGATGGATCCATTACAGAGCTACCTAGGTACCTATGTCCATACCTCCAATTGCCTAGGTGAGTTCTTTGACCTCTGGCCACATACAGCATCAACTTTGGAAATTATCAGCCCTATAGGTATGTGTTACCGAAAACTCGAGCTCGGAACCAGGACTACCTCTTAAGAAATACTACTCCCTCTAAAATCGCTCCTTGGAATACTAGGTATCAAGGTACTAATGAGTGACCTGTTTAAGACAAGATTAGGGTGATTTCTTTTGTGATTGACATCCTAAGGTCCATTGTCTAGGGCTTCCCCTTCCCCGAGACAATATCAATTATTTCTATAAATAGCGGGAAAATAGGGCTCTAGCCAAAACAGAATTGGAGAATAATGGCACCAGTCTCGGAACTCAGCGATCTAGATAGTTTATTATCCGATTGTTTCGGTATATCCACGGATGTACTCCAGGGCTATTCACTTACAAGGTCAACCTCTTACCTATACATGTAGCCATGGGTTTACACCTGGATAGTTGAATTACACTTCCCTAAAGGGGCTCTCAGCAACATTGGATCTGGAGCAACCCATACAATTAGAGAGATTTAATTCAAAGGTCTTTTAATTCTACTTCCTCCACAGCAGAGATCAGCAAGGTTGAAATGTTCCACTTTATTCTTAGCATGAACTTGCTAGCGCTTCTTTAAGTAACTCTCGTCTACTTCGTATACTGTCTCCACTTCATATATAACTTTGAGGACAAGATCGAATGCTTGGAACATACTACGCGCTTTCAAGTAACTTCTACCGGCTTTTCAATAAAAAGTCTCTTTATTCACTGGACATTTGAAGAGATATTACGTTTTATCAATATCTCCCCTGTGGCTTAGAATCAGTGCCAATCACTTAATGAGAGACAATATAGTGGGTATCAAACTTTGTGATGAGGAAAAGTTTGTATTGACTTTAGAAATAAAAGGGGTAAAAATCCTATGGTTGACCTAAATGTCTGTTGCCCAGATGGTGCCTCAGGGCAACCAATTGCCCGATTGATAACTATTCGTGGGTACTAAATATACTATATACTATAGTTACACGTGCTGATAGGAGATTTACCGGCATTGGATGCATCATTCTCATTTCCAATCGGCAAATAAAGAGAGATCGTACCTGGATCGATAGGTTAGATCTCAGATTCTTAGATTCGCGAACCTCGAAATAAGTTTACTAATCTCAACTCATTTCATCCTGTCAAGAGGTTGAGTGTGGATAGCGCCCTGAGCCGTGCGCCCTTTAGCCGGGCCCGCTGTTCGTAACAATCCATTGCGTATGCCGTGATGCCATTAAAACAGCCAATTTAGAGGCTCGGAGAAGATAAACGTTCCAAGGTTTAAAGATCGAGATCAAATTCTGTTGCGGAGAAAGATCTATGTTGACTTTTCTGCCACGTTCATCGCTTGTCACTCCTTTCTTCCTCCGCATCCCCTCTTCATCTCTTTCTACCTGCAGTCCTCGACTCTCTTTTGAAATTCCCCCTTTTACTTCTATAATTGAAGACATAATTCTCCGCTATATCTTTTTCCTTCCATTCTCGACCCCCTATCCTCTTACGAGCGCTCACGAAGGCCAAACGAATCTCATTCCGCTTCAGAACAAGCGCTGGTCACCAACATCCGCGCCTATCTATCTGAAACGCCGTGTTGCACATCAGGCTGGCACTGCATTAGTATGTTGGTTTATTTTCCTTTCTTTTTCCCCCCTCCCTCGTGCTGGAAGGAAAAATTGGCTATCCCTTGGAGTAGTTGGGTCCTCGGATTATTTGAATTCGACCCGGTCTGGCCTCACAATCCCGACAGCTCACCTCATCCTGGACCTTTGGACCCTTGCACGGGGCCCACGCCTTACGATTATTCAACTGATACCACTAGATCCTTTGTGTTAATGAAGCATTAGTCTGCCTTAGTTGCCAATCTTCTTTCCGCCCCACCCTCCTCCCCTGTCGCATACCCCCTCTGATCCCGCACAACCATTTTTGTCACCTCCAGTCTATCTATAGCTAGGCTTCTGGTCCAACTTGAGAAAGCGCGAACGCTGGAAGTCCGCGCTCTCGTGTGTTCAACAACGCTATTCCTGTGGCTCGCACTCTATTGATTCGCGGAGCGCACCCGTGTTCGAATCGGATACCCAACTACAATTCAAGCCCGCGTGGGTGGCTTTGAACAAAGATTAGTTCAGGATGGAGTCACCACCTACTTACCCTGAATCCCTGTTGGACCAGGATGATGTGCCTTACGCCTGTATGGCATGTGGGGAGGTAGGCCTTTTGTAGAGCTTGCTCATGATGATATCATAACACTAACAACGTGTCAGATCTTGGAAGAAGGGAAAGCTTTCGAGCTCTGTAGGTCATATAGTTATCATAACAATTTCGGAATCCCAGTCCCGTCGCTAACCTCCTCGAAGCCGGACAGAGATGGCACATCGATTGTTTCCGGTGCAGCACTTGCAACACGCTCCTCGATTCGGACGCTCACCTCTTGCTCCTCGGCGACGGCTCACTGATTTGCAGTAACTGTACATATAGCTGCAACTCGTGTGGTAACAAAATCGAGGACCTGGCTATTCTTACAGGAGATCAGGCATTTTGTGCACAGTGCTTCAGATGCAGAAACTGCAAGAAGAAAATTGAAAACTTGCGATATGCTCGAACATCACAAGGTATCTTCTGTATGGACTGTCACGAATCTCTGATGCAAAGACGCCGGAAGAAAAAGTCTGCTGCGAAGAAACCAGGCGGACCAGGTTTCAAACTAGACAAATCATTACCTTCCCTGCCAAATATGGATGAGGTGCAATCACTGGAAGACTTGCCTATTGATACATACATGGAGGCAACGACAGATTCTCTTCAGGGCAAGCTCGATGGTGCAGGCGTCCCGGATCAAACAGAGACCACAGGTAAGGAAACAATGAACTGTTCAAACCCATTGAACTTAGGACTAATTGAATTCCCTCTCTTTTTAGACGGACTTATTCTCCCTTCGAGCACCTACCGTAGTAGTCGTCACCTGGGATCTCAACGTGAAAACGACACGGACGGAGGCGAGCTTCTGATTCCACTTACCTTTGATCCCTCTGAGAATCAGCGAACCTCTCCCCGTGTCGCACCCCCTCCAACCCAGGAAACCTCGCGCGACTACTTCAATCAGGCTCGATCTGGTGATCCCTCTCACGGCCCTGAGACCACATCGGGGTCTTCAATGGAGACCACATCGCCTCATATTGCGTACCAGGAAAAAGGCTGGGAACGCACTGATGCAGATGTGCCTAGGCGTGACTTGGAAGGGACGAATGGTTCAGCTGCGAAATCATCTATCACCAACAGCATTAATAGACCTGAACATACCGCATCCGCTCGCAGCTCTCGCTCCGACCTGCCACTTTCATTGCGAGAAACTAGCGCCTTTTCTGGGGCGACTAGCCCTGAAAGTAAAAGGTCAAAGGAGGATGCCATACGGCCAACTCTGGATACAACGATGTCTACACGTCCGTCAAATGAATTACGCCGACTACATGAATATGGATCAACGGATTCGTCTCATTCACAACCTTCTATCATGGCATACCCACCAAGGCGCAGTGATTCACTCAACACCAAGCTTCATGAAATCCCACGAAAAAATGTTGAGGCCTCGCCGAGTTCCTCAGTCTATGGATCCCCTACACTACCGGACATTTCTGCCGAGATTTTGAAACGGAACTTCAGCCCAGCCAATCCGTCGCTGCCAGTTACGCAGCGAAAAGACAGCGCAGGCTCCTCATCTCTACCTCAGGGGCGGTTCAATGGCAGCGATTCGTCACAGGATGAGGATATCGCACGGTTCATCGGAGTTGATGAGTCGCTGAATGGCCAATCCAACGATGGATTCTTGCGACGGGTCTCAAACTCTGTCCGCCATGGCCGCAGCTACAGCGACAAGAGTGTGCGTCTTGGAAAGGATGGGAAATTCCAAAAATCACCAACGAATGGAAGCTCGGAGATCGGTAGTCCAACAATCAGTACTTCTCAAAACGAGGAGATTTCTTGGCTACGAAATGAGCTGCAAAAAGAGCGTCAACGAGTTTCAGAGATGGAGGCAGCCCTCCGCGCCACAGCTGATGTTAAGAAAGTCAGCACCGAGCTTTCGGAAAAGCGATCTACCATGGTCGTGCTTGACGCTCAACGAGAAATGGTGCTACGTGAGCTGACGGTACTCACGGAGCACTTGGAAGCAGAGAAGCGCGGGGCTATCGGTGGACCATTGGATCTTGGCAAGCTTTCAAACCACGTTTTGCGGGAGCTTGCTGAATCCATCCAGAAGCTGAAAGAATCATACTCTCCACAAATCGAGGCGCTTATCCAAAAACGCAATGATCTATCGGAGGAACTGGTCGACATCAACAACCAGAAAGACAAGGCTTTTCAGGAGTTTGAACAAGTCTCATCGAAGAATGCTCAGCTAGCTGAGCTGAACAATCAGCTGGTGCACCAGATCCAAGAGCTCTACAAAGTCAACTCAGACCAACGTAGTGCCAATGGTCTCGGTATTGTATCATCTCATAGCAAGGATAAATCCGTCAACTCCCTGGATAGCTTCAAGACTACAATGAACGATCTGACCCCGTCGCTTTCAACTGCACACATCTCGGAGGGAGAGCCTGCGACTGCTACGATTATGCCCGGTCCACAGGTTGTCAACATTCGCAAGGGCCAACCTCGCAAGTTCAACTGGAAGAAAGGTGGGCAAAATGTTGCAAAGGGTGTCAAGGGTCTCAAGGGAGCCTTCATGTCCAGCGATGCTGTCGGACCGGAGCCCGTTGGTGGATTGCCTCGCTCTCAGACTCAAGATCCTAGTCGCCAAGGCTTCGGCTTCTTTGGCAATCAGAAAAGCAAGCAGGGCGGAAAGATGTCGCAGGCCGACAGCGTCCCGGTACTGACTGAAGCTGCAGGTGGTATGTGTTTTATATCTATTACTTCAAGTGATCCCCAGCTAATCAGTCTTGTAGCTCTCTTTGGCGTTGAATTGGAGGTCCGTATGGAACATGAAAAGAGCATCATTCCAGCAATTGTCACTCGGTGCATTCAGGAAGTTGAATTGCGAGGTTTGTTCCATCCCATCATCTACCAATGTGTGGATTTTTCACTGACTCTAATTAGGTATGGACATGGAGGGAATTTACCGCAAGTCTGGTGCCGCATCTGCCATTCAGGGTATCAAGGAGGGTTTCGAACGGTCTCCGTTTGATTACGACATCTCGGATCCCGATCTTGACATTCATGCTGTCACATCCACTCTGAAGCAGTACTTCCGCAAGCTGCCCAACCCTCTTATCACCTACGAAGTTTACGAGAATGTTATTGACTCTGGAGATTACCCGGAGACAGCCGCCCGCATTGAAGTTCTGCAAAAGGGCCTGTCAGAATTACCACGTGTGCATCTTGATGTCCTGGAGTTCCTCGTCTTCCACTTGAAGCGTGTGGTTGAACGCCAGTCAGAGAATTTGATGACTAGCCAAAATGTTGCCGTCGTGTTTGCTCCCACCATCATGAGACCTGAGAGTCTGGCTCGGGAGATGACAGACGTGCAAAAGAAAAATGATGTTTTGAAGTTCCTCGTCGAGAACTGTAATGATGTGTTCAACGGCATGCAGGGCTAATTGAAGCCCTTTTGGCGCTATTATGTCCATACTGAATCTCAATCCAATGGCCTGAGATGATCGCTTGCTTTGACCCTTCTGCCCCGACAGGCCTCCCCTCCCGACTTTTGTTTTCTCTACCAATCGCCTCTTAAGGATACCATTGCATGCTCATCTCCCTTTCACACTCTGTTATCGATCAGGGTGCTCAACAGAACTACTCTGCTGCGTCTTTCCCCTTACGTTTACTTTTACCGCCTCTTTTTTTTTTTACATATTCCGCAGGTTCGAAGTTAGTGATTTCCTGGACCTCTCGGTTTTGCCTCATAAAAGTGCCTTGTCGACGTCTTCATGGAATCAAAATTTATGTTTTAGGGTGGTGTACTGTTTTTTTTTTTTTTTTCGTGGTCGATGTTGGGTCTATTTTATCAAGCCAAAGAACATTGATGTTGCCAGCTAAGCATTTCCATCATCGAATACAAAATTTGCATGAGTAGATTGGAGCTTTGTGACGAGTAGATATGAGTAGCGATATCTACATATATAAATCCTCCGCGAGGTAAACAATGTACTCCCTACTCCAGAGTATATTGTCAAAGTGGCTCCGGTCCCGCACCAATCACCGCCGACCGCCTACGACATCAGCTCCTAAGCTCCGTCCCAATCCCACCCCTCCGCACGCCCTGATACCCCATGCCCGCCCGAAGGGTCCTCTGATCTCCGTCTTCAAGGCTACACAGTAGTCACATCTGATCAATATGTCCAAGCCTAGCCAATACCTCCTTCTCTCCCTTCCGACCTCCATCGTCCCCTCGCACCACCGCGACGACGCCCTTCAGGCCGTGTCATCCACCATCTCCCCCGACAATGCCTCCGCTGCCCCCTTCCCCATCCCAGAGTTCAAGATAGGCACTCTAGACGGTCTTGTACAGCAGGCGGATGAGCTTGCCAAACTCGAGTCATCATGCCAGGGTGTCGTTGCCAAGGTCGGCGATGCATTGAAGAATATCCTCAATGGCGACGAGGTGCAGATTGAGAGTATGAAAGTTGTTAATGATAGTATGTTTTCAATCGGGCATTGGGCGGATCTTGTGGACTTTTAAGCTTATCAATCGCAGAACCTGTTGATCACTACCTGCGGACTTTCTCGTGGAATAAGGTCAAGTACCGTGCCGATAAGCCACTGGCAGAGTTGATTGATCTGTTGCAAAAGGTACGGCTAGGATATGTCATTGGGACACTTAGGCGAATGTGGTGCTAACTCATGTTACAGGAAGCTGCCAGCATCGACGGCGATATTCGCACCAAGTACTCGCAATATAACCAGGTCAAGACCAATTTGGCCACTCTTCAGCGGAAACAAGCGTACGTCTCTCAATACTGCCAGCGCAATCCACAGCTAACTTGTCCCTACAGAGGAAACCTCTCTACCAAATCTCTCGCCTCAGTCATCGACCCCCGCTCCATGGTCCAAGACTCCGAGTTCATCGAAACCCACCTAATCGCCGTGCCATCACAGCTAGTCAAGGATTTCCTGAAGACTTACGAGACTATTGCGCCAATGGTGGTGCCACGCTCTGCACAATTGGTCGCCTCCGACAGCGAATTCTCGCTGTACGCAGTTACTTCTTTCAAGAAGACCAGCGTGGAGTTCATTCACAAATGCCGCGAGCAAAAGTGGATCCCGCGCGACTTCAAGTACGTTGAGGGTGGTAAGGAGGATGAGGCGAAGGAGGTTGCACGTGTTGGTGGCGATGAACGCAAGCTATGGGGTGAGACGCTTCGTCTTGGGCGGACGGCCTACAGTGAAGCTGTTATGGTTTGGGTGCACGTTCTTGTTCTCCGGGTATTTGTTGAGACAGTGCTGCGGTATGGTCTGCCGTTGGACTTTGTCTGCACTTTGATTCGAGTATGTTCCCTGTGTTCTTCTTTATTGCTGACTCATTACTAACCTGACTACAGACTCCATCATCCAAGCAGGCTGATCGCGCTAAGAAAAACCTCGAGGACAAGTACTCCTACCTCGCTGGTAATGCATTCGGGCGCGACAAGAAGGGCCGCGTCAAGCGAGATGACCCGAATGAGATGCACGGCGCTAGCGAGGGCACCTCAGACTACACACCATATGTGATCTACGAATTCGAGTTCAACTAAGAGTTTCCCCTTGACAACGAGAGCAAATATGGGATGATACGTGCATATACCACCCCCAAGGTTATTGAGCACAACCTTAGCGCTTTGAAGATTTCCTGTTTATTTTATTTTGAATGGTTTCGGGTTGTGCCTACTGAAATACACACAGTTCATATTTATGCAAATAAGGGCCTCGTTTCTTTCTTTTAGATTCTTTTTTTTTTTCCAACACTCGCAAAGCGACCTATAAAGTTTGTCATGAAATCACCAGTGTCAGAATTAGCTGTCCAAGGACAAATTCCACCCATTTAACAAATTACTTCTTAGGAGGGAGGTAGCCCTTGGAGTCAAGGTAGTCGATGATTTGCTTCACGGCCTCAGGGACAGGAGTCTCGTGGCTCTTAATGTGAACTTCGGGGTTGACAGGAGCCTCGTAGGGAGCAGAGATACCAGTAAACTCCTTGATAACACCCTCACGAGCCTTCTTGTACAAACCCTTAGGGTCACGCTTCTCAGCGACCTCAACAGGGACATCAATGTAGACCTCGACGAAAGGCAAACCAGTCTCTTCACCTGGGGTAGCAACCTCATGCAGCTGGCGAGCAGTATCGCGGTCCTTCCGGTAGGGCGAGATGAAAGAGGTGATAGCGACAGAAGAGCTGTCGGCGAAAAGCTTAGCAACCTCCGCGATACGGCGGATGTTCTCGTTGCGGTCAGTCTCGCTGAAGCCGAGGTCCTTGTTCAGACCGAAGCGGATGTTGTCGCCATCCAGACGGTAGGCGTGCACGCCGCGGTCGTGCAGGAGTTGGTGCTCGAGCTCTACGGCGATTGTGGACTTGCCGGAGGCTGAGAGGCCGGTCAGCCAGATTGTCAGGCCCTGCTGGTTACGTAGGGTATTGCGCTCCTGGCGGGTCAGGGCGGCGGCGTGAAAGGTGATGTTGCTGCGGGGTGAGTGTTAGTTGGTATTTCTAGTTTCTGAATTCGAGCCCCATTGTGAGCGCTGGGGTCAATTGACGTACGTAGCCATTTTTAATATGTTTGGAGATAGTGAGGGAAAGGAAGAGGGGAGGGGACTTCATGAGAAAGTTGAAGATTGCGTAAGAGCGGAACGACTCCGATCGCGGGGTTTTTTTGTCGCTTGGCGGTTCCATATCGGATTTTGTTACTTGATTACGGAGTACGATCTACTTCAGTAAAATACTTCAATGTGTTCAATCTTATAATTCTTCAATCTATATCCAATTAACTCTAACCTATACAAAAGTCATATATCTGCCATCTAGAAAAATAAGAAAAGTCGGAATCACGTCAGGATCCAGGAACGGCGTATTCGCCATTCTCGCCACGCGGGAAAGAGATTTATCATTTGTTGTATCGATTCGTGATTTTTGAAAGACCCTGAACAAGATAATAAATTAGCACACCCATAGTAGAAGAGAAAGTAAAAGCATTCACTCACAGATGCTTGTCGGGGCTCAATAAACAAAGCCTTAGCCTCAACCAAGACAACAGGGTTCTTCCCTTCTTCAGGAATAGTCTCAATGCGACCCTCAACCCAAGCCTTACGGCCCTCAACATTGACGGTCTCAGCCCGTAGCACAATGTACGAATCAGCCATGGCAGGCGCACGGTAATCAAGATTCAGGTTGGCAGTAACGCCGACCTTATTAGGCAGCGCCTCGAAGCAGCACCGAGCAAGGCCCTCGTCCAACAGCGTGGCAAGGAGACCACCGTGCACGATGCCCGGGTGGCCACAGACGTCTGAACCGAGGTACAAGAACGAGACGAGACTCTTGCCTTCGCGCTCGTTAAACACGAGCGGGGGCACAGGGATTCTCTTCGGTCCAGAAAGAGTGCCAGCTGTCAAGCTGCGCTCACTCAGAGCGACAGGGAACTTGAGGTGTGGGCGCGACTCTTTGAAGTCTGGGTTCTCGCGCAGGGCGGCTACTTCGGGAAGGTTGTGGATGTAGTCGACGATTTCCTGCGCGACGGCGTCTGGCGCTGTGTAGTTCAGCGTCTCCGCATCTGTCTTGATTAATGATTCGGCGGTCATCATGCGAGATATTGTGTCTCCGGCTTCAACGTAGAGTCCTAGACCAGCGGATGTGACGGCAATCGAGGCGAATCCGAAGAAGCGACGGAGGCGCGATTGTGGGGGAGAGGACGAGTGGTAGATTGTTTGAGTTAGTCCTGGCGATTGTGGGTTAGTTAGCGACTGTTTAGGGACAACGCGGCAATATTATCTCACCTGTTGATAGATTGTGTTTGTATCTTGGAGATGCGACTCGCAAAAGAGGTCGGAATGGAAGAGTTCGAGGGGCGAAGGAGTGGAAAGGAAAAAAGGAGAAAGCAGGACGGGGCATTGTCCTAATTTAGGCGAATTCTCGATTCTAGAAGACTATATGTAAGTGAAAGCGTGGTCGAGAAGTGAAGTAGTGGAACTTTTGAGAAGTTGCCGAGGTATCTTTTGTGCTCGGAGACTTTTAGAGATTTTATGATCTACTATGCATTAAACTACAAACATTCTATCGATGATTGGTTTTTTTAATTTATTCGGATTATGGGGCTCATCTTTTTATCTTGATGATTAGTCACGGTGTATTTAGTATAGTTAGTTAATCTGTTATTTATTTAGTGATTTAGTTATTTGATTCTAACACATAGCCCCTGAATACACACGCTCAGGCACCGTGCCTGAGTAGTGCCTATCATATGCCAATTAGGAAACACCCATGCAGGAGCTAAGAAAGAAACAGAACCTTGGAATTTACTACTTGCAGCGATCCCAAACAAGCAGAAAAATGGACAATAAATCACTGATGTTATGATATCTGTTGGTACTATCATCTCATGCTTATCATGGGATCACTCGCCGCTTATCGGGTGGGAAGCCACATGCTTATCATGTGACTTCCAGGTACCATATCCATAGCAGCAGTTTCATGATAATCAACCACTTCTTACAACTTACAACTACCGCACGTACTACACGCATACGTAGACCACTTGCGGCGTAAGCTGAAGTCCAATAGCAAGCTATTGTAGATACTCACGACCTGAGTATCCCGACAATATCAAACTGCAGTACTGAGTAACCTCTCTTCTCTACCTGCAACCAACAAGGGTTATCAAGCAATGAAAAAAGTATAAGAATGAAATCAATCACAATTTTAGAGATCAAAAAATGGTTGCTCGATAAATCAAGTCTTGAGGACAAAGTCCAGGTAAATGCCAGAATGCATCAGAATTCTCATCATATGCATACTGGCAGGAAGGTCAGCGGAGAGCTAAATCAAAGGGAGAGGGCTACTTAGCTGGTCGAAGCAAGAAATAGAGAGAGTCGAAAAGATATCAGAAGTCTTGATAAAAGAGAGATCAGCGAGTATACAAGGTCAAGGGAAGATGAGGACTTAGCCGGTTAGATGAAGAAACGGATAGTCCCAGCTATCAAATGAAGAACCCTTGACAAAAAAAAAAAAAAAGGTCAGTGGGTACTAAATAAGAGGAGAGGGAAACTTAGCCAGTTGGAAGAAAGAGACAGCCCTGGAGAGCAAAAAAAACACTTGAAAGAAGGTCAGCGAGTACAAAGATAACATGAGATGGGAACTTAGCCAGTCATATGAAGAAAGCGAGCGACAGCGGAAAAAAAAGCCTTGAAAAGAGGTCAGAGAGTACACGAATAACACGAGGTAGAGACTTGCCAATTATGAAAAAAGCGACAGCGAAAAAGAAAACCCCTTGAAAAGATGTCAGCAAATACAAATCAAATATGAGATGGGGACTTAGCCAATTGGAAGAAAGAGGCAGCTTCGGTGAGCAAAGGGAAGATCCTTGGAAAAGAAAGTCAGCAATTGAAAAAAACAATATGAGATAGGGACTTAGCAGAAGTTGATGCTGAGATGATTGAAGTCGATGTTGAGATAGATGAATAAAGAAAATAAAAAGGAAAGAAAGTGGGAAGATCCCACTACTTAAGGACCTCCGGGCACATCGTAGGGACCAACATGGCGACGACATCATAGTTGACTACGAGTCATAATGGAAGGGTACAGCGTAACGTGGCGATGGTCTCCACCATGATGGCCTCGGCGACGACATCATGAAGATACAGGCCTCGGGTCGTGTACCTAATCATGAATACAGCTTTAAGCTCTGGGGAAGCGGATAAAAAGTCAACGAGAAGCAGTTGTGGAATGAGATGTATGAGTATAGTCCTGAAAGAGCTCAAAGGGATCTCCAGAATCATTTCACCAGTGGTTACCTAGGTAGTAGGCATGTGGCTCGTCCTCCATATAAAAAGTGTCACCAGCCATTTCAGAGATCCACAATCCACTACAGTTCGAAAAATCTTCCAATGGTATTACGGACACCTAGATAAAGTGTGATTTTAGTCGTAAAATTGTTTGAAAGGGCTCCAAGAGAGTTGAACATTGATTGATACCTAAACAAAAACTCACCCCACCCATCACCTGGGCATTATATATGTAGGTGTCTGTATCTGAGGGCACTATTCCTACGGAAAAAGTGTGAATTATAGAATATCAGACTACATATAAAGTGAACTCCGAGGTCCTGAATCAATAATCTTGGGATAGCCTCATGCATGATATCATGATCACGACTTGCATCTATAGATTTGCATGTTCCCCAGAATACTTAGGTACTCAGGTAATTTAGTTGACTAGTGAATGAAATCCTTACCATCTGAAATGGAAAGTTAGCCCTGGAGACTTTTCTGACTCGATCCAAAAAAAAAAAAAAAAAATACATCCATTCAATGTGTAGGTAAGGTTGTGGGGACACTAAGGGGTCGCCCGCGGGCAGCGGCCCGAGCCTTTATACTTAAGCCATAACCTCGGGACCCAATGAATAATTTTTCCAAGGTCATCTTGCAATACTGAAGATCCACTAATTTATTGGATGGATAATAGATTTCCAAATGACATATTGCTATCTATTAGAATATTTGCTTGGAATTTATGGTATGATAGAAGGTCCCCGGGCCAGTTATAAGTTTCTCAGACAAAGAAAACTCCTACCGACCTAGGTACCTACATGCTCTTGAACTAACGCAATGAATAGAAGAATTGGGCTATCAGCTCTTCACTGAAGTACCAGATTCTAATATCACGTTGTTTTCAGTATGTAGGGAGTTATCTCCTGCCTACAGGAGATAACAGCTGACTTCACAGAAGTTGCTGCGGAGAACGAACTCACCTGGGCACTACCTAGATAATTACTCCTGGCATAATCTGCTCCCTAAGTTACCCATATTAGTGCTAAAGCTTGATTGAAAGGATCTGTATGCACTCTTGATGCAACTCTGCAACTGCAACGCGGGGTTGATCGGCAGGGGCGCCCGCATGCCAGGGTCACAAGGCAGGCACGAGCCAGGGGGAAGAATCAGGACCTGAATTCCAGCTCGATACTGCAATCCAGTAAGTCTTTACTCTTCCCTCATCAACGATGCCGGTAATTAACCTGCTTCTTCCGCTTTTTATAGCCGTACTAGCAAATGCGGCTGACCCATCGCCTGTTGAGGACTACGATGTGCTGCAGTATATTGATCCACTCATCGGTAGCGCTAACGGCGGTATGTCAAAATTGACGAGGGAGCTTGTACCCTCTGATTGATATTCTGTATCTAACCATGAAACTCTTTACCAGGAAATGTCTTCTCCGGAGCTACACTACCCTATGGCATGGCAAAAGCTGTTGCAGATACCGACTCGGAAAACAACCAGGGCGGCTTCGCCTACGACGGCAGCAATGTCACAGGATTCTCAAGCATGCATGACTCCGGCACTGGAGGGAGTCCATCTCTAGGAAACTTCCCTCTCTTCCCATACGCACAATGCGCAAACGACGATGTGAACGGCTGTGTGTATCCGAAGAAATCACGCAAAACAAAGTACCAGTCAGACTCGGTACAGTCCAGTCCGGGGTATTTTGCTATATCGTTGGAGTCCGGTGTGCATGTGGACATGACAGCTGCACATCATACAACTCTTTTTCGGTTTAAATTCACAAAGGATAGCAATCCGCTGATTTTGCTAGATCTTTCAGACCTATCCGATTCGCGGCAGGACAATGCATCTATCTCAATTAATAGTACCACAGGACGGATGACTGGCAGCGCGAGGTTTTTGCCGAGCTTTGGCAGTGGATCTTATAAGCTTCATTTCTGTACAGACTTCAACAGTTCGGGAGCGTTGAGAGATAGTGGTATCTTTGTTGATGCTCGTGCGAGCACTGGAGTTCAGGTGCTAGAGATTTCTCGCGGTATTAATGGCTATCCCCTACCAGTAGGTTCTGTGATATGCTCAGGGAAAGTCTTGGGCTAATTGGTATAGGGTGGTGGATTTGTCCGATTCAAGTCACCTCCCGATGGCTTAGTCCATGTCCGTGTTGGAGTGAGCTTCATCAGTCCCGAACAAGCCTGTACACACGCCGAGTCTGAGATTGGAGATTTTGACTTTAACTCAACACGCAAGACCGCCATCGACAGCTGGACTGAGAAGATGAAACCCATACGTGTATCTCGAAATGGGGTCAATTCATCCGTCCTCACCAATTTCTACAGTGGAATTTATCGCACAATGGTGAACCCTCAGAACTATACGGGCGAGAATCCGCTGTGGACAAGCTCGGAGCCATACTTCGATTCCTTCTACTGTCTATGGGACTCGTTCCGCTCTCAGCTCCCGTTCCTCACTATATTCGACCCAAGCTCCGTGGCTCAAATGGTTCGCTCGCTGATTGATACCCAGCGTCACCTAGGTTGGCTGCCAGATTGTCGCATGTCATTATGTAAAGGATATACGCAGGGAGGGTCAAATGCCGATAACATCCTTGTTGATGCTTATGTCAAGGGGATTACAGACGGAATCAACTGGGACTATGGGTATGCCGCTGTGAAGAAGGACGCTGAAGAGGAGCCGTACGACTGGTCCAATGAGGGTCGTGGTGGACTAAACAGTTGGAAATCTCTGCACTACATCCCAGTGGAGGATTTTGATTATCTAGGCTTTGGTACTATGACACGAAGTATCTCGCGCACAGTCGAGTACGCTTATAATGATTTTGCCATTGCTCAGATGGCTCGTGGTCTGAACAAGACAGGTGATGCAGAACGCTACGAGAAAAACTCCCGTTTCTGGCGGAACTTGTTCAAGGCCGATCAAACTTCTTACCTGAATGAATCCAGCACAGGTTTCACAGGATTTTTTCAACCAAAGTATTTAAATGGTACATGGGGGTACCAAAATCCCCTGAAATGCTCCAACATCGATAACAGCGATTCCATCTGCTCACTTCAGAATACCGGCGCAGAGACATTCGAATCCAGTATCTGGGAGTACCAATTGTGCGTTCTAGGCTCAATTAAATAGACTTTAACTCACAACTAACACATCACAGCTTCGTCCCTCACGATATGGCCGCCCTAATAACACTACTAGGCGGTCCTACCAGCTTCGTGAAACGCCTCGACTACCTTCACGACAAAGAAATCACATACATAGGCAATGAACCAGCATTCCTAACAGTCTTCCAATACCACTACGCAGGTCGGCCAGCAAAATCCACATCAAGAGTGCGGACCTATATCCCCGCCTACTTCGCCCCAACACCAGCAGGCTTACCAGGCAACGACGACTCTGGCGCAATGGGTTCATTCGTAGCCATGTCAATGATGGGCCTATTTCCAAACCCAGGCCAAAGCGTCTACCTCATCACCGTCCCATTCTTCGAGTCTGTATCCATCGTCTCCCCTCTTACCGGTAAAACGGCCACAGTCCGCGTCACGAATTTCAGCTCGTTCAACTCGGTCAATGGTAGCGGAACCGGATTTATTCAGTCTGCTACTTTGAATGGGAACCCTTTTACTAAGAGTTGGGTTAATCATGACTTTTTCACATTGGGTCATGAGTTGGTGCTGGTTTTAGGGGCTGATGAGAGTACTTGGGGGACCAAGGTTGATGATCTTCCGCCCTCCTTAGTAGAGGAGTCTAATGTCAGTGCTCGTGAGCTTGAGCTTGGGCTCTATGGGGACTTTGAAAATGTTTTTAGAGCGGGTGGGGAGGGGATTACTGCTAGACATTTGCGTATTGGTCATCATGCCCGTCTGGGTGGTTGATGCTCTACTATTGCTGCTCAGGTGGAACTCAGATAGAGGTATATTTTAGTCATCGAGAATTAAATTCCAAAGTTCAATTCACAGCCCTGGAGTGGAATGAAGCCACAACCTTCCAAGCTTGGAAGGTTAGAACATTCCCTACAGCAGGTAGGGAGGTCAACTGTTTCAAGATTACCTGTGAATATCGAAAGATCTTTGAGCTGCCCAATTGAATTAATCTAATCTATTACCGATTTTTGATTCGCGAATGTTTATATTCGCTTTAGACTGGGGTTTCAACCAGAGTAAGCTTAATTCAGAATAGGCTTATGGCATCTATAGTAATTTCACCGGATAGAATGCCTGTAGCAGCATCACAGTCCCTTCTTACACCACCTCCCCATTTTTTAGGGCCTATGATATAACTAGATCAAATCATCAAAAATGTATCTAAACGACATACCCCAGAAGCTATTTGGAACGACGCTAGCTATCCCTTTAGGACTTATCATTATGATATTTTCCGCCTGGGCTCTAAACGGCTATTTCTTTGCCTATCTTGCCCAGTAACACACATTCTCTGCGTTAGTATGGGCAGCGAAAAGGCGTTCAGACGCGATGACTTGGAAGTTTGATTGGTATTATATCAAGAAAGCTCGAAGGTACCAGGGCAATCCGGATACCAAGGAACATCCAATCTCGCATGCTGCATATATGGGCTATGCTAATATAGCATGCCTTATATTTTGTAACAGTATCTAGCGATTTCGAAGTTTTATTATAGTTATATCTAAAAGTAGTAGTGAAATCAGGACACCCAAAGGAATATATTGAAAGAGACTTCCCTTCTATCCTATGCTACGAGGCGAAGATAGGTAACATTGATCGCATTCAATATCTTCTCTCGCTTAGCTCCAATGTGATCCGACTGAACTCCCGTTACTCCAAGTAGGGCAATATACTAGTCCAGATGTGACTAGGCTTTTACTCAACGCCGGTGCAACCCCGAACGCAATCAAGCCGTTGAGAGGAACTACTTACACACGGAGGTGTCTGCCACAAGCCCCCTTAAATGTGACATCTAAAGTGAAAAGTATAGCGAAGTGATCGTAAAAAATATTGATTGCACATAGGGCTCGTCCGAGAAAGGTAGATTTAAATACGCAGCCCTTTGCGGATCTCTTGTTATATAGAATCTCCTGAAGGATGCTGTGTAGCCCAATTTGGCAGATACGGAGCGTGTTATGTAGTTTAGTACAAATGCATTTTGTTTGCTCATTTGACCAATTCCGTCAATAAAAGGATTGAGACTTTAGTGGGTGCTCGCTAATCTTAAGAAAGCGCAATCCAAAGAGAGAAAAACCCAAACTAAGGGTAAGATTTAGTTTACTTTACGCCTCATTTACATCATTTCCGGCGACATTTCCCGAACCCTGATAGGATCGCCACGTCGCACTTCCCCGCAGCAATTCCTCCGGGCATTCATTCCACTCCATAGTAATGTCGAGGTCGTTTAACGGCTGCACAAGATGTAAAGCGCGGCGTCAAAAATGTGATGAGCAGAGGCCATCGTGCGGACGCTGCCAGCACGCAGGCGTGGAGTGCAAGTACTCCATGCAGCTGCAGTGGGGTGGTCGGGCCTTTTCTCGATCAAGATTTGGGGCCTGCGTGGGCACAGGAGGCATGCAAAAACTGGGTATGTAATCAGGTATTTATTCTGGAGAATTTATGCACGCTGACCAGGACTAGAATATTCGCCGGGAGAGTTCATATACACCACAAAGTCGGGAAATACGGAAGCACAGACCACGATACAGACCCTGTCTCAATTTCAATCACCATCCCCTCCTCCACATCAACTCCAACCTCAATCTCAATCACTTATAATACAGGAACGGGAGCAACCCAGCTCCTCAGAACTGGTATTAGCGCAATATGTCGATCCATTCTTGTCCTTAACGTCTCGCCAAAAGAACCTCCTCCACCACTTCATTAATGATGCGTCCCAGATTACGGCGTCTCACCCTGGAATGCAACAAGATATATGCCGGATGCTCGTACCAATGGCCCTACAGACCCCATCTCTGCTCTACGCAACAACTGCCCTCTCCGCAATCCACTTACAAGCCCTACAAAACCAGTCCGAAAGCGTGAAATCCGCCCCGGACATTGCCCAGTTGATGGGACTTAGCTTAACACACTTCCAAAAAGAGCTCCAAACCCCATTGAACAATGGATTAGAGGCGTTGGTAGCAACTGCCCGCACACTTTGTCTTGCAGAGATACACTCCGGGGCTATCAATCCAAATTCATGGCGAGCACATATTGAAGGTGCAAGGGCACTCATGAAGACATCAGATGCCCGGAAATCCTCGCTTAGACCTGTGAATGGATTTCGCCGATATCTGGACCGATGGTATCGATCAATTGTATCATTGACGGCTCTAACCGGAAATGGGCCTCCTATCGGCGATGATTCAGACTTTACAACCTCTGATTTGGAAGGTCAAGGGGGATCACCCGACTACTTGGACGATTATTGGGGCTTCTCGGTAGATCTAGCGTCCGTTTTCCGTCAGATTGGCGCTGCCGCCTGGAGAATCAACCAAGCCGAGAAAAACGCCACGGGCTTCATTGAGAGTGAAATTGAAAGCAACATCGAAGATGAAGCGGAACTGCTGGAGCTATCCGTGAGACAACTCATGGATCGTGGCCCAGATTCTCAACCATCACTTTACCCCGGATCTGCAGATAGGCTTTCTGCCGAGAGTGTGCGACAACTCATGCTCTGCAACGAAGCGTTCCAACATAGCGCTCTGATTCAGATACACAAGCGGCTCCGCAAAACGCCGTCCACATCGGCTAACGTGCAGCATTCTGTGCAGCGTATCCTGGAGTGCACAGCTCAAATTGGACCATCATCCGGTCTTAGCCCGTGGGTGATGTTAACGACACCACTGTTTATTGCGGGCTGTGAGGCAAGGGGAGAAGATCGTGATATTGTGAAGGGCTTATTGACGTCTTTGCACGACACTATCCGAGTCCCTAATGTACTTCAGTCTTTGAGATTTCTCGAGCATTATTGGGAGAATAAGATGAGCGAGGACGAAAACTGGAACCATTTCCTGGGTAAGCATTACTTGCAGTATTCAATTTTTTTTTCTTTTTTGCTAGGAGAGGGGCAAAGCTAACACTTTTTCTAGACCGCATGAAGTTTGACTTCATACCTTATTAATCACACGCACACATTTCTTGCCCGGCCAATAAAGAATATATGTGTATCGAAAGATAACAATTACACAATTATTGATAGCTACATCTTTCAATTATTGGTTAATCATTTGCCCCTACCTTGAGTAAATGCCCTCTTGAGCCACCAGCCCTCAGACATCTACGAGGCTTCGAAACCTCCAACCTTGGAAGGTTTCATCCACGATCCGCATAGCACGTAGTGCAACAGAAGCCATTTTCTGAATCATTTGTCAAAGTGAAACGGTCATTCATCGACCAGCTGCTATACCGACCGCAAGCGACCCCAAATATCAGATAGCCATCGATGTAGTCAGGCGTTCAGGACCTCATCCGTCCAATTGACTGTCAGAAACGGTTGTCGGGCATGGTGAGTGAGACTCAGGCGCGTGCTTAGAGGCAGCGGAATTGTATATACTTTTTAGTTCGAATAATTCTAAGGCCCACGACTTTATCAAAGCTTAGCGGGTAAACAAACGCGTGTAGTCCTAAGCCCGATTCACGAAACTCATGAGGTACGAGAGAGACAGTTTTGGCGAAAACTTATACTTCACGAGACTTGAGCTAGGGGCGACGCTAATAAACCCATTCTATCAATTAAAGATAGAGGTCATCGATGCCGAGCAGGAGTAGGAATAGGAGTAGGCTCACGAGGCACAGACGGCGGAGTAAGAGGCGCTAGAGGCCTAGGACGAGGACCACACACAGCAGGAACCGAGGAGCTAGCGGAATTCTCTCAATAGAGAGGGGGGCAACTAGTGCTAGGCCAGAGAGGGCAAATATTATCCTATTCTCACGCTGAAGGTGCCACGCTGGGCGTCACAGGACGAGATGATACTCACATCTCCCCTAAGCACACTGTAGATGAAGATTTTAAGCTGTAGCTCTCTCTTATGTCCTCTGTAGGTATATCTCCTGCTGTTCTAGGTAGGCGGCGGTACATACTATGTTTTCTACAGCGGGGGATACCAGTGCTCTCGAAAGTTATGCAATTCTGGTCTCTGACTCTCTGGCTAGGGCTATAAATATGGTAGCATGCATACCGGCCAGAATAATCGCCATCCTGCGGCCTGCTCCCTCGCAACAGTCCACTGGATCACACACAGATGTGGTAGATGCCATATGCCAGCATAAGGCGTCTACGGCACACCAGCAAGGCGTTCCGTGGAACGGTCTCCATCAGAGCGTTGAGAATGGCGACGACATCTTGGCCTGATAATAATTAGTGATTTCCTTCAGAATAAAAGGTAGAGTAGCTTACGGTTCATGTGATTAATGTGTCGGATGTCACGAGGCTGCCCCCGGGATAACATGGCCGTTGACCAAGGAGAATAGTGGGTGTAGAGGCGAGTCTTCACGCAGAAAGCTATTTATCGGTTCACAGGGATCTCGATGCACTATTACTACTACGTTGTACGTGTAATAAGTTATGCGGTAAGATGTGTGTTCATTCAAATTCCCGCGATGGAATCGATTCCACTAGTTTCATTCACTTCCCGAGTTCATTCGCTTCAGCAAACCAGATTCCATTGGTTCCAACACTATTTTCCAGGCGGATTGACGCATTGCGGACACTATCAATAAATATTAGCTTTTAACACTAGAAACTCTAGACTTGATTTACGAGGCGAGATGCGCGGTCTCTAGAGTCAATTCGCTGATTCATAGCGCCAAGTCGAGCATCCATCGCGTCAAATCGAGCATCCATCGCGTCAAATCGTGTGTTCATTCCGTCATTCATGAGACGTAACTGCTGCAGAACCTGCATCCCATAGTCTTCAATCTGAAGGCTGTCGGCAGCCAATGCGAAGTCTGGAAGTGGAGGGATTACAACTTGGGGAATTGGCTGCTGACCATCGGGGGCTTGCTGATCATTTGCGGGATCTGGGAAGTCTGGGGGACCTGGAGGCGCTGGGTCTGCCATTATTGGAGCCTGTGGTGGGGTTTGGAGCCTGTGGTGGGGCTGGAAAAGCAAGGACGCATCACTGACTCATCAACCCCTCCACGTCGCTGACTAACGTGATTCCGGGTTGCGTCGCTAACCTAATCAAAATATCTAGTCTAATTTCAACCCACTATTTTTGAACACACACCATGCCTCCAATTCGTGCTGAAAAAAGCAGGAATTGGTAGAGCAGGAGGAAAGAGTCTTATTAGTTACTCAAGCTCTTAAGAATGGTCGACTTCCCTCTGTTTTAGCTGCTTCTAAGTCATTCAATGTAGCTAGATGAATCGAACACATTTTACACCACCTTGCACAACGTATATACCAAGAATCTAGGACGACTCATTCCCTACTCCAGTATATATAGTGCAACCTGTAAACCATGTCCTTTCAACGTAGTTAATCGACTGCTACCCAAGATGATTTACGGCTACATCTAAAACTAAATCAAATGTATTTGCTCCTAGGATTCGAGAGGTACGTTTGAAATATTGGGAGCCATCAAATACAGTCACTATCAATGAGTCTATGATTCGCAATTTGAGCGTTCTCAGCACATATTCAAGATGCCTAATAACTAATTCCTCAGGGTTATAAGCTATTTACTATAGCTGATCAGGGATACACATTATATTGGATTTGGGCAAGCCGGCAGAAGTCTTCAGTAGAGGTAAAAAAGCTTGGAAACCTGACCATGACAGGCTCCATGGTAAATCTCTCTCTCTCTCTCTCGTGAACTTTTCGATCGACAGTGATCTCGGGAAGTCTTCAAGTTCAGCCAAATTACAAAAAGTCCGGATTGAGAAGTCATTCCAGAAAATGTCTGCAGAAACGTTTAAGCGGGCATAATGACGAGACCAAGGGTGGTGATCTCACAGTACTCATCAGAGGTTCAAAAATTATAACACGATGCTTTGCGACTTTTTGCTGATTTCATTCGTGCAGACCAACACAATAATTCCCATACATCGACTGGTACAGCTTAAGTTGCGCGCATGGCTGAAAACTCATGAAGAGCTTGAGCAGTGGAAAGGCAGATTCATATAAAGCTGTGTTATGGATTGAATGGACCAATAACAGGGAGCAATACGAAGACTGGGAAATATTCAGATTGCTATCCACACGTTAGATCGGCAGTAGAACAGCGACCAGAATCAAAGGATGCCTTACATCAGTGGGCTATACTTCTTAACGGTTACACATGGTATGTTTGCGGAGCTGGTAATCTCGAAGAATGTATGGAAATGGCGTTTGAATTGAGGACACTGATGTAAAATTTTATTTAAAGCATAGAGTCCAAGATCTTTGGATAGTACGATTACGTTAACAGACACATATTTCAGTGAGGGCCAATTATAAGAGGATAAGAGGCTCGAGATACAGGTATTGGGAACTCGCAAGAAGAAGCTTAGTGTGTACCACTATAGCACGCTGACAAGTATGAACAATCTCGCTCCAATATACTCAAACCAGAACTGATCGGAAAAGAGACCAAATAGCTTCAGCTGCAGATGGTACAGAATCAGAAGACAAACCTTGGTATGGACCACTATAACACGCTAATTACCCTGGCGCATCTGGCCGCCACTTGGCAGTCCAAGGGTCTTTATACTGAAGCTATCGGTCTGCTTAGAACTTGTGTCGCGAAGCAGTAACGTGTAATAGCCTCCAATTATCCTGGCATCCTGTTTTCTTCTGAGCACCTACTGGAATGGGAGAGTATGTACGTTACGAACTGAATCATCTTTCATAGAAAAATGTCGCCTTTCTATTCCAAGGTTGCTCGTGGTATCTATGGATGTCTTCTCCAGGGCTAAGATGAAATGTACTTCCAATGTTACCTCCAGATATCCACAGATACCTAGATAGTACCCCAAACCTGGGGATGCGCATGAAAGTATGGCTCAATTCTAAGCTTCCAGCTTACAATGTTTGATAGTCGTTTTTTATTTTTATTTTTATTTTTATTTTTTTTCGCGCCGAAAGTGCACGGGCATTTGAGAGGCACTTGGACCACATGAATTTTGATAGATGCATCTAACGGGATTCGGACTATTTTTGGTATGGGGTCCGTGCTTGGGCAAATCATACGACTCGAAGATATTCGCGCTTACGACGTAACTTGGGTATAAACGTAGACCCAATTTGTACATGTGGACTCGATTCTATATGTACGTATAAGTGGACCTGTGGGCCCTAAGCGCTTCTTGTTCGGGAGAAACCTCCTGTTCATGGTTCCAACTCAAGTAGTTGAGCCTGACAGGTGCTATACATACATTTCTTCAGACTTGAAACAAACCTTGGAAGCAGGTGCCATGCGATGGTACTTCGTAGCTCGAACTAACCGAAGATCATCGGTTGTGGATCCCGGAGATCACTATTTTGAGCAAACAAACAGAACAGCTCTTGGTCTAGACCAGGTCTGAGCTTCTTGAATCAATAGATCTATCTTTTTATAACCAGTGGCTGCGTGGTTTCAGGGTGAACGAGACATGCACGATTGTTGGGGCATCATGTCTCGAGCCGGGAGGGTTTATTCTTAAACAATTAAGATGAATTTTTCACAGCAGTTTCGGAATTGATCCAGCCACATAAGCTGTTACGTTATCTATTTATTTTTTTGGACTCCGGCTCGAATATTTGGTAGAGCATTTGATAATAGTGATGCTGATGATCATTCGATAGTAAAGGCTGGGGTATTGCCGCCTTGCCTAATGAAGAGACATAGGCCGACCACGAGTTGGTTTGAGCGGAAAACATCAGTTAGACAGTGTTGATTGGGTGCTAGACACGGCACACACCCCTTGCATTACCCAGCTTGCAGGGTGAGCTAGAGTAGATGTGCAGCAAGCAGGAACACCTTAGTACACGTTGTTAACCTGCCACATTGATCATTGGCTGGTGATAGTGCTCAAAAGTGCCGAGGGAAAAGGGGGTCGGGGGTGGAAATACCCCACTATGGCCACTTTGGGGATGAGATCCACGTCCAATACGCGATCGGTTAATAAGGATAGACATAAGGCCCCTTTATACACCGTACTTTGAAGTGGACGAAATAGATGTACAGATGGTAAGATTGGGTTTGTGAATCCACGGTTGTGAATTCTTGTATACTCAATAATTCGATGTTCAAGAGACAACTACATTGGTGGCGCCTTGCATTGGGTCTGACGATCTAGATGGTAACAAGGGAGTACTTAAGTAGCTTGGAAGTACCTTTTACGAGGTAAACAAGGGTAAATTGACTTCAATAAACTTATCAGATACCTTTGGTATAGTTTACCCCTGAGTACTTAAATTCCCAAAACAGGATAGTTCAGAGCCAAACTCCCACGACTCAAGGGGGAGTGTCTTTGTATTGCAGACTATTGAATCTACTAGATCTGACTTACCTCAGTAACAGTAGGCCCATATGGATGCCCAGGTGTATAGGTAGTCCGCGAGTATCCGTATGTATTATGAGCTCTGATATCTGTATATCTACCGGGTAGTAATAGCACTCCCTTTTATATAGGCTTAAATGCGTTGATCTCGGGTTCCTTGGCATAACACTGATAACGCACATTTATATTCAAACACCAATCGAACATGATTCTTCAAGACCCACGTAGCGAATCGCCCCTGTGAGACTCCACTCAACTTTTTATCCCAGCGCCAAAAGAGTATATAGTTAGTCTGGAACTTATGGGGCGGGATGCGCCAATCTCCCCTACTTTGGTTCTCTCTAAACCTTTTCTCCCCTTTTTCATCTTTCACTAAAACACTCTTTCTCAAACTTCTCGTCCTTTCCTCTTTCGTCACTTAGCCCCCCGGTCTTACTGTGGTCCTCAAGTTCTAATTGGCAAAGCCAAGTGAACTTCCCGTGTTTATTCTCAGCAATGAATCAGAATCACCGATCGTCTATTTTTTGATATTTGATATTTGATATTCAAAATGGATTCCGCGACTCCTGGCGGCTCTCCCACGCCATCTTCTAACTATAATTCCCCGCCCCCGACGTCTCACCTTAATCGGAAGCCTCTCCCGCGACATGTCACTCAAGTGACTTCTAAGCTTGTGCACCCTTCTTCTCCCCTGTCCATTCAGGGTGATAAACCCGGTTCTATTCCCACACCTCCGCGAACTAGTAGACCACCACTATATCCTTCTTTGGTCGATGGAGACTCCTATACATTGCCAAGAAACCAGAATAGGTATGCTCTACTCCCCTGAACCCCCCTTATGGTTAGAAAGCATTCATCAACGCTTTTCCACTCCGTTCCCCTCTCGTTGTCTTGAAAGAGAACTTGCGACAGCCGGGAGGCACCTGAAACAACATACTAGTAGCATGGCCTATAGTTAGCATGGCCTATATACATGTTGCCTCGCTTTACAATCACCTGGAAGGCCTATCATAGCTTACCATCATCGCGCTTTGCCAGATACTCTCGTGGACGACATTCGTCGCAGCCCCTGCGCATCGATACTTCTACATCAGCCGCCTACCTAAGGTCAATCGTCGACGACGACGACGACGACGACGACAACAACGACGAGAGTCAGGATTTCTTTGATGAATATTACGCGACCCAATTCACGACCCTAACCCCCCTACACAGTCGACTCGCGAGCGAACCGTTTATTCCGGTTCTCAATTCTCCACCTCCACTCCCAAAGACTCAAAGACGTGCCACGAGTATGGCATTGCATCTTCCTTTGAATCGACCACCCTTGCATATCGATGTGGATGGACGACCAATGTCTATGGGAAATGAAATTAAACAGCCAAAAACACCTGGAAAAAAGATTAGTTCTTTCTTTGGCTGGAAAGGTAATCCTTCAACGTCACCAGGTGCAGAATCCACTAGCACCGACATCTCAGACGGGGGTCGATCCTCCATCCCTTCACCAATGCCTCCAATGGCCAATATATCAACAAAATCACCGTCTCATGACTCAAGAGGCCCTGGTTTCGGCCCACCAGTCCGAACTTCTTCTCTGGGTGGTGCAAGCCAACAGGAATTGGCGTTTGCTTCAAAGATAGCTGACCTAGAGAGTGAATTACGAGAAATTAGTTCTGAACTGGCGGGCTCAATCCGTCGCGAAATGGAGCTAGAAGACATAATTGAACTTCATCAATCAGAAGGACTGGAACAGCCAAGTCGGCGGACGAGCGACTATTTCTCTGACTCAGGCGCTAGTTCAGTTCGTACATCCGAACCAATTAAGTCTGAAGATATTGATAAGATTCGCCGAACAGCGGAGCAGGAACGTGCTCAGCTAAAGGCTGAAAACTCACAACGATTGCAAGAAGAGCGGATACAAAGAACGCAATCAGAGTCTCATGTTCAGATTCTGGAGAACCAGGTTCAGCAGGTGAGAAAGATCAAAGCATACCCATACCGCATTTGTGGCAGATTTGGCTAACAATTATAATCATTAGCTTCGACGAGAAAGAGTCGATCTGTCCGACCTTTCATCCAAAACAAGAGAACTTGAGACTGCATTGGATGACACCCGGCGCAAACTGCTAGAAGAACGACAATCGAAAGATAATTTTGAAGACTTGCTTACAGCTATGCGTGTGGAACTGGAGCAGTTGCGAAATGAACGAGATATCCTCCGGGAAGGGAAAACCCCCGCGGCGGATAAGCAGCGACTGATCGAAGAAATCGAAGCTCTAAAGATTGAGAATGCGTCGTTGGCACAGCTTCAAGGAGGTCGTTTTGCCTCTATTGCAGAAGAAGGAAGCGACGCAGGCGCACCAAGCAAGCGAAAGTCAGTATTTGGTCTAAGCCGGTCGAGCTCTCTAGCCCGCAAACCAGCCAGCGGCTTAGCACGATCCGGGTCTTTATCCCGATCCAACTCAGTCACTGGTAATAAAATCCCCCAGGAGAATGGTGAGTCGCTGGTCGACAAGGTGAAGGACATCGAACTCCAGCGAGACGCGCTGCACCGAACGGTGAAGAGCCTTCTGGATCGCCAATCATACCAAGCCCGCGAATTCGAGAAGCGCGCTCGGATGATGGAGATTGAACTTTCTCAAGCTCAGCAGGTGGGCCTCCCACACAAGATGGGATATGAGCGAGATGTGATGAGCCTGCGAGAAGATATCAACCATCTCCGCCTGCGCGCTGAGGACGCATTAGATGGCAAGTGGCAGGCCGAGAAGGGTCTGGCTGGTCTGAATATGGACCTCGATCGTGCGGAGCAGGAGACTTCTTCTTTGAGAGTGCTGCTACAGGAGCTTGATAATGATACAGTCACTTTTGAGGGTCTGGAAGCAGACCAAGAGGGCTTTGCTGAGATGATGGCAAAGTCATCTTCTTTAGAGTCAGCATACCAGCAACTTCAAGCTGACCGCCAACAAGCGGAGGGTAGCGTTGAGCTCTCAGACGAGCTGACGGCTTCTATTGGCCGTACCGACATGCTGGCCAGAGACGTGGACGAGCAGTTGCGAACAAACAGCTCCCTGCGTAGCCGCTTGGCATCTGCAATTGAAAAGGGCGAGCGAGACCAGAACCTGTCGGTTGAGCGGATCAACTATCTGCAAAACCGACTCAAGGAACTGGAAGACTCGCTCTTGAATGCCCAGCAGCATTCTGAGGAAGTGATAACCAAGCATGAGGACGAGATTCTCCAGCTCAAGGAGAGCAACAATGCTCAGCTCATGCGGATGAAGAATGGTGCTCGTGCCCCAGCCGCCCTTTCTCCGCGCCCACCGAACTCCCCCTTTAGTGCGCGATCCCCGCGTCTTGACAAGACTACCAGCGGTGACGGTGTCCCGCTGGCCGAGGTTGTCCAGGCCGAAGTCTTGGAGAAGAGAGTGAAGGAGCTAGAGAAACTCCTCCGCGATGCGGACATGGAGATGGAAGAAGTTATCGGACGAATGAATCGCGCACAGGTTGATGTGGCTCAACTCCAGTCTGACAGGTAGGTTTTATTCCGGGAAAATTGACAGCGTGTTTCAATCCAGTCCAGTCTGACTAACCCATTTCGTTTACAGGGATGATGCCCTTCGTGAGACCCGTCGCCTTCAGGCTGATATTCAATCCGAGCGGGATACGCTCGCTGTCATGATGGGTCGCGCATAATTTAAAAACGCGCGTGCCTTTTGCCTTTTCACATCTTTTCATCATTTTGTCTTTTTATATACCACATTTGCATCAGCATCGGTACTCGCATTCGGCGCATTCGGCTCAATGGTCGAGCAACCGGGCTTGGAGTTTTAGCATTGGAGTTTATATCAGATACTGATATCTCGATATCTTTGGACTTGGACTTAATGCGCGTGGCGTCGTGCAGATCACACTCGGGTTGGAAGTGTTGATCATATAGCCTGCTTACTGCTTGCGCTTGTATATACCACCTTAGTTACTAGTACCCTTAATCAACTGTAAACTACATTACAATACGAATGTTCAACTTCTAGGACTTCTGCTGCCTTCACATCATAATTCGAGTTGACATTGAATTGGTATACTTTCCAGATCTAGCCCCGGTGTTTGTTTGTTTTGCATCCCTATCGTAGACACACAGCAACCGCAAAATCTCCTGTCCAACACCTCTTATCACACACTTTGGTCTCTAGTTTTTCTCATATTTCATTGAGAAGCTTTTCAACGTATCAAATGCCCACTGCTGCTTTTCAAACTGAGATATCTCCCCAGCCAAAACAAAACCAATTCGAAAGTCACAACAAAACCGGCTTTGTCCAGAACTGCCCACCTAGGCCCGAAGTATAAAGCCTTCTTCAGAGCATGAACAGTTCTCAGTCAAATAAGTCTTGATTCAACACGACACCATCATCTAAGCGAGATAGTCAACAAGAAATGGATTTCCTCATTGGTAAGCGCAACAACAAGCACAACGCAACCCGCAACTCGCAAATCCAATCCAATCCAACTAATCAACCGAACGATTTACAGAAAACGTCCAAAACCTACTCCAAGCCCCAGCAGTCTCCTACCTCCGCACCACAACTCAAGAGCAGGTAACAACGCACCTATCCAACCTGCGCACAACCTACATGCAACCATACATAATAACACCCATCTCAACCTTTCTTTCCTCGACATCAGGCGTCGTAATGCCAGATCTGCTCTCCATCTTCTTACTAGCCCTCATCCTCATTATCACCCTGAAGGTCCTGGACTATGCGCGCCGCGTGATCATGTTCTGGGTCTCGCTTGCTTTCAGACTTGTCTTTTGGGCTACACTGCTCAGTGTTGCGTGGTATATCTATCGCGTTGGTTTGCAGGATGCTGGAAGGGATTTTGGCTGGGCTTGGGGTCTTGCCGAGGGGTTTGTGCAAGATTTTCAAGCTAGGACTGCTGCTGCCGCTGCTCATCGGGCTGGTGGTGTACCTGAGGTTGGAGCTGGGTCTGGGTCTGCTTGGGGATCTGGATCTGGTAAGGGCTACGCTCGTGGGAGGTAATTCGATTTCAGTCATTTACTTTAATGTTACTTCATATATTTCTATTACGATTGCGCCTTCGTGGGGACATGTTTGGGGTTGGGTTGGGGTTGAGGAGGGCTTTGAACAGTGTTTCCATATTTGCTTTTCCTGGGCCTTTTATGACATATCATTATTAAGGATCATTGGATAAATTTCATAATTCATGGGCTTCTTTTTTCAGGGTCTGGTGATTACTTAGATATGGGGTATTTTGATATGAGCCCTGTTCGGCGCCCTAAATACTCGGCTTTCATGTGAATGATGAGATAGCCTTTCCGTTTCGCTCTCACAATCTCCCTTGATGTGACAGTGGATTCTTTGTTGAGTATCAATTTCCATCGCTGGTTGAATCATTTCAGCCGATGATTCACGGGGTGATGCCTGTAGAGTTGGGCGAATTTGCCAGAACATAAGCGCTGATGTGTTAAAGATGAGCCGCTGGTAGTAGTATGTAATGGGTGAAAGTCGAAAAGGGTTATCCCTAATCTTCATAGTCCACTTCCTGCTCATCCTTGGGCTCTTTCGGCTCTTGGGCTTCGTGATATTGGATAGCATCGTCGATATGGCTCAAGATAGCAGAGACACTGTCTTCATCCTGAGAATCTAGCTGCAGGAATGAGACCATGCTGAAGTCATCGATCAATTGTGCTACGGCGCGGTTCAACTGAGTGAATGAGCTACCACTCATCAAAGCGTCTGTAGCCATTGGGTCGGCGCTGACGGCAGGGTCATCCTCATCTGTCGACAGCAGCTGCACATCCACATTTTTAAATCTTCTAAATTCGCGGCGCGAAACCATATCGCGCACCTGGTCCATCTTGCTGAGAATATTGAGGTGAGGTATTTCCATCAATAGCATGGCGGACATGGCACTGAGGGTGCCTGCGAAAAATTTGGCTTTGTCAACGACGAAGGTACTCTCGAGAGGAGGTAGGCCGCGCAGAGGTTGATGTTCAGAGGTCCTTGACGAGAAAGGTATTGGATTAATTGCGGAATGAGAGGAATGTGCGTGTAGAGCTCGATTTGACCGGGCATGTCAAAGATAATGAGATATTCTTCACTCAATGGGTCGAGAGCTTCGGACAGGAATTCCAGATTCTGGAGCAGAAACTCGAAACAATAGATCAGGCCTCCATTAGGACCTAGGCCCAGCTCTTCCATCACATCTTCCAGGGTGATTAACTCGCGAATATCCAGGTCCGGTTGATAATTGAATGTTTCTGCAGCTGGGTCCAGATTGATGTAGAAGCAGCTTCGGCGTGTGTTCTGCAGATGCTGGATAATAGCATTACTGAATGTCGTCTTTCCCGCCCCCGCGGGGCCCATCACCATGACACCGAATTTAGACATTGTGTTGGAGCTGCCTTTTTTTCGGCGAGTTTTCAAGGTTCGTGTGGAGATTCGTGATACTAGTGAGCTTGTTTCGGGAAATAAAATAATTGTAGTTGCCGGTGGGGCTGGATCTGCTAGGCGGTGGCAGGCGGCAGATGGCGCCATCGAGCACGTTCTGAGGGTTGGATCTTTACGGGCGGTGAGATGGTACTTAAAAGTGACTAATATTTAACGTGTGTTAAGTATGGTTATCACTAGTACCTTACATGTACCCATTTTGTCCGTGGTCCAAAAAGAAAATATCTAGCCCCGCCCAATCCAATAAGTATTACCCCCAGCGTCTTCCCCCTCAAAATTTTCCCTCTTCTCTCAACCACCTCTCTCTTCTCAACTTCTCAAATTCTTTCCTTCTCTTATAATTTAATTCTCACCTCCTTCAAAATGGGTTCCGTCGCTAAGCAGTCTGGTACTTTCCTCTTCACATCCGAGTCTGTCGGCGAGGGTCACCCTGATAAGATTGCGTGAGTTTTTACTGCCCCTGAAAAACCCTCACGGCTCAAATCTAACAATCAATCCCCTTGTAGTGATCAGGTTTCCGATGCCATTCTCGATGCCTGCCTTCGTGAGGACCCCCTCTCCAAGGTTGCTTGCGAGACTGCCACCAAGACTGGTACGTGCACATATCTTTTTGTCTGACGCGTGGGTCCCAAATCTGACATAAGAGTCTCGTAGGTATGATCATGGTCTTCGGTGAGATTACCACCAAGGCTCGCCTGGATTACCAGAAGGTTATCCGTGATGCTATCAAGGACATCGGTTATGATGCCTCCGAGAAGGGCTTTGACTACAAGACCTGTAACGTCTTGGTTGCCATTGAGCAGCAGTCGCCCGATATCGCTCAAGGTCTGCACTACGATGAGGCCCTTGAGAAGCTTGGTGCTGGTGACCAGGGTATCATGTTCGGCTATGCCACCGATGAGACCCCTGAGCTCCTCCCTCTCACCGTAATCCTTTCTCACAAGCTCAACGCTGCCATGAAGGCTGCTCGTCTGGACGGCACCATCCCCTGGTTGCTCCCCGATACCAAGACCCAGGTTACCATTGAGTACGCCCACGACAACGGTGCTGTCAAGCCCCTGCGTGTCGACACCGTCGTCATCTCTGCCCAGCACTCTGATGATGTCTCCACTGAGGAGCTCCGCACTGTCCTCAAGGAGAAGATTGTGCGTGGTGTCATCCCCGCTAACCTCCTCGATGACCGCACTGTTTACCACATGCAGCCCTCCGGCCGCTTCGTTATCGGTGGTCCCCAGGGTGATGCTGGTCTGACTGGTCGTAAGATTATCGTCGATACCTACGGTGGTTGGGGTGCCCACGGTGGTGGTGCTTTCTCCGGAAAGGACTACTCCAAGGTCGACCGTTCCGCTGCCTACGTTGCCCGCTGGGTCGCCAAGTCTCTGGTTAACGCCAAGCTGGCCCGCCGTGCCCTCGTCCAGCTGTCCTACGCCATTGGTGTTGCTGAGCCCCTTTCCATCTTCGTTGAGACCTACGGTACCTCCGAGAAGACCTCCGATGAGCTCGTTGAGATCATTCGTAACAACTTTGATCTCCGCCCTGGTGTCATTGTCAAGGATCTTGACCTTGCTCGCCCCATCTACTTCCAGACTGCCAAGAACGGTCACTTCACCAATCAGGAGTTCAGCTGGGAGAAGCCCAAGACCCTCAAGCTCTAAATGGAGTTCCTTGAGACGTTTTGATGATTTTGATGAGTATGCTTTGTTTTCAACAACTCAAAGCACGTGCATAGACTTCCCTTAAATCCTTAGAGTTTGGCTCCCAATATTGGGCGTCATTCTCTTCCTTGTTTCATTATCTGCATGGTCGCCCTTTTCAAGCGACGGGCCTCCGGCGAAGACAAAATTCAACATGATACCACTTTCATCTGGGCTGGGACGGGATGTTTTCGGCGTTTTCTTTTTTTCCTGGAGCGAGTCTTCAACAATACCATCTCTTTAAGCCTTACACCCGATACATATGGTCATAAGTGATTTGCGGATCTACACGGTGTGTTATCCATTACTTATCGCTTGACATTTCGGGGGCTTGGTCCATGACAGTCGGATGTTATTCAACAATTCGACTCAGTCATGGTTCTCAGATTCTTATAATACTACGATTAGCCATTTTTTGGCAAATTTACAAATATTCAATGATCGTTTTCCTTGCGTAATTATAACGTAGTTGATTTGAGCTTAAAATTAGATTTTAAAATGTTCGGGCGGGGAGAATCTCATGCCCGACGCGTCCACTTCAGTCTCGATCTTGCGCATCTTCTCACCTTGCACCACTACTTCATGAGCACTTCTTCCTTCCTATTGTAGCAATTTTCTTGAGCTATTATGGTCGCATAATGTCCACAATCTTTTAAAACGCGACCATGACCGCGCGCATTGTTCCCAGCGCTCTAGATAGTATCAGATCCTCGACCCTGGACACGATACATGACGCGACTCAACCGCCGGCGAAAAAGCGCAAGATTGAACCCGAAACCGCTGCTGGCCAGCTTTCTACAACCTCCATAGTCATCAGAGTGAGTGGTTTCCATGTCCCCCCTGGTTTTCCTAGGCTAATGCACATTTCTTCCTATCCAGGCTCACGCCAGAACATTATCAGATGTACCACTCGTCCTCGATCCTATCACAGCGTTTCCCCGCTCCCGGCTTCTACTTTCATGGCTTGACGACGCACCATGGTTACATTCCGACTCGCATCCTGATGGTCTTTTTGCGGTTAACCTTCCCTCCCTTGAGACGGACTTTCTTATCTATGCGGAACCCACAGTGCTCTTGGTGCGACTCGTCGCAACTGGTGGGCTCTACGTGATCGAGAGGGTGAAGCGGGGTATCTACTCGCTATGCAGGCTTGCGCGTGGGGTGCATGAAGGCGATATCCTGGCTGCTGCCAAGGGATGGCAAGGCTTACGAGTAACCGAGATCCATACTGAGATCGATGAGAAGCCTAGTCAGGCGTTTGATACCGATAATTGGTGGCAGGCTGCTCGTATTGCAGAGCCGTCATCCGATCTAGGACTTGGAGAAGAGCTGGCGGGCTTGCAAGTTGCGGTTGTATTCAAAGGTCCAGAGCCGGGCATTGGTCATGATTCGCACATTGGGGACGTTTCTGACCAGAATCAGTCAGTTGCGCCTGCTACAGGGTATGTGGATACAAAGGTGGACGAATCCCAAGGTTCAAAGACTATGCATGTGGATGGCGTCTCAGTCTTTCATGAGCTGGAAGCGCAACAATTGCCCGATGAGTTGTTTAACGGCATGAGAGACCACTATTTACAAGCTCTATACGTATCAAATGTGAGCAATTCTTTGCTTATGTCCGGCTTTATGATTTCTAACTGTATATTTTTAGACATCCGTGGCCTACTTTGCCAAGGGTCCATTGGCACGCTGCCGGACCGCCTTCCAAACGACTGATCAAGAGCAGTCGCCATCACTTGCCGCACTCATTGAATTCTACCGAGAGAGCATTTTGCCTGCCAAAAAGATGGATCTCAAATACCGAGAAACTGTCCCAACATGTATCCGCGATGCAATACTTGCTGTCTCTGATGACGAGGGTGCTCCAGGCGCTACGAAGCGTAAGAGTAAAAAGAAGAAGTTGGGCAAGAACGGCGTGTATCCTGAGGAGGAAAGCTTTATTCGCAAGTGGTGGAAGGACCGAAGCATGCTTGAGGCATCTTCGAACGAAACTTCGCGCGAGACGGAGACTAAAAAACACATTTCTGACCTTCGATTGCGCGAGACACAGCTACAAATTCTCTTAATCCTAGAGACTATCGCCTTGGAGTTCACTCAGGCAGACGGAAAATCAACAGGCGTCGATGAGAAATCAGCCGATGGTGGTAAGCAGACACCGAAGAAACCAAAAGCCAAGAAGCTTCAGGATCTCAACATCCTGCTCGAACTACATTTGGACCGAATGTGCATTTGGCATGCAGTCAGCAGCATGGAGGACACTTCTGCCGCAGACTCGGCCAAGACTTCATCTTTTACCGAGGGTCATATGTCTGGGAAGAAGGTTGAAAGCGATGCAGTGCGTGATTTCTGCACCGAAGTTATCATTCCTTTCTTCGGGGCACGACTACCCGACAAATGTAGACTCGTCAGTCGCAAATTTGGCGTGTCTACTGGTACCACTCCCACCAGTAAATCCAGGACACTCGTGGAACCAGGGAAAGAAAGTAAAAGACAACCTCCACAAAAAATTCGACGAACATTGCAGCGTGTGTTGACGGACGAGAGAGCGGCAGCGGCTAGTCACAACCGACAGCCATCGAATCGACAGCCCTCGCTCAGTAGATCCAACACTGTACCAGCTAAGACCGAGAATAGGCGCAGGACTTCTATAGATCCTCAACTGCCAGGACTTGTCAGTGGAACTATCCGTGGTGGTATTCAAAAAGCCAAGGGAGTGGAAAACCGTGAAGTTGATCTCAAAGCCGTGGCTAGGCAACACGAGAGTAAATTGCGCAAGGTCCAGTTGCTGGCAGATCAAAAGAAAGAACTTGACGCTGCGATTATGACGCTTAGGAAGCCAAATAGACAATTGGTCGCTCAGGATATTGCCACAGATGCCTCAAAAAGGGTGGTGTCTACTGGAGGAAGCAGCTCGCGGAAGCCCAAGAATCCTGTGCGGAATCCTTACGGCCAGGGTGTGCAGGTCATGGCAACACCACGCGGGAACCGCAAGAAAGATGTGGTGGCAGGGCTACCACCATTGCCGCGCAGTCTTGTTTCTTCGCGGTCCTTTGCGGGAGAGACGGAATATAATTCTCTTGCTGAATCTCCTGTCATGATTCCTTCTTCCAGTCGGCGGGCAATCTCGTTCTCTGGTGCTGATTCAAATCCCTTCAGTTCTGGGGGCGTTGCTTCAAGGAAACGGGCTCGTCAGGAGCCATCTACAGAGCTTGAACCTATTCAAGAAACCCCTACTCGACCTGCCTCTAAGATGTTATTTGGTAGCAGCAATGCTGACGATGAAATCATTCCCCGTCGGTTGTCTTTATCCTCGAGCAAAGGGAAAGGCTTATTCCGTGTGCCTAATATCCCTGCTCCTCGTGACACTGATCCATTCATCCAGCCTATGGCGCCCTCCACCCCTGTTTCATCTCGCCATAAGACTATCTCTACTTCTACCCCAACACAACCATCGAGCAAATCCTTCCAGACGGCCATGATCATGGAGACACCACCTAAGCAGCGTGCCTCGAATCCAACTTCTGCCGCTCATATTACATCCATTATTCCCGCTTCTCCAGGCAACCAGCCCCCTGCAAAAGCGCCTGCCATTATAAGGACACCCGTCAAGGGCACTGCTACCATCGCCATGACACCAGAACAACCAGACTCAGTTTATGCACAGCTGGGCTGGGATGACGATGATGTTGATGTTGATCTATAATCCATTATTCCAGAACGAGCATAATTGTCTCATGCATATTTGTGGTGTTTTATCTTTTTGCATCAGTCGTGGCGTTACGAAAAGAAATTCCAAGCGTGGGTGCTTTCGGACCGGCTTCTCCTGCCAGTTTTACAGGGCATACAAGCGAGATGGTATCAGCTACCTAGTTTCAACTTAGAATATGATATCTATTGAACAGTTAGCGGCCCCAGAGTGTCTGAATCAACAATAACTACAGGGATCAAAGGGAAGATACCTATGTGTAATTTTATTGTACTTCCCACTGTTGCATCTCGCATGTTTTGTAATACTCTCCGACTGAGATTAGGTCAAATACTGTCCCGAGGTCATCATAACGATTGATGTTGACACAAACTTGGTTTGTCTTTATGGATTAAAAACCGAGGTACCTTCTTCCTCTTTCCCATCGTTTCACTTCTCCCTCACCACTCTCCCTCACACCAACTTGATCCAGAATGTCCTTTCAGGTTCCAATCTCGCAAGTTTCCGCTAGTATTGGAGGTCTTGGTCGAATTGATGGTCTCCATTATTCAAATGGTGTAGAGCAATATTGCGGTATCCCATATGCTACACTGTCAAAACGCTGGACACGCTCAGTTCTCAAAACCTCTTGGGAGAACGATTATCACGATGGAACTCAGCTTGGGTAATTACTGCTCCTCTCACAAATACTATGGTCTAACATGTCACTTCAGAAATAATTGCCCTCGTCCACGAATCTCGGGTACAGATGCAAACCCTAACAACCCGTTCATACCGGTCCCAGCAAATCCATTTTTCACTCGCCTACCTGTATCTGACGAGAAGACTGCTCTCATAATAAATATTGTCGTCCCAGAGAGCCCAAATCACAGCTCAGATGGAGAGGCCAAGTTCCCCGTTATGGCATGGATCCATGGCGGATCTCTGCTGTATGGTAGTGCAAACTACGGGATCTACGATGCGGTGAATCTGGTTTCTCACAGTGTTTCTATCGGTCTTCCAGTAATTGTGGTAAGTTTCAATTATCGACTTGGTTTGGGTGGTTTCCTGGCCGGTTCAAAGGTAGAAGAGGAGCTTAAAAAAGATGGTTTTGCCGGCAATGGCAATTTCGGCTTCACAGATCAGAAGGTTGCTATGGATTGGGTGCAAAAATACATTTCTCAATTTGGAGGAGATCCAAATAATGTCATCGCTTTTGGGCAATCGGCTGGTGCAATCTCTATCGGCCATCAGCTGGCAGCGAATGATCCGATGAAATTCGACCGTGCAATCTTTATGTCTGGTCTGGGAAGCACTTTGAGTCCACTATCTTTGGAAGAGCATGAAGAGTTATTCAGTGCGAGCTGCCGCTACTTTTCCATCGATGCACAAGCCCCCGATGCTCTGGATCAATTGCGCAAAATTGATCAGCAGGTCCTGGCTGATGCAGATAACAAGATCCAGGGGGCTATTTCTGGTGGTGGAAACCCGTGTTTGGACGGCTGGTTCTATGCTCACGACCCTCGGATAATCTCTGAGGCGCCAAGCTGGCTCAGATCATTTGCGATGGGCGACATGCATGACGAGGGCGTCATATTCATCATGAGTCTGATGAATGATACCTACGACACAGTCCGAAGTACCATGATGGAGCACATTAGAGATGAGAAGTTCGTCAACACAGTATTCGAGTTGTACGGCATCACCCCGAAACTATCGAAACACGATTTCATCGACAGAGTAGCCAATATGGGTGCGGATGCTGTCTTCAAAATCCAGAACTACAAGACTGCGCTTGTGAATAAGCGCCTTCAGTCCGAGAATTCAATTTTCAAATATCATTTCGACCAGCAATCGCACATCAAAAATGTGCTTCAGGGGAAGGCATACCATGGACTAGACGTTGTCTATTTGTTCCGAAATTTGGAAAACAAGCTCAGCGAAGAAGAACGGAAGATGAGTGATGAGTTTGCCTCTGCTTGGATTCGATTTGCATATGCTTTGGATCCATGGCAGAGCGCTGGAGCTACCATGTGGAAGGTCTGGGGCCCCAACAGCAAGGAAAGAGTTGAGACAGAAGAGGAGGATGAGCCCGTTCGCTTCTATTCACGTTTCAAGAATGTGATGGAGATGGGTGCTGGTGGGCTATGGGAAAAGTACATAATTGCATTGAACTATGTGCTAGTGAAAAAGGGGAATATGAGGAGGATTTGAACGGACATGGTTGAGGTACTAGGATCACATACATCAGCGGGTGATCAACGCGACTGACTTAAAAGCTTCATCCATTCCAGAGAATGTTTGCAGAAATCAACCAATTGTCATTGCTACAAGAATTAGTAATTACTTTCATGGAAACTTGTCAATTGAGTGAGTTTTTCAACCCATTAATTAAATTTTACATGCGATATAAGACAGATTGAAGTACCGGAATAACCATTTGGATCGCGGAAAAACATTAACCCGGGATATACATCATAAAATGGGTGAATTATTTCGTAACGAGTTCTGTGGCTCAAAGTGAAAACATCCCCATGCACGAGGTTGGGAGTCACAAACATAACTCATTTTTGCCGCAGGCTCAAACTCAACGAAGTGCATCGGCGTTTTTTCTTTTCAAATCCAGACAGTTTTTAGTTTTACGTGTTCAGTTCGGAGTTTACAAGTTTCAAATTTCTGGAGCATATCTACCGTAGATTATGCCATAAACTTGGGTTGGTAGCTCTGTTCGAGGCTAACTTTCTAGCTCCAGTTGAGCGGAATAGCTACTCAAGACTTCAGTGACAGAACATGTTCTGTTGATTTTATAGAAAGCACTTGATTTTCTTCTCCAACCTCGAATCACTGACTCAGGAGTTGATGAAAAAATGGAATCCCAAAAATGGAATGTGAGCAAAAGAATCCGCCTGCCACAGACCCGAAGATCGTTGGACGACCTGATCATCCACGTAGTGCAATGTGGAGACCCAGTCGTGGTTAAACTGCATACATGAGCGCAGCCACCCAAACAAGGTAAGTATGAAGAAGAAAGAAGAAAGAGGAAGGGAAATTTGGGCAAGTTGTTTATATAGGTTTATTTTCTAAACCGCGCTAGTTACTTACCGCTTTATTCTGGCAGAAAGTAATGTGATCAGCTCTCCTTACTTCCATGCTCAGACATGGATTTTCTCCCTACATTGTACATACCTGTCGTATCCCGCCTAGATGCTCCCTCGTCGAGTTGTAGCTAACAGCTATTTCAGTTTATGGTCAATCCCTTCAAATCGCACATCCATGGTTGTGGTTGATACAACATTTAAACATATTCTTTAATTCTGATATAAATCAACCTTCTCACTCAATCTTGATATCACTGCGGTAATAATCATTAGCAGTTATAGGAGTGGCTCATGTATGACTGCAAATCAGGTTTGCATTATTGTAGATGTGGATTGGCTAGTGTACAACTTTTTCATCATGGAAGTTCTACTTCCTCTCTTTCTGCGGTTTTCAAGATGTATTGCTTGACCTGCCAAATAGTTAAAGTTTATCGATAGATCACCATACTTGGAGCGTTGACTTACCTTATCATCAGGAACAAGATCAATAGCCAATCTTCCATCGATATCTCTCTTATCAGCCTGCGCCCCTGACTTTAAAAGTAGGATGGCAGCATCTCCGTGCCCTTCTGACACCGCATGGTGCAGCGCCGTAAAGCCGTCATTATCTGTGGCGTTGATCGGGCTGTTTCCTTCTTCCAGGAGGTTCTTGATAATTGGAACAGATCCCACTGCTGCAGCTCGGTGAAGAGGTAGTTGCCCTCGGGTATCTTTTACACGCGCACTGCATTTATGAGCAATCAAGGTTTTGACAGTTGAAATGTTCGACTTCGAGCTTGCAAAGTGCAAGGCGTTCTGCTAGCTTGTTAGTATTTTCAGTGTTGAGCCCTGAGATATCTCCTGTATGACCTACCTGACCAGAAGAACTCTTCATAGTAACATCAGCACCTTTACGCAGAAGCAGATCAATGATCGAATCACCCTCGGCATTCTTCAAGCTCGCAGCGATCATGAGTGGTGTCCAGCCGGACCCGTCCTGGATAACATTTAATAAGATGCACTGCTGATTGATCACCATGGTATACATACTTCAACATCAGGATCAAAATTTATATGGGAGACAAGCAACTCCACAATAGGTAGTTTGTTGTAGGCAACGGCCCAATGAATTGGGAGTCGCTCATCGTCATCTTTGACATAAGCAGATTTGGGATTTGCCTAAGTATATTATCAATATATATATTCAAGCCTAAGTTGCAGCCAGTAAAGTAGAAACGGGATCTATCGGCTGTAAATGGTGGGTTTTTGCGGGGCAGCTGGAAGCTCTTTCTATGTGTAACTCACGTTCAGAAGGGACTCCGCAACTTGATCTATTCAAAAAATTATCAGTAAAAGACAGAGAATTATATACTGCAGTTTGGATTACCTCTTCCTTCTCGTGCAGCCTCGTGCAGAGGAAATTTAGCATTTTTGCTTGAATCCATAACGACGTGGAGGTGGAAACATATTAACGATAAGAACTGCGATAAGTGGGCAGTCGACACCTCGACACCTCAGGCATAAATACATTTGTCCCCGAGGTCTTCCTCCGCCCGCAAAGATTCACTCATCTGTCATCTCCTCGACAACCAATCTACACAGCCCATATTTGCGATTTCAGAAGTTGTCAGTTGTCATCGAAAAAATACGATATACAAATAGCCCACGTCAACACCGAGATTGAAACCCGGCATAGAGCTCTAACTGCGCGAACGACTTTTCGACAAATCCGAAGCCTTCGCGCTTCGAGCTTCACTTGAATATTTTCAGGCGCCTTCCATCACGTTGCCTTCGCCAAGCGCCAAGCATATCTAATCACATACATCAAAATGGAAGTTCATTCTAACCACTCTGCTGAGGATGCCGTGCGCTCCTCCGCAAAGCGTACCGCCGACCTCTTTGGCACTGAATACCTAATGGTCACCCCCTCAACCTCGACAGACGGTTCAATTGGCATCTCATACCGACGAAAGGCAGAATACGAAAGTGTGAAGGAACTGCCGCCTGTGCTTGCAGAGAAGCAGGCCAAGGCAGCAGCCGGTCGCTCAAAACGGCCCAGAATCCAAGCACAGGCCCAGGCCTCCGGCGGCGACGGGAGCGGTGCATCAATGTCGCTTGTCAAGAGAACACCAGGTCTTTCCGGTAGCGAAGATCAGCCTAAGAGCCTTATCCAGAGACCATCAGCAACGAAGCAACAACCCCCCGAGTGGCACGCGCCATGGAAGCTGATGCGTGTGATATCAGGCCATCTGGGATGGGTCCGGGCTATTGCTGTTGAGCCAAATAACCAGTGGTTTGCTACTGGGGCTGGAGACCGAACCATCAAGATTTGGAATTTGGCAACTGGCGCCTTGCGCCTTACTCTCACTGGACACATCTCAACTGTGCGCGGTCTGGCCGTGTCACCGCGGCACCCGTACCTCTTCTCGTGTGCCGAGGACAAGATGGTTAAGTGCTGGGACTTGGAGACCAATAAAGTTATTCGTCATTACCACGGCCACTTGAGTGGTGTTTATACCTTGGATATTCACCCTCACCTCGATCTGCTGGTGACCGGCGGTCGTGACGGTGTGTGTCGTGTGTGGGATATGCGCACGAGAAGCAACATCCACGTTTTGTCCGGACACAAGGGCACCATTGCCAGCCTGAAGTGCCAGGAAGCCGATCCCCAAATTATCTCCGGTTCATTAGACTCGACCGTGCGATTGTGGGATCTGGCTGCTGGTAAGTCGATGGGTGTTTTGACCCACCACAAGAAGGGTGTGCGCGGACTTGCCATTCACCCGCGTGAATTCACCTTTGCCACTGCTAGTACCGGAAGCATCAAGCAGTGGAAGTGTCCAGAGGGTGAATTTATGCAGAACTTTGAAGGACAAAACGCTGTCATCAACACACTCTCCGTGAACGAAGACAATGTCATGTTCTCTGGAGGTGATAACGGCTCTATGTCTTTCTGGGACTGGAAGACTGGTCACAGATTCCAGGATATGGATAGTATTGCACAGCCTGGTTCTCTTGTAGCCGAGGCTGGCGTTATGGCCTCGACATTTGATCGTACTGGCCTGCGTCTCATCACTGGTGAAGCTGACAAAACTATTAAAATCTGGAAACAAGATGAAAATGCTACACCTGAGACCCATCCTCTTACCTGGGCACCTTCTCTGGGAAGAACACGGTATTAGAATGCTTTTTAAAGCCACAAAATACATAGTTTTTCAGCATGGATATGGCGCCTTTCATTTAATGAGATACCAAATACTCAAATCTATTATATTCATTTTTTAAATGTTCATATGGAACAGTTCTATCGATGGTGGTTTAAGCCTCATCGCTTCTTCACTATCACTCTCATTATTCACTCTCACTCTAGGCAGGGGCTCATCATTCAATCTCCCCGCCTACATCCTCCACATATACGAACCCTCAAGAGGAACATGGATCCCGTCAAAGCATTAGATAGAGACTTTAAATCGACACGTTTTACTGAAAATGGAGATAATCATTCATTTGTTGTTGATAAATGGGGAAATATTCTGTAGGACAAGACTTTCGGGGCTCTGCGAATTCTCATTCCCCTGTCTTCTCTCATGCGAGAAATTATAATTGATTCTTCCATCACTGTTGGAGTAGCGAACACATCACATTTTCACTCATTGTTATGCTGGGATTGTCATGAGCATGTCTGATGTAATATGGAGTTCCTTGATTTTCTCTAGCAATGGAACAAGAGCGGTATTTATCTGCTTCCAGATATCACTAAAAGGGTATCATATAGTCAAACTATCTCAAATTATAGAACAAAAGTGTAGGAACCAGCATAAATAATGTGTATTACAAGAACCAATGCTTTAAGGTTCACTGGCTAATGCCCATTCCAAAACCTTTAGCCTCAACATCCTCAATAAAAGCAGAACGTATATCTTCGGCCGCAACCCTAAGCCGAATTTTACTGCTTCGATCACCACGAGAAGGGATAGTAGAGCCACCAAGCATATTCTTCGACCCAGTGCCTTGCTCCATGGCCAAGACACCTGAGTTCATCAGCTCCATAGCGGCAAAACCAAGCGCACGTACTCGAGCACCAGCACCGCCGTTAAGAAGGAACTCTCTCACGCCTACGCCAGCTGCACCGGCGACTGCAACTGCCGCATCAGCGATACGACGTGCCTCGTCAAGAACGTCCCCGAACGTAGATTCAGTGATGCCTGTACGCTGAACTCGAGCCAATAGAGCGGCTAGAAAAAGTTTCCCGGATAGTGGGAGACAGCGTAGAGATTGCTGAAGTGGAGTTGATGTGGCTTCTTGGATTGCTTGTTTGATTGTCGCGATGGTGACACGGCCAGGCTTGCCTTTTCCCGATATAGGCTTTGAAGTAGGCGCCTCAGGATCCTTTTTGGAGAGGGTTTTGTTGCTCCGTGCCGGAGTCTTGCTGGGTGTGGCAGGCGGAGAGTCTGCCTCATCAATGGTTTCTAAGTTGGAAGTGGAAGCGGCAGCCTCATCAGCTTCTTGTTCAGCAATTTCGACAGCACGTCGACAAATGTCCAGCGCACGCCGAGCATCACCGCTAACAGCAGCGACTTTGCGACTCGCGAATTGAACTGCATCAGGGTCGACAATATTGCCTGGGACGTTTGCGAGCCGGGTGCTGATGATTTCCATTAGATCAGTGTGTCGGTATCCGGGGAATGTGATACGAGTGAGACCCAGACGACTGGAAATCTTGTTGCTTAGAGTTCGTTCAGGAAGATCCATGGTGTTAGCCACTGCTAAAACAATAAGACGCGAGTGACGTAGGGCAGGCCAATTAAAGAAATTGTACATGACTGATTGGTTTTTGGTTACCAACTGATCCAGTTCGTCCATAAGAACGACGCAAGAGACTCGACGGGGAGAGGGGTGGGAGAACTCTTGTTCGAGGAGGTCAAGTGCGTGTGAAGGAGAGACTCGATCGCCCTTCAAGGCCTCCCATAGCAGAGAGTATGATTGATGCGGGTCCGTCACTTTCATTCCGTTGATCTCCACGAATATGAAGTCGTCCATCTCTTCTGTTAGAACGGCAGCATTAAGTTGGCCCACCACTTCTCGTACAGTGGCTGTCTTGCCAGTACCTGGGGTACCTGAGATATAAATACACGCGCCAGTGCCTTCCATGATAGCGGCACTAAGATGGTTGTAGACGGCATTGAACTCCGTTTTTCGACAAGGCAGAGAATCTGGGACAGTGGATACGTGGAGTAGGTTACGTGCCTGCCGATATGGGGATGCAAAATGTGTCGGCGAAAGAACACGCGTGCCTAGTGGGGTGAATTCTAGGGGCTTTTTAACAACGATTCTGATGTCATGTTAGTTCAGTTTCAGAGGTTTAAAAAAAGTATAATGGAGGTCGTACCTTTTATGGGTCGGCGTTGTCAAGGCCTTTTTACGCTGGGACTTTGGAGTTGTATTGGTCGATGCCATTCTCTGTCTTTTCCGTGGAGTTGTAGGAATAGCACTATCATCCTTGGTATCAACGTACTAGAGTTTAAATGATGGTTAGAAGGAAGGAGATTTTCCATTGAGCGAATGTGATACTCACATCAGTATCCGCAGCCTTGCGCTTCTTGGCTGCTTTCAGGTTATCTTTAACCATGTTAATGAGTTCGTAGATGTTGTCCTCTCGATACACCTTCTCCCAAATGAACTCATCTGTATATCTTCCTTGTACCTGGCTCACACCTCGCCGGCAGATAATGCACTTGCTGTACTCAGCCAGCTGAGCTTTGTCCTTGGGAGGATTGCCATTCGGGTATTTGGCATAGAAGGCGTCCTTGGACATGACAGAGGCCTTGCCATTGATAGAAGTCAAGGGATTGGTGTTGAAGTCCGCCGTTAGATATTGCTCGTTCGGTAATGCATCGGTTCTTTGCTTGTTTCTCGTTGACAGAAATTCATCCGGCGAAGCGAACCACATGACGTTGACAGATTTAATCAGCTCGTCGTCCTCATCCTCATCTTCCTCCTCAACAAACTCGGTGATGATGCCAATCCAGTCCTTGCCTGGTTCGGGGGACTTTAACAACACAATTTGGCCAAGACGGCATTCAAAGCTTCCCATTCGAGCTCCGACAATTGCGCGCTTCTTTTGGGCCGGCCGAGACGACCGTCGTCGACCTGATTTCTTTTCCGGGCTGCCATTGTTCTCTTTCTCCCCATTTTTCGGATCCAATTCGGCGTCATAGATCCAGTGCCAGGGTAGGTCTTCGGAGCCAAGTTCATCGTCGGAGTCCTCATGAACTAGGGCGCCCTTGGTCATCCATTTTGGGGTGCGTTTTTGAGAATTACTCTTGATTTTAGGCTCTGAGTCGCTAGATGAGTTATCTGCCATCTTTGAAGCACAACAAATGCTGAACTCTTGTGGTTGTCGACTTAAAATTAAAAATGGGGTCGCGTGCAAATCAACGCGCTGTCCACTTTACTCTAAATACAGCTTAGTGTGGTGGGCCCTATTTATAACCAATAATATCACCACGATCTACTACCCTTCATCGTCGATAATCAACATAGAGCACAAAAGAGGATAAGTTATTTGTACTTCATATTAGAATTTTTCTTTATAGACCAATTACTGAACTTGAAACACAGTGACTATCATAATAGTACGATTTCAATGATAAGCGTTAACTTTTGGAAGGTCAAGTACATCCATAGCCACCCGTAGCTGCTCGCTATTGAATGGCTTTAAGTGACATGAGCATGAAGTGACAGTGAATTGAGTATGTATCCTTTCAGTTTCACACTGCGACTGGTATCGGTGCTTGCACCAGCCTGAATTGGGAGGAGTGGTGGTAGGATAGCAGCAATTCTGCAAATAGGGTGCTATTGATGTAGCCGACAACCGAAGGTTGTGGTTCCAGTAGGGAATGATGAGATCAAGGGTTAAAATTTCCAGGTGGAATGTAATATCTTTCCGAGGTCCCTCGAGCATTAGGCAGCAGCTGAAGTAAACCACCTTCAAACCCTCATGTGTGTGCTTCAAAAGAGAATTTGGACCATATACATGTGCTTTCTAAGCTTACATTACTCCCGAAATCCCATCCCTCATAAATTGAATGTGAAAGAGACACCTGTGGAATAGTGAGAGACTGACCATCGTCTAATTCTACCTCTAGGGCTTTTACTTTGAAACTTCCGAGGTTGGAATTCATGCTATCATTTGACCTTCTAGAAGCTGTCACATATCGCTATTTGATACTCATAGTTTCAATTTAAATTTGAACTATGAATGGGAAAAACTTACCTAGGTATATTTCGACCCCCAGTAATTGATCTATGAAGAATAGGATCCCCTTCTAAACACCATAATCCTTTTGTTGATTATCACGCAGGGGATTACAGCATATAAATGAGGATTAATTGAATTTTAATTTCACTCAGCTTTCCTCTTAGTCTGGAGCTATGTTGCATCTCGAGTTGCATATGAAGTTTAGCTTGCACTGGCAGCCGCCGACTCAGACGGTACAGCTTCGCCGCTAAGCATCTTCTGTCTAAGCACTAGAAGCAGTCAGTAAATGGGATACAGCATAGAATAACTTAGTGCAATGGGAATTGGAATAGGAGAAGAGGAACATACCTTCTTCAGTGACCCGCAGTTGTGAACTTTTGCCCTGTACGATTTTTTCCACTTCCTGCAAGTTAGACTCCAAGCCCTTGGCCTTATCCTCATAAAACTCGGCTGCCTTTGCCGGTGTCTGTCACAGCGCAGAAAGTATTAGAACCAGACCCTAAAGCTCCGAGTATCCATATAGCTATGGTCCAACATACCTTTTCAACATAGAATCCAGTTCCGACATCCACAAGGACCTTTTCGCGATCCGCAAGCCGACCTTTGACATACAAAGAGCTAGTCAGAGGGACGAGGATCTCATCTTGGCCAGCGGTACCCTTCTTCTCAGAGCCAACAACACCGTCATTGATCGTGCGCACGCAATCGCGGAACTTGTTCAGCGCGCCGCGCAGCTTGGTGTGTGAAGTGGTCAGATGTTCCAACTCGGAGGTGAGGCGGGTTTGGAGAGAGCGGAGCTGGGGGAGGGAGAGACTGGCTAGATTGACTTCAGGGAAGGAAACGATTGAGTTAGCATTGTTTGCTGGCCCAGCTTGAATTTGGGGTGCGCTGGCAAGCTGGTAACAACCACGAGACTGCGGGGTGTTTTCTGGCAAGGAGACATACTTGAGCCCGGAGGAGCTCCATCGGAGCCTGATTGTGGTTGCGGAGCCATTGTGTGTTTTTGATTGAGAGTACTGGCCACCTTGACAAAAAGGTGAGTCGTCGCGCGCTGGTCGTAATGCGGGCGGAGAGGTGGGGGAACTGAGAAACTGGCGCGTGCGTGGAAATTGTGCGGATAGACTAGCCCGCACATACAACGAGATACTTGATTTATTGTCACGCACTCTAATATGAATTGAGATGAAATTTATAATTTACAAGGCTATATTCCACAATCAAAATAACTTAGTAAAAATACATTTAATACATGGCTTTTTCAAAGCCTTGACAGCAAGCTCTCGATCACTTCGGGTAGCCGATCTAACGTTATGTCGTCCTTCACGTTCAGCTGCCGACACTGCACTTCCAGCGTCTGGCTCTTCTTCCACCCATTGCCCACAACCACAATGACTGGGTATCCAATGAGATCTGCATCACTCAGCTTCCAGCCCATGCCCTTATCTCGGTCATCGAGGAGGACATCAACGGGCTTGGCAGTAGAAGTAAGAGTGTCATATACCTGTTCGGCCACGGAATCCATCCCCTTTGCGGGGACGACAGCGACCTCGTACGGAGCCATTGCACGGGGCCAGTTGAGTCCCTTTGAGTCAATCATATTGTTAGCCACCGCAGAGATCATGCGAGAGACACCAATCCCGTGGCAACCCATTTGTATTGGCACAATAACCTCTTTGCCAGGCTTGCTGGCACTGAACTCGGACTCCTCAAGCACAGCTGGGTTGACCGAAACAGAGGCATTAAGCACTTTGCTGTACCGTGTGCCCAGGTGAAAGGTATGTCCGAGCTCAACAGTGGGATTGCTCTCCAAATGTCCAACTGAGCACTTAAAGCACTGGTCTCCACTGTGAACACGGACAAGACTAAGCTTGTTCTCTGTGCCCGGGAACCGATCCAACATTGAGTAATCGATGTCATTAGCGCTGCATCCAACTTCCTGGAGAAGATCGCTCAGTGGCGGACGTTGGTAGACTCGCACTCGCGAGTCGTACAGGTCCAACACACGAGGCTTTGGAGTAGAAGTTGTATGGCCTTTAACGTAGGTCGTCCATTTATCCTGTGGGTTCTCTACACTTAGGTCAAGATCAACACCTGCAGCACTGGTAATCGCTTTGACAGCATGTGAATTCACGAGACGCTCCACCGGCTCTGTAGAATCGCCCTGCATGGAGTATTTAGGGTACCAGACCCGCAGGAGAGTGCTGCCATCATGCGAGATAGCCGTCCACATACCATTGGAAATTGTTGAACCAGCTTCAGCATCTGAGTCCTTGGTCTGGAATTGATCTGCGGTTCTATCTGAAGCTTCGTCAGAGCTGTGGGCTTTTCCGTCTGCAAGCTCTTCGTTATATACGTGGTCGCAGTTGGAGCAGCTCACCACATAGTCTTCGCCTTTTGAGCTGACAAAGTGGAACTCATGACTTAAACTGCCACCCATGTTACCAGAATCTGCTGCTGCGACCAAATAGGGGATTTTCAGCTCATCGAAAAGCTGGGTGTAGGCGTGCTTGACGGATAAGTATGTTTTGAGTGCTTCCTTAGCACTGTAGTCGAATGTATAAAGATCTTTCATGATGAATTCTCGCCCACGGAGAAGACCCTGCCTTGGTCTGGCTTCATCTCGGTATTTTCGTGCTATTTTTAGGTTAATATTGTATCGTAGATCATGTCAAGTTCTGTTTTCATACATATTTGATAGACACGCAACGGAAGACTCTTATATGAGGTAGTGAGACCCCCGACAAGTGTCGTAATCTCTTCCTCGTGTGTAGGTGCTAACAGAAAGCGCGCATCCTTTCGATCATTGAACCGAAACACCTCTGAGCCCTGTGCCGTCAATCGACCTGATTGCTCCCATAGCTCCTGAGAGGATATCGACGAGAGTGACACCTTAGAGGCACCTATGTGTCTATGAGTACGAGGTTTCAAGACCAAATGTAGAAAGCTTACCCAATGTGCGCATGTGCTTGTCAATTAAACGCTCTAGCTTGTCCTGAACTCGCAGTCCAAGCGGAAGTAGATGGAATACTCCTGAATATGCCTGCGATGACTGTTAGGGACATAAATATGGCGAATGGCACAGGTTACTGACCTGCCGAAGAAATCCGCCTCGAATCAAGAGATCATTCGCATCCTCTGACGCAATGTTAGCATTTCATACTCCGTTTTCGAGATTCAATTGCCGTACCTTTCTCTCCATCAACGGGTTTCTTGGAAATACCACCGGTTGGGATCCAAAAGTTTGATACCCGGTTTCTTCCATCATACTATAGACTATTAATATTTCACTTTCTCTCTGGCTCCAGTGGAGTCAGCTATCCTCGAATCGCGTACATGAAGCCAACATTGTTGAGCTTGGAAGCTATAAAGGGAGGGCAGTCGCGACACCAATGGTCTCATCAAAGTGCGACCAGCTGGCCGTACTAGCTGCATCCTTCTAAACTCCGAGTATTTCACCAGAGCAGTTGAGAATATTAGATTGAGCTAGAGCACAAGTTCCTGGAGGATATCATGACAAACTTGTCTCTTATCGGGTTGGTCCGAGCGCTCCGATAAGCCGCCCGCCGCAAAAGATTTCTCCGTTCATTTTTCTCTCCATCGAAAGCAAGAGCTCAACCCAGACACACCACAATGGCAAAAGGGAAAGATAAGCGCTCATCAGGCGCAAGCAAGTCCCCTAAAAATGAGGATGATTCAACTTCTAAGTCCCAGTCTACCACGGAAATGCCCCAAATCGACGAGAGCGCCTTCGTTGGTCTACGACAGAAGATTGAGCAACGATTGAAGGATAGTTCTTCGAAAGGAAAATCGAAGAAGAATGCTAATAAGCCGACTGCATCTGTGGAGGCTGCATCTCCCAAAAAGGATGCATCATACACCAAGGGCGGCAAGAAGCAGGAATCCTCCGTTCAGGGCAAGAAGCGGGATCGCAATGGTGATGTGATTGCCCGTGACGAGAAGAAGGGAGGAAGTAGCAAGAAGACTACTGATGATGTCGATACTCTACGACAGGAAATCCTGGCCCTGGGCGGTACCGAAGAGGACCTTGAATTGCTTGAAGAGGTCGACTCGGAGTCCGAAGTAGAGGGCGAATCCAAACCTAAGGGCAAGAGCGGTGACGATGATCTACGAAAAGAGCTTGCAAAGATGCTGCAAGCAGCTGGCCAGGTTGTTCCAGAAGATCTAGGGGACGACGAAGTTGAAGAAGGGGAGGATATTGAAGAGGAGGCTGAAGAAGAGATTTCAGATGAAGATATGGAGGACGCCAACGAGGAAGACAATGAAGAGTCTGAAGTCTCCGATATTGAAGAAGCACCGCCGGCGAAGAAGCAGGAAGTTGATATTGTCGTTCCTAAGGAATACGCAAAGCTCGTGAGTACATGTATATGTACCAATTTCGATATTCTATACTAATTTACCTTCGCACAGCTTGTGCTTCCTCGTTCTGACTGGTACGCTATTCCTCTTCCTCCGGTCAAGACTGTGAAAGAAGTGACCGCCCTACCCCGTCACCTGATCGATCGTATTCATGAACTCGCAAACAATCTGCTACAGGAGGAGAATGACAAGTATGCGGAAGCGCAACAGGCCGCGGCCTCATCATCTCACAAGTTCTACACAACAATTATGACTTCTGGTACCCTGAGCGATAAGATCTCTGCATTGACCCTTGCCGTGCAAGAGTCACCACTGCACAATGTTAAGTCACTCGAAAATCTGATTGCTCTTGGACGAAAGCGCAGTCGTGCGCAGGCCGTCGAAGTCCTACGATCTCTGAAGGATATGTTTGCTCAGGGTACTCTGCTGCCCAGTGAACGTCGCTTGAAGTCATTTTCCAATCAGCCTGCGCTTGTCGCAGCATTCCAAGGCGCTGGAGGTCGATGGACCGAGCGAGACCCGCTTCCTGGTGGCTTGCAGAAGAGCCACCTTCTAGTTTGGGCCTTTGAGGACTTTGTCAAGGAGCAATTCTTTGAGGTTCTGAAAATTCTAGAGGTCTGGTGCAATGACGAGATTGAGTTCTCGCGCACCCGTGCCGTCAGTTATGTATACGAACTTCTCAAGGAGAAGCCGGAGCAAGAAGCAAACTTGCTACGGCTTCTTGTCAACAAGCTCGGAGACCCTGGTAAAAAGATCGCCTCCCGTGCCTCTTACTTGTTGCTCCAACTTGAGCAGACCCACCCTATGATGAAACCATTAATTATCAAGGCTGTCGAAGAGCTGCTGTTCCGACCGGGCCAGAGCCAGCATGCCAAGTATTATGCCATCATTACTCTAAACCAGACCATTCTCAGCCAGAAGGAGGATAAGGTTGCTATGCAGCTGCTTGACATCTACTTTTCTCTCTTCGTCAATCTTCTAAAGCCTCAGGGTAAGAAGCCTGCGGCTAAGGGAGAAGACAAGCCTGTAGTTGAAGATGAAGGCAAGCCTGCACCCAAGGGAAAGCGCCAGGGCGAGACCTACAAGGGATCGAAGGGCAAAGGTCGCAACGAGCCTGTCAAGGGAGAGGCCCAAGACGACGAGATGCGGGAGAAGCTGACTTCAGGTGTCTTGACCGGGGTCAACCGCGCATACCCCTTCACTGATGCCGATTCAGACCGGTATGTTATTTTGTGCTCGTCCCAAGTCATCAGATCAATATTAATGTGTGAAATTATAGAATCTCCAAACACATCGATACTCTTTTCCGCATCACGCACTCTTCCAATTTTAACACCAGTATTCAAGCTCTCATGCTCATCCAGCAACTTACTACGTCTCATCAGGTTGGAAACGACCGCTTCTATCGGACCCTTTACGAGTCTCTTCTGGATCCTCGAGTCGCCACCTCCTCAAAGCAATCACTCTACCTGAATATGCTGTACAAGGCCCTCAAGAACGATCTTAATCTCCGCCGTGTCAAGGCTTTTGTCAAGCGTGTCGTTCAAGTGCTTGGACTTCACGGACCTTCTTTCGTCTGCGGTGTTTTTTATATGATTCGCGAGTTAGAGAAGACTTTTGTCGGTCTCCACTCTCTCATTGATCAACCCCAGGAGAACGACAGTGATGACGAGGAAGTCTTCCGCGACGTTCCAGACGAAGACGATGAGCAGCCGGAGCCTACTCCAGTCGTATCCAAATCTTCAAAGCGCACCGATGGTTACGATCCTCGAAAGCGCGACCCCGAACACAGCAATGCTGACAAAACATGTCTTTGGGAGCTGCTCCCTTACACATCTCATTTCCACCCCTCAGTTTCCGTCAATGCAGCACGTCTTTTGGAGAATGAGCCCATGAGCGGAAAGCCTGATATGTCATTGCACACCCTCAGTCACTTCCTAAATCGCTTTGTTTACCGTACTCCTAAGGCTAACGCCAATACTCGCGGTGCCTCTATCATGCAGCCCCTGGCTGGTGGTGAGGTTGCCGATCGTCTGGTAGAAGCTGGAAAGGCTTCAAATCAGAGCATGCCTCTCAACTCCCAGAACTTCTGGACGAAGAAGGTCGAGGATGTTGCGGCTGAAGATGCCTTCTTCCACGACTACTTCAACCGCATTAACAAGGACAAGACCAAGGCCAAGAAGGGCAAGGGTGATGAGGATGCCATGGCACGTGACGAGGAGGATATTGATGGCAGCGACAACGAAGACGAAATCTGGAAGGCGCTCGTGGATTCGCGACCAGATCTAGAGCAAGACGATGACAGCGATGATGATCTGGACCTAGATGATCTCGACTCTGCATACGATGATGACGAAGACGACGAAGAACTCGAGGGCGGTGACGAGGACGTTATCTTCAACGACGAGTCTGACGTACCATCCGACGAAGACGAGGAGATGGACGACTTCGATGGCTTCGATGATGAAGAAGCCACACCTATCCCGGCCGCGTCGAAGAAGGCTACCAAGAAATCTACCAAGGAAGAGAAGTCCAAGGCACAGAAGCCTGCCGAAGACGACGAAGATGTCTTCGATATGGACGTCTCAGACGATGAGGCCTTCCTGGACAGCGACGAGGACCTGCCCTCGGATATGGAGCTGGGCGGTGTGGATATAGATGTGGCGGCCGATGCAGCTGCAGCTGCAGCTGCACCTTCCGATCGCAAGAAGCGCCGCAAGCTCAAGAACTTGCCTACCTTTGCTTCGGCAGACGATTATGCTGCTCTATTGGAGGACGAGGACTTGGGTATGTAAATAGGACTATCTGTTATTGTGTATGTCGTGCTTCTAAAAGTGAGAGATTCTCTATTGCATTCCATATTATCTGGCGTTTCTTCCGTATTGTGGACTGTTTGATCCTACTTTCTCTCTCTCTCTCTCTCTCTCTCTCTCTCTCTCTCTCTCTCTTCTACTTCTACTTCTACTTCTTGCGTTCATATGGTAGCTATCTCTACATCAGTAGCTCCCTGTGGGGATGTCCTATCACTTGATTTTTTTTTCTCTAGCAAGTAGAGGATAATAGCGTGGACTGGATAAAGCCTTACACTCTTTCTTGCTAGTTCATTTAACTGGAATGCTATGGATCACGTGATTTTATCATTAAACCGAATCATTTAGGGCTCGAGTCCTTCACGATGTTACAAATCGACAATGAAGTCAGCCCCGCTGAAGGGGCCCGGACCTGGTGGTTAGGACTCAGAAGCCAGTATAACATATTAAACGACTCACTATAATAAGTCAGTGCTAGACTCCATTTTTTATTCCAAGGTCCTTTCAGCGCAGGTAAACTCGGAAATAACTCTTGAACCGCCCCCCCCCCCCCCCAATTTCCTGCATGAAGAGCCAATGTTGTTATGTACTTCGGCCGTTCCACAGTTCCTGGTATCCACTCTTGCGTGCTCCATAATTGCCTCCTAATGCCTTGGTCATGATTCACCAGGGCACATTCCATATTCGGGTTCATCGGGATCGGACGATGACGTGGACCCGCTCTCGTGGAAGGTTTCCCCGCGTTCGATACTTGAAAATGCCCTTTTATATCCTATTTTTCTAACATTAGGACCTTGAAACAATGAAAGAGTCACGATATCACATATCTCTGCTAACTATCTTAAGATCGATACAACTTCCAAGTTTATAGGTTGAATATCTTCGATCATTCAGCTTTGGAGCTGAGTCAGCAGTGCGAAATTTAAACACTGTTTCTTTTCTTATTCTCTCTGTTTCTCCTTATTCCAAGGTTATCATTTTCATGCCATTAATACGAACGCCTCTCGAAACTGCCTACATAGGTAGGTGCTTATTGAAAAACGCCTCTATACTCCGCTACGCCTCACCCGCTATTATGGCTTGGACCAGCCGAATCCGGTTAAAGAAATCGAGATCGGGAGCCAAGGCCAACCATGTTTTCCTTGATATTCATGGCTCAGCATGTAATTCTATAATCCATTTGCAGGGCAAATATACTAGAGGAATCTATAAGCCCCAAGATTTGAGAGCCTACCTGCAATACCATTATAACCCTCTATTTACAAATAAATACGAAGAAATGAGATAGAAGACAGAGTGGAGTTGAATTACCTATTAGTGCTAGCGGGGTGGACCATGGAAGGATTTGATCGCCCGTGTTTAAGCCCGAAGCCACGAACGTAAAAGGTGACGTTGGATTCTACTTTTCGGCCGGACTTGGATTTTTCTCTACTAGGTCTTTTCCTGTTTCCCTTTCAATTTCTTATTGACTGTATGGTTTATTTCACCGGAATCACCACGCTTCGTCGAAACCCCATTTGTCGCATCTATAGACCGTTTCCGCCAATTTTATGATTGTCAACAATACCTTTAACTCCACCGAGTATCGTCAGAAGCGGTTCGCCCGCTCATTAAGATTAAAATGGCTGAGCCAAAAAGCTTCAAACCATTGGGCGCTAGCAATAGCAACAGCAACCGCTCCCCCAGTTCCATCAAGCTGAATGAAAAGGAGTTTGATGTTGAGAATGGAGGCCGACGCTTGTCGCATCACCACGATGCCGTCGATTCATCATCTACGACTGAGAAAGTTGGTCACCAGATTGAGTTGGAGGCAGAAAATTCGATCAAGTACCGTACTTGCAGTTGGCAGAAGGTATGCGATATTCGAGCGCAATTCGTATCAGTATAATCCTGGAATGGTGACTAAATTTTCACTCGTACCTTAGACTGCGGCGTTGCTCTTCTCCGAGTATATCTGTTTGGCCATGATGTCGTTTCCATGGTCATACTCCATCCTAGGCCTCGTCCCTGGCCTGATCCTGACAATCTTCATCGCTGCTATCGTTCTCTATACTTCATTGACAGTTTGGTCAGTTCTGAGAAATTCGTGTTTTCATCTCTATACCAGATATACTGATTGATGGCAATAGGAAATTTTGTTTGCGACACCCAGAAATCCGGGATATCTGCGACATCGGCCAGTATCTGTTCTGGGACTCCAAAATTGCCTGGTGGTTCACGGCGGCCATGTTCCTACTGAACAACACCTTCATCCAGGGCCTGCATTGTGTCGTGGGCTCCGAATACCTTAATACCATGAGCAATGGTGGTGTATGCACCATCGCATTTTCGGCCATTGTCGCCGTGATATGCTTCTTCGTCTCTCTACCACGTACATTCAACACGCTGGCATACCTGGCGACTGCCTCCGCCTTCTTCACATTTGTTTCCGTCCTTTTAGCCATGATCTTCATCGCAAGTGAGGGGCATCCCGCCGGCTACCCTAAGCTTGGAGAACCTACCATTCTAGCCATTCCGGCCAAGGGCACATCTTTCGTGTCTGGTACCAACGCTTTCCTAAACATTAGCTACACCTTCATCGGCCAAATCACTCTGCCCAGTTTCATTGCTGAGATGAAGGAGCCGCGTGACTTCTGGAAATCTGTCACTGCGGTCACCATTGCTGAGATTATCCTGTTCAGCTTGGTTGGCTCGATCATCTACGCCTACACTGGTACGCAATATATGACATCTCCAGCCTTCGGCTCCATCTCAGATGAGATGTATAAGAAGGTTTCCTTCTCGTTCATGATCCCTACCTTGATCTTCTTGGGTGTGCTATATGCATCAGTCTCCGCTCGTTTCATCTTCTTCCGCCTATTCGAAGGAACCCGCCATAAGGGCAACAACACAGTTGTGGGATGGGCCTCTTGGGCCGGTATTCTGGCAATCCTGTGGGTTTTCGCCTGGATCATCGCCGAAGTCATCCCGTTCTTCTCCAGTCTGGAATCTCTCATGAGCTCACTATTCGACTCATTCTTTGGCTTCATCTTCTGGGGCTGGGCATACATACAGATGAGCTATGATGATTATGGACCTTCCTTCTATAAGATCCGTGGCATTCGTGGCTGGCTTGGTGCAATTTTAAACGTCAGTCTTATCTTTATGGGTTTGTTTTTCTTGGGCCCTGGCACCTATGCTTCTGTCATGGGTATTATTGAAAGCGACACAAGCGGCGTCTTCACCTGTGCCAGCAACGCACTTTAAATTTCTCTCGCAGGGCGAGGGACATCATACCAGTGTATCCATTTACCTCGAGCTGGATGCTAGCTGAGGAATTCATTCACGACCTGACAACTTGATGACAGGAACAGCTAGAAGCTCGCATTCCCGCTTCTAGGTCAGATGTCTTGTCCTTATTATATTCCTATATCTTCATTTCTATTCTTATTTGTTGGTCTCTTATATCTACCTATCTACCTAGGTGCCTAGGTATGGTGTTGTCGTCTTTCTCAAAAGTTTTCTCTGAAGTACCTGGGTAAGTATATGATATCTTTGAAATTTGATATGCAGGGGAAAAAATGAATCAGAGGATGCTGGCTGAACTTTGATCATTTTGATTTCTCTGCCCTAACATTCTGTAAATATTTCGGTGGGTGATTTACATCAGGCAATAAATTTCATGTTGATACGACTTTACCGCCACCTTATTTTTAAAGAATTTGACATTTTCAAGTTTTTCAAGGACTCTCATCAAGACTAGTATATTCTTTATACTTTATAGACCCCTAGTAAAGATATCGAAACTAAATTAGAGAAACAGAATCGCACACAGCTGCTCTCCGGTTGCCCTATCTCCACGTGACTTTCCCGGTATACTTCTCCGACGGAGGAATCCTCGGGTCTTTTTTTCTCTGCTCCTTCCTCTTTTTTTTTCTTTTCTTCTTGCAATTCAGTTTAACTTGTATTGAATTATCATGTCTAGCGCTCGTACTTTCAGGAGAGGTGTTGACCTCGTTGCCGTGAGAGCTTTCAATACTCCCCGCGCCTCTATCGGCTCCACACTACTGCGGAGGGAGCTATCATTTGGGGTGCGGCCAGCAGTACGCAGCACCAGAATCGCCACCCCGACGTCAATTGTGCCTGTAAAGACTCAATCCATTCGCTATGCGTCCAGCAGCTCCAGTTCCGAATTGCTACATAAGACACAGCTATTTGACCTACACAAGGCATATGACGCTAAAATGGTACCATTTGCCGGGTTCGCGATGCCGCTACAGTACAAAGACCTGAGCCATTTGGAAAGCCACAAGTGGACTCGCGAGAAGGCCAGCGTGTTCGATGTCAGCCATATGTAATAGCATGCAAAGAGATCCACCCCGCAGCTTTAATGGCTAATTAATCGGCTACAGGGTACAACATCACCTCAGTGGCCCCGGTGCCACAGAGCTGCTGATGAAGGTGACACCTTCATCACTGAATAAGCTTGCGCTGAACACATCCACCCTGTCTTGCCTCTTGGAAGACGGCACAGGTGGTATAATTGACGACACAGTCATCACCCGTCGTGGTGAAGACACTTTCTACTTCGTGACCAACGCCGGCCGCCGCGCCGAAGACCTGGCTTTCCTAACGGCCGAGATTGGTGCATACCGCGCCCAGCACGGCGCAGACAGCATCAAGTGGGAGATCCTTGAAGATCGCGCCCTCGTCGCTCTGCAAGGTCCACTCGCTGTCAGCACGCTCCAGCCCCTCATCAACTCAACCAACGCCACAGCGGCCGAAACCGACCTGAACACACTATACTTCGGCCAATGCCGCGAATTGCACCTGACTCTACCAGACGGCAGTAAAACAGCATCGCCACTCCTGATTTCTCGTACTGGTTATACAGGCGAAGATGGCTTCGAGATCTCAATCCCAACCTCCGCCTCCTCATCCCTCCCCCAACAAGTCGTCGATTTACTTCTCACGGACAAGGACACGGTCCGTCTAGCCGGTCTCGCAGCCCGAGACTCCCTCCGTTTAGAAGCAGGCATGTGTCTCTACGGCCACGACATCTCCACCGCACAGACACCACCAACCGCAGCACTGGGCTGGGTTGTCGGTCGAGACCGCCGCGACGCAGCTACAGCCACCTTTAACGGTGCTTCCGTAATTCTGTCACAGCTCGCTAGCCCTAAGACTCTATCCCAGCGCCGTGTTGGGCTATCAGTTGAGAAGGGCTCTCCTGCGCGCGAGGGCGCTGTCGTCGTCGACCTTGCCGATCCCGCCAACCCTGTCCAAGTCGGTGTTGTTACTTCAGGTCTGCCTAGCCCGACTCTTGGTGGTGCTAATATCTCTATGGCTTATGTTAAAAATGGCTTGCATAAGAAGGGCACTGAGTTAGGTGTCTTGGTCCGTAATAAGGTGCGCAAGGCTACTGTTACCGGTATGCCTTGGGTTGAGAGCAAGTTCCACCGTCCTTCATAAAAAGCTACTTGTTCTGCTTATTTTAGGGCTGTTATTAATATGAAATGACCAACTCATGATTTATTGGCGCATGTATATATTTTTTTCCCTTATTACTTGGATTCTTTGCTGCCTTAAGCCAGGTCGCTTCATGCTTGCGTTTTCTACTTCAACAGCTAGTCGACCAGGGTGGATCCGCAGGCAGTTTATCAATTGCCAATTGAAGCCAGCCACTTTCTAGATTTAGATATCATTCTTGGCCCGAGAAATAAGATTTATGCGCTAGTTATGGCAGATATAGAAGAAATACACAATAGCCGACAGTATGTTCATCCATTGGAGAAAATCCATATGAACTTGTGAATAAGAAAAAAAAATAAACTAAAATGCCTCAAGATCTTCAGCCATCGAATGTGTATCTGAGCCATTCGCCCACTGCCCGCAAGCTTTCCCACCGCACCGTCTCGTCTTTGTCGGCCATCAACTCCATCACCCGGACTTTCAGACCGAGGCGTTCGAGTTGTGTGCGCCTTTCTGGAACCTCCTTCACCAAGCAGCCGACATCGTTACAGGCGATGGCCAAAACTTGCTTGTCATTATCCCAGCTCTTAGACAGAATCTCCTTAAGTTTCTTGGTCAGAGCACCATTGTTCTCATCCACAATGCGCCGTGCGTTTTCCTTCCAGAAGGTAGGGTTCTTGTGCGGGGGCGACCAGCGCAAGTGACCTGACTGGACTTCGACGGCATACTCATCAAAGGTGGTCTGAGTCTTGGTATATTCATCAAGCATGGTTGATAGAGCCTCCAAATCTTCGAGGAGATCGGGGTCTGTCAGATGACGTCCCTTGAGGTTAGTCAAAAGTGATGGAAGCCGAACAAACACGGCAACGGGGAGCAAGGTATTCCGATTTTGCAAGAAAAGGTTGTGCAGAGTTGCAACAAGAAGACGAGTGGTCTTCTCCTTTGGCGACATTCGCAGGAGCTGCGTGTAGAGTTGAATAATCTCATAGCTCCTAAATGAGGGTCAGTTGTTGAGCATGGGGCTTCATGATTCTCTCTTGAAATGGGCACTTACTCTTGAAGCTCTTCACCGACGAGTGCGCTCTCGAATGTGAGTTGCCACACCACAAGGAGAACCCGATACAACAGCTGAAGACCAATCCCTCCAGCAAGACCGGACTCAATGCCACGTGTGCTGGGGGCTGGTGTACTAGCTCCTGAGATGCTCGCTCCGGAATTGCTGACATTATCCTTGCCCCCAGCAGCAGCACGGAGAGTTTCAATCAGAGGGTCCAAAGTCTCTTTGCGGTGGTTCCAAAAGATCTCACGAGAACTCTTCTTTCGGAGAAGCTCCGAGAATCCTTGAACTCCAATATCCTGGACCGCGCTATCTTGGTTCTTGGTCAGGGTAGAGAGAAAAATATACAACTGCGGAAGAGCTTCCTCGTCACGAGGAGCGGATTTGGTCGAGGCAACAAGACTGTGCGATACAAGAGTCGTGAGGAAGGTAGAGGCGAGCAATGGAATTGGGTCAGTGTTCGTGGGTTGCAGGAACTGGAGGAATGACTTGTATGGTTCCGGGTGCGAGATAAGAGCATCGGCCAGCGAGGGAACGTCTAGATGTTTCTTATTAGAATTGTTTGAATAGCCTCATTATCGGAATTGCAATGCATACCCTGAATCAGATCTGAAGCTAGCACCAAAATGTACTGAATCATATCTGTCCGACGAGCGGCGTAGTCCAAGACACTCTTGCCCTGCTCTCCTCCAGCAAGTAGGCCCGTATAGCCATCTAGGTCGGCCTCTATTGTCTGACGACGCTGTTCCTTGCGCACCTTGTCTACCGCCTTGATCTTCTTGAGATGATCATCGGTAATATTGCCCGCTCTGACGGCACCCTCCCATGGAATTGGCCGAGAACGAATATTATTTTGCAGAGAGCTGAGGTAGGTGGGCGGCTCTAGCGACATTGTGATCAAATGGGACCAGAGAAGCAGGAGTGCGCCGATAATTTGAGGTGTAGGAGAGGGGGTTGCGGAGGGAGGAGCTTGGGGGATGACGGAAGCTCCGCCAAGACCGGGATGTTGCTTCATCCCAACGGGTCAATTGTATCGGCTTTCCTTCAAGCCTCATCTTTGTCCCTATTTTTGCTTTCACCTGCGGGTTTCCAGCAGGAATTTAAGGTCACTTTAAACACCCGTCGTGGGACACATTTTTCAGTCTCTCTGGCCCAGGTATCCTGTGCGACATCCACCTAAGAACGTGGTTTGCTGCCTGCGCTTCCAGATTTCCTTACAGTCGAGTCTCACCACCGTCTTTGCTGGTATCACACGCGCCTTTAGTAACTTTAATCGAAACTCTTCGTTTCTTTTGTTACCCGCACACACTCTTGAGCTCTATACCACGAACTATTCCCTGCTGGGTGTTAAGCCTCTAGCCCCAACCCCCCGCCGACCTCATGCAAATCGAACTCGAGGCATTCATTGCCCTCTAGCCGACTAGCGTATTATACATCTATACAATTATGGCGCAGAATTCTCAACCGTCAAAGTCCAAGTGGGGAGTAGGGACTCTATTTCAGCAAGCAGTGGCAGGCGTCGAGTCGCGCTTAGACCACATCTTACTGGATGAAGCAGACAGACAAAAGTCGCAATCGCAGTCGCAGCCTTCAAATGAAAAGCTGACAGAAAATGCAAACACTGCGCCAATATCAAGATCTCCAGCTGGGTGTAAGTTCCTCGATGCATTGTTTAAATGTAGACTTAGCTAACACCACTTTCCAGCCATATCACGCAGCTCATCAAATGCGCGCAGGAACGATCGGCTTCAGGAGCGTCTGGCTCGGGCCGTGGTTAATTCGAACGCGGCAAATCGGAATTTGCAGCCTTCTCACAGTAGAGCCTCATCCCAAGGCGCCACTTCAATCCAAAGTGATGACGCGCGATCTAGCATGGACGTGGATCACAGCGTTGCAGCGTCCATTCCTGCCGTCGATATTTCCAGCCTGCCTTTGGATGACGAACACGGTATCCCAGAAGCATACACACCAAGGTCAAGTCATGACTCGGGGCTATCGAATCGGAAATCTACAGAAATAAGCGTCGCGGGATCATTGCCCAAGACTCTCAGTGATATAGGCGAGCAGCCTTCAAATGTAGAGGGAGATGTCCAGACTCTGTCGGATTCGCAAAATTCGGAAGATTCAGGAATTCGAGCCTCAGTAGATAGTTCACAGATAAGTATGGATCTACCGTCAGAGGCTGGCATTAATGATACGATTGAGTTTCAGCGACAAGAAGAAATTCATGGTTACATTGAACGCATAGACGCACTGCAGTCTAAGCTCAAATATCTCGCCAAGGAAGCATCTGAATCCTCGAGGAATGCTGCTGCAACAGCTTCGCCGGGGAGTACTAAGAAATTGCTGCTCGAAAAGGATGAGAAAATTGCCTTACTCCTAGAAGAAGGACAGAAGCTCTCGAAGTCTGAAATGGACCATCGTACAGCGGTCAAGAAACTCCGTCAGCAGCTCAATGAGAACATGAAATCGCAAATAGAATCAAAGAAACGGACCGAAAAGCTGGAAAGGGACCTTGCCAACTCCGAGGCCAGAGCGAAACGAGCTGAGGCCGCAGAGAAAAGAGCTAACGAGTCGTTGAATTCTCGAACAAAAGCCTCGAAGGACCTTGAAGCCGTGACAAACGAGCGAAATGCCCTAAGCCAAACCGTACAAGAAATGAAAGGACAGCTGAGTCGAGCTCTTGCACGTGCAGAAGCTGCCGAGGCCAACGCTCAATCAGATGCTCTGGAACAATCGAAACGCCGCGCGGACGATTTGGAAGAGGAATTGTCCTCCATCAAGATTGAGCAAGATATCAACGAAAGAAAGGCGAAGACGGAAATTGACGAACTGAAAGAAAAGGCCGATCAAGAGAAGGAACGAGCGCGGAGGCTCGAGGCCGAGCTTAAGGTTGAACAGTCAGTCATGGAAAGCAAACTGGAAAACCTCCGATCTCGCGCAGAAGAAGCATCTTCTGGCGTGACTGGGGAGTCGCATGCAAAACTTCTACGACAGGTCGAGACTCTGCAGACGCAGTACTCTGTAGCTAGTGAGAATTGGCGCGCTCTCGAAGGCTCGATATTGTCCCGTCTTAAAAGCGTAGAGAAGGAACGTGACGATACTGTGCGAAGGGAGGTGGATTTGCGGAAGAAGATTCGGGAGTTGGTAAGATGTCTCTATTGACTTTGGTCTCTATATGAATCTAACATGCACACCTTTGTAGAACCTCAAGACGAAGAAAATGGAGGAAGAGTTTGAAACTGCAAATGAGACCGAGCGAGACTTGAAGGGTAAGCTCTATGAGAGTATGCAGGGGTTGCAGAGAACTCAACAGAAACTCGAGGAGGTAACAGACGAGCTTTCCGCCGCCCAGACAGATTTGGCCGAGCAGAAGAAGGTGAGCGATGCGGCGTGGGCCCAGAAGTTGGAAGAGGAGCGAGCCAAATGGCGAGAGCAGGTGAATAGTTTGCCACAAACTCGAGGTGTATCACCCGTCCAGTCTCTACGTCGGTCGAGCAACCTCGATACAATCGGCGCCGGGGAATACCGGCCCATTAGCAGGCGATCCTCAACTCTTCCCTCTGCCTCTCCTGACATTGGCACACCACCGCGCCAAAACTCATACCCGACATCGATTGCCCAAGGGACCCTCTCCCCTCCTCCAATTATAACAACTTCGGTCCCGACTTCTATCCTAGAGACCCCTTCAATCACCTTTGAACCAGATGAGTTCTTCGGTTCCGGTACGCCCGTAACTCCATCCGCATACGGTGGCACTCAAGCACCCCAGTCACGCGGTATCAACGACATCATCTCGGAGTCGACCGTTGGCGCAGGACCATCTGTACAGCTGGTTGAACGTATGAGTGCTACCGTCCGCCGCCTAGAGAGCGAACGAGCCGGGTCGAAAGATGAGCTTGCTAGAGTGACCACCCAGCGCGACGAGTCCAGACAACAGGTTGTCGATCTCATGCGCGAGATGGAAGAAAAGCAAGTCTCCAGTGCTCGCGTGCAGGAACTCGAGGCCAAGCTTGCAGATCTTGACCAGCGCTACCAGACTACGCTGGAGATGCTGGGTGAGAAGAGCGAGCAGGTTGATGAATTGCACGCTGATATTGCGGACTTGAAGAAGATATACCGTGAACTAGTTGACAGCACTATGAAATGAGAGCGAAATGAGAGCATGTACATTGAATTGATATTCAGGTCGAGAGCTAGTCTGTCATGAGTAGATAGTGAATATTAGAATAAAAAAATGTTATCGATCTATCAGCTATGTATACGATTGCCTTCTCTGCGGTTTCCTGACTTTCTCTCACTCCTACCCACGCTATCATGCTACCTGGTCTGCCAAAATGACATGTTATAGCTTTGAGCAGCTCATTTCCTCCTATGCCTAGGTAAATAATAAAACCTTGGAACCTTGCGAGCAGGGTAATTGCCCAGGTTGGGAATATTTGGGCTTAGTCATAGACATTTTCAAAGGTTTCCAATCTCTTCTCACCGATGGTCGTTGATGTTGTGTTTGCTGATATGAAAGGTTATGAATTAAATTATTTGGCTTTAGTCATATAGAAGCACTGGTAGATCAGCGGTTAGATCGTGTGATTGCAAGTAATTACTATCATCACGAGGTCCCGAGTTCAATTCTCGGTCGGTGCTTGCTTTTTTTTCGCTCTTTTTTTTGGCCCACCCAACCTTGTTGTCAGTGACACCATTATATCTCTTTATTTACGAGGAGATATAGCTCAACTACCTAGGTAATTAATTCATGGCGGATATGTGCGCAGGTGAATCGAGAGCTAGGATTACCAGACGTAACTTAGATCGATTTCAAGTAATCAAGCTCAGATTTCTGCAAGTAGGTAGTCTATACATATTTAAATAACTAACTACTAACACTACTAACGGTACATGATTGTTGTTCCTGATTTTTGTCCTTGAGACAGGTGGGTATTAACTCAAAAGAACATCGCATCCATGGCATCAAAATCATTCAACGTCCCCGGAAACCCCGGAAGCCCCAGAGACCCATCATCTATAGTAGACTGAGTCAAGAACTCCTCCATAAGCGAAGAATGAAGAGCCATCTCAGTCGTTAAATCCGGCTGAAATATGAGATCACTGGCAGCAGCAGCAGTAGTAGTAGTAGTAGTAGTAGTAGTAGTAGTAGTAGTAGTATTAGTTGGTAGCAGAGTCGTAAACCCAGTTCCAGAATTAGAATTGGAAGACTGTTTCGGCTCTTGTACTGAAGCCGAGATATATGGCCATAGATTTGGATCTGGGCTTGAATATCCAGAGCTAAAGTTCGCAGGAACAACAACAGCAGTTCTTGTAATTGGCGGAGGATGATACTCATCAAAGCACTGTCTCACCCGTGACAGGTGTTCTGAGAAATCTTTCGCTGCTAGATTTTCAGTTGAGCTGAGAGATTTCAGCATCTCGGTTGCTGTGTCGACTGAGGCGATGTCACTTGAGTTGCCCATTGGTAGTAGGCTTGATATGACCAAGACTACAGCTGAGGAAAAGATGAATACTGGGAAAGCATAGCCATATACTGCTAGTGATCCACCAGTCCACTCATCTAGGCATAGTTTTATTGAATATCTTGCAGAGTGGATGCATGCTTCGCTCAAGGTAGCTAAAATCGGCGTGAGATCATCGCTTGGGTTTGAAGCTGGGGTTGAGTTCCGGGTACGCCAAACGAGAAACTTTAGAATAACGGGCCTGATTGCCAGAATTACACACTTTAAAGGCGTTAGCTATTTCATAAGCCAATACGGAGTTGTAAGGGGCCATACATAGCTGAATTGCAAGTGAAGAAGCACAGTGTGTTTAGAATTCTGCTTTTCATCATGCAGCCGTAAATGTTCAGGAAGCCTTTGTATCCACTGTTTTAATTGAATCAAGAGCTTCTGCTCGCGCTGCAAGAAGCTCTCAGTCGACCTTTTCCGGCTGTATATCTCCGTCGTTGTATTTCCAGTGATCTTCGCGAGCTCAATAGCCGCAACTTGGTATGCACTATCTGTGAATTGATCACTGTAAGTTTCTGAGGCTTCTCTCGATGGTAGATCGACATCAATGTCATCGTCGTGGATCTGAACAGGAAAGCCCAGTTTGGATCCCCAGTAGCGGTCGAGTACGTAGATCGACCACCATATGCGAACACGATGCTCGCGTTCAATTGGATGCAGATTTTGACTCAGGGGGACATTGTAGTTCAAGCCTGCGCTTACACTGAGTCGTAGTGCATTGCCCAGTAGGAGATATGATGAGTTGAATCTATTGAGAAACTGACAAAAGTATGCCTTGACGATTTTAGCTCCCTTGCCTTTCTGGAACTTTGCATGATTTGACCTACCAAATAAATAAGGCTTTCGATGTGAATCATACTTGGACGTTCTGGTACGATCTTGAGGAGATTCAGGGCTTCGGCAAAATAAGTTGACCCAGGAACAGTTTGGATGTTGGAGGGATCAGAGGGCGTAGTATAGACCTGTCCTATGGCAAACATAGCAAAATATCTGCACTTGAGGCTCGGATTATCAAAATCCTCTTTTTGGTAGATAGTATGAAGTGCATCAAGAGTTTCTTTCTTTAATGCCAGATGAAAAGCTGGATTGAGATGGCCAAGTGCAGTCTTCACTAATAACCTCGCGCTCGCTAGACTAGGCCACTCGATGCCCACATTGAGCAATGATTCCAAGGCTGATTCATCGATATACCGCCGCCGTGGGGGATGTAATGGCTGTGCGTCTGAACCTCTTAAAAATTGACACAGGCGGGTAGCAAAAGCAGAGGAAGACGCTTCGCTGGTATATATTGGAAGAGCAAACGCTTCGTGAGATTGGAACCATGGAGCTTCGCCAATAGTATAATCCTGCGCGATCTGAGTACTTCCTGGAGATGAGTTGAGAGCCTCTCCATCCCCCGTGGATTGGGGTCTATGAGATGCCCTACCTCGTGCATGCAGTTCCTGACTGTCTTGGATAAGCTGCTCCAGATAACTATCGCTTATTAATTCAACATTCATCTCGACTGAATCACGAGTACTACATACCTTTCATCCACCTTTATCTTGCGATCTCGGGTTGTGTATCTGCATTGGGTCGCATGGCCAGATCTTCGGCATCTCGAGCACGGCTTCTCACCGGAGCACTTGATTTTTTGGAAGCGGCATCGATAACATCTTCACCGGATTAGCCATGATACATCGGCTGAGATACCGTCACTCACGCTATGAATCTTTTTTGGGATCTGATGATTGGTGGAGGTGACTTATTTGGGCCCTCACATGAGTCAGATTTGGTTTGCATAGTAAGTACGGTAAAGCTGGATTAAAGATGCGGTGATTTAAAGATTAGCCGTATAATAAGTGGAGACGGCGGGGAATGTTCGCCGCCGGCAATATTTATCTTCGCCGTAGCGGTAAAAGCAGTATAGAGGATTAAAAAGGAACTTAACGACCAGGGCGGAAAAAAAGTCGAACATTTACATATTCAATAGTCCAAGTTTAGTCATGGTAGCCCAATACACCTACTCATACTTCCGCGTCTCCAAGACAGACGACGTTCAAACGTCTGCACGCAAATACCGAGATCTACGTCTCCAGGCACTCAAAGTCTCCCCAGAATCATTCTCATCCACCTACGAGATTGAATCAGCATTCACAGAAGAAGAATGGATCTCCCGTTTGACTGTTGAAAACCGTGAAGTCTTCATCTGCAGCGCGCAGCCTTTAGACGGCTCAGCCACAGAATGGATCGCTCAAGTCACTGTCTGCGGCCCCATGTCCGAGGCCGACTTTACTCTGCCCATTGAATCTGAACAGCCAGCTCAAAAGTCCGATGAAGAAGAAGAGCGCTGGCAGATGCTGAGTCTATTCGCTCTCCTCTCCCACCGCGGCAACGGACTTGGAGGCAAGTTATGCCAAGAGGCACTCAACTATCTCCGGACCTTGCGCTCGTCACCCCCAGGCGTGCAAGTTCGCCTTATCGTGAAAGCTGGAAATGATATTACAATCAATCTATATAAGCGTCTTGGATTTGTTGATGCCGGGAGGGCCACACTTGCCGAGGCTCTTATTGCGAATGGAGATTCGCACCTTTTACCGGAGGATATCAGCATTCCGAAGTTTTCCAATCGCTTTGGAATCATTATGCTTATCCGCTTAACACGCTGATTGTGATTTCCAATATTTATATCAATGGATGACAGATGGATTGTTTTTGTTCTTTGTACTTTGATCTAGTTCTATTTATGGGAAAAGTCTTTTCCGGTCGCCTGGATGACGGTATCATTACTTAGTACGGAGTACAGATCTATTTCTTCCATGAGATCCAGAAGCCTAGAGTCACTTTTAGTCTTCTTATTCGTCGGTATCTCAGGCCGAAACCATCATATTCTCCAGATGTCGGTGGATCAACATGTCATCTTGCAGACTACTTTCCTTATCAAACCATTTTGATAGATCGCACTCATCAAACTAGATACCACGATTAGCTCTGAAGTGGATAAATGACACGCGTGATGACATCCAACGTGATCGACACGACTAGTTTCGCCACCTGATCCTGCCCTGGCAGCCTTGTAGCCATTCAGATCATTCCATAAGAAGCTTCTGATTTTCTTCTCCGTATTTCCATATTACTTCATTTGCCGTAAATAAGTACATTATGGGGTAGAGGAGACCCACAGTTTAACATTACGATGTTAAGTAATTATTATCCTTCTCCATCAATTGATGACATCGTTGACTGACGACCTTTGCCCCTTCCCAGTTTGTGGGGATCATGTGACTCGAATTCTGGAGTGAAGAGTCATAGTGACAGACGGATATCTAGTTTGAGTCATAGTGACAGATGGATATCTAGTTTGAGTAGATACAGTTACGGTAGATACAGTACAATTTTCTACGTGTGGAATAGAATTGCCCAGCAAATATAAATTGTTTTGTAAATTAAACATATAGAGAACATATTGATATATATACAGTATGCTATTTTGGTTCCGTGGTCATAATAAAGGTCGTCATTAGGTCGTTAGGTCGTTATAGGTTGAAGAGGTGTAAAGGCGTAAAGTCGGAAAAGAAGTAAATGTAGGAAGAAAGGATGGGAACCGAAATCTTCAACCGGCGAGAGGCGGAACAGTCATGCAACACATGTTCTTTGATGTCATCTCAATGACATGTTGTTGGCTCTGATCCAAGAGAGACTGATTTGAGGCGTCATCGCAAGTAACTTCGGTAACTTGCACCACATAGGCGTCACGTTGTGGGAGGTCTGATTTTTGACGTATGATCCTCTGTTGAGGGATGATGATATCGTTTTCATCTTCAGAGTCGTCTTCGAACTCAAATGAGCTGATACGAGACTTCATATCGTTCTCAGTCCATAGAATGGAACCACAGTGTAGGCGGAAGTGACCAACGCAGCGGCGGAGGTCTGGGTCGGGAGCAGTAGTCTCTCGGACCAATTTCTCTTTCGAGATAACAGTGAGCTTATATGGGAGAGCATTGCGGTTTGCCATTGGGGGCCAACGTTTTCTGGCGTTCTTTTGCAAGAGAGGAATAGCGGGAGAGGGAGATGGAGATGGCGGAGCTTGGAGGCCAAATGCAACGGTCATTCTCAAGTGTTTTGAGACCGTTAATGATATGATGTGGAGTGAATAAGTAAGGGGAGTGGAGATTCAAATCCAATTGATCTGGGGAAGTGATGATTAAATAAGTTTGGAATGTATGGAGGAAAGGGGGAAGGAAGGGGAAGCAGGAAGACGGCCTCGAGTAAGTCTTATAACAAGATCTGCAGGTATGGGGAACCTGGTCCAAGCGCCCAAAAAGTCTTGCGTGTCACCAGGTCACCATAAGCGGTTCTAGACCGACCGAGTGCGTCCAACTCTCTCTTCTTCTAGTTTAGACCCTGCCAACTATTCTTCCCTTTTTTCACTCGGTTCTGTCTAACCCTATTTTCATACTTCATTTATTCAATCCATATTTTTATTGTTGATACATTTAAAGATAAGATGGATAACTCTACAGTAGAGAAGATAGAAAAGGTACCAACGGCTATTCGGATACTAATGCAGGCCCCACATGATCAGTTGATTCTTCGAAAACTTTTCTTGTGGAGACGCTTCTGCGTAGCTTATCTTTATTCGACTGAGAATAGAAACATTCCAGTTACACGGGGTAACTCACGATCTCCACGGATTTCCGCGTATGGAAATCCGAAAGACCTCAGCTTTTACTTTTCCCATTTTTCTTTCCATGTTGCGTGCAATTCTCTCAAGTAAACATAGTATTGCTTAAAAATCAGAATCTTATATTGAATCTTAGGACTGCAGTTATAATTAGTATTGACATTCGTTTCGTCTTGATTCACCCCTTTCCGAGGCTATGGCGACTCGGCTAACCTGCTGAATATCGTAAATGACTAAGCCCGGACCGACTTCCTTTCTAGCCGAGTTTCCAGATCCACCACTTTGTACTGTTCGCAACTGGTTCTGGGCCATTACTGAGAAGAAGAAAAGTCTCCACTGGGGAGTTCTTTCCGGTTCCGCTTCAATAGACCCATTCGCGCTTCCATGGTTCTACCATTGTTCTCCGCTGACCCATATTTTTTCTTTCTTTCGCAAACAGGACTTATAAATAAAGCAGATCGTTAATCTATTTGAGAAGCGTGTTCCCCGGACATCTCGTTTTGAGGTCTCATTCGAAACAATCAAGAAAAAAAAACAGGTTAGATCACCGGGTGTCCCGGTCTTGCCAATTACATATGAACACGACCATCTCACATAGAACAAGCATAACAGTAAGTTTTGCGGTCAAAGCTCGGATGTCGGAATATTATCGGCGCGGAGTTCTAGATGCGACTGTAGGTGCAATATTCTCTTGGCTACTGGTCCACGTTGTACAAAATATATCGCCATCAGTTCTAGCCATCAGGAGGAGGCCCCTTTGTTCTATACCACCAATTCCATAGGTTTTCTACCTAGTTCGCCTCGATCTATCAATTGGTTACTTCGTCAGCAAGGTGTTTAGTTAACTAACTCTTCGTCTTCGTCCACGCCGATCTTTACGAAAGCCATTTTCCAACTTCTGGAGGTTTATGAATAGACTCAGGACCCTGGAATAGCTCTAGCAATAATAGTCTAGTACAATTTCAGTATGGCTTGCCACGCTGGCAGATTTGAATCTGGAAAACGTACCGGTAGTCAGGGACCATGTTTCCGAACTGGATTTGAGCTATGAAGTACCTTGTTACTAAGCTATTTATTGAAGTTGTTAAGTAAATCCCATGCGAACAGACCACCTCAAACTTCACGCGTTAGTTATGTGTCTCTATCTTTCAACCACCCACCATGCCTCCAATTCACCCTGAAAAAAAAGTAGAAGTTGGTAGAGCAGGAAGGTAGGATCTTATTAGCCATTCAAGTTTTAAAAATGGCCAAACCTCTATGATTCGTAAAGCTGCATCTATTTGATATACCATTTTCAACCCTTTCTGGTGTCGAATTTCGTGTCTAAAAACGCGCCAGTAGCCATAAATTGACTGGATCTGAAGAGAAAACCCTTCTTAAATAGGTCCTCTCTTTAGATGCCCGTGGATGCGCTCCTAGGAATTGTGATGTTGATAGAATAGCCAATATTCTACTCGCCGACCGCGGAGCCAACCTACCTCTTACGATCGGACGAAACTGGGTCACATCTTTCGCTAATCGAATGCCTGGTCTAACAACCACTTATTCGACACCACGCGATTTTCAACGAGCAAAACAAAAGGATTTTATGGTTATACATGAATGGTTTATACTAGTTGAAAAGATGATTCGCGAAAATGGGATTCAACCAGAGGATATTTATAACTTTAATGAGACTGCATTCGCGACAGGGCTTTGTTCTACTCAGAAGGTTATAACCAGATCAGAATATCACAGTCAAAGAGCTAAAAAGTAGCCTGGAAACCGTGAATGGGTTACTGCTATTGAGTGTTTAGGCGCGTCCGGTTGGGCGCCTCCATCATGCATCAATTTTAAAGGGAAGGAGATGATGGAGAATTGGTTCGCCTCTGATCTAGGCTTACCACCTGATTAGCGTATCGAACTTAGTCCTAATGGCTGGACTTCAGATCAAATAAGGCTTCGTTTGCTCCAAAAGATTATTCCGACCACTTCTATGTGTACGAAGGGACGATATAGGCGGTTGATTTTAGATGGCTATAGTAGCCATTTAACGCCTAATTTCGACAGAATCTATAAATATCATGATATTATACCAATCTATATGCCTGTGCATGAATCATATCTATTACAGCCTTTACATGTCGCCTGTTTTATGGTGTTTAAACGATCTTACACGCGGCTGGTTAGCTCTAAATTGGAGCTTGGTTTTAGCCATGTCAATAAGGAAGATTTTCTTGAGATATAACCCTACCACGCAACTAGAGGCTGTTTAATCTACTTCTGATGTATTCGCTGTTACTAGAATTGTCCCATTTGATCCTAATAGATTGTCTTCTAAGCTTACTATTAGGAGTCATACACCAACACCACCACTATCTAGAGGTAGTTATTCTAGTCGAAATTAGACTCCAAAAACACCAAAAACGCAGAAGGATCTACATCGCCAATATAAAGCTCTACCCCGTACAGCTTCTCAAGCACCACCATCACTATCTAGAAGAGCATTAGATCAGATAATAAAGGTGCAAATACCCTATACCAGGTGAATACTATTCTACGCCAGGAGAACACTGCCCTTCGTCATACGCATGAAAAACATATCAAAAAGGGAGCTTCCACGTCGACAAATGGCAGTGGAAGAGGGCCTTACTATCTAGGGGGCATAGAGCTTATTAGCGAGTCGAATAGTTAATGCTCCTGGAGTTAGTAATACCTATTCTACACCCAAGAATCAGGCACATTTCCGACACCACCAACGCCCACATAGATGCGGAATATGCAGACAGACCAGCCATAGGAGAGAAACATGTCTTCAGTGACAGATTTAATAGTTTTTAAATTAGTTTTGTATAGTTTTAATGAAGTTATTAGTAAAATAAAAAATAAAAGTGGGTTAAGTTAATCCGTTCGTATGGAATTTACTAATATAAATAGTTAACCTATTAGATTTCTTGACTAGGGGAAAAATCCCATAATATCAAATTTACTTGATATGTGATTTCTTTTGCCAGGGTTGTTATGGGTCCACATCTCTACTGCATAACAATCTGGTACTCTCAGACCAGTGCATAGGTATTAGTCCAGCCTTCTTCCAAGTCTTGAAACTAGGGACATTCGGAGTTGTGTTCTACTTCAGAGTCATAAACCTCCATGATCTTCAGCACAGCCCCATCATCGCCTCCTCCTTTAATCTCGCCACTCAATAATCATAATTGAATCTTTCAATACTGGAATCACCGAGCATCCCTGATAAGTTCGGCCGTGCGCAACAAACGTTTCCTACCGGCTCCAGCCGCGGTCCGAAACATCCTGGCGCTAACTCTACGGCACTTTTACTTTACAACACATCTCTACAATATCAGCGGGCATAACTCGGCTTGCTAAACCTCCTCTCATATGTCCCCTGCATTCAGTTGACGTGCATAAGGAAAGAGTTTCTCCACGTCTAGTGCGACAGTATTATGGCCAAAATCCTCCGTTCCATCCTCGGATGTAAGAACTCTATCCACGGACTCGGATTGTGTCGGAAATGATTCTCGTTGGTCTTATTGTTACATTTGACGCTTTGGCAGTGACTACTTGCTGGAATTTCTTTTCATTTTTGCGCGCTACAAACTAGGGGTACCTGTCCTCTTTGCTTTGGGCTAATTTGATATCATGGATCCACTCAGCAAGAGTATAGGGTTGTCACCGGTGAAAGATGCTTGAGCCTGGAAGCCCTAAGCTTATGGATCAGCTTTTCCCGGCTCGGGCGGCTATTAACTGTATGAATGTCATATCGGGATGAACTTTGGCCCATTTCCACTTATTGCATCAGTTATGCGAAATCCAAACTGTGCAAGTTGTGCAACGCGCGGCTTTGCCACCGATTCTAAGATTCGTAACGCCCCGATAGTAGGAAAAGAGAAAATCAAGAATTTTCATGATAGAAATGAAAGAAATGAAAGAAGATTTTTAGATGCCATGTTGCTCGGGGCTGCGCCCAGAACACGCGTGATTGTGTCCGCATGCCATAGAATCCCTGTTAGGTCATTGGCATTCGCCTTCAGCTGTGGCTTCTCATGTCCTTGGAATGGCCCAAGGCGAGATAATTAGACCTCAGTATGCAAATTGAATGATCTGCAGCTTCTAGATCTGGCTTCAGATTGCATGTCCAGTGAATTGCCTGGTAGATTGGCGCCTGGTGCTGCCGTTGCATCCACAATGACCAGGCACCAGAAACTTTCGAGTTTGGAACTTTAAGGTGGATATTCAAAAATGCATGCTATCAGATTCTGTAATTTTAGGCAATTCTAAGGCATGGCTATTGAAATTATCGGGACAGCCCCGAACTCTATGCGCTGAGACAGGATTTTGATGAAGAATGCGTGAGTTTTGCAATCGCTGCACTCGACTCAACTTGGCTCGTACGACATTCTGCAACAGAGCAAATGAACAATCTACAGCACAGTATCCAAGTAAAAAAGGTCTAGATTGAGCTTGTGCGAATTTGTGAAGATCGAAAAAATCAAACCAATGACTTCAAACTCCCTATCAGATGTACAATATCCGGTTGCATTCAAAATGGACTCGAACTCCTAAGGGCCCTGCATGATTTGCTCGAGAGATCTAATATCTATTCCTCAAATCAGATCCTGCAGAGCCACCTTGTGCTCATACGATACGGCAAACGTAACACACACAACTACCGGAACCGAGAGATATCAACGGCAGCGCTGCAGGACCCTGCTGTGAAACATATGAAAGAACACGATAGATTGTGTCCATTTGTCTTTCCAACGGCGTACATGGGAAAATGCTTGTACGCTCATGGTTTATCAGTGTAACCTATGGACCCCGTCTTGCCCTCGTACAGCCGAAGAAGACAGTTTTTTCCAATATTCACATATTATTCAAAAGAAAGAAGAGAAGAATCGCGATATTGAGAGCTATACCAAGTCATATGGAATGATGGTTTGACCTACCTGTGCGCATAGACCGTTGGCCCTTCTCCCATGACTACTGTTCTCCCTTGTCATCTGCTTCCTTTTGACAACACACTAACCTGGAGTGGTCTCGTGCAGATTAAGAATCCAACCAATCCAACCAGAATGTAGATGTGATAGTGATAACTTGGCCTAGAGGCATATATGCAGGTTCATACTCAGCTGAATAAGGAAGACTGTGAAGATCGACTGAAGTAGATCCGGTTCGTGATTTTTTTTTTCCTTTTCTGCTTTTTCGCACCTTTATCTGGGGCGTCAGCCGCTAGGTCAAAATTCCGTTTCTCTTGTCCGGCTGACTGACATGTTTCTCTGCATTTTTTTATATTTTTTTTTTTAGCTCACGGATCTTATTCCTTTTTTTAATATATTTCCGGATTACAGGAATAAAAACATGTAGGATTAATGCTATCAATCAAGATTCTGTGGGAATAAGAGGCTTCTACGGAGTAGGCAACTTATTGAGTTAGCCCGAGTTAGGGCTTGGATGATCAATCAGCCCAGAGGGGTCTTGTTGTCTATATCTACTAACGCAGGGCGATCTAGCTCAAACGTTTTAACGGTTTAAGACAAAGTTACACGCAGACCGGCCGGAAGTGAATGCAGGACAAGCACAGTATTTCGTGTGGTGCGAAAATAAAAGAGGTAACAACTTAGAAACGGGATCGGACGTGTTTTATACCTAGTCTAGACTGAAGCATAAAATGATAGAAACAGCTCATATCTCTCTCTCCTCTGATTCTTCCACTTTGATATAGTTATGATTGGTTTAATATATGTTCAAATCACACCTGTGCGACTGTTGCTTCTTTTTCCCCCACTTCGACTCCTTCGTGCTAAAATAAGTACATATCATATCAATTATGACAACCCCAGTCAAATGCGATTGTCCCACTTCGGGAAAATCCCTCTCCGCTTGACTCCGGTTCCACTACGATCTCATTCCTCATTTGTTATGCTGCAATTTGCCTTGCGCCGTACCCGCTTCGCAAAAAGAACTTGCCCCAGATTTATGAAGGATACCCATCTTACTGCTTCTGGGCCTCGCTTTTTCTTTTTTCCTCTTTTTTAAACCTTTTCTTTCTTCTTTTGACCTGTTCCTTCGGGTAATCCCGAACGCCTTTTATGGCATATTCCAATCCAGGCATTTCAAAACTTGTTTTAATTGTTAGTACTTTTTAATGTTACTGATATTTATATTTACTCCTCCTTTATTCCATTGAAATTGATTTGGACCAATCATACTTCCTTTGTTATTTCCCTCTACCTACATTCATCCTTGATGCATAATCTCTGCAAGGTTAACTTATGAAAAGACTTTGCACGTGGTTGGATTGACCCTTTTGATCCCTAATTCCCCAGGCATCAACACCTTCACCGCCTCGCCCCTCTCAAAGTTCCATCTCGAATCAAGCTACCTTTTTCCCTGATCGACCTACACACCACACCACACACACCCATACCCATCTGCATGCAAGCCTAGTCTACCCGCCCTTCCCTTCAGTCCTGCGCCACCGTTCGTACTCTTTCCCCCTGCGCACTTCAAGGTTCCACTCCTTCAACGCGCCTTTTCGCGGCCCTCGGCTGTCTGATCTCTAGACGATGTATGGTACACCTCACTCCACATCGATGAATGGCATAGGAGGTGAAGTCTCCCATGATTTAGGCACCATTGATCCAGCGAACCTGAGCAACTCTGGTACGTTTTGTCTCTTTAATTAAAGATCGATTTTGTCCTCAAATCCTCGCGACTTTCTTTTCGCGACTTTCTTTTTCGCGACTTGCTATTTCACACGACTTCACCATGTTCTTGTCCTCTTTGTTTCTTCTATATTCCTCGCATTCCTCCCCAAAACTGATGGCCCCTCCTAGTCTCTATGCCGGCACCATCTCCTGTAGGAACAGGTCCCCGTGGTATCAAGCGTAGTCGCACTCCAGATCACATTGGGAATGGCCGCGTCGAAGGCGATCAGGATGATGGTATGTTCGCATATGGGGAGGAGTACTTTTGCCCTTCATGTCGATTCTTCCCGGTTCACAACTTGCCGCTTTTTTTTTTTTTTTTTTCCGTTGCTGTTCGGTCGCGTCCCAACTCTATATTACTTGGCAAGGTATACTGACCAACAGGATCTATCCCAGAGGACCAAGGTCGCCGTAAACGTGGTCGCCCCCCGAAGATTCCTCGGTCAAGCTCAAATGACCATGCGCCAAACACCCCGACTCAAACACACAAGATGATTCCCCGGCAGAGTGCCGGATCACCATCGATGGCATCACCGCCCAGCAAGACTACACCGACAAAAGGCCTTGTAAAAGCACTCCCAACCGTCCGAGATCACACCTCAGATCAACTTAATGATGAGGGCGACGAATATATCCCAAAGGACTTCGATGAGGCGGGAGAAACCAAGGTGGACGCCATGGGCTATCTGCAGGGCACTAGGGAATACAAGTGTCGGACGTTCCGCGTACCTCTTCGAGGCACCAAGCTCTTCATGTTGGCAACGGAGTGTGCGAGGGTATTGAACTATCGGGATTCGTACCTTTTATTCAACAAGAACCGATCTTTACACAAGATAATCGCATCTCAAATTGAAAAGGACGATCTTATTCAGCAAGAGGTACTTCCGTACTCCTACCGCTCTCGACAGATTGCCATCGTCTCGGCCAGATCTATGTTCCGGCAGTTTGGTAGTCGTGTGATTGTCAACGGCCGCCGGGTTCGGGATGACTACTGGGAGAGTAAGGCACGAACGCAAGGATTTACAGAGGACGACTTGGCAGGGGAGAAGCGCCCCGGAGCGACAAAGGCTCGCGATGGGCCTTCGATAGAGACAACGTCCTCCAGCCTGCTACCAGCCCTTCCTCATAACAATGTGATCTTTAGCAATACTGTCGAGCCTTTGCCTCAAGGTCTTTCATTAGATGTGTCTGACGCCTCTCCGTCGCTTACACAACTTCCCATGATTCATATGACGACTACAGATGACCCACGGTTGCGGGACTATACTGGTATGGCTAATCAGCGCCCAGAACTGACTGGCCAACCCTACCAAGACCGTATTCAACCCAGCTCTGCATCAGAGCTTATCAATCAGGCCCAACATGCGGCCGACTTCAATAAGATTCTGGGATCCCAGCGAAATTATCGCCGCAAGGGACTGGATGAATTCTATGCGACACCACGTGAACCCCCGGAGACCGGAGAACAGGTTGTTACTACGGCCATCGATTCAAATCTGTCTATCTCGCAGCCTATTCAGGTTGCTCAGATCCCACCAGCGGTCATGGCAAACCCCCATCCTCAACATGTGCACCCCCATCAAGCAGCGATGATGGCGGGGCAGAATTACGCCCAGTCGCATCAACAGGCTATGGGACAGCCTCGAGGAATTCCCGCTGGGATGCGACCAGATCTCATGCACCAACGACCTAACCCCTCCATGGCTGCCGGGGTTGGACAGCCTTACGGATATCCTCAACATCAACATCAACAGCAGCCGCAGGTCTGGGGTCAGCCACCACCACAACCGCAACCGCAGCCGCAACCTTCATCCTTATCCTCTTCGGTTCCCCAGGGTATGCCGCAGTATGGGCAGCAGATGCCGCAGCAAGCACCTTCGCCTCTTCACCACGGCCAGCAGACTCAGCAATCTCCCCGTATACAACATCGTCCTCAGGTCCCACATATGCCTCAGCACTACCAGCAAATGCATCCACAGGCCCAGCAAGCTGCTCAGCAACAAGCTCAGCAGCAGGCCCAACATGCTCAGCAGCAAGCCCAACAGCAGGCTCAGCAACAGGCCCAGCAACAAGCACAACAGCAGGCTCAACAACAGGCTCAACAACAAGCTCAGCAACAAGCCCAACAACAGGCACAGCAGCAGGTCATGGCCTCTATGGGCTACTCTGGCAATCCCGCGGGGTACCCTGGCATGGCACGTGCAATGTATTCCTCCCAGGGTGGTCCTGGAGGCCAGGCCTTCATGGGAGGAAACCCTCAACAAGCAGGTATGGCGATGGGCATGGGTCCAGGCGGTATGCCCGGATGGCCTAGTGGGCCCGGTGGACCAGGTGGGCCAATGCAGCCCGGTCAGCCCCAGCCAGGACAATCAGGAAGCCCACTGGGCGGATGGTCAGGCTACTAGACAGCAGCATGGCGTTTTATAGAACAGGACATTAACATGGGGGTTTCCCCTTACCCTTATCTGCATCCAAGACGGTTTATGATATTCAGTCTCTGTCGCTGCTCTTTTTGGTATCTTAAACTCGATTCTCCGCTTACCGTTGATCTTTATTACCCATTTTACTTTTTTTGCCTTGCATGTTCTCCTGTGACTTTACTCTCTCAAGGTCCGAGGGGGCTTCAGTAATGTTAATCTGGGCCAGTCCTTAAATACCCGTTCTGCTCAGTTGGGCTTAATTCTTGACTGATGTCTGTGTACTGTATTTGTTTCTATCGTACTTCTACAGGGAATTTTCATGGCGTTATCATTTGCTTAAGCGTTGAATTACCACTGGGTATGAGTATGTACGCTTTATGCCCTATTGCTTACCATGTTTCCATTACCTTGATTTTATTTGGTAATGAGAGGGCTACAGTCTGTTTTCTATGCCCTGATTCTCTGTTTGTCTCGGGGTCCTCTCGAATATGGCGTTATACTTTTCAAGTGTCATTACTGTACAGGTGTTAAAGGAATGAAAATCGACACTTGGATACGCTGCTGTGATTCCATATATAACTCGCTATTGCCCAGCCTATGCTCGGGTGTATACTTGTAATTTTATCCAGGCATTTACCCAGGTAGTAGGTAGCCTCAATCTTGATATCGCCCCAGCTCTAACGCCCATATGCCCAGGCAATGATACCTTACTATCTTTCTCCAATTACATGGGATCATTCCGATGTAAATTTTAGCCTAATCTACTTGTAAACTTGCCCCGCTTATTCTATACGTTGTCCTTAGGTCAAAAATTAAGAAAAGAATTCATGGCATCTAAAATGTGGGCCAAAAAAAAGGTCGTCCCCGGGAAGGCTCGAACTTCCAACCTCCCGATTAACAGTCGGACGCGCTAGCCGATTGCGCCACGGAGACTTCTTATTGTGATTGGCTGAGAAATTTTGCCATTATAATGGACTCTATAGTCAACTATGAGAATTTTGATCATTGCTAAATATTTAGTGACCTAGCTAGCTTAGACTAGAAATATTTATCCATTGATATTCACTAGGTTTCTTCAATTTCATCGACTCCATCCTCTGTCATTCCCTCGTCAGAACCAATAAAACCAAATTCGAACGCCTTAAAGTATACATTGTCTAAAAATACGCTAATCAAGTCCATAATCAATATTTTTATATATTATTAAAGCCACCATTTCTAACAAGCAGCTATCTGACAGTTTCCATTCCCCAGAGTCTATCTATTCCAAGGGTCTTTATCAGAGACACATGAAGCAATCATTACTTCAAAAGTAGCTCTCATGGCATGAACATCCATATGCCCCTGCTGTATGACTTCTGTCGGTACACCTGTACCAAGTGTGGAATAGCTATTCGATAAAGGTGATGAGGCTAACGCCCACTTCTGACACCTATCACAGGTAACGCTTTACGCCCCTATGATATCTTTGTGTCCTCTTGAAGTGGTTGTAAAGTCCGGTTTTCATTCTTAGTTTGCTATCTATTATAAAGTAACAATTTGATCACATGACTGCTTTGTTCCATATTCCAACAACTTCCTTGGGCCATTTTCTCTGTTCTGAGAGGGATGTTGAAGGAACTTGTGAAACTGGCAGTTCGATATAAGACAAGTGAGGGCTCTCACCAAGACCCCAGGAACTCGTGCAAAAACTTTCACAGAACTCGAGGACATGAAGTCCAAGATTACGGCCTTGGGAACTCACAACACCAGCATGATCAAAAGTTTCGAGCAGGTACTATTTGAGACAGATAAATACAGTTATATGAAACAGGCCAACGCGATGGCCAAAGACCTCGAAACCTTTGAGCTCGTTGAGCGAGCCGAAGCCACTCCAGTTAATCCTTGAGGACGTGGGAAACAACCAGGAAAAACTGACCACGCAAATCGAGAACATGCTGGAGAAGATTGCCAAGCTCGAGAAGTATCTTATCCATGAACTCATTATTGACAACGAAGGCTATTTAGATACCTACAGCCGGCTTCACGATATCAAAAGAACGATCAAGTATTGACCTATTGACCACGGGAATCCACCACAGATCGAGCTAAATTGTGGACAAAGTATTAGGGTCAGCCTTATAGAGATATTCCTAGGTATAACATCGCCACTCAGCTTTTTCTAACACTCAATTGAAGGGTCTTACTTATATCAGCCCCTTAGGGGAAATGTCGCCGTAGCTATGGCTGTACCCTGTAATATGACATCATGATACACTTGCTGCTGTCCCAATTTTCTTCTTGCGATATTTGTGATAGCAGATTCCAATTGATCATGTCTTATTGATAAATAAACCAAAATAGAGGACGGAAGATTTGCCTTGAAAGTTCCTATAAGGTCGAATAGCCATTCCTGGTTTCGGTTTCATGTGCTCCCAGAGCTTAAAAAACATGGGAACTGGGTATTCTGGATTAGCTTAAGACTCCAGAGCCCATAAACACATCCGAAGAACCATCAGGCCCAATAATATGCATAAGCAAGTGTGGTATTTCTACTTCTACTTCGATAAAGCATGAAACTTGACTGGATAAAGCTGAAGTACTACGATACACTAAAACATGTTACTTCAAGGTTTTATCCACGCTGTCAAAAAAATCTGATTGTCATAGCATTTGCCGCCCTTTCAAGAGTTACTTGGTGTCCCTTCAGCCAGCCATCTCTGTTCTAGATCGAGATAATCTTGCGAATCATACGACAAAAAGAGCTCTTTCATATGCTCTTTCTTACGATCACTCTCGCTTCCTTGTTGAATCTACATCAGATATTGGGGGTAGGTAAGAGACGCAGTAACTAACACCTGCTGTAGTTTAGCTCTTTATGTCAGGTTCACTACTGAGAAACGACAACGATGCCTCTGAAATTGTTACAAAGACTGTGACTAACTGAGGCAATAATAATAAGTACCTAAGTTCAGGCATAAACATAAGCATTAATTATCAAATTCTTTCAATTTTATTTCCAAATTTACACCTGTTGTCTTCATATACTAACTACTACTCCACTAATACTGGTTAACGTCAAAGTTTGGCAATAATCGAGTTTTTGCCAAACCGCCAGCAAGACACAAAAAACGACGACATTTATTTGTCTTGTTCTGCTTAATTCTTTGTTTGAAATTCATTAAAAATTCATTAAAAATGAAAAAGTCGTCCCCGGGAAGGCTCGAACTTCCAACCTCCCGATTAACAGTCGGACGCGCTAGCCGATTGCGCCACGGAGACTCACTTGATGACGACCCGGCTGGTTTCAAGCATTATGACCAAGCAAGATATCTACAGGACTTCATTGGACTGAATTATTTTTGAATTGTTCGACCTAGAGCATCAGTCTATTTTGTCATACACTATTTGTCATTACCTAGGTAAGTTATAAGACAATTTCTGAATAATTATCATTAAAACCTGATATAGCCTGAATCCATAACCATTAGTAATTTTTCCAAAAACTCCCTACCCAAATAAAAAGCCATTACATATATATACAATTTCTCCATCAGTGCCTAGGAGACAACCTTCCTCGGAAGTTCCCGAGGTCGAGGTCAATGTACCATACCTAGGTACTGGCGATAGTATTATAATCATGACGATATATGAAGATATTATCCATCCTTCTTCTAAAGCCGACGTGAGCTGCTCAACGCGGTAGAAGAGGAGCCGAAACGAGTGGAAGAAGAACCAGCAACAGTGCTAGATGTGATATTAGCCTCCAGAGGACCAATCTTCAGGACACCACAAGGGTTCCTTGGTGCCGAAACACAGTCGCCCAAGTACTGACCCAAGCTTCCAGTAGCATTGGTAGTAGCATTGAGAACTTGGTCGGGGTTATAGGCGGCGACCAAGGAAGTGGCATTTGCCGGGAAGATGGTCGAGTTCACACGGCTGCCAATCCAGGTAGCATGAGCGCTGTGCTCAGCAGCAAGACGAGCAAGAAGAAAAGCGACTTGAGGTGACTTGGTGTACCCAGCTGCGCCGATGAAGGCGCCAGAGAGTGTGGATTCAAACTCGTACGCATACCCAATGAAGGATGAAATACCTGTGACATTCGGGTACGTATAGCTGCAGTTAGGAGCATTGAAGCCAGGAGCCTGGGAGCTGAGCTCTCGGATGGCCTTGATGGTTAGGTTGTTTGAGCTCGCAATTCCCTCGATGTTGGCTAATGCCTTTGAGGAGCTGGTGCTGTTGGAGGCAGCGGCGGCGACGCTCTGATTCAATGGAACTGATGCGTAGAAGCTGTTGACGAAGTTTGAGAGTGCGTAGGTGTACTCGAGAACTTTAGTATCTTCCTTGGCGAGGGGGCATTTTGTGGAAGAGCTGCTTGAAGCGGAGGATGAAGAGGTCGCGGCAGAAGCAAAAGCACCCCCTGTCACCAAAAGCAAAGGAATCTGATAAAAAAGCATTTTTCAATTGATCTTTATGGGCAGATTACCGAGGGACCGTAAAAAGAAAAAAAAACTTATGCTCAATCGTATCAGGGAGTGATTAATTTATATAGCACTTTATGTACAGCGGCGAATTATGTGGTGACGTTCTAGAGCCCTTGAACTTCTCCTAGTCGATTATATCATACCAAAGACTGTGGTTACGAAGTTGCTGAATGCATCAACGTTTATTTGAACCTGAAGAGCTATCTCGTTACAGTTCAGCCGACCCTTGGGTATATCGAAAGTTAATCCTGAACGATATGGCCCAGATCCAATGCCCTGGGAATAAATCGAAGGAAATGTCCAGGTTTCCCTTCAGCTCGTCATGTAATTCGCAACAAGATTTAAAAAAGTTTAGATTTTAGGAATGGTCGTCGCAGGGTTTTCAATGGGTTGTGGTGCTGCCGACATCTCCGGATAGTATGCGTCATGCACCATGAATTGTGATATTCTCGACTGTGCGCCTAGAATATATCTTCTGGAAGGGATGAAGCTCTTGGATCAAATAAAAGCCTCTTTACTATTCTTGTCTAATTCTTCCGAATGATGCAAGTAATATTTCATGTAGTATTCCACCATTTAGTTAAGATATCAGTTGCGAACTACCTCAGTCATTATCAATAACACTACTGAACAAGGCTTTCTACACAACCAACCCTAAATATCAAGAATAAAAATGGTATATCGTCAATATTTTACATGGAGATTCTCATCAATAAAAATCAGGAACTAAATAGAAACATTCCGGAAAAGAAAAAAAAAAAAATCGAGTGGACCCGGTGGGTCTCGATCCCACAACGTTTACTAGGACTTTAAAGGTCGCTAAACCATGAGAATTTCCTGTCAAGGAGAATTTCATAAGAGTAACACGCTACCAATTGCGTCACGGGTCCTCATTAACATCGTTCTCGCCACTTTTTACATCCTATATGCCATACACCAACCACCCAGTAATTAAAATACCTTGATCACTACCCTATCAACACAACTTGTGCTCAGCTTCGTAAATTTATCACGAAATTTTAAAATTCAAACCAACAAGTAAGCCAGTCGGATCATTCAAATTTAAGAAATTTGACATCCAGCCTGGCTTGAGACAAGAAAATTTAGTCAAAGGGTGGATCACATGTGGGGTTCAAGCCCTATCATTCAGCTATATTGGAGCATTCAAATGTTGGGACTGTGCTTGAAGATGTAAAATCAAATTTGATTGAATTGAAATAGTCTTGAACCCTTGGGAGATTAATTTTAGAGGCAAGAGTTAAAGAAAGATTAAGTTGCCTGGAAGCCGTTCAATTTCATCATGGAACTCCGAAATAGAGACATCATCACCCACACATGGCCAGGAGCCCTCAATCTTCGAAAATATACGTACGTAAAGATGAAGAAACTCAATACATATACTGGGACCGGTTTCTCTTACAAGAGAGCCAAGGTAATTGCCTAGGTGCTATTCGTAGAAAGGCAAGTTAGATGAGGTGCAGATAAGTTAAGGTTTGCCATGTGAGATGCATAAAATATCTTAAACGAACTTGCGAAATGTATCAAGGATAGCCACTGTGCGTAGAATAGATGCAAAAAAAACCCCTCGGTACTGCACAATTAGAACGCCATTGATTTTGAGGGTTATTTCAACGTTCAGCTCCTATCTTAGCTTAGAGGAAACAAAAAACTCGTCCCCGGGAAGGCTCGAACTTCCAACCTCCCGATTAACAGTCGGACGCGCTAGCCGATTGCGCCACGGAGACAAATTGATATAAATCTGACCTTCAATGTTCGTAAGAAGTTTCCGAGTACTTAGATTCGGGAGCGGTCGAACCACTGGAATTTCGGTATTGGTCTGACAATAAAACCAATAAAATCTAGTCTAAATCAACCGCGGTAAAACAGTTAAATCCTCAAGGTTTATAAGAGGGCCTCTAATATTGGCGAAATTCGATGAGATATTGAGAAGCACGGATATACAGCGGCAATACCAGTGCGGTGAGAGAATAATGCCAATCATTATTTCCATTTCGTCAGATAAGCTTCCCGAACAATAATACCCCAGCCTCCTAAGTAGTCCCACTTGCACTTTCCTCCTGGGCTCCTTTCCAATCCTCTCTCCCCTTGCTCCAAGGTTTCTCCGCGTGACATTTCAGAACCAGACCATTAGCTTTATTTTCCACTTCATTTGAAACACTCGTTCTCTAGTCTTCTAACGTGACCACTCGGGCTTCTTTCAAGTGGTTCCAAGGTTACCACAGCAATGCCTGGTACATCGATTTCTCAAAAACGCGCTAGATCACTGAGTGATGGCGCAATTGGACAACTAGAAGCTATAAAGCGAATCAAGAAACCATCAAAGACTTCGTTCTTAGAACTTCCAAATGAGCTACTCATCACGATAGCCAGCAAATTGAATCTGAATGAAGTTAGGGCATTGTCATCCACCTGTCATTCCATGACCGCTCACCTGACTCATCATTTCTATCGAAGAGCGCAAGATTCAATTGTTTTAGACCGCCATGGCCAATTTACACACGTCCTCCCATGGGCAGCGCAACGTGGTCTGATCAATACCATCCACAATCTCATCGAAAGCTACAAAAGTGATATACCATCAGAATCGAAAGACATATCCCTCTGTTACGCTGCACAGGCTGGAATGTACGATGCTGTCAAAATCTTGATTGCCAAAGGTGTATCTCCTTCATCGAAGGCAAAGATACCTCGAAGACATAGTGCACGAAACTATGCTGTTTACAATGCTCTGCTTGGGCTTGGTACGGAAATGGAATTTTCCGAACCATCAGAAAGATATATGCCGAGACAATTAAGGAGTGCACTACAACTCGCAATTGAGAATAACCACGACAATATTGTTCATCTCCTTTTAGAAAGTGGTGCAGATGCCTCTGCTGAAGTTGGAGCTGAAGTGGGGGCTCCCGATACTGCCTTACAAACAGCAATTCGGTCTAACAATGAGAAATTGGTACGGCTGCTTTTAGACCGTGAAATCACGCAGCCAGAACTGAAAGCGCTCAACACCGCATTCGAAATGTTGGAATTGCACACCGCAGTACGGCGTGGGGATTGGGGTCAAGTGGCGTTATCCTTTCGAAGGGGATTTGATTTGGAGGCAGTCACTGGGCCGACAGTATCACGTTATGCCCCTATTCCGTCTATATGTTCAATCATCCCTCTTCTACTAGAAAAGGGTGCAGATTGCAATATTCCTACTTCTCCGAAGTCTCTTTTCACACCACTCCATTATGCAGCACAAGGCGCTCATGAGGAATTTGTGAGGTTACTCCTGGTTAATGGCGCTAAAGTTATGGTCACAAATTATCTCGGCTACACACCCCTTCATTATGCAGCAAATTCAAAGGAGAGTGTGGAAGTTGTGAGGTTGCTGCTAGATAAAGGCGCTGATGCAAATTCCCGTAATCTTGTAAGCTGGACACCCCTTCATTGTGCAGCATCATGTGGGAGCAAAGAAGTTGTGAGGTTACTGTTGGACAATGGTGCTGATGTTATGGCCATAACGGGTTCCTTTGCAACGCCCCTTCATGCAGGAACAGAAGGTGGGAGTGGAGATATTGTGAGGATGCTATTGGAACGGGGTGCCAATGTGATGGCTCGGGCTGGGCGCAACAACACACCCCTTCATCAAGCAGCAATATATCCCATAAATGTCGATGTTATAAGGGCGTTGTTAGATTTCGGCGCCGATATCATGGCAGTGAACTTCAATGAAGAGACACCACTCCATCATGCTGTAATGCAGGCTAATAATACAGATGTTGTGAGGCTACTGTTGGATAATGGCGCTGATGTGATGGCGGTGGATATGGATCACTGTACACCACTTCATTTTGCAGCAGAATTTAAGAATGGAGATTCCGCGAAGGTGCTGCTGGATAACGGCGCTGATTTGATGGCGGCGGATGTTAATCACCGCACACCCCTTCATCATGCGGTAGATTATGAGGGTGAAAAAGTTATGATGATTTTGCTAGAGAAGGGTGCTGATGTGATGGCGGTGGATGATCATCATGAGACACCCCTTCATTATGCAGCACGTGTTGGGGGTGAAAGAGTTGTGAGGATGCTGTTGGAAAAGGGTGCCAGTGTGAGTGCCCGCGATGATGACGGCTGGACACCCCTTCATCATGCTATAGCCAAAGGTGGATTCGAGGCTTCAAAGGTTGTGAAGGCGCTGATAGAATATGGTGCTGATATGGAGGCTGAAGATAACAATGGGTTAAGCCCCATGGATCGAGTAGAAGGTGGAAGACTTGAACGAATTTTTCAACAGGGATCAGAATTTAGAGGGTTCACAACCGATGAGAGTGGTGAATCTGGGATGGACTTTTCTGATGAATCAGAGTTGGAGTACTGGTAGTCCTGATAGGTCTAATATTAACTCATTGGTTTCTTATTATAATCAGGAAAGTCTAATGTATCCATCCCATTATAGTTTATTTCCAAGATTGTATTCTGTAAAATTATCTATATGAATAACCTATCGAGATCATCATATATCAAAGTAATAAATAACGTCACCATAACAAGTCTCCGTGGCGCAATCGGCTAGCGCGTCCGACTGTTAATCGGGAGGTTGGAAGTTCGAGCCTTCCCGGGGACGACTTTCCTTTTTTGCTTTTTCTTAGCTAGCTCTTTCCCTTCCGAGGTATCGTAGAATTGGATATATTCTTAATATTTTCATGGTTTATTTTTGATCCATTCCATTTAATCAATAGATTTAAGCACTGAAGAATAATTCAACTGGGCATTTATCATCTGTATCTAATTATATGCCCAGGTGATATACCTACATTTTCATATTTAGGTAGAAACAGAATTCTATATAAATTCGTAGATTTCTGGTTTTCAATAAAATAGAGTAAGAAAAAAAACATTGAAAGTATATCTATTGAGGTATCAATATTTCAAAATCTACCTAGAGTACACGCATCCAAGTAACACACCTGTTCATCTAAGACGTACTAACAAGCGGTGTAGTGACAGGCACAGCACTAGACGGACAAACACAAGCCCCAGAAACAGAAGTAACAGGCGGCACAGTACAATGAGCACCAGCAGTCCAAGAAACAGAAGTAGAAGAAGCCTTTTCAGCATTTATCTTCTCAGCACGCACAAGCACAGGAATAACAGCACCAGTTTTCAAACTAAAAGTCCGATGCCCAACAACACGCAAGATCGAAGAAATCTCACCAGAATGTGAAGTCACAGAAACGAAAGAGTCTTCTTTCGTTGACTTCACAAAGAAGATCTCATCAAGAGCTGTTGCGCTACGCACATCCCGTGCTGCAGATGTCTCGGCCGTAACTCCATTCCACAGCTCGTCGTCTTCAGTGAAGCCAGCTTCGATGGTCCAGGAGGGGAATAGTTCTTTGATGTAAGTTTTGCTGCGACGGTGGTCGCAGGTGTGGATGCTTATTCCCTCGCGGAAAAGTTCTTTGATCAGTGGCTTGAATTTGACTTTGGTTGGGGATTCATGATTCCTGTGGGCTTGGCCATCCGGGTGCTGTGATAGATTGGTGAACGTGTAGTTTGCTGTTTGGAGGGTGCGAGTTAATGGGCTGACGAAGTAGCTATCTGGCGTGTGAATGCGTTGCTCATTTATCTCTTTTTGCCAGAAATCATGTGCTATTAGGGCTTGGTTTATGCCGTTTGTTGTTAGGGCTGCGTCGTGCCAGGTTGCGGTGCTGTTGCCGTTCAGCTCGGCCCAATAGCACTGTATTATTTCAAGTGTCAGTAGACAGGAAGTTTGGAGTTTCAAGTTTCCTCTTCCTGTTCTTCTTTCTTGATTTTTGTCAGTTCATCAATGTTCAACTTACATTCCACGCTGGTGTGCCGTAGTATGTCTCGGCAGCATTATGCCATCCTTCGCCGTGACGACCTAGGAAAAGGACTCTATACTCGACATCGCTGTGTGACTCATCATTCAGCGTTTGCACTTGGTGGTGAAAGCGCTCCCACTGGGTCAGAGTCTGTTTCTGGTTGTGCTTTAGCTTCTCATCGGCAGGATAAGTCCGGTTTATGAGGCCAAAATTGACTGTGGTCTATACAAATAGATTAGACCCGATCAAAACATAACTGAGTCGAGGTATGACTCGGGTCGAGAAGGTGATTAGCATACATAGTCGAAGGTCGAAGGATCAGTCGATGTCTCGTCTTGAAGGAAGTAGCCCGTGATGGTGGTATAGTTGATTGTTGACGCCCGCGCACACACTGTTGTGGCGAGAGCCAGAAGAGATGGACTTAGATATGATACTTTCATCGCGCTGGTAAAGTATTTCACCACTGAACGGGTCACACTACTGAACGGGTCAGTTTGACCCACTTATTTTTATGAATCCCAATAACTCCATTATTTACTATGTAATATAGTAAAAAAAAACTACTGAATGGGCCTACTAGGACAGGTTTCCCTCCTATGTCCAGGTGTCTTACATGTCCCACACCGGCGTTGGGTTACAGGCGCCCTTACAGGCGCCTGGCCCTCTTGTAAATTGGCATCATTAAGTTTAGGGCCACCATTCGACGCGTCAACCAGGTCTAATCCCTCCTGAATTGTAAGACCCCCTACTACTGTTAATTGACGATTCGGACGTTCTTTTTGTTTTTTCTTTTTCTCATGGGCGGCGCGTAAATCTCTGTTTTCCAGGCGTAAGAGAGCATTCTCTTGATATAGGTAATTTGCACCCTTTACTATCTGGTCTAATGCTCTCTTAGATGGTGTTGGTGGCGTTCGAGATACAGTGCGTAATATAGCTTGGTGTTGACGTCGTAAATCTTTCTGCGTCCTAGGCGTCTTAGGTGTCCAATTTCGACTTGAATCGCTTCCTATAGAGGGTGGTGGTGGTGGTGTATCGACGCGCATAGTAAGCTTTTTTAACACCCTAGTAGGGTCAAGTGGCACGATTCCAGTTGCAGCAAACGCATTAGAAGCAGATGCAAATGCTTCAATACGCGCAGTAGGATATATCTCTAGGAAATCTCCTTTACTAATGTGGGAAAAACCAAGCTCTACTCTAGACTCAACCAGCCGAGAATAAGAGCGTTTTAACACCGCAAAACACCCAACATCAAGAGGTTGAAGAAGATGAGACGCATGCGCAGGCATACATAATGGTATAATATCATGCTCCTGGCAGATTTTGTCGAAATCAGGTGTTAAATGGCTACCATGGCCATCTAAGATCAGAAGGCGATACCGTCCTTTAGTACGAGCAGTAGCAGGTATAAAGAGCTTTTCAAGCCAACGGAGCCCTATTTGATTTGATGTCCAGCCATTAGGACTAATCTCAAGACGCCAATTAGGTGGTAAACCTAGATCAGGAGCAAACCAGCTCTGCATCATCACCTTACCCTTAAAGATAATACAGGGTGGAGGTGCGTAACCAGACGCGCCTAAACACTCTATCACAGTAACCCATTCCCGGTTACCAGGCTGTTTTTTTGCGCGTTTACCATAATAACCAGCTCTAGTAACCACTCTCGCGGTCGCACATCGTCCCATCGCAAACCTAGTCTTGTCAAAATTATAGATATCGTCGGTGGTGATACCATATTTTGCGATCGTGTTTTCAACCAGTTTGAACCAATTATTGATCACATTATAGTCCTCTTGACGCGCACGTGTAAAATCGCGCGGTGTTGAATAGGTCGTCTTAAGTTCAGGTAAACGCGTCGCAAACCTAGTAACCCAGTTTTTACCGATCGTAAGAGGAGGGTTGGTTCCGCGGTCGGCGAGTAGGATATTAGCCATTCTACCAACATCTTTAGTTCTAGGAGCACAGCCGCGATCATCTAGAGAGACGACCCATTGAAGTAATGAATCCTCTTCAGATTCAGTCAGTTTAGACTGCGGTGGGTGTGTTTCAAGACGAAATTGGACACCAGAATGGCGGCGTTGGAGGGTTGAAAATGGTATATTAAACATAGCTGCAGCTTTACGCATTGATGATATATCGCCATTCTTGTAAGCTTGGTAAGCTAATAAGACCCTATTCTCCTGATCCTGTTTGTCTTGGACATATAGAGCATTTAGGGGGGCATGGTGGGTAGTTGAAAATGGAAACACCAGACTGACGCGTAAAATTGGTGGGGTGACCCGTTCAGTAGTGTGACCCGTTCAGTGGTGAAATACTTTATACAGTGTATGATTAATCGGAATTCATCAGATAGACTTGGAGGGACATTCTATTCTTATACAGTGTAAATATTGCTAATTGATCTCATGACATTAGTGACATTAATGTTTTCCAAAGAGGAAAGAATCATGAACTCGGTTCAGGTAGACAAGTCATCTCACCCTATCGAGTAACGCACGTGGTTTTCCCATGGGTGGAGGCTTCACGGGTTTATTATTAGCGCCCTGGAGAAACCATTTAAGCGAGATTAAATAGGTAATGCAGCAAAGACTCCACTGCAAACGCCATCTCAACCTTGGAAGCCTTGTGAAGAAATATCCGAGGTATCAAGGTAGTGTCACTTGCTAGTTAGGTAAATTTCTATGTCTACTAAATGAAATTTTGATAGTTGCCCTCGTTTATTATCAAGAGGTGAAAAAAGAAATATGAACAAGTGAGTATGTATCAGATAGCCAAGTGCTAATATGCAAGACGAAATCCCAATCCAAAGCCGAACCAGTTCCAAAATATTCAAAAATCAACGAAGAACAGAAATGACAAGGTAGAAAGGGTAACAGGGTTAAAGGGTAAAAGGATTGAGCTCTCAGACTCGCCAGAATTAAGGGGGTTGTATAACACAAAGAAAAGAAAGATAAAACCCAGGCCAATAATAACAATGCAACGAATGCTCCAAATATGTAATAACCACGGTGGAACCACACCGAAAAGAACAGTTGTAAAAGAGAGAGATAGAAAGAAGGATATATATAGAGAGAGGAATAAAGAGGTAGAGATATATAGAGAGGTGTATAGGGAAAAAGAAAGGAGGGAAGGATGGTGTTTTTCAGAAAGGATTTGAGATAGGCAGATGCCTTGTCGATGAACCAGAACAAAAATAGATCAAGAGCAGGAATCGGAAAGTCGCGTCAGAAATGAGATGATGCGTAGCGGTGAGTCGTATCGCGGTACTCCATATATTTCTCATTGATCCATAGGAACGGGATAACTTCAAGGGAAATTGCTCAACGTTGCGTTGTTCGCAAACGTGTAGGCCTTGGGCTTATGAGCCGACTGTAGGTGACCAAAGTGGTTGGTCTCCTGTTGCTCGTGATACTCGTGCATCATATAATCAGACACTTTTCTTTCCCCATCCGAGACAGCCATGTCGGCATCCTCGATCGAGTAGATCAAGGACGGAGAAGCAGACACCGACTCCATTGCGTAGCCCTGGCCATGATGCTCGACAGAATCATAGGGAATGGGGGACACGGTACTCGGGTGTGTCACTTGCATGCTAGAGTGGAATTCGGGAGATGAGTTGGATGCATTATCTGCCCAGCTCCGAGTCTGATCACAGCCGACATACTCGGGGAAGCAGCTGAGATGAGCCGGAGCCGAGATTGGCGGACCGACATTCTGATACGGGAACGGGGAGTAGATGTCCATAGGCGTTGCGGGAGGCGAGGCAATATTGACTTGCATGGAATGAGAGGGAGGGTAGAACTGGTTATTTGACTGAGCAGGCAAGCAGTAGTTGCTTTCGGTCGGCGAAGCAGGGACCAAGTGCTGGAAGTCTTGGGGTGTCAACGGTGTCGGAGGAACCAATGAGCTCGACGAGACCGAAGTGCGGAGCATGTCAGCCTTGCTCGGCTTCATGGATACAGCTTCAGCAAATGTGAAGTTTAAAGGAGATCGTTGTGTAGCCGACACCTTGCGCACACCGGCATAACGGGAGCTGAGACACTGAGCGGATTTAGTATGCCTCATCGAGTTTCCAGCACCCGAGTTGGACATGCGTCTCGAAGGTGAGAGCGAAGTCATGGAGGTGGAAGCAGACAGAGTAGGGGTATTGGCAGTGCCAATAGCCGCAGGACGCGGACGCTTGCGCCGAGCAGCAAGGTCAAGTTCCTTGCCCGACTCCTTCCACGATCCTTCCGCCTGACTGGTAGGTGGTGAACCAGTGGAGATTCCAATACCCTCTAGAGACGCAGTGAGCGTGCATGATGACTCACGTCGGTTGACTGAGATTTCCGGCATGGACATTGGATATTGCATGTTGCTATATCCTAGACCAGTATCGGAGCCTATCAATCCCATTTGCTGTTCCGACCGAGGGGCATACTGAGCTCCCGAGTATGAGTCTACATTTTGATGCGCCGAGTGGGAAGATCTTGACGCCACCATGGTTTGGCTAGCAGGCGAGAGTGAGGTATCTGCATGTCCATGGGCTGATGCCCACGAATGAGAGTCCTCCTTCATACCCGGCCAATCATGATAAGATGAATGATATGGAAGCACCTTGGTCTCCTGCGTGCATTGGATAGCCTTGGGCGGGGCCATCGAGGTAGGAGAGACTGACTCTTCCTCGCATGGAGTCTGATGTTGGCCAAGGGAATCCTGATGAGAGAAGCGCTCCCGGGCAGCAACCGCGGCATTCAAAGCACGCTGGAGGGATGCAAATGTTGCCTCTCGGGCAGTATCGCTCTTGGTCTTTTGGTGCTTCCGACTGGCACTAGTACTGGCATGGGTACTTGTTGCGCTCTCAGATGTTGAAGTGGCGGGTTGCTGTTTAGGAGTAGGAGACCTCTCGGGTTCCTCCTTGACTGTGGAAGAAGACTGTCGGGACTCGAGCTGATCCAAGGTCTCTGACTTGCGACGGGAGGCTTCCTCAGCCTCGACTTTAGCTTTTTGCATGGTCTCAAATTCCTCCTGGCGTTTCTGTTGCTTGGCTTTGGCGCGACGATTTTGGAACCAGTTCTGTGAAAGAAAATTAGCTTTTACCCCTTGCTTTCCTTTTTGTCGAGATGAGAGCTTACTGCAACGCGCGGCAAGCTCAGATTTGTTTGAGCTGCTAATTGGCGCTTAACATTACTGCTGGGCTTGGGATGCGCCTGAAATTGAGATTCCAAAGTCTCTACCTGCTCCTTAGTCAAACGGGGGCGGGATAGGTTCTCTGTGTATTCATCGTAGTCCATGATTGGTTGGTGATAATAATCGATCATCTCCATGGGCGGATGAGGGTAGAGATATCCATCAGTAGAATGATGATGCATCATAGGTGGAGGCATCATAGAGGGTTCGTAGTTGTAGGAATGTTCCATCGGCAGACCGGAGGAATGTTGGCCATAGTGCCATGTGGGGTGGATATAACTCATGGCTGTGAGGGAGAGATAAAGAAGGAGGGAGGGGAGGGTAAAAAGAAGGATAATGAGTTGATAAGATGATTTGGTCGAGGTCAGAAAGCGCTGGTACGGGAAAATGAGGGTATAGAGGGATGGATGGCTATATCATAGAGATTGAATATGAGCGTGATCGGCCCGTGGGATGGTTTAGGAGGGCAAAAAAAGATGGATATAAAAGTCCGTTAAATGAGAGGAGGACTAGTAGAAGAACTAAAATGACAGAAAAAGAAAAATAAGGAACAAGAAAAAAAAAGAGGGTGTTGTGAAAAGAAAGACTGGAGGGGGGGGGGAATTGGGGAGGGAAAAGAGAAGGAAAGAGTGGAAAGGGCGGTCACTTTTGGGGATTCGGAGGTTGACAAGCGATTCAGTGATTGGACAATAGTTTAGTCCAAGTATATTTTCAGAAATTAAAATTAAAAATGCAAGTAGGAAGGTACCTGAAAATAGCATAATATCCATATCTGTAGTAGGTATTGGGTACCTATTATTATTCCATTTTCATTTTACCATTTTACCATTTTACCATTTTACCATTTTACTATATTTTACTGAATTATGATATTTTAATTCTGGCTGTAGATATGATCATCCTTCCTGAAAGAGAAAAGTAAGAAAAAAAAACGGAAAAAGAAAACCAGAAAACCCACTCCGCATTACCGTCAACTTGACTAGGGGGTGGCGTCTGAGCTCAAGATCCAGGAAGTACTAAGTAGTACTCTGTCGAGGTAGAATATTAATAGGATATTTAGTTAACCCTTTTCTACTATACTAATTTATATTTCCCTTTTCTTTCTAGTAGCCTATCTAGCTACATACTATATGGTTACGTATAGATACTCCACCGTACGTACAGTATCAAGGTCAGGTACCAGGTACCAACCACAGTTGATGTTCCATGGTAGCGATGCGGAGAGCGGCTCGGGTACTGGGGATGAGACCCGCGGTAATTTACCTATACAAACACACAATCAGTTCCTGCATTAGCGCCTCAAAACATTACTATATTATTATTTCATCTCGACACTAACTTGCAAGTTGTTCTCATGAAGAACATCTAAGCCGCTTTCCAATGGAGCCACGATTTTAGATACAAACTCACACAGTACCGATACCTAGATAAGGAACCTTAAAGAGCAGTACTGTATACTCCGTACTCGTACTCTGTAAAGTATACAGAGTATCTTATCTCGATCTTTTTCTTCCTCACCGGGAACACCGGAGATACTGAGGTCAGTCCTCCATGAATTATCGGGTATAAGATCGACGATGTCGTGACCTTGGGATTAGATTATTGGAATCTGAAGCACAACACCGACTTATCTGCCGCGCTTACTCCGTACTTCCTCTACAACCTTGGAACTGTCATCATCTTTTCTTGAAGGAAATTCCCTGCCGCCGCTAAGATGAAATAGTACTAGTAGAATAACATGTCAGCGCGCCAAGGGTAACTAAACATCAATAGTTGACAGATCCTGTCGATCATCTCTCCAGGATCGAGCTTTCTTTTCTTTTTCCACTCGCTCCGATTAATACCGGCCAATACCGACCTACCTTACTACTAAACCGGTTACTCTCTAGTACCCTGTATTTCACAATTTGGGTTCCTAGAATTACTATAATCTGACCCTAATGACATATCTTGTCCCGAGTAACTGGTACCTCTAGTGGACGGCGCTTTAACTCTGGGATCGAGAGGCTGCATGCATGCAAATCACGAGGACTGTGCTACGGTTTCAATCCTGTTCTTGGTTCTCTGATGCTGCAGCTTGCAGACCCTGCAAACCTCACGTTGAGTCGAAGGCCCCTACTCCGTACATCTCGTAAGCTGTCGTGCATCCTGCTGTTTGAGCCACAACGCTCTCTTCTGCATCTCTCAGATCATTCCGATCCTCCCGGGAAGTACTGATCCCCTTCTCTCTCTCCCGGGAACTTCCCTTGAACGTATGCAAACTTGGTGACAGCAAAACGTCTCACAAGGATCTCCTCATCTCAAAAGTCTAAAGTATGGAGTCGGTGCCTCTGTCAAGCCACAGCCTACGTAGGCTCAATCCGGGGATTGGGTTGGTCCCCGAGTCTAGAGAACAGTGTATTGTATCCAATTCTAGCCCTTGGAAACCTCCCTCATTAGAAATATCTCGATCTCTTGCCCTAGTCTGAAGTCAGATCTGGCCCGTGTTCATCACCATGATCACACACCAGGTGTTCTGGGGATCAGTGGAGCAATTCCAAATTACAGATCGAATGGGGATAAGCTAAGAAACTCCAGGTCCATGACTACGGGTTAGGGTTAGATTCAGAATCACCTCGCCTCTTGGCACAAACTTCCAGGGCTAGGGACCCTACAACGTGGGCTGAGGTCTATTCTCAAATTAAGACCCCGAGCTTCGGTATTCAACTGCCGCAGTGATTGATTACGATGAGAACCTTCACGTGCGTCACACACCACTCAATTAGGAGCGAGAGGGGTAGATCTAAGAGATGTCGTTGAACCTCGAGTCATGGCTTGGGACAGGGATCATGGTGTGCATAGTAAGGTGTGACAAAAGGATCTCAAGACTCCGTCATTTCCGTCAGAATTATAAGGGGGTGGGGAGTGATCTACAGCAAGCTGCGCAAGGATCCCTTAGCCCCATCAGACTATTGATTGGATCTGATGAAGGGGCCCTGGGGAACGTTACTTAATTTCAAATAACCCATACTGCCTACTACTAGGACTAGTAGATATTATGCTCCAAAATTCCCCGATCTCTTCTGGCGATCGGCGGTGTGACAGTATCGCTGATTGTGCTTGTGTTTGTGTCACCGATTCAATACCATCATAGATCTTGTCCCACCTATCCCTTTCGGAGACTTGGCTGTCACAGTCCTGGAAGTTTCTCTTTTCATCTCCCCCTTTCCTTTCTGCATCGGAATTTTCCGGTGTACAGACAATAGTGCGCTTTTGCTGTATAATCGTAATGTGACAGGTCTACCAAATACCAAACTGGGTATCCCATTGTGGCGCATCTGAATTTGAAAAATACCGGTGGCGGTGCGCTCATGCGCTGTAGAGACCTACAGCTGTTCCATACCTCGAAGCGCGTGTGATTTGTCAAATGCAAGTACTCTGTACCTTGATGCAATATGATTTGAAGCCTGTCCGGGACAGTTTACTCCGGGTAAAGATCGGAATACGGACCAGTCCCGATGGTCTGGTTCAGATCTGAATCAAGGAAGAAGCCTGAAGATAGGTAGGGTGATCAAATTATTCTATCTCGGGATGTGATGGAGAGTGCATCTGCCACTCTAATCACAAGTTCTATGTAAATGTGGTTATCATACCTACTACGTAAGTATACTACATGTACCCAGGTGCAACACAAACAAGGTCCAACCATACCTAGGTCGATTTGGACTCACCTTCAATCTTGGAACTTTGTAATAGGATGTGACTTCTGAACTCCCGAGGTCACATTGTGATATCTCAGCTCTGCAAGAAAAGACGCCCAAGAACCTTGGAAACCTTGGAAACTTCCAAATACCCTGTCTGTTACCCCTTACATGTCTCGAGAAGGAGACAATTTGACTGCAGACTCGCCTCGAAGTGGAATATCCCTCCGACTTCCCCTAGGGCCTAGCTGCAAGTGCAACCCCCCTTCCCTTATCCCGAAAAACCAAACCTATACCGCTGCCTCGGTGCTGTTACTTGCTTCCGGCCAATTGCAGTGGCACAATACGCTTTGTTGTCGGGATTGTCCCTCGTGAAAGTCTCCTTTGCAAGAGCTGCGAGTTACGAGCTGTGATGCATAGCTGCGATGCATAGCTGCGGAGGCGACCTGGACCGAACGAAATCGGGGTCGGAATCGGAAATTGCTGTTCCTGTTTCTATTCCTAGTGTCTGGTTTCTGCTTCTTTCCTTTTTTTACATTGCCCCTGCTTGGCTCCTTCTACCGGTGAGCCCAGCAAGGTTTGAAGATTTGGATTTTGCCCCGGCGGGATCTCAATCCGCTGCGATCTTGGATACTCGGTCGTAGGCTTGGGCTCGGGCTCGCTGCCCTGGTCAGACTTGCATGAACGACTGTTCGCAGGACTGCTACTACACTATTGGTTCCAGACTAGATTGCGCAGCTCAACGAGTTACAATTCACAGATTGTGGTTATTGTACTTGCTTACTAGAGGTTTGTCCGAGTATATCGGATCAAGACTAAACTCTGCAAGGATTGGTCTTACGCCAGTCACGCCGTCTCGGTCATATAATTCAAGGGCCTCATTTGACAGGCCTGGATCCTTCCAAGGTTCTAAATCTAAAATCTTGTGCATATGGTCTCATCCTTGTCATCACACCCGGGACTATACGTACTCCAATTATCCTTGACATGACTACATTCGCGGGAGAAAATTCAAATGTTCTGCTAGGGTCCTCGGACTTTGCCGTCCTCCTTATCACCAGAACCAGTAATTCATAGCCTGTGGCTGTTTCAACTTTCCTCATATGGTGAAAGTGAGTATATGCTCCTCATGTTGTACAAAGGCTTGCTATAACGCGCCAGATGGAAGTGAAATCTCACAAACCCCTTCTAATGTTCCAAAATTATCAGGGCTGGTAGGCAGTTTGTACCGACTATGACACACGAAGCTCCCAAGGTCCTCACGGCGAGGTGGTGGATCTGTCTCACTGCATACCTAGGTACTAAGGTATGCTCTACATACCGTATTTTCCATGGCGGGTGGGACTTTCCTATTTCGGGCCGTCGCCTCTATGAGGACGTTCAGGGACTCATTGAGTAAATTACAGTTTGCGCTCCGACTCACTGAGCTACTCATTGTCATTATGTGATACATCCGTGATATTTGATAAGCTTTCACCGATTACTCACGCTCAGTCAATACCTGAGGAGCATTTGGCCCTTCAAAACGGTTCATTTTGTGAACTACTGTTTGATGGCATTAATCATGCCTCCGTTTTTGAAGCTGCTCCGGCATGGCTAATAACAAAGTACTGATCGAGGGCTTAAATTTTTGAAGACCAAGTACCGTGCCCGTCTGAGCTTCAAGATCTTTTAAATCCTATCTAGATTTCGATGAAATGAACCAGGAAGTGAACTGAAATATAAAGTGAATAGATTAGAACTGGGATTAGAATACCTAACTAGATAGGGCTTGGAACAGTAGATATGAAGAAATAGAGAGGATAGACTCCTATAAATAAGATCAACTTCCTCTCTATAATCTTTCAATTCTTCTAACCTTGTGGTTTCTCCCAAGGTCTTCTCACAACTCGACAACATTTAAACATTCGACGCACAATCGTCGATTTTTCCTGACCACAGACATCTCGCTCCTCCCTTGTCAAATCTAATAGAACTAGGATGTCTTGAGTCCTACATAGTAGATAATATTGGTCACAGCCAGTCAGGAATTCCTACTGTTGCCACAGATTGCTCAGGGTAAATGCTAACCTTGGAAATCAACATCTCTGATCATGGCCCATAGACCTAAAGATATACCAATATCTTTATAGAATTCCTACACAACTCTGTCACTAGGTTCGCTGATTTCATCATTGCAACGACTTTGTTGTCACGGCCTCACGTTGTACCAATAATATATTTATATACTTATTACTATGTTCTACTTTCACTTCAACTTCGCCTTCCACTTTCCTATTTCGAAATATCATCTTATCAGGTTTTCAATACTCTAAGTTTCCCTGGATCTTCAGTTCGCTATCACAGATTTTTCACACTTTCATTCTCAAGAACTCGGAACTTCTAGTTTCCTAGAAAGCTCAGTCCATTATCTGCTGTATCATTATCTCGTTCAGTCTATCGCTCAAGCTTCACTCAGTGAGCGAATCGGGGCGCTCAGGTTTTGCTCAGTGAGCCGGTCAGTGCGCGTATATAATACTTACTGATCGGATCAGAGCACTCATAGCTATGCCCAGTTCTACTCAATGAGCAAAAGTGGCGAAGTGGGCACTTATACGGAAGGGGAATGCTATTAACTGGCATAGAAAACCCGGTACGTAGGTGAGCTAACGTATTCCTAGGTAACTATCAAACCTTGAAAGATTCTGTTGTGTAGACTTCAGTTACCTAGGTCGCCCTGGCTGTCCACAGGTGCAGACAACATACTCATCAGACAATGGTTCTCAGGCGATGCCTAGGTAGCTTTACGTACCGTTTTTCCCATGCCAGTTGGGGATTTCCTATTTCGGGTGCCGCCGCTTTTATGAGGGCGCTCAGGGTCAGGCTCACTGAGTAAATTTCAGTCTGGGCTCAGGCTCACTGAGCTGCTCAAGATCATCACGTGACAGATCAGTGATGACCAATGAGCGCTCACTAAGCACTCGGTGACTGTTCAGTGATTATGATTGGCTGCTCCCTGGTCACTCACTGATTACTCAGAGGCATCTATTGAGCACTTAACTAACTAGTCCACGCTCTGAGTCTTAATCTCCCTTGACATGTACAACCTGAGTTTCTCGGCGCCCATGCTATAGCACATTCACATGATTGTTAGGACCCCTAATCGACATTGAACGTTTACGCCGGGTAGCGCGCCATATGATGACGGCCACAATTTCAAGTTGAATCCCTGGGTTACGTACTTACGAAAACTCCTGATGGTATTCAGGCGTCATAGGGGCGCCTTTCTGCCATAAGGCGGTGATCTTCAGACTATGTCATGAAATATTTTGTTCATCACGCTTAGTTAGTATCAATATCCTTTAGGAAGGAACCCCCAAGGCCATCCTCTTCCGCGCCGACTTTTCCACTAGCCTTGTAAGTAACTCTGAGCATTATTGTCTGACCTCGTCCTAATCATGTCCAAGAAACGCGTCAGTTTCGCCATGTCCACCAAAACAGAATCTGCTACAGGCTCAACATCAGGCATCTCTTGCGCCTCATCGGGTGGTTTTCCAGCCTCGGTACAAAGTACAGCAAGGAGACTATGCCATGATGTCTGCTGGGTTTGCGGCTCGCTGGACCCTGAGATCGCGCACGCTTTTGGAAAGGCCGATAAAGGCGTATGTACTCCTGCTAGGATTTTACTGCTATAAATATGACCAAATAGATTTCAAAATGGCGAGAACGCGAACTTATGAACTTCGCTCCTAGAGGGCTAGACAACAGCATCCCTCTTTGTCCGAATTGCCATAGCCAATATGATCGGGTGTCAGACCCCGGTCTAACAATAATCCCTGTTGACATCCCGTACTTTCTCAATTTTGAGAAAGAAGATCAGGTTCGCCGGTTAAATGGAGGCTGGAAAGAGCAGCGCGAAGTACCCACTATCGAGCAATATGAGGATGGTGAGGAGGATGAGCCAGGACTGTATCGACGAGTCTGGCTTAAGGAGTATATGGTACCCCGAATTATCCAGTCTGGCCAGGGCGCTTGGGCCTTTTTGACCACGCCCAAGGCGTGGTATGGGTCCTCAGTTGCGCTGTTTCGCCAGGCGTTTGCAGCAACTAGATCAACAGACATCTATGCAGCTTTAGATGAAAAGACTGTTGACGAACTTGGCGAACTGCACAAACTATACTTTAAAGAGCCCGCAAGCTCTGTGACTAAGGAGCAAGAAGGGCAGGGCTCTGCCACTGAAGGAAAGGGAGAGGCCAAGCGGCCCGTTGACAAAGAAGAGGAGAATGAGGGAGGGCAACAGCTGGCCCGGAAACCTAAGACTGCCGAGGATTCGTGTTATGGCCAGCGCAATATGGGCTTAGCGCCAATGATTTCTTTGCATGAGAGGGTTGAGCAGTGGGTAGTGAATGTACCTATTGCCTGTTGAATTTGTTGTTCTAGACTTCAGTTCCGGTATTGACAATATTATACTGTATTCTCAAGATATGAAATGTTTGATGCATTCTTTTCATCCATGTGGGTATAGAATGATGTAAGACTCAATAGTACCACCTACCTATCTATGGATGGAACCTTGGAGGCACATATTGGAAACCCTCAAACATCTAAGCTGCCTTCTTCGCAGAAATCGGTCTGAATGTAGAACTGAAAATTAAAACCATGGGTATCATGAGAAAAAAAGGGATCATAACATCATAAGAAGTAAAGAAACCCCTAAAAAGGCAGGAAAACAACAGAACAAAAGCGACATAGAGTGAGATTAAGCGTAAACTCTAGCTAAGGCCAGATATCTATGTATAATCCGTTCTCAGGCCTTTATGATGATGTGGTACTGGCAGCAGGATTAAAGATGGATGGTCACTGTGAAGGTGCTAAAGCTAATCTTGACTTCAGAACTAGCTAGGCATAAGCTGTGTACAAAATTCTTAAGGAACGTAAGAGGGTCGGCGTAGGTTAGGTTTATATGTCTCTCTGGTCCGTCTGCAAGAGACTCTCCTGAGACTCTCATCCTGTTTGTAGGTAACTCAAATTCGTTTGAAGGTGGGATTGAGCGGGAGGCTGAAGACGAGAGTCAGTCCGTTGCGTCGGCCGTTTGTCGTGCTAGGATCAATAGGCACCATGATCTGATCTGCAGGCTTCAGCCTGTTACAGTCACTGTCGACAGACTACGTCTGAAGGATTGTATCATACGTCCCACGTCCCAGCCTGTTGGGAGTTTACTCGACCAAGTCAGTATGGATTTGCTGTGGATATAAAGTGTATGAAGTGTGTCCATTCAATCTAGCTACTGAGGAGGCATATATACTCCTCTATGGAGGAGTACTCGTAGCCTGCTTACTAAAGCCGATAGAGAGACTTCGTGTTCCAACATCGGACCAATGTAATCACGTACATATATTCCGACAGTCACTCTTCAAAACTCATCAAAAATAATTAGATCTTCTTTCAGAATGGCCTACTGTAACGGCGTGGGTTGCAAGAAGGCTGAGAAAGGCAATGGAATCTCTATATAAGCTGGCTGAACCAGCGGTCAAGGGAAGCAGGGGCTCCCTGGGTAAGCTAGTAGAGGTTTGCCACTTCCTGATGTATTTAATTCTCTGAGGTCTTCGGACTCTTGAAGGACTTCAAGAGTTGTTCTTGTTCCCAATTTACCTTAGTGGAATTGAGCCCTATGGGATACCACTCACACACCTGTCCTCTGGTAGCCTTCTCATATTAGTTCTTCTCTTGTTTACGGTAGCCCAACCGTATTGGACTCTAACCCTTACAGTTTTTAACTACGGGAGCGTTTAAATATACATAATATTTAGATTGAAACACCTCACTTTCTCTGACAAATGTTCAACAGTAATCTTAGGGACTTGTAAAACGATCTAGGATCCTAGGACTCCTAGATCATTGGCTCACCAAAATAAATTAAGCTCTCCGGGAAACTATCGTAGTAGGTCAGGGCTATCTCCTAGGAGCAAGGTCTAGAAGCTAATTGTTTCCGCCTTGTAGTATTTTCTAAGCATCAGCCTATATTAAGTTTCTGATAGTAGTATTAAGGTCTTTGTGCTATTATTGGCGAGGCAACTTGTCATTTTCGCTCCCTCATATCATGAAGAATGGCCCATCCGATCGGAACTAGCTCGGAGCAAGGTTAGAGATCGTGGTGTAAATTCGTCTAATGCCTAGGCCAGATGAAGTGCTTCCTAGGAGCTTACATCCCGAAATATGAATTGATAGACCAATCAAATTAAATACGCAGTAAGATTACCCCCTAAACAAGAGTGGCTCCTTCGGAGTCCTAGGATAAACGACCATTCTAGTGAAACCCGACATTTATTGATGGGATAATTTAAACAACCTGCATAGGAGGGGACGGGACTAGCGTGTTGTAGTTTATTAAGGTGCTTATTCAGCTCGCTCAGATTTCACTCAGTGAGCGAGTAGTCAGACTACTCACTGTGTGCTGAGTGGCATCTGATAACTACTCAGTGAGCAGATCAGGGAGCTTATGTAATGCTCAGACACGTGCTTAGTTCTACTCAGGGAGCAAAAGCAGCGAAGGGGTGAGCACTAATACGGAAGGGGAATGCCAAGAGCTAGCATGGAAAAAACGGTACCTAGGTAATACATGGATACCAATGTAGCTACTTCGATATGCTATCCTAAAAAGTGCCTAGGTGGAGAACTTTGAAAGTGAAATAATCACGCATCTATACATATATTCAAAAATACTCTAGTTTCAGCCATTACTCGGCTTTACTATAAGTGCCGTGCAATTCATCTATGTACAAACCTCCTAACCAGTGCTTATACCTCTATTGGTACGCATTGGTAATCTCGAGTTGGACTTTACCATTCTCAACACCCTTCACAGTGAGACTGCGCAAGTCCTCGACAATCCAGTCCGGCTTGGCCTCTTGGATCCTCTCCATCGAGTGTGTGGTAGTAAGAGCAATGACCTTGAATCCGGCTTCCTTGCCTGCCCGGATACCAGCTGGTGCGTCTTCGAGCACCACGATATTGGTGGATTCTTGAATGCCCAGACGCTCGCGGCCGAGGAGGTAGCAGCGAGGATCGGGCTTGCCTTGCTCAACGTCTGACGCAACAACCAACACTTTCGGGCGAGTGAGGTCTAGAACTTTTAACCAGCCATCAACCAGAGCCTGGGTGCCAGATGTGACGACTCCCCACTTGGCTCCGGTGTTATCGAGGGCCGTGAGAAGGTCACGGCCGCCGGGGATCTCTTTTGCATCTGAGCCCCATTTCTCGGGGATTTGACCTTCGATATAGTTGACGTCTGAATTGAAAGAAGTTTGTTAAATGTGTGTTTCACAAAGTGAATCAAAACTTGACCTACATTCCCAGTTGGCCTTGGTTTTGTCGTATAGTTGCATGACATCAATGCTTCGGCGTCCGTGGGATGTGGCCAGGATAGTCTTAGGGTCAACACCCATTTCTTCACCAATTCTATGTCATTTTATAGAGTCAGTATAATCCATCCCAGGAGCTTTCGGATTGGTGATCACTGACTGGTGCCAGTGCTTCACGATAGCTAGTCATATTGTAAGCTTCGGGTTCCGTCATAGATATATACGTCCATTTAAATGGTATCATTGATATTTAAAGATTACATACCATCTGTAGAGTCCACAATTGTTCCATCGAAGTCGGAAAGAAGACCGTCAAAGGCGTGAACCTGCGGGGGCGCAGAGAAAGATCCAGACATGGCGGGGGTTATTGTAGATGTGGGATGCGGCGGGTAAATTTCAGAATTAAGAAGAAAGATGGAGGAAAGTTCAAGCCAACAGGAGATTTTAAAGACAGCCAAAAGTCAGTGATTCGAGATATTAAAACAAAATAGCCATAAAGACGTAATTGGAGAAAGAATGGGCTGATTCGCCCTCGATTAGTGACCGGGTGAGACACATGGTTCGGATCTATCGGCGATCGGCATAACTGATTTTCCGCTTATCGAAATCTTGGCGCTCAACTTTTTCGATTCGATTTGTTAAACTCCAGACTGGTTACCAGCACACATTCTGGTCTTTTTCTTAGCTCAGATTTACAGTGCAGGCAAAATGGTCAAGCTCGGTAAGACCTCAAATATTCTGAGTCATTCAAAAATTCCTAAATCAATTCTCTGACTCTTTTTACAGGTGGAGGAAAACATTCCAAGCGGGTGCCAGTCCGTCTCAGACACAAGATTGAGAAAGCCTCTGTTGCCAAGCAGAAGAAGGCGAGAAAGCTTGCGAAGCAGGTACATATTCCCGAATCATTCCTTTGATGTCTTTTTTTTCTGTTGCGCTTCATGGGCCCGAATTCTTACATTTTTTTTTCTTCTTCTACAGAACCCAGAATGGCGGTCTAAGATTAAGAAGGACCCGGGTATTCCCAGTCTGTTCCCCTTCAAGGAGAAGATGCTCCATGATATCGAGGAGAAAAAGCGCTTGAAGATTGAGGACCAGGAGCGTATTCGCGAAGAGGCACGGGTCCGCCGCGCCGAGGCCAAGCAGGCAAAGAGTAGCGGCGGCGACCAGCCTATGGCTATCGTGGACGAGGACGACCTAGACGATGATATGGATGAAGAGGGAGATGAGTCAAACCCCATGGCCGCTCTCCTTGCCTCGGCGCGAGCTCGCGCTGCGGACTATGATGGAGAGCACGAGGTGGACGACGAGATGGAAGATGATGATGACGACGAGATGGACGAGGACGATGAGGAGGAGGGTGCTGTGACCTTTGAGGACGTAACTGTCTCTGAAAGTGCACCGGGTGCCTCCAAGGAGGGCTCACGACGACAATTCGACAAGGTCTTCAAGGCCGTCACTGATGCCGCGGATGTCATCCTATACGTGCTTGACGCACGCGACCCTGAGGGCACCCGGTCGAAGGAGGTTGAGCGCGAAATCATGGCTGCCGACGGTGGCTCAAAGCGGTTGATTCTCATTCTGAACAAGATTGATCTAGTTCCCCCGCCAGTGCTGAAAGCTTGGTTGATTCACCTGCGCCGATACTTCCCTACTTTGCCCTTGAAGGCCTCGAACGGCTCTGGCAACGCACACAGCTTCGACCACAAGCAGTTGACTGTCAAGGGAACCTCAGAGACTCTGTTCCGCGCTCTCAAATCCTACGCACACGGCAAGCAGCTCAAGCGCTCCGTCTCCGTCGGTGTCATTGGATACCCTAACGTTGGAAAGTCGTCGGTCATCAATGCGTTGACAGCACGCCTCAACAAGGGTTCCAGCAATGCCTGCCCGACAGGTGCTGAAGCTGGCGTGACGACTAACATGCGTAACGTCAAGCTGGACAACAAGCTGAAGCTGATTGACTCCCCTGGAATCGTATTCCCCAGCTCCAACGGCAAGACTGGCAAGAAGTCTAAGGAGAATGAGCAAGCCCGTCTAGTCCTGCTCAATGCCATCCCCCCTAAGCAGATTTTGGATCCCGTCGCTGCAGTTAACCTGCTTGTCAAGCGTCTGTCAGCCTCAGAGAATCTTATCACTAAGATGCTCGAAGTGTACGGCATCACCCACCTCTTCCCCACCAACGGAGACAAGACCACCGACTTCCTGATCCAGGTTGCACGCAAACGCGGACGTCTTGGAAAGGGAGGTAAGCCCAACATCGAGAGTGCCGCTATGACCGTGATCAACGACTGGAGAGACGGTCGCATCCAGGGCTGGGCCAGCGCACCTGTGCTGCCTGTCATCACATCTGTCGACACTGGAGCTAAGACTGTTGTCGAACCCGATGCGGATATTACACAGGTTGTCACAGAATGGGCTAAAGAATTCAAGATCGAGGGTCTATGGGGTAACGGAGAGGGCGAAGACGAGGAGATGGCCGAGTAGACGGTCAATCTTGAAACTGCTCTCTCTCTCTTTCATCTCTTACGAAGCCACTCATTATCGTTTTCGATTTCTTTGGATACCAAAAAGTAAGGCGTTAAATAGTTATATTTGGATGTTCTAGTATCTTCAATTAGAAGCATTTTCTCAATATGTCTGAAGACAACGAATTTACAAAATCATGAATAATTGCAACTCTTTCGATCTGTAATAAAAGATCCTGATGTCTCTAGCTCACTAGGAAACGAATTGTCTGTTTTGAAATGTATAAATCTCACAAAGCGGTCTACGGTGTAACCGCGCGACTGAGAATTCGCGTCACGGATTTCGCGTAGTGAACCTTGCAACTGCCGCCATCCACCAATTCCACTACCCATTTATCCCACCAACCCAAAATACCGCTGTATTGGTGGGATCAGGAGCTCAAAATACGGACATCACATCGGAGTAATCTCCCAAAAACCTGAAACAACATAGCAACGCCCCTCCAGGAAACTTTAGTCAATCCCGACTACCTTCGAAAGACGGAACCTACTACAACATGCCACCGCGAAAATCCACGTCCTCGGTAACTCCAGGTGATATAGACGACTCGAGTATGCTTTCGACCCAGGGACAAAGCACCGACAAGCCCATCACAGCGACAGAGCAGCAGATCAAGGCGCGAGCAGAATTGGGCGTCAGCGTAGATGTAAGTAGTGAAAGTGGCGAGAGAGATAATATGGTCGAAAATCATCTAAAATCTATATACTGAGTTCTTCTTCCCTTTCAGGACTACCTCCTCCCACGCTCGTTGACAATCCGTCTGGCTAAATCGGTTCTCCCGCCCAATACCACAATCCAAAAAGATGCCGTGCTAGCAATCCAGAAAGCGGCGACAGTATTCGTTTCATATCTTGCTTCTCAGTAAGGAGCGCCTTATACCCCTTTTCAAGGAGTAGTCTCTTGATATATTATTGCATATACTGACATTCTGAAAGTGCCAACGACGCAACCCTCAAACGAACCCTCAATCCCTCGGACGTCTTCAGTGCGCTATCAGAACTTGAATTTGACTCGTTCCGCGAACGCCTCGAACAAGAACTGGAAGCTTACTCCGAAATCAAAGCTGGTAAACGCAAGTCGAAGAAGTCAGATGGGGGTGAAGCGGCCGCCACCTCCGCTGAAGCAGCTGCCCCGCGGGACGATGACAATGATGTTGAGATGGCTGAAAATCCATCTAAGAGGGTGAAACGGGATTCTAAGGGTGTGGCTGCGGCGCAGGATGATGGGGATGAGACTCAAGAAGAGGAGTTGGAGGACGAGGCTGAAGAGGATGAGGAGGAGGCTGAAGAGGATGATGATGAGGAGGAGGACGATGGAGCTGATGAGAGGAGAGTTGAGTATGATGTTGATCGCGTTGAGGATTTGGATGCTAGGCCTAGGCATGTGGATCCTGATGCTGATGAGACTGATGATGATGATGGGCCGGCTAGTCAGCTGCGTGATAATATGGGACTTGGTTAAGATCGCTCTGTCTTCTTTGATTGGGGTTCCAATGTTGCTGGAAGATAATTTAGATACTTCATATAACTAGGTAATGATGAATGGATTCACACGCATTCAGTCGACTTTGAATGCCTGGAACCAATTGGACAGCCCTGGAGAGACCAGAGCAGGACCTTGGAGCACCCTGGGCCCTGCCTATATCTATGTCATTCTAGAGTTGTAGCTCAGCATTTCCACACTTCTAGGTAGTTGAAACATTGATTAATATTCAATAGCCATAGAGATGAGAAACATCCATTAAAACGTCAAATTGTATAGCTATTAAAAACTTGGATAACAAAGGGGGCGGACACCTTGGGTGAGCAACTACTCAGAGCAAAAACTTGAAGATTACCAAGGTATGCCCAGAGGCCGTTGCCTGCCCATGTCAAAATACATGGTGTCACTTGTGTGAGCAAATGTCAACATTGAAATGTAACTGTTCATCGCGGATCTCCAACTAGAAGTAGCATATGCCTATCTTCATATATGATTTGACACTGGAAAGTAATTTATGTTCTAGGAATGGTGAGGGAATCGTAAGTGAGATAGTATTAATAGTTTCATATTAATCCTCCAGACAATGCATGAGCAGGTTCCAATCAACATAAGTTGAATCCTACCAGATCGCTAATATTGACAAGAAAAAACAATCATCTGAGAATTTAAAGTCCAACAACATTTCTGGACAGTACAGCGGGTAGCTTAACTTCAACAGCAGTCTTCTTGTCTGTAGTTGCAGCAGCCTTTGTGGACTTGGTGACCTTACTGAAGGTGGTGATCTTTGCGGTCGCAGGTTTAGGGGCGGTCTTGGTAGCGCGCTTCTTGGGAGCAGCATCAGCAGCAGCAAGCTTCTTGCGAGGCTTTGGAGCGGTCTTGGATTTGACTCCCTTGAGCACATCATTGAGATTGCGCCCGCGACTGGCAGGATTTGACAGTTTGCCGGTCGCAGCCATCTTTTTCGGCGGCCCTATCTCGTCACTGGATGTAGGTGTAATGAGGCCTGTGTCTGAGCAAGGACGTTTGCGAGGGGTACTGATGATCACGGCAATGCCAGATTTCGTGTCGATCTGGGTCTCTGATTGCTCTGAAGAATCGCGCATTGGTCCAAATACAGGGTCTGGCAACATGCTGTAAGGTGTGTTGTCCTCCCAATTTTTCAATTGAACTAGGTTCGCGACATCATCTGTAGATCCTTGGACAATAAGATCGAAGCAGTTCTCAAATTCTTTGCCGACCGGCGGCTCGTTATTGATGAATATTGTGACTCCGTCCTTACGGCTGCGGATAGTACTGCACATGCTCTTCACAAGGCGGCGAACACCAGGGATCTTCAAGCTCGTTCCGGCAACGACGAGGACACGAGGACGAGATTTAACATCGGAATTCATGACAGCGGTAATGGCTTCCTCATCCGGGTTGTGCTCGTTATAGAGAACGATACGGGGGCGCATGCGACCCACACCATGGCTGCGTTGACCCAACGTTGTGCGACAGTCATCGACCTGGGAGCACTCATCACAATCAGGAGGATCAGCTTGATCAAACCTTTCGGGCTTGAGATCGCAGAGGTATCGACATTTCTGACAGACCATCTTCTGAATGCTGCCATGGAGTTGAATGGTTGTTGGCCAACCATTGGAATTGTGAAGGGGGATCTCGGTCTCCAGCGGCTTCATCGAAGTCTCTATGCCGTCTATGTTTTGGGTATAAAGGCGTTTTAATCGCTTCTCCTTGCCCAGGCGGGCCAACATGTGGTGGAATGGAGAAGGCTTGGTCTTGGCAGTTTCTAGAGACAGCGACCGGACCAGCTCATGAAATGGGGCGGTCAATTTCTCATCTTGGTAGACGGCAACATCAAAGAGGAGTTTACCAGATGCTTTCAGGTTGTGTTTTTTCTGAAGAGTTTTGAACAAACCATCAGCAGAACGGAAGTCAGGAACTATATGGCGCGGTTAGGTTAAGACGCGGGTAGAAGGAAAACAAGGAAAACTTACTGCCAGCGGAGGTGGAAATGCCGGCACCAGCAATGACGACGATATCCTTTTGGTAACGAAGAGTATCTACAAGCAATTGGGTTTGGTCCGATTGAAGATAAGACGACTTAGAAAAATCGAGGTATTGTGTGATGCGTTCTTTTGGCAAAGGGTTTCGTCGCCTTTTCTTTGCGGGTGGGCAGTCTTGGCGCGTAGAGTCCTCGCCGGCTTCGGCTTCGTGGGATATCTGGGATGACGGTGTGGGATACCGCTCGGATGCAGGTACTGGCTCTGGTGAAGAACGCGTCGAAGATGGTGCGGAACTCAAGTCCGAACCAATATCTGACACTTCATAGTAGGAGTTCATGATGTATTCGTAGGTTGAGGGTGGTCACACCCAGGGGGTGATCCGTTGGGTAGATGAGGGGGGGGGGGGGGGGGGGCGAAACAGATTGAATAGGATCAAAAGACAAGTAGTACGGGAGAATGTAATTTCATAAAAGATAATGCTTCGAAATAAAAAGTGCAACGAAGTTGGGTTAGGAAGAGTCAATGGGGAGAGGGAGGGTTGAAGAAGGAAGGAAAGGTTGAGGAGACTTCACGGACAATGAGGTCAAGTAAGCGGGAGAGGGGGTCAGGATAGAAACTCATAAAATAAGGAGAAAATGGAAAATTGAAAAATGTTAAAGCGGCCCGCTATCGAAGCATTTGTTTTGACCCACGGGATCCCGGAGGATTTACTTTTGGTACCGAGAGGAATGTGGTTGTGAGGTATCAGTATCGACTGGTATGCTTGAGGGTACAAGGGAATATAAGAAATATAGTAAAATAACGTGTGTCAAAGGTGGTTTGTCCTTGAACTAGGGCATGTCTCGTTACAACTGTCTATAGACGCGACGAGAATCCACAGCCCAGCGTTTAAGAGAGCTCCTAGGTTGAGTACACAAGGTTGAGTACAAAATCGACAGGAATATGAGGTGCAAGAAGTGGTAGAACGTGTGTTTGAGTCCCTAGCTCTATGTTTTGATCAAGGAGTGGGATCTTTCAGATTGGTTGTTTTAGATCCATTGGACTTTTGATACTCTTGATATTTCGCGACTTTGGCTATTTGAAGCGTATATATAGATCAAAGAACACGACCACAATAATTGATCCCTTCATATCAAACGACTAATCTATCAAGTACGCAATTGAATGAATTTGATTCTATATTTTCCAACTCAACAAATTTGATGTCAGGAAGCATTCTCATTGGATGAAAGTGGTTGGCAGGACTACCATCACGTGACCTAAATGATTTCATTGAAAAGGAAGAGGCTGTCATTTCTATTATTGGATTTAATTATTTATTTGATATTGTATCAATTTTGTGGTAATAATGATTAATTTCGTATAACATAGTACTGTATGTCTACTTGATACAGGTCCTGGTCCTTGCTCAGATCCGTTATCATCTTTCTATCGGGAACTTCCACTCCTCGTCATACCAACTCCGCCAAAGGTGGTCTAGATCGATCAGGCTATGGAGTAGCTCCATGACTGTCGACTTCTGATCAATATACATTTCATTACTCAATCTGCCAGATTTGATCTGAAGTTCAAGAATGCCTTTAATCATGGAGGAGACTATCAATGTTGATGATCTCTTCGGCGAGCCCAGTTCCCTGGAGCTCGGTTTGCCTTCTGCTCCTCAGTCCACCAAAGGTCTAGCACAATGTCTCGATGAGATGCGTCTTTTGGGATGCAGACAGTAAGTCGCATAAATTGTCATCACTCAAAGCTGATTATCCGAGACCTGAACTGACAATGCCCCTAGGAAGGTAGCTTGGTCTAGATTAGGATGCATCGCATACATATCTACAGATGGACTAGAGCTTTGCGTACGCCACCTGCAATGCAGTCCTACTGATGGCAAATGGTTACTGAGCGATGAGTTTCCCTTGGGTTCTATCATCACCGACGCCCACGGTGGTAGCCACCTCATGCACCTGTCCTGGAATGAGACTGGGTCAGAACTGGCAGTCGTTGATTGCTTGGGACGAATATCTATTTATTCTATTTCTATGGCTCTGAATAGTATAACTGGCCAGCGACAAGCCATCTTTGACTCTAGCGATGATAGCAACCAAATAGTCGGCATGATGTGGCTTAATACCAACCGCTCGGTAGGTATTCTTAATGGTACGAATATCTTAAGAGTTCAACTAATATATTTTCCAGTATCATGCTTTCCAACAAGCAGCCAAGGTGAATGGCCGATGGGCCTATACCCCATTCCGCAGGCGCCCAATTGGCCCTTTCAACGTGGCCAACAAAGGTGCCTTGGTTTGTGTAACTCGAGCGGGCCAGATCCGGCTTTTATATCAACATCCAGATAGTCGATGGGCAGAACTACCTGCTGAGTTAAAGAATACCCTCTATTCAGACAGAATCTTGACACATGCATCCATGATTTCAACGCAAGGTATCTATCCCTTTTGTCTTTAGTTATTGACGTCTATGACTAATGAATTGATACAGCTGGAATTTTGCTTGCCACATATTCAGTGTGTCAAAAGATATGTCTGTATCGAATCCACATTGCCTGGAATCCACCGCAATGGGATCCAAGTAACCCCAGACAAGTCCCTATCCCTACTTTCCGCTTTCTCCACTGCAAGATTGATATGCCATGTAATATATTTAGCGTCAATGGCCCTGAAGATCACACAGATCACTCATCGCCATTCCTCAACTCTGTTTACTCTTTGGCCCACCTGCAAATCATGCCAGGCCAGATTGATAGTCCGGGAGGATCAACAGCCAGCCCGTGGATCATGGCAGTCTTCTCCAAACCCCTCCATGCCACACCAGAATACCCTGACCAGCAAGGGCCTCCGAGTGTCATTGCACGCTGGCATTTAGACTCAGCGCCGCAGACCTTCCACCCCAAGTTTGATGAGGTTACCTCAAATAAGAGCAATGCACAACCCAAGGTTCGCCACGCATTCATCAGCGTTGATGAGATCCAGCTGACATCCATGATAGCCCAAGATTGAGCTACATCGGTTAGATGATATTCACTGCGATAAGTATATTATTTCGGTTGATGTGGTTGAGCACGGTACTGCATTAGCTTTTACACATGATGACAGTTCGATCTCCTTTTATGACATGCGAACCATGACCATTTTCAATGGCCAAGACGATACAAGCATGGTGACATGTTTGGCTCAAACAGGCTTTCAGTTTCCTTTGGACACACCAGGTCTTTCAATCGCATTTTCTCCCAACTCATGTGCAGCCGTGATATTAGATGCCGAGGGTCAAGCACAGTTGAGGTTTATGGAACATTCATTTGGTTCGGCAGCCGGTCTCTTTGACGAGAGTATGTATTCTTCGTCAAGCTTCAAAAACTTCATTGCTTACTAGGAACTAGGCAAATTTTCCGCTGCTATTGCGGCACTAACGCTGGCTTTCAGCCGTGGAAGTGGAGGTGATGTGAATACTGATGATATCTTGACAGTAGCCCTGAGACATCTCTCTTCAGGTAAGCTTTTCACAGAATTCTCATGGCATGAATCAGGTGCTAACAGTATCACTAGATGCCCAGGCATCTTTTCTTAGCGAAGTGTATCGTGCATTACCAGTCAATTGCAACTTTACCACTGAGCAAGACAAGCTCATGACCCATCCCTATATACCACGGTGCCTGAGCTTACAAGCTGCTCTGGGCTTCAGAGGAGATCTCAAACGTCGCATCACCTCATCCTCTGTGGCTTGGGCTATTCTTCAGCTTCGTCATGCTTCGGTGCTATTTGCCTATTTCCTCCAGAATAGCAAACAAGGACAAACCGAGGCCCATGATCCAGGTGAGCGTTAATCTCAAATAAAGCTTCCCTATGCACGGGCAATTTACTAATTTATTTCAAGAAATTCTACGAATGATCTGGGGCAACACTAAATGGACCCTTGATTTTTCCCACTATATCATGGCCGAGATATTTGATCTAACAGAACAGTTCGAAAGCACCTTTACAGATCAAGAAGCATTCACCAAAAAGTGTACGTATACTATACAGCCAATGCGAAAGGAGCTCACTAACATTTCTATCCCCAGTGAAAACTACAAACTCCCTTGCCCTTCTAGCTCTTCTCTCAAGCATGCCCAGAGCCTTCCTTCGCTTTATCTGCCGGGGCCTGCGAGGTGTGCATGCTAGTTTCACGGCCATAAACCCAGCAACCCTACCCAATGAGTCTCGCATCTTTTACTCCGAGATCTGCCAAACACTCGACTCCTCCCCAGTACGGATAGAAGTGTACGAGAAGTTCCTCGCCGGTGTCGACTCCGCCGTGAAACACGCCTACAACAGCGCAGGCTTTGGAGACGCAGAGCGCCCAGGCCCCGAAAAAGAACTTCTGGTCAACGCCCGTATCCCAGCAGTGCTAGTCCCAGCCGTAGCAATCCTCATGCGCCAGAACGTACCAGCCATCAAATCAGAGATCAACCGCAAAGACATAATCCTCGGCGACTACAGCTGGCTCGGTTTTGGTGACGATAAACGCACAGTGATGTACCGTAAAACCCGGAAAGTGGACGCTCTGAAGAAAATTCCGCTCCAGCCGCCTTTGCCTGTTGGGAGAAATGGACGAGTTACAAAGCCCCAGAAAAGACGGCGTTGTGTGCGCTGCTGTGAGGTTTCGGGCGATACTACCCTCTCTCGCTCGCTGACTTATTTCAAGATGGTTGCCAAGCTTACTTTGTTGAGGTCTTGTCCGTGTGGTGGTATGTGGACTTTGGAAAATGATTCTAGGCCGGATCAGAACGGTGCTTCGCAAGCACGGTCTGTTTTGCCGCGGACTCCGGCTATGGGTATTGCTTCGGAGACTTGAGAAGTTTTCGCTGTTGTATAAGTTATGGCTTCGTTCTTGCTTGAATCAAAATTTTGGAAGATCTAAATATCAGCCGCCTGGACAATTCGCCTCTCAATGATCAATTAATAACTATAGAATTCACTCCATGTTTGGACGAGAAAGAACTAATAGTATCACTAGAAGTAGGTATATAACACTCGGACATTTCTTGCTATGCCTTCAGAAGTATCACTGACTGGTAATAATAACATTGGAAGTGCGTAGCTGGTCTACAATACGACATTGACCGTTGACAAAGCATGTTATGTGCACCATGGCCTCTGCATAGGTAGAGAGGGCTTTGGGTTGGCTCTGGGTTTTGAGGTATTGATATAGGCTGGTCTAGATTGCACCTTAGAAGCACTCCGTACCCTAGGTACAATTATTCTATAGAGATTAAAAGGTCTAAAGTGTTAAAAGTGTCATGTCATGTCAGAGTCGATTTGCATCCTTCTTAAGATACATAATCAAATTCCATTTTTGGATGTAAAAAAAAAGAGAAAACCGACCCCGCCGCAAGGTTTCAGGTCCACACATGCATACGGCCTTCTTTTATGTCCAAGGGCAAGCAACGTCTTCCCACGAAACTCCAGATCCTATCAAGTTTTTTTTGACTTAAGCCTATTAAGTCTATTGTCAGTGGTTATTCTTGTAGGTCGTTTGTGCCGGGAGAGGTAAGATTCCGATAGTATCGTATGGATTTTCTCATATGAAACCTCAGAAAATGCTGGAAAAGGTGATTCTCATACCTTAACAGCGTACTTCCGCTGGGGGAAGTGGATCTGGCGCTTGCGCTGCTTCTCAGTAGTGCGGGTAGCCTCGAACTTGGTGAGCTTGCGGCGCAGCTCACGGGTGAGCTTGGGGCGGAGGTCAAGAGGGGTGTACTTCTTGCCCTTGTAGAAGAGACGCAGCTGAGCGCGCTGGTTGGCGTTGATAACGGTCAGGACACGGGCGATAGACTTGCGGACATCGTGGCTGTTTCGAGAAAAAAATTGTCAATACTCTGGATCCAGTCTATAAAATTTCCTCCTGCGAATCGAATCCATGTCGTCGGGGTTATGCATCGTTTTTGCGATTGTTTCCTTTCGTTCCCTTGGATTCCCATTCTCTTGTTTAAAATTTTCATCTTGTCGCTGCTCCGATCGCACAACCCCATATTTCGGCATTTCGATTCATTCGTAGGAGGATGGGTTCAATATCGAATACGCACATGCGCAGAGTCTTGGAGTTACCACCGTTGGTGATCTTCTGGACGCGGAGCTGGTTAAGCTCGGTCTTCAACTCTTCCAACTGCTTGTGGAGATCCTCCTTGTTCTTTCCCCAGAGCTGACCAGCCTTGACCTTGGACGACTAGACGCAGAGAAACTATGAGTATGACGTTCGGGCGATGGGACTGACGGATCTACATACCATCGTGGCGGCTTTGTTGTATGTGTTGTCGGCGTTGAGAATTGAAGATGTCGAGTCAAAATGTGGTTGTGGGACTAGGGCTAAGCGAGTAGACCGCACTAACCGTACACGTGATGTGGCCACCCATTTTGTTTGCAGCCTATGTTTTAAGGCATGAATTTATCAAAATTAAGGCACTACTATATCTCCACATCGGGTTAGACTGGGGTACCCTTACGTCGTCGCTACCCTTTAGAGTAAATCTGGTATGTCCGGGGACAAAACTGCTCGGAAGTTCTTCTAACATTCTTGTGTGTGTTCACACATATCTCTAATGACGTCCACCAGCTCTGGATGGGCGCAGCTTCGCCAACAAGCGCGGTCGCTTGAGACTCAAGTATATCATATTTCGTCCAAATCTAGCCCCGTACTCAACGACTGACTTGAAGCTCCTATAGACCGAGAACCTTTTCCACAACTATGCACAATTTGCATCGCTCACAAAGCCTCCTCCTGAACCCACAGAGGAGGAGCTACGAGTCGAGTCCCAGTTGAAAGACCTCCTGGAACGTGTATGTGCCTTCTACGCATTCAAAATCAAGTATACATAAGCAGCAAGACTCATTAAAATACCTCTCAACAGCGTGATTCACTCATCTCCCAACTATCTCGCCTCCTCGACTCCGAAGCTACCCTTACCTCATCCGCTCTAAAACAGAATAACCTCTCTCGCCACCGTGAAATCCTCCAAGACCACCGCCGCGAGCTTCAGCGACTAGCTTCTGCTATCTCCGACTCTCGTAATCGCGCCAACCTTCTATCCAATGTCCGCTCTGATATCGATGCCTATCGCGCATCCAATCCCAGCGCAGCCGAAGCCGAATATATGCTCGAGGAGCGCGGCCGAGTCGAGAACAGCCATAACATGATGGACGGAGTGCTCAGCCAAGCCTATGCTATCAACGAGAACTTCGGGATCCAGCGCGAGACTATTGCCAGTATCAATCGGCGCATTGTCGGTGCAGCGAGCCACGTGCCAGGAATGAACTATCTAATTGGGAAGATCGGAACCAAGAAGAGGCGGGATGCCATTATCCTGGGATGCTTCATCGGATTTTGCTTCTTCATGCTGCTCTTCTTTCACTAGAAAGTCGTATTTTTGGCCTTTATTTATTATTCCCAACACTTTATCTCGTTACAGCCGTCCAGCGACCTGATTTCTTGTTGATTTTACTAGGCGTCTGGGGTTTCGCATTGCCTTGCTGACAGGAGAATAATCTTGTATCTGGCTTGTGATGACATCTTATGTTCTCTTTTATGCTTCATTTCTATTCTACTTTACACATTCTTTATTATCTGTACAAATCCAAGAGAGGGGAGAGTCGCACCACCCATATATCTATCAATATATGCCCGTCGTAGTCAATGTTCACAATTTCTGTGCCTCGGTAATCAGCTTTTCCAATCCAGCATTCAGACTTTCCAACTCCTCTGGCTTGGCCGGGCCACTTCCCGCCCACCGAATCCGACAATCGGCATCAACAAGGTAAACATAGCCGACAACCTTGTTCATCATACCGACAGCCTCCTTCAAAGATTCAGTAAAGCCCTTCTCCACTAGGAAGTAGCGCGAATGCTGCTCTGTGGGGTATTTTTTACGCAAACCACCCATAAACCGCTTCACAATCCATGCTCTCATGGTTCCCTCTTCCAGATTAATATCGACCCTTTGCGCGATCTTATGCTTAGCCAATAGCGCTGCCAGTCCGGGGTTCTGGTCGGCGTCGGTAAAAGACTTTGTTTGTTCCTCGGCCCATTCGCTGCAGAATAGACGCACTACACTGAGCTTGCCCTCCAGGACGAGGGTCGTATCCTTCGCTTGCTTCGGGGATGCCAGTGTTATTCCGTGCAGATTGGGGAAGAACAAGGCTTTATCGCCCTTGAACAGTCGTGGGTTTGATAAGAAGGTCTTACCCTCGTGAAATCGCAAGTTTGACCATTCTCTAAAATATGGTTTCGCAACTAGTCGCGTTCTGTATAGATTGGCGCTGGTTAGCTTCTCTCTTAATTGAATATTTCAGATAATCAATTGCCGTCGCATTACATTGGAAATCATTTCCCAATGCCTGATCACAGGTTGAAGTGGACTAGTCAACCTACAATTCCTTCCGGCGCGCAATATGTTTATCATAGTCGACAAAATCGTCTCGTCGTTCACGGAAAGTGCGTGAGTCGACTCCCGTATTCTGTCCCGCAAAAGGTCGATCTGGTGCTCCTATCGGACGGCTCAGTACCGGGAGTACGAAGTCTGCATCGCCTGGCTTTGCATTTGGACTCGCGACCGGATTTCGCTGGAAAGAAACAGGGCGCTTTGAGGGGTTATCTGCCTTGGGTGACGGAGATGAAGCTGTGACTGCTTCATTGCTTGAAGATTTATTCGAGTTGCCTGTGGCGTAAAAGCGTATAGATGAGGTATATGGGCGCAAATGTGTAGCCGCGGTTTTGTGGAATTGGCAGCTCAAGCAACGGCTACTTTGGAGAATAATGGCCTCCGAATTGAGAATAGTGGAGATTGGTGACTTCCACATGCTGGGCTTGACTGCTGGAGGGCCAATGGGAAACCCTTCAATGCCGAGATGCGAGTTATGGCTCAAACTTTTTGGCCTCAGCTATTTGGCAAATATCATTAAGTCCCGTGACTTGGTGGCACTTTGGCGCTTTTCGCGTCGCAGGTTTCCGAACCTTGTAAATGACTAAATTTGTATACAATAGATATGCAATAAGGTATTAAAGGGGTATGAGTCTGCGATTTCTGTGTTTTTTAATTTCAATAAATATCAAAAAGTGAAAAAATAACTGCTAAAATATATGAAAACCCACCAGACGACATTCATGAGGGCGAGATGAGGCACGCGTCCATGGGACTTCACCTCTGTTATTTCGGCAATTCGTGTGTCAGATATCCAATCATCTGACTTTCGAGATTCATGACCAAAAGCTTTTATGGATTGATGTAAATCATCATGTCTAGGCTCAACAAGGCAGACTTCTTTGCGGTCCTTGATCAATTAGATCACGATGACGATGACGACCCTGAAGATGAGTCTTTTGAAAGGCTGGTTCAAGGCTTCCCGAGGGTGGTTGCTGCCTTGGACGATACAGACTGTCCCAAAGCGCTTACTCGAGCAAACACTGAACCATCTCCTTCTGTCCCCCTTCATCCTGACATCACACGCTCCGAGACAACAAATATGTCACCAAAAGCTACAGGTCCTGCTTCAAAGAAGAGGAAGACCAACAGTTTCAAAGCCGCACCCCAGGAACAGCAAATTCTGAGAGGTCTGGTATTCTGTAAGTACCAACCTATTTGTGGATCGAAAGCATATAGCTGATTACCTTCTTGTCTTCTTCCCAAACAACGATAAGTCTCCTATTCGTCGACTGCGGATCCAGCGAGTACAGGAGTATGGAGCCACATGGGCTCATGAGTGGATAGGGAATATCACACACGTCGTTGTTGAAAAGGGAATCAAGTTCAAAGAACTTTTGTTTCATCTCAAACTGGATTCTCTTCCGGTAGGCCCATACTGAAGATAATTGGGTGTTTAGCCTTGTTAACCCAATTCCAGGACAAGATGATCATTGTAAATGACACATACCCTTCTGAGTGTATTAGATTTCGCTCCATCCTGAGTCCAGCATACGCGCGATTCCAAGTGGAGGGCGTTCAATCTGCCGAGAAGCAAGACCCCGCCATGCTTATTGAAGGTGAACCAAGCTCTACCAAATCTTTTCCGCCAAAATCACCCATCAGGGAAGAAGATTCGCCTCCAAAGTCATCTGGATCTGTATCTACCGACAGACAAATTCCAGCAGCTCCAACTCACAAAGCCATGAACACGGGGCTACCAACCTGTGAACGTGATGCCTTGGATATAATCATTGATGAAGCCAAGGCGATCCAACACCTAGTAAGAGACATATAACTTTATCAAATCGATCTGCTTATAATGAATACCACTAGCCCCTCGACCTAGACTTCCTCGACGAAGACAGTGAAAATGAATCCGGCAACGAGACCTCCAGGTCTTCGAGTTCCGAAAGGCCTCAGAAAAAACGCCAGGAAGAGACTAAAGCTCCGCCCACGAAGGGATCTTGGGAAAAGAACTTTGCTTGCATGCAAAATTTCGACTCTACTGTGAAAAAAAATAATGTAAATCGCAGGACCATCGAAGTCCTCCAACAACTGCTGGACTATTATGACCGAACTGCGGATCACTGGCGGATAATTGCCTATCGAAGAGCGATCACTGCGCTTGGCCGACAGGAAGTCAAGATCATGACTCGAGCGCAGGCCCTAGCTATCCATGGGATCGGACCACGATTGGCGGACAAGATTGAGGAGATAGTTCTTACTGATCGTCTCCGTCGATTGGATGAAACAAAATTCAGTGTAGAAGACAAGCTCATCCAACAATTCCTTGGGATATATGGTTGTGGTCTTGCCCAGGCTTCTAAATGGGTGGCTCAAGGCTATCGATCCCTTGATGACTTGCGAGATAGAGCACCGCTAAGCAAAAACCAGCGTATTGGACTGGAGCGATACGATGACTTCGCCATACGAATCCCTCGAAAAGAGGTTGAGGGACACGGTGCAATTGTCCGAGAAGCCGTCAAGAGGGCGGACGCTGACATGCAGGTTATACTCGGAGGATCTTTTCGCCGCGGGGCTCCAGACTGCGGCGATATAGATTGTCTAATCACGAAGCAGAACTCCTCTCTTGAGCACATTCGTGACTTGGTCATGAATCATGTGGTCCCCAAGTTGTTTGAGGACGGGTTTCTCAAGGTTGGCCTAGCCTCATCGCGACAAGCGGGCGATGGCTCAAAGTGGCACGGAGCATCTGCTTTGCCTGGTAACAATATATGGCGACGAATAGACTTGCTTTTTGTACCAGGGGCGGAGTACGGGGCTGCCCTCTTATACTTCACAGGAAACGATATCTTCAATCGCAGTATGAGACTACTCGCACGAAAGAAAGGGTTATGCCTCAACCAGCGAGGTCTCTTTGCAAATGTGATCCGTAACTCTGAGACTCAGGTCAAAACTAACCCGGGTGAATTACTTGAGGGTCAAGACGAACGCCGAATATTTTCATTACTTGGGGTGCCGTGGCGACCTCCAGAGCATCGAATCTGTTAGTCGGTTCTATTACTTTTTAATTTTTAAATAATTCATTCCAATACATTGGAAATTATGAAAATACTTTTTTTTTTAAAAGAAATTAAGTAATAATATTTATAGGGGGAATTAGAATAACAAAAGCTGCATCTTCCGCTGCAAACTGGAAGATTCCCATATTTTCCCCCCCTAAAAAAGTGTGACCTCACCTCTTCAGTTTCTTGACTTTAGACTTCTCCCATTCCCCTTCTCTGCACCCTTCTCCATCCCCATTTCTCTATCTAAATCCATCAAAGTTCTTCTTCATCTTGATAGTTCCCTCATCACCGCCTTTGGATTTTGTTCGTGACCTTCCCACCGCCTTTTCCCTCCGCTTTTCCTAGTCATCACCGCCTTGTGTGCGGTGAAGCTTCTTGTTGTCAACTCCCCTGGTTTCTTCCCAGACCGCCCTCTACTGCCCGGTATTGCCGCCTCATATCGAATATTGTTCATAGATCATCGGATCAAAGATCGATCGCTGTGACTAGGGCGTTGCCTGGAAATTCGTTTCATCGTGGTCTTCAGCACACGGTCGCGTCTTTCCCTCAGGCCCCCTCTCCGCCAGTCGATTCCCAAATCGCGTGTTTGGTCAACGATCGCGTCTTGTTCATCGACCGATTGTTATTCTCGAAACAGCAATTGCTAATTCACGCTTTCGTGGAAAGCCTGAATTGACAATTCATAAAATATTTTCAAGGATATCTCCGATCCTTTCCTCAGTCAAAACATGGGTCGCAAACCCAACGCTCTCATCTTGGAGTTTTTCACTCGAGGCGCAAAGCTCGAGGACTCCAGCAACCGATACCATCACACTTGCAAAGCATGTGGTGAAGAGTTCCCCAAGGGACGTATCGATAGCTTGACCAACCATCTCGTCAAGAAGTGTCAGGCAATTTCTCTGCGTGATCGTAAGCGTGTGTTGCTCCGACTTCACGACCTCGACCCATCTGAGGTTGACGGAGAGTCTGATAAAGGAAAATCTGATTCTGGGTTTCCTAACCCCAACGGCCCTAACTTTGACGGCTTGAACGTCTTGGCTGAGGCTTCTCGTCAAGTGGGTGCTTCGGACACCACCAAGCGCGGATACCAGTCTGTCACATCTGGTGGCAAAATGGTTGTCGTTGACCCATCTCTTGAGGAAGGCTATCAAGGCCAGACCCAGCAGGGCTCTCCTAATGGTAAGCAATTTGACTGCGTGTGCACGGATGTGCACGAAATTCAAAAATGTTAAATGAAGCTAACAGTTTGCAGGATCGCCTCATCACTCCATCCCAGCTCTGCCTAGCCACACTTCCGGTGACCATAACTCCATGTCTCCTACTATGGTCCACCAGTCTATGTCTCCTGAATCTGCTGCAAATGGTCTGCAGTCTCAATCGCTATCTTTGATTGCAGCTTCTGCTAATGAGATGGTCCCCCAAGGTCTTGTGGATGGAGAACATGACGTAAAGATGTCCTGGAACCCCCATCTGACTGAGAATGAGCAAATTCTGTTGCGCAGCTTGCAAGAGCATGACCCTACCCTTACTGCCACCACACAGCGTGCTGCAGCATTCCCGCGTCCGATTGCCATGAACCCTAACACACAGGCCAAGGGATTTGTGAATGAGTTTGGTAACTCAACAAAGCCTGCCAAGCCCAAGGTGCGTGGTCGCTTCACTGCAGAACGCCGCCGTGAGGTCCAAGAAGTTCGAAAGCAGGGTGCATGCATTCGTTGCCGCATGCTCAAGAAGCCAGTAATTATCTCTTTTCATTTTCCATTGTTTGGGATTTTTGTTGATTCATCGCATAGTGTTCCGGTGATACTCCTTGCACTACTTGTGCAAGTGTGGAGAGTGCTCGTTTGTGGAAGCAACCTTGCATCCGGACTCGTCTCGCTGAGGAGTTTGACCTTTATAATGCTAGTACGTCTCAAACATCCTCGAGCTTTGAGCATTATTCATTACTAACAAGAATGTAGACCTTCACACAACTCTCGCTTATCATGATATCAGTGCTATCAAGAGCCAAATCAAGTTTGAGCATTATGGTGGCCGCATTGATGTGACGCACGCTGAGGAGAGTGGGGTGATGTTTATGACTGCCACCGGCTTGCAGGGCCACCGTACCTCAAATTCAGCGCTTGATCCGCAGCTCCAGGCCATTGGTGACCAGCAGTTCTCAGGACAGTCCCAAGAGATTTACCTGCTGGACACTGACGCTGAAGATGTCACCGGCAAGCTTGAGATTTATCTGAAAAAGTCGACTTCAATGTTTATCGACCGTGAGACTTCTCCTCTCATTAAGCCTACCATGTTGATGGCCGCAGAGCTTCTGCAGGAGAAGAAGGTAAAATTAACTACCCTCAATACGAGGACTGCCCTTGCTAATATTTGATTGCTTAGGATCCCCTTCTTGAGCGCGCTATAGAGCTGTGGGTTGCTACCCATATCCTTGTCAACACCGATATCAGCTGGAAGGCCTTTATCAACCCCAATTACCCTCCCACCTCTATGCATTTGACCCAGCCCAACGAAGAGGGTCGCATTCCGATTAAAGACCCAGAGTCGGTAGCATTATTGTGTTGCCAGCTCCGTGCTGCTGTGGAGAAGCGCGCTATGGCCTTGAGTAAATCTGTGATTAATGACTTGGAGCGACGCCTGTTGCAGCGCCAGAAGTCTGGCTGGTTTGAGACTTTCATGATCGCCATCGTCCTGCTCAACGCAGTCGAGCGTACCACCTGGCTGTACCGCTCCTGGGACAACGAGTCATTTGTTCAGCGCGTAAGTGATACTCCATTCATTGGTAAATTGTCAACATCCTTACCTCATTCATAGTGGCCTCTGGACAAACGCCCTCCGTTTTATTACAATCAGTCTCAACGCTTTGCCGATATCCTGGAGATGTTGTTGCGCATGCGGAGCCTTCCCCCAAGACCACTGTTCGCCCTGAAACTGGCACTCTACGTATGATTGATGGCAGTGAAGAGCACGCCACCAAGTGGCTCGACTTGATCCAGGTTACTCGTGAGTTTCAATGTTCTCCCCTTACTATTTGAATTCACTTGGACTTAAGTTAACCATCCGTTTCTAGCATTCTTTATCGAACAACGCATGAGTACTGCCTTCGATCCAAATGATACACGTTCTCTTGACTTCGTGCACATTGCTCGGCTTCTTATGCCGCCTGCCTAAAGCTTCTTCCCTTCGTCATTGACAGCAGAGTCTGTTACTGTGCTGGTCACCGCACGGGGAAGATGAGCCCAGAAAGAAAGTTCGAGAAAGCAAAGGAGAAAAAGAAGGAAGAGCAGCATCTATATTTTAACCGATCTGAATAGGTTTTATTAGTATTGCTGGAGGAAAAAGGTGTTGAGGGGGTTATGTGGGGATTTGATTTTTGCTCTTCTTATGCTTAACTATTAATGACCCATACGGTGTACTCAACATGAGATTAACCAAACGTTCTTCCATAAGTAAATCCCTTGAAGTGAAGCACTGGATATTCCGAGGTATTTTAATACAAGTTAAGAATCCCGTTGACCAGTCACCACCACAGACGACGACTTCTTCTCGATATGCCCTCTGTTCGGCACTTAGGCCTTGCTCTTGCTCTCTCGGTTCCTCCAGCTTGCTCCGGATAGCTTCAAATGAGAAAACATAAAACATATATAATAAATCTGGTATCAAAATTAATACACTGTACAGAGAAGAGAGATAAAAGGCTTTCTCATCTCCACTTCAGCTCGCTCACTCACTCCCCAAGGTGCCACCTCAAATAGTTGAATCCTGAGGACTCTGCAATTGCTCCAACAAAACAGCATAGAACTTCCCCTCTTCCGAAGTATCATGGTACGGACCAGCAGAAACAACAGCCCTGAAAATGAAGAAATTAGCTCTGTTCCATCAAAAAGTCCAAAGAAGTGAAAACATACCACCCTTTATACTTCGGCTGATTGAAAATATCAGTAAAAACCTTCAAGATACGAAGCGGTAATTCTAAAATAGACGGTAACTCAGGCCCATCACCACAGATAGGAAGACCTAGTTTGTTGACAGGGACGTAGAGAATTTCAGCGATATTTTGCGGATTGCGCGTCTCTTGGAAGATTAGCAGACGGCGGCCTGGTTTTGGGAATCTGCTCATGATGCTTGATCTTGAGACTCTGCCTGTTTGGGACTGTTGTTGGAGTTGGATATTCGGATCTTGATCTAGTTCCATTCGAAATTGATGGATCCCAAATTGGGAGGAGGGGCAAATAAAAGCCCCTCGGTTTTTCGATGTCTGTAGAGAACAAAGAACTCAAGCTCTGTATTGTATTTGTTAGTATATCAACGTTGGTCTGAAAATCGTCTTTTATATCTTACTGCTCGATTTTGTGCGCGACAGAGGCTGCTTATCGGGTTTGATAACCCAGATAGGACGCGGGGCAGAAAAAGGGGGTCGACGATTGTGTACACCGTACACTCTGCCGGTACCAAGTTGATATTCAGACTAGTGATAATTAGAGGCTTGACTCCTTGAGGTTGCAACTTGTTGGTAAAAAAAGAAGAGAGTTGAATAATGTTTTTCGTCGCGAGGTGGGGGCGTGACGAGGTGATGAACCATCAATCTACAAAGAGTGAGGAAAATCGATACTTTTTTGGTGGAAAAACTACCGCTGGAATATCTAATTAATTTGAAATGCCTCATTTATAGAGTAAACAAGAGAGAAACACGCAAAGTCGATGCCCTTGGGATCATGAAAATGGAAAACTGGGTCGAATAAGTATATCAGGTGAAAAAACCAGTGGGTATCATAGCGAAGAGAAGAATGTAAACACATATATAAGACAGAAAGAAAGAAAATATGTATGTATAAACTCCATCAAGTATCGAGCTCGCCGTCAAGAACTCTCCGCGCCGCATCCAGTCGTCGCCGGAGAAGTCTTGCAGCTTTCAGATCCGGATCAGGCGAGGATGTGATAGCCTGCAATTCCATGCAGACATTACCCAGACTGGCAAATAGACTTTCCAGCGTCTGGGTATCGTCTTCATTAATGCCAGGGTTGGGAGAGCCTGGATGCGGACTCGCAGCTGCTCGAACGGTTGAAACAAGAGAGGAGGCAAGAGCTGTCGGTGTTGCTGGCTCGTGCTTGGAGGCGCGTGGAGATTGCTGCGGGGTGGTGGTTCCGCTGCCAAAGTCTTGAGATTGGCGAGGAGATTCATGAGGAGTTTCGGAACGGATGGTATCAAGATCTGGACTGGTTGCTTGGTGGCGATGGCGAAGTTCTGTGGAATGTTAGTTTGTGGAAGTAGAGATTATTTTGTATACCATTGACTCACCAAAATTGAATCGACGATCCCAGTACAGTACACCGCCAATGTCATCTTCTCCGTTTGCCATCTGATCTCCTTCGACTGCTGTCGCAAAGGTATCAACCGTGGAAGTGGACATTACACTGTTTGTGCGCGACATTCTTGCTCGTGATGGTGCAGGTCGAGAGGTCTCGACTGATCGCCGGGAACTGATACTTGGACGTTTGGCTTTGTGACGAGAGTAGTTACCCAATGCACTATGGAGAATGAAATGCTCGTAGTCGAACGCATCTTCACGTTCCTCGTGGGGTCTTGTGTCGACCATGCACTCATCATCTTCGAGCGCCTGTAAATCTTCGTCAAGCGGCTCGCGCAAAATTTCATCCAGAGCATCTCGGTCGATGTCTCCCGGATCAAAGTAGTCGCCCTCCTCCGCATCTTCGTAGCTACTCATTGTAGACTGATTTCCACCGTCAAATCCATATTGGCTCAGCCGATTGCGATCGACAATACTGCCACTTCGCTGGGATTCCTGAGTGTTATTTTGGTCCTTCACATTCACGCTCTCGTGAGAAGCCCGTGGCTCATGAGCATACTCCGAATTTGAGACTCGTCGCGAGCCAGAGCTACGGCTACTTCGGCCATCACGGGTCTCCAGGCCATTTGAATACCAGGGATCAGCCGCCGTCAAAGGACTCGGTGTGCGTAGACTTTGAATACTACGTCGGCGCATGTTATCCTTCTGGTTCTTTACTTTGAGCGACGAAATTTTGATGTGAAGCCCTTTCATCTGGTACTGCAGGTCACGGACCTGCAGCTGAGACTGGGCGCGACTGGGCGGGCCAGAGCCGCTATAGCTTGGACTTATATACCCTGAATAAGATTTGAAGTCATCTTCTCCTATATCCGGATCCGCTGGTGAATCCAACGGGCTATAATCTTCAGGGATCGGTGACTCAACAGGCGGTGGGGATGACGTTGGTTTCGGCAAGTCTTCCTTGATAGATGGAGGGCGGTTCTCTAAGGCAGATGATCGGTGCGTCAAGTATGATCGCGTAGGCCCATACTGGAACGACCGCTCATCTTTATGAAAGCTTGTTACACTGCTTGCCCCCATTGCACTCACGGAACGAGACATGCGTTTATCACTCGGAGAGGAGGCATCGGAAGGAAATTGCATGTCGCTGTGCACTCGAGAATGTCGGGTGGTCAAGTAGTCCTTCGAAGAGTTCAACGATTGTCGCCGAAGAGCGGAGGCTCTACCAGTTCGTGAAATTGATTGATATAACCCACCAACAGGCTTGTGAGACCCAATGGGTGAATTATACCCAGCGGCCGATGGAGACGGAGAAGGACTGAGGCGTACGGCCGTACGAGCACGGTTAAGATTGCCTTCCATGAGCTAGCAGAAACAAAAATCAGCATTCCGCATAAATTGGCGTCCCCTTCATAGCATTGATCGATCTCTACATACCGTCAATCGTTTCTTTGCATTTTCCAGAATTCTCTCCGCTTCTCTACTCAATACCACCGACGAGTGCTCCTCTCCAGGAGCCTTGACCTTTACAATAGAAGCGATGAGACTACTATCAGGTAGCCCACCATTAGCAAGTTTCTGAGAGTCTGCAGCCACAGATTGAATCGGAGAAATGTTGCGACCGTTCGGCGCAATCACACTCCCCGCACTCAAAGTCGATATCAGGCTCGGGCTCGAGTTCGAGCTATTCAATTCCGAATTCTCACTATTCCCACGAGACGATTGATCTAGGACAGTCGAAATTTCCCGTCCCTGTTCCTGCCCCTGTCCCTGTCCCATCCTCTTATCGTCATCCCTAATAATCTGCCTTGGCGACGTCTCCTCGATATCTGGTAGGCGACGGTTGAAATTGACCTCCTCCTCGTAGGCTCGGGCGTGTCGCGAAATTTTTTTCTTTGACCGGCTGCCCGAGGCAGTTAAAGAATAAGGGTCCTCGTTATATCGCGCGCTCAGGTTGGACAGGTAGACCAGCTGTGAGGGCGGGGACGGGGTGGAAGATTCGCGTTCGCTGCCATTGTAAGGTAGGATCATATCCGGGTCGGTCAAGGTAAGGGACGCCATGACATTGGGCCACTCGGCCTGAGGTTGGGTTCAAAGGGGGGGGTTTTATGAGGTTGTGAAGAAGAAAAGAGAAAAGGGCAAAAAGCCTCGGCCGCTCTTTCAACGGCTTTGCCCTGAAAAGATGTTGCCCCCTGCTAACGGAAGGAGTTATAAACGGTTTAGCGTCTTTCCTGATATGGAAAGAACTCCCTTTTAAGTTGTCAGTTAATAATTATTATTTTCTATTTAATTGTGCTCCTTCCATGGACTCTGGGCGTGTCTGATAACTTGTTAGACATGTCATAATCTAGTGGCGGATATAAGAGAAGTTTAAATGTGATATAGTTATTATTATAGATATTTACACGGAAGTTAGTTAGACAATGACTATTGTAATTTAGTACAACATTTCATTGTCCAGCTATTAGTGCAACCTGAAACAGCGAGGCTCTTAGATTGCAGTAGTTTTAGTTCTTAAAACGAGAATGTAGTAGACTCTCTCCACCTTCATGCATAGTATTAGCCCTAAGTATCAGAGATCACTTAATACTCCATCCAAGGTTTCTAATATATACATACCCCCTGAACACCTCAAAGTAACCTTGGAATACCTACTGCTACTAGTTAACTACTAAGTAAATATTTAGATGCTAACTAACTACGGAGTAACTACTCTGTATCTAGTAAATAGTTACTCCATAAGTACTATCTTTAAACGTCTGAAGGCGTCTGAAACGAACCCCTGAAATCCACCAACGCGGTATAAGAACCCACACTAGGTGGGGAATCTATTTTCTAATAAAAAAAGGAATCACAGAACAAAATTGGTAGGCTTTTGGGTCACGAAAACTCCCTATACGTAGTACATGAAAATTGTATGGAGAACGTAGAAATTATAGCTTCTGAAGCAGTAGCTTTGATCCACTGCTAGCCGGGCCCTTGCCCGACGCCGAGGCCTGCTCCAGCGCCTTCTTGTTCTTCTTGAGAGTCTTCAACAACTCGCTCTTCTTCTCGAAATCATCCGATTCAATCAGTGCAACCACAACGAACACACTAGCGCCAGTGGCCCACTCCATAACCTCCTCCTTGATCTGCTCATATAGGAGACCGTGGAAGTTCAATAAGGGCTCCACCTTCTCGACAGTCTTCTCCGCTGGACTGAAGCGACCACCCTGTACGAGAGACTTGAGGAGGCGGCCCACGGAGGCCGAATCGCGGACTTCGGACTTGGCCTTGGCTGCCACGGCGATGGCTGACAGAGCGGCGTTCTTGTCACCGTCGGCTTCGAACAAAATCTCTCCAATAAATTGGCAGCCAACGGTAGATTCCAGAAGAGCTTCCGCACGTGCGGCGATGAACTCGAGTAGGGTAGGCGATGCAGCCTTGATCAGCTCACTGCGGCGGATAGCAGGCTCTTTCTTTGAAGTTTCTTTTCGAATTTCCTTGACTTCCTTGAGCACCTCCTGGTCAGCCTCGGTGAGGAGCCACTTGACACGCTCGCCAGAGAAGGGGTACAGCACAGGAATACGAGCGGTCAAGTCACTGATCTGGAGGAGCAGCTCGTCATTGCGGGCGTCCTCGGGGTCGGCCTGGTTCAAAAGTTCGCTGAAAATCGACTTGCCACTCAATTTGGTATCGTCAATCACCTCGTAAGCCGCAAGGATAACAATGTGCCCGTTGATATCACCAGCCATTGCCTTGATAGTGTCTCGGAAGAAGCGCAAGAGTAGCTTACGATCCTTGGCACTAGCATATGCTAGAGCTAGGCACATGAGGCGCGAACCGGACTGGGTGAAAGCCAAGTTCTTCACAAGGTCACCTTCCTCGTCATCCTTGAGCAAATCAAGGAACTCGTTCGCCTCTGTGCTTCCAGGCTTTGTGCTGAGGAAGTATTGCAGCATGGCATCGTGCAGCATAGTAAATCCAGTAGACTTCTTCTGGACGAGCTGGTTGATCAGCTCATGCAAGAAGCGCATGATAGGTAACCGCTTCTCGGGGTGGGCTTCGAGAATCTTGGCAAGGTCGGCCGATTTCTCTGTGTCGTCTTGGAAGATAACAAACTCTGGGCCGTACCACTCGCGCAGCATTCTTCGCTTCTGCTCCTTTGTAGCAACTGTGCGGTAAATATCATCCAGAATCCACGAGCCTTCCGGGTGACGAATAAGACGCTTGACATTGCCGTAAAATTCAGGAATGATCAAGTCCCGGGTCTCTGCGTCTCCGTGAACGATCAACTTGCCAACCAAGAACTTAGCGTAGCGGCTCTGTGCCAGCTCCTTGTAGCTGCCCTTCAATTCCGTTGCAATCATCTTGCGCTGTTCAAGGTTTCCGTACTTCAAGGCAGTCTGAATGACACGCACCGAGTCGTGCTTGAAAACAAAATCCCGAACGCGGCCAGTGATGATCTCGAACAATTCCTTGATGAGTTTCTTTCTCTGTTCAAGGGGAACGTGTGACTTGCGGCGCAACTGCTCCCAGAGCTTCTTAGAGCGGGCGATCGTATCGGCATTAGGCTTCGCATTCTTGCGTTCCAGTTGGAGGGCCTTCTGCTTGATGTGAGACTCGCGGGATGCGTGCACTAAGAGAAAAGACAAAATGTTAGCCTTCGAACCAAATCTGTGTCCGACTTAAAACACAGATGGTAGCAAAACATACTCTTCGACGGATCGGTAGATTTCTGAGTTTGCTGAGGTACTTCCTCTTCCTCTTCACTCTCAACCTCCTCATCATCGGCATTTTTCATCTCAACATCCTCCGATTCCTCATCGACGCCATTGAAGTCATCGTTCTCCGAAAGCGACACATCGTCAATATCGAAGTCATCCTCGTCTTCAGATTCAGATTCCTCCTTCTTAGCCTTCTTAGAGGACTTCCTATCACTCTTTCCAGACTTTTTGTCTTCCTTCTTGAATCCCGAGGAGCTAGACTTCTTCGCAGGAGTGAAGGCCTGCTTAGTCTTGGTCCGCTTTCCATTGCGGTCTTCTTTCGAGTCAACAGATCGTTTCACACCGGCCATGGTGAATATGTGAAGTAGCAACTTTGGCTACACCTCAAGATATAAAAAATTAATCAGTAACAAGGATAAATTCGAGCTGATGTCGCTCGGCGTGTTGGGGATAATTTTTTTGAACCTGCGGGCGGAGGAAACTTTTTTGCCAGTTGTTTGCATAGTTTGCACTGATAAGAGTCAGCCATATCGTAAATCTTATTTCGTTGTTTTTGCTAACATCGCAGATTCTGTATCGATCAAAATTTATATATCTGATTAACATTATCAGCTATTGAGCCCAGATAAACAACAGCAATTACCAAATAATGCAAACGAAGGGAAAAAAAAAAAAGGAAAAAGAGAAAGAAGGCCCGAGCCGCGGATCGAACGCGGGACCTCGCGCAGGAGTGCTTAGGAGTTGCTGCCCTAAGCGCGAATCATACCACTAGACCACCCGGGCTTCTTCATGTTATGTAATCCCAAATTTCACATAACTTGGTTCCTGGTTGGCCACCTCTTCATAGCAACCCTTCCTTTCCAAACAACCAACCACAATACCTCCAAATCACTCCCAAAAACGACACAATTTGATCAAGTAGGAGGGCAATGTTAAACTAGCTATTTAGGCTATCAAAGACGGCGTACATCACCCGGTCACAACTGCTGTACGCCGATTTGCTGCTCCAAGATCAACCCTCCGACGTCGAAAGGGGTTTCAAATATGGTTGGAAAACGCTATTCTTGTCATAAATTTACTGAGGTAGAAGAGGATTCTATTGACAAGTGGCTAGTCTCTATGGATAAGAGAGGTGTGGCTTTTACTTTGTCCATGTTAAGAGATATGGCTAATCTTTTACTCTGATTGCTTTCCTTGACCACCTCTTTAACCATCTCTTCTATAGGCAAAACTGGCTAACAGGGTTTATTAATCGTCGTTCAGATCTGACTTAATGCCTTTCTTGGAATTCTGTTTGTAGAAGAGCTCTCTTAGAAGACCCTATAATTATGATACCATAGTTTGAATTGGTCGAGACGACGATTGAAAAATATGGTATCGATCCAGAAGCATTATGATCAGACACTTAGAACAGTTCATCAATATATTTTTATTTTTAATTTTTAATTTTTCGCATGCGATGTGGTCATTTAGAAGAAGCGAGCCAAAAACAAACCAAATATTGGGCAGCGAGTAAGAAGCAGACTGCCCATGAATGTATCCAACTAGGCTATGGAGTTTAGAAGACCTCGGGAGATTCATGAAGTGGTTGTTGAGGACAGTGATGATAAAGATGTATGTATATATATCTAGAGTAGAAGCTGTAGTCGAGCGTTTGCTCCTAACTTTAATTACTATCAGGCGTTAGATAAACTGTTGAAAGGCCATACATATACTCAAGGTAGCCAGGTGGCCACAACTGATAGTTTTCGGTTGCGCTGATCATCTAAGAGTCCTCTTCATTGATAGAAGGTAGCCGATAGCACCTGATTAGGGCTTATAAAAACCCCGCATAAAAGTTGAAGAAGAATCAAAGAAAGAGGATGGGAAATGAGAAAATTTCTGTTTTTAAAGGTCCAAGGGGCACAACGTAGAGACCACTGCGTTCGTACGGTCGAAGTTCATGGTCATATATGGCATTTAGAAGCGTGTATAAGAGCGTTTCTTCAGTACATTCCATGCAGAGTTTCCAGTAAATCTCAAGGTTGAAGGGTCAAAAAGGGGTGTTCAATTCGGCATTCTAAAACAATAACTCCGTTGAAACCCAAGGTGACTTGACAAGTTTAGCAGACATCCAGCTGTAAACTGACATATAAGAGCAAGCCAACTGATATAATACACAGTAAAAATGGCCCCAGGCCATGTCATGCGCATATATCAATGAAAAGAAATTACATAACGTAGGGCATCAAAGGTGCAGCAAAGGATAGCCTGCCTGATCGTTATATCCTTCAGCCCAGCATTCATTCCAAAGAAGCTGGAACAACACCTCAACTCATCAGAAACGCCTCGTCAAATATTCGGCAGTCATGAATATTCTATTCAGACTGCTCTGTCGCAGATGTTGGTGCAGGTGAGGGCACTTTCATCAACTCTGATCCAGTCCCACTCTGACCACGCTTCCGTCCAGGGATGTGGAATCCAAATGAGGTACTTGATGATTTGGGTGATTGTGCATCAGCAGAAGAGTCACCAAATCTTGCGAAAAGACCCCTCCTCTTAGGCTTTTCGTCATTAAGGCCGATGTCCTCAAAGCTCTCTTCTGTCATCGGGTCTGATTTCTCAAACTTCTTGGAGCGCGTGTTGGGCATGTTCGTTCTAGAGAACCGGGAGTCGAGTGAGGTGCGGGATTGGACATCGGCGTAGGCGATCGGGGAGCGAGCCGAAATATCCTATCTCGGGTCAGTTATTCATTCCATGATGTACTTGATACTTGATCAGACGGGGGATTGTGGGAGGCGTACAAATGATCGTCGATAGGAGTCGAATGATTCGCGCGAAATGGAGAATGGCTCGTTTTCATCAACTAAATCGCGATGATTGTTTGAGGGTCGTGTAGCGCCCTGGCATTTATGCCAGAAGCTCTGTTTCTCTGGCGGCGACGGCTGTTGATCATTAGCCAGGGGTTTTTCCATTGGTAAGTGCGAGTGGAAGAAGGCGCTGTACCGGGAGATAGACACCGCTGTCATTAACGACTGTTGTTTCAAGCGATTAGCCAATGTAACCGTAAAGACTTGGTATCATAATGGGTCATACCGCTCAGTTTATACTCCGGAGGCTGAATCTCGGCGCTTTTGCGAATTGCGATCGGAATTGGCTGGTCAGGCGATATGTGACTCTCAAAGCCATCTGTTGGCTCTGGCTGTGCCTTGCGACCGAGAAAATTGCGAAAAGGAGGCATTTTAAGATGTTATATTGATAAAGAGTTGGAGGGGATCAAAATGGATCAGGAACATCAGCCCATGGAGAGGAGAGTGGCGTTGAACTAGTCGACGTCATCCACCTAAATGCCTCGGCCATAAAACATTAAAACTACCGTTAATTTCAATGACATCCCTTTTTGTCTCTATCAATTCTGATTGTTACTGTTACTGGTTGAATTCTAAGGAGTACAGTGTTACACAACTGAGGTAGCTAGTCGAGTAAAAACTACTCCTTGAAGCCATATTTAATTACGAAGGAGCATCTAATTAAATGAAATTAAAAGTACGGAATTATTAAGAGCTAAGTATAAACATATAATCAATAAAAAGATGTCAATAGTTTATATCTGTCATGGATAACCTTGTGGGAGACATACTTCTAACAGTATTACCTTGCTTCGACCTTGGTCAGCAGGTAAAGGTGCCTGGTACGAATCCTGGGGTGGTCATTACACTCGTGTGAGTAATCCACGATGCTGTGAGGCCTTAAGCAATGGAAATGACCCTTGAGGGAAGCAATTCTGCAGAGACATTTCCACCCTGGGATGGCGTCGCCAGAGGACACCGACCTGTTACGGGGGAGTATTGTGCATGTGTGTCGACTTCTTTTTTTTTTTTTTTTTTATACCTCAACTCGAAGTTTTGAAGTTCTTCTTTATCGTCCAGCCTTATCTATTGATCCACGTGATCTTTCATCTCATCCTTGATCACAGTATATTATTTCTAGTTATATCATGTAAATAACCCTTGTTCTAAATAGCTATCCTGGTCGCGTGAGAATCCATATCCATCTCCAGCTGTTGATATTGAATGTCTTTTTCGGACAAAGGTAGCAGATCCATCACAAATGACAGGATATACCCACCAAAGAGAAAGGCAATGACTGAATGAAGTTAGAGACGAGATCAAGAGGGATGGCAAACCCCAAAACTTACTCCATTCAAGAACAGCAGCGGTATTCTTTTGAGGAAGATCAACTTGCGCCGTCACTCGGAAGGCTAAAATAAAAGCAAGCTCAATAATGACAAAAGACAGCTTGATCGCAAAACTTGCTGTGAGCATGCGGTGCGGTAATCGATATGAGATGTCCAGATAGAAGTACTCTATACAGATGACTGTGGCACTAATGAGATATCCCGTCCTACAAATCTGTCAGTAACAAAACTCTTTCTGGAGCTCGGCGAGGACTTGGACTGACATGAAGAGAGCCACGAAGCTGTCGTGGGCATACAGATGATCAAGATTATCAAATATTGACAGCATGATCAATCCAATACTGCCGGCTATGGCAGTAGTAAATGAAAGGTAATTGTAGATCTTGTTGCTTTCTCCCTTCTTCTGCACAAATTGATAAAAAGATATGTTCATAAATAGCATTGTGATCATGGAACCAGCCATGAACACAGGCTTCAACTCTTGTGTGCCTCCTATATCTGAAATGAACCTGATTCCATGATATTAGCTTCTGTACTTACTGCCCAGTGGTCAAAATACTCACGGAATTGTCTGCCCTGGCTTCATCCTACCGTATCTGGGCTCTCCGACCAGGATCCAGTAGCCCAGCATCGAGAACAGCATTGCTTTAAAAAATTGTCAGAAAACGGCTCTTACGGAATGAGCTGGACTACCTACATATCCATGTCAAGGCTGATATTATCGGTGGGACCCAGGGAGTGGCTGACATCTCGAACTATTGATGATAGTCTTTCCGATGTCATAGCCAGATAATAGTGTGAGGAGATGGTAACCGAGGAGGAGATGGCAACCTTGGAATGGAAGTAGTTATGCTAGCCCTTGAGGTCAAAACACTGAGCCAATTTTCGCGAACTGAGGACCAGCAAATTACACGGTATAACTGTAACCCTTGCCTCGGACAAATTTCAAGGGAGAAATTTCCGAGTTCAGGGTGGAGTGTAGTAGTGGAGAGTAAGTGTCAATCCTGAATTGAGACATTTCTTCTATACTTGGATTTTATTCAAGCTGACTACATTATGATTTCAAGGTGTTTCTAACCTAATATCCGTGTATTTCATCAAGCCATCTAGAATAGAATTAAATGAAAATTAGCACTTGACGAATAATTTACCAGGCAAAGGAAAGTAATGTGGTGGGAAGGAGCTGTGTTTACTATGCACATTCTGGCACTTCAGTATGGAATGTGGATCTTCAAATTAACTATTATAGGCAAAACTCCCCTCTTCCCCTTTCATTTCTAGACTCAGGGGCCGTTGATCAGTGACCAATTATTCAATAATTATTATGGAGTACACCCGAGATTTTGAAGATGAAACATCCGCGACAACCCTTGCTGACGAGTACGCCCTTTACTAGCCTTTTATTACTTCTTTTTTTGGGGCTTTTTTCTCAAATTGGATTCACATATAGCCTCTCATATGATAGTTGATCCCGTCTTCAAAAGATTGTGGGTACAATCAAGGAGAAGATCTGCAACTATTTGAGTCTAGCACGTTTGATCAGCGGAGGACACTTATTACCAAGCAGATTAGAGTAGAGAACCATGTTCTTCAAGTCCCCCCCACTCCGCCACAAATGCAGTGGATCTGCTAGGCTAGAGCCTAAGTAAGGTGCTCAGCAACTTACTATGATCAATATCGTTTTTGATTAGAACTACGCAATTCGCACTCCAGCATATATTCGCAACCTGTGCCTTTGCATCATAGAGTACGAAATCCTGCAGACTGCTTTGATACCGTCGATAAGTCAAATCCCCCAACTAAGGATCCAGAGATCCGTGTGTATGATCAAGACTGATTTGATGGACTGACACTAGATCACACCATTCCAATCTTGCTGCTGCTACTACTGAGTAGGCATTCTGCAATTCGGATGCCACCTCCCGATGATAATCGATCCTATCTTGATTGAATGAAATATTGCGGCCAGGTGTGTACTGTGCTGGGTTCCAAAAGAGCTAAATATTCAATAAGATAAATGCGAGTCCTAAGCGCTTTCTTGTGCACCCCATTCAAGTGTTTCCAGCTAGGTGTCTGGTCAAATCTTCATGGGTGAGAAGCTTGGGGGTTTGATAAGTTGATTGGGGGAGTGTGATGGAACCGAGTGCTTTTATAGCCCTTGAAAGCCCATTGCTGACACAACTCAGTGTAGTTGCAGGCCAAATATCGAACATCATATCGGTGATGTAGCTGATGCTATTGCTGCCTGCGGTAATCGTGATAATACCTATCTGCATCTTCGAGGAGCTCGAAAATCTGGGGTGGAAAACTCGTCCTTGAGAATGGCGGTGTTTGTGGCCCAGATGTAATATTGAGCAGCGTTGCTCAAGACGCCAAAATATTAGTATGTTGAGCGTCTAGCTTTTGTGCTAACAGATGAGCGTAATTTTGCTTTGAGCGGCCTGCGATCCGAGGCTGGACTTGTGAGTGAATTCCAGGGCCGGCGACAAACAGAGCTGGCGACAAAAGGAGCTCCCTATATTAACAATATGAATCTTCTTACTTTCTGCCATTTGAAAATTTGAAGCTAAAGTGTCAGGCAGAACACTGAATTAATTGGTATTTTGGCAATGGGTAATCCTTCGGGCTCCGGGCATATCCTTTTGATCCAAGTCCTGGAGAGGTTGGAGTGTGGTGTCTGCCCAGGTGATATACAACAAGGAAGATGAAATACCTAAAAGCCTTAGAATCAAGAATCAGGTTAGATCTAAGCCAGAGTCTCCAAGTTTCTACCCAGGTAGCTTTCAAATGTCAATTCGGCATTGTGAATATTTAAATTTGGATTTCTAATTTTCTATGTATTTATCCCACGAAAGTAGATGTTACTCTTAACTCATGCATATGGTCTCTCAATAATCATCGAAACCCTCCAAAACTTTCAAGACTAAAAACCCTTGTTAAAGTACAGGTTAAGTATGGTTGTTCCATCATTATACCAGTATGCACTGCGAGCGGGGAGGGTATAGAAGCACCGAGGGATTGTGCCGCTGTTTGTGCTCGCAGAAAGGTCAACCGTACCATCTCCATTGATGTAACAGTCAATAAGAGATGTGTAATATGTCTGCTGAGGTGTTAATTCGTGCAATACGTAGTATAATGGTAGACTTACCTTGAGGTCAAAGCCGTAAGTGTCAGTTAATTTCGTATAAACTTTGGAACTCATCTCGTTGTTATCGTCGTAAGGGGCTTCCCAAGCATCAGAAACACACTGTTGTCATGTTAGAAGACGGGCAATAGGAAGTTTTTTGGGAATGACTTACGGTTGTAAGATCATTATCACTACAGTCATGAGTGCTGCTTGGGCGGGTCAAGTAGAAGCAACGGTAGTTACCAGAAGTAGCTTCAAGCCAGTATGCGCCAGTCATGGTGCAGTCCTTTTCATCCACGTCATCTTCGCCAATAAGAGCATACCAGGCCGTTTTCATAGCTTCATCGACCAATTTCTTCTCCTATTTCCAATGTTTTAGTATTTGTCAAGAGTGAATAGTAGAATAAGTCAAACTCACTATGTTATCGGCAAAACCATCAAAAGCCGCGATAAACGAGGAGTTGTCCGACCTTTCATCCAGCAAGATGGTGTTATCGTCAAGGAACCTCGCCGTGGCATATTGAAGAGTTGTATCAGTGTAGATAGGAAGGGTGCTAGAATCTCCATTTCCTGTCGCATTCGATAGAATACTCGCAACATAGTTGCCAGCAGCACCGACAATATTTTTGAGAGTATTTTCCACCGAAGTTGTGTCGACCTTATCTCCATCCTCACTGCTAAGACTGACATCTGTAAGTCCTGCAGAGGCAAAGCCGATCATTCCACGAAGTTGTTTGTTCAGGTCGATTCCAGTTGCGAGACCACCAGCCATACTAAAGGCAGCAGAGATCCACTTAGCCCACTCATTGCTAGGGGACACAGAAGAGAAGTCTTTGGCGATCTGGTCTATCGAAAGACCGTCAAGCCAACCTTCCCACTGTAGCTTGTCATGGACAGTATTAATCTTGCTGTGGAGAATACTAATTTCGTGGAAAATCCAGTATGCCATGTCTGTACTGTAATCAGAACACAAAGTGTCAGGATTGCAATCACCGCCGATATCACCACATCCTCCGAGAGGAGATGCGCCTTCGTTAGGAAAGACTGTTGTCCATAATTGATTCACCCAGTCTGTTTCACCATCTGGGAGGATCAAGAACATGATGTCCAGCCAGTCCACACATCCTGTAGAGTCTAGGAGAGCTTGAACACCATCGGTAGAGGAAGTATCTCCTGCTGTACAAGTTTTGTTTGGAGCAGTTGTTGTGGAAGAAGTGGAAGTCGTTGTGGAAGTCGTTGTGGAGGTTGTGGAAGTTTTAAATGAAGTTGTGAAGGTAGCCACTGATGAACTGGAGCTGGTGGATGAAGTTCCAGATGGCAAAGAAGATGCTGTTGTTGAGAGACTCTTGTACGAGGCTGACGAAGTTGTGGAAGCTGTAGATGAAGTTGTAAAGGTGGCCAACGAGGAACCGGAGCCGGTGGATGAAGTTCCAGATGGCGAAGAAGATGCTATTGTCGAGAGACTCTCGTACGGGGCTGACGAAGTTGTGGAAGCTGTAGATGAAGTTGTAAAGGTGGCCACCGAGGAACCGGAGCCAGTGGATGAAGTTCCAGATGGCGAAGAAGATGCTATTGTCGAGAGACTCTCGTACGGGGCTGACGAAGTTGTGGAAGCTGTAGATGAAGTTGTAAAGGTGGCCACTGAGGAACCGGAGCCGGTGGATGAAGTTCCAGATGGCGAAGAAGATGCTATTGTCGAGAGACTCTCGTACGGGGCTGACAAAGTTGTGGAAGCTGTAGATGAAGTTCCAGATGGCGAAGAAGATGCTATTATCGAGAGACTCTTGCACAAGGTTGGCGCAGGAGTGACTGACACCGAAGCAGAGCTAGCAAACGCCGTTGCTGCCAAAGCAGTCGCGGCAATAGGACTTAATCTCATGTTTTTCTTTTTTTTGAGAATCTACAGATATTCCAAGGTCGAGTAGTGAACTTATAGCCTCATGTAGTTAGTGCCCGATCGCACTGGTATCTAGGCGTTGATATTACTCTCCAGGGATAGTCAGCTCAACACCTCCAATCTAGGAAGGCCGAGGTGGAGTATTACTAAATGCAAATCTCGGTTTCAATTGCGGTTCCCTTTCAATAATACTCGATGATCCTTTTTTCAATAAAAAAAGAGATTGACATAAGAATAATATCCGATGGACTTTCTAGAATACATGTAAGGAAATTTCATTTTAAATACACAGCCTCGTGGTTAGGTGTAGTCCTGGTGTGGACAAGGCTGAGTGGGAACAGGAATCAAGTACGTGTATTACCAAGGCTTATATTGTATTTTCGAGCATTGGTAAAAAGTAAGTGAATCTTATAGCACGTGTAGAAATGCTTGATATAATTTGATGTTCATTGGAAGTCTTTGAAACAAAGCTTGGGGGCCATCTATAGAAATAAGCACTAGATCACACTATATCCCCACAGCGGATACTCGTCATGATTTTGAAATCCAGTGAGATCATCTTTTCTGTGCACGTTGAGTTTCAATCATCTGAATGTTCTTGTTCGTTTGGTCTAACGCCTTACGGAGCTGCTCCTTGACATTCCAAACTCAGAACTAGCCCCTAAGGCGTGGGCGTTAGTACATGCGTGCGTAGTCGCTGTTACACGCGTGCGTAGTATCCATTACACGCGTGTGTAGTTTTCATTACTTGAATAAGGTAATGAGAAAAAATTGAAAGTCGTTTTGATTTGCTAGGCTACCGAAATTCTCCACTGTTCAAGTTCATTGTGATCCCAAGAAGTTACCAAGGAATGGAGAAGGATCAAGAGTGATCCCAATATCGACCTCGGGAGATCCATGGATCGATCCATAGCTAAGAGCATGTATGTTGTGTTTTAAAATCGCGCTCTAATATCTTTATATCTAGGTATAATCTATGCACAAGGGTTGAATTGAATGACAGTCGTCAGCGATTATGTGATCGTGGCCTGATCCATAGGAGCTGAAAAGGGTTAAACCCTCTAGGTATGTCAGTATGTCAATCACTAAGGTAAAGCTAGGTAGGAAGCAGTTGGACTCCTGTTTTGAATGATCAAAAATGTATAGATAGCCCCGTAGTAGGGCTAGGTTTCGTAGAATATGGTCCGAGGATGAACAATCAGCGCGTATTGCCGACAGGAAGCCAAATAGTCTCAGTGTAAAGCTCCATTAGGTATTTGATACCTCGGGAAAGAGATCAAAAATGGGTGCTCCTTCTTTTTCTTTACACCTATTACCTCATGTAATGTCGGGGCGCAAGCTCAGATGTAACTACTAATGTCCTCAATACTTGATCAGCCTGTGTTTGCATTGGCATCAACTGCGTTATTTCTTCTCACCTGGGGCACTCACTCGTAATTAGTCCGTTTCATACAAAGAAAACATAGAAAATGCCTTGAAATTTTGGAACCTAGATACTTTCTGTGCTCATATCGGCTTTGCATCTTACCTACCTATGTATGTGCCAGGATCCTCAATAGATATTTGCATATTCCAGGCAACGTTGTTGACCAAAAGATAATCTCACATATGAGATCCTGCCAAGTCCTGGGTGTTTTAAAGTTTCATCTTCGCTTGTGTGGTCTGCCAGATGCTCGTTACACTAGACTGCTCATTTAGGGATGAGAGCGATACATTAGATACACCTTGACAAAGGATTTCGTTCCTATGATATGACCTGCATAGGTTAAGGAACGCCGTCGTTGCCCAGGCGGGCGACGTATATTATGCATTGGTAGATAACCTGGGAAATATGTGATACCCCTGAATCTTACATCTTACTTTGCTATTATCTCATATTGCAAAAAGAGTATATTGATCTCATAGACCAAGGCCTTAGTTTACCTAGGTACTTAGAGTTTATATTCATGGTCAACTACTCACCTGAAGCTCAATGAATGAATTGGTAGCGCCGTAACCTATTTTGTCCAACCTCTCCTCCTTGTCAATTGGCCCGAGGGTTTGACATGGGTGTAGATCTAGACCTCGGGAATATCACGTATTACGATTGCTCTCCAATTTAAGGATTCACATTAAGTATCTGATATTACGTTATTTGTTGTATCTTGATGTGACTATAATTCTTAGATGTGTAAAAGAGGTAAAAGAGACATTGTTTTGGTCTACAAAATACTACTTTATAAGGTAAGTGATGTTAGTCCGCCCCACTTCATAGACCTATTTTTTATACTAAAACCACTAAATGTTATTTAACAGCTTGAAACAAAATAAAATACAAATAACATAACAAAATCAGATGCGACAAAGAAGATCCAAGTTCGGACAGTATAAGTAACGATACTAGGCCAAATAAGGGTGATCAGCCCTATTCTAGCTAAATTTAACTAGTTTGCGCTAAGTTCAGCCTTCGAAGATCCACTACCCACTTTGATCCTCTTGGCCAATCAAATTAATCTTAATGGACAAGCTTATTTGGTGATCGATTAATCAGCATTCATACTTGACTGGGAATTGATACACCATGTTTTTTTTTTTTTTTGATAGAGACACCATGTTTCTTATGTAATAACATTGTGTAGTTATGGTAACTAGTAACCTCGAAAAAATTGAATGTCATATCTCAACAACTTCGACTTGAAATCATTATCACTCTTCAATTCCTATTATAGTGATATATATAGAAAAACCTTCACTAATTTTTAGGAAGTTATTGAACAGCGTGGAGTAAAATCTGAAATAGAAAATTACGACATAATTCATGGTATCATCATAGTCCTGTAACCAGAACAATCTAGTTGTTACCCAGGTGGATAGAGAGGTATTGGGTGCACACCTTTGGTAGTCCCAACCGTTTTATCGTCCTTGTAACAAACTTCGAAAGATCGAAAATGCATCAGTGCAGCACTTCATACCGCTTCTTCATAGTAAGCTTACACTCCAATGATTTCAAATATATGACTTGAAACCGAGTAAGCAACCATGATGAACTGAAACAAATATGGGGGTTTGCCCCCAAAAGATATCACAATCAATCACTTTACGTATCGTGTCGCTATATCATTTTCGCTATGAACCGCCTCGTAGCAAAGCTTAGCCCGTTTCCAGATGCTACTGCAACCTACATCAAGACCAAGACCCCAACCTTATAACAAATCAAGCATCACTGATCCTTTTGTCCACTATCTCACCCAAATATGCACTTCCAAGCCTCAATCACTGCTATTGTAGCTCTCGGCTACACTGCGAGCTCAACTCCTATTGAGACACGCCAGGATACCGGAGTCATCTTCTGGCCCTGAGTGTTGTCTTTAAGAACATATTCGGAGAGTCTGCTGCCGGTTGTAATTATTTCCCTAGCGAATCCATGGTTACAGGTTATGAAAACTCACTTCTTTCATGAAGCTTGCTATGGTAAGTCGACCCTGAATGAATCCTGACCAGTATTCAGCTAAACAGTACTCTTTCTAGTTGATGATCTTCAGAAGTTCGCTGCGGCTGACTCTGGGGTTGCCCAGTGTCTGCACTACACACAAAGTGACACCTGTATCTCTGCTGCTAGTAGCAAGTGTGATAATGGCTACATCGAGTGGCGGCCGAATTCAGAGCTCGTCCGTTTCCCTCAAAGTATCTCCAAGGTTATGAAAATGATATCTAAATTTTGGCAGACATGTTTCCTTCACTGGGGCTCGCACCTCTTATCAACACTGATTAGTCTCGATCCTATAAGGGAGCTATCGATGCCTCTTATTGACAGCTACATCCGTACCGATCATGACACCTACTTCCCCGTCTTTTCTGCTACCTCCAGTGTAGGATGATTTGAATGAGGTTGATATTTATGCATTTTGATCCATTCTAATCTATAAAGTGAAGTAAAACATTTGAGCACAGCTAAATGAGACCTAGCAAAAAAAATAATTCGCTCAAATCTTCCAAGGCGTCAACCACATCAAACAACCGCCCACCTGGGCAACTTTGGAAGTTTGGCATTTCAAGAAAATTGGTCTGAATATGTCATCATCATTAATCAAATATCAACTGGACCACCAATTCTGTCCTTTGGTCCAATTCCTTTGCTTCGGACTGCAAGCAAACCGACCACCAACCCAATACCGGCAATACCAGTAGAGCACCAGAGGCCAGTAGAATACTGCTGAGCAATTCCATGTCCTTTTCTAATATCAACTGCTTCAGTCGTTGCTGCCGAAATGGCAAGTGTAACACCAGAGCCGATTTGGAATGCCGTGTTAAGCTTTTCATAGTGTTAGTTGAAGTTTTTAGTAAAATGAGTGAAATTAAACCTACCATTCCTCCACATAGACTTTTGACTTCAACTGGTACGCTGGTCAGGATTACTGTGCTGGTTGTGACAAAAATTAAAGATACGGCAGAGATACTGATGAGTGATGTAGCAAGGGTGTTGATCCAGCTGCAAAACCTGGTCAGCATATGTAACCAAATTGTTCCAAGGGGTTGGCAAAACATACAAGTTTTCAGTCGATGTAACTGTCAGGGCACTCGGAATTGGTGCCACCACTGTAAGAACCAGTCCTGCTAGGAGGAGGTATTTTCCATTCATGTACTCGAGCGCTTTTCCTGTGCCCAGAGAGGCAATGAATCCTATCAATCCCATTGGTAAAAAGCGAATAGCAGTATCGCCCGCGGATAGCTTGTCCACTTGTTGCGCAATGAGTACAACGTAATAAATGACGTTCTGGTAGCTACCGTAGCAAGCTGGTGAAAAATTGTCAGTAATTGATCCTTGATTAGAAATGGATATCAATTACTTACTGAAGCCTGCAACCCAGAGACCGGCGAAATTTCGAATTTTCCACAGAGACAATGGCATGAGTGGACTACTGACGTATTTCTCCAGAATGGTGAATGCAACCAGAATTGCAATGGCTAGAATCAGAAGCACAATAACAAATGGTTTGCTCCAACCATAAACACCACCACTTGATAGAACAAATTGAAAGAGGATGAGCCCAGAGGTAGAGAGCACTGCACCCAAGTAATCCATACTAGGTCTCGCTTTGTCTGCTTTGCGGTCTCTAGGCAGAACAATCATGCCCAAAATACCGAGCAGGCTCGTGATAATGACGATCAAGTGAAAGATGTATCGCCAACCCAATGATGATGTGAGGAATCCACCGAATATGAGACCTGCACAGAAGCCTACTGTTCCAGAGGCAGCATATATGGACAGGCCTCTAGTTCGGTCAACACCAGTAAAGTATGAGCTGATGATTCCGATGGCTGATGGGACAGTCATTGCGGCCCCAATGCCTTGAATGCCACGGAAGATAGTCAGCTGAATAAAAGACTGACCGAATCCAATAGCCAAGGTCCAGATAGAAAGCCAGAAAAGTCCAACGCACAGAATCTTCTTCCTTCCATATCGATCAGACAGAGATCCAGCCAGCAGTAGAAAGCCACCAAAAGCCAGAGTATAGGCAGAGATCATCCACTGCAAGTTGGTACTGGAGACATCAAACTCTTTTTGGATTGAGGCCAGAGCCATGTTTGAGCTTGTCATGAAAACATTGTCGAGGAATTGAGAGCCGGAAGTCACCAGCAGGATCAAAGCTCCTCTCCAAGATCCCAACCGACCAAACTCTTCAGGTAGCTTCTCCAGAGGGTTCTCCTCTTTTTTGATCTCGGTGGGGGATCCCACCAAAGTAGATGGAGAGTCCCAGTAAGGAGTACCAGGAGTTTGAGTCCCAGGGGTAATAGGAACAGACATAATGGTGGGCTCGATATACTTCGGAAGAGTGTCCTTCCTTGCACCACCATTATCACCCCAGGCCTTCTGGCCACGAATTCGACTGATTAAGTCCAGCATAGCCATTTTGTTGATAGATGAAACAATCAGCGACATTGGATTTACTTCCTTTATAGGGCAGGTTAACGATCGGCCAAAAGTTTGATTACCTGAAGTATGGCAGGGTCCATAATAATAAAAGTGGGTAAATACTGTATCGGGGAATCCGTGAAGTGGAACTTTATCTGAAATGTGGTCGACTCAGGTCGAGACCAATTCAGCGGTATTGAGCTGTCAAAAGCACATCGAATGGTTTGTCCATGTGGACCGTAGGATTCTTCTCTCCGGTCTTTTGTTTGTAGCTTGATGTCTTGGGATCGGCATTGCCGCTCGCACTGACTCAACGATATGAAGATCCTTTTACTGGATTTTTAAGCATAGATTTATTCATTGGAGCTGATAGTTCCCACTTATCTCCCCGGGCGTATTTTCAATTGAACTAAATATCACGTTTTGTTGTGATAAGGAACATTCTCTCGCCTCTCGGCCTTCCAAGGTCCACTTTACCTGCCCAAATCGGTATCCCGAGATGGCAGACCCTGGTTCACGGTACTTCAAGCCCCACTGATTTTAGTCTATTTATTTCTCATATCTTGCTTGAATTGCAAATTGATCAGCGGATTCTCTCACTAGCAATGTCAGTAGAGCTTGTACTGAGTCGCATGGCACTTTCTTCTAGTCGCTCTACATAGGCACTTGGGATCGATTGAAGATCTGGGGTAGGATAAGAGGGATCGAGGTGGTAGGGCTTTATAAGGGGCTCTCTCATCAATAAACGTGTTTCGTGATAATTGTAATCTTATGTCTCTACCTATGTAGGCATTTCATGAGTATTCACTCCAGGGCTTTTTTTTTTTTTGGGGGGGGGGGGGGGGGGAGAGGGGGTGAGTATAACGTACCATTATGCTTCCCATCCTATACTTCAGTTCTTGCCGGCTGTCCGAGCTTTGCATAAAGATGCGTCAGGGCCCGCTAACATGCAGGTAAAGACCTATATTGGGCACAAGGTCAATGCCCAAAGAGCCCTCGAAGGTCCACGGGTTGGAATATCTTTTCCAAATGGGATTCCTACATGCATCAGCATTTCGGAGGGTTATTTCGGATCTGCAACCTGAAGTCTTTTCCAATAATCATCTTTGGCGGGAGGCAGTATACCTTCGAAATGACTCGAGAATCTATCAATCTAGTGTAGGGATACTCGACGCTTGACACGTGCCCTCTCCCCTCTCCTAGTACCTTCCACGGTTAGTACCTATCAGTCAGTCGATATTAGACCATCAAAATACTGTCAGATGTACCCGAGTGTTGTTCACCAGTTCCCGAGATCTAGTACCAACTATACTCCATATCTAGGTACTCAAGTAGGTGACTCTTCGCGAACATATCACCAAGTATCCATTCCCTTCGTATTACCTTTCCTTTGATGCATGAAGGTTTTCACCGTGATTATTTTGCATGTAGCTATGTATGATATGCCCGTAGTGCAGCAACATCACCTAGCAGTCGACGTGCTCATCAAATAGAACAGAATGCATGCACGAAATTCTCGAGGTCAGATAAGGGACCGGACTACATACCTAGGTATCAGGATCCTAATTAAAAGTAGCTCAAGTTTCAAGAAGGTCCTGCCCAACAGGTAGGCATGAGTCTTGCTCTCATTGGTCAGCTATGCATCGAGACGGCGAAGACGCGGGCTTGAAATCCGAGAAATTTGTACATGTGCATATGTATTGCTTCCGAGGTCCCGATATAAGCCCTGGACGTCTCGGAGCCGGCTCCGGAGGCCAAATGGTTGGAAGGCAACGGGAACATTGGAAGTGTTGCTGTAGGTATCCACGCGTTCAATCCTGCTACGGCGAATATATTATATATGAGCTCGGGCGGTCGGGACAAACCTGTAGAAATGGAGAGTGATTTCAAGGTTGGATGCAGATGTTGTATATGGAGTATTTTTTGGTGCCAGTAATAAGATGGTAATAAACTGTTGAATGGAAAAGCTTACATCAACCAACACCAAGTGGTCTAGTGGAACTGGACTGTCTCATCTTCCTTGGTCTAGTGGTCATGATTTCCGCTTGTCATTAACACTGATAAGCGCGGGAGACCGGGGTTCGATTCCCCGAGGGAGAGATCTTTTTTTTTATCCTGATATTTAATGAGAAAGGCATTAGCGACTAAATATTGAGAAATTTCCTTTTTTTTGACTATTTGATCCATAAAACTGTTCTTGGCTCATGTAAGACGTTTAAATTCGATGTGCTTTGGCGACCTGCTGTGAGATGATACAGGTTTATGGAGGAAGACACTACAGCTTTCTGGTCACAGCTTAGAAATTGGGTAGATGAATAACAGAAGAGAGCACAAGATAAAGCACGAACGATGAAAAGAAACTGACATTTACGTGCATTCTGAAATCCACGCGGAAACTATGTTTACGTTAAAAGTGGCAGGTGCTCTACTTAGAAACACGATCTTGGAACTAAACCTCTTCATGTCCTTCCAATTTTTCTCCAAAGATCAACGAATCCTATACCGAAATACTCGTCTGATCCATTTACATTCGCTTCGAGAACATCATCACTTACCCCAAACTATACACGGCTGACAAAGCCAAGCTACAAATAACGCCTTTCGAAGCCATGCCATTCTCATTCTGGTCAAATCTGCAATTATGGGAAAAGCTGAGCATCGTAGATCACTCCAACTAACTTTGCCGAAGCCCCTCACTGACATATAGCTTTGATAGGTACTGATGGCTTCGATTGTAATGCAAACTCTAGTGTGATGAGGCAGACATGGTGATACTGACTTACATTACAGCTACTCACCTTCATCGGTGCCTTTTGCGTTCTTGCACATAATCGATGGAGGACACGCAGATACACGGAGATTGAAGCCCAGCAAAAATTGGAGGAAGCTGATATGTTCCCGATGCTGAATATGGATGATATACCATTCGGTGCTAGAGCTCTTGAGAGAGGTCATCATGTCGACGGTGTTTGGGTCGGCACACTCAACGCACCGATTGTAGGCCCATACCAACCTGATACCATCTGTGCAACCCGGTCATTCAGTTCAGGACCAAGGCCATACACTATTCGTCCGCCATCAACACTGCAATTGGAAAGTACCCCAGGCTCATCATATGTGCCGAGTTTTGACGGACCAGCAACAACCATAGAGAATGATGTTATTGAAGCTGCTAACCACGGAAATAAGTATTACACACCTGGCGTATCTGCCCACGATGGAACGTCCAGTGTCCCAACTTCGTCCAGCAACTTCAATCGCCGAAGCGATAGTGCACCTACAAACGGGAAACGGACCAGTCTTTTAAAGCGTGCAAGCCACTTGTTTGAACACAAAAAGTCCATTTCAGATGTCGGCGGACGGGTTGAGATGGATCTGGGAGCCGATGGCTGCAGAGATTCTGGTTTTCATACTCCACCCGAGGAAATCCAAACTCGACGCAAGCATAGTAAGTGCCGTGGTTTGAGCAAATAATTGGCTGTGAGACTAACTTCTGTGCCAAAGGGAACCTTCAACGGAGAAGATCATCAGAGGAGTTCAGACGTCGGATGAGCCAGATTTTCAACGACAGAATCCGCATGAACATGCCAGTGGATCGACTGCAATTCAACTCAGAGTTGCAGGCATCTCGAGGAAGAAACTTTCGACGATCAATCCTTGGGGCTTTCCGTGATTGAGTGCATTGTAATGATGAACTAATATATGCCGTTGATCTCGAGGTTGGAATAGGAGGCATGAGATGGCCTCCAAAGATGCAAAGAATGTGGCTATGATATTCCTAATGAACTTGACCAGCGGCATTGACAGCCGTTGAGGCTTATGCTGCTCGATTCTTTATTAGTGAGAGTACGAGAGGACTCAGAACCTGTCAGAGGAGGATCAAGATTTGCAGGTGATATTTTAAGTCCTTCAAGTCTTTATTCGTTATTCTATACTTATATTCAATTATTGTAATGACTGACTCTAGCCATTCCAGACTCCAGACTCCAGTGAGCATAAAAAGCACCGTACTAGGAAACCCATTCCTAGAGTGGAATAATATATCAAAAGTAAAATTGGCTTTGTTGCCTGGAGATTGGGCACGTGACTGCGCGACAGCCTAAACGCGTCTATCGGTAACTTCTGTTGACTCAAAGCGATTTGAAAGTTTCGCCACCGGAAATTTATGTTCCTTGAGCTATTGGTGCCGCATCACTCAGTTTCAACAACGAAGTGAATTTTTCTTCCAGCGGAAACCTGAAGTCCTCCAACTGCCAACTGGTCTGACGCGGTTCGTGTTCCCCCTCTGAACACAGCCTCTATCGCCAGCCAAATATCCCAGCAATATTAGGACAATGACAACAGAAATGGAATCTCAGATTGAAGTTGATGAGAATGGATTGCCCGGTCCTGGTGCGCCTACCCCGCTCTCCGCGCTTGAGGTATGTGAAGCTTGACAGCGATTCAATGACCAGTCCAGGTACTGACACGCTGTTTAAGGGAGTGGCAGGATTGACGGGAAGAGATATCAAGTTGTTCCTGGATGCAGGGTATAACACTGTTGAGTCGATCGCCTACACGTATGTTTCTTACCATCGGATCAAAGGCCGAGTTCAGCCGAGTCCTGACTAACAAACCACCAGACCCAAACGCCTGCTTGAACAGATCAAGGGAATATCAGAACAGAAGGCTACCAAAATATTAGTAGAAGGTGAGTTACCATACATGCTGCACACTGCACAGAACTAAGAAATTGACAAAATTCCACTCCATAGCCGCAAGACTTGTGCCCATGGGATTTACGACAGCCACTGAGATGCATGCTCGACGAAGTGAGCTCATATCAATTACAACCGGATCCAAGCGACTAGACACACTACTTGGAGGTGGTATCGAGACCGGATCAATTACAGAGCTTTTCGGAGAATTCAGAACTGGAAAGAGTCAGATCTGTCACACACTTGCGGTGACCTGCCAACTGCCGTTTGATATGGGTGGAGGCGAGGGAAAGTGTCTCTACATTGATACCGAGGGAACCTTCCGACCTGTTAGACTTCTTGCAGTCGCGCAAAGATATGGTCTTGTTGGCGAGGAAGTTCTTGATAATGTCGCGTATGCGCGCGCATATAACTCGGACCATCAATTGCAGCTGCTCAACCAGGCATCTCAAATGATGTGTGAGACTCGATTTTCCCTGCTTGTTGTTGATTCAGCAACCGCGTTATACCGAACGGACTTCAATGGTCGTGGAGAGCTCTCATCACGACAGACACATCTAGCCAAGTTCTTGCGCACTCTGCAGCGTCTGGCCGATGAATTTGGCATTGCTGTGGTGATCACGAATCAGGTTGTCGCCCAAGTTGACGGTGGACCTAGTGCCATGTTCAACCCCGACCCCAAGAAACCAATTGGAGGAAATATCATTGCTCATGCCAGTACTACGCGTCTAAGCTTGAAGAAGGGTCGGGGTGAGACTCGTATCTGCAAGATTTATGACAGCCCGTGTCTTCCGGAAAGCGACTGTCTCTTTGCCATTAATGAAGATGGAATTGGAGACCCCAGCGAGAAGGACCTGGAGAAGGAATAAGTCTATTATTATTCTTTTGATACGATGTTAGTGACCTTACGAGCACCTGATCCCTTTTATTCCATGTCACATATGTAATTGCCAATATTCGAGAGTTATTACATTTTACTTGTAAAGATAGTATTGGAAATACAATAAATATCTCTGATGGCAAAGTAAAACAGTAAACAGATATTGCGTCTTGTGTTATTTATTTTCTCCAGTAAAAGACGGGTTTTCCCTTTCTTATTCACGCCAAGACTTTGTTTTTTGAGAGCTCCAGCTTTCCGCTTTACCTGCAACCTTTACCCGCTCTTTACCAGCCATGGAAGTCTGAGTCCTGAATTAATAGTGCGCCCAGAATTGTTCCATCATGGCCAAAATCTACAAGGATACCAGGATTGATTTGCGACCCTATTCACAGTCAACGGTCGCCAACGTTCAAGTCTCCAGCGAACCAAGCGCGTTTCGACGAACTCGCTTTTCAATCTCCTCTGTCAACGATCAACAGCCCATCGCAAAAGACGAAGATGAGTTTGCCCGACGGTACCTAGCCACACAAGGCACAGTCTATTTCCGAAAGCGCAACACCTACCCGAGAACGTTCCTGTGGAGGGTCCTCAATGATAACAAGCGATTGGAGATTCAATGCGCGGACCTGACGAAAAGCGGCACAGAGCAGTTCGAATACAATGTCACCTTACGGTTGAATTTCCAGGAGCAGATTCTTCCCTCCTGTGTCGCATTTGCTGATCATGAGGACCATGAGGTTCTCAGTGTCTTCGTGCTGACGACCACCAAACACCTTCACACCTTGTCCCTACGCCCTGAATACTTCCGACGACCCGAATCAATTGATGATAATGTCGCCGACTGGTGTAAATCCTACATCCCCGCGCCGCTATCCTTCTCTCATCCACACCGACTTCATGCGAGCAGCCCGAATGAGCTGTTCATCTCCCTGGACAGTGGCGCACTTCTTCGCCTGACACGGAAAAATGGAGATGATGGTAAGTCCTCGAAAGAGTCTGTTTAGTATTGCAACTGAAATCTGACTTATTGAAAGGCTCTAACTGGACTCCGCTCACCTTCGATGAACGGACATGGGGCGCTTCGATTCGAGGCCTCGTGAAATGGAATGCACCTACATCACTTAGACATGATGGACGCAGCCTCGACCTGAATGTGGCCAATGCCATCGCCACCACCTCCGACGAGACATACGTTTTCGCTATCTGCCTGAATCACACACTGAAGATCTGGAACCTTGCCTCCAACAAGCTGGCTGCGACCAAAGACCTTCTGGGCCGCTACATGGACGCCGACGCAGTGCCATACACATTGAACCCTGCTGAAACTTCCTTCATTCGGGTATTCACTGCAGAGAGATCCTTAGATGCACACCATCGCTTCTATGCTGTGACATATTCGCCGTTTGAAGATGGGCGTTTCAAGTTCTGGGCTATCAAGGGAGGTCTTACGTCTGAGTTGGTCGTTGAGGATCTTTTTGCGGATACCGTGTTCCAACCGAAGGATCCCGATGCGACGGGCAATATGTTCTGGAGCATCGCTGATTTTCAAGTTAGATCGATGGACGAAGGAAGAGATATGGAGTTATGGGTACTGTGGAGAAACCACGGCCTCTACCAACTGTATACTCTCCACTTCGACCTTGCCTCGCTTGTGACAGATTGGTCTACAAGCTGGGTTTCAACAACGTTTGAAACACACCGACAGGAACCACTGCCAGCACCAGTGCTCGACGATGTCGTGGACCCGACGGAGAGGTGGCTTGCATACCTACTGCACCCGAATCGATACCCATCTGAGGTCCTGGAGACTGCTCTGGCTGTCTACCAGGAGGCTCTTAAACCTCTATCGTCATCTTCTGTAGTTTTGAAGAGAGATGTGCCATTGGCGGAAAAGCTCTGCTCTACTATCGGAGCCACCGTTTCTTTACGAAAGTATGGCCAAGATGAAATGGGATATACGCGGTACCGAACCGACACAGATGCCAAGTGGCGGCAATTCTGGCAAGTCGCGGAAGATCTCAATAAGCGCAGATTTGAACCGGTTTCTCTTGCCTACGACGCCTACACCGAGCTGCCCTGGTTGCTTCTTTCCGATGCATGTGCTGTGATCCGGGAATGCAATCCTGCCGAACTACTGCTGCATAACTCTAGCTCTGAGCTCACCGATGATAAACCAAAGATAGCTGATCGCTGGAGGCACCGAAATTTGGGCACTGAGCTTGGACCTGTCTATCCGCAAGCCTCCGCATTGATGAAAGTTGCTGCTGATTTCAGAAAGCGGTTTTCTCCAGAGTTGGAGGCAGCGTGTCGGGCTGCCCTCGAGATGGAAATTTTTAATGCCTCTTCTTCATCGATTGAAGACCGTATGGATGCCTTCCGCGACCGGTGCGAGTTCACAGACCGAGTTTCGAACAAGAATTTTGACACCTTAATTGCTGCTTTGAACGAGGAGCTGAATGCCGATCATCTACCAAGTGAAGTCTTTTGGGCCATCATACATACCGTTCCTCGAAAGTTCAATGCCAAAGACTCGGAAATCCTTTCAACTTACTTCGGGGCCCGAGTTTTTGCCAGCGGTGCTCTAGAGACAATTCTCCTCACACGTCGGACTCTCTACGACCTGTTAATCTTGGTTACATTTGTGGATGGTGAGGTTGATCAGACTAGTGGCAATTTCGATGCCATCGACCTTTTTTCGAGACTTATTGATCTTCTGCGCGAATACGAAATGATGTACTGGCTAAGCTCCAATGTTCGAAAGTGTACTACTGACCATCCTGCCCATGCGGATGCCTCGAGTTCGGTATTTTCGTTGAAGGACACCAAGTCGAAGAATAACAATCAGCGGACAACGACAATTCTTGAGGATCTCTTTGTCGCACCCATCAAGCCTCGCCAATCTATCGAGCAGCCCCAGACCTATACAATCACACTTGGCATCCAGGATGTTCTGGCCTGGGTCATTCGACATGGCGAGGTGGCCTCTTCGAACGCGCTGGCTTACATCCAGTGCGACCTCATCGCTAATAACAACATTGATCTTGCATGGGACTTCCTTCGCTTCCAATCTACCACTCCATGGGCGACGTATGTCAAGGGTCGCTTGTACGTGGCGATGTCGGAGTTTGACACTGCAGCTATCTACTTCGGCAAGGCAGCACATGGTCTTTGTGAGTAAATGTTTGTCAAAGGTTTATTTCCTTATTTGCTAATCCCTTTCTCAGCATGCGGCAAACCCCTGGGTAACCTGTACGAAATGTCATCGACTCTTTTGGATCTCGTTTCTGTCAACTCCTTCCATGATGGCATTCCGAAATATTTCCAGCACATTCTTTCAATATTCGAGCAGGCCCGATCCTTTTCACACGTCGCAGATTTCGCCAGTCAAGCACTACAAATGCTCGAAGCCGAATCATTTAACGACCGTCACTCAGAGCACGACATCATGCGAGCGGATCTGCTTTCGCGTCTCTTCCATGCTTCTCTCAAGACTTGTCAATTCGACCAGGCCTATTCTGCGCTGGCTCGATACCATGATCTTGCCCTGCAAAAGTCCGCGCTCACCTTACTCATCACCACTGTTCTCACTACCTTCGGGCCCGGTACCGCCGGTATCAAGCAAATTCTCCGCTTCCCTACAGCTACTGTGCCCAATATCGCCTCTCACATCGATGAAGTTCTTGTGTCGCTTGCACGGAAACAGAGCGCGTTCAGCTCATGGTTGGACATTGACCACAGCGAGACCGACGGCTCACCTGACTACCATCGCATTTTGCAAGCATATCGTATCGCCCGGAATGACTACCGTGGCGCTGCTGAAATTGCTTACCGCAACGTTCAACGACTGCGCAAGGCACGTGATGCCCCGGTCTCTACTATCGTCCGCAGAGGCAAGAAGGAAGTCGAGGAAGTACCAGAAGACGATCCCGAAAGCCAGGAGATTCGCCATGAGCTCTTGTCCTTGATCAACCTCCTCGCTTCGGTTGATCCGAGTGAATCATACATTCTTGTTGAGACTGGGCCATTGGCATCGTTTGGTGGCAATGAGGCTATTCCAACCCCATTGGCACACAGAGCTTCAAAGACAGACGACGACGGAAATGTGTTCATGGAAGATTCAGGAATACTCGACTCTCCCTCCGTCCGTGCCAGCCATAAACGCTCTTCCAGTATCGCGTCCTACAATTCTGGTCGTCGAGGCAGTCGTTCTCCAGTTGTTGGACGAAATGTGTCGTTCAAGCCTACCTCCCTTGATCAACCCCAGGAGCGTGTCATTGTTACCCTCGAACACCTTCGTCGTGAATATCAGTCGGAACTAGACCGCGTCAGCCGAATTGAACGTGGTGATTGGGAGTTTGGCATGCTAGATGATGAGGAGAGGGACCTCGATGAGGATGAAACAATGATTCTATCGTAAGGCTATTATGTTATGAAGACAGTGAGATAGCTCTTGGTCTTGTTCCGGGTATGGGCCTCGTATCCCAACGGTGGAGGCGTCCTTGTTATGGCTCTCCTTTATGTGTGATTGGAGTTTAGCAGCATGTTAAAATAGTTTCTTTTCTTCAATATGGTAGTTTCATCTTGCATGGTGCAAAATAGGATTTTTCATTCATCAAATGTTCTTGTCTATTCTAAGAGACCAAGAGTTAAGGCTGCAACTTATCACAACTCCACTGTACGGGTAAATAGTCAAAATAAATAAGAGAGTCAATCTTGATATGAAAGTCAGAATGAGAGTGAAAGTGGAAGTAAGGTGAGAGTGGGTAAGAGTGAGTAAGAATGAGGTTACCTTGTTTTAGTAAGAGTAGGTACCTTTATTTCACCTTTTGATCTTTACTGCATCTTAATTTCACTAATCATTACTTTTGGCATGTTTTACAAGGTGTGTACCTAATTTTAAACACCCAGGTGTGATAGTGAAACCTCTCATTGATACCTGGTTATCTTAGCTCCAGAGCTTACTCTTCTCCTCGCATAGCCTGCATAGCCTGCATAGCCTGCAGAGCCTGCTAAAGAGTGTCCATACTAGTTAATGACCAACCCTGCCCATTCAACAACCTCCACATTCAGACCTCGGGGAATATATGCCTTCTTTTCATCCTTGAATTCTCATCAGCTCTCTCTTAGCCCCTTGTAAACCATGTCATGTTTGTGTATCGGACTACATTGATGGCAGCAAACACCATCATTGCCTATTTAATGGATACATGCTCTATCTAATACCTGCCATCTGAAACAGAGACCTAGCGGCTCAGGACATATCAGCCCGTTCATGGAATAAAGCGAGTTATGTCAGCTTGTGACGGATGGTGTCGAACATGAATCTACTTCAGTGCTGATACCAGATTGAGAACAATAATGAAATCTCCTCATAGCTGTAGATGAAGGAAGGCTAGGTGGTACATTCATCACTTATATCCCAAAGGGGTATTGAGATTTTGCTGCTCATTGTTAATTGATCATAAGAATGTAGAGGTGCTATACCCGATCTAAGTATAATATTCATGGAACTAGCCGCATTTCGTGGTTAAATAGATGTAAGGCCGGGATTTATGTGTGTATGAGGTAAACCCTTTGATTTTAAAGCAGGAAGGCACATAGCAATAGGTTGATAGAAAGAGCAGGTGATATTTTTTTTTAACTTATTTGCTGTTGCTTCTCGAGGTAAAAAGGGAATGAGAGTGAGTGGGGTTCAAAGTGAACGTGGAAAAATAACAAGATAATAAAATCATAGGCGGATGAACGAGGTCAATCAAAGAGGGTCAAGAATCAAATCATAATCAAAGAGTGTCGAGAATCAAGTCATAAGACGTATAACAGCCAGGAAACATTACTTTGTAGGAGTCATATGTACCAGTGAAAAGAGGGAATCTCAAGTGTGTGCAAAAAAGCCTCGCAAAAAAAATAAAAAAAAATAGGAAAAAAAACTAGAATAAGGTAAATGGAAAGGAAATAATCAAAAGATGGAGAAGGCTAGGTTAGCCCGGGCAGATCCTAATTCGAGTTGTCCGTCGATTGAAAACTGGCATACAGTTTGCTGAAGTTTGAGCTGGGATCTTCGAGGAGGGAGTATGGTTCGCCGTTTTCGATAACGCGTCCGGCTTCGAGCATGACAATACGGTCATAGTCCAAGATGGTATCTAGCTTATGGGCCACGGAAATGATGGTGTGTTTGGAGAATTTCTCCCGAAGAACGCGTTGCATGATTTCGTCTGTTTTGGTGTCGATGCTGTGTCGAAGTTAGTAAATTCTCGTTGCTCTCTGCAAGGGGGCAGGCAAAAGCGGCAATATGTGCGGTGTAAGGGGGAACACGTCAAAAGAAGAGATGAAAGGGATGGAAAGTGGGGCTGTCATATTGCAAGAGGAAGTATGTTAGGGGTTCAAGACAATGTTGTAACTTACTTGCTGGTGGCCTCGTCGAGAATGAGGATGTTTCCAGTGCGCAGGATGGCGCGAGCAAGACAGAATAGTTGCCTTTGGCCATGTGAGAGGTGGATCTCATCGATGTCGGTGTCCAGATCCCCTTTCTCTTGAATGATCGAGTAAAGCTGCACACTCTTGAGTGCCTCAATGATGTCCCCATCGGATAGCGATCCGGTTGGGTCGGCGTTGAGGCGGACTGTGCCCTTGAACAGCAGAGAGTCCTGTGCGACTCCGTTGATGCGTGAGCGAATTTCACGACGCGGCAGACGACTTATGTCAACTCCGTCCACTGTGATAGTACCGGCCGAAAGCTCGATCATGCGGAAAATGCTCATAATAGTAGATGTTTTGCCACTATGCTGGATGTCAGAATGGACGGACTAGCTATGTTTTTAACGCAGCTTGCTTACCTTCCAGTTCGGCCGCAAATACCGACCTTCTCACCTGGCGCGATTGACAGAGAGACATTCTTGAGAACTGGCTCATCGGGTCTGGACAGATATGTCAGTTTGAAAATTAAAGTGAGTGGAGGAGGATTGGGAAAAAATACCTGTAAGCCGCAGAAACAGAATGGAACTGCACTGCACCATTGGCTGGCCAGTTGGTAGGAGGAGTATTATCTTCCCCGGGGAGATCTTCTGACGGAGCAGTCTGAGTGAAATCCTTGACACGTAGAATTGATCCGATGTGGGTTTCTAGATTGGTCCAGAAGGTCACCAAAAGCTTGATACTTTGACTAAACTGGATGACGTTGAGGAGGGCAACACCGACGGAGCCTGCTCCCATTGCGGTTCCACGAAGAGCGACGACAAGAACGATTAGGAGGATAGCGATACCGGCAACGACTAAATCTAGCGATAGAGTGAGCCAGCGCTGGATAGCAAACATGTAGTAGAATGGTCTTTGAGAAAGATCCAAAAGCTCAATGTTTTTCTTTTCCATGTTATGTTGCCAGCCGAAAGCTCTCAATGTTACAAGTCCTTGGAGACAGTCGGTGAAATGTGAGAACAACGGAGCCTTTGCCTCAAGATCGATGAAACGGATGCGACGGGAAGTGCGCAGGTAAAGCTTTTGGATGAGGAACAGCATGCCAAGAACGATAGGGAAGGAGATGGCCGCCCATTTCGAACCAACTCCAATCAGTGCCATTTGAGCCATACAGAGGAACAAGGTGACAACAGTGTTGATAGCCGCGATTGGGAGCTCCATGTCAACAAGTTGCAAGTCTTGGCTGAATCGGTTGAGGATAGCGCCACTATCAGTCGTTGAAAAGAATAGCATGGGCGCACTGAGGACAGTGACCAACAGCCTGCGGTGGAAAACTTCGCCAGACTTGGGTACCATGCTGATAATCATCTGCCAGCAACCGGCAATGAGGGCGATCATAGCTAAGACACCGAGCATCACGTAAATACCAATGTAGTATCTGTTGCGCTCACGGTAATGAGCCATGTCTGACTCCGCCCACCACTCTAACCAAATGCTGGGGAAGGAGATGCAGAAAACAAAAGCAGCCATGGACGACATGAACACAAATCCAGGTAACCATCCGATGGCATCGAGATAGTACTTGTAGATGGACATATCACCACCCTTGATCATCGGCTCAGGTTCGGCCTCGGGCTGGGCAGGTTCCGAGTCTTCTGACAGCTTCTCATTATATATACTTTCAACGAGTGTGCTGTAGCTAGCAGAATCTGATAAGCGCTTGGGCGGCTTGAAGTCCCATTCAGTTGGACCAAGACCGAAGCTTGACACGTATCCACCAGTCTTGTTGAGAGCAGCGAAGCTGCCTTGTTCGGTGATACGGCCATCCTCACCCAAGACAACAATGTAATCGGAGTATGGCAGACGGCTGACGGCAGAAGAGGCGACAATAATGGAAGTGCCCATCTCTCTCAACAGACCCATGGGTCCAAGCAAACTGTGGAAGATGTGGTTTTCAGTGGTTGCATCGAGGCCGCTCATTGAGTCATCCAAAATGACAGTCTTCCGCTTGGCATAGACAGCTCGTGCAAGGGCAATACGTTGGCTCTGGCCACCACTGAGGGCGACGCCCTTGCTTCCAATGATACTTTGATCACCACTAGGGAACTGGCCGAGATCTTCCTCAAGAGCGCAAGCCTGAAGAACAGTTGCGTACCATTTCGGATCATAGTCTCCCATGGCGAGAATACTATCTCTGATGGTGCCGTTCATATGCCAGGGTGTCTGATCACAGAAAGCCACACCTGTGGAAGACAAGTCAACCATGCCTTGTGTTCCAGGCATTTCACCGAGAATGGCTTTAATCAGAGATGATTTACCGCATCCAGAGGGTCCAATGAAGTAAGTCAAACTACCACGCGCGAGAGTCAAGTCAATATCACTCAAGACAGGCTCCTTGTCAGCATCCCAGCTGAATGTTCCATTCTTAACGGTAACTACGTTAGGAGATACGGCAGATGGAAGCCCCCGCTTGAAGGACTCAACCGACTCCGCGTTGCTGAGAGACATGTCAAGAGTGCCGTACATAGACAGTAGCTTGGCTTCAGCCAGATCTTCCAGGGATTGATATCCAGGGGAGCTCTTCCGCTTGTCTTGATGAGAAGGCTTGTCTAAGAACTCTTGGCAGCGAGCAAAAGATCCCACCGACCCGAGGAAAGACATGAGAGCCATGACAAGGGACATGAGAGGGTCTGAGAGAAGACCAAAGAGGGACAGAGAGGTATACACGCGCGAGACGGTCAAGACGTTGTTGGAAATGGAAGCAAAGCAGGCAAAGGTGAAAATTGGGGCGAAGACACGGGTCATCCATGCAAATCCCATGTTCCAAGTAAGAAGCGTACGAAAGTGCTTGGAAATATTGAGCTCATCGATTCGCAAGCCATGCACGAACTTCATCATGGAATCTTGTAGTCCAAGCATTTTCACTCCCTTGATGGATCCCAGCATGTTGCTAGTAGATGAGATGCGGCGCTCGATGGCTTCGAGCCACTTAGCTTGACTTTGTACCACGAAGGACATCATAATTATGGAGCCAATCAAGGCAACTAACGCAGTAATTAGTATAAAGCCGTCCAGTGAAGAGACATTAGGTCCACATACCAAGTGCAACACCAACTGGTACAACACAGGAAACACCTAGTTGAACCTCCAGGAGGTAAATGGCCAATGCGATCTCTATCGTGTTGCCCCAGATCTCGTGCATTGTCTGCCAACCGTTGGTAATGCGCTCCACATCTGCACTCATCAAGGTGAGAGAGTTGGCAGGGTCAGCATCGGTGATGCTGAGAGTGCTGGCTTTCTTGAACAGCATTGTAACAAGAATCCCGCGAACCATGGTAATGGCACGATAAGTGTTGTGCTGATACTGACCCATCGAGACCTATAGCTTGTTAATTTACGTTTCAGGAAGGTCGTGAAAATTGCAAGACCTACAGCCAAACCGATATAAACCAAGATATATGCGCCAATCAACCCATAGCCAACGTTGGTGGTAGCACCGTTCACGGGTTCGCTGAAGAAAGTGATAGATCGAGCAAGCAGTAAAGGCTGCGATATATTGAAGGCCGCAACACACAATCTAGCTGGGATTGCTGTGAGGAGCGGCACGCTGGCAGCCTTGAAAGCTTCAAACTGCAGCGAATTGGGAGTTTTTGGATCGACTGGATAGTGTTAGCTGACTCGAATCGGACTCGATGGTTCATTATATTACCTTTGCTCCATTTCTCCTCAAATGAGGACAATAGTCTCTCAGAGCTCAACTCATCATCCAAAACAAAAAGATCTTTGAGAGACAGCGCGTTTTTATAACCACGTAAGAACAGGGGATTTAACCAGAAAAAGAAGGCTCGGTTGTAAAACCCGGCTAAAGCCTCAGAAGGATAGTTAACATAGTCAGGCCGAAGGATGTGACGCTTCTCCACAGCCTCGAGAACAAGGAGCAGAGCTTTCAATGCCACAGATACAGTAGTAACGATTGCAAGGTGGTCGCCCAGCGTATCCACGGATCGCAGCCAGATGGTTCTGGCACGAGCAATATCAAACAACAAGCTGCAAAACAGGTATGCATTTAAAATAAACGAAGGTCGGACAGAGCGAGTATGCTCTGCAAAAGAAAGCGCGCCTAGAAAGAGGACTCCAATCATCAGCATTGCGTTTGCGGCAACCGATGCCCTGGTTGACTGCGCTGACGGCATAGCCCACAGAGCCAGCTGAGCAATCTGAAGTGCCAAATAAATGACCCAAGAAGCCTGGTCGTGAATAATCCGTATTAGTTTCTTGGTGAAGTCTCAATACCGCATGACAAGTCGAAATTAGAACTAACCATCTTGACGGGGAGTCCCCATGATCCGACGACCTTGCGCCGTTCCTGAGAGAGCTGCCATAATCGAATGGGAGTAATAATTATAATCAAAGTGATGGGAAGGATTTCAAAAATAGATTCCTCAAACAAGAGTGTAAAGTCAAAGCCTCCACGACAATGACTAGCGTATGCGCCAAAGGTATTGTCAATATCACGGCAGGAAGGTCCAGACGATGGAGAAGCCATGAGGAGTATCTGAAAGCCAATAAAGGCTCAGGTGAACGAGTGACCGAAGTTGGGTAAATGAGTGATGACTTCAAAAGCTCATAGCGTGTGTGACGGTCTTTCTAGAGTAGAAGGAGTAGAAGATTGGACTTGTCCAAAAGACAGCAGGGTATGTACAAGAAGAGATACCACGACGGACTTGGATGTAGATCCCGATCTGTGCAGATATGCAGGACTTTGCAATCCCCTGAATCAAAAATCGTGATGTCCGGATTTATGACCTTGTTACTGGGCCCTGCAATAGAGTGGAACTCCAAATTTTCGTATCTCTCTTACAACGGGATTACCTGTCTCTCTTCTTGAACCGAGTGTTCCACTCCGTCTCAATTCTATTTTCCCTTCTTTTTTTTTTTTATCTTTTTTTATTTTCTGAATTTGATGCGAATAATTAGGATTTTTCTATTTTGGGAGACTTTCCGATAATTCGGTGGCTCACGGAATCACATCAATTTTGGAGTCTATATTGAGCAAGCTTATTCAGAAAACCATTTCCGTAGGACTTTTGTGTGATGCTTCATTTTCCCATTTTTTTAATCGTTTATTTGAATTTTCTATCTTCTATTTTATTTTCTATTTTTCTTTTGCCTCTATGGGGATGCGGGGGATGCAAGGCTATCGATAGCGGTTCACCCCTAGAGTGTAGGATTAATTGAATAATAACTCCGTAGCTCGCGACAGCGAGGGACTCGGAGGAACCCTGCCGCAAGGGAAATGTCCCATATAAAACAGGTGGGCTCTTTTTCCGTTTAAGCTCATTCGTGCGCGGGAGAATCCTTGAAAGTCATGCTATTTTCGGGTTAGGGCTAATTACTGAATCTGAAACTATCAGATACAATGTAACAACCTGATGCACTTGACCACCATGAAACACTAGAGTCTTTATCAGAATGCACCACTGCAAAGGAAAGCTGGCATGCCATGTCTGACAGGAGTTCAAATAAGTGCAACTTAAGAATGAGATCTCGGGAAAGCCATGACAAAGCTGCGACATGACTGTCTGGGTAGATGTGTCAGATCTGTATCGACTCCATGGTTTCTATGTTTGTAACAAGCTTGAAAGGTACCTAGGTAAGCATCAAAAACTACGGTATTGTCCATCGAGACAACATGGGAAATATGAAGCTTGAATAGTTTCGTTTAGACTTACTTGAACCGAATTTCAGAATACTTATATACCTCTTACTTTTCAATATGCTTACTTGAGTGTCTAGCACTCCACTTGATACATACCGACCTCCGGAATAGCCTACATCCATACAACTGGGTATCTATATACGTGCACTGGTGCTAAATATCGCAAAAGTGTGTCTATGACAGATATAGACGGATATACTTACGGCGTATCTAGGTAGTTATTTAGACATTCTGCATCATCCTGAATAGCTTGGAAGCTGTGTTTACAAGTTGATTTGTAGTAGGCCACTATTTAGATATATATATATATCTTTAGTTCCAAATATCCCGGGGTCTCGCTGCCGTCCCTGAGTTAGGAAGTTGATCAGCATGAGGACCATGATGGTAACTCCACCTGTTAGGCTTGAGTTCTTTTCCAGGACTCTATCTCCAGTACTTACGACGTAAAACCTATTTCTATTGTAACTGTGACATGTAAATGAATTTCATCTGCAAGTGGGATACATTTCGATACGTATGCGGGCCATACGAGTGACTCCGTATTCGAGCATCGGTTACCAAAAAAGCTCCACTAGCTTAACCTTGGAAGTGGCAATGAGCCGGGATTTGGTGCATGAAAATTCTGTAATATTTAGCCTGCCGAGTCCTACAGAGATTCGGGAGGCTACATCCATGCAAATAGAGCGTGGGCAATCTATATGCATCGCGTTGAGGCTGACGTATTTGACCAGGATAGCCCTGCATTCTTTGGCAAACATAAGTGAGAGATGACGACGAGGTCGTATAGCGTAATGGTTATCTAGTTCCTTCAGGAAGAAAACGCCTGCAATTAAGATTTGATTATGAATCTAAGGTTATCTTCTTTGGATGGGGAATTTTGTAGCACGGACTACGGCACTTGGGATTTGCAGGTATTAATATACGCCCAATCTCGGAGTGCCTTAATGCCGAGAGCAAGCCCTAGAAGCTTCAGAGCTTGGAATATCTATACAATCCTACAGCTGAAATCTCTGTAGGATCGACCACGGGTCGTGATCCAAATTTGAGAGATCTGAACTCATACTGTATCCCATAATCAGCACTAAAACTTTAGGTCTTTCATCAACAAAACTGAAAAGCAATTAATATGACGAAGTATTTGTTTGACGGCATTTGGATAGTTAGGGCCCGAGCGCTAACGCCGTTCAGAGAAAAACATTCAGGGAAATGTTAGCAAATGGAATTCAGCCACACCCATAGGCCCCTGACGCCCGCCAAGATTCAAGCTAATGGCCATAACATTGATGTGACTTCATAGTACCAGGTAATACTCCAGTCCCGAGCGAACTCTGGAATGATGTTTGGTGAATGTTCTATAAAACATCCAAGGAGTATTCAGGTATGAAAAGGTAGGGATTTGAACATCGAAAGTTGTGTCGAGATATATATAAGGTGCACGTACCTATTTCTAAGGTTGGAATTGCTTTTCTCTTCCCACTGACTTGCAGGAACCTGTAAAGAAGCAAACAAGTAAGCGAGAGCGATGATTATTTTTAGGTAAACATCTAAAAATTTTCGCAGGTTCCAAGGTTATGATGGGTCTCAACATTGACCTCCCGACAAAATCACGTCAAAAATGACAGCCCACATTTATTTTATTCGCAAATGCCGATAGGCTCTTCCACAAGAAGCAGGGATTGATCCGCGATGGGCCGATATTAGCCCTTGCAGAACTGGCTCTAACACTGGTACGTCGGATCCCTGAAACGATTAGCTTTCTTAGGCTGCGTTTCTACTCCACTGGACCCACTTAGTTCTTTCTACCATTCTACTTCCAGTGGTAATTTTCTATGTATTGTGTTCGATTCGTCCATTGCTCCATAGCTTAGTAATCGGCTGCTGTACCGAGTAATCTTCCGATGCGCTGGCTTTTCATCACGATACATGTAGTATTCATCAATATAAGCCATCAATCTCACTAAGATGTACGGATTGGTCCTACCCATTGTGCTGATATATCCAATCTAGTCTCCTCTGCCTGGGACATAAAAGAAATAGACAGGATGAAGTCATCGAGATATGTGTGGTTGTGATCGTCGTACTCTTCTCCACCTCTGGCACCTTGTAAATGCGTCTTGACTTTACTGCAACTATTCTCCGTTATCTGGGCATGGAAGAAAACATGCGCGCTTTGTATCCCGCCTCGAAACTTGTTGATACGGGAGCTCCGGTCTTCCGAGGTGTCCTGTCGCGTCTGCGTGGGCTGAGTCATTTTGCCTGAGTTAGTAATTCCGTCGAGTATGGCATCAATGTCTGCTCCGTAATGTGTGTCATGGGATCCATGGATCAATAAATAAAGCTGAGTGTAAAGCCTTGCTGATAAAAAACACCTTTTGAATACAATTGGTATTTTTTTCTACGACATCAAAGCCTGCCAAGTTTTTCTACTGTATATCCGTCATGGTCATCAACGCTAATTAAACATAAGAAATGAACTCATTTCAGGATTCAAGACATAACATGTTCACCTCCATAGATATCACGGCATTAGACTTGACTGGAATGCTTCGTGCAGGAACAGTGTTTAGCGTTTGCCTTACTGAACCACGTTGGCAAGTACATAAGTAGGGGATTTAGATCGGAAGGTTGCATGTCGATCTGCCCTGACCAAGAAAGTGGATAATATTGAAACCGACCGAAAAAAAGAACAGAAGCGAAAAGTAGAATGAAAATGTACTATTTGTAGTTAAAAAAAACTGTAGAATAACCCCTGCATGTTACTCATGCCTTTTTTAGGGCATCATTTCCCGTTCCCGCGATAATCATTTGCCTTCCGAAATCCGATGATTTCAGTAAATATATTTTTAGTGTAATTTGAGCTCGTTCAATACGGAGGATGGAAGTTCACGGAGTTCTCCACTAAAAGTGGTGTCCACTACATATCCCGTGTGCTTCCTCGTTCGAAGTTGTCTCTCTAGAGTCAGAACTTGTCTTAGTTCCGTGGTGGCCGAGGAGTTCTCCACTGTTCACCGCACTGACGGCGTGGCGTCCGCCTAACTCTTGGGCCATCTAGATCTAAACTTATGCAAGGACAATACATGTAGTGTTCTGATTCAGGTTAGTACTGTATTTCATACGTAGAGCCGTTTCTGAACGAGGAGCATGGCCGATTCTGCCCCGATGGCTTGATAGTGTGGCTATTTTAGTTTTTTTAAATGTTTGAGAAATCCAAATCCATCCTTTTCCAATTTCACGAAAGTGTTCGACTGTCTTTATACCTGCGGACGAACTAGCTTATTTGGATTTGATTTATTGACTTGTCCAATTGTAATTTGAAGCTTTAATAGCAGCTTCCCCTAATCATCGGCCATTCACTACATACACTCCATCTATCATTCTCTCATCAGCGCCATCTTTTGTCGACCGAACTAAATACACCACCAACGATTCAAATGACGATCATGGCCAAATCCTCACATTGCTACCTACCTACCTTCTCTACCGCGGTAGACGGACCGAGACGCCCTGTATCGATCAAGACGAGGCCGACACCTGCTCAGCATGCGCAGTTATTCACTGCCTGGCAAGAGGGCCGCCTGGAATCTGTCCTGCAGACGACTTGGGGTCTAGTCTTGCACTACTACCTCCGAACCGAAGATATCAGCTTCGGGTTCCAATACATCGACGGCGATACGCCGACCACTATACAAACTGTACAACAATCCGGGATCGCGAATCTTTCGATAGTCCGGCTAGCCATTGGTGAAAACGACTCCATCAAGGCAATTGTAGATAAAGTGAAGAATCGTGATGAATCTGATTCTCAAACGACCGAAGGATCTCTGGAAGGTGCATCTGGCGCATTGCCCTTCAACACCATCTTGATGCTGCGCACGTATCACCAGGCTGTCGATTCGCCAACGTTGCCCGCCAGCCCATTGCTGGCAAATCCACTCCCAGAACAGGTTTGTCGCTTCATCTCGAAAGTGTGGGCGTTGGAGTCTAAATACTGATTTCATATGTGCAGTGCCAAGTTCGCCTTCATGTGAAGGTATTGAGTCGAGACATCAGCATCTTCCTTGAATGGCGAAACGGATCTATGTCTGGCAACCAAATGAAGAGTGTTGCCTATATTTTTGAACAAACGCTTAACAAAGTCCTTTCTGCCGAGGACATTGCTATCAACCAGCTTAATTTCTTCTCGGACAATGATTGGCAGCGGATCCAGAAATGGAATTCCACTACCCCGAAGCTTTACGATCGCTGCATACACGATGCGATCCGCGACAACGCAATCAACGGCCCAGATAGGGAGGCAGTGTGTGCCTGGGATGGTACACTGACTTATAGCGAGCTGAACGAAGCAGCCTCAAAGCTTGCATATCACCTGCGCATGCAGGGAGTTGGCCCTGAAGTGCGCGTGGCCCTGTGCTTTGATAAATCGGTGAGTGGTTGTCAGAGATACTTTTGTGGTGGACTGATTAGCTGATATGCGGCAGAAATGGAACATTGTTGCAATGCTTGGCGTTATGGCCGCCGGTGGCGCTTTCGTCCCATTGGACCCGACACACCCAACATCGCGACTGCAAAATCTCATCGAGTCTGTTAAGGCTCCTGTAGTGTTGTGCTCGGAAACCCGCGTGGAGACTCTTCGCTCTGTTGCGAAGAATGTGATTCCACTCTGCGACGAGACCCTGGCAAGTTTTGCTGCCCCTGCTGAAGGCGTCGACCTTGCATCGGGTGTCACTAGCCAAAATGCAGCTTACGTCTTGTTCACTAGCGGATCGACGGGCGAGCCTAAGGTAAGTTGCGGGAGTTCGATTTGGCAGAACGGGGCGGAGATGCTAACTTTCTCGTTAGGGCACGCTGCTCGAACACCGCGCTTTCTTGTCTGGTGCTATGGTTCATGGACCTGGCTTGCAGGTTTTCCGTGATTCAAGATCACTTCAATTCGCAGCTCACACTTTTGATGCTAGTCTGGCAGAGACACTGACTCCTCTAATCCATGGAGCCTGTGTCTGTATTCCTAGTGAGGAGGCGCGGCTCAATGATATAGTCGGTGTTATTAATGAGATGCGTGTCACCCAAGCATGCTTCACACCCTCATTCATTGGCTTCATTGACATCGAAACTGTGCCGGGGCTAAAGAGTATTACTTTGGCCGGAGAGGCAATGTCGCAGTCTCAACTGGCCACTTGGTCCAAAATCAAACTAGTTAATGGATACGGACCGACCGAGGCCAGTGTCGCAGCGACGATCAATTGCAACATCACACCAGATACCGACTGTAAAGATATCGGATTCCCAGTCGGCGTCAAAGCTTGGCTTGTCAACCCTGAAAATCATGACGAGCTGGTCCCTGTGGGCGCTCCCGGTGAACTTTTGCTTGAAGGCCCAACCCTGGCTAGATGCTATGTTAACAACCCAGAGAAAACCAACGAATCTTTCATTTACGACCCCGCCTGGACGAAGCTGGACTCCACAGGCGGCATGAATCGGAGATTTTACAAGACCGGTGATTTGGCACGGTACAACTCTGATTCAGGCTCATTCAATTATATTGGCCGGAAGGATACCCAGGTCAAGGTTCACGGACAGCGAATTGAACTAGGCGAAATTGAGAATCAATTGATGAGAGACTCTAATGTTACGCATTGTGCCGTGCTGTTCCCCAAAACGGGTTTCTCAAATGGCCGATTGGCAGCTGTCATTTCCTCAGCTGGGTTGTTCGCTGATCAATCGGATGCGAACCTTGAGCCCTTGCGCCTGATATCTCCATCGATGAAAGCGAAACTGGTCGCAGGAATTCGAGAGGGACTATCGGTCAGACTGCCAACCTACATGGTACCGTCTGTCTGGTTGTTCGTTGAGTCTATGCCTCTCCTGCCCTCTGGTAAGCTTGACCGAAAAGGCATTGCTGGGTGGGTCGCTGGTATGGAAATAGACCCAGATCTTTCAAATTCCAAGGCCGCTACGGTCTCAGATGGGACTGTATCTCACCCTGCTAACGAGACGGAGGAGGCTCTCGCTGCTGTTTATAGCCGCGTTCTCAACATCCCCCAAAATCTTGTAGATCTTGATGAAAGTTTCTTGGCCTTGGGTGGTGACTCTCTTGCTGCTATGACCTGTGTGGGACACTGTAAGAAGCGTGGTTTCGGTCTTTCTGTGCAGGAGGTTCTTCGCAGCAAGTCTATCCGTGATCTAGCCACACGTGTCAAAGCGCTGCACAACACGACCTATAAAGAGGCAGTTGAGGAGAAATTCAGCCTGTCCCCTATCCAGGTCCTTCACTTTGGCGTTCGCAAGGAGGGACAGGGCCACTTCAACCAGGGAATCACCACTCGCATTAGCAAACCGATCGAGGAGGCCACTTTGCGGAAGGCTATCGAAACCCTCGTTTCTCGTCATTCCATGCTGCGCGCTCGATTCGAGGATGCTGGTGATGGTACCGCATCTAACCAGCGGATTACTGCCGATGTGAAGGGCTCATACAGATGGCGCCGTCATATTGTCGGTCGAATGGATGAAATTGAACCATTTGTGGCGGACAGTCAGTCCTGCATCAATTGCTTCTCTGGTCCTATGTTGGCCGTCGAGTACTTCTGCTTTCACGATAAAAGTCAGCCTCATGTCATTTCGATGACTGCACACCATCTGGTAGTCGACATTGTCTCTTGGAGAATAATTCTGGAAGACCTAGAAGATCTAGTGGTGAACCCGGAGAGGTCAGGTAGTGATACTGGCTCCGTCCCGTATCAGACATGGTGCTGCTTGCAGGAGGAGCACTCCAAAGCTCTAGTTTCAGAAGGAAAGGCACCGAAGGATCCACTTCCTGTCATTGACTTCAATTTCTGGGGTCTGAAGAGCAACTCGACGACTTACGGTGATGTTGATTGTGCATCATTTGAAATCGATGAGGTCCACACCAAGTCTATCTTGCTGGAATGCCACAAGGCTCTGGATACAGAACCGATTGATCTGTTCCTTGCATCGCTGTTGCACTCGTTTGGAAACTCGTTCACTGACAGACATTTGCCAACCATCTACAACGAGGGCCACGGACGCGAGGTCTGGGATCCCTCAATTGATATCTCACACACCGTTGGATGGTTCACGATCTTGCATCCAATCCTTGTAGATGGATTCCGAGCTGATAACCCAGTTGATACCCTTATCAAGGTTAAGGACCTGCGACGTCGCGTGACAGATAATGGTCGCGCGGATTTCGCCAGCCGAGTTCTGAAAACTGGAGGGCCCCAGAGTGGTAGCCACCCGCATCCGTTCGAGATGTCCTTCAACTATGTTGGACAGCACCGTGATCTACAGAGACAAGATGGTCTTTTCCAACTGGTCAACCAAATGGCCGGAGAGACTGGTCAAGGTAGTGGTGCGGCAGATTTCGGACGTGACACTCCCCGATTTGGCCTTTTCGAGATTTCTGCCATGGTTGTCGCTGGCAAAATTCGGTTCACATTCTCTTTCAACAAGTTTATGCAGCATCAAAATCGCATCCACCAGTGGGTTTCCAACTGCCAGCAGCAACTGACTTCAATGTGTGACCAGCTCAGCGCTATGGAGCCTCGTTTGACGCTCAGCTCATTCCCAATGCTTTCTTTGACCTATGACAGTCTGGACAGACTACTCACAGAAAAGCTTCCTCGTATTGGTGTCCGCTCTGCCGACCATATCGAGGATATCTACCCTTGTTCACGTATGCAGCAGGGTATTCTCCTCGGTCGCACTCGGGACAGCTCCTACTACGCTGTCCATGATACCTTTGAGGTTCAAGCTACTGGGTCCTCAGCACCGAATCTGGACCGACTCATTGCGGCGTGGAAGCAAGTCACTTCACACCATGCAATGTTCCGCACAATTTTTGTTGAGAACCTCACTCCTCGTGATCCCTTCTCCCAGGTTGTGTTGAAGGAGTATGATGCAGCCCCCGTAATCCTGCCGTCCGTTGGTGACGATGATGTGTTGGCTGCGTTTGATGCTCAAGAGCCCAATAACTACGATGATATCAGCCCTGCTTATCGTTTCACGCTTTGCCAGACATTTACTGGTCGGCTTTTCGGTCGAATTGAGCTCAGCCACGCTGCCATGGATGGTAACTCGATTTCCATCATCATGCGTGACCTGCAGCTTGCATACGTTGGCAGACTTGAGCAGAGCCGGCGCCCGTTGTTCAAGGAATACATCAACTATCTCCAGAATGCGCCTCAACAAGCAAGCATCAACTACTGGCGCTCATATTTGTCGGATTCTAAACCTTGTATTTTCCCTGTGCTCACTGACGGCAAGACTCCCGCAAGGAAGGCTCTCCGCTCCATTCCTGTGAGGTTTGAATCTTTGGCCCAACTGCAAAGTGTTTGTGATAACAAGGGAACCACTCTCTCAAATGCGTTCAATGCGGCCTGGGGTTTGACTTTGCGACTCTTCAGCGGCTCCGATGATGTCAGCTTCAGCTACATGGCATCGCTGCGAGATATTTCTGTAGATGGTATTCAGCTCGTTGTTGGTCCGGTGATCAACATCATGGTCTGCCGAATGAAATTGTCTGGAACTTCCTTGTTGAAGGATGTAATAGAGAGTATCCAGAATGATTACATCGAAAGTCTGCCATACAGACATACCTCGTTGATTGATATTCAGCATGCGCTCAAGCTGTCTGATGGAAACCTGTTCAACTCTGGTGTGTCATACCGTCGCTTGCCGGGTGCTAAGGACGCCGTGATTAGCGATATTGAATGCGTCGAAGTCGGTGCTATTCACGATCCAGCTGAGTTCCCGGTCTTCATCAACATTGAAGCCATGGATAGCAATGCACAAATCGATTTGAACTACTGGAGCACCCATCTTTCCGATGCTCAAGCTACCAATGTTGCCAACACCTACCTCGCTTGCCTGAACAGTATCATGACCAGCTCTGATAGCGAGATCCGCGAGTTGGAGTGCCTCAATGACAGCAATAAGCTTCAAATTGCCGCATGGAACAGCCAGAAGCCGCAAACCGTCGAGAAGTGTGCCCACCAGATCATTCAGGATATGGCCATTAAAACCCCCGATGCATTGGCAATGAAGGCCTGGGATGGTACTATGACCTACTCCAAGCTTGATCAATACTCCTCGCGCCTTGCCAGCTATTTGATGACATTCGGAGTTGGGCCTGGTACCCTCGTTCCCACTTCTTTCGAGAAGTCTCTTTGGAACACAGTGTCAACGCTTGCTGTCATGAAGGCTGGCGGTGGTTGTGTCCCGGTCGACTCACCTAAGACTATGGGTTTGATTGAGAAGTGGGTTCTCGAAAAGAACGTCCAAGTTGCTCTAGCGTCGCCAGAAAAAGCCCAAGTCCTTGAGGAGACTATCCCCTACGTCATTCCTGTTGGTGCATCTCTTCTTGAGTACCTCAATGATGAGCCCTTGATGTCTGCAGCATGCGTTGATGATGCTGCATACGTTGTTTTTTCTGCCGGTGCTTCATCAAGTCCAAAAGCCATCGTCCTAGATCATGTGGCAATAGTGGCAAGGGCTGCTGCGTTTTCCAAGTCCCTCCAGATGACTGATGTCTCCAGGACCTTGCAATTTGGTGACCATACCTCTGATCTGTTCTTGCTTGAGACTTTCGGAACATTCCTTCGCGGGGGTTGTGTCTGCATCCCGGTTGATGTCCAGCCAGATAGCCTTAGCACATCTATCAATAGCCTTGATGCTACTGTCGCCTGCATCACCCCTACAATTGCGAAGTTCATTTCACCAAAGGACGTTCCAAGTCTAAGTGTATTGTCTATGATTGGTGAAGCTGTTACAAGTGACCTTTTCGAGAAGTGGAACACCAAGGATCTCACTGTGCACTGCCTTTATGGTACAACTGAACGTTCCTCGGCATCTTTACACACCACCCAATTTTCTCCGGCCATCCTTGGTACGGCTGTGTCTTGTAACTCGTGGGTCGTTGATTCCACTAACTGCGATATCTTGGTCCCGGTCGGTGCTGTTGGTGAGTTGGTTCTCGATGGCCCTCCAATTCCTCCCATGTACCTCGACCAGGAACTGCCCGCCGATTCCTATTTCGAATCCCCGACATGGTTGTCCAACTTCCACAAAGACATTGACTCTACGTTACCACCCCAGCAATTCTTCAAGACTGGAGATCTCGTCCGCTACAACTCTGATGGTTCATTGGTGTACGTTGGACGAAAGCCTATTGAAGCTGGATTCATTGCTTGCTCAGATAGACTCGATCTTGAGGAGTGCATTGACTCACACTTCAGTTCCAAGAGGTTTTGCATTCCAGGATGTGTCTCTTTCAAAGGAGATCTTTCAGATCGATTGGTTGCGTTTGTTTGCACCTCTGAAACCTCCCCTGTCTCCTTTGAAGAGGGCGTCATTCAGGACTCAGTTCCTGAGATGAAATCTATCATTGCTGCGTTGCACGCATATTTGAGCACAAGGGTCTCATCAAGGAATGTTCCGAGTACGTATATTCCCATCTCCTCCATCCCCCTCACCCGTTTTGGTAAGTTTAACCACCAAGGTCTGAATGAAGAGCTTCAAGGCCTCTCAAACAAGGTGCTAAGCTCCTTCCACATTAAATCTTGGACTGAATCCAAGTCTTCAAATCGGATTTCTCGCCAGTCTCTTTCCGGGTCCAATGTTGCTTTCTGGAGAGAATATCTTGCTGATGTTGAGCCATGCAATTTCCCGGCCCTATCCGAGGACCCCAGCAAGGGTATTGCAACACGCACACTCAACAGACAGTCTCATGAGCTGCAGAACTTCGCCAAATCGTGCTCTGTTTCTATTGAGACTATTCTCCAAGTTGTGTGGGGACTTGTCTTACGTTGTTATACTGGGTCTGATGACGTTTGCTTCGGTTACTACAGAAGCAAGCTGGATGACTCCGCAGCTGTCTACATCACCCGCCTTTCCGTCAGTAACGCTCGCAAGATTATCGAAATCTTGCAGCAAGCCAAGTCCGACGCGGAGAAGGCGAAGCAGAACTTCGCTGAGCTGAATGTTGTCCTCAATCAACTGGGCCTGAATGATACCAATGTTTTCAACACCCTCCTCACATACCGCGAGGTCGTATCTCCAAGCGGACGGCCCTCACCTTCAAAGACTTTCGATGGTTTCAACATTACGGTTTCCGCGGAAGTTTCTAGCACTATTGTGGCAATTCGTTTCCATTATTCCACAGAAACACTTTCCTCATCCCAGGTCACCCATCTCATCGACACCTTTGGGCACATCCTGGCAGATATCATTTCTTCCAGTCCCCAGGACCGCGCCATCGGCCAGATAGATTTCTTCCCCCGAAGCTCTTGCCGCCAAATCCGTGATTGGAACGCGAGCTCTCCTCCACGTTTGGAACGGTGCACTGATGAACTCATCCAGCAACAAGCACTGATGCACCCTCTTAATGAGGCCATTTGTTCTTGGGACAAAAGCTTTACTTACGGAGAGCTGGATCTCACTGCCACCCGGCTCGCCCGTTACCTCGCAAGCCTGGGTGTTAAGCCTGACAGCTTTGTGGTTCTCTGCTTCGAAAAATCTGCCTGGGCGGTCGTTGCCCAGTTGGCCATTCTCAAAGCTGGAGGTGCTTTCGTCAGCGTTGATCCTTCTCACCCTGATTCGCGCCTGCAGATGCTGATCGACGAGATTGGAGCCGAGTTGGTTTTAAGCTCAGTACTACTTCAACCAAAAATGTCGAAGCTTTGCAAGCAAGCGTTTGCACTGTCGCAGGAAAGCATCGATAAAATGGATGAATCGTCCCTTCCATCCTTGCCCCCCCCTAGACACACTCCCCAAAGTCCAGCCTACGGTAAGCACCCTCGTTATTATGATTTTGAATAGCGGGTTTGTTTACTAACTGCCGTTGTCATAGCAATTTTCACTTCGGGAACAACTGGGAAGCCCAAGGCGACTGTGCTCGAGCACACGGCGCTGAGTACCACCGCTTTTGCACTGAAGGATGTTTTGAGATTGAATACTAGCAATCGAGCCTTGCAATTCTCAAACTACACTTTCGATGTGAGCATCTTCGAGATTCTTATGACTCTGATGACTGGTGGCACTGTCTGCATTCCCAGTGACGATGAGCGCATGAATGATTTGGGAGGTGCCATTGATCGCCTGCAGGTCACCAGTTTGGCCCTTACTCCTTCAATTGCCAATACTCTGGACCCGAAATCTATTCCAAGCTTGAAGGTAATGTTGACCGGTGGCGAGAAGATATCTGTACATCACATTGATCGCTGGCGCGACCGCTGCGTTATTAATGCGTACGGGCCTTCCGAAGGTACTGTCATTTCTACTCTTGGTTTCAAGACCGACTGGGATGGCAACCTTATCGATCATGACCCTATGTCGATTGGCACTGCCCCTAACTGTCGTTTGTGGATCGTTGACCCTAATGACTTTAACCGTCTTCTTCCCGTCGGTGCTGTCGGCGAGTTGCTCCTCGAGGGCAGCAATATCTCCCGTGGGTACCTTGGTAACGCGGAGAAGACCAAGGCTGCGTTCGTTCAAGATCCCATTTGGCGCCAGCACTCTGGATTGCAAGGCATCTTCCCACGCAACGAGCGCATGTACCGAACTGGTGACCTCGTGCGCTACAACAGCGATGGCAGCCTCGCCTTCCTCTGCCGCAAGGACACCCAAATCAAGTTTAACGGTCAGCGCATTGAGCTTGAGGAGCTTGAAAGTCAATGCGTTCAATGCCTCCCCGAAGGTTCTCATGCCGCCGTCGAGGTTGTTGTTCCTCAGGAGAAAACTGTCGCCAAAAGTCTTGCCGCATTCTTCACAATTTCTGACAATGACTCTTCCCGAAGCATCCCAGGTCTTGATCCGTTGCTCCTTCCCATCTCAGTTTCCATCGTGGATGTTGTGCAGAAGTTGAAGAACTCCTTGCCCGATCGCGTTCCTCAGAGTGTTATGCCTCGGCTGTTTTTCCCTCTACGAAGCCTGCCTGTTACCACTTCTGGCAAGGTTGATCGCCGCCGTTTGCACGCTATGGTCGAGACTTTGCCCAAGGCTACATTGAAATCCTACGCCATATTAAATACTGTGACCAAAACGGAGCCATCATCCGCAGATGGACTTGAGGCCCAGTTGCAAACTCTTATTGAAAAGACACTTGACCTGGACGCTAACTCCGTCGCTAATGACGACAGCTTCTTCGCCCTTGGCGGTGATTCTTTCTCTGCCATGAGCCTTGTTGGTGCCGCTCAGGCCCAGGGTATCTCACTCAATGTGGCTACGATTTTTAACAACCCAATCATCAGCGATATGGCTAAGAGCTGCTCATCAGTACCTGAAGTCTCAGCGCCAAAGAAGGCATCCCTCAAGCCATTCTCTCTGCTGCCCTCTTCCGTGGAACTGGAAGAACTCATGGACGAGATTGTAGATAACTGTGACGTTCCCAAGAGCTGCATTGTCGACGTTTACCAATGTAGCGCTGTTCAAGAAGGTCTTTTGACCCTTTCTGTGAAACACGCTGGTGCCTATGTCGCGGAGCCTGCCTTCCGTCTCGCCGACGGTGCGGACCTTGGACGTTTCAAGGCGGCCTGGGAAAAGACTGTGGCCGATTTGGATATCCTGCGGACTCGCATTGTCCACACTGACAGCTTGAACTTTGTCCAAGCCGTGCTCAAAGAGCAGCCCATCTCATGGGTCCATGCGCAGTCCTTCAGCCAAATTCCGAACGATTTCTTGGACTTGCCCAAGCAAAATGGCGCCCCACTGACTGGATATGCGATTGTTCAGCCTCCTTCGTCCTCTACACGCTACTTTGTGTGGGCTGTCCACCACTCTTTGTATGATGGATGGAGTATTCCTTTGGTCTACCGCAAGTTCGAGGAGAACTACAACAAGTCCAGCTTCCAACAGTCAACTGCCCCATATGGTCTTTTCATTGAGTACCTAAACAACCAGGATAAGGAACAGTCTGACATTTTCTGGAAGAACTACCTCGCCGACTTATCCAGCACTCCTTTCCCACAAAGCAAGAACTCAGTATCTCATGCCGTTCGCGCTGGAAACACCCAGTACCATACCATGGAAATCTCCAGGCCCAACAACAGCGTGGAATTCACTCTTCCTGTTCTCCTTCGTGCTGCATGGGCGATTGTTATCTCCTCTCACACAGGGTCCGGAGATGTCTGTTTTGGAGAGACTCTCTCTGGTCGCAACATCGATCTGCCTGGCGTGGGTGACATTGCTGGCCCTGTTCTGACAACTGTGCCAACACGCATCCAAGTTGACAGCGATATGTCTATTACCAAGTATTTGGAGACTGTGAACCGGTCAACCACTGATATGATCCCTCATCTGCACCGAGGTCTGCAAAGCATTCGTCAATTAAACAACGACACTGCCAGTGGATGCGACTTCAAGAACCTCCTCGTCATCCAATCGAACGATGGAAATCTGGACGAAGACATTTGGATCGACGAGAAGCGAGAGACCAGTGAGGACTTCTTCACTCACCCCCTGGTTCTTGAGTGCGCTATTTCGAAGACTAGAATGTCCATCACAGCTCATCATGACGAGCTCATCATCAGCGGATGGCAGACAAAGCGACTGGCTGAGCAGTTCAGCCATGTTCTCTCGCAGCTTATCGCCGTTCCCAAAACTAGCGTCGGAAATGTCGCAGACCTGGAGATCGTCAGTCCAGAAGACAAGGAAATCATTGCTGAATGGAATGGACGCGATCCTCTTGCCATTGAGCGATGTGTCCATGATTTCATTCGACAGAAGACTGAGGAAACACCCAATGCCCCAGCTGTCGTCGCATGGGATGGCAAACTGTCTTACCGTGAGTTCTGGACTCTAGCTTCATCTTTCGCAAACTACCTGGTTTCCCGCGGAGTTGGCCCTGAAGTGCTGGTACCGGTTTGCCTGGACAAATCTGCATGGGCCATGGTGACCTTGATCAGTATTCTGATTGCTGGTGGTGCTTACGTTCCGCTTGACCCGCATCACCCTACTTCCAGACACGAGGAGATCCTAGCGGACGTTGGTGCCAACATGATTCTTTGCACCCCCAACTACACAAACCGATACAACCGAGTTGTCAAGACTGTTATTCCTATCAGCCAGGAGACCCTCAAGGCTTACGGCTCGCTCAACTCTTCTTCTCGCCCCTGTTCTGAAGTTACCCCTGCTAACAAGGCCTATGCCCTGTTCACTTCAGGGTCAACCGGACGTGCTAAGGGAATTATTGTTGAACACCGCAATGTTGTTAGCAGTATCATGTCGTTCGCTCCTCTTACTCTTATGACGGCATCCTCCCGAGTTTTTCAATTCGCATCCCTTACATTTGATGCTGCTATCATGGAAACTCTCGCAATCCTAATGGTTGGTGGCTGCATCTGCGTCCCCAGCGAAGATGACCGTCTGAACGACGTTGCCGGTGCAATGCGCCGACTTGATGTGAACTGGGCTTTCCTCACCCCTAGCATTGCTTCTATCATCGAGCCATCATCCGTGCCTTCCCTGAAGCTTATGGTTTGTGGTGGTGAGAAGCTGTCACCAGAAGTCATCAGCAAGTGGGCAAATGCTCTTACGCTTATGAATGGATATGGACCTACTGAAACTTGTGTTTTCGCTGTCGTTGAACCTAACATGACAGTTGGTACTGACCCATCCCGCATTGGCCACGGTATTCCAAGTACGTTGACATGGATTGTCGATTCTGGAAACCACAATCGTCTGGCACCTTTGGGCGCTGTTGGTGAACTTGCCCTGGAGGGTCTTTCCTTGGCCAGAGAGTATCTCAACAATCCTGAGAAGAACGCAGAGTGCTTTATTCAAAATCCTGCATGGATCGGTGATTTCAAGTCCTCTCTACCATCTCCACGCAGAATTTACTTGACTGGTGATCTCTGCTTCTACGGCCCCGATGGATCAATCCAATATATCAGTCGCAAAGATCACCAGGTAAAATTGCACGGCCAACGTATGGAGCTTGGTGAGATTGAACATAGAATTCATGATCAGCCAATCGTCCGTCACGCTGTTGTTATTCTTCCCAAGACTGGTCCTCTCAAACAGCGCCTCGTCACTGTGATGTCCCTGAACAAAATTTCCACCGACGCCAAATTGATCTCCGACAAAGCGTGTGAGCTCGTAGGAGGACGAGACTTCAACCGCCATGGCCTTGCTGGACTAGTGGAAGTTCAGAAAAATCTCGAATCACAGCTTCCCATCTACATGGTGCCGCAAACATGGGCTCTAATCAAGAAACTCCCCATGCTTGTCTCTGGCAAACTAGACCGGAAGAAGATCACATCCTGGCTTGAAAATATTGATGACGAGTCATATGAACGCATTATGCAAGATTATGACCAGATGAAACGTGGACCTAGTCAGAATCTGCAGGAGGAGGAGGAGGAGGAAGAAGAAGAAAAAGAAGTGGCGGAGAATTACCAGGAACAAGGGAAGCAAAACATTTCCCTGAAGACCATTCGCGAGGTTGTTTCGCAAGCTCTCAACAGTCCACTGGAGAAGGTTAATGCGGACCGGTCTTTCGTCAGCTTGGGTGAGTTTTCAATCCAATCAAGTCTCAACTGGAAGATGTACCGAAACTAACCGAATGAACCAGGCGGAGACAGTATCACGGCAATGGCCGTGATTTCGAAAGCGCGGAAACAGGGCCTGATCGTGACTCTCAACGACATCCTTCAGAGTCGCTCAATTCTAGAACTGGCACAAACTGCCAAATCAAAGGTTCCAGCTACTTCCCATCGCGAAGAGAAATCTGGTCACGGCTTTGCTTTGTCTCCTATCCAGAAGCTTTACATGGATTGTTCAACTTCATTCAAGGGTGACGCTCGTTTTAACCAGAGTATCACCGTGAAACTTGCCCGCCGGGTGGATGACGAAGTGATTCATCACGCCCTTAAGGCAGTCACTAGACAGCATGCTATGTTCCGTACACGCTTTGAAAAGACCACCAATAGAACTTGGGAGCAAAAAACATCCGCGGTATGCTCCTTTCACAAACCAAATACTTTACTTGATGCTGACAGGTATTATCAGGAGGTCGATTCGTCGTACCGATTCAGGGTCCACTTTGTCAACGACACGCGATCCATGGTCCCCAAGATCTCGGACAGCCAGTCTTGCCTTGATCCACTCAATGGCCCTATCTTCGCTGCTGACCTATTCAATCTCCGTGCTGGTGGCCAAGTGCTTTTCCTTGTGGCTCACCACCTTTGTGTTGACATGGTGTCTTGGCGCATTATTCTTTCAGACCTTGAAGATTTGGTTGTTTCAGGGGCCTTGTCTGATGATAGGCCTCTGTCCTTCCAGGCTTGGTGCGCTATGCAACGCCAGAGATCAAAGATTGAGGATGCCGCCCTTACACTTCCTTTTACCCCAGAAAAGCCCAACTTAGAATACTGGGGCATGCATCAATCACCCAACGTGTACGGCGATATCAAGATGGAATCTTTCAGTTTGAATGAGGCTACTACCCACTATATCCTGGATGGCTGTCACAACGTTTTTGGTACCGAAACTGTCGATGTCTTGCTCGCATCTATCCTCCACTCGTTCCGTCGTACCTTCACTGATCGCAAAGTGCCAACTATTTACAACGAAGGCCACGGTCGGGAAGCTTGGGATTCGAGTATTGATTTGTCGAGAACCGTTGGTTGGTTCACCACTATGGCACCCCTGCATATTGACGACGGGGATGGTATGTTTCCCTATTGGCGACAGTCCTCACAACATATGATTCACTAACTTATCTCAGGTACTATCATGGATACCATCAAACGTGTCAAGGACACTAGACGCAAGATCACTGATAACGGACGTCCCTACTTTGCAAAGAGTCTGCTGCAGTCAGACGGTGCTGATTTCCCTGTACCTTTGGAGATCCTGTTTAACTACCTTGGCAAGCTCCAGCAGCTTGAGCGCAATGACTCCTTGTTCCAGCACCAGGAAAGTGTTTTTGACAGCTCGGACTTCGCTGTTGCTGGCGACATGGGTCCTAATACTGTGAGATTCGCATTGTTCGAAGTTTCTGCCATCGTTCTCAAAGATCGCCTCAACTTCTCCTTCACATACAACCGAAAAATTCAACGCGAGAGTCAGATCCTCCGATGGATCATGAATTGCAAGCAGACTCTGGAGGAGGAGATCTCAATCATGAGAAACGCCTCTCCAGAGCCAACGCTCAGCGACTACCCGTTGTTGCCCCTCAAATATCAAGACCTCAAGGTTCTCACCAAGAATACCTTCCGCAAGGTCGGCGTTCGAAACATGAACGAAGTGGAGGAGATTTACCCATGCTCTCCAATGCAGGAGGGTCTGCTGCTCAGTCAGCTTCGCGACCCAACCGCTTATATGTTTCACACTGTCTTCGAGATCAAGGATCCACGTACTGGAAAGGTTGATGCAGACAAGCTTGACCAAGCATGGCAGCAAGTAGTCGATCGCCACTCTGTGCTTCGAACAGTCTTTGTCGATAGTACTTACAGCGGTGGATCCTTTGATCAGCTTGTCTTCAGGAAAATTAGCGGCAATATGCTCCATGTGCAATGCTCTGATTTCCAGGTCATGGAGAAGCTTGGCGCCATCTCTCTCAGTGACTTGAATGCCAAGCGTCTGGCTAATTTGTCTCACCAAATGACTATTTGCAAGACACAAACTGGACGCATCATTATGAAGCTTGAGATCAACCATGCAATCATCGACGGTGGCGGTGTGGACGTTCTTCTGCGTGATCTTGCTATGGCCTATGACAACCGACTTGTTGAGGGCCCTGGCCCACAATTCAGTGACTATATTCAGTTCATCAGAACTCAAAGTCAAGGCGCAGCTATGGACCATTGGAAAACTTACCTTGGCAATATCACCTCCTGCCACCTTCCTAACACCTCTGGTTCTCACGCTAAGCGTGAGCTCAAGGGTATTCTAATGGACTTCCATCGTTTCCCTGAGCTGCAGACATTCTGTGAGAAGACTTCAGTGACTTTGGCCAATCTGACTTTGTCAGCATGGGCTATTGTCCTCACACAAGTCACGGGCATGAGGGATGTCTGCTTCGGCTATCTATCTACCGGTCGCGATGCGCCGGTAAATGGAATTCAAGATATGGTCGGTATCTTCATCAACATGCTTTGTTGCAGAGTGAAGTTCTCTGGCCAGGAGAGCCTTACAGACATCTCCAAACGTGTCAATGCCGACTACATCAGCTGCATTCCTCACCAGAGCTGCTCTTTGGCCAGCATTCAGCACGAGCTTGGCTTGCAAGGGCTATCTCTTTTCAATACAACTCTGTCAATTCAGAACCACACTGTCGCCGGTGGTTCCAGAGAGAATAGTTTGTCCTTTGATCTCCAAAAAGCTCATGATCCAAGCGAAGTAAGTCATTTAACGTCCCCTTCCAACCTCACTTGGATAACTAATAACAAATTGAAGTACGCTGTCACCGTAAACGTGGATATTTCAAGGGGTCATGAGGGTATCATGCTACGTTACTGGAGCGATGTGGTTTCCGATGAGCAAGGTCAATTCCTAGTTGACAGCATTGCTAAGGTCTTCACTGGCTTCATCGAGTCACCAGATGAAGCAATCACGGCCATCAGCTTCAAATCCAAGGCTTCGAAGCGCCCTTCGCCTCTGGAAACCAACAACTCACCTTCAACCAAAATTGATGAGGCTTCTATTCAGAAGATGGTAGATGATCGTGTAAATGCGATTATTGAAAAAATGTTGAGAGAAGGAAAGTTGGGCCCAAGTGCGTCAACTACAGACTTGTCTGGAGGCTTCGGTCATCCCGACAATGGGATAGATTCTCCCGCCTCATCGCCGATTCAAGAAGATGCCGATAGATCAGATGCGGATTCGATAACTTCGCAGTCAAGCCAGGAAGATTTCCTGGTGGATGTCGATGTGGAGATGGAAAAGAGACTTTGGAAACTTTGGAGTTCTGCCTTGGGTCTGTCACCAGATGTGGTAAGACACAAGGACAGCTTCTTCAAGCTTGGAGGAGATAGCATCACTGCCATGAAGATGGTCAGTTCTGCGCGTGAGGATGGGCTGGTTCTTACTGTTGCAGATGTTTTCAACAACCCAGTGTTTGAAGATATGCTTGCTATTGTGCGCGGGTCCAACATCACACAAACGCTTCTTGACGTCGATTTGAAGGAACACAGCAAGATACAGGCACTGCCCAACAGTGCAACACCTTCTACCACCACATTTTTGCCGAACCACTCATACGAGAGCGTTTCTGCTCTTCGCAGCCAAGTTGTTGACGATTACTCGGTACAGAATGGCATTTGCCCCAAGATCGGTGTTTTCAAGGGTGGCATTGCGGATGTCCTCCCTGTAACTGACTTCCAGGCTATGTCCCTGACTGCAACGCTATTCAAATCACGCTGGATGCTGAACTATTTCTTCCTGGAAGGGAATGGAGTTTTGGATTTGCGACGTCTTCGTGAGGCCTGTTTGAAAGTCGTTGATGCCTTCGACATTCTGCGAACTGTCTTTGTCTGCTTGAATGATCAATTCTATCAAGTCGTGCTCCGCAAGATTCGTCCCAGCATCTTCGTCTACGAGACGGATCGGGGTCTGGATGAGTTTACCCAAACGTTGCAGCAGCGTGACCGCGAGTACGGACCACGCGAAGGTGAGCAATACGTGCAGTTCTACGTTGTTAAGAAGAAGAATAGCGACCAGCACCGCATCATGATTCGTCTTTCTCACACGCAGTACGACGGAGTCTGTTTGTCAAAGATTATGTCCGCTATCAAGCTTGGGTATGAAGGCAGCCCTCTACCACCAATCACACCATTCGCAAGCTACCTGCGTCAGCTTCCTGGCACCATCACTCCTGAACATTACAATCATTGGTCTAGACTTCTCCATGGCTCGCAGATGACAGAGGTTGTGCAACGGAAGGGTACCACCATGTTCCAGAACATTGGTGCTTTCACCGAGATCCACAAGACCATCGAGATTCCCCCGAACGCTCTTGGAAACGTCACCACTGCAACCATTATGCAAGCTGCTTGGGCCTTGACTCTCGCCAAGCTTACTGCCTCGACGGATGTCGTTTTCGGTCTCACTATTAGCGGTCGCAATGCCATAGTGCCTGGTATTGAAACCACCGTTGGACCATGTGTCAATGTGATTCCTGTCCGAGTCAAGTTCAACGATCAATGGACTGCGCTGAAGCTATTCAGCTATCTTCAGGACCAACAAATCTCCAATATGCCATATGAATCTTTGGGCTTCCGGGAGATTATTAAGCAGTGCACCGATTGGCCGGCCTGGAAATACTTTACGACCTCGGTATTCCATCAGAATGTAGGCTATGAGGGTCAATTGGAACTTGACGACATCAAGTACCAAATGGGTGGTGTCGGTGTCAACGACAACCTGGCTGATCTGACTATGGTATCGCGTCCCACTGATGAGCGCAATCTCAGTGTTACCATCGGTTATTCTGAGAAAGGACCTATTCACCCTGACTTCGCAACCAAGGTTTTAGACATGGTCTGCGAAACTGCGCAGGCCCTCGTTGCAAACCCTTCGACTTCTCTGCCATCGACAAGCATGCTTCGATCTCTGCCATCTCAAGCCATTGATGATCTGCCTCGCACCACTGACGAGCACTTCCTCAGTCAGCACCTCAAGTCTCGCTCTATAGCAGAGCTGCTTGTTCATTCGGACATTCTTTCACGCTCTTGGCACCAAGTTCTACCCAATCGTGTCACACCAATCGACCATGTGTCTGATGAAAAGCACAAGGATGATTCACCTTTCCAGCTTGACTCTTCATTCTTCGACTTGGGCGGTGACATCTTCAATATGGCACAACTTACCTGGCTTCTTGAACAAGAAGGTCTCAAGGTTCGCCTTGAAGATCTCCTGGAACACCCATCTTTCTTGGGTCAGATGGCCGTCCTGGCTTTGCATAACGCAAAGTATCAGGAAGACAGACCTGCTGAACTTGCTACTGGTGCTGTCGAGCCTGATTATCTGCCTGAGCCTGAAACTCTTCGTGTTCCTCAACCTGAGAAGAGAAAAACATGGGGCAATGTCATGACTCTTGCTAGGAAGCTAAGACGGAAAAGCCACAACCCGTCTGTTTCTAGTAATGCTTGACTTATTGAATCTTGAACAATGAAAGATCAATGTGCTAACGACCAAACAAAAAAAGAAAGAGAAAACAGAAGAAGAAGAAGGGGATGAATCAGCTCCAGAACCGACCCTATCGTCCAATTGTTGAAGATTTCTTTTGTTCTTATTTCATGTTCTCATCAATGTTTTGATGAAGACGTTCGTTATTTGTTGATTAACTTGACTTTGTTTTTCTACCCGTTTATATCGTGTTTATCGTGTTTATTCGCTCGTTTTGAGTCCGACCTGGTCTCAAGTTTTTTCTTGTCTTTTAACCCTCTATCCTCCCCATAAGAAAATGGAACCGCTCTCTCAAAATTTATTTCTCCATAAGGAGTAGAGTCCCGTAGGGTCAAACTACCACGCATAGTGCTTCCAATGTTATACGTGGAACCAGTTGGGCCGTTGAGTCGGCTTAGTGTATCATATTTAATCCTAATCCACTTCCCTAGTCCAGAAGCAGCTAATGCGGTTCGGAACTCTTCAACTTGAACCCTCTTTCTACTTCTGTTTACGACGTACTTTCCTCTTTCGCCGTACCGGCGTCAATACCCACAAAATGCTGTCTACAACACCATCCACTCCAGTTCCTAGCCACGCAGTTCAATTCCCTATCCCGCAAGGAGCGCTTAAGCTCCAGAATACCATAGTACTACAATCCATCTCTCAATGGCTGTTTGATCGACTCTCTCAAGACGAGGATCTTTTCCCCCGGAGCGTGAAGGTTTGTATCGAGTATGAGTTAGTTAGGGCTGAAAAGTTACTCAGCTAATGGCCTGGAAAGATTTAGGTAAGCCTAAATTCTGGACATAAATTACTTAAGTCCTAAGGAGAGTAAGCACTCAATTTAGGCTAACACGAATCCGCCTTCTTATCGACACTCTCCTGAGATGGATCCATTCTGACTGATAGTAGATAGATTAATAGACAGATAAATGCATAACTTTTGAAAATAATGAAAATAATTACAAAGCAAAGGGTATCAAACATCTAAAATCTAAGTCTCGCGAGAAAGAAAAAAAAAAATCAGCCGTATTAAAATAGCAGAGAAGATTAGTATGTGCATCTTATATTAGAAAAAAGATATTACAGCGATTCACGAGACCATTCCCCACGAGCGCGAATTCGTTTACCGTACGTGAAGAATAGGTACGGAATAGGGATGAGAGCCACGGAGATGAAGCCGAGGATACTAGCCGCCCACGGCACACCGAGGTTATGAAACATGGCATTTGTAAACAGCGGGAACGCTCCTGCGAACAGGGAGCGCAGGAAGGTGTTAGCGGCGATAGCACTAGCGGAAGTCTTTTGAAATGTATCGACGAGGTAGTTGAGGGCTGCTTGGAAGATGGTGAAGAAGCCTAATCCCATCATGACGGCTCCGATGATCGGTGCTATCCAGTGAATATTAGGCTGACTCGTCCAGCCAAATAAGAACATTCCCGCGGCGAACATCACTGAACCTAACATCATTGGCGGAAGGCGGGCTTCTGGGACTGGCCGGTTGTTGTTTGCTTTGAAGCGGCTGATGTAGAATTTTTGGTTAGATAGATTAACTGCGGCGCCGATGAAGATGCCGACGAGGTAGGCAAGGAAAGGCAGTGCGCCGACGACTTGGTTCCAGCCGCGAATCTCTTGGAAGACGATTGGGAAGGCTGCTAGACTTAGGTAGAGGATACCGTAGACGAAGGAGGCGTATATGGCGACAAGGAAGCAAATTGGGGTTGCGAGGAGTTGAAAGGGTCGAATGAGGTACTTTTTGCCGAGTTCATTGAGCGTGGCGTCCCATTCTTCATGGCGAGCATGCAGAGCCCAGTTGCCTGTTTCGAAGCGCAACCGTCGTGCCTTGTAGACTAGAAGCTGGGGCGGATAGGACTCATCAACAAAGATGATATCGAGCACGAGGAAGGCCATCATCATAATACCAGTAAGCTGGATACGATTGGGGTCAGAGTTCAGACTTATATTAAAAGAGTGGAAAGAATAAACTCACGTATTCCGTCCATCTCCAGTGCAGGTAGCTCTGAGTTACCGCACCACCAACAATCGGACCCAGAACAGGACCGCCGACCACTGCTAGAGCATAGCCTACTATGGCAGCACCTCGCTGCTCGGGAGACCAAATATCACTGAGTACACCGCCGGTGTTGGTAACAGGGGCCGAGCCAAAAAAGCCAGTAAAGAACCGGGTCAGCATGATAGTCTGCAGGTCCTTCGCAGTCGCAGTACCGAATGACATGATCGCAGCAATGAAATACGGCGCCAAAACAGCCGGTTTGCGACCATATAGCTCGGAAAGCGGAGCCCAAACAAGAGGCCCTACAGCCAGGCCAAACAGGAGCAAGGAAGTTCCCAGCGTTGCGACTTCTGTCGAGACATTGAACTCCTTAGCGACTTGGTCGGTGCCAGTCGAATAGATCGAACTCGCCCATGTCGTTCCCATAGTTGTCATTCCATAGAGGATTGTAGTTACTGCCTTCTTTCTGAACCCCCAATTGATGGGTCGGTATGGATCATCGGGACCATCGAAGTCAACGATGACGTCCGGGCTCGTTCTCGTATGCGATAGAGGGTGGGTAAACTGTGCGGTTTGACCAGGTTCTCGACTGCGAATGCGCGAAACAGCAGATTGCGCTCTTTCAAAAACCGACCGGCCCGAAGTAGATGCAGCAGTTGTCTGTTTCTCTAATGACGCAATGCCGCCATTGGTGACAGACTCATGAGACTGAGATTCGATTTCGTCGTCGGATGCGAGTGACGAAGGGTAATCGTGCTCTGTAGATGCCATGGTTCATGCACACGACATGGATGCAAGGATCCGAGGCTGGGGTAGTAGAAGTGATATAAAAATATTTAGGACTGAAATAAGGGAACTCGGTTAAATTAATACTACTACAACTATTCGGGAATCGTGTCTCTTCCCCGGCCTGATAACGGCCGGGGTTGAAAATCAAGCTTTTTCTTCGGACGTCCGATGGACGGCGCCGAGCCGTCATAGCCGACCTCGGGAAGTTGTAGATTAGATCTATAACGTCTATCATATTCGTTATCCTCATATCAACTACCGATCTATATGAAATATTCTTAAATCACAAGGTAATTCACTAGTGCACACTCTCCCATTTTTTCACAGCCTCAAGAGCAGCCGTCACCTTGAGTCCAATGCGAGCATCCAACTCATAACTATCCCATCGAGCCGCAGTTTCCAAATGCTCCTTGCACTCTTGGACTTGTTTTTGCTCGTCGGGCTTTCCAGATTCGGCCACTATCTGCTCGGTGTTTTGGGACTTCTCTACACCCGACGACCCATGAAGAGGCCGGTAGCTAGGTCGCTCCATCCAAAGATTAGCGGCCATTTCAAAGTGTGCAGCTGGTAGGACCCAGTCGTCCTTCAGATTTCCCTTGAACTGGGATTTGTCATGTTTGAAAACAGTTTTAAGAATCTTTCTAGCCTCTTCGTGCTTGTGAAGCGACCGGAATACGGCAGCCCTCATGAGTTCCAGAGTCGCCTTTTCCTCTGGCCCTTCACGAGACCATGTCTTGTTTTCTTCACTTTCACACCAGGAAAGTCGAGTCAAAGACTCTTCTAGCTGGCTGGTAGTCATGCGACTATGTCCATTCCAGAAGAAAATCATCTCTTCGATCGGATCCACTCCAATGGCATCGACCAAGGAAACATTCCAGTCCTTGGCACGGGCCTCCCACTTGGCGATTTTTCGAGTCACGAACACGTCAAAGGGTAGTTGTCGCGCCATGAACTTCTTCTTTCCTGCAAGGGCAGGGGCTTTCCGAATTAGCTCAGCAGCGATTTTGGCGTGAACCTCTGCTTGTTCAGGATTTGAAGCGATGCACTGGCGATAGAGTCCGACGTGAGATGACCCAGCGATATAGAGGTAGAGTGAGCGAGACCAGGAGTTAAGATCCATACACTGATCCAGAGTCAATTTACTTTTCTTTTCAATTTCACAAGATTTGACAGAAACCACTTACCTCAACAAACGACTCCGAACACACGTTATACTCGTGCAGAAACATAGCATTCAAACTCTTCTCAAAGACGCATAGCGCCTCAACTTGCTTAAGCGGACTCTTGCTGCTATTCGTGAGAAGGTCCAGTGCTCCCTTTAGATCCCTGTTGGCTCCCTTCATGCGAGACTCTTCGAGAAGCCACAGCCGACTGTGGGGGAACCGTGATCGCATCTCCGCCAATAAATCAGCTAGTCGCTCCTGTGGGTAGCCTTCTGAATTGTCCCCATCAGGAGACTGATCGGGCATAATATCGCAGTAACGGACAAACCCATTGTAATAACCCAGTAGGGCTAGTGCAGCTAGGGCACCAATAAGGTTGTGGAACTTGCTGGCCTGCCAGAGCATCTGAAGGCCGCGTTCCTTATCACCACGGAAGCCAATGATGGAAAGGAGCTTGGTGAAAGCGGGGGGCACCATGGAAATAAGCAGGTTCAGGATTCCAAAGCAAAAGTTGGCACCAGAGTGCACAAAGATGTCTATTTCGTTCTTGAAGATCTCAGATTCGGGACCATGATCGATCCCGTTCGATCCGTTGGGTGTAGAGGGCTGTGGAGAAACAGGTTCAGAGGTGACATTCATTGCGATGGACTTGGGGAGGCCTTTTTTCGAGGATATGCTGGACGTTTCCGATAATTTGGAGCTAGTGCTGGCCCTGGGGAGACCGTTCACTCCAGAAAGCGAAAGCTGACTTGGGTTTTTTTGTTGCTCCATGAACTTCTCTTCCATTTTGAGAATTGCATCCATCGTAATATATGCCCTTCGTAGTTTATAAAATGCCTTTATACTTTCAGTTAGACTTTCATTCAATACACCAACCACGGCGCCCATCAGCTGTGCAATCGCCTGACAAAGGGCATATTCAGTACCCGGGCTGTAGATCTCGGAGTGGAAAGCATTGGGTGCATGTGAGTTGTGTTGGGCTCGTTGTTGTTCAATTCCACCGGTAGTCTCGGCGTCATTCAGTCGTTCAGATGCTAGTAAAGTGTGTGAGAAGGGCGATACTTTATCAAGACTCAATTAGACGGACCTTGGCGCATAATTTCCTGTTCAAATCCCAAGGTTGCGCGAAAAAACGCTACCATTCCTTTCCCCAGCTATCAAGAGAATCAACCAGTTGCAACGCCATATGGCTAGGAGTGATTTCTACCTTGTGAAAAGCCGAGTTTCCCTTTGAAAGACCAAGTTCGGCACTATCAACATCATCGTTGAGAATGTAAGTAGCAGCTAGAAAAAGGGTTAGACTTGGGTCCAAGCTTTAGGCACAAATAAAAATACCTTTCATGGCCTCCTCCACTTCCCCGCTCGAAGATACAGTCAGCATAAGATCGAAAGAGCCTCATTTTTCTGTCTATCCCATTTTCCCATTTTTGGATGAGGAATATCCACGGTTATAAGACGGGATGGATCTAGATTGTCGATCAGGGATCTTCACATACAGTTCTGTACCTCCGACAGCGAGTCCAGAGACTGTGTTGAGATATTGGCCTTCTTGCCATATAGCCACGATCCTACTTTCATCATAATGGGCAAGAGTAATCAAGAAACAAATGAAGAAAAAGTCTGAATGGATATATAGGTTCAAGGCTGGCCGAGAGAGAAAGGAGGCGGATTGGGAAGAATGTCCACGGAGTCTCCATATATCGGGCACACAGCGGAGAACAGGAAGAGGAGTGAGAAAGGGGAAGAGGGTAAGAGGGACAGAAAAACAAGATAAAGAACAAAGCTGGATCAGACGGGGCACGGAGTAATCGTGGCTGAGAAGCTGTTCCATGGGCTTCGACTTTGCCGGCTTCTCCGAAAGATTCTTATTTAAGTTGTCGCATAAAAATCAGCCCTTGTTTCATAAAGGATATTAAATCATAGAATGGTTGCCCTAACTCTTGAAGTGTACGATTGTATGCTCTAAGAGACACAAACTCGCGCCAAATCTGCCAAGTCAAACCACTCCGCCTTAAACCTTTTGAAGCTCTCCACCCCCCACCTCTCTCACCTCTTCTCCAATTACCAACCAACTATTTCGTTACATCATTTGTAACAAATCCTCACATCACATCACATCCACACACATTCACACACATCACATCTAATCATGTCGAACTCCACAGCTCAATCCAAGGCCGACCCTTCTGAGGAGCCCCAGCAACAGAAGCCCCAAGTGCTTGAGGAGGATGACGAGTTTGAGGATTTCCCCGTTGAAGGTAAGAAATCCTATGCATTTGTACAATCCAAGATCAAGACCATTCTGATAACCACTCCACACAGACTGGCCCCAGGAAGAGGCCGAGGCAACCAACGGCGGCAACGAGCACCTGTGGGAAGAGAGCTGGGATGACGACGATGCCGCAGAGGACTTTTCCAAGCAGTTGCAGTAAGTTCCTTTCCAGCTTGACCTTCATCTAAAACATCCCTTCACCAATATATCTTCCTTCCCTTCCTACACTTGACACCTGGTTATAGAATTCATATCTGACATCTGGTTGTTTACAGGGAGGAGCTGAAGAAAGTCGAGGCATCACACTAAATTGGAAATTCGAAATCAAATACCCATACAAATACTCCGCATCCACACCTCTCAAGGCTCTAAAACACGAACAATAAAGCTGTCGCGACCGTGGCTGGGAATTCGACAATTGCTCATGTCTTCTTCAATACAATACCCACTTCCTTGAGGTCATCCATATAATCACCTTCTCTATCATGCTATCCCGGTTGGAGATACATTTTACTCTACAATTCCAGCTATGGACATACAGCTTCTATTTCGGGACTTGATGTGAGGTTTCTACTAAGTAGGCGACTTTGTGCACCCGAAATAATGGACTAGTCAAGTCTACGTAGAGAAATAGCTGTTACTCAACGTTGCTTTCGTTTTTCAACGTTCATTTCATCATAGTTGTGATCACGTAGAGAAGAAGCGTGTTTCATACCAAGGTCGTCTTTTATACAGACTCTAGTCACGAACGCTAGTTAACTACGGCGTAGTTAGTTAGGGCGGTATGCTATAAAGTTACTCACGATAGAATGAATATCTACTAGTCATGAAGGAGGTAATAGACACATAGACTTCATGTGAAATAGTTTTGTATGTGTAGGTGCCTTGGGTGTTCCAAGTTTGAATTAGAGCTTTGGTCTCGTGTATCATGTCTAACGAGCAAACGAAGTCTTAGTGAAGGAAAAAAAAAAGCGCCCATAGGGATCGAATTTTGTAATTGAAAAGAAAAGAAGTTACATTATAGTGTCGTGAAAAAGAAAGGTTCCCAGATAGAGATCAGATCCAGATCTAATCATAGGACCCAAAAAGAGCCAGCAAAGAAAACAGCTTGCTCGGAAATTCCCAATATTTATACCATTTAATTGCTGGAGAGAGCAGCGACACCGGGCAACTCCTTACCCTCCAGGAGCTCAAGTGAGGCACCACCACCAGTGGAGACGTGCGACAGCTTGTCCTCAACGCCGTACTTGGCAGCGACGGTGGCGGTGTCACCACCACCGATGATGACAATGGCGCCGCCCTCGGCGGCCTTGACGGCAGCGTCGAGGGTAGCCTCGGTGGCAGCAGCGAAGGGCTTAAGCTCAAAGACACCGGGGGGCCGTTCCAGAGGATGGTCTTAGCCTCGCCAATGACCTTCTTGTACTTCTCGACGGAGAGGGGGCCGACATCCAGACCCATGTAGCCGTCGGGGATACCAGTGGCATCAGTGGCGGCACCAACCTCGGCATCGGCGGAGAACTTATCAGCGGTAACGTAGTCGACGGGGAGGACGATCTCGACGTTGTACTTCTTGGCCTTCTCGACGATGTCACCGACGATCTTGGAACCGGCCTCGTCGAAGAGGGAGTTTCCGATCTTGACGTTCTCAAGAGTCTTCTTGAAGGTGAAGGCCATGCCTCCGGTGATGATCAGGCTGTTAACCTTGGGGAGCAGGTTGTCGATCAGCTGGATCTTGTCGGAGACCTTGGCGCCACCGAGAATGGCGAGGAAAGGACGCTTAGGCTCCTCGAGAGCCTTGGCGAAGTACTCCAGCTCCTTCTTTACGAGGAAACCGGCAGCCTTCTGGGGAAGGTCGACACCGACCATGGAGCTGTGGGCACGGTGGGCAGTGCCAAAGGCGTCGTTGACGTAGATGTCACCGAGGGCAGTGAGGCCCTTGCGGAACTCAGCAACCTTCTCCTTGTCGGCCTTGACCTTCTTGCCCTCGGCATCCTTAGAGCTTCCCTCCTCCTCGGCGTGGAAGCGCAGGTTCTCGAGCAGGATAATCTGGCCACCGGTAGCGCTGTTGACAGTCTCCTCGACCTTAGGGCCGACGCAGTCATCAGTGAAGATGACAGTCTTGCCGAGCTTCTCCTCAAGGATGGGGACGACGGGCTTCAGGCTGTACTTGGCGTTGACCTTTCCATCGGGACGACCCAAGTGAGACATCAGGATGACAGCCTTGGCGCCGTTCTCAATGGCGTACTTGATGGTGGGCAAAGCACCGACGATACGCTGAGGGTTGGTGACATTCTTCTCGGCATCGAGAGGGACGTTGAAGTCAACCTGGAGGATTTAAATGAGCAATTGGGTTTGAAGAAGAGGAAGTTGAAGGAGAATCAGAACATACTCGGATCAGGACACGCTTGTCCTTGAGGTCGACCTCGGTGATGTTGAGCTTGTTGGAGAGAGACATGATTCTGAGTCTGTGATGTCAGTTTCTGCGTATGATTTTCAAAATGGATGAGCAAAGTACCTTGACGGAGATGTGTGAAGGGAAAAAAGAAAGCGGGAAGACCAGCTTAATAAACAAAGAATTGTCAGGAGATAATTTAATATATCAGGAGACTGAATCAAATCAGGTCACGGTGAGGCAGCAGAGAGAGGATTGGAGGGGTAAGGCAATATGGTGGGGCGCCGGTGAGGGTTGTTGTCCCGGATTCAGCATAGCAACGAAACTACTTACCAATGATGTAGTGACCTGGTTTTGCAATCAGAATCAGCTAACTGAATTACTTCGGTATAAATGTTCCCATACAAGGTCTATTCTACATGTCCTATTTCTAATCCACAGCTCAAGACCGGGCTGATACGGGACCTAATGTCAGAGCTTCCTAGAGCGGAACAGCTCGGGTCTCTATAGCCTCGGAGTCGGGGAATTCTGGGGGAGATCGCCCTTAGATACGGTTTCCCACTTGATTGGCTTAGGAATTGTATATCAGCTGTGATGGCGGAACCTACAATGACCCTGACACCATGTGAAATTCGCGAAATTCATATAGCAGCAATTTTAACAACAGCTGGATGGATCAAGACCTAAATATGGAAAAGTCACGAGTATATCTGAATTGATTGATTATGGAAGAATAAAAGACCTTTTGGGAGATGCAAGCTGTTTCTCGAGAATGTTTTTATTCTCAGACAGCTGAAACTAACCGTAACGCCGATGAAATGTGCAAGCTTGAAGCAGGGATTCGGTATCGTTAGCATGACCATCGCTGGAGCAATCGTTTCGAATTAAGACTCCTCAGAGGAGTTAGTGAGAGAAAGGTATGCAGTCCATGCAATACCAATGCAGGATACAAACGGCTGTCATCGTTAGTACTATCCACAGAGCGGGATAACAGGGGAGAAGCTTACAATCTGGAACTGTATTGGAATAACCCGGAAGTTGATGATTTGAACGGCTGGCCAAAGTACGAAGTTGGCTTTCAAGGTTGGTAGATATACGTCGCGGAACTTTTGTGTAAGAGCCCTCTTGCCGCCACCCTCGGCAATCGTCATGTATGTGAAGAAACAGACCAGACCTAGTCGAGAGGTCAGTTAGGCTCGGAAGAGAGACAACGGCAATATACATACCAAATGGCGCAAAGATAAGCTGGTCAAATACCACTCTTTTGACAGCTGGACCAGTGGGATTCATCTTGGTGAGCGGGAAAGCTCTGGACAAGAAACCATACCACTGAAACTGAACTGGGGCCATAAAGAAGCCATATGCCATGAACCTCGTCACTCGCTCGAAATCAAACGGTGATGGGGATTTCTTGGAAGAATCCAGCTCCACAAGAGCTTGCGACTGTTGCTTATTCAAATTTTGAATCTCAATGGAGACTAAGTTGTCATCACTCTCAGCTCGTTGCTGTGAGCGAGATTGAAACGCCGTGATAAGCTGTGCAACTGTATCAGCCACTCCACCAAGCACCTATTATAATTATATCAGTCATCTGGACTGAACTGGGAATATCGATATACCGGGATAGGTTGAGAAAAGGCTTACGGCATTGGTGACCATGGTCGTGAGGACTATTATATGCCACGTTAGAACGTTCGCATTCTCGAGAAGCAGTAGAAATGGTGCTTACTTGGTCTTTCGGCATAGTAGGAATTGAACTTGGCTGCGATTCGAGCTGCTACGGCCATTTCGATGAGGAAAATGATCGTGTGTAGTAGAGGCTAGATCATGGACAGAATCAGTGCGGGTTCGTTGGAATGAAAAGATGACAAGAAAAACAGGATAAGATCACATACCACGCGACCGTAAATATACCGACGGTTCAGTCCATCGAGAAATTTCCGTTTTAAAGCAATCATGATGAGGCGCGGGTATGGCCGTAATCCTAATTATGGAAGGAGAGGGAAGATTTCCGGTAGTCTCGCGCCAGTTATGACGCAAATATCTGGACGGCACAAATTTATGGAAATCAGATTCCCCTGATTTGTGGAAAGCCAATACTTAGGTAGCTGGAATGTGAGAGATGTTCAAAGATGGAATGAGGATGATATATCCGCATCTACCCCAGATTGAAGGGCTCGACTCCGCTCAAACGTTGAATGACTAATGACGTAACTCTAACTAACTAGCTAACGTGTTATTTATCTTATTTACATGGAGCCTTCATATCTACAAATATCGAATATTTAAAACATCTTTGAAGAGTTAGTTTTAGATGTTTGATTCAATGATTTCTTCATTCATGCTGTTAATTCAAAATCTACCTACACATGGATATTGCATGTCTGCTTGAAGTTCTCCAGCACAAGGGCTAAACTTGTCTAGATAGAGTGATACTTAGGGCTAACAGCTAGTTTTTCCATGGGAAGACAGACCTCGGAAGCAGCGACAATTTGGTGGAATTCACTGTCATTGGTATCTATACATTGGTTCTATTTGAAAGACCCATTCATTTCCTTTTTCCTCTTTTGATCAGATCCTCTACGATGCTCTCGGTTGGTCGTCAGCAAGAATATCCGGGAGGTCTCGGATATCAGTCGTTTCATTAGTGGTCACATCAACAAGCCGTACAGCCTCCAAGTGCAGGGAGCCAGTAGCCAGTGGAAGTAGCTTCAATTCAGTAGAATGGCAAATTCCAGGCAGAAGAGGTCTATGAAGATTAATGTCAGATATTATATCATCAACGAAGAAAGCGACAACTCACCCAACTCGAATATCAGTGCTTAAACTAATCAATTCAGCTTCTTGCCCAGCTACGCTCTTCTGTCTCGCGTGCACAACATTGTCGTCAGTTACAGCCTCAGCCACCCAGTCCTTTCGACTCGCGATGGAAGAAGTTGAGGGCCGAGAGACATGACCTCGCGAGTCTACTTGTTTCCGTCGAGGAATGGCAATCAACGCAAATTTTCGAGGAACTTTGGACCGGTTCACGATGAATACATCCCAGGAAAATGGCGTCCCCACTTGAACACGAACTGGCCCAGAGAACGATATCGTAACCCCAACATCCGTAACTGAATATGCTCTTTCACGTAAAGAGCTTCGTGTCGCCTGACCATCGCCTATATTACTAGAAAGCATGGGTAGATTCATTGGACGATTCAGTCTCTGAAGTGCCTGGCTGGGTCCACCGAAAGTAGGATTGAGGGCCATTGAAAAATCAATATTAGTCTTCCATTCCATGACGATTCGTGGATGGCAGTCGTCCGCTAGAAGTAAGGTCGCTGCCAAAGAGATGTCCAGCACACTCATTATAGCGGTAGAGGAGGAATTGGTCTCAGGACCATACTCGGGTGTTATTTTGTAGACGAGGGTCACATCGTCTCTAGGCCGGCAGATCAATGGAAGCTGAAGACCGGGGACATCAGAAAGAGGCTCAATAGTTCCAGTGGATACTTGAAAATTTGCTTTATCGAATGAGACTGTACAGTTCAAAAAGGGAGTCACTTCAAAATCGAGACTTGCAACTGTCGTGGGAAGACCAGAGTAGGAATTTAATCGCGAATAGCGAATTCTTGCGCTAGCGGCAGGAACAACACGAAACGGATGGCCATGTTGTTGCTGTATATTGTAGATTGGGTCTTCGGTGTACGTTGTCGGCACTACTCGTAACAACCTCGACGCAGGAAGGAATGGTTCACGATTTGAAAAGAATTTGTCGCCAGAGAGGGATTGGAGCATATTCGTTGAGGCGGGAATGAGTGGAGGGAGATAAGCATCCTCTATGTCCTCTGGTCGGCAACCTTCTGACGGGTTTAGACTGACAGAAGCCAGGAATAGAAGGGACGGTTGCTGAATGCGGTTTCGAGGACGCTCTTGTTTGGAGTTAGCAAAGAATACATTGACAGCAAGGTTTGTTTTTTCTGGTTAGACTGACTGAGGAAACTCTCGATATTCCAGATAATGTATACATGGTTTCCAGATCCCTCGTCGCCCTCAAACTCATTGATCACTACCAAAGGCTCTTCATTTGTGTCTACAACGCCTGAGAATACAGCTTCTCGGGAAGGTGTAGAGTGGTCTGCAACGGGCTCAGCTGGGTCGACCACAAACACATCTAGTCTGATCTCAAGACGTGGTAAATATTGCTTCAGAATAGCTCCTGAGCAGTTGGAAAGTCGCAGGACGATTCGGACGGGGAGAAATTCATCTAATATGTCGTATGTAAGAGAGAGGTTGGCACTCAATTGGCTTCTTCAGAGCAGCATACCAAAGAAGAGAAGAGATCGTTGGGGAATTGAAGACAGCACCGAGGGAAGATCATCAGCGCCATTCTCCAGCGCCGAGGCCAAGGCTACCTCGAGATCAAGTTCCGGATTATGGGGTATGACAGTGTCTAGAATCGCATGTCGTAAAAATTCACCAGGTACTTCTAAGCCAGGCATTGCGACGAAACTTGTCGCATGCAATCGCAAACAAGCTCGGGAGATTAATGGCGGTACGTAGTTAAGGAGAGGATAGTGATAAGCGGTGTGCAAACATTGCAAACATCTCCAAGTCGCAAGCTTTATCTCCGCAGTTTGCTTTTTCAAATCTTTTCATCGTCACCCTTTTCGCACAACCATGAATTCCACCATCAATCCCATAGCGGCTCCTGTCATCTGGCAGGAGGCACGCACTGCTGAAGGTAGACCTTATTACTACAATGTCGAAACGAAAGTAACTCAGTGGAAGAAGCCCGAAGAGCTTATGACTCCTGCGGAGGTTTGTATCAACACTCTTGTTTTCTTATCCAATCTCCAAACTAATGCTCTCGTCCTCTCTAACAGCGCGCTTCTGCAAACGTTATTGCAGCTTCGCCGTGGAAGGAATATGTACATGAGGATGGGCGCAAATATTGGGTCAACTCAGAAACGAAGGAAAGCACTTGGAAAATGCCCGATGCCTACAAGAATGCGCTCGCAGCAGATTCATCTGCTTCTCTTCCAACATCTTTTGCCGGACGTAATTCTAACCAGACTTATCCCCAAAATCGTGATCGGAACGATTACCACGATCGAGGAGGCTACAACGAGCGCCGTGGTTATGGAGGAGGCCATGACAAGTACGCGATGGTTGCTATTCCAGCCTCAGGGAGTCAATTTGAACCCGAGTATCACACCATAGAAGAGGCCGAAGCTGCTTTTATGAAGATGCTCAAGCGCCACAATGTTGGTCCCGATTGGACCTGGGAGCAAACCGTGCGAGCGACTATTAAAGATCCTCAATACCGTGCCCTTCGAGACCCTTGTGACCGCCAGGCTGCCTTTGATAAATATGCGATTGAGGTTCGCGTTCAGGAAAAGGAACGGGCGAAAGAAAGATTCGCAAAGCTCCGCGCAGACTTTACTGTTATGTTGAAGCGTCATCCTGAAATTAAATATTACAGTCGCTGGAAGACAATCCGTCCCATTCTCGAGGGAGAAACTACATTTCGCACGACTAATGATGAGAGCGAAAGACGCCAACTTTTTGATGAGTATGTTGTTGAGCTTAAGAAAGCTCATGTGGAACTCCAGACAGCCACTCACAAGGCCGCTATGGAAGAGTTGATTGGCATCCTCAACTCGCTCGACCTCGAGCCCTACACGCGCTGGTCGGAAGCCCATGCGGTCATCCAGTCTCATGAAAAGATCCAGACCGATGATAAGTTCAAATCCTTGTCCAAGTCTGACATATTGACCGCATTTGAAAATCATATCAAAATTTTGGAACGCACTTTTAACGATGCCCGTCAAGAGCAGAAGGCAACTCGAGCCCGAAAGGAGCGCCACTGCCGAGAACAGTTCCTTGAGCTCCTGGCAGAATTGAAAAGCCAAGGCAAGATAAAGGCGGGGTCTAAGTGGGTGACTATCCGCCCTTTGATCCAAGATGATCCTAGGTACCAGGGAATTCTTGGCCGGTCCGGCTCCACTCCTATGGATCTGTTTTGGGATGTCGTTGAAGAAGAAGAACGTTCCATTCGTGCTATTCGCAACCACGTTTTGGACGTACTTGATGTAGGTCCTCGAAAGATCCGAATGCCCTTCCTTCTTTCACCTCACCTATTAACAATATATTTCAGGACCACCGACAAAATGTGACCCCAAGCACTACACTTGATGAGTTCAACGTCATTATGGCGTCTGATCGACGTACCTCGACGGTCGACCCAGAGATCCTAACTCTCATTTTCCAGCGCCTCCAGGATAAGGCAATTCGCCGGAGCGAAGAGGAGAAGCACGCCGCTGATCGACATCAGCGCCGCGCCGTCGATGCCCTGCGCTCGCTTATCAAACACCTCGAGCCTCAAGTACGTGTGACTGATACATGGGAGCAAGTTCAGCCCAGACTGGAAAAATACGATGAGTACAAAGCTGTTGAGTCGGATGAACTTCGTCAGTCCGCCTTTGAGAAGGTGATTTCTCGCCTCAAGGAGAAGGACGATGAATTTGAAAAGGAACGTGAGTTCCGAAACCGCCGAGACCATGAACGTAGTGACCGTGACTACCGCAGTACTCGAGGAGAACTCTCCCCTGAGCAAGATGCCTACGAGGCAGACCGTCGGAAGGCTCAGGCCGAGCGCGAACGAACCTATCGCAAAATCACGGAAATCTCATCCCCTACTGATCGCCGTGACGACCGCGATCGTTACCGCCGGGACGTTGATCGCCGTTCCCGAGACCTGGATCGTCGCGAAGACGAGCGCGAACGACTTTATCGCACTCGCGGCGACCCCCGTGGTGGCCGCGATGAACTTGACTATGGTGATACCCGTAGTCACGCTGTTAGCAACGGCGATCGTCGTCGCCGACGTGAGAGTGATGCTAGTGTGGCCAGTCGGTCTGTGAAGCGCTATCGTCGTGATAGCCGTGAGCCAGAGCGTAGCAAGGACCCTCGCAAGGACCGTACTTTAGAGCCTGCTATCATTGAGGAGGTGAAGATCGCCAAGGCTACCCATTCCGGTAGCGAGGAAGGCGAAATTGAGGACGATTGATTTTTCGGCAACGTAACAACACCTAGCACATCTTGGCTCGATGTCTTATATTTTTCTAGGTAGTCTGACTGTAACAACAGTTGTGTATCTTGGCTCGATTCATAGCTTGTAGATATAAACTTCGCCTTCACTTTCACTTTCTACACCTAAGGTCTTACGACTCACTCTTCTGATTCTATGGATTTTCATTTATAAACTTAGTATACATATTAGATCACAACATTAAAGATCAAGCATTGCGTTTATTTCAATGAAGTGACTTCAAGAGGAGGTATGCTAAACAATAATAGTTTAGGCTAGCTATCTGCCATCAATTTTCATTACATGAAGACTCGCAATCGCGAATCTGCACTTCCAGTAGCGACGACACATCGAAGTTCCACTTCACCTGGATCCTCCTTGTCGGAGTGTATTGTGGACGGCGCCCATCCAATACAACTAAAAAAACCTCCACTCACCTCAATTGTTTTCGAAAGTCTTCCTTCTTGCGCAAGATCCCAACAGCGAATGGTCCCATCATCAGCAACACTCAGCAAGAATCTTCCACCAGGATGGAAAACCAAGCCTTTGACCCAGTTGTTGTGGCCAATGAAAGTCTTGATCAAAACACCTCGAGAGTCCCAGAGCTTGATTGTTTTATCTCGACCGGCCGTCACCAGAAACTCGATTGAATTCAAGGCTGTAGGAGATACTCTCATCCCTGTCATCGTTGCTAGATACGAATAACTTGCGTGAGGTGCGTAGGTAGAGCATTCGATGTAGTTTTCATGGCCTAGAAGTGTAGTACGTGCTTCTCCGGTGGTAAGGTCCCATATCGTTGCTGCTTGATCTCGTCCCACTGAAACCAGCGACTGTCCATCAGGAGATGGGCATACATCATAGATCCAGTCAAGATTGGTATTGATTAAATTGGTACATATACCTGTCGATGCATCCCAGATGCGAATGGACGAGTCCCGACTAGCTGATACGAGGATGTTCTCGCCTGGACGTAGGAAGCGAATGCATGAAACAGAGTGATCATGTCCCACCATGGTCCTGATATAAGCATATTCGCTGCTTGGATCCCATATTTTGATCATGAGATCATGTCCGCAGGAAGCTAACAGGGTTCGGTCCTTTTGGCCGCCAAATTCAAGACCTGTGATGGCTCGAGTGTGGCCTTTGAGTGTTTTTTCAAACTCGCCATACTCCCAGCTCCAGATCTTGATGGTGAAGTCATCGGAGCCCGATGCTAGAGAGGGATGCGTTGGATGAAAAGCAACACAATTAATAGCTGCTCGGTGAGATTCAAGCGTATAAGTTGCCTTTCCAGGAAGCCATTTTATCGGGTCTCGCTGTGTTTGTGTCGTTAGATTGCCAAGATTGGATTGCAGTATTGCTTCGAGGTTGGTGATTTTGGATTCTAGACTTATGACCTGGTGATAATCAGTACCATTTTATCAATATGGACTTTCCACACGGAAAGTGGTCTTGAACAGATATATCTCCTGTACGTAGGAGGCTTCAAACGTCGACAATCAGCTCTTCTTACCTTTCTCTGCAATGTTGTAATCACTGTCCATTTCTTCTGAAGAATCTGGGCATACTGCTTGCATGCATCTTCAGTAAAGCTGTCATTCAGTCCAAGCTCATTCCGCAGTGTTGTCGCACTTCGAGGAGCATCGATTAGTGTCATATATCCAATTATCGCCTTGTGTCTAAGATTTGGTTAGCATGGGACTAAGTTGAAGAATTGTGAGGAAAACATCATACAGTTCTTGAGCTTGTTGCTCTGACAGATGATTTCCCATGCTTGTTGATTCCCAAGGTTATGGTGGTAAAATGGTAACCCAGTAGAAGGATGCAGGAACGAGAGACTTCGAAAGAACAAATACCAACAGTTCAAGTGAATGAACGCCTTTCACTTATCGTGGGTAGTTTCAAGGTTGCTTCAGATCTTTTCAATGTGAACGCCTACAACCTTGAAATATATGACAACTATGCAAGGGGAGATCCGACTAATTTAAGTACGCACATAAAATCTAGTGCCTCATACCCGAGAGTGCTCTACAGCTGGCTTATATTGAAGGAAAGATCAAAGGTAGATAGGTTAAAATGTCTTGGAGTGACCTAAGTGACTGAAAATGAAAAATTGGAATTAAGAAAATTTGAACTAAGCATGTACAGGAATTGACCTGATGCGAAGAGGACCTCGTCAAGATTCAGCAATAACAGTCTTCCAGCCCGTATATGGCTGCTTTCTCTGTCACCCTCATTCATCCTCCACTATCGATCATCAAGTCATAGGTGCTTTTTGGGGGGAACAGACCGTCATCCCAACGGCAAAAATAAAGAAACTCCGATCAATAAACCATGCCAATCAAAAATCCCCCCGACCTAAAATTTGGGAATGGACGTTGACATTCACCCGCCAAATTTCAGATGCATATGAACAAAAGCCGGAGAGCCTGGTAAAGTCGATTGCAGGGAATTAAGGAAGAGAAACAATGAAATGATAGAAAAGAACAAATAACTTGAGACCAGTGGCAGAATTGCCGCTTAGTTTCGCGCTTCATAATCAGCCATCATCATCATCGTCATCTTCCTCGTCCTGGGAGCCCTGTTGGTCGTCGGAGCAAGCCCCAACGAGACTGGGCCCAGTGCCCTGAACCGCCGAGGCTCTACAAACGCCCGGAAACGCCATTATTCGCCAGATTCTTCGATGGCCGCGGCGCTGCTTGCGCCGCTTCTCAGAATCTTGACCATCACGGTTGTGATGGCGGCGGTGATGATTGTAAAAGATGCCTTTTTTAGTTCTCTTCCTCCAGGAAGTAGTAGTTGCCAGCCAACTTCTGTTCCTGGTCCATCTGACTCTGGTACTTGTTGATACGGGGGCGGTAGCTGTTGGGGTCACGGCGGAAAGTGACATCCAGGTTCTTCAAGAATTTATTGCAGCCAGTGACCAGAGACTCCGGGGTGTTGGCATGAGCGTCCACGGAGGGCTTACCGTCAAAGACAATGACACGGTCAGCTAGGTAGGTAGCCATGATGAAATCGTGCTCGACGATGAAAGCTGTCTTCTTGGTGTGCATAATGAAACGCTTGATGACACGGGCAGCCACGATACGCTGCTCGGAGTCCAGGTAGGCACTAGGCTCATCGATCAGATAAAGATCAGCAGGCATACCAAGAGCCAGGACAATGGCAACACGCTGCAATTCACCACCAGACAAGTTCTGAACCTCCTGGTCAATGAAGTCATCAAGCTTCAGGGGCTTGTAGACGTCGGTCTGGAACTGAGGCGAGAGGAAAGCAGCCTTGATACGCTTGAAGAACAGCTGACGAACGGTACCCTGGAACTTGGGGGTAATCTTCTGAGGCTTCATGCTAATGTTCATCTTGGGGACGGAAATGAGACCATCGGGCTTCTCAGCACCAGCCAACATACGGCAGAAAGTGGTCTTTCCAGTTCCGTTCTCACCCATCATGACGATAATTTCTGAATCTGTGAATCTGCCAGGATCGATCTTGAGGTGGAAGCCGCCGAGAGTCTTCTCCATAGCAGGGTAGGCGAAAGCACGTGCCTTGTCGGAAATGAAGTCATCACCAGCCTCAGTCAGGCGGAAAGTGAGCGATTCCTCGCGGAAACGAAGGTTCTCAGTGGGGATGTGACCGTCCAAGAAGATGTTGATACCTTCGCGGACCGAAGAGGGCAGGGTGACAACACCGTAGACAGCAGGACGACCATAGAGTACACAAATGAAATCAGAGAGGTAGTCAAGAACTGACAAATCGTGCTCCACGACAATGACATAGTCATCAGGACGAAGGAGGCTGCGGATGGTGCGGGCAGCAGCCAGACGCTGCTTGACATCAAGATAAGACGAAGGCTCGTCAAACATGTAGACATCAGCCTTCTGCACACAAACCAAACCAATAGCGAAACGTTGCAGTTCACCACCAGAAAGGTGATCAATGTCACGATCAGCGACCTGCTTCAGCTCAAGAACGCTCATGATCTCGTCCATAGTGCCCAAAGAATCACGCGCCTTGATAAGGTCCTGTACTCCCTTGACGGGACCCTTGACAGCCCGGGGAATCTGATCGACGTACTGAGGTTTGACCACAGCCTTCAAGTTGTCCTCCAGAACCTTGGTAAAGTAGTCTATCTAGTGTCAGTTTCTCTTTATTCCCAGAAATAATCCATTTGGCAATCTTACTCTGCAGCTCGGATCCACGGAAATACTTCAAGATTTCCTCCCAATCAGGCGGGTTGTCATAACGACCCAAGTTAGGCTTCAGCTTGCCACTCAAGATCTTCAATGCTGTACTCTTGCCGATACCGTTGGTTCCAACAAGACCAAGAACTTGACCGGGACGGGGCATAGGAAGACGATGGAGCTTGAAACTGTTGGCCGAGTATCGATGGGTAACCTGAGTCTCTAGGTTGGTGGGCAAGTTGATAATGTGGATGGCGCCAAAGGGACATTTCTTCGGACAGATACCGCAACCGATACACAAGCTCTCGGAAATGAAGGCAATCTTGGACGCGTTGGTCACTTCAATGCAAAGTTTACCGGATCGCACGACGGGGCACGCCTTCTTGCACTCTTGACGACATTTCTGCTTCAATTAGTCTTTGCTAAACTAGGCGATTTCTTGTCGAGTTTCGTACCTTGGGCTTGCACTGTTCGACGAGGAGAAAACTGCGTTAGCTGGTTACATACAAGGCTTTCCGCGCGCAAAGAATGTTGGCGGGGTAGTTTTGAGACAGACCTTGTCAGAGTTGATGATCGCAATACTATAAACACAAGTGAATTAGAAATGCATGATTTTAGATTCAACCGGTCTCGAGACATACCGAGTAAGCTTCGAGTCGGACATGTTGGTGGATTGGGCTCAAAGGAACCAAAATTTTGTATCAAAGCGGGAACGAAGAACTAGATGCTAAGACTTTCAAGATGGAAAGCTTCCTCGAGTTGGCAAACAGGACACCGTCGCAGCCAAATAGAGTGGGGTGCAGAGGAGCGTTAACTATCTGCGCACGCTGAAACTGGCGGAATCAAAGCGAACAATATCAACTGGTTGAGGGCAGAATTGAACGGACTCTTTCTTGTTGTGGGCTGGAGTGCCTGAGGCAATAACAAATTGACCGCCCATTGTCTAGATTATTCGCCATGATTTTGATTGGCCGATGGCCAATTCTTAGGGCAATCTTTTATCCGAAGTACTACCTCATCACATGACCTATCAAGATGATCAGGTGAAGCGAGTATACTAGTCCTGATTTGGAAAATAGCTTGGTGCCTGAAGTACAAGGAACCGAAGGATCCTTGCAAACCTCCCAAACCAAACCGAATCCCCCAACTCTCTCTTCCCTTCAGTGCCCGTTTCGTCTCTCACCTTCTGTTGTCGTCTTTTTTCACAACCACCATTCACTATTTTAAATTGATACCCTAGTCACCCCTCCTACGGGGTCACCGCGCTATGGAGTGTGAGTAATTTTTTTTTCTCTCCTTTTAACTATCAGACGTGTCGATCAAGCGTTTTGCCCAGTCACTTCTCCGCGTTCTTCGACCCACCATAAACATCTCGATATTTCTGATCTGTCTCGAGGTCAGGAGGAGCATTGAACTGCATCTTCTCACCCTAATTTTCTCCCTCTATTCGACTGGTGTCTTGTGTCATCGATCTCGTGGCGCCAGCTCAGGTCGTGCCTCGTGCATCCCAACTGACTCAAAAAACCATCGATTTCCATCAATCTTGATATTCTACCCCAATTCACCATCTTTAAGCTTTCTTTTTACCGGGAACTGAGTCGCGTATCGCTGCTCTACCCTACCATATGTATTTTGTCTTCCCATCAGGCCAGATCGAGCTTCAATGCTAACTGCCCACCCGTTTTATAGCATCTAGCATGGTGATCCCACCAGGTCCCGAATCTTCTTCGCCCCTTGCACTTTCGAATGGCTATGCACATGCGCTAGCTACCGACGAGACAGAACACGAGCTCGACATGGCTGCGAAGAGCGAACACAGTCCATCCGGGCCCATCGAATTCCACGACGTCTCCGAGTCCTCTTCCGAAGCCGATGTCGCAGATGAGTCCTACGATGCGGGGTCACCGGCTTCTGATGGAGAGGATGAGGATGCTGTCATGGGAAACAGTGAAGATGAGTTCGACCATTATGATGGTGAAAATTCTTCATCGTCTCACCTTGACCGAGGTGTCAAGCGCAAATCCACGCCGCCAGACGAAACGGAGTACATGAGACAGAACCCTGACCTCTACGGTCTTCGTCGTAGTGGTCGCGCACATCTTCCACTTAATGTTGCCGACTCATCTGAGTCGGAATCAGATGTTGGGCCACGTAAGCGCCGACGAAAGGAACCTTCTCAGCGGCCCCCGAAGACCTCACGGTCGACTACTGTAACGTCCGCCACCGAATCTGACAGTGACGAATACGGTCCAAAAAAGGCAAGCCGCCGACGTCGTGTGAAGGAGGCAAGCACAGGACCCTCACTCACTGAAGTGCGCTTCTCAACAAGAAACGCTGCCCGGGCAAATTACAATGAAGATGAAGATGACGACATTTTCGAAGATGACCAAGATCAACTGCAGCCTAATTACTGGGCAACTGACTTTGTGGAAGACACCCGGCCTGCTGTTGATGTTGTCCTCAACCACCGGCTGAAGGAAGGCGTCGACCCCAAAAGCCCTACTGTCGATCGCCAAGATTTTGAATTCTATATCAAGTGGCAGGACAAGGCACATATCCATGCCACGTGGGAGGCAAATGAGGCTCTGGTCAACTACCGAAGCCCACGCCGCGTTGACAACTATGTGCGCAAAGTGCTCAACGAAGATTTACGACTGCAGCATGATCCATACGCTGCTCCCGAGGACCGCGAAAAATGGAACCTCGATCGTGAGCGAGACATTGACGCTATTGAAGACTATAAGAAGGTCGAGAGAGTGATTGGTGTTCGGGAAGGCGAAGATGGCACGGAATATTACGTCAAGTGGAAACGGCTTTTCTATGATTCATGTACGTGGGAAGCCGAGAACTTGGTCAGTGAGATCGCACAACGTGAAATCGATCGCTTCATCGATCGCTCCGCTCGACTCCCCGTCTCGGATCCAAAGGAGTCAAATCCTGCTACCCGAAAGCCGTTTGAGTTCATGCGCGAGTCTCCAAACTTCTTGGAAAATGGAAAGCTGAAGGATTTCCAAATTGAAGGATTGAACTTCTTGGCTTTCAAATGGGTCAAAAACCACAATGTGGTTCTTGCCGATGAGATGGGTCTGGGGAAAACAGTACAGACGGTGTCTTTTATTAACTGGTTGCGCCATAACCGGCGTCAGCAAGGCCCGTTCATTGTCATTGTGCCACTGTCGACCATGCCGGCATGGGCAGAGACCTTTGACAATTGGACACCGGACTTGAACTATGTGGTCTACAATGGAAGTGAAAAATCTCGAGACGTTCTCCGTGAGTACGAGCTCATGGTGGATGGCAACCCCAAGCGCCCGAAGTTTCATGTTCTCCTAACAACATATGAATATGCTATGAATGACTCTGCTTTCCTGGGCCAGTTCAAATGGCAATTCATGGCAGTGGACGAGGCCCATCGGTTGAAGAACCGTGACTCGCAGCTTTACGTCAAGTTACTTGAATGGAAATGCCAAGCGCGTCTTCTTATCACAGGCACTCCTGTTCAGAACAACCTGGCTGAATTGGCATCTTTGATGGACTTCCTCAACCCCGGCATCATCCACGTGGATGAGGATATGGACTTCAAAGACCCCGAAGCCTCGTCTAAAAAGCTGGCCGAGTTGGTTGGAGCAATTCAGCCATTCATGTTGCGTCGAACCAAGTCCCAGGTAGAGTCTGACCTTCCTCCGAAGACAGAAAAGATCATTCGTGTGGAGCTCTCCGACATTCAGCTGGAATACTACAAGAATATCCTCACAAAAAACTACGCGGCTTTAAATAGCGGTGGTGGTGGCGCGAAGCAGTCTCTTCTCAACATCATGATGGAATTGAAGAAGGCTAGCAACCATCCTTTCATGTTTCCAAATGCGGAGGCAAGAATTCTCAATAACAGCACACGACGCGAGGATATTCTGAGGGCTATGATCACCAGCAGCGGCAAGATGATGTTGCTTGATCAGCTTCTGCGAAAACTGAAAGCTGACAATCATCGTGTTTTGATCTTTTGTCAGATGGTTGGCATGCTCAACATTCTGAGCGAGTACATGGAATATCGCGGGTACAGCTACCAGCGCCTGGACGGCACAATTCCTTCCGCCGCTCGCAGATTGGCTATTGACCATTACAACGCCGCTGGGAGCACCGACTTTGCATTCCTCCTATCCACTCGAGCCGGTGGTCTCGGAATTAACTTGATGACTGCAGACACAGTTGTCCTCTTCGATTCGGATTGGAATCCTCAAGCTGATCTGCAGGCCATGGCTCGTGCCCATCGTATTGGCCAGACCAGGCCCGTGAGTGTTTATCGTCTCGTCTCGAAAGATACTGTCGAGGAGGAAGTCCTTGAGAGAGCCCGTAACAAGTTGCTTCTAGAGTTCATTACCATTCAGAATGGTGTCACAGACCAAGAAGCAACGGATATTCACAACAAGATGAAGACGCGTCCTCCTGGTGAACCTACGTCTTCGCAGGATATCTCTCGAATTCTCAAGCGACGTGGCCAAAAGATGTTTGAACAGACAGACAACCAGAAGAAGCTGGAACAACTTGATATCGACTCTGTCCTTGCCAATGCAGAATTGCACCAGACGGCAGAAGAGGGGATTCAAGCTGATGGTGGCGAGGACTTCCAAAAGATTATCAATGTCAAACTCCAAGAATATCAGAATTGGCAGGCAGAAGACAATGCGTTGGACAGCAAGGATCTCAAAGACTTCATGTCAAAGGATATGGTTGACAAAATCGAGGCTGAGCAGTCACTCAAGGAAAGCGAAAGACTCGCGGAGACACTCCAACCGAGTCAACCGAGAAAGCGCCAGGCACCGAACTACATGACAGACTCTCGCGAAGAACGCAAGGCAAAACGCCAAGCACGAGCACAAGTTGCCATTGATGACGGAGATGACGAAAGTAGCTCGCTGGACCCAAAGCGCCCTCTCGGTGAAAAGGAATACCGCGCCCTTTCACGTGCATTCCTTCGATATGGCGATATGGATGACTGTGAGGCACTTATCCTTGAGGACTCTCGGTTGCAAACTCGTGATCGAGAGACTGTACGAGCAGCCCTTCGAGAGATCACGGACAAGGCTGCATCTTTGGTCCAAGAAAATATTGCCCAGATGGAGGCCCTAAAGCAATCCGGTAAAAACCTGACCAAGAAGGAGCAAAAGGCCGTCTTGTTCGATCATCATGGTGTTAAGCGTTTGAACGCATTTACCATTGTAGATCGCCCTACAGACATGCGACTTGTACGGAGCCTCACCAGTTCCCTTTCCGACTTCAAAACATTCCGTCTACCCGAGGCAACCAAACTAGCAGATTATAGCTGTTCATGGGGTGCAAGAGAAGATGGAATGCTGTTGATCGGCATTGCACGTCATGGCTTCGGTGCTTGGACACAAATTAGAGATGATGTCGACCTGGGCCTGGGCGATAGGTTCTTTCTGGAGGAGCACCGCGTTGAGAGGAAAACCCAGCGTGCCCAAGGCGAAGAGAAGGCTACCAAATCCCCTGGTGCCGTTCACCTTGTCCGCCGAGCGGAGTACTTGTTGTCGGTTTTGCGAAACAAGCATAGCCGTAGTAGCAACACTACTGCGAAACGGGCTGTTGACAACCATCATCGCAATAACAAGCGAAACTCGCGCGTTGGCAGTGGTAGTGTCTCTGCATCTCCCGCACCCTCTGCCCGAAAAGGACAACGCGAGGCTGATCGATCACGGCAACGTTCACACACCCATGGGAGCCGAGAGGGATCAGGTCGACACGGCACTCCTAATAACGACCGTTCAAAGTCTGGATATGACGGTGATCGTCCTAGACACCGTTTGTCCGATACGGCACATGATGAACTTCATCGACGGAGGGAGCATGGCGGCTCTAATAAAGAAGACATGGCGTTCATGTTCTTCAAGCCAATTGTGCCAAATCTCAAACAAGTTTCCATGATTACGGCTAAGAACTATCCCGAGAAGGCTGATCGTGCCCGAAAGTTAAGAAACACCATTGTCAAGATTGGTGAATTCATCGATAGCACGTTGGAAGGCCAACAGTCCATGCCTTCACTCGAAAGACGCCTCTGGTAAATCAAATTACAAGTTTTTCAGATCCTGATAACACAACTAACGTGATATTTTAGGGATTATGTGTCGGTTAATTACTGGCCAAACAAAGAAGCTAGTGGCGCAAAGCTTCAACAGATGTTCATGAAGGTCCAGGAAGCTAGTAAAGCTTCGAAAGCCGCTACTGCCAGCACTTGAAGTGGTCTTACTGGTGAGCGGCAATGTTATCAAAAGGGCCCAGACTAACATCTTTTCCGTCCTTTTTCCCCTTCAAAGTACATACGGATGCAACGACTTTGCATTGCATTGCGAAAGGCGTATTCTCATACAGGTTGCTCCACGATTGGAATTTGGTTCAATCTACTGAACCCGGGGCTAGATATGTCCTTCATGTGAGCCGTTCTTGACGAACTATTTTTTTTTCTCTTTTTTCGCCTGTTTCTTTCTTCAATACCTCTAGGGGCTACGGCTACTTCATATTTTCACATGTTCACTATCTTAGTGAGTTACTTCGAGTATCTAACTAGTTAGCTGACTAACGTTTTGTTCGCTACCTCTCCCTCTTCTTTAAAATAATGGACCCTGTGATGAGGCAAAATTTTCGTTATTAATATTGGCAATGCCGTTACTTCATCGGACAAGTAAAGCAAATAAGCGGAAAATGAATCTTAAGCTCGAAATCAATAGAAAGTAAGAAAACTGTTCATACAAGTATCCATCCCACTCCTGTTTTCCGATTTCCGCCGAGACGCCACGAACACATAAATAAATTGATTCGATCAAAATTTTGCGAAAGCAAAAACTAAGGCACAGCAAGACTATTCTCAGTCTCAGCCTCGGGTATCTCTCTTGTGGTTTGTCTCTGCTCCCGCTGGCGCTGAAACTCCATTTGATGCCGTTGCAGCTTTTCCAAGCTGGACATATCCATGTCAGACGCAGAAGAGCTCGGGGCTTCGGCTGAAGAGCCACAGGCTGGGGCAAGGATGTTGAAGAGTCGTAGCTCGCCCTCAATGACATTGTCAAAGATAGCGTCCTTGTCACGCCAGGCGCGCTCGCGCTTTGGACTGAGTGCTTCCCAGTCTGCGCGCAATTGAACCGTTTCCTTCTCTGCCCAGGAGATCTGTTTTCGTAGAAGTTTGTACAAGTCACGAACTTGCATGCCGAGCTCGTATGGATCGAAGCCAAGCTCGGGTCCTAGCTCTGGCATTACTAGGTCGTCCTCGTCTGTCGCATTGATAGTGACGGTCGGGGTAGATATGATGGTGGCTTCATGGTGCTCATGCTCTGAGCCGGGTTCTTTGGGTTGTGAGAGCTTGAGGCGGATGCGTGGACCCTTTGAAATGGGTGTGCTGACGACGCTTGGGGCTCCGCCAGCGTTGGACTTGGAGTCTGTTTGGCGCAAGGAGTCAATTTCGTGAACAGAGCGCATGTGTTTAGTCAGAGCATCGGAGCGGGTGAAGTTGCGGTCGCATTCTGGTTTAAAACCGGTTAGCTCAGTACTTAATGATTATATACGCCGGATGATAGGAGACTCAATCGACGCTTTGTTTAAACCTGAGTAGAAATTACCTGGCAAAGTGCAATAGAACGGCTTCTCACGCGTGTGACTCCGCATATGAGCACGCAGTGCATAGGCGCTGGCATGCGTTTGACCCTTTCGGGCGCAATCAGTCCACTCGCACGAATACCGCTTCTGTCGGCTCCCGATGTGTTCGTTGTGGAGATGCTGCACCAAGCCATCCATGTTGCCAAGATCTCCAGTTGTGCATCCATCCCAGCGGCAGATAGTGACTTGGTCACCACCTTGGCCGCTGTAGTCGTCGTCTTGATTATTTCCCAGCAATCCTAGTAGACTGGGAGAGTTCGGTATGTCGCCGGAGCTATCGGAAGAGATAGAGGCTGTGGGTGAGGGAGGGGGATTAACATCATCTTGGGCTGAGGATAGGGGTGTATGGCGGTCCCAAGATGCTACACCGGTTCGGCGGCGCTTGGAAGGGGGCATGTTTGAGGCTGAGGGTGACTGGGCACGGCTTTCTGCCTTGATGGATTCATGATCTGAATCATCAGCGGAGGCGATGGACGACAAAGGGGAACCGGGTGATACACGGACTTCCATATTGAATAAGCTTGCGAACAAAGGGACGGATTCACTAGATGAGAGTCGAGTGATCGCCGGGGCGAAGGTGTCGCGCCTGTAGATAACTACACTAAGGGTCAGGCATTGAAATCACGTGACTGACCCGTTTCCTTCTGCTTTTTTCTCCCCACAACTTTTCTCTTCCTAATTCCACTCTTCTCTCAACATCACAATGTGGCCATTGTGTTCTTAAAATGACGCAATTCATATTCATCATTGACTTGAAATAATCTCTCCATTTTATTGGATAATCAGTTGGTATGCAATGCTTATGCTACTTTCTCTCTGCCCTCACACCCACAAGATGAATATTCGAAAGAGTTCTGCAATTCAGACAATCCTCTAGCATCGTATTTCGGTGCGAAGCTCAGTTGGACTGCATGTCGACTTAAACTACACTTGATCTGACCCAAACTATCATGATATCCTCATCGTTGATTTCAAAAGCCTAATAGTCCAAAGCTAACAGACTTCATAGTAAATCATGCTACCATTGTGCCTAGTAACGTGGTCCAGCAACAGTATTCTCTCTGAGAATTGCGTCAACCTCGGCCAGCTCCTCGTCTGACAACAGCTTAACCCCCACCATATTTTGGATCACCTTGTCGGAGGTGGTACCACCGGGAATAGGGATGATGGTGGGCATACCGGGTCTGCCACTGAGGCTCCGGATCCAGCCCAAGGCGACTTGGGCCGGGGCAACACCCTTACGCTCAGCCAGGCTCTTCACCTCGTTGATTAGCTTCAGGTTGTGCTGGAAGTTCTCTTCCTGGAAGCGGGCCATGCGTCGGCGGATGTCACCCTCGGGGATATCGTTGAGCGAAGTCACAGCGCCGGTTAGAACACCCCGTCCAAGCGGCGAGTAGGCAATAATTGGGATGTTCAACTCTGCACAAGTTGCGGCAATACCGTTGTCGAGAATTTCTGTTGACCATAGTGACATCTCAACCTCCACAGCGGCGATAGGATGTACTTTGACTCTAGATATGAAGTTAGTATCAGAATAAACAATGTAACACGCATCATATACGTACGCTCGTCGAATAGTCTCAGCATCCACCTCACTAAGGCTAATGCCTCCTAGCTTGCCGTCCTTGACGTACTCCGCCAGAACCTTCACAGTGAGCTCGACGGGGAAGTTAGAGTCCTGTCGTGCACACTCGAAGATATCAAGCTTCTTTTTTCCGTCTAGTACGCGCAGACACTCGTCCACACTTCGGCGGATGTTCTCTTCCGAGCCATCTGGGATAAGCTGGCCAGGCTTCAAGCCACCCTTTATACTGAGAACGACTTTGTCTGCATTCTCAGGATACTTGGTGAAATACTTGTTCATCAGGTGCAGAGAGTTGTTCTCAGGTGTGCCATATAGCTCGCCACCGTTCCAGAAGTTAGCACCAAGCTCCAGGGCCTTGTTCAGAGTCTCAAGGCAAACTTCCTGGGTTGGTGGCTGTGCGTTCCAGGTCATTCCTGTTCGTGTCAGCTACCATATGCATCTTTTCAAGGTTACTCGGGGATCAATTCATACTCATGGTGCCATAGCCAGTGGAGCCGACTTCCTTTCCAACGAGAGAAGGCATTGCGTACGATATATTGACTTGGGAATGGTTTTAGAGAAGAGGAGTGAAATATCAATTGGATGGTAACTTGTGAAGCTAGTATTCCGGGACTCCAGGCCCTTTATATATGTATCCTTATTCAGCACAGCTATCGAACCCCACTACGGTAGGTGCAGCTATCCACCAAGACCGGGCACAGCTTATGAGCGACTATCCCCATTAAAGTGCCGAATGTCCGATCTTTGCACTTGGTTGTAATTTCTAGTGATTGGCCACTTCACTGGTTATGGTGATAAGAAGGATTTAAAATGGCGGCCTAAGCGGAAATAAGTCTTGTATGGAAGCTGGTGGACCGGAGTTAACGCTTATGCCGAGAGATGATTTCTACTATCCAGAAACCTGCTAAAGGTATTCAATATTTTTGGTTCATAATAAAGTAAGCTATGCATCTAATCGTATTCCTTCTATGTAAAACCACCCTCCCAATAATTCGATAAATCTAACACCATTTCCAGAGTCCATTGCTCCTCAAATCAGGGCGAAATCTCGTCTGCACTGTAAATATCATTAAGCCTGTGGGAAACCAATTTTTCCACGGCATTCAGCACATTGGGAATATCTGACGCCTCGATCTTGTTTCCGCCATGCCAGTCTCCGATCTGGATGTTCTTGACAGGGTGGTCAGAATCATTCTGAACATTGGTAGTCCAACTCGACTCATAGCTAGAGATGGCCGGAGATGGATACAGTCCTTCGACGTTTCCATTGCCGTGATCACTAATCTCAACGGTAGGAGTAGGAAAATAGAAGGGCACCGGTACTGGCACAGACACAGGGGGTGATGGGATTTCGGGAGCTGGGAGCTCTGATTTGGGTGGAGGACCCAGGCCAACCTCGTTCAAGATGCTCGCGAGATAATTTTCCGTATTGGGAATGATTCGCTATTATCGAGTTAGTTTGCTAGCTAGGTGTAGCTTAGTTATCGTTATCACGTACTGGATCGCGAGGCTGGATATTTGCTACAGGTTGTGTTTGCATCTCGCTGTTGGAGCCTTGGATTGGAAATGCGCAGGCTGATGATACGGCTAGTAGAGCCAATACCACCCTTGTCATCAAAGAGAGCTTTTGGGTAGTAAACGCCATATTGAATTGACGTATGTGGTGAAGTAGAGTTTGTATAGAGGGAGGCGTAGTATTAATCAGGATAGAAGGAGGTTTTGAGCAGGATCTTGAGTTATGATGGTGATGATATTGATGATGTTGATGATGATGTACCATGATTCATAGGTAGGTACTTATATCCTATTCTTCAGAGTCTTTAGAGGTTTCAGCCATCATCTGGAATGAAGAAAATTTCAAATGCCAATCCAAGCATACTTTGACAGTCAAGTCCAATAATTCCCAACCTACTGGTATCCAGAATCTAGAAGCAACTGAAATTTCCACCACTACCTTAGGATAATCCTTCATTAGCTCTCCAATAGCCCCAAGCTACTCGGTACATGAGCAGCCCTGCCCTTGGCTCCTCAAGAAACACTAAAATTGGGAAACTAGGGATGACTGCATGTATGATAGCCTATAATGATAAACATTCCAGAGGAGACTACCGGCAAACCAGATGTATTATTGACTCCTTGGCGCATTCTTATTGATGGCAATCATGAATTAAAGGTTGTGTCCCACCAAAAAAGATGCCTGGCAGTAGATCTAGAATAATGTGGAGGATCTGCGTGGGTATCTTTCTGTGCTGTCATGTCAGACTCTGGCAGCTAGAGCCGATAAGAAGATTCCCAAGCCCCCAAGAATGGATTTCAATCGATTCGTAATTGCATCAGACCTTGGAAAGCACATTGGAAGCAGCATACTAATTTTGATTGCTTGATCTAATTAGCTAGATAAGATGGGTATATAAACCTTCTCTGATCGATAACGTGGCTATGGATTGGCTCTATTCCACTCATGAGCATTATGATATGACCGCATGTAGTAACTACGCTCAATAGATAGGTATCATTCGAGCATATTCTTGGAGCAATACTACTTAGATATCCATAAGTTACAAAATGAAGGTACCACAAGGTTCCAATGTTGCAATTACTCAATATTATTATGATCAATACTAGAATTTTACCTGAACTGTACTTAAACTCCATCACCGAAACGATAGTCGTTCATCCACCGCTAAAGAACAAATCAGTTTAGTGCAAAATGACTAGTATCTTTCTCCAGTGAATCCTACCTTGTCATACGGTTTCGAAGAATCGCAAAAACGGAGATCCGTAGCGAGACGAATTACATTTTCCGGATCATTGTTGATAGTTGACGCGTGAATCTAGAGAATAAATTAAGTAAGTAGTATTCCTGAGTGAAACATGGTGCCAAGATCAGATACCATATGGGGTTTATGCAAGACAACATCCCCAGCCTCGTAGGCCGACACCAGCCAGCGGCTGCCATGTTCACGCGCGAACTGAGACGGAAATTCCGAGAGTAAGCCCGTAGTCATCATGTTTGAGTTGAAAGCAGAACGAGCCTCTTCATCAGTCATGCCTGCCTCCGTTGCCTTTTTGAAGAATGCCTGTTCCGTTTCAATACCGATGCGGTCACCTATTTTTCGAGTCAGTATACATGTCGCCGAGAAACCAAAGCGAAAACAAGTCAACTTACTGTTCTCGAGATACATAAGCCCGCCACCATTAAGCTTAATATCTCCAATAGGGACCCAAGCAGTAATGCTAGTCGGTTCACCATACCGCAAGAAAATTTGATCATAGTGTACGCCAATAGGTTTCGAACCAGGAAGATTATTCCTCAACAGTGTGCGACGGAAGCTAAGCGTATTCTCTTCCCAGCCAGAGAACCGGGCAATGAAGTCTTTCAAAGCAGGGTGATTGCAGAATTTCTCCGCATACCAATCTTGATAGTGTGCATCCAAGGCCAGATCAACAAAGGCAGAGGCTTTATCACCTCCTGGTCGTCCATTGGCATCAGCATGGCCGGCACCAATACCTGGGTAATCTTCGTGGTTTTTCGCTGGGTCGAAAACACCTTCTACGGGTTTGGTGCCGGGCTTCAGGACGCCGGTTGATTCGACTAGTGAGAAGTATGTCTCGCGGGCAGCGAGGACGTCGTCGCGAGGGATGACTTGCTTTACGAGAAGGTATCCGTCCTCTTCGTATCGTTTTCGTAATTCCTCTAGCGGCAGGCTGGGATCGGAAGGACGCAGGAGAGCTGCATTCTCTGAGTTCAAGGGCCCATCGTTGACGGCAAGGTTATCTGCTAGGATAGCGACCATTTCGAGGCTTGATGTAGAAGACTCAAGATCAAAAGTAGATGGGAAGCTTGTAATATCCATCTCGAGTGGGAAAGGCTTCAAACTTATACCCGTGGACCCTCTTGAAGCTGTTGTTATTGCGGGGAAACAATAGAGCTTCTAGCTCTAGAACAGATGTTTCCCCGCATGAGTATGGTCTTGGTGGAACCCCGAGTTGCCACATTTATGACTGCATTATACGACTGTGCACGGTCTTTTGATGAAAAGAGTAAAAGTGCCCGCTGGAAGGCGGGGGAAATGGGCCTTTGGGGGATTTCCAGAGATGATCGACCGCGGGAAAAGATACTCTTTCTAGAATGAAGACCTCTTGGTCGCTCATCGTGGAATCTTTCAGCGTTCCCTAGACCCTCGTGAGTTCACCTGCAGTGTACACCTGCATCTCAGGTTGGCACATGTGCAGCTATGCAGAAGTCTATTCGATTACAAGCTATAATTCATTGCCCTCGGGGTGCTCGCTCGATAGAGGTGCTGGAATTACCTGAATAGCCATGGAATTTCAGGTGGTTAGACAAAACGAAGTGTAAGTTTCCCTCTGGATATATGGTCACTTTTTGAATTGAGCAACTGAACCCGCGATCATCCTTTTGAAGGGGTTGGATGCTAACTCGGTGGTCATTGAGCAACAGCATTGGACATAAGTTCTAACATTGTACCATCTAAGAACTAAATGAGATATACACCAATGAATCAAATTCACCCGCTCATTGGCCCATCTTCATTCCACCATTTGCGCAGACCACACTTCCAGTGCACCAAAGAGAATCAGGAGTGCACAGCATACCGACAATGCCGGCAATCTCACTGGTAAAGGCCGGGCGTCGGCCACCCATCTTTTCCTTCACCAACTTCGTCTGTTCCTCAGTCAAACGACTCATTATAGCCGGGTCATTTTCATCCAGTTTACTCAATGGCGTGTTATCCTGTGAGCCCTGCATATCACGCCAAAATTGCTCACCAGTTGCCCAGTACATATCACCAACGACAGGACCAGGATTTACAGCGTTGACAGTGGCGCGATCAGCCAGTTCACGAGCCCAGGTTCGGGTCATCGATTCAAGTGCAGCCTTGGTACCGCCATAAATAGACTGGCCCACGAAACCCAAGGAAGATGAAACGGAAGAAATGTTGATGATACGACCGGTACGGTCTGTGGGGAGGTAGGGAACGCATGCTTGAGTAAGGAGCAGCGGAGCAAGAACATTGATCGTGTACATCCAGTTGAAGTGTTCCGGAGCAATAGGTCCTCTCTCGGTATCTCCCAACTTGCGGTCTGAAGCTACACCGGCATTATTGACGAGGATGTCAATTTGAACTTTGCCTGAAGATGCAAATTTCTCTGCTGCAGCGATGATAGCTGTTGAGGCTTCTTCGGGCTTGCTCAGATCAGCTTGGACATTCTCGCACCTGATTCCATGGGTCGAGGCTAGAGAAGAGCACAGCTCCTCTGTATGGGCTCGTGAGGAATCGGATGTATAATTCAACAAGAGAGAACAGCCTTTAGAGGCCAGGTTATGAGCAATAGCTTCACCGATTCCTACATTACTTATACCGTTAGCTCTATTGTTGACAGGAAAGTGCGGGGGAAATTCATACCCCGCGATCCGCCAGTGACGATGGCAAATTTGCCTTCCAACACGCGTGAGCTTGCCATCTTTGGTCTTTCCAAGATTGATTTAAAGAAGGAGTAATTAAGATTCGAAAAAGCTATAGGAGGAAGATTGAAGCCTTTTGTACCTCCAATTTAGCCGAATGGCTTCGGACAACCCAAGCCCCGCACTGTAGATTGAGATCCACCGCAGAGGAATTGCCCGAGAGTCCGAAGATGGACGGTTAATTTATCATACCGTTGTTTCCTGATCTATCACTCAAATTTCCAACAATTCTTTCAAGGGAACTTCCACCTAGCCGAGGTTGGTTTAGTATATCAAGAGCCCTGTAGCTTTCCAAGGTTGCCCAAGTCTGAGCTTATTGACTGAAATTGGGACATCAGGACCAGGGGGAACTTCATTCCAGTTGAAATCAGCCCAATTATAAAGTAATCTAAAAGTTGACGTTTGAAGTACGGTCCACGAGTATGGGACTTCAGCTGGATTCGAAATACACATTCAATGTAACTTTCAAGGTTCATCCGCAGCTAGGATAGGTCTTGTGATTAGATTGTATGACCTTACCTGTAAATGCTCAAAAACATACCCTGTTACTCTCATACTAATAACACAGCCCGAATTTCAAGGTTCATCACTTCATCAAGTTCAATCGAAGGTTGTTGTGCTGCCAGATATGCAAAGAAATTATCTATAGATCGGGTAATAAATAGATATGGACGACTTTCAATCATCGTGAAAATAACATTATCGTGTCCGCACCTGAGTAGTTTCTCCGAGAGACGTTATTGTCTCGTTTATCGTGGCAAATGCGCGCTTATATCACGGATCGGCTTCTTCAATGATTTGACTGGTGTCTTTTTTATAGTATCAGAATCAAGCCTGATTTGATCATCACGAACACTCTCTGCTGCAGAATTCGGATTTGATAGAGGTCCTGAGAGCAGACAAACCCGATCAAACCAGGGGCCATCATCAAAGCTCAGGGGGGGGGGAAATTCAAATCTACTGAATCCTGCGGTACTCGGACTCGAGGACCCCTATCACGACTACACGTAATCGATTCTCAGTTATGCACTAGTAACAGTATAGATACCAATTATGCAGGGGCTAATTCTTAGCCTTAGGTTCAAATAGCGTGGAGTTTGAAATAACAATATGACGTTTCAGCTTACGCAGCCTCCGTTGCCAGCAAACCCACCTGGGGCCATGCATTTTTCATTTCTTTCGCAGACCCTTTTACTCCATAGCTCGCCGATACAATGATGCAGATGTGGGATCACTTCAAGATCTATACGAGTTGATACAGGTGTATTTGGTTTAACTTTGGAACTATGCTTGCATATATAACTAACCCTCGATATACATGTCCACATGTTCTAGTAAAGTACATAGGTATTGAACCTCCTTGAAATTTTCGAACATATTCGTCATGAAGAAGACTCATAAGATTATCTAGGTACTAAATGGGATTTTCAGCCCTGGACCCCTGCTAAAATTTCACGACCGAGCCCTTCGATGCATAAAGGGTTGAGCTGCCTACCTAAGTACGTAGTAGTTCGAGAATACCGAATCAATGAATTTCGCAGGCCTTTCAACTAAACCCGAATTATCAGGCAATCAATGAATAGGTATTTAGCTGGATCTGAATCTTTGATAAATCGAAAACCCAATGCTTCCGATCACCAAATGATCCATAGATAATTTTCAAGACTTCGAATGAATATATGTGTATATAGATATAGATATATCCATCAGAATGTAGATCTACACAGCCACTTATAGGGATCTCCTCTCTATGCCTTGTTTGACTTCATATATGGGGCATAAGTGACATTAGGAACCCTTTTATTAGCCCAGTCACGGATCCAGCCCCCGGCCCCGGGGCCTTTTTATACTTACGTGTGCTCTATCTATGCCTTGTCTAAGTCATATATGCAAGTGGATCAATAAGATGTGAGGATAAGGGCTATGGTTCCGACGCTCTGTATTTACAGAGTATGTGTTGAGAAGAGACGCGTTCGTCTTTTTCATATTTTCAAGGTACGTCACGTTTCCCGTATATACGGAGTAGGGATAGAAGAATGACCTCTGGGGTTTGGGAATCCGTCTGTTCCAATAGGTAGGCTGTACCTCGCTTTATCCATGTTTTTGATGCGTGGAGTGTCATTTAGGGGATTGACAGATCCTAAAAGGGTCCATCGAGTACGTAGGCTTCTGAATCAGCGAATTACCGTATATATGACGATCGAGTGACGTGCATCTGTTTTAAGCGACTATCCAATACAGCCGGGTCTGTGTACCTAGGTAGCCCATGCTCCATGCAAGCCCTGAAAGTCAGACAAAGCTGTCACGTGCTAATATCAAACATCAAATTCCAAGGTTCGTTCAACAGATGTTCCTTCGACTGGGTAGTACTTCTCTTTATAAAGCGCCGTAGATGATCATCTATCGGTTGAGACCTCTGATAACTGCCGAGAAGGTATAAAGTTTGACTTCCATAGTAAAAATGGATCGATCCTTGGCCTGTGGTTGTAATGTGGATGCGCCATGGAACATTCTGAAATTGCATAAAGGATGAGTCAATTCTTATTATTTAGATTCCATCTAAGATTCTACTTCTATCGATTTGTCTCTGTTCACCGCTTGAGATAGATTGAACAGGTTTTCCCCGGGGCTTAAAGCCGAGACCTTAAAATATGTACCAGGTTGGGTTTGAAATCCCTGAATCGATCCCAAACCCAGAGGGGCCGAAATAAGCCGCTTATAAACGTTAACCACGATCCTACGATACTATGTACTAGTATGTAAAGAGCAGGTAGATGGAAAGGAAAGGATATCTGTAAGGGTTTTGTCGGACCCACATTAAAAAAGGCCGCGTGGGCAGGCGTGGCAGCTCCATTGCGCTAGTAGAAAATAGGGTCTAGAGGGATGCAGGCTGAGGATATTTACGCAGGGCTAGTCTATTTAAGGTAAGGTGAGCTAACTGGCCACGAGTCCCTGCATAAAACGGCTTGGTATGTAAATAAAAATAAATTACAGGAGAACCTTATAAAAAACAAGGGTCCTAAGTAGAGACCACTATGAAAAGTAGGGACAAGTTAAACATGTGGCGTTATGCTCCTTACCATACGCACGAATCATTTTGAATTGGCACATAGTCGGGATAAGCACGGAAAGCATTGACCAACTGTATTAAGAGGGTGGATATCCGCGTGGGCGCATACGTATGCTTAGTATCTACGTATGTTCCCGGGCAAATCATCTCTCGGCTCCAAACGCCCTAAAACGGCCCTATTAAACCTATCTCCTCTTTTTTTTTTTTTTTTCACTTTAGGTCCAGCACGAACCACACCCTTGATTGTGCAGGGTCGAGAGATTCAAAGCAATCCCCGAGGTCCCTTGGGATCGACATGTACAGTTAATGATTATGGTGATTTTAGAACTGGATTCATTTGATTCTGATTCCGATTCTTACTCTGATCCTTTCATCCATTAATCCATTCCTAGGCGGAATACATACTCATCAATCCATTATCCGGAGTCCAGAAGTGAATGTAGAAGCTTAGAACCTTAAGGGGGAGATATTGTTCCAAGGTACCCACTTGTTTCTTCCGAAGATTCAACGGAAGATTACAGAGTAAATCATCTACCTAGAGTATTTAAAGGGAATTCGTCGGGGCGGGGCGGCGGGCTTACGAGTACGAGTGGCAGGTCCCTGAGCCTTATTGTTCCCCTTTATTGTATTTATTTTACTATTCCGTAAATGGGCACTCTGTAAGGTTCTTTACTTTTAGCAAGAGATCTACCTCCCATTAGATCAGGGGAACTGGAACGAACATTGAAGGATTGATGTGCATCAAAAAAATAGACGGAATTCGTTTCTAGATGTTGGAGGCGCACTGCTAACCTTGGAACCTATCACAATGTGGAGAATTACCGAAGGACAAGACCCTGCAGCATAAGGAAAATAATAGATAATAAAACCATCAGACAAATACCTAAGTATTGACATGGAACAAAAGACTGCCATTGAGCTCCAAAGCCCCGCCTAAATCTTAGAAGACGGAGGTTAGCCCCCAAAGAGGGAAAAGTTGCTTGCGCAACATCACGACTTACGTATGTCCCCGGACTGGTGGTACTGCCTTCTTGGCGCATCTTTGAACGACTACGGGTATGCTTTGTTTGTAGTATTGAAATTGCACCTAGTCCCTACATTTAGGTAGGTAACAAGGTATAATGCGACCGCCTATTTAAGCCCTGGAGGGGAGTGAACCGTACTAAGGTTGTATTATGTACTGACGAGGGTGTATACTACCGTTGCTTAGAGTCTTGGGCCAGTTTGACTAAACCAAGTGGGGCCTCATTATGCAGAACAGGCAAGGGTAGTACGGCATACTTTACTTTCACGTTCTCTTATGATAGAATAATTCGCCTAGATTAACTAATTGATTATTTTCTGATATCAAACCTATATCGACTACGTAGGTATAATATGTCTTATACTCAAACCTTGGAATTGGAGGAGAACTTCGATTATCAGGGTCTACATTCTCTATTTAGTCCCTGAGCCGATAAGTTGATGATCACTTCAAGGGTCCACGGTACATGTAAAAAAAAAAAAAGACTTTTAGGTTTATACATTGTTTTTAACCGTAGTTTGCCCGAAGTTATGCTTTTCATTGAGTGGAGACAAGTTCGCTTGTTTTGGCCCGAAGCCCTAGTTGTATTGGTAATCTCGGAGTCGAGGGTGCCAAGTTGAGCGTACAACCGGGAGATCAACAAATAATACAGGGAAAGAGAGAAAGACGGAATTATGGGAATAAGAAAATAAGAGAAAAATAAAAAGGAGATCTTGACGAGTAATGTGTCGTGGAGCGGAAGAAGTGGAGGAATACAAGACAATATGCCGTAACTGTAAAACAAGTATTTAAGTACAATACCTACAGATCCACTCCAACGGCTAGTATGATGGTGTTTTAATGTTTTAATGTTTTGGTATCGAAAATAACAGTGAGCTTCTCTGGGAGCCTCGCCGGGCAGACCCTGGAAGCTTGGCCTTTTGGCATTTATAGTATATTTAGGTAGTTCCTGAATTGGGACATGGCTGTCACTTTTTTCTCCTTCTTATGAACTTCCACTTTCAATACCTCCACCCCTACGACTTATCTCCCCTGGCTACTACTTCACTTCTCCTCTTCTAATCCTCTCTATTTCTCTTGACACTTCTACTTCGACTTCGACTTCGACTTCCAATTCTAATATCTTAATTTTCACCTGGTAAGTTTACAGCGAATTCTTTCCCGAGGTGATGGAGAGGATGTATAGAAGCTTGTCTCACACTCTCCATCGGAGTCTGTCCTCCCTTCTCATCTCCCCATGATCTTCACATCGTGATCCCTCGAATCATCTCTTTGCATCGCAGCCTCGTTGGAGCGAGTTTTCAAAAAGTCAATACTAATCAGTATTGAGTATTTCCAGTCTATCTTTCTTGAGATTGGTTTACAGACTTCGTGGCACAGGAAATTATGACCACCAGCCGGACAAACATAGTATCCATCTTGAATGATGACGATCACCCATCATTTGCTGTTCGTTCGAACCAAAGAATAAGTCGGACTGTTTTCTCGGGACAGGCAGAACTGCACTCTTCTTTGCAATCACAATACATCCGCCCCTCAATATCGACAGCGTCAGAGTCACCTACTGCATCACCGCGAGTTACCCGCAACCCTTTCGATCCAGTACCGGAGGCGGTTCACTCTACTTCACCTGGCTCATCAGAAGGTTCCACCTATGACTATATCATGAGTCAACCATCTGCTTCTGCTTATCACCCATACGCCCGACATGACCTGCGACGGGATCCCTTTCGATACTCGTCAAGAGGGCCACCGGCACCGCAGACACCGCCCGAGATGGATCCAATCACGACAGATATGAAGTCTAATCAGGCAGCTCGGGGATTGGGACGAAAGAACAAGTATCCTTGCCCGTATTCTGCGAGCCATGGGTGCACGGCTACCTTCACCACCTCTGGCCATGCAGCTCGCCACGGCAAGAAACACACTGGCGAGAAGAGTGTACATTGTCCCATCTGCAATAAGGCCTTCACTCGAAAGGATAACATGAAGCAACACATCCGTACTCACCGCACTCACTCCGACGAAATTCGGTCGACGTCTGTATCCGAGCCGGAAGCTGAGTCGAGGTGGACAGTGGCTCGACCTGATTCGGGGTATGCACTTGCAACAAACGAACGACCGATGAAGTATACCGTGGATGCAAGCACTCAGTCTTCTCCTCGCGCAGGGTCATCTCGCCCCTCCTGAAGAAGTGTGGAGAAGGAGAAGTAGAAAAGAATCTCTTATCCACTTTTCGACTCTCTGCATGGCTCATTCTCTCGCATAAGACGACCTGCTCTCTTCTGATGACCTTGTATTTAGTGGCCACTGCTGTGCGGTGCTCTACTCTACATCTCTGATCGCAATAGTGGATGTTTTATCAAAGAAATACCTCCGAAAACCCTCCCACTGGGAAAACCGAGTCGCCTGCCTTTGCAAGGCTCACACCCGGATTTACTTGTATCTATACGAGAAATCTGACGACAGGCCCCACCCTGACACATTCTTAACACACTTCACGGTGTACAATATCCTCAAATATCATTCTTTACCTATTCTTTACCTATGCTGTATATCCCATCTAAATCATCTTGCTTCTTTTTTTCTGTGTCATTATATCAAAAGGAGCATCCTTCCTTTTCATTTGAATTGATAGTCTCATTATTCAACTTGATTTGTCTCTTTTTATCATGTACATAGAGTATTCGATCGTATGACTAAGAATCGTAATCCATGGGAATGGCAGTTCAGACCCATGGAACTAGTGTTGACACTTGATAAGATAAGATGAAAAGAGATGAAACTGAGACGAAGTCAAGATGAATCCTGACAAGATCATACAATGGTCAAGAATCAAGAGTGATAACAATAGCAAAAGTGAACGGCTGACGGCGCCTCATTATATGCACATAATGCAGGATGACGTCGGAATACATAGAGGCGAATGGATTTGAGAGGAGTGATGGGCAAGGAATAACTCGTTATTTCTAGACCCCTACACTCTCTTTTTAAATCGACGTCATTGGGTCTCGAGATGGTTTCATATATAAATGAGAATTGATAGGGGTCTTCTAATCGCAATCCACCATTCCTTCTAATAAAATCCCCCACTTTGAGATCTACTCTTTCTTCTTCTGCCACTAAATCCCTCCGCCCAACTACGTCACTTCCCCCCCGCTCTTACTCTGAATCTGAATCTGACACCTTCGCCTATATTTTACCTTCTACAACTCTCCAGAACTTCTAGAAAGCTCATATTTTTTGACCTTTCTTTCCTTTTTCTTTTTTAAAAACACTTTTGAATCGGCCTTTGATATACGCTCGACGATGGCGTATTACGAAGATCGATCTTATTACCCGCAGGACCGCCGCGCCCGCCCCGCTAGTTATGCTGCAGACTTCTATGATGATCCTCGGTATGCAAGGCACGATCGAGAACTCTATCCCTATCGTGGAAGTGAGGACTCGGTCGAAGAAATCCAGCGAGAATATCCTCCTGGTGAGGATTATATTGAACGTGAACGTGGCTATACATCGGGGCGGCGCCCGGTCTACTATGACACTGTGAGACGAGCTTCCTCTGTCAGCGGTTACGATCCGTATGAAGGCGCATACCCCCGCTCCCATCATCGTCGATCCAGATATGATGACCACCGTAAGTGACCTGGCCTTTGATAAAATTGTTGATATTCGGTTGATCTCATATTTTTCAGGATCTCATCGCTCCAGATACTCCCCTTCTCCCAGTCCATCTCCCCCACGTCATAGACGTCGCAAGTCATTCAGCCAACAGGCTCTTGGAGCCCTTGGCCTTGGTTCCACTGCATCACTCTCCAGACATAGCGATCATGGCTATGACTCTTATTCCCGCCATGGTAGATCTTACTCTACGTCTTCACGCTCTCGCAGCCGCAGTCGCAGCCGTGACCGGGACCGTAAATCCCATCATCGCCAGCGCAGTCAACAAAGAATTGCCCAAGCTGCACGCGCTGCCCTCATATCTGGTGCCGTGGAAGCCTTCAGGTCCCGCAAGGAACCAGGCCCATGGACTGGTGAAAAGGGAAAACGCATTCTCACAGCTGCGGTCACGGCTGCTGGCACGGATGGTCTTATTGATAAAGATCCCAAGAAGCACAGCAAGCGCCACCTCGTCGAGTCTACGCTCACAGGTCTGGCCGCCAACCACTTCCTGAATGGTTCGCGGTCCAAATCTCGAGGTCGAGACAAGGACGGCCGTCGTCGCTCTCGCTCCAGTAGCGGTTTCAAGAACATCGCAGCTACTGGCGCCCTTGCTGCTGCGGGTAAAGAAATCTATAAACGATTCTCTCGATCACGATCGCAGCACCGTGGCCGTCGTGACAGCGATGATGACGATGATGACTATCATCATGGTTCCAAGCGACGCAGCAAGAGTGTCTCGGACTACCTTAGCAAGGGAATAGCATCTCTGGGACTTGGAGAAGAAGGCAGGGATCGAAGCCGGAGCAGAGGTGGTCATGATGATCGCCGGGAGCGGCGTCGACACCGGGGTTCCCGATACTCCGAATATTCAGATTCAGATGCAGACAGCGACGATTACAGCAGGGATCCACGACGTGGCAGAGGATCGAGAGAGGTAGGTCAACACCGTTCTAAGAACGACAACAAACATACCCCCAAAGTTCCCCCTGGCGCCTCGCGCGGATTGGACGGTCACAGATTCTCCAAATCTGATGCGCATTCTAGCTCCGAGAGTGATTCTGACATAGGCGATAGTTCTGACGAGAGGGAGAAGCGAAAGAAGTTAAAGCATGACATGCTGCTAACAGGTGGATTGGCTACCATCGCAACAATCCACGCTGCTCACGGTGTGTACAAAGGTATAGAGGGGCGCAAGAAGCGGCTGAGGGAACTTGAAGAGGGCAAAATTTCACCAGAGGAGGCTCGCAAACGCAGAATGAAAGCCAACGTGAAGGATACTGTAAGCATTGGGCTGGCTGCCCTCGGTATCAAGGGCGCCTATGGTGAATGGCAGGAAGTGCGTGAAAAGCGGGAGGAACATAAGCATTTCCAGGACGAGTGCGCAAAACATGCTGTCAAGCGCGAACAGCGTCGCCGTGCCCACAGTCAAGGTCCGTCTCGCTCTCGATGGCCTTATGAGATTGAATACCCACCTTCTCAGGATCGATTGAGTCATGCCAAGACCATCGCATACCACGACGAGAATCCTTATCGAGCTACAGTCGAAGACCCTCGGATTGAGTATTAGGCATTTCTTCCAATTGTCGACTTGGAGTTGTTCTTCAGGAATTTCTACACTTTTATGATTTACGACGTTCAAAACCCTTATCATGCGTTATCGAATTAAGTCTTTCTAACGCGGCCAACTTTCGTTTAACGTTATTCTCTGCTTTTATTTTCTTTTCGGAGCCGGATTTGATGATCCGAGGGGTCAATTTGAATTCAGGAGAGGCTGGTTATTATAATTTATGTTAGGGTTGAGGAGGTTACCTTGAATCCTTCTTATCCAGGGCGAAGATCCATTTTTACGAGATATGAGTAACGATACTTTCTGGTCCTTCATGATCTACCAATGAAAAAACAACAAGTAATAGTCGCCGATGCACGATGTAAGGCAAATAATGCACGTTTTCGTTTTCGGCATCGTTGCTGGTCGTTTAGTGCCGATATCTCCCTGACTAAGCTGGCGCCCCGCCAACTGATTATCACCCGGCGGGACATTGACTGAATGTAGTGGTACATATTGTGCAGTATAATTTTATATTGTAAAATTTGTACCTGTACCGTAGATGGCCCCACCAAAAAGTTTTGTCCCCTCCTCTCCCAGATCTGCATTTCCCTCCTTTTATTTTCTTTCCTGTTCTTCTTTTCCTTCAACCCCATCTCCTTCCTATATCAGTCAGTCTCTCTCCTCTTTTCAAATAATTCTATTTGAATTCTAACATCTTTTCTACAGCCTCCTTTTCCCCAAAATAATCATGTCTGCTCCCGCTCAGAAGTTTAAGATTGCCGACATCGTATGTAATCCTCTTTCTTCAGTTCTGTCTTTCAAATGACTAACTCGTCTGTTGATAGTCCCTGGCTGCTTTCGGCCGTCGGGAGATCGAGCTCTCTGAGATTGAGATGCCCGGTCTCATGGCCATCCGTGAGAAGTACGGCCCTGACCAGCCTCTCGCTGGTGCCCGTATTGCCGGTTGCTTGCACATGAGTATGTTATCATTCAATCAACGCCTCTCAGATCTCTAGTATCTAACTCCATGTTACAGCCATCCAGACTGCCGTCCTCATTGAGACCCTCGTTCACCTCGGTGCTGAGGTCACCTGGACCTCTTGCAACATTTTCTCGACCCAGGACCACGCCGCTGCTGCCATTGCCGCTGCTGGTGTCCCCGTATTCGCCTGGAAGGGTGAGACCGAGGAGGAGTACCAGTGGTGCTTGGAGCAGCAGCTCGGTGCCTTCAAGGATGGCAAGAAGCTTAACCTCATCCTCGATGACGGTGGCGACCTCACCTCCCTTGTCCACTCCAAGTTCCCCGAGCAGCTCGAGGGTTGCTTCGGTGTCTCCGAGGAGACCACCACTGGTGTTCACCACCTGTACCGCATGTTGAAGGAGAACAAGCTCAAGGTCCCTGCTATCAATGTTAACGACTGTGTTACCAAGTCCAAGTTCGACAACCTGTACGGTTGCCGCGAGTCCCTCATTGACGGCATCAAGCGTGCTACCGATGTCATGATCGCCGGTAAGGTCGCCGTTGTTGCTGGTTACGGTGACGTCGGCAAGGGTTGTGCTGAGGCCCTCCACTCCATGGGTGCTCGTGTCCTCGTCACCGAGGTCGACCCCATCAACGCCCTCCAGGCTGCTGTCCAGGGCTTCCAGGTCACCACCATGGAGGAGGCCGCTCCCATTGGTCAGATCTTTGTCACTACCACTGGTTGCCGTGACATCCTCGTTGGCCGCCACTTTGAGAACATGCGCAACGACGCCATCGTCTGCAACATCGGTCACTTTGATATTGAGATCGACGTTGCCTGGCTCAAGGCCAACGCTCAGTCTGTGCAGAACATCAAGCCCCAGGTTGACCGCTACCTCCTGAACGGCAAGCACATCATCCTCTTGGCTGAGGGTCGTCTTGTCAACCTCGGCTGTGCCACCGGCCACTCTTCCTTCGTCATGTCCTGTTCCTTCTCCAACCAGGTCCTTGCCCAGATTGCTCTGTTCAAGGCCGAGGACTCCGCCTTCGGCAAGAAGTACGTCGAGTTCGGCTCTTCCGGCAAGAAGGACATCGGTGTCTACGTCCTCCCCAAGGCTCTTGATGAGCAGGTCGCCCGCTGCCACTTGTCTCACGTCAACGCCAAGCTGACCGAGCTCACCCCCGTCCAGGCTGAGTACCTCAGCCTTGACGTCAACGGCCCCTACAAGAGCGACATCTACCGCTACTAAGCAAAGAAAAAAAAAACGCACTTGTATTCCTAAATCTACCCACTCAACACTGTGGTAGATTGGGTGTTTCTTCCCCACCTTCACGTCACCGGTATTTCCAAATTTCTCCTTTGAAATATAGACTTTCAACATGATTCGACGATGTTACGTTTGGCATAATGGGCTCTCTATCAACTTAGAGCTCTAAAAGTGGTTGTCCTTCAACGGCATAAAAAGTGTTTTCCACATTTGGGGGTTTGTGTGTATTTCTTGTTTAGTTCTCTGTTTACTGGCGTGGGTCTGACCTGGGATTGGTCTTGCATTCAACACTGCGTAGGATGGGATTTACTTGATACCTTGAGATGTTTGTGAGCCCGTGATTAGTTATGGGTGCTACGAATTATCTAATTAATGAAAGCTGAAAGCTGAAAGCTATTTCGCTGAATTGCTCCTAGTAATGACCTGTGTCACAGCGTAGACTTTGCTGTCAAGTAACTAAATAGTCTATATTTACGTTCCTAGGTACCTAGGTACTCTGTGAGGCGTTGCCTATGTGCTAATACCTCCAGCCTTGTCATTACCTACTCACATCCATCGACATAATCCCTAGGTTCAAAGTCCCTTTCGTCTTGGATGCAGCCTTGGCAGTGCCCCGGTGCGTTGAATACCGATCATAAGCATCAGTACCCACACCTAGTGACATGGGGGTGGATGCTGTTGAGAATTTATTGCAAGGCCACTCTTGCTATGACGAACATTACAAGCAATATATTCTCAACAGAATAAGAATAATTACGTTAAACTGCCGCTGACCAAGTATCTGGTCAGAAGCAGAAACAGAAGCAGGTAATTACCCTTGTGGGCTCGGACTCCTCGGGGAGATTCCGTCGCTCCACTTGCCGTGTCTACACATCTCCAAGCCCCATCACATACCCGACAGTTCATTCACATCTGGTTGTCTTGACCTGCATCCCTATGTCGGATGTCCTACTCAACTCATATCCAAAGGATCACTGTGAATAAGCACATTGTCCCCTTTGTTGGTGTTAGACTATAGACCTGATGGTCAGTGTTAGCCACATCAATAAATACCACCGCTGACAGGGATCTACACTCCGCTGTATGTGAGCAAATAGGGCAATACTTCTCTAGCTCCGTACGGAGTTCTCCGCACACAGAATAGCCTTAATGGTGCAATCTTTGGGCCACAAAACAATTATCCGCGTCTAGAGTGACCAGGGTTAGACCAGGGTACACAACAGAGGGGAAAAAAGAAAAAGACAAGGCTATTTTTATCTCAGCCAAGATGAAATCGAAATATTAGCTTCTTACGAGTGTTATTCCAGCTTTGCGCTCCTCCTTCCCCAAGTGATCATCCTTCCCCAAGTGATCATTCTTCCCCAAGTGATCATGGCAGAGTCGTCGCGAGAATCACAACATTCCCTTCTCGGGGAGGAAGATGTTGGTACTGCGACCCATCATCACTCGTGGTCTTCTGTCAGTAGCTCTTCATATATATCTATCCCTTCCCACGAAAGGAACCTCAGCTTCTCAGAAGAGGTTTTTCGAGAGGTCGGATTGGGTATATCCAACTCAGCTGATGATGATACCTTGCCTTTGTGTGGGAAAAGCGAGTCAGTACAAAGTACGAGCCAAGCTACGGTAACTCCAAGTCTCTCCACAACGCCCAGTATCTTGAAATCAGCCCAGGAAACACCAGTATTCTCACAGCAACATACACCGAGCTTTCAGACCCCCAACTGCCCTAGCCGATCGACAGTCTTGCAGAAAAGGTTCTCATGGATCTCCGTTACCATCTTTTTTCTCGCAATCTGGTCTACCGTATTGTCGGGAGTTTATCTGGCTGTTGCGATTAGAAAGCCGCGATGGACTACTATCGGCGTATCCCTGTCGCTGTCTACCGTGAACCTACTCTGCGCCTTCTTCGCCAAGACAATCGAACTGTCCTATGTTACCATTTGCGTCGCTTTTTTAGGCCAAGCGCTCAGTCGTCGAGCCCTGATGAAGGAATCTCGCGGAATCAGCATTGCTGATATGAGTATGAGAGCATGGATTATGCAGCCTGGGTCGATGATTGTGCATTGGGAGACATTGCGATACTCGGCGCTGTCATTTTTGGGTGCGATTGCGTTGATCGCAACAATTGTGGCGATGCTGTACACTACAGCCGCAGAGGCTCTAGTGTCGCCAAAGCTTTCACTGGGTCCAGTTGAGTCTACGATTCTCTGGGGAAAAGTGTATACCAGCTTCGGCAATCCGTTTTATCTCCAAAAGAACTGTCAAACCCCAATTCAGCTATCAATGGATCCCGATTCTCGGAATCAGACGTGTCTCGAGATGGAGCACGTAGGCTCGTCTTATCACAACTACCAGCAGTGGATCGCGACATGGGCCGATCTAGTTAATAGTGGAAATAACATGTCGGATCAGCTTCGCTTGAGGCCGCAGCCTAGTGGTTCCCTCTGGGATAACACAACGATAACAGGTTCCTGGATCGAAATTCAAAATATGACCGAGCAATCTGACAATTACGGCCGCATGGTCAACAATATCACCATGGCTTTCCCGCACGGTGGTATTCCCATTGCAGCCATGGATTCCAAAAACGAGATTCGCCAGCCCCAGGATGCCTCCGGCGAAGGCAAGTACAACATCGAGGCTTCAGTGCCCTCACCAGCTGTTAACGTCCTCTGCGTTGGCATGTCAAAATCAGACTTAGACCCGCTGGTCTATTCTTCTTGGCCGAATGCCAACTTCAACGCAACAACTTGGAGCGAGGATCCTCCAGACGACATTCCCCCAATGCCGTCGTGGCTCAACCGCACAAATGTAGATTCGATCTTTGGCTTCGGCGAGAAGTACGGACAGAGACCTCCAGTCTTTGGCACATTCCCCGAAGCAAACAACACCATCCTTAACACAACAGGTGTCTCACCCGCAAACGCAATCTACCTTATCGGCAAACCAAGTGTCTCCAATCCAGAATACGTAATGTGTGCAATTCGCGCCAAACTAACAGGCGTCTGCTCAACCAAGTAAGAACAAGAAATTGAGAAAAAAGAAAGGAAATAAAGTATTAATGATAGATAATAGATACGACGCCGCCTCATCAGGGGCATCCCTCTCGACAAACTGCGAAAACGTAACAAACAAGCTCCAATACGACTTGAATGAGGCAAACTTCATCGAAGGCTGGTGGGCCTCGGACTGGAAAAACGTGGCAGCAGACTGGGGCATCGCCCTAAGTCTAGGCTCGGGAATAACAACCTCCCAAGCCAGCAACGACCGCCTCCTAATGCAAATGATGCCAGCCCACAACAACGCCACAGACACCTACTCCCTAGACCCGTACCTCCCCTCAGTCGCCGAAGCCCTCGCCGTAATGGCAGGCAGCACTCTAATCCTAAGCACATTGAACTCCCCCTTCGTCCAGGGCTGGAACTACTCAGAAGCAGATGGATCAGATTGTGACATGCTATCCACCCCGACATACCAGCACTTCACGGCCTCGCTGCAGGCAATGTCGTATTCATCCGGCGGCACGCAGCGCTGGCAGGGTGTTTTCTACGTGGTGCTATCCTTCGCGTTCCTGACCAGTGCCATCTGTCTAGGTTTCATAATCATCGAAGCGCGCGGTCATCAGGTTACTGATTTCACTGAGCCGCAGAATTTGTTCTCACTTGCTATGAACAGTCCGCATAGTTCTAAGCTTGAGGGTGCGTGCGGGTGTGGTCCGCTGGGCCACCAGCTTAAAGAACGGTGGTATATCGGCATGGAAGAGGATCATGCTCATTATTATATCCGGGCTAAAGCTGATCGGGCAAGGTTGGAGAGTAAGTCTCCCGAGCCTGCTGGTGACCCTGCCAGTGGCTCTGGGTATGAACGGTTGAATATGCTGGATATCGATGATTCTAGCACTTTGAAGACAGTTAGTCCGGCTGTCAAAGAGTTCAGGAGGGTTTCGGCGAGCAAGACTCTTTTGGCCAAGTTTTACTAGATGAGGTTTGTTTTCTTTGGCTGTTCTAATGTCAAGATATCTATGAGTTGATGATTTTTATATTAATGAGAATATGATACCGCTTATGTAGATTTTACCTTTATTAAGCGTGGAATTTATCGTAAAGTTATGGAAAAGCAGTGGCTGAGTACCAAGTGATTAAATGGATATATCCCCGATGCATTCCAAATATGTAAGAGGGAGAGGATCCCTGCTCGGCTAAAGCTAATCAGCGGAAAATCAAAAGTGAGATACAGCAATATGAACAAGGTATCACTAGTGACTCGCATAGACACAGAGAGAGAGGAAACGTAGATGCAAACTTAGATTGCACAAAAGGAAGTAGATGATGGTGGAGACATGGTTGATGCAAGAGAATACCGTCAAACGCCATGCGAGGGATTTAGAGCAGGAGAGAGGATGGAAGGATGAGGGAGTGTATTGTTGTGGAAAGGAAGGTTCGAATGTGATTTGGTAAGATAAGGGAGTGAAGGAGAGAATAGAAACGGAATACTAATATGATTATTGATCCGCTTGGAGGTTGAGCCAGCTCATGTCTGGATTGACGTTGTTTCGACTGGTCTGTTCCTCGTTGATATGCTCAGGTATTAGGACGGTTGATCCATGACCGTTGTATTGTCGTATAGATGCATGCGCAGAGTATGATTGCGAGAGATCCCGCGTGCTCGTATTGTAGACACTGTTGCTGTAGTTGCTGCTGGGGGTCGGGGTCCAAGCCAGTTATTTTGAGTCCACTTCGTGTCGTGCGGATCATCATCTGTGGCAAGGGTACTGATTGAATCGGCGCTTGATATACGTGCCGATTGGCTTTCGGGAATGATGAATTTGCCCTGTGGAGAGTGGGTTTGAGTTGTTGGACTTCCACTGATCACTTGACCGAGTGGCTTTGGTTGGTCTAAGAATGCGAGGTTCAATGGCGTGAGGTTGTTCATCGGCCAGGCACTGCTGCGGTAATCTGACTTGGTATACAAGGATCCCATGGTTGAGCGATCGGGTTGCGTTTCCACAATCTCGCTGTTTTCTTCAAAGTACTTGCCCCATCCCTCATCTGTTGTCCGATCCCCGGGCGTGCCGGGCCGGTCGGAATCAAGAGAATACGTGCTCGATGGAGCGAAGCCACTTGATGGAATTGTTGACAATGGGCTCTTCCAGCCGTGCTTGGTTGGTCCGTAGCTGGTTACAACTGGGGGTTTCAATGCCTTTTCGCCGGCAAGTCGTCCTGACAAGATAGCGAGGGAGTCGCTTGACATCTCAGCAACTGGCACAGGACTCTTTGCCATTGGATAGCCACGTTCGGCAAGAGGCTCGATGCCCCGATCTTGGAAGCTTAGTCGGTCTTTGTCGTCGGCGCCGCGACCTGAACCTTGTCTCTTCTTTTGCACGCGACGAATGATAAGCAGGATCGCGATCAGAATAATCGCAAAACCAACCAGACTACCCAGGGTAGCGCCGATGATCAATTTTGTATTCAATTTGGAGCTGCCAGTTGGTGCTGCTGCGAAGACGGTGGCTGATGACGTAGTACTTGATGTCGCAGAAGAAGTTGTGGAGGTGGAGGTGGAGGTGGGAGTGGAAGTTGAAGTCGTGGTTGTGGAGGTGGTCGTCTTCAAAACATTTTGAGTGTTTCCATAGAACAGTTCTGTCGCGTTGACCCAGCTGTCAGATGTTCCGTTGAAAACAGCCAGTGAGTTGTTGCCACTGCCACTGGATAGCACCACCAACCCATCCGTCCCGTGGGCGACCGAGTAGTCAGTCCACTTGTTGGTGGGGGCGTATGTGCTGTTGTATGTGGAATAGCTACTAAGGCTGCGTTTTGAAGATGAATCACCCAATTTCGGAGCAGGGTTTTGAGCGATGCCCTCTTTGACCAGGTCGTAACTTGTCACCGTGTTAGGGCTCGCGTCCATGCTGAACTCTTCCAAGACCCTGTTGCCGTCATCATCCCATAGCAGGGCACAACGACTTGATGTGGGGATAGCGGATGGAAGCGTAGCACCTGAGTACATCCAACCCGAGGTTGCGCCATAGATATAGATATCAGTGTTTAAGTCCGATCCACCAATGAGGGCTACAGCTGAAGAATTCCAAGTCAGTAGCATAGGTGATGAAACAGCGGGCGCTCCCTGATTATTTTTTGAATCCACTGAATACGGAGACGTTGTTGACATTAGGTAAGTCGCAGAAGAGTCACCGGTTCCCGAGTCCTGATTCCCTGCATAGACCACAATGGAAGCGATAGACTCGATATAGCCGGCACCGTGGGAGGTACGGTTGGCCATATTCTGAACCGACAAAGTCTCCCATTTTTGTTGGCTGAAGGCGTATCGTTGGAGGCCCTCGTAGCTAGACGAGTTGCTGATACCGCCAATCACATACATAGCCTCATCATCGGTATTGCCTTCAACGGCAGCGATCACACAGGCAGCACCAGAGACCGAGACTCCTGAAGGTAATTTGTTCCATGTGGCATTGGCTGCGAGGGAAATGGACTCAAACCCATTGGGCGAGTAGACATAAAGAGTGTTACTATGGATGACCGAGCAATGGCCCTCCAGTTTCATATGAGGTTCTGGCACAGTCATATTGAACGAAGAAAGAAGGATGGTGCCAGGATAAAAGAAGGAATCTGAATAGCCAGCCGGCTGGTGAAAATCAGATTGATGAAGAAGAAGCGTTGGCTGCCAGAGCACTATCTCTCATTTCCCTTATATTTGAAGACAAAAATCCAACATTCGGCGAGGGATTCGTAGCTAACGGGGATATTTTGGCGTGTAAGAGATTTGTCGAGAGATCAAATTGCGGTTCAACGATGCAGAGCGGAGATGAACCGGAAGTGTAGCGAGTCGCAACAGCCAGTATATGTATAAATCTCAAAAGGATAGTGGTTCCAGAGAAATTGCAGAAGTTCGGATGAAGTATCAAATTAATCAAGACGAGTCATATCTACCAGAGGTCGAGGGATTGAATCAAATGCGATCGAAACTGGAATCGTACGGGTAGAGATGCGCAAAAAGAAAGAAAGAGGGAAAGGCTATAGAGGAGTTAGAGTAGATGATCGAGCGATGGCCTGAATACTAACCGGGGGACAGGTGCACAGCACATAAAACCAGAAAAGGAAAAAAAAAAGCGAAACCAAAAGCTGGGGGAGGTGAAGAGGGAGTGTGAGACATGAGACAAATCCTTAGTAGATTAGCGAAACAGCCCCCCTTTAAGATTGTAACATTTCGTCACGAACCACCTTTTTTTGTATGGATCTACGGAATTTATTTCTTCTTTTCTTTCCTCAATAATCCGAGTTCGTTTTTATATTATTGAGCGGAGTGTATCGGCTATCTAGTGTTACAACGTGCGGCATTTCTTATGTACCGAGACATACGAGATGTAATCTTTTATGCTCTAGGTCTCTAGGTCTCTAGGGCTCCAGGGTTCCAGGGTTCCAGGGTTCCAGGACTCCAGGACTCCAGGATTACCTAGCATTTAACCGATGTAAGGGGATTTATACGTAGTATATCAACAAACACCCCTTTTCGCCATCAGTATCAATAGTTCGGGTGAGATGATCAGGAACCATGGAATCAACCTGGTGCGTGCGCAGTATTACTGGAATTTAAGTAATTGTATTCCAGTATTGGAAAGTATTATGATGTTTAACACAGACACCAATTTTATAAGTAGATAATCTACAACCCTAGAAATCTCCAGGGCTGTACCTGATAATCCCGATGATCTGACTAGGTTAACCCTGTCTATCATCCTCGCAAAAACGTGCCTGGATTGATCAAGTAGCAAGAGTGGACAAGTGGAGATAATAGTGGGCTTTAACTTTGTATTTACTCCGTATTCCTATTTTAGTTTCTATCCACTCAGACCGTTAATTGACTCCATAATAACTGCCCATTTCAATGGTGTTGATATGTCAAGTTTGATCATAGTACCACTTTAATACAGGATGTATCGCATAGGATGTAAGTAGAGTGTAATTTAATTGAGAGTCATATGAGTAGATAGTGAATAGTCAATAGTCGATATTCCATGTTTTCAATCTGAAACGCTCTCAAATTTGACATTGACCAATTACATAGAACACCGAACTACTCCGCTCTATTCCCGGACCCACTCTAATATATGACCTTTACAATGTCATGTGGTAGACTGTTTATTACTAAGTAGACTACTCTGGGTATTGATATTTTTGAGCAGATAGACCCATAATAGCATGATATTTGGCATGCTCTGATCAACCTAAGCCTGCGACTGTTTCCATTCGTGTGCTTTTTGCAACAACCGGGATAGATTGGCCGCCGATTTGTCGTCCGCCGGGAAGACATAGTCCATGTATTCTTCGTATCGGTCGTCTTCCAACTTGCGCCGTTTCTTGACCCGCCGCGGCATTTGTTTGTCGATCTTTGCAAGGTCTTCGGCCGAACCGTAGCTGGCCTCAAATGCACGCCACGCAGTAAGCAGTTCCACACGCTAGAGAGAGATGAAGTCAGCAAAAGTGGCAAAACCGTGGAAAGGTCCAAAAGATTTACCTGTTCCTTAGAGTCCCTTTCCTTGAAAAGCTTATGGGCCCGTTCAAACACTGCCCGTGCATTTCGCTTGGCATCCTCAGACACGCCCTCGACGTCACCATCTTCTTCCTCGTCAGCCGGCACGCTGGCCTCGAAACGGGCGTATGCAATCCACACCCGTACGTGATCTGTCTTCTCCAGAAGACGTTCGTATAGCGGACGCGCACGGTCGTACTCGCCTTCCTCTACCTCAAATTCAATGTAAGACCTCCACACTAGCTCGGGCATATCGAGAGTCGGTTGCTCGATGCCAAGTTCGTAAAGAGACCGCGCCCGCTCCGCATCGTCTAGGCCACGTTCAAGCAGTGCATATTGAATCCAAGATTGGCTGTTGGAGGGATTGCATTCAATCTTCTTTGCATATAAGGTTCGGCATCGCATGAACTCGAACAGCTGGCGCTCGATGTCAATGTATCCACGGAAGAGTTTATCCTTCGGGCACATGCCAATGGCTTGACCCAACGTCTTTCGTGCCGTTGTAACCTCCATTTGCCGGATCTCAAACTGAGCCTTCAAGAGCCACACCTTGGCAAAGGTGAACTTCTTGTGAGGGATCAGCTTGATGCATTCCTGGTAGATTTGTCGAGCGCGCGCCATATCCTTGGCCTCCATTTCTTCCCATAACGCGTAAAAGATCCAAAGATAGATGTAACGGCGCCAATGGCGTTTCTCTTGTGATGGCGGGATCTGTGCAATCGCCCGTTCGTATACATCTCGTACACGCTCGAGGTCACCTGCCGTTTCTTCGAGTCGTGCAAAGTCAAACCAAACATCGTAGTTTCGTGGATTCTCCTCCAGTTGTTCTTCGTACTGCACCCGGCGCTTGGACAAAATGACGTCTTCAACGCCCTCCTGGTCACCAAACTGTTTCTCAAAGGTGGTGTATAGCTTGTGCAGAATCATGGTCTTGGATCGTGGAAGCCGGTCAAGGGCATATTTGTAAATTGCTCGGGCCCGTTCATACTCCTTCAACCTGGCTTCAAATTTGGCATAGGCCGCAAAGAGCTTCTCATCCATGAAATCTTCGCCCAGAGTCTCGATGGCGTAGCCATAAACCTCGCGGACCAAGTCACTCGTGCCATAATTCTCCTCAAAATAAGCCCACTTGATCCAATTCCGCGGCTCGGGGTGCACTATGGTGAAACGTTGGTAGATCGCACGCGCTCTCTCAAACTCGTTGTATCGTTCCTCGAGTTTAATGTATGCGTTCCAAGCACCCTCCTCCGGCTCCCATGACATCCAACGCTCAAAAACCTGCCGAGTACCAGGGATATTTCCAAGAGTCTCCTCCATGTATACATACTTGTACCAGAGTTTGTCAATACGAGGCAAGATCGTCACGGCGCGGTCGAGAAGGTTGCGGGCATGGTTGATGTTTCGGGTCTTCATCTCAGCTTCGATGTAGCGAATCCATAGTATGACGGAGGTCGAGTCGACATCCAGCGCGCGCTCAAAGATTGACCGCGCTCGGCGGAATTCCTTCTGTTCCAATTCCCAGGCTGCATAGCGCGTCCAATTGTTCATGTTAATGCGATTGCGCCGAACATAATCCTCAAACTCCCTGCGCTTGCGACCCTGATATTCATGGAGCTCTTCCAGGTCTGCAAAACGTTGTGTCGGGGCCTGCAGGCCAGGATCCTGTCTGTCGACAGCCTCGCGAAGCAGCTGCTCCGCAGAGATTTGAATAGGCGCAGCGGCCTTGTTCTTGACACGCGGAGGGCCACGAGAAGCCTCCATTTTGATGTTGAGGTATCGATATGCGGGGGGTAGGATAAAAAGGTTGGAAACGTTATAACTGTGGTTGGGTGATGGGGCGGCGTAGACTGAAATTCCGAGAAAAAGACTCCAGGTCAAGTTGCAGTCAGAAAATTGATAAAATGTTGCAGTGAACACACGATAGAAGACAAAAATCAGTTTGAGTCCCGTACAGGACTATCGAGGCCCAGATTGAGTGGTCGCAATAAGTATTTTTCTGTCCACTGTTCATAAATATGCCTGCACATGTGGTCTTTGAAACCTACCGTATTAAGCTATCAGCTGACTAAGTATTTAAATAACTAACGTGCGTCACGGTTGACCGAGCGTCCCGGTTGATCGAGCGACGCATTTGGAACTTAAAAAATCTAAGATTTTCAACATCAACTTTTAACACCAAAACATGAATTAATTATCTATTTAACGCGTGTAGGACACTGGGTATATATATGGCCTTTGGTTCCACAACCTGAACAGGTGACGAGTCGCCTAATAGTAGGTAAAGTAGGCAATGGAACATCTTCTATAGGTTGTCCAGGAGCATCCTCTAGGGATATATATTCAACTCTACCATTCTCCTGAGCAACCACGCTTTGCTGCAATTCCTCCAAACTCCGAAGACTCCCTTCATGGCCTCTGTGCTTCTTGCTAGCCGCTCTCTTTTTTATCTTTCTCTTCGCAGTATTCTCCAATCGCTGAATACGGTCTTCCATCATCATCATCCGAATCGCCATCTGAGTATGCGCATCTTGCGACCGATAAATTTGTCGTTTTAGAGGTGAAGTTAAAGCTCCTGAGGAAGATTCGAGTTCTTTCTTGATAGCAGAATTCGATTTTTGGACTTTTGAGTAGCTCCAAGGCCGATTTGAGTCACTGCTGCTTGAAGAAGTAGGGCGTTGAGGGTGGTCGTGAGGGGGGTCTTGAGGGGGGTCTTGAGGGTGGTTTTCGACCATGATATTCAGCTTTTCTAAAACATGATTAGCATCTAGGGGTACTAAACCAGCGCCCCTGAAGCTATTCACTATAGTAGATGCTTTAAATGTTGCTTTGCGTGTATAAGGATAGATTTGGAGGAAATCATCCTTATCAATAGAATCCACTCCATTCTGTATTTCAGCACTAATCAGGCCTCCATATACCTTTTTAAGCACCGAAAAACATCCTACATCAAGAGGTTGTAATAGATGGGATGAATGAGCTGGCATATATAGACAAATAATATCGTTGTCCGCGCATAGTTGGTCGAATTCTGGCGTACGATGCGAAGAATGACCATCTAAAACCAACAGAATATATCTCCCTTTCTGGACCAAATTAGGTATAAAGTGGCTTTTCAGCCAATCTAGACCCATTAGATTTGTAGTCCAACCAGTTAGGCTAGTGTTTAGTGACCATTTAGGGGGTAGATGGTCAAACCAACGCTCCATAAAATGTTTCCCTTTTAGGATGATATAGGGCGGAAGCGCAACACCTTGGGCGTTGATAGTCTCAATAACAGTAACCCACTCTCGATTTCCAGCTTGAAGAAGCCTTCGTTTACCATGGTAATCTGAGGAGCATATAATATACTCTGAAGATATAACACCCATCGCAAATCCAGTCTCATCGAAGTTATAGATATCCTCTGAAAGGATACCATATTTTGTGACTATATTCTGGACGAGATTAAACCACCCTTGGATGACTTGTGGATCTTCTGTCTGCGCCCTCTGGATATCAAGCGCCCGAGATTTTCGCGTATGAAGAGATTCGGTGCGTTGAAGGAATCCTGTCACCCAGTTTTTGCCAACTTTAGGGGGGTGTCGGAGGGGACAATTTCGCGGGTGCGGAGGAGCAGATTCGCCATATTTCGGCACATTTCATGCGAAAAAGCGAATCCTCTAGCGTCCATATCAAGGAGCCATTTTTCCATCGATTTCTCCTCACCTTTAGAGAATTTATGGCGAGAATGGCGAGTTATGGCCTTCGATTTGCGACCTTGGATTCGCGCTTTCAAAGTTGAGACAGGAACTGAAAAGGCGCGAGCAGCGGCAGCAGCAGAGGAGTATCGTTCATCTTTAATAGCCTGAATTGCTAATAAGACTTTACTCTCCTGCTGCTCCAAATCTTTCGATTTTTGAGTGCGAATTAGAGGCATTGTTGGTGTTAAAAAAAGGAGGGTCGATTTCGGGGTAAATATTTTGAGGTGTCGCTCGGCCAACCGGGACGCTCGGTCAACCGTGACGCACGTTACTTTGTTACTACGTTACGTGGGGCAAGATGAACTATGACCAATCAGCCGAACTAACTAAATTAAGTAACTAACTGATTTTAACACGTGATGACGCATCCAAGCTGCTCCAGTTTATTTAACGCGTTCTCTTCTCCAACTTTTTACCCATCATCCTTTTCACCCCCTCACATCCCCCTCACACACTGAGCTACAACCAACAGACTTCCCCCACTCACCACAGTGGGTTTAACCCCCATTTCCGCGAAGATGTCGACCGCGGATGATCTCCTTCGCGATCTTGAATCCGACAATGACGACAATGATGACAATGCCATGATGGCCGAAGAATCGGACCACGATCAGCAAATGGAAGACGAAGACAAAGCAAACACCGAACCCAATCAGGTGAACGAATTTGAACGATCTCAACAGATCGACCAAGAGATTGTTGGACTACACAAAGTTATTCGCGATTTGTATGCTATCCGATTCCCCGAACTTGACGAACTAGTCACCGACCCTGTCAAATTCGCCCAGAGCATCGCTATCTTCAAAAACAATCCTTTCGACAAATCCCACTCGTCTGCAGACAACCTTGTTGGCAAACCTCTCAATGTTATCCTGGATGGCTCAACATTGTTGGCCGTCTCGCTTGCGGCTGCCGGAACTGGTGGCGTTCCACTGAGCGAGTCCGAGCTAGAGAGAGTGATGGAGTCATGCGTGAAAGTTATCGAGCTTGACAAGGAACGCACTGTTCTAACGGAGAATCTCACATCTCGTGTGAACAGCGAAGCTCCCAACATGGCAGCTTTGATCGGAATCTACACCACGGCACTGTTTCTTAACAACGCCGGTGGACTGGAGACACTTTTCAAGATGCCAGCCTGCAACTTAGCCGCGGTTGGTGCACACAGACAGGATTCACTGGGTCTTGCGAACATTGGTATTCGTGCGAAGGGATTTCTGCACAATTCTCCCATCATCCAGGAAGCCCATAAAGACTACAAGAAGCAGGCATTGCGAGTTACAGCAAACAAGTTGTCTATGTGCATCAGAATGGACCACATGAAGATGTACACAGATGGATCGCAGGGTCGAGAGCTTTACGAACAATGCATCGAACACCTTGCGAAATTAGCTGAGCCCAATCCTAATTCTCTGGGCCGCGCTCTCAAGGCGCCTCTAGAAAAGACAAGTAAGAAGCGCGGTGGTCGCCGTGCACGTCACGACAAGGATGCTTATGCCACGACCGAGCTGTCCAAGCAACAGAACAGAATGGCTTTCGGCGAGGACGAGGAACCCGAAATTGCAGCGGGTTCTGGTACTATTGGTCTTGGTATGATGGGCAAAGATAAAAGTGGAAAGATCCGTAAGGCGGCAATCGACCAACGTACCCGTGCCAAATTGAGCAAGAACAACGCGGGCTTTGCTGTTGAGCCCAATAACCAGGCGCTCAACATTTTCTCTATGGACCATACGGAGCGCCTAGGTGCTAGACCTGCAATGGACTTTACAAAGGGTGTTGAGTTGACCGCACCCAAGACTGAGGAGCGCAAGCTCCAGCAGTCAATCCAGTCTGCTTCAAATAAGAAGAAGCGCCAGGCTGATCAAGACGGTTATTTTGACTACAATGATACCAAGGGTAAGCCTGATTCGGCTACAGAATAGTAGAATTTCTACTTTGGAGAGGCCCTCCCAAGTCAGGCTGACGGGGCGTCGATTGGATTGCGGGCGTATTTCTGGTCTTCAAACATGTTGATGAATAAACAATGTAGATAGAATCTGGTACCTATGTATGTATAACAATTGCTTTTTCCTATTTCTGGACTAATACATGGATTATAGCCAACCTTGGAATGCGGACAAGGATCCCTAGGTAGAATTATAACTTCCAGGGTTTGTATTAGATTTCAGCAAACCACCTAATAAGATGATTCTGATAGCATTGGAGAGATCAATCTCTATCTCCAGGCTATATTAGGGTTCCAAATATCAAGATAATACTTTCAAGGTTAAGTAGACATAGGTAGATATCCAGATATCACATCATTAACTGCCTATTATCCAATTTCAGATCAGACGGTAAGCTTATCGGGAGCCCTGTAGTACTTGGTACCGAAATATTTCAACTTTAGAAGGCATTTAGTTCGTTCAAAAGTCGAAGTTGAACTCATCAGTTCCGTTCAAGGTAAGGTTCTATATGACCACTTGTATATCACCTAGGCATGCACGAGTCTGAATCTATGATCATACCCTTCCAAGGTTGTAACCCACCGGGCCATTTGATATCCCATCTACTGGATTCACCTTTTAATTACCTACCTACCCGACTATAGACACCTTCAGGGTTGTCTAGGTAGATATGGATTATATAAGGAGGATTCCCCTAGTATCTAGTCCTACTCTTCTACTCCTCCAGGGCATTGTCGAAGGATCAGTTCTAATTACCTGCGTCTTTGCTCCATCCCATCTCTTTCCTCCTCGCCTATCTATTCTATTCGCCTAACCCTAAGAATCAATGTTCCCATTATGCAGCAAACTCATTACCATTATCATGTCACCTTTCAAAAATCACCAGTCACCAACTCGCTTTACCCGGATATTAAAAAGAAGAAACCCGAAAGTTGGAACCTCCAGCAAACAGCCATAAAGAAGAACTGAGGGAAACTAGGGTGATCACTATATAAGCGCCGAAAATTGAAAACAAAAAGAAGAAGAAAATAATCCATGGATTTTATTGTTAAATTAAAATACCAACTATGCTCACAAGGTTCGTAAAGAAAAATGAGTAAAGATCGTCTTCGGGTTGGGTAGATGCGGTACTCGGTACATATATAGCAATTGCGTGCTAGAGCCATACTAATTACTCACCCGGGGCCCGGGGAGGCCGCTCTTTCGCAATTCCAGAGAATGTGATACAAGCTTGGAACCTTCAGAGAGAAAAAACAAATTTATTTGTCTATAAGAAAGGGGTTGTGCTGGAATTGATGTTCAAGGTTGCTTACATTTTTCTTTCACGTTAAACTGTATCTGTTTCCCACGCTTCTATCCAGCTCTATTGCTACACCTGTCAATCTGTGATTTGGATACGTGGGACTTTGGATTATTTCCTCCTATTCCATACCAGGAATCTGACTAGGTGGTCATCTAATCGACGTTCTGATCAGGGGTATCAATCTTCATCATGGCTTTGGACCCAATTACTCCGAGACAATATAGCATAATAGTCTCCGCCAAAACGCCGGGTTTCAATGAAGAAGGCAATCAGAAATTTCCCGCGGTGGAAAAAGACTTTGCAGCGTCGAAATCGCAAAAACTGCAAGACTCAATCAATCCAAATACCGACTCCCTTCTCATTGCCTCACCATATGAAGAGCTGCCGCATCTATTGGATCTAAAATCTTTAGATACTCAAAGCCGGCTACTGGCACTAGCACTGTCATATTTAAAGCCTATTCGAAACGACTATGCCACAGCAGAATACCTAGATTCCTTCAATTGGAACGAAGTCTTCGATCTCGTCCGGACTTTCTCGGAAACTGAGGGACACCAATGGAAGTCACAGTCATTTTATGTTGTTTCTTTCCGATCAAGGCTACAGCCAAATGTGGATCAGGATTATCTCACAGACCTAGATGCTTATTCGCATCAGGAGGCTGTTGCTAGTGGTGGATTGTTGAAGTATTGGTTCGGTACTAAGAATGAACAGCGGCAGAATCTCGCAACCTGTGAGTCAATATTTAACCATGGTGAATATTCTGGCGCTAATAATGGATATAGGTATTTGGCGCAATCGAAATGATGCCCGTCTGGGAGGTCGCGGGCCATGGCACGCAAAAGCGAGACTGGCAGCCCGAGAGCTGTATGAGGAGATTGTCTTCTCGACCCTGAAGCTAGATATTGAAGATGAAGCAAAGTCCTGGAAGCTGAGTGAGTGGAAAGATAAGGATGATGAAAGCATTCCCGCTTGAGTTCGGCTATTCAAGGCACTTTAGGTAGTTATGTCGATGATTTATGAAATAGAGTAAACATGTGCATTTTTTTTTTTGGTTATTCTGAATTCCGTGTAATATTTCTCACTCGAGCACTTGGATAAGTGTTTGAGTGGCATAAATTTAAACCAATTGAGTCTGCTCAAGTGAGCTGAATCATGTTTTCTTATCACTTTCGTCGAAGTTCTTCTTCACTGCCTCAGCAAACTTATCGTCCACTATGATCTGACACGCGACAACCGCCATTCCAGCTGCACATGCGATGGCTCTTTCATGTGCTTTCCGCGATGCAGCCCCGTTAGTAAATAGTGGCGTGTGATTGACGCCCTCACTTGGGATGCAGAAGAGGCCATGGAATCCGGGCACAGCGTACGAGACATTCCCTTAAACAAGATTAGCTGACCCCGATATGGAAGTTCAGGATGAATAAAACCCACCCATGTCAGTAGAAGCCCCAGAGAGTACGCCCTTCACAGTCGAGTTATCGATGAGTGTATGATGTCCCATCGCCCGCATTGCGGACAAATAGCTCTCACAAATAGGCCTGTTGCTCTTAACGTCATAATACGAAACGCCCCTATGAGCAGTGATTAGCAGATATTCTCTGCGAGAGCCAAGTGGAATGCAAATACGTACCATTCAAATTCGACCTTACAGCCCGTAGCTGTAGCCGCTGCCTCAAAGCATTTTACAACCTTTTCTGTCAAAGGCTTAAGCGTCTCCACTGTTGTTGACCGAGTTACATAGTTCACCGTGGCGGACATGGGAATGATATTGGCCCTATCGCCTCCATTGGCAATAACACCATGAATCCTCTGAGTAGGGAGGATCTGCTGTCGAAGCATGGAGATATTGACGTATGCTGAAACCACTGCATCCAGAGCATTGATACCTTCCCAAGGAGCTGCTGCCGCGTGGGCAGGCTTGCCAATGAAGGTGACGCGTACCTGATCAGTAGCAAGGAAGCCCCCATCTGTAACAGACGACATGCTTACTAGCTCAGGCATATCCGGAGCAATCGGAACAGGATGAACCATCAGACAGGTGTCCACATCTTTATAGGCACCTGCATCAAGGAGCTTCACTTTTCCACCGCCCCCCTCTTCCGCGGGGGTACCTAGTAGACGGACGGTGAATCCAGGAATATATGAGGACTGAGCGGAGGCCTTTAGAGTTTCACAGGTGGCGATGAATGCTGCAATAGAGCTCGTGGCGATCAGATTATGTCCACAGGCATGGCCGATACCGGGAAGCGCATCATATTCGGCGTTGAAAGCCACCACACGCCCTCCGCTTCCAAAAGTGAAATCTACTTCAAGGGCAGTCTCAAGACCGTAGGCTTTCCGATGGACTTTATAACCATTGGATCTCAGGCTCTCGAATAATTTGCAGATGTGATCGTGGGCTTTGTATTCCTGGAATCCAATCTCTGGGTTGGACCAGATCTAGCTCCAATTAGCAATTACGAGATTGGTAAATGATGAATCAGCTGATCAATTGCTTACTTTGTGATTGATATCTTTCAGCTGTGAGTCGTATTGGCGAAGTACTACCTGCACTTTTTGCAGAAATTCTCTCTGTGAGCTGGGAATATGCATAGTTAGAGAAAAGTTGGGAGATCGCCAGAGTAGAGATGGCGGGGAAGACGGGCCTTTTTATACCTAGATAATAAACTCACGATCGGAATCAACGATCTTCCGATGCAAATCGCGGCTGTTAATCAATACCTATCTTGAAATAGTTATTGCCAATCGGCGGCTCAAATTCAATAAAATGGATCATTTATTGCCTACTTCGCTCTGTACTTATGTGCGGAGCTAACTTTCCCCTCCTGACATTCCCCTCCTGAAATTCCCGGCATTCCCGTCTCAATTGTTGGCGGGGTCTAGAGACAACCTTGGCAATTGATTGTTGTGCGTTACTATACTCTAGTTATATACTTGATAAGCTCCGGGGTATGCAATCTTGAAGCTCCCAAGCGTTATATAAATGTTCCGACACTCCCGAGACTTCTTTCGCCCTCCTGTCCATATGCTCAAAAATCTCATTGATAGCATAACCTGGCCGCAGCTGAGCACCTGGGCAATAACGGGCTCATCTTGAGATGAATCTAGTCGTTAAGTCACTGGTCACTCGTTTACTCGGCGGCAAGGGATCAACACCATTATCCTGCAAGACCCTACTCGGAGGAACAACCTAGCCGATCTCCAGTTGTCCTGGGCATTTGGTGGTAAATCTTCTAGAGATCTTTCAGCGAGGTTTTTATTTCCTAGTTGATATGTGTTTACACTGAATTTTGATTCTTGATCAGTTCAATCGATGATTATCAATGAACAAGGTGTGCTATCTTTTTGGCCAGCATTGTCACCTTTGATTCTTGAAGCTTCAAGTCAACAGAGAGTGAATAATAAGCCTTCCTTGACTTTCCGATAGGCATTTAAAGCCATACGTCAAATCTTTAGTACACAGAGCCTTTACACTTTCTCTCGTGCGCTTGTGTTAGCTGCTGTCCATCATGCTGCCTTTCGTACGACCGCAGGTTGCCTAGGATATACCTTCAGGCTATAATTGCCGAGGAATCTTGCATACTCTCCATTTGCTTTGCACTTGTGCTACTGTTGCAGTACATTGACCTCGATTCCCGTCTCTGAGAAAAGATATGGGTAAAAGCAAGCGGGCACACCTAACGTCTCCTAGTTTCGTATTTAGACTATTTGAAACCTGCTTGATTCATTCCCCCATTTACCGAAATGGCTCGGGTCCTCCTTTATGGAAAGAGTGCAATTATCAACGAACAGGCATGCATGTAATCCGGGTATTAGGATTGCTGCTAGCATCTATCACTCTTAGATCAGCCGAAGCAAGTCTTCTGCCAGGAGATTTAGAGATAAAGGTCCCTTCTCCAACAAGGCAGCGTAGATCAACAATTGCGGAGTTACTTGTAGAAGGCAAAATACTTCTAGGCTTCACTGAATGTAGGAGTGTATTGAATGGCTTGACTCAGTTTTTGTGGCTCATTAAGCATCATCTGATAAAGTGTACTGTCTAGATAGGATTGGTGTTGATCGTCGATTACCCATTTTTTTTGGATCATCAAGTGCTAGCTAGCTAACGTTAGCTTTCCAAGATCATTAATAGAATATACAGACTCGCACCACTCAACTATATATGTTTATAATGTATAAATGTATATATTTGAACAGATAAGTTACGTGCAAAATAGAGTGATTGGCAAATGAAAGTATGTAGTTGATTAGTCAGAAGGCGGCGATGTCTGGCAAAACTGATCACCGCCCCTCGATAAACTTCCCCTCGTTGCTTCTGCACAACGCATGCCTTTACCTGCGCGCACTTTGAGACCCTGGTATTCAAATTTTATGCATAGATTCCCTTTACTGTGAAATTTGAAAAGAGGGTCGCTTTCAGTTCGAGGTTGATCTGCCCAATCTCAGTGGCTGCCAATCGCCATATTTCCAGCCGGACTGGCCCCATTATCAGCACAGCTCGACCTTCATCATGATGGAAGATTTCAACAGTGAGACTGACAGTGACTACACTAGTTACTGGAGAGACTGGGTTCGTCTATTCTCGACTGAGGCAATCGAGACAGTAGTTATATCTTGTTATTATGGAAATGCTAATTTATTTTTTTGTAACACTTAGTTTGTGTCTTCTCGAGGGAACGAATACTTCTGTGAAATTGACGAGGACTACCTGACGGACCGTTTTAACCTCACTGGTCTCAACACCGAAGTTCCATACTATCAATATGCTCTCGATCTTGTAACGGACGTTTTTGATCTCGATGCTGATGATGAGCTACGAGAGCAAATCGAGAAGTCTGCCCGTCATCTTTATGGGCTGGTTCATGCGCGTTACATTGTAACTACCCGTGGCCTCGCAAAAATGGTACGTTGGGTCGATATACACCACATGGGCCGAACAGAAGCTAATTAATACCAGCTTGACAAGTACAAGAAGTGTGATTTTGGAAAATGCCCACGCGTTCTGTGCGATGGACACCCACTGCTCCCTATGGGTCAGTCCGACCTTCCCAGCGTCAGCACCGTCAAGCTTTACTGTCCTAAGTGCGAGGATATATACAACCCCAAATCTTCACGGCATGCATCTATCGATGGTGCTTATTTTGCAACCTCGTTCCACTCCATTTTGTTCCAAGTTTACCCGGCGTTGAGCCCTGAGAAGAGTCTGCGCCGCTATGAGCCCCGAATTTATGGCTTCAAGGTCCACGCCTCTGCTGCTCTGGCACGCTGGCAAGACGGTCACCGTGAGGATATGAATTATCGTCTTGCGGATCACAATGTACCCCATAGGTTCGCTGAGGAAAGCGAAAGTGAAGAAGATTATGAAGATGTCCCACCCACCAGGGCCATCGTGGCCGGGGACGCTGCATCCGTTCGCATGGACATCGGTAATTAATTATAACCGACGGACAAGCAGTCGGCGTAACAAGGGACTTTTCTTCCAACCTTGGATGGTTTCCGTGCTACGGAGTATGTTTTTATGAATAATGGCGTTTTTAGGCCTGTACCATTTCCCCCTTTCGTTACTAGCACCTGAAAGCTCTAAATGAGAGAAATGAAAGTATAATTCTATGGAAAAGATCTTATGTATATAAATATATGGTTTGCTGTATATATGGCAATGTGTAAACATTATGTTCAATGATTAGGGGCAGCCTTGAGATACCATCATCAAGCCGCTTGAATTAAATGAGCGTGGTCGTGGAGCCACTCAGTTCCTCAGGTTCTGGAGCCAAACCCATATTCTGCAACTCCAAGAAAGCATACTTGATTGCACGAGCCAGTCCTTCGCCGATAACCCAGTGATTATCATGTTTGTCACTGATCTCCAGCTCACGGACACGTCGATCCCGACCTGGCAAGTCTTGGGAAACGAAGTCAGCTTTAGTCGACTCCCAGCCCTTTAAGGCTGTGCGCATGGCATCCATTTGTCCTTCATCCACCAACCCATCCTCCTTCGAATGCGCCAGGATGACCAATCTACCAGACTTCCATCCACCCTCCACACCACGCGACCCCATCATTTGTGCAGGTGATACAGTATCCCACAGCATTTGATCAACTCCAAATGCCCCCTCGACAAATTCACGATACGCCGAAATGTCGCGGTGCGTATCCACCAATCGACGCAGGTCATATATGCCTGCCACGCCTACAATGGCTGTAGGATGAGCAGACAATCGCGGAGGAAGGGGTCCAGAAGACGTGGAGACCATCTTGGCGCCAGCGCCAGTGTCCATTGCACCTCCGATGAATGACTGCTCGCGATGTCCTGCGACAGCGCCCATGACGGCCTGGAACGCTAGGGTTGCGCCGCAGCTGTGCCCGACAAGGATGTATCGTGCACCGAACCCATAGGTATTTTGGAGAAAGGCGAGCGCAGCCTCCACATCACGGATGTGATCGGGGTGTTTGGCTGACCGGAAATCCTCTGGCGGTGTGCTTGTTTCGTCTTGGGGGTGGTTTGGATGCGCGCTCAACCGGTATGAGATTGAAGCGTAGCCTGAAATTGGAAGGCTCGGAGAATTCGACGTAAGAATTGACTCGGCTGCATCAAAAGCCGCCGATGTCACAGTCGGGTCACGCCAGGCACCGCCGTGGATGTAGCTGGTAAATTGGCCATTTTTAGTCATGTATCTTTCGTCGATCCGTGAGTGGGGTTAATAGCGGAGAGCAATACATTAGCCAGTAACCACCTGGTCGCGGTTCCAACGTAGTCACACATATTTTCTGTAGAGAATGATACAATCCATAAGATACAGTCCTCTTGCCGAGTAGAGTAGCCATCGCGAAAGACTTGTACCTGCCGAGTACAGGCCAGCGCAACAGATTAATGCCATGGAAAAGCGGGTCAAACACCTTCGAAGTGCATGACTAAGGGTAATTTAGTCAAGTATAATCTGAACGGCATGGTACTACTAACCAATAAGCTGATGGAAAATAGTGATTTATAGATAGAAATGGTCTATATTCTATCAAGTACCTTATTTTCAACAAAACTAGCTAAGTATTTCAGTAGCGGGAAACAAAGATCAGGTTATTAGTTAATACACTGTATTCACCCTCCCTAAACCCTTTAAGATACTGTATGGTAATACATGGCGCCGGTCATTATCTTGACCACGCTAAACCCGATTTGAAATTGTTCGTCTTTCACACAAACCCGCTCGACCCCATCACCGAAGAGATCCCCATTCATCTTCACAGTGCATTCACCTTTCATAATGGCCGAGTATGTGACTCTTGTGATTTAAGTATTGAAAGTATACTAATGTTCTCCTAGAGCACACGCCCCCCTCGCGGCCGTCAAGGTCGAGGCTTTGGTATCGTCCCCTCCGAATCTGCAAATTCTAGCCCTGCACTCGTCAGCGATAAATACTCATGTTTGACGCTCTAGGTGGTGATGAAAATCATCAAGCACTGCTCCCAGACCTTCCCGACCACCGCGACCGGATCTATCGTCGGTATGGACGTTGACGGTACCCTGGAAATCACCAACTCTTTCCCCTTCCCTGTTGTCGAGCAGCCCACCGAGTCGCACTTTGATAACGCCTCCCCCAACCCAGCTGCCGCTGCTCCCCGCGCCAAGGGTAACGCCGCTTACCAGGCTGAGATGATTCGCATGATTCGCGAGGTCAACATTGACGCCAACAACGTCGGCTGGTACACCAGCGCGAACATGGGCAACTTCGTCAACATGAATGTGATCGAGAACCAATTTTTCTACCAAAAGGAGATGAACGAGCGGACAGTTGCTCTTGTTCACGATGTTAGCCGCAGTGCTCAAGGAAGCCTTTCCCTGCGCGCGTTCCGTCTCTCGGAAAAGTTTATGGAGGCGTTCAAGGAGAACAAATTCCAGTCAGAGGAGTATGTAGTTCCCACCTGTCACACTATAGGAGGGATGATTGGAATTCATCAACTAACTCAAAATAGGTTGCTAAAGTCCAACATCCGCTACCAAGATATCTTCGATGAGCTCCCCGTCGAGATTCACAACTCGCACTTAATCACCACCTTCATCCACCAGTTGCAAGGCCCCAACATCTCCGGACCTACTGAACTTCCCGCCTCCCTCAGCGCCCTTGAGGCTAGCCCCTTCGCCAAATCCTCCATTCTCACCCCCAACCTCGATAACCTTGCGCTTAGCATCGATCCTTTCCTAGAGAAGAACTGCGACCTCCTGTTGGACAGCATTGAGACCCACAATACCGAGGTCAACAACTACCAGTACTACCAGCGTGTCCTTGGCCGTGAGCAGCAGAAAATCAACAACTGGAAGCAGAAGCGCACCCAGGAGAACACCACCCGTGCTGCTCTCAAGCAGCCTCTGCTCCCCGAGGACGAGTGGCAGCGTCTCTTCAAGCTCCCCGCCGAGCCCAGCCGGCTGGAAAGCATGCTCAACACCCGCCAGGTGGAGCAGTTCTCGCGCCAGATCGACAGCTTCGTCTCGTCAACAACTGGAAAGATGTTTGGTGTCAAGGGTAATCTGTTGCCTGGTGAGACTGCCAATTAGATGATGACCCAGAGTGGGATATGAGCCCCGAGGCTTTTGGAATTGCATGACCTTTTTACGGCGTAAGGAGGGAAAATGTTCTCTGGGATGTTTATACGACTTCCTCTTTTTCTTTGTATCCGTGACGAAACTGAGTCTGATTTTTCGACATGTTTAGACTCGTATACGTTCATAGAAGCCACAACTTTGTGAATTTACAGCTTTTATTTTGTTCTAGCAGTACTTTGTTGTTGCTTTATAGTATCTTTATATCTTGATGTTAGCCCTAATCGAATATAGGGCAGTTTCGGTCACGTGATGTATATAGATGATCTCCTGGCATCTAGAGGTGATTGTGGCTTGCTATATACTACATTATGTAGTTATTACATGTATGGTGCCATTTTCTAGCCCTTCCCTGGGCTTGCCTAGAGCTTCCAAGGCTGCCTAGGGCTGTCCCACTCCCGAGGTACCCTCTACCTAGCTATTAGCCCCGGCCGTGGAGTCTGGAACATTTTATAATGAAGTTTATTCTTAAAGAATAGCTAGGTAGAACGAAACAACATACCAAGTCATAAATTCATAGTAAACATAGTGCCTGGGCATCATAGAATCATATCAGTCGTAATCAGGCCGGTATGCATACCGACCCAAACGTGAGATCGTAAACAATAGAGAGAACAGAGAAAAACAAACGCACCATCCTTCATAAACAAACAAAATGAAAAAATAAATTTACCACCCAAGATTTTTCAGATCAATCATAGGAACTGTTAGTTACCAGTTAGTTTCCGGAACCAGCTTGAAGATTTCTTAGCTCCAGAGCTCGGAGGAGCCCCACGACTTCCATGAGATCTCATGCCGCGATCACGCTCATAGTCACCGCTTCCAGAGCTACTCTTGACACGTCCTTCACGGCGGCGAGCACGGAGGTCCTCGATCTCATCTTCCGTCATATCGCCGTATTTCGCCCGATGGCGCGCTTTGCGACGGAGAGCGCGGCGAGTCTCCTCGTCCGAGGACAGAGAGTGATCGTTCGCTTCGGCATGATCTAGCGGGACATCGATAACGGTTGGCATGATCGGCGGAGGCTCTGGAGGCTCATCAGCCTGTGAGTAAACCCAGGAGGAGATCTTCTCCTTCTTACTTCCACCATGGTCACCGTGATTAAGGCCTCCGGTCGGCCGTGAGGCCCGCCTACTTTCCTGGGGAGCTTGGGATTTACGACGGGATTTGATGTCGTCTACTCCACGAGTTCCGCGTCGGCGATCTTCTGCTACTTCGGCCGAGACTGTTTCCGTATACGGTTCTTCGATTCGTGAACGGCGGCGTTTGGCCTTTGCTGCCATCTCTTCGTCTCGTAGGCGTCGGCGCTCGCGGCGTTCGACGGCTTTGGCTTCGGCGGCGGCTTGGGTTTCACGTTCAGCTTGCTCTTCTCGTGCTCGTCGTTCTTCGCGGGCGGCGCGGCGGGCTAGCTTTTCGTCGTAAAGACGCTGCTGTTCTTGCTCGCGAGCTTGCTGCTCACGGGCCTCACGCAGACGCTCTTTCTCTTTGCGTCTGGCACGGCGCTCTTCAGCTTCCCGTTCCATATCGCGAGTCTCGGAGGGAGCCTGGCGAGATGAGCGTTTTGCTCGACGAGCTCTTCTAGCTTCGGGGTCTTCGACTTCTGTCTCAGCTGCATCCGCCATAACTCCTTCACCGTCCGTATCCGGTCTGACGGTTTTGCGACGGCGATCGTCACGTCGTACCCGGCGAGGGTCTTCGCGTTCAGGCTCAGTAAAGCCTCTTGCTTCGTCATCGCGGTACGATCGGGATTTCCGTCGCTCTGGCATTTCAGGGCGCGAGTTCTTCTTTAGAGAGCCGAAAAGGCCCATGAAGCCGCCAGACTCTTGTTTTTTCGGGGGAGCTGTATTGGAACGCTTGAGGCGACGCTCTCTGAGGTCTTTAGGAGGTGCGTCGACGAAGGCGAGGTCATCGGGACCCGATAACACATCTGGGCCACCACGGGCTTGGTCTGCCTCGACCATAACCGCATCATCGTCATACCTGGAGCGCGTCTGTATCGGGAGAAATAAATCAGTAATCGGCGAAATGAAAGTTTCAAAATATCTCTCACCTCGCGCTTTGACTTGCGCCTGGAAGGCGCAGACCCTCTCGAGCCCTCTTTTGGTGGACCATCGGCATCTTCCATATTGACCATAACTATGTCATCATCAATGGCTTGTGAATCACGATGACCTAAATCAATTAGAATGTTGACAAATATCAGGGGGAATCGTAGAGAGCTTACGTGATTTCTTCCTCTCAGTACGCGGTCGCTCACGCTCACGCTTGGACTTGGATGCGCCCATCAGGCGTACCTTATCGGGCATATCGTGCTTATCGTCGGGAGATGGCATGGCATTGTCCATTTCAAATGACGCCCGCCTTGATACTGGTCTTGATGTCGATTTTCCCGACGGTCTGTGCGTTGATTTACTTCGTGAAGTTGGAGGTGCAGCAGCTCCGAGAATGAAATTGGAAAAAGTGGTGGCACGTTGCGGCTTTGGTCTTTGGCGTCGCTTTTCTCGGTCAGATGTTGATCTATCTTCATGATCGGACTCCTTCTCCTTGGGACGAGATTTGGTTGATTTCGAGCGTTTAATTGCTGGAGGTGATCGTTCCCGAGTAACTTCTTTTTTCTTGAGTCGGTTCGGCTCCTCAGGGGGATTCTCTTTACTTGAATCCTTCTTACTGGACCTCTTTGGGGGCGGCGCTGCTCCCCAGAATCCCCAGCCTCCGCTGGTAGCAGTACGTTCCACACGTGGACGGTCTTTTTTCGCAGATTTTGGGGGCTCTTCTTCGACTTTCTCTAATGAGGCGGTGGGAGGAGTACCGTCGTCAGCGTTGTCAGCTGCGTCAGCTGAGTCGCCTGCCTCGGCTGGATCAGCCTCTTGAGGCTCTGCGACTGGCGGCTCCTCCGCAGGTGGGGGTGGAGGCGGAGTTGGTTCCTTGGAGATTGCAGCTGCAGCTGCGGCCGCGGCCGCGGCCTTCTTAGCTGCCTTTTTAAGCTCCTTTTTGGTCATTATTTTTACCGGCTCAGGCGCAGGCTCGGGTTCAGGTTCAGGTACAGGCTCAGGCTCAGGTTCAGGTTCAGGTTCAGGTTCAGGTTCATGCTCAGGCTCAGGTCCAGGTTCAGGTTCAGGTTCAGGTTCAGGTTCCGGCTCCGGATCAGCTGGCGGCTCTTCATCAGGGAAACTGCCTGGAACAGAGGACCTGGAGCTCCTTTTGGGTTCCTCTAATATGGGCTCAGGCTCGGGCTCAGGGATGACTTCCGGTTCCGGGTCAGGCTGGACCTTCTTCGACTTCGACTTCGACTTCGACTTCTCTTCTTTGAGCTTCTTCTTGCTCTGTTCAAGTTCTTTGATACGCTCGGCAACAGACAGCTTCTTGGCCTTGGATTTCTCAACGGGCTTTGGTTCTGGCTCCTGTTCGGGTTCGGGTTCGGGTTCAGGTTCGGGCTCGGGCTCAGGTTCAGGCTCAGGCTGCGGTTCTGGTTCTTTAGTGTCATCGCCAATATCAAGTAAAAGATCCTCCTCTGGAGGCTCTTCCTTCTTCTCTTCTATCTTCTTGGTTGATTTGGGTTTAGGAGTTGATGCACCAGTGAGAGAAGCCCAGAAGCCTTTAGCTGCCGGCTTTTCTTCCTTTGGGGACTCGATGGCCTTGGTCTTCTTCGTGCTTTTGGAAGTCTTCGGAGCAAAGTCAGCCCAGATGTCGTCCGGCTCCGGAGTCAGACCTTGAGCAGGGGGAGTAGGAGCAGGTGGTGGTGGTTCAATATCCATGCCCTTCTTTTTCTTCTTTTTGTCCTTGGTAGTGCCCCAAGCTCCCCATGTATCAACTTCGGTTGACTTCTCCAGTTCTGGTTCTGGTTCTGGTTCTGGTTCCGGTTCTGGTTCTGGTTCTGGTTCTGGCTCTGGCTCTGGCTCTGGCTCTGGCTCTGGCGGCTTATCAGGCGGAAATTCGAAATCTTTCCCAGGAATTGGAAGTCCCTTCCGTATCAAGGCTTTTTCTCGTTTCTTGCGTTCCTTGGAAGATACATTATTCCAATTATCGTATAGAGGATCATCTGGTATGGTGGGTGGTGTAGGTTCGGGCTCTGGATCGGGTTCAGGCTCGGGTTCAGGCTCAGGCTCAGGCTCAGGTTCTGGTTCTGGTTCTGGCTCTGGCTCTGGCTCTGGTTCTGGCTCTGGTTCTGGTTCTGGTTCTGGTTCTGGCTCGACTTTTCCCTTTTTCTTCTTCTTTGGTTTAGTGGCGATGCCCCAGCCAGCCCAGTCATCCTCATCTTTGGATTTGACGGGCTCTGGTGGGGGAACCTCGATGATGGGCTCTGGTTCCTTGGATTTCTTCTTCTTGCCTGCAGTACCCCAGCTGCCCCATGTATCCTCCTCCTGCTGTGGTGGTTCTGGAATGGGCTCTGGATCAGCCAAGAGATCAATATTCTTCTTGTCCTTGGATTTGTTTGGAACTTCCCAGCCCATGTCATCTTCAGGAACGACCTCACTGGCTTTCTGAGCCTCCTCCTCTTCCTTTGCGAGCCTTTTTTCCTCCGCTTTCTGGGCTTTTGCTTCTGCTCTTATCTTAGCTTCAGCTTCCGCGTCCTTTACCTTTTTTTCCCATTCTTTCTTGGCCTTACGTTGTTCCTTCTTAGAAAGGCCTAGGTACCAAGTCTCTTGGGTGATATCCGGGATTGGTTCGGGCTCAGGTTCAGATTCTGGTTCGGCTTCGGCTTCGGGTCCAGCCTCAGCCTCAGCCTCCGGCTCGGGTTCAGGTTCGGGTTCTAGTTCGGGTTCAGGTTCGGGGTCTTTCTTTTTCTTCTTCTTGGTTGCGGTTCCCCAAACGTTCCAGTCGTCATCCTTACTGTCCGCTGGTTCCGGCTCATCGAGATTCTTCTTACCCTTCTTTCCAATAGCACCAAAACTGCCCCAACCACTGTCAGGCTTGGTTTCAACAGGTTGAGCTCCTAAATCACCAAAGGTAAATTCATTAGTAGGTGGTTTCTTAATGTTAGAGGTCGTCCAAAGTCGAGTGTCTTTGGATGCCTTTATAGACTCGCCCATACCTCCGAGACCGCCTGTAGACCAGTCTTTACCCCATCCACCAAAGTTAAAGCCAGGACCGGTTTTAGGACCACTGTCGAAATTCAAATCCAGCTGCGGAGCGCTTTCTCCCAAGTTTATATCCTGAAATCCCCCGGGTGGTGCCTCGTCCTGTAACAGGTAAGGAACAGTTCAATATAAATCCTCAACTTTAATAGCACTATACCTTTCCTTTCTTCTTTTTCCCCACTGTCGCAAAGCCAGCCCACGAGTCACCTCCGCCTTCATCAACATCGTCAGCCCAGCTGAGATTTTTCGAAGCAGACGCTTCAGCAGCTGCGCGTTCTTCTTCCTCCTTGGCAAGACGCTCTTCCTCCTCCTCCTCTTTCTTCTTCTTGTTTTTTTTGCTTCCGCTAGTAGTCCAATCGTTCCAATCGTCTCCGTTTCCATCACCGCCACCATCACCGCCACCATCCCCACCTCCATCTCCAGCACCAGCGTCTCCACCATCCTCATCAGGCGGCGGTGGATCGTCACCTGCGTTATCTGATCCACCACCACTAGTATGCGCCGGAGCCGGAGTTGCTTTTTTATTATTACCACCCGCCTTTTTCTTCTTGTGCTCTCGAACTCCAACCGGGCTCTCAAAATCAATATAGATATCGAGCGAGCGGTCCTTGAATAAGGTAGGAGATCGGTCACAAGTCTTCGTCGCAGGTGGCACAGGCGCATCGCCAAAGACAACTATCTTCCGCTGCGCAAGTGCAGGAAGCGACTCATACTCTGGCGGTAGGTCACAAACAGCATCTTCGTAGGATGGCGGAGGGCAACTGTATGAGGGGATATCGAGAGAACTGGAAGTCAATTGATTTCTTGTCAAGTGCTTGTAGCCATGAGGGTGCAGTGTACTAGCACCTTTCCTCAGCACCAACGCAGCCCAGACCTCGTCAACGAGTGTATACACTGCGTCTTCGAAGTACTGTGGTGTTCCATTGGCGAGGTCTTGAACCCCACATTTGGCGACACACTCATTATGGACCATAGGAGCGGCCATTTCCATATCGAAATCGCGTATACCTGATTCAACACTGGCCATTCAGTGATCAGGCTTCTTTATCATAAGGATAGAACGCATGGGTTGGCTCGTTGGGGTATTCGGAGCCCCCCGCGGGAGAAGCTCAGCGGGGCACGGGTGAGTCAAAGATTTGATACTTTTACGGTGGAGGCAAGCTCGTTCGCAAATAGGCCGTGGGAATGAGGTTTATGCGCCTTTAGTGGATCAGGCGATACGAAAGAATTCAATCAGACTTGTACGACCACAGATTGTCTTATGAAGATTATCTGGGGTCGGTAGCGTGGCGATAGCGATAAGTTATATCCACTACATATAAGTTGAGACGAAATGTAATCTGTTGAGAGTGGTGGCAAAGGGAATCTAATGTAGGAAAAAAAAATCAAGGGATCAGCTGGGCGCAGGGAAAAAAAATAGAGGCGGTGGACGGAGTAGATCATCCGCATAGAGTGCGTACTTTGAACACCAATGATGGTCACTCAAGTTGAATACCAAAGTCACCGAGGTATCCTCAATATATTGATCACTTCACAGGATCAGATCAGATTCCTCAATCCTACTAGGAAGATAAGCTTGATGGGGAAAGAAAAAGAAAAAAAAAAGCAATAAAAAAGAAGGCTGGGGCGATCGAGGGATCAACCGCCCATATATAGACCCATAACCTAATCTAGCAATGCTTCTACTCTAAGATCTCTTCTCTTACTGCAATCTGAACGAAAATTCAATCCTACGTACCTATCTCTTACCTCAAGCAAAACACGCAAGTATCCGCTGCATACTCGAAGTCAGCACGAGCATGTAACTGGTGGACGGATCTGCAGGTATGTACATGATGCAGCACATCTTGTCCTATCGATGACCAGAGTTCCCCTCCTTCCTCATACAGGGTCTTAGGCTCTCCTCAAGAGCTGAAGAGCAGGGGATTGTCCAATGTCCTCCGTCTATCCCATAGTCGACTCTAGCCCTAAGCCTCTAGACTCATGTTTGTTTACTTTGTCTACTCACCGCCTCAAGTCCACGATTTGTTTAGTGGGGTGATTACGTACTTGATGTTTTTAATTGGGGTCTAACTGGGTAACCAAACTGCCGCTGCTTTTATGGAGATGATTAGTCACAGTAAATTGCAGTCTTGATTACATATAAATGGTAGCCATCTATTATGCACTCGGTTTAAAGTGAATCTATACGAAAATATGTAACTTACTACAGTTGATTCATTTTACACTCCATATTGAACGATACGGTTTGAATTGGCGACCTATGTAGGTCTACCCTATTTTAAACAACATTGTAGCGGCCGCTAGTAGGGGCACGAGCTTCACTGTCAGCAGCAGCAATCGTACCCTCCTTCAGCAATCGTCTCAACTCGCGAATGGCGTTCGTAACTGAAATCTCCGTCTCACCTTCAACAAGGATGTAAAGCTTAGGACCATCTGTAGGACCAGGTAATTTGCCAGCCGGATAGTAATTGCCCTTCGTAGTTATTGATGTACCACTGCTTTCAAGGATCTTGGCGACGTTCGTGCGGTTGGTGACGGCCCAACGAGCTTTCTCTGTTTATTAAAATTTTTCATTAGCAATTGTCCAAAAAATAAGGATAGGGAAGAGGAGGAGAACGTACGGGGGAAATCATTGATTTCAACAGTAGCGTGAAATGCTCCTGCATCTGGTCCACGGTTGTCGATGGGCACGCCAGATCTCATAACACCGGTTTTATTCAAGCGTGCATTGATACCGGCCGCCGCAGCCCCCACCTTGTCCCAGGCGTTGTTCTTTGATCCGTCTGCATCTCGTTCGGTTCGGTGCACTTGAATCTCACCATCCAGATCAATACCATTGGGAACGCCCACGAGAGGACCAGGGACGGGAGAAGCAGAAGCTTCAGCGTTGGCTGTAGGCTGCACAGCCGAAAGTGCTTTGTTGAAGCGCTCATCATCCTCTGCTACCTTGTCCTCCGTCTCTTCTTCCTCATCGGCATCATCGCCGGTCTTGTGAGTTCGACGTTCACGAAGACGAGTACTCTGGCGCTCCTGGTCAAATTTTTCTAGACCATGACCACCGAAACCTCCAGTGTAACGATTTTCCTTGCCAGCCTTTACTTCCTCCAGGAAAGATTGCACCAGCTTTTGAACAGGCTCGGGAATTTTCTGCTTACTTTGTCGAAGTGCTTTGGCAATATCCACAGCGAACCGTCCTTGATGCTCCGTAATGAAAGTTACTGCCGTACCCGTGGCTCCAGCACGACCAGTTCGACCTGCGCGGTGGACATAATCTTCCAGGTGATTAGGGGAATCGTAGTTGACGACTAACTTCAGCTGCTTCACATCGAGACCGCGAGCGGCGACAGAGGTGGCCACCAGGACAGGAAAGATTCCTGCCTTGAAGTCTTCAATTGTAGAATCGCGATCAATTTGGTCCTTGCCCCCGTGAATGGACATACACGGATAGCCCTTTCGCATTAGCTCTTTGAGAAGAGTGTCAGCGGACTCTTGCTTTTCAACGAAGATCAACGCCCGCGCATCTTCATTCGCATCGTCCGAGTACAAGTTTCCGAGCAGTTCCAAAAGACGAACAAACTTCTGGTCCTCATTGCGAACCTCGACAATTTGAGTGATTTCCGGGGCAACAACGCTCTTGCCCCCTACCACGATTTCAATGGCGTTCTTCAATGCCTTTCGGGCGAGAGCCTCCATGTTGCGAGGGAATGTAGCTGAGAATAGAACGATCTGGCGCTCGGGGCGAACATTGGCCATGATCTTCATAACTTGAGGCTCAAACCCCATATCAAACATACGGTCAGCTTCGTCAAGAACAACGTAAGTGACACGGCGTAAGTTTGTGACACGTCCTGAGTTTGCGGCAAGAAGATCAATCATACGACCCGGGGTGCCGACGATAATCTCTGCTCCACGCTTAAGTTCACCAATCTGGTCCTTGATTGGAGCACCACCATATGCGCAGACAGCGCGCAGGCCCACGGCTTTCAAGAAGGGCTTACAATCCTTGTGAATTTGGGTTGCGAGTTCGCGAGTAGGTGTCATAATCAAACCAATGGGTCCCTCCATATTTTCCAGCGGTCGCTGATCTTGAATGTGGCGAAACATTGGAATCAGGAAAGCCATGGTCTTTCCTGATCCTGTTTTTGCGACGCCAATAACATCACGGCCAGACATGATTGCAGGAATTGCCTGGGCTTGAATTGACGTGAGGCTTTCATAACCAAGACGTTCGACGACATCTAGAGTTTTGACACCCAGGCCACACTGCGACCATTTTTGGACGGGTTTGGGGATGTCGAGGCCACGTACCTTGATTCCATCCAGCTCAAGACGAAGGTTGGCTACTTCTTCCTCGGTCATGTCTGCAAGATGTGAGGGCTCCGTGTAAAACTTCTTTCTGAACGGCTCGTACTCGATCTTTGTATGGTCGACTTTGGGGATTTCCTTCTTTTTCTTTTTCTTTGCCATGGCTAGAACTTCATCTGTATTATCCTCACCAACTGCAGAGATTTCAACCTCGTCTTCGTCCCCAAAGATGGCCTGGGGTTGAGATACCTTCTTGGTTGAGGATGTAGTGAATGTCTTCTTTGGGGGAGCGCTCTCGACTAGGGTATTCATGTAGACATCCAAAGGATCAACTTCTTCTGCCTCATCAACTTCCATTTGAGTACTTTCAGTCTGTTGGGTAGGCGCATCCTCCATGAGAGTATCATCATTCTGGGCTTGAAGCCGCTCCTCTCGTCGCTCTACTGCTGCTCGAGCTGCGGCAGCAATTTCTTCCTCGGTTCCTCCGTCTTCCATGTCAACATCATCATCCTCTGCAGCTTCATCTGCGACGTTATCTTGCCCGTCATCAAGTGGGGGGGTGGGTAACCTCTCAAGCTTTTTACGGGTAGATTCCTCTTCACCAAAGCCCAATGTTTTTGTAGTCAAAGATTTATCGGCATCAAACACTGACTTGGCACCCAGACCAAACGCACCAATATTTCCAGTGGGTTTCAAGGAAGCAGAGATGGGGGCAGGCAAGGGTTTTGTCGACTTAAGTATTGCAACATCGTTTCCGAGTACAGCTGGGGCTGCGGAGTTTGAGGCTGTCACATGCTTTGCAATGGCCTTGGGGTCGAACTTTCCGGGATAGGGAGTAGAATCGGAAGGGTCAGCTGGGGTAGCGGAGATTAAACCCGACTTTCGATCCATCTCGTCAAGAAAGTTCTTGGATCCGCCCTTGAGATCCTCCTCCATTTGTTTGCGTTGGCGCTCAGCTGTTTGCTTTAGCTTCCATGCTTCTATCTTGGCCAATCGCTGGGCTTGTTTGTCCTCTTCAGTCTTGGCGGCGGGTGCGGGTGCGGGCGTCGACACCTTCGATGGTTGAAGTGAACCACGGTCACGGTTATCCTCCCGTCTAGGCTTGGGCTTCAGGTCAGCAGATTCATCTGTACGCCTGCCATCACGGTCGCGTGAATCAGGACGTCTAGGTCGGCTATTTCTTTCGTCGGCACGTTGGCGGGGGTTACGTTCGTCGTCTCGGTCTCGCGATCGTCGGCGTTCACGGGACCGAACTCTGCGATTGGGTCGGTAGCTATCTTCGTCACGTCTGTCTAGGGAGCGATCACGTCGGCGGTATCCTACGTCTCGGTTGCGGCCATGATCACGATCACGGTATCGACGCTGTAAAGGTAAAAAAATTCCGGTAAGACATGGAGCTTGCGATATTTCGGGGGTTGAATTGACAACATACGTCTGGGCTACGGGATCGGCGATAGCTGCGTCCTTCGTCCCGTCGAGTTCTGTCGTAACGATCATCTTCTCTGCGACCGCGTTTTGATGCAGAGTTTGTGCTGCCTACAGGTGATGGTGAGCGTTTATCCCCGTGGCGAGCCATTGTTGCAGGCCAACGATTAGAGAGAAGCACCAAAACGTTGAGATAAAGAGTTTTTTATCCGTCACTCTCTTTCTTCATAGACTCAGTCAAAAATTCGATCAATTCGGCAAGTGAGGCGGAGGTGGATTGGGGAGTTGAAAAGGAATGGATGATGTCTTTTTCGATGTTGCGATGAGGCTTTGGTGATAAGAGGGTCACGTGTCTTGCCGGGTACACCAATCCGAAAGCGGAAATCTCCAAACGAAGCTCGGACTCCTTACAATCAACCTCCCACCTTGGTTTCAGGTAAGCACCATCCTGTTACACTCCTTTTTTTGTGCTCTCTCTATCTCCACCTCTCAATTATACATACTACAATTAAAAAGACGCATACAGCATCCATGTTTCTCCAGCGAGTTACCGGTTCGGGGGTTCTCCGACAATTTCATGTCAACAATGTTTTCGCTGGTCCTACTCGCGTGATGGGTGTGCAAAATCAACTCCGTCAACTATTTCTCTCAGCGCGACCTGTCGCAAAAATCCCATTAAATGGATCGCGTATTGTCGCTCTTCAACACAGTCATTCGTATCGAACGAAGGCCGAGACCAGCGAAGACAAGCCTAAGAAGGCTCCCAATAAGAAGGCCGCCGCCAAGAAGCCAACAAAGCCATTGGTCAAGAAGCCATTGACTGAAAAGCAAAAAGAGAAGCAAAAGGAGACCAAGAAGAAGCAAAAGGCTCGAGCAGAACTAGCCGAGCTTAAAAAGACTGCGTTGGAGCCGCCAACCAAGCTGCCAAAGACTACCTGGCGAGTTGCTTTCCGGGAAATGTTCCCCCAATCCAAGGGCGAAACCAACTCTGAAAATTTTGCTCTCACCATTGCCGCTGTCAAAAACCTTAGTGATGCAGAGTTAGAGGTGAGCGGGTTCTTCTTTTTTATCTTGGATCAATAAACATGCTAACTTAGTAAGCCCTTCCGAGAACAAGCCGAGAAAAACAGGGCGACCAACGAGTCTGAGCTATCCTCCTGGCTGAAGACTTTCACTCCCAAGCAGATCCTAGATGCTAACAAAGCTCGACTTGCCCTTACTCGCCTGACAGGCAAAAGGTGGCCGGCTCTTAGCGATGACCGACTGGTGAAGAACGTGCGGCCCTCATACTTCCTCTTTATGCAAGATCACGCGAACGAATACCCTGGACAACCCGTGACTCAAGTCACTACTTTACTTAGTCAAGTATGGAAGGGTTTGTCTGACGCAGAGAAAGAGGTAAGTTATAGACAACATTTCATGAAATTCAATATTAATGTCTGACACTGGACACAGCCATACATCCAAAAGGCAAATGAAGATAAAGCTCGATACATTCGCGAGTACAAGGAGGTGTATGGCGTGGACGCTCCGGTTGTCGAACGCAGCAAATCCAGCGCTTAAATGGCCTAGATATATTTGCGTGCAAGCCTCCTTGTTGGTGCCTCTTGTATTTCTTCAAACGGTTGGTGACTGTGACGATATTTCGCTTTTCAATGTGAGGGGTTTTGGGTTGGAAATGGATTGGGGAACATTTCCTATGTCTGTGTTTTTTTTTGTATTTCTTTCACTGCCATTAAACTCTTCTTTCTGATGTTGCCATGTTGTATTTTGATATGATAGCTTTTCTTTCCCCCCATTTCTCGTCCCTTGCCGGATAACAATGTGAATTTCCTTACATTTGTCACTTTGCTGAATATCCAAGAAATCATATTGATTATTTTCTCAATCTTCTATCTGTTATTCAACCCCTCTTAAACCCAGCACTATTGAATATTATATTACCCTGAGTCCTGGTAGAAAACCTCCGATGCAGATTTCACCTACATAGGTAGGGAAGTCTGGACGTGCCTTGAAAGTAGAGGAACACGCCAAAGTGAAACCACAACTGAGGTGACGACTCAACCTCAACCTCAACCTCAATTCAATTTTTCAATTGCTAATTGAGTGACGCAGCTTTCCAGAAATTCCCCCACTGCGCTATTTTCCTGACTCGAGGCCACAACCCAGATTGGAGTCTGGAATCAGGCCGCAGAATCTCGAAGTGGCGGTGAACAGAAAGATCGTGTTCCGCTTTGGGCAGCCCAAGTCAGGCCATGTGAATACAGTGGCTTTCTGCGCGGTTCATGAAGGTCCGACTCCGAGCTGCTCGACATTCCATATACAACTTGAGTGGAGCCAAGGTCTGGGGGCAGGATGTTCTCAATGTGTTCTCATAGAAGTTTCCAAGGTCTAAAAACACACTTCGGGGGAACCAAGACTATCAATATGACATTTAATCTGAGTATGTCATTGATAAGATGCTCAATTAACCTTGAAACACTTTCTACGTCCTACATATAAGTTTGAGCTCAACTTTCGTCGTTGGAATCTTGGAGAATTCGTACGATTGCACTAGATGGGTTGGTGCAGCTAGCTATGCGGGGCATAATATGTATCTAATTCAATTACCCGCTGCTTTCCATGTCCAAGAATAGCCAGATTCCGGGAGGTACATTTCAATTAGCTGCCCGGTGCTGGAAACCTAAGTCAAGACTGTACTAGGTGCGCTATTTTGGCAATGAGTCTCCCAAGATTGATCGGACCATTCTATTGATATTTAGCCTCCGAGGGCTACAGTTAGAGATATTCAATCCATCAATGGTTAAATTGTATAAGAAATCAACTTACTTAGGTAGATATGTTAGGGCTAGCTCCCTCTCGTACCGGTATTGTCAATGTAGTCTTTAATATCAAGATCCATAATCATGCCATGACATCAGACTCTGGGCAACTTGGGCTTACACAAAATGGGCCTGATTGCCCCTCGACGGGATGTGGAGGGTAGTTCCAGATAGTTTGAATTCTCTTTTCCGTTTTAGGGCTCAGCTCTTGCCGCTTTTTGCTCACTCGATCTACTTGGTGAGTCAGGAGATGATCGAATCTTGGAACCCCAATAAAAGATAACACGGCTAGCCTTACCTGAATTAGGTTAGCGTAATGCGGGGAAGCATATTGACGGTAAATATGACCCCGCTAATACTTCAGAAACTTTCTTTTATCCTTTCAAGGCACCAATTGCATGTCTAACAATTATGCTGTTTAAGCAATAGAGACTGGTGGCATCAGTTAAACTATTCATCAAATAGTTCAATTCGTTCAGGACGACAACCCTTACGCTCTGGAAATTCAGGATATTGTCACCTTGGGAAGAGCAGAGTACATCGAGAAGATCTTACGAGACCGAGAAGTTATTGCAGATTTGTACTTGTTACATATAAAACCTTGTACTATACCAAATATCGAAGTTTTAAGGTCCAATTGACCGCATGTGACACGGACCTGATCTATTTAAATGTTACAATCACATCATGACTTGCCGCTGTATGTCCTCAGTATATGAGAGAGAGAGAGAGAGAGAGAGAGAGAGAGAGAGAGAGAGAGAGAGAGAGAAAACGTGAAAGTTGAGTTAGTGTGCCAATTATAACCCTCAATTAATCAAATTGTGCCGATGTACATCAACGCTATCAGGAACAAAAACTTCTCGTTAAGGTATATTTCCAGTCTCCACTAATGCGCAAATGGGCATCAACCATTACTCCCATTGTCGCGCGACTGCCTGGTCATCGGCATCTCGAGCAGCCCGCTCAGTCTGGCTTGCCTCATTCAAAGTTTGTGCAGGAGTCTTAGCCTTCTGGGCAGCTAGCTTAGACCCAAGCTTTCCCCTACTAGCCGATGAGGCAGCTTCGGCCCGTTTCTGTAGGTGATGGTATCAGTGAGTGGTATTCTGCTGAGGGTCTTGAAACAAGAGATCTACCTGTGCCGCAATGGCGGCATTAGACCGCGCCTCATCTATTCCGGCTCCCCCTTGCGTCCCACCCAGTGAGGTTTCGCCTAATGTGCGCCCCGGTGTAGATTTCCAACTTTTGCTTGCGGGGATTGTAGCGCGTGGGGCTGGTTTGGACTGGGTCGGTGCGCCGACTACATGTCCTGGACTGGCGAATGCTTCGGGCTCGTTGGACGAGCGGGAGCAGATGTTGCCCATGTTAATAAAGATAGAGCAGTGGCTCGGTTGGGAGTTGGAGGTGGGAATAGTGCTTGGTAGGAGTCTGTGGTAGCATAAATATTAAGGGTGATTTTTCTGGAGGTTGAGAGGTCGAAGAAAGTCAAGGATACCTAGAGGTCATAATCGCATCTCCAAGTGTTGATTACGCGATAACGATAGGCGGATCTGCACGTGGGGTATTATATCAGCATTGAGTTTAGTTAACTACCGACTACGCAGTTGGCTTTGAGATGGGCTAAGGTGAAAGATTCGTGGATACTGAAATTGACTAAATGAACTGGCGAAATAATGAAATTTATAAATGCGAGGGACAATATTTCTCAATGTCTAAACAATCGTATAGGGCTTAGGGTCAGATGAGGGGCCGAGGGCCGCTGTCTGGTTAGTCATCAGCAGTGAAAATGAAGGTTGGAATGTTGGAATGTCTCTAGAACCAAATCTTTAGGAATGCTGGGGAAGAAAGTGCGATCTATGTTAATTCCTCAATTTTGATCAAGTCTCGATTTATCAAAGATTGCGAAACTCGCGATAAACCGCTACTCATCCTTATTTTCCATCCTCACTATGACGATTCACCCCCAAGGTCCTCAACCTTCATCCGCGTCCCAAAGGTCCTCAGAATAATCTGGAGCGGGCAATAGCCTACACACCTCCACTTCACCCCCGGCAACGTCGATCTCGGTTATTTGTCTACTCTGAAAATATTCCTTTGTGGTCCTCAAAGGTCCCTTTTCGCACAGTGTGCCACACAACAGCCATTCGCCAATTCTCCGGTTCGCCGTGGATCTCCAAGTCGACGTAACACGCATTCACCACCAATTTTGTTGCATGATACTACTGTGAGACTTGATTTACCCTACTTTGGAGGTGAATTCTTTACCAGCGCGGTGGAAAGTATCCTGCACATCCTGCAGACTCTTCTTGGCACCCCTGTCGTGACCTTCCAGAGTGGCATCTTGTGGCCGAAACATCGTACATGGATACGACTATCCCACTTATGGTCGTACATCCATCCTCGGTACTCTAGCTGCTCTTACCTTGTCATCTCTAATATCCCGGGGTGTACCTGGCTTTCTGAGTCAAATTCAACCCTGTCGCATCTTTTGTACTGTATTTATTCTATTTCATCTTTTGGTCCCCGACTAAACCCCACCAACAATGTCTTTTCAGGCACAGGGTAATTTCTGCCTTGAGTGTAGCTGGGATGGACTAAGCATTGATGGCAAAGAGACGATAGACTCAGGCGATCCATCCAAGTTTCAATGGAACTGTGTGGACGAAGCGCAGCATTCAGCGCTTGCCAGATGCAAAGCTGATGCGGCTTGCTGTGAAGTGGATGACTGCTCAGAAGATTGTGAGGCCGATTGTGAGGCCGATTGTGAGGCAGACTGTGGGTCATTATGCGACGGTCTTGTTGATTGTGACGCCTCGAGCGTCTGCTCCGCTGCGCATTGCGACGAGATAAACTGCGAGAGTGTAGAGCCTCTGTGCTACGAGGACCATTGTTGCGACACCAAGGAGCAAGCTTGTGATTTTGATACTTTCTTTGGTCTCAAAAATTCGCTGTCATTGAATACGTCGGATATACTGCCGCCCTCCACGATTGGTGCTCAAACTATCGGCGAGCTCAGCAAAGAAGTCATAGACCGTACTCTACCGAGTGCCATTGACCCATGCTATCATCAAGAATTTCTGTCCTCGTATCAGAGCCATGCGATTCAGTGTGATCAAAATGTGTCTTATCATTTTGAATGCCATGACTTTCAGAGGGACTTACACGACATGTTCACCCAGCAACAATTCCCAATACAGACCGAGGTCAATCCAGAGGAGGTCTTTCAAATGCTTGGAATGTGCCCAGAATATAATATTGGTGACGAAAACCATATTCTCGAGCAAAACCCCCATCAAAATCAACTCGAAAGCCCAAAAGAAGATATTTCAGTCAATGCTATGTTCTTCCACCCAGAACACCATCATGTCCACGACCAATTCAAAGTCCCTAATGACCTGAACCTTCAAATCGCCCGAGGTCCCCATCGCACCCAGCATCGATGCCATGACCACCACCACATGCACCCGCATTCTTATTCCCCCTATCCACGCCAGTCTCGGCCAAGTCTCAGCTCACGTCTTCAATCAAGCCCTAGAGAGACCCCACCCCCTCTAGAAGGAGATGGCTCTTCCATCTTGACCACACCTGACCTTTCGGCCGAAGACTCCGATTTTCGTATATGTAGGTGGACATCCCAAATCCATGGAGTCAAAACTCCCTGTGGTGCCACATTCACAGACTCTGGTGCTCTACAGGAGCACCTAGCCTCCAGCCACATGCACACTGTTGATGGGGCCAGGGGCAATGGATACTATTGCTGCTGGGAAGGATGCCACCGCCCTGACGAGCCATTCTCACAAAAATCCAAACTTCAGGGTCATTATTTAACCCACAGCAACTGTAAGCTTTATCTAAACTTCTCTTTTCTGCATTACTAACTTTTAATTAGACAAGAATTTCAAGTGCTCTGTGTGCAGAAAAACCTTCGCACGGCAGGCAACCTTGGATCGCCACGAACGCAGCCATCGTGGCGATAAGCCCTTCCAATGCAAAATTTGTGGGAAAACATTTACAGACAGTAGTGAACTGAGTATGTCCATTGCCTCAGCTGGTCACGTCCCACCGCTAATTTCTTTTGCAGAAACACACTCACGAACTCATACTGGTGAAAAGCCATTCAAATGCACTTATCCAGGATGCAATTTCGAGACAGGCGATGTATGTGTTCCAATGGGCTTTTGAGAACTTGACTAACTGACATCATCTAGTCCTCAAACATGTCCAGCCACAGACTCAGTATGTTTCAAATACTATCATGCCCTTGATGAAAACTTTTCTAACATCAAAATAGCACATGGCGAACGAAAACACAAATGCGCTTATCCGGGATGCACCAAGAGCTTTACTCGACCTGGTATGCTTATCGCATTCTACATTATATATGTCAAATGCTAATATCCCCTCTCGCCAGACCAGTTAAAGCGCCACCAACGCACCACTCACAAAGGCGATCCATCTAGTTTCCTTCCCTCACCAAGTCCAGACCAGCCATTCACCTTCGCCTCTTTCGAATAAATCCATCTCTCACTTCCTCAAAATCTCACTTTCCGACTTCACTTCCAACTTATGGCCATCTCGGCATGGCATGGCGTCACATACGACCTGGTGTACATAGCCATGCTAAACTGACATTGGGTTTGACCTGGTGTCGACTCTACTTTCCTGTCTTTTTCCCTTTAATATCTACAGAAGAAAAGAGAATCGTTTATTCTTAACAAGTTTGTCCAGACTTCAATGTTTCTGGACTACTCTGACCTAATCATGCTGCGCTGCTTGATTGATGATTATCAAAAATTGTAGCAGCAATATTTTGAGTTTTTTATTGATGATACCCGAATCGAAACCATTTATCAGTCTTGCTTATGAAACAGTGATTACATCCATTTAATGACAACCCAGTAGAGTATCAGGATAAGATAGAATAATTCAAGAAGGAACAGCCCATCCACTCGCTAATTACTCCGTACAATACCACAACCATGAAACCTCCCCAAGCCGAGATAGAAATACAAAAAGGAATGGAAAGAAACACTTCAATCAGCCTTAGTCCTCTCTTCCAAAAGCTGCACTGCGTTCCTCAGCTCCCTAATGCGATGCGCAACACGTTTCCTAACTTCATCTCTGACCGAATCCGAAACTTCCGCAGGGTCATAAGCAGGGTCAACAACGCGAGTTCTAGGCCCATGAAGTAACTCCTCGCCAGAAACAGGCACCCGATCCGGCCCAGCTAGGATACCCGTATCGTGATCACCTTCGCGCGCAGTATACAAATAGTATATGGCACATAGTTCATTCAGGGCATCACGCGCGGAGTCCCGGTCCGAGGCAGCGTAGATAGTAGCATTATCAGTGCTTTCGGTAGCGATTTCAAACTCGTCTTTAGTCATTTCGTACAGGTCTTCCAGCTCGGTGATTATATTGTCGGCTGTTGGTGCTGTACTTGTTGAGTAGGGTCGCTGAGCTATGGCGATGGGTGATTGGAAACCTGTGTGAATGGAGGAGAATTGGGCTGTTGGAAGTTGATATTGGGTCTGTTTGAGACTTCGGGTCATTTGAAGAGAGCGTGTTGCTGTTGTATGACGCGAGCATATGCTCCATGGATACTGGAGTGTGCGGAGTAGATGCGCTGGTACTCTTGTGCGTGGGAGGGACATGTTTGCGGGTATGGTCACAATGGGGTTTATAGCAGATATTGCGCAGCTCTAAGTCCAAGAATCAAATGTTTAAATGTTCTGTAGATTGATTACAGTGCTTGGAGATATTACGGGGCAATCCGGGGCGACTTAAGAAGGGGGAAGCTAACTACCGACTGAGGCAAAGTAGTCGTATGAGGGTCCGGATGACGTCATTCTACCGACAATGCCACTTTTGGATTTACTCCTTTGAAGTAGACTAACCATTTATGAGAAAAAGATGATGCAATTCAATGATGAAATTCAATATACAATCAATTCAGACAGACCAAGAATGAAAAAAGTAAGGAAATTAAAAAAAGAGTGGAGTAGTATCAGCACGTTATCCTATGTCCCGAACAGGAGCATATCTCAAAAAACAGCAGAAGAAATAGAAAGTAGACATCTCTATAGATGCATCTAGCATGTGTTAATCAATGTCGAGCATAAGCACGATCACATTCAGCGATGAGTCTGTAAATGCCTTCATCACCATCATGTTCTGTCGAGCTCTCCTGTAATCCGGAGCTGGTCTCCGGGAAGTATACGCGATCTCCGAGCTCACTAATATTGATGCTAGAGTAAGCGGATTGAGAAACCGATGCCCACGGATTCTCGCCGAAGAGCTCGCGGTCATTAAAGCTGATGGTTTCAGGGGTAAGCATGTTATGCCAATCAATGTCATCGGTTGATAATGTTGGCTGGTGCGAGGTTTTCTCGAACAAAGAATTGTCCGATGAAGATGTAGAGGGAACGCTAGGAGCGAATGGGAACAGTAAAGCAAGATCTGCCCCGACACGACGTTCGAAATCTTCGTCCTGTGAGATGCGGCCGCGTTGGATACCAAGGTCGTCGCAAAGACGCTCTACAGTATCCGCATCACAGCCGGGAAATCGAATACGGATGGTGGAGCGGTCAAGCAACTCAATCGGGAGGTCACCTAATGTTTGAAGACGTTTGATGTCATTCATCACTACGGCAAACTCCTTCAGGGCGCGAGCGAAATCAGCTGATAGCATGTCCACGAGACCCTCGGAGTGCAGGGTCTGGCTAGCACTGAAAGCAGTGATGGTAGGTGAAAACTGGAAGTCGATATGCGATCCAAGAGAATTGCGAGGGATGGAAATCATCTTTCGGCTGGCCTGGTCTTGTAGCGCACTGACGGCGGAGTATCGATTCTCGCCGGTGCGTGGATCAATGCCATCGTATCGAACTTTCTGACCAGATAGTAAGAAAGCGCGGATGCCCTGTGAAACATTGTGAATCACCTCCGCTGGGGCTGTAGGGCTATGAGAGAAGTATCGAGCCCCGCCGCGAGCGTAGCCTCCAGCAGTGCGACCAAGAGTGCCACCGGTCAAGTTGGGACGAAGAGTCGAAGCGAATGGAGCACGGCTAGTCATGCGACTGATATTAGAGGCGACACGAGTAGACCTGTAGGCTGCAGCCTTAGCTTGAAAGCCAAGAGTCGAGAAGCGGCGACTCTGAGCCTGGCGGATGGCAGCAGCCCGACTAATAGGCTGGCAATTGATACGGGCATAGGCAGGCTGATATCTCAACGCAGCTTGATATGGCAGGGTGTTTTCTGGTAACTTGGCTCTTATGGCCTTTGCAGCCTTCTCATAGGCAAACCTGATAAATGGTTAATGCGTCATAGGTGAGTAGATATCGACGTCTTTGGTTGTTACATACCTGGCTACTCTCCATATCTTGGGGAGCAGCAGGTGCCCATTTGCAGGCGCCATACTGATTATCAGAGAATGGAATCAATAAAGACTATAAGGGAGGTGTAAGAAGTGAGTGCCTGAGGGGGAGGGATGGTCTTATCAGCGGGCCTAAAGTAGTAAGTGGCGCCGCACAGCCACATATACGTGATTGGTTTAGATTTATAGTCTCTCATTAGTGATAAATTGTGGATACTATGATCCACTTTAGCCACATAAAGCCACAGAGTAATTCCTTGGCTGTTGAAATGATCAGAATTAGCGCCTTGGCGAAACTTGAAATACACACGGCATTTTGTTATTACCACTAAGAAGCTAAGCCTAAATAGGCTTAGTTTATCTTTATTTACATCTTTCTCGCCTAGAAGAGAATGTGGTAAATAATACCATTATGCGTGTTCTTTATTATAAGATAGCTTAGTAATATATGGTAAATAGCCAATTATAGTCTCAGGTCTAAGGCGCTAATTCTGATCATTTCAGCAGTCAAGGGGATAGCCTATCATAGATAAGGGCTTTTTCTACTGTTCAATGTAGACGTTTATTCACGTGGTGACTGAAACATCTGAGAGAGCTTCGTTAATAATTCAATATATTTATAACTTTATTTTGTTCGTGGGTTGGCATTCGACCCTCGTCATCAGTCAGGCTCTGAGTGCTTCCAAGTCGCTGGCAATTGAATTCCCGCCCAAGCGAATAGGGATATTCAACAGTCAAAGTCATTTTAAAGCTCATTAGATTTCCAACTTTCATGACAATGGGCACAACAGCACCGTATTCTTATGGTTAATATCAATAACCGGCCCAACGCCTTTAATGGCCAGGTTGATAATCTAAATCGCACTCAAAATTCAATGCGAGTGAGTATTAAGCATCAATAGCTGAAGTTAATGAATAGGAGCCACAATTATAGCTATTCAGTTAGGTTTCCCTCCACCGTTATGTGAATACAGAGACTTTTTTATATGATGGGATAATATTTACTATCAATCTCCTCAGATTAGATTATAAAAACTGTAAACATTTATGGAATCTTACCTCACCCTTTACATTAAAATATTTCTGGTCTGATACGTTCAATATCTTCTTCCTTAGGATCAAGGAGTCAGAGCTACGTCTTCTATAAGCTTGTCATCTATTCTGCTTTCTTCCCACTCGGATCACTGAGTGGTCTGGTCCCTTGAGGGGAGAATAAATCCTCGAGTCCGTCATAAAGACAGGTACTAGTTCGATGAAGGGCTGAATCTGTATACTGTGGTTGGGGCGATCAGGTGGGAGCACATCACGAATGCTGGTCAGTGGGCTCCGACTCAGAATAACTACCACGGTAATATGAGTCGATCCGCGATAATTATTGTCCTCAAAATGTCTAACGAATCAAACGCCAGCTCATCTACAACCTATCCCGTGGAATGCACTGACTGCATTCTAGCAACCGTTTGTTTGGATAAATCAAGGTCTACCAATTTCTTGAAGCCTAGTATTACCCCTCTATTTGCCCCCTCTTGCATCTAATAGGTAATTCGCCATCTGATCTCTCAGTGAGAGTACCCGTTGTGGATCTCGTTCAATGTGCTGTATCATCCCGTAAGCCCGTAATAGAATACATGCGTCGATATAGATATGTATATTGAATTTTATATTCGATATTGGAATTTCATAGCAACCTTAAGGGAAAACTGTCACAATTTAATTGTACCCGATGATAGTCACATATGATACACTTTGCCAATCACACATGGCCCTCATTCGTGAAAACTAATGGCCGTAAAGCCCCCCATCTGCGTGGTAGCTTTTGGATCAGAGGCAAAAGCCTTTCTAACCTGCTCCCTAGTCCACATCAACGCTGAAACTCCATGAGTTGTACTCTCTCGATAATATCCTAACCGCCGCAGCAACGGGCTATCAATGACCCGCAACCCCAACCGGTCACTCGGCCGTACAAAGTATAAAACCCCCAGCCGGTCTCCGGATGACTGGTCCTCAGGAGGAGCTACTACGCGATGGAGACCACTCTTGAGATACCCGTTAGTGACAATCTCAATCAGGTCAGCACTATTCACAACTGCCGTTCCAGGCCGAATTTTCACGTATTCCCAGTCCGATACCTTGTTTCTTTTAACCTGCAGCCCCGCAACAGGCTGGTGGAAGACAAAACTTAAAGTCCCTCTGTCGGTGTGGCCACGGAGATAGATATTCTTGAACTTTTGGTTCTCTGCGGGTGATCGTGCTCGCGTCATCATGTAGCGGATGTGACTGTCACAGTTGGATTCGTAACGATGGCCATCCACGAGATAGAATTCGGGAATCTCCAAGGCAATGGCGATAAGCCGCAGGAGTTTGTACGTGATATGCTCGTGGACGTGGCGATGGAACTGGCCAATCTCGTTCCAGTGGCGGCAAAGGACTTCCGGGTGCGATTGCTCAAATTGTGGTAAGAATTTTAGGATGTTGTAATGCTCAATATTGTCCCTGAGGCCGGGCTTGACTTCTGTAGCTCCAGCGGGCCGATAGCCATTGTATATGCCTATCATACTGTTAGATAATTTCGTTTAGAGAATCAGTATGGGATATTACCGTCTTGCTCCATAGGCCCGCGGTATTTGATTTTTTCGGAGTAAGGAAGTGTATAGAAGTCTCGGGCGATTGCAAATTGTCGATTTACTTCTTCTTCAGTAAGGCCAAAATTGGTGATGTAGAAAAACCCTGCCGCCATTTTAGCATATATCCAGCTGTTTCAATGGCAAAAAGGAAGCAATGAAGAAGCCTACCTATTTCGGTCAACGCATTCTTCAGCTGCGCTGCCAATATTTGCTTTCCGCCTGGACGATCAAACTCCCCAAGATCGATGGTAACCAGGTCGGCATAGGTTACTATAGTACGTCAATATTTCAATGCACACAGTCTTATGGGTTTAGAACACGGACGTTGCTGCTTTGTCTCTGGCGCATGGACATATGGCACTAGAGACGGCGCATCCTCTTCATGACCAATCATCTGTGACTTGGTACTGCTGGATTGCATGATGGATGGAGATAATCTCCCGTCGGAGATGATGAGATAAGAAAGTGAAAACAAGAGTTTGTTCCAATCGGAGGTATGAAAATGATGAAGGAGGGAGTTATCGGCACCTTTTATAGCCCAATGGTTATCAACTAGCCCTGTGTGAATTTCCAACGTTGTCTTACTCGGGAAGGGTATTAGTCAAGTCGGTTTTACCAAATCATGCCGTTAATGCTACATAGATCGCGTATAGAGATATCGTGGGCCTTCACGTTCCCTCAATTTGTGTGACATGTTTATAATGATGCGAGCATGTATGAAATTGGGATAGATGCTCATCACCGATATCAATCTACAGCGATGAGGTTGCACTAAACTTCGAGCCAATCTAGGATAACGTTGCATCATGGCAAATAAGCTCATCCGAGCCGACAATAGTACTAAAACCATCAACTCCGTAAGCGGTGTTGGCCGAACACGGCCGAAGAATTGATACTGAAGGGACGGTGACTGGCCAAAACATACGAATTTAGGTAGTAAATGTACGTGCTATATCATCTGTATCATCAGTCGTAGTATCTATAGGCCAAGCCAAAATCGGGTCCTGCCGACCTCAAATTTACCCCGGAGCTCCTGGTCACCAGTACCGGTGATCAGGACTTCGTATTCACCCTTCTTAGAGATCTATGGCCCGCGTTGCTCGTCCCACCAGCTCCTCGCAAGCTTCTTCTCGACAGTGAGTTTTACGGTTTGAGATTCACCGGGCTGGAGGAAGACCTTGAAAGCCTTGACTTCACGAGCGGGACGGTTGACGTCAGTCTTCGGAGGAACGATCTAAAGCTGTACGATTTCAGCACCTGCGATGGAACCGGTGTTTGTAACGGTGACAGCAGCGGTGACGGACTCTCCGGACTCAGAGAGCTTGGCCCCCTCGGGAACGGTCTTGATATTTAGATCTGACCGGGCGAAGCTAGTGTAAGATAGACCGTGACCGAAGGGGAAGGCAGGAGCAAGATCGGTCTTCTCAAAGTAGCGGTAGCCCCATAGATATATCTTCGCCATATAACACACGGCCACGCTCGGAGCGGAAGTTCACGTTAGAGGGATTATCTTACAGACGATGGGGGAATGTGACTAGCAATTTTGCGGAGGGTTCACGTCGCCGCAGAGCACATCTGCGATACTGTTGCTACACTCGTCACCGCCGAAGCAGGCCTGTACCACGGCGCGCGCATCTTTTACCAAGGGCATTGTAACGGGTGTGTCAGACTGGATCACCACAGCGATGTTTGGGTTCGCGGTCAATACACGTGTGATGAGTTCGTCACTGCCCGAGGCAGATCCATGTGGTCAAGATCGTAACCTTCGGTTTCCCATTCGCTGATTAAGCCTGCGAAGATGACAGCCTGCTCGGCTGTCTTTGCCTGCTCCACGGCGGAAGAAGGCAGAGCCCTGCTTCTGGTTCTTAATGTTGTCCACCACCACCTCACCATCAATGAGCAGGCGGCCAGTACCCAAGAGTCCATGGTCAAGTGTGCAATACATGGGACAGAGCACGGCTCTGACCACCAATGAATTTACCAAAATCCAACGAAGAGCGGCAATCCATATCAGCAGAGCATTTAAATCAACAAGTGCGGCCGCACTGAATATAGAACTCCACCTTCTACCGATCAAACTAGGTAGATAGGATGTACCAGTCTTCGATTTTCAATTTCCAGTGCTGACAATCTTAACCTCTAGGGCTCCGACTACTCATGTTCCTGACACTTTCAAAATACACAGTACATATTACTTATCTAGACTACCTAGACAAGACTTTGAAAATATATTGATGAGATATCATAATTTATTCATTAAATCATTTAGGGATGATCAAGCAAGTCTAATAATCTAAATTTCCCATTTACTCATCATCACCAAAGAAAACCTTGACTCCCTTAGGCAGCCAGGCATCACCGCAAACCTTGAAGCGATCCTTGAGATTATCCAGCTCGTTAACCTCATCATCGGTCAGATTCCAACCATCAATCTCGTAGTTGGCATCAATGCGAGACTTGCTAACCGACTTAGGAATGACACTCCAGCCCTTCTGGATACCCCACACCAGCAAGACCTGCTGAGGAGACTTGCCTTTCTTCTCGGCGAGCTTCAGAAGAGTAGGATCCTTGTAAAGAGGCGAGTTGGTAGAACCGAGGCAGGAGTAGCCAGTAGAGTGGATACCCTTGGATGTGTTATAGGCAACCAGCTTGGGGGAAGGATTGTTGGGGTGAAGCTCGATCTGGTTGACAGCAGGGATGATCTTGGTGCTAGGGTCATTGAGCAGCTTCTCCAAGTTCTTGATGCCAAAGTTAGAGACACCAATGTTGCGGACCTTGCCAGTAGCAGGCAGCTTCTGCATCTCTTGCCAAGTCTTGATGAAATCCCAGTCTGGCACCGTCTTGGTGGTATCCTCGGGGTCGGTAGCGCAGGGCCAATGGACCAAGTACAGATCGACATAGTCGACTCCCAGATCCTTCAGCGAAGAGTCAATACCTTCCGCCACACGGTGATGCCAGGTGTTATTCAGCTTTGTAGTGAGCCAGATTTCCTCACGGGGAACGCCAGAGTCACGGATACCCGCGCCAACTTCGGCTTCATTGCCGTAAGCCAAAGCCGTATCGATGTGTCGGTAGCCCTTTAGTAGGGCATCCTTGACAGCCGAACGCACCTCATTGGGCTGTGACTGCCAAGTACCCAAGCCGATGGCAGGGATCTTGTCACCAGTGTTGAGGGTAAAGGTCTTTCTGTTGAAGGCGATTGGTTAGTTTTAACCTACTAATAGTGGAGTATGAGAGCTTACTGAGTGTGTTGGTTGGACATTTTAGAATATTATCGATGGATGTAGTAGAGAGGAAGAAGAGGAAACAAGAATCAAGGAGAGAGAGAGAGAGGGAGAACAGATTTATACCTTACAAGGGTAGAAGCAGATGGGCAATAAAGTGGGCAGGTCCACCCCTCTAACTAGTTAGTTAACTAATTGATATGACGATTATCTAACCCGGCTAAATGTAGGGTTCCACTCTCTACCATTATTGGCCCGGCTCTAGTCAGTCAACCAATCAAGAGTAGTCAATAATATCCATGGATGTCAAAAGATCTTGATGAGCTTGTTGCTTCTATAAATTGTACTGCTGTAATGCCATCCATGATCGTTGTTGAAGTCACAGTTCATACAATTTTGAGATAGATGTTTAGTATGCTGAATACTGGTAGTAGAATGAGTTTTTAGGATGCTTGTTTGTCTCTATAATCATTCTTTATGTACAGAGCTTCAAAGAATATCTCGTTACCTAGGTAGTTTATCTTCAGAAGGGAGATCTTGAACTCTCTCTGCTAATTTAATAGCCAAGGCGATAAAAGCCAGTATAGGCTTCAAGTCTTAAGTAGGTTCGGATAATTAACTGAGAATAATGCTTAGAAGTGAACATAAATAGCTAAATAGTGAATAGATAGATTCCTGAGTACGTGTAGAGTGGGGAAAGTGGACTATTGAAAAAGAGGGGTGCTTCCGACCGCCTTTAGCAGAAATCACGTCAATTACTCCTCACGCCCATTTCTAGAAACTTCGCTACCATTGCGCCTTTTCATTCGTCTCAGCTGCGATCTAACTCCTGTCGGTCCATTTATCTAAAGAAAATCCGGTACACCCCGCTTCAAACCCATTAATCTGCCGGTTAAATACCTCCTCCCGACCTTGCATTATACCCGAGCCTAGGACTCGGGCTGTCACACCAATAACCGAGCTTCTTTTACCCCGAACTTAAACCTGTGTCGTCATGTCTTCGGGATTCGTGTCGGCTGGTACCAGTGACCAGCAAGTCGACCACCGGAGCGACGAATGGATCCAGGCGCAGAAAGAGTTGGAGGAGGAGCGCAAGCGCAAGGCTGATATCAGCAACCAAAAAGATGGAAAGAGTCTATTTGAACAATTGGAGACAAACAAAAGTATGCTTCATCTGACCATTGCCTTTCGTCTGCATTCCAGATAATTGTCCCGACTCAAAGATTCTCTGCTGATATGTTGGTGATCTTCTAGTGGCAAAACAGGAAGCATTTGATGAAAAATGGCGCCTGAAAAATCAATTCCGCTCCCTCGACGATGATGAATGCGAGTTTTTAGATTCCGTGCTTGAGTCCACGCGTGTCCAGGAAGCTGCAATTAAGAAGGATACGGCCGATCAGCTGGAAGCCTTTCGCAAACAACGCGAAGAGGCTGCACAGGCATTACTAGATTCGACTTCATTGGAAATTGAACCAGCGCTAGATAATGAATGGTCCATCCCTTCACGCAAGAGACGACGTGAAAAAGCCAATAATCATCTGCTACTGACTGGAAAGAAGAGAAAGGCATCTACAGGACAGGAGTCAGATCAAGCTGAGAAAAAGACTGATCCATCTGGCACTTCAACTACAGTGTCAGGGGGTACACAAGATTCGGCAGCTAAGGATGTAAAGCAAATATCTGCAAATTCGGAAATTTCCAAGACAGATAAGAGTCAATCAGATAAGCAGCCTTCTAAACCAGCCTCGGTCTCGCGCCCCCTGGTTGCATATGGATCTGATTCTGATTCTGAATAACTAATTTTCATCAAAAAAAAATATGACAATCCGCCTTTGAAGGTTTCCGATGACCTAGCTATTCCATAAAATAGTTTCCGAGCTAACGAGCTAGCAGCAGCATCGAAAGCTTCCATGAATGACTATCTCCAGCTTATACTACTCCACATGCATCGCTTCATGCTTGGCTTCGTGCTCCACCTTGTGATGCTCCAAGTCACGCGGCAAGTAATCCTCTCTCTTCATTCCAGGCACGATCCATGGCGCATTTGAGAAAATCCGATTCATCTCTTCCAGTGGAATCTTCTTCGTCTCCGGCAAGAGGAAGTAGAAGAATACTGCATTGGTGAAATTGCAGATGACAAACAGGTAGTAGTACTTGTAGTGGATAGAAGACATAGCAATGGGCGTGACTTGGCCAATCATCGTATTGAAAGCATACGAAACCATCGTCACAATGGAAACACCCTTTGCACGTGTGCGTGTATCGAATACCTCGGCGGGAATTATCCATGACAGTGGTCCACAAGTGCATGAGAAAGAAAAGTTATATAGCCATGTCATGATGATGAAGCCCCAGTGAGCACCGGTATTGTTAGATGTTGGAGGGAACCTTGCCAACAGGACGGTTGCGATGATAAAGGTCACCATGTTGCCCAAGTTTCCACCGATCAGGGTCCAGCGTCGACCAGCCCGATCAATCAGCATCATGCAAAGGAATTGAGCAATCAGGGCGATGATTGAGTTGATGGCCTGGTATCGCAGTGTGTCTTCGCCAGAAATACCGATCTGTCCATAGATCGTCACAGAATAGTACCTGGAAAGGAGGGTTAGTGGGGTCTATTCCTTTTTCAAGGTTGGGCTCTTACTGAATGGCAGAAACTCCAGTCATTTGCACTGATGCTTGTAGAGCACAGCAAAGGAAAAGACGTCGGAAGGCCGAGCGACTGCTGAACAGTTCGGCATACGATTTGGCCTCGGTTTCGTGCTCAATGGCGATGGTCTCTTGAATTCGAGCATATTCGTCCTGCACCCAGGGATCTTGCTCGTTACCATGCGCATGCAGCTTGGCTAGTGTCCGCAATCCCTCTTCGGCACAGTCGTGATCTATAAGCCAGCGAGGCGACTAAAACACACATTAGAGGTTGACGCAGACCACAACACTGCCAAAAAAGACGAACCTCAGGGAAAAATATGATCAATATACCCAGACACACGGCAGGAAGCAGCTGAAGACCCAGTGGCAACTGCCATTGAGCGTCATCGGTCTCGGCAAACCCAATGTATGTGCCATAGCTTATCCAACTGGCGCAGAGAGATCCAACTCCAAGCATGAATTGCTGAAGGGCTGTCACTCGACCACGGATGTTTGGATGACAAATTTCAGCCTGATATAGCGGAATCACCATGGTCAGGAAGCCAACTCTGTATACACTGTCAGTTTTTTTCAGAGACGCAGGGGTATGCTCCACGACGAGAATTAGGGCACTTACCCGAAGCCGGCAAAGAAACGTCCCGAAAATAGGAATGAGAGAGACTTAGCACCAGTTTGTAGACCTCCACCCAAGCAAAAGAATAGACAGCCAAGAGAGATTGTCTTCCGTCGGCCTAAGTAATCACCACTAGGTCCTGCAAATCCAGCTCCGAAGAAGGCACCACAGGTAAACATGGAGACAACTAACCCGCTATTCAATAGTCAGACACTTTCCAGACACTTTCCATACACATGTATGCTGTATGTTGTCAATGTTCCAAGATGAGACTAACGTTTGCGTAGACCACCTGGAGGCGTCTACTTTGTCAAACTTTGACACGAAAGATGGGCAGACGATGACCTCTGCAATGACACCCAAATCATCTTGTTCAATGTTAGATACTTCCACGATATTGACTGCAGCCAACTGATAAGAAACATACATCCATAGAGAAATGAGCCGAGCGACGCGAACACTCCAACCAGAAACTATGCCCTGAATTAATTTTGAACATGTACCCAGGTACCCTGCACCTTTGAAGATCATGCACCTACCTGGTACCATGCCGGTGACAGACGCATGGTTAATATCCCTCTATAATATTCCGACTATAAAGCTTTGAAAGTTCCAACGATCCAAAATATGGGGAAGAAAATCCGGGGATCTCCACACATTTTAAATCCTTTTTGCGGGGGAATGTTATTTTCGACATGACTTTCAAAACTGCAAGCCAGAGCGTAGAATGAGGGGCTTCAGAAGCCTCTGAAATTCTACTAAGTCCCCCTCTTCAAGCCACGAAAAATAACCGAGCTATAAACTACAACCTTAAAAATAACCGAGATGAGGATAATAGAACTACTGCAGCAGTCGTACGAGTATAAGTCTCTTTTGGGCTTATAAAGCCGAGATGAAGCCGAGCGGATGGAACTCTAAAATAGTTCAACGACCCCGGCATGCATCCTGCACCATGATTGATGGGAATGAGAGTAGTGGCATTTACCCCGCAGATAGCTTCCATTTTGAATCAAGCAACCATAGCGCTTTTTAAGTCACAAGGTCGTAAGTCACCTTTTCGATCCATTTCATTTACCCCGGTAACCGATGCTATTAGCCGACCAATACCAAGGTATTTCTACTCGTCTTTAAAGTCTCTCTCCCACGGACGATAGGTGGAAAAAAACATCTTGGAAGGCGCTACATCTTTCTGTCATGACTTCCTTTACCAAATTGAGCGAGCAGGAGACTCCTGTCATCTCCGTTCATCCTTCGCGCCGGATCTCAAAGATCAACCCTAACATCTATGCCGGCTTTACCGAGTGAGAGAAGTAACTTCTAGTTGCATGATTTCGGTACTGATTAGTTCACAGGCATATGGGCCGATGCATTTACGGTGGCATCTACGACCCAGGAAACCCGCTTTCCGATGAAAAGGGGTTTCGTAAGGATGTCCTAGAGGCTCTCAAGGAGCTAGACATCCCTGTCGTTCGGTATCCAGGTGGCAACTTCTGCGCTACTTATCATTGGATCGATGGTGTCGGTCCTAAGGACCAGCGACCTGCTAGGTAAGTCGTGCTTGTGATACTTTCCCAATGATCATATGCTGATATTACCACAGACCAGAGCTTGCTTGGCTCGGGACAGAAACCAATCAGTTCGGAACAGATGAGTTCATGCAGTGGTGTGAAGCCCTAGGGACTGAGCCCTACCTGTGCTTTAACTTTGGAACTGGTACTCTGGATGAAGCCCTGGGTTGGGTGGAGTACTGCAATGGTACAGGAAACACGTATTATGCCAATCTCCGACGGAAGAATGGTCGTGAGGAGCCATACAACGTATGTTATATTCCCCGATTAAAGATTATTCATGGGTTCACTGTCTTATACTGAAAAGGTCAAATACTGGGCACTTGGAAACGAATGTTGGGGTCCATGGCAAGTGGAGCAAATGACCAAGGAGGCATATGCTCACAAGGCACTGCAATGGGCCAAAGGTTAGTACCCAGGTGTATATATGACTCTAGCATCTGAAGCTAATTATGTCCACTCCAGCTCTCAAGCTCCTAGACCCGAGTCTTATTCTCATTCTGTGTGGTCAGGATGGCACAGCCTCATGGGACTATTATACCCTGAAGCAGTGCCTCCTACCCGCATTTTCAGCGCTCTCTACAAGCACAGTCCCTCTGATCGACATGCACAGTATTCACCTGTACACATGTTCCTCATCCCATCTACCTAACGCAACAGCTCCACTAGCAGCAGAGCGTGCAATTGAGATAACATCCTCTCTAATCGATCTCGCGCGGATCGAAAACGGGGTTCCGCCAGACCAGCTCCGTCCGACAATCTGCTTCGATGAGTGGAATGTCTGGGACCCTATACGCGCAGAGGGCAGCAAAGGCGCAGAAGAGAGCTACACTCTCTCTGATGCACTGGCTGTTGCGGTCTGGCTGAATGTTTTTATCCGAAAAAGTCGTGATCTGGGCATGGCTTGCATTGCGCAGACTGTCAATGTCATTTCCCCACTTATGACTACACCAGAGGGAATTACGAAGCAGACAACTTGGTGGCCACTTTACCTGTTCTCGCGCTTTATGCGCGGGTGGACCGTTAGCTCTCATGTCTCGTGTGGTACATATGAGGGCGAGACGGCGCCTAAGTGGTTGCGTGGGACTGTTGATACCCCGTGGCTAGATGTGAGTGCCTCGCTTGGCGATGATGGGTTCGCTAATTTGATGGTGGTGAATATTCATGAAGAGAAAGACTTTGAGACCAAGGTTGAAGGTACTACGGGTGCTGTTGCTGTATTTACAGTTACAGGTGGTGATGTTCTGGCGACAAATATGAAGGGTAATGAGGAAGTCCGCGTGCAGGAGTCTAGCTGGGATGGTTCTGGATCTTACGTATTCCCTAAGCACTCACTGACTCTTCTGAGATGGAAGGTTGAGTAGTTATATAGCGTAGAAGTCATAGGAATAAGCACAACTGATGATTAAGCTTAAACTGCATTAAATTCCCCGCATCTGTAAACTTTAAACTAGCCATACGTCACATCCCGAACAGTGTCATCATCTCCAAGATGAATGTTAAGCCTAATATATCAATTAGAGAGGTCCATGGATTCATTAGTTCAAATTTCTGGCAATCATACCTCTCGGGTTGGTGATCCATTGTTTTCATATCACCTGGCTTCAACACACGGTGGGACTGAGGGAGATCTTTCTTCGCGAACACCTATGGAAAGAGCAAGAGTTAGATTAGTCCCATTCTTGAATGATGGTAGTTGTTATGCTCAAGTCTTGTTTACATACCGTCTCATCGCTGTGAGAATCACCGATCTTCTTTCCCATCAGTTTGTTGACCCAGTCAGTCTTATCGCCCATGGCAGTGGTGACACCTGGTACAACGAGAGGCATGATGAACTTGAGGCAGATTATGTATATAGAGGTATCACTTATAGTGTTCTGGTTTCAAGTTGAAGCAAAAGATAAATGAGGAAGAGTTGTGAGAAAGGGAAAGTAACGTAAAAGCGCGCAAGGCATCTATATACTTATGCTAGACGATGACGTAGCGCTATCCGATAAGCCCAGCTTAGTCAAGGTCTAATATCCATTGAAGGAAAGTAAAATATTAATTTATGGACTCTTTTGAATTCAATACTTGTATCTGAATCTTAGATCTGTGACTGTCGTGGCTTGCGATTGAAGACGATGACGATATTTCCTGCCAGATCCATGAATATATTTAGGCGCTGTTTATGTTTTTGATTTTCTGATCATTTACCTCGTCAATCTCCATATCTACTACCCATGGATATTGCGGATAGTCAATAAACCTTGCGAATGATGTACATTTGTTGTTATAATGGGATGTGAAAGAGATTGAATCTTGACTGAGAGTGGGAAGGAGATGGAAGGAAACCCTTTGAAAGAGGATATCTGATATACTTCCAGATTGGATGGGCAGTCAATTGATATTGCTCCATTAAAAATACGCTCTAATTGTTAGGCAAAAGGCTACAGCACAATCGTTTTGATTTTTATCTTAATCTTGGAAAGCACTCAGGTGAAAATAGTAGATGTAAACTGGCAATCACGGTTTGCGGCAAGTTGGTCCTGCCTCTCAAGTCTCATTCCTCCACTCACAAATACTTCGATTCCATGTTTGTTTATTCTCTTGACAAATGCCATTCTACTGGGACTTCTACTGCTGGTTTCACTTTCATACAGCCGCAAGTATGGCCAGACACAACCAGGACAGCGTTCTGCGACCACATACATATGGTCTATCCAAAGACCAACTCGTTCTCAAACAGCTGCAGCCCCAGAAGATGGAACACACCCGAAAAGAGTTCATAGGTTTTAATAGAGGGTTCGAGACAAGAGACAAAACAAAACTGCCTGTTAGCCCTCTGCAGGGTGAATATGAAGCTGACAAGCGCTTCTGGACAACCACCGTCAAGTCACTCACAGGGCCACGCCATATTTCGGAGGATGAGACACGTTTCACACCCAGATCGAACCATTACAACTGGAGCTATCGATATTGGTCCATCGCAACCGCCACTATCATTGGAACAATGGTGCTCGGAGCTCTCATGTTCCTTATCTACTGGTATATCAGACGAGCAAGACGAAGACGGCGCATGCATCGAATGCTCGACATAAGCGGGGACCCTTTCCACGCATCATCTCTCAGCCTGAACGAAGATACAAGCTTAACTCTGGACAGGTTCCTCATGAAGGATGTCCTACCCGAGCGCGCCTCTCTCATGTTCAGCCGGAGCCGCTCTCCTTCTCTCGCGTATGTGATGCATGACATCGAACACAATTCTTCGAACAAATTGTCTCGGCATAGTTACGACGCTTCGAGATCCAACCTGACAAAGCTTGACTGCTTGACTCGTGTCTCAATGGAGGAACCTCGACTTTCTCTAGGGCTATCGGATCGTACCCAGATCTGGTCGCTTGCCGGCAATGTTAAAGTACAGAAAGTTACAGTTGATAAGCCGCTGTTATCTATGTCTATAGCCCCTGTGACCCCCAGCTCCTCACAGGTATGCACATTGTCGTCGGCACCCACGGTGACCGAAGAGAGCTCGCTTCTCAGCCAAGATTACACTTTGACTTCACAATATTCTTGTCAAAATCTCCCGTCCAGCTCGAATAGCTCTCGTGTCTTATCCAATGCTTCGCGCGCTTCAAGCCAGCTTTCGAGAAGCAGCCTTCGGCGTTCTACGGGACACAGCTCTCGAAAGTCTTATATTACATCCCACAGTCATAGTCCCAGTCACGGCTTGTCATCTCCTCTCGGGGAGTCTTCCAGTTCTCATGAATCGCCATTGTTCTGACTTCCTGCGACTTGATGGCGTTCTTCCTTTTATACTCCTTGGCCTGAAATGTTATGTGGTTGTCGTACGCTTTTGCATGACTTGGGTGCCCAATGTCTGTCACTTATCAATTACGTTTGTGCTTTGTGTTTCAAAGGGGTCTCGTTTTACTTGAACCCTATTATAGCTTCCAAGGTTTCAAGGTTGTCTCTTTTAATTTTATTTTTTTTTGTAATAAGATGCACATGCTCCAGGGTATAGAAGTTTCATATTCCTCATTTAGCCAAAACGCTAAGGAGCTAGTGATGTAGGATGTAAAAAGATAAATGATGAAATCCGTCATGCGCCATACTTTGAAGTAAAAAAGCATAATACCTATCCGGGTAACAGATAAAGAGATCACGCAAGAAGCAAAAGAAGCAAAAGAAGGCAAAGAGGGAATTCCGAGCAGATGTCATGAGATATACAAAATAAGAAGTCCGGAGCTCAGCGAATATCACAAACGAGTAGAGAAAAATATCTGAGAAGATAGATTCCTGACGTAGAGTGAAAAGTGTAAAGGGTGTGAGCGCATTATTTCATCTCGCGTACACTAAGCAGACAACGCTCAATTCGTTTCCCACGCTCTTTTTCTCGAATGAGCGTCTCCTTCACAAATGCCCGGATTGCATCTCGTCCGACTTTCTCGCGCCACGTTGTCCAGCCCGCTAATTCACCGACAACGACGTCTTTGTTCCATGAGAGCTCCTTAGCAAGACGAACAGCTTGGGCTTCATTGTCACGGATCTTCTGCTCAAGCTCACGGGCGGACTTTTGACGTGATTCTTCAAAGCCGGGAAGGTTGATGTTGAACTTTCTAGGGAGCGATGCAGAAATGAGAGATGAGCGAGAGCGAGCAATGTTACGGTTTGTGGACGTTAAATTGGACATTACAGAAAGAGGACGGGAGAGAGCTGTGAGTATAGCTGCAGTCGTGTTGTCCATCGAGGTTAAGGCTGCGATGTATTGGAGAAGTGGAGATGAGTCGGAGCTTGAGGTAGACAGATAGGTTCCGTAGCGAGTGAAAGCTTCTATGTGTGCCAGAGGGAGGGCACTCGTAGGTTCCTGAAGGGTGGAAATTGCGGATGAACAGAGTGAAACGGCATCTGCAAGATCGGAGGCACTATTCTGAAGCGCATGTCCACGCCGGATGAGGTTGCGCGTGTTGGCGTGTACGCCACGCACCATATCCTGGGCGTGGGAGATAAACTGCTCTGTATCTCGCATACCATCAAGACTGACAGGTGAGAATTCATCGGCAATAGACTCGGTAAGCAAAGCTGCCTTCCGCCGAGATCGATCAGCCATCATGTCGAGCTGTAATTCGGGAACCAAGAAAAACTCCCAAAGCATTTCGTGCGTGGAAAACGTGGGGTGGGTGAGAAGAGTCTTGAGAAAACGATCTAGCTTCTCCTGGAGATCATGAAGCACAGATCGCGAGGGTTTGGAATGGATCTGGAACGGATTTCGGAAATCAGAAAGAGACGGCACATAGGACGCAGGATGCTCCACTGAAAGCCATTTGGCCAGATTCTCGAAGTCAGAGAAACTGCGGCGACATGTTGTAACCGTGTAAGTGGTTGACCCTGGTCGGGAAGAAGCTATTTTCTCCGACGGAGGATACGGTGCTCCGGATTTGAGAATAAAGCGCACAGTTGCATCTTCAACAAAGAATGACCTTGCGACAGTAGTAACGCGGCCTGAAGGATCACCGCACAACGATGGTGGATTCGATAGAAGAATCAAATCGTCAATACGATTCCTTACTTCGTCATCCTTAGCTAACTCCACAGCTGTCAACCCTCGGGCCTCCTTGATATGCACATCAACTCGAGGGTCCATGAAAAGGATTCGAACTTGATCTACTCGCCCGTATTTGCTGGCCATCATCAATGGCGTGAACTTCTTGTCATTCGTAGCATTGGGATCACAATCACTCTCTTGCAAAATTCGAGTTGTAATTTGGGGGTCACCGAGGATGTGCAATAACGTATTGCCCTTTGCATCGACATGATCATCTAATTGAAGAGGCTTTCCGTTTCCCTGCGCTCCTTGGGCCGCTGTCAAGGCAGATTGAACCATGGACCGGTATTGAGGGTGATCATAAGACCGGCAGAGGGCAAAGAGTGGGGTTTGCCCATGCTTGTCTCGCTGCCGCCATGGAATAAGAGGTGCAAGCCGAACTAGTAACGAAGGTGTGCTAAACAGGTAATGTCCAGCGGTACGGCCATGCACGTCTGACTTGGCCATATACCTAGAAATCACTCTTTCATCGGTTCTGGTGAACAGGAAATCCAAAATGACTTCGACAACATCGGTATGCGCAAGCTGAACAGCTGCGTTAAGCAGAGTTGTACCATTGATATTTGTATCTTCAAGAATATCCTCCAAAGGGTAATACTCTTCCAAGCTGAGAAGATACTTCAAAGCCTCAGTCTGGTGGGATTCCACTGCCATCATGGGGATGGAGTCTCCAGCTGGATCTTGAGTTTTGGTGAGTGTCTCGATAGAGCTATCACCCTCGATTCCGCCGGCGAGAGATCCAACAGTCGTAGTTCTGGAGAGGAAAGAAACGGCCGAAGACTCGGACATACTACGTACATTCATCGATACTCTTTTCACTGGTCGGTGAAGATTCTTCAAAGATGTTGTTTCATCCCAGGTCTGAAAAGGAAAAACGTGGGATAATGGCGGAGCGTCGCTAACCGCATCCTCTACTAGTGTTTCACGGTTAAGGATCACTGAACTGCTCAGCATAGAGGATGTGTCAAGGGCTGACTCGTCTAGCTCGTCAGAGCTGTCGGTTTGGAAAAAAACAGATTTTCGCACAGGCTCACAAGGAATGGCTTCGCTCACAGAATCATGGTCTTCATTAGGCTCCAGAATATTCTTCAATTCCGATATCCTACCGGCCTTGGTTGCTTGCCATAGACGTCGATTCCGAGCACTTGCACGACGTAGACCGGCTGAATCGGTGACCAGATACATCAGAACTGCTTCAAATGTGCTCAACGCGTAACCCATTTCACCATGATCGACATCGTCGATATAGATAAAGTGTTGCATGTATAGCAAACGGGCGTTAAGATGCCGAACTTGCGACCGAATCACGACGACCAGTAAGAGCGATACTAAAACATCGGCATTGATCGTTACAGATGATCGACCCTTTTCGGAAGTTGATGGGCCATCAACTTGATCGTAGCTACCAGGATATGAAACCACTTTGACTGTTTCTAGCAATATGTAGAGCATGTCATGGGGCCCTCTGGCATCTGCGATTTTTCGAAATTCTTCCACTCCGCGTATAAGTCGACGAATCAGTTCTCGTTTGCCTTCACGTCCATCTTCCGCACTAATTCCCACTTGCGTCACATCAATGCTTTCCATGTGTCGGATTCTTGAGTCTAGCTCCAAGTCTTCTGGCTGTCGGAAAGTACATAGACGAGGGAACAGTAAGTGCTGATGAACTTGTTCAGCAACATAACGCTCAATAAGTCGTTCAACCAGGGGACCAGTCAGGTCGGTTGTTGCGCCAAGTAAAGAGAGCTGTTGCTTATCAACGAGACGGAACAGATCAATTGCGGCAGTCACGGCAGTTTCAAGACTACGACGCATGAGATCCTCATCATCCTCAAAGTACTCATCCGAATTAAATGGTAAACGGCCCCGGCGAGATGACCAGCTGTGGATAGACGAACTTTCATCCATCAAGGTTTCCGTTCGAGAAAATCTGTTTTCGTGTTCGCTGCCAGAAGCGGACGGTGATCTTGAAGGTGGAGGAGGTAGTGGCTTTCCCAGTTCTTTACCAAACTCGCGAAACAAACGTTCAAGGCCTGGCTGCATTTGCCTTGCTATCATCGGAAAGTTTGACAAGAGATCGCCAAAGGATTTGATCTCTTGTTTCATTGGAGAACCCGCAGATTCATGATTGCCGCTCCTTTTTTCCGGCTGAGCTGGCTGGATGGGCTTTGGATCAGATCCGGGAACCACTGCTTGTATTATCTTAGCCGGATCGAATGATCCGATCAAAGGACGCGAGATGTAGTAAATGAGCCATGGCCGTGACTCGCTCTGAGGGGTGTAATAAAGGGCATCGGACAGAAGATGAGCTTGTGCCAGAGATTTGAAGCCTGATACAGATCGAATTAGCTCAGAGCAAACATCAACTCGAGTGCTGGATCGGCCCACCCTTATTGCTGTAGACCAAATTCTCCTTTATTATCACAGTCCTCCCATTAAATGTCGTTACTTGCTTTGCTTTTCCCCTGCTGTCACGAACATTTGATTCCTCCTTTCCATTTGGGCCTGTGTTGATCGGGATCCGCAGTACATGACTCCCCAGAAACTCCTCCGACGTAACAAGGTCCGAGTATTGAAGATTGGATTCCCGGTCGCGTGAGCCAACAAGGCACTCTGTCGTGGGAACAAGTAAGACCTAAACATAATATATTAGTATTTCCGATTTGATCCGAGGAATATTCAAACCTACATGGTTCTCCACGGGTATACACTGCCCCGGAACAGTGCTTCGAAAGAAGGCACGGAGAAAGGGATTTAGAGGGTGCATCCAAACGGTTTTGGACGGCCCAGCAGAAAGGGTCCAGCAGTCATCAAGCCGTCAGTATTAGATTTCGGAACGCGGGGCCGGGATTTGTGCGCTGGTAGTTTCGCGGGGAAGAGCTCCGGCGCATTCAACTGCAGGCAACAGTCCGGGGTTGTAGGATGGATCAGAATGGTTTCTTGATAACCCCAATCAGGTGAGAAGAGATATTGAGAGAAATTATTCGATGAGGCACAATTGCTAAGAACAACAAATAGTGAACGAAATGATAACAACGCGAAGAAGATATAAAGAGAGTGAGGTTCAAGAACGTGATCGCTGCGGGAGCTGATCACGCTATACCGCTTTAGGTAGATAAGGGGCTATCTAAATCAACAATAATGAGCAAACTACATAGTGAAATAGGGAACGCTCTAGGCAGCACGGTCAGGACGTGCAGGTTGGTTCAGCTAAGAAAAACCAACCACAACCACGAAAGAAAGCTTGATGAAAGTAGGGAGTCAAAAAGAGAAGAGGTGTGTAAAGGTGTCCATTCTATAACTATCTGTCATGGAGTTGATAATCGGATAATCATGTGACCCTTATGTAATACCCACATCCCCTATGATCAAGAATAAGTGAATTAGGAGCGAATCCATCACTAATCACCCCTAGTCCTAAGCCAATATTAGGCTAAGAAGATTCTCTGGATTATTCAGATTCTGATAAAGAGATCCAAGAACTTCGGATAATGTCCTATTATATGAAGATCAAGTATATACTCTAGAAGTATATCGGGGAAAATAAATAATAACTCGAGGAGTACGAAACCCCATCGAAACATCGCTACCAGGCTACTGACCGTGTTACAGTATGAATCCAGGAATTTGTACGCTGTAAAGATCCGATTGTTATAAGAAGAATTAACTAAGGAAGGGAAAGGGGTGCCGGGGGCCGGATGCTCTTGTGGTTCGTCCGGCTCCGCATAGGAACCACAGAGACTGGGCATATCATCGGGTATGGACCCGTTACATTACACCAATTTTTTTGATTTGGGATCAGACACCAATAGGCCGCAGTTTACATCTGGCTATATCCTTCTAGCCCTCGCACTTAAGCACTGTGCTCTTCTTAGTATAGATAATATAGTGGATCTGGCCGAGTATGATCTCTTAAAGGGGCCAATTCTATTACAATAGAAAAATTAATATTTGGAAAAGTCTATGCTTAGAAATTTTATACCTAATAGACCCAAAGATATATCGCTAGCGAAAGATATATTTGTTGAACAAGGATAGGCAGTGTGTGACAAACACTGGTGGTGTTTAATCTCCACAAACGAGAGGAATATCAAAGACGTATGGACACTCCAAATAACTATAATAGAGATAAGAGGAACTGTCGGTACACCTGTACCAAGTGTGGAATAGCTATTCGATAAAGGTGATGAGGCTAACGCCCACTTCTGACACCTATCACAGGTAACGCTTTACGCCCCTATGATATCTTTGTGTCCTCTTGAAGTGGTTGTAAAGTCTGGTTTTCATTCTTAGTTTGCTATCTATTATAAAGTAACAATTTGATCACATGACTGCTTTGTTCCATATTCCAACAGGAACCACTGATGAGGGAAGCAGAATTCAGATCAGAGAGAATAGCTTGTTTTATGTTTCGGTGGGAACCTAATTGGTTTAAATAAATCATCAGATGGAAAAGTGCGAGAAATGACTGTTGTATCTTGCCTTGAACAATGAGATTTTAGAAGTCCTATAGGCACCAAAATCTTTTAAGCCCACAAAAACAATGTAATTCACTTTGCATCCAGCAGGCACAGTCTTAGTGGAATACACGAGCCAAAATAAAATTTACTAGTTTAAGATATTTATCTACTTAATAGCTAACTATAGAATACCCCCTCACAGGTTGCCAATGAGGTTTAATTGGCTAATTTCTGGACCAACGCATATGAAATAATTATGATGACGTGTAACTATCTCTTATTTCATAGCATACTGGCATGCAGATCAGACTTTGATCTACCTAGGTACAATATCGTCACTGATCCTTTACCCCTAGGTGCTACAATATGTTCCCCTTACAGATCCCAGATATGTACATTTCTCAGACCTATATCTCATATTTTTCAGAAAGGAGGAATGCCAAGATGTAAAATTTTTATTCTGAGAGAGTTATCCTCAATAGATACTTTCAATTTCGGGATTTTCAAGCTCTATTTATTTTCATGGAGATTACAGCTCACATTTACAGAACCGCTGGACCCTACCACTTGAAAACACGACAGGAAAAATACGACTCTTTAATTCAAAAACATACGCCTTTCTCACTACCATGACTGTCATATCGAGGCTAACTTGCCTCTCGGGAAACGCGTCTGCCGTTATATCTACGACAGTAACATGCATTGATGGATTTTTTGTATGTCCTCATTGTTGTGTGAATGTACCTTGAGCTTAAAGAAAATAGGAATTTGACTGATATAGGCCCAAACAACGATGCTAGACATCCACCTGAATACTGCCCGCCAACACTTGAATGCCAACTGAGACGTCTCCAAGAAGCGCACAACATCTGCGACCTACCACAAGGCAAGTACGAGCCCACTATCTGTAAAGCAGGCTCCTACTGCCCGCTAGGGGGTAGGTCTGAGCTCCCATGCCCTAGAGGACATTTTTGTCCGTTAGGCTCTATCGACCCAGTTCGTTGCACCGCCCTTTCAGTCTGTTCAGAGGGTAGTTCTCGCCAGATTCCTCTCCTAACGTTTCTGTGTGTTGCGCTACTGGATGCAATCCTGCTATTTATATGGATTTTAAAATTGAGAAGCCCAAAATGCGACTCATTTCCCAAGTTAGGATTGGTTGGTGGAAAGATCAGGGTGAATAGCCATGAGCTGGGCAGCAGGCATAGAACCGGTGAAGTCAACATGGAAATCATTCCAAACAATGATTCTCAGGCTGCACTACTCCCATCCTTTGAGAAACGACAGTCCTCTGTTGGTGTTGAAATCATTTTTCGAAACATCTCTATGCATCTTGGAAACCGCAGAGATATGATTTTACATCACCAGAATGGAAGAATACGTGCAGGTTCTTTTCTTGCAATTATGGGGCCCTCAGGATCTGGAAAAAGTATAATATAGACCTCTTGGTACATGGGGGTGTGACTAACGTTCATATTTGACACAGCTACTTTGGTAAAGATCCTCACGGGGAGAGTCAAGGCATCGACGGGTTCCATTTATATCAACGGTGTTCTAGCGCAGACAGATGAGTATGACAAAATTCCAAAATTTAGCCCCTGAAATTCATGCTGATGAAAACTTGGACTGACAGTTTCTACACAGCTTGAAAACCCTCGTTGGATATGTCCCGCAGAAAGATGTTGTCCTTCCTGAATTAACCGTCCGCGAAAACATTATCCATTCTGCTCGCGTTCGACTTGGAAGAAGGTTAAATGGCCAGGAGATCCAAAAGTTTGTTGATACTTTGATCCATTCCTTAGGGCTTTACAAAGTCCGCGATTGCTACGTAGGCGTAGCCAATCGAGGTTTATCTGGTGGTGAGCGCAAACGTGTCAACATCGCCCTTGAGCTAGCTGCAACACCCCAGGTGCTACTACTCGACGAGCCCACATCTGGACTTGATGCACGGGCAGCACTTTCTCTTATAGAACTTCTCAAGTCCTTGTCTGAACAAGGAATCACAATCTGCTGTGTTGTTCATCAACCAAGAACGGAGATATTTTTGGCTCTGGATTATTTGCTTCTTCTAAGCGGTGGAAGACAAGTCTACTTCGGCCAAGCAGGAGACGTCATTCCTTACCTAGAAAGACTTGGGCACATATTTTCTGACAATTTCAACCCTGCTGATAAGATTCTAGACGTTATAACCGGGCTTGAAAATTCTTCTTGCCAAGAAGATGATGTTTTATTGGAAGAGGATCAAGGTAGTCAGAAGCTCACAACGCTGCTTTACTCTGTTCGGAGCCAAAGGGCGCCCTGGTATGTTCAGGTTTACCTAAAGTTTCTACGAGGAACCAAACAACAAAGCAGACAAGTTGCTAGCTTTTCTCTTGAAATAGCATCAGGTGCAATCACTGGTCTCCTTATCGGGCTATCAAACTATGAGTTCAAAGGCCATTTATTTCAGGGGCTTTTCAAACAACCCTTTGAAGCACTTTCAAGTGCTGTTTCCTATCGGCTCCTGACAGAGCAGGGAATGCTGAATTGTCTAGCTATTGGTACAAAAGCGCTGTCATGAACCAAATTTTGTACTAATTCTTTTCTACAGGTTGTGCGGCCGGACCTGCTGGTGTTAAGACTTTTGGCGACGAAAGTGAGTTTATTGTAGGTAGCTACTTCAGAAAAGGTACCTAACTCTATTTAGAGCCGATTTTCTACCGTGAAGCACACTCAGGGCATTCACAAAGTGCTTACGTCCTCGGAAAAATACTATCCACTATTTTTCGAATTTTCCTATCATCATTGCATTTCACAGCGTTCTACATGATACTTACCACTCCGATTGTATCTTTCAAAGTGCAGTTAATTCTCAATTTCCTATACTTTTATTGTGAGTTTGAGGTAAAGATAAATATTGATCCCTTACTAAGTAGCTGACATTCAGAAAGTGCTTATTCCTTTGGAAAGGTTCTTTCAACCATTATACAAGTCCTTCTGTCCGCGATCCACTACAAAATCTTCTTTATTGTACTCACGACCCCTGTGATTTCCTTCGATCTCCAGTTAGCTCTCAACTTCTTGTTCTTCTACTGTAAGATTAATCTCTTGGAATTTAAGGGGAGTATCAGCTAATTACTCTGACCATCTTGAAGGTTTATATGGTGTTGGATGCATCGTGGATGCTTTCACACACCAACGCGATGGGCCCCTTTTGACTATGCTAATAAGTCTTGTTATTTTAGTAATTTCAGGCTGTGGACCTCGCCTAGCTTTAGTCGTAGTTTTGGTATACGGACTCAGCATGCATTCTCTTCTCTGTATTTTCAACACTATTCAACCGGAATCAATCCCTCCACATCTATCAGTAATCTCTACCTTTAGTGGGTTCTTTAATCACAGCTATCCGCATCGTATTCCAAAGGTTAAAGGCCGCCCCCGAATGACCGTATACTCCCCCTCAAACATCTCGGTTGCGTCTTTCCCCATCGCCCCTATGATCATAGCTGTGCCTCCCGGGTGCTCTGTGACAAAACCTGAAATATCATGAACAGCCCCCCTGATGACTATGATATTGCATCCTGTCCTCGCCTGTTGTTGGAATTCGTCCCACTCCATGACTGGAAGATCTGCCAGTGGCACACCCCAATCCACCATCTCACATTCCTTCTCCAATTTCTCCTGTCTTCGTTGTAGTCTCCCTTTCTGAATCTCGTTTTGCGAGAAACGTCTTAGATTAGAGGCAAGCCCAATCTGATCACATGTCCAGATCAACCACTTGGTCGGGTCAAAGTCATACCATTGAACCCCATTCCGATAATCAATCGGGAATTAATGATGAAAATTATGGTATCCCTCCCCAAGCGTGAGGAGACTTGTCAAATATTGATTTCGGGAAGATTTCCAATTCCATAAGGCTGATCCCCGAACCAGTGCGCGACAGAATTCATACAAAGTACGGCTTGTAGTTGTAGAGCTGTAGCTAAGCAGCCTGCAATGAAGAATCCACCAAAGAAGTCACCAAAGCATAGACCACATATGACCGTGGGGACGACGTAGCCTGCCAAGATGAAATAGTATCGGCGCTGCCATTCCACAATACGATCAGATTTGAGGTCGGTCATATCCACGTGGCGTATAGTGGAGGCGTCATGAGGCGAACGTGGTTTTTCAAACAAGAGCCATCCTATATGCGCATAGAAGAATCCCCTTTTTACACTGTACGGATCATGATCGGTATCAACATAGCGATGATGGGCCCGGTGGTCGCGGCACCACTTTTTGATAGGGTCTTGTCCCGCGCCAGCACCGATGACCGCAAGAATCACTTTCAATAATGGGCTAGCAGTATACGATTTGTGGGCCTAGAGGCGATGATAGCCTATTGATATATTTCTTCAGAATTTGCTCAAATAAATAGGAAGCAAGTGACTGGTAGAGGAACTCACCAGCCGTAATAGCAAGACCTCTCAGATAGGCATAGCAGAAGCCACACCAAAGAGTCCCTTTACGAAAAGGCACCCAGAAAAGACTAATCACGGCTAACAAAGGAATTCCGACGAGATAGATTGAATTCTTCCAGTTCAACGAGTCTTGGTTTGCATGATCTGGCTTTTTGCTGATAGGATCTAGAGAATCAGTGCTCTTAGCGGCAGAGCTCTGTTCTTTCAGAGGCACAGATTCCATCTTCCTGTGGGATTTCTTGAAAAATTGCACGAAAATAATTACCAATGGGATGAGATATATGTATCCCACATTAAGGCAGAAAACCTCTCCACTGTCACTTAAACATGTAATTGCACCATCGCTGGCCACTTTTCTGGCCTTGCATGAGAGTCGGCGGTCGAGGTATTATTATGGCTTATAGACAAGTGCAACGTTGGCGCCGGTTCGTTGTTGAGAGTGTTTGCTGTCGCCTCTTGCCGGGACTTTGTAGCTCATGAAAAGAAAGCAATAGGCCAAGGCTAGCCCCCCCCCCCCCCCCCCCCCCCTGTGAACTGGACAATCTGAAGGCTGGTAAGAGTGCGCTTCAAACCCATAGAGATAGAAATCCCGAGGCTCTGGATAGTGAACTAGAAATACTGCAATATTCATGATAGGCTGTTAGCAGAGTATGACGCTGTAGGCAAAATATTGAGCTAATTTACCATCAAAGTATAGATTCCCGCATTCAATACCACCCCAAGAAAGCCCAACGGGGACTCATATCTAATCACTGCCCATCCACATATAATCACACCGGCATGATGATATGTTTGCAAAGCTGAGCTCTTTTTCCCGCGTGCGAGAATGATCAGCGTGTCCACAACCTCGTAGAACTTGCTGATATAGAAAATCCAGGTCAGGTAACCACCACCTCCTTCCCAGACACTTTTTGAGTTCGTTGAAACTAAGACAAGGCATAAACGGTTAAAAGACTGATTTTCCTGTATATGATCTTAGTTAATGATCAAAGCTTACCAAGAAATGTACTTGACTCGACTTCGCAAAGGACTTCTGCACAAAGTCCATGCAGAGTATAGCGTCAGAAAGGCATTATGCATTAATACTAACGCCTTGAATATAGAGGTTTTGCTGAAAGCCCATGGTTTATACTGTCAGGTAGCATTGAATCGAATCAAAAACAGAACTGTGGCAGTATATACCGTCACAAAAGTGAGAACGAACTTGAGATCGAGAGAGAACCGAAAAGCTTCAGATTTGATCATAAATGGCTGGAAAAGCTTTGCCGCGGAAGTATCCGTGGGTGGAAGAGGGAGACGTGCAGCCGGCTTGTGAAGCTGGCTTGGAGGGAGCTCAAAAAGTCCCATAGGTGGAAGGGCGAATTTAATCGCAGTTTTGGCTGTGAAAAGATCCATGATGATAGAGCAATTTGAGAGCATAGTCCTTGTCGGGTAGCCTCGGCCCTGCTTTATAGATGCCGGGGAGCTGCACGCGAAAGAGGGACGCCTCAGCTAGTTATAGTCACACCAAGAAAAGCTTTATTATACAGCCGCTATCTTCACCGATGACGATCTGCAGCGAGAAAAAATCGATGTATCTACTAGGAGACTTATCAAGCATGGGAATAGGATCTAGATTTTTTTTAGCTTAAGTGAGCTTTTGGAGGCGTAAATGTTGGTAAGAAAGATAGTTTCATAAAGCATATAGTCATCACTGCAAGTAGCTCATTAGCCACAGAATAGGCTCAAATAGTCTTGAATTAGGATATACAGACAAACAATATTACTGCAATCTGTCACCTCGCCATATATCAATATCAATGAACCCTGTTATAATACCAATTAGAGAGGACTACGTAAAGTCAGACTACAAAAGATGTGGAATAGATGACTTAAAAGCGTTCTAGTTCAAAAGTTATTAGTAGCTACTCGTATCTTGAAGGATACTCACAGTTACAGTTTGTACCTAAGTGTGCCTAATCACTTTCGCCTACATCAAATAACCAGTTCTGCTGATACTTTGCAGGGATCACGCTGTAGCCCTGCTTCCTATTCGAACGACAGATCTTGAGGTCAAAGAGCCTGTTGGAGTATATTTTTCGCCATTGAGACTAGGTGCGCTTCTGCTTCTGAACCCGCCTGCAGTAGGGAAAACAAGGAAAAGAAACCAACGGCAATATCCATACGTGAGCCAATATGTTTTCTCCAAAATTCTAATTATACTGAGAATATATAGTTGCTTCATTTCGCACGTCAATCCCATCTACCAAAAGCGATAATTTGTTTGCCATAGAAGAGCCAGTAGATTGCCGGGCTGTGCCGAAGTCTTTTTGTAAAGGAGGGAGTTTAACAAGAGTCCGTTCGGAAGATTGAAGGATAGGTGATCGATCGGCACGCTAAATAGCTGCTGCAGGTTCCGTGCTTCTACTGCCGCATAGGGCTATGTTAACATACACCACAAGATAGCATTTCCCAATACCGCTCTTGCTTGGCATACTATACGTTTTTGTGTCATATTTAGACTTAAAGCTTTGATTCCGGACCTTTGGAGTATCGAGTATCAAACTTGCTCGTGTAATGGTTCTCATAATTGCTGCCTTGTGTCTGGTAGACACTGGGATGGGATCTCTCTACTACTCTTCGTGACTATCTATAACCTCAACTTTAGCCCCCTAGTAGGCATTCCAGGCCCCTGATTGGCGGCAATAACATGATGGTATGAGACTTATTTCAACTTATTCTGCGGGGGGAACAATTTATGTGCGAGATTCAGAGGCTGCATAGGCTGTATGGCCCTGTAGTGCGCATTGGCCCCAACGAGGTCCATATTAGCACCGCCGAATTATATAACACACTGTATACTGGACCGACCCGGTGTCGCCACAAGGACCCTTGGTTTATGTCCTCTATTGCACCAGGCACGTCGTTTTCATCGATTGGTGCCATGCACCACCGTGTGAGGCGTGGCGGTCTAAGTTCTTTTTTTCCAAGAACGCTGTTCGTGCATGTGAGCCGCTCGTATATGCCAAAATGAATCTACTATGTACGCATGTTCAACGAGCACAGCAAAATGGAAATGCAATTGAACTACATAAGTGCTTCGTCGGCTTTTCTGTCGACATCCTCTCGCAGTATGTATTTGGTACAAACTATCACTTCAACACTGCAGGAGCCAATATTGAGCAGCAAATGGAAGAAAGGCGTTAATGGCATATTTGAGATGCTGTTGGTCACACGCCACTTCCCTTGGCTGTATACCCTATCAAGGGAATTGCCCTTATCTGTCTCTAGCTGGATCTGTCCAACATTTTCCCATATCGATGCTATTGAAAAGGCGGGTCTCTTCTTTATCTTATGTGCGAGCACGAGAAATAGACATATCGTGCTAAGGTGATCTAAATCTTTAGGACATCGAACAGAAGGCCAGTCTTGTCTATCGATCCTCTACAGATGAGAAAAACTCTATTATTGCACATCTCATACGCGATGAGAAATTACCCCCTAGCGAACGCACGCTAGCCCGAGTACATCGGGCATAATATACACCAATAAGCAGCAGGATATAGGAGACCAAGTATAGCTTGCGATGACTAGCTACCTCTCTCTAGTTAAAAGCAGGCTTTGGTATTATCACTTTACACTATTCTAAAAGCCCATCGCTACCAGCCAAGAATAGGCTTGTCCCACCAATGTAAAATTCCCCCAACAATGTAAAGTTTACTTTTTGGGTATCTTTTTTGTATAGCTCACATGTAAAGGACAATAATGTGATATTTCTGATTCACGAAAAATTTGTACCTTTAGTATGCGAGCCATATGCCATATGCTAAGATACCTATAAAAAAGCAATTTTTACTTCACATTTGCTTATCTTCAATTCTACCAAGAAATAGCAAGTTTGATCACCGCTAGATAAGGCCCTGCTAAGGCCTATGAGCCATTGATTTGCATTGAGGGAGAAATCCAGACTTAACCTCATAAACCCTCGGACTACAGGACTAAGCATTTTCGAGGGGTTTTGTGCATAAAACTTAAAACTATAATGCTGGCATCGTTCCACTGCAAACTCAAAGCTATAGAGGTTAGGTAGAATGTCCACCGTAGAATTAGTCAGACCGGTAGTATATAGCTATAAAAATCTTAGAGCATACATATCCTTCATTTTTACTGCTTGCATATACGTGAAGTATTGGATCTGTCCAAAATTCCTTATCATACAGATTTATTTTCCAATGAAGAAGTGGAATGTGCGATGACTTACCCTATGCTGCGACGCATCATCATAAATGAACTCGAATAAAGCTGGGCAGTACTCCGTAAATAGGTTGGTTATACAAAAAATAACCCAAAGATTTCGCTTTTGACTTTCTCCTGACACAAGTCACAGGCGTCGCACTATGGTAGCTCAACCCAAATCTTCTCAGTCTACAAAGACCTTCTCCAAGCCTTATTGGCGTTATTACTATGAAAATTTACACTTGTTACATTTCACTATTCTCCTCATTTTCCTAGGAGTCCTGGTTTTTTTTGCTCCCAGGGTACACTTGAGTCTCAACACAGCTCTCTTGGCATCCGTGCTACATGTAGCGGGATTCCTCGGAATCACAGCTGGTTAGTTTGCCAAATTTATGAGCCTCCAGTAGTATGATAGTCTCAAAAATCTGATTTTATTTTGCTTTGCAGGATACCATCGTCTGTGGACCCATAAATCATACGAGGCTTCATTTCCACTTAGGGTGTTTCTGGCAATCGTTAGCGCAGCACAATTACAATGGTCAATAGTCGAATGGGTAACACACCATCGTGCTCATCGCTGGTATACTGATACAGACAAAGACCCTCAAGATGCAACAAGGGGCTTCTTCTTTCGCTATATGGGCTGGCTTCTTGCATATAACCCTCAAACGTGGGGCTCTGTTGATATCTCGGGCATCATGGAAGATCCTGTGGTCCGATGGCAACAAAAGAATTATTTCGTCCTTTTTATGCTTGGCGGTCTTGGTTTACCGACCTTAATTGCTTACTTCGGATGGAACGATTGGCAAGGAGGCCTAGTCTATGTCCTTCGCGTTTTCTTCTCCCTACAAGTGATACTTTTCTCAGGTACTCTTATGCACTCTGACTGGGCAGGTGAAAAGATCTATTCAAACAAGAATAGCTCAGTGAACATTCATCTCTTCTCAATTCTTTCAATTCTGAATAATGGCGAAGCACATCACAATTTCCATCATACATTCCCAAGCGACTATCGTACCGGAGTCCAGTGGTACGATATCGACCTATCCAAGTGGATGATTTTACTGTGGTACCAGCTTGGTCTTGCAGGGAATCTGGTAATAGTAACTGAATTTGAAATTGAGAGAGCGAACTGGCGGCAAGAAAGAAGAAATAGGCATGGGGAGGCAGTTAAGTATGTGGATGAGGACCATGAGGTTCTTTCAGCTCTTCCAGTAATGCAGTGGACAGAGTATATTAAATAGGCTAACACTGGTCGTCGTCTGGTGTGCATTAATGGCGTGATACATGATATATCCGATTTCATGGGAGAACATCCTGGGGGGAGAGATCTGTTGCATCAAGTTCTGGGGAATGATGGGACTGCTGCGTTCTACTATGGCTCTCATGATCACTCCATGCATGCCAAGAATGTTTTAGCAGGAATGCGTATTGCTGTTCTTGAAGGCCCGCCGCCAACGAAGCCGCGTGTTTAGCATTTGCAGATATACATGGATATCCGAAAGACCAAATTGAAAACCTCGAACAACTAATTACACCTGGAGCGGGGAAATAACCCGGCGTTGTATTACAATGTTAGAAAAGAAAAGAAAAACGTCGGAAACCATAAGATAATGCTAGTCAAATGGTAAATATTTGATTTTTATGAGACGGCCTGAGCTGAGTCTCCCTAAACGAAAGAAAAGCACGAATTGAGAATCTCCCACGTTTTGACAAATCCAATTTCATCTCGGCCATGAAAATCGAGTAAAAGCAATGAGTCCGGAACTTGAGGAGCAGGAAGTCGAAATCGTCAATTCTATAGTCTATCTCTTATGACGCTGGGCTCGTTTCATATATGAGTGCCGGAACAAGCCCGCGAAAAGATATGTTAGTGGAATTAAATAGAGAGTCGTTAACCAAACCGCCAATGCCTCTCTACTGCTCTTTAGACAGGGACTTCTCTGGACTTGAAAGTAACCTCGAGGGTGTTGGAGGTTGGGACTAACCCCATTTCCCTCTAGAGCGCTAGGCACCATTGGCATAGAATATGAGGCATCCTTGCTTTTAGAAATTGTTGACGACAGTCCTCCGACAGGACCTCTGGCGCGGTATATCAGGGTATCGTACTCAATAAAGATATAGCCCCAGATGAGGGAACCACCAACGAGGAATTGTGCAATTTAAAAGGCCATCAAAATCTGTTTGATGAAGCCGAAGACTCGAAAACCAAGGGAACTCCAAGCAAAGTACAGGTACTGAGATAATGGGATTACAATTCAGCCCCAATAACAGATTTTGAGTAGAGTGCACGTACCACTGAAGTGTGTATCGCCGAGTTAAAGAAAACACCGACCAGGAAAGGAGGTGACGCATATCGGGCTCCTGCCCAACCACAAAGTATTACACCGCTGTGGTAGTAAGCTTGTAGGACCGAGCTTCTCTTTCCCTTTGCGAGTGTAATCAAAGTGGCAACCACTTGGTAGAATTTCAATATGTAGAGAATCTATGCGAAATAGACAAATCCATTGTTATATAAACAGCCCAAGCGGGGTGGGATTGAAGGTTAGACACCTTCCTTTCCGCCAAGAAGAACGTTGAGACTCCGAGACTTATCTAGGAAATTGAAACGGCAAAGGATGTCTGCCACATTAACCAGAAAGTTTGGCTCTGTTGTTGATGGCCAGCATTTCTTCAATGATAGACACAGGCCATAAAAAGCCCACCCGGAAACGAAAGCTAGGAAAGTATTGTGCAATACCACTAAATATCTGAAGACCGAAGTTTTCGCAAAGCTCCACGGCCTATTTTTTCGACTGTCATTCACGCTGTTGAAATATATGATCGAGATTAGATACACGGTAGCTATTGTGGCGGGAGCCTTGATGTCGATAAGGGCATGAAACAGTGAGGGCGGGATTGTGAACCGTTGGAGCCATGTTGATTCATGCGGCGGTCTAGGTGGAAATTGTACTGGGGCGTGATCAAAAAGGCCAGCTGAAGAGCTCTGGAGGTGGTAGCCGAGCATGGACAGAGAGATTTTGAATAACCATTTCCGCGATAATGAACGATTATGTAGGGTGTGTGAGGATAATTTCCCCTAGGCTAAATAATGCCACAGATTATATCTAGGGAGATATGATGGACTATATATGTTCTAAGAACCTCAGGGACAATCATAGGGGTCTATTGGCTTGGCTCACCCACTTCTCAATAGGATATACGTGATGTGTCAAATAGATTTTTGTTACGCGAGGCTACATACATGAACCCTCGCCCAAACAGCCCGAATATTTTTTGGCAAACCTTCAATGTATCTAGATTACCATACTTCATACAATATTTCGGCGTAGAACTCTCGTATATATTCTGGGATATCAACAAGGGAAAACAAATACAATCAATCAGACGGTTCACAAAAAAGCAAGAAACGAGATAATTGAACCAGGTCTCTATTGCTGAAGGTCAACGAAGTGCGTATGACGCGTACTGATGTCCAGCTTTATGTTTTGACGTCGTAACTTCCAACAAAAGTTCAAAAAATGACAATAACAATATCACCAGACGGTGTAGTCATAGGCCTGTCTAGGTATTCAAGCACCTTGCCTTCCTCAAACACTCATTAATCATGCTTGTCTGCCAGAAATGTCAGCAGCAAGGTAAGACCAGCATGATGGCAGCATCGAGATCGTAGATATCGAGTTGCACACCGACTTTCTTTATAAAAGCACGAAACTTTTCATGCTCGACTGCCGTAAGCGCATAACCAAAAATTCCTTCGCGAAAAAAAATAAATTGTTTCAAAATTTCAGCAGTCTTGTATGATGATGTGTACTCATTATAGCAGGCTATACTATGTACAGTTATTGAAGCCGGCTGTGGGAATAAGTGGTACACAAATCATTTGTTAATTCTCTTATTTCTTTTAGAGGGCTATTCGGAATAGCGGAAACAATTTCTCGCACAGAGGGGGTGAGGGTCTCACATATACATAGAGGCGAATAGTATCTCGAGATGAATAATCAATATTAAGAACAACTATAATTGACTTTAGATACAAGATGTAGTGCGAGGAAGCAAAAGACAGGCTTCCTATGACCATGTGGGTGATATAATCCCGCTAGTCCTACTTAGTATTAGTGTCTTGGCATTTCTACTTATTTTACGAGGAATTCTGCCTTCCGCCAATAATCAATACACTTTCAGCACACCGCTTCCAAATCTATTGACACATGACAGCTATTTACTATCTTCATTCATCTGAGCATTTTAGAATGATACTTCACTTTTACCTAACATGTATACACCTATTATATACGTACAGAAACGATATCAATAGCTGTCTGCTTCGGTAATAACCTAGTCAACTGACACTTACCTAGATACGAGTTTAGAGTGCGAATTGCCCTATATTCATGAGGACTTAGTGGGTTTCTATGCAGGATAACGCCTAATTTAATGCTGCGAAGAAATCTTGGAAGTGAGGGAGTGGTTTAAGTAATGGACTGACTGCCCTATTCACCTTGATCTGAACCCTATTGAGCATATCTTCTTGAGATCCTTTCTTTCGACCACAAGAGCACAGCCACCTCAAACCACGGCACAAAAGCACCATCGACATAGCTGAACTTGCCGCCAACGAGGTATTCCTTGTTCTGGAGCGATCGATTAAGCATGCCTGAAACACGTCGAATCTCGTTAACATAGCACTCGACCGCACTGGGCACCTTCTTGGGGTGGTAGATCGTAAACCAGGCGGCCTGCTCGAAGTAAGGTGGCCAGAAACCTGGTAGTATTCGTACTAGCCACTGTTTGCTTTCGTACGGTGACGATCAGGTGACGCTCAGTGAGAGCGGTCGCACGATTACATAACGGTCACTGACTTGCTCTTGGCGTTTATGAAGTACTCAGCTCTACTCAGTGAGCAAAAAGCGGCGAGCTGAGCACAGGGGAAAGCCAAGAACTGGGAAATGAAATATTCTACCTAGGTTCTTCACAAAGTACTAGACTAAACAAATTACAGATTTCATATAGCTTTCTGAAATTGGTAATATGCGTCATTTTTGAGGTGGAAATTTGTTATTGTACAGAAATATGAAATGATAGTCTACAGCAATGCTGGAGAGAATAAATAGTATAAATCCTCCAATTCTCGAAGCAGCTCGCAAAAAAATTAACAGCTGCAATTGAATTCATTCTCCACTTAACCCAGTCTGCGGACCTTGCGGCTACGGGTACCACCGAATTTGATACGAGTTGAGTCTGATACCCGGCTGACGAGTCCCCGAACGTTGCGGCCTTCGTTACCCAGAAGCACCTTAGTGAATGCTTCACGACCCTTTCCAAACCCACGGTAAATAACCTCTAGCCGCTTGATATCCAGCAGATATCCCCGCTCCTGGATCTGCGACATGACATGAGACGACAATTGATATGCCGGGTCAAAGCCTGAGCGACCGCCTTTGCGGAAGCCAATCTGACCACATCCCAGAGACATCATTGGGTTACCGTTCGGCTTGGTGAGTGTTATAAGGGTGTTGTGTTTGTGGCAGTAAACGTGGAGGTGGTGTGGAGGAGCACGGTCAGCGTAGGGATTTTTCATCATGTCGGCTTCCAAGCGCTCAGCGAGTCTAGAGTAGTCGGAACTAACTCGCGAGGCCGAAGAGGAGCTATCTCCTTGCATCATCTTGGTAATGGCAGCCAGAGGCGAAGCCTTGGAGGATGTGGTATCGCGATCGAGGAGCTGGTTTTCAATGCTCTGTTCCTGTCGATTCGCCGCAGCGGAGTCCTTTAGGGATGTGGAGAAGGATCGAAAGCCGCATGAAATTACTGTCCTGGGCTGACATGGCCGGGATAATGAAGGGAGGCTCTTTGCGAGCGTGCTCATCGAGAAAGAATTCATCGGGAAACGAGTGCCGATCGGTCAGCGTAAGAGCCACGCGTGAAATTGAGAGTAGTAGTCGAGGCTGCGATAAACCAAGTGTGCCTGTTATAGAAATGGAATTGAATTGAGCAAAGACAGGTTAAGTAGAATGACTGCCAAAGCCAAGTATAGGTTGAAGTCGCAAAAGAGCCGTGGTCGGACCAACAAGCGGAAGGCAGCTGGAAGTTTTTGGAAGTCTTGGCATCTCGACTTTTTCCCTTTACATACTCGCCTTCCCCGGTCCATCCTCACTCAATCATTTTACAACCCCGAACATCCGGGCCGGACTGGATACTTCTTACTTTCGATTAACTCTTTTATATCTTATCTTGCTACCTTCGTCTATCACTTTAGAGCATGATTTCGGCCAAGATGTCAACCGCCGCTCGCGCGGCGACTATCCGGTCCAATATCTCGGTCTTGAGAACCGCTTCACACGGTTCTCGGGCGCTTTCGTATTCAGCACTGCCGGCACAGTCCCTTGTTAGAGGTCAAAGAAACGCTCTACAGCCCCCTGTCCGTCCGGTCTCCCAACTTGTGTCGCCGTTCGCCGCTCTCCCTTTGACCCGGTCTTTCCACGTCGCAAACTCCCTCTTCCAACAGCAACAGCAACAAAAGGATGAGAAGAAGAATGATGAGGCCAAGGAGGGTGAAGGCTCTAAAGAAGAGGGCAAGGAAAAGAAAGAAGACGCTCCGCCACCACCACCTCATGGAGACAAGTCACCATGGCAAGTCTTCCGGGATACTCTCCAATCCGAGTTCAAAGCTTCTAAAGAATGGAATGAGTCCACCAAGGCTCTCGCTTCCTCTGCACACGAGTTCTCGGAGAATGAGAAAATCAAGCGCGCTCGTGCGGCTTACGAAGCTGCCTCGGGAGCTGCTACCTCTCACACAGCTTCGGCTCTCAAGTCCACAGGTCAAGTAATTGGAAAGGGTGCTGCTTGGACCTGGAATACCCCTGTTGTCAAAGGTGTCCGTAAGGGTGTCAATGCAACTGGTTCTGGTCTTGAGAAGGCCACTAGACCCGTTCGTGAGACCGAGGCCTTCAAGAGTGTGAAGAATGCTATTGATGACGGCAGCAGCTCTCGCTATGGAGGATTTATTGAAAAGGAAGAGCGTCGCAAGCAGCGACAACTTCGCGAGGAGATGGAGGCTAAGTCTGGAAAGAAGCGGGAGCAAATGGCTGAGGATCCTAAGTAAGCTAATACCAAACCATCCAAATATTTGGCATATAACTAACGTGTCAAAAGTGCCGGTACCAACGTCACCCTTCACAAAGATGCCGCTTGGAAGGAGTCATGGCGTGACTTCCGCGATTCCAACCCCATGATGCAGAAGCTCTTCTCGGTGAGAGAGGCCTATGATGAGTCTGAGAACCCTCTGATCAGCACTGCGCGCAGCATCACCGACCGTATCGGTGGCTTTTTTGCCGAGAATGAGACCGCCCAGGTTATCAAGAAGTTCCGTGAAATCGACCCTAATTTCAAAATGGAGGAATATCTGCGTGAATTGCGTGAATACATACTCCCGGAGGTTCTTGACGCCTACGTCAAGGGTGATGTTGAAACATTGAAGCTTTGGCTATCTGATGCGCAGTACTCTGTTTATGCTGCTCTCTCCAAACAGTATACTACCGCCGGCCTCAAATCTGACGGCCGTGTCCTGGACGTCCGCGGTGTCGACGTTGCTCACGCCCGTCTCCTCGATGGTGAAATTCCCGTTTTCGTTGTTACCTGTCGTGCTCAGGAAGTTCACGTATACAAAAACATCAAGACTGGCAAGCTCGCTGCTGGTATGGAGGACAAGGTCCAACTTGTGACCTACGCCATTGGCATGACTCGCATTCCTGAAGAGGTCAATAACCCTGAAACTTGGGGCTGGAGGCTGATTGAACTGCAAAAGGCGGCCCGCGACTATATCTAAGCCATTTCCAACCATAATTGGCTTGACTTCTGAAGTATTAAGCATAACAAGTTGACACACTTGGCTGACCTTCGAGACTATATGTCACTACCCTCTTATATCCTTGTTCCCCAATCCTCAACTGTACAATATCATTGTTCGATATCAGCCAGGCGGATCTGGCCCTTGTGTACTGTCACGCTATTTCAGTGACACAGCAGGGCTCCTGGTTATTCTTTTTCATGTATTAATGTTCACCACCTTTTTATTAGTCGTTTGCGGGCATGTTTGTTGTTATAACCGGATGGAAAAAAACTTCTACCAAATTAGACTCGGACTGCATTGGATTTGAGCTGGTTCTGATGGTATTTTGGACTTGAGGTGTTCAACGGCGTCCTGTGCTTTGCATTTTCACCTTCAATCTCCCCTCTATCTGATAAATATATGAGGGCTTTCTTCCAATCATCTAGTCGCCCTCCCCTACATCCATGGATTACTTAAGATGCATCCAACACGATTTCACCCGTGGCATGGAAAAATCCCACGGAATTAGATCGATATTGTTTGAATATTATTATCAGGCTCGCATTGCCAGCCAGTTGTTTCTGACCATGAGATACATGGCTAAGCAGACTCACATCCTAGACATGCCCTTAACTGGGACGATCGATGCCACTTATAGAAACCGAAGCAGCACCAAGTACCTAAGGAGATAAGATGCCTAGATAGTAGATTCCCCTATCCGTAGACATTTCTGAGTATATAGCGACATATTGATAGGTCGGTTTGGCTTCCTCTTCACTGCCCAGATGGAGATTGCCTGAATTGCATGGATCCCTATATTAGAAGGCCACCGCCTGGGCAGGGACTGAATACTTAGGCACTGAGTACAGCTGGCCTGCGTTGGATAAATAATAAAATGATTCATTTCTATGAAACGCTGCTGAAGACTTCAAGTTACCCAGCTGGAATCAGATCGTGTCAATTTTTTCAATGTCGTCCATCGTCATTCAATTAATTTATTTCGAGCCATTTCCAGCACCGGCACCACCGGCACCACCACCTCCCATAAAGTTTCGAGCCCTATATATACAAGTCAGCGTTATTCCTAGGTCGTTGAAGAGGGTCCAAAAACAACTTACATCTCAGCAATGTTAGGATCACTCATCAGGCTAGACATGTCAGGCATGCCACCACCTTGACCAAAGCTTTCGGCCATCTGGCGGAGACGTGGATTGCTCATAAGGTTGCCCAGCATATCCGGGTTACTCATTAGGTTCTGGGCCATGTTGGCAAACATAGGATTGTTCATCATAGAGCCCAAGTCAGGCATACCACCACTGCCACCACCTTGGCCACCACCACCAAGCATACTAGCAAGCGACGAAAGGTCGGGCATACCACCAGCGCCACGGGAGGCACCAGAGGCAGTCTCCAACTCCTCGGATGGGGGCTCACTCTCACGGCTGGCCTCATCAATCTTGCGCTTGCAGGTCTCCAGACCACGCTTCATGGCTTCGCTACCACCATTGCCCTCCGACTCAATACCCTTCTCATATGCCTCCTTAGCAGCATGGTAGTCGGCCAATTCGAAGCGGGCGAGGCCCAGACGGCTCCATGCCTTGGAGTACTTGGGATCCACGGCAACGGCGAGCTCAGCATCATCAGCAGCCTTCTCGTGTTGACCGGATGCGGAATAAGCGGCGGCGCGGTTTGAAAGGTAAATGGTGTTGGCGGGGGCAATCTCAAGGGCCTTGGTGTATTGTTCAATAGCAGCGGTGTAGTCCTTGCGAGCCATGAAAGCATTTCCCTCAGACTTCAGCTTATCGGACTCAGCAGTAGGTGTACCGGCAGCAGGCTTATCATCTTGAGATTTCTCAGCACCAGTACTGGCTGGCTGTGGGGTCGACTTGTTGCGCAGCTTCTCGTAAACACTGTAGATGTTGGCCAAGGACTGTCCACCAACAGCATCCTTCACAGCGGCGTTATCAGTAGGGTCAACCTTGAATGTGTCGGCGATACAGGATTGGGCAATCTCAATAGATTCGGCATCATCTGCGGTCAGAGTTCCATCCTTCAGGCTGGAGCCGAGAAAGTCGATAATGGCCAGGGCCAGGCGCTTCTTACTTTCTGTAAGAGACTACAAAATAGCCAGTCAGCACCAACCTCATATAAAATTCATTTTTGTTAGTGAATCATACCATAATAGCGATGTTTCCTAAAATTTGTAGGAATAAAGAACTGGATGGAGATTAGGGGAAAGAAAAAGCAATGCGGGGAGCTTTTTACACGTGACGCCGTTATCGCCTTGGTTGGACTGGCGCTCTGTTTAACTTCACGACTTACCATCTGGACCCAGCCATCCCTGGTTGATTCTGGCTGTTTATTACACTCTTTCTGAGGCGACATGACTTAATTCAAACTCCGTTACATCCCCTAGTACCTCCGAGTCGCGTATGGAGCCATGTACTGGCCTAATGGAGTCCCCCGAGTCTACGCGGCCAATGGCCCTAACATTGCCCATACTTCCTCCCACTTGAATGGCAAAGGTGCCCCGGATAATTTCCCCCAACCTCAAAGCTCGACAGAATCAGTTAATGATGGCGAAAACTCGCAAATTCTTACAAATCCAGACGACCATCCCACCCCCGAGCCGTCTGTCGAAACGCCAGCTCCCAGGTGGGAAGATGAAGCTATCAATGGCCTCTGTGTGTCCCGGACCGGTCTTATGTTCGCGACTTTAACCCCGTCATCTATTTCATTATGGCAGACTAGGGTATAATCAAGAATTATCCGACGGTTTCTACGAGCTACATACTAACTTTTGCGGCAGCCAACCGCCGTAGTGGCTTCGATAGCAAGGTCCACATACTCGATAGAAACCTACGGATTGAATATTGCACTTTTGATGCACCCAGACTCAACAATTTTGGTTGTACAGACCGAGAATGGATACCTCCTCACCTATTCAGTAGCGTCAGACCCAGCTACACGAGTCTACCAGCAACAATTTGATCACTCGACAAATCCACGACGTCAGCAACTTGCACATTTCTCAGCTGTTGAAGAGTCTAATGTTGTTGGTGATATAAGTATTCGATTCCGAATGGCAATCAAGATCGAGTCCGGCATTGTCAAGGCTCTAGCGTTGGACGATGAGCTTGTTGTTGCTACTGTCAAGCCCCCAGCCATACAGTGCATCCGATGGGTAACAGAGGAAGGAGAGCAACAAACGACATCGGAGTTGCTGAGCCGTATAATTGGTGTGCCAAAAACGGTGTCAATAAAGGATATGGTCTATGATCGTGCGATGAACCTTTTGATCTGGCTGACGAGTAATGGCCAAGCATATGCTGTACAACGAGTCCCTGGAGCACACACAGACTCTGATATTCCAAAGAAGCTCTTTTATGGTCATTGCTTTCACAAACCTGAGGATGTTGGCGCTGAAGCCATGAAAGTTGCAGTTAATGCCCGTTTTTCCTTGCTGACTGTGAGCTGTGCTAACGGTGAGGTCCTGGTCTATACGGCCAAGGACTACATGGGAAACATTCCGCTCTCGCAAAAGCTACCACTTCCAGTATCGCTTAATACCTCAGGTGCACTAACATTTATGAGCTATTCGGCAGATGGATACTGTCTCTTTGCAGGATACGAACATGGATGGACAACTTGGAGTGTCTTTGGGAAACCTGGTGGAAATAGCTTCACAGTTGATCCAGCTTTAGCAAAATTTAACAGGGAGAACTGGCTTACAGGGGTTTCTAGCGGCTGCTGGATAGGAGGAGGATCAGACATCATTCTGTCTGGACAGAATGATCGACGCCTCTGGATTCTTGAAATGGCACGTAGCGCCTTGACTGGATGCTTCTCCGCTGCCAACCTTGCTCGAGGATTGTTGCAGACCGGAACTGAGTTCATACTCTATCGTGGCCATGACTTACCTGATTTGACAACCATATCAGGTAAAGATTCCCTCTGGCTTCATTCCCAGTACCCCCCGGCATATCTCCACTCACAATGGCCGATTCGATCGTGTGTCGTATCCCAGGACGGACGGTATGTCGCAATCGCAGGTCGACGAGGATTAGCACACTACAGTGCGACCAGTGGTCGTTGGAAAGTTTTCGAGGATTCCAATGTGGAGAACTCTTTTGCCGTTAGAGGTGGAATGTGTTGGTACGGGCACATCCTCATCGCTGCTGTCGAAAGTGATGGGTCCTACGAACTCCGTCTCTACTCGCGTGAATCACCGTTGAACAATAACTCTATCATGTTTACAGAGTATCTTCCTTCTCCAGTGGTGTTTATCGGTCCGTCCGGAGAAGATTCTCTCCTAGTTTATACCCACGACAATATTCTTTACCACTATATTATAGACGCCTCTCAGCCACAGATCACCATTGTCCCGGTGGGACAGATTGCATTTAATGGGATTGTTCGAGCCCCGACCCGAGTGCGGGCAATCAGCTGGGTCTTGCCCGAGGAGCAAATACGTGAGTGGATCTCTTTTTATATATACAAGATTGTTGAATAATTGACATTCAGCAGGAAATGGCGATCCTTCACAGGACGTTAAGGTCGCATCTGTGCTTCTCCTTGTTGATGGTAATCTTGTTCTATTGCAACCAATAGTCTCAGAAACAGGCGATCTCAAGTACGATATGCGTGTGATATCTCAAGATGTGGAATACTACATCCTCATGCGTGATCAACTTTCATTCCTGTTCTCTCCGCAGGTTGACCTATCGCTTCCGCCTAGTCCATCTGCTGAAATGGCACTCGGACCCACCTACAGCAGCCTGTCACTCAACGACTCTCTTTGGATGTTTCGAGGACAGGACTTATTGGCGTGGAATGACATTAATGATGTTCTTCAGCAAGAAACAGTACCTACACCACTACATGTTCCTCTGGATTTCTATCCACTATCAGTACTGTTGAATAAGGGCATTGTGCTAGGTGTAGAGTCTGAAATGATGCAGCGACGGGATGTGACCTTTACTAGCCTCAAGTTTGCTATCCGGGTGGGTTGATCAGTCATTTTAACTCTCGAAACAGAAGCTAATTCGTCATAGACCCATCTTTTTCTTCCATACTTCCTCCAATACACCTTGATAAAGTTTGGAACACCAGCTGCACTCTCACTGTGTCGGCATTTTTCTCACCTTTCATACTTTGCTCATGGCCTTGAAATTCTTTTGCATCATGTTCTCGACGAAGAAGTCGATAACGAGAGTAACGCACGGAAATCCGATAGTCCAGTCGATCGCGAAGGCCCTCTTTTACCCACTGCCATTGCCTTCCTCCAGGCATCCCTCCCTCCTCGTGACTACCTCGACATTGTTGTTCAATGTACTCGAAAGACTGAGTTGCGATCTTGGCGCACGCTCTTTGAGTACCTCCCACCGCCAAAGGACTTGTTTGAACAAGCGCTTCAACTGGACTCGCTCAAAACGGCCGTTGGGTATCTTCTCGTTCTACAAGCCTTTGAAGATGAGGAAGAAGATCAAGGTCACGATAGCCGCATTGAAGAATACGTCGTCCGTCTCATCGGACTAGCCTTGAAAAAGGAAGACTGGGAGCTCTGTGCTGAGCTCGCCCGTTTCTTGATAGCTCTTGATGCCTCAGGTGAAATGCTTCAACGTGCCATCTCTCGTGTGGGGCTGCGATCTGGGACTCGGCCCTCAGTTAATGGAAATCATTCTGGCCTGCCTTCCAGATCTGGATCTGCTACTAGTGTTAAAGGGCTTGGACTGAGCTTGCCTATCCGAGCCCCCTCATGGTCGTCATTGTCTCCGACGTCGTCGTTGTCACCACAGGGTGAATCTCATTAGTATCCGCACGCGCCTAATGGAACAAAATAGGTGACCGGACTTCATTCGATAGTCTATTAATCCTTTGGCTTCTGATTGAAGAATATCAAATTTTGAATAATAAATTGGGTAGCTCAGTGAGAGCTGTAACTAGTAAGCCCAGAACATAAATGAAGTCCACTCGGGCAGGCAGCGAGACGATACCTAAATTCTTTTACTAAGCGGCCTTTATTAGAGCGCAGTGCACTAATTTCCGTTTGGACAAAAATGCGAAGTTATGAGAGACCGAGTGTAAAGTCTGGGGCAATTCTCCAATTGGGTTGGATGATTTGCGGAGAGAATATGTTGCCTCATGGATTTAAGGCACCAATACTTGCGGAACAGCACCCGAGCCTTGGTAAGCTCTCGACCAATTTCCTCATCGTCACCTCAACGTACTCTCATTTGCTCCATTTAATAAAGCTCCCTTCGATATGGAAGGTGTACGCCAAAGCTCGAGACTATTACGCTCTCGTGGCTCAATTCTCCTCCCCCAACAACGCCTACCACGGTCCACGATAGGCGTGTATCAGACACAAAGACGAGCCCTCACAAATACACCCCGTGGTCTCGCCCCAGAACCCCTCTTCAGCGGCTTTGGCAGTTCATCGCAACAGCATGGCGCACCTACTACATATTTCTCGAATCGATCTACCCTCCCCACCAATACCGTCGTGCGGTTCGTACCACAGCAAACAGCATGGATTGTCGAACGCATGGGAAAATTCCACCGTATCTTGGAGCCTGGTCTTGCACTCCTTGTTCCATTCTTAGACCGGATCGCCTATGTCAAAAGCCTGAAGGAGTCGGCTATTGAGATCCCGAGTCAAAACGCCATCACTGCAGACAATGTCACATTGGAGCTGGATGGAGTGCTATACACGCGTGTCTTTGATGCATACAAAGCGAGGTTTGTCTCCATATCATTGTTTCTGTTTTTTATTCATAATTGCTTCTCGATCAGAAGCTAATTCATGTATTGAATCTAGTTACGGCGTTGAGGATGCCGAATATGCCATCTCTCAGTTAGCGCAGACGACTATGCGATCTGAGATTGGTCAACTTACTCTGGACCATGTTCTGAAGGAGCGTGCTACTCTCAATACCAATATCACACAGGCTATCAACGAGGCTGCACAAGTCTGGGGTGTTGTCTGTCTCCGATATGAGATCAGAGATATCCATGCGCCAGAGGGCGTTGTAGCTGCGATGCACCGCCAGGTAACCGCCGAGCGGTCTAAGCGAGCAGAGATATTGGATTCGGAGGGTCGTCGCCAGAGTGAGATTAATATCGCCGAGGGTCACAAGCAGTCCGTCATTCTGGCCTCCGAGGCTATGCGGGCTGAACAGATCAACCTTGCTACTGGTGAGGCTGAGGCTATCCGACTCAAGGCTGCTGCTACTGCTCGTGGAATTGAGTCTGTTGCAAAGGCTATTCAGGATGGCCAGGAACATGCCCATAGTGCTGTCAGCCTGAGTGTGGCAGAGAAATACGTCGAGGCATTCTCTAACTTAGCTCGTGAGGGTACGGCTGTTGTGGTTCCAGGAAATGTTGGTGATCTGGGTGGTATGATTGCCAATGCCTTGGCTGTATATGGAAAGGTTAGCGAAGGCCAGGCCAAAAGCATTGCTGCAAAGACTATCAGTGCAAACAACTCTTCTTCCAAAGAGACTGAATCGGAGGTCCCCCAAGCCGTGAAGGGTGTTGGAGAAGAACAGGAATAAGTGTATTGATATACCTAGGTCAAATGTCGACTCCTCTCCCTTAACTTGTGTGTGACTAACTTGTCTTGTTATTCTACATCTGATCTGACCATGTTGCTTCTCCTCTCTGTAATCTCCTTACCCTTGCCCGTGTCTTCTCTACTCCTGCCTCTTCTCGTTCTCTGGCATTTTATCAAGAGTCTAGAATGTACACGTTACTTAGGCTGCCGTGGGACTTGATTGATAACTTTCCACTATTTATGTTCGGTTGTACGACCATGGCATAGAAAGAAAAGGGAAGGGAATAGCGAGTCTGTACTATAATCAAAAAGAATTATCTGTTACTAGATATCATATTTAGTCAGTAGGTGTTGGAATATGGAACAAAGCAGTCATGTGATCAAATTGTTACTTTATAATAGATAGCAAACTAAGAATGAAAACCAGACTTTACAACCACTTCAAGAGGACACAAAGATATCATAGGGGCGTAAAGCGTTACCTGTGATAGGTGTCAGAAGTGGGCGTTAGCCTCATCACATTTATCGAATAGCTATTCCACACTTGGTACAGGTGTACCGACAGTAGGATTCTAGGTAACTAAATACGGAGTGTAGTTAATTAACTAAATAGTAGTTACCCATTAGGTAATTATAAATACGGAGTTGATAATTCTCCGCTCAAACGCGAAAGGGAGCTCGGGCCACACGCCAAACCTGGAGATCGCGACTTTTCCATTGGGCGCGCCTTCAGTCAGTTTCTATTCTACCCTGACTATCAAACCGACTTATTTGATTCCATTAGTCTCCCCTCATACCTACCCTCCATCATACTGCTCTTTAGCCATACCTACTCCTGATCGAAAACCTGGTGGCCCGTGCTTTGGTCTACGATGGGCTTAACGTTTTAACACCTAATTTTGTTCCCATCACGATCCTAGATTCCTCCCTTCGCACCCACTTTCTCGCAATCCATATCTTGACTGTCTCCCTGGATACGACATATCTTCTTCGTTCAAGTGAACAACAACCCTCCACTTCTATCCGCCGGGACTTGCGCGCCCTGATTGATCTGCGCGATGCATATCATCAAGCCAGTTTGGCTAACTCACGGAGGTATGCAAATTTAGCAAACTTCTTCGCTAGAAATGGGAGTGATTTCCTGCTAGCTTATATAGAAGAGCCGTTGCATGGATACATATGCTAATTTCTTGTACCATAAAAGGTGAACGGAAAGACTTCGAGGTTTACAGTTGCGACGTATCGCCGGATGGAAAGAGACTGGTTACAGCTGCCGGAGGTACTTTTTCCAAAATCAAACTCTGCTTTACAGAATGTTTTTCTGACAATCATTTTTTCCGTGGGCCACAGATGGATACGTACGGATATGGTCTATCGATGCCATCTACAACTCTGGAGATTCAGCATCTGCTAGCAAACCAAAACAACTTGCGTCTATGAGTAATCACTCTGGTACGATTCACACAGTACGCTTTTCGCCAAATGGAAAATACCTTGCTTCAGGCGCAGATGATAAGATTGTTTGCATCTACACTCTGGATGCGAACCCGCCAACGCACGCAACATTCGGTAAGTAGATTCAATAGAAATCTGGCAAGAACTCGGTGAGCTGATGCTAATATGACTTTATGCAGGCTCGAATGAACCATTACCAGTCGAGAATTGGCGCACGATCCGGCGATTGATCGGCCATGATAACGACGTACAGGATCTGGGATGGTCACACGATTCATCCATTTTGGTATCAGTGGGGCTGGACTCCAAGGTAGTCGTTTGGTCTGGACACACATTCGAAAAGCTGAAGACAATTGCTGTACACCAGAGCCACGTCAAGGGCATCACATTCGACCCTGCAAATAAGTACTTTGCTACCGCTAGCGATGATAGATCAGTGCGCGTCTTTCGATTCACATCTCCCGCCCCGAACTCGACCTCCCACGATCAGATGAACAACTTCGTTCTTGAGCATACTATCACAGCCCCCTTCACCAATTCACCTTTGACCGCTTACTTCCGTCGTTGCTCCTGGTCGCCTGATGGCATGCACATTGCTGCTGCAAATGCGACCAATGGCCCTGTGAGCTCAGTGGCTATCATCAATCGCGGCTCCTGGGATGGTGATATTAACCTGATCGGGCACGAAGCACCAGTTGAAGTGTGTTCATTCTCTCCACGTCTGTACGCAAGAGAGCCAGTGAATAAACAGCAGGCGGAGGGTCCTCCGCAACACCATATTACGGTCATTGCAGCCGCGGGTGCGGACAAGTCACTGAGTGTCTGGATCACGAGTAATGCTCGGCCCGTCATGGTTGTCTCGGAGGTAGCAGGAAAATCGATTTCGGATTTAGCATGGACGCCTGATGGAACGTGTGTTTTCGCTACTTCCCTAGATGGGACAATTTTTGCGGCAAAGTTCAAGGAGGGTGAATTGGGGTTTGCCACGGAGATTGAAGAGAACGAGAAGTCTCTAACAAAATTCGGTACAAACCGCAAGGGTGCCGGTATAACAGAGACTATTGATGGATTGCTTTTGGAAGAAAATAGCAAAGCTGATGAAATCAAAGGCGTTGAAGGTCGAATGGGCGCGCTGATGGGTGATGGCGCTGGAAGTGTCAACGGTGCTCCTGCTTTGCCATCAAACGTCACAACCCCAGCGAAAGGTCCTTCACCAGCTCCTGAGCCAGTGAAACCACAGACAAACGGTAACACGCCCACAACTGCGAATGCTGAAAAGCCGGACCCATATCAAGCTAAGCTAGAAAGACTGAAGCAACGTCCAACCTTCACAAAAGACGGTAGGAAGCGTATTGCTCCTCTATTAGTTTCTGGAACTGGGGCCGGTGAGTCTTCCCTTCCTCAGTCCCGTTTGATGGCTTCTGTAGCAAGCCAGGTGAAGGGTGACACCCCGACATCCATTGTTGATCTCTCTAAACCTTTTGATGGACTGCCTAAAGGCGGATTAACCGCGCTTCTTCTTGGAAACAAACGCAGGTTGGGTCATATTGATGGGGATGAGGAGGGTCTCGTTGAAAAGCGCATCGCTTTGGCAAGTCAGAATGGCGCAATACCGATTATGGCTAACACGCCAGATGGACTTCTCCCTGCTCAGACACAGCCTCCGGCAACCGGTCAGCAGCCAACCCCAGAATTCATACGACCTGCAGTCATCAATCCTTGCATGTCGATTAGTACGCTTCGGCTCGCGGTGCCAAAGATCCGGAGTCAGATCCTACGGGCGCTGGATTTCAGTGGAAACCCTACTGAGCCGCCCCCTCCTGGTGGGGATTCCAGTAGTAGATCGCGAGTAGATGTGGTGTTTGAGGCTCGGAATCCTTCACCAGCCAGCTTGACTGGTCGGATGGTGGATCGAGAGCCAGTACGTCTAACTCTCTTTCGAGGAGAACAACCATTGTGGCAGGACTTCCTCCCAAAAACTGTTATCCTTGTGACGGGTAATCAAAGCATGTGGGCTGCTGGTTGTGAGGATGGTTCCATCTACATCTGGACACCCGCCGGTCGACGTCTTGTGAGTGCTTTGGTTTTGGAGGCCCAGCCCGTGATTCTAGAGTGTAATGGACCATGGCTTCTATGTATCACCGCCGTTGGAATGTGCTATGTCTGGAACGTGAAATATCTCTCTTCTCCCCATCCACCCGTCTCCCTTCAGCCCGTTCTCGATAGTGCAATCCACACTTTGAGTACCGCTCCCACCGCTGCCCCCGCGATCACCAGCGCTCGCCTCAATTCTGAAGCTCGGATTACTGTGTCTCTGACGAACGGAGATGGATACTGTTATTCACCCACCATGTACACATGGCAACGGATCTCAGAATCATGGTGGGCCGTTGGTAGCCAGTACTGGAACTCGACCGATGCCCCTGTGGGCAATTTGCAGGCTGCAGACCAGCCAGACAACAAGGGTACCAAGGCTGCAGTTGGGGCTGGCATTGTCCCCTTCATGGAACGCAACACCACCACGGAGACTTTGCTTCGTGGCCGAGCATACTACCTGCAGCGACTTGTAAAGGTCTTGTTATCCCGTGAAGGCTATGAGACCTTTGAATCTAGTGTTTCCATCGCCCATCTTGAGAACCGGTTGGCTGCTGCACTCTCTTTGGGCTCCAAGGAAGAGTTCCGTCTGTACTTAAACATGTACGCCAAGCGTCTTGGTGCTGAAGGTCTCAAAATGAAGGTTGAAGAACTCCTGAGGGGGCTAATATGTGGAATCTTCGAGGATGAAGAAGGTTTCGATATCGCGAAGCTGCAAGAACATGAGCGTGAGGGTCGTAACTGGCGCGAGGGATCTCACGACATTTGTGGCTGGCCTCGGGAGACTTTGCTGAGGGAGGTTATTCTGGCTCTCGGTAGGTCTTGTTCACGTCTTACTACGGCTCATCTAGGTCATTGTGTGTTCATTGGCTAACATAGATACTACAGGTAAATATCGGGAACTTCAGCGTGTGACTGTACCATATGCTAAGCTCCTAGATATGGTCGAGACCCCCAGCCAGGGTGATGCAATGGATCTGTGATTTCTGGCTTTTTTTTTCTTGTCTAGTGTTAACCTATAGCTTTTAGATGGCGTTTATGATTCCCTCGCATGGACTTAGGTTGGGAATATGGGCGCTTCAATGATTGTTTTGTTTTATAATTCAGATCACTACACGACTCTGGAAGACGAGAAAGGGTGTAAGATGTCTGTTTATTTTTTATTTATCCAGAGCAAAAGGTCTAATCATCTGGTCTTCATTTTTTTTTTTTTTTGACAGGAGTTTGACCAGAGACGAATGGAAAAGCGCAATGGTAGCGAAGTTTCTGGGGTGCTAGCCTGGTATTCATGCCATTATCCCTTTATGATCAGAGGAATTGACATGATTCTGCCAAACCTTCAGCTTTCCTAAGCTGTACTATAGTAGTGGTACCTCGAAATGACGTAGGGCAGGGCTTCTGATTCACGTGGGCGGTCAATAACCACAGGCAGAAAACTTCAATGACATCTTTCTATTCAGCTTCTCTATCAATATAAGCCTTATTTGCTTGTTCTTTTTCGAAGCCAATTTCAATTGACTGCTGCTCACTGCTATTGTGGGCTAATTCGTCATCACGTTTTTCCTAACTGTCCCCGTTTTCTTCCTTCGTATCGTCGATCGATCCGCAGCTGGTACTGCACTTACCGCGAGTCCCTGTGCCCGCTTCCGCCTTTGCTCTCCTCCCCACCTCCAACCTTTTTCCTGTCGCTTCTACTCCAGCAAAAAGAAAAAGTCCAATAAAATGGCTCCCAAAAAGGCTGTTGTTCAAGAGAAGGTCCTTTTAGGCCGTCCTGGTAACAACTTGAAGAGCGGTATCGTATGTGAGCACTGACCCACCCTTCCTTTTTTTCACTGGGTTTTTTTCTTTTTCGCGACAGCCCACTTTTTAATTCCACACACAAACTATTTAAACCTCCTTGCTCCCTGCATTCCTTTGCTTTTGTTTTTTCTTTCCCTCCTTTCAACCATAAAATCATCGTGATTTTTCGACATGTCTTGATGAAACTAACAATAGTCCTAGGTTGGTCTTGCCAACGTCGGCAAATCGACTCTCTTCCAGTCTATCACTAAGTCCTCCCTGGGTAACCCGGCCAACTTTCCCTATGCCACCATTGACCCTGAGGAGGCCCGCGTCATCGTTCCCGATGAGCGGTTCGACTGGCTTGTTGAACACTACAAGCCCAAGTCGCAGGTTCCCGCGAACTTGACTGTGTACGATATTGCCGGTCTGACCCGTGGTGCCTCGACTGGTGCTGGTCTTGGTAACGCTTTCTTGTCTCACATTCGGGCTGTCGATGCCATCTACCAGGTGGTGCGCTGCTTCGATGATGCCGAAATTATCCATGTCGAGGGTGACGTCAACCCCGTTCGGGATCTGACTATCATCAGCGAGGAGCTCCGTATCAAGGATATCGAGTTCGTGGAGAAGGCCCTTGAGGCCTTGGGCAAGCAGACCCGCCGTGGTGGCCAGTCCCTTGAGATGAAGAAGCTCAAGGAGGAGGAAGCCACTACTGGCAAGATTCTTGAATGGTTGAAGGATGGTAAGGATATCCGTCAAGGCGACTGGAGTCCCAAAGAGGTATGTGAAACTCCCTTCACTTTGCTTATTTTCGCTGCACCTTCCTCCCGACTTTATATGATGAATAAGAGCATAGCTCGACATTATAACCCAGCTCGATGAGTGCCCACATGCACGTTGAGATAAAAAACCCATACTGAAAAAGATTGTCGTCTTTGGAGTGTTATTTATTCAAATCACCCACACATTTCAAAATATTGATGACTAACTCTGAATGTTTAGGTTGAGGTTATCAACCCCTTGTTCCTCTTGACTGCTAAGCCAGTCGTGTTCTTAGTCAACCTGAGCGAGAAGGACTACATCCGCCAGAAGAACAAGTACCTCCCCGGTCTGTTCGAGTGGATCAAGACCAACGCCACCGGCGCCGCCGTCCTTCCCATCTCTGCTCAATTTGAGGAACGTCTGACCCACATGGGTGACGAAGCTGCTGCTGAGGAGTGCAAGAAGCTGGGCACCAAGTCTGGTTTGCCCAAGGCTATCACTGCCATGCGTCAGGCTCTCCACTTGGCCAGCTTCTTTACCACTGGTACGGATGAGGTCCGCCAGTGGACTATTCGCAAGAACATCAAGGCTCCCGCTGCTGCTGGTGTCATCCACACTGACTTTGAAAAGACTTTCATCCAGGCCATTGTCTATAACTACTCTGTCCTGAAGGAGCTTGGTGATGAGGGCGCCGTTAAGGCTGCTGGTAAGATCATGACCAAGGGTAAGGATTACATTGTCGAGGACGGTGATATCCTGCTCATCAAAGCCGGTGCTGCTAAGAGCTAAATGCATTTCTCTCCATAAATATGATTAAAACATTTTGTGCAGGACATAGTTCCTATTCTATCCATTGTAGCTTCGTAGTTTCTCAGTTACGAGGCTTTCATTAGCCTAGGTGGATTTTACTTGGTCGTTGCTCACCTGGGCAGATTTCCAACGATCGTAACTGTACTCCGTATCCGTGGACCTGGGTATCGATATCAACTCTTATCACGGGCTCTTAAAAAGAAGGAAACATTCGATCTGCCACATTCCAAGGAATAGTGATCGATAGTGGAAATTCTACCCAAGTACTCCGTGCTCTTACACCAGATTATCTCGAGGCTGTCAAGTCACGGGGCTGTATATAAAAAATATCACGTGCCTCCCCGCGCATCCCACTTCTGGCTGTGGATAAACTTGACAGCCCCAAACCAACAACCAGCACCATGTTTAAGAAAGAGTGAGTTCAATGTTTTCTTCGATGGTCATACTACCTGGTACACGGTTCAAGAGCACAGTTCATACTGAGAGGTTCTACCCTACTCATGAGAATGGATCAAACTGCCCCCATCACTGAAATACAATTTCAAGCTTCAGTTTGGCCAGCCCGGTCCCTACAGAAGCTTGAGAATAAACATATACTCTGAATATATCAGATGGAATATTTACTGAGACTTGAGCAAGAGCTGACTTGTCCTACCTATCTAGTATCCCACCGAGCAATCGCTCCAAGGTCAAGTCCTCCGTGCAGCGGGGCCTGCGCCAAAAGCTGTTGGAGACATATCCCGGCTTCGAGCCTTACATTGAAGAGATCATGCCCAAGAAGGCATCTTTGGAGGCTGTTAAGCTGTATGTGACCCCAAATATCCAAATCACCAACGAACCAAATTACAACCCAAGTCAAAATTTGTTTCTCTGAATCACCCAAACTTTGCGAGACGTCGAACAAAGAAGAAGAGAGAGACAAATATCTGATTAACATGTACAAAACAGTCCTGAGCGCATAACTCTCTACACAATTGACTCAACTCCCATCTTCTTCCAACCATTTGACGGTCCCCCAATTCCCCATCTTCGCATCATTCACGCCTTCCCTTCCGCCCTCCCAACCGTCCAGATCGACCGCGGTGCAATCCGCTTTGTGCTCTCCGGTGCGGCACTTATGGCCCCGGGTTTAACATCCCCGGGTGGACGTCTTCCAGATGCCGAACACGCCTTACAAGCCGGGCAGATTGTTGCTGTCAAGGCAGAGGGCAAGGAGGAGGTTTGCCTCGTTGGTGCCTTGAAGATTGGCACTGAGGAGATGAAGAGCAAGGGCAAGGGTATTGTCATGGATGAAGGACATTACTTGGGTGATGGACTGTGGAGAATGCAGTTGGATTAGATTTGAGTTTGGATTGGAAGGCTCTTTTTTTTTTTCTTATGAGTGATATCCCTCTGATGATGATCTTACGATGACCTGAAAAAATACATGATCGAGTTCTTGTTTGTTTGGTGCTTCCTATCTATTGAACATGGTTTCTTTTCACTACTGCTTGCAACCCATGCTAGTTCATACCATCAATCCCGGTCTTGTATACTTCGTGTGTCTTTTGATCTATATATGATATTAAGTAAATATACCATCTGATGCCTATCCATGGATGTAACTTGCTCATAGCTAGCCCTTTACTGTTCCTTCTCTACCGTTCTTACTAAGCTCTGTAGGTCCTCTACTGTTCTGCCTCGACTGAACACGACCTCAGGACAGCTTATCTTCGAGCGCATCCATGACGTTGTCGTGCGCGTTGGTTTCTACGTTGAGCCATAGACATTTAAGTGCAGAGATTTTCCCTATTTTTTTCCTCTTTCTTTACTTTTTCTTCACGCCTCTTTTCGACTTTTATCAGGCCAACCCCCTCATTCCCTTCCCTTACTTTCTGTGCCACTAGTACTTCATTGAACAGTATACAGATAAGTGCATATGCCCCCACTGACCTCAGATCACTCACATTAAGTTGGTGATGCATCATCTGGCGGGACCCCCTTCCTTTGGCCTAATACTTTACTGGCCAATATCTAGGACAATATATATGCCTATGATGAGAAATCATTTTGAGGCTCCAGAGCTATTCATCAATTGATCTGAATTTCCCCTCATACCTAGGTATAGATAGGTAGGTGCCTATGGTGATATTCTATTCTGAGGCGTCTGGATTACCATTTGAAAATCGTAGAACGTACTTTTAATTCCATGTCTCAGCCTTCAGCCTTTTTTACCTAAAAGGAGTGGTTTATTTCACTTCTGACCTTTTTCTTCCTTGCCCGATAACCCTTGTGGCTAATGGTAGAGGAGAAATGGTACTATAGGGGTGCTTCATTTGAAGTTAGAACAATGAGGGCATTCTTGAAGCAGAGTGCTTCCTAGATTGGTCATGGATGTGGATGTGGACGCCTACGCTTTAGATAGGGCTGAGAGCCGCATTAAAGAGATGGAAGTTCAATATTATGTCTGTACACTCATACAAACTGCCACTTCGGCGCACGACTTCTTCCAAGGTTATGTTTTTCTGTCTCTCCAGTTGGAAGTATGCAAGTATTCAAACTTATCTATTGTCTAATCTAAAGCCTACCTAGATACCTACGCAGGGATGTGATTCAATCTTGGAAGGGCTTCCAAGGATCATATCTTTTGACTTGTAAATTGTACCTACCCATGTACTTGGGGCTTCAGAATGCATTCCATGGGTGGTTTGGCCCATGTTACATGTATAATATAAGGGCCTGTGAAAATGATGCCGAAAATCAGCCTTCTTGCTTTTTTAGTTTATCTAGGTTGGAGATCGACGAACGTTCACGATTGATAGATCGTTGGACTTCATCGGATACTTCTGCAGACTTCCAAGGTTAGAGAAGGAAACTTAACTTACGGCCCAATCGGCGTAGCTCTCTCCAAAGGTCGCCGGTCAGTCTTGGATAACTTGGTCAGTTCGCAGGTTATGTAGTGGTGACAACAGGAACTCGGGTGTCACTGTCGGATTGTTGTTGATTTTGGCCAAATCATTGTAGTTTCTATTATAATGAGTATTAGATGTTGATGTTAAATAACTATAGTTTCACTCACTTAGCAGTTGATCGAGTCTCCCTCCATGGCTGCGAATCCGGCGACGACTCGAGAATCCAATGCTTCGCCTCGAGAAAGGGTGGTGAGGTTGGCATTTTTTACCGTGAATTGCGCTGTCAAAAACAAGGCAATGAGCGCATTAAGTACCGCAATCAAGGCGGCGAGGGCAATACGACCATTCTTACGATTCACACCTGGAAGGTATTTGTCTGCGCACTTTGCTAGGTAGGCTATCTGATTCGTTTCAGGAACCTTATTAAGTCTGCTTTGGAAGGTTCAATCACAGTTTGAAGAATATTCCTTTGTAGTATTTGATTTCTCGTTGTTGGCTTTATCGTATGTCGACAAAGTGAAAGTAAAATGATTTTGCATCACTTTGATAATAAAAATGGTCCTTCACGAAAGGCAAATACAAGTTTTAATGCGTTATCTTCGGTCAATATCATCAGTATGTTGAAGTTTAGATGCATAGATATCTTCTGTTCACTTGAGTACTCCTGCTAGCTTCCCTCATATCCAAGTGTAGAAGTGACAGGAATATACTAGTAGGAATCCACTACCAGATCGGTGGATTGTCTACGGTGTTGAGTAGCAGTTAGTTGAAGATCACCAATCCTTATTTACTGCAGTAAACTCCATATCATTTACTGCAGTAAAACCCCGTTCTCAGTTATCGGCGACTAGCTAGCTCGCTCGCTAAGCGAGCGACAGATTTAGCTTGGGCCAGTTGGCAGATTACGGTCACCAAATTAATATAGGAAGAAGAGGGGTATGATGTTAATAAATGTCCCTTTGTGAAGGGTTTGAAGGATTGGTTGGACCGCATGTTCAGCCGAGAGCCTATAGAGGTGATTGAAGAAGCTCAGAGGCTGTAAATCCTTGACTTCCCACCTATCTGGTTATTCCTATTTACCAGCCTGACGCCCTCTATAAATAAATGAGCATTATATTGGATCGAGTTAAGTCTTCTGGGAATACATGTAATTAGTGGAGTTCATACCTAGAGAATTGAGGTCAAAATATGCTTCATTAGGTGTCCGAGGGCGGCTAATAAACTATGATTCTGGAATGCCTACGATAAAAAGTTATACCTAGGTCCATATTAATATCAGCATGAAATCAACTCACTCATGAGTGCTAAGTCGGTCCCCCACAGCATATCGGCGACATTCGTGGATCCATCGTGCGCCAGGACACATGTGTCCTCAAGATCCTCTAGAACACGTTCAATCCATTGAGCTCTGCCGGATGCGTGGAGAATTTGAGCCACTATGTGATGAATTTCGATTAGTTCCCTAGATGGCAAGTCGAAGTGGGTGCCATGTGCACTGAACTGCACAGTATTAATTCTTCGTACACGTGTGAGGACTCGTGGTTGCCAGAGATGTGGGGTGTATTGGTCCTGGAGGCCAGTGGCTACTAAAGAGAATTTAAACTCGCCGAATTGATCATGAACCTCTTTAGCCATAGTGATCAGATTCCGATGGTCGTTTATGTCATCATGCGCGAAGAGTACTGCGAGATCATCGAGAATTGGAAAGCACCATCTGATTGATGTCCAGACTTCTGACCTTTCTCGAGCCTTTGTATCACTAGTGAATGCTGAGAGCGAAAATGGTAAAATATGGGCACATTGAGTGTCACATGTATCTCCTTGAAAGCTGGGGGGCATCTTCTGTTCGTCTGGGGCAAGAGTGATAGCGCACCGATTGTTGTCGCGTAAAAGACAATCTTCCTTGAGGCCTTTCAGCCTCTTAGCTGTGACTGTCATTTTGCTGTACTGATTCTCGACCTCACATTGCATCCCCGGCCGTGGAGATAGAGGTGTGGAGGCTGGAGTTTTACGGGCCCTCATTGGGAGGAGAACATGGTGCACTAGAGATTCCATATATTGATTAAGCTGAGGATCCGTCATGTGCAAGATGTCTCGTTCCATGGAGACTCTTCCTGCACGGGGGAGAAAATCTAGGAACGCTTGAATAACTCTGACGGTATCATCATCAGGACCTGTTGGTTGATACTGAGCAAGGCGGGGGGTGAATGGGGGGAGGCGGGGGAGGCAGGGGATTCATCTTTGATAGAAGAGGCGTCAAGCTTGGAATGATTGGTAGTTTTGCTGATAAAGTTGCAGCGGAGGGTACTTTATTGAGTATTCGGGGTTTGAACTGAAGCTTCGCGTTTTGAACGAGAAACTGTGGTAATGTAGTCACATGACTTCGTGAATCACCTTAATGGGCGCATTGAAATTTTTAGTCTTGAGTGAAGTTGAGTGAGAAGTGAACAAAATTGAGGGGATGCAAGTGATCTAAATACCCCACTACCTACACTAGTTCAGTATCTTGCTTCGCTCACAATTATTGAACACACATCTCCACAATGCCTTACGACAAAAGATTTGAGCTACTAACTGACCGGCATCAGCGATCTGGGATATGGTCAGCGAGTTTCTCAAGATCATTTCGCGAATTAGCTCCCGAGTAGATTGTGTTGTATTGTTTTCAGGTAATGAATGTGGTAATATCATGTTCAGAAAGAGATGGATAGTTTTAATTGGGAAAGAATAACTTATTTACTTTTGGAATATCGGACAAACGACACATCACGAATCCCTGTTCAGAGAGCATCGCAAACGACAACCTTGAACAGTATGCATATAACTGTGATGTCCCGTCTTTACCGACTATTCTGTCTTAGACGATGGAACACATTCGTCTCAGACAGAAGAGCGACTTGTAGGATAAATAGCTAGTCCTCACCTTGAATGAAAAACCAGACTTTACAACCACTTCAGAGACACAAGATATTATAGGGGCGTAAAGCGTTACCTGTAATAGGTGTCAGAAGTGGGCGTTAGCCTATCGAATAGCTATTCCACACTTGATATAGGTGTACCGACAGGTACTAGCTCGCTCAGTGAGCTAATCAGGGCGCTCAGATTTCACTCAGTGAGCGAATCAGACCGCTCACTGAGTGCTCCCTGAGTGGCATCTGATAACTACTCAGTGAGCAGATCAGGGAGCTTATATAATGCTCAGACACGTGCTAAGTTCTACCCAGGGAGCAAAAGCAGCGAAGGGGTGAGCACTAATACGGAAGGGGAATGCTAAGAGCTGGCATGGAAAAAACGGTACATAGGTACACTTCAAATCCAAATACAAACCTTGGAAGCTTTAGCATTCATAAATACACCTGGACAGCTTAGATGCCATCATCTTGCTCTATACACTACAGTTTCATATAGAAATATGCTAAGTAACCTTGGAATCCTTTTTTGAGAGTGCATTAAGCAAGATCCATGATTAATTAGTATTATCATTGAGCGAAGCGAGACTATTATAGGGGCTCCAGGGCTGTCTCTGTCTACGGCAAGGTTTGATTGAAGTCATTGAAGTAATGGTACTTAGTTATGATATTGCTGATCCATTCGATTGCTATGTGACTGCCAATATGAAATAAACTTGTAAACTGCCATACAGAATGCAAAATATAAACAATCACGTGAAAAGACGATGCAGGTGGATTAGGGGAAAGAGAAATATTCAAGGCCACGCGCCTATTGCAAGCACAAGCGGTGCTAGTGAAGAAATCGGTACGTAACCAAATCGCCAATGAAGGCGAATATGGAACAAAAGTGGCAAGCAATCGAACGTAAAAGAAGTCAAAATTCGTAAAACTCAATTCAGTATATGTGAAAAAAACCAAAGCATTGTAACAAACATAATAACACTAAAACAACGGGGTATCGGTTGCATGATAATAACATGATAGGCAAAAAAGTCAAAAGATCAAACCGAGATAAGCACCTGTAAAGCGAAGTGATAAATGGATAATAGTAAATCGATGTAAATTCCAGCTCGGCTGGGGAATTGACAGTAGAGCCGAGCTGGAATCTGTACAGAGAAGATGAAGAAGAATGACAGAAGCAAAGCGGTGCAATAACTCCAATAGGGAAGAGTAGATCCGAGAAAAAACAGACATTGGAAAAGAAAACGCAAACTCAATAATGGTCATTCAAGAGTCAAGAGTCTCTCACTCCAGATAGGCCGGATGTTCGGTCCTCAGTAGACGCCGTGTATGCACCAATTCATATCATAACGTAGAGGAGGCTAGTTCACATCTCCATGCCATACTCATCCTCTTCCTTAAAGCTCATCGCGGCATGGCCGGCGCTGTTCCAGAATTGAGGTTGGCCATTGATACTGCTGGCGCCACTGTGGAAAGAAGGGCTCAGGTTGGGTGGGGTGAGTCCGTCACTGCCGCCTGAGACCGGGTCACCGGCGAGGTTGGTGTGTCTTGGCACGCGGAGACCGCTACCAGGGCCACGAGTGTATGCAAACGAGCTAGGGTCGTTGCGCTCTAGAGCCTCTAGGATCTCGCTACGCATACGTTTCTCCTCCTCGGTAGGCTCAAAGGGCCAATTGCCACCGAGGTTGCTGATCATTTCGGCGAGCTCAGCCTCTTGCTGGTACTTGACGTGCAGAGCCCACATCAGGTCACGCATCCAGCTCACGGCTCCATTGAGAATGTCACCCTTGTTGGGGCCCTTCTCCTTCTCTTCAATGGGAAGACCCATGGTGATATTGCCAGGAGTGGCTCGGCGACCATTGCCTCCAGCAAGGAGAGAAGTGGCGGCATTCCCATTGGCACCAGCTATTGAGAGAGCATTGTTGTTCACGATTTGCTTTCGAACCTTGTCATCCTCGAGACGGTGTTGCGGTACCAGGTGGGAGAGATCTTGGATGCGCTCATTGATATTGTCACGACGTCGACGCTCCACTAGGTTATGAGAGGCACGACGGCGACGACGTTTAGCCTCCTGGGATTCGAGGTCCTGGGGATTGCTCGGCATATGAAGATCCACCTTGGCCGGCAAGGATGCGTGCTTCCCAGATGCAATAATCTCCGAAATTCCAGCATGATGAGGGTGGCCTGGGGAAGAAAGTGGAGATTCGGCATAGGACTGTGCGCTGCCTGGAGTTCCATCCCATTGATTTGACAGACTCTTCTGGTGGCGGTGTGACAGACCGCCTGTGCGAATGGGTTGGCCGGGGAAACTTCCCGAGTCTGGGGTGCCCAAGTTCAAGTTCGCCAAAGCGGGGGTCTTGGGGGTCCGTGGGCTACGTGTATCCGAGGAGGTGCGATCCATTGCCTGAAGGCCAGGGCGGGCCTTGTTCATGTAGCTCTGGTCAAAGGAGTTGGCATTCATGTGCGGGGCTTGTTGGTTCATTCGGAACTGCTCGTAGTTGAAGCTGTTCTGGACAAAAGGGCTAGCCATCGGGGCGCCGTCAGGAGTGTTGGAATAGAGATTTGACATTTGGCTCTGGTGGCTCATAGCGATACCTCCGGTGGACTGGTCCTGCATGTAGTTCATGTTATCACCACGGGAGGAGTTATTGTGTCCGTTGATCTCAAGGTCCAATAGCTCATCGGTATCGATTCCGGAATTGCCAAAGTTGAAACTAGAAGACATGTTCTGTTGCGAGCCAAATGAGAAGGGCATGAAGCCACTCTGCTGCATTGACAAGTCCGATGGGTCAATCCCATCGTTGGGATTCCCAAATGGGTTACCCATGTAACCGGAGTGAGACATAAAGAAAGGATTGCTGCGATCGTCAGATTCGTGCTTGATCATGAAAAGACTTGCTTCGGCCATGTTCGGGGTCCAGGAGATCCTTTGAGGTTGAAAGGGGAAAACGTGGGGAGTTGCGGGTTGAATGTGGAAGAAAGGTTGTCGCGTTTCGAGTTACTGACCCTCTCTAGATAAACTAATGCCCAAGATACAGGTAGTCCACAATTCTGGATTACCGGGTATAGACGAGGTTCGAGATCTGAAGAGTAGTGAGATTATTAGTGGACAGATCCATCGGAAATAGATGGCATAAGTTCGGCAGATGGGGTTCTGCCGGGTGGAACAAGGCAACCGGGGTGTGGGGAGAAAAGAGGGGTTTTGAATCATTCGATTTCATCACATACCTTATCAAAGTTGAATTGTAGAAATGGAAGACAGAGTTGCCCTGTTCGTAGTAGTTGGCGAAGTATTGTCCAGGGGAAAAAAGGTTGAATCAAAGTTTAGGGTGGGATGAGTCGACGGAAACTCGGGGGACAATTGTCCGGGGATTATTTGTAGATCAAGCCCGAGAGTGAAAAGGGACTGTTCAGAAGAACAATAAGCAATCTGACAATAAGAGGGGAAATGATAAAAGAAAGGAAAAGCCAAGATTCAAGACCACAAAACAAAAACCTGTATCAAGTTTCGCTATGGTCCGTCAATTCGGCAACAGAAGGGAAAAGACTGTGGAGAGAAAAAGGTGGGGGAAATAAAGAAGCGGTGGAGAGAAAAAAGATTAAGGGCGGTGAGCCTCCTTTCCCACGCTCGACCATATTCATGCCCTTAGCCCTGGCACTGGACGCACAGATTGCAATTTCAAACACAAAGTCCACGTAAGATGAAAATGAAAGATGAGAAGGGAAATTTGAGCTGCTCCTACCTCCAAGTGATCCACTGATCATATAAATCCAAAGATGAGATGATAATGATATAGTTCAAGTCTTGGTCTGCTTGTTTGTTAGACCATAACTTCAATGTAATAGGCCAGCAAAAACAGTTGAACAATCAACAGGGTGATCGCAGCTCAGAGACCAATGATCAGAGATCAGAGATCAGAGAACAACATCCACTCATATGGCAACACGTCAATATCCGCAGAGCCCCTACACGTGGCAGGGGAGGATCTAGTTGCAGACAACAAAGACTGCATGCAGGAACAATACCGCGGCCTCAACAAGAAAAAAGGAATCAATCAACAAAAAAAACAATAACGTACCTGCAATAATATTTCACAGAAAGTATACTCGAAAAAGATATACAAATCATGAGGTTTGAAGCTGTAAGAGTGGGGGGAAAGAGTTGGAATGGATGGGAGGGGGAGCCAGTTATATATAGTGCCAAACAGTGTTCATTAAACACTTGCAGAAATGGAGGAGAGAGGCAGTTTAAGAACTCAAGAGGACTGATATATTACAACATCGGTCATGCAGCCCGTCGATCGGTGGGAATCGATGAGGCTTGCCGTGCTTCGGCATCGGACATGATCAATAATAGGCATTTTATGATTTATTTATCTAACTATTTAGTATTTTATTTACCTACTTACCATCCACCCTCTTTCCCAAAAGGTCCCAAAAGATTTTTTTTTAAAAAAAAAAAAAAAAAGGATAAGAGGTGTGGGTGGGCTTAGGAAAGAGGGGCAGTGTACATGGGTGGCAACGGGAAATCCCGAGCCTCTGACTTTATGATAATCAAAAGACGGAAAGTAATCTTACTAGATCTAGTACTGGTAATGACAATAAAACAAAAATAACGAAATATACAGAAACTTGGATGAAGGGGGGAAGGGTGATACAGCCGGATTCGGTAAAAACGGCCATCCCATGATGCCCGTGGTTGTTTGTCACCTGTACTCTAAGTCATGACTCAGAATAGATGGTTGGCACAGGCCAAAAAGAATGTATCAGATGGACGTGGGGTTACAGACATACCAGAATAACCAAGTTCTTGCAAGAAACCCTAATGTATAGATATGCATCGTCCCCGAAAGTCAGAAGGGTGTGGAGTAGTATGCGGTTTAGAGATCCCCCAATGACACCCATATGTTAATGGGATACGGACGATCTTCGGAAAGGCATGCAGGAGGTGAATTAGAGTAAAATGATACCTAGCTGAATCATAGATACCTATGTGAGGGGAAGTGGAACGGAGTTAGTAGAGATCGGCGTTAAAGAAGTAGTACTTATACAAGTAACCAGATGAAATATATATTTTAAAAACGGACAGAAAAACGTAAAACATGAACAGAGATAGAAAAAAAGAAAACCGGAGAGCAAAATAGAAGCCACGTTCGTAAGCCCTAAGCCCTTATCATGGTAAATGTCGTGCAGAGGGGATCGACCCGGAGCTTGGACCTTGCGATTTCTGCAGACTCATACACTGTCGTTTCCCGATGTGGTACTGGAAAGTGATTGCGTCGTTTCCCCCTCAAAGGCTACTGATCTAAAGGATGTGGCGGTAACCCATAAGAAGGGGGATTTGAATGTGTCTGAGCCCACGAGCCAATAGTATATCGAGTTGACACCACCCTTATCGAACCGAAACTGGGCACAACCCTAGGGTTTAAGCCACATGAAAATTGAAAGTTTCCTTTGCATCCAGGTCTCACCTTTTCGTTCTAGCTTCCGAAGAAAGATATAACGGTATGAATACTGAGAAGAAGTGGGAAGTGGGAGCCTAGTTGGTGTTGGGGCTTCTATCTAGTATGGGGATCAAAAGCGTGGATCTTTATCACGTCCCGTCCCGTCAAGGTTCGGAGGATATAGTACATGATACTATTTACAGAATTGCCTAGGTAGATATAATAAATACCATATAACACCTTTTTAGGTACCTAGGTAGGTCTTATTATAGCGGTCCTAGCGTCCTAGCGTCCTAGCGTCCTAGCGTCTTAGTGTCTTAGCGTCGATTACAAAGACCGCAATAATAGTGCACAGGACCCTGAAATGACGCAGTTGGTGCATACTAATATGTCGGGTATACTACGGAGAAATGATGATTAAGTACTTCGTCAACTAAGAGTAGATGGAAATGCTACCTTACCTCTTCTTTGAGTATATTTTGAATCTTTGGTTGGGGGTCGGATAATTTAGGCATCGTCGTACAAGCGGGTAACGACAGCCAGAAAGTATGCAGCACTGTATCGGAGAGTTATCGAGCCGCGTTGACGAACATTATACTGGCATTTGTCAAACCCCCAACCACCAACTTTCATTTATGATTCGGGCACCACGAGGAGGCGGGAATGTAAAGATCAAGTAATTCAAGAAAATACGGTGTGGAGGGAAGAGATTAAAGTTTTGTAAGATAAAGAGGAGAAGTAGAAGTCTGAGCACTTACAAATTGTGTTAGGTATATCAAATATAGCACTTAGTAGCTTTATCAAGTAGTTATATCAAGTAAAAAAGTAAATCAACCTTGGAAGTATTTCAAATATATAAAATATATCAAGTGTATCAAGTATATTTCGCATAGAAATCAATTCGAAAGTAGTTATCAAGATGTTCTAAACGATGTGGACTGTAGTGGGCTGTATTGGGGCTGTATTGGGTTGTAGTGGGGGATAAACTATGATGGAGTTGCTATATGGTCCGTGTTCTTACCTCTTCTGGTTTAGCTTACTTTACTCCAACCTCACTCCTTCCACTCTTCCATGTTTCTTACCATACCTAAGATCCACATCATCTGACGAACTCATCCAACACTTCCATCTCGTCATCCCACCTTTGCTTTACACGATAAGGCGCTTCTTGACCCAATCAACGCTTTTCTTTCCACATAACCTGCCTCCTCCGTTTTCCTCCTTCTCCCACTGGACTCGGAAGGTCTAAACCGTCTCTTTACACTTGGCGATTTCCCGGCGCGCGTCCCGTTCACGTCGTACCGCTACGCCTTCGATCGATCTGTGCCGCCACGGAAAACTCCCCCACTTACCTCCCCCTGTACTCTCTTCTCTCTTGTACGCTGAAGACCCCGTACATTGGCACGTATCAGTATTTTCCAATATACTTTGGAATTAAGCTTTTACGATCGACTTTCCGACTTCATCATCAGCCTTACCAGTTGGCCAATCCGAGCTCTTTTCTGCCGTAGGGATAGACATTCATACTGCAGCTGAGGCATTCAAACCCAGGCTGTAACCAAATTTCTTCGAAATAAAAAAACAGCAGGAGAATACGCGTTCAGCGCACACGTCATCTGCTCAGCTTGATCCTTCCAACCCAGCCCCCCACCACCCGCAGATCATCTGCATTCTGTGAGTAGTCCCTGCAGCCGTTTCTCGGTATTGGTATTCTCAGCCACCGTGCAGAAGCTCTAATTTCCAGTCTGGCATATCGATAAGACCAACAAGAATACGTTTAGAATTCTCACCATATTATCTCACCATGACTACCAACTCGTTTCGAGACACCGCCAACTCACTAGGCTGGTCGCGTAGGGACCCCGACTTTCCTGTACGGACGAATGCTTCTTCGGAAACTCCATTCCTCTCGCGACTGCAGTCGTTTAATCCGTTCGGGCAGGGTGGCTATGTCCAGCTACCCACTCACAATGAAGGCCCGGGTGCGCCTTTGCCAGCACCCAATCGTCGCGAAGAAGAAGAAGGTTTCTTTGCCTGTAAGTTGATTCTTATTTTTATATTATTTTATTTTCTACTTTTATTTTTCTTTTCACTTCCAATCATCGTGTGACCCGATTACACATTCCGCTCTGCCCTGAGCTTTGCTAGATGCGGGTGAATAGTGTGCCAGTTCCTGCGCCGGGATAATAATAACCAAGCTTTCTTTTCATGACTATGATCTAAAGCATCGCGATATATGCTAATCTAACTTGTGAATAGTGAGTCGATGGGATCGACTGCTCGTTTTTGGGGCTTGTAATCTGGGTGCTGCAGTATGCTTCATGCTCTGCTTTTTCCTGTTTCCTGTCCTCTTTCTCAAGCCCCGCAAATTTGCCGTTTTGTAAGTTGCCTATTCTTAGCATGATGCCCACCCCATTCCCGTTCCATTCCAACTCCATTCCATCCCCAAGCCTGCTTGTCTTCCACGGCATGGGGATCCGCCAGTCAAATCTTGTGCTAGTATTATCCTGGTCATGAGCGGGCTAGACTTTAGGCCATGTGCGAGTTCTGACTTACACGGTTGGAATCTGATTCGCCATCTGCTGCAAGCCATGTCCTACGCCTCATACTCTGTTGCCTTGTGCCAAGGAAATGCTTTAACCTCTTTTCATCTGGAATATGTGGAATATCTGGCTAACAGGATATTCTTTGTTCTCGGTATTAGGTGGTCTGTAGGATCTGCTCTATTTCTCCTATCATGGGCTGTCCTCATGGGACCTTTCACTTACGCCAAGCATCTGGTATCGGGACCACGCTTGCCCTTTACAGCGGCCTATTTTGGATCCATCGCACTCACTCTCTATTTCGCCGTTGGTGTAAGTCCCTCCGCTGCCGTTGTTTTCGCTTTACTTCTTTTTATCAATCACTCGCAACTCCAAGCACCCAATTTTCTACGTCGCACTTTGAATCGCGGTTGCACAATTCCGTCGGGAAAAAACGGGGAAGGGAATCTTGCATTCCTACGTTTTGTCTTGCGGTACTACGTGAACAAGATCTCCCTGGTCACGTCCAGGGATGGAGAGACCCATCATGGCCGAAAAGAGAAAAGGGTTGGTATGGTAGACATCACCTCCACACTCAACGGCTCTTGTGCAACCACGGAAAGTGTGACGACAAAAGAGTTTTCCTCGTCGAAAGAATTGAGATTATTACTGCACACACTGTCAGATTTTGGCGCTGTTACGACTCATATTCACTCATACCCCCTAATCACACATTCCTTTGCCTTTTTTCAGCCTCTGTCACCGTCACTGACGCACAGAAAACTAAACTAACTCTCTTCTTAGCGCCAAAACCTTCAACTCACTCTCATCTCCTCTATTTTCCAACTCGCCGCTTTGATATGGTACCTCGTTAGCTACTTTCCTATGGGCAGCACGGGTCTGCAATATGCGACTCGTTTCGGAGCGTCGCGCGTCTCTGCTTGGATGACTGGTTGATACTAATTATAGATATTATGGCTGGATATTCATTGTTTATGTTAATATTCTCGCTCCTCTTGAGGTCCGGTGTGTATTTGTATGGACGATGCTCTATTTAATACCCTTATTAAGCATAGTGGATATACCCTGCTTCAAGGACATCATCATTCAGCGCTTAAAGTAGACCATTTTGTTTAATCACTCAAGGTCAAAATTAATACTCTGTTCTCGACGGAGACGTCTAAAAAGCCTATGTAGATATTCTCCAGGACTGTCGAAAACAACTAAAGTTATCATTCCAAGATTGCCCAGGCTGCGCTCTTAAAAGCGATCCATGAATCTGATGTGGTTATGTCTTGCAAATGTATTTGCTTCTATAATCTGCCGACAGTAGTATTAGCTATATCCACCTGGGAAGTGCGATCCAATGATTTGGGAAGCTTACAACGAGAAGATAGAGCCTTGGAGCCCTAGATCACTCTGACGCAATTTAACTTACAGTTTTACTTTTCTCCAATTTTACCACATACGACCTGGAGAACAGTAGGAGAGAACAGGAAGCCAATAATCCGATTGATGTAGATAAAGATACTGAATTGGTGATATTGGTATAGGCGACAACACGTTGATCGGCTTCGTCGGCACGCTGCATAGCTATGGTCGTCTAAAATCTCTGTTAGTATTCCTCTGGTATCATGATAACAGCCTGTAGCTCTCACCTGCAGACTTTCCCATTTTTGCCGTTGTCAAAAATCAATATCTCGAAAGCGAAATTTGTCGTCTTGGTAGACCACCCAATATTTAGCGATGGGATACTCTACAATATCGGCTGTAATGTGATCAGCGGCCTCCAATGTTCCGTTTTTCAATGTGTAGTTTATTTTATGGGCCTTGATATTTGCACTGATCGCTGTATTTGCGACTTGCGCTAGACACGAATGTTCCTGGTGATTTCAATTGCGGACTCCACTCAATTCTTTGGAATTTTCAGAAGTAAGAACCCTTAAAAGAAAATGAAGGGATTTCAGCTATATTGAATATCTCATCAAGCTTAGACTTGTGCGAAAGAGGGCGACTGGATTTATGAGGTCTACTTTATGGAAGCTTTGTCTAGGTGCTTGAGCGCTCCTTAATTTTGATCTTACTTCCTAAATCTTCTAGTTTTTCTTTTCGCTTTTAGCTTTTTGCTCTTCGCTTTTGACTTTTGATCCCTTATGTATTGATACTCCCGGCCAGCGCAAGGCCTTGAGTGACTTCTTTTCACTTCCTTTCCCTCTTTTCTTCTACTTCTATAGCCACTTCCATATATATATATATTGCAGTATTTTTACGCTAAACTTGTTTTAAAGCCTCGTCAACAGTCAACTCAACTTTATTACCATCATACAGCATTCAAGTTCTAAATTCCCTCCCATATTCCTCAATCATTCTGTCATATAATACCGCTCCTTTCACCATACTCCGTACAAGGCTAGCCAATAGAAGCACCGAATGATATTTTTATTTTAAATACTTGTGAGATTTTGGACTAAGTGTTGATTTGATTCCCACTTACCTATGTATGTAAATGGACAGTTAGAGATTTTTAGTACTGACAGACTGATATATTATTTACTACTGTGTATTTTTCAAAAATGGGCAGAGCCAGGTTGAACCAGTTCATCTTCGACCGCTCCGGACCCCACTTTTACCACGTCCAATCACACGTTGAAAACATCTGGACAAGCCCTAAGATGTTTGACACTTAGACAAACTGCCATTATAGTCCGTTCTGCCCACCGTACTGCAATTTATATTTCTTCGCTCCACCCACAAATTTTTCTTCCTTCTTCCATGCGCGAGCTCTTCTTTTTTTTTTCTGGCCCTAGAAGCTTCAATAGGAGCTCTAGGAAGCTTCCACTTCTTTAATTTTACTTTTCTCAACAACTACCATGATCTGCAATGATTATGGGGGTTTTCTAATCTCCTATTCTTGAACAATTTATGTTCGTTGTTCAACCACATCTCTGTAAAAGGTAAGACAAACATTTTCTTCTTTTTTATTCTGTCTTCACCTCACCTCTTGGATGATGATACCTTGACACGCTATGGCATTCCTCGAACTTAATTCTCCATGTGGAATCTGTCTATATATCAAGTTTCAGCCTTGTCTGACTCCCTCTTTACAATACTTTTTACTATTGTCCCCGGCTATCTATCATTTGAATTGATGCTAATAAGACATTGGTTAGGTAATTTAAACCACACTCAGTTCCCCTTTGCGGCCTACACCTTGCATGAAGAAATTTGAACGAACGGGCGGACAAAACGTATCCATTTCCTTACACTCAACAAAACCAGAGCGTACAAACTCTGTGGGTGTATAGGAGATGGAATACTTGTTGAGAATTCGTCACCTGATCATATGCCCTTGGTCATATCTCATTGCTGCCAATCAAGATCCAAACTTTTATGAACTAAAAATCTAACCCGTCGATCTTTAGGTATCTTAACTCTTCCCTTCTCTTGCACAAATCCACCATGGTCAATTCTATTATGATGAACGTGTTTATTCACACTGTTTGACTCGGATGCTTAACGTATCTCGGGAATGATGCCCATAACAAAATCTGATTTAATGAGGTTAGCCTTCTTGATGCCATACTTTCATGATGAAACTAAAAGCTGACTGATAGGCTTAAGCCTGACTTAGTTGCCATGTTTTCTATCTTCAAGATATATATTTTCACTTTCGCCGAGTTTCTTCGCTGACTCGTTGTGATCAATCTAGTACCTCACCATCCCTTAGATACCTTAGTGGTCTGTTATTTGTAAGTTTTCACATTTTCATTCCACTCTGCCCTTGCCTGATGAACAACATTTATTCGCTGTGTTCTTTCTGAAACATATTGAGGATAAAATATCTATTCACCTTGGAGAACTGACCACCGCTCTTGTCTACACAATTTCACATCATATATTGTGTTCCATTGCTAATTTGCAATATAGGTTTCGACAATATCACCATCCCTTGTTAGATAGAATTGAATGGAATTATTATCATCACTCATTTGTCCAAAGATCTTCGTAAACTTCCAAGGTTCACATGATATTAGGCCTGTGCCTGTTCGATCATGCTGTCCCGACGGACACAGTACACCTCACTCAATAAAGAGTCCACGTAACCTGTGCCACTCCTCTATACTGCTAACATTGGAATAAAGCTCATGCACGCTCTTCTTCCCTTCAGGCCATCGCGCCCACGCAGGCTTCGACCCGTTCATGATACAGACCATCTCCTCAGGCACAGGCAGCTCAGTATCAATAGCCGATGCAAAAGGGTGAATCAGTTCTGGCCAGTGATGATCCCAAACCCATAACATAGAACTGCAGTTAGAGCAGAAACTCCGCTCGGACGAGCATAGCTTTTCATCCGGGGTTCCTCGATCTTTGATCGCAGTGTATTTTCTGTGTTTATTTTAGTCAATATGAATATAATGTGTGTTCAAAATTGAAGATCTTACTTGATTAGATCTTTGCCTTTCAGTATTTGCAGGCTTTCGCTGATGCCACCTAGGTTGACGGCTCCTGTGTAGCCGCCTATTTTGCGGCAGATGCCGCATCCACAAAGTTGGAATGGCACAGGAGTTTGAGACTGGAGAGTGAATTCAATACCGCCACATTGGCAGCTTCCGTCGAGTTTCCTGAATAACCTTGTTAGTGGTTTTTGGTACTGGTTGGGCTTGTTTAATTTAGTAGCAGTAGCGAAGAAGATTGGAAGATTATACATACATCGGCATGTTTTAGGATTCTTCGTCCTTTGATAGATATCCAGATCTGGTTTAACAGTAGACGTGAGGATAAAATTTCAAGGCTGAACGTTGTTTCATGGATCAGTCTTGAGTTGATGCTCAGACAGGGCGTTCGGATGTATTTAACTACAGCTGAGAACAAACGATGCAAAAGAGTCAACCATGAAACACTTCAGGATAAAGCATATTGATAGGTAGATTAAAGCGGTGCACGTGAATTACAAACATTGAGAGCCTTTAATTGGCTTATATGCAAGAAAAACATATCCTAGTTGGCCCACGCCGTGTTTGTCTCATTTGTTTGATTTGTTTCTTCAGACAACTTCAACTCCACATCGTTATTACCTGCATTTTATACTCGCGTATACACTTGACTCTCCATTTCATTTGGGGGTTTATTGCTTAGGAAAATTATAAGTCTATCCTCACGATGAGTTTTGGAGCCCCCGGTGGCGGAGCAGTCAACTACAAGCCTACACCGTGAGTCCCTAGTCGGAATTAAGCCCGGGCATTTTTGCATGAAGATCTCCATGGCTATATAGACCCTAATGGATTTATGCTATCGGAGAATCCTTACTGACAATTGCGACCCTTTTATCAGACCTGAGCGTGGTAGCTTCCCTCTCGATCATGAAGGTAAGCAGCTCCGTCGCCAAACCATTCTTTCGGCGCATGTTGCCCCAAAGTGAGCAGGTGAACTTACAATTTGATGCGGTATTAGGAGAGTGCAAACACGTCATCTCTGGCTACTTGAAATGTATCAAGTATAATCGGGGCACCAACGACGAGGCCTGCCGCAGATTAGCTAAAGATTATTTGGCTTGCAGGATGGACAAGTACGTGAATCCCTACCCGAACTTTCAATCTCGGAAGCGAAGGCATTTGTTCAAAGACAGATCTCTAGAAGGATACATACTAAACGGCGTGCCTTCTATCTACAGAAACCTTATGGCCCCAGACAATTTCGAGAACCTTGGTCTTGTATTCAAGGACAGCCAACAACAATCCAAAACATTAGGTGCAGATACAGCAACATCAGGTACAGAGAAGAAATCTTAAGCTCAGATTGCATGCCAACATCTTGGCGTGACTTGTACGATATTGAAGAAACCGGCTTGTTGGCGGAAGCCCATCATGCCATCGAAGTTAAATGAGGGGCATTGTACATGCACATTGTATTATAATTCATGATCCTCCCAGCACAATTGAATCATCTCAAAATAATGACTGTGTCACTGTATAGTTTAATTTGATTCTACTTATACAAAATGCAGGAATTTTACAATTAAGGCACCTATCAAAGTTGATTCTTTTTGAACGGCAGAATATTACATTTTCACCTCGGTGACAAGGCGGTCAGCTTCCTATGCGGGGAAGTAATTGGGCACATCCAATGCTTGAGCTACTCCAACTCTCGGCCTCGGGTATCAGGCATTAAATGTCTTCAATTGCCCGGCCTCCGGATCCATGTCTGGTAGCAATTATTCTCATTGTCCGCTCACGAACAGGCCCCCGTCTGGTCTTCCACTGGCCTCCGAACCCACTCAACGAAAACCGGATCAAGACAACGACGAAGGGCGGTCGGCGCTCCCGCAGAAGCAGAAATACAGATTCGAGCTCAAGCTCTTCTAGTGGATCATCTTCGTCGGAAGACGAGGAGGGTGATAACCAGAGCCATGCAGGTGGTGGTGCAAGCACCCCCATGGGTCGACGGCCGAGTAACTTCGGTCTAGACGATCATTTGTTCGTTTCCGCATCACCTGGAAGTGCCATGGAGCCACAACGTCCTGGATCTCTGGGTTCTGGCCGAGCTTCATCGCTTCGAAAACGGGGTGGTGCTGACTCGGAGGCTGAGGACGAGGAAGGTGGTTCGTCGCGCCCGCCTTGGGAGTCACTTCTGGGCTTACCAGGGAGTGTATGGGAGAAACTACTTAGTCCATCTCGGTCTTGGAATAAACGTCGGTTTGAAGTGGGGATCAATGATCTCGCGCTGATCGGGTGGCCAGTCTTTATTCGTGAGGATGGGACTTGGCGCAAGCAGCGGCGCAAGAAGGAGAAGAAGCCTCGTGCAGATTGGGAGGGCGGGGAGCTGGGTCATAATGAGCATGGTGAGGGCACTGGTAATGAAGATATAGTGTCTTCTCCCCAGGACTTGGGGGCTAGTATTGCTTCTTTTGCAGATTCGACGCGGACGGTAATTTCGCCAAACGCTTCTAAGCGTGCGTCGATAGCCAGTGTGAAGATTGGAAAACTGCCAGACGAGTCTCAGGATTCAGATGATAAAGACCACATGACTATGTTCAATGTTGTCTTTGTTGTAGATCCTCCTTTGCTTGAGTATTCCCTGCGCGTCAAGGAAATCTACGAGAATATTATCAAGAAGTTTGCAAAGGCTCTCAAGTGGGAGCAGGCTCGAACTGACTATGTATGGAAAGAATCACAGCATATTTTACAAGTGCGAAGAAAGGCGCGTGAAGCAAGTAGGTACCTGGTTTATATATATTTTTTTCTTGGGCTACTTAAAGCTGACTAGCACAGAAACCTCCTCACTCACTCTCTACTCTGACTTGATCAATCAATCTTCCTTAGCCAGGGCAATATACACAGTTTATACAAGTATCTCAGCATCCAAGATTGCATCTGTCTCGCTCAGCCCCGACGTCTCAATCTCGCTGCAGATCCCTCCGTTGACGTCCACACCATATCTTGCCGGCCCAGCAGATACTGCATATCCAGGTCTCTGGTTGACCACGGCAGACAGTGCGACTCCAGTAGATGAGCCAGGTCCCGATGGGGGTAATGCGCCACACATGGTCCTCGCTAAAAACTTTGCACTACTTTTCCTAGACAGCGAAGCGTCTATCATCAAAGATATCGAGGCGTCCGGTGGAGCTCTTGCCCAGGCACTTGCTCATTACATTCGATGCTCGAAGCCTACCAAGTCATTTGCCCAAATTTCAGTATCTTCGGGCATTCCACTTTCCACGATCCAGATGCTAGCTAGCCACCTTGTCTACTGGCGCCGTGCCCGTGCCATACCTCCTATCCACCAGCGAGACACATACTTTGTCTCTCCCAACTGTGACCTAAGCAAGCTGGAAATCGCTACTGTCGCCTATCAAGCGGCGTTCCCAACGCTTCCCAGTTTACCGAAAATGCTTTCTACACTCAGTGGCACGCCTCGTCCTTATGCAAGCTTTATTCCAAGCAAAGATCACAAGGAGGCTTACTTCGCTATTCTGGCATGGCTACTCCGTGGTGGCTGGGTCACGCAACTGCGAACCTTCGCTCGCATCAAAGTGACACCTGAAATCAAGCTGGCGGTAGAAACAGCCATTCGAAAGGAAGAGGTAGATCGATATCTTATGAAGGGCAACTTCGGCTCCACCCCAGACGTAGAATCATCATCCGATGATGATGTCAGCTCTTCATCCTCATCATCTCTTGCCAGTCACGGTAGCGGAGGCGGAGGCGGAGACGGGGACGAGACGCCCATGCCTGGCCGACCAGATCCTCGGGCTCAAGCTCAGCTTCGCACCTCGCACAAGCTCCTCGATCGGTCTACTGTGCTCCGTTTCTCTTCTCTTATATCATTACCGCATCGGGCGTCCGCTCTAGAATCTCGATGGCTCGATGAGATTGCAGCACGATTTCCCAATACACCCGAGTCCGACGCACTTGTTGTTAGTCGGGACATTGCACCGAGTGATCCCCAGATCTTGCTGAAGACCTACTGGCTTATATTCCTGAAATATTTCAATGGACATGACTCTCTTGAGAAGATACCCGTTCGAGAGAACATGAAGCGAAAGTTCGTGGCGCAGATTCTCATGCGCTTAGGGCTCGTTACTGGGCCACTCTCAGTGGAGACAGACCCTCGAGAGCAGGTGCTGGTTAGTGTTCGACATTGGTAAATGGATCTGGCGTGATCTACAGGAGTTTTATGAAATAATAATACAGAGATACCTTGTTTTTGATTCTCATTTTACTACTGATACGGAGTACAGCCCATTTGGTAATATGATTACATACTCCACCCGAACCCGGTTCCGCTTGCCCTCAGCCCTAATCGCCTGCCGAAATCAGTTCCATCTGGGGCCAATGAATAAGAAGCTGTTTGATACTGGCTACTTGAATTGGTACATATTTTCCGTATATCCTTCAGTTTGTACGAAACTAAGTAATCCCATGTGGAGCTATTCAACAAGTCACGTGTTACTATCATATTATTAGTCGCACAGAAGCACAGTTCATCTCAATAGATCCATTGGATTTAGAAACCAGATGATGTTCAGGTCATGTCCAGGTGACTTTCACCCTAGATATGCTGGACATATCCAAAACTTGAATGGGAATGCTATAGTGAATGATACTGTGTTCGATACGCGCCAAGTCAGGTACCCGAGGATTTTGGCTCGTATATCCGGCACCAAGAAAGTCCCCACATAATAAAGATCGGGGCACGGCGATTTTTATTGTCATTTATGACCCAGTAATGAAGCTATCATTGACCCCTTGAATATAACCATGACATCACATTAACCTCGATCTATAGAAGATCAAAAAATAGCCAATATACAAAGCGAGAATGAGCTTGAATTGAGTTCCCGTTGCACCGAGACAATTGTATTAGACCGTTATTGGGGCCAATCAGAGTGCTTAGTGGAGGGGCTCCGGTGGACCCCGCAGTTAATGTTAAAAATTGGCTGTTGCGTACTTCTACTGTGCGATATCGCTAATTGAGCTGAAGTTTGAAGCTGGAGGTTATCTTACAAGGTTGAGCTGCAAGGTGGTTGTTATCTATCTAGGCACTATCTAGGTATGTAGCTCAGCTATTTACCTTGCATGTTTATTGATGTAATTAATTCCAAGGTTTCCCACGTATAGATACTAACCTTGTACTTTGTAGACAGTGAGGCACAATACAAAGGTATTCCCGAGGTCCAGTTCCAAATTTAGGTAGACCTGCAGGTGCTAGGTATTAGTCAAATACCTAGGTAGCCTAGCCAGCACACAGGTATGAGTACTAGTCAAATAGCGCATGAAACTTGGGCATGTAAAGATGATCGATCGACATACATCTGAGGCTCTGTTGTGGCTTTTATACGAGTTTGGGACTATCAAAATAACTTCTATCTTGATAAGAACCAAGGTTGGGAGGGTCAAGCTTTAGAAATCCAATGTTCATATACTCTTTTATATGAGGCTGTCAAGAGTAAGATTAGGGTAACGGGCGTAACAAAGAATAAACCTCACTCGGCCACTAGTCCTAAACAAGAGAAGTTTCAAGTCCTCCCACAATACTTATCTAGGTAATGATATCAAATCAATAACAGGATTGGAATGAATGTTGAAGCTATAAGCCATTTAAGGGTGATATATATCCAGGTATAGTAAATAGATTACAAACCTTGGAACAATAAGTCGAAACGGGCTTCCGGCACCGAGGGATTAATCCGTTTTGGCTCCATCCTTCCATAAAACTAAAATGAGATTTTTTTCTCTCTTAGAAAATTCCACCAGGTTTTGGGGTACACAGAAAGCAGAAGAAGAACTTTGGAAATTACATTCAAGTCTTTTTTTTTTTTTTTTTGTGTAATTGAAGTTCCTGAATTACTGTAAGTAAAAAACCCCCGCTACCAGCACTGGCCCTTTATTGCCCAAGATAATTTTGTGTTCTTGCTTTCTCTTACCCTTCACCACTTCTCCCCTCCTTCACCCCTCTCTCTCTCTCTCTCTCTCTCTCTCTCTCGTCTCTAGGACTTTCCATTTATTCCTCCCTTCTTCTTTTTTGATCTCAGTTTGATCTTCTTTGCACTCCAAAAGCTACCCACGTTATCGCGTGTTGTGTGTTCTCGCACTGATTTCCCACTAGCGTCCAAGGCTCTTCGTTCTCCGCCGAATCGTCCGGCGTCTTCCTTCCTACAAGTGACCCGACTTTAATTCTTCCCTATCCGATTCTACCTTCCTCAAAACCCCTGCGGACGTGCGCTTGGTTTCATTTCTCGCAAAATTCACCGCAAGGGATCATCGTGAATCCGCACCTTTTGCGTTTTTCTTGCGTGTCCTTGCTACTGGTCAACAACCACACGATTTCTGGATTACCCCGAATTTTCAGATCTTCCGTGACATCCGAACTTGGGATTTTTGCAGGTTTTGAGATAGTTGCATTGAGCAGCCTTCAACTCCACTTGCTCGACGCCTAGCTCGTGAATTTTTTTTAAAATCCTCATCTAAACATTGACTAGGCCGTGCCTTCTCTTTGTCACTCGAATTTTTCACTTTCGAAAAATTTTTATTCGCTCACCCGATCCTTGTGCGTCCGGTGACCTATCCCATCATCTCCTCTTTGCTCCCCACAAGACTCCATCCCATGCGATTTGACTAAAGCGTTTTATCACGACAGAGTTTCAACTTCAATCCATACTTTTTGACACGCCTTGTCTCAGCGCTCACCTCGAGTTACCACCCGGTGGAATTACAAAGAAAAGAGTGAAACATCTCTTTTGACCGATACCGGTGCCGGAGATATCTTACGAGAACTCCAGGCCTAGTGAATTAACTGCTCCGCAGCAGATCCGGTCGCATAAACCGCTTCCTTCGACACAACCAGAGGTCGAGCCAATATGAGCTCTGAAATGCCTTCATTCTCGTATGCGCAAGCTGCGAAGGGTGTTTCTGGATCCCACACCACCATCCAGACAGCACCCATAGAGCCTGAGAAGACCGATTCCAAGTCGGAAGAGTTGCCCAAGCAGGCCACCGAGAAGGCACATGCTGCCCCCGAAGCCGAAACACAACAGACCAATAAGGATGTATCAAATGTGAAGGAAGCTGGATTTACAACTGTTACTAGCAAGCACGTTCGATCAAAAGTTGTTCACCCCCGCGCTTCATCTTCAAGTGTTCGATCGTCTGCGACTCAATCTAAGGAGGGTGATTCCTCCAATGCGCCCAATGGCAAGGAAGACTCTTCGACAGATAAGTCTCAGTCTGATGCCAAGACCAAGTCAGAGAATGGCTCTGTGAGCTCAAAGGGAAAATCGGAGAAAGAAAAGACTGCCCCACCAAAGGAGCTGAAGGCTGCACCTCTCCCATCAGTGAACATCTGGCAGCAGCGCCAACAGGCCCAGGACGCCAAGTCCAAGACTGTCCCAGTCACCGCCAAGAGCGTGTCTGGAAAGAACACAGAGGAGGTCCAGCAGGATCTTCACAAGGGCGGAAAGAAAAAGAGCGCCACCGATGGTGCTTCCGAGAACCCCAAGGATCGCAAGAAGTCTGAGCCTGCTAAGGCACGGGACGAGTCCCTCCCCCTTGTCGAAGATGCTTCATTGTGGCCTACTCCAGAGGTGGCCACTGGCGAAGAAAAGAAAAAGGCGCAGGAGAAGCCTCTCAAGACTGAGACAACCGATAAGAGCCCCAGCAGATCGCACGGCAAAGAAAAGTGGATGCCGGTCAACTACGTGCCCAACGCTGTTTTTAGCACCCCCCTTCCTACTTCTGGAGGTCGTGGTGCTCGCCGGGGTGGACGTGGTGGACGGGATGGTGGACGTGGAGGATCCCACGCCGCCACCGCCGAGAAAAATGCTTCTGCCCAAGCTTCTCACGCCGCTGGAGCTAAGCACGTTTCTGGAGATCGAGGCCCTACCGAGTCCGGTAACAACCGTGCCGCCTCAATCCCTGCCCAGTCTGGACGCTCCGCCAGCGCCGACATAAACGCCTCAGAGGGACGCAAGGCTGGTCGTGGACCTCGTGGCACTGATGAGACCACCACCAACGGAAAGCAAGCCAATGGTGGAGAGAATGTTGCTCATTCCCAGCGCGATGGCAAGCAATATTCCAAGAACGAGTCGCGCAACCAGAAGCCCAACGTTGCTGTTGACCCAGCCCGCGCTAATAACTACGCTCGCACTCAGTCCAACTCAAAGTCTGCCGACCCGACCCGCGAATCGGCTGGCTTCCAGGACTTCGGCCGTGAGCGCGGTGACGTCCGTGCTGAACGTGGAGGCCGCGGCGGAAACCGTGGCCGTGGAGGCTCTTACAACTTCCACCAGAATGGGCAGCAAATTTCCAATGGCTATGTTCCCAAGTCGTTCAACTATAGCGAGCGTCAGCGGTCGCATGGAAGTATCCCTAACGGATCGCATCAAGGCAACCGCATGTCCATTAGATCCCCCTCATTGCCTGCTTCCGGAAACATTTACCAAAACAATTATGGTTACAACAATGATCTGATGTACGGTGTTTCGCCCGTGACCCCCGGCCCAGTCACCTACCCCCAGCAATACGTTGAGCCCTACTCGCTCATGAATATGCTATCCATGCAACTGGACTACTACTTCTCTGTTGACAACTTGTGCAAGGACATGTTCCTTCGCAAGCATATGGATTCCCAGGGCTTTGTTCCATTGGTTGTTATCGCAAACTTCAAACGAGTCAAGTCACTGACTGAAGACATTGAACTCATTCGTCACGTCACCCGTCATCTCCGTAACGCGGAGTACCAAACCGGTGAAGATGGTATTGAGCGGTTGCGCCCTCGAGAGAAGTGGGAGACATGGGTTCTCGCTTTGGAACTCCGTGATGATGCTGCCAAACATGGCGGCGTGGCTCCTGCCCAATCTCACGACGAGAATGCCATTCCCAATGGCAGCTCTCTTCACCCCGGATCGCAACAGTTTATTCCCAATGGAATTTCGCACAACCCAAGAGCCCACCTTTCAACGGCCGCTCCCGAGTTCTTGCCTTCATACGCACAGAACGAAATTGTCGATGTACGGAAACACTCCTTCGATCCTTGGGAATCTTCTGATTCTCGCGGATCACTCCCCATCTCCCGTCATGAATTATCTACAAAGAACAGTTCAAAGTCTAACAGAAATCCAGCGCGTGGATTAAATTCCCAAAACCCTCAAGCCTTCGCCGCCCGGACCACCTCGACTGACTCAGCCAAGCATCAATTTAACCGGTAGATCACTAGCTCATTTTTGTTTCGGTATATACTGACTTAGTTCTCGCTCTTTCTCTTATAGTAAAATCAACGTGCAAAAGGTCCATGAGCATAGCACTACGTCATCTTCACGCCGAAATGAGGATCGTAACCGGAAGTCTACTGGAGAAAAATATTTTTACAATCAACGCAAACGAACCAACAAAAAAATAGCGGAAGACTTTGCATCTGAGACACATTGGAACAATATTGGTGGTTCCACTCATCGTTATGTTCTTTTGGCAAAGGATCTAGCCTTTCAATTTGATATGCACCTTTACAATGATCTTCGCCGTTCAGCCCTTGACGAACTCTTGACCCGACATGTTCCTGATGCTTTCGAAATCCTTATGTCCTTTTATGCAGGTGTTTTTGAAACCGATCAGGATATCCCTATCCAAGTATTTAGCGATCTGGCCCACTTGGCCTATTCCGACCTCAACATTGAATACTGTTCTGCTGCTCGTGCAGTCATGCAGAATGTTGTTGCTCATGGACGGATTTTTGACAAGAACAAGCTTAAAGCCGAGCTTTATTTTGGTTTTGAATATTCCATGCAGATTGTTCAGGCCCGGGATGAGCGTACCGATCAGAATTTGTTTTGATTGCGCCTTGTTTCGTCCTTCTTTGGTTCTTTCTCCCTTTATTTTCGCCTTTCCCGTTAACTATTATGATTGACTATTCCCTTGCCCCCTTTCCCATATTTTTTACTCTTTTTTTTTTTTTTGCGCCCGCAATCATGATGAATGATTGCATGCATCGTCTGTTGACGAGGTCATTTTGCAATGACAGCATATCGGCTTGCTTTTCCTGGAGCCGCGGAGGTTCATTTTGTTCGCCATTGTTTTTTTCCCCTCAAATTCTCTCAAAATGTTCGGAGTTCATCTTTGAAGTTACTGGCATTCCATTCCGTCTTTGCCTTTCGCCTGCTGCAACACCGTGCTGGGCCCAAAAAGCTACCTTTGTTCCGATCATAGAGATCATTATCTTCCATTTTTTTCCCCCTCGAGAAGTTCCTTTTTCCCAAACGACCCAGACAACCCGAATGGTCAGACAACAATGAAAAAGTATCGTATCATCTCATTTCATCTTTGCCAAATTCTGCATTTTTTTTTCTGAACCAAAGCCTGCCTTCAGAGCTGGATTTCTATATCCGACAGTCCTTTGGCATGGCTTTGCTTCAAAAAAGTTGATTGTGCTTCCTTGTGGCATATCAACCTTATGTTTGCTCTCCTATCTTTCTTCTACTGTATTTACTACGGTCTATGGGAGGCCACCATCTATGTTGGTGGCTTTTTTATGCATATCCAAGGAGTTTGGGAATTCCGAAGGACCTACGACTATGAGTACTTCTGGAGTAGTGTATGACTATTATGTTGCTGCTTAATTAATGTAAAACTTGTCCCAATAAATATGGAATATACAACCTTGAGTTGTAACGTGCGGACCCTGCCTTATCATCTGCACATAACCACATAGTAAGGTTAGCTAATTTATGATTACTGCACGAATTCTTATATTTTCAAGGACCATTAGTTAGTAATGCCTCTAGTTGTCCCGAGGCACACCTCTAGAATCAATAATTTGAACTTGGATGCTCAAGGTTCCCTCTAATTACCTACTACCTTGAGGTAATCGAATGGGATCGAATCCCCGGGCTACTTTCGCTTTTATCATTTCACAATATTTACATGACACTCTCCCGCCTCTCTTTCCCTCTCCCTTCTACAACCTCCTACAAATTTGCATCAACCACACATGCAGAGGTTTATTCTTACCCTGGATAACAAATTTCTCTCCTCTCTCGCCACGCCCGTGTGCTCTATCCAGCGACGGGGGATTGGAGTTTTCTGGATTGTTCGTAGGTATGGTTCCAGGAGATCCAGCTCCGAGCATTGAAAGCTCTGGCTCCTCGGGGGAATGAGCGGTACTAAGCTATAATTTTAGATATTTCAAAGAAAGAACTTTCTAGAGCGTATTTGAAGAAAGGCAAGATGCTGTTGTTGGTATGGAAGTTGAATTGCATTGAATAGCTAGGCGCTTCATAGTGTGGCCAGAGTAACGATAGACTAAAAAAAATTGAAGGAGACCAGACAAGATCCACCGTGTCTGTGAGTTGATACTGGTATTCCTCAGGTTCACCAGGAATGAAAGCTGCTCTTGGAATAAAAGGTGAGTATCAGGGGTGGCTGTGGAACGAGAGAAAGGATGGAAAGTTCGTGGGATCACAGTGGTTGGTAACCAGTAATTTCAAGATCTGACACAGCGAAGTCCCGTCGGAATACGTTGACATCAAATGTCAACGTATCTCGTTTGTTTCTGTTGGGGAATTGGGGTCTGAGATTGCATCCAAACAAATCATCAAATGTGACACTGAAGGTTTTTACAGTGGGAGGATCTGGCCGAGGAAAGACTACCTGCGATGGTAGTACCTGTCGAGGAATTCCATTGCGATCTATAGTCCACTTCTCCACTCGACAATAGACGCCCTCGACCTGACGGGACCACACCACAAGGAAGACAACCCGCATCGCTTCATTTCCACCAACGAGCAACATGTTCATGTCTCGCAATAGATCTTCGTAGCCTTCCAACCAGCCTGATTCCATTGCTAAAGTCGGCATGTAGATTGCTTGCCCATAATAGTTTCGAAGAAGGCCATCTTTGTTTTTTGGAATTATTAGGAAGTCTGGTCCCTTCTGCCCGGTTCGATACGGTCCTTGTGAGAAGTCCAACACTATAGTGTATTAGTAGAGCTTGGATTAATTAGGTAAAACGCATACAATCACCGCCAGAACAGCTCTTTAGTGCCTTTGCCTCTGCTCTGGTCATCTGGCCATCTAAAACCCATTCATGCTTGGTTTCCTCGAACCAAGTGGCTGCAGAATTGTGCGGCACGGTGGGCATTTTTAATTGCAGGATGTGTTCATTCGGGTTCCAAGTCTTCCTATTTTGAAAGGTTAGTCAGGCTAGATGATAGTGAAGGGAGGCTTTTGATTTACTTTAAATGAAGGAAATCCTTCTTGCTTTCGAGAAAATGGAACGCAGCGGGTCCCCATTCGGTTTTGACACCTGTGAAGAAAATTGCTTCGGTTCCTTGGTTTTGGGTGATTGTGCTGAGGACAAACTCGAAGAAAGCAGCTCTGTCTTGAAATTCTGGAGTCTGTATCTTGATGATTGTTTCAAGAGGCCCTTGGCTTGTGGTAGAGGGGATCACACGAGTTGAACGGCGAGTAGAAACACCGATAGCATCTAGAGTTTCCGGATTAGCCTCACTATTTGGAGTGGTGATCGAAGTGGAGTGACGATCCATTTTGAAGAAAGATTTGTGGGATATGAAACTGAATAAGGAAAGGGTGTTGGAGAACAGTTAACTGGAGATATAGAATGGGGCAGCCTCATACAAAGTCCATTAGACCGCCTGCCTTGGGGCCCGGCAGAATTGGCCATACTACTTAGTAATTAGTATGATTGAGCTGCGTTGGAATTAACAAATAGGTGAGATGGGTGAAAATGGGATGTTGATGGGGGTAAGTCTTTTGACATTATCCGCAGTATCTATCACTTTGGAGATTCGTGTCGAGTTTCGCCCACAAAGCAGCAAGCTCGTCGAGCAACTTGCGACTGTCTCAAAGAAAGTGAAGCTAGTACTGAATCCCGAATAGAACTAGCGGCCGCTTAAGGCCCCACCTCCCGGTCCTACTATAAGCCACCCGCAGAGCCTCAAAATTGGCAGGAACCTTTGAATGAGTATGCACTCCAAAACTATGTCAAGGAAGAAAATCATTGAGTATTTCCTCAGCAAACCAATGATGATGGGATAGATAATTCCATATACCTAGGTCCTTTTAGATACATAGATTTTGACATTATATACAGAAACCATCTAGAATTCCACCAGGAAACCGAAGCAGAAGCAAATTCTAATCCCAAGCATCACCCCAACCTTCATCCTCATCAGCATCCTTAGGTTTGATATCGATCTTTTTAATCGGCACTACGGCCCTGGGTTTAGGCGTGGATCTTGTAGGCATGCTACTACTAGACACAGTCTTGCCCAGACCCTTCGGCAAGGCATTCTTTGTCTTGGATTGACTCTTCGCAGCCAACCAACCTGCAAAGTCTGGTTCACCACCATCGTCAAATGTCGTAGCAGAGATTACATTTGCAGTCGGGTTGGGTGATGATGGGCCCGGCGATGCTACAGCTGCGGTAAATGTGTCTACGTCGTTTTCTTCGTCGTCCATATCACCCCACGCGTCGAAACCATCGTCTCCTTCTGCTTCTTGGAGTTTCTCTTGGACGATTGGGGCTGGGCGGTCCGAGTGAGAGCGGTTTAGGGGTTGAGCGGGGCGAAGCGCTTGCTTTGGAAGGTCGAGTTGGGTGGAAGGTGATGATTTGGCTGGTCGAGGCACTGAGGCGGAACGGGTATCTACCTCGGCAGGTTTGGTGGATATTTTTGGTTCGATCTCACCATCCGCCGCTGCGATCTTGTTGGTGAAGGATGAAATAGCCCACCCGGCCCACGAGCTATCAGTTGAAGTGCCAATACGAGCATCGGACTCATGCTTGCTGGGTTCTGTGGGGGCGGCGGGTAAAATTATTGTCTCTGCCATTGTGCTTCCAAATTTGCGTATCCGTTGGAGATATAGATCAAGGGTTTTATTCGCTTGATCTCGGATGAGCCTGGAGAGATGTCAGAAGCTGCCGACAGAAACAAAAGTGCACAAATGAAAACAGGTGATACACACTTCTCTTTATCCAAAAGAGCTGGGCAAATAGCAGGAAGGATCTTGGAAGCGCAATCATCCTCGTCAAAGACATCGATCGTGGCGGAGAGAGCAAGAAGTCCTGCATTGCGAGCATGGACAAATGGATCCCGGATGGCCCTTGAGAATGCGGCAACGAGTACCTTGGAGCGAGACTATACGAGTGTTATTGTCACATTCCAGCAAACACGATTACCTGGAAAGAACTTACACTTTGTCCCAGGTTCTTGGCAATCCGGCCAAGACAGATGGTTGTATTTGTACGGATACCAGGTTGCTCGTCGTTAGCAGTACGAGCTAGAAACCTGAGAAGTTCGCCATTGATGACGCGGTCACTAAGTTTATTAACGACTGGAAGAACAGCCTTAACCGTCTGTTCTCGAACTGCAGGAGCAGCGTCGGTGAAACCAGAAGTCTGAAACCAGGTTAGAAATCTCAAAAGGAATGTATAGATGAAGCAAAGACTTACCATCTGGGGGAAAATCTTGTCATTGACAATCTTCTGAGGAAGATTCTCAATCATCAAAGGTAGGTTATCTAACAGGCACACACGCAGCGCCCGATCAGGATTTCCAAAGAGACGCACAATGACGGGTGTTAGTTTAGCGTTGAACTCGTCTGCAGAGAGCTTAGAGCCAATTTTCAATGTGGCACTGAGCACTTTTGGGCCTCCACCTCCAAATTCAACAGATTTCAGCAATTCGGGAAGGACCTTCATCTTGAAGAAATCTTCAGGAAAGTCCTCGGACAGGTTATCAAGTTCACTGTAGCACATTAGAGATTGCCATAGACTATGCTTCAAGGGTCAGAGCGGCGTACTTGATAAATTCCTCACGTTCGGCATCGGTCTTTAGACCCAGACTATCCATGTCCTCCGTTAAGCGAATCAACGAGGTTTGGAAAAAACCACCCTGTTTTTTCCCTTGCTCAACAAAGTGCGCAGGACTGAGTCGCATCTTAGGGTTTGCGGTGCACAGTCGCTTGTAACTTTGTTGCATGCTCGGAGGGATATTAGTAGTCTTGCCAACTTGATCGCCACCGGAAAAGTTGCCATTGAAGACTTCAAAAATGAGAGCTCCTAATCCGTACGAATCAACGGCAGTCAGAGGATATGACTTGATGCTTTGCCAACCACCTTTGGCGACTTCCGGAGGTGTGTATCGAGCTGCGTCGGGAACTAGACTTCCATATGTCTGGGAATACTAGTTAGTAGTTGTTTTCTGCCGGTTACAGCCTGAAGCTTACATATATGACAGCATCATCTTCTTTCATCGAGCTTAGGATATCAAATCCTCCCAGTTTCCATTCACCACTCTCACTTGTATAAACGGACGAGGCACGTACGGCGCCGTGGACAGAGGCGGCGTCATTATTGATAAACTTGAGAGTAGACTGGGCCTGAGGTCAGAGAGGGTTTCTAAAAATGAATGACAGACTAATAAATACTCACCGAAACTGTACACAGCCCCCATTTCGCCGTCTCCTCACTCAGACTCCGCCGTTTGACCGGCCATGAGAGGGGAGCAACGCGTTCTGTCACAATGTAGATGTTGGATTCAGTCTATAGCAGTCTGTTAGCTCCAGTGAAATTCCAAATCTAGGAGCAGAGCAACTGTATACCTCGATCGTATCCAGAACTTTCAGCACACCAGGATGGCGCAAAGTCCTCGACTTCCGAACGGCATTCTTTGCTATTGGAAGCCGCGATCTGTTCGCCACAATATCAAACGTAAAGACACTGCATGCCGAGCTGTCCTCCTGTTACAACGTTAACCCGTCAGTCTACCGGCCATGTCGCAACAGGACAAAGGAGCTTCCATACCCGTTTCGTACCGTTGTGCAGTGTCCACATCGAGTCGCCGATGTCTACCCTATCGCCAAGTGAAAAGGGGAGCGAGCTTCCCTTGGCGATCGCTGAGGCGACAGCAGATTTTAAAAAATCCATCGTGGACCCTTTGCGCTGGTCACTTGTTTGGTTTCGAGGGGTTGTGTTGAGGGTTCTTCGTGGTGGGAGCGGCCAATGGCCGCGGAAAAAGAGGTCGCAAACGGAGTCGACTAGGAGATAGAAGGATATAAAGCGAGTATTAGCAACGTCAAGAAACAAATTAACCCCTGTGATAGTTGAATGTAGAAGTTGTGGGTGTAAACGGCGGACCTGTGAATTACTGTATCTGGTTAGTTTTGCCGCTTTGGGTTTAGCGTCTCAATACATCATCATGTTTTCCTCTCAGAACTCACAACTGCCACTCAAAGCTTAACACAACAGGTATGCTATTACTTCTCATTTCTCTATCACTTACCCCATCATCTCCCATGATGTTACACCTGGTAAAAGGTCAGAGTGTCCCAACAACCCATCATATGTATCGACACGATGGAGCTTCCTCGCCATTAACGCGTCCCACCTTCTCTGTTCCCACGCCTTGACCGTTTCATAGTCGATCCGAGCCGAGAATTTCACGTTAAATGAATCCTCGAACATCTTCATCTCAGGCTACCGCCAGGTCGAGCAGAGCAATCTCTCGATCTCACTCTACGAGCTCTGTCACACCATTCTACACTATCGTCTCTCGTGTTCGTTTTGGGCCGCTATGCTCAGCATAGCGGCCCAAAACACATCTGCATTCCCTTGCTCTACACTCGCATCAAGCAGGCACATATCCTTCAAAGATAAATCTGGATTGAAGCCTAAAGCTTTACGGCTTTCCTACGGGATCTGTCAATCTTGTGGGATGTGAGTGTATCAACATATTTGATACCTCTGGTACTCAATATGCTGCCGTGAAATGGAGCTCCTGTGTCCGCTTTGCTCTATGAGGACACACATGGAGCCAAAGGCTGCGGCTGACATCTTTCCACATTCTGCCGTGCGAGAGTAGGGCGATCAAAGGGACTTGAAGGAGATACAAGAGCATGCGAGTGTTGTATGGATGTGTTAATGTGTTGGTCAGGGTGGGAGATGAGGGTTCTGTTTTGCGTTTGCTGTGATCGCGGTCAAGTGCTACCATGGAGAAGTTGATCACTATATTGGAATCCCGAGGCCAGCACCGCGAGTATGTTTGCATTTGGTGGTATTGTTGGGACTGGTATGATGAACAAAATAGTCGAAAAGACCTGAGGAGACCCAACAAGACGAAAATTGTGTGATTTTGATTAAGTTGTTGAGACGGAATTGCTAACGTTTCCGAGTTCTTACAGATAGCCCAAAGATGACCGAACTAGTGGCATATTGATCTGAAACAAGGGTTTTGTTTCGTAGGTATTGTGTCTAGTGTTTACAAAGGAAGTGTATTTTAACAATATCATTGGCATTCTCTCGGGGGTTTTAGCGATAGCCCTAATAATTCTTCTGTTTCTTGCTATCACGTAAAGTATCGATCACCCAGTTTGCTATTCTGACCTCCATGGATATTCACTGGAGGCGCATGCGGCACGCCCCATCCCTCGATTTGCTCATCACCGCAAATAACAGAATGAAACATATCACGGGGGCATTCACGGGGGCATCCACTCAGTATGAAAAAGGGTAGATGAGGGACATAAGCTAAATGAAAGACCTGAAAAGCATGCGGACCTTCTGAAAAGACCGCTGGGAATATTCCAACAACGGATAACAGCAAAGAGGTCCAGTGGAAAAAGTGTAGGGCCTTGGTGTCCAGAGGATAAGGGCAACGGTTTTGCATTGTCGGCAATACCATATCAATCCAATTGGAGATAAGTAGACGGGGTAGTAGTTCGTTGGATAGTGGGATGTTTGATAAGAGGCGGTTGTATAAGATTTTATTGATTGAATCTAAGGCAGATGTTAGCGTTGCGCGACTCGTGCCTCTTGCGAGGGATTATTACCTGCAAATTGTCATTGTGCTTGCGTGCAGTGCGTACTTCGTCGAAGGATCCTTTTGGCATGATGGCCAGTAGAAAAGATGGAGTAGGGGTACATTTCAAATCGTCCAAGGGGTGTGTGCCAAAGATTAAGACAAGTCCGAAGCCATATCACATAATAGATTCACAGGCTTCCAGGCGAAAAAAAGTGACCGCTGCTCCGAGTTCCTATTATGATTCAGAAAATGTAGCTCATTTGGCTTCGTCGGTACTATTCCCCGCGGTTTGCGGGGTAGGGCCGGAGTTGGAAGGAGTATGAGACGGCATATGAGGGGGAAGTTGAGGCACTTGATTAAAGCCGTTACCTCGGTGTTGGTTGTGGGGGACATGATGAACTTGGTGTGGGCTAGAAGGGAAATGGGGGTGACCACCGCGGCCGCCGGGAGGCACTAGAAAGAATTTTGTAAGCGGAAATTCAACAATTGAAAGGAAAAGTACTGGTAGCATAATACGTACTATGCGGTTGTCCATATCCAGGTTGGCCAGGGGACATGAACATCATTGGCTGGGGGTGGTCGGACTGCGAATTTTGATGCATCATCATGGGTGCACCACCGCGGCTTGGGCTGGGATATCCGCTCTGTGGCTGAGGTTGAGGCACGTGGGGGTAGGCATGTCCCGGGGAAGGTGAATACATGGGCATTTGCATCTGTCCATTGTAAGGCATTCCCTGGGGAACATTCATGTAAGGTCCGTTCGAGGGGTTTTGTACCATCATGGGTGCGCCCATGGAGCCTGGTGGGCCAATAAACTGAGGACCGCCTTGATAAGGATGCCTCATGTGGTTGGGTTGGGGTCCCCCGTAAAATGGCGGCTGTCCGAAGGACATTCCCGGCTGGACTGAAGGGTATCCGGCGTGGTTGTTGAGCATGCGCGGGGATCGGAAACCACCTTGTGCGGAAGCTGGATTTCCGTGGATTCGATGGTCATCACCTTGATGACCATGAGGGTGGTTGATCATCGGCCCATTGGGGGGACCAGAAGAGGGTTGCATCCCTGGATTGCCTTGAGGGTACGGGAATGGGATGTGCTGCTGGGGGATGTTGGGGTTGTTTGAACCAGTCCGACTCTGAGGAGAAATCGATGAACCAGGGCTAGGGTGCTTGAAAGCCTGATCAAAGGTCTTTTCCTCATTGCCCTTAGGAATATCCCAAGTTGGGAAAGTGCTGTACGGAAAAGGGATGCCTCCGTTGAAGGGGAAGGGGGGTTTATCCTTGTCCTTCTTCTGCGCCGCCTCCAGACTTTCTTTCTTCATACGTTTGATGGGATTGAATCCATCACTGAAGGCAGGTCTTTCCGAAGCTGGCCTTGGCTTGCGGGCACCAAAGAAGGTAGATGGGTTTGCCACACGAGACACAGATTGGTGGCGGCTGGCGGCGGGACCGGCTACGGGAGCGGGGGCGCCACCAGGAGTGAAAGTGCTAGCGGTGGGGTTGGGTTTGAACTCCATAGCACGAACGTTGAACTTGGGTTGCGTGGTGGCTGTGGCAGCCTGTGTCTTCGCAGGACTAGTCACTCTCAACTGGTCACTGGCAGGGCCGGTAGGTGGGGCCCGGGCTTCTTGGATGGGTAAAGAAGGAGCGACTTGACCTGCACCAGTGGCTGAGGCAGCTGCACCCTTGCGCTGTTGAAGATTATCTGCTAGCCGGTTACCGAGCATACCTGTGCCCGGACGACCTTGCTGCATGGGCTGTTGGGGGAGTTTACCGCCAGGTCCTGCGAGAGGGCCAGTTGGGGGATATCCCTGGCGACCACGAGCGAAATTCTGGCGATCGGAGGGAGCAGTGGGGGGCAATAGGCCATTGGGTCCGCTAGCACGAACTGGTGGTTTCTGATCCGGAACTTGAGCTGCAGTATTGGGAGGCGATGTATCATCCACGGACTGTTGGCCCCGCTGAATGATTGCCTCTTGCTTGTGGGGGTCTTTGGCTAGAATGGGCACAAGATCTTTGGGAACGGGGGTTGAGAGTTTGAAATTCTTGGAAAACTTCATCAACTCGTTCAGCTTGATGGTTCGGTCATGCGATACCTGATTGCGGCGACGCTCCGCCACCCTCAACTTCTCGCTGGCGGAAAACTGGCGGAACTGATCCAAGACTTCTGTCTCGACATTGGCAGTTGCATTCTCTGGAGTCCGCTTGGGGGCAGCTGGTAGTGCTGTCTTTCCCAGGGTGGTCTTCTCAATATTGGTCTTCGTCATTTGGGGATTCTCCTCTGAGGGAATCTCCTTGACAGCCTGGGGAGGCACTGGGGCAGAAGCTACAGCTGCCGATGCCGACTTCGGAGCAGCGGGTTGAGGCGCGACCTGGCGACGGCCTGGTGGAGTGTATTTGTTCGGCTGTCCAGAGAGGAGAGGTGGGAATGCCTTGTTCTCACGACGGACACCACTGTACTTGTCTTCTTCATCCTCATCACCTGCGTCGGAGGCTAGACCTCTTTCTTCCCGCATGTGAGGGTTTTCAACTTGGTTGCCCTCAATCTCGCGAGCAATGCGAGTGGCCTCTACCTGTTTCTGGCGGAAAGCGGGATCTGAGCGGTCCAGGCGAGTTGTATAGATATTTTCATCATAGTTGGTTCGGGTGCCGAAGAGGCGCTCGTTCGCCTCAAATTGATCCCATCCTGCGTTATCACCAGGGGCACTCTCCAGTGAGAGGTCATGATCGGTCTCGGCGGGTTGCCAGCGCTGCAAAGTACGCTCTCGCATCGCAAGATTTCCGGAGATATCACTGTCGGTTCTAAATCCAGCGGACCCTGTCATAAAGCTAGTCAGTACGCCATTTATAACGAAAAAAACAGGTCAATTGTTCTTACCATTAGATTCTTTCATCGCCACCTCAGTCGGTGCAACGTCAGACACAGAGAAATCCACGATATCTTTCGTTTCAAATGACATACTGTGGTCTGGCGCTGTGCCGAGGTACGGGCTGATGGACTCACTAAGGCCGTTCGATTTGGCATTAGACTCTGAAGAGTTACGGACCATCTTCAGAAGGAACGAGGTGTCACTTGATTCTAGTGCCGAAAAGGAGTAAATGCCGGTAAACTTATCGCCAGTTTTCGTCGTGATGGTTGTCTGCAGACCCTATAAATTTATTAGCATGTACTTCTTCCGCAGGAATTGATAATGGGCGAATATTGCGGTCAGATGAGCAAAGACCAGATGAACTCACAGTGAATGAAGAGATCAAACGAGCAAGGCGGTCATGAACAGGGCTGTCGGCGGTAATTGACTCCTTTTGTGTTGGCCGAGGGGATCCAGACTGGTGCTTAGACATATTTCCGTTGGATTGGGAGTATGAGGCGCGTTGCGTTATGGGGTTTGTGCCTTGAGTCCAAGCCTTCTGGGAGTTTGTGCGCCTATATTTTAAAAGATAGTTAGAAGTTGTTCGAAAAAGGGCGGGATAGGGCGACAGCTGCTATCCAATCTCAACACAATTGGATCTCCATAGCATAAAGCTCCATGCCAGGCTATATTCAAGCTTGCCCGCGCAAAAGCACGTGCACCACTTTCGTGGTGACCAAGAACAATGCGATGGAGGGGGTGCAGTTGGCTCTCAAATCTGTAGTTTGCAACAGATTATGGGATCAAAGTGCAGATGCGCGGAAGATACTTGAGTGGAAGGGCAGGATGGATATAAGGGTAGGGGGGAAGGGGAGAAGACATACCGTTGACCACCGTCACTAGGGCTGCCAGATTGGCGGCGACTATCCCCCTTGGTGCTTGCACTAGGTCTAAGTGAAGGTCTTCCAGAGGCTTGTGTGAAGTTAGCAGCTCCAGAAGAGCTGTTTGTAGCCGGGATAGGCTCGATAGCGGAAGGCATTGATTGACTCGGGGGTGGTGTCGAGTCAGGTCAAGCTTAGAAGTAACGGCGGGAAGCCGCGAAAATACCGCCTGCACAAACAGGAGGAGGGGAGGCACTAGAAGCCAAAAATGCAAGAAGAACAATTTCCAATGGCGGGTTAAAGACAGCAATAGAAAAGGGAAGGGGGACCAAAAAAGGGTTCGGGGGAGGGGGAGAATGTTTGGGGAAGAAGAAGTCACGGGGAAAGAGAGAAGAGAGGTCAGTCTACTATCGGTATCGGTGCGACCCTATCGATTGCGGGTGGGCGGATCCTCCTATTCGATCTATATTTCTTTATTCTTCTCTTCTGCTTCACTTTATTATGTCTCAGGCATCTTTCCTTTCTTATTTTACTTTTACTTTTTCGAGTTTTCTTTTTTCTCTTTTCCATCTTATATTCTCGTGACTTAATACTCATTTTGGCTCATCTCGAACAGTCCTGTTGCCAACAAAACAGTGACTATTTAGTGTGATTGTACCCACAACTGACACGACCGTTGTTGAGCATAGTAGGGATTTATTATCCGCACGCTGATATAATATGACAATTCCCATATTCAAAGTATTGTCGTCGGTTGACTTCGGGGTAAAAGTACGAAGTACATCATGTATGCATGTGTACTCAAGTACTCGTGATAATCAGCCCCGCAGACAATGGATATTGAATATTGAGTATCAAATACCAGATACCTCGACACTATGCAACACTCATTAGTCCTTTGCTCTGGACATCCCTAGAGGTAGGACTTACTAAAGGAGTTGGTTATTGAAGGGCGATATATAGTCAACAAGTCTAGTGGCTGGAGTGGAGTAAAAGAAGCTTCAAGCTTACTATAAAGACATCATCAAAGAGATGGATCTTTCCGAAGCTAGATAAAAGCTAGATAAATGCCATAGACATTTGGTATAAAACAGCGATGTACATGACTCGGTACTTAGTACCTTTTCCGTAGTAAAAGAAATAGAAATCAAAACATAGAACTGTATGGTAAGTTTCCGTATTGCGTTACCGTGCATCCCTTATTTTGTTGGTGGGGAGGCTGGGTAGTTCGCTTATCTAGACAGTATCACCTTGCTCCTTCTTCACCCCCCAACATCTTCTTTCTTTTCGCGTTTTTGTTCAGACTTAATGTCAAATTCGAATCGCAGCTCTTCAGCGTCCTCTCGGTCGCAATCAAGAAGCATGGTGAGATCCAGTTTTCCTGATATTTTCCGTGATATCCTGACCTCTGACTTTTTGTGACAGCCCGATAGGCAGATCGTCCAGATCGAGAAGAGCGTCACTCACCTACTCGTCGCGACAAAACAACTCCTTGAGACACTCACGCAATGGTCCCGGCGACAGGCCACAGAAACTGACGTCTCGGACGTCTACGTGCGCTTGGGCTATGAGTTCAACCTTGCTTGTCGTGCCTTCAACGCAATTAATGTCGAAACCTCGGATTTGGGTCCCGTCCCTGACATTCTACGCTCCATCCTCGAAGATACCTTAAGTCAAGATGCTTCCGCCCAGAGCCTCGATCGTTACCTTCCTCAGATTCGCGACATCATCATCAAACTTCTCGGTGGTCTAAAACAGAAGCAGGCCCGTCTACGATCGCGACAGCATGCGGGAACACTGGGTACTGCTACCCCCAAAGCAGAAGCTTCCTACAAGCATGTCGTTGGAAGACACGCCAGCGCTGGAAGCGTTACCAGCGCCCAATCTATTGGACAGCTTTATGATGAAGCGGCAGCATCGGCATTGCCTCCGTCGTCCGTCTCATCGCCACAACGTTCAGCAGCGCGTCGTTATGACAGTAGTGGATCATTGGAAGGCGGCACATCCGTTACCTCGGCTGGTTCTCCCTTCAAGCGTGGCTCGGCTGAATCTGCCGAAGCTCCAATCTCCAGTTCAGCGGATCGGGAGGCATCGCGACAGGAAGCTCAACAGATGCTCACGGCACAACAGATGCTCATGCGACCTTCAAGAGACGGCGGTCCAGCATCCCATACGGCCCCGCCCTCTGCCCCTCCAGCTTTCCCTGCCCCACCACCTCCTCCCAAGGAAGACGATGCGCTAGGAGCTTTGCAGCGAAGTGGAGAATTGGAACGGCGTGCCTCACGACGTTTCTCTGCATATCAGATCCAGAAGCATCTGGGTTCTTCTTCAAATGGTGTTCCGGTACTCCCTACCCAAAATTCTCCCATCCCCAATCGCGGCCGTGACGTCCGCGAGTCTCTAAACGCTGTCCGTCTGCGTGGATCGTATGCGCATCAACGACAGCGATCAAACCGTTTGCAGGAAGGGAACAAGGATGGCCAGGCCCAGGTAACAGCAAAAGCTCCTCATCGGCTTCAAGAACAGAATCAAAGCCGCCCAGAGAAAGCAGATACTACGGAATCAGACCACGATGAGACGCCCAAGCCCCCTGTAGATCAATCCGCTGTTGTGCAACAGGAGTCCGTGGAGGATCCAGCGGCTTCCACGCCATCAACTGGTTTTCCACAACCACCAAAGGCCCTTGACGACGCCTTTAATCCCGACCTCAACCTTTCACCTGTTACCTCTGTCCCCCCTCAGACACCGATTTCGAGTCACCTTGGCCCATCGGACATCGCGACTCCTCCTGATCAGCCTTCGCCTGGAAAAGAACTGACATTGTTTTTGCAATACAAAACGAAAATCAAAAAGTATGTCATTTCCGAGGGCATCGTCGGTCTCACCATTGGTAGGCTCCAATTGGCATTCATAGAAAAGTTTGCTTGGAACACTCACAACGACGGCGTCGATCTACCTGAAATTTACATTCAAGATCCAATTTCCGGAATTCGACACGAGCTCGAGGACTTGAGCGACGTGAAGGACCGATCAGTGCTTGTCTTGAATGTCGATACTCTCGACGAAGTCAAAAAGCACTTTGATGATAGCTTTGGAGGTGTGCGCCTCGTAGTCGATGATGTGAAGGAGGCTCTCGCAGACCAGGGAATCGCCATTCAGCGTGTATCGGACCGACAACTTGAAGCCTCCAAGGAGATCGCTCGCTTGGCTTCCTCTACACCATCATCTATTGCGGGTTCATCCAGCGCAGGAAGCAGCACTTCTAAAGCGACGATATTAGGGAGCGGTAGTCAGATCGCGGAGCTCCAAAGCCTACGCCGTGATCTTGCCGTACTGCGTCAAACCTATTCCAACTTCACCACCGACATCGCCAGTTCAATGTCGTCTGTCCGAACCAAGGCCAACCTAGTGAAGGCCGCTGCGGAAACTGCTGCTGACCGAACATATGAAGGTGATGCCGGTCGACAACGCGTTCAAACCGGCAAGAAAGAGCTTGCAGATGAATCGGAGCGTCTTGTGGCTCGTGTTGACGATCTTCAGGATCTGGTTGAGGATTTGCGGAAGGATGTGGTTTTGCGAGGCGTTCGACCTTTGCCGAGACAGTTGGAGGGTGTTGGTCGTGACATCAGCAACGTCACGAAAGAGATCAAGAAGATGCAGGATTTCCTTGGTCGCGAGAAGCCCGTCTGGACCAAGATCTGGGAGAAAGAACTCCAGTTGGTCTGTGAAGAGCGAGACCAACTCACTATGCAAGAGGATCTGGCTGCCGATCTGCAAGACGATCTGGAAAAGGCCGCCCAGACTTTCGCACTGGTTGAGCAGGCCACCAAGGAGCAAGCCATCGAGAAGGCTAACGGGGGTGTCTCGCTGCGGGCTACTTCTCGAACTCTCGGAATCGACCCTACCGTGGACCCCATGAAGGCCAAGGATGGCGTTCTGGGCGAAGTCCGCGCCTTGCAGCCGAACCATGAAAGCCGAGTTGAGGCTATCGAAAGGTCAGAAAAGGCCCGTGCGAAGGAACTCGAAACCCGTCGCAACAACATGTTCCAGAAAGAACTCGGTGCGTTTGTCCAAGAGGGCAGACTGAAGAAGAGCGGTGGCGTGGAAGAAGCCGAGCGACTTCGCACGGCCAAAGACGATCGCATTCGCAAGGAGGTCTGGGAAAGACAACAGGCCCGCAATGCAGAGATGGAGCAGGCCGAGGCTGAAGCCACAGCGGCTGCTGCTGCTGAAACCGAGCCACAGCCCGAGGGCGAAGATGAAGATGGCGCTACAGAGGCGAGCCCAGATGCTAACAAGGATGAAGAGTCGCCGAGCGAGGACACTCCTCCTGATACTGTTACCACCACTCCTGCTGAAGCCAAAGAAGAAGAGAACGAGGAAAAGGACACTGAGGAATCTGTTTCCGAGGTGGTGGAGAACGAGTCGTAATTCAACTCGCTTTCCTTTCGATTTTCAACATTCATTATGATCTGTTCCATTACTGTGTTTGAAGTTTAGTCGATATTTCGATCTATTTCTGCAATATTTCTGTTGGCGTGTACTCTAGCGTGTATACCATCTTGCCATTTATTACTCCATATTCCATGCTGACGATACCCTGTCATGTCTATTTTGTTTCCACATTTCATGATTATTCGTGCAGCGTGGACTTTTGAGGGTGACGAACAGTTAACTCTTATGTTCCACTAAATGCCACGATTATTTTTTTTTTAATGTACAAGCTTGACTCTGAAACCATAGACAAGTAGAGAAGTAAAAAAGTGGATAAAAGGCTTGTTTTGGTTTGTTGGTGGCCGGGAAACCAGCCACCTTAATTGTCCCCACATTCAACTTTACTACTACATCCAGTATCTCTTCATCTTATCACCTCTTGATATTTTTGATCTTTGAAACTCTGATCAATTGGAATCGATTAATCTAGTCTTGAGATTGGATTATTGGAAAGTAAGTTGTCCACGCCAAGTTTTTCCAAGCCGCATCTATCTATGATCTATCTACTAAGTATGATCCATCAAACCAGTCCAATTTTTAATACGACCAGGTAACCAACTGAGACCTTGTACGACAATAGCTTTATGCCAGCTCTGTGACACCAGTCTTACTGATTGATACTTCGGATCACCTCTCACATTGATCTAATAATCGAGCTTGACTCGGTCTTTGTATTCACGATGCTTCTCTTCGCGGCTGTCGGTACAATTCTGTTGAACTCAGCGACAGCTTATGCTGCCACAGATAGTTTCAATGCCAGTTCTTCTGGAGCGGGGCTCTCGGGGACTAGTACTTCACTATATGATATGCTACAGCGCAATAAAGAGGTCGAATTTCAATTAGCGAAATCATCTATCCAAGGCGTGAGGAAGATGAGCACAAATGAAGGTGAAAAGTTCTTCCTTGACTATTGGCAATTTAACAATGACTCTCATGGAAGCTTGTCAGAGCGCGATGTGGCCGATTTTGATATTGATATCGAAAAGAGCTACGACGCCCAAAGTTCTCAAGATGAGTCCCAGGTCAACCTCTTCCATGCAAGATCATATCCGTTCAAGCCTTCGTTCGACCGGGAAACAAATTCAATACTTGGCCGAAGTCTACTGGATGTAAGAGACTTCAAGTGTCCTACTGGGACGGATGCATGCACATCTATCGGCCGGTCTGATCGCTGCTGCAGCTCCAGTGATACTTGTGAACTAGTTACAGATACGGGATCTGGCGATGTTGGATGTTGCCCGAATGGGCAGACTTGTGGCGGTACCGTTGGATCTTGTCAGAGTGGGTATTCTACTTGCTCTACGGCTCTTGGAGGCGGGTGCTGTATTCCAGGATATGAATGTGTTTCTGGCGGCTGTGAGTATCCCTTCTTTCATGCAGCATTTACAGAGATCCATGAATCTATTCCCCACGTTTCAGTATCTGACTTGAATTATAGGCGCATTTGTTTCTGTGGTCACTATTACTATTGATCAAACCGTGACACTATCCACAAAGACCTATTCAACAGAGCCACAAAACACTAAGTCTGTTTCTGCCTCAACCTCCACTTCAAAATCTACGTCATCTACTTCATCATCCTCATCTACCACTGAAACCGAAACAACAGCCACATTAGTAGCCCCAGCTCGGCCAACAAGCCTAACAACCCAAACCCACGCAACAACAAGTCAAACAGAAGTCTGCCCAACAGGCTTCTACGCTTGTTCCGCCGTCTATGGTGGCGGTTGCTGTCAAACAGGTCGAAATTGTGATACAACATCATGCCCCACAACATCGTCTACTACCTTTACGTCCAATGGCGTGACTATAGTGGAGCCTGTCACGACATCAAGCTCATCAAGTACGGGCAAATGCGCGACAGGCTGGTCCATTTGCGCTGCTACAGCTGGCGGTGGATGTTGTCCGTTGGGTTATATGTGTGGGTCTAGCTGTACGGCAACAGCAGCGGCAACTACAGTTGCTAAGGAACAGGCTACTGGTGGTGCTGGAGGCGCATACCAAAGTTCGAAAGTGTTGTGGATCTGCGTATTCATGGGATGGATATGGATGTGAATGTATTGGAAATGAAATTTTATTCCTGTATATTTCAACAGAGGGGTTATAAAACCGAGAGTTTTGTTTGTTTATGCCTTGTTTTTCAGGTTCCATATTCCATTTTGGCTCATGTAAGAAACAATGCTCGAATAATTAAATAGGATGGGATTACTATGAGTTGAATATTCTGCTTTTTTTCTTTTTTTCTTTCTTTTTTTCCTTTTTTTCCTTTTTTTCCCTTTTAGTCTAAGCTGTGCTAATAAGAGGACTAATACTAACATACGACGGGAAGAATCGCTAATAACCCCAGAGTCCGGTTAATTCAGACATAACCGGCTGGGCTTATCACCGAAACTTACCGACGTCGGCTTTGTAACCCCGACTTGCGACTTTCGACATTCTTTCCTTCCTTTCCTTTCCAGCATATTGTTGTTCAAGTAAGACTTTGAATTTGATATATACCATCCAATTATGCGGTATACTGTTCTTTTCTTAATTGTTTCTAATATCTCACTCTCCAGGTCAATTTCAACCGCCCATCATGTCTGACAAGCCCCAAGCTCCCCTCCCCTTCATCTACCAATTCGCCGCTGGTGCGGTGGCTGGTGTCTCTGAGGTATGAGCCCTTGCCTATACAGCCCCCTAGCTCTTGTCCAACTCAGTAGCAGGGGTTGAACTCGTCTTTATAAGGTGTACTGTACTAATGTGTATCCCCGCACGGACAGATTCTTGTTATGTACGACCCCAATCCCTGCACCTATGATTGCCTGCTTCTTGCTGTGGACAAATTTTGGTATAATTGATTAGAGAAATATGGAATTGACAATGCGCGACCTCTAGGTACCCGCTGGATGTGGTCAAGACTCGAGTGTATGTTTTTCCCCGGTCGGAATTATGGCCTGATAAACGGCACGGCTAACCCATCTCACAGTCAACTTCAGACTGGTGTCGCTGTCGCAGGCGCAGAACACTACAATGGCATGTTTGATTGCTTTAGTAAGATAATCAAGACCGAGGGGTATGTTCGCATTTGTGCTAGGCGTCGAGAGTAATAACAGGAACTCATAATTTACAGTTTCTCGCGTCTGTACCGTGGTATCTCCGCTCCCATCCTGATGGAGGCTCCCAAGCGTGCTACTAAGTTCGCCGCAAACGACAGCTGGGGAGCTTTCTACCGGGGTCTGTTCGGTGTGGACAAGCAGACCCAGAGTCTGGCTGTTCTGACTGGTGCCACCGCCGGAGCTACTGAGTCGTTCGTCGTCGTTCCCTTCGAACTTGTCAAGATTCGTCTGCAGGACAAGGCCTCCAAGTACAACGGTATGATGGATGTGGTGAAGACAATCGTTAGAGAAGAGGGCCCGTTGGCCATGTACAACGGTCTTGAGTCGACCCTGTGGCGTCACATCCTGTGGAACGCCGGTTACTTTGGCTGTATCTTCCAGGTCCGCGCCCAGCTGCCCACACCTGAGCCTGGTAACAAGAGCCAGCAAACTCGCAACGATTTGATCGCTGGTTCCATCGGTGGTATCGCCGGTACTATCATCAACACCCCCATGGATGTCGTCAAGTCCCGTATCCAGAACACCTCCAAGGTTGCCGGCCAGATCCCTAAGTACAACTGGGCCTGGCCTGCTGTTGGAACTGTCCTGAAGGAGGAGGGCTTCGGAGCCTTGTACAAGGGATTCATTCCCAAGGTGCTGCGTCTCGGCCCCGGTGGTGGTATCTTGCTCGTCGTCTTCACTAATATGATGGACTTCTTCCGCACGATGCGCGGTGAGCAGTAATTTAACTCTGCATAGCTTTCAAAAGCAAAAATAAATCAAAAGAGTTACGTCCAAGTCAATCCGGCCATGCTTCGGAGCATGTTGAACCGTATGACTTTGATATAACCCGCCGCTACTATCTGATCTGGTGAATACCAAGACCAACCCGAGCTTGTGTCTACTCATTTCTGTTGATTATTGTATCTTAAAGAATAGAGCATAAATCGTACAAGTCCTTTAAGTCGGATAAAAAAGCATTTGATTCAAAATTGTCCAGTATTCAGATCTATTAGCCTAGTCCATAAGCACCGTCATAAGTAGATGGAAAGTCACATCAACAGTACAATAACTACTCCTTGTGCTTTCTCGACTTAACAAGCACAATTCCAAAGATCATCAAAAACAGCGCAATGAGAATGAAAGTCCACGAAACTATTTCGCAGACCCTCCGGCTCTCCTCACGCCTCTCGCGCCGATCTAGTTGGCGATCGCAAGATTCACAGTGAACATGGGACTGATTCTGAGTCTGGCCTGGCACAATGTTATCCAAGTGCTCGTGTTGGTGAGCCTGGCTCTCGATATCTTCGACAGGGACACGAGAATACTTTGGAGATCCAGTCAGCATCAAAATGTAGTATGCATGTATTATGCGGGGTCGAGATCGATACGTACTCCGGTGATGGCGTTTGAGGGGCCCTGTGCATATAAGTCGCCGTAGGCTGGTGCCGCTTCAGTTGGAGCAGGAGTAACAGGAGCGCCCATTGTGATAGTAATAGTAGTAATGGATTGTATGTTCAAATTGATTAAAAATTTTGATGATGAAGAGTAAGGAGTTCTCGGAGAATTTGATATGGGATGGAACGATGCGGCTGACGCTGACTACTCCTAGGCATCCATCAATCCTGATAGCCACAGTTTGCAAAGAATGCCTAGGTAGCTCTTATGGACATTTATATATTGAAAGAGACTTGGCTTTATCGATAAATAAAAGAACCGAGATTGAATTATATACATAGAAGCTTAGTCCTTAAGCGTCTTGTTTTCAATTTGGCTCAAAATTAAAAGGACCATGTACTGTCAGGTACTGTGAGGTGACCGATATATTACCATATCGCTTGTAAGAAATTACAAAAATGAAACCAAAGTTGAGATACTAGACCTTTGGAATACCAGCCTAGGAAGATCTAGAGAAGGTAAGAAATAGAATACCTAGGTACAAATTATCTATCCAGCCGTGGTATCAATGGTCTCTAAGATCTATGAACTTCTTATCGTTTATCTCTTATCTCTTATCGTTCATCCCATCTGAGGAAGAATCTCACCATATCCTTTAACCCCGGACTTTGTGATCACTGGCTGGAGAATCCTGCTGCCTTCGAAGTCCATCCAACCAACTTATACCCTAACTGGATAGAGTATCCAGACTCTCGGAGAATTGCATTCTATTGAATGTCGCAGATCATATACTATTTAACACCTGCAGCCTCTCACAATGGATCAGGAGGAGGCTCCACCACCACCGTACTCGGCTGTTGACCCGATGATTGATGGCGCTCCGCAGGCCCCAACACCATTGCGCGGAACTTCTTCAGCGTCACCTAGCGGTAGTTCTCGCACCGAGGAGACTTCCTCGACCTCATCGCGAGTTGTGCCTATCCACTTCACTTCCGCCGCGGCATACTTCGAGCAACGGCCGCCACCAGTTTCAGATGACAGTCGGAGTCTGCTACACCACCATGTGACAATATATCCGCGCAGCCAAGCAAAGGACTTCCCCCGGCGACCACGTTGCTGGGCATCCCGAATGGAAGAGGTTGCTCAGCAGGACTGGGATACCTTCTTGCGTTACATGTTTCCGCCTCATCTGGGTTTAGCGGCTACTTCACAACATCTGCCCCGCCAGCTTCGCGCAGAGATCCAGCGGGACCGAAAGGACCGGCCCCAGGAGACAGATGAACAGCGACAATCAAGAATCTCAGCCGTGGTTGAGGAATGGAACCAATGCTTCTTCGAACCTCGCTCAACTTGCATTAACTTTATATACATCGGCGAGCCAGATGCAGCACCTGCATCTGCCCTCTGTCCTCGATGCTACCCAGCCGCAACAAAGGCAACTCAAGGGACGAGTACGCCGTCTACAGAGGGCCAATATATGAGAGATCCAAATACGCCATCGCCTTTGCCGGGACAGTATGCCCAAGTTCCATCACCAGCCCCTTGGCCTATGCCACCGTTTCCCAGTTTCCCCCAATCTCAATACCCTCCTATGCCATACGGGCCCTATGGCGTTCCTCAGTTTCCCAGTCCTGGGGTACCACCATTGAATAACCATCCACCTCAATACTATCCTCCGCCACCTCCGCCACCTTCAGGTGCGCCACCTTGGCAGTATAACAACTGGGTCTACTCCCAACCACAATTTGGGCCGTCCGGTACATCTAAAAGTGGTGCTCTTGGCTGGTTCTCAAATATCACCGCACAGGCGCAGAAATACGGGGAACGATTCGCGGAACAGGCACAATACTATGGAGATCAGATAAGCGCACAGGCGATGGCCTACGGCCGACAAGTTGAAGAACAAGCGCTGGCGCATGGAAGATGGGTGGAAGAACAGGCGAGACTCCAGGGACGAAAGCCAACACCTTATCAAGCTACTACTTACCCCGGCCAAGCTGCGTGGGCTCCTGCTCAAACAGTGGGGGTTATCAAGGACATGCCTCCTCCTACCAACAGCACGAGCCCTATGAATCAAGTTTCAACTCCATCGGAAACCCGAACCGAAAGCCATACTGAACCCCAGCCTCAGAACCAAGATAAGGACAAGGAACATCCTCACCCCGAACTTACCCGTCGTGCATCTGTTTCTTCCTTGTCATCAGACGCCTCTCTGAGCTCCTTCAACTCATTATCAGCCACCTCCGACCTAAGTGCCACAGATCTAGCCGCAGTGCGCACACAACTTGAATCTCTAGATGAATGCCATGACCGGACTCTATACGACGCCGCTCTTGATCTCCGCAAGCAGCTCGATGTTCTGCAAGAATCCCGCCATGCCGCACGACATTCTGGTCGTTGGACGTTGCACCAAGACTGGCGCCGCCAAGTCCACAGCCAGTCTCAGAGAACCGATGACAGCGATTGGGGCCGCTGGGATTCCCCTCAACAGCAACAGCGCCTGGCTGCCAAACGACAAGCCATGAAAGAGGAAATGAACTCCACCAAGAAGGCGTTCCGTGATGTAATCCGCCGAGCTCGTGAGGAACAACGAGAGAAGCGGAAAGCCCACAAGCGCCGCCACCGCCACCACCGCCATAGCCCATCTCGTCCGGCCCAGGAGAGTGAAGCCACAGATGAATCACTAAATAGACAAATGAGAGATCTTACCCTGGGAAACATCCCTGATTCGGGTGCTGCGGGTACTTTACGGACTGGTCCGACCGGACCTGTGCAATCTGCGAATGTCTTGAGCTCGCAAAATACTCCATCAGATTCACAGGCTAGCACATCCCAACTTCCTGACCGTCTGGTCAAACCTCAAAGCCGGTTCAAGGGGATACTCAAACCGCGCGCTTCCAAGAAGTAGCAGTAGAAGTGACAGATGCTTAGAAAGCTGGCTAAGCCAAAGACTTCTAAGCATAAAGATTTGCATGACATTCGGTATTCCAAGCGAGGCGCATCCAATCTTTGGTCAGATCAACGAAGTTACGATCAAGCATTCTTTGAACATAATAAAGTCTAATAAAGGACCTTGTATTTTTTGAATTCACACACAAAGCCAGTGTCAAGAAAATTCCATGCTCCCCAATGCTAAACCTTTATTCCAAGTAATGCATCAGACATCACAAAATATTCCAGTGTGTATATCTAACAGACTCGACTCATTCAAAATCACAATCATGTCTGCTGAACCTCACTCTTCTCAACCAAGTCACCAACACCCAAAGCTCTCCCAACCTTAACGCGCATCATTTTCTCATCATCCTTCTTGCCAAGCGACCCAACCTCATCACCCTCATCTTGCGCATCGTCATCCTTGCTCTCCTCCAACTCCCGCTTCTCAATAGCCTTCCAGTCCAGCCACTGCGGCTTCAGATCCAGTTTCATGGCGTAAGCATCTTCCCCATCAGCATAGTACTTGCTTTCTATCTTCTCGACCTCGAAGGCGAGTGTGTCCCGGTATAGACGCAACGCAGCGATATTGGAGACGCGCACGTGCAGGGAGACGTAGTTTGCGCGGTGGGACTCGGCCATTGCTCGTTCTGTAAAAAAAAAAAATAGAAAAATAACCATGAGTATATTTCGTTTCATTTCATTTCATACTTATCTGTTTCTTCTCGCGACCGATATCGCTTAGAGGAGAATTGTAAGAGAGGGGGAAGGAAAAGAGTGGGAAACATACGACTCATTCGCATCAATCGCTCTGCAATACCCAGTCGTCGGTGAGTCCGCATCACACTCAGACTGGTGATATGTCCATGTTGCACACCGTCTGTCGGCTCCTCTTCCATCTTGGCAAGAACATATCCGACAACCTTGGGGTACTGGCCTGAGAGATCGCCAGCAGCGCCGGGTCCCGAACCACCATTCTTGTAGCCATTCTTAGGGCGTACGACAGCTACAAATGAAAGCTGGGGCCATGTTAGGGCGTGATAAAGGTAGTATTTCAGGAAGTAGTTCTCGGGCAGGTTGGTGATGTTGCAGGTTTGAATTCCGGGGAGAAGGTCGATGTAGGAGGGGTAGGAGGAGAGGGGGACGATGTCGACCATTTTGGCGGGGTTTTTTGAAGGTGTAGGATTTTGAGCCCTGTTCCTAGTTGGATTGAGTTTGCCCTGTTGGAATTGAGGAGATGCTGCGATGGCGAGGTGTGGTTCTTTTTTTTTGGAGCGAGTGAGGTTCTATTATTGATTGCGGGATTCACGACCACGTGATTGTGGGACTCGGTTGTATAAGTTGCGGAGTTAATTGATTTCGAAAGACTTGGGACCGATCAAACCGATTTTCGTGTAAATTTTCAACTAAGATCTAATCTATGTAGTATGGGTACCGTATGTACAATAAAACACGCAAAGGACCGAGAATATCCACTTAGAAATAAATAGGCCAAGCGCCAAATGGGGATATGTGAGAAGACAAAAATTGAGATATTGTTTAAAGATCGAAGCTAAAAGATCCGGTAATATAGTTGCAAATATTAGCTTAAATAAATGACGACAAGACCTGTACGCCAGCTGCGAATATGAAGAGAGTGGAGAGACTGGTGACGGTCAAGCTGTGCATGGCAGCCGAGGCGACACCGCAGCAGGTCTGGTTGTTGAAGGTGACATTATTCATGTTGGCAGCGACTTCGAAGACGGAGCCGTTGAAGTTGCCATAGTTATAGAAGTCGACAAGTAGGAAGTTGGGTGGGCGGTCCCATGTTGCTGGATTGGGTTAGAATGGAATACTTAGACAAATTGCAGTCTTACGAGAGACTTACCGGTACAGTTCTCTGCCATCAGACCCAGGCTGCCATAGCCACTCACAGCATTGGACACATTCATGACAGCCGTGTTAGGGATCATCAGACTGATTGACCCCAGGTTCAGCTCCAGGTTCAAGTTGTGATTGGCCATATACATGCGATTCTTCGCATCCTTTACAGACAAGTTCGGGGGCCGTTGCTCCGTGCAAGGGAAATCACGGTCTGTCGGGGAGAAGGGTGTTTCCCACATCTGAGAAAACTCGTCCATGAGCCAGGGGTAGGCAGTCTGGTTGGCCTGGTAGTCCATGAAGAAAACAGCTCGCTGGCGCTTCAAGATCATCTCTGACAAGGTCGGCCAATCTTCCAGGACCATGGGAATCTTGCTTGGAGTGTATATCAAATCCATGAGGCCTGAATTTTGGATGGGCGCGGTGAAATTACCAGGGTCTACGTAATCGTAGTTTCCTATGAGGAAAGTGACCACATCGAACGGATTCTTGAGCATCCAGGCGAATACAGTGGTAAGGTAGGCCTGCAAGGTACCGACATTGAGAAGCTCGCATGAGGTATGGCACAGATACATGGTACCATTCTGGTTGTGGACTTGGAATTGAACTGTACATTGTGTTGGTTAGCGCATCTTTCGAGTCCCGAGGATAACACGACACTTACGCATGCGAATTCCATCATTTAGCTGATCTGTCACGGAATATTCCTGATTCGCCGCAGCATTACCCTGGCGCACGAAGGGGCTGTTGTGCGCGGCAATCATGGTGATATTGGAGTAACTACGCTGGCAGTACTCGACATAACTGTTGCAGACCTGGGTGTTGGTCGCCAATGCAGCCGTTGATGTGGAAGAAGTCGCAGTGGAATTAGTCCCGTTTGTAGGAGATGCGCCGACCAGCACGGTCAGCGAGTTTGAGTGGGTTGTTGTGACTGTTGTTTGGTTGCCCGTGGGGGTGGCAGTGGAATTCCCAGTGATTGTCGCGTTGAGGACGAAGGTCGAGGTAGTTTTCCCATCATCTAGAGTGATTGTAGATGTATATGATTCATATTCACCGGTAGGCACGGCCACAGCACTTGGGTTGGTGATGGTTGTACCGCCCGTAAGAGCCAGGGAGGAATCTGTAGAATCTGTAGAATCCGCAGAAGAAGTTGTTGTTTGATCGGTGGTTTTATCGGCAGCATAAGCCAGGCCCACAAAGAGACTGAATACTAGAGACCACCTCATAGCGGTCGATACACAATGGGTGTGGAGGGGAGAGAGAGCAAAGAGTAAGGGAGGAAGATATTCCCGGTTATTTTAGTTTGGAGTGCCTAGACCCGCCCTAAGCCAATAGACTAGAGTGGATACTTACTCCTTAGGCTTCTAGATTAGATGACGTTGGCTTGTCGCTGTTGTTGATAGATTTACTCGATGAAAATGTGGAATTGAAGGCGCTGGAGATCCTGGAAATGTCAGAATTTTCAAGATATCAATCCTCAGCTTCAAATCCCATAATAAAATATTCAAACGCAAGGTCTCAAAACCTTCAGGAGCCTGAATCAGACCAAAGAACGCCACTGACGATCTAGCGATTTTAGCCCAAAAATCAACTTTTTTGAGTTCTTCTTTACTCCGTAGGTCCTTTTAGGGGATCGGGATCTTATACCTTCTCCATCCACACATTATCCACCTTTCTCCTCTCCCATCCCCTTCAATTCTCCTCCCTCGATTATATCACACGGGATGGACTCCCCTGGAAGAAAAAAACTCCCTTTCTTTCGAAACTCCAGATCCGATCGAGCTGTTACTCGACGCCCTGCCACCGTGAAATCTCACCGAATCTTACGCTCGTTCCTCTACTTAATCGCATGGATCTTCTGTGTACTGGTCGTCATCGGAAATGTCTCCAATAAACCAGTCCTGCGCAATACCTACTTTCTCTACCTCGATCTGTCAAACATCATTCCTTTGTCTATACCCAATGCCGTCTTGATCAACTCCATCGCCCAGTCCATTGGACTGCACGACTTCTACCAGGTTGGCTTGTGGAACTTCTGTGAAGGCTACAATGGCCAGGGAATCACCCATTGCTCGAAGCCAAAAACCCTATATGCCTTTAACCCCGTGGAGATTATCGTGAGCGAGCTATTATCGGGCGCTAGTAGTATGTGTCAACACAGCCTCCACAATCTACTACCAAGTATAAACTAATCCTCGATCCTTGTGTTTTCACAGTTGCCTTGCCATCCGACATCACCCAACCACTGAACCTGGCCAAGCTCGCTTCTCAGTGGATGTTCGGTCTGTTTATCACCGGCACCGTACTTAATTTTATTTTGATTTTCATCAGCCCATTGGCCGTTTCCGCTCGGCCTCCGCAGTCCATCAAGGGCTGGGCTGCCGTCAGTTCATCCAACGGCGAGGGATTCAAAAATCCTGGCCAGCCACCCCATCGCCGTCGCACTTTTATTCCCTTCCGCTCCATCCCCATGCTTTTAATCTCATTTTTCGCTGCCCTCACCACTATTGTCGCGACCGTTGTTGCGACCGTCATGTTTATCATTTTCGCGAATGTCTTCGTGACCGCAGACCCAAGCTTAGATATTAAGGCGCATATCGGCAAACAGATGTTTGTCTTCATGTGGATCGCCTCGGCATTTAGCCTCTTCGCCTTCATCCTCCAGTTCTGCTCCTGCTGTGCATCTTGCTGCGGTGGTCACAAGGCGCGGAAGCAGCTCAAGTCCGAGGGCATTAATTTATATGAGAAACACTCCGCGTAACGGAATGGTTTGAGCCACCAATTTTAGTCTTGATGTGAATTCTATTTTGTGGATATTTTTGTCTTTCCCCCTGCTGATCTATATCATCTACAACAAGTGTCGTGATTTGGCGTTCTTTTTACATAGATTTGGGTACATATTGGATTCCACTGAAAAAAGTGATAGGTATGGAGGTAATGAGTATACCTATCGACCTGATGAAGCTGTGACGAATTGTCAATTTTAGGCTCCATTTAATTCCTTTTTAAAATATTCCCCACTTGCAGATCCTTATTTGCCATCAGCTCCACACGATCTATTTCAGTGGCGAGGAATACGTTTACAACTAGTCCTAGTTAGGGCTAGGATTACGATATTAATTTGTGACTAGTCGTCATCCATATTCAAGGCTGGACGGTGCTATTTAGTGATCTATTCAAGTAGATATCTAGACCCCTCTATACCATGGTACCTGCTAAAATAAGAATTGGCAATCATTCCTCTTTTCTTCTTTGATACCTCGGGAGATATTTACCTAAGTATCTCCAAGGCTAGGTAGGTATACTCGAGATACTTCGAGAGATGCCCAGATGGATGTATTTCTAAGCGTTGAAGGCAAAACTCGGCTTGCAACTTACTACCTTGACCTAGGTATGTCACTCGCATGATGTCGTCGACGAGGTCATCGCCGTAGTGGTCTCTACGCTGTGCCCCGTGGACCATTAAGAACAAACATTTCCTACTTCATTCCTCTTTTCTTTCTTCTCCATACATCCATATGCATGGGTCTTTAATACACTAGTGAGGAGAAATCTGAGGTTATTATTGCTGACTGAAAGCTATCAGTTATGTCTACCTGACTGCCCTCGCTGGCAGCCAAGTAGTTTTTTACTCAAAATTGTGATTTTATTACTCTTATACCTTTTTTCATTACTTGGCAGCCCTTGCTGGCTGCGGGTAGAGAAGAGAGCAGGTTTGATGCGGAAGTAAAGGTTCACCATGACATCATATCATTGGGTGTTAGCTTGTATATCCACGTGTGTCTTAGGTACTGGATGAGGTCAAGAACGTGAGAATACCTATTACCTACTTACGTACTCTTCCAAGGTTGGTGATTATTTGGATGATGCGATGAAAAGTAGGTATCCTTGATACAACGTCAAATTAAAGATGGGGGCTAAAATAAATTGGGCGGCAAATACTTGTTTACTTGTACTTTCGATCTAACAGTGTCTAGTGATACTACCTAAATACATATCAGTTGGCAACCTTTTAATATGATTTGAGATCCTGTAACGGAGTATATTCATGAACTAGATATTGATGTATTCTAGGCTAAAGTTCAGAAAGAATCAGAAATACTAAATTGGTAAAAATAATTCCAATCACGTTTGTATGTCTGATCTAGAATACACTAGTATATCACGTATAAATAACTGTCGGTTGACTAGGTTATTACCGAAGCAGACAGCTATTGATATCGTTTCTGTACGTATATAATAGGTGTATGCATATTGGGTAAAAGTGAAGTGTCATTCTAAAATGCTCAGATGAAAGAAGATATAGTAGCTGCCATGCCAAGATCACATGATCTTGGTATGTCAGCTGATATTCGTTCCAACAATAACTTAAGAGTTACAACACTGGAAGATCCCGTAGATCACATAAGTATCGGTTAGTCTACATCCAAGGATAGGTAAGCAAAGATACGCGAAAAGATCACTCATATCGACACGCACCACCTGACCGGGGCACCTACATGGGTATATGCTATATGGGTATATGAAAATTATTTAAAGATTGGAAGCTATCTAGATGCCAAGGTAGGTGATAAAGGAAAGTGAAGGTGAAACCAGAAGTCAAGGTCTCTTCAATGTTGAAATTGGGCATCAAGGCTAGAACGAGGGAAGTTGCAGTGAGAATCACCATCTAGAACAACCAAAGAAAACGTCCACATTGAGTACAAATGTAAGAGAGAGAGAGAGAGAGAGAGAGAGAGAGAGAGAGAGAAAGAGAGCATGAGAATGACTAGTAGCACATGCAGACTATATTATAGATCTTCATTTCCAAGGTTCGGCTCTACGTATTTTTGGAGACCCTCATTCCAGCAGGACACGTCAATACTAGAGCTGGGACTACAAGGCAATGTAATGTAATACAATAATGATGTTATTAGTTCCATGCTGTTTAATAATGGCGCCATAAAGTATAACGCCATTGTCAGATCCCACCACCCCTACTTGCGCCATGCTATGAATATATCAATGAACATAAAATGATAAAACGTTTAAGCCTCAGAAATCATAAACATTGAGCCAAGTAGCTTAGCGAGGCTCAGAGTAGTCGTTTAAAGCAACACAAACAGCACCACGGTGATGTCCACTATACTGACGAATGATGTTTCCAGTGCTGAGCTCCCACAGGCGGGCATAATGATCACTCGAGACGGTTACCAAGTATGCAGAGTCAGCTGAAAAGGCGCAGTCCCAAACCCAGCGCTGGTGATTGGCAAGGGTGGTCTCCAAGAACAAAGTACCGTTGGCGGGGTCCATAGGTGGACCATCCGGCTGGGGAGTGAAGGTCTGCTGGGGAGTTTCGGTTCGGGGCACCTGGCCTGAGATCCGCAGTAGTTCACGATCACGGGCGGGTGGGTCGAAAATACGCAGGAGGTCGCGGGTCTGGTTTTGGAGCTCAACACTCTGCTGGGCCTCAGCGCTATCAGAGCCGGACTCATTTTGGCTCTCGGTAGCGGCTTTCAAGGCTTGCTTCTCATTCCAATCTTTGATCGCAACCTTGGCCGGTGCGTAATCAGGATCCAGATTCCAGACTTTGGCAGTATGATCGGCTGAACAAGTGGCCAGGTGTTTGACATCTGGGGATAGTAAAACACGGGTCAAGTAGTCCTTGTGAGCTTGGAAGGTGCAGATGGGAATGATGCGAGTTGCCTCATCTGTTTGGTGCATGCGCCAGATGTAGACATTTCCCTATAAGCAGTAGATGATTAGGGTAAGTCAATATATACTTGGGGATATGAAATGTCTAACCTTCTTGTTTCCAGCGCAGAGCAGTGAGCCATCACTCGCAACGCTCACACTGAGGACAGAAGTATCATCCTCAGGAATTAACTGATGGGTGCAAACACTTTCACCCAGATCCCAGACTCGAACCATACCGGCGCGATCACCACTGATCAACTCACCCTGATTAGGGTGGATAACCACGTCATTGACTGGGGCACGGTGGAGGTAGTTGCGCTGCAGAGTACCAGTGCGTGTATCCCAAACTTTCACAGATCCATCCTCCGAGCTAGTCACCATCCATTTACCCTCACAATGGAATGCGACTCCAGTGATATTACCAGTGTGCCCCTCAAAGGTCATCACAGGATTGGGATTGGAAGACTTGATATCAAAGAGCTTGACATTATTGTGGCCAGCAGCAGCAAGAAAGCGCTTGTCGGGGGTGATGCATAGGCGGTTCACTTGAGAATCTGGATGCTGAATAGTGCGAGAGCAAATACCTGAGAGCGCCTCCCAGAAGCTGGACCATTGTATTAGTTAAAATGCAAAGGGGGTATATAGACAGATTTCAAGAACTGTAGAGCACTGAGCATACCGGATTGTATGATCATATCCAGCTATAATAAGCAATAATTGCATTAGCACATAAGTAAGAAAAATGCGGGGAGCTTTGTGCATTAGCTTACCAGTGCAAAGAATGACGCTCATCTTGACCAGTCTTCGATACCACTCTCAAGTGAGGACTGGAGTTAGGAGAAGTAGTCCCAAGACGGCTGGAGTATGTGATAAATGGTTGACCCTTTCAGTTGTTGTTGCCTTCGTGACGCAACCAGCAATCAGAGCTTCGATTGGAGTTAGAAAGGCTTGGCAATGGGTTATATCCACGTGATCAGGTATAAGCATAAGGCGGTATAACTTAGACTGGCAGTATTACTTGCGGTGAGAGTAAAATATCAGGCGGTGAGGGCATAACTCTAGATATACTGCCGTCCGAAAGGGAATCTGTATACATCAATCATACTAGAGAAGAACGACTACCTGAAGTATATTTTGGGAGTAAAGCTGATTTTGAACTTTATCTCATGATTTTCATCCTTGAAGGTACTATCACCAGCTATCTTTTATGGCTGTCAAGGAGTCCTCAATTCCTTCTCAAATTTGCGAACCCAAAGAGGTGTCTATCACTACAAAAATCGGTTCCAACTTCGAGTATGAAACCATTTATCCCAATTACACCTTTGACACCATACCTTCCAGTCTGTTTCAATACTGGGCCCCCATGATCTCTCATGAGGTATTTGTCCCATTCACAAGACGCATTTTGGAAATCCAAGGGGGCAAAAACGAAGGCCCATAAGATCCCTCGGTCGAAGAATTATAATTAAATGCCCCTAGAGGTAGAGCTCACTCTACCAGCTAATCACCTGAATAACACCTCTAACATCGCCTATACCCGCGAATAAAAGAGAATTGAATACATCGTGGTTCTCATCAGCAACTAACCTTGGAACTAGTTAACAGGCCTTCTAATACAGGACCCCAGGAGTACTTGATAGGCGAATGTGTATCGGAAGCAGGTAATCTGCTAAATATAGCTTTGTAGAAAGTCCTGTGACGATGGAGATTTGATATGAATGATACTTAAGTATTGATCTACACCCATTACTCAGTGAACAGAAGTAACAACGAACGAAATCCGGTGTCCCATAGATACAGGTAGCAAGAAAGAGAACGACGTGATCAAGATGAATAATAATTTCGAGAAGAAGAGGTCAACATAAAACTTAACGTCCGACTTATGAACAGAACAAAAAGCAGGAATGTATATGCCCCTCAATTCCAGTCTTCCCATTTATCAACAGTATAAATAAATAGACAGCGGTTTAAAACAACCACACTTAGTTCACTGAGAACCAAGTGATACTGATAACAACATCCAGACCCTGCTCCTCGGCACCTTCGTACTTGTATGTCCACATACCGTCGCGCTTCACATCCCAGAAGGCACCGGAAGCGGAGTGCAGACCGCGCTTGCCGGCGTTGCTCTGAGTGCCATCGGCGGCGGCGGACTTTTCAATCAGACCCTGCTGCACAATTGTGCTGTTCACAGTGAAACGATAAGGTGCTGGCTTGGAAGAATCAGATGGGGCGGTGGCGGCGATAAGCCCTTGAAGGGTAGTGCTCTGATGGAGGTATAAGTGGTTAGAGAGGGATTTGACGTCAGTGCCTGCACGGATGCAGAGTTTCAGGTTGAACGTACGATAATATCGGAATTCCATTGACTAGCTTTAGCGTGGTCGTACTCAGTGGTGTCTTTGAGAGCGCTACGGCAGGCCTATAAAAAGAGCTTGGTGAGACATGCTCCGTATTTGTTTGGATTTGGGACGCCGCGGGGGTGAGGGGCACAACGCATACCTTGGTGGTGATATTGGTCAGCTCTTCAACGGAGACTGGCTAGAGATATGAGGCGCATTAACAAGGATATCCTGACAGGCGAAAGTGTTGCAACATGCTAAGCATGGCGCAATATCGTAATGGCTCAACATACCTGAGCAGGAGTGTCGTTGACGGCCATGATGGTAGAATCTTAGAGCAAAGTATATTAGATACTAATAAAAAGTATGTTAGTCATAACTGGCCCAATAAATCTCAGGCATTGTATAATCCAACAGTGGCTGACACGTTGACTTGAGTATTGACAAGTCGCGTTTTTCCTGCAATATGGGAGAGTGCGATTGGCGGTCAAGCAGGGAGTAAACAGTTGAAGACCACGGGGTAAAATGAAGGGATGAATGTCTAGAGATGGACCATACCAGATGAATAGGGATTTTTAGATCAGGGGAATTAAAGAAAGCAATGGCAGTTTGTTTAGGGAGAGACTGGTATTGTGGCGACGGATGCTGGTTGGCTGCGGCCTTAGCGTAGAGCTTAGATAAGCTTAATGTGGAGTTAAGGCCCAACTTAAGGAGGTTGACCCCCTAGATGTTGACATCGTTTCATTTATTAACCGGTTTTACGGAGTATACAAGAAACGAACAAATTATGGAGTTTATATTGAGAGTGAAGTTCAATGAATGACTGAATTTAATTATACGGTTGAAAATAGGAAAGATGGCAGTCATCAAGTTGTCAATTCTGCCTTTTCAGCCGTTGTGAAGGACTTGAGGGCTTCTGAAACAAATCCTGATTTTTGCAGAATCGTATTTGCCAAGGCATTCACTGAATCACTGGCCAGAATCTCTAATAGCTGAAGATTTGCGTCGAATTCCCGGGTTATCCAGTGTCGAATCTCAATGGCCACAAGTGAGTCGAGCCCGAGAACAGAGATTGGCTTGGAGGCATCAAGTTCTTCCATCGCAATCATTAAAAGACTAGATAGCTTTCCTAGCACGGAGTCCGCGACAATTTGGCGGGCTTGGGTGGCATTTTGAACCTGCTGGATCGCCTTTGCAGGACGCTCGAATGCGCCATCTTTAGACTGAGAAGATTTTTCAGAAGTGGTGGACATGGTGTACAAGCGGACCAGTTGAGAGAACCTAGGATCTCGAGTCCAAGGGTGATCGGTGTTTTCGTATTGTTTTTTGATGCCCCTCATTCCAGTGATACAATGGTCATTGCAAGAGTCCTTCATGAAGCCTCTTATTGCGATCGCGAGGAGACTATGGATCTCTTCTGCAGTGACCCATTCATCACCAAAGAGTTGTCGGACCATCTCTCTCGTTTCATCGTATTGAGTGAGATAACCAATGCCACTAACTGGTGGGAGATCTATTGTGGTGCATGGTACACCGATGGCATTCATTGAATGAGAGAACTCATCCATGAATGTACAGCTGGCTGCGTAAGCAGATTGTGTGAAATTGCCAATGATACCAGAGAGCGAAGAGAAGTTGATGAGGAAATCGAGTTTCTGGTTGAACTGAACCAAGCCATTATAGAGATTCCACACCCCCTGGACTCTCGGTTGTGTCACTGCGTGGTAATCGGAATATTCCATTTCTTCGAACATTACATCCTGTTGCATCATAAGTACATAGACTCTCCAATCTGGGAAGATTATTTTGGCCATCGGCAGGATTCTGATACTCACACGAACAACCATGGCACTGTATATCACACCACGTAGGTTTGGCATCGTGGCCAAGATATCTCCCAGTTCTTTTTTGACTATCTCTTCCGATCTAACATCACATTGGCATACTTTGACGGACACTCCTTGGCTGATGAGTTTGTCGATTATTGGCTGTGATTCTTTGCTCACTTGACCTGATCGAGATACAAGTACAAGGTATCGTGCCCCTCTACTTGCTAGCCAAGTCGCAACATTGAGCCCGACCCCTCGCGTTCCGCCGACGATCAGATAAGATGCATCGTGTCGAAGAAGAGTATCGGACCGTCTTCGTGGCGGATGAACCTATGAGTTATGTTAGTAACGAGAAATTTTTCTTGATTGGCGAAGTCGTTGTCCGAAATACCTTGACAATTGCATCTGCATTCATTTGAATAACAATCTTGCCAATCATCTTTCCTGTTCGCATCTCCCGTAATGCATTCTCAGTATCTGAAATTGAGTAAGATGTGATAGGCCATGTCGGCTTGCAAAACACATCACCACCAAATTTCTCGAACACATCTCCTAGTAACCTCTTTAAAAGTTGAGGTTTACGCTTCATCACGAGGACCAGATCCACCGAGGCGAACGTCACGTTATTCAAGAAGTGAGCCATCTCCAAGCGAGAGTTTTGCAAGAAATCTCGCTTACCTAACTCAACAAAACGACCGAATGGTGCCAAGGTCTCGAACGAGGCACGAAGATAATCTCCACTCAGGGAGTTAACAACGACATCGATACCTTGTCCATCTGTTGCCTGAAAAATTGCTTGAGCAAAGTTGGTGTCTCGGCTGAAGAAAATCCGATCCTCATCCAAGCTATAGGCTTCTTGAAGGAATTCCTTCTTTTCTCGTGTGCTAACAGTTGCAAACACATTGGCCCCAAGTGATTGAGCGAGAAGAATAGCAGCTTGACCAAGACCACCTGCCGCGGAGTGAATCAATATACTCTCCCCAGGCAAAAGCCGAGCCACATCAACCAAAGAATAGTATGCTGTACAAAATGTGATTGGAATAGTAGCGGCAACGTCAAGAGCTATTTCAGGAGGCAACTTCCATGCACTAGTCTCAGGGCAGCGGATGTAACTCGCAAATGATCCCATGTGGGAAACAGCACATACTCGGTCGCCAATATCAAAGCCTGGGACGTCAGACCCCACCGCTGTTACAATACCACTGCACTCACCACCGACATTAGAGCCAGTGACCTCTCCCATGATGACCATTATGTCCCTAAAATTCAAACCCGAGAAGCAAACCTTGATCTCGATGAAGTCTGATGGAAGCGGTGCACTTAAGCTGTCATCGTCTGTGAACAAAAACCCGTCCAGGGCGTTGGTGTTGGTCAATTTGAGCGTGAGAGGCCTTGCATTTTGCTGGAACTCTTGGAGCTGTGGAGGTGCTTTCATTCCTTCTAACATTATGTTGAAGTTCATCGCATGGTCCTCCACTACACGGGGGATGCAGATCTCTCCATCTTGAAACTTGAACTCCATTTCACCAGTCATGAGGATGGAAGGTGACTGGAACACTTTGTCGAGGACACGCACAACACTGTGTACCGCATCATCAGATCGGAGGTCATCGATTTTACCGAGATCGAGTGTGACGAATGGGAATCTGGTTTCATTTCTCACTGTGCGCGCTAAACCAAGGATCATTTTAACATCAGCTTGCTGTAAATAGGATTCATGATGCCCAGTGACCCAAAGGATTCCCTTCGCAGTTTTCACAACTCTTTGAATCGCAAGGAAAACTTCACTGGCCAAATCCGGCAACAACGCCTGCCCAACCTCGCCGATAAAGACGCATACTTTCCCCGCCACATCTGCATGAATGAGGTCTTTGATATTGGGGGATACTCGAGCCACAGATCCAATGCTGATTACTAAGTCACTTGGAACTATCACGCCTCCTTGTCCATGTCCAATGATGACAACCTCGTGTTTGGAAAGCATGTCGGTGTTAGCAGTAGAGATAATCACTGATGAAGATGCTTCGGGACAGTCGGGGAAGTCTTGTAGATAAAGGTCGACTCCAGAAAATCCATTTTCTCTCAGTGCTCTATTCCAAGCCTCCTGGTCGAGCAGAGGACCTATAGTCCGTTCATCCTGACATAACCACCAGCCAGGGAGGCAAGCGAACGGGAAAACCCTAGGGTGCATGTTTGTTTCCTCAACGAACAGAAGTTTTCCACCGGGCTTCAGTAGCTTGTGAGCATTGGCTAACGTTTCACTGATCCGAGCAGTGGCATGGAAAACGTCTCCAGCAATTACCAGGTCATAGGAATGAGCAGTATACCCTTGGCTAACTGGGTCCTCAGATATGTCCAGACTCTGGTAGGATACAAGAGAGCCCCATCCCCGAAGTCTCTCATGTGCTCTCTCAAGGAAACCAGTTGAAATATCCGTAAAGGTATAGTGGCAGAATCTTGGTAGAGTCTTCCCATCCCTGCCACCAAAGCTTTCCAAGATGGGCCAGGTAACAGAACCAGTGCCGGCACCAATCTCCAAAATGTTCATGTTAGGATTCTGGTTTGCCATTATATCAATGCAGAGCGAGATTCTCTGGCATATTTGTGGGAAGCTGTCGTGATTCTCATAGTATTGATTTAAGAGGTTATCTTCAACAATAGCCGACAATGGGTCTATTTTGCCAAGGAGAATTTCTGGTAGCAGTTCTCCAATTTTGCAGGTCATCTCTCCTGAAGCACTCATGGAGCGAACGCTACGTATCAGCTCATCGTCACATTTCGTATCACTAGAGGAACGGACCGTTTGCATCCAACGATACAAAGAGCGATAATGAGGCTGAAAGCTTGGAAGTTCCGACGGAACCTTTGACAATGCTCTGTTAATAAAGTGTCGTGACACTTTTTCCAAAAGCCTCACTCTTTCCAGAGAACTACTAATGCTCCTAGCTGAAATCTGGCGCAGGGTAGTACCAGAGATCTCAAGCAAGTCGAGACAAGGTTTAAGCTCTTCTTTATAGCACAGAGCTCGCTCGACTTTGCCGTCAAGAGTATCTGGAGCATCATTTATGCGTACGGCTTTGAATCCACTGACTGATATCCATGGATTTTCTTCTTCAACAACGCCAAAAACGTCGAATGTTTCATCCCCACCAGGTGTGAAGTTTGGTTCCTGTACAGCAAAGAGCTTGAAAGTTGTGCCGCTAGTGAGAAGCTCATTCAACTTTATGGTCATATGTTTGATCGAGTCAGCGAGATAAGCAGAATGGGGTCCTGGCTTGTCATATCCAATCAAGAACCAGAAACTCTGAAGAACAGTATCCAACGTAATTGGATGCACCAAGAAGTCGGTCTCGTGCTGAAAGGACATGCAGCTTTTGGTATCGGGAATGCACGCATCCGCTGTCACTTTTCCATCTTCACTGACTGTGATACCAGTCAAATTCCGAAACAGAGGTCCGTAGTTCACCGATGTGGCTGCGATACTGTCATAAACCATTGATGCATCAACAGGCTTGGTGCAATCTTGGCTGATACTCAAGAGCTTCTCGGAATCGGCGGTTATTTTCTGATTGACCGGATTAAGGCCCTCAGAACTTCGAGCGATGACAAAACCGTGACAATGCTCATCCCATCCTCTACCCTCTGCCCAAGAGTAAGCCTTGAACTCATACCAAGCACCATTGGACATAGAGGAAGCAAGGCCATTGTGGAGCTTCATTGAGAGGAAAACTTCTACGGACGACGTATCCGGGACCACCAGCATTCGTTGCATCCTTACATCTCGTAGCTCGACACGATCAAGTTTGATATGCTGTAGGTGTGCCAGCTGCACTACACCTTCAATAGCCATAGCCAAGAAAGCAGTCATAGGGTAGAGAGAATTTCCATGAACTTTATGCTGGCGAATCCAAGGATGATCGTCAGTGCGTATAACATTTCGCCATCTTGGCTCAAGATCGATGTTGTCTGCACAGAGTTCCCCCAAGATATCATTTCGAGGAAACTTGGGATGACAGAGGTTTTGCGCAATACGGGAATTATGCCAATGACGGGTAGTGTGATCCCACGGATAACTAGGTAAGTTTGTCAAGACCTTCGGTTGTTTTTCAGACTCGGAAAAGACATTGATGGCGTCCAAATCGATTTCAGCACCCCTTACAAAAAGTGCAGCAGCGAGATCTTGAATGACCTCCTTAAGGTCTGAGTTGCGCTTCATAGCTGCAAAATATTGACTCTTGTTCTCTGGGAAGTGTTGCTTGATCGTGGCTTGGATTGGAGACTGCATTGCCGAGTGCGGTCCGACTTCGATGAGTATGTGATTGTTTGAAGTCGTTTGGGAGATTAAACTCTTCAATCCGTCGAGAAACAGGACTGGCGAAACAAGATTGTTGACCCAGTAGTCGCTAGTCAAATAGGAGCTGGGGATTTCTTTACCATGAACCGTGGAGTGAAATGTGATCATGGACGGCCCAGGTACAATATCACCCATGAGTTCGCGATACTTCTTGGCAACCGACAGCATATGATGCGAGTGGTACGCAACACCGGTCTTGATCTTTCTAGTAAATATTTCCTTGCTGGCCAAAGTCGATTCTAGCTTGTCAATTGCATCCGCATCACCAGAGAGGGTCACGCTTGAATCGCTGTTTATACAAGCGATTCTGACTTTTTCTACTGCAATCTCATCGATGAGTGGTTGCAGTCGGGCTGGGCTAGCACCAGCCACCATCATCATTCCTTTACATCCAGCAGTGTCATTTTTGAGAATTTGAGCAGTTGCTCCGCGGAAGTACGCGATCCGAATACATTGCTCAAGACCGAGGATACCAGCAGCGTAAGCAGCTGCAATTTCTCCACTGGAGTGACCAATGACGGCTTCAGGGAAAATATTCCAGGAGTGAAGAAGATCAACGAGTGCCAGTTGAATAGCTGTACAGGCTGGCTGGCTCACATAGGGTTCGTGAAGAGAGCTGCTTGCTTCATCTTTTTCGAGCTCATCTTTATACAGGTTAGCCCCCATCGAATCGAATTAAGGGAAGGGCGCTATCTTACCAGTGATTAAAAAATCACTACCCAAATCCTTCAGAGCTTTATCAACAGCTTGTAATGTTTCAGAAAACTTTGAGCGTGATTTTATCAACCCCATACCCATGCCAATCCATTGAGCCCCTTGACCAGTGAAAATTAAAGATACAGACAGTCTTTCTGAAACATTGAGAGGCTTGAGATCAGTGGAAAGGTGGCCAATTAACTCTTTGCATGACAAGGCGGAAACTGCTAGCTTCCATGGGAAAATTGTTCGCCGCTGGCCCAGAGTGTAGGCTAGGTTGCTCATCAAATTTGCGTCAAATGCATCAGGGTGCTTTTCGAGGTACTCTGCTAAGAGCTTTGACTGGGCCTTGGCTGCCTTTTTATTGTGGCCTGAAAGGACATACACATAGCGTGTAGGATTGTTCTCTCTTCCTTCATCATCGACCTGTCCATTTTCGACTAGTTGCGCTTTAGGAGCTTTCTCCAAAACGATGTGAGCATTTGTTCCTCCAAAGCCAAAATTGTTGATACTAGCAAATTGCTTGCCTTTAGGCCAAGGAGATAATTTATTCGGTACCTGAGAACGGTGTTAGTCTCCTATTATAATGGAACGTGAAGGCAGTTTTATTACCTTCATTCCCCATTCCTTCATTGGGATATCCTCCCGTGGAGTCTGAAAGCGACAATTGGGCAATACAAAGCCCCGCTCTAACATCAGGGCAGTTTTGATGGTTCCAATTAGACCACTTGCACCCTCGGAGTGGCCGACATTCGATTTAACTGAGCCCAAAAGCAATGGTTCATGTCGGGGACGATACTCGCAGAAAACATCGTGCAGAGATGCCGCTTCAATGGGGTCACCAACTCCGGTACCTGTCCCATGTGCCTCAATATAGCCTGCCTCTAGCGGGTTGATCATCGCTTGGCGATAAACCGCGCGCATAAGTGCTTTCTGCGATTCGCCGTTCGGCATTGTGATACCTATCGTGCGACCATCTTGGTTCACCCCAGTATTTACGATGACAGAACGGATTGGATCACCGGCAGCCACGGCTTCATGGAGCGGCTTGAGGACCAGACAGCCGATGGCTTCTCCACGACCATATCCAGTAACAGTCTGATTTTTGGCTTGTTGATCGAAAGGATAGCTTTTCCCACTTTCTGAAAATAGCCTAGATAAATTGTTATTCGTACGGTCTCTTATCAATAATCTTTAGTTCTGTCACTTACCTAGAGGCGGACATAGAGACAAAAGTGTCAGGGACCAGGTCAAGTCGGCATCCTCCAACCAGTGCCGCTGAACATTCTTTGGCTCGAAGGCTCTGGCATGCCAAGTGCAAGGCAGTCAGGCTTGAAGAGCATGCTGTATCCACAGTCACACTGGGGCCCTTCAGATCAAAATAGTATGAGATTCTATTTGACTGCAGAGACAGTGCACATCCAGTGGCTTCGTGCATGGGAACCGTGGTAGGATCGCGGAGCATATGAATCTCATAGTCCGATTGAGAGCCACCCACAAATACACCAACATCACGACCTTGAAGGGACTGTTTTGTAATGCCGCCATTCTCAAGCGCCTCATAGGTACATTCAAGTAACAGTCGCTGCTGTGGGTCCATGGAATGTGCTTCCTTGATAGTGATATTGAAGAACAGAGCGTCAAATAGGGAAACGTCTTCATCTAAGAAGTGGCCCCCTTTTGGGTTGAAGCAGCCAGTACGATCTGGATCCGGATGATAAAAGCCCGCAGCATTGAATCGGCTACTGGGTATCTCGGACCATCCACTTCTGCCACGCGCACAAAGTTCCCAGAAGTCTTCGAGATTGCGAACTTGACCTGGGAGCCGACATGCCATGCCTACAATGGCAATCGGCATAGGCTTTGTTGCATCGTTAAGAACAACATTGTTTGCTTTGTTACCAAGATCTCCCATTATGATAATAAAGAGCAGAGATCTGTTGGAGTCAAATAAAGAGATAGTTCAATGGGAATATAGATCTCAAGATTAAGAATTATAAGACTACAAGGCACGGCTGGAAATCACCATTTATAGCCGAGTCCAGATGTATACCTACTCCAACCAACCTTGGAACTAAAAGATGAGTCGGGACCATATGCAGGTTCGTAATCTATGATCACTGCTAGAGAGATCTACGATATCCACGATATCCACGATATCCACTGCCATCAGCAAGTAGAATCACCGGATCTAACCGAGGATGCGTAAGGTTCGCACTAAATCACTAAATCACCTCTTTCGGAGCTAGTAACTCTTTATCCTCATTCAGGTGCCTCCAATCACTTGTTCAGCCATCATTTGGCCCTTATTTTTCTTTGTTATACCCCCGAACTCATCCGAGGCTGTCTGTATGGATCTTGGTATAAACACACGAGGCCAAACCTAGATTCTTACTATCTGATGGTTCGATACTAGTCTAGAGCTGCTGATTACGTCTTCTCTTTTCTTTTTGTGGAAGATGCAGCAGTTCTATGGGTAAGGGCTGGTTCTACCTCTTCCTAGCTAGGACACTATAGGTATTTCGTCCAGTAACAATTGATGAGAGCCTACTATTCGCCACAGATTGACAATAGATTGATTCAACCAAGGTTACTGAGCAGCTGAAGTGAATCATATATTCTTCGTTTGCATCTGTGGCGTCGAGCTACGGGGTTCTCCGATCTGAATGCTGCTATCATACCCCTGCAAGTGAACTTTGGAACCTTGGAACCTTGGAGTCGACTCTTCAAGGCTTCAATGTCTTGCATACAGTACCATTTGGTATCTAGCTAGCTATACCAGACCCTGGAACTTCTCTTTCAGATTTTCTATCTCTCGCTTGTTCAATTTTCAATCACTATGAAGTTTCTTTGTCTGCCAGGGAGTCTTTCAAATGCCAAGGTCAGTACAATACTCATTCTTCTCATTATAACACTTGACTTACATCTACTTCGTGAAGACCATGAAGGTACAGCTTGGTAAGTCTCCAAACCCTGGAACTCAGATAGTAGTCAGTCAGAAATACTGACTTCAATGCTTTCAGAGCCTCTTATTTCTGAGCTACAAGCCGACTCAAATATCAGCTTCCATTTTACCCAGGGAAGCAACCCCGTCAATATGCCAAGGCAATTCGAAGGCTTCACTGGCCCACCTCCCAACTTTACCTTCATTGAGTGCGACTTGGAAGCGAATGCTCGCATTATGAGTGCAATAGATGCACGGGGAGATCCAGAGGACACAATGAGAATATGGCAAGCTTCACCCGGCAGTTATGGAGGCAGGGATATCACCCCAGTACTCTCCCGGCTCCTTGAGCAAATAGATCAAGACAATGACATCGAAGGTATCATCGGGTACTCCGAAGGTGCCGGGGTTGCTGCCTCACTCATTGTGGAGGAGAGCAAGAGAATGGAGTTGTTTGGACGAATCCCTCGCCTCAAAAGTGCCATTTTCATTGCAGGCTTACCACCAATGGACTCGGGCACTGGTCGCTTTCTCTTACGTGATGAAGTTGGCTACCTTATCAAAATTCCAACATGCCATATTGTTGGAACACAAGATACAATGATCTGCGGGGCTATGGCCTTGTACAATGTGTGCGACTGTGATACGGCGGACCTTTTTGATCACGGTGGTGGGCATAGTATTCCCCGTGACTCTCAGACATTGAAAGAGCTTGCCACCACCATTCAATCTATGATTGCTTCTGTCTAATCGGAGTAACCGAGGCGGTTTCATTCACGGACATATGTAGTACCTAGGTATTACTTTCACAAAAAGCAAACAAACTTGAAACCTCCGGGGCGTTGGAGAGGAGTATTTGCTTACAATATTAGTTCATAGTTAAATATTATGACTAATTTAAGGAAAATCTGCGTCATTATTACATATACACTACGAGTTTTGTGAGGAATGATAACTATGAATACCTACCTAGATAGGTATGTACATGGAGGTCTTCAAATGGCATCAGGACAGTATGGAAGACTAAAGAAAGTACGTATTATTGTCAGATGCCGCGCACCAGAGGTCAGGGCTTGAGACACGCTTCGATAATGCATCTAAAAGTATCTAGACAATACCAGATCCCTTTCTACCTCCTACTAGGTAAAATACTATTAGTAGTAGTAGGGAACCTGTTGCCAAATTTAGAAATCCTACTCTTTACCCCCTCATTTTCCGATCATTTGCAAGTTCATAGAATGATTAAGAAAGCGCGTGATTGTATCTGTTTTTTGCGTCTTTCGATAACTTGCGCCTACTTCACCTACTTTCATGAAGTTATTAGGGTATATGGACATGGATACATCTAAGATTATCTACTAAATCTAAGACAGTCAAAAAGGAGCTAGGATCTACATCTAGGGCTGAGTGGTAAAAAGAATTATGAGTCTAGGCGATCCCTAAGCCTGTTGGGTATTTCAGACTTACCTAGGAATTCTGCTAGTAAATACAAAACTTCCAAGGGCAATCATTCATGGATATCTACTGTCCAGATGGAATCTGAACTCATAAATATGACTGCTATGCTAACTATGTGATATAGGTAGTGCGCAATAGCTTCATACTACTTCTAATCACAACACAATAATGATAATCTCAGAATTGCCTCCTCAACTCAAGACCACTTGTGTCTTGCCTGCTCATCACCGCATCATCACCGCAGAAACCATTCCAGTCAAAACCATAGCCGGTACTCTTTGCTCAAAAATTCCTGTCTCACCCCCAGAACCGAATTCCAACCAACGCACCAGGAGATCATTACTTTCCTTTGGTTTAATACTCTGGTCGGCGGTTCCGACAGTAATATGCGGAAGGATGTTGGCACATTTCAGACCTTCAACATCCTCCTCTCCTCCCACCTCTCCCTCTTCGGTCTTGGGTGGGAGGATGCGGACGACGAAGGCCATGACTCTGTGATCCCAGATGAGACGCTCGATGCAAACGCGCTGAGGGCCGAAGCTGGAGATGATTTGTCCACTACCTTCCGTCTGCACTTCGCTAAATTTGTTTGCATAAAAGTCCCAGGTCAGAGCCTGAGACTTCTGGGCGCTGCGATGAATCAGAGTGACGTGGAAGTGTGACTGGATACGCTTCGCTTCGACAAGCTTATTGTAAAGCCAAGCACCCTCAGGTATCATGGTGGGGCTAGCAAAAATGGACTGAAGAAGTTCGTAGACATGAGAGGATCCTAAGCCAATCTGAAACAACTCAACTTTATTAACAGGAGAGGCCTTTGTCTTATTTGAGTGGTAGCTGGAGCTTAGGTCAACCTTGACTTCGTGGCTGATGGATTGGTTGATGGCAAGCTCCATCTCTTCGTGAGAGGGAATTGAGGGAACAATGGAGGGGTATGCATTGTGGAGTGCGACAATGGTCGTCTCCAAGTTTTGAAGGGAGGATGCGCACACATCGAGGTTGATAACAAGATCAAATCCATCATCAGGGTCGCGGCTAGTATCAACGGACTCAAAGCGTTGCAAGAACCCATCCATTATCTTGATAGTCTCTCCATTGGCTTTGGAGCTTGCTCGGATGCTTTGGTGGTTATCTCCACGGTCCAACACTCTCTTTCGGGTGACTGCCTTGATGTTTGGAATATCCCTAAATTCGTGTACGTAGTTCAGAGCAACGAACTTGGCATTTCTAATCGTCTGCAAGATATCGTGCATCAGCTGTGCTCTTTCACGTCGCTGGTGGTTGTTCCGGTCTGCAATCACCACTTTGTGTTCTCCCAAAGCCTGGGAGATTTGAGCAGCAAATTTTTTGGGCTTGTTCTTTTGCTGGGGAAGGTTGTCATTCTGGAAATGACCCCATTTGAAAAGAGATGTGAGAGCCATTGCCACAGTTGTCTTACCACAGCCCAGAGTCGCAATTGGAGCGAGTACGAGCCCTTCCGTTACGGGTCCCTGTTTCTCGGCTTTCATTGCAGTAATATCCCAGCCTCTCAATCCTCGTTCTTCCAAAAATTCAGTTCGTAAAGAGATGATACCGTGACCGTGCATGTATGATTCTGCCAGCTGAGGATCCTGGGCGAACTTTTTGCGTGCAAAATCCAGATACATCTCAGTGATTGGGACTTGCTTTTTGATTTTAGGAGTCCGTCCTGCAATGATGGCTTTAGTGCATTCACGCCACTGTCGGTACATCAAATATGGCTCCTCAAACTTGTACTTGAAAAACCAGTCGTTGTAGGTGCCATTCTCGTTCAATTGGCATCGGACAACAAAGCCTTCGGTCTCACGACCATCCCAGGTACCTGTCCTGGAGCATTCCTCCAAGAACTTGCTAACTGTGTCAATATCGGTGAAGGTTTCATACTTGCACTTCTTGAATCCCCATTCATCGGCAAACTGTTGAACCTTCTCCCCAGACATTGTGGCAAACTTGGGAACATTGTAATTCAGGCCATGAAGATATATACCAGCTGCAGCTGGGCTGTAGGCCAGTACGTGCTCCTCAAAGCTGTCGTCGCATAACTCTCCAACTGCCGTAGCATTCATCTGGCGTAATTTTTTTGCAAGCTCCTTGGTCGATTTTCCAACGCTAGAGACATGTCGTGTGACCCAGGATTCACCAGCCACGGCATGGCTTACTCCATCCTGACGAGGTCCAATAGAATGCTTGCTGCACACCATTAATGTGCTATCTTCCATACCAGCAATGAAAATGATACAGCCATTCTCCTTCACACCCACCTCATAAGGTCCTCTTGTGTTATTGATGATATTAGACCATTTGGTGGTGTGCATCTCGTCCACGTTGAAGAACTTGTCATATCCACGGACTGCAATCTCAGGGGTGTTGTCCTTGAGTTTGGTGGTAAACAAACCTCGTGCATAGGTAGGAAGATTTGGCTTGTAATAATCCCAATCCATGAATTTCCACGAGTCCACAGTGACATTGGTAGTTCCTGGAACAGGATAGGTATTCTTTTTACAGGTAACCGGTTTTTCCTCGCCTTCTTTCCTTTCACGTTTGCTGGAGGCTTCCTCCAAGTCCTGGATAAGCTTAGAAACAGCCTGTGGGTTTTGCGCCATAGTTTGCGGCGGAAGATCGATGTATAAAAAAGTGATAAAGGTGGGGAGGTGAGGGAAAGAACGTGGAAATTAAGAAGAGATCTTAACTAGTTTTTCTGCCAGCTTCACAATTATCTCTCTTTTTCCTGCGCGCAGCAGTTAAAAGATTTCAGAGTCCTGGGTGTATGTAAAATCTTACAGTGATATTGTTTTTCCCTTAAAAGATTCAAAGATCGGGCAAAAAAAAAAAGTCATAAGCGCGGGGAATCAAAATGGAAAGGCGGTGACAATCTTATCGTCCTATTCTTCTCCCCGCTACATTTTTTTTGAGGCTCAGTCACTTAGCCATTTTAGCTTTATTAAGTCAGATTTGTCTACAGAGTCCCAGGTCTTCAATTTTGACTCATCCGTTCTTCTGAAACATACAGTCAAATTCCATTTCGAACATGGCCCAACCAAATCCCTATCTGCTTGCTTGCGACAACCCGTCAGCCCTATTGGAACTACTGCGCTCAAATCCCTCAATCGCTTCCTGTCAGGATGAACATGGGTACTCCCTCCTCCACGCTGCTGCCTCATATGGCCATATCGATCTTCTCCGAGCACTCGTGAAAGAATTCAATGTGGACGTCAACCTTCTCGATGAAGATGGAGAGACCTGCTTGTATGTGGTTGAACAACCCAAAATAGCCCGGTGCTTGATTGAGGAGCTTGGCGTGGACTATAACAAGACAAATCACGAGGGTGTCAAGGCTCTTGAAAAGATTGAAGAAGAGGATGACTATCCTCAGGTTTCTGCCTATCTCCGAGAAGCTGTTGGAGCTCCTGCTATTGCTTCAACAGACTCACCTGCAGGTCCTTTGAATGCCCCACCGCCTATTCCGAATAATATGCAGGTGAATATTGGTACGATGTCGGAGCAAGAGGCGAGCGCTGGTGAAGTTGATCCTGAGTTTAAGCGACGTATTGATGAGTTGGCAGCCCGGGAAGACTTTGACAGCGAGGAAACTCAGAACGAGCTGCGAGAACTGGTCATGGATGCCATTTCAGGTTCTAGCATTCCAGTAGAACGTGAGACCCGGAGGAGGTTCGAATGAGATGGAACTTTCCAAAAGTTTGAACTCCTTTCGAGAGCTTTGCCTCGCCAGCCTCTACGAAATTACTCAGAACGTCTCAATTCTGAACTTGAGCTTTGGTGGATGCTGTCATGAAGCTACAAGTGAACATGTTATCTACGGTTGTTGATTCCGTATACCCCCTAGTCCTAGATGCATTTGAACGTCTCAATTGTTCGAGCATCCCTATGGTTTCTTACTGAGCTTGACCAATCGTCACCCTTGCATGTTGTTCCGCAACCATACTTTCAGTCATTGTACATAGAACGACTATATGAATAACACAAACCCCGATCAGGTCAATCCCTTTGGGCTTGACTGTGACAAACATATGGCACTATCCCGAACTGAAAAGGGCACATGTAGCCCTTTCGCAATAGTTCCGCATATAGATTCGACCAAGAATGTTGCTTGCATCATTTCATTTGAATATTTGTTCTATCCAATATTCACATGGAATGACTTGAGCAATATTCTTGGTCGAATCTTGAGTCCAAATCAGTGGCGAAGATTCCGTAGATCAAGGCTAAATAAGTGGCCGAGGCGCCAATGTTAGACCCGCATCTCCAACTTCAACCTCCAACCCCACATCAAGTAGCACCAACATAATATTCTCGTCATGTCTCAACCAGCGTCACCCTACCCCATACATCCCTCATTTTACTCAACGCCTACAACGATGAATCCAGCTCTAAATCCAGATACCCCTCCTCTACCACCGCCAAAACCCAGCGGTCATGAAGCAAGCCGTGGAGGCACCCCTCTAAATATGTCAATGCCGCCCTCGCATCAATCAACGCCTACTGGCTACCGACCAGATAACCAGCTAGTCGGAGCACAGCAATCTCCTTATCCCCAACCCAAACATATCCCACCACCACCTACTATTGAAGAGGGATGGCTACCAGGGGGCGTGAAAGACAAATCGTAAGGATACTCGTCACGCCCAAGTTTACACGGAAGATATGGCTCACCAACCTCATGCGCAGAACGATGGATCTTCAATCAATTTTAAAAGACCCAAGTCTCATATCAGCATTCTCAAGCCAACACCCCTCTCATATAGCCTCTCAAGAAAATCTTGAGTCCCTCGTCCAAATAAACAAGGAATTGGCAACAAGACTGCTTGAACTGCAAAATCATGTCGCTGAGCTCCGCTCCTCTACAGAATCAATGCTTCTCACCCATCAATCTCTGGAAGTCTCTTGGCGCAAGAAGCAGACTGAGATGGACTCCGCCTTGGCACCATGGTCGCCTAAGGCTTTGTACCAACGGTTAAGCGCAGGTATCTCGGAGCAAGAAGCCATTTGTCATGCAGTAGAAGAGAGTTTCATCGATGAGGATCATCATAGCCGGGTGACGGAAAAAGAGATTACAGACTGGGTACGGCGCATTCGAGCCGAGGCTTCAAAATTGGCGGCAAGGAAGGAGGCCAAGGCTAGATGGGATGAGGGCCGAGTAGGTGGTTGGCGCTAGATATTTAGGAAATATTGATTAATTTCGACCGTCTCTCAATTTCTGGCTAATACCATCTTACTGTTCAAGGTCATTAAGTGGGGGCTTGATCTAGGTACTCGGTGAACGTTCGTCTGTGTACTGAGTGGTCTTGACCCTGTCACAAATAAAATGAGAACTTTGTAAGTTTTAGCTATTCTCTGTTATCTGTGATTTCTTGACTCAAAAGTAAAGAAAGCATTTTACATTGAAAGATACCTGGGAGCGTTGCGGTGCTGGTTGTTGGCAGAAAATGGAAGTGACCCTAAGAATTTTGCAGGTGCACATGAAATTTCAGCATTGAGCGCCGTTTGAATTAGGGCTATTCTTCTAGCTAAAGTACTCCATACCTTAACTGCTCGCCATTCCCTCACTTTCAGCCGTTGACTTCATTATGAATACTATTCACGTGATGATAAGAGCAGGTATGTAACCTTCTGGTGCCTCAAATTCCAGGCAAAACAAGATGGTTCATGTGAAAAGCAAGTGTCAAAAGAAGTAGCCTACTATACGAATCTTGGGGAAAAAGAAAAGGCCAATATTTTCCCTCCTTTTTTCACGCAGATTGAGCCCAATTTCTTCAACTTTCCAAGTGTCTGCATGGTGCTCAAAACCTCTTGCGTATATGATCGAACTCGGAATTGATCCTGAGCCGATTTGGAGCCAGGCCAATTTTGCAAAACGGAAATAGCCTTATCGTGGCCTAATTGAGGTCGTTTAGTGAAAAAAAAACTGGTAGCTTCTCTTTGATTGAGCGTGTCATCCTTAGTGCAGGGGCCATGCTAATCTTCTCTGTATATTTTCATTTGACCAAATGTCCCGAAGGACGTAGTCTTACTCCAAATATGATATTATATCTACCGTTGCGGGTGGCAGTAATTACCAACGGGAGTGGCGGTAGCCTCACCGCCGGGATCTGACAAAATCAAAAATGTACGGGTCAATACCCACTCTAGACCCTAACTACTGCTCTAATTTACACTCGTTGTAGGTATCAAATCCAATATCTATTTAATCTTTGATATATAAAATGATTTAAAACGATTAAAATTGTAATTTATTCACCAATGCGTATGCCATATAATTGACCTTCTTTTCTTTTTAGTCCTTTTAAGTCCTTTATTTTTAAGTCCTAACTGTGCTTTTGCATAATTAGGTGTTGTCACTGTAGCATTTTAGATGTTTCCTGCTCAGATATTTTTGCTAAGGAAGAACTTCTTTCCCCTTCCAGTCCCAGCAACGGCCTCTCCCATCTTCCAGGCCAGGTGGCATATTAACAAGAACCTGTAGTAAACGTTCTGCAGAATCCATAGGCTCCAGCATTTCCCTTCCACCCCAAAAGTCTTTAGTAAAGTCTGTATGAACAGTCCCAGGATGCAATGCCACTGCAAGTGCTTTTTTTGCAGATCTGCCCTGCAAATACAAATCGAATGTCTTCGCCAATTGATATACTGACGCCTTACTTGCCCGGTACGAGTACCAACCACCAGAAGAATTGTCGGAGATTGACCCGACCCGGGCTGCCATCATGGCGTAGATTGTATGTTCCGGTAGTCTCAGATTGTGGTTCTCATTAGAAGAAAAGATTGGAAATGCAGGAGAAGATTTTGTTGGAAGAAATGGAGAAAGATGTTTTAATAGAAGAAGTGGACCGAGAGCATTCACTTTGAAGCTATCCAAAGCGGCCTCGGCATCAATTTGAGCTGGGGATTTCTCAACATGGAGAATTCCCGGCACTGTCAATGCAAGTCTGAGTGGTGTTTCTGGGTATTCCCGGCGAATTGTCTCTGCCATTGACGATATCGTGGATTCATCTGCCGCCAGTCAGGTTGATTTGCAGAATCTTTATGGGAGCTTTGGTACCTGTAACATCAACTTCTAGCACTTTTAGTCTCTCCTCTGAGTTTGGAGCTAGACCTTTGCTAGAAAGTAACTGGTCTCGGACCTGGTCGCTGTTCTTGCGAGCTGTTACCACGATGGGCAGTTGGGTTTTTGCAAGCAATATCTGGGCAAAAGCAAAGCCTAGACCTCGAGAGGCTGGCGTTACCAATGCAAACCCATGCTTGGATGAGCCCATGTTAATTGATTACAACTGATGTGATTGTTGGTTTGTTAGGTAGTCTATCTACGACCCAGGTAGAATGCAAGTTATGGGAACCCTGTTACGTCATGACGTAATGGGCAGTGCAAGCAACAACATTGATATCTAAGTGCTCCACATGCGGTCAAGGACTATTTACCTGGTTAAATGCGTGGCAAGCCACTCTTGAGTCTTAGGATTCTAATTTCTGGCCAATGTTTTGCTAATGGAATTGACCAATTCCACCTCACAGCCTGAATTGCACATAACTCTACCCCTTGCTCCAGCCGGGAGAAAAACGATTTTTCGACCAAATTGTCCTTCTCAAGGCGAACTAGTAGTCTCTTATACTGGGCCAGGAACCGAATGTGCATAGCTCGTCTCCAGTTATGAATCAAGAGAGGGACCGGACCGCCTCATCATCGAGATCAAAAATAAAATCAAGCTCGTCGAGTACCTCCTGGTGAGTGGCACAGCTGGTGTTAAAAGTAAGGGACCGCAGGGTAAGATTAATATGAACGGTAAGGAGCTAGTCCTAGCGCCGACGCCTAACAAGGGCATTAGATCTGCCCCAAGGACATCCAGGACCGGTGCTGCTGGAAGTATGCAAGGAGCAGAGCCGTCCTCTCGGCTTGTAAGTCTAGATGGTGTGCAGTTAGGTGCGCGGAGGTCTCTGTGGCAGGCTGCCAACTCTGCACTCTTAGCCGTCTTCTTGGATGGCTATAAAGCACGGTAAGATAGTGTGATCTCTATGGTGTTGCCAATTGTAAGGGTTACTGGATTAAACAGAGAAGATAATAGAACCAAGAACTTAGTGTATATTTGCCAAGACTGGTTGAAGGAATCATGGGGAAGTACGTAGCAGGTGCGCTCTTGTATGAGTCACATGATTAACTATCCGATTATCAACTTCGAACGACTCAGTCAGCTGGGTTCCTTTGAGTTCTTTGTTATTCCATGAGGTAAAGAATGTTTCGTCCTAATATTTTGATCTGCGTATGAATCGCTATCGAGTTGCCCATGACTTGTGTCTGAAGAGAGTTTTCAAGATGGTCGCATCCTGGGTTTTGAAGAAGTGGGTGTTTGATAGCATAACAAAGAGATGAGGGGTTTGCCTATCCAGAGGACAAAGCCGTCATGATTTTAAGGAGAAGGCAGTTCTCATTTTCTTCTCCCCTATTTTCTCTTCTTCAACTTCCTTAACAGTTTTTTCCTTCAATATCGCACCGACTCCTACTCGATATGGCTGCTCCTACAGAGGCGACAGGTCGAGATTTCATATATTCGGCAAATTATATGGCCTGTGTCGCATGCGTCAGAGAGGCCAAGAATGTGTGGCGTGAGGGGCATTTGCTCACTATCTCTTGTATCTGGAGTAGAGTGGCTTCGAAGAAATGCGATAGTTGTATCCAGTCCCATAGAGTTTGCCATTCGGTGAGTGCGATTCAGGTTGATATCGGTGTTGTTCCTTTACTAATTTGTAGACTCCGTTTGGCATTTTATATGAGTCTTGGGTGTTTCACGAGCTTCTGGATTGGGCTAAAAATGCTGATCCTGCGGTGGCGCTGCCAAGTGTTGGTCTATCAGGTAATTTTAGGACACCTGGGGTAGTTCCCCAAATTATCCCTTGGCATACAGCAGGGACAGCGGCGGCTCGATTAGCAACCGGTGCCCTTTCGGTAGCGTTCCATTCCTTAGTCGAAAGCCATTGCAGTGATCATGCAATTGATCTCCAAAAGGCTTTTGACGCTAAGAACTTGCGAAATTATTTCGCGTCTCAAGAGGATAAGGCTCGTAGACAATTATCTACAAAGGTTCTTCCCATTGAGTTTCCCGATACTCTCTGTCGAATCGACCACAGGGAGACAGGGTTCCTCTCATGGAATACTGCGATCAAAGCCTTTTTCTATGATATTTCCCAAGAGTTTGTTTTACCTGCTGGGGCTCCAATTCCTGCGGTGAATATTGAAAGGGCGATTCTGAATATGGCCACAAAGTATACTAATTCGATATGATTTCATTATCACTATCTCCCCTCCGACGAGGGCGTCTCGACCAGGATTCGGGTTCTAGTCGGTTCATTTTCTCGTTTTCCGGAATTTTTCTACGAGTTTGTCTGCGGTCAAATCCTCTTGGCTGACCCATTGGTTGTACTCAGAGGGCCAGCCTTTCCATTCGACTAGAAAGTGTGTTTCGTTTCCAATCATCTATTCGTCTCAGATTTCTTTAATTTCCCAGTCTTCGTCGTCTTGTAGGTTTGGTAACGTGGTTGATTCGTCACCATCCCGGGACCTCCAGGGTTCGAGTAATGGAATTGGGAAGATGTTATGAATGCGATCGTATTTTATGGGAAGGCTTAGACGATACGCTTGGATCCGATTCAGGCGAGGATCTTGAATGGTCCAATGAATTTTGGACCTAGTTTGTTTGATGGTTGGTCGAGGCGTATGTTGTGGTGGAGAGTTTTACCAGTTCGCCGGCATTGAATTCCACCGTGAGACGAATCAATCATTGAAAACGAAACACACTTTCTAGTTAACTGGAAAGGATGGCCCTCTGAGTACAACCAATAGGTCAGCCAAGAGGATTTGAACGCAGATAAACTCGTCAAGAAATTCTGAAAAACAAAAAAATGAACCGATTAGAACCCGAATCCGGTCCTCGTTGGAGGGGAGATGGTATACTTCGTGGCCATTTTCAAAATCGCCCTCTCAATATTCACTGGAGGAGTTGGAGCACCAGTAGGTAAAACATACTCTTGAGAAATATCATAGAAAAAGGCTTTGATCGCAGTATTCCATGAGAGGAACCCTGTCTCCCCGTGGTCGATTCGACAGAGAGTATCGGGAAACTCAATGGGAAGAACCTTTGTAGACAAAATTCATTGAACCATTCAAGATCCTCGCCTGGATCGGAACCCAAGCGTATCGTCTAGGCCTTCCCATAAAATACGATCGCATAACGTCGTCCCAATTCAAGTTCAGTAGAGCCATGTGGAAGGTGGGAAGGCTGTCTGTAGTCTTTATGGGCCTAGTCGGTTTTCTAGCGCGCGATATCTATCCTCTCTTATGGATAGGGTATTTCTCGTCGCCTAAGCTTATCAAGCCCCTTGACGTGATGTAAAACGACGGCCAGTGGGCTTCCAGTACCACAATAAATGAACACAAGATGGGACGGGACCTAAAGCTTACCGAAGAATTGCTGTAATATTATTTCATCGCCAAATTGACACGAAACGCGTCGGTGCTTATCGGACGCGATAACCAACTTATCACAACTCCTTCGCTTCGTTCCGTAAATTGTCACCATAGACTAAGAAAGAAATCAGAAAAATGCAGGACTTAAATACGCAAGCTGATAATGGTGAGCTAACTTTTCACCCGAGGCTCATCACACGGTCCACGTTCCAAAAACTACTCTCTTGTTATCCAACGACAGTCGAGCGGGTACACCAACACAGGATAGAGCAGAAGCTGCAGCCAAAGAAAAGCAAGAAGAAGGGCGCATCAGTGCAGGGCTTGGAATCTGTCAAGACAGATTTTAGTAAGGAGGAGCAGTCACAGATCCGCGATGAGGTGAATAGAGTTCTTGATTTGGATGAGTGGCGGTATGAGAAGATGCCCGCGGCGATCTTGGAAAGGAGAGCCGCAAATGAAGAGGAAGAGAAAATGGAAGACTCTGAACTTTTGACTAAAGACGAGTTGGTAAACATCGTGGAGTGGAAGCTGTGAGTTAACCTTTCTTTGTTTTCGTTCAAGTCCGTTCATCCACTGAAAGGGCTTGGGTGTGTGGTATACCATTGAAAGAAGTTACATTGCTAATACAAGTGCTATGGATTAGGAAACATGGCAAATACCGGCCTGCTCTCAAGGGTATGGTCAAGAAGAACACGGAAAGCTTGGTATCAAAATGTGTTGAGGCAGCTATAGCCGCTTTGCCGACGACAACTGAATTTCCAACGGCTAGCATGGATGCTATACTGCCCCTTCACGGTATTGGCCCTGCTACTGCATCTCTGATTCTATCAATCGCCACTGCGGCGGGTGAGGTCAAAGGTCAAATTCCTTTCTACAGCGACGACCTCTTCTATTGGGTATGTATGCATCAATATCCAGGTATGGAAAATGAAGGGAGCAGTGAAGAGTCTGCTCCGCTAGAGACGTCGTCTAAGAAAGCTGCTTTGAAGCCGAATGGGGAATTGAATGTGAAATATACCTTGGCAGAGTATCAACTGCTATGGCTTGCATCACTGGAATTAAACGTTCATCTGAATCATCCAGAAAACAAGGGTTCCCCAGAGTTGCCTGTTTTTTCGCATGTTGATGCTGAAAAAGTTGCTTATGTTCTGCGCCATTTGGATGTTTCTGGGTTCTACCCTGAGCATGAGTCGGCGCAGGATCAGGGAGAATCAGCATCTGATTGTAAGATGGAAGGGTCTAAGAGAAAGGCCTTTGATGAGGAGGAAAAACCGTTGAAGAGATCTAAACGGAAGCGAGAGGGTTTGAGGAATAACTAGATATCTAGCGGGGATGTCTTGATTTAATACAAGCAGTCCTTGAATACTTGGAATTGGAGTGTTCTAGAAAGGCCTTGTCCAAGTGAATATTCAGCTCTCAACCTTGCTACACTGATTTGTGATAAATATTTCCTCAAATTTTCACACTTGAACGTTCAAGGCAACTTTTTCAACCTTACAAGCGACTAATCACATCATACACGTGAGCAATCCTCCAAAGATAAATTATCATTACACTACCTGCCCATGTGGATATGACAATGTATACGGAGGCCTGCTTCAAATCTAGAGATAAAAGCACCGAGATATAGTTCCAATTTAAAAAACAAAATTATAATTGCAACCATAAAAGGTTATGTACTAATTAACAAGGAAGTCTCGGCCTCAAAGCATAACACCCAATCCAAACCCAAGGACACCCAACCATCCAACAGTACCAGCTGCCACTCCAGCTGCAGCACCTTGAGACGGGGAACTCTTAGCTTGAAGTCCACTCAGCGCCTTAGTGGGCTCAGAAGAGTCAGATTTATCCGAGTCGGATGAATCATCAGAAGTAGTGCTCGTGGCCTCGGATGTAGCAGAGGCAGAGGTAGCACTCCAGTTTGCAGAGGTAGGAGTCTCGGTAGAAGTCCAGGTTCCAGTTGCAGTTGGTGTGGTTGTGGGATCGTATGCCTTGGCGTTGGCGCAGTTTTGTTGGCGGATTGTTTGGGCTCCAATACGGTCTTGGTCATCGGGGCAGTTGTTGTAGCAGCTGTTGAACTAGTTAGTTCTGTACATGGTAGCTTGTAAGTGACAGATGGGAAACGGAAGCACGTACCCTACTACATTGGTGCTTTGGGTGCACAGACAGTCCCAATCAGAACTTGCGCAGTTCTCCAAAGCGAATTTCTCAGTTTGAAGGCATTGGTCTAGAACCCTGGTATCTTGTCAGCGAACATCCTTGCCATGATGTAAATGGCATTGCTTACTTCTGAGCAGCGCATTTAGGCGAGCCTGAGCTAGCAGCAGCAAGAGTAGCAGAAGCAGCCAGTAGAATGGGAATATTTGTGAGGAAACGCATTTTGATTGGATTTAAGGATGGTGACCTCAGGATGTTCAGTAGAAAATGCGATATTTACTTCTCTACTCAAGGAGAACAACTAGATTAATATATGCTACGAGAAAATGGATAAAAAAATAAGACATTTCATTCCATTCCACCCATCGCGAAGGAAAGAAGAGCCCTTCATGGTGATCTATATCTCCTTCCGGCTTGGGAGGGCAGGGATAGGACAGTATCTAACATGAAAACGGTAAATTCTGTCAGGAGGGAGCGGACCGACTAACCGATCTCGTAATCCAACCAGAGCCAAGAGTTGAGAGCGTGTAGAATGGTGGCTTTCATTTGGTTTGGACAATTCTTCGGCGGAATTGGTATGTTGTTCTCGTTGACGGCGAATATTTAGCCGAGAACATACTGAGTTCGAGTACTTGGCATTTTTGTATGTGCCACTGCTGTACAGAGCACTGTAGAGTGAATGGGGTTGGAAGTTTGTACATTCCAGGAGGAGTCTGGGGATACATTCCGTTTTGGAATGTTGAAAATCGGGTCCTTGGATTAACTAGGTAGAAAGGGTGAGATTTAGGTTAAAACGGGTACCTGCAGAAGGGAGATTGTATGCGAGCAATGGTCTCCTGCGAACTGAAATCGTTTTGTAAAGGGATCAGGGATATTACTGTGGCTTAGAACCACGATCAATCTGTACATAAACATGTAATAATATTTCACCCATCAACGTCTAATGATAATTTTTAGGTATAGAGAACACCTGTACATGAGACAGTGAAAGCATTAGCGCCGATATTTAAAGCCCCTTGGCTTTCTTAGCCTCCTCAAGAGCTTCCTTCAAGCTTGTCAGAGCCTTTTGGATGTGGTCGCGGTTGAGATCAGTAACACTGACACCCATGTGACCGAAACGGATATATCTAGTGGCGATCTCCTTGTGCAGGCCAGCTGCGAAGATAACACCGCGCTTCAACAGACCAGGAAGGATGTCCGGCGGGGTAAGACCCTCGGGTAGGTAGATTGCAGTCATACCGTGCGCCTGAGAGTCAGGGCTGGGCGCAAGCTGGGACAGACCAAGCTCTGCAATGGCAGACTTGACGTTATTGGAGACCTCGGTGTGAATAGCGAATCTTTCAGAGATGGGACGGGCAGTAATCTGGGTCAAGGTGGTGTGCAAAGCATGAATTAACTGAGTAGGAGGAGTGGCAAAGTACGAGGGTTTGTTGTTCTCGTAGTTCTGCATGATGGGGAGCCAGTTCTTGATGGAGGCATAGTAGGATCCGGGAGGGGTCTGGCGGGACTTGACACGTTCGATGGCACGACCGGAGGTCATGACAATACTAAGACCAGGAGGGCAGCCGATGGCCTTCTGGCTTGCAGTGACGACCACATCCAGGTCCCACTCATCAAAGACAATCTCCTCCGATCCGACACTGCACACACCGTCGACAATAACCAGGGTCTCGGGGCTGATGCGGCGGACGAGCTGGGCAATACCCTTGATGTCGTTCAGCACACCAGTTGAGGTGTCGACGTGAGTGATAGTGACCAGTGCGTATGGCTTCTGCTTCAGAGCGGCCTCGACCTGCTCCAAAGAGGAGCGTTCACCAATGGGTGCACGGAGCTGGGTCACTTGGGCACCATATGTCTCGAGGCATGCACCGAAGGAATCGCCAAAGTAGCCGGTATTGAGAACGAGTGCGTTCTCTCCACGCTCAATCAGGTTGGCAGAAACAAGGTCCCAACCAAGGGTGCCACTACCAGCGATGATGAAGGGTTGAGCGGTAGGGTTCGTAGACTGAAACAGCTTGCGCAGGAGGGTCAAAGTCTCGCCGAAGACCTTGACAAAGCCAGGAGCAACATGGCTCTCACTGTTCAAGAAATAAACGGTCAGTTAGATCATAGAGACAATATGACATCACGCCAACTCACGCATAGTGGCCCATAGACTCGAGCACGGCATCATCGAACTCGATGGGGCCCGGGATAAGAAGGGTGTTATGAGCTGCTTGAATAGACATATTGGGAGTAGGTTGAGGAGGGGAAGATGGTGGGGTCGAGCGATCGACGGGTTTATATTCAATGTCGTCAGGAGCGACTGAGTTTCTTTCGGTCGAAAAGGGAGTATTAAGCTCCGGCAACGGCAGGCGCTGATCCAGGTGTCTGGAAATCAGGCTTAGTCGCTGCTGCGTCGATTTGGAAGCCAGCTTTCCGATTACGGCGGTAGCCGCGGGGTAAGACTGTATAGGGATCGGCTGTTGGTACCAAGGTACTCGGATGCAGTCCCGAGGGTACGGAGTATTGGATTGGCAGATTCGGGTCGGGTGAAGGGAGAATGAGGATGAGGATTGGCTGATAGGTGTTTCACAGCCCCAGTGTTTTTAAATATAAATCAATGAGGGGAAGAACGAGGTACTTGATATTGAATGAATGAGAGAGAAGTTAGCAGTTCATCTGAAGTCTGGAGTTGCGCTATCGGGGTTCGGCGCCGGCGGAGTTTGCCGGTGGTGCTATCTTTGAGTTGAACTTGCCCTATCCTACAGACTACGCAGTAACTTATATATTCCATGGTAATAGAGCCATCCATGTCTGGACAAGAGAGTATCAATTTGAGAAGCTAAGACCTTTCCTCCGTACTTCCAAGGATGATATTGGTAGAGGCTTCCAAAGTTCAAGACTTGAAGTAGTTAATAGTCAGGATTTGATTTATTAACGAGCTCCGTAAAGAATATTCTAAAAGCCCTTGTAAGAATCTACATATATGTAAAGATTAAAATATTAAGTATTACCCTCATCAAATCAATGTACTGGTGTTCTCATTGAAGATCGATGGTAATAGCGTTAACAGCGCTAATCCCAAAAGGGGCAGGGCATAGGGCCTGACGTGGTCTCCCCGCGCCAAAGCTCCAGACCATCTCCAAAGCTTGAATTCTGAGCTCTCTTTTGTCAATCATGACCGCCCGCTTGGTCCTGGTCATTGGTGACTTGTTCATCCCTGATCGCGCTCCTGTGAGTTCCTTCTCTAATACTCATGCTTCGAACGAACAAGCTAACGTGCTCTCCCTAGGATCTACCAGCCAAGGTACACTCACATCGAAACGACCATACAATGCAAGCTAACCTACTACCTAGTTCCGCAAACTCCTCACACCCGGAAAGATTGGCCAGATTTTGTGCTTAGGAAACCTGACCGATAGAGAGACCTATGAATATCTACGAGGTGTAGCTCCAGACCTGCAAATGGTCAAGGGAGACTACGATGTCGATTCACCAAACTTGCCCCTCTCAAAGATTGTCAACCATGGTAGTCTGCGCATTGGCTTTACCCACGGCCACAGCATTATCCCACCTGGCGACGCTGATGCCCTGCTGATTGCAGCCCGACAGATGGATGTAGACATTCTGCTATGGGGTGGTACACATCGTTTTGAGGCCTTTGAGATGGAAGGCCGCTTCTTCATCAACCCCGGAAGCGCAACAGGGGCAATGAGCTCGGGCTACTGGGCTGATGGAGAGGAGCCAACTCCAAGCTTTTGCCTGATGGATGTAAGTGGCCATGCACATCTTCCCTCTTCTCTCTTCCCTCTTGGAGTATAGCTGACATACAAATAGATCCAAGGAGATGTTCTTGTTCTCTATGTTTATCAACTCAAGACAGATGAAAATGGGGCAGAGAATGTATCAGTTGAAAAGGTCTCTTTCCGCAAGAACCATGCCCCAGCTCCAACCCCTGTCCCATCTTCAGCCCCATCTTCCTAAGATCACTCACAACTGTTGTCTTGATTCCCCTCTTTCATGTTTACTACGGTGTAAATAGCCTGTTTGTCTCATTCATCTTTGTCATTACGTTCGCATGAATTACAAGCCTTTCTCAATTTGATTCATTGAGACCTTGAGCTACAATAATCTGTCTCTGATCCAACTATTGCTCTGGAAATCTAGAATCAAGCTTCGTATTGACTGTCTGGATACGTAGTTGACGTTGATAGATCCAAATCCTAGAGCAATATGCTTATGGAAACAAGTACATTTCACCTCCCTGTCTTGAATTGATCTGATCACGCCGAGGCTAATGAAGAATGTTCTTGGATCTCTCTGAAAGAAAACATGTATTGAAGTCTTTTGCTCTGCCTGAAAGAGTTGGCAGATGACGCTAGTCCCAAGGCGGTAAGTTTCTGCCTTATCTCCGCCCCGCAAAGCTCAAGTTCAAATGATTCTTGCTTCAATCCTTCCTTTGTAAATTATCACCGCTCATCAGATTTATTATTTCACACGACGCCATCCTTGTATGATCCTTCTCTCAACATATTTCTATTTGCTCAGGTCCCGGCACACAGCATTGATTGTTCCCTTTACTAACCTGCAAGATTCTTGCTCAAACACAGAAACTTGTTCATACCCACGGACATTGCGCATTCGCACATAATGGCGGAAGAAGTTGCCGAGCTTAAGAAGGAGCAGCTTCCTACCCAGGAGGGTGTCGATGATGAGGTCAGTGTTTAGCTGAGCCCAATCCTTCCATGAGCGAACGTTGAATAGCTTACTTGGTTTGTTCTTCTAGGAGGAAATCGCAGCTATGAAGAAGCGAGTGGCAGAGATGGAGTCGGAGGCCGCCAAGCTGCGCGAGATGCAGGAAACTTTGGAACAACAGTCTGAGAGCTTGCAAGAGAACAAGGAGGATATTGACGCCCGCAGTGTGTTCGTTGGGAATGTGGATTACGGGTCTTCTCCTGAGGAGATTCAGGCTCACTTCCAAAGCTGCGGCGCTATCAACCGCGTCACCATCCTCCTTGACAAATTCACCAGCCAGCCCAAGGGGTGAGTATTATAAAAGAGAAAGAATCAACTCAAAAACTGCCGGCAGCCCACTAACAGGGTTTTGATAGCTATGCCTACGTCGAGTTTGCTGAACCCAGTGTTGTTGCTCAGGCGCTTGTCTTGAACGAGAGTCTTTTCCGTGGACGTAACCTCAAGGTCAGCTTCCCTTGCCTTCCTCTGATATATACGAGAGTTTCCTCTTACTTACTCTTCATCTACTAGGTAACTACCAAGCGTACCAATCTGCCTGGAATGAACCGCGGCCGTGGCCGTGGTCGCGGTGGACGCGGTCGTGGTTTCCGAGGTTCATACCGCGGTGGTGCTGGATACCGAGGCCGGGGTGAGTCTATTGGGCAGGAGCTATGAGGTTCCTGGTTGCTAACATTGTTTTTATAGGCCGCGGCTTTGCTCCCTACTAGCTTCGCATATTTTCTTTAAATATTCTTGATACGTCGCTTTTCTTTCCTCAGTCATCAGGATAGTGGGCTAAGGAGTTTTGTTTAATGTTTTTTATGGGATTGACATGTACATTAGCCACCGGCAAGTCGAATACATTTATTGGGATCAAAGGTGTCAGCATTCAATACCTACGAGTAGACCCACCTAAACTCGGTGAGAATAACATAGTTATAATCTGGAAAGATTCACGTATAAACGCTGTAATTCAATACGTAATAAACCACTGTGGCTCATTCTATATATTATATACGTGACTCGGTATCGCCACAATGATTTCCGCCCACATCCACCAACACCGAATATTACGTACACAGGGAGAAAGTCCCCGAACCTGATATAATTGTGGCTAGAGGTAACTTAATATACCAAGTCCAGAACCTATTGGAAAAAAGGCTATCGTACTAGGTAATTGCTCAGCCCCAGTAAGTTACCAATTGGTACCATTCCATACCCAATACGTAGCCATAGTACCCGCTTAATACAAACTTCCACTGAATTACGGTTACCTAGTTTCCACCTCTCTCCGCTCTCTCCCTCTTCCTCCCTCCATCCTTGCCAAACCCGCCCACTTCTACAACTCCTTCCCAACTTCTGAATCCACTTCAGGTCACCTTTGTGGCTTTGACTTCTGGATTGGCGCTTGAAATTAGCGACTCTGCCATTCCTCGTGGATGTGCGCGCCGCATTTGTCGGCTTAGGCTTGATTGATCGGCCTTTCGCATCGGACGTGCTGTGAAGCAATCAGGGTCACCATGGCATCTAATCTGCCAGCGTAAGTTCTATTCAACCTTGAATATTTCTTTGTTTTGCTTTGATCCCATTCTTCTTGGGTTCCAAAAGCTAACTTTGAGAACTGCAGCCAGCCAAATCTCCGCGTCACGAGTAAGATTTCCCTTTTCCATCTGCGTCGAGTTGGGATATAGCGGCCGTCCCTTTTTCCCAACACGGAAACTAATCCGCTTCTTTTTTCTCTCATAGTCATCGCTGCAGATGGTCTTTACAAACGCGATGTCTTCCGTAAGTTGAATAACCAAGTCAAACCTCTTAATTCAGGAGCGGGGTCAACTGACGTATTTTTTTCTATCCTAGGCTTCCCCGATCCTTTCGCTGTAGCTACAGTCGGTGGTGAACAAACCCACACGACTTCTGTGATCAAAAAGACCTTGAATCCATACTGGAATGAACCATTCGATCTGTACGTGACGATGCCCCGCTTTACCGTGTGATCTGATAGGTGAATGTTACTAACAAGCATGTATCGTGCAGGAGAGTCAACGAGGATAGTATTCTTGCCATTCAAATTTTTGACCAGAAGAAATTCAAGAAGAAGGACCAAGGTTTCCTCGGCGTCATCAATGTTCGAATAGGAGATGTTATCGATCTACAAATGGGTGGTGATGGTAAGTTTGGAGGTGTTCCCTGTACATGAGCCGTACTGAGCATGCCTTCTGACCTCTTCTTTCAACAGAAATGCTCACTCGTGATCTCAAGAAATCCAACGACAACCTCGTTGTACATGGAAAGCTGATCATTAATTTGTCCACTAATCTTACTGCCGCGCACCCTAATCAGCAAAACGGCCTTCAACGCCAACATGTACAACCTTCAACCTCAAGTGGCCTTACTCCACAAGTCGCCGCACCCTCAACACCGCAGTCTCAGGCCGGTCCCAGTCATTCTGACGGACCTTCCGCTGCTGCGTCAAGTGTATCACTTAACCATCGAGCATCCGTAAATGCCTCAATTCCGCCGCCGGCTGCCAACGGTGCCGCTCCTCCTTCGGCGAGTGCTGCATCTCGCACCAACCTGAGCTCCTTTGAGGATAGCCATGGTCGATTGCCTGCTGGTTGGGAACGACGGGAGGATAATCTGGGACGGACATATTACGTGGACCACAATACACGAACCACAACATGGTCTCGCCCTACAGCTAATTACAATGAGCAATCCCAGCGTACTCAGCGCGAAGCGAACATGCAGCTCGAGCGTCGGGCCCATCAAAGTCGTATGCTGCCTGAAGACCGTACTGGCGCCAGTTCTCCGAACTTGCCGGATGCCGCCCAGCCACAAACACCGCCGCCAGGTCCTTCGGTACCGTCGGCAGGAGCTGTATCCGGAGGCGCACCCGCCGCCCACGCTAACGCGGTTTCGATGATGGCAACTGGAGCTACCACTGCAGGCACTGGAGAGCTTCCACCAGGATGGGAACAGCGGAATACACCCGAAGGACGGTCTTACTTTGTGGACCACAACACACGCACGACCACATGGGTTGATCCCCGTCGTCAGCAGTACATTCGCATGTATGGCCAAAATCAGAACACTACCGGCGGGAATAACACCACAATTCAACAGCAGCCCGTCTCTCAGCTGGGTCCCCTACCCAGTGGATGGGAGATGCGTCTCACAAACACTGCTCGCGTGTATTTCGTGGATCACAATACCAAGACTACAACATGGGACGATCCTCGGTTGCCCTCATCTTTGGACCAGGGTGTTCCTCAGTACAAGCGTGACTTCCGTCGCAAGCTGATCTACTTCCGGTCTCAGCCCGCTCTACGGATCACGTCTGGACAGTGCCATGTCAAGGTCCGCCGTAATAATATCTTCGAAGATTCTTATGCCGAAATTATGCGACAGAGCGCTTCAGATCTGAAGAAGCGCTTAATGATCAAGTTCGATGGTGAGGACGGTCTGGACTATGGCGGTCTCTCTCGGTATGATTTCTCATCGCAACCTTTCTTACCAGTACTAACTTCATAGTGAATTTTTCTTCCTTCTTTCGCACGAAATGTTCAACCCCTTCTATTGTCTCTTTGAATACTCCGCTCACGACAACTATACCCTGCAAATTAATCCCCACTCTGGCGTCAACCCAGAGCATCTCAACTACTTCAAGTTCATCGGTCGAGTCGTTGGATTGGCGATTTTCCACCGTCGCTTCCTTGATTCATTCTTCATTGGCGCTTTTTACAAGATGATGCTCCGCAAGAAGGTCACCCTTCAAGATATGGAGGGTGTTGATGAGGACGTACACCGTAACTTGACTTGGACTTTGTGAGATCCTATTTTAGTCTCATTACTCGAAGAGGAAACTAATGTGATCTTAGGGACAACGATATCGAGGGAATCATCGAACTCACATTTTCGGTTGACGATGAGAAGTTTGGCGAACGTCAAACAATCGATTTGATACCCGGCGGTCGGGATATTGCCGTCACCAACGAGAACAAGGCACAGTATATTGAGTAAGTTCAAGAGGCTGTCCATGGACAAAATAATATTTGCTAATTGTCTTTAACAGGTTGGTCACGGAGTGGAAGATTGTCAAGCGTGTTGAGGAGCAGTTCAACGCATTCATGTCCGGCTTCAACGAGCTGATCCCGGCAGATCTGGTCAATGTCTTCGACGAGCGTGAACTTGAGTTGCTTATCGGCGGTATTGCCGATATTGATGTTGAGGATTGGAAGAAGCACACAGACTACCGTGGATACCAAGAACAGGACGAGGTCATCCAGAATTTCTGGAAGATCGTTCGTACCTGGGATGCGGAACAAAAGTCGCGTCTTCTCCAGTTCACTACTGGAACTTCACGTATTCCTGTCAACGGTTTCAAGGATCTTCAAGGTTCCGATGGCCCACGACGGTTTACTATCGAGAAGTCTGGTGACCCCGGTGCGCTGCCCAAGTCGCATACTTGCTTCAACCGTCTGGACCTTCCTCCGTACAAAACGCACGAAGCCCTGGAACACAAGATGACTATCGCAGTGGAGGAAACTCTAGGATTTGGACAGGAGTAGATGTCACCACACGCTCTGCTAATCAACGCAGAAAATTACTATTATCGATCCTGACCTTTTTCCTTCTTTCCTTAAACTGTAACTTCATATCATCACTTAAACATAACCACTCCTTGTCCTTCACCTTCAGACCTCATACTCACTTCGCTCTCTGCCATAACATTCACTCGTTTCCAAGGTTCTTTTGCGTTGCTAGTTTTCTCGCTTGTGTTTTTTATATCCCGAATGGCGCCGTTCAGCTTGTATATAGGGATTTTTGTGTATCAACGTGTGAGCATGTCAATTTATCCTCGTCTTTCACATAGGACGAGACTTTTACTTGATTTCTGTCCTCATGGCTGACTGTTCGTACATATTGGGGTCTTGATATCATGGTTATAGTACACGCATGCACGTGGTACGTCTCCATCCCGCCTTCTTTCTGTGCCTTCCAACCGTCTTTCACCTCTCTCCATATCTAGTTTAATCTTGGAAATTAAAACTGCGAACACAACCAACTAGGGAGAGAATTTGATTTTAACAGAAATCTGCACCATGGGAGCATTTGGTACTAATTAGCGAGCAATTTGGTCCCGATCGCATCGACCGACAAGTCCTGTCTCGACATGCTACAAGTCACGGTGTAGGGTTACACTGATTCGCCTGTGGCGTCGGCTTTATTGCCTAACATCTTGGCCATCGAATCTGTGTTTAGCTTGGGCATCCTTTGAATTTGATGCTCAAGGTTCGTCGGCTCGAGGGCACGACTCAAAGTCTCGAGGACAGGGTTGATGAGTAGATACTTGAAGTCAGGAAGCCGATGAATATCATAATCTGTCATTGTATCTGCTGGGATATAATGAGGAATGTGCCATCAATTTATGTCCGATTTTACAGATTTGAATTCCATAGGGCGCACGCTAAGCAAAATTAGCCGGTCCCTGGTTCAATTAAGCGCTCCCGCGTCGATGTTGATCAGGGCTGGCGTCCACTTCAGTGGAGTCATGTCTGCCCAAATACGCAGATCACTACGGATTACGGAATATATACTCCAAGACTCTATGAAAGTCATGAAAAAGCAGTGAGGAATGAATTGTTGAACACATATCTTGACACAAAAATTGAAAGCCGAATCTACAGGGGGCCGAGGGAACTATAGCGGGGACACCCGAAATCCACAGAGTTTCAAATGGAATTTAAGGGCGACAACACGGAAAACCGATTAAGAACAGATTACGGACAGATTAGGAAATAAGCAAATGAAGGCCACATTGATGTCTAGAACCTTGTTGAGCGGGACAATCTATGAAGGCCGAACTTGCGCCCCAATGTTCAATTGGCTGAGTATTAGCCCTTGGGGCTGGAATCCAACGGACCCCATTTACCAGTTGTTTCTACCGAAGCAGTCCCGCTGGTCATTTGCTCCAATCGATTCTATGGTGGAGCCTGTCTGAGTGGTTTCAAACGAATGCATAAGGCCTCTTACAACTCCTTGCGGTCCTTTCTGGGGCCACTTCCTCAATACACTTCAGTCACCACAGGCTACCAGATCGTGATGCGTCACGAGAAAATCAATGAATCTACCTGACTCAAGAGTCAGTCGTTCTGCTTCTGTAGCGAGCGATGCTGAGCGAGAGAGATTGCGAGAGCTGTCGAAGTGGGTTTTGCTAATCCCTCACCCCGCCTCATTCGTGGGTGGTTCTTTGCTGATCGTTTGACTGGAATAGATATTACGGCGCCTTCGGTCGAGCAAGATCTTCATCGTTGGCATCTTTCAGGGACAATGAGAGGAGGAGTATACCAGAAAATGACGATCCTCAACACCAGGATGAACAGCTGTCGATTGGCACCCTATCCGAGGATATTACCCTCACGGCACTGGCACAACTAGGTATCTATCGTTTGTCATGCAACAGATCGTTCGTTTCAATCATCGATGGCGACAGGCGGCTTATAATCGCGGAGGCAACGGGCTCTGTGCCCACCAGCCAAGCTGATCAGCACACCATCAATGATGATATCTATACTATCGCTCTCTTCACCGGCCAAGATCTTGCGCATGAAATGGATACCCCGAACATCACTGCCAACCAGACACGCTATATCATTCGCGATTGTACTCAAGAAGATTGTTTCAAAGGCCGATCCTTTGTTCGCGGTACGCAGTTTTACGCCGAGGTCCCTCTTTACGGTGTCTCTGGATATGTCATTGGATCTTATTGTGTAGTCGATGAAAAACCACATGCTGGTTTCAGTGAAGTTGATTTTGCTAATCTGCAAGAGGTGGCCAATGCCATTGCACAGCATTTGGAAAATGTTCGGATGATCCATTATCATCGTCGTGGTGAGCGCCTAGTTACAGGCCTGATGAATTTCGTCAAAGATAGTGCAGATTTCGATCCTCGGGAGGTTTCTAGCGATCACCGGCTGGCGTCAACCACCAAAGCTTCCAATTCAGAAGTTCCACCTTCTCCTGCTTTTCCTGATTCATCGGTGCCATCAAGTGGATTTAGCGCATCTTCATTACCTTACGGGTCCCCCTCCATTTATTCCACGACACCGGGGGATGAACATAGTCTCGATGAGGTTTTAAGACCCACAACTGCGAACCATTCCCTCTCTTCAAACACATCTCAAGCCTCATTCACCGAGGCTATCCCGATAGCAGATCGAATCTCGAATATCTTCTCCCGTGCTAGCATCTTACTCAGAAAGTCCATGGATCTTGATGGTGTGGTCTTTCTAGATGCAGCCCGGAGTAATTCCTCATTGTTAGTCATTCCAATATCAGTTCCCGCTTAATACTCAAATTTAACTTATATTTTATAGCCTATCTGCTGAGAACCAGCCTGGCTGGGAGCCACTGCCAAGAACTGTCGTTTCGGAATTTCCCTCAGCCCCTCGTCCCACACCCATGGGTCGAGAAGACTGGGAGTCTGATCAATCGGATGTTTCTTGTGACATTTTAGGCCTGGCTCTCAAAGGAAATACCGACAATGTACTTCATCAAAGCCAAGAACAAATCACCCAAGGCTTGTTAGATATGCTGGTTACGTATTTCCCGCAAGGCCAGATTTTCCGGTTAGCAGAGACATTGGATGAAGGATACATTTCTCATAGCTCGCAAACTGTGAGTATAGAGAGTGTATCCCTGCAGCTAAAGAGGATGTTGCCTGGTGCAAAATCCGTCCTTTTTCTTCCCTTGTGGGACTACCACAAGTCCCGCTGGATGGCAGGAACGCTTGTTTGGACTCATGATCACCACCGTGACTTGGGCATAGAAGAGCTGCACTATTTCAAAATATTTTGCGATTCGATCGTCTCGGAAGTTTCCCGGGTGCACTGGATCACTATTGAGACGTCTAAGTTTGATTTTATCTCATCTGTTAGCCATGAACTTCGTTCTCCACTGCATGGTATACTGGCCAGTGCTGAGCTGCTGCATGCTGGACCTTTGGAACCCGGTCAGGAGGAGATGGTCAGAATGATTGAGACATCGGGTCTGACCTTGCTTGATACAACCGATCATCTGTGAGTTCAAACAAACTGGCACGAGCGTTTCCCTGGCTAACCTATATCTAGACTGGACTTTTGCAAAATCAACAATCTATCGCAAAGAAAGAAATTGAAAAAGAAGTATAACAGCAGCGACACCTCAAGTCTCATCTCCGACTTCGACCTTGGGCATCTGGTTGAGGAAACCACGAACATCCTCTACACCGGCCAACGGCCTCCTACGCCAGTTATCAGTCCTTTAAATGAGAATTTACTCAGCGTTGATGGAACAAGGCCAGTCAACAGTCGAAATAAAGCTGATGAAATGTCAGTCGTGGTACGGATTGAACAACTTGAATCCTGGAAAATTCTGTCGGAAGCTGGAGCGTGGCGCAGAATCGTCATGAATCTATTGGGCAATGCAATAAAGTGGACCAAGACCGGTTTTGTTGAGATATCTCTGTCGAAAGCAGTGAACCCAGCCGAGCCTAATGGCCTTCTTGCGCATCTCTCCGTCACAGATACGGGCCGTGGGATTTCGCGCTCTTTCCTACGGCACAAACTCTTTTCTCCCTTTACTCAGGAGGACTCGCTGGCAGAAGGCGTTGGTCTAGGCCTCAGTATCGTGCGACAAGTTGTGGAATCACTTGGAGGCCACATCAACGTCCGAAGTGAGTTGAAAGTTGGAACTCAAGTCGACGTCTATATCCCAGTTCAAGCATCGAACGGTCATCGACCCCACACCAGCTTGCACGATCACATTCCTACTTGCTCACGGGATACACCCACGAATTTACAGGCGTGCATAGTGGCGTTCAATGGATACCCCGATTTGAAAGAAACACCGACTGGAATGCTGACCGCTGAGGCTAAACGAAAGCTGTCAATTCAAAGCACCATTGCCGACGTGATCATGTCCAGGTTTGGATGGAGCGTGTCTTTAGTAGAATCGCTCGACAATGCGGAAGGAGATGTTGCCGTGATTGATGAGGCAATGCTCATGAACGCTACAGGAGGCTCCCGAAGTCTAGAAAATCTGACATCTCAGCAGGGCCCGAAATTATTCTTGATCCTCAGCAGCAAGACACCCTTCTTGGAGACTGGCCCATTACCAAATGTGGTTCGGGTGTCTCAGCCGTAAGTCCGGAATTTGCCAATCAACAGGATACACAAGCTAACAATGCACTAGATTTGGCCCTTACAAAATTCAAAAAGCAGTCCAGAAGCTTTTGAAAACCAAGGATATGCAACTGCATTCAGTTTCAAACCCAGCTCTTCTTCTTACCCCTTCAGGGTCCCACGATCGCCCAATCTCGAGCCTTTGCAATGCTGAAAACGATCTCTTGTCATCAGTGGCCAATGAAACATACGAAGTCGCGCCAGTAACTTCAATGAGTGAGACCAATCTCAGGCATGTTCTTGTGGTGGATGATAATGAGATCAATATTAAGGTGCGACAACACACGCCCAATCCACATTCCAGACCTCAGGAACTGACATGAACTGCAATAGATTCTCACAACATTCCTGCGCAAGATCGGCTGCTCCTTTGACACAGCCACTAATGGTCTGATCGCTCTCCAACAATACCAGGCTTCCGAAAAGCCCTACGATTTCGTTCTCATGGGTTAGTTTTCTTATGTCCTACCACCTTCGTAATTTTCTAACATTTTTTCTTTTCTTTTCTCAAGATGTATCAATGCCAGTTATGGACGGTCTCGAGTCAACAAGGAAGATCCGCCAATACGAGCATGAGAGGGGTCTCAACCCCTCTTGTATCATGGCTGTTAGCGGAGTGGCCTCTGACACAATGCAACAACAGGCCGTACAGGCCGGGGTAAACGACTACCTCTGCAAACCACTATCACTTCAAAAACTCAAAAAGATAATGAATTTTTCACGACCCCAGCTTCATCGAGGGAATTAGGATATCACAGCTTTTTTATACCTTTTTTTTTTTTTTTTTTTTTTTTTTTCTGGGCGTTTTAACTTGAGGCTTTTCATTTGCATATCTGGAGAATTAGGATCTATCTATAGAAATACCCTGCAGCACTCGTTTTACAGGAAACTCATTTTTTATTCATTTTGGAGTTGAAATTGAATTCAAATGTTTATGTCACTTTCTAAGGAAGTTTTATCAATTTATCTATATCTACATCTATATTAAAAAAAAAAAAAAGGAATGAGACCTCAAAGGTTGTAGCACGGATGACTTGCTAGGTACTATAAGTGTGACCCTGGAGGTACGGAAAGAATATATTCGAACGACACTAATCATTCTTCAGGGCTTGAGGCTGATTCAAAATTGCGAAAACAAAAGACACAGCACCGGCCGCTACATTCTAGGTTTCTAGACTCGCTCTGTGCTCTTCGAGAGGTTCAAGGTTACAACGTTCTCACCAACGATCATGCGATACTATTTATTTTTACCAGTCTGAATATATCTAGGTACATCACGCTTATATACAATAGTAAATAGAACAGTGGCCAATCTTTGAAGCTTCGACTTTGAATTCTATCGTAGGCATACTCCTGGTTGAAATTAGAAGTTATAGTGAAGCATTGGAGTGGAAGATATCGTGATTATGGATACTGATGGGGCAAGTGCCCGCTAACTATGGCTAGCTAGATCTCTTCGCCCACCTGGATGCGGAATTCCTCGGCATCCATCTCCTCAGGGGAAGGGGTGGCAGCGTCGTAGGCCAGCGCACAGTCATCTTCGTCATCGCTGACTAGGCTAGGAGCCTGGTCATCGTCGGACGGTTCCCAGGAGTTGGAAACTTCCGAGCTCGAGCCCGAGCTGCTGGATGATGGCTGTGCGCCAGCTGCTTCCTTCACGGACACCGTCTTACGGCCAGTTTCTTTGTTGAGGTAACAGGTCTTACCACCAGTTGGTTCGGTGGTTTGAAGAGTTTGATGGCCGGTTTTGCGGTCAATCACCATCTTCTTTCCACCAGTGGTCACGCGAAGTGGCTCATCCTCATCACAAGTTTCCCGGGTAATCGGGACTTTCTTGCCACATGTTTCCATGACGGATGAAGTTCTTGCGGCGCGAGAGGTCTTCACGATCTTTGTAGACTTCACTTTTGATGTCTTCACTTCAGCTTCGTCTGAAATAACGAACTTGGTGATCTTTTCGGTTCCGATTTTGCACTTGGCATCCTTGATCAACTCTGCCATGTCCAAGCCGACACCTTTACTCTCAATCAGAGCGGAGAGGTGGGGTGTTACCATCGATGGTGTGAATGAGGCATTCACCGTAGTGGTTTCAGGACGACGGCGTTTTAGGCTTGGCTTCAGGCCCGTCGAGGGCAACTGCTCCGCCGGGGTCTCGAAGCAGTTGGGACGCTTGAGGTCAGGCGCGAAAACTAGCGGATGTACCGATCCCGACGGGAACTTGGTCTCAGGTTCAGCAAGAGGTGCGGGTTGAACCTTCTTGTGGGACTTGCGCTGCGGGCGTTGGGGGTTCTTGTACAGAGATTCGGCACCAGGAAGCATCGAGGCCTTGTACTGGCCCTTGGTGGCCTTGAATTGGGCCATAGCCTTGGTGTGAGTCGACTTCATCTCATAATCCTTGTTGATCTCTTCACTGGTGGGAGGCTGGCCACATTCGTCGGCAGCGTGTTGATGAGAGTTGATACGACGGTTGTGTGAGAGACGAGTGTGGTTTATGAAACCTTGGGCGCTCGCAAAGTTGAAAACCTTGCATTCGGGGCAAACAAGCTTGACAATGGTATTGTCCGAGTCGCGATGAATGAGGACGTAAGGAAGATCTAGCTTCGGCCCAGTTGTAGGATGAGTGGACGGGGTTTCAGTTGGGGGATTGCCCAGGGCGCGGGTGCTCCGGGAGTTGCGAGTTGTACGACCAGCCATGGCTGGGGCAGTAGAAGGGTCAGCGACAGAAGGACCTGTCTCATACAGCACTCGTGCGTCGTCGAAGCGCGGATCGGAAAGTAACCACCGCGCATAATGGCGTGTGTACGGACCTTCGGTGACACCCCAAGGCGCGGGCGACTGTATTTCGGTATGTTTGGGAAGCGATGGACCAACGCCATTACTGACATCCAACGAGGGACCGGTGACAGTGGATCCTGGGAAAGGAATCTCAGCGCATCGGCGCAGTTGCTCGAGCGCGATTTGGCACTTGGCGATTTCTTGGTCGATCTGGCGCATTTCCTGATGCTTCAACAAAACCTCTAGGCCGATCTGGCCTGTGAGAGTTTCGCGGAGCATATTGGTATTCAAAGTCCGTTCGGCGACCGGGGCCGCAGGGCATGGAATGTTGACAGACGATTGCGTGGGGTGGTTAAGTTTGGCATCTTGGGTCTCTTCAGCGACCTGCGCCGGTAGAGATGGAGAGATGGAATCTTCGTCGCAACGAGCTTTAGCCGTGGGAGCTTCAGAAATATTAGAGTCGGATCGCTTGCGCTTTACTGGCGGCAGCGACTGTTGGGTCAACATTCTGATTTCCTCGACTATCTTTTTTCCTCCGATCGCAGAGGGCCAGGGAAGATGAAACATGGCAAAGAAACATGCGTGAACAAATATATTTATAGGCTATTTCACACTTCCATGCTAGTCTTGAGTTGGAATAAATGGGATATATGGAAGTCGAAGTAGAAGTTGCGGAGTAGGAGTGGAAGTGGAAGTAGAAGTCGAAGTAGATCAAGCGACCGGGGAAGTTGACAGATTTGGGGGCGCAAAGAGAGTGGAGGCCTCAGAAAGTGGATTACAAGATGAAGTGGCAAAAAATATATTAAATGGGGAAATAGAGAAGTGGAAGTGGAAGTAGAAGAAAGAGGAGAAGAGGGAAGGGGGAAGAAGGATTAGGAAAACGGGAAACGGGAAATGGGAAATGGGAAATGGAATATGGAGAGAGAATTCAGCGTAAGGGGAGTTTCGTAAGGAGAAAACAGAAAACAGAAAATAGAAAATAGAAAATAGAAAGGGGGAAAAGAAGAAAATGATATGATGTGATTCACCCAAAACCCAACCAAAAATACTTCTTCTTTTCTGGGATATAAAGACACGTCATGCTTAACGTGTATAAGACTCTACTCTATACTTCTGATTCCACTTTTCCACTTTCAGCCTACATCTACCCCGTCTTACTCCTTCACTCCATATCTACTCCCATCTACTTTCTCAACATATCTGTGTATAAATCATATATGCCAAGGTCTGGGTCTGGACCTGCACAGATCACTATCACGATCACGATCGGTCTAGTGTCGCCAGATTAGGAAGGATTGTAGAGTTGGAGCGAATGAGGCCTGATTAAGATATCGGCGAAATTAACCAGAACAAGGCAAACTGCAGCTTCAAATGTTTGTTTGTCCAGCTTAGAAACCTTGGTAACTTAGAAAGTCATGGAATCAAGTCGAAATCTGAGTATTACGATCAAGTCATCCGAGTGTTGAAGTACGGAAACTAGGGCTTCCGCCCCACTGATACACTGATCTAGTGGAGTCCCGGAGTTCGGAGTTGATACATTGAAGTATACAAAACCCCTATTGAATGACTACTCTGTACTAATATGATCTATCATTCCCCACTAGTGGATCTTGACCTAAACATGGAATCTAAGCGGAAATGTACTCCGCTCAGAGTAATATCTATTGTCTAATGTCACCTTATTCTAACTTTGAAGCTGAATTCCAAGGTTCCCAGGGGTATGTAAATCAGTACCTAAGTAGAGGATGTATCTAGTGATACTCCAGGGCTTGAAACATACTTCATCCTTCATATAAATTACCGGAGAGCTGTATCTGAAACATCATATTTCTTAGCGATAACCTTGGAAGCATAGACCTCAATAGTGTGGAGGGAACGCAGATCGCTGCTTTTGGAGGCGCCAGGGCTCAATAGGGACTAATAGTTGCCCAGGTGAACGCCCATGTCAGATGCATCTGCGACTTCAACGCATATCAAGACCTCAGAATAACTTAAATGTACTCCATAAACGCAACAAACTTGTCAATTTCTATAATGACCTCTACTGTAATTTCTTGACAAAATTGATTTCCAAGGCTGCAACTGCTGACCTTGGACCTTACAATGAATCTTGATCAATTTCGGCTGATGATAGAGTCAACTTGTAACAATGTGGTTTTAGATGCTAAGAACAGCTTGAAGTTGAATTTCTTCGCTGTTTACCTCGAAGTATGGACACACGCATTTAAGGATCCTTATCTCCGGTAATTTTCTTACGCCGAAATTTAAAATTTCAGCTTTGAACCTGTGCATTGGCCCTGGAATTTATTGGGTAAAAAGGGCCACTTCAGGTGCTTCACTTTTTGGTGAGGCTCTTAGGTTCCTAGGTACCCATATACCCGGTAGGATTTTGTCGCAATACGGTCCACAGGTGTTGAGAATCATGAAATCAATTCTGGAACGTCTTGACTCATGTATGTTTTTTATTTTCGGCTTCCTAGACATGGTAGTTGACCTCGCTTTCAAGATTGGAAGGTTAGACACAACACACGTCCATATGTATACCTAGGTTGGTACCTAGGTAGCCTTATCGGGCGTATAGCCCCCACCTGGGCTGACTACATAATTTGTACCTACTCCGAAAGCAGCCTTTGTGTGAAGGCTCCATTCAACCTTGGAGCCATGGTGTCTTTCATAGGCACCAGAGATTGGAATATCCTGACCGGCTACACAATCTTTACCGGCCTATCTTGGTAGATATCCCACCGGGAAGCCAGATACCACTATGGTATCTCTAGGTAGCAAGATTATTGCACCATTCAAGTGTTGCTGACACTGCTCCAGGGCTGCCGACTTCCCAAGGCCGGGATACTGCTGCTACCGTAGTCGACACAGGAATTCCAAGGTTGTTTCGATACTGCACTAATTGAATAAATCAGACTAAAACTGGCAGGTGTCAAACCAACTATCCATATTTCGTAAATAATAACAGGCATTTGCTTAGGTAATGTGGCCCCAGATGGGCTGTTCTGTTTGAGTATGTCAACCTCGGAGCTGACACCTGCCAAATGGTACCTACTGAAAGGCTGATCAGTTGCAGATGACCAAGTCTATAGACCATTTCCACGTCATCCATTCGATCTGGATCTGAGGCGAATATCATGTCGGGAGAGATCTTGCCAAGTGTTTACCGGAGCAGGTGGTAGACCTTGAGATGAGAATATGACGAACGTAGATATTGGGCTCTTGGGAGATTCAATCTATCTCCAATTTATATCCAATAGCAAGAAGACATCGATATTAAAGCGAGTCATAAGGAAACACAAAAGTGGCGAAACTTACCCGCCGCCATATACGTCACAGCCTGAAGTAGATGATATCTAGATATCAACACAGGGAATTTGTAGGTCTATAAATCCACCATTTCCACATATCTTCTTAGTGCTATTCCTCAGCAAATCTCGAGAACAGCATCCCCAACTCTGAATTATAACGAGCATTTCTTTCTTGCCTCGCCAGATACACACGATGGATGTCAAATCTAGCACCGCCAAGACACCTTTTGCGTCAAATGACAAAAAGGACCAGACCTATACTGAATGGGCTAAAAAAAACTACCAAGACCAATACGAGAAATGGGTTCCATGGATCGAGGACCAATACCTAAAATGGTTTGGAAAAGGTGATAACAAGGCATCGTATACGACAAAAGGTAAGCACTTACAACTTGGAAGCCAAGTCCAAGTCCAAGCTGATAAATATGCATTTGCGATAGATACCCTTTCGAAAACAAAAGTCACAGGAGTTGATCAAATCGACCAACTCCAAGATGATATCCATAACGTCGTCGGTAACCAGATTGGTGACAAAGGGCTTTTGGCCCCGGTCGGGAAGTTGGTATCCAAAGAAGGTGTAAACCGGGCTGAAAGGGATGGTAAAGATGAGAATGGGTCATATACATCTTCACTGCTTCCAAAGTTTTGAGTCAATCTTGAAATACTGCAACAGGACCGGGATACGATGCACATGGAGAGTTGAAGACGCTACTAGCACTTCGAGCACTACAATTTCTACATGTGGAATCAGGAGATTTATAGAATAGGGCAGGAGATATACCAGGATAATCTTTATGAATGAAATTTAATGACTTTGGATTCGTCTGATTTCTAAGTAAGGGCGTTCAATGAAGCAAAGTAATTCTAATTAGTGAAGCAGTAAGGTACAGCAAGAGAAGCAATATTATAAAGGAAGCTAATCCATCTTTTCTTATAAGCATATCTAGCTGCTAGCGCCGGTTCCTCTCTCCCACAAAAACAGCTTCGACCTCTTATAAGTTGACGCAACCAGAGATAACAAGCTAGTGCTTTTACTGACGCGCAGGGACCAGTAAAGGAAGAGCATATAGGTGATGTTGAAAGCCACATAGGTTCAATTCAAGCCAAAGGCCCGCTAACGCTGGCTATAGAAAAAAGAAAAGTGCTCCAAGAACACGTCGGAGTTGGTGAAGGGGCAGAACTCACAGCAACATCGGGGTGAAAGACCGCGCCACCAGCCGTCTCCATATATGCTTTCAGGTAGCTTCCACAAGTCTCTTCGGTGGTTGAATCAGTATTGTTTCTAAATCATCGCAGTGAACTTCAACGTTCGCAAGCCTAATAAATATAATTATACTGGCAAGATCAGTCATAGGAGATACACGGTACATGAAAAATCCAGAACCTGGGCAGGCTTGCTGGAGTCACCATGACTCCACAGAAACAATATAAAAAACGAATAGAAGTCATGCAAGGATAGTACTGGTTTCTGCAGTAGCTGTTGTAGAAACAACAAGTGTCGTGAATGCTCCGCAATGTAGGAAGAAGACCTAATCAGATTTGGGGAGTGAGCATCTGTTTTGACTTGATAGTTAGATAAACACTCGCGAGGAATCGTGCTTCGACTCGGGTACTCTTTGAACTGGATCATTAAAAATATTCTTTCCATAATTTGGAAAGGGCCTAACTAGTGCTAGTTATAGAGATGGGCTTGCATCTGTGGTTATAAAACCCTCCAAGACATCCTAACAAGACAAAGTTAGTCATCTGCGAATTATCACTCATCTGGCAAATTGCTTACCCAGTTCACGGAATCAGGATTGAGCCATTGCACTGCATCAATCCAGTCGTCAAAATTATTTCTGAACTGGTAATCTACAGGAGTAGACCATTTAAATTGTCCCGGAGACATCATGGACCTATAATATTATAAGCGACTTTTTCCAAAAGAACGGCTTATTCCACTTACTGCAGGTGGCTTAGGATTGGGTAGGCCTTGGTACAAATTGCACTCCTGCTTTGAAGTAAATCGAATCGTGCTATAGATGCATCGAAAGAAGCTCGATACGAGGTCGAGTCAAATGTCTCGTCGTCCTTATCAAGCAGACATGATGCTAATGCAACAGCCCCATGTAAGGCATAGAAGCTAGTCATGCCGTAAACATACCAACGGTAGTGACGTAGCCTTGGAAGTTCGAAAAATTTCTGATGAAGATCCAATAAAGCAGCACCGGAGGATATGCACTTGGCTTGGGAGCTTTGACGAAATCTGGAGCCACTAGATGATTGTTTGTGGCAAAAAGGGCGATGGAGAAGAAGGTAGAGCTGATGTGCGTAGAGCTGTAAAATGCACCAGTGTGCATAATTTGAGGTATCCAGTATACTTGGATTGCCTTCTAAAAGGAAAGTAGAGTCCCACTGAGACTGCTCTCTGGCCACTGCAGCATCCAAGGTATCCAAAGTCTCCTCGTTCATATATGGTTGACTCAGTAGATGGCGGCAGATCCGGCTTGAAAGTTGAAATAGTTGGATCTTGAACCTCATTACGGACATCTGTGTTGGTTGGCTGGATGGCTGCATAACGGCTTCTTCCGTGATGTCAATATCATTAACATCTGTGGGCATTGTTGCTTTGATATCGAGAAGGAAAGACATATCGATATCTTTGAATGATATTGCTTGGTTGGTGTGAAGAAGAAGGATTCCAGCCCAGCAGCGACGGCGGCGCTCAATCTCAATAAAATTCAACGTCTCCGGTCGAGTTTGGATCTGAACGTTGCATCGGAGAGCAATGCCTATATTCAGAGCTATGCCTTTTTTGGGTTAGCTTTTAGATAAAACTTGTTGGGATGGAAGGGTATACCTAGCAATGTCCAGCTGCGTTCTACTCCTTCACAATGACTGATTGTGTACACTTATTTCGCTGATGGTTGGAAGCCTTTTTCCCAAAATATATGAGTTCATGACGTCACTCACCAAGAAGTAACAGTCCCTCAAGCGTATTAAGGTGATGCCGGAACAAAAAGTTGTCTTTAGAGAGACAGAGCATGGCGGCAACACGATACTGATATGAGAGAGCCTCCGTATCACGAGTCGCAGTCTCTTTTGGCCAAAGGTCCTCTAGTACAATATCATCGTCTTCCATTGTCTGGACCGTTGCCGCGCACACTGAGAAAAGTAATGCTAACCAAGAGAGGTCTACCTTGGAAGGGTTCTCCCGAAAGGCTTGGTATTGTTTTTGGAAAGTTGGACCGTGCAGGATGTGGAATAACGGCGACAGATGCATAAAATATTGCGTTATAAAATACTCGCAGCAATGATTTGGGGGCAGTATTCTTAGTAGCTCCGCCATACTGAGGCTGTTGCCTAGAGGGAAGGGAAAGCAGATATTCCCGGACCTGGAAAAAGGATCATACTGGTTCAGCGCGGGGCGGTCTGCTTGGTCAGTTGGTCGCTGGAGAATTGCATCCCAACGAGCGTAAGTGACATCTTGCCGTTCTTGATTGGCTTCCAAAGGTAAATGAGGTTCTGAAATTATCCCAATGCCCGGTTGTTGCGATAGTAAATGCGGCAGTGAGTGCGGAATAGCAGATTCCCCCCGAATGGTACTACTTGGGGAATTTAGAAGTCGCACTATTGGGGGAATTCCCTTACCATTTGCATAAATGCACGAACTAACGCAGTTCCGTCGCTTACATGTAGCGCATGGAGATTGGCGATCGCATCGCAATTTTGACTGTCTACACGACTGACAGCTGATGGGCTTTCTTGGCCGACGTCGCATGGGTGTTGGAACCTTGTTGCTAGTGCTGGAATCAGGAGGTGCATCTAGCAGAGCGGTGGTCTGATTCTCAGTATAATCCATGATGGTGTGTGACATGTAAGAAGATCGGGATTCGGAGATGATATCGGCTCGGAGAAAAGAGATGACATAATACGGTGGTTTCTTCGGAGATAGCAGTGCCAAGAGCGCAGCTACTGTGTAAACACTTTCCACTACACTACAATTCTTAGTGTCTCTCAATGCGCGTATTGAACATGTTTGGACAGTCATAGAGTCAGGATTCTGCAAGTTTTACCCAGTAGTACTGGACCTGGATACGCCATCGGAGATTGCACAATTTCGGAGATCCAAAATCCAATCCGGGAATTAATGCCCAAGGGTGAATTGTATGAATCAGAACAAGTAAAATACCAACTAGGGTATCCGTATATATAGTGTTACAGATCTAAACATACCAGGCCGATTGGTCTAACTGATCTACCACAGGATATTCTCACCAAACATAGCCGACGATATCGCTTTTTTCGTAATGTGCCAAGTTACCCGATGACGGGATCTAAAGGAAGTTACGTGGTTGAAAAGGCGTTTGAGGGAATATGGCTGACTCAGGATTTTGAGTAAATTTTCGTGTCTTGAGTAAATTTCCTTTCCAAGAATACATATATTCAGGCCTCGGTCGTATCAGGAATTTGGCGGAGGCCAGCTCTACAGCAACGCCGTATTGTTATAGCAGACTCATATAGAGGACATATTGCAGTGAGATGGTCATTCTTCTCAGACCCATTGTGGGTATGCAGTTGACTCACTCTTGTTATTTAAACCATCGAGTAAATTTACCTATAGCCCGCCGTGCCCTCTTAGCATTGAGACCCGTAACCTTTTGACTTTCTGGCAGTTCTCTCTGGTACGAATCCTCTGCCTCCTTAAGCTTCCCTTGATCTCTGTAGAGATTCCCAAGGTTGTTCACAGTATCAAGAGTGGATGTATGATCTGGACCTAGGGCTTTCTCTTTACCTGCCAGTGCTCGCTGGTACATCTCCTCTGCCTCCTTAAGCTTCCCTTGATTTCTGTAGAGATTCCCAAGGTTGTTCACAGTATCAAGAGTGGATGTATGATCTGGACCTAGGGCTTTCTCACATCCTGCCAGTGCTCGCTGGTACATCTCCTCTGCCTCCTTAAGCTTCCCTTGATCAGAGTAGAGAAGACCAAGGTTGTTCACAGTATTAAGAGTGGGTGCATGTGTTTCATGCTGCAAACCTAGTGCTTTCTCATATCCTGCCAGTGCTCGCTGGTACATCTCCTCTGCCTCCTTAAGCTTCCCTTGATTTCTGTAGAGATTCCCAAGGTTGTTCACAGTATTAAGAGTGGGTGCATGTGTTTCATGCTGCAAACCTAGTGCTTTCTCATATCCTGCCAGTGCTCGCTGGTACATCTCCTCTGCCTCCTTAAGCTTCCCTTGATCAGAGTAGAGAAGACCAAGGTTGTTCACAGTATTAAGAGTGGGTGCATGTGTTTCATGCTGCAAACCTAGTGCTTTCTCATATCCTGCCAGTGCTCGCTGGTACATCTCCTCTGCCTCCTTAAGCTTCCCTTGATTTCTGTAGAGATTCCCAAGGTTGTTCACAGTATTAAGAGTGGGTGCATGTGTTTCATGCTGCAAACCTAGTGCTTTCTCATATCCTGCCAGTGCTCGCTGGTACATCTCCTCTGCCTCCTTAAGCTTCCCTTGATCAGAGTAGAGAAGACCAAGGTTGTTCACAGTATCAAGAGTGGATGTATGATCTGGACCTAGGGCTTTCTCTTTACCTGCCAGTGCTCGCTGGTACATCTCCTCTGCCTCCTTAAGCTTCCCTTGATCAGAGTAGAGAAGACCAAGGTTGTTCACAGTATTAAGAGTGGGTGCATGTGTTTCATGCTGCAAACCTAGTGCTTTCTCATATCCTGCCAGTGCTCGCTGGTACATCTCCTCTGCCTCCTTAAGCTTCCCTTGATCTCTGTAGAGATTCCCAAGGTTGTTCACAGTATCAAGAGTGGATGTATGATCTGGACCTAGGGCTTTCTCTTTACCTGCCAGTGCTCGCTGGTACATCTCCTCTGCCTCCTTAAGCTTGCCCTGGTCAGAGTAGAGATCCCCTAGCCTATGGAATGCCCCCCATATACTAACGTTCTCACCATGGAATTTACCAAGAAGAATGACATTTGCATGTGGAATAAGCCGTCGCTGACGCTTTGAATAATTCCTTTCGCTGTCACTAGGAACTGCCCATCCGACTGATATCAGTACTAGCTCAGAAAGCTGGCTAGGGGTCATATTCTTTTCGGTGCTGGCAATATAAAAGCACCAGTCCTGTACCACAGGATGCATTGCATAGCTCCCTTCTTGTTGCTTAGTCTCAAGGAGAGAGAATTCGATGAGGGGCTTCACATAATCTTTGAAAGTAAGTTCGCTTGATATTATTCTTTCAAGCCAGCTTGGAACATCGAGGCTATTGGAAGCACTTTCCACCAACTCATACCAAATGTCCCGATTATCGAAGTAGGCAAGCAGCAGGAGAAGCTTTGCTGCGTTTGGGGCTCGATTCTGGATCTCACGGTATGATATCATCCATGTCTCTAGCATATTTCCTTGCATATATTGACGCATAGGGCCTGATTTTGACTGTAAGTCTGACCATGATTGTTGATAGTATTCCAAGTACTGAGCGATGCTAGTGCCAGTCTGACGCATAAATGCCGCAGCGATGACAATCGCTAATGGTAATCCATCAAGATGCTTAGCGAGGGCAAGAGTATCTACTTTTGTTAGTATCATTATCAAAATATATATATCAAGTATCATCATACCTAGCCTGTTCTCAGGGTTCTTCATAGTGTTGTTTGTTGATAAGCCGCTATTTTTTAAGAGAAGCTGAATAGCTTCCGTCGAGTCAAGTTTGTGGATTGGAATAGACTCTCCTAGTTCAGTAAGCGCTAGAAGTCGAGAGGTGATAATAATAGAGCCATGATCTGCTGCGGGAAAGAACTTTCCAATGTCATATGCCTTCCTAGCGCCGCTATCGATTGGAGAGTATTGATCAATATTGTCGAAAATGATTAACCAGCGAGAGTTACCGTCATCTGCTAGCCACTGCAATACTTGTCTAGCTCGTTGTTCTAGCTCCTCGTCACCAATTACCTCGCTGGTCTGCGATTGCCCGGGTAACTGAGGCAAGATAGAGCTAAATGATTGTAGGAGCGTGCCTCGATCTTTACCACTTAACCAGAATATAGCGGTGAAATCATGTTTATGTTCTCGTGCGAAATGAATCGCTAGCTGTGTTTTTCCGATTCCACCAAGCCCATGAAGAATCGCGACCTTGCGTCGTTGGAAATCTGCCGGCTTGAAATACTGCCATAGGCGATCTAGCTCGGCTTGCCGCCCTACAAAATTTTCGATCACAGGCACAGTAGTAAGATCAAGAGGTATTTGGAAGCGATCAACTAAATATATTTAGTAATATACTTAAAAGGAGAAGAGAGCCTAAAGAAGAAAATTTAGAGCCCCTTACCAGAGTCTGCCAGAATATCTCGTGCTAGAGGAGTGTTATCAATCTGATTGATTGGAACCACCAAAAGCAGCTCTTTAGCATAGGCTGCCGCCACTGCCGCCGCATACCCTTGCCATTGCTTATTCTTATGTGAGTCAGCATAGTCACATATGCCTCGAATGACCACACATGGAAAATCATTCATGAGCCCCGCCGCTTCCATTTCCACACAGTATACACCTAAGTCTTGAGCCAGCTGGTCTCGCCGTCTGCCATCTTTCACCACCTGATTCGCAGATGCAATGAGTCCATAATGAATGACTGGCTCATCATGGTCTCTCGAAGCTCGAGGTAATAATTTTGATTGGTCACAATCCACACATGTATCATGTGCACCATGATCATATTCCGCTTGGTATAAACAGTCCTCTTGGATAGGACGAGTAAAATTCGCGGCTTTACGCCGTGGTGTCTTAACATCGATGTTTGAAATAAATTCAATAACCCGACTATCTTCTGTAAGATGATGTGCTTGTAGTGTGGCAAGAGCAGTCAGTAGAACCTTCGGGGGCCGGTTCAACATCCCGGTCCGCTGAAATCGACCGTTATGTAACACTTTCCCAAGATCGTATTGGATCACGCCTCCAAATGTGTCCTTTGGCTGGCTCACCACAATATCGCCTAGTCGAATGTCTGCGTTGCTGCTTGGTACACCACCACCGATACCAACCATCAAACCAAAGCGGATAGAGTGGAAACTCGAGAGCAACTGCATCGCCACTGTTGCAGCTGAGACAATGCCATATGCGCCACCTGGTAGGCAGGCAATGACGATGTTGTGTTTCCCGATATTGCCAAGGATATAGTTGTTTTGATCGGTTGATAGACTCGGCAGGCTCGGATGGATTGTGTCCAACATCAGTTTCGCAGCCGCCATTTCCAGCGGCAGGGCGCATACCCATCCGACCGTGTAATCGTCATGAGACAGGGTCGTCCTAGCAGCCATGCTGGGTTAAATAATAATTTCATGTGATATCGAAAGGCTGGTTTCTCATATGAGGGTTATCGATGTCTGTAATCGCAGAAACTTAGTCTTAGAATGGATCCAAAGTTTGGGAGTAGCGAGGTTAGACAGTGAGGCTGAGGCATCATGATATCACAGCCAATCATCTTCGTATAGTGGAGATAGGCACGATTTGTGAATCTTTGTCCCATGTGCGCCCTGTTCGTGTTTGATAAGCATCGTCGCTACAAATGCTATTGGCCATCGAAGTGGGAGAAGCCTAAGCAGATTGAACCGGAAGCGATTAGCAAACATTTCTGGCGTCCAATAAGATCCGAAAGGATGGCATGATGATGGACAGTGGCGGGGACTACAAATAAGCCTTACCGCGCTGTAAGCTGTCATAATCTTGCCTTCTAAGAACTATGCTATTTTCGGCAACAATCTCCTTTTAATACCTACTCCGTAAAGGGCATCTTGATGCTGTCATAGACTCATAGTTGATTTCGCGTATTAGAACTCCACCTATGTATCATTACAAAAAGATCAATATCATCCGGGGACGATAAGAACTATGTCTGCACAAGTTGGATTTGAGGATGAACAGGGATTTTCTCATAGGGGTAAGACCAGCTCTTTAGAGCTTTAGCATGTGTTCGGGCTCTAATTTAGGATGCTTCTCTGATAGAAACAATCTTGAATCAATACTCAATCATTAGTCTATTCCTATTCCCTAGATCTGCCTTATTTGTGTTTCCAAAGACCAAGACCAACCAATACCCCTAATGTTGGTTTTTTGTCAGCGGATAGCGGAAAAAAAAGTTGAGAAAGAGAGTTGGACTTACTTTGCCAGCCCATGTCAGAGCCAAAATACGCTTCACCTATATCAGCTCCATGCTGGACCTCAGAGTCGCCACCAGCAAAGCAAATGGCGTTATCACCAATAGATAAAGCCATCTTCGGTTGTGTTACAGGGCACTCCTCCATGGCGGGTGGGCATATGTTCTCCCTCGACAACACAGAGGAATAAATGTTAGCACCAGCAACATTTCCCATCACCATTGCGCTGCCTCCTAATTTCATCCCCTCCCATTGTACAACATCACCAGCGGCAAATATTGTATCAGACGGAGAGGACCCCGCCATCACTCTCAGCCTAATCAGAATTCATGAGCGTTAATCCAGTCCTTGTATCTGATAGTTTTCTAGCTAGTAGAAGAATACGCACCGATAATCCACAAGAATAGTCTTATCTTTGGCAAGGCTTGCAGATGGCACGAAAGAAGTGGCGGGGCTGACTTTTGAAACAGCCATCAGGACTAGGCCAGCATGTATTTGGTTACCTTCTAGGAATTTGATATATGATGTCCCATCGGGAAGCTCATCGGCTGTTACACGTTGTCCAAGAATTACTCGAACCCCTTCGTTCTGTAGAAGTTCTAGGGCTCGTGTTTTGAACTCGTCTGGAAGGGGTTCATTCGAAAGGAGTTGGTCTCGCGAGTGAATCAAGATAACTTTCACATTTGGATAATGGGACTTGATCTTCCCAGCAAACTCAACACCCACAGCACCTGCCACGTAAACCTGTTAGAATGAAATATAAAATGATGCCCAGGTGCTTGATCGGTTATGACTTACCTCCTCCTATAATCACCACACCTAGCTTTCCGGCCACTTTGATTGAGTCTGCGTAATCGGATGCATCCTTTAAATATGACAGCAGGCTATTTGCCTTGGGCGTAACCGGCCATTTTCGTTGCATGCCAGTAGACACAAGTAAATAATCATAGGGCTGATATTGTGACATTCCATGGACATCGTCATAGGTCAATGTTTGAGTTGTTGGATTTATAGAAGTTGCAGTACCTTGAAGAAATCTGAGATCCGGCCTCATGAACTCCTTGAATCCCGTATATTGTTTCCACATCGAGTTTGCGTGTGTAGGCGAGATGTGGGCGAGTGGCGCGCCTACTGTATGGACTGCGAGATAATTAATACACTACTGCTTGAATTGAAGTATAAAATTCTCATACAGAAGCCATCTCTCTGGTCAAGTATAGTGATATTTAAGTTGCGCACCTGTGGTGCATGTTTTAGGTGGGCATAGTTTCCGTGCGACGCAAATGGCATTTCACGACCCTCTTTGAGTGCTATTAAAGTCAATGCAGCGGACAAACCGGCGTAAGAGCCACCAACGATGACAACTCTGTAGGGCTGAAAGGAGCCAAGTCGACAGGACGGGTCATTCCCCGTAGTTACTGTGTGAATTGCGTCCAACATCGTAGGTAAATTGTGGATTTTGGCTAGCTTTCTTCGCTGGAGGTTGAATGATGAGAACGAAAAGACAGCAGCCTTCTGAAATATTGACCTTTGGACTCTCATAGGTAAAGCGACCTCGGTATGAGTTTTTGTGATTCAATGCTTCTGAAGTCTGTTCTTATCAGATCTCTTAATTCCGAGGGACCCGCCATCGGGGATAGTTAGGGCTCGGAGATGACTTCGGACCGGGTTCGTCAAATCTCCATTTGAACAGCTTTTGTAATAAAATGCGTATATACCTCATTCACCGCAATAAATGTATCATTATGCCGACCTGGATGAGCTTTCTGCCGACAGGCTCACCGTTCCTAATTACTCTAATGCCGAGAGGGTTCAGGCGATCATATTTCTTGTCGCATTATTTCTTGGAATTTTCTTTTGTGGAAGAGCTATTGTTGCTTTTTTCGAAGGCGAACGACACCCTGCTATGGAAACCTTTCTTTTTCTTCATCCATATCAAGGGACATTTTCAAGATTCATCTCAATATATCCTAACGGGGAACATCATGGTGCACTTTTCCCTCGCACGAGTCTGGAGGTCTCCTTTTGAGAGCCCCAGCTTTCATAAAATGTAAGCCATGCGAGGGTCACCGAGTTATCTATAAGTTCTTTTATTCAATATCATGTATGGCTGACGGTCCAGTTCAATTCCAGAATAACACCCTCCACAAGCGATCACAAATGCAATTTTGGATCGAAACTATGACCGTCTTCCTCCCATAGATTCCGAGGACCTAAATAGTGATGAACTTTTGGAGCAGGAAGAAATTTGACAATGAGCCGTAGTAGCATTGTAGCGGGAAATACGAGAATGGGGAGTCTGTTGCATAGACGCCTTCAGCGAAGTTACCAAGACCCAGGTATATCTATATTTGGCTTCGGCGTCCCGTGTTTTTTCGACGTGGGCCTTTTGTAAGCATGTGCTGGGGAGAATAATCCTTTAACTTAGCGTCTTGACTTTAGAGCTAGTACTCCGGGAGAGAGATCGAGAAGATGAGCACCAGTCTCGTAATTTTTGCTCAATTATCATACAACATCATAAAAGGCAGCTTCGAGGTAAACAAAATGAATACTTGACAAAGGAGAAAGTTGTTCAAGGAGGCAGGCTCTTCATCCGAACTTCACATGCCCCGCTGATTCTTTTGATGTCCTCGAAAATATCTTCGATTGGGGTAATATAGCTCGTGTTGACTCTCTCACCCCCTGAATGCAGAATCCCAACAACTCGTCCACGACCCAGCCACACCAGTGATCCCGAGTCTCCAAGCTCGGAGAATGGCTTATTAGATGGGGAAGTAATGCAATGCTCCCACGTTGCTTTGAATTTGGATCCGCCGGGTACCGAAGGATCTTGTTCTCTTGAAAAGGAGACCTGACACAGTGTTCCCCAAGTAGCCTGGCTCAATCCCGTCGACCTTCCTGTTTTGAATACCGTTTTTCCCTCAGTGGCCTCTAAGGATCCTTTGGGGGTAACAGTCAATTCCAAGAAATCCGTTTGTGGCGATATTCCATTACCACCGTAATTAAAGGGCTATAAAGAGTGTTAGTATTGGAGTCATGATAAATAACAAGACTTAAAAGTAGACATACTTTCACACTTGCTTCATGCTTTCCAATGTGAACAAGCGCCCAATCTAAAATCATACTTCTTCCATCTGTTGTCGAGCATGTTCTGTGTAATCCACTTCCACAAAATACATGTCCCAGCATGTATCCTTTCTTGCGGTAGAATCTGACCATATGGTTGAGACTTTCTTTCATGGTTGCAATCACCGAGACAGAACAATCCAAGGATCGGATTTCTAGAGGTGTCAAGAAAAACTCGTCAGAGCCCTCTTTTATTAGTTTGTTAATTTTGAGAAGTTTCTGAAAATCTCCATCTTCTTCCTCCTCTTTCAGTGCAACTTTAGCTACGTCAATTGATCTCTCAATATCCTTTTTCGAGGGATGGTCGATTCGTAGGATAACCTCCTCTGGTCTTTGAGCGATTGTAAAATTTGACCGTAATGGAGAGAACTCCCACTTGTCCAGAGCTTCTTCTGAATCTTTGATTCTTCGCAAATTGTCCCGATGAGGACCCCGTGGAGGATAAATGGCATGAAAGCACGTAATGGCATAGGTCCGCCATACTGGGGAGCTCGGCCAACGAAGCTCAACGTTCCCCCCTAGAGTAGAGCTTCCTGCGCTGCTATTGTGAATACCGAGGCTTACCCCGGGTAAAGCCTGCTTTCCACATGCATTCCATGGTAGTTGTGAATCCTGGACATGATTTCTCACGTTGTTCTTTATGAAAAGAACTTCGGCATTCGGTTCCTGGTTCATAGCGAGAATTCCAACGATCTTTTGCGTCGAGGTGAAGAAATTTGCAGTTGAGCCTTCCTTGATGCTAATAAGAACTGTGATCGGGTTTCTTGTAGGTTCGGGCTCAACTCCATAATGCCAGAGCTCAAGTGCTGTCCAATCTCCCAGCCAACATTTGGCAATAATTTCGCCGGAAATTTTATACCACTTAGAAAAAATTGATGTGCTGCTCAACACTGGATAACATGAGGGGTGGAGGTCCAACTTTCCGTTGATCAGCTCGATTGAGATCCCTGGGAAAGTTCCTGACAAGCTGTTATGGATTTCTTTTGCAGCTTTGTATAAATCTTCGGCGGGAAACTTCTTCGGCAGTAAAACAAAGACCGTAGGAACAGGTTCAGGCTCGGGGTTCACTTTCGACCTGCGGCCGAGCGCATTGACTGACTTGTATTGAATAGCGTGCTTTACTAATATCTTCGCTGTCTCATCTTCAATAAACGCGGCGTTGTCATCAAACCGCGAACCCGAAGTAAAGTTCACCGATTCACAGTATGCAGGAAGAGAGCAAAGAACCGGCCCACCTGCTCGATTGGAAGACTTCAGAAATCCAAGACGATCGACCGTCAGGGATCCTTTATAGACAGACTGAGAACTTCCAGAAGTTTCGGGGGCCCAGAAACTGAGGGCATGCGAGCTAGAAAACAGAAAGAGTTAGCAATGGCCAAGCGAGGTGTAAGCGGTGCAGACATACCTTGTATTGCTGGACGAAGAGTTAGAGGTTATTGTAATTTCCGTCATTCTGAGAAAAGAGTCTGAACAGAACCAAATACAAAGTTGAAAAAAGGTGAGGGAAATGAAGTACGTAGTTGGTTACTATGAGTAGTTAACTATTCAGGAAAGTACGTAATGAGACTAAGCTACTTTAGGGGGTTTATATAGGTGTTATTAGTAGGCAGCTAACTAACTAAGAGAATTGTTAACTGTTGGAACTGAATTCACTGAGAATAGTATTCACCTAGTTCCGGGGAATTCGAATCATCGGATCGAGCAGTTCTACTCAGTGAGGGAGCACTAATACGGAAGGGGGCTTGGCTTGGCACACCTCCACCTCGAGGTCGAGGTCGGAGATGACGGAAGTTGGATGTCGGATTTAATATTGGGTTTTTTTTTTCAAGAAGCCAAACCTAAGTAGCTATATAAAGTAACCTTAAAATTCAAATCTGGTCAATCAAGGCTCGATCCCGAGGTCGTTTTCTTTGATGGCCAGAAAAGCTGGGGACAATCATTACTTACCTATGAGGGCATGATGTCCTCAATCTGTTGACTTTAGCCATTCAAGGCGGGGCTTAGCGCTTCATTGTCAGCCCTGGAGAGATCGGAGGAGTGAAGTGGATGGTACATTAATAGTGCCAAGATACCGTGTACCTACCTGGGTAGGTGATGAAAGCTTACGGGACTTCCAAAGTTATTTCTAGGTGATCATCGAAATTGTTCTTTGATCATGCTCTGGCAGCTCTGATTCTCATATCATATATTTCACAAAATATGGAAGATTTCTTCCAAGGAGTCAAACACAATGGCCAATAAGAGCTACGAGTCCAGCATCGAAACGAACCTCACACTTCCCACTCGCGCAGGCCTTCCCTCTGTATAATTACACACAGATTTCCTACACCCGGCATTGTTGTATCGACAGTCAGAACTGTCATGGAAAATTGTGCCTGGATCATACTCGCTACCTTTTTCACAGAATTCGAATTCTAAGTGTCCGCTATATCTTCCCACGAAGCAACCCCTTTATTGCACTCGTTTTTAGAAAAGCAGAGCGCTCCATATTGTCCATTGATTGTTCGACATAGCTTGTTGACACAATCTAATTCATAACATTGTCGGCTTTTCGTGTGTGAATCACCCTGGTGTGGTATTTCTTGCATGTTATGGAGGTCGTGTCGCAGAAGTTGAAATGATCGCATTTCTGATCCTCGTTACATTGCTTGCCAAGAGCGACGATTTTAATGACTCGTTTACCAGATACCTTGAGGTCGGGAGAAGAGAATTTGAGATATTTGCCTTCACAGGATCATTCAAATGAGCATAGCTAGCTGCTACCTAGTACAGATATGTCATACAATGGCAGCTGATGGAAGTTAACCTTGGAAAAACCACAGAACCAACCAATCTATACCTTCAAAAAAGTTTTAGTCAAGTCAATTCAATCCAATTCTGTTCACTCATTCGTTGTTGGAGAGTTGAATTTTTGATGGGTTGGCGGGCCAAAACAAATCAGAAATCCAAGTCACATCATACGTAGCTTGATGCTCCAAAAGAACTCTAGAGGATGTATTACTAACCTTTCAAGTATGCAGAACGATTTTGAACGAAGTGCTCGCATAGCATGTCCAGGTTCTTCCAGGATCATGCCTATTCTTCATCTTGTATCCAAATTTAAGTGGATATATCCCTTTTTTAGTATGAAAGCAACCCCGCATTTCCGGCAGTGCAGTATCCATCTGTATTCGCAAAATTATACATTTTAGCGTCTTGGTATATAGCACTCTTATGAGCTATTAGCTTTCACTGGCTTATCATCTAATCTCAATCCATTAAACTCCACCCACTTTCTATTATCCTTATACGTATCTTGGTACGCACGACTTAGTACAGATTCCCGTGATTCTTACATAGATGAGGTTATTGTTGCGACAGCCGAGAAACAAGGCTATCAACAGACGGAAAGTATTTCGGCCGAAAAAGCTTCTGCCGAGACAGCGACTCCGGAACTGGATTAGTATATCACGGCATCCTTGAACGATATGCATTCATCGCAAACGACACCCTTGAGCGATGCGCATTCGCGACAGTAATGTCCCGTCTTCACCGTCTCTTCTGTCTCGGACGAATGTTGACATTCGTCCAGAGCAGAGGGGCGCCCATATACTATAAGTAGCTAGTTCTTCCATCAATGCAAAAGCAGACTTCACAACAATCGCAGTATTCAGTATCGTAGCATCCACTACACCCGGTGGATTTTCTACGGTGTTGAGTAGCGGTTCGTTGGAGCTCACTGTTCTCAGTAACGAGCGACTAGCTAGCTACGCTCGCTAAGCGAGCGACAGTTATACCATTTAGCTCATATGTAATAACATCTCCTCATCTCCTCTTTTACCACCCGAAAAATCGCCAAAATCGCCAAAATTGCTACTAGCAGACCTAAAACTTGCTGATATGCTACCCCAAAATGCAACTTTCGAACGTCAAGTTAGGTGAAAATAGAGGTTTTAAGAGCCTTTGTAGCTTCTGTCCCCTCTTTTAACACCGAATTGATTGCGCTTTTTACCCACCAAGACAGATATGCATACTTGAAGGGCACAAGTTCTGTAGGTTCTAGAAAGTGGTCTGATACCACACCTTCTGAGAGCGTGGATTTCATAGCTATATTAAGGGCTTATGTATATGGTAGTGCATGAATTTGGGAGGGAAAATGTATATTGGCAGCAAGATTCGAAGCCACTCTATTCCAAAGTCTACCTCCGGATTTCATGGTATTCTATCCCGTTCAGCAAATTAATCAAATCTTATCTGTTTCTGATCTTCATCCTAAGGCTGCTATTGATGAAGCTTTATGGTTAAATCTAGAGCCAAATGAAAGGTGGTAGTATAAGCTAGGGCCCGTTGCAACTGGGATTCGTGTTCTATGTCTTCAATACCGGGAACCCTCAAATGCTGTTGCTATTGATAAGTCAATGATCAATGGTTTTAGGCGGCCTTCACATACATTCAAGATGCCGCATAAACCAATTTAGCAAGGCTATAAGCTATTTACTATGGCTGACAAGGAATATACGTTATATTGAACACGAGAAAGCCGGCAGAAGTCTATTGTGGAGGTTGATTGGCTTAAGTATTTGACCCCAACTCTCTCTCTAGCTATTACCTATGGCTAGCTGTGGTTGTTACTTCTGCTATCACTTTAAGTATTGCTAACTCTCTCTATTTGGTGGTTCAACTTATCAATAAAGGCCCTCCACAGTGCTGTCATAAGTATACTCTCTATATAGATAACTACTTTACGACTGTGCACCTGTGGGACAACACGGCCAAAAGCTCCAAGATTCTGCTTCTTAAAGGCCCTGAAGACACTAAAAGAGTGGAAAGAGTTATTAATTGTATGAAAACCTCTATACTGCTCTGGTGGACTCTGCCCTCTGTATTACTTGGTAGGATAATGTGTCGTTACTGCGTTATTGACTATCCATGCTACTCATAAACCTACAGACTAGATTCCTCGTCTTCCAAATTGACCAGCAAAGACATCTGCTAGCGCGAAGATCACGTGTGAGCCATTCAGAGATTCACCTAAAAAGGAACTTCTTAGTTATCTCTCGAATGATTAATCATCATAATCATCAAATGGAAGCTGTTGATCATGCGAACTAGCTCCGTGCAAGATAGGAGACGCATATACATTGTGTTTACGCTCTGAATGGCCAAGTTTTTTTGGATTCTTGAGTTATCTATTGTTAATATTATATTACAAGGATATCCTACAAAAAGCAGGGTCTAAGACCACTCAACGTCAATTTCGGGTAGCTCTTTATGAAGAGCCATTACAGCAGGGAGTAGAGGGACCTACAGAGGCGGAATCTTATATAATCTGGAAAAGGTACAGAGTAAAAAGCGGTGCAAATCCCACCAGAAGGGAAAGGGAAAGAAATTTAGGACGAATTGGGGCTACAAGGCCATCTAGGCCCATCCTGGAAAAATTATTACTTAAATGTTGGTACCAATCTTTAGGAGAGCGGACCCAAATTGTTGTTAGAATTGGTGTTAGAATTGATGATCATTATTAGAATTCAGGCAAAAGTGCGTGGTATTTTCCTAAGGGTTCGTGTCATTTACCTATTTTGCCAAGGCGCTAAATGGACAAGGGGATAAGAGGATTGCTACATACTTCGATAAAAAGTACCTCGTAGCCGTCGCCCAAAACGCTCATACATTCCTAGATCTTGCATATCAATGCATAATATGCATATGAATCAAATTTATCAGACTATCAATTTACCTAAAATTATCTAAGCTCGGATAAAAAGATAAGATGATATTTTGATACAAAATGATTGCGTGATTTTGTGTACATTGATGCGATGTCGACATCACCTTTTACACCATAGAAGACACTTGGAATAATCAGGCAACACGTGTACTTGTAAGCAGTCCTATTTACCATATCAGGGCCTTTCTTCGCAATAAGACGCAATTATCTATCAGGCTTCGTTCCATCCATCATACGGCCGAATAGTCGGTTAGTGCCGATTCAACCAAAAAGTATAAGAAGAGGCTTATTTGCCTCCTAAAAGTGGAATAAATCAATTGCCATCAAATAATAAGAGCAAAACAACCCAACAATGCCTGCCGAATTCATCAGCGTCACATTCCCCAATGCTTCGACCGAGCTCAACCCGATCCCGGGTGCTGGCGTCGATCCCGACTACCTCGTTCGATATGCCAGAACTCTAGATGATTATGGTTACAACTACACTTTAATTCCATATGGCTCGGAGTCATTCGACCCCTTCACCATCGGTGCCACTATCTTGACTGTCACCAAAAATGTCAAGGTTATCATTGCCCTTCGACCCAACACAATTTACCCAACTGTGGCAGCAAAAGCCCTCGCAACCCTAGACCAACTCGGTCGCGGCCGTGTTGTTGTTCATTTCATCGCAGGTGGAAGTGACGTGGAGCAACAGAAGGAGGGTGATTTTGCAAACAAAGAGCAAAGATATAGCCGCCAAGAAGACTACATTAAGATTCTACGCCGTGCATGGGAGTCCGACGAGCCATTCGACTGGGAGAGTGAGTTCTATACCTTCAAACAATTTAGCAACAAGGTGCGCCCTACCAACGGCACTATTCCCGTCTCACTGGGTGGTTCCTCCGACGATGCATACCGTATCGGTGGTTCCCTTTGTGACATCTTTGGTCTGTGGGGTGAGCCTCTCAAGGAGACCAAGCAGCAGATCGATCGTATCTACGCAGAGGCAGAGAAGGCTGGCCGCAAAGATAAGCCCAAGATTTGGGTCACTTTCCGTCCTATCACTGCAGAGACAGATGATCTTGCCTGGGCCAAGGCTCACCGAACATTGGACGCCTTGAACAGCCACCGGGCCGCTGGTGTGGGCAAGGTTCCCGCTAATGCTCCCGCTCCCCAGAACGTGGGATCCCAGCGTCTGCTTGATATTGCTGCTCGTGGAGAGGTTCAGGACCGTGCTCTTTGGTACCCTACTGTGACTGCCACCAATGCCCGTGGCGCCTCTACTGCATTGGTTGGATCGCCAGAAACCATTAAGGACTCGATTATTGACTATGTTAAGCTGGGAGCTGAGCTTATCTCCATTCGTGGCTACGACAACCTTAATGATGCCATTGACTATGGACGTTATATCATTCCTGCTGTCCGCGAGGAAATTAAGAAGGACAACCTCTAAGTCTGTGGCTTTCAATAGGCTTCAATTATGAGAAATTGATAGAACTTGATTAGCTTAGCATATATAAGACTCGAAAGAGCTTCTAAATGGCAAAAATTACCAATAATCTAAACGAGCTATCATTCAAATTCATTTAAAATCTTTTTGAAATTTCTCTTAGTTACTTACCTACTTATTGCCAAGGTTCGAAAGAGGCAGAAGAAGTGTTCATCTAGTGTTCATCTGCTCTTTTTTCAAGGTTCATTCCCTCAAAGGTTAATAGCCCTGGAGTAACAAGGATTATAAGCGCAAGGAGTGTTAGATATATGATGGGACCTCGGGAGAAGCTTGGATGTTCTATTTACATGATACCTGTCAGAAAAAAAAGGGAGGTTTCGTTTTCAAATCGCGATTCAAAGCTTCTTCTTTCTACTTTTTTAAACTCATTCAAATGTCAATCTACAGGATCAAGATGACGATACCAGCGATGAAGCCTTTAAATTCATCTTAACAGGGAGGCCAGTGAATGCCTACGTGTGTACTCCAGGTGCCACATAAGAAATATCGAGCAAAGTCCGTGAAAAACGGCGCTGGAATAGTTTATGGATATGGTAGTATGAGATATCTTGGAATGTAATAAGGAAGCAGAAGAGGGCAATGACAAACACCACCTATACTATAGTGATCATACTAATAACAAATCCAAACTTGCTGATAGAGAAACTGGGATCTAATGGCAGAGATACTACATTCAAATGAAGTAGTACCCTTGGAAATATTCATGAATGAGTTGTACGTAGGTAAGATGTGTCAATTCCAAGTTGCTCTTCCGCAGAGTTGAGAGTCAAGCTCCCAACTTGTTAAATTGAATGAATAACAACAAAAGCCGGAGTTCTGTATATCCTTACGGCTATGGTTGGGGACGAGAATAGGTAAGCTATCAGCAACTCTGCCTAGTGCAGGTGGAAAGACTTTTTTATTCTCAGATAAGTTGACAAAGACCAACCAAAGGACAGGTGTATTTATTGATTAGAGTATAGGCACGTAGCTTAGTGCGGGCCGACTGGTAACCTCAAGAAAGAAAATTGAAGGTAGTGACCTCCCCGTCGCAGGCGGGAGCGATGGAAATGAACCATAATACCTAGATAGGCATTTATAAAAGTTAAAGGAAGATTTTATCTTCATTAAGATATGTAAAAAGTGATCTAACTAGATATATAAACTAAACATCATTCTCCTTCTCTGGTTGGCGATTCTTTGTCACTATTCTCTTCACAAAGTCTATTCCAAAGCCTGTCCATAATGTCAATGCCACAACAAAGGCAAGTGCACTAGCCCAGCCATGAGTCTGGGCAAACGTGGGAGCCTTCCCACTGGGCAATTGATACTGTTGGAATGGGATGACAACAGCACCTCCAAGACTGACCATGAATGCCAAAACGAAGGCTCGCAACTGCTGATCACCGCCACAAGAGCCGTTGACCCAGCCAGCTAGCAAAGGAGTGTAGCATCCATAGCAGCCAGTCAAGATAAATGCAGCCATTTTCAATGAATGTGATGCGGGCCATGCCGTGAAGACGGCATAGCAGAAAGTCATCAGACAACCCACGGCGAAGCAGACAGGTCCTCTTCGACCGATCTTGTCGGAAATAAAACCTGTTCCGATCATGAAGAAGAAATTTACTGCTCCAATGCAGGTGGGGATGTTGTTGATCTGGGGCACTGAGTAGGTCTTGAGTGACTTCAGATACAGCTCGAAATACTGCATTACATATGACCCACACGTCAAAGACCAGAATGCGTAAGCAAGGGAAAACGTATATAGTTGCCATGACTGGAATATGCGTTTCAAAACGCTCAAGTCCATTTTTCCTGAAGGCGTGCGGCCATCCTCGTCAATCCTCTGTATAGCACGAGTTCTTTCCCATTCATTCAAGTAGAACGCGGTAGTATTCTCGGGTGTATCAGGGAGAAAGATAAAACCGTAAAGGGCTACTGGTATGGCAAGGATGAAATCAAAGATGAAAAGCCATCTCCAGGCAGAGAGGCCTCCTTTTCCTCCCATTCCCTTATACAGTGCAGATTGCAAGTAGCCAGAAAACATCTGTCCTAGAACTCCGGACATGACGAACAGGCCACTGCGGGTTGCAAGCTCGGATTTCTTGTACCAACAGCCAAGAATGTACTGGATACCGGGCCATGCCGCCGACTCAAAGAATCCAATACTGAACCGAAGACCGTAGAACTGCGAGGCATGGTTGCACTTGTATAAGAACAGAACAAAAAGTGACCATACAAGCAAGCAGCTAGGCAACCAATACCTCGGTCGAATCTGAGTCAGGGCGAGATTGGAGACAGGTCCACCAAGGATTGTTCCAATACTGAAGTAGGTGTTCATCCAGCTCAGTTCATTTTTTTTGCCAAAGTTCAGTTCTTCTGACATGCCAGAGACGTAAGCATTAGACACATTGTTCCCATCTAACTGCTTGATGAAAAAACACAAGCAGCCGTAACTCAGGAGAAACCAGTCGAGTTTGAAGATGAGCTTTTTCTCTGCTTTGGAGGTCCCGGGCTCATGCCAATGAAACCAACCAGTGCGTGTTGGTGATTCTTCTATATCTGAGCCATGTTGACGATTCTTCTGTTCATGCAGATTTGTGGTGTCCACGGCCGTGGAATCCTTCCACACATCAGGTTGTCTGCTTTCCCCCATTTTTGGCACAATCAATGTTAGGGACTGGGGATTCCATGATTTAAAGCTTGTCTGTGAGACAGGATGAGAAATGAACCTTACTCCGAGATCAGTTCGTATAACCCTAAGTAGTTAGTTTGAAGAACATATGAGTTTTTAGCATCCTTACGCCATTTCAGTGCCAGTGTCGTGATAGGGTGGATTAATTTAACTAATTATGGAAACTATAGGCGGAGTGGGGCCGCGTTGAAGAATTACTGTAATATCAGCTTTGCTCCGCTCTTTCTAATCTTTTCATCTTATTTCTCAAGTCTTTTTTTCTATTGGCCAATCTGGCATTCTTAATTCCTGAATCCAAGCCCCCTTTCGGTTAATTTGACTACATATTACCTAGGTACACTCTAAATAGATCGAGCTTAATAATCATGTTCTTCTTTGAAGTCTAATCACTTAGTGCCATCGCCAGTTCATTTCGCTCAGATAATACTGAGAGATTCAAGCCCTAAGATATGGTCGAATACGCTGCTATCGGAAACGCAAAACTGGCTTACCGTTTGACCGGTCCTGCCGATGGCCCTCTGATAATCACTCTACATGGAGGTCGAGGTTTTGGTAATGATTACAAATTCCCTTGATATTGCCAGCCTTGGAAGCTGATATGATGTTACGCGTGTAAAGGAAGCCACAGTTCCGACTTCAAGGCTTATCACCCGCTATCCTCGTCTTATCGGGTCCTCTCGTTTGACTTTCGAGGACATGGCCAAAGCTCGAGGACTGAGCCTTACACATTCAATCAGCTGGTTGAAGACATCGAGGGAATGCGGCGGCATGTCCTCGGTGACAATCATCCTTGCATCATCTGTGGTGGCAGCTTTGGTGGGTTCCTAGCTCAGCAGTATGCAATTACATACCCATCCATGGTTTCGCATTTGATTCTGCGGGGAACTGCTCCTTCTTATCATCGTGAGTGTGACTGTCGTTCCCATGTATAGCACAACGCTTATTTTCCATCAGATGAGGAAATGGCCATTCGGACACTTGAAAAGCGGGCTTCGAAAGCTCCTAACTTCTCTGTCAAATTCTTGCGAGATGGAATTTTTGGAAAGTTTGACAGCGATCTTGAATTCAGGCTTGTCATGTATGCAGCGGCACCACTCTATAGTGAGAGTTTCGACCCAGAAGCTGCTTTAAAAGCCAACATCAACACAGTTTTCTATGCGAAATCACATAGTAGGTCGTTACCCCAACCACTCAGCACCTGTTAGAAAAGACAATGGCTAAGATCATACCAAAGATGATCTCTATAGTGAGCAGGAAAAATATTTCGATTATAGAGATCAGCTCCAATCCATCACCGCAAAGACATTGATTATTGTGGGAGAATTTGATTGGATTTGCCCAAAGGAAAACTCGGAAGATATTGCATCGAGAGTGCCCGGCGCACATCTAGCAGTTATTGCAAATGCAAACCACGCAGTTCACCAGGAGAAAAATGCGGAAGTCATAGATTTGATCAGGAACCATCTTGCGTAAGCAATCATATCACGTGACTATTCATTTCTGTCAAATGAGAAATTGACCGTCCAACCAGAAATGGTTGACGAAACTGGATTGTCTATCTAGGGATGAAACCCGCTTAAATACACACATTATGGGTCCTGCTGACATACGCAGCACACCCCTTAATATCGGCCCTTTGACAATTTCCATAGCCATTGCATTCAATGTCTATCATTTCACAACCTGCTCTTCTTCTGGAGTAGTTCCGATAATATCTTGAGATAATCTAGACTTCGAGGATTGTAGAAGCTTGTGTGGACCACAGGAATTTACTTGTTAGCGTCCCCACTTCCCCCACTATTCACTATCAATCAATCACACCATTTCCACCCTATTAAATTGCACGAAAGTTCAAAAAGATAACGTACCACAGTACAATGAGACATGATTTTCAAATCTGATGTCGGTCCATTGTCGGCCGTTCAAATGGAGGTTGGATGAATCTTGATGACGTGCTAGTAATACTGATGGTCGGCGCACCCCCGATGTAGATTACCCTTAAGAGACGTTTTGCTACAATTCGGCCGTTTAACGATATCGTCGCTAATTAACTCCGTTATGGGATATTATGATATTATATTGCATGGTGCGTGAACTGCAATCTAAACATCTGCAAAGTTCTAGTCTTCATCATCTTGGATCACCATGGCGTCCATAGCAGATATCAATATCTCAATAGGTAGGAGTTTTGTCTACATTCAGACCAACTGAACTTTTCTGACCATATCAGATCGTGGTGGTACCTTTTGCGATGTGTTGGTTCAGGTCCCAGGTCGTGAAGATATAGTGTTCAAGTTGCTATCAGAAGATCCGCAGAACTATCGTGATGCGCCGACAGAAGCAATACGAAGAGCACTGGAGACGATAGAAGGACGACAAATACCTGTCGGGCAGCAACTTGATGGCTCAAGAATTGCATCTTGCCGTATTGGAACCACTATCGCCACAAACGCCTTGCTAGAAGGTAAAGGAAGAAAGTTCGCGTTAGTCACCACCAAAGGTTTCAAGGATGTTTGCGTTATTGATGACCAGACTCGACCAAAGCTATTTGCATTGAAAGTGAGAAAGCCTCCCGTTCTGCATGCGAAATCGGTAGAAATCGATGAGCGCATCACAATTGAAGACTATGATTTCAATCCATTTCCTTTAAACAAATCTACAGCAATCACAGACCCCGCCTTGGTGCGGACATCAAGTGGCGAAATCATTCGGGTCATCAAGCCACTGGATCCTGCTGAAGTCCGAGAAGTATTGAGTGGCTTGAAATCTGAGGGTTATACATCCCTGGTAATCTCATTCATACATGCATACCTGTATCCTGACCATGAGGATCAAGTTGCTGAAATCGCTCGCGAGATAGGCTTTGAGCATATCACCAAGGCATCAGAAGTGAGTCCTACAATCAAGTATTTGCAGCGGAGTACTTCTGCTTGCTCCGAGGCCTACTTGTATCCCATTGTGAAGGACTATGTTGCCGCTTTCCAGGCCGGATTCAGTTCTCTTCCGCGTCGTGTGGAATTTATGGGTTCTGATGGCGGATTAAGGCAAGCTGCAAAGTTCCGGGGAAATGAAGCACTTCTCAGTGGTCCAGCAGGCGGTGTTGTCGGAATTGCCCGAACATGTTTCGACGCTGCCGAAGGAACTCCTGTTCTTGGATTTGATATGGGTGGAACAAGCACCGATGTTTGCAGGTTTGATGGAAAATATGATTACATCACAGAGACAACGGTTGCTGGTCGCAAGATCACGGTTCCGATGCTAAATATTGCAACTGTCGCAGCTGGTGGAGGATCAATGCTCTTTGCCCGGCATGGATTGTTTGTTGTGGGACCTGAGAGCGCAGGAGCACACCCTGGGCCTGCGTGTTATCGAAAGGGAGGTCCTCTCACAGTCACAGATGCCAATTTGTTCCTAGGAAGACTGGTTTTGTCTTCTTTTCCAGCTATATTTGGACCTAACGCAAATCAGCCTCTGGATTACGAAATCGCAAAACAAAAGTTTGATGAGATCACTCGTGAAATCAACGAACAGACAAACCAAACCCTCAGCTCCGAGGAAGTTGCTTTAGGGTTCCTCGATGTTGCAAATGAAACTATGACTCGGCCGATGCGAAATGCAACTGAAGTCAGAGGATTCGCCCCGAGCAGTCACACTTTGGTCAGCTTTGGAGGTGCTGGTGGTCAACACGCCTGTGCTATCTCCAATAAGCTGGGTATCACCCGCATCTTGATTCACAAGCATTCATCATTGTTGTCGGCTGTGGGAATTTCTCAGGCAGATTTGCAGGTTGAAAAGACCATCCCCTTTACGGGCTTCTTCCACATCGACGTGCTGGATCAGATTCGATCCAAGATCAAGATTCTCAAAAGTCAAGTTAAAGAAGAGCTTGCGTCTCAAGGAGCCGATATAACCAGCATTGTTTTCGAAGAGTCCTTGAGCATGAGGTATGCAGGCACTGACACCAATATGGTCATTTCCAAACCAGAAGACGAAGATTATGGAAAGGTCTTTGTGGGATCACATTTAAGAGAATTTGCCTTCGTGCTAGATCGGAAGATCCATGTTGACTCAGTCAAAGTTCGTGGGGTAGGAAGGAGTGGCATTTCAGCCGAGACCACCTCTCCCTACCCATTACTAGAACAGGTCAAGACTCGCAAAAACTATCTCCAGTCAACACAAGTTCAATCTGTCTTTGTGGATAGCAAATGGCAGAATGTTCCTGTCTTCGAACTTAGCTCGGTCCAACGGCCTAACCAGGTACGCGGCCCTGCGTTGCTCATTGATGCCACCCAAACAGTATTCGTTGAGCCCTCCTTCAACGCATACATTCTACCAGATCATCTTGTGCTTGAGCGTGATGTAAGCAAGAATTCAGAGACGGAAACTGCTCTGAGTTCTGAAACTATCGACCCCATTCAGCTATCTATTCTCTCTCATCGATTCATCGCTATTGCTGAACAGATGGGGTATACCTTGCAGCGGACCTCCATATCAACTAGTATAAAAGAGCGTCTAGACTTTTCTTGCGCTATCTTCTCCCGAGACGGAAAATTGGTTGCGAACGCCCCTCACATCCCTATTCACCTGGGCTCAATGCAATATGCAATTCAATACCAACACCGCCTCTGGGATGGAAAATTGAAACCTGGTGATGTTCTCCTCAGCAATCATCCCGAGTGCGGCGGTACACATCTCCCGGATCTCACTGTCATCACCCCTGTCTTCTTAGATAATGAGCCTGAGGTTGCGTTCTACGTTGCTGCCCGAGGCCACCATACCGATATCGGTGGTCTTGGAATTACATCGATGATGCCAGGATCGAAAGAGTTATGGGAAGAGGGCTTCAATGTCCGGTCGATGAAAATCGTGGAAAGCGGAGTATTCCTCGAAGCGGATGTACGAAAGGCATTCTTGGCTGTAGGCAACTTCCCAGGATGCAGCCCGACTCGTCGCCTAGATGACAATATTTCAGACCTCAAAGCACAAATTTCAGCAAATCAGCGAGGAATCTTGCTCCTGCAAAAGATGTGTGACCTCTGGAGCTTCCCATTCGTCACTAACTACATGAATGCAATTCAGAGGAATTCCGAAACCGCGGTCCGAGAGTATTTAAAGAAAGTCGCTTCGTCTACAACGATGCCTCTGACGGCCAGTGATCACTTCGACGACGGCACTGTGATCAAAGTCTCCATATCAATCGATGATGCTGGCGGTGCAGTGTTTGATTTTGCAGGGACAGGTCCTCAGATGTGGGGAAACTATAACTGCCCCATCTCTATCACTCACTCAGCAGTGATCTACAGCATTAGATGTCTTGTTGACGCTGAAATCCCCCTCAATGATGGATGTCTAGCGCCAATAGATATTCAAATTCCCAAAGGTTCAGTTCTGCGACCCGGCGCCTCAGTGGCGATCTGCGGTAGTACACTGGCAAGTCAGAGAGTCGTCGATACGATCCTAAGGGCCTTCAAGTCATGCGCCGCATTCTCAGGCTGTGCCAACAGCTTTGGTTGGGGCATGGGAGGAAAGAACCCAGAAACCGGTGTCATTGAACCTGGATGGAACTATGGCGAGACTGTTGGAGGAGGATGTGGTGCCGGACCAAGCTGGGATGGAGAACATGCCATCCAGGCGCATTCGACAAATACCAAGATTACTGATGCAGAGGTCGTGGAGAAACGAACGCCTGTTATCATTCGCAAACATGCCATCAACCCTGGAACTGGAGGAGCCGGGAAATACTGTGGAGGTAATGGCGCGGTGCGGGAGGTTGAAGCTAGAATCCCTATGCGATTCAGCATTCTGAGTGACCGACGAGTCTATTCTCCATATGGCATGAATGGTGGCCAGCCAGGAACGGTGGGTCGAAATTATGCATTCAAGTGGAATGATGATAAGACGGCGTTGGAGAAGACATCTTTGGGCGGAAAGGCAGCTCTAGCCCTAGCTGCTGGCGAGATCATGCAGATAAACAGCCCAGGTGGAGGAGGTTGGGGGTCGATTGATTCTTAATAGCATAGTCATACCATTGTAGCCATTCGTCATTCTTCAGAAATATGAATTACCAGAAGAATTAAAAGTTAGTTAGACCATTCAAGCCGTTCCTACCTAAGTACCTAACCCTATCTACCTCCAGATGTATATTTCAACTATAGGCAACTTTTATAGTTGGGGTAGTACCTACACCGGGCCATCCACCCGTCACCCGTGCACTGATAAATAATATTTCCAAATTCCTTCCAAGGCGATTCCTGGGGAAAGATTTTTCGGGCGGTCGTGAAATAACTGTCGGATTGGTTTGTTTACAACTGGGCAATTAGTTTTCAAGTTTCTTACATGTGTTCGGTTATTGCGAATGCCACTTTGGAAATGCCGAACATCATCAAATATCTACTCCGTCTAGTATTTTTCAGCAGGATTTACAATGGGAGCGGATCCTAGATAGAAAATTCAATTACTGTGTAGTTATGTCAACGTCCAATCGTCCAATCGTCAAATGATACTGTGTTATCACGTGATGTATTACATAATCGGTCATCAAACATGAATTTGAAAGAACTATTCAAATTCTCCCAGCCATCGAGACAAGAATCATGTCTTCAAATTCACAAAATCCGGAGGTAGCAACAGAGACAGTTGCTCTCTCAGGTTCAATCGACTCCAAGATCAATCATGCTGCCTCTATTGACTATTGGAACAGTGTTCCAAGCACCTCGAGCGAGATGCTAGGCATGTTGGGCACTTATCCATGGTACACGCGCATCGAACTACAAGGATCAAAGAACTTTTTGACAAAAGTTCGTCGGCTAGTGCCAAACCTTCCGTCCAGCGGAAAATTCAGCCTAGGAGCAGACTGCGGTGCTGGAGTGGGACGTGTGACCGAGGGATTTCTCAGCCACGTCTGCGATGTGGTCGATGCGGTAGAGCCGGTAGAGAAGTTCACCCAAGTCTTGCAGGAGAGCAAGCTGAAGCAAGATGGTATTGTTGGTGACATTTATACCGTCGGTCTTGAGAACTGGTACCCCCAAAAGACATATGATCTGATTTGGACTCAATGGTGCGTGGGGCATCTGACCGATTCTCAATTGACCGATTATATCGTCAGATGCCGTGCGTCACTAACGGAGACGGGTATTATGGTGTTCAAGGAGAACTTGTCTACCGATCCTCTCAATCAAGATATGTACGATGACTTGGACAGTAGCGTTACCAGAACAGACGCCAAGTTCAAACAGATCTTTGATGCTGCTGGCATGAATGTGATCAAGTCTGAGATTCAAACTGGATTTCCGAAACAGTTCAAGCTGCTACCTGTGAAATCGTATGCCTTACGACCAAAGTTATGAGATACTTTGTATAGTCTGAATGCAAAATCCAGCCTAGCGTGATCTATTCCAGGCATCTCTCAACATAAGCGGTCTCATCTGAAACTTCCAAAGATATTGATATGGCTCTTACCTGAAAGCAAATCTTCAGCCTGATGGGCATTACAAATCTAAATCCAATAGTCCGTTCAGATAGGAAAAATCTGGACTTTTTACGTGGCGAAATATGACATCTACGGGGAGGATCTACTTTGATGATGTGGAACTGAGCTCCCTTAGGCGTGCGAGAAAGAACATGATCATATATTAGCTGTTTATTGGAATAGCAGGTGTTCCCTCTGTCAATTTTCATAAGGGTCGATGAAGAATATTGAGAGGAAGAGAGACAGTCAGTTTCCAAGGTTGAATGGTAGAATGGTGATGAGTTTTGCCAGTGAAATAACCTTGGGCAAGTGTATGCTGCTATATGGTGGGTCTATGACTGATTTCAATCTTACGACGCATAACTAAACGTTGGGCGAACGATAACCGTTGAAAGGATCGGTGTTGGGAAGGAGATCAAGCTGTTTGTAGTTTAGCTCATTCAAATTTCCATTACTAGCATTGTATGGACTGGAACCTTCAAAGACCTAACTTCGTAAGCAAAAGTGCATAGGACTATACATGTAACGATCTACACTTGCGCTTGTAGACTATTCCACTGAGCCAAAAAGGCTATAATAATCTTCTGAGCGGAAGATTATGCGCAAGTTCCATATATATACCAACTTTGTAGAACACTGAATTGAGCATAATGTCGGTCGCATCTCCGTACGCCATTACAGTACAATAAATACTGGCTACGGTTGAACTCGTGAGGCTGTTATTAGTACATTTGCTGCTTCATGCCAGTAACACGAATTAGAATGTCATTAGAATAACTGCGCTCTTGATAGCTTCATTCATCATCGCTGTCATCCATGCAGCCAATTTATCTTTTTTCGTATGATTTCTTGATGGAAAAAGAGGTCGCTTCTAGCAAATACAAAACTCCCTTTACACTCATATGCGCGTCCATAGTTAAAAAAAATAAAAGCGAGACATTAATGCTGAGTCTCGCCACGGCGAAGTCCCAAGAATGCTCGGACATCAGTAACATATTGTAAAGCCTCCAACATGGGAATCAGTTGCAGTAGGTCGTTATCAGTGGGATCGTTGAGCCAGGCCTCAATGGGAATTGAGTTATCTAAGAAGCTAATATTAATAATCGGGTTTAGAGGATATTGGATAGGACCAACCCTATACCTTCATGGAAGATGTAGCTCAGCGGGCTGTTATCCAGAATCATCACCTTACTCAGATCCGGTTCCACAGAACTAAGATCTTTGATGTAAGCACCACTGCGGTATGTGCAATGTTGGCGGTAATAGCGGGCGTGAAAGTACTTGCGTTCCTGCTCGAGCCAGTCGATCACGGGGTCGGCGTACTCTTGGACACTGGCCGTAAAGATGACGAGTTTGTACCACTTGCAAATCTTGCGGAGGAACTCATCGCAATGGGGCCGTTTGTGAACATAGTACAAAATGGGATGTTGGGGTCCCGGTGTATTTTGCTGTCCACCGGCACTGGCAGCAGATATTGGCATGGAGAGTTTTACCTCAACCATATGACCACTGGACATGCGGCCACCCTTGGAAAGCGAGTGGATGAGGGTTTCATCTAGGTCCAGTACTAAGGTCTTCTGCGGCAGCTTAGCATTTCGCGTAGCTGCCGTATATGAAGGCAATCGTGGAGGGAGAAGTGGCCGTGGTGGAGTAGGAGAATGCGGATATCTAGTGATGCGATGAACGGATGGAGATGTTGGAGACTTCAGACTGTCTAGGTTGACAGCTGCCTGGATGCGGGTCACACCCTCTGGCATCGGCTGGCCTTGGTCTGCACCCTGTGATCGCCGTTGTCTCTGCTGCTTGAGAGACTCTTCATGATGGAGCTTGATTCGTATAGATCGACGAGGCGTGCTGTCATCTAGTACGGCATCAGGATTCGGGTCTTGGGAATGGCTTGGTCGACTTTTCGGTTTATTGATGACCCGAGAATCTGTATCTGATTCAGACGTAGTGGACAAGTTGGAATCACGAGATGTATGGCGCTTCGACTTGTGGGTGGAGCCACTCCGCCGCCGACCTACTACCCGAGTCGGTACTTTATCCGGCCGGGGCCTTGTATCGGCAGAGGATCGCCAGATCTTTCTTACGGGAGCAAGAAGAGAGTAGTAACCTTCATTGGTTTGGAAGAGCTGAGCCACATAGACACCAGGTGCAGCCAGTGTAGATAGAATGAATCGTATTGTTTCCATGATCGCGGCAAAGATGCGCTTCGTGATAAGTCGCCAGGGACCTTGTGCTACAAGTGTACCATCTTTGTGAAGGAATATGGTCTTATCATTGAACGATTCAAGTGAGTCATCTTCTTGGTGTTGGTCTTCATCTGCTTGTGATGCCGTTCCATCGTAGCCAGTTTCAGCGGTGAATGCCCGAAAATTATTTTCGCTGTAGGATCGATACTTCGCAAAGTCACTAGGCGGGATTACGCGCTGACCATCACTTTGTGAATGCGATCGTGGGCGTCTAGAACTGGACGACTGGCCAATGACTCGCGAGGACAAGATATTCAACGAGTTCATCTTCCAAGGTCCACCGGAGACAAGCAGGAGATCTAGAGACGGAGTAAGTAAGTCATCAAGACAGCTGACTGCAGTAAAGCTTTCAAAATAGAAGATATAGGAGATAGAGGGGCCTCGTATAGGAGGCGTAAGCTGGGTAACTGGGTGTGCTCTACCGACCTCAATGCGCCGGTCACCCGTGCCTCGGAACAGCTTCCGCGACTCTCCAGTCCGGTTTCTACCACGGTGACAGCAACTTTTTCTTTTAAAGAGACTGAAAGGAACTCGACGCAGAAACTGTAAACCAAAGGATCCGAAAGGAGAAAGGACCTGGTCGAAGGAGGAAAGTGTGGGGAAGCGGACAACAGTTCAAACGGCAGAAAACGATTCTTTGACGCCCACTTTTGATTAAACTTGCGATTCTCCGGTCCTGCAGGAACCAACCTCTCTTTTTCTACTACAGAAAAGACTCTTCACTCTCAATCTCAAAATACAAAAGAGATCAAAATCAAAAGTAAACACCTAGTTATCAACCCTGTTCAACCAGCAACACCCTGACTCAGTTCCAGATCTTTTTGCGGCTTTCATCCCACTTCCCCATGTCGCCGACATCTTTGAGCCTGACGCCAGGCCTGACGTCCTTTCTCAAATCGCTCAATGCGAACCCGATTGACACCTCTATTGAAAATCTTATTTCGTGCGCATTACTGCCTTGCTTTATGAAGCTATGTCTATATAAGACATTCGTTGCTAACTATGACTCTTTTGGTTCAGATTGCTCAAACGTCGCCAAATTCGCCATTCCCGATCATGCGCTACTGCTACTGCCTACTTACTTCGGCGAGTAATCTCAGCCTGCCGCACATCTGAATCAGCGAAGCTTATTGAGCGAGTGCAGAGCGTAGGAAGGCGGCTAATGGAGGCACAGCCTCGAGAGATGGTGGTGGGGAATATTGTGCGCCGAGTACTCGGCCTTATTCGCGATGAAGCAGAAGACGACCGTGATGCTGAGTTTGCTCTCAGTGAAGCTGGGTCTGAGAGCCTACCTCAGTCTCCCCGCGTCCTTGACGGTCAGTCTCCGAAAAATACATCACCTCGTAACACAGTGGTGACTCACCAAGACCCAACAGATGCCTCACTAGCTTTAGACCGAGATGCGCTTGGTCTAAGGTCTGAAGGTGAACGCACCTCAGCTCGCCCCCCTCTCACTTCCATGTTCAGCCTACTATCCCATCCAGAAGTAGACTCGTCTCCTAGCACACCGGGCTCTCAGTCTCCAAATGGCCGAATGCCCGCTCACATCAATAAAGATGTGCGAGCGGAAGTTATGGAGGGAATCAATGAGATTATCGACGAACTGAGTCAAGTAGACGACCAGATTGCGGCCTATGCCTTGGATCATATTCACTCCAACGAAGTCATACTGACTCATACATCTTCGACGACAGTACAGAAATTTTTACTGAAAGCTGCCGCGAAGCGCAAGTTCACCGTAGTCCATGCGGAGTCATTCCCCAACAACCACGATGCTACACACGCTACTGTCAGTGGTAATACTTACGGAGATGACGAGACCTTGAGCCACGATGCCTTCCAGAAGCCACTCGTCGCACTCGGTATCACTGTCATCCTTATCCCCGATTCTGCCGTGTTTGCCCTCATGTCCCGTGTGAATAAGGTTATTTTGGGCACACACTCTGTCCTCGCTAATGGTGGCCTCATCGCTGCTGCCGGTACCCGTGTCATTGCCCGTGCCGCCAAAGTTCATCAGACTCCTGTCGTTGTTGTCAGCGGTGTCTATAAATTGAGCCCTGTCTATCCTTTCGACTTCGACTCACTTATCGAGTATGGCGATGCCAGCAAAGTTCTTCCTTACGAGGACGGTGACCTTGTCGATCAAATTGACGTCTTGAATCCAATCTACGATTATGTCCCAGCAGAGCTCGTCGATCTTTACATCACCAATCTGTGAGTCTTTCATCTGACAATTTCATATTGAATATTTTGAACTAATTGGTTTTGCAGTGGTGGACACGCCCCATCATATCTCTACCGTATTGTTTCAGACCACTACCGCAAAGAGGACATCACCTTTTAAAGCTGAATTGCTCGGTTTGAGTTACATGAAGAATCTAGAAAATTAAGGGCAAACGTTGAAAAATATACCCTAGGAATGACAGCAAATGATTGGTATGCAGAATAGAAACAAAGATCCATTTCGATGTCGATGTGAGATTTGAAGTATTTAGTAGTAAATATCTAAACAGCATATAAGGGTGGCGCCATACTACGTCTACCCCGAAATTGGCTTGGAACTACAGATAACAAGTTCTAGTAAGCTCAGTATATCATTTGTGTTTCTCGGCACATGGTACAATATGTAGGCCTGGGAGACTACGCTCCTCTACACTCTTTCAACTGCTCATTAGGCAGCTAGACACTAGCGTATACCATGAATACATACTGGATTCCCGGAGGATACTCGGATATTAAGGTCATAGCGCCATTGGTTTTTTGGTTCGGAATTGTATCAATCATAAGAATTCACACACATCATTCCTTCTAGACGAAAGCCCGCCCGGGTTGTATTTCCCTAAAAAAAAGTTCTCATGAAATCCAGGCGCTGATGAGACGGGCTTCAGTCTCACACCCACTATACTCCTCCACATCTCCGCATTTTTGTTGCGACAGGTTGTTTAAGAGCGGGGCTTCTCCTTCTTCTCCTTCCACAAAGCAAGGAGACCGACACCAGAGACCTTGACGACCTTGAAGCGGACACCGGGGATATCACCCTTGGCCTTGCCCTTACGACCGAAACCAGCGAGGAGAACTTCGTCGTTCTCATCGATGAAGTTCAAGCAACCGTCATTGGGGACTAGTAGAGAATAATAATGTTAGTTCCAAATGTGCACAATTTGGTATTTCCTTCCACCCGATTGCGCATGCGATTTGAAGAATTCGATATCGTATGACATTGACAGGCATCGGTTCCGAAGGGAGAAATAAAGGGTAACCCACCGAAAGCAGCGACCTTCTTGCCGTTCTTGATCAACTGGACCTTGACACACTTGCGGATGGCGGAGTTGGGCTGCTTGGCCTCAACACCGACCTTCTCGAGGACGATACCCTTGGCGTGGGAAGCACCACCGAAGGGAGAGGACTTGAAGGCGGTTCCGAGGAGACGCTTCTTGTAGTGGAGATCGGCCCAGCGCTGCTCCTTGCGGTGCGCATCGAGCTTGCGAGCGGCGTTAAGACCACGAGGCTTTCCCTTACCCATGTTGACGGATTATGTTGGACGGTCTGGAACGAGAGAATCGATGTTAGTTTTCTTATTTGGTATTTCTTTGTCTTCTGGCGAGTGCATTTCGTGGGGAAGTTTTCGATCAGGGGAAGGTAGAATCTGGACTTGTTTCGTGGGTCGACGGTGTGATTGATTGATGACCTCTTCCACCAAGAAGGGAATTGCAAATACAGAACTCATCGATAAAAGACACGCGAGGGATAAAAAACGGCGTACGTACCGACGTAAAATGGGTGTTGTCGCCAAAAGGGCTGGATGTCGATGAGATGTCGAAAAGTCGATTTCGGTTTCAACATGAACGGGGGCCGCTAGGGAACGCTTTGTGCGCTTAAGCGAGTCACGGTCACGGGATCATTCATTAGTCATCTCTAATATTAATGCCAGAACACACCGCTCTCTACGGAGTACTCCGTATCATACCGCCCAGAACCCGTCAACTGATAAGATCTTATCGCTGCCGATCTTCTTCTCCTGTCCTCTACTGTCAACACCACTCTGACCGCTCCCAATGGATTCATATAAGAAACCCACAAGCTCGCGGTTACCGCCCCCATCTCTATTTCAGGGTCCACCTTCTCATAATGCCTCTAATATCTCTCTATCTGTGTCTCCCCAATATACTCTCGCAAGTCAAACCGGCAGCCAACCTCCGCCTCTCCATAGAGATCGGTCGCATCGCAATAACGACGGTGACGGCTCGGAGAATAAGAGCTTGCTTTCTCCATTCATTTCGAGGCGTGTCTCCAAGCACGACGTGGACGGCTCCGAAGCTATTTGGCAAGAAATGCAGAGTGCCTTGTCCGAAGTCGAACTAAGTGCTGTGACGAGCGAAAATGTCTTTGGCGAGAAACACGCAGAAGCACTAGAAGACTTACGCATGAAACAATTGAAACTCGCACAGGCTTGGGCGCGCAGTGAGGCTGATGATGAGGTTGTCGATTCAAGCCCCAATACTGCTGACAGAGACAAAAGCTCTACAGATCCACCCAGCACTGATGCAGCAGCAACTGAACAGGCACCACCTCGTGACCGTGTGTCTTATCGCTCTTTGGATGAAGAGACCGAGAAAGATATTATACTTGCACGTCAACGTCGCGAGGCAAATGATCGTTACTTTGACCGCGTCAACCAGGGTGTGCTAGATGTTATCGCCAAGCTTGAGGATGTCTCGCAGGCCATGCGAACTGTGGAACAGGAGAGCAAGGATATTTGGAGTGATACGGAGAGCATGGGAACGGTTGGACCGTCATCCATCAATTCAGATTGATATGGAGACGTCGAGGTCAAGCTAATGGTTTTGGCACTGAGGTAATGCCCCAAAGCCATTTCTCGTCATACTAGTCACGCATGATGCATTTACGAACTAGCGCTGAGCGCAATTTCTAATGACTCCATAAAATGGTGTCTGTTCATAGTCAAATTAATACTTGTATCAATATTATGCAAGAGAAACAGAAATAAAATAAAGACTCATAAACCAAGGGTATCCGAACTCCACTGCTCGATATACAGGCCCAAAACACAGTCATACATATAATACAGGAATCAAACCATAATACAGTAGCTTTCGGGAACTTTTAGTCCCTGTTTACAGCCTTCAATGTAGCATTCCAGCCATTCGTGGCTGTCGCTCGGACATCCTCCCATCGGGTCTCGGAGGCCTGATGAGCCAACTTCTCAACCTCTTGATTCCAACGATGTTTCAAGACTTCTTTCGTAGTTGTTTGTTCCCTTCGCTTCGCTAGTCTATCTTCAAGTGAAAGTGGAGCATCCTGGGGCAAAAAGCGACGGTCATAAGCACCCATGGAGGAAGCGATCCATGTTACTTGGTCCACTTGCTCGCGGATCAACCTGCGTTGCTCTAGGCGATTGCTGCGATGTACTTGGATAGTAATGTAGAGGACCGAAGTAGTGAGGGCGAATCCACTGATCTATGTGTAAAAGGTTAGTTGTTTAGTTCTTAGGCGAGTAATGTTGAAACATACAAAGCCAGTGAAGAAGCCCATGTTGTTTTTGACTCTTGTTGCCGAGAGCGTCAATCTCACTCGCGTATGGAAATATTAAAAGAGTTTAAGGTGAGTTCCAGAGAATGAACTGTTCTTTTTGCAAAGAATATAAATCAAGATGTCGCGCAGCGAGGAAAAGTGAAGGCGGACAGCCGTAGCAGCTCTCCGATTGGCCGCAAGCCTGAACTCGAATCTTTTGATCCCGAACATCCTATCCTCGTGCTCAACCTCCAAACAGAACGCCTTTCTCCAGCTGATTCAACAGAGGATCGTTTTCTTCGTCTTCTGTTTCAATTGTTTTCTGTGTACTTTGTTCTCCCCCTTTTGACCTTGTCCATCACACTTCACAATGGCCGGTGGTGCTGCAAAATACCGCCACTTGGGTCGCAAGTCCTCGCATCGACAGGCTTTGCTTCGTAACCTGGTCACCTCACTCTTTGAAAATGAATCGATCACAACAACATGGGCCAAGGCCAAAGAGGCCCAACGCCTGGCCGACAAATTGATCACCTTGGGCAAGAAGAACACCGAGGCCAGCCGACGACGGGCTCTCGAGATTTTCTATGTACGTGACCTCGTCCTTCTACAGACAGCCCTTGCTGCGTTACTATGGCACGATATATCTGGCCCGTAACAGCATATATCCCCGGCACCGCATTTGTCTTGAACGACCATTCGCGCTATAACAATCACTAACATGGACAAAATAGAAACCCCATGCCATTCTCCCCAAGCTTTTCGGTCCCCTCCGTGAGCGCTATGCTGAACGCCCTGGTGGCTACACCCGTGTTCTCCGCACCGAACCGAAAGAGAAATTTGAATACTATACAAAGGGAAAGGATGACAAGAATGCAGTCTCAGAACGCAAGCCGCAAGACCAAGCCCCCAGTGCCATCCTGGAACTTGTCGATGGACCCAAGGACATACGCTTTGCAATTACAGCGCGCGCAGTCGCTCGTCGCCGTAAGCTCGGTGTCACAGAGGAAAATGAGATCACAAAACTCAATGTACGCAAAGTCACCCGGTTCCGAAAGGGAGGAGTCGAGGCTCTTGAGGCAGCTATTCGCCAATTGAACCTTGAAGAGGCGAAGGAGAAGTCTACTGGTGAGGTGGAACTGCAAAAAGTAGATGAAACTAATAAAAACGAGAAAACCGAGGGGGCTCTGCGACGATTTGATTAAGCAAATGAAAAGTTGGAGAAATGAAAAGTTGTTGTAATATGTCTGAACAGGACCTATATACTGCGTTGTTTCTCTCAACTTTTCAAGGTTGTGTTTTGTTGCCCATGTACCTGCCAGTTCATTCTCGGGGCTCTATATTCATTTCTCTCTTGTCCTTATAGGAGTTTCTATTATTTTTTTGGCATCCTGTCTTCTCTTGCAATTGCATTGTGAAATAGCCTATGTACAATACAAAAAATATTCTGATCAGCTTGGATTACTGCCCAGGTCTATTGCGTAGTAGCAATAGAGGTAATACCGGCGTGATGGCACTCGCTATAAAAAGCCCTACCCAGGTTTTCTTGGGTGTAAGTTAAGAGCAGTACACATGCAAGATTCCCAAGGTTCGATTCCAACTAATTCTCCAAAATTTACCTCAGCATGGCACATTTTTTTATCATGTCGGGGTCGCTCTCTTAGGAAAACATCGTATGCGTTATTAGTTCTTTTCAAACCCTCGAAAATCCGAATGAGCAAATACGCACGATCATTTCGTATAGAGCTCTGTCGATAACGCACGGTATCCTTTGTACACAGAATCGATAAAGCTACGGCTGTATCTTAGTGAGTATCAGTTATTTAGCCTAAGTAGTTAGTAAACCCAAGCATCTTCCCCTTTAGTATCCACTCATTTCAAGAAACTCAGGAAAGAGATCCCCGAAGTTTCGGCCTGTGAATAGACTGCTCCCAAATGCCTCGATAAGAGTAAAGCAGAGAGGAGGCTCCGCAATCTGCGGAAATGGGAAAGTGCTGCGGGCTTCTGCGCAGTATAGGGTTCCGGTTGCACCCATTCGACATTATTCTAGTCTTATAGCAACCTTGAGTTCCCAAACGAAGAACTTGACAAGAATGACAAGAGTGGTGGTGGTTCCTCCGTTGAAAATCTAATGGGCGTTTTCTTTCAGACTCTTGGAGGTTTAAGAATACCCAACTTCCCAAAGGATGTTTGGGATGGGCTCGCGCAGTGAGAGAGAGAGAGATTCGGTGGAAAAACTGTGAGGTCAGACTCCTTACTACCGGGAGAGTTGATCTTAACTCGAGGATTCATTGGTCAAGAACTGGAGGTTTCCGGTAGATTCAAGTACTCAGAATGGAGTCCAGAAGTAATTGCAGAGTTTCAGTGTTAAGGTCGGTCAGAATGAGGAACTTCTTGGTTCCAGTGCTCTCGAGATCCCAGGATCTTCAGAGAAAATTCTTCGTTAGGTTTTTCTTCATCACTATAAGACTCTATTATTGCGAAGTCGAGATCTATGAGAAAGTTAGAATATTTGAAGAATGGCAAAAGGGTAGCTCCAAAAGTAAATGGATGAAAAATGAAAGTCGATATCAATCGAAGTATGCCATTTAAGGTCTAACCTAATTTGGACAGAGCCCACTCGACGAAGTACATAATCTCAATAGGCAGGTCTAAGCAGATATTTGTCCATCTAGGAAATTAAATAAGCATTGAATTAATACATAGGTGCCGAGATAACACATCATATTCCAATTTTAATATGTTTTAAGCGTATGTAGGTATCTACTTACCTAATAGGCTCTAGTGAAGGACTTGAGATGGAATTCGAGATAAATGTGTAAACTCATAGCTCTAGCTACCTAGCTAACCGACCTTCACGCTATGGACTTAATAGCAGCTGACTCAAAGTTCATGGATTACCATAAACGCACGTTCATCCATCTGTAACATATGCAAACCACACGCGTATATGGCTACTGATGGGAATGATGCAAAGCTTACGCCTCAATTAGGCTTGGAAGCACCTGTATCCCCAGAGACCACAAGCGGTCCAGTATTGGTACCAGGCATTCTGGCACCGCCGTAGGACGGCGGCATGGCCATCTGCAGGGGACCTGTTCGAAGTCTCTTATCGAAATCAGATGGAACTTCGGATGGGGGAGGCTTAGCGGGAAGGTGACTAGGAGTGCCCCATTTAGCAATAGAGTCTCGAGTGTTGGGATTCGAGACACGAGCCTGGTTAGTGGTTGTAGCATGGTCCATATTGCGGTTCTGGTTAGGATCTGGGTATCCAGCCCATTGTCCCTGAGAATTGGGTGGCACATTGGCGAATTGGGGTGGTACGGGATACTGTGCGCCTTTGTTTGGAATACGCGACAGAGGAGGGCCGCCCGGGACGAAGGAGCGTGTCTGAGGGTTGAAGTGAGATCTAGCATATCCTCCAGGCATCGCGGGAGTCCCAGCCGAATGAATGGTGTGATTCACAGACTGCCCATGGTATTGACCGTAAGGATACGGCATTCCGGGCTGTTGGTTGTAGTTGAGTGATTGATGACCCTGGGGCGAAGTCTGCTGATAGTTCCCATGATAGGGTTGATGATTCCAAGCAGGGTTCTGGGGATATTGAGGAGCGTAAGGAATGGCGTAATTGGTTGTGGCCGGTGAGGACTTGGCTGATGATTGGGCACTCGGCATTCCTGACTGGCTTGCGTATGAAGATTGTTGCTGTTGCATCTGCAGTTGAAGTTGCTTTTTTTGTTGCTGAAGTTGCAATTGTTGTTGCTGCTGCATTTGCTGCTGTAATTGCAGCTGTTGTTGCTGTATCTGTAGCTGATGCGCCATGTTGCCTGCTTGCCACGAGCCATTGGAGGCCATCTGTGGCGTCACAGCTACTGGAAAGTTTGACACGCTCATTCCCGTGTTCCCAGGGTACGCAGCAGTTTTCTGTCCAGAGGTCACAAAGCCGTTGACGGGTGGAGCCACACCTGGTCCAACCAGATATGGGACTTGGTTGGGATAGGTAGGATCATTAACGGACTTGTACTGTGGAGGACCACCATTGCCGTACTGGATACTTGGATGCCAGCTACTGAACTGCGAGCGAGCTTCAAAGCTGTCATCGTGGGGAGTTCGCTGCTTGGGTTCCTTCCACAAAGTGTTTTTCTTGCGACCTGTTGTCGAGCTGGAGCGCGACATAGCTGCACTTGATTCGCCACTGGCTGTGTGCGAATTATCAGAGAAATCACGGAAAATCCGCTCACGAGCTTCTTGATATTTCGCCTCCCGTTCCTCTCGGCTCAACGTCGATCGATCTTTGGCCGGAGTGGTGTCAGCTGAAGAGTCAGCGTGATCTTCGTCTTGACCGCTATCACCAGCTTCCGAAGTAGCCTTCGATGCAGCGGATGAGCTCGCTGCGATGCTGCCTTCTTGGCGACGTTCCCGAATCGTTCGACGCATAATTTTCATAGCTGGAATGCTTGGTTGGGGCGAAGAATTACTAGCAATCGAAATAGGGGAAGGTCTAAGTGAAATTAGTTTGATTTTCATGTTCCAATTCACTTTCAATTCACTGACAGCAAAAGGTAAAGAGAAGGTAGAAAGAACTTACAGTCGGCAGAACGGGGTTCGATGAAGGCGAACTGAGGTTACATTGTTGTCCACAAAATGTGTTAGATGATAGTAATCTCCGAGCTTGTGTGCGAGAAGTCGCCCAAATGCGTTTGATGGAGGGAGCTCCAGTGAGGTTTCACTGATGCAAAAGTTAGGTTCAATTCCCAGAACAAACATCGAAAATATTACTTGCCTGGAACTCTCGATGAAATACCGAATTTTTTCTTCTAATTGAAGAATAAGCAGCCGGTCTTTTGGAGATTTCATTGCCTCTAAAAGTTTCTCGTCTGGATCGAGAGGAAAGCCATGCAGCGGATGGCCTTCGGGTAGATTTCCAGGGTTGACGGGAACGATGAAATTGTTGGAGACGAAGTCTGGAGGAATGGCAACAGAACCCATTTGGTCCACGCCATTGAATAGGGAGCCAGGCACCGGAAGAACGCCATGTGATCTGAGAGAATTGCCATCACGAAATTGATCTCGATAAGCCTCAGAACCGGTCACCGAGTTCGGTGTTCCGGAGGCACGACCTGAAATAGATTCCTCTTCATCAATAGCCTGGACACTAGCACTGTCGTCAGGTCTTACAGAGTCCTTTTCATCCATGGCAAAAGTAGTGACGGAGGCAAGGCTCTTGGTGTCGAAATTGGTCATTTTTGTGGATGAATTATTAGAAATGTGAGTGCGAACATCATCAAAAGAGTTTTGTCTGTTCAGCAGGCCATTAGCCTGGTCATCCAGCAAGGATCCTGAACCCTCATCGTCCTTGTGTAGACTAATATTCTGCATGGCCCTTCCCAAACCATCACCCACCAGGTCAGATGGAGCGCTCTCTCGCTTTATGGCATCGAATGAATGTGAGCCAGAGATAGAAGTGCCAGCGTCAAATGTGGTTGAATAGGTAAATGATTCGACGGGATGCGCGCTATCGCTGTCTTCGGGTTCGGAATGGAGTTTAGTAGCGACAGGCATAGCAGCAATCTGGAAGACGAAGGTCAGTTATGAAACCCGCACAATAATAGATGCTCATACCGTTGCGAAAGAGAAGTGGTTGTCCCCGTGCGATGCGTCCTTGGATGCCATATTTTATTTCACCCTCTGGGATGAGAATTGAGAAAGGTCGGTGAAAAGTTCACCGGATGTAGAGAATTGAGAACGAAAAAATCACTCCCGAAAAGATGATGAGCGACGACTTTCAAATAAAAAGAAGATGACTGGAAAATCCCACTTCGCAGAAGTTCAAAAAGAAAGACATCTCAGATAAACCTTCGCCATCGGGGAACGCTGTAGAAATTAAAGTCAGTCAAAAAGCCTCAAAGAAAAAGATCATCATACAAACAATTGTAGAAGTGTCCCTGGTAGGAAATCGATCTAGTGGGGTTCCGTACGCGATGCTAAAGCTGAAGATGGAGGATCACGACCTCAAAGTGAGATGGGGGAAAATACTATCAGGTGATCAATAGAATACCAAGAATGACAGCTGAATAAGCACACTTACTTCCACGAGAATCCAAAGTCCATCAAGGCCCGGATTGAGAACTTCGAGGAAGAAGGAGCGTTGGGAGCAAATATGATTCCTCTCCAACTGCCCTGGAGGTGCGTGAGGGTGGAATTTGCCGTGCTTGACCGCCTTGTCTACTAATACAACTTCCTTTCAAATGCGCGCCCACCAATAGCCATATTTTTCGTGAACGTGAACTTCTCTTATCCCTATTGTCTCTCCTTTCCTTAACACATCCTTCGCTCTTTTTTTCCCTCTCACTAGTTGTTTTGAGTGACCTTCATGAATCGTTATCGAAACGCTCCGGGGCTTCGAGGCCCCAGCAGAGCCTCTGCGAGTACTTTGTGCCAAAAGTGTTTGAAGCGAGATATGTCCCCATTTTGATCCTGCTGCTTGGTTTATTACTGACTTTATTGCACGGCACTACAGCTATGAGTGTAAAGGGACTGCGCAGGATCGCCCATACATTTCAAGACCTTCGCGCACCCAGCAATTGTTGAACCCAGAGCTGGTGCCCAAACTGACAACCGAAGTTCTCCCCGACGACCCTCTGCGAAAGTAAGTTATGAGCGGTAGATCTCAATAACTCTCTTGGTGGTGAAAATCTGTTCCGGAGATCTAACCGCAACCTTAGAGATGGTCTAGCAGACAAAATACTTGCGAAAGCCGATGCGGATCGCGGACGGAATAAGCTTCTACTCGATGGAGAAACAGACCGAGCAAGATCAATATCGTCACATTCCACAAACTCTATCGCAACAATTTCAACCAACCGATCCGCTTCAGCGTCGCCTGATCGGCGAAGCAAGCACAGCGTCCGGGAAAAAGAGCGTCGGAGCTCAGTGTCACCATTTGCGACGAAGTCCCGGAAAAGACGATATAACGATTCGCCCGATACCTACTCTGTCTCGTCTCATTCAGAAACAGGACACCGTTCAAAATCTATAGATTGGGCCGAAGATAGAAATATTCGTCGACGACGCCAGGAAAGTAGTCCTGACGCACGAGGAAGGAGTCGCGACTCTGGGCATAATATTTCCCGTCAAGACCGGTGCAGTCCTGAAAGTCCTGACAAAATCAAAGTTGCAAAAGATCAACGCTCCGTGACTCCACAGACAAGCCACGACCGACCTCCAAGACACTCGACTCGGGATAATGACAACCAACATAGGCGTCCCAAACCAGTCCCCAAATCACGACCAGGTCCCCCTCGGGAACGAAGCTTGAGTCCCTATAGCAGACGTCTTGCTTTGACGCAGTCTATGAATTTAGGGCAGTGAAAATAAGCTTGAGAATTATTTTATTTGTGAATTTATGAAAGGTTTCCACTGGTGCAAGTGTTCTTGACGAAAATACTTTGCCTAACTTTCATATTCCATTGGTTGTGTCTCTGGGAATGTTGTACGAACATCATAAAGGTTCTTACGTTTCAATGAACGGCACCCTTCCAAACGTCTTTTTCAGGTCTGCAAAGGCGTAATTTCGAGACGGCATTTGCTGCATTCGCTGCCCTAGTTGGCATTTGGTACCAGCACAAGTACCAATGATCAAGTCCTGTCCATCAGCCGTATCTAAAACTAATTAGCCAAATAGAGAGTGGCTTGCTTTTCCCGAGTCATACGGAGTTGGACCGCAGTTGGAATTACCGGTTCCTCTTTGAGGATAGATTGCCTAGTTGGCATGTCGACATACAAACCCCCTAGTCTCTAGCGCGGTTGCATCAACACACACTTCAGAGTCATGAGTCAAAAAGTACACCTTCTGTACGTAGGTAGTCTGATGCAGCCATTACCTTCTAGCGGCCTGGCTGACGGTTGACAGACTGCGTATTTCCAGCCATAACTCCATGCTCATTCCAAAGTATCACATTATCTATCATCAAGAAAAGTCATATTGGTCAGCCCTGAATTCTCCTATCTTGAATTCAGACGACAAGGATCTAGCCAGCCAAGAGATAGGAAAATGCACCTACCTCGTAAACCAAGTGGAATAAAAGGAGAGCAGTATGGTGAAGTTGGCTAAAAAAGCAATTTTCCATGCGGTACGATTCGATTATGCTTTTCCCAAAGCAAGTGGATTTCGGAATGAGAAGATGTATCTAGGTATTTGACTGTTTTTTGATGTTTTCATAAGACCTTCGCCTTGTAAAAATTAAATTTGATTCTCTTGTTCTCGCACATGGATTCCCTCAACAAGCATGTCACCCTGGATACCCAACTCTTCGCCTTCTTGCTCCCCGTTAGAAGATGCACCTCGCTCTTTAGCTGCGCTCTGAGAAGCCTCTATCCGTTGGCGCACAAGTCGGGCAATCGCATTCTCTGTTCTCACATTAAGCGTCTTGAGCTTTTCATCTAGATCCCGTCGCAAGTCCCAGTTGGGTTTCTTCGGTTGTAGCTTGAACAAATCCAGGGGCTCTTCGGCATCATCGTCCTTAATTGCTTGTTCCTTCATAGCCTCAACAATCTCAGCTGCCTGAGATTCCACAGTCACTGAATTCTCATGTGGAGCTTGTTCAAACCCCAATTTGGGACCACGGGTTTCGACATCGTAATTGCGTCCCGAAAGGAATTTGGTTGTAGCATCGGTAGTGGTATCATTATCGCCAGTGCCAGTAGCTTCAATAGTATCTGGTTCAGGTTGTTTGCGCTTGAGAGCTGCGAGTTTGGCAAGGCGAGCTTTGCGGTCGGTGGAGGCCGCATCCAGAGAGGCAAGATTTGATGACATGTTTTGGGAAAAGAAGCTCTATAGGAGAAGAAGGGAGGTTTGATGTTCGTATGAGGAGGAAATTTAATGAAAACGACTTTGAAAAATAAAGTCTTGTCTTGAAAAAAGTTTATATGTTAACATATGTTGCTCTCTATTACCTAGGTCCACTTGAGGATACTCATGGCAGAAGACTCACTTACCTGTAGATATTTCTCAATAAGTCTCGATCTTATTAGGTGGTTGATGGGTTTGTTGGTTTTGTAATGTCTAGAAGACAATTAACGCCAGGTGCTGCACGGTATCAAATCGACTATGGCGCTAATCACGCCGCCTTCTACACCGCCTTTTAATTTTTGTACTAGCAGCATTGCGTCACTCTGAAAGTAGATTATATAATGTTGGTCTGGCGCCACACACCAGCCACAGAAAAATTGGGGGCAATCTTTCGGAGTTACCACGCTATTCAACTTATCTTACACAGAATTCCAGTCGCACCACATTTTGTCTTCAGTTTCTTAATGTGTGCTATTATAGGTCTTTGAATGTTATCGTGCTCGCACCACTTCGGTGGGCCCCGACTTAACGGGCTGTCGACACCATGTAGGACCTCTGGACGCTGGAATCGGAGTTTAAGAATCAATGGACACGGCACACAGCGGGTGTCGACCTATAACTCATTGAACCAGGGGTCTAGCTTGGACCACCATGACTTCACTACTTCTACACAACTTGAAGCTCCTCGTGCTTCATTACTATCCGCAGTTTTGAAACCCGACCTACAAGTACCTGTGCGATCACCTCAACCGCAATCTACCGACATTGAAACAGATAAACAGGCTACCACTAGCCATGAGCCCCCGAATCCAAATGGAGTATCAAACCGTACCCGAAGACCTGTCCGACCTCTATCCAAAATATCAAAGACAGAAGTTCGATCGCTGCTTCATCACAATGGCCTCAACCCTAGCCTTGCTGAGCATGTCACTCGCCGAACAAATAATGAGTTAGCGGCGCTGGATAAACCTTTGGCTGCTCGATCTGTACGCATGGCAGCTGTCCTTCGAGCTAAATCACTATTTTCACGAGAATTGGCATTGCGTCAGTGGAAGGCTGCCTACGCAGCGATTTTTTACGCCAAACTTGAGCAGCGTGATGTTGAAAACAGAGCGGTAATTCCTAAACTGACAAAAGATGGACAAGAAATACTAGAGAAGCTCCAGAGCCAAAATTCTCAAGCTTTTGGAAAGATATGGCACGCAATGGACCGGTCTATCAAGGCCTCTTTGTGGCAACGATTAGCGATCTCGCTTTTGGAAAAAGATCCACAATTACTCTTGAAGTTCTTGTTTGCAACTACTCAGGGTGAAACCAAGCCTGACTTTACCATGGTGGTAGACTGTCTGTTGTTTCTGGACAGGTTTTATTACAAAACATGGCTAAAGGACCACACCGTCGATGGCCGACATAACTACTCGGATGTTATTCAGGCCTGTCTACATCCTACTACCTGGCCCATTATATCTTTACCCCACAAGGGTGCTCGTTTATTTATTCGACGGGCACGTCTTGAAGCTGTTGTTTCTGCCTTCCTAACAGTTAACAGAAGAGGTATTCATATGACAGCTACCACAATGCTGTGCTTTATGTGGCGCTTTACAGAGCTGGGTGATGTGGATTATGCGCTGCGGGCTTTGCACAAAGTCCGAGGGATGAACGAGGCATCGTTCTCGATGAACTCAGAAGGAGTTCACCGGCACTGCTGCAAGCTTTTGACTTTAGACAAGGTCGAGGATACACAGTCTGGGCGCAATTTCCAAATTCTTCCACGGCTGTTAGAAATGGGTGTGCGGCCTGACCGAGACATGATGAACGTTGTCGTTGCGAATGCCTTCAAGACCGGCGATCCCCAGCTCGGTGCTGACATGCTTGACTTCATGAAACAACATGGCTTTGAGTATGACTCGCACACATACATGACTCTTTTGAAACACGCTGTTGAGTGTGGAGATCGAGGTAAGGTGGATGCTTTGATGCATCAGTTTGATGCCCACGACGAACTTCGCAACAATCCCTGGCTTGTCAGCAAGATCATGCATTGCCATTATATTTATACTGTCAAGCATCTGGACACAGATGCAGACCCTAGACGTATGTTCTATTCAATGCTGGAGATGTACAACCGATTTCACGATATTACTCCTCTCCGAGAGCTTTTCATCATTCCTCGGAACTATACAGTACCTGGAACTGGAGAAATTAAAAAGACACTGCCTTCTCCTGTCGCTCTCTACATAATGATTGCAACGTACTTCCGTTGTCAAGAACGCTTTGATATGGTGCAACGTGTCTACTCTCAGTTCCGCTCGCTCGTGGTCCAGGGGCATCCAGTCATTACTCCCTTGGCGGAGACCGATCACACCTACAATGAGTTTCTCCTCGCATTTCGTGAAAGTCCTCGTGGGCTCCAGCCATGCATGCGAGTTGTGGAAGACATGCTTAATCCACCCACCTTTGCGGCTGATAGCTTGGGAACTTCAAAAGCCCACTCGAAACCCACCATTCGTACCTGGACCATTCTTCTGAGTGCTTTCATTTTCCACAGACGTCCGCGTGCAGCAGAGCGGATTCGAGAAATGATGACCAAGCACAATGTGCGGTTCAATAACGTGACTTGGAACACCATTATCAGCGGCTACGTTACCGCGCAGGATATCCCCAAGACTGCCGCTACCATCTGGGAAATGGAGCAGCAAGGGTTCTCTATTGACCAGGATCCTTGCACAATGAGGTCACTGCGCTATCTTCGTGACCCGGAGCGGTTGTCAGTTGCCATCGAGGAGCTGGACCGCAAGACCACCGAGGCAGGACTTGATTCTCATGTTGAAAATCATATATATGAGAACGTTGATGGGGAGGAAATCATCGAGCATGAGCCTGAATTCACCGTACACAACAATAACAAGAAGCGTGATCAGCTGGTGGATTGGGGACTAGAAAAACTGGGTACCAAGATGAAGCCTAGGCTTTGATATCAGATACCCTACTTTCGCTTTTTTTTTTTTTTTTAAGAACTTTTCTAGCGTAATCAATCATACTGGACAAGGCTAGCCGGAACTAAGTCAGCTTTGTGAAACGTACTCCATTTGTAGATTAGGCTTGTATATAATGGGTCCAAGGCTTCGAAAAACAGCGAGTCCGGATGATTTAATCCAATCATATCACTAGGGCAGTAGTAGTCTAGAAGCTTGTGTCCAGAGCTTTCTTGTCATATCTCGGCTTTAATATTCCAAGATTCCAACCTTGGAATGTTCCAACGTTCTTAATATTTGAAAATCATTATGAGCTTCCAGCCTTGGAAAGCTTCAAAATACCCTCCCTCCACTACGCCCTGTCCATATTCAAGCTAAACGGCCCTTTTCAAGGTTCTTGCAAGTGCCCAGGTGTGGATGGTACTTGATCTTGGTCGATCCTGTATAAGGCGGAAACGACGGACATCCGGCTATTGAGGTAGCTTTGGAAGCAGTGGTACGAGCATATGTAGTGAGGGAAAGTCAGTATTTATGAAAAACCTTGAAAATTGAAGATTGGGCTGTATTATTTACATCGACTCATTACATTAAACAAAGGACATTGACATCCACAGTTTTCCTTGAAACTCTTGAGGTATGATGGTATTGGTTTGTATTCTGGGTCCATCAAGTTATAATACGTGTTGGTGTAGACGTCCCCTTTCGACACGTTATAAAACCCAGAGTGAATCTGATTTGGTTTTCCCTTCCACAACGCCCTTCCAACACGCCTTTCCACCTCGTAACAAAATCATTTATCAACCTCCAAGGAAGATCGAGACCTATTGAAATGTAAGTGAATCTTCCATATTGGATTCAAGTGAAATTATGTCTTGAACTTACTGCCATCAGTAAACAGCATATGCTAACATATGGACTCAGTCGCTCTCCTACGCGAGCGCATTTCCAAAACACACCCAATATTCTGCATCAGTTAGCCTTCCTGCCCTCAAGTTTTCCATAAGCCTTGACTGGCTAGGGTGCTTACCCGTGCTGGTTTCGATCCATAATTCCAGGCATAATTGAGTGGGCATAAGTACTTGTGCAGATGATAAGCAATATCACAAGCAGCAGAGACTGGAAGTTGAAAAGCGCAGTCTAAGTAGATATTTTGTCAACAATGATGTCGCAAGCATCGAAAGTACACAGTATGCTGATCTGATGCTTCACAGATTCGATAGCCTTCTTTTGCTTCAGAGCATTTTTAGGGGACAACCTATGTTTCCTGATAAACAAAAACATACCATTTTGACTGGTGCTCTCCGAAACCAAGCTTAAAGAAAGGAGTGTGGAGTTTAGGACGAATCCAGGTGGCACCTTGAAGTGGAAGTGGTCATTCTGCCCATTATGTCCGACAGAAGCCTAGACCGCCTCGGCCCAAACGAAAGTCAGCAGCAGCCACCCCGACGCGCTCGACCATTCACACCACCTCCCCCTTCCTTAATTTCCTCAGATTTTGACATATATCTGGATTACAACCTCTTCCCAGGCCAAACCACACTTCACAACCGACATTTACAGCCTACTGAACAGAGCCTTGAGTCGACAACCCCAACAACTACATCGACAGCTGTGCAGGCTCCAGAACCAAATCAATACGTCTCTGGCATTTATCGAGTCTACACACCAGCTTTTGAACCATTCAGATTTAGGGATCATCCTGAAGATCCTTACCTTCTTCGCGTCCCCCAATCATTGACTACTACCAGTAGCATTGTGAAGACTTCCGAAACCTTTTTTTCTCCTCGCGATTCAAGCAATCCATCCCCTGATATTACCGCTGCCAATCCAATTGGCCAGCCTCCACTGGATCCCAGTCTTGCTTTACTTCCTCCATACCCTCCCACCTTTGCTTACTTTCCTGATCCACCTCCTGGTTTCGGGCCGGATTGCCAGTACGATCAACACGACTCTGATATCTATCGTGCTGGGTACAGACCCGTTAACCCACTTAATACTCGCAAGTATTTGAAGCCGCCTAGCTAGTCGACATGGCGGAACCTCGTGCTCGTGCTGCTCGACACAAGGGCCAAATGAATTTTGCGCCCGAGCGTATGTCACTAAATTCCCCACCCTATTGACTGTAGTTAATAAGCTAATGTCTACTTTTCAGTTCGCCTTCTCCTTCTTGCATACGGTGACCCGAGCCCACACCCTTCATTTTCTTCTGAGCCTCTTCCGGAAACTGTCCGCGTTCTTGACGAGATTGTTACTGATTTTATTTTGGAGCTATGCCACGGCGCTGCTCAAGTTGCGCATCATTCAAGTCGACAGAAGATTAAGGTGGATGATTTTCGTTTTGCATTGCGTCGCGACCCGAACAAACTGGGTCGTGTGCAGGAGCTGCTCCGTATGGAGCGTGAGTTGAAAGAGGCTCGGAAAGCCTTTGATCAAAATGATGATAAGGTTGCTAAGAATGCTGGAAAAAACGGTGCTGTTGGTGGTTTAGAAGTTGAGCCAGAGGCTGAGCCTTCCATTGCGGGTACTGGAAAAAAAATAAGGGCAAAGGCAAGAGATCTGCTGGTCCTCGACGTGAATCGGATGCCACGGAGGAGTCGATGGCCAAGAAGCGCAAGACTACATAGGTGGATGATTTTGGTTTTGTTACGAACGTGGGTTAGTTTATTACAAGCGATGAACTTTTACTGACGAGAGCTTTTATAGGCGATGACTTTTACAGGCGGTTTCTTCTTTTACATGCGATCAACTACTACCGGCGACATCAAAGGCATTTCTCAGGCGTTTAGTGGACGGTTTTTATTTTATTTTATTCAATGGCGTTATGGCAAGGGATAACCTTTATTATCAAAATACCCCTTGCAATGAGATTTCATCTATTTCTGTATCTAGTATTCTTTAAATAATCGATCTGAGTGCCGGTCAGCTTTATAAGGGGTTCGATTAATATCCCACCAGGTCTGATCCCTACACGTCAAATTTCTGTTCAGCCGCTCTAATGATCATCCCTAAACAAAAGCATCTCCAACCTTGGAATAATTAGTTATGCAGTGTCCGGAATCCCTCCGAACAGCTTGTAACCATCCTGACTCTCTATTCGCCCTCACAGACGAAGAGCTTGTGCGTCTGGTACATAGAGAATTCTCCGACGACCTCGATCGTCTTAAAAGAGCCTACTCCATTCGAGATGGGGAGGTAGGTGGGGACCAGCTTCCGTCACCTTCATACATTCTATACCAAGACAATTACGACGAGGTCAACCGGACACTCGTAGGTTTTTTGGCTCTGCGGTGGATCCATACTGGACAATATGAGAGGTTCATCGGATCACAGCCTCTCGATCACCGCTTAAGCCGGGAATCATTCGAGTGGATTCATCGCTTCTACGCAGAGACCATCACTGATACGAACACTCTCTACGCCTTGATCACTTCGATTATAACGAATGATCTGGGGAAAGACCCAAAGCTGACATCTGACTACTACAACCTGACTGGGATCGATATCTCCCATCTCAATCACGATGCTATTCTCCTCAAGGCCTGTGAAGCTGGTATGATCACGTCACTAAACCAACTTCCATTATTGGAAAAAGAATCTCTATTACTTGGAATAAGGCTCGGTGCTTATCTCAATTTTGGTCAACTTGGTCAGGCTGAGAATGCCCCCGTTTGTCTCTCGGTTCTATCTCGCCACGACGCAGATCTACGCCATCACAGCTTTCAGCTTCGTTTCATGGAGCAACTGCTTGATATAGCCGGTGCTGCGGGTCATATGAACTGGAGTTGTGCAAAAAAGCTCAATCAGCCAATTTTCCAATCGTACCTGAGTGTATTCTATGCATGCAAGGGTGTTCTCAGCGGCGCTCTGACTGTTCGCGAAGGATATGACTTGGTCCTTTCTCGTCGGGCAGAATTTATCCACCAGAAGGGCTTTCGACTGCTCCGAGTGAAAGAAGATCGGTACGAACGGGGCTTGATGCGACTACTGTGCATGGGTAATGCCACAACAAAAGACGCGGCTAATACATTCGAGGCTGCGTTGGGATCTCTCGAGCAGTCAATTAGAGATGCTCTTTTGCGTGCCCTCGATGTTGACGGCTCAGTGGGCGAACCCGCAGTTCAGCCAACGTATATGCCTGCTTTTTTCGGTTATATGAAAGACAAGCGGGCGCTGATCTGCGCGCTCGAATATCTTTGTCGTGTTATGAGCACAAAACCCGTGGTTGATCGCTCAGCTGTGCTTGTTGAGCGGAGCGTGCTGGGAGTACTCAAGCAACATGTTGACAGTATGGAGTTTACGGAGGATCCTACAACTTTGGAGGGAATTAGTGTGCCTGACGATGCTGTTGCTATGACTGAGACGACTTCGCAAACTTTATCTATATAGGTAGCTGTTTATAGAATGTGTTTTTCATTATGTTCAAATTTTGGATGGTAGCTGCCTATCTGGGCAGGTTCGTTTCATTACATAGCCGAGTATCTTAACGGCCAAATCGTCCCTCATGTATCTTCTTCTTCTCCAGATACTTATTCATCCATTCCTGATTATGTGGTATCAACCCCCAGAGACTCAGACATTTATCTTCTTCGTCTGTCAAATTCAACCACGCGTACAGGTCCTGTCGACGCTCTGGAACCTTTTTTCGAGTCTGTGGGTTACGAGCAGCTTCCAGATTGACCATGGTATCTCTCAGTCGCACATCCTTCTCATCCGCTATTTGCAAGTGGGGCTGCATGTTTTGGGCCACTTGCGCTTCGTCCCACTCGGCATATTCGGCTGGATAGGTAGATATCGTGGCCCTCAAGCTGGAACTCAGCCAGCAAGAAAACTCCCGTTCTTGTTCACCTCCAGTTATCGTGCTGCGAATGGCGCTCCATATCCTTGAATCCTCGCAGCCAAATTTGTGGGCGATCAGGAAAGTAGGAACGATCATCACAACCACTGTGCAGATCTGTGTATGGAGAGTAGCCATGCCAATGGTGATAACATGAACACCGAATGCAAGCCAGCCAATCCACCCAAAAGCTTGGTAGATCAGGCGATTCGGTATTTGCTGTTGCAGAGTAAACAATGGTCTCATCAGATAGCGCGGTGCAGCAATAGTGATGGCCCTTGATTCTGCTGTGACCACAATACATTTGGCTATACTGTATGGATCCTTGGGTTTGACCGGAGGCTTAGCTTCGGAAGTGACATTTCCATCCCTAAGCCTTGCCACAGACGCCTCATATTGGGCCAATTTCTCAGGATAATTTTCCTTGTCGGCTGCTCTCTGGGCCTCTTTGATGTTTGCCTCAATCCCAGCCCGGTTCTGGGAGACTAGGATGCACCTCACGACGACGGAGACTAACATGGCCATGACATTTGAAAATCCCCACCAGTCTTTCGACAGCACGGTCAACGCGATGAGTATTGAGAATATTGGAAAGCTAATGAGAAGAAAGCCAACAAAAAACGATGACCATCGACGGGGGCGCGGAGTGATTTCCCAACTGACAATGCTGCGAACCTGATGAAATTCTTGAGACTCAAGCCATCTCGAAAACCAACCCGTCAGCTCACTGGTAATTATTCCTTCCGTGATGTTATATAGTGTGAAGCCGGATTTTCTGGAGGTAAACCGACCTCCAGCGATGATAAAAGCTCCTAGAATGGGGAGATAGTCGAGGTATAGACTGGGTACGAGCCGTCCAACGCACGTATCCATATCCTCCGCTCCTAAGAGCGTGACGAGGCCGAGGGCATCGATCTCCAGCCCTGTCCTATTAGACCAGGAGCTGAGAGAACTATACCAGGGATACATGTCTAGGCTATAATTGTAGTTTTGTCGTGGTCATGATTGTTATAGTCCCGGAGAACGTACAGAGCAGACGGCATAAATACCCAGTTCACCGACTGTTACGAATAGGAGTCATCTACTGAGACAGATCATACCTATTTTCGTAATACTTGACAATACAAACTAAATGAAATGGTTCAGTGGTGCCAAGTAAAACTCCGACTTGCAGCTCTTACTAGGTTGGGATTTTGTGGCGTACTTTAGGGCTGACTGCACACGGGTCATAGCGCTCGTGTCAGCTGTAGCACAAAAAGCAACTTTAAGCATTTACGGAGGTTGACATCTTAATAAACTCATCAAAATTGACCGGTATAACGAGGGAAATAGTTTCTTGTTACACGCTGTACTTAAGGCGACCTACGATGCTAACCTTGGAATTGACTCGTCTAACATTGAAGGAGCTACTCTGTACTACATACTATCATTAGTTTTAAGCTAGTCCAACTGCCGGTATATACGACTATACGAGCCCAATTTCCACACAAACTCCCACGCGAAGGATCCTTTCCCCTTGATGCATATGCAGATCAACGGCAAGGCAAGCCTCAACCCTATCACTACTATGCCTTCATTGGAAATGCCGTCGCTCCTTCTGAAAAGAACGACCCATGGGTGGATCTAGCTGAGCTCTACAACGTACTTTTGTTTTCATGCTATTTCTCAAGGGCCAATTAAAGCTAAACAGCTCAGTGAATCCCCACAAATGATTTTGTACAAAGTAGAATTTATATGGTAGACCTTTTTGTCTTGAAGGATCGGTCATGTACTTTGTAAGTGTCCCAAGTCTTTTAAGCCTCTTCTAGATGTCTGGTTTCCAAGGGCTGCCTTGACATTGGAATTATCCATGAATGCTACAGAGTAATTTCCATGTTGTACGGCAACCTTAGGCGAGAAGGATGTCTATAGATAATAATCACTAAGCCTGTTTTGGATTAATGGCTACTGGTAATGATCTGATTCTATGTAGACCATGTAATTTATATTTTGCCAAGGGAATACGAGTGGCTTCCAAGTCACACTTACTTATTAGCGCACTGCGAAGATTACTTCGAAATCTCATTTCCACAAATTTGCAGGTGATGCCTTGCAGCCTCTGATGTCCTTATATACTTAGTGCTCTCCTCGTAGATTTGACTCATAAATCTCCATCAGCAGCATATACATACCAGGTCTCTCTCTCCATTTTCAGGAAAGACTTTGTCATCATGGGGGCGTCCCAATCCTCAATGCGTAGGAAAGAGCAACGCAGAATCAACAAAGCAAAACACCACCTCCAACGGCAATACGATGGAAACTGGCATTGGCGTCCCGATGGCAAATTCAAGCATCCGCGTATGGATCAACCCCAGCTGGACAATCGTATTTTGGAGCTCGAGGATGCGAAGCATATGTACCGAAAGCGTCGATATCTGAATGTTTGGGGGAACAGTGAACACGAGAAGTTTCCCGACATCGATACCTATTATAGCCCAGACAGAGAGTATCCCCGTCGACTTATAGTGCAAGCAACTGCAAGTGCCCTACAGGATGATGAGCCTCGCCACTGGGGCCGTCGCAAAGTCAAGGGGCACACACCGCTGATAATCAAAGTGGCTGAGCTTTGTTTGAATCCCCTGGGGCTGACCGAGCACGATGCGAATATTAATGACGAGGATGACGTTGAGGTGAAGAGCAAGGAGTTGAGCAAGACGTGGGCTGCGAGAATCGGTCAATCTATACTGCATTACTTCTTGTCCATCCTGGCCACTCTGACAACTGGGTGGATTATTCAGTTGCTTCTATCCTTCCAGATTGTCACTGCGCCATGGACGGATGATGGATCCGCGGAACCATATGACGAGTATGAGAATACCCAGTGGTACTGGCCCAAACACGCCGTCAACGTACTGGACCAGTCACCCAAAAACAAGAGGTCTCAATCACAACTCACTACACTCACCATTCCTCGCCGGTTAGTGGTAAGAGATCCACAAACTGGGGAGTGGGTGGTCAGAAAAACAGTAGATCTTCGCGATCAGAGAACCGGCATGCTTCGACCTTATATCTTCTTGAGTTTCTCACGAGCGAATTATATTGGAAAGGGAGAAAGCGAGATGCGACAATTCTTCTACCAAGTGGCTGAGAAAACGCTCGAGCATGAGAACTTGAATAGAAGAGATGCAGAAGAACCCCCAATGGACGCATTTTGGTGGGACCTCGACTGTGTTTCCCCAAGTGATCCAATGGACATAACTCCCGATCAACTAGCAGAGTCCAGCCGTACCAAGGATGTAAACTCCATTTGCGACGCGGTTCGCTGTGCCAGACGTGTCTACGTTGTTCTACCCGATGATAGCTCCAACACCAAACTAGTATGGGGACAGCGGATCTGGACACTGCCAGAAGTCCTGCTCGCAACCGGCAAAATTCGATACTGCTTCAAGGATCCAAATATCAAAGATGGTGTAATGCAGATTCTCGATGTGACTTTGACCGACATGTATGAAAGCTTCTGGCCGGGATCTGCCTCTCGATCCCAATTATGTGACAATGATCACAAGGCCGAAGTTGTCCCGAGCGACGAGCAACATGAAGACGCAATAGCCCATCTTATACACCATTATACAGGTACAATCAATCTCAGCGAAACTCAGTTGTTCACTTGCGCCATTCAAGCCATGGCGACACTAGGCACTCGTCGGTTCGTGGAGGGCTATACAACAAAGGATGTGGCCTACGCTTCTATGGGGCTGTTGTCGTATAGAATCACGCCCTGTCCCTCAGACAATCCATTCCAAGCCATCGCAAGGTTGTCTCTCATAAATGACAGTAACAAGACACTTGAACGCTTAACCTGCCTGATGCCATATCCAATCACCCATGAGCAGAAGCGACTCACGGACCAAGAAGAAGAACTCAGGAATGAGGAGCAGCGTGAAGAGGCAGAGAATTCAAATTTCGCCGTTGCAGGAAGCGAGACTCTACTTCGCAAAATCGCAGACCGAGATCAATTCTCTGTTCACCTGTGGGATATTGAGCCAATGTGCAGTGTTGTCGGTATTGGCGACGATGACCTCGCACCAACAGTCATACTAGACAGATGTCGTGGTATTCCCATTCGGTGGAAGAACTTCCCCAGATTGAATTATGCAAAGGATCTCAGTAGTTTCCGCGCAACATTATCACAACAGCTTGTCTATTGTGGTGCGTGGTTCCTGTTGACTGGATTTGGTCTTTTCGCATCGGCAATGTCTCTCAAGTTCTCCATTCTAGCCGACTCTTCCTCCTCTTCACCCGTGAACGTAAGTCTCTACCTTCTAGGTGTCGCAATTTTTGTCGTCGTAGCCTGGATCATTTCATGGTTCAGTCCGTGGGCAGTGCGACAGCTTTGCAACGGCGGCACCTCGGGTACCTCGTGTCATCTTGTCGGGTTTGAGGGTACGATGTCGCTAAGAGATATCGAAATAAGCATATATGGAAACTTCAACCAGCGTCTTGATTACGCAGCCTCGTCAACCATCTTCTCCAAGAACTTGCGCCACCCCAAGACTCGAAGGGGCTTGGAGCCGGCCTCGTGGGAGGAAGAAGCCAAGCGTGTTGGCATTCCTCCCGGGCACCGCCTGTTCACTATCGTAGATACAGGAGACATGACCGTGTCAGTGATCGCTGCAGAGAGACCGCCTGTGGTGGCTTTGATCTGTGGTCGTGAAGGTGGCATGGTCCGCTCTGTGTTGTGCAGTTGGCGATTCGAACAGAACTGTCTCTATCGCGAAACTGTTATGCGGATGCGCAGCTCTGTCGAGGACTCGGCTACGCCAAATGACTGGCTGAAGATCAGTTTGGCGAGCCAGGGAGATGTAAGTCGGGCTCGATTGAGACAAATGCAACAAAAGAAGAACAAACTCGAAGATTGGGCTCATTCTTCACCTCCTCCCCCTCCACCACCTAAGGACCGAGTGCATATGGTACAGGAGTCGATAGTCAGCATACAGCAGCATGGTTCCGCTGAGATGTGAGCGACTCAAATACCTCATGAATACTTGAAATAGGCTGTGGGCGCTTTAATCCATGGTTCCAACCTTGCCGGTTAGGGCTAAATCATAAATTTGGCCTCATGTACTTTTAATTTTGTTTCTCTGAGATACCTGCTGATAAAATTTGAATACTATATACTTAATCACTGTGGTGCAACCTTGGAAGCAACCTCCAGCCATGGCCCACGTTTCAGGACGATATTCTCGACATCATATATACCGGTCACTAGGTAGTTAGGCATCTACGAATGAAGCATCAGGCTCTAGCATTTTTATGTCCATTTAATCATAACTAAACGCCGCCCATATAAGATGCGACTTCGCCAAACCGGGCCAACAGCCGGGGTATTCCTGACATGGTCTTGTGCAACAGACACTTTTCCAAAACTCTGCCAAATCTGCTTCTCGCAGTGGCTGCTTCCTCACCACGATTCCTCTATCTGAACAAAGCCAGATCGACTCCGATACGCCACTTTGCTTTTTTTCCCTGATCGGCTGTCTGAACGTCAGGAACGGCCACAGCGGGAGACAGGATGCGGAGAGAGGGGTTTTTTTTGTCTCCGATAAGTTCATGTCTCGCAGCAGAAAAAGGGCGCGAGAGCATAAAAGGAAGAAAAATAAAAGAGAAGAGAAAAAGAAATTGATAGAGACAAGCAATGGTTACGAACTTTATAATGTCCGAACAAGGAATCGACACAAACGAAACATCAACGGAGCAGACCAGCTCCAGGGAAATTGTCTTAGCATGCATTGACGCTTATAAGCCTCTATGCGCGGGCCTCCTCAGTAGGAGCCCGGTCCTGACGGGGTTGACGGCCTCCCTTGCCGCCGCGCTGACCACCACGCTGGTTGCCCTCACCACCGGCATTGGCAGACTCGCCGCCACCAAGGGTAAGTTGAGCAGTTGCTAGCCGGTTGGAAAGCTCCATCTGTGTGCGAACAGTGTTGGCCAAGTAAGAAACGACCAAGACATCCTGAATGTGGTTGTTGCTGCGAGTATGTTAGTAATCAGCACATTAAGAAATAGCATATATATAAGAACATACAAGTCACGCTCAATGTCAGCGGGCTCAACCTTGGGTGCCAGAGCAAGAGCGTTCAGCAAGAATTGACCCATGGCGGTGGAAGCAGGAGTCTCTTCATCGATAACAGACTCGACGTAACGGGACACACGGTCAATCATAGAAAGAACCTCCTCAATAGCACGCTCAAGAGCCTCAACATCGGAGATGGTGGAGGCAGAGCGATCTTCGGAATCCTTGGCGTTGGCAATGGCCTCGAGACCGCTCTTGTCAGCCTCACCGTATCGAAGCTCATATGGAACGGGAATGAAGGCAGCGCTGTCGGCGGCCCGCTCAGCGGTAACACCAACGGGGGCGGAAATGTAGGCGCGAGTTTCGAGGTCCTTGCCGGCCTCAGTCGAAACAGTCAGGTGAACGGCGGGGTGCGGCCATGTGCCATCACCTTGGCCGCTGTAGAAGTTCTGGATCAAAGCGGAAAAAGTGTTGAGCTCCGAGGCGGTGGCGTACCAGCCGACCAAGACCTCGCGCGGGTTGGCCTTCAGGTGCAATGCCAGCATCTGCTTGTGGTATTCCATGTCGACCTCAACCTGATCTTCGGCTTCAGAGTGACCCACGGCAAAGGCGGAGCGCACCTCAACCTCGCTTCCATCTTCCGATCGTGTTCCCAGCAAAGTTCCGATGACACGTTCCTGGTCTGCATTGCGGCGAAGAGAGTGGTCGAGAATAGAGAAGATAGCCTGATGACACTTAGCTTGTATTTCGGAGGGGAATCGGGATAACAACGTACCTGCGGCTGGATCACCACATTAAGAGGGGCGGTAGTAGGAGCGGTCCCCACGGAGACGGGGCCTAGGGGGCGGGCAAGATGCAGGAAGGAGTCTTCGGCCATGGTGGGATGTGAAGGTGGTTTAAAGGAGAGCAGGTGCGTTTCAATCAAACTTCAGGCTGGACTCCGGAGGTACAATTTTTCCTGAAGTGGAGATCTCTTTGTGTGGGAATTTTGAGAAGTGATAGTTGGACATAAAATACCTACTCTGACACCAAAGGCTTAGATAGGTTTAGCGCTGTATCATTATACAGGAAAGTATACAGCTTAGGGTGTTAAATTAATGTTTTCCTTAGTAATTCTCTTATATCTACCAAAAACTCCGGTGTCAAATGTTTCTTATTCTAAAAAGTATGAGAATAAGTTTCAGGAAGTTGTATATATACTACCACCATTTCTGCTACAATCTCCGCCATGATTCCTCAGACTCTAATTTATTGAGATCTCGCTTAGAATAGTCGAACCCAAATTTAGTGATAGAGTCTTTACTGCTCAGAACATTCAATTCAAGGCTGAATAATTCAGAATGATGAAGATAGATAGAGCATGCTGGATTAAGAAAATATTAATTCAACACCCTAAACAGTACATTGGTATATTAAATACCACGCTAACCCTATTTAAGCCTTTGATCTCGAATTTTCGCGCTAAGATAAGAGATAAGCCCGCCCCCAACCCAATTTGAAAAAAGTGAATTTTTGACGTATTTCTATACTTCACCAATTTCGACATGCCTCCTCCTACCGGCGGTCGGTCTTTTAGAGGAAGAGGTAGTGGTCGTGGTCGAGGTGCCGGTCGAGGTCGAGGTCGTGGTCGTGGCCGTGGTGGATCTGGACGAAATGGATTTTCTTCGTCACGATTACACGACATGGAGTAAGTCAGAGCTGGTTGCGATATAAAAGGTCTTATTGCTGAATTTTACGTAGGGAAGAATCATCTGGAGATGATGAGATCAGCTCACAGGCTAGCGAAGATATGGGCGACGACACAATGGTGGACGACGAAGCTTCCAGTAGCGACGAGGAAGAGCAACATACAGAGCGCCCATATAATGAATTACTTCAATTGCTTCATGCCGATTCGGACTCTAAAGGCCCCGCACCGAAGAGAAGAAAACTTGCCAACAACGCAAATACGAAGGATGTTCCTGTGGCTGCTGAGGAAAAAGAGTCTGAACATGGAGATGACCTAGAAGCTCAGGCTCCGTCTGACGACGAAGAAGATGTCCAAGAATTAGAGGATGACGATGAAACTACCGGTCCATTTGAGAAGCACTTCAATCCTCCGGAAGGACCAGATTTCACAAAGAGGGTTGAGCAATCTAGCTCCAACAAATGGAGCTTAGCAAAGAAGGAAGTGGATGGACTGCGACTGGTACAAAGTACTCCCGATGTGGGAGAAGCTGCATATTTGCTGCCACCCATGAAGAGCACTGCAAATCTCAAGGTACGCATTTTGTCACCTATCTGCCACTCAGGGCACAGCTAATTTATCCAATCGCTAGCTCAAAAACAAATTGAAGCCTCGTGTCGCAGAGCTCCTTCCCGACATCACTGGTCCTGCCCAACATATAGCCCCATATGTATTCGACTACCAAGACGTTCTATTCGGCTCACGAGATACTTCTCACGCAGAGACTATACGCGATATCATGGCCCTTCACACGGTTAATCATCTCATCAAGACCCGTGATCAGGTTCTGAAAAATAGCGCTCGTCTCGCAAAGGACCCTGATACAGATATCGATTGCCGCGATCAAGGATTCACACGCCCCAAAGTTCTTTACATCTTGCCGACTCGGCAAGCTTGTGTCCGGGTGGTCAATGCGATTACGCGATTTTATCAAGTCGAACAGCAGGAGAATAAAAAGCGCTTCATGGACACATTCTCGGCGCCAGAAGGCGAGGGATGGGAGAATAAGACCGAAGATGCGCGCGAACTTTTCGGTGGTAACAATGATGACATGTTTCGGTTGGGTCTCAAGTTCACCCGCAAAACTGTGAAGTATTTTGCGCAATTCTACAGCTCGGATGTCATCCTGGCCAGTCCTCTTGGACTGCGGACAATTATGGATCAATCCGAGTACGTTTCTGCGTGTCATTCCACTTGCGATTACATACTGATGCTGACTTTCTAACAGTGCAAAGAAGCGTGACCATGACTTCTTGTCGTCCATTGAGCTCGTTATTGTCGACCATGCCGACGCTCTTCTCATGCAGAACTGGGATCATATCTCATATATCTTCCAGCACCTCAACTTGCAGCCAAAAGAAGCTCACGGTTGTGACTTTAGTCGAGTGCGCAACTGGTACCTCGAAAACCAGGCCCCACACGTGCGCCAAACCGTCGTACTATCATCCTTCATCACGCCTGAGATCAACTCGTTGTACTCAACGCATATGCAAAATGCTTTCGGTCGAGTCAAAATCACGCCGACCTATGCGGGCGCTATCACCGAGCTGCCTCTTCCCGTATCTGTGAAGCAGACTTTCTCCCGTGTCGACAGCTTATCGCCTTCCAAGGACCCAGATGCGCGATTCAAGCACTTCACCACGACTATCTTGTCGACCCTCGTGAAAAACATCGAGGGACGCGGCAAGGGCGGTGCTGGAACGCTAATCTTCATTCCATCATACCTAGATTTTGTGCGCCTGCGCAATCACTTCGCCACTTCGGCGCAAACATCGAACATTTCATTCGGTGCGATCTCCGAATACACTGAGCCCCGTGATATGGCACGTGCTCGCAGTCATTTTATGTCTGGCCGCCACTCGGTGCTCCTCTACACAGAGCGTGCGCACCATTTCCGCCGGTATCAGATTCGTGGTGTGAAGCGTGTCGTCATGTATTCTCTTCCCGAGAATCCGATCTTTTATCAAGAGATTGTTGGATTCCTAGGCCTTGATCCTGCTGCTGTGGTAGAGGCTGCAGAGGGTGGTGTGCGTGCCCTGTTCTCCAAGTGGGATGCGCTCAAATTGGAACGTGTTGTGGGAACGCAGCGTGTGGGTAATATGTTGCGCGAAAAGGGAGGTGATACTTTTACATTTGTATAAAAGCGTTTAGTCGTTAAATGTATACCAGGCTTGCGAAAGGGTTCGTTTTTTGAGTAGGCTTTTAAATCTATATGACAGAATTTATGAAGACGTGCAATCTACGTGATCTTCCACAGGCCCAACCCAACACAAGAGCCTATTACCTAGGTACCCTGCAGAAGCTTGCAAAATAGAGTCCCATCTGAACGCCTTCACATTGAACAATTAAAACATTAGACCTTGTGATCCAAGTATAGCGGGGTCAGGTTAGCTCCACTATTCAAAGCCAATAGTTCTATACCGGTTTTGATTTTTCTCCTTCCACACAATCTTCATGACCTGACGTCTTATTTCCTTTGTCTTAAATATTTCTTTTCATTTCGGTTCTCATCTATGTGATTACATCACTGTATGTTACATGTCGTATAAACTACAAAAGAACAGAGGAAATGGCAGCATCAGACTCAACCGAGTCCCCACCTCGAATCGAACCTTGCTCCGATCACGGCGATCAGGACCAAAATCATACAGATGCAACTCTGTCTACTGAGCCATATCGCGATGATATATCGTCACAACCCAGTCTGGCCGAATATGAGCCGCGTCCTATTGACGAAAGCGAGGATGCTGCCGCCGCTGCTGAGCGACCCCGCCAAGCGTGGAAGGCTCGATTGCGCCTAATTTGGCTGCGCAACAAGGGCATGTTCCTCGTTTTGATGGCCCAGGTGTTTGCTGCATCTATGAATGTGATGACCCAGGTCCTGGAGATTCAAAGTGGCATGCATCCATTCCAAGTAAGCTATTGTCTGATTTGGATGTTGAGATGATCTATTTAACAAAAGTACTAGATTCTCTTCGCTCGTATGTCCATTACGGCCGTTGCTAGTTACCTCTACATCTGGTACGCGAAGATACCTGCCCCATTGGGTACGAGGCCAATTCTGCCATTTCTAGTCCTGCGGGCTGTGTTGTGAGTGATCCCCTTTAGGAGAGCGTGACAGACTGGAGCTGGAGCATATGTGACTAACAGATGTAGCGGTTTCTTTGGCGTTTTTGGAATGTACTGGTCAGTACAGTACCTGCCCTTATCTGAAGCAACGGTCATAACATTTTTGACCCCGATCGTCACATGCTACACATGCTCTTGGTTGATTCCCGGCGAGAGATTCTCACGACGTCAACAACTAGCAGCAGTTGTATCGCTTATAGGAGTCGTGCTCATTGCTCGACCGTTCTCAGTATCTGGCCAAAATGCTGCCATGACGGTTCTTGGGGGTCCTAGCGAAGTGGACTCGTACCACCACATACTTGCAACGATTGTATCGTTCCTGGGTATGTTAGGTGGCGCTGGAGCATATACTATGATTCGCTTGATAGGCAAGCGAGCACATGCCCTGGTGAGCGTTACTTATTTTTCCAGCATAACGACTATAATATCAGCCATAGCTTTGGCTGCTCTGCCCAGCGTGCCATTTCGCTTCCCCAAAACTCCGCTTGAGTGGGCGCTCCTGGCGGGACTGGGCACATGTGGATTCTTATGCCAATTTCTCTTGACAGCTGGGTTATCATATGTGCCACCGGCTTCTGCAAATGTTGGCCAGGGAGGCCAAGGCTCGCGCGCAACATCTATGGTGTACACGCAGGTGCTGTTCGCCTTGTTCTTTGATAAAGTTATCTGGGGTAGTACTTTGGCGCCTATAAGCTGGCTAGGGTCGGTGGTTATTCTTGCTTGTGCCATCTATGTGGCGACGATGCAGGAATCGAACAAGCCCAACCCACCCAAGGTTATTGGTGATGCCGATCGATTCAAGGATGTGGATGAGGAGGCAGTGATTGCACAAGAATAATCCTTGTTTCGTGCATATGAAGTGCATAGACTCTTTTCCGGAGCACTCTACTCCTATATATCTCAATCACATCTATTATCGATCGACGTCATCCCGAGTTCGCCCGTTATTCGTATATAATTATCGAGATCCCCGCATATGCATTCATCTCGAACTGCTCCGTCAGATCTTAGCACCCCTTTAATTTAGATCTAGATCTATGTCAATAAAGAACCTTTGAAAACAATCTACCATGCGACATTTCGATGCCTGGATCGTGAGAGATCCATATTCAATCTGGAATTACTACACAACCGGCCGTCGATGGCCAGACACAGTCCGCTCGCTTATTGCTGAGCGCAAGATATGCTCACCAACTCCAGGCACCAACCCTGTTAATTTCTATGCCACCTCCATAGACTCCCAAGAGAGCTGTAGCCTCCTCTCCCGCCTTCCACCCGAAATCCGACGAATAATCTGGGCCTACGTATTCGGCGCCGACGCAATCCATCTCGTCCAAGTCAAGAACAAGATCCGCCACGTCCGCTGCAAAGACACCGACCCATCTATAACACAGCACCGCCACTGTTGCCCACTGACTCCAGCCCGCTGGCGTATCTACGATGGCCGTATCCCAGGCCACTCAGACAGATTAATCTACCCCCACACACACGAACACCTGCCCGACAATCTCAGCAACGGCAACGCCGCCCTCCTCCGTACCTGCTGGACCATATACACCGAAAGCGCAGACCTCCTCTACCACAACTCCGTTTTCGACGTTGATGATCTCTACACCTTCATCGCATTTACGAAAATTATCGGCTCGCGACACCGCGCCTCGATCCGGCGCCTGACCGTACAATGGATGCCTGTCTGGCAACCACTAACAGGCCAAGACCACAAGGGCTCCATATACGCACACACGCACAGCGACGCACTGTGGAAGTCCTTCTGGGCGTGCGTGGCATCGCTGCCAGCTCTGCAGGAACTCAAGCTGAGTCTTGATCTAGGCCGCTTCACTCTGATTTCGGACTCTGGGGGTGGGGCCGTCGTTGCGGGGCAGCGACTGCCGCTTCTTCTTGCGGAGCCGTGGCTTTTGCCTCTATTGAATGTGCGGGGGTTGCACCACTTTGACTTGGCTGTTACGGCGAGGTGTGATGAGGCTGCAAAGGGCGTCATTCAGGATAAAATGGTTAGAGATGCCGGTGTTTTGAGGGGTCAATTACGTGCGGTGATTTGTTCGCCGAGGGAGGTGCCGCTGGCGGAGGTCCTGGATTTCAGCTTTGATCCCTGTACTTCGGAGGCTTTTACCGAGAATGTTGCTGTGAGAAGAGCGCCTTTGGCTATTGCGATGGCTTGATTTTCGGCATCCATGGATGTCTTCAGTTCCAAGGCTGGTGATCCAAGTTCTAAAGTTGCGGTAAGTGTCATTATATATTTATAAGGCTCACTTGGTCAATATTTGCATTAAGTCCCGAATCTAGGAGAGGAATAACTTCAACTACCTAGGTAGTGTTTAGGTAGAACAGCATTTTCGATATCACATGTCTGATTCCTAGATTGACGCGAGAATGTGTGGATGAGATTCCATAACGAATTGAAGTCGGTACGGTATATCCATGGATGGTCTCGGGACTGGAAGATCGGAACGAGTACCTATCTGGGTAGGTAGTAGCTGCCATAGCTGAACATGGCTTGTGTGGTACAGAATATCTAGGTACCGAGGTCTTTTCAGGGTATAAGGTTATTTCGCTTATCAGATTCACTCATCTTTACCCCGGAATGTCGAAATCGTTTCTGCTCTGAATCCAAAAAATAGACCAAACTACAAACCGAAAATAGTCTAGACATGTAGAAATTAGGCTCAACGAACATCCATGTCCTTTTTGCAAAAACAAAACCCATCTTTAGTATCCAAATTCCCCATTTTATACGAGTCGAGTCGAAGCAGTTTAGAAATCGTCTCAATCATCGCGGTAACAACACCAACATCATCATCAGAAAAAAAACATAACAGAGCCCGAATGGAGAAAGAGGGAGATTGATCGCGGAGTAATTAGGAGAGAGGACGAGAAAACGTCACGGCAGTTAACATAGGAAATTGCCTGCAATTTAGGGAGAATTGTTGTATAAGACATGAACCGAATGCAAATGAAGAAGGCATAAGAAGCAAAATGCGATGTCGTATGCAATGGAATTTCATAGGTCCAATCTAATGAGAGGTTGGCATATCCTCGTCGTCTCCATTGGTCTGTTCTGAAGATTCGGGATCTTCGTCAGTGGGAGAATGAGGTTGGCTTGGGAAGTCAAGCAGTGATTGACGACTACGCATCATCTGAAAGCGAGTTAGGTTAGCTGGGGAATCATTCAAAGATACCTCTAGAATGTGGGGGGATGTCTACCCATGCTCGGACACCTCCAATAAGTCCTAGGCTATAACCAGTAGCGAAGTCCTCATTTCGACCGCCACCAATTGGGCTCTCAGGTCGGTTCAGAGCCTCTAACCGCGATACATGTGACTTGGTAGTGCCTGTCGGGCTCGTCAAACCGCGAGCGGTTGTGTAGTCCACGCTGTTGCGGTTACTAGGCGCCGGGCTGCCAGGCCGGCTGTTTTGCCAGATCTGTCGTAGCTCACGGCCCAGCTCCTGGCCGGTCATTGTCCAATTGCTACGGATATTGTCACGCAGTTCCACCACATGTCGCTTGATTTCCAGTTCGTTTTTCTTCAACCACGACACGTTAAGTTCTTGGCGGGAGGCGCCACGCTTGAACTGGCGAGAGATGTACTGGTCATAGTCACGGACGATACTGTAGAGATAAGACGATCAGTGGAAGCACAACTAAGATATAGCGTGGGGCCTACCGAGTGATTATTCCAGTGGTGCTGACTCCTTCCGTCCGCTGGGTAACCAGGAATTTGCCCTGCGCTTTAATAGGCTCATAAATATCATCACCCTCCTCTGCTTCATAAGGCAAGTCATCGTGGGCGACGTAGTCGATTTCATGTTCCGCTAAGAATTCTGGTGTGACGACCCAGGGACAGTTGGGAATGACCTCATCAACCCACTTACAATGGCGAAGGGTCTCAGCTCGCTCAGAACCACTCAGCACAGTGAGCCCCTTGCGCATGTGTGTTTCTTCATCGCCGGTAACACCAACAATGAGATAGGTTTCCGGGAAGGCGTTCTTGGCCTGCTCGAGCTGTCTCATGTGACTTAGGTGGCATCAGCATACATTTCTTTCACTTCCACAGCGATTGTATACATACCCAAGATGGAACAAATCAAACACACCATCCGCATACACGCGTACTGGCCGGCCAACCGGTGGTGGATTCGTACGATAGCCGACAGGGTCTGTGATACCGCGCTGCGGGGGTGGCATGGAACTCTGGTTACTCGGCAGCTTAATATGTAGACCTGGTCGACTTCTAGGCTGATTCTCAATGTCACTGCTTGCCACAGTTGTCTCGGACGGTTCACCAGGATCTTCTTTGTGCATCAAGGTCTCGTCCGATCCGTTGGGTTTCACGGTGGAGCCAGAATGGCTTGCATCACCGGAGGTCTTGCGGGCTCGTTTGGACGGCGGTACTGCATCTGCTTTTTTGTGTTTTGAAGCAGTCTTATTGGCTGGTTCTGTTGAGTCTTCACCACCTTCTTCACCAGACGCGTCGCGTGAAGAGGGTTGGAGCTCTCCAGTTTGTTGGGGCACTGGCAGGTTGGAGGAGCTACGCTTGCGCTTGCCGGGAGGGGATGAAGGAGAGGACATGGCGTAGAAAGGAAAGCCTGCTCTAGTAAGGATTAGATTAAAGATGAGGAAAGGAAGGAAAATTAAGTAGAAAGGATGATGAGAATCGAAACGATGGACCCGTAGCGGGTGGCCCGGTTAGGGGCGGGCCCGCGTGTAATTTTCATTTTAGACGCCGAGAGTGGGGGCTGCCGCTCCCGCACGTTGTACTTTGGTTGGATATCATCACTCTTTCTTCGACTACATATTACGATGAGACAAGGACCCTATATTTACCCTCATTCCATAATCATAACAGAGAGGGCTCATTATGTTTACCGTCTGCCGGAACGCCTGCTGAGAATTCTCATCTACCCATACCATATACGCCCAAAATAATAAAGCTCCATCTCTCCAATCTCTAATCTAACCTCTGAAGACGAGAGATCAGATGGATCGAGCATATGGAATATAAGAAACACACGCGGCGTAATACCTTAGAAAATGTGTAATCGTTCGTCAATATCGGGGCAGTTTCTGCCGTATCTCGTGTGATGTGGTTGTCACAAATAGAAAAAGAAAAGACAGACGTGTTCATGAAGGCCCAATGCACCCGGCGAGGGCCTCTTCTCATATTCATGATAGACCCTGGTATCCCAATTCCAACCCCATACTCTCTCTTATCTCCTTTGTATAATTCTGTTCTTTCTGAAGGTGATCCGTCCTGGCCGAGGACACAGAACGGACAAGAAGCAGAGCCCGAGCAAGACTCAAAAATAGTATAAAAGATGATGAAAAAAGCAACAAAAGGGTGGGGAACGCAGACGTGGATCGGTGAATTGGGAAAGGGGACGGCGAAGGTTGTTCGCAGCATAAACAAAAACAGGAAGGGGGAGAAAAAGATAAAGATGGGAAAACTAAAAGAAAATAAGGAAACAAATCCAGCAGGTCAGGACCTAAGAGGTCGTCGACTTCTCTTTATCATCAGTGGAGGCCGGAGACTCGGATATTTGCGCAGCCTCCTGCTTTCCCTGCTCCTGCTTTCCTTGTGGACCAGGAGTGGCCTCACGGCCTTGTCCGTGTGCAGGCTCAAATTCAAGTTGATGGGCTTCATTGTCAAACAATTCAGCCTCGTTTTGTTCAGGGATAAATTCGGTGCCATCTCCAAGAAGAATGATGCGACCGGAGCGCATGCCCAAGGCACGCGATCGCTGCATCTCGGAGTCGTTGAAATCTTGCGTGTCCTCAAATTGGTTCTGAATCCCGGGGCCGCGGAATTCGGCTATACGAGTAACTGGCCGTCAGCACGAAGTGATACTTCGTTCGGTTTGGTCGTTAGACTTGCCGTACTCGGGAGGGGCACAAGGTCCGTCTCCTTTCGCAACCCGCTCCGCGATCTTGTTGTACCAATCCTCCTTGCTCTGGCCGTTAAGCAGTGCAATGATAGTCATAGTCATATTATCGCATCCGACACCGCCAGTCTCGCTATTAGAAGCCAGACAGTTATCCATCATATTCTCGGAAATTCGGTACAGTTCCTGCTTGGCGGCAATTCCTCGGCGCACAAATTCAACTACGGCCTGAGAAGACTGGCAGTCCCAGATACCTATTTTCATCCAGTTAGCTTCCTTCATAAACATAGGTGTGTCAATTGACATACCGTCGCAAGCGATCACAAGGAACTCATCGTCCTCGGTTACATCATGTATGGTCACGTCGGGGTATGCAGTCACGATTTGTTGTTCGGGAGACAGCTCGGGGCTCTTCTTAAATTCAAAATCACCAATGGCACGGGACAAAGCCAGATTACCGTTTACACGGCCAAAGTCGACAAAGCCGCCTGCAGCGGTGATGCGAGCCTTCTCGCCTATTTAAGAGAGGTGATTAGTGGGTGGCAATTCGAAAGAGATCACAAGATTAATCAGATGCGCTCTCACCATCGTTTTGCGGCTTGTGGTCAAAGGACAGAGGCTTCGCATGGCCCTTAACACCAAGAACTGAACGGGAATCACCGGCGTTGGCCTACAACAATTTCAGTCAAATGCAAAACACCCCTATAATTTTCCATACTCACCACCCAGATCTTTTTCTTGGAGATAACTGCAGTTGAGGCGGTGCAGCCAGACACTTCCTCCTCATATTTTGGGTCTAGGTTCATGTGAAGAAATGGATTAGTCAGATGAAGAGATAGGGCAAGGAATATCCCAAACCTTCCAAGATTGCACGGTCGGTGGCCAAGAAGCCATCCTTCAAGGCCTGTTCAATGTCTCCCTTGGCATAACCATCCTGCTTGGACACAATCTTGTGCAAGTTTTCTCCTGTAAAAAGTGCGACCTTGTCTCCACCGTGACCGTCGTAAACTCCGAAGAAGGCTAGGCGATGTTCTGGGTCGGTTGATTTGTCCTCGGTACCGGTATATCTTGCCTGAAGGTCGAGGATGGCGGCGTGGGCATCTTCCATGCTTATACGCCAGCCCTGCATAGAGGAGATGCCATAATAGCAGTTCTCATCTCCACCTTCAGTGGAGACCTAGAATCGAAGGAAGAAGATATTAGTATTTGGCCACTCGAAAGTTTTGGAAACGCAATTCAGAGAGAAGGAAGATAAAATGAGTGTATATGATCGCATAAGCCCCCCAGTCAGTTTGGCCCCTCCTAGTCAGCAGACCCCGCATGACCCATATAGGAGACTCCTGAAACTGTCAAGAAGGAAAGTAGAGCACCACCGACGAAATTTGCCTTGCAACACCCGTCACAGAGATCATTAGGGAGAATAGATAGATCAGGGGCGGAGAGAATCGGCTTCAGAAGATGACCGGGATGAAGCCACATTAGGCAGTGTGGGGAGGGGCAGGATATAACAGCAAATTGGCGAAAATCGACTACGTACCTTTTCGACCACAGGTTCCGACAAAGTCTGACCCATATTGACACAAATTGAAGAATATGTGAATGGGTGTGGGGGTGAAATCGCAGAACAGATGAATGGGTGGGAGGGGAGAAAGGAAGTCAGGTGAGGGCGCAGGCCTTTCAGCGCGCGTTTCTGGGTCCCGCGATAAGTCGCCTGCCAAAGTGGGGAACAATGACGATCTAGGGCTTGTCCGGTACCTACGGTGTCAGGAGAAGTGAGAGAGAAAAAGATTTCGAGTATCAAATTCAGAGAGTGGAATTGGAGAATTGGATGTGAAAGGTGCTCAGCAGAGATTTCCTAGTAAAATTACAATCTACGGTATTCTATAGTCAGGTGACTCACCGGGTGGTGATGACATTACCTTGATTTCAATTAAATCTTCAGTTTAAGGGCTTAAGTCTTTGTTTTTGAAGTTATCAGGAATCATGATTAAATGAAGATGAGGGCTTTGAGCTGCTACTTGTATTTAGGCATCAATAGTGTAATGTTGTCACTGCCTTAGTGTCGAAGGATTGCCACGCAATGCACTCGGCTGTAGGTAGTATGGCCTACACCAAGGGAAAATTTTGCTAATGGGTATTTGAAGTCATTACCTACGTATTGTACTAAGATTCTAGCCTTTTCTGCTTGGTATTGGAAACTATCATAGAATAACTACTAAAAGTATGCCCAACAAGCAAACGTAGGGCATTACTATTACAAGTATAAGCGCACGTGCCAATATCTGCCTCGGAGATGTGGAGAAAATGCTTGAAATTTGACGACTATCAACATTACAAGTAGAAGCTTACAGAGATCATAAGCCAATGGATTCAGGATATCATGTTCGCCATGCTCAAGACTGCCAAATAGCAGATTCACAGAAATCAAAAACAGATTATAAGCACAATGATGGAAATTATGATAATTAAACGAATGCTAGCTCTCCACTGCTGACGATGGGTAGCCCCCGGGAGCTCATACCCCTCATGTTAAGTGGAGGTTGGCGAGGAGATATTTTGCCCTTCTGTAGGCTCGCTTTTCGGGACAAATGTTGTTCCAAGTCAGAGACCATCGAAGAGCTCTGTGGTACAGCCGACTCGCTCTCCCGCGGTTGGTGTTTAGGATGGTTTCCATGCCGGCTACTGCTTAGGCTATTTTCACTCCAAAATCGGGGTAGAGGTGAGATGACGCCCCGGTAGTCTTGCGCTAGGCTCAACTGGCTCTGGCCACCCTCCATTAGAGGAAATAACCCCGGCGGGGGCTGTATGGGCTGATATTGGGAGAAGCGATTCTCATCTCCATATTCGGAGACAGATAAGGCTGTAGAATAAGGTCGTTCTTGGATGGATTGACGAAATTCATCAGTGAAGGTGGACACAGAGACTGTGTCGGCACGACTGCGCTGGCTGAAATTGCGATTCAGAGCACGCAGACCAGAGGTTGTGCGGTGACTGGTTTGGGCAGAGAACAGGGGATTTGTCGAGTTTCGGTACTTCGCTCGAGCTTGGACGAAAGCTTCAAGTGAATCTGCCTCGGATATGGTCGATTCTTCTGGTTCTACGGTCCTCATCGTGACTCGCTTGGGATTTTCTGGAATGCTGGATGCCATGCTATGTCTCATGCGAGTAGATGGAGGGGGCCGAGGGTAAAAGGGTGTCATGTTATTCATGTTGATCTCATCGCTCATAAAAGAAGCCATAGTGCTCTGCCATGATGTGTGCACCATTCCGTGTCCAGGAGGACCAAATCCACCAGCACCATGACCGGCTCCGCTCAGTCTCACTGGAAGTCCAGAGGCAATTGTGGAGATCCCGCTAGAACGCCTCGAATATCGCTTTGATCGAGATGACTGGACAGACTCTCGCTTCATGGCTCGAGGCTGGATTGTCTTCAAGGGCTCGCGTCGAGAGCGGTTGCTGGTTCTGCGACGAAGACCTGGGCTGCCTGAGCATGAAGTGATCTTGTTTTGATTCTTGGCTGGAGAGATCCTGATAGGACTATTCTCTTGAGCGTTTGTATCTCTCAATGAGGTAAAGCCTGCTCGTGCGGGAGAACGGGGCGGCGGGACAGGCTCGGGAATCGCGCTCATCGAGTCTACCGGCTTCTCAAACGATGCCACGTTCCATGCGGGTCCAAGCTCTGCGGGTCCAAGTTCGAGCTTGGGGATATCTGATGCAGGCGATATAGGGCTCATCCATTCAACCGAGTTGTCATCTTGTGAAAGCCTTTCAGTTTCACTCATCTCACCGCTGGGAACATCTGGGCGCACAGGCCGTGGTGGAGGGAGCTTTGCCTGAAACTCTCCCTCCTCCTTTAGAGCTGTAGACTTTCTTCTGCGGCGCCAGCAACAGAAAATGATGCCAAGACTGATCATCACCACAACTGGAATCACCACTGATATCGCGATAACGCCAGCTTTCTTGTGGGAGGGGCTAGGATCGGAAAATGGATCCTTGGAGCTTGAATTCGTATCAGAGGGTTCTAAAACGTCCAATTCGAATTCCTGTGTGTCATCGATATCCCCTTGTTGTGCCTTCAATGGGATAGTGAACTTCTGCGGTTGCATGTCTGATGGAACGTGTCCAAAAAGCGTTTTATTACTCGGGTAATAAGCGAGCCATGAAGAAAGATCTTCGTCTAGATTGACGTCAAGTTGCACAGAATTATCAGTTACAACTGACTGGTTGAAAACAAAGGTGAAGTCTTCGCCAATGGTTGCTTCACATCCTTGTACGTTTTCAAGGAAGAGCTTCAGAAACTCCAAGCGCACCATAAGCTTTGCCTGGTCCAAGTAGCTGTCTACAACAGTAATGGTAATGTTTTGATTCACAGCATCTTTGGGGGGAGTTCCGCTCAAGGAAAGAGTGGAGTTATTAAGTGACAGCCAGTCTGGCAGCTGAGCGTCAATGTTCGTCAAGTCTGTACTCGAGATTGGTGAATCATCAAGAGATAAAAGACTTTGAAAATTTGGACTGCTGAATTTGTTCCCTCGCGTGAGATTGAAGAGTTGATCCGTCTCATTGAATGCAAGGATATGAGAGCCAATGACGAGTTGAAAAGTCATGCAGGCGGCGCTGTAGCCCGCTACATCAGAGGCCAAAAGCTGAAAAGTAAACGCTTGAGACTCAGAGCCTGGGAAGGCTGGGGTATAACCGGCGAATGTTAGGGATGAAGGGTCGAAGCTAATCCAAGATGGAAGCGGTGCATTATTAGGGGAAGTTCCATAGTAGATTGTAGAAGGATGAGTGTTATGAAAAGTGTCCGGGTCAAAGCTAATCGAAAATGGCCGACCAGGATGAATGAATAGTGTCGAGGGATAGGAAACGGGACCAAGGGCTGGTAGCTGTTGAATAAGAGGCATGCCTTCGCTTGGTCCTTGGTCTACTGTCACAATCAGAGTAACGTCCATACTGTCAGACTCGGATTCATCTGATGCCACAAGCTTGAATGTCTTAGCGCCACTGTCTTCTGAGTGTGGTGTACCTGATAGAGTGCGGCTACTGCTATCAACCGAGAGCCATGATGGCGCATCCGAAAGGGAATACTTCGTTTTCGAGTCAGTATTGGCGAATGTGCTATCGGCAAACACAAATTTGAATGGCTGAGCAACTCGAGCGACAGGAGGTAGTTGTGCGTTGATTGGATAACTGGCTGAAAGAGCTGCTGCGTTCACAACATCCATTAATATCAAGGTAATGATTAAAAAGAGCGCCATACTGGCTAAAGAGATGCGGGACAAGTCCCAGGGACTGTAGATAGTGAAGGACAATCACAGCTAGCACGACCAGAATGGATGAACAATCACAATCACAACTACAGAAGCCCCAGACGGCACAATAAGATAGTAACAAGAACAGATGGAAGAAGGAAAACACGAAGAAGAGTATGAAACGTTATGATCTCTAGAAATGACAATACTCCCTAGAACATGAGCCGAAGGGACTGATAGGGAGCCATTCAGGGCGGGCCCTTGGATCAAAGCCATACCTGGATATGCCCAACGTCACCGAAGTATGTAGCAGGACTCGTAGTGACAGCCGAGAATGAGGAGTGTGTTTGGGATCGGGCTCACGTTTCAAGGTTCGCGGGCGTCCTGCAAGGGATGTCGCATGCTCCTTTAGCAGCCAAGGAGTACAGGGCGTACCCAACCACGGCCATAATTTCCGACCCCTCTTCACTATTTCTAGAGAGCCTCATGAGGACAAAGAAAGATACTTGTAGTCAACAAAAGGAATGTCTTGTTATAATAGCAATATGTGGATTCATCTGGTATGTTCCAAATCCAGGACCATTTTGATACCAGTACGTCCAGGTGCGTAGTAGTCAGGGATTTCCTCCCGTTCTTCAAATCCCCTTCGATTATATAATGCCCGTGCAGGCTCCCTGTCCCTGTCCACCCATAATTGAATGTACTGGCATCCCTCCTTTTGCAGGCGCTCCTGAATGTAGGACATGAGCTGCTGCCCTATGCCCTGGCGGCGATAGGCCTCGAGCACACAGACTTTGTGTAAAAGCGCGACACCCTTCTGTCGTACATACACGGCATAAGCAACAAGCTGCGATTGGCCCCCCTCGGAGATCTGGGTTGTGTATAAAACCCGCGTGTTAGGCTTTTTCTCCACAACTCCTCTCCGAAGCCGAATGCCTCATTGGTGGGAAATGTCTTTTTCTCGACGCGTGATATATGGGCAAGAATTTCAATGGCTTCGTTTCTTTTCAAGGAATGAATGTCTGTGGTTAATGTGGGTGATGACATTCTTGATCTCGCCGTGGCTCATTCCACGATGTTACAGGTCGGATTGAGACTTAACAGGCCCGCCGTGGCCAGTAATTTGACGCAGTGACTTTATCGCATTTGAAATGCAGCCAGACTGTAGCAGCTTAGTTCAATTCAATAGCATCTACTACAGTTCTAGGCTGACAGGTGGTTTGAAAAACACCAAGAAGATGTAATACGGATATTTTATTCTGCGCGTGTAAACTGAGATAGATACTGTATTGAAACAGATATTAACCGGCAGAATAACTATTTCGGTGGGTATCAATGGAGGCGGTATGTAATCCAGTGACGAGTACGAGGAAGTTTTAAACAGTAGTATCAGCATCGGGGTATCGTATTAAGCTATGATAGTGGGCAACATGTGGTGTGATTCCTGAATAGTACTGCACTGTGCCTATTATTCTAATTTACCTAATAAAGGCCCAGGTGGTGACAGCTTCCGTTGACTGACGGATACGGGGCTATCTACGGGCTTTGAATCCCGAATGAGTAGGCAACGGACCTAGAGAATGGCTTCCGCTAAATCTGCTTCACTAAAAAAAATACATGAAAATATGACAATAAGTAGCTATGGACCTGTCTTCCAGAAATTGGAAAGCTACTTTGAGCTGAATAGCTTAGAAACCTATTACACTCATGAAAACAACATCGGTCGAGCTTGTTGTTGTACTTCTTGATCCTCAAACTAGGGAGAAAATTAGCTTCGTTCGTTTTGCTCATCTTCAGTAAAATTATAATGATACATACCTCGAGGAAATCAGTGGCGGTCACTAGAGCCACGAAAGACTTGACCAGTTCACAAAGAACTTCTTGATGGCTTGCAGCTGCGCCGCCACCAATCTTTGCAAAGCGCTTGAAAATTCCCACCATACATGGCCGGTTCTCAGTGATGAACGCACGCGTTGATGCCTTGATCTGCTCATTGTGAATGCCTCGCGAGAAGATTGCAGAAACGATCACACGAATAATGGATAGAAGCAGGTCGTAGTATTTTTGAAGAGAGTCGCGATTGTCAATGTCTGCGAAAGTTAGCAATCAAGTCGATCAAGAGGCGGGCAGGTAGACAAGGGAAACTTACCAATGCCGATATCAGGGTCAGTTGCGAACAATTGTGAATCTCGCACAGATTCAAAGAGACCGCATTTGAGAACGCAGATAGCGCCATTCTTGGTTTGACAAAGCTGCTGGAGCAAAGCCAACAGCGATTCGTAGAATGACAGCAGCATAGGCGTATCTAAGAAAAGGATGAGTAATTTGTTAAAGTGATAGGTATCGACATGGACCTACCAGCAGCTTGAGCATTTCGTAATTCAATGGGCAGGGATCGGATAGCATCGAGGAAAAGGTTCAAATAATTTGACTGTGAGATCAAATCTGCTAGAACACAGTCGGTTCGGTTGTCCAGGGCTGCCAAACAATTAAGTGCGAGAAGAGCAGCGCTACGACATGACTCTTGACCAGTGTAGGCATCATCGCAAATAATCTCAATGAGACCAACACCCGAGGACTTTACGACCTGTTGGCAATGGCGCCGCAGGCCCTCGTGGTTTTGGTCTGATGATGTGATGCGCGAGATGTAGTGAGAGCAAATGCCATAAAGAATTTCTCTCAGCTCCACGTCCGCTGAAGCTAACTTGACACCGCGCATTGCGACTTGGAAAAGTTGATGAAGTTTCTCGTCAATGATATCTCCACTTCGAGAATAAGAAAATGTAGAGACGTCAGAAGCAAGTTTGCCAACCAACGTTTCGGCGAGGCGTGCTAGCTCAACCGCTTCTGGAGATGGAGCCTCGATTGCAGCCTCCAGTTTGGGGAGAATCAGTTGAATAGCATGCAAGATAAAGGTCGGCCTACTTGCGTCATCAAGAGCAGAGCAGCTGGTGATTGTGATGACGAGTTCAGTCCAAGATCGGAGTGCCAGATAGCGGTTGTATTGGATGTGGCGAGACTGATTTGTTGCAAGAAGGAAAAGTTTCAATTTGTCTGCCTCAGCTTGGAAATGATCTTCCTCATGCGGTCGAGGTGCAAGAGAACCCAGAAGCCTTCTGCGTTCAATGCGAATCAATTCATCTACAGCGGCGATGTTGTAAACTACCGGCAAGCCCTCTTCTAGTCTAGCATAAATCTCGAAATCATCCCAATTGAAGAAAGATAGCTGAGGTGGATTGAAGTCCGACCCAACATCGAGGTCTGCGAAATCAAAAAGATCAAACACAGAAGGGCTTTTTGCGGACTCGCCATTTTCCAAAGTGGTGTTTCCAAGGAGAATCGCCAAGATCTGCGTTTGTAAAGTTGGCGAACCGGCCTTTGCTGCTGACCGAATCTCCGTCGCGGCATATGAAAGTAGATGACTTCGATAGAGCAGGAATTCAGCCAAGGCCGAGGTAGAATCGGTAAGCCAGAATTCCTCGGACAATATTGGGTGGCCGTTCCAGAGTGTATTTGGACCAACGATCGATTGTCCAGCAAACATGTTCATCAAAAAACCCTGGGAGCGCATTTCACCGAGAGTGAAATAGCTTGCAAGCTTTGAGGACCAGAGATGATTGAGCACTTCAAAAGCCATGCGCTTGAGATGCAAAGTCCACGAGATAATGCTTCCATCCAAGGCGTCAGGATAAGTCTGCATAAATTCGATGATTGTATGCAGCAAAGACATTTGGTTCGCAAATAATCCGTCAGAGGTCACGTCAAGAATGTTTCCCACTGAGCTGAAGCCAAGGAGGAGATGAGCAACGGTAGGGCGATCTGAAATCATCCCAAGACAGCTGGTCAAGAGAGCCAGAAGGCGCTCGCGAATGGTATAACCAGGTGCTTGAGAGCCCCATTCTAACTCACGAGGATCTGGCGCCATCTGTGAAACAAATGAACGGCCTACGCTCTCAATGTCAACCTCGGTCGCAAGGATCTCGACCATTTTGTTTGACGATTGCCACTTAGCAATTTCGAGCGATGACATCTTATTGAGCTTAGGGGAGCTGGTGAGCTTTTCCAACAAAGTCATAGAAGCCACGGTAAGATCCTGATGCCCTGTGCTGCAGTACAGACAAAGAGCAGGCACCAACATCAGATTATTAAGCAAGCTATCTTCAAAGCAGGAGAGTGATGAGTTAGCAACGTTGATCCTGTTTGCCCCAGAGTGGGCTTTGACCAGAGGTTTGACGATATTATTATATGTGGATTGAAGATCCAGGATCCGATTCATCACTTGAACATTGCGAAGGAGAGCAAGAACCAAGACAGAGTCGGATGGTGATCCACAGACCTCATCGACACTTTGCTGACTGGTTGCGAACAGAGCCCTTAAAACATCCTCGTTGAAAAGCCATTCCATAACACGAGCGAATGGGTGAAGGCGAAGGTAAGTGATGAGTGCAGATGTTGTCTCTGAGGATTCAGAGGCAGTGGAAGGTTGGCTAAGAACAGCAACAAGGTCTTCATTGAAGGTTGTCAAGACTGCCACGACAAAGTCCAAGCAATTGAAAGCTAGTAAGCGGGATTGGTAGTCGTTCACTTCCGGGAACTTGCGAGAGAATGCGTTTCCAAGGATGAAGTCGATATAAGGCTCGATCCCTGGCATACGGTAGGTAGCTCCCAGGGACTCCGGGAAGGAAAGAGGTAAAGGACCAGCCAAGTCAAAGGCAGGTACAACGAGAGAGTCGATCAGGACCACAAACGCATTAGTTTGATCAAAGCGCTCACCAATCTGCGCCAAAGCTTGTTGCACATTGAACAGGGATGTGTTAGAGCCGGGGTTAACATGGCCTTTAGCAGAACTATCGGGTTTAGCTGACAACCAGTGGTCAAGCTCGAGCCACATTATGCTGCCATTAGCGGATGTTTTATCGGTCATTAGCGATGAGAGGGCGGTAAAAGTGGTTGCTCTGAGGTGAGTTGGTATCGGACCTTTGCATAATTTCAAAAGGGTATTAATGACGGGGAAAGATTCAGTTTGCAACATCCAGTCTCGAATGACTCCACTCTGTTTGCACAGATGTCCCATTAGTCGTAGGTAGCAGGTAAGCATGACCGGACTTTCAGGTTCGCTCATGTCTACAGGTTGTGGCTTCTGAGTGCGCGTGATATCATGTTGAGTAGCACCACTGGAAGGCTTCTCGGTGACTCGCTTTGCGTAAAGCGCCAATTCAGCAAACATTTGGGTCCAATTCATAGTCGTCGATCGTTTCATCTTGGAGGACATAAACTTGTCTTCTTCCGATAAAAATCTGTGAGCTGCGCTTGCATTTTCTTCACCTTCTGAAATGGAGCAAAGCATTTCACAGAATGCACTGACTCGAGGAACAGTCTGACGCTTCGATGCCCACTGAAGGAATCCGTTAAGGTTGCCATCTGGGTCAGCCCAAAATTCCTGGGCAGCATCTTGTCGATGTTCGAATGCGAATGAGATGATCATAAGGAAAGATTCAAGGTGAGTTCGCGCCTCTACTAAGCCACGGTGGAGGTTGGATGTCAAGCCATCTCTCAGTGCGGTGATCTGGTCCAACCTCTGATTGTCCTCCTCTGACTTGAGCATTCGGACAGCATCCGGCATATTGGCAATTAAAGACTCCACAAACACCTCAAAGTTTTCCATCAGAAGTCCCTTCATACCCGAATTGCATGAGATGAGCTCTGGTAACGAGATGACGCTTTCTCTTAGAAGCAGCGCTACAAGCTCACTGCGAGCAGGATCGGCCCATTCCTCACTGTTGACACTGGAACAGATTGCTAACATGAAGTCGAGGGCCCCGTCGTCAAGGGAATTCATGAAAATCTTCGTGTTTGACTCAGCCTCCTTCTCCAGGTTAGCTCCCGAGATAGGTGACGGTGGAGTGTCATCGAAGTACCATCCGCTATAGACAGATAACCATAGAGCAATGACAGCAGCGTGAAAACTGGGCAGCTTCCACATCTGGCCATCTTTGGTCGTAATTATGGCAGAATTCAGACTTCGAGCGTCCTTACGGGAGCCAGACCCCTCTGGAGACCCGTGCTGAACAAAGGACGCAATTGTGACGGGCACGTAATTGATCAGCAGCCCATCAAAGCGTTCCAACTTTTTCAAATGACCGATTAGGATGCGGAGGTCTTCAGAGCTTGTGTATGGGCCTTTGAAGAGATAGAAGATGATTGCTCCCAGTGACTCGTGTTGTTTCTGCAGGCTGTTGCGCTGGTAATCAATGGCTTCCATAATGTCGCGGTCGTCTTCCTGGCCTACAATTGAAGCCTTTTGTACCTGATCACCAAGAAGTGACAGCCATTTCTCAATATCCCCCATGGAATCCATACATTTCCTCGCGTAGAGTGATGCATTCTGCATAGGGTTGTCCCTGATCTCCAAAATGTACGCCAAAGTATTCTGCATAACTTCCGGGGTTTTCACTTCTCGTTCAGTTTCGATGGACTCGCGAAATATAAGACGTAAACCGTCCAGAAGGAAATGGCGGCGCTCATGAAATCGCATAATCGCAGTGATCAGAGGCGATCTATCTATCATCTGCGAGTCTTCCTGGGCAGCAAGGAACATCACCGCTGCCTCCAGTTCGTCAACATTCAGAGCATCGGCTAGCTGCAGTGCACCCTGCTGGAAATCGTCGTTGATCGAGTATTCGACATCGCCAACGGTAATTTTACCTAGTGTGACAATCTCAAGTCAGTGAGATCCTTAAATGCAATGGAAAGAAGCGATTATGAATGTAAATTTACTTACCAGAAAGAACCTTATGGCGACTCGCACTACTCTTTCCAGGTTTGTCTAGGAGTTTTCGGAAGTCATGAATATGCGACTCCAATTCGAGGCATAAACGTTCGATGTTTGTAAGTGAGCCGGTGGAAATAGCAGAGAGGTCCTGGTAAAGGCCTCGCAGGCTTTGCAGGTTGTTCTGAAGCTCTGCCATGACGGCGCCGAGGTGGGGGGAAAGTTTGGAAAAGGAACCGTTGGAGCTTCAAGCTCTGTTGATCGTAAAAGGCGGAACGCGATCAAAATTCCGGGCGGTCATCAACGTTCTGCCACTTCCACATTCACCGACAACAACATTAGACAACAATCGAAAACGCTTTTCACTCTCTCACAAGTTTGGAAAGAATGAAATGATTTTGCTTTGACAATATTTCTCTTCAATGATCACTTTCATGAAACTTCAGAGGAATTGTCCATCAGGATGGGAGAGATTTTCCTTGACGAAGCACTAAAGCTTCTGTCGTCGGATAAGCAAAAGGAACGCGCTGATGGTCTGGCAGGTGTGTACTCTGGTATTTTTTTTACTGAATAGGGACTAATTGATTTCTCAGATCTAAAACATATTTTACAACAGAATAAACATAGCTCGAAGCTGTGAGTAATAAATTAATACAATGACCGAATCGAATATTAATTTCCTTTAGATTGGACCTCAACGACAAGGCCTGCTATAGAATTTTTGAATCACTATTCCAGTCCATCGCTGTGGAAAAATCAATTTACAACAAAGCAGCTTCAAAATCCAGTTCCAAGGGTCCCTCCGCCTCCGCCACACGGCTGTCTGCATATGCCTCCGTAATTCGTACAGCAGTCGATATCTTTCTACGGAATATCAGAAGCAAGTCGTTTCGTGCCATCGTTGAGCACATAACTGAAACCATACCGGCACCCGGAGAGGGATTGTGGGAGCTTCTGAGTGTAGACTATACCAAATGCTTGTCATCACTCCTAAGTTACCCACCCCACATCGAGCATCTCGCTGATGCGGCATGGGACGACTTAGTAGACTATTGTCTCGCGGCAATTGGTTTCCAATCGATTGTTGATGGTAGACTTAGTATCCGCAGTTCATATTGGTCGACACAGGATGATCTGGATGCAATTGACGGCCGCTCAACTCCTTCCAGAGTAGCCACAACCATCGCCACCACAGAAAAGCAAGCGGGCGATAGAAATGCAATCAGGGAAGTTTTAACTTGTCTTCAGCTTCTCATAACAAAATCGTGTGCCCCAACTCAGGCGGCGGCTGAGAAAATTTTGCAAGGCCTTGTTGACTTCGTCAAATCACCGTCAATGGCAGGAAATTTACACCAACTGGCGATTAGTAGCATCAATACAGTTGTTTCGAGAGTAATTTTTGATCAATCCGATCTGGCTCGCTCATCTCTGTTAGACTTGATCCCCACTATCCGGCGCTTATGGACTACTAAACTTCACAACCTGAAAGATGAATTACTTGCCACTTTGATGCTCTGCATAGTTGTTCTGGTTGATACATGTCGAACCAATGCTTCTGAATTATTGAACAGTTCTGTGGAGGGACTAGTAAACTTTCTCCTTTCTGACATTGTGAAGAGGTCCGAAAAGGAGCTGCTGCAAATTGACGACGCGATCTTTTATAAGTCGAGCTTTAATCAAAATCGCCTTCTATTTGGCCCGCGCCTCGGCAGCTCTCGATCAGAACAAAACTGGACGATTCTGTGGGCTATCTCCAGCCTGCTTAAGATGTCTGAACATGTCACTGGTACGCCCTCTGAACCATCCGACACTGAGTCCACAAATGAAGGTCACAACAAAAGACAACGTCTTAGCTCGGCAATCGAGGATGTTTTTCGAGACGCAGTTTCTGCCACAGGCACACGAAGGATCTGCGCGCTGCAACTTGTTCCTTTTCTAGAAAGTGAGATGAAAATCGAAAGGAAGAATTTATTAATCGAACGGCTAGTGCCTAGTATTGTTGACGATAATGGTTCGATTTCGTCGTGGACGATGATCGCATTGGCAAGGTCAGTCACCTCATGTATGCTATTCTCTTTTATAGCTAACTTTGTACCTCGCATAGCATCGCAAACGGTCCCGATGCTAGCCAGCCTAATCTCAAGGCTCACTGGTCCAAGGCAGCGGATCTGACATTTCGTTTCATCTCTTCTTCTTCAACATCTCGTGCCGCTTGTAAGCTCATGTGTACGATTTTAGATGCAGGCTTGCTGGAAGATTCAGTCATAGCAAAAAACGTCAGCTCGTTGTTGTCTTCTGCCAACTTGAATGGTCCTCCAACAATTTCGGATTCATCGCTGGATTTATGGGCGTCGATAGCACGCAAAAGCACACATATCAGCTCGGGTTCATCAAAGAGCTCTTCAAAACAAATTTGTGGTTGGTTGAGAGAAGTATGGACCATTGGTATGATTATCCCCCAAAGCACCATATCTCAAACCACCTTGAAAATAAAAGAAACTCACCGTGATGTGTCCAGGCGCTGTAACAAATCGAATTCAAACAGCACAGACTGCCATGTTTGCTCGCCCTTTAGACTTGCTCAATCTTTTTTTGGCATGTACCAACCGATCCTTCCAGCCACCAAGCTTTCAAGAAGTAGGCCCCACTGGACTAATCGCGAAGACCTGGTTCTTCTTTCACGAGAATCACAAGATTTTGGAGTATCTGTTTGATATTGGGACTTTGGTCAGTCATTTTGATCCCTGGCACCGAGAAAGGCCATGGAGCTTACAACCATTCACTCAACAAAATGACAATGATTCAGTGGTCCTGGACCTCTTGAAATCAAAGTCTGATATGTTCTTGCAGGTCTGTCAGGGAATGACTGCGGAAAGATCTCATCATGTCACTTCGGATATTTTGCAAATAATGGCTTCATTTTGCATTGTTTCTACTCTTTACGGAGCATCAATTCAAAATCTTACGCCAGAACTAGATCCAAGGATCAAGGATATAGAACACAACTGCCATGCTTTGTGGAAAGAAATTTGCGAGGTTTTAGCTGATCAACAGCCTGATTCGATGCAATCATTCCTTGAGCTGTTGCTTCCAATTCTTCCCGCGGAATTTCTTCCAAACACCAATTACGTGGCCTGGAGGTGCCTCTCCCCACTCATGCACTCACTCGCCAAGATACTGGAGAAAAGTCGGCAAGGCGATTCATCCAAATCTGGAGATCTCATGGATTTGGACTTGGACAATCAATTTCTATCGCCAGGAAGCCAGTCTTTCAATGAGAACACTATTCTTACCTTGAACCGAGAATCTTTACGTCTTGTCCCTGACGCTACCACTTTTCAAATTGCCATGACTATTCGAATTTCTGTGCTTCTGCTGATGCTACCTCTTGATGAAACAGACAAGCCACTTTATCCTCCAACCCTCGTCGAGTACCTGACTAGCTTGAAGGAAGCTGAACTTTTATCCGCGCATTACATTTTACAGAGAATTTTTCGTGCGCTTTCATCCATGGAGCAAAGTGACAAACTCGACATCCTTGAGGGCCTGGGAGAGAAATGTCTCCAATCATATGAGATGAAACGTTGTGAAACATCACACTGCCTTTGTATAAGTATGATAACCAGCTTTGCAACATCTTTGATATCCACCGAAAATGATTCCTTGGAAGAATCAGTCATAGATCTGTATCGCTGGTTTATGGAGGCTCTTGTGGCTCGTAAAGCTGCTTCAACTAGAGTCTACATCGCATTGTCAGGATTATTCCAGACAGTAATGCACAAGGAATGGTGGCAGGCCATCGACAATATGCCTTCGCCGCGTACGAGTCTTTTTAAAATTCTCCAAGAGGGAGACTTTCAAGTGAAATTTCATATCGCAAATATCATTCCCACCCTTCTCAAAAGCTCTGTCCACGATGAAGGCCTCTATGATGAAATTCGAACAAGCCTTCCTAAAGATCCAGATTGGATCGAAGGGATTGCACTTCGCCTTTTTGTTCTTGCTAGATTAGCCTTGATTTGGCCAAATATGCTGCGCAGAAGTACCTACCACATGTTTGAGACGCCAACCTTGATACCACACTCTCTTGGCTATGCCAAGAAATGTATGGCATTTGTCTCGAAGACCCTTGGCTTCAAAAATGAAAAAGAGTTGTTTCAACTTTTCGCGTCTCAAATAATCTATACTTGGACAGAAAACCAGTCCATAAACTCGATGTCTTTCGGGACCTTTGGATATCAGTCTCTCAAAGAAATGCTTATTGACGTGAAAGATGAAGTCGTCGGGCAGATGGTGATGCGTGGTAGGGAATCTGACGTTCAAGAGCTCTCAACTCTCCTCGGAGTACCTTATCTCAGCCTCGTAGAGGAATCTTTTCACAAAGCCGAGGCATATTGCATCGCCCAAGACATTAGTACACCACCGTCACCCAACAATTTTCCCAGAGGAGTAGAAATCCCACTGAAAGAGTTGTTTGAAAGGGATATGTTTATGCTTTTGACTGCGGACCAATTCCCTCAAATCGTTGCCAATTTTTTCAAGTCACTTGATCAGATCGATCAGATCGATCGAGCATACTCGAAACGGCCAATCTTTCAATATGCAATTGATATTCAAACAGAAATCAACTTGAAGTCTGAGCCTTCGAACCTCGTTCCTTTACCCTCGAATCACCAACCATCATTTCGAGCTCGTTATCTCCTTGATGAGCTTGAGTTTATCTGCAATCGGCTAGGGTTTCAACTTGAGAATATTTGGACGCCTTCCCTGACCCTCTTCGTGTGTCGTTCATTGCTAGAGTCAATTCATCCTGCTCTGGGCTCACTTCATGCCTGCTTTGTTATCCGAAAAATCAAAATTCTCGTTTGCATTGCTGGCCCTACAATGCTTCGGAACTATCCCTTCGAGATGCTACTTCAATCACTGAGGCCATTTTTCACCGACCACTACTGCTGTGAAGACGTTGTGGGTCTATTCTGGTATCTCCTCGAAGCTGGTAAAGCTTACTTAGAAGATACCCCTAGGTTTATGACAGAGATCTTCGTGTCTGTTTTCTTGACTATTCGAGAACTCTTAGGGAATGAATCCAGTGAACCTCAATTTGTGAATGCACATCATAAGCTCACTGATTTTAACAACTGGCTGGGTAACTTCGTTGATGGTTGTTATTCATCTGAATGGGGTGACACAGTGGTCCAAAAGTCATCTTGCAAGTTGGTGCAACTTGCTCGAAGACCATCCAATCAAGATGCGAAACACTTGGTATTCGAAGTATTCAAAGATCGCGAGTCAGGAAACCCTCTCCTCAGCACATCAATCGGGGATCTTGTTCTTTCCCTATTGTGCCTTGAGTTCCGTGCAACTGAGGGTGATAATCAATTCTCTGACACAGAGGTAGATTCTCCATTATATGTTGTTTCAATGTGGGAGATGCTTCACAAACTTGATACTGGACCAGAGTACCGCCTTTGGGCCGCTCGCGTTATCGGACGCTATTTTGCAGCTACTGGATCAGTTGACGAAACGCTGTTACGGGAACAAGCCCTTTCCCTATTTGAGGCACCGGTCCCCGGCCTCATACCAAATGGGATGACACGGTCTAAGGCAAGAATCCTGCAAGTACTTTCTCAAAAGTTGCCGATCCATGGCCACGTAGGTTTGATAGAACGTACTCTGCAGCTCATTATTATGAATCTCGCCAAACCAAAGAACTCTCGTTACTTAGAATGTGCGGATGTCATGACTGAATCAATGATGATAGCCCTTATCAGGGAACCAGGAGTCGCTTTTCGAAACCCAAACGCACCAAAACTGACGGAAAAGGATATACCGCATACCAAGGAGATCATTCCTTGTGTGCTAGGACTTTCTGTCGACGAATGGGCTCGAAGCTTTGGCTTCTATATATGCGATGTTATGCTTGCTCAAAACCCAGTCATCGCCCCCCTACGGAAAATCCTTGATGTGATTCCAGGTCTTGCTGTACAATTACTGCCTTATATGATCCACGAGGCTCTTGGTGGAGAAGGAACGATTGGATCTCTAAATACACCAGCACTTAAGCGCCTCAACGAGTACTGGTTTCAATCACGCGAAATAATCTCTAACAGTTTCATGCAGATTCTCTCCAATGTCCAAGATGAGACAATTCCTCATGCTCGCCTTGTGATTAGCTGCATTTTATACCTTCATAACCAGCCTCAGCCAGATGAAACTACCATAGTTGATCGTTATATGTGGCTAGACCTTGATTTTGGCGAGGCATCATCAGCTGCACATCGATGTGGCCTTGAGAAGACATCACTTTTGTTCCTCGAAATTCAAACATCGAGAGCCCTCTCAGGTGCTCGCCGTTCATCATCTGCCAAGGTTGAACTACCAGTTGAATTTTTGCATGATGTTTTTATGAATATTGATGATCCAGATCTATTCTACGGCATTCAACAGCGCTCATCATTGAAAACTGTGATGGAAAAGCTTGAGCACGAAAGCTCGGGTCTCAAGAATCTCCTCTTCCAAAGTGCCCAGTATGATAGCGAAATTCAGATGTCTGAGGACGCAAATCCTCTTGGTATCTTGCGTGCCTTAAATTCAACTAATTTACAGGGAATTGCCAATACAATGCTTTCGAGTGCTAGCAGCGCAAAAGGGAGTCCAGTTCCCTCCGATAGCATGCTTCAAGCTGCCATCAGCCTCCAGCAATGGGACGTCCCTGTGTCACCATCGGACCTCTCATCATCTGCAACGGTATATCGAGTGCTTCGGAGTCTCAATATATCGTCTTCCCTACCTGAAGTCTTCAATTGTGTTGATGAGTGTTTGCTTTCCACACTCAGTGGTTTAGTTGGAAGTGGCCAATCTGCAATCGAGCTAAGGAGCACGATGCGAACACTCGGGATCATTACTGAGATAAATGATGTTATTCAATCCAAATCATCACAAGAATTGAATGAGGCCTGGGGCAAAATCTCGACAAAAAGCAACTGGCTGAAAATCGAGAGGTAAAAATAACCCCCTTCTATTACTCTAAAAATGTGGATTTTTTCTGACCAAATTAGCTATCATGAGGTGGGAGAAATTTTGAGTTGTCATGAAGCGCTATTCTCCTCAATACGAAAGAATGACTTGCTGAAGGCGAGCCCAACTATGAGTCTTGAGCAATCGTTGCTTGAAGCGAAAGTCTTCCGTCGGTCATTGGAGGTTACCAGAAGCCACGGAGTCTCTCAGGCGTCATTGAAGTCTGCAATGAGTCTCTCCAAACTCGCTGGTCCTTGTGCTGAAATGGGAATGATCATTGATGGGGTTGCGAAATTTGATCTTGCGAACGTTCTTTGGGACCAAGGCGAGATGACTGCATCTATCAGCATGCTGCAGCAGCTCAAGGGCCAGAGTGGTCTCCAGACGCAAGCAATCCCGCTTAATCGGTCCGACCTACTCGTCACTTTGGTAAGATGACCTTCAATTTATCGTTCCGCAGCGGCGTCTGATCTATGGTTTATATAGGGTCACCACGTTGCCGAAGCACGACTGGAGAAACCAGAAACGATATTGCAAGATTATCTTTCTCCGGCAGTCAAAGAACTGAAAGGAGCATCACATGGAGAAACCGCCGGACGAGTCTATCACGAATTTGCGACTTTCTGCGACATGCAGCTTTCGAACCCTGATGGTTTAGAAGACTTCAAAAGAGTAGAGCAACTTCGAGATCGTAAAGAAAAAGAACTTACTGGTCTCGACGAAATGATGAAAAATGTCTCGGGTCGAGAGAGAGAGTCCATCCGAATGTTTCGCTCCAAGGCAAAGCAATGGTTTGATCTTGATGACCGCGAATATCAGCGTTTAATGCGAAGTCGGGAAGCCTTTTTGCAACAGTGCCTCGAGAATTATCTTCTTACCTTGCAAGAGAGCGATACCTACAACAACGACGCTCTGCGATTCTGTTCAATCTGGCTGGATAAATCAAACAACAAAACTGCAAATGCTGCGGTGTCCCAGCATCTGGGGACGGTTCCAAGCTATAAGTTTGCACCTCTCATGAATCAGCTGTCTTCACGCCTTCTTGACGATTCTGACGACTTTCAGCCGCTACTGCAAGAGTTGATTTTCAAAATCTGCCTTGAACATCCATTTCATGGCATGTATCAGCTCTTTGCCAGCAGTAAGTCCAAAGGAGGTAAAGATTCTTCCTCTCATTCACGTTTCCGGGCTGCAAATGAGCTTGTGGAACGCTTGAAAACCCACAGCGTCATAGGTCCCACCTGGGTTTCTTTCCATAACATGAACATCAGCTATGTTCGGTTTGCAATTGATAAGCCTGATAGCGACAAATACAAGACTGGCGCCAAGATTGCCTTGAGCAAGCTGGCAACAGGCCAGCGTCTTGTGGTTGATGTGGCGACTAACAGGCTGCCGCCGCCAACTATGAAGATTGAGCTTCGACCCGATCGGGACTATAGTAGAGTTCCTACTGTTGCTAGTTTCCAGCCTGAATTCACAATTGCCTCTGGTGTGAGCGCTCCCAAGATTGTGACTGCCATTGCCACTGATGGCGTGCGCTATAAGCAGCTAGTGAGTGGTAAATCCTTCCCGGTTCTTGAGACTCTGCTAAAACTGTTATTTAGTTTAAGGGAGGTAATGATGATCTGCGTCAAGATGCGATCATGGAGCAAGTATTCGAACAAGTCAGCAGTTTACTCAAAGATCATCAGCCCACCAGGCAGCGAAATCTGGGCATCAGAACGTACAAGGTTATACCATTGACACCCAGTGCCGGAATTATTGAGTTCGTTCCCAACACCATTCCACTGCACGAATACCTCTTGCCAGCGCACCAGCGGTACTTCCCCAAAGATATGAAGCCTAATTCTTGCCGAAAACACATTGCCGAGGTGCAGACCAGGAATTTCGAACAACGAGTACGAACTTACCGCCAAGTCACCGAGCATTTCAACCCTGTGATGAGGTACTTTTTTATGGAAAAGTTCAACAACCCAGATGACTGGTTCAGCAGGCGTTTGGCCTATACCAGAAGTACAGCTGCCATCTCGATTCTAGGGTACGTTCTGGGTCTTGGAGATCGGCATGGGCACAATATCCTGCTCGATAACAAGACAGGCGAAGTTGTCCACATTGATCTTGGTGTAGCTTTCGAACAAGGCCGCGTTCTTCCTGTTCCTGAGGTTGTTCCTTTTCGCTTGACCAGGGACTTGGTTGACGGGTTCGGTATCACCAAGACAGAAGGTGTCTTCCGACGCTGCTGTGAATTCACTCTTGAGGCTTTGCGGCAAGAGTCTTATAGTATCATGGCTATCCTTGACGTGCTTCGCTACGATCCCCTGTACAGCTGGAGTGTCTCTCCTCTTCGAATGAAGAAAATGCAAGACAACCAAGAACCAGACAATGGACCGGCTCTCCTTGCTGGGATAGATAAGTCCTCAAATAATGAGCCCAGTGAAGCAGATCGAGCCTTAACGGTAGTGACAAAGAAACTTAGTAAAACACTCAGTGTCACAGCCACAGTCAACGAGCTTATACAGCAGGCTACGGATGAGAAGAATCTCGCTCTTCTTTATTGTGGTATGTTTAAGCCTATTCGCAGTCTTTTTTCCAATTTTCATACTAATTCATCTAAGGCTGGGCGTCCTATGCTTAATGAACCTCATGATTGATGTTTTGAAGCTCATCTTCGTACCGTTATAGGGTAGCTTACATGGCCATAAAATTACTGCATAATATTTTCTTTTCAGAGTTTCATCCTCGCGATTGGTTTGAATCCTATCGAAGTCGTTGCTGTAAGATATGACATTCAATTTTTTCGAGTTTACTATGATATTTGGCACTGTTGTCTTATCCCGTCAGGCCCCGCGTAGGAGCCGGTAGCGCAGTGTCTAGTAGACACTCGGCATACCACTAGGTTCTACCCATTATAGATAATGTAAATAACTTAGGGAGGGAGGTCTTGGTTCTCCATATTAATGCCTCGGTATAACCTATCAAAATTTGGTAACAGGCTTCGGTAGGATAGTTCTGTCCTCCTGGACAATCAGCCGAATAGATAAAAGCGCTGAAGGTGAAAGTGGAAACCCCTAGATAATAACCATGTCACAACAAACCTCATTCAGAGACAAAAAGCGTGTCCAACTTCAAATGTTCGGCTTCGGCTTGGGCTTCGTTTTAAACAGAATAGGGATCAGTGAGCGCTTAGGTCCACTTATGTCATTGCGAGTAAAGGTCTTGCGACACACCGGGCAAGAACCACGATGTTTATTTTTATCAACTGGCGGGGTAGGGAGTCGTTCTAGGCATTGCATAATACAGCTGTGACAAAACAAGTGTCCTGAACGATGAACGATGGCGTCAGATGAATACACGACAAAAGGAGGGATTAATCAGACTTACCGCAAGTCGTGGCAGTAATATTCTCACAAATGTCCATGCATACTGGACATGTGTATGAGAACAGGGTAGAACGGCCCTGTTGCGCTTTAATAGCATCCTCTTGTTGCCTGGAAATAACCCTGTCAATCGCGTCCAGTTCCGTCAGATCCAAAGCGTCGACGGTATCATCAAGTGGAGAGACAGGTTGGTCTCTCTTGCGCTTGCTCGTCCCTGTCTGCGGGGTGCGAGATATTGGGGTAAATGTGGGGGTCACGGTAGTCGATGAGGCAGACCACTCAACAGCTGGAGGGATTGGAACGACGTTATTAGAGCTCTGACTCATGATTAATGTGGATTTAATGATTGGAAGAGGCGATTGAAAGCTTGATAGGATGGTGTTTGGAAATGTGCGGAGAACATGAAAATCAACCCAGTGGAAAAGGGAAGGATCAGGTATGATAACACGTGGAAGAGATAGCGATACCAAGGCGGCAATTTTTTGAGTCTGAAATGAATTGGAAGTAAGCGCGTGTGAGTAGAACACAAAAATCAAACTTGGAAACCAGTGGAGGAAGAAGGAAAGACAAAAAAGGTATGATGATTGTCTTGGGGCCCTGTTAGATAAGATAACGATAAATATAAGATGAGGATCAAGGCGGTGAATTCATAGGATATATACTTAATCCGGACACCGACATGACGCGAAGATAAGTCAGATAGGAAATCGATATGGAAATTGCATCAAAACTTCATCAGTTCCTTCAATCTACAAGCGCAGCCCCTCAAAGGCTGCATTTATCAATGCTATAATGACTTGATGTTGCATCCAGTTCTTCTTGGAAAATGACATCTAGGTATTTCTCCTGCGTTCCTTGTTGTCCGGGTGTTGTGAGATTTGCAAGTCGGCGACTACGTCCGACATGCATTCATGCCCATGCGCATTCGCAGACATGGAATTTACCACTGCGTGACTCTATACGCCAATACTCAACACCCATCAACGATGAGAATCACGCCAAAAGATCCCTCTTAGGTATATCATCCGTCGCGGCGCATCTATCTTAAATCGCACCAAGTGTACGTATACTGACGACATATTTGTAGTCCCTGCAACGCCAAGATTTAATGAGATTGGAGTTCAGCAATTGAGTGAATATGTTCATCCCCAAGTCTTTCCCGGAACAGGTCGAGTCCCAAACCCGAAACTCGTCGCCCTCGCAAAAGACCATTTGGCAAGACATGATCTCCTTGGAAAATCCCAGACCGGAGCGGTGCCTATCGCATTTGACCTTCCACCACTTCAAGGTCAGACACTAGACGAACATTTTCACAAGCTAGGAATGGATGCGTCGGAGCCCTACTTGTCATACGCCAAAGAATATGCATCCTTGAGCTGTCCGAATAAGCCGCGCAAATGGGTGAAGCGTAGTGGATGGACGAAGTACAACTCGGATGGGTCATCAGAAGCAGTGGATGCCCCAAATGAGTCTATGCTGACATTCGATACCGAGGTCATGTACAAGGATAATCCATTCGCGGTTATGGCTTGTGCTGTCAGTCCGACAGCGTGGTACGCCTGGATCTCCCCCTGGCTTCTGGGCGAATCGCAAGACAAAACTCATCTGGTGCCCCTTGGTGATCCTTTCAAGCCTCGTATTGTGATAGGCCATAATATTGGATATGATCGCGCAAGAGTTTTAGAAGAGTACGACATAAGCCAGTCCAGCAATTTCTTCATGGACACCATGTCCCTTCATGTCGCTGTTAATGGTATGTGCTCGCAGCAGAGACCGACCTGGATGCGACACAAAAAGAACAAAGATCTTCGAGACAGGATTGCAAATGAGCATAACTCTATGGAACTGGCTTCATTACTTGAGAATAATATGCTGAGGGAAGAGGAGGAAGAGCTGTGGGTTGGGCGAAGCTCGGTGAATTCATTGCGTGACGTTGCCAAATTTCACTGCGATGTCACCATCGATAAGGCACAGCGGGACTTCTTTGGAGAACTTGACCGGGAAACACTCCTGACAAAACTAGAAGAACTTCTTGACTATTGTGCCGCCGACGTTGCTATCACCCACCGGGTCTACAGAAAAGTTTTCCCCAACTTCCTTGAGACATGCCCACATCCTGTCAGTTTTGGTGCTCTTCGGCACTTGTCCGCGGTCATTCTTCCAGTCAACGAGACTTGGCAGGAGTATATCAAAAACGCGGAGGAAACCTATCACAAACGACTAGATGAAGTCCAACGCAAACTCATTGAATTGTGCGATGAAGCTTTGAGCATGAAAGATCAACCTGATGTTTACACGAACGATCCCTGGCTACGGCAGCTGGACTGGTCCGGCCAAGAGGTCAAAATGGTGAAGGGGAAGAAGAAGGGGGATCCCCCCGTCCAGCTGCACGCCAAAAGAAGCCGGGCATGCCCAAATGGTACAAGAATCTTTTCACCTCAAGCGCTGCCGATATCGGATTGACAGTTCGAACTCGGATTGCGCCAATTCTACTCAAGTTATGTTGGGAGGGTTACCCCCTTATCTGGTCCGACCTGCATGGGTGGACGTTCCAGGTTCCCCGCGACCAGTTGAAAAAGTATGACAATCAACCAGTTGTGCTTTGTGATATGGCCGAGGAAAAGAACTTGCAGCTCCGAGATGACCGAAAGAACATATATTTCAAAATCCCTCACAAAGATGGACCGCAGGCCAGATGCACGAGTCCTCTCGGAAAGGGCTACATGCAATACTTCGAGCGTGGTATTCTGTCCTCTCAATTTGCACTTGCCAAAGAAGCCTTGGAGATGAATGCCTCGTGCTCTTATTGGATTAGTGCTCGAGACCGAATCATGAACCAAATGGTCATATATACTGATCAAATGCAGAAGAAAGACGCATGCGATGAAAACTCAAAGCACCGATTGGGCTTCATTCTTCCGCAGATTATCCCCATGGGCACCATCACTCGCCGTGCCGTGGAGAATACATGGCTCACCGCAAGTAATGCCAAAGCAAACCGGGTTGGCTCTGAACTTAAAGCTATGATCAAAGCACCCCCAGGCTACGTTTTCGTTGGCGCCGACGTCGACTCCCAGGAGTTGTGGATTGCCAGTCTGGTAGGAGATTCACCCTTCCAGATCCACGGAGGAAATGCAATCGGATTCATGACACTGGAGGGTGCCAAGTCAGCAGGAACAGATTTGCATTCTCGAAGTGCACAAATCCTGGGCATTTCGCGTAACGACGCCAAAGTGTTTAACTATGGGCGTATCTACGGCGCTGGTGTTAAGTTTGCCGCCACGCTTCTCCGCCAATTCAATCCGACTTTGACTGAGAAGCAAACTCAGGAGACAGCAGCCAGCCTTTACAAAGAAACTAAGGGTACCCGAACCACGCGTCGTCTATTGAGCGAAACGCCTTTCTGGCGGGGAGGCACGGAATCATTCGTGTTCAACAAACTAGAAGAGTTTGCGGATCAAGAAAGACCTAGAACCCCTACCCTGGGCGCTGGTATTACTGAAGCCCTCATGCGCCGATTCATCAACAAGGGCAGCTTCATGACATCTCGCATCAATTGGGCCATCCAATCATCTGGAGTAGACTACCTCCACCTCCTGATTGTGGGAATGGATTACCTGATCCGCCGCTTCAACATTCAAGCCCGACTATCCATTACAGTCCACGATGAAATCCGATATTTAGTAAAGGAAGAAGACAAGTATCGCGCAGCTCTCGCATTACAAATTGCCAATGTGTGGACGCGAGCCATTTTTTCTCAACAAGCAGGCATCGACGACCTCCCGCAGTCTTGCGCATATTTCTCTGCAGTCGACGTTGATCATGTACTGCGCAAGGAAGTTGACATGGACTGTGTCACGCCTTCGCACCCTCACAAAATTCCCCATGGTGAGACTTTAGATATAGCCCAACTGCTGGCAAAAGACCAGCAAGCTTTCCTAGATCCTTCCATTGTTCCGGAATCCCCTCCAACGCCGGAGAAGTATGAGTACGTGCCGCGAGAATCGGTCATGTCTACCCTTCAAGCATCCAATGACTTGTCTTTTATCAGAGCACAAATCACAAAAGATGACAAAGAGCTTCGCGAGATTATCAAGGAGAAGAGCATGTCTACCAAACCTCCTATTTTCCGCGCCTCGTCAGCCAAATCCCACAAAACAACCGGATGGGCACCGGCAGAGTCCCAGCGCGCAGTGCTCATGGACATGGAATTGGGCCTGTATCCTGATTTCCGAATTCCCCCACCGCGGAATTCTTCCAGCAATATCTATCGTAATTCTTGGAAATCCCGACCCTCTGCCCGGGCATAAATCATCGTGGCTTTATGCTCTACCTTTTTCCTTTCCCCTCTTTTTTTTTTTTTTTTTGTTTTGTATGTATCACTTCTCTTTTCTCTCTAAACTACTAGGGGCAGGTGCATCTTTTATCGGATTGGTGAAGTGCATTGGGATGGCGTTGAGTGATCTGATGTGACAATATTGTAAATACATTTATAACTACGGAATTCAATCATCTATATAAGCTCAGACCAGCCTTGTTTAGGTCGGGCTTTTGCTCTATAGCTCTATAAAATTGCCTGCATATACCTACCTAGGTTGGTACATTTAGGTCTCTTTCCACATAGATGGGACACTGCAGCCGTCAGACACCTTCGAATACGAAACTTTGGGGGAAAAAATGTTTACTTACGCAACTTCAATCACTGCACTCCTCTTTTCAACCTCAATAACCCTTCTGGCCTCTTTAATGGCCGGGTCTAACTCACTTGGAGTCTTGACAGTAGCTCCCCAGGCGCCGCCGGCGGCAGTAGCAATGCCTGGGTAATCGGGAGAGGGTTCAAAAGAAAGGTTGAGATCTATTCGATCGTTAGATTAAAGTCGAGGAGGTGTGCAGGTCTGACTTACCCCTTCTGTTTGACTTTGACGATAATCCGTCTTTGTGAACAAGGAGAGTAGACACTTTTGGTGCGTTCCACCCTCCATTGTTCAATACGATCAGAAGGAAAGGAATGTCGTAACGTCTGGCAATCCAAAAGACACTTTCCATTTGGGAGAATAGGTAGACTCCATCACCGACACTGGAACTTCTATGTTAGAATATGACATGGGTGTTCCAAATTATGGATGTGAGACTCACATTGCACAGATGAATGAGTCTGGTTTGGCCAGCTTAACTCCGAGGGCTGCACCTCCTCCCCAACCTAGACCACCGGCTCCACTTGCAACTAGGCTGCCGGGCTAAAATATTATCAGTGCGTGCGCTTTCAGTGGCGAGCCGAGAGACATACCTTGGTTAGGCGCAAATGATGTATCAATGACCCTGCATTGGTAACGGCCTCGAGGACATAAGTTGTGTCCGTGGGGAGCTGTGATCGCAATCGGGAAGCTAAATATGGCACATTGGTGATATCATCTGAAGGAGTCTCTAGCTTCTCCAACGCCGATTTCCATTGGGTATATTCCGAATGAACATCCTGGAATTTGTCATGGTGTGAGCTCTCGCGTGGAATCTTTGAAATATCTTTTTCCGCCAAATGGCCCTTGTCCTCCAAGTATCCATTCAGTTGAGTCAATGCAAGCTCACAGCTGACTTTGAGTCGGCGAATTGCCTTGATTGAGAATACTAATTGATATTTTTTTTTAGCAGGATCGTCCATAGAGTATGGTATTCTGACTTACAAGGCATTTGCTGCTTCAGTGGGTCGACGTCGAGATGGAAGATCTTTGCATCTATAAGGTGGTATATCGTCAGCAAAAAGAGATCCAATAGGATGTAAAGGCAAAATTGTGAGAATATTACCCTTTCGAGGTTGTCCGGCAGTTGGAATCCAAGGCACATCACAGTCAAGGATGAGGATGACATCTGCCTCTGGGATTTCTTGATGTGTGGTGACAGTGACACCACGGTAGGCATGCAGATCACTGCTTATGCAAACATCCGATCCAACCATTTCAACGACGCGAATGGGCAATCTGATAGAGAGCTCTTCCAGCAGAGCAGGTGCTTTGTGATTGCGGCCCAGGTAGCTGGTAATTACGAGCGGTCGAGCGGCGCGGATGAGAGCATCAGCAATAAGGGCCACATCTATCGCGAGTCAGTGTATTAAACATCTAGGTATATCATAGGTTGGAGTCTAGTACCAGGCTGAGATAGTGCACTAGGCGTGATTGGACACAAATACTCTGGCTCAAGCCATTTCTTATCCACTTGCTGAAATTGTTTGTCAGGTCAGTAGCACATTTTAAGTGAAGTCAGCAGTGACTTACCTCCTCAATAACTTCTCTTGCGGCCATTAGATATGCTGGGCCCTTTGGATCAGATGTGGCAAATTGCAAAGCTCTGTTCACCATTTCTTTGATATTGCGCCCGCTCTTAATTTCGGCAGAGTATCTGCAGTACTGTCGCACGATAGCAGATTGATCGGGCACATCTTGCAACCAGTGAATGAATCTGTTGTAATCGTCAGCTCGTCATAGCATAAGAATTGCAGATCTTCATACTCGGTCCTTGAGCCCAGATGCTCTCCTCTTTGCGTGTAAGGGCTGAGACCAGCGAAGCATAGCACAGGCACTCTGCTAATGGACGCATTGTGAATTGACTGTCCCATGGCTAATGTACCGCAGTCTACATGGACGATAACACATTGCTAGCAAATAATTAGAAAAACGAAGACGTTGTTATTCGAAGGACAACGCACCGGTTGGCCCATGACTTGGGCAAAGCCGAGAGCTGCAGATAAAGCAACCAGCTCAGATGGACAAGTGATGATTTGGGGAAACTTGGCCAGTTTTTCTACTTTCTTGTCAGACAGTACATGAATTGGGTGTAAGGGACATAATGATACCTTTCTTTGCCTTGATCATAGCTTCCAACATGGCTGGATGGTCACTCCCTCTGTAGCCACATTAGACCCGGTTGGGATTGACCACTCGTCGATAAACTTACAAATTGACAAAGCAGTAGGTGATACCAGCCTCCGCTGAATACAGTATTAGCTATTGCCTTGAAATGGAAATTGAATTGCCGACATACCAAGCGCTTCAAAGAACGCCTCGGCGGCCGATGTGAAATTGCCATCCACGACGACATCTTCAGGTAGCTGCCGCTTTTCCGGAACATGCAACATTTGGTATGCCATTTTGAAGCTTTGGTCCTTTTTTTGTCTGTCCTATTCAAAACTTTGCATAAGCAGACGTTACAAAAATGAGGTTAGATACCCAGAATAAAGTACTAGCCAGTAAACGCGGGGGGTTGGAGCCCGCTCTTGCCCACTGTGGGGATTTCTGGCGCCTTGTTGGGCCAATAATGTCATGAACCGAGGCCTACAGAGTTCACCTCGGCAAAGATCGAAAGACTAGAGGCAAAAATAGTGATCGTTTAATGGTTCAGGAATCAGAATTGCCAGGTTCCCGTGCCGTCTATGGGTCATCTGATCATGTCAAGAGCCGAGCAAATGGATGACAAAGTCGATCAAAGTTAGGAATTAACATCACAGGGCTGACTAAAGTCCCGTGATTCCCGAGCTTATCAAGTCAACAGCCGAACGCTGTGGCGAACAAAGTGTGGCAACGATGCACGGGAAGTAGCGAAGCTTTAACTAGTTAAATCACCCATGATTCCCTTATCAAGTTACCAGGTCATATACAATTACTCTTCCACGAAAGACTGAGATCAATGTATAATATCATTACCGGTAAACCACCGGGACTAGAATAAGGGACGCAAGTCTAATTCAAGAAACTCCCAGACGGAAAAAAAAAACCCCAACAATTCAAGGCAACCAAACTCCGATGCCGAGTGCAGATGCATATAACGAGTGTAAAGAAATGAGGTCATGGGTATATGACCACGAGATCGAGATGAGAGAGATACAAAACACATTGGAACTCGACAGCGTACGGGTATTCAAGAACCAACAAATGAAATTGCTTTTTTTCAAAGCAGTAATAAAAGATGATAAGTGTTGCTAAAAGGGAAGTGCAATGAGAAGGGTGTTAAGAGTCACGAGTTGGTCTAGACCAGGTCGATCTATGCATGAGGCCGACCGATGCGGCTGCCCATGTAAGATCCCGTGGCAGATGCCAAGAAGCGTGCCACAAAACCACCATGAGAGTGGTTCTGGCTCTTGGCGTGGCTCTGGATCTTCATCTTCTTGCTCGGTTGGCGAAGGGGCTCGTAGAATTTGTCCACGCCACGTGTGACATAGTTCAATGCCACATATGGGCTTGCGCAGTTGCTGTTGCTGTGTTCCATGACCATCATATCGTCGGAGCAGGTGCTGATACTGCGTGGAGTACCATAGGAGCTGGGAGCCGCGCTCGAGGAGCGAGATGAGAGTGAGTTGAAGGTCTCTGCATGTGAGAGATCGGGGATATCCTGGACTGAGGGGGGTGAAATGGACCGGCCAGATCGGGGTGAGGTGCGGCGAGAATAGGGTGTGTATCGGTCACAGTCTTGTACAAGATGAGAGTAGGCTTGGTTCATTGTTGGGCATGAGACATGGCTGGGGAGTCGATAAACGTTCTCACCACGGACGGTGCCGCGAGCTTCAGGTCTTTGGCGACGGAGACGGCTTGCGAGAAGGTCGGCTGATGTGTGAAGATTGACTCGGAGCCATTCGCCGTGCATGCGCTGTTTGTGTTCCTCCTCGACTTTCTTTTCACGTTCCTTCATCTCCAGTCGGTGACGGATTGGGGTTAGGAAGGGGTGGAGGTGGATGAGGAGGTCTTTCTCAGTTACACGGAGATCCCAATCCAACAGGAAGAGCAGCTGGCGTTCCATCAGGTTGACTTCGGGAAGGGAGAATCCAAAGCCTTCATAATTCTTGACGGCAGTGTAGCGGGCCCAATGTTTGTTCTTGGGACTCGAGTCGTTTAGATTCTTGGCTGCCAGAATCAGGGATGCCAGGAAAATTCGATGAACTGTGCAGCGCATGCCCTTGGCAACTGGAGGTAGACGAGCCCGCAGCCGGCCAAGGTACACGAGGGAGCTCATAAGAGTGGGCACCTGGACCTGCGACCGGGCAACAAGAGATGTGATGAACTCCTGAAGAGTAGGTAGAGGAGGGAGAGAGTCTGCAACATCCATAGGGGGAGTGGATGGAGGAGTTGGTTGTCCATGGGGGCTGACTGTGTTGGTCACATTTGCCTCACATCTGATGACCTGTGATGCCTGCTTGGCGAGATATTCAATCATCTCCCGGGACACACGCTGCGTGACAAACTCATCGAGAGCTGCTCTATGCAATGATCGAGCCATTGTTTGAGGATGTGAGAATTGAAAAGACCTTGGAAGAGAAGTTCGACAAAGATGAAGGAAATAATATAGAATGTCTCAGGGTAGATCAGGGCGCCAAAGCAGATCAAAGGCCTTTGTTAAAGTGGGAAGTTGATGTTCACAAAGTCACAAACAGTACCCTAGATCCTGAACCAGCAGGATAAAGTAGTCAAGTAGTTTTAAAGTAGGAATGTGGCAGTAAGGATAGTTGGTGTTGTCGTGTCAACCCTTGTTATCGATAGCCCTAACTGGGGATTTCTCTTAAAATGAGACCTGCCGAAGCGGAGATTTTAAAATCCAGAGACAAAGCCCAGACTTAAGACTTGAGAACAATAGATTTGCAGATTGGTGTAATAATTGATGTATGTCTTTCAGAGAGTGAAATGAGAAGTCAAAGGGAGTGTGAAGTATTAAAATAATAAAGAGAGGATGTGAATGACGATGTTGAGCATGTGGATGAGTCCCGTGAAGAATGAAGTGGGAATTACTTGACTACATATAGCTCCGGTATGCAGTTTAAGCCCTAGAGGGAAAAGAGAGGAGGCTAGAGGGGCAAAATCCAATGAGATGCAAGGACATGACAATCCAGTCAGAAGTCAGAAGAGCACAGGGGGCGCGAAGGAGAACCTGCATAGTTGGATCTGAGATGACATTGACCCTAGGCGCGCGGATTATGAGTTAGACTAGTTCTATACTAAGTTCTATACTAGGTTACTTAGGCTCATTTAGTCTGAGATGGGAATTAGTAGATAGCAGATGTATACGGAGAAATACTACTCCCCCTTCTTCTTCCACTGTTATAGTGTAGTGAATTAATTAAGTCCAGCTTGGAACGTCAAGATCAGCCCCGCTGTGGAGATTGGCTCTCAGACTCCTACAACTTGATATGTCTAGATCTCTCGAAACTCTGCAATTCTGAAACTCCCGGCTGTCTCATGCACTCCACAGGAGTACTATAACCATGATCAGGTATCAAGATCACACGTCTAAGTATCTAGGTATCTGTGTCTAGGTATCTGTATCTAGGTGTGTCTAGGTATCCGTATCTAGGACCAGGACATACTCCTAACCTTGAAGTGACCAGTCCCTTCAGATCAGGGGGTCTCCTCTAGTTCCAAGCTCAGCTGAAAGAGCAGACCTGGCGTATTCACATACCAAATTCAACAATGTGGCACAGTTTCAATTTGCCGCCAACATGTTCGCCAACCTCCAATCAGCTTCAAATAATCTACTCCGACCGTGAAATATGAAAATCACAATTAAATCATACAATCATATTGATTATTCTTACTAATATTTACTAAGAGCTGAATTTCCCTTCATGCCACCCCTTGTACCTGTTCTGCTCCTTCTAAGGTGGGAGGGAAGTCGAGGGGGCTGGCCTGCTAACTAATGGGAATAGTCTGTTTACCTCGCATAAGCCCTGTCATTTTCTACTCCTTAGGTCTCTTGTCTATTACCCTTTTCTATTATAATCAATAATTGGAGGATCCGATGGGGAATTCGATATGTCCAAACGTGCGGGTCCCCGCCATTCTCCCCTTTCAGCCTTGGAGGGTTTTTCATGAATGTATGCAATAATATGCAATGTTCCGTTGGGTACAGACATCTGCAGTAACAAACTGTCGGGTACTGCCAAACACTACTGATAACGTAGGTACTTTTTTCCCGCTATGCTATTTCAGTCCCTGAGCATACCTAGTCATATAAGCGCCCTTTGGAATCCTCACATTACAGCGCTTATACTCTTGATGATTCAGTCTATTTACAACCTTCATTGCTAAATCTATTGATAGATCAAGGTTATTCTTAGATTCTTCTACGCGCTCACCTTGAAACATGATTTTCGCTGCCTAGAATCCACGTCGCCACGTCGCCACGTCGCCTGGACTGCAATGAGCAAAAGATAAAAAAAAACTTGGAAAAAGATCCACGAGATGTCGAGTACTCATTAGTTACTCTAACACGGGGCGTTTATGCTATGTGTTTCTCCAGCCCTGGAGATATTGGAAGCCTGTAATTGCCCTGGATAGGATAGATCCGTACTTTGTATAAAGTCACGCCCAGGTCATCGATGATCAACCTTTGAAATAAGCCTATGTTTCAGGCAACATGCCATTTTTATGTCACTAGCATCCAGTTCTCAGCGGTTCTTGACAACAAACTGAATCGATCGTTCAATTCTCCAGTTGGAAACGTATAAATGTCACGGCCCGTTCCAGGCCTTGATTTGTGTGGGTAGGTATGTCCTTCAACCTCCCACTTTGAGACTATATACAACTCCTCACAATCCCCACCTGATCGCGTCCAAATAGCCCCTCCAAGACTCTATTTACACAACACTGACCGAATATTCCGAAACAGTCAGCTTAGCAGTCCCAGTAAAAGGCTCAGTACCAGCCTGCACATCAATCAAGTACTTGCTGGAGCTCAAGCTTTCGTTTTCTTCCAAGTACTTGAAGAAATCAAGCAAGTCACCCGAAAAACTCGTGGTGGTGGACTCGGCGACAAAGCTATATACGGTAGTAGAGCCATTAGCACCCGAGTACAGCTTAAAAGTGACACCACCGATTGTGGTCGTGGCAATCGCTGATCCAGTGGAGGAGATCGGGCCTGCGCCGCCCAGAGCGGCCAGCCACACCATTATTTCATACTCATTGCTTCCACTGGCGCTAGAGGATAGGAACAAATCGTATGAGACGTCGGCGACGATGTCCTCGTTAGAAAAACTGTGGTCGCGTCAGCTATGATTTGATGGATGAGCCCGGAAATATGGATCAACTAACCTCCACTCCCAAACTGTGTTGATGCTACTGATTGCGCTCAGTTTCTTCGCCGTGAAGTCGAGAGCTACGTTGGCATAGCTCTTGACTTGGCTGGATTCTCCAGACCATGAGAACGACGTCCACCAGGAAATCGTCGTGCCAGATAGTGATTCAACCTCGGTGCACTGAGTACCGCTGGTGTCATAACTCAAGCCCCAGAGGTTGTTATAGACAATGTAACTACCGGTGGTCGTGGAGCCATACTGCTCGCAGAAATCGGCACGAGGGGTGAGAGACCTTGTGGGGATAGTGGAAGCATTTCCTAGGCCGGTGAGGGCGAGAGAAATGGCAAGAGTTGCAATGAAAGACTTCATTTTGGAAACGAATATAACTTAAGGTTCTGATGACAGATTTCACAACTTCCAAGTTCTGGAGATTATTTATACTATTCACCGGTAAATATCTGGACCTGATAGGATCCACCCCCGAGGCCTCTGAAGTGTTGCTAGTGACAAATGCTTGTTTCATATAGAGCATAACGCATCCCTGTCTCATATGCTCATCGGAAATCTACCCTACCTGGGTATAGTAGGTAAAATGATAGCCAGCGCTAGCCTCCCTATTAGACTAGAACCTATGTCCACGTTGCATCCCTTATGTTTGCTGGCGCTCATTTCGCCTCCTATTCCTCTAGCCGTTGGGGTTAGCAAAACAACTTTTGAGTTGAAGCTTGCAATTTCAGGAGTTTCTTCCGAGCAGGTGACGGCGTCGAATACCACTTCAATCAAGGCTAAGAAATTCATCGGATATTCATCGGAAATTTGATTCTTCAGCCGGATTCTTCAGTGGATTCTTCAATGGACCACTTCGACACAATGCATTGGACAACCTAGGTATAGCTCTTCATCGACCTCGATCTCGACCTCAACCCCGACATATGGACCGTCTATAGCTTCGAGCACCGATGATGTCGTCAACGATGTCGTAACCTAGGTCAGGTAATCATCGCCGCAGTAGTACTATGTACCTTTTAAGTGCGGGGTTATCAAACTTCCCTTTTTCTTTCTTTTTCATGCATCCATATGCATGGGTCTTCAATACTACAGTGAGGACCTCGGGAGAAATTCGAGGTTATTATTGCAGATCTATTTTCGGAATGAAAGCTATTGGCTATATATACAGTTATGCGTCGAAAGCCTGTTAACCCCACCTCCAAAATATACCTTTAATTCAGAAGTAACAACTCAACCAATTCAGTAGACGTGGGTTTATAAGTTACATACTTAGATATATAAATGGAGGAGAATAGAATTGAGCTCAACTAGGTACTTTGTATAGTCCATGTCCTTCCGTACAGCGGCTTATCTTCGGGCATGGACATAATTAAGCTATCAATTGTAGCTTTCGGGATAGCATCCTAAGCATTGAAAATGCACTCGGTTTTGCTCAACTCGAATAATTCAGATCAATCTTTGTAATTTGCACTGTGGAAAAAAATACCAGTATGATTCAATCGGGTTTATATCGCGTGAGTGTGCGGGCCATTTTTCAAGATGACGCCAACGCCTAAACTACCTTTTCGCAGCCTTCGATATATAAAAACTGGCAGTTCGTCGATGAAAAGCATCGTCATCCTCGTAGTGCAGAATACCTACGTAAGGTCCGTTTCGAGGACTTGAAGGTGGGTTAATTTTCGATATAGGATCTCTGACCACGAACTTGACGGGCCATTAATCCATATGGAAGCCCGGCTTTGGGATTGACTAGTTGCCTAGAATAAGCCTTCGATTGTGGTATCCAGGCCCTGACCTTGCTTGGGCTGAGCATTCGTCTGAAAGGATCCATTTATGCCAATTGACATCCTGACGCCATTTTTGGGCGAATCGAAGTCGTTATGCGAGAAGAGGGCGAGGGATATTATTATTCTGACGTCATTTAGGAAGACCCCTTAAAAGGATACGCGCCAAGACGTACTTTTGGACCCTTATTGAGTTATGTACCTGCCTTCCTTGATAGCTCTGGCTGGTAGAGAAGAGAGGTCACTTATGTGGAAACCCACGTAGGTATCTTGAGAAGCAGATAAGGCCGGGGTTATATACCTACATTGTCGTCTTGCTTCCACGGTTTGCCTACTCTCAAGTCTCAACCTTGGAATTCACTCCATGACATAGGACCAAGGTAAATAACTTCATACCAATCAGCCATACATATCCAGAATAGTTCGGGATGAAATGATCCGATATGGCGTGTCAAGTTTACATAACATCACAAGAGAAATTATTCCCAGCATTGTAAGGAAGCAGTATTTGAGAAGATTCAAGAATAAGCAAAGAATAGTATAAGACAAAAGAGATTAAATGAAGCAGGGTTAGAATATGTATAGGCAATAATTCGAAGATGTTTGTTGTGGGGTGAAGTGGGACTCCGATAAGCAATTAAGCTAGGGGTGGACCAACAGTTTAAAATCAGTCAACATTTTTAAATCCGCCTCTTCTAATTTTTCTTTTCTTCCCCAACTCCCGCCATGGCCAAATCCTCCTCCCAAAAGTCTTCGGGCTGCTGCTTCTTCTCTATCAAGAAGCTCAGCATCCTCGCTATCTTCCTAGCTATTTTCTCCGCCGTCTACAGCTACTACGACGCGCGCCTGGAACAGTTCTACATTTTCGACCCAGAACACCTGCACGATCTCTCACAACGCGCTATCCAGGCCCATGGCGAGGACACCCGCTCTATCGTCAACTTCATTGTTGCCGAGCTGGAGGAGAAGGTTGGCCCTAACCACCTGAGCACACAGGAAGAATGGGTCTTCAACAATGCCGGCGGTGCCATGGGTGCCATGTACATCATCCACGCCAGTAGGGGATCCCCTTTATCTAGACCTGTGGATTCAATTGACTGATTAACCATCCTGTAGGTATCACTGAGTATCTGATCATCTTTGGTAAGACCCAATTTCCAAAAAGCCCCTGGTCTAATATAAAGCTTTCTAACGACCACCCCCTACAGGTACCGCTATCGGCACCGAGGGTCACACTGGCCGCCACACCGCAGACGACTACTTCAACATCCTCTCCGGCACACAATTAGCCTACGTCCCTGGCTCTTTCGAGCCGGAGGTTTACCCCCCTGGCTCCGTCCACCACCTGCAGCGCGGCCAGGTCAAGCAGTACAAGATGGACTCGTCCTGCTTCGCACTTGAGTACGCCCGTGGCTGGATCCCTCCCATGCTGTTCTTCGGCTATGCCGATACCTTGTCCAGCACCCTGGACTTCCCTACACTGTGGGCTACCTCGCGCCTCACCGCTGTTGAGATGATCTCCAACTTGCTCAAGGGCAAGATCTGAGTGACTGAGATATGGATGATTTTATAGAGGGAATTGAGCGGTTAGATCGATATATACTGTGGTGTAATGTATGGCATTTGTGTGAGTAAATCTATAATCAACTACAATAGTTGAGTAATTGACACGTTGGATGTAAATGGCATAATTTCGAAAGAGTCGCTTCTAATGACGTCCACATGTTGTGGCTGATTTAAATTTATAAAGCCGGTGCTTCCCAAAACTCGCGTTTAATCTTCATGACGGCAGATTGCTTATGAGGGAAACTAACCTCACCCTCTTTATAGAAGCCCACATCTTGAAGATATCCAATGATTCTAAATAAAGGTAAAATTAGCAAGTATCCTGTAAAAAAAGAGAAAAAAGAAAGGAAGAGATATACTTCGCATTATCAACTCTCGGCTCCAAATAAACCGCCTCAGTCCTCATATCCGAGAGGAAGCAGTGATGCACCAAAGCTGAGAGCCAAATAGCAACTCGGTGCGGACCACGAAACTCTTGCTCACCAACAAGCAGGTGAATACCGCGGTCATAGTTATCCACGCGATCTAGAAGCCGGCCCAGCCGATCCTCTTTCACCCAGTAGATCTCAAAATATCCGAATGGCTTCCCATCCCAGCATCCGAACACAGGGAAGCTGTGTCGGCTGGTCAGATTACCCATGAGGAATTTCTCCTGCACAGACTGCGGACCACCTTCTCCCCACATAGCCTCGACGCGGGGGTCGTTCATCCAGCGATGCAGGATTTCCAGATCAGACGATGCGCCTTGGTACAGATGCTGCTCGATACCTGAGAATGACGAGTTAGCTGCTTGGATGGGCGTCGATGGGCGACTACCTTTCCCAGCTGCGGACTTGATCATGGGGAGGAAGGGTATCCGGAAGGCGATATACTGATCTACGCTGGGCACATGGCGGGTGTAGAAAATCTCGCCTTGATGGGGTGGTTTTGGCCGCAATGGATGGCGCACGTTGTTCGTAATTGTGTATTGTGTCGGAGTTGGTGGGTAGTATGTTGGCAGGTGACTTGCAGATGAGAAGGGACCACCAGACGTGAAAGAGCCCGCAGTTCCAGAGTGGAAAATTACCTGGGTGGGTGGTAGAGTTGGAGTCTGTGGCAGCCCATCACGTACCGGAGAATCAAGCTGCACTGGAGTAGACGGGGTCAAGCTTGGAGACGGTGGGCTACCGCGAGGAAGAAGGGTAAATAGGAAAAGACGCGGGTCAAGTTGCCAGAAGGCGCGGCGACTGACAAACAGATTTGTCCAGCTGCTCGAGTCTTGGGTTTCAATGGGCTGCAGGCCGACGGAAGAGTCCTCGCTTGCTATCAAACCCATACGTTCAAGCTTCTGTAGCAGATTTCGACCCTTGAAGATGCCCTCTCTTTTGATGTTCACCCGCCAGTCACCCTTCGGCCGGCCATCATGGGGCGTTGAGCTCGACGCTGCTGTCACTTGATGTAGATCTGGCTGAGGCTCATGAAAGTACCACCACAGCGTGGCCCAGAGCATCATAGCAATCTGGCGAGTGGGTGATATTGGAGGCCGGAAGTCACTGTCTGGTGGGCTGACTGTATACGAGATGTAGAGGCAATCGCCTGACAATGTCGGCGTAGTGAAGCGGGTAGTGCTTACGCTGTGAGGCTGTTCATGTTCATTTTCATGTTCATCCTGCGATGTACCTTGCTTCTCAAGCTCAGTACTTTCCTTTCCACTGTGTATCATGACTGTCCAGCCTGGTGGGAAAAGAGTGAGCTTGTGCGGGGTGACATCGCTTGATTTGAAGGTTATGCCACCGAAGACAGGCGATACTGTGAACTTGAGTCCATTTGGCAGGCTACAGGTGGTGTTTCGCATATTGAATATTCAGTAAATTCAACCTTGTCTGTAATTTCCAATGGATGATTTTCTTTCCCCAAGCGTCAAAGTTTTGCGAAGGTGGGCCTTGTCTGACTTGCCCCTCACTCTTGAGGTGGAAGTACCGAGCTTATCGGTAGATGTTTGAAGTGGGTTAAATGGACAATCGAACGCTATAAGCTGAGGCGAGAATATTCAGAGTGGTTAATTATAAAAGAGGAGGGAAGAATAGATAGGGGGTATTGTTGTTGCATGAAGTTCAGATGATGTCAGGCTTCATACTAGTTCACACTAGATTGAAGTTCAGCATTAAGCTATTTCAGCTATTTATATTTTCTGTAAAAAGAGTGAAAGCAATTATCTGATTGTCTTTGATCTCTATGGCCTTTCTAATTGATATCTTGACGCAAAGGCATTCCTCCTCCCAAGCAAATGCGGTAAAATGAGGCAAAAGTACAAGAGGGGTATACTACAAAATAGTTGATAAAATCAAAAGTCCTCCACTGTCGTTCCCAAATTGCGCACTCTAGCCAAGCTGATGAGGTCGCCGCCCGTGACCAAATCCATCAAGCCGAGTCCGACGCTCTTGTAAATGACGTTTCCGCGCTCCACCCAATCGTGTAGACTCTTGTCCTCATCTACGCCTTCGTCGGAGGAAAGCGAGGCATGGCGCACCATCAGCAGCTCACCAAGTTCAACAACTTGGTTCGGCTTGATGCCAGCCTGAATAACCTCGCCGGCCTCTTTCAGCGAGGCCTCGACACTGTCCACTACTACCACGCCACTGCGTCGAGTGTGTTTATGGTAGTGACGGTGCGGAGGTGTCACATTAACCTCGTCTCGGAAGATGTCGGGATGTACCTCGGTCATATGAGACTTGTAAGAACCGATGGCGCAGATCAACCGGCCCTTTTGACGACCTTCTCGAGAGGTAAGGTACTCTGCTGGGAACAGTGGAGTTGCAGATGGAGTGCAGCAGAAGATAACGTCGGCCTTTCGGACATGCGATTTCAGGATGCGATTGTACTCGCCAAAGTCGGTGCTCATTGCTGAGAATTTGACATCGCGGCGCCACTCTGTATTTTCTGGCATATAGATATCACGTAGGAGCTTCGCTGCTCGGTCGAAGGACCGGTTGACAATGTAGACACGATTTATGTCGTCGCCGCGCAGGGTCAAAGCTAACCGTATGTGCCAGAATGCCAGTTTTCCTGCGCCAAAAACCAAAAGGGTGCGCACCTTCTTGCGCTTGTTGAATAGCATCAGCGAGGCTAGTGCAGTACGGAAGGCTGTTAGCTCCTGAGCGCTAATCAGTCCAAAGGGTAGGCTGTCCGCATCTAGAAGTGTAACGCTGCCCCGCGGTGACATATCGCGTGTTCCCGCGCCAGGCCAGCAAGGTGTTGGAGGTGTCGGTGTCGGGCGATCGTTAGAGGTGATTGGCATCTGATTCACACAACCAGACATAAGAGTAGAGCTATCGACGCTGCTACTTATATTGCTTTCACTAGGTGTCATTGCTGGACTTTCTCCCTGGGAGGATCCCACGGACAAATCGCTCATCTCTGACGAAATAGATGCGACCGAACCCCGTGTAGACGGTCGCCGAATGGAAGACGAATCGGACTCTCTCTCAAAAGCACTGCGCTCCATAGCGCACCCGGCTTTACCCCCGTCCCGCAGGGAAATCATCTTAATGCCTAGAGTCTGGCCTGTGCTGGCAGGCATGAAGAGTGTTGTACAACCATCCTGGCGAGTAATTGCGGTTCGCTGTGGTTGATAAGTAGCCGAACAACCTTCCTCTTGGGAACCGGTTGAGTATTCTCGAAGTGCTCGGGCGAGGTTTCGTTGGAGCTCGACTATCTCGTCGTGAGAGAGGGAGTATAGCAGCTTTCGAAGTTGTTCTGAGGATAGGATGGTGAGAGGCATAGCGGATCCTAGTCAACGTGCGTTGTAAAGGGTAGTATGTGGGGGAAGATAGATGATAAGAACATGTATTGGAGCCTAGGACATACCATGTTATCTTCAGTCCGCCACGCCAAGAGAAATGAAACTTACCTACACGGACTCAACTTGTTTCTGTGTGAGTAATTCTAGTGATTTGTGGAAATGTCTTCAATTTAAGACTTTGTAGAGTCTGGATTCGTATGGACTTTGTTGATGACGTATGAGAGGTAGTATTGAGAATATCAATCTCTGTCTTCATTAAGCAGCAAAAAATATTAATTAACGAAGATGAAAGATGAAACGATGAAACGATGAATATAAAAGAGCATGAACATGAATATATCTCTGCTTTCATGCCGCATCCAGAGTCCCCAATGCGGTAAATTGTGTACAATAACGCCGATTTCGGACGCCAAGCCTTGATCTATGAGGTTCATAGATTTTACTATTTTTGAATCACCCCTTACAGAATACCAGGATACAGATAATGGCTGAAGCTAATACAAAAACTCCGAGGCCCTAATGTCCATTACCTTCATTGTATTGAGCAATTGCCCATACTTCCATCCTGGTCATCGCCAATCTTCATCTGACTAACCGATGCAGTCAACTGTTCAACGTCCAATTCAGGAGAAACCTGAGATTTCCTAGACTTTCTAGGTGTATGGCGCTGGTATTGTTTCAAAGCAGGAGGGGGCAACTTCGTGTCCGCAATCAAATTTCCGTCAGAGTCGTATGGTTCGCTTTTAACAAACTTGATCCATTTATTCAAAGTTTTCAGCAGCTTCTGCTGCTCAATCTGAAGCCATTCCCCATGATAAAATGTGCAATGCAAACACGGTTCTCTCATTCTGCGGCGATATGGGGAAAGTTCCTTCAGCACAAGCTGCTCCACCCGATAAGCGTGGGGTACATCGGACTGTATCTCGACCATGTGGACATCATGATAGCAGGACTTATGAGCTCGAAAGCGACTTGTCGTTGGGTCGCGCCCTGAGAATCCAATTTTCAGCATTCCAGAAGGCGTAATGGTGCTGGAGAAGACATATATCCAGCCCTGAGCCATATCCTTGCGTTCCAGTTTCTTGCATAATAAATCGGTGATAACATCAGCCACGCTAGGGGTGAAATGCACGAATTCAAGGATCGGTACTTGTGTGGAAGAGACAGAATCTCCGCTTATATTACTCGGTGCGTCAGGTTTATTGAGGTGCTTGAATTTATCCAGCTTGGATGAAATCTGACGTTCCACCTCATTTTCTTTGAGCTCCGCATACCACTGAGTCTTGGCCTGAGGAGCTTTTTTCAAATGTCTTGAACAAGCGAGAACATTTGAAAGGTCATCGAGGGTCTTGCTATTGTCGACAAACATATCCAACTTCGCAAAGCACAATTCAGCAGAAGATGCCTTTTTTTTACTAATTTTTTGGCTGCAGGGCTCTCCATTGTTTTTGAGATATGGGCATGTCAAAGCAGAAGCATCAAGCTGAATCCGATCCAGCAAATCTAACAAGGTGCAGCAGCTTGCTCTCGAGGATGTCATATTCTGGTGAAGTGTTCTGAAAATGGAGTAATTGCAGGATGACGGACTGAAAAGATTGAAAGTATTCGCAATTGTTCCGACGTGGAGAGAAAAAAAGACAGATGCTCATATCTAGTGATGCTGTAGGGCTACTCGTGCCAATTTAAGTCCAGAGGTCAGATCCCTCCGGTGTCCAAAACGTACTTTAGCAGGAGGAGCTAATATCCCCTGTCTAGTCGCCAAACTAATGTATGCGCAGCCTCCATCAGATCATCATGCCCCGATTAAGAGAAGTAGGTCCCGCAATAAATCTCTGTCTATCGGCAAATTGAAGATTATTTTGATATGTGTCGACCCTCCAGGGCTATTCGCCTTCTATATTGGGATGGAAATCTACACCCCTGTTAGTGTTTGTGTCCCCAGCCACCAGGCGCAGCTGCTTACTAGAACATTTGTACCTTGGTAATCCAAGTGTTCAAATAGTTAACAGTATCATGCAATAGCTCCCAAATCACGAGAAGTGGCGGTGAAAAATAAGTGATGCTCAAAATGAAGTTTCTTTGGACTCGGAGAAGTATAACTTTTTAGGGCCTAGATCTGAATGGCTTGCGTTCCAAGGTTGAGTGTTGTGTTATGCATGGACCAGTAGACCTTTTGAATGCCATCATTAATCACAGAACGAGGGGAGAAAAGACTTTCCCCATCGTCAAATAGTAATGATGTCTTTCAAAATCGAATGCTTTCACTGAATGCAAATCATGAAAGGCGGCGGCTGAGATCTAAGATCTAAGATACAAGATACTAAGCCTCTTTGAACTTCAGACCAGTAAACTGGTAGCATTAGGAATTGAGGAAAAAAAAATATTATTCATGTGAGCAAAGTCTACTTCTCTTCAATTGAAGAGTCGATGTTGAATAATCATAAAAGGAAGCCGAGGAGTAATTTGCGATTATTCAACATGAAAATGACTGTGATTGGCCAGATTACCTCAACCGCCAAAACAACCACTCATCGTTAAGAGAACCTGGAAAAAAGCAGTACGTAGGTATTTCTAATTGACTTCTGTCGGTCTTCAGAGTCGCCATGACAGCGGGGGATTTATCAGCTGGTGAAAATTCAATAAGCATTGCACCATGATTCATCTGCTATAAAACTTCATACTTATACCCCTCCTAGATGGAAATACAGACATTCCAAGGCTACATTCCAAAGATCACTTGCAGCTAGTAGCAAGCAGACAATTTTCAAAATGACTACAGCTACACAAGATATGCAGAGTGAAGGTGATTCTGTGACACTCGACATGGAACAAGCTGGTGAAAAACAGCCAAACAAGGATGGATGGAATTGGGACGAGGACCCCGCGAACCCGTACAACTGGACGACAAGGTTGAAGGTCCAACAGATCTTTATGATGGCCTCGGCAGCATTCACCACGTGAGTCCCATTTCCAGCTTCGTGGCATCTGTAGCTAACCCCGATAGCTCATTTGGCGCATCGATTGTGACCCCTGCTCATACTGAGTTCATGGAAGAGTTTGGAGTCACAAGTACCCAGGCCATTCTTCCACTATCTCTATATGTATTTGCCCTTGGCCTAGGACCGATAGTGGGTGGTCCACTTTCTGAGACCGTTGGTAGACATCCAGTCTATTTGATCACAATCCTTCTGGGAAGCTTGTTCACTCTAGGCGCTGGGTTCAGTCAGAACTTCGCATCAATCTGTGTTCTTCGCTTTCTTGCAGGCTTCTGCTATGCACCGTCTCTAGCCATTGCTGGAGGAACTATAAACGAGACATTCAAGCCTGTAAAGCGAGCACTTCCGTCAACTATCTTCATCCTGACTCCCTTCTTAGGGCCAGGTCTTGGGTAAGCTCTCCACATCAAAACCTGCATCCTTCTAGTGATTGTTTCTCACAACCTCTAGACCAGTCATCGGTAGCTTTGTCGTCAATCGCAAAGGTTGGCGCTGGACTCAATGGACAATACTATTCTTTGCCATTTTCACAATGCTCACAGCAATAACGGCACGAGAGACGTTCCACCCCGTCATCAAGCGTAGACGTGCCAAAGTCCTCGGTCAGATACTCCCTCCCTCGCCCCCACTGTCCTCTCATCTCCGAAAATTCGCAACAGTCTCTCTCCTCCGGCCAGTGCAGATGCTGGTCACAGAGCCCATCGTCGCATTCATCTGTCTCTACGTCGCATGTGAATTTGCAACCCTCTTCTCATTCTTCGCCGCATTTCCACTGGTCTTTAGAAGTATCTATAAGTTCGACCTTGAAGAACAAGGTCTCATCTTCCTAGGCATAGTGGTGGGATGCATGCTAGGCGCCTTGACCGTGTTGCTGTGCGACGTGTTCATGTACCGCCCACGAGCAGCAACATACCGTAACCAACCTGTTCCTCCAGAACTGCGTCTCTTCCCGTCTTTGATTGGCAGTATGGGTCTGCCGATTGGTTTATTTTGGTTCGGGTGGACCGCAAGAGCCGACATTTCATGGGCCAGCCCTGTGGTCTCCATCGTGGTCTTTGCCTGGGGAAACTTGTGTGTCTTTGTCAGTACGACACAATATATTGTGGACACTTATCACGGCTTGACTGTTGCCAGCGCTATGAGCGCGAACAGCTTGGCCAGGTATTTGCTTGCGGGGGCTTTCCCCCTATTCACTATCCAGAGTGAGTATCATAGACCCGTCACCCCCTTAACATGAGTGAATACTGATATCTTGAATAGTGTATACTAGACTCGGAGTTGATTGGGCGACCAGTCTTCTTGGGTTCATTGCCATTGCTCTATTGCCTGTGCCGTGGCTGTTTTTCTTGAAGGGAAAGAAGTTGAGATCACTGAGTCAGTTTGATACTGCGGAATTTTGAGGTTAATTAAATATTAAGCGGGCCTGCTTTATTCGGAGCTCCGTTGGGTGAATTGATCAATGGATGGATTGATAGATGTTTACAATTCCCGTTAATAGGTAATACAAATAGATTTCAATGAAGTATTTATTCATTTAACTCACTAAATAGGAATTAGTAATTACATGTTTACTTTTATTCTTCTAGAATTTAGATGGGGGTTTTGCCCCTGAGTTTAAAATTTCGATCTATTTTTGACTGTGGTGCCACTATGCCGCATCCGCTAATTTCCTTAGTCACATATGAAGATGTGTACTATAATTGAACCTGTTCTTCACGACATGGGTACGACTTAAGACTGTCGAGATCGGAGACCTCCATAAATATCAACATGCAGATTACGTTTATCAGCACAATGTGATCATCAAGAGATTCGCTGATTCGGATTAGCGACCAACGTCGGTGAAGCCCCGAGTATCCACTTATCTCCTACGAAACTCGAGTTGGCGTCGAGGATTGCGCATGCTTCCGGGCTCGGACGCTAGCTGTATTTCCAGCATTGGCAATCCCCATAACACGGAATGGTATTCCGAATGTCTTGATTTTCTCATGATCCGAATGTGCCGATAACGATTTGAAGATCGCTCATCGCCAAGTACTTTGATTTGGAGAGTTGATACTTCCTGATCCGAGACTATATCCAGAACAAATCGTTAAATTGATTGTGCTATGCTACTTCCGAGCCCCTGGTCCCTATTCAAGGGCTCGCTGGTCGCGCTCCTTGCCGCCCCGGCGTATGCAATTACATTGGATATCTCCAGTGAGGGTGCGTGACTGCTCAATTGATATTCATTCGTACGTACGTACTGATCCCAGCCAGAATCTATCAAAAGTGCCGCAAGTATCTCAGCAAAGGCAATGATGAGCTACTATAAAGGGAATCTACCAGGTCATATCCCTGGAGCTTTTGCTAGTAAATGGTGGGAAGGAGGAGCACTATTTCTAGCAACCCTCCAGTATTGGCATTTCACAGGCGATACGACCTACAATGAAGAAACGCGCATCGGAATGCAGTGGCAAGCAGGTGATGATAACTTCTATCCCAGTAATTATAGTGCTTATCTGGTAAGATATCTATCCTGAGTAACCTTGAATTTTTCCAAGGTTGTAGAATCTATCTCTGCATTAACTCTTACTAGAGCCAGGCTAAGTCAATGTGGGTACTAATTCGGTATATAGGGAAATGATGACCAGATGTTCTGGGGCCTGGCAGGAATGACAGCCGCAGAGCTAAAGTTCGCCGATGACTCTACTGGCTATTCATGGCTCTCGCTGGCGCAGGGTGTATTCAATGCGCAGATTGACCGGTGGGACACCACTGCCTGCGATGGTGGTATGCGCTGGCAGATCCATTCATGGGAATCTGGGTATACGCTGAAGAACTCAATTTCTAATGGTGGTTTGTTTCAGTTGGCTGCTCGACTTGCTCGTTATACTGGTGACTCTCTCTATACTGAGTGGGCTAATAAGATCTGGAACTGGTCGGCCAATTCACCACTGCTCAACAATTCAACTTGGAATGTTGCTGATTCTACTGAGATGGAGAATGACTGCGCTACTCAGGGTGATACGCAGTGGTCGTATAACTATGGGACTTATATGATGGGGGCTGCATATATGTATAACTATGTGAGTTTTCTGTCTTATTTCAATTCAAGAGCTAGACTTGCTGATCATTTAACAGACCAATGGGAGCTCTACCTGGTTAAAGGCAGTGGATGGTCTTTTAAATAAAACCTTCGACCACTTTATTGTCAATGGAGTCCTGAAGGAAGTGACATGTGAGCCATCAGAAGAGTGCAACGACAACGAGATTCTATTCAAGGGACTCGTGTCATCGTGGCTATCATTCACGGCACTTCTGGTCCCGTCAACTTATGACAGAATCCTCACGAAGCTGCAGAATTCTGCCAAAGCTGCCGCACTGTCCTGCACCGGCCACAGCAACAACACCTGTGGAGTGCGCTGGTATCTGTCAAAATACGATGGATGGATGGGAATGGAGGAGGAGATTGCAGCCACCAACATCTTCGTTGCGAACATGATAGCTTTCTCTAATTCGGCTCCTGTCACTTCCACAACCGGTGGAAACAGTACTAGTAATACTAATGCTGGAAAAACCAACGAGACGTCGGACTATGTGATGTCTACCATCACCTCTGGTGATAAAGCAGGTGCTGCTATTTTGGCGGTTGTTCTTACCGTTGGGGCTATGGCCTCGATGGGCTGGCTTGTTATGGGAAGCGATTAAAGTCCCAATTGTTTGCGGAGTTGACAAGGATACAATAAAATATGAATTTGTTTCTTTTCCATATATCACTAAGTAGGTAATTTTGCGGCGAAGAGTGACGGAGGGTAAGTCCACAAGTATGAGAATTCCCCGGTAGACGGTATTCTGGTGGGACCTCAACAAAACAATCTCTACAAAAGGTTGAGAAGAATCCACGACTCGGAATAGATGCATAATCAAAAAATAAGATCAAGATTGAGGATTCTATAAAGTGTAAGTCAATATCCAAGGTCTTCAAATCGTATTAAGAAAAGAAGATCAACAATGTCTACTTCTCAGGTTAACATCTATGTTGATATTGGCAGCCCATTCAGCTGCATTGCTTTCAATGCTGTATCAGTAAGTCTGGGTCCTTACATCAAGTACCTAGATATGGGACTTCAGGAACTGACTGAACTAGAAATCCCCAGCGTTTTCAAACTGCAAGGTCACCTATGTCCCCGTCGTGCTCAGAGAGGTGATGCAAAAGGCCAACAATGTCGGCCCTTTTGTGACGAAGAGTAAATGATGCAGCCCCAGACCTACCTACACTGATACTAATCAATTATCGTTTCAGACAAATTCCAGTGGATCCAAAAGGAGCGGATGTACTGGTCCCGTCGGTTCGGAGCCTCAATGACTGAGCAGCTTCCAGTGGGGTTCCCCGCCACGACAACCGATATCCAGGCTAGATTGAGCGTCGTTGCAAAAGAGTATCCGGATTATATGGGTCCACTACTGGAGAAACTGTACCATATCTTTTGGGCAAAGGCTGATACCACGATTGTGACACCAGCCCAATTCACCCCTATCATCGAGAGTGTACTCGGCGAGAACGCCCAGAATGTCTTGAGTGTGGTAGGTAGAGTCCACTCGTATTATTAGTTCAGGCTAACCTGTCATTAGCCAGAGGAAGATGCAAAGGCTCTGTTGGATGCGAATACGCAGACGGCACATGATCTCGGGGCTTTCGGACTGCCGTGGTTCGAATGTACCAATGCCTATGGAGAGAAGGACGGATTCTGGGGAATTGATCATCTTGGACGGGTTGCTGAGTTCTTTCAGTTGGATATAAGTGTGGATGAGCGGTTTAGTGTTTTATTGTGAGATCTATATCGATTTAGACCTGGATCTGATCTGCTGAAGTAACCCATATCTTATCGTCCTTGACCTCCATCCCGTGGCATACCTGAGGGCATCTTACTATTCCCTTATCATTCATACATATTTTACTAATTGGCCATCCAAACCTCTATTTAAAAGTTGACATATTTAGGTTATTTAATTTTAAGCTTACAACTGCTTACCCCATCAGCCCTTTACTTTAATAAGTAATATTCACCACGGTCGCTCCATCCACCATCCTTGCTTCTAACGAGCACATCTCCTCAGAACGAGGTGTTGGAAAGTGACTAAAAGATGATATTGTTGCCATGATAATCGATCTACCATTCTCTTTTTAATCCTGAATGCACCTTTGTCAACAGAACTCAGCTTTCCGTGATATACCGTGGTGCCTCTATGCGTGTGAGTCAAGGGATGAGTAGGAATAGACACTGTCGGATGAAGGAGCCTGATCTAAATTCTCGGACGGAGGTTTCCCATCGAGGCATAAGAAAGATGGAACAGCCATGGCAATAGAGGTGGCAGCTAAAGAATCAGTCAGGAAAATGCTCTCATCTAAGCCACAAGTTCAGTCACTTACAAAAGATGAGATTCATGGTTGAGAATCCAACTGTTTCCGAGAGTGCACCGGACAGTAGTGGCCCAAGCAGCATTCCAATACTTGAGGCGACCAAGACCATAGAGGAGACTGAGCCACTTCGACCATTCCCGACAATATGCGGTTTGTCTCTTTGCAAGTCATTGGCCACAGCTACAATGTACAGTCAGTGACCAAACAATACGATGCGAAATTGGAAATGACTTACACCTCAATTGAGCAGGACCTGCGCCACGGGTGAAAATGGACGAGATACCAAATCCAATCATACAAGCAACGAAGATTGGTTTCCCGGCAGCATTCTTACCAGCCCAAGGGAAGTGATCATTGCCGGGTATACCCAGGAATAAAAGCAGAGGGCCACCAGCAATGAAACCGATTGTAGTTGGTATCTTTGGTCCGTAGCGATCTCGGAGCCATTCAAAAGGGACTCCTAGCACTACGGACGGAGCTTGCAAGCACAAGAACATCAATCCAGTGGGTAAACTGCCCCATCCAAATATTTCACGCAGATGAGCCGGAAGGGTATTGATCATGCCGGCTATCAATGTCGAGTCCATCACCATACTGGCCAGTCCAGTTCGAACTCGTTCATCGCTCAGCATGAGGCGATAAAATCCACTCAGGGAATCGTGTCTTCTGGACAATCGTGGGTTTGGGAGGAGCAATGTACTTTCGTCAACGTCATTGCGAGGTCTCAGCACTGGGGTCGCGGACTCTGATGAAGTGTGCGGTTCCTCCTCTTCCTCGTGAGGCTCAATAACGATCAGCCGAGCCACGATATCCAGCACCAGTATTGTTAGAGGAATCGACCACATGGCCCAGTATCCTGCTAGTTGCATTATCGTTCCACTAATGAATGGACCGCTACGCGTACCAGCTGACAACGCGGTTGATGCAAATCCCATAATCGTTTCATGCTGTGCAAACCTTTCCGTAAGTATGGCGAGACCAGTTGCTGATGAGCCCGCTCCAGCGATGGCTTGTAGAGCACGACCTAGATAGAGAACCCATGCTGTCTCACTATTAGCCAAGGCACAAAACAAGAGGGTGATTTCTTACATGACGGAGCCAATGCAACCAGCAGAGTACCGGCTATAGATCCCACTAGAGCAAGGATAAGAAGCCAAGATTTTCGAAAACTCGTTCTATCTGCGTAGTGTGTGATGACCGGTACAGCAACAGACGAACACAGACCGTGAAGGGAGAGCAACCCCGAGGTAAACGTCTGCGTTTGGGCGGGATCGAGGTGTAAGCGTCTTTCGAGAATATAGCTCACGATGGGACCAAGAAAACTGTAAAGGAATGTCTCTATTGAAAGGGCGGGGTCAGTGTTGAGAGCACAACTGGGCACAGGTGGTGGTCGTACCAGAGAATAGAGCAACTATGATTGAACCGCTTATGAGCCATGGCGAGGAACGCCATTTGTGGGTAGATGGCCCAGGCTGGCTGCGTACTAACTTCATGGTGCTGGAGAGATGGAGGTTTAGGAGAAAAAAATGTTGTTTGCATGAAAGTGATGCATCTCGATTCCCAACCTCAGCCGCAGATCCACAGCAGATCTATCGATTGAGATCAACAGTACCAGCCTCCCAATTTCATTCTCCTATAATAGCTGATTCATCACTTGTATTCTTGAAACAAGGGAATTTTTGTTACGATTTTGATAAAAAATCAATGCGGAGTATAGGTATGGAGTACTACTGTTCCATACTTCAATAAAGTTATCTTAGCTTTCGGCTAAGTGGACCCAGGTTCGATGCTCCGATAATCGGATTGAGTATAAGAACCCTATCAGATAATCTTCAACTTCACTTCACTTCAATTCAACCCTCAATATCTCATCCCGATAAACACACTCATGGCATCTCCCGATCGCACAGTCGCATTCATCGGATGCGGTGAATTCACCACGGCAAATTAAGAAACATTGGAATCACGACTTATAGAAACACAGGAAACATGGGAGGAGCAATCCTCACGGAGTCCTAGATGCAGCATTTCGCTCCGACTCCCCCAAATCACGACCAGTATCCAAGTTCATCGCTTGCACATACACCGCTGCTTCAGCCACCCGTCTCCAAGCATCACTTTCGACAGAACATCAACCCCATGTTAAAGGTCGTCTCATCAAAGATTGTAAAAACAATGCAAGAGGCCGATGTCGTGATTCTAGGCTTCAAGCATTTCTTGGTAGACGATGTGCTCAGTACTAAAGGGGTTAGGGAAGCATTGGCCAACAAGCTCGTGATAAGTCTATTAGCCGGTCAGGTGCCGCAAAACCTGAAGCGGATAATTCGCTAGAGTGTGTCTGATTCAATTGTAGACCCTGTTGTTGTGAAAGGCATGCCGAATATGGGTGCGCAATTCCGACAGTCGATGACGGTCCTTGAGACACCGTTTGTGTCCCTCTCGGCTGAGAATGCTGAGTGGGTCTTCGGACAGGTAGGCGCTGTCAAGTATCTTCCACAAAGCTAGATGGATCTGGCTACTGTTCTTGGGGGTGCGGCGCTTGAGACACTAACTGTTTCAATTGAGGGGTTGTTGGACGGGTGTTGTTGAAGGTTTGAAGCGCGCTGATGCGATGGAGGTGCTTTTGCAAGGTATTCGGGGGTTGTCGGCTGCTTTGGAAGCTGGGATCCATCCAGCTGCTTTACGCGAGAGTATATCCTCGCCTCGTGGTTGCACAACTTAGGATAATAAATAGATTTTAATAAGAATGATTAATTTGATCTTTGAAGCTCTCATAAGAAGTTGCTTGTCGCGGTAATTGGTGTAACAGTTCGCTCTAACTAATATAAGTCTCCTCACACAGCAGGCTCAAAATACGTCAAGAACTCTGCGTCATTCCCCAGAGACTCATGCTCCTCACCAGTCAACTGCACAAGGACATCAAACACATTCACTGGTCCCCGCGAGAAATTCGGCAAAATAACCACGCAAGCTCCCGGCATAGCACCGGCCTGTCTAAATGCAATAGGAACCGAAGCAGCACCGATATCATACTTTTCCGCACTCCCCGAATACCAGCTATTCATGAAAATATCCATATCGCCAAAGTCCGCGCCGTAGTTAAGCATCTCCGTTGGCGATAGAGATGCCACAAGCGAGTTCATGCGACTGATTTGCCAGAGGTCGGTCGCAGTGATAGACTGGCGGATTCGCGTGGCTGCGACTGCGAGACTTTTGTCTTCGTTTGATACCAGGGCTTCAGCAACAAGAGGACCGGCTTGAGATCCGATCACTGCATTGCCGAAGTATCGATCAGAGGTTTTCTTCTCTGGATCTCGAGTGCGCACATCGATGGGGTGGATGAAGCGGGATTTTGTGGCAGATTTCTCGGGGTGAAGTTGTAGTCGGGCTCGTGTGATTGATTTCCACATCAGGGCCGAGATGCAATCATATGAGGTTATGTAGTCAACCTCTGTCAGGAGCGGGGTACATCTCGCTTTGAGTTTTTCGACAGACGAGTTGGTTATCTGATAGATGCATGATCGAGAAGGTGGTTGTGGCTTTGGTCGAAAGTCGCTCTTCTCCATGACGTAGAAGATTGGGAGCTTTTCTAGTATCTCTTGTCTTGAGATTGTCGATTCAGATGGGGTATTATATGGTTCTCTCTTGAGATCTGGTGTAAATGTTGGCATTTCAAGGCCTTGCTGGTATGACTTGCTGCTTTGACAGATTAGAGACAAGAATCTATCCATGGATGCCCAGTCTCCGGCTGCGTGGTTCATCCTGAGCCCTAAGACCAGCCCACTGTCGATGAGAGTGAATTGAAGAGTACAGACTGGTTTCGCGGCGGTTGACTCTTCAGGTAAGAATTTAGCGAAGTCCAGATCATCGGGAGAAAAAGAGTTCTTGGACAACGTAGAAAAAGACTTGAGCTCTGTGGAGTTGAGTCGGCGGGTCTCGACTTGCACCTCGCTTTCTGGGGAGACTACAATATTGACCTTTCCAGATTCCATGAATTGGAAATTTCCTGCCATGAATGGCAACTGAAGTGTTGCATTTCTCACTCCTTCTTTCAAGGCGGAAATCAATTGATCGACATCAGAGGTAGATTGGAGCTCATACAGTATGAAGACCCGCACTATTTTGTTTAAGCCCCCTTTGTCAAAGTCGGAAAGTTCATATTTCGTCGTCATTTTTTAGACAGTAGACTTATAGGCTATATTTCCTAGATAGTCACAATGAAAATTGGTCTTCAGATGTCAAGTAGAAAACATGTTCTGAGTTCGTTTGGGGAAGAGATGTTAAATAACTGAATATTACTAAGACCCCTATTTCCTATAGTGGACTAGCTCAGTATCCAGATCGGGTGCCCGCTAGAAAGAAGAGAGAAGCATCAATTCGTCGAATTCAAGTCCAATCTAGACGAAGAAATATTGCCTCCAGGGCAGATATTTGATACACTATTATCATGAAACCAGTACAAATCTCAGTCATCATCAGCTCAACTAACCCCATATGTCATCGTCATCTTTAACCAGATCATCTTCATTCAAAACCCGCAGGCCGTTGCTACGCTCTTCCCTTTTGCGTTGTCGTTTACTCACAATTCGCCCCGGTGTAAATGGTGTCACAGGAGTGAATGGCATATACGGAGTGTATGGAGTAGGCACTCCTGTGATGGGTCCCCTGTTTTTGTCCGGCCTTTCCAGAATTGTTGTTTTCGTGGCAGGCGCAGTCTTCAGAGAATCCGGGTAAGCATCACGAAATGGTAGAGAGGAGGTAGATTGGGGTGTAGTAGCTAGGGTCAGTGGAGCCGGTGGCCGGGCTCGCCCCGACGGTCGAGGCAGCACTTGCGCGACTGCTGATGGCATCCGAAGACCGGCTGATGGAGCAGCTGGTGGAGGGCCTGGGTTGTAGAGCCGCGGTGATAGCGGCTGCTCGTGTCCAAGGTATGTCGGAGCGCTCGTATCTGGTGAGGCAAGAGGAGAGGAAATGTTCATTTTTCGGACTGAGAACTTGGGGGACTTCAGCCTGCCCATGTCAGGATTCGAGCCTGATCTCGAGCTGAACAGCTTCGAGAGGCGAGATGAGTTGAATGGATTTGGAGACTTGGGTGGCACGGCAGGAGGTATCTCTGAAAGCTGCAAGGCGTGACGGTCGGTGAACGGATTGCTATACTGGCTGTCTGGGGTCTTCGTCTGGAAGTCTGCCTCTCCCGCAGAAATATCAACGCCCGAAGCTTTCTGGGCATCGTACTCCATGACCGCCGCATATAGCATCTCCATTTCATCCTGGGCTCGTCGCCGATCGGAGGCGACGATAGATTCATCCACTGTCACCATGCTGCCGTTGATCGATGACTGAGAAGGTCTCAATGCAGGAAGGCTTCCCCACGACGAGATGAATCGGCTTGACTTTGACTTGCTTGGGCTTGGGATGCTCTGTGCTATTGGAGAGACTGGACTGGGATCTATACTGGGCGGGGGTTTAATCGGCCTCAATATTTCCATCTGCAGTGAGTAGTTTGATGAGTGCACCGAACGACGCAGTCTTCGGCCAACAAAGAGGAGGAGAGCAAGGAGAACAGCAACAAAGATCACGTAGGAAGCGACTATGCTACCGATCTGGATGGCGAAAAGTGGCTTGTCCAGTGGTGGCCTCTCTATAGTTCCAGAGCGTACATCGATTGTGCCAGAGACAGGCACTGTAAAAGCAATTAGGAGAGAAATGGTGGGAATAAGAGGTGAAAATACGACAGGAGGAGTCATTGCTGACGCCAGATGCAATGACAGGGAGTGCTGTCTCAGGAGAGGATGCTTTCAACATTTAAGTGACAATGCAGCCCACCTCGTCAGATCGACAGCGAAACACGAAACACGAACCTCGAATCGAGTATTATCACATTGTGATCCGACTTGTGACGGGGCGAAAGGGGAGGGGAATGTATGAGACCTTGAAAATCATTGGATGTGATGAAGTAAAGACGAGATGGACGTCGGCCTGTCGTTTGTCGCAAATAAGCGCCCTCATGCACGATCGTCACTCCGCAGAGACGAATCAGCAGCCGGAAATAGTATACTAATTGAACACACTCGAGACGTCAATAAACTATACAAAATGGACTCTCTGAAATTCAGAGATTCATAGATTCAGAAACTCAGAGTATAGAGTGTTGTTACCACATAGGTTCAGACGTTGGCTGTTCCTTCCTCTTCTGCCCTAATCAACCCTACAAAGATCAATCTCCCAACTATTTCACCATGAACTCTTTACACCTCTTACCTTGCAGAAATCCCACCCAAACAATTACAAGACTCTTTATTTTGCATCTCTATCATCCATGGGCCATCGATTTTCAGCCGTTACCGGGGTGAAGTCTGAAAACTTTTATAAACAGGGCAACGCAGTCAACGAGATCTGGATCGGTGACGTTGAAATCATCTCGCGGCTCCCATTCGGTGATTCTGACACCGGACAAGCAGGTTGGCCAGCTGGAGGTTGGCCAAAGATACCCTGGCATCAATTTATTATACCCTTGAAACGGGAACTCCAGAGCAACACCACCGCCATAACGATCCGCACAATGTGCGACTCCCCTGCGTCGACGCTCCTCGACTCATGGTGGGTTTTCTCTTTTTGGGGGCCATTTGCCTATGGGGGTAAACATTATTGGTGGAACCCTACTTGTGGTCATTGCACTTTGTCTGTGTTGCAGAATCATCGCAGTGAATTGGTTGGACGTCACGAAAGCAGCAATGGGCCAACCCCGAACCAGGATGCTCGGTAACGCTCCAGATCTTCACCTGAGCGAAAACCAAACAAGTCGCGTCATCTTGAAATGGTTTTTCTACTTTCTCTTCTACCCGTTCGGGTATTTCCTCTTGGGATGGGTTCTTCTGCTGCTGGGAGCACCGGCAATGGCTACAGGGCTAAGGGGAATAGACACATCCGATTTCATTCTGATCGGCTCGTGCATCTTTGCTTGGCCTTTTTTCATACTCATTACATGTGTGGGGTATGTTATCATATTCACCAAATATCTCAAGAACTTCTTTCACACGATACGTCGTGATTACCCAAACGGGATGGCCGGTTTTCAAGCAGCAGTGAATTCAGCAAATCTCGGAATTCCACCGCCTGTGGTTGGAACGCCTATGCCTGTGCTTGTGACCGGGGTGTCACTTGTATAGAAACGTTTCTTGCAAAGGATTGGAGGCCAGCTTTCCAGAGTCCATGAACCATTTATGCACCAGCACGGCTTTCATGGATGTCGGGAGTCTCAAGCAAAAATTTTGGCAAGTGGATGGTCAGTAGATTCGTTATCTTGTCCAGTCCGAAATATTTTCGCCGTTAAGATTGTGAAGGTTTTGTGATGATGGTTTCATGCCCTTGTGCTTTTTCAACTGGTGATTTCGATATTGGGTGGTTTTTATTGTTATATCGCAGTAATTCCTGCGTAGTTGGTCGGCTTTGTCTTTGAATATTAGGTACACTCTGTTAATAAAGCTCGTTATCGGCCATCCTTGGAGAACAGATCTCGCCAAAATTCCTTAAACCCGTATCCTTTCGTCTTATCCTCATCATAAACGCGTGCTGGTGGCCCAGGGCTGAGTGATCCAAATATACTCGACCTGCTAGTGGCAAGAGTCGGGCCCCTTGCTCGCTCTGTTGCCCGTCGCCTGATCTCCTCTGATAGTCTCGGAGCCACATCAGCAAAGCAAGAATTCAACTCACGGTCAAGATTGAGGTAAGGCTTTTGAGCGGCGCGTGGTGCCTGAAGGTTGTAGGATCGTGCGATATTATTGATCTGCTTCACGACAAGCTCATGATAAGACCGTTCAGTCGATAGGTATTGTGGGTCTCTCAAAGGGGGAAGATGCTCGAGCTCTTCCGAGATGCTCGGTTCATTAGCAACAAGCTCCTCTGACGGGTTGGTTTTGGAGACTATTCTCCCATCTGTAGTGATCTCAGATACCACAGCCTCGGTGTGACTCAGACTCTGAGTATCGCGCAGCGCTGCCTCCAACTTTGCCTTTTCACTCAAACGGACCTCGGCAGCGGCATATGCTCGCGCACGTTTCATCTTTTCTTCAAGTGAACCACCTTGACTCGAGATAAGCCGCGCAGCATGTCTTGTCCACTCAGCGCGAAGGTGTTGGCGAAATCGACTAATCTCCACGGCAAGCTCTTGCTGTTTTTCGATCCACGGCGGGACGATCTCCTGCTTCTGGATGATCTTGTTCATAAAGTATTCAGTAGTGTCGATATATGCACTATTTGCATTATGATCAGTTTCAGTATTGACGCCCTTTCCGCGTTTGATCTTCTGGAATTGCCCGCGCGCAATCGCATCCTCGATGCGCTCGTTGGCGAGCGATGCGAGGCCTGAGATGGAGATTGGCATGGAGTGTGCACCAGGTGACAGCTTCTCCCTCATTTCACGGCGCATGGATTCTCGTTCTTCGTCTGAGAAGCCAGGGCTCTTGCTTAGTGTGTATGTAGATGTGCGCTCTTTCGCTTCGGCTAGGCGGAAGCCATTGGAGCGTTTTGGCTTTGGAGATGGTTTGAGGTTGACTGGTTGCGGGAGTTTGTAGGGCATGCGTATGGGCTTGCTAGCATCATTCAACATGCGCAGGTTTGAGTCGTAGACGCTTTCTACTCCCGTCCATACTGGTGCTGCGGCCATTTCTCGAGATCCCTGGCCTGCGCTGCTCTATACCTTGCGGATTAGTTCGCATGGCCGAATTCGAGGGCTACTACATCACGTACAGGCATATCGAGGATTGAGTGAGCTGCAGCATGCTCGCTCTTGAATGCAGCGGCCTTGACGCGCTCTTCAAGTTGTCTTTTCAGATCCTCCGAGAATCCCGACTGTTCTATGTTGCGGCGCGCCGACCGTCCTCCTTCTACCATAGCATCCTCGGTCATTTGGGACAAACGGCGTGACATTGCACCTTCACTTGCTTCTCCATCTTTTCTTGTATCCGTATGATTCTTTTTATCTGTCGCTGTGGAGGAGATTGTATTCTGGCGTCGCTGATATGGCGCTGAGAGCCGAAATGTCGTATATCTCGTACATAAGGACACACGACGAAAATGTGAACTCCAAATTTGTCTGCCAGTCATAACCACTCAGAATTATAGCAGTCAAAACTTGAATTAAAATCAAATAGACATAAGAGCTGATTGAAACAAGCAGTGAGGCCATGCTTTGTCATCATCTCCGCGGAGCCACAACTTTTCGAACTTCTAAGGGATTTTATCGCAGTGCTGTCGTCAAAACATCCCTATTTGCAGTCCACCGAGTCTCCTAACGGTGTATCGATTCCTCTCGCTCAATTCACCTGCTTCTTCCTGCATAAGACGCCGCTGATCTCGCCATCATGCCGCCCAAGGGCAACGTCTCGACCCGGCTCAACCCGCTACGTCTAAACACCATCAACCATCTGCGTGTTCGTCGGCCGAATCAGAATGAGCAGAACCCTTGTGTTACTGTCATGTCCTCTATCCTCAGTACGTCTCTTTGCTTCTTGTTACAGGATATCCCATCGGCCAATGCCCGACCTACGCCCTTCGATGGCACGACACGGTCCTGGTATTTAATTAGAATGTATCGCTGACAATATTACCCTAACAGACTGCTGGGCTTCTCAGGGATATAACCATGAGGGCTGTGCCGCCCTTGAGACTCAGTTGCGAAAGTGCATGGACCAACCGGTACGTCTCGTGTCAAATTAGATCCCAAAAACAACCTTACTAACGGGTCTTTTTCACTCTAGAAATCCACCGAGAAGAAGAAGAACACCGTCAACTACCACTTGATGAGAATGTACCCCAAGGTCGTCGGACCTCGGAAGAAGGACGGCGTGCTGGGCTAAATGGGACCAAACGGTTATTTTATCAGGGAGTTTGGGGATCTTTGCGACATATTCTGCAAGAGGCCGAGTCTCAGCTGTGGATAAGATTTATCTAATTGTGATGTTGCTGGCTACTTTGTCTGGTCTTTTATTTTCGCGCATCTGTACAGTATATACCTCATGTGGCATATGGCGCTTTTTAAAAAAGAATCGATTGTATCATTATCATGCAGTTTGCTTTGAATATTTGCTATGTAAAGCTGAAGGGACCTCCTAAACCCGTTGGAACTTGAGAATTAGCTTATTGCTCTTTGGGCCAACCGTATAAGCGTCTATCTCATTGATATCCTCATCATCAACGATGGTGGTGCGGAAGTTACTGTACACAGCAGCAGTGACCAGTTTTGTTTCTGGAGATATGAATCAGCATAAAGTGGAATCTTAGAATATGGGCAAGTAATGACTCTACCTTGGAGTGCCAAATTGCTGCCAACACACATGCGCCCACCACTTCCAAAGGCCCAGAACCAGCGGCGCCGCTCATCGAGTTCAGCGGCCGAGTTCTCCTCCTTGAGCCATCGTTTTGGCTGCCAGGACTCGGGCTCTGGGAATACCTCTGGGTTACGATGTAGTGAGTAGGCTTGTGCATTGACGCGCACGTTGGGCGAGATTTCATATCCAGCAAGGGTACATGAGGGCGCGGGGGTAACTCGAGGCTGGATGCCTGGGATGGGGGCATGAAGTCTCAGCGTCTCAGTCACAATAGCTTCAAGCAGAGGCAGATTATCAATAGCCTTAGCCGGAGGCAGCTCTGCCGATTTAGGGAATTGAATCGAGGGGTCTAGAGTGACTAATTCCTCGCGGAGCTTCTCCTGTATTTCTGGGTGTTTGGATAGCTCCCAGAACAGGTAGGTGAGGCCAACAGCGCTGGTCTCAAAGCCAGCAGTGAGTTGGTCGTACATCTCACACGCAATTTCATTCTGCTGCTTGGTTGCATCAGGTTTGATGTCGCCTTCCTTTGACGATTGCTTGTCGAGACCCTGCTTGAGTTGCTTGTAGACAATTGGCTCTATGGCTGGGTCAGTCGTGTATAATGAAGCTGCTGCCTTATCACATAGATTCAAAGCCCAGGAATCCAGCATTTCATTGGCGTCGTCGCAGTATTTAGGAATGATTCTAAGACCGAGGCATTTCATCCATCCCAACAGAGAGGGAACTTCCTGATGATAAAATTCGAATGGTTTGCGACACATGTATAGATTGAGCCAATGTTTCCGGAATGAGTGATTCAGTAGGTGATTTGTGCCGTTCTGCAGGCCGAACAGATAGCAAGAGACAAAATCCATAGTTAGTCCCTGGTTAAGATCATGAACATCTAGCGGGCTATTCGATCCCGATGCTTCCTCGAGGATAGGTAGTAGGCGATCGTGAATCACAGTATCAGAAATCAATCGCAGATGCGGCGACGTCTGCAGCGTGGATTTGGAATAGATGTTTGACAGCATTCTCTTACGAGTAGAGTGAGTCTTAGTTGCAGTCATGGTGAACATACTGACAGTACTATATACAGATCTCAGCAGCTGTTTTAAAATATGCCGTGATCTATTTCTTACCCCAGAGACCCAAAGACCCGTGGATACCATTCATGCTTCTCGAACCCACCCGTGTAAACGGACTTAATGCCATCTTCAACACAGTTGATCGAGATCTCAGAGGGCCCAAGCCGGACTATCGGACCTAATTTTTCATGCGCCGCTTGAATAGTCTGATTATTTCGCATCTGGAATCGCTTCCATAATATCCAGGCGGGAGATATCGGAGCGCTCCAATGCACATTGGGAAGCTTGGCTAGCGGTGATAGTAAGGCCGGGTATATGATGCCTTTGTATATGACCAGGGCGGCGACAGCCACAATTGCTAGTGAAAAGACTGCAATGGCCATTTCGCAAACTTCAATTCACACTGACTGAGAATAGGTCCTCGGCTCATGAGTTTAACTACTCCAATACTCCGCCGATAAGGATCAAAGATAAGGATAAGGATCCACATGACATAATGGCGCAGATAAGTAGTTACGGCGTTATGCTTCGAACCACGATAGAGAAATTATGTAACCCTAAAGTAATCGAGAAGCAATTGATTGGAAAAACCGGAAAAGGGTGGAAACCCTGACCCTACGTCTGTTTCAATGAGAAGTGAATAAATTTTGTTCATCGAGAAAATTATGAAAGAAACCATCGACATAGGTGTTGACAAGAAAGAAATAGTGGTCAGGCAGACCGGCTACCTGGATAGCGATTGTAAGAAAATAAAAGGAGAACTAGCCAAATGTTTCTTGACTTTACGTCTGCTTCACTTATTTGAAAAGGTTGAGAACACCATCTTTGACGCCATCGGTGACATCGTCAGGGTAGACGAAGAAGGCAAGTGCGAGAATAATGTACAGACCCAGGCACATACCGCCTTCTAAGTAGTTACTCTTGCCGTCTTGGATGAGCAGGGTAACCACCAGACCGGAGATGAAGAAGGCGACAGTCTCGAAGGTTTGGAAGTGCAAAGTCATATCAATGCCCAAGATCCAGCCCAGAATGACAAGGAATGGGGTGACAAAGAGCGCTATCTGCAAGCTACTTCCTAGTGCAACACCGATCGCAAGATCCATCTTGTTCTTGTAGGCGACGACCACGGCGGTAACGTGTTCAGCAGCGTTGCCAACGATAGGGATCAGCACCAGACCAATGAAAGTCTTGCTGATGCCAGTCGTCTGCACGATGCTGTCAATGCTGCCAACCAGGTAGTCGGCGCAGATGGCAACTTGAACAGTGACAATGATCAAGGTCACGGTGGCAGCCCAAGGATCAAGCAGACGCTCTTCCGCTTCCTCCACCTCTACTTCATCACCATTCAGGTTCTCCGCATCACCGTTGTCCTCCTCGAAAAGGGTGGCGTGAGATCGCAACTGGAAGTAGAGATACATCACGTAAAGAATGAGCAAAATAACGGAAGTACCATGGGACAGGATGAGGATGTTAGCTTGGGCATCGTTATTAGTGGACTGTGATAGAGCGGCGTAGAGGGTGGCGGGGATAATGAGAGATGCCGAAGCCACCGCCATGAGAGACGACATAGTGGACGCCACAGTGCTGTTGAAAGTCTGCTCTTGATAGCTGAGACCACCGACGAAGAAGCAGCAACCCAAGACCAAAAGAATATTGGAAAGAATGCTACCAAGCATGCTAGCCTGCACCACACGAATCTGGTTGTCCTTGAGGGCAATGATACTGACCTATAATGGATGATATTGTCAGTAAGAGAAATAAAAATAGAACAAAACAAAGAAAAAATAACAGAGATCCACGCTTACGATCAATTCCACAGCATTGCCGAATGTAGCATTCATCAGGCCTCCCAAAGCCTGGCCCATAGTGGCCGCCAACTCCTCCGTAGCGAAGCTCAGAAGGGAAGCGAGCGGGATAATGGCAAAGAAGTTCAAAACAAAGATGGCAGTGGAGTTCCACTGCAGGATACCGGCCACCATGCCCAATGGGACAAAGACGAGAAGCACATTGACGTAGTCTCGAATGAGAGTCTTCCATGTTAGACGCACAATCAACTGCGGCCAGCGCACCCAGACGGGCCGTTCCTTCAACTGGCTCTGCGGATGATGGTCATCGCCATTTGGAAGACCTGAATATGAATTGGGAACATGACCGAGCAGCGCAGTGCGCTCGGCAGAGTCAGCAGATCGATGAGAATTCATTCTATTTCCTGGACCAAAGCTGGTCCTGCGAACTTGTGAACGAAAGCCGACGGAAGCTGGGGGAAGTCAGCGGGAAGAACTTCTTAAAATGGAAGGTGGAATGATGGAAGGAATGTGGAGTGACAGTGTGATGGGAAAGGTAGGAAAGAGCGACGAAAGTGGGATTAAAGTATCACGTACACATTCTTGGGGAAGGAATTAGGAGGAAGAGGATGAACTCAGGTAAGTTTCAGCCACTGGGACCGTGGTTCAATGGTGGATTGTGTTCAATCAAGAAAAAAGAAGAAGGTCCGTGGGGGAAAATAATGAGGGATGACGAGCACAGCCAGGCAGATTGAAGCTTGCGTTGATAATCTCCACTGATGATCCACTTATAATTGCTTTATCGTATCTTTATTCGCTAGCCAAGATTGCACTGCCACAATAACCATCGAAGACCTATTGAAGAGGTGTAAGGGTGACTAAGCAGGAGGCCATAGGCCTGCGTTCCCATCATACAGAAATACATGCATTCTACACATTTTTGACAGTACACACGTACATTTCCCTGCAACTCAGCTCCAGGTGTTAGCGAGCTATCCATTCCACGAGAAGATGTAAATTTCAGTTTTCATTTCCTCCTCATTCAGTATCCGTGGGTTAGGGGGGTGAGGGTGTTCAGTGACGTATTGATCTGTTTGATATCGGCTGATAGACAAGAAAACCACCCAGAATATCAAATACCGTCAATCTGAGTTTCCTGGTCGACTAGTTTTTGCGGCATCAAGACTGAAATCTGACCATGGCGAGGTCCCGCATATTGAATTATCGAATGCAGACGAAAGCATCGTCAAGGATATTAATACCTACTAAGTAAGAACAAAATCATAAAGCTTAGTCACCAGAGAATCGTTCGAAGATTTTAGTGAGTGATCAGTCATGTCTTGATTGGTCATATTGGACTGTTTCTATAACTGAAGTGAAAGCGAGATGACCTTGAACTCCATGTTTACTCCAAGAAGACGTCGTACAATTAGACAACGCGATGACGAATACAACGGGAATGCCAACGTGAGGAGGGAGACAGTGAGCGAACTCCAACACTAGGAACGCACTGGAAAAGTCTTGATCTCTTCACGTTACCAATGCTCAAAGTCCTATCGCTAGAAAATGTGACTCCATATAGTTTAAAAATCACCTAGACATGTATCAAATAGATCCCGCATCCATCCTCATAAGAGAACGCGAAGTGAATTACTCTCTGGCCAGAACCTTTCGTCTTTGCCTAAGCATATAAGAATACATCATGACCGAGCCTGGAAATGATTTGTTAGTTATTCATCCATTGAAGAAGCTGGTGAAAGTTTAAGGTAACTCACCAGGTGCATAAAGTCCCAAGAAAAAGTAATATAGACCCCTCACAGCCAACATAGTCGAAACAGTAGTGGCCTGGTACATTAACCATACTTCACTACCGATGCCGATCGGATACAAGATAGTAAAGAGAGAGTATCTAGAGCAGTAGAATTGAGTTAGGTTTCCCAAGGTTGTCTTCCCTTTACCTAGGCATCTGCTTGATCCCAAGTCACCCAGATCATGATAGTGATACGTACCTCATAAACGTCAAAAAATCAGGGATAGACAATCCAGCCAGTTTAATTGCGAAATAAGAGTAGCGGACGGCATCTGCAGTTGACCAGGCTAGAATCATTGCTGGATAAACCGGCGAGGAAGCTGTTGTGCTTGGGAATGCATAGTTGATTGCCCAGACCTGGACTGAGCGGGCATATACCTGGGTAAAGGTGGTGAAAACAGGCGAACGAGTTATTCCTAGACGAACTGCTTAGGAAGTCGAGGATTAAAATTGAGATCCAGGGTAGATTGTATACCGGTTGCTGCATGGATAATTTCAGCGATAGCTAACGTCTGAGTGAGGCGGGTCCATGGTTCTATGTTTGCATATACTTCAGAGAGGTTGGATGAAAGGAGAGTTGTGATTGTCGTGAGTAGGATGTATAGCCAGAGAAGTCCACAGATGACATTATAGGCTAGAAGGTAGATACGGCTGAAAGGTTGAGACCTATGTTTTAATGCCATTTTAGAGGGAAATTGAGAGTAAAAGCTGCAGGTGAAGTTGAATTTGAAAAGTTGGACGATGCTGACATGTGAACTTTTTACCTCAGTTTAACCAGATTGGGATTGAATATCCACTCGTGGATTACATTACATTCATCTCGACACAAAAACTGCCATTGGACAACCATTCACTCTCTAGGCTATGAAAAGATCGGACTACTAACAAATGGTATCTTTCTCGTAACACCCAACACTTTGAAAACAATCCCGATCCATCGGGAGAAAAAGAAAAAAAAAAGGGGGGGAATAGGTAGAAAAAGACAAAAAAAAAAAGTACACAAGACTTGGATTACATCACGAGGAAATCAAAGGGATCAAGGTGAGAAATTAAGTAAAAAATTAGGGAAGGTTGTTGATCACTCCTCCGGAAGCACACCGTTAGCCTTGAAATCCATTCGGCTAGTTTTGCGGCCGACCTTCAGAATGCTGAATCGTCGGAATACGGAGTCGCGGACACCGCTGTTGGAGTTGGAATTAGTAGCCGGAGGAGCGGGTGAGGTCCCATTGGATGTGCGAGAAGTGACGCCAGTAAGATTACGCCCAGTGGTGTGGCTGCTATCGCGTGTCACTGGACGAGAGTAGTCCCGAGGAATCGTTGACCAGCCACCATTAGCAGGAGCTGAGGCACCGTTGGAAGTAGGGGGACGCTGTTGTGAACTTGCCCGGCTACGACCACGGCGATCAGGAGATTGGCTGGTCGTGTCACGAGATGCGGTGCGAGTTAATTTGTTTTTCACATCATCGGCTATACCGCTGATGGAATGCGAAGAGCCATGCTTGGCACCACCGAAGAAGCTGCGTCGTTTATCATTCGTGCCACCTCTGGAACGATCAGTTGTCCGACTGTGGATGGTTGCAGCGTCATCTTCCAGCCCATCGTCGTGGTCACCAAAGCCATTGTGGCCCGTTGGTTGGATAGTGAAAACGGAGTTCGAGGCACCATGACGCTTGAACGGGTTCATGATGCTGATGCGGTGGCTGACTGACTGTCTATCAGAGCGTTTACGCGTGTGGCCATTAGTCTGCGTCGTCGTGCGACTCACTGCCTGCTCGGAGCTGAAAGACCGCTTAGAAACGCTGGGACGCTGTTTGAGTCGATCAGTCTTTGTGGGTGACCGGCGATTATGGGTCTGCTGAGTAGGTGTGATAGATTGTTCAGACGTAGACGAGCCGAAGGCGGCTATTTCTGGCTCGAAAACCGATTCAAAACGCCGAAGCAGCTGCTTTTGGGTGGCTTGCTGAGCAGGCCTTTGGTAGATGGAGATCGCATGCCTTATGGCCAGAGCATGGTCAGTTAGTGCAACAGCTAGAGCGTTCTCCATTGGGCTCAAGGGCTTCGGCGCTTCCTCCTCATCGGTCAGGTCCTCCTCTGTATCCTCAACTAGTTTGTCCTTGGTACCTTGGGCATCGACAAGGAAGCTGCGGTAAAGCCCGCAATTAGACGACTCGAGTAGTTGTTCTATAGCTTCGGTCAAGCTGGACAAGCTGTTATCTTCGCCAGAAGTTGACCGTCGCTCCAGGATCTGCAATTCCTGTGTCTTACGACATGTTCTCTCTATGGCGGTCTGCAAAGGAGAGAGATCAATCTCCTGCGCAGACACAATCTCACTCCGGCGAAGGATGTTTGGGAATGTGTCCGCAGTGGTGAGAATAAGTTTCTCAACATACTGCTCACGAACATCTTTGTCACTCGTATGTCTGCGAGAGGTGGTAGAGAAACGGGACGGCTCGGACATTAACATGTGTTCGCGAACAGATAACGGCACCTTGGATCGCTGATACACGGGATGGGCGATATCGCGATGAACACTGACTCCGCTGATCTGGATATACTGCCCTTCATAGTCATTGATTTCACCAGAAGATACGATTTGTGCCGTAGGATGTTCACGCTGCATTCGGTCGACGAACGATGCCATGCGCTCGGACGGCGAGCCTTCAAAGATGAACTCCTTGTCGCGCACACCAGGTGGAAATCCAAGACCCTTGTAGGTGATACGGTAGTACCGGGGGAACTGCTTGGTACCCTTGGCAATGTAGTCGTAGATTCGAGCGATGGAACTCTGAGCGCGGGATAACTTGGCAAAGTCCATCGTGGTAGCTTCGTAGTGAGCAGCAAGCTCCTTGTAGCAGGCGAGAGCAGGTGCCCAAGCCATGGCATTCTCAAAGTGCTGAATGATGGAGAAGTATAGTGCTTCTTTGCGTTCAAACGCAGTCTGTGCTGGGAAGGCTGGATTTCCAATCTCTGGCAGGGCCTTGTTCAGATCCCAATCATAGAGGTCGGCATGGAACTGAAGCGCCAGGCCAGCTTCGGTGAAGTTGCCAGCAGCAATTTGATGATCAGCTAGCTCGTGGACGTAACGAATGAAGATATCCTCGCGACCCATATCCTTCATGTATTCCATGAGCTTCAGGGCGTGCAGGCTCTGAGTTGAAGCGCTGTTCTGGGATGCAATCAAAAGGTCTAGCAGTTCATCCACTGTGGAAATGAGATCCTTCACGGCATTGTATAGACCCTCATCGGATTCAGCCGTATGCTCAAATAGACCGAGGAGTTCACTGATGAAGATCTTTTGGCTAACACTCTCATTCATGTGCTTCGATTTGAACAGAGAGTCCAGACTTGAGATAATCTCGGTTTCAATGATTGAAACATCTTGATTCAGGTCCCACTCACTCAAGATCATGGTTCGAAGGATGTGGACAGCAACGTGGCGGAGTCCTTCATGTACACTCAGACAGAGTCCGATGATTGGTGGCACCAGGTTAGGAACGTATTGAACCTGGTATCCACCCATCCGCTTCAAGCCGTATAGGCCAAACTCCTCGTCGGTAGTCTCCCAGCCGATGGCTTCCCATGTGGAATCCAAAAGATCCGCGCCTTGCTCACGTACATCTCCTGCGATCTTCCACACAGCTCGACGTTTCTGTTCCGGGAAAGTTTCAAGGGCAAGGACATCGCTGGTAATGACCTTGAGCAAGGTTGTGAAGAAGTACTCCCACAGTTTTGTGTCAAATGTCTCAGCATCATCGGGACTGGGGAGAAACTTCTCGATCAGAATTAAAGCGAGATGCTCCAGACTCTTGATGGCTGCACGATGGTTGTAAACGTGTATGCTAAACCATGACTCTGAGTACGCCTCGCAATCGATGATGGAATTGTGGGTCTCGAACGCTTGCATTACAAATGTAGCCAGCTCCAGCTCCTTCAAATTGGGAATCTTCGGGGAAACAATCTTTGCCAAAGCAGCAATAATGGCAGATAGTTCCACCAGCGCCTCGTCGAACTTTTGAGGAGTCTTCGATGTCTTCATCTGGAAGGGGAAGGACTTGCTGAAGAGGAGAGACAAATATTCACTCTCCTCCACACCTTCTCTTGAGATGGCACAGTACGAAGCCACAACGCTTGGCATAAATTCATAAAGCTGCGGGTATGGTTGATCGAGGAGTTGGGCGACGATCGCATTACTGAGTCGAACCTGATCGCGGTATTGATCAGAGACATCAGATGTAGAACCCCAGTATGGTGTCAGCCAACCCACGCAACTGGAAATGAGGGTTTTTCGCTCTTCGCCGGTCGAGAATATGGCGAGCTGGGTATAGTTCTGGATCAGCACCAACTTGTACAGCACTAGCATTCCTGTCACATCCTTGCATGAATCCATAAAACTCAGAGCAATCATAATCATTTCATCTTGGCTCAAAACCTTGGTAAGCTCGGGCAGCCAAGAGTGAAAGTGCTGGACAATCAAGGTCTTGCTTCCCACCAGGGTTGGTGAAGGAATTTTCATCAAAGTCTCCATAGATTTGAAAATTGTATGCAAATCTCGATTAAAAGTGGATTGGACTGTGGTTATCCCAATGCCTTCTTCCTTCGCCTGTTGTTGCCCGCGGGCATTGATAATGAATTTGAGAATTTGACGTCCTACCTTGAATGCAGCACGAAGGTTACGAGACTGCTTCGGGTCGGTGGAGGCACCTAACAGACGCAGGTAGCTGCGAATGAGGCATGGAGTGGCAAAAGGGAAGTCGAATTGCTCATCAGCATAGCGGTCGACAAGAGGACCAAGATTGAATCGTCGGTCATGGACAATTCCCAGAACTGTGACCAGGTTGTTAAATATTAAATCTTCGTACTCCTCATTGCCTGCATTATCCACCAAGATTCCGAACAGTGCGTCAAAAACGCCACGAACCTGTTTGACAATCTCGATCTCAGGAACGAAGAGCATTCGTTGCAGAGTATTGAGAACCTCGTCAACTGGCCGTTCTTTCCAATGAAGTAGACTCAAGATGACCTGATCTTGAGAATATTCGGTGCTGCATAGATGAGTCTCGAGGCGCAGGGTTGCCAGCGGCCCAGTCAATGCTTCATCCTTGGCCGATTCATTTTTGCCAAGTGCACTCCAAGGGAGGCTAAGGTAGAGACCCTTTCCTCCCTCAATAGTGGAAGTCTGCTTGTCATATGCATGGAGCAGCAACGAATGGGGACCATCTCGGATGAATGCCTTTTGGTCCCAAAGGGGCATCCACGCCAAGGCGAAGGGAAATTCGGGAGCATCTGCGACACTCATAATTAGGTGACAGCCCGGAATCTGGTCAGTGGGAATTTTGAGCCGAATGGTCTGATTCCAAGGCATGCCTCGAGATGTGATGGTAGTACGCCAAGCAGTCTGCGATACGTTGGCAGATGATGGGAACACACAGCGTTCCAAGCGTGCACCCGAGGAATTTCGCACCTCTAAGGTAAGTTGAAGATTATGCAATCCATTGTGGGTCTGGAGAGGAATTTGACCAGCAGATGGATGTGAGAGCAGCGCATCTGTAGGAAACACAGCCTGAGATAGAGTGACATAAATGTCAGATCTCTCCTTAGCAGGCGCTTTAGAGAATCCAAGGCGTCTAGTCTGGACAACATCATGCAGCATGGTAGGATTGCGGCGCACAAGGATTTCAGCGTCTGTACTGACAAACGGATGCAGGTGGACATGCAAACGTGCGGCTGATGCAGAGCGCACGTACCGTCCATTATGGCTTGGAAGAAGCATTTGAAGTAATTTCTCGAAGCCATCTGTCGTTACTTCACCCTCTTCACCCTCTCGTGTTGGTGACCAGACATTAACGATCTGCTCAGTATCCTGATCTTGTTTTAAAACGGCCGACAACTCCAGGATTCCAACACCTACGGTACGAGACACCAAAATCTCCTTATTGGATGCAGGCTTGGGACTGGTCGGCTCCTTAACAATGGAAGTGGAACTTGCTGACTGCGGAAGCCCTCGAGTCGATGTTCCGTTGGTTGATCCTCCATCCAAGCTAGGTCGACCCTTCGTAGTCCACATCATACTACGTCGTGACTTCAAACTCCCCTTCACCGAGGGCTGAATACCTCCAGCTGAATTCACCTTAGGTGATGTCGGTATCTCTCTCGATATTGACGGCCGTGGAGTCGATATATTGTCGGAGCTAGAACGTGATTCCTGGACTCGTACTGAAGTGACCATGTAAAGTTGACGCCCGTTCGCACTTCCATCCCCAATATCAGTTGCGGCGAGTTCCGTGAACAGTGTTTTCAGCTTATTACTCTGAGTTAAGCTGACAAATTTGTGAGGAGACGGAATGTCCAAGGCGAAGGTTTCGGACAGTGGACTGAAAGAACCGGTATCAGACCGAGAATAGAGCTGCACTCCAAGAGACACAGGACCGGGAATATTGCCTGAAACCGCGTGAATTTCCATCAATAGATGATGCAAGGTTGTAGTATCAGAGCTGACGATTGGACGACTGTCGAGCATGCTCATCTCAGACTGTAGCTTTGCCAATTGGACAGCAGAGTCATCACCAGTTAGCAACCGTCCTCTCTGATCAGGATCCCGCACAATGACATCTCCACTGAGCATTTTGTTGGCCCTGACCAGTTTCCAGACTGTTTCATCTCGGAGAAGCTCTTTTTCCTTGCCAGTCAACACATTATGCAGCAATTGGCGCCGTGAAAAGTCCAATTCCTGTACAATTGTAGACATTTCCTCCAGAACGTCGTATTGCTGGGCCAACAGTAATTCGTGTAAATTAGTCGAGTGCCATTCACGCAGGCATGAGGCGATCTCGTCAACAAGAGGCTCCGAAATAGACGTTGGCGTTTCGTCTCCGATTTTAAGCATAGGCACAGGTGCGGCAGGCTTGGGCATATCGGGATCACGGGGAGTGAAGGAAATAGGAGTATGAGGAATCGAACCGGGTAGGAATGCGTGAGCGGATCGGGGACTGTTAAGATCCAAATCTTCGGTCTTGGGAATGATAATTTGTGTCGGTTTGCCCTTACTCGCGATAACCACACCCGCTACACCTGTCATCTCAACACCATGTTGAGTCTGATTCACGGGTGAATTTGCCTTGCTGCTTCGAGTTTGAATGTCTGTATCTAAACTGGGCAGGGTTGAATAGTCGATACTTTTGCGATCGCCATTCACCATAGATTTGTACCCATCTGATTCACCCAGCATTTCGCGGATCTCGACACAATTCCGCGGAAAGATTCCGGAGAAAACACGAGCCTCAAGAGTTTGGCCCTTGGTGCTCGTCAATCCCGCCAATAATGACGGTGGCGCTACCAGGTAGCCCCTGCACCACTCGCCATTACAACCCCCTTGTTCAATAATGTACAATTCATCACCAAGTTCGAGAGGTAAGTCTGCGGGGGAGGAAGGGTGGAATGGGTAGATAGCCACCGCAAAAGCAATGCGAGGCAGTGGCCGCCAGGGCATAGCTGCAGTGGCTTGTAGAATTCCAAGAAACTAAGCCACGAGATTGCAACGTGCCAATTTCCCCGCAAAAGTACTAACGTGGGCGATCGGATTGCGAGATTTTCGGAAGGGATTCACGGTGAAGAATGTTGGCCCTGTTCAAAGGCACAAGACATACAGTGAAGAGTTCGGTTTAACGGGCTCGATCGAAAAGAACAATTTGCGCTCAATTCAAGATATGCGATAGCTGAAGGATCTAAATAAGAATTTGTGATTAGAGTACTGAAGAACGAGGGGTTCATCATAGGAAGGATTGGGGCGGGTCCTAAAATAGAAGATGCGCAGAACCAAGACAAAACCGAATAGAGAGACAGATGTTGCTCTCATTCACGCGCCGTTGAAACCCGAAATGGACCGAATTGTTACGCTGGGATATCCTTGCGAAACGACTCAAATGCATTGTGGAGACCCCCGAAATGGTCTCTTAGGCAAAGACAGCGGGGACGCAGGGGGTAAAACTCACAGGTAAAACGAGCGTCAATTAGAAGAAGAACAGAAAAGAGAAGATAATTAAAGAAGGGATCAAAGTGAGCAACGGAAGGAAGAGGTTGAAGTTGAAAGGAGAGAGAAGATGAAAGGGAAATCGACGATCATTGGATTTAGTCCAGTCCCTTTTCCTCTCCACATCAGCGGACAGTTCCACAGATACTATGGTTTCAATTGAAAGGATAGCTACAGTTCATCAGATTAGAATACGTTATTTAATACGAAATTTCAAGTTGCATAAATGATAAAAGCCTTGCTTAGTATCTACTACTATCTGCGGAGTATTGGTCCGAGGAAAGACCATTTCGAATAAATAGCTAGTATTCAATAAAGATATCTAAGGATTTGAAGATTTAAAGATTATATAACCTCCAATTAAATGATAGACCTTAACTATTACTTTAATTCAAGACTCCTGAATTCTTGAATCTTTAATACTAACAAGCACAGACCAGAATCTGCCCCTGAGCAATAAAACAAAATGAGGCCGAACTGTGGGCTAGACTATATGACTAAGCCATTACTTAACCAGCTTTTAACTAACTAGTTATTTAAATAAATAGTGAACTATTTAACTAATAACAACTAGTTGACAATCATGCTTATACGTACGAGATGAGACCCTCGAAAAAGGAAGAAAGAGATAAGAGGAAAATATTAATTCTATAGGCTCATTTCCGGAACATGGCGTTGACGTCCTCCTTGCGCCAGTCCAGTTCCAGTTGCCCTTCATATACAGTATCGATAATGTGCCGGGTTTTGTCATACGCATTTTCATAGCGGATTTCGCATTCCCGTAGGACCTTGATCACAAGGCTTCGGCTGAGACCAGGGTCATCAGCGTCACCGAAATGCTTCTCAACTCGCTTTTTCAGCAGCTCAACACCGCGTTTGATTTCTTTGACGTCGTACGAGGAGAATAGCTTCTTCGCCACGGATCGAGAGTAGCTTGCGCGAGATGCGATGTCGGCAACAGCTCCGGATTCTTTCAGGTTTTCAATGGACTGGATGAAATCAAGGAGCTTGCCGAGAGGACGGTGAATCACTGAATCAAGGTAGAGCTTCATGTGCTCAGCGAAGTCTTCATTGGCTCGGTCCTTCCAGCGTTGTAGGACTGGAAGATGATGTTCATCGACTTCCTCGGCGTAGTGATTCATATTCTCTATGAGCAGAATGTGGTAATTGAGAACCTCCTTGTCCTCGGGATCTCCAGCACCTGCGGTCACACCTGCTGGTTGGCCTGGTGCTTCCTTGGCGATGAATTTGAGTGACTCCCACATCGCTCGGTTAATGCGATCATATGCCTCGTTGATGCTGATTCGAATGTCACAGAACTCGCTAGACGGCTGAGAAAGCATGTTCTCAATGGCATTGGAGAAATGCGGAAAAACGCGCATGAATGAAATCACGCCCTTTCTCTTGTTGACCTTGACCTTCGTATCTTCAATACCACGAATCTGTTCATCCACAAATCGGTTGAAAAGGCCCATGAGTCGAGTGTGGACTTTTTGCATCGCATGGATGACAAATTCTTGGTTGCTCTCCTCAAAGTCACTAATTGCCGACTCCAAAGAAAACAAAATTCCGATTCCTTGCCTAAAGATTGTGTTAGTAAACCATGTCATAGTATACAGTGGAGGGAAAGCAACTTACAAAGGATCAGCCTGTAACGCCCAATCTATCAGAGACTGCAAGTCAGCGGGCCAGAAAGAGTAGACTTCATCCATGATTCCCTCGACTCTCTTCGCCATCGTGCGGTCAAGATCATGCGACTGCTTAGCTGAAACATCTGGACATTGTCGTGATTCTGGTGTGGCAGATACCAAGTCTGAAAAGTCAGCATTGGCGAGAGAATTCAGGTGGAAGAACTCAACAAGGAAGTTCTGTTCCTGAGTGATCATATTCAAGGTCTCGCGCAAAGTCCCGGCAAAGGCCTCATAGGGGTCCACTTTGCTAGTAATCTTCTTCTCGTTGGAAGCCAACCGGAGACCAGCTGCAGCACGAACAGTCTTGCCTCGTCGAACGGTAAGCTTGCGAGCAGCCATTGTGATAGTCTCGGCTTCTTTCTCCTTTTCTTGATGTGTGAAGAGGAGTTCCGACTCCTCTCCGGTGGGCTTTCGGGCTATCTTCTTCCAAGCTGAGTTGTTGTCGCGGAATTCAGCCTGATATGAAGGCTTAGATCCCTGGTCGTACATACCGACCAAAGAATGCCATTCTGCCATGCTGACCTCACGGGCGAACAACATGAGCGGGTTATATTTCCAAATTTCTGCGCGGAATTGATGTCGTGCGGAGCTATCTAGCTTCATGGGGTCACCTGATGCCGATGCCGCCGCCTCCACCCGTTTCTGCTCTGCCATCTTGAAGGCAACAGCCATGAACTGCTTGAGTCGTTGGAGGAAAACCAGTGCAGCAGAGTGGTACTCCTCCTTCTTCTGTTTAATTGCACGCATTTGACCGAAGTCGGTGTTGGCATAAACTCCGACGCTTGCATCAACCAAGCGCGTCTTATTAGATCCAAGATCATTATCAATCATAAGCATAGCTTTGTACAAAGTTGACAAGGCATTTTCGGTATCTCTCAATCCACCTGGGCTGCTGAGAGAGGCCTCTTTGAGTGGACGAATGTCAGATGAAGAGATCGACAGTGTCTTCAAAAGTGACTGCAATTCATTCTGGAGCAGTTTTTGGTTGGCCGTCTGCACTTGGAGACCCTGAGACTGGGCTTCAATATAGGCCACATCTTCATGAAGTGTCTAGGAGAATGAAACAGATTAGCATATTAGACAAAGAATCTCGCAGTTCACGAGTGACTTACGTTCAATTCGTGAGAGTAAAGAGTCAAAAGACCATCCAGCTCGTCACACTCTTCGATTGTCTTGTCAATGAGGACACCCAGCTGTTCTACCTTTCCATCTTGTTGTTCCAGATTACCAAGCCAGCTAGTCGCTTCAACACGTCCTATCTCGCGACGGATGTCGGCTTCCAAGTCCTCAAACTTTTGCTCGTCAGCTAGCCTGCCGTTCCAACCCAAATCGGTCAGTATATCATCAAAGTCAATTCCACGTCCATCAAGAATACTGATTTCGATTCCAAGAGCTTGGCAGTACTTTATTGTGTTATCTTCACGGCGTCTTCGACGACGACTTTGAGCTGATGGAGAGGGTGTTCGCGAACGGTTTTCCAATGTCATTTCTGACAAAGAATCAAGAGACTGTTCCAAAGTAGGGAGAAGGTCTACCCGAAGCTCCTCTGTGGGTGGTTGCGTTATTTCAACTGTGGGCTTTGATACCACAGGGGCGCTAGTTGTTGAAGGTATAACTACTGTTGGTGCTGGTGCTGGGACGGGTGCTGGTACTGACGCTGGCGTTGGTGATGGTGATAATGCTGGTGCCTGCTCATCCACTGGGCTCTTGGGTGCATCATTGGCAGACCGGGCAAGGAATGGGGCAGGAACAACGCCTGTAATTCCATCGGGTCCAGCTTCTTCCGCCTTCTGTTTCTTTGCTGCTGCTAGCAGTCGCTCTCCAGCTCCTCCAGCTCGCGGTTTGAAGGCACCATAGGCAGTTGCAGCTTTACGGAAGGCACCTGCAAGCTCTTTTGTACCCTTGTTCTTTACCATAGGACCCAGACCAGGGCGATGTGCGTCTCCTGCTTCTTCGGACGAGGCCGGACTTATTGGTGTCTCTTCTGCGGGAATTTCTTTCGGGGCTTCTGGGGGAGCTTCTGCGGGGGCTTCTGTGGGAGATTTTGTGGGGATAAATTCAGGGTGGCTAGATGGCTCTGCCACTGCCATAACAGCTGCTGCCACTTCGGGTTCCACGATGAGTGGCGAAGATGGTATATCCTCTCCAACTGGGACACTCTTCGGTTGATCTGTTAGTGTCACAATAGGAGGCGTCGCAACTTTGAGAGCTTCCGGTAACTTCTTCTCCGGGGGCGGCCGTGGCTGTTCAAGAATGGGCACACTGGGGGTTTCACGGTATGGCTGATATGGTTGATATGTTTGGTACGGCGATTTCGGTGCAAGGTTGCCTCCAGGGCTGATTCCTCCGGGGCTTGGTGTGCCTCTCGTCTCGCCGTTGAATGAACCGGGTGTAACTGGGCGTAATGCATCCGTACTCAGCTTCGGTTCCAATGTTCTTTTTTCTATGGGTTGAGGTGTGGTTGTTAATGGACTTTTAGGGACGTCTTCACCACGTGATGACGATGGTCGAGAGTCTGGAATACTGAGTTGACTACTTTCTTGCAAGAATGATGATCCTTGTGAACCAAGCTTTGGCTCCATGCGTTGCGGCGGATGAACATAGGGCGTTGGATTGGAAGGCGCTCCAAACGGCGGAGCTGGTTTAGACGCAGTGGATGGACGTGGTAATTGCTCACGGCTCTTCTGAGCCCGAATTATAGGGTCTTCAGAGATCTGCCGTCTGATCTCAGGTTTCACATCACGGCCAGGACGTTGTAGTGGTGGAGCTTGTGGCGCAATAACGGTTTCCGATGACGGCCCAGCACGCGAAGGTGGTGGTTGTTGGTGTCCTTGTTTGATTCCTGATGCAATTCCTGGTACTTCTCCTATGAGTAATTGCCGTTCTCTTTCATCAAATCCAAACATGGTCGGTAGTCTTCCTCCCGTATATTTTTTATAGATCTTCACCAAACTGCCGATGAAGAAGTCCTTCTCCTTAGCACTTCTAGCATGCCAGTAGTAGGGCTTTCCAATGACGACCACAAATCCAACATTTGCTGACCATTCCTTGTAGTGTTGCTCTTCAGGTGTCTTCGGAACAAAGGTATGGTAGGTTTGAATCGCAGTGAGATCGTCGAGCATCCATGTTTTGCCAATTGAAAACGATCCATCGTTATTCTCACGGGCCTTATGCATGCGCACTCTACCTGATCTTCGGACGGAAACAATGATCACGCGGGGCTTTTTGTTGTTGGGCGCCGATTCTGGTGGAGCAGGGGTAGAGGGGTAGGCTGCATCCTCGGTGATGCGGACGTGTGTTATGTATGATTCAATTACTAAAGTAAAACAGCAGTCAGCAATTAGTTCTTATAGCCAGATATTCAATAATATTTCAAAATAACACCAGGTTCTAGACCACTGTGTAACATCATGGCGCGGGCCGTCATCCCTTAACAGCGGGGAAGCAAGTAGCAATATCAGCTCAAAGGAGAGATCAATAGTATTTACTTACAGGTTCCATCACTATCCTTCTTCGAGTAACAGCTTTGCATAATACGTTTCTTCTCATCTTCAAACTTCTCGGCCCTAGAGATGGAGGTATCGCCCGACCCTTGGCGACTGTTGGCTCCGCGAGGCGGAGGTGGGCGAGGCCGACCATTCCCATTCCCATTGATCATTTTGTCGTTTGCTAGAAATCAATATCAAATCACTGCGCGGACTCTGCTAGATCAAGAACATGGTCGAGAGCGGGGGAGTATCGGAGTATCGGAACCAGCCAGACCAATCTAGGAGTCCCGCGCGCACCCGTGCCAATTTGTCTTCTAGATGACACAGAAAGCACAGTATGAGGTCGCAAAATAGATGCAGCGAGTGGGATTCGATTTGCGACAACAAAAGATGTAGGTAACAGCTTTGATTAGCTCATCACTATGTTTGGGGTTGTAGGGCGGAGAGAGCTTAATAGGAGCGGGTTATTCAGTTGATCCGGCTGCAATGAGGCTTAGTTCCAAGGTTGACAAATCCAACTCAAAATACAAGCGCTCCACTGACATATCAGATATATAGTCTATTCAAATATTTAAAGTAGGCATTTTGACGTCTCTTTTTCAGAATCTTGAATTTCAGTCCATGCACTTCGTGCAGGTTGCCACGTTATATTTCCACGTGACCCATAGGTCAAGACGTATTTATGATGCCAGTCAACTTTGACTGCCTTCGAGAAACTCAATCAGTATTCAAACAAAGGAGTATAATCTCCCAAAGTCACTCTACTTAGGTAACCTTCTGGCTATATGAATTGTGCTATTTCTATACCTAGGTATTGCCTACTATTTGAACGCACGATGTAGATCTTGAAAAGGCTTAAACTCACCGCCCTCATAACTATATCACGTGATAAGGTTGATCTTTTTTATCTGTTTTTATTTGCCCAATCATCGTCAACAACAGCTGACCGCCTGATATATACACTTTTTTTTTTTTCGTTCCTGAAAGGCGACTTTTCTCAACAGACAAACTCGCAACGTCTGGGTTTTTCGCTGTTTGTCAGTGGGTGGATATTTAATTCTGGCAAATTCAGATTGTATTGCTAGCAATCATGGCCAAGTCAAATACTTCGAAGAAGGTAAGCCTTGAATTCCTGCTCTTTCTCTTTGTCTCTAATCAGCAACGCGCCAATTGAGCAACGTTTGACTGACACTTTCTCAAATAATAGGCAGAGTCTAGCCCACCTTCTCAACTCCTCTCGGCCGTTGCTGCATTCCTATCTACCAATGGCTTCTCTGGTGCTAGTACTGCTTTAGAAAAAGATCTGAAAAAGGCTGGCAAGACCGCCGATGTTAAGGGCGCCCCATCCTTGTTGGAGATTTTCCAGGCTTGGGAAAAGAAGACCCCTTCTACAACCGCCGATAGTTCTTCTAGCTCCTCTGAGGATGATAGCAACAGCAGCTCGAGCTCCGACTCCTCTAGCTCAGATTCTGACAGTGATGCCGACGACTCCGACGTTGAAATGGAAGATGCGCCCAAAGCCTCAAAAAGCAAGAAGTCTCGCTCCTCTTCCACTTCTTCATCTTCCTCTTCTAGCTCTGACAGTGACGCGGATGATGAGGCGGCCTCTATACCTGCCCCTGTTCAGAAGGCCCAGACTGGCGTGAAGCGCAAGGCCGAGTCTAGCAGCTCAGAATCCTCTGATTCGGATTCAGGCTCAGAGTCTGATGCTCCTAAGGCTAAAAAGGCCAAGACCATTGAGAAGGAGGATTCGTCTTCTTCTGAGGATGACTCTGACTCATCCTCGTCCTCTGACTCTTCCAGCGACTCATCCGACTCCTCCAGCAACTCTTCATCCGACTCTTCTAGTTCGGACTCCGATTCAAGCTCTGACTCCGACTCTGACTCTGATTCTGACTCGGAGGAGTCCGACAAGGAGCCTGCCAAAAAGGCCGATTCCAAGGCCCTGAAGAAAGCGACTAAGACCCCGCTCCCAGAATCTTCTGATTCTGATTCGTCTAGCTCGTCCAGCTCTTCATCTGACAGCTCTGACGATGAAGAAGAAGAAAAATCTGGCTCTGACACGAGTGGCACGGTAGTTTCTGCTTCCGAGCCTGTGAAATCAGCGGAAATCTCGTCTTCTAACGACAGCCCCGCTCCTGGAAATGGCTCAGCCAAGAAGAAACATGTCGGAGCTCGCCCCACCCCCTTGGCTGCTCTAAGTGCTTTGCCTTTTGATGGCCCGCGAAATGATTATGTCCCTTATGCCTACGCTGAACGCGCTTTCAATGATTTGTCGGTAACTCGTGGTAAGGGCTTCACCAAGGAAAAGAACAAGAAGAAGCGTGGTTCTTACCGTGGTGGCCCCATTGATACCTCTGGTGGCAAGGCTTTCTACTTCGACGACTAGACGACTTTTTGAAGTGATTATATGCCTTGGAAATACTTATCCGACTAGTCCCGTCTCAATATCTCCAATGGGGGTTTCGCCACATTTAAGCACGGCGCATTTGGAGCTTAGGAGTGATCTTGCTTGTTGAATTCATATAAATTATAAAAAAGTTTCTCCATAAGTACTTGCTTGCAAAAATTCTGAAAATCCTTCTCTTGTGGTATCTATAGATAGACTTTCAACTTCTAGCGCCTCATCTCCAGTTTGAAGGTTTTGCAATGGGTGCCCATCGCCGATCCCAGCCAGTCATCTCTTCGTTGAAATCTCTTGACTCAGGATACCAAAATCCATGTTGTTTACGCAGCTTAGCTGTTGTGCTCAGATCATCTGGGTCCGGGCGCTCATATCCTGCCAATCTTGACACCTTGTCTTCCGCAGCTGGTACTGAGGGCTGACCCATATCTACACCAAGATCAAGATTTAAATCATACCAATCTTTGACTGGTCCGGTCAAGTCATCAGTGGATGCAAAATCGAGACGTACAACGCCATCCACGATCCCAATGTATGCCGTCGGCGAGGATGATGATGGTGTAGAAATTGTATAAATTGGACCACGGTATGATTCGTCTCTGCGCCGGCGAGAGCGGGGGTTTGATGGGTCAATAGGAGGGTGAGCAGAGAGGAAGAGAGAGAAGTTGTGGGCTCTTTTTTTCTTCACCGAATTGGCGAGTTTGTTGGTTGTGGATGGGCTATTCCCATTCAGGTAGCTGTATGTATTACCCATGCGAAGATCAAAAATCTTCAGAAGGGCGTTGCCCCCGGTCCCAGCTAGAAAGTGGTCATTTCCAAAGGGGTGCACGCTATATACTTGGTTCATATCTGTGGTATCTCTATATGCAGCTTCGTATGAGCGCGGGGAACGAATATCATGGAGGCTAGCAGCGTGTTAGTCAATACTCCTAGCTTGTCTTGGTTGAAAACATACCGTATAGCACCGTCACCCCACGCAGCTAGAAAAACATCTCCTTGGGACCCAGTAAATGTACAAGTATTGAGAGGCATGATAGCAGTGGTATTGGCTTGCGCCCAAGTACAGACTCGCTCATCAAGGTCCAGGGCAGTCACGTCAATTTCGTGCTTAAAACGAATGCCATCGGGTGCGACTGTTGAAACTGAAAGAGACCCTTGTGTTTTTCCTGATGCGACAGCAACTCGCGATTCAGAAAGAAGTTTTGAGTATCGCCTTTGCAATGTTGTGTCTTGCTCTGGACGAATCAATGCAAAGGGCTCAACATCTTTCACATCGTTCTTAGCATGGTAAAAAGCAGTACATCCATTAGCAAAATGGGCTGCGAGTGTACCACCATAAAGGTCGGTTCGTTCTAGTTCCAGGCCATGAGTAATGAAGTTTTGCCTGATATCATGCGTGGCTTCATTGAGAGAAAGTGCGATATGAACAAGCTCGCCTCGCATTCGACCGAAGATCAAGGGCTGAATGTTCACATCCTTACTCTGTTCCGGCTCAAGAAGATGCACACCACATATATCATCATAAACACTGGCATTCTCTACTCCGTTGAATAAAAACCAGTTTTCTTGCGGATTAGATCCAGACTGTTTTGTTCGCATTACAAGCTTATGACCTGCGCCCCAAGCAAGTACTTCCTTCTTATCAGCCCAGCGATCACCATTCCAGATCTCATATGAATCAATAGCAGGTCGGTAACCAATGGTAGGATTATCGCGACGAGTTTCGTCCTTGACTCCAATTCGAGTTATGCTCTTGGAAGGGATGACGAACCGGCCGATGATCCCTAGTTTATCCAACGCTCGCGACCGAGAGGTCAGGGCACACGCCGCATCTTTCCAGAACGCTGGGGTGGCTGTTCCTGGAAATTTGGTTTGGACAAAGCCTCGGAATATTGTTGACTCTTCTGTAGTAACCACTTGGTGCAATCGATGACAAGTTTGTGAAAGGTTCAACACATCAGTTGCAGTCTCAAGATATATTGCGATGTGGACGACGATTTCGGAGGGGAGCTCAGTGAGCATGTTGTTACCGGGTATCTAACCAGACCAAACCGGTTAAAAAGAATCTATAAGGCAATTGCTAGCCTTGATTAATGACACGAATTGTGTATCAAACAACATTGAAACCTGGAGCATGGGGTTTGATGGCGGTACAGACGGAATTAGGCATTTCCGAACAGAGGAGCGTGTTGAGTTCTATACGCTGGTCGCTATGTAGTTGAATAAATGGTACAAATATGAAGTGATTTTGATAAGTACGATATTGTTTAATCCTCATAAACAGTCAAGACAATGAGGTTTAAGGTTATCCATTGCTTGACTTCAAGGTTGGTGGTGTTGACTAAGCACCGGGAAATTTGCAGCCACCCGCCGAGGCCTCATTATCATTGATCTCGATCTCAATCTCAGTCATAACTTACGTGATCTCTGCACACAATGCCTCCACGACTTAATCTCTTCGCAGCCCATAGGGCCGCATCTGCCCTCCGTCAGTCAACAGTATCCTCCACTGCACGGAGCATCGCATCGCCGCTACGAATCCAGTCCGTCCCAGTCCAGAAAAGATGGAATTCCTCAAAAGAATCAAAGCCGGAGGACCAGAAGCTTTCTACACCGGATTCAATTCCCAGTGTCAGTGAAGAGGCCGCCGAAATGGCAAGGATTCTAGAGAAGGAAAAGGGCTGCGACGGGCAGCCAACAGCTCCGGAGCTCCAGCAAGGATCTCCAGTTTCGGAGGTGAGAAGCATTCATGTGTTATCTCTATTATCCCATATTAATATATTTTTACGCGGTCAGATTCTCCAGCGCGATGATAAGGCCAGGAAACTCATGCCAAAGGTTATGCAAGACCAATTGAAGGCCTCCAAGGGCTTTCGTTCTTTCTCGACCTCTTCTCGCCGCAGCGAGGAAGCTGATACATTCTTAATGAGTGATGATGCTTCTGCCGCCATTCTTGCAGACATGGTCGAGCAGCTGAACGTGAAGGCCTTGGAACGCTCCCCGGGCCTTAAGTTTGACGAACCGGATGTTTCATCCAAGCCACAGAGCTTCCGAAAGCGCTACGATGATATGCAGGACCAATTCACCAAGATGATCATGCAGGATGGAAAGTTGGCACGCGCACAGAAGGTATGTTCTTTCTAGGTGGAGTCTCTCAGTGCCATATCTAATTTCAGCTACAGAACATGTCCACCATTCTTGATCACCTCCGTACTTCCTCTCCTCCCAGTATAAACCCCCGCCGCCCTCTCCTTGGTGGACCACCAGCTGCTCAACTGCCCTTCGATCCCATTCTTTATCTCAGCTTGATTGTCGACTCAGTGGCTCCTCTCTTCCGCATTCGCCAACAGAAGGGTATCTCTGGAGGTGGTACTGCCGTGCAAGTCCCCCACCCTCTGAATCTCCGTCAGCGCCGCCGCGCTGCTATCAAGTGGATTATTGATGCCTCGAACAAGCGACGTGATGCGCAGCTGGCGCACCGACTTGCAAATGAGTTGGTTGCTATTGCAGAGGGACGTAGTGGAGTTTGGGAGCGAAGAGACCAGCAACATAAAATCGGTATCGCAGGTCGTGCGAACTTGGGACTTGCGCCTCGTCGTCGGTGATCTGCCTGTATTAATTATTTCATTTCTTGTTCTCAGGAGACAGAAGGGGTTCTGTTCGTATTTGAGGACCTTTCACGCACCTGTAAATTTAGTATGTACATCAAACTAGCTCGGTCTTTTTCTCGTCCATTTTAAATATCCTCCCTCTATGATATTTTCCATATCAATATCTGTGATCCCTGAAAACTTCAATGGTTACGCAATTTCAGATCTCACTTTAGCTTTGTACAAATTCGGCCACGTGCAATGACTGGTGGCTTACCTCATCAGGCTACGCAAAGACGACAGGAGCCTCCATTGAGGCTTGGAGGATCATATCTCTAACGAGCTAGCTTCTTGGAGACAAGTCACTACAGGGATTAACCGCAGATCCAATTCACCAAAAACCATTCTTAACCGATAGCCCTACCACCAGTGCGACCTAGAAAAGTCCTAGCCGATACACCGACTAGCTTTGCCCCCGCAACATCTTACCATTCAGGTGCACAACAGCAAACCCCCTCTCGATATCATCATCCGCGACAGTGGCTTCCTCTGCCAGTGGCGAATCCCTCGAACTTTTAGACTACCATAACTCCGGATCCACCAGTGACATCCTACCACTCCAAACTACGGTTAATTCAAGCTCGCACGCGGGCTTCAGTTCTAGGTCGTGTATAGACTGTGAGAAGACTTTCTCATCGAATCCGTCCAATTCTACCGTCAGACTTTGGGCCGAGGCCCTCCGACGCCGAGCTCATCTTGCAACTCACAACCCTGATTTAGAGGTTGTTGCCAAGATGAAGTTCTCGCACAGCATCCAATTTAATGCAGTTCCTGATTGGAGCACCCATTATATTGCATACAGCAATCTGAAAAAGCTGTAGGTCTTGCTGCCAGGATGCCCTGAACATGTGTACATCAATATGTGGACTTCTCTATATTGGCACGGGTGCCACACTGCATAGGCTTGCGCATATGCACCATCTCGATGAGGTCCGTTTCACATTGCTAATATATGTCTTTTCTGCAGAATCTATACCCTCGAAAAGCAGGTCAACCGACCTGAACAGGCTGGTACAGATGTTGAATCGGCCCCATTGTTGGGGTCTCAAATCAGCAACCCAGATGCTGTCTTCAAACGAGCTTTGGATATGGAGTTGGAGAAAGTCTGTTCTTTCTATAAACATAAGCAGACGGAAATACTCGAGTCTACAGACGACTTGATGCGCGACGCATCTGTCTACTTGTCCGAAACTGATGGTGTCAATATGGAACCTGTGAGCCAAACCATCGTCAAGGCCAGGACCCTGAGCTCGTCTTCACGCCGCGGAGGTGGCAATACCTTTCGCAGTGTTGGATCTAATCAACGGCGACGGTCTAGTACAATCAGTGACGAAGATGGGGATAGTGACGATGATCAGTCCGCTTCGGCACCAAGACGCAGAATGGTACCATCGGTAGACGGAGATTCTACTGTAGAATATGCTCATAATGGCGATATGGTAGACTCTACCTTCTTCGGGCCATCGAGCAGCCGGCTAATGCTCGGTTCTGACGTGGATGACAATTTGGTGGCTCTCTACCATACTGGAGTGTCTCTGAAGAAACGTCTGATCGAAAATTATGTTTCCCTCTGTGAGCTGAGATCATTCATTGAGCTGAACAAGACCGGATTCTCCAAGGCACTGAAGAAATATGACAAGACATTGTTTCGTACCTTGCGCCGGGACTATCTTAAATCTTTTGTGGAACCCGCTTCACCCTTTACAGACGCGACGATGGCTGTCATCGATAATCATATCAAGCAGGTTGAGGGCATCTACGCCGACATTGTCACCAAAGGCAATCAACATCTAGCCAAGCGCGAGCTACGCTTGCACCTTCGAGAGCATGTGGTCTGGGAGCGAAACACTGTTTGGCGTGAGATGATCGAGATCGAACGTCGTGGACAGGCAGCGAATGTGGGTATCCGTCAGACTCTTCTAGGAGGCGATGAGAACTCGTCCACATCGAGACGTCAAGGTGACAAGCAAGAAATAACTACCAAAGAGGTCATAACTCCAATTGGTCGGATTCAGTTTCCCTTATGGCTCTGTAGCTTCGGCTTTTGCACATTGGTTTTCAGCTTTGCTGTCTTCGGAGCCTTGCTTTCGATACAGATAATGGAAACCCCTGAGCAGCAGAATTGTCTAGCGATGTTGGTACTGGTCAGCCTGCTGTGGTCCACTGAGGCCATTCCCCTTTTCGTCACTTCGCTACTGATCCCCTTTCTTGTGGTCGTTTTACGCATTATGCGGTCGGACGCTAATCCTCATGCTCGACTGGGCACTAAGGAAGCAACGAGCATGGTGTTTGCAGCTATGTGGACCCCTGTGATCATGCTTCTTCTCGGTGGATTTACCATTGCGGCAGCGCTATCTAAATATGACATCGCTCGGCGTATGGCTATGTTCGTGCTCAGCAAGGCCGGGTCAAAGCCGCATAATATGCTTCTGACAAATATGTTTGTGAGCATGTTCTTAAGTATGTGGATTAGCAATGTTGCTTCTCCCGTGCTGTGTTACTCCATTATTCAACCCCTGCTGCGCAACCTGTCTCCAGACTCGAATTTCGCCAAAGCTCTTGTGTTGGGCATCGCGTTGGCAGCAAACGTCGGTGGAGCGGCATCCCCCATTGCTTCTCCGCAGAACATCATTGCTTTGCAAAACATGTACCCGAGTATCAGCTGGGGCACTTGGTTCTTCATCGCACTGCCTGTCTGCATAATTTCCATCCTGTTGATCTGGGTGCTGCTCCTGGTGACTTTCCGCTTGGACCGCAACGAAACCATCGTTCCGATGCGCCCGGTCAAGGATCGTTTCACAGGCATCCAATACTTCATCACCTTTGTCACCCTTGGTACCATAGGTCTCTGGTGTGTAAGCCACCAACTTGAGCACATATTCGGTGACATGGGCGTTATAGCCATTATCCCTCTTGTCCTCTTCTTTGGTACCGGTATCCTTAACAAGGAGGATTTCAACAACTTCCTCTGGACAATTATCATTCTTGCAGCCGGTGGTCTCTGTCTCGGCAAGGCCGTTACCTCATCCGGGTTGTTGCATACCATCGCTGCTGGTATCACAGCACGTGTCGAGCATTTAAGCCTTTACGGCGTGCTTCTCGTCTTCTCGGCATTGATTCTTGTCATTGCCAGTTTTATCTCGCACACCGTCGCCGCACTGATAGTTCTGCCCCTGGTTCGCCAGATTGGTGTCAGTATGGAGGATCCCCACCCAAATCTGCTCGTCATGGCCAGTGCGCTTATGTGCTCTGTGTCAATGGCGTTGCCGACAAGTGGATTCCCTAATATGAGTACATACTCTCTCAAACCTGCCTATACATTTCAATGATCCTTACTGACTTTCAATTTAGCTGCTATCATGACAGAAGTTCCTCAAACCGGCCAGCGCTACCTCCATGTCAAACACTTCCTCACCCGTGGTATCCCAGCGAGTCTGATGGCCTTTGTGGTTATCGTGACTATCGGATACGGGCTGATGTATGTGGCAGGACTGTAAATTGTACACTCGAATTTCCGTTTGTTATTTCTTTGCAGACACGTTACTTTGTTATATTATCGAGACATGTTGTTCAATATTGATTTTAGATTCGGGGAGAGAACGCATATATGAAGGCCACGAGCAATTTACTCCCCTTGTTTTTCCTTTTCCATTTTGTCCAGCCTTTCTAATGGATATTCTAAAACAGTGCGCAATCTTGTTTTCATTTTCAATATCTTGGGACTAGATCAGGATGGATACAGGCGACTGTCACATTACTGGGAAAAGTACAAATGTTATTTTATTCTACAAGAGATCTTTACGACCTACAATGGAGCATGTCTTTTAGTCTATTTCTATTTCCACCTTGGGTAAAACCTCGTTCCAAGGTTCATTCTCAGGTACGTTACTATTAGGTCAATGATAAGTATCACGTGATGATCACATAGCAGTTGGGCCAAAAACTCGAACTGTCTTGTCTAACCTAGCTCAGGCTAACGGACCACTCGATACATAAAGTAACAGACTGTTATTATTCAGAACTGACTTACACTGATTAATGTTTAGTGTTAATAGTTATACGGGTGCCACATCGGGATGCAGCTATGCTTCGATCAAAACGACATTTGATGCATGGATACCTAACTATTCGACGCACTGGTGCTACTCGGTACTAACAGACAAACTTAGTTCAGAACATTACTTGCAAGGTTCATTCCATTCATATGCAGCTAAGTATCAGGTACATATCACTGCAGTAGGTTCTCTGTGCTGTCGATGCCGTTGCAGGCATACCTAGACTAGAAATCTAATACGTTGAAATCAAGACAAGCCACGTCTGAACATGTAGGACAGTAAGAAAATTGAAGATTGAAATGAGATCATAGAGTCAAGCCATGCCTGTATTTTGCATCACCGCGTAACAGTCGTCATAGGAGAAAAAGGAAAAAAATGGGAAAAATTTGAAAAATTGAGATGGGATATCGTCACCGAAAGCTGAGCCCAAAAGTCCCAACTTCATCGTAATCAAGGAAAAAATAATAACTAATTACTGGAAGGATAACTCGAGTCAGCGAAAAGGTTCATCTATAAATGTAGCCTGAAAATCAGAGGGTTTAAAAATAGAGGAGAAAGGGGGAATACTGACAGCAATCCTAGAGTCAAATCACCATGAATCTTAGCCTTGAGCTGAATTTCAATATCGAGGTTAAGATCTAGACGCAACCGCAGTTGCTCGTCGCGACCGCCGTCGTCTTCCTTCTCCTCTTTCTGTCCGCCGCCTAGGATGCCGCCAACGGCTTTGCCTGCTGAGTTGGTTGCGCCGTTAAGCGCATTACCGGCCGTATTTTGGACTAATTGGCCGGCTTGGTCGACGCCGCCGATGTTGTTGAGAGGGTTGCCATCTGACTGTTGCTGTTGCGGTCGGCGGGTGCGACGGCGACGCTGCTCTGGTTGTGGAGAGTCCATGTCGCTGCGGGCGATTGACTCTATGTCAGATTCTTGACGTTTGCTGCTTGGGCGTGGGCGACGACGACGTTCGCGTTTTGGCTCAGGCTGGGGTTCAGGTGCAGGTTCAGCTTCAGCTTCAGCTTCTTCAGGTTCAGGCTGAGACTCAGGCTTGGACTCGGGCTGAGCTTCTTGTTCTTTCTTGGGCTCTTCTTCAGATGGCTCTTCTGGCTCTTGGTTCTTGGAGGGTTCTTCAGAAGTTTGCTCTTCAGGCTTCTTCTCTTCTTCGGGGTGATCCTGATCTTGACTCTTCTCTGAAGGAGGAGGGGTCTGCTCTTGCTTTGAGGGAGACTTCTTTCCCAGCTTAGGAGGGGTACGTTTAGGTTTATCCGTGGTTGGAGTTTGAGGGTTCTGATCGGCCATAGTGAAAGAGGAAAAAAGAAGTCTAGAGGGGGGATTGCAGGGGAATATGAAGTGATCAGATGAAGTGACTTATGAAATACGAGGCGTCACAGGTGAGAGGGGTTGCAGGAATAGAAAGTGATACTAGTTAACGTGCAGAAGGTATGATGTAGGCGGAGCCCTAAGCTCGAGTACTTGTTTATATGTAACAGGTTAAAACCGGGCGGTGGTAGGCAATGTGGTACTCTATGGCCGCCTCCGACGTCAGATGAATATAAATAACGAGGTGGTCCAGATGAAATGTAGCCCAGCAGCATGTTCCAATCGAGATAACGGCGTGGAGAGAAGAGCAATGTTGTGGAGTATGACGTCGGGGGATTATGACCAAGGTATCAAGTATTTTCCGAAGTACATGGGAGATGCGCACAGACAAAGTACAATGAAAAATGGAGAAAGATCGACAATCCGATTCATCTGTAAGAAGAGAGCTTAGACGCCATCCCAATGGTGGAGTATAGGAGATCCACTTTTATAGATTAAAATCGACGTAAGAATGGGGTATTCTGGATTACTGTACCTAAGATCCGTTCATAATCCAGATAATTCTATTAAATATGACGACAATTTCATCTCTTGTGTACTATGGTACCTACTCTCATACTCTCTTGTCGTTGTTTCACGTCATATTGGAATTGACTCAGGTCCACGAGTTTTCACTTGATTCCCACGGTTCATGGTCATTTGAAACCTAATACAATCCTGTCGCCAAATTTGCTAGAAAATTAGAATCTGGACTGCAAAGTGACACGTATGACGGTGGTTCTTGTACTATGTAATTTCAGTTACGGTGAGAATTGTGGAGAGACTGTTTCCGCCGCTAACGTCATGGCAGTTCTATAGATGTACCCTTTTTTTATCTTTCCTCTTTCCTCTTTCCTCTTTCCTCTTATTATCATATTATCATCCACTTCCCTTCCTATCTCTCCCTTTCCTATAATCATTTCACATAATCTTATACCTCTAAAATCTACAATTCAATATGGCCACCGTCGAAAAGCCTAAGGAGCAGCAGAAGCAGTTCCAAGTACCAGACCAGGATCAGTCAGACAGCGAAGACTACGATAGCGACGACTACTCAGAAGAAGAGGAGGAGGTGGTTCCCCAAAATAACCAACTTCGCAAGCGTCCACCACAACAGTCAAAGGTACAAGAACTCGAAGAATACTCAGACGAGGATGATTACTACTCCGAGTCGGAAGACTATACCGATGGTGAAGATTACGACGACTATGGCATGACCTCCCGCAAACCCAACCAACACTTTGATCAGAATCCTGCTGGTGCCATGCATGTCATCACCCAGCCGAAAAAGAGCATCGATGACGAGGAAGGCATGAAGCTGAAGCTGGAATTGAATCTGGAGATTGAGATTGAGCTCAAGGCTCGTATCCACGGTGACTTGACCCTGGCTCTAATGTAAGTTCTTTCACCTTACCCCATGCCAACCAGTACAGTACACTCAACTGGAACTAGGAGTTGATTCTTTTTTGTCGGCTGCAGTGCATGACTTTTTACTCCCCTAATCGAGCTAGATCCTCTGTGCTCGATGCTCATGATTGTTACGATTTAAGGCGCTTCTGCTTCCGCTTTGCATTTTCCTTTTGTTCTTGTTGATAGAGCTACCGGTTGATTGTCCTGGTTGATTTTCTAATTCTTATGCATCCACGACTATTCTTTTACCCTTTAACTTTTGCTTTTGAATTGTGTACCTACTAAATGCATGTTTTTCAAGGTTCCCATCCAAAAAATCTAAGAAGTGATAGCCCCGAGCTTTCCCATTCAAATATTTTGCTTTCGACGCCTTGAATAGCGAATTATCTAAAAATACATGCCCTTTTGCAGTTCTCCTTCAGTACTAAACCTTTCCAGGCCGTTGTAATGTCACATCCAATCAGTTATAATCGATCTAGCACTGGCCCAAGGTTTCAAGATATTAAAATGAAGTACCGCTGCTTGATATTCTTCAAAAAAGGGAACCTTGGGATTTATTTCACCTTCCCCTCACTGAGATAACAGAAATATGGAAATCCTCAAGTCAGCGCGGGTATTTTATCTGATCTCCTTCACGAGGTATTTTGATCAATAGCCGACTACCTTCATTTGGATGATATAACTGGCCTATCACAATGCAACTATCCACTTTGTACAGGATTTGCCCGAACTGAGAATATTCACGCTTTGGGCCGAATCCATAGATCTTACGAGATCTACCTGCCAGGTTACATTACCATCATTGTTGTCGGCTTCTCGTGAGATGAAATACGTCATGGTGGACTTTCTAACCCTGACAGCTTCGATATTTATTACAGCTGTTGGAGAAACATCTATCTATGCACTAAAATATCACTTGGGTCGAGTGATATCAAACCCAAGTTCATGAAGGGGCTCTTGTAATTGTTTGTATGAAGCGCAAATCACTTTACTTCTAGCTCACATGGCTCTTGAGGCTATCCAAAACCGATTGGAAACCCAACCCCTCATACGTGGAATTTTCCTTGCCGGTTGACCACGGGGTGGCCACAACAAATACAGGTAAAGATTCTAAGGTTCCTTACACCTATTGCCCTAAAGTGAATCCCGCTTGTTCGGATCACCCCATCAAAATTTCAAAAAATGTACAAATTCAAACTCATATCTGAGAACCGAAACACTATAAAATTCACTAAATAACACGGGTTTGACACTAATTGATCCTATGCCTTATTTTACCACACTTAGAGCAGTTTGGCTGGCGCCTGGTTCTAGGCATTATAGGCAAATCAGTTTTAGTGGACATATTCTGAGCAGCTTCACCACTATTCCCAATCTTGTTCTGAATCTCTTCCAAACTCCCTAGACCACCATTATGAATAGCATGTTGCTTACTAGCTCCCCTTTTCTCACCTGTTTCTTATTTATCTCTTCTATATGACCACAGCAATCATATAAAAAAATATGATGATGAACTATTCGGATCGTGCGAGCGTAGTGCTTTTGAATCGGCCTTTTAGTAGGTGATGGAATCGAATCAGGTGACGATTCTAGACCTAAGTCGATACGGCATTTCGACTTGGCTAGTTTTTCGAGCGTTCAAAGAGAGCTAGGATCACTATCGCTCCCTAATGATGATGATTGCTCTGATATAAAAGGAAGTGGAGGTAAAGATTCAAGTCGAATATTCAACTTATCTAATAGCTGATTGAGGTCTAAAGGGACTAAACCAGTAGCTTTAAAATCTCTATGACGCGCATTAGGAAAGACATCAAGGGAATCATCTTTATCGATTGAATTGATACCAAATCGCATCTAGTTTGATACTACAGCACCATCAAGCTTCTTTAAAGGCGAAAACAGCCTATATCTAAAGGCTGTAAAAGATGTGAAGCATACGGTGGGATATAAAGTGCGATAATATCGTTTTCACAAATTTGATCGAATTCAGGGGTAAGATGGCTACCATGACCATCTAATATCAAAAGGCAAAATTTACCTCTTCGATTCCTAATATTAGGAATAATGTCGCTCGCTTGGCGAGTGTAGCTAGCTAATCGCTCGTTACTGAGAACGGTGCTTGAGTTCTTACTGCAGTAAAAGGGAATTGGAGTTCACTGCAGTAGAAAGGAGTTGGTGAGCTTCAACAAACCACTACTCAACACCGTAGACAAACCACCAAGTGTAGTGGTCTCTACAGTACTGAATATTGTGATTGTTGTGAAGTCTGCTTTTTCATTGATGAAAGAACTAGCTATTTATAGTATATGGGTGCCCCTCTGCCCTGGACGAATGTCAACATTCGTCCGAGACAGAAGAGACGGTGAAGACGGGACATTACTGTCGCGGATGCACATCGCTCAAGGGTGTCGTTTGCGATGAATGCATATCGTTCAAGGATGCCGTGATATACTAATCTAGTTCCCGAGTTACTGTCTCGGCAGAAGCTTTTTCGGCCGAAATACTTTCCGTCTGTTGATGGCCTTGTTTCTCGGCTGTCGCAACAAATAAAGTATATCTTTAGCCAATCGACCCCAATCTCATCGCTAGTCCATTCATTTAGGCTAAGATTGATTCGCCATTTACCCTCCTTAGAGAGCTTATGAAACCACCGTTCCAAAAAACCTTCCCTTTAAAGATGAAGTATGGGCTAGTATGGCGGAAGAGCTTCTCTAGAAGACCTTATAGCTTCAATAACAGTGACCCATTCGCGATTCCCAGGCTGTAGAACAGCTCTCCGGCCATGATATTCAGAAGATGCAATGACTTTTTGGGTGGCATTTACTCCTATCGCGAAGCCAAATTTGTCAAAGTTGAAGATGTCGTACAAATCTATACCATATTCTTGGATAGTGTTTAAATCAGTTCAAACCATAGTACAATGATTTTAGGGTCTTGAGCTTCAGCTCTCCTATAATAATAGAGAGCTGTAAAGATAGGTTTTTGCGACGCTTAACAAAGCCTGTTACCCAACTTTTGTTGATATAAGGGGGTTATCGGAGGTGGTTGAAAAACGCGACCAGAGTAAAAGACTGGCCATATCTCTGAACATAGCGGGGGTAAGAGCTGCACCTCTCTTATCCATAGAGACTAGTCAATTCTCCATCGACTCTTCTTCAATTTCATCAAACTTAAGGCGAGAATGACGTTTTTCAGCCCAACTTTCAATACCCTTCATTCGCGAATGCAGAGTTGTCTTTGGTACATCAAATGATCGTGCAGCGGCTGATAGAGAAGAATATTGCCATCTTTTATAACTTGAATGGCTAACAAGATACGCCTCTCCTGCTCTATTGATTTCTGTCATTTTTAGAGCGGATTAGGGGCATAGTGTGTGTTTGAAAACAGAGAGTTGCCATAGAGACGAAATTTTGATCGTTCAATCCCGAACAAGGGAATTCACGTTATATGGTTGGTTGTATCGTCTCTCAAATAATATATATATATATTCAATTTTTGGAAAGAATGAATGTGAACGATATCTGATATCATCAAAAGGCAGAGCTGATCAAAAAATGCTACTATTGAACTAGTGCTTAGATATATGCAAGGGGTGGATTCGGGCTGAGGATCAAAGGTGGTGTGTTTCCGCTCCTTATCCTGTACTTTGTACTCTACCGGACATCACCCCATTAATACTACATCCTGGTTAAAATTGGTGTATTCTGCTGTTCAAGGCAAATCGCAACCTCAAAATGCCTAAAGACTTTGTCATCAAACACATGAACGCCGACCATGGTGGTTCGGTTCAACTCTACCTTCAAGCATTCTGCAATATCAGTGCCAGCAAAGCTCAGGACGCCCAGATCGAGGATCTCACTTTGAACAACCTGATCCTCAGCGCCAAGGGTACACGCTACAATATCCCAATTGATCCACCGATGAAAACTTTCAACGAGGCCCGTGGTCGCTTGGTCGCAATGCACAAGGAAAGCCTTGAACGCCTAGGCCGCTCAGACGTGGTACTCACAGAGTACCGGGCACCTCAAGGCTTCCAAATTGTGATTTTCGGACTGGTCTTGTTCACCTTCATAAGCTGCTACCAGCGCGACAATCTCCTGCCAGGCTCATTCGTCTACGAATATCTGGGATTCAAGTATGTGCCGGACTTTGCCCACTACATCTACACAATCCAGCCAATCTTATTCCCATTTGTTGTGTTCATCCATGTTGTGGAGTCTATTCTGTTGGCCACTCTAAAGTTGAAGCCACATGGTGTGCCAGTCCTGTCGGGATTATGGTGTGCTTGGATCGCCTCGTGTTTAATTGAAGGGTTTGGGTGTTTCCAGAGAATCGGCCAGATTGTGAAGGAGCAGCAGGCGAAGAAGCATGGAAAGGGCCAATAGTTCAGATGTATATAGCAGAATATTGTTTTAATACTGTACAGCAATAAATATGCAAAGTGGACTGGCCAAGCACCTCCAAACTTCACAATTAACAGTAACTTTGGAAATGTAGTAGCGACCGTGGACTCACCGATTTGGACCCGATTTGGACAATGATCAGTCATCATAAGGTCACATGATATCAGTTATATGCTAGTCTGGATTAGGACTAGCTCCACTTAGGGCAACCGCACAAGCGAGCGACACAGTGCGGCTTGCGAAATTCGACGACTCCACGACCGCAACCTTCAAACGACACCCCATCGACAATTGTTCTGCGTCACTGGTGAAGGGCTGCAGAATTAGAGGTGAGTTCCCATCTACTGCTCTCCAATTCCTGCTTTCTTTTCTTCTGCTTCGTCCGAGTTGATATTTGTGGTTTCGCGAAACACGACGCCGAATATTCAATATTCAATATTCAATCTCGACATCTCCAACAATCCAACCTTCATTTAATCAACCTCACTCAACACATCCGAACGTAACGAATTATTCGCTCCACACAATTCAGAAGATTTGGGAGACTTACAGGAACTTTTAACTTGTCGTTTTACTCGGGTCCTAATTTTTCTGGTGCTCTATAGTCCCACACATAAACCGCAAATATGGGTATTTCTCGTGATTCTCGCCACAAGCGCAGCGCCACTGGTGCTAAGCGCGCCTTCTACCGCAAGAAGAGGTACGACACATCTGCCACTGGAGTTTTTTGGATTTTTTTGTTATCTGTGGGGAGACTATCGTGATGATGTTATGTTGCAAGGGGAGGCAAACCGTTTATGGACAACTTTCTGATCTTGTTCTTTCTACAACAGAGCCTTCGAGAAGGGTCGCCAGCCTGCCAACACCCGTATTGGCACCAAGCGTATCCACCTCGTCCGCACCCGTGGTGGTAACCGCAAGTTCCGTGCTCTCCGTCTCGAGTCCGGTAACTTCTCCTGGGGTTCCGAGGGTATCTCCCGCAAGACCCGTGTCATCGGTGTCTCTTTCCACCCCTCCAACAACGAGCTGGTCCGCACAAACACCCTGACCAAGTCCGCTGTCGTCCAGATTGACGCTGCTCCCTTCCGTCAATGGTACGAGGCCCACTACGGCCAGTCTGTCGGCCGTCGCCGCCAGCAGAAGACCGATGCTCCTGAGGAGAAGAAGAGCAACTCTGTCACCAAGAAGCAGGCTGCTCGCTTTGCCGAGGACGGCAAGGTTGAGGGTTCCATCGAGCGTCAGTTCGAGTCCGGTCGTCTCTACGCCGTTGTAGCTTCCCGCCCCGGCCAGAGTGGTCGTGTTGATGGCTACATTCTGGAGGGTGAGGAGCTCGCTTTCTACCAGCGTGCTATCCGCAAGTAAACGAAAAACAAAAAGGGAAAACCATACGGTTGGGGCCGCGTGGGTTGTCGTTGCACGGATGGTTATCGGAGTTTCTACGTTTGCCGGAATATTTTATGATCTGGGCATCTAAAGATGCGATTTCTGTAGAACTCTGAGCCGTCAATTCCATGGGAATCAAATCCCTGTTTTATGTTATGATTTTTTTTTTCTATCTAATTGTCCTTTTTCCCTCTAGACCATCGTATTTGTACTCCGTATTAGAAAGCTCATTATGAGTGGGGTTTGTCATCTGACGTTCCCCCCGTTATACCATCTTAACTTGTCTTCAACTTGTGTCTATCAATCATCCCATCCCTATCTCTCTGCACTCTTTGCATAATGGCTCGTATAAAAACTCGGATATGTATGATCTCTGACACACACTCAAATTCCCCAACGCATGAATATCAAACGAACAATCCATACCGTGTCCCACTCCCCAAAGCCAACATCCTTCTTCATGCGGGCGATCTTACCAAAGTCGGCTACCTCTCCGAGCACGAAGAAACGGTCTCGATGCTGAAGGTCGCCGACGCAGAACTCAAAATTGTGATCGCCGGAAACCACGATATAAGTCTTGACGAAGAATACTTTACCACATTTGGCTACAGACGCCATCGCAAACCCATCCGCCTCGGTCTCTCCGATTTACTGCCCGATACTGAGGAAGATAAACCTCTTATGACAAAGATCGACGGGAATATCGTGCCACACGAGGAAAACATAAAAGACTACGTCCGACGCGCCAAAGACCTCTACACAAACCAAGCTGCCCGCGATGCAGGCATTCGCTATCTGGAAGAAGGCGTACACACCTTCACTCTCTCTACTGGTGCCAAATTTACCGTATATTCCTCGCCTTATCAGCCCGAGTTTTGTCGCTGGGCCTTTGGCTATCCTCGCTCCGAAGACCGTTACAACCCCCCACTCCCCGGGATAACAAATCGGAATCCCCACCCCGCAAACCCAGTTCCTGACTTCCCCTGCATCGACATAATGCTCACTCACGGCCCACCATCCGGTATCCTGGATAATGTCAGTCGTACAGACAACCCTGAAAATGTCGGATGCAAGCACCTTCTTCGTGCTGCGGAGCGTGCCCGCCCGCGTCTCTATTTGTTCGGTCATATTCACGAGCAATGGGGCGGGATACGTGGGACGTGGAATAGTTTCGCGTCAGGTGGGATTCAGCAGGAAGTCATTCCTACAAACAAGAGCGAGATGCTAGAGAAACGAGGTGCTTTCTACGATGTTAGCTCAAGCAGTGCGCGACCATTACGTGTTGGCGAAGAGACTTTGTTTGTGAATGCTAGCATTTGCCAACTCTCCTATCGCGCTGAGAATGCGCCTTGGGTGGTGGATTTGGATCTACCACTTACTGGGGAGACAGAGTAAGAGGTCTCGGTTGGCTTATTAGTCAATCATAGTTCGTTCACACATAATGAATACGACTAGACATTAGAACTCAAACCGAGCTTGTGCTACCTAGAGGTAGATATCCATAGGTGGAAAAATACAAAGAATACCATGACTCCATTCAGCTCACTAATCTGGCACATCATTATTATGTGTGGCTGCCTATACAAAGCTATTAACCCACTTCAGCAGATCAGAGTCTTCATCCAGCCACTCATTGAAATTCATCGCCCAATCCATGTGCATGAAGAGATTGCCATCATCTTCAACATCATGATCATGAAATTGCGGCACAGCCGGTCCTTGAGGAGACGACAAAACACGATCCAGGATATGTAGTATGAGACTTCTAGCCTGTTGACACATCTCATAATTGGCTGATTGACGGAACACAGCATGTTCCAAATCAGCTGCGAACCGACTCAAGTTCTGAATAGCTTCTGAACGTGGGAAAGATGGGTCTGGATGTGGATTTTGGAATTGATGGAGGAGCTCTATGGCTAATATTCCCGCGGCAGGGAGGCCAACTGATGAGATCTGGAGCGCGTTAATTTTCTTGCACGGGATTTTACGTAGGGATGGAAAGAATCTTACTGCCCAGACTAAGGACTTGTTATCATCTCCGGCGGAAGATCGAAGAACGATGAGATGCAGCAAGTTGCTCAATAACTCGTGAGCGATTTTGACCAGATTCCCAGGCTCTTTTCCAGCTCGTTGCACCAGGAGTCGTTCCATCAGTAATTCATTGTATAAGAAGTCCATATGGAAACTCAAGGAGATTCGGCTCGCTTCTGGTTCGCGCTCGAAGTCTTCCTTGTTGCCGATTCGCCATAGGGTGGATGGGAGTCCATTGCGTATTTCCTGCGCCAGACTTGAGATCTCTCTTCATGGAGGATAAGCTTAGAAGACTGAGCATCTAGACATACAGATGGGTCTACTTACGATATTCGTTTTTCAAGGTTTTCATTGTCAGGATTTAGCGAAGTCTCCAGCACCAACTCTCGAATAACACCTAGTATAAAAGATGCGCGTTTACGGGATGTTAGAGTGATAGGGCCATCAATTTTCCAACCGTCCTTATCAAGATTAGCGATTGCAGCATCTCGGACTTTGGGCTCAGCCATGATATCTTCGTATGTTATATCGAGCGGAAGCTCAATATGGATGTATCGTCTCAGCATGCGAGGTGGACGGCCTAAGAACATAGATAGACCTTTATCCGAGACATAAGCTTGAACGACAAGTCGCTTCCGGTGCTCTGCAAGGAAAAGTGGTCTTTTGGTATTTGTATCTCGCTGGTGGAAACCAAGCGCGTAGATCAACGTGCACAGATCGCCGAATATCTTCCAGGGTCGATAGTCTATTCATTCTCAAGGTCAGATCACACTAGGCCGAACATGCGAGAGTGTCTGCAATCTAATTTACCATAATCCCCATATATCACAGTCAGTAGTGATGCATGCTGAAGAAGGAGCCAGCAAAGTTGTTCCGAGATGAGTCCGGTGTTTTCGCAAAACCGCAGGCATATCTCGCCAGCCGCAACACATACCGCAGAAAGTCCTTGGCGATCTAGCGTTGAAGCACTAGATGCTGGAATGGCGGATAAAAAGTGTTGTGAAAGAAGACATGTACTACTACCCAGAATCGTGAATAGCAATCCGATTATTTCCCATCTGTTCGGCATGGCAGTCCAGAAATTAGCGGGAGTTATATTCGCATCTACCACGAGTGGCTTGGAAAACGTTGCAAACATGCTGCGGGACAGATTCACAAGATCGGGTAGTGGATTGGATTTATCTGAGATAGCCTCGTCAAACATCTTCTGAACCGAGGAGAACATTAGGCCTACGACCAATTTGGGAAAGAGATCGCTATGGCATTCGAACGGGGCTATTGCCATCTGGTGGTAAAATGTAAGATCCTCAAATAGAATCAGCAGAAGTTCAGCTCCTGCGCGAACTTCATCGTCGTCGATAAGTGCGCTTTGGTTCTTCTGGAGTGATTTGGCGAATTGCGCCACATTGGTGGATGGGGCGATTGCATCGTCGCTTTCATTGAGAACTGCCATGTAGCTAGCTGGACCAAAGACCCCCGTGCTTGGAGTTACCTTTGGCCGTTGACGCAAGTCGTAAACGCCCAGGCATTGGTGTCTGTTATGCCCTCCCGTTACTGATGTTAATGCTGATTCCGAGGTTGGTAGTTGCGGACTAGCTAGCGAAGTCTGATCTATCGAAGTATTTCCTATGCGCTCCGAAATAGCTGGCCGAGATAAAGAGTCGCTTGAACTCAAACTTCTATCAATGGCTCCCCTGGTCATCGGAGCGGGATGGTAGACACATAGGGCTATTTTATTCCGACGGCGGCACCTGCCACATGGGGCGGAGTGGTCGCACCGAAGCTTGGATTTTCTGCATGGCTCACAAGAGCCGGGTATACCGTTTGAACGTAGGAGAGACATTTCAATTCTATTTCAAAGACCCAAAAGAAGATCAGGGTCAACTAATGACTTTTACTGTCGGAGTCGAAGAAGATGCGGGATCGGAGTGGAGTCTGACATGAGCATCGGACTCGGAGTGGACCTGGCCGACATATGAAGCTTCAAAATTTACTTAGTAGGTATTATTCAGCAACGATAGCATAAGGGTTCTTCAAGGTGGAGAGAGTCCAAACCGTCCCTAGAGCTGATATCAGACTGAATTGCAATATCTTCAATAGCTAGCCTATAGGTCCTCGATACCTACCTATGTACCGGTTTTTCTATGCCAGTCCTTGGCGCTCCCCTCCCAGGAGCTAGCGAGCGCTTAATTATTTTTAGTGAGCTGATTATCTAGGAGTCCTAGGATCCTAAAGCGTTTTACAAATCCCTAAGATTACTGTTGAATATTTATCAGAGAAAGCGAGGGAGCTGCTGCCTAGTGCGAGCTCACTGGGGGCTTTACAAAGTTCTTCATCCCGACACAGCTTTCTTTAATCATGATAGATCGAAAGGGAGACTTTTAAGTTGGTTGCTGGTTTACTACGCAAGAAAAAGAAGTAGCGATAGATACTTAATTAAGTAGGTAGAAAACTGAAGTATCCATAAAATTGTCCCTCTATGAGATCTCTTCATGTCTCAGGCACATTTCAGCCAAAATTTCTGATATCAATCAAATGATTACCGTAGATATCCTCGTCCGGGATATCCTTGGCTTTCTTCCCAACCTGTGCAACCCGTGCCATACGGGAGTCACGGATACTCTGTATTTTTAGGAGCGTGTTAGATGGACTACCGCATTGGATAGTTAGACTATCCCTTGAATTATTATCATATACTCTAAGTGTTCTAATATGAGTAACGCACTCCCTTCCAGTACATGGTTGACGTCCGCAGTGCTGCAACGGGTGCGGCAGTTTTGGTTCTGCTCCGCGGCCTATACCTCGTGGTGTACCGGCTCTACCTTAGTCCGCTGGCCAAAACCCCTGGACCGAAGCTGGCGGCGCTATCGAGCTGGTACGAAGCATACTATGACTTGGTCAGCGAGGGCCACGGCGGCCAGTTCGTCTTCCAGGTCAAGCGGTTGCACGAGAAGCACGGCCCCATCTTGCGGGTCGGCCCGAACGAGGTCCACATCGACGATCCCGACTACCTTTATACAACGATGTGTACAGTATGGCGTCACTCACTAAACCCATCGACAAGCTGGTCCAATACAAGCACCGATTTGACATTCCCGAGGCGACCATCAGCACCGTTGAATCGGAGCATCACCGCATCCGTCGGGCGGCCATCGCGCCCTTCTTCTCGCATGCCCGCATCAGCTCTCTGGGGGACCATCTAGATCTGCTGCTGGCTGATGAGGAGATGGGACAGGTGGATACCTTTCGGGGGATTGAGGTCAGGAGGGGATAGCCTCCGGCCTTGATATTTGTCGATGAAGCTGAGACATTACTTCCTACCAGGGAAATGATGAGGCTTCTGGGAGAGAACTCATAGATTAGATAGGTGGTAAGACGAGAGAATTAGACTGAGCAGTATTTATATTTTACTGAGGATTGTGTCATCCAACAGCCATGATAATATGTCAGTTAAGATGGGTCAATGGGGGAAAGTCTTGTATCAGACTGTATCTAGGCTACATGTTTGTCATTTTGTGCCCCACCAACTTCAAAATTTATAATTTTTCAACCTCAATTATGAACCCGAAATAAATATATTTTCCTTTCCACTTAGGGCTACTTGCAACGCAATTGGGTGAGACCTTATTCCTTCTATAGTTTCGCGTGTTACTGGTACATCCTTTGTATAGTAGAGATCCCCCTGTCTTTATCTTAAACCGCATCTTCATGTGTATGTGCTCCGAAAACATAACCGTTTTTTCCCAATGGGTTGCGGCTTTCTATTTAGTGATCTCATCCCTTTGGCGATTTTATCCTGTTGAGCAAAGAAGTCTTTCCTAACAATAGCTGAGAGAATTCGAAAGAAAAAACTAAGATAGAATTAAAAAACTAAAGTAATGGAACGAGGGATAAATTAAAGCTAAGTGAATTGTCATGAAAAGTGGATATAGTCTCAATCTATACCTGAGGCTTTACGTACAGTCATCTTTGAATAAGGAATTAAAAGGACATCTCGCCGGTGCCACCGCTTGATAGAGAAGGCCTATTCCTCCAGTTTTTGAGTGATCACGTTCTAGGCAGCACATTTTTGAGGGGTAGATGAATTTGAATGAAGAAATTTCAGAAATGGAGGACTAGAGCCATCAAAAAGTAGTTTATAAAACATTATTAAACGACATTGCGAGCTGAGTGATCAGGGAGCAGCCAATCATAATCACTGAGCAGTTACTGAGTGCTCAGTGAGCCTGACTCTGAGTGCCCTCATAAAAGCGGTAGTACTTGAAATAGGAAAGCTCCTTCTGGCATGGAAAAAAAGGTACGTGAAGCTACCTACGTAACGCATCTAAAGTCCCCAACAACGGGCAATCCACTATATACCCACCTCAGCACCAGATATAACCACAAAGAAGCATCCCATATGGATTGAAATTAACACACCCCAACCAAAATACCCCGGAGTGACGAAAAGAAAGAAAAGATTTCCACCTGGGGAAACACAAGAAAAGAAAGCATATGATGTTCAAGAAGCTCCACCCAGCGCTAATTCGGAGTTAGCTTTAGATGAAAAAAAACTAGAGGGAGGAATATAAGACAAACCTGCGGCATAGGCAAGGTACCAAACTCTCGATGCACCTCCGTCGATCCAGTTGTAGTCGAAATCATCCTGAGCGAAGAAGTCCCATGATGCCTTGGGATCGATAAGGGCAAGGTTGGCATAGAGGACACCCTTCCAGCCACCCTCAACATCATCAGCAGGTGCCGCGCCATTAGTTGCGAACATCGCTTTCCATTCTTCGGCCACAAAGTCACGTTGGCGAGTGTAAGCTGAATTAGGAAGGAGAGGCAACATGTGGATTCTAAGAAGATTTTAGTGTTCCATGTCAAAAGTGCTGATTCTTCCTATGGACTCACCCTTGAACGAATTCTAGATTGCCGCCGAAGTATGTTGTGTGGTCAACTTTGTTCTCGAAGAGCTGGAGAAAAACATTAGTGTTTCGCCCGATGATTGGAGAGGTAGACTACTTACAATGCCAGTGACTTTGTTTTTGACAAAATCAGCTGGTTGGTTCTTGTTACTATCCTTCAAAAGGAAATAATTGTCGAGCGAGCGACGCATAATGCCCAGCATCATGTTTCCTCGGGCTTCCATACTGGCATCACCACTAGTACGACCCCACATCTTGACAGCATAGGCGAAAAGGGTATCCTCTGAAGTAGATTCTTGGTCCTTTCCATCATATGATTCAAAAAGGCCCTTGGCCCATGAGTGACCATTGAACCAGTCAAAAGATCGTGAAAAGGGGAAGTAGGCATCGTCGGCAACGGAATTACCAGCGTCACGGAGCAGTGTGTTGACCCAATCCTTGTTCGCGGGTATCCAAGAGGGATCGAGAGCTCCAATGATAGCGGCAGTCTGAATGAAGTAGGCATAGTGGAAGTGGTGGTCATTATAAGCGGTGTTTCCGAAATCAGTGCCCAAATCACCGCCGTATCCAGCGGTCGAAACCACTCCCTTCCAAACCGTGTCGTAAGCTAGCGGGTACTGCTGCTGGTTTTGCACAAAACGAGCAAAGCATCTCTTTAGCTCCAGGAAAGCTGCATGAGCTACATCTTTATTGTTGCCAAGCTTGCTCACTGTGTAGACCAAAGTCGCAAATTTACTGAGCGCCTTTCCACTGTAGTACATGCTGTTGAGATCGGTTTGGGCATTTATGTCTTGCTGCAATTCAATAGGAGCGATTTGAACAAGAGCACTTTGAACATCATCGGAAAGGGTGTGCACGTTCCCCTCTGTAGCTGACCATGGGGCGAAGCCCATGTCCATAGGAAGATTTTCCTCGGTCATAGTCCAGGTTTCTCCGATGACAGCGGTGGCATTACCCTTAGTAGTAGTACGCAATTGTATGTTCGTGATACGTCCAGTGGTGTTATCATCGAAGGACTCGACGTGATGAGGCAAGGCAAACATGATAAGGGGAGTGCCTTCGGTATGGACACCTGCCTTAGTCCACTTCAGGCTATAAGTGCCGACATCGCCAGTCACAGAGCCAGTGATCTCACCAGCCACTGGATAAACACCGGCTGAGTTATCATAAAACTTCTCACCAGCCTTACCAGCAGAATTTTTGGCAACTTGGATGGTACCCGAGAATCCTTTAGGACCCTCGAGCTTAGAGTTTGATTTGAGATTAAATTTAGGATCTGTGCCATCAGTTGGTGCGGCATAAAGGACCCAGCTGGTGTTGTCCTCAAGAGTGACCTGGTATTTGAAAACACCCTGCTTCGGTGAACCAGCACTGATAACTTTCAGGAAGAAAACACCACTCTCAATGATAGGTTGCATGTCTTCGTAAATGGCCGTCACATAGCCCATACCTTGCACAACAGGGTATGTAATAGATTTTTCAGAATGAGTGGATGACTTCAGGACAGCATGGGCTGAGAATGCCTTTCCTTCTTTTACGGAAAGGACACTGGAATCATCCAGTTCGGAAGCCGAGAGAATCATGTGCTGAAGACCAACGGGATTGATGTAGTACTCTATTGGACTCCCGGGGATTTTCTGGCTCTTTGGGCCAAACGCCATAACGCCGAGTTCAATATGAGAGATTGACATACCCCAGCTCTTCAAAGTGCCACCTCCACGCGACCATGCAATGGAGTATGGCTGCGTAAAGCTAGCATTGGTCTGAGATCCGAGAAAAAACCCTGCATAAAATTTGTTGGTCTCAATCGGGGTCTTGGTATCGGCCTGTAAAGCTCAATTAGTATACTGCTACTACTGGAGGAAGGAATAAAACGTACATGTTCATTAGCCACTGGATGGTCATTTCGGGACTTGATGCTCGCGAATGGACCACCTGTCGCAACAGGGTGGAAGATATCCTGGTTGTTCATGACGGGGGAATCGGCCAAAGCATCAATTCGCTGTTGCTCTGGTTGGACTGGCGTTTCATGGGTTTCAGGATGATCTCCTGCCTTTTGAGTCGCCGTTGGGACGGACGGAGTTGGCCACCCACTGCTGCCGTCAAGGAAAGGATCAATCAAGATCGGTGTCGGAAATGGAAGCTCAGAAGGATGACCGTCGTTATCCAACGCAACCCGGTAGAACTATTCTTCAAAGTTAATTTACAGTTCGTTCTCAGTCCATTTTCTCATCCTTGCAGAACATACTGGTCGTGCGTCGGGATCAAGAACTCTCTGTTCAGAATTTAGCGGTGGATATTGGGTCTTGAAAGCAGTCGAATGTCGAGTGACTGTTCTTTCCAAAATCTCTTCAACTGCGGTGCCTAGCGGGCTTGGATAGCAATGCACAGACTTTGCAGCTAGAAGCCATGTTAGCAAGACTGAAGCCTTCCACTGATATCCCATCCCCATTGCTGAAAAGATTGAAACAATAAAAGAACGAATTGAATATACAAGTAATCTTCAATATACGGGTATATATGTCTCAATTCGTCCCATATAGTGACAATGCCAACAGAAAAGGGCACCTCAGTTGACAAAGGTCGAATCCAATCCAGCAGAAGAAAAGAATATATAGGAAGGGAACTTAACTTACAAATATCCTAAGAATTCCAGGGAGTGGGCCTGTCTCCAGGGCTCCTTGAGCTTGATCAGTTCCTAATTAGGACTTGCGAATGGCGCAAAGAATCCCGGGACTGTAGATCATGGGAGTCTGTGTGTATTCTACTGTGTACCTGGATACTGCCAGATGTAAGGTGCCAGGTATCCGTATTGTGTGGAACTTGATAAGTGTTAGGTCCAGCAATGTAGGGTGGAAGACAACAGTATTGAGATCTCCGCACAAACCATATTCCAAGGATCTCCACTATTGGGAATGTGAGTATGTAAACACTCCAGGACTTGTCGTTATCCCGGTTTCGTTGAAACCATTTCAATTTCAGTAGGTTCAATTTCAACTAGATACTAGATACTAGCCCATAACTATCATACATCCTATTGTCAATTTGTATTGAGTATTCGTAGCATGAACTTGATTAGTTGCCTATGTGGGTCATGCCATGTGGAGTAAGTATTTAAAGCCCCAGGCATTCAGGCATTAAGGCTCTAAGGCTCGAAGGCTCGAAGGCTCGAACATTGAGATAGTAACTGCTATTGGTACAATAGTCAACCTAGCAACGATACTGCGCATATGGGATCGCCGCATTCCAGCCCTCAGTGACCAGTCCACGGGTTGAGGCTGATACTCCTGATCCAGGAACGCCATAGTCGTCAGAGCACACAATTTTGAGAATTTATCAAAGCGCCACCATGTGAGAAGGTTCTAAGCACTCGAGTCTGGAAGCACTTGCTCCTGGGTGCTGAATATAAACCCTGCCCAGGTGGTCCGGTACCCGTCGAGTTAATTTAGCCTTGGGGCCCGGATATATATATATATATATCCCGTGCCCGAAATGGGTACCTACCTGTCTTATTTATGTATATACTTATTATCTAGGTACTACCACTAAAGGTGAAGTCCACGAGTACAGATGAATTCAAATCCCCGGCCTATACCTCAGTCCTTGAAAGGTTTGCCCAGGCTTCGGGACATCATGGATTCTAAAAACATCGAAGGAAACTTTAGAAATGAATACTTTTTTGTATAAGCAAAACACGATGCACATCCATAGATCCATAGATGTGTGATTCGCCATATCTAAATCTGAAAATGCTGAAAGGATATACAGGAGGGTATCGTAACAAAGCCTTAAAGCATGGGCTTCTCCATGGGCTTGATTATGCCCTGCTTGACCATGACACGAGGCTTGGTTTCGCTCTGGTAAGTTTGCTTTGTAGACCACTCCGGGCCCAACGGCATTCGTAAAGACCGCTCATATTGAGTCTTAGTCTCATATCCGTGCGGGAGCTGGCTTGCCATATACTTGACGTTCTGTTAGGGAGATATTAGCTAGTGAACCTTGAAGGATCTAGTAGTAGAAGAGTATTCGTACCTTCTTGACGCGCTTCTCGTTGATAATGACACGCGCAAGCTTTGCGTCCTTGCGCTGCTCGGGCTTGACACCCTCCATTTTTGTCAGGAAACGCTTCTTCTTCTGTGCTTTCTTACTGACGCCCTCGCCGGCCCAGCTACCCCATCCAGCCAGTGTGTTGTCTACCACCTTATCGCCTTCATCTTCAATGGTATCCATTTTTTCTTGCTCAAAGTCTTGGACGACCTCATCCCCAGCAAATGCACGCTTCACAAGGTCATGATTCTTCAACAATACAGGCACACTATCCTCATCATCGCTTTCATAATCTGGAACTTTGTTTTTGGCGACAGTGACTTTGGAAGCCTTTCTCTTCTTGGAAGAGGCGCTTACTTCACCGACTTGAAGCTGAGGGCTGTCAAGTGAGATATCGATTGAGTCCTGAGCGTTTGTACCGGTTCGGCGACGATTGTTGCGCTCAGTCTGAATCAACCACGGGTTCTCTTCAACATCTTCCTTCTGCTGGCTGAACATCTTTTTTGAGGGTTGAGCTGCAGACTTGGCACCAGAGATAGCAGACTTCTGCTTGCCTGAACGGCCAACCTTCGTATCAACATCCTGATCTGACCCGGCTACTTGACGCTGTTCATCATCGGAACCAGGTGGTCCTTCAAGATCGTCCTTTGGCAGTACCTTCGCCTTCGCTGTGGCTCCAGACTGGCCGAATTTCCGTCGACCAACCTCCGACTCGGCCTCGGACTGTGAGTCTTCACCGCGAAGCTCACGGTCGAGTCGTCTGATTTCCGCATCGTTTTGTAGCTTACGGGCAGCTTCAGCTTTCTTCATGAAGTTCATTTCGTAAAGGGCGGAATGAGGTCCCTTGTCACCGTCATTAGGGGCCATGTTTTGCAAGTCACTAAGCTTTTTGCGCAGCTTGCGCTTCTGCACCTCAGAGGCATCTGAAGCCCAGGGGTCATCGTCTTCTGATTCCGAGCTCGAGGAGCCAAGATAATCTTCGTTGGCCCGAGAAACTCCCTTACCCTCAATCCGCTTTCGGAGTTCTTCCTCTCTGAGAGCCAAATCGGCGGCATTGTTGCGAGCTTCCTCGTCCCAGGCAGTACGACCACTCTCCTTCAAGCTCTTGGCCCACTTGCTTTCACGATGCTTAGAGCCCATGCGAGCCTCGGCTCTCCGGCGCTCGTTCAGCTCGCGGTCCTCCTCATCCAAATCCACACCGGCTTCCAATAGCGCTTGTCGTTCTTGCTGTTCGAGTCTCTCACGCTCCTTGCGATGAACGCGTCGGTAAGACTTGCTCTTGATTTTCTTGATTCGTTTTGAGCGCACCTCTTCACGGAAAAGCAGGTCACGTCGCTTGCGCAGCTCTGCGCGTCGTGCCTGGATCTCCTCGATGGGTATCGTGCGAGATTGAAGCTCTTCGAACTCCTGAACTTGGTCTTCGCCTGACTTACCCTTTACTTCTGCCAAACCGCTCTCAGCGAGAATGTTCTGAATGGTGCTCTCAAGGTCGGTAGTGGGCTTTACAATATCCATGCGGTGGGTTTGTTGAGCATCCGGGTCGGGAAGAGGGAAAACGAGGTGGTCTGCCCTGCGATTGTGCTTGACTGTATCGAGCCATCGGTCGAGGGTTTCCTTGCTCTTTTCATAAGCAGCAGTTCTGTCAAGTTTGTCCTGTTGACGTTTTGGCAGGGGCGCATCCAGCTTGCCTGGAATACCGCCCTGCTTCCCTTGAGGAGTGGCGTCAACATGCTTCAAGGAGCTCTTAAGGCGGGAATCAGTGATAGAGGGCAACAAATCAGCGACAGTCAATTTCCGAGAAGAGGTCAATCCGAATTCGGTAGGCAGACCATGTTCTTGCGACTTTTGCGTATACTTTTTAGATCTTTCAGTTCCCATTGATTTAACAAAATCTTGGAGCTTGGATAAGCCGTGGGCATCTGCATCTTCGTCATCTGAAAGAGACAACCCAGTATCATCACTGAGGTCTTCTTCGCTGTCCCCTTCTGAGCCAGAATCTTCACTTTCGTCATCCGTCCCGGAATTTTTGGGTTTAGAGGTAGTTTTCTTAGATTCCTCTTCCTCCGCCGCCGTGTTCATGTCCCAGGCAGTAAGGAGATCCACGGCGTCTTCCCCGAGATCATCTTCATCTTCTTCTTCATCTGATTCTTCCTCGTCGGACTCGTCAAGGTTTATTTTGGATCGCTTGTTGGCGAGCTTCTTCGGCTTGGATTGTGGCTTGGAGCTTCCGCGGAATGTGAAGTCTTCAAATCTTTCCTCGTCGCTAGATCCCAGAGCCTCATCACTGTCCAGCTCTTCGTCGTCACTGCCAACTTGTCCTATCTTCCACTCGTGGCCTTCGCTGTCGCTGCCGCCATCAATGCTTCCATCTTCACCGGTATGGTCTGTTCTGCGGCGTTTCTGAGTTCGACCCTCTTCATCATCTTCATCGTCCTCATTCTGAGCGGAATGTCTCTTGCGGTCATTTGAACCGTCATCATAAAAGCCCAGACGAGTGCGGCGAACGCCAAGTTTTGTGTGTACTTGCTTCTCTGCAATAGCGAGTGCATTTAGTGCTCGGCCAGCCTTACGCTTTGGTGCTGGCTTTTTTTCCGTGGAACGTTTTTTCGGAGCCCGCAATGGGGTTTGGCTGCGAGGCATGTTGGCGAGAAGAAAAAAAAGAGAAAAAATTAACAAAATACAACCAATGCACCCCAGTAAAATGAGGAAAATGAGTACATAAGGGTAGTGATTGTGTAGTGGGTGTAACAACGACTTTTTTTTTGTTGCAGAAAAAAGTTCTCGGCACGGCCAATTAGTTAACGCCGGTCCGACCGCCCGGAACTTTCGACTTCTCTACAAACTTACATCTAGTCCTCCAGCCTTTCACTCTTTCCCATAACCCGCCGTTATGTTTAAGCCTACATCCCCTATGATGGCGCGTTTGCGCTTGACGACCAAGGCTGTCAATGGTGGCTACTATAAGGGTAACCGAACCGGCTCAATGGGTTACTTCGAAAAGAAGGGCAACTACGTGATCGATTGGAGGAAAGTCCGCACTTATGTTGTACCTGAAGACTTGGCGGATTTCAAGGTTGGCCTTTTCGTAATCCAATTAGCGACATGACCACTTACTCGCTCACAGCTCACACCCTTTGTCTCCAAACAAGCCCAATCCACGGGGAGCAAATACAAAAAGAGCATTGAGAGACACGGCCAAACAGTCATCGTTCCCGACAGCCTCAAAGGCCAAGACTATATCAACTTGTGGGGTGAAAGGAACTACGAGGAAGTCGTCGAGTTTGAGGAGGCTGAGCAGAAGTCGGTCGAATCTAGTAAAGAGACCTCTTCCTAAAGGATATAATTTGACAAATCGAACGTTCGTATATGACACTGCGCGCTTTAAAATTGCTTCAACTGACTGTCACTCCAGGGATCATAATAATCTGCTTTATATGTCGATCGAGTTCCTGAATCGCGAACCTCCCACGGCCACTTCTCTCCAATATTTGAATCTACATTTCTACCGCTCGCTGGCCGATCGCACCCTATATGTATTATATGTACAATTTACTTGATTGATCTTGGAATCATATCATGTACTTCAGCATTGAAGCGCAAGTAGAAGCCAACCATCTGTATTCGCCGCATGATCCGGCCTTGAAAGTCGAGGAGTTGAGATGTTGATGTGTCTGCTTCGAGGCCAATGTTGCTGTTTTCTTTTTTTTTTCTTTTTGTAAAAAGAAAATTGCTAGATCATGAAATAAATTTTGGAAGTAGACGCTGTTAGTAGATCGACCGAATTTACATATCGCGTCGCATTAGTGTGGTAATAGAGTAAAATTGGAGGATCTGGTGCGTTGTGATAGAGGGTTGATAAGCCGCACCGAAGCTATCGGGGTGGACAGCGTACTCCGTATGTCATAGATATTTTAACTTCACACTCACTTTACCCCGGAACGCGACATGGGCTTCCATCTATTTATTTTGCATCCACAGTGATACCCCTTCGTGCACTCAAATCGCTCTTTTCGAACGTCCATCTCTCTGCTAAACATAGACGCCATGTTCCAGTCGTTTACCGGCAGTTCTCGTCGCCCACGACAGGTCAACCTCAGTGGCCGAGCCAACAATCCATTCGCCCCATTCGCCGCACCCCCTCATGCCTCAAACCCTCAGAGTGCGGTCGCAATTGCCCAACAAGAGCGAAAACAGAGACAGCAGGAAAGGGACAGACAGAATGCTGCTCTGATCATTCAGCGAGTCTGGCGGGGCCATCGGAGTAGAAAAGCCACATGGGAGACATGGAGATCGGAGTGGGATGCAAACGAACAGTTCATGATGAACAACGAAGGGTTCGTGATGGAAACTGTTGAAGTGATTACTGTACGCAACGTAGCAAGCGCACCCAGTACAACTGTTGCCTTCCGCCGTTCTGCGCCTTATTCTTCAGCGGGTCAATGCCTAGCGCAACTCCGACTCTTAATGCAGTTTGTGTCATCGCATAAACCAGATGATCAAGTCCGCCTTGCATACTTTACAAATGCATTTGAAAATACTTTCTGCACTTTGCCGACAATTGCTACTGAAGGCGAGTGGACTAATTTGCTGAAACGCCTGGCAACCGCCATCCTGACTTTGGTTGGTACCCATACAAATTTCCGTTTCATTGAAACATATCTTCGAGGTGCCATATTGCTGGCAGGTTTGATACCGAAGGAAATGGCAGCCGACGGGGATACCTATTATAAAGCGATTTCAATTTTGACGACTAATAATTCGTCTGCTCATGGAGGATTTAACATTGAACCAGAGCTTATCAAAGAAGGTGTACTTGCTCTCCTACGACCTATCACCTCAAACACAATATCTGCATACGAATCATTTGCTCTTCTATACCTCACAACCCCACACCTGGAGAGCTACTTGTTGAAACTAAATGACTTGGCGACCCAAATTAATTACAGGATGCTTTCCCTTGCTGTTTCAAATCTGCTCGATTCACCCAGTGGAAGGTCTCGTGTCCTAGAAGAAATGGAGGCTCGCACTTGGCTGCTTTCATACCTGATCTTCTTCCACCGATATGCCCTTGGTAGTCAAGCAAACACAAGGACACTTGAGCTGGAATTCATAGCAGTCATATCCCATCTTTTGGCCTCAACTGCACCTCATTTGATACAGAACCTAGAGATAGAAGACTTGACCAATGAGGACTATCGAAGAGTTCCAGGTCCACTACCCAAATTCGTCAAGGACCAGGTCTCTAGTCTGATTAATCAAAACAGCGTGACAGCACTTATCTCACCAAAGCGGACTGCTCAACCACCAGCCGACGAATCCAAAGCGGCTCATGTTCTTGCCACTTACGCATTGACTCTTCTGAGAATATTCCCTGGGCGCGGGGATGACATACGAATGTGGTTATATTTGGGCTCGGCGCCTGCGGGGAAGCATACCTTTTCTGGGCAACCGGAAGCAAATATTCCAGCTGTTAAGTATTTTTGGCAGGCATCTAGATCTAGTCGGATCTTTCAGATCATCAGCAGCGACTCGACAAAGGTGCTTCCGCTGTTGCAGGCGAAGGAACCGGTCGACGTCAGCCAGGAACAGCGGAACCAGGAGTGGACAACCATACTCCTTTTTCTCGAACTCTTTACTTTTGTTCTAAAAGTTATGGACGACGACGAGTTCTTTTCCAGCACATCTTCCTTCACCTCCTCTGGAAGTGGCAAGGTTTCGTGGACGAGAGAAAGTGCATTGCCTCTGACTGATATCAAAGACCTGACGATTTTTCTGAAGAACCTGGCTTTTACCCTTTACTGGAATGTGGCGGATCTAAGCGAGCCTGAAGTTCGACCCGTGGCGAAAGATCTCAGTCATTATTTCAGTGGTACATCCGATGCATCAGCTCTTTCAGCCGCCAAAGACCTTGTAACTAAGGGCCGAACAAACAATCTTTCTGGTGTGACAGGAATATCGCCGGAATACTTTACGGGCCTTGTCACAGGGTTGCTTCGGATGCTTCATGAACGCGAGTAAGTGTGAACATCAAACTATTCTAGTAAATACTAATCACCAATGCGCCTCTAGCTCTCGTCTTAAGTTTCTCCCACCGGATCACTGGCTCATGACAAATCGATTCGATATGGAGGGATTTATCGCCATCGTGGTGGCAGAAGATGAGAGGAGACATGAGTTCCAGGAGCAAGACGATGATGAAGACGATGATTTGATGGGAGATGAGATGAGCCGAGAAAATGAACCGTCTGGGTTAGCCGGTGCTAGTTATACTCAGCAGCACATTCGACGTGAGTCGTTGAAGCGCCACCAGCAGCGTCTTGCTCGCCGACGGATTTTGGCCGCTATCGCACCTAGATTAGAGATTCTTCGAAACATGCCCTTTTTCATTCCATTTGAAACCCGAGTTCAAATCTTCCGTCAATTTATCTACCATGATCAATTCCGTCGGCGAAATGGCCTTGTCGATGCTGACGATTGGCGTGTATCCATCGCCCAAGCCACCATCAACCCACTGAGCCATAGGGGTGATAATCTCGCTCGGCATCGTGCCGAGATTCGAAGAGAACATGTCTTTGAAGACGCATTATCCCAGTTTTACCCACTGGGCGAAGGACTGAAAGAACCCATTCAAATTAGCTTCATTGATCAGTTTGGATCGATGGAGGCAGGTATTGATGGAGGTGGGGTGACTAAAGAATTTTTAACCAGCATCATAGCCGAGGCTTTCAAAACTGAGGAGTCCGCCATGTTTGTTGAGAACGACCAGCATTTGCTGTACCCAAACCCCATAGCTGTCGAACAGTGCAACGCACAGCTGCGTGCTCTTGGATTTGACCAGTCAAATCCTGAATGGGGCACCCGTATTCGCGAGTTACTTCGCCGATATGAATTCATAGGGCGGATAATTGGAAAATGTCTTTACGAGGGAATTCTGGTCGATGTCAACTTTGCGTCCTTCTTCTTACTCAAGTGGGCACTGACCGGAGGAAATCGCTCTGCTTCAAGAGAGTCGTCTTATCGGGCTAGTCTAAATGATTTGAAGGAACTTGACGCCAGTCTGTACCAGGGACTTGTGAGTAATCCAATGGCCCATCCAGCGTTGTTACTTCTGACTGAATTTTTTCCGATTAGCTGCAATTGAAAAATTATGATGGCGATGTTGAGGACTTTTCTTTGGATTTTACTGTCACCGACAACATTACGATCCCAGGAGAGCGTACCCGAACAATGACAAAAGACTTGAGGCACTCTGGATCTAAAATCCCTGTCACCAACTCGAACAGATTGGTCTACATCTCTGCTATCGCCCGGTATCGACTCCAGTATCAACCTGCCCTGCAAACCGATGCATTCCTGCAAGGGTTGGGGCAAATCATTCAGCCTGGCTGGCTGTCCATGTTCAACCAAACTGAACTTCAAACTTTGGTGAGTGGTGAGACGGGTGATATCGATGTCGAAGACCTCCGAAAGAACACCCAATACGGAGGTATATACGTGATTGGCGACGACAATGAAGAACACCCAACCATCAAACTCTTCTGGCAGGTGATGCACAGCCTGTCGAATGAAGATCGCCAGAAAGTACTACGCTTTGTGACTTCCACTCCACGGGCTCCACTGCTTGGGTTCAGCCATCTGAATCCATCCTTCAGTATTCGGGACTCCAGTAATGACGAGGAGCGACTACCAAGTACCAGTACCTGCGTGAATCTCTTGAAGCTACCTCGCTACTCCACTGCCGAGATACTCCGGACTAAGTTATTGTATGCAGTTAGCTCTGGTGCCGGGTTTGACTTGAGTTGATCACGCGGCGTTCTTAACCTCTTATATCAATAATATATTCCAAAGTCCTTTTTAAAGAATAACTTACCAGGTAGACTTCTCATTATGTACTCCGTATGTCCACAATGATAACCTTGGAATTCGTTTGGCCTGTGTATGTACATGTATGCATAGCGGCGTCGAGCAAATCTGGGACATGATTGGCTATCGAGGTGGATCTAAAGGAATGTGGGAAATCTCTTCCTTATTGTTTCTTTTTCTCAGTAACTGACTAGGCTAATAATGTATTATGAGATATTTGATAAGTGGACATATGAAAGAAAAACCGTAGGACACTTACTAATGTCAGTCCAGTTAATCAGTTCTATCTTCACTTAGTACTCGTTAAAGCACGAGGCGAATCATTAAAGCGGCATCCACCGCCTTCTGTATTAGGGCTAGCGTGGCCCTCTTCCCTCTACTCTGAGTTTTCCTTAATCGCGTTTGATTCAACTTTTTTTCCTTTCTACACCCTTCTTCACAACCTCTCTCCGTCTTCTTTCTTTTCCTTAGGGAACCCTTTCGTCCTTTCGAATATCCTCGAAAGACTAAAAAACCCTCAAAAAAATCAGAAAAACCCCCCGAAAAAAAACCCTATCTTATCTCATCCCCTCCATTGTGCGGTGTGTGGAAGATTTACTTTCCAACTTCAACTTCAACTACCCACACCTTCTCTCAGGTAAGTTTCTGTATTAACTCGCCTGACAAGAACTCCATTTGGCTATGCCATTCCTCCTCATTGCCTCACCTCACTTTGCCCGATATCACCTAATCACTGTCAATTTTCCCCTCCAAATTTGCCCTTTGTTGTGTTGACCCTGTGGTTCCCGCTCAACACATTTCTCACATTCACTTCTATTTTCAAGAACCAAGAATACTATTTCTCAAGTACTTCACTGCATGTAACTTGGCTTGAAATCCTCCATTCTGTCTCCACCCACGAGAAATCATCTTGACGGGTCATTGCTAACTTCACTTTTGAAGTAACCATTATTCGAAATGTCTGCTGAAGCCACCACCTCCCCCGCCCCCGTCGAGGGTGATGTCAACGGTGTCCCCGAGGTCAACGGCGCTGCCGCTGCCCCTACCACCACCGAGGGCGGTGCCGCCGACGACGCCAACCAGCCTCACTCGGCTTCGCTCTACGTTGGTGAGCTCGATTTCTCTGTGACCGAGGCCATGCTCTATGAGCTGTTTTCCTCTATTGGTCAGGTCGCCTCTATCCGTGTCTGCCGTGACGCTGTTACTCGTCGTTCCCTTGGCTACGCCTATGTGAACTACAACAACACAGCGGACGGTGAGCGCGCTTTGGAGGATCTGAACTACACCCTCATCAAGGGCAAGCCCTGCCGTATCATGTGGTCCCAGCGTGACCCTGCTTTGCGCAAGACTGGCCAGGGCAACGTTTTCATCAAGAACTTGGACAATGCCATTGACAACAAGGCTCTCCACGACACCTTCGCTGCCTTTGGTAACATTCTCAGTTGCAAGGTTGCCCAAGATGAGTTCGCCATGTCCAAGGGCTACGGTTTCGTGCACTACGAGACTGCTGAGGCTGCCAACAACGCTATCAAGCACGTTAACGGTATGTTGCTGAACGACAAGAAGGTCTTCGTCGGTCACCACGTCTCCAAGAAGGACCGCCAGAGCAAGTTCGAGGAGATGAAGGCCAACTTCACCAACATCTACATTAAGAACGTTGACCTGGAGATTTCTGACGAGGAGTTCCGTACTATCTTCGACAAGTTCGGTGACATCACCTCTGCCACTATCACCCGTGACAACGACGGCAAGAGCCGTGGCTTTGGATTCGTGAACTACACCACCCACGAGAGCGCCAATGCCGCTGTCGAGGAAATGCACGACAAGGAAGTGAAGGGCCAGAAGCTCTTCGTCACTCGCGCCCAGAAGAAGCACGAGCGTGAGGAGGAGCTGCGCAAGCAGTACGAGGCTGCTCGTCTCGAGAAGGCCTCTAAGTACCAGGGTGTTAACCTTTACGTCAAGAACCTTACTGATGACGTTGATGATGAGAAGCTCCGCGAGCTCTTCAGCGCTTACGGCACCATCACCTCTGCCAAGGTTATGCGTGACAGCCTCGGTGAGCGTAGCCCCACCCCCGAATCCGACAAGGAGAAGGAGGCCACTAAGGAGGCCGAGCCCAAGGAGGAGGCCGAGTCTTCCGAGGAGAAGACCGCCGAGGAGAAGGAGGTCTCTGAGGAAGAGACCGACAAGACCGAGAAGAAGCAGCACCTCACCAAGAGCCGTGGCTTCGGTTTCGTCTGCTTCAGCAGCCCTGATGAGGCTTCCAAGGCTGTTACTGAGATGAACCAGCGCATGGTCAACAACAAGCCCCTTTACGTTGCTCTTGCCCAGCGCAAGGATGTCCGTCGCAGCCAGCTTGAGGCCAGCATCCAGGCCCGTAACACCATCCGCCAGCAGCAAGCCGCTGCTGCTGCTGGTATGCCCCAGCCCTACATGCAGCCCGCTGTCTTCTACCCCGGCCAGCAGGGCTTCATTCCCGGTGGCCAGCCCCGTGGCATGTTCACTCCCCAGCCTGGTATGGTCATGGGTGGTATCCCTGGTGGCCGTCCCGGCCAGTACCCTCCTTTCCCTCAGCAGGGTGGTCGTGGTATGGTTCCTAACCAGCAGATTCCCCCTAACTTCCAGGGCATGCCCATGGGCCCCGGTGGTATGCCTGGCTACCCCATGCAGGTTCCTGCCTTTGGCCGTGGCGCTGGTGGCCGTGGTCAGGTCCCCGGTATGCCCATGGGTGGCATGCGTGGCGGTCCCGGCTTTGGCCGCGGTGGTCCTCACATGGGCCGTGGTCGTGGTCAGCCTGCTCCCGCTGGTCCTCCCGGTCAGGAGGCCCCCGCTGGAAGCCTTGTTGCTCAAATTAGCGCTGCTCCCCCCGTTCAGCAGAAGCAGATGCTCGGCGAGGCTCTCTACCCCAAGATCCAGGCCATGCAGCCCGAGCTTGCTGGTAAGATTACTGGTATGCTTTTGGAGATGGATGCCAGCGAGCTCCTTGGATTGTAAGTTTACTCTATTTTGGTCTGAAGTTTGTTTTACAAGTTCAAACATGCTAACCCTTTTTTTTCAGGCTCGATGATGAGGAGGCTCTCCGCGCGAAGGTCGAGGAGGCTCTCAATGTTTATGATGAGTACATGAAGAACAAGGGTACCGAGGGTGAGGCCACTGGCGAGTCTAAGCCCAAGGAGGCCGTCAAGGAGGAGGCTTCCTCAGAGGAGAACAAGTCTTAAGAGACCTGTTTCCCAGCGGTTTAACGGTCGAGTCAAACCCCGGCGGATTCTCACAGTTTACGCACCACCCCGGGACATTTTGAACGCACCTTTTTGATGACCATTTCCTATTTTATTTTTCTATCCCCTTCCCCTCTGCTCTCCTCTACTTCCTACCTTCTCCCGTTCCTCTTTCCCACTCTCTTCTCCTTCCCGATCCTGATATCCCTCGGTTTGAAAAGTTTTTTTTCGTAAGGCAGTCGTCACTGCTCAATAGTGGCACAAGATGATCCGATTTTCAAAATTCTTCCGCCTCTCCTCGTACATCTCTTTTCCGGAATTTCTCAAGCTTCCAGTATCCAACCTGGATCTACTGCCAAGATACCCTTTAGGGGATATCATCTAGGGGACCGCACAAGGGATCAGATTAGAAGTTTCTTCTTCCATTCGATGGATATTGGGGTCGAGAGAGTATCTCCTTTTCTTTCCTTTGAATTGCCGGGTGGGATCTGTGACGTCTTTCTATTCCTGTCCCTCAATTTTTCTTTCGTATCCTTTATACGAGTGTAACATATCTATGACTTTCTCGCGAATGGGTTTTTGTTCCGTATAACTGTCTTCAGGTTCGAGAGAGTAGACTGTAGTGCTTGTCAATACTAAGGTGGCTATACGCTCTTTCTCCCATCTCTAGGTTGATATTCTTGCGAGACGAGAATGCGGAAGCCTGAGGCATAATGCCTGCGCTCATTCACGATACCTCGCTTGCGCCCTATTTCTATAACCAACTTCTTCCTTCCCTTTTGTTTTCTTTTCTTTTTCCTTCAAACTTACCTTGTTTAGGTAGTGAAAACGGCCTATCCGCATCTCTATCCCTGCTTGGTACTATCCAGGGATCAGGTTTTCCAATCGCTCTCGGGTCTCTAGGAGGCGGATTCTTTGACACATATCCCATATTATGGATTCTTTTTTATCTTTTTTCTTTTCCTCAATTCTTGAGTCAATGACTCCAGCTTGGAGAAGACATTTTCAAGAATACAAAACTATCTAGCGCTTATCTACAAGGGTCCAAGGGTTCAGCAAATTTAGCGGCTTATTGTTCTTTGTTTACAATTCGAATAGCGTTTGCCAAAATGAAAGTGAGCTATAATAGATCATTATTCAAGATTAGCTGAGCCGCTTGGTATTCAAGGTTCTGATATTGATGTCCGTTTGTCTGCTGCTACAGAAATTCTGGGCTTACGGGAAAGTCCATGCCAGGAAAGCTCTCAGTTTGACCAAGCCTTAGAAGGATAAAGTGAAAAATTTGGGGAAATCTCACACTCCGAGGCTATGCATGCTATACTCCTCTTCAACGGGGACTATCAGCAAATGGCTAGAAATTGCGGATCAGCAAAGGAAAGAAGATGTCCTCGCCAAGTTACGTTGACTCCGCGACACTCGCAGCGTGCACACTCGAAAACGTTTCACAAAACTATTCTTATCAGATCCATAGCACACCTCGGAGCTCCTCTTAGTGACACATGTCCATAGGTGGTTGTCCAAGAGAGGATACAATGAAAAAACAACAAAAAAAAAACAAAAAAAGCCCTGGAGTGGAGTCGATGAGATCTATCCCGCATAACTTACCAAAAGACTCTATGTGCTTGAATTACTTGGATATAATGGGTTCCAAGGTTGTCGGAAAAGGTAAGAGCGATTGAAAGGAGCTATCCCGTGGAAATCCAAATCCCAGATCCAAATTCCGACTGTAGTTTCCGCATCTTTATACATCGTATCTCTAGAATGATGGTTGAATAACACTGGGACAGACAGGCAACAGGCAGTAATATTCTTCATGGGGAAATTGCTCAGACTGGCAAAGCGGCGTGCAATGGAATCTTGCAAGAAATGAAGAAGAGCCATGTCATCAAGGTGAGCGAACTTTGGAGAGATGAAAACGTTCACCCAGTGGACACTGGTAGTACTATTGGAGATGTTAGCTAGGTGGTTGGAAGACATTTTGAGGATTTGATATTTGTTGAGTTCGCTTGAAGTTTCAACTTAGCTGTTGCTGTTTTATAGGTGGGAGTAGCTGTTCAATGTTAAACTTGATGAAAATTTAATTTATTGGTTATTCGAGGCCCTTAGTACTATCCCAGACATAAATAGACCGACTTTGAGTAAACAAAGCCTTGTCTTCCAAGGTTTGAATGAGGTCTTTTATCGAGGCTTCCATCTCACCATCTCTTTGTAGATATCTTCCGTGTGCTTTATCCTATTGTTTACTCAAAGAAGCAAATCTTTCTTGATACCTAAAATAGGATACATTGTCTCTGAATCGGCATTGTTTAATTTGAATTTCCTTTTCGAGACTGTCAAAGGTCCTAAGGTTGGGAGCGAGACAAGCCAAAATAGACTAGAAGATCAAAGGAAGAATGTTTTGGCATCACTCATTGAGCTTCCCAATCTCTACACAGACAGCGTCGACGACGTCCTGCGTACTCGATGTTCCTCCTAGATCAGGAGTCAGAATTCCCGCCGCGCAGACACGTTCCACATACTGCATAAGCTTATCAGCAGCATCCTTCTCTCCAATCCAAGTGAGCATCTCCGCTGCCGACCAGAAAGTAGCAACAGGATTAGCAATGCCTTTCCCAGTAATGTCAAACGCACTTCCATGAACAGGTTCGAAGAGCGACGGGTTCTTCCGAGTCGGGTCCAAATTAGCACTTGGCGCCACACCAATAGATCCAGCCAGTGCAGCAGCAAGATCTGAAAGTATGTCCATATGCAAGTTGGTGCCAACGATGGTATCAATAGACTGAGGCTTCGCAACCATGCGTACAGTCATGGCGTCAACGAGCATCTTATCCCAAGTGACATCCGGGAAATCCTTTGCAACAAAAGCAGCTATCTCATCCCAGAGAACCATACCATTCCGCATAGAGTTACTCTTAGTAACGACGGTAAGATGTTTCCGGGGTCTCGACTGCGCCGTCTCAAAAGCGAAGCGCATGATGCGCTCAATGCCAACACGGGTGAATATGGCTACTTCGGTGGCAGTTTCCCACTGTTGACCCACATGTGATCGACCTCCCTGGCCAGCATATTCTCCTTCTGAATTCTCGCGAACGAGCATCCAGTCTATGCCATCGGTGGCAGTCAGAAGAGGGCACTTGGTTCCTGGGAAAGTCCGTACGGGACGAACATTCGCGTACAATTGTAGTGGGCCACGAATAGCGAGAAGAAGTCCCCATAGCGAGATGTGATCTGCCACATCTATCTGTCTGTGAGAAAACGAAATGTAGGGCTGTGTACTATTTGGCTTACCTGGGGCACCTACGGCACCGAAGAGCCCCGCATCAAACTGGCGTAATGTGTCTAGGGCGCCTTCTGAGATGTATTGGCCATGCTGCTTGTAATATGCTGTACCCCATGGAATGTGGATGAATTCTATCTGAAATGTTCCTAGCGCTTTGGCAAGTTTTTCTACAACTTGGATCGTGGCACTGACAACCTCGGGTCCGATGCCATCGCCTGGAATAGAGGCAATTCGATACGCGGGAATTGGCATATTGGAAAAGCGGCTTGGAGTGAGCTGAAACTTTGAAGCTTGGGATAATTGATTCAAATGTGCAGATGAATCTGAGGATAATGAAAGCGTGACACAATGAGACGATTAAACCTTCCAAGGTTGTAAGTCTTGACCCTTACGTACACGGTACACCTGGTAAAATATACATACTCTTTGACAGCATTGAATGCAACCCTTTGAAACAAGCATATACCAAAGCTTCCCAGGTTGGGCACTATTCCAATGAATAGAAAATCAGAATCTACTAATTCAGCTTTTTGGACTTACATTTTGTCACTTGAAGAATACCTAGGTAGGTAGCAAATAAATAATATTATAATAATAACATAGTTAAATACATCTCTCTAGTTAAATACTTACTTTTTTAGATAAGATACAGCCTTGATTATGTTATGTTTTGTCAAATGGAGGTCTGACTACCAAGGAATAGTGGATTCTAGGGGGCAAATGAGAGTGCAGTATGCGTATGAAAAGTATATGTGTGTGTGTGTAACTATGGTAGGAATCCCATTGTGGAATTCCAATGCTGACTAAAATAGACTAACTATAAATGGAATCGGGCCTTTGACAGCATGTGCCAAGGGTGTTGTTTGTACTGTTTGCAGGATTCAAGTATTTAGCAGAGTAAGTTTCGTCGGTCAAAGCTGTTAACCGTTTGCCTGACAACTCCGATATGTAACCTGAGCCGACACTATTGGAAGAAATGACTTGTCTTCCAAGGTTCGGGCAATTACCCCGCGCTTTGAAGCTCGTATTTATGGGGTTTTCCCGATTACTCCACAACAATCCAATCCAGGGCTTATCCCGATCTAGCGAAAAAAATCCGAAACCTTGATCAAAGATTTGTTATATATGAGTCCTGCCATCTTGATATCCATATATTACCATATATTTTCCCTTCCAAGGTGCCGTTGTAGAAATTCATCAAATATCAAGCTATGAGCTCCAAGACTGGTATCAAAGCAACCCCATTGCTTTCAGAGAAGCATAATGGAATTCCAGCCAGACTCTTCGAAAAGGCCCAGCAGACGAGAGAAGGAATCTTCAATCTCGCCACGAAAACCCAGAGCAATCGGACACAGATTTCCATCCCCCAAGGTGTCAGTGAGAGAATATTCCACCAAGCCATTGAGGAACTCCAGAGTCAGCTGATGCGACGAATTCATCTTCAGCTGCAATGTGCATACCATCGTGTGTATTGGGGTCTTAACGCAAACTATAGATCAGTGATTCATTCGGATCGAATGGAATCTTCATTGTACTAATCTTCATTGCACTGACTTTCCATGTACCATCCATCGTCCAATTTCGTCACCAGCTCCACATGCTGACGGCCCAGCTATTGTCTACCCTGGCTCCACAGAGGATGTGCAGACAATTGTCTTGTGGGCCAACAAGCATAGGATTCCCATTTCTCTGATTTCAATTGGCAGAAACTGTGCGTCATCTGTTCCCCTCATGTCCAGCAACTCATCTGACAAGCGTTCTCATAGATGGATATGGAGGTGCTGCCCCTCGAGTCCGGGGCACCGTTGTGATCGACCTCGGAAGATGAATGAATAAGATCCTCGATATCAATGCAGAGGATTGTACATGCCTGGTTGAGCCGGGAGTCACATACTTTGCGCTGTATGAAGAGGTCCAGAATCGTGGACTCACGAATCTTTGGGTGGACGTTCCTGATATTGGAGGTGGTTCTGTTCTGGGAAATGCCATGGATCGAGGTGTCGGTTATACTCCGTATGGGGACCATTGGATGATGCATTCTGGCATGGAAGTTGTCCTGCCGACGGGGGAGGTCATCAGAACAGGAATGGGAGCTCTTCCGGGAAATAATAGCTGGCAGCTTTTTCCGTACGGCTTTGGCCCGTTTCCCGAGTATGATCCCTTCATACCCACTTTTATTGGATGATACTGACTCTATTCTGCCTTTTTAGTGGGTTATTCTCGCAGTCAAACATGGGTATTGTGACTAAGATGGGATTTGGGCTGATGCCAAATCCTGAAGGCTATGAAAGCTATGTATGCATTTTAAGTCTATCTCCTGCAGCTATGTACCGACTAACCGGTAATAGCTCTATACATTCCCCAAAGAAGAAGACCTCTCTCAACTGGTAAGCAGAGCCATGACCTTGAAGATATGACTTCCTTTATTCACATGTCTAATGTGCAAGATCACAGGTAGAACTAATCCGGCCTTTACGAATCGCTATGATACTAGAAAATGTCGCTCAGCTGCGCCATATTTCCATGGCTGTTGGTGTACAAGGAAAGCCTCGAAGTGCCTACTACAACGGAAAGGGACGTGTGCCTGAAGAAATCTACCACGACGCCGCAAAGAAGCTCTCCCATGGTGACTGCACATGGCTCTACTACGGAATGGCCTATGGACCGAAAGAGATCCGCCAGTACAAGCTGGACATTGTCCACAAGGAATTCATGAAAATTCCCGGTGCTCGACTGATTGACCCAAAGACTATTCCAGCAGAGGACTACTTCTGGTCCCGCGACAGAATTGCCAGAGGTACCCCGGACGTTCAAGAGCTACGCTGGGTCAACTGGCATCCCAATGGTGGACATATTGCATTCAGTCCCGTGTCGCCGGTACGGGGATCTGACGCAACGGTGTTATGGGACATTGCGAAAGAATGCTGCGACGAGTATGGACTGGACCTATTCCCAACATACATTGTCGGACTGCGCGAAATGCATCTTATTGTGGAAATTGTGTTCAACCGTGATGACACTATTATGCGAGACAATGCACGGGCTGTTCTTCGGAAATTGATTGACCGAGCAGCTGAGAGAGGCTACGGGGAGTACAGAACGCATCTTGCGTTCATGGATCAAATTGCTGCTACTTACAACTGGAATGATGGGGCGCTATTGAAATTCCACGAGAAGATCAAGGACTGTTTGGATCCTAATGGTATTATGGCACCTGGAAAATCGGGTATATGGCCTGCACGGTATCGAGGACGTGGGTGGGAGATGACGGCTCAGGATGAAGGAGTAGAGGGCCAGGGTGTGGCACCGAGTGCTGGTACTACGAAGTTGTGATTATAGAAGCAAGAGGGACCTCGGTATCGGAGTATCTGAGTATGGTATGGTAAGATTGATATATGAATACGGAGTACTGTTTTATGTATATGCCATTGACGTCAATCCGGTATTGTCGATCAAACTACCAGCGAATCACAATCTCAATATATTTAAATTAGGAAAATCGAATCCATTTTAGAGTTCCTGCATCCTCCAAGGCTATAGAAAGGATCACTTCAAGACTGCACTCAATATACTATGAAGGCTTGAACGTGAAGTCTCTAAATTGGCCCCCGTAAGCGACAGAACCCCACTGTTTTCTCCCCACGGGGAAATACCCCAGTGGCTTGAAAGACCCGCGGTCCATGCCACTCTCTAGCCATAAACAGCCCAATCTACAGGTAACGGGTGGATAATCAGTGTTGGATTATTGGTTCATACCAGAGTATTATCAAATCCTTATTTTGTTATAAAGGCCGCGTGATCCTCGTAATACTCGGTCGGCTTTTAATCCAAAGAGGCTGACTAACTCCCTTCCCGAGCAACGTGGTTCCGGAATTTATCTCTTCTTCAATCATGTATGTTCGCAAGCTTGAGCCTTAAAGTCTGCAAATACAATAGTTTCTCGCCATGGTCTTACGGAAATGCACAATCTGTGACCGCCGGTTCAAGAAGACAGAACATTTCAAGCGCCACGAGCGGTCACGTCAGTCCCTCCATACCTACATTCTAAAGAATAATATCCCTGATTTTTTGCAATAGACACGAAGGAACGTCCTTATGAATGCCAGGTCTGCCATAAATGTTTCTCACGAAGGTAGGATTGCATTGTATATCTGAAAGCACCGCAAGTGCTTGCGCATCGTCAAAATTCTAACTGATATATAGCGATGTTTTGAGTCGACATGCCAAAGGCCACAACCAAGGCACTGCCACTGCCACTCCAACTACCAAGGCAGCAAATGCCGCAGTTTCATATACCCAGGACCGACGTCCCTCCACTGTAGCTGGTGTGTCACCCAAACAGATTGACTCTGTTGAAAGTGCGGCCCAGCTTCTCCCCTCCATTGACTTGGAACCACATCATCTTCAGAGTGTACCAACACCCCAGGATATGTCGCTTGTGACGACTGGAATTTCTTCTTCTTCATTGGACTTTCTTGCAGATATCTCAGCGCACCATGGCCGGAACGAGCAGGACCTCCACCCCATGATGCTCGACGAGCAGCCGACATACTTCGGATGGAACGAGATAACACCGACTGAACAATCTTCGAGAGGTAACATGGGCTTCGAGAGCATACCGAGTGATATGCTGCAATTGTGGCTCGAGCCTCGTACAGATTCGGTGTCCAATAACGGTTCTTCTCTGGATTTGATGCAATACAGCCAGTTCGCCATCATGAGTGACACTGAAGTAGTCACTCCCGACCGCCAGAATCGACATTCAATCGCTACTACAAAGTTGAGCCGTGACAGCATCCCCAATGAAAGGTTCGCTAGGGTCCAACGAACCTGGCTTGCACCACCTAACCACACCGGGCGGTTGATAAACAGTCTATGGCGGGATATTGTCTACACCGACGTCGACAATCTATTCTCCGTAGATTCTTTACAATCTTCTAGTGTCCCTGAGATACCTCAGGGATCACGCTATGGAATTGACGAAGACTGCAGACGGCGCCTTCAAATAGCTTTCGGACAGATATACTCAGATCCAAACATGCAATCACCCAGGAACGGTGCTCCCTCGCCTCCAATGTCTGGTTCGACTGCGAGTACTGTTCCATTTCCTAGCTTTCCTCCTTCGGAGATTCTGGACATGGCACTGGATCTCTACTTCCGCACCTTCCATTCACTTGTGCCTTTTGTCCACCTCCCAACTTTTTCTGCAAAGAAGACCCGTCCGCCCATGCTTTATGTGATGTGCCTTATTGGCATGATGCTACTCGGGACTAAAGGAACGGCTTCTTTTGTGTCAAGAAATTTCAATGTGAGTTTCAATAGTCTGTGTCCTTCTGTTAGCCACTAACGATAATTTCAAGTCTGTATTGGAACGCATTACCGCCGAATTGGCAAAATGTACTATTGGTGTCGAGTCTCCAGCGGGCACCATGTCCACCTTTGCCACAACTTTCTTGTTTCTGAACTTGGCTGTACTGACAGGAGTATGCAAACCCCAGTTATTCCAGCATGAAGCCTCATAACTGATTGCTTTTTTTAAAAGGATAAAATGCACCTGGAACAGTGTCAGGGGCTTTATGTCAATCTCATATCAGTGAGTAGAAAACCTATTCCCCATTCTACAATCGATGCTGATTAGAGTGCATTACAGATCGCTCAACGACATGGTCTTTTTGCAGCCAATGAAGGCCAAATCCTGGACATGAATTTATTCGAGGCAGTGCCAGATATTGACATTAGATGGAAAGCTTGGAGCAAAGTTGAGTCAACAAAGAGGTAAGTTGACAATCATTACTTTATCTTCGATTCACACTCCTAACCTTCATAAAGAGTCATAACTGGGCTTCTTCTTCTGGATACTTGGTATTCGTCACTCCTTTCAACAAGCCCGATTATTGTCCCCGATTCAATCCAGCTCATCATGCCCTGTAACGAATCCCTCTTCCGCGCTCATTCTTCCATGCGCTGGACGCAGTATATCCGAGGCGGCAAGCGCATACTGATGCCAACGATGCTTGCACCATCTGAAAACACTAATATCCCCTCTCTCGACGGCACGATGGATGAATTCTGCCTTCAAGCCATCCTCGCAACCGTCCAACTCCGCCAATCAGAGGCTTACCACCGCCTCCTCTCAAACCGTTCCGGCTACCCTTTCGCACCCTGTCACACATACGCTATGGATGGTCGAGCAAGATGTATTCCAGCCCTGCAATCACAAATTGCTACCGACTATGGCGAGACTCTAGACCAGCTAAATCCCAACGCCCTCGTCATGTGGCATCACACATGCTTAATGCTCACAGCTGATATCCAGATCTTCGACCTGGCCGCCGGTAGATCCGGTCCAATCCCAGCAGCGCGAAAGGCATTTGAAGATATTGCGGAGTGGTCGCAAACCCCTGCCGCCCGACGAGCCTGTCTACACGCGGCCCATATTTATAAGGCCATGAGCAACCGAAAGGCCTCCGACCATCCCACATTCCATTCCGTATATTCGTTATTCTGCTCTGCTCTCGTTTTGGGTCTATACACGTTCATGGCCCCCAATACTGCAAATTCGTCATCAAGTATGGGGTCCATTGACCTGATGGACGATATAGGCTGGGACCAGGTTGGCACAGAAGGCTTCACTAGCTTTATGGAGCCGAGAGGCAGTCAGGCCTTCCTGTCGACAGATGATCCTTCCGTGAATTTCATTCGCAATGGTGCCACCATCTACCTGCGGGGTGTACTTCTACAAGGCGGGTATCAGTCTGCACGGAGGATCTTCCTCGACTATGCCAATCTCCTGAAAGATTCCGGAAGATGGAGCGTGAAAAAGTTCTCTTACGTGCTAGATATCATGAGCGATGTGTTGATGGACGTGGAATAAGACCACTCGTGCTGGGTGCTGGGTGGTATTTCAATACCTTGTTCACCTTCTTGTGTATATTAAAAGTTATTGACTGATGGACGGAATGACCTGCGACAAGATGGACCTTGATGATATTCTAGACTCAAATTTAATGTCTCGATTTAAATTCTATATGCTTTTGTTCTGTACAAACGCTCTGCTATACAAGGGGTGATAACAAGGCTAAACCATTCACGCTTCCAAGGATCTACCTGTAAAGAATCTCATCAACCTTGTCCGCAATAGCCAAACAACTAGTCAACCCAGGACTTTCAATGCCCAAAAGGTTTACAAACCCAGGGAACCCTTCCTCCTCCTGAATAATAAAGTCATTGAAACCCGAACCCACATTCACTCCACCGCGTTTGCTCAACTTGGGCCGAATACCGCAGTAATCGAGCGAGATAGCCGACGGGTCAATACCAGGCATGAAGGCCAAAATCCCCGGAAGAGCCTGTTCCAAGCGCGCAGCGTTAGGCTTCAGATCATTCGGGTCATCAACCCACTCCACATCCGGACCGAAACGAATCCGCCCAGCCATATCCAGCGTCAGATGTGTGCCGAGACCACCGTGTCCAGGCATAGTGACGGGATAAACCAGAACGTTGGTTCGTGGCCGCGAACCGGCGTACGAGAAGTACGTGCCCTTGGCATAATACGGAGTGCGATGGCGATCGGGCGGGAGAATGAGGTTATTAATAGCGCAAGCACCGTGTCCAGCACTGTTAATGATAGTCTCGACAGTAATGGATGTCTCGGAGCCATCCTCTGAAACAGTTGTAACCCTGTAGCCGCCACCCTCCGCACGCTCAATGCCTGAGACGATCGTCTTGAACGCGCAGTCTCCGCCGCGCTCCTCGAAGTCGCCATGCAGGTATGTCATTAGCGAGTGGCTGTCGACTATACCGGTCTTCTCGGACTCCACGACGCCGGCTACTGCTCGCACTTCTGGTTCGCGGCGAGCTGCTTCTTCTGCGCTGAGTATTCGGGTTGGGGCGCCTTCGAGGCTTTGGGAGTGGTTGTGGACTTTTAGGCAGGCTTCCCATTCTTCGGGTGTTTGAGCTACTATCCATTTCTTTGTGTTGCGGTGTGGGATCTCGTTTTTGGAACAGAGGTCGTAGAGCATGTCGCGGCCTCGAATGCATAGTTTCGTCTTGAGGGAGTCGGCTGGGTAGTATAGGCCAGCGTGGATGACCTTTTCGGCTTTAGTTAGGGTTTCTTTCGTTTGCTTCTCGCTGGCCGGGGTGGACTCCGTGCGAGGAGGGTTTCTTGCTCACCTCCGAGTTACGACTGCTGGTCTCCATCCCTGGTGCTTCATGGCGTTCAAGGAGGATTGTTGATGTGCCTTCGCGTGCTGCTAGCTGGCGTGAAATAGCCAGTCCGACGACACCCGCGCCGATAACCTATCGCAAGTCAATTGTGGGATTCTCATGGTATTGAGGTAGAGAAGCAACTCACAGCATGGGTGAAGTCTGCACGTGAGACTCGCGCGCTAGAAAACCAACGAGTCCCTAGGGATTTTCCAACAATTCCACGCGCCAACATCCTGAAGGAATTAAAGTAACAATTGGCCTGTAATTGCTGAAGAAATTCCGAAGTAAAGCCCCGCGACATTAGTGCCGATCGATAGGACCCGCTCACACGCAACATTAAGCCTTTATCACGCCATTACTATAGAAAATAGTTTAAGGTTAACTACAGAGCAGTGGATGCGCAGAATTTTTCAGCATATTCCGTGGGAATTAAATAGTTTATATTAATAAGAAATCGTGAGAACTGGATCTAGCGCTTACTGCAGCTCTTAAGCATCTCATCGAAATGCTACATAGTTCGTTAGTTTGGCCAACGAACTCAAGGCTTGAAACAACTTACCTGGCGCTGTTCAATTGCTAGTTTGCCTTGGGTATCCTAGGAAACAATTAGCATCTGGTCAGGTCGGGGTGATTGGCGAAAAGCATACGCTAATGATGGTTAAGATCAATGAATAATTGTTGAATAAAAATCGCTCTCTGCGCTTAGCATCCGTGCCATTCCGACTCAGTTTCACCAGGAGGGTGTTGAACTCGGAGCGCAAACGAGCTAAGCTGTTAGAAACGGGTTCATCGTCTCCAGCTTCACTGCTTAGAACCAGAATTCCATGCAGAAGTTGTCCAAATCGCTGGGTCAAGAAGTGAGGAGCTGAAGACTGTTTCATATCATCTCCCCCAGCGATGGAAAGAGCGGATATCGCACTGCGTCCAGTGTTAGATCCGACGCGCTTGAGAGACTCTCCATGGAGATCCATAATGACTTGGAAGCGTGGCCATAGGTGCATATTGATTCCATTCACGTATGAATCGGCCACAGGAACCTTGCGCCGCTGAAGCTCAAATGCTGAATGCTGGTTCAGACGCACGCACATCAAAACTCCCAATGAGTCAGTGGTGTGATCTATCAATTTCTTTATCAGGTTCTGGCCAAGCGCAAATACCAGCTCGAAGATCTCCGTGGCCTTGCGAGAAATTTGATGAAACGTCAACGGAGAGAAAAATTCGGTGAGGAAAGAGTACTCAGCAGAGACATTATCCACTAAGGCGATATTGAAATTGCGAAAGGGTACCTCAATTCCATGGTACGTGGTATCTTCCTCGGCTAGGTAGGAAGACAATGCGGCTTGGTGTCCATTTCGAATTACGTCAATTCGTCTACCCAGCGAGAAGGGGTCATGGGCAGCAGAGCCAGCTCGGCCACCTGGAACGATATTCCCTATGGAGGGTTAGCATTGATCTGATATTCAATCTACCTGTGCGGATTGACTCACCTCTATGTGAAGAGGGGTTGCCTCCGAGTACTTCATTTTGATCACTAGGGTAGACCTTGATTTTCTCAAGTGCCTGGATGTATCGAGTGAAATTCGAGGTGTAGTACCAACGCATGGTATTAACATATGCCTGGGCAATCTCACCGGCAAGTGTTGGGTGTGCCTTGGAGAGATAGCTGTAAAGATCCTTAAACTTCACTAGTCGCTGTTGCTGAATTATTTGCGAGTTGATGTTCGGGGATCGCATCGCTCGAATTTGAGATACGAGGTAGTTACGAATCCGTTCAATCGCCTGTATTACTTGGTCAACGCAAGTCGACTAGTTTGAATTGAGAAGCACGACTTACCTTATTTTTCAAATCCACCAGAAGAGGCCGAATGTCTTCAAAGGCTTTGAATCCACTTGATGAGGATGCCTTTGCTTCGATGCTTGCTGTGCGCGCATCGATCTCGTTCAAGGCGCGAACCCAGTTCTCATCCATAGGACCCTCAACAATTGTACGAACGGCTTTTGGGGAGATGCTGATCTCCTCCACGGCTGGTCCAAGAAGACGCTCAACATTCCTCCTATTCCCTAGCATCGAATTCAGCTGGGTAGACCGTGTTTGTAGGGTTTCGATCTCGGCTGACACTGCTCCCAATTCAGTCTGGAAGTCATTCAAGTAAAGTTCGACGGACTTTGATACATCATCACAGCCAGTAATTGAGATGTGCAGCTCCTGGAATCTATCTCTATCTTTCTCAAATTGTTTGGTCGTTTGCGCCCTAATATCGCTGCCAGGAGACTTTCTGGTCGGTGGTGGGTCTGGTTGGGTCACATAGTCCTCCAGATTCAGACCATTGAAATCGATGGATGTTACTAATTCGTTTGGCCGTTGATCCAAGCGACCTGATAGAAGTAGCACATTCTTCTCCGTAACCCCTTCTCCAATAATCCCCTTTAAGACCTGTAACGGATCAGGAACATCCGCCGGAGCGGGCTGCTGAGCACTCGTCCGTCGCAATCTTGGGCCATTGGGTGAGCGAGATCTTCCTGGATTAGAGCTGCTGGAGTCACTTGCGGGTAAAAGTAAAGATGTCGATGAATTCCTTGAAGCTGCAAGACGGTTGTTGTATGGACCTCGGGAGAGCTGCGATGAGGGTCGCGGCGGTAAGGAAGGGTTTCGATTAGCTCCGGAGGGAGTAGATTGACCTGAAATGCGGTCACGCCACATATTGAATGGCTAGAGAAGAAGAATCTAGCCACATATGAAATGGACTCGAGTACCGGAGGTGTTCTCGGTATCGTGCCTACCTTAAAGAGAGGCGGAGGATCTAAGGCCAAATAGACGCCCCGGGTAACGCTAAACCCAATCAGGACGTAGCGACCAAGCCCCCCCACCACAAAGCCTTTTTCTGTCGAGAAAAACTCCTCACCTTTTCATTTTCTCTCTTCACCCTGCCAATCTTCCCACCCATACCTCTCTTCTCCCCACCTAACTCTTTCACCATGTCTGACGAGGTATGTGCTCGTAGTCCCAATTTAATATTCCCTCCAAAAAGCCCTCCCAATCGCTTCGATGAGTTGTTTTTCAAAGCCCCGCATCTTCAGAGCCCCCTCTTGGGCGCTGAGATATCGGATGAACAATCCCGACTAACTGGAATTCAATAGCAACACGACCACACCTTCGAGTCCGCCGATGCCGGCGCCTCGACCACTTACCCCATGCAGTGCTCTGCTCTGCGTAAGAACGGTCACGTCGTCATCAAGGGCCGTCCCTGCAAGATTATCGACATGTCTACCTCCAAGACTGGCAAGCACGGTCACGCCAAGGTCCACATGGTTGCCACCGACATCTTCACTGGCAAGAAGCTCGAGGATCTGTCTCCCTCCACCCACAACATGGATGTCCCCCACGTCTCCCGCAAGGAGTACCAGCTGGTGAGATCTTTGTCCTTTGCTTATGCCTAAGGGTATCAGGCTGATCATTCTTATTTTAGCTCGACATCACCGATGACGACTTCCTCTCTCTCCTGAAGGAGGACGGTGACACCAAGGATGATGTCAAGGTTCCCGAGGGCGATGTTGGTGACCGCATCCGCAAGCTCTTCGTCGATGAGGGCAAGGACACCAGTAGGTCTACACATATCTTATTATCGCCTGTCCTAAAACTGACTTCCCTTTCCAGACGTTATCATCCAGTCCGCTATGGGTGAGGAGGCCGCCGTTGAGGCCAAGGAGGCCCCCAAATAATCTGTTCAATGTTCCCAAGTCCAAGCGTCTTATGATAGTCTGACGAACCAAAAATATGTTAACAACTTCGCTTATATTTGCTACTGCATGTCTGTTAACTCCGGTCTCTTGTAACCCGTATTTGCCCATATGAAGTTACATGCATATGCTAAGATAGGGCCGACATCAAATTGACGGGACTGGCTTTAATATTTTATTATTTAGAATTTTCCATTGAAGTAAAGACCTCGAATTGCAGGACCGACATGTAGGTAGCTTTAGGCTCTAAAATAACCGCAAAAGTACTACCATGTGCAGTTCATGTATGCAATTTTCGGCGGTCGTTGAGGCAGAAAAAAAAAAAAAAAAAAAAAAAAAAAAAAAAAAGAAAATCCGCGGGAGCGCAACTACCAACCTCCACCTAGATACCTAGGTAACCAGCATGACCCAGTTATTTCGGCATGGACTATGTTACCCGAGGGGTTTGTGGCCAAGAAGGATGCCGTGAACGACGTTACTTTCTCGAAAATGGTCTTTGGTTCTGTCGACGCGGCCATCAACAAGAGGTACAAGCCTGCCCTAGTCGGTATAGTCCAAAAGTAATTTGTTAACAGCTGAACAGGGTCGGCAAGTTGCTGAAGATCCAGATGATTTCGGGAATCAGGGAAAGAAACATCGAGTGAAGAAGGATAAAGCAGAGAGGGCCAGCAAGAGTATCAATCACTAATTCCTCTTACCTGAGCCCGCTATTGACCGTTTCCATAGCTGTACACGGTCGCCAAGCACAAACGATATTTCTTCAGGCGTATCAACTTATTCTCTGGAAACAATGTCATATTTTGGTCCACGACCATGGATTTCCGGAGCAGTTCGAGGTGAACCTTCATATTACTGAACTCATACATAACGGAAAGCTGATGGACCCTAGGGTGTCGTGCGCGATCTCTGGGCTTTGCGGCTTCGACGCTATTCGTTAAGGATCAATCAACTCACTGATAATTATGATGATGGCGATGGACCTGAGCTCTTTAGCTCCCAGGCCTCTCTATCAGAGGATTCATCTGATGGAGCGAGCTTAAAGGCTGACTCGAGACTTGTGGTATGGCCTCGAATTCTTGATACCGTAGCTACTTGCTATCTTGCAGCTATTTTAATGCGACTTCCTGTCTGTGTCAGTGATTTTCATCGGTATGCTAATATCTTTACTTCTGCCAATTTTTCATTTCTCTGCTTCACATTTGCTAACATGGTATCTTCCAGCTTAATTATCCTTCAGGATATTCCTTATATACGGGCTCTAAGAAACGTCCCTCGTGACATGAAGGAGAGACTTCCTCCGGAGTTTATCGAAATCCTTGAAGTAAACGTGAGTGTTCTCCAGAAAGTAGCCCCAAGGGACACCAACTGACCTGTAATCCAATAGAAATTGCCTCAAATAGAGCATCTTCATCGTGGGTTCAGAGATCTACTGATATACTATCAGCGTCAGTTCGATATTGCACTCCCGGCTTTAAACTCGCCTATTATTTTATACCGCTACATTAAGAGACTAGCGATTCCTGGTAAATAGCCCTGGAATACATTGACCCGCTATTCAATAATGAAGCTAATAGTATCGCAGTCGATGTTTATGAGGTCATTAAAACGCTGCAGGGTCTTCTTGGATTCAATTTCACATGGCCCCGGATTTCAAACTCCAAAACACGAAAGAAAGTGCTTGATCTGCCTGACGTGCAGATGATGGTTCTCGTTGTTATTGCTACCAAGATACTCTTTCCATTTGATCGTCTGGAAAGATACCCAGTGACTTCCAAAGAACCAGCCTCTCAAGCTATGGACTGGTCTCGATGGATGGACTCGCAGAAGCATTTCGATTCCCCTGATCCTGATGTTTGCAGTACGGGAAAGGATAAATTGATACAGGTGGTAGATACAGACGTTTTTCAAATGGCTCCCAATCAACTGGACCAGTACATGGACTGGTATGAAAAGAGTTGGCTGAATCCCTCGGAAAAGAGTAATCCAATTGCCAATATGTTCCCCATATCTCGTGCAGAGACTGCGGCTGGGGCGAATTCGGATCCTGCTTCGGCTTCAAGTACCTCCAACGACAGAAATCCCGAAGAGGCACTCAATGAATTGCTGCTTTCTGTCATGCAAGACTTGTCACCACTACCAGTCATACCAAACCAAGAAGAAGTGGACTGTGGTAGACCGGGTCAATGGTACAAACGATATCGGTGGGAATCTTCCCTTCCCGAAACAGCACGAGCGTTTTATGAGCTCGCTGCTCAAATTTGTGGCATTTCATTGAAGATGTTTGTTCGTGCCGTTATGGTGGCCGAGTGGAGACTGTGGCATTGGCAGGAAGGTCAGCGACGCGAGGAATACATGGCGAACGAAATGGAATATCACTCAGATGGCACTGAAGAGCATCTTGACGATGAAATTGAGGATCTCGATGAACAATTAGATGAGCTGGGCATGGAGGACTGATTAATAACACTATTTGTTCCTAGAATTGTATCCGTATAGCTTCAATATTCAAAATTCAGAAGAGCTCTCGGGCTAATGATACTTCTGGAAGCCCAAGATGACTTTTCAAAATACAAAAAATAACTTGAAAGCCATACTAATCATTATTTTATTTTTCCATACTTCCATATGACGTTGTAGAAGTGAATATATCACGTGATATATCCAAAAGCGGACGGGCTTATTAGGGCTTAGGGTATCGAAGAAATCGGCCCACCTTTGCTAAGCGAGAAGTCCTCACATTGTCATCGACTCCTCCGCCTCGAACACAGCGACCGACCGCCGACACCAACGAGAACTCGCAACCAGTACGTATCCTGAAACCTACCGCAATGTATTCCTGTGACCTGGGTGATCTCAACGAGCTAACATTTTCTTTTCCCCGCGTCTCCAGTGCAGATGTATGTCACTCTAAACCCCGAACTCGTCGTTCTCATTAAACCCCACTCGAAACGCTATCAATATCGAACGAAACATGGAGGAAATGAGCAAAGGAATATGCAGCTAACGCGGCTTTGTATAGTTTCGTCAAGACCCTGACGGGTAAGACCATTACCCTCGACGTCGAGTCGAGCGACACCATCGACAATGTCAAGACCAAGATCCAGGACAAGGAGGGCATCCCCCCTGACCAGCAGCGTCTGATCTTCGCCGGCAAGCAGCTCGAGGATGGCCGCACTCTTAGCGACTACAACATCCAGAAGGTACGCGATTTCGGATTTGAATTCCTTTGATATTATGGCATAGAATCGGAAATCAGATTGGATGGGTGTTCCTGCTATGACCGCATCTCGATATGCGCAAACTACGATACCTCCATATATGATGGGAAAGAGGAGGAATTCGATACTCAAGACATGCAAATGCGATATTGATACTATCGGTGACTGACATGCGATACGACTATAGGAGTCCACCCTTCACCTCGTCCTGCGCCTGCGTGGTGGTATCATCGAGCCTTCCCTCAAGGCCCTTGCCTCCAAGTTCAACTGCGAGAAGTCCATCTGCCGCAAGTGCTACGTACGTGACTCTTTATTCCGATACACCGAATCAAATATTGCTTTTGAACGATAACTCCGGCAGTACCACGACTCAGTGAACTAACGTTTTAAACTAACAGGCTCGTCTCCCTCCCCGTGCCACCAACTGCCGCAAGAAGAAGTGCGGACACACCAACCAGCTCCGCCCCAAGAAGAAGCTCAAATAGATGACTCGCTTTTTGGTGTTATGTTCGGTATGCCGTGGTACAAATTCACGGTCCAGGGTTTGGCGGATGCGACACGGAGAGGTTTTTACATGGCGTTAGAAATGATGAAACAATCACAGCCACAGTCATACTGTTCTTAGTTGGCTCCTCCCGGGGTCCATGTCGCACCATGAATTGAAGTAAAAGTTCAAAATATTCAAACATTTCCTAGCCAAGTGCTTTTTCTATAAGTGAAGTGGTTGGAGTTGAGATGCAGGATTATTCCGTGTCCTCTACAGTAGGCATGGTTTAAACGCATAGGCTTCAAGTTTCGAGACTTTGAAAATTGTCTATATCCGTAGAGGAAAAGCAGATGCTCATTGGAAATGCGGGCCGTCGAGGCCACACGTATAGAAATGAGAAATACAATTCATGCATTATCCGACCTATGGGCAGATTGGAAAGCAGAAGAACTATGTTACTTGTGCAGGCTGACGAAGCGACCAATGTCAACAACCCCCATCATAAGGCTATATCACTCTGTCCACTCAGAACATCTTTCCTCCCTTATCATCACTGACCGGGTCTGTCTTTTTTGAGACAGGACTTCCGTGACTTTTGAAAAGAGTTAGCCTGATTCAAAGAGTTATCATCAAGGAGGGGGAAAGATCTCACGCAAAGAATAAAATCTTGATGGCAATAGCCAAGCCAGCATGCAGCAATACAACCAAGATCAAGAGAATCTTGCTCGCCTTAGCATCCGTAGCACTCAGAACAGGATACAAGTTTCGGATAAGGAAGAAAGCAGTCCAGGCAAAGCCCACACCAACCAACGCCCAGTTCAGAGCAGTCAGAGGACTCCAGCTAACAAGCGCCACGCCGATCCAAACCAGATTCGAGTACCCATACAAAGCCCAGCACTCAATCAGATCAGCCGACGAGCTCCCGAACCAGCGCAGAGCCCCCCATAGCGCAATCGGCAGAATGCCAGTATATCCATATATCAGGCCCGCAGCACCTGAGAGCAAGGTGAAGTCGTACACGAAGTGTTTCTCGTCATTGTTCGATAACCACTGCGAGATAGTGCCTGTCAAGAACAGAATCACAACGACGGTCGTTGCGATCCAAACTGGGCCGTACAGGTCTGCATTGCCCTCGAGAACATCCAGAAAATTTGAGCGCGGGTATAAGGTTGCTACGCAGCGCCGGAACACCTCGTTTGTGTCGACGTCAAAGAATCGCTCGTAGTAGTGGATCGACCACCAGGTGTGCTTTGTTGGTGTGCCGCCAGGAGATCGATCACGGCGGCCGCGCGAGGAACTGCCGCCTAGGAATGGAGCGGAGTCGGCTTGGGCTTTAGCGGCGCGTTGGTCGCTTTCATAGTCTGAGTATCAAGGAGGTTTCATTGATTAGTTTTCCGGTCTTGAATTGTCTGAGCTTGCTTAATTGCACTCACTGGACGGATGGAATACAAGGCCCTCATCCGGGTTGAAATCAGTGTCCCCAAGGTCACCCTGTTTATGGGTCAGTGAAGAGTAGACGGGGAGTTACCTTACATATGCCTGCTTACCTGGGCATCCACATCGACGACTACGTCGTATCCCCGGTTAGACATGGTAATGTGATGGTTCTGGAGCGTTGATTGTTATCGGAAGGTGGGAAGTGTACACATAGCTTTCCACACCCAACGCCACACCCCTCAGCCACACTTATCTGTTACAGATCTATGACATTCAACGCTCTCACTTTGACATCTTATAATATCTTATAATATCCATGGATGCCTATAGTTAACCTTATTTTTGCAATAACATGGCTTTGGAGGTTTGATCTTCACCGAAAGTTTCGAATTTATAAATCAGAAAAGATATAGTCGGTCGCAATTGACACCATATTATCTACGTAGTACTACTTTTACATTTCATAACCATAGCAAAACATTCCGAAACTTTGTGATCCAGCCCATCTTATCTTTTCAGACCTCACTGAATATCGCCTGAGCCCGACCGAAATATGTCCAGATAAAACTATCGAGTCCTTTCTTTCGAATGTAAAACGATACAGCTCCGACCAGGATAGCCAGAGCCACGGATCCAGTCTTTCTGTGCTTCCACGCAAACTCAAGAGCCCTTTTCCTGCGCTCTTCATTTTTGATCTGCCTTGTCTGCTTCTCAAAGAGCTCAATTGCCTCGCTCGCTGTGTGGTGAGCTGTTAGATCGCGCGAAGTCTTCAGAACACTGCACGAAGGGATACACTTCCATATCCCGAAGGGGAGCGACTCCGGAGGGTAGTCCTTGAAAAGCTGGGTTGCACTCAGGATATAACTGTCCAGATCGAGTGGAGACGGAAGCTTAGAGAGTGTGAAATGAAGCATTTCGGGTTCTTCCACGGGAATATCCAATAGTTCCTGCCTTCGCGAGAGGATGATTTCTGCGAATAAGTAGATAGCTAGCACTGGCTCTCTGGCTAGAATGAAGTCGAACAAGCGAGCAATGTCACTGTATTCCTGAATGTCATGGGCATAAAGAGTGAGGGTTGCGGCGAGGGCAAAGAATGGCTGGATGCTGGAGAGGTGCTGTCGCAAAACAGGATCGACAGCTTCAATGATAGCTGGAATAAGTTGAAGGTGCTTGACCGTGGGCGACAGGGATGAAAGCATGTAGTCTCTAATACGGAAAAGGGAGACTTCTGCCATGGCCGATACTGCCTTCTGTTCTCCCAATACCAACAAAAGAACTTGCACAATATCATGATATCCCTGGAAATAGCATAGCATGGGGTAATTGCGTAGTACTTGGTTGATGAGGTGTGCTAGTTGCTCTTTCTTCTTCAACAACTCGTCTTCGGCGGCTTGATGAAAGTTAGTGATAGTCGGTCAGCATTATGTGGAAGTGTTGGACTGACCATTAGGATAGTAGACAAAAGACCTGTTAACGTCTAGCTGCACTTGGTCTTCGTCTGCGTGTCGTGGTAGATCATCCAGGGGCTTCAAGTTGTTATATCGTGAATTCTCATCGCATTGCAGAAAGATAGGCCCTATTGGATTCTTTTAATCATGTGGAAGGGGAAAATAACAGCAGATCTTTCTTACAAGCTTTTTGTCGCAGTTCGTCTTCCAGTAGTCCACCTTCGCTGGTTGCAAATTCAACTAGTGCATTCACATCACGGTCTTTGCATGCTTGGCGAATGGCCTCAGCTTTCTCTTTTCTGGCTTTTTCTTTTTGTTGATCCGCCCACGATTTGTCTTGAGATTCGCTTTCGGTATCTGATATTTTCTCATTGAGAGAAGCCGACTCATCTCTTGGACTCTCACCTCCAGACTCTGTATTGGATGGACACATTGTCCACAATACCAGTTATAGGTATGGATGAAATTTGGAAAGCTCTGATATCCTCTTTGGTCAATATTGAGAACTACTTTCAATGTTGACAGCAACCTTGGGCATCGTAAATCAGCAGATGTGAAAGGGGTCAATTGGTGAGGCACATACAGCACCTCGAGGTTGTATATATGAAATGAGACGAATTGTTTGAGTGTTGCTGATTTAATACAAACGCCAGAATATATATTGAGATTCAGCTGTACTCCAAGGTTCATATGAATGAATCTGAGCAGAATGAATGCACAGACTCTCGACAAATCGAAGGCTCGATCAATATTGATGTCATGTAACTGAACATTCAATATTGAGTGGACCTGAAGTATCCAATAAGATGCTGAACAGATGTAGAAGCAGTGAAGTTCGAGATATGAAAGGCGGGACCCACAAAGGTGGCCTAAGGCAGGACACCTAACGTGATTCTTTCACCCGCAAAACGTTGTCCCGAGTTTCAAGATACCGCCTTGCGACCTTAGGTCTGAAATTTCATATCTAGAGAACAAAAGTCATATTGAATGGGCTCGTCCGATTTTCTTTCGTTGCTCTGGTCCCTGGGGTCCCATCGTGTGCGGTAAAATCACCCCCGCAGGCGCACCTCCACGACCAATAGTTCATGTTTCTATGCGCTGCCTTTGAAGTACGAAATATCAAATCTGGTTGGAGAGCTTTGACTCGATTTGAACTTGGTATTTTTATGCAAGTTGATTTCTCACGTGGAAACAGTCCTTTTGAAGGATCTTTCTAGAAGTTATCATTGTCAACATGGTTCAGTAGCACTGATTCGCATTACAGCCGTGTTTGTGTCTCTACCTATCTAGGAAATTACGCGAACTTGGCTGGATTTGATTCAGATTTGACGTCTCTGGAGTCTACTCTCTTGATTACAAGCTTCTGCTGAGCTATTGTCTAACTATTCCGCCCACTTTTTCAATCTCAATTATCTTTTTTGTGAGAGACCAAATTTCTATCAGACCGCCCAACCTCTTTCTCTTGAATTAGCTTGCCAATTCACATTCCTCTTGGCAGCCTAATGACTACATTACATGACCCTCGATATCATTCCTCCCAATATTCTTCTTTGGGACCATTTCAAGAACCCAAGATGGGTGCTTCTACGCGTTCATCGCATCCAAAACGCCCTGAAGGTCCCGTCAAGATCCCCGGAGTTCTCTCCCAAACTATCTCTCTTAGCCCTGTGATTAGATGGATTCTACCAGCTCGCATTCGGAACAATAATCGCAATGATGTCGTATTTGTCAGTGAGGGTCGAGTTCAAATCAAGCAAGCTTTGCCTGGTGGATACCTGCAGGGTGTGATGGAGAAGACCGATTTCCGGGGCCCCATAATCGCAGCGAAAGTTCTCAACGTGGGCACCGAACTTTCCTTGGAGACTCAAATCCAAACAGGTGATGCCTATGACGGCCCTTCACAGATCCTCGTTCTTTCAATCGATATGAAAGAACTTTTGTTTCTGTACTGTTCGCCCTCAAATAAGGGTGAATTCGTGACTTTTCGTCGACCGTTGCCGGTTGATATTGGCCTGCCACTGAGATTTGGTAGGCATATTGCAGTGGATCCCAAGTAAGGAGCATACTTATTCAGGGAACACTTGCAGATTCTAACGCTCAGCAGATCTCGTGCTGTCGCAGTCAGTGCGTCAAATGACTTCTTTGGATTTCTCAGGCTCAAATCTCCCCATGATCTTCACATGCAGATGTATCAGAACATCTTAGATCCAATCAGCCAGGTATGTTTGCTGTATTGAGAGATCTACTTACTCAAAGCTCATATTGTTATATAGGAACGTTTCTACCGAATTGATGGCAATATTCAATTCATGGAATTTCTCTACCCCAATACCGTCAATGATAACAGGATCATGTTGCTCCTGATTGTCCAGCAAGATGGAGTCGTAAAAGCTGTGACTTATACATGGAGAGAAAACCAAGGCCAGAAGCCAGAAATAGCGGAATTTAAACTCCGTAAGAAGGACACTCTGCCAACTATGGTTGTTCCACTGACCAAGGAATGCTCCTTCCTACTCGTCACCACCACTTCTATGACAGTCTACTTATCGGATGCTTCATCTGATGATTTCTCTCGCTCCACAAAATATCCCCTCATTGCACCAAGTGCTGATATCAGCGAGGCTGCGATGTGGACGCGCTGGGCAAGACCGGCACGCAATTGGATGTATAGCCAGCAACATGACGGAATTTATCTTTGTCGCGAGGACGGTTGGATTTATTACCTTGAGTTCGGCACCAAAGGTGAACTAGAAAGTCAAGATTCTTTGGGTCAGCTCAACTGTGATGTTGACACAGCGTTTGACGTCCTTGACATGGGGTACGAAGGTGGTGATTTCATCCTAGCTGCAGGAAGCATGGGAGAAGGTGGACTTTTCGTCCAAGAAGCGCGAGACCAGCCGAGATGCGTCCAGAGATTCATCAACTGGGCTCCTATCAGAGATGCTGTCATGATCTCGTCGGACTTGCAAAGCAATTCTCACGGTGGTATCTCTCGAAATCGCTTATTCGCCTGTTCAGTCGCCTCATCTGGGCATACTGAATCTTCGAGTCACGGAGCTCTCCACGAGTTCCGCTATGGTATTGAGGCTCAACTTGGAATTACAGTACCCCTTGATGATCTTCCCAATATTCGAGATATGTGGATCATGTCTGACGACTCCAATGGTGGAACTTACGTCCTGCTATCCGACCATTCATCGACCTTGCTGCTCTTCATTAATTCGGAGGAAGAGGGTATTAGTGCTCTTGACGAAGACTTGACAGGACTAGGTACTGAGCAGACGATAGCAGCAGGTTGCACTTTCGAAGGCGTTATTGTTCAGATCTCTGGAAAGGCCACTCACCTATTTGTTCCTCATTCAACCTGTTTGAACGCCTGCATTCCCCATGATTCAAGTACTTCAATCCTTGCAGTGGCATTTGGTGACTCAAGCTCGGTTATAGCTACTGCTGTCCGCCGTGATGACAACCTATACCTTTACCTCAGCCAGATTGTTGCCACTGATGACAATATCCGTCTGGAAGTTGGTCAACCGACAAATATCAACAAAGATCCTGTTTGCCTATCTCTGCAGAAGTTCGGCGCTATGTCATTCATCTTTGCAGGGAATGTTGACGGCACAATCTCAGTATTCGTGCTTGAAAACGAGACCCTTAATTTTCTTTTTGAGACATCTATTTTAAATACAGATGCTGATCTCTCAAAAGTGATCGAAAGCTTCGCGGTCATTCGCACTACCACGCCAAATGGTTCCTTGAGGGCTTTTTTGCTCTGTGGTCTGCGGAGTGGAGTTCTCGTGTCATATGAAATCGACTTCAATGCTGATGATCTGATTGGTAAGTTCGAATAATTTCCTCCTGAATCAGAATGATCATACTAAATTAAAATTGCTCTAGGACTGCAACAAAGAGATACAAATCGAATTGGGACGACATCTATCCAACTTCAGGGTCAGACTTCTTTTGCTCTTTTTACATGCAACGATGAGCTTTGGCACGTTTCGTACAATTACGATTGCATCCCCTCTAATTACTCTATACGGCGAGTTTGGATCACCGACCAGAATAATGTATGCTCTCAGAAATTCTCCCTGCTATTCGAATTTTCTGTGTCTAACTCATATAGCCCGCGTGGTTCCCGATGACTCTTCATGGCTTCGGGCTGATTAGCCAGCAAGGTCCTGAATCAAGGTCCTCTCTAGGACATCTTTTCTGCTTTGCAGATCAGCAACTTCTCATATGCTCACTGAATCGAGAAGCAAAAATGGTCCCGCGACGGATTGAACTGCCGGGAAGGCCGAAAAGGTTGATCTATTCGCCTATCCTACGGTCTCTCATTGTATCTTACGATATCATTCAAGTCGCGGACCCAGAAGAAGCTGTTTTCGCATGCATGCAAAGGTCATACATTGAGTTTATTGACCCTGATTCGCAGCAGGCTGTGGTGCATCGAGACAGAGCTAAGATGGATGGCACTGAACCGTGGAGACCTGAGTCAGGACGTGGCGAGTCAATCAACTGTATTTTAGACTGGGTTTTTGAAAGAGACGGCCAAACTTATCACATGGTGGCAATCGGCACCTCACTCACCCCAAGGTAAGTTCATACCTACTGTCTTACATTCTTTGTGATTATTTTAGCTTGTGCTTGAGATTAGCATGCATATGCCCTCTCTACTCTGCTGCATCCTCCTCTACTCCCGAGACCTGCCGCTTGTTCATTTCCGGTTTCAACAGAATCTTTAAAGTATCTTCGTACAACATCTTACTGACTGCGCTTGCTCGAAATTATAGTTCTCATGGCAGATTAATTCTTCTATCCCCACGACGGGATTTAACAGACCCTTCACGTGTCAATTGCGTTACTCAATACACCCGGCGACTTGACGGACCTGTGCGTGCGATGGCAGCATATCGAGATAGTGTTCTCATCGGAGCTGGGAACCTACTAATACCAGTGTCGGCCAAAAATGCATCTACGAAGTGGCGTCGAAGTGCCGTGGGTACGCTTACCTCCGCTGTCGTCTCGATATCTATCCATGATAATATTGTCTTTGTCATGACCGCCCGAAACTCGTGGACAATTTTTGAAGTTATTCATGAATCTGGGAGCGAGGGCGCTGATCTGAAAGCACGAAGCTGGGATGCAATGGCCCGTGATGGGTTGGCTCATTTCGTACGTCCTGGAGTTCCACCAGTGGTTTTCATGAGCCATCGAGGTGGAAGAGTCAGTGTCGCGAGACTGCAGGATAAGAATCAAAGCTGGACTGATTTGAACCTTGAAAAGTCTTTGAGAGAAGCCAACCTTCCTGAGTCGGTTCTACGATTTGTCTCTGGATCCAAGCAAACAGACTCCATGTATGGCTTCAGCGTACATGGATCCATCTACAGATTCCTTCTACCCACTGAAGATGAGACAAAACTACTCCAACTACTGCAGAACATATGCTGCAAGGACGAATCCATTTGTCCGTCTTTGTCAAAAGCTGCGGGGCGAAAGAATCCGCTTTCTCTAGACAACTATCATATTGATGGTGATCTACTTGCTCGTCTTGCTCATCGTGGCCCTGAATACCTCGAGCGGCTGATTGAGTCATTGGGATCTAGTCCTACAGCCAACCCAGCTCATCAGCTATTCAACGAACTTGCCCTTAATTTGTTAGGGCAGACATCGACTGAATCTGTTATAGCCTGGATGCGGAAACTTCTAGAAGTTGCTGTCTGATGATTATGAATGTGTTTTATTATGCTATCTAGTTATTCGTGAAGAAGAAAACACAAGAAGGGAATACCCCAACAATTATCACCTAGGTAATTTATTTTTAGTCCTATCCACATAAGTAATCGACCTTGGAAAAGGCGTTGTAGAGCTTGCGGCGGAATCCACACTGCATTGTTCCCCACCATTAATTGATTCTTCCCGAAATTCTTTTTTCCACTCCCCACCCCCCTCGGTCTATCAACTTGTCTTTATCTGCTGGGATTCTATGATTGGAAATCTTATTTTCCGCTATCCTCATTAATATTCCCTTAGAAGGCCGTGAATCCACGTTACTTGAACGCAAGTGAACGGTTAGCTCCGTTTGTGCGTAACTGCATCCCTCCGATCACCGCCCGATCCGGAACGTGAACCCTCAAAAAACACATTAAATCAACACAATGGCGCCTAAGAAGAAGGGAAACAAGAAGCAGCAGGAGGAGGATTGGGAGGCTGAGCTCGGCGAGTCCGCTCCCACTGTCGAGACCCCGGCCGCTGATCAGCCCGAGAATGGTGCTGATGATGAGGAGACAAGTGGTGGCGGTGGCCTGATGGCTGCCCTGCGTAAGAGCAAGGCCAAGAAGGCGAAGAAGGGAAAGTCCACCAACGACTTTGTCGAGGGTGAAGATCCCGTCAATGACCTCGCTAGCAAGCAACCTGAGGAAGGTAATTTCGACGAGGACGATGTGTTCGCTGGAAAGCCCAAAAAGCCCATCAAGGAAGTCGCTGCACCTGCAGAACCTGCTCAGGATGACGGAGAATTCCGCGTGAAGTCTAAGAAGGAGAAGGAAAGAGAAAAGAAAGAACGTGAGAAAGCCCGCAAGAAGGAACAGGTAATATTCTTAACCTCTAATTCCAAAGTCAAAGGCCTGAGCTAATTGGAGGCTTTACTTCTACTAGGCTGCTTCTAAGAAGAAGGCCGCTCCTGCTCCCCAGAAGGAGGCACCGACCAAAGCCGTCGAGGCTAAGATTGAAGAGGCCGTTGCTCCTGCTGCGACTGCCGGCAAGAAGAAGAAGCTCCCCCCTCACCTGGCTGCTCTTCAGAAGCAACAAGAGGCTCTGCGGAAACAGCGGGAAGAAGAGGAGCGACTCCTGGCTGAAGAAAAGGCTGCTGCTGAGGAGCGCAAGCGCCTGGAAGAAGAGGAAGAAGCGAAACTTGAGGCAGCTCGTGCAAAGAAGAGAGAAAAGGAACGTGAAAAGAAGGAGCAGCTGCGCCGAGAGGGTAAGCTTCTCACAAAGGCCCAAAAGGAGGCCCAGACACGAAATGAGCTGCGCATGAAGCAGATGCTTGCAGCTGGTAGTAAGGTCGCCGGTCTTGAAGAAGGCAGCACCGAGAAGAAGCGCCCTGTTTACGAAAACCGCAAGAAGAAGGGTGGTAAGAAGCAGGAAGATGTTGACCTTGAAGCTGCCGCCGAGCGAGCTCGTGCCCAGCGTGAAGCTGAAGATAAACGCCGGAAAGAAGCCGAAGAGAAGGCCAAGGCCGCGGCTGCTGCCGCCGCCGCTCCGGCTGCGGAAGAGGAAGATGCCGTTGATGACTGGGAAAAGGCTGCGGAAGACGATGACGATGTTAAGGACAGCTGGGACGCTCCCACAGATGACGAAGAGGAGAAGAAGCCTGCTACTGCTGCTGCCTCTGAAGATAAGAAGGCTGCCGAAGACTCAGACTCGGAAGATGATTCGGATGATGATTCATCTTCTGAAGAAGACTCCGAAGATGAAGAGCAATCGGCGAACCAAAGAGCCATTGCACAGAGAAAGGCCGAGGCTGCTGAGCGAAGAAAGAAGCAGCACGAGGAGGCATTGGCAGCTCGTTCGAAGGACAACCTGCGTTCTCCTATTTGCTGTATTCTGGGACACGTCGATACCGGAAAGACCAAGCTTCTGGACAAGATTCGTCAAACCAACGTTCAGGAAGGTGAAGCTGGTGGTATTACTCAGCAGATTGGTGCTACTTACTTCCCCGTTGAAGCCCTGGAGCAGAAGACCGCCGTTGTGAACAAGGATGGTAAATTCGAGTTCAAGATTCCTGGTCTTCTGGTTATTGATACCCCTGGTCACGAGTCCTTCTCCAATCTGCGTTCAAGAGGTTCATCTCTTTGCAATATTGCTATTCTGGTCGTTGATATCATGCACGGTCTCGAGCCTCAGACTCTCGAATCGATGCGTTTGCTGCGTGACCGCAAGACTCCCTTCATCGTCGCATTGAACAAGATCGATCGTCTATACGGCTGGAAGAAGATCGATAACAACGGTTTTGAGGACAGTCTGGCGATGCAGAGTAAGGGTGTCCAGAACGAGTTCCGTACTCGTCTGGAGACTACCAAGCTCGCTTTCGCCGAACAGGGTTTCAACTCCGAGCTGTTCTTCGAGAACAAATCCATGGCCCGCAATGTTTCCCTAGTACCTACCTCCGCTCACACTGGTGAGGGTATTCCCGACATGCTCAAGTTGTTGACTACTCTGAGTCAGGAGCGTATGACCAACTCTCTGATGTACCTTTCCGAGGTTGAGTGTACTGTTCTGGAAGTAAAGGTCATTGAGGGTCTCGGTACCACTATTGATGTGATTTTGTCCAACGGTATCCTTCGTGAGGGTGACCGGATTGTGCTTTGTGGTCTGAATGGACCTATCTCAACAAATATTCGAGCACTGTTGACGCCGGCACCGCTTAAGGAGCTGCGTCTGAAGTCTCAGTACGTGCATAACAAGGAGGTCAAGGCTGCTCTTGGTGTTAAGATTGCCGCTAACGACTTGGAGCATGCCATCGCCGGTTCCCGTCTGCTTATTGTTGGACCCGACGATGACGAAGAGGATATTGAGGAAGAAGTCATGACCGATCTGGAGAACCTCCTGAGCCGTGTCGCTACCGATAACCGTGGTGTTACCGTACAGGCTTCCACTCTGGGTTCCCTGGAGGCTCTTCTGGAGTTCCTGAAGGTCTCCAAGATCCCTGTGGCCAACATTTCCATTGGTCCCGTTTACAAGCGTGATGTGATTATGGCCGGAACGATGTTGGAGAAGGCCAAGGAGTATGCTGTCATGCTGTGCTTCGACGTCAAGGTCGACAAAGATGCTGCAGCATACGCCGCTGATGTCGGTGTGAAGATTTTCACTGCGGATATTATCTACCACCTGTTCGATGATTTCACAAAGCATATGGCTGAGATTACCGAGCAGCGCAAAGAGGAGAGCAAGCTACTTGCTGTTTTCCCCTGTGTTATTGAGCCGGTTGCTGTGTTCAACAAGAAGGATCCTATTGTTATTGGTATTGATGTTCTTGATGGAAGCTTGCGACTGCACACCCCTCTGGCTGCCGTCCGCACCAATGCCACTGGTGGCAAGGAGATTGTGCACCTTGGTAGAGTGTATGTTCCCACCTTTTTTCCTTTTCATTTAACTTTAGCTTGGTTTTCACTTTCTAACTATTTCTTACAGTACATCCATTGAGCGTGACCACAAGGCTATCCCAGTCTGCAAAAAGGGTCAGCCCTCTGTTGCCGTCAAGATTGAAGGTCCCAATCAGCCCATGTACGGCCGCCAGTTGGAAGAGAAGGACTTGTTGTACTCAGCAATTTCCCGCGCTAGTATCGACACTCTCAAAGAGTTCTACCGTCCTGAGGTCTCCATGGACGAATGGGCCTTGGTCAAGAAGCTCAAGCCTGTCTTTGACATTCCTTGAGTGTGAAGTAAACATTTAAACAGGCGGCGCATGGCGATTTCCCTTTACGTTTTAGATGCAATCCCATTCCGAACATCTGTACAAACCAGCCAGGCCACCATATCCATGTCCTAGTGAGCCTGACCACAAAATCTCATTCAGTCGTGGGTTGGTCTATAAGATGGATTGAGAGTGGCACTCATTGAGAGAGCTTGCAGCAAGATGTCAAGATATAAAAGTTGCCATCCAAAGAAGCGGAAAAGTTTTTCATTTTATTTTATGATTGCAACCTGGACATATTATGAACGATTACGAAGTAAATGGATTGGACCAAAAAGCCACCTGTATATACTTGAGGTGGTCTATCAAATATGTATCGTTGCTTTCAGATTAATTCGAGTATTCGTTTAGATCCGAGCTAAATTCCATGGTTAGCGTCAGCGTGCAAGCTCGAAATAGTAAAAGTCAATTTTCTACAGCTAATTCCCATGAGATCTACATGTACGGATTAAAGAGTACATATGTGTAAGCCCATTTGACCATACTTCCAACCTTGAAAGGTAGCTTCTCATTTAATCATCCCCATCCCACCTTTCAACCCTACCCCCGTTCCTCTCCCAATCCAACCAACTCCCGAAATAAACTCCGATTCGCTCCGGATCATACCCAGCCTGGGCAGCCAACTGTGCTGCAGCCTGTGCGCGCACACCAGCCTTACAATAAAACACAATCTGATGATCGGCATCAACAACCGGCTTAGGAAACCCGAAGCGTGTCTCAAACTCGTCGCTCTTCAAGTATAGCGCATCGCTCTGCGATGCAAGCGGGATATTAATGGCAGAGGGAATAATTCCAGTTCCATTCAATTCAGCAGGTTCACGGACATCGACTAGGATTACAGAGCCATGAGCAGGTGGGATAATGGCGTTGACCTGTTTCCAAAGAAAAGAGAAAAGATTAGATTCTGATGGGTCTCTAAGATGGATTGATCGTGGAGCGTACCTCCTCAAATCCCCATTGCCGGAAAACGGGGCCGGAGTCATCGCTGGTATAACGCACATGGCTCCGCAGACCTGGGGTATTCTGTGGAACTGTGCAGGTCCGGTGACCTGTTCTTGTGAGCGAGTTGCGGCTCTGGGAGAAGGAATTGAGTCCTCGGCTGACTGGGAGACGTGTGCGCTGGAAAACCGAGGTAGTTGCGGGCTGCGAGACTGCAGCTTTGAGGTTTGACTTGGAGATACTTGCTAGCGAGCGCCGCATAGCTGATTGTAATGATGTAGCCATTATTTGATTCTGAAGGTGGAATTGCGGAGGTAGAGTTGGAGATGCATTGTGATGTCAGCTCTGTGACCGCCTCCTTAGTTGGGCCAGTTTATTTGTAGATCGTGATTGGATAAAATAACTCCAGGCCCCACTTATATAGCAGCTGCGAACCACTTGGGATATTTGAATATGCTTATTTGGATAATGAAATGTAACATCAGAATCAAGATTATTCAAGCATTTATGTGAGGGCAATGACTTCATGTATCTGTACATGTGGTAGGAGGAGCATCCAGTGCTTAGAACTACGCATTCTATTTTCAACCTTGAAAGGCTCCTTATTATACAGACCATCCATTTAAATTTCTGCTCAGTGGTCGACTAGCTCTTTCGCAGGCCAATGAGACTTACGACATAGATAGAATCATCCATCCGAGGCATCAACGTACATGATTAACCCCTAATCGTGTGGGGGCGTGTCAGACCATGAGGTCTGAGGTCCACTGTCCGCTTTGATCATGCAATGCATGCTATTTCGGTTAGATAAAAGTGTGGAACTCATGGAATGAATAAATAGGAGCCTGTCTGGCTGGAATGTTCTTTTTCACCTACTTGCTACTTGAATCTGTTCTGGTTGCCGTCACATTCCAAGGTTGAACCTTCTAGGAGACCTACTATTCTCACGAATCTACCTAGGTGTTGATTATCTCAATACATATGCCTCAACTCGGCACATATACTAACAAATCAAAAACAAGAAAGTTCAATTAATATTATTCTATGTGAGTCTCGGTGACTCCATTTCCAGAAAGAAGAGGGAAAAGAAAGCCCAGAAAGTTTCTCCCAATATCTTGACAAATAGATACTTTGCTTTGTACAAAATCAGGGGAGAATGGTCTATAGGGGGTTCAGGGGGAGAAATTCTGTGTAATGAACCATGACGGACTATTCTTGAGACCAAGGATGGTATCAAGCCAGATCGAAAGAAAGAGGTGAAACAGCGCCTCCGTCTCCAGGACAGAAAATGCTGTGATGAGTTGGTATGACCGAGCCCTTCTGTACGGATCTTGGTTCCAACTCAGAAATTTTCAAGAGACGTTGGAGAATCAAGCGCGAGGGCGGAAGGTAAGGAGACAGTCATCCTGAGGGAAGATAGTGGCAAACACTTTGATCTCTTCTGACAGAGCAGTGGGGGTGTGCTCCCAGTCCATCTCCATGGAGGCCTTGCCGATCATGGCCGCCAGGGAGAGCTGAGCATAGGTTTGACCCAGGCAATAGTGGGGACCCGTGCCGAAGATCAGCCAGTTCTTGGTCTGCTGCTCGGCAGTACCGGTGATCCAACGGTCCGGGTCAAAGGAGTCGGCATTGGGGTATGCTTCTTCGTCGTGGGCAGCGGGCCACACCGAGGGGATGATCATGGAGCCCTTAGAGACGGTGATCTTATCGGTAATAGGGAAATCCTTCTTGACCAGATATGGCACCATGATGACAGGAGGACGGTAGCGCAAGGTCTCCTTAACAACAGCGCGGGTGTAGGGCAAATTGTCGAGCAGCTCCATGGAGATAGGGACAGAGCGGTCACCGTTACGGACCTTGAGGTTCTCGTCGCGAACTTTGTCAAGAATCTCAGGGCGGTCGGCCATCAGCTGGAAGAGCCATGTGGACGCGGCACTGGTGGCATCCTGGGAGGCAAACAAGAAGGTGAAGATAGTCTGGGCAATTTCATAGTCGGTAAAGTCACGGAGGACCTGAGCAGGCTTCTCGGAGTCGTCAACGGCGACACCACTTGCGATCTTCTCACGGTACTTGGCAGAGTCTTGCTGCGCCTTAACCCAGCCGTCCATGATGCAAAGGACCTCGCCACCAGCAGCCATGCGAGCACGACTCTTTGCAGAGCACTTAGCAAATTCAGCCATGACCATGTCAGCAGCCTTCTTGCCATACCAAGTCTTGGTGTAGGGTAAGATGATGGGGAAGTTGACCAGCTCCAGGGCGGCAGTGATGAGGTAGTAGTCATCCGCGACCTTCTGGACCACCTCGTCGGACATGTAGTAGCCGACAAAGGTACGGCAAGACAATGCAGTCATGAGCTCACGGAAATCAGGCATCCAAGGGGTGGGCTGGTGGTTCAAGGACTCGGACTTCTCTAAGAAGCGCTTGAAGGACTCAGTCAAGACTTCCTCGACGCGGGGAAGGTAAGTGGCCAAAGCTTGACGGGTGAAGAGGCCATTGAGACCTTTGCGGTAATCGACATGCTCCTTGCCATCCAAGAAGACCCAGTTGGTCTTGCCGAGGAGCTTGTGGGCAGCGTCCACGACGCAGGGCTTTACATACGTGGGGGAGTTGAAGATTTTTCGGGACATATCACGACTCGACGCAATGACTACGAACCTACAGCAATTGTTAGTCGAATTTTTTGAAAGATGTGTCTCAATGAACACCATTGTCGAGTCCAATGCTGAAAATGTGTCTGTGGAAGTCACTCACTTGTGGAAGACCGAAACACAGCTGAGTTCGCCGCTGTCCCATTTTGCCTTGTACTCGGTAAACTTGGGGTTGACAGATTCCAGGAATGGGCCCATAAATGGGATCTTGAAGGCTGGACCGATGATATTGCCCTTGAGGTAATTGTATTTGACTGTGGAAAAAAGGGGCATTAACAATTGACTGAATTCCAACAACAATCAAACTAAAAGGACGCAAAACAGGACCAGTCACGACAACTCGAAAGAGAATTTCAACTCACACTGATCATAGATGATGGCGCCGACGAACAGAGTCAACAAAAACTTCCAGATAGTGAGGCCCTCCAGAACCGATCCCAAAAAGCCTGTCGCGACGAAATAAGGCGAGGCTGTCGCGTCCGCAGACGGTGAGACAAAGCTCGTGACGTTGGCCATGATATCCGACAAGGTCACGAAAGAAGGAAACCTTTTTTTCCGAGGAGTGTATAAAAATTCCAGCCAACCTTGAAATTGCTGAGACGAAGAAGTGGAGAGGGGAGAGAAATTACCTAAACTAGTTAGTCAGGGGACGCTGCAGGATTACGGAATACGAAGTACGGATATACGGAGCAGAAAATCTTCATATTTCGTCTTGAAATAATACTTTAGAATCCTCTGGAATTGAGCGTACATCTTAACACAGCGGTTTGATTCTTCGACAATATGCCACTTCTAAACTATATTAAAACGTTTAATAGATTTAGATGAATATAAAGCGGCCAATTTTATGGCCATAGTTAAGGCCGAAACCCATTGAATGCTTTATACAAATTAGGGATCGTTGTAACATGGTAAGAGTCCCATTTTAATTCATATATGGATCTTAGACGCTATGAATGACTACGATCGACCAAATCCAAACCAGCCGCGGGCCTTCTTCTCATCAGGTGTTTGAGCCGGAGCTTGCACCTGAGTCTGAGAAACTGCACCCTTCTCACGAGGGTATTCAATGTAATTCCATGCCACATCTAGGAACAATGGCTTCACTGGTACTGGCTGCATCTGCGGTGGATACGGTACCAGGTTGCTGAGATCAATTTTCGTTTCAAACTGGTGCAGGCGCTCCACGATTGGGCGCTGCGGGGATGAGCTGCGGTCGACATCAAGTCGTTCCAGAGTGACAAGGCCACGGTACTGAGCTTCCAGCCCGCGGAGAGTAGACTGCAGAGTGTTAACTTGTGCCTGTGAGACATCAAGCTGTGGAGGAGCATCGGAACTGCCAGAGGATTGCGAAGTGGCACCACCAGAGAGATCGAGTGCTCGTGCAAAGAGTGCCAGCGCCTCGGTTGGCTTGTCGAGAATGCTGTAAGATCGACCCAGAGCCAGACATCTGAGCACAAAATTATTTAGTCAAAAAGAATGAAAACAAATAAAGACCTTTGACGGGGCTTACCTGAGTGCGCGAAAGTAGTGTCTTTTCGTTTCAAGACCCTGCACAAAGAGGGAATCCGCAGCGACACCTGGCAACTCGAGAATAAAGTCCAAGCTCTGTAGAGTCGAGTCATACAGCACTACTCGTTCACGTAGCTTGCTCAGCTTCTTTCCATTTCCGTTGCCCCCATTGCGCTTAGTATCCTTGCTACTGTTGTTTTGATAGTCGTCCAATGTCAATCCGTCTTGACCGCCACACAAGACACGATTGCGCCCAACTCGCCATCCTACCAGGTTGTAATTGACAGCGGTCCGAGTAATCTGCAGAGCCTGCAGCCTTTTATCACCGGCATCTACACCCTCAACAACAAGATCATCAATTGCGCTTTTTGTTGCATCGACAGCATCCTGGCTGGCAATAATCACGTTGTCATATGCCGCAGCCTGATCCTTTGAGGTGGCAGATTTGCCAGCGCCAGCCAACCAAGCAGTTAAACGAGCCTCTGCCGCCGAGGCTGCAGCCAGAGCTTGAGAAATTGACGCATCTTCAAGTGAAACAGTATGGTTTCTCCAAGTGACGGTTTCAGGTAGCTGTTGCACATCACCCTCGGCGGTTCTTCGTGTTCCGGCTGCTTCTTCCGCGAGGCAGGAGGAGTCAATCTTCTCAACTTCAGATCTAACTTCCGAATCCAACGGGAAGTATTCAATAGCTAACGAAGACGTTGGCTTGGAGCGAGGAAGCTTTATCTGGTAAGCGGCATAGCGCAAACTGGGATCGACGGTCCCCGCAAGAAGGTCTCGAAAGGCATCTTTCTTGACTTTCTGGCCAAGAGCTGTAAAGATTACTCGTGCAATGGCGTAGTGACGAAGACAATGCTCCCACTTTCTCTGTTCCAGACACAAGGCTCCGGATATGGTAGCTAAATAAGCTCGGGCTTCGAGGATATCGATGTCACTTGCCCCCGAGACTGACTGCTCGTGGAGCAGCGAGACCAACTGTTTCGCATATCCAGTTGCCTTGTTCAATCGGGAGATGATGTGTTTTCGAGCGGCGCCAGAGATGCCCTTGGCCGATGGATCTGCAGAGTGTGTCGATTTCATGTGCATAGCGTGTGCCCACGCTCGTTCGGACCCGAGAAGAAGAAGATGCACGTAACTGAAAGGAAAAAAAGACGGGTTAACCTTGCGATAAGATCACATAGAAGAGATACATACGCCACATCTGATCCGACATTCTCAGCAGTCACAGCAGGTTTAGCTGTATACTTGCGACCTTTAGAAGTAGCCTGCCCAAGCTTCTTGTGAAGTTTGTGTAGTTTTCGAGTGGCGTGTGCACGGTAGGCATTGTAGTCTCCTACGGATATCACCTCCTCTCGCTCATTAAAGATGTAATCAGTAATCTCCATTTTATTCAAGAGGAATGGGGACAAGAAATTGAGGAGATGTGGAGTTATCGGTTTGGTGGGCTGCGATGAAGGCGGTGCGCTGCTTCGGCCAAACGAATTGCCCGGCTGGCGGCAATTTCACCTCCGAACCTTTGTCTTGAGCCGTAAGCTTCATAATTGTTTTGTGGCACGATTTCTATATCTGCTGCTTCAAAACTTTCGTCTATCTTGAGAAGTCCTGCAATTGAAAAAATTACTGCAAATCAATTATTCGAACTTGATTTGTTTTCCACGCTCAATTCGTCTTTTTGTCTCTTCGGTACGATATGGCACCACCCCCAAACAACCTCGTTTGAACTCTACCATCAGCAAAAAAAAAAAAAAAACGATTCGGCATCCCAGTCACTAACTTCCATTTGTAGCTCTGGGCCCCTGGGCACGAAACAATGCGTTTAATTTATTGTCTCTGGTGATCTCAGTGTTTCCACTCGCGACAATCCGGGGGTGATGCTCGAACGAGCGGCCAGTCGCCTTGAGACCGCAGGTCGGCGTTTCCTTCGAGATTCCAATGGCGCTATTCGAACCAGGAGAACACTGTCTCGTCATTTTTGGAAGCACAATGGAAGCGGAGGAGATGCTGACCGCTGGTATCTCGCCCTTGTTCAACCGCCGCCAGGATCCTCTACATATCCTGCCTCCGAACAGTCGCTCGGTAGCAAAATGAGCAACGATGCAGTCCTACCATTTTTAGATTTTCTATACCCACGAGAAACCCAAGAATACGCGAACTTGCGGCTACCCAGTTCTCCGAAGCGGCTGGGACTGCGCCGGAGAAAAAGAACGCTCAACAGCTTTCAAAGGACCTACACATCAGAAACCTCAAATATTCATCGAAACTCTGTCAATAACCCAGAGCAACTATGGGAACTGAAAGAAACAGACGAAACAGGCGAAACAGAAGCATCTGTTCAAGCGGAAAAAGACCTTTTCGAGCTCTTGCAAACAACAGAAAGAACGGATATATTGTTTGACAAGGCTTGGGTACTCTACCTTGCGGCTTATAGACCCTCAGGAGCTCGCTCAGCATTGATTGAATATTTGAAAAGTTCTCAACAAACTGTGGACCGAGACCGAGCCTGGGAGCTGTTCGAAAATCTTGCACCTGAGAGCCGTTCCGAGCAGGATTTCCTTAACATTACCATCTCTCAGCTTTCTTGCAAGAAACCCTCAAAACTGAACATTATCTGTGAACAAGCAGTTTCTAGAGGGGTTGGCAACGTTTGTTGCCAGTTATCGTTTGTATACTATGTAAATCACCACGATTGGGTGAACGCCCAGGAAATCTGGGACTTGAGGAGGTCGCCTGAACAGCCAGATCGTTGGCAAAACTCGCGAAAACCACCTCCGAAAATCTTTATCACCAATCTTGATGAACTGGAGATCTGCGACGATGCACTTTCATTGGGAGACTTCTTATCAAATCAGCCCGATAATGCTTCCCTTCGCAAGCTTGCATACCATTTCATTAATCGAATCGCCAGTTCACTCAATATTTTGGAAATGACCTCGTTAGAGATTTTACTTCAGCTTTTGGATCAGTACCAAGAACTGCACATCCTGGAGCCCCGACATTATTTTGCAATGATTGAATCCCTGCAATCAACTTCAAGGTCATCGTTGGCTCGGTCGTTCGTGATCTACCGTCATATGCGTCGACTGGAACCCGATTTGAAACCGAGCGAGAAATTTTTCGATGAGCAGTTGCAAAAGCTCAAGGCTTTCAACATGACTGACAGCGTCCGCTTCTTCCTCGACGAATGCACATTTTTTCATCAGCGACCCTCCAGCGAGCAGTTTAGAGTCGCCATGATCATATTCTCCAGGGCTGGAGATGTGGAGCAAACCAATCTTCTCTTCGAGAAGTTCATTGCGCGTTATGGAACTCCAAAAAATCCCAAGTTGATAACTCCACTCCTTCATGCTCATGCCCGCAATGATGATCTCCCTGGGACCATCGAATTGTTCAAAAGAATATCGGAGGAATTTCACCTCAAACCCATAACAGAATGTTGGAACATCCTCATTGCAGCATATATGTCCCGGAACGATTTGACTGGTGCTTTTTCAACCTATTCACGGATGCTCAAAGCCGGAGTGAATCCCAATTCCGCTACAATCACCACGCTTATGGGAACTTCTGCCAGTCGAGGTGATGTGGAAAGTGTTCAGCGTTTGTTGATAGAGGCCCGAGAACAGGGAGTGTCTGTAACTATGGATATGCTCCAACCGATTGTCCATGTCTACTTCATTAATGGTCGATTGGACCTTGCCGAACGGTTCTGTTACACATGCATGAAATTCAACATCAAAGGCTCTCCAATGCGCACGTTGAATTCTCTTCTAATGCAATATGCATTTAAAGTTGACTATACGTCTTTTTATCGGGTACTTGAGCACATGAAAAATGCGGGACTGGAAGCAGATGGAACAACGTATGCGGCTATCATGCTTAATATGGTTTTGTCAGACAGACCAGACATGGCACGCCAGACTCTCCGGCGTCTCCACAGGAGACACACCATGCAAGCCACGGAATTTCATTATGCTATCATTTTGCTTGGTTATCTCAAGATTGGTAATCTCGAAATGGTGCATATCATCTTCCACGAGCTTAGTGAGCGATTTAGCGGGTCAAGAATGCTGTCAGATATCATGAAGCTTAGTCCCGAGCTTCAGCAGGACCCAGCGACCTCGCAAAAGCGCACTACCAGGCTCGCAGAAAAGTCACTACTGAATATCATTTCACAGTTTGACATCACCACTGTGGCAAGCAAGTTTGTATCCTCCAATTCTCGACAAGAGGCTCTTAGCAAATCTTTCAATGTTTGGGACGTCGAAAATCTCATCAAGGAACATGGCGATAAAGGAGCGATTGAACAGGCCATCTCCGTCTTTGACCAGTATGTCTCCGGTCAGTCATCTGTCGCCTCGTCAGGTAGCTCTTATTATGATAATGTGCCTATTCGTCTTATCGTCGCTATGATGATGGCTCACTCTAAAGCCGGACAGTTCGAAAAAGTGGAAGAATTCTGGCAACTTACACTATCGAGGACAATTAAGATGGCCATTCCAATCGATGTTGACGAGCTCCTTAAACAAGCTGATGCAGATAATGATACTGGTCTGGCCTCTCTACCTGTCACTCTGAATTCTCCACAAAGAGAGCCCAAGATTCTCCCATCACAACGCTTCTACATGTCCCGACCTCTGTCTATCTATATGCGGACATTAGCGTCTCGAAATGAACTGCAGAAAATCTCCGAAGTGGTGCATGAAATCGAGGCCGCAGGTTTTGCCCTGTCAACTTTCAATCGGGCAACTTGGGTGCAGGTTCTGTCAGATTCTGATCGATTAGCCGATATAAAGCATGCCCTCCGAATGTTCGAAGAAGTCTTCATGCCTAATTTCCCCGGTTGGGACCGACTGAAGACTGGCCAAGGCTTGAAACCCCAGGGTGTTCCGCGGAGCGTGTACATGTTGGAAGACATTCGCAAACCCGAGCAGTCCAAGCATTTCCTCGGAAAAACTGCAAATAGGTACTGGAGCAACATTGCACCTGGGTTTATGCAGCCCACCTACGTCACTGTGATACATATTGCAGCGGCATTGAACAGAATTCGCGAAAGATCTATTTTGACTGGCAGTGATGAACTGCAGAGGCTTTATGATGTCGCACCACTGACGATGGATGTGATTGCCCAGCTGCCATACATGCGCGAGAAGGTTCAGGGTGTGCTCCTTCGTCAACGCTCTGATCAGTCTGAATATAAAAAGCGGCGGCGACGGATCACCAAGATTGGTCTTGCACGCGAAGGCATTCTTGGTCGCAGGGTCGACACTACGCTTGATCATGATCTGCCCATCAAGTCTGATTTGGAGGACACTCTTGCCCCCGCCGATATCATTGACATGCAGAGGGAAATTCGCCTTGACCGCAAACTGCGTACCCAACGCAACCCACAGGCCTCATCAGAGGTTGGATACTTTGAACAGACATCGACTCGCAAAGTCTACATGCCTCCTGCTCAGAAGATTGTTTATTCAAGCCGCATCACTCAACGTGAGCGAGTAAAACGCTCTGAGAGAAAACGGCAACTGATGTTGACCGAAGGGGAAGAAGATGAATCGACCACACAGCCCGCTGAACCACCCACAGAAGGAAGTCTTCATGAAAGGCATTCTTGAACCATGTATCCATATTGCTTGTTTCTTTTTGTTTTTGCTTTCTGTTCACTTTGAACCCTGTATATCCTGTCCTGTCCATGTAACATACTATGTAAAATATCTTTTCGATTGATCTACATGTAATGAATCTTCCAGGTTATTTCACCCCTCAACTACTGAATACAACCTAGGTAGTTGAAATCCATCTTCATTGTAGATTGTACAAGTCTGGACTAAGAGAGGGTAGGGTGGAGTAGTATGGATAGGGCTAAAGTGGTTTTTTCATTTACGCGACGCGACGTGTTATACGCGTCTTAATCTTCGGATCGCGCTTATCCCCACCTCAAGACCTTTCTTCCTCTCTTCCCAACCACCACTACCAAACACAACCCCCAACCATGGATGGCTTTCAGCTACGAGATGAGGTCTCAAAGGATCGTGTGCGCGCTGCAACTGAATTTCTTGATCCTCGTAAGTCGTTCTATAATGCTCAAGAGCGTTCCAAGTTTAAGCTAACAAACTTTTTATTATCAGAAAATGCGAACGCACGCAGGTTTGTGATATCAGAATATCTTCAATCCTGCAATTTCTGACTCTATAAAACAGCTTTCGAGCAGACATTTTGGTGATGCTCAATCGAGGTCTGCGACGACTGACCGTACGTGGATTTATCCCCTGAAAAAAAAATGGGAAAAGGTTGCTAATGTTCCTGCAGGTCAGCCTTGACGAAATCCGAGCACACAACCGCGAACTAGCAGAAGGGTAAATTAGTCTCATTCTCTTATCTCAATTTCATAAACTAATTGTTCTCCTCTAGTCTTCTGACGTCCCCTTTCGACTACTCACAAGCCTTCGACCAAGCCCTGAAGGACGTGGTTAAGGCCTTGCCAAACCGTCCCATAAAAGAACAAGCGAGCGAAACCGTGCGTATTCCGATCGACGTGACATTATTCACTGTGAATTGGAGCTGATTGAAGTCATTGCGGTAGAACTACTATTGCGCTTATGTTGGAGCCTTCGGAGAATTTTCCTGCAATCCTCGCACACTTGGATCCGATCAATTGAATCGGATGGTCTCCCTCGAGGGAATTGTCACAAAGTGCTCTCTGGTCCGACCGAAGGTTATTCAAAGTGTTCACTACTGCGAGGCAAATGGAAATTTTCACTCAAGACGGTATCGTGACCAGACTATGACTGCGAGCGGTGCCACAAGTTTGAATGTTTACCCCCAGCAAGATGATGAGGGAAGACCAGTAAGCAAGGCCCTTTAATCGCAATATAGAAAACCGCAGTCTGATATTGATTTTCTTTTAGCTTATCACCGAATATGGCTACTCGACGTTTTTGGACCATCAATCAATTTCCATACAGGAAATGCCCGAACGAGCACCGGCCGGCCAGCTACCCCGAAGTGTTGATGTCATTCTTGATGATGATCTTGTCGACAAGGCTAAACCTGGAGATAGAATTCAGCTAGTGGGTATCTATCGCACACTAGGAAGTCGTAATGCAGGCTCTGGCTCATCGACATTCCGCACCCTTGTGATGGCCAACAATATAATCCAACTTTCTTCAAAGAGTGGCGGTGGCATTGCACAGGCTACTATCACGGATACAGATATTCGAAACATCAACAAGATCGCCAAGAAGAAGAATGTCTTCGAGTTGCTATCGCAATCGCTCGCACCCAGTATTCACGGCCACGATCAAATCAAAAAAGCTATTCTGCTTATGCTGCTCGGTGGAATGGAAAAGAACCTGGAGAATGGTACCCATCTTCGTGGTGATATCAATATCTTGATGGTTGGTGATCCATCCACGGCCAAGTCTCAGTTGCTTCGCTTCGTGTTGAATACTGCTCCTCTAGCCATCGCCACCACTGGTCGAGGTTCCTCAGGTGTTGGTCTGACTGCGGCTGTAACCACGGATAAAGAGACCGGCGAGCGTCGATTGGAGGCCGGTGCAATGGTTCTAGGTGACCGTGGTGTGGTCTGTATTGATGAGTTCGACAAGATGAGTGATGTGGATCGTGTCGCCATTCATGAAGTCATGGAGCAGCAAACAGTCACTATTGCCAAGGCTGGAATTCATACCAGTTTGAACGCCCGATGCAGTGTCCTCGCGGCTGCCAATCCCGTGTACGGACAATATGACCCTCACAAGGACCCACATAAAAACATCGCTCTGCCTGATTCTCTTCTTTCCCGTTTCGATCTGCTTTTCGTCGTGACAGATGACATTGAAGATGCTAGAGATCGTACCATATCAGAACACGTTCTGCGTATGCATCGATACCGCCAACCCGGAACTGAGGAGGGTGCCCCCGTCCGAGAGCAGCTCAACCAGACACTGGGCGTGGGTATTGAAGATACCGGTGACTCCAACCAGCCTACAGATGTGTTTGAAAAGTTCAACGTTATGCTTCACGGTGGCATGGTCAATACTGGTCGAAACCGCGGCAAGAACGTGGAAATCATCAGCATTCCCTTCATCAAGAAGTATATACAGTACGCCAAGTCGCGAGTCAAGCCAGTCCTGACCAAGGGTGCTGCCGACCACATTATCGTCTCATACTCTGCTCTACGAAATGAAGAAATTATGGGTAGTAAGCGTCGTACTGCACCCATCACCCCTCGTACCCTCGAAACTCTGATCCGTCTGTCTACTGCGCATGCCAAGGCCCGGTTGTCGAACCGAGTTGATGAAAAAGATGCCAAGCACGCCGAAGCTATTCTGCGCTTCGCCATGTTCAAAGAAATAGTTGAGGTCGAGCGTCATAAGAGACGTAAGCCCAATACCTTCGATTCAGACTCAGACGATGAAAGTGAGCCCGATCTTGAAAGTGACGATGGTGATAATGGTGGTGACGATTCCACATTCCGTGGACATTCGAGTGCCACACCAGGACGGAGGGGCACAAGGTCTCATGGTGCTGCCAGCCTTGCCCCGGAGGATGAAAGTCTCTACTCATCCGGTAGCCCGCGTGCCTCACGCACACGGACCAGTCAGACCACCCGTACGCAGACTCAGAGCGAGTCTCAGATGTCTATGGCATCTTCTCAGCCTGCATCTCAGCTTGTGCAGTCCCAGACCGACGACTCGCAGTCCACTGTCTCATCGGTCCAACCTATCACTCCCGCCCGCTTGACAGTTTTCCGTCAGGCCCTGGGTCCTCTTATGGGCACTCAGCTCTTTTCGGGTAGCGATATGGTCAATGTCAACGTTCTGATCGAGGCAGTCAATGCAGCTATTCGCTCAGCACCAACCCTCGGTGCTGCGCACATCTTTTCACAGCCCGAGGCTTTCCAGGCTCTCAATGTAATGAACGACGAGAATCTGCTAATGTTCCTCGAGGACGACGACAATGTCTACCGTATCTAATCTTTCTCATATCGAGAAATGTCGGGCTTTTCTTTTCTGTCCTGTTTTTGAGATTGCTTCCAAGTCATTGCATTGGGATGATATCACAGTTCTATTTTGGTATATGGAGTATTAGGGGGTACCACGGAGTCATTAGATTGAGGGATCGTTATGACATTTCTTCAAGAATATTATATCCATGAACATTGTACAATGAAAGACATCAAAATATTCAAGATTAAGCTATCTGCTTTAAAAGTCCTGATTAGATACCCAAAGTTCAATCAAACCAATCCTGAGTGAGCTTAGTTCTCACCACCAATCCAATGTGTCAACAAGATCGCATCACGACCAGTCCAAGAAACAACATTGTCAGCAGCACCGTCAACTTGACGTCTAAACCCATAACGCAATATAGCACCAATCTTCGCAGCCGCCTCTGCTATCGCGCGGACTCTAGTCCGTTCTTCGACATCTTGAATGCCAGCATCAAGCCAAAACTGATCCCAGAAGATAGCGAGAAACCACATCTTGCACGAGTAGTCTCTCCAGACTTTAGTATCCATATAGCCCGTTGTCAAGAAGAGAATGTCAAGATCCATTCCAAACGGAAGAACCTTAGCAAGAGACCAGTCTACAATGCTCGCCAGCTCGGGCGTATGTTGGCCAATGCGAACGCTAGTTAAAGAGAGGTTGCCATTCGTGAGGACTTGGGGATAATCAGGATTGAAAAGTGCTGGGCAAAGGCTGTATAGCTCTTTCATGGTTGACTTTGGTAGGATTCGTGGCGTTGCGCCCTCGAACTGGCGTAATTGGTGTCTGATGCCAGCTAGTCGGATGGGAATGAGTTCTGGGGGATAGACAGGCTGCGAGCAAGACCATGACCGCGCAAAGTATCTGATAGCATCCATTAGCTGGGATGCGCAGTACATACAAATGTAAAAAGACAGACCTTGCTAGATCCTTCATGAACAACCCTTGCCTTTCCTTGTGGCTGTTGGATAACTTAACCCGACAGCAAAGAGTACTGAGGAGAGAGACATTTGGCTGACATGGCTTAAGGTAGATACTCAGCTGGGGATCAGAATCTTCCATCTTGCTGTGAAATATGGGCTTTGATGCTAAGTCTCTAAAGGTTTCCATTGCTAGTTCGACTATCCAATCGACTGGTTTAGCATTTTGTTCACAGAAGGTCACGATGCAATTGGTGTAAGATGAAGCACAGCCACTGCAAATAACAGAGTAGACCATTGCACTTGCACTATAGACTGGCTGGACCACTGAAGCGCTGGCAATAGTCCTTGCGAGTTCATTACATCGTGTTGGGTTGGATGGGGAATTGCGGTTGTCGAAAAAGTCATACTGGGCCATTTGGACCCAGTTCATGTCAACCATGATTATACTGTAGATAGTTCAGGTTAAGATAGTTTGGATGTTGCCGTATTTTGAAGTAATTGAGGTTGGGAGGAGAGTTGTAGCCATCCGTATTGAAGGTTCTTTCATTGCCTTCAGGCTCCTCTTTGTCTGCTTGTAAAGACGAGTTTCAGTCAAGGAATTCTCCCCTGCTCTCTTCCACTTCTTTCATGTCGATTGACCCCTATACTGAATGAATCACACCCAGTGGCAATGGTTCTAGATATAAGTTTGTGGAATCATAGTAGGAGGTGCTTTCAAATGTATATTAATTACGGATTACCAATATCTATGCCTATGATAGCGATATGAACAGAAGGAGAGGTGAGATGTATAATATCTAAACAGCAGGACCTGGCTCGAGTACAGGTGCAGGTGTGTTGTCATTTTCTCTCCCGGTCATCTCAGTCATAGGCAAAACACCAGAATCATCAGATGAAAAAGACGATGTCCTTACACCTTCACGGATTGAAGATGGTGCCAGAGGTGACAAACCACGACGCAGACTCTTGGAGCCCTTTCTTTTTCGTTGAGGGCTTGATTCTTGACCCGAAACAGAGGGAGTAAGGCTGCCACGTCGGGGACGACCTGTGGTAGAGGAGCGGGAGGGTGGTCGGTCATCATTGTCCATGGGAGTTGAACTGCGAGATGAAGTTCGGGAGTGAGATGATTCAGAGCGGGTGCCACGGCGGGCAGAAGATGGTCGAAGCTCTTGGCTTGGCCTAGAGGAGATGGATGGTTGATGGAGATGGGACCGGAGTTTTGGCTCTGAATCATGGGATCGGTGCAAATTCGCTGCCATAATGCGGTGACGCTGTGAAGAGCGCCACAAGCCAAGACGCCAAAGCCAGCCGCCTTCTGTCTGGGCGATATGGCGTTCGCGCTCGCGAATCTTTTGACGTAGCTGAGTTCGACGCTCGTTCTCTTTCTCCCAAAAATCGGTACGGTAGTCATCCCAGTTTTCACGAAACCCAGATGAGAAGGATTTGGGAAGTAGCAGCAAGCGGATGTAGTCGCCGCCGCAACTAAGGTCTTCTTCAATCAGACCTGATTCCATACCACCACTGTTGTGATACTGTTGGTAATGCTGACGATGACCCGAACGCTTCTCAGACGGGTGACGCTCGACGAAGTGGAAGTTTCCTGTAGGGGAGGGGAAGAAGGGTAGGTAAAATGGGAACAAGAAGGACAGGTAGGATAACAGCTCCCTCCACCAGGGCCCCCGGATCACGATGATCTTGGTATTCATAGTGCGCAGGCCGCGATTGGCGAGTGCCAGCCAGCGCCGGGGCCAACGGATTCCACGCTCCCACTGTCCCGTCCCCCAGACCAGCAATGCCGTCACAACCCCACCAAGCAGAGCTACCTTTTCTCCCATCTCCACGACCCAATATACTGAACCACCAACACCTCGGCCATCCTCTCGAGGACGGAGAAAGAGAGCATATGCAAAGTAGGCAATCCAAGCTGCGAGAAGCACTAGGAAGAACGTGTTTTGGCGGCGGCGTTCGCGGAGCGCTAGGTACTGCGACCGTAGCGAAGCTTCAAGGATTAAGAGATTCAAGTAAATTTGGGGCGGAGACGAAGGTAGTGAAGCCAGTGGGTCTGAAGTTGGGGGATTTGGTGGCGATGAAGAGCGACGAGGTGATGAATATGTGGGAGCAGCTTCGGGCATCGGAGCACCCTTGACGATCTGCTCCAAAGATGCCGGCATGTTGGAAGGATCAAAAAGAGATAAAAGAGTTTACAAAACACACAGAATCAACGGCCGTTGCGGCCCAGTCCGGTTATCATGGTGAAGAAGAGGAAAAGAGGGAATCAGGAACCAAGGGGAATAAGCAGTAGATCAGGATCGCTACATCATATCTTGGGACCTTTCCGCCTTCCCCAACTATACATCTTCTTCCCAACAAGATTGTCTCTTTCTTATCACTTCGACCTGTCATTGTTTCCAATCTCTTCTATTTTTCTGACTTCGATCCTTCTCCACCTGGCTTGAACCGTAAATTACGGATGCGCCTGATTGTCGGACGGGGTTAAGCGGCGTGGCTTGTCTCCGAATCGCCTTTTGAGTCTTTTTAATTCCGTGGCCCATGGTTTTCTCTCAACTTATCCCTGCGACAGAAAATACCCATATATATACATTATATATTGTTAACTCATTTCGTCTCTGCTCACATACACCGCGACGCTGTGCTACCCCTCCACGCTCTGTCGCATTTTCCACCATATCTCTTGGTTACCGCCAGTCTCCCTCCATGGCGTCGGAAACGATGAATACATCCGATGCGGACGCCCGCAGTCATAGCGGACGCAGTTCCCCTACTAATGGCCGCGAGAGCACTCCGTTTGCTGCCAACACCGCTGCTGGGGCGGCCGCTGCTGCCTCATTTTTTCCGTTGGGGTACCGCGAAGGCTTCAGCCAATGGGTAAGTGGGGTCTATACTGTCAATACTGTTTCCCCAACTCATAACCAACGTTTTGTCGTCCTGTAGTGGGCTCGTCTACCTGCTGCTGCTGCCGAGCACAAAGTCCTTTCATACCTTCCTTACCTGCATCACCAACCCCCAACACATCTCCAAACCGGCAACACAGCAGACTTCCCCGATGAAAATACCCCAGCCAGTTTGCGGTCTGCAGATCACGACCAGAAAGCGGATATCTCAACCAACTCTAGTGATGATCCCTACGGCCCTCGTCGCTGGCGCTCCAGCATGGTCGAGTTGAGCGGAAAAGACCGGGCTCTCAACGAATTTTCGGTGGAAAGAGTGGGCGAGGAAGCTGATCAGCATCTGGTCATGCTTCATGGCTATGGCGCAGGTCTTGGTTTTTTCTATAAGAATTTCGAGCCACTCAGCCGGTTGAAAGGTTGGCAGCTTCATGCCCTGGATATGCTGGGTATGGGTCGCAGTACACGGCCTGCTTTCAAAATCAAGGCGAAGGACCGAGAGGAAGCTATTAGAGAGGCAGAGGCATGGTTCATAGATGCGCTGGAAGAATGGCGTGTCAAACGTAAGATTGACCGATTTACTTTGCTTGGTCACAGCTTGGGTGGTTACATGGCTGTCGCATATGCGCTCAAGTATCCTGGTCACCTCAACAAACTTATCCTCGCATCTCCAGTGGGTATTCCTGAGGACCCATATGCGGTGACTTCGGGAGTTTCTGAGCCGACAGAGTCTACACTTCCCAGTGAACTCACCCAAGATCAAATCGACATTACTACGCCAAAAACTCACGACGGGAGCTTCATCACTGGACGAGATCCTGCAGTTTCCACATCCAACGAACCACCACGTCGGAAAATCCCCAAATGGTTCGCCTATTTGTGGGACCAGAACATCTCCCCCTTTAGTCTGGTACGGTGGGCAGGCCCTCTTGGCCCCCGGTTGGTGTCTGGGTGGACTTCGCGCCGCTTCTCCCATCTCCCCACTGACGAAGCCAAAGCTCTTCACGACTACTCGTACTCTATCTTTAGTATGCGTGGCAGCGGTGAGTACGCCTTGGCCTACATTCTCGCTCCCGGTGCATTTGCCCGCAGCCCTCTTATCCACCGTGTTACTGGCATCGGTCGTCAGATGATCCAGCCTGGCAGTCCGCTGTCCAATCCTGCCACTGAAGCGGCCTCCAAGTCCTGCTCGATTTTCTCCAAGTCAACCACTTCCGGTGTAGCTACTTCTGAAGATGCTACCATCCCAACTACAACCCCTTCATCTGATATTTCAGAAGCACCGCGTCGTGAAAACGGTCTCCCCGTCATCTTCATGTATGGTGACCATGATTGGATGGATGTAACGGGTGGCCACGCTGCTGTTAAACTCATGGAAAAAGAAAAGCAACAGGTTTTGGCCAATGCCAAGCCTGAAGAGCGACAGAATGATCAAGGCTCAGCAAAGGTTGTCGTCATCAAGAGAGCAGGACATCACCTCTATCTTGACGGATGGCAAGAGTTCAACCAAGTCATCCTCTCTGAAATGGAGGATGTTAATCGGCGCGAGAGGGCGTCGTAGAATTGAGACAATACATTTTCAGTGTGACCACTGGCGGCTATCATGCACTAGTTCTACACTGGAACATACACAGTGACCTATGGGCGAACCGGGATATTCCATTCCCTCCGCGTAGTTTTTTTCAACCCGTGGACGCCAAACAGATGGCGTGGGGCTGTTCAACTGCTAAAATTTTAATACGGTGTACATACTTCTCACATGGATGCTAGACATAGATCGGAGAGGCTTCAATTCATAATGATATCTCATGCGTAAAACTCATTGTATATCAAATTATCTAGTCCGCTCATGATTGTCAACATCTTTGTAATGCGGCCCAGAAATACTGCTTCGTCGACTCCGCACACTAGTAAAGTAATGAGCCATCAGGCGTGTTATCTGCAGAGGCGACGCATCACGGTCTTCGTTAGATGTAGCCGTGTCTGGTGTTGTGCACGGGCTTGAACTAGGGCTTTCTACTGCAAACAGAGCAGAATCAGGGTGAGCAAAGTATCCACTGTTACTGCCATTGCCAAAGCTTGAGCTCACTCCATCTAAAGAGCAACTCATATGTGAATTATACTGGGATGGACACAAATTCTGTGCATGTGGACGAGTTTGGGCTTGTGATTGCGGCTGTGGAGTTATGAACGGAGCGCGAAAAGCCACCGGTGATGTCGGGTGACTTAGACCTTTGCAATCCGGTCTATTTGATACAGCGATAGAGAGACTGGGACTAGTACCCTGGTTGTTGGTGTTGAGAGAAGAGGTAGTATGAGAACGGTGGTGATGTTTATGAGGAGTCTGGGTATGATAGACATGCGAAGACGTGGGGGTCAGATCATGAAATCTGAAGTTGTGAAGAGATTCCACATTTTCTGGATTATTAGAGCCGCCGATGGTCACTACTTGAGAGGGTAGTTCCAGACGCTGGTTCAAGGACAACCAAGCATGGTCGTCATCATCAATATTGGTGCTATAGACCGACGATGTCGATGTAGAGCGCGAATCTCTACCACGTAGAGATTTGGTCCCACGGAGTTCTGGTCTAGAAGCGTTGGTATATGGGCGCCAGCCGCCTACGCCTTCAAAATCCCTCCTCTCATTGACGCTGACAGGAAGATCGTGCGCTTCAACCATGCTGCGTGCATAAATCTTCTTCTTCCTCTTTTTATCATCGTGATGTCCATTGATACCCCATGATGCTAACAGGTCGTTCCCTCTTACTGGTTGAGTCTGGGCATGCGCTGAGTTTCGTCGGGAGTTTCCAGTAGCTGGTGTGTTGGGCTTTGATGGAGTGAAAACCAGAAATGAAGATGTAATAACTGGAAGTGTGAAGAAGCTGACAACCATGTCATAGAATACTCCGATGTAGACCAAGGATACTTGCAAAAGTAGTGTAATTATTGCAAGCCAGATGGTTATACATGCTGAGATGAGAAGAGGGATTGAGACGAGCGCAAATATAGGGAAAAAACATAGAGCTGACACGGATGACATTGATCTTAATCAATGGATTTCTTTCATATCGCAAATATAGGATAGAGAAGATGCGATGTGTGAGATGTGAGATGAGGACCTCGGAAGCTTTTATTGATAAGGCGGAGAAATGCATGTGACATCGGCCCCACTCACTTTATTTACTTCTGAATATCTGATTCTCTTCCCCAAAAGATAGGTTACAGACCAAATAGCGCATTTTACAGAAAGCAATGAACTTGAAGATCATTGGGGAAAGAAGATAAAAGGAAGAGGCCGATCTGTAAAATCTAGCAAAGCTCACTCCTATAAGGGTAGGAGATAGCAAACTTTCAAAAGATGACAGTTTTTTGGGGGTTTTATGGAGACAATACGTCTCGAGCCAAGCTAACGCATTAGGGAGTGCGGTTTTCTTAGATGCTGCACTATAAAGTCTTGGGCGTGACTTACACCAATTTTTGATATTATAACCCTGACCACTCAATTCCCATACAGCATTAAATAGGACCCATAGTGCAAATGAGTATCTCATGTTCTGTACACGGAGAAAAGTCGGAAGCTATACATAACTGCCCACTTCAAGAAAGCTGGAATTTCATATTGGTCTGCATAATAGCCTATATTAAATTATTAATAGAGCAAGACTTGAATGAGAACAGACTACGAATCTACAGTACTCACGGTAGTTCAAAGTTGGGAAAAGGCCAAATAAAGTAGGCGGTAAGTATAAAACTTATTCTCCGCTGCCGTATTGTGCCGTTTTAGCGTATACCAAAGTGGGGTAGATTTATAGCTATTATTGGCTAGAAGCTCAGACCGCTTTTATAACATAGTAATTCTTACCCACTAGTATCTTAACCAATGAAATGGACCATTTGTAGCAGTAAGGCTGTTGGAAAAGCTATCATGGATTATAATTGGCTAAAATAGGTATCAATCTATTCCTTTTTCGGATGTAATTTTGGAGACTGTATTGGCAGAAAAAGGGCGCTAAAACGGCACAATACGACAGCGGAGGGGATAGATCAGATAGGACGGTGAGAGTATTATGCCAGAAATATTCATTTGCACGATAGGTCTTCTTTGATTGCATCATCTTCCTCGGACATGAAAAAGACTTGGACTCGTCTCATCTTCGGATAATTCACTTTTAAAATGTCACTTTCCCAGGAAGTGGATTTCCCATGGGATATCGGTATTCAAGATGCTCACTGTCACCCTACCGATACAATGGCTTCCATCGCCAGCATCGCCGCCATGAAGACCGCCACTTTAACCGTCATGGCCACACGCGCAGAAGACCAAGATCTCGTGCAACAGGTAGCCCAATCCATCAATAGCCAAGAAAATGCTATTAGTGCATCAAGCAGAGACCGTATCGTCCCTTGCTTTGGCTGGCATCCTTGGTTCTCTCACCAGATTTTCGACGATACACAACCAGGCACAAGAACGGTGCCAGATAAACACACCCACTACTCAGCTGTACTCTCACCCGGCCCCCACAATGACACTGAATTCACCAATTCATTACCGTCGCCAAAGCCTCTTTCGCAGCTTATTGCTGAGATCAAAGCTCGTCTTCAGCAGTTTCCGCATGCGCTTGTGGGTGAAATCGGTCTAGATAAGACATTCCGCCTCCCTAGTGCATGGACAGGTCCAGAACTTGATAATCGTGATGAGGAGCTAACGACCGGCTCGCGTGAAGGCCGAAAACTCACCCAGTACAGAGTGAACATGCAGCACCAGACAGTTGTCCTCAAAGCCCAGCTCAAGTTGGCAGGGGAGTTGGGTCGCCCTGTTTCCGTGCACAGCGTACAAGCCCACGGGGTTGTACTGAAACAATTTCAGGAGTTGTGGACAGGCTATGAACTGAAGATCGTATCGCGGCGAAAGATGATAAGAGAGAAAGATGCAGAGGGCGCATTTCCAAACGAAACAGATAACATCGTAACCCAGGATAGAAAGGATAGTGCATCCGCAGAAATTTCTACGCCCTCGCCATTGCCTTTCCCTACACGCATCTGCATGCATTCATACTCTGGACCTGTGGAGCCTATTCGCCAATTCCTGAATCGGACTAACCCGTCCCAGGTATATTTTTCATTCTCTTATCTGATCAACTTCGAACGTGCGCGGGGCAAGAAGGCCTGTGATGTGATCAAGGCTGTGCCAGAGGACCGTATTTTGGTTGAGAGTGATCTTAACATGGCGGGGCCGGAGATAGACGATTTGATTGAGAAAGCGGCTCGTCAGGTGTGTGAGTTAAGAGGGTGGGAATTGAAGCATGGTGTTAAAATCCTCTCAGATAACTGGAAGAGGTTCATCTTTGGATAAATCACCGGCGAAGCCAAATTGAAAGTGCCGGCTTGAAATAGGCTTGAAATAGTAGTTTACATATTTACATCTCTTATCATGTACAATATAGGGCATTCGATAAGGATGCCACAGATTCCGAAAGAGTCCAAATTTCAAGAAAGATAGTATTGCCTGGGTGGTCAAAATCACCCATTCAAAGGCTCCTGTCGTTATCTAACAACGTAAAGTTGTAGTCTCTCTATCAAAGGAAGAATCGAATGTAATAATGTTCGACATTATCTAGTGAAGTTTTGAAAAAGTGAATTGAAAGGAGTCCGTACCCTCGTTTCTCATTTCGTCGTGCGGATACAGACTCTTAGTCGGGAGGTGGAAGGGTGTGATAAAGCCCTGGAGGTATTTTGACGATGATAGGTAATCAAGCGGAGGAGTGGATGTAGTGTCCCGGTAGTGTCCCGAGAAGACAAATTCGGGTATGTACAGGAAAAACTAACCGGGAACCCATCCTTCCTGAAACAGATCGGCTAGTGGTGTGTCTTGCCAATAGATTTGCCGCCATTCATCTTCCAGTTCAAACAGTCCTTCGCCGGCCATGGGCACCGCTAAGTCCGATTCAGTGTATGCAAAGAGTTGTCTCCAGTCTGGATAGTCGCGATGCGTGTCCATTTGGTCATCGACTTGCATGTTGCTAGAATAATTATCTTGTCTTTCCATTGGGCCAACATTAAGTCTAAGAGGTGCTGTGATCCAATTGTCAAATTGCGGGGTCGGTTGCGGAGATATTGTTGTATGTTGCATTGGGGTAGATTCGGGAGTAGGGACACCAAAGGATAGTGGTCCTGGTGTATGTGCTGCGATGGAGGCAGCCGTGACCTCAGGAGAAGTAATTTGCATCTTACTGGGAGGTTGAGTGACGTTGAATGGTTTGGAGCGATCACTGGTTGCAATGCGTAGATCTTCTTGGAGACGCTTTGAGTCTTCAAAGAGGCGCAGAATTGTTCTCGCATGGACCCAGTATTGAGCCAACTCTCGCAGAGAGTAAGATGCTGAGTCAAAGCGACGCAGGGCGTTTATGGCAAGGACCGGGTTAGAGAATCGCAGTTCAACCCTAACTTGGATCATGGCGGTGAATAGAGTATGGACACCGGTGTACCATAGGAATTTTAACCGGTCATTGATCCTGAGCTCTTCAAAGATGGATGCAATAACTCCAGCAGCAGCACTGCAGATTTCCGCATCGTGAGGGCCGTAGTCGTCAGAATATGCCGATGCTCGTGGATGGGGTCGGTGCAAGAGGATGAGAAAATTATTGTAGGTCAGGTGTAGCATGGCAGACCATGGATCCATATCGGATGCTCGAAGACGTAGGTTATCTGGAAGTTTCAAAGACCAACTGGCTAATGATTCGTCGGCTTCTTGGAGGACGGCTTTTCGTCGTTCATCATTCGCTCGAAGTCCGAATCGATCACGAATAAGATATGAAATCATGGTACAAAGCTCTGTGAAGTGAATGACAAATTCGGCTTGTACATGGGCACCACAGTCCTCAAAGTCAGCATGAGTCAGTGGAGATACGTCAGAGTCATCCAGGTTTCTGATCAACCTCATTAGTACGCACATACTAGAATGAAAGCCTTGAATTCTTCTTACATTGCTTGTGGGCGGCCAAACGAAAGGGAGACCATCACATCAAACTGTACCATGATGAACCAAACTCGTCTCCACATTCGTCTGTCTCGGGTAACAAAACGACCAGAGACTGGGTTGCGATGCATCCCAAGTCCCGTGGCAATTCGTGCAGCAACACCAACCCAAAAATGAGCGTCTGCGGAGACATCGTCATCGGCACTATCGGAGTGCCATGTCAATAGCAAGGCCGTTTGAACAAGGATATCCCTATTTCGCTCGATGCGATTGTCGAAAAGGTATTTAGTGCGACGAAAAAATATTTCTTTCAGTGTATCTCGCTCTGCTTTCTGGCGAGTAACATGTGCACCCACTAACAAGATTGCTTGAAGCAACAGAATTGGCGGAGGATCCGCAGGGTCGCGATTGCGGTACTGTGTCATGAAAAGATCCTCATCGATAAGCGGATACCCTGGGTTGACGTATGTGAAGTATGCTTGCACAAGCTCATCCGCCAAGGCCGGCTCAGGGAGTGTCAGCGCATCCATAAGAAGCTGATCATGGCCGGTTTTAATTTGTCGGCGGGGGATTTCGTTACTGGCGAAATGATACACGTCATCGTCCTGGTCGCGTTGCTGGCGAATCAAAAAGGACATATTGGAGTGTTCATGGCCAACATAGAATGCGCGGACGCCTCTTTGGATCTCTCGTCTACCATGCTCTTCCTCATCTATCAATTTCACGAGGTGTTGCTCCATATCTGCATGTGCATCATGGGCATGCGACATATCCGGGCCTTGGCGTGAGAATGGTTCTTGGACATTGGATAGGAAGTTCTGTTGTGGGGGATTGCTTGCTAGAGGAGTCGATGCGGGGCCACCCGTAAAAGCCGTTGGAAAGCTTGGCGGCATGGGTGAGCCCCCTGAAGATGGAGGGTTGACAGCATGATCAGATAGCGGTAAAGGCCGAGACCGGATAGGTACAGGATCGAGGATTGAGCGCACCGCGAAGCGTTTTTTCTTCTCGTGTATGCGACAATCGGTCTTTCCAGAAGTGCGACAATTAGTACAAGGAAGTCCGATGACTCTGGCATCACAGCGAACTTTACGCCGGTGACAGTGAATGCAAGCTGCAGAACCTAGGATGTTTTCAGTCACCGGTCAATCTTCTGAAAATCTACATTTCGAGGACCAAATTCCGAAGTGAAAGGGGGCAAAAATGAGAAGCCAGCCATTGTAAATAGCAGTCTGAAGCACAATATATCGAAGGCTAAGGGTATCTTACCCTGTTTGCGCTTGCTCACTCCATCGCCCGCGAGAGGCGAGGCGGCATTATCGTTGGCGGACATGGCTGGAGAACCATCGGCATCATTCCATGTGCACATCGGCCACGACTCTGCATTATTCTCTCGAGCAACTTTTACTCACACCGGCGACTTCAAGGCATCCTGCGTAGGGCACACGACTGGAAAAATAGGGACAAAGCAATAGATAGAAAAAAGATCGGAACGTCTAGGACTGCGGGATCGGGTCCAGCTCACGTGGGGTGCGGAGAATTATAGATTATGTAACGATAAAACCCTAACTAACTAGTTATCAGTTGTTGTTAAATAAATAACAATTTAGTTACCTAAATAGTTTTGATATTTCAACGTTGAAGGTCTTGATGTTAGAGCCCTGGCATATAATTAGAAGGAAACAACTTGAATGTGAATAATCAGCTTATCTACTTGTGCGTGAAGTACTACAACCAATAATATCATTGCGATAACAGGGCTTATCGGTTCTTCAAGGATAAAAATGCATTAATCTAGCTGTATAGTTGAACGCATTGAATCTGTCGTAAGTATAGCTGGAATAATTTATCAGCGTGATATTCCTAGAACTCTAGAAACATCAGGCGGATCAACAGTCGGATCAACAGTCATCAACGAGTTCTGCATTTCACCGGAAAACAAAGGAAATTTCGAACAGACATTATCTCGTGACAATGGTTCAATCCGTAGCATAGAGCAGCCAATTCCAATCCAGTACAAACATTACAAAAAACTGCATGATCGGGATGTTGGAAGCTCGAGTAATCAAGGACGCCTCACGCCTCATACCTCACGTTCAAATCCATGAAACTCACCGCGGGATTTGACATTAAAAGGTATCCCCGCCCGCACCATTGTGGGATGAGTTAACCATGGGAGGGTATCCAAAAGCAGTTCCATCCTGCTCTGATGGGTCCAGGCCAGGGTTTAAGATACTGTTGGAACCATCTTCGGGGAATCCAGGAGGGCGACCTTGAACAGAGCCAGAGGGTCCAACGACTCCTGAACCGCCATATCCACTGCTCTGGGGTCGTTGCTGATTCTCTCCTCGTGCGGATTGAGTCTGCATAGTTCTTAGCTAATCATTCATGGAATTAGGGCATGGGTCAAAAGTACCTCACGATATTTGGAAAGATAGATCTTCAAGGCCTCGGCGTAGTTCTCGAAACCAAGCGAAGTCATAGCGAACAAGATATCCTCGCCGTTGACTGTCTTTCGCTTTTCCTGTTGGCATTTTTCCGATGCTATGAATACTGTTAGTGATCGACCAGAAAAACTGAAACATGGTCAATAATTACCCTCACTGGTGATGAAAGAGATGAACTCGCTCACGCACTCTTGCATGCACTCCTTGGCTTCTTTAGCAATCTTAGCATTATCGGGCAGAGCCAACTTCATGATGCGTGCAACTAAGAGAATTGAACATTAGCGATGTCAAAACCAAGAGTATTATCATTGGAACGTTGAAAAAAGGCAGTAGAAATGTAAGAAGAAATTGATAGTAGTCGCGACAGGTGTTGTGTTAAAATTAGATACTTTCAGAGCAGGGAAAATGTGATGGTCCGGTGAAAAGGAAGGCAAGAAACAGCTGAAAGAAACCAGAGGATTTCCGCAAAAAGGGAAACATCAAAGCGGAGATGGTGAATAGAACACATGGTACTGGCCAGAAAGAGCAGCAAGGTACGCGCAAATCAGAAGAACAGAAAAGGCTGCAAGGAGACGCAACTAACCATTTGCAATCGGAAGCCACCGATCTTGTTCTTTCACTTCGAACTCACTCTGTCCTTGCGCCAGAGCATCTTGTTGGTCTTTGTCCATTTGTTCCTGGTCTTCGCCAGATTGCACCTCGGGTTCGATCTCCGGTTCCTTGGAGGGCGAGGTTGACGACATTATTAAGAGTGAGTTAAAGGCACACTGATCCTCACTTTGGGCGTCAAGTCGGGGGGCGTAAATTCGCTCTGTTGGCAGGACCACGTCAGATCTAAAAGGCTCGGCACGCGATCGATTCCAATGCAGGCCCAAGGGTGATAAGGGTGTGGGATTGCAGGGTTGGGAGTTGACAATGACTGGGTACGAACCGTTTAGAACAACCTGAGGGGAAAACGGTGTCAGCTAACCCGAGAATTTGGCAATATAATGCGCGAAGTGGCTATCTACTGCGACGCGCGCGCAACCGCTGATTAGTGTCTTGACCAAAAATGGAATAGATTAGGACTCGATAGAATCAAGAGAATTGGACGCGATCGCGTCGCACCACCCGATGCAGTGCAAATAGCAATTATGCGCGCCTTTCGAAGGCTGGCTGGTTGGACTTATGGTGACGCGGGTTGCAGCGCGGGAAGCATCAAGAGTGGGTCAGACTGGGGGAAGCCCAACTGTCCGACAGTCGCACGGTTGCGCAGGGGGAGGGGAAATGGGAAGCTAACCTTTAAGGTAAAAATCACCAAAGTATTGGATTCAGGCTGATGTATTCCGATTCGCTTAATGAAGTTTGAGGTCAGAGCGCTAGAATGAAGATGGTTGGAAGAGGGTCCCCGTCCAGGCTGAGATCAATTGGCGAACCAGAATCTTGCCAGCGGATCGAATGGTCTTTGGCTCCTTACTCTAAATATGGCAACCACGTGACAAGTGGTTAAGATGCATATGGTATTGGAGTAATAAGAGACCGGAACAATTTTGAATTATCAAGCAATCAAAAGGATGAAAGATACATACAGTCCCGAGGTCGAATGAGGAGGTGATCGCATCTGATCATCTGGTGGCCTGAGGCATTAGTTCCACCTAGAACGGTAATTTACTCGCTCCTCTAACTCTACTTATGTATTATTCGTATTTACTATACGTATATCAAAACAACCTTTGCAGGTAGACGAGGTTGAATATTATAATTCCAAGGTTCTGCATAACAGCGAATCCAATTTGACTATGTTGTGATTCTGGTTTTATCTACATTCATATGTACTGGCTTATAACTACTGTGCATATTACATACCGAGGTAGCCAGTCTCCCTTCATTGGAACCTCATTGGTTGGGATGGTCGGCGCTTCAGTAAGCTCGTCAGGCACTAAGGCTTGCATATACATACTTAATGTCTCGGCCATTCGGAACACAAACCTTGCAATTCAAGGTCTCAATGTTCTGCCTTTAAGGCATCAATGTACAATGACGAAGAAGATACAGCCTTGGAATGTATCACAAATGCTCACTTGTACTATTTCGGAGTAGAATTCGTAGAATCTTAGTAGTTCCATTTTATCAAGATCATCAGAAACCACGCTGGATGTTGTCTATTATTTTGTGTCCTTCCCATCAACGCCGTAGTCTCCTCGCAACTAGATGCAAGGAAAGAGGATATCAAGATGTACAGCCTGGGTCGATTGTTCAGGGCTGCACAACCTGGATATTGTTCTTTTTCTATTATGTGAAAAGTGAGTCGTTAGTATCACGACAATTCAAATCTTGTCATGTTGTGAACTAGGAATTGCCTCGTGAACGGCAGCCCCTGATTATAGAGGGTTCACACACCTTCCAGCTGTCCAGCTCAGTCTGCTTAGACTTGTATTGCTTTAGCATATCCTCCAACACTTGCTTCAATCCGTCTGCGTTCATCTTCAGGGAGGGCAAGACGTCCTCGACTGTGCGCTCCACCAGCACTCCGTTGACCATGCGGAAACATTTGCGGTCTTTAGGGAGAGGGTCCATTGTCTCAATGACGAGCCTAAATCATCAAATTAGCACCGATACTGATGGAGGACACAGTCCTGATTGCTTTGAGCTGGTCCGCTCCCATTGAGGGAATAAGAACACATTCAAGGCATTAAGACTTTTGTAGACCGCCCAAAAACTCACTTGTGTTCCTCAGCCTCCTGTTCGATATCTCCAATCTTCTGCGCTAGTTGTTGGAGTGTGTTCTTGAAGGTGGTGTACTGGAGCTGCAACTCTGGTGCGGGGATGCGAGTTAGCTTTCATGCGATCTTATCATTTGGAATTAGCAGAATAGTCTTACCCTGTTGCTTCTCGGGGTCAATTTTCTGTTGGCTCGACATGGTGACGATGTGAGTGCTCGTATTCAAGCGCTGTAGGGAGCTCAAAAGTTGGTGATGCGGGGCCGTTACTGGATGTTTTGCGGGCTTGGCTGCTACTATCTGGATATGCTCAACCGTGCGGCTACGAATAGGTGCTTTACACGTATTGAAATTATGTGTATGACTTGCTGCATTTAATGGCGTGCAAGACGAGATTATCTTTCGAAATCTAATTAGATAATGATACATCCAAATTCAAAAAGCGCTTCAGCCGTATTGAAAACAACGGCACGTGACTGATAACGGTGTTTGCACTGTTTGTATTGAGATTACAACCTCGATCATTCGCGATGGGGACCTCGATCTTGTCGCAACATCGAGCGCAGGAACACTCTTCAATAACAGTACCATTGTCCTGGTAGCTGGATCAAACATTCATCATGGCTCGCGACGAAATTGGCCCGCCAGCCAAGCGGCATAAGGACGATTCGCACCTTCCACCACATATTCGAGATGCTAGACGCAAGGACAACGATGACTGGGAAACGAATCGCATGCTCACTTCGGGTGTTGCCCAGAAACGAGGCCTTGATGTCGATAATCTTGATGACGATGACAGTACCAGAATTCATTTACTGGTTCATGACCTGCGACCACCGTTCCTCGATGGCCGCACCATCTTCACAAAGCAGCTGGAGCCGATCTCCGCCATTCGGGATCCACAGAGCGATATGGCTGTCTTCAGTCGCAAGGGAAGCAGGGTTGTCCGTGAGCGCAGACAACAGCGGGAGCGCCAGAAGCAGGCTCAGGATGCAACAACTATGGCAGGCACCACTTTAGGAAATCTTATGGGTGTCAAAGAGGATGAGGGCGATAGTGCTGTCGCCATGCCGGTTGAAGACGTTTACAAGAGTACAGGCAACAAATTTTCTCAGCACCTTAAGAAAGATAAAGGTGGTGCTAGCTCGTTTAGCGCGAACAAAACCATGCGTGAACAGAGAGAATTCCTTCCCGCATTCGCAGTCCGTGAGGACTTGCTCCGAGTCATTCGGGATAATCAGGTTGTGGTGGTTGTTGGTGAAACAGGTTCCGGAAAGACAACCCAGTTAACACAATTCCTTCATGAAGATGGTTACACGAAGCAAGGTATGATCGGATGTACGCAGCCTCGCCGTGTAGCAGCTATGAGTGTTGCAAAACGTGTCAGTGAGGAGATGGGTGTGGAGCTTGGGGGAACTGTTGGATACGCCATTCGATTCGAGGATTGTACAAGCGATGAAACGGTGATCAAATGTCAGTACTTGTCGCAGCTGAGGTTTCAAAATCTATAACCCCATTACTAACATGAATTTGAACAGACATGACGGATGGTGTTCTCCTTCGAGAATCTTTAACACAAGCAGATCTCGATAAATACTCGTGTATAATCATGGACGAGGCACACGAAAGAGCCTTGAATACTGATGTTCTAATGGGACTTCTTAAGAAAGTCCTAGCCCGACGCAGAGATCTCAAACTAATTGTCACATCTGCGACTATGAACTCATCTCGTTTCTCACGCTTCTATGGCGGTGCTCCGGAGTTTATCATCCCCGGTCGAACATTCCCCGTCGATGTTCACTTTTCTCGCACTCCATGTGAGGACTACGTGGATGCTGCAGTCAAGCAGGTCTTGGCTATTCACGTCTCTCAGGGAGCGGGTGACATCCTTGTTTTCATGACGGGTCAAGAGGATATCGAAGCAACGTGCGACCTTGTTGCTGATCGCTTGAAATTCTTGAACGACCCCCAGCCACTCAGTATTCTACCCATATACAGTCAAATGCCCGCAGAGCAGCAAGCAAAAATCTTCGAAAGAGCAGAGGCAGGTGTCCGAAAAGTGATTGTCGCTACGAATATCGCTGAAACAAGTTTGACTGTCGACGGTATCATGTACGTGGTGGACTCAGGATACTCAAAGCTGAAGGTGTACAACCCGCGCATGGGTATGGATACCCTGCAGATCACCCCAATCTCGCAGGCCAACGCAAACCAGCGATCTGGCCGAGCTGGCCGAACGGGCCCTGGTAAGGCTTATCGCCTATACACCGAGAGCGCATACAAAAATGAGCTATATATTCAGACGATTCCTGAAATCCAGCGCACGAGCTTGGCCAATACTGTTCTACTGTTGAAGTCATTGGGTGTCAAGGACCTCCTGGACTTTGATTTCATGGATCCCCCACCACAGGAGACCATCTCCACATCTCTCTTTGAGCTTTGGTCCCTCGGGGCATTAGACAATCTGGGTGAACTCACTCATCTCGGATCACGCATGACGCCGTTCCCCATGGATCCCCCTCTAGCTAAGCTTATCATTACAGCCGCTGAAGAATATGAGTGTAGCGAGGAGATGCTCACCATTGTGTCCATGCTTTCCGTCCCGAATGTTTTCTATCGTCCGAAAGAGCGTCAGGAAGAATCCGACGCGGCACGTGAAAAATTCTTCGTCCCAGAATCTGATCATTTAACGCTTCTTCACGTATTCACACAATGGAAATCCAACGGCTTTTCCGATAATTGGTGTACCAAACACTTCCTACACGGCAAAACCCTGCGCCGAGCCAAGGAAGTTCGAGACCAACTCCTCGACATCATGACAGTGCAAAAGATGCCTCTCATCAGTTGTGGTACAGACTGGGACTATATCCGAAAATGTATCTGCTCTGGCTTCTACCATCAAGCCGCACGTGTGAAGGGTATGGGCGAGTTTATCAACCTCCGGACCAGCGTGACAATGGCATTGCATCCCACCAGTGCACTCTATGGTCTCGGCTACGTCCCAGAGTATGTGGTCTACCACGAGTTGATCTTGACTGCCAAGGAGTACATGTCCACCGTTACAGCCGTTGACCCACACGTAGGTCTTTTTGAGTCACAGTCCTTTACAGTTTAGTACGAACGGATCAGCTAACATGATATCTTTAGTGGCTCGCCGAACTTGGTGGTGTCTTTTACTCCCTAAAAGAAAAGGGCTACTCACATCGTGACCGGCGTGTCACGGAACTCGAATTTAACCGCCGCATGGAAATTGAGAATCAAATGGCTGTGGATCGTGAACGCGACAAAGTTGAAAAGGCGCGTGAACTGGAGCGCGAGGACCCTGTGCGACGTAAAAAAGAAGTTGAGGTTGGCATTGGGTCTTCTGTGCGGCGTCCCGTCATCAAAAAACCTGCAAAGGTTGGGATTACTTCTTCATCCCGGCCTGGTGGGAGCAGTAGCTCTCGGGGTAGCGTGGTCAAAAGGCCGCAGGTTACCAAGCGCCCCGGCCGGACATTTTGAGCTCTATTCGGATATCAATTCCGTGACTTGTACAATAATGAGAACATAGATACCTGAGTTTGCGATATGCCCTCAGAATCCATCCAAGATACCCAGCATACTACATCCGGTCGATTTAGAAATATATTCGAATTTTCTCGTAACTCGAAAGACATTCATGATTTTTATACAAAAAGGCTTGCTCGCTCATTCATCGCCAGACAGTAAATGCAGTGGACTAAAATTTTCGGAATGGATTTGCAGTTTTATGAGGTAGTCGTAGCAGATCTTTAATTCCGGAGTAGGAAATCGCAGAACCTCGCAGTAACCCTTCAAGCAAGAGTACACAGACGCTCCGGGACGAAGCTTAGTTGATAAAGTTGATACAGAAGAAGTGTAGAATAAGACTTCCGAAGATATAATCGGCAAAAGCCCTGTTTATAGTCGGAATATCAGCAAATATGAATCGAAAGATAGGACAGAGCACAAATGCTAGAATTTAACGTACCTCTCGTGAGAGATACCAGGAACCTGTTCCTCATCATCCACGAATCGGGCATTCTTTCCCTTGGAGCTGGGCTTACTTGACAACGCCCCAGAGCTGGTATCACTTGTTTGCATGCGCAAAGAAGCGGTAAGCACAAACTGGCCAACAGAAGCGCTGAAACCACTCAGGAAGGCATTGAAGGGCTACAGTTTGAGATAAGATTAGCAGGAATCACTTTGTTTGTTAAGACAATATCTCCGTTCCAATCAATCTTCTTTCTCAGATATATAAAGGTCCTGAGGGCAATAGATCTGACGTACGTAGTTTCCAGCCAGAACGCAATACACGAACTGCAATCCGCCGACAAGAACTAGAAAGACCATAAAGGCGTCTAGGAGCAATGTGCGCTGAGAGGTGGAGGTAATGTATTGCTGCCAGACATTGGCAGCAATATCAACGGGGGAAGCATTGGATTTCAAGGTTACTGGGCCTGAGGAGAGGGTTGTCGTTGTCGGGGTAGATGATACTGGTGCGGAGGTGGTTGAGGCCGCGTGTCGTTTGGGAGCCATGTTGACGATATGGGGTGTGCCCGAGTAAGATACAATTGAAAGTTGGAAAAAGTCTTGTTTTAAGAATTGTTAGAAGTCAACAAGCGTTCACAGCGATTCAGGAATTTTGAGGAATATAATGGCTGAGGAGAGGAAGATCAGTTGTCTTGATGCCAGCTGGGAGCTTCGTTATCGCGGGTCACGTGGTTGATAGGCCAACTATATCTCAACATCCTTGGGAACATGAAAGGACCTCGAGAAAGTAGATATAATAGAGAGGGAAACCGAAAACAATGCTCTGACTTGTTCTGACTGGAGGAAAGAAGGAATGAAGAATTATGAGCTTACACGATTGAGCTAATTCCTCAATATTTGAATATTGGAACATCTGTCTAGACAGCTATAGCCTCCGAAGGTTCTTTTCTATCGATCTTTATATCCATCACTTTCCCTTTCCTTTCGATCGAATTGGAACTAAGAATATCCTAGGAAGAAGGAAAAAGACAAGAAAACCTTCCAAGGTTGAACTTTCGAGTATGCCTGATGGATTGTCTATTGTTTATTGAAAATAACAGTTCATCCCCTCTTCCTTTTCTCTTCTTCCTCTCTTACCTTTTCCACCATCTTGGAATCGCCCCCATGACTTGAAAAAGAGAGCCTCTTCTTGTATGCCACCATGAAGATCCATTGTGAGTGGTATTAACAGAACTCACAGATTCAATGTCCCACGTCGCGGACAATCAAGTAATAGCCCAGGCCTAATTGAATTTGAGGAAACGATCTGGGATTATGAATCAATTGATGGGATGTGAGCTTTTTCATTGAGTAAATGTATTTAATCCCTGAAGATTAGCCACGCTCAATTCCGAAAGCATGCCTTATTCCTCTTGTATCTTTAACCTGCCAAAAACCACTAATGAAAGGATAGCTAAGGCATGTTGAAAGCTTTTGTATATAGCTATATAACCACTGAGAGGAGTGACGAGTGGAGAGAGTATACCTAGTGAAATATGATACAAGAAACATCATCATTTCATAAATTAAAATTCAGAACAGTACTGAAAGGTATGAAAACCCTCGTCTGAACAAGAGCAAAAATACCAACAGATATCATCAGATGTATAGATCATACAAGCCATTCTGTAAAAACCCCATTTCCATTTGATAGGCCTGGATCATCATTCCTAACATCCATCTGGAAGTCCCGCATCACTTGGTCCCAATCCTCCCAGTTGAGCATTTCTTCTTCAGGTTGAAGACCCTGCGAAATGAGTGGATTAATCGTAGGATTGGCTGCAATGGGTGGTGGTGGTGGTAATGGTGTTGAGAGATTCAGATTTAGGGGTGGTGGTGGTGGTGGTGCTGAGGTATTGGCAGGACTTGGGGTTCTTGGTGGCGGATTATCGTAAGGAACAGGTGCAAGGATGTTGGTGCCGGGGAAAATTATTTGTAGCGTCTCCCAAGGGCCACCATTGATACTGACATCCAAGGGGTCTGGACTTGTTGATTCAGACTGGTTTTGATTTGTCGTCTGAACAGTACGAGCAAAAGGTGAAGGCTTTGCGGAGTCTTCTGGCATATGAATATGGGGTAGAGAATTCATATACATAGCTTTCAAATCGCAAGGAGGGGTCTCTATCAAGGCATTGGAATTCGGTCCATATTTGAGTAAAAGCTCTTGTTTTTGCTGGGCGCGAGTCGAGGCAGCCCGTTTCATCAACGCGTCTAAAGGTCGCCAAAGCATGCCTTTCTTGTGCGTCTCTTTCATTTTCCAGTCCTTGTAAAACAAAGTGACAGCGTTCCAGGCTCGATCAGTTACAGGGCAAATCGTACGAACGCAAATTTCAGACAGAACAAAAGCCACGCCGTGCCACTGCATGTTGGTTCGGAACAACCAAGACCATTTGGCTGTCTTGGGGTCTGCTTCAAGCAAACGACCGAATTCGAGCACTTCAATCGAAGTGAGGAATAGACTCTGGCGAGTTGAATTAGAGACGGTGGTGATGCGGTCTTTCCGTGTCAATGGGTGATGAACAATCAACCACAGCTTCGCAAGTATGATTCTTCCAACAGTGGCAGCTGCCCATTGAATGGGAATATTCTTATCGCAGTGCTTGATGTACCGTTCCTCAATTCGGCGACTAATAATCTGTATCATCCGCTCAGCAAATTCGATGGGCGGGGGCCGGGCCTCCGAGCCCACGCCAAAGCGACTGAGAGGACAGCCATAATTCACTTTCCGCAATGCGCCGGTAATTTCAGCGCGAATCAGAGAGAACGTAACATCAGTACATCCCTCTCGCTCTTTTGGGGCCTCCGTCATCTCCGGTTGAAGGTCGTCGTCATTTACATTGAGTGGGAGTCGAGTATCGAACATGCTCTCGTGAATGAGTGGATCAGTCGCATGGTCTTCGGCCGCTCGGATATCCAAAAAGCAAATATGCCACCATAATCGACGGCGCATCTCCGTTTCGAATGGCTTCAGTGAGAAATGGGTTCCATCACGATGTAGACCTAATCCTTGGGCGAGGCGAAGAACAACAGAAGTCATGGACCATACAAATTTGGAGTCATCTTCTCTCCGAACACTAATTAGGAATAGGACAGCCGCCTGCAAAAGTACCAGACTTTGCGTGTTCAAGAGATTCGCTCTGGAAAGGGCTTGCTCGACTGCAAAGCGATATCGCCTATATAAAGCGCCTCGGTCCTCTCCGAGTTGTTTGAGACAGTCATCAGCGCTTAAACTAATAATCGCTGTCAGGTATATGGAAAACACCAGAGCCTCCGAGTTCTTGTCTAAAGATTCAGGCTTCTGAGCGGCTTCAATCAACAGAGATCGAGTAGAGGGGGCGTGTAGAATGGAAATTAAAGGGGCAACATTCTCCATATAGATTTCCCAAAACTTTGATACTCTGGGAAGCGGAGGATGATACTCTTTCAGGGAGAGTGAAATAGAGCTGAACCCTAGAAGAAATCCATCATGAGAGCCCGAATGAGCAGATTCAGGGGAATCAACATCGTCTTCGTCGGAAGAAGAGTGATCAAGAATATCCTGGAGTTCCTCAATCTCGTCCCCGAGACTGGCCCAAAGCCGATTGCTCACATATCGGCTCTTACCTTCATCGATAACCAGCCTCCCAAACTCATTTTCAAACTTCCCTGGATCAGGCTTTCTAGGATCACTGGGTTCAAAGGGACAGGCAACACCACTCTCTTTTGCAGCACTTGCAGCTGTAGATTTGACCGGAGTAGAAGCAACCCGATAAGTGGAAGCGGTTGTCTTTGGTGGCGTTGTATTAGTAGTAGTAGTCGAACTACCTTCGCCATTCTTCCCACTCAAGCTTCCGATGACACCTTCTAGGTGTCGCAGGCGAGAAAGAAGTTCAGTGTCGGGTGGACGTTTGGATTTTCTTGGAGCACGTCCCGGTGGAGGGAATACACACTCTATGCCAGATTTGGCACAATTCGAGCAAGGAGATCGTTTATTACAGCGGACTTTACGACGACGACAGGTAACACAGCTCCGCGAGCTCGGGTTGTCTGGTATGCGGGAGGTGGGGGCGGTCGCAGGTGGCGCGATCGGGGAGTTGCTACTACTGGCCGAATACTTCAGACCTTCCGGAGAAGCTGTGAACGACATGATGCGGATAAATGGTATGTGTACCACATTCTCTCTATTCAGTGTTCAGCTGCAGATTTGATGTAGTGTAACGAGCGACGTCAAGATAATTTAACCAGGCTTACGCCCGCAGGCTTATGAGTCAGCCTCCGGCAAATTACTCTAATCTTATCAATTTGCCGAATTCATTTTGACTTCAGTAACATCGAACTTGAGCAGAGATTCACATTTCACACAAGGTCATTAAAGTACAATTACTACACATTCTTCGGCTTCAGTCGGGTTTCAAAAAGAGCCGGTTGCTGTGCCAATGAATTCGGGCTTCCATCACAGCTATCTGGAAGCCAGACTTTAACAAGTTGCAGGTCGGCTTTTTCAAACAGTGCCCGCCACTGTTCTTGTGTTCGTTCAAGAGATGAAAAGGTTCCCATCATTTGCATATCAGAGAGGACAGATGTCAGAAGTACACCAGATTCAGGCAGTATGAGTTCACTAATCAGAAGGATCGAGTCGCGACCCATAGCATCTCGAATCCGCCTAAGAATTTGGACACCCTGCTTGTCAGGCCAATCATGTAGTACAGTCCGCATGAAGTACACCTTTGCGTTTCGCACGGGCTGTACTTGAAAGAAATCATGGCTCTGGACCTCAATGCCCTGCAGGTCTCGAGCACATTCGATGACAGCTGGTAAGTCCTGCAGAATAAGTTTGCCAGAAAGACAAGGGAACCGAGTCTTGAGCTTTTTAAGATCATTTCCATTGCCTCCGCCAATGTCCACTACAAGTGGCTCAGACTCGTTTGAGATCTGCAAGCGTTCTGTGGGAAAGAATTCGAACCAGTCCTTTCCAGTTCGGCGGAAAGACATGCCCATGACGGCGTTGAAGGCTTGCCCGTAGTATGGCGTGGAGCTCAGGAAGTCGAAATAATGTGTATTGGACTTCGTAGGAGTGAAATTAAATGGCCCATCGTAAGCATCACCGGGACTTTTCCACCCTTTAACATGGAAGTACTCTGGTAGTTTGGACAGTATCGTCATGAAATAAGTGCTATCTTCTTTGTTAGATCATTCCAGGAAGATTTCATCGATTAGTTTTCGATGCATACCCGTGAATTACCGCCGCTGCCAGTAGTGAGCTCGAAACGAATGCAGCTGCCAGTGGTGTCTGAGCATATACATCTCGATCTACTTCCTTGACGACAGACATGGCAGACAGGAACCGCACCAATCGGGCTATGCGGAATGAGAACTAGTCAGGTCATGTAGAAACATTCCATCGGATATAACTTACCAATAAGTAATGGCTCTGCATGTCCAATTTCGTTATACAGGTCGTGCACACTGAACGTGTCAGTAGACAGGGATATCTTTGCTATCGCATCGAAGATCTTGAGATCAACACTGAGTCTTATTGCCATTGCTTGATGTCCCTGATATTATGAGATATTAGCGATGCCATTCACGCTCGTTTTCAATTGCCATACCGAGAGCATGAGACGAGCCGTGATGTCCATTGGAGACTCCAGCTTGCTCTTCAAACGGTCACATGCTTGCAACAAATCTCGGCGCTCTTGATCTTGCAAACGTGAAATATCAATGTCTTCAAGGGCATTGAGTCTTTGGATCAAATTCGCAATCATGGTCGTTAAGTAACTTCCAATGTTTTATATGAGATACGATCAAGATTTGCTTGTCTAGAGGTTAGAAACTCAGTCTAGACTTTATAGTCAATTGCAGTGCTCCTTTAATCCTTCTCCTCTAATATATAAGTACGTAAAGTGACGTTAAGCGAAAATGCCGCCCGGCATATATCGGGGAATTGGCCTAATTTACCGAAGCGCCCTTCGACATCAAACATAGATTAACATTTTCATTTTCTCTACCATAATTCGCCCTAGAGGATTAGAAGTGATGGTAATAAGGCAGATAAGTGGATAAATTTTCCGTTTTTCACAACTAGAAAGTGCTGCTATCCCGAGTTTACTTGATCATTCCAACAGTTGAAGGCTGATTCATGAAGTCGTAAGAGAGATTAATCTTTGCAGATTCAAATTTCTCGGACTTGTGATCCTGGGCATCTAGCAATATCTATGAATCCAAAGGAAATGAGCGAAATATCAGCTTCACTTCCGCCATAATATCAACCTGGGCTGGTCATCAACTTGATCATCGACATGAATATGGTGGGCACTGGGAAACTTTATCCCTAATCAGGTAAACTCGACTCTGAACAGGTAGATATTTCAGACTGAATCGCGGAAATACCACATCTAATGACTTAATGCAGGACAGCATATGTTGTGGCACAACATCAGCCAATAAAGTAGAGGGATTCAATTACTTGATCTGAGGCGAATATACCGCTTGATGCCTGAAAATAAAGCGATTATTGGAAAATAAAATTTCCTAGGCTAGCTCCTTAATTACTCAAGACACCAAGAAAATTGATGTGTGAGGAACCCAACTGGCATAGATGGCGAAGTGACAGAAACTGTGTTGAATGCATGGCAGCAACAGTCACCTAATCCGTTGTGCATGTATGTGCTGCAGATCAGTTTTCGGTGAGATTAAAGATCTGGGAGCCCGGATATTTTGTTGAAAAGTAGCGTCCAGTGTCTCATTCCACTTCTTTCCAAGGGGTAACTAGGTCAGTATATTCCAGGATTTTCAGTTGGATAACAGGCAAATCAAGAAATCAAAAAGGCATTGAGCGGTTCGGGCGACGAGTGGGGCGACGATTGAGGTGAATAGTTATGGTATCAGCCAGTCCTTGAAGTGTCTTGTCTCAATTCTTCTCAAGGCGGATCTGACCTTGAAAGCATTAGGTCTTGTACCTTGAGATCTCGAAGTAAAGGAATACCTACGGAGCTAATCATTGAGTGCATTGGCCATCTAGGTAACTGTGGAGTAGTATACTGTATATGTACCCACAGCCATAGAACTAGCCCTAAAACCAGCCTGCGCGGCTTCCTTTATAATAATGGCCTGCTGAAGTCCAAATTGGGCGGATATCTACTAATCTTGTTGATTCCCTTAATTCCGACTCGGAGATAAGCACCGATGACGCCTGATTTCTAAGGTTCAATATTCCTGTTCATTCTCCTTACCTTGCGGAGTATAAATCATCTATATTGAGATTTTGCTTGGTCAGAGCAAATCTTCGAAGATCCTAGAAAGCTTTATAAATCTGTTCCAGCCTCTCTCATCTTACTCTATAAAGTCCAAGCTCTTCCCAAGACAGTCTAGAGTCAACGCCTCCAAAAGTGGAGCGCCTAGCGCTAGTGGGATGGATTCTCCAACCTCAATTGTCCACCAGTTTGACTCTGTACTTGTTGACCACGTACCATTCACGAACGCGTTAATCTTCAGCCATTGAAATTTTACAGTTGAACATAACTACTGACTCTTGCACCTATATTGAGTCGATCAGGACTTCATTTGCTGAATTTTGTGTTTAATTCCTTATCGTGGCCAATCCGTCATCTCGAATTGAAGCTCGTTGCATTCTATGTTTCCTGGTGAAACCGATTTGCACTCACTTATTCCTGAATCCTACATCTGAGCATTACACCAGCAGTGAATGTGGCTTGTTCATTGTCAATCTTGATTCCCCTGCTTTGGATGCGATGAGTTGAAACCCCACACAAAAAACGGTTCAAGACTTGGTAAAATCCTTGCAACAAGAGATTTTAGGCCTGTCAACCAGAGGAAAACAAAACTATTGTTCTCATCCTTTGATTCCTCCTCCTTTGTGACATTTAGTGCGAAAATGTCAGAGTACTCTGCCTCACTCCATGGCGATCCCTCAAGTCAGCATTCCCAGCAGCTGAATCGATCATGTGAGTCCTGCAGAAGTCTAAAGGTTCGCTGTCTGCCGAACCTGGCCACGCCCAATCAGTGCCAGCGATGTGCCAAAGGAAATAAAACGTGTGTCTTCATGGCGCCACAGCGCCGGCGACCTCGTAAACGTACGGACTCGCGTGTAGCGCAGCTTGAAAAGGAGATGCGCATGATGCGCTCCTTGCTCAAAGATCGTATTCCAGAAGATAGTGACCCGGAGTCGCCAGATGAGAGCGACAATTCGCAGGAGAACAAGTCTGGCGACGTGGACTTCTCAGCGGATGTGTCGAGTGGCGTTTCAGATTCAGTCCATTTCATGGACTACTCTTCCGAGATATCCAGTACTGTTGGACCCCTCCCTCTGTCCTTTTCTGGTCTGCATACAAATTTCATGTCAGATCCAAACCCACTGCCCGCGAACGATATTATCGATCGAGGTGTCATTTCTCTGAACGATGCAGAACAACTGGTTTCCTGCTTCATCCATGAACACTCGCTCTTTTTCCCTGTGGTTGTTTTGCCTCCCGATACCACCGCTACTCGACTTCGACAAACGAAGCCGGTGCTGTTTCTTTCCGTGGTCGCTGCGGCTGCAATTGCCATCGATTCTGGGCTCGCAGAGGTTCTTAATCGCGAAATAGTTCGTCTATACGCACAAAGGTTCTTTGTCGAAGGTGAAAAGTCGTTGGAGCTGGTGCAGGCGTTGTTGCTGATGTGCATTTTCTATTTCCCTCCTCATTCTCCCCTGAAACTGCAATTTTATCAATACGCACACATTGCCTCTACCATGGCCTTGGAGATTGGACTTGCGACGAAACGTCGCGTGCCAAAAAGAAAGTCTGATCATAAAGGCCGACATGAGCTTTATGACGAGGACATGGCAGAGCAAGCGAGGGCTGTTATAGGATGTTATCATCTAGGCTCGATGTAGGTCTTTCTGAATTCCAGAACTTATATAACTGTGTTGACAAGGGAACAGTGTCGCTATGAGGACTCGACGACCGAATTTGCTTCAGTTCAACGACTGGATGGCGGAGTGTGTGACGCAGCTCGAACAGTCACCACATCTGTCGGATAGACATCTGGGTGTTTGGTTTCAGCTTCAGCGAATAACTGATGAGACAGTGTCCTCATTTGGTCTTGATGACACGAGTGCCTCCTCACCATTGACTGAATCTCGGGTCCAGGCTGTGCTGCGATGGTTTGACAAACGAATGGAAACTTGGACCAAGAGCACACCCAACGACATGCTCACGGGTAAGTCGAGGACTCTAACTCCAACAATCGAGATGGCTTTCTCACATTATCCTTTTAGTACCCATCATCCTCCAGTACCGAATTACCAATTTCTCCGTGTATGACCTCGGCATAGGAGAGGGATACCGAGACCCAGATGCGATTCAAAAACGATATTTCACACTACCTACCCCAGACGAAGGCAAACAAGAAGCCCCGCTCAGCGCAATCCGGGTCGACATCAATGTAAAATGGATGCATGCTGCGCAGGAGCTCCTAGAAGCAGTTCTCACCTGTAGTGTAGAGACAATGCGCAAGCTGCCCAACCTGGTCTATACCCGTTTCGTGTTAGCATTTACAACGCTGCTAAAAATCCATTTCTCCGTGCGAACAGGTTCCCTGGGCCAGGTTGTCACCCTCAAGGCAGTCAATGTCAAGTACTACCTCGACGCAATTTCAACCCAACTGAGTGAAGCAAGCGGCGGTGGCAAGTATAAGGTTCCGAGTCGCTGGTTCTTCATCGTGGCAGTCAAGGGCCGCACCTGGTATGAGCGTCTGGAGAAGCGGTACACTGGAGTAGACTCCGTGGCTGGAAAGGCACCTGACGGCTTGTCGTCGGGTGAGGCGATGGTGCCTGTGCAGATGCCTGGCTCACAGGACATGCCGTCTCATATGGGCCCAATTGGTATGCCTGCCGTGGACTCATACTCAGTTTTGCCGGCTGCATCACATATACCCTCGGGCATGGAGGGTAGATATATGCCTATGGGCGCCAACACCGGTATGTGGCCCGTGGATGGTGGCCATGGCCAAGGCCAAAATCATTTCTACCAGTCTTTCCCGCCTGGTTACCCATCTCAACCGCAGGCAGTCCCTTTGCTACCGCAATATATGTATAATCCCCAAATATCCCCACCGCCAGGTGTTGGTGGTCAGAGGCCCAAGACAGGGATGGAGCTCGATGGGTGGCTTCCAGACGGAAGTGTCTTCAGTATGCCACCTTTGCCTGAAATCTGATTCTTTATGGTTATGAATAGCGATGGCTCTGGAGAAGGAGGAGCTATAGAGTGAAATGAGCGTTCTTGAGTATATAACGTCTAGAGATGCTCCAATCGCATGACACCTAGATAATGATTGAAAAGCACGAATTGAATAAATCTTAAGATTATAGAGTATAGCGCATGACGAAACAAAAGCCCAACACGTTAACACTAGCGTTACGTAAATATTGATATCCTGGAATCAAAGCGGGAAACTAAGAGAAGAGAATGAATAGACATGGAAACGAACTCCACATCTGACAGCGGAAGATTCTCGGCCTAACTGATAACTGATTCTTAACCGTGTGATCAAAGTCCGATACGTAGGGATAGCGGGGACATAACTGGTGCCGGGTATCGGGTGTCGGCGGACATGAAAGTTCCGTGAGGATCAATAGCCGAAGAAGGAAGATACGATCATCATAATCCACACAGTGCAAACACTCGAGGTTTCCGATTTTTCATTCCCTTGCAAGGCTCTTTTTCCTTGTGAAAAAAAAAAAAAAAAAAAAAAAATGAAAAGGGTTTAGGCTGAGTGAGAGTGGAGGTAGAGATATTCCTGGGCAATTTGTATAGATCACTTTCAACAGTCTAACTGAAGCTCTCACGGTAGTTTACTACTTCGTAGGTATTCAGTTCTGAGCTCTACAGAATACGCAATTGATCTTGGATTTTGTACAGAGTAGGACGCTAAAAGAATAGCCAATTCATTAGTCAAATACAAAAGCCAATGATCGCTTCGGAAGCATATGCATCTTTTCCTGAAGGACCTCGAAGGATTTCAAAGGATTGAGAATGCTTCTAGTGCGTCCATAAACCCAGCGATTGCACCGATCCCCACCAGTCCTCGAGTCGCAGTACGGATCAAGAAATTGTTCCGTTCGTTCTTTTCTTCCCGTGAGGATTTCCGGTGACGACGGGGCGAAGGTCGGAAGTCGGTATCTAACAGCTGATGCGTGGATGCACGTTGACGGGGCTGAAGGATATCATTATAGCCCGATGGCCGTTTATAAGAATCACGCTGATGAGAGAGTGCGTCCCGGTGATGTTTCAATGTTGGTTGGACATTATTGCTGTACTTTCTGCTGCGGTGGTCATTTTGAACTGACTGTAGATGTGGGCGAGGTGGAGCAGTCTGGTAACGTGGCTGAGAATGATGGAGGTTCGGACTAGAGGCTGAGAAGCCACTGTCGAGAGCAAGGTCGAAACGTACGCGGCACTTCTTTTTGGACTTCTCGTCAGATTCTAAATGATCTTCCACTCGAGGCTGATGACTATAGGATCTTTGCAACTTGGTGCCCTGGTGCTGGTCTTTTTGGCACTGAGGTTTGTCAGTCGTATCGCTCTCGAGATGTTGACCGTCGACATTCCGATCTTCAAGGTCGTTTGCATCATCGGAGACACGTACTCGAGAATGACATGAGTCGTCCGATTTATCGTTAGGGCTTTTGGAATCGGGTGCTGATATCCAGAGCGCTAAGAGGTGATTCACTGCGGTCTCGGAAATATGGACCATATCCTTTGGCACTCTTTCAATCCTGCGCATCTCTAAGTCGATGTCATCGAAGGTCACCGTACGTATCTTCGTGAGATCAAAGCTTCTTGTTGTTGAAGACAAGGGGTTTGTAAAGGCTGTATCCAAGTATCTGCAGTTGATCTTCTTGCTGATCTTGTCATGCTCAGCCTCCCATGCTTCCTCCTTTGCGTAATCCCACAAGAGATCTAGTCGTCGTATTGACCAGTGACGAACAATGATCATGTTTTGCGCTTCGGCCTTTTCTTGTGCAATATCGTCGTTAGACTCAGGTTCGTCACCACTCGACTTGACTGACTCGGCCAGTTGCAATGCCCGGAGCATCACAATGAGACTGAACTTTAGGGATTCTAGATGTGCAAGCAAGTATGTGACATGCTGTTTCCTGAAGCATCGTTTCAAGCGCTCGAAAATGGGTACCCTTCTCAAGCCATCGTCTGTCTCTGTTACATGCAGCTTATCCAGCATAAGCTGGATTTCCACAAAGACTGTCTGACCTTGGTAGGCAACCTCGCATGCCTTCTCTTGTGCCTTGTTTGAGAGATCCAAGTTCGTGCTGCTCATTTTCTGTCCCACCTGTTTGAGGGCCAACGCGAACAGCGAAACGCCCTTGGCGATGCTGTGTATCTCAATCCTTGACTGTGCAAGTTCACAAGCAGCAGCATTGAGAAGCAGAGAAAGCCGATATCCGGCGCCTGAGGTTTGAAAGATCAAAGCTTCGGATCCTGCGCGGTTTCTTCCATTAGATCAACAGACCTCATATGTTGAAGGTTATCGCGTACCTTTCGGCAAAGCCATTGTGATCGCAAGGACCTAGGTACTAGGTATTAGAATACCGCCGACCCGGGGATATTTTAGATCAGTGAAGGCTGGAGTGGGACCATTTGGGAAGAGGGGCATTAAATGCAAGTGGCTACGTCCATCGCTAGTCAGTAGGGACTATTCCATACTTGCCAGCTCATCTACCTCATCTTAGAGCGATCACATTTCATCATCAACTCTATACCAGGGCAAGGCCGGGGTTATTCTGATCCAATACCAGTTGCAGGGCGATTGGCTTAATGTTCGATGATGCAAGAAACCCGGGTTACTTTCTGTTGTAAAGAGCCTGGCTGCAGGGAAGCCACAAAAGCATCATGTGTGCCCGTTAGCTGTATAGCCTGAGGCTTTGATAGCTCATTCAAACTAGTGCGTACTCCGTAATTAGGCTGGAGCTGAACAGGGATAGTCCATGTAAGACGTGGCAGAGTGATCGGGCCGAAATAACTTTGGTGCAATAATAGACATTTAACAGAAGAGCCGTTTCTTATCATAGTTCTTGCAAATACGCCATGGCTTATACTAGCTGATAAACCCTGGTAAGCCGTGGTAAAATAGTGATATAGTGTGAACTTTGAAGGCCTCTACTACCTGGTATAGATCTATGGAATCAATATTTACATTTTCTCCGAAAAGTTCCCCGCTGGCCTTCCGCTTTCAGCTCGTTTATATGCGTATAGATCGTAAGACAATTTCTAGTTCATGTAACTCAGCAGTGATTACAACTGATTCTTGTATCACCCACTTTCTATAATTCTATAATTCTATATCCTATATCTTATTGCATTGACGACCTTCTTTTATCGTTTATATCAAAAAGCCACCCCCGGCCCCTCGTGTCCCCCGCTGCGGTCCTCCTTCTCCACCCCTCGCGACCTTCCTTTCTCCACGTCCACAGGTGGCCATCATTACCAGCGGAGATTTCCCCAGTCCGATGAGTATCGGATTCACTGTAAGAATCAGGGGGAGATCAAGCTAAACAATTATATCACCAGTCCGAATGGGTCGAGCTAGTCACAGGATCGGTCCGTACAAAGAGGGACCGTCAACTAGAATCTCACTACTCCACCACCGCACCTGCTCGCAAGGGCAATTGTCCATGTTAAATAATGTCTGCTGAAGGTGTCACCGTTGGCGACACCTCAAACCGTTCTGCTCCGCCTGCAAGCTCCCCTTCGAACACGTCCCAGCCACCTGCCCCTAGCCCCACCCTTGATCACAATGGAAAGGACACAAAGTCAAAGGAGGACAACATGAATGTCCAGGTGGAGACTGCAAAGGCGCAATGCTTACAAGATGTCCCAGAGGAGGTGGATGACTTTGGCCTTCCGATTCGACCTCGCTCAAGGCCCCAACGATACCCTGACGATTCCTCCGGCGACGGCAGTAATCGCCCTGAAACTCACAAAATTCCCAGTCCAATCCCCGAATACCAAGCAGAACATGTGGAGGCGAACCAGAAGCACAATGTAGAGGGTGTAGAGGGGGTAGATCACCGAAAAACTGAGTCCCAAGAGTCCGCTGCAGTATCTCTAGAAACTCCCAAAAGCCAACAAGAGGATCACGACGCCCCTTCTTCCTCCCGGATATCAGCCTCCAATCCAAGAAAAGCCGAAATTTCGGAATGGTCCCATATGCGAGTGGCCCAGCCTCACCATTCACATGACGAAAGTGAAGAAGAGGAAGGGGAAGAAGATGATGATTGGAAGGCAATGCCAGCTCTTGGAGAATTCGACTACTATGACGACTACGGAAGACTGATCGCCCGTGGAACGCAAGAGGAGGAAGACAATGAAGCTGTTTATAGAGGATTGGGCGGTGCTGGAAGGGGATACACCCGAGTCCAACTCGATGAGGATGCGCAGTCTGCTACTAGTATGGACGAAGATACAAGTTATCTTTTTCGCGAGGCGGGAGATAACTCGGCCGGTTTGGTCGGCGAGGAACTTCGTGACTCGGTCAGCCAGCTACAGGCCACAAAGGATCTTTTGAACGAGACCCAAAAGATTGCTTACGTGGGCGTCGTTCGATTAGTGATTCATATTATAACGCTAGAGCTTGTCGAGCTGCCCAAGACGAAGTCCACCCGCAAGGTTGTCCAGAAGGCCTTGGATGCGATGCGAAAATGGGGACAGGCCATGATGGGCCGATTGTACATGCATATGGATATCGACGTCGCCGAGCAAGTTATGATTGAGCAACTTGCGGAACATGGCGTGCAGCCAGAGGATCTAGTTCGACCTCTCATGCAGAATGCACGGGTCAAAAACCCCATGGCAGAGACCGAATTGAAGAAATCGTATTCATCCATGTCATCTCCAACTTTCCAAAATGGATCTAGGATGTCTTCGGATACTGGCGGTTCTGAACTTGATTCACCTCCCCCATATGAGGCTCATGATAGTGAGGAGCCCACAGAAGTTCAGATGCCGTCTCAAATGCCTACATCTGCCCGCATCGACATTGATCTTCGGTGGACTGTTCTTTGTGACCTTTTCCTGGTGCTTATAGCAGACTCAATTTACGATGCTCGGTCACGGACTCTTTTAGAAAGAGTAGCAGCAGCTATGGATATATCTTGGCTTCAAATATCACGCTTCGAAAAACGCGTGATAGATTCCCTTGAAATGCATGAACAGGCCGAACAGAAGGAGAACTGGGATGAATCAGAGCATATGGAAAAGCGTAAGCAGATGAATAAGAAACGCAAGTTCATGATTATGGGTCTGGCTACAGTTGGTGGAGGCTTGGTTATCGGATTATCTGCCGGTTTGCTGGCTCCTGTTATTGGAGCAGGTCTCGCCGCTGGACTCACGACAGTGGGTATCTCTGGAACCAGCGCCTTCCTGGGAGGAGCCGGCGGCACTGCTCTAATCGCTTCTGGTGCTACTCTGAGTGGAAGCGCCATCGGGCTGAGGGCTGCTAACCGCCGTACGGGAGCCGTTCAAACATTCGAATACCGGCCATTGCATAACAATAAAAAGCTGAACCTCATTGTGACCGTATCCGGATGGATGACTGGCAAGGTTGACGATGTTCGGCTTCCATATAGCACAGTGGATCCGATTATGGGCGACATTTACTCTGTTTTGTGGGAGCCCGAGATGCTTCGCAGCATGGGTGACACCATAAATATTCTAGCAACCGAGGTACTTCTCCTCCTACTCTGTTTCTATAATTAATGACTGACTTTTTATTAGGCATTGACTCAAGGCCTACAACAAGTGCTGGGAAGTACCGTATTGATGGCTTTGATGGCCTCGTTACAGCTTCCCCTGGTCCTCACAAAACTCGCCTATCTGATTGACAACCCTTGGACCGTCTCCATGGCTCGAGCCCACTCGGCAGGCTTAGTCATGGCCGATTCCTTGCGGCAGCGAAATCTAGGCAATCGGCCTATTACGTTACTCGGCTTTTCCCTGGGAGCTCGAGTCATCTTCTCCTGTCTCACAGAGCTGGCGAACAAAGGTGCCCACGGACTCATCCAGAATGTGTACCTGTTTGGTTCACCAATTGTGGCCAACAAAGATGAATATCTTAAAGCCCGAAGTGTGGTATCTGGAAGATTTGTGAATGGATATTCGAAGAATGATTGGATTCTGGGCTACCTTTTCCGGGCCACCAGTGGCGGTATCATGCGTGTATCTGGTCTGGCGCCCATTGAGAGCATCCCTGGCGTGGAGAACTTTGACTTGACTCAACTTGTCAATGGCCATATGGACTACCGTTCTGCCATGCCTCGTATCCTGAGAGAAGTGGGCTGGGAAGTGCTGGATGACGAGTTTGCTGAAATTGAGGATCCAGATCCAGACAACCATGCTGAACGACAGAGAGAGTTGATTCGTGAGATTGACGAGGCCCGTCGAGAGGCTGAGCTCAAGCCTGAGAAGAAGCGATTCGGTCTTTTCAAGCGCGGCAAGATGGCAGAGAAGAAATCGTGGGAGACATACAACGTCGACCGAAATGCTGCACCACGGGACTTGAACGACCCAACAAATGTACCGGGGTCAGTTCTTTTCGATATTGAAGCCATCCGCGCCGAATTGGCGTCAGAAGCGATCGAAGTCAAGCAGCTGGAGTCTACTCTGCCACCAATGAGACTCAATTTAAATCCTCCACCAGAGTCCTCGCCTGTGACTCCAAATGAGAAGACATCGAAGACCCTCGAGACCCCTGAGCCACCACGGACACAATCAGCACCCCCGCTTAATAAATCCCCTTCAATACCCAAGTCTTATGAACCTTCTCACTTATCCAAGGAGGAAGAAATCGAAATGACCTTCGACACTTCCTACCGCGAATCTTCGCAGATCCAGCCCCGATCTGCCTCCACTATGCCTGCTATCGGCGCTACTGCCGTTGGAGCAATGGCTCTTGAGCCCAATGCTTGGGCCGATGATTATCTTGAGCAAGGAGAAGATGAATTTCAAATGACCTTTGAATGATGTGTCTCTTCTATTTTTATTTCTCATGACAGGTTGCTGCACGGAATAGCTCCGCAGCTTTTTTCGATTCCGGAGGCTCACCTGTCCTAGATTTCTCAGTTTTATAGCAATATAAATGTGTATATTATGCAATTCAAATAGATACAGTCATATACAGAGTAGTACGGAGTATGAACCTAGACAATGGCGTCTCAGTGGGGCCGCTCTTTGTTCGCGTCACGCGTTCCCCTCCTTCACCCGGTCCATTTGCAAAGCATTAAACATACTGCCGTCACCTAATTCAGTCTTGATACTGTGGCTGTAACTCCGAGCTTATTTGCATCATTTTGGCCCGCAGTTTACTACACGTGCCACTGGCCACCGATCGAATCCACGGAACTTCCCGCTGTCGCTACAACCTTGGATCCCCTCCTTACAATGTCACAACGCGACTCGAGCGAACAGACTCAATTGACGATCAATGGTATATCCGCGACCCCTGAACAAAAATTCGACAGCCTGAAAGGCAAGCTCAAGAATGAGTCAAGCGCCAACACTACGTATATTTTATCGGATGACGAAAGTGACCTGACTGCCTTGGAGGACATGAGTACTCCAAGCTCTGGATCTGAAATAGGCGAAACTGAGTCCGTACCAGTATCCGTACCCGTACCCGAAATCGAAGATATTGCAGTCTTCCAAGATCCTGAGAGTGACCCTGAGAGCGACAACGAGAGCGATAAACCTCCGATCTCCGAGGATGAAAGACCAACATTGCAAGAAAAGCTGAAATCAGGACCACGCACAACCTACTCACAGAATCGCAACTTATCTGTGCGGAATGGAAGGATAAAGACGTCTAGCACGTTTGGCAATGATGATGAGGGGGAACTGTTTCCAGGCTCCCAACGCACCACCAAGCGGGTTAAGACGAACAAAACATACGGCTCCCAAAAAACCATCTACAGAGCCCCAAGCTCGAGCGCACTATCAAGCAAGCTACAGGAAAAGGCCGAGGAAGAATCCAGCGAAGACTCAGAAAAAAAGCCTTCTGGTCCAACCTTCAAAATGCCCCCTGTCTTGCCTATCGAGTCTGGCTCCAGCTTTTCGCTGATGACCTCTTCCTCTAAGGATACCCAACCTACCACCGTATTTGATGAATCGTCCCATTTATCTGGCCGTACGTCTATGAGTCCTTTGCCTGAGTTCAAACCCGAGAGGCCAGAATCACCGCGAGAGGCAATTTGTCCATTGTGTAAGGCACCAGTCGACCTAGGTCTGCTGTTGATCTTCGAGGCACAGCCTAAACAGCGGTTCCGTGAACAGGTAAAATTCTGCGCTTCTCATCGACAAGCCACCGCAGAAAAAGAATGGAAGGCCCAGGGCTATCCAGAAATAGATTGGGATACGTTTACTGAGCGCGCCCAGACCCATTTCAAGTACATACAGGGGCTCGTGAACGCAGACACACCATCCTACTACCGTAACATTCTGGACAGCGCTTTCAAGTCCGGAAAGGCTCTTCGTCTCACCCTTGAAGGAGATGGTGTGGAAAACATCTCATGTGGTTACTATGGGACAAAGGGAACACAAAAATTGTAAGTATTGCCCCATTTCTTTCCTTTTTTTTTTGGATCTGCGAAGGTCTCATGCTGACATTTTCTTCACAGGTTGGAACTACTTATGGAAAGGTTTTCAGTGACTTTGCGCCGACTGGCTAAAAATGACCGTCTGATTGCTGAAGCAACGATCGTCGGTTACGCACAGTCCGTTTTGGTCCCAGAGCTTGGAGTGAGGCTTATCAAAGAAGATATGGGGGTCGACGATGAGACTGCACGCCAAATCATGCGGGAAAGCATTGATATTGGTCAGAGGGTCAACCCCGCACAAAACGATGTAGTACATTACGAGCCGAAGGATGAAGAGGATGAACAGCTAGACCTATAGCATATTGAAAAAAGGGCACTATTACTGATCCATCCCAATGCTCAGTTATGATTTTACTCGAGTTTGCATCGGCCTTAGCGATTGTATATAATACCTGTCATACCCTTTCATGTTCCATACTTTTAAAACTATTTATCAAACTGATACTATATTTCGGGGAGAGATTATATCGGACTAGACAAACCAATAGTCTCTTTGAAATTTGCTTGAAGTAAAAAGTACGTACTAAAGAGGAATACCGGCGCCGAGTCGGGCTCTTGGTCTAGATCGGACCACATCACTTGATCTTCTATATTAGCCAATCTGCATGGCATACGCAGAAAAAGCGCATCATCATACATGAAAAGGAAACAATTGAGTCAATGGCTGTAACCTCCAAGACATAGTAAGGAGTCAGGAGTAGCGGCGGAGAGACGTGAAATTTTACTTAGTAGAACGCAGAACTCACATAGTACTGGAGGAAGTATGAAATGAAACTAGCTAAGTAAACGATAGTCATAAATCGGCCTCAGTTCCTGAAACTAACGTTTGACTACTAGAAAACTAGGCAATTGACCCGTTTCCCCCTCAATTAGTACACCATAACTACTACAAACTAAGTAAGCGGATCGGACGGTGGGGATCAAAGTTACTAAGGAATTCGTGCCGATAACTCCGATAGTTCAACGGAAGACTGCCGATGTACTTTGTACTACTTATCCGATTGATATTTTACTTCCCCCTCTTTTTCCTCTTGTCATATTCTTTTCAAAATTATATCGGTAAAAAATGGCTCCTAAGTTGCCTGTTCGGCAGCTTTTGATATTAGGTATGCACAATGGTTTACCTACAATGCTGTGATCAATACTGACTTGTTTACTTTAGCGATATGCCGCTTTTCCGAGCCTCGTATGTTACCTTGACCTTTTTTTTTTTTTTTTACGTCCGAGCTAATGGATATTCTCAGTTGTATTTACATCTGTTCTTCCATACTTGGTATGTCTATTCTGTCCGCTCCTGAGTCAAAACTAACGATCAATGTAGCCTGAACTATTAGAATATGTGGGTGTTGCCAAAGCCGACGTAGCCAAATGGGCTGGCATCACCTCAGCAGCTGCAGCTCTGAGCCAGGCCTTCACGGCAGTGTCTTGGGGCACACTATCTGACTATGTGGGCCGAAAACCAGTGATTCTATTCGGTCTGACCTGCACCATGGTGCTGTCAGTGGTACTGGGCATGTCCCAATCCCTCACAACGGTGCTAATTTCCCGGACCATGATCGGTCTCATGAATGGCAACGTAGGTATCCTCCGCACAATGGTTGCAGAGATTGTACCTGAGCGTGAGTTACAACCTCGTGCTTTCAGTATCATGCCTACAGTATGGACAATTGGCAGTATCTTTGGTCCGTCTTTCGGCGGAGCTCTGGCCCATCCAGCAGAGAAGTACCCTAACATATTTGGAAGCTCTGAATTTCTGCGACGATTTCCATTCGCTTTGCCAAATTTAATTTCTGCTTGTGTCTTCATTTTCGGGATCACCGTTGGGTTTCTATTCCTGCATGAAACTTTGGAGACGAAGAAGGATCAGCGGGACGTTGGTCTTGAGATTGGTAAAGTACTTACGGGCTCGTGTACGTCGCGCAGGAAGGGCGATCTTGAAAGAAAGGCTGTCGATGAGGAGAGTGCAAGTCTTCTACCTAAAAGTTCTCTAAAGAGCAGTAAGAAAGATCAGCCTATCAAGCGTGTGTCTCACAGCTGGTCTCAGATCTTTACTTTCCAATCCAGTATCATTCTTGTGGCCTATACCTTGATGTCAGGCTTCGGTATGGCCTTTGACTCTGTGTTTCCTGTTTTCCTGCACTACCCGGTCCAACAGCTACACGAAAACCTTGATGTGAACCTTCCATTCAAATTCGCTAGTGGATTTGGCGTTGGTAAGTATAGCTTTACACTTTAACTATACCTAAGCAAAGAGATAGAGGCTAATTTGATCCAGATTCTCAAACTATTGGCACATACTACACCATCATTGGCATAATCGGCATGTTCATTCAGTTCTATTTGTTCCCACCTGTCGTCAAGCGCTACGGTGTACTGAAATGCTACCAAGTCTCAGCTATCTGCATGCCAATCATTTTCCTCCTAACACCCTTCACAGCCCTCGTGCCTGGAGTACTCCGTACTCCAGTCGTGATATTTGTTATGCTCGCTAAGCTCAGCACGACTATTTTCGGTATTCCATGCTGCACCATCCTCCTGACAAACTCCGCATCAAGCATGGCCGTTCTTGGCACTTTGAACGGAGTTGGTACCAGTTTTAGTGCACTAGGTCGTGCTGCAGGCCCAGCAGTTATTGGGTCTGCATTCTCGTATGGTGTCAAGGAGGGCTATGTACTCTTTCCGTGGTGGTTGCTTAGTGCTTTGGCGCTTTGGGGTATTCTTCCTGGACTTTGGATTATTGAGCAGGAAGGTCCTTCTCGTGCAGTTCTGGAAGAGGAAGATGCCGATATTGAATATGGCCAGGGAAATGAGTCTGAGGATGGGTACGGTACGTTGAAGGTGCCGAGGGATGCAGCAGGGAGATAGATGGTTCATGAATTATGACGGCATGCATTTTATATGAGATTATACCCTTGTCATATACTGATACAAAAAAAGAAGATTTCCGTTATTGTAGCTCATGTTACCAAATCAAATTGTTATTTTGTTAATAATAGTCCGCGGCAGGACATTATAAATGAATAAAAGAAATAGCCATTGAAGCTCTAGAGGAACCTTAGAACATCGAAAAGGATAGGCAAAACTCGACCTTGGGAGAAGAAATCCATTGAAATGACACAATAACTAGGTACTTTCAAGACACTTAGTGGGTGCGTGATTTGGCTATTTAATTGCGATAACGAAGGAGACCTCAGCCCTTTCTTTTGATATCTTCTTTCAGCTGGAGTCTGTCGCAAGGAAACCAAATTTTCACGGCCTTCTTTGATTAGAGCTCTAACACGCATAAGAAGGTACCTTCTTATTCTATAACTATGACTCCCAACGAACGCCAGATATCTCTGGCCGTCTCTGACTTAGAATCAGGCCAAACATCTTTTGTAAAGGCAGCTGCTATCGCATATGGTGTCTCAAGATCTACCCCTTACACATCGAATGAATGGCTCACTTTCTCGTCGCGATGCACACTCAAATCAACAAAGACTATCTTAAGGCCAAGAGGAGTTCCTAGTAAAATGGATTCTTGAGCAGGATTCCCAAGGATTCCTTCTTCGCATGCTCGCGCACGTGAGATGGCTACTCGCATTCTACGCTCTAATGGCGATAATGAACCTCTTGTTAAGGCATGGCTACCAAAGTTTATTCAGCGAAACCCACGCGTAAATTCCTGTATAGGTAGACGTATCTATGTGTCTAGAGTCCATGAAACACAGCCTATAGCAATTCAAGCTTTATGAGCTATTCGCAAAGATTAAAGAGCAATATGCTATTACCAGATAACATTTGGAATATGGACGAGTATGGAATCGCTCTTAGAGTCTGTACGAATTCCGAAGTCCTCTCAGCATCTAGGAAGAAGCATACTTATGTTAAATCACCAGATAATCGGGAATAGGTGTCGATTATCGAGACGATTAGCCCTACAGGTAAAACGATTCGCCCACTCATTATCTTTAAAGCAAACCCCCACAGACTCCATTATTTCAAACCAACATCCTATACTGGTTTTATACTGCATCAGAGGATAGCTGGACATCAAGCTCAACTAGCATTAAATGGCTAAAGACAATCTTTTTGCCTGAAACAGCTACACTAGATCAGCATCGATTACTGATTTTTGACGGCCATTGTAGCCATATCAGTATCGATTTCTTATAGATTTGTAAGCAAAACAACGTCGAACTAGTGTTTTAACCTAAATATCGATTGTATCTAGTCGTTGGGCAACTTTTCAGCTCCGATGCTCATTGCAACTGTAGGAGTGGGCTAATTTGTAAGTACCGCCGTACAACCCGGATACCGCCACGAAACGGAAGTAATACACATGGAGATGTCTTTAGTATAATGAGAGTCAAGAGTGTCCTTGAGTAGGGCCGGAAAGGCACTTAGACCAGGACCTCATCCCCGGTGAATTATGGGCCGAGAGAAACGTTCACGAAGCGTTAGCGTTGTGGGCACGGCCCGACGCGCTCCTATATTTAAACTAAGATAATCCTTCAGTGGATATGGTAACGTGATTGTAAGGATCTCTAAAAGCATCATCTGCGGCTAAATATTTCCTAAGTCCCACAAATAGAGAAAGATGTATTTGACCATGAATGTTAGGGAAAGTGTAGGTCCCGCAACCAAGAAATTTCGATACATCCTGGTGAAAGAGTAGTGGTTTCATTTCCGATTCCTTGTGGAAAATGCATGAATACCAGAGGTTTTCTCCTAGTGCAGTGTAGCCAACCAAAATACACTTGCCAATGCCATGTATGGCAATCGAACTGCTAATAAGTTATTAACGTTAAATGACGAAAAATGGGTAACTGAGATTAGGCATTTTTGGATTTTCCCACTTATATTTCAAAGTCACGGGGATTTGAAACTACCTGTCATCCCGGGTCACATTCCACATGAGAAAGCCCTCTCTTGTTGTACAGTTGTTCTCAAAATCGATCTGACCCATAAACCTGAAAGTTGAGGGCGACAACTATTGGTAAATTAAGATAATTCTGGTGTCATTACACAGCAATGGAACAGTCATATCTTTAGTCTCAAGAGAAGAAAAGTGGAAGCAGATTTCGCGACAGTAAAGTGGTAAGCACTGGTAGAATCATATCTACTGTGATCGGGCAGTGCCAGCAGTCAGCCTCCTTCTCTCTTGGCAATTTGCGGGTGAGCCTCAAGTCTCAACTAGAGATTTCGCCATTCTGGGCATTGCAAACTACTGCTCCACTAGTTGTCGTTCTAGCATTGACCTCAGTTCCTCGCGAATGGTGTCAGATCGAATCTACTATCTCGGAAAGCCACACAGGAAAGCCTTGAGAAGTGCATCTGTACATACGGAGTACCTCAGGATCATGCATGGAACCCCGTAATCACAGAGCTCATATAATCTGCAAAAGGCTCTTGGCAATTCAATAATTTCATGTAATCATGAAGACTTGCATTTTTCTGTTTCCGTTTAGGCTTTTTCCGAGAACCACTAACCCCGCAAAATCACTGTAAACTAGCCATGATAGCATGGAATTGGTTGTTTGTCACGGTACTGGCCTTGGTGCAGCAAGGATTATGCTCTGGAGGTGACATTTGCTATTTGGTCGGATCAAAATGTAGGCGGTGTCGCTGTCGCGCTGAAAGATTTGCCGCTGTTTCTAATCGACTTATAGCTGCTGTGGTCAACGATCAATTATATTTCTTCGCCGGCAACTACAGTACTGTGTCCGATGGCGGTGGACAAGTGATCAGGCCTGGCAAGTTCCGCGGACTCTACAGGAAGCCCTAGGCTGAGGCCCTTCATACTAACGATCAAAAGCTGCGTCTCTCTACTCTATCGAACTCAGCGACCAGTTTCCAGCCCAACGTGCGATTCCTCAGTCGGCACTCAGCACCCATTCCATCGACTCTGATGCAAGCGTTGCCTACAACAGTGCGATGCTCACTAGAAGTGCGAACAGTGGGAACGTAAATGGAGCAATTTGGAACATTGGTGATGTAATTTACGTCTTCGGCGGCGGCTTTGAGACTCCGAATAACTTGGTTGGTGCCTACAATACTTCGACGGGTGAGTGGAAAGACGTTACTGTGGCTGGAGGTGACTTCAACTTCGGGAATCGCTTCTCTACTCAGTTTGCTACCGCTCCTGGGGCCAATCTCGGCTTTGTTTATGGCGGTTCCACACCTTATATGACCGGCATGATTCGTTTTGATGCAAGTGATCCTAATCAGCTTTCATGGACCAACGAGACACTCACAAGCGGGTCCAATGGCATCGAACTGCCGAACATCAGTGGTGGCACTTTGGTTTATATTCCAGCAGGAAAAGAAGGAATGCTTATCAGTTTCGGCGGTCGAAATGTACGTCTCTGTTACTCCTGACAGTTTTCTTCTATAACGACCCTATACAGTTAACACTGCTCGGTAAATAGGCTACTGCAGGCCTGACATCCAAGGGATGGCATATCGAGTCAGACTGGCTAATTATTTACGTGTATGATATCTCATCTCACACCTGGTGGATGCAAAAGGCTTCTGGGGTTCCCCCTAAAAATCGACTTTCTTTCTGCACTGCTGTCACTACTTCTCCCGACGGCGGTGCGTTTCACATCACGACGTACGGCGGATGGAGTCTGGAAGATTCTCGCTCATACGAGGATGTGTATGTCTTAACGATTCCATCATTCAAGTGGATCAATGTCACGGACGTGTCAAATAAGACCAATACAGAATGGGTCAATTCGACTATTGGACGCGACACCATGTCTGGCGCTTGCCAGACATATAAGGGCTCACAAGCAATCGTTCTTGGAGGTGAGATACGCTCTGGGGCTTACTCGGTCTCTAAAAGAAAATGTAGCCCCGTCTTTGAGCCTGTTCGTGTGCTGGATCTGTCGTCGTATATATGGCGGTCAGATCTAAGTACTACATCCAGTTATGAAGTGCCAGCCGTTATCTTTGCCGAGATTGGTGGAAAGTAAGATTCTTCTATTTCTATATAGTAGATATCAGCTGCTAATTCCCAACAGTGCAAGCGGTGGTGCCACAATCACAACGCCTTCTGCTGGATTTGCAGATTCTACGCTGGCCTCCCTGCTTCAACAACGCGCCGCCACAAACATAAGCACATCTTTCTCGTCATCACTCTCGGACCAGAACACGTCTCATGTAAATAGCGGTGCGATTGCAGGCGGCGTGGTCGGCGGTGTGGCCGGGCTCGCATTGATTGCTGGAGCAGCATGGCTCCTATTCAGGAGTCGCCGTAGCCAAAAACACAGCGTGGACTCGAAGGGTCCTCTGTCGCCGCATGATAATGTAGGAGCTCAGGAATTGGAGTCGCAAAATATGTATGAGGCACCGATGCATGGAGAAACAGAGACAGCGGAATTGGATGGAGCTAACGTTCTTGAACTTTCTGGATTGCTGCCATCTGTGGAACGGTCACCGATACAAAATATCGGACTGACTCGGATCTAAGCGAGCACGCGAAGTAAAATTCCATTATGAAGTCATTCAACCTCTTTTTTCGGGAAATTATATACGCTAGGGGGTGGGATTCGGGATGGGGATACTTCGTGTCGTCGAATCTGCTGACTATGAAGCTGATAAACAGGTCGTTTCATTAAGAACAGAAGCAAAATAGTTCGAGCTGGAGATTAAGTGTATGGTGGGTGACCACATACAGCCCCTGATCTTTGTATGTTTTTTTATTGAATCCAAGGGCCATACTCCATTGAAAGCCACTTAAAGGATAAGTGTAGTTACTACATAGTAGTACCTAGGCACGCATTCATAACCACTCTCGCATATCCCGCCGATTCTTCCCTTGAACGCCAAACTTCTAGCCTCGATGTAGACAGCACGAAAGCTATCACTATTGATGTTGGCACTATTCTCAAAAAAGGCTTGAGTTTTGCTTTCTGAAGCCTTAGTTTCTGCCTCGACTTCTACTCTTCTTGGCTTGAGCCCTCGCGGTGCTGCTGCCATAAGCGGCAGCGCCCTCGGATGTAGTGCTAGCACGTTCAGCTTTAAGGATCGTTTCCACTTGAAGTCCTGACTCTCTAACCAGATCGTTATTTCCGGCAGGCTTAAGTCTTCCGTACTTAGATGATGTGAAGGTTCAATCGCCACCCTTAATGCCGACGTTCGAGTTGGTCTCAAGGTCAATATTCCTAGCTGTGCCAGCAATTCTAGTACTCACTGTGTGCTCCTTGAGTGTCACCTGATACTCAGTGAGCAGATCTGAGCTTATATAATGCTCAGAGATATGCTCAGTTATACTTCGGACTTGATCTCGGTCCCAATGACGTCATAATATGAGTAAGATCATCGGAGCGGGAAGTAATATTGGAGCAAGGGCAATCACAACTCCATCCAACCCAAACAATCAACCTCATTGAAACAATGGTAAATTCAATTCCCATACCATACCTTCCAAACCACTAATACATCACTTACGAATAAGTCCACCACATACCCAGCCCTCGTGCTATCGCTCCTCACCTCCTTAGGAGGCTCAATCGGTTATGCCCGCACTGGCTCCCTCCCCTCCATAATAGCCGGTTTTGCAGTCGGCACGGTCTACTTCGCTAGCTACCTGAGTCTGCGTAATGGTTGGCCATACGGCGAGGAATTGGGACTGCTTGCTTCGGTCGTGTTGGGTGGTAGCTCAGTTCCACGGGTGATTAAGACGGGTGGAAAGCCTGTTCCTACTTTGTTGGCTGGGATTGCTATATACGGGCTTGTGGTTTTTGGACTTGCGTATCGTGAAAAGAATGCTGTTTAAAATTGATGGATGTGGAATCAAGTCTGCTTAGTTTAAGGGCATTGGCTCTAGTGGACAGCGAAGCTGCCCTGACGCATCAATCAGATGAGAGCTTTGATCCTTGTATCCAATCCATTCATCTAAATCATGATACTCCTCAAAATTGTGTGCTAGGGCTGTAATTTCAAGGGTTCTATTTTAATTTGGAAACATATTTGTATGAATATATTCACGGAGGAGTTTTAGAAATGATATTGGCTGAAGTTACCTAGAAGGTAGACTGAGCTCGACAACTTAAAAATAGATATTCCGATAAGGTCAAGATCAAAAAGGGTTCAATGGTATCACATGTACTGACCAACAACGATATGACCACCGTAGCCGAGGATTGGTCGAACCAGATGAAGGCTATGATTGGATAAGGAAATGCACTAAAATGAGTCATGATGAGTCTTGACTAAACGACCAATCGGGAAACGCCGATGGTGGCTTCCAGAAAGGGACGCCAAGCATTTGTCCGTATATTATCATCTCATCTTCCCCTCTTTCATTTCCTTTTTCTCTCAGGACACAACCTGTCGGCCTTTTCAGACCGAATCAACTTCCTTGAAGTCTCTCTTAGAACAGACTTCCTCTTCTCAACTAAAAGGCAACCGCGCCTAGGGCCCGCTTAGGCCCTATCAAACTATCTCGTCATGGCGGCCTGCGCTTGCTCCTGCTCCGCAGCCATTTTCCAGGCAATCACCTTCTGGCAGCCCCAGATGCCCTGGCCTTCTACTAAACCCTCAAGAGCCAGACTCGGGGTATACACCGTTTAATTCTTTTCATCACGATCATTACGATTTTTCTTCTCTCGCTCCGCCGTTACACTACATTCCCTCGGCTGAGCCACATTTCTTTGATACCTTTGCGCTAGAGCCAGAGTTTTGGACAGAGCCAGTTCTATCCTCTGCTGATTCGGACGGGAATCTTACATCTACCGATTTAAGTGCGTTCGCCGAAGGCTTTGACGTCGACATTCCTTTTACTATTCCTGATTTCAGCGCATCTACATTTCCTTCTGTTTCGGATTCGGGATCAAATGAACCCCATACCCTTCAATCACCTATCCAATCCAGCTCGGCCAATTCACAAACCGACCACTCAAATGCTCCCTCTGTCTCTCAACCCCCCGGTACTGTCTCAACATTTTTGCCTAGCCCTGCAACATCGCAGGGTGATGAGGTTTTGGGTTGTGTAGACTCGTCACGCGTTGAAAAACGCAAGCTGAACACCCTCGCGGCTCGGAGATGTCGACAGAGACGCGTCGACCGGATGAAGAGTTTAGAGGAAGAATTGGAGAACGTGCGGAGGGAACGCGATGAGTTGAAACTAGAGGTTTCGAGACTTAAAGGTGAAACGGAGGCTATGAGAGGGCTACTTACTCGAAAGGGTACATGAAGCCTCATCTAACGATTCGGACCCTCGAGCCGGACTCGAGATTATTCCTAAGTGATTACATTCAAAATTTATTCCGCTTTTGTTTCATAGTTAAATCAATCGAATGATTAGAAGGTTTTGTTCTGTTGGCAGAAGTAATTCCAGACGTGCTGAACAGCTGTCATTTTGGTTTCAGCGAAGATGCAAGATTGGTATCAATCAACCAGGTACCCAAGCTTGGATAGAGAGTCAATTCTTATAGCCTGAGAGTCATCAAATTGAGAATTACTCTTCTCATCATACAACACGGTCACCATACCTGCTGCCCGTGCAGAAACAATATCGCGCTGCTCACTATCACCCACATAGACGATATCCGATGCCGCAATGTGATATTTTTCCATGACTATAGGAAATAAACCATCGACCTTGGACTTCCCAATATCGTTGGTGGTGACAAGTACGTCAATGTAGGGCCGCAACCCAAGTTCAGATATCGTCCATTCCTGCGCATCCTGCGGGCCTTCCGTCACTACGATGATATTCTTTCCTCGAGCCTTTAGTTTCTTCAACAATTCCATTGCACCTGGCTTAAGTTTCAGCCCCGTCTTGAGACTATCTTGGTAGATCACCAATAAACGAGCAAGTAGTTTTTCCGTTGACTCAAGTCCATGAACTTGGAGAAGGTGCGAAAAGCGTTCACGGCGATACTCTACTGACGTCCTACCATCCGTGAAAGCATCGGATGTTTTCCAGCGCAAGATGTCACTATACGTGGACGCAAGGATTTCTATCGTGACATTTGGGTTCTCATCCACGATTGCTTTGAATACAGATGATGACGCTTGTACAGATGCGTTCCGAAACTCATGCAGGGTGTTGTCAAGATCAAATCCAATCCATTTCTTGGTGGACAACAAGTTCTGCATACTGTCTTTTTTGGACCCGTATATCTTGAGGTATCATATGCGTTAGTTTACCGCATGCATGAGTTGTATCGATACATCCTAGTCTTGTACCTGCTTTAGTGAATTGATGTCATCGATTTTGCCAATTGATTGCAGCTCTTGATATTTTGGGAGATCCATATTCCTGGGGTCCCGGAGTCCAAGAACCAGTTCCAAAGTTGACTTGAGCACTTGAGGTTGTTTGTGTTCCGTTACAGAAAGAGAATAGAAGTGTGAAACAACCCATGCAATTAGTGCGTGATGGTGATAACTAATAGTATGTGTTGACGATGTGATTGAGGGACTTCCCGGAAAGGGAAAGCCAAGGCCGGTATTCAGGTGTTCAGGCACCAAGGCCTATTATTAGGCACTGGAACGCCGCAACACTAAGCCTCCCTTGGCATCATTTAAGTAGATACCTTCAAAAATTAAACATGAAGACAAGTTCATTCCAAGGACCCAATCAAATATGATAACCGGCACACTGCCGAGGATCGTATGCCCAAAAAGTAAATATGAGGATTTGCTCCAATAGTCTTGAAGGATTTACGGTAGATCTGTGATGTGCTATTAATACGACCCGATCTGAATAAGTGAACCTTGGAAGAAGGAGAATAGTCTCCACTGTGGAATCGGAACCGCAAATCCCATCTTGAATTTGCGATCTCCGAGATTCCGCGTTCAAGTACTACAGCGGAGTACAGAAAAGTACAGCACTAAATTAGGAGTTGTAACACAGATTCTGACGTGTTAATGCGCATAAGACTTCAGCTGAGCAATAACGCAATGAAACCCACGATCAAAAACGTAATAATAATTAATAAACTGTCTCGTATTTCAGCCGGACTTCACGCTAATTGGAACCAGGGACGACTTTTTTGAAATTTTCATTAGTAGATGCTCCACTTGAACATCAGACATGAAGACGCGACGACACGGCTACTGAGACATTCCAACACTGACGATGTCCTAACTTATAGAAGCGATTGGTCCGTTATAAGAGAGTCAGATATAATCAAAAATACCTAGGTATCTAACTTTACATCGTTACAGGTGGTGAGGCTATTCCCGAGTTCCGGTACTTACTATATAAAAGTCTTAAGTTTCAGTTTCAGATGCGTTGACGTTTGTTTTCGTCTCCTTTCCTTGGTTCCTGGTTTCTGAAGAACTAAGCCTGTCTGAGTTTTCCATCTTCAATTCAATGCAATTCTGATCTTTGATCACTACACCTCTGGCTTTCTTGCCCAGTAAACCCATGTCACAAAGAACGGCAACATGAGTAAGCCACTGACTGGGACAGTGATTATTACAGGCAGCAATGGCTCACTGGGATCAGAGATTGCATTAGCTATTGCAAAGTCTCAGCCTTGGGTCCATCTACTTTTAACAGCCCGGAATACAAGAGGCGAGGACCTCCACATTTTGATGAACAAAATTCGACTCATTGGACCACGATCAGTCGAAGTACTCACCCTCGACCTCGACGACTTAAAATCGGTTCTCGACTTCGCCCAAACTACCGTCGAGCGCGTGAAAAGCAAACAGATTCCCCCGGTGGTGAGCCTGATACATTCTGCCGCTACTCTCTCCTATACTATCGATGATTTCACGCTGGACGGCTATGATCCAGTATATCAGACCAACTGCATTGCTCCTTTTTTCTTGACAGTCGGTCTACTAGAGGCCTTCCACGCTGGCGATGGAAGTCCTTATGGAGCAGCAAAAGTCATCAACATTGGTTGCTCGGCTGCAACATATGGTCGACTAGATTACTTCGATCACGACCAAGGCCGAGATCACCGGCCAGCAGGCACTTTGTTGAGTGCCAAAGAAGCAAGACTCCGGTTCGGCAGTAGCAAGCTATTGTCGAGTGTCGCATTATATGCACTGCGACGAAGTTTAGTCGAGGTAGGTCGAGCAAACAAGAGCCTTCCCACGGTTTGGAGTGGTAATGCTGACACTGTTAGAATGCAAACATCCCGCTCGATATATTCACATTAGACCCAGGAGGTATCGTTGGTGATAGCCACGGGCAAACTGGAGCTCCCCTATCTGTTCGCGTCAAACACCAAACACGATCAGGGCTTCGACCATTTCTGCGCATGGTATCCCGAAGCTCGATGAACAAGGCCAACGTCCCGGCAAAAGTGATCGCCAAAATTTCATTTAAAAAAAGTGTGGTGGATTATGAAAGGGAACGATATTATATATTGGATGATGAATATGAAGCTGGATCTGTCCTGCGTGAATTGCGCAATAGGCCACAGATGGGGACGTTGGTGATGCAAATGATGCAACGGCTCGAGGGAAGTACGAAAGGGTCGCCAGCATCAACATTGAACCTATATTGAGATGGAAAATAAAAACGCCTATAGATTAAATAAATTGTATATACTACTCCAAATGAGGAAAATTGGGTTGGAATTGATTTTAATTAAATAGATTACTCAGGCTGGGCTTCTGTGGCTGCAAGCGGTAACCCGGATTCGGTGCTTCGAGTTAAACGCGAAACTCCCTCTTCTCCCTGGTTCTTGTTTCCGAATCATCGGAACAAACTCCCTCTCTTTTATTCTACTTCTTTCAGACGTCAGCTCTTTTCCTTTCGCTTTCCATTGCTTCTTCTACATACTGCCTTCAATCCCCGTCGAGCGGCCCGGGCATTCTAAAGCTGGCCTTTTCGAGATAGATCTTCGGGTTGCCGAGGCCCCCGTTGTTTTTTGGCCTGAGAATCAATGCGAGTATTTGAATCATGAACAGGCACGCCTTACCAAAAGGCTCCCTGGCCTATCCTCGAGGCTCTAATGCTTTCTCCATCTCTCCTAACCGGTACGTCGAAAATAACGGTCGCGCGCATCGCAGATACATCATGGATCCATCGTGGATCTATCGTGGACATGGGTGGCTGCAGATGACAGCCGATTTCGAACGACATTGGCATGAAATTGTTAAGCTAACATCTAGCCAGCTTCCAGCCTCGCACTCAACCCTCCCTCCGCCGTCGCCGCCAGCTTTTCCAACGATTATGCCTTGTCGGTGGGGTATCCCTGCTTCTGATCTTCTTCATCTTCCCCTCGTGGCGCGCCGTTATAATTCCCTCCTTTTCCCTCGGTCTCTGGAGTGCTTCAGAAGACCTCCACCTCCAAACGGTTCGGTACTATGATCTGTCTGAAGTGCAGGGCACAGAAAAGGGCTGGGAGCGCGGGGAACGTGTTCTCATGCTTACACCCCTACGAGATGCCGCTCCGCATTTACCCATGTTCTTCTCGCATCTCCGCAACCTGACATATCCTCACAATCTGATTGACCTTGCATTTCTGGTTTCGGACTCGCGCGATGATACCCTTGACATGCTGTCGACCATGCTATCGGAGATCCAGAACGATCCCGATTCGAAGATGACGTTTGGCGAGATCTCCGTCATCCAGAAGGACTTTGGTCAGAAAGTGCAGCAGGATGTGGAGCACCGCCACGGCTTCGAGGCTCAGGCTAGTCGGCGAAAGCTGATGGCCCAGGCGAGGAATTGGCTTCTCAGCGCAACCCTTCGCCCGACGCACAGCTGGGTTTATTGGCGAGATGCTGATGTACTGACGGCCCCATGTACGATTATCGAAGATCTAATGCGACATAACAAGGATGTCACTGTACCGAGTAAGTAGCCTGCAGTCACTTTAAGGGGCCGACACTGATGATTTTGTTTCCAGATGTGTGGCGGCCGCTTCCGGATTGGCTAGGTGGAGAGCAGCCTTATGACCTTAATTCTTGGCAGGAATCGGAGACTGCACTCGCACTGGCCGATACTCTGGATGAAGATGCCGTGATTGTAGAGGGTTATGCCGAATACGCTACATGGCGACCTCATCTTGCATACCTGCGCGACCCCTACGGCGACCCCGACATGGAGATGGAGCTGGATGGTATTGGCGGTGTTAGTATCCTGGCCAAGGCCCGGGTATTTCGCGCTGGTGTTCATTTCCCAGCCTTCAGCTTTGAGAAGCATGCTGAAACTGAAGGCTTTGGCAAGGTAGCAATGTTCATCTAGCCCTTTTTTGACAAACAGCTGACATTCTTCTTTTTTTTTTCTACAGATGGCCAAGCGCATGAAGTTCTCTGTATTTGGACTGCCTCACTATGTTATCTGGCACTTGTATGAGCCCAGTGAAGACGACCTGCGACATATGGAGGAAATGGAACTGGAGCGACAAGCCAGAGAACAAGAGGAAGCGCAGCAGAAAAGCGAAAGTGACCCCTAAAGTAGGGATAAGGATTACCAAGTCTGTGTAGGTCATAGAAAAGAGCTTGACCTCTTTATCTGTTTAATTTTGTTTTGTATATTTTTTGTCCTGTTTCATGGCGTATTAGATTGCATACTAGAAGGCGTGATATGTATGGATTGGCTATTTTGGAATTAGATCAGCATGAAAATGTATTCGAGGATTTCTGATCTCTTTTTATAGTCTCGATGTGGTCTTGAACCAGTTGATTATCAGCAATTCTATTAAACGGTGGTCTGTGCTTCCCGACGCGGTCAAACGCGTGTCTCCGATCATCTCCGAATCATCTCTCTCTCGCCAGCTCTCCATTTCCCCAATTGATAGAGGCATCATTCTCAAGATGTCGACCCAACATTCACGAAGAATTCTTTTCACACACACTCACCCTCAGCAGGGCTTCCGACTCCTAGAACTCACCCCAGAGCTAGAGGAACTGCTCTCTTCAAAAGACGCACCCGTGTAAGTAGTCTGAACACTGAGCACCAACCTCACGCCTACTAACAAGCTATATAAAACCAGTCTACAAATAAAGTCTCCCTCGCCTGCACTCACCCTAGCCGTAGCAGACACAACCGCACAAGAATACATCAACCTATGCACACCGACAAAAACATACCGTATCCGCCAGGTTCAATCCTCGAACTCAATCCACATCATCCTCCCAAGCCCGGGCCAAATTTCAAAAGAAGACGTCAAAGTCGTCGAGGAAGCTGATGAAAATGGCGCATTAGATCTCCCCGACGAGGCAGTCACTACTATTTCAAAGTGCGGGTCGACACTTGAACTGCACGTTCCAGCCGGTGGGTTCTCGGCCATCCCACTGCTCGAAAAAAGCTTGCAATTGTATGATCGGCGCGATGGAGATTTGGATAATGATGCTGAAATGGAGGACGAATCTGACATGAGCAACGCTGCGGTGCAGAAGCTCCGCGATGACATTTTCAACGATATTCCTGTTTCGACTGAACAGTGTGTGCAGGGTTGGTTGGAGCTTTGTGCTTTTGTGCACGGGAATCAGGGGCTTGCGGGATGGAGACCTTCTGCGAAGGCGCGTTTGAACGTGTGGAAGCGCATGATGGAGGGTGCGGCCTTGCAGGGGATTGACGTTGAGAAGCAATTCCTTGTCGGGGATTTGTGGAAGTCCACTTTGGATGATGATGATGATGACACATCGGAGCCGTTTCCACGAGCTTTGCTTGAGGCTGTGGTGCGCAAGCTATGTACAGCAGATGAGCGGCCGTCTTGGACGGAAGAAATCAGATGTGAGTGCACGAGACTGAAGGCGATCCCGGTAACATAAGACTAATGACTGATTCATGATCCAGGGGCAAGCTTTGACAAGGTAGAATGCGTGCGGTGGGTAGGCGAGACATATCTTGCTGCCACGGCTCCTTCGGCTTCGTCAGCTATCGGGCGAAGTGAGTTCCTTCGTGCGTGGAAAGATTGTCTTCCCGAGTCATGGAGAAACGAGGCCACATTATCTAAATTGCAAGGAGCTTACCAAAGCCCCGATCCTATGACTATGTTCTTTGTTACGCCCTCGCAGAGACAAAAGGCAATCGAGGTATCATCTGGCCCTCCTGCTGCTGCTGGCAAAGCTACCAGGAATTGGCATGAACTTCTCAAAAATTCAAAAAGATGATTATAGGAATAAAGGCTATTGATAAGGTTGTGTAATTCATGGAGTGGCTCTTATATATGATGATATATGATGCCAGAAATCTTAAAAACACCATGATCGAGTCTATCGCAGGTCATTCGATCAGCACCACGCAAACTTCTCATTAAAGAGCCAATCCACATCGTCGCTCAGTCCATGTTCAGCTCCCGTCCACCGCAAACTGCAAATACTGCTCTTCTCACGGTGCACAAGCTGGATATTTGGATCTAGCTTCGCCACTGCCTTTTGCAGCAGTGGTGACGGATTCCAGAACTCGACCTTGCTCAGCCCCCACTCATGTGCCTCCTCCTGGGCGCGCTCTAGGATTCCAACAATAGCCTGGACCAATGAGCTCTCCTCCTCAACTGACTTGGGCTCATCATATACCCAATGCAAGATGTACAAGATATTACTCTCGGGCGATTCACCAAAGTTCCGGTTCCACACGGCATATACACGAGCATCATCGTTCCCAGCACCCTTGATGACAGGTTGGGAGCGCTGCAGAAGCTTCTGAGCCGTGAACTCCTCACGGGCCCAGTGCCACACGAAATGATCGAAATCAGGAATAACCGCAACTTGAACATTAGACGACTTCTGCGAAGCAGTCTGCAATTCCTCTCGCACTTTAGTCATGACCGTATCATTACACATGAAACTTTTCACATCCGTCGGAAATAAATCCCTCGTCTTGGACTTCGCAGCTCCAGCGGCCGAAGCAGCCGGCAAAGAAAACTGTGCAGAAGGAAACGGCTTCCACCCCAACTGCGTGTAAAACTTCTTTCCAATATCCGAGTAAAGAATAGAGAACAACGATCTACCCCTCGGCTGTTCTTCCACCAGCCACTTTTCAAGCTTCTTACCCAGCTCTTCGCACATGCGTTTAGCGTAGCCTTTACCCCGGAACTCAGCCCGGCAGTAGACACATCCAATACCATGTGTAACTACGTCTTCCAGCGCCCCGTTGTATGCTAACAATGCCCTTTTCTTGTATGTTTCGCATGCGCTGAGAATCGTACGTTTACCCTCTGGCTCGGAACGATCCACCAAGATCCAGATTGTTAGGCTGTCGCGAGTCAACGACTGGTTAAGGAGAAGATTCTCACGGGAAATATATGCGTCGAGATCCAAAGGGCCTTTCCATGCAATGCTGTTGAGCTTGAGGCATTCAATGCGCTCCTCCGCTGTAGCGCGGACCAAGACGAGGTCAGGAGAATCTCCGGCGGGAAGTGAGGGAATAGCCGAGGCAGTCATGTTTGTAAGTCTACAGTTTCTTCAATATTGGATATATATATATATATATATGGTCCAGGAAGAGCAAAGCAATGGAATATTGAAGTAGAAAGTAGAAAGTTGGGGCTATTTCCAAGTTTTCAAGGTTCAGGGAAGTGTGAAGTAAGATCCGGGGTTGAAGCTAGGAGAGATGCAGCTAATAAATCTGCCAAATATCGGAGGCTTTCGGGTAGCACCAGTAGAGTCAGATCCCCTCAGTTACCCAGATATGACTTTGTTTGAAAGAACCCTGAAACTGCCTTGAATGAATATTGAATCGGGCCGATGACAAGCGACGGCAAGCGATAAGCTCCCGCTTGGACTTTCCGTTTTGAGGCTCTTTTAATCAGATCTTATCTGTCCTTTATCAATGAACTATAACAATAAGTACTACGTCTTGATAGCAACGTTATAAATCGAACAGATTACATAGGTATATCGATAGAGTATCGTCAATTGATCTTTCAAGGCTAGGAATGATGGATGAAATTTGATTATTTGAAACTATGGGGACAGTTAAGCATCAGCTTGCATGTTGGATAGTCCTCACCTGGGCGCTTGTACTTTTGCATCAGCTTTTGGTGGATGGCGTAGCCAAATGCAACAAAGGATGGCATGCTCTCGATGTCATAATACAAACTAATTTAATGTGACTTGACCTAATGCTAACAGCGCTGGCATCGAAAGCAGAAGTCAGGGTTGGCGATATTGGCCTTGAATCATGAATATCCAAGCTTTGTCAGTGTTGATATTGATTTCGGTATTGGGTAGAACACGGGTATATATTCTGAAATTATGTGTAAGTACTTACTGTATATCTAATTTTAGCTGACTTGATCTGCGCTTATTTCTTTTCAGTGTGCACTCTTACCAGACTCTTCCTCTCCACAACCCTCTATAATTGACAATCCCACTATTTTCCCCCTCCAATTTGAAACAATAGCCAAAGTTTCTATTTCAAAGTAAAGTAGCTCACTTCCTCCCAAAAAGCGGCTTTGCTAACGCGTCTTTCTCTAGCCTGCTTGCCCGTTACCATGGACCTCAAGTGTCAATTCATATCATGATCTCTGATAAAGAGCATTCAGTCGCAAAAGACCTCATCTGCTTAGAATCAGCTGTGTTCTCTGCAGCGTTCGAAGGTTCTTTGCCGAGTGGAAGTCCCAGATGGTGATTTTAGATAAAATGGAGGATTTGGTAACGGTACGAGGCCTCGAAGCTCTGATTCAGTGACTTTACATCCTTGTGGTCAATTTCAGTGATATCAAAGATACAAGCGAAAATATCTCTGCTGTAATGGAGCTTGCGCAACTAGCAGACAGATATGACGTGAAGGGTTAGAAACTGCTATTGCGGATTTCATAAAATCAACCATCAAACCCAATTTCTGGACTCCTGACATCCTCTCTTTATGACACCGACACACAGTGCCTGTCGCATCACTTCGGGGTTGATCATGTATCGGAATCTTCCGGTGCGTTGCATGCTGGTATCTGCTTCGGTGGAAGGGTATTTGATTAGCGAAGACCATAAGTTTGCTCAGGCTACCCAAGGTCGTCCATCACTTGGAGCTGATCTCCGGGAGGTCAGATCAACTATCAACCGTATTAGCCCTCCTCAAAATGAGGTTAAATTCAACTTTCTTCGACCAATTCAGCGGAAGGTTGCTCGAGATCAACGACGATGCACACATCTGATTGCCGCATGTGTTATCACATCATTGCAATGATGGAGATAGAAATTTATTTAATATAAGCAAAATAGTAAGGATTGGAAGCTGGCCTATACGATCATCAAAAGTGCATGCAATAAGTCATCATTTTTAAGTCAAGCTCGAGATTGAATTCAAACATTCGGGGAGACTGAGGACAGAAAAGCTATGAGTGGATATATTACTCTATTGAGTACGAGAAGGGATACTCATATACCTAAGTAACAGTATGACCACTTGGGAATCGAGATGGGACTGATCCCATCACCTCGCTCCATCACCAAAAACAAGAGAAAATGATATTCACTGATGAGGTTCCAATGTTTATGAAATAAGAAAACTGTTGCTGAGATCAAACTTCCAATCTTGGGAAGTGAGAATTACCTGCTCTTCTGATATTGAAGTTGGCTCTAACCGTCCTATCTCACAGCGGAAGATCCTCAATTACAAATTCTTTTCCGCTGATAGGGTCTGTAAGCTGTCTCGAACCGTCGTTCATTCTGCCGATTGTCAATGCCACCTCTCAGAGGCCTTTCCCCAAAGATGCGTGTTCCAGAGTCGTCCGTTAGAACAAGTATCGTAGTCCAGGAATCTTTTGACTGAAGTTGCAGCCACAACACCATGTCATGGATGTTCTTGGTGCAGAAAGGTGGCCGAGGCAATATGGCCTAGTCACCATTTTACCAATCAATGTTGAGTATCATCAAGATCACATTAAAGGCTGGCCTACAAGGCAGTCAAAAGTGCACATGGGCATGAACAAGTTTAGAGTCAGATCGAGATGGCCTTCTCATTGGTGTATAATCAGATTGGCTAAAAATTGTAAAATTGTAAAATTGTGAAGATAATCATATGCTTGGGATATTCCAAGGCATATGGTATGAAAAAAAGATAACGGATCGCTAGACCGCAGTTTATAAGACCAGAGATCACAAAAAGATATAAGGTAAAGATTCTGGCAGAGTAATATCAGAACCAAATAGTGGGTTGAGAAGAAAAAAACAAAATGTAAGAGAAGGAGTGTTAGGAAAAATAAAAGGGGAGAGGGGGAGAAAAAGAGGGGGGAAATATATATATATATAAAGCTGATAAATGCAAGTATGAAGAAGAGAAGAAAGAAGGAAGAAAGTGCTGCGAGCCCCATAAATCGACAGTTCTCCGTTTTCTATAGTTGCGCCACTTTCTTGGAGGGAAATTCCTGATTTCCTTGTCCATCATGTGTCGATCATTGGTCACGCTAATTCAATAATGAGGCTGGAAATGGATGTGGACATATAATAAACGAACAACGATTCCCCATGACACAATTATAGGTGAGGTAAATGTTTATGATGGCTGCTCTGAGTCCACCGGGTCGTTAAATTTCTGTCGTGCCTCCTCAACCCACAGCTCCAATCGCAGCTCTCCAGCCTCAACACGTCGTACCGGTACCGTTTTAGCACGACCATTTGAGGTCTGAGGGGGTGAAGGGTCATCTTTCCGTACTTTTGACACAGAATAGGGGGCGGTACAGGATCGCATGTGCACCTTTTCAGGTTCGGCAACAATCCAGGTTTGCTCCTCTCTGGTGGTACCTGCGGGAGGGAGGGCATCCTCTCGCACTTCGATACAGACAGTGAAGCTGAATTCGTCATCGCGGGGTAGCGGGGTCAGTCGCGCACATGCTGACGCGAGGCGAGCCAAACAAGCCCGGAATTGTGACTCGAGGTCGACAGAGGTCGGGGCGGTGTTCGCGTTCACAGGAGTTGTGGGTAAATTCTCACTTCTTTCCTCGAATGTGGTGTTTACCTCCCCCGCAGGAGCTCGCGGGAAGCCCGATAGATCGAAGGCATATCGCTCGAGAGGTTGGTTGGAGCGGAGAGATGAGATGATGATGCTGACTGCGGTAATTGTGCCTTTCAAAATTTCTGTTCCAACTGCGATTGATGCGTCATTGATATAGTCACAAACTTTCGGGTGACGAGACTGTCGGACTGGATAGTTGTACGCCCGCACGGGGAGAAATGTTGCACGTGGATAGACTGATCGTAAAAAGAGTATTTGGTGGACGGAAACTGTAAGGAAGTTGGTGAAGGAAGCTGCCAGCGCTGCCTGGTTTGTAGGCAGCGATCGAGTAGCAGGGAGCGGTGCGGAGAAAGTGGTCATGGTGGCGGTGGTAGTACTGGTACTGGTTTCACTGGCCATTGGCATTGCCGTCGGTTGTGAAATTCTTTTCTACAGGAAGTGTGGTCTTGATGGAGTCTCGAGGGAATTTGAATAATACTCCACCCTAAGGCTAATCATCGCTCTGCCTTTCTATAGTCATCGGTCAACGTGGGATCCACTATAAAAAGTTTGAGGTGTGTATATATCAAAAATCTTGAAGTTGGTGGGGATGAAAGATGGGAAAGGAACAGAATGCATAGGTGGGCTTCTTCAAGAGGATTTATGGAGGAAGTAATGTAGGTAGAGAGGGTTGAGTGAAGATTTGTTATGGGCCAAAAATCGGTGTTGTTCAAGAAGGGGGTAAATGAGAAAGTAGAAGAACCTACGCTTTAGTGGACAAGACAGCAAAGTGCAAGCACTATCACACAGCACGGGAGCAGAAAAAGCGATGTATTCTTAGGCGCCGATCTCAGGAAGAAGGCATCAACTTTTTTTTGGGAGGGAGAGGGGGGGGGGGAGAAATGATGTTCCCTGAGGGGTGGGTTTCTCAAGCGAAAGGGATAGGCGGTATGGGGTAGACTAATACGAGGCGAGAAAGCTGACGTAGGTTGAACCCTTAATAAGCTCGAGAGAAGAACTGAGAAGAAGAGGCGACGAAATTGAGGGGAAGTGGAAGATGAAGGTGGAAAGTCACGACGTCACGTGGTTGGGATAAAACCTCCTAAAACCTCCTTCTTTTTTTACTCGAGTTACCTAGGTACAGGAAACCTATTTAAAATTCAAATCGTTCCTAATGTTGAATATATACTATTACAATAGTGGCACTGCTGGTGGGAAGATATCAAATTAAAAAAAAAAAATAGTTGAGATAACTAAGCTAAATTGTATAGGGGGGAATGTGTAGTAGCAGTATACAGGTTTTGCCCTAGTACCTGGGTATTTGCTTCTATTGTTTTTTTTGTCCCCACTGATTAGTTGAGCTAGTGCTAGACGAGGGAAAATGGGACACGCTAGCGACGAGGGGCGATCATCAGAAAAATAATACAAATTTAGTGTAATAGAGAAGAGGATAAGGGCCCGTTCATGAAACAGCCATGGGGGAACCAACCGGGGTATACTCCATATTTTAAGACTGAATTATACTCCATGGAGTTTGATGTCGAACCTTGGAAAAGTAGTAGAAACTAGCTTATCTGTTACCCTTGGTCAATATTTCCCAAGTATAAGATCCCACTCAACTCCCACTCTTTCATATCCACTAGTAAATCCATGCATGCGTACTTACTACAACTCCACTCCAAAGGTACAAGGTATTTACTATTTGCAATCTCTTTTTTCTAAATTAACCCCGCGGTGGAACTTACACCGCACGCCCTATATGGAGTTCAATTGGTATCAGGTCCGTAATCGGGTACGCACTCGATTTCACCGATGATCTTCATGTCAGACGGCAGTGGCGGCAATAAGATATACCCTTGGCTTTGATTTCTACGGCTGTAGGGTTATCTCTAACAAAATCATATATCATCATATTCCATCCTTCCGACGCCCTGTACCCAGAATGATCAGGCATGATCGGGCATTTGCTTTGATGGAGATTTAATGAGGGGCTGTCGTCGATCTTCTTAATTGGCAATTTAACCCAATTGAGACTATGATGAGACTATAATGACACTATAATGAGACTATGACTTGAGTCACTTGATTGCTATGTTATAGTCCCACTCACATTTGCTCACGAATCTAAAACTCTGCCTATGAGAAACGTGCCCACATGGTGGATTTTTAAGCAATGGGCTGACATTTTATAATTCTGATCCTTAGTGGGCCTTGTAAATCCTTTCTGAACGATTCATGATCTATCCACTGACCTAAGAATAGGAGAATATCACACCACGAGCCTCAAGGTCCAATATATATACATGTGAAACGGTTCTGAAGCTGAGAGGGTAAGATAATGAAGGCAAGCAGAAGATATCAACTTGATGAGGCTTTTCCGAAGCCCCCACTTCATCCTGTAGTTAATGAACTGAAATACCAGTGTATTCTGGTATACACAGACACAGTCACTCCGTGTATTCCGTGACTAAGAGATAGTGCAATCCCTTTGACGCGAAGTATGACCACTGGAGCACTGATATGTTCCTCACAGCTCCCATCAATCGGCCGAGTTGGCTCTTATAAACGCCAAAAGGTACTCTGCAGTACTTCGTATTCGTAACTCGAGATCTGAAGAACCATGACTCATTGGCCTCTAAATAGTACTAAAACACTAAAATACTAAAATTAGACCATCTGGTGGGGAACGTTGAACCTTTGAATGATTGACCTCTTGGTATGGCAGAGTAGGGCAAACCATGGTGACTTTTCATCGGAGTGGTCTCCATGATAAATTCACATATCACTAGTTATTAATGTAGCAACAGTATCTTCGACGCGTAGTTAAGATAACTAAGTAGTTAATTGACTAATTAATTCCATTATTTTATTATTATTATGAACACTTGAGATTATCAGGCCTTGACCGCCTTCTGCCCCTCGTGTCTCCTTATCGTCGCATTAATTGTTTTTCTCATCGCGCGACGCAGCTTGACAACACTCTCCGTTGTCATTAATCGATCACACCACCAGCCATGGAGCAAGAACTCTTGTCGCTCCTGGCAAATACCCAGTCATCTGTATCCCAGACGCGAAATGCCGCCGAGAGTCAACTTCAACAGCTCTATCCGAACGAAACCTTCCCCATCTCCTTGACAGCTATCGCTTCCCATGAGTCTGTCCCGGTCAATCTGCGTCAGTCCGCCATTTCGGTCCTGCGTAATTTCATCAGCGAAGCATGGTCCCCAAACCTGGACGAGTTCAAGGGTCAAATCCTTGTAAACGACGCGAACAAGGCACAAATTCGCCGCGCACTGGTCGAGCTTGCCACTACAACGGAAACACCAGAACGCAGAGTCAAAGCCTCCGCTAGTTATGCCGTCAGCAAGATTGCCAGTGCTGACTTCCCCGATGATTGGCCCGAACTGTTACCCTCGCTGTTGCAGATCATTAATGACGCTTCCACCAGCGATATTGCATTGCACGGCGCGTTGAAGGTATTGCTGGATCTCGTCGATACTGGGTTTAGTGATGAGCAATTTTTTAATGTCGCCCGCGATCTCGTCTCTTCACTCTTCGCTGTGGCTACTTCCCAGTCACGGCGCCCGATCTTGCGGGCACTCTCAGTTGCAGTCTTCCGGTCCTGCTTCGACACATTGGAGATGGTGATGGAACAACACAAGGCGGCTATCAAGCAGTTTGTGGATGAGGTGCTGAGTGGATGGTCGCCGTACTTCGTCGAGACCTTGAAGGCTCCCTTGCCCCAGCCCCCCACCGAGGAGGAATACAACAAGTCGGGCGAGGTTGCATCTCAATGGCGTGGCGTCGTTGCCTTGAAAATGCAGGTTGTCAAGACGCTTATGAAGATTCGCATGGTCTTCCCTGGCCTCATGACAGCCCTGAGCCCAGAATTTTTTTCGGTTATCTGGACTGAACTCAATAACGCGCTCCCCATCTTTTCGAATTTCTTCGTTGAGAACGAACGCCAAAATCGCCTGGAAGATGCGGACGGGCTTCCTTACTCGCTTGATCTCCTCGTCCTGGAAGAGCTGGACATCATCCAGACCCTTTTGAAGGCTCCCCCAGTGAAAGCAGAACTGCAACAACAACTTCAAAATGCCGGCGCCGCTGCTACTTCGACTGGCTGGTTGCCTGAGATCATGAAACTTGCCTGCTCCTATGCGCAGATTACCGCCGAAGCAGAACTTCTGTGGGAAATTGATGTAAATCTGTATTTGTCCGAGGAGACTTCGGTCACTGCCAACTACACTCCCCGCACATGTAGTGGTGACCTGGTCATCAAGACTGGCGAGTGGCTAAAAGCCAAGGCAGCTGAGAGCCTTCTGGGCTATATGAATACTCTGTTTGCCGACAATACTGCCTCGTATGGTGCTCATATTTTTTTCCCTCGCATTTCTTCCCAATCGATCTAACATTCTACTTAGATGGAAGCTCCGTGAGGCAGCTCTTTACATTCTTAACGTCTTACTGCGGGACTTCGCCGAAGCAAACCAGGACTTCTCCATGGAACTCACAAATCAGTTCCACCAGTATTCACACTATGCAATTCAGCAACAGGATGATCTTTTGCGTGCACGTGGCTATCTTGTTGCCGGATCCCTTACCAGTATTGCAGGTGAAGGATTCCAGGGACCCGCGACCTCGTATTTGGAGGCGGCGCTGAAAGCTATCGCCGACGACCCTTCAGAGCTCGTTCAAGTATCTTGCATCCGCGTTCTTCAGGATATTCTGCCATCGCTACCCAAGGGTGTATCGCAGCCCCTCCAATCAACTGTCATTGCCACCGTCTCAGAGTATGTGTCTGCGCATGATTTGCGTGAGCAGGTTGAGGCCGACGACCTCAAGATCACCCTGGCAGAGACACTCCGAGACACAATCATGATAGATACGACCGTGGTCCTGAATTCAGTTGCCCTTGATGTTCTCTTTAATATCGCCAGCAGCGGCGCAGATAACTTCCAGCTGATCATGACAATTACTGAAGCCTTTGAAGATATTGTGGAGGAGATCACCGAGCATGGGCCTGAAGCTTTCTTGCGCCTTTGTGAGAAGGTGCTTCCATCCCTGATGGGTGCTATCGATATTGGGAATATTACGGAAGAAAACTCGCTGACTTGCTTTGCGGTCGACATGATCCGGGCTTTGGCTGATCGCAGTCTCGAGCCAATGCCTCCCGGATTTGTGCAGACCATTTTCCCCAAGCTAAACCGTCTGCTCCTCGACTCGACTGAAGCCGAACTGATTCGGCCTGCCACGGAAGCTGTGCGACACATGCTAGCCCACGACTTTACGCAGTTTGTGGAATGGCGGGACCCGCTATCGGGCAAAGATGCCATTGAAGTTGTCCTTGTCATCATTGACCGACTACTCGGGCCTGCTGTTGATGACGATGCTGCAACTGAAGTCGGCCAGCTGGCAGCAGAGCTTGTGGAGAAAGCTGGGCCTGAGCGCCTAGGTCCTTATCTGCCCCAGCTTCTCCAGGCCGTGGCCCAACGACTCGCGACCGCCCAGCGGGCAGCCTTTATTCAAAGCCTGATTATTGTATTTGCGCGACTCACACTTATCAGCGCGCGCGAAGTCGTTGACTTCCTTGCTCAGATAAACCTCGGCGGCCAGAGTGGCCTGGTGGTGGTGCTGAGCAAATGGCTCGAGAATTCGGTCAACTTTGCCGGTTACGACGAAATCAAACAGAATATCTTCGCACTGGCGCAGCTGTTCGAGTTGTCGGACCCACGACTCAACGAGGTTCCGGTCAAGGGCGACCTCATCATCCAGGATACCGGTCGTATCAAGACGCGGTCGCAGGCCCGTAAGAATCCCGACCAATTCACAACAGTCTCTGCACCATTGAAGATCGTCAAGGTGTTGGTGGAAGAACTGTCTGCAGCTTCGGGTAACAAGGAGATCGATGCAGCAATTGCAGCTGGACTCGATGCCGATGATGATGATGATGAAGATGATGACTGGGAGGATCTGCCTGGATCAGTTCTCGATCTCGGACTCGGCATGACAAAACAGGCATTGATGAACTACGGAGAGGGAGGACAGGAGGGAGTGTTTGGAGTGCGAAAGCGAGATGATGATACCCAAGCCTTCCTCGTTGACTTCTTCCGTCGTGCTTCTACTCAACCTGGATTCCAGGAAGTGTATGGAGCATTGACAGCGGATGAACAAGCCAAGCTCCAAACACTTGGCTAGGGCAGTATCCATATGAATGATAAACAAGCGAAAAAAGAAAAAAGAAAAAAAAAAGCAATTTAACTTGGTAGGATTAGAGCAGAAATATACCTATCACTCCTAGTGATGTAGTAGAACCAAAGTAGACCAGGCCGAACCCGACAGACTGGGACATTGACAGGGAGTATGAAGAACATCAAATCAAGTCCAAAACACACTAAAGCGGGGTGTGATGGATCACCATTTCCCCATAAGACGCTCTGACCTTCTTCTTCATGGAATCTGGATAAATCTGGATATCTTATTCTTCCTTCCCTCATCCCCCTGGCCATGACTCAACAACCAAATTTCAATGAACGTATTCAGGTCGATGTAAGCACTTCTTTCTTATAGCTCTAATTTTTTCCCCCTCGTTCGTTATTCACATTTGCTTATTATTTCTTTCTTGTCGTCTCTCTTGTAACAAATACTATATCGTATGAAGAGTACGAAGTCGAGCCCCTCACCAAAAGAACCCCCCTTAATCTCATCCCTGCTCCACATGGAAACCCCCTGTCTAAGTCTTCAATCTAGACAAGCGACGAAGATTCCATCTTCGAAACCGACTCACTCCTAGACTCCAATCTCTCATTCGCCTCGTCAATCAGAGACTACTGCTACGAAAATGGCCGCCGCTACCACGCATACCGCCCCGGCCAATACCCATTCCCAAATGACCAAGAAGAACAAGAGCGCCTTGCTCTAATGCACCACCTCTTTAAAATGCTCACAGGTGGCGACCTTTATCGCGCCCCGATCCCGAGAGACACAGAACCAAACACAGAAACAGGAACAGGAACAGGAACGCGAACACAAACATGCCCGCCCCGCCGCTTCTTGGACATTGGTACCGGTACGGCGGAGTGGGCCGTGGAGATGGCAGAGGCCTTTCCCAATGCCGAAGTTATCGGCACAGACCTCAGTCCCATCCAGCCGACCTGGTCGCCGCCAAACTGCCGCTTTTTCATCGATGATATTGAGAGTGACTGGGCCTATTCTCCTAGTGAGGCGTTCGATTATATACATGCACGGTCTATGGGCGGTGGGGTGGCCGATTGGCCGCGGCTGCTCCGCCAGGCGTTTCAACACTTGAAGCCAGGTGGATGGGTGGAGATTCAGGAGTTTGAGACTATTGCATCTTCAGACGATGGCTCGCATAATGAGGCAAAGCTTCTCAATCAGTGGCTGGAGCGCTTGACCAGCGCCAGCATTCAATTTGGGAAACCGGTTAATCATGCACGACAGGTTGCAACTTGGATGGAGGAATGTGGGTTTCAAAATGTTACCGATGATACGTACAAGGTATGGTATTTACGAGAGATGTGATTGATTTCCTTTGCTGATATTGCCGCAGTGTCCTATTGGTGGTTGGGCTAAGGACCGCCGGCTTAAGGAAATCGGTCGTATCGGGCGAGTTAGTATCATCGAGGCTGTTGAGCCGTATACATTGGCGCTGTTCACACGGATACTGGGTTGGAAGTTACAGGAAGCACAGGAGTTCATGGACCGAGTGCGAAAGGAGATGGCCAACAACAAGTACCATGTCTATGTATTTTTCCACTTTATCTATGGACAGCGACCCATGGAGACTGAGACTGATCAGACCCAGACTCCCGTGGAAAGTCTTACTTGATTGACTGACGAATTAACGACTTATGACTGCATCTTTATGTGTTCGATTATCTTTAGGGTATATTCAATATCTTGGATACGGGTGATGAGCCAGCTCAACCCGTTATATGAACTTCCAAACCTTCTATCCCTCAAAGCTCCCAATGCCTAGAACCTGGCATATCCCCGATACGGCCTCTTCAGGGGTCGCGCTGACTCGGACAACCTGCACGACTTGGGCCACGCGCTCTTCGTCGCAACCGCTAATCGTGTCTAGCAGAGTCTCCAAGAGCTTGTGCTTCTCTTGGCCCTTCCAAGCGCCAGGGATGGAATAGGCGTTCTGATGTGAATTCTGGGATTGCTGCGGGTCGAAATTATTATTGGACGGAAAGCATGAATCTGAATAAGGATGTGCAGGCGTGAATTGATGCCCGAAATCCCCTCCCCGCTGCGCATAATATGCAGATTGTTCATCTTTGGGGTGTTGGTAATCTGAATACCCCGGACCGGGTATGTATTCAGGCGCGTTGGCCGCGATATAGTTGTTATGCGTTGACACATGCGCACTCGCGTACGCAGGATCAAATTGAAATGATTGGGGGAAAACCTCCTGCGACATTTGATCTGCATGAGGCTGGGTGATCACATCCTCGATCGGATCTGGTGCAGCAGGTCAGCATTAGGATCGCTATCCGAATAGCAAAAGAAAAGACAAACTTCCATCCCCGGTCAATCCGGTCGCCACATCTTCCGCATACATTCTATGCCAAACCGATACAGGGCACGGTGTTTGGTTTGCACTTTCATTCCCAATACTATCGGGACTAGCGATATGTACTGAATTGGCGTTCGTCGACGAAGGAGAGGAACCGTGCCAACTCCCCTCCGCTGAATCAGAGAGGGCTCTCGCTGTACCGGCAGACCGAGCCGTATAGCCATGAGCGTCACTCCTGCGTGCCGAACTAGAGCTGGACCTTGAATTGGAAATCGAGCTCGAGCCGACGACCCCACCCGAAGATCGCGCATGCGACGCTCTATGCCGACTCCGACTTTGGCTCCTACTCCTAGACGGACTCGGCGCACGCGGTCCCTGGTTTAATTGTTGGCGCAATTGCGCGACTTCTCGACGCAAGCGATCAATCACTTCGGATTGACTGATATGCGCTCGGTCTTCGGCTGTAGTGACGTATGAGCATTCAGCTTCTAAACCACGGAGAATACACGCATGGCATGGTACAGCGCGGTCGCACTAATGAGAATAAAAAAGAGGTATCCGTTAGTTATATTATTGAGGTCTACTTTCTGTTTTCTTTGTTTTCTTTTTTTCCCCTCGGAGCGGAGGAAGATGAGGGGGTGTCGAAAAGGTGGGGAATATGGAATACCTTGACTTTGCGCTCACGACATCTTAGACATGATTGCTGTGGGCGGGTCTGACCCTTATTTTTTGAATCTGGCATCTGGCCGCATTAAGTGAGGTTGTGAAGAATTGGTGTTGGAAACCCAGGACTCCTCACCATGTAAGCTAACTATCCCTGGCGCCACTAACTCCCCTGATTGGTAGTCATATCTTACGCATTCATGATATCAATTCATTTGGAAAATTACTTGTAAACTGAACTGAAACCTATAGGATTCTATATGTCTACGATCTTCTTACTCTTCTAGTATTGGAACCTTGGAAAGTTACCTACTTTGTACAAAGTAGATATCTTTATCCTAGATCCTATCCACTCTGATCGATATCATTGGTCGAAGTCGGCTCATGATTCCTTCAAGCATCAGTCTTGTTAAATACACACTGAGTTCTTGGTTCCATTATCTTCTCTGTTTAACCCAGTAACCCCTTACAGTCAAACGGTGTGAATATGGCGAAGAAATACTGTCGATCAACTACGTTGAAAGCACAGGGTTCACACGTTGCACTATATATGTTAGAGTTGGGAACGGGTCGTCCTAGATTCTTAGTATATACGTTGTGCAAGGTGTGAAATGTGTTCGATTCATCTAGCTACTCGAGTTGCTAATAGTGATTCCCCCGTGATTCGGGGGTCTGCTTGTTCCGTTCCGGGCTGTGGTATTGCGGGATTGCAATATCCATGTTCCGACAAAGACGAAGATAGAAACACGGCATTCCATTGGGCAGCACGGTCGGGTCATATCCAAGCTGGCAAACTACTAGAGAAAGGAGACTGCGAGGGAATGAATACTGAAAACTCAAGAAATACGGCATTTGCACTACAAGATGCTTCAGAAGCAGGACATCAAAGTGTGGTGGAAATGTTGATTGCAACTGGGGCAGATGTCAATGCCCAAGGGAGGGGGGGCAATATAGTAATGCCCTCCAGGCCGCTACTTATAGAGGACACACTGAGACAGTGCGGATGCTACTCGACGTTCACGCTGATGTCAATGCCCAGGGTGGATGTTATGGCAATGCCCTCTATGCCGCTGCATATGGAGAAAGTACTGAGATAGTGCGGATGCTACTCGACGCTCACGCTGACGTTAATGCTCAGGGTGGAGAGTACGGGTCCCCTCTTTTGGCGTCTGTCCATAGAGGCAATGTTGATCAAGTTCAAATTCTTCTAAATGCCGGTGCAGAATTTTTAATAGCAGATGAACTCGGCCAAACTCCTCTTCATGCTGCAGCCTCGAGAAACGTGCTCCAAAGTATCTATTAATTTCCGTTGCTCACATCAACTGTCAATACACGGGACAAGCTCTTACGAATCCCTCTAAATCTAGCCATTTATTTTGGTCACATCAGGTTCGCTTTCATGCTTCTCGACCTTGGTGCCGATCCTTGCCTTCTAGAAGGTTGGCATCAACTTAAGAAATAAACACATCTTGAAGCTTACTTATTACACGTAAACTGTAGTAGTAACAGTGCCTTAAGAGTCAAGATCTCTGTCCTGTCAACCGACACCTATTCTCGCGTAGATATGTTCACGAATTGGGTTGGGTTTTGATGCCTTTATGCCTGATTATTCTTAGCTAATCCTAATCCGGATATTTACTGCCTTTGTGCCTGACTTGCCTTATGCAAACTTCATTAGGTAATAAATGTATGACGTAACAATGAGGGCTTGAGTAAACCCAATCCAGACGAACATGTTTATTCTCGCATCATCTTTGCTAGATTAAGCTACTCGCGAATTACCTTAGGGTCTTATTATTTCGCGCATTATTTATTATAGCATTTCGAGCGATAGGTTTTTAGTTTAGGCGTTCGTTTAATAAAGTCAGTGATCTAACTATGGCCGATTATAAGAGGGGGTCCGCCGTCAGCGGGTAGAATATTAGCTATTATGCGAACAGCTATCTAGGACCTGCTCCGCAAGTATCTAAAGAGGCCTATTAAATATAATTGTAGCTTTGCAAATAGAAAATATTTGCCTATTTTGTAAGCTTTGATAGCTAATAAGATTGTACCCTGTTCTACCTGGTTTGGCACGATTTGGGCATTTTTGGGGATAGTAGGTGGTTGAAAAATAGAGACATGTAGATGACGTGCAAAAAAGGGAGTCTCGCTATTGTAGTGGGGAGCTATGCAGTCGTAGTGAACCAAGAAGACGGTCTGCTGTGGCAGAACCGAGTAGACCATTTATCTCGAAGTTGTGATAGTTACAAAATGGACACCTTTTCACACCTCTTCACTTTTTGACTCCTTACTTTCATTGAGATTTCTTCGGCCTGTATCAACTTTTGAGTCTTTGACTATTCATCATGTTTAATTGTTGCAAAGTTGCCTGCTCCATTGAAAACCCAATACTCTGCCCCATTAGATTTCAAAGACGGTAAATAATCACATTGTAATCAAGATTCGATAATATGAGTCTGTCAAGATTCTCTATCTTCACAGGAAATAAAATCTTGAGGCAATTTGAAGAAACGTCACTGGAAAAACATTTATGTCATGTCAATTCTAGAGGATCCATGGCTGACAGTTGCTGGTGTCTACAGTACAAAAATACACAATCTCAGGTTCGGTAGTTTCGGCAATCAGAATCTATGTAGCCTTTGAAAACATCATATATTACCAACATATGTTCGTCGAGGGCTCTAAGCTTCCTCTACCTAAGATTCCATTGCTTTCATGGTATCCCCGAATACAGTGTTCATGGCAGCCATGTCTGGTGAAAGTGAACGGCGCTGGTATTCCGGGAGATTCTTTTCAAGAGTATTGTGCAAGTTCGTGGCATGCTTTGGAGCGCACGAACTTAGAGTGACATACATTACCTGAATAATAGCACATTGACTATGTAAACGCTAACTATTCCTGATCAGCTATTTTAGCCAATTTCCACATTTTACACTTCATAATAGTCTGTAGGCACCTCCAACCTTTCCTATACCATGAGAAGCTCAGCTGATGAGGCGCCTAGAACTATCGCCACATTTGCAGTCTCCTTATACTTTGCTCAGCCACAGTGGGTATTCGTATCAACTGTCATCAAGGGTGCTGCAAAACAAATATTGTCTTTCTTACGGAAATATCATATTCTGACCGGAATGCTATAGCTGATATTCTGGTTCTCGAACAACACGACTGACAGGCGATTGCCATAGACTGGGTCCCGCTTGATATCCTCGTGTATAGGTATAATGGTGCAAGGCGTGGGACAGAGTCATGGTGCGCCGACACTGTATTCTCCTTGCGCGCGGCTAGAGACCAAACTATTATGATGATCCGGACTTGATTTGTAAGTAAATGGTCCCTTTTTCCACTATAGTTTTGTGCTTGGCACTCGATTGCTAGCACTTACCCCGCCACGTCCACTCCTTCCAACTGGTGACCTTCGGCCGAGAATCAAGATCCAGCAGGTTGTTGTTAGCGATATTGAACGTCAATTCCAATTCCCATCATGAATTATTGCAGATGTTACTGCTAGCCGTGCTGAATATATGTCCTCAAACGAAGACGACCGGGTGGAATTTGGAATCTGGACTCCTGGACTCCTAGACTCCTAGACTCCAAAGGCATCAATACTCAGGTCACGTGTTTTAAAGAGATCATGATTTTGAGACTATGAAGGTTCACTAAGTGAAATGTGTAAATCAAGGAATGTTGAGTAGAATGTAGTACTTCCAAGAGAATAAACTGGGGGAAAAGAGAGGTGAAGTTTGGTTCGGATTAAACCCTAAAATCGATAGTGAAATCAAGTCATTTTTTAACTCCCAACACATTCTCCATTCACATCTCTCCCCTTTCTTTCTTTTCTGTGTTCAGTATCGGCATAATGTCGAGCTTCAGATGGATTGCAGCAAGCTTGCTATTGCTAATTCAAAGTGGTATTGTATCATCTAATCCACTTTCACTTTTATCTCTAACCTTATCGCAGTGGCGGCCACATGCGAATGCGGCTACTCAGTGAATGCAACCTCGTCGCAACATCAAGTCTTTACAGATTTGATAGAGTCTGACTTTCTCACTATTCAGGACATTAAGCGGGATACAGACTGGGAGATTCAGAGATACTGGGTCGGATACGATCCAAACAATGGTTACTATGGCGAGAACTTCACTGCGCAGAATGTTGTTTCCAATCCGCTCAAGGATAACTACACCCTCGCTGGTCCGAGTCAATTAGGTGGTGATGCAGGCTTGCAATTATGGGTTAGCGGTGGCACCCCATCGGATGGTCTCGTGCTTAATGGCGAAGTCAAGACGGCGCGAGACGATATCAAATATGGTTCTTTTCGCGTGGGAATGAAGTTGACCCCTATCAATGGGACTTGTAGCGCTTTCTTCTCTGTGAGTGTTCTTTCTCTCTCTAAGGGAATAACCAACCAACCAAGCACACAGTATTACAACGATACCCAAGAGATAGATATGGAACTCCTCTCCCACCAATACATGAACTACACACGCGCCGATCCCAACGGAACCCCAAAATCACCCATCAACTTGGTCTTTCACTCCTTGCAAACAATTTTAGCCGGATACCAAACACCCAATACATCCACCTACGGTGTTCCAGTGCTCCCCATCTCTCTCAGCGATGCATTCCACGAATACCGCTTTGACTGGACGCCCGAACGCGTCTCCTTCTACTTCGACGGGCAGTGGCTCTGGGATCTCATTGACGAGGTTCCCTCTTTGCCATCTGCCATTCTTCTGCGCCACTGGAGTAATGGTGCTCGTGGGTGGACCAAGGGTCCCCCGATAACAGATGCCGTCATGACAGTGAGCTACTTCAAAGCCTACTTCAACAGCAGTGATACGCAACGGGTTAAGCACTACAGCACGCGCTGTAAGGACCCTGAGGCGTCGGGTGCAGTCTGTCTCATCCCTGATCAAACTGTTGCGCCTGATCCTAAGATCACTACTGGGGTTAGTACTGCCGTTGCTGCAGCCAATGGGTCGGCCAATACCTTCTTTTTCTCGCAGCAGACGAACCAGACTTTCAACCAAACAGTTTATACCGGTGTTAATGGCGGTATGGTGTCTGTTGTGGACTTGCAGTCATGGACTGTGTGCACTGTGATGCTAGTTATCTGCGGTATTTGGCTTCATATTTAAGCAGATATAGGGAAATTATCTTTCACAGCGCATTTGTATAGCGATTTATGAATCTAATGAGTAATCTTGAGATAAACAGATCTCTTTTTGAAATGTACATTTTCGTGACAAAGCACTTTTATTTATATATGGGGTATGAAGACAAATGTATATAACAGGAATGTTAGAATGTTAATGAGAGTATGGGGAATATTAAGTAGATATGGGACAGGCAATGGTATACCTTGATCTAAATTCTAGAAGGAGTGGCAGTCGAGATCGGCTGAGCGAAATCGTGAATGACGGGCAGTGTAGGCTGTGCTTGTTCCAAAGCCAAGGGTTGGTTTGGGGTCTGGGTCTGGGTCTGGGTCTGGGTTTGACTAGGGGTCTCCTGATTCTCCTTACCCTCTTCAGGTTCAGTGATGACCTTTCTGGTCTTTCCCCATCCAAACGAATCCATATACCAGCAAGCATACAGCAAGACCGAGATGTTGAGGAACGGACCGCAGACAATGTACATGGCGCATCCGAGCCAGAACTGGAAGCGCTCAAGCCATTTCTTGCACAGCCATAGAGGGATGCAAAAGTAGTAAGTGACAGGAATGAGCATGACAGAGACAAATGCCATGAGGATAGCCGGAGGGACGCCTAAAGCATTGAATTAGTATGTGTTTGTGACAAGTTGGAATATTCGGAAAAGAACTTACTCATAGCGGCAGTGATGAAACTGGCCAAACTAGCAAAAATGAACAGGTTCAGGAACCAAGTGAAGACGTTGACTGTTGCCAGAATCCGCTCGAACCACTGCACGCCCGGTGCGGTGATCAGAAGCAGGTCGTTGGACGTGGCACCGAGAGTCCATCGTCGTCGTTGCGAAAGGAACACAGACCACGAGTGAGGAACGTCAGTCACAGCCATGGCTTTTAAAGCCTGTCGTGTCTGTACCTTCGGTCTGGCGGATAGCATGTGGCATACATGGTTACGATCTTCACTGGCTGTTGCCCGGATTTGAGTGAGGAGGCCATCGGTGAGGGTTGGGCAGTAGCCGAATTTATCGATCAACACCTCTGGGCCGCAGGTTTCCTCGCAGATTTTGAGTAGCTGACAGCATCCGGGGAGGCAGGAGACTTTGTGCGTCACGATTGACTGATGCAGACGGCGGAGACCTTGGGCAATTGTGTACTCGGCGGACTGGTACAGACGCCATGGGTCAAAGTTGTTGTTCTTCCAGTCGACGGCTACGTAGCCGCAGACTCCGACGGTATTTTCATAGCGGGACTCGAGGAGGAGCTCGTTGATGCAGTTCTTGTCGAAGACGGTGTCGGCGTCCATGCCGATGAGGTGGTCGACATACTCGATACCAGCGCCACTGATGAAAGAAGCCATATAGGCGAAGAATTTGGAGGAGAAGACAGTTTCAGGACGTTGGTTGCGAATGTTGAAGTTATACAGGAATGAGCGGATGACGATGAGACTATCGCGTTTGCCTTGGTTTTGCTGCTTGACAATGCAGAAGTAGGGGACTCCCTTGTAGGTTCCCTTCTGCACTTCGATGTCCATGAATTCCTGGTCCCAAGCGAGATAGGCCGCTGGGATGCGGACGCGATAATCCTTCTCTAAGAGAATGTCTTCGAAGAGATAGTCAGCTGTCGACTTCTCCATGCCGGGACCACGGACCTTTCCATCACAGATGATCATGATGGCGCGCGGGTGCTGGTCAATGTTCGTTTGCGCAATGAGCGAATCCATCGACTTGATCATCTCTTCTTCTGTTTCATTGTAGCAGGGAATCACCATGATCAGGGTCTCAGGCTTTTCCGGCATGGTCTGCTTCTCGGGGAATATGCGGCGGCGGGTGGTGTTGAAAACGATGGAGACGATCATGAAAATGTTCAAAGCGACGGTGGCAGTGATGAACGGCAACAGAACGTAGTAGTATCTAGTCCACCACCATGTGCTGAAGATGCAAAGACCACTAGAGAGAAGGGTTGGTTAGGAACAATTCCATCAGCTGTGCTGTGGGGAATTCTACTTACTTGATTCCGAGAATAGCAAACTGGGTAATATGCTTCTGTGCAACGATGGTCCTTCTGCCTCGCTTTCGGATAGTGGGAGTATCTTCAGGTCGGGGCTTTGGGGCGACAGTGGTGACACAGTCCATGAAATCATCGATAGCAGGTCCGACGTTTCGTTGCTGGGCATGAGCCGGCAACACCTTGGCTTGAGCAGTGGGTGCCTCAACCGCTGGCAAGGCCGATGCTTCTTCAGCCTCAGTCTCGGATAGATCTTCTTGTGCACTAGGGGTCGGTAGAGACGTGTTAGCCCAAGGCTTTGGTGCAACGAGATCCCGGTTCCTTCTCACACGGGGTGAGAAGTAATCTGAGGTACCCTGGTCATCTTCAGGAGAAGCACGACCATCTCCATGTTCCTCCAAAGTATAGGCTACACGAGAAGGAACGGTGATATCAGGTGTTTGTATGGATGCTTGAGTCCTACTAGAGACTCGTGACGCCGTACCCAGAGACGGGGTGCTCGACGATGCCTCTTGCTGGATCTCATCGCCGAATACAGAGCCGGCAGTGGACTCTGGAGGAGTGATGGGGACAGTAAAGAACGACTTCGGCGAGATGAAGTTATGAGCCCCGGTCGAGTTCACTGGGGCCTGTAACGACTTGGAGGGAAGAGCAATCGATGACTGTGCTTCCATATCAGGGTCCAAAGACGATCCATAAGAATGGACTCGCTCTGGATTCCCAGCCTGAATTGTATACATTTCGAGGCAATCAGAATAAAACGAATGACAATGGGAGAAGAACTACTTCTTCAGCCCGGGTACAATGAAGTGGGAAGTGGCTTTGGAGCTTGAAGTCACCAAGGGGAGCAGAACAAGGTCAAATAAGTGCGGCTCAGGGGGCAAATATTACGATTTATACGGCCAAGACAACGACTTCTTTTTTCAACCGGTGAGTTCTACATATCAAGATGGCAAAACCCAGCCATTAGGCGAACCCCGGGGACTGGTAGGGCTCAGCTCGCTTGAAATCGTGTCAACGGGTCGGTAATTTGAGCAGGGTATATCGATGAATGTCCATTCTCTCAAGGTAGAGTTCATACTAATGCTTGGCAAGACAAATCTGACTGCATATGACCCACTATCAGATTTCTTTTCAAGCTGAATTGACTATAAAAGACATAAAAAGAAAATAAGCGAAAAAGGTTAACTGCGTTGTACGCTATAGTTTGCAGTCTGGGCTCTCGTCAAGTCTAAACCACCGTTCACGTGCGCCACCACCACTAACTTCACTGGTCGGTTCCTGTTCCTGTTATTTTCGTATTAGTGTTTAAGTTGGTCTTGGCCAATGAGCTCAGTGTTTATAACCTTATTACCTTAAAAACCTTACCTGAACACCGGTTTATTTGCCTGAGAGTTGCAATTGTGGGGCTACGGGTGCTATCCGTTCTGGTATTCCAATACGAAGCCCTAACTATTTTCATCTACGCTAAACTTTATACCAAACCAGATCTTACATGATTTAAGGTTATTAATCTCGTGCCTGAATAAACCCCCTGACCCAAGGTCTTCAAAGTTTGATTTCATATAATTCAGTAATCTGGGCCTCAGCTAGGTAGTTCGTAATTACGTATTGATTCGCCTAATGTCTCGTAGAGTTACTGAAAATTAATTCAACTGGCGGATACCATTGCAACGGAGTATGCATCTAAATAGTTACATTGATCGCTTAAGATCTTACTTACGCTTTGGTCCTGCAGGTGTATCACAGTCATCAACTAAATTTTCATGAATCCAAAGTTGGTAACTGCCTGAGGTCTTCTGATCAATCCTTAGAACTACTCTGTACAATCATGTCATCGGCTCCAGGGCTGCATCTGCTGTGTAATGTGTTTATGTTATACTTCCAATAAGCCTTAAAATAGTCCACAGCTTCATCCGTGATTGGCCTCGGGATCCGCAGTAAACTAGGTTTTATAGTCCCACGGGCCAGGATACGCCGCGTCTGATACTCAAGGGTTCTAAATCCCCCATGGGACTAAAGTTCCAGTTCTTGACTAACTGGATTTGGTGCATGGCAAGCGATATAAGAAAACTTTGTCAAGAACGTTGTCTGGCCATCGAATCGGCTCGTCTACCTACATCTACGTATTGTAGGTATGGTCACAGGTGTACAATTTATGGCTTTTGCACCCACCGTACCAGCCAAAGTAGCCAATAGAGGCTCAAAACACATACTGATGCTATGTATCGTATCCTTCCATTCGATGATTCCAGAAAATAAGATACTATGACTTTTTTACCGGTTTCCTGCCAAGACAGTGCCATCCGTAGGCTATGTCCGAGACCACCTAGATTTTTAGCTCAATATCGGACCCGAAGAGCATCGTATGGCTTGAGATGATTGAGAAGTCAAGACAGGGGCAAACTGAAGTCTCCGCCAGATCCACGCAAAAGCTGAAGAGGGTTTCAAGGCGAAATTGGCGAGGCTGACCCCGAACACTAATCTTTTGAAGATTTTTGAAAGCAAAAGCCTTGGTATTAGTATATAAGAATTCTCTCTTCGTTATACCACCATCCTTATCCAAATAAATAGATTCAATTTCATACCCCCTCTGCTTTAGCCATGCATTTACTTCCTCTATCACCTTCTACTTCTGTGGATGAAAATTCACCCCAGTTGTCCAAAAAGCCTACTTTCTATGTGGATTCCAACAATGGCCTGGCCACTCCTCCTCAGGATGCTAGGATGAAGCAAGATTATTTCAGCGAGGGACAGCTGAAAGGGCTTGGTCTCACACAACAACAACAACCAAGATCTGTTGTGGCAGTGATTGGAGTCGGCTATGTTGGCTTCGAGCTTGCTACAGGTTTCTCAAAAGCCTACCGTGTCATTGCCTATGATGTAGACCAGCGTCGTCTGGCTCACATCAAGCCATTGACAGCTAACATGAACATCCAATGCACCAACAACCCACAAGACATTGCCAATGCGTCACACTTCCTCATCTCTGTTCCCACTCGGCTGCACCATGACAACTCCGTCGACACACAACATCTGGAGAGCGCCATTGCTCTCGTTGCGCAACACGCTTGCCCTGGATCAACAGTGATCATCGAAAGTTCCGTCGCGGTTGGCATGACCCGTCAGCTCATCAAAGATGTTATGATCGCCAAGGGCCTCAAGGCCGGTATGTCACCGGAGCGTGTTGATCCTGGACGTGTCAGTCCCAGCTTCGAGACTATTCCCAAGATCATTTCCGGGCTTGACGACATTATGCCAGGCTCTCTGGCCAGCATCCACGAGTTGTACGAAGAGATCTTCGATGTGCTAGTCCCTGTCTCATCGCCCGAAGTTGCCGAGATGACAAAGCTATATGAGAACTGCCAGCGCATGGTCTGCATTGCCCATGCCAATGAGATGGCCGATGCCTGCCACTCCATTGGCATCAACGCGCTGGAGGTCTCAGCTGCCGCAGCTACAAAACCGTTCGGATACCAGCCCTACGCTCCTGGTCTTGGAGTTGGCGGTCACTGCATCCCCATCAACCCGTACTACCTCCTCACCAACTCGGCATTCCCTCTCCTGCAGGCAGCGACGGAAAAGATGGCCGATCGCCCGGCAAAAATGGGAGATCGCGCAATGCGAAAGTTCCTCGAGCACCACAAATCCCGGGCTTCTCGTGGCCGAACTCGCGTCCTGGTTGTCGGTGCAGGCTTCAAGCGTGGACAATCTGTGTTGAGTAACTCGCCTGGTATTACCCTCATGCAACATTTACTGTCTGAGTGGGAGGCGTATGTTGAGTTTGCAGATCCTCTTGTCTCAGCGGAGGCTCTTTCATTTATTCCTAAACTGGATGAGAAGACATCCTGGAACAAGGAGGACTTGGAAAGGCAGTTCGATATAATTATTGTTGCTGTTGATCAGGTTGGGCTGGATATGAGTGTTTTGGAAGGTCTTGATGTGATGGTTGAGAACTTTGTGACATCAAAGTTCTGTTAGATGGCGTACTTTTTTGATTGTTTACTTATACTCCCTGGAATTAATTACTGTTCTTAATTTATAATTCAAAAGCTCTGGAACAACCTTGCGAGGGATGATTTAATGCTCTAGAAGAACGAAAGTGTACATGTATCAAATATACCTCCATAAATCTAATTCTGGCTCAATACATCAAATCCAGCCTTCACCAAGCTCCTATCAGGCTCAATAGCATCAGCAACGCCAGTCCAGTAAAAGACTCCCCCAAGCTTGTTCGCCTTGGCATAATTAGCCTTCAAGCGCACCGTGTCTGGCGTATCATAACTAACAAAGCCCCCATCTCCACCAACACACCACGCAGCACCAACTTTCTCATCAAAGAATTCCTGTGCGCCAGCCTGCGGTAGCGAGCTATAATCAAAAGTACCTCCCTCCCCAGCATGGCCAGTAAACCGCTGGCCGATGCCATCAACGCCCAAAAATGAGCGGCCGTAAAGGGGCACACCTAGAACCAGCTTCCTGGACGGAACGCCTCTCGCTAGAAAATAACTCACGGCAGCATGTCCCGACCTCTTGGCAAAGGAATTGTGCGGTCGATCCGGCGTATACAACTGGCTCTGGTGGCCTGAAAGCTCGGTCCACGGGCCAGCATAGTCATAGCACATCAGGTTTATGAAATCCACCTGCTCGGCTGCTTTTCCCAGATTTATATGTTTAAGACACCACTCACCGACGGGAAGGGCCGTGGTAATCAGGTACCGTGGGCCTGGGAGACTCTTGCGTAACTCTTGAAGTAATAGCACGTAGTCTCGACCTTCATCTGGTGTCGATGGGTGCTCCCAATCCACTACGTCACGAATTAGCAGTGCCGTGGATACCATTTTTCTCATATCCTATGAGAATCTTGTCTAGAACAAGTTTTTCAACTCACAGTCAACTCCATCAAAGAGAAATTGATCGACAAAGTGGCGAAGGGCTTGTGCTAGCCTGACCCGACTATCGGGAGACGCAGCCACATCTTTGAAAGCTTGACTCCCGCTGCCACCACCGACGGATACCAATAATTTCAGATGTGGAAATTGCTGACGCTGCAAATTCAGTGCGTTCAAACAACCTTTGGTACCGTCGGCTGGATACTCCAGATCCGCCTTTTGATCAAGATGCTAAAGTGGGTCTGTTAGTCTGGGCGATCGTTGTACCGGAGTACCATAGAGAAAGTATTTGAGAATTCACTCACGCAAATTTCACCATTGGCTTGAACTCTATTGTTCAGGGTAATGAAATTACATCAGAATTGAAACTTGCGCATACCCACCTGAGTGAGCCTTTCGACCTACTTACCTGAGAAAAGCATAAAAGACGTGAGTCGTCAGCGCAAGATTCATCGTCGATGGCGTTTTTCCCTTGTATACCCGCCAGCTGGGATAATAAGATGCATGGACGTAGTTGAGTTGCATTTCGATAGACTCATGCGGTTCGGTGTTAGGGCACATTTTAAATGGAGAGATCAAATCAGATGAAAATTATGGAATTAAACCCTTGGAATAGTCTGGAGAAATAGATCCGATCATCCAAGGTACATATAGATACATAATAGGCGACCAGGGGCCTGAACCCTAGTGAATTTTTTTGTGGCGCAATTCAATTGCAGTTTAAAATATGGATGTTTGAAGTGGACTCTGACGGCAATGAAGAGCACAGAGTAGGGCTTGGATAAAGTGAAATGGATTCAAGTTATATGAGATGCGGAAACCCGACGGACCTATGTCCGTGTTTATCCTCAGTTAATATATCTTCCAACAGTACACATTCAAGAATGCCTTTACTCCGAACCTTAAGGTCGGAGCTTGAAATCCCGCTTTTGAAAGCCTGAGGCATGATTAATACCTAAGGTTTCGGGTGGCAGGCGAATTCTTTGGTACACATGATCTATTTCATGGATTCTTTTCATCAATTCTTGAGTTAGTGATTCAAGGCTGGAGAAGAGATTTCTCAAGGATACGAAGAAAAGGCTATCTTGCACGTATCTAGATAGCAGCTTTAACTCTTGTGTAATGGCGACCCTGTATATACACTAAAACGATGAATACATATATGAAGCTCCTCGTGTCTGGTCTACGGTGTCTATGAGAGTGGCTTCACTCCAAAAGTCCACAACTATATAAATGCGAATCTAGCTACATTTCTATTTTATGAGACTTCGCCTACCCAATTTAGAACCGAAGGTGTATTCCAAGGCTGATGGAATACCTCGTAAATCAGTGACTTTGTACTGTGTGAATTACCTCTGAGAAGAGCCCTTTCTCCAGAAAATAAGAGTATAAAAGAAATACATAAGGTGGATATTTAACACAAAGACAAATACCCCAAAAACTTTCCAAGATCTTGTTCATGTCCAGGTGAAAACGAAAAGCCTGGTCTGTATTGATTTTGAGATTTCAGCGAACCCTGGACCTCAACAGTTAAAAATGCACACATGAATTATTGAGTACTGGCTGTGCAATTCCATCACCATAAACTATCAAATTATCTTGAGTAAGCAGAGAATATTGAAATTGCATACCTAGATCCTACTAGCTGTCCGCTTCTGAAGATACCGAAGCAGCCCAATATGGATGGGTCTATAGATATATATAATGTGTATATACATAGACCACATCGGCATCTATATTAATGGCAATATGCACGATGATTTTGCCACACCAAAAGGTTGGTGATGTCAACAACTATATTTTAGTGCTCGCAATTTCTACTGCTGTCTTTTCAAGGTTTTGTCATGAAGTCATACCAGCATGTGGCTGTTGCTAGCTACCTAGGTAGCTAGCGAGTCCTCAAATCAATGTCTCTAAACTCCACCTGGGCACTAATCATAATTTAGAATTAATTCTACACTTGCTTGTCAAATAAATTTTACATAGGTATGTATTCCGTAAATTGGACTGTACGGCATGGATGCAATTGAGACCGTTTTCTGGGCTAAAATTGAATTAGATCGTATCCTATTGTGACTGCATGCATATGCAAGATATACCTAGATATCCATGGATAGTTCTCCACCTATCCCTGCAACGAGTAACCCACGCCCTCGCCACTGCCCATAGCAACAAGATTAGCCCTCATCTTCTCCGGCCGCTCGCCAATTCCAAACGCCGCATCATCCCGATTCACCCAATCGCCTACACCATGTTGCAATACAGCCCTAGCACGAACCTTTTTCTTCTCCGAATCGTTCGCATCTAAAATATTCAGCCCAACGCATCCATGCAGCGTTAGTCGCGTCTCTTCCCCACCCTCTGCCTTCCCCTTATACACCCCACGATGCAGAATATTGCTATCATAGAAGACAGCATCACCAGGTTGTAGCTCCACAATTAATTGATCGGGTAAATAAGGCTCGTAAGGCTTAGCATTACGCTCAGTATCTGTCCGCGCCCGGCGATGTGATCCAGGCACCACAATTAACGACTTATCGGGACACAGCGCCAGGTTATACTGTGCATGCGACTGTTTTCCGCCAGGAGACCTTGCCGCCAATTGATGTAGCTCCTCCTCCGCAGTCGCGGTCTCGGGTATGTCATCTCTATGCCATCGAAGCTCAAAATCCTTCGTCTCAGGCGCAACGAGCAAATTGAACAATTCCATCACAAGTTTTTCGTCACCTTTACCATTGTTCGCTGGCTTGGCGCCTACTAGTTCTTCGATGACGCTCAGGATGGCCTCGGAGAAGTAGCAGCTTGCGAATGATTCGCGACCTGGCATTTCTGGGTGTAGCAGGTGCTGCACGCCCCAGATGCCTCCCTCTGAAGCTGGGGGTGGTGTGGTGGGCCATGGCGGAAATTGTTTAGGGACGGTGCGGAAATGTGGCCAGCCCCCTGTGCGGGTCTTGGTTGTTGCGACTGTGGCTATGTCGCGGTAATGGGTGATCTCGGTGGGGGAGAGGAGGTTGCGGATGACGACGAAGCCGTCGCGTTGGAGGGCGTCGAGGTGGAGTGTTGCAGACATGAATGGTAGCTAGGAAGTTGTTTGAATTACCTTGAAATTCATGAGAAGTTGAGAAGGGACGTTGTAAAGTAAACAGTTACTCTGTAATAGGTTCATTCCTCTGCGGGGTAGATTAAAGATACCCCGCACTAAATACCACTACGATAGCACAGTCAAAGTACAAGTTGGGAGAAGCTGATTGAAAATGCGATAACCGTCATGCAGTTCCTTTTGTATATATTGTCAAATTGTACAGCAGTACAAAGATACAACTTCAAATAGTGGCCTTACACGGACGTCATCACAGTGCCAAGATTGGGCAAAAATAGAACCCGAAATAGTCTGAATTTCTTAATTTCTTAATTTCTTTCTTTCCTTCATTTCGCTTTCATTTTAAATTGAGACATATTCCTTTCTTTCTCTCTCTCTCTCTCTCTCTCTATTTGTGTGTCAGAGTGTGTCTCTTACTTTGACGGTCTTTCTGAAGGCAGATTATACTATCAACGCGATGTCCTTCATCCGAGCCTCTCCCGTGTTGCTCGTATGCCTGCTCTTTCTACTACCTCAGGTCCACGCCTTTGGTGCTGGTAGTACGTTGCCACATGCTCAACCCCTGAGCCCTGAGCTCTAAGCCTGACTAATAATCTCAGATATTGCCTCGATCTCTGCCGTCGAGGGTCAGAACTGGCGCCATGGAGATATCGAGGATATGCTTAAGAACATCGCGTTCATCGCCGGGCATAAATGGACATCGACTCAGATCAAGCGCGTCTACTTTGGAAATTGGCTGCGTGACTATTCACAGGCTATGGATGTCGGGACTCTTAAGTCTCTTCAAGCTGAAACAATCCGCATCTTGGTGTGGGTCCTGTCATTCTTGAACTTCGGCTATGCGACTGGAGAATTTGAGGTTACCTCGGAGCGCCTGGGAGTTTACCGGCCAGAAGAGCATATTGAGTATGTTGGAAATTTTGGAAATTTTGGTCTTTGCTTCGTCTTCCTAGCTAACTCTGTCACAGCAACCCTAAAGATTATGCCGATAACCTAGATGCCCGCCAGTATGATAGTCGTCTGCGACCCCCGGTCCGTCAAATTGAGCTCGATATTGACCATGAGACTGGAATGAAAAACTACATCGCCAATGAAAAAGGTGACTGGGCAACCAGTTCCGCCTATGTCAAGTTTAGTCTTTGCCGGAGCATCCACTATGGACGTATGTACCTACACGGCGGGGAGCGCAAGGGCAACGAAGAAGACTTATGTGAAGCCCTTCGCTGTCTTGGCCAGGGTCTCCATACACTCGAAGATTTCGCAGCCCATACAAACTACTGCGAACTTGTGCTACGTGAATTGGGCTTCCACAACGTCTTCCCCACACACAGGAACTGCCACACAAATCAACGTTCGTGGGCATCATGTGTTTCCTTTAGTGACTGGCACCTTTGGTATGGTTGATTTTTTCCACTCAGTACTTGGAGAGGCAACCGATCATTTCACTCAGTCCGAAGTCAACGAGATGGATATTGCTCTTGGAAATGCGGAGAACAACTCTCACTCTAGCAACCCTCTCGGTGCACTCACCGGGCTTCTGGGCAAGATACCTGGAACGAGAGAGCTGGTCTCTGAGGCTGAGCACCTGAAGCAGACTTCAGAAGTGCAGGAGACGGCTAATCGTTCCCGAGGATCACACATGGGCTATGCTCGTGGTTTCGAGCAGGACCGTGCAGAGCCTTCTTCAACCAGGCCAGGCACAGGACTCCAAGGCATGCCAGATTTCAATCCACAGGAAACAGTAGCCAAGATTTATCCAATCCTAGCTTTCCGTGACAAGGTGGTTCGGAAACTCAACTCGATTATCGAAAAAATCCCCGGCTTGGAGGCCATTATGGAGAAGATCTCGGAGACACTGACGGTGTTCATCATGTCCCTTCTTGCCCCATTCATCCGCCCTCTGATCAGCGCGGCGTCTAAATCCCTGCAGACAGGATCGGCTGGCGTCATTGATGCCTCAGGAAAGCACCAGTACGAACCGTGGACCGATCCCCACTGCACGGATCCTACACACTCCATGCTCTCCAAGGATCACTTCGCCAACATTCTGAACGAGCCCGCCGGCCGAGTGGCATCTTCCATCTTGCAATACGTCGCACCCCGCGTTCTATATGCGTGGCAGCACATCGAAGTTTCCGAGCACGAGGTAATGAACGACTGCATGCATGTCTTCCACAACCCCGCTGTCCGGAATATGCACAACGAAGTTCACCGCAATATGTTCGAAGCCGTTGAGAAATGGGCCCATGCCCGCCCCGACCACGGCCATTCCTTCAATGACGTCCTCAGCGCCGAGGGAGTCAGAGCAGGCCGTAACACCGGCGGTGTACCCCATACCCATGGCGGTGGTCAAGGTGGCTTTGCTGCGCTGGGAGGTGGTGCCCATGGCCATCAGGGACAAGGACACTCCCAATCTCAATCCCATGGACTGGGATCATTCTTCTCTGGAGGCCAACAGCAGAATCACTCGTCGCAATCGCACCACTCATCTGGTATGCCTTGGGATAATCTCTCCAGCCTGCCCATCCCCGGCATCAATAGGCTTGAGAGCACCATTAACAGCTTTATTCCCGGTGGCCTTTTGCACGGTTCGTCCAGGGAGGTTGATGAGAGTGAGGGAAGGACTGGAAATGATGGCTATGAACAGGGCCATCATCATTCACACTCACATGACCAAACTGGCCATGGCAGATATCAATATTAACGGCTCGGTTGAATAGGCTTTCTGGAGCACTAGTTCAAGGACCGTTTGGAGGCGACTATTTTTGAGTATGCCTAGGTATGCATGAAGCTATGAGATTATGTGAACTATTACAAGTATTTTAGTTATGATAATTTGTCGTCTCGACCATGACCTACATATGTACTTTAACTAAAAGTAACTAAAGCCGGTTGGGGCATCTGGATCAAATATCCATGGATCATTCCATGAAGTCTGTAATTGCTTTACATGTAAAGAATCAATGATCCAGAAGCCCTGAGGGCTTCAAATCAACCTTGAATTATCCATAAGTCCTTGTCCTCATCTCCACTTAAAATCCGAGCGTGGAGCTCCCCCAATAACTAAATACCTAGGTACGATCGCCTGTGCCAAGGATGTGGCGATCTGGGTGGATTTTCTGTCATACCTCCAGCTCCCAAACCACTAAAGCCACCATATTTAGGCGTCCACGGGTATGTTGGTTGATGGAGATGTCCAGGTGGGCTTCATCCTGGTACTATGACCCTTGATATCCGACATAAATATAATTGGGCGAACGGACCTTTCAAGTCAATAACCGGGATGATACCTTCGGATATTATTGTGTATGTAGAGTATATGGACATGATATCTAATAGGTATACTTACGAAGGATCGCCGATCGAAGCATCAATCTACTTAGGTAATGCATGTAATGCATTATATCAATCATGTCAAGGTTAGTAAACACGTCCAAGCATTTACACAACCGAATGATAAAGGCCTCTGAGTCTGGCGAAGTAGATTAAAGGTCTTTACCAGATAAATAAGAGTTGATATATAGTCTACCCATAACTTTTGAATCTACTACTTATTTAGTGAAACAAATACTTTTGAAATATTAACGATTGAATTCCTTGTGTATTAATATGTGTATGCGACGTTATAACTTACTCTGCTGCCAATCAGAGAGCTGTACAACATCAGGAGTCAGAAATAACCTAGTATTGAATATCTTAGTTTATATTCTCAAAAATCCATTGGCCGTCATACAAGCCCTGCCGGGCTAGCTCAATCGGTAGAGCGTGTGACTCTTAATCACAAGGTTGGGGGTTCGACCCCCCGTTCGGCTATTCCTACTACGAACCTTCGAGTCTTCTTTTTTGTTTTTTTCGAGCTTCCAATCTACTATTTTTAACGTTACTGAAGTCTAATATGCTTTCTATTTTTAGAATATACCAAAATCCATTTACTATACAACTCAGTCCGAATTAGAGCACTCAGGCTCCACCGGCGGTAAAAATTCATAACCACAATGCACAGTCCAGAACAGCTCAGACGCAAACCAATTGAAGTTATCGGCATTATGAATAGCTTCATCCTTTTTAATCCATTCTTGAGCTTCCCAAGGTCCATATCCACCATCGAGATCGTCAGTTTCTTCTTCCAACGGCGGCACCACCAGATTGCGCCAGTGCGTATACTCGTGTAGAAATGCTCCTCCTAACGTGTCCATACCTTCGTTCAATACCTTCCCAATGCTCTTGCATGTCACGGCTGGTACTCCAGTATAGCCCTTATCAATCCCAGCCAGTGTAAATCCGTCATCGCAGATTACCATGCTTGGATTGGCTTGATCGTAATCTTCAGTCACCACGTATTGGTCAACTTCACATACGTATTTCGCCTTATCAATAACTTTCATTTGGCTGAGCATTGAGTTGCCCGCGTAATTATTGCTACTTCCGCCTGAGATCTTCTCGAAGACAGCTTTACTGAACAGTTAGCTAAGTTTCTAGAGCTCAAAAGAGGAGTAACTGACCGAGAACAAGTTGCTTCTTCTCTATCGGAAAATACTTCTTCAGTATTTTGTCTACAGTGTCCTCGGGTGCTGTCAGTATGACTTTGCATATTCTGAGGGCATCTTCAAATCCATCAGAGATTTGCTTCTGTTCACTGAGTTTATATCCCACGATAGTTGGGGAGGTGCGCTTCGTAATAGATTTGACTTGTGGTGCGGCCAGTACTGATATCGCTAGAAATAATTGAAGGAAAGGCTGAAACAACATCTTAGCGTTCGACTTTTGGAGTCATGAACTGGTGGAAATAGTCCTGTCCAGGTGGAGAATAGAGTACTTTTGACTGGATGGGGATTTCCTCAATTTTCTTTTGATCATCTGGTCAGCATGAAGTATTTAGAAAACTTCCAAGGTTGGAACTACAGCCCTATAAAGGATTTCGAAGGAATTCAGCCCCAAAGTAGGTGTTGGTACACCGGTGGGTATAGCAAGGTTGGTGAGAGGCTAACGCCCACTTCTGATACCTATCACAGGTAACGCTTTACGCCCCTATGATATCTGTGTGTCTTCTTGAAGTGGTTGTAAAGTCTGAGTTTCATTCTTAGCTTGCTATCTATTATAAAGTAACAATTTGATCATATGACTGCTTTGTTCCATATTCCAACAGTAGGATATTGAGACACTTTCCAAGGTTGGAACGACAGCCCAGCAAAGGATTCAGAAAGATTTCAGGCTATTTCCATGGATGCAGTAAATTTTATGAAATAGAGTGGATACAAACGGATACTATGGAGTAGGGTTGAGATCCTGAGTCTTATGTTAATGACTTCAGTACAAAGGCTTGCATATTAATGCAGAAACCTTGGAATAAATGGTCGTATTGGAATTAGTTATGATATGCTAGCTAGCACATGAAGCTATGGACCCTTGACCTGTCTATCCCACCAGAAAGACTCCCGAACCTAAACATAAAGTCTTCATACAACCTATACCCAGTAACCCGTATCCCAACCAGCCGAAAAAAATACAAATAATTCATAAAATTTCATGGGACACCCTTACAGTTTCGTTCCCTCACGTCCGCTATCGCTAGGTCTCCTAGGCCGAAGAGATCCTTGAGACGGACCAGCGCTGTTGTGACCAGAAGTTGACGAGGTAAAACGTGACCGGGCTCCTTCAATACCCTGAGTGCTAGCTGTATTAATGGGTTGAGGGATTCGGGGGCTCATGAGCCATTGTACCTGCATACGAACACTATTGAGAGCTGCGTTGGTGTGAGCCATATCCTCGTGGAGCCGCATACACTCAGTCATAATACTCATACTTGCGCGAGTATCTAAGTCTTTCAGGGCATGCCCAATCTGATTGACATCTTCACGCAGGGACTCATGGAGGGAGAGGAGGTATGTCGTGGGGTTTGGCGGTAGACTCGAAGAGCTGCTTGGATCTGAAACTTCCTCTGCATTGTACTCTGCACCTTGTTGATTGTGATTGTTTTCACTCTCGCCGGTGGAGCTTCTTCCGTTATGTTGACTTGTAATGCGTGAGGACTCAATCAACTTGGATTGGACGTTGGACATGCCATCTTGTAAAATTTCATTTCGCTCTTGAAGGTGGCGCATGTTCAATTCTAGAGAACTTATCCGGTTGTTTTGAGCTTCGAAGAATGGGACCATCTTCGCAAGCGGGCAGACTGTTTCGTGTGCTTCGATCACTGCTCGTCGAGTTTTGAACAAACACCCGCAGACGGATGCAGCACAAGGAGTTACAACTTCGGGACAAGTTGTAACATGGTCCTTTAGCTCTGACAGTGGCATTTTTGATCCACAGTCGCAAGTAGTTTCCCTGCTCGGACAGAGCTCCCTGTCATGATTCTAGCACGAATACAAAATCAGTATGGCCATCGCACTAGAGGATAGAAAGATTTACCTGAAAGTCTTGTTCCATAACATATGCAGAGCAGCGAGGGCATTTCAGGAAGTGATGAATGCATCCATCTGCTTGCTCCACATCCATATATCGAGCCGTAAGCAGGCAAGTGTCATCCGCACATGGCACAAGCCGGTATATGCAGTATTTCTCTACATGAGACTGGAGGTGACCACGCGGAACAAGCTCCTCACAGCCGTTTGTGACAAAGGGGCATCGAACGCGAATATCGTCGCACATGTTGATCAGAAGACGGGGTATATTTGTCGAGATTTGGGTGGAGGGGGTGCGGCAAGAGGGACACGGGAATTCGTCCGAGTCGGTCGACCGGAACGTGGTGATGGCCGATCGCAAGCAACTTTCGCAGAAAATGTGATCGCATTGTATTCGCACTGGCTGGACGAAAGGGCAGTGACAGATCGGACACTCAATGTGAGGGTCGTAGCTGGAAACAAAATCCAGGGAGCGGAGATCGATGAGCTCATTATCAGACTCGGTATCGTACTCAGCCGTCATGGCCAGGAACTCTTCGATATCCATGATGCGCGGGTATGTAGCGTCTTAAGGAAAGCCCATTAGAAACGTCACCTATTCCCGATGCATGGGTTTTTGGAATTGTTCGCGTCTCCAAATCGGTGCGGAGTGCGCCTCCGACTGCAGGTAGATGGAAAGTCGTAATTTAGATATCGAAGGCGAGTCAAAGGCACGGGGTAATAATGGAGTAGTTTCTAAATCAGATGCGATTTGCCCGAGGAAACATCCCGAAGAAAAGGAGTATTGAAGATCGGAAAGTAAATAGAGGAATGAAAGATTGCGGGGGACGAAGAAGAGGCTAAGCCGGAAACGACAGACCTGCGGCAGTTGGTTGTTGCAAGGTTGCCTAACCTCTCACCACTCTCATCCAGCATCTGCCTACCCTAATCGCCCTAATCAAACCCTTTATTACTATTTGTCAAAACCACTTGGATGCCCCTGCGTTGATCTTCCGTTCCTCCGGAATTTGATCACCTATTTTATTGCCCCAACACATCGGCTGATACCATCATGACAAATCCATCCCAGCTCTTTCTGCTCGCCGACCACATCAAATTATCGCTTCTAGAACGCCAACGCGCTATATCTCTAGACCTAGAGCCGAACGCACAAGATGGGGAGATATCTCGTTCCCTTGAGTCACTACAGGAAGGTATCCGAGCCGTAGAAGCCGAGCAGACCCGGTTAGCAGATTCCCACGACAGCGCAGGCGCCGCATCTGTGAAGGACCAACTCATCCCCCTGCAGGAGCAGCTAAGGGAACTTTCAGCTCAATTCTACGGCGATGACTACAGCCAGGATCTGACATCGAACACATCGCCCGATCTCAAACAACCCGTTCCACAACATCCTTCGTCCAAATCAGTGCGGTTCATGGATAGATCCGCCGCCGCCACCGCTGTACAAGAAGAGATTGATGAAGAAGAAGAACGCAGTCGTCAAAATCTTTTCCGACCGTACCGTGATGAGCCGTCACCTCCACCGGTAGACCAGTCCAATATGTCCAACGAGCAAATTCACGATCATCACAGCCAGGTCATGCGCGAACAGGATGATCATCTAGATCGGCTTGGGGAGTCGATCGGACGCCAGCATCAACTGAGTATTCAGATTGGAGATGAACTTGATGGACATGTTGCGTTACTGGACGGTATGGACGACGATGTTGAGCGTCACGCTGGTCGTTTGACTACTGCTAGGCGGCGACTGGACCGGTTCAGTCGCAAGGCTGGTGAGAATTGGAGTATGATGACTATTATTGGATTGATTATTATTCTTGTGATCTTAATCGTGATTTTGAAATAGATCGCAGCTTTAGTTGCGGTGTTGTATACGCTACTAGGATTGTGATTGTCGCGAGCGGGAGTCTTTGGTTTAATGGGATCGGTCTTTTCTGTTTTATAGTGGTTTCAGGGTGTCTGTCCAAGGATTCAATACTTTGCGTTCCCATCGTTATATCTAGCGTGTACATTCATGATTATTCCCTCTACAAAGCTCCTTTTCAGACCAAGAATAAGAAAATAATATATGCCTCGGTACTTTGTTCTCGGATGTTATCATTAAGTTATGTTCATGCAGGTACATGAGCTTGTATTCGTACTAATGAAGCAGCCCACACCATTGGAACTGATATCTAGAACTAGGTCTTCCATGTACTTCATTCATAGTTCATCCATGAAAGTCTCACTTTTGCTTCTTGATCTTCTTCTCAGTCTGTTGGAAGGCCTTATCAGTAGTACCGTGTTCTCCACGATCAGCCTTGATCTATAGAGCAAGGAATCATTTATTAGCTTCAGATATCACCTTCATTTCACAATCAAATTCACATACCTCAGCTTCACTATCACTAGCCAGAGTATCGTTCCATTGAGCCTTGCCTTCCTTAGCCTTTTTCAACTGAGCATCTTTACCTGCGTAAAGCTGTTAGCTTCCAACATCTCGGATATCACGACTCAATATGATAGTTGGTACAACTTACTCTTATCACTTTCCCCGGCCTTCAGGCTTCTCTGAGCTGATGTAGTGTGGAATGTAGAAGCTGAGCGGATGACATAGCTGGACTGTGCAAGGCGACAGGAACCAGTGCGAATGGAAGGGAGGAAAGACATTATGAACGGAGATGTGCAATTGGAGGAACAAGGCAACCTTGAGGAATTGCTAGCTATGAATATGAGGTTGTTTCTCGATGTTGTCAGATTGATGGGTTTTGTGAGAGAAGAATTGAAGATGAATGTAACTTCCTACGTTGATATTACACAATATACTGCTGACGTCACGGACACTCAATGATCGCATTTCCACGGTTGCGATCGTGATCGACATGGCCAACTTCTCCACGCTCGGGTATCTACAGTGAACATATGTCATGACATCATGAGATGTACAGCAGGGAAACGATGAGCAATGTAGGGACTCAAAAGGGTCTATTCTCCCTTCATAGGTGAGTTGCAACATACAGCCTGGACAGGGATCCAGGCTGAGATAGACTCAAGATCAAGAATGTACTGGAAATTCGTGTAGAAATCATGTCACGTCGATTCTTCAAGCGCATCGTATGAAAATAAACTTCATGAACATAAGGAATGTCAATAGAATGTCATATACATGAAAAGCAAAATAATGAGCATGCACAGCTTTTGTCAAAAGATGGCTCCCAATAAGTCATTAACGAAATTGAAACAAAGATGAACGTAGTCCAAGAAAAAAGTCGAAAGTAGAAAGTGAGCAGAAGAGTAGAAAGAATGGGTGAATAGATCTCAGTTAATCGACAACAGAATAATAAAATCCATTTTCAGCGCATATGGTGTATCGTACCCCCGGGATATCGATTTCACAGAAAACAACTCCGCATCCCACCAGAAGTAATGAGCATCGCTTGTCAACCATCTCCAAAGCCGATATACAGGAACCAGAAGACAGGTGCAAACAAAAGTAAAAGCAATAATAACAAAACCCCAGGTATTTCAACAGTGCCCAAGCAATGCAGACGTGTGTCGTTTCCGCCTCTAGTTCCTTGAAAATATGTGATATCCGTTCCACCCAACGACAAAACCCCAATAAAGCAAAGCAAATTCCAGGCAAAAAGCTGGAAAGAAAATCATTCAAGTAAGTCACAACTTAGGTAAGAAGGGCCCCGGTAATTACCTGCATTGCAAGCAACGCCCCTTCCGTCCCCAAAAAATAAAGAAATCAACTCCGGTCCACATGGACATGCACGTCAAGTAACAAGTCACAGCACACGTTCTATACATCATCGGTAGTCCAACCGAAAGAAACAGAGGCCAAAGAGAAGTCTCTCTCCGAGAGACGTAGGTATCGTTGGAGAAAAAAGAGAAAGAAAAGGGAGAGGGAAAGAGAAAGTTAATAAGGGAAAGGTAGTAGAGGTAGGGAATCAAATCGCAGGCTCCGTCGCTCGCAGCAAAGTGAGAAAAGCACATCGTAAGGAATCTAGATGTATGGCGAAAGAGGTCATAGATCGGGCAAATGGCGAGTGTAGTATGTACAAAAGCCGGATTTTCGAAATTTTCGGATTTTTTGAGGAGGATATTGAAGTTGACGGTTTGTAGAGCAAGAGGATTTTTTTTTCCGGATGTGGATCATATCGAAAATGCAATGTAGTCGTATCAGACAAGAATGCGAGAGAAGAAATTATAAGACCAAGAAATTAAGACTCCGATGATGCAGATAGACTCGTGTGACGTGCATAGAACATGCCGCTAGGGCGGAGAAGGAGCGCAAGCGCCGCGTATTTTTGGGGAACCGATCAAAGCCCTCACCAGCGGCGCTGGACAGTCTGCATCATGGCGGGAGAAATGGAAGAGGGTGGGCTGGCTAAAGTCATCCCAGTATTAGGATTAATGATAGGAATGACTTTGCGGGTCCGATTGGCAGAAGACTGTTGCCCGTAGTTGAGTTGATTAGGGTTACCAGAAATGCCCGCGTGGACATAAGCATTGGCAGAGGCGGGAGAAAGAGAGATTGAAGGAGTGACCTGTTGCACAGGCTGAATCTGGTGCTGCAAAGGCGAAGTGTTCGGTGATCCGCTAGATAGCGAAGATCTATCGGACGAGGCGGAGTGAATGGAATGAAGCTTCAGGGATGGTGTTAGTAAATGGATCTATCTTATCTATCTTTGAATTTCTAGTAAAGAGAGGGGTGCTATTTCTGGTGATAGGGGATATATCGCCATGTCAAGACATACATCGTCCTCAGTTAGGAGATTGGGGCAGAACTCCAAGTCATCATCCAGATCGAAAGATCGGCCGGCTTCGAATCTCGCACGGAAAGCTGTCACAGCGGGAGCCTCGGCGAGCTCTCGCATGCTCTTGACACCCCGGAATTGACGCTGAGGATTCTGAGCAGCCATTTTCGGGGCCCGACGAGACCGACCATGGTGATTATGTGAAGCCAAATGGGCACCATGGTGAGGGTGTTGTTGTTGTTGCTGGTGGTGGTGGTGGGTATACATAAAGGCAGACATCGTGACTATGAAATAGGACCAGCCAAGAAGGGAGATGATATGGAGAAAAGAGTAGAAAGGAAAATAAGATAAAAAGTCGACAAGTTTGCAGTTGGGGAACAATAAAAGAGAATTGAAGGTTGTGGGAAGAAGAGAAGGAGAGAAAAAGAGGGGTGATTTGGGGCTGATGGAAGAAGAATTGTAATGTATTGTCAGAAATACCATAGTCACTGTTTTTAAAGCCCTAGAAGGGAGTAATGAAATGGTAAGAAATGAAGTTTCAAGTATTGGCTGTGTTACCGTGAGGAAGTGGACTCACTGGCGCTAGCGAGTGGTCACGCACCAACCATAGCCATCGAAGTACTACACTCGGTGGCGAAACTTATATTCTTTTCATCCAATAATATTCCTTTAATGGAGCTTAATTGGCCCACTATTGAAATGCTGGTCGAGTAAAACCGTGACGTCTACGAGAAATGCCACTAACTACATGTGGAAAAGGGGAAAGGTAATTTGCCTTCTGTATTGTGTATGTGTTTTGTATCGTGTATTACTGCCCGATTACCAAGGCGTGTATTTACCCTTGATCTCAACTTTCCTCCCTTCTCCGTACAATTGTAGCAATCTCCCAATTTTAAACAGCCACTTCCCTACGTTCCTTCCCTTCGTTCCTTCGTACCTCTCCCATGTACCTAGAAAGAAACGGCATTCCGGAAGTAGGAGTGGAGAGGTTGGGGGGTTGGGAGATGCAAAGGTCATGTGCTATACGGAGTACATTCCCTCCAATACCTGGGGACTTGGTATGGATCGATGATCGACAATTCTCCTTCCAAAAATTCTTCAATCTTTCCACTGCGCCCATCGGCCAAAGGACCTTTTCCTTTCTCGAGGCCACGCCACGCTTTCTCTGCAGCTAGTATGAGATTCCTGTTATGATTGGATACCCCTCGATCCGATCTGTCACGACCCCATCTTCTTCCCCCCGAATTGGGAATCCCATCCTTGTGGAGTCCGCATTAGGAAAAAAATAATATCAATTATAGCCGCTGGACACTACTAAGCACTCGAGTTACATCTCCGTGACCCAAAACTTCATCAGGTTCCACAGTTGTGGCCACATCAGGGGGGATTCTATTGGTTTCATGTTCCTGAGTACTTAGTATCGGCGCCTACGGGAACATATACCCCTGCACTTTGTATGGACTACCTAGGTCTCAACTTGCATGTTCTTATCATGTATATAGTAGAAGGATTGCGTGTTCATAACTAAACCTTGGAATAATAGTCGTAAATATAACTAGGTAGTTACCTAGGCACGGCACGGAGTACGGAACACGCATTAATTGAGACACTCTACTTCTTTCTTCACCGCTCCTTCATGAGACTGTGGGTTGGAAATTCACTGCAACTAGGTGGGAGTCTTGGAAGTATATTTGACTTGCTATGCAGTGTTATGACCACCTGATGTGAGATCGGACCACAGGTGCAGGCACCGTTACTCGGTCCTTGAATCCTGCAGTCCATCCACGCTTACTTAAGTGTTATGTATGCATTTGGGTTTCCCGTCTGATCTTCGTATAAGCTGACTATTGGATACGCTAGTGGGGGCTTCCAAGAGTTACTTATTGTGTACGCAAGGGAGTTGTGATTTACATATGTTGTATCATTTTCAATGTACCTAGTGTACCGAAGGTGTGGATGTTGATGTGCTATTATAGACTTCCAACCTTGGAAGGTTCAACCTGCGCAAGGTTTATGTGTGTTAGTCCTTCGATATGGCCTAGGAACTTCGAATCGGAGTTGGTTTTAGATGTTTAAATGTGGCTACGGGAGTTCAGCAGTTCCAAGAGTTAATTTGGCATCCATCTAGGTACATTGAGGGAAAGTTGTTCTGAATGACAATTGGCACGTCCAATTGAATACGTCCGACATGAAAATTGAAGAAGGAAAGGGTTGGGTTCCCATTTTGGAGTCTAAAGATACAAAATAAGAATATCTTTCAAAACTAACTGGGGGCGATCAGTGGTCATATCGATACGGTCCTTCTCTCGCAGCAAATTGAGGGTCGGGGATTGGGAATATATGGTGTGCTGCGACGCAGTGAGCAACCCCTGCTGCCTCTTATCGCCAGATTTCCAACCGAACAGTAGTTCCCAGTTTACTCCGGGAGTACTTACGATGGTAAGAGCTCTTGCAATCTGGGTTCTCTCCGCATTTCTTCGACACTCTTATAATACGTTTGGGAGAATTCAGTCTCTACATAGAGGGAAGAGGGACATTCCCAGCGAAGTGCTCTGCGCACGGCGTGAGGTAAAGAGGGCATCCGATTTCTGCTTTCCTTGATGCAGCGCGTTTTGAAGATTACCTGCTGGGCTTCATGACTAATAAAAAAAAAGGGGTTATAATATAACAGCTTCGCTTGATCATCAGATGGTCGATAATCATCTGGATTGCAAGGTCTATGTGAAAGGAAGAAAAGAAGAGTGGGAAGTAGTCCAGTCTGTTTTTTTTTTGTACTCCAGACCTCAGAATCGGGGCCCACGTATCAGTCTGTAGACTCTTTATCCATATATAGGCCTCCACCTGGGCAAAATCGGAAGTGAGGTTGTAAGTGAGATAAAATGAGATCTAATATTAGAACTAGTGCACACATGCAAGGTACAGAACATCCTTGAGTCAATGTCATGCCCAGTTGGTAGAGAGATATAAACTAAGCCCGCTTTGAGTCCATGAAAGTGTTGAGATATTCATGAATTATGACTACTGAGATCGGATAAGAGCTTGCTGGAAATTTCCGGGCGTTTCATGATACTTAGAACTCGAGTGTTCGGGCAAGCAAGAGCGTCTTTGAAGCCGGGAAGAGGGTAATTCAGAGAAAAGGAGTGGAAGGTGAAAGATGGAATGTAGAAGGTGGAAGTAGAGCAGTGTACGTCAGTTGTTATGGAAGTTGAAAAAGGCCCAAAAGGGTATAGGGCCAAGCCCTGGTCTCGTGTTCGTCATCAAGGCAAAGATCTCCCCGGTTTACTTCCTCCTCACATCAAGCTTTATTTTGAAAGCGTGAACGCCCTACTAGCGTATTATATCACATTTGAATACTCTAGCACCCCAAACTATGCCGGGTCCGTGATCGCCAACTTTTTTCAACATGGCACCCGCCGAAACTAGTGATGAACGTGAAGAGCGAGTTGCCCGCCTCTGGGGCTCCTTGGACTCGCGTAAAGAAGGCCATATCGATGCGGCCGGTCTTAAGAAAGGCTTGAAAAAGATTGATCATCGTGAGTTTGCTGATCCCAGTCCCATGGCGAACTCTTCCGACTGACTCGGTCGCAGCCCTCAAAAACGCGGATGAAATGCTGCAGAACATTCTTTGTCAGGTTGACACCAATCGCGACGGAAAAATCGACTTTTCTGGTAAATTTTTGATAATACCCTCGAGCTTGGCGCATCCTCCGATCTAGTCCATTACTAAAATTCCCATCTATAGAATTCCGCTCATTCATCAACCGGACCGAGTCTGACCTATGCCAGATGTTCCATGCGATTGATCACGACAAAAATGGCGAAATCGACAAGTCCGAGCTGCGAAGTGCATTTGCTCAGTCTGGAGTGACGGTATCGAACGCGAATTTAGACAAATTTTTTGCTGAGGTTGACAAAAACAATGACGGGGCCATCTCTTACAACGAGTGGAGGTATTAATGCACTTTCCTAAGTTATGTAAATAATCGAAGCTTCAAGACTAACTGACACATAATTTAGGGACTTCCTCCTTTTCCTGCCCTTGCAATCGCCCACCGACTTCCATGCCCTGCTCTCATACTACTCGGCCACTGGCAATCTCAACCCTGAAGGCGATGTTCAAATCAACGATCTACACGACCTAGGTACTCATTCTTCCCTCCTCATTCATTTTCTCCTTATTATTGAAAGATTACTTTATAACACCTTCTCCCCCCAAATTCTTTTTCCCTCGGCCTTTGCGCATAACAACGTTTCAATGTCATCTTCGACTTGCCGGAGTGACATGACCGTGTGTGACGCTGAGTTCGATGTGGAATGGATCCCGATCCCGAAAACTCTCGCTCTTTGGATGTCGATACGGTCTTATGCTCGGAAATTGGCTGATAATTCGCCGCAACTAGGCTACTTCGCCGCCGGCGGCATCGCAGGTGTCGTATCTCGCACAGCCACTGCTCCACTTGATCGTCTGAAAGTCTACCTAATCGCTCAAACCGGCTACAAACGAACGGCTGCCCATGCGGCGAAGGATGGCTACCCACTCGTTGCAACCAAATCGTTGGTAATTGCGCTGAAAGAATTGTGGAAAGCTGGTGGTATCAAGAGTCTTTTCGCCGGTAATGGATTGAATGTCTGCAAAGTAATGCCTGAGTCTGCAATCAAATTCGGAGCATACGAGTCGGCGAAAAGAGCATTTGCCCGTCTTGAAGGACACAACGACACCAAACGACTTCTCCCGACTTCACAATTTTTGGCAGGTGGCATCGGTGGTATGGTCGCTCAATGCTTTGTCTACCCACTAGATACTTTGAAATTTCGCATGCAGTGTGAAACCGTCGCTGGTGGTTTGACAGGAAACAAGCTTATCGCCGAGACGGCCAGAAAGGTATGGAACGCAACTGGCTTTTGTGGCTTTTTCCGTGGACTGCCTCTCGGTCTTGTGGGCATGTTCCCTTACGCCGCGATTGATTTGAGTACATTTGAGTACCTCAAACGTGCTTTCATCGCCCGAGAAGCACGCAAGCTCAACTGCCATGAAAATGATGTTCCCCTCAACAACTATGCCACCGGAGCTATTGGTGCATTGAGTGGTGGTATGAGTGCATCTGTTGTCTACCCCATGAATGTGATCCGCACTCGATTGCAGGCTCAGGGCACTGTTTTACATCCGGTCACCTACACAGGCATTGGAGATGTCGCTCGCAAAACCCTGGCATCCGAAGGACCCCGCGGATTCTACAAGGGACTCACTCCCAATCTTCTCAAAGTTGCACCGGCCGTTTCCATCAGTTACGTGGTTTATGAGAACACGAAGCGATTGTTTGGACTAACATAATTCACTACCAAACTATTACCAAACCGGCGACATCTCTTTCAATACTCCGCAAACCGCGTGAACTTTTACAACTATTACCCATTTTTTACTGAAATATTTTATGCTTCGATTCTTCTGTCTCTCTAGAGAGACATGCTAGCCCATGATACCCAGGTGGGACATGCACGAGACTTTTGTTTTCCTGCTTGATATCCCAACCCTTTCGTTCCGCATTCCATAATTTCATCTTATGGATCTGATCTGATCTGACCAAGTTCATTTTCATTTTCACTCTCTTCTCGTTTTGCATTTTGGGCTCTCTTGCGTGTGAAATTATTCTTGAACATATGTAGCCTTTTGCTCTTTATGATTTACGACAATAGGGTGAACCTAAGCCTATTTAGTGTAAGCATGGGCAAGGCGTCGAGGCTTCCGGATCTCTCTTTCTTTTGTGTACATTGACGACTAGATTTCTTTATTTTTGGATATTCAACTCAAGTTGTATCCCTGGGCTAGAATGGGTCTACAGAGGGATCTCTGGTACGATTAGCATGCTAATAGAATTTGCATTTGACTTGTATAAAATTCAACGTTGACACTATTATAAATAATGCATTTTTTCCATCCGCACTTAAGCCTTCACAGCTCTGACCTCTTCATCCTTCGGCAAGATATCAGGCACAGGTCCAATAGGCGTAATAGCAAACTGGTTGATCTGCGTATGACTCTTTGTGTAATGGAATTTGATATGCTCAAATTGCGTCGTGTCCCGGAACGCCGGCAAATCCCAGTACAAACCACGCATCCAGCGGTGAATAGCAGGGTATCCAGAGCGAATATCCCGAATATTGCACTTGAAATGTTGCACATAGACAGGGTCAAAGCGAATGATGGTGGTGAAAAGCCGAATATCAGCTTCTGTCACCGAGTCGCCGAAGTAGTAGGGCGATGAAGTGAGTTGCTTGGTTAAATGGGCTTCGATCTTGTCGAGAGAGGAGAAGAGTGTTGTGACTGCTTTCTCGTAGGCCGCTTGCGTTGTTGCGAAGCCGGACTTGTATACGCCGTTGTTGACGTCGTTGTAGATCCATTCGTTGGATGCCTCTATTTCGGAGCGCAAGTCTTTTGGGAAGAGATCCAGCTGTTTGTACTGCTCTGGTAGGAGATCATCAAACTCGTAATAGAGCATGCGGATGATTTCAGCGCTCTTGGAACATGTTAGTTTGAAATTTGAAATTCTGTATGACTTTAGATTGAATTTACCTCGTTGCTCACGATCTTCTTCGTCTTCTTGTCGAAAAGAACCGGGACAGTGAAGCGGTCTGCATAATCTGGGTCATTGGAGAAGTAGACCTGGCGGATATGGGTGAATTCCGGGTGCACAGGGTCAGGAATAGTATTCTCGCCAGGAATCTTCTCGTCAGGTGTGGCAAAGCGCCATCCTAGGAACAGATATTAGACACATGGGGAAGACCTAGTTTCTGTATAGAATTGACTCACCCTTTTCACCCATGTGCCAGTGCACAGATGAGAAGGAAATAAAGTCGTTCAAGCCCTTGAGCTGGCGAGTAATCAACGTTCGATGAGCTGATAAATATGTGAGTTAGAGCGACTTCTGGAGCGACTGAATAAATAAGTGACCCTTAACTTACCCCAAGGACAAGCGTATGACACATAGAGATGGTAGCGTCCCTTTTCTGGTGGAAATTCCGCACCAGGCTCGCGCGAGATGAAGTCGCGAAACTTCGATTGCTGTCTTTTGAACTCGCCTGATTTGTCATTGCGGTTGACCCAGTCAGTGATCTTGGCAGAGCTTTCAGTCTAAAGATAATATCAAAGGTTAGCGCTTAAGTCAGAGATCGATATATCAAGATCTACACTCACTGCCATAGTTCGAGGTGCTGCAGGAAATCTGGGGTAGGAAGCTAATAAAAACCTCGAGCGGGGAATTGGAAATCTTGAGAGATGCTGTAGCAGCGGCGGACGTAAGAGAGCAAAAAGCATCAGCTAAATAGATGACCTTTTATAATTAAGAAAAAGGCAAGGAGGGGTTTTTTATCGGCGCGGGGAATGAATGACGTTCGGGCTTAATACAATGCTTACTCAGCCCTTATCAGCCTGGCCTCGGCTGCGTTACAAATCATCAGTTAAGCATTTGGAAGGAAAAATGCTGAATTGGTCAATTGAAGATTTGAAATCTAGTCTCGAAATCTAGTCTCGGCCCAGTTGTCGAACTTGTGCATAAAATCTACATCTTCCCCTAACCCGGTGACACTCGATTCGCTTTTAGAGCATTTGTTTATTTGGCCAGCTTGACCATCACGTACGGAATGTCAACATCCTCCTCAGTCTGGTCCTCTGCAGTCACCTCGAATATAATATTCTTCTGGTGATCAGGTACAGGGACCTTGCTAACGTGCTCAACGAGCTTGCTCATTCTGTGACAATGTTAGCCTGATTCTGTAGATAGTGCATAATTTTAAGACCTACTTGAGGGGAAGACGGTCCTTGACCTTGGCTGGAGGATAGAAGCTGGCATACAGCAAGCTCACACCAGAGCTGACCATAGTGATGTCCAAGCCCTTCTCGGCGAAATATTCCAAGAAATCCTGGAGAGGGATGTCGTCCACCTCGAAACGTTCCCAAAGTTGGTCAATGATGACCTCACCTTTCTTGCCCTGGTATTTACCCTTGGGACTAGCGAGCGGTTCACTGAAGCCAAAGAAGGGAAGAGCAATGTTGATGAAACCGTTCTTGTACTGTTCAATGTCATCCTTACCATCGACAATTTTGAAAAATTCTAAAGCCACCAGACCAGTCACCAGAGCAGTGGCGGTAGCGATAGCCGGAATGATCTTTCCAGCAATGAACTTAGTCTTGTGTCGGTCTGCCTGAGGAATTTCGTAGTTATCAGCACGGAGGTTGCTAGCCGCAGTGATAAAGTCGATGTGGTAGTTGCTGTCATCATCCTTCTCGAACTCGACAGGCTGGAGACGGAAACCAGCAAGAGATTTGGGAGATGGCAAAGCATTGACAAGACGTGAAATTTCATCACTATCGTCGGACCCGGCTGGTCGGGCGTTGGGATCTGGCTCCTTATCATCGGCTTGAATCTTGACGGTAGAGCTCGGGGTGAACTCAGGGATAATCATGTCATCGACAACCTTGTTGTAGTAGCTCTTTTCGGCACCAGGGTTTTTGATACCATAGTTGAACGCGTGGAGATTGGCGCCGGCAATGACAAATCCGATGTGAGCAGGGTTGGAGCCATCGAACTTCAAGGGAGTTGGTGCACGCTTGGGACCAGACCAGAAGGGCTGCCCAGAAGAGGTATTGGAGTCCCGGGGGAAATTGTACAGTAGCTGTTGAATTGCATTGTTATACTGCGCCTCAAACTGCTGGCGAGCCCAAACAATGCAGTCGTCAAAAGTCAAAGGCTTCTCAGTCACCAGGAAGTCGCGAAGATTTTCCAAAGTCTGCCTCTCATTGCCCGCTTGCTTAAGAGTCTTCTCAATGTAATCGGATTGAGATAGGTACATGTTCACCGACTCTGGGGGTCCAACAAAATAAGTTTGGAAAAGGTCGCGTGCCCAGGCAATTGTGTGCTCAATACGGTTTGGGAAACTCTTCAGCGTACACATAGGGAACGACTTCTCTGGGGGATCCTGAGAGCTGGAGTACGACTCAGTGATGAAAGGCAGGATAACCTGGATGTTACCCTTGGTACCGAGGGTACCACTCTCAAGTAGGGGCTTGCGGAAGAACACGCAGCGACGGTCGACGTAAGTACGAGCATCAACGTTATCTAAAGCGTTGGTAACGCCGTCTAGCTGGTTCCAAAAGTCCTCATTGAAGATGTGTTCAGTATCTTGTCCGACACGGTCACGCATAGTCACGATCTTGTCTTTCAGATCAGGGTTCATAGCCTGAACTGCAGCGGAAGCACATTCACTCTTCAGGCGACCAACATCCTTAGGGCGGAAAAGGAACTGGCGATTCAGGTTGCTTCTCTCGATCTGATCCATATCTGTGACGTAAATCTTACCCTTGGGACCAGTACCCAGGCCAATCATGGCCCAGTTCTTCAGAGTCTCACAGCCGATCGCACCGGCTCCTACCAGGAACTGGGTGACATTTGAGAGCTTCTCCTGGAACTCTTTACCGAAAACCGCAATTTGTCCATCGTAACGAGTACTAAGAGGCTTACAGCTTTCTTCCGAGCGAGTAGTTGAGGTTGGCAGAGACTCGAGAGAATCAAAGTACATAAACTGGTGTACAGGTTTGAACTTTCCAGATACGGCCTTTAGAATTTCTTGAGCGGCAACACCTCCGAAGAAAGCAGCTAGCGGGTTAAGGTCGCCACGGGCCTGGTAACTCAGCTCTGTAATCAGCTTCTCATCCAGTTTAACATCATCATCCTCTTTTGCAACGGACTCATTGGCTAGCTTGAGGATATCATTAGCTAGCTTGATGATGTCCTGGGCATCGCTATCATTATGCGGGCGAGGTAGCTGACCGTCATGGGTCTCTGCAAACTTGTGAAGGGCCTGAATACCGATGTGCAGTTGGATGGGGCGATCCATTTTAGCATAATCAGAAATCAGGAACTCTGGCTTCTTGATCTGCTCTGAGAGGGGCTGGAAGTCAACAAGCTTTGGCATTTTCGACTGAGTGTAGATACCGCCACTCTTGTAAGAGCCAAGGCCAGACACATCGCCAATAGTAAAAGTGTAAGGGCCCTTCACAGTAATCTTGCGAGGGGCACTGTTGTTTAACTTGTCCATGCCCTTGACCTCGGTGAAAGTCACGAAATCACCATCCTCCAAACCGTGCCGAGTCTCGTCCAAGGCGGAAACCAGACCATCTTCATCAATATCGGCAACAATACCACTGGCTGGCTCCTCACCAGTAGTATCACCAACAATGAAACTCTTTCCGAAATCGTTGAAGATGTAGCCAAAAAGGCCGAAAGTATCAGTGATTGTAATATAGATTCCATTTTTGTGGCAGAAATCCGCAATGATCAATTGCTCCTTCAGAGGTGTCAAAGTCAAAACTATTGCCTGATACTTCTTGAGCTGCTCCAGATCATCTACAAGACTCGCACCCTCGTGGATTGTGACTGGGACATATGAATTGAGCTCGGCGACTCGGGGTGCGGTGACCTCAGCGCGCGGTTTGCCGACATCTTGAGACTGGAGGAAGAATTGGGACGAAAGATCGGAGATAGCAACGGGTGCGGGGTCGAAAAGGGTAAGGGACTTGACGCCTGCGAGTGCAATGTTCTTGGCTAGAGAAGTGAATCAGTTAGATCTGGCATGATATTGCCAATAAATGTCGTGTTGCATACCAATTTCGACTCCTAGGCCCTTTAGGCCTACCACTAGAACATTCGACTTGCCCATACGTTTCATGGCCTCGTGGCCGAGAACGTACCTATGAAGAACTTAGATTCCATCCTTACCATTTCAAACCAGATTTGAAGGTGGGCTCACAGTTGTCGACTGTACAGGGACTCATCGATTTCCCCCTGTTTGATCAGCTCCACAGTCTCATGTGGACTGTCGATTTGCATTGCAGAGTCCTGAGAGGGCTCAAGTCGGTCAGTGGAAATATCGCTTTCGCTCGCTGGAACAAAACATACTGCCATGATCTTCTTCTTGGGCCGAGAGGCAATATCGTCTTCAGACGCTCTGCGCTTTTTCTTAGCTGCTTCACGAACAGCAATATTGGAAGGAATGATGAAAACCAAAGGGTGAAAGCCTTGCTCAACGAGCAAGACCTTCGACAGTGCTTAGATAAAACAAGTGGTAACTGACAGCGTACCAGGTACCTGGACCTATCTTGAATAGGCGATAGCAAATAATGAAAAATGCGGTTGTAAGGGTGGGAATGCAGATTTACAAAGAAATCAAATGTGTGTAAGAAGTAAGTAAAAAGAGGCAAGGGTGAATCGGTGAAGTGGAGGAGCATCGACGTAACCAGTTGGAAAGGCGGGACAAAGCTACAGCTGACTAATGCCCCGCAGTAGATGGTGTCAGGGCAATTTACTCCATGTGGCGGCTACAAGCGGTCAGTATTTATTAATTCTGATGATTTGAATACAAATACGACTATTCTAGGGTTACTCCGCACATTAAGCGAACTGAAAAAAGAAATGAGTCGAATCTAAGTCCTTTGAAGGCCTGGTCTTGAAATCACCTCGTCGTCAACGCGTCAACAAACCGCGCTTTTCATGTGTCGTTTCGAGCTTTTTGGGCGTGGCTTACTGTACTGGCAGCGGCATAACCCTGAAGCTGAGAGACAGCCCTCAAGGTAAGCTGTAGATTCATCTTCTGTCATCTGTTTGAAGATCACCAACGTCTTTCAGACCCAAAACCCTCGAACCAGGATGCTTCACGAGATCATCCTCTCCCTCTCCGGCCAAATATCTCCCCTTTTCAGCTCGCAAGGGAAAGATACCCTTACTCAAGATGACTTTACCCTTCTCTCTCCACCGGAAAAAGCCCTCCTTGGATCTGTTGCCCATCTAAGCCAGCTTCATGCGCAGCTGCGCGCCCACACCTCCCAAATATCCTCCTCACATTCATCGGTGATATGCCGCTCCGTCTCGACAGCCATAGTCACAACTCATCTAGGAAGATTTCAGAAAAAAATCCTCGAGGTGGAGAAGGCCATTCTTGCCAAAGACAACTTGTATGTTGGTGGCTATGGCATCGTTCCACTGTCCACTATCGTCGGTGAATTTTCACCCTGGACTCGCCGTTTAGAGTGGCTCTGGGATGTGGCAAAATACATACAACCAGAAATTAATGACCCAGGGCGCCCAGGTGGTTGCTCAGGCGCAAATCTCATCAACTATCTTCGAGTGGAACTGCAAACGGGATACACAGATATTAAGGAGATTGCAACACAATTAGTGGCTACGGCAGAAACAGCCTGGATGAAACAGCTGTCTATGTGGCTTCTGTACGGGAATCTTCCAATGTACGGGAAATGTGATTTCTTCGTCCAAGAAGATCTCGAAAGTGAGGACGACGATACCCAGTTCGGTATGCGCATGGACCTACTTCCAAAGTTTGTCTCTGCACACACAGCAGGATCCATTCTATTCATAGGAAAATCGCTTAATCACATCCGCGCAAAACGAAAGATCTCTAAGGGAATATCAACTGCGCCGGTGACTTTGTATAAGGAGCACATTGAACAACTAGCCGGGTTGAAGTCACCTATGTCGTCCTCTAGACTCACCACGGCTGTGGACTGGATTAGACTATCACTATCTCAGTCGACCCTATCAAAACTGCTCCCTTTGCCCAAGATCCTTGAGATGCTTACGTTGCTCCACGATTTCCTTCTACTAGGCCGAGGCGAATTTGCCGTAGCACTAGTGCTGCATGCTGATGCTTGCATTGAGGAGAGTCGCCAACGTATGCAAGGGTCCCGAAATCGGGTCTCCGGGGGACTTGATGGAATTCTCATCAAGGAAGGAGATGTCAATGCCTCCTTATCACACGCATGGACAGAACTCGTCTCTCTACAAAAAGAAGAGGATCCAGCCGACGAGGAGATGGAGCTAGCCAGAGAGCTACTTCGGCTGTCAATCAGCGATACAAAACTTGCTCGTGCGGCAACCCCATTCGGCGGCCGTAGTGGATTACCTGAGATATCGACCGTCTCATTTGAAGACTTGTTGTTTCCGACACCAACCTGCCTGACTGCGCAAGTTAGAGCTCCTTTGGACCTTTTTCTTTCAAGCTCTGATTTAAAAACTTATTCGAAGATCCATTCATATCTGCTGGGAGTTCGACGAGCACAGATGCGGCTTGGAGATCTATGGAAACGGACCTCATTGCGGAGAAATCACCCCACTCCATGGGGACCACCGCGAAGCAACAGTCAGTTTGGCCAGAATAGATTGAGGGCGACACGAGAAAGAGACAACGCTCGCGTCAAACAGATGCGTCCCATCTGGGCAACCGGCAGTGCTTGCTTATTTGTTCTCTCCCAGATTGGTGGATTTTTCCAAGGCGAAGTCGTAAACGAGTCATGGCAACACCTCCGTGAGTGGATTCAAGGAAGTCCAGAACCGACTGCATCGGTATCTAGCTCCCGACCGGGCACCGCCTCTTCATTGAAGCCGCAAAATAACTCACAGGACTACTTGGATCATGAGTCTAGTCAACCGTTATCCCAAGCTGGTCCCTCTACCATGGGTCGGCATGACCCTGAAGCTTTAACGGTAGCTCATCAACGCCATCTATCCACCTTGGTTCACTCATTATTTTTGACCGATGTACCCTTTACTAGCGCGCTTCGGGCCCTACTCACAAGCGTTGATAGTTTTGTGGCATTAGCAATTCGACTTGAGGCGATCCAGCGGAACATGGACCTCGAGACAGATGAGGGCGTTGTGGACGCTCTGGTAGACTACGCCCAGGAAGAGCTAGCAGTCTGGCAAGAGCTACGTGCTATTCGCGACGATGTCCAGATGGGGATCAAGGACCTTGTTGCGAGCTTGCGTGACATTGATGATCACCGCGGGCTTGGCCTGACAGCTCATTCCAACCAAATGTGGACGGGAGCACGACCTTATGCTGGTACAGGATCAGAGTCTGGGTTCAGACACTATGTGCCGCGCCAGACAGCGGGAGTAGACCGACTGCTGATGAAACTAGACTTTGGAAGCTTGCGAAACTAGATTTGGGAGCAGGCGAAACGTTGAAAAGCTCGATGATTACATGAGGATAGGTATAAAGGGCGCATTGGCTCAATTCTCGCTTCACGGTTTAATAATTGCTATGGTGTTGAATTCCAGGGCGTTTCCATGGCATTCTTGTAGGATTGGCGTTATAGGAAATATTCCACAGAGCTACGGGATGGAATTGGATACTCTTAGCTTACCTGCTATTTTCCAAGGTTGCATATCTATTATCAAAAGTTTCCAATTTCGACCAAATTAGCTAATGGAAATTGGATAATAAATATCGACGAACTATCACTAGTTAACTAACAAAGAGAGGCTATCAGACCTTGATGTGTTCGGGCAGAAGTCCACATATCAATTACTTGACCATATATCACCGATCCATGAAGCTTCCTACTTTTCCGAGTTTTATATTCTATTTCAATTCCATTATTCCAACGTTCCAAGGTTCTTATTCTATTGCCTTCGGTAAATTCTGACAGCCCTGCACCTGGGCAGTTGCAGACTTTACTCGACCTTGACAATCTTTCCTGTCTCAACTTCATAGATATACCCGGTGACTGGGACATCCAATACAAGTGGACTATCCTTCACCAACTTAATGTCATCCAGAACACTCTGGCGCACATCGTTGAAAGGGAGGAAGGCAACGTGGTCGACATTCTGCTTTAGTTCTTGGCGGACTTTGTCACGGATCGACTCGTCAGTGAATGTAAGCATTCCACAGTCGGTCTGTATATCCCAATAGTCAGCACAATCAGCCGCTTGAGGTCTCGTTTGGGAAAGAGGTAAAGAGTTCTGGAAACTTGACTTATACGTACGTGGTGCACAATGATGATCTCTCGAGTACCGAGCAGTTGTTGAGAGATGACAAGACTGCGCAAAGCATCCGTCACACGTCCACCTGCATTTCGGATGACATGGGCGTCACCTTCCTCAAGACCAAGGGCACGAGCAGTGTCTTTTTTGTTGTTAGTTGGGGGAACTAGTGGGGTTGTGGGGTGAACCTTACCAAGGCGAGCGTCCATGCATGCTACAATGGCGACCTTTCTTATTGCAATATCCAGGTCAGTTCATAGTTCCACAGGAGGTTAAACACAATATGAAAATGAAATGCCCTACCGAGCAGGAGGAAGAGGGAGATCTCCCTTTGTAAAGGCGGCAGCGTATTTGGCGTTAGCGGCCTCGGCTTCTTGGGCGACAGACATGGTGATGTCGAGAATTATATTGAGGAATTGAAGAATTTAAATGGAATGACTGATAAGATGAAGTTCTTGTTCTTCTTGATGTCCTTGGTTTAATAGAGATGACGCTTAGATATAAAGACAACACCCTCCAGATGTCATCCTACCCGTCGATGATGTGATTTAAGGGATACTCCACATTAACGTGAATCCCGGAACAGATAGCTCTGGAGGGTATGAGTTTATCCGATCCTCGATGAGAAACTAATCAATAGAATTTGAAAGTATCTCAAATGTTTGGTTCCGTTGAAATGCGCAAGACAAACTCCATGTAACTCCCAGAATTGGAAATTTGGCCCCGTGAATGGGCTGCTGTAAGATTGATAAATTGCTTAACAAGACACCATCGCGGGCATATAAAAAGTAACAACATGATAGTGAGAACTCCTGTGGGAGATTTCTAACACGCCATCGAGGAATATGGATCTATGGCAGTGGAGTCATTCTAAAGCATCTTTAGCCCCGACCAGTTCGAATTGTGTCAACTTAGTTAATTTGATAGAGTATTGGAAAGTCATTTGAAAGAAAGAACGTGCACTATCAGCCTTGAAACTTCAATCTCGAGTGACAAGAACATCTATATCAGCGACTAAGCCATCGACAATCCGTAGTCCTCAGCGGGATCCGATCCTATAAACTGGATTTCTAGACAAATTCAAGTCTTTCAATGTAACGCCTATTGGAAGTTAATTCCAGACTCTTTGACTGAACGAAATTCTCAAGTGTGATGAGCAAATTCGCGATCTTGAAGCACTAGGTTTGTGATTTCCTAGAAGATGTATAATTATTGATACCTGTCTCTCTGACGACTGCACTTAGCTTCACAACGTGAAGTCCTCTTTTTGAGGCCAAAATATTGACAATGAAGGCATCAAGGTGCTGGCAAACAAGATCGAAGAATTTACTGGTCGACGCAAGGAGTCTGGCCTTAACATACCGCTAAGTAGCAAAGATGATGTGAAGAACCACGACGAGAGAAATGACAATGATAATGAGGTAAAAAAAAGATACATCAATGATGCGATCAAAAAATTCCGCTCTAAAAGTTATATAGTGCGAAAAGAAGACTATGATAGCCGGTTTCTTGTACCGCTCCCTAAGCTAGCAAGCTATCTTTGGCATTCCGAGTATGTTCAGTCCAGTTCAAACTTTGGAATTCAGCCCATTGAAACTATATTCAAAGCACCTTGGCATCACATTCGAGCATATTCCTTCTGTCTCAAGAGTCATGAAGCAATCACCCAAAACCGAGGCAACCCCGAGAATCGGGAACTTGATTTCGAAACCATCCAGTCAGACAATACTTGAGTCCTCGAAGGAAGTTTATCACTAACACTCAATATTTAGCCCAGTTGTTCGAGCTGATCTTGTTACTGGGTGATTACTTCGCAGCAGATCAACAGATTTACGATAGAAAAACCAGTGGTCTCACAGACAGAGAGGAAGAGATTCTTAAGCGATACTGTAAGGATATCGCTGATACTTGATTTCCAAGGTTGAAAGCCTAAGGTGAATGCTGAATTCTTTCAAGTGTTTCAGTTGGTCATTGAAAATCACGACTTTCAATGTCGATTCAAGTGGAACTCGGAGACCTGATGATTTGGGATAAGGCCCAAAGTCATTTCCTCGACGTATGGACACATAAATAATGATCAAACTTCCTGTCGATCAACTTTCCATATTTCTACAAAGTAAGTAGACCTTGTTGTTTCAATATTTTGTGTCACGATCACAGACTAACAGGTGACTATGGTGATTACGAGGGCAAACACAAGTTGATCTGAATCACTTCAATTGGCGAGAAGCCCTACTTTGATGTCAACTTTGAATCTAGGACTCGAGAGCTCCGTATAAAAGAGTACAAGCTGACTATTGAGACTGAAGTAAACGAGAAGCGTGTCTGGCTTGATTAGAGCTGATACTGTGACTTTGAGGTTCAATGCACCTTTTTAGTCCTGAGGCCGGGTTCGGTCCAGATCGTGACGCTTCAAATGAATCGACTTCTATTGAGTAAATCCATGAATAAATAGGTATCTATGTAGTACATATGAAAAGATTTCCGTATCAAGATAAGAATTGTTTATCTACCTGCCTAATTAGCTGAGTAGTCCTTGCCAAAAGAGTCGGAGTAAGAGTATGGCTGCGAACCAAGGAACAAGGTTACCCGATTTAGATATTCTGGGCTGTTTCACTACAGCGCCACCGATTCACCCCCACTAAATGCTAACATAAAAATAAACGGGCAGTCAACTGACCTCTATGATGCCCAGACCCGGTTTGCGGCTGTGAAAGACCAATTTTGAATTTTGTGACTGCCTCTTATATCAAACCTTCACGGAGCAAGGTTTTGATTTCTAGCGCAGCTATACTAATTACTTCGAGATATCTGATCATTCTAAGAAAGACATCAAATTCCAGAGTCTTAAAACATCACTTTATTTGTCTTGAGACGCCATGTTTAGTTCACGGCCTGTTTCTCTGCAGTGGCAAGGCTTTCGTATCTAACCGTGGATGACCCTGGTTCGATGTCTGGTTGGAGCTTGCCAGGTTTATAGTCACGCGCATCTTTATTTGTCTCTGTTCATGTTCTTACTTGCATTTTGGCCTGTGGCAACATACCTTAGTTGCTATTATTTGAAAATCATACTCTCATTGCCTATATTGTGGTTGGGGCGGCTTGTTGTAACTTAGCGTTGTACTCATTCTAGGTATCTGCGCCTGATTGTTTATCATCTATCAAACTAATACTGCCACTTTCTAAAGCATCATCACCTGATAATGAATAAGCTTGAAAGCGGTCAACTTATTATCTTTGATAATAAATAATAAATATTGAGGCGCAGACACCACTTACATTAACCTTGAAAGTTGCTACAGAACAAGTCCATCTTTATCATCCCACTCTTCATCCTCCAATTGAAAAAGACTCATAAGAATCATAACCTACCATGACTTTTCTTCTCACTCGACAATTGGCCTTGGCCCGATCACGGTTCGCCGGTGCTGTTGCAGCTCCCGGCGTTCTTGCATCATCCGCACGACTTTATTCAGCCACCAAAACCGCATTCGGTCCACAGGATATTCAAAACAATGACTACATCCTGTCCGGGCTTCCAATTCAGTGTAATCCCAACCCTTTCCATGATTTCAACATGGAGGGCAGAGTTTATGCTATCACTGGTGGTGGACGAGGATTGGGACTGTCGATGGCCGAGGCACTGATCGATGCTGGCGCAAAGGGTGCTTACCTTCCAAATATCAATCCCATGCTGTAAATTCAATACTGAGATCAGCTATTTAGTTCACTGCCTCGATCGACTGAAAACTCCTCACTCAGACTTCATGACTGCAAAGGGCCGAGCAAAGGAGCATGGCGGCTGCTTGGAGTATCATCGGGTCGATATCCGGAATAACGAAGAATTGAATGGAATCTTTGCAACCATTGCCACTCAGCACAAACGCCTTGACGGTCTTATCGCTGCAGCTGGTATCAATAACCTCCAGTGCGCGCTAGAGCACTCTCAGCAAGCTCTGAGCGATGTCATGTCGACCAACTACACTGGTGTTTTCAACTCAGCAACCGCCGCTGCTCGCCAGATGATTAACTATGAGCAGAGGGGCTCTATCCTCCTAGTGGCTAGCATGAGCGGTCTGATTGCCAACAAGGGCATGGAATCACCCGTTTACAACTCTTCCAAAGCTGCCGTTATTCAGCTTGCCCGCTCCCTTGCTATGGAGTGGGGTCGTCATGGAATTCGTGTGAATAGTCTCTGCCCGGGCCATATCCTTACCCCTATGGTTGAAGATGTGTTCAAGCTAAATTCTGCTACACGTGCCCTCTGGGAAAAGGAGAATATGCTCGGTCGTCTTGCAATGCCCGAGGAATTCAGAGGTGCTGCCCTCTTTGCCCTTTCTGATGCTAGCAGCTTCATGACCGGGAGCACTTTGGTTATCGATGGTGGCCATACCGCATGGTAAACACTGATGGATTGATTAAGTGGTTTACGACAACAGCGTTTTATTTTCAAACATCACCAAGGTTTTTGAGGCTTTAGATGGAAAATTCACCTAATAAGAAATAATACATTAAAATCATCAATTCTGAGGATGTAGCTTTTAGGTCAGTAGACCGTACATTTAACTATATTTTTCTTGCTTTATTAACCATCAACAACATCATCGCGACAGAATTGGAGATGATAAGAGATAAAGACGATAAGGACCGATCCACCCGAAATGGCCAAGTGACCCACGTGCTTATATTACATAATACATTCGAGTCCTGAAATCTACATGCTACAAGCTCTCAAGTATACTTACGGTATCGTATCATCCCAAAAGAGCTGATTTTGCTCAGATGGAGATCCAAGGATCAATAGACTCACAGTGAGCCTTGAAAATTCTTTCGTGCCGCGATTAAAGCCAAGATGTCAATTCGCCTAACCCCGATCCTTACCCCCTCCGGCTCCGATTCCAGTACCTCGAACTCCCGATATACTCCCGTGTCCAATGGCTCGGATGAAGACATCCATGTACCCAGACCTGAGAAACCACGTGCGGGGTCGCTGAGAGTGCAGACCAATTTCGAGGAAAACACCGTTGAAGCACCTGTTTCGGATATTGAAGACAGAGATGCATACGACTCAGACACGGAGCTGCAAAAAAGGCCTCGGCGGGAGGAATCAGCTCCAAAATTTACACTGGAAGAAGAGAAGGAAGTGGTGAAGATCTTCGATCGGAGACTAATACCATTCCTAGCCCTTCTTTATTTGCTGTCTTTTCTGGATCGCTCCAGTACGTAAACTTTCTTTGTCCTCTACCTGTAGACCTCCTTTGATCTATTTACTTATCTCAGAAATCAGATATTGGTAATGCAAAGATTGCCGGGCTGGAGGAAGACCTCAATCTCTCTTCCTCGCAGTATGAATGGCTACTGACTGCATTCTATGTCACATACATCATCTTTGAATGGATGACGCTGATGTACCGCGTTGTTCCCCCACACATTTACATTTCTCTATGTGTATGCGGATGGGGTCTAGTGGCATCCTTTCAAAGTCTAGCAACCTCCTTCGGAGGCTTGGTTGTCCTCCGTGCCTTGCTCGGGATTACCGAAGCAGCATTCGGTCCGGGAGTCCCCTTCTACTTATCGCTGTTTTATCAGCGTCACGAACTAGCTTTTAGGAACGGGCTTTTCATCTCTGCAGCTCCTTTAGCAACATCATTTGCCAGCAGTCTCGCTTGGCTGATCGTCAAATGTAGCAGCGATGGCCCAATCTCTCCATGGCGGACCCTTTTCTTGGTTGAGGGGTTTCCGAGCGTGGTTGTGGCCGTCTTTGCCTGGTTTCTTATCCCAGACTCCCCCGGTAAAGCCCGATTCCTCACTCGCAGACAGAGAGTGGTGGCTCGTCTGCGGCTCGGAGAGAGCAAGTCAGACTATCAGCATACTAGGGGAGGACGGTTCAACTGGCAGGAAATTTGGAAAATAGCCTCTGATCCGAAGGCATACATCGCAGCTGTAAGTTTGACTCTTCTCATGATATTAGCACATGTCTTACCATATCATTATCATTTAGGCCATGTTCTTCAGTTGCAATGTTGCTTTTAGCTCTATGCCGGTGTTTCTTCCCACCATCATCAAAGAGTGAATGACTTCCAACCCCGTCAAACCAATCCAATGCTGACACTCTTCTCAGTATGGGATATTCTGCCGTCCAGTCACAAGCTCTTTCAGCTCCACCGTACCTTGTCGCATTTATTGTTGTCCTTCTCACAGCATACGCATCAGACCGTAGCCGCTCCCGAAGCCCATACTTGATTGCCCACGCGGTTGTGTCTTCGGTATCATATCTCACAATTGCAGCCACGGGCCACTTTCACGACCGGCTGTCGCCAGAATTACACACATTTATACGGTACATCTGCGTTTACCCCGCAGTATCCGGGTTCTTTTCGGCCATCACACTGATAATCACATGGTCAATGGATAACCGTGTGGAGAAAGAAGGTAAAGGCGCTAGTATCGCCATCCTGAATATTATCGGGCAGTGTGGGCCCTTACTTGGGACGAGACTATATCCCGCATCTGAGGGGCCCTGGTACGTCCGTGGTATGATGACTTGTTCAGTCTTCATGATTGTCGTAGCCATCTTAGCTTTGATTTTGCGGATCCTCCTTCAACGGTCAAACCGGGCAAGCCGTCCTGGTACCACCATGTATAGTGTTGACAATACTGGATCTGCAGATCAAGGCGAAGAGCAGGATGGCCTCATGGGCACTGGCCGTAGGAATGACTTGGAGAATCATTCAGGGGATCAGCGATTCGTGTTTATCATTTGATTTCAAATGAGTGCGTCAGTAGATCTAGAAATCTGGAATCTACGTACAATATTCTCGTAAGCTTAGTTACTGATTGCTTAGATATGAAGGATTTATCAGAATTAAATGAAGAGCAGAACATTTCCCTCTCCCTCTCCTTCTCATGTCGAGACTAAGAAAGCTGAGCCCACGCCATGTGTGCCCTCCTAGTCAATGAGGATATCCAAGATGGTGGGGTCAGAGATCATATATGAACACCTCTGTAGGCTTATAGCCGTGGTTTAAAATAGAGATAAGAAATAAGGAGGAACTGTTAGGTGATAAGTCCAGCGACCCAAGTATGGCAGGAAGTCGACAATGCCAGTGTAGGACTATCAGTCAATGGTATCCACGGACTTCGAAACAGTCCCGAGGCTAGCAACGATAACGTGTATATAGAGTCAATGGACACACCATAAACCGCGTGCGATCAGTCTAATGATGATCAACCCAAAGCCCACTTGCACAGTTCGTGCGAAAAAGAACATTTTGGTGTGTTTGACCCGAAGATGACAATGATAGGTTGGTTTTATTGCATGCTGGCTGTGAAGGGTTATAAGGGCCAGGCCGCCTGTTTATTGACGCAGAACTTCTCGTTGAACAGTTGAAAATCTTCATCCAAAGCTAAGATGAGAGATTCCTCTGTACATGCGCGCCTATTGTTGCTTTGAAGTTAGTTTTTTAAGTAGCTGTCGCTCGTCACTGAGAACAGTGAGCTCCAACGAACCACTACTCAACACCGTAGAAAACCCACCGGGTGTAGTGGATTCTACGATACTGAATATTGCGGTTGTTGTGAAGTCTGCTTTTTCATTGATGAAAGAACTAGCTACTTATAGTATATGGGTGCCCCTCTGCCCTGGACGAATGTTGACATTCGTCCGAGACAGAAGAGACGGTGAAGACGGGATATTACTGTCGCGAATGCACATCGCTCAAGGGTGTCGTTTGCGATGAATGCATATCGTTCAAGGATGCCGTGATATACTAATCTAGTTCCAGATTCACTGTCTTGGCAGAAGCTTTTTCGGCCGAAATACTTTCCGTCTGTTGATGGCCTTGTTTCTCGGCTGTCGCAACAGTAGCTCAATTAACAATGACACCGAAGAATTGCGTTTTACCAGTCACGTCCACGCCAAACATAGGGCCACTTTGCCTCAGGATAGAGTGGCCAATCACATTTTAGCACAAGGCAACAATAGAGATATAGACCGTATATCAAATCCATGATCATCTGAGATAGATGTAGAAGGATGACTATAGAATCACTCCACTTCATCTCTTGCTAACTCCCTATAGTCATCTGTGTCACTAGACAGTAGTTGTAAGTTGAAAAACAACTAGAAGAAAGGTGAAAGGAAGGTGGATAGTGAGTAGGATGCCGAATACCCAGCTAAACTTGGAAGAGAATGAATATATTCTAGTCTGGCTATAGGTCTCTTCATATGGTTTTTATCAAGTTGTTTGAGACGCTACACATATCAAGATATGATCGATATATAGAAGTGAAATAGGCAGTCCATAATGAATGTTGTAGAAGGAAGAAACGGGGAGAGTGGAAGCAGCCTAGACTCCAACCATGTTGATTCTCAGTGGAGCGTGAGAAAGTAAGGGCAACCCTCCCCCTATCTGTAGATATAAGAAGGAACCTTGGAAAGGAAGAGGATTGAAGTAGCCCACTCTATCTTTATATACCCACCTAGGCAAGATTCTGAAGTCATATGCTATTTCACCAGACCTCTGGAATCTGTTGTTACCTATGTCATCCAGATTTATTAAAAAAGATATATGGATAAATAGATACGATTCAATATGTTCGGCGAACGAAATTGGTTAATGAACGTGATAATGGCCAGTCATTATTCTCTTAGACCGGGTATTAAGGTAAAAATCCGTGAGCTTCAATGGCTCAGTTTCTCTCCTTCCAGATTCGATTCACTTCATTAATCAAAACCTGGGGCTTACCACCCTCGCCATTCTGGACACAATCCTTCCACACACCGCCATCACGAACGCACCAGACTTTCTCATCCAGTCGTACAGTGCAGCTGACCTTGACCCCAAGCTCCTGACCACGGATTGCATCCTCTCGCAAGAATGCAATTCCGCTAAGTGGAGGGGCCCCATCTGGCCCATCATCGGGATCATCACTCTGCTGACTAGCACACTTGTTCAGAGCATTGAAATCAATTCCATGCTCCAGTGCACACTGCTGGACAAAATCCCGTTGTGGAATGCGAGAATAGTCATTGATAAGACAGTTTGCAAATCCCAGTGACCGAATGATTGGGGTATGGGGGTATGTTTGAGGCAGAAGTGATTCGTCCTCTGCTGCGGGGAAGGGCAGGTTGGCTGCGCAGAGCATAAGGATGTCACCGATGCACTCTTCCGGGCCGTGTTTGCATTGGATATCGGGAGAGTCTTTGGACGCACTTTTTAAATCAATATGTCAACAGAGCGCTAATAATGAGAGTTTTAAAAAAAAGGAATAGACCCACGTTGCGATGAAAGAAAGTCGGAAGTCAACCTTGTCACTAATTTGCTCCATGGCTGGTAGAATAAGTTCTTGAAGGCATTCTTGAGCGTCTGGGCATTTGCTCATAATGTGTGCCTCAAGGGGAATCTTAGACAGTGCAACGGGTGCAGGAGATGCACTAGGACCCGGGTGGTGAATGGATAGAAGTTGTTGCACTTCAAGGTTTTTGTCATTTTGCGGGTAGGTCTGAATGGTTGAGTCTAAGCTCAAGCCAGAGACAATAGAAATACCATGATGAGATGGATGTGCAGTGCAAGAGTCACAAGTTGTAGGTGGATTTCTTAGAATGCGAAGCACATAAAACGAGCCAAGACAAAAGCAGATAAGGATTAGGAGGCGTCTGAAGGAAATAACTTGACAAGAGCGCTGTCGAGATAAGGGCTTGTTGAATCTGACATCCTCAAGGACATCAGATCTGTGAACAGGGAGCTTCTCCATGATGCCTGGGTAAAAGGTGTGCTGACGTCGACGTTAATGAGATGTAGTTAGTGGATCATATTTACGTAAGAATCTAGATAATCTGACTACGGTCTTCTTTATAGACTAAGAGTGCAATTTCACCGCTCAAATTCTGCCATCGACAACAAGGCTGTCCCTAGGGATATACGAGATGAGAGATTCGTATGATCTGTAAATTTCAGATCAGTGAACTTTCCTAGACTATCCACGGGCATCATTGGTTAGGTTTCTTCCTACCAAGGACTAATGGACTATTGGCTGAACCACCACAACCCTATCGGCCGAATCCAAAGTATCATCAGTTGACAGATCTTGACAGAAGAATGGACAAAATTCAGCTGTCTAGGGGGTAAATTTTTTAATTGTAAAAGCAGAATGTGTGCAGATACAGGTACATCAACAGCCCCGTTACACCATCTACTAAGTCCCCATTTAGTATACCGGTATATGCGTAGATAACGAGGATGTTTACAAGGTTGAACTTAGGAATTGATTCTCGATGAGATCTGTCCTGATGGAATGAAAAAAAAATATATATATAATCAATTGAATGTGATTTCTAAACAAAGGAGAACTCAAATGCTTAATTCAGTCGAGGAGTATAGAATCAGATGCCCATGGTGATACCCGTCAAACGATCCATATGGACTGAAACAAAGCTGAGAGCACGATCTACGATAGATCTTCGGGAATTTGACTTGATATAGCCAAGCGCCTGTTGAGGTTAGACCATACCAAGATAGAGACGAATACGAACAAAAAGGATGACTAGGCTCATCATAAACCTTGGAGATCCTGCATAGGGATACTACTCGCGATATCCTATCAGGACAAGGCTATAAAACCGGGCTGTGTTGGCCGTTTAGCGGGCATGCGCGGAAGCTACCTAGGTATAGAGTGACTCATTATCCAAATTGAGCTTCTATTCACTTTCGAGATACACATACTAAGCCCTATTAGGAGTATGTAATGCTATCGGGGTATTCAATTGACTATCTGCAAGAAGAAAGATATTCTCACGGGGCGTATACTAATATCACCATCTTTCAATAGGCATTTAAACGCTCATGAAGTGCGTGCTCCGATCTCGGAGCCTTACAGGGCGTAAACCAATGCCGGGTTTTCCATTTTTTAAGATTTCAATGGTAATTGAATCAGCCCTGGACCAGAGTTGATGAACGGAGACTTTTTTTGAATATGATTTCAAGAATAGATGACTTGAAGATCTGTTGCAGCCAGTATAGCTTCATATTGATGATACTGATCCGTACCGCCCCATATTTGAAACATACGCCGTACACAGAGTCTATTGAATTCAGAATCTGACATTTCAAGGCGATTGAGGCCTAAGCGCCAGAACCCACTACTATGTATTTAGCTCCGAGCCGACCATTGTGCGAAAATCAAAAATTCCAGCGAATGACAACTACTGTGAGAATGATAAATTAGCACGTTTTTATTATTGATACCCCACTATATTGTCGCATGGCTCCGGTTCGTTCGTTTCGTTCGTATAGAAAAGCCAAGGGATCATATCGATTTCAATAATAAGGTCAGATGGTTTATGGTTACATAGTTATAGAGAGGGGTTGTATAAGAATGGAACACCTCCGAGTCCAAGAAGACTGTAGTCCTTCAAGATACAATATATTATGGAAGTTCTGGGGATTTTCCGGGAGAAGAATAGCGTCGTATTGTCTCGTGCCCAGGTGTCCTCCGATGGTCGCATCTCTTTTCTTATATAGTAGGTCTTTTCTATTCTTCTATTCTTCTTGATATTCTTCCTTATTTTTCTGATACAGTTATTAATGACTCCATAATCTCCACTTTTCGTATGTTTCTAAACAATACGAACCATAACATCTCTACGAGCCTAGAGCGATGTTTTCTCATAGTCAAAACTAACCTAGTTCCTTAATCAGCATAGCCGCATACCTCCCCCTTCAGAACCGATCTCCATATATCGAGCATCCCCTGACCCTGGTAGATCTCTGGCCTTAAGAGAGATAAACAAAAACAAAACAAAACACAAAAAACAAAAAACAAAGAAAAGGAAAAAGAAAAAAGAAAAAAAGAAAAAAAGAAAAAGGAAAGAAAAATATCCCTTCACTTTTTCTTCTTCACCCTTTCTTCCCTTCACGTTCAAGAGTTCTTAGGGTATGTATTATTATTATGCAGACCGCCAACTGGAAGATGATTCCATGATGCTCCCTTCCCTTTTCCGTTTCCCCCGCAGTATCCTAGCTCCCTTACACCCTGCAGACCACGTCACTTAAAAAAGTTGACCCTAAAGGACCAACACCCTTTATTACACTCACTAATCTCCTTATCTTTAGACCATAGTCCCATGCCCGTGTCCCTTTCTGCCGTACCTGCTTCTTATTACTACCCGACGTCATTAAGAACGCGGGTGACAGAAAGGTACATATCTGCCCTCTCAACTGAATAAACCACTATTCTACCCCGGTCTCACGTCTTTTTCTATCTCATTTGTATCCATTTCAACGCGACAAAAACTTCCCCATAATGGCTTCAGTCAAGTCAATATCGTCTGAAAAAGACGAAGACCGTGACATTTTGAATGATGATCTAATTGAGGAAGAGGAGCAGGAGGATGTTAGCTCGGAGTTGAACTGCTCCCAAAGAGAATATCTTGAGTATAATCAACGACTAGATGGGTTTCTAGAGCCCCTGTGTTTGGATGAGGGGGTGCTGTACACATTGGCGCGCCGGTTCTCCAGCACATACCACCACTTGGCCCTTACTTCGGATCAGCAGTTTTTACCCACACCAGTGACTCAACTCCCCACAGGTCAGGAGACAGGTCGCTATCTAGCCATTGATGTTGGTGGAAGTAATTTGCGCGTGGCATTTATTGAGCTACTGGGTGAGCTGGACTCTGATGTTCCTTCTACAGATGCCTTAGACAGGTCACGCGACACTATTCGCAAGGCCCAACGTCAACGTGTGAAGCGGACTTTGGAGCGAGCATGGCCGATCCAAGAACATTTGAAAAAGGACAAGGCTGAGGATCTGTTTGCATGGATCGGCGACTGCATTGCAGAGGTGGTGGCAGAAAGTCTAACGTCGGACGCTACCAAGAAAGACATTCCCCCAGAACTAGATATGGGAATTACATTCAGTTTTCCCATTATGTCAGTATTGATTCACTAGAGGTATATGTTCCAAATGCTAATTCTTCTCCAGGCAAGAATCTTTGGCAGAAGCTACATTGATGCCCATGGGCAAGGGATTTGCCATAACATCAAATCTCGATCTTCGTAACATCCTGTTGCATGGCTACGAGAAACACACAAGAAGACCCGATGACGAAGATGAGCCTACCACCAAGCGCCGGAAACTATTTGCTCTACCCAAATTGAAGATACAGGCTATCACGAACGACGCTGTTGCAACACTGGCTTCGCTTGCCTATTCCGTCAAGTCATTACCGAACAGCCGAGTCGCCATGGGAATTATCGTTGGAACGGGATGTAACGCGACAATACCGATGAAACTGACCGATCTCCATGAATCTAAGGCTAAAAGTGTCAACTCAATGGACCCCGGGGCTGTAGAAACCATTGTCAACACTGAGTGGACCATCTCAGGGGCTGCGCCACCACTTAGCGAACTCAACATTATCACCATATGGGACGTCGAGCTAGATAGAGCATGTGCACGACCAGGTTTCCAACCATTTGAATACATGATTGGAGGACGATACATCGGCGAACTGATCCGTCTCATTCTGTACGACTACCTCACCAAAATTTCAGGACTATCCAAGAGGACTCTCCCTGCAAACATCATCCAAGAATACGCCCTGACTACCACCTACATCTCGGACAATGTGGCACGAGCCCGATCAGACCAAGACCTTGCAGAAGATCTGAACCAATCTCTTCGGTCACCAGAGAGCAGTGACTGGCAATGGGATGCGCGTACAGCTGGTGCATTCCGCAGAATCGCACGGACAGTACAAAGGCGATCGGCTGGACTGATTGCTGCAGCTGTAATAGGTCTACTAGCTTGTTGCCATGAGATTGAGCTGAAGGAAGACAGCAAAAGTACCACACCCGAAAATGCAACTTCGCCGCAAAGTAACGGTGAAACCCCTGTCGAAAGTGCAACGGCAGCAGTCCCAGCCGCAGCGTCTCTATTAGCCCCAAGTGGGAACAACTTCCGTGGTCTTGTTGTCCCTGTTCTGCAGCCAAGCCCGGAGGACTGGCAATCTGGTCCCGAGGAGCTGGTCGTTGCTTACACGGGGGGTATCATTCAACATTACCCCCAATTCAAGGAGATGTGTCAACAACACATCGACCGCCTGATCATGCGCACTGGTCCACAAAGAGGAGGAAAGTCGGTTTTCTTACGAGAGGCCTCAGATGGTGGTGTTATTGGAGCAGGCGTTTTGGTCGGCATGGTTGTTAACAAGTAGAAAATTCACCTTACGTTATCAAGCAGATTGGGAGGTTTTGGACGGAGTTCTTTCACAAGAAAAGATTTGGATCGGAGTCATTTCTTAAGGGCACTTTTCTTTTGTTATTCTCTCATCGACCACATAGAAATGGATATGAGAGGCTTAACACTATGATATGAATGTTAAATTTTTATGTACAGTAAGACCCTACATTCCTAGGTGACCTTGAAGCTTCATTCTGGGTGTAGTTAATATCCATGAATGTGTACTTTGATCCCTCAATATCGCTCAATTTATCTATCCCTATCCATGTCTCCATTTAGCTGCATAGGTCCAATCAAGATCAGCATATCACTCACTCAGTATTGCGTGATTTACATCCATTGCGACGGTGACATAGCTCATCAAGTCATAGATGTATGCTATCGTCAATAAAACCTCAAACGGAAAAGTAACCAATCAGCACAATCTTCCGAGCGTTTCAAATCATAGCGCTAAAGCTAAGCCGGTTGCGTGGCTCCATCTATGCAGCGTAATCAGAGCCAGGTCACTTGTTTCACTTGTTGCATTAGCCTAGCTTGACCTTAATGTTCCTGTACTTCTAAAATTGGAAGTACCTCCGAATGACCAACTCTTGGACATACTTGTATCAGAAAGCAAGAGCTCATCAAGGTTGATAGAGTCTTCCATCTCCCTCGCTTTGTTGTATCCATACGTAGTCCGATCCATGTTGAAATGGTATAGATTACTACCTTTCAATTCATATCACTCGGAACATATTCTCTCGTACGCCTCGTTTCATGGTATTTGGCTTTCCGTCTTCATATTGTATTCCTGCAGCTCCACCATTCCCAGATATCTGTTCAAGTCGTTCCCGCAGCTCGGCATCAGCTTCCGCGACGGTTTTGGTCTTCTTGGGGCTCAAAAGCTTTTTGCTGGGGTTGTTGAAACAATTCTTGGTGGGCACTGTGGCTATTTTGGCTGCTTCGACTGTATATAGTAAGTTAGGCTCTGAGTATATATCGTCAATGCTTTCTTATTGTTAATCGGTACAGCTTACCCTTTGAGGCCGATAACCGGAGTGAGGCTGAAGATAAGAATCGTACAAGAAGCGGCCTGGATTGACCAAGACCTCTTTGACATCTGAGAATGTATGCATGCATTATTGAACCTCGGTTGCAGAGTCGTGGATTGCAGACTGAGCAAAATCTAAGGGTGATTGAAAGCTGTTTTGAAAGTTGATCGTAACTTGACGTATTGCGCGATAACTAAGAAACGGGTAATGTCAGGTGACCTCACGTGTTCCCCGCGATCAACCCTCAGCAAGGCAGTTACCATCTACATCTCACTTAGTAGATTGAAATAGCCACAAAAGCTTTAATTTAGGCCATCGCGAATATGGCTGCTCAACCTGCTTACTATGAACTCTACCGTGGGAGCAGGTATGAAGGCCTATCCTCTGAAAATATGATGAGGACATGAGGACTGACATTTAGCTGAATTGTATCTGAATAGTCTAGGTCTTTCTTTGACCGATACCCTGGATGACCTCATCAACGAAGGTCGCATTGAGCCTCAGCTCGCGATGAAAATCCTCTCAACATATGACCGTGTGGTCACAGAGGTCTTGGCCGATAAAGTTCGAACCCGCTTGACGTTCAAGGTACACCACCATACATTTCTGGAGAAGTAGCACGCGAATGCGTATTATGTGCTACTCATTTTTATAAGCAATACTGACCTCTTCTTTTCATCCACTTACAGGGCCACCTCGACACCTACCGATTTTGCGACGATGTGTGGACCTTCTTGATCAAGGATGTGTCATTCAAACTGGACAATCAAACCACAGTCACCGCAGACAAAGTCAAGATCGTGAGCTGCAACAGCAAGCGGCCTGGTGAGGTCTAGATTTGCATTTTCGGTCTATGCCACCCACTGTTATTTCTCGCAAGGGTCGGGGTTGGTTTCGAGACGTTATCCTGGCAAGCCCTAGTTTTTTTTTGGAACACTTCATCATTGGCGTTAAGTATGCCCTTACATTTTTTAGTCACTTCGTTTTCCCATATTCTTTTTCCATATTCTTTTTCCATATTCTTTACCAGATACTTAATAAAGATTGAGGTTTATATGTGTCAATACCACCAGACCAAAGTGGGGCACAGGACCAATGAGAATGGTTACGATGCTGTTGATCCAGCGACATGAAGTGAATCTAGTGAGTTTTATCTATTTAGTTACAACGAGGACAAGATTGAATAACACACCTCTTACAACTCGCAACGATACATTTACAAAGCAGATGCATATGCAACAGTAAGACTAGTCAAACCGTCGTTCCGACAATATGCCATCAGATTAATTCAGCTTTACGTAGTTCAGCCTGTAATCCACTAACACGGCAAGTTACCTCATCTCTTATCGTTCGGCCGAATTTCTCTCTGCATTCCCCACCAACAATTTCCATCGCGCTCGCAACCTCGGTACTGGGACATCATGCCTCGAAACTTACCTTGGCTACTAGACGAGAACGAAAATACGCGCGTCAAAAACTCGATCACGCCTCGAAAGCGCGTCAAGCGAGAGCAGGACCAAGATGCTACGCCCAAACAGCAACCAATATCGCCAGACAAGAAGGACTTTTTCCCTTCCTGTATGAAATTTCATGTCTCCAGAGCTTCCAATATAAGCTAATCAAAGCTTGTGTCACATAGCCCAAACCCCACCCACATCCCCGGCACGGCCATGTCCTACTGAAGAGTACGTCCGAAGCCATTGAGCTGCAAAACACGCAAAGTTGCTAACAGCAGGCTCTTCAGATTTCTGATCCAGGGCCTCGACAAAGATGATGGCTGGGTGATGGTTGAAGACGAATTTTACACCATCGCACAGTCGTTTACTCGGCATTTACATTATGCAGAGTATGTGAAACGAAAGAAGGAAGCTAAGGCCAAAGCGGCGGAGGGAACAGGAGAAGTTGAACGGCCGACAGATGGAAGAACATCGGTTTCAAAGGATCAGGAGATGAGGAAGAAAGCCCTTACCGCGCGTCAAAAAGCTGGGCTGAACCAGATGGATGCCCAATCGGATGACAACAACGATTATGGCGCGGACGGCGACGAAGAGGACGATGACGATAATATATGGGCTGGCACCCATCTTCACGGGCTGATGACAAGCCCGCGGAGAGTGCGGTCCCTTGCTGGCGCTCATGTAGTCAAGTCTAATACCAGAGCTGCTGCTGGTTTTAGACAGACAACAGGCTCGCAAGCGAATTCTTCGAGCTCAGCACGAAGGATAATCATTCATACATCGCCTTCTCGTCCATTGAGGTCAGTGCAATCTCGGATGGTGGTTCTTGACGAAGAAACGGCGTCTGAAGACGATGACCTCGATGGACCGAGTCAGTCAACTCCAGTTCCAGCTAGATACGTGGGGAATGCACATCAAACAGGAGCTAAAAGGAGCCCACGGACTGTTGAACGCGCCCAAAAATCTGAATCGTCTACAAGCAGGCAGGTAGTAACACCGACCCGAGCGAGCCAAAAACCGCCACCGAAGTTCAAGTCAAAAGTTCAAATGCTATTTGATGATCTTGACGACTATGATGGGCTTCCAGAGCCGTCGACTTCTAAATCACCTGTTACTGAAAAAAAGTCAAAATCCCGCTTCAATGCAGTCCCAACCTTCCTGGGTTGAAACTCATCCTTCTGAAACCCCCAACCATTAGAAACTTGTATAACAAGTGACCCTTTCAAGCTCTCCTCCTTTTCATCAATTCCTTGACACGAAATCCCTCTCATCATTGTTTTTTATTGTTGTCTTCCTTCACTGGAGCAGATTTGGTAAATCTCAACAATCGTGGCACCTTGATGCGCATTCGACGGCGTGACTCTCCTGCTTGTTGCTTTTCCTCCGAATGAGGCTCTGGCTTCTTTTCTTCATCGGTGGCTAACGCACCTCCATCTCGATCACCACTCCCGTCTTTGTCTCCACTATTGTTTCGTGGCTGCTCTGGGGCCTCAATGTTCTGTGATTGCTTTGTCAGAATTGGCGGCTCCGCTATGGCCTGGCTGGGCGATACGACTGACTCGGCATCCGAGAAACATGCGGGTAGTTCCTCCTTTCGGAAATCTGTCGGGTGACCCTGAATTTGTCAGTCAACAGTTGGACGCAAGTTTTGAACATCTTCTGCGCCAACTCACAATTTCGATCGGCCTTTGGTCATCTTGGCGCTTGAATGGTGCTTTGATGCATCGGAATATTTGTCGAAAGCAGTCCATTTTCAGAAATTCGCGTTGGCTGATGAGCTTGATGCAGGGAATCCTGCGGTTTTATGAAGATAGTGTTGGTGGCTTTGTTATACGATCTCTATCAACGCCCGAGTCGTATATGGTAATGAAGGCAATAGGCAATGTATGTGGCTGAAACCTGAAATGCTAAACAACGAGGGACGATAGGCGAAATGAAAGACTGGCGATGGTATCTGCCGAAATGCAAAGGAAACAAATGTCGCAAACACTTTATGCCATTGGTGCGTTGGTCGAAAATGAAGAGCGGTCCACAAAAATTGGGCCTGGGGTACATATAGAGAAAGATAAAAAAAAAAAAAAAAAAAAACCGCCCCGTCGATCCAAGGTCCAGATGTATGCAGTATGCACATCCATACTGAAGACCCACACCCACTGTCCTATGCAGGTTGAGCTGGGCGACAACCGATCCTGTGGCATGGAAACTAGTACCATCCAAGTGACAGGCTCGGCAGATTTCACCTGTGGAATCCCTTTGTTCCAGTCTGTGACACATTCCAACCAAACAGCCGGTGCTCCCTCGCGGCACTACGGCACATAGCGGACTCGATCGAGAAGTTCTGCTCTAGGGCGGGCTCCAGGCCCCTGAATCTGCAGAGTCATTATCCTCAATTTGCAGTGCAGTATACATATGTTGAGCCTGTCAGCGCATCTGTCTAATTCCTATACTGGGCCCAGTTTTGAGTATTCGGAATTATGCGACTATGCGTTGGCATTACATGAATACACAACAAGGTCCCTATGACCTGCAGGCTGCAGGGAAGGAAAATGCGTCGAGAAACCCGTGCATAAGAGGCACTCGACAATCAGTGGGAAGAGTGGAGCGACATGGCCCAAAGTAGGCAAAAGGGAGACAGGTATGATACCCTCGTGTCCTATGAACTTCATACTTCATTCCTGACAAGTCTTTTCGAAACAAGGGAACGTCAAAATTTCCTCGTTTGGACCGTTTTTGGCTGCATAACATTTCAATAGTGGCAATGATGATAATGCGCCGTTTGCGGGTAAAGAAGGAAAAAGTAAATGTTGGTATTGGTACAAAGTACTTACAGGCTAGGAACTTCGTCTACTTTTGTAACGACGATGAAACGGCTTCCTACGCTTGAAACGATAGAGTACCACGATATTTCCAGTCGTACCAGACTCCTGGTAATCTTGGAATCGCCCAGAAATCAAGGGCCGAGAGGCTCCTCTGGAACGCAATAGCAATCTCACCCTAGATCTTGCATTGCTCATCGCCCTGGACCGCGTCGATCAATCGCAAATCTACCGCTGACAGGGGTGATTTTGATTGGCAAATGGTCAGCTATGTACTGTATCTTCACCTTCGCGTGTTGAGGATGACAGGACGGCTTGGTGGCATTTTTCATACTCCAATAAATTGGATAAAATTTGATCACGTCCTTGCTTTGAGATATTTCATCGTAATTATCTGATAAGCTAGCTTATATCAAATAAGATCATCTCGAGGTGATAAGAACAATTGGTGAATTGTTATCAAGCTAAGTAGGTATAAATAACGTCTCGTCTGCGAAGAACATCAACACTATCAAGATAGATGGATGCTTTGAATCGAAGACGTAAATTACTAACTTTGTTAGTCGTGTCCGTTTGAATGATTCGTTGTATCTTTTTTTTTTCTTTTTTTTTTAATTCGGTGCCCCTTGCGTCAGAAGCAATGTTGACAAACGCCTCACAAAGATTTCCGATCCTGCGGTCCGGTACGACTGCCAGGTAGCCCTAGACTAGCCGGGTTTAAATGCCTAGTTCCTGGACAGGAATACTATACTACTGTGTACTTCTATCTGATAAGTAAGGACGTGTGAAGCAAGAGGGGAGAGTCAAGTTGGCCCATTCCATTTTGTCGATCTAAAACTATTGTTTCGATATGAATAACTATTCATTCAAGTCCCGTACAAGGCGTGCTCCTGCCCAGGCATACAAGTAGTTGTGTTGATACCAATTGACACTTATTGAAGTTAGTAATGATCAATTGAACTCTTCCAAAAAGGGTTTATCCTTACAATGTTGTCCGTCCGGCGATTCGGGGGAGCGTTGCCCATGACCCACCCTGGATGATGTTATGCTTTCCGTCGAAAAAGTCTGCTGCAGATGATAGTTAGTATGGATCAAAGTATAATGGCACAGTCACTCTGAGCAACGTCGCATACATGTATAACCTGGATAGACCTCCATGGCCTCAAAACCTTCATGCGGCATCAATGGAGTGCTAGTCCATTCCCAAACGCCGCCGAAATCACCTTGACCAGCCAACTTGTCACCATTAGGCGTGACTGGAGTAGGATGCCAGTGTTTAAAGCCGACGTTGCATCCTTGGATATCGCGGAATACAGGACCTGTCTTCACTTCATTCGGAGCCCCATGAATTCCATCGCTAGAACTCGGATTAGTTGAATCCAATCTTCCAATAGATCTACCAACATACCTTTGAGATGACTCATTTCGAAGCTGATCGGCATATAGATATATACTCCGGACCTCTTCAAATGAGGGAATGCGGCATCCTACCCACTTTGCATAGCTTGCCAATTCGTCGTAGGAGGCCATTAACGGCCAATCCTGCGCGAATGCAAGAGCAACGGATCCAAAGACAGTCCGCACAGCAAATTTGTCTTTATAGCCTTCATCAATCCCTCCTGTGGCGATCGGATAACTCTGATCCGAAGAGATGTCGACCCAAGAGGTTGGCAGTATATGAATATTATTAGCCTGCAAGTATTTGGCGTATTCTCCATTCGTGATTGGCCGAGCTTGAGCTTCAAATGAATGAACTGTGATCTCTCGCTGCGGCTTTTCATTGTCCCACCCAAAGGAATCCTTGGGTATGACTCGTTGATTAGAGTCATTCAACCCGATAGAAAATGTTTGTTTCGGAATACAGAACCATTGATTTGGTTTATTATTTGTCTTCGCTTCCTCCGCCATGTTCGCAAAGTCTGGAGACTTGACACCAACAGGAGGTAAGACCTTATTACTCTGAAGAAGCGCGTAGAGGAATGTCTCTAGGTGCATAGCCTCATGCTCATAGCCGATAAAGAGCGCCTCGCCCAAAATCCGATCATTTAATAGATTTTTGTCACTAAGAAGTGACCGAACTCTGCTACGCACTCGCTCTTGATAGTTGATAATTTCCCTGAAATGAGGCCATTTCTTGGGAATATCACTATGAGCATGGCATACTTCAGGATTTTCAACATCGGGATCAATGCCACGCTCAAATATTTGTCGGTAATTCTTGGGATCAGTCGGGTGTCCCCGCACTGCCCGAGTGATATGAATATCTGAATATCAACGTTAGAACTGGATTGGTCTTCCCAAACATCTGTAGACAAACCGAGAAACGTAGGAATGTGGCCCAAATAGAAGATCAATTCGTTGCGAAGTTTGATCGGCTTCGAAAGAAGTTCTTCATGAGAGATCATGGATTTTGTCACAAGATCCCATGCAGTCCAAAGTACCTGGAAATCCTTCAGACTTGGAACTGAGTGAGACGCATAGTGTGAAGGGTTTGTTGATATTTCAAGAGCTGCAGGTGACAGTAGATGAATATCTAAATCTTTGTTAGTATATAATTCGGTCCTTGGTTATTCAAATCATACGATAGTTATCATCTGAGTTCCCAAATTCAACCTGGAGGATCAGTTCTGCGTTGCGGAATAATTCATCCCGATCCTCACGACCGTATTTCACTGCTCCCTCAAAAACCAGTTTTTCGCCTCTTGGAATAATTATGTCGTTTATTTTCACGTCAACCTTCGGTGAATAGGCTGCTTGATGCAGGCCGTCCTGGATGTTGTATCCAGTTACAATGTCCCATTCATCGGACTTGAAAGCCTCAAAGCCAAGAACAGCATTAGCATGCTGCAGCCCGTTCTCATAAAACCGTCGAGTGACGTGTTGAGAGTCATTGTAAGCCTTGTGAACCTTCTCAGGATCCTTACAAGCGTCTAAGCCAACCAAGAGGTAGTCTGTTGGATTCAAAACCTTGGAAAATCTGCCAAGGAATTCTGCAGCTCCAGACCGAGTGAAATTGCCCATAGAAGACCCCATTGTCAGAACAACTGTAGGTCTTTTGCGGTTTTCCGGCTTCTCCAACCAAGTCAGGGCATCGTCGTAGGTGCCATGAAGACCGTGGAATTCGACGTATGAGAAGCTTTCTGGTGAGATTTCCGAAAAGGTTCGCTGTAGCTCGACCAAGGACAGGTCCAGGGCGTAGTAATCTACGCGTTTCTCGGTTCTTTCACATTCCCTGAGTAGAATTTCAATCTTGCGCAAGTTTCTCAAAAGATGTTAGAGCTAAGAACAAAGATATTTGTAATTGAAAGATGACATACCCGCTACCAAGCTCCACCAATTGGGCATTCTCTGGTAACCATTCCACGATTTTCTTTGCGTGCGTTGTTAAGACTTCAATCTCAGCGTTTGTTAGATAATATTCGTCCAGATAGGTTATCCTTTCAAACAATTTGAGACCATTGGCATCATAGAGGAGAAGGGTGGGAAATGAGCGTTGTTTTCCGTCAGATGGGTCGATGCTGTGGTAAATCTCGTTGACAAGAGAGAAGTCTAGGTCATCTTGATGTATGTTGACAATATCAACAGCGCCGACATTTCTCAAAGCCGTTGGAGACATTTTGTTGCTAGGAGTATATTGTGATAGTATGCAGAAATGGAATAATAGAGGAAAAGAGAAATGAGCTTGGTCTGAAGGGATCACAGTATTTATGTAGCGGAGATCGACGGATCGACGGAGCTTCGTTGAGGCGTGGATGTTCGAACCTGACGACTATCGAGAAGGAAAGGAAGCACAAGTAAGTAACCTTGGAGGGTTCAAGGCTGAAGATTTTGTGTCCATGATTATTAATTGACTAGACAAAGCAAAATGGAAAGGTGGATTAACTCGTGTTCAAGGTATTGGCCATAGACCGGTTTTAGTCTTGACTCTTGAGTAACAATATGTTTGCATCCATGAACCCCGCAGGTCTAGATCGACCATTAACCAATAGTATATAGTATATCTAGAAGATCTCACAGTCTGACGTCGGTTAGGTCACGTTTCATGTTTGATTCTGTTTGCATCGACGAGTTTTACGTATGCGGGCATATGAGGTCATAGCAATGTTTGAGCTGTTTAGCCTGTTTAGCCTGTTTGTTATGTTTAGCCTGTTAGCTCCGATTCATATTAATGGCTTCAATATTCGCTAACATCTACACCATATGTCGTATGTAGTGCCTAGATTCAATTTCCAGCCCGGAGTCGTATGATATTACAGACTTGCAGGCCAATTCTGCTAGCGAAAACCTTAGAATAACAAACTGGGTCATAGGTTTAGAATATTGAGCCATTTTGTAGAGATATTCAAAGATGCCTAGTTTTTATCCCCGTCGGATTCCCCGAGGCCGTACAGTGATGCCCAGTTACCCACCTGGGCAGTACTAGGTGTACCACTGGTCCGCTAGGAGTCTACGACCCTCCATGGTATGCTACTGTGATTTCAAAATGCTCTAAAGTCGTGATGTAGCGGGTCGATACCCAATGAAATGCCCAGTCTCAGGAGAGACTGCGCTCCTGGCATCTGTGCGGAGCCGGACGAGCCATAAGAGCATCTGGTCCCCAGGACCCCTTTCCCTTCCTTAGTTAATTCTTCTTGTTTATCAATCGGATCTTTACAGTGTAGAAATTCCTGCATTAATCCCGTAACACGTGAAGCTTAGCTACGTTATGTTGTAGCTGGATAGGCATCTACTTACATAGGCAACCTGCATAGATACTCGGGGCCACAAGTACTTGCGATGCAACCTTAGACCTCAGAAGTCACAAAAATTAAAAAGTGTTTATGTCTATGCAAGCAATCTTTTCCCAAGATCACATCCTTGGTAGCAACATGAGTCATGCCAGTAGCATACCTAATTAGTGATACACATGATGAATACTGACACTCATTACAGGTAAATAGCCTTGGAAATTTCCAAATCATAAAATCAATATTCTACTCATTTGACTTCAAAGAGAAAGTAATATACCTACATTCGAGCTCTTCCTCGTGAAATTACACTTTTTGCTTCAGACTTATTTAAGCGAAATTTGACTATGGTTTAGCTACTCCAGAATTATCCCATTCAAGTACAATGGACTGACTATTGACGAATGAGGGTATTTCGGACCTCAAACTGAAGAGGGGGTGAAACGATTAGTAGTCTACAAAATTCCAATTAATATTGGAAACTGAATAAGGAGGTTATAAGTAGGTTCATTTCAATTTGCTATTAAATTTCCCGTCCTACAATCACTAATCCTCGTATTCCAAGGTTCTAAATTCTCTTAAAAGTGTTCTATGTAAGGCTGATCGATTCAAATAAATTGTGGTGATCTACATGGGAATTATGAGTGAAAAATGTTGAAATAACGGTAAGTGTAAGGACCCTTTGATCTTTCTATACTAAGGTACAGTCCATGAATAATATTAGCGCAAAACTACCTCTGTAGTCTTAGAACCTGAGAGTTGACCTACTTGTACTCCATGTCTGCTTCCTACCTGGATAACATACCTATATGATTGGCCCTAAGAAATTGGCGAACGTGCCCAGCCCCTCTCAATAAGGGCGCAATCAACTCCTGTTGTCAGAAATGGGAAACACACTCCATTAACTCTCTTTTTCAATTAGATCGAAACTTTGTGATGATCCCACCTATCAGATTCTAGATCTAGTAAATAGTAAGGAATGGATCAGAGCTTATTTTTCTCTTTTCATATGTAGTAGCCCTATTTTAGGCGGGGGCGGGAGACACCCGCCCACTCATGGACACCATCTCCTCGGGTGTGAAAAGTCTCTTCGTATATTTTACTATGTAGTATATCAATTAACGAACTGAAACCTCCAAAGGTGAAGATATCAGAGCTTTATCATCAAATTTAGCCTCCATGGACTGTCGTTCCTTGATATTTAAATCTGTCGAGAAAATTTGAAGCCCCTGCAGTTATTTAATTTCAAGGTTTCCTGTGGCAATACTTCGGTAAATTCTAGTATGAAACTACGCTTCGAAGATTGATTGGGCGAATGCGTATCTGCCAATTTTCTGAGGCCAATTTTATCTCAACTCTCGCTATTTTATGCCGAGGCCTTCTTCCGCTTCCTCTACCTCTACCTCTTTTTGACTTCAGTCATATCCGCTCTTCCGACATGGCGTCTTTAGCTGCCATAGATCTTCAGCCAATAGTCCAGAACCTTATTCCCAATGCCAAATAGGTCAGTGCTTGCTGTTACCATAGGGCCGAGGAAACTCAAAATTTAGGGACACTTGTGGATACCTCGGGATACTGACCATTTTCAAACACCTTCAATCTCTCGGGCTTTGAAGCTTTTTGGAATATCCAAGAAAAGAGCCCTGAAGACTAGTACGGCCATGAAATGAGTGGTACACCTAGGCATACATCAAGGCTTAAAAAGGGTTTCATACCTAGGTACTAGGTAGTACTTACCAGGTCTCTGACAATCTTCCAAGGCGGGATGAGAGAGACCAATGTGGAGCTCACTCAGCTGAGTCAGTTCACTTTGAAGTTATAGTTTGTCTTTTAGATAATCATGCATTGTTTCCAAGGTTCTTTGACAGTACTGGTTGTTTGTTTTCTTACTTTGTCCGTCTGTGGGCTATTCTGCGAACCTTCCAAGGTTGGAAGGGTAGATGGTGGGCACCGGGCTTGCACACGTCTCCATCCATCTATATTCAGACTATTTCTCGCTTAGAATTTTGCCTCTTGAGATCATATTTTTGAGATTTTTGATTTCCGACTTCTGGTTCCGCTTGGCATGTTTTTTTTATATTTTTTGCCAAGTGGCAAAACCAATAGTGGCAAGTGTAAGGAGGAAGTTATTTCCGACCTCAATACGGAATAGGAGGCCGGGAAATTAAACACTACGGAATACCACGGATGTACGGAGTACAAATAAAACTCTCCAACTTCACGTACTGCATAATGATCCTTCCGACGTGGGTCGGCCCGATTTTGATGTCCGAACCAGTCATATCGAGGTACTACTTAGCACACTAAAAATTGACGGCGGGCGTAATCTAGAAATTATGAATCTGAGGCACTGACATTTAGTTCACCTAGGGCTAGGGTGGAGCTGGGGAGATTCCAGAGTAATCCCTTATTGTTTCATCGTGGCGAAGTAGCTCAATCTTCATGAGATAAGCTAAACCAAAGCACTACTTAGTAGTCAAATAATCAATTGCCAAAGTATATCGAGAATTGTTTATTTAAACTTTGAGCTTTGACTAGGATGTCTGCCAAAACCCATTTGGGTTCCAAGATAGCCTAGACTCTAAATGTAAATTCTTCAAGCGTACCTTCAAATGCTCCAAATCTGATTTGAACCAAGGTTCAGCTAGTGTTGGACCCCTATTTAGCTCTAACGATAAAAATCTAGATCCCGTATAGCGGAATTAGAGTTTTACAGTAGCTTGGAGGTAAATCATCTTTTATCATTTATTACAGCTCCATATATTGATTAAATCTTCCCCTCTTTTGAAATCTTTGAGACATTCCATTCCTTCACGGAAACCAGGCCGACCTTTTCCTAAAACATTCACCCAATAATGGCTATCTGCACAGATCATGCCCCGGCCTTAGCAGGCAGTACGATCTTCTTGACCATAGCAGCCTTACTAACCTATGGCTTGCGGGTTTACTGTAGAATATCCCGCAGATCATGGGCATTGGACGACTGGATCATGACGGTGGCACTGGTGAGCTCCCCCAAATGATTTAAGGTTCGGAATACATACTTATATGCCATCAAAAAGGTACCATTTATCGTGCTTACTGTAGGTGTTATTGGAGGCGCTTTCAATGGAATTGGCATTCATAGCACGACACTTATGCTCCCCGGTAATGAAAAATACACTACACTGGGAAATAAGGTAAGCGAAACCATTATATAACCTTGTTGATAAATACTGATCGAATGGCAAGTATTTTTTGATATTCGAAGTCGGCTACTGCGCGACTATCATTTTCGTCAAACTCAGTATCAGTATGATGTTGATTCGAGTAGCCAAGGGACACAAAATCTATCTCCTTATGCAATATATCATCATTGCTATGTTTGTTGTTATGAACATTATCGCTTTCATCTTTATTTTGACAAACTGCATCCCCATACAGTAGGTTCTCACTTTGAACCTCTCCTTGAGTTAGATACTTACCTCATTACAGAGCTGCCTGGAGCCAAGAAGCTCTCGACAATGGAGGCCACTGCAAGCCAGGTTATATCCTTGCTAATGTGTACTACGCTTGTACTGCTGTCAATATCCTTACTGATTGGGTGACAGCTTTCATGTATGGATCCCAGACCCATCCATATTGTGTTTATCTAATATCGGGAATATAGGCCGGTTCCTCTGCTTTGGAATGTACAAATCAACCGCAACACTAAAATTTCTATCATTGGTTTGATGGGTCTCGGTATCTTGTGCGTAATGCCCAACTTATCTCGCCTTTTCTTGTTTTCTTGGCTCGAGCTAATATTTGTTCCCTGCAGTGCATCCTTGTCAGCATGTGTCCGACTGAAGTACACTGTTGCCCTGACTCAGTCAAATGATTACCTTTATGGTATCGCCGATGTAGTAATCTGGGGATTTGCAGAGAATGCCGTCGGTATGATAGTTGGAAACGTGGCAACCCTCCGCCCACTACTACGAATCCTCCTTGATCGCAAGGCTTCTGATTATAAGAAGGACCAATCACCTGGGTACATGAGTTCGCACCGTACTGGAGGGGCTGGTTTCTCACAAACCTACGAGCTCGCAGTTACCAACCAAATTATCACCACGAAAGGAAATAGACGCGACAGCGTGAGCGATGCAGATAGCCAGAAGGAAATTCTTGACAATTTCAAACGGCCTGGCCGAGATGACATTATTGTCAGTCGACAGGTTGATGTGGCGTATGAATAGGCAGTCTAGGCCTTCCGAGTTGACCATTCATTTATATACAATCATTGAATCAAATTTCCTTTTCTTATTCAACGTGATGTACACAAGTATGACCATTAGACTTACGTAACAAGAGACCTTCAATTTACGATATTGTATTGGTGGATTTCCTCACATTTATCCTATCTGAATCTACTTCTTGTGTGGTTTAAAGTAGACCTTTTGGTCCTATCAAAAGCTCCGTTGTTACCTAGTGAAGTACAATTCTCCACTTTGGACTGACACCCCTTTCTGCATTATATTTCAAGGTGTAATATGAAATCGATAATTTTCTCGCACGTACTAAGTTTTGTGACTCTATTTACGTCGAAAAGTCTTGTTGCTACTTTCTTCCTATGTTTTAGGATTTGCCTTGGTGAATGCAACCCACCTTGGAATAGATATATCATATCGTAAACCAACAAAGCTTGATCATATATTCATATTCATATCATAGAGGCTATCGGTGTACGGAAATACTTCATTGTCCTTAGATAAAGAAGTGGGGCCGATTCAGACGCTAGTAGCGAAGAGTCTTCGACTTCGGAGCTTCCCCTGACCCTCAAAGGTTCTTCTTTTTTATCTTAGCAATCTAGATCACCCAACCAGCGTAGCCATGCTTGTGGATGATATAATTCTTCTCATAGTTGATCAAATCGACACCATACAAGATCTACTTCGTCTTCTGCTGGTGTGCCGTCATTGGTATGATTTAATTTTCCCTAAAGCCTATGAGTGCATCTCGCTTGACGGTAATCAAATCTATGGTCTTCTTTGCTCCATACAAAGTAATCCAAAAATTGGCCCTGCTATTCGAGATTTATCCATTGGTTGGCCCTCCTATCAATCCTATGAACCAGGTTATTTCGACCACAATGTGGCAATATTCAAGGATTTTTTGCAGCAAGCAAGTCCCTCCATAGAGTACTGCTCGATTTGGGAGCAGGACCTACTTAAAGGACACTCAGATGCGTGGCTAGCAGTACTTGCGCCGTTACTCGAAGGCGTCGAGTGGTTAGAGGTTGATCATGGCTGGAAGTATCATTTCCTCCCTTTACTAGCCCGGGCAGGCGCTCGGGAAAAGCCATTTGATTCGAAACCTATATTTCAAAGTCTAAAGAGCGTGATCATCAAAGACGAAGACCTCAAAGCTTCCTTCTCTGCCAACAATCTTTTGCCGCTGCTCTATTTCCCAGAAATGCAAGCTTTCTCCGTCAACTCGTTACATGAAGAAGAGGACCCAGATGAATTTTACTACTCAAACCCTGAGTTAGGAACCTCAGGGGTCTCGGAACTTGATTTTGATCAATGTAATGGGATTCACGGCATGGCTCACTACGTCAAGGCATGTGCCAACCTGAAAGTCTTTAATTATCAACATCAGAACCAGGCCGTCTGGGGTGCTGAGTATTATGACTTTCGTCCTCTGAAATTTTACAAAGCGCTATGTATCCAGAAACAAAATCTTCAAGAGATCCGACTAAATAATAATGGCGAGATCGACGGCAATGGCGATAATGATGATGGCATAGACTACAGTGGTTTTGGATCCTTAGCCGATTTCCATCAGCTACATGAACTTCGGATGCCATTACGCACGCTTCTGCAATTTGGTTTGAGTGATCGGCCATCGGTTTCTCTTCCAGATGTTCTTCCGTCCAGCTTGGAATATCTTCAGCTTGCCGGATATTACGAGGAGGATTTCAATGTCGCAATAGAAAATCTCCGAAGCATGCTAGCGCAGCGAAAGAAACGATTCCCAAATCTTAAGAGGATCGAAGTCCAGCCAGTCTATATGGAGCAGACTCCAGATACCAAGATACCGCATTGGATGCATTATGAAATTCCGGAGTCGGTCAAACAGGCATTCGCACCTTTCAAGGTCGCATGTGACGAACAAGGAATCAAATTTGCACTTACTAAAGAAGGCGAACATAGAATACGTGTCAATTAATCATGTCCGTCACCAACATCCAGGGCAACTTGATATATCAGGAGATAATAAATCTTTCTTTAATAATGCTATACTTGATTCCTCTCGGAAATGAATATGAAAGATCTTGAAAACTAAACTACCAGTTGACTAAATATGAAAATTTTATCTTTAGCGCTGATCTCTGGAACCTTGTAATCTCTTTACATTCAAAGAGCCTGATCAATGAACCAAAGTACATAGCCATTGCTATTAAAACAAAGAGCCACAAAGAAAATTGCAAAGTTTAATGGTTTTATACTCGATCACAGAACAAAGGAAGAATCTACGGATATATCTGGATCCGCTCTGAGTATATACATATAAAAGGCCATACATTGCTTCATAGATTTCTTCCTTAGTTACTTTCCATCTATCATAATTAGCCTTATAAGTTTCAATATCTAATCAGACTGCATCAACATTTACTGTCAAAATGGGTCTTGGTCTCTCCATATCCCGCTTATTCGGAAAAGGCGAGGAGCTCATGTCATCCACAGAAAAACTCAGGGTCAAGTGCAAGCAACTGATCTCCCAAAAATCTCGGCTCGAGATGGACCTCTATGAAGCACACAGTGAGATAGATCGACTAAAGGCACATGTCGCAGAGTACGATGTTTTACTCGCACACTTCAGGTCTCGGAAGTTTAAACACCAGCTAACAAAATTACATACAAATATGAGACCTGAATCCTCTAATCTTCCCGTGAGTACTACTGACGACTGGATTGGCGACATCTGGCTCTGTTCCGATTCTCACCGAGGACTTCACAAGGCAGAATACTTATGGAAAATGGAAAGTCTTGAGTTTGCAAAAGAAGCAGCTTCTCATGCTATCTATACTAACCAGTTTTTATCCATAGGGGATGTCATCCGCTATAGAATCTTTATAGCAGCCGTTCTACATAGTATGAAGCAATACGGTGAATCAAATAGTCAACTGGATGAGATATCGGATGCGCTCGTTGATTACAACTCTTTCAACGGACATGAATCCAAGGAGCTCATTGGAATGGCCAACTTTGTCCGTGGGCGGAATCTTTTGGTATTGCAACAATTTGAAGATGCCTATCTATGTCTCTCGCGAGCAGTCAATACTCCAGGATATAAAGTGAAGGCTCGCCAGTATCAGCAGGAGCTGATCAACAAGTTCATTGAGAAAGAGGCTACTGAAGCCCATGCTTTCGTGGTAGGCCATGAAGATCACCTTGCTAGTCTCATACTCGCAGGGGATGAGTATGAGAAACTCGATTATTTTTACTGACTCCAGGGCTAGCTAGTTGTTATGATAGTAGATACTTCCAAGGTTCCACTTTTCGGTACTGAAAGATCCTATTCAATACCTACGTACTGTATTTACCTTGAATGCTTAAGATTAAGTCAGAAAAAAAATACTTGCTTCAATTGAAATTTACTTCACCTTTTCTGCTAAACCATCGAAGTTCAGCAGTACCAAGATATAATAATGTAAAACTAACCAATTGAATTAGGGAAAGAAAAAACTTCCCACTCACTAGGTATTATCTATAATCTTGCAACATCTTGGAATGCCTAAGTAGTTCTTTCTCAACCTTGGTCTTGTCTTTATTTGACTATCTAGGTATCCATAGAACTCTTTCAATAATTCTAAGGTTACTTCCAAACTTACCACTTCTCTCCAGCCCTGGAGGCTTTTCACATTCCAAGTTCTCAAGGTTTCAACTCAGAATATTCCTATGTAAAGAGCATAATAGATTTAAAATACGGAACAAGTATAAGCTGGCGTAGACTATGTCTTAGGTCTCTCTTCAATGGTCTATCTGAAATTATCATCACTTGGGCGAGCTGCATCGCCCATAGTCATACCTGTATGTTAGGAAAGCTGCGTACCTGTTCAGGTCTTATGCGTAGGTGCCAATGGATGAAGTCCCTTCTGTCTCTTTGTTAACAAAAGGGAGATATAATAAACGGAGGGGAGGTAATGAAGATCAAAGGCGAGAAAACAAGGGAGCATCCGAGCGCGAGCAGCCTGCCAGTTTACTACTGATGGATTTGTAGGGGCACAGTAAGAGGATGGCAACATCGTTCTCTACAGATATTAGGTCTATATAGCTCATCACAGCCTTCTGTGTCATGAATAATGTGCGTAGAGGAAGGCTGGACAACAGGGAAGCATGAGGGGGAACTAGCAGGTTCGCTCGCCAGATAACAAAAGGATTCATATATCATTACAGTATTTTAACAATGAACAAGATATTGATTTCATACCTGTATTTTTAAATATTCTGGTACTTTTGACCTGGTTAGCTACAATACACGTCAGAATCATGGGTGCTAGAAACGGTGTGGGAAAATTGACCTAGTTACAGGATTACCTAGGTAAATTCAGTACTTGTGCTTCCAAGGTTTGAAACATCATACCTCGGCTAACTATGCACTCCAGGCCGATCATCCATCTAAACTGTGTAGAAGTCAATAGCCGACAGGATTTCACAGGAAGGGGAATCGCCGACCCCGCTACTTTGATTATACTGAATCTATGCCATTTGACGAAACTCTATTGACCATCTAATAAGGATTCTTCCAAGTCTACTCGGGTTTCAAGTTCCGGGTATTCATCGGGCTCAAATGCTATAATCAAGTTATCGCGCAAGGAAACCCCCTGCATAAATACCGCAGTTCCCTCCATGCTCTTTGCCGTTTCGTATCTTCCTCATTACCTATTGCTTTTTGCAGTTTTCAAAGATTTCACTATAATCAAACTTTTGAGTGCCTTGATAGTTAGTGGTAGTCCTGTTTCTTGCCCAATATGTCTGACTTACCCACGGTCCGATGGGGTATTATTGGTATGTAAAATTCTCATTCGGATCGCATTTGATGGCGTTTACCCAGGTGAACTGACCATCATTATCAGCCACTGGAATGATCTCCTCTTGGTTTGTTGGAGATCTAGTGCTCGAACGGGATGATGCGAAAGTGAAACATGTCATTCATGCAATCGGCACCTCGAGCCATGAACGAGGCAAGGAGTTTAAAGCAAAGCATTGTCCAAATCAGAACCCAATAATCTACAATTCCTATGAGGGTGTTTATAACGATAAAGATGTCGACATTGTATACATTGGCACACCGCATGCCTTCCATTATCGCGATTCTATGGCTGCCATTACCGCCGGCAAGAACGTCCTTTGCGAAAAGGCATTTACAATGAATGCCTCTCAGGCAAAGGAGCTAATCAAAGCCGCCAAAGAAAAAAATGTCTATATTTCCGAGGCTATGTGGCTACGTCACCGACCTCTAGTCCGCGAGCTGGTGCGGGTTCTTCATGAAGAAAAGGCAATTGGAAATATCCTTCGGGCATTCACCGACTTCTCATCTGGCGTTGGGGATATCGCTTCATTGCCCCCGGATTCCAGATACCGTGATCTTGCACTTGGGGCCGGAGCGTTGCTTGATATTGGCGTCTATGTTCTGACTTGGATCACTCTCGCACTGAGAGGAGATGCGTCTGCAGAAATTGAAATACCACAAATTATGGCAAGCCAGATCCATGAGGAAGGTATCGAGATAACAACAAGTGCAGTGCTTCACTATCCTTCGACAGGCCGCCATGGTATTGCAACTTGTACCACTAAAGAGCTTGGTCGTCCCGGTGAGATTTTCGCAGTTATCTACGGTACTGAAGGCTGCGTCGAGGTTGAGGGAAGGGCACCTTCCATACCTGAGTCCTTTACTGTATGGCCAAAGCAACTGTCTGGAGAATCGGATCGATGCCAATTCCCGCGAGAAAAGTATAAGGGGAAAAGATACGATTTTACAACCCCGGGTCGAGGCTTCACATATGAGGCGGATAATGTGGCACTCGATGTTCTGGAGGGGCGAAAGGAGAGCCGTATTATACCATGGGCTGAGACAGTCCATGTTATGGAAATCATGGATGAGATCAGACGTCAGGGCGGGACTGTCTACCCTGGGGAGTGAAAGTCGAGAAAGTCAAGATATACCTCGGAAGACAGATTGCAGCGCCAGATCATTCAATGTTTCAAGGCTTTCTATTTGGTAGCATTCGAAGTGAAACAGTTTCAAATGAACCTATGATTCAACAAAATACCTACTTAACTTGTGAGCTTATGGGCATTGGAATACCATCACTTTTTCTCGATTAAATTAGTATTAATTCCCTACAAGAACTTGAAAAAAGAGCGACTTGTAGATGTTTGTGTAGTTATATTGCCACGTCAACTTAACTAAGGCCCCAGTAAATTTTAGAAGAATAAATCATGATCACGTGAGAGTCACGCGTTCGGTCCAGGCACTCGAGACTTTTTTTTTCTCCCGAATCTTCTCCGTCTGCTCTCGTGGTCGGCATTCCCTTTCGTCCTACTCGATTTCCTTCCAAGGGTTTGGTTGCCTTGTTTTTTTTTTTTTTTTTTAGTTAATTACGACTGAGGTCTACCCATATCAACAGCCCCCGGCGAGAGACTCGCTCCTGCCCAGACAATTGTCCTTTTACTGCTGTGTTTGGCCATTTCTTTGCGCCTCTCCTGCATTTTGCTGGCAACTACAGTCTTTGTTTATCTTTGTTTCTTGAACTTTTGAGCCTCTTTACCGCCATTTTCCATTATAAAACATAAGCAGCCATCATGTTGTCACGAGTGGCCCGTCAGAAAAATGCCTTGTTCAACCTTCGGAAGGCCAATGCTCACAGAGTATTGGGCGCATCGCCAACTTTGCGCCTTCATTCAACTACAGCCAGGATAGGGCCTAGTCTGAATACTGAAAATAATAAGATATCTGAGCGGCGTCGTAGACCGTCTTTTCAATCGCATCGAAGCCTCGCAACCGCGGCCGATCCATCCGTTATGGAACCATCGCCCTATACACACGACGCTGCGTTTTCTATTCCCCAATCAGAAAACTTGCATCCGGAATTTTTTAACCCTTACCATCAAGCCTCACTCCTTATTCTTGCAGACACACCCAAAACACAATCCAGAGTTTTCCGCAAAGTTCGAGGCGTTGGTGGTGACGAGGATGAGATGATGGCAAATTTCGAAATCTCACTAAGAGTTCGGCGGTTCGATCGAGCTGCGGCTTTGCTCAATCGCCTGGGAACTCAATGCCCCGTTGAATCTCCCGAATATCTGAATCTTCACAACCGTTACTTGAAGGAGATGGTGTCGTACATGATTATAACCCGACAATCCGGGAAAGTTCCACAACTGCAGAGATGGTTCGAGGTCGATATGCCTGCCGGAGGTGTGAAGCCTGACGCCACCACTTACTCCGTCATGATTCGAATGTCACTCCGTCTGCTTCATGGGTCCAAGCGGGAGAGGTCAGTCCGCCGTTATTGGGAACTTGCTAAGGAGAAAGATCTCCATGAGGAGCTTCTAGCAAGTGAAGTACTTTCCGACTTTGATCTGGGTGAATTAGTCAAGGTAAGCTTATCATTTGCTTGACTACTCTCATCCGTAAAACTAACTACCCGCGCGTTTTAGATTTGCTCAGCCGACTTGGGCCACGCTGCGTTTAACTTCATGAGTATCGAGGAACCTAAAGCCGAGGAAATTACGGTCACCGACAACTTTGCCGAAGTCCTAGCTACAAGCCAGAGGGGTCTTGGTCTTTCAACCTTGAAAAAGTCACTATCCCTCTTCTCGGACAACTCTCAACTACAAACTACATCTGATAACCTCGAACTTGACGACCATGAACGGGAAGAATTACAAAGAAAGCTTAGACAAAAGCAACTTGAGGCTGATACGGTATCCTCGTCTTTGGAACGTTGGCGCTACGAGTTTGAAGAAGCGCAGAAATCTGGAAATACTGGGAAACTGAGCCAGATCACAAGCCAATGGGTCATTAATCTCCAAGCAAAGATTGAAGATGAGCTGAGGCTTGCTGACGAAGCTGAAGGAAAGCCAATCCGCACATTGGAACAAAAAAATCGTGCCGAGTACGCCATATTTCTTCGGTGCTTGAGTGCCGATCGTCTTGCTGCTATCACCATCCTTGCAGTTATGAACTTGTTCAGTCGGGCCGGCATGGAAAAGGGTCTTAAGCTCTCAATGATCTCCTCGGGCATTGGTCGAGAAGTTCAAGACGAATTGGTTGCCGCTTCATACCTAAAGAAGAACTCAACCTCAAACATATACCGTAAGAAGATGCTGAAAGAACTTCTTGCTGGTCGCAAGGGGAAGGATGAGCGATTGCGTTGGAAGAAGCTATCGGAAGGCATGCAGGAGGAAGACCCTTCTCTGTCCTGGAGTTCCCGGGTCACCGTTAGGCTTGGAGCGGCATTGATGTCTCTCTTATTTGATGTTGCTAAAACACCCGTCAAAATCACAAATCAGCAAAACGGGAAAACCACGACATCTATGCAACCTGCCTTCCTTCACGGCTACGAGGTTAGATTTGGAAGACGGTTGGGTCTCTTACACATGCACCCGCAATTCGTTCAATCTGTCACCAAAGAACCATCTCCAAGCGTTATTGGCCGTCATCTGCCAATGGTTTCCACTCCTCAGCCTTGGACAGGAATCAGAACTGGCGGGTACTTACTCTATACGACCCCTATTGTCCGTTCTACCCCCGGTGAAACCTTACAGCCGGCTTATATCAAGGCGGCTTTGGAAAATGGTGACATTTCAGAAATTCTGAAAGGCCTCGACGTGCTTGGAAGTACTGGCTGGGTGATCAATGAAGATGTTTTCCAAGTAATGCTTGAGGCTTGGAACTCCGGCAAGGAGATCGGTAATCTCGCACCGCTCGAACCAGAACGCGAAATGCCACCGCAGCCTGGTCCGGATGCTGACTATGCCACTGAAAAGCAATGGCAACTTAAGATACGTGATATCGAAAACGAGAAGGCTGGTCTTCATTCCCAGCGATGTTTCCAAAATTTTCAGCTAGAAGTGGCGCGCGCGTTCCGCAAGGAGACTTTCTATCTTCCTCACAATATGGACTTCCGCGGCCGAGCTTATCCACTGCCCCCATACCTGAATCAGATGGGAGCTGATAATGCTCGTGGCTTACTCTTATTCAGCAAGTCTAAGCCTCTTGGAGCCAGTGGTTTGCGATGGTTGAAGATTCAAGTTTCCAACTTGGCCGGTTTCGACAAGGCAAGCATGTCGGAGCGTGAGCAGTTTGCGATGGACAATCTTGACCTTATTTTGGATTCCGCCAACAATGGTCTCCATGGAAAGCGATGGTGGCTGAAAGCTGAAGATCCTTGGCAATGCTTGGCCGCTTGCTGCGAACTCAGGAATGCCATGCGCTTGTCTGATCCTACCAAATACGAGTCTCGCCTCCCTATTCACCAGGATGGCTCCTGTAACGGTCTTCAACACTATGCTGCTCTTGGTGGTGACCTTGTTGGTGCTCAACAAGTTAACCTTGAGCCGTCCGATCGACCATCTGACGTTTATACTGGTGTTTCCGAATATGTCAAGCAGGCTGTGACTGAAGATGCCGCCAATGGTCATGCAATTGCCAAGCTCCTTGAAGGCCGTGTTACCCGCAAAATTGTGAAGCAAACAGTCATGACCAATGTGTACGGTGTGACATTTATTGGTGCAATGAGACAAGTTCGCAGGCAGCTCAACGAATACTGCGAAGATCTTTCAACTGATGAGAGAAAGGCGGCTGCCATTTACATTTCTAGAAAGATTTTCGGGGCCTTGGGAACTATGTTTAACGGAGCTCATGATATCCAATATTGGCTCGGCGACTGTGCCAGTCGTATCACCCAATCTTTGACTCCGGACCAAATTGAGGAAATTGCGAAAGATATACTGATGCCCAATTCGCCCACGGATGGTACCTCAGGTGATCATCGCACGACGGATTCCTCCCTTGATCCAGTCAAGAGATTCCGGTCAACTGTCATCTGGACCACGCCTCTTGGTCTCCCTGTGGTTCAGCCATACCGCACTCGCAAGTCACGACGTGTCAGCACTACTCTGCAGGACATTAACATTGTGGAAGGTGGCTCTGATGACGTCATCTCTAGACGCAAGCAACTCCAGGCCTTCCCACCAAACTTCATTCACTCACTTGATGCCACTCACATGATGCTGTCTGCTATCGCATGCAAAGAGGCTGGTCTCGAATTTTCCGCTGTCCACGACTCCTTCTGGACCCACGCGGGCGACGTCGATTCCATGAACAAAATTCTTCGTGAGGCATTCGTGAAGATGCATTCTGATGATATCATCGGACGTCTCGGTGCGGAGTTCGATGTCCGATTTAGCAGAAACCTATTCCTGGCGAAGGTTAACGCATCGAGCAAGATCGGTAAAGCTATTCTGCAGTCACGTGAAACACCCCAATGGAGAAACAGCATGAAGGTTGTGGAGCTTATTGACGAGCATAAGCGACAGACACTCCTTCGCTCTGAGGATCCAGTGGAACAGGCCGAAGGCCGCGAAATGGAAACACCTGCCAGCATATTCGAAGCAATGGATGGTGCAGATGATGACTTGTGCATTCCAAGCACATTGGGATCTACGGGAGTGGGTCATGTTCCAGATAACCTGGCTGCTGCCGAGCGCCGACCTGATGCTACTGGCTTCGACAGTAGCGACCCAGCTCTTGAGGGTCTCTTCGGCGACTTCAAAGACGATATCTCGAATGACAGTACTATGGGATTAGACAATACTGCAGAAGAAGCCACACCGCAGAAGAAGCTTCAGAAGCGCTACGTGTATTTCTGGATGCCGTTGAAATTCCGGTCAGTCCCTAAAAAGGGTGATTGGGACTTGCAGCGCATTCACAAAAGCGAGTACTTTTTCTCATGAAGAGCTTCCCAACTCCTGGAGTTTGTTGATCGCATTTGTTTGGCGCTCTTTTATTATTTCTGGGGTTTCTCTGTCGGTCCTTTTTACCGAATTTCTGTTCTTTTTCTTTCTGATCTATGATCGATGCATTTCATTTTGCATATGTACATTACGCGGACTTTCTATAGCATTTTCATCTGAGCGAGCAAAAGGTAAATAATATGTTGTATCATATATCATTTTGTACGTCTTTTTTCTCTACCCCCTTTTCTCTTTCTCTTTCTCCGAGGATCCAGTATGACACTAGAGTTCATCAGTAACGCCAGGAAAAGAGTGAAGGGTTCAATAACATTGAGGATTCTTTACTTTGTTCTGCTTGGTAGTTTCGTCAAGTCAACGTGCGCCCTGAATTTCATAGATTGGAAGTCAGTGAATACTACACTTCTGGGATTTGATCTACATAACTAGAACAAACTCAACTGCGAGTAAGAGCTTAGCCACTAATGTTGCCATAGGATTGCGATGCCTATTTCTCTGACTAGCTGGTCTTGGCGGCTATCATCACTTTATTCTGTTTGTAATAGTCAACCTTTAACATCTATGATTGAATGATTGAATTAATACACCTCGGCATATTGCAACCTTGAAAGCTGCACATCGAAGAACTGGAAGTGGGTAGGTAGATATATGATGAAGGATTGAAAGGAAGAAGAATTAATAGAAATAGAGAAAAAGTAAGGGATGTATATGGGGAAGATGAGATAGAAAGGCAGTGAATATTCCAAGGTTTGGAGACAGAGTAATCAGAGGCACAATACTAAGTGTGCCCAGGTGGTAGTGAGAGTGAAATTGAGAGTGAGACCTCGATCCAAGTTTGCCCAGATGGTCAAATTGGTCACATTGTTTTAGTCCAGTACACGGTGTTTTATATTGAAGAATGGAAATAAGAGAAAATTAAAAAGATTTCAAGGCTGAGGTCTGATAAGATCCCAGGTGGTTCAGATTATAGGTACTACAAGTGAAAGGAAAAGTGAGATCAAAGTGAGCTGGGCATGAAGCCTGTGGAAACTGATAGATATTTGAGGCTGTGTGTACCATTTTCCACTCAATTGCGTGGACCTATCTTCCTCTCAATTTGCAACTATCAGATTCTGAAAAACTCCACTCCTCTTGCAAGCCAACATCCAATGACAAAGCTTACAACAGCACCTTTATCGTCACGCTTCAGTACCATTGTCCAGTCACCAGGTGCTGGGGCATCTAAGCCACGTGGACATTTCAGAGCCCAGACATCATCCCCAAGGTATCGTATTGGGGCTGCATGTCCCTGACCTAGATAACCATCAAAGAAACCATATAGTATTCCAGCTTCGCCAGTGCAATGGAAAATAGAATCAACTTCAGCAGAGTGGTATTTTCCCTGCAGAACGGTATCTTTAATGCTAGATTTGCTGGGCTGAAGTCGCCTGGCTTCAAGGATCCGGTTCTCGGAAATTCGATGGACGAGGAGGACATCTCCTGCGACGGTTGCCACCATGGATCTGGATTTACCATTGTTGGGATCCGTCAGTTTGATAGTCTCAGGGCCACCAGAGTATGAAATAAGAATGTCACCCATGCGAGCTCCTTTGCTAACAGTGATCGCCAATTGTGTTTCTTGGTCAAGGAAAATCCCAACCCATGAAGGGCTTGGCTCGACAGGGGGGAATTCAGGATTTGGCTTTTTCAAAATAGCCCGTAAAATATCTTCAACAGCTGCGGATGCATCTGCCTCATGGTTGAAGAAGACAACAACTGACAGTCGCTCTCCTGGGGCATGGCGTCGGTGAATGCGGTAACCACGTAGCGCACCACCATGGCCGAGTGTTTTAACATCGTCAATATCGACACGACTCAGCCCGTAGTGATAGTTGGCAGGTGTACCATCATTGTAGGTATGTGGTTTTGCGACACTGTGATACCAGCTTTGAGGGTCGTAAATCAGGCTGTCCAGGTACTTCTCGTAAGAGATCATGTCAGTGAGTGAAGCCACCAGGCCGGCGTCACCAGACCACTCCATTCGATTTAATGCTTGGAAATATCCAACTTGATCATTTCCTTCATAGCCAACACACGGTGGAGGGAGTTCGGCATTGTTGGGACACAAAAGTGCCGTGGTCATTCCAGCGGGGTCGAGAACTCGTTCGCTCAGTAGCTTTCCCAGTGTCTCTCCAGTCACTCGTTCAATAATCCGCCCGAGAGCTGTAAAGTTGACATTAGAGTAGGAATACTCTGTTCCAGGCTCGAAGTGGAAGGATTTGGTCCGTTCCAGCATTGGACGAATGTCTCGATGCACCAAAAACTCATCATCTGGCTTCGCACCCCATAATGTGGTCATAGCCCAATAGTCACGTAGACCTGACTGCATGTCACATAGATTGTCGAGAGTCAATCCCGTGTCCCTGGTGAGCTGTGGGTCTAGTACCGCGTTGAAGCTCTCTGTGAACTGTTCCTCAGTGTTTCCCTTAGCAGTCATTGCTGCAGTTGGATTGCGTTTTAGATCCTGCAGCAATGCACACATGAACTGCTTAGTGATTGAGCAAATTGGCATCTGAATCTCTGGCGTCATGGCAATGCGCTGGTCCATATCTGCGTGTCCCCAGACGCGCTGTGCGATGAGCTCACCATCTTTAATAACAGCAGCAGCACCGCCTGGTCCTCCATAGTGAAGAGTGATTAAGTTGAGGATATCCTGAATAGGGGTTGCCATTTTTTCGATGAAAATTTGATGTAGAAAAGTGAAATTAATTGTGCACTCCTGAGTTCTTACCAGTCTATATACTTGTTGCCCAGTTACGTTACAGAGTATCTGAAAGTGGATAGATTGAATGTGTCAAACTATTCCGGTTTAGTCTGTTTCGTCTGTGCTTTTATATGTTCTGTTTGCATTGTCCATCTACAACTTCCATTATACATAAGAACCAAAAGTCTTCCACTTGGGCAATATATGAAAGGTTTGCAGATGTGTCTTTCATGATTTAATCTCAGAGAGACATTCTTGCCCTGACTAACCATAGTTTAATTAGTATTTACTAAGCCTGCTATAAGTGAACAAGTTTGTCCGGCTATGAGCCCACCTATGATTGGATTATTAAGGCACGGATTAACGGAAGCTGGGATACCTATTTAGATCTTGGATCATGCCATGCCCAATATAAATACCTCAGGCCATTGTAATAGATCATATTTATTAATTAGTTCGTTTCAAGTTCCAGAAGTATCTTCAAAGTGGCCCATTCGGGAGTCTCTACTTCGGCTAATGAAGAACTTAGGTAGTAAAGAGTATATTCTCTTTTCTTCCCTTATCATCACTAAGTAATTAGGAGACTGTTTATTCACTCTGAAGTACATGGTAGTCTTTTCATGACTCTAGCATGATACGTCGATCCAAAATCTCCATTTACCCATAACCTGCAGGAATGCACTCCGCACTGAAGATATCCCCACATAGCCTAGGTACCTAGGTACAATGAAGGATGTCATAAAGCACGGAATCAGAGAGAAGGCCCAGAGAGATATACTAAATTACTAATTCAATTCAAATCCCAATAATTGAAAATTGCCTCTAAAACGGAGTGTTATTATATATACAAGGCTGTACAAGGCTGGAGGGATGTCTGCCCACTTTTCTCCTCTCACCACGTGCTTCCCCGCCTCCCCAGATTTTCTTAACTCCCCTTCTTTCCCAAATCTTACTAGGCATCGGATTTGCAGTCTGGCGGAGATACTGTTCTTTAATTCTTATCTGAAGTGTGATAAACTTTTCGGGGTCCAGATCCGGCCAAAAAATAGGATCACGAATACTAGGGTCGGCAATGACGCCTGACTTTTGACCCTCTGAGCCCTACTTTCTCAGTGATAACTAGTACTACTCACGAGTCAGGGATATCTAATCTCCACCTCGGTATCTCTCGGACCTGCCCGACTCTATGTCACAGGTCTAGACCCTGTGGAGAAGCATGTCGAATGCCTCTATTCAATTATTTGCAGAATCCTTCACTTCCTTCACTTCCCAGTCGCAATCCAATCGTATGCCCCAATCTCAGACTCCCGGTCTTGATACGCTTGCAGAGGGGTCGCAATATGCACTCGAGCAGTTGCAGCTATCACGCCAAGCTGGCGCGACACCCATCCTCAGAACCGATCGCCAAGGCAAACCTTTGAATAATCCCGAAACGTCGCAATCGTCATATTTGCAATCATACAATGAGCATCATCGCACACTTTCCACAGGGAGACATTCTTCTCAAACCCGTGACATCCTCATGGAGGCTCGCTCCGCTATTCGCAAAACTTCATCTGCAACTGGGGTGCGCCGAAGGATTAGTCGGGCCTGCGATCAGTGCAACCAACTACGCACCAAATGTGACGGGCAAAACCCTTGCGCGCATTGCATAGGTAATGATTATCCCTCAATTGATGTTTTCTCATCTAATAAATTTCTAGAGTTTGGATTAAGTTGTGAGTATGCACGACAGCGCAAAAAGCGAGGGAAAGCTTCAAAAAAAGATCTCGCGACGGCTACCATTGATGGCACCAAAGACAACAAAGACAGTCCTTCTGCACATGACAATTCTCCACCCTCAGAATCTCCACATGATGTCAATGGACCATATGACCCGAATTTTCCTGAGCCAGCGCATACAATACTGCACGATTCCATCCAAGGGGTGCCCAGAATGCATCAGAACTCGAACTCCACGTCAAGTGTACATCCACCACAGTCAATAGGATCAAATATGGACGGTAATTCTCTGAACTACGGAAGTTTATCAGAATCAAATCGGCCCCCGATCTCCGTATCCGACTTGCGGTCTCTTCACATGATGCAACAGTCGAATGGGAATATTCGGCCGACACCAGCAATGATGCACCCTCAGGGATTCGGGGCTGGCTATCACGATGGCTCTTACCAGATGATGAACACACATGAGATAGCCCAAACTCCAATCAACACCCAATTTCGACTTCCAGGCTCGGCAGAAAGCCCACCCGCTTCATTCATGGGATTCACACCTCCAGCACAGTCGCCCAGCTGGCTTCCTCTCCCCTCTCCAGCTCCTGCCCACTTTCCATCCTTTACAATAGCGCCATTTCCAAGTTCATTGAGATACCCTGTCTTGCAGCCCGTTCTTCCTCATATTGCTTCTATTATCCCTCAGTCTCTTGCCTGCGATCTCCTAGATGTTTACTTTACTAGCTCTTCTTCATCTCACCTCTCACCATCATCACCATACGTCGTCGGTTTTGTCTTTCGCAAGCAATCATTTCTCCATCCGATCAAGCCGAGAGTATGCAGCCCCGGTCTATTGGCTAGTATCCTCTGGGTGGCAGCACAAACCAGCGAAGCCGCATTCTTAACTTCCCCACCATCCGCACGAGGCAGAGTCTGCCAAAAGCTTCTTGAATTGACCGTGGGGCTGCTTCGGCCGCTCATTCACGGGCCAGCCACGGGGAGGGCCTCGCCCAATTATCCTGCAAGCATGGTCATCAATGGAGTTGCTCTTGGTGGATTCGGTGTCTCTATGGACCAAATAGGTGCACAAAGTAGTGCAACGGGTGCCGTGGACGATGTGGCGACGTATGTTCACCTGGCCACAGTGGTTTCAGCAAGCGAATATAAAGCAGCTAGCATGCGCTGGTGGACTGCAGCGTGGTCTCTCGCACGAGAACTCAAACTGGGTCGCGAGATGCCACCTAATACAGCTCGTCAAGATGGCGAACTAGAAGGAGAAGAACTAGATCAAAATGGGAACAAAAGGCAATCCTCATCCTTTCTGAACCCCATGGGCCAGGGACCTGGTAATTCAGTTATCAATTTAACGGAAGAGGAACGTGAAGAACGCCGACGCATCTGGTGGCTTCTATACGTAATGGATAGGCACCTATCTCTGTGCTATAATCGCCCATTAACACTACTAGATAAAGAATGCGAAGGCCTCTTGCAGCCCATGAATGACGACCTTTGGCAAGCAGGCGATTTCTCAGCTACTAGCTATCAGCGTGCGGGTCCCGCCTTTGAATGCACCAGCCATAGCATGTTCGGCTATTTCCTACCTCTGATGTCGATCCTTGGAGAGATTGTGGATTTACAGCATGCTCGAAATCATCCACGGTTTGGTCTTCATTTTCGTAATAGCGGTGAATGGGAAAGCCAGGCTGTTGATATTACTCGGCAGTTAGATGTCTATGCCCAGAGCTTGAAGGATTTTGGGGCCCGATATACCAATTCTCTGACTCGCGACAACGAGATGGCCATGGAAGGATCGCACATGAACCATATTAGTCCCTCTGATCGTTCAAGCTCCACTGGCGGATCGCACTTTCATGAATCCATCGTACATACGAAGATGGTTGTCGCGTACGGCACGCATATCATGCATGTTCTTCACATTTTGCTGGCTGGTAAATGGGATCCCATCAATCTCCTCGACGATAATGACCTCTGGATTTCGTCTGACTCTTTTGTCACCGCAATGGGCCATGCCGTCAGTGCCGCCGAGGCAGCTTCTGACATTCTAGAATATGACCCGGACCTGAGTTTCATGCCATTTTTCTTTGGAATCTACCTTTTGCAAGGAAGTTTTCTCTTGTTGTTGACAGCGGACAAGTTGGCAGCAGATTCTAGTCCCAGTGTTGTCAGGGCATGTGAGACGATTGTTCGGGCTCACGAGGCGTGTGTTGTGACTTTGAACACGGAATATCAGGTAATTTACCCTTGATAGCTGTTATGTATTACGCTAATTCAGTATCGCAGAGAACCTTCCGTAAAGTAATGCGCTCAGCTCTTGCTCAAGTTCGAGGCCGTATTCCGGAAAATTTCGGTGAACAGCAACAGCGTCGCCGTGAAGTGATGGCCGTCTACCGTTGGAGCGGAGATGGCAGCGGCCTCGCTCTGTGAGTGTCTCTGAGCCTCATATAAGAACACTCATTAGTGCTGCTCTGTTGATCCTTGTCGCTGATCGAACTCCTCTTCTTCTATATGCCTTCTCCTTCTCTGCAGGATTGCATTGATCAATATGCTTCTGGTATTCAAATGATTGATACGAAGGACTATTGGATGCACATTTTATATTATTGTCTGTACTTCTGTACGATATCTCACAGACATACCCATGGCGCAGAGGAATGCACATATGTCTTGTCTACTTCTTACTTGACGAGTAAAATATTGTACAAAAAATAGCATTGAATTCATTAATACTCTAAACAATTGAGCCCTGGAAGAGTATCGATTTTTTTTTTTTTTTTTTTTTTTTTTTTTTTTTTTTTCACTTCGAATAGAATACCTACAAAGTATTTGCGGAGGCGGAGGAGCCGCTGGAGTATTTATGTTGGATCGGGAAATGCCAAATTGCGGCCCCACTTGAGCTCAAGCCCACCACAACGTCTAGTATTTTATCGGTTAACCTACATAAAACCATGAGGTCCGTCATCGGTATTCCAGCAGTGCTCGCTCTTGTGTATCGTGCCTGGTCTCGCAAGTCACTGACGCCACTGGGTCTGGTGGTGGCCGGAGCGTCCGGGGCCGCACACGTCTTGCACCCATGGTCAACACCCTTTGCCCTGCTCGCGATATTTTACTTCGGAGGCACGAAGGTGACCAAGGTAAATGAGCTATTCCATCATATTAATCTCTGTGATTCGTCCTTATCCACAAAAAAACTCATTCTCCGTTCGATGCTAGGTAAAACACGAAATCAAAGCGCGGTTAACACTCTCAGCCAGCGGCGCAGATGGTGAAGGTCCTCGGAATCATATCCAGGTACTGGCCAACTCAGTCGTTGCAACAGTGCTTAGTATAGCTCATGCGATCGTTCTCAACAACTCGTCCTCGGATTCGTGTTTCTCTCTCGGCCACAATGCGGCGGATATCCTCATGGTTGGAATAGTGGCGTACGTTGTCTAGAATAGACCTTAGTGTGAAACATTGCTAATATTTACTTTTCAGAAACTACGTCGCCGTCGCCGCTGACACCTTCTCCTCAGAACTGGGCATCCTATCCAAATCCAAGCCTCGTCTCATTACGTCCCTGAACCTGCGTGAAGTGCCTCCGGGTACAAACGGCGGTGTGACTGCCGCTGGACTCGGAGCTGGTCTACTTGGGTCATTCACTGTCGCTCTTACATCTGGAATCTTGCTTCCATTCTGTCCAGGGAGATCGGGGATTAAGGAGCGTGCGCTGTGGACTGTGGCTCTGACATTCTGGGGCTTGTTGGGAAGTGTGCTGGACAGTGTTCTTGGTGGGCTTCTACAGGCGAGTGTCGTGGATAAAAGAAGTGGCAAAGTCGTAGAAGGTAACGGCGGTCAAAAGGTATGTGTCCGCTCTTCTGTTCCGACTTCTTAAATCCATACTCATACATAATCAGGTTCTTGTTCATCCTGCTGCCACCAAGCCAGGCAGTTCGGAGAGTACATCCGCAGAATCCACAGGCAGTCAACCCCACTCAGCCGAACCTGGTGCCAGTTTACGAAGCAGCCGTGCGACGGGCGCACAGGTGGGACCTCACAGTGATGCAAGTCATGAGAGCCGACGTATTGAAAGCGGCCATGATTGGCTAGATAACAACGGGGTGAATGTGCTTATGGCGGCCACTATGAGCTTGGGGGCCATGGGAATTGCCCGGATCGTTTGGGGCGTGGATGTTCGAGAGCTACTACAATTGGCCTAGTACTCTCACTAGTTACTGTGGTGAATGGAATGAGTTCGTATTTGGAAATGCGTATCCCACGTATCAGATTTCTTTTTTTTTTTTTCGGGTGACAGCTACTCCATATGTCTCGCGTTAATAATGACCATCTCTCGGAATCAATATCTATGGATATATCTACTACATACCCAGGTATGTACTCCGTACCAAGGTAGGTATGTACACAGTAGCTGTAAAAGGAATATAGTCCGATGACTAAGTATAGTTTGCCAAGACCGGCGGGAGTATAGTCTAGACTCTAACCACAGCACGTGGGGTGAATCTGGGGTTCTATAGGAAGAACCATAGTTAGTCCGCTGCCAAGAGAAGATATAATCATAAGATATAGTGTGATAGAGAAGTTTGCCAAGTCCGCCAAGATCGTCTACGGAGTACTCCGTTAACCTCAAACCTCTTCCATAGTTATCGACTTTCACGTAAATTGGTAGCGAAAATGCCTAGGGGCCGCCACTGCCAAGTCAAATCGAAGGACAAGCTTCTACGAGTCACCTTAGCACGTGTGTCTTACTTTTGCACGTGTGTCTTAAATTTCTGGTAGTGAACGTATCTAGAGAGGCCAAAGGCCTGCCAAGGGGGCAACTTCAAGCCCAGGTTGACTAAAGCAGTTGTGAAAATTGCCATGGTTCACCTTAGGTGTGTGAAAATTAAGCAATGGAAAAAAAACCCCCAAATATTATAAAGGGTCTTTATTCTCTCACTTTCCATTCCCTCTCCTCCGTATCCATCGACTTCTTTGAATCTACACATTCAATTTAGGCTATCGCCTACCATCCAACATGCCTTTGCATAAGTACGATTACATCTTCGGCATCGGCACGGTGTTTGCCATGCTTGATGCCTACAACAACGGCGCGAGTGAGTCTTAACATGGAAATGTTCTCCAAGCATGGCGACTTTCTCAACTTTTCCCAATTTCGGTATTGACATATCACCTAGACGATGTTGCCAACTCATGGGCAACCAGTGTTTCATCTCGATCCGTGAGCTATCGTCAGGCTATGGTTCTCGGAACCGTCTTCGAATTCCTCGGAGCTGTCTGCGTCGGATCCCGTACTGCGGAGACCATCAAGAACGGTATCATCCCCGCTTCAGCGTTCAAGGACAACGCCGGTGTTCAGATGTTGGCCTTTGCTTGTGCCCTAGCTGCCGCCTCGTCTTGGGTGATGTGGTGCACCCGTCACTCTGCCCACGTCTCGTCGACTTACTCTCTTATTTCCGCTGTCGCTGGTGTCGGTGTTGCAACTGTCGGCGCCTCTCAGGTTCAGTGGGGCTGGAACAATGGCAAGGGTCTTGGTGCTATCTTTGCTGGACTGGGAATGGCTCCTATCATCTCGGGTATCCTTGGTTCGATCATCTTTTCTCTGATCAAATACACCGTGCATAAGCGCCGCAACCCTGTTCCTTGGGCTGTCTACAGCTCACCCTTCTGGTTCCTCGTTGCTGCAACCATCTGCACCCTGTCGATCGTCTACAAGGGTTCGCCCAGTCTTGGTCTTAGCAAGAAGCCTGGTTGGTACATCGCCGCTGTGACCCTGGGTACCGGATTCGGTGTCTGTCTCCTCGCAGCCGTCTTCTTCGTTCCTTTCGTCCACGCCCGTGTCATCAAGAAGGATCACAGTGTCAAGTGGTGGATGTTCATCCTAGGCCCTCTTCTGTTCAAGCGGATTCCCCCCACCGAAAATGAGACTGCGTTTGTTCCCAACTACGCCGTCGTCCAGGAAGAAGAAGAAGAGTCTCCATCTTCCGTGCACAAGCATGATTCCATCGAGAAGGACCCTCATGATTCCATCTACCCTTCCGACAGCCACGAGCACGAAGCAGTTGTTGCCGAGTCTGCTCAGCTTACCTACAAGCAGCTTATGGCCCAATCGGACGCCAAGCACCGCGAGAAGCTTCTCAGCAGCCGTGGTCCCCTCGGCTGGGCCATGCGTTTCCTGCGTGATAACCCCATGGGCGCTGGTGAGATATACGAGCGCCGCAACATGTGGCTCCTTCTGAAGCGTATTCCTGCCATTATTTTGTGCGGATTGCTGTATGGTTTCCACTATGATATCCACTCTGCCCAGAGTGGTATTCACGGCACCCCCGAAGGCCTCCGCATGAAGCGAGTCTACGACGCCGCTGAAAAGTACCCTAACGAGGTTGAGCACACATATTCCTTCGTCCAGGTTCTTACTGCTTGCACCGCTTCCTTTGCCCACGGCGCCAACGATATCGGTAACTCCGTCGGTCCCTGGGCCGCCATCTACGCTGCCTGGTCGACTGGAAGCCCCGCTGCCGCCAAGTCCCCTGTTCCCGTCTGGCAACTCGCCGTCATGGCCCTTTGCATTTCGATTGGTCTTGCTACATACGGTTACAACATCATGAAGGGTAAGCTAAACCGCCGCTTTTCATCCAATTTCCCAACTTTTACTAACTGATTCATTTAGTCATGGGTAACAAAATCACCTACCACTCTCCTAGTCGTGGTTCCAGCATGGAATTGGGTGCCGCCCTCACTGTCCTCATTTTCTCGCAGTACTCGTTGCCCGTCTCGACCTCCATGTGCATCACTGGTGCCACTGTCGGTGTCGGTCTCTGCAACGGAACCCTGAAGGCTGTTAACTTCCAGCGTGTGGGACTTTTGTTGCTTGCTTGGATTATGACCATCCCCATTGCCGGTACCATTGGTGGATGCTTGATGGGCCTTTTCATTAATGCTCCTCACTTTTAGACCGTGATTAGCATTTTGTCTAGTGTATGATTTCAATGTCTTTGTCTGCTAATACTTAATCGTATGGACTCACGAAAGTCCCAAAATTTCGGGTTTTCTATCACTCTGTTCTTTCCTCTCTTCGTAGGATTTTAGATCTAGCACTGTGCCACTCAGATAGTGTAGACCAGTAAACTGGTGCACCATCACTAATAGAAAATAATTACTGACAATATTTATCTGTTCGGATCTTTAAGCATTTTATGATCTCTCATCATGCAAACGGCTCGCGCTATATTTCATGGCTTCGAAAGTTGAAGTCCGTGAATTTCCCAGGACATTGTCATTCCCCAACTTTTCAAGTCTTTCATTACAAATATTCCTTTCCTATTCCAAGGTTTCCACATACTCTTAAATCTCCTAATGCTTTTGTGCTGATCTACATCTTCTTATCACTTCTGCTTTTTTCCTTGAGAAGGGATCATCAACGACTTCCACCAGGTCCAAAGCCGCTTCCACTAATTGGGAATATCCGTCATCTCCCTAGGTCATCCATTTTTTCTATATCAAGATAATGGCACAAGACTTATGGCCTTATCATCGGCATTCGGATTGGTCCTAAAGTACTGGCGTTATTAGGTTCTCACGATGTCGCCCACGAGCTTCTGGGAAAACAGAGCTCATGTCCCAAGATTCTATAACTTAAACGAGTAGTGCAGGATGCCATGCTAATCAGCCTTCCCTATGGTGAGCAATGGAGAAGCTACCGACGGTTTCTAAACTCAATTCTCAAAGTCGACGTGAGCAAGAAGTACCGGGGGTTTCAGGATCTTGAGTCTAAGCATATTCTCTAGGAGATGCTAGAATCTGATGATATTGAGAAAGCTTTAACTTGATATTCATATAGTTTAGTGTCAATCTTGAATTATGGGAAAAGATACCTAAAATAAGACTTAATGGAAATTATAACGATGCAAGATTTAATTCAAGATTTGTATCGTGAGCTTGTGTTCATAAATTGCTTCTTCTACTCGGTACCATTTATTGGGTCCTTTCTTAATCACCGAGACACTATAAGTTTGAATAGCCATGAAAATGAGCCTCTCTTAGCCATGTTTTGGAAAAGAAGAGCAGCCCTGCTATCCTAGGTAGAGGAGCTTTGAACATGAAGTCCGGTCTTGCCGCCAAGATAGCAGCTCTCGCCTTAATCAATGCCCGCCAAACCACACTGCGGGGAGATATGATTTTCGCGGCAGTGTTTGGACGAAAAAGACAAATTTTAGGGAAACCAAGATCTAATTGCTGCTAGGTGGCATACAGATAGGCTTTCATTCCAAAGCCTACCAAGTATATCCTCATTACTGCGTATAAAGGCTTTCTCTAGGTCGAAGTCGACATTCTCGGCACGGCGGCTCACTGGTTGGATCCAACTTCTAGGCTGGTCGGTTTCCCACTATGGTAGGCCAATATCAATGCCAGGGTCCAATCTATTGACAGAGATTGTGGATCACATGTCGTCGTGCAGGACCCTATACTAACTTCAGGCTGGTACCGTGACAGTTGGACTGCGTGGGTTTGTTCTTCAATGGCATAGCATTAGTTAAAATGAAGAGCAGCAAATGTCGGCCAAGGAAAGCGTACATCTTATTTAGACATCGCTGGAAGCCTCAATCAGAAGAAGATATCAGGTTGACTATCTGCTTAGCATGCCTGCTGTCTTTGAAGCTTTCTCGCAAGATAATGGCCATAACCGAATATAGCGTAAATTCCGCACGCAATAAGAAAGGGTAAAAAGGGACTCCTTATATCACGAACAATTTTCAGGGCACTGTAATAATAAACAAGCAAAATTACTATCATTGCCCTATTTAATACTGTTAATAAAGCAAAATTTACTCTGTAATTGGGTACTTACTTGATAGGATGTTTTGCAGAAGGAGCTATAAGGTAGTTAACAACGAGGTTGTTAGGATAAGATCTCACAAGAAGGCCTGCATCGAGTACCTAAGTGGACGATCGCTCATTTCTTGTAGGGGCATCTGAGAGTGTATTCTCAGTCTTCGGTAGTAAATCACTCTCCATTTTGATGAATAGATAGATGCCCAGACAGAGAAATATTAGTGGACCAAATTTTTGAAAAAAAAAAAAAAAAAAAAAAATTCTCCGGAGGGGGTTATGGTATTCCCTTTAAGCCCCCTATCGGATTCAAGTTACTAACTACTACTATTTCATTGTATGACACAGTACACGGTATAGATAAAATAAAGTACGTTAACCCACTTTTATTGACCGCTGCATATGTGGGTCCAGATGGTGTCAGCAATGGATATTAGCAAATTTGATAAATATCAGTTGAAGTTGACTTTAGTCCTTTACTATTTATATACCTACATAAGGTGATCAAGAAGGACAAAGGCTGCATTTTATTATTGTATGAGAACAATTGTTTTGATTAATTCATATTTGTCCTTTGAAATCTATTATTGACAAGAGAGGACATCTGTTAGTCGACAAACTTAACAACCTGCCGACATGGCCGCCGAGCTTGTGACTCTTATTGCTCTGACTGATTTAGTTGATTCAGTCTGATCAGTCGGTTCTGCTTCATCGCCCATCCCGTCAGATCCGGTCGCACAGGATCAATTCGTGGGGCGCTCATTGCGTCCAGATAATCTTCGATATCAAGTGCTGCTTCAAGCTGCGGGAGCTCTTCTGGAGCTTTATCCACCATGTAATCTTCATAAACAGACCAGGCCTCTTCGGTCTGAAAGGAAATTTAAGGAAGCAAAAGTCAGACCACTGTCAATGGGATAAAATTGAGAGTAAGCAGGATAAGAACATACCTCTGCATCTACCCAATCAAATTTCGTCCATACTTCCTCCGACATCCGCTGTAGGAGATCCAGATTGCCCGTCAGCATTGCACTTGCGTCTTCTGAATTCCTGACTTTCATATCCACAACACGCGGTACGAATTCGCTTTCCTCTTTGGCGCGGACCATCCGCTGGGGCATCTCATCCAACGCATCGATGTGATGCAGCTGGGGTTGTAATTGAACGACAGCGGTAACTGGAGATAAAAACATGTTTTCTGAAAAAGATTAGAAATTAAAGATTAGCATTCCAGACCTCTCTCACAAAGCTCCCATAACCAGGATTCAATGGTTATCATACTGCCTTGAAATGTAGCCAGCATATGAACTGGATCCCCCTCCTCCGGTGTCTTAATACGTCCACCCAATGTTTGCGTCTGGAGCTTTGAGTTTTCATCGAAAGCTTGATGTTTCTTTCCCGTAGCAGTTTCGCCCGTCTTTGCCTTGGCTGCTCGCACAGCGCCGCTACCCACGGCACCGGAGTTGAAACCACCGCCCATACCAAAGCCGCCAGTGGCGAGACTGTGGTCTAGCGCGTCGCCGTATTTAGCAGCCTTGCCATGATCGTAGTTGACGTGAGTGTTGATAGGGACCTCGACCTCGACGATGCCGGTGTTGAGTTTCATTCGGAGCGCTATTGGCTTCTGGTCTCGGCTCGCGTTGTAGGGTAGCTTGGAAGGGCGGTCAACATATTGGAAAACGTGACGTTGGATTTCAGAATCTGTTAGGAAGATGTCGTATGAGGCGATGACTGGATCGTCTTCTGAATCCATAATGAAAGTTGGTGTTAATAATAAATTTGGTGGATTTTTTTCTCGGTGATAAGCGGGGATGACTGGCAGGAAAAAGAGCTATCTTCACCGCCCTATTATAGACAGTAATTATTGGCTGAGGCATTCCGCCTATCTAACCCTATCATACACGTGACCTACGATAACGAAGGTCATTTACTATTCCTAGACGCGATCTGATCAAAATGAAGAAAAGTTTATGGCATGAGCTAAATCACTAATTTATCAAAAAAAGAAGGCTTCTGTTCATATATACTGATTGGAAGAAAAAAGACATAGACACGAAAGTATATAAACAATAAAGAAAATGTTTTCGAGGTTGGACATTGGTTCCAAGTTAAGTCAATATTTACTCATTCTCCTCATCTTCGGCAACCTGCAGAATAACCATTAGTAACGAAAAAAAAAAAAAAAACATGGAAGTTACACAGTAGAGTCTTCACTTACACCATCGTGGAAGTTGGTTCCATCAGTGGTAGCCTTGATGATACCAGCACGGATACACCAGTCACCGAAACGCTCGGGTGTCTCGCCATCAGTGTTGCGCTCCTTGGAGTATCGCTTGAACAGGTCCTTCGTGATCTCGAGGATCTCATCCTCCTTGATCGAAGAGCGGTAGCGCTTGTTCAGGCGCTGGCCGTGGTAGCCACCGCCCAGGTACATGTTGTAGGCACCGACTGCCTTACCGACGAAGGCGATCTCGGCGAGCCAGGGGCGGGAACAACCGTTGGGGCAACCAGTCATACGCATCACAATGCTGTCGCGGGATAGGCCGTTCTCCTCGAGGCTATCCTCAAGCTTGGAGATCAGGACGGGGAGATAACGCTCAGACTCAGCCAAGGCGAGACCACAAGTTGGCAAGGCAACACAGGAAGAAGATGACAGACGCAGTCCGGAGAAGGCGGTGTTGTCAAGCTTGTACTTGGCCATGGTTTCCTTGATGAGAGGCAGATCCTCATCGGCGATGTTGGACAGAATCAGATGCTGGTTACCAGTGAGACGGAACTGGCCCTTGTCGAGCGAGGCGATCTCACGGAGACCAGTGCGCATCTTGAAGTCGGCGGTATCCTCGATACGACCGTTCTCGATGAAGAAAGTGAAGTGGTTGAGACCTGTCTCGTCCTTGATCCAGCCCCAGGTGTCGACGTTGGACACGAACTTGAATGGACGGGCCTCGCCGAACTTCTGGCCCTCAGGCAAGAGGTCCTCGACCTTGCTGCGGAAGACGTCGATGCCCATGTCGTCAATGGTGTACTTGAGACGGGCGTGCTTGCGGTTCTTGCGGTCACCGAAGTCACGCTGCACAAGCATAATCTTCTCGCAGGCGATGTGAGCCTGGTCAGCAGGGACATATCCGAGCATGCGACCAACCTGGGGGTATGTCTTGTTGTTGTTGTGAGTAGAACCCATACCACCACCAGCAAGAACGTTGAAGCCCTCAAGGTGTCCATCAGCACCCTTGATGGCAATCAGACCAACATCGTGGGCGTACACATCAGTGTCATTGTGGGGAGGAATGGCAATGGTGACCTTAAACTTGCGGGGAAGGTAAGTAGGGCCATAGAGGGGCTCGGAATCCACTACAGCGTCACCGGCAACCTGGACCTTCTTGTCGTTCTCATCCTTCAGCCAGATCTCGTGGTAGGCGGTAGTCGAGGGGAGGAGGTGATTGCTGATCCTCTGGGACACAGTCCAGGTCTCGTGGTGGAAGTGGGAGGCCTCGGGGAAGGAACTGCACATAACGTTACGGTTCACGTCACCACAGGCAGCGATGGTCGTCATCAGAGCCTTGTTAATAGCACGCATGGCGCCACGGAGGTCGCGCTTGACAACACCGTGGAACTGGAAGGTTTGTCGGGTTGTGAGCTTCATGGTCTCGTTACCGTGCGAGCTGCTGATTTCATCCATCTGCACCCACTGTCTTGGGGTAGCAACACCACCAGGGAGACGGCAACGAATCATGAAGCCGTAAGCAGGCTCAAGACCCTGGGCCTTGCGCTCTTCGCGGAGATCGCGATCATCTTGAATGTAGGTACCGTGGAACTTGGTCAGCTGCTGGTCAACGGCACAGATGGCACCAGTAGACTCGTCTGCGAGACCCTCGGCAATAGTGCCGCGCAGGAAGTTCGACTGAATCTTCATGTCCTCGTTGGTCAGGGGAGCGGGCTCCTCGGGAAGACCCTCAACCTTGTCAACACCCAGGGCTTGCCAGAGGCGGGGCTCCCATTCAGAATAGCCAGTCTGGTAGGCATCAGGATCCTGATCATCACCGAGACCAAGATCAGTAAGCTTGCTGCCACCGAGGAAAGCGATTCGAGCATCGAGGTCCTTCGCGGGCTTGTTGTAGTAGATCTTATCCTCCTTGCGGGGCCAGTAGTGGCTGTCACCCAGACCGAAGACGGAGTATTTGATGGAAGACAAGTCAAGATCACCAGAGTTCTTGACGTGTTCCCAGAGACTGCGGCCGTTGACGGGGAATTCACCCTGACCAGCAGAGCTGCTGATGAAGACGACATTCTCTTCAGTGGCCAGATCCTCAATAGGATACTCATCCATAGCGAAGACCGAAGTCTTCAGACCACGGGCACGGCCGCGGTTACCCAGGCGGTTGGCAATGTTCTGTGCGTTGCCACCATCGGAAGCAACCAGAATGGTCAGAGGAGCGCCGAAGAGACCGTCCAGGAGCTTCTCATAGGAGTCCTTAGCCTTGCGCTTCTGCACGGCACGAACCTCGGTACCATAAGATTCAGAAAGCACAGAAGCAAACTTGGGCTGGCGGCTCATAAGCTGGGTAAGCTGGTTGTCCCGGTCGAGGAACTGCTCCAACTCCCGCTTAATTCTCTCAGAGTCCAAAGAAAATCTATTAGTCTCATTGTCGGGGTTCCAGCGGTACAAGGGCCAGTAACCGAGGTCAACAGCCTTCTTGGTCTCCTGGAGAACAGTGAGAGCAGAGTCATCCTCCTTTAGGTAGGGTAGATAAGCAACAACGACTGAAGGGCCCTTGAACTGCTCAGCTTCGGCCATAGCCTGGAGAACCTGGGTGTACGAGCTGTAGACTGCAGTGGACGCAACGTAGGCATTGCCAAAGTTCATGGCGTAGAGACCAATATCCTTCTTACGGCGGGTGGGATCTGCGGCGGCACGCTCAGAGTATGGTTGCGAGTCAATGATCAGCATGTTGACGTTAGCACCAGAGGCCAGAACGTGATGAACACCGGAGTTACCCAGGTCATAGGCCCAGGCATCGGAGCCAATGAGCCACTGAGATTCCTCAAAGAAAAGCTGCTTGGACTTCAATAGCTGGTTAGACAGCTCCGAGGCATCCTCAGAGAGGTGAGCGATCACATCAGGGGCGATGCTGTTAGCCTTGGAAGCATCGTTGGCGCTCAAGGCCCACTTGGACAACCAGGTCTTGGTGTTGTCAGTGGAGAAAGTGGAAGACTTGGAAGCTTCCTCGACCTCCCGGACAAATCGGGCGCGGTGTTCCTTGCGAGCAATCAAGGAACCAAATCCGTACTCAGGGCTGGCGGCGATCTGGGAAGAGACACCGGCATTCTGGGCACCGAGTTGGTTTGCGATGTAAAGACGCTCACCAAAGAGCTGGTTCAGAATCTTGAGGTAGGCATTCTCAAGTTGAGGCTGCTCGAGAGCGGCCAGGGCCTCGGGGACCTTGGAGCTTCCGATTTCCAAGTTTTGAATGGGCGATGCAGCATTCAAGTTCTGAAGAGCTCCACGAAGGGCCTGAACAGCGGTAGTAGGGTCCACGTGTCCGAGCCGGTAGCCGACAATCTTAAGAGACAAAGAAGTCAGGCTAGACAGCAGGTCCATGAAAGACGGACCCCACTTGGTGGTCTTGCGAACCTGCTCCAAAACGGCAATTTTCTCAACAGAACTTGGGATCGACTTGGCAAACTGACCACCGATCCATGGGCGATACAGGCGAGCGGTGATAAGACCGACGTTATTAAGTTCGCTGTTGGCCTCCGCATTGGCCAAAGCATTCGCAAAGACACCAGAGGAGCCGAAGACAAAGACGGCAGACTTAGCATCAGTAGGACCGGTATATTCGATAGCCTTGTAGGTGCGGCCAGTGCCTTGAGCAAGAGCAGTCCAAATCTGAGTAGTAAACGCAAAGATATCAGCCGAGTTGACTTCACGGGAGCTGGGGGTCTCAATAGTGGTAGCTTCTGTGACCTCGCTTCCGACACTACTCGCGCGGTTGGATGAGCCAACAGAAGAGTTATCAGCGCTTGGACTGGAAGGGGTCTGAAGCACATCCAAGCTAGTCGGGACAATCACTGCCTCAGTATCGACAGTGGCTGCACGGCCAGAGTCGACATACAGAGTCTCAGCTCCAGTAGATTCATGAGAAACAGAATTTCCTGCCAGGTGAAGAATCTTCTTCACAAGATCATAATCCTCGGTGGCAATTGCTGCATCCTGGACAGAGTTGGCAGGGTCGAAAAAGTGAATGACACCCTTTCCGGACTTAAGAGCTAAAGCATGAGCGGTGATGGCAATATCTTGAGCCTCTTGCACAGTCTCGGAGTGCAGGAATGTGAAGCCACACTGGCGAATTGAGCTGATCACGGAGTAGTCGGGGGTCGAAGAGGACTCCAGAGCTACATGGATGACAACGGGGTAGTTGGCGAGGCGGTACAGGTGAGGAACTGAGGTGATCAAGATCGAGGACCCAGTAACGACAGACACAGTCTCGCCCTTTTGCAGTGGGTAGAAGGCAGACAGAATGGGGTCTTCATTATAACGCACAGTTTGCACCTGAGAGGGTTTAGTTAAGATGGAACTGATACCAAATTTATGTACGTTTTCTCACTCACCTCCGGGGTGCCTCTTGACAGTGCACTTGTTGTATTGTTTGTCTTTAGGGACTTAAGGGACTTGGAAAACAATGAGTCGGTTCTTAGAGACGGCTGCACAGATAGGACGAGGTCACTGGACAGGTAGGCAATTCTGGCCACTAATAGAGAATAGAATGAGCGACTGATCATAAAATGGTTGGAAGATATCTCCGATGAACATACCTGCTTCACCAGCAGTTTGAATGGAGGCCATGACTCAATGGTGAATAGTCTAGGGTAGGAAGGAAGCGGGGGTTAGGAACCACAGGGCGATACCTATAGGCTTATCGGGGCTGCGATCTCCCAATATAAACCACACGGTAAACACTAACACAGAAGGAGACAAATTCAATGTTCCTAGCTGAGCTGATTATATCCAAATTATCAAACGACGGTAGAAATACAGTATAGAAGGAGGCAAATTCAATGTCCCACTCTAACATGAATATATTCAAATTATCAAACGAAAAAGTCGCCAATCTCGGCCATCGGGGTCTGATCATCAACATCCTGATTGGTCAGTGATCACGACATCAGTGCAAACCCACAATTTTATCGATGCAAACGTGCCGCTTTTAGAATAGTGTCAGAGTCACCTGACTCTGACAAAGCACGTCATTCTCCCGAGATGAGTCTTGTTTTGTGCCAATAGTGTAATAGCGATTATAAATTTTCAGTACTTAGTAGTAGTGACAGTGCACTCGAACCAGCTCGAATTAACTCAACAACTGGGCCTCGGGATTCTTGTTTCACCAGTCATTAGCCATCTCGGGGTTTGCCTATGGCTGTGGCATGATTAGGACTGCGTAGTAGCTATAGCACAGAGTACAATATGTAAATAAGGTTTTCATTTAAGTGTAGAGTAAGAAAAAGCAAAAAATTAACACTAGTTCGGGATCCTTCCGGATCCTTCGGTATCAAGGGGAAAAGAGAAAAAAAATGATCGACGCAGGGTTCGAACCTGCGATCTCCCGCGTGTAAAGCGGGCGCCTTAACCACTGGGCCAGTCGATCTTTGATGATATAAATTCGATATTATTAGCATTAAAGGCTACATTTACACTGATCGTTCTTTCCGTCTTCATTACGTGATTGCTTTTTTGCGTCCACGGATATGATCTTACTACCTAGGTAGGTGAGGACTATGGATCAGATGAGTGGTTCCGACCCTCTTGAGCCGACCCTCTTGAGCCCGCTCACGTTGACAATGGAAGTACGTGCAGGAGCATTGCGTTAACAAAGGTGTTTTAGTTTGAAATTAACTAAAGACCACTAGTCTGTCGTATACTCAAAATCATCGATAATCCTATTATCCAGCTTCCGAAACATGAACTAAAACCCAGCGATGATAGTCAGCTGTAATCCTACCAAAATATTGACCACCACCGCCAGCGGCAGCGGTCTCGCATTGATCAGCATCACGAACGCATAATATACAGCAGTGGCGTCTGACGGTCCAAGCTCCCGAGCTCAAGAGCTCCAGGAATATGAAGGTTGATACTAGGAAAAGAGAGACATTGAGACCATGCTCCATATCTAGGATCTCCCGCGGTCGATAATGAAAGACTTGGTGACAAAGAAAAAAAACAAAGGGTATCATTAATCGAAATACATCCTAGCCCCTGGTATATAAAACGCCCGCATAGTCCATAACTTCCTAAAAATCTGGAACTTCAATACCGTTCAATCCTGCGCCCCTTAGACAAATTCTTCCATACACCAACAACAAAAGCATGCAGCATGACTTCCATGATCAAAAATATACCAGGACCAACAACACCTCCATCCCAACTCTCCTTGAGCGCCAGCCCAAAGAGAGAAGACTCTAAATCCTGAGGACTGACTCGAATAGATTGGCCGCCATGACAGATTTCATAAATTTTAGGTCCAGAGTTATCAATCCATATTGAGGGTTGTGAGGCCATGGATCTGGATCTGGATCTTCCTGCGCGGAGTATGCGATGCCGAACTCGATTTGAGATCCCTTTAAGTACTTTGAATGTGAGGCCGTATTCGAGTAGACCGATGATTCCACTGGCGGATGTCATCATTTCTTCGAATGTTATGTTGAATTGCTCTGTCGGTGTGCCGACTAGGTAGGTCCCAGCTGTATCAACTTGTATACCGAAAGACTGGGATTTGTTAGACAGGGATACCTGAGTAGTTAGAGTGGGTGAACATACATTTATAGTGTTTATATGAGGGTTCGAGGACAATATTGGAGCTCTGGCGTTGGGATATAAGGATTTCCTTGAAGAATTTAAGGAATCACTTCGAAGTCGAAGATAATCATAGCAGACAGACATTTTTTCAGAATGTAAACCTTGGAATGTTCTGTTCAGTTAAGTTGATTTGGAAAATAACTGGGTAGATCCAGTCCTTAAAGAAGAGATTTACAGGATCTGGGGGTGTAAACTTATATACATCACACAAAGTTCATACCTGTCTCTAACACCACCTTCAGATAACTCGATGCAATATTTGTTACAGCCCATATTCATTCCCCACTCTTTATTGCTTGTTCGTATTTCTGACATATCGGGTATCGATTGGGCGTCTTGATGGCTACACTCTACATAGTTAGTCTAGATCGGATATTAAAATACGCCAATACGTATACGGAATAGAGATACGATCAGGGCTTAGAAAAAATGTGATGAATGTAGAAATGCATAAATTAGATTTTCGATCAATCTTGCAGATTTGACCCACAATAACCCCTAAAACTTCTAAACTCCTGAATATTGAAACGGGATGAAACGGATACGCGTACAGAGTCACTATGTTACCAAGGTTTAAAAAGGACGTTGCATATAGTCAGGCTATTTACAGAAAGTGACATATGTATATTGGGAAAGTAGAGCGCCTTCTCTCCGTAGAGCCCATATCCAATATATATATATATACCCATACGCCAAAAATAGATAAGATACATTGAAAGCGAGTCTTATTGGACTCGCTATATATTTCTGTTTCATGATCCACGCCCAAAATAAACCACATATACTCAGGGTATACTCTGGCTCCACAAGGAGTCCCGCTTCACTCATGGGAGATATGGAGATATTTGATTCAGAATTGGCATATAGAACGTGCTAATATAGAGTGTGATAACGCCGGGGTGAGTATGTGAGTTTCCGGATGAAAGATCTGGGATATGCTCGTGGGAAAGAACGGATGCAAGATGCAAGATGGGGCTGATCGCCGAGGTAGGGGTTCACCTGCCAGGCTGGGCAGCAAAGAAAGAAATAAATAGATAATAATTGTGGATCAACGCCAGCACCTGCATGAAGTAAAAATTTGGGAGCAAAGCGATGTGACGATTAGCTGTTTTTGGAAAGACAGCCACGGCGGATGGTGGTAGAATTAACGAGGTTCAGTCCAGTCCTGCAACTTGACATTTGTCCCAGTCGGATGCTCTTGAATGGGTTGCTGAAGAATACCCGATCGGACAAGGGATTGTGATGGCTGAGGGGGCCCAGTTCCCGAGCGACGTCTGCGCTCTCGTTCCAGAGGACCCGGAAGATCGTTGGTGTTGGTACGGCTGTGGAACTTTTGGTTGATTCCACTCAGCCAGTTACCATCTTCCTCTTCACCCAGCCAGTAACTGTGGCCGACACCAACCATGATCCGACCGAGCTTGCCCTTCCACCCCTGACCTTCGGGGCTGAAATGGCCGAAAGGCTCTCGGTCGATATCTGCTACACTTGCGACCGAGACGTTTCGGCTGTGTGTTGGAAGCTGTGTGTGGCGAGGGACGGCGATCCAGAGGCGCAGGGTCTGACGCGCGAAAGAAAGCATGACAAGAACGAAGTAGACGCGCATAGCCCACAAAATCGAAATGAAAAGGATGCTCTCGAAGCTCTCGGGCTGGGAAACGAGGGAACTCAAGGCGTCGGCACTGCGGGGAGAGTGGGAGATGAAGCTGTTTGCATTCTTGGTATTATCGGCATCGTACTTAGCACTGGTGAAGCCTGCGGTTTCTGCCATGGTCGAACTTCCGGAGACTTTGCTACCGTCACCTTGCGACAATAACAGGAACCAGGTCACACCGAAAGTGGTAGTGTAGGCGGCATTGATCAAGCTGTCAAACAAGTAGAGCCATGCGAGGCCAAGACATTCAAGAGGGGATTGTTTTCGGATGTGAGGAAAAAGGTAGACGGCGAGACCGAGGGCGAAAATTGAGTAAATGTACATGGAAAGTTGTACGGGCGACAGGTGGTAGCCGGTCAAGAGTGCAAGAAGGCCATAGAGACCACTGATCTTGTTCAATAGTAGTGAAAGTGTAATTAAGGATGCGCCTGTTTCCAGGCTCATGATGTAGAGAAAGGTCTGACGTATCATTTTGTTAGCTGGGGGCGGACATGGTCGAATATTCCCAGAACGCACCTCTGGCCGCGGAATGCGGAATAGACGGGAAGCGAATCCCATGATTGCGCCAACGTTGGTATGGACACAAGGACAGGGTGTATAGGGCGTAGTAGTTGAGGAGGTGAAGTTTGCAGAAGTAAGCGGTCCCACGGCACAGGGGCGCCACCAACACATTTCCCGGGTGATCCGTCGTTGATCGATACCCGATTTATGATCGATCTATCGTCTTCTTCGATCTTGATCTACGTTTTGTTCTACTTCTGACGCGGTTGAATATTTAGGTATAGAGTACTCCGTATAACTCTGTTACATGTACAGCATTATCTGCCGTCTTCGTCCGCTTGTTTCGGCCGTAAGTGTTTGTGTTGAAGTCATCCAATTCCCGGCCAATTTACGAGACCAAAATCTCATCACACTGCTTAGAACACCTTGTTTACAACGCCTTGTTACTTCAATGTTTCTTACATAGGAAAACTACATTCCTATTATTCCACAGAACCCTGAAAATAGCCCGTCCTTTCACCCAGGCCGTTTCATTATACTACATAATTTGTGCCATACCTTTTTCATAGCGCTTGTCTAGAATAAACGGGTTCAATGCCAAGATCACTTTATCACTACCTAGGAGCCCCTGGAGGTGCCCAGGTGGTATAGTCCTAGAATGTCTCTGAGCAACAAGAAACCTTACAGATGGCGAATATGCTTCAGGTACACCCTAACAGCAGAAGACCTCAAGTCATTACACTATACCAAGTAACATGAGAAGGAGGGACTTCAGTAGAGATAGTCTCGAAGAAGGGTCTAATACCTAGCTTACTAGGTACATAGATTCTTCATCTATATCTATATACCTCAAATTATTAGTACTGGAACCATGGAAGGTTCTGGGCGGCAGTACTGATTAACTAGTATCGTATGCTACGTTCATGCTTCATAGCTTGGAATTTCCAGATCTTCTATGGAGGACTAGCTCAACTCTATCATGGCCCAGAAATCCCCAAGCCCGGCTCAATTGATAAGGTACCTGGACCATCTGGCTGGTGGTCTATTGAAACAAACAGCAGAGTGTTTTGCAACGGTCTAATTGTTTCTCTTTTTACATGCTTTTGTGGCACTTCTAATCACTTTGTATAAGAAGAACATTCTGTCTGTAAATGAGCCCCCAGGTAGATTCAATGATCCGAAAGCTATCTAGATGGCGTGAAATAATCATTCGCGAGTCAACCATTCTTAATGAGTTACGACTAAGTAAATGAGCCACGGTGATAGTCTCTCAAAAGCTCGAAATCCGGAACTCGGGAGCCCAAGTTTGGATATCTGTAATGTGGAGCGAAAAAGAGGGTCTATAATGAGAAGAGCCGCACCGGGTCTGCCGAAACCTTGAAAGGAACAAGGGGAACCCTGCGGGGAAAATAAGTAATAAGTATTAAAGCGCTTTAGCCCAATCCAAAAAAATATCAGAGCCATTCTCCGTTCATATTAGGGGCTTGATGCTACCTGGCCAGGTGTGTGTAGACTTGTTAAAAACATTTGTTCTGCTTTCCAGGATATTGCAAAACAACCTCTGAATAGCTTCATTCATTCAAGCCAGAAAAGGAGAGCTAGTGTGCTTAAATGTGTACAGATGCATATGTGATTATTGAGGAAATAAAATGTATAACGAGCTTGGGGGGGGGGGGGGGGGGGGGGGGGGCGAATCAATAGCGCACATGTAATTCAAAGAACCTCAGAAAGCTGACAGTTTATAAAGGAGTCTAGGATGGAAGCCTCTAATCTCATCCATGGGAGAGGGGGGACTTCTTTTATCTGGCCCAGTTATGCGCCTCAGGAGACAAGAGACTTGATAAAAGCTATGAACATTTACTGGCACTGGAGACCCAAGAGCACAGTCCTGATCCTATTGCAAATATCAACCGTGTAGAAGGAAGTACTTTTGTTCTCTATGCATTTGAGTTGGGCATTGCCGCCTTTTTTTCAGGCTGAGAACTAGTATCCACAACTTACGAACCGAAATCCTTAATTACGCTAAGTGACATCAGATTCAAATGAGCACTCTTGTCTGGCATTACCGAATACGCTAGTGCCAGAGCCGAACTTGAAAGCTTTAACTTGATAAAATTTCATTTCCCTTCAGGACCGTTTCAGGGATGTGATATTACTCAAAAGGAGTTGAAACTCTAGTCTCTTGTGAATAATCCAACAAGATCTATCGAAATTAATCTTTTTCTGTGCTATTCAGCTGGTTTCCTCTCCTGAACGGCTCATCCCAATCCAGTTTGAGAGTGGGCCCGAAGGATTGTTTTGAATCGAATTACCTTGAAATGGGGCTGTTTTCGATTTCCTCGGCATAAAATCTCCTATTTATTTATATGTTAAGTCGGCTATCCTGCAGACTTTTTCTTCCCACTTTTCTACCATAGATCTGACTTGGAGTCGCTTGTTCACGGCCTTAGAAAGTGATACGGATTTCATAGTACCCTATCATTCGCCATGGAAAACAAAGTTGACAAATTCATCGAGCGGGCTGAAGAAGATGCTTTAACTGTTTCGAGGGACGAAGAAATATCCAAGGAATCAGAGAATATCAGGAGGCATTCGACATCAGAGACACTAGCATCTTCAGATGCATCCAGTAGCTCGGTTGATTTATCCACCCAGTTTGGCAGAATCCATACGCGTAATACAGAGTTGGACTTGGAGCATCAACTATCGACAAACTCCCAGGCTTTAAGTCGAATTGAAACACAACGTCTCCAACATGCGCATACAGTTGGCAGTACTAGGTCGCGTGCCTCAAAGGTACCATTGCCAAACTTTGGTGGAGGCAAGCCATATCCTCCTCAACTACCCAATCGCGAGGATTATGTTGTAGAATTCGATGGACCAGACGATCCGTTGTATCCAAAGAACTGGTCGTCAACAACGAAGTAGGTTCATTATGCGGCGTATTAATAACCTGGGCAGCCTGGTTCATTATGCTAACCATTTCCCCTGATTAGAACCTATACCAGTCTCATGCTTGCATTTACCAGCGTTTGCTCAACTTTTGACTCTGCCATCTTCAGTGCCTCTTCCAATAGCGTCGCTACGTACTTTGGCGTCTCGTTGGAAGTCTCAGTCCTATCCAGTACCTTATACATCATCGGCTATGCCTCAGGGCCACTTCTCTGGGCCCCACTGTCAGAGCTTAAAGGCCGTCGCCCCGGTATCGTCGTCGCTATGCTTGGATTTGGCATTTTCAATACCGCAGTTGCAGTCTCGAAGGATATCCAGACCCTTCTGATCTGTCGCTTTTTCTGTGGCGTTTTTGGAAGCTCTCCACTGGCCGTTGTCGCGGCAATATTTTCGGATATCTATGACAATCAGACTCGTGGTATTGCCATCGCCTGTTTCTCTGCTATGGTTTTCTTAGGTCCCCTTTTAGCCCCTTTCATTGGCGGGTTCATCAACATGTCAATTTCCTGGAGATGGACAGCATACATCCCAGCTTTGATGGGCTACACTGCGTTTTTGCTCAATCTTTTCTTCCTCAAGGAGTCATATCCGCCAGTCGTCCTCGTTGAAAAGGCGACAGAGTTACGCCGCCGTACGAAGAACTGGGGAATCCATGCAAAGCAAGAAGAGATCGAGGTTGACCTGCGAGAACTGGTGGTAAACAACTTCTCTCGTCCAATCCGACTGCTCATTCAAGAGCCTTTGATTCTTGCCGTAACTATCTACCTGAGCTTCATTTATGGTCTGCTTTACTGCTTCCTGACAGCTTATACGATTGTTTTCAAAGGCGTATACGGGTTCAATGCAGGACTATCGGGACTACCTCTACTATGTCAAGTTGTCGGATTGATGATTGCTGCACTATACATCATCCTCTCAGCCAAAGCCTACAATCGAAAGCTGGAAGCTAACGGAGGTGTGCCTATTCCCGAGTGGCGTCTTCCACCAGTCATTGTTGGGGGCGCTCTCTTTGCAGCAGGGCTTTTCTGGTTTGGATGGACTGGATTCACCAAGGAGATTCATTGGATCGTGCCCACTTTGAGTGGATTGTTCACGGGATTTGGTCTGTTGATCATCTTCATTCAACTTTTCAACTACCTGATCGACACATACCTTATGTTGTAAGTTAATAACGTACTCTTGTCCTAAATATCTCCATCTTAGTGCAAAACTGACATGAAATGACTAGCGCCGCATCGGCAATCGCAGCAAACACCTTCTGTCGTTCAATGGTGGCAGCGAGTTTCCCATTGTTCTCCCGTCAGATGTTCGAGGGCATGGGTGTACAGTGGGCATCTACTCTTCTTGGATGCGTTGCTGCAGTTCTAGTTCCTATTCCTATTGCCTTCTTGCTGTTTGGAAAAAGGTTAAGAATGAAGAGCAAGTTCGCGCCGATTTCCGAAACGGTTCCAGAGTCGCACGATTTTGAACAAGCTGAAGTTGGCGAATAGGAACTTTCTTTATACAGAAGATGTACTTATTTGTATGATAACGAAACCTTGCGAGGTTTATATAATTTATGAGTTTTCTTATTCCTTTGAGTATCTTCGTTGAGGAAAAAAGATATATCTTTAAATAACTAAGTATAAGTTCAGACATCATCTCCGGCAACTTGATATGGTAGTGGTCTAGTCTAGAGCTACTTAGATGATCTTGGAACTACTCAAGCAATGTCCTAACTTTATGGTCAAGCTTTCTCACATGGAATCATCCAAGAATTTAACATAGAAGCTCAGCTATGATGAGAATATCTGTGAAACACGTATCAGGGGTGGTTGTACAGTGGTGCCTTAAGCTTTGAGGAAGAGAATAAACCTGAAAAGAGTAGAAAAACTAGTAAAGTGTGTTTGATATGGAACGAACTTATAGTAGCCTGACTTAAATGTTGTTTTTTGCGCCTGAAGATTGTTGATGTTAAAATTATCCTCAGCACAAATTTGCGCCACATCCTCTTCAGGCATGAAATTTATGTTTTATTGACAAAAATGAACTTGCAAGCAAAGTTCGCGTTCATTTTTGCTCAAAGATGGATCCCATACTTGGCAGGAGTGATTTATGCGCTGGGATTGCTCTACATCGCTTTTCACGATGAGGGGACTCTACCGGGCAGTTTGGATTCTAGGTATGATCTCGACCCTCGCATTCAGCCCTACAGCATACCTTGGTATTTATCAGTAGAAGTATAAAGACTTCTAAAGCGAAATGCTACTATACAGCGCGAAACACCACTCCCAGTCACCAAAAGAGCCCCCGGCTCTATCGACTATCGCTACTATGTATGAGGGCTTACGTCTACCTATTGATGCTAGCAGCTTTATAAGTTCAACCGGTAAAATTCACTCGCTTCCAATATACTGGCCTAGAAGGGAACTCAGTTTTACAGAGTCCTTGGGAAATGAAATCCTAATTTTGGACTCGGACACTCGTCAACTTGATATTCTCAACTCAACCTGGAATGAAAACGAACTTCACTGGCAGACTATGGGTAGACTGAGCCACTATATGTTTGGTAGCTCCCACAATGCAGAGTCCACTGAATAAAGCTCTTGAACTGACTTTTCAACTCAGCCAAGATACACGGGTACGACTACAAGTTAGTCCACGCCCCGAACTTCCACAGATTCGGCACCTGGTCGAAAGTGTCCGCCATAAGAGATCATTTAAGCCAGTACAAGTTTGTTATCTTCCTCGATGCCGATGCAATATTCCACTACCCTCACATCCCTGTTGAATGGCTCTTAAATTATTGGAATATCACCCCAGATACCCTCGTCGCTTTGGCTTTGGATCCAAGTGACCCGGTCAACAATGATGACTACGGTCAGAACCTTCTGAACACCGGATTCATGATTGCCCAGCAAAGCGAAAGAACCGAGGCATTATTCAAGGCTTGGGATACTTGCCCAGAGAATGAACACTACCCAAATTGTTCCCGGTGGAGTTTCCAATGGCCGCATGAGCAGGGCGCTTTTGGTAATCATATTCGATACGACTTCAATCGTCCGGAAGACGTGAAGATCCTTCCTTGCTCTGAGGCAAATGGATGTCCGGAGGCGGAATTTAGCTCTGGCTGTGCAGGCGAATTCGTACAACACTGGTGGTACGCGAAGGCCTCGGTTCCGACGGTGGTTGAGCAGTCTATTTTGGATTACTTCCTACCGTATTTACATGAACTCTTCCTCAATGACTATGAGCGGGTTACCTTGAATGCGAGTAACCTGACGCTGACAGGAAGTGGTGGGAAGACAAGGCTGTAAGATTTCATACTTTCATGTACGAATATCCCTGGAGAAATTAATTTGTAAATTCTGCCCATGTGGGGGTGGAGTAGTATTACTGAGGTCGGACAGTATCATATTATACAGCTTCATCGATTAGAGTATATCCGACAACGTAAGCCTATGCTAGGACGACCATCCGGAAACGAGCCAAGAGAAGCAACCTCCACAGGCACCAGGAAACAAGAAGAGAGTGAGATGCATAGATACCCAGCCTCCTAGCAAGAGCTAACAAAATAAATGGGCACAGCCGCATTCGACACTTAAAAGATCTAAACACACGCTATTCACCGGAAATGGACAGGAAATTGGGAGGAAACATGTACATCATAAGAGAATAGTGCAATATCAAGGGTGAACTCGATTCTCATGATCGGGTACGAGGATTGTAAACGTTTAATAGGTGGGTAGGAGCGATTAGCAAGCGCAGCCGTCGTTGGTGGTAGTCTCCTTCGGGTGGATATTCACATCAATCACTAGAAAGACAAATGTTAGCATTCCGCAGTAACAGTGACCTTCAAATGGAGAAATACTTGTGCTCTCGCCCTGCTTGGCCTCGCCCTCCATGCCCGGTAGTGCTTGTGCAATTCTCCGGAAGAGCTGCTTCACATTATGGCCGACTTTGGCACTGGTCTCAATGAACATCAGGCCATTCTTTTTGGCTTCATCCTCTCCTTGTGCGGTGGTGACTTCACGCTTATCGTTCAAATCGGTCTTGTTGCCGACCAGCACAATGATCACATCATTTCCACGTTCTCCGCGGACGTCATCGATCCATTTGCGAGTGTTCTGGAAAGACTTAGCATTCGAGATATCATAGACGACAACGGCGACACTCGAGTCTCGGATGTAGGAAGGAATCAGGGAGCGGAATCGTTCTTGGCCGGCGGTGTCCCAAAGTTGAAGACGAACGGTGCGATCTTCAAGGTACATGGTCTAATACATGTCAATTCAACTCAATTATCACTAATAGCGTAACTGGTGACACCTCAGATAGAGTGGAGGAAGTTGTGAGGCGAAACGCACCTTGGACAAAAAGTCGATACCAATAGTGGCCTGATATGTGTTGTCGAATGAGTCGTACATGAATCGAGTAATCAGCGATGTTTTTCCAACTGTTATAACTTGTCAAAACTGCAATTCTTGAACTGAAGCTCCTTCCTCTCATCCTCATCACAGTATAATTCGGAGGGGGTGCTCGGGGAAGTCGTACCGCTTTGTTCGCCCAGGAATACTAATCTGTGGTTTGAATTAGATTTTTTCTTATTTTTTAAGGTGAATACAAGAGCAATTCAAACCTACTTGAACTTTTTCAAAGGGTTCGAATACGACCCGACTCCAGAAGATGAAGCCATATTTGTTGGTGTTGGTGTTCAAAGAGGGGGTGCGGAGAGGCTCAGGGGAATTCAAGTATGAGCTGCGGGATAATGAACAAGAGCTCACCACACAGCAAAGATAGGCTATTGGGGCATACACAGAGATTGCTAATAAAGCAGATTTTTATTCAAAAGATGTTCCCCTTGGCATGGAAATGGACTGATCAAGTGGGAAAGACGCCGTGGATCTGGGGAATGGTTGATTGTCACCGCCAAATGGGATTAGTTAATCCGTTCCGACCACCGAGTTGTTCCTCTCTACCTTCAACCGCAGTCAGAGAGTGAGCTCCAGCTCTGTTATCGACCCTTTCCATCCGGACTTTTTCGTTCATTCATCTTCCGGTTGAGGTCGCCATGGCTCTCTCATACCTATTTGGTCTCTCCACGACCGCCCTCGTCGTGGTCGGATTGTGTATGTCGTGTCAACTGTCATGTGGAGGTCCGGCAGCTAATGAATCTGGTGCTTAGATATGCTCTTCCAGGGTGAAGGAGAAGCTTTCAATGTATGATTTATCAATTCTGCAGCATAGACCTTCTGAATTGTGAGGGTTTCTAACATGACGCGCAATAGGTCGGCCGCTTCCTTGAAGAGGTATCTCCTTTCGCCTGGGCAAATATTGGTATCGCGCTATGCATCGGATGCTCGGTAGTGGGCGCTGCATGGTATGTGAAATATCGACTCTCTTTCTTTTCCAGTACTGATCGGTTAATGTTTTCAACAGGGGTATCTTCCTCACGGGTTCCTCAATCCTCGGCGGTGGTGTTCGAGCTCCTAGAATTCGGACCAAGAACTTGATCTCCATTATTTTCTGTGAGGTTGTGGCTATCTACGGCGTCATCACAGCTATCATCTACTCCTCCAAGCTTACTCCGGTCCCCGAAGCGGAGCTCTACACGAGGAGCAACCTGTATACTGGATATGCCCTTTTCTGGGGTGGTGTTACTGTTGGATTCAGCAACTTGATCTGTGGTATCTCTGTCGGCATCAACGGAAGTGGTGCTGCTCTTGCGGATGCTGCCGATCCTAGCTTGTAAGTGCCTTAGCTTATCGCTTTCACCGATCTGAATTTGCTCTAACCTTTTCTTTACACAATAGGTTTGTCAAGATTCTTGTCATTGAGATCTTCAGTTCCGTTCTCGGCTTGTTCGGTCTTATCATTGGCTTATTGGTGGGTGGTAAGGCCTTGCCCATGGGCTCTGCATAGTGGCTCCACTCTGCATTTGAGTGTTTATGATTGCCTTACTCGGCATCAAGGGCGGTATAATCATATATCGCCCTGTACGATCTCGGAGAATTTCCTGTCTTCACTTCTTTTTATCTCGTTTCTCGTTTTCCAAAACTTTTCGTTTTCATGTTTATATAAAGCATCGGGGCGTCCGGGATCGATACTGTAGAAGCTCTGGGTTTGCTTAATTGCATTGATCAATTGGAGATCATTTTTGTGTACAGTAATTAGTAGCAGATGGGAACTGAATACAGAAATTAGCAAATCTATCCTATGAATGCACGAAATATACCAGGTGTCTGCAAAGTATAGGTGGGTTGTGCCGAGGTTCTGCCCGATGGCTTCAAAAATTAACAGACCTCAACCCCACTCAACCACATGTTCATCCAAGGTTCTCTCGCCATGGAGACCAAACTTAAAGTAGCCATTCTGATTGTATCAGACACGGCCTCCCGTGAACCATCTACTGACAAGACAGCCGATGCTCTAACTCCCATCCTCGTCGCCGAGGGGAAGTGGACACCGCCCACGATAAAGATTGTGCCAGACAACGTGTCTCAGATCCAGCAGACCCTCTGTGACTGGACTGATGGAGTCGATTTTTATAATCTCATTCTGACCAGCGGCGGAACTGGCTTTGCTGTCAGAGATAATACGCCAGAGGTGAGAATTGTTCTGATACGCCATAACCAGCTGCTAATGACATCACAGGCTGTATCTTCCCTCATCCATCGCCATGCTCCAGGCCTAGTGTAAGTATACTTCCGTTATATTTGACGCCGAGTGTACTCAGGTAGAAAAGACTAACTTTCTTAGGCATGGCATGATCGCCGCATCACTGAAAGTAACCCCATGTAAGATAACATTACCCACAAGTAGTCTACACGCATCGCTCTGACCATTCTCAGTCGCAATGATGTCCAGACCAGTTGCTGGAGTCCGCGAGAAGTCATTGATTATCACTTTACCTGGATCCCCTAAAGGAGCAGCTGAGAATCTCGCAGCGGTTGTAAAACTCCTTCCTCATGCTTGCTTGCAGTCTGCTGGTGCCAACTCACGTGCCATGCATGTTGGGGGCACTAAAAAGCTTGAGACCGAGGCTGGTATTTCTGGCTGTGGACATCATCATCACCATCATCACGGTCATGGGCATGGGCATACGGCTCCAAAGGCGCATACCACCTCCAATGAACACCAGTCGAATGATCCGTCTGCGGGACCTAATCGGAGGTATCGTTCCTCGCCCTATCCAATGCTTTCGGTAAAAGATGCACTAGAAAAGATCAGTGAGCATACACCGCAGCCGGTAGTGATTGAAGCCCCAGTCAACATATCCCTTGTGGGTTCTGTTATCGCCGAAGACGTCTATGCTGCTGAGGCGGTGCCAGCATACCGTGCCAGCATCGTTGATGGCTATGCTATTATTGCTATCGCTGGCCAGAGTACAAAAGGGGTATTCCCTGTAGCATCAGTGACCCATGCAAATATTGGCGGAGATCTAGAGCCACTTCAACCTGGAAAAATCGCTAGAATCACCACCGGAGCTCCTCTTCCCCCGAATGCAAACGCCGTAGTTATGGTCGAAGATACCCTCCTAGCCTCATCTACACCAGACGGCCAAGAGGAAGCAACTGTTGAAATCTTGGCTGAAGATGTCGTTCCAGGAGAGAACGTCCGCGACCCTGGAAGTGACATCTCCCTGGGCTCAAAAATCCTCTCCCGTGGAGATCTGGTTACCCCCGTGGGCGGTGAGATTGGTTTGCTCGCTGCCTCCGGAACCAGGACAGTCAAGGTATTCCGAAAGCCCCGAGTAGGCGTACTCAGTACAGGCGATGAATTGGTCGAACATGATGACCCCCTATCTCTCACTGGTGGCCAAATTCGAGACTCAAATCGTCCGTCTCTCCTGTCTTGTATCTCTTCTTGGGGATTCCCAACCGTCGACCTAGGAATCGCCAGGGACACTCCGGCCGGTGAGCTCGAGCATGCGTTGCGCGACTCATTGCGCGGTGTAGGCCGAGCCTCTTCCAGTGTTGACGTGATCATCACTACAGGCGGTGTATCAATGGGTGAGCTGGATCTCCTCAAACCAACAATTGAACGTTCCCTAGGTGGTACAATTCATTTTGGCCGTGTGTCAATGAAACCTGGCAAGCCGACTATCTTTGCTACAGTTCCCTTCAAAGCAACAGACGGTGCAGCTGATAACAGCCAGCAAGAACGTACCTCAAAGCTAATTTTCTCCCTGCCCGGAAACCCGGCTTCTGCTCTGGTCACTTTGAACCTGTTTGTTTTGCCTTCCTTGCACAAGCTTTCTGGTATGGGTGAGAGTTCTCAGATACCGTCGTCAACGCCCGGTTTAGCGCCGCACCTTGGTCTTCCATGTGTGGCTGTTGTGTTGACGCACTCATTCCCTCTGGACCCCAAGCGTACCGAGTACCACCGTGCCGTGGTGACAGCCTCTCGCTCGGACGGCCGGCTGTACGCGACTAGTACGGGTGTCGAGGGGGTGGGACAGCGCAGTTCGCGGGTTGGAAGTCTTGCTAGCTCCAATGCATTGATTGTCCTTCGTCCTGGTGGTGGAGTTGTCGCGAAGGGTGAGACTGTGGAGGCCTTGATGATGGGTCCAGTCCATGGCTCTGACTGATAGTAACGAGAAAGACGACAAGTAGTTGGAACCGCTGTATTTATGTTCCTTCGAGTGAATTCGCCAAGACAATGTTTTCCTAGAATCTCAAATGGTCCAAGGTTCCCATAACTTTTCTTCTAATGTTCTAGATGAGGTTCTAATTTAGGCAAACAGCAAGATATCTATGACAAGCGACAGTGTAATCTGATAAGAATTGAATTCAATGACTCCGAACCCTAAATGTGACATGTATGTGTGTCTATCTTGAAAGTAGTGCAAAAAAGCCCATAATATTGACAAAAACCGGAATGTGGGTCATTTCAATCAATAATTCATAGACCCTTGGTATACTTCCAACCCTTCTTCTTCTCGGCCCGGAAAGCCAGCAAAGTCCCATCACGTCCCTGCTTCCGCGCAATCTCCACAACCAGAAACCTGACAAAGTCCGTCAAAGTCCAGTAGCTGCTGTGCGCACTCAGCATGTTCAAGTACTGAATGTTGAGAGGACCCCCGCCGCCAGAGAGATAGAAGTCAACTTGCGCATTATCGTTAAGCAAAAGCATGCGCTTCTCAGCAATTTCTTCACGAGTAAAATCGTGCGTCTCCATCTCGACGGTAGATGGAAGCTTGGATGTCATCCCCGGGCGAGTTAATTTTGATGATGTGGCGAAGGTGGGAGATTGGTTCCATTTGAAAACACTGCCGAGGGATTGCCAGAATGAAGACGTCGAGCTCGGAATGGATGCTGTCTTGAGAGAGTTGGAGAGATCCGTGTCCACAGCAGCGTTGACGCGGTAAGCGATCGCTAAGATAATTCATGTTAGCACGAATCTTGGTCTTTGGAAAAATAAGTGAAGCACATACGGTCAGTGGTGTGGACAATGTTGTATAGATTGTCAACAGCCATGCAGCCGTATTTACCAGCTTCCCCAGCAACACCGGGGAATAAATCTTCACCCTCGCTGCCTGGTTTCTCTCGACCTTTCCGGGGCAGAAGAGTCGCTTTGTTGAGTAATAAAAAGAAGCCGACGGGACTCCCGCAAAGAAACAAATTCCTGGTATCAAACTCAAATATATCGCTATGCAATGGTGTATTAGAAAAGTCAAATTTGGGAACATGGGTTGGCTGATGGCTCAGTATGTCAAGAGCCATGACACTTCCCAATGAATGGGCTAGGATGTGCACACGGCCAGTGTCTTGGAAGTTGGGATTATTTCTGCACCAGAGGCGGTAGATACGATTTGCTTCTTTCACGACGGCTTTGATCATCTTTGGCTTGTGGTGGGACAGATAGTAGGGAATATCAAGCATCACGTCACTGATCAAGGAGCGTATGGCGGGAAGTGTCTGGGGTGTGATATCTGAGAGTGTGTAATCGTTGGCAAACGGGTCTTCCATATCCATCGAGTCCAGGGTTTGTTCTTCCAGTGATAGTGTTGTTCGCCAGTTGATAGGCAGCACCATAATTCCCCCATGATCTTGACGCACGTGGGGCCAAACAGGTTCGTTGTACAACTCCATGCTCACTTGCCGACGGAAGGAGTTGATGGCGTGTGTAAAGGCGAAACTTTCCATGCGCTGAGATAATTTTTGACCTATACCATGTATGACAAATACCAGATCGGATGGGCTCGTGCGCAGATCTTCCATTTTGCAGGCGTAGCACGTCTGTTCAAAAGGAGCGGCAGGGGCAGTGTCCCGAGAGGTCCGTCGGATGTATTGTCGTACATCGACAGCATTGGGTTTCGTTGGATGTAGCTTGTCCCAAAGTTTCCGGCTGAATCCGCGTACCACCGGTATTCCAACCTGCCGTTCTTTGCGAATGGCAAAAAGCGGCCGTCTTCCCTTAGATGCCGACGGAAGAAGGCTAGGTCGCAGGATCTGGGCGCTCTTCGCATTGACGTAGATGACACTGGACGATAAATGGGGCTTGACAGCTTCTAGCTGATTCCCTGTATCCCCTGCAGCTTGATTTTTATCAAATGATCGAGCTTCTTGAGCATCCGCAGATTCAGACTCATTCGTGTCCAGACCATCAGCCTCGGCTAGATTGGCAGAGTCCAATTCACCTGTGGGCCAAAGTCGGTGCACAATTTTCAATTCTGCATCGGCCCCGTTTTCCACGCAGCTGTTTAATTCATCTTGCCAAGTCTCGGTCCATGGCTTCAGTTCGACGTACCCCTCCTCTAATTTGTTTGCGAGTACTGTCTCAACGGGTAACATGGTGTTTTTGTAGAACCAAGTAGCTCGCATTACACCAGAGATATCATGAAGAGGATTCCAGTATATTGGTTTCATCTATAGACGAAGGTTAGTGCATTTTATGAGCAATCTTATCAGTGACATAAATTACCTTGAGACTTGGGAGTTCAACCAAATAGAGACGCGATGCGCCAACTGGAATTTGTTCCAGTACATCCTTTCGAGGTATCTCCTGCTCAGATGAATCGGGAGCAGTTTCTTCAAGGCTGACGGTAGCTCGCAGATTCGAGCGCTTTGAGGCAGAACGGCCAAGGCCGCTTTGTCGCGCCTCAGCTTGCCAATCCTGGATTCCATCATTTGGTAGCAACGAATCGACGGAGCGTCCAAATGAATTATATGACGGTGAAATAGGTGCTCTGATGAATGGCGATCCACTGATACTCGCATCCCTGGATCTATTGGGTCTTAGACTTCGTGCCTCCTCTTCGTCCTTCTCGGAAGGTGAGTTTCTCCTATTCTTGCCCGAAGGTGACTCGTTGAGAGAAGTGGAAGGTTCACTTGTTTGAAAAGTCACACTGGTGCGGGGAATTTCATCGTTATAACTGGTGTCTAGCGAGGACACTAATACCCGGCGTCTTTCTGAATAGCTCTCCACAGATTGACCTTTGAAGTTCCGCAAAGCAGGGTCATCAGGCAATGATATAGGGTTACTGCTCTTGCTGCTGCCTACGCTGAGGTCCTCTCGCGTTGCAACGCCACGATAGCCAGCCAATCCACGGCCTGGTACGGCTATGGCAGCCCCTTTAAATTGATGGGGCTCCTGCTGCGCTTTCCCAATATCACGCCAAGCCGCCTCCAGAGCGGCATTATCCTTAGCTGAAAATGGATTGGGAGTTCCCGTTATTTGTCCTGTGGGTGCCGGCACGGGCGCCAAGGGATCGTCAATGGGCAGAGATGAGACGTAGAAAAAGTGAGATTTGATCTCTGGTGGATTGAGAAGAGAATAAAAGCTCGACAATGCAGGCTCATCATCTACTAACAGACAAGACGGCCCATAGGTATGGAAAGGACCCGTCATGGTGAGTGAGTACCTAGGTACCAACGAAAGCTTGGGAATTGGTCCCACTTTATCTCCGGTGGAGATCAGGGGATCCCATATAAACTTAGATGATGATCATGGTTGGTGTAAGTTGAAAGCAACTCAGATGTCGCGAAGCATCTATGACATATCGTTTTTTCTGGCAAAGTTGGCATTTCTTTCCACTCGCTCAGACCGCCGCTTTTGCTGAGTAAAACTGAGCACGCTTGATTACATAATCCAACGTCACCAAATTTCCCGAAATTTGACTAGAGAAATGTTAATCTAGTTTGAACTACTACGTCCAGAAGATTTTAGTATTAACATTTATTAGACGGTTCAAACCTTTCTTACAAGTTGGTGGCAAAGCACAAATCCAGAAGAAGGTTGACCGGTCTGGAATAATATTCTTCCTCTTAAGATTCGTACCCGCAAGCGCTAGCCTAATATGGATTAGTAGTAGAGATGAAAGCTTAAATACTCCGTAACTAGCTTATATCCAAAGCAGATTCCAATCAAATATAAACTAGTGATCAAGTTCATCTACTACACCATAGACATAAATCAAATTATATCCAATATGTCTGAAGTCCAGAAAAATCATCTTCCCGGGTCGAAGGGTGAATCAGAGAGGAACCTCGAGCTTTCTGGAGATATATTTGCTCTACAAAAGTATCGGCTCCGCGGGCTAAATATTGCTGAAACAGTATGCAAGTATAAGGATCTGCTCCGGACCGAGATTAGCCTTCGGGAAAATTCCCAGTGCAAGCAGGCCGTTGTGCAGAAGATCGCAGCTAAGATCCTGGATGCGAGGGCAGATATGGAGGATATTCAATAGTTCGTGACAGAAGACTCAAAGCTTGATCGAGATTACTGGATACTAGAACGCCAATGGTGGTGGAATAAGTCCTCCTTCAATGATGGCCCAATGCAGCGAGGGATAGACCTCTGGCGTTCATACCCGAATTGGTATATGCATCCTGTGCTTTGTGAAGATTGTGCTCAGCGAGGAGGCTGTTGTGGAAGGGGCTGTAATTGCTGTGTTGAGCGTCAGTACGAACAAGGCCGGAAGCTTGCTGCCGGTCATTGTACTGTGGAATGCGTATGTTGCGAGAGGGCTCGGGGCTTTGAACTCAGCACGAAAGAATAAGAAATACTCCAATATGAATTCGGACATAGGGAGGATGACATTGATGGTGATATAGATATATGCTACAACTGGCAGATCAGGATCGCTTCTCTGCTAGGGCTGATGACAGAAAGTACCGAAAATCCATTTAACCTGATTGTTGACACTCCTCCCAAATACGACCCGGAACTTTCCAAAATTTGAAGGTTGCTCCAAGAGAGTTTGGGACATGAACGAGTCGATGACTATGCACAACATTATCATGCAATGCATTTGCGATAGCTTCTTGGATATGACTGTCGATACAATCCCATTCATCTGCTTCATCAATTTCGTCTCCACTCAAAATGTCATATGTACAGTGCTTTCCGTATCATTTGTGGGTCGTTGGTCGCTCCGGGATAGCATTCCTATCCGATATGTACTTCTACTATATTTTACTGTACTGTGAATGGAAGAGGATACACAAAACCGATCATTAAAAGCTAAAAGCTAAGAGTTGTAACTGAGGCATCAGGTCATAAAAGTTGTCACTCACGCGTCGATGTCATAAGAGTTTCCGTGCATAATTTCATAAAGCATAAAAGCCATAAGACATAAAAGTTAAGAGTTGATGAATCAGATCCAAAGAAAGTGGGGGCAGATGTTGGTGAAATGAGTGCTGACAATGAGTGTAACCCACAGAAACCGTGGTAATTGTAACCATCTAACGGTGGATGGGACGTCGATTGATGATAGATTGAGGGACAGAAGGTTGAAAGTTTCGGGGGGAGTAACAACGACGCTCGTTGCAGCGGGATATTGGCCGGTCTTGTCTGGGGACCTTGAAGGACGCGAAAAGAGCACCGAGTTCATCATCTTCATTGCAAGTATTACGGGGACCGATTGAGTGCAAAGTAGAGCTGGTCAGCTTAAACAGTCCAGTCATCACAGCTTTATCGGCACCGAGAACGATCAGGATGTTCTTCATAGCCGCAAGATGATGGCGAATAACACTGTTGGGAACACAGTACTTTCGTTCTTTAGCTTCTTTTGCGAAAGATCGCCAGTCAGTGATGATAGTGTTAAAAGAAGTGCACAGAGATGAGCCGACGCGACCCCGAAGGTCAATGGTCTTTCGGTTATTCCAGACAAGACGACGCTGAGTCTCGAGATCGAAAAGGAACTCGGTAACGGGGGGTCCGCGCATTTTTTCCCACAGGGTGTACTCATCGATAGCTGACTGATGGGAAATGTTACCGTCGACGAGTTGCTTGCACAAAAACTGATTTGCAGAAATGTTGAGCATATGCTCGAGCTGACAAAAGATATTGTCCTGAAACTCAGGAATGAGTGGGGAAGTAACAGGAACAGTAAAAGTAGCACGCTTTGCGGGCGAATTCGAGTCATAGTCTTCATGCTTGCGCTTAAGGCGACGGGAGATCATTGAACTGAAACGGCCGGTGGTGGTTGGGGTTGCGGAAGTGGGAGTAGGAACGCCCAGCACGCCCCGACCGCCATTGGTACCAAATATATCCTTGTGAGTAGTGGTCACAGCAGTATCACTCATAGAAGAGTCACTGGCCTCAGCAACATCACTCATAGAACTGTCACCAGTCTCAGCAACGACACTCGAAACAGTGCCGAAAGAGTTTCCAGTGAAACGTTTGTAAAGATGGTGCTTGATCATGACACTCTGCCAGAAGAGAGCCCAAGTAGGGAAACGACCAACGGCCCCACTAGAAGTGTCTAGCATGCGGTCCACGCAGGCCTTTGCAGATGAGAGCAAATTGGTAAGACCAGGGATATGATGGAACTGAGGTGAATCGAATGAGAGAACGTGGGCCATGGGGGGACTGCTAGTGGTAGCATGAGACAACGTCAAATGAGGGTTGAACTGAGTCATCGACATGTCACCAAAGCGCATAGCAGGGTGGTTGACGTGGGTGGACATGGGGCCAACAATAGGGCTGTAGCCGTCATCATAGTCAGCAGAGCCGCTGCCAACGTCGTTGATATAACGCTCGATGTGACGTTCAAGCTGTTCGTTGGAGATAGAAGGGACGGTGAGACCGTCGTTGATGATAGCCTCAAGGTGACGATCAAGCTGCTCGTTGGAGATGGAACTAGTATCAATCTGGAAACCACCGCGACTCGTCATAATATTATCATGGGGAGCGACGTGAGAAAGCGGCCTAGTATTGAGACCGAATTGTGCTTGCCCGAAGGAGGCAGACGGAACATTGATCTTAGAGGGGTCAACCTGAATACCAGACAAGTTGCGGTAGAGCGAGTTGAACTTTGGTTGGGGAACGAAATTGGGGTTGTAAGTCACAGCCTGGAGCAGCTCGCCAGTGTTGGAATTGGGGTCGTCAGTCTGAGGCCCAAGAAATGTGGTAGGGTCCCAGGAAAGCGAAGGGATCTGCTCATCCTCGCCAAAGCAAATCTTCAGACACGAGGGGTTCAACTCCTCAGGAATATCTGGGTGAGGACGAGACATGATGATAATTTTGAAAAGTTTTGAAAAGTTTTGAAAATTTGGTAATAGAATATAGCAGTTGCTGCCTCCCAAAAAAAAAGACGGCGAAGTTGATAAAATGAGAACAGAAAAAGTGCAAAAGTGCAAGATTCCAAAAATTCTGAGAGTCGGAAAAATTGAAAAAGCAATTGCAGCTTTTCCGAAAAATGGGTTGACAAGGCTGGTAGAGTGAGCAAGGTCCAAAAGTCTGGGGTCCAGAAAAATGAAAGTGGAAAAAAGGAGGAAGAGAATTAATAAGGAAGGAAGTTTGGAAGAGCAAAAGATCCCCCTTATAAGGGAGCTGGTACTAGCGTGTTTAATCGCGTGGTTCTGTTTAGTTACTATAGGGCTATTTGTGGTTTATGGAGCGCGTTGAGCACGCGACAATAGGATTTTTCATTGTTCGTCGCGTGTTGAGTTCGCGACAATAGGATTGTTCATGCAGCGCATGATCGTTTAAGTGGAGCCTTCAATTTCGAAGTACCCCAAAGTAGATCGATGGAACTTGAAAGAATCAAGAAGAGACAGATTCAGTAGCCCATTGTTCGAGAATTTGGCAAGCCCAAGCTGAAGGATTGGGTATTTCTTCAAGATTTCGGCATAAATACCATTAATTAAGAATACTGCCATAGAAATCCTCAAAAACAAAGCAAAATGACCACATTTGAGAGCGCGTAATTCTATCAATTTGTCCTACGCAATGATTGCGACTGAAATTTGGAAGACGCTACTTCCAATTATGTACAATTTCATGAACACAAATCCTGAAGAAATAATTGTATTTATTTTCATTGTATTTAAAATCAATTTAAGCTTGGAACTAAGTCAAAAAGCTTTGATATCCAATGTAGGAGTGTTAAATTATTCATCAATTCCTGGAGTCCAGGGGTCCAGTCACCTTTCCGAGATTCTGGCAGCCACAGGGCTTGAGGGGACTCCACATGGCACCCAAATGATAATGCCAAGTAAATGTTTACCATAAAGAAGCTTTAAACTTCCAATAACTACAAGCCAAAGCCAAAGACAGAACTTGACACTCCAGTTTCTACGTGATATCAAGATTAAACTGCCCGTGGGTAATGTAACTGGAATTGAAGTTTACGGTGGTTGACTGCTTGTTTGGGGGGCTGAAATAGATACCGCAAAACTTAGCAGCGATGAAAAAGCAATGCAATGAGGTCATAATCACGGAAGATATGAAGAGAAATCCGGGGTATGGAGAAGCTAGCCCTAACTCCCATTGTCACGTGACCATGACATCGTGAACGATTATGTCATTTTGTCATTTGCCTCTAGCAGTAAAATACAACCGGGCATGGTTTTTGACTCGAATCTGTTTTTTTTTTTTTTTGTAATAACAACCTCGGAATGAGAAATGAGCTGAAATAACTCAATTGAAATTTAATAATTGCTGTAAATTGTGTCGATCTGAAATGACTCCCTAGTAATCACATTCGTGAAGCTCCCAATTCTTGGAGATATCCGAGGATAGCCCTGGAGGGTATAAAATTCCAAACTACTGAGGTAAGCTTGTCTTTTTGTCCCAATGGTAAACTTTCGCCTCTCTTGCCTCATATCTAAAATCGAGGTGGCGGGTCGGAGAATGAAGTCGTTACTATCTACTGTGTATATCTGTACGGAACCTTGGAAGACAGGAAGGCATTCACACCGGCTTCCTAGAAAGAAAGAAAGTAACCTTGAACTGCCAGGCTTAACTCCCATATAAGTGTGGGGTTAAGTGGATGGGGCGGCTCGGAGGAATCGGATTAGAAAACGGCAAGACAGAACGGAAGGTAGTGTGAGAACCAATGAAAAGGATGAAATTAGAGAGAAATGAAGCCATTGAAAGTCAATCCCGGCTTGAATGCCGAGGTTCTATATCACGTGACCATCAGTCTCCACCTGCCGACTGCTGCAGATGAATCTGCCGTAGGGAGGGTTGACTTTGGTCCAAGTGATCCATGACGCTGGGTCCTACTGCTCGGGTTTGACGACGGCATTCTACAGAGTAGTGATTGTGTTGGCCACTTGCATTCTCCACACGCGCTTAGTCACTTTCTAAAATGCACAACCCACTTTTTATCTCTCATTTATTGGTCCATTGGCCACCCCCAGTTACTCCCCCATGATTTGCACACCCGAATCTCAATGCCGTGGCCTGGTGTCATCAACCTTGGTCCAGTCGGCCCGCTTACCCCGGCTTGCTAAAAAACTATTTATGAAACCCTTTTACCCTCCAAAATATGCGATCAAACATCCCTACCTATACATATACACATCTACATAATGGTTCAGGAGAATTTCGATATCGTTATTGTTGGCGCCGGCCCCGTTGGCTTGCTCTTGTCCTTGTGTATGTCCCGTTGGGGCTACAAGGTCAAGCACATTGACAACCGACCCGTCCCTACCGCCACTGGTCGCGCCGATGGCATCCAGCCCCGTTCCACTGAGATCCTGCGCAACTTGGGACTGAAGCGTGCTATCATGGCCTACGAGCCTGCTAAGGTCTACGATGTTGCTTTCTGGGACCCCAAGGCCGACGGCACTGGAATTGCTCGCACTGGAAGCTGGCCCAGTTGCCCCCGCTTTATTGATACCCGTTATCCTTTCACAACCCTTGTGCACCAGGGTAAGATTGAGCGCGTCTTCCTGGATGAGATTGAGAAGGCTGGTTCCCACGTTGAGCGTCCTTGGACTATCAACGGTTTCAAGAATGATGGCGCCAACGCCGACTACCCCGTTGAAGTAAGCCTGAAGAGCATTGACACAAATGTTATCGAGACTGTACGCACCAAATACTTGTTCAGTGGTGAGGGTGCTCGCAGCTTCGTTCGTGAGCAGCTCGGCATCAAGATCCACCACAAGGACCCCATCGCCTACGTTTGGGGTGTCATGGACGGTGTCGTGCGCACTAACTTCCCCGATATTGAGGTAAGCAGCCCTTCCGTTGCATTCAATTCTTCTGGCATCAAATCTAACCATTTTAAAAGACAAAATGCACTATCCACTCCGATGCTGGATCCATCATGGTCATTCCCCGCGAGGACAACATGGTCCGTCTCTACGTCCAAATCGCTCAATCCAGTGATGCCGACTGGAACCCCCGCAAGACCGCCACCGCCGAGGAGGTTCAACAAGTTGCCAAGGACATCCTCAAGCCCTACTGGGTCGAATGGGACCGAGTTGAGTGGTACTCAGTTTATCCCATCGGCCAAGGTATTGCCGAGAAGTACACTCTCGATGAGCGTGTGTTCATGGGAGGCGATGCTTGCCACACTCACAGCCCCAAGGCCGGTCAGGGTATGAACACTGCTTTCCACGATGCCTTGAACATGGCCTGGAAGATCCATGCCGTGGAAAGCGGCCTTGCTGACCGCTCCACTCTGAGCACCTACGAGACCGAGCGCAAGGATATCGCCGAGACTCTGCTAGACTTCGATGCCAAGTACGCCGCTTTGTTCTCCAAGCGCCGCCCCAACGCCAGCGAAGTCTCTGCCAGTAAGTCTTTGGACACCGATGAAGAGGAAGATGAGTTCGTCAAGACCTTCAAGTCTTCTTGCGAGTTCACCAGTGGATACGGAGTTGCCTACAAGCCCAACGTCTACAACTGGGATGCTAGCCACCCCGCCAAGTCTCCTCTGTTCGACATTCCCAGTGTCAAGCTGACTCCTGGCCGTGCTATCACTCCCAGTATGGTGACCCGTTTGGCCGATTCCAACTTTGTCGAGCTCGAGCAGGAGGTCCCTGTGAACGGTTCTTTCCGCATCTTCATCTTCGCTGGTAACCAGCAGAAGACCAATAAGGCCATCAACGATCTCGCTGCCAACTTGGAGAAGGAGCGCTCCTTCCTCTCGGCCTACCGCCGCCCTGACATTGCGGACCTCTCCTTTTTCGAGCGCCACAACCCTCACTCCAAGCTCTTCACCCTATCCGTCATCTACGCCGCTGCCAAGAACGAGATCGATGTGGACTCCATCCCCCAAATTCTGCGTGACTACCACCACCACCTGTACGCCGATGACCTTCCCGATGTCCGTGTCCCCACTGCCAAGTATGCTGCCCACGAGAAACTTGGCTTCGACCCCGAGCTAGGAGGTGTCGTCATTACTCGGCCCGACGGCCACGTTGCCGCCACCGTGAAGCTGGTTGAGGGCAGCGGCACCGCCGACGCTCTCAACGAGTACTTCAACTCTTTCTCAACTAAGCCTCTCGGTCAGGACGCCCAGTCCCCCCGTTTGTAAGGCTTTTTGATGTGTCTATGTATTCATGTTTAAAACTTGGGATGTATATAGCTTTTTGGGCCGCTTTTGTTTGACGGCTATCTGAGCATGATTTAGCGTTTTTATTCTATTTCCAATTTATTTCAATGAACATAAGTTTTATCTTTCAGCTCTTGATATTCTCTCGATTTCCCTTAATTCGTCATACCACACATTGTAGTGAGAAATCGACCCTGATCTCGCCGTAGTCACATGCCAAGACCTCGATCTATTTTTCTGCATCCACCCCGCATCAATTGATCTGTGTTGTTTTCACATCAACGCAACACAACAAAGCCATCAAAAAGAGAACATTTGATTCCAAAATGCTCTCTCTTGTTCTCAAGGCCGAGCTCGAAGGGTAAGCCCTACCTTGACACGCGTTTCCCCATTTTTTCTAAGCGTCCTGGTGGCTTGAATCTCTCCCCGCACCGCCGGAAAGCTGCATTACACACTGTTTTTCGAATGACTCAAGCGCCGGAAGATATTTGGATCTAATTATTTGGAATAGAGTCATTGGTCTAAAGCCAACTGATGCGGAGGAGAACCCTTACTTCTACACTTTCCGCGTGAAATGCACCTCATGCCATGAAGTGCACCCGAACTGGGTCAGCTTCAATCGCTTTGTATGCTTCGGACAATTAAACACTTATTCCCCATAATTCACATTGTTAACAATACGGCAATTTGTAGGAGGAGCATGAGATCCCCGGCAGCCGTGGCGAGGCCAACTTTGTGTGGAAGTGCCGGATGTGCACGGTAAGTAAATAACAACTTCTCCCTCTATACTCATCGCCATCAACATATGTAACACAAGCTTCTGATACTACCCTCCATGTATCTGATCGCATTCTCGTCATGCTATATCAATCTTCATTGGCTAAAAAAACACCGGCTAGAAAACCCACTCGGCCAGCGTCATTGCCGGTCCCCACGCCTATGAGGCAGATGAGAAAAAGAAGGGTCTCAAGATCCTTGAGCTTGACTGCCGTGGTCTAGAGTTTATTGAGTTCAAACCCGACGTGAGTATACCTGTCTCCTGAAGCATTAATTTCAGCATTGTTCTGATCCAGTCTACGCAGGGTGAATGGGAGGCTAAGGGCGCTGAGACTTCGACTCCCTTTGCTGAAATTGACCTCTCTGAGGGCGAATGGTATGAGTACGACGATAAGTCTAGTGAGGAGGTCAGCATTAAGGAGATCACCTGGACTATTGGTCGCGCATAATTTCGCTTATGATTTCTCTTTAAATACTTGCAATTCTCATGTTGTTCTGGAGAGATTTGGCCCAGCTTGGGCAGTCCTTCAAACCAGGTATGAGGCTGTAGCGATTTCCGTTGATTATTTTCTTTTACTTTCTTTCTACTGTCTTATTAGATTTGGCTGCGGAACTTGGAGTGGGCCAGGCGATTGGTGCTACACAATTGACAGAGATCTGGGATAAAGCAGTGAAATTTTAAATATTGACTCAACTACAACGTATATATGGACATTCTATTAAATCAAGGGTACTGTACATCCCTATTACGTTAGTTGTAGAGCTCTAAACTCTGGGAGCTTGTTGATTTGATATCGTAGGCGGTGAGAAGTGGAGGCTGTTGATTGGCCGCATGCCCAGACCACAAGCTCACATTTTCGCGCTACCAACCCCCAGACCCTCCATCATTCACCAACCTACGAAAAGAAAACCCATCGTCGATTCCTTTTTCTCCCCTGCATATTCTTCTTGCGAAACGGTGCAAAACCGTCAAAACTCCTATTCACAATGAGTGTTCGTCTTCCCTACAATCTCGGACCTTCGAGTCCAGCTCCCGATGGACTATTGCTCTGATGGTCTATCCTCAAATGCTAGATCACAGCTGACATTCCTTCTGCAGCTCGCTCCTCTCAATCCCCGTCCCTTTTTGCAAGCCAAGTAGATCTCCCCTCCCTACCCCACACCCAAATCTGACTCCACCTATGATTGGATCTCCCTGTCGCGAATCCTACCCGGGGATCACCAACCAGAGATACAGAACCTTACTGACCGACTTGATAAACAGAATTGGCACTGAAATCCTCGTCCGCCTTAAGTGGGGCCAATCCGAGTACAAGGGTACTCTCCAGAGCGTGGATTCGTACATGAACCTGCTACTACACAACACAGAAGAGTTTGTGGACGGAGACAAACGCAGCGACCTGGGCATCGCACTTATTCGGTAAGTGAACTCGAAGATGGATCAAATTCAAGAATATTTAACAGTGTCTTGCTAACTTATGCGCTGAATACAGTTGCAACAACATTCTCTATGTTTCTTCGTGGGGCGGTATTGAGATGACCAACATGGAATACAAATAAATACGATACCACGAAAAGAAGGTGCAGTGCTAGGCAGTGCGTGTTGATCAGCGGTCAAAGTTAGTTACCTGGACAGCGGGTTGGGAACGGCTGCATTTGTTCCAATTCAGGGTTTTGAATAGGCGTTTTTATGGTTCTTTCAGTCCTCGCACTTCTTGCATATGGCGGGGGAAAATCAAATCAGCTGATTATCCAAACTTTACAAGGTTTCAAATTCGGGGTTTGGTAGACGGTAGACCGGGTGATTGCCTGGTGGGATGAAAGCTATGACCTCGAGAGCCCTGTGTCCTTGGAATCTTCGTAAGCTTCTCTAGGCAATCTAAGGTATTTAGGTAGGCTGTGTTAGGCAGTACTCGTTATAATTGATGAGTGAATGCGAAATCAGAAACTTGGAATGCTCTGATTTATCTGATATCAAGTGAAATGGCCATGATATTCCCAAATTTGGAATTCTAAAAGAAGCGGTGATGTACCGTTGAGGTACCAAGGTAGCTTTACGTACCGTTTTTTCTATGCATGAGTGGGGATTTCCTATTTCAGGTGCCGCCGCTTTTATGAGGGCGCTCAGGGTCAGGCTCACTGAGTAGATTTCAGTCTAGGCTCACGCTCATGGAGCTGCTCCTGTCGACTTTAATGAGAAGTGAATAGGTTGATTTATTGAAATTACTAGAAAATCCACGTGTTAACTAACGTGTTCTACAAGCGAACGATACACTAAATTCCCATACGTCATTTTCGCACCTCGTTTTTAGCTACCCTGCCACCAAAAGGCCCGATCGGCACATGATATGAAGCGCAAGATCTTAGCTCTTAAGGAATATCAAAATAGCATTTATTCGCGAAGCGTCTATACATCTCGCCGAGATATGGCCGCCGTCCAAATATCCCCCACTCTCATCTGATCCCTGAGATATATCATATCCTTCTTCCTTTATTAGATCACCAAGACCCTTTAGTCTGATATCGTAATACCGACGACTCTGATCAGACTAAACGACCATTTAGTCTGATCACCCTTCTCGGCAGCATCTACGGAGCTTGAACACCTGCCTTACATTTTAGGCACCACAACCCCTCCTCAGTTCAACAGGCCTAGTCTTATATCTTGTCACTTGTGTAAGTTATCCCCTAGCCTATAAATAAATGGCTTAAGCTATAAATGATTCCTTAAAAGTCTAAAGACCGGCTTATACCGCGCGGCCGTGATTGTAAGTACCACATTTCTTCAAATTAATTGCCGTTTTGATGAGGGCGGTCAAAATTTTCAGTCACATTATTGGTTAGCAATAATTCAGTCTAACCGAGAAAGTGAGTGCGGAGAAAATCAGCTTCTACAGCCGCCTTCCATTTCAGGAAAGATCAAATACATCCATTATAGGAAAGACCAAGTATCTCCTCCTTGGATTCTAACTTCTCTGCTCATCATGGGCTCTCTTCCAGCTCAAACCCGCTCCCTGGGGCCAGATCCAACCATTTCGCTTGCGAATATTCGCTCCATGCAAAAGGCATTCATCCTCGTCCAGAGTAATATTCCATCCGACGCGCCGTTTTTGGTGTTGACGAACGTATCAGAAAATCTTGCACCAGAGCTCTGAAAACTTCTCGAGGCCAGAAACTCCGGCTACAAACTGACGTCATTTCTTCAACAAAAGATAATTCACATCAGGATGCCAACCCCACAACACGAAGGCGCAGTTGTTTGGCTTAATACTGAGGTAATCTGATAGAACAGTGTAGGCCTTCTCACCGCGGCTGAAGTAAATGAGTTCTGTTGTGGAGGGAATCCGACGATTGTCATGATTAAGTCGCTCTATGTGGGCTCTAGAAAGATTACAGATTTCGCGATTGAACCTTTTCAGTCTCCACACCAGTTGCCCACAATATCCATGGAGGTTGGATGGAGCGAGTCGTATGTCAACCTTGTGGCTAATGCCCGCCTACTCCTAGAGGGTGGGGCCCCTCATACACGAAAGTGATACTTATTGATTTAGAAGACACCCGAGCGGGAGTTATAGCAGACTTCGAGATTTGGCAAAGGGACGCAGCCAGAATCGCCACATGTATCGGCAGCTGTTCCTCCTTCGTGACGATATTTTCGGTGCTTATATACTGGCAAACCGAAACCTACTAGATAATCTACCGCTCGGCCTGACTGAGCTCCGTCGTCAACTTGACACCTCTTAAAGATTGGCCACCATCCTATGTAGATGGCCAGGTGATTTGGGTCTTTCTCGTTCTCTCGCATTCTGCTATTTGCTCTCTTGCTTCATTTATTCCTTCTTTTCTGTTTTAATATCGCTAAGAAGCATCGTTAGCGCATGCATTAAACATTTTTTTCATTTTCATCTTCGTATCCTTTTCTCTCTTCCTTTCTTGCTTTTTGTTTCTTCATAAACGTTTCCCTCTTTTGTGATCATCTGTTGCTCGGAAGAATATTTAGAGCACAATAATATCTAGTTCATCTTCATACCTTATATCTGGTAATACTTCTGGTGAATTTAGAGTTTTAATAGGGTCTGCTTTTCTATTTATGTAGAGGACTAGCTATTTATAAGATAGAACTGCTCTTACTGCTTTAGACAGAAGAGTCGATATAATTATTATAAATATTGTTGAACTTAGGACGGGTGGCAGTGCCTAAAACGTAATGTAGGAGGTGTTAAGCTCTAATGACTTCTGCCAGGGACGGGACGAATATAATGATCAGATCAAAGGGTCTTGATGGTCTGATCAGGGACAGATGGACGCTACGATATCAGACCAAAGGGTCTTGTTGGCCTAATAAAGGAAGAAGGATATCCCAAGGATCAGATGAATAGAGATATAGATATAAAATAAACTGGTAGATACTTGCTTGACCAACTGTCTTCCATGGAAGCAGTTGGTCCTTTAAATACACGTTTTTCGGCCGAAATAAAGGGTCTGGAATATCAGATGAAAGTAGAACAACCTCAGGGTCTTCAGAAAGAGCTCTCTTATAATTATGTTTACGAGAGAGATTAGTAGTGAGGGCTTCATCTCGTTTAACAAACACAGTGGTTTACTTAATACCAACTTTGGGAAGAGGGTTAGAGGGTGTTGGTTGTCGCGGTCGGAGCAATAAATTCACCATATATCTAGCTAGAGCATGCGTAAGAGAAATCCATCTAGAATCCATAGAGGGTAGCCTTTCTCTATCGATTTCTCTTCTTGGGCAGAGAATTTATGGCGAGAGTGGCGCGAATCAGACCAACTTCCACGTCCATATCCTAGCTCGCAGAGTAGTAGGTGGGACAGAAAAAGCATATGCTGCAGCTGCAGCAGAGGGATACCTACCCTCATTAATAGCTTTAATAACGAGTAATGCTTTACCCTCCTGCTCAAATAATTTTTGAGACTTTTGAGAGCGGATTGGTGGCATGGTTAATGATTAAAAATATAGGTTACTAAAGAAGATGGGTTTTGATGAGGCGGCGACCGAGCAACCGTGGCTACCGCGGAGCAGATCAGTGAGCTTATAATACTCCGAGATGTGCTCAGTCCTACTCAGTGAGCAAAAGCAGCGAGGGGTTGGGCACTAATATGGAAGGGCACGCCAAAAACTGGCATAGGAAATGCGGTACAGAGGCAGTGTGCCGATCAACGACGCGTCCAGTGGATAGGTAGAAACTGCAGGGTCTGCATTGAAGGTGTATCAAACCCCGGATGAACGGCAGTACAGCTGTATCATGTGGATTGAAACGGTGTATTTCCTCATGATGTGTACGTATTGAGGCTTAGATATCAAGGTTTATGACATAGTTTGTAGATGCTCACGTGGACATCGTTATACTTTATCCCAGTAAGATTAGCAGTTGATCACTTCTACGGAGTAAATATCAAGTTCCATAATGCTTCTTTATACCCAATTTTAATCCACCAAGATCCGCGATCTTCCATAATCGAAACTTTTTTTATAGCACGACGATTTGGGTGGCGAACTTGAAGCTCTGATAATCGATGAAGCCGCGATCAACAAAGCTACTAGCTAGGTACAAGCCACAACCACGTCATTTAGTTAGCATGTAGAAGGTGAACCGGAAGACTAGGAAGAACCTGAACTTCGTTGTACAAGACCAAAAGAAGCTAATTATAAGTTTTATGGATTAAAACTCTGCAACTTAACTTAAACCCTCTTGGCCGCGTTGTCCCTCTCTCATGACCCACCAGGATCGCACGAACCATCCTTAAGCCATAACGGTCATAGGCCATACCGTAGACGCCACATTTTTTCTCTTCTGTAAAATTGTAAATGGTGAGACGCCGATCTTTGCCACTTTTCGTTCTCATGGGGAAGTCAATCCGGTCACTCATGACCAGATAAGGAAATAAGTTTTGAACTCTGAAGAGGAGGGGAAAAGGGGGAATGGAAGAGTCCAAGGGAGAGTCCGAAGAGGAGAAGAAGAATGGTGGCTTGCATATGAAGAGAGAGTAGGTAATTTCGGGGTGACAATTTAATTACGATTGAATTACAAGATATATTACCGTTTATTACCTCTAGACGCCCTGAGCTAATTCCCTTACTCTTGTCATTCTGTGGTTTATTATCATCCTGGATCCACTCGGTTATCCTGGACTGGTTCCTTCAACTTGTTATTGTTTTTTTTATTTTTTATTTCAATTTCTTAAACTATTAAATTCCCCTTTTCCCCTCGTTCTACTACACTCGTTTCTCCGAATATAAAAAACTACTGAGCCTACTCAACTTACTCGGCGCCAATTCTGACTTTGTCTTGTCTTTGCATACATCTCTACACTATACACTATACACATCTACTCTTTCACTCTTCCAAATTCCTGGTCGAGTAACTACTAAATACTCATCATCAATCACAATGCGCGATACACCTTCCAAGTTCATTGAGATCCTCGATCCAAAAGACTGTCGCTTACGTTCAGAGTCTGACGTTCGACTCGAGGATGTACTGGCTCATCACGAAGCTACTATGAATCGACCACGCTCCTCAACCCAGTCCTCGACCAAGCTCATGGATAAATCTCAGCTAGACAATGGCGTTCCATTGTCACCCACTCAGCGGTGGAAGAGATTCAGCAGTTTGCTTGCGCAACCACGAAGGAGCTCATAGTGATTCTCCATTCTCCTTTAGCCTTCCATCTTCTCTTCTACTACATACTTCTTTTCTTCTCCTTCTTCTATTCTCCAGTTTATTCCTTCGAGTGCTTACTGTGTACGGTTTACGGTTTACGACTTCAAACATTTCATGATCATGACCACGACCACGGGAAACCCCCAAGACGTGACGCGAACAAACAACCGAAATGCAAATGCAAATGATATGAACAAATGTGACTGGACTTTTCAAAAGGGCAATTCCTGGGATTTTGCAGTCGGACACACTTGTTTGGCCTTAGACCAGTTCGTTCTGCTGGTCTGATTGGCAAGGGCAATATTGATTGATCGCGCCGGACGCAGGAGATCCCCCACCCTTTTTATTATTATTATTTATGATAACGATATGATGAGAGCCTATTTGTTACCTTCTACTTCTATACGTCCGGGACGTTGTCTTTTTACATTTTACCTTGGGATATTAAAATCAAATGGATGAGTCCATTTTTTTCCTTGTATTTTTGACAGAACTTTTTGCTTTGTGGGTACTTCGTACATCCCATCTAGTTCTGGTCTGGAAGCGCCGAAAACATTTGTATATAGAATTGAACCCGCTTATTTCTTATTTCTTTAATTTTATCGGTGTTTGAACCATAGATCCAAATGGGGGGCATTATTATAGACCACCTATCAAGTCATATTGAGTCCTGAAGTCCTATGTCCTATCAAGTTCCTGTTGATACCTGGTTCCAGCTGGTCCGGGTCTATAGTTAGTATCAACTCTAGACAGTTTTTTTGGGGGAAAAAAGTTATACGACCTTCAGACCGAGACACAACAGATGGGGATGCGACTGTTTGATCTTCAATTCTGTACCTGGTGGATCTGAAACAGGCCCAGGCTTGGCTGTCAAGTTCGAATGGATCTGGAATTCTATCACGACCCATGGAATTGGACAGGTACCAGTGGACCCCTGGCCCGGGTATGAGGGGCAGACAGTACACTGGCCACTTTTGTACCCTTGCACTTATAATTACAGCTGTCAGTGAACACGAGTTGTTTTTTTTTTGCCAGGGAGGCTGGACTTTTGAGGAGATAAGACGTTGTGTACTCCGTACTCCGTTGGAGGAAGGGGAAATTGGACTGCTCCGACGACGTCCGTTGGCTTGATGTCTTAAATTTGGACTGCATTAGTGGGATTTTATTTTTATTTTATTTTACTTTTTCTCTCCCAACCTCTCGATTGGCCCTCGGCTAGGCCTTCAAAAAAAGGCCAGATTCGGAGTAAATTAATTACCCGGTTCTTTAACTATTCTCTATTTCTTTAACTTCGATCTCCACGCGAGAATAGACTTTAAATTTCCATGTGGAATTCGCGTAGGTTGATACCGTATTGGACTAGATTGGAGTTTCATAAAGAAAACTTATGGACATTGGATACTCTGTCTACGGGTCTACAGTTCGTAGTCTAAGTAACTAGAACTTAACTAGAAGTCACACGTATCTTTCCCCCCACTTGTCTTGGCAAGTGCTTATTGAGTCGCTGGAATTTGTTTCAGTTCAATCAGTTGAAACTTGAAAAAGTTTGGAAAGAGCTGCAGAGTCAGACCACGAGATGTGTTTCCTAAGTTGTCAGATAATGTGATGTGCCGAAAGTCATATCCGTGTCAACCCCACATATTATGCGTAACTAATAATTCACTTAAGCTTTCGTTCGCTTAGGTCATGCCTCATGACTCGCTTTGTATTAGAATTGAATTGAGTTACCTGGGCTGCGATATCTGTTCCTTCCTTACTTCAGAAATTAAGACCTCAATCTTGAAAATCATGTAAATCATCAACCTGAGCACCTGGGAGATGTGTAGACATATTTTCTACTTCTAATAAAAAGTTCATGTTGCATAATCCTCAGGATTGAGGAATTCAGGCCCCAGGTATTTGAAATCATACATAGATACCTAGGTAGGAAGAGGTTTTGAGGCGTAGTAGAAGGTAACCTACCTAAGTACTTATATCCCTTCCAGGGTTCTTCTCAAGATGATAATGTTTGATGGCTCACATGGATTTCACTTTAAGGTTATCTATTAGGTAGATATTACCACCCACGAGGCATGTCATGGGTTCCAAGGTTTCTCTAGTCCTCGCATCTGCGCAAGTGGGCAATGAAGAGCAGCTTCAAGATTTTGCACGTTGCTCAAGTGGGTTGCTACTTTGACCTTAGGAGTCTAGGACGCATCTCATGAAGTGCTTACCGGTCAACGTAGCTATTCATCCATGGATATATGAATCCGATTATCAGCCAGCGGGACGCCAGATGGTTGTGGTACACGAACTCGACACCCGGGCTCTAAAGGAGGTTGTCCATCGCTATGGGTACCTGGCACCTCGTCCTCAATAGAGGTCAACTCGCCCTCTTATATTGAGCCAACTTCACCTAGCACATATCGATCAATAAGCGCGAGTAAATGAAATACTGTGTGTGACTAGAACATTCAGCCATCACCTAGGTACGGACGATGCGTGGGTTGATCGTTGAAACGGGGCCAGGACGAAAGGTTGCTATATTCGCTTGAAATTCCAAATCAATTGCAGCTCCGATAAAGTTGTTTTTGTTGTCGCTCTCGAAGATGCATCTGCCTAGCACGGGTCAACCTTGTCAACGGTCATACCTAAGTAGTTAGAAGATTCCGAGCTTTGTGTCGCATACAACTTGCGCCTCATTGACCTGTTTGGTCAGCCAAGTTCTTGCTTATCACTTCATAGGCTGACAGAATATCTCAAGCAATTGCAGCCGGATTTTTTCCCGGGGCTCTTCAACAAACATATAAGGCTGTGAACCAGATTAATATGCAAATCAACGGTAGTGACCTTCATAGTCTATCTTTTGACTTCTTATCCATGACCTCTTACCATATTCTGAAAGGCTTCAGGGGCTCTCACTTCCCTAGAACCAATTCTCAGATAAGGCCTCCAAGATGACAGAACTTGTGAAGTGATGCTGAATAGATCGTCCGAACTTGCATCCGCTGCTCTTTCGTTCCCATCAGACCTCTTGGCCATGCGCTCAATCTTTACACCCCTTCAACTGACGTTCAGATGACAAATGTTTACATCTGCCACTTTCTCCGGAGTGGGGACCATGCTGGGTGACGTGATAGTGATCCGGACTTAGTTTGGGCAAGACCTAGGCGAGTCGAAGGATTGATGAAACAGGGAAGACAGCCATTGGAGATGCAGAAGTAAGACATAGTAAGACAGACTTCCAATTGAGTAGTCAGGAGTCCGTTTGAGATGATGGAATCACAATCCGTGGTCTTGTATTAGAAGCAATTGCTGACCGCTTATTGTGACCCCTCATCTACCCCGCAATACGTAAAAAGTAGGTATCGACCTGATAACACGGAATTATTCCGCAGTTATGTCATTTCTAAATATGTGCATCCTCCACGGCGATTAAACCTGCTAACTAATGCCCGGAATTTCGGAGTAAATCAGGGGTCCACAAGTTAATTCCGAATCCCCTATCCGAGGGGATTCTAGAAATTGGCCGAACCGAGTTGATTGTCCCTTAAAAGACATCATCACCCCTCGCACTCTCTCAACATAACACATATCATCAATTGAAATTAAAATCACACAAAATGGTTCTCAAGCTTCACGGTTTCCCCCTTTCTACCTGCTCTAAACGAGTGAGCGTTGTGCTCGCGGAGAAGGAGGTGGAGGTCGAGTTCAATGCCATTGATCTTTCCAAGGGCGAGCAGAAGGCTGAGGCTTACATTGCCAATTACCATCCCTTTGGAAAGGTGCCTGTTTTCGAAGACACTGAGACTGATCTGAAGATCTTTGGTAAGCAACAAAACACATTAGACTTGACAAGGATGACAAGCTAATCAATTCATATTCCCTCAGAGAGCAGAGCTATTGCCCAATATGTTGCTACCAAATACAGCAGTCAGGGAACCGATCTTATTCCTACCCAGAGCGACCTGAAGGCGCATGCCATCTACCTACAGGTATGTTTTGTGATGTTTCTTTTGACCTGATAACAACACTAACATCGCTCTAAAAGGGTCTCTCCATTGAACAATCTTACTTCGACCCCATCGTTTCGGAAATCGCATTTGAGAAGGTCTTCAAGCCGATGAAGGGTCTCGGGGAAACTGATGAAGCCCGTGTCAAGGCTCTTGTCGCCCAGCTTGATACTACCCTGGAGGGATACGAGCGTTTGCTTTCCAAGCAGGCTTTCATTGGCGGTGATAAATTGACTCTCGCCGACCTTTTCCACCTTTCTTATGGTACTTTCGTTGAGCCTTTCGGTTTTGCGGAACTCTTGAACAAGTACCCTGCTACCAAGAAGTGGTGGGAGGCATTGAAGACACGTGAGAGCTGGAAGAAGATCTCCGCTAAGTAGATCCTCTCATACTCGACGTCAAACTTCTTGTCACCACCTCATTACAGTACCACTATCGTTCCAATTTGCATAGTTAGGGGTAGAGAAGAAAGCGGCAATTAGATTAAACTGGAGTTAGTAACAAATAATAGAAATCAGCCTGGAGGCTGTCAAATCAATGAAGCTATTGAACTTATAATTCTATGGTATTAAAGCCTTGGAGTAGCAGAGCATTGATCACTCTGTCGGCTTCGGCTTATCCAAACTTGCCCCACCACAACGTCTCCCGATCAAAAATCCCGACACATAATCTTCCTACAACACCAGTGTAGATGAGACCATTTCCCAAGGCTTTATCTGCTGCAAATTCTCGAAGGAAACTAGTTACGAATCCCAGTCGAGTTGAACAGTTGGTAGTAGTCCGACGCTCAACAGCTCAAATTCGCGTATCTTAATCCTGACGGGACGCATCAATTCACTCGCCTTGAGCTGCGGTGGCTTGAATCGCGTTTGATACTGCTTCAATCCATATTGTTTGATTGTTCAAACTTACTTTATATTCAATCATGGCTTGGCCTGCGACTCCGGGTTCCGGTGGGCGTGCATCCCCCACTGTCTTTGAGCAGCAACGCGAAGAGCTCGTCCGAGAGATTGCCGGGGTAAGTATACCAGGGAGAATCTTCTCACTTCAATTTTCCTTCGGCTCAAAACTGCAACAGCTTTACTCACGCGCAATACCAGGGTATGGAACAAGTCCTACAAAACATGAACCGGCTGAACCGTAATTTAGAGAGCATTATCACTGTATGTTTGGGCCAAAACTCTGATATCAGATTCCAATTTACTGATGAAACCAGGTTGGTAATGAATTCAGTTCTGTCGAGGCTCTCTGGTCCCAATTTGAAAACTTCATGGCTCGACCAGAGGAAGAGGTCGAAGATGGTACTGGAAAGCGAAAGGTCAGCGGTGAGAGCGAGAGCCGGGAACCAGTAATTAAGAAAGATGAGAACGACTCGATAACTGGGTAGCTCTGAGCTGTTAACTCGCAAGTGTGGCGTTGGTTGGTTCGTACTTTCAAGATACCATGCATTACTTTGGTTGTTCCCTACAATATTTCACCTTTACACCGTAGTATAGTTGAATATCAAGAATCCATAATTTATTTGTTTCAGTAACACATAGGATGTCGCTATCGCCAACAGAGCATATCAAATAACATAAACGAAAACACCAATCCCATGCATGCCGAAATGAAAAGTGTCCGAAGCCGGGCCATGAGATGGGGAAAGAGGAAGGGTCATAAGAAACACAACAAAAGGAATCAATATAGGACAGACAAACATCCAGTCCAGGAAAAAGCCTCCCATAGATAAAGAAACAGGAATCGTCCCAAGAGCGCGCTGCGTCTTCGGGGCGAAAGTTTTGACAGATGATCCAGCTTCTAAAAGCTAGAATTTGGTAAAGAGAAGAGAAGGAGAATATCGAGCAAAAATGTGAGAAAAAAAATCAACCTACACGATCTTACAGGATCTTGCAGGAGCGTTTTTTGATCTTTTTACCCGGACCACGCGCACCACCGCCATTGTCATTTGTGGCGGGCTTTGCGCTGTTGCGATTATTCGTTGGTGGGGCGTTCCAGCCTTGCTCTTCAATTGACACAACAGTGTCCACTGCTTTTGCAAAGACGTCATCTACACCGCGCATCTCCTTACTGCTGCACTCCACATATGTGGCGCCCATCCGATGAGCCACAGTATGACCTTGTTCCTGAGTGATAGGAGTCAGACCCTGGGTCTTGAGGAGCTCGATGCAAGTGCGTTTGGAGCGAAGATCTGACTTTAGCCCAACCAGAACTATGGGAGTTGTTGGGCAGAAATGCAGGACCTCTGGGTACCACTGTGGAGGATGTCAGAGAAGTGGAGCAAGAAGCAAGGATCTGAATCTAACTGACCTTATCCATAACGTTCTCCAAAGATGCAGGGCAATCAATCGCGAAGCAGACAAACAGAAGATCTGTCTCGGGATAGGACAGTGGGCGCAAACGATCATACTCCTCCTGTCCAGCTGTATCCCATAACGCTAGTTCGACTCCCTTACCCGATGCGCGGTGGGTGGTCTGGGTGATATAGTTTTCGAACACAGTGGGAACGTATTTCTACATATATTAGAATTGTGTCTGGTTTGTTCTGCGAAATGTAAACACATACCTCTGGGAAATAGCCTTGCGAGTAACTAATCAACAAGCATGTCTTACCGCATCCACCATCGCCAACTACCACGAACTTTTTTGAATAGTAGGGCGGTTGGGTGACATTGGTGGCTTCAGACATACGTCCACTGGAGAAGCTATTATGCGTGCTGACGGTACCGTTGCTCGCTCGCACGCTCTGACTGCGGGCTCTGGTGTGGCGCGGGGACATGGAAGGTGGAGGAGGAGTGGCCAGGGACTGACGTCGCGAACTCGCATAGTGGTGTTCGTCATACATCTGGCTCATTGTGGTGGTTAAATGGAATGGGTCCCCCTTGTTGTAATGCGAGTTGACGTCTTAACGGCTATCTGCCGAGGGGAAAAATTGGGGGAATCGGGGAATTCGGAGGAATGGGATTTTGTGTTGTTTGAAGAATGTAAACAGAGTCAAGAAAAGAAGGCGAAAGATTTAAGAAGAGTCAAGGACAAAGGCGATCTGTAGAAAAATAAAGATCTAGGGATTAACCTTGATTAAGATAGAGGGTCCGGTTGGGCGAGGCCCATGTTTACCTATAGTTGCCATGGCAACGGCCGCGTTGCAGTGACGCCACAACGACCATCTTGGGCTTTAATGCTTGTCAGTTTCATATAAATGGCTTTGATCTTTCCGATCTTCTTTCTTTATTGATTTACTGACTCCGCTGCCCCTCTCGAGCCCCTCTTCCCCACTGTTCAGCTCTCCAGAACAAGGATATGAGAGGCTCTGGATCGCATGATTGGCACAGGTAAGCATAAATAAATTGGTTCCTTGATAGGGCCTCCAGAGCAGGAGAGAATACTTGTAACTTGATTGGAGATCATTGCCAGGCTCAAAGTGCCCTGTCACCAACTAATGCAGGTCGAAGCACGTCGAAGCACACCGAGTCGTGCTACGTTGTCGTGCCGTGCACTGATGGCAGCTGTTTAGTAGTCAAAGCTCGAGTATTAATTTTTGTTATAGACTTCGAAATATTTTTGTGTAACATACATCTACATCCATAGATTGATAATTGACTATCTAAATACTTCAATCTCACTATTATCATGGTTCTTGATATTGGTGCCATTGATGGGTAATCATGATACATACTACGTGACTACCTGTAAATAGTGAATATTGGTTAAGCTGCTTAATGGCTGATTCTTTGCAGCTGGCTGTTAATTAGTTCTCGGAGCATAAAATCATCAATACTATTTAGCTGAACAACAACAAACAAGAAGTAACTAACTACGGATTTCTCTTCCAGCCCGTGACTAAGCCCACACATGGCCAGAGCTCAGGGGCGGAGCCGCGGTGAGTGATCTTCGCGTTGCGGAACTTGATTACACAGCTTAACTTGAAAATCATCTTTGTCATCTTCGAGTCAATCCAACTCTTTACACTCCCTATGTCCTTGCACTGAGACTCAACCATCCAAAGCTGAGCGGCAGGCACCAAGCCTGTCCATTCCTGGGCCCACTCCAATCGGCTTCAGATAACATCACAAAATGGGCAAAGTGGCCAAAGATCAGCTTGATGCTGGGCTGAAGAGCCTCAATCATTGTATGCAGCTGACACCGGTCCTTTGATACCCCTGTCCGGCTTCTTCTGTTACAGTGTCCACTGACCGTGATATTCCCAAATAGACTCGAATAGACTGCCCACTTGGCGTTACTGGCCTCGACAGAAACTCCTCCCTCTAATTCGATATGAGACACCCTATCTTGCCTGGGTGCAGGAGAAAGTTCGCACCCCAGCTCTTGATTCCTATTTTGCCTTTACGGCCAACCTCGGCACCCACACCTTTTTCATGGTCTTCTTGCCCTTTCTCTTCTGGTGCGGCCATACTGCCTTAGGTCGTGGGTAGGTGTTTCGAGTAGATATAATCAGCGACTGGTAGCTAACCGCAATCTCGCGCGCAGACTAGTACACATTCTGGCTGCTGGAGTTTTCTTCAGTGGATTCATTAAGGACTTGCTATGCCTTCCCCGCCCTCTATCTCCGCCGCTGCAGCGAATCACGATGTCTGGATCTGCTTCTCTAGAGTATGGTTTTCCCTCGACGCATTCCACCAATGCCGTCTCCGTCGCTGTTTATGGCCTAGCTCTTCTCAATGCGCCTGATTCGACTGTCAACCCTCAAACAAGTCTCATCTTGCAGGTTGTCACCTATCTCTACGTCACGTCGATTGTTCTTGGTCGATTGTACTGCGGTATGCACGGTATGCTGGACTGCAGCATCGGTTGCATCCTCGGTGCATTGATCGGCTTAGCTCAGTTCCACTACGGCCCTGCATTCGATAATTATATCTTGTTCGCCTCTTTGAAGGAAATTCTCGTCATTCCCGTTGTCATTTTGATACTGGTGCGCATCCATCCAGAACCGGCTGACGATTGTCCTTGCTTCGACGACAGCGTAGCCTTTGCGGGAGTGTCCCTCGGCGTGGATGTGGGCTCCTGGTACTTTACGCATTCCGATCTTGCGTGGTCTGAGCCACTCCCCGGTACAATCCCATACAACTATGAAGGCATTGGCCTGGCCAAAACCGCTATTCGCCTAGTGGTCGGGGTGCTGTGTATCTTTGCTTGGCGAGAAGTCATGAAGCCCACTATGCTTCGAATTCTGCCGCCCATATTCCGCAGCCTGGAGAAGCTCGGTCTTTTGTTGCCTCGTAGATTCTTCAAGACGGCTTCGTAAGTCTCAATAAGCCTTACACTTTCTCCCGATGACAGACTCTGACCATACACAGGCAATACACCACCGTCCCGACTAACCTGAAAGACCATGATGTGTTCCCCAACTTTTCTGAAATCCCTTCTATGCTCACCACCATTCGACACCCTCGGCGCAGAGCTATCTCCATTGGTCCCCAGTCTGAAGCTGATGCGTACGAGGTCCTCGCATACCGAGAGAAACGTCGACGAGAAAGCCTGTCCACCGGCAATAGTGACACCCCGGCGGATGGATCAAACAAGCAAAACGGCCCTCATGGCCCGTCTAAAAAGGCCTCCAGACTTGATGAGTACGAGACCATGATGGGCACGGGTAGCCCGCATTCGTCCACTGTGCAAGTGGATAACAACAATATCCCGCGGTCAACACCCCTCCCGCCTCCCAACTTTGGCGCATCGCAGACTGGAGAGAAAGAGATGTTCTCCCAGATCAAACAGCCTCGTGTACGTTATGATGTGGAGGTTGTGACCAAGTTGGTCGTCTACTTTGGTAAGTATCTATTTCCTATGCCTTGCATTTCCATCCACTGATTCATGTCTTTCGTAGGAATTCCATGGGTAGTGATTAATGTGGCGCCCCCTGTGTTTGACGTTCTAGGGCTTGGAGTTCCTCTCTAGATATTCACTGTTCGAGTTCGTTCCAGTCCAGCAGGCTGTGCTGGGAGATGACATACCTAGCTATCTAGGTTTTTGGGGTTATATATGTACATACTGCAATCTGCATCCTTTATTCTTCTATTCATCTGAAGCTTGCAGGGGGCTCCCATGAGAAACGATTGAGAAGTTTTTCTATATCATGTCATCATATTTATTTTATTTCTAGCATGTTGAAGTGACTTTTCTTTGTCCAGCACTATCAGGCTCTTGTTTTTATCTTTATTTCTATACAGTCTGTTCCGAAACTGGTGCAACCAGCTATACTCTTTGAATGATTTTGAAGACCCACTGCCAAGTAACACTAGTTTATGTTCGGAGTTTTTCCGAAGTACCCTGTTAGTTATGCGTGTAACGAGCCTTACGTCAATTACATGAATTGGAATGGACTCTTGTCCACCACTTTTTTAACACTTTGATTGAATCATGAATTGAGATGAACTCCATCCCGGCGACCCCCATCGTGATAGGGCCGTTAGTGAATGTTCTCAATAACTTGGACTTTCATACGTAATATCAACATCGGCGTACACTGCTCAGCTTTAATCCAATCTTATGCTGCCTCTCCCCCTCTAACAAAGCCTACTGCTTATATAGAATACTCAGAAGGTACAAAATCAATCCCCTATGCACTTAAAGTCGCCAACTGTGTCGCAAAGATTCGAACAGCACACCCTATTGTTTTCGCAAGCCTCGCCATCGTCTACAGAAATAATGAGTCAGTCTAGGTCTGAGGATGGGAATAACTTCTACCCAACCTACACTGGCACCCCAATACAACTGGAGTCAGAGCAAGAAGATAGATCATGACTTGTGAAAGGAACTTCATCTTTAGTAGTGAATATAGGGTAGGTTGGTCGAAGTAGGGTTCGGTGATTGTTTTAGAGCTGCTCTGTTTTGATACTATCTTCAAGGCCGAAAGAATCGAGATAGAGACTTTTAAGCTATTGACATTTATTACGAGATCAGGCCCCTGAAATATTTTTTAACCTAGCGCAAGCTTGCCCTATAATCTGCAAGGGATAGCCCTGGCACCGTCATACATTCCTTCACGCTGTTCCTTCTCCTATAGGCCAATATCGCCTACGAACCGCCGGGCAGCATCTACTTTCATGCCATGTTGAACGAAGAAATTTGGGTCTTGGTCCTCATAAATCTGCCTAAGATCGAGGCAGTTATCGAGAGTCACATCGCGTACTTTATCGATGTTATCTTGAAGTGTCGTTTCTCAGCCGTGACCACTGCTATTTGCTGTATTCTCCACGGCGACATCAAGTAGCCCATGAACGGTGATTGCTTCGGCACTATTTGACTTGGTTGGCACGGATCCATTGGCAGCTAAGGGAGGCAACTACGGCTGAGGTGATTCACTTGGCAAGAAGTGGATATTTATCGGCGGATACGTGGAAGCAGTGATAAAGCCCCAGATTGTTGAAGCCCTCTTTTTTCCTTTGTTGATGTGTTTATTGATTTGCATTATCATCGAAAGTTCTAGTTGCCGTTACTGTTATGAGATATGGTATTTTTATACAGTGTGTAATAAATAGAGTAGGATACTGTATTGATTTTAGTGTGGAATATCATTATTCCGGCTACGCCTACGTCAGTTTCAGTAAAAGGGTTCGAGAGAGTGAAAGTGGTAGCACCAGTTTCGGGACGTGCTGTATTGGATCCAAGCCTGGGAGAGCTCTTCAATTCCCTTTCATTATAGTTGGCTTTGTTAAACTCTTTGTGGCCTGTAGTGCAAAGTAAAATTGGACATATTACTACCTCAAAGATACATTCCTTCCATTAGTAAACAGTAAACTATTCAATTCAATTGAACTCATCTTGGTACTTAAAAGCGCGTTACTTTCACTTGGATCCCTGATTCTCATACTTAGTTTTTAGTTGACTATTCCTAAAGTGGCTAGACTGGCTTAGTCATAGACGGCGGGTGCCTCCAGCCTCCCAAGTCGCGCTTCCGCAACTCTTTAGCGGCCTCAACTATGTGTCGCGTTGATAATGGAACCGTCAGTCTGCATACTTACTTCTAATTTTCTGAAGATTTGCGACATTCTCTTTTAAACCTTCATCCTTTTTCGCACTTCATCTCAACTAGACTCATTGCCCTTGTAACGGGTTTATCATTCGACTTCACTCACCTCCACCTTGACCGTCAAATCGTTTAACAAAAGATATGGTCAACTTCTTCTGGTGGCGGTGCAAGTCGCCTGCAACATCTGATGTGGATGTCGCAAAACCGCTTAATCCATTTGCTTTGATCAAGAGCCATCGCGAATCTCAACCCCAAGCAGGTGGGTAGATCTAGCTAGCGCATTCAATCCTTGAGCATCCTAATAAACTCGCCGTCATAGATGTCCAAGACCTACCAATACCAGGCGCATTTCCACCTACACCCCCTATATCACCACAACTTGCGCCCAGCGAGCCCATTGAAGATGGCCTTTCAATATCAGACCACGATTACCCATACATAGGCATGGCCCATACACAAGAGCTTCATACTGAACTCGGATCGCATCTCCATCCACGAAGACCATCGAGGTTCACTTCAACAGCCAGTAATGTCACCGAATACTCTCAATCAGTATCATCGCGACCTCTACATACACCACCAGAAGATGAATTGATTCTTACCACAAGTATGCTGGGGTCGTCAAGTGTGCCGCCGTCCTTTACGGACGAGATGGACATTGACGACCCCTGGCAGCGACATAATGAATATAATACTTACCCATTCGGACGATCGGTCTCAGCTGTGCGACTGTGCTATCCAGTGCAGAGCCCGCTTCCGCGCAATCGCGTTCCCTCCATCTTTGCGCCTGAGTGGGAACGCCGAGAGAAAGCGCGAAAGGCTCTGGAACGAGATCAGAATCGGACTATAAGACTTTTTTGGAGGGTCCCGCTGTCCGTCCAATGTCTCACGAATGGTTGAATAAGGTGGCTAGAGCCATGCAAGCGCCTCATGGTACGATAGTCGCCAAATCTCTCGTAGGAGATGATTTGTTCGCGAAGGACATCGCATCATGTGTTAAGCAGCACGCTTGGTTGAACGACGAGATAATAAACGCCTACCTCACTCTACTTGTCAATTATCTTCGTCAATCGACTGGAAACATTGGCTCGAACCCTCGATATCACGCTTTTAATACCTTCTTCTATTCAAATCTTCGTGAAAAAGGCTACCAATCCGTTGGTCGGTGGGCGAAGCGAGCTAAGATTGGCGGTGAAGCACTTTTGGATACTGAAATGGTCTTTGTTCCTGTTCACGAAGCGTCTCATTGGACGTTGATGGTACTACAACCAGTGAAACGTACCATTGAATATTTCGATTCCCTCGGAGGAAGTGGCCGAAGTCAAGTCTTAAACATTGAACTCTGGCTGCGCGGCGAGCTCGGCGTCAAATTCGACCCAGAAGAATGGACCACCCTTCACTCCGTTTCATCGCAACAGGAAAATGGCTTCGACTGCGGCGTTTTTCTTCTTACAAATGCCAAAGCAATCAGTCTCAACATTGAACCCACTGCTTTCAAGGCCGATTCCACGCCACTACTGCGGAAAAAGATCATTGCGGAGATCATAAACGGCGGCCTCCACGGCGATTTCAGTCCCGATATGGGGGGTACCCGTCTTCTCTAGAGTTTTTTTTTCTCTCTTTTGCGCCTTTACACTTATATATACTATCTCACCTTTGTATGAAATACCCTCATCTAGCATTTTCTAGCGTTCGGTTTTTTCTTTGGTCTGTTCCTGTTTTCTGATGTCTTGATGGATTATGATACCCCTTATCCTCGATCATGTTGTTTGATAATGTACGGTAATTTGCCATATCTTCTACTTTTCACGGCTTGAGCCTTCGATTTTCAATGAGGCTTTACGTGTACGCTAATCAACGCGATGAATTGGATATGCAATGTTACTTCTACCTGCATATGTGTATAACTAGGTCTATTTGAATCAAACTGCGTTGTCTTAACGAATAGAGATGAACGATCTCCCGATTCTTAATCAATTCGTGTCCCGACTACAGCAGTCTATTCGACAGCCACATTGTTGGAACACATAGTTTTGGGATTCAGCTTTGAATATAATGATAGAACGAACACTTCAACCAACGAGTCCATGATGGAAAGCGGAAATTGGAAATATACGCACATCACGCATCGGCAAAATGGTGGTCGTCAACATTACAAACACGACGGCAGATCTTCGGCTCTGCACCGTTCTTATTCTTTTCCCAGTCATTTCGACCATTTCCCCCCTTTCGATCACTATCCTTATCATTCTTTCTGCACCTGCGACCCCTTTTACCCTTCCTACACCGCTTCTTCACAACACCGGTCATAATTCCAGTGGCTTCCTCGAATAAGTCATGTCTCAGATGATCATCTCTCGCAGACAGATGATCTTGCGGTCGTTGGTGACCGCCATGTCCTTCATCGGGTGGAAGTATGACGCTGCCGTCAGAGGACTGGTTGTATGCCAATTCGATGTACTCGATTCCGAGGTGAATTTTGTCTCCGATCTTCATGTCTCCAGTCCATTCACCACCATCGCTCCAAAGGTTGAGGATTAACATGCTTTGGAGATTGGGCACTTGATAAGTTTTTGTGTCTTGCAGTATGTTGTTCACCCACCAACGTGACTTATCAATCTGCCAGTCTAATCGATGAGTAGCCCACGATGTCCACGGGACAGGCAATTCGGCAACTGTGCTCGAACCCGGTATCATCTGGTCGGTTCCAGGATCGTAGTCGGGTTGGTTCGCATAGCGGACTCGATTGGTTGGGTCGCTAGAGAGGATTTCGATATCCGACTCGCAGTTCTTAGCACCGTATGTGAAGATACCAACGCACGCACCGGGAGATGGCCTCTCTGGATCCTGGAGGGTAGTATTGGCTTTTTGCGTCAAGTTGCTGAATCTGGATGTGATCTCTTGCTTGACATTCAATTTTGATAAATCGGGATGCTCCGACACGTCCATTTTGACTGGCAAGATACGCATTCGGACCCGGAGTGAGCAGCGGAAGATGTTCTGTACCCGAGTCTCGATCTCGGCCGCGGAAGTAAAGTCAGAATGCCGGGTCGCTCGCATGACAAGGTAGGTTGCATCGGAATTCTCTCCATTGGCTCTGGTGAAGAAAAGGTTTTTCTTGGAATTGACCATATTCACCGGTGACATGGTGTTGCGAGAGCGGCTCCATTCCTGGCTGCTCCAATCTTTGTGGAAGGGAGTTTGAAATAGGTAAAGAGGGTGGTCTTGAGTACTGTTGTCGACGTTGCCTTGATCGTCCTCCTGCCCGTCATCATCGATGCCATCATCTTCATCGGTGAATTCGTCCTTATCTTCGTCGTCCTTATCTTCGTCGTCCGCGTCTGGCGGCAGACCGACATGAGCGTTGAAGGGAACAGAACGAAAGTCCCACAGCTTGTATTGCTGAAAGTATCCCGGGTCTTCCCCAGAAACTATAAAACAGTCACATTCACTCAGATTACTTCTGGATAAAGGGTAGGATTCTCCATCGAGTGGAGTGGGAGATGAATAGGCTGTTGTGAAACAAGTCACGAGGAGTCCTAGTATGCCTAGGGAAAGACCGTATGGCTTCATTGCGGTGGTAAGGGTCCGGTATAGAGGCGGATATCAAGACAAACCCTTCAAGACGATGTCCGTTACTTTTGAGATTTGCGGGTATTTAAATGGTGGGAAGTCGCGACATATGGCTTCGTAGCTTCCCGAACTAGATAGACTTCTCGTTTCGAAATCATTCAATCGTACAGCAATAAATTTGAAAATTTACCATGCATTGAATTTCTCTTCAAATTAATATGGAACAAGTCAATACGTTCTGAATGGAAAATTGGATTCAGTCTTGGATATACTCTAATCTGTCTGTCTTCCTCACCTCAGTCTGTCAGAGCTGTTAAAGCTTTCACCATTCTACCGAGCCCTATGTGCAACATCTGTTTTACAGAGTTGTTCATTATCTCACCTTCAAATCAAGAGGAACCAGACGACCAGTCACAGTGAAACCGCATCCATGAACGGGGGCATAATAAAGCTACGCCTGGTCACTTGTCCAAGTGAATGAGCGTACGTGGGATCTTGAACACTATCAGAGAGCAGGTTCATTTGATACTTGAAAAACCAAATACAGATGTATGTGACTTTAACAAAAAGTTGAGTGCTACAATCTCTAAGCCACGGGGCCTTAGGTAGTGATACAATCGAATATCTCCTGATGGACACAATCAGAGCATCCGAAGATTGCAAGCGTAGTCTCACATCATACAAGACACAATCTACTGGACTAAGATGGTATCTCATTAGACGGTCAAGACTGGCTTCGCGATAGACATCTGGTCGTGTTATGATACCCATTTCTCTCCGTCACATATTCTCCCTCTTACATTATAGATATACCTCTTATCATTCTTTGAAATATCACAGGGTTTCGTCCGCTCAGCCGTACTTGAGCCATATGTGTAATGCGGCCAATTCTCTAGGCACTCTCTCACCCTGAAGCAGCGATAGAAGCTCCCCTGGGGTCAATGGGTGTAATTTAGATAAGGACAGGGTGAAAAGTGCCCATATATAGTTTTCTTTATTATCCACCTCTTTGAAGGCTGTTCTACGACTGGTTTATTCCAATTCGATGTTTTGATATCAGGTCAATCAATTTCTTTTGGAATGCACATCAATGATATTCAATAGCAAATGGGTATCAATAATATTTAAAAACAACAAAAGAAAACAGAAAAGAAGCTACTACTCCGGAATATCAGGCATCGCAGCTTCACTGAAAAGCATAGAGAAGAAATCTAGAGTGAAAGCGAGAGTGCCGGCCCCAAATTTCTTGTAGCTGCCATTCCTCGGTGATGACACCGATCTTCTTCATCCGTCTGATGGTTCATCTGAATTGATGCACCGTCTCAGTCCTTATTGGAGATGTCTTCAAATGCCCGGAGGCGGGAGTTGTACTGGAGCTCAAACATGTCTATGCATGTCTCTAGGCGTGCACTGATGTTAGTGGATTCTTGTCGTAACTCAGCTTTTGCTGCATGTGGAAGACCTGTGAATAAACTAAAGTGGGAGCGAGGAAACAGAGCAGCTTATTTGATTAAAGCGAGCTGAGAAACGAAATATCATCTTATGGGATCACCACCTCCTCTCACACCCTCCGAACTAGTATCCTGAGGCCTGATATCCTCCACAGTAGTACATCGAAGGCGAGTCTCCCAGACTGTCTCAGACTGGAATTACTTTCTTGATGCAAAATGGAAGCTGTGGGTGCGAGGCTCTGGCCACTCACCTGTTGCTAGGTGTTCGGAGCCTGGTAGGATTTATCAGGAAGACACATCCCACTGTATGGATAGTCTTGATTTATTCTACGACTACGGAAATTGGAGGAATCTTCAGCTATGGGTCTTGAAATAATAGTAGGCTGGTAAAGATGACTTTTTTTGGCGCGCTAAGAACATGTCGTCATTCAAACATCATAATCTCATTTGCTTACAATAAAGAGAGTTTGCTCTCTTGGCTCCTTCTGTGCACCATACTCATCATTTGAAATGCCACTCTCAACTGAAATATCCAGATCATCAGCGCCACCCAGTCCCCAAGTCACAACATCTGGATTCTTCCGAACATAAAACCACATCCCCATGATTGCGATGATGCTACCAGCACTGAAGGCGGCCGCGAGAGGGAAGCCAACAGGGTACCTTGGCGAGTCGCTTGTCCGCCAGGCCCGCAGCGGTATCGAAGCATGCCCGGCATAGACAAGGGTGACCGCAATAGCTACGATGATGGATCGGACTTCTGGCTCCTTGCGAAGAATCTCAGCGAGCCATGCAGTGATCGCATATCCCCATGCTGACGTTGCAAATGTCAGGAAGTAAAATCCAATGATGGTATGCCAGGAGTCGGGCCAACTAGCCAAGACTGAGGTCGCCACAAGTTGAACAGTTGCAGCTCCCACTGACACCTGCCAACGCCATCCCTTCCAGTCGCTGAGAGCATTCAAACCGATGTTACAAACGATGCTAATGGCATAGCCACCCAGAGGGATGAGATTCACGGTATAAACAGAGAACCGAGCGGTTCCATCTTCTTTCGTAAGCCCCTTGAGAAACAGAAGGAAGTATGAGTTGGCTCGCTGACTCCACGCAAATTGAAGGTATGCCGCAAGAAAAAGATATGAAATTGGACTTTTTGCGAGTAACTTAAGTTTCCAAACCAGAGAACTCAATGAAATGATCGACGCGGTCTTGGTCCCAGCACTTTCCATTCGAATTCTTGCCAATTCTCTCTCCTCTTTGCTAAAATAGATTGCCCTGGTGATTGCAGGCGAGTCAGGAATCGTAAAGAGGCCTACAAACCCCCAGAACATGGTCGAAGCACCGGAAACAATGAACAGCCACTGCCAGCCAGCAAGCCCAAGATTGCCATTTAGATTTTTGTAAAGGGCGGCTTGAACGATGCCGAGGAACATGTTCCCAGCCACACCACTCACACCGAAGATAGCTAGTCGCTTACCAAGCTCTTTGGGAGTGTACCAGTTGAAGATAAGGCTGACGATACCAGGCCACGAGGTACACTCGAAAATACCAAGAAAGAATCGCAACACAAACACGGTTTTGGCACTCTTTGCCGCGTAGGTGAAAAGAGTCAATAAACCCCACACAATCTCGCAGAAGGGAAGAAAAAGGGATGGTCGGACCCTCGTTTGAACCAATTGTGAGGGAATAATGAAGATGGCGTAGCCAATTGAAAAGTACGTCGTGAACTCAACTAGCTCATTGCCGAACAATGAGAGGTCTTCTTTCATACCCGAGACATATGCTTGGGTAGTCGAAGACTGGTCCATATCTTTGAATAGACCAGCAATGAAGGCCCATGTCAGAAGAAATGCATCAAGTTTGAAGACAAGGACATGAGAGGGGTCTTTGAAGTAGGGGTGGATTTTGGCAAGCCATGATGTCGATTCCACTGATGTAGCATACTGCTGCTCTTCAAAAGACGGTTTTCCCTCCGAGCTTCTGGGTAATGACATTTTGGCTTTTATCTTCGAAGGTTCTGTGCAGGCACTCAGAGCTTATGCGCTTGTCGCAAGGAAGAACCTTGAAACCAAAAGCCAGCAGAGTGTACCAGAAGAGCTTAAATCGATAGCGTTTTGTCCTTTGCTTTCTTTATATGTCTATCCTCATAGCAACGTTTACCAACTGCAGCACCAAGAAGGGGCCAGTTTTCATTTCACATTTTGGTCATTCAGGTACAATATGACGACAGGTGCAATATGACGAGATCGCCCCTCAATCTAACGTATAGTGTCGAGGATTTGAGCGGGAAAAGCATTTTGAGCGGATGATCCTGGATTACGAAGCCACTAATCAATGTGATTTTGGTAATTGCCGATAAGTACCTGCCAGTGTCGTCTTAGAGCCTAAGATGACGACAGCTCAGGATCTCCCTAAACCTCTCAACAGAGAATAAGTCCCGAAGTCTTGGCAAGCTTGGCTAGCGCATATTGGATTATATGGCTCGATTTCTATTACCACAACCTTCATAATTTATAATTTAAAGGACATACAGGACTGCTGGGGTACCAACTCAATTTTAACTCAACTATCAACGATTGGCTGCATCGATTGTTGGATCTTACCCTATCTATCAACCTGAAAAATGTCATCTGAACCTTTGTACCCTGCATATCTGCCAACCCGCTCAGATGGGTTCGCTGCGCCCATTGCGCTGCCGCTATTTGAGGCAGATGAGCCTGGACGCCGCGCAGATCCCTCCAAGCCATCCCTTCTCAAGAGTGGTGCGGAGGTGACACAGATCACTCCCAAAATTGGCACGGAGATCCGCGGCTTGCAGATCAGCCAGCTGGATGATGCAGGGCTAAATGAAATCGCGCTATTGGCTGCTGAGAGGGGCGTTGTTGTGTTTGTACGTTTAAGCACTACCCCGACATCACATGATATCTCCGAGCCCTATAAGCTGATGTTTAATTGATGTGACTCTAGCGTGACCAGGATTTTGCCGATATTGGATTTGACCGACAGCGCGAAATTGTAAAGCACTATGGCCCTCTTCACCTTCACCCTACCATGGGCTATCCCAAAGGCACTGGGCCCGAGTTTCATGTTGTATATGCTGATGAGAAGTCGTGAGGAACCCTATATCACTGTTCAGCCGTTGAATTATTAGCTAACAGTCTGCGATAGTGGAAACTTGAGGACCTTGCTGGGACCTCGCACCACTTACGACCTATGGCATATCGACCAAACCTTCACACCCAATGTACCCTCCACTACCTTTTTTTGGGTGCTGGAAATTCCTAAATCCGGCGGTGGAGATACTGCTTTCACTTCTCTCACGGCAGCCTACGAGGCTCTCTCGCCAACGTTTCGGGAGATCCTTCACGGCTTGAAGGTGCACCACACGTCTGCGTCGGAGGGTGAAGTCCGACGCGTAGGTGCAGAGCGTGCTTTGGCTGAGGCAATTAGCACCACTCATCCACTAGTGATAAAGCACCCTGTTACAGATAAGGCCTCACTGTTCGTGAACCCGACCATTGGGCGTCAGGTGGAGGGACTTTTACCCGAGGAGTCGCAGAACCTGCTCTCGTTCCTACACAACCACATTCGGAGCCTTGATTTCAGTTGTCGCGTCAAGTGGGAGAAGGGCACAGTGGTGATATGGGATCAACGAGCGGCTGGGCATTCGGCGGTGCCTGATTTCCAAGACAACGAGCGAAGGCACATGGTGAGGATTCTTCCCTACGGTGTTCAGCCAAGTCCTATCTCTTAGAATGTTGGTTAGGGTTATAAAAGCCATGCACTTGGTGAAAAATTACAGATTTCTAATTATCAAATTTGAAAATCATGATCAGCGTAAGGTCCACAGGTGTCACTCTTACACGACCATGTCATAATTGTCATTCCTATATAAAGTCATCTTAAGTACCAAGCTGATGAGCATAAGAAGGAGGTCGAAGTAGACATTCATATCATTCACATGGCCTTTTTTGTGTCTTAGCACCTGATATTTGCCTTACGCTAGTCCTAATTAGAGCCGTAGTGCCTGGTGCCTGATTTATGCCTCTAAGTTAATCCTAATTACAAGGTTGATTGGTTGGAAAAACATTGAATTCCAGATATCAGAAAAGGGAAATATTGTCTTTTAGTATTATATGGTCATGGTAGCTATCTTACCCCTAAATTTTACCAGCTATGCCAGAAACATGACATTGTCCCTATTATATGCCTCCGCATGCATCGCATCTTTTGCAGCCACTTGATGTTGGCTGTTTTGTGTGTTTAAAGCATGTTTATGGTGAGAAAGTGGCTTAATATGAGACTCAACCTCAATTCGATCGAAAAACTAGATTTTCTAGAAATCTTTCCTAACATAATATATGGTGCTTCTAAAGAGACTGCTATTCAGAATAGCTTTTTAGCTATTGAATTAGTGCCTTTAAGCCCAAATCGTGTGTTAGAAAAGCTAAATATTCAGCTTAAATATTTACCTCCTCTTGATCCACTACCAGATCGACCGTTATCATCTAGCAGTGATAGCGATCCTGACTCTCTAGAAGCTAGAAAAGCTTTTAAATCGAACTCTCGTATCGATTTGGGTCTAGGAAGTTTGGAAGAGAGTTAGGAAGTGGCTGTCAAAGAGAGTGATGGTAAAGAGGTATGTATATATCTGATACAGAAACTAGGGTGGATGTTGCGACAGCCGAGAAACAAGGTCATCAACAGACGGAAAGTATTTCGGCCGAAAAAGCTTCTGCCAAGACAGTGACTCTGGAACTAGATTAGTATATCACGGCATCCTTGAACGATACGCATTCATCGCAAACGACACCCTTGAGCGATGCGCATTCGCGACAGTAATGTCCCGTCTTCACCGTCTCTTCTGTCTCGGACGAATGTTGACAGTCGTCCAGGATAGAGGGGCACCCATATACTATAAGTAGCTAGTTCTTTCATCAATGAAAAAGCAGACTTCACAACAACCACAATATTCAGTACTGTAGAGACCACTACACTTGGTGGTTTGTCTACGGTGTTGAGTAGTGGTTTGTTGAAGTTCACCAACTCCTTTCTACTGCAGTAAACTCCAATTCCCTTTTACTGCAGTAAGAACTCGAGCACCGTTCTCAGTTATCGGCGACTAGCTAGCTACGCTCGCTAAGCGAGCGACAGTGGAAGCTATGGTTGAGTTTTTACTCTCAACTTTACCTACTATTCGGCGTCAGGTAACCTTTTCTGGATGTGGTAAGAAAGGTCATACACATACTAAATGCCCCATTCAAGTTTTTTAGTCAATTTTATTATGTTTTGTGCTCTAAAATCGCCGCTTAAGAAATGTAAATTTCAAAATTTAGATGGGTTGGTCACACAACCGGGAATCACGTCATATAGGTCGGCAAAAATCTGAGCCGTCGGGCCAAAAATACCAAGCTCAGTGTGCATAACACAGCCTAAAGCGGACATCATACCGAAGGGGAATGCAATGTTGCATGACTTTAACGCTAGAGAGGTACTTTCGAAGAATATTGAAGAGATCCCGAATTTAGAAAGTGTTGGAACTAAGTGAATCGTTGGTGTTGAGGATTTACTGGTGAATGGACTTGTGTGAATGGACCCACGTGGTATGACCTAACTAGGTAATCGGAGCATATCCGATTCCATAGCGGGAACTTAGAATGGACACACATCTTACCGCACACTTACTCCACGTATCAACGTAGTAGTAATAGTGCATCAAGATCCCTGTAAACCGACAGAAAGCGTTGTGTCTATCGCATTTATCTCCAAGAAGGTAACGATCCATCCCATAGGAGCAGTACTAGGTAGAAAACAGTAGTTACTAGTTATTTAACTCACTTCTACCAACTAACTAGCCATAAAGATAATGAAATAATGTGAGGTCAATGAATAGTTAACTTCTGAAAAAGAGTGGAGAGCTCTTAGATTCTTTTTGTCTGATACTTTCCTTGATAGAATGAGTTTAAAATGTATGCGTCGAAAGAGCGAAAGAACGAAAGTGCAAGATCGAAGATGATAGAGACTTCAAGGCCTCAATTTGAAATCCAAAGATAGATAACTACCTGATTATCAAGCACTAGTCGCTCTTGCTCTAGATATGCCGGATGATGTCCCTTTGTCGTTCAAAGCTCTTATAATCGGCGAATTAAGCCGGGAGGTTGTGACTGATATCCTGAGCTTCAAGCAATCAGAGAAGGACATGGGACTAAATTTCGCGCCCGCAGTTGAGGTGCCCTCTCTCTTCTATGAGTAATCTCCCTGCACGCTGATTTATTTGGCTAAATGTATTTAGCCCAAATGATCACCATGATCGACCGTGCTCATGGCCGCAGTCCACACAACAAGACTTATATCCGGTGGAAGTTGAATCACCTCCCCCTGTTCGCTCACAACATCGTCACACAATCCGGCAAGGCTGTTAATCAGCAGGAGATCAGCGTGCAAGCCGAACGCCAATGGCATACTCCCTGTTGAGTACAAGGACAAGAAATGTCTTCCCAAGCGGCTAGACTATGCCGTCTGGTATAGCCTAAAAGAAGAGATCGCCGTTAATGTGGTGATTTTAGAAGCCGAGAGACATGATGAGTCCGGGATTCCACAGGCTCTGGCTCATATGGGTATCGCGTTTATCTCCCGAGCGAAAGCAGAGCTCAATTACATTTACTAGCGACGCCGATGCGTTATATCCCCTCACCCTTCACCCTCAGCCCAGAACAGGCCCCTTCAAAATTTGCTGGATAGCTGGCCAGATTCATAAAATTTAGATATTCGTGGGAGGAAGCGAGATTCCGACTTTTAAATACAAATGAGGAGCCTTTCCCATCGCCTGCAGGCCGACCAAGCGTGGAAAATGTTCGAGCCTCATAGTTAGGATACCATCACAGCCAGATCTGTGCTGCCGGTATTCTTAGATGAAGTATCAGATGAACTACGCTTAGTTATTAATAATACACCGGTTAGTTAGTAGTATGATGAGCGACCGCAGGCGAATCCTGACCACTCAAACGTATTCTTTTATTTTTTTTACTTTTTTTTTTGTTTCTTCGTGAGTGACTTGAGCTGGGTTTGAGTATTACGAAAGTCATAATAGTATCACCAGAATAGAACACTATCGTCCAATTTCTAGCCTGACTTCCTATTATTTGGGTGAGGATAGGACCGTCAAAGTATTTACTCTATCCACAGCACCTATAGATCACTTTTTAGAAATTGCATTGACCTTCGTGAATCGTAAGGATGATCACTGAGTAACTTCCAAGGTTCCAAGTAAACATATATACCTAGACATTGATTCAAAAAGTTAAATTCAAGCTATATAAACCTTGATACATGGAGGTTATTAAGATGGCCAAAATATCAAAAGATTTTGGGCTGAAATCCGAATTGGCTTGACGCTTTTGTGCTCTTCCCAAGCTACGTCAGGAGCAAAAGTCTTCGTGGATCACAACCTTGAAAGATTTATGGCTGTTCAACGGCAAAGTATCACTAAAGAAAAACACCGCAATCAATTAGAACAAAATGGTTATATTTTTGGAGAGCATGTACTCGAAGTGCGATTAGAGAAATACAAGACGATCTCCAAAACTGAAAAGGATATATAGCAAGATATAAAACTATAGACCCGGGAGTAAGGTCTCACTCGATGCAATACAAACACTCCTTAGTGTAAAGAAAAGCTGACATGCCTCTATGTTTATTGAGCAAAACGGGATATGAGGCAATGAAATGGATTTTAGTTCTAACCCTTCCATCAGTTCATCAAGGGGTCTATTCGCTAGTAAATTCATTCTGCGCGACGATGGCTTAGTAAATAAGGATGAAAAAAGAAAAAAGAAAAGGCAAGGATACCTTCTGACTATGTACCTCTGTGAGTTAGCTAGATATTGCCATTTAAGACAATGTTTGAAATCTGAGATCTATTGAAAGCTGTTGTGGAGAAATTCGATACAGATGAAGCGTAAGATTTCTCGTGTGGTCCTTCATGCTGGATCTTCCGGGATAGGTTCATCTCACTGGCGCTACTAACAGTCAATCCCACCCCGGCCCCCGCTAGGGGAATAACTGTCACAGCACCAGCAGCAGTGAGGCCCACTCCAGCTAAAAGCCCTAAGAGTGGAAGCATATTCCGCTTTAACAAGTCTCTTTTTCTTAATTCCTGCATATTTTGCGACACCTGTGACATACTGCTTTCATTTTCATGCTGGAAATCACCCATATGCTCCTGTATAAGCAATTCCTCATCTTGAATTTTCTGGCGTTCTATCTCAATGCTATCTCTTCTGCGACAACCGATTCGTACCTGGTGTTCAAGTCTTGCTCTTTTCTGGCTCCAATAGTAGTTCTCGTCCGCAAGAAACTTATCATTGCTCTTCATCTCATCTTGCAATCTCTTGTATTGTCGCTTCTGTTCTTGAAGCTCACCAAAAAGCTTCTGTTGCTCAACACGCATCTTTGAAAGTACCTTGCTATAAGAATGCTCCCTTTCAGCAAATAGCTCTCGAGTTGACACTCTAAGCTTCTCTTGTGCATGCTTCATTTCCCTGATCTCTTTTTCCAAATTTGAGAGACTAGCCTTGGCATCATGCTGAGGGGTTGAAATATCCGATTGCAGCAAGCGCATTTCCTGCGACAATTCCTCCTCGGCTGTCACGTACTCAGACATAAGCTCTAGCCCAGCGGTCGTCTCATTCAGGGGTTTCCCCTCATCAACAAGCTCTCTTTGGATAAGAAGGGATTTGTAGCCTCCCCCCAATGAAATCAATGCATCGACGATTGAGAGGGCAGACCATTCATCACCATGCCACCGCTTTGCTTGACTTCCATGTTCAAAAACCGCCCCCAAAACTTCCTTGTAGTCACCAATCGTGATTCTCGAAGTATTGCCTCATGGTTATCCACCTGTATCGAATCCCACATGGTGCTGACTAGGAACATCCGGGGTGCAGCATCCAAACCACACATAGATTCCAAAAGCTTGAAGTTTCTCAAAGCTGACCTCGAAACTCTATTATCAGAGATACGGTGCAAATATAATATGCCCGCTATCTTCATACCTCGCCGATAGATTTGAGATAGAATGAAAGAAATCTCCGAAAAAATCTCGAAATCCGAGCGATAGTTGTCGTTGAATCCGGGTGTATCCACCAAGTACACAGGTTTATCTTTGATCATTAAGCTGTGGAATTCAACACCCTGCGTATCTAAAATGTTTATCAACAATTTTAAGCTAATTATTAGACCTTGCACTGTACTCACACGAAGTCAAGTCATGACCAATGCCAGTATCACCTCCTAGAAGCTTCGATATAAAAGTGCTATTTCCAACACCGGTGATACCCATAACAAGTACCACGACACCCGTGGAGAAGTCAGAGATCCTACAGAGCGCTAGAAAAGGAATTGAAGCAGATATTTTTATTAACATACTGTGTCATATCTTTATTCATAGTGTTCATTTTGAAGCTGAAGTCGCCTTGCGTGGTAAAGGTAATTCACAAGTGAAGACCAAACTTGAACGACTAAGGAACATTTTTATCCCACGCGGGTTTCTTCACAGCCGCCTCATAGATGCAATCATACATGTGGCATTAACTGCTCCGCCGCATTCCTTATACCGCTTATCATAGCAGGGCTGTGCTCCGGCCTGTTAGGAAAGCTGATAAAAATTGAATGAATGCCAGCGCTCGAGTGCAGGCAGAAGCCTGTGATGTGATACGTCAACTTCTATGGTGGCTTCTGTAAGAAGAGTTAGAAGGCCACCAATGAGGTCTATGAATAGTGCGGGGCTGATTAATTTTTACTGAATTCAGTGCATTTTCCCGAGGTCAAGTGCGCTGCCATCAAAGATAACTATGAGGAATACGAGGAATAACTAAGCAATATTGTGAAGTGAGTAGTTATCTGGCCTTCTCATAAATTGGTTAGTTAGTTTATTGGGACGACGCACTAGTCTATTAACCTCAAATTTCCTCCAAGCATACTTATATTTACCTTGAATTAATTCACATCGAACTTGTCATCTTAGGCCTATCTTCACTTCCGAAGTAAAATTATGGCGGTCTCTAGGTTTGAAAATGCTGACCCATTGTTTCTACTGGATGGCCAAGTCTCAAACAGACCATTGCAATCCAACGAGCGGAATATTTTTATTGCAATCATGGGAATGACAGGCGCTGGAAAGAGCACATTCATCTCGCATTGCACGGATGCGAAAGTTGCCATAAGTGATCCCGGTGCTCTGCAATCTTGTAAGTTTGGCTATAACGTGATTTATATGACAGTTTGAGAGGAAAATCTTGAGTCTTAAATATAGGTACACAGGAAGTTCAAGTTTACCGATGCAAATATTTCACCCCACATACCAACGTCTATCTTGTTGACACCCCAGGTTTCGATGATACGAACCGTAAAGATACAGATATTCTCAAAGAGATCGCTACCTGGTTGACAACAACTTACAAGAAGGAGATCCGCCTAAGTGGCATTCTCTACCTACATCGGATATCCGATAACCGCATGGGTGGATGTGCGCACCGGATTCTTATCATGTTCAAAAAGCTGTGTGGTGCCGAAGGGATCAAGAGTGTGATATTTCTCACCACATTTTGGGAAAAGGTAGATGTGGCCGATGGCGACAACCGTGAGAAGACCTTGAAGACTACCAACGAGTTCTGGGGATATTTTGTCGAAAGGGGTGCCCAGGCTCAGAGACATTGGAACACTAATGACTCTGCGATGGCCGCAATACAGAACTTTGTACCTTCTGATACAACCAAGCCATCGGAGGAGATTAAATTGGCCATCCAGACTGAGATGGTTGCTTCACACAAAGATCTGGACCAAACATCCGCCGGTCAGGAGCTACAGAGCGAGCTACAGAAGGAGCGAGTGCAAATGCAAAAAGAGCTCAATGAAAGAGCCCGGGAGATTCGAGAAGAAAGGATCAGGAGATGCGCCACCTTCTCCGGGAAGACCAAGAGAGACAAGCCAAAGAGCTTCAGCGCAGGGACGCAGAGATTCAGGAGCTCAAGATCAGCATGGAGAGGATGCACGAAAAGAAGATTCAACAGCTAGAGGAGCGGTTTCTAGAACAGAAAAATGAAAATCGCAGGCATCGTGAAGAAATAAAGCAAATAATTCGACAACGGCTAGAGGTAATCCAGGAGAGACAAGGCCAGCACATGGAAATTTCTCCCAGTGAACTGTTCGATTACAAACAAACCGAGCATAACGAGATTGAAAAACAAGCACAATCTGACTAATTGAATTACAACGTGGATCTGCGCCTCACCTGCCTAACCTGCCTGAAAACATACTCGGAGCGGGACCATCTGTTAAGCATATTGCAAAAAAAGACCACGGCCGGAGTCTCACGACGGGGAAATTTGAGAAAACAATATACGTGAAAAAAGGTAGGGACTGGTACTTTGGAAGAAATACGTAAGACATTATTTGAGAGAAAATAGGAGGCAGTGGTAATAATTCAAATGTTTCAAGATTCCTCTATATATTCCATAGGTATCTATCATCTGTTACCTTGGTAGTCCTATACGGGCTGCTCGATTGAGGTTATTTATACAGTAGTAGCCATGCGGCAGATAGCTGCGGTTGTGTGGAGACCCTCTAATTTCAAGCTGAAGATTTTTATACTGCACATCGACATTCCCATACAGTTTTTCGGATAAGTTCAAGTATAATGTAGAAATCGACTATCACCTCGTGCTCTGTAATACTCATGATCAATGTTATAGACCCACTAAAGCCGTCAGTACCAGGACTCACTATCGAATTCAACTACCTGGGCAGCGAGCTTGTGTATGGTGCCAGTATACGAGTCTCGAGAAAGAAGAGTGAAATGAAGTCTACAAGCTTAGATCAAGATTTGGTTGCCTAGAACGTCGCAAGGCTCTATGTGTGAAAGGACAATGTTGAGAGTTCCATAATAGTTCTTACTATGTAATAGACTACTAAAAATTGACGCAATTAGCCAATAAGAACGCATCATGGATGTATACGTTAAAAACCACGCTGTTGCTTATCAGTGGGTAGCGTCTGATAGCGCTAGCTTAAATTTGTCCTAGCTTCAGGGCTTTATCCAATCTTATGGCTTACTAAGGTAGGTCTTGCATTAACTATCCTTAAAAAGTCTAGCGTTGTTTATGCATTGATCATTACAGGTAATCAACTAGGAAGCTGAGAACAGTCAAAGCAGAGGCACCTGCTATAAATAGAGGATCAATGAGACAATTGAAACGACAAAGGCCGTACTAATTTGGCAAGCTCAATATGTGATGAAAGGTAAAAAAGGAAAAGGAAAAAGAGGTGAGACAATGAGGACAGCTCTACTGACCCACTTGGAGAAAGAGAGGAGACGGGGGAAGACAACGAATGAAGTCACGCTCTTATCCACTAACTCAAGCGTGATCAGCAGGGGAAGGGCCGACGCCAATGTTAATGGTGTAGACATAGAGTGGCTTGACGATGGTGTTAGACTTGTTGTCAGGCTGCACAAAACGGACGCCCTTGTTCAGCTGGGAGACACTCAACCACAGGTTCTGGTAGTTGTCAATCCACAAAGCGTCAACCCACTTCAGACGGTCATCCCGGGTCACCAGAGTAGTGGTCTGGTTGGGAGAGAGACGACGGATCTCCTGGCGGTCAACATCACTGTAATAGATGTTACCATCGGCATCGATGGCAGTACCACCGGTGGCGGGGGTCAACGAGAAGGGCTCAGTGTAGTTTCCTAGATTCTCAAAGGTGGTATCGTTATACAGAGCATCGTTCAGGTATTGAGTCTCAATGCGCCACATGTACCCGCTACCAGGCTGGTAGTAAAAGTATTTGCCATCGGGGGAAATCTCGACGTCATCGGCGTGGATGTACTGGGGCTTGCCAGTGGTCACAGACACCAGGAATTTTCCGTCGCCGGAGTTGGGCAAGTTGGCAACTGTAGAGCGATGTCTTTTGAGCAACAGGCGCTGCTTACCGGTCTCAAGATCGATGATTATGATAGAGCCAATGCTATACTCAGTGATGTACGCGTACTTGCCGTAGATACGAACATCGTTAAGGAGGCCTTCAGTTCCGGTGCTCTCGCCAGTGTAGTATATACGCTGAACCGCGTTGGTTGTCAGGTTGAAGGCGACAAGCTTCGATGAGTTCAGCCACTGGTCGGGGTAGCCACTGTCCACAACGTAGAGGAGTCCGTCAGGACCAACACGCTGGGAGTTGGTTCTGACGAACTTCACTCCGGCATCAGCTGCGCTGTCGGTGCTAGCGTTCCACGAATTCCACTCCTCGTTGGGGAACGCCTTGAAGGTGTTGTTGTCCTTGCCACCAAAGACCTCAACAATCTTGGGGCCATCGCTGCCGTCAGCGTGGGGAAGGACGAAGAATACACGGCCATCAGGAGTGGTACTGGGACCTGTGGTGCCTTGATCCAACACATATTTGGTTTGGATGCGAGGATCATAGCTGTGAAAGATATCAGCCGCCGCTAGGGTGGCCAGGGACAGGCCAAAAAGGACACGAGAGAAAATCATCTTTGAGGCTTTAATGAGTCCGAGAGTGCCCTCAATTTGTTCAGACTACAAGGCCTTATATACTTATTATGTATTCCTATAAAGATAGGTCTCGATGCGAGTTTGTATTCGTCATAATGGGCTCGCTTACTTGAGTACCTGCTTGGCATGAAGGATCGATGAAGGCTGGCCACAAGATGCTTAGAAACCATGTTGCAATGTGACTGATCCTAACCGTTATGAGGAAAGTATCTGCATCGATGGCTAATTTCTCAGTCTAGGTAACCTGTCTTCAGTTTATCAGCTCCGAGTTCTGGGCATTTTCCCACCGTACCGAAGCATACCGACGTGCAGGAATCGGCTGCCGGACCTACAGTTCCCGGTCATCGATGGAATGTCTTGAAAGCGACAGAATCTGGCGTGATTTGAAAATCAGATTGCATGCAGGCTGAAGATGTCAGCTAGCAGTGACTTCGTCAGCACTACAATGGTGGAGATGTAATCCGTACAATAGTACACCTTCACACGTCGCAAGAATCTAGTTGTGCTGTCACATAAAGCTCACAAGAGGGGTTAATCAATATACCAGTAAGATGAAGGTGCAGAGCGTGAAGTTTCCTGGGAACTACTGTTGTGGTCTCCCTCACTAGCTCCGGTCCGATCCGCCCTACCGGTCGTTGACCGAGCTTATATTGGCAACCTTTCCTTTTTCAGCTCCACTCGACGACGATCTTTCAAGGATTCTTTCTCCTATTTTTTTCTCTTCAGGGTCCTTGGCAGCATTGAAACCTATGAGGTAACGAGTGCAGATCTCGTATGATTGAAAACAGGCTAGTGAACGCTAGAGAATACCAAGACGCCCCGTCATTATTCCATTCACATATACAATTTACTTCACTCTTCAAACCTGAGGTGCTCAGAATGCAGGTTTTTTTGTAAGGACGGAGTCTCATTCTAGAACATAACATAATAATTAGAGTTCCACAGCTTGATTCAACGCCGAGAGGATAAATAAAAGTACGTATGGCGCGTGCATTGTCCCCATTCAACAAGCATTCCGATTCGCTCGCATGGATAGAATATAGTACAACGACTTACACAGTAGTCTAGCAGCCTGGGCGCCCCACGTCTACTCCCTTCTTCGAGCTGAGGAACCGTTCTTCTTGGAAACTTGACTTTGAAGTACGGAATGGTGAACATTTACCCCGCGCCCCCACTCGAACCCCCCACGATCGCCATTGATACAGAAACAATGTCGTTGTGAAAGGAGAAATATGTCCGAAGTGACAATCAATGCTGGAGTTTTAAAATAGAATCGGCATGATTATCAAGTGAGTCCCTCATATCATGAAGATCAAGCCGAGCTTCTGCATGTTTTGGAAAGTCTTTCCTCCATGTGATGGGATAGACCAGGGCTGGAGAAGAAAAGAACCAAATAATTCTGCTAAGTTTTGCTGTCAACCGTAAATTGCGTCTTTAATCGTATATTATTACGTCCCTTGGCTTTGTTGTCTGAAAGAGGAAAGAGGATACTGGGCAACTTGCCAAGATAGGTACTTCTTTTCTGAGGTAGATCAGCAGCTGTGGAAGGATTGGGAATATGGGTTGGTAAATTTATCGGATACTCCGCGGGAGGAGGGGGGGTACGGGGTACTCAGCCCCAAAGGACTCTTGAACATAGGACAGAAGTTGGCTTGTTCTTGTCAACATCTTATAGCGCGAATACTAATGATGCTCTCGAGATATTCTCCCTGGAAGATGCTAAGGAAATTGCCCTCAGCCTCACTGCATCTATAATACTATATGGAACAAAATATAAAGATGCATGTATACAATACAGGTCTGGATCTATTCACATTCCTTCCACGGTTACCAATCCTGTACATAGCTATTATTTGAACTCCTCTCTGAAGCTGCTTTCTAAACTTCATTTTTGGTAGAGTTTGATCTTGACAACAAAAATTACCATAAAAATCAAAGGTACGTTGGAATGTTTCATTCTTCCATTCGACCTCTAGAGGGCTGATAGTAGGAACTGCTCGTCCCACTTAATGGAAAGGCCCAAGAAAGTTTTGTCAGGGAGCTCGCCACGTCAGTTTGTCTAAGATGTCTTTTTAGCTAGTAGCTCATGCTGGTCTTTATTCACACTGGAACTAAGCAGTACTTTTTTTTTCTTTTTTTTTTTTTTTTCTCCCTCAAAAGGCCTTTGCTGTGAAGGAATAATACTTCAGCATATTGGTAAGCCCGACTAATCACAAAGCTAAACGTCGTTCACTTTTTGTGATCCTCGCCTCGAGGAGTAGTTTCATTGGCAAATAGTTGGCGAATTTGGATTGAATATTGCCCGAGTTTCATTTCACTAGATCTAAATAGGCGCAATCTGATGCCCATGTCGATCAATTTCATGTCTTAATTACCTAGCAGGTATCATTATCCCGCCAAGGTACCTTTCTCATGCCCGTTTTCGTGACAGGTCAGTGTTTACCGAGGTCTTAGACCTTATTCTCTCAGTTCCAGTTAGTAATACATCAAAAAATGGGTTGATTATGAAACAATCCCTGGCTAGATGCCTTGGCTGCATATCATTTTATAATAGATTTTTCAGGTCGACTCAATTCGCCATTGTTATTGAACGCTTTCTCTATAACGATGTTGAAAAATGTTAGGCTAGATTGAGTTCATTAATAATCTTATCTTGCCTATTTCTCTTGGCTGCGTTCCTGGTCCTGCCAAGGCGGCCAAGCCATCAACCTTTGCATATCAGCTTATAGTTCCAACTCACTTCAATCCTCATGGCTCCCAAAAGGGAACGACTTAGAATACTTTGCCACGTTACTGCTTCTGCCAAGGTGACTTGGCTGAATCAACTTTTGGGTCAGCTTACCAGAGGCTTGGTAAATTGCCTTGTACGGCTACGTAACGTAGATCTTCAACTTCACCCTGTCCAATAGCAGTGTAGAGAATTCTCCGACTGATAGAGTTGCAGATACAAACACAGAGTAGAAGGATTCTCGAAATACGTTCCAAGATATTCTGACCTTAATCGGCGTCTGGTCTCTCAATGTATGGCCAATAATCCCTCATGATAATTGAAGTTTAGTGTGTCGTTATTACATTTTTGATTCTTGGCATTTTCTCAGAGGCTTTGTGCGAATAGGTTATAAAAGTATCAGTCGTGTCCAGTATTTCTTTGCAATCATTCAGGTTCGATTACACCAGAGTTTTAAGGCTCCCTATTGTTCGGTATGAATATTCGAGTCCTAAGTTTATAGATCTTCATTCATGAGTTTATGTTGAATGCTAATAGTCAATTTATTAGTACAGTAGCCAGATCATCCAAGATGATTGGGTCTAAATCTTCGTTGCGCGCTGCATTCCTGTCGCTGTTGGCTCTCAATAGTTCAGGTGCAATGGCATATCGCTGGTTCAACTGGCAAACCGATGTTAGTTGCGAGGCCACGGGCTTCTTTGCACCACAAGATGAAGCAGACCTTGTCAATTTTGTCAAAACCAAGTACCCTGTGAAGGCTCACCTGAAACCCATTGGTAACGGTCACGGTTTTGGCAACTTGACCACATGTGTCAATGATGGGTCGACTGAACGGGACTCCTTCATTCTCAGTCTTACCAATCTGAAGAGCTTGACTATCCACAAGAGCAACAACACAGTCACCATTGGTGGTGGCTGGGATCTTATTGATCTTATTCCGGAGCTCCATGAGAATGGCCTTCAGGTGAACAACCTTGGTAGTGAAATGGTACAGAACTACATTGGTGCTGCTACTACTGGTACCCACGGAACTGGAAAGTCTAATAAGAACCTATCGACTCAAATCATCGGTTTGCGTGTGCTTGACGCAAAGGGAAACATCCACCATATCGATGAGCAACACAACCCCGAGCTTCTTAAGGCTTTCCGTGTCGGTATTGGTGCCCTTGGTATTATTGTCGAGGTTACCCTCCAGGCTGAACCTCTCTCGTTCTTGAAGCGCACCTCCAAGGTCTTCCAGGGATCTGAGAACATCACAGAGCTCTACCAGCAAATCGCAGAGATTGGCCGCACACACGAGCAGATTAACATTCTGGGTCCCAACTACAAGTGGGATCTGGAGACGGAAACTCTTGTGCCCCAGACCAACCTTACCCTGATTTACTGGGAGGAGACCAACTACACTGGTGCTACCAACTGCTCTGTCGATTTCTGCTCCAACGACTGTGGCCGCTGTGACCGTGATTACAGCTGCTATGACTACAAGATGGATGGTATCGCCACTCCCCCACAGGGTATCTGCTACCGCGGTTTCATGGGACAGTTCGAACACTTCTTCCCCATCGAAAACCTACCTGAGATTGGTGTTGAATACTCCAATCATGCCCTGAGCCAGGCTGACCGTATGAAGCCCTACCAAATCGATGATCCCATCGACACTCACGACAAGGGATACTCCAGTGCCGACGTGACTGTCATCACTCGTTTCGTCAAGGGTGACGACACCTGGATCTCCCCTGTCAACACCTACAACTTGGATGAAAGCAACAGCGGTGTTTTTGCCACCTTGGAATACTCCTGGGTCCCCTCATATAACAACTGGACCATCCAGTACTTCTCTCAGGAGCTATTGAAAGAGTTCATCCCCACTTTCGGTGAGAAGTATAATGTCCGTCCTCACTGGAACAAGGGATTGTACAACAACGACACTTACGCCGAGACTATATACCCCAACCTTCACAAGTGGCTCGCCATTCAGGAGCACATGGACCCTCACTGCCAGTTCGTCAACCCCTATTTGGCTGATCGTCTTGGAATTGACCGCTGCAAACACCTGTTCTCCGATGAGCTTCTCCAGGTCATCTAAGTGTCTTGAGTTGTTCACTCGAAATTGATGACCTACTTTAGAAATGAAAAGGGGTATGTAGTTCTCTTTGATCTGTGGAACATTCAATATTGTTTTTGCCAGCAATGATCTGTTTTGAACTTCTTACCCGAGTCAACTTTTTGTGACATTAGACTTAGACATCTTACATTGGCTTAGACCAATCAATCGTTGCATTATTAAATATTGCCATTTCACCAACAAAATCAAACCTACTAAGATATCACCCATTTCTCACATTGGTCGGTAGTATACAGTAAGAGTCGAAAGTGGATTCCTCTTTGAAACACTCACGTATTATCTTTTCTTGGCTTGTATCCGAACCCACGCTATTATGTATATAGCCAGCTCTAGTGACAATCATCTAAGAATTTACATCCAAAACAACTGGATGATGTATAATATTGTAGTTAATCAAAACTCCGATACAACCCTTCCCCTCTCCATACACTTATAGCTAAGGTAAATGCTGCTCCTCTTAAAACACAGCCAATTTTTATGGATTCTTATTCAAGGTTATTAAAATCATGGCTATATGGCTGTTTCGTGGCCCAAGTTCCACTACTATATGAGCTGCTTTTTTATGCTGACTATAGTGGAGAGCAGGGCTTCCTCTTCGCTCAGCTGTACTGAAGCTACATGTAGAATACAGGAGATACATGGGTGAGTTCTTGGTAAATACGGGTGAATATCACTTAAGCTGTTATAGATGCAGCCGAAGCTTTCTCCCTCCTAGCTCATTCAACAATCACGATATGAACATTCGCACCAAATGCTGAGGGTCATTTCGGCCATAATAGGGTATCATGATACCCTATCATGATACGGGGTCCTGTATACTGGGCCATACGCCCAGCTGTAATATTGTATATCAGCCAAAGTGGAAGGGCATCAAAATTCTACTATAGCTTGAAATTAACCTAGATGAAAGGGAATCATTTTTCGGAGCTACGTACGAGTCACAGCTTGGAACACAAATTTCTAGCCCTCTATTGTGGTGAATCTGTAGTTCATGGATCCGCATATGACAAATATAGTAGATAAAAAGATCCTGTCCCCAGCCAGATCTAGCCCGCTTCAGAATCTTCATGGTTCCGCTCAGAGAGAAAATTTCCCCACATGTACCCTCTCCTATACGAACGAGGCCTGTTTTTTTCGGCCTGAGTAGCTTTGTTCTTCTCTGGAGCGGAGCAAATATCGAGGCGGTCGAGATCTCTATCCGGGTTGAGAGAATCCGTTTCAGAATATCGACGGAATCAGACTACCCAAGATTGAGCTCGGCAACCGGGCAAATTGCTACAGAAATGAATCAGCGCTGGCAGCATTGTCAATCAAGGAGGGAGCACTGAGGTATCCGACTCTTCGGGCAAGTTCAATGTCCTTGGTAACTCGGATATTATTTCGATGAAGCACAATTTTTCAAGTAGCTAGTACGGTTTTCGAAGATGGCGATGAACAAAGAGCTGCAAGAAGTATATATTGTAAGACTGATATGAATGTGGGGCAAATCGATATAACTTGTTTCTAATTAGGGCTAGCCTAGTTCCGTTGTATCCGCTGGGGCTAACAATTTCTATATAGTTCGTTCCTTCTCTCACCCAATTTTCTTCAACAACTTCATTCAAAGCATGGAACACTCCAAACAATTTGAAGGCTCTTAACAAGGCGATTCAAAAACAACGATAAATCGCGCTTAATCATATCTTAAGGGGTTTCATGAAGAATCAGGGCTTCGTAAAGGTGGTTCGTAAGCTTTTTGAACCGTAGTCGGATTAGTAATTCAGGCCTACTAACTAACTAGTCATTTAAAAAAAAAATTCAAAAGATAGCTCAGTTTACTTTCCGGCTGTTGTTCTCTCAGGCAGCCTTCAAGGCTTCGGGGTTGGATGGGTATATAACACCTCTAGGGGCATCGATCTGAGCGGTTAACTGGTACAAATTAACCCCGAAATAGTACTTCAAGGCCGAATAGTTTGTGAGTGCAAAAAGTACCTAGGTACTGCGATTTCGAATGAAGATGGATTGTTCCAATAGACCCAGTGGGTAGAACAAGAATTTTGAACCATCTACGGGCTTGATTGGATTGCTTCCCGCGATATAAAACCGATCCATGCGAGGTGTATACGCAGATGCAAGCGCTATGGGTATAACTAAATGACAAACTTCCCAAGCTTCAAGCTTAGAAGTGATAAAACAAAATAAGGCACCGCGCTATATGCAGATAGTATAACATAAAATGGAATCGCAAGTACAACAGATGTGACAGATGGTCATATTGCACAACCCTGACCTACCAGATCATCGAGGCAAGACCCTGCCTAGCTCGGTGGTTGGTGAGTCGAAAGTGATTCATGTTCTGATGCACGCAGAATAAGATGTAGAGTTGTGGAGAATTGACAGCAGCACTCTCAATCGAGGTGTCATCTATCCGGTTTGGAGACGCAGATGAGGGTTTCTTCTGTTAGCCAGAATATTTCAAAATTTATGAATATGAGGATATGTTAGTCGATGTTGGAGCACTCATGATGCTTCGCTATCAGAGTCTGAAGCAGGTGCGGTATCAGAAACAGAAGCCCGGGAAGATTTCGGGGAAGTAAGGTTGGTGTTCGGTTGGGTAGGCACTTCACTCTTGGCGACTGGTATGGTAGCTCTAGGCTGGGTAGCCTTGGGCTGGTTGATGGTACGAGCTGCCTTTTCAGAGGCACTTGATTTCGCTTTGTAAACACCCCGCTCAATACCACGCAGAATACTGTTGATATCCTGTGGATCCATTGAGCGTAGCTTGTTCATGCCCGAATCGGAAACATCAGGGAAGGGATTCCAACCCAGCTGGTCGACTGGTTCCTCAGAAGACATTGATTTCGAGGTTATTGGATTGACGACTCCGTGAACCAGACGCTGAACATAAGATTCGGTAGGACTAGGATGACGGACGGCGGTGGGTTCTGAGCGCGGGTCTGGACGGGCAAGTTTAGCCGGCTTGGTCTTGACAGAAACCTCATCTTGATGACGTTTTTGTGGTCGATGGATGAAATCATCTCCGACTTGTTTTTGAATTTTGTGGTAGGCCAGGCCTAACACGGCAGCCAGTGCTCGGTGAGCAGCCTCTGGATAACAGCGGACAGCTTCAGCGAGAGAGAGGTCAGTCGACTCATCGCTGGAACTTGAATCACTATCATCGGCAAACATGTCGTGGTTTTGCATTCGAGCCCAGCTTTGATGGTCCAGTTCATAAAACTCTGCAAGTTCAATCAAACGATGGACTGTTGGATTGTTAATATCTGTGGTGATATATAGTGTGATTTGAAAGATCAAATCTTACCTCGACTGCGCTTCTTTAAGCACCAGAACCTCCACACAGTACGCGGAAAGTAAATAGGCCATTCCAGGGAACCGTCGGCATGGATATGAGGGACGGTGTTAATGTTGGCATGACTTGTTTGGGCGAGAGAGTTGAAGCGGATGCGTTCTGAATGAGCCAATCGCGATTCAATGGTAGCAATACGCATCTCAGTTGTGGCTATACGTCCTGATACCCCATTCAACTGGTTAGACATCTTGGCGAAATCCGTGCGGAGGTTGTTGGTAGTAGTTTGTAATTTGGCGATGCTGATGGACGATGTACAGACATCTGATCTCATCTGGTCGGTATCAGCCTGTAGCTGGTCCACAGTCTTCTGTAATCGATCGACATCACTTCGAAGAAACCCCGTTTCGGTCCCGGATTGATCCAGCTTTAATCTGAGTTGGAAGATGCCTGTCTTCATTTCCTCAATGTCAGATCGTAGGGCCACGACATTGTTGTCAATTCTACTATATATGGTGCGGTGGTTTTGGAATTCGCGGCGAATATGGTCGTCCTCCCGGTTTCGTCGATCAATATACCCATCCTTCGTAATAACGGTAGATCGGAGCTCATAAACGCGAGAATCCAATTGATTCATACGCTCATGTATGCTTGTGAAAGATTCTTCGGAGCCAGGTGAAGTAGGCTCACGAAGAGATGGTGGTGACATTGAGGGTGAAGTGGACGGAGTAACGGACAAGCTCCTTTCGAGTGTGGATATCGTGGACATGGCTTCAAAATTGTAGTAAATGGATATATATGAGAAAGGTCGCGTCCGGGTTAAAATAGTGAGTACCTTATACCATGAGACTATCCATCGTAGGACTGAAGCTGTGAAGCTATCCCAAGGGTTAGAAAGAGTAGAGGAAAACCCGAAATGAGGCAAAAAAGGGCGGGATCAAAGAAATGGGGCATACGTAGTACGATAGGATACCGTATGCCGTGTAACAGTCAGAATATTGTGTGACGTGACACGGAATGACCCAAGCTGCACGAGCAGCCTTGATTTACTCATCACACATCATTTGTAACTTCAAGTTCATTCTTTGACATGATCTATTACTTACTACCTGACTTTCATTCCATGGCTCATTATGACTCAAGAACCCAGCAGCGATTTCTACCATCTAAAAGATCAAAGGGGGTATAGTAAGATAGATTACCAGAGAGTGACAATACCAATACGTGATTGCACCGTGCATTAGTGCTTTGCCAAATGGCTTGGCATCATAGGGCTTTCGCAAATTAGGTATAGCGTTATTATTGTGGCTTGACTGAAACTCCAACTTGGGATTATAGAAATTATGATTGGACGACAGCCTTCTTTCCATTATGGGTAGGAATGTGGGGATACATCAAATCTTGCTTGAAATAGTGTCGTATTACGCTAATCTATATTAGGAAGCAGTGCTGGATGAGGGGATAGGCCAAAATCGGCCTGAATCACAGTCAGATTACATGCGTAAGCGCCCTGTGCTCAAAACCGCCCAGAGCTGCCTGGGCTTCACAATTTAGACTGCATGTGACATCTCGATGTGGAGCCCATCCTCTACAAATTGCTTCGCTCCTTCTGTTGGCGCCTTCCACGCCACACGTGGGCTTCAACTTAGTCTTATGCAGAGAGAAATCATCCACGCTTCCAACACGCAGAATACTCATACCTGGGAAAGCCGCATGTCGAGCAAAAATAGTTGGTCATAGTATTGTCATTTCCAGGCGTCTTGACAAATACAGTATGGGACTGGATCTCGACCGCGTAGACGTTTCAGGTGAGTATCGTAGACTATAAAGTTGTACCGAGGCTGTCAGTTTGTGGCTGTTAGTTCTGTCAGAATAGATACAACTTATCAAGGTATAGATACTTAGGATACTCACGAATGACAGTTGCACTGTGCCACAGAAACATGTAGCTGTCGCTTCATCGTCGGTAGACCAGCCATCATCAGCCCCGGCGAGCGAGAATTACGGTTTTGATTTTTCGATAGTGGAAGATACCATTTTGATTACGTTGTATAGTAGTGTAAGTTCAGGGCTTTGGTAAAGGCCTTCGGAATTTTCCAAATTTGAACTTTCAAGGTTTATACCTAGGTAACTTCAAATTGCAGAAGACTGCTCCCATATCTTATATTCATGCTTCTCGAATTCTAGATTGCTCATCTTATGTTTTCTCATTATTCTTGACCTGTATAGTAGGCTTCTCAATTCATTCCACAATTAATGTATGTGAGATCATACGACCTCGAAAGGTTCCAAGGTTGTGCAGATGTCTCCGAGGGTTTCCTCAATATACGCAGCAGATAGGCCGCTCCCCGCCCACCGGCCCAATGAAAGTTGCTTCTGTGAAATAATTTCTTCTTTCCAGTTCCAATTTCAATTGCTGGGGGTTCGATCAAACTACTCTCACTGATAAAAGTTCCTACGATCCCGGAGCCTATGGCGAGGTACTTGAGGGGTCCGTATTGCAGCATCTAGACATTCCATAGATCATACAACCTTGGAAGTGGGACAATATATGCTTTGAGATATGAACAGTTTTCTCTATAGCAGAGGTTGATATTATGTCAAAATATATTCATCTAGACCGCTGGCTTCAAAAGGTCCTGCTTGAGTACTTCCAATATCTTGTTTTCATCCACATTTTGCAAGTTAACGGCTGATCCTGAAATATCCAGAGTTTCATGGCCGTTATCGTCATCGGGATCGGTAAATTTATCTTCAGCCTCGGGCCCAATAGTTCGTAAGTAATCTTCCTCCAAAAGGAACTGTGACATGTCGGTCTCTGTAGGGTCTAGTGCATATATCGTAGGAAATTCCAAAACTGTCCGCTCACGTAGAGCGGACCCTATTGTTGCTGATGGCGGTAGGGGAATGAGAACTGGCTCCTTCGTTGTAGTGCGTGGGCGATGAAGGTAAAAGTATAATCCACGGTGTGGAGTAATCGGAAGTTCTAGTGGCTTGTTTTCTTTTGTATCTGCTTCTGTGGTCTCTTTGACGTCGTCTGCTGGTGCCTCAATAGTTGTTGTGGTGGGATTTTGTATTGAAACTGATTCGGTAGAAGCACTTTCCGACTCCTCGCTTTTGTCCGTTGTTTGCTCTGAATTGGGTAAGGTTTTTTTTGGTGGCTGAGGTAGAGGAACGCGGTCATAATTATCAGCGATCGAGAGTTTCTCCCAACAAGACCCAATGCTTTTTTGGCCGTCTGTGGTGATCCATTCCACTGTCCATATGATGCATTTTTGCCTAGAAGATTGCAGTCAGCACCCCAATTCCAATCAATATCATTTCAATGAACAACTTACTTCGAGTTCCACCGTGATTTATTCTGGATATTTCTGGTCATTCCATTTGGCGCCTTGAAAACTCTCACTGCGCCGGCTTCTAGGGCACGCGAAAAACTAGCTTCGCCTTTCATGAGACCCTGGCCTGGGCGCTTCCTCTTGCTCCCAGCCCCCAGAACTCGTGTTTCCGGAACCTCGCTAATTTCGTCTGGTTCAATATTTCTTGCACGTTCAATGTCGATGCCTCGATTCTCAGCATCTCTCCCGGCTCTTTCTAACGAACGCTCGATGCCTGTAATGAAGTTAAAATCGCGATCGAATGCAGACTCTGTCGCGAGGTCATTGCGCCTGACAAAAGCAGCCGGATCGCGAACACCTGAACATTCAGACCAAAGTTTATGACGCCTTGTGCAGGGGAGAGAGCAGGTGCGGATGAAGCAGCGCGGACAGCGATATTTCGGAGGATTGAGATGGCTATTCAAGTCGGCATGAGTAAGATTAGAGCAATGTATGAATTGAGTTAGAGCTTACCATATTGAGCACAGCTCGCTAAGTAACGGGTCTAAGTTTTCCATCTTGTCGTGAATTGCGACTTGGATTGCGACTTGGAGCCTTGGAAATTTGAGTAAATTTGAGTTCTTGTCGATAAGGTTGTATTTTGGCCTGAGGCCAGAAACGCACGTCACTAAATGAACTTCGTAGGTTAAGAAGCTTCAACGTTAGAACCTGATAGAGCTATCATACTATTCATCTCCCAGAAATCTAAAGTCTTTGATTTCCCGCTTTTGGCTACTGTAACCAACTGGTTAATTGAAATCTAGGCACTATTTCCAAGGTTGGTGAGGGCTATCAATAAGCACTATACAAAAGATTAAGTTATTGAACGCCTAAAATTGTATCATCGAAACAGTGAAAGGTTTGATAATTTAATCACTCGGGTGATATATTCATCAAAATATCGCCTCTGGTGGGCACCAGTCTCCTTTCCCCAAGATGATACCATCCATGTGCATGATTATCAATCCCTGTTGCATTTCTAAGCATCGGTCTCACAAGAAAGTCCGGAACTAATTATTTAACTCGAGTTCATCCTCTACTATCATAGATTCGGAAGCATATTACTAGTCAATTGCTAATTGCTAATTGATCTATCTGAATTTCTTATTTCACGTCTACATTATCTATCCTCGCAGTTTCGAATTTATTACTATGGCTCCCAAAACACTTGCCGTCGTTGCTGGTGTGGGCCCCGGAACAGTATGCTATGCAGCACTTCTACACTGTACCTGAATGTGAACTGATGTCAAATCCAGGGTGCCTCAATTGCCAGACGCTTCGGGAAAGAATACTCCGTTATTGTCCTGTCTCGCAATCCAGAGAATTACACTTCTGTGGTAGAGGAGATAAACTCCAGTGGCGGCCAAGCCATCGGCATTAGTACCGACGTTTCCGACCAGAACAGCGTCAATTCTGCCTTTGACCAGATTGCCAAACAGTTCCCAGGCTCTCCTCTCGCAGCTGCAATCTTTAATCCCGGTGGCGGTCTCGTGAGAAAGCCGTTCTTGGAACTTACGGAGACCGATTTCGCATTAGCGCTAGACTCTCAAGCGTACGTCTATCTTTGCCGTCCGGAACTCCACAACCCTAGAGGGCTTGGATCCTTACCATTGTTACTGTTTGCATAAGGCAAAGATAATATGATTTACTGACTAGACTACAGAAAGGGTGCCTTTTACTTCGCTCAACGAGCTCTCCCACTTCTCCTTCAAGCCAGAGAGTCATCCGTTCACCCACCAAGCTTGATCTTTACAGGTGCCACCGCGAGCGTGCGTGGTTCGCCAAACTTTGCAGCATTTGCCGCAGGGAAGTTCGCTCTGCGGGCACTTGCGCAGTCACTTGCGCGTGAATTTGGACCACAAGGTGTCCATGTTTCTCATGCCATTATCGATGGAATCATTGACATCCCGCGTACCAAACAATGGGTTTTGGAGCATGAAGATGCGAAGCTAAGTCCTGATGCTGTAAGTTTTGATCTGACTCCCCTTCTTTTCTTTGGATTTAGGCTGATGGATTGTCTAGATTGCGGATTCGTACTGGTATTTGCATACACAGCCACGTACCACATTTGCTTTTGAGTTAGACTTGCGACCTTATATTGAGAAGTGGTAAATTACGGACCATATATAGCGCACAACTAATAAGAGTATCATTTTTGGAGTATTGAATTTTTCTTCGAAATGACTATCGCTGCTCAGAGAATAATTATATACGCAAGTAGCTCTTTACTTCGAGTTCGCAGGTGGTGCTGGTGTTGGTGTCACAGTTGCCAAATGACCACCGGTTGAAGTCGCATCACAGCTAGAGCCAACAATAAGTTCATCCATATAGTAGTATCCTCCTACATCTTGGCCTTGTAATCTGCTGTATTTTTCCAATTTTCTTGTTTTTTGCTCACAATGAGGAGATGATCTACAATAAAATTCTCCACAACCTTGGAAAGCAGCAAGCATTGAGCAATGAAAAGGAAGGTGAAAGCAAAGAGGTTGGAAGCCTTGAAAAGGTCCTTTACCTTGATACTTGGTGTAGCTGAGATATCAGTTCATAGGTAAATTTCGAAAATTGGACAAAGTGCACAATTCAGCTGCTGTTGCCCAAATATAAAATCCGGGGCTTGAAGGTCCCCACGGGAATTGGTTCCGGGACCCGGGAAGCTTCCCGCAATACCTCAAATATATGTTTGATTTACCCTATGAATATTTATAATCAATTCTCAACACTAGAGTTTTTTGAATTGAAATTTGCCTCTACATGTACCCATCAATGTTGAATAGGGAGCAATAAGTGAAATATAGATGGAAGCACCCAGAAATCTTTCAACAAGATGGTCTTACACATGGTGATGGACAGTTCACGGGGTTTTCTCCATACAAAGTGGGCCTATCTGTTAGTCCAAGATGGCCTACATTTTTGGACTCTGTCAAATTTGAGACTTGGTTGGGATCTATTCACATACCAGTCAATCGTTAAGTCGCTTACGAATAGTTAATCCATAACTAGTTAAGTGTTGAATCTATTTTCATAATCGGGGAGAAGTAACTCTGATAGACTAAGGTTATTGGCCATATTCTGTAATCTCCTTGCCTTCAGGTATAAGCTTAACCTCCCTAGCTATTCAGTCGAGTCTTGCCAAGATTCACAGGTCGTAACTAATCCTGAAGTCCTTCATATCCTTTTCAATATTTTAAATGTGGCTGATCCTTCTTCAACTTCATATATCTTGATGAGTCAGCACATTCAGCGGGATTCGGAAGTCAACTTCCAGTTAAGCTTCCGACCTTGGAAGCTCCGCCTGCACAGAGCTTTTGCACCCCGACTCTGCCATAATGGCTCTCGACAATGTTCCATCCCAGGATGGTTCAACTAGTCCGGCCCCGACTCAATCGACTAGGCCTCGAGCTTACAACCCTGCCATCGCAAAGTACTTTCCGTTAAACTTCAAGCCAGAGCTGGTTGTCCACCCCGATCCGATCACGCTTTATCTTGCATTCTTTGGGAAATGGGCTTGGAAGCGTTATGTTGGACAACAAATCATGGAACGTGTGGAAAATTTCTATATTGTCACGAATCGCTGCGTAACGCAGGAGGAACTGGACGCATTCACCACCATCGACTCACGTTCACTCTACCAGAAGAAGATAGGTATACCAGTCTCGGCCTTCCTCGGCACCGCATGGAACTACAGAAAGATTCGCAAGTCGATATTCTTCCATCCGGACCAAACACCCATGCAGTTCCTTCGTTCATCTGCGAGTCTGTTCAGAGTCGATCCTACTTTCCGAACCTTTATGTCCAAAATTGGCTTCAATATGTTCTTCTGGACGTTCACAGGTTCGCTTATATCTCTAATATGGGGTTCAGTTAATGCACACGATGCTATTGTCGCGGACTCCCGATTGGGTGCATGGATTGAGGATGCATTCATTGAGGAACGCAAAACGATGACGACCTCAGAGGCAATTCGAAAACGCTCCTATATTGCGCAGCAAGTCATCCATGCGAGGCTTAATGGTGAGCCAGTTCTCGCACAAAAAGTGGTAGAGGCCTTAGATCGTGGTTTTTCTTATGATCAGGGTCAGGATGGATATGATAACTCGCCAACGGCGACTATGCCTGACGAGACCTACAATACTTCTCAAACAGCAAGCTCATCCAGCCCAGTATATCAGCAGCAGTCGGTACCGCAGCATATAGACGTTAGACCCTCTTCTCAGTCAGACTCGGATGCAACCGATTTTTTCTTGGGTGGTAGCGATAATGACGCTAGTCCAACAGCTAAGGAATACCGGGGCATAAACTCCAATGAATATTCATCTGGAAGTGTCTGGGCCCGCATTCGACAGCAAACTTCCCGGCCTACTTCACAGCCCACTGCACAGCGTCAGACCAACGTCTCATGGAGCCAATCAGACCAGAATCTCCCAGACCAGGAAGAGAATGCGGCTGCTACCAACCAAGCTCGATTTAATTATGAGAGGGATCAGGAGAAGAAGCAGGCTCGGGTGGAATTCGACCGCATGATGGAAGCTGAGCGAAATGCTTCTAAAGATGTATCTGAACGGAAGTGGTGAAAGTAGGCCTGGAGTGTTATTTCCTACTACGGACCATATAATCTATTATTACTGAAATTTAAAGTATGTCTGCATGTTTTATTTTGATACCAATTTTCGAGGTGTTCCTAAAAACAATCAAACCATCATTATTAGCCTTCGCAGGCATGTAGCTGTAGTATAAGACTCTTAGGACAGTGTCAAGTTGACAAATGAAGTGAAAAGAAAAGAATATACAAGCGAGCCTGCAATTTCGACGTAATGGAAAACATTGATAGACAAGGACTGAGCTTATGGGATGGTCGTACATGCAACCTAAGAATTGGAAGATAATTTGTGTGGGATGATTCCAGTATGGAAAAGTGATAGAAAAGAAGAAACAGTAAGGGAGGGTATAATATTAAAATGGCGCAAGAGGGGTAGTCAGAATTTGGGTCATAAAAAAAACAATCATTGAGGTTAAGCGTAAGAACATAGGAAAAGGTAACAGAAAATAAAGGTAGAGAGATCAGAAGCCAAGCTCTGAAGAAGGTTAGTTCTAGACATAGTTCGGACTAGAATGCAAACTCTCATACGGCGCCAGCTCAGCCTCTTGATGCGTCCATGGTTCAACACTTCGGCTATTGCTACGCATGCGAGTCAAGCTGCGCAGCTTATTCGTGAAACTCTCGTTCGAGCTGCGGTTGCGGCGATGGTCAAACGAAATGCGGCGGCTAGCATTCTGATGAGGATCACCTCCGTTTATTGCCGGGGCTGCGGTCATAGCGCGAGGAAGCAAACGGCCAAAATCCTCGTTCTCAATGGCAACGTCGATAGTGGCGGACGACTGTCGTGGCGAGATGGGATCGAAAATCATTGGGGGTGGAGGTGGAGGTGTGTTGAGATGCTGCAGCTCTGGGAGAAGTGGTGGTGGTGGCGGCGGCGGTGGAATTGCTTCGTTGTATGATGTAGATGGAGGTTCTCGTATGGCTTGCTCGATCGTCTCTTCGATGCTTACTGTGACTTGGGGTGAGGTGCCTGATATGTAGCCGCCGGAGCCGGTACGATGGTGGCCCATATTACGGGCTCGGCTACCCGAGCGGCTTCTTGGGAGATGGGGCTTGAAGTGTGGATGCATGGGGACGTCGGAGGGTACTGTTATGTTCCTGTGGTGCTGATCTTCTGGCATGGGGACAGACATGGACCGTCCGATTCTCTCCGCGCTAGCTTTATAGCGAGCTCCGGTTAGGAAAGCAGAAGAGCCATTGGTAGGAAGAATTGGAACAGAGGGAGGACGCTCTTCTTCATATCCATTTCCTCCGTATTTTGGGTGTCGCATCGCTCTTGGTGTTGCTGGGAGACCGAGAGGGGCTCCAGATCGAGGTGAGCTAGAGTCTGAACTGCTATGGTACTCGGAAGACCCCTTGGTTGAGGAGCTCTTGTTGTTTCGAGACGGAGCCCTTTGGAAATAAGGACTCCCATGGAAAGAAATAGGGCTTTCAATCGGGGACCGTGCAGATTGTAGCTCACCCGGGAAGGGGATATTTGGTGCAGAAGGGTTGCGTGCAAGAGAAAGCCGGCGAGCTTCCAGTTCAGCAGCAGCTATTTCTTTTCGCTTCTTCTCAGCGAGACTGACAAATGGTGTCGTGGGCGATGTTATCTCTCCAGCGTCAATGGTAATTGAATTGGGGCTGCTGTGAGTATTGGTATTTATGACAATGTATTCTTGCCCAAAGACCTTGCTGCTCAGCTGTTCAAATCCCCCATACTGAGAAGTCGTGTTTACTTCAGGCACAATGCGAGCATCAGGAACGTCTTGGGAAAATTTATGACTGGACTGAGGGGAAATATCCCGTTTGGAGCTAGTATCCCTATCTGCTCGACGCCGACTAGCACTTCGGTGATGCGATCGAAGCCGCTGACGGTCTCCAGTAACAAGTCTGAGGGGGTCCTCATCTAATTGTTGGCTGGGCCCATTTGTCGATAGACTTGGCAGATACATTGGAAGAGGTGATGACGGTGATCGAACAGAAGACCCCTGGCGATCAATGCTTCTTCCGCGCGTTGAGCTTTCCCCAACCCGATTTGCGGTGTTCCGACTGGACGATCGCTGCCTACTTCGTGAACCCGGCTTTCTCATTTTGCTGCTGCTTCGAGCCCGTGAGCGTGATTTTTTCCGTGGCTCATCAGGCTTGCCAAAGTCCGAAACGTTGTATCGAGCGACCTCCTCGGGTGACATGGGAACCGGGGAAGAAGGCGACCGCTTGGCAGGTTGAATATATCGCCACTCATTTCGTCCACGGGTTTCCTGGGATGCTTCACGAGATTGTTGCATGCGAGATCGTTGGCTTGCCGTTTCATCAGTATTTCGCCGTCCACGACCACGAGGATACTTCTTTGCATTCGCATGATAGTTTGCCTCCTCCAAGCTGCTAATATATTGGTCGATACTTCTACCACTGACACTCGGACTCTTCGCAGATGAGTAACTGTTCAAGGTTGAAGTCGTGCTCTTAGCACTATGGAGTAGATCTGAACGATCGTGATTGTCTGTGTGGGATTCTTCTGTTTGTACCAGGTCAATCTGAAGACCGTCTGGTTTCCGAATGCGAGATCCATTTCTTATATCAGTGTGCTCTTTCAATGCTTCAAAAAAGCCAGCCGCTGGTGAGGGAAGTCCCTTGATAGTTGAGAACTTTCCTGTTTCTTGTAAAGCAGTTTGAGGACTGGGCTTCAGAGAGTCTTGATCTGGGTTGTATCTCGCAGAGGATAAAGTCAACAGACTAAGATCTCCGCTTTGTTCATCTTGACTTTGCTCCAGTCCACTGGCCGATTCATTTTCCGAAGTAGATTCATAAGCACTAGTGTTGTAAGAGTGATTTCGGGAAAACATAGGAGGATGTACATCCACTGGTGTCTCTCCGATTGAAGGAAGGCGGCGGCGATTGAAAGCCGGGGTATTAGTTCGAGATGTCATAGCTTGACCAAGGCTTTGAAGGTTGTTGTGCTTCCATGACCCCAAACCTCCAGGAGACAATGCCGACTCTACCACAGCAGACTCTGCAATTGGGGTGACACCAGGCGCATTAGTAGGGGTCCGGTCGTCTGATTTCAATCCAGGGAATTTGAACCGTTGACTTGGGTGAGCGTCAAAAGATGTGATAAGCTTGAGAGCAGGCGCTTTCCCAGGTAAGCGCTGGTTAGATGCTGATTTAGGGCGAGATGGAGGATTCATTGAATTAGCATCATTTGACTGTACAGGGTCAGGTGAAGTCAAGGGTGACTTTACTCGAATTACCTCCGCAAAGGAAGTGGCCTGTTGAGCTGCTGGGGATGTCCATGGTTCAGATGACTCGACACCTGTACACATGAAACATCGAATAGCAAGCTGTTGCTGAGCGTGGCACACCACATACTCCCCCCATCGACGAACAAGGTGGGATTGACGTAGCCAGTCCGTTGGCATCAAAAGGCAGGTAATGAGGATGGCTTCCATAAAGTGATTTCGAGACACATAAACTTCGATAGCATCGTTAGTGTCTCCAAGGCCAAGCAGAATAGAAGCAGCCGTGTGAATATCTCCGATCTCAAGCAACTTTTGCACAAAAGCCTGTCCAACCTTGTTTGTTTGTGCCTGGCCACTCATTTGGCTGAGAGCCATCAGCATCCAATCAAACGTCGTTACAGGACCGGAATTCAACATTGCTGCCATATTTTCTGTGTCTGTTTCTCCAAGCCATTGTGCCAAAAGGATAGCGCTTTGGCTTCCGTATGCATGACGACTCAATTCATCTCTAACCAGATCCCGAACTTCTCCCTCCCAGCCAAAGACCACGCTTAACATTTGACGCCGCAGATCATCTGAGGTTAAACTACTCTCGCTTATAGGGGGCTGAGATTTGTAAGGCACGTCATTCAGTCTCGCGCGAGTAAATGGGAAGAGATCAACAACATTTCTCTCAGCGGGACTCAGATGAACCTCGTTCCGCAACCGAGACCCGACACGTGAGCTCTTCATCGAAGACATTGTGACAGACGATATGCTCTGAAATGAAGCTGATGGCTGTGGTGTGTCTCGATCTGATGTCATAGAAAATGTTGTGCCGCTCTGACCAGATCGGCTGGGTGGGGAGAATGGACCGGGTTGGTACCTCCCAGATGATGCCTTGGAGCTTACTGACTCCGTCCGGCTACGGGAAGAGACAGGGCTAGCTAGGTTTGCTCTTTGTTGCTTAGAAATATCCACTCCATTGGATCCAAAAGGAACACGGCTTGTTGCTGGCATTTCCCGAATATCCGGGGCATCTTGTAGGTGTCGTGGAGGTGGAGATATTGTCTGTGATCGTGTATCCTCGGATGCCATAGATCTAGTATTGACCGGAACAAGTTGCACATTTGCTACCATTGCTGGGTTGTCCACATCATACTGCTGGACTGTGTTATTGGGGCCAATGGTGAAGAGTGTTGCCGTAGGGCCATGGTTTGTTAGTCCTCGTATCCCGTCTATTGTCGGAATTGGATCGTAGGTAACGTGCTTCGTTCGAACATCCCAAGCCCATGTCTCCCTATAATTATAGAGGTTTAATTTCAGCGCCATTGGCTCCATGAACCAGAACTGGTGAACAAAATATGCGGAGCTTACCCTTCCAAGTATTGTACAATCTTTCCATTCTTTGACCATGCCATCCACTTTGGGTCTGCAGAGCTCGAGTCGGATCGTTTCAGAACTCGAATTACTCGAGGTGACTCTTTCCCAGGTGGTTTCGTCACACTCCAAACTCTCAGGTCGCCATTTGAAGATTGAGTTGCCAACATATCCGATTTTTGCTTCGAGGACGAGGCATGCCAGGCGAGCGATATAATCGGTGACGGCCCGCGGGAGGTTGTCAATGTGTGTAGGATTGTAAACTGAGGAGTAAGGCTCGCTATCAACATTGATCCATTCTGATAGCTAGTAAAGGTTGTCAGTTGTTAACCTCACAATATAAGGCTAAAAATGGAGATGTTACACATACCCAATTGCATACGTGCGACAATCCGTAGCTGGTGCCAGGGCAGTAATAGGGTCGAATATCGTGCGCGCAGAGATATGCTCCGAAGTAGACGGCTCGAAAAGGATCACTTCGCCTTTGCTGTTGCCTGTATAGAGAGGTCGTCAATAATCACAGGCTAATAATTTTCATACACAAAAGCCAATTCGTACCAAACGCGAGATTCCCATTGCGCATCCACGCTGCGACGCTCAAATTATCAAAGGATGCGAACCTTGCAACTTCGGCGCCAGTGAAGATATCCCATATTATCGCAGTTTGGCCCACATCGTAGCTCACCACCAGCCTTCCCGCACCACGCTCACTCACATTGTCCACCGATATAAAATTGATGTTTTCGCGATGACTGGTAAAGCGACGGTCTAGTGCCAATGTATCGTGATGGAGACATAAAATATTCGAGCCTTGCGAGTATAGGAACAACGATGCTGTTGAGGCGCAAGGCTCGAATCGAGACTCCGACGCCTCTATTTGCGGTGCCATTGATTTCAAGGCTGAAGACTGTGAATGTGGCCTTCGAGTCCTATTATATGTAAACTCAGCCATTCCTTCCTTGACAATCTTTTCTCAATGCTCGTGAGGGGTAAGATGAAGTGGATTAGCCACAGCCCTCAAAAATCGGGGTTGACTGGATATAAAAATTTCCCCAGAAAAAAAACGGAGAAAAAGCAAAGAAAAGTGGACTGACCTGATCAGACCTAACTAGGAGAAGTTACTAATCAGTCTCCTGGGCACCGTTCAAATGCAGTTGAAAAAGGTTCAATGGTAGCGCCGGGCATTTGGAGATTAGGAAACGCCGAGGAAATTTAGTGAAAGACCTAGTACAAGGAATAGAACGGGCTAGCTTGGTGATCCTGGTACTAATAAGAATGAAGATAGAGCTGTAGGTAACATGCGACCGAGGCGAGAACGGTGTAGTTAAACGCGGGACGACCAGGGTTGGGAATATCAATACAGGAAGCAGCAGGGATAAGAAGTATGACTACAAGCACGACGTTCATCACATCCCAAATGATTAGCGTGAAGGGGCCTGAGTTTTGTGACAGTGCACCGAGAAAAGGCAATAAACTATCTATAGGTACCACACGGAATAGTACCCAATATATGTACTGTGTTAAAAGCCGACGCCACGCTGTTTCCACAACAGTCGGGGGTTAAAGGGGGAAATGCAGCATTCACGGAGTCGTAGGACAGGGGATAGTCTTCAATAACAAAATGAAAAAGCAGAGAGGGGCGCCGGTAGCCGATCAAAATCTCGAGTCGTTGAGCAATCGGGTTTGACATCCGGAGTAGAAATACCAAGCGCTTCATTTCACAACTGGCCATACAGCAATCAGTCTCAGTGGTAAAGCACCCACTACCTCGTGTCCCAGGATCGTAGACAAGTGAGGGCATCACATTCATTAGCGGGACGGTGAGATCGAGCCTTTTTGGTGGCTGGGTGCGTGGCTTTGGTCCTGTGGGACTGCACCAACGAGCATTCAAAGATGAGCAGCGGAGGTATTTACGGGGTTAGACCGATGCAGGAGGCTTCTGAATCACAAACGTACTCTGTAAACCATAAGCATCGTCAAGGCTAGAAGTGTGGGTCATCATGCAAGAAAATAAACTGCGCGAAGGCACATATAGATCCCCAGTTCTTAAAGCTAGACAGTGACAGCCGTTGGAGGAGCTAAGACTTTGGATCACACGTTATGGAAAGCCTCCATATCTCAAGCCTAAGCCCTCCCACGAGGTCCTGAAGAGGGCTGATAATTGTGCAAGAAGCCGTTACACAGCAGAATATGAAATGTAATCAAGTCGAATAGTAGTAAATTGCATGCTCCAGGGCTGTGTAAGACAGTATGTGATGAAGTTAAAGGGATCCGTGCAGTGGTTGGTGATGCACACTTCATCACCTCAGTCAGCCAATCACATCTCATCACAATCGGTCCTTCGGCGCCTACAGTAACAAGTACTTGACCAATCTCAAATCAAGAATGGGCAAGAATGAACAACTTAGGACAAGGCATAGACCCTTGTTGAGAGATTTCAGAATAACCTATCAGAAATCACAAACCATTGCGGAGAATTGTTGATAAAACCGTTCCTCCCCGGCAGTTTCATGCTAGTTTCTGAGACGACGATCTTCGATATTGAGATTGAGGTTGAAATTATGGAAATTTCACTTTCCACATTTCCAATATGAGACTGATTAAACATTTCAATGTGATGTGACAGTGTGCTTGAGTTGGAGTCTTGCTTCATGCATATAGCAGGGCACGTATTATTATTGGAGCTTGGGCCTTTGTGATGGTATCGGGGACAGGCACCCAGAGCATTTCTCAATAGTATTGAATGGATCGTGAATGGCGGTCGGGATCTTGCGTCATGCAAAGTTGTGATCAAATCAGGGACATTTTGCCTAAAGGAGGAATGATGAGTACGGAGTAAAGAGATCAAGTCGGATGCAAAACTTCCCGAGGTCCTGACCAATACTTTCAATCTTGAAATTCATAGCGCAGGAAGACACGAGATGTTAGAATAGTAGAGTAATAGTCTGGAGCGATGAGGTAGTTGCTATATATTTTTCAGGCAACAAGGCTCCAATATTAGCCAGCCTGACTTTTTAAGGGTTGGTTATATCAACCTCTTAAGAACACACTTTGACTAACCCATTGAGTCATTCCAACCGCACGGCCACATCATGTTCATATCACCTGATCTCAGATCGCAAGAATTTAGTGGCCTGACTAGCTATTAAGCGTGGACTATCTTGGTTTTTTACCGTTCTCGGTCCATAGATCTGCGGAATATCCGAAGTCGGACCCAGATAACAGCCATCTTGACTCAACGCATTGATGCAGTAGAACTACTCATCTTCCAGGATATAAAACAAGACAATAATATCTTCTCAATCTCGTGATCAATTGAGATCTAAAAATGTCTCATCCCGAAACTATTGTCGTGATTGGGTGAGTCGCAAGATCCAGCTTGCGGGGGTTATCCATGTACCTAGGTAGTATGGAGGACATCCAGCTGACGGCATACATAGAGCGGGTGTAATCGGCCTCTCGACAGCACTACTCATTCAACAACATCTTAACACCGCCCAATCTATAATAGTGGTAGCCCGAGACTTCCCGTCTGATACTTCCATCAACTATGCATCCCCGTGGGCTGGGGCCCATTATCGTCCAGTACCGGGCACTTCGCCACAAACGCTTCAAGAAGCCAGTCAAGCCAAGCGAACCTATGACTACATGAAGCAGGTCGCTAATGAAGAGCCGGCTGCGGGAATCAAGTTTCTCAAGGGTATCGAGCACCTCGAGGCACCACCGCCGGAATACGTAGATGCCCAAAGCGTTAAAAATGTTTACTCTCATCTGGATGGCTTCCGGTTCTTATCCACTGAGGATTTCCCAGATGGCGTGAAGTGGGGTGTGCAGTATAAGACATACGTTGTCAATACTCCTGTCTACTTGGCGTACATGCTGCGAAAATTCATTCTGAAGGGTGGCTCTGTGGAGAAGTATGTTCTGACTAATGTGAGGGAGGCATTTACTCTGGCACCAAACGTCAAGACAGTGGTCAATTGCTCGGGTGTTGGATTTGAGGACCCGAAATCCTTTATCATCCGAGGTAAGTAACTCCCCAAACATAAGATGAACTTGTTCTTCAAGGTCTAAAAAGATGATGGTCGTTCATTTACAGGACAAACTTGTCTCGTTCGTAACCCTGTCTCTGAGACAATCACCCGTCAAAACACTGACGGATCTTGGTCGTTCTGTATTCCACGACCACTTGATGGTGGCACGATCATCGGCGGCACCAAGCAGCCGCACAACTGGGACCATACTCCGTCTCTAGACACCAGAAAAACTCTCCTTTCTATCGCTTCAAAGTGGTTCCCATTCACCGCAGAGAGTGATGGCCAATTTGATGTTATTCGAGACATAGTAGGACGTCGACCTGCGCGAGAAGGCGGCATGCGTATTGAAGTTGAGAAGCTAATCAATGGCAAATATGTTGTTCATGCATACGGTGCTGGTGGGCGTGGATGGGAAATCTCACGAGGTGTTTCTGAAGATACCGTTGACTTGATGTTGGAGAGTGGACTGTTGCGTGCCAAAGCAGCATTGTAAAGTAACGGACAGGTATCTGTGTTCGAGATTCTAGAGTATGCCTTCCAAGGTCTGGAGGCTGCATTCTACATAGGTAGCAATCTCAACTAGGGCCACGGCCAACTTTGCCAGGTGAACTATCTTCACGCTTACCTCAAATACCATTGCATCAAGCCCACCTGCCCAGAACATTGACGAGTTAACTTGGAAGGTCAAGCTTACTTCCAATCGTGCAGTTTGGCATCTCAAAGTGTCTATGGAATAGGCTCTTTGCAGCTCAAGCCATCGGCCATCTATAATGTCTATTTAGAGGATCATTGGCATTGTAATCATGCAATACTAAAACTGAACGAATTTTTTTTGCTAGCAAAGCAAACTGTCATAACAATATATCAGTCATGGAGAAACACAGGATGTCAAACCCTGGGCCCTCATTGCCAGCCACCAGCCATCTTACTCTCTGCAGATGCCAGATAATCCAACACTTCCTGCACGGAGAGTACATGAATAGCGACTGGCCGAGCCTTCGGTGACAGCAGAACGAAGTCATACAAAAGCGAACTTCCAGTGCATTGTGAGATGCAAGGGCCAAGTAGCATGCGGTTGTAGTGATACTCGTCATCAAGATCCGACCCCAGCGGACCTGAGAACCGAACTGATGTGGTCGGCTTCCCGGACCCGGTAGGGAAAGACCGCTTCCCCAAGGCTCACGAAACTAGTCTCGCGAGGAGATAAACGGCCTCAGCCCGCAGCCTCCTGTGCGACCACGGCGTCGTTTGATGAAGGGACTTCGGTACCGTTAATCTTGGCCAAACGCTCCTCCTCCTTCTCCTCACGTAATTTCTCTGTCTCATTGCGCAGGGCATCCAAGTTCCAGGTATCATCGTCATCGCCATCTGATTCCTCTGCGCTACTGTCTTCGTCACGCCAGTCGCCGGCCTCAAACATCGAACGACCAGTTGCCTCCTTGGCATTCTGTGCTTCAATCTCAGCGGCCTTCTTATCCAAGCGTTCTTTCTTCCATTTGGCGAATGACTCCTCGGTGACCGGGGTCAAGGTGCCAGTGAGCTTTGTGCGCTCCGTTTCGAGCCAATCTTCCAGAGTCAAGGTAGCCAGTGGTGACTTATCCATCAAGGCCTTCTCAGCTGCCTTCTGCTCCTTGGTCTTGAGAATGAATCTAGTCACAAAGATTAGCATGCTGTGTCTGAAAACGGAGAAAGCCCTAAGTATTTCAACGTACCCTGGTGGCAAGCTATGCTTGTACATGCACTTGTTGCCTCCGTTAGGACAGGTCCAAAACCATCCGTACTTCTGGTTCTCCACGGCATCGATAAAGTATTTGCAGACCTTGTCAGTGGTCGTCTGCGGGTTACCGTGCTTGCTGAGAACCACACTGCGCAGCTTCTCCTCGTCCCAGGTGTCAATGGTATCGGCCTTCTTCTCTTCATCCTTGTCGACCTCGCGAGAGTCGGTGTACAGATCCTTCTTAGCAGCCTTGCGCTCGATATTCAGGTCGTGGCTGAACTTGCACTTGCGGCCCTTTTCACAACCACCCTTCTTGTGGAAGACACAAAGAACAGTCTTTGGGTCAACACCAAAAGGCACTTTCTGGACTTGCACGGGCTTGAAGAGATCTGCTGTCTCTCTCTTTGCGTCCTCGGCCGCCTTCTTCTCGGCTTCGCGTTTGACCCTCTCAGCTTCTTTCTTCTTAGCATCGAGAGGTTTGTTGGACAAGGCTTGCGTTTGCAATTGCTGAATCTGTTTCTTGACGGCACCTCCTTTTTTCTATTGGGTCTGTTAGTTATTGTTGTGTTCGCAGCGGTGATCTTGGCGCATGAATGGGCGAGCGGGGAATTTTTCTGTTTCGAACATACATTTTTCATGCCAAAAGTCTAAAGAATGAAGGGTCAGCCACAATTTCCTGTAAAAAGAAGACTTCAGATCTTCCATACCTTGTCATCGACAGTGGCCTTCTTCTTCTTAGGCGCATCGGCCTTCTTGGGCGGCATGGTGACGAGTTTGTGAGGTGGTTACGTTGACAGGTTCAGAGAGTGTAAAAATGTGACAGATGCGCTCGATCTCCGAGTCACTGGTAGAAACGCAATGAACGCTGATGAAACTTGAAATAAAGACAGGAAGAGCCTTAAGAGTTAGATGGAGAGTATGGTAAGGTTGAAGTAGAGAAGTAAGGCCGATGAAAGTTGAAAGTCCTCCACAAATTGCGAGGGGTGAGTGTGGCGGGCAGAGTCTTTAACTGACCAATGACAGGTCGGGCCCTTCGAGTATAACTTGACTTTGTCTACAACGATGTTTACATGATACAACAGAGTAGTAGACTTACATCAGAAATTATGAAAAATAAATTAAACATCTTAGCTTTACTTTACATAGCTCATAATACTCTTCACTTCAACAGACTGTGAAGTGCGGTAGATCGGGCCATTTGCGTCATCGGGCTCTCAGCTCTCGGCTCCTCACACACAAATACTATGAATGGGTGAATATTGCATTTCGACCTTCCAGCCCATTTTTTATTAGATCATCTTGTTCCGATGGGATTTAGAGTACTGGTTTTTACAAAAAGGAAACGATGAAGCAGGGCTCAATGCCACTGTTTATTTCATTGGGAATTGATCTCCGAGTAGAAAGTAGGAAATCTCAAGCAATCGAAAAAATAGTTTGCATCCCAAGTATGCTGTATAGCATGCTTATTTTTCGTTCGTCGTCATGAATTCAAAGATGAAGGGATCAATTAAGAGAGCTCTTGAATCTTGGAAGAGGGGGTGTTCTCCTCAAGCTCGGGAAGCTCATCCTGAATAGAATATTAGTTTCAGCTAGAACAGAAAAGCAAAACCAGTTTTTCAGACTTACATCTTCATCGGCCTCTTCACCCTCAGCACCTCCGAAGTTGGGTAGACCAGCACCTCCCATACCGCCCATGAGAGCGCTCAGATCAGGCATATCGCCGGCACCACCTCCCATGCCGCCAAGCTTGGAGAAGTCAATGTTGCCCAGGCCACCAGGACCGCCAGCGCCGCCCATGGGGTCTTGACCACCGAAGTCACCAACGTTGTTGGCGTAGTCGTCGGCATTCTCCTCATCCTGCTCATCCTCATCAACCCACTAATGTCTAGTTAGCCGGCCGCACGCTTCACAAACTTTCCCCGTTGGTCGATGAACTCATACCTTGTCAAAGTCAGTCTTCAAGAAGTGGTACTTCTTGGCCTCCTTCAGCAAACGAGGCCAGAACTCCACAGTCAGCTTCTTCTTGCGCAGGACCAACTCAACGTCGCGATCAGTGTGGTTCACTTTGCTGTTCTCAGGATCGATCTCGGAGTAGAGGTCCAGGGAGACAGCGTATGAGACACCCTTGCGGGATGTGCCAGTGAAAGAGACATTTCCATCGGTAATTTCGAGCTTGGCGTTCTCCTTAGGAACATCGACGGTCTTGATGCTTACGTAGAGGTAGTTGCGCTCGGGCTCGGTGTCAGAGGAGCGCTGAGCCCAGGTAACTGTTAAGTGTCTTAATTAGCCAAATTCATTACTAGGAATCTTAACTGGTAATTGGTCTAGAGCAAACACCATTCAGCAGGGACCCGAATGGAATCAAACTGGAATGAGAAAGGTGCAGATCCGAGTAGTTGGAGCGGGGAAATCGAGAGCTTGTCACAACCTACCTTCGGGAGTGGTCATTCTGATGGATATGAGAGTTGTGGATGGTAAAGTGAGAATAATATAATGAGGAAAAGTATGTAATAAGAGATGAAAGTTGGGAATAAGTGTTGTAAAGAGAAGGGTGCGCTTGAAGCAGGAAAGCGTCTGTACGTTTTCTCCTTACTAGAATGTACTGGAAGCCCGCAGTTTGGCTTGTTTGCTTGTTTTTGTTGTTTGCCTGAGGCGACCAAGTTCTGCATTTGGTTGCCCATGAACGTCATGTGTCTGACTAAGCCTAAACCCCTCCTGCGCCCAGCGGTACTGTTACTGTTACTGATAAGAAAGTGACTCAGGAATTCTGGCGAAAGGCTTACTGCCTGTTCCTGGGATCAGATACAATCTATCTTTAATTACAATTGAAAGGGAATGAACTTGAAGTATCTATCCACTTCAAGCAGCTCACTACGTTGAACACACTTGACGGCTTTGCTACTCATCCACAACCACCAGTGTATTTTAAGGCTCTCGATCTGCTCAAATCTCAGATCTCAAATATTGAAAAGAGTATACATCAAATCATGGAGACAATCAAAGCTGTTTTCTTCGGGCCAGACCCCCAAGTCCAGGTAAGTACATCCAATTGCCTTTGATCACATCACATTTGGCCTGTGGAACTGACTGATACCACTAGATGAGAAAATGCAAAGCTCTCATTCGTGGCAACACCCGACAACTTGATCGTGACATTGCCCAGCTCAAAGTCCTTGATAGCAAAACCCGACAACATATAATCAATGCTTCAAAACGAGCACAACGCAATCCGTCCCAGGCCAAACAGGCGATCAGTGAAACTAAGATCTTTGCCCGAGAACTAGTGCGGATTCGAAGACAGACAACTCGCCTGAATACTAGTCGGGCCCAACTACAGAGTGTGGGCATGCAAGTGGATGAAGCCTTTTCGGTACGCAAGATCCAAGGTAGTCTACAGAAGTCTACGGGGATCATGAAAGACGTGAATACATTGGTTCGACTTCCAGAGTTATCCTCTACAATGTTCCAGCTATCAACGGAGTTGGTCAGGGCAGGCATCATTGAAGAGATAGTGAGCGATGCTATCCCAGACAATGAACTGCTAGAAGATGAGGAAGAGGAAGCAGATGAGGAGGTAGAGAAGATTCTACAAGAGATCTTGAAAGGAAAGCTTGCTCAGGCACCCGAGAAGCCCGAGTCTCCAGTGGAAGAACCTGCTGAGACCGAACCTATGTTCGAGGAACAGGAAGCAACTCTCGAACAAATGCGGGACCGGCTAGAAGCTTTGAAAAGTTGATACATCCTTTAATATTTCAGTGTTTCCATTTTTTACCAGTGTGCGCCCAATCTCACTATCTCACTACCTCACTACCCCGTCACGACACTGCCACCTTTAACTTCGATTGTTATTATTTTGAAAGGAGTTTGAGAGGAATTCAACAATTTTTGTTCGCAGGCTGGGCCTACATGAAAGAAAGAATTTCTATTAATTTCGCCTTAATGAAATCCCAAAAATGCAGATAATACACTCCGAATTGTAGTTGAGTTACATAAAAGTGAGCCCAAAGGGGAGGCGAAAAACGTGCGCGGATTGGGCAAATTCAGGCCAACTCAGGCCAATTCAGGCATAGAAGTCAATGTCCCTAAATAGCTTAGTGCCGTCTGACTCCTCATCACTTCGCCTCCCCCGTTGTTTCTCACCTCATTCAACATCTCGCTTTCCACCTCCCATACGAAAGCTACCCCACACCACCTCTGCGCCTTTCTTATCTTCAATAGTCACGTATTCCTACATCTGCGCCTACGTCTACGTTGGCTCTTAATCTTCCATCTCACCCCTCAACGCACGCGCGATCGTAACGCGCTTTGACTTACCTGATCTCGCTTCATCAGCGTGTTCACTTAGTCTCCACTTCTTCCCTTCTTCCCTTGATCTCCTGCTTCTTCCCTCGTCAACTCTTTCGCCAATCTTTTTTCAAATCACTTTTCACAATGTCTGCCAACCTTGACAAGTCTCTTGATGACCTAGTCGGCAACCGCCAGAAGAATGCCCGTCGCCGTAACAACCGTCGCGGTGCTGCCACCAAGCCCTCTGTTGGAGGTGTGAAGAAGTCGGTCACCCCTAAGGGTGGTGCCAAGGCCAACGCGAAGGTGATTCATCACGCTACTCCTGCTGCGACATCCAGCAAGATCATCGTGAGCGGACTGGTATGTTTTAATCTCACCCTACTTACAAATGTGCATCTCTTAACTTTCACAGCCTTCCGACGTCACCGAGGCCAATATCAAGGTATGTTGATTTGAGTCTCTGCGCATTGGATTTTATCGACATTCCTTCGACTTTCGGGCCGTAAACGAATCCAACAAGTTTTCACGTGCACATTCCTCATGCCACTCATGGCGGTATTCGGTCAGGGTCAGGCACAGACAGATTTCTCCTTCCATGGCTTTCGCAAACTATTTCGTGGCGTCTTTGCAAAGCAAGAAGTTGAGCTATGTCGCAGTACGATTCAATTTGTTCGGTGCCCGTGTCGATGCCTATACAAAGGCGATCCACCTGCACTGGGCCTCTTGAGTACTATGCCACGAATCGGAGATCAATGATCCCATTCTGACCGCTTCGAAATCCCACCCACCTCTCACTCTCTTCCTAGCGCATCCTGCGAGATCTTCAGGGGCATCAGCGAGCGCATCAGCAAAATAGTGGAGATTGGTTTGACAAACTCAGATTTATTTATAAGCAACTATCGAGAGATCCCCACTGTTTACGGGGTGAATCCTGTCTCAGTGAGATCTTCATCCTACATCTTATCTGGTTACCAGGTCTATCGAAGAGGGAGCGATCATGAGAACACACGAGACAAGACTTTCCTTCCAGTTTCAACGCAGTGGGCGTAGGTTTGCGTTGACTACCGGCTCGTGAAGGCATGAGCCTTTCGTTTGAGGACTTGACGCGCTCAATTGATAGATCATTGGGTGGATTTGCGCTTTTTATTTACTGGTTGGATGTTCATTTGAGCGAGTGCTCTGATAAGCGCTGAGGGAATTGGCTTAGTATATTGTTGGAAACTGGGCTTCGTGAATATGGGTTGGGTTTAGTTGGTGGAATGCCGATTTGTGCTCGCTGATGCTCTTCTGCCGTGGATTTCGATTATCGGCCCCGTTTTGGATGTCGCCCATCTTTTTTTTACCGATCGATCTCATGCAACTGAAACTATCAGACGAAAATACTGATGGTCTCTACGCTATAGGAATACTTCTCGAAGTCTGCAGGTCCCGTCAAGAAAGTGATGCTCACCTACAATCAGAACGGCACCAGCCGTGGAAATGCTCAGATCATTTTCGGCAAGCCTGACATCGCATCTAAGGCCGTTAAGGAACTCAATGGCATCCTGGTCGATGGTCGCCCCATCAAGGTACATAAAGACCGGTCTCTCCATATGAAGGCCTTCACTAACAACTATGCCAGATCGAGGTCGTCTACGATGCCTCCCACGCCCCCGCCGCTCCCGCTCCCCCTCCCCGTTCTCTCACCGAGCGCGTTGCGTAAGTGGTCCCGAATTTCACTATTCGGAATATTTATACTAATTCCTTACCAGTCAGAAGTCGAAGCCCAAGCCTGCGACTGCCGCGAAGTCCGCCACCAACACTCGTACTCGTGCCCCCCGAGCCGAGCGCGGAGGCCGTGACCGCCAAGCCAAGCCCGCTGGCCGCAACGCTGGCCGTGGCAAGCCCAAGACTATTTCGGAGCTTGATGCTGAGATGGTTGACTACTTTGCCGGCGACAATGGCACCCAGGGCAACGCTCCCACCAACGGTGCTATCCCCCAGGCCACTGTTGACGAGGACCTTGGCATGGGCGAGATTTCTGTACGTTCTAACCATGATATCCCTCTTCTTGACTTATCAACTAATACTCCAACAGTAATCGAGTCGCTCTTGGTTTCTTTTTGATCTTTCCTGAATGCTACAGGTATTCTTTGCTGGGAAGTTGATGCGCGAATCTTTTCTTCTCTTTTACTGTCTCTCCACTTTTTACCTTTGGTTGAGGGTATTCGGGCTTTCTTCTCTTTTTTTCCTTTTTATTTTTTTTTCTCTTCAGATTTCACTTAATCCAATGGCTGCTACAAGTGAATGGGATGAAGGATGGTCTATCTACGCTCAACCAATGATATTGAAATGGGCTTTGATTTTGCTCTGCTTCACGTAAAACCGATCTCGACAAATGCTGCGAGAATTATATCCAATTTTGTACTCCGTATAGTGATTAAAGAAAGTTGGACTTTAGATGGCGATTATACATAAAGAGTGTGAGAGAAACAGAAGTGGAAATGGATATCAAATTCTAGACTGGGGTATAGCCCATATTCCGCCAAACGCCAAATCCAGCCGTTGGAAATAACCCAAATACAATAGAGTCCCTATAAAAGTTAGAATAAACCAGCGCGCTGCATCACATCATGAAATTGCTCTAGAGTAACGCCCTCATTTACTCCGGCGCCTCCATTCGCCACCAAGATCATAGATTTGAGCAAATCATCATCCTCCTCCATATTCAGCTTTCGCGCATGGTTGCGCAAGTGGCCCATCTTAATAGGACCATCCAAGCCGCGCGTGAAGAGTTTATAGGCATCAATAACCTCTCTTTCAATAGCGTGATCGGAGCGCGATCGTAGCTTTGCCGCGACAACTGACAAGAATGGGCCATATGCGACGTAACCAGTACGTGTGGGATCTATGGCTGCTAGGATCTCTGCCAGTTGCTCTGAGTTATCTGGTCCCACGCCAAGGGAACTACAGAAGAAATATTCATCAGAAAGGGCTTGTTATTCAGATAATGGTCAGATGAACTCCATACATCATCGCTCTGCGCACGTCTTGGCGGGGCATCATGCCGGCTTTCTCGTCCGGGAATTCTTCGTTTTGAATGGCGTAGTCTTCGAAGACTTCGCTGATTTCCTTCTCTTCATTTGTTGAGATGTCATTGTCTCTTGCGAGCTTGGAGCGGGACGCGCGCTTGCCTCCTCCGGGCTGGTTGCTGGGAGCTTTGCGTTTCCTGGAAGCCTGTAATCAAAATGGGTTTAGATGTGGAAAGAATGTGACTTCTATCGAGATGGCTTACCATTCTGGAGGTGTAGACTGTATTTTGCTGCACAGTGCGGTCTTGAGGGGGAAGAAAGATCTCGATTGCGATGATGTAGAAGTGGGGAGTTTGGGTTAACGTTGATTGGTTCAGCTCATCCTACCCTCGGGGTAAACACCTGCTTTCAAGATACTTAGTGAAATGAGAATTGACTCCACTGGCATACTTAAGATAGTATACAACTGTACTGTTCAACTGTTGGTAGGGCTTGATGCCACTATAGAGATCTTGAGATATTCGAGTCCAGAGCTTTCTACAACTGTTCTTTGTGTACGAATGCATACCTTAATAACAGTCAGCCACTGCTTTTTTCCTCACCTTAGAATACCGAGAACTCTTTCGTTTCTCGCATCTTCATCTCATTGGCATTTTTATTTTCCTTGTCCAACTATTCGCCCTTGGAAATTGATAGAAGGGTTCCGAACTCCAAGTGCTGACGTGATCCGATCGGTGCCTTGAGCGTGAATCGTATATCAATTTGATAAGGACCTCCTTTGAATACTCAAATCCAACAACAATGGATGTCCAGCTTTATGTTTATGACCTCTCCAAGGTAGTCAAACGCCTCTTCATATTTGACAATTTTATTTTCCAGTGCTAATGATATAACAGGGTCTTGCGCGCCTGGTACGTCTGGTCTTATGGGCCGCAGTCTCATTTCAGTACCTAGAACCCATAGCTTACAAGGTCTCACTGCTATCAGTACTCTGCTTCCCTGACAGGAACACAAATAGATGCCATCTACCACACCTCCATTGTTGTGTTCGGCATTGAGTATTTCTTTGGCCAAGGTATTCAGACCGCCACCCCTGGTAGTACCCATCATGGGCAGCCAATGGAGATCGAAGCACTGGGTCAGACAGAGCTTCCAAGAGATGTGGTTGAAGAGTACCTAGGCTCTCTAGCTGAGATCTACACGCCCGAGGTTTGTTAACGCGAAGCCTTGCTATGCATATCAAGCTAAACAAAGCATAGTCCTATGACCTGTTTCTCCACAACTGCAACAATTTCTCCCAAGACCTAGCTATGTTCCTGGTTGGCAAGAGCATTCCGGATCATATCCGAAATCTGCCTCAAACATTCCTGCAAACTCCATTTGGGCAAATGATGAAGCCTCAGATTGAGGCGGCTCTGCGTGGCGTTACGCAAGGGGATGGTACAGGTCGCATCCCCGGCCCGAGTGCTCAACCACAAACATCAAGACCCGCCACTGCAACAGAACCCTCAACTGGCCCGGTCCTAGGTACCGTCTGAAATATCAGCAGCTTGCAGCAACTCGAAAGCGAGTTGGCCGCAGCATCCAATTCTTGTGCAGTCATATTCTTCACTTCTTCCACCTGCCCGCCCTGCAAAGTTGTCTATCCCACATATGATCAGCTTGCAGCAGAAGCTGGTGAACAAGCCAGTCTCATCAAAGTTGATATTGGCAAGGCGTACGATGTAAGCATGAAATATAATGTGCGCGCAACGCCGACTTTCATGACTTTTCTAAAGGGGCAGAAACTCGACGAATGGAGCGGTGCCAATCCTGCCCAGCTTCAAGGCAACGTGCGCATGCTTATTCAGATGGCCAATCCAGCTCACCCTCACCGACAGCTGCGACTTCCCAGTCTACAGCGGCTCATTACTAATTATGTCATGTACAAAAAGGTCCCGCCATTGGAGAAGCTTTTACAAAAATTGCCGGCAGAATTTAAAGAGGCCCCTGACGTTGCACCAGTCATTAGATATGTCAATATCCGCCACTCTACAGCTGACGGGAAAGGTCCTATCGTGAATACCAGAGTACCAGATATCCATGTCTTTGCTACCGCTCTTCAATCAACATATGCGAACCTCCCGAGTGGTAGCCACTTTGCAGTCGTTGATCTCGTCCGTCTACTATCTCTGGATCCACGCATAAGCGGCTACTTCGCAGAGGAAACAGGGCACGCTACCCTCCTCACCCTCCTCGAACCTCTGACGCAAGAAGACCTCTCTTCATGCCCTTATAATCTTCGCATCGTCGCCATGCAACTGGCTTGCAACCTCTTTAGCACTCCACTCTTCCCCGAACAATTTGTCCAGTCCACTTCTCCCCTGAGAGAGACTATTCTCCGTCTCGCAACCAATTCACTCTTGGACTCACATACCAGCCTTCGCGTCGTCGCAGCCTCCTTCGCATACAATCTCGCAGTATTCAACCACAACGCCCGCTTCGATGGAAAGCCCGATATAATCACTGAAGAGGATCAAATAGAGCTGACGGCTTCTTTGCTCGAAGCTATTTCTAGTGAAGAAGCGAGCTGTGAAGCCTTGCACGGACTTTTGTTTGCATTGGGTCTGTTTGTCTACGAAGCACCGCTTGATGGAAGTTTAGTAGATCTCTGTCGTTCTATGGGTGTCGTGGATACTGTCGCAGCCAAGTTTCAAATTGAGGCTCTGCAGAAGGAACCTTTGTTGAAAGAGGTTGGACGAGAGCTGCTTGGCAAAGGGTTGTAATTTACATATTTGTTAGAATTTTGGTCGCTTTTCGCACTTTATCTTCGCATCAACCATTCTACGTTCCAAATTAGATGCCGTCGTTGACCTAGGGGTCTTCTTGGCGCTTATTACTACTTGACGTCATACGGCAAAGAAACGAGTTTACAAGTTCAGAATGTCTTTTGTGATATCATCAGTTATCGAATCTTATTTCGAATCCAACAGACCAGAAATTGCAAGAAACATCGTTTCAAGAGACATTTATCGAGGTCAATCACTCCCAAAATATCCCAGCTCATCCAAACACACCATGGCGCGCATCTTCATCACAGGATCCAGTGACGGAATCGGCAAAGCAGCAGCAAAAGTCCTAGCAGAACAAGGCCACTCAGTCGTTCTGCATGCACGGAACGCAGAGCGCGCAGCCTCGACGCACGACGCGATCCCCAAAGCCGAAGCGGTACTAGTAGGCGATCTACGCTCGATCACAGAAACGAAAAAACTAGCGTTGTCCGCAAACGCGCTAGGCAAACCCTTCGATGCAATAATTCACAACGCAGGCATCGGGTACGGCAGCACATCCAGCGTCGAGATAACAGCCGATAACATCTCAGCCGTATTCGCGGTCAACACGCTCGCGCCGTATATTTTGACTTGCCTCATGGATCGGCCTACGTCGCGACTTCTTTTTATGAGCTCTGACAGCCACTATGGCGGCGATGAGACGTTGCGGAATGTTACGCAATCTCATTCTTACAGTGACAGTAAATTACATGATATTATGCTCGCTAATGCGTTCGCGAGGCGGTGGGGCGATAGTATTCAGGTTGTGAGTATGCATCCTGGTTGGGTGCGGACTAAGATGGGAGGCTCGGGCGCTCCCGAAGGCTTGAATACACCTGCTAAGGCTCTAGCAGAGTGGAGCGTTGGACAGGGCAAATTGGCTAGTTTGGCTAGTGGAGTATTTTTTACTACTAGAGGTGAAGAGTCTACGCATTCCGGTGCTAGTAATGTGGCTAAGCAGGAGGCGTTGTTGGAGATTTGTCAAGAGGTATCGGGAGTTTCTATTCCAGAGTGAACACTTCATCTTGGTACTTGGGCTTCGGACAGTCATGAAAAAACTTGTAAGGTGACTATTACAAGATACAGAGTTGTTATTCTCGGCTTCCGAGGTTGGTCTAGTCCGTGTATTTATATCCACTGATCCATCTGCCATGTCATCAATGCAAAATTTTCACATGAGCTGGCCTTATGACTCGACTTTTGAATTCAAAGATGGTGGGCGAAAGTGTTTATTATCATTTTAAGGATCGAAACCTTAGCAAGGCAACCAGTAGGCCGGTCTCCACACTCAAAATATAGCTTTGGTCCGAGCATGTAGTGAGCTGTATCCAGTAAGAGGCTCCGTACAGCCCTTGTCTCGAACCATCTGATATCTACGTCGTAAGCAGTCTGGTGCGGCATCTCAATCCCGAGATCTTGAACTAGACCTAAAGAATCCCCACGTGTTGAAACACGTGGCTGCCCGAACCAGTCATATAAAAGGAGTCTTCATTAGCGTAGCAAAAATCCTGTACATGCCAGATGTGACCTTGAGTGTAGGATCTCGGGATCTTTAGGGTATCATTCGCCGAATGAAACAGTCTAATCACCATAAGTATTCATTTACATCTACGTAGCCAACACAAAGTACCAAGTACGAAGAACGAAGTACAGAATACGCCGGCTAACGGAATAATCATTAGCCATTTCTTGGTATCTTCAGCTCCACAATTAGACCCAAGTCGAAAACCGTTGCGACGGGAGTAAACAACTTCTGCTCGCTACTCCACCGGGGCACTAAGGCCAAACGTAAGGAATGGATATCCATAACCAGGACTAACAATGGAAAGCAACGTTGGGCGAGAATGAAAAGTACAAGACACAAACAAGAGCATCCACCCTATCACGTTTCAGTATCTTTGCCCCGAGGTTTGTTTCACTGGATGGTAAGTCTTGCGCGTATACGGAGTATACTCCCCGGCCTTTCGTCTCCATCGAGGTCCGGTGGACACTTTGCGCTCCGTGCCCGGTGGCTCCGGTGCTCCGGTCTGTACTAATTACTAGTGTACGGAGTACCGAGTACTAGTTACTATACGTATACTAGTCGCGGCCGGTCCCGACACCTGAAATCTTCCACTCATTTAGAAAATGACAGGTATCCCGAGGTCCCTGCTTCAAAAGTGGGAAGGTTGACAAGAGGTGCAAAATGGCTAATAGGATGAACAGGGTCAAGTGCATGTTTACTTTAGTTTATGTACAAATGAATCCAGGGCTCCTTAGGAGGATCCATAGGAAGATCACTGCACAATGAATGACTAATGATTTGAAAATCGACCATAGTTTGCATGAAGAAGATATTCTAAGAACTACATATCGAAATGATATGCATGCCCAACGTGAAACGCCTTAGCCAGGTCATAGGCTTCACACCGACTCTTTAAGAACAGGGTGATAAGGTGATGGTGGCTTGTGGCGTCAGGCCAAGGGTTGGATAATCAGATTCATGACATAGCGCTGTTTGCGCGGATATGAAAATTAAATAATAATAATGATAATAATAATAATAGTAATAATAATAATAGTAATAATAATAATGATAATGATGATGATAAAAGATGATAATGGATAATAAAAGAATCAAAGTTCGCGATATCGGAATGATAAAATGTAAGAGCTAAGTAGGATACAAGACTGGGTATTGAGGGGTATCTGGAAAAGCAACGCTAAAAAAACCAATGAAGAAGCTAACACCATATTCCGGTTCCGCTGTGAGATGCAAATCAAGAAAAAGATCTATGTATAGAAATAGAAAAAGAAATGATAAGAAAAATTTGTTGCCAATTCAGTGTGAGGATGAGGCGGGAAGGAAGAGTCGGTGTAGAAGTAGAAGCATTTCTCGAAGCGCCGACAGCGAACAATTATGTCAGCGCGGGCAATCGATAAGCTTGTAGTCTGATCGCCATCAGTACAACCCGGACTGATCTGCGCTGACTGCGATCTCGCTCACGGATTGATGCTGATTCGCTGGACGGGTATCACGGATGTTGAATAAAACTGTCAATATTGATATCTCCTCAGAAGGAGGGGTATCAAAGTGGGGGTCGTGGATGTATGTGAAAGGTGTGTGAGATATGGTGGAATTTAATCGGAACGCGCCTGCGCTGTACCAGTCGTGTCGAGGATGCTGATGCCTAGACGGTGGGCACCTTAGAGGAAGACTGGGCGCGTCGTTTGGCACCGAGGACCGGGCGCTTCTTGTTGCGCTTGGCTGTAGGGACGATGCGTTCGCGCTCATTCACACTCACACTGACAGTATTCTTCGGGCTCTTGCCATGTCGCAAAGCTTGATAAGCTATGGCATGCGCATTGACCTTAGCCATGAACCGAGCGCGATCCTGCTCTTCGGCAGCGGCAACTGCTCGGGCACGTTGTACTTGTTGCTCAACGTTCATTGATGTGGGGAATTCGGGCTCGGGTTCCTCGAGCAGGGTGTCGCATGCCGAGTTCTCTGGCATCCATAGTAGGTCTTCGTCGGAGAGAAAGGCGTTGTTAACGAAGCTCTCGCTTGGGTCGGTGCTCGATAGTGATAGACGCGTCGGCCATGATGGGAAGGCACACGCTGCGCCCATTCCATATTCGCTTGAGAACGATGATTTGCGGGGGTTGATGTCGTAAAGTGAGTCTGTTGGTGTAGGGGGAGGAGCAGATGGGTTTGACAGAGTCGAGAGAGATCGCAGGGAACACTCGCTGCCACTCCACGAGAAGTTTGGCATGGCGGGTTCGGTGCTGGCGACAGCACCAGCCAGAGTAGGCTTGGTGAGTGCCATAGTAGGTATGCGCGTTTGAATAGGCATCACCATGATGAAGGCGAAGTTGATAGGAGTTATCAAAGTCGAGAAGATAGTTGAAGGAGATGATGATGGTAGGATCCAGGAGGGGTGAGGAGACAATTAATAAGAAAGTCAAAGAGATCGGTGAATGAAAGACAGGGAAGACTGAAGTCTAGATGCAGAAGAAGGTCGGTGTGTTTATCAACCCTGTAAATAGAAGAGGAAGTGGGAGTAGATGTGAAAGGACATCAAAATCAAAGCCGGGGAAAGGCTTCTAGACTTCCGCACCCTTGCAGGTTAAATAAAAAAAATAAAAGAATAAAAAATAAAATCAAAAGAATAAAATAAGGCGGAAGGGGCTTCCGTGCAGGTAAGGCAGTCGATCAATCAATCAGGTCGTATAGATCAGCAAATTGGAGCCCGGAACTTTTGCAAATGATAAAATCATAAAATCATAAAAATGATTTATCTGACAGCCGCCCCAGTAAGATGTATCTTCTTGGATTTAACCGTCGCGCGATCCGCGGGGAAGATCGGATGTATGTGTTTGTACTCCGTATACTCCGATTCAGACTTTTGCTGAGTTTGAGTCCGAGTCTGATACCAGTGATACTCTGCACTAGTCGATGGCAAATTGACAGGCAATCAGATATCCAAGGTTGTGCGGTGTATCTCCGTTGAGATGAGAATTCTCCAATCAACACAAAGTAGTCACCGCTCTATTGTATAGTTAGGGCTGCAGTTTCCTAATGCCCGAAGCTGTTCTACCCAAACCTTGAAAAGGTTGACGGTATAGCGGTGAAAACAAACTTGAATGTGATCGAGAAAAGAAAGGAAATCAAAGAGGGGAAATGTTGGAGTACATAAATCCAAGCGCTTATTGAAAATCCGAAAATCCCCTAAATCCTTCGCGGGATACGCCCCATAGTACTATGAAGCGATTCTACTAGACAGGTAATTTTTTTTCATTTCCCGGTTTGGTGGGATTTTACCGTTCGTCTAGATCGTTTCGACTCTGTTAGTAGGTCTGGGGAGAGTTTCTGATGTTCTAGCGTTTCCACAGTTGGGCAAATATTGGTAACGGTTCTTTGGTCCCGAACACCCGGAGAAGACCCGCAAGGTCCGGCACTCCACTAGGGAGAGCGTTCAGCCGGGCTAAGGATATTACTGTGTATAGAGCTATACTCCGAAGGTACACAATAAATAGGAGTGCATATCTACTTACACTCTGCATATTCCGAAGATCTCTCTATAATTCTTATTGATCATTCGGATCTAGTATCGCTCTAAGTTGCATGTTCTAAGTATAAATACTGAAAAAGAAGACTGAAAATTCAGATCGGGTTCTTAAGCTAGTGAAATGTAAACAACCATACCTCGGTCTAGATCGAAGTCCAAACAATGAAATACTGGAACACTAGGGGAATTACGGCTTCTCAACTTTCTTGAATCCCGAAACGTAACAGTCAACGATAAATAACAACTAAAAACCAACTGCTACCTAGGTAACGAATAACATGTATCTCATTTGAATGTTGTTCTATCCTTTGCGCTCTTCTCTTCCTTCCCCTGTACTAAACTAAACAAGCTTGTTTCGGCTTTCTTTCCCCGTAAAATATAGTGGGGCTTATGCTGACATAGCTCCACTACTTTAGTTTCCCCGACTCGTCTCACTTCATAAGACCAGTCATATCCACTGCAGACTTACGAGCACAGAGGCTGGACTTCTGCACGGAGTTATTTCGCACATATTCCAAATTTCAAATTCCTGGGGAATCGGGAGGTAAATCAATCAGGGAAGCTGGAAGTAATCAAGCTACATCACTTTCTCTCATTCTTCACTCTCTTTCTCCCCAGTGCCCGAGTCCAAGCTGGATTTGACAGGTTCCTTCGGGTCCTTCCTGTCTTCTGTACCTTTGCACTGGTTGTTTCAAAGGGGCGGACACGATCGAAGTTGTGGATCATGATCCTGTTTTCCTTCCCATCATCCACCCCTTTCCACTGTACCAGACAATCGGGTTTTCTAATTCCTAGAACTTTTCCTGGGACTAACACTAATACTGCAGTACTTTTGAATAGATCAGTGGATAAAGTTGATGCCCAAGGGTGGACCGTATGAACGTGTTGGAAATGGGGGCTATACTCCTGAATCCATGGCTCTTCTTTAGCTCCTCCGATTCGGATACGCGGAAGTGACGTTCCATTGTGGAAATGAGCCTTACGAAAATGTCAAGGCAAAAGCCCCGCTATATACGATTTTACGAAATTGTTCCGTACGTATGATATAAAATCTGGAGTGAGACCGATGGAAGGTGAGTTTGTCTATTTGGCCAGATACAGGCGATATAAACAACCAACCAAATGGCCAAATTATAACAATATAACAATATATATTCAAAATGCTTCATCAAGTTCAAAAGTCCCATCCGGATTGTCGTGCAGCCTCATGCATTTCATATGCAAGATCGATTGACCCAGATCGTGAACAAGGATAATTTACCATAGGTCATACCTACCCTGGAGGCTAGATATTAATCGGCTATACATATCTGGGTATACTGTGAATGGAGTATGACATCCTCTACCCGTGAACCTGAGTCATGATTGATCTGAAGTAGGCCTCCGTCAGTCTAGAGGTGTTTATATACTATGTACTACCTAGACAACGATCACGTCGTCATTGGTCATCGTCATCGCCGTTGCCAGTCACGGGTCCAGACTCTCGATCAATTGACCGCCATCTTATCAACAGCCACAATGCAGCCACACAGCATAACAGCATGCACTATCCTTGATTTAGTGGTCTGAGCGTTGCATATCCCTCTATATCTAGAAAGTCAGAAGTTCCCCGGACCCCTTGAAGGAGGGCTGCACAATCAAAGCAAAACTTACCCAGGTGCAGTGTGAGTAACCCAAAGCCCCGAAATTTCAAGGTCCGTGCTGTGCATTTCATACATCTCTTTCACCGCGAGTCTAGGGAAGTTGGCACATGGGAGACACCAGTAACATGCTTCCTGCACACCTACGTCGATTTACTGTTGTAATTACTGCAAGGAATAACATCTCGTAAACATATGACTATTGACATAATATTGGACATCTGGAAATGCCACAGTAGTAACCTGACCTCATCTTAATCTAGATCAGGGGTGAAGTAATCAATTTCATTGGACGTTGCCTTCATTGTCTCTCCACAAAAGCTCTGGAGGCGCTCAAGTCGGATAATATCCAATGGATATGATACTCCGTTGGAGTCCCGTTGCCACCATCGGCCGCGTACTCCGCAAAACTAATAGAATTCTAAATTCTAAATCTAGCCCTGGTCCAGACCCAGACCGAGACTGGGACTACGGCTAAGATCAGACCTTGAATTTAGCGATCTGAACCCCCATATCATTTGAACCTTGGAGGTACTGTACAGTGTACATTTGTACAAACCATTCTAATCCAACGCCACTTGATATATTCAATGTGCGATCCCGGACGCTACGACAGGCCATATTGCCACTCCAGCCCACTGCAGTTGACCTCGGATTTATCATTTAGCTGCCCTTGAACGCCCCCTAGATTTGAGGGTAGTCCCCTATTGGTCCGAATATCTTATTCAACGGTTTGTGGCTATTCAGGCCACATCTACATATAACAAACTGTACCCCATGTACCTGCCCTGTTTTCCCGCCCTCTTTTGGATCTTTTGATCTGCACGGGTTACGCGCATCTGCCCCTGCGTGTGTAGACAGTAATGAAAATAGGCCAGAGTACCAGTGTTTGCAATTCTGCGGAGTACAGGATAGTTTTAGTCTGGAGTAGATGTGATGGAGGTTGTACGATTTGCGGAGTATGGGGGTACAGGGTTGATAATATCCGACTTCCAAGGTTGACTGGCAATCGACAAGGATTAGGGACCTCGGCAAGCGATGATCACTTAATTTTGCCTAGTCTTTGTTGTCAACTGGCGGTGAAATTAACTCCGGTTGCTGGCTGCTGACTTCCCTGTAGTGTTGTTTTACTGTAGATCTTTTGACCAAGGCTCTTTACCGATGAGTTCGGCAAATTGCCTACATAGGTACTGTCTTATCTTATTACAAGTCTACTGGCTATGTTTATCCCAAAAGTGCCTTGCTACCTTTGATACAAGTCTATGCATATTCCAATGTTCTTTAGATCTAATACCTCGGTTCCTTCCACGGACTATGGAATGATCAACACAGACCCTAACTATCCCTTGTTACATTCACTGTTGATCGAATTGCGACTTCGGATGAAGGAGGCCGCTAGCAACCTTGGATAAATTAGCCAAAGGGCCATGTCGGACCAAAGCTGGGATCCCATGTCGGTTGAAACCCAATGACCAAGTACTATCACATCCATCGCAGATTCTAAAGGGGAAATTGAAGGTATCAAGCCTATACCTATCAACTCAGATACAGATATTACTGTAGAGAAAGTCGAAAGCCCGAACTGGCTGAAGACGATGTCAGCGAGTATGTCGAATTGAAATGAATCCAATCTCTCTTCATTTCCTGAAGACATGTGGTGACTCAGTCAACCCCGATAGTTGGAACTAACAACACTAAAGCGAGGGTTGTGGTCCCAGTGACCGACAACTCCAGTATTCCGGTCAACACTCTTCACATGTAGATTCTAGGCATTGCATTTACCATTCTCGGTTCTGGAATCAGCCAGTTCTTCTCGCTGCTATATCCGTTTGCTAATATCGTTGCCCTCGTTGCAGAGCTCCTAGCCTATTTAATCGATGTCTGTCTACTCAAACTCCTCCCTCTAACTACTTTTCGTATCGGCTGCCTGTTATTTGTCAATATCAAAGAGCACGCACATAATTATGATCATGGACAATGATCCTTTCGGATCCAGTTCTACAATCGCCACAAATATCATCCAGGCATCTAGTCGTGCTTACTACAACCTCAGGATGAAGCCAAGTTCTACGTCGTGGTTGTTCTCTGTCACAACTGCTATGCTTTGGAGCTGCGGGGCTCGCAGCCCCCTGGCTGATAGAGCCGGCGCGTATCGTTTGGCCTGGCGTTCTGTCGAACTGCGCCATGCTGCAGAGTCTGCACTCCCGAGCAAATACCAGTGCAGACGGATGGTGCATATTCTGTCTACGCTTCTTCCTATGCGTGACAGCCAACGGGTTCATCTGTTACTTCTCCCGACCTGATATTCACATCCCTGTCTTATTTGACATGGTAATGCTAGATCAGGCTTAAGAACGTCGTTATCAACCAGTTATTCGGAATGCAGACAGGGCTCAGATTGCGTATAGTACTAATTCCCTCTTACCACCCTCCTGAGCAGCCCTCAACGTCTTTGCAGTCTTTGTCATCTTCTTCTGGATCGCCCGTTCCGTAAATCTACCACATAAACACATGGTTCACGGCACACCTACCAGTTATGACAGCCGATGTCTACGACAACACAGACGCTCGCTAATATGATTCTAATGATATTTTTTACGGATGCTGTTGGACAGGGTGTGTATCTTGCAACAGATATGAAATTAGTAACTTTCCCGACTCCCTCTCCTTGCATATTTGTTTCACTAGACTGACTCTGTTAGCTAGACTCATATAAAAACACCACCACGCACAACATTCATTGCGGGCGTTGCTGTTATAATGCGTGCACTGACTTAGGGTAGCGTTACGCTGGGCCATATTGACGGTATCTGCGAGATGGGTCAGTCGGATGGCTTTATATATTATCTGTCCGAACGGCCGGACAGTTTACTCTTCCTCGGTAATATGGGGTCTTATTGGTCCTCAACGACTCTATCCAGCTGGGAATATCTACTCTCCACTCTTACAATCATTCTGGATCGGTCTTGCGGCTCCTTTCATAACATATTTCGTATACCGTTGGACTAAGAAGTGCTTTTGGGACTTGTTAACTGGCCCTTGATTTTCGTGGTACATACCATGTTCCACCGTTACCTAGGCACGTTCCACTTCAATCTATATTTTTTCCTCTTCTTTTCTTTTCTTTCCACGAGTCAAAACTAATTCACACCTGTAACTACCATCAACCACTCCAGCTGGGCTTTGGTCAACCTAATTTCAACCATTTCATACGCGCTCGTTGGATACCGGTTTCGCGCTAAGTGGCATTGTGATCTTCCTTTTCATCTCGTATCCTGGAGGTGTGTTCCCTGACTGGTAGGGTAACAACGTGTATCTGAATAACCCGGATGGAGAGGGCGTGGCAATGCCGGACGTTGGATATTTTGGGCCTAGCAATGAGACGTGGAGTTGATGTCGTTGTAACAAGTGCTTTTAGTTTTTAGTTGCTTGGTTCCAAATATCATGTGAAGTGTACATTAATACTACAACCAACTATAAGATAAAAATAAAACGGATATCATCACTCATGGAAAGAAGCCCTTGCTCCTAGATAATCCAGCCTGAAATGCAACCAAAACCCCCAAACCCCGGAAAAAATATCACCAAAAATTCCCCAATCAGCTGATCGTCATTTCTTCAAACTCGACATTGGGATGGATGATATAGTGAATCTTATCTTGCTCACTCGGTTCATCTTGCATGATATGCGGTGTGATCCGCAGCAAGACGCTCTCCTTAACCATGCGCTTCAACACTTTCTGCACAAGACTGCGCTCACGCTCCATATCTTCTTCGCTGTTAAGCTCGCCCTCGATCTGCTCCAGGTACCAGACGATCAAATCCTCGTGCTCAACGCCTTCGCCCTCGTTCGCTTCGTCCTCTCGGATACGACGCACGAGAAGGTTTAGGATCGTCGCGTACTTGTCATACGTGATCTTGGTCTTTTGGGGCTTAGCCTTGGGCTGTGCCTGCGTCACTTCTGCGTCGCCGTCATCGTGCATCGGACTGTCGCCCTCGCGATCCCGATCCCCATCAGCCATCTCATGGTCCTCGTCATCGTACGCATGTGCATGAGGTGCAGGGAGGTCATCGTCAATTTCAACATCGTCCTTTTCGACAGTGACGATGCTCAGGCGGAGGAGATCGTACGCTTCGATCACGAAACCTGGAACGACTTCTTCGACACAGTTGGCCTTGGCAACGGCCTCGGACAACCGGATTAAAGACTCAAGCTGACGCACCGTGATGCGGTACGATGAGCGGCCGATGCCACCCTGAGAATCGTTGGCGCGGAGCTCCTTGTATTTCTCGACGAGGAGAGCTTTGGCCTCATCTGTGAAGACGGGACGGAATGTTCGCGCGAACTGGATATAGCGCTGTAGCTGCTCAGTAGTGAGCTCGGGCTTGACGGCCTCGTCACGGTTCATGTGCACGTTGACGATGTGCTCGGCCAGGTTGCGATCTACCTGCTCTTTCGGGTCGTCGCGGACAACGAAGAACACGTCAAATCGACTCATGATGGGCGCGCTGAAGTTGAGATTTTGTCGCAGAGTGACCTTGGGGTTGTAGCGACCACCGATGGGATTGGCGGCGGCAAGGATGGATGCGCGGGCGTTGAGGGTTGTGTGGATACCGGCCTTTGCGATGGAAATGGTCTGCTGTTCCATAGCTTCGTGAATGGCGACCTGGTCACTGATGTCCATCTTGTCGAACTCGTCAATAGCACAAATTCCACCACCGTTCTGTACTCATATCAGTAAATCGATTCATGTGGTTTAGCTAGATTTAAACTCACCGCGAGCATGAGGGCACCGGCTTCAATGGTGAACTCGCCAGTCTCAGCATCCTTGACAACTGAAGCGGTCAAACCAGCAGCAGATGATGCTTTACCACTAGTATAGACTGCGCGGGGGTGCATAGAGCAAATGTACCTAGCGTTTTGTAAGTAAATGATTTGTTGCGTTGGGTCTTAGGATCGATCTTACTTCAAGAACTGACTCTTACTGGTGGATGGATCACCAACAATACAAATGTTGATGTCACCACGCAACTTCAGGGCTTCCTGCGATGTAGTCTTGCTGACACCACCGATCAATTGCAACAACAAGCCCTTCTTGATCTGACGATGACCCCAGATCATGGGGGCAATTGAGTCAACCAATCGCGAATAGATGTAATCCGAATGTACCAGTTGTTTCAAGTCCTGTACCTCGGCAGACGTCATACTTTGCAAGAAAGCCTCCTGTGCCTTGTCGTCATTCATATCAGGGTCTTGGTGTTGGTTCAGAGAAGCCAGGATATTGTTAGATTGACCACTGAGCTGCTGCTCTGGCTTTTGGCCAGGGGTGGTAGTATCCGGTGTGACCATGCAAGCGAGGAAGGCCAAGCGGTAGGTCAGATCACGAACACCAAGGGCCTTCAGGCCTGACACTCCACTGCCACCAGCTTCATTGCCACGGAATGAACCGTTATCACGAACTGCCTCGGGGCGCACACCCGGAAGTCCTAGCTGGCTCACATCGGGAACGACAATCAAGGTACCGGTGAAAATACAGCGCTCTCCGGCCTTGGCACGATCGACCATCTCACCTCGCAGAATAATATCCATCGTGCGCGGCATACTACCAGTAGGTATCTCATGGGAAGATTCTTGAAGCTTGACCTTCTGCCAGTCGACAAAGGTACTCTTTCCAATATCTAGGCGCCAGCCACTTCGGTTACCACATACATCCACTGGGCACTCGGTAGGTTCAGTGTATTTGAAAGTCTGCTCCACATTCGGGACGACGTTTCTGCAGCCCTCACAGATGAAGGTTCCCAGCGACAACTCCGGCCGGATCTCACTGGTTCTTGTGACCGTTCCCGAAACCGACAACAACTTTCCAATCTGGGATGTGCGCAACTGTCGAAGTCTGGAAACCAATGGCAAATTGTAGAATGCGAGAGCGAACAGCTTGTCTGTCTGTTGATGCCGAGTCTTCTGGCGGATCTCTCGCTCGATATCAGGGTTATCGTTCGCATTCGCGTATGCCGATGCGACGGATGCACTGGATTGCGTGGAGGCAGATGAGGCCAAGCGATGTGAAACAAAGTATTCAGGCTCGTACTTGGCAACCAGGTTGTGAAGAGCCTTGGTTAGGAAGGGGAGGAATCGGTAGTATTGACTGGCAATAGCGTCTGCCAGAATGGGGTTCTCCAGCGAAGTGAGGTGGGTGAAGTCCACATAGAGAGTGGAGAGTTCGAATTTTTTCATGCCCTTGATCTGTGCAATATAATACTTGTCACTCAGAACCTCACCAGATGATATAGGTACGGATGACGAAGCCTCCTCAATAAATGTCTCGAGTAGGTCTTGGAACGCCTGCTGGACTTTGACCCCGGCCTCATCGACCACGGGCGGGGGAGGTAGGGCATATCTATTCGGTCGGCTGACACCTGAAGAACTGGCCCCGACTACTTGATCATCGGGGAATGCATTCATATCACTCATTGGGCCATTGCTTTCAGAGCGTCGTGAGCTTGGGAGATGATCAGACCGCAGGTTATCACGGCCATCCATCCCAGAGCCCAACTCAGACTGAAGAACAGCATCAAAAAGGGAAGACATGATAGAGCAGGCGGCCAAGTAGTGGACCGCAGTAAATCAATCAAGCTCTGAGTCTTTTAACGAAAGGAGGAAGAATGGTGGGTGGGGGTAGGGTTACTGATAGAGAGAGTCTGAGATTAACAGGGGGCGCATCTTTTTTTCTCCGACACGCGTATTCTTCCACGCGTTGTCTCGCGTCAGTCTCGACACACGCGTTAAGTGCTTTCGTGACTAAGTGAATGACTAAGCACCGAAGGATCAATTGAAAAAAAACCCACGGGGCCGCTTGATCCGAAATAGGAAATAGGTCGGTTCGGGAGAAAGGAGATTCGCTGCCGAAACAAACGCCTTTCCGCTTAACGCTAACGGCCCAGTAAACAGATTGCTTACGACTCGGCGACTTTTTTCTCAAATGCCGACTCAAAAAGAGGCAACGGGATGACACAGCTCCACTTTAACTTAAGGATGGGCCACTTCGGGTAATAATACTACTCAATTAGCTGACTTCCCAGAGTTAAGAAACCGAAAACCTTAGGAAACATGGTTATCAAATCCCGACGCCTTACATCTTCTTGTCTGATCTTCGCCCTAGATTAATCTAGTCAGCCCTTTCATTACCATTTCCCCCTTTTGGATACTGGAGAACCCGTTACATCCATCTCCGTCCCTGAATGATTGACTTCGGCACAGGCGATGGTTGCTCTCCCACCCCGAATCATTGATCGGAGGAATTTTGGGATTTCTCGGAACATGCTGCTATAGTGGCCGTTATCAATACTACATTCAACACTGTTATCTCCTTACTGTGAGATGTCTGAGAGCGAGCGACGACTGAGGGATTCCACCACTGATTCAGACATGCCTGTAGAGTCGTCTGGATCGGAAGCCCCGGGTACGTTGATCGATCTTCCCACTCTCTGCTCATGGACTCATATAATGCAATTAAAGGACCTTCCAACGACAGCGTTCAGCCGATCAGTAGATCGAGAAGACGGCGACGGCCTGCCAACTCAGACAAGGAAGCCAGAAAACAATCCTTTTATTTTGTCGACTCAAACTCATCTTCCAAAGAAAAGCGCGCTCATGTCATGCGCCACCATGTTCAAGAAAAGAAAAAGCAGCAAAAAACATCGCATAAATCAATACCTGCCGACCAAATTCCAGAATCAGTGTCCCACTTAGGAAGGGACGGATATGACGAGGACGACAGGAAAGAAGCGGTACTGCTCTTGACCAGCGCACCAGAACCAGTGCCTGGAGCCTCAGCCGGCCAGGACTCTTTATCTTCGGTATGAAAGACATAAAATTTGCGATCACAATCTCCTCTGTCTCTTTCTGCTCTCGTCAAATACGATCTACATGAGGATCACCAAGATCTAACTTTCTGTCGCTAGCAACCGATCCGATTTGCAATGATAAAACCTTATTCACAACAAAATATGAAACTACCACTTGATTCGCCGATGACAGTGCTAGATCAATCTCGAAATGACCCATTCTCCAGCCTACCTATGGCCCAAGATCCAGAAAATCTGGAGTTGATGAGCTGCTGGAACAACTTAACTTACTGGTCTGGAGAGAATACGTACGTTAAAGACGCTCTTTTCAAAACGGCCATGGCACACCCAATTTCGTTCCAGGCAACCATCCTAACCTACTGTGCCCGTTGGAAGGCCCGACATGATGGTTTATCAGATAGCAAGCAAGTTCGGCGACATGTCCACCAAGCACAACGAAACATTCAAGATGCCATAGCAGGCTCTCTCCATGTGCCAGAGGATGCGCTGGCCATGGCTATGACCGGGATGGCCCTCCAAGAAGAAAGATTCGGGAGTGTAGATATAAGTCAATCCTACTTAAGTCAGGCAATGCAGATCATGCGCCCGCGACCGGGCAGCAATCCGCCGGTAGAGTCGTTCGTGCAATACGTGGGATACATGTTGCCATCGCAACCTATGGTGGCCAAAGTATCCGATCAAAAGAGACTGGTCACATTTCTGCGGAGAGCGGAAGATCTGACGCAAGAGCACAGCTCCCCAGCTTATCTGTTAAAGTCGCCCCAACGAACCCAAATCTTCCAATTGGGAAGTCCCCTTTTCCCTTTACTCTCCAGTGGGCCACGACCATCGCAGATCCCGCAGGAATCACGAGTATACGTTGTTCGTGGTTCTCAAGACCAGGAAGTCATCCGGACAGCCTCATTGATCCTGGTCACTCTGGGACTATTGGATCTTCAAGACTCGATCGAGAAGACCAATCGGTTCTTAGGCTACTTGAATGGTATTGTGGCGCAGCAACAGCTCGACCGATACCCGGCGTGCGAAACTTTAATGTGGCTGTTACTTGAACAACGCTGTGACAGCGATTTACGAAACCCAGAACGACCTTGGATCGCCGGGGAGTTCCTGCAAACATTGAAGCAGCTACAGAGTGACCTACTGTTCCAATTTAATGAGATATTGATGGATTTTCTAACCTTACGCCCTCGTATTCGAGGGCTTGGTACATTTGAGGAGAAACTTGAGCAATATCAAGCCCGGCAAAACAACAAATGAATTATTATCTATTATTTATTATCTATCATCTATCATCTAACAAGTTGACGTTGTTCCCGATTCATCGATCTCCACTTATTTCCGAGGAAACGTGGCATTGCCGAAAGCGACATCTTACGGAAACAGATGTAATAGTCATAAAAGGGCGCGAGATAGCGAGGACCATAGAAAAGTGCAGATCGAAACCTTCACCCCGGGGTTCGATCCCAAAGCTCAACTGGTCAGTGGTTCATCAGAAAATGTATGACATGTTGATTCCAGGAGAAGAGGGGCTAGTGGAGTCGGAGTACGGCGGACCGGAGACATGTTCTCCTAAGTCACTATCCACCGACAAATCTGCCCAAAAGTACTTGAGGGTACTTGAGTATACTTGAAGGTACTTTTTCCGATAAACTTCCCCATACATTGATTGGATCGATAGACATGACGCTATAAATACATCACCGAGATCGATCTTCTTAAACAGAAATTATATTATCAAATCATATTATCTTATTTCTATTGGCATGCTAGTACTGCCAGTACCTATACTACCTGGATTGTTCTACTAATACTAACTCTACTAAATAATACCAGTAGTAAACAACTGATCTGCAAACGACCGTAAAATTGGAATAGAATTAATTTTAAAATTTAATAGCGTTAGGGCTAGTTTTATCTAGCGTCTTACTACTGGCCAATGCCAAAGCGTGGCAGCTCCTGGCGATCCGATCGCATGTTTGACCCTAGTCCAATTAGTAACGTAGTGTATTTACGTACAGAGTTGAGAATAGAGAACTCCTAGACCATTCTTGTTCTACTCCGTACTGTGTAGTTCTCCTGTCACATACTTCATACTTCTTGTTGCATACTCCCTACTCCATACCTTTCAAGTGGAACTCAGATTCCTTTAAATTGCCTTGATTTAAAATAATCCTCCCTTGCCGTAAGCCACCAACCTGCAAAGCTCAATTTGAGATGTGGCTGATATTGTGGCGAGTAAGCAAGCAATTGTTAGTCAAAACAACCGAGATCTAACCGGACCGTTTCATAAATTACCAATTTATTACGGACCCCTAGTTATATATGAAAATGACAAAATGACCAAATGAGAACTTTCAACTTGTCCATCTTCATATCCAAATTTACGCTGTTCTTGAAGAGGGAATGATTCTTAAGCTTTCCAATAATAAGAGCTTATTTCGCAATGTTATCACTAACTTTAAGAAGCTTATGACCAGCCATTGAAAGCGCTCATCACTCTTTAGGGTGCTGACTTTGGATGAATTACTCTTATACTTCTCTGGTCGATGAATGATTGGGCAGCCTTTTAAAAACACCAACATATGAAGGCTAGAATAAATTGCTAGTATAAGGAGAGATAAAATATGCAATGATTCCATCTTTTTTTGCAAAAGTCAAGAGAATTTTGATTATAAGATTTGATATGAAGTTATCATATGGTAATCTCTAGGTGCCTTCAGCACGCGACTATGTGGATTTTTCGAGTTGTGAAATCTATTGGAAAGCTAATAAATCAGTTACATAGCCGTTTTTAGAGATATCAAGGCCCATATCATTGTATTTTAGGTTATAAATTCAGAGTAAAAGTAGCTGTTTAGCAGAGAGGATGGCCGTTGGCAGGACACTGAAACCATCGGTTATGATAGCCTCAATCATAGTGATAGACTCTTGATTTGTGTTCTTCCTAGAGATGGTTTTCTTATATGGCTCTTGTGTAATAACCGATTGGTATTTTCTAACCTCAATTTGGAAACCATCGTCCATATGATAGACATCTGAGTGATCCTTTATGTATAGGCGTCGGGTCCGCGTTAGCGCGGGTTCGTAATAAATTACCAATTTATGAAACGGACCGGTTCGATAGTTAGAGTATAGTACGGAGTTCTCCGACTGAATTGGCGGAAGGTATTTATTTCCCTCTACATGCTCAGTAGTATTAATTGAAAGGAAGCAAAATCCTGCTCCCCTCATCGAGTCATCGATCCATTAGTTTGATCAGCATAAACATCTTGGTTCGTTACATTGGATATCTGAACTGATTGTTTACTGGTCAATGCTAAGATAGTGGAGAGCAACAGGGGGTCAGGGAAAGCTCCATGAGCCCCTATAATTCGGATTTGGAAAATGAGTGAAAATCAGAGTGGTAAAAAATAGGGAAAAAAAAAAAAAAAAAAAAAAAAAGACGTGAATTACGTAGGAACAGATTAATCGTTAAACATTGCCCCTCCGCCCTTTTTGGACTGTGAAAGCTAAGCATTTTCTCTCCTGACCCGATTAGCTTCTTCCCTCTTCTTTTCCCCCAACAACACGACACCGGATTGTGTCGACCCTATATTCACCCCAACCTCCTGTGCGCTCTAAGCACTTGGATTACTATCAAGTTTTCCACCATGGAGCACTCTGTTGGTGTTTTGCACCAGCTGGTTGCCCGTGCCACTACATCTGTATGTTTCATTCCCTCCGATTAACATGGCCATCTGCTAATGCTCAGTAGGAGGATGTCACACAGACATCTAGCTCGGCTTCGGCCTTGGTGAGCACTCTGATTCCAGCCTTGATCATTTTCTTCGTTATGGTCGGCTTGTTCGTTATCCTGCGTCGCAGCGAACGCAGGATGTATATGCCGCGTACCTATATCGGCTATCTTAAACCATGGCAACGCACCCCCGATTCTCCCACTGGCTTGACCGACTGGATCATCTCCATGTACAAGCTTCCAGATACCTATGTCTTGCAGCATCACTCCATGGACGCCTACCTCCTGCTTCGCTTCCTGAAGCTGGCTGCGCTAATCATGCTTGTCGGTTGCTTCATCACATGGCCAGTACTCTTCCCAGTCAATGCGACTGCTCATGGCGGGGAAAGCCAACTGGATCTCCTGAGTATCGCCAATATCGATGCGAAGAAGGATGCCGGTCGCTACTTTGCGCATTGCTTCATCGCATGGATATTCGTTAGTATGTATTTCGTGAGGTCAGAAGCGAATTGCACTAGCTTTATACTAATCGGGCGATCTCTCTGCAGGCTTCATCTTCGTCATGATTACTCGTGAGCACATCTACTACATTAACCTGCGCCAGGCCTACTTCTTCTCCCCCGCCTACGCGAACCGTATCTCGTCGCGCACCGTTCTCTTCACCGCTGTTACCGATGACTACCTCAACAAGGACAAGTTGCGCGCCATGTGGGGAATTGACAAGGTCAAGAACGTCTGGCTCGCCACTGATACCAAGGAATTAGAGGAGAAAGTGAAGGATCGTGATAGCGCCGCCATTAAGCTTGAGGGAGCTACAACCAAGCTTATTATGCTCGCCAACAAGAATCGCCTCAAGGCTCTGAAGAAGCAGAAGAAGGCCGGCGGTGATGGTGATTTGACCGAAGAAGAGCCTATAGGCGAATTCGACGACGAGTCCGGCTCCGTTGCCGCTCGTTGGGTCGAGGCCAAGGATCGCCCTACTCATCGTCTCAAGTTCCTCATTGGCGAAAAGGTCGACACCATCAACTGGGCTCGCTCGGAGATTGAGCGCCTGAGTCCTGAAATTGAAGAATTGCAGGCCAAGCACCGTGCAGGTGAAACCAAGCTCGTCTCTTCTGTGTTTGTTGAGTTCTATAAGCAGGCTGATGCGCAAAGCGCTTTCCAGTCCGTGGCTCACAACCTACCCTTGCACATGTCTCCTCGTTATATCGGCCTGGACCCTACCCAAATTATCTGGAGTAACCTCCGCATCAAGTGGTGGGAGCGCATAATTCGCTACAGCAGCACCATGGCTTTCATCGTTGCAATGATCATTTTCTGGGCTATTCCCACTGCCGTTGTTGGTTCTATTTCCAACATCAACTTCTTGGTCTCAGTGGCTCCTTTCCTGGGCTTTATCAACTCTATCCCCAGCGTGATCAAGGGTGTTATCACCGGTCTTCTGCCCACCGTCTTGATGTCTGTCCTAATCTCTCTGGTTCCCGTGATTATGCGAGCGATGGCCAAGTTGGGCGGCGCCCCCTCTTTGGCATCCATTGAACTCACCACCCAGAACTGGTTCTTCGCTTTCCAGATCGTTCAGGTCTTTTTGGTGCTCACCCTGGCTTCTGCCGCTACCAGTGTCGTCGGTTCGATCATCAAGGATCCCAGCTCTGCTGCAAATCTGCTTGCCAGCAAGATTCCCCGTGCCTCCAACTTCTACATCTCTTACATCATTTTGCAAGGCTTGTCTTTCAGTTCTGGTGCCCTCGTCCAGATCGCTGGTCTGATTGTTGGCAAGATCTTGGGTAAATTCCTTGACAAGACGCCCCGCAAGATGTACAAGCGCTGGTCAAGCCTGGCTGGTCTCGGTTGGGGTACTGTGTACCCTATGTTCACCATGCTGACTGCTATCGGTACGTTTCATTCTCATGAACATATGTGGTCATGACCTTCTAACTCTTCTATTCACAGGCATTATCTACTCCTGCATTGCTCCTCTGGTCATGGGCTTCGCTACAATTGGTCTGTATCTCTTCTACTTCGCCTACCGCTACAATTTGCTGTATGTGTCCAATGCCACTATCGATACTCAGGGCAAGACATACACTCGTGCTTTGCAGCATCTCACTATTGGCTGCTACATCCTGGTTGTTTGCCTGATTGGTCTGTTTGCCATCGGCAGTGGCTCTAGCCGGATTGCTGTCGGTCCTCTCATTCTGATGATCATCTACTTGGTCTTCCTCGCCTTGTACCACATTTCTCTGAACACCGCCATGGATCCGCTCATCCAATACCTGCCCAAGAACCTCGAGGCTGAGGAGGAGGGTCTCCTTTCTGCTGAAGACAAGAAAGTCGACTCCATTGATGTGGAGCGGAATGACAGTCTCATCGGCCCCAGCACTTCCGCTGCAGGCGAGCAAAATGTTGACAGCTTTGGTAACGTTGACACGGCTGAGAAGGGTCTGACCACTTCCGACTCTGCCGCGCAACCCAAGGAGGCAAACTTTTTTATGCGATGGTTCCGTCCTGACATCTATGCCAGCTATTACCACTTCCGCAACCTGGTCCCCAGCCCGCTGGAGGTCCCTCAGTACTCGGAGGTAGTTGAGCGTGATGCTTACTGTCACCCTGCTGTTAACTCCCAGCCCCCTCTTCTCTGGATCCCCCGTGATCCTCTTGGCATCAGCAAGCAGGAGGTTGCGCACACTTCCCGTGTCATTCCCATTTCCGACGAGGATGCCTGGATTGACGAGAATGCCAAGCTCTCCTGGAATATCGACGAAGGCCAGCCCCCGATCTACGAGGAGAAGATTGCCTACTAAGCAAATTAGGCACTGGAATAAATTGACGCCTCATCATCTCTTCCGCCGGTTGAGCAGATGGAGTCGTAAACACTGCTTTATATCCCGGATTTAAACTCCGATCTATTTGATACCCAATTCCCCATTCTCGACCATGGTCGTTTGGGACTACCGATCCAGGTAAAATTTGTTTTTTTTTTTTGTGTTTGAGGTGTTGTGTCACTTCTTTTTTTCATTTAGGGGGAGAACTGGATTTCTCAGACTTCTCCATGTCTTTACTTTTCTTAATCCTGTGACCTCAATCTTTTATGCATCATGTCAATGCTTGATTTCTTGAACGCTGTCATGAGACTACACCCATCCAGGCCTCATCAAGTCATATATGCATACGACAGACGTATTATACTTTTTTCTTATCTATTTTATCCATTCATTTTTATCTCCTTGCGTTCAATTTATCTGTTGTGTCACACTCTCTACTCCACAGCTACAAACTAGACTAGGTACTACGTGGATTCAAATCATTCGAATTGGTGGTTGCAAGCTCGCTCTGGTTCTCGAGGTCAGAACCATAGTACATATTCACCTCTGGCCTTACAGTATCATTTAACTCACAAAATTAGACAGACGCTACAAGAATTCTGGAACCTTAGTACGATCTACCTAGCTGTAATCTGCTAGGTGAACGTTTGCTCCTCCAACATTGGAAGAGATTCATTTACCCTGGTCATTACAGTATCAGGACTGTACATCAGTTCCAGTCAAGCCAGGAACCACCTTCTTCTAGATGTTTTGCTCTTCTTGTTAATCTCTCGCAATTACTCCTGCATAACCTTGAAAGGGTTCGAGGTTATACCTGATAGGGTTTCTGACGCAGGTGCCGCAGGTTGAAAGCATCATATGACCTAGAGGACCTCTCCAGATCGACCACTCCATCATCTTCTCTCCACCGGGAGTCGGCACCATCTCGCATCACTGGGTTATTACCCCATTCACTCCAGTATCCCCTTGAGCAGCACCTAATGCAACACTGGAGGGTAGGGAACCTTGAAATCTGCCGTAGTATTAGCCCAGAAACCCACATTGCTATACGAAAGAGAAACCAGCGCTTAGAGTCTTCAGATTACGTAGTTGGGATTGTAATACCTAGAAGATGGTGCAATGCAGTTGAGTAGGTTGTCAAGTTTTAGAAATCGATCATTCACTTCCCTATTACACCTCACCCAGGCATACGAGTCAAGAGCATATAACTAATTAGGTACTTAGTCTCCCCATGACAACAGGGCATGGGCCCATCGGACTCTCATAACCACGGGAAGATTGAAAGCAAAAGGAAATCCAAACACTAGGGAGTCTTAAGAAAATTTGCGGAGTATGGGTTGAATTATTCTAGAACATTAGACCTTGAAAGGCACTGGGGAGTACAATTCCACTTACCCTTTAAATCCTAGGCACCTTGATTGAAGCAAATGAGTCCGAGATCTAGAAACTCACATTTTATATGAAACTTGGAAGTGGACCCCCTATCTATGCTTTTGTATCTCCTACGGATCCACGGGTGTCAACAAAAAAACATTTACCTATATAATTCGATTGATCTGACTGTGTAACACAGATCATGCAGTATACTAATTAATAACATAAATTCAAATAAAACCCCATCCCGATGTCTCCATCCACATGGATCTGCAAAATTATCACTCCCTTGATATTTAATTTGGAATATGGAGCAAATACACGCCCAGGTGGATCATACTACCTGTAACCTCCAGTATTAGATACCAATGTTGGCCGTCGTATGGTATGGAATAATGGCACATTGCATGAATTAAAAGAAGCCACCTTTATTGAGGCGGCAATTTCCAGAATCTCCACCTCGGAGAACCGGGATGCTTGCCCTAAATGACCAATATGGTTAGAGTTTCGGGAAGAACCCTGTCGTAAAGTGCACTACAGGCCCGAAGGACAGTAGTTTAGGTGTGTAATAAATATTGTATTTCTTATGTAGTATTAAATACACGTTTTGGTAGGTAATATTCCTCTTTTCCTTAGCTCTTACCATACAACTGCTCTGGTAGTTCAGTGGTAGAATTCTAGCCTTCCAAGCTAGAGGCCGGGGTTCGATTCCCCGTCAGTGCATTTTTTTTTGTTCCCGTCGCATTTTATCTAGTCGTCTCATACTCCATATAGGAGTACTCCGTAGTCTAACCATCTCAATGATTATGGTTGTTAATTTTTAGTATACTTTGTATTTTGTAGATTCAAAATCTTCTGTCACTTTACTATGAGATTGCCTCTCTTTTCCCTCTACTTTCTATGTCTGGAACCTTCCAGAATTCTCAAACAATCACATGTCTGCCGCCTCGCCTTGAGATAGACACGGCACAAGATCCCTGCCCTGCATCGTCCGTATGTCATGTCCACAGCAATGAAAGCGTAGTTTAACACTCTAAACAAGAGTACGAAGTTCAATCAAGCAACTTTGGAAGTCTGGCTCCACCTTTCGGCGACCATGTTTAATTCGGGGACCACAATTCGGCGACCATTTTTAATTCTAGTTGTTTGTATTGGTATTATGTATTTGTTTTAAATACCGTGTTATTTTCGGAATTGGCGGCAAGTGGACTTGAGATATATCAAAAGTACGAATTTAGTTACCTGACGTGCCTAAGAGGGTCTACAACTAGTCATGTCGGGCAGTAGTAGGAATGAATCAAAAATTAGTCCATCAAATTCTGTTTAGCTAGCGAGCAGTTTGTGAAATAATTTCAAATCTCATTGCTAAATGTCAATATTACGAGTGCTCTCACCCCGAAACCCTTTATCTACATTGAAATTTTCGGTTGTTATTCAAACTTTGCAAGCTACGCAGCCGAGTCTTCAGATCTTCAGAAGCGCGATCCCTACGCCTGCATACTGAGTGTTGAACAAACGGAGCCTCGACCATGATCGGCAAAGTATTACGAAACACTAAAATTCCGAAATGCTTAGACCGAAGTCCCCTGTCTTATAATCTTTCCGGGTTTTCGGTCAAGGGTTCCAATCCAATAAACACTTTGTCTAGGTGATAGCTGAGAAAGCAGAGAAGGAAGAAGATAATAAAGTAGATAGATCATTGGACAAATAGCCAAATAGATGATCCCTAAGTTTCTACCCATGTAGTTTACGTCGCATATCTTTAATATGCCTAGGTACCTAGGTATACTCTACGGGAATGACCCCCTCTTACGGACTTGAAAACTCATCCCGGAATAATGAGGCAACCCCCAGTTTCAGCAGAGATGAAAACGCAGATCACCCCTCTAGATCATGGTGACTTCGTGGAACTTTGGTTACAGAAAAGAACGTTCTTTGTATAGTTCTACAAGCCCGAAACAAACCAGACCAGATGCAGATGTTTGTCCGCAACCTTAGAAGTCTAGACAGACACCTTCAAACACAAAACGCCTAGACAAGGCCTAAAGTCGAGACGAGACAGAACGGCCGTCAAGCGTATACCCACGTTGTTCGACAAATTCAATTTTAGGCTCTGACAATTGGGTATTCATTCTATTCCCCACAATCTTCGACCTAAAGCGCAGATTTTTTGAGTATGAGTCTATGCGTGTGATCCTGGATTCCCCGGCAATATGAAATGGAGCGCGAGCAAATCAGGGGTTGTTTCTGGGTACGACAACGCATCGATGACATGCCGTAGTCTTAAGCCGCGGATACATTTTCGGATATAGCTTTCTTTACGGTAATCGACCCCCGTTCTTACATATCAAATAGAGCTTGGCGGGCACGATGAGGCCAATGAACAGGATCAGGATCGATTGGTTTCTTTTTCTAAAGTGATTATAAGGTTAGTGGGTTCGATTTTCGATTTCCAAGGTTGCCGCGCCCGTTCGACGTTGCATTTGAGCCTGTGGCATTGATAACACTTGATGTATTTTTAGGACAAGGATTGGAAAAGGACAACCTTGGAAGACTTCCAAGGTTTGTTTTTACTGTCGGATGATGAATACTGATCAAATAACGGACAAACATACAAGTGAAAAAAAGACAATTTAACCAACGCCAATGCCTAGCGCCATTCCAAATAAATCAGTCGCTAATGAATGCAAATGGTGGAGAATGTAAGATGGATATATGGCTGTAGATGATAGTAATGCTGCACATGCAATGAGATGGTTGCAAGGTCTTGCTTGAAAGCCAAGGGTTTGGCCAAGTCCAGAAAGGCCAAAATTAAGATAGAAGTGAGAGTGGTGGGTAATAAGATCATTTGCTTTGGAACTCAGAAGAGCCCCTCGCAAAAGGTCAGTAACTTGGTCCGAATCAGCCTAGATTTCCGCGGTATTTTCCATAGCTTGACTCGTTTGGTGACTGGCATGTGCATGGTACAGGCGGGAAGACTTTTTTGGAAGGATGGGCTTCAACATGATAAATCGCAGATAGATGAGTTTATACTCGAATTCTTGATGATCGAAATGCAGATAGGTCGAGAGACTCGGCTGATATAGAGGATCCATCGTCGACTTCAATGGCACCACTACCCGTGACTGATGGCTTGCTGGTAATGGCGGCTAATTTAGCGAGGGGTACTGTAGTCGGCTCCAGAGGTGGTTTCACATTCTCTTGTTCAGTTTCCTTCTCCTTTTGCTCTTTGGCTTGTTCCTCCTGCTTCTTCTTCTCTTCCAAAAGACGAGTAACCTCGTTGTGGGTCACCTCAAGCAGCATCTTGAACTTTTCTTCCACACCATCGAGCTCAGTACCACAGTCTCCAGATCGAAGGACCTGGAAAGCGGCCGTTTCACAGAGTCCATGCGCTAGCTCCAGCTGTTTGTCTGCGTAGTCAAAGGTTGAATCCTTTCGCATTCCCATAGACCCTGATATACCGACAAGACTAGCACCGTTGCGGGTGCTGCGAACTGTTGATAGGATAGACAATGGAGATTCCTCAGATTCTGTTTGTCTGTTGGTGTAGTTCGCAGTTCGACTCAGCAGACTTGAGCGCAAGTTTGCACGGGGCATCAGCGACATCCTGCCGCGGCGAATATTGTTCCGAGCAATGCCGATATCCTTCACCATTTCCTGTAGCGTCTTTTGTGTATGGCCATCGTATTCGATAATGACATTGTGGCGGGTGCTGACAAAAGCATAGGGTTCAGTGGGATCATTTGAGGACTCGTCCGGACCGCGCTTGCGTCTAGCCTGCTGATTGGAAGCCGACGCATCCCTAGAGCCTTCAGTTGCGATGGTGGTATTCTCAGTGGCAGTCTTCTCGGTACTGGGGGTGACCGTAGTAGGTTCCGGGTTGGGAGTTTTGCGCTGGGCGATCGGGACCACATCGGTGTGAATTGAGCGTACGGAGCTGTTCTTTCGACGACGAGGTTTGTTTGTAGCGTGTTGACGGTAGGCTTGAGTATATTCCTCGTGTCTTCTAGCAGTATGCGCAGCAAGCTCAGAGATACGGGTCACCCATAAGGGTAGATTTGTTTGGAGGTGAGTAAATGCCCCGAGAGCATCTACGGAAGTCGCCGCCATATCAACACAAGACGCCTTAGACCAATGATAAGAATCCCCAAGAGTTTAGGGATGTGCAAGAGAGGTGGGAATGGTGTGTTGGATATATGCGACAAGAATACCGAAGAGCATTCAATATCAAATGGGGGATTGAGATAGTTTGCTGAGTTCGTTTCGTCGTGGGGCTCGGCAAGATGGAAACGGGGGAACGGAATTTCAGATAGTGCTATCTAACCAGCATTTGTGGGGGAGTGGCAAGTCTTTTCTATAGTGAGGGGAAGCCAAGTTAAAATACCTGCGGGTTGAGTGACAAGAGACGGTAAAGATCAGAAAAGACTGAATGGGGGGTAATAAGAGAAAACATGTAGGATCGAGGAAGTAGGCCAAGGCTAGGAAAGGTACAGTATTGTCACAATACAGTAAGGACTTTTGTGGTATTGAATTGTCCTTGAAAACAAAACTACGGGAAACAATACAAAAAAGAACAAAAAAAAAACGAAAAAAAAAAAACAAGGATATTAATAAGAGATAAACATCAACTAGTAACCCAAATTTACATCTAATTATTGGTCTAATGATAACTGTTTCGCAAGGAGCGGTGAGAAATGATATCTTTTTGGGCTTCATGCAGCCGTTGACACTGACAGTCAACGGGCCGAAGCGAGGGGATCTAGACATCATGTCTTACTACATGTCTTAACCAAAGGATTTGCTATTTACCTCGAATATCCACTCCGTACTTCAAGCCTTGAAAGTAAATAGTATAACGTCATGGGAATAGCTTTACTACTAAAGCACGAATCATCCAATGCGGCAGGAGCATGACACGTAACGGCCGACTAGCCCCAACAAACTAGTTACTCCGAGCGTATTGTATAAGTTGAAGCGGGAACGGACAGTACTTTTGTCGAGTATTTAGTACTTAGACAAGGATGTAGTTCCTGGACTATAGTGATTATACTAGCTTAATATCATGATCTACCTTCAATTGGTTGTACAAAGCATGCAATGGTTTCCATGGTTTCCATGGTTTCCATTTCATGTTTCCATGTTTCCACGGCTAATACAATGCTACTGTTGAAACATGAAGCATGAAAGTTACGAGCTTGAATGTCCGAGCTTCTTTTGATTCAGACCAGCGCCACTTCCCCAAATAGGATTAGTCAGATAATCCTTAATCCACGTTTGTTGTCTTTCATTGGGTTAATTTGTCAATTCTACACTTTTCTTCCCCTCAACTACTCTGCACTTGCTGGGCTGGTATTTAGGTAGAAGTCTAGAGCTTCTCTTCGTGTTCCACTATTCCGACTAAGACACCAGTGCAATAGTGCCCCGCCGCTGCGCCATCAATAAACTGATGTGCTATGGATCTACCCTGAACCCCTCCAGGGCATCCACCTTCGACGAAGAGACATCTGCTACTAATGAAAGTGTGGATACACAGTTGTCCCATCTGTTATCTATCCGCCCTGAGGTATCCACCTCGAGCTTTGTGGAGCAGCAACAGCAAGCTGCTAACCCTCTGGACCTTCCTCCACGCCTTCGACTAATTGGATATGGAACTTGTGGGAAGGTATTTTCCCGCGATGATTCCACCATTGTCCTAAAGGCCGCGCTTGTACAGTCTGATCAGCTATGGAACGATTACATCATGGGCACTGCAGTCTGCGAGGCCTTCGACCGCCATCCAAAGATTAGCGTCCATGTCCCAAGACCACATTACTTCATCGACAGCACAAAATCTGGCGAGGAGGAAAATATCTGGTGGGCAAATAACGATAGCCACTTTCCAAAGGCTGTTGATATTCCTAGCGACGTGCTTAGTATTGAGAAAATACCCCCGCTGCCGCATGTGATTCGGAATAAACTCATCGAAAAGTACTGCCCCACCAAAGTCCTCCCAGCCGCCAGAGAGGCGCCGGGAAATAAGGATTGCCTAGTTCGCTTGTATATGGGAAAGCGTCGTGACCCCACTCGTCGCCCATCGCGCTTCTTCAGCTTACGGAATTTCAACATGTGCCTAGATCAAATGGAAGATCTCAAGCTGGAAGTTGGCATCTTCGCCGCTTGTATGGGTCATGCTCTCGCTATCATGCACTGGGATGCTAAAATTGATGCCGATGACGTCGAGTTTGTCCTGGGTTGCGCCCCAGTAAACACCTATGACAGTAGCACTATTCCCAATTACCTATCAGGTCAACGACTAGCGGAAATAACATCTTACGGGACTCGTAAGTCTACTTTCAGGGAATTTAATGGAGCTCAGGACGCAACTGCAGCTCGGAACTTGACTAAAAGCCATGTCAATATGTGGCTGCTAGATTTTAACAGATGTCATTCAATTACCATGAACCAAGAAGGTGTTCAAAAATCCGTGGATGCGTTCTTCCGCAACGACCCTTACTTTCCACGCCCCGTTATGAAACAATCTTCCGACCAAGAGGCTTGGCTAATATTTCGTGACTGTTACCTGGAAACCAGCAAAGGCTGCCTCGAAGATATGGAGACTAAGATCCAAGAACTTCCTGGGAACTTCATCAAAGGAGTAGTCGCTGAACAGCAGCGGCGATGTGAGATAAAGGTAGCCTGGCTCACCAATGCAGAAGAACACAATAGCCTCCCGCCTGTGTGATTTATTGGCATTATTGGCACCGGCTCCAGTGTGTTCCGAGATGAAGACCATCATGGGGTCATATTAAAAGCAAAATGCTTGCGGATCATCTTAGGAAGGAACAATCAAGATAATCATTGCGTGACTCATTCCAAAGTAGAATACCAATTATATTATCATTAGGCGCAGTCTGGAGACTAAGAAATTTTTCAAATAATGTATCCCGGACATCCATCTCGCTCACTTATATCTTTCAACTTCTGTACTGAGTTGTCGAATTGAAGATCAAATATCAATATTTAATGCCAAATTTCGAGACCGATTGTAAACGAGGATAAGTACCCAGGTAAGCTCCAGAAGGAATTACTTCAAGTAATAAATATTATGAAATAAAGATAGATCTTTTCTCTGTTCATGAGAGGATCATGAGGAAACAACCTTGAACCCCACCAGCAAACTCCGACATAACTTCGCAACCAAAACTAAACAACAGCCAAGACAAGCCACAGCAGAAAACAGAAACACACTGGCCCTATAGCCATTTGAGCTGATCTAACAGGGATTCAAAATGACCTCAAGTCTATAAACCCTCGCTCCATACCGCAGTCCAGTTATTGACGGCTTGCAGAGCATGTTGGCCAGCCTGATGAGCAGCCTCTATTTGAGTATAGAGATCACCTAAAGCGTCGATCTGCTTCCTGAACTCAGTAAGGCGACACTCGAGTTCACGTGCGTGAGCAACATGTATGGCCATATGGCAAGCAGCTTCCACGCTATCCTCTGGGAGTTCAGGAATGGGAGAGTTTGAATAATTGGGACTGACGGGATGCCCTTGAGGAGAATGACCAGATCCTGTGTCGAGATTGTTACTGTGACACAACTTGGCAGTATTTGGGAAACTGGAGATTGATTCAGTCTCAGTAGCAGGTGCTGCGGAGTAGAGTATCTTCGACTTTGAGACTTTTTGCGCTTATAAACACGCTTACTCCTGGGGACATTGGACATGTGTTCACTTTTATCATCAGTGCCATGGGTAGATGATGGAGATGACAAACTAGATGCAAAGAGTTCCTTCTTATGGTTAACTGGAGCATTTGAGAGGTTCAAAAATAAAAATGCAAAATTTGGGATTGAGTGGATACAAAGTAGAAAAATAACAGGTGAAAGTGGTTCCTACCGGTGACTCAACTGACTTCCTGACTTCCTTCTCCGCCTTACGTGCGCGAGTCTTAGGTGTCTTTGAGATATTCATCACAGGTCTAGAGTTGCCAATATCACGATGGGTGCATCGCTTCTTCTTCTCACGGCACTCCTGACAGGCGCGTGCCGGGCGTCCAGTCTCCGCACAACCCGTCTTGGAAACTGTTCAGCATGGGGATTAGTATCTAACCTCAAATATTGGAAATGAAGGAAATTTACCCTTCATCTTCTGTTCTGTTCTTGGTGGAGCATAATACCCCCGTTGGAATTCTTGGGAAAGGTTCCAGCCTTGGAAATGTCGAGATATTAAATAAGAGGAATCTGGACAAGAAGAGAACAGTCAGATATATAGGCACATTGGAAGCGAGGAACCATGAAGTAAAAGTGGGAGATGATGCATAATGAAGCTTAGGTATATCCGGTTTATGGCAATCAGAGATAGTGCTTCCTAGGCAGAAATAATGACTCTAACATTGGAAATTTATGTAATGGTCCGAAAGATTTGACAGTTTTACTACAAATGGTATAACAAATACTAAGGAACGAACTGCATGCGGAACTACCTTCAGTAAGCTAAGAGCTGCAGCATATATCTGTAAAGGGAGCGTTTGCATTTATATTGTATCAAGTTTTAGTATCTGGTATCACGGATTAAGTTCAGTTTCTTCCCAATGATTTTGTGGCTGACCATCCTCGTCAACACTCTTTACAAGATTCCATCTGATCCTTCGGAAATTATCATAGTCTGATATGTCAAGGCGCTCAACCTCTTCAGGTATAATAAGTACGACCCGAAAGTTTGATCGTGCACCAACGTCGTGGAGGTCAGTTATCCTATGACCCTTTTCCACAAATTTATCACTAGGGGAATCTGATCTGGGCAATCCAGGATGTGGGCGTATAAAGGAACCTTTGACATAGTCAGTAAAAGCAATAGATTTGATGCAAGTGGGAGTAAATTCTTTGTGTCAGTACAAGAATTGTGGGAGATTTGTAAGGGGGAGATGGTATGGCATGAAACGCATAGAAAAAAAAACATACCTCGCATTAAAGGTGAGTGCTTTGCAAAATATTTCGTCACAGCCCTGTCCCATGTCCATTTATTCAATAAATCCAAATCCTCAATGTCAGGCTTCACTCTCAGTTGAGGGCCAATTATATCTCTAGCTGACTTTTCCTTCTCATTTTCTTCTCCAACTGGATCACCGATAGCATATGCCAGGCCTTGGACTCGCCACTGTGTCATCATGTCTTTGAGCCAGAATAGAGCCTCAACTGAATGCCCTGATGTCTCGATCTGGGCCAACTTCTCCATCCGGATATCTGTTGAGAACGATAAAAGATCACTTTCATAAACAGGCGGATTATCTCCATCCTCCTGTTCCTCAAAATCCTTTCGTCCATTTGGGTGGATATCAAGCTCTGGGAAGAAACCCCGGCAACTGCAAATGCGTGCACGAGGAATGGGTTGACCCGCGGAGTTACGGTCGATGGTTGCAAGAGTGAATTCATAGATACTCGACTGGTCGATATTGAGGTCAAGCTCGTCGCGCCATGGGGGGCGGATACCTCCTGGCTTCTGTGGGAGTACCATTTTCGAGCCGGATGAGAATGAGGTGAAGGGCGCTGTAAAGAGTCTTTGGAGCTGAGAAGAAGAGCTGGCCACACGTACAGGGCAGGAAACAGCTAGGAGAGGAGTAAAGAGTGTAGTTAAGATAAAGCGAGGCTGCATGTGTTCTCCGGATCGCGGTCCTTGGCGAACTTGGCGGGGTATAGGCCTATCGGAGGTGCGCTGTAAAGCGGAAAGATCTTCAGATAGTAGAGTAATCAAGTCACTTTATTTCCATCCGCCAGTATATAGACAGGATCAGCTATATTTATACTTATAGCTATCAACATGGCGTGGAAAGATGACCAAGCTAAAAGTGGTGTGAGAAGCTTAAGGCTTAGTCTATGGTGTGACGAATAGGTAGAGGGCCCGTGCTTCTGTTCCGCTCCCGCGGAGTTGTGCCACGCTATATTCTTGTCAGCAAAAGTTATGAGTTGCAAAAGACTATTCTATATCAACAGACCTCATGACAGACTCAGTCGAAAAGTCATTGTGTGATTGTGACCGGTGACTGTCGGGATATCCGCCTTTCCTCGAGCATTCCTATAGATAGAACTGCCAGAGCATGAGACTTGCAATGAGGCCATGCGTAAGACAGATCATGCTCACCGGGCGATCCAGATCCCGGGAACTACCCACACAGAGAGCTATTCTCTTTAAGCCCCATAATTTGCATTTGTTTGGTAGTCAACATCACCTGTGACCCCATACACTCACTTGGATTATGAGGCTTGCTTAAGTTGCCTGGAATCCAAATCCCATTCGCCGGGAACGCATCCAGACCCGGGTTGAACCGTGCTTTGGTCTCCATTGGAAATTTGACAGCAATAGAGAGAAAATGGGTTCTCCGCCCCGGGATTCTCTCGTTCCTTTAGTCGATTCTTCCCTCTTACGTTGAGGGATCGAGTTGAGGTGACATGCAAGTTGCACTGTTTGGCTTAGTTGATTGATAATGAGTCATCGCTATTTACTGTTGTGCTGTGAGATGAATTTATTAAATGGATTAGTATATATCAGTTGGAAAGATGAGTATGTCAGATGTTGTCCTATCGAGAACGAATAATGCAGATTTCTCGGTGAACAGCAATGCCCGATAGATAAATATGCGTTGAATGAATCCCCGCCGACACTATCCACGATATGCGAGTAATTGACGAAAAACTGGCAACTGACGTTGTGGAGGGATTATGTGATCGACTTAAAGCCCAGACAGCCGAGGACCGAATACTGGTGAAACATTTAGGTCGATATCTTGAATTCAAAAAAAGACGTAGGAAAACCGTCAGCACATTCCGGGCATAGCGACTTTGGAATTCTGAGCCGATAAGCAAAGGTTCTATACTAAACTCATCAAGTTTAGTACAAACCTACACCTTAACTCATCGGAACTCGCCCAGACAGCTACCGTTGAGTGCTACGCTTTCAGGTTTGTGGGCGTATTTAATGACATCTACAGCTGGGATCGAAAATGGAAAGTTTACCAGGAAACCCCGACTGATGGTGCGCATCCATTTTCGGCTATCTATACCCTGGCTCAAGATATGGGGCTCCCTTACCTGACCTGCAAGCGCCTGCTGTATCCATACTGTCGAGAACTTGAGGTGATGCTTCAAAGATCTGGCGAGGAGATGGGAGATGCTAGTGACAGTACCTTACGTTCAGATACAGAAATCTACATCAAAGTACCTTGTGAGTGGAATTGAAATATGGAGAAAATGAACACCGCGTTATCGTTAATTTTTTTGAACCAAAAGGGTTACAATTTCATGTCCGCATGATTAAAAACATAATTTTTCACTCAATCGTGGAACCGCTCCGCTTGATTAGGTTGCTCAGATTCTTGTTGTTGTTGTTGTTGTTGCTGCTGCTGCTGCTGCTGCTCCTGCTGCCGTTGCGCATTGATGCCCGTCGCTCCGTAGAAGGAGATGAAGCCCATTCCCAAGAATGCAGATACGCAAGAGAATACTAGGGCCACAATACCCCTTGCAGTGAAGCCGGCCGGAAGCCAGGGTAGTTGCTTGTTTTGACCCGTGAGGTCGAGGTAGTCCGCGGTGTTTCCGGCTGCATTGCCCTCAGTCTGGACGCCAGCTGCTTTGCATACATCATAGTGATCCTGAGGAATGGTGAGACGCTTCTGGATTTCCAGAGGCGCTTCAATAATTGTCAATCCGAGACCTTGCTGCAGATGCCAATCAATGTGGCAGTGGAAGAACCACACACCAGGGTTGTCGGCGACAAAGCGAATCACGAAGTAACCCATAGGTGGGATCACTACAGTATCACGCCGGGGTGGGTAAGCTGGGAACGCGGTGTGATTGTTTGCATCATACGTGACTCCATCGTCGTCATCGGCGTAGTCGTAGAAGTGCTCTCCGTATGCAGGGAATCGGTCAATGACTTGGAAGACATGGCCGTGCATATGGAATGGGTGGGAACCACCATCGTTGTTATTGACGATGATTTCCACGACCTGATTGTGACCGAGAACGTAAGGATGCGTATATTCACCGTAGACTGTTGCATTATCGGCAAGGTCACCAGATGACATGACTGTGTAGAGAGTGGGAACCTTGGGCTTGGTGTAGGAGATGTCGTTGAAAAATGCGTAGCCTGCACCGTCGTTCAGGACCTGCATACTGACAGTCACCTCAATGGTCAGATCTGGCTCAGGCAACAGAGCCATGTGGTCATAGGGCACCAGTGTCGCATCGTCGTAAGGATCAAGATCAGAGGCAACGTCGACGGTAATGCTGGCCGAAGGAAAATCAGCCTTGGAGTTGTATTCCAGCCAATTAGTCAGATTTAATTGGAGATTATCTGGTATTGTATCCATAAGGACCGAGTCGGCTATAGTCACAATTGGGTAGTTTTTGGAAGTGGAGTTCTTCATCGTCACGAGGACTGAATATCGCTGCGCGATAGCGATGTAAAGAATACTGGCCTCGGTAGGCTCCGTGTACACACCATCAATCTCAACGATCGTGAAGTTGTGATCTTCGATATAGAAGTATTGAGCCACAAATGCACCGACATTGATCAAGCGCAGTAGATACGTCTTACCAGCCTCGACAGAGACCTTAGTGTTAAGAGTATCGTTGAACAAGAAGGACTGAGGCACAGGCTCTGCACCTGTGGGATTGTCAAGATTGATGAATGTTGGGGCGATATCCTCGGCCAACTCATGGTACCAGTCGGTCATGGTGAAGGTGTACTGTTCATCATACATATCATCGAAGTAAGCGTCTTTGTCGTGCACGATCAAAGCTTGACGGTAGCCATCTGGGTAGCAATTGTCGGTGTGGCAATGGTACCAATAAGTGCCATTTTGGTTGACAGTGAAGTTATAAGTCATGGAAGCTCCTGGCACGACTGGACACTGAACCACCATGGATGGTCCATCCATGTTGTTTGTGCTATTTTGGTACATACCATGCCAGTGGATGGATGTGGACTTGTCTCCGAGACCATTGTACATGTTTACAATCAATCGGTCACCTTTGTCCACCTCGACCACGGGCAAGGGCCACTGGCCGTTGATACCAACGATTTTTCGATCAGCCAAGCCATCAGGGTTGGCAGTCACCCAAGTAACATTCCAATCATATGTGACTGTCTTGGCTTGAACGATCTGAAAAGAAAGTAGCAGCGCTACTAAACAAGATAGTAGGCCTCCCACTGAGTTCGCCATGTCCGGGAGTGAGAATGGTCACGGATCAATATCAAGAAGGGATGGGAGAAGGAGAAGAGTGAGAACCTCACAGCATAATAAAAGCCAATGACTAACGGAATCGGGGGGCGTAGCACCCAATGATAAGATTATCAATCTTTCGTGAATAGGACGATAGACTTCGGTAGATCCAACGGAATAGGGTGGAGCCATTGTCTTGAAAAAAAGGAAAGAAAGAAAAAAAAAAAAAAAAAAAAAAACTCAAGATACAGAGTGCTCAGGCCCTTGTCCGAGGACGGACTTGCATACCGGTAAACGAGGACCCGGGGTGGTCAGGCGGAAATAGACCCCAATGAGTATTCGGAAAGTCTTGCCCCTTATCTAATTTTTTTTTCTTTCTAATGTTTGATACTTAGGGAAGGCCCGTATATCTTACTCTATACTGGAGGAGATTGTGATTCATAATTGGCTGAGAGTAATATAATCTACGAAGGTAGAGTGAAAATCAGTTAGGTGAGCCCTGGATCGTATCTTCAACTTTTATTTATTTTATTTTTTTTCCCCTCATTGGCCGTAATCCGATCCCAATCCGATCTGATACTTATTGTGGGACTAGTTGGAACCATGGAATTCTATATGGAGACAACCATACTCCGTATTTACCTAGTACTCAATCTCGTATTTGATAAGCTTTCTCAAGCCTTAGCCAAGCCTTGCTGAAGTCTGGCCATTCAACCATTCCTCTAAACAGCAGAAATTCAGAGATTATCCGGTCCACCGGCTTGATCAGATACCAATAATGTGGATCCCTTGTTAGACGCTAGTAATTTTCAAAACCAACAATTGACCCTTATCAATCAGTTCCATCCCACGTTTTTCTTTCGTCTTTTTTGATCCCTCAACCTTCAACATCTTTTGTCCCTTTTGTTCATAGTCAAAATGGGTAATAATAAGGTATTTGCCGTTACTGGTAAGTGTAATTGAGCCTCACCAGCTTTTCTATTTTTGACCTTTTGCAATAGTTTTCTTCATCTGTTTCAGAGAATGTCTGGAGACTACGGTGGTTGTATCCGTTCTGCTGGCTTTCTTGAGACAGACTCTGGGAGAAAGAGAAGAAACCAAAGATGTCTATAAAAAGCTGGTCAAGCAAGTATGGTGGGGATGTGGGTTGGGATTGGCTATCTGTTTGGCTGTGGGAGCTGGCATGATCGGTGCCTTCTATGGCCTGGGCACAGATACCTTCTCTAGCACAGAAGACATCTGGGAGGGTGTTTTAGGAATTATTGCCTCCTTGATCATTACAGTGATGGGTGCTGCCCTTCTTCGTGTCTCAAAGCTACAGGAAAAGTGGCGGCTAAAGCTGGCCAAGGCACTTGCGACAGAGCACGACCCCGATGAGAGTCGCAAGGCTAAATTGAAGCGATGGATGGAGAAGTATGTCATGTTCTTCCTTCCGTTCATCACTGTTCTTCGCGAGGGCTTGGAAGCTGTTGTCTATGTTGGAGGTGTTGGCTTAGGTCTTCCTGCCTCGTCCTTCCCCCTCGCTGTAGTCTGTGGTCTGTTTGCTGGATTCGTCGTTGGATTTATTATCTATAAGTAAGTTCACCATGATCGTATACCTAAGTATCATGGTCGATGCTAATCTTTTGCTCAGAGGTGGACGAGAGTCATCTATGCAGATCTTCTTGATCATCTCAACTTGCTTCCTTTACCTTGTTGCCGGTGGTTTGTTCTCTCGTGGTATCTGGTACTTTGAAAACAATGCCTGGAACAAGATAATAGGAGGTGATGCATCTGAGACTGGCTCTGGTCCAGGATCTTACGACATCTCAAAGAGCGTCTGGCACGTCAACTGCTGCAACCCTGAAATCGGTGGTGGTGGTGGTTGGGGTATCTTCAACGCCTTGTTCGGTTGGACCAACTCGGCCGACTACGGTTCAGTGATTGGATACAATATGTACTGGATCAGTGTCATGGTCGGCTACTCCCTGATGATTTTCCGTGAGCGACGAGGCGAGATTCCATACATCGACCCTGCCATGCATCAAGTGAAGTGTGTCAAGGCCCGAACCAGAGCCTTTATCTTCCGTCAGACCTACGAAGAGCCTGAGCGTACTTACGGCAAATACCGATTTGCCCAACCGGAAGTACCAGTCATGAAAAACATGTCAGAGTCGGAGAAGACCGGCTATCTGGCCTCTACTCTTGTTCAGCGATCTGAATCTTAGATATGATTTGATGATTGAAAAGTTGATGTTGGTGCAAAAGCAGAACTATGATACCTATGTGAAAATTTTGATTTCAATAGCATGACCATGAATGAAGTATTTTGAATCTCACTGTATCTGCAAATCTGAGTACTCCGTACAAAACCAGTAATTTAAAAAAGCAAGTGGAATGGATCTTACTTGCCAAGGTGCCAAGATGAACTAGCTGAATCATGCCGCACCGGAATTTTCAACCTTGGAAAAGCTTGTACTATGGAATACCCTGGGCATCTTACGTCCTTACACACCTGGGCCGTGTTGCCCAAGTGGAAACTTGTCCGTGTCCCGAGTAATTCCATTCAAACGTTCCATTCAACCTTGAAAACCAATGAACCTCCAGGGCTCATCGGCATCAGCCGCCATACTAGGGTATATACTTATCCACCAGAACACCCCGTGCTCCACCCTTGGAACGATGTCAACTTGATTACCCCGCAGCATATGATTATAACCTTAGAAGGTTCTTTTGATCAGATAAAGCCGAGAATGGGCCGACTTCGGCACATCGGGACGCTAGGTTGTTGACCTATTCCAAACTCAGTGAAGTTTACCTATGTAGTCACGAGGTCTCTAGCTCCGAGTACATACGGTGTGAGCAATGGCTCCATTCAATTAACAGTAAACCTTGGAAGTAAGTTAGACTAATACTAATACTAATACTAATAATTTAGTGTTGTGAACTGAGGCCGGGCCTTTTAGAATTGATTTTTATCAATCAGATAATCGGGTGGCGCCACACTTAACGGGCCATATCAATCGGGAGAAATTTTCTACTTTGTATTGATCAGGAGAAAATCTCTAAAATTGATGAATAGGCGAAAAAGGAGATGAAACCTAGATATCCACTTGGTCTGTGCTACTTACTCTGTACAGTTTCCAAAGTTGAGATAGCTGTGTATTTTTCACTTGAATCTCCCAATCTCACTACAATGGGGTTATCTGGTCAGTAAATGTTTCACTTGGGCACTGCTTGGAAAGATCTGACTGAAACCTTGAGGATCCAAGATTGATAGTTTTTGACTCAAATTCATTATTATCCTCATCGGCGTCTCAGAAACCAAGGTTGAAGGTCAAATTTGTTTTTATAATAATTAATCTCTGTGTTTTCCCCTTTATTTCTCCCCAGTCCCCGTTACCTACCTAGCGAGGTAAGCAGTGGATTTTCCCAACTGAGACCTCGATGTTGAGTTTTGTGGAACAGTTTTGATATCTACCTAAATTTCTATGAGCACGTGAGAAACATTAGGACTATTTTTTAGTAAAAAAACTTTTCCTCAATAACACCATTAACTGGATCCTTGTAAAGATGGTACTTTACACCTATAATTCCATTGTCCTCAAATTCAAGAGCCAAGCATCTGATGCGAGCCTGCAGCTTGATGTCGGCAGGCTGATAATCAGTACCAGCTATGATATTGGCTGCGTTCTCTTCAATCGATATATAGCGCCTTACAACCTGCGTTGCCATAGTAGAGTCCCATAGTCCTTCTCGGCGCTGGCAAACCGAAAGCATAGCCAGGGCATGATGCCGAATAGACGCGACTCGGCACTGAGTGGAGACCACATAAAGAGGCGTCACAATGCCAAGAGACAGCGAGAACGTAGGAGAGACTGATTTTGAATGCTTGGGACGAAGAGGAGGGTTGGTTGACTTGTTACTCGCTACAGATGGCAATACATACTGCGATCGTACACCCAGAGAGAAAGACTGCGTGAAAGTAGATGGTATATTGAGAATCTCTGTCGCAAGTGACGTTATAGTAGCGTATTTGTCCACATGTTTGTCCCAGCTCAACTGTGGATCAGGCAAACTCAACTGCAGTAATAGATTGAAGAGGATATTCCAGATCTTGAGTATCTTGATATCGCGATTTTCATTCTCCGGCGGTGTCTTCTCTAACCATTCTTCAAAGATGGCCATCCAGATCGTCAAGTCTTGACGAATTTCAGCATATTCGGCTTTGATAGACTGAGCTTTTGCGAGGAACTCAAAGGCTTGGCCCTGCAAGGGCTCCAGTAAGAAATCGCACACAGCCCCGAAACGTGTGAAGCGATAATAGAGCCATTGAAACGCGATTAGTATCTCTTGGGCCGTTAGCGGTCGCGAGATATCGCTGATAGAGAGTGGCATAGATCTTCTCGATCGAGGAAGTGCATATGTAAGCGCTTCTGCCGGTCCACCATATATCTCTAATATTTGATTCTCGAGGATGGCAAAGACCTGTGTGATTGCTTCTGGGGGTATGTACAAGGGAGTGGTAGAGCGAGCAAATCTTGTTTGTTGCTGGATAATTTTGAGCCCCGAGGTTGCGTGCTGGAAAGCAGATTTGTAATTACCCTGTAGACATTCAAAGCAGAAGAAAAGAATACAGGCGATTAGGTAGGTGTCGCTAGTTTTAGGGGAGTGAGGCTGCACGGCCACTAGTTGTCGGATCGCTTTATTGTAATGAAATAGAGTAAATAGAGAATCTTCATCGATCTTCGATTTACCAGCTGAACCGAAGACAAAAGAGCGATGCAAAGAGCCGATGGCAACTGCGATAGTTCTGATGATTGGTTCGTGATAGGTCGCCTGCAGCAGGAACATGCCAATATCCGAACCAAAACAGTGGGAGGTCTGAGCTTGGAAGAACTCCAAAGATTGATATTCAGCGTCAGAAATCAGCTCTGTTGACTGTGGGATTTTCCACATTGAATACATAGGCTGTGAGAGATTGGGGATGTGCTGTATGATGTGAAAGTTCCCTGTAGGCGACTTTGGCCCAGACTGAGGTTTTGGGTAGTCACATTCTCTTCCAGTAGATTTGCATCTATGGCAGAAGGGCTTCTCCTCGTCACATTTCACCCGACGTATTCTAGGGAAACTTTTATCAGTATCAAATGAATGATAGATAGAGATCACTCAGCAGAGTAGTTCCAAGGTTATGACGTCCAAGTTGCTTATGATGGCTTCTGACTTACTTACAAGTAGAGCAGCCCGTGCGGGATCTGCCCTTTGAAACCCTTTGAGAAGTTCCCGCCATGCTAGTAGTAGGCTGAAGAGGAAGCTATTAGCCCTTAGCATGGATTTATTCTAATTTAATAGGATGACTCAAAAGCTTTTGAGAGTGCGCTAATCAAGGTTTAAGACTCAAATTTCGCCCCCAATAGTTGAGACAGTGTAGCTGATCACATTAAACCTATTCTGACTAGCGTTACCAAGTGGTGGGGGTTGATTGGTTTCGTGTCAAACTTAGGTTGGAGGAAGTTGGAAGCCTGAAGAGCTATCGCTGAAACTCAGAAGTACGAAGGCCTCCCAACCAAGATTGAAGACGATGTGCTTTTAAAACATATAACATATTCAAGCCATAAAACGCTACCTGGGCACATACATTGGAAGTGGTCAAAAGCTGACAATAATGTGGGCAGGCTGACCGAACAAATCAAGAGTCAAAAAGGTCTGGAACAAGTTCAAAGTCTAAGGGCCAGTGGTACTAGACTGTCAATTTAAGATTAAAAACAAAACGTGATGTTTTGGTAGATTAGGTAATGAGCTTAATTAGAGACCAGAAGCAAAGGCGGTGCGATTAATGCCACTCGGTCGAACTTTCGACGCCCTTCAGACAGCAAGACGATATGGCTGAAAGATCTGGTCAGCTCCTGGCTCCAGCGACTCCGACATACGTTCTTCGTGGTCATTCTACCCCAATACACGCACTCCACATTTTCTCGCAGAATTTGAGACTCATATCTGGAGATGCTGATGGCTGGATTGTCATCTGGGATCTGGTCACTAAACGACCAGTGACGGTATGGAAGGCCCATAGAGGTGCAGTACTCGAAGTGAAGGGATTTAGCCAGGTCTCTGGCGGAACAGAAATCTATACGTAAGATATTGCAAGAAATCAGATCTGGCATGGTTATGTGCTGAATATCCTTGATAGACATGGTCGCGATCACAAACTCTGTGTATGGAGGATCCGGCTTGAAGATGAACCGTTTCTCGATAAAACTCTCCCGGTGGAGGCATTTGAGTTGGATAAAGAGCGCCTAGAGAAAAGAGCCCAACCGTGGCTTCTTCATTCTCTACCTGTCAATGCGTTGAATTTCTGCGCCTTTTCTATAGCATTTATCGATACGAGTGGGGCTACATCTTTGGGAAATACTCAAAAGCAAGAAACTTCCACACGCGCCCAGATCCTTTTTGCAGTGCCAAATGCCATGGATTCGGGAGGAATTGATATTTTTCATCTGCCGTCCGAGCGACGAGTTACCACCATCAAATCAGACCCCGCAGTTCAGACGGGTATGCTGATGGCCGTCAGCATCTTTGTGGGACCATTGAGTGATCTCTATGTGGCCTCAGCTTATGAAGATGGTCAAGTCATGGTCTTCACTTACAAAGAACCTCTCACATCGGCCAGTTTTGAGGCCTCTAACATATCTTCCAATCCGTGGAAGTGGGAGAGAATCTATGTCTGCCGCCCTCACTCACAGCCAGTCCTTTCTATCGATGTCGCCCCTACGTGCGACTACTTCATATCTTCGTCTGCCGATGCCTTGATTATAAAGCATCCCATTCCCGGACCTGTCACCGTTGACGATGTCCCTATTGTGAACTATATGGAAGAAAGTCCTTTAAAGACGATTGATACAAAACACTCTGGCCAGCAGGGGATACGAATTCGCAATGATGGGAAGATTTTTGCTACTGCTGGATGGGATAGTCGGGTTAGGGTGTATTCAGCCAAGACGATGAAGGAGTTAGCTGTGCTAAAGTGGCACAAGGACGGTTGTTACTGCATTGTGTTTGGTGAAATCAACCCTACCTCTCAATCAACACCCTCCATCCCATCCAATGACACGGGAACGGAATGGACAATACAGCAACCAGATCAGCAGATCGTACAAGCGCGCAGCTTTTCCTTGACAGCTATTCAAAACCAACGAAGTCAAAAAGTGCAGCATACACACTGGCTAGCAGCCGGTTCAAAGGATGGAAAAATTTCATTATGGGATATCTATTGAAATCAATGCTCATGCTTTTATCTAATGACGGAAAGAAAATAGAGCCAACCATAGAGCAAGATCAAGCCAGGTTGAATTCGCCCGCTGCAGACATATGCTCCTTCATCTTGGCTCTCATCTTCCGCGAGGCCTCGGACACATTGGCTGTAGTTGGGGCGTCTTCATCGGCCTTTCTCTTCTGGCCAGCAGCTCCTCTGCGTTCCTTGAATTCCTTCTTTGAGTCCTCCTTTCCAGGGCGCAGACCAGGGACATTGATCTTACCCGGGCGATCCCGAAGGGCAAAGGCCTTGGCAAGATGTCCGAGATGAAGCTCCTTGATGTCGAACATACTCCGCTCGCTAGCAATGTGGGTTGCGTATGCACGGACATGCGACTGGTACGCCTTACGCGCCATTTCCAAGTACTCTGGGTACTCCAGAGCCCATCGCTCGACATCCATCTGCCAGTCGGTGGTTTTCTCCTCCCAGTTCTTGCTTTTTGAGTCCACAGTGACACCAAAGCCACGCTTTAGAATTTCGGTGGCGTCGGTACGAGTGAGTGCTTTACCACCGTCGCGATAACCTCTCTTGAGAATCTCGACATAGTTCTCTTCACAGCCCGGCTGGAGGAATATCAATGCGCGACCGTCGCGGCCGACACGGGCGGTACGACCGATACGATGTGTGTGATCCTCTGCGCTGAAAGCAGGGTCGTATTCGATGACCAGATCGACGTTCGGCAGATCCAAACCACGAGCAGCAACATCGGTACAGATCATAACAGCAGCTTCCTTGCTAGAAGAGAAGGAGTTGAGGGTGGCGGTTCGGACGTGTTGGGGGAGAGAACCGTGTAGTCGATGGAGGACGACCGGGTTTCTATGAGTAGAGAATGCCAAGCCAGGTCCAATAGTGCCGTGTGAGTTAAGAGTTTCTGGCTGTTTTGGCTTTTCCTTGACATCGCTTTCGCTTTCACTGTCGCTACTGTCGTCCTTCTGTCGTTCACCGTGTTTTCGTGTCAGAACTTCGAAGTGGAAATCCACAGAGTCGGCACAAGAAATGAAAACGATAGCCTTCATCACAGAGCCCTTGCGAATGAATGTTCGCTTCAGTAATGCGGTCAGCGAAACTAGACGCAACTTTGCGGGAACCACTGCGTAGGATTGCTTCAACTGGGCAGGAACGCGGAAGGTATCCTCCTCGTCCTTCAATTTTTGGGTTTCCTCATTCTCATCGGCAGGGTCTGCCTTGATATGGATAGCATCCTTCAAACTGATTTCTCCCAATCGTTGCACGTTCATCTTCAGCGTAGCAGAACATAGAATAGTCGTCCTCCGTGTTGGTACGCCAGGAATTCGGCTCGGTCGTTGTCTGGCGTCAAGTTTCTTAACAATACCCTGTAATTCCTCCTCAAAGCCCATATCCATCAAGCGATCGCCTTCGTCCAGGACCAACCATCGCACATTGCTCACATCCAATACTTGTGTATTGTCTAGATGATCAGCCAAGCGACCAGGTGTAGCAACCAAAATATTCAAGCCCTTTCTCAAGCGTGCCTTTTCTGACTTTTTCTTCTCTCCACCAATCACGGTACCACCAACAAGCCAGTTTGCACATCGGAGGAGGTTTTCCAGTACAACGGAGATCTGCTTGCACAGCTCACGGGTCGGAGCAAGCACAATCGCGAAAAGCCCACTGTCACGGTGAAGGCCAGCTTCCTTGCCTGCTCTCGAGAGATCCATGATCCGTTGCACCAGAGGAAGAAGATATGCTAGAGTCTTTCCTGACCCAGTCTCTGCCTGAATGAATGCGTCGGTCTCCTCCTTGAGTAGTTGTTCGATTGAGCTTTTCTGAATAGCTGTCGGCGCCTTGAGTTCAAGCTTTGTGAGTAGATGCGCCGCCAAGCTTGGCGACAAACCAAGGTTTGTAAATGTATCAAGTCCATCTATCAGCGGCGCATTGGTGGGTTTGGCATCCTCGAAAACTTCGTCAGACTTGGGTTCTGGAACATTTTTTGATTCTGGATTGCTGGTGAATAGCGACGAAACGAATTCTTTGGGGTGCTGGTGCTGTGCCTTTTGTCCAGATCGCGACCGATGACCGGGTGCTCTGTCTGGTCCCTCAAACGAGTCGTCTGTTCTTTGGCGTTTTGTAGGCCTTACTGCAGGTATTTGAATCTTGTTCGGGTTCTTCGAATCAGCGTTTCTTTTTTCGGCATCTCCGTTTCCAGTAGAGATGTGTTGAGAGCGCTTCTTCGCAGTGAGACGATCTCGCCATGTTCCTCCCTTAAACTTGGCGTCGGGCTTGATGACATTGTCTGCAATAGCAAAGTTCAGGAGCATTCCATCGTCAGCCATGATTGCAAATTTAATTTCCCGGTGATCGGGTTGCGTCTTGAGAAAAACTTTTGCCAAAGCGTTTGCTATCGATACTTTTTTTTCTTGCGGAATATCTTCGGCCCGAGCCCTACGACCCAGCCCTACTTACCGCTTTCGAGTATCAGAGGCAGATAAGTTCTGCTTTTCTTCTCTCCTCTTCTCATAACTTATGCAAAAGAGACAAACTTATAGTATCGAGAATGCAACTGATATTACATTCGCCAACAATTTAAACAAGCAGACAATGGGCTCTTTGTCAAATTATACCAACGACGCAGCATTTCACTAGACAACATCAATCAACTAATCTCATAGTAAGGGTTTTATCTAAGATCATCTTTATGGGATTTGAAGTACCATAGCTGATAGAACCTAGCTAAAAATTCCATAACTGCGGACAACGGAGTAGGTACTGTGGGCCTAGAAGGTAATCCACAGCGCTATCGCTTGACAACATCCCCGAAGGGAAAAGCGAAAGAGAGAATGCAACAAAAATAGAGCAGGCACGACTTATCGAAGCATTTTTCATTGATTAAGTGCGGAGCCTAATTATCCGAATCAGACATTCAGTGTTTACTGCATTCATCAGTTAGCCCTCGAAAAATTATCTGTTATAAACAAGCTTCAACTTGATGCGTTCATCGGACATCACTGTCTGTTTTCAAGGGCAGGTTGGATATTGAAAAAACCAACCCGCTCCTTACAATGCGACAGGTTTCAAAATGGGTGTGGCAATAAATCTGTGATGAGCGTTTCCTAGGTATCTTCTCCCTCTTCATGATAGTCTTCGCACCGCATTCTGGAACATCGTCAGATTCTAGTACTCGGAATATAGCTTATTTGTGGTTGAGGTGTAAATCATTTTTTTTTTCAAAAACTTTGCTGCTCTTGCGAACGAAGAACACGCTAGTCCTTAAAAGTGAAAGAGAAATTCTGAACAAGTGGTTCAATAAAGCCCTACCCTCTTGGTCTTCCTTTCCATTTTGATATCTACAATACCTCTGCTGAGAGCATATGCTGCCTATTCGGTATAGTATCCTCCGAGATATCGAACGTACTTAACATAATATTCATATTGCATAAGCTCAGCTAAGGAAATGAAAAGTTGCGAGAAGACCTTTACAAAGGCAATACAATTTAATATATAACATCCCTACCTGGGAGGTATCGCTGGAGATGATGCAATAATAGAAGATGCAGGAGATAGTTGATATAGTGAGTGATATATTAGCTACGAATGAGAGCCACTAAACTTAGTATAAATCTCGGTATAATGTTTTTCTGTATAGAGTAGCTCAATCTCAAATCTAGTGAGATTCCATTCTAACATGAAACCACATTCTGCGCATTATCCAAGACGTACTTCGGACATAACGGTTCAGCGCTTATAAATATACTCGATCTTGTAGGATTCCCTATATAGATATAGGCTGATCGGCGAATGTCTTGTATGAGCTGTGTCAAACCAGGGTTGTGTTTGTTTTGTTTGTATGACCCACTGTAGTTAAAAAATGAAGTTCAATTCATTTGGGGCATTTGAATGATTGGTCAGTTTCAAGGATCTGATAAGCCGGTTTTGCATATATGTAACCCATGTGAGCGGTCCATAATAAATTATTAATTTATTAAAGGCGCTAGACAACTTTAACGGCACTAGTCTTGTTAAAGTTTCCACTGACATGCCAAGTGAGGACCTCGGGAGGTTTCAAGTCCGAGGATAATTGCAACCAGAGCTTCTGAAAAAGTCAAAGGCCGAAACCAATGGATCTAATGGGATTGGATCAGTTTTGGGCTAATCACCGTGGGACCACGGGACATAGATGCAACATCATGTTAAGATAAGTTAGGAAAAGAAAAGGGACCTCAGAGGCTATATGTGGAGTATTGTCACAGAAAGGATCAAAGTGGCTTGCGACTAGCACATAACCTTGCACTAGTACTCATCCTGTAGGAATTTTCGGGACGTTCAAGATGTCGATCACCTTGGCTTATAACCGGCTGAGCGGTTAGTTTAATAGCTTTTCCTTGAATGACGATCTATGAGAAATGATGGCTCTTCTGCAGTACCTACCTAGGTAAGTGTGTATTGAGATTCCAGAGTAGCCTTATAAAACGGGAGCACAAACAATAGCCTCGGGACTCAATTAAGCTACTAGTTTACACCTGAGAACAGCGGATGTGGAGAGTTATCTATGCAAATGGGACTCGACGATCTCCATGAGTATGAAGAGCTCTCTTGACTAGTGTGGATACAGAGTCTGGAGTATTCAACATTCGTTTCACTACCTATCAGTGGCGATCTTTCAAAAATTATGTACCTCAGACTCTGCAGCTTCTAAATACTTACAGGAAGGCATAAAACGCCCCCTAAGATTCAGTCCAGGCATAGCCACGTGACGAACGCTGTAAGACTCAAGAAAAGGGGGTTTCACTGCGTTTTCCTAGTGGATAGATGATTCTATTTATTCTGGAACATTTTCCAAGATGTAACCCCATATGAAGGAATGACGCGAGAGGTGCATGGTAATGGCGATTCGTTTTATACGCCACACCCCACTAAGACTAACTCCCAAGGTTGGGGTGTCAGCCAAAAGGAGGCGCCACAAAGTACACTAAAACACTAAAATTACGACAAATCAAAAAGGGCTTTAGTGCATTTCTGACTTCTGCTAACTTCTGACAGTAGCCCGTTACGCAATATTGAAATAATTACTAGCTCTGGAGGTGGAGCTCTGGGGACTGGAAGGTTTCATATTCGCGTGGAGATGATCTCTACCATTTTGAGAGTAGGTATACTTTGTAGATAAGGTCATAATCAAATCAGTCCGAATGGGGATCATTCTCCGAGTGTACCTAAATGCATGCATGAACTGTGTCACTGTCTACTAGGCATACTGCTTCATCTATTCTGGGATCTTTGGTGATCGATGTCATTCACTCTCTTGGATATGAAGGATAGAGATAGAGTTTGATGCCCTGAAGAGCAGAAATATTAATTGTTTAACGTTTCAATATAAGCTCGACGACATCGGGTGGATCCTTTTGAATTTTTATACGCAATCAGTAATTCAGAGTGTAGAACAACTCCGAAAAATACTGCCTTACGAAGATTCAATAGTTGGAGGATTCAAAAGCCTTTGGATCTCACCTGAGGTTTTGCTTGGGCTTTTAGTTCTTATTTGTCTTTGAATACTCTACACACTTGCAGACCCCAGGACACTTAGGTTAACTTCTCCTACCTTTTTATATCTATTTAAAGCTAGGCTCCTATATAAGTGGTCTTGAGCTGAAGCCGGAGTCGGAGCCATGAACCAGAGTACAATTACACCTGCCCTTCAACCGCCGGTGGGCCAAACATCAAACTTCATTGATCCAGTTTCAAGTGGCACTAAGTTTCTGGTGATTAATTGCATTTTCTTGCCTCTGGCTTTTCTTGCCTTAGGTATAAGAACATGGACTCGAATATTTGTTGTACGAAGTTTCCGTATGGATGATTGTATGTTCAAATCTATTCTTTGAGTTGAAGATACTGAGCTAACACTCCTGAACAGTTTTGATGCTCATTTCATTTGTAAGTTCGTAGCAGTGAATGAGAGGTAACAAGGTACTGATCACATTTTCTACTAGCTATTATCGTGCTCTCTGACTGGAGTGACACTGAATTGTAAGACGTACCGACAGATCCGATACCTCCAAGGCTACTTTACTAACCTGAAAAGTGCTGAACTGGGGCCTGGGAAAACACATGTGGGACGTTCCACTCACTTCAGTCTCGCCACACTTCAATAAGGTTTGTTCATACTCCCGATTAAAGTTTTTGGACAAAAATTGACATCAGAAATACAAGCTTAACTTGATTGCGGCTATTATCTACTGCGCAGCTACCGGATTTACCAAGTGCTCTGTACTCGTCTTCTACCTTCGCATTTTTCCTAGTCGGAAATTTCACACAGCTGTTTGGACACTGGTATTTATTGCCGCGGGATACAGTTTCGCCAGCATTCTAGCCAACATCTTCAGTTGCAATCCTATTGCTAAATCTTGGGATGAGACAATAATAGGCGGAACCTGCATCAATCGACCTGTATTCTATTTTGCAAATGCAGGCCTGGGTATCTTTACAGATTTCGCAACGGTGGCGATTCCAATGTAAGTTGCTGGAAGCATTTGAGACTTGAAGCTAGACTGACTCGTTCAAAAGTCCCTGGCTTCGTATATTGCAATTACCAATGCGACAGAAAATCGCAGTCGGTATCATTTTAGCAATGGGATGCTTGTAAGTTGCACTGGCCAGCATGTCAAATTATAATCTTGCTAATATGAATGTATAGCGTTGGAATAGTCAGCTGTATCCGTCTATCCAGTGTCTACGATCTTTACAATAGCACTGACCTAACATGTGAGTTCAGAACTACTTAAATATCCAGATTACGCAAAGGAAGAGGACTTACTATTTGTTTCAGGGTCAACTACCAATGCACTCATGTGGTGCACTATTGAACTGAACCTGGGAATCGTCGGGGGCAGTGTCACAGCAATCAGACCCTTCATTAAGAAATATTTCCCAGAGCTGTTGGGCAGCACTAAGTCATATGCTACATCGAGATCTCGCAAATACGGTCATCCCCTCGGATCTACGAGCGCCCAGGCCAGTAAACAACTCAATTTGACGAACCGAGAGAACCGTTATACAGTAACAACGCTTACTACACTCCGAGGACCGGATAATGATAGTGAAGAGTTCATACTATCGAACATTAAGCCTGAAGGTCAGGCTACAGACTCCGGCATTATCCGGACAGTTACTTTTGACGTGAAAAATACTTTGGAAGCGGAAAGTCCATTGTGATGAACGATCGTTATCAATTTCCTTACTACTACTCGATACCCACAATTTTAATTTATTTGATGATACATTTTACCGCTACATAGTTACCTGATAACCCATACGTAATATTCTACGGGGTTCGGAGTACGGAGTAAGGATCAATTGATGTTTTTCAAGGTTTTCAATTACCTGGTAGCATTGACCATTGCTTTTCCAATGTTGTTTTAGTGTGGAGTAGCTGAAGTGGATGACTACCCACCTGGGCACAGATCGGCAACAACAGCGGTCAGACCGGATACAAAGGAGAGATTTGCGGTTGATTATTGTACCGATTACGGAGATATTTGTTGAATCTCCGGAGATCAACGGTACCTTTCCTTGATCCAGTCAGGGCCGAACCATTCATTCCACGTGTAGTATGGGGTAGTTATGCAGGTTCGTATTGTATCCATCTTCCCAGTCTTGGTTGACGGATTCAACTAGTGATTCAAAGAGGGCTAGTAAATGCCCCGCAGGGCTTATGCTAGCGCCAAGCCAGGTAAACAAAACTAAAATTTTCATGGATTGGGAATTAGGAAAGGACAGGATGACCGGATTAGGAAGCACTAATTTACATGGATTATGCCATTTACTCCGATAGCCGCACTAGAGCTTTCTCTTAAATGATTACTGCTGTTTCAATTTCACCTTCCATCATACTTTAGCCCAAGATGCGTGTTACAACATTTTTGCTGCCCGTGGCGGCTTCCGCCATCTCTGTCTCTGTCTCTGTCGATCTCTCTAATTCAATCAGCTATGGCTGTGATGCTTTGAATAAACCAGTCAGTGATGCTGTATTTTCGCCCGATAGCACAGTATATGACTACGAGACCAAGCAATTCTGGTCAAATACCGAGATCATGTCTCCAGCATGTGTTTTTCGCCCACAGTCCAGTAGTCAACTAGCAGAGGGCTTGGATGCCCTTGTGAAAAGTAACTCTCAGTTTGCTGTTCGTGGTGGTGGCCACATGGGTATTCGGGTATGCTTTTCCCCCATGGTACGGTACAGATAATAAGTGCAAGAATTAAAAGTTCGGCAGGGTTCAAACAATATTAATGGCGGGGTTTTGATTGTCATGTCTAATCTAACGACTCTGGAATTGAACGATGACAAGTCAATTCTGTCGGTTGGATCTGCTTATCGGTATGCCAAAGACCATCCCATCCGTATATTAGACTTTTAGGTGCTGATCATGGTAGATGGGCGGATGTGTACTCCTACTTGGCTCAGTATGACCTGACTGCTGCTGGCGGTCGTCTGGGACCTGTTGGTGTACCCGGTCTGCTTCTTGCTGGTGGTATCAACTTTTATGGTAACCAAGTTGGTTTCTCTTGCAACACTGTTGTAAATTACGAGGTCGTCTTGGCCGATGGATCCATTGTCGAGGCCAACAAGACCCACAACAAAGATCTATTCTGGGCCTTAAAGGGTGGTAGCAGCAACTTCGGCCTAGTCACTCGTTTTGATTTGGAGACTATCAAGTCGCGGAAGGTCTGGGCAGGTAGCTACACAGTGGCGGCGGAATACATTGATCGTTTCCTTGCGGTATGTGATTTTATCTATCCTATTCGTCTCTGCAACTACTGACCTGGGACCATAACAGGCTGCTGCGACCTACGCATCCGACATTTATGATGCCAAGACTCACATTGTACCTGCCCTTGTTCCTGGAGAGACAACTCTGGCATCGGTCATCCTGTTCTATGACAGCGAAAACACCACTTACCCTGATATTTTCAAGCCTTTCACTGACATACCTTCTGTGAGCAACACGCTCGAATTTAAAACCGTTCAAGAATTTGCCGCTGAGAATGGGCAGATGGTTGTTGATGGCATCAAGTAAGACTCATTGAATTATACTGAACTAAGCCCGAGACTAACTAGGCTATAGTGATGTCTTTGTTGCCGGAACTGTCAAGGGCACTACCTATGCTGAGCTCCACCAGGGTATAAGCATCATCAACACTACCTTCTTCAACGAGCTCCCCAAGTTGTACGCCCAAGTCCCATCTGCAAATATTTCCACCATCCAGCTCGATTGGCAGCCCATTGGCGCGGATTGGATCAAGGCATCCGAGGCCGCTGGCGGTAATGCCCTCGGACTGGACTCATCGAATATTTATCTGTGCTATGCCGAGGTTGTCGAGTGGATCGGATCAGCTTATGACGAAATCGTTGCAGAGTGGTTAGAGGAGACCACTTATGCCATCAACAATGCTACTCAAAAGGCTGGTCTCCACGACGCCTTCAACTACATTGGTGATTCAGCTGGCTTCCAGTCTATCTTCCCGGGTTATGGTGCAGAGAACCACGAGAAGCTGGTCAGTATTGCACAAAAGTACGACCCTCACGCTGTCTTCCAGACCATGATGCCCGGTGGCTTCAAGGTCTACTAAACATCTACAGCATGCGTGGAATCGGAACTTTGAAAAGTGAGTACATAGACATAAACAGATAAAACCTTATAATTATCTAAGGTTTCACTTAATATAATTTTTCATGGACATTGGTTAGTCCTACCTTAAATTTATTCCAAATTAGTTTCAGTACCGATCTCTAGGTAAATTCTGTAGTCCTAGGTTGTAAAGGTTCGGAGGTAATCTGAGCGTACCCAGGTAATGTGCTCATAGGAATTTTCATCAATACTTGGAAGGTTTACTTTTTCCATCTGGGCAGGAAAGTTCTTGGAACTTTGGAAGCAGCATAAATACAGATATTGGCAAACAAATCTGCACGGGTCAAACAATTTTCACCTATGTATACTAAATATGAGTACTAAGCACCCGTGGTAGTACGGGATGAAAATTCCGAGAATATTGCCAACATGAATACTCTAGTTACCTGTTTCATCAATATAAATCTGTCAATCATGATCCTCTTTTCACAGACCATTCAGTTAATCACTGCTTTTCTTTGTATCACAAAGATAAAATCGTCATGGCCAGTACAGAAATACAAGAGCACATCGATCGAAACACCCTTCATAAATGTCACCAAGACAGGCCAGACAGAACCTGGATTCCTATTCTTCACACCACGCGATCCTGAAAAGGGGCTTGGACATCCTGTCATCTATTCAGATGATGGACAGCTAGTGTGGCAGGGATCCAAAGGAAATCACTATGCGATTCAACCACAAATACTCGATGGTGAGCCCGTGATTGCTTATTGGACCGGATATTCTATTGAGGGATTTGGATATGGCTACATCAGTATTCTGAATAGCTCCTATGACGAGATTCATCGTGTAAGAATAGACTGCAAGTCTGAATCCTTCGTGACCGTTTTTGACCCCATGCAATTTGATTCCTGCATCGACCTTCACGAGAGTCAGCTCACTGAGGATGGCACAGTCCTGGTCACTGCTGTCAACGTAACTCAAGCTGATCTGACTTCTGTTGGAGGCCCAAAGAAGGGTTGGATTCAAGACAGCCTCGTATATGAGATCGATATCAAAACAAATGATGTGCTCTTTCGCTGGAGCGCCTACGAACACATTGCCGAGGTTCCTATGAGCTTGAGCTGGGCTCCGATAGGTTTGGTAGGGGTTGGATCTGGAACCAAAAAGACTGATCCGTATGCGTATTCTTATCTGAACTCCGTTGCTAAGTATGGGGACTCGTATCTGGTTTCATCGCGGTACATGTGCAGTGTCCTTTTTATTGCGCCTGACGGTAGTATCACCTGGTATCTTCATGTAAGTGGCCGAAGTTCAATATCATCACTTTACCCAGCTAACAACTATTACAGGGGCGGACTGGTGGAGATTTCAAGCTGGGTCCAGATACTAGTTTCTGCTATCAGCATCATGTACGCTTTCTGTCTCAAAGCCCCAAGCGGGTGTCGATAGCTCTACATAATAACGACAATACTCCCTTCACGGGCAACATCAACATAACGACTGGCTTGCTCCTGGATGTCGAACTGTATGGCTCGAAGAAGGTCACACTGAATCGCAGAACTTGGGATCATGCAGAGCCCGTATACGCTAGGCTTCAGGGCAGCTACCAGAGCCTCAAAAACGGTCATATCCTACAAGGCCACGGCTCTATACCAAAGATAGAGGAATATGATATCGATGGAAATATTGTCATGCGTGCGCAGTTTGGCTTGGATGATGTCATGCACACTTATCGTGTTTACAGATATCCCTGGATCGGGCACCCATCTACAATCCCACAGGTTGTTGCATGTCTGCTGAATGAAAGTGAAGCTGCTGTGTATGTGAGCTGGAATGGGGCGACAGATATCAACTCATGGAGAGTATACTCTGAGCGAGAAATCAAACAGGTACCAAGGAATGGATTTGAAACAACCATTATTGTTAGGGGACTTTCGAAGGGCGACTCAGTCATTGTTGAGGCTGTTGGTGGCGTTAGACATGGCACAAGATCTGAGTCTACTCTTGTGGGAAAGCCCTGCTGAAGTTGTTTTAAAGCAATCAGGATGAGAGGTGAATAGGAATAGAAATTCGATTGAAGTCCAGTGAAGTTTGCGATATTTGCATGTTGGGCAATTGACAGTAGGGTAGCTCAACATGATTTATGAATATGCTCAAAAAAGGATGGCTAATATAGTGATGCAGGGTTTTAAATGTTTGGCATATAGAGGACAAAAGGCTTGGAAAGGATAAAGCAGGACTGAATAGGACGCAAGTCATCACAGCTTCGAGGTTTTTTCGCTAGCTTGGAGACGCGTTTGCTTCGGGAAAACGGCGTGTGCGGATTTTTCTGCTGTCGCATTAAGAAACAGGAGACGCCCAACCGCTTCCGAAAGGGCCAAGACACGTGTGGAGACAGTGGCACCATCGCGGCGATTTTTACTATAGAACAAAAGTCAGCAGTTTTTCAAGCCGAAGGGGAATGAGATTGACGTACCCTTCGCGTCGACACATGGCGATCAATTCAGTGAAGTCCCAGAGTCGCCCACGATCCAGAACCTTCCCAGTTTCAACATCTCTCTCTGGGATCCATCCGTCTGCAATTTTGAGCGATGGAGTTGGTCGAAATTCCTGATCTTTGGCTACTGAGATAATACCCTCTTCCTCAAATTGCAGATAGGAGTTCTTCAGTGTTTCCTTGTTGACAGCTTCAAAGTAGGAAATATCACCTTGGTGATAGAGAGTTTTGCCAAGCTAATACTTGTCAGCTATATTGGTGCAGGAGCCGTCGTTTGCAGGAGTGATCGGATAAACTTACCAGTTGAGCGCTGTCCTGAGCCTTTTTCATGTCTATCCATACATCTGGTAAGTCAGTGGGGGGTGTCAGACCCATAAGAGACACTGCACCCAGCCAAACTGCGTCAATGAAAGGCCAAATCAGGAAGCAGTAAAAGTCGAAGTTTTCGCGCCCACAAAGGCGTTCCGCATCGCTCAACTCAACGTGTTGCGGAGTACCGGAGTCGTCTCGAGTTACTTTGATAACGTCGTCTGCTTCCAAACCACGCAACGTTTTGTCGAGGTTTGCGGTCAAACCTTCTGTTGGAAAAATGAATTCACCACGGAAGAGCTGCTCAAATATTTTAGCTAGGATAAAATATAACAGGAAACGTCATGGGTAATAGACCTTAGACAGGAAAGCGACCTGCTTCCGCAGGCTTTCAAAAGTTGTGCGCTGGTTGACGGGCCCACCACCTTGCTTGATCTTGGCGTACATCGCAACAGAGACTAGAGCTTCAGGAATGAAGAGATGAATAAGCATATTCCGGTAGAAGGACAGTTGGAAGCGGTCAGCAGCAGAATAGGTAGTCTCGGCCAGTCCTGGAATTGCGGCCACCAGCTTTGGTCCTAGGGCTGCTAGAGCGCGGTCGACCACTTCTTCTGTAGATAAGCGGTAGAAGTGAGCTACTCGGCCACCCTTTGCACGCACACGATCGCACAGCCAGTCCAATCGTCGAACTAGTTCGGCCTTTCCAACTCCACGGCCGCGGAGAGTCAGAATCACAGTACCGACTAGGGCCGTCGGCATCATCACAGCGACCTCATTGATCTCGGACAAAACTCGATACCCAAGAGTTCGGAGAATGTGACCGCGCTCAATGCTCGATAACTTCTGGTTGGGGCCAGAGGTTGGTTTGTCAAGACGCGTGAGCTGCTGATTAAGATACTCTCGGAGGCTCCATGGTTTGTGGAAACGGACATCCACTCGTCCTAATTTGAGAGATAATACAGAAGACGACTTCACAAAATCTACCAACCTCTCCTTTTTCTTGGGCCGACCCAACAATTCACTAACATATGATCTGCAACTACATTAGCATTTGAAAGTCAATGACTCATTTTCTTGAATATACTCAGTCTCAATAACTTTATCATACTGCGTGCTGACAGGGCAAATAATGGTATCTTCAGTCCGACCAGATAGAACGCTATCGACAATGAAGCTGAGAATGCCGAGCTTGGGGGTCAGCAGCTTTCCAGTTCGCGATCGGCCACCCTCGATGAAGCATTCAAAATTAAAGCCTCGTTGCAGAAGAGTATCGACATAGGCTTGCACAACAGTGTGATAAAGCTGGTCGTCCCCAAAACTGCGTCGTATCCACATCGCGCCTTCATCGGTTAGCTTGATATATATCATTGAAAATCAGGAAGCTCACCTGCATGCTGCAAGAAAGCTCCCACTCCTGGAATATTAAGATTGTCTCCCGCGACAACGACAGGCAATCCAATTCCTAGACGGTAACAAATGAGTTGCAACGAAACATAATCCACATGAGATTTGTGACAGGGTAGGAAAACGATCGACTGCTTTTTCTTGGTCGCGATCTTTGCAACAGATCTGAGATGCAAGACCTCCTCACTGGAGACATGAATGCCTTCTTGGTAAGCTCGTGTCAGAAGTTGCGTGCAAATGTAGTACGCGCCGCGAATAAAAACCTTGCTCTCCATCTTGCAGATCATCTTGTCCAGCATGATGTCAACAACGTCTCGCAAATGGCTTTCGAGTTCATGCTGGCGATGAGCTTTCTTTTCGCCGAATGTGGTGCCTTTCTGGGCCAATATCAATGCTGCTAGTTCCTTCTCTTCCACGCCGACGCGAATGCTTGCGAATTCCTTGATCCTGCCCTTCAGCATTGGACTGGCATGGATTAATTCCTTCATGTGGTCGCTGAAGCCTGAATAGAAAATGGGTTCACCGATCACATCGTTATACGCACGCCATTCTGTGCCGGACATGTACAGGCTCACTTCGCGGAGGAAATCAAGTGGGTCTTCGCTGAAGCTGGCCATATTTTGGACGAAATATTTTTCGGTGATGGGCTCAGTGATCGGGGCATCTTTAGTTTCGGGGCCTCTAGTGAAGCCTGAAGGTTGAATCGCGAAACTGGAACCGACAATCTCTAGGTCAGGAGCCGAATGCTCGCTGTGATTAGCCGTTTGGGGAGGTGGTTTGGGTGCCATGGCGCGTTGCAATATGAATTCGTGAGTTCATGGGTGAGGGGGAGAGAGATGTGTATTTCCAGTGAAATATTTCATATAAGAAATTGAGAGATAGGACCGTAGCTCTCTTATCCCAACAGAACAAGTGATCGACTCCCCCGGATTATTCGATTTACTCTTTAAGCCGAGGTGTAAAATCACGTGATGATACAGGAATCTCCCCGCGATTGGATCGTCATTTTTAGAGGGAAAAAACCGTTGGGGAAAAAGAAACGTAAATTGTTACCATGTCTTGTTGGGGGAACGGGTTCCGGTCTTTCTCCAGTATGTTACTTTTATTGTCTTCAGCTCTTTTCTAAGCTCACTATCTCTGCTTTCCTCAGCTGCGGCATCGCGGTCGATCAGTCAACCCAACTCCTTCCAAGTCTTCCGCGACGTCCCTAAATTACGCCAGTTGCGCCGACAACTTCTTCAAAATGACCGCACTGTGGGCTTCGTACCAACTATGGGTGCCCTACATGAGGGTCATCTAGCCTTGATTCGAGAGGCTGCTCGCGAAAACACTGACATTTTTGTCAGCATTTTCGTCAATCCTACTCAATTCGGTGTCAATGAAGACCTTTCCAGTTATCCACGCACATGGGACAGTGATTTAGGGAAACTAGAAAAACTGAATGAGGAGCTGGAGAGTTCTGATGATGGTGTGGGCAAAGGGCGGATCACAGCTATCTTTGCGCCGACGTCCAAGGTTATGTACCCAGCCCTGCCACCTTCATCCGAGATCTATGGAGATGGTTCATTTATCACGATCACTCCCATCTCGAAAAAACTGGAAGGAGCCTCTCGCCCAGTTTTCTTCCGAGGCGTTGCGACTGTCTGCATGAAGTTGTTCAACATAACAACACCAGATCGCGTCTACTTTGGGCAGAAAGATGTACAGCAATCGGTGGTCATCAAGCGAATGGTAGAAGATTTTCACATCGGGACCGAAGTACGTATTGTCAACACTACACGTCAAGCTGATGGATTGGCTTTGAGCTCTCGAAACGTCTACCTCGGAGATCGGAGACGTGCAGTGGGCCTTAGTATGTTCACCGCGCTGAAGGCTGCAGAGGAAGCATATTTGTCTGGAAAGACTAGCAGGGAAGATATACTGGGAGCCGCACGATCTGTGACCGAGCGCGTGCTCTCTGAACAAAAGACTCTCTCACCATCGGAGAGGGCGTTATTTGAAGTTGACTACATCTCATTGGCTGATCCTCAGAGCCTGGATGAGCTGGATCTCGTCGAATCTTCCAAGGGAGCTGTCTTGAGTGCAGCCCTGAAGATGGCACCTCTGGAAGAGACGAGGCCCAATGAGGACTGCGGTCTGGGAGATGGCAAGGTTCCAGTACGATTGATTGACAACATCATTCTCCAACCGAGAGAATAGTCTGCAATCGATTTACTGTGTACAAAAGGTAGTATAGGCCATAAAATTAATATACTAGGACAATCATGAGAAATTGCAAGTCTATTCAAGATTTTTGGAGGACGTAGATAGATGTCATTAATCGCATAAGGAAACCTTCGTGTAAGGCTTCGGTCCAGTTCTCTACACGTATACAGTTTAATAATATTTCAATGGAATGCCATGGAGTGGATTCCAATTCATCTCAGAATTAAGATTCTTTAAAGCCAGATTGCCTGCTTTATCGTGACAGTCTAGGTAAATTTGAGACACATTTTCCAGGTCGTTTACCTGGCCTTGTAAACAGCATCAGAGCCGCCAGGGATGCGACCCTCGGTCAACTCCTTCTCCAGACGATCAACCTCATGCAAGCTGGTCGCGTTGCGAATTAGCTCCTGGACACGCTTGCGCTCGTTCTCGGTGAGCTGAATGCGGAGTGCCTTATCGGTCTGGACCTCTCCAGATTCGAAGGTGGGGGCAACGAAGTTGTGAGAGGTGGTGCCCATAATCTTGGATGCGAGAGCAGTCGGTTCTTCAGCAGTACCAAAAAGCTCCTTTGCCTGGTTACGCTCGGTATCCTTGACTTTTTTGTAGTCGAAGAAACGGATAGATGGGTTCAACCAAATGACCCAGAAGCGGTAGTTCTAAAAAAGATTAGTTGGACACAATATAGACCATGAAGAAAGATTGTAAGCCTACATCCTTCCGGGACACGGGGTTGTTTAGCAAGACCAAATGATGCAATAGAGGGAGAGTTTTGAGGGGAGCGAGGTCAGCTAACTCGGCGATGTTGTTATCGGTCAAGATCAAAGTGGTCAATTTTGGCAGGGAGGAGCCGATGTTCGCCTGAATGTGGACAATACGGTTTCGTGCAAACATGAGGGTTCGGAGACGAGGAAAAACAGGAAAATTTCCAAAGGAGGCGATGTCGTTATCCGTGAAATCAATAGTATCTTGGTCCTGTGAATGGTTAGCGTGAATTTTAAAATAAATTGCCAGAGAGTTATTGGCAAATCAATGCCGACAGCAGAGGCATATTGTGAACACTGACCTTCGCTACACCAAGGTTCTCAATAAGAGGAATTCTGCGCCCTATATGGTTAGACGAAGAAAATCGATGTAAGTGAAGCTCTTTTTTCATAGTGTAGCACCTGCTCTTTTCAGGCTGATGTTGAGTCTTGAACTAACCTCTAAGATCAAGTTCACGCTGCTTGAGGGGATTAATGTATGAAGGCGCAGTCTGCAGGAGCTCAACGGTCAAGCGGGGCATGACGGTGGTGGTTGAGGCAGAGCCTCGGCAAGAAAGGAAAGTTCCAAAGTAGGGGATCTATTAAGGATTCACAAGTTGGAGGAAAAGAGTGAAAAAAAATCAGCGCGACGGGTGTTGAAAAAATGCAATGGTTGAAAATGAGAGAGGTTGATAGCTCGTCGCAAGTTTCTCCAATTAAGATTCGTGCTTGGCGGTGAATTCAGGGCGGTGTGCCCAAGGCGGTGTACGCGTTGTTTACGCACGTGACAATTATACGCATATTTAGAATGGAAGTTCGGCTGAAATAGTGTCATTGAAGAAAGATAAGATATAATAAAAATAAAGAAATCATAGAAATGTATTAGTCTAGGTATATTCATTAGAAGAAATCCACAAAGTACCGCCATTGGTACACTGCCACTACATCGAGATTGCTCGGAGATCGAAAGCACAGAACAAAAAGTACTCCAGAGCACAGAATTTGGAATATTAACCAAGAATGAAAAGTGTATGCAGCCAGGGTAGTTCACACGTGAGCAATGAACTGGGGTTTCAAGGGGAAAAGCCAACAAGTTGGCAGGGCAAAACAGTCAACTCCAATAGAAAATGCGATGCGAGAAATGACGAGGTAAAAGCGTAATTCAGTTCGTTTGGAGACATAGTTGTGACGTTACTCATCGGCCAATGGACTCATGACTGGTGATTTCTGGTGGGATCGCGTGGGGCTGCCACTTCTAGATCGACGTCCATTCGTGGTAGGCCCCAATGCAACGGGAGCTAGATGATCTCGGCTCTCTGTCCTCACCACCAAGCCAGCCCGATCCATAGCAATTCCTGAACCGCCACTGATGCCAAGACCAATCGTTCCTGAAGAACTGTTGTCGAGGGTATACTTCAAAGTAGGAGGGTTAGTGTTGCTCCAGCTGGAAGCTCGCTTGAGAGTCGGATTAATGAGGTCAGCCTCAGAGGCTCGACCACCATCCAGATCACTAGTATCAGAGGAGTCGGTCACGCCCAGTTCAAACTCCTGAGCACCTTCCTCCACAAGTTCGTAGGAGGGTCCAGTACTATTGAGGAATGGAAGCATACCGCCAAAAGGCTTCCGTTTCTTGGGGTGGTTGGGATGAGTAGGTCCACCACGACGGATCACACTTTTGATGCGGTGGTATACCCGCAGGCGACGACTGCGTCCACACAGGAAAAAGCCTGCCAGAGCAACGATAAACAAGAACAGGAGGAAACCAGGTACTCGACGCGGTGAGTCCCCATCAAACAGGGAATCATGCCAGTGTTCACTGTGGAAGCCATCAGCATCAGGAAGGAGCGCAACGCTAGGGTATTGGAAGTCCGCAGGGACACCGGGAACATTGCTGCCAAAGCCCACTGGCATAGACTCTTCCTCAAGATCCATGGGCACCTGGGATGACGCATATAGAACGATCTTGCCAAGGGTCCAGCTGACTTCGGTTGAGTCAATCTTATTCATAGGTTGGAAAGCATCAATATAGCCCTTCTCTTTAGCATGAGACAAAACTTCTTCAGTGCCGTTGTGATCACTCCAAGTTTCTTCCAGGCCAACACGGGGGATACCAATGCCATCATGCAGCATGTTGATGATCCATGATGACTTGAAGCATATCTCGGATGCCCTTTCGCGAGTGATCTTCTTGCCCCATGTGTGGTCATCAATGCCAGTCTCGATGGAATGCCAGTCTTGAGAACAGAACGTCTGTACTCGCTGCTGATAGGTGTTGAAGTCGTATGCCTTTTCTTTGTAGCCCATCTCGAAAATTTCATGAGTAGTATGCCAATATTCACTGATGCCGATGAAATGGTTGACATCAAAGTCGATAGCCGGAACATGGATGCCATGGAGAAGACATGGGTGGTCTGCGCATGGAGCGTTCTTGTCCAGCAAGGGAAAGGTCTGACGAAGACACTCGTCAAACCTTCCTGTGCCTATCAAGAATGACTCTACGTCGTTCCCAAAAATCTCCTTCCCATCCAAGGTAGTGCGTCGACCTTCTGGAAGACATGGATCCGGCAACTCTCGAATATATGGATTTGTTGCGGACTGCAAAGCTTCCAAGTAGCGTCTCCGAGCCTCATTCACGCCAAATTCTAGCCATGAGGTTACGAAGACTCGGTGTTCTTGTACTGAGCCATCGATATTCCGCAGTCGCAGAAGGGTGAGATCGTTCGCATGCTTCTCCGTTTCTGTGGCGTTTGGCGCAAATGCAATCTGAGCAGAGGCCCCACCCATGTCCAAAAATCCGTAGGTAGAATGTCCTTTCCCATGATCGTGTTTCTCGGGCCAGTCAAAAGTGCCCATCAGATAATTCGTCGCAATCCATCCGTAAAGTCCCTCTGTGACACCCGGGATCACCTGAATATGGGCACTGCAATCAGGTAGTAGGAATTCGGTATTCGTACGCGCGTAGGAGCATATTTGGTCAAGAAGCATCTGTCGGTCCACATTTCCGAGAAGACGCATGCCAGCTGTGGCGAGAAGAAAGATCGGAGTATCCTTGGCGTCCTCCTTAGGTACGATACTTTTCGCATGTTGAAGAAGTTCTTCCAAGTGCTCTGATCCAACAGATTCTGGTCTATCGGCAAAAGACGAGACACCTGTACGCGAACAGTCCAGTCAGTTTATTGAGTCTAAATGATCAGGAACTCCCGTCGGAACCCACCGGGATGAATCTTCTTGACCCAATCCTCTTTTGTTTTGATCTCCGGCAAGGATTTCAGCTCATCAGGGTGCGCATACTTGCGCGCTACAGTATTGCGCAACCATCGATAAACGTGTACACGGGTACCCTATACCATTGCAAGTCAGTCGCCCGATACCGGAGAAGTTGAGGGAGCATATCAGATGGCTAGTGTGGCCTACAGATGATCCAGCGTCTAGAACGACGCCATAACGCCCTATAAAAGAAAAAGTCAGGGTCAATGGGATACGGGGAAAAGGGTGTTATTCGCAGGCAAACGTACACTTGCCCATTTGGACACGAAACAGATCTGGTTACCGATGGAGCATGACCAGATACAAAGACAGGAGAAAGAAGAGTTCAAAGAATTATATTGAAAAACAGGAGAACTTTTGAAGGTGGATGGAGAAGTGCAGCATAAGAGGAAGATAAGGAGATTCTTAAAGCAGAAAGAGAAACACGGCTCGGGAAGTTAATAGTTTAATACCAATACCAAGGCAATACAGAGGGGCGAGACCCAGCATTTGAGCTGAGCATTAGCTAAAGAGTTAGTGTGGCTGTTTTAGGATTAGTCAGTCACTGCAAACGGAAAGGGCTGTAATATTACCATGCATGACAAGGTAATATGAATGTCATATGCCTTCTTTCGTATAACACTTCGATTCCAATATCAAGCCTTTTAAGCCAAGAACTGACTGACATATTCTACTATTTCTCAATTACCTGGATTATTGTTTTGAAATGGACTTAACTCTACTTAGAACGGTAATGATCATCTATGAAATCTCAAAATCTGAAGTTCCATCCCTGCTAAGATCCTAGGAACTGAATCCCACACTAAAAACGGCGCAGGGATTTAGGTGGGGGCAAACTGTCGTCGTCAGCTCATTCTTACCCCGGTAAAACATTGTCTCTGATGCAATGAGGGGATATCAATTTGATAGACACGAGAAAGTAAAAGTACAAGATACCTGGAAGCCTCTGATACAGTGGTACATTAATAATAACATGAATGTAAGATGTGATATGTTTTATCTTTTGTGATAAATCCATATATCTCTTACTACTAAAATGGACACCTTGAAAAGCAAATAGCCTGACGTAATTCAGCCTCTCGATTATGCAGGTGTTGATTTGATTTGATAAGAACTACGGAGTATTGAACATGTATTCTATGATACTATGATCCACGAGGACTCGTAACTTTCCTTGGTAGATGTAACTACTAAGTGATAAAGTCCTATACTAACTACTACCAGACCACTTTGACGTATTGCATTCATTAGCTTCCTTCTTCCCATTAATCATACTTGTAGTTGGTGCTGAAGACATCAATAGATCATTCAAGTCGCCCCACCAATCTGCTCGTCCATGAAATGCGCACGATCTAATCCAATCATCTCCACCTCCTCATGCGCAGCTGCATGCCCGGGATCCATTTTAGAATATAGAGCAAAACAAACGATATTATGAACGGATATGCACTGATGGCGCATACCTCGGCCAACTGCCTTCCAATCTGCATTCCATTGCCATCGATACCGCCTGCTGCCTCGGTGACCCTATCCAGTGCTGCCACCGACTTCGACGCAAAGATACATGTCAGAAACGCTCCGACCATCCCACCAATCCCGTGTAGTTTGAACACATCCATTCCATCGTCGATGTGCATCCACTAATTGACATTTTGGAGCGACGCACACACAACACTGGTGATAAATCCAATCACTGCTAGTGTAATTCCGATTAGTCCAGCTATCACTCCACAGCATGCTCCTCCTAAGGTGAATTTACCTCGACTCTGGATCACTTCTACCAGAACCCAGCCAAGACCGCCTGTGCAGGCGGCTGTATTGGTATTGAACGCTGCCAGTATGGCTCTGATCGTGGCATTCAGCGCGGAACCACCCTGACAGAATAATTACAAGGGTAATTAAGCGGATGACTTACATTGAACCCAAACCAACCGAAACAAATCAAAGTCGTCCCCAAGAACACCAGAGTAGTGCTGTGGGGTTTCCCATATGAGGATTTATCGAAGTGCTTTCGCTTTCCCAATACCATAGCATAGGCGAGCGCCGACCAGCCCAATGAAATATGAACAGGATATCATCAGCAGAGTCAAGAGCGGGCATGTTATATAGCCAGCCATTACTATTCCATGTCCAACAGGCGATAGGGCAATAAATTACAGTCGTCCACAAGAAATTGAAGATCATTGCCGGCAGCATATTTCCTCGCTCAAAAGCTCCTCCGACAGCGATCATCACCCGTCGCCAATCAAACTATTCTCCCTCCATTGATAGTCGACTTTTCTCTTTAGATCCCGCTTACCGTGCATGTGCAGAATAACAACTGATATAAACAGAAGACAATTTCCGGTAAAACGACCGACTCCGGTGATGGAGCAGCCATGACATTTTTCATTCCAAAAATTTGGAGAGTTCCAATGAAAGGACCCGCATTGCGTGCATAAGCTAACGAATATACCAGAAAATACATTGAAAAGTTGTTCTATTTCAGACAGGTCAGTGAACTGGCTTCAGAAACGACTGAAATAGAAATGTCAGCGCAGATTTTCTTCGCGCAAGGCAGCTGTAAAGTAAGCCAATTCCGGGAATGATCAGCCAGATAATGAAGCCACAGAACATAATATTGGTGTCATTGTACTCGAAGCCCGCATATTGGGCGTTCAAATCAACCTTGGTGTGATCCCCACCACCTGGGATGGAGGTATTGAATACATGCTGCGTTGGAATTGTTAGCATCCATCTACATAGAAACCTTGGAACGGTGAGACATAAAGAATCGTCCACACCCGTAGTTACATACACGATAGTTTCGGGCTGAAAGCTGAATCCAAAATTGATATAGACAAAACCGGTACCTCTATGGGAGCTCCGGGGTCTTGGAAAATGTTTTCGGAGTTATATGATAAAAGACACCTCGATGGATCTCATGGGGGTTTTTACTTTCTTATAGATCATTTAGTCTGATCTAGGGCGATAAAGAATATGGCAAAGACCCCGTACAAATTGATGAGAAGGATGTGAGCTTCATATAGCCAATTTGGTTTTCTCTGCCTCCATTACCTCGATTCCTCTCACCGGCACTGTTTCTTATGTCAACATGAGATTACCTCTACTCCCTAGGATGTCGGAACAGTCCCTACCGAATATTTTCGTTTCGGTCTGCAACACTTGATCCAGGAACTCTTCGGCTTCTCCCAACCGGCCTTGGGCTGGATAAATCGCCGCGAGGTTAGAAATTCCCGGGTTAGCCATACTCAATATGGGTTGAGGATATCAGTTGTCTAAATTTCTTTGTCGAGCCTTCAGAATCTGAAGCTCGATCCTCTCGGTCTCTTCTCATCGACCCTGGCTCGTATATAATACAGCTGCTCAAAGCGTACTGAATCGCTGGCTTGTATCTAGAAATCCAAATACCAGACAATTGTTCTCGAACGCTATAAGAATATTCAATGACAAACTGTGATTTCCTTTGAGTCTGTCAACTATAGTTCGCGTCGGTGGAAGCCTTGAACTGACCCAACACTACTGGGTCCAAAAAGTCCTATTCTAGAGCCTGGCACCTAATACTGCTCGTCAGTCCAATGAAGCAGTCTATCTCCACTAACAAAATCTAGATCCCTACAGAAGGGCACAGTCGAGATAGGATTTGGCGGAGTTCCCAGTCACTCTGGGATTGCAAGAGTTTATTAGTCGATATCATAAAGATCAAAGCTGTTCGTAAAACTACCAGGAGATGCAGATTTCCTGTGACCCAGATGATCAGTCAGCTGAAGGAGGGAGTAAGAAATGCACTGTATATGCTTAAAGCATGTGCACATCAGAAATGTAAGTCCATATATATATCATTGGTGATCATTGATCTCTATTTAGCTAAGAGGGCTTCTGATTAGCCGTCACCTCTTAGTGAATAATGTTTAGTAGTCACTTAAGTCAAATACTATTGAAATATGAGAGGGGTTATCAATATTGATCCAAGCCCTGGAGGCGATTTATACAAGATTGATCTCGTGACATGAGTAGTCATCACTAGCGCGATTTCAATTCCGGGATAGTTAACTGTCGTCTCCTCCATCTAGGTGCATAGGTATCACGTATATCAATGAGGAAAATCCGAGATTATGTTTTGCTCTTTGAAAACTGTCAACCTGGTTCCTGGTTTTCGTTGCAAGGAAACCTTTTATCCAAAAGATCACTTCTTTTTGTGTTCATTTCTTGTTTTTATTGCTTGGCAGCCCTTGAGTACGGAGTATTCAGATAAGCAATAAGACCCTTACCTAAGTGAATGACACATTCGTCGCTGATTGGCCACTCTACACGTGCAGACTTCCGATGTCCAGTTGCCGACTTCGCGCTACAAGCCCTTTCCCCAGATTTCTAGTTCGATTATTAAAATTCTTAGTCTCCAACAAGGTTCAATGCTTATTGGGCAGAATGATATGTAGAAGGATGTACTATTCATCTGTCTCATGCATTTAATTAACATCAAGATTATCATTCATCGTGATAGACAGATAAGGTCACTTCCCGACCTTTCCTGTCTTCTCTTCTCTCTCTCATCGACTTTTTTATTGTGCTTACAAGGGCTATCGGCTAGCCTCGCCTTTACTTCGCAAATCTTGATTCAACTAATACATCTACTTTTCATTCTCCAGACCCAAGTGCTATGAAGCATGATTAGTAAGAAGAGACGTCGGCGCGTTGCCGATGAGAATCGAAAGAGAGCCCCACGAGCGTATGCACAAGGTTGACGCTTGTTCTAGACTAGACGCACTAATTGAATATAGATGCGACCGCTGCAAAGCGAGGAAAAGCAAATGCGTGGAATTGGACACCGGAGGAAAATGTCAGCGCTGCGAATTGCACAATCTCACATGTAGATTTGAGAAGTATGAAGCTTGGAACCAAATTGCATTTCGTAAGAACTGAGTGCTGAAATCTCTTGCTTTTCTCAGGGAGAAGTCACCATGTTTTTCAAATCCACCTCAATCGTCACCACAACGTTCTGAGCCTGCGCCTGTGCCTGTGCTTGAACCTGGAGCAGCACTTGATCTTTCCAATTCCTCGGGAAGTGTTCCATGTGATAACATGACTGATGAGAGCCATGAAATTCTTTCTCAATCTTCTACATTGTCGAAGGGGCTTGCAAACCATGGAATAGATCAATCAAAGAGGGCCCCGTGGCCGAATATCTTATCCCGACTCCGAGAGGCGTTCTCGCTCGATCCTCACGCCGCTCCAGAAGAAGGAGATATGTTTGCAATGCAAGCAGTAAGTATTGAATCTATTTAAATCAAATACTACTTCTAACCAGATGTTTAATAGCGTATGACTAGTTCAAGAGAGCCACATGCTTCTGAATTATCAAGATTATGCGCTGTTATTGATTCCTTTCCACCGCGCCCTGTGGCAGATTTCCTCTTAACAGTATTCATAGATCATGCAACAGACACTTTTTTTTACGTTGACCAACATCAATTTCTATCTGACATTGATGAGTTCTACCTCGATGTGAACTCATCTTTACGGTCTGACCCAGGGTTTGTATGCCTTGCAATGGCTGCCTTCGCGTTAGGAAGTCATTGGACTTGGGTTGTCAGACCAGAGGGCAGAGGGTCTAGCTACAATAGGGAGATCGATCTTGGGCGAGTATTTTACCGCCATGCCAAAACCATCGTTCCCGACATCATTGATAGGTCATGTCTAAGGTCCATTCAGGCCGTCTTTATTCTTGGTGTCTATCTAATGCCCGAAAACGCTATCGGCTCTTCTTACATCTACATGGGCATAGCATTGCGTAAGGCGATGGCTTTAGATTTACATGTGCAAACAGAGGATCAGGGAATGGATGGGCGAGAAAGAGAGATCCGACGTCGGCTCTGGTGGTCTATCTACTCTCTTGAACGGTTAGTACACGAATATAGTCCAACCAGTGACTTGGATTGCTTGCTAATGTTAAATCACAGGTGCACTACAATAAAATTGAATCGGCCTAGATCTATTTGTGCAGATTCAATAACCGCATCACATCCTTCGCCATATGCACCACTTGATCAATTGCAGAAATATGACAATATCCAATATCAAATGGCCTACGACCGGTTGATCAAAATCCTTGACCAAATTGCCGATCTTAGGTGAATCATTCAATTTTCCGACATCAAAGCTGCTTGGCTAACAACAACTTAGTGACGTATTGACGGATCCGGCGGAGCTCTCTCGCTGTATGAGTTCGGCAGCGGACCTGAAAGCGTGGAAAAATTCTTTGCCCGCAGATTTCAAGCTGAGCAAAATCAGCTCTAAAACTTCAAGTTACCGCACAGTGTTTCATCTCTATCTTAACTACTATTATGCATGGATCACAATGGGCAAAGTCGCACTTGTTACAGTCGCTCGAACAAAACTGAGACAAAACTCACCATCTGAACTAAAGCCGCCACACGTTGATGAGATAGTCCAAAATATGGCAGAATCTTGCGCAAAGTCTGCTAGGAAGATTCTTCGACTCTTTGAACAAGTTACGGGTACACACAATGTTACAGGCTTCTCTTTCACAGATTTCCAAGGATGCAGCATCGCAACCATCGTGACCCTGCTTGCTGGAATATTGGAACGCGATTCTGGTTACGAAGCCAGTATTAAATTTGGCCTCAATTGTCTCAGGAGGATGTCAAGAGGAAATATGACGGCAAAAATCGGCGTCAAATTTGTCGAGGCTGTGCAGTCGATTACAAACGAGGCAAGAAGAAAGTATGATGATGCCACGACCTTCTCTCGAGATCATTTACGAAATCCGGATGCAACCATAGATTCTGGATATAGTGAGTGGGCTGAATGGATGAGAGAACAAGATGCTTCTCAAAGGAAAGATAGGACTGGGTTTTCACGTGATAATGCAATCAACAATGATGTGATTATACCGCAAGAAACAGCTGCTTGGCAGCTTTCTCATCCCACACTAAGTGGAGAATCATCGTGGCAAGCCACTGGAGATTCGATCTTCCCTGCGAGTTCACTGATACCTGAAGACTTCGGGGCAGACACTGCAGTATCGCAGCCGTCAGAAATAGATTTGGATGTTCTTCATGGTCTTCATACTGATGAGCACACATTCTTTATGGGCCTCACTGGCCTGGATTCTCTAGACTTCTCTGAGCTTACAGGCCAACTATAATGCTCAGTCCATCTGATGAAGTGAATTTACAACCCTTTAATTAAATGATCAAGGAGTCAACAACTAGAGTTTTGCCTTTTTATAATTCCTTGGTATTTTGTCGGCGTCGTAAAATGGAACATAGGGTATTATGTACAATGTTCGGTGCTTTGCTTCCCAATAAGCCTAGTCACTTAGATCTGAATTCGCACAGGAATTTCCGAATCTTCAGGTAGCGCGCTCCAGCGACTCTTGTAAACACGACCCTCTTTCATCACACCCAAAACATGCTGCTCAGGCTGGTCAAAAACAGTTACATCTTCAAGAGGGTTCTTATTCAGAACAATCAAATCTGCTAGGAAGCCCTCCTTAATCTGACCAATAGAGTCCTCCCATCCCATCATCTTTGCAGGATTTATAGTTGCGCTGTGCAAGATCTCAAGTGGCTTTAAGACTTGCGCTCGCAGAGCAAACTCGTGTGTTTGAGCGTGACCCAGAGGGCCGAGCAAATCAGAGCCGAAGCACATCTTCACTCCGGCTTCAGATGCAATCTTTAAAGCTTCAAGACCAGACTTGAGCACTTGCTGGTTCTTCGCCTGTGACTCTGGTGGCAAAAATCCCTTCCAGCGCTCATCTGACATCTCGGCATATGTGATTAGCGTCGGGGTAAGGTAGACGCTCTTCTCAGCCATCAACTTCGCAGTCGGGGCATCAACAAAGTTGCCGTGCTCAATACCTCTCACTCCGTTGTCTATGCAATGCCGAATAGCCTTGGTTGTATAAGCATGCGCTGTTACAAAGGTGCCGGCATTATCTGCGCATTCGACCATGGCCTGAATCTCGCCATTTGTGAATTGAAGATGTTCCAGTCGATCAGTGGGGCTTGCAACACCACCTGATCCCATTATCTTAATGAAGTCAGCACCACAGCGAATCTCTTCGCGTACTGCAGCCATGCACTCGGGGACACCGTTGCAAAGACGGCCCAGATGGTTGTTGTCGTGAGTGCCGCCGCAACATTCCGTTGCTTCATGCGGTCCACGAAGATCGCCGTGGCCACCAAACTGAGAGAGGGCATGGCCGGCAATGAAAAGACGTGGTCCGGGGAAGATACCGTCTTCAATAGCTTCTTTTAAGGCGAGTTGCGCACCTCCACAGTCGCGGATGCTTGTGAAACCTCTGTGCAACATCTGCGCTGCGGTATATGGTTGTCGCAGCAGATGGACATCATTCGGGTTTCCAAAAGCCCGAGATAGATCTTTAAAGCCAGGAACGGCACATAAATGGACGTGTGCGTCGAAGAGTCCAGGGCACAAATACCGCCCTTCGCAATCGACTACCTTGAGGTCAGCCGGGAGAGGCTCTGGTAGTGATGTTGAAATAGACTGTATTTTTCCCTGACGAGTGATCACTGTGACATTTTCCAGAACCTTTCCAAGCTGTACATCAATGACGTTGGCATTTTTGAACAGATAGCTGGCGGATTCCGCACGGGCCCAAGGCTTGATATCTGAACCTGGTACTGGGCTATAGTCTGGCATTGTGAAAAATTGGTTATGAAAATAAATAAGTTTCAAGTCCGAAGGGAATCGGGCCAAAAAGCTTTTAAACAGCTGTGGAGATTACCAAGACATCGGAACGTTGAAAATAAATGGAGGCAGGTCAGATTGCCGAAAACCAGGAATGGGGGCTGAGATACAGATTCAAGGCTAGTGGCACCAAAACTCTTATCAGACACCCCTTTTTGGTGTGCAAGAAGGTGGAAAGAGAGGTATCATTATTTTACGTACGGGGCCTATGATGGGAGTGTTATTAATGCCATCGGGCCGATGACCTGTTATCGGCAATCGACTCCTACCGATCTTTGCCACATTAGATTAGAGATAAGAATAACCGACCCGCTCGGTGAAAATGAATCCGGGGAATTTTAATGTTATCTCACTGAGTCTAAATCTTAGTCGGCTAGAAAGTGTCCTAGGCTATTAGTCAATTTTCTAGAATATAAATGTGATCTCCCCACTTCTGGAGCTACCTCCTCTTCATTTTCGAACCACAAACACTTCTAGTCCATTAGCGCCATGGATATCTCCAAGGACCGTCCAAGTATAAGCAAAGATGAAGGCCGAAGGAGCGAAGAGATTGTTGTAGTCTCTGAAACATACACACCCGAGGAGGAGAAGGCAGTTTTACGCAAGATTGACCTTGTTATTCTGCCATTCGTGAGTCTAGACCCGGTATACTTCATTGCCCTAGCTGACCAAAGAGAACACAGATGTGTTTTGTCTTTTTCCTCCAATACCTCGACAAACAAAGCCTGAGCTATGCTGCTGTTTTTGGCCTTCAAACAGATCTGAACATGACCAGCAGTCAGTACTCTTGGTGTAGTTCTATCTTCTATGTCGGCCAGCTTGTCTCGGAATACCCCTTCATCTACCTCATGAGCCGATTTCCCCTGACAAAGTTTGTTGGTGTGACAGTGTATGTTCAAATAACTCAGCCTACTACCTGTTTTTGACTGATAAACTGACGTTTGCATAGTATCATGTGGGGAATCATTTGTATGTGTCTCGCTGCGCCGTCGAATTTCGCAGGTTTCGCCACCGTTCGATTCTTGCTCGGATTCAGCGAGGGTGCTGTATCGCCGGCTTTCGTGACAATAACTAGTATTTGGTATCGCAAGAAGGAACATACCACCAGAACAGCACTGTGGATTACCATGAACGGACTGGCACAAGTAATCGGCTGCTTGCTCATGTACGGAATTGGAAAGAACAGCTCACTTTCCATTGCTCCCTGGCGAGTTCTGTTCTTGATCTGTGGAGCCCTAACTTTCTTTGCTGGAATTGGATTTTTTGTCTTGATGCCGAACGGACCCAAGGATGCCTGGTTCCTCAATGAGCGGGAGAAAGAGGTTCTGTCTCTTCGTCTCGCTGAAGATCGTGAGGGTGGTGATAAAACATCCTTCTCTTTGTCACAACTCAAAGAAACTATGCTCGATCCCAAGGCATGGTGTGTCTTCTGGTTTGGTGTTCTAGTAACAATGCAGTCGCCGGTCCTTACCTTTGCGTCCCTGGTGATTAAATCCATTGGCTACTCTGACCTTGAAACAATGCTTTACACCGCCCCCTCCGGTGCTGTACAAATCTTCTTACTTTGGATTGGCACTGCATTGGTCTGGATCTTCCCTCGCCAGCGAAATATGGCCGTTTTGGTTCTTATCATTCCCCCTCTTATCGGAAATGTCTTCTTGTTGAAGCTCACTGTCACGGCCCAGTGGGGTCTTATTGTGGCTTCTTGGTTGGTAAGTTATCATTCCTGCCCTATTGCCCTGCTGCTTTGACTAACCCAAGTTTCAGTCTTCTTGCATCACTGCATCCATGTCGATCCTCCTCTCGCTCTCTGCTTCCAATGTCAAGGGTAATACCAAGCGTGCCACGGTCAACACAATGTTTTTCATTGGATACTGTGCTGGATGTATTGGATCTCCCCAGCTGTGGACTCACAAGCCAAGATATACCTCAGGTGTCATCACAGCTATTGTCACCTGGTGCCTCCTATTTGTTGCTGTGATTATATACTGGGTTCTTTGTGACCTTGATAACAAGAAACGGGACGCCAGCTCTCCTGCTGGCATCATTGGTGTCGGTCAAGAGGTCGAGCTTGATGAGAAGGGACTTCCCATAACTGATCTGACTGACTTACAAGACAAGTCATTCAGATATGCCCTGTGAAGTATATTTAATGTCTTTAATTACATCCCTGAGGCCATATACCTGCCCAGGTGTTCCATTTATGTAAAGGTTTTTATATCAGACCTTTAAAATACTTCTATATTCAAATATTCTTCCAAACTTCGTATCTCTACCTAAATACCCCTTTCCTACCTAGGTTATCAAGATTGCACCTGACCCATCATTCTTCGCCTACCTTAGTAGGTGTTGGTACACCTGTATCAAGTGTAGAATAGCTATTCGATAGGCTAACGCCCACTTCTAACACCTATTACAGGTTGCGCTTTACGCCCCTATAATATCTTGTGTCTCTGAAGTGGTTGTAAAGTCTGCTTTTCATTCATGGTGAGGACTAGCTATTTATCTTACAAGTTGCTCTTCTGTCTGAGACGAATGTGTTCCATCGTCTAAGACAGAATAGTCGGTAAAGACGGGATATCACAGTTATATGCATAATATTCAAGGTTGTTGTTTGCAATGCACTCTGAACAGGGATTCGTGATGTGTTGTTTGTCCGATATTCCAACAGTATCTATATAGCTGCCTTCCCCATCAATCCATTTATCTCTGCGTACCCTCTCATTTTATAGTGGTTACTTGCGGAAATTTCCGAACAATGCATTTTTCCTTCAATCTACTCACCAAGTCTTGCCTAGGCACAGGTTTCTAATGGCAATACCACACGTTGCCTAATCTACACTCACCCTTGAACCTTAGTTTTCTTCTGCAGTCGTATGCCCTCAATACCCAGGTAGACAATTATCACATGAGCATCCATGAGCTTTCCAAGGCTGTGTGGATACCTTTTGGACTGTGAATTCCTCGTCTCACTTTTTTTTAGCCTTTTCAGATATATTTATGTTGGAATATGGAAAAAAAAACAGTCATGTGACCAAATCGTTACTTTATAATAGCTAGCAAACCAAGAATGAACCTCAGACTTTACAACCACTTCAAGAGGGCACATAAATATCATAGGGGTGTAAAGCGTTACCTGTGATAGGTGTCAGAAGTGGGCGTTAGCCTCTTGTCTACCATATCGAATAGCTATTCTACACTCGGTACTGGTGTACCGACACTATCAATCCAGATTCGGTCTCGTTGTGTTTGTCGATGGCCGCGATGCGTAGCGCCAACACATTTTTTAGTCCTTCTGTGTTGTAGACTGCAATATTAGTCACAAAATGAACTGAACCCGACTTGAGAACTCAAACCAAAATATACTCCAATTTATGTAGTACAATTAAGACGCTAACCTAATTAGAACGACAGACCCACTCATTCCAACTCTCCGCGCTCCGTAACCTTTCGACACTTAAAGTCGTCCTCAAATTATAAGTACCGGGAAATGGGCTGGTTAGGCTGCTCTCTATAGCCTGCAAGTATCACTGAATTAACGTCGAACAGAATCAAATACCCTTACCTCAACTCCTGTACTTGCAGCATACTTAACCGGCCCGGTGGCCAATTTTAATTTTTGATTGCCTGCACGAAATATTCTCAACACCTGAAAAATATTGCGTCTTCACAGTGAACATGGATCTTCGAGTAAATCCAAGGCGATCAGGTGTATTCGGAAACGCTCTCTCGGCTTCAAGCCTGACAGTAGACGTGAGCACTGGGGACTAGAGAACCAGGAAACACCCGTGAACAGCTTCGAAATTTATAATTCATTTGTATGAAGTACGGAGTACACGACACAATCAAAATGAATATTACAACCCGCACCCAGTCGAAATTGCAATCATGCAAGGCAAGCTCGAAGGTCTCGAACGCAAAGTGCCAAAAAGACAACTCCCTCCCACCTAGTTCCAATCGCAAAAAAGTCTCCGATATCGCAGATACCAAAGCCAAACGGGTTCGCACAGGCTGTTTGACTTGTCGCGAGCGACATTTAAAATGTGATGAAGCCTTAGGGCGGTGTCTCAATTGTCAGAAATCAGATCGGCTCTGCCGACGAGGCATTCGGCTGAATTTTATTGATATACAACTACATATTCCTCCATATCTTCCCCCACGCCCTGAAGGAGCGGAGGTTTTATTTCAGGATGATTCGCGTATAATTGCGTCTGAGTATGTCGGGGGCTTTGAAAGATACCCACCAGAGCAGCCGGAGAGTCCAAGTCCAATTGAGGAGATGAGACAGCTACAGCATGAGTTCCTCAATTCCGTGGGACATAATCAGTTGACAAGTATGTTTCATTCGGTCAATCACTCTTTTGATCCCTCTGTCTTCGACATCACTCACTCTACTACCGCGGGGTTGCTTCTCGGATCTGATATATGGCATAATCCTGGCCATGTATCCGGGGATGAATTGCTTCTCTACGGAACGTCGAACTTTGTACGGAAATTGGCAATGAAGCAGTATAGCCCTTCTTCCTTGACCGATCCCGAACAAGTCCTTCTTTTCCAAGCCTTTGTCGAAGAGGTTGGGCTTTGGATGGACGCAATAGATACAATGAGACATTTTACTCAGATCCTGCCATTCCACGCAATTGATGAGCCCATACTCCTCCAAGCTTTCCTTGCTTGTGGGGCTCGGCATCTCTCACTTGTCAATGAATCTTTCGAAACGGGAAAGCCTGAGCATTATTACAACGCAGCCACACAGGATCTTCTTAGCGCTGTTCATGATCCCGATCGGGATTCTGTTCTCTGCACTATCTCTGCTGTTGTTCTCGGTGTCTATGAAATGATGTCAGCACAGTCTATCTGCAAAATCAACCACATCGCAGGATCCAGAGCCCTGATTCGTGAATGTGGATGGTCTGCTAAAACACCTGGTCTTGGTGGCGCTTGCTTTTGGTTAAGTGTGAGCATGGAGCTACTCAGCTGCCTACAGCATAGCTGGTTGCTATCGTGGGATCCAGATACCTGGGGCGTCGACATGGATATGAATCAACACCACACACACTGGAAAGGAGAAGACGTTTGGTTGCATCGGATTATCTATATTTGTGCGAAGATTGCGAATTTTCAAGTCTATCTACAGCAGGCATTATCATCAGGAGAACCCTTGAGCCAGAGGACCAAGCTTGATGCGTTAGTGCATCAGTGGAATCACTTAAACTCCTGGTGTGAGCAATGGGCCACTTCTATTCCACGATCAATGAATCCTCTCAGTTATATGCTACCATGGCAAACCGACACTAAGTCCACATTTCCAAAGATCTGGTATGCTATAACAAATCCTAACACTCTATCATGACTGTGGCTGACTTGGTTAGGATTATTAAACGACCGGCCATTGTGGCGCAATTGTTTTACCATACGGCCTGTATCTTGCTTGCCAAGTCACATCCCATGAAATCAAGCATATATCTGGTAATGAATAAAATACAGCAAACCCATACATACGACATCTGCGGTCTGGCGGCAAACACTAAGGACAAAAGTGTTGCAAACATCTCCATTCGCTGCATTGCAATCGCAGCAGAGTGTATAGAAGCCCGCGAGTCACAGGAAGAAGTCCTTGGTATATTTGACTCCATCGCTAAAGATACCAGCTGGCACACTGGGCCAATCAAAGAAGAGCTGAAACATAGATGGGGCTGGGCCCTTCAACATCCGGAGACTATTGATCCAATAAAGATGTACGATGACTGTTACGAGCTGGACCCGGCATTGCCGACTCTCAATCATCATGAATTTCCTTCTAATAATTCCAATCCCATTTTGAATATGGCTGATTTCTCGATGGAGAATCATCCATACCAGGGTTACTATGTCACCCCACATCATGCCCTCTCTGGCTACCCCTGCGACCAGTTTTTGGCGTAATCCGTTTACGAAATGGAGTTTTCTGAGCATTTAGCGTGTTTTATTATACCTTCAACATATACCCCCTTGATATCTCCATGGATAATCCCAAATTATGTACCTCTGACAATATACTTCGCTTTTTACTGAATGATAATCGAAAATTGAAACAAAATAGGACACAGTCACAACACTCATGCCTTACGCGCCAGCCGCGGTACTCGAAGGCGGATATGCATCAGTAACATAATAGTTCCCCAAATTGCAGCAGATAGGAAGGTAAGACGGAGTGAAAAGGCGTATGAATTGATCACTGGAAGTTGGTTAGTAAAATCTACAGAGATGAAAGGCGAGGAACAAACCTTGCAACCGATGCTCAGGGTCTAGATCTACAATTGCACGAATCGACTTGCGAACAAGACCAATAATGTGATCCTTTGCCTCGCCAGTGACATTATGCTCAAGTTGATAGATGAGGACATTTTGGAAAACCCAACTACTGACACTAACTCCCATCACGGAACCTAGATTCCGCGCCAGACCAAGAGTTGTTGTAGCGACTGCCTGGTCTTCCTGATCACTCGTGGCGAGTACTGAGACCATCAATGAAGGAAACGCAAACCCTTGTCCAAGACTGGACAAAGAAACACAGATCATGGCAAGGGCTTGTGGAGTGTTGACGCCCATTGACGCGGCAGCACATCCACCCAGAAGCATGAAGACGCCACCAATGATGATAGTGGGCTTCATGCGCTTTGACCAGGTGATAAGGAACCCGGTCCCGACACTAGATATGGTAACGGCGATTGATGCAGCCACAAGTCGCAAGCCCGAGTCAGTGGGGCTAGCTAACTTCACAGCTTGAAAATATAAAGGAGCATTGAACATCATGGTGTTGACCGACATTGCCCCGAAAAAGTTACCGAAAATGATACTAGCACGAGGGTCCTGTTTGAGCAAGTCAACTGGTAGCACAGCTCGTGGCACGTGTTGCTCATATCGTACAAGCACAATAGACAAGATGATTGACGCAACTAATGATCCAATGACCAACGGATGTTTCCAGGGGAATACATTTCCTCCTAAATTCAAACCCAGGATCAAAGAAGTGACTGCTAGGACCAGGATCAGAGAGCCAGTCAGGTCAATACTTTTAATGAGTTGCAACACTGTCATACGCTCCGAGCCGATCCGTTTCACACCCAGGCCTGATGGGACGGTAAAGATGGCGGTGATGAGATAGACGAATATAAAAGGTAGCTGAATGAGGAAAGCACCCCGCCAGCCAATTTTATCACAGAGAAACCCTCCGAATGCGAGTCCCAAACAACTGCCGGTGCCATAAGACATGTTTATATATGATTGATAGACACCGCGATATTCGATGCGCACTAGATCACTAGAGATAATCATTCCCATGGAGAAAACACCTCCAGCACCGAGTCCACAGACAGCCCGAGCAGCGATGAAACTACCAATACTTTGGGCCAGACCACACCAAGCGGTCGTGAAGAAGAAGACGACGATTGAAAAGAGATACACAGGTTTACGGCCAAATGTATCAGAAATGCGACCGAAAAGAGGCAAGAATGCAGTTGAAGTCAGAAGAAATGCAGTAGACAGCCACGATGCAGCGTTTGAGGTATGGAAATAAGAAGTAATGACCGGATGGCTGGAGGCCATGAGAGTGGAATCGAAGAAGCCAATAGCATAGCCCATCATGACACCAGCGAAAATCAGCCAGAACCGAGTGGGCGTTACATCTATGAATCTCCCAACATAGCTGTCTTCTTCGCTCGATGTGCTGCACGCATCATCGTCTTGTGCATGATTGTTCCTTTTTGCAGAGCTGGCTGACGGGAGCCTTTCAAGGTCCGGTTCAATATCCAAATCTTGAGATATTGAGCCTAAGACAGCAATTGTAACATCTTCGTCGACATTATGTGTTTTATTCACGATACTGCTATATCGCGTGCTTAAGTAGTCATTTTGCAGTAGCCGAGTTGACTCAGAGGCATGAGAATCCCGACCTGTCCCTTCTGCGTTGCTCATATTGGAAGAACAGTATTATGTGAAGATTTTAAATGCAGAAGAATAGTTAGTGAGGAGTATAACTATTCTTAACTGACCTTGAAAAGGTGCAGACTGATCAATCAAATGAGAAGTTGAAAGGAAAAAAGGAAATGAAAAAAAGAGAAAAAAATGCGGGGAAATAAGTGTGACTGATAGGCTAAAATTCAAAATATCATCCCCGAGAATCAATCAGTTATTTCTCCTACAGCCAAGTTCCTTGCATATTAAAATCGGACGAATGGGTTAATGTAGGACGTACAACGTTCCATTGTTGCAAGCATTGACCTTGACCAGTTCCCGATCTTAAGCCGATCACGATAAGCGGGCGAGGGTGACAAATCCATCCCCAACCATATCTCCTTTTCACTCCGTACATAACACTCTATAAACAGCAGCCATGCGTCCACCTCTTCGGATTGCCATTTTAGAGTGCGATACTCCGCTTCCCAAAATTGACAGCCAGTACAATGGCTACTGGGGAGTCTTCAAGACACTTCTGGAAGCAAGCGCCGAAGCCTTGGGTCAACCTGACCGACTAGATCCAGATACAGGTCTGGATATTACCAAGTGGGATGTCGTAACTCGCCAGGAATATCCAAACATGGAAGATGTCGATGCCGTACTTCTAACTGGGTCGAGTTCGTGTTTCTACCTACAGCTACACAGCATCAACTAATTGAACGTAACAGAACACGATTCATATGAAGATGTCCCATGGATCAATCGTCTAGTTGAATTCACCCAAAAAGTACTTGACCAAGACAGAGTCCGTCTAATTGGAATATGTTTCGGACATCAAATCGTAGGCCGCGCACTTGGGGCCAGGGTCGGAAAAAGCGATCAAGGCTGGGAAATTGCCGTGTGTGACATGGATTTAACGGAGGAAGGAAAGAAGTTATTTGGATTGGAGAAGATCGTAAGCTGACTACCACCGCTCCATTATGGACAGAACCAAATATTGACTGTAAACAGCGCATCCAACAAATGCATCAAGACATTGTTCAGACTTGTCCGCCAAATATCGTTCTTTTGGGTTCTTCTCCTCGCTGTGCTGTTCAGGGTCTGTATTCTCCAGGTCATTTTGTCACTGTGCAAGGCCATCCTGAATTTACAGGCGAAATTGAGACAGAGATTATTGGAACTCGGGCAAAGGCCGGCATTTTCAGCGAGACTCAGACGCAAGATGCTTTGAGCAGAGCTGGCAATGCGCATGATGGTGTTGCTATTGGGTCGACATTCTTGAAGTTCCTCCTAGAAGATTAGATGAGAGACTAACAGGAGTATTATGGTTAGAATGAGTTACATAGACAGAATTTGCCGTGGATTTTATTGATATGCTCATAGCATGTCACCTAGGCACTTTCCCATTCCAAGATTATTCCTTCTAATTGCTTTCTTTTCCATTTCAAGTGGACCCTTTCAGTTTTACAACCATTCCCACTACCTTCTTGCAATTTGGTATCTCTAGATCTCGAAGTCCGTGTTTCCGTTTAAAACATGATCTAGTAACCCCGATTTTTGTTGTGAGTTCCCTGGCATAATACTAATGCCATTAAACTTAATGAACGCAATTGACTAAATCCTTTACTTCAAGAGCGCTTGGTTAGCAAGCTCAACATGAATCTGGATTGGTTAATTCCTATCCCTTATCTGAGATTTCTAGAAAAATGGCATCTTGCATATCAATCCTGTTTTCATTCTAGGGATTCGTATTCATTTTATCTGCATTCACGGCCTTCTCATTAAATCTTCCATACCTACCTTGGTAGATATAAACCCCAATCACCCTTCTCCTCCCGAGTTCCTTCTTTCTCACCGAATTAAGCAATATATTAATTCTTTATTAGGTCGGTAAGACCATAATAATATCGTCAAGCTCATTCCCCTGTCGACGCAGGTTAATCCGTGACTATGAGCGCGAAGTTCGTGTGGAGACTCAGATTCAATTCCAAATCTGTATATGAGTCTAGACCTAAAACCTTTTAACGGCTTGGACGAACGGGCAAATGATAGAAATATATCTTCCACCATCTATGAGGCTTATTGACATGGATGCAGACCTCAGGACCTATCTGAGTATGCCTTGGCTGATTGAAAATTAACGTATGAAAACCTTGCATTAGGTGAATAATGATAAAGATTCATTGGTAAATCTAATAATAATAGGGCAAGCCCGGCAAGATGCCTCAAACAGCAAGGTAAAGGTATCGAAAAAGCAATTAGGCTAAAAAGCCCGCCAAACCCCTCCCCAAAGATGCAAGTCGTTATCCGTTGAGAAGTGCTCCAGGCACTTCATTTCCATAAGTGATATAAAAAACGCCACCAAACCTGCCGATCCTTGTTCATCCCGCTGCACTTTATGGCAAAACACATTTTCCATGTCCCAAATGCCCCTATGCTCCATACACTAACGCTATCGCAATGCAAGTAGATCGCTGCAAACAAAAATTAAGAGTCGACCATTAGGCTCGTCGAGACTGAGAAAATCGGCTGCTGCGACGAGGGCCCTTCATGAAATCGTGCTGTTCGATACCAGAGTCACTAGGTGTAACATCTGATCGTGCCTTTTCAGCATCTGCTTTCATCTGGGGGTGTCGATCAGTCAATGTTATATTTCAGTGTTGAGTAAAGAGAGGAGATCTCACTCGCAGTTTGAGGGAGACGACCTCGTTTTGATCGTCTCGGAAGGAAATGCCGACGCCCATGGTGAGATTTGTAATCGGACGCTTCATTGGGCGACCTCGGCGAGAAGTGGCCTGTGGATCCTCAGAATCATCGTCACTGTCGTCTGCGGAACGCTTGCTCCCAGTGCTATAAGGAGATGAGGATCGAGAGATCTGAAGACTAGGCTTCAAATTGGAATGATGGGCCAACTTTTTCTCCGATGAGTCATTCTTGTCGTCGAGCAAAGCTGCAAATGCACGGTCGATGTCCCCACGGCATTTCTGGAGCATGTTGATTATGGTTTTTCGGTCGTATCGGCCTCCAAGTCCGTCTTGGATGGACTGAATGTCCCATGGGGGAAAGACTTCAATGGCCAGGTTGTCATTATTGGTGCTGAAAGATTCAAGTGATGTGTCGTTTGTGGAGAAAGAGGTAGATGTATGGGCGGGTGAAGAGGCGGAGGAGGAAATGGAAGAGGGATAGTCGCTGTCTTGGCCGGGTGAAGTGTCCTCCACCTCCTTTCCAATGACGTCTTTTGAAAAGCTGGTAGGTTGTTGGAATGTGGTCAAGAGACCATTGTGGCAGGCATATAGGGCCCGCACCGACGAATAGTGCTTGAAGTCCTATTGAATGAGTCAGATGTGAACGAAGGTATGAAAGAAGAGGAAGAGGGGGGAGAGATGCAAAAAAAAACTTACATGAAAAGCGACATGTACGACATGCTTATGATCGTCAGGAGAGGCATTGACGTCACGAAATGTTTGGATACCAGTTGAAGTGTAAACATTGATGTCGACTTGATATGACTGGCAAAAAGCCTGCAAGTGCTCTGAACTTCCCCATTCACCATTTTTCCGAGTCAGGGCAACCATGTCGTTGAAGCGGCGTTCTTTGTCTGCTTCGGTCGGAGCCGATACATCGGCCGAACGCGTGGCATATGTCGAGGCAGCGGCTCTTTTTGGACGACGACGCTCACCACCCTGAGCAACGACGAATTGCATAAAATAATTCCTGTTGCTTGCAATGTGATCCGCTAGACGCTGGCGGATGGTGTCGCCGTGATTGAAATCACCATAGAGTTGGTCGGAGAGGGAATAGTAGAGGCAATTACCTATGTAGCGCGTTAGAATTAAAGTAATTTAAGCTTAAATAGCTTTACTCTGATATTTCAAAGTAAAGTGAAGTTGACTTACCATCGCCCTCTGTCGGTAAAGCAAAAAGATCACGTTCCCTCAGACATGGAATATCCTCACAATTGACACTTTTGGCAGGCATTGAATTACTCGACCGTTGTAGCTGTGGAGAATCAATTGTGCGGGGGAGAGAATGATGTTGTTTTAGTTGAATCGTGGAGTCGTGGATCTGTTGTTGGTGACCCGTAAGTATGGGCACAATTCTGCCACCGTGTGTAGTATGGGACATTGTGAAATTAGCCCTGCTCCGATTGAGCTAATCATTTATAGATGGAATTAAGAGAGGAACAAAAGTGATTTCTCAAAATCGAAAGGTGGTTTATTGAAGTAGAAGTAAAGAAGTAAAGAAGTAAAGAAGAGAATATAGTAGAGTAAAGGATGAAAATGGAAGAGAAAGTGGAAATTCAGGCAAAACCCAGATTTCAGTGCCGAGTCTAATAGGGCGGTCAGTCATCTACACCTTGTGATTGGATGAAACTATAAAAGTACCACTGTACATTGACGTCGACGACAGCTAAACTAAACCTATTCAAACATTTTACTCAATTGTACCTTCGTGAATACTAAACTATCCCATTTTAGTCCTTTATCTAAACTCGGTTTCACTTCTACTCAACCTCAAAAGTAAGACTGAAGTGAGACTGGCTTCATTTGTGATTCCTTCTTTCTAGGGATGGGGTGGAGCGGCACGGGACTTTACGGAGAAAGGGGGTCTTATTGCTTTGAAAAATCTCTTCAATTGAATGATTTCAGATCTGACATATCACCAGCAGGAGAAAAAATGAGTATTTGATAGATTTGATGCCATTGACCTTAACAGAAGACTATTATTTGTTTCATCCCCTCTTGGAGAAATGAAGTAAGATCCGATAAATTACGTCGTCGGGTACTCCATACGGTGTATTTTGAGTGGTTAGATGGTAAGTAATCTGATTCGTTCGTTATCACACCGCCCCATATCCCAGCTTGAAATATCATACGATAAGATACACTCCAAGTATAAGATAAGATAAGATAAGATAAGATAATGAATAACTCTTCGTGTACCGGTGTACCTAGGGCCGGCGCCTAGGAGAGCAAGTGTGGGTCGTAGACCCCCTCGTTCGCAGTGATATATGTCTGACGACTTGCTCTTAATATATTCAGACTATTCCTAACACTGGTATATTTCCAGAAAGCGAAGAGACCTGTGCAAAAACTCCTCTGAATATGCCTAACATTGTTGTTCTGGGGTAAAATCTCTTGACCCCGCATGATAAGTAAATGCAGAGCTAACGCAGTCACAGTGCTGGCGTCTCTGGCTTGACAACTGCTTTACAGTTATCCAAAGACCCGGCTTACAAGATCACAGTGCTCTCTAAGCACATGCCTGGTGACTATGACATAGAATATGCATCTCCATGGGCTGGTGCCAACTATATGCCGTACGACCTATTTGGATCATGAGTCGGAATGAACGAATAAGCTGATCCGAGTATAGGTTTGGAAAGGCTGGAAGCGATCATCAGGCCTGGGAAGCCGCTACCTGGCCGACACTGAAGGAGCTGACAGAAAACCACCCCGAGGCTGGTATACACTTCCAAGACGCGGTAATCTATAGCCGGAAGAAAGACCAGGAATCGGCGACTGGGCAGTGGTCCTCAGAGTTGGTACAGCCTGACCCGTGGTATAAAGATGTTGTACCCGATGTATGCTTGGTCCCCTGATAAGTACTGATATTGTAGAATCAATAAACTGACAAGGAACTGATAGTTCAAATCTTTGCCGGAAAGTGACCTCGGACCAGAGATTGATAGTGGCCAGAAATTTACATCGGTGTGCATCAACACGGCTGTGTACCTACCATGGCTCGTGGGCCAGTGTACAAAGGCAGGCGTTGTTTTCAAGAGAGCTGTGTTGAGTCATATCAGAGAAGCAGCCTACTTACATCACTCCAGCAACAAGGCTGATGTGGTCGTGAACTGTACTGGACTGGCGTCCAAAAAGTTGGGCGGAGTCCTGGATGAAGCGCTCCTCCCTGCCAGAGCTCAGATCGTTATTGTCCGCAACGATCCCGGTGCCATGTACGTCATCTCTGGAACAGACGATGGCGAGGATGAGGTCACGTACATGATGACGCGTGCTGTGGGAGGTGGCACCGTCCTAGGGGGATGCTATCAGAAGAATAACTGGGAATCACAGGTTGACCCCAACCTTGCGGTCCGTATTATGAAGCGTGCAATTGCACTTTGCCCGCAACTCGTCAAAGAGGGACAGGGTATTGAGGGTCTTGATATTATTCGCCATGGTGTTGGGTTGCGGCCTGTGCGAGAGGGTGGTCCTCGTGTTGAGAAGGATCTGGTTGATGGTGTGGCTATTGTTCACAACTATGGTCATGGAGGTTTTGGCTACCAGGCTTCTTTTGGTTGTGCAGATACTGCGGTGTCTTTGGTCAAGGAGGTCTTGAGTAAGACTCGGGCTAAGCTTTGAGCAGTGTCATTGTAGTGAGCAAGTCACAGATCTAGTCACTCCATCTTATTCATGGATCTAGTATCTTGAACGTCAATGCGAATCTCCCTGTAAATAAACCTGGGAAGCGTTGAATGTAGTTGCCACTAGACTTGTGAACACTTGGAACCCAAATATACTCTATCTAGATTTGAGGGCCGCGTAAGAGGGTAGTTGATGATGTTACGAAACCACCACGGAGTTCGAAGAAGAGCAAGGCAACTTCCAGATCCTGAAAGCCTTAACCTATAAATTTCACGACTCTCTCTAATTCGAAATACCTGCAGCTAAAAACGTAAACAGTTGATCCTTTTAGAGAATGTTTCTAAATGACAAGCAAGTCACGTGGATCAACATGCTGATTCAGCTACTAGGCTTGGCAGACCCGCCGGTTGCGACAGCCACAACTACCTCCGGCGCTGTTTGGTTCTCCCAACGTATTGTAACCCCCCTGATCAACCTCTATCAATTGTGAAAAGCGCTGGCCACTATATGCCCTTGTCTGTCTGTAGAATTTAGCTCCCGGTGAGTTCCTCCAGATCTACCCCACTTCATCCGATTTCGCTACTTCCTCCCCCGGATATCGATTTCGAGCTCATAGCGTCGTGCAGTGCCGTCGAAAATAATCTTTCCGCCTAGAGCTTTGATGCTAATCAACCACTAGTAACTCACAACCCATCTGTCTGAAACTTCCAGGCTCAGACTACCCACTTTCAACCACGAAGCTGTTTGACCTCTACAACTTCAACATGGACTTCTCGAACATCTTGTATGCACTACCTGTTGCGCGTGGAGCTAGGAAATAACCATTAGCTGACAATCGCTCGCAGTCGTCTCGTTAACATCGTGGTGGGTGTGTTGATGGTGCTGGGTGGTATCAGCCAGTTCTTCCCAGCCAGCCTCAGCTCCGTCATCGTTGGAGCGTACGTGATCGTCTTCGGTCTCGGTAAGTATTGCAAGAAACAGAAGTCGTGGTACCCAACTAATGTGATGATGTAGTTGTCGCTGGCCTCGAGTTCCTGCCCAACATACCCGACTATGCTTACCGCTACGCATCCTTCCTCTTCTCTTTCCTCGGCCGTGGTGTCTGTAGGTTATCACCAGCTCTCCTTCGAGTAATCGTAACTAACCCTTCATCTAGTCTACATCTTCGTCGGCTGCCTCCTGCTGCACGATAACGTGCTGCGCATCATTGCCGGCTCGCTTGTTGGCTTCATCGGCGTTGGCTTCGCCGTTCTCGAGTTCATCCCGTCCATCGAGCCTCCCTCAAACATGCGCGAGTCTGACCAGGGCTGGGGCTCTGAGCAGGTCTAATTTCAGACTTGGCAAGATGGCACTTTTCTCAGTGACTGATATGGGGACAGTGAGCATGTTGCGCTGTCTATACTATTCAAGAATGATAATACGTGTGATTCAATGACTTGATTCTCTATCGCAATGCGATTGACGATCTTCTATGTGACTTGACAAGGTCTTCCTTCAGTTTGTCTTCAATTTTCGGACTATACAAGGATCTTATCTTGCTTTTGTGATTTCTGGCTATTCTTTCTTTTTGATACCTGTGGATGATGATATTTGAAGAAGGTTATACTTGTGTACTATACGTCAGGATTTTTTTCCATCTAGGCTAATAGCACTTTGAAGCACTATGTAGGTAGCTGTATGAGTGCTTTTTTCTTAGCTTCCAACCTCTCCTTACTCTAAAAAGGCCAGTTAGCTCAGGCAGTAACTGGGAACTGACTTGATAGGTCTCTACACTAGATGGACAGAGCATATTTCTCACCTCTGAGCTAGGAATGTGATTTTCAATGTAACATACCAGGCAAACACTAAAAGGAGCTTTGACAAATCGGCCTTCCTAGATACACACCTGGGTAGAGAATACACCATGTCATACGCCGTACTCACCGAGTCTCCAAACCTAGGTGTCCTCTACCCTTGGCATCATCTTCGATAGCTCTCTAATCTTTGCAACCCTGGAATCAGTATTTCTTTTTTTTTTTTTTTTTTTTTGGTTTTTACAGATGTCAAGATAGGCCTCGGGGTGAACTATCTCAATTCCGACTTCAACGACTTCTCAGCCTCAAGCTCATTCCTTTTTCCCATTAGTTGAAAAGCTTTCCACTTTAAGGCATTGATTGATCTTATCATTAGCTCTCATAGCTCAAAGCTTAGCCTTCAGGCATTAACCTAGTTAAGTTAGGTTGGTTAGCGTGTACTTTACGTATCCAACTCTCTGCAAAAACTGGCTATCAGTTTGAAATGGAAAAATACAGTTAGGTCAGATTTCAGTGGATCATTTCCTAAGCGAGTTAACGCTCTGTACATATGTGTCAATAAAAGAACATCTGAAAACGGTACGGATGGATCCCGTTTGGGCCGAGAACCAACGAGATATGACTAATTACTGCTGACAATCGCAATCCACCAATTAAAAACAATGTAAAGATGCTTCACGCATTGGCCCACTTTATGTCGACGGAATCCCACTTATTCCCGTTTATTCCCACTTCCTTTACGCTGGTTTTTGCCTCTTAAAAACTCTCATCTCATCAATCAGTCAGATTAGATTTTAGTGGAACCTGGTAGATATAGGGTTAGTTAATAGCATTCCCATCGATTAATCATGAACAGAAAATACCAAAAATCAAGTACAAAAAGTAGGGGGCTAAGGAAAAGAACAGATCAAAGAGATTAGATGAGATAGCGTCGGGAATGCGATTAGAGGATAGATTGATACCGTCGATCCCCCTTAGATCGATAAAGCCAAAAACTCCCCATGATCCCTTTTTTCCTTCCCTTTCCTTCTCTTTATCCTTCTATCTTGTCAACATCACACCACCCTTGTCCATCTCACACCACCTATTCCCAATTACTCCGTAATCTCCCCCCACATCGTCTTATTGGTCTCGTCTCCTTTCCTTCCTATCTTTTTCCTTCCCATCTTATTCCATTTTCTCAACTCGGCACCGATCATCATCCTGCATAACTAGCCCTTGGGATCAATCTCCCCATACCTGTTCCTCGGCTAACAAACCGAAACGTGCCAAGTTTACAGTTTCAGTGTCAGCTGTCCAAGTACCTCAATCACCTGACAGGCCTGGAACTCTTGCTACGATCGATCTTCTCTGCCTTCTTTAATAGAGTTGCGCACTTTCCAATCCCTGTCCGCTTGCCCCTCCTTTTTTGCAAACATTCTCTCCTGCACACCTGCATCTGCCGGCCCCTACACACATCAGCTTGACCGACATTTTCCATTTCCTGTGTGTGATACGGTGAATTCCGCTTCCGACTGCGGTGCGACATAACCCTCACTTCCACCCATAATTGACTTTTTTCTTTCTCGCTTCCGCTGCTTCGTTCCTGAGTCCCTCCGCTATCGGGTTCTATTTTGCGTCCTCCTTGTTTCGAGATCGAGATCAAGATCAAGATCACGACCACGCGTAGGAAAATAAAAAACAACACGGCCGACCTCCGGCGACGAGGTGGTTATGCTAGCATCCATCACAATGGAAATGGTGCGCTCTTTCCCCCAGAACTCCAGTGCTTCGATACGCCAACCTTCAGCGGAGGATCTAGACGCTGCCCAGCAGCTGATTTCGTCTTCGCAGGCGGGTCGCGAACATTCAACAGATCATTCTGGTGATTATGCACCGATCAAGGCATCACAAAGCCCTGTATCAAGGTATGGTACCTTGCCTGATGGTGGGTATCAACTCCTACGTCGCGATAAGACGTCTCCCAAGACGACTCAAAAAGATGCACCCTTCCTGGGACATTCGTGCAGGTGAGTTCATTTACTCGAAATCGTTTTTGGATTGGTAAATATTGACAATATCTTTCCTTTCCCCCAGTAATTGCGGCACAAAAAATACACCTCTTTGGCGTAGGTCTCCAACTGGTGCGATGATCTGCAACGCTTGTGGACTTTATCTGAAGGCTCGCAACGTCGCCCGTCCTACAAAACGAACTCGTGCACACCAAAGTACCAGTGCTCCTGACAAGGCGGCGGCCACTCCTTCTCCCCATGATTACAAGAAAGTGACAACGGGTGGCGGTGGTTGTGGAGGGTCTTGTCCGGGTAATGGAAGTTGCAATGGTACTGGCGGTGCTGAGGGGTGTGATGGCTGTCCGGCGTACAACAACCGCATCTTTAAGCCTGCCCTGGCTCCTCACCCCCCTTCGTGGAGTAGTCGCACTTCTCCGGTTGAAAATGACACAGCTCTTCCCACAGAGCCTGAGGCACCGAGTAAACCTACAACTGATGCAAATGGCACGCTGGTCGCATGCCAGAATTGCGGCACGACTGTCACTCCTCTCTGGCGACGTGATGAGCACGGTCATCCCATTTGCAATGCTTGTGGCCTTTATTATAAGCTTCACGGCTGCTATCGTCCGACAAACATGAAAAAGTCTATCATAAAGCGTCGCAAACGTGTTGTTCCAGCGCTTCGCGACCATTCCCCGACAGCCACTACCCATTCGTCCAACGGTTCGTCCGTCTCCCCCGAGACATCTCCTGCCGCGCTTGCCTACCATGACGATCACCAACGCTACATGAGCAATGAGCCAGCGGATCCTGATCATTCGATGCCTGGTTGGGGTTTGCACGAGGAAGCACCACGACTTGCATTCGCCCCTCCTCCAGTTGATTTCACCGACTTCTACACCACCCCTGCTCCTGCGCACCACCACCCGTTTCCGAAACTGCTGGAACCGGAAAGATTGGCCCACTCGCCAGTTTCTCAGCATGGACGGAGATCGGTGTCTCCAAATTCTCTTGGCCTTCCTAAGAAAAGAACCCTCGCTGAGACTACGGCAGAAGGCATGCCCACCCCAAACAGCTTGGAATCCGAATCCAATCACCTTCCGCCTATCATGTCCTCGCTCAATCATACACCTCCGGGCCGTTTGAGCTCGATCTCCTCCATCTTGAATCAGACAGATAACCGTGGCTTGAATCAAGCCGACGGCCGTGCCAACTTCCAGGGACACCAACCATCTTATGCCTCTCCTCTTTCTACAACCACTCAATCGCAGGCGCTTCCAGGCATAATGATTCATTCTTATGCTGATACCGCAGCAGAACGACGTGCCAAGCTGCAACGTGAAGCCGAGCAAATGCGGGAAGCACTTCGCGCCAAGGAGCGTGAACTGGCCGAAATCAACCTCTAGACTTTGTTATCGTCAAAAACTAAGTTCTCTACGACATTATGAGTTTCAAAATATTCGGGTTCAAGGGAGAAAGGGATTCCCTCGGTATGAACCCCGGCGCAAATAAATGCAACATCATTTGCGTAAGATACCACTTCCTTTGTTGGGACATCCTGGGTCCCTCAGTGTGATATTATCATTCTTTCCTACCAAAATAGTTGAGGATGAATGTACGACAATTGAAAGTTTTATAGTCTCCCCTCTATGATTAGCTTGATATAGCGAATGGAGATTTTCATTACTGAACCTTGAAGCCTCACTAACCGCTATCACTCCGATTAGTACCCATACATTGTAAAAGCATGTGGCCGCCCAGGAGAAATGGAATGAAATTTTGGCTGATATTATATTTGAATGAACGACAGAGCATGAATCAAATGGCCACCCAGAAGAGCCCAAGATAAAGTGCTGAGAAAAGGTATGTCATCGCAATGCAATCGTAAAGTAGGAGGAGGTATGGAATTAAAAATCCATCAAAGGACTTTCATAGGAAGGTTGGAACAAGTGGAAATGGAACAGAAAAGAAAAAGAACACGGAAGATATCAAGGCTCATCGACCAACTGCCGCTCACTAGCAGTATCCTCCTGCTTAGCCTCCTTAACAACAGTCATCTCAGTAGTAACTTCAATGCCACCAAGAGAACTATGGCTAGAATTGCCCTCGCCATGCTTAACATTAATAGAATACATATCATACTCCTGCTTGCACTGACTTTGATAAAGCTGACTAGCAAGCCTCTGCGAACACGCAGTAGTAAACCCAGCCGGCCGCTTAGTGCTCGCATAATTGTAACCATTAGTAGAAAGCATCTTGGGGAAGATCGCACTGATAACAGGTCTCAGGAACGGAAGACAAGCGCAGATGATAGCAACATTGCATTCAGCCGCTGTCCAATACGCCGCCGAGACATTGACGTAAGATGTATCGGCCGTATCGCCTACTTCCCGTAGACTGGAAAGTCGGAGGATACTCATCACGACGACGAGGGCGCCTATGGCAAACACTCCCATCAGCGCAAATTTCTGCATGCGCGGGAGTTGTAGTTTCGAGAGGAGTGGCATTGGTAGCAAGAGGAGGACGACGTCTGTAGCGATATTTATCGACGCGTTGAAGAACCAGACGGCTTCGAAACTCAGGCAGTGGCCATGTAGATCTTGGTTCCAGAACTTTGCTACGGGCACGCAGTTTAGGAAGCCGCTTACGAAGGCCCAGGTTCCGTAGGCTGCTACTATGCCCATTGCTATTCGGCAGGTTAGGCGGAAGCGGAAACCTGGGAATATGCGGAGGTATTGGAGTAGGATGGAGAATTTCGTGAATATTAGGCTGGCGTTGTAGATTGGGATTGCGGCCCAGAGAAACTGGGGATTGATCAACTTAGTCAGGTGTGAATTCGATGTTGGGAGGGCATGATTGAAGCACCTTTAGTTGTTGGTGTAAAATATGTTTTGGAAGGAGCCATGAGTGCTTTCCCATTCCGTAATGTAATTCTATTTGAATGTTAGTCTCAATTGAAACTCTGTATTGGTGGAGGACTTACGGGCAGCGACGAGTCCCAGGTATATAAGCGACAGTATCTATAAAACGAAGTTAGTTTTTGATTCTTCTTCATTCCATGGTTGTCAGGACTTACCATTGCGCCGACAATTGTCCAGTCTTCACGACCGGTGAGTTTCAACAATCCTACTCGTGCATATAATCGCACGGACACAGTGAGTGCAGACAATGAGGTCAAAACGGCCGTCACAACCAAGGCACGTTGGCCATGAGCATAGCCATCAGCACTCCGAGTCACCAATCCAAATAGAACATCCATTCTGGCTCAAACGAACGAAGTTATAATAAAGGAGTGTCGTAGAGGCAAGCTGTGCTACCCTCTGTTCAAGCGATAGCTTACCGCATTAATGTCAAAGAAGGTCTGAGTCTGAGTCTGAGTCTGGACTTGAAGAAAAGCAACGAACGCCTAGCACAATCGAAACAAAAAAACGTGCATTTAGTCCCCGATCTAATCGGAACGCAACTTTGAACCCGTTTGAAACTGCGGTCTGTCCGAAGTAGAAGAGCCGAATCTCAGATTTTGTGTTCATGCAGGAGCATCACGCGAATGCAGGGTTATCACACGAAAAGCCGCTGATTTTTCGATGATCTGCCTCTGGCTTGAATAGTCCGATAGCGGCACAAGTAGTGATATCCACCAAAAATGCATTTCTGGGCCTTTGTCACATCACTTTCATATCTTTCTACTTTCTGATACTCGTATGGAGCTGATTCTAATGGAACGGCTTAAATCCACATTTAAAGTGGCCCGTTCCTCACACTTCCGTCAGCCATGATGGATCACCTTGACTCAGGAACCTGGCTTTATAAGGTACACTGGATCGAAGATACGAGTCTATATGAATGACTCGTTCATCTGATATGAGCTGTCTTCTTTACCGCTTCCCTTGACGCCACTCGTGGACGCCGTGAACTTCATTTTATACTGACCCACTGTTCGGGATACCCGCATTCTGAGTGGTTTTTTGATCTGCTGCATTACTATGCTTCCGAGGTCGGTTACGGGACAATCGATGCCTCATATGCATGTTGCTTGCATCCGAGCACGTAGGACTCCACAAGCCATATGTACGGCGTAAGTAGTATCAGTATGGAACTTCAAGGTTCCGGATGTCAAGTTTAGATGATTTGTAACTTCGCCGATCACTTCCCCTGAAGAAGAAGTAACATTCGTCAATCTATCCACTAGTTTCTCCGCCATCGCTTATTACTATCGAGTGCTAATCCAAAAGAAGACAGGCGACAGTGATCAACATATAAAGGCCTGATCATGTCAGCAAAGATCCCCACAAACTCCACCAACACTTACCAAAACATTCCACCGATCTGTCCTGTTCGTAGTCACTCCTCCCGCTCTTACCAAATACTAATGCAATGCTCACATTGCATACATCTCTTTCGGGATTAATCGGACATATATACGATCGATGTCATCAACTTAGAACCTTGGAAAAGGATCGGCGAAGCTAAGGGAAGTGCCGGGTTGACTATCTACTCACTTTTTACTCAATCTCATTCTACTCCGTAAAAAGGACCAGGTCACCGATAAGATTGTGTAGCGTTTGTTACTTCGTATTAATACGATCAGCTTGATATTTGTAATTCTTCCTTCACCAATAGAATGTTTGCTTTGTGAGCCTCTTCATCTCTGCTAGAGATCGCGTTTCTTGCGTATTAATCCAGCCCGAAACTTTTCATCCTTTTGCCCCTCGTCATCATTGTCATAGTTACCAGGTCTAGGTGGGCTTGGTGCCCACGGAGAGGAGCAATGATAAGATCTTCCATTGTCACTAGTAAATATTGACGAGTATTAGCGAATCTGAATATCGGTACAAATGCCGTCGCCTTAGTCAATAATGCGAAAATACAAAATGTCTTCCACGATGATTTCAAGATCAGACTTTCTCGTTATTCCTATAGACGAATGTATTTATCAATGAGAAGTTTCAGGATGAAATCCATATTGGCAGTGCAAAGTGCATCCAGACGTTGGTGAAGGCCCTCCATCTCTTTGTTGAGGACCTCCACGCGGATAATGGTTCTTCGCGTGATTGTGAAGGATATCAAGGCAGCAATTCATAATGCGATGATCGAGGAGACCAGTCATGACACGACTCTTTATCTCTTCCTTCTGTGAAATTATCAGCTTATGAATAATAGATATCATAAGTACTTTAACTGATGATTCAACTTCTAATGAAAGCTAGAGAAGACTGATGCATGTAACCTTGCTATATAGGCTCCTTTTGGTCCCATACTGAGGGGATATTGTCAGAACGATGGTTGACTAGTCTTACTGTTCGTGCATATGCAACTAGATTAAGGTGCGTTATGATTCGAGTTATAAGTGTGTTATTCAATCTTGTCCTCGCTGTAACTAAATAGAAAAAACTCACTAGATTCACTTCATGTCGCTGGACCAACTGCACCGGACCATTCTCATTGGTCGTGTGCCCCACTTTGGTCTGGTGGTATCGACAGATATATCTCAAGATAACTAACTCCATATGAGATTCTTTCGAGTATAAAGAGGTTTTTCATGTAAAATATCCAAAAAAAAAAAAAAAAAAAAAAAAAATCTATTTGTAATTCTATTCATGTGTCACATAAGCACTGTGCATGCTTGAAAATTGCTGTACCGAGATGAAAAACAATGAAGTAATACTGAGATAAAAGTGAAAGTGAAGTCAACCTGGGAATATGCTTCCTCTTCGAAAACGTAAGAGTAAAGCGAAAATCCCTCGGGCTTCTTCCCAAAATAAATGCTATGATCGATCACAAAACATGTTCTTTTTCTTCCTCCTTGGGAATACGCACCCAGATTATAGTCACCAACGCTGCAGTGAGTTGAGCTCCCAAGGCAAACCACCAAATAGCACGCAGTCCCTCTAGTCCAATTTCTCCATCAGCACCCCGATTAACCCTTGTGCCAATGGCATCGGCAACACTGGTCATGATAGCTGAGGAGAGATTCTGGTTTGTGACTAGTAGACTACCAGCCGAGCCTTGCATGGACCGCGCAACATTACTCGTGATGAAAATGCTTGCTGCGGCAAAAGCCAAGTCAGGGCCGAATGTGACAAGCGCAACGCCTGGGAAAGAGAGTTTCCAGTACATAGTACTAGCCGTCTGTGGAAGGAAAAATGCCGGTCCAAGAGTAAAGGCGAACATTGACACAACATAAATATAGTGGCCGGGAACAATGTGGAGAATGCGGCTGACGATGAATGTGGCGAATAATCCGACCACAGCATTAGGGATATGGTAAAGTGCCACATCTATCGGTGAGGCGTGCTGGATTCGAAGCCAGAATTGGATGGCGTAGAACTGCCACGCTCCAAAGAATGAACCAAAGCCGAGGAAATAGGCGACCATCAACGGCGTAAATCCAGGTGTTTTCCACAGTCGATTGGGGATAAGAGGTCGAACAGCGACTCGCTCGACAAAGAATAGTGCACCCAGGAGAATCAATCCAATTATAATTAATACGTAAGTATAGGGAGACCACGAGGCGATAGGTCCCTGGGTGAGACCGAAAAGTAAACAAACACACCCGCCGGCAGCGCAAGCACCACCAATGAAGTCGAACTGACGCAGACTCGGAGCATCGGCGCCTGCAACATCTGCGACTGGTCGCAGAGATGGAATACTGAACCAAGCTCCAAGGCAGCAGATGGCGCAAATTATAGCGTTTGATCCGAAGATCCAAGCAAGATGGTCATGGAGACCACCGCCTTGGAGACAGCCAAGTGAAAAGCCCAACGGAGCACAGGCAGCCATCGCGCTGAAAACCCGGTTCTTCCTAAGCCCTGGGGAATAGACCCGTCCCAGGATGCTCATGGATCCAGAGACTAACACTCCAATTGCAAGGCCCTGCATGGCACGCATGACGAAGAAAAGAACATATCGAGACGGGTGTAGAGAGAAAGCTCCGATGATATTCCAGACAGTCAGCCATGCAAAGGCGCCTACCATGAGGCTTTTTGGAGGCACGAGATCTGAAAGAGACCCAGATATAACAACGGATAGACCATTTGCGGTATTAAATGCACCCACAATCCATGGCAGCTGAGTGTTCGAAATACCCAGCGCATTTTTCAGCTGTTCTTGTGGAGCAAGCATGTCTCCCAAGAGGAAGGAAAAGAGCATAAGGCCAGTGGAACAAACTATTACTAGGATAATTTCTGCTGTGAAACTTCCGATCTCCGGGGGTACACCTTGCTTCGATCGGATCGGCAAAGCTGCTTCATCGGCTTCATCCTGAGGTCGGGATACCGAAATCCTCCGGTTGGTCAGCCGATGGTCCAAAGAGTCAAGTTCAAGACCTTCGTGTTTCTGAGAAATATCGGTGATAGTTTGAGAAATATTCTTCGGGTATTGCTTATCGCTAGCAATAATATTGCCCAGTAGAGGATCGGGAGTTTGGGCACCGGTCGCTGGAGTCGAGTACGTTCTTGAATAAGAGAATGAAGACCGACCAGATACTGGTAGAGAGTCTGCAGCTTGCATCATCTCTGCCATGGTAGTACTGGAAATCACATCATTTTGGGTGTGTGGATGTGGAGGGGTTTGTGGGGGCCCATCGATACCCTCCGAATACGATCCAACTGGCATCGTGAACGAGAACGTGGATAGTACCACAAGTCTAAACGCTGATATAATGATATAAGGACCAAGGATACAGGAGAGTCAACAGACAGGTTACAAAAGGATCAGTAAAAGATTTTATCTGGGCAGTGGCGACATAAAATGTTAAGTAATAATCTAAGACGAGTGGAGTTAGTAAAACACATAGGACCCACCTCCCGTTTATCACGAATTAAGCTGAATGCAGATAAGAATCGGATCCATAGTGAGAACCGAGCATACTTGAATCGGTCTGTTCAATCAATTTTAAGGGATTGGTGCGTGATATCAGATTGGAATCACTACATCGCGTAAGAAACTTGAGCAGGGAATATGGTGCCACTTCAATATCACCAAGTACGTAGTAGAACATGATCATTTCCCCGCAATAAAAAAAGGGCAATCCCGAAGACCAGCGGTTTAAGAACCCTTATCTCGCAACTTATTGTGCACCATCCAGATTTTTGACTTGACCACAAAGAACAACATCTTCCCCAAATGGATACCACTTCACATTTTTCAACCGTGCTGCAGAAATTGCATTTCCTTGTCCATCAAAGCGCCGAGCCGGTGATACAACTACACCACCTTGGCCCAACCAGGTAGGAGCAATAGTGATGATAACACTATCAATCAAGGACATATATGACGGTGCAAGAAGAGAGTTGATAACCTGCCCACCACCCTCGATCATAACACTCCTCAGACCGTTTGACCGAAGAGTACGAAGCAGATCATTCCACTCGATCTGATGATGACCAGCATCTGAAATTTGCATCTCAACTGGAATGAACCGCCCGCCATATTTATCCAACAAGGCTATCTTCTCCGCTGGTGGCTCTTGGAGAGCCGTCACTATCCATGGTGCCAGGCCACGTCCCTGCCTGCAGAGCTGGAATAACTTGCTTTCGTCAGAGAAATCCCAGCGAGATGATGGATCAATAACTATCGGGCGAGGTTGGCCATCTAGGCCCTCGCTGCCGTAGCCTCCAACGCCGGCGATACGACAATTGAGGCCTGGGTCGTCGGCTACGGCCGTTCCAGCACCAATCAGGATGCTATCATGGCGGGATCGCAGATAATGAGTCATGGCCTTTGACTGTGGTCCGGAAAGCACTGTTCTTGCACCAGGGGACAAGGCTAGAGAGCTATCAAGGCTTGTCGCAAATGTGAGTGTGGTAAATGGCATATCGGGCTGAGACGTTGAGTCATCCGGTGGTAAATGAGGTTCTAGGAATTCTCTATCCGATTGTGGAAACTCCATTGCATCTCGTGTACTTAATGACATGATGAAGTACCTAGCTAGTGAGGACCCTGGTTTGTTTGTAGGAAGGAGAAGTCTTGCACAGTGTGGGGTGGATATACATTGCTAGAAGGTACAAAAGTCTGTTGACACCTCCCGTGTCTTGGCGTGCCTTGATCGCATACAAACACCCACTTTTAACCCTTTTTCCTACACCAACCATGGCTCCATTTGGGAAAGAAATAAATGGAACCCGTGGAAAGAATAATGAAATATCCACTAATCACTGTAATCAGCGCGCTAGGATCCCTTCTAGTTTGCCGTTGAATATAATAGTAGGTCAACTAATTGTGGCCTGAGGCAATACAGGAATTTCTGGTCAGTATAGTAACACAAAGTCAACTTTCTTTCACTCTCACTATCAGTGAGCATTTTCCTACCTTCGAATTTCGAACCTCATGTGCACACGTTAAATACCCACTCCTTTTTACTCTCCATCCTTCTTCCTTCTTTAAGCATCTTCCAAGGTTTCTTCCCATTCAATCTGATATCGACCTCCTTCAATATATTGATTGGACGACAAGAAAACCCATTAAAATTCCCAGTCAATACTGTTCACTCGGTGGTCTTGTGCGTACGCACGATCATGATCCCATTGAAGCTAATTGAGACATATCTGCCAGTCTCAATTCTATGGACTGACCCATTTGTGACAACTTACAGGATAAATCTGGAGGACAATGGCATAAAACGTGAGCTAAAATGGCAGAAAGATCAAAAGAATGAAATCCGAAGATTACCAGGAGAAATTACAGGGCTCTCTCAACCGCCCGCTTGGTATATAGTGACGTGTGAAAAGGAGATAAACGTGGGCTAAGAACTGTGATGAAAGTTCCATCTACCTTCTATTTCATTTTCTCACCTTTTTTCATGATGCGCATGAATCCGCAATTTTCGGCGGAGAGAAACAAAACAGTTATTCCCGCAGCTAGCTAGCATCAATATGATCTAAAAATGTAGAGTTGAGCAGACTCCATAAAGTCGATCAAGAGACTTGAAGGAACTATTGGTCAATTTTAAGAATTGCGCTATTAATCCTACCACAGCTTTTGGGACGACCCAGGATGTATCGTGGAAATCATCACAGCCTCCAGATGTGTGTCGCTGGAAGACAAATTCCCAACAAGACGTAGTCTTCGGAATGGGACTCTGAGACATGATGTTTGTCTGAAAGTCCTGAACGGGGTCTTCAGAAGGTCAAGGATTCAGACAGGCGGCACTGTAAACCTTGGTCATCAAAGCTGTTTTGGTGAAATTAAATGGTGGTTATGGAACCTTGCGCTTTCATACCTACAGAATGAACTATTTCACTCAACATATCAAGTTCTCTCTAGCAGCATATCTATCTCCCTGCCATGACCTTTACAACGTCATGCTTAATGTTTGAATCGGGGATACGATTTCCATTTTGTTGGTTTAGATGGCAAGTTGAATCGTCACTTTGGTAGAAGTTTGAGCTACCTGGGAGTCTCGATAACAGTGGTCGAAGTAACCATGTAATTTCCAATTCCACTCTCAATATTATTTGGGAATTCTCCTCGTGTTCTCTACGGGTTAGACAATAGTTCCTTACCTGCTTGGTGATCGATAGCCTCAATAGCAGTTAATTTTTAAATTATATATTTTTCCCGATAAGTTTCTTCGGCTTTTGAAAGCTCTAGATGGAACCTAGGATTAAATATGTTTGACTAGTGTACATTTCAATTAGTGTTATCAGTAAAATATATTATATACATTTGCTTAAACGCGCCAATTCTAACCCTTCAATGCTGGAAAACCTTAGAGGATAGTGATTACACCACCTGAAGGATAGATACTAGCAACGTACATCGCACGCCCATCACTAATGTCTTTGCCATTTTTAAAGGCATGAAAAACAATCCTTGTGCCATCAGATGTAAAGTCAGCCCCACCTGGACCAGAAAGGTCTCCAACATTACTCGGATCCCCAGTAACAAGAAGAGGACCATCAGGGGTCTGAGCCTTCGTGTAAGGACCAGTGATTACATCGGCCGTCGCGTAGCTGATATCATACAACGTGGTGTCGTACATATTGGACGAGAACGATAGGTAGTAGTTACCATCCGCATGTGCTAGGCTAGGGGCCTCGATAAGAGGACCATCACTGGTACCGTGTTCGAGAATCACAGTTGCATCTCCGTTGGGAGTGACGCCATCTGACTTGAGTTTCTGTAGCATTATGGGAGTGTCGTGTTCAGTTCCATCGCCATTAAGACTGTTTCCGTCTATTTTGTATACCACGTAGTAGGTGCCTCCATCGTTGAATCCATTGGCATCAATTGCCCCGCCCTTTTTAATAGGGCAAGCTATCGGGCTGTTTAGTGGGGTATATGGACCGGTGACGACCGACGATGTCGCCGCGCCAATGCAGTGTTTACTGGAATCTTCACTCGAGGCTGCAGAGAAGTACATGACGAATGTACCATTATCCTGATTGAAGAAAAGTTAGCCCCCCCATGATATGAGGCCTGAACCAGATTCACTCACAAGCTGAATTACATCGGGTGCCCAAATGTTAGGCGTCGATGCGATCCACGACGGAAACGGACCAGGCATGGCATCGGTATATTTGAAGCGAGTCCATGTTGAGAAGTCATCAGATGCTGCAACTTGTACATTCTTGCCATTTCCAGCAGTGCCAAAGGCATAATAGCCACCATTCGTCTCTATCACGCAAGGGTCGGCAAAATCTGTATCGATGGCACGCGTTGCTTCAGAGGCAGCAAAGCCATTCATCAAAATCGCCGAGGCGAGAGCGAAAAAGAAAGTTTTCCTCATTTTATTGCTCGACTTTTTTTTCGAAATAGAGTAGGGATTTAGTTTCAGAAAGCCGTCTTAATCAAGGGTGCCCAAAGAGTTCCAGGACTTCCGAGGACCGAGGTCTTATATAGTGAATCCTCGGAGACACGTGCATGACTACCTCTCGCTAATCCTGACACAGATAGAAGGCACCTTAATATCCTGAGATTGTCGTATTAAGTAAATGCAATGCTTCCAGGATCTGAGACGGAAGCTGGATGTTACATCTTCCGCCCCCACAAGTTCGTAAATCCCGAAGCCAGGCCGCTTTCATGTAATGTTACGTCTACTCAAATAATCCTGCAGGCTCTATTGTTGAAACCTGAGATAAATTAACATTTTGAAGAGCTCTATTATCCGTCGTAGTTTGGTTGTTAGTAGATTCGAAAGTGCCTTAGGGCTAGGACTGGGGTATCAATTGATCTCAATCGCTATTAATTTCGAAAATATTGTATTATGTCAGACCACTGGTTCGCCCCTAACTAATTAACCCATCCAGATGTCAGGGTTTCATCACGCTGTAGCTATTCGGCAATCCTTCAAACTAGTCGCAGAAGACTTCATTAGTTTCACGGTGGATCAAAAAAAGGGAAGTAGTGTCGTTGCATTCTATTACGCGAAATTAGCTTTAAACACACAATAAGCAGCAGGACTTGAAATTGTTATCCATTATATCCAATATGGCATTAAAACCCTTGCCCTACAGCAGCACCGTGGCTATCAGGCGATCTTCATGCAAATATGAACCCCATTTTTCCAATACCGAGACAAACAGCCCTCCCTCAGCAGCGCCCATTTGGTAATTTCCTCCATAGTCATAACGGTACATGGTTTGCGTTTGGTCATAACAAAAGTCTTTGGGGGTACCGCCCTCATTATACCTGCCAGCCCACTGCAAAAGAAAAGAAAAAGAGCCGAGATTGTATTTCAAGTTGGTTGATGCTGAGATTCCACTGCCGTTGAAGGGAACGCAGCCAATGTAGAACTCTTCAAAAAGGCACGTGTAGCTCTATATGTCGCTGACAAGCTTAGACCTTTCCTTTTGAATAGCTCGAGGGCGCAGAAAAAGATATGTGCCTGCTAATTACACTTAACTAGAGACTCCTTTTCGATCATCAACCCCAAGTCGGCAAGGGAGATAACCACGTTAAGCAACTCAGTGTTCGCTTACACTAGCTCGACCGGCTCTCCCTTGTTTTATGTGTTGAATTATATTAGTTTCTTTCGAGCGCGAGCGAAGTCTCGATAGATCTTTCCGGCGTATACTCGTCAACGACGCCTATATCACACCAGTACACTTCCGCTATTAAGTTTATGTGAAATTTATGTTAGCTCTTGGAGTTTTCTGTGTGGAAACAAAGTGGATTTGAGTACCCAAAGTACGATATCGGCGTCATTGAGGAATTTCTTGGCCAGTAATTGTCTTGCGGCGCTCATCCTCTCAACGACACTCATCTCTGGTAGTAGTTTATGCTCGGACCCCGTATATAGAATACGATAACCATGTGTATACCCCTCTCACCATCAAGAGAAAAGGAGTCTAGAAAAGTCAGATAATGGGATGCATCTTCGATTGTACAAAAATCTTCCTTTTGCGTGTAGAGATCCTGATTCCTAGCATCGTCAGGAATACAAATCTCCAGCGCAACCATCTTATATCTTTTCAGGTCGTGTGCCATACAGACAGTGAAAACCCTCTCCATCCCAGTTTGTGTAAGATGAAATAGGTATCAACCAGGATTTCCCCGATAAGCATGGGACAACAAGTCTCGATAGGCTCAGAGACACTCCCGAGGAAAAAATTACATCATCCGAGTTGACGTAGCTTTCGTGATCAGTTGGGTTCCGTCTTCATCCAAGATTTTGTCAGAAACTGGGGAAGTCAGCAAGATTGGGCTGCTCATCATGCTCAAATCCATATTCATCATGGTGGCCGTATCAAGGGGCGTGAAAACATCATTGTGAGTTGAGCTATCTCTGCTGCTTCCGAACAAAAGTGCGGGATAATGCGGTTTCCTGCACCTTCCTGTATCTTGAACAATAGGAGGAAACCTAGGTAAAGATAGCTATTGACTAATCATAGGTAGCGAGGGGTCTTGTAAGTCCTAAAAAGGTATTCCAAAAACATCGGCGTTCTCTAAAAAGCTAACATTGAGCCATTCTATTAGGTGTCATTCAATAAAAAACTCAATACTGTATATACATTTCCACCAGAAGCTGAAGCTGAAATCCGACTATGTTACCTGTACTGCGTCTAAAATCATTAGAATTGGCTCAGGCTTCCAAGGAACCGCCAAATATGGCTATAGAGACTGTAGAGATATACGAAGTCCAAGTAAATCAGAACAATCTCTAGGATAAAGCTTGGTATGAGAAAGACGATATCGGGCTGCTCGCGTGAAGCCATTAGAGGGGTACTAATGATAAAGAGAAGCGAACCCAGATCCACAGGTGGAGAACTGTATTATTTGTCCCCCACAAAATTGTGACAGGTCTTAATTTAATCACACACACACACACACACATACCATTGGCCATTCAGGATATCTCGTTCTACTTCACTCTTGCTATTTGACATCTTATGTCAAAGGCCCGATTCCTGTTTTAGTTTAGTGCACTTTAGTCAGCTTGGAATGGCCAACTTGGGCCGTTCCACCTTGTAGGTTTATAAACACACACACACATATATAATTTGACTACAATTTGCTCCATTCCTATTTGCCTATTCGTATCCACCTTAATTGGTTTTTCAGACCTCCATCCGGCATCTTATCGGTATCATGTGACTTGTAATAAACAATCATCAGAACGACGCCCACTCATTACTTTGTTCATTTCCCAACATTGTTCTTCTTCGATTTTCTCTCCCTTTCTGTTGATTTTACAATTTGTACTCCAGAGTCACCCCAGGGTTCAGTAGCTACTGATAAGATGCCATATTACGACTGCCCGCAGTGTGACGATGGAACTAGGTACTATGACAATAAGGAAGAATTCTACGCTCATCTCAATCACTACGACCATTGGTTGGAATGTGAAACATGTACCCGGCAGTTCTCAGGCCGGCATTCCCTGAGACAGCACATGAATTCTATGAATCACTGGATGCCCAAGTATGGTTGCGAGACATGCGACAAGAAATTCCAAACCTCTTCCGCAGCTGAAAAACACATGCGTGACAGAGGCCACTATGAAAACTACTGCAGACAGTGTGATCGACACTTCAATAATGCGAATAACCTGCGAATGGTATGTTTCATAAGAGCTGGTCTGAGAAATAAAGGCTGGAACTGATTCAATGCAGCACCTTAATTCTAAAATCCACCGCGGCCAGGATATCAAATGTCCGTTCTGCAGAACTGGCTTTGTGACTGCTAGTGGTGCCTCGCACCACCTCGAGACTGGGTCGTGCCGAAATGCCCCGAGTTTGAACCGGGAGTCAATCCACAACATCATTCGAGGTGCGGATCAGAATGGCATGATAACCAACAAGCAGATTGAGTGGAATAGCGAAAGCAATTCACAATACACTGTTACAAGTCAGGCATGGAACGGTGACTCCTGGGAGTGCTATTTGTGTCACAAAGGGTTCGGTAGCTCCCGGGGATTGAGTCAGCATCTGAACTCGCCGATTCATCAGCAGAAGGTGTATCACTGCCCCAACTCACGCAGATGCCCGAAGGAATTTGTCTCGCTGGCTGCTTTGTTCAACCACCTTGAGAGTGAATCTTGCCAGTTCATGCGTTTTGAGAAGGTGCAACAGGTGCATGGCCAGGTGGCGGAATCATTGATTCGTGGAGGCAGATTGTTGGCGTTCCACTGATCGAAGGCTCAAGGGTTAAATGCCACTACACCAGCGATTGATAATTATTAATGACCCCTTAAATTCTTTGGAAAGCATGATTAGCAAGATTTCCATAAATTTCGGTTAACTTTTCTCGAAATCAGCATTTCGAAAGGCGCTGTATTTAAGAGATTAGAGACCTCTCTTTATAGCCATGGTCTCTCTGTCATGATTGAGGGATCGGGTACAAGAGTTCTAAGTTCTAAGTTGATCCCGCCATTGATTTGAAAAGGAGGAGAGAAATTCAAGATGTCGATGACCAGTCATTTTGGCGTCGTAAATTTATTAACTAACTATTATTAGTTATTTAAATGAATATTTATAACTAGTTAACTATTAGGTAACTAAGGGAATAATGAGTCAGCCCCCCTATGGCAGGCAGGGCAGCAAGTTTCTATCAGGCGGTAAGAGCTATCAGTAGTCCTGGTGTGCGGTGACCATTATCTGTCAGCTGTAACGGGCTGAAGCCCAGTGATGGATTATGGTGCCCATTATCCAAGTCTGAGCGTGAACATAAGACCGATACCCTTTTGGGTTAAAAAATCACGTGGCTCGAGAGCTTCTCGATTCTTGATTCAACGACGATTCCTTTACGTTCCTTTAAGGATTTTATACACAGTTTGTGCCTAGCTAGTTCTGAATCTAAGATTATCTTTAGCCCTTCACATCAGTCCGATCGATCTTTAAGCAAATAAACCCAATCCCCGAAGGTTCAAGTCACGTTTCAAATAATTCGAGAGTGCTCGCATTCAAGTGCAGGTCGAAGTGTAGGGGTTAGCTGTCTCAGTCTTGAACATACCTAGCCGTTAATCTGGTGGTCTGCACCTAGGGAAGAGCACATGGTGATCTGTCAACATTTGAATGACCGTGCGTCTGGGTATATGACGGAGATTGATCGGTCATATGAACGGGATCATCGGTCAAATTATGGAAGTTGCCGAACCCTAAACTAGATTTATATTAGTCCGGGGTTAGGTATACGTGTTCTCGTATAAGATGCAATTGGGATTGGTGGGTGGCTATCGATTGAAGCTTCTCGAACACGAAGAACTACTAGAAGTACGGTAGTGGCATATTAAGTTTCAAGTGCCATAGGAAGGGCAGTCCTTCGATTAAGTAAACATCCATTTCTAGTAAAGATATCTCTACTACAGAGTAATCAGACCATGAGAATCAAATTCTGTGGAGTTAAGCGGGGTCAAGGAGCTTGATCCATCCAAAACCCCATGCAGAATCTGCACATGTCAACGACGGGTCAGTTTGAGAATTGATAGGTTTCGCTAAGAGCCAAGTCCTTGAAAAAATAAGGAATCTTAGAAAGTGCCATATGTTCATCAGTAGATTACATATTACCATCACAGAATCACAGAATCACAAAGCCACACCCCGGCGCTACAGAGTGGGAACTGACCCCAGTACCCTAAAAGCGCCTAGCCACGGTCCCCACTTCAGACCCAAACCTGATCCACCATTGAGTCTGGAATGAACTGAATGTCTCGTTTTGAGACATATTCATACATTTCAAATATTGACAAGAGTAGGTAAATTTCCAAGAACAATAAAAAGAGGGGGGGATGGCGAGTGGATGGGATTGAGGAAGGAGCAGGAAGGAAAAGGAGGAAAACAAGATCATCTCCGTTTTCTAACGGGGCAGTAGATTGTGGAACCAATCAATTCCTTAATATTTAAGTAGCGTACCAAACTGATATTGCTTACCTACTCCTTTAGGGGAGATCAGATCAGTAAGAGTTTACATGAATTCAAGAGAGTTCTACCATTTAAACCACCTGGGCACCTAGTTAACGTAGTTCATATTTATAGTCCTACCTATATACCTCTCTATCCATACCCACGTCAATATCCATACCTATCCATAGTCTTATTCTACCAATATTAGTATATAATAGTATATTACCTAGGTAATCTCCTGATCTAATACTAATCCCCCTAAATTAAAAAGTGAAGGTTTCTTAGGGGGCCCCACCGTTGCCGAGAACAAAAGAAGCTCAGCAAAACCAACTTCTTGCCCCGAAACGAACCTCCCTATTTCCACTTCCCCTAATCAATTCCCCCCGGATATCCAAGGACTTTATCACACTTTTCTTTCCTTACACCTTCACTTTTATCAAGTTTCATTCTGAAGGAATCTTCTGATCTGGCATTTGGTCGTGCCATTTCTATCTGGTCCCAACCCCCCCTTTCTTCTCCTACATCCTCTTTTTAATTTTTTTTTTTTTTAATAAAAATCCATCCATTAGACAATTCACGATGGCGGCCAAGGTGAGTCACTTCATATTTTGCATCACCATATCGATTCAACTCGATTCAACTTCTTTCACTCCTACCGGGGAATTTCCACTTCCGCCCTGCACTCGCAATTCAACTATCGCAACCATACCCTTTACAATGACTGACCGACGCACTTTTCGATTAGTTTCTACGAGAATACAAACTGGTGGTAGTCGGTGGGGGTGGTGTCGGAAAATCATGCTTGACTATTCAACTGATCCAGAGCCACTTCGTCGACGAGTACGACCCTACAATTGAAGGTAAGAGGCCAGAACCCATAACCCAGAACCAAACGTAGGAGTCACATCGCTTACTTTCGTTTTCGCTCCAGACTCCTACCGCAAGCAGTGCTTGATTGACGATGAAGTCGCCTTGTTGGATGTCCTGGATACAGCTGGCCAGGAAGAGTACTCGGCTATGCGGGAACAGTACATGCGCACTGGCGAGGGATTCCTTCTCATCTACTCCATAACCTCGCGTCAATCATTCGAAGAAATCATGACTTTCCAACAGCAGATCCTACGCGTCAAGGATAAGGACTATTTCCCCATCATTGTCGTCGGTAACAAGTGTGATTTGGATAAGGAGCGAGTGGTTTCCGAGCAAGGTATATATTCTAATACTTGAATAGCGCGGTTTATGCATGAAGAGACTAACTTCGTTTAAAGAGGGTGAGGCTCTGGCCCGACAGTTCGGTTGCAAGTTCATCGAAACTTCCGCCAAGTCTCGTATCAATGTCGAGAACGCCTTCTACGACCTCGTCCGTGAGATCCGTCGCTACAATAAGGAGATGTCATCTTATCCGTCCGGCTCCGGTGCATACGGTGCCCGCCAGCCAGAGGGTAAGTTGGACGTCAGTGAGCCAAGCGAGAATGCCGGCTGCTGCGCAAAGTGTGTTATCATGTAAAACACTACAACCTTACACCAACTACTACCCCCGAATATGCGACAGCTTTTACAATCCATCATCGATACAGAGCCACCCAGAGCACCTTAACGTCTACACGAGTTCATACAATACGAACAGAAGCAGGGTTTAATTGAGGAGGGGGAGAGAGTCCAGGCTTTTTTTTTATTATTCATTATCCCTTTAATGATCTTCTCTAGGATTTTAATTAAGGGAAGAGATTTTTTGACTGGAAAACCGAGAGAGAAAAGGAGAGAGAAAACAACAAAAAAAAAAAAAGGTGGTGGTGCTGGCGAATTCGATTCGACGTGGGTTCCTTCGACTTCGATGGACGCCGTACGCATCCTTTTTGACGCCAACCTTCGTCTCATGAACCATTTTGATTCCCCTTTTTGTTCCGCCGTCATTTGTCATTATTTTTTTGGTTTTTCTTTCAGTCTCGAGGGAAGAGACATGGCTGTCAATAAACGTTCGCAAGAGGTTTAATTGCTGATTATTCACTCCGTGTAGAGATGAGTAAGAGCGTAGATATATATAAGTAGGAATATAATCGTAACTAGACAACGGAGATCTAATGATTGATAATGGAGATAATGGAGATAAAGGATCTAGGGCCAAGATCTAGGCCTACTGGCTGAAAACCTCATCCTTCGCATCAGGATTATCCAACTCATCCTCCCTATCAACCTTCTTACCCTGCACAGTCTTCTCAACCTCATCAACCAAAGACTCAAGATAAGCTTTGTCAGCGCCGACAAGCGTAACAGTATTGCGCTTCTTACCCCAGCGCGGATAACTACCAACTTTAACGCCCTTAGGAGCCACCCTCTCAGCCAACTCGGTCAAGAAAGGCGCAACAGCACTCTCCGGCAAAGGCGTACTAAACATGAAGCGGAAAGTACCCTTTCCCTCCGGATCCTCAAGTCGCGGAACAAGCAGCGGCTTTAGATTCTTCAGTAGATTCTCGAAGAGCCGGGGCACGCCAGGCAGGATGTGGACGTTGCCATTTACAACGGCGATGGGAACCCACAGGTCTTCCGAGACGAAAAGGGCTTGTGGTTCGGCTGGGAGCGCCGGGTCGTGCGGGAGCTCGACCATGCGCAGCTTGGCAGTTAGGCCGGGTGAAGGCGTGTTCCAGTCGAAATTGGGCTGCATGGGGTGTGGTCGGGACAGACGCTTCATGCGCTCGAAGGAGGGCTGGTGGAGTTTTAGCTTTAGGTTGAAGGCTTTGGCGATGGATGAGTAGGTGATGTCGTCGTGTCTTGAATGATTGGTTAGCTGAGGGTATATTTCGGGGCTTGGTGAGCGGGCCTACGTTGGTCCAATGCCTCCACTTGTAACGACAAAGTCGTAACGGTCACTCATGCGCTGAACTGCTTCCATGATGTCTTCTTCGTCGTCTGGGATGACTTCTACTCGTTTGAGCTGGATGCCGAGGGAGAAGCAGAACTTGGCTAGGTAGGCTGAATTCGTGTCGACAGTCTAGAGGAATAGGAATTAGATAATATTTCTTTGACTGAGTATAGATACCAGTGAAGCTAGTGATGTTGTGAGCTCATACCTTTCCTCCGAGAACTTCATCACCAATAATCAGACACGCGGCCGTGTGTATGGTCTTGGACTTCGCTGATGTCATCGCGGGAGTTGAGCGCGAAGCTAGGAATGGGGTTGATAGGGCAGAGGCTAGAGAATGAGGTGAACTAAAGGGTGAAAAGTGACGAGTGAGTTGATTGAGTCGACTAAGCATGAGGATTGAAAGTAGAGAAATGTAAAGTGTTGGACTTTTAAAGTGGAGTGAACAAAGGTAGAAGACTAAGTGGGGGGCAGTTCCGCCCGCATTTTGAGCTTTCATTCTCCAAATCCCCTTTTGATAGGAAAGTCTATACTTCTATCCGCTATCGACTGCTCTTCTTTGCGTTCTTCAGATTTTACTTTTTATTTCGGATTTCCTATCAATAATCTAACCATGGTGAGTTGCTATATTTGCCCACGTGGTTATTCAACGACTCCAAGGTTGCGACTGTGTTGTTGACCCTGTATACAGTCTGACCGACTCTACACATTCTCCCCGGATACTAAGGAGAAGCTGCGCAAGTTTCGTCTTACTACCTCGCGCGCGAAAGATCCTCAAGCTATAATCTGTACGGCCCACATGCTCCCTTCTCCGTTGCCACAGTAGCCTCAACGTGAAATACGTCGCCTCGACGATATAAAAATCTCAAAACTGAGCTGATGGAATGGTAGATATTATCGATGCAAAGACCACAGAGATCAGGCCTGAGGATGGAGAAGTCTACACCAGGATGGAAGATGTTGCCGATGAGCTGCCCGAGTCCTCTCCCCGCTTCATTCTTCTCAGCCACCCGCTGACATTGGTCAGTATATTGCTTCTGTCTGACCTCATTAAAAATAATACTGAATTGTCATGCACCATCTAGAAAGACGGCCGCCTCTCTGTTCCATACGTTCTCCTCTATTGGCTTCCCGAGAACTGCAACCCAAACCAACGAATGATGTACGCCGGCGCCGTGGAAGTGATGCGTAATACCGCCGAGGTGAACCGCGTGGTGGAGGTCGAGAGTGACGAGGACATTACCTCGATCGCGACACGGTTGGCAAACTCCGAGTAAAGGGAGAATACATATAGCTCATACTCGAATATTTTGTTTGGGGGGCTTGTATAGGGCGTTTGACACGTTGGAAGTTCATTTTTTGCAAATGCTGCAGTTTGATATGGAATGCGGTCAGTAGCGTATAAGTGGTGTTCTCAAAACGAGAAGAAGGAAAGTGACTAATAATAGGTCTCATTTTTTAGGGACCAAGATATGATCTATCATAAAATTCTACTGATCTCGCAAAATTCCAGCGTATCGCATCGCATGGCAAATTTCAATTTCAAATTTCAAATTCCAATTTCAAATACGGTGAGACTGATTGCCACCTGTATAAGCCCAGTTTCAGCCAAAACTTTCAGCCATTTGGAATCTTGACCGTTCAGCCAATACCCTTGATGTTTGCTCCATCTGGCCCCAGCGATCAGATGCGATCAGATCCCAGTCCCAGAGCCCTGGGACCCCAAACATTGTGAATACGGTTCTGGCGGCCCGACTACCAGCACTATGCTTCTGGATCCGTTACTTGTGGGCGTCCTGCAGATCTCCTATCAGATGTGCATGTTTGGTCGTCTTGTATGTAATTTGAGTGTAGATGTAGATGTGTAGATGTGGACGGTGGCTATTGGTTGTTGTTAGTTTGTTCGCCAGCTCATGGACTTGCCACCGCTATACGCCTTAGCCAATTATCAATGTTTCTGTCGATTTAAGATATTCAATGCCGAAGGGCTGTGTAAGTGATGAGGATGAAAGGGCTCGCAGTACTCGGTTTGAAAGTTGATGTTCGTACCTAGGTATGTGTGTAAATTGATACTCATGAGATCGAGAATGTCCTCCCATCAAGACAGGTACCATGGTGTTTAGATCATACGACCTCGGATGTATATTAAGTGCGGAGCAAGTCAACCTCCATAATTCTACACTAAGTACTTTCCACGGCTACTCCATGAGCCCATGTTCAATTGCAAATTTACGATACGCACTCCCTGCTTCATACACATGGAATGTAATGATCGTCGGTGGGTCAGAGTCCCAGGTGTACGAGCAAGGGCCACGTTATTTTGTATCAAATTCTAAATCTGAATCTCAAGTTAAGGAATAGACTATTGATATATATGATATCCCGAATATTTCTCCGTGATGGAATTTGAGATTGAATTTTTTTTTTTACTCGATAGTCCAAAAGTCTCGTCCTTCGCTTCTGGCGTAACATTTGCTTTAGTCCATTTGAAGCGGGGGGTTGCCACCTGCTCAAGTGGCCCACCATTTGAGCAACTCAGTGAAGATTTACGGATACTAATCACAGCAAGGTTATTACTGCCTTAGCCTGCAGTAGTCTGTCCTGACTAAAGTTAGCTGCCAAATGGATGGCGACTAGGTGTGAGTAGGATCCGGTTATCATCGTTCAAATTGCCTCGTTCAAACACTAAGCCACACTTGGCTAGGGGTTTCTACCGTTTACGTGGTTGCGGGGCAAGGTATGCTAAGCATGGAAGGGGGAGGCTGGCTTCCACTCGATGGGATTGTAACCTTGGATGATTGCAAGTTACGGCGTCGTAGTTCACTAGTAGGCGCCTCGGGACTGTATGGTGTGACAAATGGGGGTGGATTGATTGATTTGGTGTGCTTGGCTGCAGACAATAGTATAATTTGTTACTCTTAAGATTTTTAGCTAATGAAGCCGAGTAAAGAAGGGTGTAGTGGAGATTCTGGCATGTGTAGTGCAAAGTTTAACTTGTGTATAAGAGTAATACTACGACTATGACTTGGACTCGTATGAACTATCAACTAGTCAATAGCACGGAGTAATACTCCGTGCTTAGTCAAATCCCAACTCTTACTGAACGTGGTGTGGTTAACTAGTTCTAGATCAATAACTATCAATCCTGGAGGTATTCTTCAACGTATTGTTATAAACAAGTACTAGGCCAACAGCCGGGGCCAAAGTAACGCATGGGCCTGCGGGATTAGTACCAAGAGTAGAATTGGTACAGAGTAAAGGGGGAAGGAATCCGGTTATTTATGTATTGTGTATTGTGTATTGTGTATTATCCATACTAGGGATTTTCTTGTTCATGCACCCAAACTGTCGGGTCTGTACATCAGTCGGTTACTCCGTTCTGATATACCGGAGTAAATTGTTATACTCTTACTCCATTAGACTAAGACCCAAATTACCGGGAAAGCCTCTTACTGTTCGTACTTTATACCGTATTAAACCATCTTAGTCTCTCTCTCTCTTCTCAATCATTAAAGTCGTCGAAAACCCACCTTTTCTGTTTCACACAACTTGCAACTTCCAGGTTCTTCCCTGTTCATCTCAGACCCTTTCCCACTGTGTCGGGAAGTCCCAATTTACTGGCACAGCCCGCTTTTACTCCGGAAAACCATAAACTCGCCTTTTTCCCTCCTTATTATATTTGGCCTTGAATTGAACTCTTTCGCAATGTCTCCTCAAGACAATTCTCCCGAGGGGAACAAGCCTGAGGGCTTGTCCAAGTACCTCAAGCGCATGAAAACTGTTCTGCGCACTCGCTCTAGTTCTAAGCGACAATCTGCGACCCCACTCGAAACAACCAAGACGTATGATTCCCAATACATGCCCAGATCTATGAGAGAGAAAAAAAACATATTACCCCAAAAAAAAGAAAAAGAAAAAGAAATTCCTAACATGAATTATTATTTTTTTTATAGTACTACCCCTACGCCTGCAACAAATCCAACTGCAGAGCCAGCCAAGCTTACAAGCGACTACAGCGCCGCCCAGCGCGACAAGGCCAGCGTCCTGTTCGCTAAATACGGCCTAACCCTAGAACCAGGCGAATGGAAGTCCCCAACAGACCTCCCGCTAGCCCGCGTCACCAAGCCCGTTCGCATGCGAGTGCGCCGAACCTGCCACCGCTGCGACACGACCTTTGGCCCAAATAAGATCTGCATAAACTGCCAACACCCACGCTGCAAGAAATGTCCCCGCTTCCCAACAGAGCGGACCAAGGATCCAGCTGAGCCCAAGGTTCCCAAGGCCAAGATCTCCGAGCTCCTTGCCCGTGGAAATGGAGGGCACACGTCGCATCTGCGCCTGTCCAAGGACGACCCTGCCGCTCCGCTTAAGCTGTCCAGTCGGACTGGGGGGCCGGACTTTATCCGTAAGGAGGTTCGGCATCGCACTCGACGCTCTTGTCATGCTTGCGGCGTTGGGTTTGCCTCTGGCGAGAAGCAGTGCTTTTCTTGCAACCATGTTCGTTGTAAGAAGTGTCCTAGGGAACCGGCAAAGTTGGAGAAATACCCTGATGGGTATCCTGGTGACTTCGATCCGCCGAAACCGGTCAAGGCAGATCGTGTTTACAAGAAGGCTAGATGCCGGGTGCATTATATTTGCCATGTTTGTTCGAGTCACTTCAATGATGATGCGAAGAGTTGTGGCAAGTGTGGACAGGCGAAGTGTGCTGAGACTATAAGAATTCCGTATGTGACCTCCTTTCTAAGGTTTCTGTGGTGATTGCGCTTGCTAATATTTCTATGTAGACCGAAAAAGATCAAGCGAGAGCCTGACCCGGAAGTTCTCAGACAGGTTGAGGAGAAACTAGCAGCCTTGGTTATCGGGGAGTGATATCCTGCTTCCAAGGTTACTTTCAACTACTGATGATTTCCTCTCCTATTTTTACTGCTTCAGACTTTGTTATCAATTTCATGCCTCTACAGTTTCTCAGAAATAAATGCTGCTTCTGCAATCTCATGATCCTTGACTTCAACAGTATAGTATTGCAGAGCGAATATTAAAACAACGTCGTGCAGAGAAGTCTGTAACATGTGGGTCAAGATCGTCAAAGTACCTCTCGCATTCGTTTAAGAAAAAAAGGACGTGGGGTTGTATCTACCAGGTTGGTGTGATAAGCCCCGGCCGAGAGGGCTTGGTCTTGGGTCCTTCGGGCATACTTAGTAGATGGAGGACGGGCTTAACTACCTAGTTAGGCTAAGGCTTGACGGACTAAATTGTATTGAAATCGTCTCTCCACTTTCACCGCGTTTGCTTGAACTTTAAATAAAGTACTCAATTTGTAAAGATCAAATACAATTCTGGATGTGTAGATTAATCATACGGATAAGTTCATGGCATGCTTGATTGGTCAGAATCTTCTGAAACTGTGCTGACGGAGATGGATTCTAAGATTACCGGGAATTTAATCCGTAATGTCTTGTGAATCTGGAACATTGACATGTCATCCATAACTGCTACTGGTAACTATTGTATCTCTTAATTTTCCATGGAATCGACTCCTGCGGACCGATCCGTTTTAAGTGGGCTTCGGCTTCGACTATTTATGGTAAATTTCAATTAGAACATTAGAAGGAAGGCCACTTGCGTAGGCAGTTGCGTAGTGATCACTAAACAACTCTGTAAAAGTCTTACGTGTGCGTAGGTGGTCCCGGATATAAGCCTGCATTACTGATGATATGCAGAAAGTAAATACTGGTGCTGGATTAAGGCTTACCGCTCTAAGGTGATGAGATTTGACAGCTCTATAGGAGAAAAAAGTGGGAACAATAACCATTGATTTTCGAGAAACGGAGTAATATGGAGTGAATTCTCTAGACCCAGAAGCCATTGAACTGGCCTAGGCTTTTGACCTGTTTGGGCCTAGAATAGGTAGAGTGGTTGCACTAAACCCAACACAGTAATGGTAACTGGTACTTTTGTACCCCGTGTGGCAATCAGGATTTATCGATCTGTGTTTGTTGGAGAATGGAGTATTATGGAAGGGGCTTGATGAATTACCTACCCACCACTGTGGTACTTCTGCGCGCTTCTGTATACCTATGTATTGTTATGTATTAGCTACTTTGTACAGCGTTTAGGTGAGCTGGCACGTTTCAATTTGCATTAGCGCTCGTTAGCATTAGTTACACTATGACTGGTGCTTCGTTATAGTTAAGTTATACATGTCCGGAATAATGCACAGATATCCTGCAAGAATGGAATGTTCTCTTGCACTGTGGAAGATCAGGGACCCGGTAACCGGTAACTAGCGTATCCCCTCCTTCAAATCTAAAAGCCCTATAGAACACCATACAACAGAGTAAAGGAGTACACTTTAGGTTATTTTACTTAGTATATCCAATACTGATCCGAAAAGCTGGGATTTCTGCACGTTATCCGGTTGGTTGGAGTAGAACCGGCGATTAATTAGCCTATTTAATTTAGGCCCGAAAATTTCGCATCTCCACCTGTCAACTCCAGGGCTTTAGACTTGGTAACGAGTATACGGAGTTTGTACGGAGTTTGGGTATTCGGGATTTGAGGGGCAGGGGAACAAAGCGTTGTAATCCGTGAATATTGAAATATTCCTATCGGATACTCGGGCCCTTATTTTGATCCGACAAGCGTGTCCTATAGGTAGATTCATCTAAAAAACTAGTCCGCTGTGCAAGGATTCACAGCAAGGATCATCAATGCCACTGTACATCACTTGTACTAGTACTAGTACGTACTAGTAAATATCGTCATGAAAGCCTTGGCACGTCATTCCAGTGTCTCGGTATTTCTTGACATTTGTCGATCTTGTCATACATAGGTATCGTCGTGTAACTCCGATTAGAGAACACAGAATATTGGGTGAAACTACGGTACTGGACATACCTCTAATAATTGTAGCTATATTTCTTTAATTGCAGGTTTGGCACGAGGTCAGTATCTAAAGTCAGGTCGCAAAGAATTCATGTTTTTTGCGTGGAAACGGAAAAAGCGGATCACTCGTCTTTCGTTCCCAAATAGGGGATCCGCAGCTTCCTGGTCCGCGACTAGTACTTGGCCCTCGCACCGTTCAGAAAATGGACTGTCCATCGACACAACAGACAGTCGTACACCTGCGGTGTTGTTTCCGGTGCTTGTCTGGGGCGTTGGGGGTTCACAAGCTGTATTAGCGTAGCTAAGGCCCAATCACAGCTTGACAATTGCGACGTCGTTTTCAGGGAACGTCGCTACGATATCCCCAGCCACTCTTCTTAGGGGTTTGTTGAAAGGTGAGTCCTTCGTTGAATCCGTATAGGATCACGGTTGTGAACTTTTTGTCGCTCTGGTTCACCACCAAAACACCTGAGGTTGTCGACGTAAATTCTCTATTAGTACAAATGGATAATGACACCATCACACTAGAGCGTTGTACGGGATCTTAAGAGGAACCGTCGTATTTCTCCATTGCTGGGGTAAGTGTTGCCTGGAATGGTTCGTGTCTGTAGTAGACAACAGCATGTGCATGCATCCAAGGGAGACTTTCGATCCAGCAGCTAGCCTAGCAAAAGATATTCAGGACAGTGCTATCAATGGCGTTGTTGAGCACACTGGCAGCCTGTTGCATGGCCTATTTACTAGCATACGACTTTTTAGAAATGTCGGTCTCCTGGAGCAGTTTCATATGATTACCGCCAGGCATTCCTTTGACCTACCTAAGGAAACCCAAACTCATTACCTATGAAGAAGACAAGTAACACACCGACAGTAAACGGGGGCTTCTCAGGAATCTTTCGCACACGGAATGCGGAGACTTCAACTGCGAAGGTTGTAGGGAAGATTTCTGATCACTGACCAGTCGCCGTTCAGGGGGCTTCTGCGCGACCAGCTTGGATAGGAGAGTTGAATAACTAGATTTTCTTCGATGATGCAATTGTTGATGAATACAAGGTCCCCAGGCGCTGCTTCGTATACTGCACCTGTCCAGAGCATTAGCAAGTAGTGGCAGGAGTCTTCTTTCTTGTCCACTAATACGAGCTTGGTTATCGTTGCGATAACCTCGAGAGACACCATCTCTAAGATCTCTTTAGACAGGTCTGTAGTGCTAATTTAATCGCCGAGTTTTGCATCGTAAATAGTTGAAAGGTAAAAGCAACCTAGGGAAGTGAAAGGGAAAGGGTGAAAGTGGTATCTAGGCAATAAGGTGTACTCTTAAGTGATAGGAAGCTGGGATAAAAACATAATGTATAGTCATGAACTTAACTAGATGTAAGTCAAATCTTGCATAGTACCACATAAGATGGCTATTTACCACTACCCGACGACCTTTTTTTTTTAGCTCCCCCCTTAAGTGGGATAGTTCATTAGCCACAATATAGTTAGAACATATATCCATTTGATTTCCCAACCATTCACCATCCATCAGTATCAGGAGGCTGAAAGCATTGACCGCGACTCCCTGGTCCGAATGATCAGGTAGGGGTGCTTTAGTCCATTGGTCAGTTGTGGGTGGAAAGCATTGAGTAGCAGTTAGTCGTCCTCAACAGCTGTAGTCACTTTTTGGATCTATCCGATCTACCGGAACAGGTACTATGGATAACGATGTGGAGTTTTAATCCAGGGTTTTTATTCAACGGGAAGAATAGAAATTTCGCTATGGGCCTGTAGGCTAATACATCAAAGAGCCGGGGTCAGGAGAACCCTCGCACCCTAATTCAAGCAAAGAGGAGAGATAGAATAACAGATAGGGAAGTCCCTGATAAGAAATAAAAGGAGAATAACAGATAGGGGAATCTCAAATAAGAAATAAAGGAAGAACGAAGGAGATGAGTCTGTTTAAAAAAAAAAAAAAAAAAAAAAAAAGGCAAAATTGAGAGGCTATACCAGGAGAGAAATCCTTATTAAAAGAGAGTTGTATTTCTCAGGTCCGCTTTGAACCCTTCTCCTGTTTTGGGGGCATATTTTCCCCTACTGGTTCCACTGGAAGCTCACGAAGTACCGGATACGGCATCAAAATAGGCCGCAAAAGTGGCGGTCCAATAACTTCTGCCACAGGCTTCAAATCCAGGATCATTGAAAGTAAGCCCCAGGCCTCCCACGACATGGTGATAAAGAGTAAAATTGAGTGCGTATTCTGATAAGCATTTACCACCTCAACTTGGTATTTCCGGGGCAAACTTGCGAACATGTCCTTGAACCCCTCTGCCGTCTCCCGATCGTTTCCGTCGATAATCAGCTTGGCGATTACATTCGTTTTTTGCCCAGCGGTAGCAGTAAGGGGGCTTGATGGAATTACCATGCCGGCCGTATTCATTTCGACTAAGGGTAGTACAATTGGGTGAGTTCCACCCAGACAAATTAGCCGGGGTTGCGGTTCCGTCTTCAAAGTGGCTTCTTTCAGCTGGCTATAGAGAGTAGTGAGAGCCAACTTGCCCTTGTTGAATCGCTGACCGCGTATAATCTCTTGAGATAATCGCTGGGTGAAGGTCCGCTTTGGTATCCTGTTTGGACTAGAGCAGCGAGCGCGGGCAGTCTCTTTCTCGCCACAAGCGGCCAGTACAGAAATCGTCTGTTGCATTTGCTCACGCCGAGCCATGCCAGAATAACAACAATCTAAGACAACACATATGTCTAGGTTTGGCGTTGAATTTTCTAGTGTCGACTTAATCCACGACCATAGGATGTACTTCTTTTTGGAGGATTCGAAGGTGAGCCCTTTAGCCGCGTCGCTATAGCCATGGCCAATATACGCCAGAACAAGAAGGTGCCTCAAGTGGGGAGTTTTGATGGATTCCCTGAATACTACTCCTAGTGCATTGAACAGCTGTTCCGTCGGCCAGGATTTATCCGCTGGGATTTGGAATTTGTTTGCTTTGACATTCATGGCGATTTTCATAGCTAGCTCCAAACGATCCATGTCGAGGCTAGCGCCAGTATTATCCTTGGTCCAGCCAAAGATGATCGCATGGATTTGATGGTAGTCTTTACCCCGGTCGTTGCACACCTGGTTAAGCTGGGCTTGGAGTTGTGGAAGGGGAATCTGTGAAGGGTGTGAAGACTGGACCAGGGCTGGTTGCTGGCTTTGCGATGGTCCTAGCACAAGAGACGGGTTTAAGAGGGGAGGACTAGCTAGCCTTGGTAATTTTGACATTTCGAAAGATTTCAACAGAGTTAGGGATATGAAGAATGAAAGAAGACATTGAGGTGTTGATGGACCTAGATAAATCAAGTCTAAATAGTCTAATTAGGACTAGTATACTTACTCCACCTTTCCCCTAGCTAGCCAATGAAGAGGCGAGGGCGGCATATGTTAAAGGCCCGGGATAGTTTAGCAGCCATAGCATAGATATAACGCATATTCTATCTAGTTTAATCCATTCATCATCCACCAGTAGTCAGAAATAGGGCTGTTGACGATATCGACAGACGATACGATATCGGCTGCTTTTGAAGTTGTCGATGCCGATTGCCGGTACGATATCGGCGGGCTTCAAATTTGACGATATCACCACTCACGATATCGTCATATCGTATCGGCATCGGCACATTTTTCCTGTAAAGATATCTAGAGAGCGAACGGGCTTTCATCGAACAGCAGTTTTATTTGACGCTTTATGGATGCAGAACCGGAATATTGCAATGGCATAATTTAAACAAATCCCTTGACCGCTACCACTTATACCTATCGCGAATCAACATCAGCATTCTTAAGGTATCCCCTTTCAAAGAATATCTCCGGATGCCTAACACATCCCTCGCTATACTAAAGACTCTCTCAACAGCAACTTCAGAAGCAGGAATCGCTAGATAGTCCCTGGCTGCTGCTGCCATCTGCAGATACTCGCCCTTGTGCATCTTCCACCAATTGTAGAGCCAGTTTTGGCCGGTGGTATCTGCGACGCTGATCGGAGGGGTTTCGAAGTACTTATCAATATCTGAGAGCGGCGGATCTCGCGCCTGCAACTTCTTCAGCATTCTAGACTCCACATCACTATACTATAGTGAAGACAACTATGGTGCAGCGGCATTATGCTCCGGGTTAATAGCCGTGTATACCTGATAGAGGTTGGTGCGGATCGTTTCCAGAATCATTGTGCCTGCATTGCCATCTTGAAGTTCCCGTAAGACTATTTCACCTTTGACTCAGGGATCCAAGATGAGGGCAGTGTAGTAGGTGTCGCAGTCATCCATAATGGAATAGTACTTTTCGTATTTCTTCATCCCTTCTTTCACTACAGCTATGACATCTCGATCCAGTTTTGCGAAGTCACCATTGCCCTCCATCACGTCATTAAGCAATTCGTGTAGCTTATAGTAAATCGGGACTACGAGGCTGATTTGTGGATTACGTTTCGAGATGAACAAAGTAAGCTTATTGAACTTGTGGAGTACCGTGCGAATCTGTTCCAGCCGTGACCAATCTTGGAGAGTGAACGGCGGGAGTTCCTCCTGAAGGTTTAGGAACTTGTTGACTTGTTACCTTGACTTCAGACCATCGTCCACCATACGAAATGTCGAGTTCCGTCGTGTCGTAACATCATACGCAACGAATTTGTCTGGAAGACTGTTGAGTTTGCAAATCTCCTTCCATTTCTGTCGGCGCTGAGGACTTCGGTTAATCCAAAGAGCGAGGATCCATAATCTCCCTATTGCTGAGTGTTCGGTGATCGAGTTACTAGTCTATAAACAGTCATAGGCAACATGCGCTTATTCCATCGTCCCTGACCCTAAGTTATGGAGGATATCTTTCACGATCAGATTAAGGACATAAGCTAGGCAGCGGATGTAGCTATCAAGACCTCGATAGAGCGATGCTGGCATTACGTCTTCCACCCTAGGTCGGTCGGAAAGAGAGAAATATAATTCCGAGGCCATGGCCTCATTGTTACTAGCGTTGTCGCCTATAATAGAAATGAGTTTGTCCTCGAGACCTAACTCGATAAGCATATTTTCCACGGCAATTACTAGATTTTCGCTACTATGGATGCCCTAGAGCTCGGCGAACTCGAGTAATCTCTCGCGGTACTCAAATTCGTTAGTCAGCTAATAACCAATTATCCCTAAAATAGGAAGATGATTCTGGCTTGTCCAGATATCCAGCGATAAGGTAATAGTTTTGCAAGTCAAAGCCAGCTCATTCTTTAGGCTAGTTCGCTATATAGCGAACTCTTGCATGATTCGATCCCGCAAGGTGTGGCGAGAAGTGAAAGGAGGCTCAATCCCAGGAATGTCTCGGAATATTTGCTAAAACTCTAGAGACTCGACAATGGTGAAGGCTTATATATTAGTCACAACCTAGCGAATGGCACTTCTTTCTAAGACCTCTTGATGAGTGAGACTCTGTTTACCACCCATAAAACATCGAATGTCTGGTCCCTTCTTCGCTGGCTGTATACTAGAGGTCGGGCAGTAAACGCCATGCTTTGCCAAGTAGGTTTTCATGTTACTGGTTGTATTTTGCCTCTATGAATCTGATGTATGCCAGTCACAGCGTGTTCCCGTTTTATTATCTACATATATACAGCAAATCCCTCGGTCGACCAGCCGCCTCTTGTTGGTCCTCTTGATAACCCATGGATAATCAATAGCTATAGTCTCGAAATACCCCTAGATCTACTCTATAGCAGGCGCTGGCTGTTTAGAGCATCGAGAGGATATGTGGCTTGTGATTGAAGAACCAGCATATGTTGAGGCTTCTTGGGATACTAGTACTTGCGACACAGACTCAGAAGGTAGGAGCTCGCAATCTGGTATATTGGCGAGCATCACCGCGTCTTCTTGACAGGTTGGGAGAGTACATGTGAGATTGCTCGGCGACTGGCTTAGCTCGCTTGATTGGTAGGTCTGATCCTCGGACGAAGACTCTCCATCGCTCTCGTCATTCAGAACTCTGTAGTTGAGGCGTTTCTGCCGGGCACGCATTTTATTTGGGACACACCGGGTCACTGGTGCAACGCGGATAAATACGACTTACTGATCGCAGCTCACTGTTGATATGGGGTTCAGTAGAACGAGGGTTGAAGAGTCATATGTGGAGTTAGTTATTTTCTGGAAGAGGATGTCACTGTCAACGAAAAAGAGGTCGGGGCACGCGTCGCAGCCTCTTGTGCGCGTCGCGTCTAAATAGAGTTGAGCCATAAAATGGGGTTGGACCATGACCTCTGGATATTCTGCCATATAACATAACAGAAGAAGGAAGGCATAGCCATAAAACAGGGAAAATGATAGTATGTCTGCAGGAAAAAGCCAATGAAGTAAACATATATATATACGTATGCGCCGAGGGATGGAAGGAACTTGAAAAGGATAAGTCATGTACTTTGCAATAGCAGAGTTAGTTGATAGGACGGGAAAGCAACGTAGAATATATAAATATCCCGCCACATAGTACAGCAAAAATGCAACGTAGGACTACAAAACGGAAGCGGATTGCCCTAATTAACGAGTATCTAAGCTTACATTCTCTTTGTAGTAGAGTCTTCTATATCTAGGACCAGGAGCTATTCTCTTATTGTCCAATTACCGGTGACGATATATCACCTACGATAATATCATTTGCCGATATCGTATCGACAGTTTAATAAACTGTCGATGTCGATTGCCGATACGATATCGGCAGACTTCGAAGTTGACGGTGCCGATTGACGATATGGGAAACCAATGCCGATATCGTATCGTTAACAGCTCTAGTCAGAAACTTGAAGCAGTGATCGCGACCCCCTGATCTGACTGATCGGGGTAAGGGTGCTTATAATCTATTGGTTAGTTATGGGTGTGGAGTGTTGAGCAGCTATTAGCTGTCTTTAGTGATGACCTGTACTTTCTTATTTCCTCATTTCACTGGGTTTAGAGACCTATTCTTCTCCGTTTTCTACTTCTGATTTCCTTTCTTGTTCCTTCGGATTCGACGTATCAACCTCTCGACCGAACGATTACGTTATTAATCAGATTAGCGTGGTCATATGACCCTAATTTCTAGTTCGACTCCAGGAAGGAACGATCGATCGAAGGAGTTTCCATTCCCTTCATCCTTGGCATGGTCTTACTGTTCAGAGATTGTCGACGAACACCCAGGATATCCCTTACAGAACTGAAAAGTCTTTCAACTGAAACCTCAGCTGCTGGAATACCAAGGTAGTCCCTTGCAACTGCTGCCATCCTGGGGTGTTGATCATTATGAGCGTTCCACCATGAAAGCAGCCACTTAGAGTCCTCCTGGTCTTCTATTAATCCTTCTACTTGAATAGGAGGTTCATCAAAATAGCGATCAATATCAGAAGCCCGAGATACTTTTTGAGAATGTACTTTTTGTAGAAGACGAGCTCTCATACCTGGTCGAGCAGGAGGATCCATAGTTCTAGAAGTAAAACTAGAGATGGAGGTAGCCAAGGGGGAATATTTCTTATGAAGAAAGACCTTAATGCTCTGAATGATTCCTTGGATAACCCCATCTTCAAGCTCTTGTTCCATTTCCTATACTTTTGCATTCCAACCAAGACAGCAGAAGAGATATCAGGACTAAGCCCTGCAAAGTCGCCTTCAAAAGAAGCTGCTTCTATAAGGAAGATTGATAGTCGCCAGACTCGGCGTGGTAGGAGATTTATTCTATCAATGAATGAATAACTATTTAGATATCAAATTAGGGACTTGGGATGATAAGTTTCTATCGTGGTATCGTATGATTTATTTAGGCGGTGGCATAATATCACGGATATAAGTTCTCGACTACGGTTACGGATACGAATAATCCAAAATCTTACGGATATGTATCCGTGCCGACCTCTACCTAGCTCTTCATTACCCTAAAGAAGAAACGGGGAGCAATTCGACCAAGTTTTAGAAGGCCTAAGGAACCTGGCCTTGACAGAACCAGTGGCTGTGACGGAGCCTAGAGTCTTAGCAGAGCCGATTAAAGGCCCCGACGAAGACAAGATGTCCTTAACGCTCACATTTTTGGGCGAAAGGTACGAAGATGTCACACTATATATCACTATATATAAAGTGAAGTTTATAGGTAGCTAATACTTTGAACAAGATTGGGTAAAGGCATCAGTTTTAATACTATTAATAGGCCTGGAGGACTAGGCGAAACAATTTGCGGATGTATTAAGCGAGAGTGACCGAGAGGACTTCAAGAAAATGAGCGATAAGCTGAAGGCTCGATTCCTACGAGAAAGCCGAACGGCCGACCACTGACTGTTTTGAATCGAGTGTCGGAGTTGAAGCAGGGGAGGGAGTCCATCGCGGAGTACTACAAGCGGGGCATGTAGCTCTAACATCAAGTTGGACCCGAGTTACGAACGCTGTTAGTAGAGCGATGGGTCTATGGATTGTCGGACGAGCAGATGAGGGGATTCATCCGTTACGACCAGACTAAGGAGCTAGCCAACGACAAGAAGCTAGAAATCGCCCACGCAGTCGCAGTAGTGAAGGGATTGACACGCTCATTAACCGAAGACGAGGTAGACGGTCCTGTCCAGAAGGGGTCAGTATCAGATGAGTAACTATTGAAGGCTCTAGCTCGCGTTTTGAACCTCAGAGCGCAGCCTCGATCTTAGGCTGAGCCGGTTAAGCAATAGCAGAAGCAGTAGGGACGGAATAGCTGGTCCGTCCTATAAGCCTCTTCCCTACCGCCCTTAGTACCAGCGTGGCTATATAGACCCTGCCTATGATATATATAGGGCGAACAGCATTATCTTCTGGACCTGCGGCGAAGCCGGATATCGATCGAGTGATTATGTGAACCCTAGGCTGCTTCTATTAGAAGAATGGCGTCGGATTCGAAACATGGTATAAGTTTGTTGGAACCAGCGATAGGCAGGCTAGCAAAACTAGCGTCCGATTGCCCTATTGTCTACGCAGGATGGCATGGTCTATTGGGTTAGCGGAGAGGATGATCTAGAGGATATCGAAGATCATTCGGACGCTGCCGGCAGCGAACAATGATGTCATCACCGACTAGGATAAGTATGTGGAAGTTGCCTTCCAGGCGATGAATTCGAGGCGACCCGTTTATACAAATTTAAGTCTATCAGAGCTAATAGTTAGATACCAACCCCACTTCTTCGGATCACGGTCATTCGAGGCCAGGCTGCAACATGATATACTAAAGGACGAATTAGAACCAGTGTCATTTAACATATTAGGGGACACCAACCTCGATCCGACCCACGAAGTCTATATTGCGGCCAGGGACCATATGAGAGCTGAAATCAATCGTCACCTAGTAGCGGAAGCAAGAAAGCAACCGCTCGACTTCAGAAATCAGAAAGGAAGGTCCAATTTGGCGATTTAGTCCTACTACGAAGAGTAGAGTTGGACCAAGGATTTGGACGAAAATTCGAAGCAAAGTGGGCCGGCCTATTCAGAGTGATGCGATTATTGAATAAAGGAGTAAACCTTCTCCTAAAACACATCGCCACTAAGCAGCGAGTAGGTAAGTTCCATTTGAACCATATTGTTGATACTATCACTCATGCTTATCATGGGATCACGCATACGTAGACCATTTGCGGCGTAAGCTAAAGTCCAATAGCAAGCTATTGTAGATACTCACGACCTGAGTATCCCGACACATATCAAGCTATTCATTCCACGGAACCCAGCAACCATAAAGGAGAAAGCGCTTAAGCTTCAATATTAGTTACAACAGCAGGTCCAGCAAGCGAAGGACACCCGGAAGATGGCATAGTTAGGTGCGGCTTCGGAGTCGAATTAAGAGCCAGGGGTTCCCTATGATACATATATAAAGCGCGTTTCATTTTAGCTTAGTATCAGTTATTAGGGATATCACCTCGGGGGAGTAAGGTGAATGTCAGTCAATTTTCTAGTAGCTTTTGACCTTTACCTGAGATATCAACTTAGCTGCCCAGGTGTGTTAGATACTTGAAATATATATCACAAAAATTTCATACCTAGGTATGAACTAGCAACTACTCGTGAGCCCTTCCGCAATTTTTCATGGGTGTTCTAAAACGATCCATGAATGATAATTATACACTAATCAAACAAAGTTGATCCTTCTGAGAAACCTGAGAATATGCCTTATCTCCAAGTCGCTGTGGCTGTTGCTGTTGAACCTGCACACCCCGTTGGCACAGTAAACGACCTGTTCGGATCACTCTCCCACGTGGTAGTAGAGGAAGTCTTCTTGATGAATTTGTACTCAATTGAAGTTCCAACTGGGAGCGTCACAACAGTAAACCACAGAGGGCTAGAAGAAGTGTAGTTATCAGCAGATAATGGGACTGCATATCCAGTATTCCAGTCACCCAATTCGCTTGTTGAGCCCGTGAGATAAATGTTCTCACCGTAGCTTGTTGAAACCAATTCTTTGAACAGAACTGGAAGTTCTGTAGCTGAGGTACATGTGCCAGTAGAACTGGTTCCAGGTGCCGAGGAGGTGGTAGTTGCTGAAGTAGAAGTCCCACAGAGTTCACTGCCAGAAACAGAGGAGGCTGGCATCAATACACGGGGTAGACCTGAGGCCATTGGCACTGCGATGTCTCCATTTGAATCCACTGTCACGGAGGTACATGTGTGTAGTTCCATCAACTTGGTCCCGGAGGAGTATCCGCTTCCACTGAGAGTCAAACTGTACGAGCTACCACTGGCACCGGCATTTGAAAGCACGGTAATCACTTGCGAGCCACTGGATCCCTTACTCATCGCGATGGTATGATCATCTTGAGAGAAAGGTGTGTTCTGAGATGCTAGATAGGAAGAGTCGGTGGATATTGCCAGCTTGCGAATCTTGTTGGTGGTTGCAATATACTCATAAAGCTCTGCTGTAGTGGAATACTCTGAAAGCCAAGTTGCTTCACGGTTGTAAGGGTCACCAGCACCGTTGTAATGCTGTTCCTGACCTGCATAGATGATTGGAATTCCATCAGACAAAAAGACGAATGATATCACATTCTTGGCCTGGGAGTAGTCATTTGTATAACTGGAGGCATTATCAGTCAAGGATTTTAGAAGAGCGGATAAAAGAACATACTGGGCAAATCTTGGGTTATCATGATTTTCAATGAAATTTCCAAGCAAGCTTGGGTCAGAGCAAGTTGACGCAATCGAACTAATTATACTGTACAAGTCGCTAATGCTGCCACTCGATGACTCGAATGCGTAGAGTAGATTATAATAACTATGAGATGTTAATGAGGCTCAAAAAAATTTGAATACATCCTTACACTGGGTAGTTAAGCACTCCGTCAATGTAATTCTGGTACGGGCATGTGTAGGATGGATCCCCATCGAATACCTCCCCGATACAGTAGACACCCGCAGCGGAATTATAACCAGGCCAGAATGACTCCTGGACGTGCTTCACAGTGTCGACTCGTAGTCCGTCGACTATAAAATGTAAGATTACGGGCTAGCACAGCTTTAAGGGCCTGTCTACTTACTAGAGTAGTTGCTGACAAGATCTTTAACCCAGTCGTACCAAACGGTCTGCACTGAAGTTAGCTCCGTGTTAAGATCTGGCAGTGAAACAACGGTGTCGCCGAGCCAACAATCTTCAACATTGCTCTGATTAGAATAGTCACTGATTTCACAGTAGGAATGGAAGTATGTTGACGAGTCAAAAGGGGTGAAAACACTGTAGTCTACAGTGTCACCTGCACCGCCGTAGCCCTAGATTCGGATCAGATAAATCCATAAGTAGTAACAGAAGGGAAAGTGGTGGTACCATATGATTCGCTACAACGTCTACCATCAAATACATCTTTCGTTCATGGAGAGCATCCGACAGCGCTAGAAGATCAGCTGATGTGCCATAATGGGCATCTACTTCGTATCTATTAGAGTTAGCTCATTCCAAAATTGTTATCGTTGAAATCCAAAATTTGTGGTTTCCTTACATGTTTTGCTGCCAATATCCATGATAAGCCTCTCCTTCGGTAGTGTCACTGGACAGCTGTTCGGTGACAGGGGTAATCCAGATGGCGGTAAACCCCATCCCCTGTATATAATCCAACTTAAACAGAGGTTAGAGCAATTTCCAAGAAGAATATTGACAGACATACATGATTGATAATTCCCCGCCAGCTTCCACCGCAGTATACCTGGAAGAATTAGATACTTCGATCGAGTAGTGGAAAGACAAGCACTTACTCTGTCACTAGCATCGCATGCTGCTGTCGTAGAATTATCTTCACGGCCAAATCTATCAGTAAGAAGAAAGTAGATAGATTGACCTCGCCATTCTGTTGGTGTCAGCGCAAAAGCTGGCCTCGTAGCGACAAGCGCCGCAAGAAATGCGAACAACTTCATTGTTCCACTACGCGTGCAGTGAAATTTGAAGATGCAGATGCGCTCTGCCGGTTCGAAATCTAAGTTTTTTATTCTATCCCCCTGCTTCGTACTTTTGTTTCATGCAGCTCATCAATAATTTAGGTACCCTGCATCACACCCTGCACCACACCCCGCATTATCCATCTGGCCGATTCGCGAGCTCTGAAGAGAATTTGGATCTCGGAATAACCATTGATTGCTGGAAAAATCATCACCTCTTGAACGTTGCTTCCGACAGTAGCATTCGAGCTGATCAAATTATATTGAGACGGATCAATCCGTATCTGGACAACAGCACATGGGAATCTACTGTCTGAAATGCCTGGATACCGTGACATCGTCTTCTAGATCATATGATAATTTTTTGGCCAGATATTATACAGGCGTACTCGGTAATCAGACTCATATGGAGTAGCCTCTTTGATCATGATTAAGGTTAAAAGTGACATTCTACCCAATTTTGAAACAAGGATCAACCAACAATAACGCTGTAGTTGTAACTGAACTTATTATACAGCTAATCTGGTTTAAAAAGGTCACTCCTAGACAACATTTCTAATTACGCACAAATCAAAATCTGCCTTGCTGAAGTCTAGCTACTTTGGCACTTTCTTCAAAAATCAACCTTTCGTAGGATTCCAAGGATTCCACACCTGGACATACTCCTGAGTCTCATGACATACAAAAAAAATGATGAATCTCAATCCACACGTGCCATATGTTTACCTTTTGCTTCAAGATTGTACACCACCAGATCTTGGAAAAATGACGATTCGCTTTATAGCGGTATCAGATCTCCCTCCAGGGTTCCGAGGCATGTTCATTGGGTTCAAATTAATAAGAAATTTTGAGTCACCAGTGTGGCCGGAAAACTTGGGGTATCAACCCAATGAGAATGCCCAAATTGCCCAAAATACCTGGTGTAGTTTGAGAGATTTCAAGGTTGATAAACTTCTCTATATCTAGTATTGAAGGATATTTTGCCTCTGAAAGCAAGTCCAAGACTACCTACCTAGGTAAAAGTGACTTTCATATTTTTCTTCACAGTACATCAAAATGATTAAACAATCTTTGAAAAATGAAATTTGGAACTACTCTTCAACCATTATACTTCGTATAGAGCACAGACCAAAGCGGGTCTCCTATAACCAATAGGAGTTTAAACGATGGCACTAAGAACCCTCTGTAGCCATGGAGTAATACTAGAATCTCATAATATTCGTGTATTTCGATAACTTCAACTCTTTGCATCACATGGGGATCCTCGCCAACGAAGATGCATAGAAACAAATATGGGCACGTAATTTCAGGCAGTCTTACGACACGATAGTTAGGGTTGCTGGTATTCATAGATATGTACCGTAAAATTTACCTAGGTACATTAGGATGTTCTGTGAAACATTGCCCTTTATAAATAATTCACAACGATCCTTTTTAAGCTTGGAAGAAATCAAATGTTGAAGACTTAAATACTCTGACTCATGTCAATTGCAAACCATGAGGCATACACTACTTAGTTAGGCTGTAAATCAGGTTAATAGAGTATTGATTGATTGATTGATTGATTGAATATTCTCAAAACTAAACAAGGGTGACAAAATACAAGTTTCTCGATGCTTCAATATCCCGCGTGGTAAATTGCTGCAGGAACTCGTTACTGACAACAGTGTCTCCGTGTGCCTACCTTATTCTTCAAGAACGGTGCGAAGGTCTAGACTGTTCATGGTGCCAACCCCCCTGCTATCTTGTCTTTTGGACTGGAGACTACCGACTGCCTAGACACAATGAGAAGCTATCTAAGTCAAATACGAGGCCAGCGCTCAGACATGCTCATGCATGTCCAGCTTTGGCTGAATCACCGTAACTTTCAACTTGTCCTAAATTACTATCATTTTTAATATCCTTTTCAACAGATATTATGATCGGTACCGGCTCCGCACCCTTCATCTGCCTGAATACTTTTATTTCGGATGGATTATTGTTAATCATAGCTTCTAGAGAAAGGGTTCCATTAAAACAAACGGTGTGTGTAACGGGTTGATACCCGATGAAATGCTCAGTCTCTGGAGAGACTGCGCTCCTAGCATCTGTGCGGAGCCGAACGAGCTATAAGAACACCCGGTCCCCAGGACCCCTTTCCCTCCCTTAGTTAATTCTCCTTGTTTACCAATCGGATCTTTACAGCGTACAAATTCCTGCATTCATCCCGTAACAGTGTGGTTGATATCTAAAATTATGGTTTTGTCGATCTAGATAAATAGAGTCGCATTTCGGTCTTTCATTGCAAGGTCTAAGCTCTTTGAGGGAACTTCCAGGGAAGCTTTCCCTCTTTGTAATTTGTCTCTTCCACAATATCGAGCACAGCTGCGTCCTTCAGAATAGGTGCCAATGTCTTTGCAACCAATCGAGCTCCGCACCAGGGCATCACATATCGACAGACGAACTGAGCAATCAAATTTGGCCAACCCATCACTCGGCAGGTTTTTCCAGATGTTGCTACGCAGAGCTTTGCACGCTCAAATCTTTGTTCTTGATATGCCTCGAAGGCCTGCGCAATTTCTTTGGCTGATGGATTCTCGCCGAGCTTCCGAAGCTCGTTAGTCAAGACAACGACCGACTCGAGACCAGTATTAATACCGAGTGCCACATAAGGTGTCATCTTATGAACCGCATCGCCGACCAGCACAGTTCGTCCCTTGTACCATTGCGGTATGACGCCTTCTTCCAAGTCGACCAGTTTCGAAAATTCCGCTGTCTTCTCTAGATCGCTGACACGGACGGAGCCATCCGCGTTAATTTTAACGTCGGCAAATTCCTTGAATATATCAGCTTCATCTTCTTTGCTGTAGCTGGTCCAGGCTTGGGTTGGCTTGTCTCTTTTGACGAAAAGAAACCAATAAATGCTTTTGTCGCCCACAAAGACCAATGTCGAATTTCCATCATGTCCATGGATGGTCACTCCATCTCCAGCCTGCATTCCAGGAATTAACGGCCCTATTCCATATACTGCCTTGAAGGTAGATGTGAAACCTTCGGGCATCTTCTTATCGCCTTCGTTAAACAGCTGCCGGCGCACGATACTGCGTACTCCATCCGCACCAATGAGAATATCGCCCTCATAGCTTGTATCATCGCTGCAAGTCACTTTGACACCGTTTTCGTCCTCCTGTATGTTTGTGACTTCTTTATTGACCAGTATCCTGTCAGAACGGGCAGGAGCACTGTCGTATAGCATTTTAATAAAATCCTTTCGGCTGAATAAGACAAACCGATGTCCATGGCTAATTCTGCATTAGCTTCATTTGTCATCACTACTTAGGTATAGGTGTATGTTTCAACTTACTTTGCTTCGATACTGTCATACATCTTGTTCTCTTGTAACACGGTACCGTCAGGAGAGAGGAAAAGAGTACGGTATAAAACGCTTGTGAGCTTTTTTACTTGTTCCATGAGTCCAAACTGGTCAAGGATGCGTATACAATGAGGCCAGATCCCAAGGGTGTTTCCCTCTGGGACAACGACTTCGGAACGCCTCTCAAGGATAAGGAAGTCATGCAATCCAGCCTTCTCTAAAGAGTGGGCAAGCGCCAGAGCGGCGGGGCCAGCACCAACGATCAAGATACGCATATTGGAAGAATGAAAGATAGAACTGAGATCAAGAAAATCTTGAGGCTATTTTACTGATATTTTGTCTGATAGGATGTTGTCTGATAGGAAACCTTTAGTTTATACGGAAAGCTCCAAGCTCTTATATCCACAAATATAAGCCGGAAAGGATTCGTCGGCAGTCGTTATCAAACTTTCCGATAGTTCAACATGGTCTGACTACTGTAGTATGTAGTTATTATTTAGATGATGCAGTAGACGAAATCTGCAGCCCCTTGTGATCACTAGTAGGCACTTAGTACGCGTAACTTCTGCTAGCGGATTTGAAATAGATAAAAACCCGCTCAAGCTGAGGAAAATTACGCTCAATAGTGAGGGTAGAATCTATTGATGCTTCCAATATTACTTGATATGTCCCTAGGTCAATCTCTGGTCACAACAAACTGTTAATCTTCCAATTGCGGCGATTAGATCGTGAGATATAATTCAATCTCTCGACTGCATCTCGTTGCATGCATGATACTTCCGGTTTGCAGAGTTTTGTACAATCGTTCTATCCGCAGTAGATAGCCCCCGATGTCCGACTTCGATCCTTCGGTCCACGGAGTTAAAAATTCCGTCGTCCGTCGTCCGTGCCGAAGTCTTAACAAATTAGGTCTATCGGTTCCTAGTTCTACATTCTTCACAACATCTTTACCGTCCAACTACATATATGGAATTTCTACCCCTAAATATACCTATGTATGAATAAGAGGTAAACACCAAGTTGAATTTATGAAAACTTTCGTAGTATAGTCCCAACCCTTTTCATCCACGCCACATTTTCCAAAACTTTGAAGAACATTGCGCACTCTCATTTTTGCCTCCTAATGTGCTTGGCGAAGATCTTGTAGACTCTAGAATCTATAATTCTATCGAGGACAATGACCATGGAATTGTCCTAGGGTTTATTAAAGTAACTCCCATACGAACGGGACACATAGGCGAACCAGACCCACTTATATATTTGAATCCCAATAACTCCATTAAATACTATATAATAGTAAAAAAAAAAACTATTGAATCGGTCGGTGAGGACAGATTTCCCTCCTATGACTAGGATTCCTGCATATCCCACATCGGCGTTGGGGCGCCTGGCCCTCTGATGGTAAATTGGCATCACTAGGTTTAGAAGCAGTATTTAAGGCGTCATCCATTCCCTCCTGAATTGTAACCCCTTCTACTACTGCCATTGTCGATTTGGATGTGTTTTTTGCTTCTTTTTTTCTCATGCGCGGCGCGTAAATCCCTATTTTCCGGGCGTAAAAGAGCATTATCCTGATATAGGGTATTTGCACCCTTTATTATCTGGTCTAATGCTCTCCTAGATGGTGATGGTGATGTTCGAGATACTGTGCGGAGTATAGCTTTATGTTGACGCCGTAAATCTTTTTGTGTTTTAGGGGTTCTTGGTGTCCAATTTCGGCTTGAATCACTCCCCCTAGAAGGTGGTGGTGGTGGTGGTGTTAGGACGCGCATAGTAAGCTTTTTAAGCACTCTACTAGGGTCAAGTGGCACGATTACGGTCGCGGCGAACGCTTTAGATGCAGATGTAAGAGCTTCAACACGTGCGATAGGATATATCTCTAGAAAATCTCCCTTGTTGATGTGGCTGAAGCCAAGCTCTACTCTAGACTCAACCAGCCGAGTATAAGAGCGTTTCAACACCGCAAAACACCCAACATCAAGAGGTTGTAGAAGATGTGAAGCATGCGCAGGCATAGAAAGTGGTATAATATCATGTTTTTCGCATATCCGGTCGAAATCAGGGGTTAAATGGCCACCATGACCATCTAGGATTAGGAGTCGATACCGTCCTTTAGTACGCGCAGTAGCAGGTATAAAGAGCTTTTCAAGCCATCGGAGCCCTATTTGATCTGATGTCCAGCCATTCGGACTTATCTCGATTCGCCAATTAGATGGTAATCCAAGGTCAGGAGCAAACCAACTTCGCATCATCACCTTTCCTTTAAAGATGATACAGGGTGGAGGCGTGTAACCAGACGCGCCTAAACACTCAATAACAGTAACCCATTCGCGGTTTCCAGGCTGTTTTTTTTTAGCTCTCTTACCATAATATCCAGCTCTAGTAACCACTTTTGCTGTCGCACATCGTCCCATCGCGAATCCTGTCTCGTCAAAATTATAGATATCGTGTTTCAACCAGTTTAAACCAATTATTTATCACATCATAGTCCTCCTGGCGCGCACATTGCCAATCGCGTGGTTTTGAATAGGTAGTTTGAATTTCAGGTAAACGTGTAGTAAAGTTGGTGACCCAGTTTCGTCCGATCGTAAGAGGGGGGTGGTTCCGCGGTGCAGAATATTGGCCATTCTACCAATACCTTTAGTCCTAGGAGCACATCCGCGATCAATTAGAGAGACGACCCACTGAATTAATGATTCATCTTCAGATTCAGTCAATTTATGGTTGTTTGCGAGTATTTCAAGGCGAGATTGAACACCAGATTGGCGGCGATGGGGAGTCGATTTAGGTATATTAAATATAGCTGCAGCTTGGCGTATTGACGATATTTGACCATTTTTTAGAGCTTGTAAAGCTAACAAGACATTCCTCTCCTGTTCCTGTTTATCTTGAATGATAGGAGCTATTTTCGGAGGCATGGTGGGTAGTTGAAAATACGAGACACGAGACTGACGTGTAAATTCGGTGGTCCCGTTCGCCGATGTGTCCCGTTCGTATGGGATTTACTTTAGTTATCACGATAACGTTAACTATCCCTTATCGCGCGGGTGACATCAAATAATTTTTCCCCAACACCAACTCCGCAACCTCGCCCTCATAACACATCACCCATAGATACTTTCGAAAGCTAAAGCCCTACGATAAATACCATGACCTCCACACCAACCTCAAAAACGCATATCGCCCAAACACTCCTTTCGCGGGCCCATTCCCCAGATACAGCATCACAGCAGTTCACCGAGCGCATAAAACAGAAACCACTCTTCCTACGCGCAACCTCTCCATCGGCCCAAGATAATCGATCTCGACGGCGTCTCGAGCGTCTTCGCAAGAAAGAATACTTCCTTCGGCACCAACGGCCTAAGCCCTTGTCCGCGCGTCAAAAGCGCTCCTCAGGCCTCTATGACATGCCCAAAGAAGAATGCAAACACTCCATTTTCAAAGGACTGCATTCTTTATGGATTACATATATGCAGGAGATCTTGGATCTCAAGTCTGATAGGAAAAGTGGACTTGTTACGCCCTCGTCACATGGAGCAAAGCTTGTCAGCGCAGATTATCATGGTGCGGAGGTGGAGGTTGTAAGAAGTCGGTGTCCGAGCCGAGTCGGGATGAAAGGGATTGTGGCTCGGGATACAAAATTCACTTTTGACATTGTCACTGAGAATGATGAAGTGAAAAGTAGGTTTTCGAATGTAGCGGATCTATGAGCACCAACACTGATGATACTTGTGCAGCTATACCTAAAGAACACACTATTTTTCGCTTTGTGGTTCCATTTCCTACTATGGAATTAGCTGTCACAGAAGATGAAACCCAGTTACAAGAAATAGCGACAGCGGTCACTCCAACCCCGTTGGTCTTCGAACTTCATGGGAGCCAGTTTGAGAATCGGGCTGTTGATCGGGCTAATAAGAAGTTCAAATGGAGGAACATCGACTATGTTTGATATGTGTACAACATTCTAACGGAATTCCGAAATTGAAATGTCACTGGCTGAGATGCGTCTCAAAACAGCATATAAAGCATCATTACCAATATGCAGACTTCGGAAGGAACCTTATTTCAGAGACGAGCTCGCAAAGGCATCCGTCATTCCAAGGAATAAACCATCAAGCAGCTGGAAAGTACTTGTAACCTACGTCTTTGACAAAGGTCTGCTGCCAAGGACCCTGAGATTTGTGCTCAGCGAGCTCGACGTAGAATTGTCCATGTGCTTCTCCGTTGATCTCATTTAACGCAGGAGATCCATCGGCTTTCCGCTCATCAGCATAATAGAACCTGTCTTCTGTCAATATCGGAACTGCTGAATGGAAGGTATCAAAACTTACTTGAAGCCCTTTGTAGAGTACGCGGTGGCAGCAGACTGGATAACGTGGGCCATTGCAGATTTACCTACGCCAAGATCCAGAAGACGTGCAAAAGTGGTCAGGTTGAGCATATTGCCAGTGTAGATGAAAGTCTTCGGGCTATCCTTAGGGAGTTGCTCAAAGCTCAAAACAGCCTGTTGTGCAGCAGAAAATGCACTGGTTGTGTTAATGTTGAAGTCTCGACTGAAGTCAGCCAAGGGAAGAGACAAGGGGTCTTCTGGGGGGTTCAAAGTCACGGCAGCAGCTTCAAGGGTGTCAGCAAGGTTTACTAAAGGCCTCCATATGGAGTATTTATGATATACCATTGTAAACAACAACGCTTGGCAACCCGAGCGATGCTTTGACTTTAGAAAAGATGTCCTTCACAGAATGAGGATCTGATAGGTCGGCAGAAATATGGATTTGGTCCGCACTACTGTCTTCCTCCTTGAGGCTTCTAGATGCAATGGCAACTTTGTAGCCCTTGGAAGCAAATGCCTGAGCTACATGGTGCCCAACATTGGGACCAGATCCGAGTATGAGAATCACCGGAGATGTACTAAGCATAGTTGAGTCTTGACTTGGTATAATTTGAAATTATGAACTCAGAAACAATCTTTGACAAGGAAAATACGCCTTCTTATATCCTTATTTTGTCTAGGGCCTCAGCGATCAAACATCATTTCTATTCGCATTATAAATCAGAGTGTTTGATTGTTTTGCATTATACTCGTGTCTCCACATTTAACCAACCGCATCAATAGACATCACTCCCCTCTTTTTGCATTACTGTTTGTGCTGTTTGTATGTTTAATGATAAATATATATTCTAAGCTTCAAAGTAAACTGATCCTTTCATCTTCATCTCCGAACGCTATTGGCTCGCTTGGTAATCGATCTGCAAGACTGGAATGCATTATCGGATACTTAGCGCGCAAAATGTACTCCATCGGGATAATACCCTCCGCACTCTGTGGCCCCTAGGTTAAAACTTAAGGCAAGTGTTCAGTATAATATGATAATTGGTCTATAATTAGCTTTAATATCCAGAGAGATAGCCCATATCTTGGTAGCATTTGAATTTGTTTTCAATTCCAAGGTTAATTCATCACTATTGATGCAATTATGGGCTCCAACATCTTGATCACCGGAGCTGCTGGCTATATGTAAGGGTTACTTCTTCTACATCAATTAATCTAACCTTTCTTTTATAGAGGAGGTTCAATCGTCGCAGATTTTCTGGCAAGAAACACCGTTGATGCGGGTCGTCTTTTTGCTGCAGTTAGAACCGAAGAGCAAGCCATTTCTCTGTCGAAGTTGTGCGTCCATGTTCTTCAGTTGGATCTGACAGATAAAGATGCTGTGATTAAGAGCTTGCTTGCCCATGACAGTAAATACCATTCTTTAGCTGTGTTATTGCCGAGGAAAATTCACTGATAGTGTCCTAGTCAGGGTCGTCATTCATACGGCAAGTTCTATCAACCCAACTATGCCGCTGAACCTGATCACTGCGTTAAGCAAACAAGGTGAAGTGAGTGGGATAAAAACATCCTTCATCCATGTAAGTGCCTGTGCCTCTGCCACCTGTCTGCCTCATGAATGACTTAATTAACGTTGGTGTAGAGCTCGGGACAGGGTGCATTCTTCACCAATTCTCGTTGGCCGACCGAACCATTCAAGGATACGGATGCAGTATTTGATACAGAGAAAGCATTAGCAGGCTCCTCTCCTATCCGACAGGTAAAAGTTCCTTGGCTTTTCACAGGATGGAACTTTTAAAGATCTCTTGCTCACGCCGGATAGACCGACGTAGCTGTCATTGAGCATGCCGAAGCGCGAGGAGTAGCCAGTTTTATCGTTGTGCCTCCCTTAGTTTGTGAGTATGACCGATTAGAAATTGGCACTAGGTGCAGAGACTGACACATAAAACCTCTCTCAGATGGCAAGGGGAGCGGTGAATGGAACAAGCTATCAGTGGTATTGCCTATTTATATTGAAGCCAGTATTTCGGATCGCGCCGTTTGGAAATTCTCTGAATATCCGGTAGGAGAGGAGGCTTCGTGGATGTTATCAATGAGACTAGCTAACGTACGTCACAGAAAATGTCGGCTGTTCACATTTCGGATTTGACTGCTCTCTATAGAAAAATCCTAGAGAAAGTACTGCAGGAAGAAGAGCTTCCAACTGGTCGCAAAGGGTATTACTTCGCGCTAGCCCATGATGTCTACATGGGAGAAGTCTTGGATCACTTAGCCATAGAGCTGAAGGCTCGTGGTCTCATCGAAGATTCAAAGACCAAGATTTATCCCAATGATGAGGCTGCTGCAAAGTCCCTTGGTGTTCCTGTACAGTTTGTGCCCTTGTGGAATTCAGGGTAGGTGTCGAATCTATCTTATGCCGAAGAAGTATTATCTGATTCAATATGCAGTGACAACATTATCGCCGAGATTCCTCAGAAGATGGGGTGGAAACCAACGTGGAACAATGATCGATTCTTGAAAAACGTCGGTGATGAGATCGATGCTGTACTTGAGCTTGGAAAGGCGAAGAGCAGTCTTGTCAATTCTCTTTTTGGATCTGCTAAAGCTCTGTAAACAAGGAGTCTTGGATTGCCCTCATTATTTCACCTGATGTGTAAGTGTTTGAAATATGAAGATTCTGATAGAGCCGGAAGAAAATCTGCGAGACTGGGGAATTTGTTTATGCTGGGGGAGATTCTGTGAAATACTGCTGCACACTCATCCAGAACTTAGACTTAGCACCCACCAGGCCATTCGCCTACTTCAACATTTTCTTTCTCAAAATACCAGGAAGTACTCATTTGAAGTAGCTGTGTTTCTTCAGTTTACTTTCTACATCCTACTTGCAACCTGACCTAGTGAACGGTCGTAAGGTTGTTTTCTAAGGTTGGTTACATTTTCTTTTATATCCAAACATGTCTTGAAAGCGTTTAATCATGTCTCTCCTTTCAGAAAGCTGCAGAATGTCTTTCACCCTACCATTTTATCGGCAGGATGATCAGCTGCCTGGACCTCTGCCCACTCAATTTGAAATCCGCACTGCAAAGAAACTTGTACCTGATTTTGGCGGAAGTGTTGTTGTTGTTCGCGACCTTTATGTGGTGAAATATGGGACCTTCCTCACTGACAACGAGGGATTTGCTCTCTTGTTTATTGAGGACAGACTATCTATCCCAGCTCCCAGACTCCACGCGATGTACTGGGAGGGAGGCCGGCTTTACATTGTAATGGATTATATCTCCGGCAAGACTCTAGGCAAAGTGTGGCCATCGCTTTCCAAAGCCAACAAAAGCTCCCTGATCGATGAGCTTCACGCAATATTTGCTCATATCAGATCACTGCCTGCCCCTGGATTTTTTGGTAGCATCGCAAACGGACCTGTCGCGCATGAATACTTCTACACCCAAGAAGGATGCCGCGAAATCGAAGGTCCATTCGAGAATCAAGCGGCGTTCAACAAGGCGCTAGCCCTTTTTGCTAGTGATGTCGGCAATCCTTGGACTGCTGAATTCTTTCTTCGTCACCTCCACTCATCTCCCCTCGAAGGAGATAAAGCTGTTTTCACCCATGGCGACCTCTACCGAGAGAATATCCTGGTGAAACAAGTCAACGATATAGCTGCTGCTATTCCAGAGTATCAAATTGCGGCTATCATTGATTGGGAAACCGCTGGATGGTACCCTGCTTATTGGGAGTATGCTATTATTTATCCTGTTTTCCGGTGGAATGATGACTGGCCTGCGGCCGTCAAAGCGATTCTCAGCCCATGGCCCGAAGAGGCTTTGCTTCTCAAATTCTTGCATCTCAAGACCAGATCTTACATGGTGACCGTGCAGGATACTTAGGCTTGGGCTATGGAGCCATGACCGATGAGTTGTCATGTATGACTGGAAAGAGGCAACATGTTACAAGTTATGAGAGACTTGGAACCTTGGTATGAAAGTTTTGTTATCAAAATATTTGTGATAAGAAATTTGTTATCAGACTCTCGAAGGAGTCTGACCCCTATATGGAGTTAGAGGTTCCTAAACTTCCTTTATTCCATATCAGAGCTTCCAATCTTTATTGCAACATAGGATCGTAAGACTTCTTTGATGTTGTCTTAAAGAATATTCCTAGTCTAGTCGCCACCTGCTGCTCCTGATGAACAGATATGGTGTATTGACTTTAAGGGTAGCGCCAACTCAGGGCATGCTATAAATGATAGTCCTACGGACTTCAGCACACATTGCACCCGAACTGTGGGGTGGTAGAGGTGTTCCCGTCAGGTAGCACGTTCGCGCTGCTGATTTTGATCCATCTCATGTACGGCCAATTTATGATCCATACGATTGGAAAATCAATCCCAATATTGTTCACATACCGGCCCATTCAATGCTAAAAGATCGGACAGATTTTGTGCGTTCGATCTCAGATGTGGCCTCATCTCTTGCCTTTTGCGGTCCACCAAGAAGGAATCCTTTCTTCACGCCAGTGCCCAGTCGGCCACCAATGACAATGTCCATCAGGTCAATCTCCTGGTCCCACTCAGCAGAGACAACCAAGAAGTGGGAGTGGAATCGAAGAGGATCTCCCGGGTATGCGACGTACTGGCATCCGAAGCGCAGACCGGGGGAGAGGAAGTATCCTCGGGAGTGCAGGTGGGCGAAGAGCGGATATGATAGGGGTACCTCGGGGGCAGAGAGAAGGTTCTTCGACAAGGTGACTTGATTTTCAAGAGGGGGGTATGATGTTGCAGGTGTGATGCCCATGATCTGCTGGGGGACAGGAGTTGTACTTGAATCTTGGGATGCAGCAGCAGGAGCAGGAGAGTCTCCGAACAGATCCACATCTGGCGACGGGTCTGCTTTCTCAGCTGATGGCAATGGTTTACCCGCGCTGTCGTCAGCTGCGGCAGGGGCTTCGACTTGTTCAGCATTGGCTTTGGCCTTTTTGTCGCTAATTTTCTTCATCGTCTGCTCTCGTTGCTGGTCCTTCCGTTCTGTAAGGATACGCATGGCATGGAGGCCCTGGGATTCTAGTTCGCGCATGTAACTCCGGCGATCCTCCTCTAGAAGAGATTTCATGCCAGCGTGAGCTTTGGCTTCGTCTACAATGCAAGCTACACCACTGTCCACCAGTACTCGTGCCTCTTCGGGCATCAACTCGAGAGGCAAACCCAGGAACACATTCTGCTGCGGAATCTGCGGCAAAGTTCCTATAAGGACACCACAGATATTGTATTCACGTCGCAGATATGTGACAGCATCAATTGAGAACAGCAGGTATCTACCAGCTATGTATGAGATCGGAATAGGAAGGGAAAGTTGAGAAGCCATCTTCAAAAGAATAAGAGAATAAATCGAGTTATGTATTCTATCAGGCCAAGTTAGCAGTGGCTCAGAAATGAGATGGGCAGATCAAAAGTCAAAAGAAGATTGATGCGATTCATTTTCAGTACGTTTCTCAGTCACGTGTGCTCGGTTTTTTGAGATTTAATACGAGCTTCAGGGGATTGACAGATTTGTATTTTATATAATCATGCAAGAGGGGCAAAGGTTGAGGTGGTTTCAAATGACTTACCATTTAAAATTATCGAGTCTGGAATTTGACCTGCAAAAAACCAGACAGGGATGTGGAAGAAAAAAGGAATTGACAAGCGAAATTTGAAAAGAAAAAGATATGAAGCTCGAGCGCTAAGCCGTTTTCGGACATTGGTCTTGGCATCCTCGGATCTCGGGTGATCTTCACTCCAGCTTCACTCCAGCTACTCCTCTCTAAACTTGATCAGCATTCACCATGAATTTCCTCCTCTTGCTTGTTCTCGTATTCTTTGCTCCTTTGCTGCTTTTTATTGGTCAGTAGCCTCGATTATTTTCCAGCTTTGTCGCCCTTGAATCCCAAATGCGCATGAAGTAACTACTAACATTACACAGCATGGCTGGCAGCTTCGTCTTGCTTGGGCAATCGTTTTCGCACTCCCCTAGGAGGATTTTCGGTGCGCCCGGGACTTGACTCATATGGCCAGAGCTATCTCTGTACCATGGCCAACTCTGGCCCTGCAATGTCAGAGCAAATTGAATTGGAAAATATGCTCGCCGAACCAGGAACTCATCCTCAATTCGATGAAGAGGACTGAATCTGAAATTCACTTGATAACGTAAACTAAAACTCGAGGTCTGCCTTCTTAGGCACGCCCTTGGCAACGTGATCTTGCGCTTCAGTATCGCCTTCTGCAGGAGGCAGGCTGAATGGTTTAATCTCGAATCGTCGACGACTCAGAATAAACGCCCAATCCTGCCCAACATTTTGGTCGCTCCCACCACCACGTTCATGCAAGACCGGAAGTCGATGGGTTTTGAGCATTCCCTGTGGAGGCTCTTCTTGAGCTGTTGCCGCGCCAGACGTTGTCAGAGAGTCGGCGGAATGAGGAAATGGGCATAGTTCTATGACACCATCGCACAGCAACTCCACCCATCGCACGAGGCCAGAGGAGCGAGAAAATAGTGACAATGGAAAAGTAATCATTGCAGTCACACGACTGGCATGTGTACTCATCAGCGCTTTCAATGAATGGAGGAATTGCAACACGTATTCGGGTTGGCAAGCGGTGGGCGGATATATGGTTGGATTGAGGAGAGAGGGAATGACAATGCGGTGTATTGTGGTAGGACCAGCGGACGCAATCGCCGTTTGCAACTGTTTGATAATGGATGTGAAGGGTGAGTCTCTCGACGGAATAAGTGGAATGAAGGCCATATTTGTAATTGAAGGATGGGTGAGCCGTTTAGTGAGGTCGAAAGCGTGACAAAATGCAGTCTGCTCCTTTACTGCTGGATCCTGTTCTCCAGTTGAGGGAGTAAGAGCTACAGTCATCAGCATCTTCAAATAACACTCATCGTCCGAAGTACTCACTGTCTCGCGAGCCAGCAATGCCAGCACCAAATTCGCCTAGCCGTTCGTAACGCCAGGCAATTTTCATTCGTTCTTCTTTACGCCTATCCGATCTTTTTCCCTGTAGGGATTCTGCCGTACCGATCAAGCCCGGCAGACTTCGGCCCCATTGCTCGGGTACTCCAACTACATGAACCTTCTGTTCTTGGACCACACCTTCCGCTGCATAGTAACGAAGCAATGCTCCCGCAAAATCCGTAGTTCCATTCTCTTCTATCAGCAACGTCTTTCCCATTGGAAGACCTGCATGCCCTGCTAAGAGGCCATCAAGGGAAGGCGTTCCTGTAGAAGTAGTTGGGCGTCCATCATCGGGGGAGGGGCGTATGCTTGGGTTGGAGTCAGGCAGAGCTGGCTGTGTGCTAGGAGTGGCAGCACGATCCACCCCAGTTGACAAGCCAATATTCCTCTTGCGAAAGGACATTTTATCTCAATACCAGAGGTAAAATGAAGAACAGTAGGTGGAAAGTTGAAGTCGTTATCGGCGGGGAAAATATTGCGGATTATTTTCTGTCGGCAGAATATTACAAGCCTAGCTCAGACCAATGAGATCAACGTTACCTCTTCTCAAAGCGAAAGTGTGATAGCAGTGAAGGTAGCGTACCTCGATCACTAAATTAGTACTAGTTCAACTTCCCCGACTATTGCCTCAGAAAGGATATGAGATAGCTCCAGCTTAAAATTGGTATAATGTGAAAGGTTAGGCGGTGGCGAGTAGGCGGTGATTTAAAGCGGTGAACCCTTGACCGCAAATTAAAGCCGACCCTAAAACAGGCAGAAAAAAAGAAAAGCTTCAAGCCTTGAACTCCATTCTTCAATCCTATCAACTTCCCCCACTCTACACAAGTCACTCGAAGGTCATAACCCTCACCCACGCGAGTTATAATTTCACCATGGCCGACTCAATCCTTTTCGAAGATACCTTCACCATTACCTCAGTCAATAACCAAAAGTACGACTTTGTTTCGCGTTTGACTTGCACCTCCAACGATGCGCTTATGTCTTTCACTCTCGATGTGAACACTCAGCTCTTCCCATGCTCCGTGGGCGAATCGTTGTCTTTGGCTCTGACCCCTACCTTGACCATTGGCGGCAAGGAGGAAAGCCGCGCAAGCTGGAGAGAAGTCGCCGCCGGTGATGTTTCACTCGCTAATGACTGGGACTACGTCTGCCACGGCAAGGTGTATCGGTTCGAAGAGGGCGCGACTAAGGATACTATGTGAGATTCCTACTATCTGCTCCGGAATACATATTCTAACTTGCACGACTATAGGGCTGTCTTTGTGTCATTTGGTGGATTGCTGCTTAACTTGGAGGGTCCTTACAAGAAACTTTCTCCGCTGCGGATCGACCACATGTATCTGCTCCTCAAGAAATAGGCCGTGACTTATTATGATGATAAGCTTGATCAACACCTAAGTAACTATGGTGTCATCAGGCATACCTCGACTGGAGTCGAAGGGTGATATTTCACTTCTCGGGATGTGCCTGTGATTCAAGTCCTTGGATCGCGGTTATATTGGTTGAAAAGTTTGGAACTTGATCTGGGTAGATGTTTATTCATATCTCTTTTATTGGTTGTGCAGCGCTGGCGTTTTTTTGTATTCTGGTTTGGGTATACCAATAGATAGTCGTCTATGAAATCCAGCTTCATCCAAGCCTCCCTTGGCTAAAACTTTTCTCTCGATGGTTGTTTGACCTGAAATTTGATTATGAATACATGAGTACCTAGGTAGATGTTTCATAGCAAGTAAAATACATAAAAGAGAAAGAACAATGTTGGAAGGTGGGGGAAAGTGAGGAAAGGGAATTGGCTATCAGATCAGACTATTATGTGAATAGATAGGGGCATTTTACTGGTGTTCTAGCAGTGGTACCTTTGAATCATCATGGGTCAAGCGGAAAAACCTCTTTCAAGCAAGAGAAAAAACCGAAGATATGCCTAGCCTACTGCAAAGAGCCTCGGTGCCAATCGATCCCCTGGTGCCCAAATTAGCCCACGCCCAGAAATTGAATCATCGAGTAGATCAGTTCGGTGCTGAAGTCGAAGTCTAAATCAAGGTCGAAATTCAAGTCAAGGTCAATAGCGAAGTCAAAAGTCGAGACCTAAGTTAAAGGTCGAATATCGCATGTCTAAAGTTAAGCCGTGAGTTGGATGTTGAATATCTAAGGTCTATTAAAAGTTAAGAGCGAGGTTGAAAGTCAAGACATGAAAATCTTGGAAAATGCTGAAAGTCGAGTCGAATGTTGAATGTTGTGACCTAAGTCAAGTCGAGAGTCAAGTCAAATGTCGAGATCAAAGTCTTAAAGCAAGCGACACCTATGATTTACTCGACCTAGGCAAGTAAAACGGAAACGAAATACTAGCAGTGAATAACATATGGTTTGCGTTGAAAAGCTAGCAGCAAGGACGACTCTAGGATTCCATATTTGCGCATGAACATGCGGAGAATATGCATTTAATCTCAATTGAAAGCAACTATATGCATATGAAAGTCGAATATACCTAATAGATAATGAATTATATACTCTGTTTAGCGCAGTGTGATGCAATCGGATACTCCAGACGGCGATGAATGCGTGCCACAACATCCAAATAATCAGGTTCATTCTCCGCAGTGAGAATGCCATGCCGAATAAAAAAGTCAATCATGACAACGGCACAATTTGGCTTAAACTCACCGTCAGCCAAAGCTTCTTTCACTTGAGCGATAGACAAGAGCTTGAATTCCTCGACCTCATTATCCCCTGGTCTGGGGATGACGTTCGCATCAAGCTTCAGGTCGTAAACATACTCGACCTCCGGCTGCATCAGACCCGTCTCCCCACCTGCGCGCACATCTCGAACATGGCTATATGTCACACAGCCTCGCGCGACGATGAAAGGCCGCACGACAGATTCTGGAAGCGAGGCTTCTTCCATCGCCTCGCGGATAATGCACTCACCCGGAGCTTCGCCCGTGGCCATGCCGCCTGCGACGGTGTTATCCAGCATGCCGGGGTATGTCTGCTTGCTCTTTGCACGTCTAGGGACCCAAATCTTGATTCCCGATACATCCTCCACATAACAATTCATGTGGGCGCCATAGCCCACGATGCCAAATAGCGGTGATGCACAGCGCTCCATCTCCAACAGGTACTCCCCGCCGGTGCCGAAGACTGGGTAGTTCTCATTGCGCCATCCCTTCAATACTTGGAAATGCCCCAGTTTGACGGCCTCGGCAATGCTCTGCGCGACTAGCTTGCTGCGGAGCTCTGGTGTCGCATCAGGGGCTGTGACTAGTGTAACTGTTTGTGCCGTGGAATCAACTTTCCAGTGCTCTGGTGACCAGGGGAACTTTTCGACCACCGAGTTCAGAATATAACCCAGGGTTTCATCACATCCAGAGACTCGGAAGGCATGGTAGTTTCCGAGGTTCTCCGCATACAATGCGCGGTCGTCTTCATAGTATGGAAAGCTAAGGCGGATTAAGACAAAGGGACGAGCATAAGACTATGTGGTGATTTCCGTACTTATCGCATTCGCGGACTAAGTCCAAATTTGACTTTCCCATGATGTATGTAGTAGACGATGCTTAAACTATCCACAGTCACAGATTGAATGAGGGGAAAGCTTCGAAACCCTTATCCAATCACGATAAGGGCTGCCCCACTATTTATGTCACCGGCATCATCGGTAATAAACTAGAACCATCTGGAATTTCCTCAAAGAAACATTCAATTGCTTCAACTTCCTTTGAACTCCCCTCATAACCTCCTCAAACAACATCTTTCCACCATGTTCTCCGTCGTAATCCCAGGCCAACCATGTCTGACGGACTGCGTCGCAGTCGACCAGCAACCAAACGGCCAAGCGACAAAATTTGCATTCACAATCCCATTCAACACCCCAATCACAGATATAGTCGTCTTCCTCCTCCCAGGAACAGTCTTCCCACAAAACACTGGCGCCGCAATCTATGCGCAACTATCAACAGCCAACCCCTCAGAATTCCGCTTCATAGGCGCATTGGCCAATGAGAAACCATCTGGCATCTTCACAGTCCAGCCTGCTGTCCCACAACGCTCAGAAGCCGAAGATGAGGATGACATGCTTGACGAAGGAGCTTCCGCTCAGGGCATCCTGACACTCGGTATCTCCATTGAGCCGGCCCAGAACATCGCGCCGCAGCTGGCTGCACTGGAGAATAATGGCTCCTCCTCCACTGCGCTGGTTTCTCTCTCTGCGACGCAGTCGAGGCAAAAACAGATTTCTACCAAGGTGCTCGCACAGCGTATTATTGGTAGCGCTTTTAATTTCCTTGCTAGCTTTGCGCAGCCTGATAAAGGCCAGGAGGTTGTCCCGCTTAAAAGTTTCCGAGATTGGTGGACTAAGTTCGAGAGACGTATTGAGGTCGATCCTACTTTCCTTGAGCGGGAGGATCCTAACTCAACGTGAGGTTTTGCAGGAGGTCTGATGAGAAGATTCTTATCATATGCATAGGCTGATTATTTTTCTTTGGATTTTGGAGTATTTTTTTTTTTCGCATTTGGAATTTTGAGCGGCCTTTTCTTCCCTGATGCGCTACGATTATGAGTCTGGCTCTCGAGATTTTTTCGAGGTCTCATGTGCATATCATCAATACCAACTAATAGTAGTTTTATTTATCTTGATTCATTGATCATCATAAGAACATATACATTATGTACAGCCATCCATCTTGAACCAGACCTTATAAACTCCGTTGACCCAAAACCAGCCCGAACCAATATCCCATACCTATACATTTTCTCTTTCCTCGGACTAGCGCCACATTCCCAAAAAAAAAAAAAAAAAAAAAAAGATTAAAAAAATAATCAGTACGATCTACGCTTCGGTGAGAAAGACGCTGAATCAGTCCGCTGCAAGCGAATTCCAGGCGCATAGCAAAGACTATATAACTCATCGACGTAAGTCATGGGCGCAAGAGCCGCGTCACCTGCAGCAACGAAGGCATCGTGAGTGCTGATGACGTTCTGGACAGCAGCGTTCTCATTGATGCGCGTTACATCCACACGCACTTCCTTTGATACGGTAATATCTCCCAGAACAGGCAGAACCGGCTCCACCAAAGATGTTTGTGAAGTGTTCAGATTGCCAGGCGGGAATTGCTTCTGCAATGGCCAAAATCGAGGGAAAGTGCGTGGGAAAGAAATGTGCCTGGTTTCAACCTTGGTATCCTCTGAGGTGGTTGAGTTACTGCATACATCAGTGCAAAAGAGTTCCTGGCTTAGCTCGCGGCTGAACCCATCGCGGTCAGCGATGGCGTCGTTTACTTGTTGCTGCACGCGGAAGAGTCTGAAAGGTGTGAAGACGAAGTCTGGGTTTGGCACTTGTGTGTCTAGCGTGCCCACTACGCAGAAGGTGAGGAGGGTGCAGTTTGGTTGGTGATTGGACTCTTCCGAGGCTCTGGATGTCGGGCGGCACGGGGCGAGGAGTGGTCGAGCTGAAAATGTTGCTGCAGCACGCATATCTTCTGGGAATGACTTCGCTAGTGTGCTGATGCCTTCAACAAGGTGCTCTCGGAATGCTTCCATGCCGATATCAGATTGTGAGGCGGCTTTGGATTGTAGGTATTTGAGACAGGCGTTCATGGTCCATCCCTCCATATGGGAGATGAGATCTAGATGTTGAACCTGAAGTCTTGTCATGGGGAGAGTTGTAGATGGCAATGGGTTACCGGTGCCCTTTGTAGTGAGAATCTCGAAGTGGTCGTGGACTGTGGGCCTCATCACGAACGAGATTAAGTGCACACCGGTAGAGAATGAGCGGTTGGAAGATGCATAATCACGCATATCTCGGAGACGCTCGGTGAGGATTGTTTCGGGGACGTGTACACGACGGGAGAGAGTTCCTGTGATATGCTCGATGGTTGCGAATCGGAATCCAAAGGATCGTAAGCGAGTCGCTTCGTGCTTCTCTAATTGTCGCACACTGAACATCATTTGACCTTTTCCAGTGCGTATTGATGAGCGACCCATTGCGCGAGACAATCGAGAAACCGGGATGGCGGTTGCCAGGACGTCGTCATATAGGGTTCCCAGATCCTGAAGAGGAACTCGCAGGTCATTTGAGAGATTTTGTGCCGAGACACAGAAGAGGTGCTTGAAGAGTGTATCGAAGTCTGTCTGCAGCTCTGTATCCTTGTCCATGTAGACTCCATTAGACAGCATGTGTCTTTCAATCGCTCGCTCTTCAGATTCAAGTCGGTTTTGCATGAATGGAATAAGGTCTTTCACGACAAGCCAGTTCCGACTAGCCCTAAAGGCCCACAGAAAGGCCGGGTGCGTGCGAGTGAGATCGTCATCCTTGAACGTCTGTAGTAGAAAATTAGCAGGGCACTCTAGCATATGAATGAGAACAAGAACTAACCCGTCCTATGTAGTGATCTACAATCTTCTTTGTGGGTAAGAGCGCCTGTGGTGTCACCATGACACGGCCTGCGTGGTCAAAGTACGCGCAGGCAAGAACCAGCTGATGCGCACGAGTAGTTGATCGTCGTCTGTTCTCACCGGCCACAATGGCACACGCAGACAGAATAACACAAGATACGCAAGCAAGTACCGCACAGATAATGACGACTTGACTCCGAGAAAGCTGAGTACCATGATGAACCCCATTATCCGATTTCCAATATGAAGTGCCAACGGCCGCCGTCCAATGCATACCTGATACGGCAGCAGCCAACAAGCACGCACACAGTCCACGCCTCCACCAGCTATTAGTCCACGTCGCTCTCCATCTGAAAAAGATGCCGAGAGCGGTTGTACTCGAAAATACAGCGATGATGGCCGACCCAACCACATTGGCGACTTTGTAGGAACACTTGTAGTTTGAAATTCCAAGTTGGCCCACATAATGCATTCCGCATACAGAGCTCCCGGTCAGTACACCTCCTATTAAGATGCGAATGTACCCTGCCTTCTCTTCGACACCGACGGTGTAAAATGCCGCGAGCAAGACCACCACAGGTAGTACGAAAGATGTTCCTGTGAAGGCAACATTGTATAGAACCTGCATTTCCTTTTCTCCATGGCCGAGGACAATGGCTCTGTTGCCGATAAAATGCATGCACCAGATTCCAATACCGCCCATTGTGATTGATGAGGTGAGCAATAGATACCTTTCCAATATTGAGTTAGTACATATCACCCGTGGGCCTGTGGGAGGACAATTGATCTCTTACCAGTTATAGAATCCCGATCTTGATGTCCTCCTGTGAAGAAGCTCTAGTGTGGTCACACATCCCATAGCACTGATCACATAAGAAAGAAAGATGTACCCCGCCAGGTAGTAGACAAGAACAGGCGTGGAATCTTCAGCCTCTGTACCCGACATTTTTATAGAGTGTAGAGTGATTAGAACGAAGTAGCTATAAATCTGAGCATTTGTTGAAATGTGCAAGAGCAATCAGTCCAATGGAAAGATCGAGTAGACTCAATACTATAACAAGAATAACATAGAGGAAAAGAGATATAAAAATGAAGAATAATAAAACAGAGTGATAACAGTACCTAGACAACACAGATCTTGGAATGGATCTCACCAGTATCTTATAACCTTGGCCTTCGGCGCTGTGGCTCGCATATTATTTCTCGCAAGCCTCCATCTTGCAGGTCATCGGAACCCAGTCCAATTCCGCAGGGCCGTGCGAGAGCATTCCAAACTAGAAGATAGTTGGATCCACTAAAAGTGCATTGCATTGGCTGCAGGTGTCCGGACATTCCCCATGGCTAACCCTTCGCGTGGCACTAGGGACTAGGTCTGACTCGATCTAAATCGGTCTAGGTGAAAAGTATTTCCTCAATTTTATTTCTTTTCGATTCATCAATGTGATCCAGCCATAATTTTGAATCTTGACCTTTGTTTGCGTTTATCGTATTGAAGAACCCTGGAATGAAGTATGGAGTAGATCTGGATTGGGTGGAGAAGAACCGGAGATCATGGATCGCTATCACTCTTATTCCATATTAAATTTCTGATGAATCCGTTCCTGTGAGAACTCAATTGCCTTAATATATCGTAAACAATAAAATGGCTCATCTACAAGGATATTGTAATTTATTAGTAGCCCTAGAGGGGTTGAACTTCCGGCTTCACCGATACCCAACTTGATTGGGGGGAAACTCATCGAGGCTAAGCGACTTTCAGTTAAGGCTGGAGTAATCATGAGCTCAGCTGGCATCTATAATTGGGCTCCCCGGCATTATTAGTAGTGGATCTCGGATAAGAATTTTAATTGGGATCGGACAAAGTGGAGAAATCGAAAATCAGGCAATTATGGGGAGTTCGCTGTGTCGCATGCACTGTTCATTCGGTTATGCGTGTATACTTAAGTACATCCACGAGTCACAACTTACTTCTATTTACCTCCACGTTTATGCCAGGAAATTTATCACCTACAATCAATACTAGCGTCTAGGTCATAATATGAAATTTTCCGATGTATATTTCGTAGAGAGTAAAGAAGAGGTTGAAAGGCGGCAGATTTTGGTGGCGCTCGGTATTTTCTCGGTGCAATTTGATCTATCTCATGTTTAGTGTGCTCCTAATGCAGTACCTTTCTTTAACTCCTTTCTCCTACTTAGGTACCAAGATGGTGTGGTGAGCGGCTTATTTTCGGTATAAACAAACCATGGTAGCCTGTCGGCTTTTTCGACGTTTTTTTTTTTTTTTCAACATGTCTTCTCGCTACTACCTTTTTGCTCTGCAGAATTTTTGGGTTTTGGCAAGGAAATTAAATCCACATCGACGAAAGTGGCGTTGCTATAAAATTGATTTTAACCAAGCGTAGAGGTGACATTTCGACTCCACTCACAATCCAGAGTCCAGAGTCCAGATCCAGCTTACAGCTTATTCTCAGGTTCTCGCTCCAAGAGTCATAGCTCTAGTAGCTTCAAATTTACTCGGTCACTGATTTGGAATGACGGGTGCCAATGGTTTGGCATCTGGTCTAAGATAGACTATAGCTTTGATGCAGGCCTAATCAAAATCAATTCTTTAGACTTCCATCAAATCGAAACGGGGTTCAAGGTTTTCACCTTATCAGAATGGATCTAAGTGCCTGTGGGGACAAACTTCGGTTCGAAGGTCAAAGCCTGGAATTTGTCAAAAGCATAATCAATCAAATTATTAGAGGCCCATGAACCATGGGAGTCGATCATGGCCCTTTTGGATCTGTCATATTATCATCAAGGTCTCGTATTGGTGCTTATCGGGGTCGAATCAGCCGAAAGGAACCAGATCGTGCCCTGACCCATAACACCAAACTCCGGGACTATTGATACCGTATTCTTCAGGCTCTCAATGTTTGCATAACTATCTACTTACATACTAAATATGCGGGCTTAGCAGAGTCAAGTCTTGTCATTGTGATATGTAACATGTCGACTGCAGATACCATGTTTCAAATGTTCTACATGGAAAGGCCGTTGACTCTACTCCTACATGCATGACACTGGTTCGTGGGAGATATGACCTATCCTCTAACTTACTAGGATAAAAGAGTATAAAAATGAACGCCAGATTCTAGAAGTACGGACCTTGAAACTCCGAACTTCCAAATTTCGAATGTGTCGACTAAGCTCCTAAATAGGAGTGGCGAGCCTAAAGTATTCAGTGGCCTTCTTGGAACGGTAGTGGCGTAGCTTCCATCCATGGATGAGTTGGCTTCGGATAAACCATAAGTCCCAATTCTACGGTTGACGGACATCCACGGTTGATGGCGAGGACGCCCATATATTCAGAACTGCAGAGATTTAAGGTACCTTTATGGCTACTCTTCTGAGTCTTCCATTTTCAGATCTCCAGAACTGGGCTAGAAATGCTTTCCTCGGCTCTTTTTTCTTTTAGACCCCTCGAGTTCAGAATGTACCTAAACCAAGAATCGTAACTTGGTACACCAAGAAAAAGGGCGAGGGCTTCACTGCGTTTATAATCCCAAATTACAAAGCTACCTGTTGGAATATGGAACAAAGCAGTCATGTGATCAAATTGTTACTTTATAATAAATAGCAAACTAAGAATGAAAACCAGACTTTACAACCACTTCAAGAGGACACAAAGATATCATAGGGGCGTAAAGCGTTACCTGTGATAGGTGTCAGAAGTGGGCGTTAGCCTCATCACCTTTATCGAATAGCTATTCCACACTTGGTACAGGTGTACCGACACTACCTATAGCAACAAAACGCAGAAAACTTGACGTATCGACATGGCGACCTGGAATTTCTAGATATATCACTAACGATAGCATCGTGAAATGGAATTGAAATAACCTATCTGTTAGCTCGGCAATAAAAGAAGAGCAATCACTGTGATATTGGCACCCTGCAACCCACGCGTAGATGAAAGTGACTTGCCAGCCTTATACCTGTCAATGGTAGTTGATGAAGACATTAGGCAAGCATCCATAGTCCAAATTGGTTCCAGCATCCATTCGATAAGACAGGTAGGTAGCGCCCCAGATATTTTGGAGGTGTAGGGTTCGAAAATGATTCACTTCATTGGGCGCACACCGAGGATTAGAGGCATTAAATTGCTATCTAACTACTGGATAAGTAGAAGCTTCCAGAGGGCTTGGATCGCTCTTTGCTCTTCTAAAATGGATATCGGGCCTCTTTCATCTGGTTGATATCGCTCTAGAGGAGAAATACTCTAAGAGTTTGTAGGGCTGCGAAGACATAGATCAGGATTCTGCATCCAGTAAATCTCTAACTTTTCACAGCGAGTAATTTTCGTATAAGGACTATCAAGTGCTAGGTATTAAATTGTTAAGGGCATTTCCAGTGGTAAGGCGGGGATAGAGAAGGTGTATGCAGTATCATAATGGATGCATTGTTCGATAAAAACATCGGTTTTTTGCCATAGGCTGCTTATCCCATCGCAAAAGGCAAACTTCCGGACTAAGACCTGGATATTTTGTGGCATATTGTGATAGGTGATTGCTTTGATGACTCAAATTGAGATACCAAGGTTCTATATTCATGAAGTAGAGATAATCTAACTGGTGATGAGCTATAAATATCATAGAGAGATGCAAGGACCAACTGAATTAGGACCATTTCCAATACTGGTCCAGGTGATAAAGTAACCTTGGGGATATCAGGGAGCTGAGCTGAGCCATGGTTAGTGAAGGGTGAGCAGCATGGAGGAACAGCAGGAATTTTCTGAAATTTTCTAGGTGAAAAATGTAAAATGTACTTCGCTATCTCCCCACTTTAGAGTATCGACCCACTAGCTAGATTAATATTGCCTACATGATCTCATTGAGATCATTCAAAACGGCCTTCCCGACTACCACTATTAATTCTTCAGTAAATGGGTAAAAGATCAAAGTTTAATTAAACTTCAATTCTTATATAATATATGGGCTCATGCCTTTTGGAAGAAGAAACAAGAATCAGTTCCTCGTCTCTTATCTACTAACATGTGACCTGATTACTATGCACAACTGTGATATGTAACATGTTGACTGCACAGGGTTTCAAACATCTCACCTAGAAAGGATGTTAACCCTCCACTGCATGCATGACGCTTAGGTTCGTGGGGGCATGACCTATCCCTCACTTCCACGCCACATGACAAGTCGGCTCCAACTCTGGAGCTTTCAAGGGATGAAAGAGCACAAACAGAACGCGAGTCTAGATTCTAATCCTTGGAGGTCTCAACTATGTCCCCAACAGTGGCGAGTCTGGGACATCATACACACTCTGTAGCACCTGATATAATCTGCAACTTGTTCCTGGATATTAAGGTTACTCTGTGTTGCTACGGACCTCGGAATGCCATGGTCGATAATTTCAAGAAATGAGGCGAGAATACTACCTAACTTTTTTTTTACATGTTTACTGATTTAAATATCTCGAGAGACGATTATCTAACCACAGAAATTTCAAATCTCATTTTACCAAAATTTAATTGATTCTATGAGCTTGATATACTTGGATTACCCAGGTGCTGTGGGCTATCTTCAGGATGCTCTTTCCGCCCACCTGCAGCAGTCTGTCTGCAGGTGGGTGGCGCATGTTCCAGAAGACGCCAGCTAAACTAGATCATCTTCCTATTCACAACATCTTATGTGAATCTTATACCCTCAAGAATTGCGATTAGATCAGGCTCATTGTTGAAGTAATTGAGATGATGTTCGGTTGTTGCAGTGGGTTGGCGCTGTTGAGAGTGACCTCACCAGGGTTGGAGACAGGGCAGACAAGGTCAACCATAACAGTGACGTAGGTGCCCTTTCTCGGTCGGTGTGGGGTAATGCTACTGGCACGCACTACCAAAAAGACAGAGGAAGTCAATCTCGAAGTGAGCCTGGCCATAAGGACAGAATGGGTCTTATTGCCATCATAGGTTTTGGCTTGCTGGTAATGGGGGTCTTTTTTTCCCCAGAACTTGTCGATTCGGAGAAATCCGACTAGCTCGAGAAAATCGAAGTCTGTGGACTATTATGATCGCTCTGGTAGGATCAGACGGCTAGATTGTGTTGGGTGGTTCCTCAATGTAGCATGTAGTCATCCATACCGAAGATGTCCTTGACACGGAGGACGAAGGGAACACCAGAGTGATTAATCTATGAGATTCTGACAAAAATGAGAGCTATCAATGACCAGAGGGCTTTTATGCCGTTGGAGCCTGGAAAATGAAAGGTACAACGCCTCGAGGTTTTTATTTCATCCTCACACCTTTCAGGATCTGAGGTTGTACGAGGTCTTTAACCCTCTATGCCCTTTCCAATCAACTGCGATCAACTCGCGTGGACTGTCCTGTCACGGTTCCAATTTATGTATGTATTTTCTTTTCAAAATTCAATGGAACTTGGAGTACTGATCAGATCTGGGATCAGTGTCGAGAAGATACACACCACATAATCAGCAAAAGGGATTGCGCGATCCTGGTTACAATTTAGTCGGTGCTAATAGAACCAATATCCTAATATCGTATTTATATGGCATCGTGATGCAACAGTCAATCTGACTGATGGACGTGGTGTCGAGAACCTAGTGCCACTTTACTCTGCGCGGAGAAACCAGGAAAAGAAATTAGTGAAGGCTCCGAATACACAGCTTGGTGAAACCAGAGACAGATTGCGGTGAATGGATTTAAATCAATAAGCTTTTTGATAACTTCATCCTCACTTTCCGGGATCCCTGTCAGGTAAGAACACAAGTGGCTTGATTAGACGGTGACCTCAAATTCTTGCCATTATGAGAAACATACTTCCTTGCCAGTCATCCTTACGCCTGGTACGTCCAATTACTTACTTCGGAGCGTTTGTTCCACTTCAATGCCCATCTACCCGTCACAGCAGTCTCACGAAACGTCAAAAGCCTTATGGTATATGCATATTTCATCGCTTTGATGCTTATCTCAGATTTGATCAGGTAATTAAATTGACACTGATCCTACTAGAGGTGATGAACAAAGTCTCCATATCTATTCGACTGGTGAAGGCCCCCATCAAAGATCCAAAACGTCACGACAACCTGAAAAGAGCATTCAGAAGAGTTGCAGAACATCCATGACCGGAATGATTCAATTATTCAGAAAAGCACTAGAGGGTCATTTCTATCTCTGGATCTGTAAATTTTGAATCTTTGATATGTTCCATGGCTTTCTTCTCGTTTACCAGTGATAGCTGATAGATAGCAATGAAGCAACAAGGCATGGGGGCCGAAAGAGCAATACCTTTACTGCTGTGCAACAACATGACATCAAATCTTAGTTCCTTGGTGGGAAACAAGTGACTCAGATTAATGACATTTGAATGAATAATATATCTGCCCCACGACACGTGGAGGGGAGTATTATTGGGATTTGCAATCCTTCGACGTGATGGTGTGATCAATCAATCAGGTAAGGATACCTATACACGATCAATCATGTCCGCAAGTCTGTATATCACGCTACAAAGTTACTCGGAAGCCTTCTGCCACTCTTTTACTTCAGATTCCAGGTAAAAGGAGCTGTCTCGACAGGTTAGTGCGTATGCACCTCTTTTTGAGGTCATCTAAAGTGGAGTAAGAATCGTCTTTATCTATGTTTACTTCTCGCCTCAGCAAGTGCTTGATCTAGCCCTGGAGAATGGAGTAAGTCTAAGTCGCCAGGCCATTGCAATTGTGATGTGTAGATTGCATGCCCGTGTAGGTGTTCAAAGTTGACATGTGGATTCTAGTCTGCTACATGCATGACGTTAAATCTTATTTCTGTCTTCGGGGAATGGAGTAGGTAGGTAAACTTCCAACTCATCACGATAACATATACAACTACAACCCTTAGAAATATGTTAGAAAGACGTGAGGGAGCTAAGAGTGTATTCAAAACATGTAAAGAAAGAATTACTTGATTCAACATATATTAACCATTTGAGAAAGACCCCCTCAGGCCAAAATTATCATGTCCTGCTATCAAATACGGACGTAATCCAACCCATCTCAAGCTCAGTAAACTGCTTAAATTTACTCAAGCAGAGTCTTGACACCAGCCAAGATAGCAGGGGGGTTGGCACCACGAACAACCTGGACCTTCGCACCGTTCTTGTAGAAGAAGAAGGTAGGCATAGCGGAGACACCGTTGTCAGCAGCGACTTCCTGCAGCTGGTCAACATCGACCTTGTAAACCTTGAGGGCACCTTCGTGGGTGACGCTCAGCTCCTCGATCTTGGGGGAGATGGCCTTGCAGGGACCGCACCACTCGGCGAAGAAGTCGACGAGGATTGGTTCTGTGGACTCCTCAACGAGGGTCTTCCACTCAGCGGCACTGCAGAGAAGAGAATGTTAGATTCTGATTTAAATTTGATTTGAAGTTTGGTTTTAAGGGATTGTTAGCTTACGTGTTGATCTGAATAACGTTGCCACCAGCCATTTTGAAGGATTGGGTGAATTTGGGGATTGGAGTTGAGGAGAATGCGCGGAAGGGAGATTGAGCAGGGGTGAGTTGCTTAAGAGGTGATGAGCGGATCAATAGTGATGAAGCGCGCAGGACAGGGAGACGGGCGAAGCGGATGGTTGAGGGCTTGATCTAGTGGGGTGGGGTGTGAGCCTTAAATATCAAATGAGGGGCTCGTCTCTTTTATTAATGAGATGACGATGCGGATTAGGTAAGTACAGGCTGAATAATCTGGACTTCACCGGAGATGAAATCATATAATTATTCTCTCGGGATCTTGGGCTTTCAGGAATTAACTGGTAATACTTACAAGCATGGCAGGAATTTGTCAAGGTAATCAAATTCTGTAGACCAATTGAAGGAGACTTGGGTGTTAAGGCGGTGAATTGTGGCAGTATAGGATGACGTGATTATGCTTACGAATTGGATTCATCTGGATCAAGTTAACTAGTTAATAAGATAAGATCTTACTTACCTCGGTCTATTTACCTGCGATATACGGAGTACTGGTGAGAAAACTGGTCAGTCAGAATCTAAAAGACTCGTGACTTGTATATCTCATGCATATGCCCAGGTGCCAGAGCTACTTAGCTGCACGTATGCACTCTATGCAATTTATAGTTAAAGGTAGGTACTGATACACTTGAATTTGGGTATAGAATGAAAAAGATGTTAATACTGGATATTACAAAATATCTAGGGAATGGCAGACCATCGTCCAGCGAACAGTCAGAAAAAAGGTGGATACTAAAACACTCCGATAAAGAGGAAATGGATAGATCAAATGTCAGGACAAATGAAACAAAAGAAAGCCCAATTTGCAAGTAGCGGCTGATGGGTGCAGTTGTATTAAGAACGCGCGTTGAATTTATGCATCTAGGGAAACTCAAAAACATGGGGCGAGCTGGGGGTATCAACAAGTAAAACATCACAACCGTGGGATGTGGCACAAAACATATAGGGCATGCAGGGGAGGGCAAGGGCAAGGGAAATGTGGAGGGAAGGGGAAGGGAAGGAGTTTGGGGCCGAATATCATGAGGTTGTTTAACAAATGAAATCAACAAAAGAAAGGTCTAGAGAATGAGCTGATGCAATTCAATAATAGCAAATCAAAACGACATTCAAATAGAAGATTCAAGAGTGCCAAGTGATAGCCACACTATATATGGTCAATCTCACCGTAGCTGCTCTTAATCCGTTGAGAGAGAGTAGGTCTAGTCTCACTTTCAGGATTGTCATCTTCCTCCGATGCAATAGGGTTGAGGGGGGCAATGCTCTTGAGCATGATGGCGGTGGACTTGGGGCGGTTTGTAGGGTTCACCACCACAGGTCGACGACCGACTTCACTGAGCCAAACATCAGCGGGCCTGCCAGTGGCACTGACAGACTCACTCTCCAACTCTGGATCCTCCATGTAATTACTGATACGGCGGGAATCAAGGGACTCTCGGCGTTCATCTTGCATGTCAACTGGTCCAAACGGACTAAAGCTGGTCCGATGCGGACTAGATGTGCTGTTCTTCCCAGACATGCGCTTGAAATATTGACCAGACATCCAAGACCCTTCGGAGTCGATGGATGCCAGAGACTGCGACAAAGGTACATTGTCGGGGTTTGCGTCAAAACTCTCAGTCCAAGACCGGAAGCTGCGACGTCGACGAGGGTTGATGATATCTATACCACCACTGGGTGCTGGCTCCTCCATGAAAGTATCTTCTTCATGCTCTAATGCGGATTCTGTTAATTGCTCAGGGATGTCGGGAATTTCGGGTGACTGTAGACGTGAGTCGGGGGGTGAGAGGGGCTCATCGCCGAAATGTTCGGTGAATTTGGATTGAGCGCGCATGACCGCTCCACCAGGCGGGGAGATCAGTGGCCTTGTGGGGATCACCACGGTGGTTCGTGGGGGTGAAGAGGGAGTTGAGATTTTGTAAAAGGACTCGTGAGAGGCGTTGGAAACTTCGGGACTCGGGTTGTGTCGGTCTCGGTAGCGCTTGAGACGAGAAGAACCACGCCGAAACAAAGAAGTGATGGTGTTAGTGCTACCACGCTGACCACTGACATCCGAGGATGGGCGTTCAGACATGTCAGAGACAGAGCCAGTGCCAAAGGCATGGTTGTGACTGTTGCTGCTGATGCCTTGGCGAAAGGACGAATGGGACAGTGTGGTACGCGAAGTGCCCGGCTCGAACGAAAGAGCAAAGCTGGGACGGGGTACCAGCTGGCGCGAACGAATAGAGCCACCATCCATAGTTCCCAAGACCTGGGCACTGTCGATGGATGCACGCTCGATGAGTTCACTGACTTTCTCGATTTGGGGCTCTGGAGGTTCAACCGGAAGAGCCTCGGTCGTTTCATCGCATTCTTCCACCATAGGCATATCGTTGTCAGGTTCCTGCGGGACCTCTACTTCGACCTGAACCTCGATCATCTGGGGTGCCTCGATACGTTCTGTTGCTGCCGCCTTCGCGAGATGCGCATCTGCCCTTTCTTGCAATTTGCGTCGTAGTCTTTCCTGCTCCTCAATCTGCTTCTTCTCTCGACGGCGGCGATCTCGATCCAACAGCTCTCGCAGATCACCGGCATCCAACGAGTCGGCCAAGTCTTTCATTCGTCGCTTCGAGTGATATGGGTTCTCTTCCGATGTCAAAGCCGCCAACCTTTCTTTGTCTGATCGGCCGGAGGGTGTGACATTTCTGCTTCGGTTGGTCGAGAGTTGTGGGGGTTCGACATAGCGAACGGCGGGTCGGGGAGTCAATGCAGCAAATGCGTTTACCTTGAAGGTATAGGTGTCCGAAAAATCCGACATTGAAGACGTCCTAGAGTCTTGGATGGAAAGACTGATAGTGGAGCGATTCCGCTGCAAGCGTCGGTTATTCCCTCTGCGTCGCGGATGGTCTCCATCATCACCGTGTTGACTAGTTCGGTGGGGTATTTGGATGGATGGGGTCGAAGACAACATCTTGATCTCACGCTCTCGTAAGATCTCCTCGGCCTTGCGCTTGCTGAGTTTCCTCCGTAGCTTATTCGGCCCCTTCACACTTGGTTGCTTCTTCAACAAAGATGAATGTCGAGAAATTAATCCTGGCAAACCATCTTGTTGTTGTTCGACGTGTGGTTGCGGTTCGTTGGTTGAGGCTTGACGGTCAAGAGGAACAGTTGGGTGCAACATTACGGATGCTGTCCCATGGTCATCTGTTTTGCCCTTGTTGTGACGTTTTGTTGAACGGCGCGTGGGCTTCTTAACCAAAGTTGGTTCTGCGATGACGTCCTGCTCGAAGGCCACGTGCATGGCGGCTGCGTCGTCTGGACCCATTTGAATGCTATGCCGCTTGTTCTTACGACCGAAAGGCCATATCGCCATAGCGACTGATGGAGCACGGCTCCAAGTCAGCTCCTTGAAAATAGTTGGCAACTGATATCATTCATTCAGGAATATTGGGTTGAAATAGAGAAGAAATGGGGTAGAGGGCCACAAAGTCAATAAGGCGGAGTAGCGGTCAAATCAGAGCCACCAGCGTCATAAAGTTTAAATTTTGGGTCCGTCAAATGAGTGAAGGAAGGAGGAAGAAGAGAAAAGGAAAAAGAAAAAGAATAGAGGGCTTGAAAGTGGTTAGGTAGCGTTGACCAGCTTCGCTGACCTTGATTGTAGAGAGTGAGAGAGTGAGAGAGTGGTGGGATAGAAAGGGAGGAAAGGGAGGAAGGAAAGGGAGAAAGTAAGATGAAGTGAGAAAAATGGAAAACTAAAATCACTAAAATCACAGAAATAATAAAGAAAAAGAATTAAGAAATAAATTAAATAAAACAAAAAGTAATGGAATAATACGGAGTAATCTGAATCTGAATCGATCAGAACAAGAGTCCAGACCGCAACAATCATTTTGTTTTGCTTCTCTAAAAATAAACCCACGCATTCCAGCATCCCGTCGACCTGGGGTACATTCCGTCACACACAGTACCTGGTACCTGGTCTTTACTTTTTTCACTATTGTACCTTGGTTACACTGGGAAAGGGGGAGATGAAATGAGTACTAAAATGAATAAGTTTAGAAGGGAATAATCCCGTTCATCCTCGAGATCCACTTCATTGCAAGTTGGCCTTGGAGAATTAAGTGAATCCACATCCACATCGGACATTACTACCTACTCAGCATGAACGATCGATACAGCATGATCTAAGATTACTAGTAGATTGACTCTAGGTAAGCACCTACCATCTTTCAACTAAGTACCCAATACTCTAAGTACTGTACTTGGGTACCAAGATCTCTAGTCTCCCAAGACCGTTGGTCAGGTGGAGCAGACGGTCCAGAACCCGTCACTCTTTCACCTTTTGGGTTGATGTGGAGACTTACTTAAGTTGACTTGCTTAATACGCGGCTTTGCTCCTCTTTGACTAGCTCGGTGACTAGTTTAGTACTTGACTTTACCCGCTAAATATTTATTCCAATACTAACTAGTATAGGGCAAGCTCGTCTATTCCAGTACCTACACGTAACACAGTATGATATTGAAGAGTTAACTTTCAATTTGGCTATGTATAATAGAAAGACTTATCTCGTATTCGGGATTCGGGATTCTTGATGTCTTACTATACTACTTTGTATAATGATAAGATCTGAACTTCTCTAATATGATAGGTGCGGTTCATTATGGGGAAACGCACAACACGGGAACGCTGGAAGCGGTGAAGATTGATATAAACTATTCTTATTCCTGGAATCCTAGTTTACCATGTCTTGGAGTATAAAGTAGATCTCTAGGACAAGGAACCTTTCAAAGTTCCAAGGAATCCCTATGTACTTGAATTCACCTGGACCGAAGGATGCACTACTCCATGCTGAGGTCAGGTCATCATATATTGCAGAGATAACGATGACCCACTGCGGTATACGCAGGTTCCCGCTCAATTATTGACACTTGGGCAGTCCTGCAGATATTACAGAGATTGCAGCCGAAGCTGCTGGTTGTTCAGCCTTAACCCTTTTTACTTTTGTACAGGCTGAAGTGGCGCTAAGGTTTGGATACTAAGGTAAGGTTAAGGTACTTTGGCTCCCTACTTAGTTACCTAGGTAGCTTTACGTATTGTTTTTTTTTCTATGACGGGGCTTTCCTATTTTAGGTGCCGCCGCTTTTATTATGGCTCACTAAGTAAATTTTAGTCTGGGCTTAGGCGAACAAACTAGAGAGCAAGTGAAGTGGTTAGCTTGTTGCAATTTATTGAGGTACTTACTTAGCTCAGTGAGCGCATCAAAGCGTTTAGGTTTTACTCAATAGGTAATCAGACCGCTCGATAAGTACTCGCTGAGTGCTCTGTGATTGTCACCTAATACCCAGCGAGCAGATCAGTGAGCAAAAGCGGCGAGTGGATGAGCACTAATACGGAAGGGGAACGCCAAGAACTGGCAGAGAAAAAACGGTACCTACACAGTAGGTATCCGTACTTTGAGGTGTTGGTTCCTGTGGGTGGGGGTGTTCAAAAATTGCATGTTCTGGAAGCGGCTTGAGGGTTGGGGTTTGGGGCCTTGGAAGCCTTGGAAGTTGGGGTCGGACCTAGTGGGATTGCATGGGGCAGGTTTAGTGAGGTGTTTGGCGTTTGCATTAGATGATCTACTTATTGGAATTGGGGGCATTGACCCCGAGATCTCTGTTTGTCAATGTCATGGTTGGTTTTATTTTATTTCATATTTAGTGTTTCTTGAAAGTGGTGATTCATCGACTCTATTAGAAAGTAGGTAAATTATGATCCATGGTACGAAGTGTTGACATATCTCGTCAGCTGATACCCCCTGGGTACAGCATTGAACCATAAAAAACCTTGGAACTACCATTATTTCCCTTGGTAAGAACATTGGAAGAATAGAATTAAGAAGCTGTTCACTCAGTATTTGTATTTGTTTTACAATAACACGGGCTCTACCTCTGTACCGGATTTCCTATGCCAGTTCTTGGCGTTTCCATTGTGTCTCGATGGTCATCCCCGTCAGGGAACACTCAAAAATCAGTCCAATTCACTCAGGGGGCACTCAGTGAGTGCTCAGTGAGCACCCTGATTGCTCACTGGGCGAGCTAAGTAAGTACCTCAATAAAATGTAACACACTACTCCCTCCGTAGGTTGTTTACATTATCATATCAAAAAATGTCGGGTTTCACTAGAATGGTCGTTCATCCTAAGAGCCTCACGTCGTGCTTCGGAATACAGAGTACAGGCTACTTATCGAGCAAAATCGCCGGTCATAAGTATGTTAATATTAAAGAGATAAAGTGCTATCATTTCGCTAGGCAAAAATCCTAAGGTGCTATCATAAAAAGTAATGAAAAAGATAGCAACGCCTAATAATCATGCCATCAAACCAAGTAATGGAAAAAAGATATAGCAACGCGTCAGAAACGGTAAACCAATGTCTAAAACAAAACGAAGACGAAATCTTGAAATTCTGGAATGCTCAACACAACGTCAATTTCTCCAGAACCCGGCAATGGTGATATGTCGTAGAGTGCCTCGAAAGGCAGAACCATTGGGCCATACGGTACGCTATTGGCACTGACCTCAACTTCACACTGTGAGTATGGTTGTTGATTATTGGCAAGCTGTCTCGCAGTGGGAGGCAATAATGCGGGGTAATTCCGCAAGGCGTCAATATAGCCACCAGGAAGAGGTCGGGGAGTATTCGGAGGAGCGAGCATCCAGAGCTCAAAATCCACGACATTTGTATTGATTGACACTAGCAATACCATCCTGACTAGGCCCTCTGATTGGTTCAACCACCAGGCGGCTGCTGAGCGAAGCTTTCGATCCCCTGGGATAGACCTGTTTCAACGACAAAAGTCGGCCAGTCTGGAGATACTCTTGGAGCATTATTTCGCCGTGATGGGGGCAGAAAAATTTGATCGCCTTCCTTGCCCATGGTGTTTGGAAGCGGCTTATACAGCGTCGCTGCGCCCCAAGCTCGCTGGGTAATACCAATACCCATTTGCCCCAACTGTTCGCCAATCATTCCTCACCATGTCGGTGGTTAACTCGTGGCTACTACTAGGGACAACCTCAATCAGGGCCGAGGTTCCATCCCATTGAATGTGATAGCTCACGCCAAGATCGACTTCTCTTTCCGCTAGCGTTTTCATGACTCGAGGTGACACTCCGAAGACGACAAGGAACTGGTTTGTGCTCCCCTCGCTAAGCAAGCGGAAAATATACTGGACGTCATTTTTGAGGGTCTGAAGGACTTGAAAGTTCGGAACATCTAGTTCCCAGGCAACCCCTCCATTAGCCCGGAGGTGGGGGAATTGATTATATCCCCTGTTTTCACGACGTTTACTTGGGCCATCGTCATCAAAATATTGCTGGAATCACAATTTTCTTTCTAGCCATCTAGACGACGTTGAGTTACTCCGGCCAGTCGATTATTACAAGGATCACAATAAAATGGATGAAATCGGGCAGTAATATATAGAAACTGTGTCTTACGTTTTTAAGGAGAAAGTAATGAGTTGATAGAACCTCAGAAAAGTATTTCATGAAATAAACCGCATTATAGGGCCGAATGCTCCTTCTTTGTAGATAGACTGATCATGAGCCAGGTGCTTAATAGATACCCTTAGTTATCAGTGAGCGATCAGTGAGCAGCCAATCACAATTACTACGTGCTCACTGAGTGTTTATTAGTTAGACATCACTGATCTGTCACACGATGACCATGAGCAGGTCCGTGAGCCTGAGTCTAGGCTGAAATTTACTCAGTGAGCCTGACCCTGAGCGCCCTTACAAAAGCAGCAGCATCTGAAATAGGAAACCCATCTGGCATAGAAAAAACTGTACTTAAAGCTACCTACGCCATGAACCAGCAACCGCACAATTTTAAAAATCATAGCGCACATGCCCTATAGGAAACCTTAACTTGTGAGTAATGGTTTCTGTCGGTATACTTCATCCTCCCTCATCTATCAGAAATATTACTCTGTGGTAATTACCGACGATTCATTCTGTGTGGTTTCTAGCTGGCCAAGACGGTTGGCGTTTGAAAGGCATTAAGAAAGCTAGCACTCTCTATGCTTTCGGGGCTTTTATCGAGCATTGCTCCTGAGCAAAGTGAGGAAATCAGTGCGGTAATTTGCCTAGCACGCCTGGAGTGCTAGGGTATTCGACAACTCATAGACAATATGGCCTTGATTGGCTGGAACGGAAGAAGCTCCCAACCGTATGAGCAGTACGTATTTCACAAGGACTTGAATTTCCTTTGCAGCAGATTTTCATTTTGCGGCACTGGAGGCAGTCGAACTTATCGGGTTTCGTTTTCCTGCTCATTACAAATTCGCAATTTTTTCCATATTCAACACAATTATCACAGGGAGGTCCCTCGGTACAGCCTCGACTGGTTTTGCGACAATATCGGCAAGCTATTTTAGGGCAAGTTTGTTGACAGGGCTGGGGTTTCTGATGTCTGAGTATTAGGGAAGACAAAGGTAAGGCAATAAATAGAAAAGGTTGTTACTCCGGATATAATGCTCTGGGCCCTCAATCTTCACCTGATATAATGCCAGAGCGAAGAAAATTATTCTGTCAAATCAAAGTTTACCTTTGCCATTTTTTCTTTTAAGTCGGACTCTGAAATGCACCGGAACAACGCCCAAAATATCGATTTACGAAGATATGGCCTGACTGTTGGCTAGGCTTTCCGCGTGGGAATCTTCTCGAAAAATTGCCGCATACACGTCGCCCAAAAGCAAGCGAGAGATGGAAGAAGAGGCCGGATATACCATGTCTAAGGCTATTATCGACCAGGCTGATCATTACGGCGCGATAGTGAGAACCCTTGGATAGATCTCTATTCCAGAAAGGGAAAAAAAGTGAGCACTGGTATCGAACCTCCAAAGCCGTGAGGTAAATACCTATACCTTGGCAGTTCTGCCATTTATGGATTCTCTAGTTGGTTCTAACATACTGGAAAAATAAAGGACCTCATCGATATTTCAATATTTCACATATCAAGAAGGCTGACTTGAAGGAATCGCGATATGAAATGATAATAATAGCGATTTGAATGCAGCACACGAAGAAAAAAGAAATACTGTTCTCGATCAAAAATAAGACAAAAACAAAGAAAGCAATACTGTTTTCACCAAAAGATAAGACAAGAAGGGAAGTCAGAGCTAATTATTTCCACCAAAAGTACTCCACGGGAGACTATGAAAGCCTACGTGGGCGTATACCCCATCAGGTAGAGTGCATCACCGGCAATAGTCCGAAGGTTGCCGAGGTGCGAGGTGCAGGGTGAATACGTCGGCAGGATTTCGTCCGGGTAAAATCGATTGGCCGAACAGCTCCAGACGAGTCAACTGTCTGGAGATGCCCATTGTCGGGCCGAGGCAATATTTCCCATTAAGATCAGTAAGTATCTTGAACATAATTTCACAGACTTGAATGTACCAACGATTGACTCAGGGTCTTCTGTCTCTGGTTACATTTCCAGGCCTCCATGTGGCCTGCAACACAGTTCCCTTTTATACCTAAGTCTACGTGAAGGAAGCCGATATAAAAATGGCAAGAAAATCTTCTTCCTGTATTACAGCATAACAGATAAAAGCTGCACTTATATTGTTGCGTCATCTAACCCTATCATGTGTCTTGAGCGGGCCATGATTGGAGGTGGAAACGGAGCATAGGAACCCTTCAGAAATTCACGCTGTTGAGGGCCATCAAAAAGTAATTCAAGAATAAACATAATTGTAGGGCCTAGTGCTCCTTTGGGTATAGACTGAGCGTAGACTGCTTAGCCTCCTATCTCACGTGACTGGCTCCGAGCAGCTCAGTGAGTCGTCTGAGGACTAGCCTCTGAGCGCCCACATTAAAGCGGCGGCGTCTGGAATATGAAAGCCCCACTAGATGAAATCAGGTATAAGCTACCTAGGTAACTTCAAGTAAAAGTGCCAAGTGAGAGGTACTCCACCACGTCGATATCATTTGCTCATTTGCCCCATGACGAATTCCATGGACAGAAATCCGATATCAAATCACATGGGCGCAGTAACTGACTAGCAACGTTTGCGCAATCGATTAGGCTCTCCCTCCAAGACGCGATACTTGCGATTTTGTCCGTACAATAGCCGTTTGATAGACCATCGAATGCTATGGTTCCGCGCAGGATTTGGATTTGAAGTCATTGATTCGAGAGTCATTGATTGTGACCTTGAGGGATCACGTTCCCAAAATACGGTCATGGGTCGGGCATCCATTCTTTCATTCAAGATGTCTAAGATCGATGTATCGGAGTATAGCAGAGAAGAGGGCTCACTCGATGGCTTGAGCGATGTGGATCTAGTGACCTTCCCCTTTAATGATTTAGATCCGCATCAGGTTAGGTATAGGTTGGAGGATATGGAGTACAAATTCTTCGAGGTTGGATCACTGGATCAGGAACCAGGTGGGGTTGGTGGGGCCATCTATGTTTCTGGTTTTGCCGTCTATTTCAGTCGAAACATGTCATAGTTTGCTCTTTGCACGTTTTTCCTCTTATCTAGGTACCTTTGCTCTTCGCGTCATTCACTTCTAGAATCTATTTACAGCCCTGGTGTCTACGCGGGCAGTTCCGGCCTTTCCCTGTGATATGATAAACATCCATTGATGTTGTACAATCATTTCAATGTTTCTCATATCTAGATTTACATAGGTGAAATCCTCTATCCTCTTATCTGGAGTTCTATTTTAAACATCATTTGCCTAGGTAGTGTTGTCTCATAGCCCGATCGATGTAGTAGCCTGTAACACCTGAGGTCATCACATAGTACCTCCTAAGGCTACTTCCAAAGGTCCTTCACATTCAACTGCTATCATTATTTCCGAATCCCCCCTTAGGTAACTCATGACTTTCCGGGATTTCTAAATGGTCCAAAATCACCCGATGAATGGTAATACAACCTCGATAGATCCTTGAGTCATATGCATGCAATCTATAAGTCCCTACCTGTAGTTACTTAGGTAGATCAGCGAATTATCAACCCCTAGGGCTACCTATTTTGCAGGTACCTAGGGACAAGCACATTAAACCATTCCAGTGATTAAAAGTTTCTAACTATAACACTGGAAGTTGATTGTGGGCAGCTAGAGGAGATCTCCTTGAAACCCCGAGGTTTCCTAGTTCAACATGCAGTATGTTTCATATTGGATGCTTTGCCCTGTATGATCCACAGATGCCAACCTTGGTCCTCCATGGTCCAGCTCCATAGCAGAGTAATCTGGGACATCTCAGATTAGTGACTAGACGGAAATTGTGGGAGTGGTGAGTTCCAGTAGAGAGATACAATACTGCTTTTGAGTCAGATAAGATGAGCTACACTCAGACATCTAGGTATATCGAAGGTAACAAAGACCCGGAACTACTGCTCAATAACCAGCCACTGCCAACACACTGATCCGACCTGATCCGTATTGGATGAAATATCGCGGAAATCGCTTTATGAGTTGTGCGTATTCGATCTGGCTGCTTTTGCAATCCAATGAGATTTAGATGCCATATGAAGCTTTGGGCTGGCTACACTACCCTAGCTTTCGCATTTCCCTTGACCCTCCATTCCTTTCTCCATTCCATTCCAAAATTTTCTATCGCAGCTATTGATCTGCATCTTTTGGGAAAAAAATAGTCGGAAATTCCCCCGCATGACAGCGGGAAGCTGTGCATCCATCCATCCCCGGACGTCGCTACAACAGAGGCTCTCTTCACCCCACAACGGCAACATTGAGAATATTGGGTCTCCATCAAATTTCCCACGGGGGTTCCCACCATGGCCCTTCTGTGGATATTTGTAGCCCTCGGATACCTACTTCTATATGCCTTTGCTACATTTCAAACACGATTGCATACCTTCGTCATGAGCCGGATAACGACTTGATGTCTCGGACGGAAGGTGGTACACCTCAGTTATGACTTGGAGGTATCTACGAACTACGTAGCAGACAGCAGGAGATACATTCTTCGCTGTGATCTTTCAAGATTCAGGCTGATGATGAACTTGGTGGTGGGCTGTATCCTGTTATGACATGTCACATTGATGCCCTATCCCACCAAAATCTTTTTTCTTATGCTTGGCGGACAAGGAGCATTGATATCGGTCAATATTCGTCCGTAAGCACCATTTAATGATTATGATTACGATGTTATGTTCTCAAAGGGCGTTTGATATCATTTCATTTCTATATCATGTTTACTTCGTAAAAAGTCCTTGGATCTCATGTAGGCAAGGTAATGAGAATTTGCCTTATTTTACTGCAAAAGCCAATTGATTCATAACGGTCTTATTTTGAGCCTTAGAACCAGATCTTGATCAATTCCTCGCTAACAGCACTGGGCGTCAAAACACCGCTATCCGTAATAAGAGCAGAAATCAAGTGTGGAGGTGTGAAGTCCACAGAATCACAGAGTGGAAGTTCAATTGGGAAATCTGAATTGGCGGGCTGCTTGCGCTGCTCGGCAATATCTTCGTCGGACTTGAAATCAAGAACGTGTTGATTGATCGGAAGGTCGTACTGTCCAAGAGGATATAGTCGAACAAACTTATGACTCTCAGCCACGGTGTAGAATGGCTTTCCAATGGCCTTGGCGAGAAGACCGATCTGGTAGGTGCCCATACGGGACACGATGCCGCCATTCTCCACGACACCCTCTGCACCCACGATCACCATATCCGTTTTGCCAAGAGCGTACGCGACGGCTGATTCCGGGATCGTTGAGACAGGCACACCCTTTGCTCTCAAGACGCGTACTGTCTCCATTCCCTCGGGCTCACCAGCAGAATCCTCGCTGTTTTTGCTGAATGAGGACAGGACATAAATGACACGGAAGCGCACTGCAGACGGACCACCCTCGTCATCGGCTGCCTTTTGCAGCAGCGAGGCGACGGCGCGGGATCCACCATTTGTGAGCACTGTGCATCCATCACGGATAAACCCTCGGCCAAACGCCACAATCTTCTCTCGGCTCTCTTTCGCGCGCCGAATGAACAATCGCCCGTTAGATAGAAGGTGTGTTCGGATGGCGTTGAAGTCTCCAGCAGGGCCCAGCTGTCCAGGTCGTTGTAATGTGGTGATCAGGTATCGTTGGAAGAGATCAGTTCCAGCAGACAGACCGATGGGGTTGGGAATAATTTTTTTCAAGTGTGCGGTGGATTTCTCGAGTAGGTCAAGAGTTTCGGAAATTGTTGAGGAAGGTTCGTGTGTGAGAAGAAGCACCAGTGCCTCAATGGCCGCAATGGGCATTGTTAAATCGGCATCGGAGCGTAAGAGTTCATTGTAGGTTGCGACAATGCTGTGATCGGATCAGTACCTCCGCATGAGCAGCGATAGCGGATAGAATTTGCAATACTCACTCGAACGGCTTCTTACAGTCCGGAACTGGAACTTTCGTGTTCGTCGACATAGCGTAGTATTTTTGTGAAAGCTATTGAATAGCTTGGTGATGCGAATCGAGAAGAGTCAGAGATAATGTGTTTGTCTTGTTTGCTTGGAAGTTCTGCCCCTCAGCGTTACGCTAACCTAAAGCGGTGGTCGTGCGGGCTTTCTTTCCAAAGTAAACAATCGAGGCAATTTACAACGACACTTGCGCCTTGACTTGTCGCAACCTTACTTGACTCCCAACTGTCCAGCTTTATACTGACTCCTACGCACATGAGACGTGATGGCTTACAATAATCGCATGAGCCAGCAATTCCATGGCCAACAGCACAACCGGTCCCGCAAGAAGGAAGATGACAATGACGCACTAATGCGCCTGGTTAGTTTCCCATTCGAGCGATATACTAGAACCCAAGCTCTAAGACTATTTACTAATACTGGAAAAGCCCGACAAGGAGATCGCAGGATGCATCAACGATATCGGGATCCCGTTTAGCGCGGCCGACCTGGCCAAGCCCAATCCCCAGCAAATCCAGATGGTGTTTGAATGGTTCGCAGAATTGCTCATGAATGTCACACGTGAGACAGTTGAACCCGCAATGCATGCAGCTGCAGAAGATATTTGTGGCGACTATCCTGATATCGTGTCAAACGAGACGCGCAACCTCATGGGATTCTTTGTCAGCCTTAGGGCGCTGTTAGCAGAGGTATGTGATCTATGCCCACGTATCATTGATACAAAGTTCGTGAATTGACGATGTTTATCTATCATAGTGTGGTGTCAACGACTTCACCTTTACCGACCTGACAAAACCAACCCATGACCGACTCGTTAAAATCTTCTCCTACCTTATTAACTTTGTGCGCTTCCGCGAGTCACAAACTCCTGTTATTGACGAGCATTTCAACAAGACTGAAAAGACTAAGACTCGCATTGAAGAACTTCATGCAGAGAATCAGGAAATGGAGCTACGCTTGGCGGAAATGCGACGTAATCAACAGGCAAATGAGATACAGGTGCGCGAGAAAGTCAGCCGGAATGATGAGCTCAAGGCCCGGCTATTGGAATTGGGCCGAGAACAGTCACGGGTTGCCGAGACACTTGACCGAGTCAAGGGCGAGCGAGCGCGGCGACAGCAACAGCTGGAAGAGAAGACAGAGAGAACCCTGCGGAGCCGGCAGGAGGCTGAAAAGTTGCGACCATATGTTTTGGAATCTCCGGCCTCTTTGCAGTCTTCTTTGGCCGAATTGACTGAGAACTTGATGCGCGAAAAAGCCCAGATTGACGCAATGGAAAGACGCGCTAGGGCACTACAGACATCCTCGGACACATTTACGGTTGTTTCGAATGATGTCCAGGCATGCGTAAAACTTCTAGATGATATTACCACTGAGTTACAGAAGGAAGAAGAAGAGGAATCTCGTGCTGCTCGGAATAAGGATGCAATTTCAGACCGAGGCGCCAGCGTGCGAGAGGTGGAGCAGACCGAGAAACTCTTGCAGCGTCAACTCTCCCGTTGGAATGAACGGATTGAAACTATTCGCAGAAATGCGCAAGATAAGGCGGAGGCTGCGCAAGCACGAATGGAAGAGCTCCGAGCTGTTCAAAAGCAGCTTCGCGAGGAACGCGCAGACAAGCAGCGTGATATGGAGCGAAGGCGAATCCGCATCGAGCAGACAGAGAAGAAGGTATTTAATCCATATCCCTTTCGTCAGAAGACCTCCAAGCTAATCTGATGTGTTCAGATGGTTGATCTCAAGGAGAACATTGAGAGCGAAGTTCAAGCGGCTCATGACCAGTATCTAAAGCTAGAATCACACATCAAGCTCTACATATCTGAGATGGAAAAGTCGCTGTGAGCATTCGGGGTTTGTAGGTTCTGTATGGATCAGGAGTTCAGCGATCGGGATACCCGGGCAATAGCCATTTAATGGAGTTTTATTTTGATGCTCAGTTTAGCTTATGTTTCTTCTATATCACATGCCATTCAGGCTACTTGATTTTCGTCAAAGTCGAACCAGCGTTGGGCAACTTGTTTTATAGACACCCCGCGCCCATTCCAGTTGCTTTCTTCGCTGCGTATCCTAACAGAGCCGTTCAAAATGGGTACTTGCATCTCCCATCGCTTTCCTCCCCAGTCGGCACCCGGATTCACAGCGTTGGTACATTCGCAAAGCATCAAATCCATGTCTGCTCTAGAAGCGGTCTCGACAGCAACGGCAAAAGTCCTCGACAGTCCCTGCGCAGAGAACTCCGAGGTGGTAGCGTGCAAAGCAACAGCATCTAGAATTGCAAGTAACTGCCTTCGGCCCGGGCTTCTCTGATCCTCCAGGTTCATGCCGTTGAAATTCTCCAGAACTGCCATATACGCGCGAAGATTCTCAAGAGTTGGGCAGAATGTTAGTTGGATCCTGCTCGAACTTGCAAGTAAACCGATGGTTTTGGAAAGCAGGTCATGGTGTAGTATAGCATTTTTATCGGCGCGTTGCGAACGAATAGCGGCAGATAATTGTACAAGAAATTCAGTTCTGGTGCCACAGATTATAAGACGCGTTTCTGCTTCTGTGTCGAGAAGGTGCTGTAATAGCTCGGTCACCAAGCCGCAATAGACGACGGTCCGTACCGGGCCCATGACGTGATGTGTCAGCTTGTGAGAGCGGTGGGCATCTTCTGTTGGCGATCTGTCACCTATGCCAGCCGCAGATACTCATTCAGAGACGTATATTCATGGTGTTGAAATCTTAACCGAGGGTTGATTAAGTAGAAAGTGGAGGTCACTGGAGTTCAGACATGCTCCACCTTTCCTCTCCCCGCCTATCTTCCCTAACCACCCCAATTCACCTCGTCACTTCAATTTACATCTCGTGTGCCAGGGATTGTGTCCCTCGGATGCAATAATAAAGATGGAGACTATCTCTAGGATATCATCAATGCTGGAAACTGGTCAGTTACTATGCTTGGGCTGTACCAGACCCTCCATCTAAAGTCACATGAAACTGACCGCGACTATTGTGCGTACAGCTCGAGAATTAACACTCGAAGCTGCACAGACTGCCGCAAGTAATCGAAGCTCGAAAACCGACTATTCCTCACGTACATACAGTGTTCCTCATATTAAGAAGCTTCTCGACAGCCGTCATGAGCGCGAGGTTCTGGATGGGATGCGGCGAGTTATCGCGGTATGCCGATCTTGTATAACAGAATAGCAGGAAAGAATGTCTTGGCTAATTGCATTTTCATCGATTCATCTTATAGTTAATGTATCGCTCTGAGCCTTCCCTGCCTTTCTTCTCGGCTGTTGTCAAAAACGCAGCTAGCGCCGATCTCGAAGTCAAGAAACTTGTCTATATTTACCTCGTCCATCATGCGGAGGCGGAACCGGATCTGGCATTGCTATCGATAAACGCCATTCAAAAGTCTTTGACGGATTCAAATCCCCAGGTTCGAACGATGGCGCTGCGAACAATGTCCGGCATCCGGGTCCCAGTCATCAGTCAGATCATATCGCTAGCCATCAAGCGAGGCTGCGGCGATATGAGTCCCCATGTGCGCAAGGCGGCTGCTCTGGCCATTCCAAAGTGCTATCGTCTGGATCCGAACACCCTGCCGCAATTGACGGGGTATATCGCAACTCTTCTCGGCGATACTCAATACTTTGTTGTTGGTCCCGCTGTTGCTGCTTTTTTGGAGGTTTGTCCGGAGCAGATTGATCTGATCCATAAGCACTATCGCAGCCTGGTTAAAAAACTGGTCGACATGGATGAATGGGGTCAGCTGGCAACTCTCCGGCTCTTGACTTTTTACGCTCGAAAATGCTTTCCCCACCGCACTCAAACAGTCAAGCAGGCTTTCACAAAGGGATTCTATGACCAAGAGTCGCAGGATGGAAACTCCCAAGATGAAGGTGAGGGGTATGAAGTGACAGCCTTAGATCCTGATCTCGAAATTCTTTTACGGGCTTGCAAGCTATTGCTACAAAGCCGTAACTCTGCTGTTATTGTCAGCGTTGTCCGTTGCTTTCTCTACCTAGCCCCTCCTGAATACCTTGCTTCGGCTATTGGACCGCTGGTAGCTCTTCTACGAAGCCCACAGGATATGCAACTCATTGCTCTCTACAATATCGTTGCAGTCGCCCTACAAGAACCCAAGCCATTTACGAGATATATCGCACACTTTCTGATCCACGCTAACGACCCGCCACATATCTGGCGTCTGAAGCTTGAGGTATTGACTATTATTTTCTCTCACTGTGGCAAACACTGGAAAAGTGTTATCATCAGCGAGCTTGAACACTTCTCCAAGGGCGCTGATCCCGAATTGGTGCGTGAAAGCGTGCGAGCTATTGGACGCTGCGCGCAAGGAGATCCTACTACTACGGACATGTGCCTTCGAATTTTGCTCGGCCAGATATCTAGCTTGGACAGCAATCTTGTATCTGAATCTTTGACCGTCATCCGTCATTTGATCCAACAGGATCCCACATCCCACAGACAGACCGTTGTTCAGCTCGTCACAAACCTTGGTATCACCACCCACCCTGATGCACGATCTACTATTATCTGGCTAGTGGGCGAATTTGCAGGTATAAATCCAAAGCACAACATTGCGCCGGATGTTCTCCGCATTCTCGTCAAGGGATTCGTCGATGAGTCCGAGGCTGTCAAACAACAAATTGTACTACTCGGTGCTAAGGTATATCTTCAATACCTACTCCAAAAGCAGCCTGAGGAAGATTTGCAAACAGCCATCTCATCCGCTGCACAACCTGTCAAGATTGATGAAGAGCTTCGTAATGAGTGGACCGAGGATCAATCAGAGGAACAGACGGAGACTGGCCCGCCTCCAGAGGACGAAGCAGCAGTCGAGGAAGAAATCGGAGCAACGAAGCAAGAAGATCGTATTACTTTGCTTTGGCGCTACATTCTCCTTCTTGCACGATATGACACCTCCTATGATCTTCGTGATCGTGCCCGCCTATACAAAGCCCTACTAGGAAGTCCAGCCTCCACGCAACTGGCCAACCTGCTCCTTCTTGCCCCTAAGCCTGTTCCGCATACTCCCAGCCCATCTGAAACGCGCAAGGATCTTCTCATCGGAACTGCGACTCTGGTCGTTGGTCCAGAAGCCGGTTATCACGGGCTTAGGGGCTACACCAATATACCCGATTGGGTCAAGTTGGGACAAGAACCAAGTCCGAGTCTCCGCACCGACGATCTCAAGATGGACTCCTCCACGCTCCAGAGCTCGATGACTGCTGGAGAACGCTTAGACAAAGCACTTCGGCAGCACGAAAATACTGTACCCCAAAGGACAAATAGTAAAGTTGCGCCGTCTGGTGCAGCTGGCAAAAAGTCACTGGACCAGTGGCTCGACGAAGAGGACGAAGAGTCGGAAAGTGAAACGGATGAGGAGACGGATGAGGAGACGGATGGGGAGACAGACTCTGAGGAGGAGTCCAGTGAAGAAGAGTCTGATTCGGAAGATGACGACGGTTCTGGTGAGGAAACGGACTCAGAGAGCGAAGCCGTTCACAAGGAGGCTCAGCAACTGCTTTCACAACCCGGTGCTAGATCTCATGGCCTGTAGGGCTTTTACATATATGGTGGACCTATTCCATAACATTGGAATTGCACTTAAAAATGGCAAATCAGCTCTAATGGGGTTGCTCCAGATACTATGTAGAGGGGAGAATTAGAACTAGTTGTCCTAGGAAATACGACGAGGAACATAGAAATATTTGAACCTCGTAATTTATTTAGTACCAATGGCTAGTTGACCTGGCAAGTTCTGTTAGAGTTCTAAAATTAGGAAGGTTTGAGCTAGCTAGGGTCTACCTAGGTACAGATCGATTAGATCGATGATGCTCATCGACGAAATCACCTAGGCATGTAGGCTATCCTTCTATCACCTTTCTACTTGTTATACACATCTCCAACATGAGCTGTCAACAACTTGCCTACTCCAATCTGTTAGAGAGGCTGCCTCCAGAGATATTAGAGCTCATTTTCACAACCATCTCGTTACTGAAACTTGATCAAATTTGCTTTGCTTTGAGCTGCAAATACACACTTGCCTGTTTCCAGTCATTCCTCAAGCTACAGAAAAGAACTCTTCCTGGACTACTTCGATGCGCTGCTTTGAATCTGAGAACTAGAAAACAGCTGCTTCTCCGACTTACAAACACTCGATGGCAATATTGTGACTGCTGCACACGTATTGTACAAACGAATACACCAACCCAGGGCCCAGTCGAAATACCGTGGCCGAAAACTCGACCTTGGAAGCGGAAATGGCTTGCAATCAAAGACAAACTGCGAAGAGAACAACTTAAAACAAACAGAGGGAAAGTTGATATCTGTCCTTGTTTTACTATCAGCTTCAAAGATAGGAAAAGGCTCATGAATGGCACGTACAATGGCATGACTGACGGTCAACTGACACCAACTGCATTGCTTGGTCATTGTGAATACTCTTTTCAAGAGCATAGTTGTATCCTTCTCGAAAGCCCACCAGCCTATCCAGCCTTACAAGTTCATTCTAAAGCCGCTTGTTGCGTGAACCATGGAGACAAGAGCTTCCACATGAGAATCGAGTTCGTATTCGATTTATCAGCTGCGAAATCCAAAGAAATTAACGAATTTTGGGATCAGACGGGCCCTCTTCGTGACGATTCTATCATGTGTCTCGAAAGGCTTTTCGCCCATGACGCTGGGCTTAGATTTCATAGAGGATACAAAGGTTGCTTTCACTTTCAATGGGATGGACCGAATAAGCTTATCTTAGTTCGAAATCTAGTAATTGCAGGTGGGGTATTGTCAGATGAGGGCTGGTATCGTCCTCATGCCCTTCGCAGTCGGCGGAAGATCTACTCGCTATTTAGAATGGTTTAGGACCGAAACCGATTATCTCCGGGGCTAAGTATCACTCAGTATTAAAGTACTGTAGTCTATAGTCTATTTGCTTTGCTTTTTGATAGTATTCAGTTATTGGATGACAAGAAGTTCATGAATCATATCTAAAATTTCAAATCCATGTTACTTTCACCTGCAGCGTACGATACTGTTCCATGGTATCATAGTCACCACCCAATTTGTATCTCCTGTCTCTGATACACAGACTTCAGCCATGTGGTCAATATTGTGATGTTGTCTAATCCTATGTTGTCAACTATTTTGCGGGCATCAAAATCGGGTAAAAGTCACGAAACATGATGGTAGAATTAAGAACATCAAGTGGGGCCCTTATGTCCACAAATATCCCATATCACGTGATACAATTATTAATGAAAGCGGTGGCAAAATGATCCCTGAGGCTTGCAGCTCGCAGTCCCCTGTGTACAGCAAGTGTTGATGTTGGTTGATTCACTTTTTCTTGCAGTGGTGATTTGCCTTCTTTGGCCATGATGACTGCTGTTAATTACCAGACAATCCTCAATTGCCGTTGATCATTTCTCCCCTTTTAATCTCCGACTGGCCGCCCAATATTTGCCCGCACCGGAGCATTAGAGGCTAGCCTCACGCGTTCCTTCATCCTTGCTGCCGAGTCTTGAAGGGCCATTTCTTGCTTCCTAAAAAAAGATCATTTACTCACTCTCCTGGCATTTTCTGGACCCGCCATAATGCCTGGCCTTCCTAGTAGGTTCACAAATGCGTTGTGAATCCCAATGTTTATTATCAGGGCCTGAGTACCGAATATGTGGACTAACCTTCTGTGAAGCCAGTATCGACTTGGACCAATGTATCGAACGACTTTACCGCAAAGAGCTGCTTGCTGAGCCAGTCATCGAGGCCGTATGTGCCAAATCCAAAGAATTGCTTATGAAAGAGAGCAATGTGGTTCACATCAAGGCGCCAGTAACTGTTGTTGGAGACATTCATGGACAGTTTTTTGATCTCCTAGAGATCTTTCGGATTGGAGGATTCTGCCCCGATACCAACTATCTTTTCCTGGGTAGGCTATCACTCTGATACACCTATTTTTGTGTATCTGTGAAAGACAGAAGCACAATTGAATCAGCTGGCCTAAGAACAAAATTGCTGACCCAGACAATTCTAGGTGACTACGTGGATCGTGGTCTATTTAGCGTAGAGACCATCTCCCTCCTTGTTTGTCTGAAACTACGATACCCTCAGCGAGTTCACCTCATTCGCGGTAACCACGAATCCCGCGGTGTCACCCAATCCTACGGCTTCTACACCGAGTGTGCCCGCAAATATGGCAATGCCAATGTGTGGCATTACTTTACCGACATGTTCGACTATCTTACATTGAGTGTCGTGATCAACGATGAGATATTCTGTGTGCATGGCGGCCTCTCCCCGTCCATTCACTCCATTGATCAGATTAAGATCATTGATCGGTTCCGTGAGATCCCCCACGAGGGGCCCATGGCAGATCTAGTTTGGTCTGATCCCGACCCAGAACATGATGAGTTCTCTCTTTCCCCTCGTGGCGCAGGTTACACTTTTGGAGCGCAGGTGGTTCGCAAATTCCTCGAGGTCAATAGCATGTCTCATATCTTGCGAGCTCACCAGCTATGTAACGAGGGCTATCAGATTCTTTTTGATGACCGTTTGAGTACGGTTTGGAGTGCTCCCAACTACTGCTATCGCTGTGGTAACCTGGCCAGTGTACTGGAGGTAAGCGATAGCATGGAACGCTTCTTCAATATTTTTGACGCCGCTCCCGAGAATGACATGCATCGGAACGAGCAACAGGCTCAGCAGAAGCGGGATTCTCAGCCGGTGATAGATTATTTCTTGTGATACCCCTTGCGTTTAAAAGCAAATTTAATTACCTTTCTTACTACGCATTCGAATGAAAACAATATCAAATATCTCATGTGCATGTCATGTAAGGATAATCTTGACAGTGGAAAGTAAGTAAATAAGCAGATGCAGGGGAAAAAAAGAACATCCACCCAAAAAAAGAGCCCGGGCTGCTCCACAATCAATGTGGTGCAGCTACCAGGCTTTTGGATTTAAGGAAATTCGTCACGCTTGGAAACAAGGCTCAGAGTAAGATTTCAAAATGAATGAGTCCCAGTGTCTCCTACCAGTCCTTGGTAATGTCAAAAGCCCATTCAAATTGCAAGTAAGTGTGGTCATCATCATCCAAGAACTTGGAAACGGCGTTGTAGTGTCCTCGAGCCAACATACCCGAGGGAGCCTCTGTCTCAGCAACTAAAAAATATAAGATGAGTATGAGGGAAAATGACTAACAGAGCTCAGATGGTTCAACACTTACATTCCTGGACGTAGAAAGGCTTGACGCTGGTGCTGGGAGCATAGCTTCCTAGCATCTCCTCGTCCTTGCTGACCCGGAAGCCCTTGCGCTTCACCACTTGGAGGTACTTAAGACCGCTGATAACCTCGTGGTTCACCTGGAACACGACCTTAATGTGGAACCTGGCGCCTTCCTTAACAGTAAAGGGCTTATCCTTGAGAGTGTCGAGAGCACTGGCGGTGGATAGGTCAATCACCACATCCTCACGGTCTGGAGTGACCAGGGCCAGAGATTTAATCTGACACTTCGGGTCATCCGACTGGCCAATGGGCTCGCCCGCATTCAGACCCAGCGAAGCCTTCCAGCGGTTCATCGCCTCATCATCCTTGTCTTTTGGGAGAGAGGTCAGTGGGCTGACTTGGTCGATTACTTTTTAAAAATCAATACATACCAAGCTCAGCATATTCCTGTACAGTCTTCTTCTCGCCGACTTTGAAACCCTCGGTCTTGGTGGCGGCGAGCTCATCATGATCTTGGTCGGCCATTGTTTATTTTTGGGGGCTAGTAAGTCTGGAATGGGGATTAGGAGGATGAACTGAAAGTGCAACACTGAACATTGAATACCCACATTATATGAGACTGTAGAGAAAAAGAGGGGGAATTTCTAGATTGAAAAAGAAGATCCAGAACAAGAGAAGAAGCTCTTATGCCTTTGACTCCTGAGTCTTGGTGGGGTTTAAAGACGGAAAGGCGGTGGACATTGAGGGGGAGAGGCTATTCGGAGTCCAGGCAACCCACTTTGTTTTAGCACGTTGTACTACTTATGAGAGTTTTATATGTAAGCTTATCTGGACATTATATATTGAAACTCGAAATAATCCACGATTTAAATATAGAAATTGAAAATTGAAAATTGAAGATCGAAGACAAAGATATAAAGGATAAAGATTAAGAAATACTCGTGGTCGAGGTCCCGTTGAGTTGCCGCTACTTCTCCACTTGGGCGCATGAGATAGAAAGGATGGAATATTTACATCATTTGTAACATTCAAAGTCCTTAGCTCTACCCCCTACACACAATAGAATTAAAAGGGTTCTCAATACAATCACATCACGCATTTATGGCCCTTTCCAACTCAAATTTTCAATTTTCCGTCAGGTACCTATTTTCTTGACAAAAGGCCAATGGCAAATCTCAAATACAATACTCTGACAGTCCAAATACCGGACTTAACCGGAAGAAGTTAAGCGTCTAATACAAAGTGACCAAAGTCTTGTCGCGACCAAAGCCGAAGACCGCTTCTCCCCTGACTGTTCTCTTTATCTTCCTTTTATTCCAGTCAATCTGTTTGTCTAGGTTGTGTTATCCTGATTCGCTATACTCCACCTCCCCACCTGGTTGGCGCAACTCTTCGCGTTAATTTTGCTCCCCTTCCCATATTGACGCGCCTGCTACGTGGCGCGCGCATCGCATCCCATCGGGATCCCAATCCAATCTCCTCTCGCCTGCACCACTCTTATCGCAACTGCTCACCATGTCGCGATCTCTGCCAAAGAAGGGAAAACCCTCTTATCCGTCCGGATGTCTCTCCTTCCTGTAAGTTATACAAGGTTATACAAGGCGCGGAGTCGCGCCTACCGCCCTAACCCGTACCGAATACTAACCGACCTTTTTTTCTCTCTCGCAGATGAGGAGCTTGTTAATCGCCGTCGCCTAGGCTCAACTTATCTCAAGGTGAAGCAGAGTCAGCTCAACACCTCCAACGCAACAAAGCCTCACAACTTGGGCGCGTTTGAGTATGCCCACCTCCGGGCACCTTTGCCCAAGGACCTGAAAGGTTCTGAAGTTTTCCCGCACACAGCCAAGTCACGCCCAGAAACCTACTTTTTGATGGTAAGAACTTGTATTAGTGTTTGATAAGATAAAAGAGACCATCGCTAATAGATCTATGAACAGCGAAGGAGCGAGGATGGGTTTGTGAGTGCCACTGGCATGTTCAAGATCGCTTTCCCTTGGGCCAAGCAAGATGACGAACGCCTGGAGAGAGAGTATTTGAAGACACGAGAGCTCACAAGCCACGAAGAAATTGCGGGCAATATTTGGATCTCTCCTCTTTTTGGTGCGCTTTCTTCTATAATCATCTATCTGCTAGGATTCGTACTAATGTTTTCTTTGTAGCACTGGAGCTGTCCAAGGACTACAAAATGTACGGCTGGGTCCGCGCTTTGTTGGATTCAGCCGAGGTCCCCCAGAGTACATCCAAAGAAAAGGACCAACCTATCGTCAGTCAGCCACCCACATTCGTTATGCCAGAAGACGAGCGTAGCCCAACACCACCACGCCGAAGTCGCCGCTCCGTCTCTCCGGTCAAGGCCACGCCCATGAAGCAGTCTTTCACCCCTGGCAAAGGTATTAGCGCTCGCCGCGTCGCCAACGACCTCCTGGATACTCCATCAACTGGTACTGCTGCAGCTAACGACAATCTCCAAAGCAACTTGGATTATTCTACCGCGAATATCGATATTGCGGCGCATGGCAATTTGTTTGAAGTCCAAGAGGAAACAGAAGTGAAGTCCGCCGGCTCACCAAAGAAGTCCAAGAGTCGGAGATCTAAGAAGAGTACTACTGAGACCGATGATGAGAAGGAAGCCCAGCTGCCAGAGGAGGCCAGAAAAGCCGACAAGAAGGCTCAAAAGGCTGCAAAGGCAAAGGAGCTCATCGAAGAAGTCATCGAGGAAGAAGCTGGAGGAGATTATGAAGAGGCTGTCGATTCCATCGAAGTCTCCGCCATTGAGACCAACCCAACTGAGAAAGTTCTCTCCCTTGATGTGCCCATTTTCTCTTCTGGAGTTCCGTCCGCTGAAGAGACACAGGAGATGATCGCCAAAGCAAAGGAAATGGTAGAAGAGGCCATTAGGGCTGATCAAGACGAGGACACCACAGGATCATCAGCCGTCAAAGTGACAAACAAACGCAAGCCTGAGGAAGATGATGAGGAGACTTCGGCAGAGTCTGAGCAGCGGGCAAAGAAGGCCAAGCTGTTGGAAGAGAGAATCGTTCGTGAGCGAGTTCGCTCGGTCCGGAACCGTGCTATGATCACTGCCTCTGTTGGTCTTGCTCTTGTGTAAGTTCTTTTGGTTTCCTAACTTGCAGATCTTTTGCTGATGATATTTTTAGGTCCGCGATTCCCTTTTTCTTCTAGATATATGATGTCTATGGCTGATGAGATATCAAAGATAGAAGCAAACTCGCCTCGCTTTTGCGATGAAGCGTTGGTGTGCTCTTGTCTTCCCTTGCTACCTGCAAATTACAGTTCTTACCAGAAGGACATTTTGTCTATTGTTTCACATTCACGAGTCGATTCTTTTCACCTTCTCATTTCCATTCCCCCTTGTTGTTATGATAAATATATTCCTCTCCAGTTTTTGTGCACTGTTTTCCTCTCCCAACCTCTCCTACAATACCTCGCTTTACCCTTTCTTCTGTGCATGAAACCTGGAGAGTATCTCAAAAGATACATTTTTTAAATCCATCCTTATTACCCAGTCCTAGTTTTGCTCCACTCACTCTACGATTTTCCTTTGCTCAGTTCCTGGATACCAAGTTGCTTGATGTGCTGTTTCGCTCTAGCTGTCGCGTAAGATGGTTAGCTTAGTCTAACTATCAAAAGATTCACGGCCCAGATAAATAAGAAAAGTGAAGAAAAAAAAAAAAGAATTAAAACCTTCATTCAATTTCACACCCCAGTACGTGTAGAATATTCCATTTATCAATCTTTCCACTAACTAATATAAGCTTAAATGTAATTGAGCGCATTGGACGGGAATCTGAGGTTAATGTACTTCATAACGTCTAGCAGTGCCACCTCCTCTCCGGGGTGTTTACACTGTTTGCATTATCCTCGATGATAAGCTCCAACTTTAAGGCTCCTCCGAACTCTCCATAAACTTTAATTAGACCAACTTCTTCGTTTTGCTTGGCTAATCAGTCTGGCAATGAAATGTCGCTCCCGGGCTTAGAGCTCACCCAGCCCTTAGAGGAGAGGCAGCATGCCGTCGCGGCGCCATCGCAGATCACCTTGTCTCCAGGTTCAGAGTGGAGGTTTGAGGTCGCATTCGGGCACCAAATACGAGTCAAGGTGTGTTCACCCAGTGGAACTTCATGAAAAGGCCTTTAGTATCCATTTTGCTTCTTCTGTAATAACAAGAGCGCTAATTGGGATACTGCATAGCTTCTGAATGGAACCGCTGAGCTTTTCGGCACCGAGCTCGCCGAATCGCAAACTTACACATTTACTGGTACGAAGGCGGCTATCTACTCGTGGTATGGATGTGACTTAGAGATCACCGCGGGCGAAACTGGTGCTCCGACGTCGCTTGATGGCGTCACCCCGACTGCTGGGGCTGGAGCTGGCGGGTGCCAGAGCGAATACACAGCCGGAGAAACGCCGATGATGGAATACTTCAATATGCACATCGCGCTGGAATCGATACGAGAAGAATCGCAGGGCTCGGGCAAAGACGGTCCCCGTGTCCTGTTGCTTGGTCCTGAGAATGCTGGCAAAACTACACTCGCGAAGATCTTGACGGCGTATGCGACCAAGATTGGACGACAGCCACTCGTGGTCAATTTGGATCCCTCGGAGGGCATGCTGAGTGTTCCTGGTACACTGACTGCCACAGCGTTCCGGAGCATGCTTGATATTGAGGAGGGCTGGGGCAGTAGTCCCATGTCTGGGCCTAGTTTCGTGCCGGTGAAGCTTCCGCTCGTGTATAGCTACCCATTGACAAGTCCGCTTGACGAAGAAGGCGCTGTCTATCGGCCCATTGTTTCGCGGCTCGCTCTCTCTGTGACAGGCCGTATGGCCGAGGACGAGGATGCGCGTGAAACAGGAATTATCGTTGACACACCTGGGGCTCTAAGCTCCGACAAGCCTGGTAGTTTCGAGACTATCAAACATATTGTGACCGAATTTTCAATTACCACCATCATAGTCCTCGGCTCTGAGCGCCTCTACAGCACTATGGTCAAAGAATACGACAACCAGCTTAGTGCAAGCTCGACAGCTTCTGCATTCGACGAGCGCATCTCAGTCGTTAAGCTATCTAAATCAGGAGGCTGCGTCGACCGCGACAGTGCATTCCTCAAAATTACCCGAGAGTCCCAGATCCGCTCTTATTTTTTCGGTAATCCGAATCCTACAACTGCTTCTACTTCTGCCATTACTCTCTCCCCACACTCCCAGCTTCTGGATTTCTCCTCGCTCCCTATATGGAATTATACCGTCTCATCGCACGAGGACGAAGACGAAGATGAGGATGAATACGATCCGTCCCAGTTTGGCACAAGCGACTCATTCCTTCCTAGTGGCACGGACAATTATGAACCCGGCCATGCCACGCCACTTCCTGGCATCGTCGGTCTAACCGTAGACCCATCTACATCGTCTGTCATCGACACGACCAACATCCCATTGAAAAAACTCGTCCCACCCGTTCCCTCCGTTCTCGCTAATACCCTTCTCGCTATCACGCACGCTCCAGCAACCGCTTCCCCAGCTGAAGTGCGCGATGCCAGTATCATGGGCTTTCTCTATGTGGCTGATGTTGACGTGGACAAGGGGAAGTTCCGTGTCATTGCACCTGTCGGTGGTAGAGTCCCTTCACGAGCGATGATCTGGGCTAAGCGCTGGCCTGGTGAGGTTGTTGGACTGGTGGGTTGAGTTACTGAGGTAATGAGTTCAGGACAGAGTATTTACTCGTGCAAAGTCTTACTAGAAGAAACAAATAAAGATTCCTCATAACTTATAGTCTCCAGTTGCTATGTACCTGTCTAGAATGCCACTTCAAGGGTGGGTTGGTCATAAACGGAATAAATGTAAAATGGGTAAAAATGGAGATTTAATAATATATAATATATAATACATCTAAATGCATGCTAGAGGAGTACCATACCGTCTTTCACGCGACTAGTATTGTTGACCTTCTTGACTCAAAAAGAGCTTTTGCACTGAACACCTTGCATTCGCCCCGTAAGAAGATCACATAACTAGCTAACTAAATAAATAAATATTTAGTTAGTTACCCCGGATTAACGTGACTCAGCATCTGAGAAATGTATTATAGCTCAAGACCTGCTCCTTGCACATGTGTTAGTATCTTCAAATATAATCATTTCATTGAATGGTTTTCAGTTTGCACAGTCAGGGCTTCAAAAGGGGCTTGCCCGTGGTCTTCCTGCCCTCCAAGTCTTGGTGAACCTGGGCAATCTCTTCCAGAGGATAAACCTTATGGATCTTGACCTTCAACTGTCCAGACTTAAGCAAGGTGAATAGTTCATTGGTGTAGTACTCGAACTCTTCTCGCGTCTCAATGTAACCAAAGAGGGTTGGGCGAGCGATCTTGACGCACTTGGGAGAGAGTTTCCTGTTATTTCAATTAGTCTCATCATCAATCATGAAAGGGAGTTAAAACATACGGGAGGGGAATGGGAGGCACCGGCCCACTAGCATTGCCAAACCAGACAATGGTACCCTTGCGCTTGACAGCCTCCAAGCTACCTTCCCAGGTATCTTTGCCAACTGAATCGAACACAACATCAACTCCACGGCCACCAGTAGCCTCCTTAACCAGCTTAACCCAGTCTTTGCCCTCCTCGCTGCGGTAATCAATCACCACATCAGCGCCGAGGCTTTTAACAAGAGCGACCTTGTCAGCACCACCAGCTGTACCGATAACCTTGGCACCCATCAGCTTCAGAATCTGGGTCAAGAGGAAGCCAGCGCCACCAGCAGCAGCATGCAGAAGCACCCAATCGCCCTTTTGCACAGGGTAGGTCTCCTTGGCAAAAGAGAGAACCGTCATTCCGCTCAGGAAAGATGCCATCACATCCTCGTCACTGATTCCCTCAGGGATCTTGACAGTCTTTGCCGCCGGAGCAGCAGTATACTCGGCATATCCACTGGTGCCCAGCCAAGCAACTCGGTCTCCGACTTGGAAACCGGTTGTGTTAGGACCGATGGCTACAACGGTACCGGCACCCTCGCGACCTAGTATTTCGGGTTTGGGTGAGGCGTATAGACCCGTGCGGAAGTATGTATCGATGTAGTTGACGCCGGAGATGTTGTTTTTCACGAGAAGCTGGCCTTCACCAGGTGTTGGCACCGGGTAAGATTTGTACTGCAGTACCTCTGGGCCACCGGTCTGCTCGACCACGACGGCCTTCATGGTCGTTGGAATTGACATGGTGCGAACAGGAAATGAGAAAGAGCGGTTATATATTGTAGGAATCGTAGGAATTGAGAATTGATTGCGAAGTATGGCGAGACGTAGACAACTTCGACGAAGGGTAGAAAGAGACATTGAATAATAGAACAGTGGGGAGAACCATTGATGAACACTTTCAATTTGTCATCGTCATTCCCCGCATCGCGGAATTAACATCTTTAGATGTCGCAGAGCTCTATACCCTCTTTCGCCCTTTCTTCTTATCTATTTCCGCTGACTCCAGTTTCGATTATCTGATTTGTTACAATTTACCATTCAATGAGCATTAGTTATCCAAGTTTACAGAGAACCTTACAATCTGTTCGAATCAATACGAAGCGTCCTAGCGTGGGGACATTGACGCCATTCCGTTGGATCTGTAACAACCATCGGATCAGGGATCTAGGTCAAAGCGATCATGGGCGCTTCATGAATTGAGACATTGCCACAATGCCACTTGATAGGATCCTATGAATGGCAACCTGCATAATTACATCGGCGTCTATGACAAAGACCGGATTACCAGCCATTTTCAACCGCCCACTACATCTCTGACACAGCCTATTGTGAGGCGCAGTCAGTGGCTTATCAACATGACAACCAGTATCTTACGACGTAGATACCCAATGATCGGAACCAACTAACTCTGGCTTGGTCTTCAGTGATACAAAGCCAGATGATTCCAGATGATTCCAGATGATTCATGATGCAGGTCATCCGCCAAGAGTAGAAGGGGAACTGAGGGGTTGAGATGATGCATTGTCCAGCCAAGATCCCTGCAGGATATCCGAGTCCAGACTGAGTCATATATCCAGAGTCTGATATTTATGGTTCTATGTACCTGGACTATTTTCTTCTAACCTTCTAGTACCCTGATGAACTTGAGAGGAACACTATCAGACCTTAGGAGTCACATGACCCGGGAACGATTTCCCTCGATTTATATATCACATTACTCAGGAGTGGCGCCACCGGCATATGCTGACGGTTGATAGGAAATTAGGAATCTACGGAAAATTACAATTTTACAACTTACAAGGATGCCCAGACCCCAATGCTGTACGGAGCACCATGCAACTGCAATGCAGCAACAACTTTCCTCGGGCCTGCCCCGTATGACTCTAATGATTCATATCATCTATGTTGACAATAACAGAGCGCAAAGACATCTGTATGGACTATATTTTTAAAATGAAACTTCTACCAGCTGAACGAAATGCTACTGCCTGAAACACGAAGTTCAAATTCAACCCTGTCTCTTTCATTACGACCGTTTATGCCCAATAACTTATCACCGCACATGTCCATTCGCTTGAAGATGTCCTTTGTTATGGCGGGTCCCTCAACATCGTTTTGTAAATGTTCTGATACTATTATTGTACAGAACTGTGGAGTGTTATTGGCTATTCGTCTGGTCTCGCCCGGTCGCCACTGCTGCCCTATAGAACATAGTCTAGAGTTGATCACTGATGCCCGATGCACGAACAGTTATATACCCTGCTCAACCCCGATACGCACACGTTGTCCTAGTCTATGACATCTGTCGAATCCCATTGAAATGAAATTTTCTTGAACCTCAGGCTGATCCAAAATTTCTTCTTCTCCTTCAATTTTCATAACACATACTATGAGCCATCCTTCTCGAGAATATTTCCCAGACGACTTAACAGCAGGCTAATCTTTTTAAAATACTTGTTTTTCATCTGTGCATGATTAAAATATTACTGACAGAATGCGGCCTCCTCGAACTGTGCGCTTCCAACGGCCCCCGCCACCTTCAGTGGAAGAAGAGCCTGTTTCACTCTCGCGAGAACTAAATGGCCTCAACAAGCTGGGTGAGAAGCCCGGCGTCGAGGGTACCTGTGCAAGAGGTGCCGTTGATCAATACCCGATCATATTGACTGCGGATTCTTCCACCTCGGCCAGTCCTCCCATCGCTAATGTGCCCGGGATGGGCAATGTCTCTTCCGATGACAACAGCAATGGACCAAGAACCCCTCCTCTTCGTTCTCCGGAGTACGTCGAGCGTGTGGACTCAAAGTCGCATAGACGCTCACGCACCTCGGAGTCTGGTGGCCGGAGCTCTCGATCTAAATCAATTGAGCGTCCTCGTCACCAAGAGCCTGGTGTTCGCATCAATGGTTCTAAATCAAATGAGCATTCCTGTATTTCCGATCAGAGTACTCGTCCCCTTCGCTCTAAATCAATTGAGCGTCCTCGGAATTCGGAGCCTGTTGGTCGTACATCTGCGCCGTCCAAACCGAGTGAACGTTCCCGTGTCCCAGAGCCCGAGGTCCGGATCCCACGCTCTAGATCAATTGAACGCTCGCGTCGTCCGGAGCCGGTGGGCCATACATCTGATTCAAAGCTGAACGAACGCTCCCATCATTCGGAGTCTAGTGTCCGGGCATCTGACCCTAAGATAAACGAACGTTCACGTGCTCAAGAGCCTGAGGTTCGAACACCGCGCTCAAAATCAAGTGAACGCTCACGTCATTCACAGCCTGTTGGCCGCGCATCTGATTCAAGACTGAACGAACGTCCCCGTCATGCGGAGCCTACTGTTCGTGCCACTGGCTCTAAATCGAACCATCATGAGCGTTCCCGTGCTCCGGAAACGCGTATTCCCCGCTCCCAATCGAATGAACGTCCCCGACACTCGGAGCCTAGCCGGACATTTAGTTCAAAGGCTAATGAACGTTCAGAACGCCCTCCGCGTCCTCGTTCCCCTCCCTCATCGGGCTCGAGCAAGCCTCGAGAGCGCCATCACTCTACACGGGATAGTTTCCCAATTCGATCTCGCCCCCATTCATTGTCACTAAGCAGTGGAAACGAAACCGTCTATATAACAATTAATTCAGCCCGTGGATCAGAATCTGACAAATCCCACCATCGTGGCAGAGTGCACTCAAAGGACCGTTCGAGTTTCGGGCGGTCCAACTCTGGGCGACACAGTGCATCAGTGGCACGGCCGGTTCCAGACCGTTCTGAACGGCCTCGGTCTGAAACTATTGGATATATGTCAGACTCGGCCGCCGCACGCAGCAGATCGATCTCCCAGCATCAGCGAGCACAGCCAGCTCAGTCAACACAGCCAGCTCAGTCAGCACAGCCGGCAGCTGTTCCAACGGTTACAGAGAACTTACCTGTGGAAAATCCTCCAAGAATTCCTACTCTTGCCGAGAGGGTTGAGGAAAGGCTTCGATCGGCAATTACAAAAGCCCCGGAAGTTCCCCAAGTCCCAACACTCGCTGAGAGGGTTGAAGAAAGACTTCGATTAGCTGGCGCAAAACTTCCGAGGGTTCCTACCCTTTCAGAAAGACTCGAGGAAAAGCTTTCACTTCGCCATGCTCGTCATGAATCGGGCTCCCACTCCGATACAGAAGCACCTTCTAGGGCTCCCGATTCACCCTCTCGTGGTCATCATGTTTCGAGTCTTAGATCCCAGGAACGTCTACCGACTTCACGCCCAAGAGCGACATCGGTGACCTCAGGTACGGCTCCTCCACATGCGGTAATTCGTACTTTGACGTCGAATACGGCTCCTGCTTCCCGTGCGCCCTCAACTACTCGCACTACCTCGAGATCTAAATCTCCCGACAATACTCTCGCCGTATCAACCAGATCCTCACGAGAACCGTCCACGCAAAGATCTATCCCAGGCCAGTCCGCACTCGTTCAGTATAATCAGCCACAAAAGCGTGCTCAAAACGTTCCTGGGATATACATTTCTCCCTGTCCACGCACCACTCCCTTAGCCGGTTATGAGGACTGGTACACTCTCAAAGGCCTAACACATATCGACATATGCCCCTCATGCATGAGCCAAATCGCGCACTCTCGCTTCCGCGACCTCTTCATCCCAAGCCTTGCAAAGCCTCCAACCGAAGCAGTCAGCTGCGTATTCTCAATCCCATGGAATCGCCTAGCCTGGACACAGATGATCCAGAAGCAACACGATAGTCTCGAAATGCTCTACCAGATGACACGCCCACCCCCAGGAACCAATCCCTGTTCCGGACGTATCATAACCGAACAGACCTGGTATCGAGTCCTCGACCCAGATACAGGCGCCTTCCTACCCCGCTTCCACATCTGCAGCAGCTGCGCACGCAATGTCCGCGTCCTCATGCCCTCGCACCGTGACACTTTCCAGCCCTGCGAAGAACCTCAAGAGCGTGTCTGCGACTTCGCCACCACTAGCCCGCGCTTTGTCCAGTACATCGACCTCCTCGACACAGCTGCTTCCCGCGCAGAAGCTGATCCAACCCGTCGCCCAGAGTCGCGCGAGTTCCTCTCCTACGCTCGCCGGAAGGTTGTTCTGCGCGACTGCAGCCGCGACAAGCCCATCATGAGCACATGGCACTACATCACCGCTCTACCAGAACTGAGCGTTTGTGAAGACTGCTACGATGATGTGGTCTGGCCGCTTGCCAAAGCGCATCACCCTATTGCGCGCATGTTCTCCACGTCTATGCGGCTTTTACCCGGGGACGGGCCGAACCGCTGCCGCGAGGCAACCTGTCAATTGTACTCGCCACGCATGCGCACACGACTGCGGGATGCGGTGCGGAATGAGGATTTTGAATCTTTGAAGTCTATTTCTCTGCGGCGGTTTGAAGCTGAGCGGCGATTCAAGGATCGGACGGACGAGTTGCTTGAGGCGGAGAAGAAGGGTTTTGATTGTAAAGAGGAGATGAAGAAGGCAGAAGAGGAGTGGAAAAGATGGGAGTGATGGTTTCTTATTATATTTTCTATTAATTGTCATTGAATTTTATTACTTTTCGGTCTTGTATATCATTTTGTCCACGGGTATGGCTTGGGACTTTTTTGCTTTTTGATTCAAAAAAGGGAGGAATTAAAATCTACGAATAGTTCTACCCAATACGAATCTGAAATTATCGATGAATCTTTTTAGGAATCCCAAAGATCTTCCCCAGGGAGCTAAAGCCCCTTTGGAATAAAGCAACTTTCAGGTAATCCGTATTGCAAGACCTTTGGTAGGCCCGCAAACGCAAAGCGCAGGCATCCTCACTCATAAATTCTCAACTGAAGGTGATCTCCCAAATTAGTAATAGCGAGAGTTCCTGCAAGAACACATGCAATTTTCTTCAAGAAAGAAAAGAGATGGGAAAAAAAAAGGAGTCCACTACTCCGCGTCCGCCTCATACGGCTTATCAACTCCCTCCTCCACCTCTTCCTCCACTACCCAAGCCGGTTGCTTCTTGGTTACCTTCTCTCGGGGCGGTTTGTAATCGACCATGAGGTCGTTGCCCAAGACAGTGTAGAAGGATGGGTAAGCACCCATGAAGTCACCGCAAAAGTAAAATCCAGGAGGGCTCGAGCTCACATAGAAGATCTTTGTGAGGACCTTCTGGCCAGGGTAGAAAAATGGGAGGAGACTGATTTCAACTGGCAGATTCATAGACCTGTGAAAAGGGTACTCTTTTGACTCCCATTTCTTGCGCTCAATCGGTCCCATGTCAATATCCGGCTTAGCAGGATCCATGAAGGGCTTTGCATGAACGATTCCGACGGGTTCAAACAATTTGGCTAGCGGTCCACCTTGGTAATTGGTGTAAAACAACTTAGTCTCTGGGCTTGGGAACTTGACACTGATTACTTCGAACCCATCAATGTCCGGGATAGGCTGGACAGGGCAGATGCCCGACGACCAAGGTGATTCGATGTTATAAAGGCTACTGTCCCCAGTTGTAACAGTAATCGCCAGTTTGAAAGTAAGACCAATTATGGTCTTCTTCTCTTTCTGCTCTTCTGTATCATTTTCTGTGTTGGCTTTGCTGAATATATCGTCGGGGCCCAAGATTTCTGCGCATGCTAGGTTGAATCTACCTGGCCCCTTGCGTACAAGCTGCATGTTCTTCCACAGTTGCTGCTCAGCTTCATCACACGTCTTACGTGCCCTTTCAAGGCTAGCCTTGTGCTCAGGGCAAACGTTGTGATAGAGCAGGTAATTGTAGAAGTTTTTGATCGTAACCGTCGCAAGCTTGATCGTCTCCAAATTCTCCGGGCGAAACTTCTGCAGAAAGAAAGAGCTACTGTAAAGGCAGTTAAGTTTTGTGAGGTTTCTCGTTTCTCAAAATATCCACTTACAAGTAGCCTTTGAGGGCCAGATCAAAGTCCACGTCGAGATTTCCGCGACTCAGTTCAATCATTGTCTGGCTGCGAGCTCTGGCTGCATCCTCATCCTTCATCTCACGCAGCTCACGTGTTCCGATGCCAGTTCCGTAGTTCTGGCTGACTGTGATGCCGCCGTACTGCAGATACTTCATGAAGATGTTGCGTCGGACCGGGTCAAATCGTCGCTTCATCTGGAATCGAATCAGGGCATCATCAAGTCGGCTAAGTAGAGCGTCAGTACATACAGGGAGATTGAAGACCTGGAGTCTGATATCTACTCGATAAATGGGGCGCCGCTGGGAGGGTTGTCAGTAAATCCATGTCAAAAGATAAAGGGAGAATGTTTAACTTGACATACGGGTCATAGATGCGACTTTCATATTCAGCCTCCTCCACAGTAATTGGAGCATCAGTTGCCCAGTCCTCGAACCCAGTGGGCTTGTCCTGTAAGAAAGAATCATCAATAAGAGACTAGTATGGAGGTGAATTTTGGTATCTACTTGGGCTCGCTTGCTCCGAGATTTCTTCTTCTTTTGTTCAACCTTAGCACAGGGATGCTTCACGCTAGGCAGTTTGGGGAATCTCAAAGACGCATCTTCGTCATCAGAATCTACAGCCAAAGCCGAAGCAAGCGTGAAACACGTATTAGAACACGTCTTTGGTGCGATCCGGGATTTTGGCACTGCCTTCTTTTTCAATGGCTTCTTTTCCTTGACCTTTGGAATGAAGGATTCATCCTCACAATATGCTTGTTTGTGAAGGGAGATCTTGCCTTTGGGGTTAATATCAGATTGCATTTTGGAAGTTGTGATCTTTAGGAGAGGGCTTTCATCATTGATGGCATTTTTCATGATTGCAGGGTGCTTTGAAGCTTCTTTGGGAGGGTGGTTGTGGCTATCTTCCATGATGGGCAGAAGTGCGAGTGGAAGTTTGTGAAGGAGGATGAAGAAAGGAAGAAAGGGAGAGAAAGAAAGTTGAAATAAATAGGAATCAGAACCAAACAGTCTGAGACCTCAGGCATTCAATTGCGAAGTGAGTTGCACAGTTACAAGTGAGAGAATTGAACAATGGGAATACCTAGTAAGAATAAAGCAACAACATACAAATCAAAGTACACTTCTTTTTTTTGCTTTCTGTTTAAAATTTTGATTTAAATTACATTATATTGTACAAAATAAAAGCACATAATAAAAAATAGGAGCTAGAAATTAAATAAATAAATAAAAAAGAGTTCATTGACTTGAAGTTGAGTTGTTCTGATATTCTCCAGGGCTTTCTTTTTAGGCCATATGTTTGGTCCACATATCCATATCATGTCAGATCTTGCCGCCTCACCGTTTCACGTCAATGCATACCGAGGTTGAGCCTTTCGGTTTATGCTAATGCTGACGACAAGTACTGAGTACTCTAGGTCTTACGACTTGTCCATTTATTTTTCTATATAAGCTCCGTTTCACCCCGTTGATTTCATTATGCAATGACTAAACCCCACAAACGCGCGCACTCCACGAATTTCCAACCATGCCCTCTCCAAAAACAGACCAAAGGACACAAGTAGACAGTGATGGTCTGGTACCTTTTGACCATGTTGCTGCGGGGCAGTAAGTCTTCTTCCTAATCCTATCCACGCGACCCAACCTAACCTACCTGAGCTATGGTGTCGTGCGGGCGGGGATCCCCCGCCCCCTAGCAACGTCTAGCTTGGAGATTCAAGCTTCTAGATTGACTTTGGGCCTTTTGCACCCTTTACTGACAAGCTGCTTCTTTCTAGTGATGGTGTTCGCTGTACACTCTCCGGGGCCCTAATCGCAAAGCCCTGTACAAAACAAGAAGTAGATTTCTACGAATCTAGTGCCCTCCACCCAGCCTTTCAAGAGTTCATACCCCTTTTCATCGGATGTCTATCTTCGGCTGATCAGCAACAGCCAGCGGCTGTTGCTGCAGCTCAAGAATCTGGGGCTTTGTTCCTCCCAACCCCTTCAGATGCTCCGACAGCTCCCGCACGTGCTATCGCTGCCGAATCCGTATCACAACCCACACCGCGAGATATGGGACCGAGTAAAGGGCTCGAAAAGCCCTGGGTGCCCTCGGGAGGTAAAAAGCTGGAAACAGGCTTGTCAATTGTGCTAGAGAATGTGGCTTGTGGGTTCCGACGGCCCAATGTGCTGGACGTGAAGCTTGGAGCGCGTCTTTGGGCCGACGACGCACCGCCTGCGAAGCGCAATAAACTTGACATTGTATCCAAAGAGACGACCAGCTCAACATTGGGATATCGCATTGCAGGTATGAAGGTGTGGATGGGTGAAAATGGTGAGACTGAAGGCGGGCGGACCGCACCTATATACGAAGGGTCTGAATGTGTGAAAGGGAAGATCATTGAAAAGGATGGCTATCACCGTTATGACAAGTGGTATGGGCGTTCCTTCAACGATCGCAACGTGAAGCATGGCTTCGAGACCTTTCTTGCTGGTGCCAAGGCAGGGAAGATGGATCGCTCAAAATTAGTCGCGCAACGGCTTGTTGAGGAATTACGGAATGTACAACAAGTGCTTGAATCTGAGGAGAGTCGTATGTATTCGTCGAGTGTGCTGGTGATCTATGAGGGAGATCCAGAAGCAATGGAGTATGCTCTGGAAGAGGAGAAGAAAGTCCCCGAGTCAAAAGATGACGAGGAAGAGGATGATAATGAAGAGGTCAATTTTGAATTCACCGAAGAACCCATGGAGCTTCTTGATTTTCCTTTCGCAGATGGGATGCCCCAGCAAGCCATCAATATCACCGTTGACCCCTCAACGGTGAAGATACCATTTCTGGACAACGAAGAGGACGAAGAAGAGACACCCAAAGTTCATGACCTGAGAATTATAGACTTCGCACATGCTAAATGGACTCCTGGCGAAGGTCCAGATGAGAACATGTTGCAGGGGATTCGCAGCTTGATCAATATGTTTGAAGAACTTGCTGAGTGAGGATTTATATATAAATATATGTATATGTATACATATATGCAGACGACCTCGGGTCTTCGAGTGGTTGCGGGCGACTACTTGGGGTCTTTCAAGTACAAGACACTTCATAGCGATTTAGTTGAGCGTCAATTTTTTTGGTCTAAATTTTATATCCACTTGGAAACTTATTGTCTAGGCGGCTCAAGCTTGAGGTATGTTTTTAGAGCTATCATCAAGTTATTCCACATGTGGAACCTTGGAAGGAACCTTGAATAGATAAGTAGGTAATACTACTAGTTGACCTATTAGCACTTACCTCATACTGGTATCATACTAGTGGGAGATCAAAGTTGCACAGGTGATTCCGATTTTAAAAGACTCTACTTAAGGTATATTCCAAATGATGGTATTTGTTGGAATATGGAACAAAGCGGTCATGTGATCAAATTGTTACTTTATAATAGATAGCAAACTAAGAATGAAAACCAGACTTTACAACCACTTCAAGAGGACACAAAGATATCATAGGGGCGTAAAGCGTTACCTGTGATAGGTGTCAGAAGTGGGCGTTAGCCTCATCACCTTTATCGAATAGCTATTCCACACTTGGTACAGGTGTACCGACAGTATTCTAAGATATCAGTCACCAACATGACCCATATATTTCAAGATTGGTTGAATATTGAACTTCAAACGGGGCCAGCAGCTTCAATTGTCATATAGAAGAAGTCAGTTTTAGTAAATTCCAAAAGTTCTAAGCCATGGAAACCATATTTTCAATATAATTATTCGAATATTGGAAATGTGATGATATACGATGATCCGCGATCCGCTGACATAATCCAGCGAGTCTTTTCCAACTTCGGATCATCGAACTTTTGGTCTTGTTGCACGCCATCATGTTTCCCACACGCGCGCTATTAGGCCGATCGGTCTGGAAAGGTAAGAATGAATTCAGTTTCATCAATTCAATCCGTCCAAGAAGAAACCCGCTAACCCAATTATCCAGGCCCGAACATTGTCCCGTATGTCCAACCACCAATGCATAAATACCTACATTCAACCATTCAAGAGAACCAGGATATGGCAGAAATGATAGCAGCACTAATCTCCCATGGTTTCTAGTCTTCCTCTACCTCGTGTCTTCCCCCTCCGCCAAATACACCCCCAATCCGCACCCAGAAGCGCGCTGCAACTATCCTGCCCAATTTCGTTGGCTTGCGCTTTGCTGTCCACAATGGAAAGACATACCAGGAGATTCAAATAACTGAGGAGATGGTCGGTAGAAAACTCGGAGAATACGTTGCGTATGTTCTATCCGCTATAGCAACCTCATTTCGAGGCCGCGCAAATGTGCCAGCTTGTGCTTGGATATAAAGTCAACTAACAAATTTGGCTTCTGGTAGGACCCGCAAGCGTTTCACATACAAGCAATCTAAGAACAAATAATCAAATCGCTCTGGTGCAAACCTACCCCGGTGGAAGTGTATACTATAATACCTCTTTGAACTCCCGCGGACACCGTCGACCTTTTCTTGTTTCGCGAACCCTTCAATTCGTCTTCCAGACCTGTGGATTTAATTCCAAGGAGCCTTGCGCGAATACCCTACCAGAGTACTGGAGTTGGAGAACACGGCAAGAATGCCATTCTTTCTCTTCTCCTCGAAGTGAGGCATTTCTCTTTGATTTGGCCTTTGTTGCCATGTACAGATATATCAATAGTTCCCTTATGTGACATTAGCTACGTGTGGGATGGAGTTAACCATGGAAATTGTTCAAAATCAACATCATTCATGAGTCTCATAGTAGATGCTGCAACTCCATTGCGTCAATTTTAAATTGCAACCCAGAGTAAGGAAATAAAAATAGAAACTCCAATTTCTGGGACCGTCCCAGCCAGTTGATATGGATGCCCAGGGCCGAAAACATAATACCCGACCCCATCTTGATTAAGCTTGTACGCCAGCGCCAGAGAAGCATTAGAAAAGAAAAGAGAAGAGAAGAGAAGCAAGGCACGGCAAGATGACGGAACTGCCTTCACCCAGACACTAACGATAGAATTCACCGCGCTTGACGGTGACTCCATACTCGGATACCGCCATGCCGAGATCCTCCATCGTCAATACGGTCCGGCCCTGTCCAGTACCGCCAGAACCACCACCACCAAAGCCAGGTCGCTGGATGCCAAGGTGTGTGTTGCCCTTGCCGCCCTTGCTATCACCACCGGTTACACCACCAGGTGCAGCGGTGCCCGCGGGTACGCCCAACCCAGATGCGGCATTCAGACTGCCCATGGGATTACTGGCCGAGGAGCTGTTAGATGCGCGGATGCGAGCATATTGATATGAGTCGGCAGCGATATCAGAAATGAATTTTTGCGTCGCTAGCGCAAGGAGTCGTGCTAAGTGAGGTGGGGTTTGGTTTGGGCCTGTGCCTAGGGGAGGGAGACCGGCAAGGGTGAGGTAGTGTGCTGTGACAGCATCGGGAATCTAGAGAAATGTCAATTTAGCAAGATTGGCCCTTTTGCTATAGAATAAAATGGTGCCTTTCGCTCTCTCTTTTCATCTGGTTGCGGGGTGATTTGTAGCGCATTCCGCGCTCTGAGTTTGATATCGGATCCAGCATCAGATATATGCCCAACCCGACGCAACGAAAAAGAGGCGAAAAATGAAATGAGAGAAATGAGCACATACGATTGGTGCGTATTCATCCATCTTTCCCAGAAATTCACGCAAGCTTGTTTCCTTCTTAGATGGTGGCGGTGCTGCAGTGATAGGCTCGAGAGTGGCATCCTCTTCCGGACCAGCGCCGGTGGCGGCTTCGTCGATGTTCATATCGATATCTCCTTCGTCTGAACCGTCGATGCCAGGTTCAGCTTTTATGGCAGAGTCTGTGGGTTCTTGAGACGTAGAGGTTGGAGGAATAGAGGGCTCCTGTAAACCGCTGGTGAGGTGAGGTTGTTGTTGAGAGTCAGCCATGTTGGTAGATAAATGGCTTCCGGTTGAAACTCAAACTCTCTGAAACTGAACTGCAGGGATTGCGAGACCAATCAATTCTTGGTTGCACTTGGAGTTGGAGATTCGTTGCTTCGCGGAGAAGGGCCAGTCAGACGCGGGCGGAGTGCACGGACCATAAATTATATAGAAGTCAGCATATGAACTGTACTGACTAGCTACTGATGATGGTAATGATAAATTTCACTAGGAACTTCCATTTGATTCTGCGACTAGCTTTTCTTGATCTTACAGTTGAGATAAAACTTTACCTCATGAATCTGTCTCCATACAATGGAATGCCGCTTTAACTCCAGAAAACCAAGACGAATAATCATACAAACACCATTTTTGACTTCACTAAGCCCGCTACAATCGAGAATTAGAAATCAGACGGAATTTTTGATGCGGATTCATAGCCAGATTGGGTCTACTGCTGCATTTGCATGTGCTGATCGAGATGATCTTGGGTGGGCGCAGGATTATGCTGGGAGTAGTGGTTTCCATGAACCTCCTGACTGAGGGTTTGCATCAGCTTTTGGTCAGCAGTTTGATCCAAAGCAGCTTGACTATTAGGATCTGGAGGAAGACCGGGTGATGCAGACATCTCGTGACTGCCAACAGGCGGAGCATGTGCTCCGGCAAGGGCCATCATGCCCTTGATACCCTCAACATGGGCCTTGTCCTCCTCTCCCTGCTTCTTCTGACGCTCACGTGCCTCACGCTTGGCAGCCTGAGCTGGAGCACGAGTCTTCAATTCACCAGTGACAAACTGGAGGTAATATGGGACCTCAATCCCGCTCTTCAAGAAGAAAAGTTTCAGGTTTCTGGCCTTATCTTTGAGTTGCACCTGGTTGCGGTCCTTAAGGGCTTCACTAATACTTCCACCGGGCCCAAACATAATTAAGATCTGACTCCAGTGAGGGCCCTTCACCCGGTCCAGACCAGCCATGAGAGCATTTTCTTCCTCTGTAGTCCAAGGGCGACGTTGGCTCGGCAAGCCAGACTTGCGACTTGCTGGAGACGAGGATTTAATAGACGCGGCTTGACGGGCTTGCTCGTAGAGGACCTGGGTGGGCTGTGATTGAGAGATATGAGGAATGCCCGGCATGTATAACGGGTTTGCAGGAACATTATTCCGACCATGGATGGTCTGTCCGGGATTGGGAGGGGTGTAGTGATGATACTCTTGGTTTCCATTGCCGAGAGCGGAATTGGGATATTGTGGTTGGACCACGGAGGCGAAGCCGCCTACATAGGCAGAGTCCGCTTGTGGCTGTTGAACTTGCTGCTGCGCGGGCTGCTGATTCTGCTGAGGATGAGGTGTGCTGGCCTGGGAAACTGACCGCTGCTGGTGTTGATGCTGCATCTGGGATTGCTCTTGGGAGCGACGCAAGCTGACACCCTGCAAAGCGATATGAGCAGCACGAGCCGCACGAGCCACAAGATCACCATGCATATTCCGATCCACCGGGACCTCTACTGGCATGTTGACGGAGAATTGGCCTTGGTGAGTGGTAGTTGGGGACTCCTGTGTAGCGGATTCTTCAGAAATTGACTGTTGCCGACCCTTGACAGTTTTCTTTCCCTATTTAGTGTAAGCAAGAAAACAAGATGAGACGATTGGAGCTTGTAGCTTACAGGCTGAGTGTTGATAGTGTCAAAGTTCTTCGAAATGTATTGGGCAAGGTCTCGAAGGAAGTCCTCCCAGTGGTACTTGTCTGGTAAAGATTTCATTGCCTCTGGGTTGTCTACTTCATGGAGGAGGTGCTCCCGGCGCGAAGTAAGGCGCTGAACAAAATCTGTTTCACTTGGTGCCAGCTGGCGGGAGCCTGGTCGTCGTGCCAGCAGTAGCTCCTCCATGTCCTCTGGGAAGAGCTTGTACAGCAGCTGGGTGCGGGTGCAAGACTTTGAGTTCATGCCGGAAATAAAGACTTGGGTCTTCAGCTCTAGGTACAGCGCAGCTTGACCCTTTAATAAACGGCCACCTTCAGGAACAAAAACATCCAGAAAGTACTCGTTCAATTCAGAAAATCCAATTTCCTGAGACCCAAAAAGGCTTGATACAAACGAAGCCAGATTAGCCTTGCGGAAGATATCAAGTTGCGACTGGTCGGTAAACTCCAAGTGTTTAGGCTTAAGAAAAGAGCCATCGATTATGTAAACGCGCTTAGTATGGTCAAAGAGTGAGCGCATTACGGCATAAGCCTGTCCATTCTCATTTCCTGGCTCAGTGATCATGGTTGTGAGATCCGAGTAGCTGTTCTTCGAGAGAAATGAGAGAATTTGGGTTGCCAGGTTGTCAAGAATTGGGAGACTTTGAATCTTCAGATGAGTACTGGCTTTGAGGAAAAGATGTCCCGTAGAACCGGGGAAATCACCCTCAGCGGGTATTGTCTGAGGACCCATTGCGACTGTCTCTTCACTTCTTTCAGTAAAGTCCATGATGTTGGAAATCATGGATCTCACATCGGGGCTGTTTGGACTTTCGAACGTTGAGTTAGGAGTTGCGATATTTTCAGTGCCGATGCGCGGGGTTTTGATGGGCGCCATGGAATCAAGAACACTGTCACTGAAAGCAGTGTCTAAATCCCCTTCAACTTTATGAACTGGACTGTGTTGGACGGTCGCAGGGAGTGAATGAACGACGTTGGAGGTGGAGAGGGGAAGTGAAAGTTCAATGCTAGCTTCAACGGCTGACACCGAACCGGTGCGTCGTCTTTTGGTAGGAGGTGAGTCGTGCTCCTCCTCTGGAAGAGGGCGACTGAGGATCTTGCCTAATCACCAGAAGAGAAAAAAAATAAGTAAGTAATGTATCTAGGATTGATTCTGGTGACGAGGGAAAGAAAAGATTGTTGAGGATAACGAGACAAGGGGAGTGAAAGTTGGTTGGGGGATTAGAAAGTGAAGTGAAGGAACTTACCCAAGTCTTCATCTTCATTAAAAGAGGGCAGTTCAGTTGATCCATTGTATGGTAGTTGAGAGTCTCGTGCCTCAGCCATGAGGGCGGTAGGGCGGTAGGATCAGGCAGTGAACTTCCTAGAGCAGAAATAAGGGCTTAGGGATAGGGCGCATTTGTAGGGCTCAGGGAGGAGAATGGAGTTTTCTGCCAGAGAACGATAATTGGTGGATGGTCACACCGCTCTCAATACCGCTTTGGTGGAGTAAAGAAGGCATGAAAATTAGAAATAACATTGTGATTGATCTTGGAAGCTTGCATGCTTAGTCGTCTAGAACGTTCAGTATCCACATTCTTAGTCGTTGTCGGTCGTCGTTGGTCGTCGAGATAGACTATTAGAATACATATATGTCTAATATGCCCGGTTTCTCAGGCCTCTATTTTCAACCTCCACTCATACCTCAACCTCCATTTTTACCTCAATCAGTGTATTATCAAGCTCTGGAATTGCGCAATTAGTATTGAGCATATATTATTTATCTGACGACTAAAATTCCAACGGGCAATTGCTGGAGACTTGGCTAATATAGTGCGCGTCATCGACTGGTGTAACCCTCGAACCAATTGAGTAGCATCATCTGAAAAAGGATGATTTGATGAAACTCTGACCACACTGATTGGAATGACAATTGAAAGATTGTTAAATTTCGTCTAATTATGTAGGTACTATCTAAGATATCAGAAGGGGATGAGCCGCCAGGGCTTCCATTCATACTGCGAATACCGAGGTGTTGAATCGTCTTCGACAATATCCTATACTTATCTGGATATGTAATTCACTATTGCATGAGTTGTTGCTGAAAGCGGAAGTTCTTTGGGCTATTACATGACATAATTGAGTCCATATAGGTCAAATGGTACGGTATAATAGACCTGGAAGCAGATAGCCCATGGATCCTACCCTATCACTCTCGATACAGGTTGACTTGCCTTTAAATCAAGCATATCCCCTCGTGTATAATCAATATAAATGCTTCTCGCTTCTATGTATCTTATGCTTTAAGAAACATGCTGACCAGCCGCCATTTCAACATACTGTTACTCCAGGGATTTGCACTTGTTGCTGCCCAGGACTACTCAGTGAGAGTTTGGAGTGTCTTTGCGTACACTCTATACGGAGATAGTACGCCCAGTGCTTTGGCCGAAAAGCAACCAATGGGTCTGTCGGAATATGGTGCAAGCCAGCTGGCCAACGTGGGATCGAGTTTCCGTGATCGCTATGTTTCCTCAGCAGGAAGCAGCAATGCCACCGCGACGACTATTCAATACATTGCACCAACCATCTTGGATTCAAAAGATGTGGATGTATTGACAACCACCGACCAATGGGTCATCGCATCCGCCCAGGCGTTTATGCTGGGTCTGTATCCACCCCTGGGCCAACTGAACATGAATTCCACCGAGTCAATAGCCGATGGGATTGATTATACTGCCCCATTAGATGGCTACCAGTTCCCTTCGATTGTTACCTTGGGAGATGGAGACCCCTCTTCTGTCCTAGTTGCTGGACAAGCTAAATGTGATATGTATCAAGCCGCAACATCAGAGTATCAGAATAGCGAAGATGCAGGACGAATTATATCGAAGACCAAGGCATTCTACACGCGACTCTGGAATCAAGACCTGTTGGGAGCCTTCGACGACGAATCATCAGCCACTTACTCGAATGCTGTTGCCATTGCTGACTATCTGGAGTACGAAGTCTTGCATAATAGCACCGCGCAGCAGCTTATCAGTGATGATGAGTTGAAACAAGCGCGGTGGCTGGCAGGACTCTATACATACTCAACAAACAGACAAAGTGACTCTTCGAGCGAATCAACTATTGGTGAAATCTTCCCCATAGGAGGTCAAACATTAGCCACAGCCATTCTGGAGGCGTTCAGTATGAATATTGAGAGCTTTGGTACCCAAAAGAAGATGACACTATTGTTTGGTGACGATGAACCCGCTGTGGCTCTAGCCTCCTTGATGGGCTTGGCCTCGAAGCAACAGTCTAATTTCTTTTCTCGTCCAGTCAGAGGAGCTTCGTTGATCTTTGAACTTTACAGTTTTGAGTATGATGATGATGAACTTGTGGCATCCTACCCTGAAAGCAGCAATTTGTACGTGAGATTTTTCTTACACAACGGAACGGATTCTTCCACGGAGTTTTCGTCTTACTCCTTTTTTGGCTACGGACCAAGCCACACAGGAGTTCCTTACAGCGAGTTCCAGACCGATATAGAGACTTTTGCAGTTCAATCAACCGAGGAATGGTGTCTGATGTGCAACTCGGACTCCATCTTCTGCAAAGGATCTCTAGGTGATGACGGATCCACATCCAAGAAAAGAAAAGGAATGACACCAGCTGTCGCTGGCGTTATTGGGGCCATCGTTGCATTGGCTTTTATTGGAGTGTTAACGATTGTTGGTCTTTGTCTATGTCGTCGGTATAAGGGAGGAGAAATTAAGTCAAGCAAGCCAAGTGCTGGAGGGTTTAAGGGACCTACAAAGCTTGGAAGTGATACAGATGTGTCATTCAGAAACCCTATCTGGGAGGCGAATAAAACCGCCGACATGGAGCAGGATGATGGCATATCCTCGAGTGGGATCGTTGCCCGCGGACATGAGCGCCTAGGTAGTTGGGAGATGGGACAGCAAAGGAAGGAGAACACCCTCGCTGGGGATAGTCATCGTCAGATATCGTCGGCGTTGGATGAGCCTGAGGAAGAGTGTTGGATTAATTCAGGCCTCAAACCTGCAAAAGTTCGAGAGAGTGTGTAATATGATTGAAATGTATAGATTCACTCAGCTCATGATTCATAATTATCTCGAGATCGCTTTATACTGATCAAGGGAGACACTATATCAATTACCCTCGGACTCGGACTCATACTCAAAACAATGTCAGTCAATTGTTTGAATACAATGATGTTCTGCTATCACTCCGAATATTTAAAAACAAAGCGAATTGTGCCACTGTCTCGCCGCTTTCAAACAATCTAATCGTATTGTTGTGATGCTCCCTATCTCTCCTTCCTTCCTCACCCGGCATTGCACTTTCCTTACCAAGGCAAAGTTATCGACGACAAATTTATTTCCTTTTTCCAGTTTCAATCAGGTATGTCCTCTTCAATTCAATCCAAGATGAAGTACAGCATCCCAACACTACTGGCTTTTAACCAGGGCTCCAAGTGGGAGCATTGTGACTGGACTGCCAACATCGAATATTGTAAGTCACTTTACACAATCCCCAATCCCTCAACACTAAATGCCTGAGCTTGCAAGCTTCAAGTCCGGTGTTGTGAACATATGTGTTTAGACTTATGTCATGTTTGACATATGGTCAGGGCTGATGCATAACAAACTGCATGGAGTATCGCAAAGCCCCCAAGAGAATTTCATGCTGATAATTCCTAAAGGCAAGCGACAAGGTTCCTCTTCACAGAGGAAGCCAGGTCTTTCCGAGAAGACTGCAAACAGTTCTACCAAGAAATCAGCTCCATCTTCCTCGTCCTTCTACCCCCGCAAGATCACCACCAAAAAGGGTAGACCACTTTCTCATTCACAGAAATACAGCAAAGAGCGACCACGCACACCAGTTGTCACTAACGACGGCTTTGCTCAATTTTTGAGAAAGCATTCCTCACCAACACACCAGCGTGTCACGGCTGGTGGCAAGATCGTCCCTATGGTGCACAGCCAGGAGGGAGCCCCGCGTTCAGGTAGTGGGATTGCGGAATGGCCATTCACATTGGCAACCTATGCTGATGATGTGCAATCGCTTATGGACATCCATTCTGAGCAATATCGTCAACACCAAGAAGTTGTTGATGCTGCAAACATGGCTAATGATGTGCAAGATCCAAATGCCCCCATTCAAGATCATGGAAACGGGCAAATGCATTACGCAGTCTCTGGTGTGGAGCCGTCGCAAATTCCCACCTACTTCCCACATGTAGCTGCAGCCTCAACCAGACAGGAGTATGATCAGTATGTTTACCATGACGACTGCAGACTTCGTCATTTTCAATCAGAGCTAGATTCTTGGTACACTGCATTGAGACAGTCTCCTTTTTCTATGCCTCATCATGTTAATAACGTGGCGTTGATGTTCAACTGTGCGGTGAATAACTTCATAGCCGGTACCCTTAGCGTGACCGGATCCTCGGCTAGAACTATTCAGTCTCTTCAAGAAATTGAGATCAATCTGGGATTTCTGCTCTACGAAGTAGGCCGGAAAATTGCCCGAACTCTGAAGACTCACCCCCGTGATCGAGATCAGCGCATTGTGTTTTCTCTCGCACGAGGAAATATCCATCAGGCATTCGATTATTGTTTTGAGGTGGGATGGACTCCTTATCGATCCCAGCAGGTCAATGTTCCTATTCAGTATAACTCTGTCAGTCGGCTCAACACTGGCGGCGCGTTTTACCCGCGTCTCCGTCTCCTCATGGCGACGAACTTTGTTGGACAGAATATCGTTTTTGTCCCAGGCCAGCGCTTTTTGCCGATTACCCTAGATCCGACGACTGATCACCATGGCAACTTCCTCGGATGTAATACCCCCATTGGCCCTGGTCGAGGTCCCCGGCGGGTGAACAACCCCTTTGGACGCCAGAGTGCCGAAGAATGGGTGAATGAGGTCCCCTTTGCAACCATTCAGAATGATGACAGCACTTTTGGGCGCCAAAGTCGGAGCAAGACCGAGGAATGGGTTGACGATGTTGCCTTGTCAACCGGCCAAAACGATGACAACAGTTTTAAACCCCAGAGAGAGGGTCAAAATGTTGTCGAGAGTATTGTACCAGAAGATATGGCTAGCAATGCAGCTATTGCCACTATTCAGGCTAGCCCTGCTGTCAGCCCTGCCGAAAATCACAGTGAAAATGTCAGCGACGATTTGGTCTACAGGTCCAGCGTCTCTCTCCCAGAGAACTGTACCGATGAGAATAGCCTAGGCAGTGGGGACTCCGATACCAGACGACTCATGAGATGCCTGGAAGAAGTCATTGCTGATGACTCCGAGGTATCTCGGGTCAGTTTGAACAGCCGCTGCGGTGGGAACCTTATCAATGGACAATTCCTGGGAGGTCTGGATGGAACATGTGAGCTGAATGACTCCAAGGCATCTCGAGCTGGATTGAATGCCCACAGCAGCGGGAGCTCTGGCAATGGACCATCTCTGAGAGGCCTGGATAGAGAGCCAACGCAAGCTGCGCTCCCCAAGAGCGGGGTTTGTGAAGTTGGAGGACAGTCCGCTGGGCTGCGAGACCTGTAAGTTCCTAAGTATATCTGAAAAACATTGAATTTACCACTAATATTGCTATTATAGCTTGTTAGTAATTGAACCAGGTGATGGTGAAAACAACTTGGGAGAGCGGACTGTGAGCGGGCAGACCCAATCTGGAACCATGACTCGTCCCAAAAAGCAGTGTTGGTTGCGCCGGCTCTGTCGGCGTCAGGATTAAATGATAATCGGCAGCGAACAATGAACAGCGGACAACGGACAGTGGACAATGGGAAATGAGCAATGGACAATGACAAGGACAATGACAATGACAATGACAATGCACAATTGATATCGCAGGATTAAGTGATGGCCGGATCTGGCAGTTCCAGACTTAGCCTTGATGGGCATGATGTGAAAATCAATGGAGAATTTTATTTGTTAGCACGATTCATCCAATTCCAATGATTCAATTCTTCGCTTTATCGTCTATGCAATGTAGTGATAGTGTTCGTATTGCTACACCTAGCTCATAACCAGTGCTAATATGGATGCGGAGTGTTAAACAGACCTGAGTCCGACCTTCAGCCACCTTGCTCTCATTATTTCTCAACTTTTCATCTTTGGACAATGATCTGCCAACTTCAGATAGCTCTGGAGCCCTCGGGATTAAGAAGAGCACCTCAGAGCTGAGAGTAGATCTCCCCATACAGCCTTGAAGATATACCTCTTTCATAGTTAAAGCGACTGAAATACTTCATATTAGCTTACCTAGGTAACCCGTCCTGCTTGACATGGTTTCAGCCCACTGAAGAATCCAGATGCCACTTTCATAAGTATTACTAATAACTATAGAGTCTGTCCGCTATTATTATGATGTTATCATGGTGGCTGAGAGTAGAGGCTTGGCGGGCTTGGCCATATATCACATGATCTCTCATTGTTATCGTTTCATCCGTTAACCAAGTCTCGCCACTAGAACTTATTACTATCTCAGTATAGTATATGGTAATCATTAGATATATTCATCAAATTGTTCAGTATCCTTCTCTTTGTTATAGGAAGTTTTGCCATGTTTTTTATTGTATATCCTATTTTACCCGCAGAATGCTGGAACACCGTGACTAATCATAACTCCAATTCGAACTCCACTTGGTTGCCCCGTCGCAATCCACTCACCCTCTTTCGCCTCCAATCTGTCCTGATTGCCCTTTCTTTCAGTCGCACTTAGGATGCGGTCTCATTGATGAGTCCTGCTTCTGCCTCTACTGGTTTCTCATTCTTATTGTTGAGATCTCGTTTCAATCGAGTATTTACTTAATCAACAACACTCTCCCCACGGTATCCCTATCTGGACTATCCCGAGCTTTGACACCCCGCCACTACTTCTATCTTTCCCATCTTCCCAGCAACTTTTCTTTGACTGTCAATCCCCGTTGCTGTAATTGGATACCCGCTGCATTGTTCCCTTGCCGAAAGTCCACCCCGTAATGACGCAACTTTTTGCGTCCAGTCCATCGCCCATGAACGACAAACGCGGGAACTTCCCCGGTCTCTCACTTCCATCTCGAAAACACTCCAACGAGTCCGGCCACCTACAAAACAGGATCAAGAACTTTTTCCGGATCAATAGCTCGAGTAGCCACACCCCATCCCACACTAGTAGTACAGCCAGTCAGGATCGCGAACGAGAGAAGGAGAGTCAAGGGGCATTTGCCAAGACTGAGAAGGCCGCCTTCCGCCAGTCTCGATTCTTGCCAGCCATTGGTCGTAATCGTTCAACAACCGTTGCCAGTGAAGGCAATCCTCTCGATGATAACTCGCCCACAGCAACTGCCAACCCGTACTTCGCCCATCAGGGCCTGCCGGCACTACGGCATAGGAACGATGGGTCTGCGCCATCATCTCCTCCTGATACACCCGAGTTGCAGGTCACCGGGGTATCGGTTGCGGAACAGGCTACTACCACCAATAAAGAGGAGCTAGCTCGCAAGTTACGCCGTGTTGCATCGGCTCCCAATGCCCAGGGTCTATTTGCTAACGGTCAAAATGAAGACGTTCCTCCGATATCTCAGATCGGCAAAGAAGCTTTGGTTGACCATACTGCAGTTGTCGAGCCATCCAGCCTAAATAACTCAAGCATTGACAAAGGTATTTTGGCTGTCCCTACCATCGGGGCTAATGGTAGATTTGCAGACGTTGTTGATGCTCCATTCCGCCGTACTTACAGCTCAAATTCGATCAAAGTTCGAAATGTGGAGGTGGGACCTGCAAGTTTCGACAAGATCAAGTTGATTGGTAAGGGTGATGTGGGAAAGGTCTATTTGGTCCGAGAGAAAAAGTCGAGTCGACTTTTTGCCATGAAGGGTAGGTTCAATGATGATCGGCAGGAATATTTGTTCGCGGCCATTGACTAACATTTGCCTAGTCCTTAGCAAGAAGGAGATGATCAAACGCAACAAGATTAAGCGTGCTTTGGCTGAACAAGAGATCTTGGCCACAAGTAACCACCCGTTTATTGTCACCCTGTATCATTCCTTCCAGTCAGAGGATTACTTGTATCTCTGCATGGAGTACTGTAGTGGTGGAGAGTTCTTTAGAAGTGAGTATCCAATGCGGTATCAAACGGGAAGTGTTTGAATATGACGATTAACCCACCTGATAGCTCTACAAACTCGACCTGGGAAATGCATATCCGAAGATGCTGCACGATTTTATGCCGCAGAAGTCACTGCCGCTCTGGAGTACCTCCATCTAATGGGCTTTATCTATCGAGATCTCAAGCCGGAAAGTATGTTTATCCACTATATCGATGGCTTTCATCAAATTAATATAAATCATCACAGACATTCTGCTGCACCAGTCAGGTCATATCATGCTTTCAGACTTTGACCTATCCAAACAATCCGGACCCGGTGGCGCTCCCACCATGATTCCCGGCCGAAGCGGTGGTAACTCCACTACTGCTCTCCCCACCATCGACACAAAGTCGTGCATTGCTGATTTCCGTACAAACTCATTTGTGGGCACTGAGGAGTACATTGCACCCGAGGTCATTAAAGGCTGTGGCCACACCAGTGCCGTTGATTGGTGGACTCTGGGAATCTTGATCTATGAGATGCTTTATGGGACTACTCCTTTCAAAGGCAAGAATCGAAATGCTACATTTGCTAGCATTCTGCGAGATGAGCCGCAGTTCCCAGAGCATTCGGGTACGCCGCCGACTTCCAACTTGTGCAAGTCATTGATTCGCAAACTCCTGATCAAGGATGAGACCAAGCGTCTTGGTGCTCGCGCAGGTGCATCAGATGTCAAGACCCATCCATTCTTCCGAACAACCCAATGGGCGCTCATTCGTCACATGAAACCACCTATGATTCCACATCAGGGCCGTGCTGGCACTGACACCGTCAATTTCCGCAATGTCAAGGAAAGTGCCAGCGTAGATATCGGTGGCACCGATGAGTCCAGGATGAAGGGAGTACCAATGGACTCCGGTCTGGCGACCCCGAATGGCGAGTTGAACGATCCCTTTGAAGAGTTCAATAGTGTCACTCTCCACCATGAGGGAGATATGTGATTACGTTCGATACGCAAAGTGCACGCCTTGTACTTGTATTTTGATTTATTTCTTCCTCTAACAAAAAGCGGAGGGCAGCCGCCTGGGCATCGGCTCTCCGACGACCATGATGCATTGACGACTGCATTTATTCTATCTTCTTCAATGCAACTTTTTATTTCCTTTGGTTCGGGTGTACAAGGCGTTTTTTTTTGGTGAGCCTTGCTGGCTCAAATAATGCGTTCTGACTGTCTGAAATCGTGTTTTCGGTTGTTGGCCATTTCATCCAGCATTTTGCACTGTCATCATATCTCAAGGCCTCGAACTCACTTTTACACTTGACGATGCGAGACACACAACACACCCGTTGTGTCACGATATTATGGACTTCGAATGTTTTTATTTTCTGCGTGTTTGTTGAAATTGGTTGAAAGCTGCAGTACACGTTTGGTCCAATTTCTCTCCTTGCAGCGGGCGGCGTTTATGGGACTATGATCTTCGGGCTTGTGACACTACTTGAAAATTATGTTTTTTAAGTCTACTGGATATCTTGATGTTAAATGTATTTTGCTCTTATTTAACACTTTCCGCACTTCTCGGTAATAATAGTACGCGGTAAATAAATCTTGTCTTATAATCTTCCCACGTAATGCATTTTTAAAGGATGGTGATAATCGAAATATTTTGTACTATTCAAGGTAATTAGGGCGCGGCAGAGCAGAGTGGACCCTGACTTTCGCCGCCTTCAAGCCCATGGGTCCAGACATCTTCTAAACAACATTCAACCCTCAAAACACCAACAATGTCTACCTTCACCCATGACGATGACCTCAACGTAGAAGACTATTCCTACACAGAGCCCGATCCGGCTCCCACAACTCCCACGCCAGCAGAACAATCAATGAGCTCAGGCACAAACCCACTACTGGCCAATGACAACCCGCACGTCTCAGAGATCGAGCAGGAAGTGCTAGACGAATACGCGAGACTTCTCAGGAACGTGAACCAAGTGCGACATACCCCTATCCACGGCCTATTATCTATCGTGTAATACGGATCTGCTGACCTCATCTAGCTTTCTGACAAAATTGATGAGCTCGCCGGTTCTCCCGCCTCTATGACGTTGGACGGAGTGCGTCTTCTTGAGCGGAAGACTGCAACTGTTTGCACACTTCTCAAGGCTAGTGTTTATAGCATTGTTCTGCAACAGCAGATCTGGAATGAAAATGAGGAGCAGCAGCAACAGCAACAGCAAGGTGATAACGAGAGTCAGTTTGGGGATCAGGATTATACGCATGCTACGGGTGGAGGGTATGAGGATGTGACTTTCCAATAATTGTAATTGCTTTGAGTCCCTTTTCTTCGATAGAAGATGTGCGAGGCTGTTGTTGTTTATCTGCGTATACCCGGGTTATAATGGTTTTTCTTGGATGGTGTCACGGAATTGCGCAAGGCTTTTATTCGCTTTAAGCACTTAATATTGTGTACTGAGACGGATGAATGTTGAACCTTGAGAAATGTATTTCTTTTCAATGACCAACGACTACGAATACAAGTACATGCAAAACACACATGGAGAAGAGTAAAGAGAAACACATTATATACACGTCGAGGGAAACAACGTTAAACCTTGCCAGCATAGTAGACCTTGCGGACATCGACCATCTTCCGGCCACGAGCCCGGGCAACTTCTTCTGGGTCTTTCTGGCTCATGAGAGCCTCATATGCGGCCTTCACGGTGTTCATCTTGTTGCGGGAACGGTTCACCCGAGCGGCGAGGTCGTGAATGCCGGCAGCGCGACACATTTCGTAAATCAAGTACTGGACACGGAGACCGAATCCTGTTATATTGTCAGATCGGGGTGGTGTGGTTAAATGGGAGAGGAGGCATACCTGGGGGACGGTGCATCAATTGCAATTCTACGGCTCCGACCTTGCCTTTCAGATCACCAAAGGTGGTGCGGTTCTCATAGCGAGGAATTGGCTGCATGTTGCGGATGGCACGGTACTGCGATTGGATCTTCGCATCGGAAGCCTCATCGGACTTACCCTCGCCAATACCCAACAGACCTTGACCATTGCCTGCAATTGACAGACGGTAGGCACGACGAACCTTTCCAAGACGAGTTTGGTTTACAACACTGTGGGAAACAAGAGTTTTGGTGCGGAGTTCGGCGACCTGACGGTCTGTGTAGCCGGTGGCTAGGAGGAGACTCTTCAAGGCATCGGTCATCTCCTCAGCCTGCAAAGATCGTTCCTTTTCACCCTTCTCGGCAGCTGTCTTCTTTTCCTCTACGCGAGGCTCATCAATGGTCTCTCCGGGGCCGAAGAGATCAGGGAGCAGAGAGCTATGCGGGTCGAGTTCGTTCTCCTCTTTTCCGTGTGTCAATCGCAGTGACTCTCCAAACTTCACAAAATCTTCTCCGGTAGCACCCTCAGGCAGATTTGCGAAAAATCGGCCAAAGTCCTCGATGAATTCATCTTCACTCTTCAGTTTGAAATTGTAGTCCGAGTTCGACTGAGGGGCCCGCGTGTTCCGGTCGATGCCAGGCTCGATAACGGAAAAGTCGTCCAGGTACTTGAATTTACTCGGGTCATCACGCGCTCTGAACTGTTCTGCGAGATCCTTAGGGTCAATAGCGGCTTCACCTGCGCGGATGGCTTCCATCTGCGCAGCCGAGTACTGCTTTGCCAGGTGAGCTTTTTGCTCCTCCGTGTACTGCTTGAAATGCTCCGGCTTCAGTTCCGTTTCAGACTCTTCAGTGATCTGTTTCTCCGAGGATTTCAAATTGGGGAATTTGGGTTTCCGACTGGACAGCGACGCTGGGGTTGGGTGGAATTGGCGACGAGGCACTCGCGTGCCGGGGACAACAGCACGGGAGAAGCTGCAGAACAGACATCTTGCCGGCCGGGCAAGACTCATGGTGAATGAATGAAATGCTATCTGACCAGCAGGACGTGAGTCACTAGCAATCAGAATCTCAATTAAAACAGCGCAACGACAATGACAACGAAAGCCAGACTACAGCCGGGGAACGGAGGACGTTCAAGCTTCGGCAGGAAATTCTTCCTTGCGGGCGGTCAGTTCACAGCCAATCACCGATGTTATAGATACGCTTCCTAAGAAATTTCCTAGAATTTCGAGTCCTGAATTCTCCGCGCTTTCTCACCCTCATACATGTTTACGTGCCGATTTGTCTGGAGACTATCTGCTCGCTGCTCATCTTCGTGTCGTCCAATTGTAATAAGGCAACAATTACACTCCAAACATCATATCTCAGTGATCTCGCGAGTCCCCGTCGCAATGGCTCCCAAAAAGTCATTTGACGGCAAGAGGAAGAAGGCCAAGGTCGATCGCACACAGGCCAATGGCTTCGATGAAGTTTTGCAGGCCGATATTGATGCGCTACTAAAACGCAACCGTCCTGAGCAATATTCGTTCGAGGGCGACAGCGGCTCCCCTCCTCCCCCCACCCTACCAGAAACATTTACCGAGATCGATGTAACAGTGGCCGAAATTTCCTCGAAGGGTGATGGCCTTGCCCTATCCGAAAACTGCGATCATGTCTACGTGGTCCCTTTTACAGTTCCAGGCGACAAGGTGCGGGTAAAGGTTATCAAGCACTTCCAACCTCTGTCTTACAGCATGACGGACTTTATCAGTGTAATTGAGGCAGGCCCCAAGAGAAATGATGCCGGCATTGGATGCGGTTACTTTGGGAAATGCTCGGGTTGTCAATTGCAGATGCTGTCCTATGATGATCAGCTCGATCACAAACGGCGCATTGTGGAGAAGGCCTACGCCAACTTTTCTGGTCTTATTCCCGAGCTGATCCCTACTATTGGAGATACCTTCCCATCACCTTTGCAATATGGATACCGCACAAAACTCACACCGCACTTCGCCAATGGCGGCCCTCGAAGAGGCAAGAGAGAAGAGATTCCTCTGGATCAACCAGTGAAGGTCCCTGCTATTGGATTTACTTACAAGGGTCGCAGAATGGACATCGATATTGAAGACTGCCCATTAGGTACGGATATTGTTCGTCTTGGCCTCAAGAGTGAGCGAAAGCGCGTGGCTGAGAACATCCGCTCCTACAAGAAGGGCGCAACTCTGCTGATGCGCGAAACAACTACTCGGATTCCCAAGGAGAACCTAGAGGCCGAGTCTGAGAATAAGAATTCTGAGACCAAGGATTCTGAGACCAAAGAGACTGAGACCAAGGAGACTGCTAGCTCGTCAAAACCAGGCATAGACAGTGGCGATGTCATCCGAGTGGAACACGAAACCTATATTGAAGAGAAGAGGTGTATCACAGACAACAATGCTACCTCGGTGGAGTACGTAGACGACTACTATTTCAGCAACAAGGCAGGAGCCTTCTTTCAAAACAACAACTCCATCCTCTCCGGCTTCACTGAGTTCATCCGCTCTCAAGCTCTTCCCGCAGGCAATGATCAAGATCCTCGCCCTATCAAATATCTCCTGGATGCCTACTCCGGCTCCGGCCTTTTCACCATCACCCTCTCCCCGCTTTTCAAATCAAGTCTTGGTGTCGACGTTGCCGGTGACTCTATCATCTCTGCACGCGAAAACGCCCTGGCAAACAAGCTCCCCAACACTGGTTTCGCCGCTGCCGATGCCGCAGTCCTGTTCAAGGATGTTCCCTACCCTCCTGATCAGACTTTGCTTGTCATTGACCCACCTCGCAAGGGCTGCTCTGAGGACTTCCTTCAGCAGCTATTGTCTTTCAAGCCTCGTCGTGTTGTCTATGTTAGTTGTAATGTGCATACACAGGCGCGCGATGTTGCGGTTATGGTTCAGGGCGATGAGAAGAAGAATGTTCGTTACGAGATCGAGAGCATTCGTGGCTTTGATTTCTTCCCTCAAACGGGACATGTGGAGGGTGTGGCCATTCTGAATCGGGCTGAGTTCCCTCAAAAAGAAGAGACGGCATGAAATAGATGATTGGTTTTCGTGGATTCATGTTTTATATATGTGATTCTGGGTACAGTTCAGGGTAGAGGTGGGATACCTCTCTTCATTATTCGCATACTGTCTTTGGCGTCGATTTGGGACACTAATACCAACAAGAGATGAATTGAACGAGTACAAACATTTGCTTTTCCAAAGGGAAGTAGAAAGTGTCAAAACAATCCTCCCTTTTATCTACTAGTGCCATGCCGCCCGCTTTCGAAAACGTAGAATAAAATGGAAAGAAAGGATGTTAAAAAGAGCCAAAGAAATGAAAACTATGGACTATAAACAAAGCGCATCCGGCTACATCGGCTGATAAAAAGATATGACAAAAGAACCTTGGGAACCAGTCCTTAAGAGCTTCCAGGGCCACCAAGCAGAGCGAATCTCCGCACAATGCTAGGACCTATCTCATCATACTCGGCCTTGGTGTGGCAGTAGCTTCGGAACTCGGGAGTCTGACCCAGCAGGCTGCCTCCGAACCAGGGACCATGCCGCTGGCGCTTGTGTGTAACAACTGCAACATCCAGACCACCAGAGCGGGCTCCAGTACCGCTGCGAGCTTCTGATGCACGAATACGGGCATCCACGAGGTGGCGAATGTCACGTTGTAGACGCCGACCAAAGTCCTTGTACAGGGTGGAACCACCGGACAGGACAATATTCTTGTAAAGACCCCTTCGCACGTCAATGGGCGAGGACTGAATGACACCATCGACAACAGTGGGAAGTGGGGTCAAGAAGTCGGAGGAGTAAATTTCGGGATTGAAGAAGATCTCCGGGGCGAGGAAGCGCTCATATCCGACGTCGATCGACACGCTGCGGCCATTGGGCGACGTCACGGTGTGCTTCAAGAAACGGTCTGGCTCGCGATCGTAGCGAGCAAACTCCTTCACAATATCCGGGCTTACATAGCAGTATTCCTCCTTCACCTTCTCCGCCGTCTTCAAACTACTATCTGGCTCGCCGCGGTCACGAAGCAAGCTTTGCACAAAGTATGTAATGTCTCGTCCGGCGATGGGGATACTCTTAATGGAGGAACCGATGACGTATCCCTCGGCGACAGGGATAACGTGAGTAACACCATCACCTGAATCAATCACAGTTCCGGTCAGTGAGCGGTCAGTAACCTTGGAGGAGGTCCAGGAGGCGGCGAGAGCAAGCACGGCTTGCACGGCAATATAAAGACCAGCGCAGTTGAAGGACTCGAACATAATCTCGGCGGTGTTTTCACGGTTCTCGGGAGGATTGAGGGGCTAGATTTCAATGGATTTTAGCGCTACAATTCGCATTAGGGGACCCCCTGGCGGAGTAAGTGTAAATGGCGCGCTTACGGGCTCAGTGAGGAGGAAGTAGTGGTCTTCAGGCTCGACACGGAGATATTTGAAGATCGAATTTGACCAGAATCGCTCCATGTAGTCCCAGTTCTCAACCTGTCCATGACGGATGGGGTAGTTGACGCCATATCCGGGGCCGTTGCCCGCAGCTAGAGCCTCGTCGCCAATGAAGTAATCCAAATCTTCGGTACCACGCTTCCCAGAAAGGTGAGAGCTTGATCCACCAGCACCGCCCAAGAATGAAGGTTTGTTGGCGACAGGTGGCCGAGAGCCCGCGGAGCTTGCGGCGGTTCCAGCACCGGCTTTGGTCGCAATTGCTGTAGGGAAAACGAAGGAGGGGGAATCATTACCAGCAAATCCTGAAGAGATGAAAAAACCCTGGTCAGTCGGATAATTGAATTGGAATATCTTGTCCCCTGATATGTGTAGTACTTACCAAGCTTGGAGTAACCAGTTCCGCTATGATGAATGGTGTGTCAACATTGGGTCAATTTAAAGTTATCAGGCTCACTTACTTGTCCATGACAACGGCTGGTGTTTGAGACGCCATGATGAAGGGTTGGTATCAGGGCCAATCTATAAAATGTGAGGACCTAGAAGGGGGAGGGATGAAGTCAACCGTGGTGGAGCTTAGGCAGTCGAGGCGGGGGAGTAATGCTTACCTAAGATGGTGATCATGTGCCTGCAACTTTTCAATGGCAAGAACTACTCCTTTGGAATTGAAGAACATATAATCAGTTGACTACCAGTAATAATTTAGTAACCTGGAGTGTGAACTAATTGGAGTCCAACTACTAAGAGAAGGAGCAGCCAACATGAGTTGAACTATACCTCAATAGCTCATTGTAGTCTTTTTTTTCTTTCTCTCTCTCCATCTCTTTCGATCAAGCCCTAAAGCACCTCCACGCGTGTATTTCCATTCAGTTTGTTTACTTTACTCTTCATGTTCATTTCCTACGTTTACATCCTACGCTTTTTTCCAAAGTCCACTTGCTCCACTCATCTTTAATAATTCTTACTTCTTCACACACCCTCATTTGCCCCGATCTCTCATTTCCATTCCTACAAGCTACCACGGGGCAGCTTTCTGATCGAAGTATCCGATTAATCCTTGGTAAGTGATTTTTCCATCACCTTCTTCAATTTTTGAAATTCTTAGCTGGAAATCAAATCGAAATCAAATTGAAATCCACTGAAGACTACTGCCTGCCTGCTACCTATAAACCCACGAATATCTCCAACGATCCAAACATCCAAACATACTGACATATTCTATTACGAATAGATCTAATCAAGTGACTCCCACAATTATGGGGCAAATCCAACTCCAGAACAACATTTGCGCCATCTTTGTTCATGCTGGCGCAGGATTTCACAGCCGTGAAAACGAGGCTAAGCATCTGGAAGTTTGCGCGCTGTAGGTCTTTTCAACTACACACATCATCATTGAATTCTAACAGTATGTTCTGGATAGGGCTGCTGAAGCTGGAATGACTTTCTTGCGCCATGGTGGATCTGCAGTCGATGCCGTGGAAATGGCAGTCATGGTTCTTGAGGACGCCCCGATCACCAATGCTGGTTACGGCAGCAACCTGACTGATAAAGGACAAGTGGAGTGTGATGCCTCTATTGTTGATCATTTTGGTCGCAGTGGTGCTGCTGGAGCAGTGCCTAGTAGGTCTATCCCCATTGCCTCCTATGGGAGATTCTAATTTTTGTTCAGATGTCAAGAATCCCATCCAACTTGCTCGCAAGATCTATGATCATTCTTACAATGCTATGCCTATGTCACGGGTTCCCCCTAACTTTCTCGTCGGCGAAGGTGCTACCGACTTTGCATGGGACCACAAGATCATGGTCCTTCCTAATGAGTGCCTGATTGCTACCTTGTCGCATCAGCGATACCAGAACTGGTGCCATGAGGTTGCTGATTACAAACGTGATAATCCATTGACTGAGAGTGAGGCGGAGGATCTCTGGCGTCGTGGGACCCCATCTCCCAATTCTACTCGTCTCGAGCGTGCGTATCCGGGATTTCAGAAAATCCTGGACGCTGCTAGTTCGATTGAGTATGACCAGGATACATCTCAAAGTGGCTCTCTCCTTCTCACTGAGGCACTGGATGGTGAGACCAAAAAGGGAAAGGCTCGTGCTTCCAGCACCTCGCTGACCATCGAGCACGAGTCGACCCTGAACGAGTCCGCAAACCATGACCGCAAGGACGGAGAGGATCTGATCACTGATACAGTTGGTGCAATTGCCGTTGATATGTATGGCAATATCGCTGCCGGCGCCTCCTCTGGTGGCATTGGTATGAAGCATCGGGGACGAGTTGGTCCCGCAGCTCTGATCGGTGTTGGTAATCACGTTATCCCCGTCAACCCCAATGATGTTGAAAAAACCACTGTGGCTGTCGTGACTTCTGGCACTGGCGAGCACATCGCTTCGACTTTTGCGGCTAGAACCTGTGCCGACAAACTTTACCACAACCACAGCTTGAACGACGCCGGCTCCTACGTCACTGTGAATGAAGAGGAAGCAATACGCGATATGATCGTCAAGGATTTCGCTGGTCTGTGTCATAACTTCCTTGAGTGTCATTGAAGACTAACAACTCCCAGGCCACCCCGCAGTTTTGAACAGCGAAATCCCTGGGTCTATTGGCATTCTAGCTGTCAAGAAAACAGTTGATGGCATTGCTCTTTTCTTTGGCCATAACACCGACTCCTTTGTAGGCTAAACAACCCGACTTGATCACTGTAATTTACTGACTGCCATAGGCTCTTGCCTACATGTCTAACAAAGACACTACTCCTGGTTGTGTCATGTCTCGTAACGAAGGCCAGAGCCCCTGTGCTCAGGGAGGAGTTATGATTCGCCCCAAAAAGTGAGATAAAATCTATATTTACTGATTCAATTAAGGCTGATGAAATTTATTCCACTATCAGGTCTTAATCATGTGGCAAGACAAACATCATGTGCGCCTTGTCGTTCGCTACGTCTCAAAGGCTCAGTTTCCAGCGTTCTTGGTTACCAAAATTCTTTGATACCCCCGATCGTTCTTCGCTCTTTCTGGATGCCTGCTTGCAAGTTTCTTTCTTATGATTATGGTTTTGGACTGGACTGATTGAAAGCCAATCTTTTCTTCTATTACTTTGGACCCCGGACGATTGCAGGTTATTCCTCTCTCTTTTACAATATGTTTAATGGCTTTGGGCTATTTGGGTTGTGATGCTTTGGTTCTTTTTCAGTGACTCCGTTTCTCTAGTATGGTGTGTTCAAAGATGCCTTAAGCAATGGGTGATTCACTAGACTTTGATGGAATTCAAAAGTGACATACCATTCAAGTTCTTCAGAAGCCGTAGTATATTACATTAGTAGGTAGAAAGAAAATGAACTCACCAGCATGACTGATCCATCTGTTCATTAAACAGCACCAGATAATCAATATCTTCCACAAGGTTGTAAATAATACTCATTACTTCTAACATCTCACCAGGTCTAGATAGCTTTGATAAAGACTGAACCCCTAACCAGTACGACTTCATAGGAGACGAGGTCCCGAGGTATATGATGGATCCATCTACTCCGTGTATACTAACTATTCCAGGGTTGGTAAATTAAATTAGGATCAAAGCTGTAGTGGGTCAGTGGGTCCTAATATAGGGTCCATGGATGATTCTGAATACCCCATATTATCGAAAACTCGTTCTTCAAGCCGATCTCCAATTTATGCTTAATATTGTCGATCAGAGATCTCCCGAATTCTCAAAATGGATAATACCTACGTAATTTTTTGAGAAATTTACCTGTTTTAGTTATTGCTAACAAATTGAACCATTCTAGTTTTTACTTATGGCCGACAAGTGGATAGGATGTTTCAGCTTTGGTCCTATGGAGAAGAGCGATACTTGAGAGAAAGAAATAAACCCGGAAGGGATAGTGGTTACCACATTCCATGTGATTTGTTATGATATTATGCTTGTATAATTGAAACGTCGAATATCAATACTTGAAACACAGCCATGGTCTATTGGTCTGGTCCCTCTCCTTTTTGCCTCGTACTTTTATGATATTGAGCTCCTTTTCTCTCGTTCACCACACCATGGAATCACCAAAACCCAGAACCAAGAAAGATTATCGAAAGTTGAAGGAGGCTGTCTTTAACTTTCGAGATAACAAAATCTCCAAGAGCCAACTGACTGCTGTTGCTGAAAACAGCGCGCCCATTGATAATGATACTCCAACATTACCCATCTCATCCCTAAGACTTCACGAGGTAGAGCCTCTCTTCGGACTAAAATTCACCAAAGAAAATGACGAGCTTCGAAATCAACCCTCTCTAGCACTCACAGAGCCTTATGGTAAACATTTCAGCAACCCCAAAGCAACCGAGTCTTGGCTGACATAGAGAAGTAACAATGATTGATCACATTCAACGCGCTTTCTCCTCCAGCAAAACAAACAAGACTGTTATGCGCTTCACTCTGAACTACTTGCTTGTTTTCGCGTACAATTACACGACCTCTCATTCTAATCAAAAAAACCTGCAGCTCCAGGTTGAAACTCAATGGAGCTACGGCCCTGTGACCTTCGAGGGCGTGAGGTACAACATGGGTGGGAAACCTGCTTATTGTTTATGCTATGGCCAGAAAGAGGATGTAGCAGTTGGTGTGGTGATAGTCGAAGTGAAGCAAGCAGAATCTGCCTCCAGTGGACTAGCCCAAACACTAGCTTACATGGGTAAGTCCTCACCATGGTCAAGAGATGATGGACTAGTGAATCTAATGTTTGAAAGGGTGTGTGCATCAATACCGCAAGAAAGCTGGTAAAGTAGACACCACTGTGTACGGCATTGCAACGGATACTACCAACTTCATCTTTCTGAAGATTAACAATAACTCCGAGGTAAGTAAATTCATATCCTCGTGATTAATATCGCCCGCTGACTCCTAGACTAGTGGTCTCAGCACTGGGTTACTGCTCGTCTCAATGACTTTGAACAGGTTGTGGGGATACTTGTCTTCTTCTTCCGGGAGGCAAGTATGATGTCCCCCTCGCACTCCAAGCGTCCTGCACTACCTGACAAGAGTTACTCATGTGGAAGCTCTGGATTATCCCGCATTGAGATCCGCCAATGAAGAGCTCTGTCGCCCAGTACCTCCAGAAGGAGGACCCAACATGCTATTATAATGTATAATATCACTCCAAACCTGACCTACATCCTTCCTGCCTCTCTTTTAGTTCATTCTCATTATCACTCTCGCTTTCACTTTCACTTCGAAGACTTTCCTTTTCCTTTAAACGTTTTGAATTTCATTTTTCCTTCTCTTGATATCCGCTTCCTTTCCCTATGTCTATTCATATTGCTACTAACTTTTACTTCATTGTCCTTAATGTACAACCCAGTCAACAGCACTTTATAAAGCCTGGCCTGATATGTTGCTTGATCCGCTCAAGTTATTCTTTTAGGAAGTGTTCCCGATCCACCTCTAATTAGATATTGTTAGAGACTTGCCGATATACTAGGTATTTGAGCAGTCTTTGGTGATTACCTAGGCACGTTAATGTTAACGTTTAAGCTTTTTATATGTAGTATCCTCAGGCATCAACTTTTTATAGGCTGGTTTGAGCAGAAACGCATAGCTCTTCATCCATGTTCCAAGTTTTGTTACACTTCAGTAGTATATGGTAGTAGGTGGTTACCTACACATGTAGCACGACCTTAAGTGGAAGTCAAAATGAAAATGTAGTTTGTGCAGGAATCAAAATGCCACTAATCTTGGAATTAAATAGCAACCCTAGAGTATCAACCTTGGAAATGGTCTATGATTCATGCATGTACTACATGGCACGGAGTTATTCCGATCATATCTGAATATCATGCACGATAATGGATGCAATGAGCTTCTTTCGCCAGTTCTTGGTTTGGTGGGTCAAATAGCAAGTCCCTTCTTATCTGGTATCGTCTTCGGACAGATGTTACTGAAGTTGGGAATTTATAGATGCTGGATCTCCTTGGCTTGGAGAGATATGGGTCACCCTATGACACTCCGACATAATTATTAGAACATGAGAACTGGCAGGCATTTGAGAATGTAATTCCAACGATCCTGCCACCATAGGTATTTAATTTCATCCCATTCATACCTAGGTAGGTATCTAAGTAATACCTTACCGAGTGTTAATCATCAAGGACCGGGAGTCGGTGTGGAGATTGGTGTCCCAGCCGCCGAAGTCCCATTTATGCGCTTCTTCTTCTTGATCTTCTTCCTCTGGATAAGCGCAGGTTTTGCACCATATTCACCTACATCCAGCGAATTACCACAAGTTAGGCAGTCATTCCCTGGAGGTGGCTCACAGAAGATACTGAGGCAGATGGAGCAAACGTAGCCAATGTCCACGATCCGGCGGTGACAAAAGCATGCAGCTCGGAAATCCACATCCACGCGCGTGGGGAGAATCAAATGCCGGCGTGAGCGCTGGTCTGGTAGGAATGCCATCATCAAGTACTGCAACAGACCACGCGGCTCGGAAAGAGCCATGTACACGCCCTTTGTAGCATCGCAAGCCTGTTGTAGGAAGACGGCATCTCCGCTCAGCTTACACACGTCAATCGGGATGGACAGACGCTGGCAGGCGAAAATGCTGTTCATGACGGGAATGTACTGATGTGCTGAGTCGCTAGATCCACTGACCGAGACGATGAGGATTCGGCTTTGGAGCCGATCGTCGTCGTTTGAGGCAGCCCAGCGGCCCGTTGTAGGGGGTCCTGTCCCTGAGCCGCTTCCACTCCTTGTGCCGTCGGCGGCGGCGTCTTCCAGATCTGCGCCACCGTGCTCCTCCGCCCAAGCGATCGTGCGCCGGTTGATGTGGCTAAGTGCCAGGGTCAGCGCACCAGCTATCATGGTTGATGTGTTGCCGCGCACATCGTCACTACTCGTGGAGTCTAAGAGGTTCTTCAAGTTCTTGTTCACGTGCTCTTCCACAATGCGGAAGGGGCGGTATTTGTTCGTTTGGGTCTGGGTTGTTCCACTGCCGGCTCCGTTCATGACGACGTCGCCTTCGTGGTCTGCTACAGCTGCATGGGTGCTTTGTGGTGATGGGTACAGCCATCCTGCTTTCTGGGTATGAGATGCGACGACGGCAACCTCGTTCATATAATTACATGCTAGGTGGGCATTGACGAACACGAGAAGGTTTGCGACGGCGTTGGATAGAGGTAGGGAATTTTCAAGTGCGGCCCATGCGTGAGGGTTTGTGTCCAAGATGATGGTTAGAAGGGATGGGGCAAGATCTATAAGGTGGATCAATAAATGTAACGCTCTGTCAAAGAGTGACATGAACTATAGTACCTGTAGCTCCAAGCTCATAATGCTCGGAGGCATCGACTGAATTCATTGTACCGGGGCCAGAGTGGGATGGAGGTTCATGGCGATATGGCTAGGGCCGAGAGCAGAAAGTGAGAGTCTCTAGAGGATATGGCTCTTGATCGCGAGGTGAACCTCGGAATTAAAGATGAGCTTTGACGGATAAGCTAAAGGTCACGTGATGATAAGGCTATCTGATAAGCTGAGTGTACGATGATCAGGGGGCTGCAACCAAGTCAGCTTACTAAGTATAGCTCAGTCATTACACTCGCCTACACAGTTACGACAATCAAACACGTACTACTCTGCTTTTGTCAGCAGTCTTTATATGGATAAAGTACTGAGTTACAGTCAATTTCCAAAGTCAATGCCAAGAAGATTAGATGGAACCAGACTTGTTTGATGTCATATTGACAGATCATAATCCATGTTAGATCTCAACTTTATTTAAATAGTCCGAGTTAGCATACCAAGAGTACAAGAGGACGTACTCTGAGATACATCTCATTATAGTTTGTACCCGGTATCTACTATACTCATATCGTTCGACTAGTTGTACTGCGTTTAGCTCATTCCGTTGACCACAATCATTTCATAATCTTACTGTACATATTCGAATCAGGCCAAGACGCGAGTAATACCAAGTAGCAAGTTTTCCAGTAGATGACCCGAACGTGTGGGATTTATACGCTGTGGTTGGTAGTTCTTATCCGGAAACAATACACGGCAAAATGGCCATTTCTTGGCCCCCGTTGATTTCTTCCTGTATTACCTGATATCGTATTGAATATTCGGAGTAAAGTACATGGTGTTTCTCAACTCCGACGTTATAACTCACCTTTTCTTTTCATTACAAACATAAATTCCATCTTCATCCCTATCTCTATCGTTCCACCCCTCTTCTCCACCTTTCCCCCTCACTAAAAAGAGGCTCCCGCACTTCGGATTTTTTTTTTTTGGTTCCTGACCCTCAACCAACATCACCACTATTCGGATTTTCTAATTAGTGTAGCGTGCTGCTCCTCAGCATGGCTGTAATGGTTCAAGCACCAGGCCAAGAACGCGCTGTTCAACTGGCACGTGAGGCTGTCGAGCTGGTTGACGCAGGCCACCGCGAGGTATTCTATTCCGGAATGAATGAGCTTTGAGCTTTGAGCTTTTAGCTTTTAGCTTTTAGCTTTGAGATTTGGCCCAGATATCTAACTGTGATAATCGCAGGCGGCATCACGAAATCTTCGAGAAGCGCTTTCCATCGCACCCGAACACCCAGAGGTAAAGGTGGCTTTCCTTAAAATTCAACAAGAGGATGAAAATGGCCACCAGCTACTAGACCTTTGCCGCCGTTACACAAACAAGGATGAGAGTGCTGGAAAGAAAGCTGCTGCTTATCTTCGCACTGATGGCTTGAAGCCCCCAGAGAAGGTCGCCTTGGAGGTTTTGCGGCTGCTACTGGCCAAACCCGCGGACGATTTGTCCGAGGTACAGGACGACATTATATCCGAGCTGGTACGCCATAATTCCAGTGTTCGACAGTACTTTTCCAATGAGCTGCAAAACTCCGTGACGACCTTTTTCGATGACATGTATGACCGAGGCGATGGAGCCGCCATATGCCTGGACACCGTGGTGCTGGACCCTAGCGTTTGGCCCTCGGACAAGACCCGGGAACACTGCGAGAGTGAACTGTTTCAACTCTTCCTGGCTAAACTTATGGAATCTGGCCATGATTTGGATGGGCGCTCGCTGAAAGGAATCGCCAGACTGCTGGCAGTCGACGCGGCGTTGCTGAAGCACTTAGTTGATGATGAGAGTTTCGAGGTGATTGTCAAGTCCCTTGATAACCGACTGCCGCTGGAGCTACGGAGCCAGGCCACCCTGGCAATCACCAAATATTTGGAGGTGGCGAAGGAGGCCGGCGAGAAGCAGTTTGCCGCCCTGATCGCAAGCAGCCTTGCCAGCGGTCGTCTGGATAATATCATCATCGCATTTTCCGCTGTGGCTGCAATATTTCCTGTCGTGCCTACTGCAGCTGCCAATGTTTTCTTGTCAGATGATTTTATGAAGTCATTGATCCCACTGGTATCTCGAGACGCCAGGCGCAAGAAGGTGGAGGTCGCTATTCTGGAGCTGTTCAATGCCGCGTGTATTAATCGTCCATGCCGGGAGGTGATCACCAAGAATTTCTCGGAATGGCTTTCTCACACCCTGACTAATGGCAGTGACGAAGGCTCAGAGCTGGCTGCGGTCGTTTTGGCAAAAGTTCGAGCCTCGGAGACCAAAACGTCGGCCGATAATGATAGAGTAGAGGAGGAGGACGGAGTCTTTCAATTGGTGGAAAGATTCAAGGGACTGATGTCTGAGACCAAGACTGAAAATATTGCTCACGCTATCGAGGGTTTGGCTTATTCGTCCGTGAAGCCCTCTGTCAAAGAGCAACTGACCGAGGATCTTTCCTTTCTGCGTGATTTGATCTCGGCGTTGAAGAAGCGTACTGTCGATTCTTCGGTGCTTTATGGTGGCTTGATGATCATCATAAATCTTACTCAATTCCTCCCCAACTTGTCTGAAGAGCAGAAAAAGATGTCGCAACTGAAAAACTATGCGGATGCCTCCGCTGGTAAGGCTCGAGCCCCGCCCGACCCTCGTGAAGAGGACGAGTCAGTTCTTGCCCGCTGTGATGCGTTAATTGATGCTGGTGTCATGGCCCTCTTAACTGAATGTGGCCGACTTGCCACGCCTGCCGTCCACGATCTCATAGCCAAAATTCTAGTGGCGCTGACCCGAAGACAGAAGTCTCGAGGCGTTCTGGCACAGCAAGGCGCGATCAAGCTTCTTCTTGTGCTATCTGTTCCGAAACGAGAGAATAATCAGGCCACAGAGACTACATATAATGCATCGCACGCTCTAGCTCGGATCCTGATCTCTGTTGATCCTTCGCATGTGTTCTCACACTCTGGATTTCCCCAAGTGACTTCCGCCGTGCGTCCTCTTTTGTCTCTCCTCACGCCTTCCGAGACGACTCCTTCTTTCTCAGCTGATCAATCTCGTGACCTGCTCCCCGTGTTCGAGAGCCTGCTTGCTCTGACCAATCTCGCTTCAGTGGGAGACGATCCTGCCAATCTCATTGTTCGAGAAGGCTGGTCCGCCGTGGAGGAACTGCTTCTGTCCAGCAACACTCGAGTGCAAAGAGCTGCATGTGAACTCATCTGCAACCTCGTAGCTTGTGAATCGGGCTATGCGAAATTTGTGGATGGCTCCAAGCGCGCTTCTCAGCGCGTCCACATACTTCTGGCTTTTACCGACGCCGAAGACGCCCCGACTCGAAGTGCCGCTGGCGGAGCTCTTGCAATGCTAACCGAATTCCACCCCGCCGTTGCATCGATCCTGGAACACCCTCGTGCAGCGAATCTGCTTCTGCGTCTATGCCAAGAGGACAATGAGGCTCTTGCGTGGCGCGGAGCTGTTTGTGTGCGCAACCTGACTTCGCTACCTAGTATGGCATCTGGTAACATTGACATCCGCGCTAGGGAAGCCGTCCGAGCTGCAGGTGGTGTCGACGTCTTGGTTGCGTGTCTCAAGAAAACCTCAAACACGGAAGTGCACAAGGCGTGTGTGGAGGCATTGAATTCACTGCTCAAATCCCAAACCCGCGACGCTTGACTTCACCATACCATTATAAGCGGCGCAGATGACATTTCTTTTTCCATAACTCTTCTCTATTTTGTCTTATTCAATACCTTTTTGGTGAGTCTTTGCAGAGTACTGCTGCCACCATTTGCATGAAACCTTGGGGAGGTAACCTGATGTTGGACGTGGGAGGAGTTCTACCATTTCCCTCTTTTCTTGTTTTGGTATCGGGATATTATCTTTCTATATCCCCTATTAGCACGTCCATTTAGCGGTATGTTGCACTTTTTATTTTTTTCTTATGGGCCAATCATGGGGCGTTAGCTTTGCACTCGTTGCAGGATTTCGGCATTTGGGCTTTCTTTTTTTTTTTTTGCTGCAGAAATAGAAATCCTTCTTCTTGAAGGGCAGTATCAGTTGAATATTAAGTAGATATGTTGAAGACGGACTCTACCATCACGAGTTGACTGTATGGCACCATATCGAAGATCGAGTCTAGATCAGAAGTATGCAGGTCAGGCAGGAATTCATGTCCCACGTTAGGCTCTTCTTCCTTCCAACCCCATCATTTCTACTTCTCCTCTTCAACCCAGGTTGATCCATATAATTTGGCAACTCTGGCGCACGATAAGTATCATCTGATCTTACTGATAACTAACAATTTATCCGAATGCTAAATTAGCGACTCCAAATTGGGGTCGGTGGCGTTACAGGCCTGATCCATTGGTATGATACATTCTCAAAGCTCTCTATTCCGATGAAACCCGCTCCAATGTCAAAGGTCAAAGGAACCGAGGCTTTCGATCTTACGCAAATATACGAATCCTGTTTACAAATGAGATGCAAAATAAATGAAAACGAACGTGAATATGGCACAAGGCACAAAAATGGGCACAAAAATGGGCATAAAAAGCTATAAGTAGAGCCCCCACTAAAACCGCGGCAAATCATTGTCGAAGAAGTACGCACGACTTCATCCCATTCGCATTATTAAGCTTCTTCAGAGCAGATCGATTGTATCACAGTCTCACCGCTTCATAGCCCCACCACTTTACGAGCCCTTAAACACCCCCTTCCTTCCCCTTCTCATGGAGTCTTGGAATATTACTCTGTGAATAGTACATGTGAACTGTCAGCTTAGACTGTCCTTTGATCTTCTCGACAAAAATTGAGGCAGAATCATCGACCATACATCATGAAGTTTGGTCGTAACTTACCCCAGTTCATGGTCCCTGAGTGGAGTACCTCCTACATCAAGTACAAATCCTTGAAGCAGCTCATCAAGGCTGCCGCTGACCAAAAGAAAGCGGGCCAAGAGGCGGATCTGGCCGGTAAGCGCGATAGATCCTTTGATATTGAAAGACTCAATCTAACCATATCTCCCGTTCCAATGTGTAGGTTTCTTCTATTCTCTTGACCGAAATGTCGAGGATGTCGACTATTTCTATAACAAGAAATATTCCGAATACGCCCGCCGTCTAAAGCTCCTCGAGGATCGCTATGGATATTCCATGGAGGGTAAACACACATTGGAGGCTGAGGAGCGCCATGACCTGCGAGAGGCTTTGCTAGACCTTCGCTATCACTTGCGCCGCTTACAATGGTACGGCGAAGTCAATCGCCGTGGTTTCGGGAAGATAACCAAGAAGCTGGACAAGAAGGTTGGATCCCGAGCGCAGAAGATATATTTGGAGACTAAGGTCGACCCCGCCCAATTCGCCTCCAATACCCACGCTATCAAGTCTCAGGAGCGTATCAATGCCTGGATGGCCATTCTCAATGAGCAGTCCAAGGGGGATGAGAAATTTGACGATGCTAGCTCGACCCACTCATCTCTTTCTCTGAAGCGTGGTAACGCGCGCCCTTATTTGAACCTGCCGAAAAGCATTCTTACTGCTGTAGATGACGCCTTGAGAAATGATGACACGCCTGTTTTGCTGGAATTGCTCGAAACTATGAAGACTACCGCGGACGAGGCCGGTGATGCAGTTTTCCCCAGAGTCGTCAAGACTCTCATACAGCGAGCCATTTTCCATGGCGCACGGGCTTGCTTGACGGCTCTGTTAAGCCGTGTGGACTCCCTGGAGGAGGACGATGACATCAACCGACGGAACTGCCTACACCGTCTGGTCATTTCAATTGGCCGTGAGCAGCCTGTCAACGATTCCGATGCTTCCGCATCCTTGGTGCTGGACTTCCCGCCAGAGACCACTCGCTATATCACACCCGCGGCACCGCCAACTCTGCAGCCACCACGTTCTGTGATCAAGGAGCAGCAAAGGCCTAAGCAACTTAGTCGTGATGATTCGGCTGTTGTTCTTTTGCAGCAACTACTAGATGAACTGCGTCCGAACCAGCGGGAAGCCCTCATGGCGAAAGATATCTCTGGCCGTACTCCGTTGCACTATGCGGCACAGTATGGATTCAAGGTAGTCTGTGATATCATCATTGAGCACTTGAAAGAATGGGGCATGTTTGATATCAGCAATGGTATTGACGGCCCCTTGTGGCAGGACAACGATGGCTGGGCACCTCTTCACCTGAGTGTGGTTGGTGGTCATCCCAAGACTACTCGGTGCCTGTTGAATGCCGAGAACCACCAGGGTTCTCTCAGTGCGAAGAAGAAGATCCGGAAGCAGGTGTCCAGGTCCAGTGCAGTTCTTGCCTTAGCTACCAAGGCCAACTTTGTGGATATCGTTCAGCTGCTCGTCGACGCTGGCGTCGACATCAATTACCAAGATGAACAAGGTGAAACTGCCTTGCATGTCGCAGCCCGTACTGGACACGACGAGTGTGCTCGAATCCTCCTAGAGGGCACCGAAGATCAAAAGGCAAACACCGAGCTTACAGAGAACACCTATGCTTGGACTCCTCTCTTCATCGCATGCGTTGACGGCAACTTGAGCGTGGCCAAGCTGTTAATTGCTGCTGGTGCCGAGGTTGGGCGTTTTGATTCTTCCGGCTGGACCGCCAAGGAGCACGCCGCACTTCGAGGTCATCTCGACATTGCCCGTTGCCTCGCCGAAGTCACCCCTAGCCCTCCGCTGATAGAGCATGAGATACCCGTCGCTGTGCCCAGTCACCATCCCTCTCCAATCTCTTCGCCTCCTCCCCAGTCCTCTCTAGCTGATCGACGGTCTGCCGCCCCCATTCCTACATCTGGTTCTAATTTTCGCAATACTGAACCTATCAAGACATTTGGACACCGGTATCTCACTGATGAGACTATGATTCTGGTCAGCCTGGGAACCATGGATATGCGCCGGCCGCTGGAGACGGTCAACCTGGACCGCATTCCCATGGAACATGCTCATGCGACACAACTGGATACTGCGCTTTCACTGGTAGTCACTGCTAGTGGTGCCCACAGCGAGCCAGAGGTCATTGATCTTCCTGTGCATGACCACATCTCGACCGAACCCATTATCTTCCACACCACCGATCTCAGCAATGTCCGCCTGCTATTTGACCTTGTCCCGACCTATGCCGGCTCCAAGGACCAGATCGTAGGCCGTGGTGTCGCACTCCTTTCCAGCATCCGGCAGAGTGTCGGTTCAAACCGCATCAACCTAAAGGGTGATTCCACCATTCCTATCGTTGCTGCCAAAACATTGGATGTGATTGGATCTGTGACGTTCAACTTCCTGGTTATCACACCCTTTAAGCATCCCAACATGTCAATCACCGGTAATCAGACATACTGGCGCTCAATGAGCTCGACCATGGTCATCGGGCATCGTGGCCTGGGAAAGAACTTGGCTACTCGCAATTCCCTTCAATTGGGTGAAAACACAATTCAGTCATTCATAGCAGCGGCCAATTTAGGCGCCTCCTATGTCGAGTTTGATGTGCAGCTTACCAAGGACCATATCCCCGTCATTTACCACGATTTCCTCGTCAGTGAGACGGGTATCGATGCCCCTGTTCACACATTGACCCTGGACCAGTTCCTGGAGCTCGGCAAAGGTCGACACAAGAAAGCCATACCTGACACTGTGGTGCACCGGGACTTTAATTCTGAACCTCGCCAGCGGTCCATGTCCGTCGGAGGATCTGGATACGACCCCACCGAAGTGACGGAAAAGATCAAGCACACTCGTGATTTCAAAACGAAGGGATTCAAAGGTAACACTCGTGGCGAGCACATACAAGCGCCCTTTGCCACGCTCGAGGAACTATTCAAGAAGATCCCCAAACCTGTTGGGTTTAACATTGAACTGAGTGAGTATCAACCGCCCCCGAAAGAACATTTATTTCGACGATCTAACCAAGATCGCCAGAGTACCCCATGCTCCATGAGAGCGAGGAAGAGGAGATGGATACCTACGCCGTCGAACTGAATTCCTTCGTCGACACCATCCTCAAATTAGTCTACGATCTCGGCACCGGCCGTGACATGTTGTTCTCCAGCTTCAATCCTGACATATGTCTTCTGTTGGCCTTCAAGCAGCCTTCTATTCCCGTTCTCTTCCTCACTGATTCCGGCGCCTCACCCGTCGGAGACATTCGTGCCAGCAGTCTCCAGGAAGCAGTCCGATTCGCATCACGATGGAATCTCCTCGGCATAGTCTCGCAGGCCGAGCCTCTAGTCCTCTGCCCACGTCTTGTACGCATTGTCAAGGAATCCGGTCTCGTCTGCGTATCCTACGGCTCTCTCAACAATGACGGAGTGAACGTCGAGGTATGTTTTCCTTCAATGCATAATCCATTCCATGTCACATTGACTGATTCCCTATGTAGTATCAAGTCGCCGAAGGCATCGACGCAGTGATCGTAGACTCTGTACTCGGCATTACTAACGGCCTCATCCAGCGTCAGAATAGGAGTGAACGCACTCCAGGTCCTTCGCCACATCCTTTCCCTATCGACAAACTTCCCGTGCTTGACAATAAAGACTCCGGTTCTTCTGTCGATGCTACTACCATTTTGTAATTTTTTGATTCATTGTCATGTTTCGGTTTTGTAAGTTCAATTTTTTCGGTGTATACTTCAGTGGTATCTGCACGAGTGTTCGTCTTTTTATGAATTTGAAGGCTCAATCTGAGTAACTCCAAATCCATCTGGATATAGACTTTCAACTTCCAAGGTTATCAACAGAAGCCATCCATTGGATGTAAATTGGCTTGTGCTAAGAATGTACCTGGGTAGTATCCGAATATCTGATAGCTGACGGGTGCTCAAACCGAAGTACTTAACACCCACTAATCACAATTATAGCGCTGTCTATGATTAACAGGGAGAAACACAGAAAAGCAGCTAGGGCAGCCTCTAAGACTATTTTCAGCTGTAGTTATTCCTTTTTTGAGTATAATAGTGGAGGCTGTATTGGCAGAAATGTGCGCCAAAACGTCCTAATACACGGAGGGCAGAAGTAACAACCCTCAAGGGAAGAATCTTTATTCGCCGAATTATGCGAGATAGCGACTAATCAATTGAAAAGAGCTCGGATCTTGGATTGAGCCGATGCAAAGCTTCTGAAGTCAGGCTAAGGTATATCTATCCGTATTGGAATCTAACTCTTTTCCAATGCTTCACGTCTACTAATGCTATTAGTATCAAGGTAAGGTCTTTCCCCAAGTCCAACAGCACGGTGACCAGTCCGAGAACCAATATCCTCATAATCCCAAGTAGCGGCGTGATACACCGATCTGTTATCCCAGATAGCTATTGCAAATGTTAGATTTGAGATCATCCATTTTACAGTAAGAGCATTCATACCAAGATCATTAGGATTCTGCCAGCGATATCGAACTTGAAGGTCGTGGTTCTCAACAATAAGGGTGATAAACCACCGGAGCAGATGCTCGCTCTCTTCGTCAGTCAACCCATTGACTTTCTGTACATGGCTACCCACGGCGAATACACTCTTCCAGCCAGTGACTGGATTTGTCCGGATCACAGGGTGTTCGGCGCGCAGATCTTCTCCAACATTCTCGGGTGCGCCACGAGGTCCAGGATGAATTTCGAAATTGTTCTTCTTGGCAATCTCGTTGAAGCCGGGCTGGGCATAAGTTGCAGTGAGAGTCTCTAGGAACTGTTGATAAGGCTTTGATAGGCGGTCATAGACTTCGTACCCTGATGCCCAAAGAGTGTCTGTATTAAATGTCAGCTGTCTGTAATTTGTAGTAACGGAAAGAAAATGACTGCGAACCTCCACCAGTTTTGGGGAGCTCAGTAAGTCGTAGTAGAGTGTAGTCACTCGGGATCGGCTCGAAAGTGATATCACTATGCCATTCTCGACGGGCGGTTTGCTTGCGCGCATTTCGGTCAACGTATAGCTTTTGACGCTGCTGTGAACTAATGACTGAAATTTCATCATCTTTCACACTATGTTCGCGGCCGGAGTTGGCGACGGGGTGAATGTGCAGCTTTGAGGTGCTCGGCTTGCCTGAAAGTTCACCGAGTCGCTGGACAAGCTCCTTTTGAAGATCGTCGTCCAAACCATCCTGCTTTCGAAAGAAGACTACACCTCTTTGCGAAACTATCGAGGTAGGGAGGTTAGTCTTGCACTTCTGGTGAACTAGCACTGAATAAGAAATGCCTACTCGTGATGGCAAGATCGCGAAGCAATTCGTCCGAGTTCGGTGCACGCAGGAAATCCCTCAAGTTTGCGTTTGGAAACTCTCTTCCAATGACTGGAGTTACGTCAAAAGATTCAAAGGCATCAAGGGCCCCAGTGAGCTTGAGAGGCTCTTGTCTTAAGCCTAGTTGAGCGAGTTTGCTTTCCACGGCTGGAATTGAGGGCGTAGTGGATTCTGTGAGTCCGGGAGCCATGGCTTGGTAATACTAATGGGTGAATCTACTCGTAGTTGACCTTATATTGACAACTTTTTTTGTCCCTGAATCGAAGTATGATTGCTGGTAGTTACCAGCTCTTTATGGGCCCATTCCATGCCTCAGATTTCAAGACCCTGGATGCGAAATTAACCCCGCTTCACAACCTTGGAAGTATACAATGTCGTAAATCTTCCACGCAATGACGAATCGAGTATCGCTTATCAACCACGTCAATTGAGCCTGAAACATGTCCCCATCAATACGATCTCATCATAAAGCCATTGAGTTGTGTTAGATCTCGCCATTAGCCCCGCGTTTAAAGGTCCCATAGTTGGTCGATAGTTCCAAAGATTGCACACGGATACCTACTGGATCAGGAGGTCTATTCCATAGCAATTCAATTACACAAATTTCCCTGTCACTATCTTTGTGATATGGACTGTCCTATCATTCCTATTTAGCAGTGAGTATTCAGAATTACTCCAGAAAAAGCACCCCGAACACGGCTCTTCACAAGTCAATTCTCAAATCTGTTCGAAGTTTGCAAGGTTACTATGGCTGACTGGACTGTAGTTGCCCACTGGGGTATTCAGGTCAAGTCTCACGTAGCTAGCTCAGGAAGTTGATAGTTCTTTGATGCTATATTCCTCAACGTATCAGATCTAGCTGCAGGTAACACGGCATCGAGAAGCGTAACAAACACCTATACATGATGGTCCCCCAGGCAGAAGTCTATTCGCAGTTCAAGTATTCAGATCATACAAATATTCAGCTATTCTAACACCTGAAAGATGGAAATTGTCAAGTCGGAACTGGTTTAATTCTCCACAACCCTCCATTAGACCGTTTCGTTAGAACCCGGGATAATATTGAAAGGCTTCGTAGTCTATAATCAGCCAAGATGAATACTACGAATACAATCAGACTATTGGGATTTTTCTTCTTGTGTAAGCAACTTTGAATTAACCACATCAGCCCACTGTTCATCCGGTCTCAGGGCTAATAAACCCAAGCAGTCCTCTATGCCTCGGCCGATGTTATATTGATCAGGAGGCAAGTTCCTAGATACGACCTAGACTATCAGATTTAATCTCATCCTCTACTTAGCATCAAACAGTTCGAAGACATCATCTCCGCAAACAAGACCGTCGCTGCTGAATTCACGGCACGATGGTGTGACGAATGTAAAAGTATCACGCCAGTCTTTCGCAAACTGAGCGATCAATATCCATCAATTACGTTCGTTCGTATTGACGTTGAGAAAGTCGGGCTTCTCGCGCAGAAGTACTCCGTCTCGTATGTTCCTACTTTCCTGTTTTTCAAGAATGGAAAGAAGGGTGATCAGTTGCAGGGTTATAGCAAAAGGGCTCTTGAGAAGAAGGTATCTGAGCTGGCTGCTTAGGTGGAACCTTGTTGAAATTAGTGGTTGAGAAAAGTGATTTTAATGTTTTGTTCGGTTTCATTCACAAAAGCTCAGAATGTTGCATCGTTATTTCATTATATTATGTATCAGCTTCAAAGGTCAGAAGCGGCCTTCGAATACTCATATATGACTGCAGTATAATGGACGGAGTATACTGATAAGGTCGAAGCACGTCATATCTTCTAATCTGTGCAAATCCGAACTAACAGTATAAACCTTGTCAAGTGCGAATCAAATTGCATCCAACATGACACAATTGTATTCAGTGCGCTAAACGGAAGTCCAGTCTCTTGTTTCCCTCGTCCTGAGTGGTGGCCAAATAATGTGCCTGTTGATCTTGTGTCATAGCACGCCATTTCTTGTCTCGACTTGAGTTGCGCCAAACATAGTAGACTTTGGTGAAGATGTAGATGAATATATTCAATACTACTAAACCCACAAGATCGCGATTGCCTCGTCGATATAGGGGAGCATCATCTGGAAGAAGGGGATGAGTAAGGTATTTTTTGGAGAATCCGGGCGAGCGGATTATGTATACATACCTTCTCTATAAATATTCGAGCCTATAACAGATGAAGCTTGAACACACATGTTGTACATGGCTGCTGAGACTGTGCGAGATCGGACTGTGTTGGCATTGCGTGAATTCCAACCGACTTGGATTGCATGTGCTTTGTGGTTGTTAGCTGAATCGTTTTTGATCATGGTCCTAATTCGCTTACCATTTGGGAATCCTAACAGTAGAGTCACGATAACCCAGCCAACCCATTTCTGGGAATACACATCGACCGTCCACAAGTATATAACAAAAGGTAGTGTCCAAAGCTGACCAAAAAGGGCTACCCAAGTCAACTCCCCAGTGACCTCAGAGATGTATGTCATGGAAAGCATCGTGATGATAGAGAGAACTTTCGTAGGAATAGTGAGTAGGTTCGTGGTGAAAGTGCCGAATCCCATGTTCTTCAAAATAAGAGTAAGGTACTGCTTGGGCGTCGTCGTGGGCGTCTCAAAGGTAAGACCAATGATGTATAACGGCCACAGATCAAAGTCGCAAAGGCTCTTCCAGAGCATGCTTGGTGTGATCGGTTCACGGTTGTGCATAGCACCTTTACTAGGGTCATCGCGAATAACTCGATTGACAATGATCGTCTCCTCTCTTTCAGTAAACCAGCCTGCTGGTCCGCGCGCCCAGTTTGCAGTTTCGCAGGGACCTGGTGGCATGAGGATGTATGCTGAAAGTCCAATGACAAAGGTCATCAAACCCTATCATTACCGTCATTAACATAATGCTAGATATTTGGAGTTCTAGAATGCTCACCTCGATCAAAAACATCCAGCGCCAGCCTGCTTGACCTGAAACTCCACGCAGATGTAGTAATCCAAAAGCCAAGAAGCTTGCGATGATGTCAGCAATGTTCATGGCTGTCCAGAAGAAGCCCAGCCTCAAAGACAACTCGTGATGCTTGTAGAAATAAGACAGGTAGAGGATTACCTATGTCGCCATGAGTATTCCAAGGTTGCATAGAAAGCGAATAGCGACTGCACTCACATCTGGAATAAAGCCACCTTGAAGAATTCCTAGAAGGGCTCGGCACACTAGGAAGGACGTGCGACCAGAAAGTTTATACTGAGATGTGGCTACAACTGACCAAAGAACCATCTGGGTAGGGATCCATCGATCGGGTCCTATCCACTTACTCACAAGCTGTGATGGTAGCTCAGCAAAAAGAAATGAAAGCCGAAATATAGTGTTTCCAAGGTTATAATCTAGAAGCTTTGATCAGATTGCGCTCATTTTCCAAGCTAGGGCTCGAAATATCGATACCGTTTGTGTTCATGTTCAAATCACCCAGGAAGTTATCCGTTAGGGCTTGTGTCAGATTGCATCGATCCAGCTCTAGAGCCATAAATATAACACACGTAAAGACCATGATTCGAAGGTCAATTTTGCGAATCAGGCTATACTCTTCACCCCATGTCCATCTTGCTGACGGATCAAATCTATGCAAGTTTTCCCAGTCATCTCTGGGCTGATATTCCTTTGCCGTGTCAGGATTGTCATAGACTGATGGCTGAGTCGCAATCGCATCGAAGTCAAATTGCTTTGTGCGCTGAAACCAGAACCGGTGGTTTTCATCTGAATTTCCAAGAGTAAGATCGTCGGAGTCTTTGGAGTGGGATGTTATTGTTCCGTAATTAGGACCCTTGATGGACTGTGAAAATACAGTCGCCATTTCAGGGCGCTATTTTGTGTAAGAACGTTTGTATTTATTTCTTTCACTACCAGCATATGAGATTTCAGTTAATACTTATGACCTGGTAACCTTGGAGCCGGATAAGAGAGTTGTTGTAGTTGCAAGTGATGAGCATTCTTGTTTTGGTGGATACCCGACGCACGCCATACTGAGGACATAAGATGGAATGCTGCTCACTGTGAGCATAACTTCAATCCGATAAGACCAACCAGCACTAAATAGTGGACCAGGTGATCTTCTTGCATCAACAAGTCGCCGCTAGCATAAAACTTAAGTCAAGTGGGTAGCTCACACGTATAGATCGGAGATCCATGTATGTTACCTTTTTGGGAAATGATCTTCACTCGCAGGTGTATCACGAGATGGGTTCTTCCTGATTGGTGATGTCTTGCAGTAAGCAGAAAGACAAAACATTCTGTGGCCCATATGTCAGGTTCGTTCCAAGGCTATGTGAGCACTTGAGATGACCGATGGTAATCTTCAGGTGCGCGTGAACAGAACAAATGCCTACACGTGATGTCCCCATAACCCAACTTTAAGGCATTAATACCGGAGTGAATAGTTGCGCCAAGTTTACCTGAACATATGAATGTTTATTTAAAAGTGGACTCATTTGAACAAAATCTGAAAATTGTTACTAGGGTGTTATCTAGCACACGAGACATAGATTGAAGTTATGTATAAGATCCTCTCTCCGATGTCTAGGCTCAGATTCTTATTATACATTCAATTTTCAAATCAACGACAGTCAATAAAAAAATCCTGCGATATTTCATCAATCAAAACTGGGAGATTGCTGCTGCGAAAGCAACCATTGAGGCCATGAAAAACGAGGAGTATAGAGTGACCGGAGCCGAGTTGGTGGTACTAGTAGATGCTGTGAGTGAGCCGGAGGAGATTGCTGATGCGGACACACTCGAAGAGCTAGTGGAGACAGAACTAGACGAAGCCTTTGAAGAGGCTGACGAAGAGTATTCAGATGAGGACTTGTGCGATGACGTACCGCTAGAAGTGGTACTAGTGGAAAACGATGCAGTCGATGTTGTGGAGGACGTCGTGTTGGATGTGGTTGAGTTGGATTGCACAATGCTGCTGAAATCACCAGTCTTATCACTGTAGGTGTAGCTCTTCGCAGGGTTATAGTTGATGACCTTGATTGATTCCACCCACATGATGAACGGGACGTCGTCAAAGTCGGTTTCGCCGCCTGCCCATTCTATTGTCCCTTCGTTGTCTTGCTCAACATCACCACCAGACCAGATACCAATCTTGATTTTGGACGGGGTCTGGGGGTAGTTGGTTCCATCTACAGCATCGGCATATTCAAGGGTGCGGACGACATCGCCATCGAGCAGCCATTCTATCCGCTTCTCAGTCCAATCGATACTGTAGGTGTGGAAAGTCTCTTCGGGAGTAGTGACGTCCACGTTAGTGTCACGATCGTAAGAAGTCGTATTACCCTTGCCGAAGTAGTCTGTTTGGATTTCAGTGGAATAAGTACTGATTTGCTCCTGTGATTTTGGTGTCAGGTTAGATTATGTCCAAGAGTCAAGGAAAGCGGCCCTAATCATACCCAGTCGATCTCGTCAAGGTCGTCAGACTCGAGGAAATAGGTACTGATGATACCAGTTCCGTTGGAGGCTCTCATCGTAACATCGACATGGCCGAAGAAGATGTAAAAGTCGCTAGTGAGGGTAGGGGCTTCTCCTTCCTCAGCAATAGTGAACTTTGCACCAATATCAGTGGTGTTCACGGTGCCACCAGAGGTAGTCCATCTTGCAAGAGCGTCTGAATTCGAGACGAAGTTTGCGCTATACTCCCACTCATCCAGACCAGTGTTTGCATCACAGGTTTCTGTAAAACTGAAATGATTAGATAACAAGACCAATACCTAGTTATCGAGACGAGTAAAGGCACTAACCCTCCGTTGGGTTACAGCTGGTGGAGGTTTGAGCAGCGCCAAGCTGAACAATGGCCAAACCAAGAGCGGCCCACTTCATATATGACATAGACATATCCTCTTGTAAAGCAAATCTTAAATAGCAAAAAGAATGTGGTTCATATAAAAGCGAGTGTATTGTGTGGCTGGGTGGCTATAGGTATGGCCTTGGAAGTGGGACAATTGAAGTCCTGATATTTAGCGAAATGAACTCCTCCAACATTGGGAAGGCTAGTCACTTTATACATATCATAATATGTGTTCGGCACTGTGCCCATCAAGCCACAACCTCTGGAACGATAAGAACAATCAAAGAGTAGTGATTGGAGTAAATGCCCTATCGAAGTGGAGTGAAGAATATGAACTTGACAAGAAGCGACTAAAGCAAGCAATGGAGGATCCAGTCAAACAGATAGGATTGGTTGATTACGAAAGCGCTTGCGTGGATTTGGAAATGAACTATGACGGATCTAGCCGAACTACGTATGCCCTTCAATATACCATCTTCTTCCTATTTTGAGAATACTTTGTTATAATTTTAGTACTCCAGCTAGTTCCTGATCAATCATCACGCTCAAGGATCTATGACACTCTTTCTAAGACAATTTGATCTATTGTCGGTCCTGTACTAGCTAACTACTAAGTACATTCGGGTCCACTGGTTACGACTTCCTACGCGTAACTAGCTTTTAACTAATTCCGCATCCATGGTTTCAATTCGCCAATAGCATTGCCCCGCGGTATGTTTCTTCGAGGTTGTACTTTTAGATCAAGAGTGGGTGAAGCGGCCACTTTCCTGGATTATCTAGTGTTTCATAATGATCCACAAGAGAGACATCACGAACATCTGGAGTATTTACATAAGCGGACGTTTGAATGTATCCGACCTATCTGCATCATATCATACTATAGATGTGTATCATAGGCCTTCGACTTCCAACCTTGGAAATTGCTACTTTAACCTGTGGATCTGAGAATAATTAATTCCAAGGCTGATTGAAGCACCATGCACATTGAAAGTTCAGTAAGTTGCCGATAAAGTGCTACAACTATCACCAGAATTACCTATTGAAGTGGTAAAGTAGTATTTTACCTCACAGAAGCCCGATTATGCTACAAGTTCGAAAGCTCAGAGTCTTGCTAACCCAAGGGAGAAAGCGTGTGTGTGAGAGAGAGAGAAAGGGAAGGGAATTGGGCTTCAATTTTTGGACTTTTGACAGTTCAAGGAGATCAGGGAAATGCTGTGTATGTATACCATCAAATCCTCTATTGTCTACCTAGTTAATTCTAGGACTAGGTAGTGTATCATCCATCAACCTTCGTATGAGAACATTGAGTACATGGGATGGCATATAGATAGTAGTATCCCGAGACCAATGGTTTTATGCAACTGTATATCTATGTACATCCAGAGCTGCCATCGTGGCTAGGAGGACTAAGGTAGCTATATATTCTAAAAAACACAACTGCGTGCAGAAATAAACTCGCTGCCTCTTTATACCTATAAAGGAGTTTCACCTGAGAGACAGCCATCAGCCCGTTCAAAGTACCAGTGGTGAGCTGGGACTTTTGAAAGGTCAACGAGGCCAGTACCCGTATTTCCATTCAAGTTAATCGCCCCCTCAAGAACTTCCACATCACTAGTAGTAACAGTGATATTGTTGCCAGAAGTGATGTAATATTCCGGACTAACGTGAACATACCCCTGAATCAGCAGCGGCATCTTAGGTACAGGGTCGTTAATGTGGGTGAATCGATAGTTGTTTCCCTGCGCAGTGATATAACTGGCCATTTTTGGGTTACCAACTCGCGGAGACGCATATGCGTAAAGAGGGAGCGAAGGATATCCTCGGCTACGGAGATCTGCTGCTACGAGTGTGGCAATGGCAGCTCCCAGACTGTGACCGACGACTAGCAGCTCGTAGTCAGAGTGATTGGACACAGCATCTTTGATGACCTGCAAAACATCGTCTCGAACCAGTATCCATGAGTTCCAGAAACCTAGGTCGGCAAGGCAGCCTTCACAAAGACCTGGGTCGATCAATTCAAATTCGATATCGACTAACCAGTTGCGAAGAGAGTATGAGCCGCGGAAGGCCAAAATTAGTGCCTTTTTAGTATGGTCCACAGCCACAAACCCAGCAGTATCTGTTATAGTGGTACTGTTTCGATTAGATTCGGCTATAGATAGTTGTGATACCGCTTGGAGGAACTTACTTGCCAAAGGTGTAGAATATTGTGGCATCATCAGCCTCGACTTGGGGGCAGTTATTATCCAAACAAGCTATTTTCGAGCCAATACTGGTGGGGGCAAAGTTGTAGGGGCAGTATGTTGCAGCAGCATACTGAACCCAAAAACCAAATTCTGTCAATTGGGTAGCAGATATATCTATCATAATAGCACATTAGCAATTGGAAAGTCAAAAAGCGAAAACTTTTGAAGGCATAAGGGGTGGGCTTTACCTCGACTTTGCAGACTTGTGGGAGTTGCATGGCTCAGTGTTGTTATGACTGATAGGATAGCCAAGAAAGCGTGATGCATATTGCCCTAGTATGCCAATGCTTGAAATTAAACCTCCATGGACTGACAGGTCTATGGGACCTTTATACAGATAATCCGCAGCTTCCAAGGTCCTGATCTTCTTAAGAGAGAGAAAGAAGAAAAAGCAAATATGGCTTCGCATAACTAGTGCCGAGTCTCCGATCCATACTCGTCTTCAATCACCATTCAACTATCAGAAAATCGCACTAACGATCCATCAAGTCCCGGTTAGTAGATTCAACTAAGTGATACAGAGTGGAGTACCTGCATTTTACTTTTTTGGGGTTGTCTAGCTGTTATTGGATCCGAGATCTAAGGCGTTTTCAATATAATCTGCAGTAAAAGCATCCGCAGAATTACTCTCTGGTCTGATCTCCGGGGCCGTGAGATCTGGAGCGCATAAAAATTTCTACGGAATATATGGAGTTGACTGTTGGATGGACTATAATGGAGTACATACTTCGAGCCTTCACACGCCACGAAACTTAATAGCATAGAGAGCCACTTTACGCGACCAATCCCAGAGTATGTTTCTTAGAATATCACAACATTTTCAACATATGTGGGTGTGATCTATCAATTTTTGACGGGCGTCGATTTTCATCACGCTTTGGGTTTTTTAACTCCGATGGTTGACTCTGATACGGCACTTTATCTATTGAACTCCATATATGGAACTATCAAACCGAGAAGGGATTTTCTTTTTGAATTTAAAAATATTTATTATCAAATGTTTTGAATAATATGTCATTGATACCTTTGCCACTGATCCAGGAATGTTAACATTACTTAGCATACGACCTTCATACGATCTTGGTGTGATCTACGAACCATGACAGCAAAATCATTGAGCATGATCTGAAACATGTTCACGACCTACCTTCATAAATCTAACTAGGTAGGCCATGTGGCGTATGTCGGATTAATTATTCCTTACCCGAAGATGTTACCAGCATTCCATACCCCCAGGCATTGGCCTAGTGTGAATATCGTTTAGGAATACATACCTACGTAACGTAGGTAATCTTCTTTAGTGGAATAGCGCTCTTATAACGTACACAGGTGACGACTGACACTCGTGGACCTAAGTTTCATGTTAATATAAGCCACAGTTTCGTCTCCCAACCTGTTGTAAGTAATTTAGATCATCGGGTGCGTACACGGGTATAATGTGTGATCAACCGGCGTGCAGACTTCATTTTAAATAGAACCTGCAAAAATACTAACAGATTACATGCCACCCTTAGAGGCCGATCATGGCTGCCGAGTACTAAGAGTTTTGTATTTTTGTGTATGGGAAGACGATATCTTCGCAATAAACGGAGTAGAGGGCGAGAACGCCATTTTATGATAATATCAGCGCCAACATGGATGATAAATGCAGGGGCCAAAATCCCGAGGTCGACGAATAGTGTTTTCTGACGGAATCACATCAGGCAACCGTCTTTGATACTCGAATGCAACTCACTCAGGCCAACCCGAACACGGCGGTAGCCTTGTCGGCCTGCGTTGTTTTTTAGGCTTTCGACACTAGGAGATGATGAGCGACCTCCACTCATTAAAGGAGAGGTGGTCTTGTTTGAAGAGGTGGAAACTTGTTGAAGGGCGAATACTTCCACCATCCATTCGTACCAGACCTTACGGTCGTCTGTCTGGCGGTACATTGTCACAACAATCTCACCATTATCAGGAACGTTGAGCGGAGTCTGCGGTTGATCGTGATAATCAGTATAATTTTCAAAATAATTTTCAAAATTAGACGTCCTACCTTTAGGGGGAAGTAAATGGGGAACCAGCTTATCATGCTAGCACTTTTCGCATCCATTGTCACTGGATTGGTTGAAAGCTCGACGTCCTTGTAGAGGACAGTCTCGAAGTACCCTGCTAGGCCGTGACATGCGCCACGGTTCTGAACAGGGAAAGCTAGCCTAGTCCGGCGGACGTTATGAGCATTTGAGATGGTGGATTGCATAGGATTTTGCGGTGTAGTGTTTGGGTTAGGGTGAGAGAAAGACCACGCGGTTTGAACGTTGGGTACGGGAAATTCTGTTGCAGTCGTGGGCGTTGTCAAGGTCGAGGAACGGTTTGCGATATTTTGATTGCCCGTCTCGGCATTGGCAGGTGAATCCGCCGAGGATAGGAAGTCAATGGCATGGAGCATGACTACGTAGGGTATCTCTGGAGCTGCTGGATTAGTCACAGTCTGGTTCATGACATCAGAGTGCAGCTTCGGTGCGGAAATTGGCGTGAGATGAGCCGTGTAGGAGGCCGGGATGGATATGCCATGCTCGGGGTTTATGACACCATTTACTCCATCCAAACATTCGGGCGAGAGCTCATTGTCGGCAAAAGAGCCAAGTAACTCAGATACCAAGATATCAACATGGGTTACTTCACCCTCAGCTTCGTCTGCTGCTTGCTTTCTCACGCGAGGCCCTTTCCAGCTTCGCATATCGGACTGGACCAATGTAACCTTTCCATTCCAAATATAGTCATTGTGTCGCTGTAGCAAAACAAACGCATTCTGGTTCTTTTCAACGGCCCACATGTCAATTTCGACGCCTGCTGCAGCGCTGGCTTTGAGAGCACGTGTTACCAGCGGTCCACGGCCCGCACCCACAACTGCAACAACGACTTTGCCATCAGGGTGAGAGGTAGGCTTCTTCTGATCTGCCCAATCTCTCAGTGCCTTTGTAATTGCTCTTTCATACCACTCGTACTTGATGGGGTCCTTTTCAAATACTTCGTAGGTAATGCTCTCTAAATTGACGGTCAAAGGTTGTAAAGGAGCTTGCAAATAGTCCTGATAACCTGTGCCAAATCTTTCAATTAATGTCCTTGGTGGCTGTCGTTGTTGCAGATTTCGCACATAGGAAAGATGAGGGGTGGGATCGAAATGTTTCTTGGTTGCACCTGCGACTTGTGACAGGCTGGGGTAATCAGATCCAGATAAATGAGGCTGCTTTGTCCCCGAGTCATCTGCATTCTCAATACCTGGGATTGGGCCAACATCACATAGAATAATCCACGGTGGAGTACGGAGACGCATAAGCTTTGCAATGAAAGCTTGATGAGCTTTTGAAAGAACAGGGAATCCCTTCTGGTTCTTCAGGAAGGATGATGCATCAATTGTAAGCAGATGCACGGGTTCTGAATGCCAACGAGATAGCACACTTAAGGATGGAAGCTGCTTTGGCATTGAAAGGGCTGTTTTCCATATTAGTCACAACACACAGATGACCTAGACAGATTTCGTATACTTACCAACAAACAGCCGTGTATGATATTTACAAGTTTTTCGGATCAAGTCCCAAGCATCCCAGGTTCCAAATGGATCTAACTTTGGCAATCCACCTTGCTCAGGCTGGATGTATTCTTCGCGAGCTAGTGGGGCCAAATCACCCATCGTTTCCATTTCAAGGTCAGGATCATCAACCATGCGCAACCAGATATGGAACTGGATGAACGGACCCAGGCTCAAAGCATCTTGAATCACCTTTGCATAGTGTACAACTCCTTCCGAGTGCATACTGCCATGGTGCAGCTTAGGGCTTGGAATCAAAAGATAGCCAATGCCACAGAAAGCAGCGTATGCAACTTCCAGCATAAGAACCTGGCGGGACAAGTCTGCAATCAGTGGATCGGGTGAGCAAAGATCAATCCAGCTACTTGTCACACCAACGAGCTGACTCGTAGCCTCATTTGGGGTAAGGTTGGAGTCCAGCTTTGACAATGGGGGTATTGATACAAGCCGGGTATTCTGTGTAGTTCCCATAGTTCCAATAGGATCATAAGCTGGTGATTGCAGATTAGACAAAAAGGAAGATAGTAAGCTGAGGACCCTAGAGTGGAAATGCTCAGTTGTGATTGGAACTGTCATCATGTCATACTATATAAAGCATCCTCATTAGAGCCACCATGCAAGATATCTTGAGAACAAGTTTTTACTCACGTTGCTTTCATGGACTTTTTGCACCACACTGGTAGATACCATCATGTCACGGTCAGCTTGATAGTGACCGATACAAAACCTTGGAGTAGCATCTTCAGAGGTACTGTAGCCTTCCATTTTAGTAGATTTTTTGCGCAGTGATGGAAAGAAGTTCTTCACAATATTATGTTAAGTCTCATAGCTATCCAAGGGAGAATACTTTCAGGTCCCGCACGGCAGATAATATTGGCGGTGAGGCGATAAGGTGTTGCTTATCTATGATTTTTTTACCAACTTGAAGTTTTGCACCTCTCAACCTCTAACACCTTCACACCATGGCTGATCGCCGCCGTCAACATTCCGCAGAAGTAGAAGACGAGAGCGCTCGTGCAAAGCGACTGAAGATGGAGAAGATGGATCCCAAAAACAATCCCTATCTAGCACACCTTTACCCCGCCGGCGCTAATGACGCGCCGCTGGCGGATTTTAAGAGACATAAAACAACTGCAGCCCAGGCTGAGGCCGTTGAGCAGGGTCCTACCAATCCATTCACGGGAAAACCTTTTTCGAACAAGTACAGCTACATCTTGGAAGGTAGACGCGATCTGCCTGTTCACAAGCAGCGGTAAGTGCATCCAAATTCTTATTCCTGAAGGCTTTGGCTGATTTTTTTTTTTTTTTTTGGTCAGTGATGAGTTTCTTAAAATCTACCAAGAAAATCAGATCATGGTCTTCGTTGGTGAGACAGGTTCCGGAAAAACCACGCAAGTCCCGCAATTCGTTCTTTACGACGATCTGCCCCAGACACAGGGTAAGATGGTAGCTTGCACCCAGCCTCGCCGTGTTGCCGCCTTGAGCGTTGCCAATCGCGTCGCCGATGAATTGGACGTGCGCCTCGGCGAAGAAGTCGGATACTCCATCCGATTTGATGACAATACTGGACCGAAGACAGTCCTGAAGTACATGACTGATGGTATGCTTCTGCGCGAAGCTATGCACGATCACGATCTGAACCGATACAGCACCATTATTCTTGATGAGGCACACGAAAGAACCATGGCTACCGATATTCTCATGGGTCTTTTGAAGCAGGTCGTACTGCGTCGTCCGGACTTAAAAATTGTCATCATGTCAGCCACCCTCGACGCTGAGAAATTCCAGCGGTATTTCATGGATGCCCCGCTTCTTGCTGTGCCCGGTCGTACTTTTCCCGTGGAAGTCTTCTACACCCCCGAACCGGAGAATGATTACGTGAATGCTGCTATCCGGACTTGTTTGCAGATTCACGCGTGTGAGGACGAGGGGGATATCCTCATGTTCCTGACCGGCGAACAAGAAATCGAAGACGCAGCCAACTCAATTCAATTGGAGTCGGATGAGATGGAAAAATCTGGTGCCGGTCCTCTTAAAGTCTACACTCTTTATGGCGGTCTGACTACGGCCCAACAGCAGCAGTGTTTCAACCCTGCGCCTCCACCCCGCGAGCCTGGTGGCAGACCAGGACGCAAGGTCATCATCTCTACCAATATTGCTGAAACTTCGCTTACGATCGACGGTATTGTGTACGTGATTGACACTGGATTTTCTAAACAGAAAATCTACAACCCTCGTATTCGTGTTGAGTCCCTTCTGGTGTCTCCAATTTCAAAAGCATCTGCTCAGCAGCGAGCTGGTCGTGCAGGTCGTACACGCCCCGGAAAGTGCTTCCGCCTCTACACCGAGGAAGCTTTCAAAGATGAACTCATTTCGCAGACTTACCCGGAAATTCTCCGGTCGAACCTGTCAGCGACCGTTCTTGAATTGAAGAAGCTCGGGATCGAAGACCTGGTGCATTTCGATCTTATGGATCCCCCGGCTCCTGAGACCCTGATGCGCGCTTTGGAGGAACTCAACTACCTGGCTTGTCTGGATGACGACGGACATTTAACTCCACTTGGCCGCATGGCATCGATGTTCCCACTTGACCCAGCAATGGCTGTCATGCTCATTAGCTCTCCAGAGTTCTACTGCTCTAACGAGATTCTCTCGATCGCAGCTCTTCTGTCGTGTCCGGATGTGTTCCTTCGTCCTCACTCCCAGCGCGCACGTGCGGAAGAGATGAAGAGAAGTTTCGCCCACCCCGATGGCGATCATCTGACTCTGTTGAATGTTTACCATGCATACAGCAGTGTCCCGCGAGAGAACAAGCGGAAGTGGTGTCATGAACATTTCTTATCACAACGCAGTCTCGAGCAGGCAGACAACGTTCGCCGACAGCTGCTTACCACTATGGAGCGTGAGGACCTGGAGCTAATCTCGACTCCTCATGACGACAAGAAGTACCATGAGAACATTCGTCGTGCTCTCTGCACTGGATTTTTCATGCAGGTTGCCAAGAAAGAGGCAAAGGGCAAGGGTTACGTAACCGTCAAGGATCACCAAAGTGTTCTTCTCCACCCCGGCAGCATGCTGGCCCATGATCCAGAATGGGTCATCTACCATGAGTTTGTTTTGACCTCAAAGAACTTCATTCGCCAAGCAACTGCCGTGAAACCTGAATGGCTGCTTGTAAGTTTGCTTCGATCTCTTGATTATTATGATAATTGATTACTGACTTCTTTTTGCGACAGGAACTCGCACCTGTATACTATGACATTCCCTCATTTGAGAAAGGTGAAATCAAATCCGCTCTTACTCGTGCTTCAGAGCACCTTGCTCGCAAAGAAAAGATGCGTGCCGACAAGGCCAAGGAGACTACTGCCGCCGCATGGTAGTCAAGGATACGCGTGCACGATAATTTTTCACGAATTGCGAAACGACACCCAATTTATCGTTCATCTTTCTCGATATTCCTCATCTTTCTCATTAGAAATTAGATATGTCGGCCCTTTTTTCTGCTGAAGAAGATACGCAGTTGACATACGCATTTGCTCGACTTTTTATCTTCTTCCTGACGTTACCACGAATGCATGGTTTCATGCTCATTGGCAGCTTTCGAAACTAGGGAAATTAAAAGATCTCCCATTTCCCTTGTTACTGGCTTTCCCAAGTTTGGAGTTTCCAATGAGTTTCCTCCGTTTTGTTTTTCAAAAAGATTCCATAATTAGCTTGTGAATATGAAGTTCCACAAGTACATATTCCTGAGTAGAAATTAAAGCACAGTAAGCTGCGTATTTCCAGTACCCTAACCTGGTCAGTACCTACCTCTACCAGTTGACATAAAGGCTGCCTAGTTAAAAAACGCATGTGCGTAGGTATAGGTGCCCGGGTAGGTATTTCATTTCCAGCCTTGGAGGGTTTACATTTCATCAGGGTGATATTCAAACAATCATACAATTCCTTGCGTACTGGATATATACACATATGCACCATCAACACCGAAGGACGTCCCAGAAATACCTAAGTGGCGGCGTCAACCGGCCTGCCCCCGGGGACTCTATAGTAATATACAAAGGGTGAGGAAAGAATTAGCTAATCACGAAATGGAGGTTGGGGCCAAGAAGCATCCTTTATGAAGTGGCATGCCAAGCTCTTGTCCACGCTGATGTATTAGCAACAAGATTCTCATGAGATGTTCCCAGAGCGATTCCAGGGGTTCTCTCGTGGAAAATCTTTCCTGCTCCTGGCAATCTGAGATATTGTTTGAAATCCCTTACGCTTTGGACGGAGAGAAGGAGTAGGTGGGTTGATACTGATGGGCTCCTCGACTTGTAGCAGCTGTTCTTCTTCGATTTCCGTATCGGACTTGGACGATGCGCCGATGTGGGTCTTTCGAATCTCAAAGACAAGCTTGCGAAGTTCCGCCACTTCGCTCTTGAGAGCCTCTATTTCATTTTGCTTATTGGGAGGTTGAGATTTGTCAGTTGATACGACGGAGCCCAATGAGACTGGTTGTGATGTCTCTCGAATGAGATTGGCGTTATTGGGTTGTGATGAGATATCCCCAAGAACGGACGACATGGCATGCTGGGCGTGGAGAGCAGCATTTGAGGAAAATTGATGCATCTTTATATTATCCCTTGATACGTCAAGCTCGTTCAAATAGTCCCCAAACGTCTTTCCAAAGTCTATCCACTTTTGCCAAGGCAGACGATCGATGTTTTCCGCAGGTGCTCTCCTAGCAGCTTCAGTCCATCGCGTAAACCCGTAGTCAACAATGGGAGTGAGATCCTCTTGGTAAGTACGAATCTTCTGGCTAAACCCGCTGTGCATAGCTGCAGATATCAAAGCCTGTGAGCAATCGCTCTGTCCGCATGAGTCACAGAAGTGGGACATGAGCACAATGAGGCGGTCGACTAGTTCAGGAGGATGGTCCGTTGATGATATTAAATAGGTGACAGCTCGCTTCAGGACGGAAATTCCTTTAACCCAGTCTTTTCGGACACTGTAGTATTTGAAGTAACTGGACAGCGTCGTGAAGTTGTCAAAGAAACCAACGCCTCGCGCTGCTTGAAGCCAAGCGTCAGCTCGTTCTGGCTGTTCAAACCGTAGGGCAGCAGCTATAAGTTCTGAATAGATCACCATGTTGTTGCTATCAAGGGGTGGAACAACTACTTCCCACCCATTGAAGCTTCGACGGATGTAGTGACCAATTGATCCGAGGTTAGCTGACCAACCACCATCTGCGGTAAGCATCTGGAGAAACTGGTCGAAATCTTTCAGGTTTTTCATCTTCCGATGAACGGAGATGATGGTGATGATGAGAGAAGAGCTGAGAAGGAACCGATTTGGGATGAGGGTTCGCAGAAGTAGGTCATTCAAGTCATTTTGGCGAGTTTTTGTGAATGTTATAAACATACTCCTGAAAGCAGTAGTACGATCTGGATCCACTGAGTTCAAAAGGTTGACAGACACTCGGAGAAGGAGCTCTTGCATGGACATTCGTTCGCTTGAGAACGCTTCAAGGTCGTCAATAAGCTCAGCATCAAGCGCTTCTCGTGAATTATGGATCTGATCTGAATCCATCATGGGGTAGTCTCCAAGTAAGTCTGAATAAGGCGCATCTTTGTTCGTCCGGAGCGTTTGGATACGAAGTCGAATGCTGTTCAGCTCATGTAGAAGATTCTCGACATTCATCTTGGGAGCTTCAGAGTCGTGTATATAAGTCATGGGTAGTCCATTATACCTGTGCGTAATGGCTGGGCGTAGAAGTATTCTAATGGAGAATTGTCTTAGAGCAAGCTTTTGTATGGCTTTCATGCGTAGGGTGTCTTTAACAACCCATTTCGGCAGATGCTCTCTGTATTTCTTCTCAAACTCGTCATCCTCCTCCTCGACATTTCTCAGATCAATCTCTCCATCCGACACGGATGCTTCCGATAGTTGAGCATTAGCGCTGGCAGCATTGTATAACCGACGTTCGGTATGTAAGGACCTTATTGACTGATGAGACGACATTCGTTGTGTTGAGAAAGAAAAGCCCCTTTCAGCGCCGAGTCCTGCATCTTGCAACCATCGGCCGAAACCCCGAGGTTTCGTCAGCGAGATCTGAAGCGACTCTAGAATTCTTTGCTCCTCATCCACGAGTTCCTTAACTTCGGCCTTGACGGCAGCAATTTTTTCCTCCCAGTCATGTCGGCGTTGAGTCTTTGCCCTTGAATCAGCGAGAGTAGCGATGGCAAACAAGCTCCCGTATAATGCCGTAACAGAGTTTCCTATGCGAAGTCGTCGCTTGCTGGCGGCGGAGGCTGATCGTGAAGTGACACCGTTGGCGGTCGTGCTTAAACAGCCGCAGCGGCACGTTGACTGCGCGGCTGCGCGAGACCACAAGCTCTGCATTATCTGATCATCGCTTTTTACCGAAAAATGAAAGGTAACCCAAGCAATTGGCGTGTTGACGAGGTTGGACTTTGCGCGGGTCTTGGAATCAGACGATCCAACATTTATCCCGAATCTGCAAACAGCACAAACAAGCCAAGCCTCTGTATGCTCCTTAGACTTACGATAACCAACTCACACTTCTTCCCTCTTGTCTCTAACATAAATCATAAGTCCATCATGATCCCCCGCTCAATTTGTCTTTTGGCCAGCGTTCTAGCTTTTGGGAGCTCGCTGGCCAATGCGCATGGCTCACATTCAACCGAGCAGCCAGCTTCTAATGATTGGACCACGAAGCACATGCTTGGTGAGCTCGATGGATTTAACATAGCTAATAAGCGTGCTAAGACAATACACAGGGGAACATCACATTGAATCGTTTGACGCACTTTCATTTTTCACGCTTCACGATTACGACGATTCAGGGGCTTGGACACCCGATGAAGTACGCAAGACATATGGCGCCGACCACGAATCCAATGACGGAGTGAGCGAGTCTCGCAAAGTGGAGGCCGTCCGCGAGGTCTTTGAACTTTTTGACCCCGAAAACACCGGTTATATTACTCGTGATGCTTGGACAAAGGCATTTGATGCGGGTGTGCGGCTGCCAGATCTCGGTCTTGGACCTGGTCATCACGGCGATATTGAATATGAATATGAGGTAGATCTTCATTCTTTTGGCTATTATCTCCAGAAACTGTTTACAGCTACTCATATTGTCATTAGATCCACCACTTTGAACAATTCCACGGCGAAGACGCAACCGCAGAGGAACTGACACATCCCGAAGATATCGAACACTTCAAACAACACGGTATGTCCCGATTGCGCATGATACGGACTTCTTTAGCTGACACTATCGAACCTACAGATGAACTTGAGCTTGCGGAACTACGACTCGAGCAGCTGGAACAAAAGTCGATCGTAGTAGACATGATCCCCAATAAATTCCGAAGACACTAGTGCATTATTGATTGATGCCCAGGTGACATTCAATTCTTCATGTAAATACCTAATTTTACAACATATCCATATCACTCAATCAATAGATTTTCCGACAGCGGGAAATCAGGATAATTCCAGAGCTATGCCCAGATGGCTTCAAATGTCCTGCTTCACATATTATATTGTACTTCTAGTTAACGTGAATCCCGCCCGAGTGACACCTCAAAATATCAGTCTAAAAATCGACCCACACTCTTTAAACATCAACAATGCCCCCAATTCGCACTCAAAATGTTCAAAAGTTGATTGAACAGGAAGTCCATCTTGAATTATCTATCAAAGCCATTAAAGATGGGCGATATCCTTCTGCTGTAACTGCAGTTGCAGCCAAAGCTTTCAATATACCCCCATCTACACTACGTCACCGACTGAATGGCCGTGTTTCTTTGCCCCAAAAACGCCTATCTGGCCATACATTCTCTGCAGCTGAAGAGAATTCAATAAAGCAATGGCTACTATATGTATTCTAGAGTGTCTGCCTTAACACATGAAATATGTAGAGATATGGCCAATCTCATGCTTCGCGCCTGTGAAAACACCCCGTCCAACTAAAAGTTAGCAAAAATTGGGTTATAGGCTATCTTACACGGACTAAATCTCTTACTACTCGAAAGTCTCATCAAATTTATATCCAGAGAGCTAAAGCAGAAGACCCCGAACTTATTAATGAGTGGTTTAATCTAGTTCAAAATACGATTAAGTATGGTATGCTAGAGAAACACGTAGTTCATGATGAACGCTTGAAAAGTATCATTAAGAGATTTGGAGAAGGCCCATGAGAATTTGTTTGTCTAAAGAAGAGATTTTGGGAAATGGTTTGCTAGTTAATTTTAATTTTATATAAAAGCTCAATAGCATATCGCTCGTGGTACTGGAAAACCAGCTCTTCTAGCTACTTGCATAGCTATGGCGTCCACTATCCGAGTGCCATCAGACCATTTTAATATAGGCCCAAATGGAAGCTGAGCAGTTTGATTATCGAAAGGAACCCCAACCCAGGAGCAATAGGATAAAGAAAATTATTGTATATGTTTATGCAAAAATCCACAAAGACGACGTAGTTTGGGATTTATCAGTTGAGGTGTGCTATTTGTTTGATTGAGATTGGCCGAGTAAAATCAGACCAGGTGGAATCGAGTAAGAGGATGCGCGATATGAACCAAGATTTCATTGTAGTAAGGAACAGCGAAGTAAGTGCTATGAAAGATAGGGCGTTATGAAGGAAGAGGTAGGCAGAGTCATTAAAAGTTAGGTTAACTACCTAGGCAACTGTATATAGCAGATTTCCTTTCCACGGTGGGGCTTTCCTAAAACAGCTACCGCCGCTTTAATGAGGACGCTCAGAGTCAAGCTCAGTGAGTAAATTTTAGTCCGGGCTCAGGCTCAGTAAGCGGCTCAGGTCCCATCACGTGATAGATCACTGAGGCCCAATGAACGCTTAGTGACTATTCAGTGAGCATGATTGGCTGTTCCCTGCTTACTCAGAGATCGATCAGTGCCATCTATTGAGCACTCAGTTTTTTCTCATGCTATACCGAAAGAGGACTAGTGGAAACAAGGTTACAGAGGTGTTTAATCTTTCCCTCCACATGAACACAAGATGACGCAAAAATGTGAATGGGTCCATATTGTTGATTATGAAGAGGGTAAGGGAAATTTTGCTTACTCGGAGAGACCCTGGCATAACCAGGCGTATATAAGTTGAAATAAAACCCCTCTCTGAAGCATCATCATAACTACTTTTCATTCTCCCATTCATATACTTTTCTTGGTTTCTCTTGTCGGCACTGTTTTAGCAAGTCACCCATGGGCCAAAGATAGTATCATGGTCAACGAGACCATATCGCAAAAGAGAAACGCTACGAACGATTGCAGGAAAGTGGCTATGTTTTCGGAGTGCATATAAATGATGATGCGATTCGTGATAAAGATAAGAGACTGGCCAAGACTAAGAGGACATACTAGCAATATGTAAAGCTATGGAAAGAGTATGCTGCCACTAATTTCGATGCGAATGATAAGTGGATAAAAACTGACCTGCTTCTAGATTCCTCGAACAAAATGGGAAAGGAAGTCATGAACAGGACCATAAAACCAATGTCCCTGATCATATACTTATCAAAGAGTTCATTCGTTGGTATATTTATTCCACGCGCGGACGGATCAGTGAAAATAGACGACCAGTGATGAAATCAGTTCTATCATTTGCTGAGCGGTTTTTTGGTGGCCTCGAAGAAGACATGTAGATTAGCATTATGCTAGAAGATCGAAGTGAGATATTCAATGTGAGCCTATATTTCTATATCTTATTTCTTCTAGTAACATAAGCCCACACTAATCTTAAATCAGTGGATCAAGAGGTCACTGACGGGAGAAGGTACCATTGAAAATAGACATGTTCATTGGGTTGGGTATGGGTTTGAAGTAAAACCCACACCCAGCCCATAAACCCATCTTTTTGCCAAGACTTTTATTTCACGTGAGATTTGTCACCTAGTTAGTACTAGATTGAGGCAAAAATTAGGCACTAAGGCACTAATTACCCTAATTTAGTTTAGGTTGAGGCGAAAATCAGGCATTAAGGCATCAAAAATACCCATATGGGTATGGGTTTACCTTACCCCTGATGGGTTGGGTATGGGTATGAATTTTGACCCATACCCAACCCATGCACATGTCTATACAGAGGGGAGGCGGGAGGGACAAAATCGAGACTTGACTGCGCAAGAGATGATGAACTACCTGTGTAGGCAAGCAAATCACTCTCGTGAGGCAAGAACTGACTCTCGTGAGGCAGTCGTAGAGGCGGAGATCCTCAGTAATGTCGGTGTAGACATCACGTGAGGCTGTAGGCGCTGGGAGGTAACCCCAATAAAGCTACTCTCTTTATGCTTCGTAAAAAGCTCTGTTTTAGAACCTCAGGCTAAGACAATATACACCACTCCAATTCCAGCTTACGATAGGCTCTATACTGTCACTTGAAACAGGCCAGACTTGCTTCCTAATTTTCTCATTTGCAAGTAGATAAGAAGGTTGCTATAGTGACTAATTCAAAAAACAGTTTTGACGAGAATATCAGTTATCTAATCTTTAGTATGAAAATTAATAGCAAAAAGATAACAGCAATTTTGACCCCATATGTAGATCTGAATATGAGAGAATTGCTTCAAAACTAGGATGAAGAATTCAAGACGCGCTGTTTGACACGAATCTGAAATCTCGATTTTGATAGTGAAATAGCGAAAGGCTTTAAACTAGTCAATCAAGAGATATATTCAGAAAGGCATCCCTCCCTTTCACTGTATATGCTGGCCGTTTTTTATTCTCCGCTTGCTAGAATGTTTGATGAATAATTGATCACGTGGATGAAACGGCAAAGAATGAAGATAAAGGTGTAAGTTAGTGCGACGCATCTTCTAAGTCTCCCTCTGGTCTAGCTATACCGACAAGTAAGGGTGGCGATTGGAGCAAATTGAGAACAGATCCTCGCAAGATTGGTTTCTGCCAGAAATCGATGCTCTTGCCGCTGCGCAACATTATATACTTGCTGTCGAATCCTGGCTCCAGCAGGAGGTGGAAGATCCGGAATCTTTGGATTAATGATCGATCGATACTTAGGGCAGATGGAATTGGAATAGTCTTTTCTCTTCCTCCAAGCTCTTACATTTCAATGACAGAGCACTCTCAAATATCTCAGGACACTCGAAAGTACACTCCTCCGTATTTTTTGAATCATGTCCCAACAATAGCTAGCGAGCACACGGATGGGTAAAAATTCCGCTCACAAAGTAAAAAAATAAAGCTGCAAGGCTAGCTATAATTGTAGCGAGTAAAATGTACTGAGCCAATCTTTAAAGAGAGCTGAACTCATATAATAGCTTACCCTCTTCGAATGTTTTTAACAGTGGTTGAGTTAATCTAGGAGATGAATTATGTTTTTGAACTTCAAGCTACATACGTCCATTGATGTGCAACTGCTCTCAGACAATGCTCCGCTCAGCGAGCATTATTTCTCTTCGATAAGAATTCCAGAAAAGTCCCTTTATTTCCGGGCTTACCAGAGTGTAGGCACTGCGGAGCTGCCCACGGTAATTCTCGTCTTCAGACTGTTCCAGGGCTCCTAATTGTAATGGCTCAAGGACTTTCCATCTAACAAATATTTCCCTTTTTTGAATATCCTCCACGATGAAGTCCATATAGACATCGTCTAAAGAAGTAGGGATATATGTCCCACAGTATGTTGTGAACTTATGGATTTGCTGGAGAAGGTTTCCGTTCATCCAGATTATCTATAATAAGAATAAGTGTGATTCATGAGAGCTCTCAGATTAGTTTCAACATACCTGGGGGAATTGGTGCTGTGACCTCGCTATTACCTTCTCCAAAGAATCTGGTGAAGTCTTCCATGCCGAAGCCAAAACAGGACTGGAAATTACTTGTGAGCCATAGCCTTGTGGGTATGAATCTCGATTGATAATCTCGTTTCCTTGAAAATCATCAGAGTGAGGCCTAGATGGACTTGTGTTTGAGATTCTGCTTGTCGCCGCACTTGCAGTAAGATTCTCTGACTCAAGGCGAGGCAGTCGGGATCTGGATTGCTCCTCTGCAGTACCAGATGAAGGTGAGAGTAGCTCTGAGATCGATCTTTCACATGTCAGAATAATCACGCAATCAATAAAATGTAACTGACAATACCGATTTCTTCTCAGGAGTCATTTGTTCTTTTTTCGTGAGAAAGCACAGGAAGTCGAGGACTTATATTGTAGTTTGATCTAATAAAAGATTCTTGTAGCACATGTAGAGTAGTTATATCAATTGGTATTGAACAACAAAGGCTACATATGTGATCACGATGTTGTTATCATTGGTGGTGGTGTCGCTGGTTACGTCGCTGCTATCAAGGCTGGACAGGAAGGTCTGAAGGTATGATGAATGCTACTGCATTGCGCAGCTATCTTTTCCCCGATCTGGAAAATGCTAACATTGAACTCTTTCTACAGACCGTCTGTATCGAGAAGCGTGGAAAGCTCGGCGGTACCTGCTTGAACGTCGGATGTATCCCTTCCAAGTCCCTCCTCAACAGCTCCCATCTTTACCACCAGATCCTTCACGATACCCAGAAGCGCGGTATCGAGGTCGGTGAAGTTAAGCTTAACCTGGCTCAGATGCTCAAGGCCAAGGACGCTTCCGTTGACGGTCTCACCAAGGGTATTGAGTACCTCTTGAAGAAGAACAACGTTGAGTACGTCAAGGGTGCTGGATCGTTCGTTGATGCCAACACTGTCAAGGTTGACCTGCTCGATGGTGGTGAGCAGACCGTCCGTGGAAAGAACATTATTATTGCCACTGGCTCCGAGGCCACTCCCTTCCCCGGCCTGAACATCGATGAGAAGCGCATCATCTCCAGCACTGGTGCTCTTTCTCTCCAGGAGGTCCCCAAGAAGATGGTCGTCATTGGTGGTTGTATTATCGGTCTTGAGATGGTAGGATATTCAAACTCCCAATGTGAAAGCGCGAACTTCTAACCTGTTCTTATTATAGGCCTCCGTCTGGTCTCGTCTCGGTGCTGAGGTTACCGTTGTTGAGTTCCTGGGCGCCATCGGTGGACCCGGTATGGATGCTGAGATCGCCAAGCAGTCACAGAAGATCCTTGCCAAGCAAGGCATCAAGTTCAAGACCGGAACTAAGGTTGTGAAGGGGGACGACAGCGGTGCCCTCATCACTCTCGACGTTGAGGCCGCTAAGGGCGGAAAGGAGGAGACCTTGGAGGCTGATGTTGTGCTGGTCGCTATCGGCCGTCGCCCTTACACCGAGGGTCTGGGTCTTGAGAACATTGGCATTGACAAGGACGAGCGCGGCCGTCTCGTTATCGACCAGGAGTACCGTACCAAGGAGTCTCACATCCGTGTGATCGGTGACGTTACCTTCGGTCCCATGCTCGCCCACAAGGCTGAGGAGGCCGTTGCTGCCATCGAGTACATCAAGAAGGGGTGCTAAGGGAACCTTGGAATCGAGCCAACAAGGAATTACAGAATTCCAGTTCAGCACATGAAGCTAGCACTAAGACCATGAAAACTCTTCATCTAAGAAGGATGATTTCGCACGGCTCTTGCAGCGAAGTCTATCATGGCATAGTAAATATCCTAAACTCAGCAACTAAATATAATCGAGACAGTGTGGCCGTTACAGTATGAAGTTGGGAAGGATCATAGATAAGTAGGAGCCCTGGAGATTCATATGTTATCCCACACCATCTGCCAGCTCCGCAAAAGATAGAACATTGATGTCTTATCAAAGCTGTGAAATCACTGTCAGAGTCCTACCAGAAAAATGACTCGGACTCAGCCGCTAGAAAGTGAGCGGAAATATGGTCACAGGAATTACAAAGAGGGATTACACCTAGACATATAATTGAATATAGAGTCATGATCACATATCTGATGCATTTTATGTCGAATTATTGAATATGCAGTAATATCCACCATTTAATATCATTGCCTAGTATGAGAGAGTCAAGGGCCCAGTCGCTCTTGAGATCTTTCCACTAAATAATAATTTATCGCCTACTTCCTAACAGTGCATCATAAAGACCACAGGAGATCAGAAGGTCACCGAATTACCGGATAATAAGCTCTAAATGAAACGCAAAGCCAAACAGATTCGTCCGGTGTCGCTGATCCAGACTCCACTTTAAAAACCGAACTGGGTCTAGTCTGCACGGATCGAGCCGAAAGATCGACCCGGGATGACATATTCACTCAAATTCGCTTCCTGGATTTTAGTCATACGCATTTCTAACAGGATGATGTTAATGATATCAGAAGATAGAAGAATAAACACTGTCCCTAGCTTTAAGGCAGTAAGAAAACAAGACAAAAAGTAGTTGTTATGTAAATATCCCCACTCAACTTTCTTTCTTCTGTTTCTTTCTAATTTATTATTGAAAGGTTATCTTAGGGTTGGAATCCACGAATCAAGCTGCTCAGTCGGTTCAGATCTGCGGTGCCTGCGAGTCTACTGCTCCCTCTACGTTAGTAAAGTCCTTGGACTAATCTTAAAATATTCTATATCCAAGAATGAGTTGAATTACAGTCTCAGTGACAGATGAGTTATCTTCACTCAAGGAATTTCCATTGTTGCGATTGATTTATCAGCCAAGCTGAGATCTGGTGCATTGCGTATTTTCTTCTCATCTCTCTCATTTTCACTGTCTGCTGTCGTTGTTGTGCAGTCTAGTAGGAGAGGTAAATACATAGCGGTCCACATCATTCCACCAAAATTGAACTTTGAAGATTAATTCAAGTGTTGTTCTGACAAACTGGAAGTGGAATCGGCATCTTCAAGCCAAGAATCAATAGTAGCCATGCTTGCCAGCCTCACAGAAAAATCCACCCATCTGCTAGTCCTTCTGCGCTCCTTGTTATTGGCAATTTTGGTGCCACAACTCATATTCTTAATGTAATACTCGATGACGGTACTTTCTAGCATATTATCCCACATTCCGCGGCGGAAAAGCTACAGAGCATACGCACAAGCAAATTCCGAGTTTGGCGAAATCACTCTTCACTTGGGAGATGACGAGACTGTCGACAGTTTCCTCGACGATATCAAGACCTGAGTCCATAAACAACAAAATAATTCCCCGAGCTCAAACTACACACTAAAAACACGCTATATTGGAGTAATACAGCTAGTGTAATCCGTTCTGAAGCATGCGTCAATCGATGTTATTCGCAAAAGAGATAAGCTAGATCCCCATACTAATACGATACAGATATCTCGCGTTTCTATTTTTAACATCTTACGATTGAGGGCAGGAAGAATACCGACTGAGCCGACAAGCTTTCCTCAAAATGTGCCAGTCAATTTTCCACATGCCATATACAGATCAGCACTTTACGACCGAAAATTGCGTATGTTTCGGTCCAATAAAAATCTAGTCAAAACTGGGATTTTGGCGCGGTGCCTGCCATGTTGGAGCGTGAATACATGTTGATATCAATCCAATTATTTGACCATTTGTTCCTTCCTAAGTTTTATCGACCTTGATGCATATTACTGATCAAGATGTCCAGTACAGTTATCCTTACATGCTACTTATACGTGGCTACAAGCGTATCATTGCGTTGTCGGCATTCGAAATATGCTCTAATTTTTGGAATGCTTTCCTGGATGCCAAATCGTAAGCACTGGTCAGTTGTGAATAAATAACGGATGACTCACTACGGCTCTATTGAAGATATTTTCTTTTTTCGGAGTTTTTCCATAATGGACCAAATTCAAATTTCGACCCCTTCTAAAGAAGCAGTCTGAGAGAAGTCATATACCCATTCTCAGAAACCCACAAAAGTGGTGTCCGGCCATCTATATCCATTAACTTAAGGCCCGCCATTGTCTTAAAGCCCGCTCCAGACCCTGCTCACGGAGTATCTTGACAACAGTCTCATGTCTATTCTTAGAAGCCAACAATAGTGGTGCCTGGCCATCTTTATGAACAGGCCTCAACGGATTCAATCTTTATTCTTCTATCCTTACCTCAAGATCCGCATTCTTCTTAAGAAGTAGCTTGACAACAGTCTCATTTCCAGTCCTAGAAGCCTAGAATAGTGGTATCTAGCCATATATACTTTGTCTCAAAGTCCGCACCCTTCTCAAGAAGCAGCTTGACAACAGTCTCATGGCCATTCCTAGAAGCCTGCGATAGTGGTGTCCAGCCATATTCTGTATCCTTTGTCTCAAGATCCGCACCCTTCTCAAGAAGCAGCTTGACAACAGTCTCATGGCCATGTTCAGAAGCCCGCGATAGTGGTGTCCAGCCATATTTATCCTTTGTCTCAAGATCCGCACCCTTCTCAAGAAGCAGCTTGACAACAGTCTCATGGCCATTCCTAGAAGCCTGCGATAGTGGTGTCCAGCCATATTCTGTATCCTTTGTCTCAAGATTCGCACCCTTCTCAAGAAGCAGCTTGACAACAGTCTCATGGCCACTTTCCGAAGCCCACGATAGTGGTGTCTGGCCATATTTTGTATCCTTTGTCTCAAGATCCGCACCCTTCTCAAGAAGCAGCTTGACAACAGTCTCATGGCCATTTTCCGAAGCCCACGATAGTGGTGTCTGGCCATATTCTGTATACTTTGTCTCAAGATCCGCACCCTTCTCAAGAAGCAGCTTGACAACAGTCTCATGGCCATTTTCCGAAGCCCACGATAGTGGTGTCTGGCCATATTCTGTATCCTTTGTCTCAAGATCCGCACCCTTCTCAAGAAGCAGCTTGACAACAGTCTCATGGCCATTTTCAGAAGCCCACGATAGTGGTGTCCGACTATATGTATCCTTTGTCTCAAGATCCGCACCCTTCTCAAGAAGCAGCTTGACAACAGTCTCATGCCCATTCCTAGAAGCCCGCGATAGTGGTGTCCAGCCATATGTATCCTTTGTCTCAAGATCCGCACCCTTCTCAAGAAGCAGCTTAACAACAGTCTCATGCCCATTTTCAGAAGCCCGCGATAGTGGTGTCTGGCCATATTCTGTATCCTTTGTCTCAAGATCCGCACCCTTCTCAAGAAGCAGCTTGACAACAGTCTCATGCCCATTCCCAGATGCCCGCGATAGTGGTGTCCAGCCATATGTATCCTTTGTCTCAAGATCCGCACCCTTCTCAAGAAGCAGCTTGACAACAGTCTCATGGCCATGTTCAGAAGCCCGCGATAGTGGTGTCCAGCCATATTTATCCTTTGTCTCAAGATCCGCACCCTTCTCAAGAAGCAGCTTGACAACAGTCTCATGGCCATTCCTAGAAGCCCACGATAGTGGTGTCTGGCCATATTTTGTATCCTTTGTCTCAAGATCCGCATTCTTCTCAAGAAGCAGCTTGACAACAGTCTCATGGCCATTCCTAGAAGCCTGCGATAGTGGTGTCTGGCCATATTCTGTATCCTTTGTCTCAAGATCCGCACCCTTCTCAAGAAGCAGCTTGACAACAGTCTCATGGCCATTTTCAGAAGCCTGCGATAGTGGTGTCCAGCCATATGTATCCTTTGTCTCAAGATCCGCACCCTTCTCAAGAAGCAGCTTGACAACAGTCTCATGGCCATTCCTAGAAGCCTGCGATAGTGGTGTCCAGCCATCTGTATCCTTTGTCTCAAGATCCGCACCCTTCTCAAGAAGCAGCTTGACAACAGTCTCATGGCCATTCCTAGAAGCCCACGATAGTGGTGTCCGACTATATGTATCCTTTGTCTCAAGATCCGCACCCTTCTCAAGAAGCAGCTTGACAACAGTCTCATGCCCATTCCTAGAAGCCCGCGATAGTGGTGTCCAGCCATATGTATCCTTTGTCTCAAGATCCGCACCCTTCTCAAGAAGCAGCTTAACAACAGTCTCATGCCCATTTTCAGAAGCCCGCGATAGTGGTGTCTGGCCATATTCTGTATCCTTTGTCTCAAGATCCGCACCCTTCTCAAGAAGCAGCTTGACAACAGTCTCATGCCCATTCCCAGATGCCCGCGATAGTGGTGTCCAGCCATATGTATCCTTTGTCTCAAGATCCGCACCCTTCTCAAGAAGCAGCTTGACAACAGTCTCATGGCCATGTTCAGAAGCCCGCGATAGTGGTGTCCAGCCATATTTATCCTTTGTCTCAAGATCCGCACCCTTCTCAAGAAGCAGCTTGACAACAGTCTCATGGCCACTTTCCGAAGCCTGCGATAGTGGTGTCCAGCCATATGTATCCTTTGTCTCAAGATCCGCACCCTTCTCAAGAAGCAGCTTGACAACAGTCTCATGGCCACTTTCCGAAGCCCACGATAGTGGTGTCTGGCCATATTTATCCTTTGTCTCAAGATCCGCATTCTTCTCAAGAAGCAGCTTGACAACAGTCTCATGGCCAGTCCTAGAAGCCTGCGATAGTGGTGTCTGGCCATATTCTGTATCCTTTGTCTCAAGATCCGCACCCTTCTCAAGAAGCAGCTTGACAACAGTCTCATGGCCACTTTCCGAAGCCCACGATAGTGGTGTCTGGCCATATTTATCCTTTGTCTCAAGATCCGCATTCTTCTCAAGAAGCAGCTTGACAACAGTCTCATGGCCATTCCTAGAAGCCTGCGATAGTGGTGTCTGGCCATATTCTGTATCCTTTGTCTCAAGATCCGCACCCTTCTCAAGAAGCAGCTTGACAACAGTCTCATGGCCACTTACCGAAGCCCACGATAGTGGTGTCTGGCCATATTCTGTATCCTTTGTCTCAAGATCCGCATTCTTCTCAAGAAGCAGCTTGACAACAGTCTCATGGCCATTCCTAGAAGCCTGCGATAGTGGTGTCCAGCCATATTCTGTATCCTTTGTCTCAAGATCCGCACCCTTCTCAAGAAGCAGCTTGACAACAGTCTCATGGCCATTTTCAGAAGCCTGCGATAGTGGTGTCCAGCCATATGTATCCTTTGTCTCAAGATCCGCACCCTTCTCAAGAAGCAGCTTGACAACAGTCTCATGGCCATTCCTAGAAGCCTGCGATAGTGGTGTCCAGCCATCTGTATCCTTTGTCTCAAGATCCGCACCCTTCTCAAGAAGCAGCTTGACAATGTTTCCAAGCCCCATATACGAGCATATCATGATACCGGTGATTCTGTCTGATGGTATTCTCTCTTCTGACTCCCAAAACAATTTAAACCAGGCTGACCAAGCTCTTGAGTCCGGGGAACTTATGCGTATTGTGGCAGACGTGATATTTCTATCAGTAGCAATGCAAGCTTCGCGGTAATGATTGCCCCATTCCAGTGCAGAGTATTCGAGAAAAGGATGCATTTGCTTTTGGAAAACATCTTCTCCCACTATTTCCGTGGAAACTTTTTCATTGTTGAGCAGATCGAGGTAAGCCACACAAATTTTTGCCAGGATTCGATGTGAGTCTTTGCTAGCAAAAGAATGCTGCCACAATGGACATGAATGGTTCATCACAGGTAATAGCATATCTGCAGCCAAAAACTCCCGAGCACTTTGATGGAGTAAATAAATCCTATCATGATAAACCGAAACAAATAGCCCACATGATGTTCTTAGGCGTGATATAAAGTCTACTTCTTTCTCTAAATCGAGATCATCGAAAGACTTTGTTTCATCATCAATAGCCAATGCAACATTCATTTCAGAAATAGTCATTGGGCGCTTCGCTACAAGTATAATGCTTAAGGCTTGGCGAGCCAAGAGTTGGTCTTCCGATCTATCGAGGATTCGCTCATATGCATCATAGACGTTTTTCGGCAGACTTGCGAACATGCGATTGATTCCTTTAATTGTCTTTACGAAATTCCTTCTCTGGAGGTCTTCAAACAGAAGGTATATCCAAAGGTATGTTCGATGAACAACTTCACTTAACTTAAGAGCTAAGTAAGCTTGAACATCACTTGAGAGGCCCTTCTCATTTGATAGCTGACTCACTCGGGATTGGATGACATGGCCAATTTCTTTACTGATAGTTTCTGACTCTTCCTCTCCTGGAATATGGATAAATGGGAAATCATCCCGAAGATCTCTGAACTTGTCAGTTATGCGATCATACGGGCGGCTTGTGAGAAGGAACTTCAGTTTCCGGTTATCCGACTGGGCCCCATGAACTTGACGCTTGATGTTCAGCATAAGGTCCCTGAATTCTGATTCAGCGCATTCGTCTAGAGCATCTAGAACAACGATCACAGGTGTAGCCTGAGGATCTTTTGTGGCCTTTTCAAAGATACTCCAAAGAGATCCTATCAGTTTGACCAGAGTCTGCCCGTTTTTCTGGAATTCCTCTATGGCATGCTTGATAAGAGATGGGTTATTCGAGAATAGCTGGTGGAGAATAGCGCAAATTGCTTGGCTAACTGTATTCTGATCTTGATCCTTAAAAAAGAAGTAGCAGATGATTGATGACGATTTCGTCAGTATATCATCAACAAGGTATTTTGCCAAGACAGATTTTCCACAGCCGGGATCTGCGGAGACCAGCAATGGTCCTGAATCTTCGTTCAGCCATTTCTGGAAATGGTCATGGTTAAGAAACCACTCGCAAGTACCCTCAACTCGAGTTTCCACTCGGTCCTTATACCATTCGTATCCCGTACCTTCGGTATTTGTGGGATGGCGAAACAATTGAAGACATTCTTTTTCCTTTTCTGAAAGCGTATGCTTAAAAATATCCTCTTGTAGCGCAAGCTGCTTCTGTGCAACTATATCGAGGCCTAATAAAATAGCAAAATTAACACCGAGGAACATAGAGGTTACACTTCACGTTAAACTAACTAGACAGAGCATCACCAATTCTCTTCTCAGCCTCAATTCTGTTTGGGTGGACCCTAAGGAGTAGGTCTTTTGCGTAGGCTGCGGCCACCATTGCTGCATACCCTTGCCACTCCTTGTTCTTATGTGAGTCTGAGTAGTCGCATATTCCACGAATCACAATACACGGAAAATGGTTCATGAGCCCCGCGGCTTCCATCTCGAAGCAAAGGACATTTCTTTCTGCAGCAAGTCTATCCCGAATACAGGCATCCTTCATGAGCTGGTTTGAGGAAGCAATAAGCCCATAGTGAATCGTTGGATCATCCACATCGTCTGATCGTTCTTCCCGTCTTAGTAGGCGAGATAGCTCATCTCCACATACCACCAGACAGCTGCCATCATTGTTCTCAGGGTGGACAAATTCGCTCCGATATAACCTGTCACTGTTCCGGTCCGGGTGCTGGTATTTTTTTCGTAGTCTCGGCTTCTTCTCCAAGATACTGTCAATAGATTCTTGAATCTGATGCCCGTCGCTCTCGTAGTCACTTTGCAATACGTTGAGGGCTGTCCTTAAAGATACCGGTGACTGGTTGAGAACTCCTGTCGATTGGAAACTTTGATTTTGGATGGTTTTGCCAAAGTCATACTGGAAAACGCCTCCCTTTCCATCGCGGGAAGCACTAACCACCACATCCCCCAGGCGAATATCACGTTTTGCACTCGGTGCACCGCCACCGATGCCGACCATCAGACCGACCTTGATGTTTGGAAAGCTATGCAACATGTCTTTTGCTACACCTGTTGCAGAAGATAGACCGTACTCCCCATCGGGTAAGACTGCAATGACGACTTTGTGCTTTCCAATAAGGCCTACAGCATAGGCGTTATTGTCAGCTGGAGCTAAATCTTCTGGTACTTGGTGCTTTACATCAAGAAAGTTTTGTGCCGCAGTAAATTCCGTACTAATGGCACAGATCCATCCGATAGTGTATTCCTTGGGGTCAGACATCGTGGCCAGGAGTTGGTTTTCCGGAAAGTAACTTTGGGCAGGTGCTTCGTACCTGTGATGGTGGGCAAATCTAGAAGTTTCATGTATCAACTGGCGACCGCTGCACAGAAACTATGAACGACGACAGAAACAGAGGAAAGATTCACTCACATCTTATGTGAGATTCTCGCTGAGAGAGGGGTAAGTTAAAAATGGATTGGTTGGCTGATACGAGCTGAATGAGGCAAAGCCTGTATGCAACTGTCGCCCGATGTGACAGCCAATCATGGTGAATAATTCCCAAATGTAGATGCGGTGTTGATCAACGATGGGGGAGAATCGCCGGAGGACTGACTGGAAGATATACCATCTATGCACTCTAGAGATGAGAGAAAGTGTGTGTGTGTGTGGTGTGTGTGTGTGAGAGAGAGGCAGCTGACAGCGAATATTGCAAGTTGACTGGTCTCCAGAAAAATATTGTATCGCAGAAAAACGTGGCCGCAAATATAACTATTAAGAGAAATCCTAGGTGCACCATGCTCAGAACTCTATTAGAATAGAATAGGAAAGTCAAGAAATGGAAAAGAAAATCTTTCACGTAGGATAAGGTGATTGATTTAAGCTTACTACACAGTATCGACAACAATAGAACTAACGGAGACAATGAAGATAAAATGGTCGAATTTATGCTATAGACTAAGCTTCCTTCCTCGATACAAGATGTGTATAGAATTCCGCAATACACTCAGCCTCACATAGTCTGAACCTCTTTTCTAGTTCCGCGCCTTTGAAGTCATCAATATGGTCTACTGTAAGGTTCTTATTGGTATGTGTTTTATGCGCAACAGCCCAGAGAGCCATGGCTCGCAAAATCGGGAGCATGACTAGATCGGTGTTGAGATCTAGCCCGTACATCCACGCAGTCAACATTTCCTGTTCATGCAGCAGATTGGGAATTTCCTGGTTGGCGTGAGCTTGCTGGCCGATGATGGTTGCAGCAGCATCTTTTGCCAAGACTATGGTAGTGCCTCGGGCTTTAGCTTTGATGAATTGCTCCCTATCATGTTTTGCTGCTGCACCCGCAAGGGACATTAGGACAGGTTAGAGTCGGGGAGCTTTAAAAAAAGTCGCTATCGACTCTCTTCATAGTCAGAATCCATGAAGTCATCGATGCTCGAAGCGTATTATCTTTGGAGTCGATGAGGGGATTGGCTGTTTCGATTAAAGGGTCGTAGATAATGTTATGCGCGCCAACGCCTCCACTTGGTTTTGGAGGGGTCTCGGGAATGAATTCATCGTCATCGAGGAGAGCAAGGACTGGCGACGGAGCGTAATCACTGTTTGTGTGTGCAGCAAGGATCTCCGAGTGATAATTTATAGGGTTCGTGGGAGGAAATGCTTCTTGAAGTTGTACATATGGAGGTGGGTTACTCGGCTCATCTTGAGCGTACTCGTTTGAAAAATGCTTATGCCTTAATGGGTTTGATTTTGATGGAGAGCGACTTCTGGGCCTTTTCCTGCTCGGTGCAGTATCACGAGCGCTGCGAGGAAAATGCTCCGCGTTGTATTTATTGCTCCCAATTTTCGAGAGTTCCTCTAGCTCCAGAATACGCGTTGCTCAAATCAACCTTGGGTGTTTGACAACCACTGTTGATTCCAGCATTGAGATTCCTCAAGGCCTGGATCGCGTAGGTGCTGTAGCCGATATATGCGTCAAATAACAGAACTTGCGATAACGATTTAAGAAGCATAAAGTGCAAAGAAGTGCCTGTGATGGGCTTGGCACTGGTCGGTTGCACGTTCATGAGTACTTGACTTGGGCTGTTGATCTGGAATTTGAGGTGTGATAATCTTCTCTTCTCCGATGAGTCGAGAGAGGTTTGCTCTAGACTCTGGTAAACATCCGGTGGAACCTCATTCATCGATATATTTACATTACACCCGAGACATGTTCGTTTATTATTAAGCTCATATTGCTCAAGATAGTGGATATCAAGCGTCGCAAGTAGTCAACAAGAGAAAACCCCGCCAGCGAGCCTAGTAAAAAAGGAAGATCAAACACGACTCATATCGCTGCAATAGAAAGCGAAAAACGCGAGCGCTCGGATAAGGGGGGAATCTTGGTGAATCTTGGTTGGAAAAAGTGAGTAGAGGGGAGATCCGTAAAGCCATGCGGATGAAAGGAGATCCATAGTAATGGACGCCGAGTTGCAATGTCCGTGGATGGAGCAAGGCGATGTAAGAGTGATTATCGTTCCTTTGTACATCAAAGGCAAATAGAGAGGAACCGTTATAGACCTGAGGATCGTAGTCCTAATTCAATACTCCATCCCACCCAGTCTGTCTGTTGAGTCGATAACCCTAAGTAGAATTAGCATGATATGATATGATAATAAGAGAATGACTTCTCAGACATACGAATACTGTTTGGTGAGGGTACCCTCTCCGCCCTTGGACAAGTCAATGTTGAAAACATAAAAGTTTCCGTCACTGGTCACAACCATGACTTGGGGAGTATTGCTGCTCATTGCTACCACACTTCGGAGAGTACCGGCACTATTGCTTCCAGCTGCCTGACTAGTTCGGGGCAACTTGAACCATGCAAAATCACGTGCCGGCTCCCACATCTCACTCACGCCTTTGGGAAGGTAGCCGCCCACCTTAGCAGCCACTACTCCTCCAACATTCTGGGATGTCCGGCGGATCATACCCATAAAGGTGCCGCTGTGCTTTCTAGGTTCTAAATCGGAGCTCTCCTCCCCCTCTTCATCGTCACGCAAATTTCCAAAATGACTTCCTCGGACTGATTGGTCACGACCTATTGGAGAATGCGCTGAAGAGCCATCAGATGACGGTCCTTGTTGACTTAGTTTGAAGAGATGGATGGTATCGGTAGATGAGGAGACGCAGAGAAGAGTCGATGTGGTGTTAAATGACATGCTGAAGATTTTGGATGGCATAGAACCGCGTCGGAACTGGTACAGTTTGTGGCCATCAGGAACCGAAAAGACACGGATGATAGTTCCTTTATCTGAGGCAGTTGCAAGTAGAGTTCCGTCGCTGTTGAGGGTAATGCAGGCTAGTGGAGACCGGTGAGCTTCAATGACGTTGATAGCCTCGAGCTTCAAAGAGTCGAAAATTAGGACGTCTCCATTTGTAGGTGAGACATGAGTCGTTCCAGGCGGAGCATGGGCTGGTTGCTTGACTGTCGCGGGGGCTTTTTGCGGTAATGGATATGCCATATAGCAATTATCGGATGATGGAGCCAAGGTGCAAAGAGCTAGTCAATAAGAGTCAGAACTTCTCCTCGTGTAAGGATATATAGACATACCATTAGGATTGGGGGATGTGTCGATTGTCGATAAAAGCTTCATAGTCTGGATATCATACAGGTAGATTTGGTCCTCCAAAACGATGACAAGTCGTTTGCGGTTAAGCCTGACGGCCAAAACAGTAGTCGGGAAAGTTAACTCGCATATTGTGCATTGGCGCTATAGACAAAGCTATCAGTTAGACACATATTGGCCCTTTGAGGTAGACTCGAACAAACCTTTGTGTTTGTGATCTGTAATCGACGGGGCGAGAGAATAAGTGCGACCAAAGAGGTCGAGAAGAGCATCTCAATCAAGGCAATATTTCCCTCTTTGGTTTCATAGCTCTTGGCGAACGGGTCTGTAGTGAATATTCGGAAGCCTTTGGAGGTGGCTGGTATATGTTAGATAAGGCATTTATTTCCACTCAATCAAATGGTGGAGCTCAAGAGGTATCTCACCTACAGCCAGGTAGCTGTAGTCCTGGTTGAATGTCACGAAGTTCATCGCCATCATGAGATCGATGGTATGTTTCAAGTCGCCGGGGTGGAGCCGATGATTAACCCCGCCAAGGGAAGGACACAAATTTGGGGCTGGGCCAGGGAAGGATTGCCTGTCAGATAGTTGCTCAATCCCTGTCGTCACACGCACGCGTGATTTGATCAAGACAAAGTACGGCGCCGGGTGGAGTAGGAGGAAAGAGCAGGATTGTTGATATGGGGATCCATGAGGAACATCTGCCAGGTGAGCCTTTCGTCATAAGCTCACCGCCCGGGATAGTTTCTTATCGATAAGGATATTTATCGAGCACAGATCTATAAAAGTGATTGCTCACGGTTGATTAAAAATGGATAGCCGATATACTACACCGGTAGGCTAGTAATATTATAAACAGAACATCAACTATGGGACATCATTCTAGTAACTCTAATTTAATGTGGCGGAAACATTTTCCGGAGCTTACCTGGAACTTAGCTAGGTCAGGACAGCATCATAAGCGGCACAGTATTATGGCACAATAATTTAAAGCGTATAATCACATGGAAGCTTTCACTTGAGGAGGTCTCCAGAGTCCTGTATGGCTTAAATCAAGGGTGATAAACTTCCATGTGAAACTTGAACTTCTTGGGATAAAACTTAGAGCCTTAAGTCCTTTTGAACATCCCAGTTTTTAGCCACTCAGCTCTCTCCAGCATTCAAGTCTGTTATGGATCTGATCTCGAGATCATCGATGGTTAAGACGCATTAAACCTAGGTACTAAGGGCCTAGATCTCAGGCAACAGGTACGGAGTACGTAGGTACCAAATGAGAGAATTTAGCGCCATGTACCAAGGTGAATATCAGGTAGCCACAACGCGTCTTCTACTTCAGGGTTTGTTCAGGTAAGAGCCAAGGTTTTAAGAAAAGAAATTTGGGTAGTTACACGGGTCAGGCGGTATTAATTACGATGAAGCTCTCATATGGTTGCTGCTACTTGAGTTGAATAACATCGAACGTGGTGTATCCAAGTTTCAAGTACTCCGTATTCCTGTGTCCACCCGACGAGGTGCAGGATTTACATATCATAGGTCTTTTATAAACTGTCGATCCTGTGAACGCATTTGTTCCATGTATGCGGACGGAATAGGTTATTCTACAGCTAGGATAAAAGTTGTTCGTCTCGCCATCAGCGACAGCAATGGCGTTGTCTCCTAAAACACAAAGCAAGTCTTCGGGTAATGAAGACGGGTATCCCCTAGGTGTGAGAAGTCATTGATCATTTGAGTAAGTGATAGGTCTCTCCGATGGCTGAATGATGGGAAATATCGGATGAAGATAAGGGCCCAAAGATGAGCCTTGCCTAGTATTTATCTTCTCGTTTGTGTATGGTCGAGATAGCAAGTGCTATGCGAGGGGTCTACCAGTAAGAGCCCCGCCATCTTGTTGTGTCACGTTAATATCTTGGGGTTGCTTTTGGGCACCGGCTCTGTGGTTAGGATCGTGGTAGGACATCTCTTGGGCATCTGCATAATTAGTCTGACGAATAGGGTGATGGACGGATCACATGGGGGGGGGTTCTTATATATATATTTTGTCATTTTCATTGCTTACCAGTATCCATCGGGATTGTCCCAATGTGAAATGGTTGAAACAGCATGTACTCATATACCGGGTAGTTCGTACTCTGTCCTGAATCCATTTCATTATAATAAATTGAGTTTGTAGGCGTTCCAAGGAAACCGGAAAAGATACTTTTTTTTCTTATCCAAGTTGTATGTGCGGGGGAACGGTTTTTGGCAGTAACACGATTCGTCAGTATTGGGATGAGTTGGAGGCGCTAAGTGGAGCCAGTTTGAAGGTCTCAAAGCCGAGTGGATAACAGTTCGGAACCAAAAAGGGATATATATGAATCTCATCGTCATTGAACTGGATCCTACCAGTGATTGGTGGCCAAGAAAGGGTTAGTCCATGGATATACCCGAGCGCAACGCACTGATACGGGTACTACGGGGTGAATATGAAGTTCAAAGATATCTGATATCTGATCTCTGAGATGGAGAAAAGAAGGAGGCGCAAACTAGATCCATACAGTGGAGATCTGTGGAGTTGGGAAGTTCCAAGTCGAGTGGAGGAGTTCAGATATGACGAACATATGGGCCGATAAGAGTGTAATCATCTCAGATAGACTGGAATGTATTTTATTACTTAAACCTTCCATTTGTACTCCGGCTCATTCATACCCCCCCCCCCTTGCGTGACTATTTTCTTATTTTTTAACCCTCTTCCTTCCCTTTCTTTTTGACCTGTTCTAGTTCACCTCCACTCCACCTTTATTCTTCTACTCCATTTAATCAAATCTAAACCGTTCATATCTTAACTAAGGATTTAAATACTTATTACACGCTGTCTTGTAAAAAGGATGGAATCGTGATATCTCTACCTTTATTATCCTACAACAATCGATGGTATTGTTCAAACACATCAAACCACCTGAACACCCGTCGGCCCTTTTTTTCTTCCACAATGACAACCGTAATTGTTCAACAGCAGCATTCTCTGCGCCATTCAACCCCACCTCCTACATCTCCCATGGCTCCATCACTTGCGGTCAATGCCGTACCTCGACAAAGTCCAGTCTCGAGACACTTGCCTGTGTGCCCCGCGGGACCTTCGCCAGAGTCATCTCCAGAGTCTTCAAGTTCTCCATTTTCTTACCATTCGTCAGATTCTCAAGATTCTGCCAAACCCTCTTCACTTCTTATCTCCCCCGATCAATCAACTCGCCTGACACCTGCTTCATCACCGATATTTGCCATCGATGCCGAAACTCTTTCTGCCGCACTCAATCACCAGGCATCGCTGCCTTTGCCTGATCCTGAACAAATGTTCCCGTGGATTCACGGCCTTCATCCCGACAACCACCTACAGTTGGGTTTCTTCTTGGGCCGCAAACGTGGTCATCGGGTTCGTAGAACGCCCAAGTGCTGGCGAGGTATCACATTGGTCAAACTGGGCGGGGACCTGCGCAAAGCGCGCATTAATGGTGCTGTGGGCCCTGATGAGGTGATCTCCATCAGAGACCGCTTTATGGTTGCGGACGGGCTGTTGGAGGGATTCTCTGTTCGGAACTTTGATATACAAACCTCCAAAATGGCGACCTTGTCAGATATCGTCATCTACGGGGAGGATAGTGTCCAACAATCGGAACTTATCAAGTTGGCAGAGAGGTTCGGAGTGGCTCAGAAAGCCTGGCAAAACAAATACGATCCTCTGCACGAGCACCCACCTTACAACTGCTTTGTGCTGACGAGTGCGTGTAGACCTGAAATATCATGGACTGATATCTAAATGCTGATGTGAATCTAGGCTCCTTCACCGATTTTGAGAAGAAGTTCCCACATTTGGTGGCTGTTAATTCAATGGGTGAGACTACCGGCCAGGTCACCGACTTTGGTAAGTACTAGTGGGCCCTTGCTGGTTTCAATTACTAACCTTTTTTGTAGGTCAATGCGAAAAATTTGAGATGCGTAGTATGGCGAAAGCGTCGGAAATCTCAAAAAATGTCTGGCTTGGTCCGACGCCTGACTGGATGTTGAAATCAGGAGGTGAAGCATCAAAGGAGGTTACATACGACCTGATGATTGAAACAAACGATCTGTCTAGCATCCCTGGTCCTCGATACCTTTCCATGATTGATAAAAAACTTGAAGATGGCCCCCAGCGCATGGATTTCCCCTCTTCGGGCGCTATCGTGCTTCCATCGGAAAAATCAGAAAATAATCGAGAAGTGCAGGACCTCATCTCCACCCTTCGTTGGATTTACTACCTTGCCAACCCTGATGAGCCTGCAGAGGCACAGGAAAAAGACAGCGGTATGGGCCTGAGCATCAGTCACTCGGAATTGAAGCCACGCAAGGTGCTCATCCATTGTCCCGATGGATACACAGAGAGCTCATTGCTTGCTGTTGCATACTTCATGTTTGCTCAAAATGTTCCCGTTCATGAAGCTTGGATGAGATTGCATTGTGAAAAGAAGCGAAACTTTTTCGCTTATCCCATTGACATGCAGCTTCTGAAGCTTGTTCAGCCTCGTATTCTGCAGGAATCTCCGGCTCCAATCACTTCCAACTCTACGCATATCTGGGAACCTAGCTGGTTCGGTACTGTAGACGGTTCCTTGCCCAGTCGCATTATGCCATACCTTTACCTTGGTAATATCAACCATGCCAACAACCCAGAGATGTTGTGGGAACTTGGAATCCGGCAAGTTCTGAGTGTTGGTGAGCCGTTGAATTGGAGCAAGGAGGAACGTGCTGTTTGGGGACAAGAAAGTCTGTTGTACATCGATGATGTACAAGACAATGGTATCGACCCCCTATCCCCGGAATTTGCTCGATGCTTGAAGTTTATTGGTAAGAAACAATCTTGAAATCTGCTCTGTACTTGACTAATTTTTCTGCAGAAAATTGCAAGCATGATGGTAGTGCCACACTGGTTCATTGCCGCGTCGGTGTTTCCCGGTCTGCCACCATCTGTATTGCTGAAGTGATGCAGGCCATGAGCCTCTCGTTCGCTCGAGCTTAGTATGTACCCTTGATCGAAGATTTGAGTTCCTATGACACTATGACTGACTTCATTCTAGCTGCTTTGTCCGTGCTCGACGCCTTAATGTGATCATTCAGCCTCATTTACGCTTTGTGTAGGTCACTTACCCATAGTTGGCGAGAATAGAATCTAACATGACCTCACAGTTACGAGCTTTTGCAATGGGAAGAGCTTCAAATGCGCAAACGCAAAATTCCTCTCAAACGTGAGCTAGAGTGGGCATCCGTCTGCCACGAGATAGCCTTGCTCAACAAGCCATACGCAAGGACCTAAAACATAAAAGGGTACTTCCACCCACCCGGTTTGCTTCGCTTCATAGCGACGATTCCATGCAGCCGAAATCTTTCAATTCCTCCTTTACAATTTTTTTATTGCAGTCAAATACCCGAGAACATCTTCTCTTTTCGCATTGATTTTTTCCGGATATTATTCGGTTGGTTTTATTTGATGACCTTTATGCTATGACCTCTACAAGCAAGACGACTTCAAGGGGGATCTTTTTTCAAGTTCGGCGTTTAGGTGAATGATTCACCTTTCATGCTCATAACATTTCACTGGTGTATGGAACAAGACTATTTTTCATTCCTCACCTCTTTGATCCTTCAGGGCTTTCCCATTTTCCTTCATTCAATATTTTAATTTCTCTATATGGATACCATTGAAGTCTATCTACTTGTAGGGTCCCATCTTCAGTTGTTTTTCTTCATAACATTACCTGGTGGCCATTTTCCTCTTCTTAAAATTAGCCATTCAGAATCGAGTAGACTTCACATAACCCTTTACAGCTAGGTAGATTTATCTATCTTGTATCGGAAGTTATTGATACTAAAGCTGCCAAGGTAGACTTTGCATTGTGTTAATCAAGCTCTGGAAATATGGATCAATTGATGTTGTCCATATTTGAAGATACGATCCATTCAGTACAATATTACTCCTGGCAGCTAGCACCGCTCAAACACCCTATAAAGACCCTTGAGATCAGCGACCTCTACCACACCACGCAGCATCCGGGATGTAGCCACCAGCCTCGCACGCAGCGCCGGGAAGACATCATACTCCAACATCCGAATCATCTGTGCCCGTCGTGTGACAATGAAGACATCTTCCTCAATCGCAGGGACATCTGGATTTGAACTCTCTGCAGATTTTGACGGAGAAACAGGTAACTGTTCCGGTGTATAAAAGGCAGCCAGCTCACGCAGGAAAGTGTGGAAACAGTCTTCCTCGTTAGACCATTCCACGTACGGACCCAGTCGAAGCAGGAATCTAGGTAGCTTCGCCAGCGAGGGAACGTATCCTTTTAACAGTAGTGGTATGGTGAGTAACTCGCCATCTGCGCTAACCTTGAGCGAGAAGTATTCGTCCAGCATCTCCCGACGCTCAATGAGAGTACGGGCAACGATTTCCGCAGCGTCAGAAAATATATTCTCGGCTTCTTTGTCGTTACAATTATGGTTTTGTTGCTCTGCTTCTGCTCCTATTTGTAGGAGATCGACAAGTTTGGGTGGTGGTTCGAGTTTTATGGTGCCGAAGTTCCCGAAGTCTGTTAGTCCGACTTGGTAAAAGAATTCATTACATGCGAGCCCGTAATCGACTAGGTAGAGCTTTATGCCAGATTGTATTGCTGCTAGACGTCGTTGCTCGTCCACTACCCCCACGTATGTGTGCGATGCAAACATCTCTGTAAGGGTGTTGTGCATTGTGGTGCGGACTATGCTGCGGAGATTTTTGACTGAGGAGAGGGCGATGCGGAGGGGTTGTCGGTCTGTGGTCTCGTACTGGAGGCCGTCATCTGGTATTGGCTCTGCATTTCCAGATTTGTTTAGTCCATTTAGTGAAGGCGAGGAAATTGCGACTGGTGTAAGCATGGAGGTGATTTTGCGGACTTTGGAGTCTGTGCGGACCAGGTTGTTTTCATATGGTTTTTTGACTGTTGCTGGTGTTTTGGGAGTGCTTGCTGACTTTGTATTTGTCACTCCATCTGAAGAGCCACCGTTATCAAGTTGGATCGTTTCAATGGTCTGCACTCCCGGCAAGAGACTTTGCGTCAGGAATGTGCGGCTTGAGTCGACCTGTACAAGCTTGGATCTGATTTCAGTGCAAACCATGTCGACGATTTCGTCCTCATTGAGGAAGTTTACCTCTCGTTTCGTTGGATGGACATTCACATCTACGCGATGCGGCTCGATCTCCAGATCAAGATAAACAAAAGGATGTCCACCCTTGGGTAGAAATGTGGAATAAGTCTGCTCGACAGCACGTTTTATAGCCGTTGACTCTACGGCACGGTGATTGATAAAAAGGAGAATTCCCGTCTTCTTGACATGATAATTCGCATTGGTCGCTAACCCGGAGGCACGGAATCCAAGCTTTTCGTCTAATACTTTGAACTCAACCAGTTCGCTTGCAACTGCGCTACCATGAATCTGGCGAATTCGGTCGATGGTGTTTGCACTTGATGGTGTCGAGATGCTGACTCCAGAATCACCGTGCTTGCGACAAGAGAAGGCAACGCCGGCGCAGTGCACAGAATACCGGCCAACCACATCGAGGATCTTAGCATACTCTTCGCTTGCGGAGCGAAAGGCACGACGACGGGTGGGAATATTATAGAATAGATCTTCGACCTTTTCATGCTTTAGTACCAACCTTTCTTGGATCATTGGTATTCAATTTTTTCTTACCGTGATCTGTGTTCCACCCCTTCCAGCTATCGCCTTGGGAGATGCACTCTGCCCCGGTTTTGCAGGGACCAGTTTTCCAGCACCGTAATGTGCTCGCCAGGCACAACTTGAGCCAGCGGTCTTTGTGGTCACAGTTAAATGGGCAATATGACTGATACTGGCGAGTGCTTCGCCTCGGAAACCGTATGTACCGATTGAAGAAAGATCTTCAAAATCCTTGAGTTTAGATGTTGTGAATCTCTCGCAAAGTATCGGCATGTCATCCCGCTGGATAGAGTCAGCAAGTTGTATAATTCCTGAAAACACAGGTCCGATTCACTTACATCAATGCCGTGCCCATTGTCTGTGATTTGTAGCAACTTCAGTCCTCCCTCCTTCACTAGAACCTCAATCGATGTAGAGCCCGCATCAACGGCGTTTTCGATGAGCTCCTTCAAGGCGTGCATAGGAGCCACAATAATCTCTCCGGCGGCGATCTTATTGACGACGTCGGGATCTAGAGCCTAGAAATCAACTTAGTAGGTATACAGAGTGAGGTAGTAAGCGATCATACCTTGATTCTCTTTGGCTTGGCAGGCTCTAAGACTTCAACCTCGTCAATAGGGCGCTTCGTGCCACGAAAATCTGATGGATCTATTTCCATCATGTCTTCCATCGTGTTTAAAGATCCTCCTCGCGTTTTCGTGTCGTGAGTGGAGTAGGTAATAAAGCGGGCAGCATTGGCGATAAGGATAAGGCGATAAGTACATCATTGTCTGTGGGAACGGCACTCCGCAAGAAGACCCCCTTTGCTCCGAGGATCATCTGCATATTCTGTGCCCCGGGCAGCTTTCGATTGAACACGGCTATTCTAAATGTCCTGAGTTGATATTGTGGCTCCACTAGAGCCGTTCATGCAATGGTGCGCGCAAAGATCCCTCTAGACGTCGATGAAGAGCTAGGCAAAAAGGACGACGACCATCGAGTTTCTGAGAAGACCCGCTTTCGATCTATACAAAATGCGAAAGTTCCTCGCCCTCGGCGAATCATCATCGCACTAATTGCCCTTGTGTTTCTCTATGAATTCTTCAAGAACATGCCAACCGACCTTGCCCCAGCCATCGAACGGTACAACCCCGAGTTAGCGAGACTGAGAAACGAAGGCTTAGGGTATTCGTCACCCACTAAGCCAAAACCCGAGATTCCACTACAGGCGCAGGAACAACCACCGGGATTTAATAGCGTGGGTAGCTCATCGTATGATGGGAAGATCAAATTCAATGAGCTGGCTCATTCTCTTCCACATAAGAAGCATGCGGATAATACCCCTAGCCAAGCTGTTCTGTTTGCGGGCTCCAACCTTCGTAGTGTCTCGGATTTGCTACCACTAGCCTGTCGAATGGGGCGAGAAAAACTGAATCGCGTCCATTTTGTCGTGATGGGAAAGGAGGAAGTATCCATTGAGGGTATTAAGCAGGTTAATGGAATTACAGATGAAGAATGTCCTATAGTCTGGCATGGTTAGTTTTACCTCTGCCATATAAAACACTCATAAATGCTGACCTCGTGTAAACAGACGGTAGACCAGACTTTGCGGCCCAGTCTACGAACTCACGAATAGAACGATCAGTCGCTAGTGCTCTCGGATTTCTACACACATACATTGCCCCGGAAGTCATTATTACCCAGCAACCATCATGGGAGGACAATTTCTTCTGGTCAGGACTTGCGGCCCATAAACGGTATACTGGCACTCAGCACATCGCTCTCCCGACTGCTTCGAGAGACCTGATGTGGATCGCCTCTATTGATAGCACCGCTCTTCAGTGTAAGAAATTTACCCTACCACATCTTTTCGACTTAAGGCTAACGAGCTTGGAACAGCTTGGAATGACATACAAGTTGATATCGTTGTCCACGACACCGAATCATCGGGATCCTTGATTAGACTCATCCGATCATTGGATGCCGCTGATTATCTTGGATCACAAGTCCGGTTGACCATAGAACTTCCACCATCGGTAGACTCGCAAATTCTCGGCTTTTTACAGCACTTGGATGGACTTCGTCAACTCTCAGGACGAATCGCTATCAGACGGCGCATTCAACCACACTACATGGACCCGGTAGAGTCCTCTTTCCGGATAGTGGAAGCCTTCTATCCCATAAATCCCAACTCATCCCATCTGCTTATCTTGTCTCCGCAGGCGGAGTTAGCCCCGTCATTTTACCACTACCTCAAGTACAACATCCTCACCTATAAGCAGTCTGCTAATGCACAGCTGCATCACCAAATATCATCGAATCTATTGGGAATTGCACTGGAACTGCCATCTTTGAGTCCCTCAGCTAAGAATGAGCCGTTCAGTCCCCCGGAGCTGCGATCTACTTTCAACTCGGGCAAAACCGAGCAGGAAAATTTTCCATTATTCCTCTGGCAAGCTCCAAATAGCAATGCCGCTTTGTACTTCGGTGACAAATGGGTTGAGTTCCACTCATTCCTGTCTAATCGTCTTGAAGTCCTAGAGAGCAAAGCAAGTGTTCTCTCTCAAGAAAAGCTGATATCCAAACGGTATCCAGCTTTCATGGAATATCTTCTGGAAATGATGCGCTCTAGGGGATACTACATGCTTTATCCCTCCTTCCCAGGTCTCAGAGCATCATCCCTGGTGACAGTCCACCACGAACTGTATCAGCCTCCAGAAGAGTTTTCTCTCGATCCGAACTCTGTAGATTCGGCTCAAACCATTGAAAGCATCGAAGATACAGGCCAATCTCTTGAGTTACAGACAGATGAAATTGAGATATTATCATCAGATAAGCCCTTGGATCGTGTATCGACGATTACACCTCTCCTTGACACTTTTGCATTGGGCCTCCCGGATGTTAATTCCCTGTCCTTGCTTTCTTTTGACGGGGGTCTGTTGACAGTGGAAGCGCTTACGCGACAGACCAAGGAGTATACAAAGTACTTCCAGGTGCACTACGGAGGCTGTTCAGAGGAAGCACTGACTTCCAGCAAATATTCCTCGCCATTATTCTGCCTATGAGCGTGATAAATGAGGTGGTGATCTAGTGAAAATATGTTCTAGTCTTGATTTGATTTAGCGTTTGATGTTTCAAATATCCGTGACCTCACTTGATCTCGCAGTATCGAATGAAAAAAGCTGCAGTAAATCGTTTTGTAAAATTGCAGGTAGTGAAATCTGTCAACTGGACTCTAGAGTCTTGAATTTTGAAGTTTGAAGGCATTATATTTTGGTTACTTCTAGGTTGATTTCTATAGAACGAAATGGAAAACAATCACGAGCGGTGAATTCAGGCAGAATTATGTAATCCGGGAGCTGCACCAAGCCCGAGCTCTTGTCTCAATCACCAGCTTACAATCACCGCGTTAACCGCAATCTGCACACCATCTTTTCTTTTCCTTTGTGCCACGCACTAAAATTCATCTCGCAAACTCGAGTTTTTGTCCATTATTCCATAATTCAAAGACCTGGTCGCCAGATACCGTCAGAAATGGCGAACGAAGGCGAACGGTCAACTTCCGCTGACAAGGGCAAGGGCAAGGTTGATGATGTTCGCGAGCTGAATGGCAAGAAGCCTCAGAAGGAGAAGAACACTGTTGAGGGTAAGAAGAATGATGATGAACCCCAGGAAGGTAAGTTACGATGAGAATAACAGAGCTGGCCATTTGGTCTCTTCGCTGTATAGTGTTTGAACTGAAGCTAACGACCTCGAAGAAGAACTCAATGAGGAAGATCAGCAATTGAAAAATGAGCTGGAGATGCTTGTTGAGCGACTAAAGGTATGATTCCGACAGAAAATCATCGATGACGTTAATGCTCACACCTGCCTGCGATAGGAACCGGACACCACCCTTTACGGACCCGCCTTGGATGCCATCAAGAACTTTATCAAGACCTCAACTTCATCCATGACCGCAGTTCCAAAGCCCCTGAAATTCCTCCGACCACACTACGATGATCTCGCAGAGCTCTACGAAAACTGGGCAGCAGGCACAAACAAGGTTGGTTCGAGGACTAAATCATCAATCGTTTCTAGGACTAACAGAGGCTTTTAATTTATTTTCAGGACTCGCTAGCCGATATGTTGTCCGTTCTTGGTATGACCTATGGAGACGAGAATAAGCCGGAGACGCTCAAATATCGCCTTTTGGCCAAGTCCGAAGATCTTGGCTCATGGGGCCACGAATACGTTAGGCATTTGGCTCTGGAGACTGGACAAGAGTATCAGCGCCGGTTAAATGCAGAGAGTGAGACACAGGACCTGGTAGACCTTGCACTGTCCCTGGTGCCTTACTTCTTGAGCCACAACGCCGAAGCAGATGCCGTCGATCTTATGAGTGAAATGGAGATTATTGAGGAGCTTCCTGGTTTTGTCGATGAGAACACTTATGCTCGTGTTTGCTTGTATATGGTCAGCATGGTCAACTTACTCACTTACCCCGAAGACCAGCAGTTCCTCACGACAGCTCACGAGATTTATGTTCGCTACAACAAACTCTCCCAGGCCATCGTCCTCGCTATTCGTTTGAACGACATTGGACTTATTAAGAGTGACATCAATGCTACAACTGATAAGGCTCTTAAGAAGCAAATGGCCTTCCTTGTCGCGCGGCAACAGATCTGGCTTGACTTGCCATCCGATGGTGAAGAAGACGAGGCTCTTGCAGATTGTCTCAACAACATTTCCATCCCGAAGCATTTCAAGTCTCTTGGTAAGGAACTTAACATTCTGGACCCCAAGATGCCCGAAGATATCTACAAGACACATCTGGAAACCAGCCGTGGGGCGGGTCTCGCCAACCTCGATTCGGCTCGGCACAATCTGGCTAGCGCTTTTGTGAACTCTTTTACAAACGCCGGCTTTGGCAACGATAAGATGATGCTTGTGGAGGGCGAGAAGGGTCCTTGGGTATGGAAGACGAAGGATGACGGTATGCTATCAACAACCGCATCGCTGGGCATGCTTCTCCACCGGGACGTTGAAATTGGCTTGGACAAGATTGACAAGTTTACCTACGCATCAGAGGACCAGGTCAAGGCTGGTGCTCTGCTTGCAATTGGTATCCTAAACTCTGGTGTTCGACTTGACTCTGATCCGGCTCTCGCTCTCTTGAGTGACCCTGATAACCTTGATGCTAAGACTGTACCAATGCGTGTTGCATCCATCATGGGTCTTGGTCTCGCCTACGCGGGATCTAACAAGGAGGAACTCCTCGATGTCCTTCTCCCCATTGTAGAAGATACTTCTCTTGATATGCAGCTATCTGCAATGGCTGCTGTTTCGCTGGGTCTTATCTTCGTTGGCTCATCAAATCACCAAGTCAGTGAGGCGATTGCGACAACATTGATGGATGAGGATCGCCAGAAGCAGCTTAAGGATAAATGGACACGGTTCATGGCCCTTGGTCTCGCCCTACTCTACTTTGGCCGACAGGAGGAGGTTGATGTTATTCTCGACATTCTGAAGGCGGTCGACCACCCCATGGCCAAACCCACTTCCGTCCTTGCCTCTGTTTGTGCTTGGGCTGGAACTGGTACTGTTCTCAAGTTGCAGGAGCTCCTACATATCTGCAACGACATTATTGAGGAAAAGGAGGAAAATAAAGGCGATGAATTGGTTCAGTCATATGCTGTTCTAGGATTGTCACTCATTGCTATGGGTGAGGATGTTGGCCAAGATATGATTCTCCGTCAATTTGGTCACCTCATGCACTATGGCTCTAGCAACATCCGCCGAGCTGTGCCCCTCGCTATGGGTCTGGTTAGCGCTAGTAACCCCCAAATGAAGGTTTATGACACCCTGTCACGATACAGCCACGACAACGACAACGATGTCGCAATTAATGCCATCTTTGCCATGGGTCTTTGTGGTGCGGGCACCAACAACGCTCGTCTAGCACAACTCCTACGGCAACTGGCAAGCTATTACCACCGTGACCAGAACACTCTGTTCATGGTCCGCATTGCCCAGGGTTTACTGCACATGGGCAAGGGCACAATGACTCTCAGCCCCTTCCACACTGACCGACAGGTTCTATCTCGTGTGTCGGCTGCTGGTCTCCTTACTGTTTTGGTATCTCTCATTGATGCCAAGCAGTTCATTCTTGCCGAGCATCACTACCTGCTATACTTCCTTATCACCGCCATGTTCCCTAGATTCCTCGTTACTCTTGACGAAGACTTGCAACCCCTCAGTGTCAACGTTCGCGTGGGTCAGGCCGTTGATGTAGTTGGCCAGGCCGGTCGTCCAAAGACGATCACTGGATGGCAGACTCAGAGCACTCCAGTTCTGCTTTCTCACGGCGAGAGAGCCGAACTGGAAGACGAGCAATACATTCCACTCAGCAGCATACTTGAGGGTTTGGTAATTTTGCGCAAGGTAGGCAGCACCCTCTCGTATTCCCAACAACGGTCAACTAACATAGTTTTAGAACCCCGACTGGGAGAGCTCCGAATAAGACAATCCATCTGTAGGCCACTTTACTTACACTCAGTGTATCTGTGTAAATGGTTACTCATCATCAGACCTAATGTGTTGCGAACAACTGAGAAATAGCATCGATCTTCTTACTCTACAATAGTTGTTCACCTCGACCGACTCGGTCAGCCCTACAGTTATCTTTTCATTTTTTCCATCCAGAGTATCTCTACAATTACTGTTAGAACTATGAAATATGATAACATAACCGAGTCTTCGAAACGTATCGTTCAAATTAATTTCTGTAACGTCACTGTAGGTAAATAGGTAGGCATATATGTCCCAAACTGGAAATAGGGCTTAGGGCTTCTTATCTTATCATGAATTTATCAACTTTTTTTGTCTCCGCATCAACTCGAGATTCAGTTTTCAAGGACTCAACCATCCTGCGCCAAAGAACAAGGATTCTCGGGCTATTTCAACTATCTGAAACACGCCACAATGAAGCTTGACGCAAAGCAGATTCGCTACCTCACTACTGAGGATTTCAAAGTCCTTGCCGGGGTACATATCCACCCCAGCCATTCGATCAAGGCTTTTATCATGAGAACTAACACAAAATATAGGTCGAAGCCGGAAGCCGAAACCATGAGGTTGTTCCAACTCCGCTGATAGTCACGCTTTCAGGTCTCCGGGGCGGCAGTGGCGTGCACCGCTCGATCTCGAACTTGGCCAAGACTAACTTGATTGCTAGAGTGAAGAATGCGAGATGTAAGCAGACTTGCTTCTGAACGCACTTCTTAAAAAAACGCTAAATCTTTCCCCTCTAGATGACGGCTACAGACTCACCTACGGCGGACTGGACTACTTGGCGTTGAATGCGCATCAGAAGCAGAACGTTGTCTACTCTGTTGGCAACCAGATCGGGGTGGGAAAGGAATCAGACATTATTGCTGTCGCTCACAGTAGCGGAACTCAGCGAATTCTAAAAATCCATCGTCTCGGCCGAATTTCCTTCCGAACTGTCAAAACAAACCGCGACTATCTACGACACCGCAGTTCAGCATCCTGGATGTACATGTCAAGATTGGCAGCGATGAAAGAGTTCGCATTTATGAAGGCGCTTCGAGAGAACGGATTCTCAGTACCCGAACCTATTGCCCAAAACCGCCACACCATTGTTATGAGTATGATTGATGCATTCCCTTTGCGCCAAATTTCCACAGTGCCTCATCCCGCCGAATTGTACTCCGAACTTATGGACATTATCCTGGAATTTGCAAGATTTGGTCTGATTCACGGTGATTTTAACGAGTTCAACATTCTCATCAAAGAAGAGGTTAATCCTGATGGCCCTGGGAAGTTCCCAGTCACCACAAAAATTGAAGACGTGCCTGATGAGGACATTCGTCTCACGCCCGTCGTCATTGATTTCCCACAGATGGTTTCTATTGATCATGCCAATGCTGAAATGTACTTTGACCGCGATGTCGACTGTATCAAGAGGTACTTCAAGCGGAAGTTTCACTTCGTCAGCGACTCGTCTGGTCCATCGTTTGCAACTGCCAGAAAGGGATTCTTGAAAAATCCCGGCAAGCGTCTGGATGTTGAGGTTGAAGCATCGGGCTTCTCCAGAAAAATGGCGCGTGAGCTCGAGAAATACATGAAGGAGGTCGGCGTAGATGGAGATAATGGTGCTCCTCGAGACGATCTGGATGAAGATGGAGATGAAGAGGAGGAAGAAGAAGAGGAGGAGGAGGAGGAGGAAGAAGAAGAAGAAGAAGAAGAAGAAGAAGAAGAAAAAGAGCAGTCAGTTTCAGAGTCTGGTGATTCTCATGAGAAGGCGCAGCTGAAGACTGATGCGGACGTTGAAGAAAGCTCTCAGCGACTGGAGGCCCTTCAGGTCTCTGGATCAGGAGCTTGAGGTGAAAAAAATCCTTCGCTGAATAATGACCATAATTATGAACTTAGCATGTATTATAGGAAACCCTAAAAGATCTTAAAAATTATTATCATTACAATGATTATCAGAGATAACTTTTACCCAAGGATATGTATGGGCCTCTTTAGACTACGTTGAAGTAGATTAGATATGATAGGAGTAGGGCGGGCGGAACGGCCATTTGCGCAGTTTTCTCAAGTCAAAAGATCGCCGGCAACCCTACAATTTAACCACAACACACTCAACACAAAATGCGAAGCAAGGCAGTCAACATTTCCAAGGCGAGGGGAACTCCCTTCTTGCCACCATCTCAGCGAAAGCAGATTTACCTGTACGTGATCCCCGCCTCCAATGAGGGAAGCCTTCAAATTTCACCATATTCCGAGACTCCGGTCTCCGATCATACAATCACCAAAAAGCGACAAGGAACAATCAACTAATGGCCTATTTCACACCCTACATAGACCAGAATTCGTCATCGCTCTTGTCCGAACTCCCCACCTCTCTGCCAACTATGCTCAATTCCGCGTCCCTCTCAACTTCAACAAGCTTGACATGCGCGACTACCTACAAAATCTATATGGAGTCAGTGTCATCGAGGTCCGCAGCTTCATACAGCAGCAACCCATTACCCGTATGACCCGTGACGGCCGGAATCTCGGTCCGTGGCGACGACCGCAGTCACAGAAGCGAATGACTGTGCAATTGAAGGAACCCTTCGTGTGGCCAGAGGAGCCGAAGGATACATCCAAGTAAGTAGTTTCATTTATGTGGAATGGCTCGCCCTATGAAGAGGGTGATAATCTTGCTGCCATTGCGCCTATAATAGAATTGCTGCTAATAGGTTGTTTTCGCAAATCTAGATGGGAGAAGGATTCTTGGGATGCAACTGAGAAGATTCAGTCGCAAATTATGAAAAAGAACACTCCCAAGGGCCACTCGGCTGAAGAGCCCGACCACAAGGTGCGCAAAGCTTTCGAAGAGCAGGCTAAAAAGTTACGGGAAAATAAGGAGACATGGAAGCCGACCTGGAAAACACTGGGCCTGGATTTTGCGCATAAAGAATTTGCGGCGAACGTCGGCTCTAACAGACCCAAGTGGGCGAAGTCTTGATTGAAGCCTGAGTCGAGTGTCTCTGATATTTTTCGTATGTGCCGGATTGTTCTAACAGAAAACGGCTGTCCATGTCCTTTTGCCTTACCTTTAGGCCTATATTTGTATTATATTGTATGGTACCTTATATTTGGGCCTTCCAGCCTTGAAATAGTGTCTACCGATCCTTGGTGTCGTTTTTGGTGAATTGGCTTGTATTTGAGAAGATAACGAATGGAAATCTTGGATAACATAATTTCGTGGCAAAAGCACAAGACAACTGACTGACTTTCATATGGGACCTGATATGACCCCGGTCATGCTATGCTAAAAGATTGGGGTTGAGAGAGCTGAAGAGAGCAAGAATATGTAAAAAAAAACACAAAAAAAAAAAAAAGCAAAGGACAACCGGAAGCAACAATGGTGAGGCCGCATCTACAGACGGCTCTCGACGAAATTCACTTGCGGTTGGCCGGGCCAATGGGCATCTGGCCAAATCTGGCGCAGTGCTTCCCAGATATGTCTGAAAAGAAAAAATAGTGTTAGCATAACGTCGAAAGAAACAGAAGTCGGATGACCTACTGAACAAAGATGATATTTAGGCCTTCGTGGACCTCCTGAGGGACGTCTTTGACATCCTTGCGATTGCCATGCGGAAGCAGAACAGTCTTTACACCAGCATGCAAAGCCCCAATAAGCTTCTCCTTAATTCCACCAACGGGCATCACTCGACCTCGAAGCGATATCTCGCCAGTCATAGCGATCTGGGGCGGAACAGCCTTGTTGGTGAACAAGGAGATAAGCGCCATGGTATGGGCAAGACCGGCTGAGGGCCCATCCTTGGGAATAGCACCAGAGGGGCAGTGGACATGCAGACTGCGGCTCTTCATGATATCCTCATTCGGATCATGGGTAAGTCCCAGCTCAAATGAGTGGGCCTTGACCCACGTAAGTGCCACCTCGACAGACTCCTTTAGAACATCTCCAAGTTTACCAGTAAGCTGGACACGGCCATTTCCTGGCATGTCAGCCACCTCGATAAACAGAATACTTCCTTGACCACCAGTGGAATACGCAACGAGGCCAGTAACTATGCCAGGGCGGCCCTGCTTCTCGGCAATCTCCTCTTCGAAACGCTCGATTCCAAGAATATCCTCAAGATCGTCAATGTTGACGGTCGAGTTATAATTGCCCAAGCGGCCAGAGTCACTGGCATCAGCATATTGGACGGCCTTGTAGCGGCAGATGGAACCTAGCTCACGCTCCAGATTACGTACACCAGCCTCGCGCGTGTACGAGGTGATAGTCTTGTCAATCACATCATTGGAAAGGCTGACCTGTCCATCAGACAAACCGTTGGAACGAATTTGCTTCGGGATCAGATGACGCGTGGCGATGTGTCTCTTCTCAACAGTGGTATACCCTGAAAGAGAGATGGTCTCCATACGATCAAGCAATGGGGCAGGAATAGTATCTAGAGAGTTGGCAGTAGCAAGAAACAGTACCTTACTCAAATCAATCGGAATATTGATATAGTGATCTGTGAAGGTATTGTTTTGCTCGGGGTCCAGAACCTCCAGCATAGCAGCGGAGGGATCTCCTTGGAAATTTTGACCACCGACCTTATCAATCTCATCGAGCAGGAAGACTGGATTGGCAACCCCCACCTTCTTCAGACCGCTGACAATCAGACCAGGCATGGCTGCGACGTAGGTTCGTCGGTGACCGCGGATTTCTGCCTCGTCGCGAACACCACCAAGAGAAATACGGTGGAACTTGCGACCGAGCGAGGCAGCAACTGACCTTGCCAGGCTGGTCTTACCAACACCTGGAGGCCCAACAAGAAGCAAAATTGGAGACTTATCAGTCATACGTCTGGACTTCATATTCTCGAGTCGAGTCTCCAGTGCCACTCGATCAGACTCCGAGAGCATTGGAACATCTTTCTCAAGGTCTGCGTTCGATGATAAATTCAAATCCTTTGTCAGTCCACTGATCTGGCGCTCCACGTCGTTGTTGGTCGCTTGCTTCAAGCGCAATACAGCCAAATATTCCAAAAGTCTCTTCTTGATACGTTCAAGACCGTAGTGATCCTCGTCCAATTTCTGTCGGGCTAGTCTCAAAGTATCTGGGCCAAGTTGGTCTGCAGTCACTTTCGACCAGGGGATCTCAGACAAGTTTTCTAAGTAAGTGCGGCAAACGCCATATTCGGCATTAGCAGGATTCATCTTTCGCAGGCGCTTCAGCTCCTTTTCCGCAACTTTACGTGCTTCGGGGCTGAGTTGCGCATCGTTCAGCTTTTGCTGCAACTCATCGATCTCGTTTGGCTCCTTCTCCTCATTATCGCTGCCGCCGCGTGCGGTTGAATGGCCGGGAGGTACGAGCCCAGAAAGGCTCGCAAGAGCACGCTTTGTCAGTAACTCTCGCTCACGGGGATCAATATCGGTACCATTATTGGGAGGGTATGAAGTTGTAGTGATATGTGTGACGTTGACGCTGCTCTTAATATGCTGCGCCTGTCGACTCAAGAGCTCAACTACCCTCTCTAGTCGCTCCCTGACATCGAAGGCAGAGAGAACTCGTAGTTTCTCCTCAAAGCTGACATCAGATATATCAGCCATAAAGTCAGCTAACTTTCCAGCCTGGTTGAACTCGGTTTTCGAGACATAAAATTCGAACTTTCGTGCCACCATTGGAGAAAATCGATTTGACGTGGCGGTGAGTAAGGAGGACATGCGTATCAAAGTGAGGAGTTCGCGAGAAAGCTGTCTCAACTGTTGGAAGAGTTCCGCGGCGTCCGAGTCACCGTTTATAGAAGCGCCTGGTAAGTGAACGATCTGTCAGTCACCTTCAAGGACAGTCCATCTAACGTTATAGTCGAAGGACTTACTTTCTTCATCATGTACGTAAACTTCTGCCTCGAAGTATGGTCGGTCCCGCAAAACTTTCCTAACTGTGAACCGCTGGGATCCCTGGACCAAGAGATATGCTTCAGAATAGGAACGGCGTTGCACGCCGATCACCTTCGCCACCGTTCCAAACTGAAATAAATCATCCTTGCGTGCTTGCCCTGCATCGATTGAATCATATTCCGCCTTTCTATCGTGGTCGGTATCTGCTTCCTCTAGAAGTCGTTGGCCATCTGCACTCAGCAACGGAGAGGCGAGCGGAATACATCCAAAGGTAATAGAATTCAGTTCGCGCTTCGATGGCCGGTCTACCAGGGATGAAAGAAGGTTTGCTAAGTCGGGTCGATTGGATACGGGAATTCTCAGCGTCACGCCAGGGAGTAAGACTGAGCCCTTGGCCAGAGGAACCAGGGGAAGCTTGATGGCTCTGCCACTGCTGGTCCCCATCTTTCAAGTTGCCGGAAAGCTTATCAAGGAATCGCAAGTAAAATTAAATGGTTAAGCAATGAGTGGAATGTGTTCAAGTAATTTCTTAAGTAATAAATTAGATGGAAAGAGGGGAAAGATACAAGATTTAAAGACCTCGGGGGGGGATGGAGGTTCCAGAAGCACGTAGATGAAGTCCGGGGTATGTCTTGTAATCTAACGTCCCGCAACCGAGGTTAGTGTCATCTATCCCTAAATAGAAACCACTTTTGCAGGTCTATATCAGAGTATACAATATCTATTGAATGTGATACTTCGGGAATCCGGAAATCCTTACAATCTACGCGAGATTGAAACCGAGCATTCCATCTGGTTGTGGGCATTGCTGTTCTTCTGTATCATATCAATACTTCAATCTTTCCATACACATCCCGTGATCGGCAGAGTCAACCCGAAATCTGATCGTCCAATCGTTAAATGTTGACGAAGCTGAATTTTCTATCGAAGGGTGGAAATCTGCTGAAAACACGCCCATTGTGAATCCTGAGAACAGTACAAACATCACCCTCTCTTTTCTAGGTTGACAGAACCCACCTTCCCATTCTCGTCAGCTTCAATCTCAAGAGCTAGCCAATCTCAACTCGTGCTATACTGTACAAGATGGCCTCCTCTTCTCCTGACAAGATGGTCTTGACCATCGGCACCCGCAAGTCGAAGCTGGCTATGCTCCAGACACACGCCGTGCGCGATGCCTTGCAAAAAAATTATCCTGACTATGAATTCAAAATCTTCTCCCAAGATTCTGCCGGTGATCTGAACAAGGTCACTCCCTTCCGTGATTTCGCCACCAAGAACTTATGGACGGAAGAATTGGAGGAATTGATGATTGGGGGGCAAGTCGATTTTGTCGTTCATTCACTCAAAGGTGAATATTTCCCGCTTCACACTTTCAATTGATCTCCCACCTGTGACAGAGAGCTGATGTATAATCAATTGCACCAGATGTTCCCACCAACCTCCCCTCTACCTGTACCTTGGGACCTATGCCGCCCCGCCAAGATAGTCGAGATGTTCTCGTTGTGAAGAAAGGTCTGTCATACAAGAGTTTGTCGGAGCTTCCCGCAGGCTCCGTTGTCGGAACCTCTTCTGTTCGCCGGACTGCTCAATTGGCACGGAAATACCCCCACTTGAAGGTGCTAGATGTACGTGGAAATATTGAGACTCGTATTTCCAAGCTAGATGCGGAAGATAGTCCTTTTACTTGCATTATTCTCGCAGCGGCTGGCCTGCTTCGTATGAACATCGGAGACCGCATCGCGCAATACCTGGACTCGACGAACAGCGGAATGCTCTATGCTGTCGGACAGGGTGCTCTTGGAATTGAGATCCGTAAGGATGACACCGTCTTAAAGCAAATGTTGGAATCAATTGGCCACCAGGAGACAACATTTGCCTCCCTCGCTGAGCGCAGCCTGCTACGTACTCTTGAAGGAGGTTGCAGTGCCCCACTTGGAGTTGAAGCTGAGTGGGTTCATGGATCAGAGGGATCTAAAAAACTACGAATGCGGGCTGTTGTTGTCAGTGTTGATGGCAAGGATTGCGCGCAGGTGGAATTGGAGGGTGATGTCAATTCAACTGAAGCTGCCGAGGCATTCGGTATCACTGTGGCCAAGGCTTTGGTTGAAGATGGTGCTGGCGCGATTCTGGATGTCATTCAAAAAGACAAGGCAGCCAAGGTGAATGTTACAGCATAAACGGGAAAAAATTACATATACATAGGTGTTTGAGTATCATGTTGGAATGAAATGAAATCGACCAGCTCTCTTTATTAGACATTGTTGTAGCATAGGGTTAACATGATTTGACTGGGACGTACGGGCAATGAATTGTGCAAATCACAATTAGACCAGAAATTTCGTGATATCTGCATAGACAGAAAAAATTCCATGCCCTAAATTCTACAGTGATTTGATCACCCCCGGTTTAGTGTATTGCCAGCTCCTTTGGGATTTGCCTCGACATATTCATCCCAGGCCCGAGCCTTCATTGTTTCCTCGTCAGCCTTATCAAAGTCATCTTCGTCCACCTCGGGCTGTATGCCAGACTGCTCCCCTCCCTGAAGGATGTTGCCCCTTCTTTTTCTTCGTCCAGGTACTCATCTATTGTCATAGTCGGGAGATTATGGCCAGATCGAAATACTCCTTGCTGGAGCTGTGTCCGACGGTCGAGCAGGGTGAAAGGCTGCATCGGCCTTCCTTTGCTGTTCAATAAGGGTCCATTTCTACCACTTCCGAGTAATTGGGATAGAGATGGATCCAATCGGTCAGAATCGCCAAGTCCTCCCAAAGTTCTTCTTTGTCGGTCGTCCTCGGTGGGCGGATGATCAGGAGGGGGTGCGTTACGCATAGCTGAAAGCATATTCAACTCTTGCAAAAGCATATCGAGAGCCTGAAAGGTCTGGTGTACGTAGAGTTGTATCTCAGCAAGGTAGAGCATCCGAGTCTCTTCATCGTCGCTTTGGAGTTGCGCCTCGTTCCGAGCAAAGTACTTTCGAGTGGGTAAGCAGACGAGCACGAGGATTCAACCATTCAATATTTATTACCTCCAGTTTCTGCTTGAGTTCCTTTTCTTCTCTGAATCGCCGAACTTTAGTATCTCGCCGTGCTGCAGCATCATTGACAGGTGCTAATGTGAAGGCCGATGGATTAGCCACATATCCATCGAAAAGAGACTTGTCTCCTTTTGGCAGTAGCCCATATTCATCCACACGTGTCAAGAATTTTTCATATTGCTCCAAGGCTCGACGGAGCAAGGCTTCACGGTCCGAGCTGGGACTTCGCTGGATGAGCTCGGCAAGAAAGTATTCCAAGGTCATGTACCTAGGCCAAAATTGGATCAGCTTAGTCAATTGAAGTAAAGACCTATAGAGTGGAATCACTTTAAGTCGCCTGATGAGACATCATCGAGAGATTCATTCGAGCTGAACAGAGACAAAATACCGATTTGTCGCTGACATTCTTGAAACTTCTCAATAGTCTGGTTGACATCATTTCTGTAAGCATCACTGTTTGTATCTCCTCTTGATTCAAGGGAAGATTTCTTCTCTATTGCTGAGGTGAACAATGAGCGAAGAGTCTGTGATTGTTCCATTCTGCGTTGGGTTGATTGAAAAGAGGATTGGAAACCTAAACTCAACTTGGCCCCGCGATTTTGGCGGGAGTTTTGGCGAATCGATAAGCTGATAAGAGCTCTATCTTATCGCTATCATTTTGATGTATAGATCAAAACATTCAAGCTTCTTTTCTTTCCCATGTATAATACCTACTTCTTATTAATTCATTCGGAATAGTTATTTAGGTAGACTGCTATGTTTTTCAGGACTCTGAACAGACTTACCATGTGATATTTCCTTCAAATCTGACTAAGTGGTGCTCAGATGAAATTTGAAGTATATTCATCTTTCAGGTATTCCTTTCCTTCGTATCCATCCCCCTCTCTCTTCGCTTAACCTGCACAATTTTCATCGTAATTTTCCATCTTAACCTCACTCTATCATTTTGTTCTATTCTTTAGTCCCTCCTTTCCTTTCTTTAACATATACTGCACCGGCCACCAATACCCAACATGGCATTCGCTTCCAGCGACTCAGAGGAGCCAGAGAGTGAAAACACACCAGCGATTATGGCATCAGCACTACAAAACTTTGAGGAATTAGATATTGAGAGCGCAAATGTGGAGTCCAGTGAATCTGAAGATTCTGATAGTGAGAGTGAACTCATAGTTCCGATCACTAACTCTGCGATCCGTCGAGCCCAAAACAGTCACTTTCAGGCACTGTCAGTTTTGAAATCTCATAGTTTCATATCACTTTCTGACAAGCTATAGCCTTACCCAACATTCACTGAGTGAGACAATTGAGGAGAGCAGGACCCATTATTCTAGGCGAAATGAAGATCTCACAATTGCCAAGCTCGTCGAGAAACGGAATCCAAATGCTGGTAACTTGGAGCCTCGATCGTACCAGATTGAGCTCTTTGAGCGCGCCAAAGTGCAAAATACAATTGCAGTCCTTGATACAGGTAAGTCTTACATTCACAAATGAGCTTTATCCATAAATATCTGGGCCCATATATCTGATACAAAAAGTAGGATCGGGAAAAACGTTAATCGCAGTACTCCTACTGAAGCATACACTAGATCTTGAGCTTATAGATCGTGCTAATGGAAAAGCCCCTCGTGTGGCATTCTTCCTGGTATGTCATCTTCCTTGACCTAGAGAAACTATACCGACAAGCCAACAGGTTGACAGTGTGACACTTGTCTTCCAGCAATCTGCAGTTCTGAAAAACAACATAAATCAGAACATCGGGTGCTTTTATGGAGCCATGGGACCAGACCTTTGGGACCAACAGACTTGGGATGACCACCTAAGCAAGTATATGGTCATAGTTTGCACAGCAGAGATTCTGAATCAATGCTTACTCAACGCGTTCTTGAGGATGAAGCAAATTAATCTCTTGATATTTGATGAAGCTCATCATGCCAAAAAGGAGCATCCCTATGCACGGTTGGATCTTCAAACCAAGTTTCTTTTCTGAAAGATTTCTGACGTTTTTGCTTAGTATCATCCGCAATTCCTACTTTACAGTGGATCAATCAGAACGCCCAAAGATCTTTGGAATGACGGCGTCGCCTATTGATGCCAAAGTTGACGTCGCAGAAGCGGCCACGTGAGATTTTTCTTGATTCCTAGAAAATTATTCCCAGGCGCTAACAATATATAGAAAACTAGAGATAATTTTAGACAGCAAGATTGCCACAACGTCACAGTTGACCATGCTACGGCAAATCGTGCAGAAGCCCACTGAGGAGACATGGACTTACAAGAAACTTGAGAACTCTTTTCGCACCGAGCTATACGATACTTTAGAGACAAAGTTTGGAGATATGCAGTCATTAAACCAAATGTTTCAATTCTCATTGAAAGCAACGTCAGAGCTGGGAAGGTGGTGTGCAGACCATATCTGGACACACATGCTGATGGACGATGTCTTACCAAAGCTTGAGGCTCTGACTATCAAGGGGAAAGACATGGAGGGTCATGATCCGAATGCAACCCAAAGAGATATGGATAGAATTCAGGAGGCCTACGAGATTGTGAAAGCTTATCAACACAAGGATCCTGCTGAACCTGGCCAGCACAGTTCAAAAGTCGACCTCCTCCTGGCAATGCTAACTCATCGTTTCAAAGAGTCAAGTGAAACAAAGTGCATTGTGTTTGCCGATCGACGGAACACTGCAAAGATGCTATCGCTTCTCTGTGAGCAGCTAATAATTCCTAATATTCGACCTGGAGTGCTGGTTGGAGTACGCAATTCCGATCTTGCTGGAAGAATTACATCTCGAGAACAATTTCTCGCCTTGGTCAAATTTCGAGAGGGAAGTATTAACTGCCTGTTTGCAACATCAGTCGCCGAAGAGGGGCTTGATATACCAGACTGCAATCTTGTTGTTCGGTTCAGTCTCTACAGTACGGTGATTCAATACGTGCAGAGTCGAGGCCGTGCAAGACATGAGAACTCAACTGTAAGTTTCCGCTCCATTAGAAAGATGAGTACTTGCCAACCATTTTCCAACAGTATGTTACCATGATTGAATTCGGAAATGATGAGCACAAGCAGCGGATGCAAGAAGTGCGACGTGCAGAAGTATGTACGACACAAGAATGTCTGAATATAGCTAACACTGCGAATAGAATCTCATGTCGGCCTTCTGCACGCGTCTGCCTCAGGATCGGATTTTACAAGGAGACATGGATCTTAGCAATTTTTTGCAGGATGATGCAAAGAGAATCTACAAGATCCCTTCAAGCGGAGCAAAGCTAACATACCGACATGCCGTCGAAGTCCTTGCACGTTATGCGGGCTCATTGCAGTATGCACATGATATTTCATGCCATGTCAGCTACATCGTGACAGAATGTGACAACTCCTTTACATGTGAGATTATTCTACCCGAAACATCTCCTATTCGAGGCTTGATCAGTGGCCCAGAGTCGAAAAAGATACTTGCGAAGCAGTCAGCTGCATTTGATATGTGTATTCTGCTTAGAAAGAACCAACTTCTTGATGATCACTTCCGATCCATCTACCACAAGCGTCTTCCAGCAATGCGCAATGCTAAATTGGCCATCGTTTCTAAAGAGACTAATCATTATATGATGCGTTGCAAGCCCTCTATTTGGGATAGAGAGCGAGGTGATCTTCCGGAAAGACTTTATGCGATTGTGATAAACTTCTTACCTTCAAAGTCTCTGACTCGGAAGCACGGAAGCCTTCTACTTTTGACTCGGGTAGAGCTTCCACAGCTCCTGGAGTTTTCTGTTTACCTCGAGAATGATACAGAAACCACTATTCAGCTAGTGAAGCTTGTAACTCCACTTTCGGTCTCATCCGAGGATCTGGATTCTCTGTCAATCTTCACACTTTCCATTTTCCGTGATTTGTTTCACAAGACCTTCTTGCCTGAATCAGTGAAGTTTCCTTATTGGATTGCCCCGATTCGCCCAGACCTCGCGCCCAGTAGTCCAGATGTTCTTCCGAACACATTGCTGGATCGTGATAGTTTGAATGTTGTCCAGCAAAATCCGGAAATGAAGTGGAACGAAAATATGGATTCCAGTTTCATCTTGAACCATTTCATTTACGACATGTGGGATGGAAGAAAGAGATATTTCCCACTTCAAATTGAATCCTCGTTGCGTGCTTCAGATCCACCCCCAGAAAATTCCCCTAAGCGGAGATGGATGGATAATATCTTAAGTTATACGTTGAGTCTATCCAAGAATTCTCGTCCGAGATTCTTCGAACAAGCAAACTGGAGGCAGCCTGTCTTGCAGGTAGAGACTGTTCCCCTTAGACGAAACTTTCTCGACAAGGCAACAGAGGCTCAGACTGCAGAGAAAACCAATATTATGGTCTGCCCAGAACCTCTTACCCTCTCACCAGTCAGTCGTCTTTATCTTCAATGGTTATTGGCTGTATAATTGATTGCTAGTATTTGTATTAGATCCCGTTATACCTAGTGACTTCATGCCTAGCCTTTCCCGCCATCATGAGTAGGATGGAGTCCTACATGATAGTCCTGGAGGGGTGTCAGTCTCTTGACCTCGACATTGATATCCGGTATGCCCTGGAAGCTTTCACCAAGGATTCCGACAATACAGAAGACCACAGGGCGATGCAGATCCATGTTCAACGAGGTATGGGAAAGAATTATGAGAGACTTGAGTTCTTGGGCGACAGCTTCCTCAAGATGGCCACATCAATTTCGATCTTCTGCTTGAGACCCGAGGATGATGAGTTTGACTACCACGTGAATCGTATGGTACTCATTTGCAACCAAAACCTTTTCAATACCGCTGTGAAGGTTAAACTCTTCGAGTGGATACGTAGTCGTGGTTTTTCTCGGTGAGTATCTCTGGTCTTTCTTTAGATTTGATAGACTAACACAGTATCATAGCCATTCGTGGTATCCACCAGGACTCCAACTCACCCATGGTCGAAACTTTGTGAAGAGTGCCGCTTCAGAAGGCACTCATGCGCTTGGTGTGAAAACTATTGCCGATGTCTGTGAAGCCCTGATAGCAGCAGCGCTACTTTCAGGTGGAAAAGATCATCGCTTTGATACAGCTGTCAAAGCAGTCACAATATTCGTTGACAGTACAATGCACAACGTTACATCATGGGCTGGCTATCGGGCGCTTTACAAAAAGCCGGGTTACCAAGTTCAAGCTTCAGATGGATCTGAGATAGATCTTGCGGACAAGATTTTCAAGAAAATGGGTTATCGGTTCAGGTACCCTCGTCTTCTTCGCTCTGCATTCACTCACCCGTCTTACCCGTTGACCTGGGCGAGAGTTCCCTGTTATCAGCGTCTTGAATTCTTGGGTGATTCACTGCTAGACATGGTTTGCATTGAGGACTTGTTCAAGCGATTCCCTGACAAGGATCCCCAGTGGCTCACGGAGCACAAGGTAAGATCTCAATTGGTGTCATATGGCGTGGTTGGATGTTGTGCTAATGGAATCTAGATGGCTATGGTTTCGAACAAATTTCTGGGTGCTCTCTGTGTAAAGCTCAAATTCCACAGACACATGGCACACTTCAGTAGTCCCATTCAGGCGGCCATAACTAATTTCGCCGAAGAGATTCAAGCTGCCGAGGATGAGAGTCAGGGAGCAATGGACTACTGGCTTGCTATCCACGATTCTCCAAAGGTAAGTATTAAACATGCATCGGTATTGCTGCGATAATACTTATACTGATGCTTCTATGAATGAAGTGTCTTCCCGATATTATTGAGGCTTATGTTGCCGCGATATTCGTTGACTCGGACTTTGACTACACCGTTGTGGAGGAGTTCTTCATTTCTCACGTGAAGCCCTTCTTCGTTGATATCTCTCTCTACGACACTTTCGCCAACCGCCACCCAACAGTAAGAGTTTTGTCTGAAAGTATGCTAAAAGTACACTAACATTGTCGCAGACTTACCTCTACAGACAGTTGACTGATCTTTATGGATGCACTAATTACTGCCTCAAGTCTGGCGAACTACCCACCATTGATGGAGAGCAGCCCGTGATTCTCGCTGCAGTGATGATCCATGGCATTTCAGTTGCGCAGTGCACCGGTACTTCAAGTCGATATGCAAAGGTTCGAGCGAGCGAGAAAGCCTTGTCGGCAATTGGTGGAATGCTGCTGAGTGAATTCTGCAAGAAGTTTCACTGCGACTGCCGCGAGAAAGATGATAAGGAAAATTTTGACGACAGGCATGAACTTGATAAGGGCACTGCGATTTAATTCGATTTTACTTTTTTCCCTTGAAATTTTGTTCTGGTTTTCATCAGATATATTGATGATGGGCTTACTTTTGCAGGAATCTATTCCACTTTGATCTTTACGAGCTAGCTGCAGAATTAATCAAATAAATTCTTGGAGGAAGTACATTCTAAAGAACACGATAAGGTGACCCAGCTCTTATTAGAGCGCGGAGCCAATATCAATGCTCAAGGTGGCGGGTTTCTACAGACCGCTTGTTTTAAAAGACACGGAAGGCGGACACTACAGCACTGCTTTACAAGCTGCGCTTTCTGGAGAACATGGCCGGGGCCTGGATTGTGCTCATTCTCCAAGGGGTAAATCTAATTCTCGAGTCTGCATCTTATGGTTTCTCCTTTAAAAGGCTGAAAATCTCATGAAATCTCCCGAGTACACGTGTTGAATCCAGCAAAGTGGCTTACATACCTCGTGTGCCCAATATACTTGCATCATCAAAGAGTCAGTCAAGAGACCTCATCTGTTAGGAAAATATCCTGAGGGTGTCCTGAGACGATGTGGATACGAGTGAGGAATGTGAGATGTGCCTGATATGGGTATGATGATATTCAGGCTAATCGCTGGTCCTCAGAAGAGGCTCCAGCTCCTCCTTTTTAGAGGAGTCTCTTTGTGCGTATGCAAGCAGGTAAGGCGACTTTGGTGGTGCATAGGCACTCTTCCACATTCCATATACCTCATTGTATGGTTGGCGTAATATCATCTCAGATAGATCCGAACGTTTTCAGAAAGCTCGTATATGGTGCGGAAAAAGTAGTCAAAAGGAGTATAAGCTTTGTGTGTTTCTCTTGTCTTCGGACTTGCAGGGAAGCTTGTGTGAAATCAGTACTGCTCCTCACTGATCTTGTAGCATCTACCCCACAACTTCAGCTTGATAACCGCAGGCCACTAAACAGCACCACTGTTCTTTCCCCCTGCATTCCTTCGCTTTGCTCTACGAGAAACGCCAACTAGTTTCTTCTTCATAAAAACCCATCGAACCGTACCCCAAAGCAGATGCGCAACCGATAACTTCCGAGGGTGACAATCATGCCCAGGTTGAATCCACTCGCGCCACGCAAACTCCACATGCCTCCACCATTCCGTATACAAGATTGCCGTTCCCGCGGAGATAAGCAATGATATCGCAAGAAGTACAAAATAGTATCCAATATTAGGTCCACTATCATTGAGCTGGGCGACATTCATCCCGAAGAAGCTCGCGGAGAAGCTTAGCGGAATGTAGATCCATGCAACAACTGTGAGTCTAATTTGGAGGTTGTAGTTAGCAGTTTGCTGTAGGAAAATAGGGAAGATTTGGCTAGAGAGAAGAGAGAGGAGGTACTTTTCAATAGAACGAGCCTGCTTATACGTTTCTTCCGCTTCTTCAGCGGCCGTGGTGGATGTCTGAATCTGCGCCTGTCGCTTGATCGATCGTTCGTATGATATGGCGTTGTCCATTACTAGCCTGAGGTCTTCTAATAGACGAGCCTCCCAGCCAGATATTGGGATTTTGCTTGCGCTTTGAACAGGGGTCGCTGTAACTCTGTGAGATTGGAAAAGAGGAGCTCCGTGAGAGACTTCAAATGTTGCCATGTTCGGGGTAATGATTTACATCCCATATCTGTGCAGGAGTGGAAGTTTTTCATTGTTGCGAGTGTCGTTCGGAGAATATTCTCTGTGAATGGTTTCAGGTGGTAGATACTGGCTTTGGGGATTGGTCTGAGGTTAAGTCCGTGGTATGTTGTCGCCATACAAGAGCCTTGGGTGTTGATGTGGAAAGAGGATCGCTCGTGGTTTATCATGGAGGAGTCAAACACAACTGCTGCCAATCCCCATTGACATTAGTACAGGGAGATTTCGAAGGTACTCAAGCGGAGCATTACCCATGGATGTTCCACGAGTGTCAGTGGACCCAGAAGACGCTGTGATGTACCCGCCATTCGGGTGCTCAAGCTGCACGTAATCCTTTTCCGACGGTAAAGCTTGCGTACTGGCTACATGGACTCTGTCGAGTTTCTTGGTAAAATGCTCAATGAAGAATCTTGGGGGTTTAGACGCAATCGAGCTCCGATGGTATCGATTACATCTTCGGCTGTTAAATCAGATATTCTAGCAATAGATTGAGGAGTTGTGGGTTGATATTGTCCTGGAAGGAAGTGTAAGATGAATATTTGAGTGTTTGAAGCTGCACAGAGCTCATCAATTTGTGTCAAGAGGGCATCAGCAATATCTGGTAGTGTAGAAGGATCCTGAGGCTGGTATGCAAGAGCATTGCTATCTTCCTTGAAACAAGTACTCCACTTCAAGTAAAGATGATCATTCGTGATTTAAAGCAAGGAAATACCAAAGGCTTGGTCGAAGATTTCTTCGTTGAAGGAAGGCTCTTGAAATGGGTTGAGTACCGCTTGAAGCCAGTGGGTTTTTAGGGCAGCTGTTGCAGGACTGATGAATTCCGCGTACTCAGATCGCACATAATCATCGTAGGATGTATAGGAAGCTTGTCGACTATTTGTATTTGGGGTGGCCATGTTGAAGTTTTGAAATATTGATTGCCAATTTGAGGTACTAAATGGCCTGGTAACTCAATGTCACGTCGGCGAGGCTTATTCGAATTCAAAATTGATGTCCTTCTATAATGTATTAAATAGTGAGGGTCTTCGTAAAGGAGCGGGGTATACGTGCGTATTATATGTCTGCTGAACAGTAGTTGCAGGACAATGAGGCTGAGCGGCCTTCAGCTGACTGCTACTTATGTATATGAGTTAGCGAGTGGCAGCGCAACGCAAGAAGCCTCCCAACTATTACTATCAATCACAGGGCTCTTGTAGTATCTCACACTAGCCTTTTTGGGTAGGTGGCTTATGAGCCCTGATATTCACGTCCATTCATATATATTGCTGTTGGAGAATGATCCTGTTTGGATGCTTCAGTTGCGTGCAGTAATGCCGTCGGTTGGTGTCGGTACACCGGTGGGTATAGCAAGGTTGATGAGAGGCTAACGCCCACTTCTGACACCTATTATAGGAACCGCTTTACGCCCCTATAATATCTTGTGTCTCTGAAGTGGTTGTAAAATCTAATCTTTCATTCATGGTGAGGACTAGCTATTTATCCTACAAGTTGCTCTTCTGTCTGAGACGAGTGTGTTCCATCTTCCAAGACAGAAGAGCCGGTGAAGACAGGATATCCCAGCTATATGCATACTATTCAAGGTTGTTGTTTGTGATTCATTTCGAACAGGGGTTCGTGATGTGGTCTCAACCGGGGTGTCGTTGTCCGATATCCCAACACTGGAGCCACTTCGAAAAATGATTGAAAACGCATATTTGAATGCCAATATCATCGTTCAACCCATCCCAATGTCTTCAAGTCTAGCTGCTTCGTATCGATCAGAATACGTGTGAATAATACGGAAGTGGAACACCCTGGCCTGGTATAGAAAATCCGGTATGTAAGTACCTAAGCCTTGGAGCGAGAGGTATCTCTAAAGCTGACCCTATCAATTTGAAACCTGCTTTGAAAATTCCGGACTTTTTCAAGGGCATTACAGTGAAGGGTCAACAGCCTTGGATTGAAAAGGAAACGTTGGAGGAACAGGCCTATTTTCACGGTGCACTCTATGTCATAGAAAAATGTTCAGGAATTGATGACCTCGATGAAGTCGATGCTCGGGCGAAATGGATGGAGCATTTTGCATGCTATGTTAACTAATAACGGATACATTTACGCTGCTTCAGATTCAGATTCTCTTTGATTCTTATCATAAATGATAATTCAAGGTCATCTTTGATCGGGCGTCTAGGGCTTTTTTTACTGCCGGCAGATACCTATGTATGACTAAGATGGTAGGTGGTATATAAACATACCTAGGTATAGAAAAGCGGTCAAGGCGAGTATGGAGTAAATACAACGACGTCTAGGTGGATATCTTGTTAATGATGAAGAGAAGATATGATAAGATTTAAATACTGAAGGTACTTGAATTCAAACGCTATCACTATTTAAATACCATTCCATTCTAAACAATTTACCCGAATAGGAAGTAGATATAAGAAGAAGGAACCTGATGTCACATGGTTGGGCGTCTGTTGACTAACCACATTTGGAGGAGCGCATCCCCTGAGTACAACGAAAGACCGCGTGTTTTAACACATTTCGACTCTGTCAACAAGGACTTTGGAGCCTTTTCTCTTGTCTTTTTTTTTTAATAATTCTAGATTCATTTCTTCCTTCCTGAATTGACCCACGAGTCGTTATTACTCTATTCCCCCGCCGGACGCGACCCCCGGCCTTGTCAACATTATCTTTTCATGCCGATCGCGCTCCTCTAGTTTCAAGTTTCAAACTTCAACCATCAATCTTGGAATGATCGTTTTGATTCCGTGGAAATAATTTTTAAAAAAAATATGGAGGTCGCCTCATCAGAGGCATCAAATGGCGTGTCAGCGCCAGAGTCAACCACTTCGGTGGATTCAGGCGCTATCGTCCAGTACCTGACAGAGGTGCTCCAAGTGACACTTGGTGCTTCAAAGTCTGAGCTGCAAGGTGCTGGGAGCTTGCTATCAGAAGCCAGGCTCGATGACACGGTACAGAGATGTACGCGATTCGCATCAGAGTCTCAAGTTGCACTCTATGTGCAGAAGGACATTGTAGCCGAAGAGACAAATGGCGAGAGTGAAGGTCTTAGTGAGTAAATTGTGCTCTAATACCCTTTCTTTATGACCTAACATTACGAATGTTAAGATGCGACCATACGATATGTCTACAGTCTATCTTCCGAGATATCTTCAACCTCTACAACCGCGTCGTCCGTAGCATTCATCAAACGCCCTGCCCCCATCGATCCGGCTCTTTCCATAGCTTCGCAAATCCAGGTTATGAATTTGCCCGGTTTAGCTTCTCCCCAAAATTCCCAGACGCAACAGGGAACTTCCATGTCGCCCTATCAATGTTTACAACTACTCCTTCGTCATGGTCTCAGTCCCTATTTTGAAGCATACACTCGTAACCAGGAAACGACTACTGGAACGAAGCCACGAGCAGATACCGAGGCGAAAACCGGTATTCCAGGAACTAAAAAGAAGTTTGCAGAACTTGAACTGGGTCTCATTAACCTTCAACAGAATGTAGAGATCCCGGCTTTGAATCTTCCACTCCACGAGGTAGTTCAGGCTGCCTTGAAAGAGGCCGAGGTAAAGGGGATCAGACCCTCTGTTGAGCTGATTCCTGCGTCAGTATTGGATAGCAGCGCGTTCACGAACAGCATCCAGAATACCGTGAATGGCTGGATTCGTTCCATACAGACTATCACTAAGATGTCTCGAGACCCGGACAGTGAATCGGCTTCGCCAGAAGTGAATTTCTGGCTGTCAATGGAGTCTGCCCTAGAGGGTATTGAGGCTCAGTTGCAAAGCGATGGAGTCCGATTGACCATGGATATTCTGCGCCATGCGAAGCGGTATCAGCCGACTCTCAGTTTTGTAGCAGACACTGGACTGAAAGATGCCACTGAATTAGTTCAAAAATACAATCAGCTTATGCGTGATTTCCCATTGGATGAGCTTCTCTCTGCAACTTCTCTACAAAAGGTTCAGGAGTCATTGGGCTTGATATTCAACCACCTGAACAAGAAGTTGAAGATTTGCCCTTACCCAATCAAGCGTGCATTGTCTCTAGTCGAGGCCATCTCTGGTGACCTCGATAAGAAGATTCACGGCCTTATTGATGGTCGCAAAATTCTTCATCTAGACTACCGTGAGTTCCGGTCATTGATGAAGATCACCCAGGCAATCTGGCGTACCTGGGATGAGAACCTAAAGGAATTTACCAATGTTGCCCGTGAATCAACCAGACGTCGCAATGAAAAATTCATCCCGATCAAGATCAGTGCCCGACACGACAAGACACGCGAGCGTCTGAAGTACATTGACACTTTCCGAGTCAACCACGAGCAGCTTCAGAAGACGATAATAAACGTTCTCGGGTCAAAGAAATCTTCGCCTACAGAGAATAGCGCCGGCGTCGACTCTGACAGTGCCGTTATCGTTGAAGAGATCGGTGATGTCGACGCTGTAGAAGAGGTTACCCACGCCTATGCGGCTCTCAAAAACGTAGACGTGTTAGATGTCTCTCCCGAAGGATCACGTTCCTGGGAGGAGGCTGAGATTGGCTACAGTGAGCGAACATCTCGCGTTGAAAACTCAATTATTGCTCGCCTGCGCGATCGTCTCGCGACAGCTAAGAATGCAAATGAGATGTTTCGCGTATTCTCCAAATTCAACGCCCTTCTTATTCGACCAAAGATTCGTGGTGCCATTGGAGAGTATCAGACCCAGCTGATTGACAATGTCAAACGAGATATTTCCGCCCTTCATGAGCGTTTCAAGCAGCAGTATGGCCACTCTGAGGCTCATGCTATGGCTCAACTGCGGGATCTTCCACCCGTTTCTGGCGCAATTATCTGGGCTCGGCAGATCGAGCGACAATTGGATGGCTACATGCGCAAGGTAGAAAATGTGTTGGGAGAAGACTGGCACTTGCATACCGAGGGACAGAAACTACAGGCCGAAGGTAATTTGTTCCGCAAGAAGCTTGATACCCGACCCGTGTTTGAATCATGGCTGTACGATGTTCAACGACGCCATATCACGATTTCTGGACGTCTGTTTAATATTGTGCGCAATCGTGCAGCCGGCAATGCTTTGGAGCTTACCGTCAACTTTGATGCTCAAATCATTGCTCTGTTCAAGGAGGTCCGCAATCTCATTTGGCTGAACTTCCAAGTTCCTCATGCCGTCAGCAACATCTCCAAGGAGGCAAAGCGGGTTTACCCCTACGCTATCAGTCTAATGGAGAGTGTGCGAACTCTCTTGCAGACGAACCGATCAATTGCCACGATGTCGGATGTTGCCATTCTTCTCAACGGATATGTCAACGATTCTCAGTCCATGGTCATGAAGGGAATTCCTCTGAGATGGGAGTCATTTGTTCATTCCTATGAGCTCCACGTGAAGCAATCAGCCTTGTCGAATGGCGCAATTGATACTTCAATGCCGAGTCGTACCGAAAGCAAGCATGTTCAGTTCGTCCGCGAATTTGCCGGCTCAGCATCTGTCCTGCAGGCAAAGGTTGCCGTTTTGTCGTCCATCAACGAGAACATTCAAAAATCGATTCACGAGCTCAAAACATGTCCGTATGACTCTGCGGCCTTCAAGCAGCGTCTGGATACCATTCAGGTTGCAGTGGATAAACTCAACCTTGAGAACTACGTAAACCTTGGATATTGGGTGTCAGAGCTCAATGGAAAGATTGAGGTTATTCTCCGAGAGCGACTTTACCGTGCTGTGCGCGAGTGGATTAGCACTTTCAACCAGGCAGATGACGATCAGGTCTTTCAATCACATCTTGCCAACGGAGAGTCGGAATCATCCCAATACACCATTTCATTCCCTGAACTATTCCACGAAATTTCCATGAAGAACCAGGTTCTTCACCTTGATCCGCCTCTGCAATTTGCCCGTGCTAGCTGGTTTGCGCACTTTGATTCCTGGCTTGGAGTGATTTGCAGCCTTGAGAAAATTAAGGCTTCTCGTTACCAGATTTCCATTGACGTACAGAATGTAAAACAGTCAGAAGCCTGCTTCGCCGATCTCCCGCAACACTGCACTGAAGAACTCACTCAAGTCTATGGAGTTGTTGAGTCCAGACTTACCAGTGTATCTGAATACGTGAACAAGTGGTTGCAATTCCAGTCGCTCTGGGATTTGCAGTCTGACCAAGTATACGAGATTCTGGGTGACGACCTGGCTCAATGGCTTCAGCTTCTCCAAGAAATCAGAAAGAGTCGCGCGACCTTCGATACTTCCGAAGTCAGCCAATCTTTCGGCAACATTCGAATTGACTACGAGCAAGTCCAGACCAAGGTGAATGCCAAGTATGACCAGTGGCAGCACGAAATTCTGCACAAGTTCGGCGCCAAACTCGGTGGCCGAATGAGAGAGGTTCATTCAGAAATTGCTTCCGCCCGAAGAGATCTCGAGGGTCAAACTTTGGAGGCCTCTTCGACAGCCCACGCTGTTTCATTCATTACTATTGTACAGCAGTGCAAGCGAAAGACTCGTATCTGGGAGCCAGAAGTTGATATGTTCCGCCAAGGTCAAACTACTCTTTCCCGCCAGAGATACCAATTCCCAGCCGACTGGCTTCACGTTGAAAATCTTGATGGAGAATGGACTGCGCTGAATGAGCTACTTGATAGAAAGAGCAAGCTTGTTCACGATCAAACAGAAGCTCTCCGCGCCAAGATCACCGCTGAGGATCGTATCATCAACGACAAGATCGCGGAGGTCATTGCTCAATGGAATGAAGAAAAGCCGGTCTCTGGTACTATTCCTCCCGATGGAGCGTCTCGTACATTGAGCTCATTCCAGTCGCGCCTTGAGTCCCTTCAATCCGAATATGAGATGGTTTCCAAGGCTAAGGAGGCCCTTGATCTTCCTGCAAGCACTGAATCAGCACTGCCTCCAATTCTCGAAGAAGTTCAGGACTTTATGTCTGTGTGGGCAGCTTTGTCTACTATCTGGAAGAGCCTGAATGATCTTCGGGATGGCCTATGGACTAGCATCCAACCACGGAAGCTCCGTCAGTCTCTCGATGGGCTGATCAAGATGACAAAGGAGATGCCTAGCCGAATGAGACAGTATGCGGCTTTTGAACACATCCAGAACGTTCTTCGACAGCTCCTAAAGGTTAATTCGTTACTTTCTGATATGAAATCCGAGGCTGTTAAAGAACGCCATTGGCAAAAGATCTACAAGGCTTTGAAGCCTGGAAAGCGCTTCTCTCTCGTCTCGCTGACTTTGGGTGATGTCTGGGATCTGCAGCTGGCTACGAGTGAGACCATCATTCGAAATGTCATTGCTCAAGCTCAGGGCGAGATGGCCTTAGAGGAATTCTTGAAGTCTGTTCGCGAGACCTGGCAGAACTACTCCCTCGACTTGGTGAACTACCAGAACAAGTGCCGTCTTATTCGTGGATTTGATGATCTATTTGCCAAGTGCAGTGAGAACTTGAACTCCCTCCAGGCCATGAGGCACTCACCCTACTACAAAGAATTTGAGGAGGAGGCCACCTCATGGGAGGACAAGCTGAATCGTGTTCACGTTCTGTTCGATGTATGGATTGATGTCCAGCGGCAATGGGTGTACCTTGAGGGAGTCTTCACTGGTAATGCCGATATCAAGCATCTCCTTCCTCTTGAATCCAGTCGCTTCCAAAACATCAACTCAGAGTTCTTTGCTGTTATGAAGAAGGTCTACAAGTCGCCCTTTGTTTTGGATGTTCTTGCCATTACTGGTGTCCAAAAATCCTTGGAAAGACTGGCTGAGTTGCTCAACAAGATCCAAAAAGCACTCGGTGAATATCTCGAGCGGGAGCGTGTATCTTTCCCTCGTTTCTACTTCGTTGGAGACGAGGATTTGCTTGAGATTATTGGTAACAGTGATGATGTTCTTCGTGTTGCCAAGCATTTCAAGAAGATGTTTGCTGGACTATCAGGCCTCTTGATGGACGATGAAAACAATATTATCGGATTCTCATCGAAGGAGGGTGAAGAAGTTCGCCTGAAACGGGAGGTCAATCTCGTCAAGACACCTCGAATTAACGACTGGCTCTCCGCTCTAGAGAACAACATGAAGTTGACCCTTGCAGAGCTTCTGGGCGAGGCTGTTGAACAATTCGAGACCATCTACAGCGCTACGGAGGTGGATCAAACAGCTTTCAATGATTTCCTGGCCAATTACCCTGCTCAGGTAGTTGTTCTTGCAAGTCAAGTTGTGTGGACCAATGTAGTACAGAAGTCCCTGGAGGAAGGTGGCTCTAACCTCCAGGCCCTGTTTGAATCCGAGGTCAGGATTCTCGAGCTCTTGGCCGCCACTGTGCTTGGCGAACTGGATCCTATTACACGTAAGAAATGTGAACATTTGATTACTGAGTTTGTCCATCAACGTGATGCCATTACCAAGCTTATCAGCTTCAATGCCAACACTCCCACACATCATCTCTGGCAGCTCCAGATGCGCTTTGTCTACCAACCAGAAGGTGATTTCTTGCAGCGACTTTATGTTCATGTGGCCAACGCCAAGCTCAGCTATGGATTCGAGTATTTGGGTGTCCCAGAGCGTCTTGTTCGCACCCCTCTCACAGATCGTTGTTTCCTCACCCTTACCCAGGCCCTGCAGCAGAGACTGGGTGGTTCTCCGTACGGTCCAGCCGGTACCGGTAAAACCGAGTCAGTCAAAGCTCTTGGTCTTCAGCTTGGACGTTTCACCCTTGTCTTCTGCTGTGACGACACATTTGATTTCCAAGCTATGGGCCGTATTTTCCTTGGTATTTGCCAGGTCGGAGCATGGGGTTGCTTTGACGAGTTCAACCGTCTTGAGGAAAGAATTCTATCCGCTGTTTCCCAGCAGATCCAAAACATCCAGATTGGTCTGCGTAAGGGAGAAGAGGATAGCCAGTCACAGATCGAGCTCGTTGGACGACGCCTTGCAGTCCACTCTAATACGGGTATTTTCATAACCATGAACCCCGGTTATGCAGGACGATCGAACCTTCCAGATAACTTGAAGAAGCTGTTCCGCAGTGTTGCCATGTCCAAGCCCGATAAGGAACTTATTGCGGAAGTTATGCTCTACTCCCAGGGTTTCAAACAAGCTAAGCCTTTGTCCAAACAAACTGTGCCGTTCTTCGACCACTGTGCATCTCAGCTCTCCAAGCAAGCACACTACGACTTCGGTCTTCGTGCATTGAAGAGTGTGCTAGTCAGCTCTGGTGGCCTCAAGCGTGCTCGTCTCGCCATTACCGATGGCGATCTTGGCCCCGATTCCGTCATTGAGCCCCAGATTATCGTTCAGAGCTTGCGTGAAACCATTGCTCCCAAGCTTGTGCAGGAGGACGTTGATCGTATGCTAACCATCCAAATGCAAGACTTCCCTGGTGTGGAATATGTGCCTGCCAACTATGAAAAACTTACCCAGGCAATTCGTGATATTGCTCGCGAACAGCACTTTGTGGACAGTGAGATGTGGATAAGCAAGATTCTGCAACTTTACCAGATTCAAAGCATTCACCACGGTGTAATGATGGTTGGAGAGTCAGGAGCTGGTAAATCAGCCGCTTGGAAGATTCTCTTGCAAGCTATGCAGCGTATCGAAGGTGTTGAAGGTGTATCTCATATCATCGACTCTAAAGTCATGTCCAAGGAAGCACTCTATGGTAACCTTGACAATACCACCAGAGAATGGACTGACGGTCTCTTCACTGGTATTCTTCGAAAGATTGTCGACAATCTTCGAGGAGAGGACAGCAAACGTCACTGGATCGTGTTCGACGGTGATGTTGATCCTGAGTGGGTTGAGAATTTGAACAGTGTTTTGGATGACAACAAGCTTCTTACTCTACCCAATGGAGAACGTCTCAATTTACCCTCCAATGTGCGTATCATGTTCGAAGTTGAGACTCTTAAATATGCCACTCTAGCCACTGTTAGTCGTTGTGGTATGGTGTGGTTCAATGCCGATACTGTTACTCCATCAATGATGATCAACAACTATGTTGAAGGCCTGAAAACCAAGGTCTTTGAAGATTTGGACGATGACAGCGCCCCAGCTGGTACAACTGCTGTTAAGGCCCTGGATACCCAGGACACCCTTTCGACCATTCTCAAGCAGCTGTTGGAAACTGATGATTTGGTTCTCAAGGCTCTTGTGGAAGCAAAGGACAAGCAATATAATCATATTATGGAGTTTACCGATATTCGCGCTCTCAACACGCTCTTCAGTCTGTTGAATAAGGCCTGCCGCAATGTCCTGGAGTACAACATCCAGCATGTCGACTTCCCGCTAGATCCTGAGCAAATCGAGCTGTACATCTCGAAGAAGCTCTTGCTAACATTGGTCTGGTCGTTCACCGGCGACTGTCCACTTCTCGACCGCAAGGCATTTGGTCAGTATGTCGCTGGAATGTCGACCATGGATCTTCCCCCTGATGGCAACTCGTCCCTCATTGACTTTGATGTCACCCTTCCGAAATCTGAGTGGTCCAGCTGGCAGTCGCAAGTACCTACAATTGACGTCAACACACACTCGATTACCCAAACTGATGTTATTATCCCGACTGTGGATACAATCCGACATGAAGATGTGTTGTACTCCTGGCTGGCTGAACACAAGCCACTACTTCTCTGCGGTCCTCCTGGCTCAGGTAAAACGATGACACTCTTCGCCGCCCTGAGAAAGCTGCCCAACATGGAGGTTGTTGGCCTCAACTTTTCTAGCGCTACCACCCCTGATCTTTTGATAAAGACCTTTGAGCAATATTGCGAGTATAAAAAGACACTCAATGGCGTGGTCATGTCACCCAACCAAATTGGTCGCTGGCTGGTTCTCTTCTGCGATGAAATCAACTTGCCTGCACCCGATCGCTACGGTACTCAGCGAGCCATTTCTTTCTTACGCCAGCTTATCGAACAGAACGGCTTCTGGCGTACCTCTGACAAGACTTGGGTTACTTTGGATCGTATTCAATTTGTTGGTGCTTGTAACCCTCCGACCGACGCTGGCCGTACACCCATGGGCGAGAGATTTTTGCGCCACGCTCCGCTGATCATGGTCGATTATCCCGGTGAAATTTCACTCAATCAGATCTACGGCACGTTCAACTCAGCAATTCTCAAGATTCTGCCCTTGCTTCGTGGTTACTCCGAGGCCCTCACCAAGGCCATGGTCCAATTCTATCTCGAGTCGCAGTCAAGATTCACTCCTAAGATCCAACCACACTACGTTTACTCACCTCGTGAACTTACTCGCTGGGTACGTGGTGTCTACGAGGCCATCAAGCCGCTCGAGACCCTGACAGTAGAGGGGCTTGTGCGTATCTGGGCGCACGAGGCTTTACGTCTTTTCCAAGATCGATTGGTTGGTGAAGACGAGAGAGCTTGGACGGCTGATGCTGTTCGCCGTATCGCATTGGACAACTTCCCTACAATCAACGATGAAGAGGCATTGAAGGGCCCGATCCTGTTCTCAAACTGGCTGTCTAAGAACTACGTGCCAGTTGAGCGGGATCGCCTCCGCGACTTTGTCAAGGCCCGTCTCAAGACCTTTTGCGAGGAAGAAGTCGATGTGCCTTTGGTCTTGTTCAATGACGTTCTGGAGCATGCACTACGCATTGACAGAGTTTTCCGCCAACCCCAGGGTCATTTGATTCTGATCGGTGTGAGTGGAAGTGGAAAGACCACACTCTCACGCTTTGTGGCCTGGATGAATGGCCTAAAGGTATTCCAAATCAAGGTCCACGGCAAGTACTCATCTGAAGATTTCGATGACGACTTGAGAAGTGTGCTTCGCCGAGCTGGATGCAAGGGTGAGAAGATTTGCTTCATCATGGACGAAGCCAACGTCCTTGACTCCGGTTTCTTGGAGCGCATGAATACCCTGCTTGCTAACGCTGAGGTTCCGGGTCTGTTTGAGGGTGATGAATTCTCATCCCTGATGACTGCTTGTAAAGAGGGTGCCCAGCGCCAAGGCCTACTTCTAGACTCCCAGGAAGAGCTCTACAAATGGTTCACGCAACAAATCGTGAAGAATCTCCACGTCGTGTTTACCATGAACCCGCCAGAGGGCGGCCTGGGTTCCAGAGCCGCCACCAGTCCTGCTCTGTTTAATCGTTGCGTGCTAAACTGGATGGGTGATTGGTCTGATCAAGCTCTGTTCCAGGTCGGCTCTGAGTTGACTCTGTCAGTTGACTTGGACAAGCCCAACTTCACCTCCCCCGACAGCATTCCAGTCGCCTATCGCGAGCTGAGTCTCCCTGCGTCATACAGAGACACTGTCATGAACTCCATGGTGTACATCCATCACTCTTTACACCATTTCAATCAACGCTTGCGCAAACAACAGGGCCGTACAACATCCTTGACTCCTCGCCACTACCTTGATTTCGTTGCCCAATATGTCAAATTGTTTAACGAGAAGCGTGAGGATCTCGAGGAGCAACAGCGACACTTGAACGTTGGTCTCGAGAAGCTCCGCGATACAGTGGAAAAGGTCAGCGACTTGCGGGCTAGTCTAGCTCAAAAGAAAACACAACTCGAGAAGAAAGATGCAGAGGCAAATGAGAAGTTGCAGCGTATGGTTGCTGATCAGCAAGAGGCCGAACAGCGGAAGCAAGTTTCGTTGGAAGTGCAAGCGGCTTTGACTGTACAGAATAAGGAAGTTGCAGAACGTAGGGAGGTCGTGTTGCATGATTTGGCTCGCGCCGAACCTGCCGTGGCAGAGGCCCAGAAGAGTGTCAGTAACATTAAGCGTCAACACCTTACTGAAGTCCGATCTATGGGTAATCCCCCTGCTGGTGTCCGACTAGCCCTGGAGGCTGTATGCACTCTTCTTGGCCACAAGGTCGACAGTTGGAAGACTATTCAGGGTCTAGTGCGCAGGGATGATTTCATCGCTAGTATCGTCAACTACGACAACGAGCGCCAGATGACTCGTAACATGCGAGTTAAGATGCAAAACGAGTTCCTGTCCAAGGAGGACTTCACCTACGAGCGAGTGAGCCGTGCCAGTAAGGCATGTGGTCCACTGGTGCAGTGGGTTGAAGCCCAAGTTAACTACTCTGAGATTTTGGATCGTGTGGGACCTCTTCGCGAGGAGGTTGACCAGCTCGAGGAGCGAGCTCTGCAAACCAAGGCTGAGGCCCAGGCTATCGAAGAAACTATCCAGAACCTGGAAAGCAGTATTGCAACATACAAGGCTGAATACGCTTCCCTCATCAGTGAAACTCAGGCAATCAAGACAGAGATGTCACGGGTTCAATTTAAGGTCGACCGCAGTGTACGTCTGCTCGACAGCCTGTCATCAGAGCGTGAGCGTTGGGAAGAGGGCAGTAAGTCGTTTGAGACTCAAATCAGCACTCTTGTTGGTGATGTTCTCATCGCGGCTGCATTCCTTGCCTATGCGGGTCTCTACGATCAACAATTCCGTAAGGCTATGATTGAAGATTGGGTCCACCAGCTGGGTCAGTCTGGCATCAACTTCAAACCACACAACCCGATCACTGAGTACTTGTCCAATGCCGACGAGCGTCTAACATGGCAAGAGCACTCGCTCCCTGTCGATGATCTTTGCACGGAGAATGCTATCATTCTGAAGCGATTCAACAGATATCCCCTCATTGTGGATCCCTCTGGTCGTGCAACCGAGTTCCTTCAGAAAGAAAGCAAAGACCGAAAACTTACCGTTACGAGCTTCTTGGACGACTCTTTTGTCAAGCAATTGGAGAGTGCGCTGCGTTTCGGAAATCCCATTCTTATCCAGGATGCAGAGCACTTGGATCCTATCCTAAACCATGTTCTCAACAAAGAATATCAAAAGACGGGTGGTCGTGTTCTTATTCAACTTGGCAAACAAGAGATCGATTTCTCTCCTTCCTTCCGGCTGTACCTGTCGACCAGAGATCCGTCTGCCTCCTTCGCACCCGATGTTTGCAGTCGTACAACCTTTGTGAACTTTACAGTCACTCAAAGCAGTTTGCAAACCCAATCTTTGAATGATGTTCTGAAGTTTGAGCGCCCAGATGTTGATGAACGCCGCAATAATTTGGTTAAGATGCAAGGAGAGTTCAAGGTTCATCTTCGGAAACTCGAGAAGCGCCTATTGCAGGCACTTAATGAGTCTCGTGGTAACATTCTCGACGATGACAATGTCATTGAAACTCTAGAAACTCTCAAGAAAGAGGCCGCTGAGATATCCAAGAAGATGTCTGAGACTGAAGGTGTCATGTCTGAGGTGGAGAATATCACCAATCAGTACAGTGTCATTGCTCGAGCATGCAGTGCTGTCTTTGCTGTTTTAGAGCAACTTCACCACATCAATCATTTCTATCAGTTCTCCCTCCAGTACTTTGTTGACATCTTCAACAGCGTTCTTTACCAGAACAAGCGCCTTGCACAGGAGAAGGAGCACTCTGCACGTGTTCAGATCATTATTCAAGACCTGTTCATAATCACCTTCCAGAGGACCTCTCTCGGTCTCGTGCAGAAGGACCGCATGACATTGGCAATTCTTCTTGCCCAGGCAACTCCCTTCCCGATGGACAGAGGTATTATCGACCGTATCCTGGACGAAACCATCGAAGATACGGATCTATCGACCACGATAGATCGTCAAGAGGAAGTGATGAGCAAGTTGCTCAACATGTCTATCTTCAAAGAGTACATCCCCAATATTCCCCAAGAACAATGGGACCGATTCTTCAGCGAGGAGCTTGCGGAGAATGTCGTGCCCGTTGTCTGGGACGAGAACACCTCTAAATTCGACCAGCTACTTCGCTCGGTACTCCTTGTCAGGATCTGTCGTATGGACCGATGCGTGCCCATCAGCGAGCGCTTCATCGAGGCTGTGTTTGGGCGCGAGCTCTTTGATGGCAGCAGTGATCTGAAAGACGTTGTTGAGCAGGTCACAGCCACTACACCTATTTCTCTCAGCTCAAGCCCTGGTTTCGATGCTAGTTACAAGGTTGATGCACTCGTTGAGCGTATGCATGCAACCTGTGCCAACATTGCCATGGGTTCAAATGAAGGTCTGGAGAGTGCTGACAAGGCCATCAGCAACGCCGCAGCTGCGGGTAACTGGGTTCTTGTCAAGAACGTCCACCTGGCGCCTTCGTGGCTTCAAAGCCTGGAGAAGAGACTGGATTCGCTCAAACCTCACAAAGAGTTCCGCCTCTTCCTTTCTATGGAATCTAGCCCGAAGATCCCTGTTAATCTGATTCGTGCCTCGCGCGTTTTGATGTTCGAACAGCCTGCCGGTGTTCGCGCCAATATGAAGGACTCTCTGTCTTCTCTGACTACCCGTGCCAGCAAGGCTCCTGTCGAAAAGGCTCGTGTCTACCTACTCCTCTGCTTCTTCCATGCAGTTGTTCAAGAACGACTGCGCTATGCACCAAGCCTAGGATGGAAGGGATTCTGGGAATTCAACGACAGTGACGTAAGTTTTTATTCAATACCTATTATCTTACAGTCTACTAACAAGCCCAATAGTACGAGTGCTCAGCTTTCATTATCGATCACTGGGTCGACACCGTCGCCCAGGGTCGTTCCAATGTTGCTCCTCAGAAGCTTCCTTGGGAGATCATCCGCACGCTTATCACAGAGATGTACGGTGGCAAAATTGATGATGCCCATGACTTCCAGCAACTGGAGGGCCTGGTGGACAAGTTCCTCACACCTGCTGCCTTCGAGGATGACTACAAGCTCGTCTCGGGCGTTGAGAATGACGAGCTTCTTACTCTGCCTAGCGGTACTAGCATTCGCGACTTTATCGCCTGGGTCAACAACTTGCCTGAACGCGAGCCTCCCACCTACCTTGGCTTGCCTGCCAATGCTGAAAAGCTGCTCCTGGTCAACCACGGCCGCAAGATGATCTCTGACCTGTCTCGTGTCACTACACTCCTCGATGAGGGGGAGCAGTTGATGGTTGACAGTTAGATTCCCTTTGATTCTTATTTTTATTTTTGGCGTTCCATTCCTGTAGATTTACTTAGGTATTCCCTTTGATTTTCCCATTAGAATGGCGGCGGATTACATCCCTTTTTCATATTGGATTTGTACCTATTCTTCAATATTTCCATGTATTTCTATCAAATCCTTTCTTTTTACAATTTCCCTACTTCGATACAGGTTTTTTCTAAATGCTTGGTTATTCATTAGAAGATGATCGCATTAGGTAATTCATTTATAGGCTGTAAATTAATTAAAAAGGAGCTATACTAAGTTTCGTGAGGTCAAACGTGGCATGGTCAATAGCATTACTTATCCAGCATACAATCTGTGGAATATTTCGTACGCATGAGGCATCTCATTCATGGATTGCCTTCAGCATTTAAGATAGGATAACTCAAAAGAAAGAAAAAACGCCAAGAAAGCCCAACAAAAGGAGGAGGGGTCAATGTCCTATTTACGGAGGGTGGACTCTATAGCCTAGGAGATGAAAGTAGACTCGCAGTACAGAGTTCCCTCCTCGACAACCTCAATGTCGCCGATCTTCAGCTTCAGCGACAGCTTCTCTGTCGGTGCGAACTAAATGGATGAGTCAGTATGGATCCGCAGATGTAAAAAAAGGCGGGCGGCGGAGATCTACCTGGAAGATGTATGGTCTGGTACCGGCGACACTGCCGGCGATGGCCTTGATGAATCCGGGAACTTCGCCCATCACATCAACGCGATCTAGGCGCTTGCCAAGGGGTCCGTCCACTACGGCTGTGACTTCCTGGCCATCGGATGTCTTGCCAGTCCACTCCCACTTGATGGATGTCGGCTCAGGCCATTCGCTCTCTGGGTCGGTGGCGGAAGCAGTGTGAGTGGCTGTGTTAGTGCTACCGGCGTAGATGATCTCGCCATCCTTGAGAATACCGCCGACGTTGACGGTGGTGGAGCCGTAGGAAGGAGGAGTGGTGAATTCCATCATAATGGCAGAGTAGGTGGGGGTCTGGAAGTTGAGGAAGTTCCAGCGGGCAGCTATTCATAATGAAGTTAGTATATTAAATTTGCATCCTTAAAAAATAAATGTCATACCGGCGTGATGCGGCTTCATTCCCTGGAGAGCCGGAATGAAGACTCCGCGACCAGCCAGATCGTAGCTCTTTTCCTTGGTGGTGATGCTACCCTCGACGGAACAACGAGCCCAGAAAGCGTGGCTCATGGAGCCCCAGGGCTTAGCGGGGTCAGTTCCGAAGTTGGAAGTGCCATTCTTGCCAACGGCGAAACCCGGGGCTGTGCGGGTGAACTTCAGATCAACGATGCTGTCAGGGTTGACAGTGGATTTGATGTGGTATGAGTCACCCTCCTCGTTCAGGGTGATGGTCATATTATCAGCGCCGAAGGAGAGCATCTTCTCGTCAAACATAAAGTTAGACAGTGGGTCCGAGTGCCAGATGTGCGGGCCACCCTTGAGGTTGAAGATCTTCGTATTGAGGTGGGCGGTGGTATGGATGCCACTACATGTCGAGGATGACAGTCAGTTATCGGAGTGTGAATTGTCGGATTGTGAATCATAGAAAGCTAGATCTAGATCGCATTTCCTGTTTCGTCGGGGTGTATAGATCTGGGGAATGCTCACGCGATGTTGCTGTAGATCACCTGGGCCATGACCACCTCCCCGCTGTTGGCCATAACGTAGAAGGTCTGGGTTTCGACATTGGTATACTGGAGTGCCTTCCACTTCAAGTGATCTTTGGTGAGAATGGTAAAGGGGGTCTCAGCAGTCTGCTGGGCGACGGACTGGATGGCATCGGGACCATACTCAGGCTCTTGCGTTCCTACGGCCGCAGAGAGGCTGTTGCTGTTAGTTCAACCCGACTATAAGAAAGGAATAGAATGCACATACGTTGATTTCAGCCAGTTCATGATTGATATTTGTTAATCTTTTCAAAGATAAACAAAAAATAAGAAATAAAAAAAAAGTAGGGAGGTGAGGAGGAAAGATCGACGCGGGGCCTGAGAGTTTAGTAGTTCGGATACAAATGGGGACCGAGTGAGCTGATTGGCAATAGGAGTATATGGAAGCTGAGAACTCTAGAGCCGAAATCAGAAGATGATAACAGGAGAAGATCTTGAAATGTAGATTAAAATCAAATGGAGACAGAAAAACAGAAAAACAGAAAAAAGAACAGAAAACTAACAAAACCGATGACGTTCGGCGCTTCTGAGCTCGCTTGACCCTGACCAATCAGAGTCCATCTTCCCTTCCCCAAGGAAAATCTTCCGTCTTCAGTTAATTCGTCTCCCCATTCAACCCTTGAAATACCACCTTAGTTCATCATGGCCCGGAACGCTATTGCCAAAGATCAGTTTGTTAAGCTGATTGTGGGTGCTGGCCAGGCCAGTCCCAGTCCCCCCGTCGGTCCGGCGCTTGGTAGTAAGGGTGTCAAGAGTATGGACTATTGCAAGGTAAGATCTTATTCTATCCTCTATCCACAATCATATTTCTTATCACGTTCATAGGAGTTCAATGCCCGTACTGCCCACATCAATCCGGGTACCCCTATCCCTTCGCGTATCACGGTCCGCCCGGATCGATCTTTCACCTTTGACCTCCGCACTCCGACTACCACCTACCTCTTGCTGAATGCCGCCAACGTTGAGCCCCGGAAGAATCGTCTGCGTGGTGCTCAAAAGCCCGGTCACGAGACTTGTGGTGAGGTGTCGCTCAAGCACATCTATGAGATTGCCAAGATCAAGCACAGTGAGACACGGTTATCAGGATTGAGTCTACAGGGGTTGTGTAAGAGTGTCATGGCACAAGCCAAGTCCATTGGCATCTCAGTTGTGCCGTAATTACGGTTGTCCTGAATTTAATTCTACTAAGACTTGTATCACCACTGCCATCATCTTGAAGCGGCCTCATGGGATCTGGACTACCCAATTCCCACTCCGACCATCTATTTGATCATTTGTCCTTGTTTTTGGCGTTATATTGGAGATGGATGGGGTTGCATTTCACTCATTGTACTATACCTGACCATCTCATCGCATATTTAAGCGATGTCAGCAATCACAATTTCATAGCAGAACCTCGGTACAGCCCTGGATCAACACAGAGGTTATAACTTTGGCTATACCCCTGCAGAAGATATCACGATGTGCCACTCATGTCAGGTACATTGATTTACATACTTATGTAATACACCAGATGATCAAGATTGCCAAGAGCCAAGTGAGCCAAGTGAGCCAAGAGAGCCAAGAGAGCCAAGAGAGCCAAGGGATATCTATTCTACTGTCTACGGGTGCTTATGTACTTGTGTAGGTAGGTAATGTAAGTACATATGTAAGAAGTACATCCATAGGTAGTACAGTCTATATCACGACCGGATCTTCTTCAATGCGGAATAACCGTATAGAGTATATGGAGACGGAAAAAAAAAGAGGGGAAATGGTTGTGGAGAAAGTGTCCGGGGATAGCCTTGATCCTTGATCTCTCTCTGTATCTACATATGCATTGCATTAAACCAATTCAGGTAAGATTCTAGAGTATCGGAAGAAGCAGCAGCCGCAATAAGCCGTCAAGTGCATTTCCGGTGTGTTCACGGAGAGCCGGGAAGTCGGCACGTTCTTGATACGCCCTTTATCCTTATATAATCTGATCATCTGAACTTGACGTCCGCAATGTTCCGACTTTATATTCGATATAAGTACTAAGTATTAAGTATGCAAGTTCATGTATTCAGTATACAGTACACTATTTAAGTATCTGTGATAATCTCTGCAGAAAAACAAAGGATGGTAATATTACCCATGGTACATAGTACTCCATACTATCAAAATACGATATTAAAAACGTCACCAACTTCCCCACTTGGGCCTTTTTTATTTTTCAATGCCTGAGGCTTGAGGCCCAGAAACCCCTCAAGGCTCAAACTCTCCTCTCTCTCACTCTTTCCCTCCTTTATTTTCTTAATCTCATAGTCGTGTTAGTGAATTTTCGTTTCTTAAACGTTTTCCCGTTGCGGACGCACGGGCTTAAAGCACGGATTCACGGATTCACGGATTCACGGATTCGGCGAGAAAAGATTTGCCTCAGATTCACTTCACCTTTCTTTCCTTCCTTATCATATCTGGCACTCAACGGTACTCGTACAGCTCAGAAGGGAGATCAACACTATCATAGATCTATCCTATCGTGATCTCACACGGGCATGCGACCCACTAAGACCGAAGCCGGTCTCGATTGAGTATGACGTCTGGACAGCCTGAGTCAACCTCTGTCAACTCTATCGTATCGGGTATGTCCTACTTCTGAATCTGACCTCATTCTCCCCATTATACCTTATAGGAATCCATGCTCACCTTCTGGACACCAGACTCACAGGCAACCCACCCCGCCAAGATGCCGGTCCAAGCGGAGTCCGCTGACCCCGACGCTAAGGGAAGATCTCAACCGGCTCAGGTTCGCTTCTCATCTGTAACTCAGGAAATCGAGCCATCTGAATCAATTCACTCAGAACTGGAGCAATCTATGCACGAAGTTCCTAAGCAAATCTCAGATGAGGAGAATTTGCGGTCGCTGGCTATGAGCTTGCAGAGTACCAAACTACAAGAGTCTCGTTTGCGCAATTTCTCTTTCGACCCAATGTCTCTGCCAACATCCAGAGTATGTATCAGACTCTCTTTCCAGTCGCTTTGATCCTTCTCTGGAGGCTCATAATCTCGAATCACACGATACGTGAAGTTTCTAGGATATGTTGATTCCATACTCTAATGAACCCCTCCAACCATCCCTCCAAAGTACCTGTCATTGGTGAAGAGAATAACCTACTAACTTTCTTCCTAATTCTAGGTTGGCTCTCGTGATTCCAGTGAAAGGAGCGCCCGCGACGGCTCTGGCCCTTTTGTGGCTTCTCCTCATGCTTCTCCACCCATCTCCGCCATTCACTCGCCTCTCCTGACCCCCGCTGGCACCCGCTCCCGCGAAAACAGACCCGGTGAGAGTGCCGCCGTAACCAACGCAGCCGGCCGAACAGACCCTCATACATCCGCTATCACTCCCGAAGCCTCTCCTCCGGTCACGTCCGGGGATGGTGCTCGTCAAAGTTCCTCGTCCTCCCGGCCGTCATCCACCGGTGTCCTGTCCAAAGACCCAAGTGCCACTTCTGAACCCGCGCAGTTTGCGCACCCGAAACATCGTGCACAATTCTTCATTGAGACCGACAGAAGCTCCATAGACGAAAGCCCTCCGCCAACTCCGAGAGACTCTCACACCCCACCCGGAGCTATTACCCCAGTAGGTGAACCAAACGACCCATATGCCCGCAGCAAACGGCCCCCGCAGACAAGGAACTTGGCTCAGTTAGATGCACGATTTATCTTTGGCAGTCGAGATTCAAAACGTCATTTCCGCCAAACTCCATCTCGGTCGGCCAGTACCAGCGACGTGACTAAGACCAATAGCAAACACAGCGTGTTTAGTAGCAGCAAAAAGGACTCGTCCTCAAAGACGGCCCAAAACGGCCATGGTCACATTCACCATGGCTCCATGTCAGAGTTAAAGCGATTTTTCAAGATGGGCCACCGTCACAAACGGCCCGACTCTCCCACTTCCGCAAAGCGGAGCAGTAACTTCTCTTCAAAGAGCAATGCTAGTGATAGTGTGCCATTTGGAGACGATCATGGGTTGAACTCTAAATACGGCAAGCTTGGGCGCGTTCTAGGTTCGGGAGCTGGTGGCTCCGTTCGTTTGCTCAAGCGGAATAGCGATGGTGTCACTTTCGCTGTCAAGCAGTTCCGAGATCGTCACAATTGGGAAAGTGCAAAAGAGTACTCAAAGAAAGTCACAGCAGAATTCTGTATCGGTTCCACCTTGCATCACGGCAACATTATCGAAACTCTCGATATAATTCAAGAAGGAAGCCATTGGTACGAGGTGATGGAGTATGCGCCGTTTGATCTCTTCGCCATTGTCATGACAGGCAAGATGGGCAAAGAGGAAATAGCATGCTCATTTAAGCAGATCCTCAGTGGCGTGGCATATCTTCATGGAATGGGTCTTGCCCACCGAGACTTGAAATTGGACAATGTGGTGGTCAATAAGAAGGGAATCATGAAACTAATCGACTTTGGAAGCGCAGTTGTGTTCCGATACCCCTTTGAGAACGATATTGTCTTTGCATCAGGCATCGTTGGCTCTGATCCATACCTGGCTCCAGAGGTATACGATGAAAAGAAGTACGACCCTCGGCCTACGGATGTTTGGTCGCTGGCGATCATCTTCTGCTGCATGACTCTACGTCGATTCCCGTGGAAGCAACCTCGCAGCACAGACAATTCCTACCGCCTATTTGTGTCCTCTCCCACCCCTGGTACACCAGTTCCAGATGTTGACCCTCGCCGCCAGCATGCCAAGTCATCCCCCGATCTCCCTTTTATCGCCCGGGAGAAGGATGATCAGAAACAACTCCCTTCATCGTCTGAAACTCCGAAGGCTGAGAAGCCAGCTAAGCCTGAACAACCGGCCAAGTTGACAGTGCCACCTACTCCGCAAACAAACGGCAACCAGGCAAACGCAAAGTGTGACGATACTACTCATAACGCTGCTGTTTCCCCGACTGCCGAAAAGACCACCCGCACGACCAGCAAGGAGGCACCGCCGCTTCCAGGACAAACTCAATCGTCTAGTCAACGCCAGGAAGTGATCAAGGGTCCTTGGCGACTTCTCCGCATTTTGCCACGGGAAAGTCGGTACATCATCGGACGCATGTTGAAGGTCGACCCCAAGGAACGAGCGACTCTTGATGAAGTTCTGGCAGATGACTGGGTGCGAAGCATCGAGTCATGTGAACAGCTCGACTCAGGCGATATCATTAATGCCCCCGGCCACACCCACGTCCTCGAACCGCCCTCACAAAGTCCTGCTGTAGCTAGCAAGGCAGCTACCAAGAGCAAGGCCAAATAACAGGCCAAACGAGCTACCGTTCTTCCATGTATCAACCTTTTCACTGCCTCTTAACTGTTTCCCTTTCTATGCATAATTTCCTCTGACGCCCATAGACTGGGTCTAGTATTTTCCTTTTTTCTCCCATCCGCGTCTTTTTTTTATTCTTTTTGCTACTTGGAATGGTCTAGATGGCTTCTCCTACCTGTGTCTGGCGCTTTTTATCTTTTTATCTTCTTATTTTTCCCTTCTATCCTTGGACTCAACCTTGCCAAACTGATACTTTGCAGGGCGTGATGTTTGCGCCCATCCTTGATCTAGGATAGGGTTGATATTCTTTGTCAATGCAGAGAATACTGAGTGGACTCAAAAAAAAATAGCAGAAACTCGATAAATGTTTCTGATAGACTCACAGTGGAATGATTGGTTCTTGTTGATTTCTTTCTTTTGTCCCTTCCGCTGGTGAGAGTTTGAGGATTGTCCTGTTATTTCTGGAGAACTTGAAGAAGTAGGTAAATACGTTTGAATTCAAGTACATATAAGTTTTTATTGAGAAATCTTTAACACTGTAAACCTATCTGATAGAGTAGGATCTGCAGCCCTAGTTAATAATGGATGTTGTTCATCCCGAGATCGGGGATATACCCTGACGTAACTCCGGCTTTACCGCCGAGCAAAACTTCGATAATTGCGGAGCTCTGCTTCTCCGGCCCTAATCTTCTTTCGAGCTTATGAGAACGACCACCAGTGATTGACTTGTCCTAATTAGTTCCCTGTGAACTTGTTATCTACACTAGCATGTACTCCAGCTAGGAAAGCTTACATCGGCCTCAAATCTACCCCATTCATCTCATCTTATCCCATCCATCATGGCTCAACAAACCGATGGGGCCTTGGTCTCCTCCCCGTGGACAAGGTCTCTACTTGTATGTCATGCCGCATCGCAAACCACCTGGGTACTGGGACCCTTCTGATTTTTCGTTTTTTATCTAGGCTGGTGCTGTCGCAGGTCTCACAGTAGACTGCTCCCTATATCCTCTCGACACCATCAAAACCCGTCTTCAACAAGCACACAACCACGCAGCTCCACAAGCCCGCCTATCCCTGCGCCAGACAGTTCGTGGTATCTACGCTGGTCTTCCCTCCGTCCTCTTCGGCTCCGCCCCCTCAGCCGCCTCTTTCTTCATCGTCTACGATGGCGTTAAGCGCTCGCTGCTCCCTCCCTCCAGCAACTCCTCCTCCGAGCAACCGTCGCGCTCCCACATCGTCTTCACTCACTCCATCGCTTCCTCACTCGGTGAGATCTCAGCTTGCGCTGTGCGCGTACCAACCGAGGTCGTCAAGCAGCGTGCTCAAGCCGGCTTGTTCGGTGGCTCAACTCTACTTGCACTAAAAGATATCTTATCACTGCGACACCCCGCACCAGCACCAGCAGCTGATGTAGCTTCGCAGGCTAGCACAGCTCCCTTGAAGCGGGGGTACGGACAAGTCATTCGAGAATTGTACCGCGGCGCTGGAATCACCATCGCGCGCGAGATTCCCTTCACCGTCTTGCAGTTTACCATGTGGGAATCGATGAAGGAGGCTTATGCGAACAGATATCTAGAGGCTGGGTCTTCTCAAATACCCGTGTCAACAAGTGCCATGTTCGGTAGTGTTGCTGGTGCCATTGCGGCCGGTCTGACGACTCCGCTGGATGTTATAAAGACACGGGTTATGCTTGCACGTCGTGGAGATGGGGGCGAGGCACCGATTCGTGTTAAGGAGATCGTGCAGGGAGTCGCGCAAGAAGGCCTTGGTACGTTCTGGCGCGGGATCGGACCGCGTGTGGCATGGATTGGCATAGGTGGTGCTGTGTTTCTTGGTAGTTACCAGTGGGCGTGGAACACTTTGGAGGGGAAGAGGGGGAAGGATGAGGTATAGCTAGTTCAATTGTATATTATTTCTTCTTTAAGAGGGTATAGAGAATAGAGGATCTAGAGTAGATAGATGTGGGAATTCCACACATATCCAACCAATCTCTCCAAATGTTCTCTGTTATATATAGTCGATCTCCCAACTTATCAGTTCAATCAATTCTTGCACTAGCTCACCTAGTGCAAGCGACCCCAGCATCCCGGGTACAGATTGGTAGAATGGATCGCGTTGAAGGAGTGGTTATATATATGACATCAACAAGTGTAATGAATCTATTCGTGGAAAACCTCGTATTGAGCAGTTTAGAGATTCATGACAAATCAAAGAAAGCAGACGAATAACCACGTATCGTGTTCCCCACGGCCAAGATGCTTATACTGCGGCAGATGCGCCATGGCGTACCTTAGGTAGAACCAAATGCCCCTGTCTTCCCAACTTCATCCTTCTATGCTTTTTCACTAAAATACATCTATTTTCATCCCTAGACTGGCTTATTGAGTATCTTAAGTGACGTTGTGCTCCCCACCAGATTAGTGATCGGCCTAGAGGCAGATAAGCTCTCCGCATCTGCCTCCGCAATCCCCTCCGTCATCAGCCCGAACTGCATGCATGGCACGCAAACTGAGCCACCAGAGGGTCGCTTATGGTTTGTCATCTTATCTTCTTTCTTTGTGATACATATTCCCCGCATGCTGACTACTTCATTGCAGTACTCCCTCTCCCCGATGCCCCCGGTGGGCACCGGTTGGGGGTTAATGGCCTGACCGTTGACCGTCAGAACTCCATCCTGTGAGTACTCCTCGCTATCTCTCGCGGAATCTCAATGCGAAAGCGACTACAAAATTGAGACTCAGCTTACTGCGACGGTCTCGTGGTGTTGCTATCATTGTAGGTTCTCCGCGCAGAATGAAACAGCTTTTAATGTAGATGAGTTTCTCAGGTATTCAGCAGGCCGTGATGGTGTCATATGCTCGTGGGACGTCGATTTTCCTAAAAAATCCCTCCATTCCTCAAATCCCTACGCTGATGCCAATCGAAAGCCGGACCCAACTCGACTCAAGACTCAAGTCCAAGCGCACAGCCATTGGATCAACGATATCGTGCTGACCCATGGCAACACCGCTCTCGTCTCTGCCTCGTCTGATACAACCGTGCGACTCTGGCGCCCACATTCTGAATGTACTGGCGTCCCCGAGCGCATCGGCAAGCATTCGGACTATGTGAAGGCTCTCGCTAGCCCCGGTAGCCATTCCAATTGGGTAGCATCCGGCGGCCTCGATCATAAGCTCTACTTGTGGGATCTTGACGGCGGAGGCGAAATTATGAGTGTGAATGTCTGTGGTGATGAAACGACCGAGAAAGGATCGATCTACGCCTTAGACGCAGTCTCGTCGGTGATCGCCAGTGGAGGGCCAGAAAACGTCGTCCGAGTTTGGGATCCTAAGTCCGGGAAGCTAATCACCAAGTTTGTCGGCCATACGGATAACATTCGAGATATACTCATCAATCAATCTGGGGATAAAATCATGACAGCCTCATCGGATCAAACTATCAAGGTGTGGTCGCTGACCGCGGGGCGCTGCATGAACACCCTAACTATGCATAACGACAGTGTCTGGTCTCTCTACTCAGATCATCCAGATCTTTCCGTCTTCTACTCCAGTGATCGCTCGGGCTTAGTGGCCAAGACAGATACACGCGGCTCGCCAGACATCGAACAAGGCACTTGCGTTGCAGCTTTGCAGGAGCACGAAGGCGTTTTGAAGGTTGTGGCTGCTGATGATTTTATTTGGACCGCTACGCCCAAGTCAAGTATCAACCGCTGGGGAAATGTCGATACCACACTTGACATTGAATCACCCCCTCCGTCATCTCGAGTCATCGACTCGACCGTAGCTTCGCCAACTGTCGCGACAAACAAACCGAAGGTTATTCCATTCAATTCAGTTTTGCCGCTGTCTGCGACATCCTCTCTACCAGGACGAGCTTCTTCCCCGGAACCACATTTAGAGACTGATGAGACCATCTCGGTCCACTCATTACCAGTGGAGACGATCGAGGGACAGCATGGACTGATCAAGTGCTTGATGTTGAACGATCGAAAGAGAACCCTTACCCAAGATACGGCTGGTGACGTTGTCTTGTGGGATTTGCTCAAGGTAATATCCTGAAATCCTTGACTGAGGTATTCATTCACTCATTTTTATCTGTAGTGTATTCCCGTACAAACTTTTGGCAAGCGACATATCGAGGATGTAGCGGATGAGCTCAATACCGGCGAAACTATTTCTCACTGGTGTACTATTGACATTCGCACCGGCAGGTTATCAGTCATTCTGGAACCCAATCGTTGCTTTGATGCCGAGGTCTACGCAGACGAGGCTGGACTGTCAGAGGATGAACTCTCGCAGTTCCCCGATGATAACCGAAGTATGTACATCTGCTGTCAAGTATTCCTCATAACTATTTCATGTGATGCTGATGAATCAAACAGTAAATATCGGCAAATGGATCTTGCGTTGGCTTTTCGCTCCAATAGTCGACGAAGAAGTTCGACGCGATATCGAGTATCGTGAAAATGCTGTGGCCAGAGCTGAGGAACTCGCCAAGTTGAATGCTTCGGGCACCTCAGCACCTGATGATATCCCTCGTAGTCTTGGAATTCCTATCTTCTCCGATCCTTTCAAGCCTACCTTGCGACCTGGTATGGACGTCACGGGAAGTCCTAGTACTCCTGGTGGCTGGGGAATCAACCTCGGCACTCCGTCATCGGCGAACTATCTGAGTACATCGATTCAGAGTGGTCTTTCTCCATTCCCGACTCTTGACGTGGCAACACCTGGTTCACAACAACCAAACAATGAAGAAGTTTCCTCTTCATTCTCCGAGAAAGCTTTTGACTATTTCTCTTCTAGAACGCAGCTCGATAACGAAAAAGCACTCATGTCGCCATCCGATGTCAACTCAAATGGCGTTCAGTCTCCGGTCGAGCCTGATACACAGGAGCGCAAGCGAACCGGGTCGATATTCGGAAAGAAGTTCAAGCTGGACATCAAGAAGCTGGGACGAACATCTACAGATGCGAAGCCCCAGATTCAAGAAGAGAAAGTTGAAGAGTCAGAAGTCTCCTCTGTCAAAGAGAAGGTGTATGAGCCCAATGTCATTGGCGTAATTGATCGTATTCACGATGAATACGATGAATTTTTGACGGCAAATCCGAATCAGGAACTTAGGACTGCAATTACCCCCAGTCTTGAGAGCGAGACTCCTCGACTTGAGATTCCGTCTCGAGTTGCTGTTTTCATCCAGGAGGAAACTGGCGATACTGCCGTAGCTTCTGATCTGTATCAAGGCAGCGTTGGCAGCATTGGTCAAGATTCAGAGCTGATTAAACAGTCGATTCCTCACTGGCTTGGTGAAATGCTACTAAGGAACCAAATTCCATTCAAGGAACAGGTTAAGATAGCTTTCATTTTGAAGCCACTTGATGACGCTTTACCACCAATTGCCAAGCCTGAACCGTAAGTTTTCATACAAAGCTTTTTTTTTTTTTTTACTCTATCAGAGCTAACCCTTACAGTGCTCCTCTCTACGGAGCTCCACCGCCGCCCCTTGCTAACAATAACAACAACTCGCGTCTCAATGCCAACCGTATGCTTCGTACCAAGAAGATCCTGGCTTATGTAGCTGAGCGCATTGATCCACCCAACCCGGACGAGCCCGAGGCAGATGTCATGCCAGCAGAGGAGTACCTGGAACTTTACTGCCAGAACATAGTATGATCTTAACATATCCTTTCCAGTCTTACTTTACTAACTATGCGTCCAAGATATGCCCGCCTAAGATGACTCTGGCTACAATCCGCACACACCTCTGGCGTACATCTGGAGATATGGTTCTCTACTACAAAGCAAACGGCAAGAAGGAGATTCGATCAACCTCATCCGAGGCAACCAATAACGAGAACCATTTCGCCACTAACGAATCAGCCACTGAGAGTAGCGCCGCTCAGGGCAGCATTCACTCAATGACCAATTCCGGGTCAATGTCCGGATCAGTCATTACTTAAACTCGAGCTATGCAAGCAATCCCCAGCAATGCAATCTTCCTTTTCTTTCGTGAGGTGGCTTTACTATTCTATCCAGGGATGTACGTGGCTATTTTGCTTGTATTGGACGGGGCAAGAGCTAGGTACATATGGTGCTGCTCTCTTATTCTCTCTCGTTTTCTGATACCTTTTTCCTTTGTGAGTTTTTCATATCAACGTATTGTAAGGTGGTGCCATGTATAGCGTGTAATGTAGTTGGACGCCCATCTAAGATGTAATTTGGAGTAACTGTAGTACCTGTCATTCAGTTGGCAAGAAAACTGCCCTTAGTATTAGATTATTTATTACCGAGAACGGGCCTGCCTTGTTAGACAAGTTACCTGTTAGAATATATTCCATCCAACTGATCTTCATCAGCCCTGTTGTCTCCGTCAGATATTGATATCAGATAAGGATGAAGAAGCTAATCATGCAAAGACGCTGCATGCCCTAACCAATAAACAGAATTCAGTCTTTTACTGTCAACCTGGCTTCAACTGTTATTCTGTTTGAGCGAAGCAGGATCTCTATCATTTCTATGATACAAAAGAGCTGAAAAGCACCGACAGCCTGCTTGAGGCGTGTCAAACACGGAGCCAAGTGTGATAAGAAAATTTCATGCGGGACTTACTTGATGAGGGGGCTTGAGGCATATTGCAGAAGAGAGGTCGTGAACGTCAAGGGAAGATTGATAAGTTGGGTCAATATGGAACGAAGTACCTCAGTTCAAACCTAGGAACGCTGACCAATTCAAATAGCGAGAAGAGAGACAACATTTCACCATATCTTGACTTGAAACAGGAGAATACCCGTATCAAAAAAAAAAACAACTTTCTCTATTACAGGAAGTAAATAATTCGCAGTCACAAGATTTTTCACCTTTCAACATTGAATCGCCTATTGAAATTGAGAAGAAAGATAGTATGATAAATCTTATCTAGTTCAACTCGCTCTGGGAACCGGATACATGACGATGGGTTGTTCGTGGAGAATTCCATGCCTTGTTCAGGGCGTGCCACCACTTGCTGTTCTCATATCTGTGATTTTTCGATGGCTTTTTGCCAAAGGCCGATCAGAAGAAGCCTGACAACCGCTAGCAAAATACCATAGTAGTGGCGATAGTCACTCGATGCCAGTACATCAGGAAAACATCAGGAGATAGAAGAAGTTAAGCCACTTTGGAAGTCGACAGGTTGACTCGAATGAATAGTCACAACGGCTGGAGCATACTTTGTCGATCGCCTCCGATCAGAAAGCGCATTTTACTGATTCTATCTATTCTTTGGTGTGGAAAAGGAGTTATCTCATACTACTTTAGTCCCATTTTGAAAATCATCGATATCACATCTACCCCCAAGCAGACTGGAATCAGCAGAGAGCTACAGATCTGAAACCTGTTCTGCTCATTATTGGGAGCATTTCTTGCAGATGGCATCGGCCGACGCCCTCTCTGGTTCATCTGCTGTATTGGGATGGTATGTGCCAATATTGCGCTCACTACCTCCTCAGCCATATGCTCGGAACATGGATCCAAGGCAGCTTCATAAGTGGTCATGATCTTCCTATTTCTATGTGATGCGGCTTTAATTGGGGTGTAATAAACTTCTCTATTCCTACCCAACTGAGATCATCACGTACCCGATCAGAGCATTTCACAGGCTGGAGCGACGGTAAATCAGTATGTGAATCTCATAGCGCTAGATCGCATCGGATTTTACTACTGCATCTTCTATCTTGGCATGCTTATTCTTGCTGTGAGAATACCCAATCAGTCTTTTTTGACGCTGAGACTGACATCAAATAGACAATCCTCATTTATTTTATCTATGCTGAGACAAAAGAAAACCTTGGAAGTCGGCGTTTAAGCTTGCTATGCTTTTCAAAGATTCATACGCTGGTGAAGTGACTCTAGAAGGCCTAAAAACTGGGCTTAATACCCCCAGCACTGAACTGTGCGAGACAAAGGAGGCAGTGGTTAAAAGCAGTGGTCAAAAGTGAAGCTATGACCATTTAGAATTACGTATTAGATCCATGGGTGGTGGATGTATTATAATTATATCCGAGTTTGTTGGATGTATGAAGAGTAAATCGGTTATCTCCAGGGGTATAGGAGCCGTGGATAATGGCCAAAGTCATTGGAAATGTAGGTTGTGATATACCTGGGTACATATGTACCGGATTTCCTCTGCCAGTTCTTGGAGTTCTTCTTCTAATATACGGAAGGGGCCATCTAAATAAAGCGTCTGCCACCATTCCTTTAAACACTAACCACACATCGTTATGGCTCCCAAAATTTTCAGCCTATTCAAGCGCAAAAAGGAAAGACCCCGACCACCGGGTATAACTTCCTCAGATGCAATAGGAATTTCAGATTCTACCTGTGAGGTCAATGGCGACATATTCAATCGATGGAAGCTGCCGATTCCACCCCCAGAACAACGCCTACTCAAGTTTGATGCAAAGCCCCACTCCCAAAGCCAGAGCTTATGTTTTTGTATGCCAGCTGATATAAGAGGGCTGATATATATTGAGCTCATGGGTAGTCAGAGAGTGCACATTGTATATTCCTGGAGGCCGCCATTTCAGCCGCCGCCAAAGCCGAAGCCGAGGAGTGGTGACTGGCACTGGGGTTGGTGGCACTGTCACAGTGTCTGTGAGAAATTAGAGCTATTCCCTGACTTATGCTATATTGGTTTTATGATGGGTGATATGAATCCAAGATTCGAAGGGAGAATTGGCAATGTGGAGTGGTTAAGGTAAGTGTTTTACATTATGATAGGTATGAGGACGCATCAAAGGTTCTCTACGGTACAAATGTCTTTGCGATGGATAATCTCTAGGCCACTCCATTTGTTCTATCCAGACTTTGGTCGCCACGCCATACATCTGCTATCATCGCCATGGACATCTCGTTTCCCATCTACCCTCATACTTCGAAATCCCCAGTGAATTGGATAGCAACATATTTAGCGTTTTTCGATGTACTTGATCAAAGTTTTCTGGTGTGCACCGTCTAGATCTAAGAGAAGACCTTCTCTCTTCTCTTCCTTTCCCTCTTCATCTTAGAATTCCATCACGATTTTCACCTTTCGCCTTCTTCCAAGAGTACAAGAGTAGGGTCATCACAGGCTGCAAGGTTGACATGGATTGTCATCAAACACAGTGCTGTAAGACTGTCAGGGATGATAGCAAGACAAGCAATTGCTGTAACGACAGAGAAGATTGCAAAGTGTTTGGCGGACGCTGCTTTTAGAATAAGCAATGCTGTTCGGGCGACTGTCGTCACAAGTGGTGGAATGGTAAAGATAAGACATAGATAACGCATTTGAGCTACATTGAGTTCATGGATGATGTTGATGCTATTGACTAGATGTATCATTTGGTGTTATGTTTGCTCGATAATTTTGATTTTGATCCGCTGTTTCTCAGTCGAGAATGCTGGTAATGTTACTCTGTTCGTCCACCATCACATTACGCGGCGCAATATCCCCATGCGTGAATACCGAGTCCTCTGACCGTGGCAGCATGTCCAGCAGTTTATCCTTGTAGAGAGTTCCCCCGCAGTGGATATATCGCTCGTAAATTCGTGAGCGTAATTCAGAGTCGTTTAAAAGCGGCCGAGCAGGTTCTTATAGATCCACTAGCATTGGGTCCTGGGATGGAGAGTCATCTGCAGCACACTGGTAAAGTTCCTCTGGAGGAGAAATGGTTCGGATTCTCGATATCAGACCCCAGAGTTGAAGACATATCGACTCTTTAGCCCCTTCATCTAGCATATCCCACTTGCGATCTAGAGGCGCCCCGGGTATGATTGTCATCGTAATCTCGCTATATTGATCTGGAGGACGGATGTTAGGAGGAAAAACGATTTCGGGGACCGGAACGTCAGTGTGCTCCAAGATAAGCCTCATTGCTTCGACTTCAGGCTGTCCAACAGTCCAAGTCCGCATTCCGACTTTGTTATCCAGGAGTCCCACATGAATACAATTCTGCTCCCTTGCTTAGCTACCACAGTCACCTTCTCTTGGGTGTATGGAAAGGACAATGGGTCCACAGACGGCGAGCATGGTAATAAGATTTTGCCCTCCTTGATGTATGTCTGCCCCACGTGAAGATTCCGTCGTGTGAAAAGAACTGGAGATTCCGTCATTTCTTTGACACTTTTTATGTCTGTGGAAAGTGGTTTAAGCTTGAGGCTAAATATTATCAGTGACACTTAGAAAAGATTATGATAAAGCGTGTAATATATAATTCAACATTGTATTTGTATTTCAATGTTACAGATGCTTCCAATTGGTGGTCGCCAAAACTTCAAGGTACTCGTCGACCATTTTCAGGCCTGGTTCAGCAACACCAAGGTTCAGGTGAGCCACTTCACTGGTCTCTATCTATTGTAGGGATGGTAACAGATCTAAAATCCGTCAACAATTTTTGATTATGTATCCGTCAATCCGCCAATCTGCCAATCCGCCAATCCGCCAATCCGTTACCATCCCTAATTTATTGGCGCCGAGAACGAACGAGGATGGGTTTATCAGGTGAAGGGCGATACTTAATATATGAGATATCAGCCGTCGACACAGATGGTTGATATATTACAATCAGCGATGTTCCTCAACATCTACCACTTAGCCCTGGTTAGCAAAGAAGAACAGGCAATCATACAACAGACAGCGGAAGCAGAGCTCCCTCCACAGGCCGATCATCGGCATTTGGTAACAAGAAACTGTCAAGAATGGACAGTGCGTGTGATCCGAAAGTTAGTTGAAGTTGGAATTGTTCCCCCTGCAAAACTGGAGATGGCAATATCGATGCAAGAGCCCGTCTAGTGATATTTTCGGCCGCGGCGTGTTTCCTATCAATTCAATTCAATTCAAAGTTCTATTAACCTGACAGAGCTATACTAGTCGCGTATATGCTATGCAAGCGCTTCAACCGTCCAAAGCAGGAACTTGTGTCCAACGCCAAATAAACTCAGATACATAAGAAATTAGGACGTGTTGTCCCATAGGTAAATTCTCTCGTAGACTCCCTCGTAGGACATCCTCGTAATCCAGGGCCTTTGCCACACCTGTAGATTCTCTGTAATCCCCGACCAATTGGCGTCTTTACCTTCCGTTTCATTCCTCTTGTGTCTGTTTCTATTGTGTTTCTGTTGTGTTTTCGATGTCTTGGCCTAGGTACTCGATGCCTAGGTTTTCTCGGTATTGTTACCCATCGTATTCTCCTCCTATCCACATGGCTGCTAGGCCTATCGATTCGTAGTCGCCTGGTCAAGATCAGGTTCAATTACCAACACCGTCCAATCGTTATCCAAGACATCTGACTTTACGGTATACTTCCTGAGTAGCCAATCATAATTACTGAGTGCTTATTGGACATAACGAATATTTCACGTGACTATTACGAGCAGCCTGAAATTTACTCAGTGAGCCTAATGGTAATGAGTGCCTCAAGTGGCACCTGAAATAGGAAAGCCCCACCTGGCATAGAAAAAAACAGTACGTAAAGGTCACTAGAGTTATTATCTAGTATATAAATATTACGAACGCATTTTCTATTCGCAATATTGCCGATAAACTTATCATCGGACTAAAGTCCCTGCAAGCGAGCCCAAGTAGGTAATTAGAACAGGTCACACTTAAATTCCAACCCCTCATCTCCAGTGCTTCTCACTTTCTCAACTTCACCACCATTGCCCACAAAATGACAATTACACACATCACCAAAGACGACTATGCATACGATCTGGGCAAATTCGGACGGTCTATCACGACCAACAGTCCGGAAGCTCAGACTTGGTTCAATCGCGGTCTGACATGGGTTTACACCTTCAATCACACCGAGGCCGCTAAATGCTTTGAGCAGGCTATTGCTCATGATAATTCGTGTGCCATAGCTTACTGGGGTCTAGCATATTCCCGTGGTCCGAACTACAATTTAGCTTGGGAGTCTTTTGGCGACGGTCTGAAAAATGCAACGAAGGTCACTTATGAGGCTACCCAAACGGCCCTCTCTTTTGCTTCCAGTGCAACGCCCATCGAACAAGCCCTCATCAATGCTATCCAGGCTCGCTTTCAAAATAAAGAGCCTGTTAGTATGGAGCAGTACAGGCTTCAGAATGTAGCCTATGCTGACGCAATGGAAGCCGTATATAACCACTTCGGAGAAGACCTAGATGTAGCAGTTCTCACCGCAGACTCCATGATGAGTCTTTCAGCCTGGAAACTATGGAATCTCAAGACTGGAAAACCAAATCCTGGAACTCGTACCTTGCAAGTTAAAGAGATACTAGAGAAAGCTTTGCGCCATGAAAATTCCAGTCAGCATCCTGGCTTGCTGCATCTATACATTCACCTGGTTGAAATGTCCCCAAATCCGGAACTTGGTCTTGTTCCTGGAGACCATTTACGTGATTTGATTCCTGATTCTGGGCACGCCTGTCATATGCCATCCCATCTGGACGTCCTCGTTGGAGACTATCGCGCCGCTATTCGCGCAAACCAGAAAGCCACGATAGCGGATGAGAAGTACGTGCAGATTGAGGGGGTGTTTAACTTCTACTCGAATTACCGCATGCATAATTATCACACACTTATCTACGCGGCAATGTTCGCCGGTCAGAAGGCGGTTGCTCTGGACGCTGTCGATCGAATGGAGGGGACACTACCAAAAGAGCTCCTAGCCAAGATGCCAGACTTTATAGAAGTCTACATGTCCGTCCGAGCACATGTCATGGTTCGTTTCGGCATGTGGGATGAGATCATCGCCCGTCCGCTCCCAGACGACCAAGAGCTCTATTGCGTGACAACCGCCACGACTCAATATGCCAAGGGTGTCGCATACGCGGCAACAGGAAACATTCCCGAAGCCGAAAAGCAGCGTGAGCTTTACCACGAGGCAGCGAAGCGAGTCCCAACGTCGCGACTCGACTTCCCAAATAAATGCGTTGGTATCCTTGGAATTGCAGCTGCAATGCTGGACGGCGAAATAGAGTACCGGCGCGGCAACTATGCTCAAGCCTTTGAGCATCTACGTCACTCGGTTGAGCTGGATGACGGCCTTGGATATAGTGAGCCGTGGAGCTGGATGCAGCCTTCTCGCCATGCTCTTGCTGCACTTTTACTTGAGCAAAACCACGTTGAAGAGGCAGCTGAAGTGTACCGCTGCGATCTAGGACTTGATAGCTCTGTTATCCGGGCGCGTCAGCATCCGAACAATGTATGGGCTTTGCAGGGGTATCATGAGTGTTTAGTTCGGTTAGGTCGTACTGCTGAGGCGAGGTATATTGAACCGCAGCTGAGGATTGCGATTGCGGTGGCTGATGTCCCAGTGAAGTCCTCTTGCTTATGTCGGAAGGATAACACGAGAACACCTGACCTGGGAAATGTTTGTTCTCGGAGTTGTCATTAAAGAAGTGAAAAGTGCTACCATTTAACCAGGCATCAATTTCTTCTCGGCCTCATCCTAAGGTCATTCATTCTCAGTAGTTATCATAGAGTTCAGCATACATGTCAGTAAGCATTCAACATTGAACTCAGCCTCTAAACGCCCTCGGTGTTTCCCTTTCTTCACGTCACGACCACTGTGGACCTTTTTCTCTCTCGCGACCTGAAAAGAGTCAAGTACATAGGTAACCAGCTCTGAACGACCTAGGCACACTTTAGCCCTAGGTATCTAGTTCTAAAATTCCTACTACTATGATCGACGAATATGGAACTTAGAGGATCCAGCTATGAATGTTGATATCGCTATCATCCTTGCAGCCGGTATTCTTAACTCAGCGGTGGACACTCGAGAGGCTTTAGTCGAGGACATCAAAGGGCTCTCTCTAACCATGGGTTGGACTTTCCTCAAGCTCCCGATTCTTTACTTTTTTGTTTCATTAAATGTTAATAGCATTTGGGTTATGGCCGAGCACTGGTAGTTTTCGAGTCTTATTCTTAAGGTATTCGTAGATGACAATTCAATTCTCCAACAATGAAGAATCCGTATAAGAGATGCGGGTCGGATAAACAAAGTCTCCGATAATCAATATCAAAACGAGACCTTCCAGTAAGAAGGTCAACTGGTTTTCCATCCATGTGGATTCTTTACAATGCCGATTCCTCCATGGATAGATCCAACCAAACCGATCTCTGTTAAATTATTTTCCCAGCGTCTCCACCAAGCATGGCTTGGTACGCGAGGCATAACTGTCCCTGGGAAAAACAATGAAGATAGCCTGCTTCAGTTGCTGAGCACGTCTGTGACATCCCTCGATAATGCCCAGGCTGATGGAAGTTCACCGACCCTACCGCGTAGGATTGGTAAGTTGTACTTCGTTGTTGGAATACATTTATCAAGATAAATTCATGCTTACAATTCTTAAAGGTATTGCTGTCAGTGGCGGAGCTGATTCTATGGCTTTGGCATATCTATGTGGACAGCTTGAACATCAAAATTTGAACACCAGGAGGCAAAAACTCACACCACGGGCATCAATATCTGTGACTGCGTTTGTAGTTGACCATAAGGCCCGCAGAGAAAGTAGTGAAGAGGCCAAGACTGTAGCCGGATGGCTATCAAAGATGGGTATGCCTCCATTTTACTCTATCTATCAATCAATCCATGCGTCCAACACTTAATAAAGTCAAGTGTCCTTATACTAAAACCTCACAGGTATCACAACCCAGATTCTGGAGCTAGATTGGTCTTCATTATCTAAAACAGAAAACCCTTCAGCCGAGCTTAATGGCGAGATATCAATGCCATCGGCCTTTGAAACTCATGCTCGCCGATTAAGGTACCGAGCCCTTGGCAAGGCTTGTCGAGAACGAGGTATAGAGGCCCTGCTCTTGGGCCACCACCAGGACGATTCAGTCGAGACAGCCATTTGGCGACTTTCCTCTGGGGCCGGACTTTTCGGCCTTAGTGGCATTCAAAAGAATAGTCGAATTCCAGAATGTCATGGCCTCTTTGGCATTTCTGAGAGCGGCTCCTCGGAAACAGTTTGGACAAAGCAAGCCACGGTTCAACCGGCCTTTATAAGAGAAAAATCCATTTCGCGCCCTAAGCCAGCCTCTTCACAGGCGGATAAGCCCACTGATCATATCCTTACGGACATCGTACAGGCGCTCAGCAAGAACCGTCCTGACAGCAGAATGCATTATACTCCCGAAAATCTCGAATACGGGCAAAACGGTGCTGCAGGTGCCAACGATAATGTACTAAATTTAACCGACAAAGACATGTCCTCCCTACCTACCTCCATTGCTAGAGGAGGAGTCTTTCTCTGTCGGCCTCTTCTGTGTTTCCCCAAGACTCGCCTCATCGAGACCTGTCATCGACATGACGTACCCTACGTCTCGGATCCGACTAATTTCGATCCAACTTTAACGCCCCGCAATGCGATTCGCAGTCTATTGGCTTCCAACTCTTTACCCCGTGCCTTACAAGCACCCCGCATTATCTCTTTGATAAGTTCAAGCCAGGACCTTCTCGAAGACACAAAAACTCTTACAGACGCAGTGCTTGCTCAATGCCAAATCAAGCAACTCTATTTGAGAACTGGGACTATGACGATTCAATTCCCTAGAATTCCTTCATTAGAGAGCCTATCCCCCACCAGGACCCGTCAAATTCAGGCTATGGCCCTCCGTCATGTCACTGAGATTCTATCTCCCTTCCCTGGAAGTCATTTCCCATTACGGAGCTTTGAGCCATTCGTCTCTCAAATATTCGGCCCCGAAGAAAATAACAAAGCTTTTCCGAAATCTAAACCCTTTACACTTGGTGGTGTGATGTTCCAGCCTATTGACTGGAAATCATCAGCACAAGGTGAACCCATCACGTGGCAACTTTCAAGACAACCGTTCATGAAAGGCCGATCTCCAGTGATGCGAATAGAAGTTCCAATCCCACCTGCAACACGCCCAACTTTCTCCGAGTGGAGTCTATGGGATGATCGCTTCTGGTTCCGACTCTCTATAAAGCCGGTCCAATCTGAAGAAAACCAGGGCGTAAAGTTCGGATATCCGATAGCCATGCCATTTGTTATCCGACCATTTGAAGAATCTGATCCTCAGAAAACTCGCGGCGGGCCTGGAATGACCGTTCTTGCGCGTGTCAGTGCGCGTAACCATGCGCGTAAGCTACAGAGCATATTTTCTCGAGAAGCTCCAGCGGCGTCTCGATTCACGGTTCCTGTCTTGGAGATCTTACAGTCTGGAGATGAAAACAACGGACAGTTACTGGCGCTTCCAACTCTCAATTATCACTTTTTGGGTGATCCAACTAAGAATTCTGATGCTAATGAGATGCAGATCAATTACATAGGCACAATGTGGTCAGTGAGGTGGCAATGGATGTACAAAAGGATTGATACTGACACACTCCGCCTCATGGACGGGCTGGTAACATTTGAAGCTGTCTAGGCTTTTGAACATAATTGTAACATAAGAAAGTTGATCTCCGTAGCTATGCATGACCCCGATTCGGATGGCGCTGGAAGACAGAAAAGAACAAATGACAACAAAGTAGAAAAATTCCTTGGTATCACGAAGAGTGACATGGAAAAGGCTGTATAAAGTTAAGCAAACAGGAATGATAGAAATTTGTGGTATCAGATACAGTAATAAGATAAAACAAAGGAAAAGAATGTAGCTAGCACTGGCGGCTGCTTCATGAAATCGAAATTTTGATTCCTATCGCCATGTCGCGATTATTGTTCGCTTGCTCTCAGAAGTGCAACAGCAGCCTGTTGGGCACGCAGACCACCGACTTCTCTCTTCAGTCGAAAGTTCTCCTTCTTGAGGCGGCCAATTTCATCCAAGGCCTGGGACAGCTGAGACTTCATCGCGTCTTCCACACTTCCTGCGCGTACATCTTTAGAAATCTTGCTGAGTTCTGAGTTGAACCGGTCATAGAGTGCCTCATTCTCCGCGCTTGCCTCTCGGTACAGCTCGTCGAGCTTCTTTGCACGCTTTTCACTAAACATCAAAGATGATTCCAGATCTCTCTCCAGTGCAGAGGTGCGACCATTGTATTCACCAGAGAATTGATCGAAACGCTCCTCAAGTCGTCGGAAGCGACCATCGAGACCATCTACAGTGCCTCTCTTTGGGGTCACATTGTTCGATGGTGCGAGCTTCAAAGAATGTAATTCATTACTAAGGGCCGAGAGCTCATCTCTCATTCCCAGTTCGGTAGTGGATTGGGAGTTTTTTTCGTTTTGAACTCGATCGCGTAGCTATTTGGAAGAATTAGAACACATTTCATGTCATATACTGCAGTTTTTGCTTACCTTTTGCGGACTCTGCATTCGCACCTTCTGATGATTCTGGATCGTTGGGAAAGAGAGTGGGCGCTTGTTTTCAGACGCATTGACAGCTGATCTCTCACGAAGTGCGGCTGTCCTTTGGGGTATGCCAGTTGCCAAGGATCGTCTCTTGTTCTCCTGGAATGGCGATTCTGGTATGTTGGACCTGGGCTTAAGTAGCCGCTCTGTTTGATGGGATTTAGGATCAACGTTCTCTTTTCTACTGGGAGTAGCAGGCCGCGTCGGTGAACCCCTTCGGATGGGCGATCTAAGGCGAGTAGGTGACGTTGCCTTTGAAAGAGACGTGCCCCTGGCTGGAGATTGCGCCCTGTAACTGCTCTGTGGTCTAGTCTGGCTGGTGGGGGTTGTAACTTCAAATTGTGAGCGGCCGGATGGCGTCGCTGGACGTAGAAGACTATTTGAGGAAACTGAAATCTGAGAGACATCAGAGGAGGCTGTTGTTGGGCGAAGATCCGAAAGGGAACTTCTCCTCTTCCTGCGAACTCTCACTACACCATCAGTCGACATTCCCCGCATAGAAGACAACGAGGGCGGTTGCCCATATCCTATGTCCGGTCTCGGGATATTCTCCTCGGAAGCAAACCCGTGAGGACGGTCATGAGAGGAAGGCCGAAGTAGACCTAGGCGGGTGTCAATATCGGTGGACTTTGAACGTATTAGAGGTCCCTTAGGAGTGCTAGGCTCCGAGTCCGTGGGGCTTTGTCTCTTGCTACTCAATGTTCGCAAGATTGATGCAACTTTGCTCTCATTTTCATGCTTGAAGCTCTCCTTGTGCATGCCGAATCCAAAGCGCTTTCGAAAAGAGGAGCTATTTGAGCCCACAGACCCAGTTTTCGCATGTGAGGCTTTGGTTTGATCACAGGTCAATGTTCCTTCCACGGAAGCACCACTAGGGACGAATTCTTCGAAGATATAGTCAAAGTCATCGACGAGGCGGTCTAAAAGTGACACATGCTGTACTGGATTTCCATCTTCGGTAAGAACCTCAGCAAAGGCCATAGTCAAAGCACCCCGATCTCCATCGTTCCCAGAAGCATCTAGTAGCTCGGCAAGCAACCGAATTATCGCAGCCAAAGCACGGCGATTCTGTGGACTCGTATTGACCAGAAACTTCCGGAACTGCTCATCAAAATCGCGAGGAAACATTGAATCGAACTGGCTCTGAAGCAAGGTCAAAGATGATGTTTCCAGAACGGAGCCCATGCTCTCCTTCCAGGCATTCTTCATGAATGTTTCAAATGCGACGAAAAGGGTGTCAACGGGCACTTCTGCGGCAACCTGGAGCTTGCTTGGATCTTCCAGAAGAATGTTGTAAAGCTCATTTACTAGGGCACGATCTGCATTCTCTCTGGCCCTAAGCATACGCCCCAAGATGTTCCCACTTCGAGACTGTAAGGAAAGAACATAGGCCGCAAAAGTCTTCTCCAGCAATCCATGTTGGCCATCTAGACCTTTGACAGTGGATGTACCAACGACAGAAATTTTGTTCGAGCTTTCCTCCGTTTCCTTGTCTTTTTCTTTTCCATTATCTTTGCTTGGAAGTGACGAAGGCAAAGTATTCGATCTGGAAAGATGGCCTCTTGGTGGCGGAGTCTTCGGGAATTCACCATGGAGAGTGCCTGACTTGAGGGTGGGAACATTATCACGGCTGCCTCCTAGTAGATTTGAAAGCAATTTGGTTGCTGAGGGTGGTCGAAAGCTGCGTGAAGACTTGACCTGAGTTATCAAACTGCTAGCGATGTATCGAACAATTTCAAAATTTGAATGAACCATGGGCTTCACCAACTGAGGGTTTCGAGCAGTGTGAAGAGTTGACAATAGGTTTTGTACTATGAGGCGAGCAATCAGTGAGTGAACAAAGAGTTCAATATTAGTAATACTTACAGCGCTTGGAAAGTGTCAGAACAAAGTTATCCGCCGAAAACAGATCTGTGTATGTTGAGCCAATCACAGAATCCACGTCCATTCTGAATTGATCCTCGCCAGATGGAGAAATGTTTATGACCACCTCCAAATCATTCTGCGCCAACAACTGGATGGATGCTGCTCGTGGCGTGTCAAATATCAATCGAACCTTGGAAGACTGCGGCTGCTTGAGAGCAATACTGGTTTCTTCTTCGCACACACAAGCCAGAATACTTGTATTTCCAGATGTGACAGCAGGACTGCGTAGAGTCCATTTGCCTCCCTCTCGCTCTGAATCGTCGTAGCGGCCTTCTATCTTTGCTTTGGTCACTTCTTCGATAAAACGACTGGCTTTTCCTTCATACGTTGCGACCAACTCCAAAGCAAGAAGCTCAGCAGCATTACCGGAAATATCTGCATTTGACGTTGATGTTGCTGGCACAATGAACAAGACTCGCCCACATGTGGAATGCATGCAGCGCACATTGTGGAGCTCGAGTATCTGTGCAACCTTGAGCTCGGAGGATGGCAGGGACAGTAACGTGTCACTATTCGGCGAGGCTGCATTATCGATGTCGGCTAGCAATCCACGTGCTGTCGTTCGGCTTTCAGCAAGTTTCGTGAGTAAAACAAGACAATTCTTGTACAGCAACATAATGCCAGCTCCGTGGCCTGCTGGCTGGACGTCCAATTGATATGGAAGTGGGATTTCGTTGAAATCAACAGCAGTGATCAAGCGACCTTCAGGGAAGGGTTTTTCTGGCCATCCATCGGCCAGCTCTTCCAAACGTTGCAAACTCAGTGCGTGACTAGAGGGTGAAAAATTATCCAAGGCGCAAATATCCTTCACAATGTCTCTCGCTTTCAATAGAGGGCGCACGGCAGGATGGACCAATGGTAGACTGCCGGTCATAGTATCTATTAAGAGGCTGTAGCGAGGTAGTCGCTGAACAGGCTCCATCAGGAGAGATCGTAGTCTCTGTTCTCCGGTCTCGTAGACTCGCTTCGAGAAGCTTGAGTTTTTGTCCTTCATGAAAGAATTGAGAGTTTGTGTGAATCCGGTATGTGCTCGCATGTAATCAGCGTAGGGTTGTGAGAACTGAGGCAGCCATTCAAGGAGTGCCTTCGCAAATGCTACCGCACCAATTGCATCCTTGCCTTCCCTCGACGCCGCGCGAGACGATGGCAATTCGGTATCTTGGCTAATGTCTTCGAGTGCGTCCTTTTCGGTTTCCTCGAGCACGTGGCGAATGACATCCAAAAAGCCAAGATTCACATCCAGAATATCGTGCAAGCATGGTGGAAAAAGGGCTTTCAAGGCAGCCTCGTCGGGACTTGTGCTCGATGGGCCTTTTCCTTGGGCTTTCAGTCGAAACTCGTCTGCGACCTCATGCACCAACGAATATATCTTGGCCACATATCTTTCTTCTGTATCCACCAATTCACACATAGCGAGACGAAGTGCCTCCTTCTGGTTGCGCGTGAAGATTTTTGACTTGCTTACATTAGTCGATTGGGATGGTGCCCGCTTGAGGCGAGATGTTGGTAGAAAGATTGGTTCACCCAGTGCCTGTATGAGGGATGTATACGGACCATATTGGAGTTTATCTGTTGGTTCAATATCTGAGGCTGTGCTGTCGCGCCTTTGAGGCAGTTGTATGGTACCAGCTGGCAGAACAACATCGATGTCGGCCCAGGAAATCTTGCGATCCAACAATGCGCTGTGAATATCGCGCACAACGTCCGAAGAATCTTCCAACATTATCATGCGACTAGCCAAGTCGGCAGCATGTCCCTCATCAAATAGCCTCGGCGGTTTTACTGGCTGTTTCGTTGTTGTTGTCCGGGGCGCGTCTGTCAAATGATTCCTCAAGGGTTCTGATAGTTCGGAGAAATACTTAAACATGCTCACAGCTAGAGCTCGGGCTACTGCATTCCCTTGTTTCTCTCTGGGTAGTCGATTCACTGCTGCATACAACGGCGCAGCGGGTGAAATTGTAATTCGAGGGTAGCTTTGAAAGCCCGCGGGGGTGAAGATATGTGCTTGGATGCGTGAGCTACTAACGGTGGCATTGGCAGTCGCGACAGGGCCATAGAAGATAAACACGGAGGATAGGTAAGGATCGACAGCATGGTAAAGACTGAGAAACTCGAGTGGCGGCTCAGTCAATGCGGTGCCCGCAGGCGCGACTGCATTGAGAGCCATGACGGACTCGGCCGCACTTGCCATACGAATGCGTAATTCCAGCCCTTTTGGATGAATTCAAAGTTAAATTCAGGTGTGACGCGAAGTTTTCGAAAGGAAAGACGGTAAGATCTGAGTTGGAAGGAACGAATATGAATGAAAGTAGATGTCAACAGGCCATCGGGGGGGAAAGGACGATTGTCATCAAATCGAGTGTAAGCGACAACACCCCTCCATACAGTGATAGTCGACCAAGTAATTAAGCTTAGCTGAGTTATGGGGGGAATGCGACAAAGGACATGAGGAGAATGAGGAGAACGAGGAGAACGTTTGTTATTGCGCGGGGGAAGATATTGATACGGGGGCGATAGCGATAGGGAGTACAAGAGTACAACTGTTTACATTTGTCGGGCCAACGCGGGTCAGCAACCGTTGCTCTTCTCAACGCTGCAAGGTCTGTCCATTTTTGAGACAAGTATTTGTATCCTCTCGACTCCTGTATTGTTCTTGTTCTATTTCAATCCTATTTACTATGGGAGTTGCTGGAGATATGCATTATATCTGTTGAACTATGTGACTAGTTAGCACGACATGCCTTAGTTACCAATGTTCTTAGTTCAATGACCCACAGATCTCTTCATATCATATTTAAGCATAACTTCCAGGGCTAGAACTATACTGCCTTCAATTGAAAACAATCCAAGTCCATAGACAAAAGTCTTCTGAAGAAACTAGTTTTAATCCGGGCAGTACATACGGGAGTATAAGATGGCCTAGAGCCTTCAAAATCCTCCCTGTTTCCAGAGTAGAATATAGACTCCTTAACCTTATGATTAGTCAACAGTCCAGCTCATTATCTACCTAATTATTTCCAATGTTCCACGGGCTTGAATCTTGTAGAGATGTAAGATGTTGAGGTTGACCAATATCAAGTCATAAAAGCGCGCCTGTCAGTATATTTTCCGATACTTATGTCTTGTAACAGAGTTCTAATAACAGAGTCTACTCCAAATTCCCAAGTCGAGAGCCCAGGCAGCTCCATATGATCACGAATTGATGTTTACATATATCACTGATATCAGTCATACTCGTTCTCTACCATTGGATTTCTACCTGAAAAGGGCGTGTATTCGATACCACCGGATATACTGCATTACATAGTTCATAACCAATAGGCATCGTTTCATACCGGGAAGAATGTAACCAGTAGTTAACAGTACCTGGATAGCTTAGTCATGCGGGGAACCGCTAATCCAAATTAGGCTGCGGCCTAGGTAAGAGACCAGCTGTTTGTTCAACAATTCCTTCGACCACGAGCGCATCTTCCGCTCAAGATGTCGAATTCCACAATGTCGGACCCTCTACCTATAGCTATCGACTCGGTAGCCCTGGTCACTACTGAATGTATTACCGTTACCTCGTCCATGCGGAAGCAAGCCCGCTGGGCGCACTCCTCCGTCTCCGCTATCCTGGGCGGCAATGGGGGGTCCCGCGTATATGAGCGAGACACCTCAGCACCACCAAGCCCGCGAAAAAGCAGTCAATTGATTGGCGCCGATGAGGAGCATGCTCTCGCTAATCGATGGGGTCTACGGGGGAAGAAGGGGAAGAGTATGCAGGACAATCCATTGATATCGGCATTCACTCGTCTGCGTAGTGATCTCAAGAGCTGCAAAGATATCCACACCTTCGATACTCCAGCACTCCTCCATCCATTTCTTCAGGTCATTCGTTCTTCCTCTACCTCTGCCGCAATTACATCCCTGGCACTGATCGCCATCACCAAATTCTTTTCCTACAACATCATAAATAGAGACTCCCCCCGACTCTCTATGGCGATGCAACTACTCTCGGCCGCTATTACACATTGCCGTTTTGAAGGGAGTGACTCTTCAGCTGACGAGATTGTGCTTTTAAGAATCTTGAAGCTTATGGAGGGCATGCTCTCTCGCCCTGAGGGCGAGCTCTTGGGCGACGAGAGTGTTTGTGAGATGATGGAAACTGGTCTTAGCATGTGCTGTCAGGGACGATTATCCGAGGTACTGCGAAGGTCTGCAGAGATGGCCATGGTCAAGATGTGCCAAGTCATATTCATGCGGCTTTCTCTTCTTGACCAAGAATTGCCGACGGGACCAGCTCCCCTCGAAGACGATAGTGCCAAGAAAGATACAACGACATTAAAGATGGATCCGTCTGTGAATGGCGATACCGTAACATCGCAACATCGCTCTGCTATAAGCGCCGACACTGCAGCCGCAGAACGTGACAACACCAGTCGAGAGGGCTCCCCAGATCAGGGTGAGACTGAAAATGGGAACGCTGATGCCGCGCCTCCGAACCCTGATGATGACACTGAAGACGAAGTTATGCCGTACTCTCTGCCATCGATTCGAGAATTGTTCCGAGTCTTAATCGACCTCCTAGATCCACACAACCGACAGCAAACTGACACCATGCGGGTAATGGCCCTACGAATTATCGATGTCGCCTTGGAAGTGGCTGGACCATCTATCGCCAGACATCCTAGCTTGGCCGCTCTGGCCAGGGATGATCTTTGCCGGTACCTTTTCCAATTGGTTCGCTCAGAGCAGATGGCTATTCTCACAGGCTCTCTGAGAGTCGCTGGTACACTATTGTCGACATGTCGACCTGTGCTGAAGCTACAGCAAGAACTATACCTTTCATACCTAGTAGCTTGTTTGCACCCTCGAGTTGAAATACCTCGAGAGCCAGGCATTGACCCATCTCTTTATGAGGGTGTTCCACAAACCCCAAAATTGGTTAAGCAGCCTTCATCACAAGCGGACAGTGGTCGTGCCACACCTGTGCCTGTGAAAGATAGACAGAAGTTGGGGTTGGAAGGTGGTTCTCGAAACCCCGAAGCTCGTGAAGCCATGGTCGAAAGTATTGGAGTCCTGTCGCGCATACCTAGCTTCATGGTTGAGCTTTTTGTTAACTACGATTGCGAGGTGGATCGAGCTGATTTGTGCGAGGACATGATTGGTTTACTTTCGCGCAATGCATTCCCGGATTCCGCCACATGGAGTACAACCAATGTGCCTCCACTATGTCTCGACGCGCTCTTGGGCTATGTACAGTTTATATATGATCGACTGGACGATGACCCAGTACAGGGAAACTACCCCCCACAAGAACATCTCCGCACCCAGCGCAAAAAGAAGAAGACCATTATTAAGGGAGCGCAAATGTTCAATGAAAATCCCAAGTCTGGAATTGCCTACCTTGCGAGCCATGGTATCATCGAAGACCCCAAAGATCCCGTTCAAGTCGCCAAGTTTTTGAAGGGCTCCAGCCGGTTGTCTAAGAAAGTACTTGGAGAATTCATTTCCAAGCGTGATAACGAAGAACTGCTGGGTGCATTCGTTGATCTCCTCGACTTTTCAGGACGAAGTGTGGTTGAAGCACTCAGAGAGCTCCTTAGCTCGTTCCGCTTACCCGGAGAGTCCCCATTGATTGAACGAATTGTCACAACCTTTTCAGAGAAGTACACCGAAAATGCAAACCCAGAAAGTGTCGTAGACAAAGACTCCCTCTACATTCTTACCTATGCCATTATCATGTTGAACACTGAACTTTATAACCCGAACGTGAAGTCACAAAACCGAATGTCGTTCCCTGCCTTTGCTAGAAACCTGCGGGGTGTCAACGGTGGTGGTGATTTTGCGGAGGAATTTCTGCAGGAGATATATAATTCCATCAAGGAAAATGAGATTATCTTGCCGGATGAGCACGAGAATAAGCTTGCATTTGACTTCGCTTGGAAAGAATTGCTTTTGAAATCGTCAAGCGCTGGTGAGATGGTGGTAGGTGAGACCAACTTTTATGATGCGGAGATGTTCGAAGCAACCTGGAGACCGGTAGTTGCTACACTATCATATGTGTTCATGTCTGCATCTGATGATGCTGTCTACTCCCGCGTTGTCAATGGGTTCGACCACTGCGCGCAAATCGCAGCTCGTTATGGTCTCACCGAGGCATTCGATCGCATTGTTTTCTCTCTTGCTTCTATCAGTACCCTGTCAACAACTAAACCCCCAAGCACCGCACTCAACACTGAGGTTCAGGCCGGTAAGAAGAGTGTTATGGTGAGTGAACTTGCTGTGAAGTTTGGTAGGGATTTCAGGGCCCAGCTGGCCACCGTGGTACTGTTCCGGGTACTGCACGGCAATGAGTCTCTGCCCAAGCAAGGATGGGAGCACATTATCCGTATTCTCAGCAATCTTTTCGTGAACTCTTTAATCCCGCCATTTGACGCCAACCTTACCGCCGAACTCGACGTTTCTCCAATTCCGCTGCAACTTCCATCTCAGGTCGTAGACCGCGATGGCCGCAATACTGATACAGGATTATTATCTGCATTTACATCATACCTCTCTAGCTACGCTGCTGATGACCCCCCTGAGCCTTCAGACGAGGAGCTTGATAACACCTTGTGTACTGTTGACTGTGTGACTGCGTGCTCCATAACAGACATTCTGACAAACATCAAGTGAGTATTAATTGATAAATAAGACAATATAATTGGAATACTAATTCTGTCCAAGATACCTCCCCCTGTCCTCTTTAGAGGTTTTGGTTGAGACTCTCCTGACTCAACTCCCTGAAGATAATGCACCTGCAGTTATTGTCGTGAAGCGGGAAAGGCCAGGTCCTGTATCAAGGTCAACGAGTGGCAGGGTTGACCCGAATAAACCCAAATATGATCCATCGATGATATTCATTTTGGAACTGGCAACAGTTCTCACCCTTCGCGACGAGAAAACCCTCGAGACTCTTGGCGAGACTCTGGCCACCACCCTCCAGACCTTGGTGCGAGACGCTAAAAGCCTCCATCCGCTGACTTTGTCTCGCATTGTTTCCTACCTCTTCAACCTGTTGCGAGTCAGCCATGTAAGTGCTCTTGAAAACCTTTTTGACGTTGTTTTGCTTCTTACTAATACCGATTTGAATAGGATCTACACTTCATGCGAGTTCCCGTCGTGCTTCATGCAATTTCTGGCTACGAGCAAGATATCTTGGAAATGGTTGCGACCCCTACAATCAAGGGTCTTTCACGTTGCATCAACCACACAGGCCGATTGAGAAATGAGATCACAATGTCTCCGGATTTCTGGTCAATCTTGCAAAGATTGCTTTCGCATGAAGAGGCCGCTCCTATGACTTTTGAACTTCTCGAAGACATCGTCGCATCTATGCCTGACATTGTAACGCCTGACAATTACGAGTGTGTTGTTAACCTCGCGAATGAATTCATCAGCGCAGCGCATGTAGGATCCATCGGTGAACGCCAAAGAGATGCCCGCGCTCGGCGGACCAAGGGTGTGAAGCAGCCCAAGCCTGCGTAAGATCTTCTCTTCTGTTTTCATTTTGTGGAGAAATAAGCCTAATAATGTGTTTGCAGTGAGAATCAAGTCGTTACTCGGGGAATCAAGGCCATTGGGTTGATTTACCAGCTGACTGGCCGAGTCCCCACGCTCATAAAACAATCTCACCTCGAAGAGCGTGAAGGTCAGTCACCAACTCCGTTTACATTTTCCCACATGACATATTCTAACATCACCTGCAGCTTGGGCGGCTTACTGGTCTCCTATCTTCCAATCTCTGACCAGTCAATGTGTTAACCCTTGCCGTGACATTCGACATCACGCCCTTTCCACTCTGCAACGCGCTCTTTTGTCAGTTGAGTTAATCTCAAGTGACGATAAGGAATGGACTACTATCTTCGATGAGGTCCTCTTCCCACGTCTCATACTGCGACTTCTTAAACCAGAGGTCTATCATTCCGACCCTGTTGGGATGGCTGAGACTCGAGTCCAAGCAGCGATCTTAGTATGCAAGATATTCTTGCGTTTCCTCGACCAGCTTAGTAATCCAGACGGTGTTGTTCCCCTCTGGCTTCAAATCCTGGATATTCTTGACCGAATGATGAACAGCGGTCAAAGCGATAGTCTGGTAGGTCCCCTTGACTCAAAACTCACACATGAAAAAGGAATACCAGTTTTCTAACGTGCAATTTCCATCACAACAGGAAGAAGCCATTCCTGAGAGCTTGAAGAACATTCTTCTCGTCATGGCTGACGGCGGGTACCTTGTCCCCCCGTCACAGGATCCCAGCAAGGAGGAAATGTGGCTCGAGACTCGCAAGCGTCTTGGACGATTCCTGCCGGATCTCTTTACTGAGGTCTTTCCCGACCCAGTCGAGGAGCCTGAAAAGTCTCAGCCAGCCTCTGCTATTGCATCACCCGCTCTGCCAAGCACTGACGTAGAGAAGGAGAGTGATGAGATTACCTCTCCCTCTGCCGATGCTAAGGAGGGTTCTACAGGGGCCGCTGTTGAGGATGAGCCCACTGAGGAGACTCCGCAATAGAAGCGGCCCCTGCCTGATCCGTTTCCTTCTGTTGTATTTCCCATACCCTTTCTCCTTTGCCCCATTGTATTTACATATAGAAGAGTGCTGGACTGGAGCGAGTTATGTTCCCAAATTTTATGTAGTAATATCGTGGGTGTCTCCATTTGTTAGAACCTTCATTATAATAACACTACATGTACACAATGAAATGTCTGAATGGGGAGTTCCATGACTTCTTTTACCTACCAAGGTATTTAATGTTATTTGCCGGGCTAAATTCACTTTCAAAGTTCTATATAAGCTACATAGATGGCCAAAAGTTTCAACTTCCTGGCTTTTGAGACTGATAACCTCGGAGTAGCCCTTGAAAGTTTCCTATCCATGGATGCATTATAGATAAGTAGTCAAATATATTTCCCGAAGTACAGCCAGTGGCTGAAAACAAGTTACGAAGTTTGCAAACGTAGAAGATCATAGGGAATTGTCAAGAGATGGCAACTGGGAACCATATTCGCGATATACAGAAGAAAACGGAAAGATATCAAAAACCTAGAAAATAACGTCGTTGTCTTCCTGCTCGCCCAAAACGTCTGCAACTTCAGGCTCAGGGGCCGGTTCAGCATCTGGTTCAGCAGCTGATTCAGCAACTGATTCATCAACCGAATCTGTCCCGATCTGTGCCTTCTTCTCGGCTTCCTTCTCAGCTGCCTTTTGTCGAGCTGCAATAATCTCCGCATCGGCGGCGGCGGTGTCTCGCTGTTTCTTACCGGAGACCTTCTTAAGACGATAGAATTCCTCTCGGTCCAATTCGTCAAGCTCAGAGTTGATGTCTAGTGGATTATCAGTTGTGTATATTTCGACCAATTGATCGGGGACGTACATTTAATGGTGTTCTCAGTTCGAGGGATAATAACATGCTCACTGGAAAAGGGTGATTAGTATTTCAAATATAAAAATTGTCTTCATATGGAGCAGCATACATGGCGTTGACTGTGAAAGATGTTAGTTAGCTTATAAACTCGAGTGACACATAAGATAATGCTTACCTCGTCGGTTGACAACCTTGATCACCTCATCCAAAGTTAAGAAAGCAGTCTAAAGATGTTAAAACATGAAAAACACCCTTCAAACTTCAGCCTTCATACCTGCAAACTGGCCAACTCCACCAGTGTCTCCACGGCCCGCGCATATGTCTCCCGGCAGCGTTGAATTTGCTGTCCACCTTTGCCAAGACCGGTCAAGCCGAAGTCATTGACACCTTCCTCTGTGTAGCTCTCAAAATGAGGAAGAAGAACACCGGAGACGTTCTCCTGCTTAGCTCGAACACGGAAACGAGCCTGTTTGGCGGACTCCTGAATCTGGTATCCGATGTCACCACCAACAGCGTAGCTCACTTCGGCCAGAGAAAAGGCTGCAATTTGCATGACACGTCCCATCTTTTGTTTAGCTTCATCGATGCGTCGTGTAATGTCTGCACCTCGGGGTTAGCTTCAATGCAGTGCGGGGGATTGGAGACTGGATGATCGAGATGTTCGTACCTCGGAAACGTCTGATTGAAACCGAATGTGATTAGCAAAGCTCTGGAACAAGAGGATTATCGCTATACGTACTTTGTTAATGCTTCACTCTTTCTTTTTAGCAAGCTGTGGCCAATCTCTGCTCCCTTAAGCTTGTTCTTCATCAATCCAAGTGACTGACGAGTCGGGAAGACTGGCTCTCGGCCCTGGAAGAGGTTGCTGGATTAGTCGATTGCAATTATAGAACACAGATCATAATTAGACGCACCACGGCACCCGACATGACGGCAACTAAGATTGAAGAATGTAGAACAATTAACTTAGAAGATCAGCTAGCAGCGGCCACATTGATATGATATGACGCCGTATCGGCTCCACCCACCGCCCAAGTCACGTGATAGACCTATCGACTTTGCTGTTTCAAGCTTGGGACAATCGCGCTTGCGATTCTCTCTTTTTGCACTTTTCTCACATGCCGAGGTGCTGATTGTGCCTTTTTGATCCCGCTCGAACGGAGTGGCGCTATGCCAGGGACTCTATTGCCCCCGAGATCAGACCGGCAACACGCCCAGATGGATCGATCATCTGCGTCCGGACCAGATCTGTACCTGATCGTAGGCGCCCTTTGAATTTTTGTCGCATGTGTCTTTTCTGACCTTTGAAAACGTTTAGACCGATCAGGATAGTGTTTACGAGCAGGACCTCTTGCGCGTTGGTCACACTGTCAAACCATGGCTTGACTACATCGAATTCAAAAAGCAAAATGGCACACTCTATGAGCAAGCATTCGTATGTCAACAGCATAATTGATAGTGGTATCTTTGGTTCTAGCTGACAAGAGCCTTATAGGTTATGGAGCGCGCTGTTCGACAATTGCCGCGGTCGTATAAGTTATGGAAGATCGTACGGTTTCCCCTCCTTGCCAGTATTCAAGTCAGAGATAATAGACTGACTGTTATGAGTGATAGTATCTCGATTTCCGAATGAAGCACCTGAAAGGCCGCAACCCGGTCGTCTATCGCTCTGAGTACCAGAAGGTTAATGCGCTTTTTGAACGGGCTCTAGTTCTCTTGAACAAGATGCCTCGCATCTGGGAGATGTACCTCCACTTTCTACTCCAGCAGCCTATTGTCACCCTGACTCGACGAACATTTGATCTCGGTCTTCGCGCTTTGCCTCTTACTCAACATAACAGAATTTGGAAAGTCTACAAGAAATTTGCGCGATCTGCATCTGGACAAACTGCTGTGAATATTTGGGGTCGCTACATGCAAATCCACCCGGAGAATTCAGAGGAATACATTGATCTCTTAGTTGAGATGGGTCAATATACCGAAGCTGTCAAGGTTTACATGGGAATTCTTGACAATCCTCGATTCCAGTCCAAGGAAGGACATAGCAATTTCCAGCTGTGGACCGGCATGGTTGACATACTGGTTTCAAAAGCTAAGCAAATCCAAACAGGTCCACAGGTCGGGATCGATGTCGATGCTATTCTTCGAAGTGGTATTGATCGCTTTGCTGATCAGCGAGGCAAGCTATGGGCGGGCCTGGCAACTTACTGGATCACAAAGGGTAACTTTGAAAAGGCCAGAGATGTATTTGAGGAGGGAATCATCACAGTCATGACAGTTCGTGATTTCACGTTGATCTTTGATGCTTACGTTGAATTCGAAGAATCGATCATTGGCAGTTTGATGGAAGCTGCTGCTACTCGCTCGGAGAAAGGAAAAATCGACGAAGAGTCAGATTTCAACCTTGACCTGCGTTTGCTACGTTTTGAACAGCTGATGGACCGACGCCCGTTCCTGCTCAGTGATGTTCTTTTGCGACAAAACCCCCACAACGTCATTGAATGGGAGAAACGAGTGGGACTTTGGGGTGACAACCAACAGGAAGCTGTTAACACTTACACCAATGCCATCGCTGCCATTAACCCCAAGAAGACTCACGGCAAGTTTTCCGATTTGTGGGTCAACTACGCCAAACTCTACGAGAACGGCGGCGATCTGGGAACCGCACGAGTCATCTTTGAAAAGGCTGTGAAGGTCCCATTCAAGACTATTACGGAACTCGCGGAAACTTGGTGTGAATGGGCGGAGATGGAATTGCGCGCGGAGAACTTCGACCAGGCTGTCGCAATTATGACCAAGGCGACTGCAGCTCCTAAGAAGTCAACTGTCGACTACTTTGACGAGACTTTGACCCCACAGCAGCGAATCCATAAGAGCTGGAAACTTTGGAGTTTCTATGTCGATCTAGTGGAAAGTGTATCGTCATTGGAGGAGACACGCAAGGTTTACGAACGAATCTTCGAGCTGCGAATCGCAACTCCTCAAACTATTGTCAACTTTGCCAATCTTCTGGAGGAGAACAATTACTACGAAGACTCCTTCAAGATTTACGAGCGTGGTCTTGATTTGTTCAGCTATCCGGTTGCCTTTGAACTTTGGAATCTTTACTTGACCAAGGCCGTGGATCGCAAGATTGGAATCGAGAGATTGCGAGACCTCTTCGAACAAGCCCTGGACGGCTGCCCACCAAAGTTCGCCAAACCACTTTACCTTATGTACGGCAACTTGGAGGAAGAGCGCGGTCTTGCTCGACACGCAATGCGGATTTACGAGCGTGCAACTCGGGCTGTATCCGACGAGGACAGGTTTGAGATGTTCGAATTCTACATCACCAAGTCTGCCTCGAACTTCGGTCTTACTTCAGCACGACCCATCTACGAGCGAGCCATCGCCGCTTTGCCAGACCAGGAAGCGAAGGAGATGTGTCTCAAATTCGCCGAAATGGAGCGGAGGCTCGGCGAAATCGACCGCGCCCGTGCGATCTATGGCCATGCCTCGCAGTTCTGCGATCCACGCACAAATGCTCCCTTCTGGCAGAAATACGAAGCATTCGAGGTCCAGCACGGAAACGAAGACACCTTCAAAGAGATGCTTCGCATCAAGAGAAGTGTTCAAGCTCAATACAAGTAGGCATCCTCCCATTCTTTTTACTTATTGGACAGCTTATTGACTAATTCTTTACTAATAGCACCGACGTCCACTTCATTGCTACCCAAGCAATCGCCCGCAGCCAGCAACGCGGTCAAGAAGACGGACAGAACCCAGAGGGCGAGGAAGATGCACAGCGTAATGATGCTATGGCTGCTCTCGAGCGCCAGGCTCGTGCCCCCGTGGGATTTGTTGCTGCTTCCACCGGCCCTGAAGGTGGCAATCGGCCGAAGGCCGATGAAGCAGCGCCAGCTGTGCTGGCCAACCCAGATGCCATCGATCTTGACGACGACATGGATGATTAGTTAGTTGTGATTTTTTAGTTCCCAGTATTTTTAGACTTTTTTTCCAATGTTCAATTCTCATATGGAAGTTCTCAAAACATAGCCATCAAGCGGGCTCCTGTAGACTAGACCCGTGACTTTCAAGCCCTGAAGCTTACTGGAAAATTCACCCGGAAGCTACCTAAACAACCTTGAAGTACTGGTTGAACCCTTGAAACCAGCCACAATAGGGCCATCCTAGTCCGGGGTTCGTTATAAAATTTGAGAAAATTTAAAAATATCAGCACTGTTTACGGTATCGGTGAAGTCCACGGACTTTTGTGTCGTAAAGACATGTGATGTTATATAAGACCGAGATAGAATTAGAACCTTGAAGTAGATAACTCTGTCCATTGTAAACATTACGAAATGTAGAGCCTTGGAGAAACCAGCCGAGGTTATATATAAATTTCCGAGTTCCAACGCAAGTTAAGAGAGGAGAGTGGAGAGTGGACGTCCGTCCAGAGAATTGAAAAATCGATATTGAAAAAGGCACGAGGCGTTCAAGGTGAAGCCAAGTATTTTTCCTGCTTCGACGGAATCTTCAATTGAGGGAATGCCGTTTGGAATGCACCTTGGATTTCATCTAGAGTATCATCAGCGGGGAATGCAATTGAAAGGAAAAAAGTAGGATTCTGATTACCTCTCATGCCGTCCAATGCCTCGAATGCAATGGAGTAGTTTGATACGGCGCTAATAATCCGTTGCAGGCCCTGGCATAACTCTTCAACGAGTCTATTGGTCGAGTCACCGCCAATGTCGTTTTCAGAATCCGGAGAAAGTTGCTTCGCCACGCGGACCTTGTAATATATCATTAACATTGCGTAACTGCTCTGCATCAGACAACATGCAAATGAAGGCATGGTCCGGGGTAGTGGACGCTGTGGGTGTTGTTGATTATTCTCGAGAAGGGGTTGCGGGTAGGGCAGACTCTCAAACATGTGTGAGATTGTAATCGCAGCACGGAGACAGACTTTTGCCGAGTGCTGTGGACTATATGGAAATCCTAGTGTGAAGGGGTACTGTGGATATTGTGGGGTATAAGGATGGCCGTCTGAGGATGTGGATGAGTCGGATGGTGTCATGTATTCGTTTGCGGGGGCCCGTTGGAATTGATCAAGGCCGCCATGTAAACAAGAAACGCTATGGATGTCTGATCCTGAAGTACAGGATTTTGTGTCGATATCAGAAGTATTGGTTGGATTTGCAGTGGTGAGGTCGCAGTGTTTCTTAATGAAGATTGGGATGTCGGAGAAGGCTCTGAAACGATGTATTTTGATTTGTGCACTGCAAATGGGTTAATATTCTCCGTGCAAAAGCATTTCTAGTTATTTTGTACCTGGATAATTTGATCCTGGAAATTGCTCGTATGCTCTGGGCGGTGATTGATTCTCGATGGTTGCCAAATTCAGAGGAAATAGGAAGTGAGGACGCTTGCGCAAGAACAGAGTTGGTCCAGGAGTCCAGCTGCTGCATCCGTTCAAACATAAAGTGCATGCCTGATTGCGATACCAAGCATTTATTCAAGTCGGCGATGAACTGGGACGCCGAGACCAAGACTTGTTGTGATTGTATCAAAATGGACCAGCCCTAGCAAAAATGTTAATTTATTCTCATTTTAGACAATGCTAAAAACAAAAAAAAAAAAGAAGGGTGCTATAGGCAAGATACAAACCTCAGGATCATCAGAGAATCGTGGATACGGGGTCGTGAATTGGGGGTCATTGATGACAACTGTAGGTGCCTACTACTTGTTAGTGTCCTATCAACCGTGCAATTGAAGATCAATTAGCTCACAGTTGTGCTCACAATGGAGCCTTGTAAGACGCAGTAATACTAGGAGCGAATTAGAAACAGCTTTAGGGCAGGTGTATGGCTGAAAATCTAACCGTCATCCACCATGCTCTCCGACAAGCTTCAGAAGACTCATCCTCGTCCATAGAGGCATGCAATGACTTATCCAAAGCGATAGCCAAAGCTTGGCCAGCACGATACCTCATTTTCAGCCTATTTCCCCTTTGGGTGTACTCGTATACTGAGAGAACCAACAAAGCAAGGAGAATCTCAAGATCCTCCGGGACCTGGGGATGGAATCTTTCCCGATTGATCGCAGGCCGTTCGCTTGATAATGCCAGGCCAGGGTCGGTTGATGACAATTCAAGATCACACTCCGACTCAATGGTTGAGTTAGCAAGTTGCGAGAACGCATTAGCATACAGTCTTCGCTGAAGGACTGATGCATGTGAGGATGGATCCGGATCATTTGAATGTGGTACCAACGCCAGAATTGCTGATATTGCAAGACTCAAAGGCGAACGAGGCCGGTACATCATTACAGGCTCGGATGATGGGTTAGAGCATGGCACCTGGTTTTGCAAAGGTCTATCCCGACATTGAGGAGATACCCTCGGTGGTAAAATTGGGAAGTAGATATGAATGAAATCATAGTAGGCGTTCAATCTTTGCATTGGTTTAGGATGGCGGATGAAGACAGTGGACTGGACGACTAACTCACATTTCAGGTTCGCTTCCATATGTTCTCACTAAGCACCGAGTGCTTCCCAAGGGGGAGGGCATCGACTCTATGGGGACATGAGATGCATCACCGGAATAGTAGTCCTGGAACATAGAGGCTACTTGGGGGAAGTCTAGATGTCGCAGACCTGCTCCCGGTAAAGAGAGCACATCGATTTGACTGAACATGCCTGATGCTGAAAAACACCTATCAGCTAGACCATACATGATGAATTGGATGGGGAAGATACATACGCTCCTCGAAATCCGCAGACATTACTGGTTCATACTGCGGTTCATCCTGCTGGGACTCTGCTTCGGGAGATGACGAAGCCTTTTGCTTCTTTTTCCGAGGCCCGCCTCGTTTGCTGGGAAGATAAGAACATTTTCTGTTCTTTGCGACACACTACGAGGAGGTTAGTTTTACTGAAGGATGAAAGACAAAAAATAAAGGTGGCTCCGTACAGAGCCAAGGTGGACACAGTATACATACGTTAGAACAGGGTGTTTCCCCACCGCATCGGGTTCTGGAAGCACGACTGGGCGGGATTAGCAACTTTTCTGCGGGGAAGGAACAATGACATACCATGCTAAACATGCCACCTTCACTGGTGGCTTTGCAAACTTCTTGCGAGCCTGCTGAGGAGCCGTTGAAAGGATTCCCTCATGTAAGGTGTCCATGGCGAATCACCTCGCTAGGATATCATGGGGTAAGATACTCCGCAATTCAATATCCCGCTGCTTCAGCCCGGGGGTTTTCCCTACTCTTTGTACCTTTGAATTCCGGCTGTAGGCTGAATGGCTGTATGATAATTTGCTGTGCGACGAGGTCCCAGATTTGGGTGAAACAGCGTTTTGATATAAGAAGTGCGCTGATTTTTCGTGATTCAAACCCCGAGATTCGGGATTTGCGTCATTAAACAATCGCCACAATTATCGCTGCCTCAGGCATCAATTCACTCATGAGGAAAAGCAAAGAAACTATCTGAATTGTTTTGGGAGAATTGGAAAGGGCTTAAGACGAGGCCATAAGCAGAACGTTTTGAGATTGTTTAGAATGGAACTGTGTGAGAGAGTGAGAGTCATAGATTAAGCCACTGATTCAACGACTATGGTATAAGATGGATGTGATGGATCTCAATCGGAAGACATGGGAAAGTGTGGGGCTCATAAAGAAATAACCTGGACAGATCATGGAAGAAGTTTAATGATCGAATTTGAGCAATTTAAAGTTGCTCCTGCCTAATTTATATACTGTGTCTATTAATATCTGTATTTATCTGCCAGTACTCGAAAGTTTGATCCCAGTAACATAACGCACACTATCCCAAACGCTATCCGGGACTTTGTTTGGCAGTTTATGTCCTTTCAACTGCTGATCTATCAACCACATTCCTACCACGAATTCCTCTTTGGTTAAAAGCCCAATATGCTGTTGATCCACAAGGTCCCACACTTGCTCCAGCACAGAAACTGACAGGCCACTGCGGGACCAGATTTCCCGCACCACTAGGTTTAATACCATCTCCGATGGTGGCGGCCACTTCTGGGTTCTAGTCTGCGTGTTAAAGCTGGGGGGGATGTGCAGCCCCTTGTTTGAAGCCCATACACCTTCATAGCGCTTACGTTCTTTTTCAGTCACCTCCCGTCTCCATCGTTTTCGATCTCCTTCATGGTGTTTGTGGGGATGCTTGTGGAGCAGTTTCATCTTGTGCCGCCGACGAGCCTCGTCATCATCGGGCTTTGGCAGGCCACGAAGGGTTTGTGGCATTCCCTTCAGCGGACTTGGGGTTCTTGATGGTTCGCTTTTGGGATATGCTAATTGAAGGATTGACTTTGAATGGGCTCTTCGACGTCGTGGGGGAGGCGGTGGTAGTTTGGTCGCAGGGGATGCCCGGGATGATGCTAGGGCGGACGCAATAATGGCGTTGGAAAGGGCCTCCTCACGAATCCGATTTGATTCATCCGCCATACTGGTAACCGCACTTGAGCTGCTCCGCTGTGATAGTTCTGACGTTGAGGCTATGCTTGGTGAGGACGAAGAGAGCACCGGTTTTCTGAGATAGTCTACTGATGATGTCATTGAGCGCGGCGGAGGCCTCGGTTTCGGATCCTCTATTGGCGTTGCAGCAGCAAGTCGTGAGCTGACAGAGGGATATGTGTTTAGAGCTTGGGAGCGAAGACTCCCAGCTCGGGATCGTAGGGATGGGGAGTATCGGGGACCAGAGTCGGAACTTGTAATATCATCTTTAAACATACTATCCACGCTTTCCTGGGCGCTTCTTGGACGTATGGGGATAGGGGCACGTATATCAGGCCGGTCTAGAGTGGCAGGTCGAGGCGGTGGTCGAGGTTGCGCTCTGCTTGCGCTACGCATAGCACCGAGCCGGGCGGCATCACCGGCTGATATCTGCTTGGTAGCATAGGATTTTTCAGCTGCAAGTCGTGCAGCAAGTAGTTCGGGTCTCGGTGATGGGGGTGGTGGTGGTCGTACTCTCTTGCTGACGGGTGCCGGAGACTTAGAGTTGGTGAGCCTCCCGATCTTATCTCTCACAGAGCCCACCTCGGGGCCGGATTCAGAGGACATATCGTGGTGACGTGGCTGAGCATGACGATTGAACTGACCAGAACCAGTGACTGTGAAAGGAAGAATCACATTAGGTGGGTTGCGGGAGGCCAGAAATGCGACGTTGGCGCCTTGTAGAGCAGAGGCATTCCGGAAGGCGGGGGAAGTCAACCGCTGGTTCGCGGGGGAACCTCGCCATTCATGGAATCGATATCTGTGGAGTTTGGGAATCAGACTTTTTACAGTACTTTAGATGAAAAAGGTGAGGTTGAAGGACATTCAACATAAGATCCACTTTTAACCCCGTAACACTATAAATATTCCCCTGGGCTGTCGTATTCTGCCGTTTTAGCGCCCTTTTTCTGCCAATACAGTCTCCACAGTTATATCCTTAAATAGAATAGATCAATACCTAGTATGACCAATTAAAACCTCACACTCCCACTATGTACAGAGTAAGAATTGCTCTTTAACTGCTCAACCTTCATTAACTCATAAGAGTTCATAATAGATACACTAAGAAGCTAGAAAAACATTGGCCATTATGAGCGAAGACAGTTGTGTTATATCTAACAGCTCTCACAGATTTGATTCTCGATATCAACACCCTTGTCTAATGATAGTAATAATCATTAAATAATAGAGACTTCAACTATTATATAAAGACGGTCAGAGCTATTAGCTCACCATAGCTACTCCGTCTATATTCTACATCACTTTAGTATACGCTAAGACGGCACAATACGACTGCTCAGAGGACTAAAAAAAGATCATACTACACGGAACTCGCGGGCAGCTCTAAACAAACCGATCGACGTTATTGAAAAGAAAATTGAAAGGGATCAAATCAATGCTAGCAATCGAGAGAAGTTAACTACCCGCAAACTGATTCACTTGAACAAACCAATGTAGAAAAATCTCATTACGTGGAAGTCCTTATGCATGTCTATCACGTGATAAGGGACCCACTTATGTCTGCCTAGCCTATCTCATAGTTGCCTAAAATTATCCGGGGAACTTGCACTTCTACACTTCTACACTTCTCTTTTTATTAACAAGTGTGCCATGGATTCAGACGATATTGTCCCTGATTCCACTCAAATCTTTGAGGAGGATCTGGATGAAAAGTGAATACATTATACCCGTTATCTGTTGCTACTAACCGCCAACAGATATCCAAATCGTCCACATAATCATTCTATAACTCTTCCATTCCACGAGCTCTACTTGAATTTGTTCGATCCACTCAGCAATATCAAAAAGAAGCCAATTGGAAGTGCCCCTTCTCGACGGAAAGTTGGACCTCATAACAAAAATACAGCAGGACTAAATCCATTTGAGCTTCGACGCGATGTCATCACTCGATTTATTTCGCGATGGCGCAACGAAGTGGGCAATGATATCTACCCAGCATTTAGACTGATCCTGCCTGATAAGGACAGAGATCGTGCAATGTATGGAATGAAAGAGAAGGTCATTGGGAAAATGCTGGTGAAGATTATGAAGATCACCAAAGAGTCAGAAGATGGCTATAATCTGCTTAATTGGAAGCTACCAGGCCAGTCTACGGCTACTCGAATGGCGGGAGACTTTGCTGGGCGGTGCCACGATGTTCTTTCAAAGCGCCCGATGCGTACTGACCCAGGCAATATGACTATTGAAGAAGTAAACGAGAAATTGAACCAACTTTCGGCGGCCGCGAAGGAGGACCAGCAATTACCAATTTTGACTGATTTTTACCGGCGCATGAACCCTGATGAACTCACATGGCTCATTCGTATTATCCTTCGTCAGATGAAAGTTGGGGCGTCTGAGTGCACCTTCTTTAATGTCTGGCACCCTGATGCTGAGAACCTGTATAGTATCTCCAGCAGTCTTCGACGCGTATGCTGGGACCTACCAGATCCCAATATTCGGTTAGAGGCCGAGGATCGTGGCGTTGGGCTCATGCAATGCTTCCAGCCCCAGCTCGCTCAATTTCAGATGCATTCGTTTGACAAAATGATTTTGCGAATGCAAACGACCGAGGAAGACCCAGTGTTTTGGATTGAAGAGAAGTTGGATGGAGAGCGTATGCAGCTTCACATGACTTCTGATGAATCAGTCTCTGGTGGTAGAAAGTTCGCGTTCTGGTCACGAAAAGCCAAAGAGTATACCTATCTTTATGGTCATGGGATAGATGACAAAAATGGAGCACTAACCAGGCATTTGAAGGATGCTTTTGTTGATGGGGTGCAGAGTCTCATTCTTGACGGAGAAATGATCACTTGGGACCCTGAGCAAGATGCGATGATCCCCTTCGGCACTCTAAAGACTGCAGCCTTAGCAGAGCAACGCAACCCCTTTTCGAACGGACCGCGGCCACTGTTTCGGGTTTTTGACATTCTGTATTTGAATGGACGTGCTTTGACAAGATATACTCTTCGGGATCGGCGTAATGCCTTGCAGAAGACCATTAAACCTGTTCATCGGCGGTTCGAGATTCACCCGTATGAAGAAGCCACCTCTGCGGCGGAGATTGAAACTTCCCTACGAAAGGTTGTTGCTGAGGCCTCCGAGGGTCTTGTTTTGAAAAACCCTCGATCCCCGTACCGACTTAATGAGCGCCATGATGACTGGATGAAAGTAAAGCCTGACTACATGACCGAGTTTGGCGAGTCCCTCGATTTAGTCGTGGTTGGAGGCTACTATGGTCAGGGTCACCGAGGAGGTAATCTAGCAAGCTTTTTGTGTGGTCTACGTGTTGACAGCAATGATGGGTCCTCACAAAGTGGAAATCCCGAAAAGTGCTGGTCTTTCTGTAAAGTTGGAGGCGGATTCAACGCTGCCGACTATCAGGAAATCCGCCATAACACAGATGGTAAGTGGACTGAGTGGGATGCGAAGAAGCCACCATCTTTCTTAATAGAACTAGCCGGCGGAGACCTTCAATACGAACGACCTGATGTGTGGATCAGGCCTTCTGATTCAGTCGTTGTCTGTGTGAAAGCAGCCTCAGTCTGTGGGAGTGACCAATTCCGCATGGGCCTCACACTCCGTTTTCCTCGGTTCAAACGGCTGCGAAGGGATAAGAACTGGAAAAATGCCTTGTCAGTGCAGGAATTTATGGACCTGAAATCCAATCTTGAGCAAGAGCAACGGGAAAAGGAGTTTTCGGTGGAAAGCTCTCGGACTAAACGTATCAAGAAAACAGAAAAGAAACCCATGAATATTGCTGGATATGATGGAAATCAGAATGTTCAATATTCCGGACCTTCAGGCCATATATTTGAACACCTGAACTTCTGTGAGCTTTCTAAGGATTACTGTGTTCTGCAACTTTTTTTAACCACTCTCCCAGTTATCATGACCGAGTCAAACGTTGACGGGAAGAAGTCAAAAGGTGAACTTGAACAGCTGGTCAAAGCTAATGGAGGCAAGATTTATCAAACCAACACCGCTGCGCCTGACACGATTTGTATTGCCGAGCGAAGTATGGCGTAATCTGAGTTTTCAAGAAAGGTAATTTTGCTAATTCGTTCTTCAGAGACGGTCAAAGTAGCTTCAGTGCAAAAACGAGGCGATGCCAATATCGTCAAACCATCTTGGCTGTTTGACTGTATCAAACAAAACGAGAAAGATGTGGGGCTGCCAGACTTCCTGTTACCGTTTGAGCCTAGGTATTTCTGTCATTAATGTGCCGAGGAAAGAAAGAAACGTTAACATACAATCCCTGACAGACACATGTTATTCATCACCGAGGGCGGAGATGCAGAAATAGTCATCAATGCCGATCGATTTACGGACAGCTATGCTCGTGATACAAATGTGGATGAGCTCCGAGAGGTGAGCCGCTCATATACCTAGATAATATGGGGGAATACTGAAGCATACTTACTGCGTACATCAGACTTTAAAGCAGATGGCTCTTATCAAGAGCCAGAATGCCCCTCCTCTCGATCTGCCTACACTACATGAAATTGAAGGCCTTATCCAAGATAAAATTCACTCAGGCTACACAGCTTCCTGTGGCTGGCTCTTTCGTGGCCTCAAGTTTTTGTTCTTCTCAGGACGTCAAACAGACGGGGAAGATGAGCACATGGATTCGGAAGAGTTCAAGGTCGATGACAATCGACTCACTCTTGCGCAAAACACTGCTCTGTTTGGCGGGGCAGATTGTGTCCTTTCGATTGATACTGCCGATATCACGCACATAATTGTCAACCTGCAGAGGGTAGAATCAGTTGATATCACCTCCCTGCGAAATACCTTGGCTGCTGCCACGGGCAGGAAGATACCACATCTTGTCAGTTTTGAATGGGTCGAGGAGAGTTGGAAAAGTGGGACATTGTTGGATGAAGAAGGTGAGTTTCTTCAATTGGCTTTTTCTTTGTTCCTGGCTAATGTTTCTGTCTGCGAAAAGGGTTCCACGTCCCTCGGTAGCCTATCAGAGATGATAAGACTGCTCATTCTATTTTATTATACAATTGACCAACTTGCTCCATGGTAGCAAAGTCCCGAGACCATCTTAGAAACATTTTCGACAGAAATCCCCACTTCTATAGATATCGGGAGTGGAATACCAGTCCAAATATTGGAACGAATAAGGGATATAAAACTGATAAACCACGGTACTCACTCCTCAAAAAACCCTACATTAGAAGTTATACATACACACGAAACTATATCAGCCACGAAAGTGACTAGACAGGTATAACTATATCTCTTCCTACTATTCCAAAGTTGATGCACACGTCAATATCTCTGCGAACATGCCTAGGTATCTGATGAATTTCTAATTTCTCGATTAGATTCTACAAGAAAACAATTGATAAGTTCAACTCAAGAAAAGACCAGGTCTTATGGTGAAAAAGACACAAAGGGCATCTATAATGAAAGGATATGGAAAATCATTAGCTTTGAACATAATAAATTGGTTTCTTCTTCTTTTTCATTTCCTCTTGTGTCCTTTTGGCCGTGTAGTGAACAGTATGGATATAAGGGAGCGTAATACCTCTGAAGTGATGATCCTGTGGCTCGTATAATTTTCAGGATATTCCCAATATGATTGCTTTTTCTACATCGCTATCTCATGAGCTCAGGGATTAACCGTGAGATTTAAGACTACTCAAATCTTTCCCAGTTATCAACAGAGTACCTAGGTTCCAAGGTTAGGTATCAACTTTCTGAAAGGGTAATTTAGATACCGCTACATACCTGGATAGCAGCTTTGGAACATGCATTCCTACTTAACACCCCGGAGGTACGAATCGTGATATGAAACGGCATGTCTTGCCTTTCTACCTCATAGGTACACGCGCGTACCTTTGAGTTTCTGCCCCTCGGTTATTGATTCAATCCAAGTTTTAGGATAATGACAGGAGAGTTTTCAATTCTTTGTCTAGCGAGGCAGACCTGTCTAGGCAGATGCACAACCAAACTTCACCAGGTCTAGGCTCTTGACTCGCCGTTTTCGATGTCCTGCGCAAGGTTACCTACCACCATGTATCTACTATGTATGAAACATTCAAAGCGGCTATAAAAGTGATATATCATTTCTCTCTTATCCATAAGTCCGTGGCTGAAGGTTTCTGCCCAACTAATCCGTCGATTCAAATATCCCCGTCAATTTCGGATCCGCCGATTCAATATCTCCGAAGGGGAAACTCGACGGACAATGAAAAAGTTGGGCCGAGAGTCATGGATGTTGGAAATACCTCGCTTCGGGGATATAGATCCTTTGATTGGAATGAAGCAAACCAATGTTTGAAATTGCTTCTTTCTATACCCTCTAGACTCGCCGGGGCCTTCCAGGAGTCGATTGACTAGGGGCCTAGGATCTGCTCGAAAACGTTCAAAACCCAACGATTTCCTGGTCTTATTTGATTATCAAAATCGAACATTAGCTCTCTATTCTCTGTTTTCTTTGAACATTGACATCGGAAACTCCCAAGTCTATTGCCCTTCTTGAACTGTTCAGACAGCTCTCGACTATCAAAGCCACCTAACTTCATCAAACGATCCATTCTTCTGGTCTCTATCGCAATATGGTCCAAATTATCAAAGAGTACGTTTTGCACGTCATGGTTTGTTTCAAATTCAGGCTAATATAAACCGTGGATAGTGAGAACGATTTGATCGTCCAGCTAGCGAGTGCAGCTGATCCAAAACTTGTGATCATATTCTTCACGAATTCTCAGGTTCCAGCCTGTAAAGAGGTCGCCCCTATTGCCGAGAAACTGAGTGTGGAGTTTGAGAGCGAGGTCGTTATTCTCGCTGTCGACGCGGCAAAATCCGACGAGGAGGGGACTGAGAACGTCGGGGTTAAATGGGGTGTTGAGGGCGTGCCTACCTTTGCTTTTGTTAAGGATCATCAGATTGTTGAGAAGGTTACTGGGGATGTCGACACTATTGAAGCTGGTGTTAGGGATACTATTGCGAAGTTGCTGTAGATTTTCTTCGAAGAGGTCCTTCTAGCTGTCTATGAGTATTGTCCTATTTACTTATGACTTGGAGTATTACATAGTTGACGCTCCAAGCCAATCAGAAGTTTATCGACATTGAAGGTTAATTCTCTGAAGTTTGACTAGTTTGCACTATAAATGACAGGGTCAGGTGGTCTTATTGACCTCGACTCACATGATGAAAGTAAGAGTGGTTCGAAGTTAAGGTAACATCCTATCATGAGTAATCAATTCAACTAAGCGGATCCATATAAACCTTTCGTTGTTATCGTGGGGTCGAAGCAACACCCCGCATTTTGACTTATGCATTAGTATAATCCTTTGCTTGAAATTCAAGGCGTACCAGTCGGCGATCTCCGACAGAGATTAGAATGAGCATTGTATCACAAAACCAATACATATGACGTCTCTTCAAGCACCTAGATCGTTCTTCAAGCACCTGGATCGCCAAGTGTGGGTGACTTCGCGGCTCAGATGACATCATAAGGCAACTATAGATAAGACAATAAGCTTTGTCTGCAATACGCAGTATTGACAGTATTATGTTCGACGAATAGCGAAGTATTTTGGAAGGGTATAGGTATCATATATCTTATATTGGTAGTAGGTGGATATCTTGGTAGTCCTCTATAGTGAGAAAGGCGATCAGGTATCCTATCACAAAATAAAGATAGAAGTGTCATCCTTGACAATCTTCGTTCAACGCCGCGCTTATATGTTGAAAATGTAGAAAAAATAGAAATAAGATATAGAGAGGCTCATATACCAAAGCTGCCTGCGCTCCGCGCTGGTCAGATGCATGAGAATGGGATTTGGGTTGGCTTAGGCCGAGACACCCACCCAGCGTACTGGGACAGCACCGTCGTCGTCGCAGTCTTCGAAGTCCAGTGACAAGCGATAAGGATTGCTCTTGCGAGGAGGGAGCCAGATATGGGCGCGTGTAGGGACATCTTCGCGGAGCTTGCCATGACGTCGCATGTTCATCTCTAGAACCACCATTCGTAGGAAATCACTGTTCTCACGGGGTTCTCGTTGACGAGAAATTGGAGGGCTTTCTGGATCATATGTATGGAATTTATCGCGATTCTGGGTTGAAATTACTTGGAAATGGTTTCTTCGGTGGCCTCTACTACGGGAGCGGCGGTAGGTCTGCATCTGGATCGAGACACAGGCCTGGTTTGAAGGCGAATCGTGCGGGTGATCATGATATACATACATCTCCGCCGGGGAGATGGAAGTTGGGTTGAGATACCGTCTGAGAGCTGGTGAAGGAGGTTCTTGCATGGGAAGAGGACGCCGGTCGTCAGTCATTTCTGGGGTGATGGTGAAGAGAGACCGAGTAAGGAAATCATCGGGTTGGACTGAGGGTGTAGCAAAGGTGGAAACAGATTGAGCAGCGGATTTAATAGCTCTTAATGATGCGGTAAGATTGGACTTGAATGATGATCGTAGACGAGGGAAGGAACGCGATGAGGCTTGCTTTGTGGGAACTTCATCCAGAGTTGAATCCTCGATGACGAGATCGAAATCAGAATCATCCGTCTCTAAAAGAGGGTGGTCGAGAGCACAATCCTCAGAAAGAGAGTATCTTAGGTGCCGTCGTTCGGATGGACTCTTTTGGCTTCCTGGTGTCGGTGGCTGAGGAATACTGGATGGGGAGCCGACGTCATGATCCAAGGAAGACATCGAATCGCTTGATAGTGACTGCACGGAGAAGGTGGGCTCCGAGCCCGATTCGCTGGCGGCCTGGTATTTCTCAGTGTCCTCCTCCAGAGGGCTGAGCAAGATATCCAGAGGAGAGTTGATAACCCCAGCAGTCATATAGTCTTCTTTTGACTTGAGTGGTGCCTGGATTAACCGACTGAACTCATCCACTTGGCTTCCTCGTAACTTTCTTCTCTGTTTTGAGGTAGACCAAGATCTACGTGGCACTGGAATGGCCGTTGCATTTAGCATAGAGGTAAAGGCAGACGGCATGGGGCGGTCACTGGAGGAGATTGAAGATCGCCGTGACGAGCTCGGCGACTTAGAAGGGGTATAGGAAGGATCTCGGCGAAGCTGGAGGCGTTTGTCACGTCCTGAAGGGATTCCCATCGGGGTTGTAGCCGATCCAATGGTAGGGGCATTCTTAAGGAAGTGAAAGCCGGGGCTAAGAGGCGTGGCGACCTGTTCCTTCATTCCGATGGGTGAAGAAGTAAAAAGAAAGGCTCTTGGGACCATCATCTTCTCAAGGGAAGACAGTTCAACAGTATTCTCTCTGTTTGTATCCAGACGAGGCACTCTGGTCGAGTTTCTGGACGAGATACATGAATGGGTAAGAGGCTCGTGACTCACTTCCGGCAGGTCGGAAGTGTAAGCAGCTGATATGATGTATGGGTATATATAGATGTATGGATGTACGGATGTATGGATGTATAGTGTATGTAGGTAAGGGAGTGATGAGTTGGTGAGTTATTGAGTAAAGTGAAGAAAGATGGAAGAAGAAGAGGATATGAAGGAAGAGCAAGGGAGATAAGAATTGGGATGTACTGAGTAAAGTGGAAATGTGGGTGCCAGAATGATAAGACCAGGCTGTATTGGGTAGATAGAACTAACCCTCTTTGAGAAGGCGATTAGAAGGCGATTATAAGAGCATAATTATGATTGGGTTAGGGTTGGGCGGGGGGTATAATGCCGGAGACCCGGTATTATATTCTGTTATGTAATAAATTACGTACCCCAAATAGAATGTTCGAGTGGATACAAATGGAAGATTGGATCGGGATCCCTTTTTCTTTTCAACACAGTTTTTGTACTTTGTATCTGTGCGCTGCCGGATGAAGTCGTTTAGCGTATACCAAAGTGGAGTAGAATATATAGCTATGACTGGCTCATCTCTCTGACCGCTTTCATGAAACAGTAATGTTTACCACTATCTACGTAAAAATGTGATATTATCAGGTGATATTCTCATATTTAAACCTAACCTCTAATTCAGCAATATTTTTCGATATATATATGTGCCTATATAGATAAAAACAGCGACGAAGATCTTATATTTACTGGTACTATTCCAAGGTTGGTTTCCATGGTCATGTGTGAGGTTCTTCAGCACCCTGAGTTGCCGCATACTTCCAAGGGTAATACTACCATCAAATGTAATAAAAATATATCGGGTGTAAAGTATAGTAGTGATAAGCCAAATTGGTTTTCTTATCAAAAGAGGATATCCTAAGAGGGCTCAAAATACGAGCTTAGCTTACTGTCCGGCTTCATTTCATCAAGACTAAGGTCGCCCAGGTTAATTGGTGGTGGTACAATGGTGTAGATGATCGTATCGGAGAAGAAGGAACTACAGATGAGCCAAAAAAGATAGCCTTAGCTGTCATCGTATTCCATGGTAGAGTAGAGACTGAAGAGTAGATCACCACTACTGTAAACGCGTACACGAAAAAGTAAGATTATTATAATAATGTACCCATTTTAAGCAAATCATACGTTTTTCTGTATATCTTGATCCTCATAAGAATAAAGAGAGTGCAAAAAAGCGCCAGGGCTTCGGGAATCATCGTTGTGGCATAAAGTAGAGCCTTTAGCGGGTCTGATAGAGGTTACTGTGACCTAATGCAATTCATATGGTAGTGAGACTTCTAGGGAAGACATACTGCATCGTTATTCAGAACAAAAGAGATCACTCAAAAAGCTCAGAAGTCCAGGAGGGAAAGGAAAACCAGCTCAGACTTGTTGGGCACCTCAACTATATCAGGTGCTCTTTTACTTTGTAGGAATGGTCATAAAGCATATGGATGCTGGAATGATTTCCATGGGCTTCAATTGGCCAGATTATGTATTAATCTATTCCTTTTTGGGTGACATTATGGAGACTGCATTGATAGAAAAAAAGGCGCTAAAATAACTCCCTCCGATAGCGGATGCTTTAATTGTTGCAAGGCCGTTATGGATTTTTATTAGCTTTTCTCTGCTCTGTATTTTACCCCTGATTTCAGAAAAGTTTGACAGTTGCTTAGTACCTTGAATTAAACTAACGGATCGGTGCCCCGGTTAAGGTTGGATTTAGCGCTGGTGCCTGCAGATAAGAGACCGAACTAATGTATACAGAGTACTACTATGGGAGTTACTATCACTCTACGGAGTAAATGTTCATTCAATGCCGTTAACCGGTATGTAAAAAGAAGAATAACAGAACTAGTAAAAGAACTAGTAAAAGAATAAGCCGAGGCAGAATAATTATTTAGTAAACACCGGAGCCCGATGGAACTGATTGGTTATTAAAGGCGATCGGTGGATCAAGCGGTGTACTTATTCGTACTTATGCATTAGAATTGGAGGTCTAAAGAAGCACGTGTGGAGTACATAAACCCCCAAGAAGTCGAAGTTTGGAATAAATTAAATAGTAGACATAAAGTAGAAAAATACATCGATACAAATTTTAGTTAAGCCTAGGCAGGGCACTCCTTTACTTCCAGGGATTAGACTCCATTTTGTTGTTTCGTATTGTTCCTTCGGGCACACAACCTCACTTTCATTATCATCTCAGTTTACTGTGTACTTGCGCTATCTAAAATGCCTCATGGAGATAACTCGGACGAAAGACGGAGTACCGAGTATGCAGTAATATATATTGAAATTAAACACATCATGTGATTTAAACCTCCCAAAATTCTTATCTTACAAAGTAGATGAGTCATCACTAATTAGGGATTTAGTTAGGGCTTACCATCGAGTTTGAGAAGTCAGGCCTCATCTGCCCATTTCACAGCCCGTATCAAATTTGACCAATCATTTTATCATTCATTGGCCTTATCCCCGTCCAATAACTGACTCGCTCTACTGCTTTGTGGTGCATTTGGATTATTTCCCCACCTCGGTCCACCGTTCCTGCGGGTCCAATCATACAGATTCAAATCACGCCCGAGTATGGAATATTAGTAGATTTGAAGCGTGAGTGAACTGTGATCCTTCCATGGCTTCCATAATACCTGGTCTATTCGTTACTTAGGTTTATGATCTATGCTGACATCTCTCTAGCTCGTAATTATCCATGCACTGTGGCGTAATCACTTCTTCAAAAGCCTGTTTTCGAAAGAGGTCCTGGTGAGCATGCCGTGTACTCTGTACTGTGTTTGATTATCTTCAATCAATACTTCCAAGTTGTGCCATTGACCAACGGCTACGACACATACGGAGTCCGAGTAGTTAGGGTGACATTCGAAGGAAGATCCCCCCGAATCCAGAGTCCCACCTTAGCGTAACAACCCAAACATGGACGCAGAACCCAGTGCGCCCAAGAGACACTGTGTGAGTACTGCCTGTATTGCTTGTCGCAGGAGAAAGTCCAAGGTTAGTACTATTGGATGTGATTGATTGTTATCCGAATCAACCTAATCAGCTCCCCTAGTGTGATAGCAATCTACCCAGTTGCGCTGCCTGCTCTTCGGTTTATCATACACCTTGTCGGTGCTTTTGACCAATATATGCCACAGGATTTTGCTGACGTCAATCAAGGCATTTATGATCCAAACTCCGATCATCGTCGTAAAGGAGTATACAAGAAGAATGTCAACACCCTTCGAGCGCGGCATACAACGCTGCAGACGTTATTCCATGCAATATTAAATTACGAAGAGGAAGATGCATTTGAGCTTGTCCGACAAATTCGATCCTGTGACAAACTTGAAGATGTCGCTCAATCAGTCACTGCCCGCGATAGAGGACTCTTGGCCGAAGAGACCGCTAGTGAGCCGGTTGGAGTTGACAGCTCAGCGCATGTCGTTGACCAGTTTGAGACGGAGCTATCTGGTAAAATGAGCGAACTGATACTTGACGGTTCGGGCAAGTTTATTGGCGGAACTTCAAATCTGATATTCCTTCCACCAGGCTCGGAGCTGCATGAGTCGGCTTCAATTGCCTATAATCACATTTTCTGCTCTAATGATACGCAGCCAGTGAGGCGATGGACTCAGGTCACCGAAGATGAGTCGCTGATAAGTCACCTGTTGAACATGTACTTCACTTGGCACTATTCCTTCTTCACTATTCTCTCTAAGGAATTGTTCTATCGGGATTATATACGAGGAGTTGCCAGCCCATACTGCTCAGCCCTTCTTGTGAACTCCATGCTTGCTCTAGGTTGTCACTTCAGTTCTTGGCCAGGCGTCTTATCAGATCCTCAAAATCCCGCGACAGCCGGGAATCACTTTTTCAAAGAGGCCAAGCGACTGATCCTAGAAAATGACGAACATGAGAATTCCAAGCTCTGTACAGTCCAGGCCTTTGCACTCATGTCTGTGCGTGAAGCAGGTTGTGGCCGTGAAGGGAAGGGCTGGGTTTATAGTGGCTTGAGTTTTCGCATGGCCTGTGATCTGGGTTTGAATGTTGATGCGAGTAATCTTGGTGCTTATAGGCTCAGTGATGAAGAGATTGATGCTCGACGAATCACTTTTTGGGGGTGTTATCTCATTGACAAGTATGGCCCTAACCACTTCCAGGTTATCTTCGTTTTACTAACAACGTAGGCTTTGGTCAAACTATCTTGGTCGTCAACCCCAATTGTCCTCGTCAAATACTAATACTCCTAAAATCGATGTCCTACCACGGGAAGAAATGGAGATTTGGTCTCCGTATACAGATTCTGGTATGGCAAAGGTCCATACGCAGCCTTCTCGCACGAGGGCTGTCGCACTGCAGATATTAAGTCTGTGTGAAATCAGCAACGACCTTCTTCTTTACTTCTATCATCCGGCAGGACCCGAAAAGTCTCATTCAAAGCAATTGGAGCTGAAAAATTTGACTGATGTCCACACGCGACTCGAAGCTTGGAAAATTAAGTTGCCGAGCGAGTTAGAAGCAAGAGAAGGACAGCTTCCTCAAGTACTTATGATGCAGTAAGTTAAATCCACCAAAGATGAATTATGTTTATTCGTGCTAAGTCTCTCCAGCATGTTCCACCAACTTCTCCTGATTCATCTCTACCGACCCTTTTTGAAATATAACAAATCAAACACACCTCTCCCCTCGCACGTCTCACCTCGCAAGATATGCACCCAGGCAGCATCAGCGATTTCCAGAGTCCTGCGCATGTACAAACGCACATATGGACTTGTCCAGATATGTAACTTCGTCGTCTACATCGCCCACACGGCCTGTACAATTCACCTCTTGAACCTTCCAGAAAAGAACGCTCAACGAGATGTGATTCACGGCGTACGTAGTATTGAGGAGATGGCTGAGAGCTGGCCGTGTGCACGTCGAACCCTGCGTATCCTTGATATGTCCGCGAAAAAGTGGCAGGTCGAGCTGCCGGCCAAAGCGATCTCCGTTTTCGAGCGCACACATGCACAATGGGGCTCGTGGGGATCGTGGGACAAAGCATCTTCGTCTGCTTCGGGCGATTCTCCTATCTCTAATAGCAAATTGCAGTCCAGTGTTACAAGTCCGAGTCCCACGTCGCTTCCTGTGCATCCTTTCTCGTCGTCAGAAGTCCCTGAGCCTCCAGCGCTTCATCAGCATCCTTTGGCTGGATCCGTGGTCCCACGGTATCTTATAGCAGCGCAGACGAACCAAGATCAACTAGACTCGGGACAATCCTTCCACCACACCTTCTCACCTTCAGCCACGACATATCTCCACCCCACACAAGTCGGGTACCAAATCCCAACCCTACCAGCAGACCCATCTCCCACACAATCGCCCAGTCCATCTACCTGGCTTGATCTATCCAATGCACAAGTTTCACGGACAAAAATGTCTCCTGCGTCGAATGTATCGGCGTTAGCAGGACTCGAGAGCTTCGAAAATCTCGTTGGCGAAAGTCACGACTGGTGGTCCCTAAATGCAACTGCTGCACTTGGGACGGGTATGGAAACTTGGAATGGGCCGTGGAGTCCTGGAATTCTGGATCCTGCTCAGAACTTACAGGATCATACATTTATGTCTATGCTTCAGCGTCCTAGTCCAGATTCTGGCTCTGGCTCTGGCTCTGGCTCTGGCTCTGGCTCTGGCTCTGAGCTTCAATCACAGGCCATATCTGTTGATCCGAACATGACCTCCGAGGATAATGTTAGTTTGCCAGATCAGTCCAGCAGTGACAAGTAGTAGAATTGGTTTTTTTACTGCCGTCAGGTATGCTTTACATTATACCAGACCAGGGCTTGTATAGATATCAAGTAGGTTTTGTATTGATCAATAACCTAATCACTATACTCCAATATGACTTTCAAAAGAAAATAGAAACGAAATGGAAAGATTCAAAGTCCGTCATAACTGATCATTATTGTTGAAGCAGATTCATGAGTTCAAAGCAGGCCAAGATGCCGAGATGATCAAATACCTCGGGCCATAGGCGCGAGACATGACAAACTAAAGTCATGTAGTAGAAGGTATCACTAGTAGAATTGTTAGGTGCCGGGGGTGGTAACTTGGGAGGGAAAGTGGCTGGTCTCACCAGAAAATAATCAGCGACTGGCTTCTTCGCTGGCATCCCCCGTGTGTCTTGGGCTGCGGCTTCGAAGACGCGGTATCTCCGTCCAGGACTGATTATCGAGTCGACGAAGCCTTCTGCACCCATGGCGCGGTTGCTTTGTCCGACCTCACCATTGCTGCGTGCAATTGTACCGCCATAGTTAGTATCCTCGTTTAATTCTAAAATGGCGGCAACATTTCCGCAGCGATAGCAGTAGTTCGGAGCGGACCATACGGTGACAATGCCACCGTCAAACATCTCTTTGTACCCTTCCATCACAAGTTGATGGGCACGTGCGACCAAAGACAAGCCGTTGTAGTGGTTAAATTGTTTGACAATATCCCTGCCGAATAGGAATCCGGCGCCTCGGGGGCTCAAGCCCCAGCCCTCGATCTCATCGGGGTCGGACCAGAGAAGATCGCACATGGCACCTTCGTGGGGTACTTCCTGCTTGCGGTCGATCAATCTGATTTTATCCACGGAGTCGATTAGTGGCGACAGTCCGCCGTGGACACAAAGTACAGCACCCGTGCGAGTAATCTGTCCGCTGCCATTACTGTCGCCGCTAGCACCCGACCCAGGGATTCCAGTGCGTGAAAAGGCGCCTGCTTGGCCCTGTTGCGGGGAAATATTCTGTGAGTTCGATGAGCGGCGATTGGCAAAGGTGCTCGTTGTGACCTCTCCGCGAGAGTTCAGCACCTCAGTTTCAAGCTCGCTGTCATCGATGTTTGAATCGTTTACTAAAGAGGCAGTTCGCTCCAGCTCCGAACTAGCGCCTAATACGATTGCGCCCAGCGCCAAGTAATCGAACACTTCGCAACAGTACCGCCAAACATTAGCGCTGCCGTACTTGCGAATGCATTCGTCGTAGAATCCATAAACGGTTGTGATCTGGCGCGATTCATGATTGCCACGGATGAGGGTGATGCGATCGGGGTATCGCACTTTAAGGCAAAGGAGAAGGAGGAAGGATTCTAGTGAGTAAAAGCCGCGATCGACGAAGTCGCCCATGAAAAGGTAGTTTGTGTCGGGGACATCGCCGCCGACGCGGAATAATTCCATCAGATCGTGAAACTGTCCGTGAATATCGCCGCAAATTGTTACTGGCGCGTCGACAGAGACAACATTGCCCTCTTCGATTAAGAGCTCACGCGCCTTGTAGCACAACTCGCGGACTTGGGTTTCGGGGATCAGGCGGCAGGCCCGCAGCTGCTCGATTGCCCTGTAGATCAGAAACAATGGTTATTAAATGAACGTCATGAATAATAAAGGAGAGCTCTTGTTGTACCCGTCTAGATCACTCATCATGTTGTTCGGGTTGGGGTGGAATTGGTAGGTTTAGGAGGGAAAACGGGGATTGGCGAGAAAAAGAGAATCACTGCGGCGGCGCGATGCAGTTGATCAGATCAGTCTCCTTCCCTTGAAAAATTCAGAATCATTGTTGCAACGCCATGTGAAGGAATACACGCGTTAGTGATCGAGTAAGTGAGAAAATAGAAAGCGTGTCGAACTGACTCTGCGACCGGACCGGGCCAATCATACCAAAGCCAGATAAGATTAGATGTTCAAGCCTTTCACTCTCTTCTTCTTTCCACTCTGTACCTTATGTCAATCTCCCCCGGATTCTCCTTATCTGTGCTTTGAAAACATATTGGCTGAAAAGTACTATCGAAGGCTATCCAATTGATCTTTCCTATCAACTCCATTCTTTCCATTCTCTCTTTTTAGCCTGCATTTATCCCGATCCGTCAGATGGCATGATCCAAAAAGAACGACACAGAACTCGACCACATCGTACTCCCCCTCAAATCTCCTCTCAATCCGTTCATGATCTATATTCAAAATGCCGCCGCATCTACATCCTAAATCACGATCAACAACCGGGCTCTTTGGCTGTACCCTCATCGCATCCCTCCTAGTAGTTGGCATACCTCACATCTTCCCATGCCCTGCTCCACGACGCACATTCGCCGATTCAGCGATGACCATCACAGCCGACGGGCAACAACTGCCACGAGTTCGTCGTAGGCGACGGAAAGACGATTTGGACTCTGAATCCCCTTCCCTGGGCCATCCGATCCCATCCCGCCCTATGGACGAGGACGCTTCCACATTTTTCCAGATGGAAGAGGAGGCAGAGAAGCTGGCGCATATAACCCATGAATGTCCCATTCCGAAACCTAAAGGTGCTCTCGGTGAGCTCTTAGGATTCCGGAATACCCGTGGAAGCGAGGGACCCCAGACATCAACCGGTTGCCAATAATGTCTTGCACTGTTGGCTGCTTGTGATGTATACGCTCATTTCGCACTGTTTATCTTTTGCTAAGCTTTTTGTTTATGATACCATGGATTTGAAAAGAAGGTGGATTTGGACTTGGAGAGTCCGCTGTTGAAATTGTTGTATGAGAGATACCTCACCATGTACAGATTGTATTAAAAAAAAAAAATTAAAATACACTAGGATTAATCTATAAACACACCTGAGTTTTTAGCCTTTGAATGTTAGAATTGACGAATCACCATGGTAATTTAGTATAAACATCTATGTTCCCTGGTCAGAACCGCAGCCGCGAAAGTAAACTCCTCAGGCCACCTTGAACATTCTCCGTCAACCATTGCCGCCACGATGTCCTGGGTAGCTTTCATAAGAAGCGTTCTTACCCAGCCCCAACATACAAAATGGATTGCTCCCCTCCTTATATTGAGCGATATGGCGCTCTGCGCATTGGTCATCTGGAAGGTCTCCTGTTAGTCCAACTCCATCTCGCGCCACATCCAGCTTATAGACCGGATTCAAGCTAATCGATTCTATGATAAAGATACCGAGATTGACTGGACAACCTACATGCAGCAGATATCTCTCTACGCCTCTGGGGAACGCGACTATACCGCCATAAAAGGTTCGACTGGTCCGCTCGTCTATCCTGCGGCCCACGTCTATATCTACAACCTTCTCTACCATCTCACTGATGCCGGGCGTGACATTTACACCGGTCAAATCTTGTTTGCCGCGCTTTACATGTTGGCTCTAGTTATTGTCGTGGCTTGTTATAGACAGCTACAGGTCCCGCCTTACATTTTCCCACTTCTAGTCCTTTCCAAGCGGCTTCATAGCATATTTATGCTGCGCATGTTCAATGACGGCATTGCTGCGTTTGCAATGTGGATCGCCTTATATCTGTTCTTGGAGAAGAAGTGGACTGCAGGCGTTGCGATTTGGTCTGTAGGTGTTGGGGTCAAGATGACCTTAGTCTTGCTTGCGCCGGCCGTTGCTATCATTTTACTGCTTAGTGTCGGGCTGAAGCGCAGTGTTGGACTCGGGACTATGGCCGCGTTGATTCAGGTATATCCAAGTTACATTAAAAGAAGGCCGAGTAGAGCTCCCCAACGTTGGACTAACCCAACTTATAGATCCTGCTTGCGATTCCATTCCTCTATATCAATGCAACTGGCTATCTTTCACGAGCTTTTGAGCTTTCTCGGCAATTTATGTTCAAGTGGACCGTGAATTGGAGATTTATAGGCGAAGAATCCTTTCTGTCAAAGGAGTTTTCTATTGGACTGCTCGTGCTGCACGTTTCTATTCTAGCCATATTCGCTTTTGGCTGGGTAAAACCGTCAGGGTCCAACCCGTTCCGCTTCCTGCAGCACACACTCCAAGGCCATCAGGGCAACGTGGAACTCTCGAAACTCTTCATAATGACCACGATTTTGAGCTCATTGGCCATTGGCCTGCTGTGCGCCAGATCCTTGCATTACCAGTTCTTTGCATACTTGGCTTGGGCTTCTCCATTCCTGCTCTGGCGTGCTGGTCTTCATCCTGTCATTATCTATTCTGCATGGGTGCTCCAGGAGTGGGCCTGGAATGTTTACCCCAGCACGAACACTAGTTCCGCAGCTGTAGTGTTTTCCCTCGCTCTGCAAGTGTTTGGCGTGTTGTTCAATAGGCATGCAGAGGTGGGTAACAAGGGCGACAGGGCTGACAACGTCCAAAAAACACGCACTCAATGATGCTGACTGGGCTTCGAGCCAGGGGTTCGAATATTAATCAAGTAATCACTCGGACTCGTCAGAGGAAGGCATTTTGCCTACCCGGGATTCTTCTTCAGAGTCAGAGTCGGCGGCAGCGACTGGCTGCTTGACGAATTCCTTCGGCCTGAGTTGGAAAAAGCAGTTAGTCTTGATGCCATGGATGAGGGAGAAGATCGAAGAATCCATACCAGAAGGAAGCTTTCTTCCAAGCCTTTTCATCGAGCACAACGTTGATAATTTCTCCGCCAATTTTATTTTCTCGCTCATCAGAAGCCTTGGTGTCGATCACAATGTATGATCCACGCTTGATCCAGATGGTCGAACGAAAGCGCGCTGGTAGTTCGACCAGCATCTGAGTTTTGTTGGACAATTCAATCAAGTAGATATTGTTGCCAGTAGCCTTGATTGCTCGCGCGATCAGCTGGGTTTCGGTCAGCTCGGCCGGTGGGGTGAGAGTCTCTTGGGCTGTTGCCAGCATTTTCCGACGAGGAGGACCCATAATTGATGGAATTGGATATATTTAATGTACTGAACTGATGGTAATGAGAAAGTAGTGGTGTTTGTGTGAAATTTTGAGCTTATCGGTGGGGCATCTCTAATCTACACTTGAATCTGCTTACGTGGGGCAACTCTACTATACCCAAGATACATAGCTAAACCGGATAATAAATTCCGCGATGACTTGATATAAGTCTTGACAGCATTCTTTTCCTATCCTCATACTCTTAATTCACATTGACTAATTAATTTTTTTCCCAAAAAAATTAGTCCCCAAGTGCCTTGATCATTCTATCATGTCTTCCGGCTTTGGGGTATTTCTAGATATTGAAAGCTCTACCAATATATCCAGTCCACCACACGCAGTTCGCAAGGACAAACATGTCGCCACACGGACTCCGTCAGATTACGAGCTGAATGAAATCCAGTTACCCAGCAATGTAGCTGATGTGACCTGTAAGCAAGTAACACAATCATCCACGGGCCCTCTTCCACCGACGCCCAGTGCATTAGAAAGTCGGCTATCAAATGCCACGGACAATGACACAGCAGCTTGGACCCCGGACCAAACAGTAATATCCCGGAAAACCAAATGGCGACTACTGAGTGTCTGCCTGATACAGTTTGGACTTGGTATGAACGACAGTGCTCCTGGTGTATTGATTCCATTCATGGAGAAGGAATATGACATCGGCTACGCTGTCGTCTCGCTCATCTTCGTAACCAATGCACTGGGTTTCATCTCAGCTGCACCACTCACTCACTACATTGAGCATAAGCTTGGCCGATACAAGAGCTATGCTTTTGCCATGTCTTTTTTGGCAGTGGCCTATGTGATTATCATATGTCATCCTCCATTCCCTGTCGTTGTGATGTCTTTCTTCATGCTTGGATTTGGCATGGCCCTGAGCTTAGCCCTAAGCAATGTGTATTGTGCCAACCTGGCCAATGGTACAACGGCCCTGGGCTTTGCTCATGGCGCCTATGGTATAGGAGGCACGGTAGCACCCTTGTTTGCAACAGCAATGACATCCAGTGGGATCCGGTGGTCCTTGTTCTACATAATCAGTCTAGCAGTGTGTCTGGCCAACATTGCCTTTACATCGTGGGCTTTTTTCAACTTCGAGAATGACACCCTGGCTGCCCCACAGAGAGCACGCCTAGCTGGTCATAGTTCCACCATAGAAAGCGAACTGCTCACTCGAAGCCAAATTTTAAAGAAAGTCATCACCAACCGCACCACATTAATAGGTTCACTTTTCATTTTTGTATACCAAGGAGCTGAAGTGTCCATATCTGGATGGGTTGTTTCTTTTCTAATCACCTACCGCCACGGCGACCCCTCACGAGTCGGATATGTCAGCTCTGGCTTTTGGGGTGGTATCACCGCTGGTCGGTTTCTCTTGACTCATCCCGCCACCAAACTAGGTGAGAAGATCTCTGTAGTCGGAATGATCGCTGGTGCCGTGGCCTTCCAACTACTGACCTGGCTCATTCCCAACGTGACTGGGGAGGCTGTGACCGTGGCCATTCTCGGTGTTTTACTCGGTGCTGTTTATCCATGTGCTACGTCTGTCTTTGTCAAGCTTTTGCCTCGGAATATGCAGGTATCTAGCCTGAGTTTCATTAGTGCAATTGGTAGCAGTGGTGGTGCATTATGGCCCTTCCTCACGGGTCTTCTGGCGCAGCATGTAGGGACGATGGTGCTGCATCCGATTTGTATCGGCTTGTATGGCGTGATGGCTACGAGTTGGCTTATGCTGCCTAAGATCTCAAAGAGATCGGAATAGAGCATGAGGTAAATGCAGTCATAAACATGGAGTCCGTGTCCCCTATGAACATCACCCTATATAGCCCATGCAAGAATGAGTGATATAACCGAAAGCGAAGAGAACAAAAGAAACGGACATGTGTGCAGTAAGGAGACGAGCGGTAACATGTATCAAGTACACATCGAGTACAATCAAGTAAAGCAAAAAGTACTCTGTACTACCTATATTCTTGCTGAGACTGAATCCCGACGTGCGGCTTCGACGTAAGAGGATGTCATAGCTGAATACTATTGTAAGAGGACTTGGAATAGACAACCTTGGAAGCTTCAATGACGAATGGAAGAGAAATTGAACGTTGTATATTAACTTGTTTATACGGAGTGCAGCGTAATGTAAGCTTCAGAGTTAATGGGCTCACGTGTTGTAGTAGCCCCGGAGATGCCAATGTTTTCAAACATAAGCAGATAATCGGAAATACCTAATGCTACTCTTTGATTTCTACCTTAATGTAACTTCACATTATATTCTTGTTGTCACTCAAAAAAACAGATCTCACGTTTTTCTTCTTGGTGTGGGCTAAATCTTACATTTTCCGAGGTGGCATTACGACTATCCGTTTCCCCTTGTCAACAAGCCCCGCGAAACCCTTTCCCACTTACAACCCACCCCCGGTTTGGCGCCGCAACACCCCAGATTTGACCATTCCTCTCCTTCTGTCTCAGACCTGCCCATCATGGACGGCGACGAGCTTATTGCTTCGGTCTATCACAAGATCGAGCGGGAGAAGGCCCTCATCGCCGCCGCATCTAACATGCGGCAGTCGACAGACAACCCCCTCGTTCAGCAACGTGTCGACGCCAACATTCGTGATGGCCGCAAAAATATCGCTTATCTTGAAGAGAAAATGCAAGAGCTGCAACTTCGTCGTATGGGACAGGATGGTGGCGGTTCTCCCAGTGACCGTCGCGCGCAGGGTTCGGGACCCCCGCCACCACCAAAGGACCACGAAGGGGATGCAGGATATCCTCAAGGAGGAAGCGGGTCGATGCCATCGGGCGCTCCATATGCTGACCCTCGTCCTTACGCTCCGATTCCCAAACCGCGTCCCAATTACACAAAACTCGGTGCGTTGAGACGAAAACCCCTCTTTAGTTCCCCTCCTACCCCTTTCGAATGAACTCCTAAGTGCAGATTAACATGTGATTTATTGGAATGGAATGCTGACTAGAGGATATGTCTCAGATCTTATCAAGTATGACACCCATTATCTCGGTCCGAAGATCCAGCTCATGCTTTCCCAGCTCGAATTCAAGCTGAGCGTGGAAAAACAATACAAAGCGGGTATTGAGAAGATGGTTCGCCTGTATCAAGACGAGGGCGACCGAAAGAGTCGTGCGGATGCCGAAGGCCGTCGCGTGGAGAGCAATCAGAAGATTCAGCTATTAAAACAAGCTTTGAAGCGATATGAGGATCTTCATGTTGATATCGAGTCCGCCGATGCTGCAGATGGTGCGTTAGGTTCTATCTTTTATGTATAGGTTATTGCAACTAACAGTTTTCTCGCAGATGAGAGCCTGAGCAGCCCCAATATGCGCAAGCCGTTGACCGGTCTTTTAACCATGCGAATCCATGCTGTTGAGGATGTGGATCATGCCAACAGCTCACGATTCTCTCGTGGCCCCGAGACTTTTATCATTGTGAAGGTGGAGGACGCAATCAAAGCACGGACAAAGGCCAGTCGAAATGACAAGTGGCTGGACGAAGCGTTCTCCATTGATATTGATAAAGCGAACGAGATCGAATTGACAGTTTACGATAAAGCGGGAGAACGTCCTACACCTATTGGTATGCTCTGGGTGCGCATTTCTGATATTGCAGAGGAGATGCGTCGCAAGAAGATTGAGACTGAACTCAATGCATCCGGATGGGTATCTGCAGACAAAATGAACAATTCAGGAGCTCCGCGTCCTGATAATCACCCTGGCTCCCAGCCGGGCTCTTCTGGTGGGTTTGGAGACTCGTCTGCGCCCATGGGGCAGCAGGGTGATATGGGAAATGCGCCACCAGCGGTCATGATCGATTCATGGTTTGCATTGGAACCGTTTGGTCGTATTCACCTCTCCATGAGCTTTGCCAAACAACTCAAGGACCGCCGTCCCTTCGACATCGGTCTCAACCGCCAGGGTGCCGTGCGTCAAAAGAAGGAGGAGGTCCACGAGAAGCAAGGTCACAAGTTCGTTACCCAGCAATTCTACAATATCATGCGCTGTGCGCTGTGTGGAGAGTTCCTCAAGTATGCTGCGGGTATGCAATGTTCTGATTGCAAGTACACTTGCCATCGCAAATGTTATCCCAAGGTTGTCACCAAGTGTATCAGCAAGGCAAACTACGAAACCGACCCCGATGAGGAGAAGATCAACCATCGCATTCCCCATCGTTTCGACACCTTCTCCAACCTTTCTGCGAACTGGTGCTGCCACTGCGGATATCTCCTTCCATTTGGGCGCAAAAGTGCAAAGAGATGTACAGGTAAGACAACATTTTCTTAATGTTTTTCCCAACCCATTCAGATAACACTAACCTTGCAACTTTCTATAGAATGCGCCCTTACTTGTCATGCACAATGTACTCATCTTGTTCCCGACTTCTGTGGCATGTCGATGGAGGCTGCAAATCAAATTCTGGAAACTTTGATTCGCGCAAAGAATCACAACAAATCAACATCTGTCAGTTCCGGCGTCCTCAAACCTACCCTCCGATCAGGCGGTCCACCCCAGCCCTCTCAAGACAACGCCGCCCTTTCATATCCCCAGAAACCCAACGACCGGCCGTATGGAGAACTTCCGAGACTACCATCTTCAGATGCGGTAGGTGCTGCGACTAACACCTATGCCACCCCACAGTCACCGGGGGCTTCATATGCTGCCCAGCAGCGCCAACCTCCACCAAAATCGCCTACAGCAAGCGATGCACAACGCGCAGCAGCCGCAGCAGCTGCGGCTGCAGCTGGCGGTAAGGCGCCTCCTCGCCAACAGCAGACTCCAAGTATGTCTCCATTACCCGTCCATCTTACCAGATTTGAAGAAACTAATGCCTTCGTTCTAGCGGATATGCGTTCGCCTGTGTCACCGCAACAACCACCACCTCCTCAGCATGCTCCCTACGATCCTGGGGCCTATGCCAAGGTGAACCCACAAATGCCAGCTCAGCCTCTGTCACCAATGGCACAACCTGGAGCTCCACCTTCGTCCTATGGAATGCCGCCACCCCAGCAGCAACAGCAGCAGGTCATGGCGCCACCCCAGCAGCAGATTGCGCCGCCCGTTTCCAAGGAGGAGCCCGCTCAACCGAAGCAACAGGCTCGCATTGGATTGGATCACTTCAACTTTCTTGCTGTTCTTGGAAAGGGTAACTTCGGAAAGGTCATGCTGGCCGAGACCAAGAGCTCACGCAAGCTATATGCCATCAAGGTACTGAAGAAAGAATTCATCATTGAGAACGACGAGGTGGAGAGCACCAAGTCTGAGAAGCGTGTCTTCCTAGTTGCCAATAAGGAACGACACCCATTCTTGCTGAACCTGCATGCTTGTTTCCAGACAGAAACTCGTGTTTACTTCGTTATGGAATACATCAGTGGTGGTGATCTGATGCTGCACATTCAGCGTGGCCAATTCGGTCTGAAGAGAGCACAGTACGTTCTTTTCCAATCCTACGCCTTCTATTGAGAGTAGGCATACTGACTTGATTTTTTTTTCTTCTTCTAGGTTCTATGCCGCTGAGGTCTGTCTGGCTCTCAAGTACTTCCATGAAAACGGTGTCATCTACCGTGATCTGAAGCTTGACAATATTCTCCTCACTCTTGACGGTCACATCAAGATTGGAGATTATGGTCTCTGCAAGGAGAACATGTGGTATGGCTGCACGACGAGCACATTCTGTGGTACCCCTGAATTTATGGCCCCTGAGGTAATTGGCACCCCCTGGATATCCCCCTCTGACATTTACTGATATTCCTTTAGATTTTGCTGGACAAGAAGTATGGAAGAGCTGTTGATTGGTGGGCATTTGGTGTTCTCATTTACCAGATGCTTTTGCAGCAATCTCCCTTCCGTGGCGAGGACGAGGATGAAATCTACGACGCCATTCTTGCCGATGAACCTCTTTACCCTATCCACATGCCACGAGACTCGGTCTCAATCTTACAGAAGCTGCTGACCCGCGAGTCTGAGCTCCGACTGGGCTCTGGTCCCACTGATGCCCAGGAGGTCATGTCGCACGCCTTCTTCCGCAACATCAACTGGGATGACATCTACCACAAGCGTGGACCCCCTCCGTTCATCCCGACAATCACTAGTCCCACTGATACCAGCAACTTCGATTCAGAGTTCACCAGTGTTACCCCGGTCTTGACTCCCGTTCAATCTGGTATGCTACCTATAATATTCCTTTTCAAAAGATCTCAAATTGCTAACACATCTTCTCTCTCATAGTGCTCTCGCAAGCCATGCAAGAAGAGTTCCGCGGCTTCTCCTACACGGCCGACTTTGCTTGATCTGGTATGGCTGTTTGTCCTGGTGATCATCCCCCTCATTTCGGCACCCGTCAACATCTCGTCTTGGATATCAGTCTGGTATTCTCGACCTGATGCCGTCAAGCCTAAATTTTCCTTTTGCGGCTCCGGCATGCTTGATTTCCTCGGTCTTCAAAATGTGCTGCATATTGCAGTTAAGCTTAGTCGTATAAACGTCGGCAACAAGCCGATTCACTAATCATATCCTGTTCACCGAATAACATGAATTGTAGGGACAACCTGGTCACTGTTTTATGCTTTCTTACCCTTTTTTCTGGTCTTTTTTTCGTATCTAAATTGCCTTATGTTTTCTCGGATGAGTTGTGTTACGTTTTCCTGATTTTCATTTTCATTTTTCCGACTGGTCGGCTCACAACTCTTTCCATGTCTGGACATTGCTCATGGAGCACATGAGTGACGAAGATAAAGATGCTCTCGACAGTATGTTGACAGAGTTGGATTACGACCGCACGAATGGGGATGGAGTACTCTTTCAACAAACAAACAAAAAGCCTTGAATGAGACCTTGGTGGATTTGAAGATTATGATTCCCATGAGTTCTTGTAGCCTGTACTCTAGCGGTTGTTTTCTCGCATGTGTTTTGAAGTTATATAGTATTGATGAGCTTTGGACTCTGACGACTGGAGATGCAAATACGACTTAATTAATTATGATTACTACTTTACTTTTATGAACACAAAGACATCAGTAAACTGCCTAGGTATGGCATGATATTAGTAGGTACCAGGAAGCAATTTTCTGATAATCAAAACTACTAACATCCATGGTTTTAAATCATATCTAGATTCGAGGTCTTGATCTGCTCTTCCAAACGTCTTTCATTCAAGACTTCTTTCATTTCCTTCCAAGGTTATCTTTCCGTGAAACACACCTGGGCAGCTTCTATGGTTGACTCTATTTCGAGATCTGAGTCTCTTTGTTCTAATCTCCCTTTCGAGACCACCAAGTATGAATACCTTTCGGATCATGTTCGATCCGAGTTTTCGTCACAGCAAACGCAAATGATATATGGGAATAGTTTAGAGAAGGTTCTTTCATGGCTTGTGACTCTTGAATCTTCGAAGGTTCATCTGAGATCATTGTGCTCTCTCTCTCTCTCTCTCTCTCTCTCTCTCTCTCTTTGTCCTCACAACCGATATCAAGTATTGGACATTCTCTTTCTTTGTCAACATTTCAAAATAGATTCGTCTCCTGCTTTATACTCACTAAAAATACTACGGCTCTGTCTTAATGAATATTTTCAGATAACTACGACATTGCCATCTCGAATCAGCTTGGACATCAAATTCCATCTTCTCGACTCAGATCCGCCCTTTGACTATACGAAGCTATCTTTCTTCTGCACCTTTGGTTCCCTCTCTTTTCTTTACCTGAGATGGATCAAAATAAAGAGAAAACTCATTCAAGCAATGCTGATATTCTGCATCTGCCGGAAGTAAGACAAATCGTTAATGGCCAATCTGATATCATTCAGCCTATCAACTCCATGCCTTCACCTTCACCTTCACCCTTCAATCTTGCCGGGGCTTATCTCCCAGCCAATTTAAATACGGCAAATCCTCAATATTATGTATCTTCACTGAAGCGAGCCTGGGCAGAGGCTCAGTATGACGGCCATGAATCGGCTAACGGAGCCACGCCCTCTGAGAGCGAGCATTCCGAGTATAATGCTAGCAGTATTTCCTCTCCTTCCGAATATGAATATGATTCAACATCTCCAAGGAAACGGGCTCACAAAATCAAATTCACACAATTGCCTGATCATGATCAGGCTCACTCTACAGTCCCTGTCTCAGATTCACAGAGACGGTGGAATAAAAAAAGAAAGCAGAAGCGCCGTCCAAAGTCACATTCTGCAGCATATAGGAATACCAAAAGAGATGAGATCAGTGACGAGGATGAATGGAAGCTCACGAATTCTGAAAAACGAAGCCTCATGTACGAACTCACCAATGAAAGACCCAATACCGTTGTTGAGCCTGTTCAAGTTCCACCAGATAGTGGAATGGGAGCTGGAGAGACACGCTTGTTTATCAGTTTAGCCGAGCGGGGATATAAGCCTCTCATGTCTGGACACTGGGCTGATGACTTCGAGACGCTACCAGCCTCATTGTTCACCAAGGTAAAGAATGGGAAGATACCAGAAAACGAGCAAGGCTTAGTCTTTAAGGAAAAGAAGGGATCCGAGTTCGACGCTATAAAGGCGTTGCAAGAGCTTCTCACAGTTGGTGGCCGCTTTAGAGACTGCAAAATGTTGAAGGCTCGCACTGAAAGAATAATTCATCATGCGGTTCAGAAGTATCTGCGCTGGGCCATTAAAGATGGTAATCTCAAGATATCGCCAGAGATGATTCCCGTTCATATGGTTGGTTGCCAGAGGGGGGATGAAGATACCATCACTATTATCACACGAGCGTCCAAGAAATTAGAGCGACTAGCTAAACGCCATCAAGATGCACACGCAGACTTCGAAAATCCTTACTGGCCAACTTTACTTGGATTTATTCTTTGTGGCCCTATCTTCTCTATTGTATCCGTTGATACCGATCCCAAAGATGCTCGCTGGTCTTCTACTGCGTCTGATACTCCGATAAAGTATCTCTCCTACTTTGATATTTCTGATTTTGACCAGGACGTGTGGAACTCTCTTGCGATAGCTATTTCGATTCTTCACATTAGGGATACGATGGCTCAGCTTGCCAATGTTTATTCAGGCTCTCTTGTTCCTCATTTTCGTGCTCCGGGTGAGGATGACACGGATGATGAGGACTTTTGAATTTCTTAGTTTCACACTTGACTCGTATATCTGTTATTCCGCATTTCATACTAGGCCTGGAGTACTTCAGATTTTATTTCTTTGTAGCCGGATCTCAATTTTAAGGCTCTAATCTTGACTTAGGCCCGTTTGTTTTCCGTTGATTTTAGGTGTTTTCAGACTATGTTCTATATTTCATCGAGGGATCGGTGATTCCAAGGCTCCAATGTTGTTCATAGCCCGGAGGTAACCCTTTGTATGTAATGAAGATGGATCCATCCATTGAGGTGTTTTGCTGAACTTCCAAGGCCTTGGTTCCAGAGCCTACAGTGTTATCTAGGTACCTAGATAGACTTGGAGTTTTCAATATCAAAATTTTTAAAGGAGATTGCTAAACAGACGCCCCCCTGCCTGATCTCTGCCTGAAATCCGGATTAATACTTATTCCTGAATTCTGCCATAACTATTACGATCAGTGAGCTTATGTAATGCTCAGTTCTACTCAGTGAACAAAAGCAGCGAGGGGGTGAGCACTAATACGGAAGGGGAATGCCAAGAACCAGCATGGAAAAAACGGTCATGTTCACACAGGTAGAAAGTAGGTACCTAGGTAAAGAGCTCAGGAGGTATTACTTTCATCCATCCTGCCATCTGATATCTAGGGCTTACTTTTACCTAGGTAGCTTCAATATTTCATATTTGAAAATCTGCCCAGGTTAAACCTCCCGAGGTCCCACGGCTGAAGCTATCGAGGTGATTCAATGCATTCTGTTTATGTTGTCTACTTTTCTAGCCGTGATGAACGCCTTGATCGAATTCAATACCAACTTGCAGAGGTCTGTTGTAGACAATGTCGGCTGGTCAGTGGTAGAATCAATCACTTCAAAATGTGCTGCTCTTCCAAGTCTTCTTGAATTGAGTAGTTGAAGGCTTCCACGTATGTCCAGCATCGTCTGGATTTGAAACTTCTTGCCCTTGACTATCAGCGTGAGTATGAAATCCCAAGGCACAAAGATTTTTGAACCTGTCAAGAACGATTAGTGTCACATCTCGTGCCTTAAAGCCTTTCAGATAAATCACTATCGGCTGACTAGGTTATTACCAAAGCAGATAGCTATCGATTCACGTAGAACAATAGACATATGCGTATCAGATAAAAGTGAAGTCCTATTCCTAACTGCCAGCTTGGCAGAAGAGAGTAGTATAGTCTTCCAACATTGGAACTAACTCTCGACTCCATGTCACATGACCAGTCCCGCTATTGATTTGAGCACAACAACTGTTACCCATACACTACACATAACGCATAATGGATGCAGCTGAAGACCGAGAAGTGAAGCTCCAGCGGGCATCCAGTGATTTGGTGACTGAGTTCTCGGCTAAACTGCCATCACTACTTTGGAGATCCCAAAATGGAACCCCTCTCCGTACCCCACGCAAATGGGCGCCAGTGTCCAAGACAGAGAGGCTTGTCAGTCTTGTAAGTGCATCATCAAATATAATTTAAAAATAAAAGTCAAAATAATTTAATCTGTCACTAATCTTAAATCGCCACAGTTGGAACCATTCCAAGAGTGGCCTCAGCTTCTCGATCCTCATCTGCAGAAGCTTCTACCTCCTTTAGTCGATGCATTCTTGGCCTACTTGGTTAGACATGAGGGTCAGTATGGGTCGAAATCTCCAAAAGGCTTACCGAATTTTGCACTCTATCCTCTTCCAAGAGCCATCTGCAGACTACTTTACACCTTTTGCAAGGTTCGCGGCGTCAAGGTCATCAGTCGGTTTCTGAACAATGAACCCAAATATCTAGAATCCATGCTGCGAGCTTTCATACAATGGAACTTGATAAACACTCAAGATACAATTGATGATTTAGCCGGACCTGAGCCTCAGGGATTGCAATGGGAAGAACGTTATGTGATGCTGGTCTGGCTCTCTCATCTGCTTCTTGCTCCTTTTGATTTGTCTTCGATCTCGTCAGATGACATACCTATTCCTTATGACAATTTGCAGCAACTGGGGACTATTTCTCCCAAAACCCCCGTGGTTACCAAGTCACTACTTTCCTTGGCGCTTCACTACATCAATGCTTCTGGCAAAGAGCGCGAGGCGGCCACTGCTCTCTTGGCACGACTAGTTCTGCGTGGGGATATGCAAGCTCTGGGCCTTCTTCCAGGTCTAATTCAATGGGCATTTGCGACACTTCAACCTGTCGATAATAAAACAGGCGAAGTTCCTTCTGTGTACTCATGCATCGGAATTCTCTCATTTATTGCCCGTCTAGCGGGATCGGGCCAGGTAGAGGATTTGGCTCCTCTACTGAGGGTGGTGTTTGAAAAGACCCTGAGCGTCTCCCAGGGCGATACGGAAGTCTCAAAAACAATTCAAACCTCAGCCTTGGCCAGAAAGACCGTCGTCAAAATTCTTCGTAACATCACCGGAATGGCTCTTTCTTTGAGTGAACGGGGAGATGTTCATGTATCGGATGATCAATTGTCTACTATATTAGAAGATATCATTGATCACTTCCTTATTGCCCTTGCAGATAAGGATACTCCAGTTCGGTTTGCTGCGAGTAAAGCTCTTAGTGTCATAACTTTAAAGCTGGACCCAGAGATGGGGGCTGAAATCATTGAAGCTGTTATTGGCTCTCTGGGCGAAAACATTCTCTATGAAAAGCATGATGGAACCCTACTGACAAGATTTGAGGCCCGTGGCATTGACACCCATACGTTGAGACGCAACCTGAGTGGCGTTGATGCTCAACGATGGCAGGGGCTGATGCTTACTTTATCTCATTTGTTGTTCCGTCGTGCGCCTCCTCTAACTCAACTGGCTGATATCCTTGAATCTCTTGTATCAGGCTTGGACTTTGAGCAGAGATCTTCCACGGGCAGCTCTGTCGGAACTGGTGTTCGAGATGCTGCTTGTTTTGGAGTATGGGCTTTGTCTCGGAAGTATACCACCTCGGAACTTCAAGCCTTGCATCCGCAAATGATCCTCTCCCTTTCCGGGACGAGCGAGGTGGATGTCTTGCAGAAGTTAGCTGTAGAGCTTGTCTGCTCGGCTTGTGTTGACCCTTCTGGAAACATTCGACGAGGGGCGTCCGCAGCCTTACAAGAACTGGTTGGCCGTCACCCGAATATGATCACTGAAGGAATTTCTCTGGTGCAGGTTGTGGACTATCATTCTGTTGCTCGTCGTTCTCGTGCCATTGTTGATGTGGTAAAGGCAACCGCTTCACTGGATCCAATATACTGGGGTCCTCTTCTGGGGGCCTTGATGCAGTGGCGAGGTATTGGTTGTCCAGATGCTGAGTCCAGGCGACAAGCAGCGAAGTCCATTGGCTCGCTCAGCACACAACAAAACTTCAAAACAATCAACGTAGTACTCCAACGTCTATTAGACAGACTTCCCCGCATTCTCAGGAGTGATGTGGAGTCGAGACATGGATGTATTTTGTCCGTTGCTGCCACAGTAGATGCTTATATCTCTGAATGGAACTCCTCCCTGGAGATAAGAGAAGATGCCGAAGGAACCGCGGTCTCTTCTCAGGTGTCTCAACTGTGGGAGTTTTTTGAGTCGCCCTTAGCACCTACCGATAACGATTTGACCCTTCAAAATTCAAGGCCCGAATTGACTGCGGAGGCGTCATCTCGCTTGATCGCGTCTCTATGCCGGGCAACCACCGTCACTGGACTTGCTCGGCCATCTGAGGGGATCATTGATCGCACCCTGAAGATTCTTTCACTATGTGTCTCGCGAAGTGAAGATATTTCTATCGAATCGTCATCAAATGCACTGGCTTCTCTTTTCCCACTTTTATCGCTAAAGAAACAAGATGAAACAGTACAGGCCTGGTTTTCTCACCTTCGTATTTCCTCGAAACTACCAACTGGCCGTGGCCAGATCTTAGCCCTGGGGGCTGTTTTCAAACAATTCGAAGGGCGAGACGAACTTCTGCAGAGCATCACCTCAGAACTACTTCAATGTGCAGCGAAAGGGGAAGTCCTTGAAAAGCGAGTAGTTGCTGTGAGATGCTTTGCAACCAGCATTTTGCCATACACAGGCGCAGGGACAGGTCTGTGACTTGCTACATTCAAAAAAGATAATATTGAAGCTTACCATATACCAGAACTTACGCTCAAGATCGCAACTAGCTTGCTCACTTTCTTAAACGATTACACCACGGATAGACGAGGTGATGTTGGGTCACTGATTCGTGTGGAAGCAATTCAAGCAGCAAGGGTGCTTCAAGGCAAACTTGTACCGCGTTCCCCTCTTGTCCATGATATTGTTGGCTGCCTTTGCCGTCTCGCATGCGAAAAGCTCGACAAGGTTCGACTTCAGGCCTGGCTTTGTTTACAAGACTGCGTTTGGGAGTTGGCTGATGGAGATGGGTTCTTGAAGTAAGTGGTCATCTATTTTATGGGCTTTATATATGTTTTCAAGTAAAAAGCTAATTTGAATAGGAAATTTGAACATGCCAGCGATGTGTCATCACCAGAATACTTTTTCCAGTTGCTAAATCTATGGCCACACGAATGGCTGCGTCTGCCGATACTTCAAGGCCTTGCAACCTCTGCAGTTACAGGTGCCGAGGGTCTTGTGCGCTCTTCACGAGAAGCCGTGATTAAATTCCTCAATGTCATCAATCTCAATTCCACTACCGCCAACTCTCGACCTGCTAAATTGATTGCCTTCCTACAAGTTCTGTCGACTGTTCTGAGCGATAACATTCTCGATGATCGCTATGCAATTCCAGCAATTGAGTTCATGGCGTTTCTAATTGACAGCTACTATGTCGCCAGTTCAGAGGATGTGGACCCAGTTTTCCGGAAAATATTTGCATTAGGTCAGAAAGCACATTTCCGATCCACCAACATTGCTAGACTCGAAGCAGGAATCAGGGTTTATGCAGCATTGTCGAGAATCGAGTCCTTACGAAATGATGTTTTGAAGAAATTGACAGGGATGCTACTGCATCCCTTCCCAAGGGTATGTCGAGTCTTAAAACTTGCCTAGTGTGTGCTAATATTTTCTCGCTAGGTTCGATTGAGTGCTGCAGACTACATTTTCACAATTACAGATTCTGAGTCAGTCAAATATGAGGATTGGTCGACACAGCCCAAGGAATTAAAGGAGAAAGTAGAGGGCTTGAGGAGTGTTCTCTTACCAATATGATTGATAGGACAATCCATCAACTTCCAATATTGAGGTACCTACGCAGCCATTATATGAAAAAAAAAAAAAAAAAAAGATAATAAAAAATGTACACATTGAGCAGAACTGCCATTACATTGAAAATTGGAATGTGACAGAAGCAAAAAATTATTATGCATCATCCGTGAATCGAACACGGGCCTCGTCGATGGCAACGACGAATTCTACCACTAGACCAATGATGCTAGTTCGATATTTAAGGGCGGACTTTTAGACATTATAAACAAACTTATCATTGCGTCCTTTGAAGTGAATTGAAGAAATCAAATAACTATTATTGCATGTTACTTCAAGGCCTAAACTGGGCATTCACATTGATTTTCGAAATAAAACGAAGTTCGAGGTAAAGTAGTTTTGAAGACCTGAATATACCGCCCTGTATACCGCCTTATACACCGCCTGGCAATACCTTATTTGAATCTGAAGCTCACTTCCATTTCAGATCCCCACCTAATCTGTCGCAACCATGGAGGCTACAAGTCAACACACGGACAAATCGTCTTCCATTCCGGCAAATAGCACGTAAGTCTAAGTCCTTGAACTCATATATATCATTCCAACTGACATGTCTTTCCAGTGTTTACGTATGCATTTCATCCCTCTAACCTGTCGCAGTCTTTAACCACGAAATGACATTGACTTACCTTACCCATATAAACAGATCAACAACATTGATGATCGTATCAAGATCCCCGAGCTAAAGCTAGCTCTTCACGAGATTTTTGACGAGTACGGCACAGTGCTGGAGATAATCGCTCATAAGTCCCTCAGATGCAGAGGACAAGCATTCGTTGTTTTCGATAATGTGGAATCTGCCACTACCGCCATCGAAGAGGTGAACAAGTTTGAACTTTTTGATAAACCAATGGCCCTTGCATATGCACGAACCCGCAGTGATGTGCACACTCTTCGTGAAGAAGGTTCCACGGCACTGGAGACCATAAAGCAAGAGCGTCATGCCGAGAAAGGTATACAAATGGAAGAAATTCTCCCACAGTATGATCTTATTCTAATAATCTTGCTTCTATAGTTCGTATCAAGGCACAGCAGGCTCTGGAGGCCGCCCAGAGACAGAAGCGCAAACTCGAAGCCGAAGCTAAAGACGACAGCCCCCAGCCTTCCAAGGTAATCGTACGTGGTGCTGGACTTCAGCCCACAAAAGTCAAGCCATCATCTAAAAGTGATGAATTCTTGGCACCCAACAAGGTCCTGTTCATCCAGGGTATCCCTGAGGAACTTGATCAAGCGGATTTGGAGAGTCGGTTCAGTTGTTTTGCAGGCTTTAAAGAGCTTCGTACTGTTCCCGCTCGAAAGAACATTGCCTTTGTTGAGTACGAGAACGAGGAGTTTGCCATCACTGCTAAGAAGGCCACCCACAATACGAGTGTTCTTGGCCAGACTATGCGCGTCACCTACCGAAAGGAGTAGGGGCATCACGTTTTTATGTTTCGAGTTTTCATATTCCCACGCTTTTAAAGCGAGCGCAACAATTCAATAACTTTTTTCCTTTTTTTTTTTTTTTTTCTTTCGAGTTGTCTAGGGAGATAGGAGACATCGATTTGTTTATTCTAACAAAAAAAAAAAAAAACTGATTCTGTATTTATCAGGTGCGGAAGGAGAGCAATTCTACGTACGCCATATGTCGCTAATAATAAACGCTAATAAGAGAATGAAAAAACGAAGTGATCTGCCAAGATATTAAAGCTTGGATCGAATGCCCTCCAGTCGAAATTTGACATCTTTTAATACCTTACTTGAAGGCTTCCAGTCATCAAACTGGCGCAGGAGTTCCATCATCTCGTCGTGTAGTTCACGCCGTACGTGGTCCTCCTCGAGCAGACCGCGCATGGCGAAGGGGAGGATGTATGGATTCGGGGGTACAGTAGAGCTAGATCGCTTGATGTTGAGAATTGGGTCAGGAACTGTTGAGGTTTCTAGCGCAAACTGAACAGCCATGTAGTATACAGCTTTTTCGTCATAGAGACGAGAGTGTCCCTCTCCAGAATAAAGACTGCCAGCTAGCGGGGTGCTGAGTTCGCGGATAAGACCGTGATCTGGAATGCCCAAGTTTCGAAGCTTGAGAGCAAAGCCAACAAGATGTGAAAGACTAGAGAAGTTAGATTGTGAAAATTCGGAATTTTGGACGGGTGCCTACAAGCTTGGGGCATGAACTCGGCCATCGACAAAAGCGGCCCGGAAAATATATGGATGGGCTATCGGGGTGAACAAAGAAGACTGAAGAAATCGTGAGTATAGAGTGCGTAGTATCAGAAAGCAAGTTCACGCACCTCGAGGGAGACAAGCTGATCGTCTATACTGCCAACATAGGAAATGCGAACGCCAAAGTCAAGTGCACATTTGAGAGCAGCTTCATAGTCTTTGGAGACTCTGCTGAAAGGAAGTTCAAAGTCGAACAGCTCGCCGGCTGATCCACTGATCCATCTGGATTGATAAGAAGAAAAAGGACCCATATTGACACCAGCCATGGCGCAAACACCTACTCGTGCGGCATTGACACAGCCCATAGCGATTAGCTTTGCAACTAGCATGATCGAGACAGGTACTCCTTGACTATGACATGCTACCAGGATGAAATCGGCCTGGCGAATCTCTTCCATCCAACTCAGAAGCAACTTCCAAAGCAAATCCACTCGTTCTGTTATTCGACCTTCTCCCTCAAGTGCGATTTTTTCAATTTCGCAGGAATATCCATGGTTGGAAGTCCATCTCTGAATGGACTCTGCTGCCATATTTGAAAATCGAATGGAAGTTCCAGTAGGTTGTCCCAACACACTCCGAATCAGAGGCGCAGGAAAATACCCGTGGACCCCAATGGCCAGGGCACGTTTGATTCGTGGTGGATCTTTGATGCGGGAGACATGAATATATCCAGAACTTTTGTTGTGCTGTAGGTATCGACCAAGTGATTGAAAGAGGGAAGGAGGCTCTTCTATATGATAGGTATCTTCAAAATTAGGAAGTACTTGGTTGGGCAGGATCTTCAGCGGCTGTTTAGAGGCGGAAGGATCCGCAGGTCGGGGCTCAGCTGGTAATGCAGAAGCGGCAGTGACTTCAACACTCGACAAGACACCATCTTTGATACGTTTATCCTTTACCGATTTGACCTGGATGTTGCCTTTCTTGGTTAAGTTCCCATTTGTTTCCGGGTCAGACTCGATACCCTTTTGCCGGGGTTGCGTGGCGGGGTCGATTGTCGCTTCTAATGCTGCAGTATCCTGAGAGGTCGTGGGTGCTGCTTCTTTCGAAGCGTCTTTAGACCAGAATGACCAACCAGATCTTGTATTTCCAACGGGGGCCTGTGATATACCAGCTGCATTTGAATCTCCTAGTACTTCATTTTGTGTTGTGTCTATGCTGTCAGTTCCTGACGGAACTGATTCCGGGAGGTTGGTTGTAATTGCTTCCGTAGGTGCCTCTTCCGGTTTGGTCGACGGGCCTGAGCCGTACCACATCTGCATCCACGACCGCTTCTGCGCCATCGGTACAGACGCTGTGGCTATTTCAGTTTCTGCCGACTCCTGCTCCTGGTCCCGTGGCTCTTGCTGATCTGGATTGTTCGCAGATGCATGCAAGCTCGATTGGTCTTTGATGGCTTTATCGTTTGTCCCGTTTGGAGCTTCTAGTGATACCGGAATATCTAGCTCACTCTTTTCTGCAGTGCCAGATCTATAAAACCACGAAAACCACCCACTGGATTGTTCCGGAGTAGCTGTATGTCCTGAATGCGATGTAAAGGACTCCTGATGAGCGTCAGGGACGGGCTCTTGACTATTGGCCGATTTCTCGAATGGCTTTCTGGTAGTTCCTTGATGTGCCAGGGTATGTGTCGCTGAAGATTCTAAATTATCCAGGGCCGTTGTTGAGGCCGAACCTTCTGATTCAATGTTGAGTCGAGTTGTAGTTGCGTTGGCGGGGAGAGACCGGGTAGACGCAGCAGCGATCTTGGTCAATCGAAGAGAGGGATTACGAAAGAGTTTAGTGGTATCGAGAAGAGATGTCGTGGACTCGGCGACAATAGACACCCCGTGTTGGGCGACTTCGATGCTCTCATGAGCGACCTCAGTAACTGGGGCTGCCTTAGATATAGGTGACCAGGACCCCGGATACCAACTCTAGGTAAAAAAAAAAGAACGATTGTTAGCTATTATGGGACAACATATCAGCTTCAACCTTCGTGACCGTCTCGACCTACTGTTCGGCGGTCGTGGCTCTTGGATTCTAAGCGGTCTGGAACGCTATTGTTTGGGGATGTGGGGGAAAGTGATTCCGCACCAGAAGGACTGGGCCTCACCCTCTTACGGGATCCCTTGGGAGTCATGGGAGGGAAGGTAGGACCATCAGGAGTCAGGATGCTATGAGTAACAAAGAAAACATGTAGATTCAGACAAACAGGATAGGAGTTGTGTACGAAGTATGTCTGAGCGTCACTATCCATAGGCCTTATCGCACGTCACATGTTGGGGTCCACGTTCGTTGCCTAGACCCGTCTTTATGCCTTACTGCCTTGTTGCCTCAGGGGAAATATCCACTAAGGCGGTGAGCGATAAGTCGACTTTTTTTTTCCGGCGCCGCTGGGTAAAAAGTATACAGCCTCTATCGTCGTTCTTTACATTTAGCAGCGTTGGTACTTTGAAAAGGCCACTCGTGCGTCAAGATGGCGATTCAGAAGAAGGTATCTACAATACCCTTTTTCCTCTTTGTACGCTCATACTGACAGTTTGAAGCATGGAAAAGGTCGTTTGGATAAATGGTATCGGCTTGCAAAAGAGAAGGGTTACAGGTCTCGTGCCGCCTTTAAGCTGGTCCAATTGAACAAGAAGTACGGCTTCCTAGAGAAGAGTAAGGTTTTGATCGATCTGTGTGCAGCCCCTGGTGTATGTATCTCCTCGCAAGATTTTTCTTCGGAAGAGAAAAAGTAATTTTTTTCTAACAACTGAATAGGGTTGGTGTCAAGTTGCTGCAGAATGCATGCCCAGTCAGAGCATCATTATTGGTGTCGATCTCGATCCTATCAAGCCTATTCCCAAAGTCATTTCGTTCCAAAGTGATATTACTACCGACAAATGTCGTGCTACAATCCGATCCCATCTGAAAAACTGGAAGGCAGATACCGTTCTACACGATGGTGCGCCAAATGTCGGTACTGCATGGATTCAGGATGCTTTCTCTCAGGCAGAGCTAGTGCTGGAATCTTTGAAACTAGCCACAGAGTTTTTGATCGAAGGGGGAAACTTCGTCACAAAGGTTTTCCGTTCTAAGGACTACAACCCTTTGCTATGGGTTTTTAAGCAGCTGTTCACATCAGTTGAAGCGACCAAGCCCCCTTCGTCTCGTAATGTGTCTGCCGAAATCTTCGTCGTCTGTCGGGGATTCAAGGCTCCCAAACATATCGACCCGAAATTCCTCGACCCTCGTCATGTCTTCGCAGAACTTTCAGATCCCACCCCCAATCACGAAGCCAAGGTTTTTAACCCAGAAGTCAAGAAGCGTAAGCGTGACGGTTACGAGGAAGGTGACTACACTCAGCACAAGGAAATTTCAGTCGCTGAATTCATCAATACGATGGATCCTATTGCCATTTTGGGTGGCTACAACAAGCTTAGCTTCTCACAACCACCGGAAGGAGGTGATCTTGCCATGACTGCCTTGGACCGATTGGAAGAAACCACAGAAGAAATTCGAATCTGCTGTCAGGATTTGAAGGTTCTTGGCAAAAGGAATTCCGCAACTTGCTCAAGTGGCGTCTGAAGATGCGAGAGAAGTTCGGCTTGTCCGTGAAGAAGAAGGATGGAGAGAAGAAGGATGGGGAGAAGCAGGAAGCAGGAGAAGAAGTTGCGGAGGTCGAGCCCATGGATGAGGAATTAGCCATCCAGGAGCAGCTCGCGCGGATGCGGGAGAAGGAGACTGCCCGTGGCAAGAAGGAGCGCCGTAAGGAGAATGAAAAGAAGCGCAAGGAGATCGTGCGCATGCAATTGCATATGACCACACCCATGGATATTGGCATGGAACAAATCGGTCCTGGTGGTGTGGACTCGACGTTCTCACTCAGACGGATTGACAAGGCGAATGCCAGAGATGCTGTCGTCAATGCCCGCGACCTTCCTGTCGAGAGTGAAAGTGAAGATGAGTCCGAATCGGATGCAGAGAGTGATGATGATGGTGATCGCTTGGAGCGAGAACTTGATGGTATGTACGAAGTATACCAAGAACAAATGGAGGCCAAGGATTCCAAACTGCGCGCCAAGAAGTCGCGTAAGGATTACGAGGCTGAAGAATGGGAGGGCTTCTCAGACGGTAACAAGAGCGGCGATGAGGAGGAAGGAGAGCCTATGGACTCTGAATCCACCACCGCTGTTGAACCAGAGCCTCCCCGAGAAATCTCAAACAATGCTGCTTTGTTCTTTGACCAAGATATCTTCCAAGATCTAGGCGTCGATGAAGAGGAGGAAGAAGAGGAGGAAGAGGAAGAAGAAGAGGAAGAAGATGATGATGAAGAAGATGATGAAGAAGAAGATGAAGAAGAAGATGCGGAGGATAGTGAGACGGAAGAAGAAGAAACTCCTGTCCTGAAGCAAAAAGGCAAAAAGGAATCCAAGAAACAGGAAACGAAGAAGCAAGAATCAGAATGGGTTGATTCGGATGAGGAATACGAAGAATCTGCAGAGCCTCGCAAGGCTAACGGCCAACTTGGTAAGGTTTTCTATGCTTTCATTGCTGAATATAGTTCATCTTGCTAATATTTACACCAGACATTGATATCATTACCGCTGAAGCTATGGCTCTCGCTCAAGCGATGGCTACTGGTGAAAGGAAGGCAACAGATATCGTCGACGATGGCTTTAATCGCTTTTCATTCCGCGATGTGGATGGTCTTCCAGAATGGTTCCTAGACGATGAGGGCAAACACAGCAAGATTCAGCGACCAATCACCAAGGCCGCAGCCTCAGCAATCAAGGAGAAATGGCGTGCCATTAACGCCCGCCCGATCAAGAAAGTGATGGAGGCCAAGGGTCGCAAGAAGTTCAAGGCTGCTCAAAGACTGGAGAAGCTGCGCAAGAAGTCTGCGCTCCTGGCAGACGACGATGCACTCAGCGAGAAAGACAAATCGCAGGCCATCTCAAGACTTATGAGCAGAGCCACCAAGAAGAAGCCCAAGACAGAGACCAAGCTGGTGGTAGCCCGAGGCACCAACCGTGGTGTGTCTGGTCGTCCCCGTGGTGTCAAGGGCAGATACAAGATTGTGGATGCTCGCATGAAGAAGGATGTCCGGGCGCAAAAGAGACTGGCGAAAAAGAAGAAATAGATGTATTGATATTTACAGATATCTAGGACTCTAGGTAGTTTTTTTTTTCTAGACAAAATCATGGTGATACCCGTACTTGAAGTGAATATGAAGTAGAGAGTTAATGAGTGGTCAGATCAGCCCTGACCGCGACTGTGGATTTTGCCCGAGCGCTTATCGATTGTTCTTTACTTTCTTCTTTCTTTTTCTACTTACCAACTGCATCTATTCGCTCAACCTCATGTATTTCTTGTCCATAAATTAATAATCCCCTTGCATCCTCACATTTCTTGCACATATAGCATTCCTCGCCTACTCTGATGGGCTTTTTCGACCAGTTTCAGAAAGGAGGGGCCACGGCCCTCCCGCCGCAAAAGCCGCAAATTCGCAAAGTCACTCGACAAACACCTGCAAAATCGGCGCCACCAACTCCAGAAGCCCGCTCCCCTCGAGTCCAGTCCTTGTCAGAGCGCAGTCGTAAATCGAAACTGTTAAAGGCCCGATCTGTGTCCAGTGACCTGGATGCTCGTCCCGCCAAGCGGCTGAATACCCCGGTTCGCGCAAAGAAGCGGCCAACTCCAGATACTCGTCTATCCAGTGATGACGATGCCAGCGATACCGATGCATCCTTTGAAGTGCGCAAGCGTGCTAGGACAAGTGCCAGTGCGGAACCTGATCCGGAGCGACGCTTACGCTCCGTGAAGGCATTTTCGGAGGAAGGCTCTCGGCCATTTAAGATGGTACATGGCGCCGATATCACGTCGGGTCAGAAGGCCGGGAAATTCAAGCCAGCATTTGGAGCTCAGGGAAATTCCTCGGATATTCTCTTGCAGTATCCTAGTGCTTCGCAAAAAGAGAAGTAGGTCAACAGTCAGCATGACTTTAAAAATCACTAACCATTTTGCTTTTTGTCTAGGTTCAACTGCGTTGTTCCCCGAGAAAGTGACGAGTTCCGACCTATCGACGACATCGTTCAGGTCATAGAAACCGTGTCGGATAATTACATTCCGGCCGAAGAGGCGGACGAGTTCAACAACGAAGCCACTGGTATCAGACGGCGCGTACGAAGGGCCCTTGCGGTAAAATCGGAAAGCCAATTCCGAGAGGCTGTGAATGACTACAACAAGGCTGTTGAGCGTTTAAGAATCAGTGGTAGTCTTGCGAAACATTTGGATGCTACACAGCGTATTGGGCTACCCTGGGTGGAGCGAGTCTTGACTCAGACATATGCGCGCACGGTATCTCCTCGAGTGGACTCTCTACGGCAGTACGAGAATGGCACAGACAACGTCTACGGAGAACTTCTCCCTCGATTCATCACCAAGATTTTCAAGGAGACCAATCTGAAGTCGGGCCAAGTTTTTGTCGACCTTGGCTCTGGCGTGGGCAACGTTGTCCTCCAGGCCGCACTTGAGGTTGGATGCGAGAGTTGGGGATGTGAGATGATGGCCAACGCATGCGATCTGGCGGAGTTGCAGCAATCTGAGTTCAAGGCGCGATGTCGACTGTGGGGTATCGTTCCGGGCAAGACGCATCTTATTCGCGGTGACTTTCTTGAGCAGAAGAGTATCATCGATGTCCTGAAACGAGCTGACGTGGTGCTCATCAACAACCAGGCGTTTACGCCGCAGCTCAACAATGAGTTGATCAATCACTTCCTTGATATGAAAGAAGGTTGCCAAATCGTTTCGCTCAAGTCATTTGTCCCCGCTGGCCACAAGATCCAGTCTCGCAATCTCAACTCCCCTATCAACCTGCTCAAAGTTCAACAGAAGAACTACTGGTCGAACAACGTCAGCTGGACCGATGTTGGTGGCACATACTTTATTGCCACCAAAGACAGTTCTCGACTCAAAGCCTTCATGGATGACAATTAATGAGCGAGAAGAAAAAAGAAAAAAAAAAAAAAAAAAAACGCGGAAGCAATCAGCCGAAACTTGAAAGATTCAGTTTGGAGGCTTTGGATGTGTTGATCCCTGGTGTGAATGAAAGCTATCCTGGATGATGTATATTCATTTTTTTGAACATATTCCCCCTTTTTACATGTATGATACCATTTTTGACTCATTGAAAGCCTAACTGGCCGTATCCACCATCTGTAGTAAGGATCAATCGCCATTCTCTTTTCGAAGTTGTTCATCAGGTCAAGATGAAAAGACAGCTAGGACGTTACCTAGAAGTGTCCCCTTCCCGGCTCTGCTTTGGGCTTTGGGCTTTGGGGATTTTAAAATTTCGATGCGTCGTTCATGGCGTCAGCTTCTAGTCCCATTCTCGCCATCCATCGATCAACAAGGTCCTGGTTCTCTCGCTGGAACTTGTTTGACTTTTCTTCAGCCATGTTGAGTTGAAGATTCAAAGTTGCCATCTCGTCTTGGAAATCCTGCAAATATAATGATGCATCTATTAGTATCCATTTCTAGAGTATATAGACCCTATTGTAATAGACTCCAGTCATTGCATACCTCTAATAGCTTTGCCTTTCCTCTCAGCTCTTCATCTCTATCCTTGAGACGAAGCTGCAACTGAGCCCTTTGGCTTTCCGAGGAGTTAATTTTCCGTGTATGTTGAATGTTCTGCTTGCGTAGCTTTTCAACCTCTGCTGTTACCCGGTCCAAGCAGCCTTGTAGATCAGAACGAGAACGCTGTGCTTCAGATAGCTCTGTGCGAGCAGTATCCAGGAGCTCGGCCGGCGATAGACCGGTCTCGTAGTGTGGTTGGTTCTTGATTGTTGAAGTTGATGAGGAACTACGCCTAGGCTCCCTGCTGTGTTCTTCTATTGGATTCGCCGCAAGTGTAGCAGTGCGATCTGCGAGGCGGGTATCTGTATTATATGTCAGTTAACAACATAGACCGGCTTCCCTGTATGGATACTAACATGCATCATAAAGCTCAACGCTGGCCTTTTCTTTGCGATCCCGAACCGCCAGCGCTGCTAAATACTCCTCTCTCCAGTGGGACATCGGCCTTCCCCGTGATGATAAAGTGTATGAAGTAAGGATGTTGATAGATTGGTAGTTATCGTTATCTAGCCCCACCGCCCTCCCACCGCCCTCGAGTGCATCATAGGACCTTGCTGCAACCCAACCAACTCCCACCTTTCACCTTCCACTTCACCCCACCAAAAATAGCAGGCTTTGTCTTGAAGCCTTGTTATTAGTTCCAGAATTTCTGCGCAACATCCGTCCTTCCCTTTGTTTCTACAACTGCTACAATGGCCTCGCGCAAGAAAGTTCTTCTCAAGGTACGATCTGCGCACCAGGTCTCGTGTGACTCAAAAAAGGACCTTTGCGTCTGCTCTGTGGTTCGCTAACTCGATAAATAATTCAGGTTATCATTCTTGGTGATAGCGGTGTCGGAAAGACCAGTTTGATGAACCAATATGTACGTCCCGACTATCCTCGGCTTTATATGTGGCGATCGCCGCCCGCATTCGCCGCATCCGAACGTCACTAAATCTTTCTGCTACGAATAGGTGAACAAGAAGTTCAGCGGAAGCTACAAGGCCACCATTGGAGCTGACTTCCTTACCAAGGAAGTGCTCGTAGATGACCGCCTAGTCACGATGCAGGTAAATATAGCCCCCAGGCCCTACAAAGAATGATGTGGGGTCAATAACTAAACGGCCTCCAAACAGATTTGGGATACCGCTGGCCAGGAACGTTTTCAATCATTGGGTGTTGCTTTCTACCGAGGAGCTGATTGCTGTGTTTTGGTCTATGACGTGAATAACTCCAAGAGTTTCGAGGCACTGGACAGCTGGAGGGATGAATTCTTGATCCAGGCCAGCCCCCGTGATCCCGAGAGTTTTCCTTTTGTAAGTGATCACATTATCCTTTCTTGAGATTATCAAATCTTATATTCTTTCTGGAAACAAAGAATATAGAATACTAACCGTGATTAAGGTCGTCCTTGGCAACAAGATCGATGTCGAAGAAAACAAGCGCATGATTTCATCCAAACGTGCTATGACATTCTGCCAGTCTAAAGGTAACATCCCATACTTTGAGACTAGCGCCAAAGAAGCTCTCAATGTTGAGCAGGCATTCGAAGGTGAGATCGACATGGGAACCAAAGCTCTTACTTTTATTGACATGTGTTTTCAGTTATTGCCCGCAGTGCTCTCGCTCAGGAGGAAGCTGAGGAGTTCAATGGTGAATTCAGCGACCCGATCAACATCCATCTGGATAATGAACGTGATGGATGTGCTTGTTAATGACCCTCCCGAATACTTATGACGTTTCAGCGACAAATCTCGTTCCCCTTGTTTCCCTATGTTTACATACTTTTTCCTGCTACTTCCTCATGTACTCTGATATTTTTTGCTTGTACGGAGTAGAGAAGGCCAGAATCGCTCTTTTGGACTTCTCTGTCTATGTAGATGTTCTCGGGCTCCATTGCCGAATCCGTTAATTTGTGGTCCGCTCCTTTCGTATCTTGTTGATAACCAGTGTGTTATTTTTGGTTTTCTGCAATGTTAGGTCTTTTGAGTGCGACATTGTCATTCAAAGGTTGTTCATAGGTAAATGGAAAGTGATAAAAGAAAATAGAATGGTATATATCTTCTTTTTCTTCTATATCCCCTTTTTTTGTCTCGAACCCACCTGGGGCATTAGATGGCCGAGGAGCTTATTCGCGCCTCAGAGTTGGAGTACAACATCCAGCGCGACTACATATACAAGACAACATGTTGATCGTAAGTCTTGAAGGACTCGGGGCACTCCATTTGAGCGATAATGTGTGACTCGAGCAAATTTGGTGGCAGGCGACCTCCGGAGTCCTTCGCGGTATAACTTCCGAATCTTTCAAGATTCCAAAATTAGAAGTTCTTTGCTTAGCTGCCCAGGTGTCCTCCTGAGCTCTCTGTTCTTCATTGCATCGCATCCAGGGCCTCACAGGAGACTGCAACCTTAGAAAAGGTCTCATTTAAAACTCCCATGGGTTTTCCTTGCGCCTTAACGCTTGGTCTTAGCCACTATAAAACCAGCAAAACTACCCACTCCAGTATTTCCCAGTTGAAATCTTAGGAGAGATCCTTAACATCGATAACCGACTCCCGATATTTACAATGTTCCTTTCCGATGTTTAACAAAACCAATATTTAGGTATCACCCGAGATATTTGAAGCACTCCCAAATACCGGTCCATGACCGAATAAGACTGGGACCATTCATGGTACGAATGCAGCAAATATACTACAGGCTATGGAGGCTGATTTGAGCACTCTGTCGCTCCTATGACCAAGACTATCGAGGATAACTGACAGGACCCAGGATAACACCCTAAAGCGCCCAAAAGGAACAATATTGAAGGACATGACGAACTTGGACGTTTCCAGTTACTTCCGGATAAACCTAACTTGACCCAATATCAAGGTACATTCTCCATTTTGTACTATATCAACTGTGGAATGTCAAAGTGGTAGTGTGTGGGCACCTGTTTTGATATCCTCTAGCCTTTCGTCTCCAACGGAATAAGAAGGCATATCCTTGTACTTCACATAACTACCGTTCATGTCAAATGATGTCTTCATCTGGTGTGTAACTACCAAACATGTACAGGGGCTCAAATGGGCACATAGTGAATGAATGACTGCTTTTAGTGCGGGCTTTCGATGCAGCAGGAGATCATATACCTAGCTTGTAGTACTTGGGATTCTTTCATGGTGTGACCAGGATCAATTACCTACCTACCTAGGTAGGTAAGATGCTCACTGTCGGGATATAACAGCCCTACCTAGGTACAGGGGCCCCTGTATATATGGATTCAAGTAGAAGTTTTACTGTCATCAGAATTAGGACGGGAGGCTAGAGGAGCTTTCATTTTTTGTACATAGGTATTTTACCCAAATAGTTTCCCTGCCCTCTTGATACCTAGATATATAAAGCAACAATGAATGATCAGAGATCAACAATATTGTTCGCCTATTTTTCACAGCCTGGTTGTTGAAGGGGAATCACGGTATAAACTTCGAAAGAGAGCAAAAATTAATAGTACTCTTAGACCGATTAATGAAAATTTAATATGTTTTATCTGAAGGACATTGAAAAGTGTTGAAGTAGAGCAGACTCCACTTATCCATTTCAATTGCGACTTCGGCAATGAAAATGATAGGACGTTCTTATCGCCAATCTTTTCACAATTCGTTACTCCTGCTGAGAAGCAGAGTGACCTAGTTGGGCATCTTACTGTTGTATTTTATTTATCGCATGAATTTTGACTTATCTCTAACAGCATATTACTCCGAACTCCCTCCTCACTGAGTTCTCCCATCTAGCGCATCCGGTCTCCGATCCTCGATCGCATACATCCCCCACACCCCTACGGTCATGGCTCCAGCCTCAGGTCCGCCTGTCACAAGACTTGGATTTGCCAGACGGACACTAGGCATAGTGCTGCTCTCAATTGTGGTCGTTCTATGGACAGCCTCGAATTTTCTAGGAAGCGTAGGGCTGCCCTTTCATTCCCCGATTCTATTTTCGATCCCATTCCCCACCGCTACTCGAAGGCGACATTGCGCAAAATGGTTATTCATTATTCTTAACATTTACTCTTGCTAGACCATCTTCGCCGATAATACCTACCCGAAGCCTTTCTTCGTAGTTTACCTCAACACATCTCTCTTCCTCTTGCCTCTTTTCACTATCCTTCTGAGCAGGGTATGGCGTCTCTGGCGCGCCGATAAGCTGTCGCAGGTCACTTCGCTTCGAACCCTGCTGCTACATCTAGATAGGGATATTCCAGAAGATGAAGAGCAGAGCATATTGCGCAGCGACTCTTTCGATACTACGTATGGCGGTGAAGTTGGCCGTGAACATGCTCGCGTGGACGACGCGCATGCAAAGTTGGGGTTGAGGGAGACAGCGAAGCTCAGTTTCGAATTCTGCCTTCTCTGGGTATGTACCGTTATGTTTCAAGGCTGTAACGTAAGCTAACTTATTTGCAGTTTATTGTACGTGATATACATAGAGTGGTTTGGAGATTATGTCTAACATTCCCTGACAGGCAAATTACTTCGCTATGGCTTGTCTTCAGTTTACCACCGTGTCTAGTACAACCATTCTGACATCTACTAGTGGTAGGACTGATAACTGGGTTTCTAGCTATGAAAATTCACTAATGACCCTATCTAGGAGTCTGGACATTAATATTCGGCGCAATGATTCAAGTTGAGAAAATCACACTGCGCAAGAGTCTAGGGGTCTTCGCCTCTCTGATCGGTATCATCCTGATCTCACGCGTGGATCTCTCAGGACCAGACGAGACCCCGGTCGCAGGCCGTGGCGAAGGATCATTCCCGCACAAATCTGCCGGCGAGATCGCTCTCGGTGACGCCATGGCAGCATTTAGTGCCCTGCTGTACGGTGTCTACACGATAGTGATGAAAAAGCAAGCAGGCGATGAATCACGAGTGAATATGCAACTATTCTTCGGTCTAGTGGGGCTCTTCAACGTTGTACTGTTGTGGCCTGGATTCATCATTCTACATTACACTGGAATTGAAACGTTCGAGCTTCCTAGCACGAGCCGGGTTTGGATGATTATTCTGGTATGTTCACACTCAGCTTTTTCTTTCGGGTTACTTCGCTGACGTTTCTGTAGGTCAACTCGCTCTCCTCATTTGTCTCGGATGTCGCTTGGGCATACGCTATGCTTCTGACCACTCCTCTCGTCGTGACAGTTGGTCTTAGTATGACTATTCCGCTCTCGTTGGTTGGCCAGATTTTCCTGCAGGGACAGTATGCGCCTGTGCTCTACTGGCTGGGTGCGGCCATCGTGTTCCTGTCTTTCATGATCGTAAATCATGAAAGTAAGTTGCAGGATGAGGTTACCGTTGTTCCTAGGCATCCGAGGCCCTCATCTGGAGAGTATGAAAGCATTCCAAGCGAGGAGATATAGTGATCATCTTTGGTCATCGAGCATATTAATATTTTTCTTTCCTTGATCATGGGTTTTATTACAACTTGGGCGTTCAAGAGTTATAAACAATAGACAATGATATTATTCAATCATACTCAATCAAGTGCTATGAGAGGAATGGATGTGATATTAATACTACTTAATTTCAGACGCGTCGAAAGGACAAAAAACGCTCGAGATTAACAAAAGTGCACACAGAATGTTGATTAAAATAACTAATTCGATGCCCTTGAAGACTGCTCACTGGGCAGATGAGACGCCACTGACAAAACATGGGTATAGAGTTAAAAAAAAAGGAAAGGTAAAACGAGAGAGGTTAAAGCTGGAAGGTGAATATGTAAGAGAAAGTGTGGAAGTAAGATTGCCGGGTCGAAATCCGGACAATATGGGTAAGTTGGAAATTAGTTATCAAGTAGCTGTCGCTGCCGCTGTCACAGATGAAATTTCAAGCTTCTTGCGAGCAACAATAATACTCTTCAAGGAGCCTAACCATCTGGCCAAGCTTTCTTCATCTGGAGCGCAAAGTCGATAAGTCTTCTCCACGACGATGATCTGCAAACAGAGAGTCTTAGACCGTGACATGGGATCCACCTCGGCGGCATCGATCACCTGAGACATGGAGATAATTTTGACAGCCGAGTACTCCTGGTCATCCTTGTAAAAGGCCAAGCTCTTAGGCCGCAGTACGACCCACAGCCGCTTCCATTGCCGAACAGTTCCTTTGATGCGCAGCCCCTGCAGGTATCCTTGGCAGATGACCCGCTCCGGATCGCGGAGAATAGTTAGGTCAGGCCGACCTGCGTCTCGAGGTGGGGAAGCGGGTTTGTCCTCTGGGGCGGAAATAGACAATGCGTGAATGGAGGGCATGGAGCGCAATCGACTGTTTTTGCGTGGAGTGGGGCCATCTGAGAGCTCCGAATACGACGTCATGTCGTTTCCCGAGTAATCCTGGGTGTAAGGGGTGGTGTGGCTGCGGGATGTGGATGGAAGGCTGCGGCCAGGCTCGGGGGAGCTGGCGCGACCGGCAAGATCAAAATCGGAGTGGTCGGTGGTGTCTTCAACGAGCTGTTTTTGAATGGCAGGGGCTCTTCTCTTCTCAGCTAAAAAGGCAGGCTCATCCTCGTCAGAAGGACTCTCGGCGTGGATGCGACTGATCCAATCCTCAGCATCGCGTTCCGACATGGCTTCGAAGCGGTAGTTCTTCGAAGGGGTGAATACACCAAAGACATGTTGGCGGTGAGAGCGTTGCGATCTGACCGGGGCGACGGCGGTCACATCCGAGAGGTTGATGGAAACTCGAAGGCGTGTAGTATCTTCATCTTTGTAGACGGAGAGAAGATTTGGACGGAGCACGAGGTAGGCAGATTTCCACGAAGCTCTGAATACATGCTTGTGTTTGACACGCCGGTACACCTTTCCGGTCTTAAGTACACGGTCGAAAGCGAAGCTTCCATTCTCGTTCACAGGAGAGAAAGTATCAAGATTGACTTGACCATTACGAGATGCAGAGAATGGATGAAGTGAGGGTCGTTCTGGTAGTTGAATTTGGGGGGTAGACTTGTTAGCCCCGTCGAAGAAAGGGCGAGCGATCACTGAATTCATTGTGGCGAATATGGATCAAGAAGATGAAGGGAATAATTTAAAAAGTCTCATGAAAAGGGGCAAGACCCCGCGTGAACTCTATCATATCGGTTGCCGATAGATGAAGACGGATGATCAATTAATAAAGATGAGGTCTAGGGCGAAACAGATGACGAGGTCACGATTACTTATCAGTTCCCAGTTCCCTTAGTATCCGATCACTCGTATATTATCCACAACTATAACTATACCTAACAAGTACAGAAACCAGGCAATAGGATTAATATTTAATGTTAGTTTACTTCGTGAGTCGGCTACGTACTTAAGTATAAAAAAAATCATTTTTTTTTTCTTCTACAGAAGGTGCGTAAATGGGCAATAAATCAACAACAGCAAGGGTCCAGACCCCCTTTTTAGGCCACATTGCACATCAAGTGGAGTCGGGAAATAATTGCACGGATAACTGTCTCTACATGTATATTTACTCCGGACTCCTTTATTGCTTGATAGTAGACTATGGCTGTTATGGGCAAAGGTAACTAGTCACAACTAGCTTGAGTATTTAGTCAGCATTCTAGTACTGACCTCATCTACTGCCTCTTTTAATCTAACTAGCGAGAGTCATGATCATCATCTGTCGACGCCGGTTATATCGGAACTTAAATTTAGTAGAAGTTTGCAGAAGTGGTGGAGTAGATCAAATTGATCTTCAAGATATAAGATCATCCTATCATCTTGTTACTATATTAGTACTTAGACCTAGCATGGAGCACGAAGTCCGAGTATACGAAGTATAGGTATCACTACACTACGCAGGGGAGTAGACCAATTAACTTAATTAGGTAACCCCCAGATTTCAAATCGACCAACCCAGGAACATCCATGGATACCTAGGTATGTGGTCTGTTGTGAAAAACATCCATCTTCGATCTAAAGGCCATATCTACTATTCATTCTTTATATATTTCATTCAAGCCAAGAAAAAGAAAAGAGAAAAAAAAAAACAAGCTTCAGTAATAGATTACCAAAACCATACACATCAAGTCGCAAAATCATACAGTATCAGGGGTAAATAACGGTTTCGGGGTGACACGAGCTGGCCAGCCAGAGGCCACAACGTTTGCGCCTCCTGGTCTTGGCAGACCTTCTCAAATCATCCCCATCCCCGACTTTCCCATCTCTTTCTCTTTTACCCCTTCTCTCTTCAATCCACTTTCCCCCTATTTCTTCCTATGTCCATTCAGTTCTCTGATCCTCATTGTTGAGGTCGTCTGTATTTCTGACCTCCCTCCTTCCCAATCTGTTTCTGGCGAAGGACAGTTGGGGGAATAGGAAAGGAGGCATTCCTCCGGCCATTCGTTATTCTGTCACTCTGAGGGATAGAGACATATGATCGTGTGACCCCTCCTCCCACATAATCATTCTCCGAACTACTTGGTGCCCGCTCACCCGTACGACTGGGGTACCTCAAAAAATAAACTGGCCTCGTGCCGCCGCTCTTGATCTGTCTACCGCGGGGGCTTCCACGCGTGTCCGATAATCGCATCTATGAGCTTCATTCAACGTCTCACAAAAAGGTTGCCTAGTGCGCCGAGCCTCCCTCTTGACGATGACTCTCGCGAAAAGGGTCGCTCGCCCTCCCGATTCGCCTTCTTCCGTCGTCGCATCAGATTGAAGGGCAACTCCTCTATTTCTATACCCCTGGGGTTTGTCTTACTATTTCCATGTCTTGTAATTGTCTTCATTCTATTTCTTTTCGTCCGACATCCCGCGTCTCCTGGAGGGATCTTAATACCAGCGGGTACTCCACCCTCCATTCGGTTCGTCTCCATCCCCTAAATCCCTACCTACGTGTATTAAACTAACTTCGCGCCTTGAAATCTAAAGCAAAATCAGTGAAAAGCACGACAAGGTCTTCGCCACGGGCTGTATGCCCATCATTCCTACTCCCCCCAATGAGAAGGCCAACGCGGCCTTCGTTGTCCTCGCGAGAAACAAGGAGCTGGATGGTGTGATTCAATCACTCAAGTCTATTGAGCGCCACTTCAACCGCTGGTACCACTATCCATATGTTTTCTTGAACGATGGCGACTTTGACGATGACTTCAAGGCCACTGTGAAGAACTATACCAGTGCTCCCGTGGAATTCGGAAAGATCGATAATGCCATGTGGGGTTACCCTGACTGGGTTGACCCCGAGGTCGCCAAGGAAGGTGTCCGAAAGCAAGGTGATGCTGCCATCATGTACGGCGGCATGGAAAGTTATCACCACATGTGCCGATTCTACTCGGGGTGAGTTTGGCTGGCATGATGATTTTTGCGTGCAATGCTAACATATTTAACCCAGTCACTTCTACAAGCACCCTCTCCTGATGAAGTACGAGTGGTACTGGCGTTTGGAGCCCGAGATCAAGTACTTCTGTGATATCACATAGTACGTATCCCCCGTATACATTCTCTGGGTTTCATTTTTTACTCACATGCAATAGTGATCCTTTCCTTAAGATGATTGAAGCGAACAAGACGTACGGTTTTACCATTGCAGTCAAAGAACTCCGTGAAACTGTTCCCAACATCTTCCGGTATGCATCAGCCTACATGCGCAAGAACAATCTCAAGTCCAGGGGCTTGTGGGAGATGTTCTTGGAACGCCCAGTGGAGCCCGAGGTTCCAGTTGAGGAAGAGAAGAAGGAAGAAAAGCTGCCGGAGGAGATCTTGATGTCCGACCCTGCAAACAATAACCTCGCTGATGTTGATCCCGAGGCCATGGAAGGCGAGAGCTACAACATGTGTCATTTCTGGAGTAACTTCGAGATTGCACGCTTGGATTGGTTCCGAAGCAAGGCATACGAGGATTTCTTTCAGATGATGGATCGTAGTGGTGGTTTCTGGATGGAACGGGTGAGATCTTTCCTTAATTTTGAAGAAATTATATCTAACCATTATCTAGTGGGGTGACGCTCCTATCCATTCTTTGGCCGCTGGTGCACTCCTTGCACCAAGTGACATCCACTACTTCCGTGACTTTGGTTACCGACACACCACCATTCAACATTGCCCAGCCAATGCGCCGGCTCGCCAACTTCCCCGCGAGCCTTACCTTGAGATGACCACCGATGACGAGAAGAAGCGTATCGAAGAAGACGAGTATTGGGCTACCCCTGATCCTGTCAAGGAGAATGGCGTGGGCTGCCGATGCCGATGTGACACCGATATCGTGGATGTAGAGGGCAAGCAAGGTAGTTGTCTGTCCGAATGGGTCGAGGTGGCTGGCGGTTGGGCCTCACCATAAAACCTTGAATTACCCAAGTAGTCGTTCCTGGCATCGTTTATCATTATTTACTTGTCCATCTTCAGCCATGGGCATCATTCGGGCTTCTCCTCGTGGATGCTTTCTCTGCTGAAATTTGCATGATATGTTGGCCGGGTTTTTGGGCGGCGTTCAACGAGTCTGACGGCTTTTCTTTTTTAATTGGAAGATGGTTTGATTATTTCCATCATCCATTTGACATATTCATCTAGCGTGCTGTTCACTTGACTGGGATCGACTGTGTGTGTGTGTGTGTGTGTACTATGTTCTTTCGTCTGGGGGTTATGACTACTGATTTTATAGGATTCTGCCCTACTTTGGTATATGTGCCCGGTATTGGCGATCCTGTCTTTAGTACCTTCTTATGCCCCCTCAAAAGTCGTCAAGAATGCCAGAACATCCCAGTTGTGTGGACATGATGGTTTGAGTGATGAAGAGACATTCACTGGTGTTATGTGGTGTGATGCTGGGAAATAACGATGGACCAATTCCTGCTATGTGTTTTTATCGTCTTTTTTACTCTTTTTTTTATGCCCCTTGTCATCACCACCTAGGTATGTGGTCTTGTCTCTCCGAATTTCTCAGTTTCCCCCCAGTTATTTACACTCAGTGATTCGTCTTTCCAGCATTCATGAAATGTAAATACCTTGTTCTTTTTCTTCCTTTTCTCCCCTCAATCACCCTAAGCCCTTCACCCCTTTCGCATTGCCTTGAAATCTCGCAAATATCACGAGCTTGGCTGTTTATAGAGTATGGAATAATAGGCGAATTACGCGAAGAATGAGATCACTTTAATGTTTTTCTTATCTTGTCCTTCCCACTGCACTGAGCTGAGTATATATACCTGAGCGTACTACATGAGATTGGCCTGTGGCTCATGCATAATATGCGCTGAGCATAGACGAACCTGACCTCTGCGAGAGAACAGGTGGAATTGCTCAAGACTCCAGAGAGCTTTTTACTTTGATACACGGGCGATGAACCTGGCGGTCAAGGGGACGCACTGAACACCACGCGGATCACGTATGATCTGATCAAGTCCTTAGACCCGTGACATCATGTTTCTTTGGGTCTGAACTGTTACAACTTCTACTACGATGAGTACTCCGGGGCGGATATAGGTCTTTCAGGTGTCTACCCCATCACTGTCAACACGAGTTGGCCGGTTGTTTACGACACAGTCTGTAACACGACCTACGGCTGCTGTAAATGAGATGACTATGAGAGCATTTTAGAAGATAAATCCGTGCGATTAGACCTTTTTGCGGAGTACCAGTCGTGGGTTAGAGATAGCCAAGCCATTCTGGGGTGTTCTTATGGCTTTTGGCAACTAGTCTTACTGGACTTGATACCCCACTGCGCTGGGGAAGTCAATGGGGCAATGCTTACTTTGAATCATAACGCCAATGGTATTGTGATGTGGGATTATCCGTCAGATACAGAGCTGGAGAAGGTGACGAATGAGTTCAGTCGGGCCCTTGCCGGTGAGAAGATTGTACGGCGTACTTTGAGAACTCTAACTGTTGTATTTGAAGCATCAATTTCGAAGATATATGTGGCTGGGTGGAGGTTTGGAGATCGTATGCTTGTCAGCATTCTGTCACTTCAAGTTCCGTCCTCGTCTGCGCAGGTGACTGTTTCATTGCGGGAGGGGGCTCGTGGTATGAGTAAAGTTCTTTGGGGGACTGGGGAGTGGAATTTGGGTTATTCTTGTCTGGTCAACGATGGTAGACATGCTTTGGAGACCGATTTGGAGATTATTGGGGTTTGCAGTAACAATGAAGCTATGGTGGTAGTTCATCCCTCGTCTGTGGAGATACAATGGATAACGGAGATCGGTGGGGCATAGTGGAGTCGGACCGTCTTATCAGTCAATGTTGTTTGGTATGGGGAAGAGAAGTGGAGTGTAAGTGAAAGAATACGGAGTACAACAAAGGGGAAAAGGAAAGGGGAATTTAAGTCATAGTAAGGGAAGTCACTGGATGAAGAAGGGAGTCTTTCAACCTTGGATGTACTCCGTACTACCCTTCGAACCCCGCCAACTCCCGGTCTTATCGCTTTATCCAAACATCACGCCTTCCCTTCAAAAGCTTCTCCTCTTTTTATTATTTTCTATTCTCTAACCCAACCTATTCGACTCATAGCCCTTTCACTTTAATACTCTACAATACCTCATCTCACGTGGCACTTACTGCCTTTGAGTCAGATCTTGAGATAAGGCAACCCCCCCCCGCGGACCCACTAGGGGCACATGTCTACCTACCCCCAACTTGTATGTTCACTTCTCTCTCCTTTTGCTATTCTCTTTATAACTCACCCTATATGCCTACTCAAAAGATATGTCTGACACTTCAGCATCACCCAGGCGCTTAAACGCCCGTAGCGTCCAAAACGCCCATATCGCCCACCTGCAATATCCAACTCTGCCACCCTTGACGGCTTCTGTTGAGGAGTGGTTATCTCGATCACGGCCTGCAGACAACATGACTTCAGATAATATTACCGACTCGCAACCCAAATCCTTGAGTGATAGCTGGGCTGAGTTGAGCGTCTCGGACTTCCATTCAGAAGATGGAAGTCGCTCTGAACCGACCGATGCGGGGTCCATTATTGACCAAGCCACCCCCGATGATGTGGCCAGCCTCGATGGCCGATCCACCAGTAGCGAAGTCGATGGAATAGAAGTGGAGGAAGACCAAGGACAAGATGGCGAGAACCAGGAAAATAATGAGAGTGAGGATGACGAGAGCGAGAGCGAGCAAGATGACGGGCATGACAATGACCAAGATGATAACCAAAGCTTGGCCGAGTCTCATCGTTTTGCTTTGCACTACCACAAAACTCCTTCTGGATCTGGCATCGAAGACAGCAACCTTACTACACGAACAGCTTTCCGTCAGTCGGTCGATTCCATCGAGTTCGTCGAGCCGGACAAATGGCCGGAGATGGAGCGAGTTGAGCTCAAGCATACCATTCGTATCTTCCAGGATGCAGAACTCGCAGACATGAAGGTCCCGCAGTCATTTGACTCGGCCCATTCAATCCTCACGGCTACTGTCCAGCAAACGATGGCAAAGACTGGCATGGAATTGGATAAGCCCTTCCGGGTGCTGTATATCGGCCGACCAGAGTTTCGGAATATCATCCTGGACAAGATAGGTGATGTTTTGGTGTCCAACTCATCCGCCGGGTCTCCGACAAGCTCTGCAGAATCTTCACGCTATCATGTCGTGCCCACCTCATTTGGAGCTGGTGCTGTGCCAAATTTCGCGGAGCTTCTCCCAATTCACGTTCAACTAGTGGTGGACGAATGTGTGGTGGCTACTGCAAAATCCACAGACCAGCATAGTCCAGTGTCGTTGACATTCAAGAACCGCCCATCTTGCAGGTCCTGGTGGGATGGAGAAAATTATCGTGTCTCCTCCGTTACCGATTGGACTCTGCCTGATATGGCGATTATCTTCGTTTCTAACAACGATGACGTCGCTGCCATACAAACCCAGCGCCTCACCCATAATTTCTTGGATCGACATGGAATCCCAGCAATGGTGATATCAGAGGAACCGCTTTGGAATAACAAACCTCGAAATATCCCCCTTAATCATAACAGCCTTCACATGTGCTTGGAGTCTCGCCACCACCAAACTGGAGAGATCTCAGTTCTTCAACGTTACCCAATAGATCTGAAAACATTCGAGAGCATCGCCCCCGATCAACTTAATCGTAACTTGGCTTCGCTCATGGGTCTTTATCCCAAGAAGGCTGTCAAGATCACCACGGATTCTCCAAAGTCACTTGACTCTTGGACATTCGCCGACCTCGAGAAGTATTCACGCAGCTGGATTCTTCCATACGTTTCCTGCGCCCCCAAATGGGGTAATTTGTTAAGCCTGTTGACACTGACCCTCATTTCAGCCATTGCACTCTCCATCGGATACACAGCTTTCAACTATGTAGCTATCTTTCTCTCGCAGTTCTTGGCCGAATCCGCCTTGTCACGCGCCATTTCTCCAACAACCACCCCAATTTTTTCGACTAGCGCTCTAAATGTGGATTATGAAAGACAATCCTCCCTCATCCTGCGACCCTCGGGCCATCTCCAAGATCTAAAAGACTTGTCCTCCGACTGCCTCAATGATCGGTTCGCTGGGCTTGACCTTGAACTCTCCAAAACACCAGATAGTTTTGAAATTAAAACTCTCGGGGACTGCCACGTGATTATCAGGACACCGCGCAATCTTGCATCTTCTCGCAAGCAACCACCTTTCAATGTGAGCGTTTATCGTGGGGAGAGAATGCTAGACTACCAGTTGTCATGGCTTTTAGATGGCGTTTACACCCTTGTACTGGCCCGTGAGGATGCTTGGGGATTGGTCAACTTGACGATCACTGCGAAATCCAAGTCTATGAGCCCTCAAACCACAGTACTTGACTTTGGAATCCCATGGCTCAAGGCTGCAAATTGGAGACGAGCAGCGCTGTTGATCTCTTCCCAAATCACACATGATTTGCAAGATGCCCACACCGGCCTGACTGAAGTTTACGGCCGACTCACCACGGATCTACAAGTGATCATGGGGGATGTGGTCAAGGCATATCATGATCTCCGTTTTCGACAGGAGACTCAAGAGCCAAGCATATTGGCCCAGTCGAAGCAGCTGAGTGAGGCGATCACCCACAATGCCATCCAACAGGTCCGCAGTGCGGTCTTCGTTCTGCACAAGCGCTCTGTCAAGGTCAATGAAGAGGCTAGGGAACTAATTAGCTATACCTGGCATCGTCTCAGCAAATCGGCAAAGATCGATCCCCACTCCGTAATGGATCGAGTTCATGAGGTAAAAAGGGCCACGCTAGGTCGGGCTCAGACTCGCGCACGATACATTGTGGGGCGGGGCTAAATCTCCGAACCTCTCCTTAATGGGCTAGAATCTTAATCTTCCTCTTCTTGGAATCTTCCAACTTGCTGATATTTTCTGCTTTTTTTTTTGCTTTTGAGAGGATGTTTACGGCGATCGGGGGTTTAGGTGGAAATGGAGTATTTTAAGATCACATTCAGTGTGGCACAATGCATTGCTTTATCAAATTCAACTTGCTGGTAAATCCAGACTCTGCTTAAGCTATGAATATGACTAGAAGTCCTATGATTTGCTGTATGTTTGTAGATGTTGACCCCGCGTTGGTCCAACAACAAGGCGCGTTTGGCTCGCAAAAGCGGTGGCAAAATTCCTGGTGTGCCCGCCTAAACTACTAATAATTTTTCCCCCCCCTCATTGTCGCTCCCTGATCAACAAACCACAAACTTAAGTTCTACTTTGATTCTTAGATTTTTTTCTTGTCTTTGAATCTCCCGACCATATTTCTCTTCTTATTTTAAACAACTCTCCATTCCTTATTCACTATGTCGGAGATCAAGTCCGACCCCACCGCAGCTCCTGAGGCTCAACAGCCCGAGGTTACCGGCGAGAAGACCGTGACTGAGACTGTCAAGGATACCGCTACTGAGGCTGTTGAGACTGCCAAGGATACTGCCGTGAAGACTACCGACAGTGTGTTCTCCATGTTCGGCGGTGGCCCCAAGAAGGAGAAGAAGGAGGAGGCCGAGGAGGGTGACGTTGAGCCATCTGGCTCCGCCAAGGCCCAGAAGGCCGCTGCTGCTGAGGAGGTGAGTTTGATGTCCTCTTCAAACATTTTTGACTCGCTTGCGCTCTGCTTTGTTTTTGATGATACGAGCATGGAGGGAGGTGGCCCTCGCTTTCCCCGCGTTTTGTGTGGTCGTACCATCACAGCTTTTGTTTCTATCATTTCCATTTCATCCTGAATATCTGCTAATATGATTCTTTTTGATCGAAAAGGATGAGGCCCCTGAGTCTATCGACGTCCACTTCGAGCCCGTTATCCGTCTTACTGAGAAGGTTGAGACCAAGACCAACGAGGAGCTCGAGGAGCAGTCCTTCAAGATGCGCGCCAAGCTCTTCAAGTTCGACCGCGACACCAAGGAGTGGAAGGAGCGTGGTACTGGTGATGTCCGTCTGCTCAAGCACAAGGAGAACCACAAAACTCGCCTGGTCATGCGTCGGGATAAGACCCTCAAGGTCTGCGCCAACCACTACAGTGAGTTATCTACCGTCATATTTTGAAGGGAATCAATTTACTGATCTATTTACGCAGTCGTCCCCGACATGAAGTTGAGCCCCAACGTTGGCAGTGACCGCAGCTGGGTCTGGAACGCCGCGGCCGATGTCAGTGAGGGTGAGCCCGAGGCTCAGACCCTGGCCATCCGCTTCGCCAACAGCGAGAGTGAGTTGTAGATCGAGATTTTGATGTCGTTGATGTATTGTCTTATACTAACGGATGTCCATAGACGCCAACCTTTTCAAGGAGGCCTTCGAGAAAGCTCAGGGCGAGAACGAGAAGCTCTTCACCGCTGGCGCCGCCGCCGCTCCCGCCGCCAGCGAGTAAATCAATGCTTGCTGTTCTCCCAATTCCCCAATTCATAGCCCTCTTTCCTTAACGGGTTGATACACAGCCTGTTTTGCTCTGTGGACCACGATCCCTCTTTCGAACTCCAAGTCCCCTAGCTTTCCAAATAAATCATTTCATCCCCAATTCCCATAACCCTTTTTTCGCTTCCTTTTCAGCTTCCTTTCTCAAATTTCCCCCTAAGACTGGACGAGCGAGGCAGCATGATTTAGATGCTGGTCGCATATTCATGATGCAATTTATGAAATGGAGGACGCATTCCCATGTCTTTTTTTTTTGGTCCAGTCCGCAGTAGATAGACATTTTCCCATCAAATGAATATACACCCTGCCCAACAGCGTTTCCAGTAGGATCCTGTAGAAGTTGATGGTTGCCACGAACTTTTGAAGTTTTGAAGTTGACAATGCAAAGAAGAGAAAGGAAATTGAAGTTAAACAAAACAACAAATGAATGCATACAAACTGAGAGCATTAACTATACTATTTCAGCTTCCCATGAGTTTGCGTTCTAGAAATTTCGAAGTACTCAAGCGCGCGCAGTGCGGGCAATAGGCGGTCATTCGCGGTTCTGCTCATTCCTCCCCACTTGCTTGATTCTGCCCCTTCACCATTATTAGGAAGAGTGTGTTCTGTCTTCCTTCTCTCACAGATTATCGCAATAACGAGTTCCCACGTCCACACTTAACCCTACTCAGCACCCGGACCTACATAACCCCACCTTCCTTTATTTCCATTCTTCTTTTTGCGACACCCCTTCCACCTAAATCATCAACCGCTAGATATCAGCACTTCTGCTCAAGATGCCTGATGTAGGTTAACTCCCTGAAGACATTCTGCTTAGCTCAGATTGAATGCGATCTACATGTGATTCTGTGCGGATGCTTCAGATCTTCCAGTTTTCGAAAATGAACTGGGAGCTCTTTCGCCACTAACCTCATGTGTTCCACACGCGACTGGGAATTATTGTTTCAGATCACTAACTTCGTGTTTCTACCACAGGTCAAGCGCACTATTCGTCTCGTTACTGAGCAACACATCATGTATGTTCTTTTCTCGCTTTGTCAGGTTCTGCCCAGATCACCTCCCAAGTCACATCACAAACTCCGCGCGCAATTGAAGCTTTGATTTTGATCTTCCTTGCGCGATTCCTCTACATCCCATCACCTCGACCATATGCGCTCATTGGGGCTTTGCGCGCACGTACAACCTGAACTTCCAGACCTCCCACATCTTCACTCCCATGATATGGGCAGATCCACGAACTGATTTTGACGTTTTTCTCTTATTCCAGTGACAAGCCTTCCGATGTTGAGGGTTTCCCTCTTCGCTCATGGTCAATTGAGATTTACGTCGTCAATGAGCGCGGCGCTGATGTCCCTGCCACTCTTTTCGACAGCGTCACTTACCACCTGCACCCCAGCTTCGGTTCGCGTGCCACCCAGGGTCAGTGCTTCCTCAGTATATATGAATCTTGGAAGGGCAATTAACTTACTGAAATTGGACTACAGTTGTCAAGAATCCTCCTTTCCGTATCCAGGAGGAAGGATGGGGCGAGTTTGACATGCGCATCGAGTTCAACACACCTGACAAGCCCCATACCATTAACCACGATCTGAACTTCCAAGTTGAGCGTTACGAATCTAAGCACGTTATTGTATGTTGAACGGCCGTCCTGTTTCGTTGCCACGAGCTAATTAACCTTCGCTCTTGTTCAGACTTTCAAGAACCCTAAAGGCGCGTTCCTCAATGCCTTGCGTGAGACTGGACCCGTTGGTGACGAGAATGGTGCCAAAGCTAAGCGTTCCGGAGGCGACGAGGGCGTCGTCAAGAAGAAGAAGAAGCCCGGCTTCTCTGCTACCGTGAGATTTTCCCATCATGACAAGGTGTGGATATATAGATACTGACAGTTCACAGCTCGATATGGACAAACTGGCTGACGGTCTTATGAAACTCAACGAGGACGATCTTCTGCAGGTTGTCCAGATGGTACATGACAACAAGACACCCGAGTCTTACACCAAGAATGATTTGGAGCGTAGGTGGCCAGCCCTTTACTCGCAACTTTATGCTAACCCCACGCAAACAGTCGGTGAATTTCACGTTGATCTCTACACTCTTCCGGATAGTCTGCTTAAGATGCTCTGGGACTTTGCCGAGTCCCGCCATACCATTTGAAGGAGTAGTACTGATCTGAACGATTCATCCAAGCGATTTCCTTTTTATTTTCTTATCTCTCTTCCGTCTGATTTCTTGCACTGCTGCAATTGCAATTGCAGTCTCAATCTCATCCTCTATGCTTATTTTTTAAACTATTATCATCCAAAACCACGTCTTTGCTTGGGCTTTTTATCCTCCCCCCCCCCTTTTTTTTTCGGATGTGAATGCGCGAGCTGCTTGCTCGATGGATGCGAGCCTTATGCTCTCATTCTTGAACTGATTTTCAACTCGGGGAGTTAGTGTGGGCCTCATTTAGTGAGAATATCGAATATCTCATTGATTCATCTCATCCCTTGTAGTACATACCTCGGAATTGATTGTTATTCCCCATGACTACCAAGGTCCAATTCAATTCTAGAACTGGAAGGCCACCACGAAACCTCCATAAGATGAAACTATACCCAAAACAGGTCAGAAATTGCCAAACTAGCGTTTCACTCCAAACAGCCGTGAAGATGCGGCCACGGCTCGGGCCAACTTCCAAGATTGCGGTATTATATACCATGTAAGATCTATAATCAGACGATTGAATGAACGGCCTACATAATTAGTCACAAGAAGCCGTAGATATCTGGCAAAAACCAACCCATGTCCATAGGCAAACCTCTGCCAAAATTGATCAATTAGTCAATATGCCTCATCTCAATCTCTGGATCTTGCTATCGCTCTTCAGGCCAGATCGACAGGGGGAGAGGATAAGATCTTAAAATTAGAGCATAATTCAGTTACGTCAATATTGATGTTGATGTTAATTAGAACGTGGTGCACTAGGTTCAAGGTAAATTATAAGCATAAGGGCTAGCTTAATCTGCTTCGTCATTTCCTACTCTATACTTGACATCAACTATAGGGCAAGAAGACAGTAATAAAACATTTCGTACATGGGATATCTCATTAAAATCAACAGAGGCTGATCCAGCCAAATTTGGTGGCCTTCTTGACTGAAAACAGAATAGAAGCATGAAATCCGAGAGCAAAGCATTCAAAAGCATTCCCGATGTAAAAAAAAAAAAAAAAAGTAAACACCCTCCCGTAAAGACCGTCCCAGAGTAAATAAGTCAACGCCATCGAAACCCATTTCCTTTCGTGATTTTGGACATAAGGAAAAAAGATGACATAAAGATCAGAACCAAAAAAATTGTAGTAATAGCCAGACATAGTTAGAAGTGAAGGATTGACAGACGCCGGCTGTTCAATGTAATGAGGGTTTGGTGCAGAAATTAAAGCACACGGTTCCTTTTTGAAAGTCAGATTTTGAGATCTAATCTGAGTAATAAGAGGTAGACTTACAGTTTTAAGAGGTCTTCTAGACTGTCAGCACTGCAGACACGACCTTTGGGAATGTTGCGGATCACGTCGACGATGGTTGCGAAGACATCGCCCTCGCGATAGGCCAGCAATGCGGGGGCTTTGATGTAGTCCATCTCGGCGATTTCTTGATGAAGCCGTACGAAGTGGACAGTAGGCTGTCGACGGGCAATAGTGTTGAGGCATTCTCCAACAACAGCACTCTGATCAGACTGGGGATAAGTTAGCAAACTTGTTCTTTTGTCGTGTGTATAGATGTAGGTATACATACATGAGGATCAAAGATGTATACAACGACAACAGTGTCGCTGCTCACTTTCTCAATAGCATCAAGATACCCAGCCGCATCAACGGTGTCTACCGAGCCGAAGAGCCTGCCGCGTGGCGAGGGCCGACGGTTACCACGGCCCTGAAGTTCTTGCATACGCAGTGTACGCCATTGGCGCATAAAGCGCTCCTCTTCATCATCCTCACTGCCCTCTGAGGCCTCTCGCGACGGAGAACGACTATCGCTGCGAGCAGGCTTTTGAGCGGCAGCGGTCGCTTCGAAGCCAGTGGCAGCGAGGAGAGTTTTACGGAAGGACTTCTTGCGCGCACGTTCGAAGGCGCGGGCGTCGGCGATGACACCCTTGGGCCCTGTGTTTGCTTCGAAGTTGTTCTTGGGGAGATGGTAGTTTGAAGTGCGAGACATGTCGTCGTCTTCTTCCTCGTCCTCGTCTGAGGAGTCGACTGTTCTACGTTGGCGCAGGGTGCGGGGTGGGGAGTCGAGGTGATCGTTATCGTCTGAGAAGTGTAGGTCTTCGTCCCTGTCTTCGGGATGTGTGGAGTATGTGTCGCGATTGTTGCTGACTAGTTGATTGAATTCTTCCTGTGCGGAGGACATAATGAGAAAGAAAGAGAAGACGGAAACAAAGGGGATGTGTGGGGGAATTTAAAGAATTGAGACCGTGAACGAGTTTGGTGCTTGGTCGTCTGACTGTGAAGATGGAAGTTTCAAGTTAAGCCCCTGAAGTTGAGACTAAGTAAGAAGGACGGCTTGTTTTCTGAGGAAGGAAAAAGATCGTCGTATGGTGAAACTGAGGAACCGCTTAAAATCCCCCTTTCGAACGTTTTAGGATCCACCGAAGGCACGTAGAACATTCTACGTGCCTTTTTGTTTTAAGACTATCATCTCTATTGTTATTAATAGACATCTGGAGATGTTTATATTTTTTTAAACAAAGTACGAATATCATAATTATTGTAGGTACCCGTGGACATCTACACTCTAAACTGTATACCTCGTATGTCTCAATATCTCCTAAGTCTATAAATACCTGCCACGTGGAATACGAGAGCTTCGTGATCTCCTTACTCTCCTTACTCTCCAGGGCTGTTTCATCAGACCATATTAGATGAGATCCCACTTATTTTTAAGGCTTCCAACTGTGGACCTTCGTAAGGTAAATCCTGCTCCAGCCACTCTCGTTCCATCTTCCATCTTCCACCTTCCATCTTCCAAAGGTAAAACAGAACCCCGTGATCAACACGGGGCTTCTGGGGCTTAACATTCGTCAAAGACGCAAAACAGAGGTAAAACAGACTTTAACTTGATTATTGCGTTTCCTGTTTCCTGTTTCCTGTTTTTTGTTTCCTGTTTCCCGTTTCCAAAGAGGCTCGCTAGCCTACATCATAATCTTCCATTTACCGTGTTGTTTACCGGGGTCACTTTGGGGGCCATCTTGTCCGGTTCGATTCCATATAAGGTAGATGATCTCCTCCCTTTTCTGTATGGTTGTTGCTTGTTTGGCTACTGTTTGACTATTTGCCTGTTTGTTGTATACCGGTAATCAGCATGCATACTATCCAGTTGCTGGGTTCAAAGGTGGAAGAAGGTTGGTGGATGGTGTCTGCTGGTTGCTATGCTGACTGATGAGCTAGGCTACTATATTACTAGATTAATTGCTGGGACAGTCCAGGATCTAGTTGATACATACGTATTTAAAGTCTACGCGTTGTAGTTACCCACAATATGCCCCAGCCCCGGCCCCGGCCCCAGCTAAATCTATGCCGATCTACGTCTCAGATCTTGAATCACAAATGGAAATTGAGTTAAAGATGGATCCGATCTGTGGATCCATTAAGTACAAACACAGACAAAAGGAAAGAGGATAATAGATGACGCGTTAACGCAGTTCAGTAAATCAGGGAAATATCGTGGCCAAATTCCAACAAACCGGTCCCTACCTTGCCGTCGAGAGAAATACATGCCGAAGGGCAATCCAGGACTGAAATAAAAGGGGTAATAAAAAGTGTGGAAAGAGAAGAAACGGAAAGAAAAAGCGGAGTAATAAGAAGAGAATAGGAGGGAAAATAGAGAGAAGGGGAAGAAGAAGGAAGATAGAAATAAGAGTCAACAGAAACAGAAACAGAAAAAGAAAAAAAAAAAAAAAAAAAAGGAGAAAATTGGGGGGCATCATCCAGCAGGATATATCGGAAGAGAAGTCATATAGAACGACATCACTTCATCATATCCCAATTGTGTCGTCGCTTTCGTTTCTTGCCCAGCGCGCTTCCACCCAACGCTTTCCGTATCGCATACGACGGACAGACCGGCGCCCGTATTATCGCGAGAACACAAGTCCCCGGTAACTTAGTATTATTGTACAATGGCGAAGATCTCAACCCATCGAACCAAAAAGAAATCTCGAATAAGAGCATTGTAAAGGGCCGACACGGGGTATCTTGCGTTTGTCTTCTTTGGTTTTTTCTTTCTTTTTTTTTTTTTTGGGGGGGGGGGGAGGGGGGGGGGGTACCAAGCCCAAACCTTGAGCTGTAGAGTGAAAAAAAAGTCATTAGCAAGTGCCGACATCTAGACGAAACACAATCACTTACGAGAGAATCCCAAGATCCAGTGCACAGACTGATACCATCGTTGCTGACTCCAAGACAGCTAACACGGTTCTCATGGCCACTGAGTGAGCCAACCTTATCACCACGCAGAACATCCCACACCTAACATGATCAATTAGTATATATCCACATGAATAACATGTTTTGTGATGTCGTACCTTGCACTCGAAGTCGTCATAACCGGCGAACAATAGACGGCCGGAAACGGAGAATGCCACTGAGGTGATTCCGCACAGAACTTGGTCGCTCTGCAATAATGGAAAAAAAAATTATTAAATTAGTCAATGATCATAGTTGTAGGTGAGATAATAAATTCCATACCTGGTAAATGTTGAGCTCACGGTCAGCACGGATATCGAAGAGACGACAGGAGGTGTCGTCAGAACCAGTTCCGAAGGCGTTGCCATCAGGGAAGAATTGAATGGCATTGATATCAGACTCGTGACCAGCGAAAGTTTGGACAGCCCTGCCGGTACGGATATCCCACAGCTTGGCGAAGGCGTCACAGGCACCAGACACAAAGATATTCTGGTTGGTAGGGTTGATGCTGATAGACATGACATCGCCGAGGTGGTCGGCAAACTCGGTCACCTTGGAACCAGATTCAATATCCCAGAGCATACAGGTCATATCACCGGAGGAGGTGATGATACGGCGGTCATTGATGAAACGACAGCAAGAGAGGTAGCCCGAGTGGCCGGAGAGCTCGCGCGCAACACGGGTGGGACCTTCACGGGATGACAAGTTGTAGATGGAACAGATGTTGTCTAGACCACCGCAGGCGACGTAGTTACCGCTAGGCGCATAGGCACAGGTCATGACCCAGGACGACCGGAGAGGAATGGCGTGAACTTTGTTGGTAGTGTAGGCATCCCAGATAATGAGCTTTCCATCCTGTGAAGCGGAAACGAGATGACGGCGATCGGTTGACCAGTGCATGGCGTAGATCTTAGCAAGATGGCCCTTCAACGTACGACGGGGCTTCATGCCAATTCGGGGTAGGGCGTCAGTTTGACCTTGCGCAACTTGGCGAACTGCAGAAGAAAGTTAGAATCAATTTTCGTCTCATGGTCGCGAGCCCCGGAACAAATTTCAGGAATTGAGTCAGGTAAATAGGAAATCCATACGGGAACTGTCGGCAAGCTCATCCTTTCGACGCTTAATCTTGTCCTTCAAACCCTCAGCCTCGCGCCTAGCCGCAGTGATCTTAGCCTGCATCTGTTCGCCTGACATGTCGGCAGCCATTTTTTGTCGAAAGGATATTCCTTTAGTGTGAATGAAAGAAGCTGATAGATTTGAGATCCAGGAGAGAGGAGGGGAAAGTTTGGATTAGGATAGAATGAGGTTTGAGAGGGGAGTAAGGGAGGGATGAATGAGTGGATGTGGTTGAAAGTGGATGGAAAAGGGACGAGACAGAAGCGACCAAGTGAGGCCTCAAGCTGTGATCATAATACTGTCAGAATCTAAGTAGTCGCAAAGGGGGGGGGGTTAAGCGGGCGGAGGGAATCAAGAAGAGGTAGATTCTAACAGGGGGGGAAGAGGGAAAAGAGAACAGTGTACAGTGTATTACCGGGTGGTGCTAGTGGTACCAACTAAACTCTCAATGACATCGCTGATCCTGTACGAAATATGGCGAAATCTGCATTTTTATCTCCAGAAGGGTTGGAACTGGATGATAAGATATTTTGGATTATTCACAGTCCGTCAATTTTTTTCTACTTTCCTCATTTTTATTTGGATTCGTTGGATGAATCTATATTGAAGTTGAGTATTGAAAAATACATGAATACACAGTTTCTCGTATGAGGTACAGATCAGGTAAAGGGGGCAAATTCAATTCTCATCCCACAACCATATCAATTGCCTCAGATCAAGCACAATTAATTCCCAGCTATGAATTGAATGATATAACATCTAATATCAAGGTGGTTGAAGCCAGGATTCAGATCGAAGGGAGGGGAATATCGAGGATTACAGTGGCGATCGGACTAGGGCCGGGCCAATCATGGGATTGGAACTACTTTGTACGGAGTAGTAAGAGTAAGTACGTAGTAAATATTATTGTATTAATATGTATTATAAATTTTCAGTTTGGCATTCCCAAGGTTCAGTATTTATCGTATCTTCTTCAATAGTGGGAATCATAAACCATGTAACCTTGTAGTACATGAACGCCCCTGTACCTCCGAATCCCTAGAGAACTACTCAATCTCATTTCTAGGTTGACTATGTATTAGTATCACAGTTTCATATCTCAGTCTCTATCATAATTTGGGGCTTAAAATTATAAATTATTATATAAATTATGGAATTATGGAATTGTGAAATTGTGAAATTGTGAAATTATGAAATTATGCTGATTTATCATCAGTCCAATGTCCAGATCCGGAAGTATTTCATCTCGTCCTCGACTCTTCTCTTTCTCTCCTTCTTAAATATGTACCACAGCAGGTCCAAGCTCTCAAGAAGAACCAACTAATCCTCTTTCGGTGATACCCCGAAGGATGACTAATCTGCATAGATTTTCATTTGCAGGCTTTTCAGGCCTAGAGGCTCTTGAAAAGAAGGAAAAAGACATCTCATCCTTGCCCTGAGACCCACAAATGGTAGATCCTGCCAATCGGTCTCTCAAATATACAAAGCTCCGCTAAGACTGAGACAGACTTTGAGGCCCCTATTCCCGGCACAAGCTCGGCTTGAGATTGTCAATGGCCGATCATAATCTCTTCCTGACTAACTAAAGAGGATTATGAGTCTATGACGACTCATCGACAAGTGATTTCCAAGCCATGGCTGTTCTGTTAAGTGCTCCGTACATAACAACGGTTGTTCAGTTTACCGTTTACCGTTCTATATGGCCTAGGCACTGGGTTTGGGTTGAAATCTGTACCTGCTCAGTCCCACCTCGATCTCCACAAGCAATCAAGATCTAAAGAGATGTTTATGAACTTCTGCTTATGTATACATCTATTCCACTTTCAAGGTTTCCCTCACAAGGTTTGCTATAGCGCCGCTGCCGAGTCAACCCATATACTCCGACTGCATCTAAATTTACCTGAGATCTGCACTCACCTGATTCTATCTGATGATGAAGAGTAAATCTCCTGATTGATAAACAATCATAACTTATTCTCCGCACAAATACAAATCTAAAGTTTGAGCCACACGGGTTGTGTTGGCACTGTAGCCGTATATAAGATCTACCTTGTACCTATACTTGACGTATCACTTAAGCCTTAAACCCTAACATCCAGTACTTGATGAGTCTTCACCATATTATTCTTCAGGACTATTGATGGACTTTTTCGCGTTATTTCACCCCCACCCAAATCAGACCATTTGTGGGTTGACGCTGGGGCCATACCTATCCTCATATCAAGTCCACACGAAGAGTTCAAGTCTTTCAACCGTGTAGTCAGAGAATCAAGCCATCACATTCCAAGTTCTGACCTAACGTTCAACTGCCAGGTCATATTAGTAGGCAACTTGGAATATCGGAATGCCCCCCGATGGAACAAAGCGGGTAGAATTATACAAAGTCTCACAGCGTTGCTTGAAACGTACATACCCCTTATACTACCCACAAAAAAAGGGAAAGAGGAAAGGAAAAGGGAACAGAAAAGGGAACAGAAAAGGGAACATAAGTCCTATATTATATCTCCACTAGGTGGATCTGAAGTACGGAGTAGACTCGGTAAGTCGCCACGAGGGATCAGATAGCGACTTCTGCAGGCTTATAACTCTTCAAAATTCAGTAATCAGAGTCAAATAGAGAAATAGAGAAATAGGGAAATAGGGAAATAGAGAAACAAGAGAACATGGAAATATGGAAAATACAATATCCATGTCAGACAAAGATTATATTGTACAATTTTACTTAGTATCACATAGTCGTTAAAAATAGAGAGTCCAAGTGGCGGGAAAGCCATTTGTTGGCCCTCCTTTATTACGGCACCTGACGCCTCTCCGCTTTCGAAGTCTTTTCCTCCCTCTTCATCAATCCTGAGCCTCATCCCATCTTTCATTCGGCGCTTTTCATCTCCAAATCTCATCTTCTTTTCTTTTCTAGATTCTCCTCTACTTTATCACTGACTGTACCCTTTTTCTTTTGTTGATCCACCGATCCTTCGTCTCGTGCAAAGACTTAAAAAAGGCCGCACTCCCCCCCTCTCAACTGTTTCCATTCGACACCACATCTATATTTATACAAGCCATCGCCCAGTTCTTCTTGATGTCTTGCAAGTGATTCTATACTTCAAATAGGCTCCCTTTGATCCCGTTCGCCTGCGGTTGCCCTACCCTCTCTATATTCACCTTAGGGGGGCTGAATCAGACTTCTTTCATCCATCTGATCCTCTTTTCTTTTGACATCCTGAATGTTACCATCTCTATATTAGTGTCTCAATACTTTTATATATATATATATACATTTGAGCTGATACCGGAAATCACCACTCTTCATCATGCGAGAAGTCAACTTCAGTATCCCGAATGTGAACAAGGCCTCGGTCAACATCAGCACCACCCTATATGACCGGCGTGCGCTCGATTGCACATCAACCCTCCCCTTGATCAATTCTCTCAATCATCTCGCCTATCTCACAACTTCCTCGGCTCGAATTCGAGACATTCTCACTGTCGATGGCGGCATTGAAAGACTCGTCTGCATCCTCAAGGAGGGCAGGAGTAAGGATATAATGGAAATGTGGAAATGGAGTCTTGCATTTCAATGTGTCGTCAACATCGGAGTGCGAGGCTCGGAAAATGTGCGAACCAGAGTCGTCGAGGCCGACATGGTTCCGGTGATTGCCACGATCTTGGATAATTACATCAAGGTGGTGGACAAGGTGCGATCGCGCGCCGACCCCGAATCACACAAGCACTCTTCCAGCCGCCCCACCGTGAAGCCTAGTTCCTCCAGCCATGAAATATCCGGTCGGTCTTCTATTATGGAGACCGACGACACGGAAACCCGCCCCTCCCGCCGACAAGTTCCTCCCCCGAATATCGAAATTCCTCAGCCTTTCTATCAGGAAACTCAGCCGACTGATACCGATGCAATGGATATTACATCTCCTCCTCGCGCCCCGCTCACCTCGCCACCGGAGCGAAGCACATTCCAAGATGTTCCAAACCACCGGTCTCATGACGCTCGGTATGCTACCCGCACAAGTCATCGCCTCCGAACCATGCAGCCCCTTGCCACAACTGTCCATCCAATGGATAACGCAGAAGGATTCGGCCTGCGACCGGTACGGGATACGGAACGCCTACCAAGTATGCTCCCTAGCCTGCAGACGGGCGTCATCTCCCAGCCAGACTCGCCGACAACACCCAGTGGACCGATGCATTCTCAATCTCATCATCCTCGCAGCGTCCCCCCGCCGCCGCCTCCCATAAGACGACCAGTAGTGCAGCAGACACTCTCGGCTTCGGGAGAATCTGACGATGCAAATGGCGAGGACTCTGCCATGGGTGATGACAATGTTTTAGAACGCCCAGCAGAGCCGATTGTTGGCCTCCCTACCCGGATGGACATTGACAGCGTGGATGAGACGTCGACAACAACCATGATTGATGATGTCTCTCCTGCTCACGGCTTGACTGTCACCACCGAAGAGGGACAGGATGCAGATACCTTCAACATCGCCCATCGCTCGACTGATGGCAGTCTCATTAACAATAACGGCACCACCCAGACGAATGGGGGATTGGGTCTCTCCCCCACCCAGGCCCCGAATAACCCCAACTCTCCAACCCTCGCTCCCAGCCCTTACACTTTGTATCTCCGGGATCGAAATACCTCCGCAACGCAGAGCGTTCTGACCACCATGCCTCGTGAGGAAGACGTCTTGATGTCCCTGCAACTCCTGGCTTACGTCTCCAAATACTGTAACCTTCGAACTTATTTCCAACGCTCTCATCTCGTGCCGAGACTCAAGGTGGACCGCGAATTGCATCTTCTCGATGACAATGCCGATCCTTCTACTCCCATCGAGGCACCCGAGGATGAAGACGAGTACCTTTTGCCTGACGATGTCAATATATTCCCACTGGTTGAGAAGTTCACTGTCCGACACCATTCCAAGGATATGCAGTACTGGGCCTGCGTGGTGATGCGAAATCTGTGCCGCAAGGACGAGTCGCGCGGTGGGATTAGGCAATGTGCCTATTACAAGTGTGGCAAGTGGGAAGAGTTCCAGCGTCAGTTTGCCAAATGTCGCCGCTGCCGTCGCACCAAGTACTGCAGCAAAGATTGCCAGAAAGCCGCGTGGGTTTACCACCGCCACTGGTGCCATACGTCGCCTTGATCACTTCCGGAGTTTCATTTCTAATTTCCATGCATTCTGGCTCGCATTGCATCATATCCATCATATCCATATCCATATCCATACCCTTGCGTATCTTTATCCACCATATCTGTTTCGTGGTCTTACGTCTACTTTGCGCATGGCATTGCAAAATCTGGCGGCGTTCAATTCAAACCCCTCCTCAAAGATACCTCTATTATGTCCGTTGGGTCCTCTTTCCATTTCGTACACCTTGCTTCTTCGCATCTTATTCTATTCATGAATCCCCGTCCTTGATGGTTCCATCTTCCGATATCCACACCATACCTCATCTTTTTCTCTTCGCTGGCCTCCATGAGTGTACATTTTTTTTTTCTTGTTATACTCTAACTCATGCGGGTTTCTTTGCACGTCATTTTTTATATTATAATCGTGCAAGCACGAGTGTCCCCTGTCTTTTATTCTCACGGCTTGTGGTCTCTCTCGAAGCATTTCTGCTGTTCTGTTGCACTACCATCTACAATAACTTATTGTTCAACCTACTGTTACCGGAGGAATTATCCTCACCTGTTGCACTTTGCCATCGCGGCACCGGCGTTTTTCTTCCAGTCATGGCACCTGTTCTTTCAATGAAATGAATTTCATTTGCATCTTCACAAACCCTGTCTTTTACCCATCCTTCGTAAACCCATAAGTAGCCGCCAATCGTGACTCCAAATGCTCATACGCAGTTAACGGTCTCTTCCCAGCTTCCAAAGAACCAGCGCCACCCCCAAACCCAACAACCCCACCCCGTCTATCCTTTCGATACCTGGTAACAACGTCACTAGGAACAGGAACAAGCTCAGTAGTATCAACAGGATGACAGAAATAAACAATCGTATACCGATCAGATGGATTCGGCTTCCGCTGCTCCTCTAACGGAAACACGACTCGATGAACAGTAGACTTGAGAAGCCCGTCAGTCCAGTAGCTTAGCAAATCACCGATATTTACCAGAATAGGTGGGAACGGATACGCGTCGGCTTTTTCACCCGGCACGATGGGGACAGGCGCCCATGTCTCTTCTGGTGTGAAGATCTCTAGTCCTGGTTGGCCAGGGCGCTGGAAGAGAAGCGTTATGCTGCCGTAGTCTGAGTGCGCGCCTGCTCGTACGTCTTTGTCGTGTTTGTAGGTTGCTGTTGCTGGGGAGAATATTGAGGGGTAATATAGATACCGCAAGATACTTCCTGTTAGGCCATTACGAGGGTCGTGGCGGGTTGTAAAGAAGTCCTCTGGCATCTTTTATTGCGATTATGGTTAGTTTGTGAGGTGTTTCTTTTATTGTGCCAAGGTGGGTGGATGTGAATCACATACTTCCAGGCCTAAGGCGAGTAGAGTCAGGATTCTAGTACACGTCTTGTTGCATAGAGTAGCGAACTCGTTGATCTCGGATTCGTGTGGTGCCAATGATGCCGGGAGAGGCTGCTGGGCTTTTCCATCCTTGAAGTCACCGAAGTTCAAGGCTCTGTCAAGAGCGAGTCAGTATTTGACTTATAGACTCGTGTCTTATTTCTCTTACTCCTTGAAATCTCCAGTCTGTAGTCAACTGTGAGTCTTAATTTTGATTTTCATATTGATATTCAAGATGTATTATACATACACGCTGGTGCTCCGGGTCAAGAGTCTCTGTATGCATACCTGACCAACCCCGGTTCTGAGCAAGTTAGTCTGGATACATGGCTGCACATAGACATCGGGAGAATCTAAACTGACATTTGGGGAGATCCGACAAGTCTCCTTGTCCGCCGCGGGAGAAGCAAAGAATTTTTTAGACTACAGCGAGAATTAGTAACAACCTTGGAACATTAAACATCGAACGATATTTCAAAGTTGACGTACCAGTCCAAATGCGTGATCTACATCCGCAGCTGCAAAGTCGGAGCCAGCACTGTTCACATAAAGGAATCCATACTCGGTTGCAGCTTTCAACATAGCCTTTCCCACAGCGGGGTCGTGGGGATCGGATATATCGATAACGGGGAGCTCGATTGGGCAGTTGGTTGTTTCTGACATTCTGACGGTATATACGAGGTCTAGCTGTATGAAAACTTGATGCTTTGTGCAATCAGAAGGAGCCTAGGGACCTCAGGTATGTCCAGGTGTAGGAAAAGTGAGGGGATGGCAATTGTGGAGGTGCGGGTGGGATGTTACTCGAGTATAGATTAGGAATTTGATATCGGGAACTACTTCTGAATATAGGCGACATCCGACGTGCCCCAGTCCCCGCTTTAATTTACTCAACTTTGGTTGCTGGGTTTGACGGAAAGTGCCTCTAGGTGGTGTGATTCTTTATAGACATGCCAATTTAAACCACTTCCAAGATTTATTAACTACTTCGCCAAGGCTGCAGTTATCAACCTAGGTGCTAGTTAAGTATTGAGAGCACCTAAGGCTGTCCAGTGAGCTGCCCAGGTGATCACCACTCAATCGTAGATACAGCTATTTGAAATGGGTAGGAATTGGATGGATATAAGTGCTTCTAGGCTGACTTCAGACAATGCACCGAGGTAGATGAAGAAATTCGATATGGATCCTATACCTAAGCCAAGGCTCTAGGTATTCCTAGTCAGGCATCGTGGACCTTGGAACCTTGGAAATGATGGGACCCTAAGCCCTGGAAGTTACCACCCTTTCAATGTTACTCGATATTGAAGTTTTTCAAAGTATGGGCCGTTTTACATCAACAAGATTCTCTAGATAACCCCGGAAAGAGAGTGTTGATCTTCCTCACATGAAAGGCCTGAAGCTTTGATCCAGGCCTCCTTGAATTTTAATTATGATATCTTTCTGTACAAAGGTACTGGAGAGAGCAATGCAGGAAGGTTTCAAGGCTCGAAGGCTCCGAGGATACCAATAATTGTAGTTTGATGACAATCGTATCAGGTCATTCCATGGCGCTGGATAAGACAATGCATAGGTAGGTTACCTATGATCCGTGCTCAATGAAAAACTTGCAGAATAGCTTAGTTCGTACTAAGTATCGGGCCGTAGATATGAGGTTGTTGATAAACTCCACTATCTAGTAGCTCCGTGATAAGCTAACGTTTTTGCCTATTTCCTCAGGCTCGAGGGGTTTTAAGAAGGTAAAAACAATATGTTATAGAAGGAGTGACTAGTAGAAGAGCAGAGATGGAAATCAAATAAGAAGAAAAAGAAAAAGAATGAAGTGCACGTAAAGTGTGCAATGGTGCAAAAAGCAACGTTTGGTTTACCTACTCCGCTCTCCACTTTTTCCCGTCACCTTTACTTTCTCTCCTCTCACACCTCTCTATCCCCCACCACTATTCTTCATTCTTTCTCGATGTCGCGCGTGCGCGCCTAATTGCATCCAAACGCATCTTCAGATCTCTGATCTTGACTTTTTCAATATGCCTAGTAATTCCTAATGTCCCAACTCCTCACCATGACCTCACTAACCTGCCTGCCCTCCTAGTCCGTCCCCTCGATGAATGGTTTTTGAGCCCGCACAGCAACCGAACCCAAAAACTACCCCTATCCACCCTCAAGGACACTGTCCTCGGAATCGATGCCTCATGGTACCTCCAACAGCACCTAATCAACCCGGCGACCCGTGAGGCCCTCCTTGGCGCACTGGGCGGCTTCCCCTTCGCTTTGAAGAAAGCCATTGAGAAGGAGCTGAGCACCTTTAAGAGCTTTGGTATTTCTCTTGTATTCGTCTTCAACGGTCTTCAATTCGGCAAGCAAGATCGCCATAACAAACCCTTCCCTGTCTCGGCGCTCGCCTTTGAGCAAGCTTGGGAACTCTATGATGCACAGCAAGCTGACCAAGTTGTCGACGCTTTCTGCAACGCCGGTATGGGCCCTCATCTTTCTGTTCATGCCTGCGAGGTCTGGTCCAATACTCCCCCCGCCTTCAATGAGTGGAATTGGCCTTTTCGCGAGTACGATGGCTCGACTGACGTAGTTTGCGACTCAGGGACCCCGCCACCCGAAACCCTCTACAAGTTTCTTCAACGGATTTTGTTCCAGAATGGTGTCCAATTCATGGTGGCACCATACAGCGCGGCAGCTCAGGTACGTTTGAGGTCTGAATCAAGTGCACTGAAACTGACACATCTACGGAACAGCTTTCCTATCTCGTCCGTGGAGACGATCCCACTGTTGACGCTATTTACGGCCCTTCCGAAACCCTCCTATTCGATGTCGAAAGACTGATTATCAAGACCGAACTTGAGCATTCCCAGTTTACCTACCTGTCCAAACAGACCCTTCAAGAAGAGCTGGGTCGTCTGTCAAACAATCAATTCCTTGAATTTTGCCTGCTGCTGGGATCTCCGTTCTTGCGATCCTTCCCGCTCTTTGATAGCCCTCTTTACCCAGGAAAACTACCCAATGTTCGTGATGCACTCCCCATGTTCAACTCAGCTGGCCGGAACGCATTGAACTTGTTGACCCAGTATGATGATGACCGTCGCGTGCAAGAGCTTCAATACATTGACCGCTACAAGCGTGCGTATATGGTTGTGAAGCATCATATCTTCATGGATATTCAGGGACGTGTTGGCCCTATGGACCCGGAGAACAGTACTTCGGACATGCACGAGCTCATCGGTCTGCGGTTGCCCGAAGAGCTCTATTACTACATCTCCCGAGGTGTGCTAGGCACAGATATCCCTAACTTCCTGACAGCAGGCGAAGTACGCCTCTCGCTTCCCCTGGGTACAGAGGACACCGAGATCTACCGTCACCTTGTCGTGAACACGCTGAACCCGATTCGGAGACAAGCACTCTGTCTGCTAGCAAGCTCACTCCACCGTTTCTACATGACCAAGCCTATTGACATTGTCCCCTGGTTTGTCGACAAGCCGAAATCGATTACTCTCAAAGGATATCCCTCCGTTCGACAGACTGTCGAAGCCTGGAGGATTCCCACTGACATGTACTCCGAGAAGGTCAAGAATTTGCAAGCTCCCCGTGGTTCCTTCTTGTTCGCTGTCCAGAGCCTGGAAGATGAAGGCTTTGCATGGGAATCCTTTGTTCACCCGAATACACCGGTAAGTCTATTGAAAGCGACAAGGAATCATCTTTTATTCTAACGATGCACTAGGTCCTGTCAGCACAAGATGACATTCTGGCTAACGTGATGTGGCGATTCCTGCAACTGCGTGGATACGTCGATGACAAGCATTATTTGACCGAGTGGGGCAAGTGCCTTGCGCAAGCCTTGTCGAACGTGGGCCCTGAGTTGGAATCTTCGGTTTTCCTAGCCATTGAGATGATCCGTTTTGATCTGATCAACACTAAGCCCTGGTTCTCACATGTATCCGGTGGCCCCATGAGGGGTTCAGGTAGGCAAGCAACAGCCATCATCAACTGTGTTTTACTGACATAAAAACTCTCCATAGATAATGACAAGGCGTTCAACAACCTTGTTTCTCGTGTTGCGTGCATTGGAAAGCTGCGCCATAAGAACTTGGGATACTCTGGCCCTCTGAGCCGGCAGCTTCTTAACTACCGCTCTTTGATATCTGAAGTGCGCACTGCTTTGAGAAGCTTGATTGAGGTGGTTCTCACTAGCTTGATGCTTTGCAACGACGTGGAACGGGACCGAGAGGACTGGTCTGAGTTGGCAGTCAAGCTGCCTTTTATTGACGATAATGACTGCGGCCTCGGAATTGCCGTTCAAACCTACCTCGATGACCTCCCTTCGCAGGCCAACCCTACCTCGCCTGAGGCCCGCGAAGAGGCCAAATCCAAGGGCAAAGAATGGTTCCAGCATAGCGAGAGCTTCTCTGACAACCTGGATGTTGCCTTTAAGATCTGGGACGCGGTAGGTCCTCCTTTTTCTTTTTTTTTTTCTGATTGAACTTGACTAATTTCTCATTTCTAGGTTTACACGGGAACACAGAATGCGCCTGAGTTCAAGGACTCCAAGCTGTGGAATGATGCCAACAAGTGGCTCTCCGAACGGCGTTAGGCTGTTATAGATCATTCATGTTTCAGGAATCATATTCTCACGCTCATACCTTTACGCCCACATCATTACACTCACATCTTCAAGGGTCATACTTTGACTCAGCTCACTTTATCTGATGAACTTTTGATTCTGTCCACTCTATCTGAGGATGAATTTTTGACCCTGTATGCTTTACAATTGTCTTACGTGTCAAACATCCACGATTATTCACAGAACCAAAAAAATGAAGACGCTCGAGTTCCCCTTATGGAACCTCGCGTTCGCCCCAATCCAAACACATATTACTTCCACTATCACTTCCGTAGATTGCCGTAACTTCTGCGAGAGACTCAACATTGGAAATAAAAAGAAAAAAAGTAGTATATATAAGTTAATAAGAATGATATCACTACTCTCAGTGGCGCCACCCGTCTGATGGGCTGTGATCGACGTAATCTAGTGGACCAAGTGGCCTCTATTTCCGCCGTGTTTGTCATCATCAATTACCTTACTAAACCTCTAGGGTTGAGCTCCAATTCCATCGTTACCACCCTTATCCAGGAATTTGATCCATTCCTTCATATTTTTCTCACTGAAAATCATTGTATCCTTCAAAATGGCTCGTCTGAGCTTCCTACTTCTGGGCGCTCTCTCCGCGCTAAGCGGTTTCGCCAATGCCAGCGCCGTAAAGGACTTGCTCCCAACAAACTTCGATGACATCGTCCTCAAGTCTGGCAAGCCTGCTTTGGTGGAATTCTTTGCCCCATGGTGTGGCCACTGCAAGACACTCGCCCCTACCTACGAGGAACTCGCTACTCTATTCGCTTTCGCTGAGGACAAGGTTATCGTCGGCAAGGTCGATGCGGACGCACATCGTGAGCTGGGCAAGCGGTTTGGTGTACAGGGTTTCCCTACCCTGAAGTGGTTCGATGGCAAGAGTGATACTCCTGAGGAGTACTCAGGTGGTCGTGATCTGGAAAGTCTATCCTCGTGGATCACCGATAAGACTGGCATTAAGCCGCGTGGCGCACAGAAGGAGGAGAGCAAGATTGAATTCTTGAACGATGCCTCTTTCAAGACTGTTGTTGGTGGTGATAAGAGTGTTCTGGTTGCTTTTACTGCGCCGTGGTGTGGCCGTAAGTCTTCCTGTCTCTTACTTTTTGTTTTGCTCAGTCGCTAACTACTGTTTTACTAGACTGCAAGACTCTTGCTCCCGTCTGGGAATCCCTCGCCAATGACTTCGCCCTCGAATCGGACGTTGTCGTCGCCAAGGTGGACGCTGAAGCTGAGAATGCCCGCGCTCTGGCCAAGGAGCAGGGTGTCACCGGATACCCTACCATCAAGTTCTTCCCCAAGGGCTCCACCGAGCCGGAGACCTACTCTGGCGCTCGCTCCGAGCAGGCCTTTGTCGAGTTCCTGAACACCAAGACTGGCACCCACCGCTCTGTTGGAGGTGGTCTTGACAAGAAGGCCGGCACTATTGCTGCTCTGGACAAGCTTGTTACCGAGTATGTGTCCTTGCACAAGTTCGCCGACCTTGCCACCGACTTGAAGAAGGCTGCCAAGGATGTTCAGGACAAGTACGCTGCCTACTACGTCAAGGTTGCAGACAAGTTGAGTCAGAACGAGGATTACGCCTCCAAGGAGCTCACCCGCCTGCTGAAAGTTTTGGGTAAGGGTGGTTCTGCCCCCGAGAAGGTCGATGACCTTGTCTCGCGCAGCAACATCCTCCGTGGCTTCGCTGGCGAGGAGACTGCGAAGGATGAGCTGTAAATATGGGTTCTCTTTGCGTTTGATTGGAGCTCATTGCGGAACATCTGGTTCGACCCCGGAAATTGACCCTTGGATATAGTTTAGCGATTGATATAATATTGCTGTATTATACAATTTGAGGTATATGAATGAAGCTCAGCTTCTTTAACGCCTTATATATGAATTGATTAGAGTGCTTAGAATTGTCTCCTTGGGACGCAGGTAGGGTATCAAATTTCGTAGCTTGGTAAAAAAAAAAGACAACAGAATCAGAGAGTGATATTCAAGCGCACATGATGATTAGACAACCGAGAAAACGGGATTCAATCCTGCCGAGAAACTTCCGGACAAAATAATCAATGGCTGTCGGCTGTCGGCCATCGGAATACCGTACCACGCACACGTACCGACATAAACGCAAAATTGGGGCCTATTCGGTAGCAATTCCTGATGAGACAAAAGATGCTTCGAGCTCATCCATACGGCGGGCCATATCTTCTACTATGAAGGGTGTCAGAACCGTTAAAAGATACGGGAAGGAGAGGATTAGGGGGAAATATTTGGGATAATCAGATGAGCCGAACATTTTTCAATCATTTCTTTATTTATAGCATCGAACTTGACTTCCAAATTTGCGAGGAGTTCGTCAACAGCGACGGTGAGCTGGCTTTGCGCGTCAGAGCTCTAGTCTTTGTTAGCGCTGAGCCAGGTAATGGACATCTGAATACACATACGGGCACCGTCAGAAGAGACTCTCCGGTGGTCGTCTCAGGTACAGATTCGTCAGCCATGGAGAAGTTGGGGTATGTTTCCAAGCTGAAGATGTCAACAAGGTGGGCTTGGGGTAAGTAGTACGGAGTTACGATAAGACCGGATCATCTATAGTTCCACTCCATCAACGTGACTAACCGTATCTGGCTCTTATCGCTCGAGCTAACTACATCAGGACTAGTCACCGTTCAAAAAAATCCAGAAGCTCTTTCCACCTGAGGCGTCTCACACGATCCCAACTCTCAATTCACCCCCCCATAATCACACAAAATGGTCAAAAGAAGCAAGCTGCTCCAGGCGCTCGATGCATCCAAGGGTCGCGACTATGATGCTGAGAAACAGAAGAAGCAGGTCAAGGCGGCAGTCAAGCGCAAAGGCGTAAAGGCCGAGAGTGCCCCAGCCAAGGCCAAAGAGGCTGAGGACGTTGAAATGCTGAGTGCTGAAGAAGAACAAGAAAGTGAAGAGGCAGAGGAAGCTGCAGACTCTGATGAGGCAGAAGAAGAAGAAGAGGCAGAGGATGAGGACGACGAAGAGGAGGAAGAAGAAGAAGACATCCCTCTATCAGACTTGGAAGACGACGAGCGCGAGGACATCGTCCTACACCAACGCCTCACCATCAATAACTCCGCCGCCATCTCCTCCTCCCTTAAGCGTATCTCCTTCATTACCCAGCAGACCCCATTCTCAGAGCACAACTCTCTAGTGTCGCAAGAGCCAATCTCAGTGGAAGACCCCAATGACGATCTGAACCGTGAATTGGCCTTTTACAAGGTCTGCCAGGCCGCCGCCAACCAGGCCCGTGGTCTGCTCAAGAAGGAGGGTGTTGCCTTCACACGTCCTGGAGATTACTTTGCCGAGATGGTTAAGAACGACGAGCACATGGATAGGATCAAGAAGAAGCTGTATGACGAGGCTGCTGGTAAGAAGGCTGCTGCCGAGGCACGCCGCCAGCGTGACCTTAAGAAGTTCGGCAAGCAGGTGCAGGTCGCCAAGTTGCAGCAGAGACACAAGGAAAAGCGGGATACTCTTGAGAAGATCAACGCCTTGAAGAAGAGTACGTTTTCCTCTATTTATTTCTTGCTCAATTGACTAGCTAATACTTCCGTACAGAGCGCAAGGCTGACTCCACTGCTCCTACCGATGACGCCAATGATCTCTTCGATGTGGCCATCGAGGACGCTGGCAAGCCGGATCACAAGCGTGGTGGCCGTGATAACAAGCGCCAAAAGAAGGATTCCAAGTTCGGATTCGGCGGTAAGAAGCGACACTCAAAGAGTGGCGATGCTGCTTCCAGTGGTGACCTGCGCAGCTACTCGGCCAAGAAGATGAAGGCCGGTGGAGCCAAGCGTCCCGGAAAGAGCAAGCGGGCGAAGGGTCGCCTGTAAGCTTTATATAAGCCTTGGAAAGGGATTGTGAGCTTCCCAGCTTCGAGGAAGTGAAGGTGCACGCGGCGCGCAAAAAAATGTCCAGGTGGACAGTCCATTGTTGCTTTTTTGTAATAACTAGAATTTATCTTGCATCTGAACATGGTTACATGAATGACTTCTTTCCTTTCTTCCTCGTAGCTACCTTCAATGATCTCTTCAAGGTACTGATTCCTAGAGCAAGGGGATCTATGACACCGCACACGCTGTTCATGATAGTCTTGGATACCCTAAGGGTCTGTGAATCCTTTCAAAACCCAAAATCTCATGACCCGGGACTGTGAAGTCCTCCAAAATGATATTTTCGTATCTTCCCTTGTACGCCGTTACACAGCCTACTAAAGTAACAGCCCGTTTAAGACTTAAATTTGTGCCCCTGGAAATAGAGCTCGCTCTCTAAGAAGATTGCCATTTCATCTATATATAAGGCTTTTTGAGTAGATGGTCACATAAGGCTTCTAGCATTGGAGGAGTTATGATACGTCGGCCGACGCGAGTTAGAAGTGCCCTAACATTTCCGAACTAGCGAAGATTGGTGCTAATTTTAATGATTAAACACTACATTTAGCATCTTTAGCCATTAAAAAGTATTCAGTGATTTGCTTAAGAGTATATTCTGAAGAATTTCAAGCTTTGGGAGAGGGGGCCTTGGCAGAGACTATCGAGAAGGGTAATGAGTTCATCGGATTATAAGAAGAGGAGCATCTATTGTCAACAAGTTCAGAACGCTCTCAAGATACAGGCACGGTGCTTTTCTTATCCGATGTCAATCTCACAGTGACGCATCCCTTGGTGTCGCCATATGGATGGGTCTTGTCTTTTTTGTATCCATCCACTTTGTATTGACGTCGATCACGGTAGTAATGCACTTGAAGGGTATTTCCTTTTCCAGTTTTCTTGCTACGAAATCGTGCGGTACCTTTTTCATCCACGATGTAGGGAGTTGCAAAAAGTTGGAGTCCACCCTTCACTTTGCATACCGTGGGGAAGTAGAATTCCTTTGTGGCTTCGTCATTGTCTCGGTTGTTGGGGTGTTTGAATGACACACCATAAACCTCGGTGTTGTCAGTTTTTAGTACTGAGAATGTTCTAAATCTAGAAGTCAATATCAATTTGATCAATGAATACATGGGTATAACTTACGCAGCTTTGGCTCCTTTGGGCATACTTTCAGCTGCGGAGACACCTAGATCTACCATGTTAAGGTAAGAATTCACATCAAGTAAAGAATCTAGAGACCCGCTGCTCTGTTCGCTTTTCTTTGAAGTGATTCTTGCGGCGTTGAACCAGATGAGACGTCCGAAAACGTCGTAGCTGAAGATATTCTTATCAACCTGTAGACCACCCCACGGTGCACTGATATCGTACTCCGCCGAGTTGTTGGTCATGTAGATTCGGCCATCCTTTCCAGATATTAGAGTTGCGGTCTGACCGGCATCTTGAATCAGACGGAAGCCATTTGTCTTAGGCAGTTTTCTCAGCTTGTTCTTGTTGGCTTTGCTGTTTTTTGCCAGCTGTTCGTCCCCATAGATCACAGGCTCAGGCCTAGCCAATGCGATCGTTTTGTTGGAAGCAAGTTTGCTTTCTCCGCCGAATTTGGTTGCGACTTCATTGAAAAGTGTGGTTGGCTCTACCTGCTTTGCATTCCACCCCTTCTTTCTGTCAAATTCGTTAGCCCGTTCCATTGCTCAGGGTACCCCAGACTTTTCCTAAGTATACTTACGAGAGACAGCCGAGACCTGTTTCATAGAACGTTTTTCCCAGTTTCTTGAACTCATATTCCCATAGACCGAGCGCGGATGTATAGACCCGGTTCTTGGCTCCGACTCGTAGCTCAACTCCTTTGTCACAAGCATGCCCTTCGCCAGAGGAGAGCCCCGCAGTGAAGTATACAGAAGGAGCCGTATAGACGCCGACAGATTTCTTCCAGGTGCCGCCGAGAATATCTAAAGCGACCTCAACTCCTACCGGTAGTGCGAGATCCGCTGTAGCGACGACGCTTCCCTTTTTGACCTCGAAAATTGGCTCGAGACTTGGTGTAAAGCCTGATGCTTTATTTCTCTCGGGTTCCATAGCATCCAGGATTACCTCTCCTGCAGCGATTGAGAACCTTGCACCTGCGCGTAGCTCACAATGAGCATCGACATAGACACTGGCGGCGGCATTAACGACTGCCTGAGGTCCAATAGTGATAATCTTAGGAATCTTGATGGCGAAGAATGGAAGTGCAAATAGCTCTTTCTCGATTGTCGTCTTAAGTTTACCTTTTGAGCTTTTATCCTTAAATTTCTTCGCGTCAACAGTTATACCATAGATCGCGTCAAAAACAAAAGCCTCGTGGTTGATGAAGGACACCTGCGCCTTATAAATACCTTTGCTGATGCTAAACGCCAGCTCTCCACCAAAACTAAAGCTTGCCTTGGCTCCACAACTTTCACATTCCATCAGCACAGCTGCACCAGGCTTAGAGAGAACAAAGTTGTTGCTCGTCCCTCCAAGAGAGCTGCCTAGATCCGTTCCCAACTTTTGCCCACCCGTTCTCTGATCAAAAGCGATATCGGCATAATACCCTTGCTCAAATGGGAACCCAAAAGGAACCATCAACAATTTCACAGTGATCACTGCTATCGCAATGATGACCTTGACAGCTATCTCAATAAGCTGGCGAGTCCTTTCAATAAGACCAATAACTGCCTTTTATGGTTTCTTATTAGTAAAGTACTAAATAATTTTAGTATTTCAGGCCGAATTCTCACCTTGATAATAGCATATATTCCGTCCACAATCCAAGAGAATAAGCCTCGCTTAACCAACTCGGCATATTCCTCATCTGAAAGATAGCCAAGGCCCATCTCATATTCATCTGGAATGTCAGTGTTTATAGAATCAGTACCAAAGAAATCTTTGACGGCCATGTCATCTTTGGTGAGATCGTCCATTCCTGCGGTGCGGTTTATAAAAAAGCCCGAATTCACCAGGTCCTGCATCTGCATCTGTGGGTCTGCTTTATCGACCTTAACATGTCCCAATACTGGAGCACGTTTAACAATATTCGGGTGTTGATATGTTCCCCAGTTCAGCCTTCCTTCCTGAATCTCTTCCTGCTCGTCCGTGAGCTCGGCGAGAACAGTGACACAATTTCCCTCAAAAACAGGATTGGATGTAATGAAGAAAGAGCGGTACTCTCCAGTAAGGTGACCGCACCCAACATGGTAGGTGATGAGATTGAATGATCTGCTGTCAAACTTGCTCCATTCTCTTTCCACAGTTGGGTATGCGTCGGGAGCAAAACATACTTCAATTTTTCCATTACCACAAGTAACATCTTTGATGTGACTTGAGTGTTCCAAAACAACTGTGGGTCGCGAGAATGTTGCATACAGCTGGCCATGTTTTGCGCCGTGAAGGGCAGCTAAAGACATATTTAGATCCCCCAGACATGATAGATAAAAAGCCAAACAGATTTCAGGTACTCACGTCGATGTCCTTCTTGGCTGTAGTAAAGCTCTTTAGAATCATCGGGGATCAGATGGTTATAGTTGTGAGGGTCGTGTTCGGGGTGAAGAGCAGGATACATGTTAATTCCATCATGTGCAAATGAAGGTGGAACTTGGAGAAGGCCATGACGTGCTGAGTGCAACCCACTAAAAGTAGACACCGTACTACCAAAATAGGCCAGAGAGATAAGCGGTTGAAACACCCTCATGGTTAATTTTGATACTCTCAGGTTCGCTGTACAGCCTGGACTTTGACCTCATTGATATAAATATTCTCCGCATCCCAAAAGAGGATCTCGACCCTCGAATCAATAGAATGTGACATGCGTCCTTGTGAAGGGGCATCATTGATTGCGTGGTCACAATTTGAGATACCAAGGTAGGTACTTAAGTATGGATCGTCAGCTGCTCTACCTAGGCACACGTTGATCGAAGCCACCTTGGTATCTATGTTTGAAGGATGCAGGCACACGGTACATGGAACACATGAACATTGGTGGGTTATGCAGCTGGGCATGGGTAGGTCTGAAAGGCGACCAAAGATGTAGATTTTCAAATCAAATTGACTACCAAGCCCTTGGAACGTAACTCTAAAATTTATAAGAGTAGATTTACTCACGGATATCTAAACTTGAGATTACTCCTACCTAGATGCTGGATTGCGGTCAAGGAGCATTCAAACAAGCCTACAGAACTTCGAATTACACCATGTCTGTCGGGCCCTACAAAGGGATAATAAGTCAGCTGGAAAGGGCCGGAATGCTGAGTGTATGATTTGTAATTGCCTCAGTGATCTTCCAGGGTTCTTCTTCTCCTGTACTCAACTGAAGTGGAAGTCCAGCTCTGAAACCCTCTTTTACAATTTACACACCCGCATATCAATCGAGTACAAGTGGATATGGATCGACCCGGCGGAGCGGGAGCCCTAGTACCTAGATATCATGCATGCAAGGGATATTTCCCCTTATTCAAATGTCGGCGAATCCAGATCTATGGACAGTAGTAATGACTCAGTTTTCATAATCACTCGTGGCTGCTCCAATGTTTCCACATGTGTCGTACCTAACCAACTGTGACTAGGACGACAGATCAGTTACATAGTTTGTTAGATACTATCAGTCAATAATCTACTGCTATACTAAATGTTAAGTCTTAGTTCAAAGTTGAGATTTATCATCTATCGATTCTAAAGGCAATTGATAAAAGGAAAGAGACAACAGAAAACATGTTGGCTATGTAGTTAGAATCTACAATTTACTTCGGATGCATTCTGGGTCCGCTCTAATAAAGCCATATGATGACTAAGGTCATCAAATGTATTATCCAACTAGTCTGGTTCAGGTCTAGTGTCTTGGCAATTCCCCATAATCAATCCTCTTGTAATTTCACTGCTTTCTTACACCATAAAGTGATATCTACCAAGATGTCTTACAACGAGCCTTACGACAGGAAACAAAAGAATGAATTTGAGAGCTTCCTAAAAGACTACTGCAAGTAGGCAGATAGCAGCCAGAAAGCAGCCCTGGCCATGTATTTGAGAGACCGGCCTACATTCATGTCCCCCGCCGATCGGCTGCCACGAGTGGAGTACGAAATCCGAATCGACTACATCACCCATATCCAGGCCCAGCTTAGGAAATCACCTCTAAGGGCCGATTTCCAATTGAACACTTTACAGTTTTCAGCATTTTTGGTAGCACCGCTTACAAAATTGAAAGAGCTTTCGGATCTTTCCAACTCTGCAATGGGAATTTTCTCAGTTGAAAAGATTCTTGAAGACATAGAGCCATTCATCAGAGCTTGTATGTTTACGGGAAATTTTCTTCGGATTCACTCTTACTAATATTTATAAATAGTTCTCCGCGGGCCCGGTATGGTAGCCAAGGATGATTATATGGCTTCTACTGCCGTTACCTCCGAGTCTCTTGCCGCGACCAATGAGTCACCTAGTAAAAAGCGACGAATCCCTTCTGGTGTTTTAGGTATTTCCCCGGATTACACATCAGAGGGAACTAAGAAGCGTCGAAGCCAGAAAGAATCAAGAAAATGCTCTAAACGGCATGGTGAACGGTGCATGATTACAAAAACCATTCACCCCGCTGGCTGCCACATCGTCCCATTTAGCTGGAGTGAAAGCGTCAAAAACACTCAAACGATGGCAAAACTCTTAGGTTTATTTACCCAGTTCTTCTTTGAACAGGACGAAGATCCTTCCCTTCTCTGTAAAGAACCTGGGTGCGCAGATAAAGCATGGAATATGCTTTGCTTGAGCCCAACTCTTCACACATGGTGGTCCCATGCCCTCTTTGGGTTCAAACGTATAGGCCTATCCCCTCTACCAGGTGAGTCATCTAATCTCGGTGTGATTACTGAGGTAACTCTACAATTTCACTGGCTCCCGACGCCTAAGGGCATAAATCATCTTCAGAAAGTCGATCTCACGAAGCAGCGATTTGGCAACAAAGAAAGCCTTCGGTATAAGTTGGATAATGACGCAAAAGTCGTGGATGTGAAGGTTAACCTTCCATCTGACCAGCCAATCCGGACTGGCCATACCTTCATCGTTCATATACCAACAGAAGACTTGCGAGAGTTTTGCGTTGTGATCGACTTACAATGGGCCCTCATGCGAATTGCTTCAATGTCAGCATTTGCCGAAACAATTGCCTTAGAAGACGACGAAGGCCCGGACATTAAAGGTTGGCTTCAGGGTGTCCTAAACTTTCCACCACAATCAGTGTCACATTCTCCGGAGCGAGTTTCGTATTCTCCAGAGCAAGTTTTGCATTCTCCGGAACGAGTGTCACGTTCTCCAGAGCGACGTCACCCCCCAGATAATCCTTTACTTCGACCTCCGCGATCATCAAACATTCCTCTACCGCATGCTACCGACGATAAGATGACTCGCCCCGTACGCGCCACCCAGAACACATCTCAAGATGAAAGGGCAGGTGTTACAACAGAGGCTAAAGAGTTAGCCGAGAATGTGATACCCACTCGCTTGCACAGGACTCATTCTCGTGATGATCTTTCCGAAGAAGTCGAAGACTACTTCATCGAGTCGCAAGACTCTGAGACCTGGGGGTATTAAGGGTTTAACCTCTGCTTCTATAACCAGTGACTGTAGTTACTATGAAGTAGCTGCCTAGGCATATCATGTCTTAATTGTCTTTTTATGCTTTAGGCAAGTAGTTCAATGATATTCATCGTGACCTGCATCCATCGTAAGATATGCACCAGTACTGTAACGGGTCGATACCGCTCAGTCCCTGGAAAGACTGCGCTCCTGATTCCTGTGCGGAGCCGGACGAGCTAACTTACTTCGCATGCAAAATATATTTAGTTATTTACCACAGTAGCAATTAGTTGATGGATTATCTAATCCATTTCTCCAGGTTCAGACAGCTTCCAGGTTCAGACAGCTTCCAGGTTCAGACAGCTTCCAGGTTCAGACAGCTTCCAGGTTCCACCAACTGTCTTTTCCAATGCTTTCAATACCTTTGTTGATGGTATCATCAACCCGATAGATGGTTTTGGTGGATCTTCAGCTGAGTGAGCCATTGCCACAAGCTGGCCTGTCCACTCCCAACCATCTTTCTCACGCATTGGCTTGAAAACGCCACACCCTGAATCTCCTCTGTCGCATACACCATGGAAACCTATGAACCTTGACACATTGACGTCTTCGCGTGATGTGCCTACAGGCGCAGAATCACGAGTGCCCTTCAGATATTCGATGTACTCAAAGTTTCCAATCTTTCCGCTACTGATACCCGTTGCTGCTCCATCCTTATAGCAGACTTCGCCTCCTTTCAGATAAGCGCATCCGATTACTCCATTCACACCGAAAAATTCGGGATGAGGCCTTTCGGCTTCGGCGACACAGTCCAATAGCCTAGCAGAGCTGTACCACGAGCCGTTTACGCCAGACACGCTGTCATCTAGTTTTAACAGCGTGTAGTCGCTGTCCCAGCCTTCGCTTGTTACGCCGTAGTTGCCAAAGACGGCTTTGCCGCAAGGCTCATCTCACACCCGCAGCAGCTCTTTCACGCGGTCCGGGCCCTTCTCTCTGACTGCATCATAAAGCAGCGCAAGACCATCGAGTAGTCCTGGGGTCTTCACTAGTGCATTGTCTGCCTCCTTGAACGGAAGCACGTGGTACGCAGTGAGGGCATATCTACCCCCATCACTGCAATCGGTGACGAATACTCCAATTGAGCCCTTTGCTTCCTGGTCGGCGAGTGATATCGACTGGCCGTGCCTCAATTGGCTATCCAGAGGAGGACGCATTACTGTACGGAGGACGCACCGAAATTTGTAATCCCTGTCACTTACCTCCGGGCCTGTCAAGTCTACTGGTTCTAGCAACTGTTTCGCCTTGGATACATGGTCCCCTACTCGGGATAAATTCACCTTCATGGTAAGGATGGGATCTCCGGTAGTCGGAAGTGACGCATTGATACTAGTCTCTTCATCGTCGTCAACATGCAGACATATGCAGTCAGTGTTCAGCTTTTGCCATCCGAATTGATTGCGAGATGCTACTACTGCCTTGGCGGTACTACTGCTAAGTAGGTATTTACGGACGAATGATAGATCGTCGAGCAACGGCTTCACTGGTTCGATTCCAGAAGGTGCAATAATCAATGGTGGTTGTAGACGCCGGATGTAACTGTTGGCGGGACCTATAATGGGTACCACGCGGTAATCTCCAAAATACGTTCCATCGCTGATGAGGCTGGGAATCATTAGTACTGTTCATTAGTGCTGTCTATATTCTTTGGAATGCAATATTTCAAGAGTGCAGGGTGGATATACTGCTGATTGAGCCCCCTGGGGCCATCGAGGATTGACATAGATGTCCATAGGCTGAGGCTACATGGCCTGCCATGAAATTCGCGCATCCCCCACTGAAGAAGTGTCCTCATTGTGGTGATATACTTCGGCGCATCTTTGCCCGTTGGCGCATCCTGCTACTGCAACTCACGGCTCTCTGCGAGGGCTCGCATAGACTGGAGAACCTCTTGAGCGCTGTCTGATTTCAAAATCGCCTCAACCTTTAAAGCAAACTGCTCGAATAATGTCGACAGTGTAGCTGAGGTCGCCATGGCTGGTGGAAGAGTTGCCGAGACACAGAGGCCGATGAGAACTGTCTTGATTGGCGGACTGTGGCTATGGACTGCTGTGACTTGGACGGGAAGAGGGCGCATAGATCTCGTTGAAGCAAAGGGGTCAGCAGGGAAGGTGAAAGCTGCCGTGAGAGTCGTGACAACGAAGGCGGAGGAGAGAGTCGTCGCTTTTGCGGGGTGACTGGCAGAAATTTTGAGGATATTTTAGCTATACTGCAAACAGTATGCGAACTTGAGAATAGGATAGAGGGAAAAATACCCAGTTACGAACCCTTGTTGCCAAGCTTAGTTTATCACGTTAGAGGAGGAAGGTGCAATGAGCCTTGGAGAATGAAAAGGAAGTTGATGATGCGCGGATGATACCATGATCTCGTTTAGTTCTAGTACATTATCTTTGATCATCATGAGCCAGAATCTTGCGGGACAGCCTCTAGTCAGAAGTGTGTTAGTTGTACTCCTTGTTTTCGTTGTATAGGGCGTTGGAAATGGATGCTTACTGACGGCCACGTTAACCAAGAGTGACGCGTGCGGTATATCTTGGCTATAATTATGCGCATATCCGAAGGTGGCAGTATCAGAAGCATAGATAATATCTCGCTGCTCAATCAGAACCACCTGCTGTGCGAATGGTACGAAAGAAAGTCGCAAGATCGTGATCAATGCATCCATAGTGGCTAGATTCCACTTAACGATGGTAAGCAGCAGCCAAACACCGCGACTCGCATCATCAAATGTTCCAAAGTCAGTAAGCCTGCGGGGCCCGCTCTTCAAGTGAAGCCATTTTGCCTGTCCCATAATGAACTAACCCCATGCATTAGTGCCGTGGTATATTCAATTGACAGTATAGCAATGGTTGTGCTGAGATAAATAGGTCCGAGCCAGGCAGAGAGAGGCTTGCTGTCTATATGGAAGAAGATAAGGGCAATGATAACGAGGATACAGAGGGCCGAAATCGAACTAAGAGATCCCAAGAGCCATTCGTTGGTGGAGTACACTGGATTGCGCTTATACTTAGTAGTTGAAGTTTTGGCTCGAATCACGCCCCAGAAAACCAACATTGAAACTTATAGATTCAACCGTCCTTTCACAACACTTGTATTAATGTTCAAAAATTGTAGTGCCTAGGTGTGCTGCAGCGAATACCAGGAAAGTGAATCATGTCAATGCGTTATGCGTCCTATTCTTTCTACTTGTGATTTTAGAACTGAATTCAACATTGAAGGCTCCAACCAGAAAAAAGCCGCATAAGATTTGCTCCAGCAAATCACATCAATCAAAAGTAGACATGTGGTGGGAAAATGGAAACAATTTGAAATTCATTTTTAACAGATTTATAATAAGCCTGTTAAATATTGAAGGAAAATTTGGGGTTGAGATTGGGACCAGATGTTTTACCATGGAGGACATGACTCCCAATAGTCCTATAAATGTCTAATCAAAAGTACAGAGGATGGTAAAATAACTCTTAAGCGGAGACGCCTTTCTCCACAATAACGCCTCATTATCCTCCGACTCGCGTCATGAGGCTCTATAGCTCTGGTACTACGGAATACCATCCAATAATGTTTTTTTTTCCTAATTTTTTACCCTTCCTTTTTTTGAGGCATTTTCGTGATCAAACCGGCTCAATGAGCGAATGAGCCTTCGACCCCTTAAAAGATTCTGTGGACTCAAGGTTAATTAGTCAGTTTGGGATGAAATAGTACACCTTGCAGTTGAAAGTTTAAGAACACCAATCCGTTAACTTGAAGAATTATCTTAAAAAACTGCAGCATCTACCGTAGATAAGACAAATATCGATGGGCGTTGAAGTGGAGAAATCATGAGTATTCACAAGTACGGCGAACCATCGCGAAAACAGAACTTGAATGCTGCATCTCGTGTTTTGCCTTGCAGGAATACTACTCTGTGATGTATCAGCCCGAGTGGATAAGCACTAATGCACAGCTGCCATGTTCAAGTATCTTTGCCGGCGCTAGTAAGTATCAATGATACAAGCTTACGAGACTAAAGAGATTTGGAAGTTTTACTCCGGCTTTCAACCAAGCAGCCTGACAGTACTTATCCGTTTACCTCAATATCTCACTTTCCATGTGGAAGAATGGGCCTGAACGATATAAAATTCCCCAAATTTGACTTGTCGACCAAGAGAGGACACAGCAGCTCCTTATCAGAATCCAAGTCTTCGACAATTTCCGACGTACGGGCACCTCGTGAGACTCCAAAATGGATGCGAATTACCGGAGTGGATATTCACCTGGCCTCTATCAATGAGCAAGCAGCCGAACTTCTCAAGACAAATAAACATATGCGCATACAACTCAATGAAGCTCAACGTCTACGCGCCTTGAAAGAGCGCTCACTGGATCCCAGCGAGCGAGAGTGGATTGACGGGACTCTCCAAGATATCGAGGACACATCTCGTGAAGTGGCCATTTTCCTAGAGCCCACTCGTGTTGAAACCGAAACTGGAGGTGGGAGAATCAGTTTAGGGAGGCGGATAAAATGGGTCTATCGCGACAACCAAAGAGCCCGAGATAAGACCAATCGACTTTTGGCCTGTAACACAAGTCTTATTGCGGTCCTGACGCATCTTCAGCGAGTTGAGGTTGGTGAGCGGCCCATTTCATACGAACTCCCAGCCAATATACCAGCAAAGTTTGCTATAAATAGCTCAGCCAGTCTCCATGAGTCAAACAGTGGAATGAGTTCCAGTGAAATCAATAATTTGGAAAGAGTTTCAAAGTGGTCGCCGAGTACAAGATCTTTGAACCACGAAATGCAAGATATGTTAGCCTGGCAGCTTTCTAAAGGAGCACATTTACAGTGAGGCAGAAGGCACGGGTTTACAGAAGCTCTTAGAATTAATGGCTACTGATTTATTTATCATTCCAGTATATTCCTTATAGGAGTAGCCGAAGAATTGATATTATAGTTACTAAGATTTGGAACAGAAATTTGTAGTTTAAATAGTTCTTCTATCCTCGTCCAGCAAAACGCGAGGAGAAGACAATCTTTTACCTTGCTCGTCACGGGTCCTCAAAACAGCTGGAAACACGACGATCTGATTGACAGAGGCATCAGACTTTGACCATCGAAATTCAAAGACGCATGGCTGAAATAGTAGCCATTTCCCGAGATCAGCTGCAGCGCGAGTCACATTTTCCAGATGACTCAACCGGGAAGTTAGAGAAAAGTGGCTGTCGCTGTATGGGGCAAATTTTTCGGTGAAGTCTTCGGCAAATAACGATATTGCATCCGCTTGGTCTGAAGGGGAGCGTTGGCTTTGATTGTATAAAAACGATGTCAACATGCGCCAAGCAAAGACCGTACGTTCGTCTGGAATGAATTAGCTACACGTGGTTTTATTTCTGTTCAAAAGAGCTTTACCCGAATTATTGTCACTCGCCCTTGTCTCCAATTCAAAGCATTGTGGGATCAGAGACTGTTTATGACTTCCAGGTTGGATGCGCTTGAGGAGGGCATATAGCAATGTATGAGTAAGTATTTTTCTCTGAGACTTCGAGTCAGTCAGCAAAGCAGCTAGCGAGCTACTAAGAAGTAGAGAATCATATTCTTCGATAGCGGCACCTTCATCTCGACGCAACTGGGTGTGTGAATTATGACGGGAATAATAGTTGTCGATGTGTAAACTGACTTGATCGAAAAAAGTCTGAATCCGTGAACAGACCGTTCGATCATCTGCTGCCTGTGGAATATATGGGGATAAATCAAGCATGCCGATCGAGTCTGTTTGTAGATACGGGACTGAAGAGTCGAGCGCCTTGTTTCCCCCATTTCCTGTAGCTTTTGGTGTCGATGAGACGACACCATAAGACTCTTTGGCTGAAGTTTTAACCGAATTATTGCGTCGGCGAAAGAATAGAGCTGCCAACAACGAGGCCAGGAGAATACCCCCCAAGAACGAGCCTATTACTGCTCCTGCAAGTCCTCCTGACTGTATATGAACACCAGTGTATTTATTGACTGCAGTAGGAGATGAAGCATTTGTTGTATGAGATGTACCGGATGTGGAATAGATTGCACTAGTTATGGATTCGGAAGCTGAAGTTGTTGTTTGTATGGCACTCGATGGTAATTCGGAAGCTGGAAGTGGTGTTTGTATGGCACTCGATGGTAATGCGGAACTAGGTGTGCTATCTCCGGACTGGGCGATGGGAGCTGGCGCTGCTACAGAGCTTGGAGTGATGGGAGTGGTTGAGTCGGTTGCTGCGGAACTAGGTGTGCTATCTCCGGACTGGGCGATGGGAGCTGGCGCTGCTACAGAGCTTGGAGTGATGGGAGTGGTTGAGTCGGTTGCCATTTTGAACAAAAATCAAATGTAGATTTAAAAGTGAAAGAATAAAACTGAATACTCAACTCTATTCAGGAAATTGGTTGGTATTTAAGGCCTAAATTGATGTATCCGAAATGGAAATTACAGGGGAATACAAGCTGATACTCGTGGTGTGCACGATCCATCGCTCTGCATTACCTTCATCCATAGCGTGACAAATTCAACAACCCTGTCGCGAGGCTGAAAAATGAGTGATATTCCCCTATTCTTGTTCAGCTAGACTACCAAGTCAAATTTCCTAGATAACTGTTAGATTACCTTTGGTCTAGGGCCACAAAGCTCGTGCTGCCAAAATGAGTGACAAGGAGGTTTTTATTCCCAATGAAGAACCGGATATCATTGTGGGTATTGATTTTGGAATGACTTTTACTGGTAGGTCGCCTTATGTTAATCCTATCAGCCTCTTTATCTAAACACGACTCACACGTGCGAAGGGGTTGCTTACTCCTCAGCACCGGAATGGCTTCCTCCAAAGACAATCCAGCGTTGGCCAGGAGGACTTCCAGGAGATTTGGCAAACAAAGTACCAACATGCATCGAGTATGACGATGAATCAGGATTGGTAAAGAGATGGGGCTTCCAGTGCGATCAGGAACAGAAGTCTTCTCATGTGAAAGAATTTTTCAAGCTACACCTTGCACCTCAATATCATGATGACTATTCAGGATTGCCAACCAGACAGGAAGCTCAGAAATGGTTTCAAGACTACATACAGTGTCTGTATCGACATGTAGTTACTCATTTCCAGAGTACAATTCCTCAATTTGTCTCGCGACACGTTGAGTTCATCTTCAGCGTACCCACTACCTGGAAAGACGTGCGTATGATTGAGGAAACGAGGAGATTGCTTGAAAGCTCAATAAGCGCAAAGACCCCGATGCATAGTGTCTCTATCGGTCTCACAGAGGCAGAAGCAGCCGCAGTATACGCGAGTAATGGGTTTTATAAGGTGAGAAAAAGAGCCTTTGTGGTTTTCTCTTTGGCTAAAATTATTCATATAGACGAACGATACAATTCTGGTTTGTGATGCTGGCGGGGGAACAACTGTGAAGAAGCCTTATATTGAACTGTTCAATTAAGTTTCTAATCTCCGGCATAGGACCTAAATATTCTTAAGCTTAAATCGGACCGGGGTGACCCTGCTAAACTCGACCAGCTAGGACACGTTGAAGGTACTCCATATCACCATTCTGGATCTTATAAATAATGATCGTGCTGACAAATGACCTACCAGGGCAACCTATTGGCTCAGTTTTCATCGATAGAAAGATTCACCAATTGATTCAGGCACGATTAGAAGGTGTTCGTGAGCATTTGAATCTCTCCCCATCAGAGACGGCATGGAGAATGATATCGGGCCGGTTTCAGCGGCTGAAATGCGCATTTGGGACTGAAGTTACATCAACCCCTGGGTTGAAGCTTGACATTCCGTCGATGAAAACTGATCTGGATGATCCAAAATTAGGGATATACGATGGACAGATGATGATTGATTGGTAAGCAATTGTTCTTCATTTCACGTCAGTTTCTGAATAAGCTGAAATAAGTTTAGGAAAGAGCTCAAACTTGCGTTTGACTTGAAGATTGATGAAACCATTAAGCTCATGGACGGACACATCGCTCAAATGAAATCTAACTACCCCGATGAGAAGATTGTAAGCTTATCACAAACTCCATCAAACAGCCAATACTTACAATTCTTGATGAAAAGAAATACCTGGTTCTGTCAGGAGGTTTTGGCAGCTCTTCATACGTTCGCCAGCGCCTCATGGAAAAATACGACCCCGAGCGAGATTCGAATGGCAAAGGGATGCAGGTTCTTGTTGCCGATGAGCCGTAAGAGTCAATCCATTTTATTTACTTTGATGACAGAAAGATTGATGAGGCATATGCAGGCAACTAGTGGTAGTTCATGGCTTGGTATTAGATCGGATCCAAGTAATTAAACGCGGAGTTGTCACGATTGAGTCCAGATGCTCCCCGGTCAGTTATGGTATTGTCTGTGACAAGATCTATCATCCCGAGCAACATCTGGGAGAGCCAGTTCGGATTGACGCTCGCGACAAGTTGACTTACGCCGTTGACCAAGTCGAATGGATTGTCATCCAGGTATGGGGCCAGAGATAAAGATGCTCAACCTTGACTGATTCTGATCCAACAGGGGCTATCGATTCCAACTACAGGGCTGACCAAGCAGTTTCAACTGAAGGTGGATAAAGGTCGTGAGAACGAATCCTGGAAGGTGAGCGTTGTCATGTCAGTCCTTCCACCAGATAAACTTCCTCAGAACTTTCGTCACCAGGGGGTTCATCAAGTGTGTGACCTTGATATCGCCACATATGATGTGGAAAAGAAACTCAAAAATCGACACTGGTACAACACAAAGCCTGCATTTTGGAGGTCTACTTTTGATGTAAGGGTGGTGGTTGGGCCTGCCGATCTTTCATTCCAGCTTTGGTCGTGCAATAGGAGAATCATGTCAAGTGAACATGAACCTATTGCTGTCAATTGGATGCCATCTAAAGATTTTGATTGATGGAAGTTTTTGAGATCCACACTCAATATTTACGGAATGAGGTCGTTTTTTAGATAATAGTCAAGAAGTCCTGGTCATCCTTATCAATGTAGCATCCTTATCAATGTAGCACTGACACTAAGCAACAGATACTAAGCAACAGATTCCAGATAGGGATGGTAACGGATTTGACGGATTGACGGATTGACGAATTCAATCCGTCAAATCCGTCAACTATTTCTGATTACGTAAAATCCGTCAATCCGTCAATCCGCCAATCCGCCAATCCGCCAATCCGCCAATCCGCCAATCCGTCAAATCCGTCAAATCCGTTGAACGGATTGACGGATTGACGGATTTTAGATCCATTACCATCCCTAATTCCAGAGAGGATATACATGGTAGAAAAATGGAAAAAGCAACTATCAAAGTGTTTAAATTACGTAGAGAAGTGGCATAAAATAAGGTCATGTTTTGTTAACTAACGTGTGTGTTCATCTAAGCAATGATCTCCCTATCAATTCCCACTATTCCCTTTCAGCAACTGCACTACTACCAAGAATCACCCGCATGATGACCAAATCATCAACCAAGACCCCTACTGAGCGCATGAAACTTCAAAAAGGGCACCAGTACATCAGGAATGATCACAATTATATACCATGCCCTCCGGATTCACCCGACCTCCAGACTAGCCACGATATTGTCACCGTGCTCTCTAACCAGATGGGAGGTCTCGTACTCGAATATGATAGCTCCTGTGTGGAGAAGTCCGGGTTTAGAGTGCGATCTACCGAAGCCAAAGCAATGCGACTTGTCTTTGAGCATACCGATGTTCTCGTTCCTGAGGTAGTTTTTACTAATTTCCGCTCAGAGGAAAAGCAAAAAAGGCTAAGGGACCTTTCTAATCCTGATTCACGTCCGAGTCGAACTTTTGGACTTATTGCAATGAGCATTATTTCCGGTACCGCTCTAGAGCAGAAGTGGAATGAACTAGACGATAAGTCTAAAGAGTCAATCTGCCTTCAACTATGGGACATGATATCAAAAATCCGAACTATTCCTTGTCCATCAGAGCTCAAGGGTCTTATCAGTGCTCCGCGGATGGCTCTCCATCAGTGGACCCAATGTTCGAGGATCTACAATACCCTCCCCGACCGCTCTTAAGTGACACTGACCTACGTGCGAGAATCTATAAAAGGTACATACACTGTGGAGGGTCCTTATATAAGCAAGGATTACCAAGTATGCTGCCTCAGTCGGATCGATCTGTGTTCACGCATGGAGACATCGCGCCGCGCAATATCATAATTGACGAGCAGAATAATATCAGCGGCATTCTGGACTGGGAATTCGCGGGATGGTATCCTGAGTATTGGGAGTATGCGCAAATCATGCGTCCGGCGTTCCGAGGAGACTGGTCGGTCTGGATGGAGAAGACTGCGCCAGAGCGGTGGGATCTCTCAGGAATTAATGCTGCCAGGAAGGTTTTATTCTGAGTGCAATATCCCAGAAACTTTGCTCAAACTAGGCTTTATCCATGCACCTAGAAGCTTTCAATATATAAGTAATAGATCGTAAAAGAGCTGATCTTCACTCACCTAGCACCACTAGGACTAATTAGCGCTACCCTCGAGCGGCATTTATTGCTCCGACCTTCTTGATGCTACCCATTCAGCAATCACTTTTTTCATTCCTTTACTCATCCACATAGATCTCTTTAAAGCAACCGCTCCGCATGCCCTAGCTTCTGGGCTAGCACCATGCTCCGCGAGCCATTTGACTCGTTCTACTGCACTCACACTAGTCGCATATATAATGGGTAACTCGTCCGTGATTGAATGGAACATGTCCAACTTATTGACATCTGCACCGCGCTCAACAAGTAAAGTCATCACTGGAATTCTGCTTTTATCGAACTCTTTATTTAATTCGAGAGGGGGAGCTTCGAGCCCATGAGCACAATCCTGCCATCGAATCGATTCAGGAAGGTTTGCTCCAGCGGCATAGTGGAGGGGATGACCGTTCTTGATCTCTGCACCGTGATCGAGCAGAAGCCGTACTGCTTAGAAACCGCCCTTCGAAGCAGTGTTCTCAAGGACTTGACATGGGCCAGAAACTCGGTTGCGCTTAGCAGGTTCACACCAACCTAGATTAGGGTCTGCACCATGATCGAGTAATAAGGTAAGAAGAGGTAGGTCATCAATCATATCGTTTAGTATATGTTCATCATACTCTCTTATAGGATTCGGATTCCAGCCATATTGAAGGATCAGTTTAAATAGGGGAACGTGCTGGACTGATGGCGCCAAAAAGATATTTTCAATGCGGTCTTGCGAGCTAGAGCACCAATAGATAGAAAATAGTCGGCGAGCTCTATGTCTCCGCTCCTAAGGTCGATAGTGAGGCCATGGTGCAGAAAGACTGGTCTATAAGTCCCACCAGAGATGATAGATTTGACTGTAGAAAGAGAACCGTCTCGACAAGCTGATTCATAGAGAAGAAAAGATTCAGGCTTTTGGCCGAGGAAGCCAAGGTCATTGTCGGCTTTGATGGGGAGGTCACAGTAGAAGGACCCCATTCCTTCTGAGTCCAGCTCTAATTGTTGCCATCTGTTGCATTTGTGGTACACATGTCCCTTGTCATACTGCAACTGACGGATTTTCTGCATACATTGACCTTGAATATAAGAGAGGTCGCTCTCTGAACCCATTGGTCGTTTCGGCGCACGCTCCAACCGCCGCATGATGTCGCGAAGGGGCTCTTTCGTCGCCTTTTCCAGAGATTCCTGATCTGTCGGCCGCTTTGCGGGCACATAATTAGGATCACGCTCTAACATCATTCTCCTGAACATATGTTCCTGCATAAGCATGTTCTGCTCACGAGTGGGGGAAGTTCTCATCTGTTTCTCCAAAAGCTTCATCTGCTCATCAGTGTAAATAGATTCCTCAGGCTGCTGGTCAGACATCTTCACGGGCTTGTATCAACTATCTAGCTTATTGATGATGTGATGGGAGAATATGGATGGTAATGATGCAATCGAAAAGGTGAAGATTTGTAATTATATTAGGCGGTGAGATACCGCTAGTAAAGTGCTATATTTATTGTGTCTCTAGTACACTGTCTGGTACATTCAAATACTAAATGCGCCTTATGATATTAATTCTCTAAATAACTATATTAGCACCTACTGTCGTTATATATGATGAGACCTCTTTACTTGATGCATCAACTACAGTTGGGTAAATGTGTGTAGGTCTGATGGTGCTAAACTGCTGCTGAAGGAATTACATAGTATCTCCACTCTTTCTGTCTATTGGGCGCAATAGGCTCGGGGACGGTCCGTGCCGTTTCCTTCCAAACGATCTGCATTTATTAAATCAGCTTTATTACTTGACCGGCATATCTGCAAAATCGAGGTAACATTTAGCGCTAGTGAATTGGTCAAATCGGAGTTTAATACACACGTTTATACATGGAGCTCCCATTCTTCATTGCTAATATAAGATAAAAAACCAAAAAAACCAGAATTTATGTGTCATATTTGACATCATCGATTTTGGGAAATTGGATGCATACCTATACAGACACCTAATGACGAATGCATCCATCTTATTAGCTACCTGAGACGTGCTTGGACGCACTTGAAAGTTTGGGTACAAGATCCAGATTCCGGCCTATTCATTGAGAATGGAACGGAAATCTGGAGAAAGTGGTCTCACCCGGCGCTCACCCGGGCGACACCCACCCAACTATCCGCCGTGGATGAGCCACAGGCCGGTCAGTTGGTAGATGGTGACCACGGCATTCGCTAGTTAGCTTCTATATAAAATCAAGTATCTATAAGCATAGCACATACGACCACAGGGTGTGGAGAACAGGGCTTCCCGTCCGCTCAGCCGTACTTAAGCCACCTATGAAACGCGGAAAATAGTACAAAAGCCCTTCGCACTTCGCGCACCCTAAAGCAGCGATAGAACTCTCCTTAGGGTGAGGGTGGGTGATATGGGTGAGCTCGGGTGAGGATGGGTGAGCACTGGGTGAGCTTAGCACCCCTGCCCCTGCCCCAGAATTTTTCACCTAACAGACCAAAAAATACATAAATTCTTGGTAGGGCTCTTCATTTGCTTTTACATGCTTTTTATCCCGTCAGTTTTGAACATTTGAAAGATGTCTGATTTCGAAGATCTTCAAAAGATTGCCGCTAAGCGTGCTGCACTTGCCGCATCACGTGGATTTACAACTGCGTATCAGGATACCAAAGAACAAGAAGAGAACAAAATTTGCCATAAAAAACTCGCGCCTGCTACAATCAGCAAGTACGATTATTCGTTACGAAATTGGAAGCTGTAAGTCAAAAGGCTGCAACTTAAGTCAAAGTTCTTTCTAACAATATTTATAGGTGGATGATATCCGAGCCAATGAGAGCGGGTATTCAAATGACCAATCAGATCACTCGAATCCCGTCAATTGGAACAGCTAACTTGTAGAAATGCAGACATAGTCACCCAGATCCAGATATTGATAACTAGATCCAACAGCCGGATTCCAAGCGTAGAAATCCGCTAGGGTAATGCTATTTTCCTGCGCAACGTCGTAACATGTATCACCACCCTGTACCTCATAGTAGATAGTGCAGTCCGATGTGATCCCCGTTTGGACTGGATCTGGTACTAAAATAACTCCCATATTAGTATTGGACTATTGATAAGACAAGGGAGATATTTATTCTTAGTCAATTTTTACCTGTTATTCCAATACAGACATAGACGTTCAACTCCAAGTTTTTACAGCTAGAGCCAACAGCCGGGTTCCAAGCCAGAAAATCAGCTGCGCTGATATCATATGTCTGCTCAATAATGTCGCAAGTATCCCCACTTTGGACCTTATAATAACTATCACAATATGTTGCAATACCAGTCTGCACAGGTGATGGTACTGATCCAGTGCCTGTCGATGTAGTAGTGATGATAGAAGGAGAAGTGGTCGTCGGAATAGTGACTGTAGAAGTGGCTGAAGCATAGTAAGCGCTCTCGTAAGCAATCACAGTGCTCGCAACAGCAGTTCCACAGGCCTCATTTACGCAGTCCCAAATACCATAGTAGAAGTCAATATTCTCACAGAGGCAAGATGGGTCTGCACTATTACACCCCAGAGTCTCGTACTCAGCCAACATATTATTGAAACACGTTTGGCCGCAGGTAGGTAGAGAGGTAATCGGAGGAAGGGTCGTAGTTGAAGTTGAGGTTGAGGTAGTAGTAGAGGTAGTAGTAGTAATAGTAGTAGCAGTAGCAGTAGTGGCCGAAATGACTGAACTTGGCTGTGTACTGCCAGTCTGATTGGATGCTGATGAAATCCGAGTCAGATATTTCTCGTAAAACTTCTTGAGGCCAAGTACTATTACCAGATACACCAACACAGACGTAGTAGCCATAGTCCATCATAGTACAATCAGATCCAACCGCGGGATTCCAAGCATAGAATTCTGCCATCGTGATATCATACTCTTCAAGAATATCTGCGCAATCAAGACCCTCTTTAATGTAAAGATAATCGTCACCTAGCATACGCTTAACATTAGATAATCGTTATACTTAATCATAGTCATATAAGCAGAAATTAACTTATAGCTAGATGTGATACCGGTCTATCGTGGCTCGTAGGGCATGGAAGTAGTAGTAGTAGTGGTAGTAACCTGTGCTGTGCCGACATAAACGTAGTAATCTGGCTCAAGACCCATATAGCCGGTGCTTATAGAACTGATAATTTGGTCAGTTGTTGTAATTTATATATCAATCAATAAGCTTTGAGGAATTAACTTATGGATTCCATGTGTAGAATTCTTTGAGCGTAAAATCAAGATAAAGATCCTGTATAGTATAGCAAGTATCATCGTCTTCCACATGATAGTATTTATCATAAGATGCGATCAACCCACTTTAGGTGGGAGAGGGGATTTTGCCGGAGGAGGTAGGGGTACCAGTGGTCTTGTAAGTAGTAGTAGTCATGGTAATAGCAGCGGCAGTGACAGATTCCCAACTCGTGCTGGAGACATCATCCGACACTTCACTAAAACTGATAATAGGGATAGCTGTTCTCGTACTCGTAGAGACAGAAGCTATAGCGGTCACAGCTGGGCCCTCCACATAATAGCTCCATCCCTTAATTAGTTCGCAATAATCCTCCAGCAGTGAGGGATTCTGATAAATATATAGTTATATTAGTGACCAGACTCCAATTAGACTAGAATACTCCTTTTGGGACTATGAAATCAGGAAAAACATACCCATGCATGAAGCTCCGCGATAGTAATTCCAAAGTATGTCTCAAGCTCCGCACAAGTATCTGTTGAGGAAATATCGTTTACCCAATATTCACAGTCACTGGTCACATCAGGGTCCGTATAATCACTAGCAGAATCGCCGTTCGACCATCTTTTTTGGTTTACTTGTGATACTGTGTCCTGAAACAGCAGACAAGAAGCAATTATTGTAGGGAGTAACATATTCAAAGCTCCCATGCAATATGTATGAAAAGTGCAGCAAGGGAATATAGGATGACAGAGAGGGACCTGTAAATACTGTCAAAAACAACCTTAGAGGGAACATATGCGATCAAACTCGAAGCTGAAAAAGGGGCACTTGAAATTATTGCATAGTTACCTATGTATTTACCTAGTCAATACTCCGTAAACGGGAAGAGTCTTCAAGTGGCAATATGGCATTTATTTAGCTATAATTAAATCCAAGTTTATTGATAAATGACTATTGAGTTGACTGACTAGTAAATTAATTACAGCTAAGTAATTGCCCCGTGGGCCGTTCAAGTATGGTAGCCGGGATTTCGGCATCTCGTATTAAATCATTTAGTACGGACAACCCATACGGAGTAGACTAGCATATCCCATTATGCATCTAAATCGTTATCGGAGCTTGGAATTCAACTCAGTTAATACTGTGACAGGCCTTATTTTCTCCCCTGGGATCCTTTAATGACAGTCTAGCGCAATTATGTAGACACATGTGCTAGGAGCCTGCCACGAAAGGGTATAATTGCTTGGAGTTGGAACAGGGTTTTGCTTGACTCTGCATCCATGGATGTCAGGTTAGCATTTTCTTCAGGCGATTTTGAATTTAGAAAGAAGCGGAAATGCTCCGGTTTGTGTAGCAATGAATGAGCAAGAGATATTCTCTTCTCGATGGTCTATCTAAGACTATGGCTTCAGCATCGGATAATTTCACTATTAAGAGAATTAGACTAGAGGCGTGGTGTCGAGTTGAAATCTTTAGTTCAGATTTGGAGATTTGGACTTAACATTATGAAGAAAGGCAGTATAGATTCAGGCATTAAGGCTAACATTCAGGCAGGAGTTTGTCTAATACTCAAGTGTGCGGAATGGGCAGCCGAAAAAACCAGATCATGTGATATTTTGCCAAGCCTTTTAAATCTGAATGGTATTACTAATTCAAAATCAAGTTCAATTTTTTCAAGTCCACATCTAACTACTGTAAATATGCCCCTAGGGGATGCTCATGCCTGCGCCAAGTCTTAGGCATTGTACGCATATTGCGAACAGTCCTAGCTTCTTCAATTAGCTTCTGGGTTTGAGCCCTATAGCCTTTGATATGTTGAAGCCATTTCTTTGTAAATTGATCATCATGGCGTCGCCAGTTCTTTGAGTTCGCCTTTTGCCAGATATAATAGACCTGGTGCCTTGATACTTCCTTTCCTTCTGGGTGCTCCCTACCCTGGCGGGAAATCTCTGCAGGAGCATGGGTTAAGACAAGGGAATCAATAAGATTATATATAACGTGTGGAACTTGAAGATCTTTATAAGGTGGGTGCCAATGATGTTGAATAGAAAGACGGAGGGTTCGGTCAAGTAAGGATGGCTGTATAATAAGCTTACTTCCACAAGCAAATCGCTCTATACGGCGGCCATCTATCTGCTTTTCAACCTCTACCTTTGATTGATAGCTTCGGGTGTGGGCTTCATCCTGAGAGCAATGATGTCTATACCGATGATATTGAGAATCAGTTGAGGTATGGCGGAATCGGAATCCACCTTCCTGCCAGATCAAATCTGAAAGATTATGCATTGCTTTTCTCATCTCCTCTTTATCAAACTCAGAGCCAAATTTGATAGGTAAAGCATCAAGTTCAAATTTAAAGTCATGAATAATAGGCTGAGGCTGGGAGAGAAGCGTAGTAAATTCGTCCCAATTATCGCGCTGAAGAGAACGCTTCTTAAGGCGTATATAGGAAGAGATGAGCACTGAGACGCGATTGTAAACATTTCAATTTAAGACGCTAAGCCTACTATATACATCACGTAATCTGGGTTTTTCGGCTGCCCATTCCCCCCATCTGATACCTTGCCAGGTCACATGACCGCCGTTGATTTTCAAATCTCCTCTGCATCTGATCCATCTGATAATTCTTCTGACCATGTTTCATTGTCATCATCATAATACAACCCGAAATCAAATATTTTGTCGAAACGAGGGAATCCATCTTGAGCTAGTGGAAGTCGAAGCAAATAGTTTCTCTTCAGCTCCAATTCCAAAACACGAAAATCATGTTCTGGCTGCCAATCTCTTACACCCTCTGGCAAAAAACGATCCTCGCCAGTTATCAACTCAATTTCTCGAAGCTTTAAAGGCAATTTCTCCCCAGAAATGCATTCCTCAAATTTTTGAACTGACTGAGTCAGCCGCCTCCTTAGCCGATGTCCGAAGCATGGATAGGGATTGAAGCTCTTAAGCCCAAGTTCTATATGGAAACATAGATATTTAAGGTTCATAGCTCTTGCCATAATTACCGAGATATAATCTCGGGGCTAAATAGTATAATGATTAGTATAAAGATAAGTATTAACGGGGATTATAGATTTATATAACACTTACCCACTCACCATACTGTAGCCCAATATCAAGCTGTAAGTACTCTAAGTCAAGAAAGAGGTGTTCTGATTTTTTGATCTCTTGAAGTAGCGGAAGCAAATCTTTCGGTTCATCCGGAATCTCGACTTCGTGTAGACACAAGTGTTTTAAGCCGCGATGATTGGCTACCACAGAAAGCGAAGGACGAGAGTATCCCCGAACGTCAAGGATCTCAAGAGTATCAAAGGATAACAAGAAAGCTTCAAGCTCTAGGCTTGGTTGATTGCTCTAGTTATAGAATGTGGAAATTGCGAATTCTTTCAAAGAGAGAGGGCTGCTGCCAATTACACCAAAAAATCCCCCCGAGTCTCGAGGCCCTAGCCTAAGTGACTTCAATGTACTCCAGGGAAAGCCGTTTTTCCAATGGATAACTTCGTCTGCCCTTATTATATAGCTATCTAGAGATAAACTCTCTAAAGGATGTATAAGAGTTCTGGCCGAGGAGATAAATGGTATAATTCTCTCGTCTATCCCCTTATATGTTTCATATCGGCGGAAAGAGACTGATAAATCCTGGAGACGAGGAAAAGCAGCCAGAATTTCATGGAGAGCTAGTCTTTCTCTACACCAAAGTTCACGATACATCTCAGGGAGATATATTCTCAAAGTTCGGACACAAGATGCAAGAGGGAACCCCTGCGTTGTTGCCCTTTCACAGATTAAATGAAGGTTGGGCATTTGTTGGTGATTATATATAGTCTCGATCAAATAAGGTGTTAGAGGAACCAAATGATGGGTATCATCGAGACTATATTCCGGTTAATAGGGTCGGATTTAAGGTAATGATTTAATAAATCTTACTAGAGGTCACGAAGGTTTGGCAGACTCTCAATCAGTTTCATAAGAAGTTCCACTCTTTCCTCTACCTGTTTTTCTCTATCCATCGCAAAGAGTGATCCTGTTCGCTCCACTGTTAGTTCCTGCACCCACTCCCTGGTATATTCTTTCTGATCCTCTAGAAGACACCGTAGAGGGTACCAGTCAGAATCTTCCGGCAATATCATAGAGCGGTAGAGGAGCGGCCCAGCCAGCATGTAGAAGGATTTTGAAACCCGACATAGCGTGCTAAGATCTGGGTTATTCAACTTCATTAGAGGTTCTAGTCAGTGGGCATGATTTATAATTGACAACACATTTACTCCGCACCAATTTCAAAATGAGATAGGATATCTCGGGATGTGAATTCAAAAAATTCATTTGGTCAGTACCTAATAATAGGCTAATATAGGCAGGTCGATGTTCTTTAAAAAGTTGTACACATGGCAGGAAGGCTGACGGCTGGTAGCTCGGGGCCTGCTTTTGAAGCTAAAGATTTTCCGAACACATGACTAGACCTCGCCCTCACCCGCAGAACCGAAACGGGTAACTCTTGGCAAACCTTGGCAAATTATTCTAATTATGAAGGCTTATAATTGGTTGAAACTATATAAGTTTCTGTGGAACGACGGAGAATTTCTGCGACTCTGGATGTCAGAGTGGCTGTGATACTATGATCTCGCCGTAAGTAAAGCTTTGTATCTAAGAGGCCGTGGCTTCGTATTTTTGGGTCCTGACACATAAACAGCTCTTGCTCTGGTACCTCGAGCGATGCGATTTATGCTGGATATTATGAAGCTTGGAATTACCAACACCCGTGCGATAATGTTCTTCCATCAAATATTGACGTAACTCCCTGGACGGTAAGATATAGCTTGCACGAAGGTTTTCAAAATAGATAATAATATCTCAAAGCATCTTTACTACGCATTCGCCGGCATTGACAGTTCAACCTGGGAGATAGAAAGTCTATATGCAAATGATGAGCAATATTGGGCAGAATTTGTCGCCCTGAAGAAGAAGAAATCAGCTCTCAAGACGTTTATTTCAGTGGGAGGCTGGGATTTTGGAGGAAAAGTGTTCTCTGATCTAGCGAGCTTCCCTGGATCCCGAAAAGAATTTATCAACTCTGCCATCAGCTTCATGGAAAAATGGGGCTTCGACGGTATTGATATCGACTAGGAATATCCTACAGCATCTGACCGAGGCATGTATATCACTTCCTAGGAACTGCTTGTCCTATGAGCTTACTTCTTATCTTTATGATATTTCAGATGGTAAAGATGTAGACACTGAAAATTTCGTGACACTATTGAAAGAGCTGAAGGCGGCATGTGGGAGCACGTATGGAATTACGGCGACTCTACCTTCATCTTACTGTGAGTGAGATAGGATTCTCTATTTTGACATCAAGTACACTTTTAATAGATAGTAGGGTACATGAAAGGATTTGATATTGTCTTAATGGCAGAGTACGTGGATCACTTTAATTTCATGGCTTACGATATCCATGGAATATGGGATGGTTAGAGTAATTATATATCCTCTATAGTCAACCCTTATACGAATCTGACAGAAATCTCTGAGGGACTGGATCTTTTATGGAGGAATGACATCGAACCCAGCAAGGTGCTTTTAGGACTTGGGTTTTATGGTCGTTCTTCCACACTTGCTGATTCGAGTTGTAAAACTCCAGGGTGTGCTTTCGACACATCTGAATATATGTCAGGTGGAGGTGCACCTGGCGAATATATTGAATCTAGTGGTATTTTATCGGACTACGAGATAAACCGTATTATTGATGAGTATAGCCCAACCATCGAATATGATGAGAGCGCTGCAGTGAACTAGATGATATGGGAGTCAGACCAATGGTATTAATCTCTTTTCTCCAATTTATCAAATAGATTTACTGACTTATGTTTTGCAAGGGTCTTATTTGATAATGCTAAGACTTTGAGGCAAAAAGCTAATTTTGCGAACGAAAAATGTCTTAGGGGTCTTTTCGGTTGGGCTTTGGATCTCGGTGGCCTAGGATCGTTAGAGGACCCGAATAATATAAGCTTATCTAACACCTCTCTAAGTGGTGCAAATATAGACGGTGGAAGTGATGGAACTAGTGACTTCTATGTTGGCCAAGAAATTTTCAGTAACTCCACTATTGTGGGCATCGCTCCCATGAACATGATTCTTCCTCCTAGTACTTTAGGATCTATAAGTACCTTTTACCTAGGCTTATTTACTACTAGCATTAAGTTCGCATGGGAAACAATAGGAACTGCTACTATTGATGATGTGGTGATAACCATAACCACGATCACTCGTACTGTTATGAACACTACTATCATTGTGGGTCTAATTATGATAGGGAAAATCCTATGGTGGAACTGGAATATCACCTCATAAAACTAAACGTATGGAACTATTGTGCTTTTCCTAAGCTTTATCATTAATCCTGTTCCTATCACTAACCCATTTGCGACTGCTATAGTCACTTTAAATCGCTCTCTTATCCTACCTCCATGGCCGTGGTCCACGACATATCTATCGACCGATTTTCTAGTCGGGCCTACTATATACTTTACACAAGGAGATCCGGCAAGTCCCATATATACAGCTAGATATGGAACTAAATATACTATCTTCTGTGATACACCTTGTGAGGATGACTATACCGATAGCCTAGTCTCTAGTGGATTTAATGATCCTTCTGATCTAGATCTACCATCACATGAGAAGTATGCGGGTCCAGACTATAAGAATGACAGCTATAATGGCTTACTTTATGTTAGCTTTAGATGCATAGGTTCTGATTATGATTCAACAAGTGGTGAATGTCTCGGTAGTGATTGCGAACAGACTGGTTGCATAGGAGATGGATGTAGTAAGGGAAGTTGTACATCTACACCCTGCTAAACAGTCGGCTGCTCTGGTAGTGACTATAATGGATCAGGTATATGCTTTGGACTAGATTATATTTCATTAGGATATATCGGCCTTGGCTGTATCCGTTCAACTAGAAAATGTTCTTCTTACGGCTGCCATAAAGTATCCTGCTCTGGTCCCAATTGCAATGATGGAATCTATAAGGGGGATGGCTGTGAAACCGAAGATATAGACTATGAATCGGAAGAGGCTGATATCTATACCGAGTTCATTAGTAGCTAGATGGAGACTTCAGTTTCAACATATACTATGGCTACATCCATATCTTGTGGCACAATTACTGCCTGCTATGCCGAAGCAACAACCATCACTAGCACTTTGACTGATGAAATCATAATGACGACCACTCCATTCGTTGCTTATGCTTATAAAACAGATTCTGCTTATTTTGCATCTATTGCAACTAAGATCGATGTATACTTTTCCTCTATGGATGCATTATATTCCTCCGCCGATGCTTCAACCACAACCTCGTCGACAACATCCACAACATCTAAAACTTCCACAACATCTTCTAAGACTTCCACATCTACAGGGCCATCAGAAACATCGCTAGATAACCTATGCCTAGAGGAAGTAACATACTCTTATAAAGGATCTTCGCGGTGTAAGATATTTTCCCACTTATATTCATTCTATGAAGTCGCTAAGAGCTATATTAGGGGTGATGATATATACGGGTATGAATACCTAGCCCTGAATCTATCACTCTTATAGATTAGCACGTATTAGAACTAACATATAGGTTTTAAAAATAACAGAACTCTTTCTACTGATGAAAATAGAACTAGAGAGTGCTATATTGATGGCAAGAATGCTGGGTTTAGGTGTGGAGTTTTTGTTAAAGGTATAGGCTGCCAGTTATTGAGTATAACGATGTAAGCGTAAGCGAAAAAAGCTTCAACTACTATATTGATGGTTTAGCTGACATGAGTAACGCATTTAACCATATCTTCGATGAGGATTTAGGTGACTGTAAGATCTATGGCCAAGTCGAATTTTCGAATGGATGCCACATGAAGGTTGACTATGTCTCGGGCTGTACAACTAAAGACAATGGTTTTCTTGAGTTTATTGGAAATGATACTGAATCATCAAGTGAAACTTCTGGAGATACATGGTCGCTTTTTACTCAGTACTCGGTCTCTGACGAAATTAGCCCGAGCAGCTTTCACGTTATGAAGAGCTCCAGTGGAGCTGCTTCATTGACCAAACATAGATCTATTCCTTCGTCTTCGGCAGCTACTATAACTGCTAGTTCAGTGTTGACGATATCCTCATCATCCAAAGCAAGAGAGACTTTGGCTATATATGGGGCCTCCTCTTTCATGTAAAGAGTTTCATCAATGAGTTTGACCGACTCTCAATATTTCACAGCTCACCATGCTGCGAGTCCGACCTTGGAGTCTTCAAGCCATATTGAAAGGATTTCTCACCAATATCTTCTATCTTCATCCTCTATATCTAGTTTCGTTCCATCAAGTCGGATGAACTCTTCTTTAGTGGGCCCTTCCGCAGTCGCAGCCTCTCGATCAAGACGCCAAACTTCGATTTTTAGCTAAATCAGGATGAATCATCAAGATCTGACTCATTTTGGCATTCCATTGTCCCGCTTACTTCGCTGTCAAAACCAGTTGCACTCTATCCACCGCATTCCCATCTGGTAATTGCAATAATTTACACCGAAGAAATTCCTGACGATTTACAAGAGCACATCTTGCCTCCTTTGAATTATCTAGAAGTTTGATAAATAAATGGATATAGTACATGGAAATCAATTTCGGGTGCCTAAGAAGAGAGATGAAGGGCATATTTTTAATGCTGGTATCATTATTATAGTACTACCACCATAGTGTTTCTGCCACGTAAAGCTCCAAAGCTCTTTGCTGAGAATTATATTATATCAGCAAAAAAAAAATCTATCCTAGAGGTCGACGGTAGGATCATCACTCATCCCGTAAACACCAGAATCCTGCGTACGAATAGCTAAAGATAGCGATTTAAGTATAGACCTACTGTCTAGTTCGTGAAGAGCGGTGCTATCTGCTTCAACAGGGAGGGGTTTTGATTCTGATAGCTATTTCCCTGGCAATATGCTTAGTCTGATTTCAGGGATTTTATTATCTACATTATTTATCTTATTCGCTCTTCGCTTGCGGTAATACCATAATATAGATAATCCTATTACCATGGCAACTATGAAGGGCTAAAACTGATTTGAGATTCAGAACTAGCTAGGCACATGCTGTGTACAAAATCCTTAAAGAAACGTAAGTGAGTCGATGTTGAATCGAGTGATAGCCGTGTCAGCTGAACACCCGTAAACTCTTCCGTTTACGGGTGTTCAGCTGACACGGGTACCTCATGATTCCACCCCGAATCGTCCACGTCCTTTAAGAATTTTGTAAACAGCATGTGCCTAGCTAGTTTTGAATCTAATATTAGCTTTAGCCCTTCACACGACCTCTTAATTCGCACGTTCTATGGCTCCGTTAGTCTATAGGTGGAATGCTATTAATAGTTAGCGTTGAATCTTTAGCTTTTCATAAACGATTCGCCAGAATCCTCCTTTAAATTATGGGCCGCGATCACTTATAATTGCTTTTAGTAAACCGTGATATATGTTACGGTGCCCTCTGGCACGGTGCAAGTTCCACGTGCCAATCCCCACGTGACCTCAAACCTAATTGGTCAATACTAGCGGCTAACAGAATTGACCGCAAGTATTGACCAATCTAGCCTCACCTCTCTCACCGCCTTCACCGCATGTTGATAGAATTCTGCCTAGCTCAAACGTAGCTCTTCAAGCTACGTCTTCGTCTCCTGTCCGTCTGTTAGCATTGATTACTGTTGATCCACCTGCCTGGCGATTCCAAATAATGTAATTCCAGATGCGGTAGTTGATCAGACAGAAGCGGGTAAAAGCGGTCACACACGGCAGAGACTTTGTTGCAGTCGAAAATGGGGAAATCCTTTCTTTTTTCCAACACTACCCAATGGTATTTCAGAATCCAACAAAATGTGCAGTAATCATGCATTAGCTAGCTTTACTATGTGGCTATGTGCAGATACGAAGGTAGCTCTGTTTCAGGAGGAATTACCCTATCCAATAGTCTTAAAATATTCAAGGATTAGTACAGTAGTCAGGCATTAGCTTGGTCTCACCCTGATGCTCACCCCAATGTCACCCTAGCTCACCCTAGCTCACCCTGTTTACTGTGCACTCACCTTGCTCACCCCCGGTCGCGCGACGCTAAAGCAGCGCTCACCCATTGCTCACCCGGGCGACACCCACCCGACTATTTTCCGCGTTTAAGCCACACGCCGGTCAGTTAGTAGTATGGTGGGTGACCACATGCGAATCCTGACTGTTGTATGTTTTTTTTGGACTTTTAGTACGATTTATTTGGTGCAAATTATAGACAGACCTTCTCAGCTACATTTATTTTATTCTTTCATGGAATTTGAAAATTTCCACGCACTTATCTATACGGTTGTAGTTACCGGGAATCGCTAGCCAAAAAGGACGAAAATAGCGCCATGAAATTCATGCCGTCTATATGAATGGCATTTCCAGCTTCTTATTTATAAAATCAAAATTCCACATGAGTTTCAAAGTAGCAATCCGTTCTCCCCTCAAAGCTCCTTGCCAGATCTCGCGTATTTGCTGATTCTCTTTTTCATCACAGGTATTCTCTTTTTTATCACTGTTAAGGAATTCACCCAGATTTTTAGAATAACTCATAAGCCAAACTTGGCGTGTCAGATATGCCCAGCGCAAGTGAGCCCACATGGTCAAGGGAAACAATAGGATTTGAGAAGCTGCAACTCCAAAAAATGCCCCATCGATTGTTTTCCAGTCGGTATACTTTGCTTTCCAGCCGATGAGAAATAGCACTTCGCAGATTGGAAAGATAAAACAACTGCAAACAAACCCGAGAAAAGTCGATAAGAATCCACTAGACTCGTGCATGTAATTAGGCTTCATGCTTTTGGTGCTCTTTTCCTTTTGGAGGAATAGTCTTGTATATAGACGAAGACCCCAGTCGCCAATAGGAAAGCCTCCAAACCATATAACGATAAGGAGAAGCGAAGTCATAATGTCAGAAAATGCCAAAATCCCTGCTGCCGCCCGTGACACATGAGAAACATCTTCACCAATCAAATTGTTAAACAACCCTAACCTAGCGAGGCATAGTAAGAGATGAAAAACAGAAGGGATAACCGTGAATGCATCTCGAAACCCCAATAACTCTTCTCTCCTTAGTAAATGCTGTCGATTGATAGATGTAATACTGGAAGTCGGGGGCTCTAAGATACTGTTAATATAACGAAAGAAACATGTCTCTGGGGTTGATCTCCTACTGCAACTTAAGGTTATATGTGCTGACCCATCCAAATCCATGTTGCTATTGATATCTGTGGCCTTGGTGTCTACCACAGATAAGCGGGAGCAAAATTCGCTTATTTTTCCATCATAGACTTTTTTGGGTTCCAACACTGAGATAGAAGAATAATACGTTGCATAAATCTTCTTTGGGCGCTGGTTGCCGAAGAGCTGACGCCGAAGACTGGGCTCTTCTTTGGTGACTTCAAGGCAACATCCTGTAAACCATTTACCATCCAACTTCGGAACCTCCGATGCCGGCTCATCATTCTCCCACGTGATAGTATGAGTATCAATAATTAACATAGCTTGTCCACTCATCTTATAAGATGAAGCAAGATGGGTGCGAATAATCCATACCTCTCCTTTATGAACCACCCTTAGCCAGCGTGTATCTTGCTGGATAGGTGGAATCACCATCATAAGCGGGCTCTGCTGCCCCATGGGAAACTCAAAGGTTATTTGATCTTTACTGGGGGAGAATTTACCACGAAATTTCGGGTTTAAAGGATAGGTGGGACCATTTTCAAAGTCTTTGGCACTTTTTTGGATCCATTCATCTGGTCCGGGAGAGAAGAGTAGAGACAACGGAACATCAGAAAAGCTCCAAAGTATAGCCTTCAATTGCTGATTAGGGTGAATCTTGAGAACGTCATCTGGCGACATCTGCAAAGACATTGCAAGTATAAGTATCCGGTCTTCATTTTTTGAGCATGATCTCCGAAGTAACTCATTCCAGACCGATATAAAAGGCTTTGAGCTTTCGAAGAAAGTCGGTGGATGAGGATCTGCCTTGTTGAATAGCTGATATATGTTCCTCTGGATTGAAGACCAGACAGAAGTTTTCGGCAAATCATCCCAGTCTAGCGGAAAGAACCAGGATTGGTGAAGCAGGCGCTGTAAGTCGTGGCAGAGCCATCGCTCAATCATCCCCGAAAATGTTGTCTCTGAATAAGGATCAATTACTGAGGCAGATATTATTTGCTGCAGAGTATGTCGATCTCGACGGATAAAATGGGTCCAATCTCTTGAATCGATGATTATATCTCGAGGATTGAAGAATCCATTCTGAAGTTTCACGTAGCATAGTGAGCCTTGACCCTCTTTATAAGTCCAAGCTCTACTTGCCCAGTTGCTACCTTGAAATAGCGCTAGAATCTCTGGCATCTGAGACGTGTCACGCCTTAGACGCTGCATTTCTCTATCCAGTATCATGACTTGCATCGCACCTGCGAAGACGGCCGAGATTTGGCTGATTGTGGCAGTCCGAAAAGTTTTTGGGTCGTCAACACAATTAGACCGATCAAGCGCACTCTTAGTTGGAATACAGAGAATATCCAGCCAGAATAGATCATAAGGCTCGTTCCTGGAGTAAATACCTGGTATACTCCATGGCAACAAGGTTTCCCGTCTATTAAAAGCCAGATGTGACATAGTCTCTCCACGATGATTCGGAAGATTGGAAATGCTTTCCACAATCATATCCAACTGGCATTTCCAGATGCTGTTGTCGTCAGTGTTTCCTAGGCCATCTGACCAGACGTGAGAGACAGCAACGTATCTGCTATCCACTCTTGCGGAAACAACTTCCCAACTCTTACAGCCACCACGTTCATTTTTCTCGAATTTGACCAGCGGAATTTTGCCACCCTTAAGGATGTCTATTACACGTTGAATTGTAATATCCCACTTAGAGCAACTGCAGTTCTTGCTAGTGTGTCGCGGATCAAATCCTAATTTGTCTTTGTTTGGAACCGGCGTACAAGATTGTATCGGATTGCTGCATTGAGAAGAGGTTTGTGGACTACTGCCTTGCGTAGGAGCTTGTAGAGACTTCCCAATTTCCCGAGCCGCCATACATATTAAACCAGTGCAGTTTCTATGATTAAGCTCGGGAAAACGAGTATGCTTTATCTGGGACATGTAGTAGAGGGTCAAATACCCTGCACTTCTCGCAGTGGCCTGGATAGTCGAAGGACACCACTTGTTGCTGATAAGACGTTCGATGATGAGGAGTAGGGAGCCCTGTACCCCATCCGTTATGTTTGACTTGTTCACATTTTCCAATGAGGCGACCCATTGCCACTTCATATGGCGATAGGGGCGCTGTAAAGGATTGTTGTAAATCAATTCCCTTCCCGTATTTCTGGGGTGCATAAATCTTTCGGCTTCATCCAAAATCAGAGCCAATAAAGCATCGCATAGAACCAGTGTAGACAAGGCGACCTCTGGCACAGGGCTGCAGTTTCCATTGGGAAGGCTCTCAAGTCGCAAAACTTGTAACCTCGTGCGATATAAGACTTTTTTAAGCGTGGGAATATGGTGCAGGTCGTATCGTTCATATTCACCAAAAATGCTATTAGCGACCATATCAAGACAGACGAACCGGCAGCCTTTGATTTCCTTTACGAAATCCTCGACTTTAATACATTCGTCTCGATATTCGGCCAATAGCCCGAAGAAAAACCGCGACTGAATATAAAAGGCAATTTCGGTCGCGGATGAAGGACAGTGAACCTCCTCTCTCGGCTTCTGGGTCCTCGGCCTCTAAGAGATAGTTCTCAAGATCTCCGGGCTGTGGCATCTTGTACAGCATACCATCTAGGAGAGGAACGTCCACCTGGTCTGGTTTTGAATTGTTGGGCTGTGGCACAAAGTCCATGATGTGAAATCTTTGAACTAATAATGGTGTACTGAATCCTGCCAAAATCTAGAGAAAAAGCAGAAACAAAAGCCTGAAGAGCCAAGTGCACTATAATATATAAATTCAGGTGCCTAGCATCAGCTGCAAAGGGGGACGTAACTGGGACTGAGCGGCGCCATACACCTCCTAAACGACTATTTTAGCGTGATCGTATGATAGAAAGTGCTTGCAGTCTCCTTTCAAACATTACCGTTCATTTCTCCTATAGTGGAGAAGTGAGGGTTAATTGCAGCCTATTAATCTGCACTGCCATCCATTAGATAGGCTGGACTCAAAGGAAGTTTGCAGGTTAGGCATTGGCTGCCCAACTTTGCCCACATCCAAAGTTACACAGCATGGCTTGGACCGCCTTGTGACTGGGCACAGCCACTTACCATCAACCACAAAGCAGGGATAAAACAAAGCGACCAATTAGGGACCTCTGGAGGTATCGTAGATTTCACTGGATACAAGTCAATTAGGTGAAGTAATTGCCAGAAGCTGATACTGTTGGCCCGAAACACTAGGTATTTTAAGTAGGCAGATGAGTGTATAATGTTGTATAAAGAGGAGAAAGAGAGCTGAAGCTATTCTTTCATCGTCAGATACTATTAGTCTTAATCATGGCTACAAACAAGACCTGAAAATGTACACCCTGGAGCCTTAGGCTCCAACAGTAGTAACTATAAGTCACTAAGGTATCTAGTTTAGCTTGATACATATTATAGGAGCCATATAGGGTAAATATACTAGCTGAACTTCAAATGATATCAATCTTACTCCCGAGGTCACAGCCCGGCCTTTTTTTATGAATCCACAATCATGAATAGTGTACTTACTTCAGATCCGGAACAAGTTAGTCACTTGTATCGTTGACAGCTCTATTTCCCAGATCCCGTTGAGCCACATTTGACAGATATAAGAGGAGGCAGGCTATCGATACGTGTGCCCCATCGATTGGGAGCCATGACCTGATCCTGAGCTGTCCTCCAAAAGTCAAACTCAGCCTCATGAATGCGCATTGACCCTGGGAAGAATACAGGGACAAGAGATAGTCCAACTCCGGGATAGAGCTCCTCTGCAGTTTTCAAAGCATCTGCTACACGACTTCCGCATATCATCTTTCCAGTTTCTCGAATATGAATGCCAAGAGCACCTGGGCTTCGTGGTCGTGCGGCGCAAGTAATATTATGGATACTACCAAGTGCTCCAATTGCAAGAATATCTGTTCTTTAGTGTTAACGTCTAGACCCTGAAATGAAGGAAAAAACTCACACCAGGTATCTATCTTTAAGCCAGTCGCTAGTATTAGAAGAATAATCCAATTCAAGGCGAAGAATGATGTAGCCAGCCTCGTAAATAGAGACGCCGGTGCAGTTCTGGTCCCGCGAGCTAAAATCTCGAGACTCAAACCAACATTCTTTTTACCTAGAATAACCATAGCAAAGCGGCTGCCGTTTCCTTCGGTGAGTATGATAGTCGGGCTACCTTTCCGTGGACAAGCCCATTTCTCACGCCTCCACTGAGGCAGTGAACCTTCTGACAGGGCAAGAATGTTGCCATAGCAAGTCACCATGAAGGTTCCCCACTCTTTATTGACTATCCACGGAATTATTGCAATGATTAATTGAGCGAGAATCACCACAAAGCCTGAAAGCCAAATACAGTCTCTCTCAGGCAACCCATGCTCAACGTTTTCGTCATCTAAAACCTCATAGACTGCTATTCGAAGCGCTTCCCATGGTTTCGAAGGTTGTTTGACTTTTGACTCCAATCCCAACGTGGATCTCCAGAAAGACGGAGTCCAGGTATCCCAGCTCCCTGTCCTTGGGTGAGGAGCTTCACCACTCATCTCTTCATCCAGTCTATCACTTGTATCTCGAAGTAGTCTGCCAAGAACCCATGAGGTCGTTGTCCGGCTATGGCCACTTTCAGCAGCGATAATCAACATGCTTGTGTTCTCTATCGGTGGCATCAACTTTCCATCTGTTAAAATTAGAAAAGAAGCTTGTTTTGATATAGCGAGTGAATTACCGCCAACAGCTGAAAGTAGAGCCTTTATTGCATAGGCGACCCAGCCGAACGAAAATGCCACCGGTGTGATCTGACGTCCCGCAAGCTGTGCCACTGCTTGTTGGATGACTTCAGGGCCAAGAAGTAGCAGAATAGAAAATATGTCCCCTGGGTTCACCCATTGTGCGGCGAAGTAATCGGCCGTACTGGTCGGATTGTTGATGTTTACTGACCTACCATGGATCATTGATATCGGCGCCATGATGTAGATGACAAGTTCTGAGCTGTGAAATATCTGACGCATGGATCATACGAGGCGTAATAGTGTTTTAGGATAATAATATCTAATTAGTATTAGTAATAGTCTTTTAAGATACAAGGATTACTGCAGTAGTTGCCAACCCAATCTCACCCTGGCTCACCCGTTTATAGTGTACTTTTCTCACCCCCGCGCGATGCTAAAGCGGAACTCACCTATTGCCTATTGCTCACCCAGGCGCTACCCAGGCGACACCCACCCAACTATCCGCCGTGGATGAGCCACAGGCCGGTCAGTTGGTAGATGGTGACCACGGCATTCGCTAGTTAGCTTCTATATAAAATCAAGTATCTATAAGCATAGCACATACGACCACAGGGTGCGGAGAACAGGGCTTCCCGTCCGCTCAGCCGTACTTAAGCCACATATGGAACGCGGAAAATAGTCCAAAAGCCCTTCGCACCTAGCTCACCCTAAAGCAGCGATAGAACTCCCCTTACGGTGAGGGTGCCTTACGGTGAGGGTGATATGGGTGAGCACCAGGTGAGCTTAGCACCCCTGCCCCTGCCCTAGAATTTTTCACCTTATAGACCAAAAAAATATCTAAATCCTTGGTGTAGCCCTTCATTTGCTTTGGCATACTTTGTATCCGGAGGTCAATTTTGAAAATTTGATAGATATCTGATTTTGAAGATCTTCCAAAGATTGCCGCCAAGTGTGCTACACTTACCGCATTATGTCAAAGGCCCGATTCCATTTACAGTTTAGTGCGTTTTAGTCAGCTTTGGAATGGCCTAGTATTACACACATACATTTCATTTCAATATACTGCTTCTCATTCGCCTAATCGATTCCAACCTACTGGTTAGTAATACTACCATTTGACAAACCGCATACCTCACGATTCCACCCCGAATTGTTCACGTTCTTCAAGGATTTTGTAAATAGCATGTGCCTAGCTAGTTCTGAATCTAAGATCAGCTTTAGCCTGTGAAGGGCTAAAGCTAATCTTGAATTCAGAACTAGCTAGGCACATGCTATTTACAAAATCCTTGAAGAACGTGAACAATTCGGGGTGGAATCGTGAGGTATGCGGTTGGTGGGTCACGTGGTACAACCACGTGATAGTTCACCAGGATTCAACCTGTTACAATTATTCCCAAAAAGAATGGTGCCATGGCCGATTGTGCTATGGCCAATTAGCAAGGATCGGGGTGGATTAGCGCTTTCGGACCCGCGGTTCACAGGACCAGCATCAGTAAGCCGATACGGAGATTGACGTGATGACACAATGTAATTTGTTAAGAGAAGCTGTTGATTAACGATCAAGTTAGTAAGCCTCTAATTTATAATACTTTCGAATATACCTCTTGCCCACGAAATCCAGGGGCTTCGACGTATGGGGCTGTTGAATTAGCCAGTAGTGCCAGACCCATAACACATTGCTTAACGGATGGCATTGCTGGACTGCCCGCTCGATGCCGGAGAGCCGGCTGGCTGATCGAAAACTTCGTATCCGAGTCCCTTCTCAAAAATACGGTCGCTTGGTAGGTCGATAATACACCATATATGGCGGAGCTCTCACGCATTTGGGCGACAAGCTGGCCTTAATATATATTACATTAGTAAATTATCCAGAATCAATAGGTAGTAATAGAATAATTACCAATGTGTGGTTCAATATGTGTGAGCAGCATCTGGTCGAGGGGGCTAGTGATACACGCGTCTAGATCGAATGTCCATAACGTTTTCAATTCGATCACCATGATAACAGACGGGGGCGTGACATCGCGTTTGGACAGGACGATGTCTGCAATCATAGTTGCCGGGGGAGGAATTGCCTGCCGATCTGCAAAGCGAAGCGGTACTCTTACCGCGATCAGAGCATTTACCACGGGGTCACACACGTGTTTGGTGAAACGCCCAGTAAGTCCAAGTTCGCTTCCGATGATGTATTTATCGGTCTTAACATCGACTGGTACCATCACATCGAGGTCAACCGTCTGGAGCGCGTTGTGGATGTCACGTGAGAAAGTGTTCCATTCGGTCAAGTTATCAAGATTGAATTTGATTCCTGATATAGAGGCATTTTGCGTACCATATTCTAGTGTTAGAAACGGCAAGCGCCGGGCAAGCGATACCCTCGCTGGCTCGTTCATTTCGATATTCTTGAGATTGGTGGGTGGTGATGTCAAGTTCGCTGGACAGGAAAGCGGGCCATAAGGACCCACCTTCTTAATCATGTGACCCAATAGGCTACATATGTCAATCCCAATTTTGTTTAGTTTATATTAGTATGTGGCTATTCCGATTATCTATGTGGCCATTCTGATTATCTATGTGGCCATTCTGGTTATCTGTGTAGAAAAACTGGTAGATGTTGGCGGTAAGAAGGAAATATATAGGTAGTTGTACCCCGAACGATGATGATCAGACCCCTGATAGTTCCTGAAATAGAATGCCCCATTTGTTAATATTACCAAACCAATAGGGAGACAGAGTGATTGGACCAATAAGATCCAATAACCCGATATCTCATACCAACAATCTCCAACCATGCCTAAAACCACTTGAGACTGATTCCTCTCTAATGCCTGGTACTCTCCATAACGTCAAAAAGGGATTACCACCAAACACCAACAAAACCAACAAATAAAGTTTGGATATCCAGGAGATTTTAGTCGGATCCTTCAGTTAGCTAATTGAGAGAACTGATGGGTTATGAGTGATAGGCAATGGGGAACCATCAGAAGGAGATGGAGAGCTTCGAGATTAAAGCTGTATCAGTTGCCTACTTTGCAACAACGAGTCCAATATCTTTAGCTGCTTTCTCGAGAGCAGCCGAATATATCGTGCACTATCACTTAGTATCAATGAGCTAGAGCGGGGTTTAAATTGTTTTTTTAGGATGATGGAGTAGAGTATCGTAAGCCGATGGCAGTTAATTAGTAGTGATAAATGTAACTAGTAATCTAAGTTGAAGTAACTAATAACTGTCAAGTTACTGCTATACTTCGTGGAAGGAAACTGTCGCTCGCTTAGCGAGCGTAGCTAGCTAGTCGCCGATAACTGAGAACGGTGCTCGAGTCCTTACTGCAGTAAAAGGGAATTGGAGTTTACTGCAGTAGAAAGGAGTTGGTGAGCTTCAACAAACCACTACTCAACACCGTAGACAAACCACCAAGTGTAGTGGTCTCTACAGTACTGAATATTGTGGTTGTTGTGAAGTCTGCTTTTTCATTGATGAAAGAACTAGCTACTTATAGTATATGGGCGCCCCTCTGCTCTGGACGAATGTCAACATTCGTCCGAGACAGAAGAGACGGTGAAGACGGGACATTACTGTCGCGAATGCGCATCGCTCAAGGGTGTCGTTTGCAATGAATGCATATCGTTCAAGGATGCCGTGATATACTAATCCAGTTCCGGAGTCGCTGTCTCGGCAGAAGCTTTTTCGGCCGAAATACTTTCCGTCTGTTGATGGCCTTGTTTCTCGGCTGTCGCAACAGCTATCAAGACCTATCTTAAGTGAGTTTAGATAATCAAAGAGAGAGAGAGGGAGAGAGAGCTTACCCTGAAGATTTGCTGGAATGCTGTAGACTGAAGAGCAGTGAAAGGGATATTCTCCAAGACTATCCATCGAATCAAATTCTCCTCTAATGCCTCTAACATAGATTGACTAGTTTTTGTCCGAAACATAGAAACAATAGATGCTTGCTGAGTTGTTGATGATATCATTGATCCATGTTTTTTCATCAGATGCGTTTTCATATTAGAAGTTGATGTATCTCTCTGGGAATCCAAGATCTTCCATTCTCCACAATGAATACATACAATCTCTCGGTCCTGTAACGGCCCTTTACCCCGTTTAGGATGCCAGAACTTCCCTGGAAGATTGCGGATTGTAAATTGACTCCAAAGGGCTTGGATTTTGGATTTTGGTGTCTTGGGCAAAGAAGAGTCTAAAGGAGTAGACACTATAGAAGAGGTTGTTTCAGGGAGTTGACTCGCTTAATCATTCGGAGAGATAGATTCATCTTCATCTTCATCTTCATCTAATGGGGAGTGATAACGTGGTTGCTTTTTGATACGATCACTAGGATCAGCTTCCTCATCACTACCATCATTTAGAACAAGGTAATCCTGTCGTGGAGCGCGTTTAGGGCGTGGTAGGAGACTCATTCTATCAATGAATGAATAATTATTTAGATATCAAATTAGGGACTTCGGATGATAAGTTTCTATCGTAGTATTGTATGATTTATTTAGGCGGTGGCATAATATCACGGATATCCGTAATCCGTATCCGTAACCGTAGAATTTCTACGGTTACGGTTACGGATAGAAGCTCTCGACTACGGTTACGGATACGAATAATCCAAAATCTTACGGATATGTATCCGTGCCGACCTCTAATGGCCACAATAGCACCTGTGTATTGGGGGGCCTGGTCCGCAACAAAGGTCTGGGGGCCGATGATGTTGCCCACAGCATATGCAGCCCCAAGTGGGGCAGCGGAGGAACATTTAGATCGATTCAGTTTACATAGACTGAACACACCTCTTACAACTTCTTCAATACATTATCATTAAATGTAATTGCAGGAAAGTAGGACACGTCACCGAGTTTACCGACAAGTACAGTAGTCATGCATTAGCTTGGTCTCACCCCAATCTCACCCTGGCTCCCCCGATTCTCACCCTGTTTATTGTGCACTCACCTTGCTCACCCAGGCGACACCCACCCGACTATTTTCCGCGTTTAAGCCACACGCCGGTCAGTTAGTAGTATGTTGGGTGACCACATGCGAATCCTGACTGTTGGATGTACTTTTTTTTTTTTCTTAGCTATACTCTACACACGGCATAGTCTATGCACCTTTATTAGCACCCCGGCCTCTACGGCCGAGCCTTGAAAAGATTCCAGAATCTTTCCAGCATAGTCAGTATGATAGATTTCAAGATATTTCTATAGCTATGTCGTTCACCATTGTTAGTGGTTTTTATAGATGTGCAGCTTTGGCCGTTGATACTTCACAAATCTTGCCTTTACATTTTCTGAACCCTGGTACTGATCTTATTCCTTCCTCTCAGGATCATAAATTTTCTTACTCTTGATTCCATTTCACTTATATGCCCTATATAGTTTAATACCGATAATTAAGATCTATAACTAAATAAGTGCCTTTGGTACCAGAGAGATATGACTAATTGTCACCGGCTTGTATTCCTAAACCAAAAAAGAAATTGTATTTTGATAAAAGTGATACAAAGAGTGAATATATAAGATGGATCAACAGTATATGGGTAATAATACAGCGATTAATCATTGAAGAAGGCTTCAAGACTCGGACCACATAGACTACTAATCAGTCATGTGATTGTCACTGAGTAGCTGAGTCTGAACCTAGACTGAAATTGACTCAGTGAGCCTGACTATGAGCGCAGAGGAAGTACTCTAGGGTTGCGACCTGATCTCTTCATGTAGTTTAATTTTTGTTTATATACTCTGACTGCGAATGAAAACCATTCTGGTCTGTTTTAATCGTGCACTACTTGGAGCCTCCTTTCAATGCCTCGACTCTCTTGCGCTCCCATTCCTCAAGGAATTTCTGCACTTTGGGGCCCCAGACATCCTCACCAGCCTCCAGGTCCTTATATTCAAGGACTCGCTCAGGCTGAAGTTCATACTCGCCTTGACGGCTTCGAACAAGCTCACTCATTAGGGCGGAGCTGCCGACAGCCTTACCCAAATCGTGGGCCAAAGAGCGGACGTAAAATCCCGATGTCACAGTCATCTTGATCTTGATAGCAGGGGGCTGGGGTTTTGTTTGCGAGAGCTCTGTAACCTCTGTGGGAGACTCCGTGGGAACCTCCGAAGTTGCAGGCTCCGCGACAGCTTCAGTTGCCACCTCTCTGGCTTCACCACTCTCTGTGATCTTCTGCTTCTTGCTAGAGTCTTGATTCTCTTCCTGAACTGATTCTGCAGGCGTCTTGCGCTTGGAAGACGCCTCTGATTCTTCAATGGCGCCTTCCGTGGCATCCTCCTTAATACCTTCCGCTTCCTTCGCGAGAAGCTTCTCTGCAACGATCTTTTCATCACCGACCATCTCAACATCGGGCCACTTGTAGTCGTGGGTGCCGGGCTCGTACCATTCCATAATCTCGATGTTGATCGTCTCAACGGGTCGACTCTTGATCTCAATTGGGGGCATCTTACCCTCGCGCGCGTACTCGTACAACTTCTTGCCATCGACTCGTAATGCAGAGAAGATAGGAGGACGCTGCATGATCTTTCCGCGGAATTGATCCAGGGCCTTCTCAACAGCCTCGCGTGTAACATGCTCGTAGGGATCCCGGCGTACGATCTTTCCAAGTCGGTCGTAGGTATCTGTCTCTGCGCCGAAGAGAATGATCGCCTCGTAGCTCTTGGTACATGCTAGGAAGTCGGAAAGTGACTTTGTACCTTTACCGACGCCGGCGATGAGGACGCCTGTTGCCAGCGGGTCTAATGTTCCACCATGACCGATTTTGACCTCTAGCTTCTTGGTGCGGCGCCGCCGTTTTTGGCTAGGGTTCTCTCGATCTCGACGGGCAGCCTCATCTGACAGCCATGGTGCAAATGTTTTGGAGGGATTGAAATGTTTTTGAAGAGTGCGAACCACATCGGCGGAGGTAACGCCTGTTGGCTTGTGAACGGCTATGGATTCAGTCAGGGAGGAATTGAGAAATGAACTTGAAGCAGATTTGCGACATACCGAAAACGCCCTCGAAGATTTTATCGCCAGACATTGTTTTGCGGAAGAGTCTCAAACCTCGTGGAAATCCCATCTGTCGCTAAAAAAAAACTTAAGCAGAGGTGACGGGTTGCGAAGAAAAAGAGGCTCTGTAATTAATTAGGAATGCGTAATTTTGGATGCGGCCTATCGCGTACCGATAACGTATCATGTAAATTACCGGGCCTCGAAGAACAATGTTGTTGATGCGAGCTTCCAACTCATTCAACTTACTTCTTCTTTACACCCTTCTCTTTTTCTATCTCTTGCCCTTTTCCATATCTTCTCATTGAGTCGCCATGCCACAACCTCCAACATGACGGCCCGCGAAGAAACCGTCCTACCTCCTACCGATCCCTTCATCTCCGATGAGAATGATTGGTGGGAGTTTACTCTGAAGGACGTGAAGGTGTTGCGGCCAGGCAAGATGCTTTACGCAAACCTGCTTGAAGTGACAGAACAGAACCCAGTGCAAGTAATTGGTTGCTTGGAGCTTAAACCGAATCAGGTCCACCTAGGTGCGTACAACTCCTTGCTTGAGCTTGTGACGCTTATCGTTACACGTCAGCTGTCAGCTCACCTTCCATTTAAAGCTCTCGACCCCGACCTCCTCACAAAACGAATCCTCATCGACGACGTCACACATTATGCATACGGACAGGCAGAGGACCGCAGCGTTCAGCTTTGGGTTGCTGGCAAGGCTGGTTGGTACCAGATCGAGGCGGCCAAGGGCTACATGCCTTATTTCAATCGTATGGTTCAGGCCGTGGACATGTATTACTTCTTGATGGATAAACACAAACAAGGAAAGAAACAGATCAATCCGACCTTCAAGAGCCTCTGTGAGCAGGTATACATCCAGTTTCTTTCCTGTGCATTGGATCTCCACTCACTCCGGACTAGTACATTTACCACACACACGGCGATTGCGAGAGCAGGGAGCAGTCAGCAGAAGTGTTCGCAGCGCACGCGTCTTTCTTGCTCCGCTGTATGATCGAGGATGACCTCGTTATGGAATGGAACAAGACCAACGTCTTCCTCCATCTACGTCGTCAATTCCACGTGGGTCATACTTTATTCCAGCTGTGTTTTGAATGAACGCTAAAACATCTATCTATGAAGGACGAGTACAAGCTTATTATGGACCAACGTTCTCCCAAGTCGGAGAATGGTGATTCAGAAGATGAACCGCAGAAATCAACTCCTCGACATGATTCGAGCGCAATCGCAAAGTCGCAAACCGATGCCATCTACCACATGACGAAGCTATTGAAGAGAGAGGGACATCTAGCAAAGCGGCGACTTCATCTTGACCTTCTGACTGATCGTTTATCCGAGCGATACACATTTAGCAAAGATGATGCGTACAAGATTGTTTGCGCTAGAGCAAGCGACGTCATTGAACGGCTTGATGAAGAAGAATTCAGGTGGTCTCGTTATGTCATTTATAGGGAATTGACACACGCTGCCACCCAAAGTGATACTCTACCACCCGCCCTCCTTACACCTCTTGAATCCCTCGAAGATTCCAGTGATGATGACTCTGATATCGGACGGATTCATAAATCCGTGCTTCGCCCCAAAGCTACTTCAATGTCTAGTAAGGTGATGGGTAAACGGAATCGCACCGTGCTTAGCGGTCAGCTAGATGGCAGTGGTGACTCCGATGAACTAGACGAAATGACAGATATTGAAACACCCAGCAAGTCCCGTGGGCATGAGCTGATCCGAACTCCCTTACCGTCCTCTAATATGAAAATTCGGTCGAAAATATCCGAGTCAAGCCCTGCTACCGCTCTTTTGCAGAGGATTCTCCGAGAAACTCCCCAACCTCAACCTCCCCAAAAATCAGCTGTCATACCCGCTGCGACTATAAATTCAGAACATCTTCGGGATCTAGACCTAATTCTAGAACCTGAAACCTGGATATGTCGTATGATCGGATGTCCAAAGACGATCACGACCAAAGGCAGTGAACGCCAAAAGGATATCGAGGATCATGCCGGAGAGCATGATTGGGAGACGCAGATGAGAGTCGAACTGGTCGAAACCGAACAACGAATGCGCTCCGTTTTCCCCGTTGGAAATCTCATGCAATACCTAGTCAGCCAGCACTATCAACAAATGCGTACTGCATTCCCCGAGGTATACCCAGCAAGTAAAGAGACAAATGGAGGGGACGAGACAGCTCATGAAGATTGGAATGGCACGGCTGGGAGCCCTGAAGCCCAGGTTGTGGATTCTTCGACACCAACACAGCTCGCAGAGGGGCCCGATCATGAGATGAACGAGACCACGACTTGAGTTGGTGAACATGAGTTCTTTTAACGATCACGACGCACGGATTTCTCCCCTGATGAAAAAAATCTCACGATAGAACACTGCCCCACTCAGCGAGCAATTCTGGCCGTTTCAAAAGAAAAGTATGCCTTCTTCCATGGTCTCTCGACTGAATTCCTGGTCTCAGGTCTGACATAACATACTCGTAGAAACTTGGCTCTTCACTTTTAAGAACAGCTATTTTGCTATCCCTCTACCTCCACGTACCTGTATCATGTCCGGAGTACATAAAATGAATAAAGTAAAAGTAAAAATAAAATAAAGATAAAAATAGAGCTATTTCCCTCTCACCTTGAAACATCCATTGAAACTAGTAGATCTATGAAAGTAACAGATACATCCAACTCCCCAACTCGTCTCACTTCCAAATCCCAACCCCAGACTTAATTTTGCACATCGAATAGAATGACCAGTGAAAATGACGCGCAAAATGACAGCTTTTTGTAACAGAAACAACCGCCTTTATCCTCCTGAGCTGATATTGACACTAGACCTTGGTAAGTTGTTCTCCTCATTTCTACTCACAACCAAAACTGTGCCGAACTGGCTTATCTCTCTGTAGCAACCAGAACTCCCCTTCGCCTAGCCCGGGTATTTATAGGATGCTCCTCGTTCCTTTAAGTGTCCTCCCACCATCAGACTTGACTCAGGCTCTAAACCTTGAAGGAGAGAGGCCCCTTAATTTCTCCATGCTACGGCGCTGCCACACTAGACTGCATTTGCCTGTCTTTACTAGCTCTGAACCCAGTTATTCCTCTAGTCAACATGTCATCTGTTGATTGAGAGAGCCTTCTTCCAGAGTATATGCCAGACTTTAACTTCTCTGAGGCTCAATTCTTGCATCTAGAGATCTATGTTATCGGCTTCTGGGAGCTAAATGTCCTCTAGGAACTATACTTGCCACTGCTGGGAGCGAGCCAGATCGTTCCTGTGCTCTCTCCCTTGGGTCCTGGAGCCATGAAATAGCTAGGGAATGAGACAAGCATGCAATTTCTACGCCCATAACCTCGTAACATGCCGGCACCTGCCGGAACTCAGTCTTTGAGGATCAAGTCCGGCTATCCCAAGTCCTCCTATGACGGAGGCAGAGCGTGCCACCCTGCTTAAGCCCCTCATCGATCCTAAGAGCGCCTGTTACACCGCTGAACACGCGAGGAACTTGACGAAAGTGATCGAGCTGTAAGAGACTGAATTTCAGCAGGGTCATGCATGGTACGAGATTTTGGGCGTAGAAATTGCATGCTTGTTTCATTCCCTAGCTACTTCATGTTAGGGAAAACAACTAAAAGCTTTTTGGATCAAACTTACTTCATGCGTACAGTGCTTGAGTGTTGCTTCTCCTTCCTCCTTGCTCACAAGTTCACCATCCACAACCCAGATCTCGTCGTTGACCGTGAGCTGTCCGGTCTCGTATAGCTCGATCACTTTCGTCAAGTTCTTGGCGTGATTGGCAGTGTAAGAGTCACTCTTTGGATCAATGAGGGGCTTGAGCAGGGTGGCACGCTCTGCCTCCGTCATAGGAGGACTTGGGATATACGAGGGACCGGACTTGATCCTCAAAGACTGAGTTCCAGTAGCGTCAGGCATGGAACGAGAATTTGGGTCCAGAGAATTGCTTTTGGGATAAGAATGTCGATGGATGAGAGTTGGAGGTGGGGAGGAATGGGTACTTGCAATTCCAATATGAAAGACAGACACTGACATTGGGCGGTGACAAAAGTGTGCAGAGGCTTTGATGGTTCGACAACTCCTCCACGCGACTACGAATGGACATGAGGCAGTGCTTCAGCTGCTGCTTGAATGGAATGCAAACTTAGCGAAAGAATATAAGAGTATATTATTGAAAAGGACAACAAATATTTACAGCAAGGAGACCAGAAAGGTTAAATGAACTCTCTAAGGCTGATATATCGCTTAGCGTGGGGATGAATCTTCCAAAGCCCGGTCATTCTTCTAAAACTGCCACTTGCGTAGATGCTAGATTAAGACGATATTGATCCAAGAGCTGCAAAAGTGGAGCCAACCAGGACGCAGTCTGAGGGAAAAGAAAAGAAATATGGGGCGGAACGGATGTTAAAGTTAGATGCTCAAAATTTAGGGGACGCAACGATGGGTGTAAAAGAGAGGGAGATGAAGGAGAGATGGAAGACGCAAATGGCGAGGCCAGGTCTTTTATGTAGGGCTGGAATCTAAATCGCAAGAGGTAAAACTAACTGCATGCAGTAATTCTTATGTCAATTCGGATCGCATAACATTAGAGCCATCAACAGCCTTCAAAATCAAAGTGAAATCCTCAATATTACAATTTACCAATTCCATAGCGGAAACCGAATCAAGTGTTTTTTGACATCTGTCCCATTCGATGCCAGGTTGGATTTCCAGGGTTGGGTTCCTTCTCTCTGGTTATTATGATTGTGCTTCTTTTCAAAGCTCCTGAGGTCTTATATATGGATATCTAACCTCTAAAGAGTCAGGAGAGCTTACCAGGATAGATGGCATTTATCCTTGATTTTGGTACTTGGGTCATGGATGTTGAATTGCAGGGTGTTTAAGATGCTGCTGGAGTATAGATTCGTTTTGAACTTCTCAATTTGGAGAGATGGAGTGCATTAGGATGGTATGGCGAAAGCTGTAGTGTAATAGTTATAATAGCTAGCAGAAGCTATGAGCTCAGCTATGCTGGCATCTCTGAATGGATGGTTTTCATTGCCTCTATAGATCTACTATGTATGTATGGAAAATCCAAGATTGATACTACCGGGAGCAGTCAACTCTTCCTGCATGTCACTACATACATGTCGTGTTTGTTACGACTAGTACTAATTCTCTAGATTGTAGGTCTCACGTCAGCCTATAGATGGCAAAATCAGGCAAATTGCTGAGGGGTTCGGACTAGGAATAATGGCCAACGAAAGGGACATATCTGATCTACGAGCGGATAACACGGGATAGGGTAACTATCATCTATCACCTAGCTATCTATCTAGCTACCTAAAGGCCGCCTGATATGTCCAGAGGAATCGCCACCGGATGCAGTAGCTGATCATGAGATCTTGGGGCAAAAAACAGAGTGGATCAAGTGCATCGAATGGTATGCAAAGCACCTGCATGAACTTGTATGCAGAAAAGAAATAACGAAGCAGAATTACCGCAAACTCCTGGGCCGGCCACCGGGCCAATGCTAGATAGAGTAAAAAGACATACTCTATCATTGCCTGTACGTGAGGAAGAAAAAGGGAAAAGGAGGGGGGAGGGATGAGGCTTTCGATTTGGGAGGGGTATCCACAGAACATCCCAACATACGTCGAGCGATGATGAAAGAAGAAAAATAAAGAAAGAAAAAAATAAAAGGGGAGAGGAATATATAAGATGTGGCAGCGCAGAGGAATAATAATAAGGCGCTTGAAGAATCCAGAGGACAGAATGTCCTGCCGATGAAAAAGAAAGAACAGTACAAGGTAGCGAGGGAGACGACAATTAATGCAGCGGAATTTCCATGGGACAAACAACATAGGAAGCCAGTTCTTTCGGGGATATCATGATTGATAAGCTCGGTGAGCGTCGATGAGGGCTTTAAGAGTCGAGGTTTGTCCCTGTCGTGATTCACATGCACACTGAAGAGTGCTACCGTCCAAAAAGTCTAGCAGAATGCTGTTGGGCAGTTCCTGCATGTCCTCATCGGGGAGACAAGGGGTTCGGAACTCGGAAAGGTGGTATCGCTTAGCCATGTTGCGAGCACTGGAGTCTTGGGTGCTAGGAGTGAGCACAACATATCCGCTCTCATCGACTCGCATAGCCCGACGTTTCCACAGGAGGGTATCTGGAAACTGGACGTTGACTTCGCCCAGATCAACGGGCTCTGATAGATGCTGGCTGGAAGGTGATGGTAAGATGATAACCGACTCGTCACCCACTGTGACGTTGGTAGATTGCTCCTTTACATGTGAGCTCAGATCTTCAATGATGCTTTTTGAAGACATGCGACGGAGTGTACGCGAGGTACCGGACTCGGTCCTTTCGTCAGCTGGAGATTTGGGAAGACTCTCATCTGTCTTGGAGCGAGGGGAAGCAGACAACGACGGCCGACTTCCAGGTGGGGATGCCGCTGAGCTTCGTCGGCTTGATCCAGCGGGTGAAATAGACAGGCTTCGGTCTACTCCGATAGTATCAACTGTCAGGGGCTGCGATGGAACGTCCTCGTGTACCCTATCCTCCGCAGTCAGGGGACTGGCTTGGAGATGAACATCAGACTCTGACGTCTCGAGAGACGCATCTGCATCACGCACAATGCGAGCGGGAACAGATATTGAGTTAGTACGGCGATTGGTGCTAGAAGTGGGGCGGTAGCCTCCTTTAACGCTTGGCGCACGGGTGAAACTTTCGGGGGAATAGGAGGCTTGTTTTGCCCCTGGAGGGCTGGCTTCCAGGTTGTCATTGTGTAAAGAGATCGAGGCACGCTTTCGAAGGCTCTCAAAAGAGGAAGAAGTAGAAAGCCCAGTTGCGTTGTGGCCTACGACACTGGGAGTGCCCTCTCGACTCTGGAACTTTTCGAGAGCTTTGATGCGGCTCGAGATACCAGAGGAGACATTGATCTTCTTGGCTACGAGCACCGGAGCTGGGGAGTCATTGCTAGTATACGAGCCAGAGATAGATCGGCCCACCGTAACAGCATTTGCTGTAGAGGGACGTCCCTGCGGACCCGAGAAAGCGCGGGTTGAGCCCCTCCAATCAGTGGTAGTAGGAGACTTGACGGTGACCGGCCGGGCCTCCTGCAGGGTAGCAGAGCTCAGTTCCTCCATCAACGAATCGTCCGACAGGTTGTCGTCATCCGAGTAGTCCGTAATCACAATGGGGCTCACGCGAACGTTGCGTCTCTGATCTAGAGGAAGATTATCCGATTTCCCGATATGCGATTGGGTATGCGATTGAATAGGCGATTCCGCGGGAGAGGCAGTTTCATTTAAGGGGACAGGGTCAATGGAAATCGAAACGGGTGAGGGGATTTCTTCAGGCGGAGTGACGACAAGGGGAGTAGGGATAGTAGTGGGCTCAGGGGATCGTTCCACAATGGCTTCCGTGGGCGGAGTCTCCAATAGCTCGCTCGCCACTGGAATTTCAAAGAGTGCTGGAGTTGGTTCTGGGATCTCTGTCGACTCCTTAGTAAGTGGGACTGGAAACTTGGCACTAGTAGGTGGGACTAGGCTATTCTTAGCCTCTGTTTGGTCAGGGATTGCGGAGCCTCCGTCCTCGGAAATTTTGTCTTTGGGTATCACCTGCGTCTCCGACTGAACCGACTCCAATGTATTCTCGTCGGCGGGTTCAGACGTGCTGGCAGAGATTAGCAAAGACGAGGCACCTTCCAAGTCAGGCACGATTTCCTCCGCAGTTGGCTCTGGTAGCTCCGGTGTTTGCTCTGGTGTGATCTCCTCGTCCAGGGGCTTTTCTAGCTCTGGCTTTTCTAGCTCTGACCTTTCTGGGGTTGGTTTCTCTGGATCCGGTAATGGGATCTGTACCGAGTTGATATTTTCCTTGTTTTCTGAAAACCGAGACTGAGATAGATCTGGTGATTCTTTGGGTTCGTCTTTAGGCTCTTCTTCTACCTCTGCAATTGATTGTTTCCTCGCTCTTTCATCTGCCTGCTTCGCCATGGCCTTTCGCCGCTGTAGCAACGCCTTCATCAGGCGCTCTTTTTCAGGAGTCAGACCAGACGAAGTTGACAAGGCGCTTAACGATCTAGCACTAGGAGATGTTGGAGCGCGGGAAATTGGAATACTCGGAGGAGGGACTAATAGTGGTATTGGAGGGGCCCGACTGGCAGGCATGGTCGCAAAAGCGCTTCCTTGGGAAAGCGGTCTAGGAGTATCAGTCTTTTGTTTTCGCAACGAGGATGGACGTATACCAGCTGGCAGAGCGGCAACCGGTCGTTGTTCCCCGTTCCGTGAACTTCTGCTAGTGCGGGGTTTTCCAGTCTGATCGATTGATGGGCGTGGACCCAGCTTGACCTTGGGAGTGATTCCTGCTGCCCGTTCCAAATCTTGTATCGTAGGCCGTGCAGATTGTGAAGACTTCCGGGACTCTTCTGATGGCCGGGGAAACTCGTCCAAGAGGCTCCTGTATCTACTTTCTGAGTCTGCACCTGGGGATTTTGGAGAAAGGCTGCCTGTAAGTGAACCCGTAGCACTGCCCCGTCGTGACAGCGCTGGGCGAGAGCTAGCTCGTGAAGGTGGAGATCGGAAATCGGAGGGGGATCTTTCGATATCCGGTGTAAATACCGAAGGCACAATGGTTGCCTCTGATCGCTGACTGTTAGATCTCTGCCTGATCTCGTCACTAGAGGACTGAGGAACGGATGGGAATTGCGATTGTAGTTGTAGTTGCGGCTTTTCTTTGACATCCTCCTTTGTGCCGCCCTCTTCCGCATCTTCGGTGATCTCCATGAGTCTTTTACGACGAAGGGAGCCAGTGGAAGAGCTCATTGAAATCGAGGCGGTATGGAGGAGACATGCTGAGGAAAGAGCACTTTCACTCAGGTCGGAGGCTTGACTTATGGGGAGGATAGTGTCGTTCGGGCTGAATTTGTCAAGGACGGATTGGAACTGAACATTACTCCGGGCTGCAACAAAGGTTGGTTAGCGAAACAATCAGTCCAAAAAATAAAGCGTCAGGTGGTCAGATGAGCGCTCATACCGAGAATTAGACGAGAAAGGCCCTCCGGCATATAACGAATAATCACCTTTCTCCGTCGGTACTGTAGGAAGCCGTAAAGTGGGGAGATCTCCTCATACTTGTCAATGGCATTGCGCACCTCGGATACGCCGCCAGTGCCTCGATCAAGCAGGTCAACCTCATCTCTTGAAATGTAATGTAGAATGAACCTATTACCAAAGGAGGGGGTCAGAATGATGGGACTCTCGGGTTTGCGCAAAGGGGGCGGGGACGAGTGGACTTTGAGGAATCGAAGAAGATGAAAATAAAGATAGAGATAAAAGATATTAAACAGCTCGCATAAATTTGGAGACTTACCATCCACCGGCATCAGTCAAGGCAGTCTGGTAGGCTTCAAGAACGACTGGATTATCTAGCCCATTGAGAGACATGGCGCGTACGACATGGAGAACGGCGTTAAGCCGAGGTAGATTGGAGATGAAAAGGGAATAGGGGTGGGGTGAAAGCAGAGAGGGAAAGTGACAAGGATTCTGGATTAATGGAAAGTACGATCAGAATGTTTTGGCCCAATCAAGGTAGAATTGAGGAACAAAAGAAAACACTTGAATCTCTCAGGGGCCGCTTTCCGCTTCTCCACCAACGAAGTATACGAAGTGGGGGTTTTGATTTATTCTTTCTTTTGAGATTAAATCGAGGTTAAGGGATTTGGTATTCCTGATGGGGGTTGAATAGAAAGAATTACCTAGACAAACATGTCGTACTTTTGGGTAAGTAACAACGAGGTAACTGTAAATATCAACATCCAATAAATCTAAATTAACTATCCTAATTAAACTATTCTTATTAAAGCACAGATCTCTATCAGGTCAGATCTCAATCCCTTTCTTGTGGAACTCCAATGCCGATTGCCGCTGTTCCCCGACACTCGGCAAACCCCGAAACTTCTATCCTTATCCTTATCTCTATATATATATATATATATATATATATAGAATTCCTACTTAGGTACTCCTGAGCTTCGCAATACTTCCAAGATTCCATTATAACTACATCGACTACCTACGCATACTTCAATTCCTACCTGGATAACAAAGATGGACCTCCCTGATCTTACTTCCCTCCCTTCATTGCCTCAAGACGCTCAACTGCGCGTGCTGGACACTCTCTTCGAGTCATCACCGGAACTCCATCAGTTAATGATCCCAGTCCTGGCAAATCAGACTTTCTCCTCATACTCATCACTCATTGACGCTGTCGGGAGTCACATGTCCGCGCTATCCGCCGTGAACTCCATCAATCGGGATATTCTATTTGGTATTCTTGGTTCACATCCTCGACTCGGTCGAGCCCCCGCCAACCCAGAGCATTTGAGTGAGTTGAGCAAACAGGAACAAGCTCAATTGAATGATGGAGCTGAAGAGCAGGCGGAAAAACTCCGAGATTTAAATGAGGAATATGAGGCCAAGTTCCCAGGCTTACGATTCGTGTAAGTGATAAGACCGTGCTTTCCCCACGCATATCATTACCTTTTTCAGGACTAATGAAACTTTGACAGCTCTTTTGTCGACGGACGCAGTCGAGATGTGATTATGGTGGAAATGCGCCAGCGCATTGATCGAGGGGATCAAGAGCGAGAGATAGAAGAGACCATCCAGGTATTCCTTCCAATCCTTCCACTATATTCCATATCACCACATATAGTTTAATGTCTAATGTTTTCCAGGCTATATGTGACATCGCCAAGGATCGCGTCAAAAAGTTGCGCGCAAGATTCTAGTCATTTCCAGGTAGTTCATTTTAATCAGCATCAAAATAAAGATAAGCTCTTCTAGAACTGATATGGCTCCACTCAGAGATGTCATGCATTTCCGGATGGTGCCGCTTAGCCTTCCTTATATTTTCCAACGTGTGATCTATCATTCTAATTTAGTTCGAAGTCCCCTTTTCAGAATCGAAATTCTCATGCTCCGCCAGTGCATCACAAGATGGTGGAGGAGAAGTTTGCTTTGCCGCGACCGTCGACTACACCCATATTAAATGGATCTGTGAAACCTGGATTTGCGAAACCGAGGTCCTCCACATTCCCCAGTACGTCCACTATACTTACCTTTTCCATAATTTTTCCATAATTTTTCCTCACGATTAATTTTCCTGTTCTCGCATGGACGGTGGATTTAAGAACTTTTCTGACATTATGTAGTTTCGGCCAGCTCGGATGTCGCGTCAGGCTCAAGCAATAGCCATGATGGCCATCACAATCGATCTCAGCCTATTGACGGTTTGCCAACGAGAAACTCTATGCACACCCTGCATGAGACACAGACTGCGACCACCATCGACCCTTTGTCACAGGTAGGCTGTGCGCCATCCTATACTCTTCGAGATCTGACGGGATTGAGAGAACAAAGTGAGGCTGAGAAAGAACATGCGCTGATAAAAGTCTGTGTAGCACATCCTCCAACGTACCAATACCCACAAGTCTATTCCCCTGAAGTTGCTCGGACGTCCCCTTGAGGCTGAGGGTTCCAAGAACCCTCCGTCAGAGCAGGGCGCATCTCGGGCAGATGCAGCATTGAACTTGAATTTTCCGAAAGAGAAAAGGTGAGTGTCTAGCGATGGTCACCCTGCATAACGAATACCCCTCCCCCCACACCTAAATGCACACATTCTCTTTTCTTTCTTCCTCTCTCTCCTTCGCTTTCTCGCGACTTCCTAAACCCGACAAACTCCGGAGCCGAAGCTGACCGTCACTATTTCCCAACAGAAAAGGAGTTTCCTTCCTTAGCCGAATTATTGGCTCAAAGAAGAAGGACCATCTATCAGAACCCGAAGATGAGAATTCGGAAGACCATAGCCGCATGCCCCTCGACACTTCACATAATCTAGGATTCATGCCTCGACATGCTGCACCACCGCGTTACATGAGAACGAAGGCCTACTACAAGAAGGAAAAGACATTTAACCACGTCTTTCTGGCGCAAAAACTGGAGGGTGCAGGGCCACAGACGAAAATCTCAGAAAGACGCATTTCGAGCTCCACCAACAACTCAACGGGCGAGGGCACGGGGAAGGCCATATGGTCTCTGGCATTTTCAAAAGATGGCAAGTATCTAGCTGCAGCGGGGCAGGATCGTAAGGTCCGCGTCTGGGCTGTCATTACCACCCCGGAAGAGAGAGAAGAGGAGATAAAAGAGATTGATGATGCGCTGCAAGATGAACACGAGGCCCCGCGACTATTCGCGCCGGTGTTCCAATCCAAGCCTGTTCAGGTTTACGAGGGGCACTCGGGTAGTGTGTTGGACCTGAGCTGGAGCAAAGTATGTGATTAGAAGATATGATGCGCAGGATGGGCTAACGTTGAGGGACAGAACAAGTTTCTACTTTCTTCTTCAATGGACAAAACTGTGCGATTGTGGCATGCAAGTCGGTCCGAATGCCTGTGCTGCTTTCAGCACAGCGATTTTGTCACCTCGATCCAATTTCACCCTCGTGATGATCGATTTTTTCTTGCCGGATCACTGGATACCAAACTTCGTCTTTGGAGTATTCCAGATAAAAGCGTGGCTTTTGTGAACTCTTTGCCGGATATGGTCACTGCTGTGGCATTCACTCCGGATGGCCGGTATGCGATAGCTGGATGTCTGAACGGGATCCTTAATATCTATGACACCGAAGGCCTGAAGCTGGCAGGTCAGATCCAGGTTCGGTCAGCTCGAGGACGTAATTCCAAGGGTAGCAAGATCACTGGTATCGAGACGATGATGGTCCCACAAGATGACCCAGATGGCGAAATCAAACTATTGGTCACGAGTAATGACTCGCGCATCCGACTATACAATTTCCGCGATCGAACTTTAGAAGCCAAGTTCCGCGGCAACGAAAATACGACCAGTCAGATTCGGGCATCTTTTACCGATGATGGAATGCATGTGATATGTGGTAGCGAGGATCGTAGAGCTTACGTCTGGCCAATTACGCAGACGATACCAAACTCTGATAAACGGGCCATGGAAGTGTTTGAGACACAGTCGTCGATTGTGACTGTTGCCATCACTGCACCCACACATACCAAACAGGTTTTAGCCCTGTCAGAAGATCCGATATACGATATCTGTAATCCCCTCCCAATAGCTCTGATGAGCCCGGAGGAAGCTGCCGGAACTCCCAAGGCGAGCCCTACAATTGAGACCAAACCCAAGGGCATGCCGCCGCCGCAGAAGTCGCAGCACAAGAGGTCGGCATCAGCGAGGATGTCCGTTGTCAGTAAGATGGCCAACGAGTCCCCAACGTACCTCTCACGATCGTCACATCCAGACGGCAACATCATCGTCATCGCCGACTTCTTAGGCAATATAAAGGTGCTCAGACAAGACTGCGCGTACCAAAAACGACGTTCAGAGAACTGGGACGCCAATTCAATCATCTCCAGAACTTTCCTCCGCCGCTCAAACTCTGCTCATCGCAGTATCGCCTCCTCAACCAAGACTCCCTCTGAGCGCATTATCTCATGGCGCAACTCCGTCGTTCGCGGTCGTGCCAGCACAGACGGTTCTCGCTCGGGCCTAAGAACTCGTAGTCCCTCGCCGCAACAACCAAGATCAGCAAACTTTCGCCTGACTTCATCCCGCCCACCTAGTCTAGACCCAACAGAAACCCCCTCGATCATGACTACATCCCCACCTCCATCATCACATCGTCCCAACATCGACAATGCCCTCCGCTCTGGCGAAGAACTCCAAAGACAGATTAGTCCTGCGATAGAATCATCCACAGACATGCTCAACAGTGGCAAGGCTAAAGACAATCCGCTCTGGATAACAGGCGATCACAGCTACGCGTACTGGAGCAAGATTGGGCACGATGCGCTGGCGGCAAAGTCCCGCAAAAACGACAATGACCTTCTCAGTCCGGATCGCATCCCTAGTAATGACCGCAGGTGTAGTGTGGCGACCAGCATTCTCAGCAGTGATGCTGGTTCCTCCAAGACCGAGAGGGAAGAGGATATCCTGAAATGCGATTATTGCCGTGGCAAGAACTTCCGTGGAATTAAGGATCGGAGTGGGAAGCAGAAGTTGATCTGCGTCTCGTGCAACCGGTCTGTTTCTTGAATCTTATATACCCTTGGAATTTTTCTCATTCGTTCTCTTCTTCTGTACATATAACATGAGTTCTGTGGAGTTTGTGTTCTGCATATACTTAGTGTCTTTTTAGATACTCCAGTACATTCTTGTTACTTTTGATACAACACTGGACCGCATACGACCTTGGTATATATAATGGGATGATGGTCATTGAACCAAGTAAATATATGATAACCTCGAGAGACAAAATTAATAACAACATATACGTGAACATCGCGAGGAATTCAAGGATACGTAAATATGACAATCGTTGCTGAGTCCAAGTCTAGTGTACTAGAACTAGTGAATGCCAAGACATCGAAAAAGTGCACCGATTAACTGCCACTCCCCACCCCGGACTTCTCAACCCACCTATTCACTGTCCAGTCCAACAACATCACCTCTGTCACCAGTCTCACTCCCCGACTGATCAAAAATCGAGAGTTCGCGTTCCACCAAATACCTCAGCCATTCTTCAACTCTCCACATCTTGAAAGCGACAGATCTCACCCGCCACAATGCCTTACCTCCCCACCAGCCAGGCATTCCTGGAGCAAGCAGCTAAACTACTAGAGGCATACCCAAACACAGTAAGAATCCAATCCAGCAAAGACAAGAGACGCCCAGCTTCCCCGCGATCGATCTTCCAATTCCAATTTCAATTCCTCATCACCCCCCCCCCCCCCCCCCCCCCCCCCCCCCCCGTTCAAATCAAACTTCGAAATACAATAAAAAACTAACAAATTCAGACTATCATCACAACAAAATACTCATTCCCAACTGAAACCCCATCCGCAACCATCAAGCGCCAAAAATCCGTGTCCAAGTCTACAGATACTGCTACAGCTACGGACACAGCAGTCGCAGCAGAGCCTACGGCTCCCGTCGCAGCCCTTGAATTCAAAGCTTATAACCCCGGCACGGGCATCTGTCTCAAGTACCGCACGAACAAGCATCAAGAGGTTAGTCGGTTGATGACTGGCTTGGGCAAGTTGGCTGGTGGTCCTAATTCGGGCGATGTGGAGATGGTTGATGCGCCTGCACTTGACGAGGTAGTGCCTGTGCCTGTGCCTGCTGTAGCTCCTCCTGCGAGGAAAGCTAAAGCTAGTAAGAAGACTACAGGCAACAGGAAGAATTAGGGGCTTTGAGGACTAGGACTAGGACTAGGACTTGCATTTGCATACCTTTGTTGGTGTTGAGTTTGGGCAGGAAATAATGACTTACGGGTTCTTTATGGATTGGACTCTTTAAATGTCTCTGGTCTTGAGAAGGTACCGGAAGGACAGTTTAAAAGATATATTCTTTTAATATATGATATTAAAGAGGAAACAGTATACCAGTAGTCAAACATTTTGAACATTTAGATACACAGTCCGCTACCCATCCAATACTAGACATCAAGACAAATCGGTGTCAGGGACAGACCAAATATTAACAAGTAGAAGAACAAAAAGACGCCAAATCCATGCGGAGCCTAGAAGGATAAAGAAACGTGAAATCATAGGGGAGAGAAGGTGTGGGTTAAGCCCACAACTCAGGGTATAAAACAACAAAGAGGAGAGAGGGGAAAGAGAAACGGTGAGGGAAATTGTCTAGAAGTCCTCATCGAAGCTCAGACCATTGTTGTTGCTGGTGCCGGTCTTCTCACCATCGGCACCGGTGTCCTTCTTGGTGCTGGCCATAACACCGGCCTTCTGGTAGTCGCCAACGCGCTTCTCAAAGAAGTTGGTCTTGCCGGCCAAGGAAATGGTCTCCATGAAGTCGAAGGGGTTGGTGGCGTTGAAGTACTTCTTGTTGCCAAGGGCAAGCAGAAGGCGGTCAGCAACGAACTCGATGTACTGGCACATCAGGTTAGAGTTCATGCCGAGCAGGGCACAGGGCAGAGCATCAGTCAAGAACTCCTTCTCAATGCTGACGGCCTCGACAATGATGGCCTCAACGAGCTTGGGGCTGGGGCGGTTGTTCAAGTGAGAGAACAGCAAACAGGCAAAGTCAGTGTGCATACCCTCGTCACGAGAGATGAGCTCGTTGGAGAAAGTCAGACCGGGCATCAGACCACGCTTCTTCAACCAGAAGATGGAGGCAAATGAACCAGAGAAGAAGATACCCTCAACAGCAGCAAAGGCAACCAGACGCTGGGCGAAGGTAGACTCACGGTCCGAGATCCAGCGAAGAGCCCAGTTGGCTTTCTTGGCAATGCAGGGAACTGTGATGCATGTTAGCTAATATATATGCAATCGATAGCAGAAGTAAGCCTACTTGTGTCAATGGCATCGAAGAGGTAGGTGCGCTGCTTGGGCTCCTTGATGTAGGTGTCGATGAGCAGAGAATAAGTCTCGGAGTGGATGTTCTCCATCATGATCTGGAAACCGTAGAAGCAGCGAGCCTCAGGGATTTGAACCTCTCCGCTGAAGCGCTCAAGAAGGTTCTCGTTGACAATACCATCGGAGGCAGCAAAGAAAGCAAGGACGTGGGAGACGAAGAAGCGCTCATCGTCGTTGAGGCGGTTGTGCCAATCATGGAGATCCTTGGACAAATCAATTTCCTCAGCAGTCCAGAAAGAGGCCTCAGCTTTCTTATACATTTGCCAAATCTGAAAAGAGAAGAATTAAAAATGGCCCCTTAACCACTTTACGCGTAGGACGCGTCGACGACCTGACTTACCTCGTGATACTTGATGGGGAACAGAACGAAGCGGTGGGGGTTCTCTTGGAGGAGGGGCTCATTGGCCTCAGCCTCCTTGATACCAGGAGCCACCTTGATAACATCAGAAGTCTTCTCAACAATCTTGTCGACAGGCGCGTCGACAGACTTCAAAGATGTGGGGGCGTTCTCTTTGCCAGCTGAGAAGTCAAGCTTCTTGATAGGGGAGTCGGACATCTTCAAGTTCTCGAGGGCAGAAGCAGCCTAAGGTAAGAGCGTGTAAGTAAAAATTGATTCACGCGACGCGTCTGATGAGGGTGGCGACGTGGTTGAAGGCGGAACATACCTGCTTGGAAGGTGTGACTTGAGCAGCCATTGAGAATATGTATTAGAAGCAAGGGATGTCAGAGTAAAGATAAGTGTAAGATGACAGTGAGAGACAAAGATGTCGAAAGGCTTGAGAGGGGAAAGAGAAAGTGGACTGTAGGTGGGAGGAAACGGGTTAAGTACCAGAGCGTGGATTCATTTTTAGTGGGAGTCACGTCTCACGTAATCACGTGACTTACACGTGATGAAGTAAGGCGCGTTTCTCTGAAAACATTCAAAGTCTATGAAGTCACTCATGCCACTTTATTTCCAGACATCCGAAGCTAGGTTGATCCATATTCAAAGCCATGCAGGTTACAGACCCACAACCAATTGATTCATTTACTCGTTCCATTCCTGCTTGACGGTATTTCATTTCAATTAGATGTAGAAACTATGGAAACTACATGTACAAATACCAAACCAACCAACAAAATGACTGATATGAGACCTCAGTTATTTCTAGAAACAGGTTTAGAATACGAACTTAATCCATAGTAAACAACGCGAGTTTGAAGCATTCACGCGTCTTGCCAGGATTTTCAGCTCAATTGGATCCACAATTCAGCTAGATCGGTCCACTAGTGTGATTTATAACGATCAGATAAGCCTGGCGCGTTGTTCGCGTTTAACACGGCTTTACGGATCTCAACGTTACATGAAGACTGACAGGGATCATCGACGCGACTTGATCAATAAAACCCCTGCAATTTATGTGGATCAATACCCTATGCAACTTTTCTCTAGCTCTATCTAGGTAGTTCACTCGTAGACAAGAAAATGGGTTGGTCGTCCAGGCGCTAGCCCACCCTGTTTTCTTAATGTCGCGTTTTGGAGTAAATAAGCCGGATGTTTCAAAGATGAACCGAATGAAGGAATCTAGCCTGGGAACTAGACCTCAGGTGGGCTGCATCCCTTAGCCCCTAAATCAACACAAGCTGCTTCCCCACCTTCCACATCTGATGCTCTAGCAACCTTGGAACCCTGAGCCAATTGGTGCTCGGTTGCTACATTTTTGACATCTTGAGGAAAAGAGGGGTCAGTTCTTGCCATCGATAAGGGGATAACAATAACTGTCTTGGCAATCACTCCTTGCTTGGCCTGAGTACGAACCGGATATTTATCGGTTTAAGTTCTCATCCCTCACCATTTTTGCTCAGCATATGCTTATCAATTGCTTCATCAGTCCACCAAGCCTATCATTCCTCTGTATAGTCTTGGGATCCCTCTTACCTAGGTAAGTGCTGAACTTTTGATCGCCAGCGCTGAGGTTCTTCTGAATTCTGAATATCCCATTCATTACTTCTTTGAAGCTTTAAAAAGAATTCATCCTTTAGGAGAGTATCTAGCAGTCTCCCAGTCAATAATGCCAACATATCCATCTTCCAGGGTATCTTCCACAAAATTATAACCAGGGCTGAAGTCGGAATAGCTAAAAAGAACTTTGAACAGTCAATATCGATTGATTTATGAACAGCCTTTGAGTAAGTTCTTGGGCTAGCTTCTCATAGTTGTGGTATCACTATCGGCTATACGTCTATCCAACTCATGGATTTCAACTTAGAAACTCCTGAGATCTCACTTCGGCAGATCTCGGTGAATCTAGTGTTTCCATACAGTGCTGTGGAGTGAGCATTGAAGGTTAGTTATCCATCTGGGCATACCTACGCTGTAAACACCACTCCCGAGCTCTCAAATCTTTTTCAACGAGAACTTGATTTGAACCTTCATCAAGTATTCTTTACAGAACATCACTTCTTCGTATACACGTTCGTCACCTCAATATGGGACTCACTGATAGAGAGATATCTACCTAAAAGAGGAGCTTATTTCACACCACTCAGCTTCTTAGTGAAGTCATGCGACTATGATGCCAATGTAATGATACTGCGGGCACAGGTCCTATACAATGGAGAGTGCAGCCAATCACAAATGACTATGCCGAATGGAAGGGTGGCTATGAAGTAACCGTCAATGAGAAGAAATGTTATGTGGCGCTTATTGATGCCGTTAAGAAATACAAGGATTAAGAATGGAAGCGAAAGAAGGCTGAAGAAGAGATAAAGAGGGTGACCAGCGGCAACAGCTATTCTGATAGTGATTCTGATTAATGAGAAACGATTAGTTTTGTGAGACTGCTTTTCGATTAGGATGTCTTTTCTTTTCCCCACCAAAAATGCTAGATTAACCTTGGAAGGCTTCCATCTTCTACATGAAACTTTCATGTAGTATCTGAAAGCGGTCATACTATAGCCGGGCAGAAAGAAATGAGGCATATAAATCATAAAATGGGCCAGCATACTATAACCGGGAATAATGGTCAAATGAGCAAACACAGAGAAGCTAGATTGTCCCCTGCACTAAGGATGACATACTAAACCCAGAGAAGACCACCCACTTTTTTTTTTTAATAAACGGCCTTGATTAGGGTATTACGAGGCTATTTCCATTTGCCAAAAACACGAGGTTTGGCGTTCGAGACCGAGTACGCGCATTTTCTTTTTAGTTTTTGGATCAAAATTAGAGTATAGAACTATCTCAGTTAGAATGAGAACAACCTTGGAAAATACCTTGTATTATATACCTAGGTAGATACCCTGTCAATTATAAACTCTCAACCGCTGTATGTACAAACAACATTTTTGAAAATGAGAGTTGGAAATGCCCCCAGAAACGCCCTATCTATATTAAACAACATAACACTTTTCCATGCCGGGTTCACAAACAAAAACCTTGGAAGATGCCAGGCATGTTATGCTAGATTGTTTCAATCATTTTAAATCCCACGATATGAGTCAGGCAGGATGCGATCCTCGACACGTCGCATCAGCTTGTTGGTTTGCTCTGCCAAGCTGAGGGTCAAGATCTGAAATTATCGAGTTAGTATGTGAAAATTAATTACTTTGAATAGATGGGACTCACAGTATGGGGTAGAATTCGGGCCAGGTGAGCAACGAAGCCCTTGTAGATGGCGAGAACACCCTCTGTGCGAATGGTCTTGAACAAACAGTCGAAAACGCCTTGGTAGAGGTTTCCTGATTGGTTGTACATGCGAGCCATGATGGTATCTAGAAGGATGCGAGTTAGTTATCCGGTATTATACAGTTGTAGAAAACGAAGAATTTACCAGGAGGGTGCATGAAGCAGCACACGACGAAGCCAGAAGCGGCACTACTAGCCAGGTGGAGAGCGGGGCCTTCTTCCATGCCCAGGTGTCGGGTCAGACGACGTTTAGCAAAGAAATAAGTCGGGAGTTGAACAGCACTGCCGAAACTGGTCCGGATCATGGCTGCACCGACACCACGGTAAATACCCTTCACACCTTCGCTCGAATAGATCTTAGTCAGACCATCGATCGAGTTTTTGTATTTATGCTGGGTACCGACGGGAAGGAAAGGCGAGTAAGATTGCAGGCGGGTTTTTACAAGGAAGAAGGGAGATCCAGCAGCTGCGCCGATGACTCCAGATGTAGCACCAGCGACAACGTTGACGCCGAGAGATTGAACTGCGGAATCGCTGTAGAGGGCCGATGTGAGATTGGAGCGAATGGGCTCATAGAAACCTAGACGGCATCCATTGAGCAGAATCTGATAGCAGTACTGTGTTTATGCGCCACTGTTAGCTTTTACATCACACTGACAAGGGTAGTTCATCAATTGAAAACATACAGCAGAGCCAATGCCTCGGAACAGACCCCGTGGGCCTTCGTTCTGGAGGATGACTTTGATACCGTGCAAGACACCCTTATACTTCTTCACAGCCTCATTCTTCGTCTGCAATTCACCCTGTAGTTGTAATCTTTGAAAAATTAGCCACGGGATCTCAGTTGATCACCCCGAGCCCTAGGGCTAAGCTCACCTAATCTTGACGGTCTCAAAGCTATGAGTGACAGTAACGGCACCACAGGCTGCGATACCACCAGCAAGGAATGCACCAAGTGTTGTTGACATCGTGTGGTAGTTTGCGACAGATGGATGAGAGAGGGTTCTAAATTTTTGGAGAGGGATCGGAGGGGCGACAACGGGCAAGTAAAGGTGGAGCCCTCTGAGCGTCGGGATAGAAATTGAACCGGTGAGAAGAGGAATTGATTGTAGTCTGCTTGTCAATATTTTAAGTTCGGCTCAAAAAATACCGAGTCAGTCGTCTGAGGAGATGTTCTGGATACCTTAAAGCTTATACCAGCGCCGATAACGGGTCTCCTTGATTGGATGATCGTGATCCCGCGTGTCCGAACTCGGAGTAAAGTATGTCCGCATATCAGCATTGTACTATGCGAGATATTGAGGGCGGGTATTTGGCAGATGATTGGGTTCAGAGAATGGAGACCAGCTAGCCAAATTCACACACATAATAAAAGCTAGACAAAGGTCATTTGACCAATTTAGCAGCCTCTTCGCTGAAGCAACTGCCGATGATATCGACGTCTCCACTCACCGAAGGAGATCACAACACTTTTAGGTCGTGATGGGAAGCCCTATCGGAAGCTCGCTAAAAGAGAAGAAGCTGGCCGCCACTCACTAAAGGTTCTCTCGCCGATCGATGCTACAGCGTGAGCTCTGGTACATTGCAGGTATACCGTATCCACTACTTTCTATTTGGATGTAAATTCGAGTTTCCAATGAGTAGAGGGTAAGGTGCCCATGTTATTTGTTGTCTGAATCTAATTTTGCAGTCAACTCCAGAGGCAAATGGTCTTATCGCTCTTATATAAGAACACTTCTTATATAAAACCACCTCGGTCGTGACATTGCAAATCTATGCCTTCCGATTTCTGTCTTTCCCCGCCAGACTGCGAGCTGTATCACAGATCCAGACTGGAGGTCCCTCAAGATCCTCGTTGCCATCCCGATATTTTTCAATCGTGGCTTCTATCTGCCTGTCAATTGTTCGATTGCTGGAGATGGTCGTCATCCCAGTGACCCACCCATAGATGAAAACACTGTAGTTGATATCAGACAAGCCTTCTATGACTCGGTCTGCCAATGGAGGAAGCTTTCCCTGCACTTTATCGGTGGATATAGCAGCCTGTGCATCAATGACTCTAATAGGAAGCTTCCACTCCGTCGGGATGTCATAATCAGACAGTTCCTGGAATACCTTGATGAGAGCTTGGCGATCCAAGTGATCATACGGAGCGTATGCCATTAGGATGTTCATTCGATCCATTTCTTTATCTGAGCCAATTGTTTCCACAATCTCACGCATTCGCATCGCCGCTTCCTCAGTGCAGACCAACTCATTTCCACCCATGGCAGGCCAGAGTTCACTAGGGAGCAGAGGCTTCTCTCTCTCGACCTCTATTTGGCGAACGATAGCTTTGTGAAAGCTTGGTGACACAGGGATATCTTTTATGTGTGACAAATCAGACACAATTGCAAGCAAGAGAGTGCAATCCACATTCAGAGTAGAAGTGAACTTCTTGTACGGTCGAGGCAGAAGTCGAGTGAGGTCCAGAGTGCTGGAGTTCACTGCCAAAGTGTTCTGACAGTCGACCTGGATATCGAAACTCCGCATCTCTTTAATCATCTCGTTAATTTCAGGAAAATTTCCCTCTTCGATTTTGGGCAGAACAATTCGTACTCGGGGATGTCTATATCTGACCCGCGTACTATTAGCAGCCTTCCTTAGATCCCGCGCTAGCTGAATGAGCTCAAGCTCCCCTTCATCATCATCTTCACCGTTCTCGCCGTGGAAGTTCTGTAGAATAACTTCCTCTTCAGACATTTCATCAGAGTCATCGCCTTCCCAGCCTTTTTTCGCCATCTCAAACAGCAGTCTGCTCTCCGAGATAGTCGAGACTTTAACCCATTCCTCTCCATCGTCCGCAACCACATCGACATAAACACTCTTGCGTTTATCTTTGCTCGGCTGCTTCCCTGGGAGGCTAGACTCATTAACTTCTTTAGGATTTGTCTCGGACTCCCAGTAAAATCTTTTTCCAAGCGCCAATAATCCCACGCACGAACCCTTCACTATATCCCAGACAGCCTGGTAAAATGGCAAATTTGACGAGCGAAGCGCATGTACAAGACGCAAAGAAACCTCTGAATCCTGGATATCTGGGTCAGAATCTTTAGCCGTCATCGTGACACTGGCTTGGATCTGTCGCTCTAGTTTCTGCAACATTTTTAGCTCCGCGTTCACATTTGACCGGAACTGCCGCACTTCCACTAGCTGCGGATTCCGGAGCGTCTCTTTTAGTAGAGCCTGTAGCTCGTCCAGCTCAGCGAGGATATTGACACATTGCCTGAGGAGGTCCTTGGAGGTTTTGGTGTTTTGGGTTGTGGGGTCCAGGTCGTGAGTCATATTGGAAGCTGGAGTATGGCGCTTTATAATGAATGCAGAGTGAATTGTGCCAAACTATGGTTTATGTGCATGTGGCTCAGATGATTCCAAGCCTGTATAGTTGAAGTGCAAATTGATGGGAAAATTTGAGGTGAGTCTTTTATAGTGGGGCCGACTTGAGACGGGAGGAGTCATGGAGATCTACGCAGTAGAAGTTGACTCAACGTCGGAATGTTCTGGCATAAATAGTACTTTGTGCAGGCTTCCCTCGAGCTGCACGGACCCGCTTCTATCAGTCTCCACCCAGCAGACTACTGTGGGCTGCCTACTATTGCTCAATTTAAGCTCAAATTAGATATTTTCCATCAATGGTTTAGTGGTTAATACAATATAGCGATGTACTTCGGTAGTGAATTTTTTTAAAAAAAAGCTGGGAATAAATCAAATATTCATCGTGCTAAAACGTGCTGGGGTATTGGATGTAAGCGAGTAATATGATGTACAAGAGGGATAGAAGCTCTACTTGGCTTCTTCTGGCAGCCAGAAGATCGTATCCTTATCAGTGCTGGCAATCATGTTATAACGTGGGTTGTACTCGATGATCGAAGTGCGCCCACGGTTGGCCAGTCTGCTCATAGGTTGTAGCTTGCGGTTTTCGTCGCCCTCCTGCTGCAGGTCCCAAACAAGCATCTCATTCTGGTCGCCGTTGCCCCCAAGAACATATCGGCCATCGGGAGTGAAACAAGCATCACCTTGTCCCAAAGGCTTTCCAGTGGAGGATACCGGCGCAGCACGGCCAGTTGGTCCTCTTTTGCCAGTGAGGAATGCTTTCACGGATCCATCAAAGGCATCCAGGATATAGTGACCGTGATAGTCTGTTCCGATCAAGAGAGACTTTCCATCATTAGAAAACTCAAGTTTTGTCCAAGCGCGTCCACGAGTTGATGGGGTGTAGAGCTCTTCGTAGGTAGACAGGTCAAATGTGGAAAAAGGAGGTTTATCGTAGTTGCGGAAGTCATAGAGAAGGATGGAGGAGGTGGATTGGGATGCGATGGCGAGGACTGAGGCAGAAGGGTCGAATGCCACCAAATATGGGGTCGCAAGATGCAGTCTTCCCTGAACATTTCGGGAGGCAAGATCCCATAGTGCAACAGTATTATCCTTCGAGCAGGACACGAATTGATCACCGCCGGGTGAGACAGTTAAGGCAGTCACTTGGTCTGTATGTCCGGAAAAATAACGAACGTAACCTTCATTATGGACATCAAGCAGCCTAAGAGAGTCTATTCGAGTGTAAGCTGTGGGATTTATGACCTGGAACACTGATTCATTCGTGACCTACGATCAACCTTGTTCTGATCCTTGGTACTGGCGTGCAGGACTTGGCGCGAGTGATGTGTGAATCTGGCCAGGTGTACGCCATATTTCTTGCTGGGAACCGATTTTGTGGATTTTCCCTCTTTGACATCGTAAATTTGAATTACTTCATCTTCACCGGCCGCGACCAGAAAGTCGCCCTGGTCGTCAAAATCCAAAGATGTCACATAGCCTGGGTTGCTAAACAACTAGGTTGTGGGTGAGCAGGAAGGACCAGAAACAATATTTGAGCGCAATTGATCTACCTTGACAGCTCGAAAGCTTCGGATGAGATCCGGGATCTTCTGTGGCTGTAGAGGAGCTTGGGACGCGTTTCGAGATGATTGCGCCTGCGATGCGTCGGCCATGATAAATGTGTTGGAGATAAAGGAAGAGGACGGAAGGAGAGGGAGTTGGATTACTTCAAGAGTGAAAAAGCGAGCCCTCAGAACATTCTGGTAATTGGTAAACTGGCACAGACTGGCTGACAGACCGCAAAAAAGTTACCTAGACGCGGTAGGCGCCATACCTTTCCTCCGGCACACACCGCCTGGCAGAACCACCCCACACTACATATTCACTGATCGAAAGGGAAAGTGGATAAAATGATAAGAATTGAATTTAAATTGCTAAATTATTAATTGTAGTATCAAATTCAGCAGATATCACTTAAACGAAGTTGCCGAGAGTCCTGAGCTATCCAGGTCGGTTGAACACGCGACTCTGAGCTGCCTTGGATTTGGCCTACAGTTGCAGGACTGTGCATCCTCCTACCATGGTGTGGTAAATCGTTAACCAATTACTATGGGAATACTTCAATGGCCAATCAATAAGTATGATATGGAAGAGAAAAGATATTGAGCAATAATTGAATAATGTACGCACAAGTAAGGCTATGTGACCAGACCTTCTACCGTTTAAAGAATAGTGCAAGGTTCAAGGTTAGGCTCTTTCGCCTAGGCACCGACAGTTTGCCCCTGTATAAAAATGGGATATTAGGTTTCAATATCATTCGAATTCAAAGCTTAGAAGCAAAAGGTAGGTTATTCAAGATGGTAGCCCTGGAAGTAATGACATGTAGATGGGGACCTTAGAGATAGTGAGAGACTAATTCTTCAGCAATCGAATCATCTGGAATATTTTCAAGGGGTTTATGTTAGCTTGCCTAAGTAGATAAGGTGAGATTCTGAAAAAAATTGGAAGATTGCTTACGGTAAAGCATTAAACCAACCTAGATACCGGTAGTTTAGTCATCTGGGTATTTGGATAGTGATAATTCATGATCAGAACTCGATGCTGCCCCGGTACCTTCCAAGGTTTTGAGGGCAAGTCAAGTGAAACGTATTCTATGGTAGATTGTTGACAAATGAGTGACATACATGTGAACCCAGGAGGTTGCCAAGGCTTAGAGGAAGAACCTTGAAAGTCTACAAATTATGAGATGAAGAAATGGTATGGAATGACAGAGCTCAGAGTCTTGGAATAATGGAATTCTCAAAACACTCATTGATTACCAGGATATCAGGTAGCCTAGCAGGCCGTCGGCATTCAAAATGGTGTATCGCATTGGCAGCTGCGGCTCGGCCCGAGATGTGGGTGACGGAGACGGTGTATTATTAATCCGGTATCCAAAACATATGATTCCCGGGATTTGAACTCGGATCATTCGTCTTAGCTCAGGGAAGGGCCTTATACTCATAGTTAATAGTTATAGGTTATTTAATGTTTATACAGAGGCGGCACCTCAACTATTAGACCAGGTAGGAGTTTCATGCAAGAGTTGTCCCCTTGAAATACGACGTCACTTGAAAATTAAATCACCTAGACATGAGGAACGCGCACCAAACAGTGCTAAAATGTGAGAGTGGAACTGGCATAACCGCCAGGGCTGAGAATTAAGGATGGTAACGGATTGACGGATTAAATCCATCAACAATATTTAATTACGTAAAATCCGTCAATCTGTTACCATCCCTTCTAGTAGTGGCAGTGAGAATCTTGAGAAGATCCATAGATATTTCGGTTATGTTCACTTGAGCTGGAAAAACTATATTTCGATCATATGTATAGGTAGAAAGGAATGCACTCCGTACCATTTTGCAGTTGAAGTAGTAGCCACCTGGGCAGCATTGTAGACGCTCATTCCAAAGGCGTCACCAAAACTTCAAAATTCAAACAATAGCACCACTTCTTCTCTACTCGCAGCCAACAAGGGCTAGCAAGCATTGAAAAAGTAAGTAGAAGTCAAGAGTGATAAAATCACCATTTTGGGTTAAAAAATTACGTGACAGCCCACAAAGGCAGCCAGGTAGGTATAGCTGATAGCTTTCAGTCAGCAATAATAACCTCAGATTTCTCCTCACTGGTGTATTAAAGGTCCGTGCATATGGATGTATGAAGAAGAAAGAAAGAAAAAAGAGGAAGGCAAGTGGGGAAATCTCTGCACTTAAAGGTCCACGGAGCACAGCGTAGATACCAGTGCGGCAAATATCACCTGATCGTAACCTAGACGCCGGTGATATTGTAGACAGCATCATGCATTCAAAGCTCAAGATGGTCTCGTTGAGGTCGAGGAAGAATCGCGAGGGGAGTAGAGGGCTCGCTATGAGGCAAGTAATATCAGATTGAAGTCATTATTGAAGTTCAGGGAATCTATCAATAACCTTGGAACTATCCCCTTGACTGTCGAATTTGGCCAAATTAGCGCCTTGGCAAAAAGGCCACGGCCTATTTCTTATTACCATTCAAGAGCTAAACTATAACAGGCTTAGTTCTATTATCTAATTACATTCTATTTACATCTCTGTCGCGTAAAGGCTGGCGTATGGCATGGAAATGATTCCAACAAGACCTTGTATCAGGCCTACATAAAGGGATCTTACAGGCTTTACAGCCCCAACACGTTCGAAATGGATTGAAAGGAGGATTTCCCTGAGACTTAGCTTTCTGAGCCTGTTGGGTGCAGAATTTACAGGGTGCTCGCCTCTGTATTCTCTCCAACTGATGCCTCCTAGGCTGTAAATCAGGCTGTAAACCAGGCTCTCTCTTAGGCCTATATCTGTCCCTCTCCCTTTCTCTCTCCCTCTTTAAAGAGCTCTTTATAAAGCTGTATCCTAAAGTCAAGCTGAGTTATTGGGGATAAACCCTGCTTTTGGCGAGCAATCTTTGCAATACAGTAAGCATTAACAATAGATATATCAAGAAGCCAATAAAAGATTGGCCACCAAGAGCGAAGCGTCTTCCGGTGTGTCTTATAGCCGGCCTAATCGTCACTTGAATGCATACCTTTGTAATGGTAAAATGGCTTAATAACCTTGGATGGTAATGCGTGGGTAATAGTGATAAGTGATCCTCGGGTACACTTGATGCCTCCAGGACTCTTCCATATAACATTACTTATTTGGAAAACAACAATCATAAGAGCAGCGGATGTGATTTCAGATCAATTAAGATGGAATAGAAAATTGAATGCAATGTAAAATCAGTATTCGTAGTGTTAGGTGAGACGAAGCTGGTACGAAGCTTCTAATATTACCGAGGCCCCTCAAAGGAAGCTATCAAATACTGCATGGAGCAATCAAAACATTACCAAGTCCATGTGGGCATAGAGAACCGATCTATGCTATCCTACAGGCTACTTAGGTACAAGCAGCAGTGTAAAATAAAAGCCTTGGGAATTGCTCAGCATATAAATTCATCGTCTAAGATACAAGTCAAATGAATGAGCGAGATATCCACCTTGCGTTTAAGCTGGAAAAGAAAAAAAACCCAACGCCATGATATGCTTGTAATTTTCGAGCTTGGCAGCGAACAGGAGTGAGCATATAGCTTTGTTCACTCTGTTTGCTCCGTACAAATTGATGAGGGTAAATCCTGGTCAGAGACTATGCAAAGACATCTTCCTAGTAGCTCTAATGTGTCAGTCGTTGTCTCTCGCCGGAGTTACGTGGTGATTCGTCATCGTCAGACCACTTGTCACCATCTTCTTCGCCCACTGCGAAGATTGTCTCTTCGTCAAGGGACGCACGTGTGTATTGACCCGAGGAGAATGGCTTTGGTGGTACCGGCGACAGATCACGGCGTGCCTCCGCAGCCGAGCTGCCGGGATATTCAGGGGGAGCATCCAAAGGATCTTCTTCATCAAGTCCACTTCCAAAGGAACGGATTTCGAACCCATCGTCATCTTGGGCGAGCTATAGTTTATGTCAGTAGAGAGATCGATGTAATTTGAATTGCAAGAAATGGATAAATTACCTCATCACTCATGGCGAAACGTCGGTTGTTGGCGGTTGGTCGCCATAGATAGGCCACGAAGGCGATGTCGAACAAATATACCAGATTGAGCCAGCCATCCAGCACGAACCACCGTGCCTTCCAATGCTCTGGCACAAAGTCGGCATCGCTGTGACCAGCAAAGGCGAAGGAGTTAATGAAAAAGAAGCCGAAGATAACGACGATGCTGCCGAGAATGCACCACCATAGTTTTTTGTACATCAAAGCCTTGGTCTTCTGCTTCCGGTCGATAAGATCCTTCATCGTGGCATTGAGCGAGTTCAAAGTCCACACATAGAAAGCTGTCAAGGATCCAGCAAGAGGAAGAACGATTAGAAGGACAAGAGGCCCGGCGCTATCTGGGGTAATTGACAAACTGGCAACTGAGTAGACCACAGCAAAAATGAAGTGTGCAATGGCCAAGATGCGGACGAAGATCATTGTTCGACCGAGGGAGGGTTTAACCACACCGTATCCCATACAGACAATAAGAAGAAGGAAGAATGAAAAGGCATTTCGACCTGCGTTGAGAACGGCAACAATCACCATCAATGCCTTAGCCATAGCGTTCAAACCATGTCGGTTTTGATAATCTATTGAAAATTAGCCGAAATGACTCAGAGAACGTGAAAAATGTAAAATTTACCGTAGAATCCCCAGGTCATCAGCTGCTCAACAATCAAGAATACAAGGATAGCTGTGATATAGTTTTGAACAGGTACTGCAATCATTAGCGCTATTCAAGGTATAGAGGAGAGATCTCAACTCACAGATATCGTGGCGGTTTTGTACATAGAGGAAAGCCCAGAACCTATGTTTTATGTCAGTCTCTAAAAATCAGCACATTTAGAAAGCCCAAGAAATACATACGCTCCGATGACAGCATACACAATGGTCAGAGACCCATAGAAGGGGAGCTTGGCGATTTGAGCAGCTGGAAGCTCACCATACGCATTTCGGAAAGTGACAACGGCTGTATAATCTTCTCCAGAGTATGCATATGTGCTGACACAATAGAAGCCTGTGTTTCGCACGGGGTACTTTACAGCATCTGGGTCATTGAGGTTGATTGCTTTCGAGATGATGGGGCTGAGAGAGGCGTCGGTCGCATTACTAGTAAGAATAAAAGAGCCGATCTGGTCCTTTGTGCAAAGCTTTGCTTCGATGTTCGCCTCGTCACATATAGTTTCCTTGAGCTGATAATTCGTTGTCAGCCCCGATATCTTTTGGACCTATATTCAAGTTACATACCTCGGCGTTATCGGACCGGTATTCTCCAATCAATTCCTCATCACTCCATTCAAATATCACCAAGCTGGCGAGAGGTGTACCTTCTTCGGCGTTGGTTTTGGTGAATTTGACGAGGATAAAGGGGTCTACACTGCCGCCCCAGGACTTGCGACTATACATCCCTGAGCATTGTTGTCTGTGCGTTTCATCGGATTTCTATCGATATAAAAGTTAGTACGATGAAATGGCCCTTCAGATAAAGCTCTAGTTTGAGATCACCCACCAGTATCACATCATTGGCAAGCACTGCACCGGCCAAAAAGGCCGTCAGGCTCAAGGTCCGGAGCCAGCTCTTCATCGTGGTTTGGTAGAAGCAGGGCAGCCTCCAGAATTTGTAAAGAGAATATAGCTAAGTTCACGCAGTATTCGAACCTTAAAAGGAGAAAAGAGATGCTCTGTCAAGAGTAGGCTATAAGGTATTAACGGTTCCGGGCTGGAGCTTGAAGCCAAAGCAACCAATTCCGGGGACATCGGGATTATTAAGCAGTCCCGCACCGCCATTTTTTTTTGACTCTATGCTCATAACACTTGGACAAGCTTACACTCAGTCGTCAAGCCGCCTCAAAAATGCCAGCTAAAGAATCAAAGAGTCCTTGTGTTGAATGCAAGGATGCCGAAGCCGTTTTAACTGTTCGGAAGAGGCAACTGTGCAGGTATTACAAGCTCGATGTGCTCTCCGCGTTAAGCTACTAACTCTTTCTTCAAGTTCCTGTTTCAAATACTTCTTATCAACCAAAGTATTTCGGCGCATGGAAAAGTACAACAAGCCACCTCGAGATCATAACACTTTGGTGCCCCAATTACTCCTTCCCCTATCTCTCGGTGTTTCTTCTTCGACTTTGTTGTATATGCTGGATACCGAACTCCATCGCAGACTGGCCAATGCGCACACCAAGAAACCATATAATCTTCAAGTGCTCGTAATAGAACCTTCAACTATCTCGCCATCGGACGCTCCATATGACAAAAATTACGAGGCACTCCAAGCGGCCTTCCCTATGCACACATACACACGAGTGCCATTCCACAATATCTTCGAATATGTCCCAGACATGAAGGAGATTATGTTAGAGTATGCCGGCCCCCAGTTTACAGACGATGCCTCTATGGATGCTGAGAAGCGCCTGGCTGCTTTCCGAGCTACGATTACCACACCAACATCTAAGAGCGACCTTGATCAAGTGTTGTTGACCCGGCTTGTTGTTGGATTCGCAAAGAAGACTGGCTGTGATACTGTTCTGTGGGGTGACTCTGATAGTCGCCTTGCAGCAAAGACTCTGGCAGGTGCTGCCAAGGGTCGTGGTGCCTCATTAACCTGGCAAGTGTCTGATGGAATGTCCCCATGGGGCATGGGATTTGAGTTCCCGTCACGAGACTTGTCAAAGACTGAGCTGGAGCAATTTGCAACTTGCTGCCCAGAACTAGCCTATATCATCATCCCTGAGCGACCAGTATCCGAAAATATCCTTACCAAGAACCTGTCCATAGACGAGTTGATGATGCGGTACGTGTTGACGCAAGGTGAAAAGTATCGTGGTATCATGTCAAATGTGTCAAGAACAGCAAACAAACTCCAGTCTACCTCAGAGACTGAAAGTACTAAATGCACACTATGTGGAGCCTTGGTGGGGAATGTTCAAGGAAACGACTCAGCGATTGCTGCCTCAATTGACAATCAAAGCTCCCAATTCTGCTACGGGTGCCTGAGATCTCGCCCTGAGGTTATCAACAATTAAAAAGTTATTTTATTTGACCTTTTAAAAACAAACTCAGTTTGAAAGTATGAACAGAAGAAAGAGATTGGAAGAAAGAGGAAAAAAAATCGCAGAAGATGACCGACGGTTCTCGGGAATCATACTTGCACAATTGAAATAAGGGTATATGAAATCATAACTAGGTTTGTTCACGTCTCATGGCCCACGCTCCAGGTCTTCGTCTTGCGGGCTGGCTCCACCAAACCACCTGTTAGAGCGGTTAGGCCGGGACTTAGCTGGACGAACGGGCTGCTGGTTGTTATGTTCTGGCCGTGAATTGTCCAAAATACCATTCTCCTGTTTGTCAAATTCATCGGGAAGACTGTGGTCGATAGTCTTCTGCTCTCGTGGCTGTACCTGGCCTTTGAGTGCCTTAGCGCCCTTTTCACGCAAATGCTTCTCGAGAATGACGGCGTTTCGAGTATTGCACTTGTATACGGCATCGGCGATATCACCAATGAAGGGAACGAGGCCAATGACAAAGTCAATGATCACATTGACCAACATCATCATGCGCAAGCGCGGTGGAAGACCACCCTCAATTCCCTCGCATGTCCTTACAACCATCATGGCGAGGGCAGCATCACCTGCATCACCAATGCTGATACGTGGAGCAGTTAGTGAAAGGATCAAAATGAAGGCAAAGACAAAGGCGGAACTTACAATGGAACAAGCCCAATCACACTGCTCCAACCAAAGCGAACACCACACAGATTGAACAAACAGTAATCGAGTCGATAAGCTCTGCGTTTGACCTGTGTGAGAACCTTGGCATCATGCTCTGATAATCCTGGAGGGACGGCTTTGCGACGTTTGGTGGATTTCTTGCCAAAGGTACGACCAAGGCGTGAAGCAGGTACTTCCTCAAAGTAAGGATCCTAGAAAGCAATATCAGTCGTTAGTTTCAATTTGAAAACCATGCCTGAGAATAACATACCTCGGTTCCAAAACGATTCCTTGCAGATTCAGCAAGAACTCGCTTGCCTACCAGATTCCAGATAGCACCAGACATATTCTTGTAACTTTTCTTTCGGAGAATAGGGTAAAGTAGGTTACCGTGGGGAGACGCGACCAGATATAGTCCTCTTCAAGGGGCCAAAAATAGATCGTAGTGGAGATGATTGGAGGAAACGGGGGTTTCAATAAGCGCTCGTCTCAGGATTGAAGAAGACAAAGAGATTGAGTGGATGAGGAAGGAAAAGGTGAAATTAGACAAAGAAGATTAAGAAGAGTCCTTAACAGTACCTAACTTAAGACGTCATTCCCGAATTATAAACTCGTAAAACATGGAAAGCTGCCGATCACATATGGCGCAGTAACCACACCGCCACACACGTGACTCAGGATACTTGGGCAGTTCCGCAACCCAAAGTGAGAGCTACCAGTCCTCATTGACGATTCCATCTTCATCTGCACCACCGTGCAATCTTAATTTTTTCTTTCTTCTTCCCCACCTGTCAACTCTCTAACCTCCCGACTTCAACTTCTATCCCCCCAACCTACGTTTTCTCTTACAAGTTTCCTTGACGGGTTTGAGATCTGTCGTGCTTGCGCGGCGCCCAAAGCACCTGGTTTCGGTTTTTAAAGGCTATGAAAAGTGAAAATGACCGCAGCAAAAATGCAGCTAGAAGACTGTATGATCTTTGAAGAAATGTTTGTCTCATCGCCTGCTAATATTGTTCGCGCAGGGCTGGATGACTTGTGCGTCCGATTCATCATTAACTTGCCGCACGAAGAACTTCAGTCAGTGGAGCGAATCTGCTTCCAAGTCGAGGAAGCTCAATGGTTTTACGAAGACTTTATCCGCCCGCTCGACCCCGCACTCCCATCGCTTTCCCTCAGACCATTCGCTTTGCGCATGTTTCAGCACTGCCCGCTGATGTCACAGTGGTCGCAATACCACCACATCACTGCATTCTCAGAGTTTCTGGCCTACAAGACTCGTGTACCGGTCCGCGGTGCCATCCTTTTAAACCAGGAGATGGACGAAGTAGTACTGGTGAAGGGCTGGAAGAAGAATGCTAACTGGAGCTTCCCCCGTGGAAAAATCAACAAGGGCGAAAAGGACCTAGATTGCGCAATCCGAGAGGTTTACGAAGAGACTGGCTTTGATGTCCGGGAAGCTAATCTCTTCCAAGATGATGACTTGGTTAAGTACATCGAGATCACTATGCGAGAGCAGCACATGCGACTGTATGTCTTCCGTGGTGTACCTCGAGACACTCATTTCGCACCCAGGACCCGCAAAGAGATCAGCAAGATCGAGTGGTACAAGCTTTCTGAATTACCGACTCTCAAGAAGAATAAACATGAAGGTCTTGCAGTGGCCAATGCCAATAAGTTCTACATGGTTGCTCCGTTTTTGCATCCACTGAAGAAATGGATTGCGCAGCAGAAAAAACTTGAAGTTAGTCAAACTGATATTAAAGTACTCCCCCAAGTCGAAGGGTACCCCTCGATGGATATGAATGGCCATCATGCATTTGATGTGCCTACACCTCTTGCTTCTGGACTCGAATGGGCAGCCTCAAGCAATCTTCCTGAAGTGGCCTCCAAAGAAGACGCATCGTCTCAACTGAAGCGCCTTTTCAATATTGGTGGAGCTGTACCGGTGACAGCTCAAACCCATTCTCCTGTTTTGGATCAGCCCACTGCTGTTAACCATTTGAAATCCAACGCACTCCTTGAATTATTGAGAAGGGGATCGAAAGAACCAGTCAATTGTCTTAATGAAAGCATTCCTGCACTCAACACCCACCCTGGCCCATCACAGCAAACTCAAGCACCTTACTTGCCAGCAAACTTTTTCCCTGGATTCCCACGCCAACAGAACATTTCACCAAGTCTTATCGTGGCGCCCCCACATTATCCAAACGGACTAACTGATACGGATTTCCGTCATACCAATTTTCAACAAGGGCAATTCCCGCTTAGCCATCATTCCGAGCTTTCTGGATCCATTGTCCCCCAGAGCCAGCAAATGTATGAGTCAATGCACAATTCTGTTGCCTCATCAGGAGCACCTCTCTCTGCACCATTCCGACAGACTGGAGACCCTCAGTTTTCTCAGCCTGCGCAGCCTCAAGACCTGGGTGCAAGGGTGCCGAATGCTAACAATCTTCCACCTCCAAAGCTTACGAGCCACTCTCTCGCTTTGTTGGGCTTCTTCAAGGATAATGTTGCAAAGGCCCGTGTCAATTCGACTCCAATGATAGCAGCTTCAAGTGCAGGGTCACCACATACCGGGAAGACTTCTCAGCACCAGGATAGTCTCTTGAATTTGTTCAAGGCTAGAAATGAGATTTCTGCCCCCCTTCAGCCGGCCGAGCTGGCGGGCGTTTCAGTTCCACCTGCCACAGTCGCAGAGTTCAGACCCACAGATGGTATGGTTTCTATTCTTAAGCGTATCCCTCAGCCAGTTTATGGTCGTCACCAACATGCCTCTGAGGTAGTCAAAGCTGGTCAAACTTCGGCCACTGTACCTGGGCCAATGGATATGCCACAATTCGACAGCATAACTCAGCCAACTCTGAAGAAGACTGCAAAGGGAACTCCCAGAAGAAAGAATGGGAATAGACGAGAACCCTCGCCGCAGCAGCAGCATCTGTCATCCCCAATCAAAATCCTGGCACGACCAAAGCCCATGGAGGAATCGACCAACGGATATGTGCAATCTCCTACTACTGAGCCGGTAGTCTCTGAGAAATACAAACAGCCATTTCAACCAAAGATTCTTCGACGTTCAGAGAAAACAACCCCGGAGAAAACTGGCCTTGAAACTGCGTTACAGTCAGAGGAACTTACCCGTCAAGAAGCCGAATGGACCAGACAAAATACCTTTGATCGTCGGCCCAGTACTGCCACACAGAAAGAGACTCTACTGTCTCTTTTTGCTCAGGCATCGGCTCCTCAGTCGGCCAGATAGGTGCTTCGAAATTATCTATCCCAACAGCGCTGAGCAAAACTACCGCTAGTTGAGATATGGATTTACGGCAAGTGGTGCAGATTGTTGAGGTTATGGGCGTTGGAGGACTTTTGATCTACACTGACAAGTTAAGCTAGCTAGATCATTGGCATAACCTATTCTTGTTTCTGGAAATAATAGTGTCCTTAAAATGTAGAGCTGGTAAAAAATGTTAGCAAAGTGGCTAAATTCTGGTATCACCAGGATAGTTCTGCCAATCCCCACCGCCCAACGTCATCATCTCTGCAGAGAAGAATCAATATAAAAGGATCGAAGTACAAAGCACATAATCCCACCTTAAGATCAAACAATGATGCGACCTCGCCCTTCGATGTGTAGCCGCCGCATCATTTGCAGCAGACCTTTTTCAACAACGCCATCACAAGCCGAACCGTCACAAAATGCGCCATGCCCACCCGAAGCTGGGTTTGCTAGACTTACCAATCGCGGCCTCATCTCCATCACCGGAATCGACAGCGCAACATTTCTCCAAGGCCTAATTACACAAAATATGCTCGTTGGAAAGCCTCCGAATAAAAGTGTTCGACGCACAGGCTCGTACGCAGCTTTTCTCAATTCCCAGGGCCGAATTCTTAACGACGCTTTCATTTATCCCCTCTCCAGCGCAGATGGTAATAGCGAATGGTTGGTCGAAGTGGACAAGAATGAGGTCGTGACTCTTATGAAGCATCTTAAGAAACACAAGTTGCGCGCGAAGCTGAAACTACGCGCCCTCGAGGATGGCGAGCGCACCATTTGGTCGTCGTGGAAAAGCCACTCTCAACCCCGATGGGCAGAATACAATATGGAATCTGAGTCTGTACCGCCATTCGCTGCTAACCCAGATGTCACTGGATGCATTGACTCGCGAACCCCAGGCTTTGGTTATCGTATTGTCACTCCAGGATCTGAAGACCTGCGCCGTCATTTCTCAGATGAGACGCAACTTGCCGGATCAGAGGTTGGATTGGACTCATATACAGTGCGCCGGATACTGAATGGCGTTGCTGAGGGACAGACTGAGATTATTCGGGAATCAGCGCTGCCGATGGAGTATAACATGGACATGGGACGGGCAATTGATTTCCGAAAGGGCTGCTATGTTGGCCAAGAGTTGACTATCCGTACTCATCATACCGGTGTTGTGCGTAAGCGTGTTTTGCCGGTGCAATTCTACTCTGATAACTTGGATCTGACTGATGGGCCGGTTTATGATCCCTCGGCTCAACTCTCCTTGCCACCCAGTGGATCTAATATCATGAAGGCTGGTGGTCGTCGGGGCCGCAGTGCTGGAAAGGTTTTGAACGGCGTGGGAAACATTGGCCTGGCATTGTGTCGTTTGGAGGTGATGACCGATGTTGCTCTTACAGGGGAAGCTACTCAGTACACACCAGAAAGTGAATTCAAGGTCTCATGGGCTACTGAGACGGAGGAATCGGAAGTCAAGCTACAAGCCTTTGTTCCGTCATGGACAAAGGACTTCATATATAACGGAGGCGTTAGGAAACCAGCTCCCCGGCCTATTGAGGCTGATGTCGAAAGAGCCCGCGTCCTTGTTGAGCATCTGGAGGAAGAGGAGTCACAGCGCCGGACAGACTAAGGCAGAATGTCTTCAACATCCTTGGATGGTTAAACCAACTTGTAAAAAATTATTTATATGATATGTATTTCTAGTTAATGAACAAAAGGCCCATTGTGGGCTGGGGTATCTTTAATTTGAAGAGCAGTAAAAAAATGTAAGTCATGCGCACGTCCGACTCGCGATATCAAGAGCTATTGGCCTTGGTCTTCGCTGCCTCCGCTGCCTCCGCTGCCTCCGCTGCATCGGCGGCCTCGTCTTCTCGAATAAGTTCCTCTTCAAGGGCTTTGCGCTCTTTCTCACGCTGCGTCAACTTCAATCGCATCAAAATGAGCTCTTCCATATTAGGTGCGCTAGATGGCTTGAATGAAGATGCCTTCGGTGCATCCCCGTTGGCAGGTGCAGAGGAGAATGAGCCGAATGATGGCACTTTACCAGGCTTGGAGGGAGTGTTCAATCCCGGAAAGTTGAACGATGGAATATTTGAAGATGTGCGAGCGTTTGAGGACGGCGGAGTTGATTTGAATGCGCTAGGCTTAGGGTTTGACGAATCTGCGGGGGTACCACCGGTGCTGGTCGGGTCAAAGTCAGACTTCTGACCTGATGCCCAAGACACAGTGACTATGGCAGCCCAGGCGCCATCAGCGCGGCGAATATTCTTCTCACCGTCCAACACGGCTGCATGGGCGCCGACAATTGAGGCGAAGACAATCAATCCGTTGGCGAAAACCACCTTGCCTTTTTTGCCCTCCACTCGAGTACGCTTATCCTTGAGCATGACCACATTTTCAATATCGCCAAAGGGCTCAAAGAGCTCGGTTAACGACTCGGTGTCAAGCTCAAGTCCCCGTCCCTCTCGCACCCAGCGCACTTTTACCGACCGATCCAACTCAGGAACATTCTTCCCACCACCCTCTTGTGACCGATCCACTTGGTACTTGTGCCTTTCCGCCTCTTTGCGCTCCGCCTCTTCCTGCGCGTTGATAATGCTAAGCTCGTGAGCCCTTGCGCGCTTCAGCTTCTCCTCAGCCTCGCGTCGTCTTCGCCGCCCGTCTTCAGCAATGCGATCAATCTCCTGTTGAAGCTTTATCTCCGCGTCATTATCCCCAGCAGCAGCCCAGGGCCTCTTCGCGCCCACACCGCTGATCGGTGCAGCAGCAGCGCCAGCCCGTTCCGCAGCCTCGAGATCTTCGCGCATTTTCCGCTTCGCAGAGTCCATCAAGTCCCGCTCGCGCTGCTTGCGCACTCGTACCTCACGCGCGCTGTCATAGATTGTTCGCACTTCCGGGTCCGAGAGGACATCGTAGGCGATCTGAAGAAAGTGGAACTTGTCGATATCTGCGGCTGTGGGGTTTGTGATCTTATCTGGGTGGTATTTAAGTGCTGTTTTTCGGTAGGCGCGTCGGATCTCAGCATCGTTAGACGCTGGGTCGACATCGAGGAGTGCGTAGAAGTCTTGATCTGAGGCGGCCGCCGCCTTGAGATCGTCGTTTGGCATGATGTAGAATAGTAGAAGAATATGAGTTTAGACGATATAGGCTGAAATGTCCAGAGGATTTATATCCCGTTGAGACAGGGGGGGGGGTTGGAGTAAGTAGAGGTTGGCTGGAACGAAGTTCGGGGAAATTTTGGGAGCTTGGTGGGCGGTGGCGCTTTGCACCTTCAGCCCTAAATCTGCCATTTATACACGTTCAACATTCTCTTGTGTTGTTCACTTCACACGTGTAGCATCGAGATTTTGTATGTTGAAATGCAAAGATTGAAGCCGTGCTTCATACATAAGCTTTCACTGTGAGCTTACCAATTATAGCATACCACTCTAGCTGTAGACTGCTCAACCTATATGGATACCTCCATCTTCATCCAAATTCCACCTGAGCACTAGATTTGGAGGTATCTCCCATTTCAGCATACACAATTTACTTCACCAAGAGAGTTGAGAGTTGTGAATCCATAAAATGCTAAGTTGGTGAATTACATATACAAAACAATATGCGCATTTTCAGGTACTTGACAAGACGACGCTGAGTCGTTGCACGTGTCGGACTTCTTCCACCCCAACTCATCTTTATAAATTATTCCGTCTCCTCTAGCCACTAAAATTTCCACAAATGGCAGAAGGAGATAGCTCAGTGGTAATTCCACCACGAAAATCTCATCTGGCTCTCGCATTTGCAATTCTGAAGCATAAGCCCGAGGGGAAAACAGTCAAGGGTAAGCAATTGGATCCTCCTCAACGGCGCAAACCTTTAAGATAGAATGCCGGTAATCCTTATCTATTTCTCCAGAATACATCCTCGAACTTCGAAATTTCATCAAAAAAGCAAAGGACGTGGACTCTCTTCGGTCTGGCGAGACAGGACAATTCTTTGACAGCATTACGTTCTGGCAGAAGGCCTACGAAGCTTCAGAGGCAGAACAAATTAAGCTGCACAACAAGATTTATGAGCTCGAACAGCGGAACAATAACGCCTTAGCTAATTTGAATGTCGAATCAGTAGTTAATGGTGTGGTACCGGCTAAACGACTATCCACCGACGCAAATTTGGATGAGCCAGGGAAGGGGAAGAAGAGGTTGTCCAAACGCAGTAAGGGAAAGAAGGCACAAGACGCTTCAACAGATACGGAAGAGTCTGGTGCTGATCGTGAGTAGTCCCTATCTATGCGCTGACCTTACAACTCTGACTTTATCCTAGCAACGAGACTGGTGAGGCAAGTGTTTACTCTCCAGTGTGCTATTCAGAAAAAACGCCGCTCGAAAGCAATCATCACAGATGCCGTTATTGTGTGCAAAATTGCAGAGTTGGAAATTCTTGAGGCCGTCCAACGATTTATCCAACCAGCAAATGAACAAGAGAATGCTCAGTCAGTAACCAAACAGCCAAATCTACCTACTGTCATAAGGGCAGTAAGACTGTCATTCCAGCTTGTTCAACAAGCTATACAAAAGATCAATGGTTTGAAAGATGAGAAGAAAGGTAGAGCGCAGATCACCTACTACCTTGTTTGTCTGTTTGAGTCGGGCATGACGGCTCTGACGCAGCTCTGTACTGCCATTTCAAAGAGAGGTCCCGCAGCCAAAAAGAGCAAGAGAGCGGGTAAGCAGTGCCAGCGGCAATTATTGACTGAAGATGAGACAGCCCAGCAGCTGGTCGACTTACTAGTCATTATGGTTGTAGCCCTTGACTTGCAGCGGCGCGAAGACCAAGAGCTGATGGAAGGATTTCTCTCAGTTGCCTTGGGTCGTGTGGGAAAGTTACTAGCTCTCTTCGTCTTCGAGGACCTTAAGCAGCCCACCGACTTACCCCCAGATGGACTGGTTGCAATGATTAAAGAGGGCGTATCACCCCAAGAGGCAAAGATAGAAGCGACATATCTGCTCGGCTTTATGGAAAGGGTTTTGGGTGATGGATGTCCACTTCTCTCGAACCTTGATATTGCGGGATCTCAGTTCTTTCAACCGATAAAAGAGCGCCTCCAAAAGACACTTATGCAAGCAGTCTTCGGAAACGATGACCCATTGTTTCAGCAGGGAGGCTTGGATCGACCTCCCACTCCTCCCATTCTGGGACCTGGCAGCCAACAGGTTGGCAAAGCTAAATTCGCACACTTTTTCACTCAAGAACTATGGCGCCTGGTAGGCTGGGATATCCTGAGATCCGCCCTTGAACCATGATACGTTGACTAGGCTTGGAAAAATTATCGTTTCAATTATCATCATATCAAAGTTGCAGGCTTAAGAATGGAGCTTCTATGGTTTGGACTATGACAACGGCATCACCAGGAGCAAACTATGGGCAGAGAATGCTTTTACGCTCAACGCCCAACTATTATTGAAGATTCAATATGCGAACGGCATTACCTCCCAATACAGCAGCTGCAGATACCTGGTCCCCATCAAATGAATCAGCAATGGCCTTGTAGTTGGTGGTCACACTAGGCCATTCCGTCTCATCGTCACTGAGTGGAGGGAAGAAAGGATGATCGGTTCCTGTCAATAGATTAGTATAAGTTACACTACAGGATAATTAGCAGACCTACCAAACATCAAACGATCACTACCCCCGCCAGCCTCAACAGCAGCCTTCAAGCCCGCAGTTCCATAAACCACCGCATCAAGATAGATATTAGTTTTGAGAACATCCCAAACACTGCGTTGTGGTCCAGGCACGGTTCCGCCATTAGCAGTAAACTTCCGCTCATGCAGAATACAGCTCTCGATCCTGCCCGCCAGGAATGGGAGTGTACCACCAGAATGTGCAAGCAGAACTTGCAGTTTGGGGAATCGATCAAATACACCGGAGAGAAGCATGCGCGTAACGGCAATGGTAGTCTCTAGCGGAAAGCCGAGTGCCAGAGGAAGAACATGTCCATACCGATTCGTCACCTCTGGCCCACCAAATGCCTCGTCTGGAAGACCGTAATGCGGGTGCAAGAAGATGACAAGCTGGGTTTCCTCGAGCGCCTTCCATATTTCATCTAGACGGGGATCGTCAAGACCAATACCAAGACCTGATGTCCCCATAATGACACCGCGGATATGTGGTAGGCTCGGAAGGGCCTTGATCTCGTCAGCGATCCGTGGCGGGTTCGCCGAGCTTAATGGCAGCGTAGCAAAAGCAAAGAGTTTCTTCTTCTCTCCTTCCTGGTTTGCGCTGACGCATAGGGCCTCGAGATTATCGTTGATTCGAGATGCCCATTCTACTGCTTCGCTTTCTGGAAGAAAATCTAACCATGGGTTGGCGAGAGAGATGACGCTACAGTCTATGCCGTGTTGGCTCATGAACTTGAGCTTAACATTGATGTCGGAGTAGGATGAATCGACTGGACGACCACGCTTATCAATTGGGATAGAGGGGTCATCATCTGAGGAGAGGATTATCAGACGGGGTGTTCCTTTATCTGCTGGATCGTGGATGTAGGGGACTGTCTTGCGAGCTCGTAGCATCGCCATGTAAGCTGGTGGATAGACATGGGTGTGGACGTCAACGACGTAGTCTGGCATTTTGAGGCTGGGCTTTGAATTTCAGATGACAAAAAAGTTAACAAAATTGAAAGTGGCTGAGAAGCTGTTTTTTAAAGGCCGTAAGCTTGAAGTGAGGGGAAGATAAGAGCTGCCGATGCGGGGGAGCTTATAGATGATAACGGGAATACTGATCCATGGATGGCATTGGATGCTTCCATTGTTTCCCCTTGCTCTGAAAAATAGACATTGAGGTATAATCTCATCTATCTGATTTCCTATGCCAGTTCTTGGCGTGGTCCCTTGACGAGTTAATTTCAACAGCATTCAAGGGTCCATCCGGATCTGATCGCTTTAGTGTAGATCTTGCAAATATTTACCACTTAGAGCACTTAACTATAGGCCTTTACCATAGTTAAACTAGTGGTCAGAACCTAAGCAAGTCGGTAGCAAACTAGTACTTAAATGACTGATGATCACGAAGAAGTCCAGGATCCTATGAGATAGATTTTCCACCTATTTGATGTATTTAATTCACCCGTTTGAAGTACCCTAAGAGGACTTCAAAAGTGGTCCTTGAAAATATATTAGACCATACCTTTTCGTCTTGTTGTAGTATGTATCAACATCAGTTCTCTTATTTACGGTCCTCCATCCGTATTGGATTCAACTCTTACAATTCCCCTCTCGGTTTACGGATCATACTATACATTGGAACTCAACCTTTACAGTTAAACACCACTGGTCAAAGATTTAGTTATAAAAGGATGTCTATCACATCTTCAGTGAAAAGAACCAGAGGATTTCGTGATTATAGAGTACCTAGATGATCCTTCTCTGTTCTCTCCTTCCATACCTAGGTAGCCGACGTCGATGCTTATGCTCTTAACAGGAAATTATTAGCAACTATGATATGACGATTCTAGAATAATTTGATCTTGAAAGATGCTCACCATTCATGAATATTTGAACGATTGATTCAAAGGTCAGCGCCAGCAAGAGTGATAGGAGTCTTGTTTGTGAAGTTGCTAATATCGGCAAAGACTTCAGCGCTCTTCGGAGACTTGAGGGCTGTCTGCATAGATTCCTGGCTCTCGAAAACAAGTCTAGCAGCAATGAGGTACTGGGATCGGTTTCCACTCATGTCGTTAGTGTACTTGATGACGCTCCAGCTCAACAATTGCGGGGCCCAGATAGATTCCACGAGGGGCATGTGTGTCTTCAGGTAGTATTCCTCGTCGAATTTGATGTCTTCATCGTTGGGGTAGGTGACAACAGCGTGAAAGACCATGATTGTGGTAGTATTGTTATTCTGTGAGGACAAAGGATGATGAAGAAGTTGAGATTCAAACGACAGCTACGGAATATGGTGAGGTGAGGGGCTATCGGTCCAATTTATCGCCGAGACATCCACTTGGGATTATTGATCAGCTGACGGTGAGCAGATCGGGACGAAGTTGATAAACAGCTACTTTGTACATATGGAGGAGTATAAAGTCCGACTCCAATGAGTTTCACCAGAATTATTATCTCCAGTGGACTAGGCTAATTAGGGAATAAACTTACTTTTTACTGTCAGCTGCACACGAGATGACCGCTAATATTTGGATAGAACGACCTAGCTACTGTTCTCTTCATGGGTTGCTGGGCATAGCGAAACTCGAAAACACCGAGCGGACATTGTCCAAAACTAGAAAACCCGGCGAGCAGAAGCAAATCCAAGAGTACAAGGAATTGGGAGACTAGTTGTAGTCATGTCAGGGACGACAGCGATAGCGATAACGATAACGACGATAAACATAGGTCAGCATACGTAAATTTAACTAGGCCTCTAAGTAATTGTTTAGCAATAACATATCATAATTGCCAGTCATCTTTCTTGAGCATTGGGAGTACAATAAACTCTACACATTGGCCACGTTTACCCGCAAATTTATGTTGTCATAGTGGGGCCATCGGTTCCAGACTTAATTTGTATTCAATATAGGTACGGTTCCGGGGTCAATTATACCGCCGGAAGACCACAATTCCTGAGAATTTCCAGGGCTGGCAACTGCTGAGAAGAGCCGAGGATAGTGAAATGGAATCCGGAACCGTCTTGAAATCTGTTCTTACCAACATAATTAAGTTGATGGCGGGAACAGTACACTCCGTAGAAAGTGTTTATAAGTCGAGACTGTGCCATTACTCCAGGTATTTCACTCCGTCATAAAATTATCATAAGAATGCCTATCACTGACCATTCCAAAGTGAGCTTTATTCGATTTTCTTCTAAGGTTACTCTTGCGTCATGCTCACCGTTTAAATCTAGAGTCCCCAGGCCTTTGTGCTGCATCCTGGAGGTAAATTTACTTTCGAAGCGAGCATCAAACCTACACTCCAAACAGACCGAGATGTCATTGTTCAAGTGATAGCGACTGGTATATGTGGTTCGGATGTCCACTACTGGCAACATGGTCGCATTGGCCGGTACGTCGTGGAGAAGCCCATCGTTCTTGGCCACGAGTCCACCGGAATCGTGGTAGAGACCGGGAATAATGTCGACGGCCTCAAAGTAGGTGACCAAGTCGCTCTAGAGCCTGGTGTCGCCTGCAACTCTTGTCACTTCTGCCGTAGCGGCCGTTACAATCTATGCAGTGCCATGAAGTTCGCTGCAACCCCTCCATACGACGGCACTCTTGCAACTTATTACCGCGTTCCTGCTGAATGCTGCTTTAAGCTTCCACAACACATTTCACTGCGCGACGGCACCCTGGTCGAACCTCTTAGTGTGGCCGTGCACAGCTGCCGTCTGGCTGGTACTATGCAAGAGAAGAAAGTGGCAATTTTCGGCGCTGGCCCAGTTGGTCTGCTCTGCTGTGCTGTTGCGAATGCGTTCGGTGCTTCAGTTGTCATTGTCGCCGATGTGGCTCCTAGCCGACTCGAATTTGCGCTCAGAAACGGTGCTACGCACACTTATCAAACAACTACCGAGTCTCCAGAAAAGAACGCTTCCAGACTACTTGCTGTTGCTGGGCTAGAAGCTGGAGTTGATATCGTCCTAGATGCAACTGGCGCCGAACCATGCGTGAATGCCGGTATAATTGCTCTTGCTCAAGGTGGAACATTTGTTCAGGTGGGATTGGGCAAGCCCGATCTTACTATTCCTGTCGGTCAGATCTGTGACAAGGAAATTGTTCTCAAGGGCAGCTTCCGGTATGGACCTGGAGACTTCCAATTGGCTGTTGGACTTTTGAACTCGCGTCGAGTTAAGCTGGATAATCTAATTACCCATGAGTTCCCCTTTGACCGGGCTGAAGATGCCTTTGAGAATGTTGTCAGTCGTTCTGGTATCAAGAGTGTGATTTATGGACCGGGTGTTGATGCTGAGCTGGCTAAGGCTAGTCGGTAGGAGGGATAAGCATATTCACGCTGCCATAAAATAACGAGATAAATATGAATTCATGTACTTTGTATGAAAAATCTCGAAAATCCCATCTATCTCCGCGCAGCCTGCCCTTAATTCTCTTAAACCGTCGCCATGGGCTAGTTTTATCTCTACGTTATTTTCAGTTCTTTTACTCTCTTTAGATAGCTAGGCATATGTATAGAAAAAAAGCAGGATAGTAAAGATATAAGCTCATGCGTGGTTCGTTCTGTACAAGAATAAAAGACCTTTATTCAGTAGAATGCTATCAGACCTAGGTACTTTGTTTCACGGAACATCCAATTTCATTTGAACCTAAGTCTTACAAAGGTACCTATGGACATCTTGTCTTCCACGTTTTTAATCAAGGAAATTTACTTGAGGAATTTTTGAAATGAAGGAATCATAAATTATTGTTATTAATACTGAAAATCTAAGGCAGAGTGTATCCTCCATCGACAAGAATATCAGCACCAGTGGTGTAGCTGGCAGCATCAGAGGCAAGGTAAAGATAAGCACCCTTAAGCTCATGTGCCTCACCCTCACGTCCCATAGGGATCTTATCCTTCCAGATGTTCTTAGTGTCCGCAGCAACAAAGCTGGAGATCTCAGTGGCAATGTAACCAGGAGAAACAGAGTTAGCCCGAGCAAACTTCACCCACTCAACAGCGAGGGATTTGCCTAAACAAATTAGTAAGATTCATTGAACAGTTAATTGAAATTGCGATTCAACTTACAAAGGTGAATAACTCCGGCCTTAGCGGCATTGTATGCAGCTTGTAGCTGGGGAACGTTGACAATGTGTCCACTCATTGAGGCTGTGGCGATGAAACTACCGTAGGTGAAGCCCTCGAGCTTGTTGCCGTTGATGTCTGTGCCTTCGATCTTCTGTCGTCGCCAGTGTGCGGCGGCGGCACGGGCACAGTAGAAGGTACCATCTAGGTCAGTGCCGATAACATCGCTGTAGTGGTCTAGGGGAGCATCAACCATGGCGCCCTTAATCCAGGGAATGCCAGAATTGGCCACCAGAATATCCAGGCGGCCGTTCAAGTCCTTGACTGCGAGATCTACAGCCTCTTCAACGGCCTTGGAGTCCTTGACATTGACTTTGTATGCCTTGCCTGGACGGTTGTGGTGAGTTCATGCATTTAGATTTTGGTTTCATTCAACTTACACTTAACGCCATATTGGGCCTCAATCTCGGCTGCACGCTCAATGGCCTTGGGATTGGAGTTATACCAGATGGCAATGTTAGCACCGGCCTCGGCGTAGCCCTGTGCAACTGCGAGACCAATACCAGCGCCAGCACCGGTGATAATGGCAGTCTTGCCCTGGAGACTAAAGAGCTTTAAGAGTCCAGAGTTTGTGGGGGCAACAGTGTTGCCGTGGATGAAGTTGCCAGCGGCGTTAACAGGAGAATCGGCCATTTTGAAGAGTTGTGTATGTATGTTACTTTGAGAATAGAACTTTGGAAAGTAGATAGATCCATGCCCCTTTAAGAAGAGTACGCCAACGTGAAGGTAAACATGGAGGCCCTTAGTCGGAACCGTGGAGCTACTCGGAACCGAGTTTAGCTCTCTGGTTGGGCTGTGTTCCGCCGGAACCTTTACTCTTTCGGTAAGCCGGCTCAATTTAACCGTGTACAATTGTATCGTGTCCTCTCGTGAATCGCCGACCGGGCTATTTAATATCTCGTTTCGGAAGGCTAAATGTGTGTTTAGACATGCAACTGGCCGACTTGCGATCAATGCCGTCATTTATGGAGCTCAATGACATGGACAATTAAGTTAAATAGTATGCGTATGTACCCACTATCACCCCGCAGGTCTCAGACATCTGCTCCATTCCATGCTCTATCCCATAACCAATACATCCCACTTTCGCCATTCCCGAGATACGGGTCTTCAATCCCCAGTGGGGAAACGCCTAGTTCATTCCAATCACATTCCATTGGTTGGGATATCGGTTGGTGGGCGCGATTCTCTGCAGATTCGCGATGATCATCTCCAATGGATGGTGTGACGTGAGAGCGATGATTCCCGGCAGGTAAAACTAAGAAAAAGAACGGAAATTAGCTTGATTCACACGATATCTTGGAATTGAACATCTACATACCATATTGAACTGTCGTCAGGCTTTCGTTAAGACGAGAAGCTCTGCTAAGGTCAGGCAATAGTTGGCTTCCTGCTGCAGGATCCGAAAAGCATAACACTCCATCCAGTGGTAAACGAAGCGTGTCTTCCACTGACATGATAGCTGAGTCTGTTGGCATCTGCCTGAGATTCTGACCTGTTGGTTCATATGGTCCTGCAATTGGCGCAAGAATCACTTCTGATTCTCGTCGGAGGAGCATAGTGACTACGTTCTTCAAGATCACGGTACTCTGCTTGGAGAGAGCTGTCCTGCTACCAAGAAGTTCCTGTAAGCGCAGAATGCGAGTGATAGTGCGTTTAACCATCTGCGCTGTGTCGGAGAGGGGGTCAGAAAGAGCCATAACTGTCAGCACGATGGCAGCATTAAACAAATTTATAGCAAGGAAGGCGACGAGGTGGCTGTCAGTGGCCAGTTGAGCGAGGGCTGGCAGTTCCGTTACTCGCGAGGTTCTTACCGCTGCATCCATCCATAGTTCCGAGCTGGCGGTTTGTGCTTCTGGAGGAGAGGCTCCGAAGGTTGAGTTTGCATAATGCAAAGAAGTGACACTCGGGTGATGGGGTATTGAGTCTGCTTCGGCATTCTCGGGAGACCGGATCTTGGTTGTAGAGAGGTGGTCAACGTGTCGTGCAAGGAGAGGTCGATGTAGGACGATGAGGAGATTGTCATACGTCAATTGCAGGGACAAAGACTGCAAAGCATATGCCCTGGAACTCGGTCGACCATCAGGATGAAAGTCCTGATCGAGATCCAAAGCTAGTTGGCTCGGTAAGCAGGATCGCCACCTTTTCAAGCTTTGTGTGACTTGTTTGACCAGTGTAGCGTACGCATCGCCTATTAGGCTTTTAGATGTCCTGAGCGTGCGCGAGCCAAATATGGTTTCTAGTGCCGGTGAAGCGATCAAGTAGAGTTGGTTCAGCTCCCTTTGATAGGTTGAATAGCAAATAGTATTGCTTTGACCGGGTTCAAATGCGACAAAAGTCGGGATCTCGAAAACGTCCGCTGGGATGCTCACGTTGCAATCCTTGTCATTAATTCCTAGTGGTCTGCCATATGTGATTGAAGCGAACCGATCCCAAGTGTAGATGGTCCACCAGACTCGCTTTCGCTCCTCGATGTTCTCAAAATCTCCTCTTGACGGCTCGCGATGCATCCCTAGAGCCTGAGACATTTTGATAGTTGCGCCTAATAGAGCAAAGGAGAGATTCGGACGACCATGGTAAACATGGTGTGATCCCAGAAGGATGCAGGTTTGAACTGCAGTGACGGAGGGTTGGTCCATCAACTCAACCACATTCGAATCAACGAATTTGAGAAGATCTAGACTCAATTTACGAAAGTATTCCTCATTATTGGCGGAATCAGTCATCGTCTTGGATCGATACCAGGCTGCCATGCCAAGCATCACTGCCAGTAGAAGCAGAAAAGGCCTCTCTGACGGATATGCAGTGCCATCGGCGACACCATGGAACATCTTGCGGAACTTTGACTCGTATATTGCGAGAGAAAAGCAATGGATAGAATCGAAATAAACTTCTAGCAAATCACACATAACGTCGTAAGGGGGTAAAGCTTGACCCAATATGGAAGTTATCGGGGAGGGTTCACCAGTCCTTGCAGAAGAAGTAGTAGGAGTACTTGTACTTGCTCGAAAGCCTGGAATCGCGGAGGTTGTTTGTTCATCGATGGATTGGCTCCCGAGCTCACATATCCTCTGGGCAATTCCTATTGCGGATTCTGCTTCGCCATAATTAAACGACGGCTGAGCCGGATGAACATTTGCTGAAAAGCTGACGGCATTTGCATCTAAAGATGCGCTCAGTTGAATTTGATCATTAGTTTCTGTATTGCTAACATCGTCATCTACATCTCGCTGTTCATGATGAGTGCCCCTCCGGGGATTTGACCGCCTGTTGGCTTTTGGGGTTTTCTTTGGTCCAACACGACTGAGGACAGAAACTCTTATTAGTTTGAATCAAAGCTGGCAATACAATTTGTGCCTTACTTTCGTGGTTTATGTTTCTGAACGGGTGCCGGAAGTGCTTCACAATCCACATTGGCCCGAATGCACAGCGAGCAAGGTCGATAAGGGTCACACTAGATGAAGATGAGACAAAGCCTAAAGAACTGGAGAAGATCAGACTCCTAGATCTTACTCTGGATTTATTGCGGCGACATCTTTCGCAAGCTTTGTTAACTCGTGTCGGAAGCACGTGTCTTGATCGGGCCGATAAGCCGTGATTATGAAACTCATCAGCCATCAAGTCAAGTACAATTATATTACTGATGAGTTCTCAATTCCATTGTAGCCAAGGCCCAATCGCAGGACAATATTGACAGTCGTCTGGTTTCCAATCTCATTTACGGGGTTTAACTCTGATGAAAATTAGTCAGAAATTCCCCACTACTTGACCCCACTACAGTAGGAGGAATTATCTAGAACATCTATTATTGAGAGCACTCGGAGGAGACTTCCAAGGTTCAAAAATATAATCGATTTACCAGAAAATCTCAACCCTCGGTCCTAAAGGTCTTACCGTCTTAAGTGTTAACTTGACACTAGCTGTTGCGGAGTAACTAGTAGGTCCGATCTACCAAAGTATTCCGACCCCGTCATGATGTATCCCATGCGGATCAATTTTAAACGCCAAGTTTGTGATAGGCGTGTTCTGCATTTGGAAGCCCCTGGGTTCGGGGTGCGGGGGGATATTTAGACCGATGGCCGTCTCTTGCTGGTCACATAAGTAAACTCAACACTTCAAATTCTACATTGCGCAACCACATCAAGCCACAATGGTAGCTACCAAGAGACAACCAAGCAGCCAAAGATCCCGATTCTGGCTATACTCTACGACGCTGCTGATAATATCAGCTTTTTATCGATTCTATCTTCATAATCTAGTCTTGTTGGCCGGATACGGTCGCGTCATTCAACCTGTCGAGGATTTCCCATGGGATTGTCAACGCATTGATCATCAGCTACTTGAAGGCTGCGAAGATATCTGGCTAGATGAGGAAGGCCGAAAGCTATACGGTTCCTGCGCTGATATAGCCTCCCGTAGGAGTTGGTCACCCAATGGCAACTCATATGACGTGTCTGGGAGATCACGCACCGATCGTATAGTGGTTCTGGATATTGACCGCCCTGGATCAGATGGCTTATATGGATTACGTCAATTGAAAAAAGCGCCCGAGTTTCAAGGAGACCTTGATCTTCTTGGCTTTGACGCCCGCCGCATTGGGAATAGACTACGGTTCTGGCTCATCAACCATAAGCCGCCTGTTGATCCTACCACGGGTGAATTTCTTGACGCCAAAGCCGTTGGAGCAAACTCTACTGTGGAAATATTCGATCTGGACGATGGAGGGGATACCCTGGTTCATGTGAAGACCATATACAGCGAAGCAATCATCTCTCCCAATAGCTTGGCAGTTGATTCTAATGGAGTTGGTTTCATGGTCACGAACGATCAGAGCACTAAGATTGGAACTTTCCGAAGTCTAGGCCTGATTTTTGGAAAGGGGAGCATTGCCCACTGTCAATCGGATACCGGGAACTGTCATATTTCAGCTGAGGGCCTTACTTTTCCTAATGGGATTGTCAGGGGACAGGATGGACTATATTACATCGCCCATTCATCAACTGGGGATGTATCTGTCCATGAACTCTCTGGAGATGATTTAATTCAAGTGGACAAAATCCCGATAAACATGGTGCTTGATAATCTTTCACTCGATGCATACGGTAATGTGATTGTGGCTGCATCCCCGAACCTCTTCAGCTTTGTTAGATCTGTTCAAAGCCCTTGGACCCAGAGTGCATCGACAACTATTCTGAGCATTGGGAAAAGCCAAGATGAGAAGCCAGGATACAAAATGTTCAAAATGGTAGAAGATAAAGAGGCCAAGCACCTACCAACAAGCTCAGTCGCCGTACATGATACCCAATCTGATCGCCTATTTCTAGCTGGTGTATTCTCACCATTTATGACTGTATGTGAGAGAAGAAAAGTGCAAGTTTAATAGAGAGTGCTACATCGGACATCTCCGCTTATCGGATATCTACTATCTATGTTTATATTTACTTATATTTAGATATTTAAATACTTATCTCGCAGGTCTTAATCTTATCTTATTCCCCTCTTTTTGCTCCCCGCATGAATCGATCGTCCCATACTCTTACTTCTTCATTTAATCTCGTTGAAATTCCAGGGTTAGAACTTTTCGATATTTGTGTAATTCATACTTAGCGCAGCATGGTTCAAGAGATCAACCCAGCCTCCGCCGCTGTGGAGAAAGATGACTTGGTGATACCTGTAAGCTCCACTTACCGCTATAGTTCCCCACTCTTTCCCTGAACAAAAATCCAGCTTATCGACTTTGGCCCTTTCTTCTCCGGGACTCCGTCCGATAAACACTCCGTCGCGCTCGCTATCACAGATGCCTTTAAGGCTTCAGGGTTCGTCTACCTCAAATCTCATGGGATTACACCCTCTGTGGTATCGCATGTGTTTGCGTCTTCGGCACGCTTCTTCCAACGACCCCAAGACCAGAAGGACAGTCTAGGCTGGGAGACTCCAGAGTCAAACCGGGGCTACATCACAATGGGGCGGGAGAAACTATCCACCGTTGAAGTTGACAAAGTTGACATTGAAGGTCTCCGAGCAACTCTCCCGGATCTGAAAGAAACAATGGAGATTGGTCGGGAAGGCGTGGACGGTCTACCGAACCGCTGGCCTGATGAACTCGACGATGAAGGCAAAGACTTCAAGAAAGTCATGCTTTCATTCTCTGAGTTATGCAAGGACCTGCATCGCCACGTCATGAGTGCTATCGCTCTGGGCATGAACCTCCCAGAGCACTTCTTCGATGAGTTTATTGGTGGAGGAGATAATACACTTCGTCTCCTTCACTACTCACCGGTGCGAAAAGATGTCTTCAAAGACCATCCCGACCAAGTTCGTGCTGCGGAGCATACAGACTACGGCTCTATCACGCTACTTTTCCAGGATCGTCACGGTGGTTTACAGGTGCGCAGTCCGAGGGGGACTTTTGTAGATGCGACTCCAATCGCCGATACCATTGTCGTCAACGCTGCAGATCTGCTAGCTCGGTGGTCTAACGATACTATTAAAAGTACCCGCCATCGTGTCATTCAGCCGCCTAGCCCTGCAGGCGAAGACTCTGATTCTGAGACTTATCCTTCTCGGTATAGCGTTGCATACTTTTGTAACCCTGACTTTGATAAGCTGATTGAGGCTTTACCCGGGACGTATGGTGAGGAGATTGATGCCGTGAAGAAATATGCAGATATTACTGCGGGTGATTACTTGGTTCAGCGACTCGGAGCCACAGTTTGAGCTGGCATCAATTGATGCTGGGCAGCTATGGAGCCCAAGCTCAGCATGTACTTAGAAGATGCCACACGTATGTGCTCCGCAGCGCTCCAGCACGCTGATATATCCTTTTGCACAGTTTATCAGGGGCTGACTATGCTAAGTTTGACTATGTTCATGGGTATTTCTCATGCTGATCACGCGCTGAAACACGTGTCAGTTTTTACTATACTGCTACTTTACATCTTTTTTTCAATGGATTTCACGACCATTTGCGCTTCGCAGTTTTCAGATCTGACGTATTTTCCTAATGTTGGTGCTTCAAAGAGTTCTGTCTATCTCTCCGAACAAGTATTCAGTATGATCTTCAACTGTATATTTGTCCTCTGATGTATAATGATTGGACTTCTATCCGCTAGTAGCACCTGTCGAGATCAAGTTCAACTCTTAGATGAGTCTTAATAAGCAGACGGAATACTGCCCAGTCGGCCACCATCAGTAACTATAATCGTACCATTGATATAGCCACCCGAAGCACTCGCCATCCAAATAAATAAGCCAGCAAAGTCCTCCTCACTCCCCGATCTAGTCAGAGGAATTAAGTTTGCTGGTACCGAATTATCCCAAATGCCACCATCGACATCTATATTTTTGAACATGGAATCAGACATTTCTGTATGATACAATCCAGGAGCGATGCCATTGACACGAATGTGGTATGGCAAAAAGTTCGTAGACAGGCTCTTGACAAGGTGAGTTACGGCAGCCTTGGAGGTATTGTAGGCATAGTTATTTGGCACATTGCGATTGAATGCCGCAATCGAGCTAGTGATGATGACCTGTGCTGTTGGTGGAGACAGAACGCCCGGCCGAGGAACAGGACGTCTCTGATTAGCCGCTTCCAGCAAGGGCAGGAACGCAACGACAGTATAGTAGGCACCTGTCACATTGACGTTCAACACATTTGTGAAGTCTTTCATCGGGAGTGCAAGTAGCGCATCTCGGATCTCGGATAAAGAGTGCAGGGAGCCATCTACCTTGGGCTTGGGTATCACTTTGGAACCCAAGGTACCGCTATTCGCGAACAGGATGTCCACATGACTGGTTTGTGCTGCGACAGCTTGGTATGCTGCCTCTAGGGACTCTTTGGACGTCACATCACAAGCGACTGGGATTACTTTGGGGCCGGCTTGGGAAGCTGTTTCACGGAGTGCGTCCTCGCGACGGCCGAGGACGAATATTTTTGAGGCACCGTTTATCGCTAGAGCTTTAGCTACAATGCGACCCAGACCTAGATGACTGTTAGCTGTTTGTTTTCTTTTTCTTGGTGAGTGGGCATCGACATACCACTGCCTCCACCTGTGATGACTACAACTCGATCTTTGACCGAGAACAGCTGGGTTGCTTCAAGGTTAGACATGTTGAATAAGTCTGATGGTTCAGTTGGTGAGAAATAGCCTTGGAATGGGACTTAGATGATATTTAGGTGTGACTAAAGAGATCAGAATGGGTTGATGCACCATTTATGTCGCCTTCTCTTCTCCGCAGCACATCATTACAATCCGTATCTATTATGTACGATAACGGAAATAACGGGGATAACAACGTGTAACTAATTAAACTTATCCTGTTTTGTGATTCAATGATTTGGGCCACTTTAGAATTGGCTGACTTGGTATTTTCTTGGAATGTTCAAATAACCCATGTCCAGTCACTGACCTATAGGCTTGAAGGGAAAAGTCGAACTAGGTGAATTGGAGACTATTTGAGACTGTTTTTTTTTTTTTTTTTCCCTGCATCTGAGAATGTATCGTTAGTGTTTTGTTGGCGGGGCCGATTTATCACCAAGTGTCTTCTTCCCGCCAGCTCAGCCTCTCCAAGTTCCCCACAACATCAATCCCCCATGGATACCCCGAGAAATCGAAAGCAGCGCCGTGCTGCAGCTGCAAATTCAGAGCCCACCGAGCTAGGCATTCCTCTTGCCCAACCAAATCGAGACCGCCAGCCAGAAACAAGGACCTTATATGACATCATTGCAGAGCGTCAGGGTGAGCTCATGGGACAAGCTGAAAGCACAGCGGCTGCCAAAGGATTGAAAGTTGGAAATAGATTACCAGATGCAGTAAAAGGAGCGAGGTTCGTGACTGTTGATGAGTCGGGGGATCTCGTGGACACGGAGGAGGACATCAGCTTCACGACAAAGCCGGAAAAGAGGAAAACTGGACGCAAGATACACGACGAAGGCGCAACTTCAAGCACTAGCGCAAAAGAAAAAGAAATCATCGATCAACCTCTCCCTCCTCTAGTCGATACGGTCCTCCTCTCCTTCCCGCTCACAACCCTCCACCTCACCCTCGCCTACCTAGCCGCGTACCAATACGCCGAAGAAACAAATGTCCCGCGCCTGATACGAGATGCAGTCATCTTCACATTCCCACTGCTGACACTTATCGTCCACTTCTTCCATGGACATCTTATCTCTATCAGAATACCCGGGAATTGGGGCTTTCTCAACGCGCCGCCTGTGAGCATCATTCCGCTCACAGCAGACAAATTTTCTTTCTCCTTTCTTTGGCGCCTTCTATTTCCGCCTACCATTCGGACTCTTGTCTACCTTCCCATTGCTGCTCTCCTTGGCGCATATCTCATTGCCATCACGAATGGAGAGCCATACTATGCGGTTATGAGAAAGGCACCTGCGTATGGCACTATGTGGGTCTGGTGTATTTTGGAGATGTCTTTCGGGCCCGCAGTTCTAGGTTCAATTGGACCATTGGTTTGGGGGGTATTTTATATGGGCTATGGCATTTTCTAAACCCTCATGAAGGGATATTGTACATTTTCTATCGCTTGTCACTTGCATTGTTAGGTTGTCCGCATTTATTTTGCGAAATTATAGAGTGGGGGTTTCTTACTTGTTATACATCACATGGTGATCTTCAAAAAGCTATCTAATTGACTCGTCGTCCCGAAGCCATTCTCATGTATCATAATTGCAGGACCAGCACTCAGATATAATGTCGCCATATTTGCGCATCAGGGATTCAAATGCCACTCCGGCTGTTTGAGAGCCGCCAATAGTCACATCTAGGGATAAAAGCCCTTTTATAAGACAGTCGATATGATGGGCCGCATCGTCGAAGCTGAGATCCCCATTGTTTAATCCGTCGACCTTGCCTACAGGGAATTGCAGGTCGATTATATGCTCCACGGCCTTTTCTAGAGATGCTACAACCAGGCTCGGAGTGACATGATATGCAAAGATTGGGACTTCGGCACTCAAGCCGTTCTGAAGGTTAAACATTTCCTCGTCGGGCAAGGAGAGCATAGTTTCAATATTTTGAGGGACAGAAAGTGCAGCCTCGCTTCTGTAGGTATGCAGTCTTGCGTTTACCTCGGAGCCACAATATTGATTGATCTCATTGGCAAAGGGTTTCAATTCTTCGGCAAGAATAAGAACTCCAAGATCCCAGAACGTCATAGTGGAAACTAAAGTGTGTTAGTAGATTTGATGTAAGGAAAAAGTAAAATTTTCGCTTTCTCACCAGAAGATATCCTGGAGGGAATTGAGAGATTCTCAAAGTTCGCTCTGCAAGTGGTCATAAACGGCCGATATAAGTCGTTGAATCTACCAACGGCTGTCACTGCCGAGGTGATTGCTTCGAGTAGTTTGGGAGATAGATTTATGGAGCCATTATGTACTTTTGGAAGAGCGAGTTTCACGTCCACAATATTCTTGTATACGCAAAATTTCTCCAAGGCCGCCTTTCGGCATATGGACGGGATTTTGCGATCCAGGTCTTCCAGGTCATGATATGTTGGCCGTGAAGAAGATGACTCACTATCGATGAAGACTGTACGTTGTGAGTTTTCTGATCAAAATGATCGACACAAGAAACAGAGATCATACCGTTTTCTTCAATAAACAGCGAAGGCAGATTGCCTTTGTAATTTGTTGTGAGTGCTGCCCCAGTATCGCGTAGAAATCCACTCCAGCGGATAACACTTAAGCTGGCTTCAGCCAAATTAGCATATTTAGAGAAAGAGCCAAGTGTAGCGCAATACTGCTTCACAAGTCCATCCAGCTCGCGAAGCTTTTGAAGGCCATGTCTGAGTATTTCATGTGAAATATTGGTTCCATCCTGGTTGATATTTAGTTTTGATGGAACAGCAGTCCCAGCAAACATAAGACATGCAAGGACGACACGAAATGATCGAACAGAGTTTGCAGCTCCGATTAGAGATTGAGCTCTAAACCATGCATCTGTGTAGTTATCTAGTTCAGAATCTCGATCCCCATAAGCACATTTGGCTGATATTGGTAGCCATTGGAGTGAAAATACTCGTATTGTGGCTTTGAGTGCGGCATCCGACTGTCTTCGTGCTTCCGGCGTCAGCCTGTTACCGTATAAATCACCCAAGTGATCGAGAAATCGAAAGCATCCAATCAGAGTCAAGTTGCAAGAGTCAGACTCCAGGCCGTCGTTATTTCTTGCAACTTGACCAGACGTTTTAGTAGAGGCTAAAGGTGAGGCAGCTTGCAACATCAGAGCCGAAGAGTTGACTGCGGGACTCTGCAACTCAGAAGGTGAGGACGCATGTGTGCTGTCTGTGAAATCACTCTCTATATGGTAGCGGTTTCCTGTTGCATACATGTTGCACTCATAGTCCATGAATCTCGAGGCGGATCCGCTAACAATGACATTGAAGATTTGTACAAGCCGTTCATCAAGAATACTTGCATCCAATTTCGAGGTAAGTAGATGAATCGGACTATGCAGCAAGTTGCCTGTTAGGTAGCTTCTCGCATATGTTTCTGACGGCTGTCTGCATAGATGACTTGTCACAAGAGACTGGCCTTCCTGTTGAGTATTTGATGTGGACATAGTATTCATCTGTGCAGGCTGAATCATTGAAGATTGAGCATTTGTCGAATTATAAGCCAAATCAGTGGCAAACAAGGGGTCCAAGTCCATGTCAAGCCATGATGAGAAGTCATTAATGATCGGGTCAATCAAGTCATTTGAAGCGTCCGTAAGCCCCTGAAGACCTCGGTTGAAACCAGGAAGTTCGCTCTGTGCCACAGATTGAATTTCCTTTGCGGAACTACGGCCTTTCTTTCGCAGCCTGCCTGAAGTGCCCCGGGAAGTCACAAAGTCAAAAGTACATGCATGCCCTAGACGGCGGCAGACGGCACATACAGAGTTTGTATCATCTGGGAAGAAGCAGCGACGTTTCGAGCGTCGGCATGGGTCACAGCTGGTGTTCTGGCGACGACGTGGCTGATCGGAAGAAGACGCCACTGGAGTTGAGTGGTTAGACATAAGGAAAGAATACCATTGCAAGATTAACCTCTTCTATCGATGTAGTTCACGTCAAGCCAGGACCTCAGGATTCAAGGTTCAAAATTTTAGTCACTTTCTTCTAACAAAAACAATGACCATTTTATGTTTTCTTAGTAAAAATTGAACCTTAGTTGGAACATGAAGTCGGGGCCGGATATTCGCTAAGATCTTGATGCCTGAACCTCCGATGTTCTCAGGCATCAACATATTATCTCCATGTGACTCCCTGAAGTTATTCACCTATCACGTACTAGCGGCAATTACTAGTATCAACTGATAGATCAAAATGATAAGGACCGAAAATTAGCTATCATTACATCCCAAGACGCTACGGATACAGTTTAGTGGTTAAGGCTAACAAGTCTTCCAGCCACTAGTGAGGGTTGAGACTGGCTCTCGGCAAAATCAAAACTGTGATATCAGATACAGGTTGCATAAGCCTCTAAGATCAGCCCTAGATCTGAAGTGCGATTAGTGACTGGATTTTTGCTGAAATGCTTCAATTTTAAAGACCTCATTAACTCGACCAGGGATTATCATTCATGAATAGAATGAGGCAATTCATATTTTACATCAAGCCGTACCGATGTCCTGAAGTCCTCGAAAGGGGCTTAGATATGTGTACTGTAAATACGAACTCATATCTAGGTATCGAGGGAGTCATTTGATCTGCAGGCACTCGTATTCATGAATCATGGAGTTGAGTTGGAAGTTTTATTGATAATATCTGCGGGCACTTTCTACCTAAATACATACAGCAATAGTTCTTCAACATTCAAAAACCTTAACATTGGGAGTTTCCAAGGCCGCTTACACATCTTCTCCAGCCGCTCGGCGAATACATTCCACAATATAACCGGGATTACTCAGGAACGGCGAATGGCCCTCGTCGCATCGCTCAACGAAAAAGTTTTCAGGACTCTGAGCGACTATCCGTTCCTGGACAACAGATGGAAGTGCTCGATCATTCTTACAAACAATATACGTGCATGGAAAATCGTAGAAAGCCGAGTATGTCGCAGGGACAGCCAGTGGACCCGAAGGGAAAGATCCCAGAAGGGAGATGGCTTTTTTGATATCTTCAGGAGTGCAGCCATTGTAAAGGACTTCGCCCACAACCTTCTTATCAAGATGCATGGCTCCATCCTTGATAATGTTAGCCACCGTGCACGCATATCTATCTTTCCTGGGACTATGTAAAGTGAGAAGAAGAATTCGGAATCTTTCATACCGCTGTAATATTCAATCCTGGGCCAAGCTTGGCTTGAAGCTCTTGTTTCATCCGTTCGATCTCTTCTTCCTCGGGACTGACTGGAACAAGTTGCTCGAGATGAGTTTTGCCCGCTGGCAGAATCATGGCACAAATATAGACCAGCCGGAGAACAGCTCCTTTCAAGCCCTGTCTCTCACGATCATCTTTTCCAAGTCCCTGAACGGCCTCGGACATGGAAACTCCGCCGAAGGAGTGGGCGACAGTAATGACGTCTTTGCCAGTATTTAGATATCCCAGAATGACGTCGCGAATCTCTTGCGCATCCTGGTCCCAGCTGGGGTGTGGAGGGATAGAGTCCACTGAGGGCAGTGTCACACCCACTGCTTCGTAGTTGACCTTTTCCAGTCCATCAATCACATGTTGGTAGTGCTTGGGTCGATGCCATGCACCCGGAACTATAACAATCACTGGGTTGGACATTATGGCTGTTCCATGCACGAGTGAAAGGAAATAACTTATTGAAACAGGAATCAGGACCTCACAGATTGAATATATGTCTTGGAAACAACATATCGAGTATATTTATAAGGCGTTCTTCACTAATCGGACCCACGGAAGCTGATGATCAACCTTTATTGGTCAAATCAGCTCACCGGAGCCGCTGATCGGTTCCGCTCTATATGGATATCCGCAGACATTCACTCCAGAAAATTGAACATTCCGCAGGAATGGAGATTTCTGTATCAGGTGAGATTCCATAAGTTTTTTTCTGATCAAATGCTGTAACCGAATCAAACTCATAGATACTACGTAAATACTAGGTGTATGCATTATAATCTGTAGACATCAGGAATTTGGTTTCCGAATATACAGAGGTACCCAGGACTAGGTATAGATTTCATCTGCATATGGGCAAAAGTCTCACCTTGGCGACTCCGGAAGTTTTTGTTTGATTCAAATGCCTACCCAAGTGGCTAGCAAGTCTCAAGGACAGGTACACAGCCAATATTGGGACATTGGAAGGGAACTTGGTCAGAGATTCAGGAATGGTCATTGAGTATCATTATCATTAGAACTGATAAAGAGCTGCTTGGGATACACTGAGTAATAAATGAGATCTTGGTGCAACTTGCGGTGAGTAAAAGTACTTAGGTAACTAGGCTTTCCAATACCGAGGTCATTGATTGGAATTGATGGCACGCTAGAAGATATACCTTTGTAATATTCAAATTCTGGGCGGGTTGAGTGGAGCAGCCCCGATATTTAGTTACGGAAGAGAATTGATCTCCAGCAAGTGGTCAAAGCAAATTACGCAGCAAAAAAAAAGGGACTACTATCTTCATAATTTATCGGACTTCTGTTCATATCATCTAGCTTATATTTACAAGTTGGGATGTGATAAAAGGATTAGACTTCGGTGGACCAGGTGATCACCACTCGGGATTAATCAATAGTACCAAATTCTACCAGCATACTCTCAAGATTGGATTGTTCTATCGTGGGTATTCCGGAGCTCGACTGACGCGGTAGTTTATGAAAATTCAATTGAGGAGCTTTTATAACACTGTGAAAGTGGCCAGAACTCAAGTCTGTTGATGATGGATATGTAACGCATCTTTCGATTAATCGCGTAGTATCCTGTTAGGACATCGTCTCAGGATTTAGGACATATTCTATTGAGAGTGGAAACAGACGGCGTGGTTTAATAAGGGTTTCGTCTTTCATGATTTCCTCCTTTTCAGACGCACAAATACTCGAGATGTCTCTTGGATGCAGGTCTTCAACGTGTTCCTTTGAAAGATTAAACCGATTAGCCATTCTATACTTATGAAAAAGTAAGGAGAATCTGATAATACCTCTTCTTTCACAAACGCGGTTTCTGGAAGTGGTCGGTTACAGGCTGACAACCTTGGCAAAAGGAGTTCACCTAATTTCTCATTATCTCCAAGTTGAAAGGCGAGAGCCACATCATCAAGCAGTTTTTCAGAAGCATTAAGCTCATCCAAAGTATTTTTGAGGGCTGATTTTCTCCTCCGATCTTTATTTTGATCAAATCGACATTCAGTCTTTGCTGCAACGCATTTGCAACATGGATGATTTCCTTGACACTTCATATTGTGAATTCATAATCGCAAAGTATCTCAGCTGGTTCATATATACCTTTGTTTTACGCTTTTGGCAAGCTTGACATGCTGTCGTCTTTTTTTTGACCGGAGCTAGCGGTATAGATCTGGCTTGTTGGGAATGCTGATCAGTCGAAGCCGTACCATAAGGCTGTATATAGCGTGCTGGATCCATGGTTATATCTTAGCGTAGAGGTTTCAACATAAGAAGCTCTTTTTTAATGACGAAGATAATATTTGCGTGTAAAATAAACCTGGGTGTGACAATCATCGTATGAGTGATACAAAAATGATTTATCAATTCTGTCTGCAGATATGACGCCTAGAAACATTGATTATAAGAAAATCAATTATCGCGAAACAGTTCAAAGGACTCTAATGAGTCACAACAATAGAAAAAGCTCAATAGAATACAAAGAGTGATGAATCTTGGACTCTCTATACGTGATAGACTCGTGATATACCCCTCGGTTCTCCAAGAATCACTTTTGAAATAGTATCAAAAAGGAAACTTGAAATAAAATATCATTATAGGAGCAGATGCCTTAAGCATTAAGGCTTTGTTTAATTTCTCGAGTCGTACAAAAGCTGCATTTTAATATTCATTCTCTTATCATCTACGATTACTTATTTTCCGTACTACATCTTGAGAGACAAGATAAAATGCATTATGTTCAGATAGTAGAGATGACCGTTATCATCTAGCTGCCACAGATCAGTAAAAGGATATGTCTCACTTATGTGTTTGATGCTGATATGTCAAAGCCTTTTGATATTATATTAAAACGGTTCTTTTCCAGTCTCAGAAACTGATTGAAGAGATTATTTGAGTGTGATAGGATGAATACCATTGATCGGTTCTCCTTTGAGAATTTAGACGGTTTATTACCCAAAAATATCTCATTGCTCAAGATAGATACACAGGCTGCCCTTGATCACACCTGCCTCAAAGCTTCTTCTGAGTTTTAACGTACATTGCACATCATAATTTGGCGGAAAGAGACTCCTTTGAAATTTTCATGGAGGTACAGTACTTTCTGAAATTGGTGCCACCACCTTAACTTTTTCATTATTCTCTCCGTCCCTCGTGCCAAGTGGTAATGGTTTTGATTAGGTGGCAACAGGGATTTCCATAGAAGAATAAGTTACAATGTAGTAAATCTTTTAAAGGTTCAGCCCTGATTCTAACTTTTTTGCCCCATGACGAATATGACTCAATTATTTTTTTAACGCAGAGCTCAGCACGAATAATGTTCGAGCTTTTTAAGAATGTTCGTGTTCGTGTTCGTATTCGTGGCCACTAGCTAACGTGATTCCCGATTGTGTGGTCATCCCGGTTGTGTGGCCATCCCGGTTGTGTGGCCATCCCGGTTATGTGGCAGTAAAGGCTTAACCATAGCTTCTACACCAGCTTCTGTATTAGATATTGTAGTGGAGACTAGGTCACCTGATATTAGTGGAGATTGTGTATTTAAGCATTCAGTTGATAGATTAGACCATGAGACCACCTTTACCTTCTTGAGCTACCCCTTGGTTCTCCTTTCTCCCACACAGCCCCTAGAGGATAGACTCTGACTACATCTACCATACTCCATGATTTGGCTGGGTTCGCAGACTAGCTAGGATGTCCCTGTTCCCCATATCAATATATATACCTCTTTACCACAACTCTCTTCAACAACCACTTCCTGAATCCCTTCCAAACTTCCTAGACTACCTTTATAGGTAGCCTGCTTCTTACTTGCTGCCCGTTTTTGGGTCTATTTTTTGTTCGCTCCTTCTAAAGGACCACATCAATCATATAGAAAAATATGATGATGGGTGGTTCGAATAGTCCGATCATAACCAATCTCATCGCTTATCCAACTATTCTTAGATACATTGACATACTAGCTAGCTTGCTTTAGTAGAAAGCTAAACCAAGAATGCTGGAAGACTTTGCCTTTAGAAATGATATATGGTGGTAGAGAAACTCCAGAAGCCCTCATATATTCGATAATAATAACCCATTCGCGATTCCCAGCTTATAAAAGAACTCTCTGACCATGGTATTCAGTAGAGGTAGCAATTTTTTGAGCTATATTTATCCCTATTACGAACACAGATTCATGAAAATTAAAGATATTGTCTAAATTGATGCCATAATCTTGAATCGTTCTTTCACCCAATTTAAACCTTGGCTCAATAATCCTAAGGTCTTCTGAGAGAGCCCTCTTATAATCATATTTCTGAGAAAGACGTGTAGTCAGATCCGGAAGACACTTAATAAACTCTGTCGGCCAATTTTTGCCTATAGAAGAGGTGGTTGAAGAGGTGGTTAAAGAATGCGATTGGAGTAAAAGATTGGCCATATCTCTTTAACATAGATAAGATAATAGGGATTAGCCACCTCTTAATAGAATTCTCTTTAGTATCAGTAAATTTATGACGAGAATGACGTTTCTTAACCACATTTGAAACCCCGTTCATACGATGTCAGAGGGTTGATCTTGGAACAGAAAATGAGCATGCAGCAGCTAGGACCGAGGGAAATATGCCATTTTGATAGCCTGAATAGTTATTACAACACGACCCTCCTGTTGATCAAATTTTGTCATTTTTGGGAGTGATCTGGAGGCATGGTGGTTGTTTGAAAACAAAGGGTTGCTATGGGGATTCAAAATTTTGATGAGGTGGCCACACAACCGGGGTGGCCACACAACCGGGAATCAAATTAATGTTTATATTCGTGCTCGTGGCCGCTTCCATGTGTTACTCAAAGAAACTAATTCAAACCCTGCGAATGCTTTTGGAGGTAGAAATAAAGCATAAGCCACTGATTGGGTATTTGTTAAGCTTTGATAAGCAAGGTAATAGTTTTCTGAGGTGATCGAGTTATCGACTTGAAGCTAGAGTTGTGTATTGATAGATGGATTAGGCCAATATCACCCCAATCCGCTATTTGAGGTCTTAATGCTGCGCATATGCTATTTTCGAGCTGATTCTGTTGTGGCTAGTTGTCCTGCTTTTTGAACTTTGATTAAAATCTCCTTTAAGATATCGACCTGGTTTAACGCTGTAGGCGCCCAGATAGTGGAGGAGCTAAAGCATGAAACCCCGTATCTTCTATATGGCTATTGCTCTATGAAATTATGTTAATTTGCATTAAATCTGTATTTCCTTGTTTTCAAGGCGGAAAATACTCTGAAGTAGTGCCCGAAACTCATCGACTTCCTTCTGTAAGAATCTTTTCTTTTATTTGCTGTTGAATGAATTTTTGTTCCAGATAAAACCATCTAACCAGACCATACTAGGAGCAGACCGGCCTTCCACCGTCGCACTTAGTTTCAAATTTTTTATAGGATTTACACACCTGAAAGGTACACTGAGTGCCAAATTCTCGCTTCTCCTGTCGTAAGCGTGGGATAACGAGCTTGCCTAACGTCTTATCAATATATCAATTGGAGAGAACGGATTAAGCAGATGAAAACTTTGAAGCTTCGAGAATAGTGATTTACATTGGCCTGAAGAAATTACTTAGGGGTTAAGTCATTTGCCTGGTCAGATTATTGTGCTCTTGATTCATATCTAGAAATCTGCGAAAACGACCATTCTCTCTTTTGAATCGCTGATTACCTATCTAAAAGGGGCTTCCTCAGCATAAAGCTTTTATTATGCTGAAGTGTAATCGACGTTATCTCAAAATGATCCCAAAAATAGATAAGATATGAGTTAGATATAATGGGGAAATACAGATAAAGATCTTCCCACATCAAGTTTCTATGATAGATAACAAAATAGAGTTTTGGGATATGACAAGTTAGTTCTTGCAAATCTGTATCACATAGAAAACTACACTAGCATCGGCGAGTTTTCTAGATGAAAATCACATTCCTTTGTATAATACTAGTCTACTTGAAATTGATAATCCTCATACTTGGGAGAAGCACTACCGAATACCGATGAAACTATTACTAGTGATATTCTTCCATTTCTCGAAGCATACGGTAAGTATGAACTTAATGTACCACCATTGCGGCCGTTTGAATTTGATCACGAGGTATTGTCATCCATTGGAAAAGGCTAGTTATTTACACAACAGGAGTTCCCTATAGAAATACATACATTATAAAAGTAGATGATCGAATCAGATTAATTTCCCTGAAAGATCGAACGATCAAAAGATAGAAGGTTAAAACATAGTAGTATACATATAAAAGTTTACTAAAATAAATTGTCTCTGACTGAACTCTTGATGCTACTTCAAGTATTCAAGTAATACAAAGATTCCTTCTATTTTTTTAATTAGCCAGTACTTTACGGACGGAAATAGTTCAGTAAGCAGAGATACTGCATATAATAATCGCATCACTTCACCTGTTTGATCCTCACATCTCAGCATAATTTTGCACGGAAATTTTCTGCGTCAACGAAAACAAGTGTTATTTTTGCAAATATTTTCCATCACCTGAAACAAATTCGTCAATTCAGCAAGCTATATATAGCCACGCGCCACAACTATGATTGATCAGCACTCCCAACAAGCCATTTTCACTCTGCCAGCTAAGATCAGTATGCAATCGACCTCCTGTCAGGCTTGTGAAAAGTGCAGAGTAGATGTAGATACACCCTTTGAGATTTGGCGTACCTCTAAACTGACAGCTTTCAGTGTCAAGGAAATCAACCATGTTTCAGATGTGTTGAAAAAAGTACTGAATGCCAATTTGACCCAAATCTTGATCCAAGGCTCAAGAATGCAAAAAATAAGCTCAATGCCAATGGAAAGCTGCTTGATAATATGGCTCGAGCCTTTCATGTTGGAGACAATGGGAAACTAGAACAGCTTCTTGCATCAAGATTACGAACCCTCCCGGAAATGACAGAGGATTCAGCAAACGAGAGGAAAAAGTCTTGAGCAAAAACTAGTTCGTCCGCTTTTGTTCTTTAAGATGCTTTAATTTATGAAAGCCAGAAAATATGAATTTTCAATTACCAAAACAGACGATAGCATTCAATTACTAAACGATAGTGATTCGTTCAATGATTTCCAATTGATAGAAATGGGTTTAGATGTCTTGCCAAGACTTGAGGTAATCTAATGGAATTTTCTCGACGATAGCTTAATGCTGCCTATGATACAAACCAATAATGAAGGCATTGATGCAATTATTCGAAATGCTTGGCTTATGCACTATGGCAGCACCCCGGATATGTTAAAGAATATTTATTCATTTGACGTCGAGATAAGACAAAATGCTGATAATACCCAGATACAGAGCCAATTGCTTCACTAAGAGGGCAAATCAGGGAGTAGAGAAAAAGATAGGAGAGCAGGTAGCAATCGTGTCCTCAAATGCTTGCCACGAATCCTCGGGCTTGGCCAGAACAAATTGCCAATTATATCGTTAATAAAGCCTGTCTGTTAAGTAACCTTGTTATACACATGGGATATTGGAAATGGGAGATAAGGCTTAGCTGTGCTGAGGCCTTGTATTCAGCATATCGATGAGTATCGGCACTCGTGGATCCTATCAGAATAGTCCTTTAAGCGCTGCCTACCCCAAAACTTGATGGTCTTGTCGTCAGAGCTAGATACGATCTCCGTGCCATCCAAAACAGAGCAGTACAGGTTGTCTACACTTAAGCCATGATAGAGCTTGAGTATTAGTGAAGAAAAATCTCCATAGAGGCTGAGGGGCAAGCGTTGAGTTTTGTCCTCAAACCTAAAAAGTGAGAGGTTTATATAAGCACCTTAGCGCCCAAACCCATCAAGCTCGATGGACTTTAACTCTGAGAATTTCTGTTTGAGGGAACTTATTGGAACGAATATCAGCTGACATACCAAGATCATATGATCTTGGCATGGCAGCTACTATATCTTCTTTCATCTGAGCATTTTAGAATGACACTTCACTTTTACCCAATATGCATACACCTATTATATACGTACAGAAACGATATCAATAGCTGTCTGCTTCGGTAATAACCTAGTCAACCGACAGAACTAAATTTGCAAAATCGAGGAGGCAGGGTCTTAATTGAGTATTCTGAGCAGTTTTAGAAGTCCTAAATTGTGTGGGTGTTGTAAGTCATGGTCGGGTTTTTGTATGTGGTGTAATTTTAGAGAGCACGTCCATAAGTCGTGACCATAGGAAAAAAAGCATGATAGTCAAGAAAGTCAGCGGAATTGATACCGCCCATGCGATCCAGAAATATGGTGAAACCCCCAGCTTCTTAGAATCATCGAGGTAGAAGAACGGTGTACTTAAGAAGGTCTGGACTCATTAGACAAAAACTATGCGTGATAGACAAGGCAGATATTGTCTCTTACCGCCACTGCCGTGCAAGGCAGAAACACCATAGTAAGAATGGCAATGTTCTTCATTACTTGGCTGTCGCCTTTCATGGCTTGTGAGTCAGCCTGAGTAACCACGTTGAAGGCCTGATAGAAGTGTCAATATTCGAAGTCTGCTCTATTCAAGATGTAGATAAAAGAGGTTTTGATAGACCTACCAGATTGATAATCGATTCTGTCCGCTTTCCCAAACTTTGTAGACGTAGATCGGTGGATCTGAGAAGCATCTTTGTATATTGAAATCCCGCGAGCGTTGAACTTGTCGAAATAGAGGAAGACGAGATCACATTTTCATAATGAGATGAGGCCGCGTTCAGCGTCTCTGTAAACGCTTCAATGGCCTCGAGCAAGTAGATTTGGTGTCGTTGGATCCAGTGCATACCAGGAAAATCTAGGTCGTCAGTATTCAATCCCGAGTTTCTGCTGGCCGTGCTTAATACTTTCTGAGAAGAACAATCAGCTTGAATTCCTAATGTGTTTATTCTTGTCCAGTGACCGAGTAGAATTTACCTTTTCCGCAGGTGTGAAAACATCCGCAATCTCCCATGTGAGACGATCAATTTGCTCATATAAGACATCAAATACGACATTCAACAAACAATGGGGGTCTTCAATGATCTCCTCATAAACCATGCACTGAGAAACAAGCTTGAATCTTTCATAAAGCTCCTTGCGGCTACCAAAGGTAATCAAATCCACCGAAGTAGCTTTGCTCTCCTTAGAGGGCCGGGTTACCTTTAGACAGTAAGCAGAGCGAACCCAGCTATAATCCGCCTGACTGGGATCGCTTTCATTCTGTTTATTTTGATTTATAATCTTTTTCACGCCGTCAATGTTTGCTGTTGGAATATTTTTACATAGGAAGTGAAACCACGTGTCTTGCCCGTATTAGCCAATCGAAAAGAAACATTAAGCATTCACATACAAGTTGTACCCTCGACACCATGGGTGGCGCCAAATGAACAAGCAACATCTTGTCTTCTTTCTGCTACAAACGCTCCAGGGATAGAATAATGTTTGTATAGATCAAGAATTTTTGGTCCCCCATTCCGATGAGGAATATCAAGGGATGTGAATCTAAGATTCTTTAGCAGTGTAGCCAGCCGGTGGACAATGATAACTTACACAATTCGAACTGCCTTTTCAGGGCGCTGCGCAAGATCGGATACCTCGGGCCATCTAATCTCCGCACCACTGGTTCCATCTGTTGGTCTTAGTACTGCTCACAATGATAAGGGTGTTGGCGCTTACTTTCTAGCCATTCAAAGCCTTGATACTTTGGGCTCCGACTTTTGGATATCCACGAGGAGGGTAAATGTCGACGGGCATTGAAAAAGTCTTTCTCAAACTCATCATACTGGCGTCTATTCCATTCCGAGTTTAATGTAGCATTTCCTGGTGACAGAAATTGCATTTCTGATTCTGGGGCTAGGGGGTGATGGACGCTTGCCAAATCGGCTTCTGTGTAGGAGAGGACAATGTGCCATTTCGAGGCTAGGTGGGGGATTTGACATAATGCGGCTGAAAATCCCAGCATTGGCCCCTAATGCTAAGTCGGGCATTTCAACCCCAATTTAGTATTCCGGTTGACCTGTTCCTAGGGCAAGTGATCATCTGGAATTTATTTGCTCGAGACTCGGCCAATCAACCAGGCCCGCCACTGCACGAGACAAGGCTGGCTCTATTCATTGGACTAGGAGGTTTGGTTACGCCAACACCACGCAATGACTCAGGTCAGGGCATTGAATGCATCAGATCTCATCGAGGATGTATCCCGACGGAAGGACTCCACTTTGAAGCCCCGCTCTTTGCCTCATTGGGCAGGCACTACGGAAGTGAGCTGTAAAAAGGTTCGGCCCTCGTGGCCTGTGATCGGTGCGGCACTTCTGATAGGTCTGATATGTATGATATGTAATGCGTGCCAAAATTCTGCAGACTGGTCACACCCAAACATCTCTACTTACGATTTATCTCCACTTTGAGGCTTATCTACCCGAGGATTATTATTGATACGTAGTATCGAAAGCTTGTTCTCATCCTCTGTCGTGCTCGCGTCAGGAACTGAGGCTAATGAACTAGGGAGGATAGGTGTTTCCTTCACGAAGAGCTTTAAGTCATTCCTGGTTACTAGTGGTAGGAACAGTAGAATTACCGCTATGTTGCTCTTGTAAGTTTAGCTTGCATATAGCCAGAAAGTATCTACATCCAATCTTGGAACAGTTGTGGTGACAAACATATTAGGCACCTATTTGAGTTTAGTACTCTCCAAAGTGGTTTAGTCTTTCAAGTTATTTTTGAATATATGAGAAAGGCGATGTAAATTGTGGCATGGTAATTTTCTCTTATCGCCCCAAGCGCTAGCTTTTATCACGGATTTAATAAAGGCCCTGTAGGGATATTGGAATTTGGGGGCGTACGGAGGACCATAACAAAAGTTTCTGGCTGGGGAAGTTTACGCGTATTCCTAATTAAGAATAGTAAAAATGTTTTCAAATTACCAAAATATTATTACCACTGCCAACCAGCCTCTAGATAGGTGGTCTCGCTCTTCTCTGATGTATATGATTACTATCCCTCCTAGCTCTCCTTCCTTCATTATACTCGTTGCCGTCCTCTACCCTAAAGATTTCTTGGATATATTGAGAGATACTTTCAATCCAGACTTGAATTTTTCCTTGCGGCATCTCGCTCTACGCCTTCACCTAAGCAGAAGTAGCATCTGCTCTTGTCTTTGGCGCACCTTTCTTTGTAGTAGTACGCTTTAGATATAGCCAGGCAGACTCAATAGCGTTTATACCAGGAGAGTTTGGGCACCAGAGTAGACGCGCTAGCTTAGAGATATCATACACTGTCTACTGAAAACGATGGTTATGAGCAGGAGCTTTATCCTCTTGAATCAAGGTGGCAGGGCGTGTCTGAAAGCATTCTTTTGCAAAAGGAATTAGCTTCAGGAGGATAATAAGCCTCCAATAGCGATACCAATTGATGCCACGGGCCTATATAGGCACTAATAGCTATATCGAGAGCTAATATCAAGCCAAAATGGAGCCGGTATTAAGCCTCAAAGAGCCAATATCAAAAATAGCTTACCTGTCCGCGCGTCGGTTTGCCGTTTTCTGTGGTAAATCTCCACAAAGGCCCCGTCCCCGGTGTCTTCCGACGGAGATTTAAATGCCTCATCGAGCTCGCAACGCATATATATTAAATTCATACTAGACTTTGATAAAACAATCATAGTAGCAATTTCAGCAGTAGTAAGCCCAGTGAAAGCTTTAGGGCTTACAACCTGTACGCAAATGACAATATCTGATCGAGTCTTCATGATGATAATGATAAAAGTCAGACTCAGGGAAATAATATTAATTACTATATCCTAGTTGTATAAATCAGTATTCTACAGGTCATATTACCAATATGCAGGTTGAGCTGACCAGAAACTTTCCCTATGGTCCTCTGTAAGGTCCCATAGTTATTCAAGGAATTTATTTTATATTGATTATAAATCGGAGGTTCAGCCTCGCCAACGTTTGAGGGTGCAACCTGCATATTTGCTTTCTTGGGGATCTATTTGATTCGCTACCTGTGCATTGGCCTTGTACATATGACTCCTTCCCGTCAGCCCTAAGCTTTAGCTGAACAGTATTTGAAGTGACCATGGGAGGTGGTCTGCGAGATATAAAAAGATATATAAAGCAGCACCTTCTACCAACGCTTCATGTCTAGTATGCTCAGAGCTGCTTAAACATTTAACTTGCACATAAATCTTCCGGTGCATTATAACGGAAGTTGCTTATTACATTGCCCAAATGGTGAGTAGATTCTTCAAGAAGTGCTTGCACTCTAGTGTTGACATTAGAAAAGGCTACCCCCGAAAGACATGGTGGGTTTCATGACCCGTCTGCGATGATGTCCCACTCTGACAGCGAAGAAGAGGAGAAAGCGGGCACAAGTGAGAAGACAGGTTCAGTATCTCGGACGGTACGTTTCTCTTCCAACTCCTAGCGAAACGATGACCACAAGCTCACCTTCCTCTCTAGAGTACCGACAGCTCAAGCAAGGTCGATGAGTCTACCAAAGCTCCCGTGAGTAGGCTCAAAAAGATGGTTGGGTTGAAGGGAGCGCGAGTAAGACGTTGAACAATTTCTTCGATAGGTGCTCACTACAAAGGAATCTACTGGTTTGCTTGAAGAGCATCGTGTAAGGAGTGCATATATTTAAGCCTCTCCCGGCAGTTTCTTCCGAATCAAATACTCATATTTCTCATTCCACTTAGCCCAATTCCCCTCGAAGCAAACTAAAAGGCATGCACGGAAACTTCTTCACGAAATTAGCCAAGTATCAATTTAGCACACCACGCTCGTACAAAGCGGCCGCCTATAAAGACAACGAGGAGAATTTCCGCCATAAAGATCATTTTCAACGTGTCTTTTATGGCGCATCTGGAGAGCGCTTTCTTGACCCTGAGGATGGTCGAGTCAAGGAGCTGGTAGTGCAGTGCACTGATGATGTCTATCGTGCGTTGAAGGACGCCAAGTACAAGAGAACCTCCATCCGGAATGTTTCGCCTATCACGCTGAGGATTACCAACTGGGCTATGAACAGTTTCGATGATCCAAGAGCCAGAGGCCATTTTCGCACCGTGGACTATCTTCAAGTAGCCTTGAAATGGCCTGTCTCGTGTCTTTTACTTGTTTATGTGGTAAGTGAAGATTTTCCTAGCCATAACTGCTAATGAGATTAATATTTAACCAATTTCTGAGCACTAGATGGGCATACCTGGCCTCTCAGATACCGGCGAGATAGTAAACGACGGCCGTTACGACCCCTTTCCCTTTCGCTATTGGGGATATTGTAAGATTGTTCGCAACTCTGTCGAAAGAAACCCGGCGATCAAGATTCCTGGTCAACCTCTCTCTGCGGAAAGCACGACTCCGTTTCCGACTATGGCTCGGCTGCTTGAGCCTCGCGCTCTCCTTTTTGACGTGGATCTACCACTAGCAAAGCTTCTGGAGCCCCACGAATGGAAAGATCGGTCTTCTCTACAGAAGAAGTATCAGGAAGGCCTGGAGAGCGTGGGTGCTGATCGACACTGCCCGAAGTATGTGGTTGTTGCGTACATTAACACCCAGTTCTCACAAAAAAGTAAGAAAGACATGGCTGCACTCAACGAAATCGGTCTCATGGCTGCGCGGGAAGCTGGTGTCGATGCGTACTGGACAAGCGCGTCTTGTATGCCAAAAACGGACCTGACAAATGATGTTTATCGCATTAGCGATGTAGTCCGCGGAGCCGATTCGGTAGTCATTGCTGTCGGATCTAGAGAAGGTCAGGATCTTCCACAAGATGAGGATGAAAGGCTTCAAACTCTCTTACAGGAATGGGGTGGTCGCGTATGGACATTCCCGGAGGTTCTGCTTTCCCAAAATCAGGATATCGCAGTTTATGAGCGAGGCAACTGTCCCGAAGATGACGAGGGTAAAATGCGCTCTACCAAAATCATACCAAAGAATCATTTTGCTAGATATGCCTGGGGAGATTCTCACGAAAGCAGGCAACTGATTGATCACTTCACAGGAAGTCTCAGTCTCAGCCGGCTACAGCTAACAAGCGCTGCCTTGAACTGTCTTTTTTCGAGAGAGATAGCAGACTGGTTCGATGTAAGTTTCATCGCTATTGCCTTGTCCTATGATGCGTCTAACTCCGCTTCTAGGGCGATCGGTCCTACGCGCTTATGGGCCTGCTTCTGAAACGGCCCTCTGTCGATGAAACCGATACAGAATTCCAAGCTTTTGCCCGCTTGTCCCTTGCCAACGATAGCGACAAGCTCCTTGAACGGTTGATGTGTGTTCTTCCTCAAACTCCTACCCAGCCGTGGCATTGTACCTCTGATAAGTATGGCGTCAATCTGTGGGATATTGAGCCTACCTGTCAGATAGCCGGAATCTGCGACAATGACGCTATTCTGGTCGATGGAGCATTCGGAGCGACAATACACTGGGATAAATTTCGGAAGGTCAACGCCCGGCGAAGAATGTCTTTTAAGCGAATAGCGACACAGATCTTGTTCCACGGAGCTCCGTTCTTTTTCGCCTTAGGCTGGATCATTTGCGGATGGACTTTTAAACTCATTCATATTCTAGACACGGTTTACCCCGACTTACCACAGAAATTGAAGGACAAGGCATGGTCCATCCGAGCGTGGATGTACTTCGCGGCAGCAGTTGGCTACCTATTGATCCTTGTTCCATTCTTGACATTTATCTGCTCACCATATCTGACTCGTTTACTATACGGGGGAAAATTCTGTGAGTCAATCAGTCCCGTTAACACGAGTCTTCATATCCCTTGAAAGCTAACTGTGCCTTTATAAAGGGGGTTCTCAAGCATGGCTCTTCGGATTCGAAGGATTTGCTGATCTCGAAACTATCGAATCCCACATATTCGGTGGCAAACTAGGGCGTCTGCGATGGAGTGCCTACGGTTCCTCACTTTCCTACCACGATAAGCCAGAAGCATCCGATGACTGCGAGCCTGGTGACCCGAGATTGAACCCGGAGACTAAAAAGAAAGTGGAGCGAGCCATACACAATAAAAACCCTGATGCAATGCGTATCTTCACACTAGTCGATACGAATACGATGACAGTTACGCTATTCGAAGCGGTCAAGCCACCAACCGTACTTCTGTTGTGCGCAGGAGAAGGGGGTATGCAAAGGGCCATTGCTTGTTCGTATGAATGGACGACTGGAACCTGCTATCGGGAAACTGTTCTTCGAATGGAGACACCTGTGCTGGAGAAGATGTCTCGGGTTCCTAGAGTTAAGCTGGGTCTTCGAAACACGCCTAAAAAGAAGCCCAGTAAGGGAAACTGATTGATTTGTATTGATATTGGAAGATTTGGGTCAATTGGAGGGCCGGTGTCATTCGCTGTCTAAGTACATAGGGACTTATGTGTACACTAGGATGGGTTCTCCATCCAGTTCTTCCAGGGTGTACGCTCCGCTTCCAAGATCAAATCGAATCCGATAAGGCCCCATGCCAGCGATAGCGTAGCTTTTTTATATAGATGTGATCGTTTCTCTTAGCTTCTGCATGTCATATAAAGCACCAGGCTTCCGACCTCTAGAGGTTTAGATCTCAATTTCTTCATGCTATCGTAGTATGCTTTGTTGTTTTCCCGAAGTCTGGCAAGCCTGTATACTGATTCCTCCATGTCTAGATCTCTCTACAGAATCTGCTGCGTCCTCAGTACGATGAGATCTTCTTTCATCTAGACCTGTTCCTACGGTAGGGTGCCCCGGAGCCAGATACAATCTTCATGCCATTAGGCGAAAAGGCCACAGTGTTGACAGAGCGTGAGTGTCCTTTCAGTGTCTTCCGAAGATAACCTGTCCCGGTATCCCAAAGCGTGATGGTCTTGTCCCAAGAGCCAAATGCGATCTGTGTGCCATCAGGTGAAAAGGCCAAAATTTTGACAGAGCCTAAGTGTTCTTTTAGTGTCCTTGGAGCATAACCTATCGCATCCCAAATCATGATGGTGTTGTCCCTAGAGCCAGATATGGTCTGCGTGCCATCAGGCGAAAACGCCACACTGTTGACCCAATCTGAGTGTCCTTTCAGTGTCCTCTGAAGGTCCCCTATCGCGGTACATAGGCAATCCAGAGTATGTATGCATTGTATGGGTAATATCCCAAGACCTGATGATCATTATACTGTAGATAAGTATTGATAGCTACCTGTCCCTGAAATTAAAGAAAGTTGGCAAAATACATTATTGACACTTCTTTTCCAAGATTTTATAGGCGACATGTATTCTGGCGAGAAATTTCAGACAACGCGAAACCAAGGATGAGCGAGCGTGTCGATCAGTGTGCTCAGTTGGCCAGTCAGCTAGGTCGGTACCCAAATGGCTTGTGGTTGTAGGGCAGTATCCTCGTCACATCTAGATGTCGTTAGTGATGAGGATTGAAATTGCCCCTTCCAGAATTGTTCATTTTTGCATACACGTGATATGGAATGCCCAAGTGTTATTTTGTCTGCTGGTAATGGATAGTGTCCCACCATAAAATCAAACCTAGGTACTTAGATAGATTATGACTGGTGCCAGCACCTGCTAATTGAATATAATGATACCCTAGACTTTTTATTACTCTATGCTCAAACTTCAAGGCCACATGTTTAAGCCGAAGATCTCTTCGCCAAGATAAATTTGCTTTTGATAGACAGTACTTTCAGACTAGACATCAACGCTGGGATATAATCCCTGTTCAATCTCCAGTCACTACAACCACCTGGGTATAAGTTGGCCCTTGGGTCTAGGATATACTTCAGATGTCTCTGAATCAAGGTGTTTAATGTGGTATATCACTGGTTGCATAGTCATTTGCGTATATTATGTATAGGAAGGCAGGCAGTTTGCAGACTTAACCTGCCTTGGCTTTCCCCATTATTTACGGGCAAGATAAGCTTTAAAGAGGGACAAGTACTAAGTAAATCTTAAAAATGGCGAAGGCCTTAATATTAACCTTGGAAGGTTGCAGTAGTTAGACGCTGTAAGGTCAAGAAAACTTTTCAGAAAGCTAGAAGAGAAAAAGGCTCAAAAAGGCTCACCGAGTGGACCTAACTCAACTGCAGAAATTTTCAAGTCTTTAAAGTTCTACACGTGGATATCTGAGTTGTTATAAAGGAACTATTACGAAAATAAACCCGAATATCAAGTAAAACCTAGGTATCCGTCGACTAGAGAGGAGTGAAAACGCAAGAAAAAATCAATAATAGTAGCTCCACCTTATTCACCGACATACGCCAACTCAGGCCGATAGAAGGTATTCTGCGCTCCGTAGTTTCTTGAAGGAGATCGGAGCTCTCCGATGGAGTCCAGGGGCTAAGTTAAAAAAAGGACCTCCTTATCTTAGTATCAAATCACTGATAAAGGGGGGTAGGGCTTGATTCCCACGTGAAACAGTAGAAGCCGAACAGAGTATGACCGGGCCGGTCAGTATAGCCGCGTAAATAAGCTCCAGGAGAGAAGTGTGGATCACCCTTCCGGGCAACAAAACAGAAAATTTCTGCGCTCCCGTGGACCCACGATTTTGCCTATGAGAAAAAACTTAGGAGTATGAAACCTTGGGGGAAAATGGCACCATTGAGTTAGACTTATCTAGCCGGTATATAATTTTGCCGGGTTATAGAGTAGAAAATTTAGTAGGTTGAGTTGAGATAAAAGGTAGTCAGCAGCGTAATAGGCAGGTCAACAGAGAAGGTGATACCGATCCATTGAGTATCAGATCAGATTCATAAGGCAGTGAGGGGTTCTCCAAGATCGGGCCGGAAAGGGAAGGTGATCTTCATGGTATGTCATAGCCGTCGATAAAATCCATTGCAGGAGAAAGGATTTACTTTGGTACGCCCCGATTAAGAGCGGGTAGTCTAGAATTGTCCATAATCCAAGATGAAACAGAGTACACATAATACTATCTAGGTACGGAATAGAGAAATGAAAATCGAGAATGAGCGATATAGTGATATAACCTGTAACCTACATACGAAGTAGACAAGGCGTGCTACCGAGGTACCTATTTCTCTTACTCCTACGTATGTGCCGCACTCGCATGGCGTGATCCGGGGGATGTTCAAGGCTTAAAGACTTTACTCACCGCATCGCGGCGATTAGTGCCGACCAACCGGTTGCGCACGAACCATAGCAAACCAAGTGACAACGGCCTAATGTCTTCACTTGATGCATGAATAGTGTAACAGGTCAAGGATATTTGACACATGAGCAGCTCGCCTTATAGGTTATAACAACACGAATCGAGTGGAGTCGAAGAATACTTTTAGGTAATATTTATACTGAGCACAGAGCACATGTTGACACACATGGTGATGGACCCCAATGAACCCCAAGAGCCAGATCTAGACCTGATCATGGAATGAAGCTTTAAATTGCGCGAGGATTCTATAGAGCCATGTGATCATAACTCCTATAGCATGAGCAGATGTCGCAAAAATAGTTAGTAGTTATTAGTTGTATTTATATAGTAGATAAAAGTGAAGCTATTCCAGGAATGGCAAAATGAATGAATTCGTACTCTGTAGGGAAATGGAAAAAAAATGGAAAACTTCTCCTCGGTGGATCAGGGTCTCGGTTGCCCATTTCAAGTTAGCGTGGAAGTTTTATGAGATCTGCTTTCAGCCAAGTGGTATTGTATTACATTGTATATTACCAAGTCTGAAGGATGGAGTGGGGCCACGTGATGGCTTCTTTGTTTCTAACAACGCGTCCATTATATGGTACAAGTCTATGAGTAATTAATGGATAATGGATTCAGAATTCCACATGGCAATTGATTTAATTGAACTCAAATAGAAAAGCCACATATATCGACTCAGGGGAAATATTCAATACTACATAATCAAATGGCAAAGGGGTAGTGTGCATAGGGGCTTTAGGGGCTGTAGGGGCTGTAGGGGCTGTAGGGGCTGTAGGAGCTGTAGTGTAGTTAGCTGAATAGGAGCATCGGAATTCCCGGGCCTTCTAGCCGACCATGAGTCATGAACAACTTGACTTTGTTTACCCTCTTTGAGCTTAGCGGTGATCATAGAGTGATGCCCACGTAATTAAAATTATTGTGGGGTAATCAGACGATCTATAGTAATTTGCCGGTCCGGACGGCGACGACGGTATGCAAAATAAAAGGACGAGAGGATGGAGAAGACAGCACGTTCTCTCATGAGTTGATGAGACAATATCAGATATTTACTTTGTACTCGAGAAAGAGTGACGTGATGAGTAATTGTATTACCAAGACCCACACTGATTTTCATATAAAAAAATTAAAATAAAATAAAAAGGGAAAATAGAGCCAATGGCGGCGCAGTACCTGAATAGCACGCAAAGTGGGTCTGAAAATTTCAAGAACTTTTCCACGGAATTGCACATGATCTATCTATACAAAAGCAGCGACTACCCTCAATTCCGGTTATAATATCCTTCTCTTCATTCTAGGACTTCCACATTTCGATTTCCATACTTCGACTTTCAACATATTTACCCCATATCTTATCAATATCTTATCAATATCTACAAGCTATAGAAAGTCTATACAAGATGCCGGGTCGCCTACTCCCCAACTTCGTTCGGGGCTCTGGCTTCACCCAACATTCGGGTTCTTCGACTCCCATTCACTCAAATTCCTCCTCCACCGCTTCCGTCAATGAGATTTGCCCCCCTCCAGCTCACAAGAAACTTGCACACACACATTCAGATCGAGCCCGTTCTCCGGAACGTCGTCTCTCATTTCACATGGATAGCTTCATTCATCCCCATCGAGAACAATTAAAAGAAAAGCGTCGCAGCATGGTTCGCTCTAAGGAACGTGTGACCAAGGAGGAGCAAATTCAACCTTCCGCCAAACTCGATGTTCTCGTTGAATCACCTCCTCTGGTCTGCTACGGCAGTCCTGCCACCTCGACAGGTGCTCTTTTCTCTGGCCGGCTGCGTGTTGCTGTGCCGAGTGGTGAGCTTACTCTCAACCAGTTCGATGTGCGCCTGGTCTCGAAGACCACCACCAAGAAGCCTGTCTCCAACCACTGCCCCAACTGCATCTCTCGCACTGAGGAATTGACCCGCTGGAACTTCATCACTGAGACTCTTCACCTGACAACGGGTGACCACGACTTCCCCTTCAGCTATCTTTTCCCCGGTAACCTGCCCGCCTCCTGCAATGGCACCCTTGGTCAGGTCGAGTACTTCCTGATGGCACACGCCAAGAGCACCGGCGGTGAGGATTTCACTCTGAAGCTTCCCCTCAGTCTTCGTCGTGCCTTGATCCCCGGCAATGACAAGTCTTCCATTAGAATCTTCCCTCCCACCAACCTCACTGGCCGAATTGTGCTTCCCTCGGTTGTTCACCCCATTGGCCAATTCCCTGTCGAGATGACTCTTAGTGGTGTCGTCGACAAGGGTGAAGAAACTCAGACTCGTTGGCGTTTGCGCAAGATGATGTGGCGCATCGAAGAGCACCAGAAGATCGTCTCTGCCCCATGCACTAAGCACAACCACAAGATTGGCGGTGATAGCAAGGGTGTCCTCCACCAGGAGACCCGCATTATCGGTCATAACGAAGAGAAGGACGGCTGGAAGACTGATTTCGATACCGCTTGCGGTGAAATCACTATGCCATTCGAGGCTTCCATCAACCCTGCCACTAATCCTGTCTGTGATATGGAAGCTTCCGAGGCTTCTGGTGGCCTAGAGGTTAAGCACAACCTTGTCATCGAGTTGATCGTGGCCGAGGAATTCTGCCCCAACCGCAACACTCGCCTCATCACCCCAACTGGCGCCGCCCGTGTCCTCCGTATGCAGTTCAACCTCAATGTCACAGAACGCAGTGGTCTTGGTATCAGCTGGGACGAGGAGATGCCTCCAGTCTATGAGAATGTCCCCGCAAGCCCTCCCGGCTACTACAAGCTTGACAACGACACCCGCAGTGTCATGGAGGACTACCACGGATCTCCCCTCGCTCTCCCCGACTACGAGGACCTCGAGCGCATGGAATCTCTCCGCCTCGACAGTTCCTCCACCCACTCATCTCTCGACTCCCGAGGACGTGCCCGCTTCACATCTGACGACCTAATCACTGGCGGCAACTCCCCAGGTTCATCTACACCTCCTTCCCGTGCGCCATCTCGGGCTACCTCAGTGGATTCATCCTGGCAGTGAATAACTTGCTCCCCGCCACGATCTTACGAACCCTACATAAAACCACGTCACACCCTTCCTCTTTTACGATAATCCCATCTGACGATGGTCATGACCACCAAAAAACTCATATTCGGCGTTCATGCAACACTCTTGCCTTAAAGGCGGATGCAAAAAAAGACACCTTGCTCTATTTTTCAATTCTTACTCTTACCTTGCCAAGGACGGACGGGCTTCGTTCCACCCCTACCCATACCTCCCTCTCGCATGATACCCATATTTTATTCCTTGCTAATACCCTTTTTTATTCTCCATTCTTTTATTCAAAATATAATTCCCCAATCAAACTATTCAGCTTGTTATTCTTAGAAATCCGACTAGAAGCGAATCTTTCAAATCTGATATGATTTCTATACACATCTGCCTTCATTAAATTAAGCTTTTACAAAGTGACACTAGATTATGCAGTCTCCACACATGGCTGGCAACTATGTTGATCTCACCGCTGAATTGAATTATTTAAGGACATGTCAACCCCTCAAATCCGAGTCTGAGTGTCCAAACGGAGTTCAGAGTCCTTCGCACCTACCACGGTCTATGACATCCGCTTCTCCGCACTGACAACAATCTTACCTGTCACAAATTGGATCCGAGCATCCGAAAAAAACAAAATGTCGTAATGATGTATGGTAGGACCATAGTGGTCTACCTGGTCTAGACTATCAGACATCCCCACTTGTGCCATGATGAAATTTATTTATGGTAAATACCCTTCTATTTATAGATCTGTCGTCACGAAGATCATTGTTTCTTAACGACTTTTTTCGTCATCGTTATCGATGTGGGTCTGGCTGTGTACTTTGTCTTGCCGGCTGTACCCTTATTCGAGGTAAGTTCAGCTTAGACTTCTACTTTAATCCACGGGTATTCATGGCTTATGTCATTCCTGGATAAGCCTGGCAAGTTCGATGTCGTAATGGTCTCACGTTCAGATATTTGACTTGCACGCGGTGTTTTATCTATAGAGCATGCAAATCTATGGATGACTCTCAGTCGCCCAATCAATGATAAGGGCTGTCTGAGTGTTGCATCCGACTCAAAATCGATGTTATGGATGTCACAACGACAGGATTGTCGAGGTGGATGTGTTACTACCATGGGTAATTCTCCTGCCACGTGAAATACTGGTAATATGATAGATAAAGTGAGCAACGCCACCATGAAACAATCTATATTCAAAACAGTAGAGTAATCTCGCCTGAGCTCACTTTGAACACAGCGCAGAGTCTTTTAATATATAAGTTGTGCATTGCAGCTTCAAAATTGAATAAATCCCGTAGTATTTCATTTTAACAATATATATGCTATGTCAATCGATTCATTCAATGCTTGAAGGAGGTTTCGATACATCCCGATCTTTCCAACTGCTTTGTATTCACGGGATAGTAAATTGGCCATATCTCTTAACTTAGTACATGTAAGAGCTGCACCCTTGAAACACGTAAAGAGTAGCCATTTTTCTATTAATTACTCCCAAACAGAGATTTCATAGCCAGAAGGTCGGTGTTCAGACCAACTTTCGCGACCATCAAGTCTAGCATGTACTTTGGTATATCTAAGGCCTTCGTAGCCGCTCCAAAAAGAGCTATATTGTTCGTCTTTTATCGCTTGCATAGCCAATGAAATATGGTCCTCATGTTCAATCATTTTTGTGCATTTTGACGGCGAATTAGTAGCATAGTTATTGATTAAAAAACATGTGTTACTACGGAAGATATCCCCGGATCCACGTTAACTTGCCGGATATGACTCAGCAAATAATGGTGGAGAGTGGAGATAGCTTGGAATGGCGTCATATTTGAGAGTATAAGCAATAGGTGAGGGATAACATTTAAAGCTACTCGACAAACGTTAAAGTCACGTACTCAAGGGAAAAAATTGATGAAAATTTCAATATGCCCGGCAAAGTAGACACCAAGGTTGGTATACCATGGTGCACATATAGCCATGATGCTAGGAACTTGAGAAGGCTACTAACTAGACGTCAGGCCTCAGTATAATGACACCTGCCAAGGTCGATTTACCTACCTACATAGGCAATTCTAGCTGAGTTGGACTACGGGACCTCGGGACCTCGGAACAGGGCTAAGACCTGACTCCAAGATAGATAATCTACTTTGATTTGTTTATGTTGTCGATCTGACTCATGCAAAATTATCTGTAAAATCTTTCTGACACATGTCCCGGGCAGGTTATTCTGACAGTTCACCTTGCTCGGGGCCAGGTGGCAGATTAGCTCAGATTTGAAATACTGGAACACGTAGAGGTCCTAGCATTTTATACTCCGAACTGTACAGGTCACAGTGGGCTACAGCCAATCATTGTCATCCGCATTGTAGTGGAGTAGGTAGATTTGGAATTCAGTACTCATGAGCTAAAACTCTCTAATTCTGGGGCCTTAGCGCTATAAAATTCCAAATAATGAGTCAGGAAAGAAAATTGTGCATTTGTGCACTATGCATGTCCCCCTTGGACTGTCCAACGCCCCTAATTAAAAGAAAATAACACCTATCCACCCATGATATATGTACAGATGCTGATAAAGAAAGGTCTCCTCACTCAAGAGGTACGGACAAAAAGAAAAGATTAATGGTAAGAGAAAGGCTGAAAGAAAGTTAGGAATCGAAAATTGGGCCAAACGCCGGGACCCCTCGCGCTTCGAGTTCGTACACGATTTTACGAGTCAGCATTGGGTTACTGATCACGCACACCGCTTCAGCATCGAACTCTTCGATCTGACGACGAATAAGTGGAACCATGTCAAGGCGCCCGGTTTGTTCCGTGTCCAGGATGATTGGATCGGGGTCCAATCGGCTTAGAAGGTTAATGACCTCTCCCCCATACGTCTTATACGGGTTTCGAGTCTGCCAGAGAACACGCAGAGCTGGTCGGTTATCATCACCAAGGAAAGACAGGCACGGGCCAATACCTGACCCTGTTGTCACCACAATCACCTTCTTGAATACCCGCATGGCGTAAGCAAACCCATAGAGCAGCACACCTCGCTTCCAGAGATGGGTGGGTGGGTTTTGGATCGTGTCGCTGGTCCAGTTCCCGGCCTTGGATACTATGCATGAGAAGCTAGGCTTCCCGTGCATAGCAGATGGAGCGGGGTCAGGGAATGTGGCGAAGGCATGCCAGTCACGCAGAGGGTTCTTCGCTAGCTGGGTGCCCTTGCCGAACGTGGTGGCGGCGTGATCAAAGTGCAGACGGATGGCGTGGCTGGAGAGAACTTCGGACTTTACTAAAACCTTCCGCAGTAGCAGCCATGGATGAATAATGGCGACGACGGTTATAATCAAGAACCAAAAGGCAGGTAGCTTGATCAGGAAGTAGCCTAGTGGTTCCTGTTGTGATTTGCTGATTTCTTTCGAAAATACCATAAGCAGTACAAAGAACAGAACCACGACAAGCCACCCCGAAAAACGGTGGGTGAGTTCGAAATAATCGTGCTTTTTCATGCGGAACGTGGGATGGGCTACCACGATGATCGCCATGAGCAGGACAAGGATGATGTAAGATAAGGCAACTGGTGTGGCCGAGATGCCTATAGTCACGGACGGCGTCCAATACTGATAAGACATCAATCCAACAAAGCCGAGGAACCAAACAAGTGATGCGACACCGCAGCTGCTATGCACGCCACCATAGTGATACACCTTAGCTGCCCAACGGCGCAAAGCAAGTGGAGCCGATCTTGGGATAGAGCAGACGACGACAAACATGCTGTTGACTACCAAAGGCTGACGAGCCAGGCCACAGACAAGAAGATTGGCTGCTGTGGCGTTCACTAAGGCAAGTAATCTGCGATTGGAAGTCATGACCGCCACGAATACAGCCACATTGGCCAAAAAAACGATTGTGAAAAGTCGACGATATAGGGTAAACAATGTGTACCGCAGTCCAGCGAGTGGCTTTTCTTTTGGCTCAGTAATTTGAGCTTCAATGTCGATTGGTTTCTCCGACTCCGATACACTGAAACTCATCGCCTTGCAAGTATACTTCTCGTTATGCTTGCCATCATTGAGAGTATCAGTATCAGTGAGAGTATCAGCACTCAGGCTGGGTGAGCCGGGGATCATCTTGGCCGCGGGTGGTGGTAAGGACATAGGGTTTTAGTGTTATACGAGGTAGAAAGACCTCTGGACAGAACAATGTTCAAAAGATGACCGAAATGAAACGAGTGTGAGGAGTTGGTAACCCGACTAAGGTTGTGGCTGAGGTCGAAGCTACACCGGCATAGAGGGGGCGACAGACGGGTTTTTATGAGAAACAACCAAGGGTGGCAACATTGAAAAGTTCAAAAGAATTGAAAGGGGCTCCAAATTAAAGAGGGCCAGTGGGAAAGGGTATGGATATCAAAATTCCCCTTCCTATGGGCTTTCCCTCGATTACATCCTAATCAAGTCAAATTCAGGAATTTTCACCTCGACCTTTTCCGATCTACTATCACGACGTCCTGTTTCGGAAGGGCATTTGGTATGGTCACATCTTGGCAGCCATTCATGTCACTTTCTTTTTTTTTGATTCGAGACTATTGCGGCTCAGTGACGGGCCAAATCAAGAGCTTGACAGTGTATGACTCTATCACAGGGCTAGCTTCAGGTCCACATTGACGCCAACAGGCTTGACTATTGGAGTAGATAATTCCTTCTCGCCATGATCACTCCACTACCCTTACATTCTGAACGATTGAGGACCCATAGAAGTGCACGGTGCTTTCATTGTGTCATTTTATTGGAAATTTAGAGGTCCTTTCGGAGGTACACAACTCCTCTGGGTCGGAATATTCGGAATGAGCTGAAGTATGCTGCTCAAGGTTAAGAATCGTTAGCCACAGCGATGTAACCCAATCACGAAATTGCGAGTCTTATGATCATGAACTATTGCCGAGGCCATATCACTTACTTCTTAACCCTCACTGCGCTCACTATACTAAGGTTGCAACGCAAGCGCTAGCCCTACAACACCTGCGAAGGAGTACGATGACTCACCAAACAATCGGGATACAAAAAGCGGCCCACTATTTCTTCTAACGTGGTGGGTGACATCTACCCCGTGCATAGACCTTCCCTGCTGGATATGAAAATTTCTTTTTGTTCTCGACGTGCAGGCGATTATTGCACGTAGCGTCCATTCTTCTTCTTCTGGTCGATTAACGAATGGGGATCTTCAGTACCGAGACCCTGGACATGGAGCATGCATTTCATCTGTCTTCCCAGTGTAACTATTAGTCTAACATTGGGTTTACTTCTGCATTTGTTCATCTGAATTCCAACCGACTTCCGAAATAGGCCTTACCCTATATACTCGAAGGGGCAGTGGATTCAGATAATTAGAAAGGGGCGAAAGGTTTCTATCGAATATCGACATGAAGTGGATATTACCCACTTGTGATAAAAGGGCAATATGATCACTAACTAGGGATCTTGTATAACTGACTAGTTTTGGGTCTCTATGAGGACTAGGAAATGATCGACAGACACTGATAGTTCTATATTCAAGATGAGAATCCTTTACTTTGATCTTCGAATCTGATATTCAACCGTCTCTGGAACTAACATCCTTGAGGCAAGGAGTCATGACGGACAAGACATTCCTCATATCTCCGATCTACTACCTAGGTACGGAGCAAAAATAGGCGGCTCCTTGGCAAATGGCAATACAAACCCCCTTCTCAATAACGGGAACTATGAATCTTGCACTTGCGCAGACCCAGGTGGAAAGTGGAGCCAATAGTCAGATCTCGGAAGGGGCTGGATGGGAATACCGTGGTACCATTGCATCGGTAGAGTAGGTATGCAACCTTTACAAAATTTGGGATTCAGTCCAGTTTCGTCAGAGTCTTCAAGTTCTAGATTGACTGTGGAATGTACCAAGGTAGCTGTCAAATTACATATTTCGGTTGCAGAACTGTCAGTGTCAGAAATTTTAAATTTTATAGGAGCCCTTCAAATATTGAATTTCCTTTGGTGACAGTATAGTTCACCCTGTCAAACAAGGAAAAAACAAGTATAGGGGGTTAACAAGCTATAACCGAGCGGGAATAGACATGAATAATCACACAATTTTAGCTCGTGGGATCGAGATGTGCTGCAACCGCCGACATCCCGAGGTCGGGTCGGCATAGATACCTAGCAAGGAGAAATCGGAGCCGCATGAATTGGGGCTATTTACCTGGAACGATGTTACTTAGATCCTGTGTAGATCTCAGCAAGGTATGTTCCGATTAATAGAACGATCCAAGGTACTGGGATTTTGGCTGAGCTAGATTACGATCATAATTTATTTTAATTATGCATGAAAGGGGGTTTGATCACTAGGTGGCTGTCTGTTCATATCATTCTATAGGGTAGCGATAAACAGGTGGATCTACATAGTCCGTGCATTTACTTCTACATTGCCTAGGAAAGAACAAAGGTACATCCGATCGAGATTCCCTTTTTTACTTTGTATTTTATTTTCTAGAGTGATATCGATTTATCAAATTTTCAAGCATGAAATCCTACACTAAGTGGGTCTCGTCGTTGTCGATCCAGACTTTTGTTTATTCCCTTTTTTAGTCCTTAGTCCGCATTATAGAGATGACATAATCAATGAAGTATTCCAAATCAATTCACACTTTGAATGGATCGAGAATAGTGAATTCAAATGATTATAAAACTCAGGATTTATATAACTACAGGGGAGCGGGTCCGTTTGATTTCACTTTCTTCCAACCCTTAATACTGTTATACTCCATCCTACTAGAATTGAATATCCTTCAAACTCCTTCATCGAGACTTAGCCATGGACCCTCTTCTTCACCAAGATGTCTACACCGATCTTCTCACTTTTACTTTCTGTGGCCCTAACCAATCCCAAAACCAACCACTGTTCATTGATGCGCAGGATCCCTCGCGTTCTTTTACAGCAGCACAATTCCGACAATTGGTCCGAAGTCTGATTGCTGGATTCAAAGCGCATAATGTCCAACAGGGAGATTCAGTACTTCTGCATCTAGGAAATAGTGTAAGTGGTTGTCACCCGGTCCAGTTTAAAAACAACACCGAGAGTGAAAAAAACTCCGAAATACTGATCCGACTGGTTCTCTGCTCCTATAGATCCTATATCCTGCTCTATTTTTCGGAATTATCGGGGCTGGAGGCGTGTACATGGGTTCCAATCCACGCAGCCAGCCCCAAGAGCTCGACCATATTATTGGTCTCGCTGAGCCTAAATTAATACTCACCACACGTGAAGCTCTGCCCATGGTCCTGGAAGTTGGTGCCGCCCGAGGCATCAACCCCTCCCAAATATGTCTTGTCGATGAGCAAGCCATGGATTATTGCGCTCAGTTATTCCTGTGGTACGAACTAGGCCATCCAGTCGGGGCTGCTTTCTCCCAGGTGGGTAGCAATGATGCGTACCGCCACAACTTCGCAAATTTGCTGGCGTATGGTGAAAGGGACTGGCTCATGTTCTCGGACCCTGTCCTCGCACAGTCCACGCCTGCTGCCATGTTTTCAACCAGTGGCACGGGTGGTCTACCCAAGGCAGCCATTTTGTCTCATCATGCTATCGTGTCGCACCATCGCTCTATCCAGTACGATGTGCCGTTCCCAGTCAGCCGTCTAATGACGTTGCCAATGTTCCATCTCTTTGGAGCTCTCTGGACTCATATCTTCCCTGTCCGCTATGGCCAACCACTCTTTGTCCTGCCTCGCTTTGATCTCCGCGTCTTCCTAGAGACTATACAAAGATACCAAATCTCCGAGACATACTTGGTTCCAGCTACCATCCATACTATCAACCGTTCACCTTTGCCAACTGCTCATTATCTGTCCTCTCTGCGCTATGTAGGTATTGCAGGTGCCCCTATCGACGACCAGTCCATACTTCACTTCCGTAGCCAGCTTCATTCTACGGCAGATGCCTGCCAGCTATGGGGCATGACTGAAGTGGGTGTCGTTTTCCAGACTCGTTATGGCCAGCGAAACAATCCCGATAGTATCGGTACTCGTCTTCCTGGATATGAGGTTCGCCTGGTAGACCATGAAGGCAGAATTGTACAGACGGATGGATGTGCAGGTGAACTATATGTTCAAGGCGCTGGATTGCTTATGGCATATAAAGGCCGCAACGATGCCAAAGATGCTATGGGGTGGTTCCGCACCGGCGATGTTGCGTTTGTAAAACAAGGCCAGTATTTCATCGTCGGGCGAACAAAGGAGCTGATCAAAGTACGAGGGTAAGTAATCATAACCACTCCTATTTCACCGGACTTTTGACTAATTAATTCCAGATGGCAAGTGGCCCCTGCCGAAGTCGAAGGCGTCCTCCTCCAGCACCCAGGTGTCAGGGATGTCGCCGTAACAGGGGTTGATCTGAAGGATGGTGGGGGTGAGGTTCCCCGTGCTTTCATAGTGCGGTCTCAAGACTTTTCGAGTCGACTGACAGCCGATGAAGCCTACACTTTTGTTCGTCAGCGTTTGGCAAGCTACAAGGCTTTAGACGGCGGCGTTATATTCGTTGAAGAGATTCCCCGTACAGCGAGCGGGAAGATCCAACGCTTCAAGCTGTCGCAGATGAATACCTACCGGGAGATGGTCACATCACTAGTTTCGGGGTTTGGGGGACCTCGAAATGGCGTTGTTGAAACACACTCCTTGCCAACGAGTGCTGATGTGCCACCAGCCATGGCTCCTGAGGGACTTCTCACAGTCTAATTTATCATGTGCACGGACACAGGCAAATACTTGCATTTAAGATCTTGTTTGGATGCTTAGCTAATCATGGAGTTCCAAGGCTGGATGGCGCGCTTCTACTTCCACTTACATTATACTCTGAGGATCATTTTTGTTATTATCATTGTTGCCGAGCGGGAACGGTGGGTTCTAATATTGGTGCATTTAAGAACTCTATAGATAAATCAAAAACACCTTGTCGAACTATTTTTTTACTGTATTTTTCCAAGGTCTTCACTTTCCTCTAAGCACTTCAATACGTACCTGTAGAATATTAACCCTAACTTTTATCTTTCACGGTTGGAACCTTAGAATGTTTATCTCGGGATACTCCAAGAACTCCGCGACCAAGACCCAAGGTCGACCCCTTGCAACCGGCAAACTTGGAATCTATACGGCAACATGCATTTATTGTCTATGTCTATCCAAAAGCACGCACGGCGGCCCGCGGAACCTGGAAGCTGTTCCGCGATCGGATCTGTCGCACTTCAATCCGGACGTTCGGATGCCGGAACACTACCCCCTTACTCCGATCTCATCGTGTAACTAGGGGCCCCGGGACGACAGTACTTTTGTTCTGGTCGACCCTGTCGGAAAATGATCCCGGGTCAAGGGCATATCAGATCCCCCGTTCCTGGTTCCTGGAATGCACTGGCCCGTGCATGGATAGTCTGGGTCCATGATGTCGATCATGCAAGATCGCGATGCAGCCTTGCAGGATCAGGATCGGGGATCCACATTATTTACACTGCAAGACGTTTCTGGAATCTGCATTCCTTTTTTTTAAGGTTTAGATAGTCTTGGGATGGTCTAGACTCCTGGTCGTCCTTTCGATTCTCTGTTCTGTCTGTTTGTTGATCTGCAAAGCTTCACTTCAGTTCTCATTGCTGTATTAAGGGGCTTCTCCATGCTCGTTTCGGCAACATGTTTAGACTCCCCGGGCCTTAGTTTTGCTAAATAGTTATATTTAAGGGGCTATTTCGTCCTCTACTGTAATATTGGAGACACAAACGCTAGGGCTGATTGAATATGGATCAAACATTCGAACTTATACAAATAAATGAACAGAATAAACTATGGATCTTGCTTGGGAAGTCTAGATGGACTTATCATTCCAAGGCTTCAATTACTCTCCCCTCCAGGGCGATTTCTTGCCTTGGAAAAGTTACTAGAAAATCGAATATGCGGACATGTATCCATCCACGGCAGTAATGTATCCTTGTTGAGACGAATGGATAAAATCACTCAGGTAGATTATGAAAATTGAACCCTTGAACCCAGTTCCTTCTTTTAAAAAGTCTTATTGAATACTCTTCTAACTCGAGTTTTGTGCTTCCCAGGTTATCATGAGCTTTAGATTACCTATGTAATGGTATCGACTTCAAAATGATTGAGAAGAGATTTAATAAATAAATTGCGTGTTTCAAGGTCGCTTTTGCATCTTTATTGAATACTCTATATCAAAAAACCTTGAAAAACTTGCAATTTTTGGATCAATGTGTTTGCACGGCTCAGAGTTATTGGGATCATTTAAGGGCTCACGAAGTATCATAGTAATGAAGCGAAAGCTGAAGACACAGCCTTTGAAATTAAAGGTATCTAAAATCCAAAATGATAGATACCTACCTATTTAGGCAGTTTCCACGCATGATGTAGTCCTATAGTCTCTATCAGTAGGACCTGTGAGCATTAAAAGCACCGACAGTCAGTGCGATCCAGTGCCCACAAAAACAAAAACCTTGGAATAAAGTGGGAAAGTGAAACAATATTTAGCAAGTCCCAGAACTAAGCCAAGCACCATCCTATCTCAATAACATCATTGACCAATAACTAGTAATTCTAATCATTTGATCTCAATTTCAATTACGAGTACAATTTTCCTTATTTAAGAGTAATGTTCCGAGGTCCGTCATCGTTCAAATTATGGACAACCTCCAGACTACCATTGAAATTCCCAGCTGGTGTATTGGGAAAAGGAAATCAAAGATCCATATTTACTATATTAGTATATGTATTTTATGGAAGATGGAAAATGGAAGTGATAAGTGATATAGCTTACTTTCTGCCCAAGCAGGGACTGACGCTGCTCACTCGTTCAGTTGCAGTTGAGGCTTCCTCTCACTTTACTTCCTCATACTCCATCATCCTGCACAATTCAACCCGCTGTGGCCCAGACATGGCTCACCAATTGCTAGACCACGGCTGGGCCACGGCTGCTTTATTACACACAACTATACAACAGTAGGACTACGAGAATGGGCATGCACTTTGAAGGTTTTATATAGTAAGAATCCCGGTTAGGTTAGACCAGTTTTAGCAATAATGACATAGTATTTTGGGTCGATGAAGGAGAAGATAAATTTACATGGAACGATGATCTCATGCTTTCTCCTTTACAGACCTAGTTACAGGAGGCCAAATATTACGTATTGGCGATTTGAACAGGCTATTCCTAGATGGGATATGTATGAACTATAATAAATGATGATGATGTACTACGTAGTTTTTTAGATATGGCAGGAGTGAGAATAGTAGTAGAGAAGTAAAAAAAGGGAAGGTACTAAACCGGAAAAGGGGAAAGCTGAGAGGGAAAAAGTCAAGGAACATTTTGATTTCTTTGCATTCATGAACCTTTGAGGTTTGAACAACCTGAGCGCAATACTCCGGTTAGAGTATTGTATTTATTATACTGCTCAAGATGAAAAACGACCAATGAAGAGCCAGCCCGTTTCCATCACCACCTCGGAAAAGGGAAAAGGGCCAATACTTCTGCCTCGCGTCAGGTTAGTTAACTTAAACAAGTAACTAATTTTTTTGTGCACAGCTCACAACAACTAAACAGAGCCCTGCAAAGATCATCAATATCTTCTACAAAGACCAAGTTCTTACCCACAAATCCTCCCAACCAGTTGAGCTAGCACATACGAAGATTTCAACTGTGTCTAAAGACGATTTGGTCCATAACTGTGAAGATCAAACTGTGATGAACCAGGGAGCCACAACATTCATGAATGAGCTTCGCCAGATAAAAGGCGAGATGAATGAGTTTCGCCAGATGAAAGCCGAGATGAATGAGTTTCGCCAGATAAAGGCCGAGATGAATGCCAAGATCTCCATCCTGGAACACATCGCACACCCAGGTTGACAGTGCGCCAACGCGCACTGACAGATAGTGCTCTGAATTTAGCTCTAATGAATTGATCTTTGAATTCATGGTGGCAGCGTTCTGTTACTGTCGGAACGGTGACGTTCTTATGGTGCATATGCAACTAGTATTCTCGATGGAATAGATCTAGGTGCGTCGATGCGAAGTTGTAAGAGGTGTGTTATTCAATCTTGTCCTCGCTGTAACTAGATAAAACTCGCTAGATTCACTTCATGTCGGACCAACAGCATCGTAACCATTCTCATTGGTCCTGTGCCCCACTTTGGTCTAGTGGTATCGAGAGTTACAAGGCATTCATCTCGGCCTTCATCCCATGAATTTAAAGACCAATTCATTAGAGCGAACTTCAGAGCATTATCTGTTAGTGCGCGTTGGCGCACTGTCAACCTGGGTGTGCGATGTGTTCCAGGATGGAGATCTTGGCATTCATCTCGGCCTTCATCTGGCGAAACTCATTCATCTCGCCTTTTATCTGGCGAAGCTCATTCATGAATGTTGTGGCTCCCTGGTTCATCACAGTTTGATCTTCACAGTTATGGACCAAATCGTCTTTAGACACAGTTGAAATCTTCGTCTGTGCTAGCTCAACTGGTTGGGAGGATTTGCGGGCAAGAACTTGGTCTTTGTAGAAGATATCGATGATCTTTGCAGGGCTCCGTTTAGTTGGTGTGAGCTGTGCGAGATAGCATCCGTCAACACGTCCCCGTTGTGCACGATATTTTGGTTAAGATTCCGGATCATTTCGTGGCGTTCAAGATCTCCATCCTGGAACATATCGAGTAAGTTCTATAAATCACCTACCATATTCTCGAATTCTTTTAACTAATCATTTTCAGATTCGACGCAATGCTCGAAATCTGTGGAATGTCTTAATTACTATGCCGCAAAACTTCTGAAGCACTCTACATCTTTTACAAGTTTACAGAATCATCTTCCAATTCAGCAATCATTGATTTTTTGTTTCTTTTTGTCGTAAGAGAGGACTCTTACGTCGCATATGCATTTCCTTATTGATAAGAATGTTTTTTGCTGAATTGGAAGATGATCCTCTAAACTTGTAAAAGATTTAAACTAAGTAAAGTAGAGCCCTACTTATCTGACTAATTAAATAGGTGAGATAATGGGCACCAAGATCCATATGGCGGGCATCATCCCGCTACAGAATCTCTACCAGATCTAGAGCTACCTTCTGATCGGCCTGTCTCTTCTGGCTCTAGTAGTAACGACGATGCTATTTAGAGCTTAAAACGACTGGAAGAATCTAAGTCTCGGCTCAATTCTGCTCTAGATCTCTCCTCTAGTTCAATCCCATCTCCTATTAAAAGGAGGTGGAAGACGTTTTCCGATCGCACTACCCGGACGGTCCACCACCACATTTTTCTACATGATCGCTATGGCCATTTAGAGAAGGCAAATAAGAAACAGACAACAAAGAAGAATACTACTAAAAAGCAGTTAGCTTACTTAGGTAGTTCAAGGAGTTTAGAGGAGATTCAGGTGGAGAAGAGTAGTGATGAAGAGAGATTTATATCTAGAATAGGATATAACTATATTATGTCGTAATTCCATGTGCGTGGGGAATTGATAGTTATAAAAAAAGTGGTGTTCTTATCAATTTCTAAGTATGTCTTTCAAAATCAGTTCAATATCAATGGATAGCCCGAAAGGAAAAATAGAATTACATAGCAATACATATTAAAAAGACCATCGACTTAAATTAGCCAGTATTCCTTCCAGGTCAGTCTCCTACTTGCTAGAGTGTCTAGTATGAGTAGCCTTACTCAGGCGCTCCTTCATCTTAGCCATAGCACCGTGCTTCTCATTTCCATTTTCATTTCCATCTCCACGACCCTGAGATTTCTCAGAGCCCTTGGATGAATCACTACCATTCGACGTAACTAGACATATGTTAGCAAACAACCCTAAAGATGGCACTAGGTAAAACAAGACGAAACACTCACCAGTATTACTCTTTGTCACGGGCCGAGGATCCCGAACAGGCTTCTTTTTAAACTCTTCAGCAGAATGAGGTGCAGGACCCTGAGGTCCCTTCAACGCCTCAGTGCTGACCTTGGAATTGGGAGGATGCACCGCCGGGGTGCTACTGCTTCCACTACCGGTAAATTCATTGGCCCCAGTATTGTGGGCACCGGTATTGCGCTGCTCTAGGCCTGATGGCTTCTCGCTTTCCAAGTTACGACTGGTATCCAACCCGTGAAGGATTGAACTAGGTGCTGTAATGCCAGGAGCAGGCGCAGGCGTAACAGTAGGTAGGGGAGCTGAGCTTGATCCGTTAATGCCATGGACAGCAGTAGGTGTGGGAGCTGGTGTCATTTCTGTTGGCTTATAAGTTTGGTCGGGGAGTGCGTTCAGTGGCTTTCCATCCAGCTTCTGCTCCTGGTGAGCTGTATTGGCAATTGATGCCGGAGCATTGAGTTGTTCTGCAGAAGTTCAATTGTGAGCTTCTTACACTTTGTACATTCTTTCCAAATATGCAACCTCGTAGCCTTGAATACTTCCAGGCTATGCATATATGGAGCTTTATCAAATTTGTATGGAATAGATTAAAAATATTTACCATCTCGATTGCCAGCATCATATGGATCACTAGGAATGCCTTTTCCTTGAACGCCAGAAATGGGCTCCTCGCTGAATGATTCAGTGGGCTTCCCCGTGTTTGTGCTATTTTCTCCCCAAATGGCGGTTGAAGCCGCCTGGATAACGTTGTTAACAGTTTCCATTTTGAAGTATGTAATCAAGTATGAACGAGTATATGGATTCTGTTTTGATTCAAAATTGGAATGGAATGGGTGGTGTTATAACAAGAGATAGCAAGAGAGAGATAGAGGTCAAAGCGAATATACGTCAGAAAGATGATCAATGAGCAGATCTTTTACCGGTATAGTAGAATCGATCCTAGGTCTAATCTGAACTACGTCAGTTTAATCAAATGTAGATCAGCGGATCATCGATTCTGGGCATGATGTCATGTCACGTGGTATCAAAAGAGAGTATTCTACAATCGTAATAAAAAGCAAAATAAAAAAATAAACTTCAAGGGCTTGGGAAGGAAATACATGATAAAATCATATTTTCCACACATCATAATCATGCTCCACTGGCAGGGATATGTCGAGGGAAGGCAGGGGTATAACCGATACTCTTAACAGTTCCAAGACCCTTGGTCTTACCTTCACGGAAGAGCACCTTGTCACCAATAGTAATGAACTCGGGTCGAACGATGAATTGAAAAGCAACGAGGGCACGATCGCCAGTTCTAAGGAATGGGCGATCAATGCCAATCACCCTACAAGTCTGGCTCACCGCTCCAACGTGCACCATAGCCTGGTACTTTTCGGTAATAGTTGTTGCGTGAGACAAAATCAATACTTTAAACTCATGTTAGCGACTACACTTGTTTTATTTTGCGGGAATACCCCGGTGAACTTGTGATACCTTCGGCGATAAACTCCCTGTAGACTTTGGGTGGATTCTCAACTTTGTTCAAAACTACCATGCCCTTGCGCACCTCTTTGCGCTGGACACGTCGCAACGCAAAAGAGACACTCTGGCCAGCAACACCAATGTTGACGGCGGTTCGCTTTCGCTCAATAGACTTGATCAGAGTTGGTTTAAAGTGGCCTAAAGAGTCGGGCCCAACAATAACCTGGTCACCCGTGTGAATTACACCAGATTTGACCACACCAGCCACGACAGTGCCTACATGAGGAACGGAGAAGATGTCGTTCACGAGGAATTCAAAGGGGCCATCTTGGTTGTACTGACCACGATGGGGAAGAACGTTGAGGAAAGTTCGTACTAGGTCCAAGTTTTCGCCAGTAACGTTGGATACTTGGAAAATGGGGCAAATTCTCTGACTGACAAATTGAGAAGCTGTAAGAATAGTCTCTTCCTTGTCTTTAACAAAGACAGGGATCTTGCGTGCGCCAGGCGACTTCAAAATCTTCTTCAACTGATCGATAGTCTCCTTGAGAACGTTGGGGGGACAGATGTCAATCTTAGTGATAATAACCATGACAGGCACGCTGAGGGATAGAGTGATTCCCAGATGCTCACGGCTCATTCCAATCATGCCATTGTTTGCGGCAACCATCAAGATGCAGTAGTTTGGGCTATGACCCATCATACCGAACACAGTGGTGTGCAAATAACGTTCGTGGCCTGCTAGATCGTAGAAGGTAATCACCTTAGCGGAGCGTTCACAGATATCTTCCCAGGGCAATTTTCGGCCTTGGTGATGACCAACGATATCGCCATGACTGTCAAATCCCATGATTTCCGAGCCGACCGAGCTAGTCCGACCACTCTCAACCTCGTGCGGGTGGCGGAATAGGTTGACTCGCGCAAGACCACGGCCATCATCGAGGGCACCTTTGACTAGCACACCCAACATGGTACTCTTGCCGGCATCCACATTGCCCACCACCGCAATGCGGAGCTCTGCCATCTCTTCCATGTTCTTCACAACCTGGCGGATAAGCACCGTGCCGCAGGAGCCATTAAGCTTTTTCTTTGCAGGCGACTCCTCAGGTCCACCAACGTTGTAGGTGATCAGTAAACGGCAGTGAGCGGGGATGGTCTCTGCAGCTTCGCGCAGATGGCTAAGCGCAATCTCCCACTCAGCAAGGTCAAATCCCATTGATTTGCCGCCATTGTCGAGTCCCAGATCAAATATCGCGTCACCGTGGCCTTCGTCGATGCGAAGTTGAATTATGTTAGCCAATATTTGCAGATTAGCTTCGGTCTTGTCGAGTAAGACCTTCTTGAGATCGACCGCTTGGGATTTCTCGGAGATGTTAAGTGCACCCAAGAGGTCATTGATTTCATCAAAATCTTCTCCTTTCTCTTGTGCACTGGCTGTAGAATGTTCGCTGTCGTTTGGTGCGGGGATGGTGGAGTAGTGGGTCTGCTGTTCAGCATAGTCGGCGAACTCGCTCAAGGCCTGAATTGAATGTAAGTCAAGAGCAATGTGGCTCATAGCACAAGTCGGGTAAATTATACCTCTTGACCCCTCCTCCGCTCATCAGCAGTGGAATTTACCTCATGGTGAGGCATGATAGCGAGTGGGGTAGGAAAGTTGGAGTATCAAATTGCGCGAACAGAGAAAGTTGTAATGTTACTGAAGGTGGATGGGGTTGGAAAGTGGAGTAGCGCCTGTCGGTTGACTTTTTGGCGTTCAAACGTGTATTCGAGGGATCATGGTTTATTGTGTGGTGGAGCAGCGAGAGGCGTTCAGAGATGTTTAAGAGGGAAAATGGAAAACGGCAACGGACGGGAAGCTGTTGAGTCACTTGGTTTTGAGTCATCACTATAGTCATGATCATCATATTAGGCTAGAAAAGGCTTCTAGAAATCAATCGAATATACTAAAGAACCCAATAAATACACAGCCCCGAGGCTCTACTGAATCACCAATGGCTACGGGGAAGTAGTGGGTCATAGTAAATCATATGGTCTCATATCTAAGGAGAGTAGACCAGTGGTATCATTTGCAACGCCTGCCATCAAGACATATGCCGGCCAAATCTCCATCAAATCATGCGGTGTGGCTTGGGGAGCCTAAGACAGGGCGGAAATCATAACAACGGAGTCACCTGTAAAGATAAATTAGCATGAATTAGGAAACAATAAAGAACCCACGGCTTCCTGAAAGTCTCACCTCGAACGAAGAGCATTTCTTCCTGTCGCTTGACTGTCTGTATAAATGCAAAATAGCCCTGGTCAGCAGAGTTTCCATCAACACCATAGGGCATTGCCTACCCGACGTGTTTCTTGTGAGTTCTCATCCATCTCTGCAAGGTAGATGGTCTCTTCGGCGTCGCCCAAAATCGCATTACAATGGCCATCGAAAGCCTATGAGAGTCATCATGGTCAGTCACAGTCTGGATATTCATTCATCGTGGTAAAATGTGACTCACGTGGAGAATGCCCTTAATTTCACGGTCACCGCGGAGCTTAACGAAAACAGGCTGTCCAATGCAAATGTGGACAAGCGCCAGGGGCACATGTTCACCAGCACCTTCATCATCGCTGTAACTATCAGGTTTGGTATCCATAGGTTCCGACATGTTGAAATCGATCTCAAAAATTGCTGAGAAGAACAGTGCGAAGGCGAAGAGCTTCTGCTTCTGCTTCTGCTTCTGCCACTTTCCAGATTGAGATTAGCGTATTTCTGCGGGTCTTTCTCAAGGCGGTATGATAAGCGGTACCAGGGCGGTATATATAATCTGGCAGAATAAATAATTCCAACGAAACGTCCGTGGACTGCTACATAACATAATAAACAACCTTCACTTTAAGGCCTTTACTGGGTCTTGGGAATTATGAAACTCATCTTAAAAACTTTCATTTACCAAGACATTTCCCACCTGGGCAGCGGCTTCCAATGTTTGATTGCCAAATGGCATACCTGCCTAATTGTAGATATCTAGACCACACTCAATAGGTACTTCAATATTGTCGAACATGGTCCACGCAAGCCATCTCGTCCAACGCTCGAACATGTTTTTTCCAGGGGTATTGAATCCAGTCTCCACTATTACTGAGTCCTCTAATATCATAAGATAAGTTCAGAATCTCTACCACAGACTAACTAGGCAGTATTCAGTCTGGAAGGTCAGCCATGATTATCTCGAAATTTGCTTCCAAGGTTCTTTTCATGCTACTGATATCGGGTAGTCTCAATAAATATTTAACTGAGTCCTAAAGTCAATTGAGATTTTCTAAGCGATAGCCTTGGAATATTCACTTATTGTAAATATCCAACATTGTGTTTGTTTACATGGATAACCACTCGAAGGTAGTACAAGTCATTTTGGTGAAACTCGTCTCCAAAATATCCAGCCCACACACGCCTTCTCAGACCTCCCTCACTACTTCAACTCTGATTACTTACCATCCAACCTTGAACTGTTTTCAGTTTCTCATTTTTAATTCTTCGCCAATGAGGTTTATTGTAGATGCCACTAAAAGATCCTCTTACTGTCTGGACTCGAGACCTGCAGTCTGCGGTCTTTACATCTACATGCAAAACCATGGCTTTAGATTCACCAAGCGCATGATTTCAATTTCAAGCCTTACATACAGGTTACCAACATGGGATGGGTCCTATCGTGGAAGAGGGCAAGTGAATATTCAACGGGGTTTTAGTAGGGATTTCAACTCAGCCAACACGCTTTTGGAAGCATCAACAGTCGAGTTGATCCGAGAAGAATGCCCGAAACAGCAAAATGGAGCTTTCCTTCCAATATGGAACTCATCCCGAGAGGAGGCAAGATATACCGAACACTTCTATCAAGTAATTGAAGCTGGCCAACCGAATCAATTAATGGCCACCATGACCGACCCAAGATCGGCAGTTCTAGTCCAGGAGCTGCCTGATACGATGTTCATCGAAGCGCTTTACCGGTTATCCCCATCTCACTTCATAGAGCCTTTCCGTGAACTCCACCATCCACTCCACTCGTGGGCCGTGATGCTCCAAGGACTAAAGCGACTAGAGGAGATCTTTGACGATTTTGTTCGCAATCTGTACACGATCACTCAATACAGAACGGCCGATGGGCACGCGCTACAGCTTGCAGAGTACACCCATCTTCTACGCTGTGCTGCAACGATGGGAAATGCTCCTTTTGCGGAAGAGCTCTGGTTGTGCATGGATAGGGACAGGGTGATTCCGGACGCGATATGCTACAGCCACTACATGGAAGCAATTACCTGGGATCACTGTTACACTGGAGAAGAGCAGTATCGCCTACGAATACTCCACAAACATTATAAGAAACGGAACTCCCCTAGTGCCAACATTGGCTGGCAAGGATATGGAACTGGTATTGTCAGTGTTCGGTCACGGGTACTCCGGATTATGGACCAGATGGCAGATGATGGGCATGTCTATGACGAGCGAGCATATATCCATTTGATGATTGCGTCGGCCCGAGTAGGCCATGGTCCGGGAATCAGGCAGGTCTTACAAACGGTGTGGAACATTGATGTCGATGCGCTCAAGGAAGAGCCAGATACTTCGAGACTACCTCCACCAACACCCTACGACCCATGGTCTTCTCTGTATCCAAGTGAGAATCTGCTCTTTGCTGTAGCACATGCACTGGGAACGAACAATGATATCCTTGCCGCTATAAAGACGATTGAATTCATCTCAACTTTCTACAACATTCCAATACCAACTAAAGTCTGGCATGAATTGCTCGAGCGGTCATATGTACTCTGCAGAACTCGAACCACAAAATCCAGATACGCAGATGATTCAAATAACATTGGCAAAGTCTCGATAGATCTGGTGCGCTCAGTATTTGACACGATGACCTCTAAGCCGTACAGTGTTACCCCAACGCTGCAAGCCTGGCGCTTCATGATCAACATCAGCATCGATGGTGGCAGTTTAGAAGATTGCAAGGCTGAGCTACGAGAAGCATACAGACTTCTCACCGCAACAAGAAAAAAGCAAGCAGATGCTCGAGCAGTAGTTGTGCGGTGTCTCAAACCAGCTCTTGATGCAAGCAAAGCGCAGATACGGAAAGGCGCGATACGACCTGACCCGTTCCTATTCCAGTCCCCCGTTGTTTTTGAAGCTATTCACGCATACGACATCATTAGATTACAAGTATACCAGCAGATGTATCTACTACAACGTATACTATGGGTCGTTATCCGAGTCCCGCACTGGAGAGATACCACAGATGAGAGCTGGTTCTACCAAGAACGGCCGAAGCTATTAGAAGAATGGCGCGATTTCCTCCCAGCAACCAAAAAGATATTCTACAGCGAAGATACTGGTGATATTACATTCCATGGACCAACGAGGTTCAGAAGCCGCGTGTGGTTCTCTGATGGAAACGTTCCCGTGAGACGAAACACTGAACACAAGATCCTATTTCATACCAAGGAAAAGCGGTATTGGCCTGAGGAGGGCAAGTGGAATGACCTATTCGCGCGCTATCCATATATTGACACCACGATCGCACCACTTAATAGGCTGGTTACCTTCCAATTGCCCCATTCCAAGGAGTTCGAGGAGGTTCTGAGAAACTTCCGCTCTACTTGGGTGGATTATCCTGAGTTTCATCCGCAGTCAACTGAAAGTAACCCTAGTGGAGGATTTTATGGCCGTTTGGCTGCTCTGGGAATGTTGAAGCCGAAGAATCGCGGGATCTATCTGTTGGATGATAGTTCTTGGATTTAGACGGAAGTATTCGACAGGCGAACTTTATAGCGGCGTATCTCTTCCTCTATTGTATAAATCCTTCAATAATTAGTGAGGGGGTATTACAAAGTCCCCCACGTTTATTTCGAAGAATATTTGTAATCTTGTTCATTAAGAGAGACGTAGAAAATAATTGTGTACAGGAGCCTCACTGGGCCCATCCATTCATAAACAGCTTTTGGGACAAGGACTGCTGTGAAGCAGCCAAGATTATAGCAATATATTGGCCATTATAGCAAAGGTTAGATTGACCCACTGGACGAAAACATCCTAGATCTTCTCCTGCTTCAAGTCGTTGACAGTCATATACCGCCCAAGCGTGATCCAGCCCCAGCGGAACCATACCATCTGACTTTTGTGGCATGAGACCATAGCCCCACGCGCAGTAAACCACTCACTAATTGAACTGACGAAAAGAAGACGCGCTGGCCCGGGGCCGCCTTTCCTGGCTCCACCCACTCGGGACCAGATATTAGCCACAACACCATGTAGCATCGACAAAGGCGCATCGAGGACGCCAAGGTATTTTCGGAAGATCGAAGTCGAGGTGAGAGTGTAAAGGGTCACGGGGCAGGCGAAACCGGGTTTCTCCTTCATCAACAGACGAAGGAAGTACAGTGCGCCGTGGTAAAGAGAGCGATGATTGGGGTGATTGCTGACACCTTGCTGGTCGAAGGTGATAAAAACATCAATTGTGGCAGTGGGCGCTTTCTTGGGGTCCTTCTTTGCGGTTCCATTGAGCGTAGCTGCGAGGTCCGGGGCGAAGGCTGAGGTTAGGAGGGAGGAGACGTCATTTTCTAGCCAGTTTGCTGTCATGCTATCTGGGAAGCGAGCTGGATCGTTTAGAATGAAAACGTCGGACTCGTCACGTATGCCAAGGTGTTTTGCGCTTTTCTGAAGCTCTTTTCTGCGGGTTTCGCCGAGACCTTCTGCGTCACCTATTGGTTCAGAGAGTTAGCTAGCTTACTACTACGGTCGATTGCGCAGTGAGAATTCGAGACTGGCTTTGATGGTATTGCATTTGCTCTAGAGAGTATGACTGCCACGTACCGGTGCTAAAACAGAGGATCTTCAGGTGGTTCCCCAGCTCTGGCTTTGTGAGCGCCAGAACAGTCGGCGCAAAGAACATCGCCTCATCATCTGGATGGGCGATCAACAAACAGATGCGCTTGTTTTGAAGTCTTGGGAAATTACGCGTGAAAGGCGAGGAGGAGGTCGAGGAGAATGTCCAGAAGAGTAAGACCGCCGCAATGGCTGCGCCAACCGAGGTCCAATTGCCCGAGATCATAATGATATTTGATAGCTCGGGCAGTCTAGTAACTGCAATTGAAGTAAAATTTCAATTCAAATGTTTTCCTGTCCTCCCGGTTGCCTGTTTTTCAAGGGCTTTGTATCTGCTGTTTAGCAAGATATTAGTTGTTTGTAGTCCGTTAGAGAATAGGATAATGTGGGATGTGGTCGGATAAAAGTGGATCACAGCACGGGGAAAAGACCATAGTGGGGCTGTCCTGCCCTTCCATTAGACTGTTAGTGTATGTGCGATTGGACGGAAAGCCTAGGTAAATATTGGGTTTTAAGTCAGCCATAATTAAAAGAACACGGTGGCAGGACACTGCAATTACAGGTGGTTACTTCTATGGTCACATGTTTACTTCATGGGCCAAGGTACAATAGTCAGATGACCTACTTCAAGTTGACTTCGCGGATCAATTAAACTCCGTCTCCACTGAGCCGGTGCCAAGACTTACTAGAAGTGCAAGGACCGGTGCCCATCTACGGAAAATCGACCACACCTTGCCGTCCAAGTACACGCGACGGCTCTACGGTTCCCTACCTAGAAAACGAGCTTACCTACTAACACAACTACGAACCGGACACTGCTGGTTGTCAACATACGCCAAAGCGTTTCGATTCCGAGACGATGATCTATGTGTCTGTGGCGAACGGGAAAGTGTTTATCACGTGTTGTTAGATTGCCCAAGATTGGGAAGATTAAGAAGGGAACTCCGAACGAAAGTGGGTAATGCGCTCAACAGCATATCAACTCTGTTAGGGGGACCAGGAGAAGAAGGAAGGGGTAAGATTGACAGTGCTTCACGGACCAAGACAGCCTCCACTGTCTTGGACTTTGCTGAAGCATCACAACGGTTTCAAAGCCGCGCGCCATGAGGGCAGCATTAATACAACTATGATACAGAGGCCATGGCAGGCCTCGGTGAGGCTCTAAGTTCGCTTAGGAAGTGGTACACGATACATGTACATAAAGACATATATAGTAGTGGTAGCCTGCATATCGTTCGCGAGGGGTCAGGGTAAATGAAATCATCCATCCATCCATCCAATTGTAGTCAGAAGGCTGTGGTTCTCGGCCTGCTGCGGACCTAAGTCTAAACTGACGTACGCCCATAGCTTTGCACCTAAAAGGGTTTTCAGTCCGCCAACTTGGGTCCCCATCCTGAAATCACAGCCATTCCAACACAGTTCCTCGACATTGGATATGCGCTGCCTAACTAGTGGCTTGCCTGGACACTGGTTCTTAGATTGTACTCACTGTTCTCTAGCTCGTAATCCCGCTGCTAAAGATATGCTAGGCGATGTCACAGGTTGCTATATTCTCACGTAGCATGCATGAAATCCTCGAGAAACTTGGTCAATTATCTTTAGCGACTAGACCATGATTTTTCGAAGCAACGACATATCTATCTTTCGAAATCTTCTTTCCTGAAATAGACCATACTTTTCGGCAAAAACTATGATTTTTTGTAGATCCTCAGATTCCCTGTTTCCCACGATTGACCATGGTTTTTCGAAACTGCTATGATCCTACGATCTTATCGATCCTACGACCACCTGTTTCCCAAGATCCTCTATTTCCCACGATTGACCATGGTATGAGTTCCAACTTCAATCCAACACGCATCTTGACCACATTTTTTGACTATGTAAACCGCATAGTAGACGAATAAGTCATAAGTGTCCCCCGTGTCAACCCACAGTTATAACTTAATTGTTCTTCATGTCGATCCCCCTCTCATCTATATTCGACTTTGCTACTTTTCGCGTCGTTACAACCCGTCAGATGCTAGACAATGGATAAAATAGTACCAGTGATCTTAGAAAATAACTGCAATAATTATTGAGGAGCGAGCGACAGACTCTTTGCATTATAACACTAGGCGCCTTACAGCTTTATCATACTTCATTCTTGCCCCTCACGTTATCTGTGGGGGAAGGCACCGGGACCGGCGCCCGAATGCCGTCTGCTTCAACGATTCGGACTATCATTGGAGTAAATGATTCTCCGATTGTTAGGAGAGAGTGGCTGTAACCCGGAACGATCACGAATCAACGTTAGATGGTGCTGAAGTTGAATGCCGGTCCGCCCGCTCTTGGCCTCGATCCACCGATGCAGTGCAGTAGAGAGGTGTATACTTCTAATCTTGATACACCAGATGATGTTCAAGTTTATTATAAATGGATCAGGTCCTCGATATTTCATCACTAAATCTCTTCAAAGAGAAAACCCACGCCTTAAAATGGCATCCAAATTCGATGACCTCCGTCAAGCTCTGCCCTGTACAGAGATATACGTCCCTGGTGAATCTGGTTATGAGGACAGTTTGAAGCGATGGAGCGCATCATGCGTCAAACCGGCTGCCATTGTCGTTAGACCTACCACTGCGGCAGAAGTGAGCGTGGCTCTTCGTTACGCGACAAAGCACAGCGTACTTCCACTTGCCATTTGTGGCGGTGGACATTCCACAAGCGGAGATTCGGCTTCTGATGGCGGCATGGTTATTGATCTATTTCAAATGCGCTCTCACTCTGTTGATATAGCTAAACAAACGATCTCTTTTGGTGGTGGATGTACCTGGGAGGATGTCAATGGGGCTTTGTGGGAACATGGTCTCGGCACTGTCAGTGGAGTCGTTGGCGATACAGGTGTTGGTGGGCTCATCTTGGGCGGTGGCTACGGGTATCTGACTGGCCGCCGGGGCCTAGCGCTAGATTGTCTCTTGGCTTGCGAGGTGGTACTTGCTAATGGAGATGTAGTCACCGCCAGCAAGGATGAGAATGCCGATTTATTCTGGGCATTGCGCGGTGCAGGGCCCAACTTTGGTATTGTTACAAGCTTTACTTCTCAAGCTTACCCTCAGGGCGATTGCTGGGCTGGTTTCCTCGCCTATCCACCCGAGAAACTAACTGAACTGATCGAGTTTGGCAATCTATTTAGTGAGTTTTCACCTTAGACTCAAAATGAGAGACGGCGACTGACCCCAAGTTTTGATAGTGAAAACCACCGATGGAAATTCCATGCTCTCAATCATTGTCGGCAGCTTCATCCCACCTGATCGGGGCTCTGGTCTCCTCGCCGTGGTGTTTTACAACGGGACCAAAGAAGAAGGGCAAGAGTTTTTCAAGCCTCTATACGACCTCGAACCACTAGGAGACACTACCGCCACTCTACCTTACACAGAGGTCAATCTCATGTTCAACAAACACCCTCGAACTCCGAAGGACCGACATCTCTTCGGTGGCGCAAACTTCACCCTGCCACTAGACGTCACCCACGGACTGGAAATCGCCGAACACTTTTGGAGGACCACTAGGTTACCAGAAAACGAGGCTTTGAAAGGCAGCACCATGACATTCGAGTATCACCCTACTAAACAGATTAGCCAGGTTGCCGTTGAAGACACTGCATTCGGCAATCGAGGCCAGTTCTCATCTATCTGCATTACGATGAACTGGACAGATGAAACCAGGGATGTGGATGCACGCTCACTCTCAAGGTTCTTTTCCCAGTATATTTCTTCTAAGACTGGTTTCAAGGGTGATAAGTATAGTGATGGTACGAGCAGCTACGTGAATTATTTTAGTAAGCGTCCCCTGTCTATGCTAAGTACATATCATTCCTGGAAGACTTTGGATAGATTCTAACTTATTGTAAAGGCAGCAAAATCAAGGCCGAGAAGGTGTTTGGCCCGAACACCGCACGTTTGAGGGAGTTGAAGCAAAAATATGACCCTACGTGCGTATTTAGGAAGGTTTTGGACCTGTCACCTGGTGTTAATGACCATTGTGGTACATAAACATTTCCAAGATCTTATTACGAAGCAACTCCACGACCAGCTCCAAGCCAGAGGAATCTCTGCACCAAAGGGCCATGTGAAGAAAGACAAGCTGTTCCGTTTGCTGGAAGACGCCGACAAATCGCAGTGATGGAACCCAGTCCGGTCTGAAAAAAAATCCTATGTACTGGCCACAATAGTTTTTGCCAGAAGGACTTGCCAATCGTTCTCACAAGACTGTGTCAATGCAACTACTCTTTTTCGAGCATCTGTATAATTTGCGACTTCATGTCCGTAACTGTATAGCTTGCGGCAAATAGTTGAGATCACTAAGTGTGTCTAAAGTGTAGGGAGGAGCCAGGAAAAGAGCCTATTACTGATATCCCGCCTCTTTCTTCGAACGGATCTTGTTCTTCGCTAGAATACAGTTTGCTTTATCTTCCTCTTCAAGAATCAGTAAAGTCAGCTTCACGGCTAAATTTTGTTAGGGTTTACTGAAAATGATACAAGAAGAAAGATTGAACAGTATGGTGTGGTATTTGCAAGACTGATTCTTGGAAGAACTACCAGATTTGAAATGGACATAGCAAAGTTGAATACACATAATGATTGGGAGAATCTTGAAGACGTGTTATGCAAAATTATATTAAAACAGACCATGAGTTTGATGCCTGCTGTAACAAACCATCTATATCAAGTCCTGAATCCATCGCTTCCGTCGCTATTTCCCCGTCCTTCGCTTTAAGCTGCTGTCGGATCCTGCGCCTTAATTCTATGTTTCCTAATATCCTGCCACCCCATCCCCCAAGCACAACAAAATGCCGCCGCAGCAGATGCACAAACCAAATAAAACACGTGATCGACACTCTTGCTATACGCCTTCAAAACACCGTCCAACTTATCTGCGGGAACCACACTCCGGAAGCCCGTCGCACCAGCAGCGATAATAACGCTTGGATCTACTCCAGGTGCGTATTTGGAGATTGCAACCGGGAGACTTTGGCTGAAATCTGTTTCGGCGAACGTCAGGAAGGTTGCTCCTCCAAAGTTCAAGGAAAATACGAGGACTGCCATGGCGACAGAGATTTGGGCGTGCGGCATTAGATTTTGAACGGCAACGAAGGGCTATTCATTTGTTAGCAAAATTTTCGTTGTAGGGCAAAGAAAAGAAGAATGTTACCATTGCAGCAGCACTTCCCAGACCCGCACCAGCCAAGATCTGGAATCCAACCCGGTTTGCAGTCTTGTATGTGGGTGTGAGCATCGTGAGAAGTCCATACCCAATACTTGCCAATGCAGTTCCCCCAACCACCCATGGGAGATAAAAGCCGAATCTCTGGACTAATGGGAGTTTCAGCAATCAACCTCAATCCATGATAGAGAAAATATACTCACCCATGATTCCTGATAACATAGCCATGGTGATCTGCAAGAGGATATTGGGTAAATAATAAACACCACTCATAATTGGCGACGATCCCTGAACAGCCTGAAAATATATCGGCAGATAGTACGCTCCACAGGTTAATACACCCGTGATGAAAAACATGGTCAGACAGCTCGACCAAATAATCCGCTTCCTTAGCATCGAGAGCGGAATCATAGCATTATCGCCGCGGTAGTACTCCCATCCAAGGAAAATGAGGAATGTTACTCCCGCACCAACAAGAAGGCCAATCACCGTGGCGCTGTTCCATGCGTATTGATTTCCACCGTACTGGAGAGCAAGGAAGAACATTATTGCAGCGGGGGCAAAGATGAGGAAACCGAGAATATCGAGCGTTGTCACAATAGTGCGCAGGAGGGTTCGGAAATCAGGCTTTACGATCCGGTCTGGGATGTCGAGAGTAGCGAGGAGGGCAAGAACAACGCCGCCGATGGGGAGGTTGATGTAGAAACACCTAGTTTGATATCTGTTAGCCATTAGAATGATTTAGCTTTGGAGAGGATAGGGCTAACCATCGCCATGTCACTTTTTCAGTAAACGCTCCTCCAATCAGGGGGCCCAGAGCTTGACCCAGCTGCCCAACTGGATATTATCAGAAACTATTGATAGAATAATGTGATAGTTTTATTACTTGAAATAATCATTCCCATCGCTGCTGGACGTTTGTGCTTCGGTAAACAGGCAGAGATCATGGTTAAACCACCGTTCAGCAAACCCGAACCACCCAGACCGGCAATGGCTCGAGCTACAATCAACATCTTAGAAGATCTGGCAATAGCACAAAGCAGCGATCCGAGTTCAAATACAAAGAAGAAGGCAAAGAATGTCCACTGGCTTGGATTAGATATAGTTCATTATATGGAAGAAAACCACTCACCTTGATGCGCAAGTAGGTGTATAGCTTGCCGGTTAAAGGTTGGAAAGCAGCACTATCCATTATCTTAGCTTGTTGTTTCAGTATTCAATATGGTCGCACTAACCTCGCTAGTTGATATGCACTTCCATACCAACCCACATCAAGGAGAGAGTGGAACTCATCCGTGATATACGGAACAGCCTGTGAAAGGGTTAATATCTCATCAACTGATATTGGGAATCAAATGCATACTGTCGCAATAATAGACTGATCAAGCATCATAACAAATTGCACGAGAGTTCCCGAAATCAAAATGGCCCATAAACTGAATCCAGTGATGTATTCGCCATCTTCCAGATCATCATCCTGATGCACTTCATCGCTAGGAGGTTTCTCGGGCTCTGTCTCCACCATTGTAGCTGGAATTGTATCAGGGAGAGGAATTGTGCTCTTCTCTGTGGCTATAATAAGTACTGCTCACTTCTTCGCTCTGATATGTGGAGCTGCATATGCAATTTAAAATGGTTCACGGCACATATACATCAGCCAGTTTGCCCCTTTGTCTTAAGGATCGGGATCCAGCTCACCGAACACCGAATTCCAGGGAATCGGACTCCAACTGCAGTATGTCATTACATCCCGATCCGGAGTTACTATTGAGACTGCATTTATGTTTAATAATGCCAAAACCATTGCGCAGATCCTTTCTTAATAGACCCTGGGGGTCTATTAAGATCACTCACACAGCGAATTTGCACCTTTAATACTCCAAGGAAGAGGTGGATAAATGTGATATCCTATAAATCTAAACTCCGATTCAGATTCTAGCACTTCACGCCTATACTTGAGTCAAAGAAAATCATTTCCCTGCAAAAATACATCAAAACTATCCCTCCACCACGAATCTTCAAGAAACAGCGCTTGAAACTGCGTGTCACTATTCACATCCGGTTGAAAGCTAGTATTATCACCCTGCACGCTTCCGACACTACCTTCTGCAAGCTTTGCTGCACACCAACCTCTCAACGATGTGAATATCCCCGTTGATTTGTCGAGCGCACCCCCAGTAGACTCCTCGCTCTCCGCAGCCTTTGCGCGCTGGATATTGCTGAGCAGTTGGTCAATTACTTCCAAGACGTCAACCGTCGATCGTGCAAGACTCGTATCCCAACTGGGATCGTTCAGAGTTGACAACTTAGACAAGACAATGAGGTAACGGGCAAGTTGTGTAAAGAATGGAAATGAAAGACCGAAGTATTCGACGAGAGGGATATTAAAGAAGTTTTCAAAGGCGAGCTTGGCTGTGTTGAGAAATTCGTAGAGACAGTCGGTTCGTTGAAAGCCAAAATCGCAGCTATCCTTCTTGGACAGTGCCAAGCCAACCATACTTAATTCTGCGTAATAGACTGAAGCCAGCAGTGGTACTGTTTGATATTTAGCACTTTGCTTTTGAAGGTACGGTTTATTATAAACTCACCTTCTTGCTGCAAATGTGGTGGGATTTTTGTCTTAATATCATTGACCTTCGTTTGAAAAACTGGTAGGTAGAATGATGGTGGACTTGTCAATGTAAGTTTTGCGCTCTCTACCTCTCCTGCAACACGCTGCAGTCTGACTTGATGTGCAAACATCTCGTCATAGGGGGACTCTGTGCTTCGACTCAAGACGTCTAGACATTCTGTCATATACGGCGTCCAACGCATTTCGTCGATCTGCGCAAAGTACGATGAAACACTAAGAACGATTAGATACGCACGTTTATTCAAGGACGAGAAACAAACATTGAACTCATTACGAAACACCCCAGGACAGCACGTCTCTCCTCGAGAGATCTAGCCGAAGCATTCGAGACCAAGCAAGTTCCCCTGACTGGAAGCATATTTGGGTCATCTGGTAGTGGTTTGTTCAGACGGAGGTCGAATACCACCGACATAGCCAGCTGCGTAAAACGTGACAATCTCGCCGCAGTGCCGTGAAGCAGATGGTCATGGCCCCAAGCGAGAAATGTTAATAGCCCGAGGAGTAGGTCGATATTGATAGCATTCAAATTATTGTCTAGAAAGATGCGATCTGTTAAGGTCTGCTTAATTTGTTCTCCTAGTTCAATCTTTGTTTGCGTTGATGGGGCGGCTGCAGCCATGATACAGAGGAACAAGAACGGTCGTTCTCGGCGTAGAAATTCCGTGTCGGGAATATGCAAAAAGGCGAAATATTTGAGCATGTAGGTGCGAAATTTGACCAAACATGCTTCCGGCGACAAATTCAAGGTTAGGGCTGAGGTCGATGAGGCTCCACTTGTAGTGGATAGAGGGGAGATCGCGATCGAAGTGGAGGCAGGCGGGGTAATATGGGCGTTCAACGCCACTTGCCCTCCACCCAGTAGGGACACAAGACCATCGAGTTTCCCTTCCAGACGAGCTATGCGAAAATTGGGATTGTTCTTTTCGGCGTTGAGAGTACGAGTCGAGTCGCCGGGTAGGCAAGGTTTCTTCAGACGATAACACCTCTCACAGCCCTGGTTACCAGGTCTCGTGACACATTTACATTTAGATTGGGAGCAGTTTGCACAAGCCTATTGTTCAGTCAGAAAATCTATCTGAAAGCTTCCGAGATGTGCGCAAGGAGGTACATGCCCTTCCGTACCGTTGAGTGCGATCGGGCGGCATCGTATGTTAGACCTTGATATCCACTAGCGTATTGATATCCATTGGTTTCTTTGCTGCACAGTATGTGACGGCATCCGGGTGCGGAAGCCGATGGGAAAGGGGGAGTCGCAGTTGTCTTGTAACAGAATAGACCTCGTGACTTGGTTTCGGCATTCGGAATCCGAATGCCGACAATTGCATTTGTTTGTCCGTAGCCAGTCAGAACGCAATGTAAGGACAATTGTACTGGAGATCTTGATATACAATATAATATTATACAATACTTTCGATTAAAGGGACGAATGGTCAAATAATTGGATTGACTTCAACATCCATATACAACATGGCAGGCATCGGGTTGACTATTTATGAGATAATCTCATTAGTACCATTCTGGTTCATTGCAGTGTGGGCAACAGCACTGACTCTCACATTCGCCCTCTTTCGAGCCTACAAAGATCCTCTCTCCAAGATCCCAGGACCAATTTTCTCGCGATGGACCGGCATGGTCGAAACCTCATACTATGTCCGCGGGCATCGTCACGACTATGTCCATAGTCTTCATCAAAAATACGGTTTGACCTTCTCACGCAATTAAAAATTTCATAATAAAACTGACTAAATCTCCGATAGGGCCCATTGTTCGCTACGCTCCTGGTCACGTCGATGTCTCCGACATTGACGCCGTACGAATCATCCACAAAGTCAATAGAGGATACCTAAAGTCGGACTGGTACCACTCATTGGCTCCTCCAGGAGTAGAAACACTCATGAATCTCACCGACCCCACTGTCCACACCCGTTGGCGTCGTTTGTTGGGCGGTCCCTTCCAAGACAACTATCTTCAGAAGCTCGAGCCTGTGGTGGCAGAGAAGATGGCCAAGGCCCTCTCCAAGATGGAAGAGGAGCTGGAACAGCGAGGCTGCATCGATGTCTTAAAGTGGTGGATCTATATGGCCCTCGACATCATCACTGAACTCAGTTACGGTGCCAGTGTCAATATCTTGGAGGACGAGGAAGAGAACCGGTATATCATGGACTATCTGGAGGGTCTCGGTCCTATCCACGCAGTTCGAACCACGATGCCCTCTGTTCTCACGTTCGCCAACTGGCTCCAGCTCCCAGTATTTAATAAGCTCCTCAACGCCGGACCCCGTGCAGCGGTATGGGCTACTGAGACGATAAAGGCATATAAAAAGCTACTCACTGAAGAGAACCCCAAGCCGACTCTATTCACTCCTCTTTTCGACAAAGGTGACAAGGGCTTCACGGATATACAGATTACTCATCTTGCAGGATCGAATATCACAGCGGGTAGCCATACCACGGCCACTGTCATGACCTTTACAATCTGGGCTATCTGCAAACATCCCGAAGTCCGCGATAAGCTTGTAGCTGAGGTTTCACAATTACCGGAGGGCTTTAAGCACAACAATGTGCGCAATTTGCCGTATCTCAACTGTGTCATTCAGGAATCAGTCCGTCTCTATGCTGCCGTCCCCTCTGTCTTACCTCGAGCTGTTCCAAAGGGAGGTGTTGAACTCAACGGTTACTTCATTCCTGAAGGGACGACGATTTCCACCCAATGTTACAGTCTTCATAGAAGAGAGGATTATTTCCCAAACGCTCTCCAGTTTAGTTCTCCTGTTGTCAATCGAAGTCTACAATTTGCTGACTTTTTATATAGCTTTGATCCCGAGCGCTGGGTAAACCCAACCAAGGAGATGGAAGAGGCATACATGGGCTTTGGTGCTGGTACACGATGTGAGTTATTTTCCCTTCCATTCGAGTCGGCATGGCAGAACTAATAAGCTTTTAGCCTGCGTCGGGACTAACCTTGCCCACACGGAACTGCGGCTCGGGGCGACCCATTTCTTCCGGAAGTTCCCCAAAGCCACGGTTTCGACGAAAGAGGGAATGAACGATGATGACATGAGACAGAGGGCTTGGGTTTTTATGTCTCCGGTCGGCCATAGGTGCTTGATTGATGCTTGATGTTTTTGAGAGTTGATCAACTGTCGATATGACCTAGAGGTTCAGGTTATGGAATTTATCGGCTATGGTCACAATCTCAGACCGTAGACCATGACCAGAGGAACGTAAGGCACGCGTAGATGTGAGACCTCGACAAAGCTGCATTCTTTCTGCCGGCATTGGGCAGACAGCTTTGGCGGACCGCCAACGGGTCAGGACTAGCACCTATATCAGGTGGATCATAGAGCAGAGCCTCACTCTCTCTATCTTCCCTTCTCCATCTTCGAATCTTATCGATTTCCACCTTCATCGTTCTCATCTACGTAGGGTCACTAGCTAGTAGTAATTACACTATTGAAGTCTTTTTTGTAAAATGGATGAAATTTCACCTGTTAGGTAGAGGATGCATAAGAGTATAGCGGGTTTTTCTCTCTACAGTGGTATGAGGTCTGTGTTATTTATTGCTGTATTGGAAGTCTATGAACCTCAGATAAACCTGCTGAGTCTAAACTGCTAGTGGTAATTCCTACCACAAACGAGTTAATTTTTTTGAAAAGTTCATTATTAAGATTGAAAAGAGTTCTCATGGAATATACTCTTATTCCACTCCGGACTTCCGGTAGTGTATGATAACAGCGACACTATAAGGCCAAAATATATTCTGAAGTGACCAGCTGACACTGCAGAATGGAAGTTTTGGAATCAGGTCTTACTGCCTCAAATCTTTGCTGCAAACAACTCCCTTGCCTCTTTGACCATTGCATCAATATCATAGTCCCAAATTTTGCGACATCGCGACTCGGCCTCTGCAAGACCCTTAATGGCATCATTATTTATCTCTGGTACCTGCCACTCATACATCTCACCAATAAACCGACTACTCTGAACAAGCCATTGGGTACGTTCGTGGCGTACATCGTTATAGGTGGAGAGGACAGCTTGTAAAACCCTTTTCCTCTGGGCACCATCAGATGAGTTTTGCAGTACTGCTACGGCATCTTCTAATATGACTGCCAAGGCGAGGGCATCTTCAATAGCACACCCGGCACCCGCACCATGATGGGGGGCTGAGGCATGTGCCGCATCGCCGACAAGACCTATCAAACCTCCTTCCGAGACATATGAAGGTACTGGGTTATCGAATAGGTCGAAGATACCCCACTTATCCAGCTTGTCATCCAACATCTCCATGATGGAGGTGACGACAGGACCAAAGCCAGTAAAGTAACGAATCGCTTCCTCTTTGATGGCTGGTAGAGTAAGTCGCTCCTTGCTAGGCCAATCTCCCGGATCAGTAACAAAGGCCACAACATTGAGGATCGTGCCCATAGCAACTGGAAACGTGAGCACATGGCCATTGTGGCCCAGGTGCATATATCGAGTGGATGATTTGTCCTGGCCTAGAGCTTCCCTTGCCTTTTGCATAGGGATGAGCCCACGAAAGGCAAACTTGTGACTGTAGGAGGGCGGGGAGGCGGGATTGTCCACTCCGAGAATGAGTTGGCGAATCTTTGAGCGCAGGCCATCGCAGCCCAGCACAATATCAGCTTCCGCTACCGTGCCGTCAGCAAAATGTAGAACGGTTACCCCGCCCTCATTATCAGAGTAGCCAGCTTCCGTCACGGAGATGACTTCCTTTTGGAACTCGATACAGTTCTCAGGGATCATTTCGGCGAGTTCTGCAAGGAAGTCCGACCGTCGACAACCCTCAAATCCTCGATTGCCCAAATAAATTTTGAAAAGAAGATCCTCTCCATCGCCGATCTGTGAGTTGTAGAATCCATCGACATATTGGAACCAGTCCTCCGTGTTTGGGGTGGCGAGTTTACGAAAGACAGCGTGGATGCGCGGGTCCAGGCTTAACATGGCTCGCTCAGCATTTGGAGACATGCCGATTCCGGCACCGATCTCGTGAAAACATCCGGCTCGTTCATAGAGCTTGACAGGAATTCCTCGGGAGAGGAGGCCAAGGGCAACTGTCACGCCGGCAATTCCGCCGCCGACGATAGCGACGTTGAAGGGGGCAGTTGTAAATGAGCCCATCGGATTTATTTTTTTTCTCGCGAATACTGGAAGACAAAATTCACAAGAAAATCTCGAATCAAATAGGACGAAAAAGAAATGACGCTGGCTTACAACAACCGGAGTATCACGGCCGGAGTTTCTATTCCCAACATCATCACTCGCTGCTGCAGTCATATTCCAATGCATTTCATGACCTTCCACTGATAAAGCTTTCAAATTTACTTTCAAAACTGATCAGGCAAATTGTTCCCTCTAGCATTATACCAACAAGATGTCGCTTTACCAAGACGTGATTGGTCAACTTCCCATTCTCAAGACATACAACCATGGCACTCTTGGCTTCAAGATAGACGGCGACACACCACAGAATAGCATCGCTGAATCATTACAAAGGGCCGCCGACAAACTTACAGCCAGCTTCCCATGGCTAGCTGGCGCAGTTATCAACGAAGATAGTGGACCAGGCAATTCCGGACTCTTCAAGCCTCTTCCATGGCCTGCAACAGCAACCTCCCCGAACAGCATAGTGCGCATCAAAGACTACAGCGATAGCCTTCCACCATTTGCTAAATTTGTTGAGGCCAATGCACCATGCTCTATGATCGATGGCAATCTGATCGCCCCCTACCCTGGATTCCCAGCCAGTTATCAGGACTCGCCTGAGAACCCTGCACCGATCATCGCCATACAGGCCAACTTCATTCAGGGCGGACTGCTACTCAACTTCTCCGCCCAACACAATATCATTGATGCCAGCGGCATGATGCAGGTTATCCAGTTGTTTGCGACAGCTATGCGAGGCGAAGAATTCCCTCCCTCGGCCGTAGAGGAGGGTAACCGAGATCGAGCAAAGGTGATTCCCCTGATTGCCCCTGGTGACCCAATCAGAGACCACAGCTATCTCAAGCTCCCAGAGGGCTTCACTCGACCCGTACCTCCCTCTGGAGCTATGATACCAAAATGGGCCTATTTTCTCCTGGATGACCTGGCTGTTCCCGGAATTAAGGCCCTCGCCTCCAATCCTGAGGGGTATGACCCCTTGGTCCCTTACATCACCAGCAACGACGCGTTAAGCGCTTTCTACTGGAAGATTCTCGCGGGCGTGCGCGTCCGTAATGGCCGATCTCCAGATGCCATATCCAAGTTCGGTCGCGCTGTCGATTCCCGACGAGCAATGGGTGTCTCGCATGAGTATATGGGCCACATGGTATACCACTCTGCGACGCGAGCGACCTTCGAGAAGCTGCAGGAAGCTCCCATCTCAACCATTGCCTGCGCATTACGGAAAAGTCTTAACGAAGTCAATAATGAATTTTGCGTCCGCAGCTACGCGACTTATATTGCTGACCAACCCGACAAGACGCAGGTCATGTATGGAGGAATGTATAACCCAGACACTGATATCGGCGCGTCGGCTGTACCTAATGCGGATTTTTTCCATTCATTTGGCTCTCTGATTGGCATGCCGAAGTTTGCACGCCGTCCAAATCTGGCGCCTATTCCCGGTTGTATCTATTTCATGCCGGCGGAAGGTCGATATGTGCCTGTTCTGGTGTGTTTGAGGGATGATGACTTGGAGGGGTTGAAGACGCATGAGGAGTGGAGCAAGATTACTAAGTTTGTTGGCTAGCCTAAATCAACATGAATGAGAATGTCTTATTTTAAATTAGATCATTGTATATTCAAATGTTCGAGGTTCCAAGCAGACCTACTGAGATTTTAGTGAGGATGCGCACTAATTTCAAGACTCAACCTTCAATTTTCGGTCAATATTAAGTATAATTCATGATTTCTAAGTTCAAATAATCATAAATTTTCGTATCACGCACATTTCTCAGTAAATATGTATGCTCTTACCTGTGATTCAATTACTCGTATAGGAATCAATGGTATGTAACTATGTACTATATGTTCATCGAAGGTTGTCATCTGTCTTGCCCACAAAATATATGCAACATATGAGAGTAATAAAAGTATTACAGAAACTGAAACTCCACAGCTCCGTAAAACCCACAGGCGCCAAATTACCTAGATCCAAAAAAACCTTAGAACAGAATGGACATTTCAATGTACAATTTCTGTTGGATCAGGTCATGTGATTCCATTTTGCCTGAGGTCCTTTCCACTCAACGAATATGATGGGGCTTTCTACCTCTTTTCGGTTCTTTCGCACCAATGATTAACAGTCTGAATATCGCCCACATGATCTGATGTACAGGCAAGATTTATGGCTTCAAAAAGCCAGCCGCTTTCCACGCATCGACATATTTCCGCGTAACATGAGCTTCTACTGGCCCCACATTGCGGAGGGTTCTTGAATGTTTGCAAGCGAGGGTAGTGTCCAATAACAGCCCACCACACGACATGCGAGTGTAGTCATGGTCGAAGAAATCGATGAGCTTCATTGCCGGGTTCTCTTTTTCGATAGGACCCGGGTAAGACTTAACCCTGTCAACCCACTCCTGGAAAGAAACAAGCTCGGCGCCAATCGAGCTGGCTAGCACTGAAGCCATTTCGCTCCACGGCTGACGCACTGGGTTGTCAATGTGGTAAATCGGGTATGGGCTGCTGTCTTGGAGAAGAAGCTCTCCCAACGTGGCCGCGACGTCGTTAACTGGGGTCCAGGACATCACGCCTTCGAGATTTGGGAAGGCTCTGAGGGTCTGAGACGACTGAACCATGAATGTGAAGTGCTCCATATGGTTCCAGTAGCCACTTGTCCTCGATCCCGCGATCTGACCTAGTCTTACTGCCATGGCAGTGAAATGCTGAGGATATCGGTGAAGAGTCTCGTCCAGCATGCGCTCACACACCCACTTCGCATCACCGTATCCATTCGGGAGGACCGACGCAGCAGTATGAATCCTTTCTTCTGGGACGAGGTTGTGGCTTGTCCGGGTAGAAGGATGGTGGCCCACGACTGCAATGGACGAGATGAACTGGAAACCGATAAGTGAGCCGTGAGCAGACCCTGCCGCACTAGCGAGGTCGATAAGGTTGCGCATAACTTTAAACTGACCCTCGAACCCCTTCAATGGCCGCGTCCCACTCATCGGCCACGCATTGTGGATAATGTGCGTAACTTTGGCGGTAAGCTCGTCGTATGTCTCTTGTTCAAGACCTAGAAGTGGCTTAGACGAATCAGTCTCGATCACCTCTACCTTTGAAAGCTCTGTGGAGCTGATGCCTCGCGATTTCAAAGCCTCAACCTGGCGAATATGCGCATCTGATGCCGTTTTCCGGTTCAAGCAGAGGACAGTTTTGACTTGAGGCAAGTGCGATAGATATTCAACAATGTGCGATCCCAAGCTCCCTGTGGCTCCTGTTACCAGTATGCACAAATTATTTCCCGGAACAGTTGGCTTTTGGGCAGAGGATGGCACAGAAAAGCCAAGGGTGTACTTTTTCACAAAGGCGTCCACTATGCACTGCCTGGCCTCGGCTTCAGAAGGAATTCCACTATCCCCATTACCATTCATGCCGACGATAATGCGTTGGATTGTTGACTCAGGATGATTGCCGTCAGTCCAGTCGACATGGCTGTAACCAACTGAGTACAGATCTTGTTCCCAGCGGGACTGGTGTGCGATCGCGTGATTGCGGCCATCGTCAAACAGCCACCATCCTTCGAGCAAACCAAAGATCATATCAACCCAATAAATGGTCCTGGTCATTTCTAGAATCATCGTGAAACCGTCTGGGCGAAGCGTCTTTCGGATGTTGCCGAGCGACCTGGTCAAGCTATGGGTCGCATGCACAGCATTGCTGGCTAATACCATGTGCTGGCTGTTTATGAGCTCTGTGGGCGGCTCCTTTTCCACATCGACCGTCTGAAACTTCATGAACGGGTAATCTTTCCCGAACCTTTTTCTAGCAGCCGCCACGAATGATGGGGCGAGATCACTGAATGTATATTCCACAGGGATACCTAATTCTGCTAAAAGTGGAACAACCCACTTCGTAGTTCCTCCAGTCCCAGCTCCGAGCTCCAGAATCTTCAGTGGAGTACCATCTGCAGGTAACCTTGAGACTAGCCGTTTCACAAAGTCCTGCATCTGTGTGTAAGACAGCCTGTTGAGGGGAGAATCGGCATAGAGACCCGAGGCTAACTCCCTCCCTTCTGCCGAGCCGAATATCACATTGATTCCATCAGACCTTCCAGACAAAACATCCGCGAGCCTTGAGCCAGCGAAATGCGTTAGCTTATGCGGATATGAATGCTCAGGAGCGTCGCGTAACAGGATCTGTAAAAGCTCAGAGCTGGAAGCTGTTGGGGCCGGGACTGTAGTGCGAATGACCTGGGAGCCATCAAGCTCAATCAAGCCTGATTCTTTATCAAGCATATCATAGAGATATTCAGCTAATCCGCTGAGCGACGGAACATGATCAACAGGTTCTAGTGCTTGACCTGGCTTTGCAGCCCTCAGGTCACAGCCAAGCTCCGCGAACGCATCTAGTGTGAGTTCTATGCACATCTGAGTCTGTGTCGGCATGACAGTCTCAAGGTAGTTGTTGCAGCCAAACTCCTCAATAAACTGATCTGTGAGGGCCTTGCACTCGGCAAAAGCTTCGAGAACAACTGAAGAGGGAAGTTCAAGCGCAGGCTTTGCGAACCCAGAGATGCCGTTAACTTCATTGCGATGAAGAGTCTTTTCTTCTGCAGGTTCTGATGGGGTTTGAATCACCGAGGTTTGTGCCGTTTCGTCACCCAAGCCGGCGGAGGAATCTGTAATATCATCGGCGGAGGCAACACCCGGCTCAAATCTAAGGGTTGACTCAACACTTTGGACAAGAGCATGGAAGCTGTCAACTTCCATCAGAATCTCCGTCGGTATTGTGCAGCTGAAGGCATCTTCAATCTCACGCGCAAGCTCCATACACATTAGAGAGTCGATGCCCAGATCAGGTAGATGGGCATCATCCTTGATCTCAGCAGCGTCCAGTCCAGATAGATCGGCAATAATCTCTCTCACCCGGGGGGTGATGTCAATGTTTGGGCTAGACGATATGTTGGATTCCTGGGCACCCTTAGCGACGATTTGAACGATAGCCTTCGAATCATGAATGCTGGTAGAAGTGTCCACGGTAGTTTCTACCAGAGCTTTCGTCGCCATATCGGTAGTGAGTCGAGAGAGTAGCTTGCTCATAGATGTCTTTGATACCTTGGCATAATTGATACCTAGGATGACTTCAGACAATGCTCCACTACGGGGGTCGAAGATAAAAATATCCGTGAGAAAGGCATTACTACCACGATTTTCGTGGCATGCAAGGACATCCCAGAAGTCAGGCCGCGAGTCACCGTTTCGCAATTTCGGAGACCGAACCCATTTCTCGAACCCGTTGGCAATATAAATGTCTCCCGGGCTTCTGTTGGTCATACAATTGACCCAAATGCCACCAACTTGGCTGAAACAGTCAGATAGATGTGCGTCAAGCCAAGTTTCATTTTTGAATTTCTTGACCACTCGTCCAGCAGATTCGTTTCTTGCGGTTCTTCCTACGAGCCTTTGCAGTCCTTGGTATTGATCTCCATACTGGACAACGTCATCAAACATTCTGTAGATACTTGGGCCTTGCAGAATGTCGTCGGAATCATCGTTTCCGTAAAGGACATCGAGACAGCGTTGGTGGTTGACCAAGCGCTCGTATCGGCCAAACTCCATTTTAAAGCTTGCATCATCGACTGAACAAAAATTTATTTGGCCTTCTGCATGGATCGTCGTGGACGAGCTCTTTCCAGGGATTTCGCTGATACACTTCCATATCCATTCACGTGGAGTCTTTGTGTTGGTGTCGATGGCTGTGATGTCAACCCGAAGAACGCGCGATGAGTCGAAGCAGACTGGGGCGTGGTTGCTGACATTGAGTATCTGTGGTTGAAGTATTCCATCTTTAAATTCGCTACGTAGACTCATCAGCGCTTCAACTACGATTTCTACCTCGACCGTTGCTGGGCAGATTGGCGCTGTCTTCGCAATAGTGTGGCCGTACAAAAGGTCTTTGTACAGGCCCGAGTCAGTATTGATCCGGAAGCGGGCAGATTGCTGCTTGGGGTCTTGATAGCCCTCAAACGCCCAAAGACTTTCATCTTTGACGACCCCAATAACCGGGGGAGTGGAGTGGACCTGCAAGTCTAGCCAATGTCTAGACTTCTCGAATTGATACGGTGGTAGCAGTAATACAGGATAGTGACTAGTCTGTGATCGATGGTGCTGCCAGAAATCGATGTCTAGACCCGCCTTCCATAGACTAAGGGTCGTGGATGTGAGATGGGTCGTTGAATTGTCGGTAGTGATATTCATAGACAGGAAGAACTGAGAGTTTAAACTGCCGGAGGATGATCCAATGGCTCGACTAGCCATGTTCGTGACAGTAGAGTTGGACCCTATCTCGAGCCAGATACTGGATGGATACTTCTTTGAGAGTCTTTGCACCGCATGATTGAAATAAACGGGGTTGCGCATATGGTCCGCCACAAACTTCGGGCTAAGTGTCCTATGGGACTCTTGCTCCGTGGAAAATTCTACCGGCACCACTGGCTTCTTGAACTGCAAGCCACTTGCCATAAGTTCAAGACTGATCTTTAAGCCCTCAACCAGAGTGGAGTGGAAGGCGTTGGTGACATTGAGTTTCTTCGCACGCATCGAAGAATACTTTGCATTGGAAGAAATTGTCTGTGCGGCATCATCGATTGCTTGAGCCGTTCCAGCAATAGTGAAGCTCCTAGGACCGTTGTAACAAGCAATACTTAGCGAATCGCTCATTTGGACGAGCTCGGTAACCTGATGAAGGTCGGCTTCAACTGCCATCATTGCCCCTTTTTCGGGGCCCCATTGATCTCTGACAATTCCGGCGCGGCCTGCAATCATCTTCACTGTGTCTTCGAGGCTTAAGGCCTCTGAGATGCAGAGTGCAGTGAGTTCTCCAAAACTATGGCCGACCAGAGCTGAGGGCTGGATACCGCAGTCAATCCAACTCTTCGCTGAGGCATATTGTACGGCTAAAATACAGAGTTGGAGCTTGACAGTGTCCTCTATTGCTGATCTCTGGAATATAGCAGGATAAATGCTACCGAATCCGAGGGACTGACAAGCTTTGTCACAGTCATTCAAGTGGGAACGAAAGACTGTTGTGTTTTCCACAATGCTGCGGTCCAGTCCGACAAACGTGGAGACTTGGCCCCCAAAGCAAAGGACCACTGGACGAGATGAAGGTCGATCAATGATTGATAAATCCCCAGATAATTTGTCATTCAATTCCTGGATTGTTGAGCAGCTGATCATGATGGCTCGATTGAGCTGTCGATTTGACTGACGGGAGATATTGAAGGATACGGTCGAAATAGGAACATTGCGAGACTTGGACTGAAAGAAAGTTTTCAGCTTGCTGACCTTGGCATGAAGGCTCTTATCATCCAAGGCCGAAAGCCAGAACGGGTACTTGACCTCTCCGGCAACCTGGGATACAGAAGCAGACTGTATGAGTGGCTTAGTCACAATCATTGATGCATTTGATCCTGAAGCACCGTAATTGTTGATCAGTGCTGCCTTGAACTCATCGCTCCAAGGCTTCGAGGATGTCGAGATAGCTATAGAGGTGCTGGCTTTAATGTGTGGGTTCATGGTCCGGAAGCTTGCCTGTGGAGGAATGGAGCTCTCATGCATCATAAGAAGTACTTTTATAAGCGACACGAGGCCAGAAGTACTCTCCGTGTGGCCTACGAGACCCTTCACCGAGCCAAGTTGCAGAGCCTTGGCCCGCTTAGCTATGGCAAAAACCTGACTGATACTTTCATATTCTGCAGGGTCGCCAACAGAAGTTCCGGTTCCGTGTGCCTCAACATATGAGATCTGCCTGGGTTCCAAATGCGCTTTGGACAGAACTTTCCTGAAGAGGTCTGACAGAGATGGCGCGTTGGGTACAAATATGGGTGTACAGTTTCGGTTTTGTGAAACTGCCGTGCTGGAGATGATACCAAATATCTGATCACCATCTGCGATTGCGGCTGACTTCCTCTTCAAGAACACAGCAGCAACTCCTCTCCACGGCAGTAGCCATCTGCCTGGGTACAGAAAGGCTTACACTGCCCCGTGGGACTGAGGAAAGATGCGGCAGCGAGATTCTGGTATGCAAGTGGCTGGGAAATCATGTTTACGCCGCCAGCAAGCGCTGTCTCACATTCACCATTGAAAATTGCGCTGCAAGCCTGGTGTATGGCGACTGCAGCGCCTGAACATGCGGTGTCGAGGGTGAGGCCTGGACCCGTCCAGCCAAAGTAGTGACTCACTTTGCCTGCGATAAATCCACGTAGATTGCCGGTTGACGAGAAGGCGTTGGGGGCATGGCAGCCCACATTGTTTTCATAGTCGACAGCACAAGTGCCGATATAACAGCCAACATCCGACGAGGGGGTCTTCTTTTGAAAATATCCAGACTGCTCTACAGCCTGGTAAGCGACCTCTAATAGCAACCTCTGTTGGGGATCCATCGAGGCTGCCTCACGGGGGGATTTCTTGAAGAACCGGTTATCGAAGGCATTGTAGTCTTTGATGAAGTTACCGTACCACTTCTTCTCAGGGTCAAAGTCCCGAAATCCAGTCTCGAATGAAAACCTCGATTTGGGAACCTCAGTATGCTGAGACTCTCCTTTGCAGAGAATCTCCCAGAACTCGTCTAGATCATCTGCCCCAGAAACTTTGCAACTCATTCCAATCACAGCAATGTCATGATCTGGCTCCCCTAGTGACCGCATCAGGTGACCATTATCAGACTCAGCTGGGACATTTGCGAGATGTATGAACTGGAACCCTGGAGGGACTTTGTGGAGAAGCGATGGGGGTGTGCATCGCTCTGGCCCAAGGGTGATGATGGTTGCAGCTTCCTTTTCGACCGAGCAGAAGGAAGAAAATGTATTCCACCATTGAGATTGCTTTACGAGTAAGGCCTCCAAGGCAATAGCCGAAAGGTTTCCCGTCATAATGTTCTCGCCTGTCTCTGTTATGTCTCTCCTACAGGGAATCCTCAGCTCTGATGCGGCGAGGAGCCGGAAGGGAGGATTTGAGTCACAAAAGCGGCTCAGAAGATCTAACAAGCCTCGATGATCCTCACTGTGGAAAGAACCGGACAGTCCAATTTCCTTCGTTGTGATGCCGGCTAAGCTGGCCTTTGCCACTAGCCCCGCAAGGCCGTCCCTTGAAGTTGTCACAGTCGCCCTATCCTCATCATAACGAACCGATATATATGCCTGAAGAAGAAACGGGTGAGTGCATGAGGAGGAATAGCAAATTTGAAAACTTACATCAGTAGAGTCTTGAAGAATTCTCTCGAGGGCTTCCAACCCATTTGGGGTTCTCCAAACAGCGGAGACAGAGGTCGACCCCCCGTGGGTTGATTCTTGGGCATCCACAACAGCCCCGATCAACATGGCCAGGCGTAACACCGTTGCACCATTGTGCGCAAGTTCCGCGTTGTTATCGCTCAAAGATACTGCCAGTGCGGCTAAAAGACCAGTGCAGAATCCGGCACTTTCGGTGTTTGCCAAGGCGTGTGATCCCTTTAAACCCCCCGATTCACGTAAGTCGATATATCGATCGTAGGCAGCCAACTGTGACAGAACGGTGATGGGAGTCAAGATGGTGTTTGGTATATGTGGCGATATAGTCAGATTCTTCAAGCTTCCTGTGGCAAACCACTCGCTTAAAGCGTGAAGTAGTCGTACCCCGGGCACAACCGTGAGGTGAGGGAATTCCTTAGAGACTGTTTCAAAGCAGTCGGGGAGCTCCAAAAGAGCGCTGGGAACCCATCCCAGAGCTGCAGAATTTGTAATAGCGGCTCGTAGGTCGTGGAACGAGTTCTGATTGAAGGCAAGAGCCTGTGGCCCGAAGACCAAAACTGTCTTGCTAGGGGTTTCTCGAGGATCCATTTTTAGTCTGAATGATGTCTGAGGCAAAGGCTTCAGTCTGATGATAGTATGAAAACGATGTCTAGTTGACTGAATTCACGACGGTGTTAATGAATGTAGATATCTCATGTCATATAGATCTGAACTCTTCTAGGGAAATACAAGCTTACCTCATATAATCTAGGCTTGTACACTTGGCCTGGGGTCTTGGGTCGAAGTTTGGTGTATCTATCAAGCACTTGAGTGACAGCTGAATACGAGCATTCGACATTGATTTGATCATTTTAGTAGTCGTATGCATATCTGAATATCCAATAGGCAGTCGTTAAATGAGCGGAGTTTCTAATTAGGTGCATGGTGGTGGAGCTTTCCTAGGATGCAGCTGACCGGAGTTTCTTCACCTCTTATCAGGAGTTATAATGTATGGAGTATCTAATACTTCAAAATATCGAATGGAGAGTGTCTTGCATTTAAGCTTTCCCCAGTGGATCTAGCATATGCATAGGGCTTTCTTCATTTATACGGCACTAGGGATCGGTTAGTCAACTTGATCAACAGCACTCAGTATCTGATCTTCACCATCCCATATTTCGATCGACTCCAGTCCTACTTCGTTAACTAAACACACACGCCGGACTTTCGTGAGAAGGGAACGACAAGACCTTCTTTTCACAGCGCAATATAGACCATTTACGACGAACAAACACCCACTATGAACGATGGAGATTCCAGAAGTGTGCCCATCGCCATCATTGGCATGGGCTGCAGGTTTGCAGGGGACGCGACCAGTCCCGAAAATCTGTGGAAGATGTTAGAAGAGGGTAGGAGTGCTTGGAGCGAAATTCCACCATCTAGGTTCAATCTTGAAGGGTGGTATCATCCGAGCCAGGAAAACATCAGCACGGTAGGCAATTCCGGGTATTATGCGTCTAGACTCAATTTCTGTCCTAATATTCCTGGATAACAGACAAATGTGCGAGGCGGTCATTTCCTGAAGGAGGATTTGGCTTTGTTTGATGCAACATTTTTTGGGTTGTCGGCTGAAACAGCTTCGGTAAAGAAGATTCCTGGATTGTAATAGATCCTGACCAGGGCATGCTAACTCTTGGAAGACAATGGACCCTCAATATCGCTTGCTTTTGGAATCTGTCTATGAGTCACTGGAGAACGGTATGTCAAAATGCATCACGTGGGTCGAAAAAGATATCGCTAACCAGAACCGTTCGAAGCTGGTGTTACACTGGAGCAAGCGGCCGGCTCAAACACGTCTGTTTTCTCTGGAGCCTTCTTCCATGATTATCAGGACGGCCATATGCGAGACGCTGAGAACCTTCCTCGCTTCCTGATGACAGGTAATGGTGCGGCTATGGCCTCAAACCGCGTATCTCACTTTTTCGACTTGCTTGGACCAAGTATGACAGTCGATACTGGCTGTAGCACGACTCTCACCGGATTGCACCAAGCCTGCCAGGGCCTGAAGACCAGAGATGCAGATATGTCCATTGTTGGCGGTTCAAATCTCCTCATCAATCCTGACTTTTTTATCACTATATCAACCTTGGGGTAAGTTGACCTCCCATGTGAGTTTTCATTTTTGAATGTATGGCTAACATATGGTGCTCTTAGAATGCTTTCGCCAGATGGAAAATCGTAAGCACCGTTCAAAATTGGGACTCGAGAAGTGATAGCTAACCACGGTTCGGGTGCAGATACTCTTTTGATAGTCGCGCAAATGGCTATGGCCGTGGGGAGGGCGTTGCTTCCATTGTGCTCAAAAGGCTGGACGACGCAATCAGGGATGGAGATCCAATCCGAGCAGTTATTCGAGAAACGCACCTTAATCAGGATGGAAAAACGGAGACAATCACTTCGCCCAGCCCGCAAGCTCAAGAACGACTCATCCGGTCATGTTACCAGAAAGCTGGCATTGACACCCGTTCCATCCAATATTTCGAGGCTCATGGCACTGGTACACCGACCGGTGATCCGATTGAGGCTGGCGCCATTGGTTCTGTATTTGGAAAGGGCAGATCGGCGAAAGAGCCCTTGTTTATCGGCTCTGCAAAGACAAATCTGGGTCATACAGAGCCAACGAGTGGTCTGGCGAGTGTGATCAAAGTCGCGATGGCCTTAGAGCGAGGCGTCATTCCGCCTAGCATCAACTTCGAGAAGCCAAACCCGCGACTTCTACTGGATGAATGGAACCTCAAGATTCCTAGGAAGTGCGAGGACTGGCTTCCTGGAACCGACGGCGTCCGGCGGGCATCTGTGAATAACTTTGGTTATGGAGGAGCGAATGCTCATGTCATCATGGAGGAGTGGCCATCTCAAGCTCTACAAGACGGTCACAGCCACACCAACGGTAATGGATATAGCAATGGAATTGGCCATGCCCATGAAAACGGGACTAGTAACGGCAATGGATACGAGATTACTCAACAACGGTCAAGAATATTTATCCTGAGTGCGAAAGACGAGCTTACCTGTCGTGCGATGGCGTCCAATCTGAAGGACTACCTGGGCCGTTTGAACCTGGCGAGCGGAGAAGAAGGCAAATTTCTAAACGATCTCTCGCATACACTGTGCCAGCGCCGTAGCCGGTTTCCTTGGGTTCTCACCTATGCCGCAGAATCAGTGTCAGCCCTGATCGCAGCACTGGATAATGAGAAGATCAAGCCAGCTAGAAGCAATAGCGATCGACCAAGACTTGGATTTGTCTTCACCGGTCAAGGTGCTCAGTGGTATGCCATGGGAAGGGAGCTTCTAGACGCATACCCCGTCTTCAAGGCCTCGATGCTTGAAGCGGAAGGCTATCTCAAAGAATTCGGTGCGAATTGGTCGCTTGTTGAGGAATTGTGTCGAGACGCTGAGACTAGCAGAGTGACCGAGACCTCTTTGGGCATGCCAATGTGCGCTGCTTTGCAAATATCTCTTGTGCGCCTCCTCGAGTCATGGGGCATTACACCTTCTGCCGTTAGCAGTCACTCGAGCGGAGAGATTGCAGCTGCGTACACCGTGGGAGCTATGAGCTTCCGGTCGGCTATGGCTGCCTGCTACAGTCGTTCTGAGGTCACTTCGGGCCTTACAACTCGAGAAGGTGGCATGATAGCAGTCGGCTTAGGCGCCGAGGCTGTTGAGAAATATCTCAAGAAGGTGAAGAATGGCGAGGCCAAAGTAGCATGCCATAACAGTCCCACCAGCGTCACTGTGTCTGGAGATGCCACTGCTGTCGAGGAGCTCGAAGTATTGCTAAATGAAGCAAATATTTTCGCTCGCCGACTTCGAGTGCGAACTGCCTTCCACTCCCATCACATGCAGCCCCTTTATGACCCGTATCTCAAAGGAATGCGCGAGATCGGAGTGGGCAAGGAGAAGCGTACATTGGGACCCATAATATACGCATCACCCACCACCGGAACCCGCATAAGCAGTGCCGCCGAAATCGGCAATCCAGAGCATTGGGTCAAGAGTATGTTAAGTCCCGTTCAGTTCATTGACGCTTTCCGCGAAATGGCCCTCGACTTATCTACCGGACAGACTGAGATCGACTTCGCCATCGAAGTTGGTCCACATGCCGCACTTTCGGGTCCTGTTGCGGATATTCTCCTCCTTCCAGAATTCAAGGACAGCAACATTTCATACCTCTCTTGCTTGATCCGAAAGAATAGTGCTGTGCAAACAATGCAGACGTTGGCGGGTCAATTGATATCCAAGGGCTTCCCTGTCGACAATAACGCTGTCAACTTTCCCCTCGGCAGAACTAATGTTAGTGTCCTGTGTGACCTGCCTCCCTACCCCTGGAATCACCAAGTGCGCCACTGGTCTGAGCCCCGGGTCAACCGATCTCATCGGGATAAGCAATTCAAACACCATGATCTGCTTGGATCTCTGGTGAAGGGTGCCAACACTTATGCTCCCACGTGGAGATATGTGATCAGACCAGCAGAGCTTCCGTGGGTCAGGGACCATACTGTTCAATCCAATATCATCTACCCTGGAGCTGGATACATTTGCATGGCCATTGAGGCCGCGTGTCAGCTCAGTCAGATGACCAACGAAACACCATCGGGTTACCGACTCCGAGATGTGGATATCCAGCAGGCACTTGTGATTCCCGAAGGGTCTGAAGGAGTTGAAGTCCAGATCACACTTATGCCTGTCAGCATGAAGGATATCGGTGTTAAGGGTTGGAAGAAGTTCCAGATCTTTTCGGCAGGCATGGACAACAAATGGGCAGAGCATTGTGCAGGTCTTATTCACGTTGTGTCCGACAAGACCAATGTCGATGGTGGAAGATGGAGCTGGCTAGGTCCAGATTCAGAACCCAAGCCTCTCCGAGGATACTCCAAGACTATCGACGCCGGCCAAATCTATGCCGACATGAGGTCCCTTGGCATTTATCACGGCCCAGTCTTCCAAAACTTAGAAGCTGTCCAAGTGGCCGACAAGCAATCAGTAAGTATCTTGTCTGTTGCTGATGTCACATCAATCATGCCTGCAAACTATCAGCATGAGCATGTTCTGCATCCCACCACGCTTGACTCAATCTTCGTGTCGGCATACGGCGCCCTTCTGGGGTCAAATGCTCACCTAGACAGCCCACAAGTGCCTAAGACAATCAAAGACATTTGGGTGTCTTCGAAGATTGCTTCTGAAAGTGGGCACAAATATAAAAGTTACGTCAAGGTGCACCACGCCGACTCGAAAAGCTTCCAGTCTACCATTTGTCTGGTCAATGCGGAAGATGGCGATGGATCTCAAGAGCCCGTCCTGGCGATAAATGGTTTTGTCTGCCAGTCTATCGGAGCAGGTATTCCTCGTCAGCCAGATCCTCATCAGGATGACATCTGCAGCACACTGAAATGGGCTCCTGATCTCTCATTCATGGACCTCGCACGTTTGAAACAAGAGCTCATTTTCCCTGTTGATCAAAAAGAGGAAGGTATCATTCTCGACCTCAGACGTGCCTGTTTTCACTACGTGTACTACGCCCTGGGATGCTTAACTCTAGCTGATGTGCAGCAGCTGGAGTGGCATCACAAGAAATTCTACACATGGATGAAGCTGCAGGTCACACAGGCTCTTCAAGGCGAGCTTGGACCGGGAAGTTCAAAGTGGGTCGAAGACAGTATGGAGGATAAGAAGAAGCTCTTCAGTTCAGTCCAAGCTTCCAGTGTAAACGGCGAGGTGGTTTATCGCCTAGGACCGCAGATCGTAGCCATGCTGAGGCGCGAGGTGACGCCTCTGGAGCTGTTGATGGAAGACAAGCTCTTATACAAATACTACCGCGACGCCCTGAAGTTCGACCGGGCGAACGTCCAGCTAAGCAAGATCATTCGGCACATTGTGCACAAGAACCCTCGAGTTAAAATCCTTGAGATTGGTGCGGGTACCGGTGGCACGACTCGATCACTGCTCAACGTTATCGGAAACGGAAAAAAATCCGGGTTTGGACCCTTCGCGTCCGAATATCACTTCACGGACGTATCGTCTGGCTTTTTCATCGATGCGCAGGAGCAGTTTGGTGACTGGAGCGACATTATAACATATCGGAAGCTGGACATCGAAGCTGATCCGGCCAAGCAAGGCTTCGAGCTCGGCAGCTACGATGTTATTATCGCATGCCAGGTCTTGCATGCTACCAAGAGGATGGAAACCACCATGAAGAACGTCCGCAATTTGTTGAAGCCAGAAGGTAAGTTGCTCATGATGGAGAGCACAAAAAATCAAGTAGATATGCAACTCACCTTTGGGCCGCTCCCTGGGTGGTGGCTAAGTAAGTGAACCTCGTTTTCTCATAAAAATAAACATACGGAACTAATGGCCTTTTGACAGGTGAGGAAGAGGAACGGAAACTCAGTCCTATCTTATCAGCTCCTTCCTGGGACAGAGTGCTCAAAGCAGCCGGATTCAGTGGACTCGACTTGGATGTTCATGACTGCGAAAGTGAGGAAACCTATTCATTCAGCGTTCTCATGTCCACGGCACAATCCGAGGAGGCAGACAGTTCTCGGTTCAATCCCGCTGTGATTGTCACTGGTGGTAGTTCTTCCTATCAGGATGAGGTCTGGCTGAGGGCGCTACAGGACTCCATTGCCACCATAACCGGCGGTGCCCTTCCCAGCATCGAAGCAATCGACTCGATTGATGCGACCGGAAAGAATTGTATTTTCTTGGGAGAGATGCACCAGTCACTGCTCCAAACACCTTCACTGAAAGAATTTGAGGCGATCAAGTCTCTTTCTTTGAAATGCAAGAGTCTTATTTGGGTCACTCGAGGTGGTGCTGTGGACTGTGAGAGCCCCGAACTTGCTTTGAGTGTTGGCTTTTTCCGTACTCTTCGGCAGGAAAATGTTGGTAAAAAGTATATCACAGTGGATCTGGACCCACAGAGATCTATTCTGGGCCAGCACGATGCGTCTATTGTTGCCAGAGTTTTAGTCTCGGCTCTTGATCAATCTGTCGCCGATGATTCTGCACAGGACTTTGAATTCGCAGAGCGAGATGGTGCAATCCTTATTCCCAGACTCACCAAGGATTTTGCGAGAAATTGCTTTGTCTCTGCCGATACTAACCAGGACATCAAGTCTGAGTCAGAGCTCTTCCAGCAGCCTGGTCGGACTTTAAAGCTGGATGTTGGCACAACAGGCCTCCTGGAAACTTTGGCATTCAGCGACGCACCGGATCAGAATGACGATTTAGCCCCAGATTTCATCGAGATCGAGCCCAAAGCGTTTGGCCTCAATTTCCGGGACGTAATGGCTGCCATGGGTCAGCTCAACGAGCGGGTTATGGGCTTAGAATGCGCGGGAATCATCACGCGTATCGGCGCTATCGCCGCATCAAAGGGCTTTGGTGTCGGAGACCGCGTTTTTGCTCTGTTGAATGGCCAATACACCAATAGTATTCAAGTCCCCTGGGCTATTGCCTGTCATATGCCCGAGCATTTAGATTTCGAGACAGCCGCGTCGATCCCCATGATATACGCAACCGCTTACATGTCGTTATATGACAAGGCTCGATTATGTAAGGGTCAGTCTGTCCTTATCCATGCCGCGACAGGTGGTGTTGGCCAGGCAGCAATAATTCTGTCGCAACTGGTGGGAGCCGAGGTATTCGCCACGGCTGGTACACCCGAAAAGCGCGCTTTCATCACCAGCAAATACGGAATTCCCGCGGATCATGTCTTCTCCAGCCGTGACGCATCATTTGTCCCCAAACTGATGGCGATTACAAGCGGACGTGGCGTAGACGTTGTCCTGAACTCCTTGTCAGGCCAACTTCTCCAAGAGACCTTCAACTGTCTCGCTCCTTTTGGTCATTTCGTGGAGATTGGAAAGTTTGATATGGAGCGGAACAACCATCTCGAGATGGTACCTTTTACCCGTGTGGCGTCCTTTTCTTCCATAGATCTGCTGGCGCTCGTCAGGCTGGCCAGTCCCCAGATCTACCGGGTGCTGGCAAGCGTCGCTCGCCTTATTGAGCAGAAAGTCATCAGCCCAGTAGACCCTGTCACTGTCTTTCCCCTTTGTGATATCGAGAATGCATTCCGTCAAATGCAAGCTGGCAAGCATATGGGAAAGATTGTCCTGTCGATTAGCCCGCAGGAGATCGTTCCGGTGAGTGACGCAATATTCCAATTTGCATATGGACTTCTTTGAAGATTGCGAGCTAATACAAAGTTAACAGGTCATTTCACGCAAGCCGTCAGTTAGATTCCGTTCCGACGCATCCTACCTTGTCGCTGGTGGTGTAGGTGGAATTGGACGATCGGTCGCTCGCTGGCTCCTCACACACGGCGCAAAGAACTTGATCCTAGTGTCGAGGAGTGCAGCTGCCGGGGGTCGTACGGCCTTATTTGTTGACGAGCTTCAGGAATCATACCCAGGGTCTAGAGTCAGATCAATCGGATGTGACATCTCGGACGAGGCTAGCTTTGCCCTTGCACTGAAAAACTGTGCGAAAGAACTTCCGCCAATCCGGGGCGTGATCCAAGCCGCAATGGTTCTCGAGGATTCCATTCTCGAAAACATGACAATTGACAACTACAACGCAGCCATTCGACCCAAGGTACAGGGAACGTGGAGCCTCCACCACCAGCTCGGTTCCGATCTTGACTTTTTCATCATGCTCTCCTCCCTCGCCGGTGTAATCGGAAATGCCAGTCAGAGCAACTACACAGCTGGTGGAGCTTTCCAAGATGCACTGGCCAGGCATCGAGTGGCGAAGGGTCTCCCGGGAGTAGCTCTCGATATTGGTGCCGTCAAGGATATCGGCTATGTGGCTTCAAACAAGGGCGTTTATGAGCGTCTGGAGAAAATGGGCTACCGGCTGCTTGCGGAGGAGGAAATTATGTCCTCCATCGAATCAGCCATCCTCTACCCCTGTCCACAAGTCATGGTCGGAATCAACACCGGTGGTGGTTCTTCCGACTCGATTCTGGCCAGAGAATCTCGCTTTAGTGCCCTGCGCTATATGAAATCAGCCAACAGCAGCAACGGTGCATCCAAGGCTACTGGTGGTGCTGTCAATCTCGCTAGCAAGCTATCCTCTGCGGAGTCGCCAGACGAGGCCGCCGAGTTAGTTATGGAAGCGCTGGTCAAGAAATTGGTGGATATTTTCATGATTCCTGCTGAAGAGGTCGTACCCACCAAATCGATGGCAGCCTTTGGCGTCGATTCACTTGTTGCTGTCGAGCTTCGGAACATGTTGGCCTTGAAGGCGGGATCAGAGGTTTCCATTTTTGACATCATGCAAAGTCCGTCTCTCGCAGTCCTTTGCGACAAGGTCGCGTTGACCAGCTGTTATGTTGCTGTATCTTGATTGTAGCATATCGCCGCACGATTTCATGTTGTTGCAGAGCAGCAAAGAGGCAGAAGACAGCCTCAAAACAAAGATGGAGATAAATTACCTCGAGCAGGCATGGAGCAAATAGAGTCGCGACGCGTCACCTGACGCCAATCTCCAACACGCGGAGTTTTTGCATGTTCTTAGCAGCTTAAGGACGAAATATATAATCAATGGACATTGGAACAGAATGATATTCATAAAAATTACCATTACTAGTACAGATGGCGGACTTGTTAATCAATTCATGGAAAAGATTATGAAAGTGTTTTTAGCGTATACCGGAGTGTATATAATATAGAATTATCATTGGTTGATAGCTCTCACCGCCTTTAACATGTAATAAATTTTAATAAACTAGAATAGGAATTGATCTATTCCTTGGCTGTAATTAAGGAGACTGTATTGGCAGAAAAGAGGCGCTAAAACACTAAAGAAACGGAGACAAAATACGTATTTTACACCCGGCAGAGTTTCAAATACCTGTATCAATCTATCATCCCAATAGTCACTAATCTTGAAATTCTGCCAAGTCTAATTCTAATGTCATGGTCAAATTGTAATGAATATAAACAAAGACTGGAATAAAGTAGTTTCTTAATTATAGCTAAGAAAATAAGGAAGGAGATGAGGAAGGTAAATACAAAAAGATAATCAATTGATGAGTGATGGAACTGATGTACAACATTGAAGTAGCTGACCAAAGACCACTGATTCATCCACACCATATACATGTGCACGTTATATCACCAATACCACAATTCTAATATCCGAACACAGCACATACTGTGACATATGTGCAAGATCAAATCAACACTGGAAGATATGATCCCTGCCTCCTCGAATGGCTCATTTCAGCCCAGATTATCCACAAGATCCAGCAACAGAGTATTAGTAAAGTCCCAAATCACTCCCGTGTTATGAGAAACCATTGCTGCGCCAGTATACCATGTGTTACGCTTTCCTTGCAGACCATATAGCTCATCATAGAACCCATTGCTTATAGCCTCGGCGGTAACCTTGAGCTTGAATGGGGTATGAGATCGGTACTCAACAACCGTGGGATTGGTGGCAGTGTAGTTGCCCGCCTTCTGCAGTTTCTGTATAGCGGCTATGGTGGATGCCTCTACCTCCTGTTGTGTCACGTCTACTGGACTGCGATACCAGGCATAAAACAGTCCAGAGATGCGGGTCGGCATGATCTGGCAGGCACCAGGCAGCTCCGGGATGTTGTAGGTACTCAATGAATCATTCGCATTGATCCATTCATACCCGGAGGGTAAGCCAGTGTTATTGAGTAAAATGGTGTAGTAGCCCATGTAGGTAAACTGCGAGAAGAGATTTCTCTCTTGGGTGTTCAGGGCGAAGGGCCCCATGTTTTCCATGGTTGGAGGGATGGTAATGAGAAGTTTCTTTGCCTTGATGAGCTTGGAGCCTGATGGGGTTTTCACGACCAGGGACACGCCGCTTGTTGATCTTGACGCAGCGGTCACGGTTGAGGAAAGGAGGGCACTGGAACCAAGCTCAGCCACGGCTTTGACATATATTTCACTGTTGTCTTGGTTTGCCGTGCCTAATCCCGCACCCTTTGATTCATCGATATACGCCTGGTCTACCATCTTCATCACGTTGATTGTCAACTGTTCAAGAGGATTTGACAAGCCCGAAGCGCTGAAATAGATGTAGTAAGCAAGGTCTGTGAGGTTGTATTTGATGATGAACTCTCCGAAAGGCAACAGAAGGTCTGCGGGGACCGGCTGTGGGACGTCCCAGGTATAGTCTATCCAGGGGTACTTGGCCAACTGCTGGGCCCATGGCGTGAGGTCCTCACCGGGGTTGAATATGACGGTTTCCCCCGTCTTGAAATCGGCAGGTTCAATGGTCACGGAGGAGGGGGAATAATCTACAACAGAAACGTTGAAGTGGGCGAAAAAGTCTAGAGTTATGGTACTGTTCAAGTAGGCTTGCACGCCATAATCAACAGTAGTCCCCGTTGCGGGATCGGTGTAGGTGTTTGTATGACCGCCGAAGACATCCTCCTTCTCAACCACAACAACGCTTGTCCCCTTCATGCGGAGGTTGATTGCTGCGTATGTTCCTGACGCGCCACCACCAATCACAGCGACATCACGGGTAATGATATCCTTCTTGGCATATTTCTTGGTATCGAACACGTCGCCAACAACAGTGTTGATCAAAAGACCAACACTGGCGGAGAGATAGATTGACTTGGGTAGCATGATCGAATGAATAAGATTCAAGCTGTTGTATTCTTCCGATGAAATGTGGTATAAGCCGAGCTTTTACATTGATATAGTTCTTCAAGATCAGCCTCATGCGCCTGCATGTGCGGACCGTCGCACGTCGTACCTCGTACCTCGTACCTCGCATAAGAATCTAGGCACCATTGAAGGCACATGAGGCCAAAGGACTCAGACATTTCTCCCGGAGTATCTATTGTCACGAATCAGACTTGCTCCGTCTATTTGTCGAGGTTTACTTTTTCCTTCATCTTACCATAAGATCAATTAAAAAAGAAAATCAAAGGGTATGGTGTGGAGTCGGTTCGCCATATATGATGCCACGCTAGAAATTGCCGGATTGGGACGGACAAGATGAGTATTTTTACCAATTTACTTCCTCTATTTAGTTCCTTATTTTCCGAAAATGGACTATTGTATTTGAATTTATCCTCCAAATATTGCTATAGAACGATGTTGAGAACTGGTGGTGGATTTTTATCAGCCCTGCCATCGTCAACAATAAAAGCCCTCTTCTCGTATTCACAATGTCATCAAGGGGCTAGATTGTGTTAGCTCTTAGTCACCTGTGACCTATTTCTCACTTAAATTCCTTCAGCCCGGGATTTTGTATCACCTGAACTCCACTGCTGTGAATTATCAGCCTCAGATAAGAGCGGATCGGTGTTCGGATACCAGTTTACCGATCATCTCATGGAGTCGATCTTAGTACAATAGAGACAGCACTAATATATTTCGGGAAATGTGGATGTTGTTCCAGAGGACATCATGCTCTGGAGTCCGATTGACAGGCCGAGCGGGATCGGCCCCCGAACCCCGAAAGCTGGGATGTATGCAACGTGCCCCTTAGAAGCTGTCATTTCTTCCTCTATCAAGGACTAAGTATTCATTCACCTACTGATACGATAACCGATAACATTCCCGAAATCGAACTACTCTGCCAAGTATGAAGCTTATTGTAGCTGGCGCAACCGGCCTGGTGGGTACGGAGATCATCAGGCAATGCCTACAGATCAGCGAGATCACTCAGATAATTGCACTGGCTCGTAAGCCTGTTCACATCGAAGATGGAACCGACTCAACCTCCAAGCTCAAGAGTGTCGTGATTCGTGACTATGGGGAGTATCCCGCCGACGTGAGGGCTGAGTTCGCTGGGGCGGACGCCTGCATATGGTACGTATTAATCACAGTTTTGTTAATTATGGCAAAGGGAAAGGCTATAGTGGAATTTATTGACTGGTGCAATTTTTTAGGACTGTGGCTGTGACACCATTCAGAACCAGCAGCTTCGACTTCGCCGAGGTCAAGCGCGTGTGTCAAGACTGCACTCTCGCGGGCTTCAAGGCCATGTACGAGTCCGGTCCTGCGAAACCCTTCCGCTTCCTCTACTTCAGCGCCGATGGCACACCTAGAGACCCCACTAAAAGGCCAGTCATCATGGGTGATTACCAGGTCATGCGAGTGAGATACTTCCAGATAACTTATTTCCACATTTCTGTGTTCTATTGAGCTAACGGCCAACCGGCTTCTTAGTGCGAAACAGAGCTTATGGTCATCAAATTCCCGCAGGAGTACCTCGGGGTTGAGATCTGTATTGCTCAACCCGGAGTGATAGTTAATTCCACATCCTTTGGGAGATCTGTGCTGGCCTCTATATTCCGTCTCGTCAACACTTTCACACGCGCAATCCCGAATATTCACCGACAGGAGCTTTCGGCAGCGGTTTTAGACTTAGCTATTAAGGGATTTGACCAAGAAACGGTTAAGAATAACGACCTGGTTCATCGTGGACAGGCGGTACTGAAACAGAAGGCGGGGTCTAAGCATTGAACAGACGTGTTGGGTATAGATGGATGATAGATTGATGTTCTTTCTTTGGATTCTTAACCGTTTCTGCATAGCTTACATTTAGTATCATCCTTCTAACTCTGCTTTGCTCTGGATCTCCTTTTCATTAGTGAGACATCGCCTACTAGGGCTCACCAACATATGTATATATAATGACAATTTTTGCTAATATTTTATTCCTTTCATCGGCTATCAAGAATAGTATGGAAGTGAACAACCTTGGAAAAAGGCTGTCCATCTATGGTACGTCCTCGGCTCAATAAGACGAATCCTTTTGCACTCTCCTGCCCCCGGAATTCCATGATGTCTATTAAGATTTTCTTCGTTCCTGCTGTTTGTTTGTCATCCAGTTCATTACTTTGTCGAGGTATTGGCGGCACTTCGATTGGTCCTTGTCCTTGATGAGATAATATGGGCCAAGAAAGGACGATAACTATTTGTCGGTGGACTTGAAAATCGTGTTCGGGGGAGAGACAAGGGGAGACACTGGAGATCCAAGATCGGACATGATGGTTTTAATCATATCGAACGGTGAGAGCTAAGGAAGGTGCAGGTTAAGTGACACAGATGGATGACTAATATCTTGACTTTTAACTAGTTATCTAAATTCAGTTATTCTCGTCATTTTTGTCTGGAATCTTCGCTGTATCTCTTCCTTTATGGTCCAGTTGACTATATTGTACACCATTTGGATACTCAACACCTCCAGTTTACCTGCGATTCCAGTTTCACACAAAACTCTGCTTAACAGGACTGAAGTGGATGCACTTGTATATTGAATGTAGCATAATCTATCAGCTTAACCCTCCAAGGTCACAACAATCTTCTTCGCACTAACTCCCTTCTTCTGGATCTCAAGAGCCTCCTGGATGCTTTCTAGTCCATTCCCAATGATCTGCGGCTCTGGAGCAGCCACATACAAGCCCTTTGCCAGAGCTTCAGGAAGGAAATCCACATAAACTGCTTGGCTAACCTCATTTCTGCCCAGTTCCGCCCCTTCGACATACTTTGTTTCAATGCCCACTTCATCTGCCATGGCCGCAATACCCTGATTCCACTCATCCACCCACTTCATATACGCCCAATACTCATCATCATCCTTCGGATCGTCCTTGGGCCATGGGAAGCTGGCTTTCACAACAAACTTGCGGCATTCATCACCCAAATGACCAAGTACATGAATGGACAGTTCCACCGAGCCTGGTCCAACGGCAAATGCACCAGCAACTTTCTTGCCCTGCAACACAGCCGCAATATCATCCTCGTGCGTCGGGCTATTATAATCGAAGACAAAATCCGCACCAAGGCTCTTCGCATAAGCAAAGTTCTTCTCCGAGCACGTCGTCACAACTGTGTATCCACTGTTCTTGGCAAGTTGAATCGCATTGCTCCCCACAGCCGTCGAACCACCAGTGATAAGGATATATTCCCCGTTCATCAGCTGCGCAGGTACAGTCGGGTAATCGAGCGCCAGATGGCCCTTCTGGTAGAGCGCGCAAGAAGCAGCCGAGCAACACATGGGGATGACACATGCTTTCTCAAAGGATAGATCATCGGGAATGGGGCTCGCCATGTGCTCGCGGGCAATAGTGTAGTACTGGAACCCGCCCTCGGCAACCCGGTTCCCATATAGGTAGAATCCCACAGCGTGTGCAATGACTCTGTCACCAACTTTAAAGCGGGTTACTTGAGATCCGATCTCGACAACTTCACCGGCGATGTCTTGGCCAATGACGAACGGGTGGGTAATCCACTCCCATTTTTTGTCGCCAACGTGCTGCTTTGCCCAGTCGAGAGGGTTGACTGCTACAGCGGCGTTTTTGACGACAATCTGCTTAGCATCTGGGTGGGTGTATTCTGCAGGTCCTACGACGAGGGGTGTCCTGGGGGCGACTAGCCATGCTGCTTTGTTGGTTGGTGTTGGTGTTGGTGTCATGGTGGATCACTTCGTTGGAAAGATAGGTGAGATAGAAAGGGGAATTAGAAGCAATGGTCAATCCTCTTTCATTGTCAGTATATCAACTTATGCCATTGTATACATGCATTTGCACAGACATGGGAATTCTTAGGTCGGGATTCGGACACCGTCTATCCCGATCATTCGGAGTTATGGAGTTATTGAGTATGGCCAATCAGTAATTCAACTCTGGAAAGGCACAATTTCACTGAATATTACCAAAACCTTGACGGAAAAAAGCTCAACTTGTTCGTGTGGAATTTACCTCTAGTAGCTCCATTGGTAGTTTGTCCTTGTAGATAACATCCGGATCTTTCAATAGATTGATCATGGATCTGGATCCTCAGTACAAATTTGTCTACATCACTCTCCGGGATGTTTCGACCTGGATCAGGACTACCATTATGTAAAATGTATACGGGGTTATGATTTCACTATGTATGCCCATTCTTATCTTTGTAAGTACACGCTCAGAATCAACTATCGCATAGCAATAAACCTAAGAAACATTATAACTGCATTATAGAGAAACAACAACCTTTTTAGCAGAAACACCCTTCATATGCAAATCCATGGCCTCTTGGATCTTCTCCAATCCCTTACCAGCCACCAACGGCTTAGGAGCCGTCACAAAGCTTCCTTTCATCAAGGCCTCCGGCAAAAAATCATCATAGATAATCCCGCCCACTTCATTATTGTACAAGCTGCTCCCAAAGACGAATTTGGCCGTCACACCTTTGAACTTCGACTTGATAAAGATGCTCAAGCTCCACCACATGAGGCCCATCATGGCACCGATAAGGGCCAAGGTACTAGTCGGGGTCTTCTCCGGCCACGGGAAACTGATCTGCGCAACGTGTTTCGATCCATTGGTCTTGGAAAGAATCTCCATACAGGCTTCCGTTGACCCGTTTCCGATTGCAACCGCACCAACAGGCCTCTTCCCGTTAAGGGCTTTGATAATGTCTGCAATCACAGTCTTGCTGCGGTAGTCGAATACCTGAGTAGCTCCGAGACTGGTGACAAATTCGAAATTCTTTGGAGAAGCAGTGGTGAAAACGTCGTATCCTGCAGCGCTGGCAAGCTGAATAGCATTGCATCCGACACTGCTAGATCCACCCCAAATTACGAGCACTTCGTTTCCAGTTTTCCTGGATTCACCCGTCGTAGGAGCTGATGCATCGGGGTAGTTGAGTGCCAGGGTATCCTTTTGAAACAATGCGCAAGCGGCCGTCGACAGACCTAGCGGTAGGACGCAGGCTTCCTCGTAGGAGAGGGTACCTGGGATCGGTGAGGCCATGTTCGCGCGTACAACCGTGTACTCCTGGAACGCGCCCTCGGAGTTCTTGTTGACGGTGGGATCCATCGAGAGCGCGTGGCCCAGAACGCGGTCACCGGGTTTAAAGCGTGTGACTCCCGGGCCAACGTCAACAACCTCGCCTGCAAGGTCATTGCCAAGAATGAATGGGTATTTGATCCATGAGAACATCAAGTCTCCAACAAGCTGTTTGGACCATTCTACCGGGTTGATTGCAATGGCACCATTCTTGATGACGATCTCGTTGGCCGCAGGAGGGGTGTAAGGAGCTTTTTTGACCTCAAGTGGTCGCGCAGACTTGGATGACAGCCAGGCTGCTCGATTGGAGGGCATAGTTTTGTGAAGTCTTGACCTTGGAGAAAACAATGAATATCAAAGCTCGTTAAGACAGTGGAATTGAATTTTGTGGAGAGTTGAAGTTCGTGGCAGCATGCAAGTGAAAGCTCTTCCGGTCTTCGGCACCGTGTCCGAGCCTTGTCATGAGGGGATCAAAGAAATGTCTGATGGCAGATCGGAATTTGAATACCGAGCGCCGATCTGATTTCTTTATAGCCAATGATACCTTAATCAATTATAGGGCTATATTTACTTACTGCAGATCAACTGCTTTCGCTATCTTTCGGCATTTCATCTGATCTTTCCGCGAGAAGATGTCACAGATAGTCCTTCATTCTCATACAGAATGAACAGTTTTTCTTTTTCAGTGCCACGTCACCCTCGTGATATAAGCACGATCTAGAGGTCGGCACCGATACATATCTGTTGGATTATTCGTATCCGTAACCGTAGTCGAGAGCTTAAATCCGTATCCGTAACCGTAGAATTTCTACGGTTACGGATACGGATTACGGATATTCGTGATATTATACCACCGCCTAAGTAAACATACGATACTGCGATAGAAACTTATCATCCCAAGTCCCTAATTTGACATCTAAATAGTTATTCATTCATAGAATGAGTCTCCTACCACGCCGGGTCTGGCGACTATCAATCTTCTTTAGATGTCTGTGGTATTCTAAAGGACCATAAGAGCCTACCATCTGGGCATTCTGTGCTAGCTCGTATACGAATCTTAGCCCTTTGGATATCTAGGAGTCCTCAAAGATAGTAGCACATGGATTATCTCATTCGGTAAGCAATATTTGTAAGGGTTTGAGTCCAATGCGGTTGGGCTACCGTAAACAAGAGAAGAACTAATATGAGAAGGCTACCAGAGGACGGAGGTGTGGGTGTGGTATCCCATAGGGCTCGATTCCACTAGGGTAAATTGGGGACAAGAACAACTCTTGAACTCCTTCAAGAGTCCAAAGACCTCAGAGAGTTAAATACATCAGGAAGTGGCGAATCTCTAACTAGCTTATCCGGGGAACCCCTGCTTCCCTGGCAGCTGGTTCAGCCAGCTTATGTAGAGAGTCCATTGCCTCTCTCAGCCTTCTTGCAACCCACGCCGTTACAATATTCCTTTCTCTTTTTCTTATATATACTTATAGTTCCAGGTATGATATCGAGACACGTTGGAACTCGACATATCTTATGATTTAAGATGCTATCCTTGCTCAAGAGCAGATTAAACATTAGAATAATGTTCAGAATCAGCTGATACCGTTTTCAAATAATGATTGGTCTGATCTTCGTGAGCTTGCTATGGTTCTTTCAATATTCTATGAGTTTACCCAAATTATCTCTCAGCGGCAACCTCATATAAGTCTAGTAATTCCTATTTACTATGAATTGCATGGCCTCCTTATAGAAGCAGCTTCTTTTGAAGGCGACTTTGCAGGGCTTAGTCCTGATATCTCTTCTGCTGTCTTGGTTGGAATGCAAAAGTATAGGAAATACTATGATCTTATGGATATGCGAAATATCTATTATATAGCTCTTGCTCTTAATCTACGTGTTAAATTTGCTCTTTTAGAACAAGAGCTTGAAGATGGGGTTATCCAAGGAATCATTCAGGATATTAAGGTCTTTCTTCATAAGAAATATCCCCCTTTGGCTACCTCCATCTCTAGTTCTACTTCTAGAACTATGGATCCTCCTGCTCGACCAGGTATGAGAGCTCGTCTTCTACAAGAAGTATATTCTCAAGAAGTATCTCGATCTTCTGATATTGATCGCTATTTTGATGAACCTCCTATTTAAGTAGAAGGATTAATAGAAGACCAAGATGACTATAAGTGGCTGCTTTCATGGTGAAACGCTCATAAGTATCAATACCCCAGGATGGCAACAGTTACAAGGGACTACCTTGGTATTCCAGTAGCTGAGATTTCAGTTGAAAGACTTTTCAGTTTTGTAAGGGATATCCTAGGTATTCGTCGACAATCTCTGAATAGTAAGACTATGAGAGAGTTAGTTTTGTCAAGAGATGTACATAATTTTTATTCCTAATTGAAATTTCTTTTACTTGAAAATTACATGAAATTTACACCTCTATAAATATGGAAATATATATTAGAACTGCAGGTAGTTCTAGATACATGATAAGCTACGGATATTACGGATATCCGTACGGATAGAGAGCATTTATTCGTAAAACCGTGCCGACCTCTACATGATGATTCGGCTTTTTTCCTTTTACATCTCTTGAGTGGAGGCAAAGTGGCGCTGATTTCGCTGCTGATTGTAACGTCAGTAAGTTTATCCAAAACTGATATCCTAACTAGTATGGATTGAAAACGCCTTGGCTGTTTGCTTCTAAGCGCCGAGATCTCATCATTTTTCAGCGTTGCTTACCTGCAGCTTATTCTCAGCAAATAAAACCTTCAGTTGTCAAAAATCCTTTGATAATTGCTTTGCGGATGCAGTTTTATCATATCGAAAACATTGGCAGCACAGAGAGGTATTGAAAACCAATGCGTATGTGTAGATCTTCCAGCTGTAGAGTCTGCATTTCAATATTTAGGGTTAATTAAGGGGTTTGCATATTTGACCTCTGGATTATATCTTCAGCAGCCTTGTCTAAATATATCCCAGTATGCACGACCTAGCAATACTTATCCTCGAGCTGCTGATATGCAGGTTGCTTTTGTAAGTTCTTTAAAAAAGGAAACTTTGGCATTGGATCCGATATAGAGAGGGGTTTTTGCGCCAGAAAGCCAATATTACCGAATCATGCATAAGCAATGAGACCACGTTGCATTGATACAGGTCTATTTCCTCTCATTGGCTCTCAAACTAATTATGCCTGCATATGCAGGTACTATACTACTTTTTATGTCTGTCATGGTGGGGTGGTTAGGTTAATAGAATTGGTGTAGACCCAGTTTGGCGTGTCTAACACGACCTAATAAATCACGTAGACCGAGATCTGAATCCCGTGGATTACCTAACGCTTGAGCTTCCTACCTATGAGAATGCGAAGCTATGGAAGGCTACCAAGATGCGTTTGAAGAAATAAATACTCCATTTAAAGCAATTCCGTATCAGTCGCAGTATGTAAGCACTCACTTTTTGGTGCGCCTCTTCAGTCCTTCATGCAAAGTGCTTTTGTTTATGCTGTAAGCTCTGCATGGCTGACCAAAAGCTGCACTGTGACTAGGGCCTAAGTAGCTGAGGGATCAATTCCCCGATTTTGCCATATGGGTGATTTCCTTGCGGGGACAGAAACCAGATGCCTCAGAAAGCATTATCTGTGGATCATTTATAAAAGGATTACCGCTTATCAGGAAAGCAGCCCCTATTGAAGTCTTATTTGGGTTAATGATGATAGAAATGAATACATTACGCCCTCGACAAGAGCCAGGTCTGGCTTGCCAGGAATGCCAACGAAAGAAACTCAGATGCGACAGAAAAAGACCCTGTGGTGCTTGCGTGGACTCCGGTGTACGCTGTCACATCAATACAGATCGTCCCTCTCGTGGACCCAAAAGAGGACATATGAAAGAATTACGATCCAGAATTGGTATCTAGTCCATGTTTACCCTTGTTTCTTGAAAGCCATACTCATCTAATGGTGACTTATACAGCGGTGTTGGAAACAAGACTGCGTACGCAAGACAGTCCCCTGGCCGATATAGGACTGGATCTGAATAGATCAGATGGAGAGCAACCGGAAGTGGCCGAAATCCAGCTCGACCTCTCAGAAGATACATTTTCCTTCCTTTCAATGATGTCACCAAATAATACCAGCTCCCCTGAAGCACTTCTAGCTGGCACAACCAGTGGCGCAGTTCCCAAATTGACACAAGCGGAGCTGTATGCCTCTCCATTTCCCTTATAAGCTCCCTTTGCACGTCCTCATAACTAATTTATAGATCAGGAATCAACTTTACTTTGATCGAGTATATCCTTTTATTCCCATTCTGCAGCAAGGCCGCTACTTTTCCTGGGCAAAGCAGCGCTCGCCGTCCAGATCGCACTTATGTCTGAAGTATGCAGTGTGGACTATGGCAGCCTCCTTATCTTCTCAGTTTCAGCATATGCGGGATGGTCTATACCACGACACACGTCAGATGCTCGAATCATTAGAGAATGAGGATCAACACCAAGAAGATGCCTTTTACCTCCAACAGGCCCAGACTTGGATTCTACTCGCCGTTTACGAATTCATACAGAAGACATTCCGACGCACCTGGGCAAGTACCGGCCGAGCGCTTCGTCTAGCCCAATTACTCAAATTGAATAGCATTGATCCGCTCGAGAATTTCAACGACGTATCTAGCAGTTTATACGCGACCGATGCCGAGACGGAAGAGAAGCGACGAACATTCTGGATGATGTACTGTCTGGATCGCTTATTGTGCATCCTGAATAACTCGCCACTAACTGTGGATGAACATGCTGTCCGTATATTGAATTCTGAGTTACATAGGTGTATTTACTGATTGAATGAGAGTTGCAGATTACCACACGACTTCCCTCCTCGGAAGTGGATTTCCAAAGCGGCAACCCCGTCTTAGCCCCTTTCTTGTCTGATGTCATATTATGTGCGACGGATGTGAGCATTCAGAACCCATTTAGCGAGTGCATCATTTTCAGCACGCTGTGGGGGCGAGTATTGAGCCATCAGAAACAATACTGTGTCAAGCAGGCATGTGGGAGCCCGATAACCGAGTTTTGGGGTCGCCATCTATGGCTCGATAACCTACTCACGCAGCGAATCCAGCTGCATCAAATTATGCCCAACCTCGACTGGATGGACCCCATGCTACTTTTTACGAGGATGATTGCCCAGGCCGCTGTGCTCTCACTGAGAAAAGCCACACAGCTTATTGCATGGCAAGCCCATGATTACGGAGATATGCTGGGGCACTGTGAGCAAAAGGCAGAAAATGCGGCACGAGAGATCGCGCGACTCTCCCAATACTTGTCCCAACTCAATTTCCTCAAGGTATGTGAACCACTTCTATGTACCTTAGCCTGTTTGCTCACTGTTCTTGAACCCGCAATAGATTCATCCCTTTATATCTATCCCTCTTTTTCTCGGTGGGGAGTTCTTTATCCACCAGAAAGGAGCGGACGTGAGTTTTGACAGCAATTTTCTAGAAATCAGTGGTTCGCTACAGGAACTAAAGGATATAGATTTACTCTGCCAGGCTGGGTTAGAATTTGTCAACGCAACGACATCCCATACTCTTCTGAGCAAGGGGACCAGGCCATTAGAAACTTTGAAGCTTTAATGCTAATGACTGGCCATCCAAACAAGCTCCCTAAGAAGTTCTCACATGTTGATTCAAGAAATGACGGGAGCGGAACGAGATCCGGAAAATGACAGGTCCAATAAGGCCAAATTTCTGCCTTATGCTAATTCGAATTGGGACTAGCTTATGATATCTTCCCTCTCAGATCTTATGATTGGTCAAAAATTCATACTCAACTCTCAAATGGTTTAATGTTTGTTATATCTTGTCAAAGGAAGTGGGTTGGGACCTACTTTTAGGTGTATTTAAGCCATATTACGCCCTCGTTAGAAAATTCAGTTTCATTCATTTGTGGCATTTGAATGATTGGCCAGCCAGTCACAGTCTATCTGACATATCTCTAGGATTCACAAATAGCAGAATCGAAAAGTGGCACCTTCGTTATAGTAAACCCGAATAGAATCATGAATAAATTCTGTCTTGAAATTTGTTTCTCACGGAGAATTGTGGATCAAAAAATTTATTCTCTCGATGGGGGCCAGCTCATCGGCATCGGCCCAGGGGCCGCCAATTTATAAAGGGGAATATTTCTCATTTATTTTTGCTGGTAAGAACTTCACAAATCCTCACCAAAAAAAGGTCTTCGCGATGAGAGCTGTCTTCTTTTCCCTTATACTTTATAGTATTCTCTCAGTTGCGCAACCATATCCCGAATATGCAACAGAGCCTACTAGAACTCTACATCGTCGCGGTAGTACTCGTACTTCCAAATTTATGGCACAGTTCACCAAAGGCGCAAAGGCTTGGAAATCATATATCGCTGCGCTAGAGGAAGGCAAAGACGAAATGAAATCCACTTTTTCGATGGAATCTGCTGGCGCCTCCATGAGTACGACAAAAACAGTTGATAAAGATGGATGGTGGTATCGCGACTACACAGCCAAATGGGAAGAACACATCGCAATTTCCACGCTCGTCAGCTCGAACTTGGATATCAATCTCGTCGGCTATGAAGCCAGAGAATATCGTAATCCCAACAATTTTTACGCGATCATGTATTTCGACTGCAAAAATGGAATCATGGTGTCATCATCTGCTTATTTCAAAACGGAAGGCGATAATCCAGTCGCATCTGATTACCGATGGTCTGATGTAGCTTGGGAACTATGGACCATCAAGTGCTCTGCTCATAAGACACATTTACGATATATTGTCCGCGAAAACATACAGAATCCAGTCTCTGAACTTGTCTTGGATGAAACACTGAAGGCTCGGAAGATAAACCCAGCAGATTATTCCCCGACGAAAATAACTTGGAAGAACGGTGTTCCCACTTGTGACGAATCTTCAGGCGACTGTGATTTCTACAGTCTTGTCCATACACCTAATGTAATCGGAACTCTTTTCCTCACAAAAGACCACGCCAGCAAGCTGGAATTCCCCCGAGTGGCTTCTATTAAGGCTTGGAAGTCCGTAGATCAGGAGTGGTGGAGTGCTATCAAACTTGAGTCACTCGAATGTTAGGCTAACTAACGATCATAACCTTTGAAGATGTCAGTGACAGGGCTCTGACTACATCTATACACCTGGGGAAAGATCCATCTCTGGTGAGATTTCCATTTCATCTTTTTTAAATTTCGCAAATTGGCCTGAGAAGTCTCATATGGCTGAGCACTACGAACTCGTGGAGACATTAAGAGAGTGTTGATATACACATATCAAACCAGCGTGCTGTTTCACGAATGGAGCTGATGTGAACTGCTCACTAAACCAATAAAATCTAAAGCTATGGAAAAATTATACAGGCAGTTATGACAGAAAGATTTATTTGGGGAATTTTATTTGAATATACACAACAGGGCCTTCTGATATTTTTGGGGTTTCGTCCCTCCTTTCGTAAACTCCAAAATTAAATATTAATATAGGGGGAAAAGAACTTCTCGCGACTAATCTCTTGGATGAACCATGGCCCACTTTCTATCACAGATCAGTGTGGTTTATCATACACCCATAATATTAATCAAAGTATTATACTCCGTAGGAGTTACTTCTCACCTTTTTTATTATACAAGCATCTTTTTCGCTCTTTATTTCTCCAGTATCCGTTAATTCGCTCAGCTGTTTTGTACATTATTCACGTTATCTTCCTCAGCTGACAAAAAGTACAATTACAGGGATGCTGCGGCTGAATCGCTATAGTTACCCATCTTCATCTCCAAGGATGGCATCATTTTAGGGCGATTTTATGGGGATCTCCGTCCTCACCGGAAAAACATTATATATCTAGTCTTTTTAAGCTCTCCTAAGACCCCTACAAGTTCTACTTGATATTTTTCGCTGCAAAAATAAGATGTCAATTAAGCATGCTTGATAGTCAAAATGATTCAGCCCCGCAGTCCGCTGTACTATGTAAGTTTGTCGGGGAGCTAAAAAAAAAAAGTCGTCGGGTAGTGGTAAATAGCCAGATTATGTGGTAATATGCAAGATTTGACTTACGGTGCTTCAACCCTACTACCCCGCCACCTAGCTTTAAGTTTCGACAAGTTTGTCGCTCGCTGGCGAGGCAGCTAGCTATTCGCCTGTAGCTGAGAACGGTGTTCGGAGTTTTACTGCGGTAAAACAAAGAGTTGGTGAGCTTCAACGAACCACTACTCAACACCGTAGACAAACCACCAAGTGTAGTGGCTTTGACAGTACTAAATATTGTGGTTGTTGTGAAGTCTGTCTTTTCATTGATGGAGAGAACTAGCTACTGATAGTATATGGGCGCTCCTCTGTCCTGGACAAGTGTAACCATTCGTCCGAGACAGAAGAGACGGTGAAGACGGAACATCACTATCGCGAATGCACATCGCTGAAGGGTGTCGTTTACGATAAATGCATATCGTTCAAGGATGCCGTGATATACTAAGCTAGTTCCAGAGTCACTTCCCTGGCAGAAGCTTTTCGGCCAAAATACTTTCCGTATGTTGACAGCCTTGTTTCTCGGCTGTCGCAACAAGAAACATTTTACAAATTCCTGGTAAATTATCGAAAATTGAAGCTAGGTGGCAGGGTAGTAAGGTTGAAGCACCGTAAGTCAAATCTTGCATATTACCACATAATCTGGCTATTTACCACTAGTAGGGTAGACCCTGCTACCCCGCCGCCTGTATACTCTTAGGAATCTTAGGATGAGTTGCCCGTGTCTACGCTATACTTATAGGACATTGAATCATACTTATTTCTCAGAGCATCTCGCATAAGGATACTCAAAATCTTCTCTTGTTTGAAGTTTGATAACATTAGGTAAAATCTTTGGAAGATCCACTTCCTAAAGGCATTAGTTGCTCGCCTTTCGTCCCTGAAACTCAGTATTTATTTTTCAAGTCATTTACGAAAGGGTTATTCGTGTATGGGACCGAAATATCTAGTGAGTTATCAGGTGAGATTATTTACGTGTTCAGAGGTATTCAATTAGGGACCTGCTAAAACCACTGCACAATTTACTTCTACGACTACAAAAACTGATATAAGTTCCTGACCACTGTAATTATCCTCAAATATCCAAAGACTATTGGATAGGGTCATTACAGTGTTGTCCGCCCCCAGCAACCCCCATATGTTAGGGCTTAGTTAACATCAGCTTTTGCCCAACAGAAAATCTCGCGTTCAACCACCTTCTCTCTTGCTTTCAACGCCCGCCGATACATCGTTTCCGCCTCTTCATATTTCCCTTGGCTTTCAAGAACTTTGCCAAGCTCATTAACACTAGTGAGTGTGTTTGGATGGTCACGTCCAAGCACCTTTTCTCGTGCTTTTAACGTCTGTCGATGCATCGCTTCCGCCTCTTGATATTTACCATGCTTAAAGAGCACTGAACCAAGGTCACTAATACTACTGAGCGTAGTAGGATGGTTGTGTCCAAGTGCCTTTTCACTTGCTTCCAGCGCCCGTCGATACATCGTTTCCGCCTCTTCATATTTGCCTTGACTATTAAGCACTAATGCAAGGTTATAAACATGGGTGAGCGTGTCAAGATGCTCGCGTCCAAGGACCTTCTCGGCTGCTTCTAACGCCCGTCGATGCATTGCTTCTGCTTCTTCGTTTTTTCCTTGGTGATAAAGCACTAGGCCAAGGCTATTGACACTGATGAGCGTAGAGGGATGATTGTGTCCAAGTGCCTTCTCGTTTGCTTCCAAAGCCCGCCGATTCATCGCTTCTGCTTCTTCATATTTCCCTTGCTTGGAAAGCACATAGCCAAGGGTACTGGCACTGCCGAGCGTGGAGGGATAGTTATATCCAATCACTTTTCCTTTTGCTTCTAACGCCTGTCGATGCATCGCTTCTGCCTCGTCATAAGCTCTTTCATGATATAGAAGCACACCACAATTGAAAGAGAGCTTGGCGACATTTATTTTATCTTCAAAATCTTCCTCGTATATAGAGTTCAGCACACCTTTAAGCATGCACGAGGAGTAATCGAAATTGTGTCCAGCTTTCGTATTCGCCACTTGGAAACATGCGTGCCATAATACGTCGTGAACAGGCTTGCCAGGCTTGGAGCTGCTGGTGCATGTCTAGCCACGCCCTGACCGATAATTGCACTAGGCGGTGCATATCAAATGACCGTTCATTCACTTGCAGTCTGATCAAAAAATAGCTAAGCAGCGGTGCTAGTGCATCGTGAAAGTCCAGGATATCTTCATAAGAGTCGCGCACTAGATCTTCGGGGATTCCCTGCCGATCAAACATACTCAATAATGATAGGAGATCTGTCGCTTCTGGGTGATCTATAAGGATTTGTTCAAACGATAGCTGCCAAGTTGTAATTACCATATATCGAATGCTAGAATCGCGGCGGAGATCCGCGGAATCCTCATTCTGTAGAAGGCGAGTCTGCTTCGACTCGCTTTCATGGAAAAGTTGGAGGTAAGAGGAGATGGTAAGAAGGGGTAACTGGTTAGCAATATAGGACCCCGCTTGAGTTATTGCTAGCGGAATATATTCTAGTGCCTCTACTAGTGCCTTCTCATCCTCTATAGACCCTCCAGGTTGGGGGGTCGGAATCCTTGCCCGTAATAGGGCAAGGGACTCTTCCTCGTTCATTGGCTGAACCTCAATCACATCACCATCGCTCCCTACCAAATTCCGTGCTGTAAGAGTATTTCGCGATGTGATCAGCAGAGATCCATGGGTAACCCGGGGTAGAAATCTCACTAGCCGCCCTCGTTCGTCGCATGTGTTACTACTAAAAAAGATACTATTATCATCCGCATTATCTAGCACCATTATCCAGCGCCCATTACGTGTGTCACATAACCACTGATATACGAGCTGGAAGATGTTCGTCTTTAGATCGTCCCGTCCCGGAATCTCCGCGACTACGGCAATCTGCTGGTAGCCCTGTTCTAATCGCGCCGCATTACTAGCGTGGATCCAAAAAACCCATATGTCCGGAGTTGATTCTCGCACGCGATAAGAATACTCAATAGCTGTCTGGGTTTTTCTAAAGGGTAATTATGGTTAGTTAGTATTTAATAAATAAAGGCTTTATCATAGGGATAACTCACCTAACACCGGCTAACCCTACTAATGCTACCCGCTCATGACTCTGGCCAATAGCTTTATGTCTGTTCTTAATCGCACTGATAACAGCTTCGCGGCCTATAAACATCGGGTCCTTCTTAAAAGGCACCGTGGAGCACGGCTGGGGCTTCGTACACGTCTGCACTAAACATAGTTCTCTTATTAGCCTGCAAAAGACCCTAGAGTTAATCACTTACTAAATCGCGCTGCAACCACTAATGGCGCGTCCTTTAAGAACTGCTGTAGCTTGTTGAGCGCCGTTTGATACCCAGCCGCGTTGCGCGTGTCAAATTTGACCAACATTGAGTGATCTGCATGTAGCGGCACCGGGCAGCTGGAGAAGCGCTGAGTCTGTGCTAACTGTCGTTATAAAATCCCCGGTCCGTTTCCATCGTCCGCTTTCTGAGTCCTATAGCGGTATTGTTAGTATATATTATAGCCTGTTTTAGATATAAAAAAATAACTCGTACTAATTCTAGCCGCCTAGTCTGCTCCGTCTCATAGAAGCTGACCACCTTACGGTCTCGGATCAGATTCTTGAAATCAGCTAGCTGGTGGATCAGTAGGTCCGATTTAATAGAAATTTGTTGTAGTAGATGACCTCGCGGATGGTTTTTATTCTCTATTAGCATCTGCTGGATATCGTCTATCACTAATCCTTTATGTGGGATGGCGAAGAGGATCATGCAGTAAGTGGCCTGATATAGCGACGCGATCGCCGGATGGTCTCCTTTCATCGTCTGAATGGCTTTTACTAGGCACTATAAGTTGTTAGTAATATACATTAGTAACTCTGGCAGTGATCCTACATGAGCCAAGATGATGCCTCCAAAGCTATGTGCGATAAATATTAGAGGTCTTTGCTGGAGCTACTCGATGAATTAGCCTAAACTTGCGATTAATAGACAAGCTAGGTAGTTTCTCCTACATCTTTCGTGTTCCAAATCTTCTTAATCTCTTCCATCAGCTCTCGTCCGTAGTTGAGGATCTTGTCGACTCCGTGGCTCGATAGCTTGGAGTTATACCCGTAGATCATGGTGCGGCACTATGGAAGATCCTTTGACAGGAAGTCGCGGAGCCACATCCGAGCGAGATTTCCTCTACCTTGCCACGATCCATACGCATGTCCATCTAGTCCGGCAATGGCAATAATGCTATATTGCATTATCAGTCAGTATTGATCTTTGGATATAGATAACGGCACACTTCTTACTCTGCAACTACTGGCTCATTTTCGCCAGGCGTGTAGAGCTCTGTAAATCCAAAGAAGTGGCCGTCAATGTTAATGTCATCGTCTCCCATCTCGACCTGCCAGCCTCCAAGAGGGTTGTCTTTCAGCTCATGGAGGAACTGAGGCACGCCACCGCGACACTACAACGGTGCCACCCTTTGCTTATCATTTTCATAGAATGAAGGTACTATTGTGATCTCGGCCTTGATATGCGATCTCTCGTCGTCTGTGAAGCTGTCGTTGAGTGCCTCTTGTAATGCGGTCTTAAGGTCCCCATCGGGCAGTTCCCTCGACAGACCTGTCACCCGGAAGACGTGCGACTTTTTCTGGCTTGCCATCGTGATTTATCCTCAATGAATGGTGTATTAGATGAGAGTGGAGAGTGCGTCGTTTGTTGATGGATGCCTTCCAGTGAGGCTGAATCCACAACAGGTGCGGGGTATTGAGCGTGCATTTCCAGTCATTGCTACTATCATTTCGTAGATACTACTATATACTGTAATAAATACAACTTCTTGAAGTCTTCTTCCTAAATCATACATTCATGGAGAAAACGCTTCACCGCCACATAACTACTATATCAGTTGTAACGGGTTAAGCCCGATAGAATGCCTAGTCTCCTTCAGAGACTATACTCTTGGCTCCTATGCGGAGCCGGAGTTCCCCATTAGAGCATCCCAACCCCAGGATCAGCTGGGGAACTGTGTATCCAAATACGGTAAGCGTATCTCTTATTCTCGCTGAGAGTACCACTAGACCCAAATACCGTGATCCCTCTGAGGTATGAGGGGAAGATCATTGTTATGGCAATCGTTGCGAGATATACATCACACTATATTCGTAGCTTTGCTTGGTCTACATTCAGATCTGTATGCTGTGTTTTACGGATATCATGAGTCTTGACGCAGTATATCAAGGTGGCTATACATACCTTATGTACGCACTTAATTGCGAAAAGATACCACGGTTTCTGAACTACTGACACATAGTTTTTTAAGCCACAACGGTAAGAAAACTACTGGCAGGCTCTATGACTACAGTCTCAAAACTATTGGTAGGTATCAAAACTACTAGAAGTATCAAAATCCAACAGCTCTATAATTTCTCGCGGCTGTTTTTAGATCAATCTCCGTGAAAACTGCTCCAATTTTGGAACTAAAGCCGAAAATGGCCTAAGCCTTTAGAGATGTGTCCCCTACACTAAATAATTTGTCGATGTGGAAGAAGACAGCATACCATTACTTGGAAAATGACACTCATTTCTAGGGTTTTGATTAAGAGAAACGTAACCTTAATGGAAAGTGACCTTTTCTATGATGACTGCATTCCGGCGTAAGGAAGGAGCTCTTGAAAGAATACTTGGCTTATTAGCATGGTCTTGAAATTCGTTCGATTAGAGCTCACTTTTTCTCAATCAGACTGATTTCATCGAGTGAACCCTGCACTGCGACCTGTGTTTTCCACCAATTGATCACATAAACTATCCATCTCAGTTTGCATGTATGCAGTAGAGCCATGACATAGTTGGCTTTTCTCGAAATCAATCAGTTACGCCTTATCGTCTTGAATAATGAAATTATATCTGTTGGCGTCGCCATGGAGGATGCCAATGTTATGTAGGCGCTGAAGGGCAGATTGATAAGACGAAAGATCCTTGATATTTGCTTCAAGCCCCTCAAGCTTCTCTAACATGAAGCCGATTACACGGCCATGCTCGTGGACATGGCCAATGAATCGTGGGGCAATACCTCTATATTCCAGGCTTTTATAAACGAGGGTCTCCTGTGATAGACGAGGTAGTTCCCACTCGAACCGTGCAACTTTGACAATAACAACCGGCGAGCTCATAGTAACGAGGGGCTCGTTACCGGAGTAAGTTGCTTCGTACGTAGTAGCGGTGAACTGCTTTATTCTTTCTAACTCGAGACAATCAACCAACACAGGATGCCAAAGGTGTGTTATAACAATAAGGTTTCTCTGCTGTAATACCATTGCGACTTCACCGCTCGACTGATCTCGATTGACGTACGCCATATTCCAGGTGTGTCTTCAGGAAATTCGGGCAACGAGTTGAGGGGCATGGAAAGCATTGACCGTTCGAATGTACCCGCGCTGATGATTATACATCCGGCCCGATTTTGGACTAAAATCCATATTCGCTGTCATCCCTACTCGATACCTCCATCGAAAGTATCTTGGGAGGAGAAGACATGTGACTCATCTGGGCAAAGGCAAAAAAGAGTGTGAATCTGGAAGCGGCAGCCAATACAGGAAGATTGGGAAGAATATATCTTCAATGGTCACGAAAGAGTGAATAGACCTGATCGAGAAGGTCAAAGTAGCCCTCAAGTCATGTAAATGTAATTGCGTACGAAATTTTGCGAGCTGGAAAAGCCTAGCCTGGCAGAAGGAAATGTGTCAAAGGAAGATTGCCGATTTTTTTCCAATATAAGCACTTGTGGATCCTCTAATCTCGATGATACATGTAAGTGGCAATCTCATTTGAATATTAGCAAAGTGCGATACCTGTGATGTGATATATTTGATGCGATTTGCTTTGCACACTACCAGCCAATTAATGATATTATTGAATTGTGGTAGGCGGCTTAAGCGTCCGATATCAACTCGCGTTGGCGGCAAAATAGCAATTTAATGGACCGCACCAGTTGTACATAAACAAAGTTCTGCAAGTTCGCAAGTAGAGCACAGCAGAGATTATCCTGCTGATTTTCCATTACTGCCTCTCAGGCTGACCCTTTCACCCCCGACATTTTCCAAGAATAAAGCACATCTGGTTTATTTCCATTTCTTGGTAAGTGTGTTCCTAATTTATCTATCGCTGGAAACTTACGTGTAATGGCCATAATTGATATGGCCCTTATGTCTAACGTTTTCCAGGTGTCCCAATGTGCACTTCTTATTACATACACTATACCTGTGGGTGCAAGAAAGAGATGGAGTTCGTCCGTATGGATTTACTTATGTCAACTTATTGATTTTCAATATCTTCTATCAGAAACCACCCCCGCTTTTAAGATTTCTCCACTTGGAGATGGATCTCGGCCCGAGCCGACGGAGTAAATTGTGGAGGTCGTTCTAGGTCGTTCTAAGTTCAATCTAGTTAGGGCTAAGTGCTCGGGGAAACGGTTGCGTTAGACGGCATTATTGGACAGTGAATACATTCTAGATCAATCATATGAAATAGGGCAAATAAGTTGCCCTTCTACTGTACTTGTTTTGAGGGTGAAAACTGATAAGTAGCATAGATCCAGCCTTGAGAGTTCCTCAAGATTGATACATTTGTACTCTGTGCACGATTCCTGTACGATTCATTCCCGATTCATTATTTTCTCAATACTTTAACAACCCGGGTTCGACAAGTTTTAAGTCTACACTTACGAAACTGATTTGAGCAAAGTTAATCTTATTTTATTAAATCTTTTACTTAGAAGATTTGCCCAGCATACTCAACACATCTGACGGTTCGTAGAATTGAAGCCGCATTCCAGACCAGCTCAGGATCATCATCTGCGCCATTTACTCGCCGTGGCACCGATATGCAACACGTGGCTCGAAGACCACAAGGTAGCCCGTTCGATCTCACGAATGGAGTAGTTTAAAGCGTTCTTTTTTTGATCCCGAATGCGTTGTTTCTAGTAATCAAAATTTGATATTGTTTTGTTCACTTCCGGCGATGAAATTAATAATTCGACGATCAAAAAATTTCTATCTATGAGGTGGTTGCATATTGCACTTGCTGGTTTAATTATTTAAGGTGGGTGATGAAGTAGAATCTTAATTGATTGGCTTGATACCACCATGGACGAATTTGTCGAAGTATACTTATCACTGGCTGAACATACGGGTGACTTAACCAGACAGGGAAGAATGTCCAATTCAAGATAGAAACTATCATCCAGCATCTGGCGAAGAGAATTTCGCTGGTAAGACAAGGAAGATTCAATGGCATATCGTCGAATAAACTACGCACTGCGCTAATCAAATAAAGAAGAGTACGATCGTATTTGTGGTATTCGGAGTGGTGAAAATGATTTCGATCCATGCTGTATTTATAGGCGCTAGAAAGGGGTATTTAGAGTGAATAGTAAAACAACGCCAAACCGTATGATTTCTGTCTTTACTCAAAGAGCATTTTCAGCTCTTCAGTACGCTGTTTTTTTCTATCTTCCTCCGGGTCTTCACCACCGACACGTAAACCAAGTGAACCAGCGATATTCATCTTGCGGTCTTGCACACGAAGCATACGGCCTTCAATAGAGTCCTTGATTATGAACCGTGTTACGGAAACCTCACGTGTTTGACCCATTCGATGAACACGGTCAATTGCCTGTGCCTCGATGGCGAAGCTCCACCAGGGATCCATTATGAAGACATTGTTTGCAGTTGTGAGATTGAGCCCTACCCCGCCAGCACGGAGGGAGATGATGAGAACGACTGGCGAGGTAGTAGACGTCTTTGAAGCTGATGGCTTGCGAGGGCTTCCGTCCTCGTCGTTGATATCCTCCTCCTCATATGTCTCTTTGGTGAATTCTGTCAAGACAGCCGCACGGGCCTTTTGAGGCATGCTTCCGTCAAGGCGTAGAAAGGAGATTCCCAATTTGGAGAGTTGATCACCAATGAGATCCAGAAACGAGGTGAATTGGGAGAAAACAACAGACTTTGAATTTGTTGGGAGGCGAGACAAGTGGTTTATGAGTGCATGGATTTTGGCAGAGGTATGCGCGGATGGGGAGAGGGGATTGATGCGACGTAGAGAAATGCGTGGGGCCGGCTGCGAGCTATTGGGGATTTCCACAGAGACAATGGTGTTGTCTTTGGGTAAAGGGGTTGACGCGGGGTGTCGGATAACTTCGAAGATATTTTTTGATTCAATCGGCGCTCGACATGAGAAACAACGTGCGGGAGCGCCCTTGGCCGTTTCATGGCGAATGACATCCTCAAGACATTTCTTGCAGGCACTATGCCAGCAAGCTGTGACCGCTGGATTTATCATTGGTTCTTCACAGCAGATGGGACACTCGCCACTAGATTCCGTCTGGATTTGGCGAAGTGCATGCGTTGTGAATACCGCAGACTGATTTTGTGACTCACTCTTTTCCGTCATGGTTGTGAATTGGTTAATGAGCTCCTGAAGATCCATGTTATCTTTCATTTCGTTTGCTGCATCTGCAATAAGAGCTGCATTTTCTTCATCGGACACAATGACTTTATTTCGAGTAAGAATGGGATGGCAACATGTCTGGCGAAGACGTAGAATCTGAGCAAAGATGGTGGTGTAGGACTTGAGAAGCGTTCCAGCCGTGACGTTGTCATCATAAGTTCGCCTAGCACGGGTGTAAATTAGGTCGTAAATTTCTCGTTCTTTTTCTGGGAGTTCAATTTCCTCAATAGTGATTGTTCGTGGAGGTAACGGCACCAAGGGCTCTCCATCGGGGGTTTTCATAGTCTTCGTTCTCCTCAGAACAAGTGGTTCAAGAACACTCTGTACCACATTCAAAGCGCGGGCATATTCTTTCGACTCGAAGGGCACGGTGATAAAGGTTTTCCAAAACGAAAAATTGCTCCAAGGTTCAACCTTCAGGAATCGCACCAAGCTGAACAGGTCCTCTAGTCGATTAACAATGGGTGTGCCGGTGAGAACCCAGCGATGGGTGGCCTTGAGTTCGTAGCAGGCTCTCGCCGATTTTGACCGCCGATTTTTGATCAAATGGGCCTCATCTAGAATGATACGGAAAAAGTCTATTGAAAACAAGCCGTCATGCGTTCTGGAGGACTGAGATTGGAGTGAACGAAACTCTGACAGCACAACGCCATAGCTGGTGACAATCACATGTGGAGCCGTTGCATGGTTTGCTGCTGAGCAAAGATGTCGAAGATCCACAAATTTGTCATTCCCATAGTACATGCGCACTCTCATGGACCCCGGCTCTGAAGCCTTGAGAGCTTCGCTTTCCCATTGAGAAAGAAGTGATGTTGGAGCAACAACCAGAGTAGTGTAGGGTGCATATATTGTACCAAACGAATTAGGTAGTTGGAAAAGACTATTGATGGGACTTGCACCATTCAATGAGTCAAGACCAGGCTCGATCCTATGTGAATGTACGAGACTAAGCATCTCAATAGTTTTGCCCAGTCCCATCTCATCAGCTAGAATCCCTCCGAGACAATGTTGTTCTTGAACGGGGAATTCAATGCTCAGATCCCCAGAGTATGGATTGACATAGAAATTTTCCATACCCTCAACTGTAACATCTTCGTTGTCGGGGCCCAAGGCTGGAAAAGTGTACTCTTCCCACAAAGGGTTCATTGACCGTTCTCGAGCTTGCTTATTATCCTTCTCCTTCGCCATCATCCAATAAAGCGCTTGCCTTTGGTACTTGCGCAGGTCCATCTTGAAGCTGGGAGCGGGATCGGCTTGGGGCATGTTGAAATCAAATGACTGAGCTTTGTGGTAGAGAGTATCGAGCTGGTCCGCTTCCAGTTCCGGCGTATCATCTTCAGGGTCGTTGTCTCCTTGAGATGGCTTGATCTTTTCTTTCTTCACGCCATCATACTGTTCAGCCATCTCAGCAGCTCGGAGAATTCCATCTCTCTTGTGCTTCTCCGTAGTGGGATTGGTCGTCGTCGGCCTGAGATCAATTGCATCGAAAAGCTTGATAAGGCCTACTTGGCGGAGTCGTAAATTCCTCTCTTCACTACTTTCTTTTGCATCAAAAATTCCGGTGTCCCTGTTGTCGTCCATACTTGACCCTGTAAACAACCCCTGTCGGAAAGCATCACTTTTCATGAAACATGTGATTTGCAAACAAATTGTATCGTTGATACGGATTTTATCATCGACGAACACACAAACGCCCAAAAAAGAGCAAATGTTTTGGTCAATCAGAGTAGATATCCACTCAGCAACCTCGTGAGGTATTCGTCCGATTTCCTGGCCTTTCATGTTGGTGAATCGTGTCAGGACGTCTGCCTTCTGACTTCCACGACCGCGCTTGGTAGTGAGCTTCGTACGCTCGATTACGACGGCGTCTCCGTGCTTAAGCAAGCCTGATCCACTCCGGGTTGCCCAACCATCCACGCCGAAGGATCCAATATATCTCAGTCTCGGTTTGATCTTTCTTTTGGGATTCGTGAGACTACTGGCGCTAAAAGAGTCTTGGGACGAGTGAATATGGCATGGCTTAGTCACAAGTGCACTTCTGAAGGCAGGTTTGTTCCAAGACCCATCAAAGTATATGTTGACTGCTCGTTCGAGGTTGTTGGAGGCAGCGGCCTGGATGGTTTTGATCGAATCGGCAGGCAGTTCTTCACCTATGATACTAATGAATTGGTTGACATCGAATGTACCGGAGGACTCAGCGACCGGGGTATCGTCAGTGGTCGATGACATCTCTCGGCAGGTGGTTTCTTTTCGGCAAGGACCTGACATTGACAGTCTGCCCATAAATTGTTTTTCAGAGGTATCTCCAGTAGCAAGATCTAACATATCATGTCAGTCAGAGTAGCGTCAAGCAATGGATCGTCGATACAACTTACCATAAGGTTCCTCGAGGTCCCCAGAGAAGTTGTCATCACAAACATTAACATCGGGATTTTGACGTTGCCTTTTTGGAGGCGGTTCTCCCTCATATTTATTCATAATGACAGTTAGAATATGAAGCTGATGAGAAAAGGAAAAAACTCCACAAGTTCGAATCCCGAAGTGGGGACGCGTGCAAACGCGAGGCAATACGCGAAGTGATGGGTCAATTAAGCTCAAGACAGGTTCTTGACCGCCAAGATGTGTGGAGCTACATTTTCATCATCAACATTTCCATTGGTCTTGGGTGTTGGCAATCAATTTCCACCTTTCACGAATGTCATTATATATGGAAGCTGCTCGGTTTTGCCGATTGAAGAAAACATGTTTTCCCTCGACCTTCCGGCAACCGAAAAGAGCATTCTCTCGATCCCAGGCAGTCTTTACGCTGCCCACCGCGGAAGAGATTCAAGGCGCCCATAAATACTGCGTTTCTCTACTCACGTATGCAACTCTGTCGCCTTCTCGGCTTTCTCAGTCAACTATAGACCAACCTTCCGACTTCAAAAACTAATTACCCCACCAAAATAGAAAATATGACCGTCCTTCTTATACGCTGAGTAGCTTCATTCCAGCGCACGCCCGCACTTTCTATATCGCCCTGCGCGCATTGAACGTTTCCCTCTCCATGATTCCCGAAACAACATCCTCTCCTACAATTGGATTGATGCGCCTACAATTCTGGCGAGATTCTGTGACGAAAATCTTGGCTGGCGCGCCGCCCAAAGAACCTGTCGCGATCCTGCTTGCCTCGTCTATATCTGATCTCAATGAGCGCACACAAGGCCGCGCAAGAATCAGCAAGCACTGGCTTATGAGACTGATTAGTGCGCGAGAACAAACACTCACAAATGACCCTTACCCCGACCTTGCGGCGCTGGAGTCTTATGCCGAAAACACCTATTCGACTCTGATGTATCTTACCCTGGCCGCACTTCCAATGACATCTGTCACTGCCGATCATGTCGCGTCACATATTGGGAAGGCTGTGGGAATTGCCGCTGTACTGCGTGGCTTGCCGTTGGTTGCTTTTCCAATGTCGCAGCCCCAGACGCCTCATGGCGGTGGCGCCGCGAGCCTCGGGCTTAGTGGCGGGGCGAAGCAAGGTGCGGTGATGCTGCCGCTGGACATCATGGCGCAGGCTGGAGTTAAAGAGGAGGAGGTACTTCGGCGCGGAGCTGACGCCGAGGGTCTTCGCGATGCTGTTTTCACCGTTGCTACTCGATCAAGTGACCATTTGATTACCGCTGAGCAAATGCTGAACAATATCAAAGCCGGTGAAGATGTCGGGCATGAGTTCGAGCACGAGGGTGAAGAGGGTCATAAATACGATACCTCGGCTCTTGTTGGTAGCCAAAATGAGTCGCCTCTGGAGGAGATTAACAGAGCTTTTGGAGTCTTCATGCCTGCGGTTGGCACGCGTTTGTGGCTTGACAAGTTGCAAAAGTGTGATTTCGATGTTTTCCAACCGGAATTGTTGCGGTCAGATTGGAAGTTACCTTGGAAATCCTTTACGGCGTTTCAACGGAAGAATATTTGAGTAATACAGACGGAGTCGTGTATAATAAACATGTAATATATGGATGCAAGAGCAATGTACGGATTACAGTACTGTTGAACCTGGTAACCCTTCCATTGACAATGATCTGTCATGAGTATCTATCCAAGCTGCGCTATAACGTCAAAAACTCGAAGTTATGCCTCTGGCTGCCCTGGTGCCTTTCAAGACAAACTAAGCATATCAACTCACACAAGTGGACTACACTCATGTTTTATTGGCCGACAAATGCCGTGAGCAACACATCACACGTGCTTCCTCACTCGTCGTTGCTTTCTCGAGCTAACTATAAGCCGTTTCTGGGCAAGCATAACAGCGTATCGCTGAATTTTGTCACGCCTTTGAATGAGAAGTTAGCATTGACTCTGGCCAAAAGGGTGGAATTGAAAAGAAACTCACATCAGGTACAAGGTGGTAACGACAACGAAGGGAACTGCAATCTTCCAAAAATATCTAACGAGAAAATCAGCTGATTTCATTATGGTTTAATTCACTTTCAGGAGGACCCACGAGTCACTGTGATTTATACCAGCAAAATCCGTGAAATTCATTCCGAAATACCCCTTGAGCATGTATTAGCAGGCTGTATGTCAATAGAAAAAAACATTACATACCGTCAAAAAAGTCATCGGGAGATAAAGACAGGTAACAATAGTCAACTGCTTCATGCTTTCGTTCTGGTAGGCGCCTGAATATTTTTAAAAAGAAGGAAATTAGCCTCGTGCCTGTGAAATATTGCTATGGAACTCACCGATGGTATTGAAAATGAGATCAATCATGTTATCGGCATTGCGTCTCATCTGATCGTATCCTTCTACAATGGTGATACAATGATCCAAAGCATCTCCTAAATAGGTATGACACATATAGCTGATAGTAACACTCGACCCTCCAAGGCTTTTTAGATTTGGTGTAATAACTCCAATATGAGGATCTCCAGGCGTAGAGGAAGGACTGAGTGGACCACCACGCAAAGCTGCAAGACCTGGCGTGCCAATCGGTTCGGACCGATGGTCACGGAGAGCATTGATCACAGCTACCAAGGGCTGCATGGAGTTACGAAGAACAGCAATCTCAGAAGTGAGAATATACAAGCTCTTCGATTGGTCAATATCTGGATCTGTTAAAACATCCAGTTCTAGGTCACCAATTGCATCTTGATAAGCCATTGTGACAGGGATCGCAAGGTCAACAATTGCATCAAGTATGGCCTGCAGGAGCATACTTGCATCGCATGACTGTCTAAGGATTGTTTCAGGCGAACTGAGTCGCCGAACAATGGGAGCCTCGATATCATCGGCACTGGTCTCAAAAAAAGACGTCACAGTATTATCGGCATGGAGGAAGATGGAAACCTGCTCCAACGTCACGCATAATCCTTTTGGAGCAAGCACAGCATGGCGTTCCATGAATTCAATGCGATCCTCGTTCCGACCCCCACGATAGCGCTGAAGTGTCGGGGCTGTAGCCCCCGAAGCATTGACTATGTCTCCAAACTGGTTTGAATCGTTCGAAATAACTCCACGTCCTCCGGGACGAACGCTGGATCCAACGGGCGCTTTTTCTTTGCGGTTTGAAGGTGCTTGTCTTTTTGATGGAAGCATGTCCTTCAGTGCCTCTAGGATAACATTGCGCTTGGTGGCACGTTTCAGAGATATTGAGCTGATACTACTCGCGCTCGAGCTTTTTCTGTCTTTGTCATCTCGCTGATTTGAATTATCATCTTCATCCTCAGAATCACTCAAATCTTCTCGCAGTTTCACCAACTTCTGTAGAGTCAGGGCAATAAAAGCATGGTCTGAGTACCAATCGGCCTTTGTGCGATTTGTCGAGTGTACCACATCCTCAACGGCCAGTCGATGGAGCTTCTTGTGGTTTCCAAGAATTTTGATCACATCCCAGCTCAGCCCATTGACATTTATCCAGCGACATTGTACCCAGGATTCCCGCTTCCGTGCAAGAAACGGCTCGAGTGTGTCATTATCCAATACATATTGTCGCATTTCATTCTGAGAAAAGTCCACCACTGTGATACTGCAATCTCTCTGGAGATCGCCAGGAACATTCGAAGACCATTCCGAGGTATAGGCGGGTAGTGGCTTGGTCGGATCGATACCAGGTTCGGTTCCTGGTTGCCAGTTGATGTCGGCGAGGAAGCCGTCAGGACGATAGGAGATAGCAGTATTTCGCCGGTTTCGCGGCCTCATAGTGTCAGCGGAGTCGACCCTTGTTGTGCTAGTGAACGCGTCTGTAATAGGGCCTTCCATGGCAGTCGGAGAGACTTGGGAGCTTATAGAGTGGCGGGCGGCCTCAATGTCCACATCAGTCGAATCTATGTGTACTGCACGCTGCGCATAGTCAATTGAGTGAACGCTCATGATGGATGGTTCGGCTGATTGACGCCGTATCCTTTAAGCTGAGTATTGTCCATCCGTTGGCCTCGGAAATTGAGATAAGAGGAAGCAGTAGGAATGATAAGAAAGTAGATGACGCAACTGCACGACGCTAGGGGGTGGGCTGATCTGCCTTGACTCAGGCGTTCAGGTCATTTCCATGAGTATAAATGTAAGATTGCAATCAAGGAAGAAGGAGAATTAAGTATTGAGACTCGAGAGGAATAGTCAACGAAGGTAGGAAGGTACGATTTCCAAGTTTTGATGAGCGGAATCAATGTCCGTGCGTTGAACCTCGGCTCTAATATCTACTCCCCAGTTCCATCTTCCTCTCTCAAGTTTCAAACTTGGAGACCAAGTACTAGTTCCAACAATTCATTATCTGACCGGTATCTTTGCCTTAGCCTATATCAAGTCAAAGAATACAATCAAAACTGGCATAATCAATCAGAATCTCATCTACCAGGGCTGGCTTTGCGACTGCCAGCCCGGTGCCTGGGTGGTATATTTGACAAATCTTGCAATAGTCGATCAAATCACGATCTTCGCGCTTGATAGACTCGAGGAACTCCAGCTCCAGGATTTGTGCTCACTTCAACAAAGTACAAGCCCTCTATCATGATTCTGTTTACATACATATGCCACCATGATATAGCCAGTCTCCGCTGTAGAAGTACTTCTAATTTCCCTTGTCCTCGAACTAGACCTCGCCGTCTCTCGCGAACTATTTCTGCAATCGCCATGTAATTTTCAATCCATAGGTATAAAGTTTGGACTGTTTTTGGGAAATTTGAGGAAATCACCATAAAATAGCTTGACGAGTGGCTATATTAGCCGTGATAACTATCCAAGCAATATCAACTCTCATTTTACTACCCACTGAAAGGCAATCACAGAGTGAGAAAGACCATACTAGGATGAAACCTAGGTAGAAGTAGTCCCAATCCAAACTCACGAGGCTCCAAGGCCAATTCCGCATATCAACATCTAAAAGCCGAATTTTGGTGAAGTTTGGCTTGATCGGTATTGCGGTAAAAGATAAATCGGAAACAAGAGACGCTTGGTCCATATATATTGGAATAGTACAGTAAATGTGGATTATAACGAGGAGCACCTCTCCTAGTGGTATGTGAAAAGCGTATGTTCAGTTACTGTCTCTACGGATAAGTCCATATTTGATTGCGAAACAGCATATGAGTTCCATGAATTCGTAGCGACAACCGCGATCTAATTTGATTACGGTTGATCCACAAATCATCAATGTAAGTATCTTTTGAACGACTCGGTTCTGGTAAAGAAATGCCAATAAGCCGCTGTCAATAAGTAAGTTGGTGGGATCATCCACTTTGATAACTGGTGCAATGTGATTATAGCTGAAGTTTTATCTTTCAAAAAGTTCAAGACTGTGAGTGGCTATACTTATACTTGTCAATAAATTCCGATCCTACTTGGAAGCAGGCCTAGATCAAGCGTCAATTAATGCCGGAGGCGCCCACTCCTCTTCTATTACTTGCAGTGGTGCACTTAGTCAGACAACACCAGTTCTAGTTAGTCGAGTTATACCCAGGTACCAAGATGGAGCAGTTTTCTATCTAGAGCCTGAAAAACATAGGGTCTGATATGTTTGAGTAGGTAAAGATAGAGAAAACGGGCAGCGATCAGTATCTACATCTCAAACAAAGTCTCACTTAAATGGGTGGCCATGATTTTCTAAAAGTTTATGGATCGAAGCCCCATAGTGCCAGTCTCTATGTATCTACCAAGGCTCCTCGTTGCCGTCAAACTTGAACAGCTTTCCACTATGAGTTTGCAGCGCGGACGCGTCAATGACCTTCAATATTCCATCAGCACTGTCTTCTACAGTAACAAAGGCTTTCTCGAACCCAAAGGCTTCGGCACCTCGGTTGCCGATTTCAGTCTCAACCCAGCTATTTCTGCGATCAGTCTACCGTGTAGAAAATCTCGAGGGATCTAATCTATTGAACATACCCTGGTTCAATTATGAAAGCATTCAACCAAGAATCTTCAGTGGAGATTGCTTTAGTGTACCAATGCTGAACACCTTTAGTGGGAGCGTACGCAGCGTTATGAAATGGGATGAAGTTCCTAAGAAGGGTTAGTATGTACGTTCAGGCCCAGGTCTAGATACTGTCAAGGTCAAAATACATACTATCAAAAATGTTAGCATATAACCTTTTTCAAATAAACAGAATGACTAGACTGACCGTCATGAAAGCTGAGCTAGATCCGATTGTTATCCACTTAGGGGCCTGTGCCTCCTTGAGGATGGGTTGGAAAGCCTGGTAGAGACGGAGAAAGCCAAACACATTGACGTCGATGTGCTTTTGGATATGATCCACCTCAACTTCAGACACCTTAGGAAAAGAAAGAGCAATACCAGCGTTGGCGACCAGGATGTCGATGTGGGTAATACCCTTGGAGGCTAGCTCTTTGACTGCCGCAGCGGGGTCATTCGGAGAAAGATAGTCGATTTTGATGATCTCTAAATAAGTGCCCTTAGCTTTTGGCAGATCAGTCAAAGCTTTTGAGGTTGGGTGGTTTGGGTCACGGGTTGCAGCTATCACGGTATAGTTGGGCTTCTTCAGATATAATTCCAGGATACCTTTTCCGATGCCGCGATTGGCACCGGTGACAATGACAAAGGTAGAAGCCATCTAAAAGCTATTATTGACAGAAAATAAGTTTATACAAGTGTCACAGTAATGTAAAGCCAAGACACTATACTCGTGGGTGAGATAGAGCGGCAGCAAGACTCGGAATATTAGGACGCATAAACCACGAATAATACTTCCAAGGTTCCAGGGCTATATATTTCCCTTGGATAATCAGGAAGACAACTCGCTGAGCTCATTGGTCATCATGACAAATTGCTAACAGGGAAATATCATTCTTTGATTGCCACGAGAGTCGGGCAACGGGTTGATATTCACCCGACTCTATAAGATCAACCAAAAGTTGGGACTTGTGAATATCGCTGCGCTGTTATTTTTTCATTAATTCTTCCATGCCTTGAGACTTGAAGTGGCTTCATGAGAGGTCGGCAATTACGGCTTCAAAGGAAACTCCAAATAATTATGAGTGTTTGTATTGATACCATAGCAACTTACTACAGGTCTCGAAATAAGTAACATAAGCATCCCAATTCTAAGCTATCGGAATTAAGTGCGGAAATCAAATTCCGTCAATTCACACTATTATCCCGAGTTTAGTTAGTAGCTAAAAACCAGTAGTAGTTCTTCATAGGTTAAAATATGTAGTAAACCGACCTTCCTTATACTCATACTTTCTAATGCTATGATCTCCTCAATATACCTAGGAATACGTTCAATCAAATGCTAGACTTGCTCTTGAAATATCTCATTCCATGCTATATACTACGCAGTAAAAGCCTTCTATATTAATTTAGGTCATTCTTGAGCGAACGGCGGAAGTTTTGGTAAAAGAATAGTCTTTTAGTAGTGGTACTAATCAATTCCAACTCGAGTGCTTCACAATACCTTCCCGTTTAAGGTATTTTTTCTCCAAGTAGGCTTTTTACCCATAGGTTGCCTTCAAAGATTCATCCTACCTCTAGATGTCTCTAGAACGGCACTTTCTGCCTCCGCTTTTTCCCTATCAGCAAGGGGATCGGGCTATTGGAAGGCGCCAATCACCGAGAAATTTTCGCTGAGCTAAGCGATTTGGCTTACGTCGTCGTTTGGCCGTATTATCTCTCAAACCAGCGTCAGTCCACCGAGCCGGAAATTTGACGTGTTGAATGTGGGTCGAGTGTTTAGAAAATACCAAGTTCACCTACTCATCTCCACTCCAGCTGTCTAGGTCCTATATATTGCAAATATCCCGATTCAAGAAACTGTGACTTAAGTAAAAAGCACATAACATGTCACTCCTACTTGGCTTCATCTTGCTGCCTCTAGCCGCTCTGGGCGCTTTAGTTTTGAAGGGCTTCTACAGACTTTATCTACATCCACTTTCTCGTATTCCAGGACCAAATATCGCAGCTTTCACTTCACTATGGTTGGCATACCACACCTACATTGGCGATGAATGCACCGTGATATTTGATCTCCACCGAAAATATGGCCCGGTTCTTCGCGTTGCTCCAAACGACATTGATATTGCCGCGGGAGATGCCATAGAGCCAATTTACCTCGCTCGTGGTGGCTTTCCCAAGTCACTCGCATACAAAAAGTTCAACATTGAAGGTCACAGTACAATTTTCTCCACACTGACACTCCCAGAGCGGGCAGCGAGAGCCAAATCTGTTGCTCCTCTATTTTCAACTACTTCCCTTCGGCAGTCTGAAAAAGTCTTATCGCCGGTCTTTGATGATTTCGTGAGACGTCTTCGACGGGAAGCTAAAAATGGCAAGCCTGTCAATGTTCTGAATGTGTCTCGCTGCATGGCAATTGATGCTATAAGTGCATACTTATTTCAGCATCAGTACGGAGCCCTTAACGAGGACTCTGATGTGATGTCCGCCTCACCATTTGTCGATGCCTATGTTGGCGTCGGCGCATTCTTCAATTTGATGCCAGGAAGAATGGGTGACATTCTGATGATGGCTATTGAACGATTCAGAGCAACAGAACTCACGGAAATAGCGTTTTCACTCATTGACAGCTACACAAGTCAGCTTATCAAAGTAGCAACGCCGAAATCTGGTAGCTATCAGAGCCGCCTCTTGGAAAAACAGTCAGCCATACAGTCTCAGATTGAATTGAAGGACATCTGCTTTGCAGGAACAGACTCTACCAGTATGAATACTGCTACCACGATGTGGTACTTAGCCAAGTATCCCGAAACGTATGTCTCACAGCTTACCTTTACATGAAATTGGATCTATAACATAATTCTAGATATGATCGACTTCGACAAGAGATCCAGACTTCAGTCTCCAAAGGGGAAGATCCCGCCCAATGCAACTACCTCCGTGGGGTAATTCGAGAAGGGCTTCGCTTATCCTGGGCCAATCCTATTCGGCTCCCGCGGGTTGTTCCAGCAGTGGGGTGGAACTATCACCAATACTACTTCCCGGCCGGAACGAATGTCGGTGTCGCATCGTTCCAACTACACCAAGATGAAGCAGTCTTTCCGAATCCCTTGCGTTTTGACCCTGGGCGCTGGTTAAATCCTACAGATGATATGCTGAATCATTTTTTTGCATTCGGGAAGGGTACTCGAGCATGTATTGCGCAGAACCTTGGTTTTCTGGAGGTGACTACCGCAATCCTTAAAGTGGCTGAGGCAGATTTGCTTCGTGGATCCAGAGTGATTGATCAAGAAAAGATTCAAATCAAAGAATGGTTCAATTCTAGGGTGGAAGGGGAGAAAATACTGATACAACTGAGGCCAGACGTGGCTGGGTCTTCAAGTCTTGCATAAGATAGGTCGTTTAAAAAGACCGTTCTGGAAGGAAGCTTTAAGAATATTCAAGCTCTTCAAAGTAAATTAGACTTCCACGGCTAATCCTTATTTCAATATCCCGAATATTGCAAGGTTTACTCAGTAGATCTCTCGCTTCACGCCCCGCTCCACCGCACGTACCTATGCAAGCTCTATGCATACCCAATATTACATAGTATAAGCCCTCATCTTGACGATCATTATCTGAGCACTCTTTAGTCCAGTGAGCTTCTACTTATATGAAATATACTTCTAGAACTGGAATCTTGGCGGTTTTTATACATGAATGAATTTTAATCCCAAGCCATGGAAGCCTCGGAACTCAGCTGGAAATTGAATTTCTCTGCACTTGAAGTGCGAATTTCATTTCGCCCAGATCAAGGCAGTTACATGTGAATGTTTGTGAATATCTGGCTCCAAGTACTCCTTTTAATCTTAGATAGCCAATAGGGATTGATCCCTGGATCGAGAGGGTTGGACATCAGAAATTGACATATCAGATGCATAACATCCCTTCCAGCCTAACCGCTCATATATCAGCTATACTTTTGTTACCAACTTGGAATTGATCTGTTCAAAAAAATCTCAATCCATTCACGTGAACTGTACCAGTACCTCATCTAAACTGTTCATAGACTCGGTTGTTTACGGCCTAGTTCTCAATCCTTGGGCGCCACGTTTGCTTCTAGAGGGGCCGATCCTGCATGAAGCGGTGAGCACACACTATCAGTCCTTCTATAGCCATTAGCGGACTGTACTCTGAGCATTAGGATCTATGTCGTTGAGCAGCACGCGCAATACCGGCAATTCTCTAATTATCAATTGAACTGACCCAACATACTCACAGCTCATACAAAGAATATATGAACCAGTTGCTGGAATCGAAGGGTAGAAACAATCAATAGTTGTTTTTTGCTTTGGAAACTGATTAAGGTGGGACGTGAACGGCTCAGGTTTCGAGGGTCACTGCGCAGGTTACACAAATGCATGCCCCTCACGATTCAGTCTTGGAATAGACTGCAGGATGCATGTGTCCATTCTAAGATGTCCAGTTGTTGGGTGGCTGAAAACAAGTTGTCGCGTAAATTAGTGCGTTGTATATCTCATTGGAAGACCCACCAGTCCACAAGCTCCTATCAAAGTACCAGTCAGTCAGGTTATGCATATTTCCCCCTCGCTTCATTAGAAATCTGAGATCGGAGCCTAGCTGGTTTACCTGTCATCATGGTCTGGGACTACTATAATGGCAAGATTTTATTCATCACTGGCGGGACAGGATTTGTAGGGACCACCCTCATATACCGACTTTTGACCAAGTCTACTCCAAAGCATATCTATGTACTTTCTCGAGGCGGCTATGTGTGAGTGCTCTCCATAATACTCAAGCAGAGGATATTCATTATCAGCCATCGTGGAGAATCATCCCTTATTCTAACATTTTCATTTAGAAAGGCAAGGGCAAAATGGCTGGCCATGCTACCAACTGCATTTGCCGACGTTCTTCTCAAAAGCGACTGCATGACTATTCTCGATGGCGAATTAGGAGATACGGCAACAATGAATCTCTCTAATGACGAGCTCCAGATGCTGAAACGAAAAGTTCATGTTATCATTCATGCTGCAGCCTCAATTGAGCTGAAGAACTCGCTCCGAGAACTGTCTTACACAGTCCTCGCGCCAACTTTGTGCTTGATACAGTACGCTCTCAAGTTCGTCAATCTTGAGCGCTTTGTCTTCCTCTCCACCGCCTATGCCAATGCTCATTTATGGAACACGAGTAAATGCATTGATGTTGCAGTGGAGGAGAAAGTATACCCGCTCGACGGTGCGACAAGCCCATATAAGAATGCCATGGATGTGTGGAGCGAGGTGCTGAAGACAGGCTCATCGGATGAGTATGATGCTCATGATTTTCCTTGGCCATACGCTTATTCCAAGCACCTGGCTGAAAGACTCATTCTGTTGAAGGCTGCCCAGAAAAGTGCTCTGGATAAAATTTTGATCCTTCGCCCTTCCGTTGTCGGCCCAGCTGATGAATTTCCGTACCCGGGATTTGCAACTTCCCACTCAACCCCGTCTACAGTCTGTGCAGCTGCTTATGCGCTGCATCCCGGCCGGAAGATTCACCTTTCAACCCGTGTTGCAAATCCTAGCGAGGAAGCCACTATCGATGAAGTTCCTGTCGATGTGGTTGCCGATCGGCTGCTCGTGCATGTGGCCATGGGCACAAGTGGTTGTGTTCATGCAGTAAGTGGAGAGAAAGGTCGACTTCGCATGCAAGACTGGTGGCATGCATTCAAAAGTGAGCGCCTCCTGCCTTGGAGTGTCAAGCCAGTCTGGTCATCTGATAGTTGGCACTCTCCGAAACTCCACATCACTGCTCAGATGTTCAAGATTATTGGGACTTCATTTGCCTTTTCAGAGAAAAGAACTGAGGAATTGGCAGATAAGCTGAGTGAAGAAGAGACAGAACATCTGAAACTGTTTGCTGATCGCTCAAAGCCATACTCTCACACCTTGGTTCATCGAAGGCACCATATCACCCTCGTGGCGCGACAGATCGCAAAGAAAAAGAAATTGCCAGCATGTCTAGTGAGGTTGCTGTGTCGGAATGGAAAACCCCCGATTTATCTGAATGAGAAAGTCAAGCGATAAATTTGGAGTTCGCTTTGAATGAGGATTGTTGTGAATCTCATTTTCGGGATATTTGGTTTTCTTCCTATGCCTGTGCACAATTTCCGAACTGATATTCCATACTCAATGGTAACAAGAAACAACAATATATAAACGTAAATATTGGGATTATAGAGCTTATCATGCTCAGGTTACCTGGTCACGCTCGATACATCCATATCTCAGAGGGTAGTATCCAGATCACATTGATATGCCAAATATCAAAATAATTACATCCAGCCTTGGAGGGGTAGTCTGAGTATATCAATATAGGCGTCATATCAATTATCGTATCCTTATTTCCCAAGATCCAAGCTTGCCTTCTAAGGGTTGACTGGTCTTCCAAAATGATACTTAGTGCTGACTAGGTAGCCTTGGAAGTCTATTTTCCTAGTTTCTTTACATAAGGCCTATTCACGTATAAGTAGCCAACGGGTATGACTAGCAATCTTTCATTCTGGAAATGCGTTGTCTAATCAGCTTTATTGTTTACTTTCTTATTTGATGTCGTTGGCATCAACATCTCCTATAGTGCCATCGACTAAACCGGTTTTATCTATGTTACACTCTCATCAGTGGCTAATATTACAGAGACTACCCACACTTACACCCATATCTCTAATATCAGATTACATGGGAAATCAACTGTGGTGCTTATCCAAGTAATTTGGGTGTAGTTGCTGAGTAAGTACCCAGATAGAGGAATACTCGGCTCTAGTCTATAGCTTTCAAGGTCGAGCGCTGTTTCATTCATGCTGAAATTCTAGTTCTGTCCAGGTCATAACGCGAGCGACATTGCAGGAGAATAGGCTTTCCTAGGGCTACAAGGCCCAGGAATATACAAGCCAGTCATCTTCGAGTTCAAGCAGCCTATTCCTGTGATCACAATTTCTTCAGCCCAGGATCCAATCTATTCCAAATTTACAGGCACATACGACCCACTTCCAAAAGCCAAAAGGGCGATGAGTCTATTCCAACTTCAGCATCGAACCTGGAAGACCCGAGATACCTGAAACTCATAGCAGTTTACAAGTTACAACTGATTCAATTATTTGCTAGCGTAGTATTAGAGGGAGACTGGTAGTCACGCCCTGAAAAATAAGTATTGCTTTGCTTATTCCAAGGTTATCATCACATTCATAGGTGACGTCGAGGTATGCTCTTTTTGTCCATCGATCCCTACCATCGAAATTCAAGTGAATACTAGATACATCGCATCTGGGCACATCATGGATCTGATGGAAAGTGAAAATTGTGGAACTTCCCAGGCTGATAGGACGACCAAAGGCCCGTGAACTATGTACTCACCAAGATCTCCTGGGGATCCACTTGGGTGACTAGATAGGTGTAAGCCAATATTGGAAGTATACTGAGATCACCTGGCATGTAACTATGTATAGGCACTCCAAATTCCAATTAGATACAAGTAATAGTGGCTTCGATGTTCTATGTTTGGTAATTGACTGCCCAGGTGACCAAGGTATCAAATTCTAGTATCCTAGGTAGGTAGCTCTTAGGTAGCTTCCAGGATGCGCTCACCCTTGGCTTTTCGTCCCTTAAAGGTCAACCTGGCTATCTATTTCCAGAGCCTATATTCAGGACAATATTACTCAGGATTTCTATTGATATTACCCACGAGCACTAGCGAAGTGACGATTTGAAATCCAGCCAATTTTTCCTACTTAGGAAATATCATTACTCGCTAGTATTGAAACATGGGCGTCAATTTGAAAGTCAAAAGTCCCTCTCGCACCAAATCATCGGTAATGTTCTCTGCAATAGGAGAGAAATTGATTTGTAGCTTGAGGGACTTCCCTTATAGTTTAGTCATTACTAAAGAAGTATCCCGTCTGTCACACAAAATGTATGGATAATTGAAGATCGCCGCCTTCTATATCTTCAATGAGTTACTACGTGTCAGGCGGTCATCGGGTCAATGGCCGAAGAGCCTAATCAGCTTAGATACCTTTAACAATGTACCTGTTATACGGCATTAAGAAGCGCATAGTTAAGAGATAATTATTTCTGATCTTTTGACCTTAGTTCACGTTTGGTCATCCAGTAACCTTAGAATGGATAAAAAGACAAGAAATGCGAAAGGTGCTAAAAACAGATATGATTGATTCGTCAATATCGTATGTGCTGGCAAGAGAGTCAATCAACTTGGATTCAAAGTGGTGGCAGCCTCGGCAGATGTCTGTCCGAATAAAACAGCTGGTTTATGATCATTTGGCCTGTTCAATCAACCTAACGGCTATGCTGTTTGGACATGGTGAAAGAACCCGCTATATTGGATCAACAAGTAGATACGCCTTCATAAGATAGGCCTTCATATCGAATGAGACTAAATGTTATAATAAGATGACCATGATGCATTCCTTCTTGTGGAATGATGATTCTCTCTCTCAGCACTTCTCGAGCTTCATTAAAATTTATCTATCGGTTATGGCCAATTACATGCTGCACTATTTCAGCTTCAACAATGCACCTCCAAAAAAACAAATCAAAGATACGCGAGGACGTGCTCTTCCTGCGTAATGGTATACATCACTAGAGATGTATGATCTCGAGCGCTAAGCTATATTTTCCAAACTATGGCTATAACCACGCACAGCTGTCTGAGACTGGCTCCGCTACGAACTTACCAGATTCGACTTCATCATCACTCGTGACCGAAAAAACAACATCAATACCTTTCAAGTCATTGAGACGGAGGGCTCTGGAGATGTCAAAAGCCTGTCTTTCAATTTTACGGCTGATCCTATGGACTCAATGGGAAACTGGTAAAAACACCGGGTTATCAACAGTTACATGAATTTGATCCTACGCAGAATGGTCTCTATCATATTCATATCAAGATTGATGCCAACAGATTTGCTAGTATTAATTTTGATGTGAAGCCTGAAGGTTTCATAAGAACACTTTCGGGACGTGGACAAGCAAGAGAGGTATAATCTGTACAATTTCGATGACTATCAGCTTCAACACTCTTATGAGCTAGATGGGCACTTCAACTGAAAGATTATTCCTGATGACTTCAACGAATGATACCACTTTCCAACGACGTATGCCGAGATTCCTGCTTTTCTCAACCGTGATTCTTTTGATAGAGAACTCGAAGACGGACATATCCAACATCACTGCTCTTCTACGCTGGAGCAGTTCACCAAGAGGTTTTACACTACCAGTACTTATTACTTCCCAGTATCTGTCATGGTCTTGTTGTAAGTTGTATATTGATTATCTTTTGATAACACTTCCTCATGATCCAGAAACTCCTTCCAAACAGCCCAAACAAACAGCTCTAAAATGGCCTTTGAAGTGTACCGAAACAAAGTTTCTTCTGATGAGGACTTCAATATCATTGGTTAAATGTACGTACGAGCCATGGAAGAAGACAAGGTACTCTGCACTAATGCGCAGAAGAATCTTGACCGCGATGCTTTTAACAGCGGCCAACTCCACCATAAGTCTGAGAAAGCGCCATTGTATGTCATGAACACAGTGCGTAGTGTCATTTCAGATCATTTTGAGTGCGAAAAAGCTGAGGGAGAAACCTGGCCGGCGAAGTAGAAGATATCTTGTGGTCAGAGCCAAGATGATGAGGTCTGCCCTGCTCTGAGTTGTGCTAAGAAGGATATGCTAGCCTAGTGATTCGTGAATATTGATTATAATGCCTTGCTTTAAATCTGCTTAGTTCAATTTGAATCAGTAGCCATTGAATTCATACCAGCTGGCATATATGCAGTTCACCAGCTATTTCACAGTTGATCCAATGGGTGGTGTTGGCTTACAAGTCACGGGCCACTGCGGGGAAAATAAATTATTTTTGTTCGCGAACTTGTTGCAACTCAAGAGTCAACAACCACATCATGGCACCAACATGTTACAACTGTAAAGAAGCCCGAGCGGTAATAATCCGACCTAAAAACAGAAACAAACTCTGCCGCGCCTGCTTCCTCCAAATATTCGAAACCGAAGTCCACGAAACAATCACCAGTTCCAAGCTTTTCTTCCGCGGCGAACGAGTAGCGATCGGAGCCAGCGGCGGTAAAGACAGCACAGTACTAGCTGCCGTACTAAAAACCCTCAACGAGCGCTACGACTACGGTCTAGATTTATGTCTGTTGTCTATCGATGAGGGAATCCGCGGCTATCGCGACGACAGTCTCGAGACTGTCAAGCGCAATGCGGTGCAGTATGAAATGCCACTTGAGATTGTGGGGTACGGCGAGTTATACGGGTGGACGATGGACCAGGTTGTTGAACAGATTGGCAAGAAAGGGAACTGCACATACTGCGGCGTGTTTCGGCGACAGGCGCTTGATCGAGGCGCAGCACGATTGAACATCCAGCATGTTGTTACAGGCCACAATGCGGATGACGTTGCTGAGACTGTGATGATGAATCTGCTGCGTGGTGACTTACCGCGTCTGTCTCGTGGAACAAGCATTGTGACTGACTCTTCTGCGTCGGATATCAAGCGCAGCAAGCCGCTGAAGTATGCGTATGAGAAGGAAATTGTCCTCTACGCCCATCATCGCCAGCTCGATTATTTCAGTACGGAATGTATCTACTCCCCCGAGGCATTCCGGGGTAGCGCGCGCACGTTGATTAAGGATCTTGAGAAGATCCGCCCTAGTTCAATTTTGGATATTGTGAAGAGCGGCGAGGATATGGCTGTTCTTGTCCCTGGTGCTGTTAGGGACAGCGGGAAGAAATGCCGCTCTGATGCTGCTGAGGCAGATGATGCTGGTGGGTGTGGGAGTCAGAATGGCCGGACGAGCGGTGGTGAAATGGCCGCTATGGAGAAAGAACTGGCTGAGAATGAGACTGCTGAAGTGCGCGAGACGGAGATCAAATTACCTGGTCCGTCGAGGACACAGCGCAAGATCAAGGTGCAGACTATGGGACACTGTGAACGCTGTGGCTACATGTCTAGTCAGCGCATATGCAAGGCGTGTACTCTGTTGGATGGCTTGAATCGGAATCGGCCCAAGACTGCTATTGAGGTCGGGATTGAGGACGAGGAGGGAAGTTCTACACTGATGAGGCAGATGGAGCGAACTCAGTTGACAAATAGCTGAAGGCTGCTGCCTCACCTACTTCTCAGGCCTAAGTCAGGCCTTCTTCCAAGTATATACCCCGGTCGTCCTCGTCTCTTATACCGCCTGCGATGACTTTGCCGCAATACCACGACAAGAGTCGGCTAATTGTGATTCACCAGGCCTCTCCATTCCTACGGAGCCTGACAGGACGACTTATGAGACATGAAAAACGCCTACCATACCTACCACGCCAACAAGAACCCGTCCAGAATAGATTATAGAATATACGAAATACCCGTAGAACTCCTAAATGTATCAACGCCTCTATGTAATATTTTGTACAGTCGGTCATGAAGTAAATAGTATACAAGCCCTGCAGAGCCACCCCAGTTTGGTAACGCATCCCTTAACCCTCAATTTCTTCCATGGTTTTCTAGATTAAACCGCAAAACCAAGCATTCCAAAATGAGCCAGCCCCAAGAAGCAAAACCGAGCCAAGAACCTCATCCAGGTCACTCTAATAACTCCGAATGGCCATCCATTCCAGTCAAAGGATGAACGTCCACTCAGTCCTCCTTAGCATTGGGATCATGCAACTCTGGCAAATCAAACCCAACCCGTCTCGCAGTCAGCCGAATCCTCTCCTCTTCATCCATATTCATTCCATTATTATACCGCTCCAAAAGCAGCGAATACGTTCGCTGCGCCTTGGCGTATTGAGCCAGCTGCTCGGCTTCCTGGATGCGGATGGTATATTCTTCTGCTGTGGATGGAACAGAGAATGGCTTTGGGACTGCAGATTCTGACGAAGATGAAGATGTAGATGTGGATGTGATTTCTGAGAGGAGTGTTGAAGTGCTTGTTTGCTCGGCGCGGAAGAGTTCGCGGAGACGTCTGTGTAGTGGGCTTGGTGTGGAGCATTTGTGGCCTGGGAGCTCGCGGAGGAGGGCGCGGTAGACTGAGCGGGTTTTTGGGGCGAGATTTTGGGACATTTTGTGTTTAAATTTGATTTTTGGTCCTTGGTTTAGTTGGATGGAAATGGGGTTCTAGATTTGGAATTTGGAGTGACCGAGTCACGTGATGTGGTTTCAGCCTCGATTTCATCATGGCATTATTTCGATTATGAACTGAGCTTCGTAAAATATGTTTCATGTGTCGCAGTAGATAATATCCGCACGGTGGTGTTGAATATCGTTGTTCATATCGCTACCTATATACAAAAGAGTTTCGTATCGGAGCCTTCATCACTCCAGTCGTACATTCATGCCGGCCAATTCCAACCAAGAAAAATCAATATATATCAATCATCGGAGCGTATCAACGTGAAAATGGGGTATGTAGAAGGAAAAATAAATACGACAAATGATGCTGTCCATAGGCCTTTCCTGTTCCTTTCCTTTTGTTCATTGTTTTTTTTTTTTTTTTTTTGCTTTTATTTTCAATTTGCCTAGGCGCGGAGCCAGCCAAACTTCCTTCGTACAGGTTCGCCGCTGGTGGAGGGTTCAACGAGCAAGCTACGGGCGTACAAATCCTGTTTAGAGTCAGTATGGTGCGTCGCATAAAGTATGCAGATTGAAATCTCACCTCTTCATCACCCGATAGCTTGGCATCCAGGACTAATCTTTCGATCTCTTCAAATTTCTGGGCCTGAGGATGGGGGGTTTTTTGACTCCGTTGAATACCAAGGACCACCTCACCCATAACCTCAAACTTCTTCCAGTTGATGCGGGATTTGTTCTCGCCATAGAAGGTTTTGTTTCCTTCTTCTGCGGAAACGAGATCGCGGCGGTGCAGCGGAATGAATGGGATTCGTTCAGAGAACGAGTTCTCCCAGGCCAGACGGTAGGCAAAGTGACTTCTTTGAGTACTCATGAGAATGACTAGCCGCATGAATTCTTTCTGGGTTGGAATCGGGATCAAGTCTTTGGTCTGTGTTAAACGATGTACGGGTGTGCCATTGATGGCGGCAATGACAGCACCTAATGAGTTGTAGTTATTTTGTCGTCGCAGTTTCTGAAGAAAAAAAAAATTAAAAATTAGCTTGTGGTATATGAAAGAAAATATGCGAGCGAGACTCACCACTGCAATGCCCATGAATTTCTCCAGGCACCTTGCTCGGTGCTTGGGCTTATCCCGGAGTAGGATCATGCTCGCCACAAAAAATGCCAGGTGATTGAACTGCTTGATCATCCGGTTGACATTCTCGAGGCTCTTGATCTTTTCCTTGTCAACTCCTGAGATGCTGACGTGGCGTACGAGATCGCGTGGTCGGAATGAATTATATTCGATCCAGTCGATGCGGGTAAGTTCCCGGGCGAAGTCCTCCTCGGGAATGTCCATGAAGGTCCGCCATTGGACTTTGGTGAGTGGAGTACGACAAGTCAGTTCTAATCGATTGGCCTCTTTCTGGGAAGCCTCTAGTGTTAAAACGGTGAATGATTGGTTGAGGGTTGAGGAGGGTTTGTCGGTAGTAGATGTGACGGAAAATGTTCGTGAGAGTCGATCATGGGGCCCGTCGCTGAGATCCAACGCGTTCATGCTATATAGAGGGTCTTCCTCTGCTTCGTCTTCGTCGTTATAAGAGCCTGTCAAGAAGGGTGCTGGTGAGCTTCGGCCGGAATTGTCGAAAAAGGTCTCGGTAGGGGCTGAATCATCGTCTTCGCCATCTCGAAATGCCCAGCCCATATCATCGTCTTCGGCGTTTGGCTCCAAAAAAGATCCAATTTCCTTGGCGGCAAACATGTAGAAATGGCTCTTTTCAAGCGTACACACAAAGTCATTGATGCGCTTTCGAGTTCTGGGGAAAGCGAAATCACCCGGGTAGTCGGCAGCCCATATGGCTATCACGTTCAATAGTCGTAGCTGGTTTGCCATTCGAGCAAGCTGGTCCTCATTGCTGATTTCGTTCTTTTCGAACCGAATTATTAGGGCATTGAGGAGGGTGGATGGGGCGGCGAATTTTCGGTAGAGGCAGAGGAAGATAGCGACGAATTTGGAGTCTTGTTTCGATAAGGGCACGGCGACGAGGCGGTCGACCAGTTCATCGAAGGAAATTCCAACATCAGCGCTGGAACTGCTTTCGCTGCTTGGTTTTGTGCGCACGGCGCTGGTTGGGCTCACGGGCTGCCCATCATCCATCTCATCATCCATATTCAAAAAGGTATCGAAGGCGTCGCCACTATGTCGCCAATTATTTTGCGGTCGGAGGTTGTAATCCTTGAGTGGTGGGCTGTCTCCCTGAGCAGAGCCCTGTGCAGATGGTCGGCGCTGATTTAGCCGCGCCCCAGAAGGTGGAGTTTGCGGTCGTGAGTCTCTCCTAGCATTTCGAGCAGATGGAACATGCTGTTGTTGCGCCAGATTGAGAGACGGGGGCTTAGGCTTGTCCCGGTCATCGGCTTCGGACAGAGCCAGACCTGTCAATGAGCCGCCAGCAGCTCCAGGATTTATAAAAGGAGACTGTGGATTGGCACGAGAGTGAATGCCTTGAGTAGGATGGGGAAGGAAAGACGGGGAGCGCGGGGAAGGGTTGGGAGGGTTATAAATATGGTCGGACGTAACCAGGCCTGAACAGAATCTCTAAATCAGTTTTTTTTTTTTTTTTGGTCAAACAGAGCGAGACGCCACTTTATGAACTCCGACTCTCCTTTTCTAGCTTATTCCGACTTGGACGAAAGAAAAAAAGAGCGAATCCCTAAATTCCCATGTCGGCCTCGACCCACTTAGTTTGCCCAAGAGGGGGTCATGGCTCCAGACCGACAGGGGACATAGGGGACGTAAGAAAAAGGGAATTGAACAGGAAATAAATACCTTTTCGAGATAGTATAACCGATCTCAGAACAAGGGCAATGCACATTTGTTGAGATCTTGGTGAATCTGGTGAAGTTCGATAAATATGGTGTCGGTCGTTCGATACGCCTAAATCGCTGTCTTCCGGGCGCAGATCACATTTACAGGCGACTAGCAGGAATGGTATCGATGTACCAAGCGCGTCTAGATCGATCCAAAGGTTAGTAGGCAGCGGTAAAATAATATGGTCAATGGCCACTTCTAAGGAGAGCTTACCTGCAAGTTCAGTCGTCACATCGACCTTATCCGGTTGAGTGGAATCATGGAGCAGAAGTACTCCATCGATGATGGGAACAGACTTGTCGTTTCCAACTCTCGGCCACATGACATTATGACCTTCGAATATGACCTGTTTCAAATCGATCTCCAACAAGCCCACTGCATAGATCGATCCATCCAATGACATCTTCTTTTTAGTTAAAATTGAAGACGATGGCTGTTTCATATCCAGCGCACACTTTATGAAGCTGCTTTTGCCGGCATTATCTTCACCCACTACCGCAATGGTCACTTCGGGGAGACCGGTGTGGGGTGGTTCCTGCAAGGTAAGTTAGTATGAACACGGACGTGATGCTCCTCTGCATGATCTGCAGGGCAAAACGCACCTCATCGCCATGGGAGCGAGGCCAGGCAGCAGAGCTGGGTCCTTGTTTTTCTATCATCTCAGTCATTGATGGTAAATTCAGTCCTGGCGATGGTGGCGGTTTGCGGCCTGAATCCAGTTTATATAGTTCGCCCGATGGAGCAGAAGAAGTACGCGCGCCCAGACCAGGGCGCTGCGGAGCTACTGGTGCCGGTACCGGTTGGGCTAGAAATTGTTGTCTTTCGTCGCTGGCTGCCAGCTCGAGTCGTGGAGGATTCATGGCAGACAATGTGCAATTGCGATTGGAGAGCCAAATCCCGAGCCAGAGCCAGAGCCAGAGAATAAGGATGAGGATGAAGATGCGATTCTAGGGTTTTGGCTTATTGTTTCTGTCCGAGATTCCGGCGCTGCACAATATCCATGATTGCCGTTGGAGATAGAGATCAGAGTCTGTTGGGATATGAGAGAGTCTGGTGGAAGAAAAGGGATGCGACTCTGCTCCATACGATGGTCACTGCGCCTTAACCTTGGAAGCGAGACAGGTTAGTCTGATCCACAGTAAGATTGGACACATACACACCTTTATACAGCGATATACAGTGAATTAGGGTAAAGCAGACAGGAACAAAACCAAAACGTCAAGAGAACTTGAAAGAATAGGAAGCGAACCGAAGCGGGTTGTTTACCAGACTTTCGGGTCTTTTTTAAGTTTATACATGGGAACCAAGCAATAGTAAAGTCCGAACTGCTAGATCTATGCAGATGAGTATGCGAGATTAATCAAACCTGTTCGATATATCATATACTCCGTACCACTTACCATAATACCTTACCCAGAAGATTTCTCCCAATTTTCCCATCAAATACACCGCCTTTTTACACCGCCCACGAGGTTGTGCTGTAGTATGTTCTATATTCACCGCCATGTTGTAGATTGTCTGAATTTTATAACAAAACTCAGTTGATAGGATCTTTTGAGCATAATTCTATACTTGACTTGGTATAATAGGGGTTAGCGTTCAACTAGGGAGATGTTATTTCCAGGGTTCTGAGCAGGGGGCGGAATGCCGGCAGAATACCGGCAGAATAAATACGAGATAGGAGGTTAATGGAATTAAGGAGACAGATTAGTCAGACTAGATCAGATTGCTCTTAGTTAAGCGACATGGAAATCACGTAGAGAGTAGAAACTTCCAAGTCTCAGATCTGGAGCTAGAGCTTTGCCCTAAAACAATGAAAAGAACACCTGGCAATTTATAAAATTACAAAAATTACACAGTAGAAAAGAAATGACTAGTCAATCTGCGTTTTCGCTTATCCTTATCCACACTGGTCCTTTCAAGTCTGGCCTCTGCAAAAGAGGGGGAAAAGTGGGAAGAGAGATATTAACTAACAAAACTAGTTGGGCTTGTCTTGGCGTCTGATTACCCCAGTATGTACAGTGTATGCACTGCACAGTCCTTGACCTGCATTCACTCGAGGTCATAGCACATCAATTTTGAAATGCAATATTCAAGGTCTTTGATAATATTACCATCAACTTTTTCCTATTAATAATATAATAGGTAGTCAAGTTGAAACTGCAGTTTAAAATTGGTGGTCAATACATACATACGGGCACGTGAGCAGTGAGCGTGGCAATGTCTCGTGTTGATCACGTAATGGAGTATAGAGACCACTTCATATGAGAACAAGGAAAGAACCTTGAAACGACCTCGGGAGGTGATCTTCCTAGACTAAATACTAAATACCTATGAGTTAATTGAGTTTGTATTTTGTATTTCGTATCACGCCACTTGAACTGATACTACATACTACCCAGGAAAGTAATTAGTGCTTTCTCTCCAACCTTGAAAGGTTCCGCTACTATATAAATACGTAGTAGTTAGTTACTACATATTTACCTAGGTGTGTAAATCTAAATGACATCAAGTGGGGTTGGCTTCAACCCCACTTCAAGCACTCAACATTGGCCCACTTCAAGTAGAACGGACGTTCGGATTTGATTCGTGTGGATAAACTACATGTTTGTTTCACCATCATAAGTTTTTAGTGGCACGGAATGTATCCTCTATCAAAACTCTCGAGGTCTCTTTCCACGCAAACTGGGGAAGATGAGAAAGGAGAGAAGAAAGAATAAAGAACGAGGCGGGATCAGCCTCTTTTTTCGACAACCTATGGGATATCAACATTCCCCACCATATACAGTACCTTGAAATAAATCCGGGGTTTAAGTGAGGAAACCCCGCAAATTGAAGTGTGTGACGGAGGCCGTGCGAGATGACTTTAACCACGCACCAGTGCTGAATGGGCTGATAGAGCAGTTCTCTATAGACCCGCTAAATGAACTAATGTTGGTTCCCGAGTGAGCTGAGGGGTAATATCTAAAGTACATCTCGGTATTTAAGAAGAGATGATAGATTAGAGATTCAAGTAAAAGAGAAGGAAAAAAAAGATAAATAAAATAAAATACGAGAAATTATAGCAGCGGTCCGAGGTCATTACCAGATCCGGAGTAAAAGTTACCCCAGTTTCTCTCTCACTTTCATCCTCCACAACTTCTTCTTCTTCCCCCGCTCTTGTCAAACCTTCCTACTTCCATTTCACCATGCGCCGTCCTTGAAGGGATTCGGTTGCTCTTCTCTATTTCAATCTTCGAGCTTCTGTCAGATCTTCTCAGATCTCTCCATAGAAATTTGGATTGCCCTTGGTCATTAGGCCGCTTCACTCTTCACTCTCTTCACTTTTCGCCCTTCACCCTTCCACTTCTTCACTACTCCCCCACTACTCCCTCACTCCTCACCAGGATTCATTTGACGAGATCCACGATACACGATCCATCGCGTCGTCGTTGAATAGAGTATCCTGACTTTAGGTGAGTCCGCCCCTCAATTTGTCACCTGTCACCTGTCACCCTTTCTCACTTCCCCGGATTTTCTCCAGACTCGATTACCCCTACTTTTTTTCTTTTTTTAACTTACACCCTTCCTCGTCTTTTAATTGTTCTACCGTTTCAAGCTTCGGATACCTTACGCTTGGATTTACTTAGGTCGTTGGATAATACTCTGCCAGGTTCGTGTCGCTGACACTGTTTCATTTGTCGCTTTGTTCTTGTCGCGCGGTCTCTGCATTTACCCTATAACTTCACCCACACTTTTGCAATCTGGCGGTTTCAATAATCATTCCCGCCCTCTTTTTCCTAATGCGCGCCCTGGGGCCCCGGGCTGAAGATCCCCGGTTTCCCGCGATGAGGCTCCATGCCAGTCATGCCACCCAACACGTGCCCCGGCGCATCATGGTCTCCGCACTCTTACCGTTGCGATTTCAATTTTCTTCATATGCCCTCATCTCAAAATGAGTGTCGCCACTGACTTAATTTGCATTTAGTGTTGTACACAGCGTATACCTCCATCTACCGAATCAAGATTGCCACTTCCAAACATCGAGCGCGTGGAAGAAGACTAGTATTTTCTCGCGTGTATTCGATCCGACTCACAGATTCTATACCCCTTTTACCCTTTTCTACACCGTAAAGTAATACAGGTCAGCAGATTTCAACCCAGCCCGAGTCGTTTTCAGCCTATATTGCCCAACACATTCTTACGGCAGCGTTGTCTAGCTGAACGCTACTTGCGCGTGGACATTAAACTGACAGCATTACAGTATTTCCGTTTCAGAAATCATGGCTGCGCCATCCAATAAACAATCAACATCGGTAACCCGATCAGGTACTTCACCTGTATCTGCACCGGCGACAAATGCTTCCACTAGACTGGAGAGAGGCCATCCAGGATTGCGCCGCTCCACACCTGATTCAGAAGCGCTTGCGTCATCTGATGACGATGGGGACCATCTGCTGTTGAGTCACTCGATTACTGCGCCCGCAACTAAACCAGTACGACGGACATCCTGGTTGAATGAGGTCCCTCTTTCCATTCAGCGAAAACATTCCTTGCCTGCAGGCCCTCTCTCCTCGGCGCCATCCAACCCTGCGAGCCCTGCAAGTGACCAGGCGCCATGGACAAACAGTAGCCCGGGTCTGAGTGCTTCATACAATTGGAATCAAGCCGGTAGCTCTTTTTCCTGGGGAACTGGGATTTGGAATGGAGATTCCCGCAAAGAACCGCCTTCACGCTTGTCCGAAATCGTGCCTTCTCCCACCATGACCTCCACTCAACTCTCGAGTAGTTATCTTGGAGATGAAATGTTTAGTCCCATCACACGCACTATCTCTGGTGAATCGGCCATTCCATTTTCTATTCCACTACAGCCCACCCCCAAGACCTATCGCTCTCAATCATATTCAGTCGGTCAGATGGATCCAGAGTATCTGGGTATGATGGCGAATAAAGGCCCGATGCAATACCCAAGCCGTTCTCGGGGCTCGGCTCAGCAACGCGTCTCACGACCAAGTATGCTGGGCGAGCTGGGTCACGACCCAGCCATGCTCGATCGCGTCCGAGAGGATGACGACGGAATCGATAGTCTGAGCAGCTCTGATGGGGATATGAGCTATTCTGCCAGTCAGGCTCGCACGATCGAGCAGCTGGCACGTGAGAATGCACTCCTACGCCAGGCAGCGGCTAGTCAATTGGATAGTCGGTTCCGCGAGCGGGCTTCTTCGTCTGCTTCTGTCGCGGGTGGTCTTCATTCCCTTCATCGCATGCGAGGTGGTGTTCCAGACCGTGATCTTGCTGATGAGGATATTGGGGAATTGCGTGACATCCAAGGCTATGGTAACCTGCTTGGAGCTGCCAGACGCCGATTTTCAGAACACTCAAACAATCTAGACCCGCAATTCTCGTCCTTTTCAACCCCCTTGGAGAATCGTGCACTGGAAAATGTTCGCAAGGCTCACTGGCAGACGACCCTCGGATTTGGAAGTATTTCTGATCAACCGCAGAGTCGCCGTCATTCCTTTGCCGATATCCCTGTCAGACACGGATCTATGAGCTCGGTTGATTCACACAACACTGCAACCCCTCGTGCATCGGGAGATCGCGATGATGGATATGGAAATGCTGCCGAATACTCTGCCCAGGCATTCTACCCACATGAGCAGTTGCGCGCTGATGGCTCCTCTGGCCTTCCTGCTTCTCTCAATCAATATGCCATGTCTGGGGCTTATGGACGTCAGGCTCCTGCCGTGTCACATGCCCACCAGAACCATCTGCTGTATCTGGTCACCTTCAAGTGCCACCGCGCGGACGTCTTTTACATCCAGGAAGATACCGGTCTGCAAGTGAAGGCTGGTGATCTTGTCATCGTTGAGGCGGATCGTGGTACGGACCTGGGCACTGTTCAACAAGCAAATGTGTCTCTCCAACGGGCTCGTGAGCTCAAACAACAGTATGCAGAGGAGCACTACAAGTGGCTCATGATGTTCTCGCGCCAAGGCCAGGTTGAAAGTTCCAGTGTGCCCAACGCAAGTTTTGCGAACCGAAGTGCAACCGGAGGAATGGGTCCTCATGCACACGGTGCACAGGAAAACAGCGCAGAAATCAAGCCGAAACTGATCAAACGCCTGGCACAGAACCATGAGATTATGAATTTACGTGATAAAGAAGGAAACGAGGCCAAGGCCAAGCGAGTCTGTCAGGCAAAGGTTGCTGAGCATAGGTTGAATATGGAGATTCTGGACGCTGAATTCCAAATGTAAGCATGAAACCCCCTGTATACTATCTAAATCTGATCTAACCATTTTTACAGGGACTGGAAGAAACTAACCTTCTACTACTTCGCTGACTCCTACATCAACTTTAACTCGCTGGTTACTGATCTGTTCAAGATCTACAAGACTCGAATTTGGATGTCCGCCATCAACCCTGCTTCGTTTGTCACACCCACAGCCGGTCTGCCAGGACCTGGAATGGCCAACCCTCTTTATGGCCAGGATGCATCACATATTGAACGTCATCATCAAGATGGACGTAGCTATGGACGGGACACTGTTGATGCAGCACGGGAGCAGATGTTGAACCCTATGCTGCGCACTGCCTTCCCAGAATCATACCAACCGTTCACTCAATCCCCACGACAGAGCCAAGCTGATCCCTTTGGCCCTTACTCCCCCACCGGTTATGATGCTACTCTGGAGACACTCTCCGACTATCCTGCAGGCACTGGCAACGGTGCGCGCATGCACTCATCCCAGGCCGAGTGGGTCGGCCGCTTCCAAGGTCTTTCACTCAATTCTTGAATCTTCCTCTTCCCACTTCCGATCTCCATTCCTGGTTCCTGATTCCCTATTCCCATATCTATTCCCTCTTATCTATGACTCTGTACAATTCGGATACCTCCAAACCTCTCCCGCGACATCAGTTTTTCACATGCTTACACCGAAAGATATTCTCCGCTAGACCTTTTTGCTATTTCTTCTATTGCCCCTCTTACCTATTTTTTCCCTTCTTGCTTTTCTTTTACCGGATGCCCTTGTTCAATCAAGGGATCTTTTCTCTCACTCGTGACTTGGTTTCGTGTTTCTACTTTCACTACTACTTTTCCTAAGTTAGAACTCATACCCGGGGAAACGGATCACCCACACAGTCGCTATTGCTGCGTTTCCGTGTTCTTTCTTTGTTACCATAGACTCATCTCTCAAGATATTTATGACGAGCAGAATTGATCCCGATGTGGTTCGCGGAGCTTCCGTTTCTCTCTGTGCTAGTATTTAAATCAAAAGATTTTGTTTCTTAAAATCATCAGAGCTGATTACTCCGTGTCTCATTGCTAAGGTTCTTGTTCGCTCGCGCTTCATTTGTTGGTCCTGGTCCTGGTCCTGAACTGTATATTGTCAATTTCATGATTAAGCTACTTGATACAACATTGAAGACTCGGATATTCTAGTATAAGCAAAGAAGATTATGGCTTTTTCTTTCTATCTATAGCAGTATTTTCGCTTTGTAAGAAGTCCACTGAGTTGATTTTGAACTCCGTTCACGCATCCTTCCTGATTTGCAGCTTTTAAACAGGATGCAATCCCAATCAACCCATAGAACATTGAAACTCAATCGCAAAAACCAGATCCCTCATCATAACACAGCTTCTAAAAAGAAGCATATTTATCATGCTTCCCCTTAACCTTAACATCAAGCATAACCTCATGAAAATCCCCCTCCCTCCTAGCCCGTCTCAACTTCTTAACATCCTCCTCGCTCAAACTCCTCCCAACAATTTCCTCCAATTCCTTCCGACTAATCTTCTCATAAGCCTTCGACTCCTTTGACGCGCGCAGCTTCGGTTTAAATCGCGCTTGCATCCGGATCCGTACTGTCGTGTCGAACGACACTGTGCTTGCGTCACCGCGGATCTCGAACCCGCTCTTTGCTTTGCTGCTTTCTTTAACGCTGATGAAGGACTCCGCGTCACCGCCGCGCGTTTGGAGCGCGAACGTGCCCGGTATTTCGCTTGGGATTGCTAGGTATGTTTCGTAGTGGGATACTGCTGAGGCGCTTGCACTTAGTAGACCGTGTGAATCGCAGCTTAGGTATCTGCCAGTGGGATTAGTATGGAATTCGAGTTGGATGCTTTGTGAATCCAAACCTACTTCCCATGGTGACCCTTGAAACTAAACGACTCAGTCCCTGCAACCCTAGTCGCAACCCAGACCTGCCGCACATCATGCGGTTCAGCAGTCCCCGCATCCCCCTCAATAATATTCTCTAACAGACTCGCAAACACGACGCCTGTCGCGTCGCTAGCCACGCACGTTGGCTTCTCAGACGCAAGAACAAGAACAATTGGCCCGGAAATGTCGCTTGGTGCATCGGCTGATACCCAGGTCTGATCTTCGGTGTTGTCGTCTTGCTCATCTGTGGCTTGCTTGTGCAGTACGACTGCGTCTGTGTCTGCGGTTGTGTCTGTTTTGCGACTTTTGGAGGGGTTTTCGGGGTCAGTGCGACTTTTGCGCTTTTTGGGCTTGTCGCCTTTGAATGTGAGGGGTTTCACCATTCTTGCTGCTTTTTGTGACTTGCTGGATGGGTTGGGGAATTTGTTGGAGTTCTGGAGCTTCTGTAGGAGTTTCTGGTGGAGTCGGTCTTATCGTGTCTTATCGGGTCTATGTCAGGTGACTTCGTACTAACCCTGTTTGGCGATGTTTCTACTAGCTAAGTGGAGTTATCATGATTCTATTGAGATTCGATTTCATTTGGAAGATCATTAGGATCATAACCATCATAGGAAGTATAATAATGGTCTGAAATCTTTTTGATGGCGTCGAGTTACACGTCTGGTCGGCTCCATTTTTAGTTAAATAAAGGGAATCAGAAAAATTGTACTCTAATCCGCTGAAACTAAATAGGAAATATAACTGATTTAACGGATTGACGGATTGACGGATTTGTATCCGTTACCATTTCTATTCAGATTTATAAAAATTAAAATTCTAATAATGAATTTATATCATTGATACTCGATTAGTATTTGGACATGAATACTGCAGTACTATGTACAGACTTGACCAATCTCGAGTAACCTTGAACCTCATGCTACAAGATATGAGAGCCCTAGAGTCTGAGAGGATTTCGATGATGTACCCTGGAGATAGTGGTCTGCTTTTAATTTACTAATATTCCATCGCCCAGATGATCTAAGATGTTCTGTATTGTTGAAACCTCCAAGGTTCCTAAGGATACATACCTAAGTACCACAGTATTCCAATATCTGATTCCTTTGAAGGAAACAGATATAATAGCTGGTGCTATCATACTTGGATCGACAATTTCCACTCTTCAAAAGCCTTTTCACAGTCTTGCAACACATCAAGCCCAAGAGTCTGTCTCTGTCGAAAAGAGGAAAACCATGTCCAGTCGCTCTTTCGTGTCACCCCCGTGTAGCCTAACACAAAGTCTCGAATCTTTTGTAAGATGCCGTCCTGCATGTGAAAAAGCTTTCGGTTCATCACTGCCCCGCGAACATTTCGTGTGGTACGTGATTTGCGGTTCTTTTCGTAGAGCGCTAGTACACCGGCTATTAGGTATTGTGTTGATAATCGTGATAGAGATTGGTCGTTTCCAAATTTAGTTGAGTTCAGATAATGGGTCTGTAGTAGGCCGAGAAGTTTACCAACCACTGCTCCGTCTTCTACTGCCATAGCAGCTCCTTGTGCTTGGTATGGCAGGGTCGGATGGCATGCATCTCCCAGTAGAGTAACGGATCCCTGGTTTTTCATCAATAATGCGAAGATTGAGGAAAATGGACTATACCGACCTTTGTCCAAGACTTTAGTTCAGAAAGATACGTCAACTTCCACTTCACGGCCGATGGTACACAAGATATTAGTTTTTGTAGGCTTAGAAACGATTAGCCGGTCAACCTCAGTTATTTTGGATTTGCATAAGTATTCACGTTTCATCCCAGTCAGCATAACTTTCATGCATCTCCTCAACATCACCATCTTCTCTGCGGGTATCTGTAGACAAGTTGTCCGGTCGAAGGAGTACAAGGTTGAATTCCTGCCCGCCACGAACAGGGTAAAAAATAGCGTGCTTATCTGGTCCTAGCCAGCTTGTGACGGCAATTTTCTGGCAGAGAGCGTTGACTTTGTCATCACACAGAGCCTCGAGCTGGTTCCTGGAGAAGGTCGCTCGATAAGCCATGTCACCCGTAGGCACTGGAGTATGTTCAGCGTCAAGAACTGTGTTTCTAATTGTAGACATTTGGCCTACTTATGTCAGCTTGTGGTCTTAAAAGTATGACCCGAGGACTATCCTCAGCATACCATCAGCACCGATTATAACATCCCCTGATACCATCCTCCCATCAGCAAGAGTCACCGACGGTTCTTCAATAGAAACATGAGTCGCTTCAGCTCCCAGTTGAAGAGAAGCGCATAATCGAAGTGCTTCATCAAGGAGAATACGGTGGTAGTCAACTCGATGAATAATACTAATTAAGTTTTAAGATCTATAAGGACCAAGGTAGATCAGGATTCAACTACTAACATCCATGGTGCCCCGAATTCATCTGTAATGTTCTCTCCAAATGGCATTGTTCGCAACAGATTGCCATCTTTGTACCTTCGAAAATCAACCTGCTGAACTTGACTCCCTCTCTCGAGCAGTTGGGGTAGGAGCCCGAAGTCGCGCATGATTCTGGTCCCATTCGGTGGGATCTGGATTCCTGCTCCCACTTCGCCGACTTCTAGGGATCTTTCAAGGATCTCTACTTCAAGACCTTCGCGGCAGCAAGCAATTGCACATGATAGCCCACCTAGACCTGCGCCGACAATGATAACCTTCATGATTGCTTTTTGCTGTTGTGCATCAGCAACATGGGATGATCTGAAGTGGAGAATAATGAAACCATACTTTGACCGCCTTTCGCGTACCCATGGAATACTGAAGAATTGGATTTATACTGCCGGCAAATTCCTAGACCTTGGAACCAAATCAGCTCATCTAGACTCTGGTACTTTATGCCAGCTATTAGGTTGAATTACAGATTTCATTTTATTGGGCATTCTCATGCCCAGATCTGCAAAATGCCCGTAATTAAGCTTTTCCAAGTTCACTCAACAGTGTGAATATCTTTATTCTAGGATACGTCTTACAAGCAAGAAATCTGAGAAGCGGTCAGAAAAGCTCCCAACTCTTTAGTATTCCCCACTTTGCCCCTGGTCAAACAGCGTGGTATTTATCGTCTCGGATCTACTCCGCATAATATGACATTATGTCAGATCCCACTCCAGCCCAGGAGACTCCAGCTCGCAAAAAACAACTCACTCCTATTCAGCGCGCAGAAATATGTGTGCTGAAGCGGGTAAATGGCTGGGGTGCTAAGCGCATCCATAAAGCGTTCCCTCATATCCCAAAGTCGACAATTGGCTACACGCTGAAAATGGAATCCAAGCGTACTGATCATGCTCGTATCACTGGATCTGGTGGACAGTTTAAGCTCACCAAAGAAGAGAGACAGAGGCTATATGCTGCTATTGAAGAGAATCCTTCAATCACAGTGAAAGACCAACTTTCCTTGATTGACAATAAGCTTTCACGCAATGGTCTTTATAAAATGTTGCAAAATAAGAAGCTAAGCAAGAAGAGGATGACTCCAATTTCTACTCCGTCGGCTTCGCCTCCATGTCCACAACCCTCCAGTATGACCTGATGTTGATGTTGGAGCTGCCATTTTCAGCAAAATTACACCCTTGCACATACCGCACATCTACGTGCTCTCGATCGCCTTATAACGAAATTACGAAACTTATAGTGATCGATACCGCTCCAAGATCTTGGGAGAGCTTATGTTGATATCTTTGATTATCCAGACACCTAGCTATTGGTATGCCAAAAAGAGTGAAGCTCGAGAGCTGTCATTAGAGCTGGTATTCGGCATAGGACTAGATGTATTGAAATGATTGATATTTGCTCTTTCAAGCAGAAACAAATTTCAAATTTCCATTTTTCATTTGTATAGACCAGTCCGACGTAATAAAAGTACGTATTTTTCACTTTCCGAAAAGCCTGTATTGTAAAGCTTTTACAATACTACGTAATAACTGGCGGGAATTAACCCAACAACTTCATTATACCTGTTTTGCCTTTGATCGACTGCTTAAACATGCCTTGGACTCGAGCACAGCTTCTTGAAATTGGTGATCAAACATGGTGTCCATCTTGGCTTCACCAACATGAACAATTCTCTCTAACTCAACTCTGGAACCTCAGAATTCCCGGCTGGAGCCACGGAAGTCTGGCCACACAGGCATGCGCAGTATTCAGAGAGCATCTAAAAGACCTTTCTTCATATACAGTCTTGGATATCTGCGCTGGTGCAGGTGGACCTACGCCAGTCCTGGAATCAGAACTCAATAAAGAACTTGAGTCTGAGGGCAAAGACTCTGTTCAATTCGTTTTGAGCGATCTCTACCCGCACGTTGAAGAATGGGAATGCATCTCGAAAAAACAGCAGAATGTGACGTTTATTGAGACTCCGGTTGATGCACGGGCTATCCCGAGATTTGCAAAGACTAAGAAAGAGTGCCGGATCTTCAATATCTGTTTTCACCACTTCGGAGACAAAGACGCAGCGGGGATCCTGAAAAATGCAATCGAGTCCGCTGATTCCTTCATGTAATTTAAATCCCTCTTGATGCCATATTTTCTCGGATCTGTCTCTAACTGTCTTTAGCATTTTCGAAATCACGGCGCGCGAGCTTTGGACATGCCTATGCTCGCTTCTGGTTTTTTTCTGGGCTTTCTTCGTATCGCTAGTCTGGTACTGGAACTCGCCTGTTCATCTCTTCTTCACATTTATCTTACCTGTGGCACCATTTACGATATGGTTCGACGGGCTCATCTCCTGTCTCCGAACCCGTACCGCGAATGAAGTTCGCACATTACTGGATCAGCCAGGCCTTGACCTCTCCGATTGGACTTTCCATAGTGGGCAGAAAACAGTGCAGTTCCCATTCATCACGTTATACTACTACGTTGGGATAAAGTCGGAATAAAAAACAATCATTTTCCAACTGATGTACACTGACTGAACTATCAAAATAGATTCCTGAAGACCAGGGAAATCAAAAGAAAACACAAAATTAAACAATTATGTACAGGGCATAATCATGATCATAAAAATGTCTTACTTCAATGTAACCGTCAAGCTGGTCTCGAGGGGCAGAGAACGACTGGATGAACCCACATACAGCTTATAGGTTCCACTCTGCAAAGCCCACTTCTGAGCAACAACATCCCAGCTGCTAAGGTCACGGCGAGTCAAGTCAAAAGAAACCTTGGCTGACTTGCCAGCTGCGATCTTGACCTTCTCGAAACCACGGAGCTGCTTAACGGGGCCGCCGGGAATCCCAACATAAAGCTGAGCAACCTCGGCACCAACCTTGCTGCCAGTGTTCTTAACAGTTGCGGTGACTGTCACGAGTCTATCCCACAGATCAACGGCACCACCTTGCTCAATTTCTCCATTGTGGAACTCGGCAGCATTGACTGAGTGAGACGAAACAGCTAGATTGGAGAATCCAAAGGTGGTGTAAGAGAGACCAAAACCGAATTCGTATCGAGGTGTGATTCCCTTGAGGTCAAAGTGACGATAATCGATATACACCCCCTCGGTGAAGTTGGACTGAGGGAAAAATCCATATGGAGTCTCGTTGATGTCATTCCAGAAAGCAGGGTAGTCGGATTCCAGCTTGCCAACAGTGTAGGGCAGCTTTCCGCTAAAGTTATTCTCGCCGTAAAGTAGAGAGACTAGCGCACGACCTGAGTCTTGACCGGGGAGATGAGCATAGACAATGGCGGTCACGTTTTCATTATCGGCAAAGCTCTCCACCATACGGATACCGGCGTTGTGGATGACGACGATGGTGTTGGCACACGTCTTTGCGACTGTGTTGACCAGGTCATCTGAATAGGTATCGAATGTACCCGCGCGATCCTCGCTCTCAGTTGAGAAAGCATTGATGAACACGAGACAGGCGTCTGATGACTCCATAACGCCTCTGTGGGCAGGGCTGACTAGTGTATCCCAATAGACCACAGAAGTGTCTTCATAGGCACGTTGCTGGAGAGCATCCAAAGGCGAACTGATGTAAGGACCCGAATTACCGCCGGAGCCACCGCCCACGGTGAGGGTGCCATTGTAGGCCACCTGGTAATCGCTCGGGTAAGTGATATTATTGGTTGAAAAGATTGCAGCGGCCTGGAATGGGACTGTCTCCTCGCCCATTGCCCATAGGTTTCCACTTGACTGTCCGTTCGGCATGTACTGTGCGGGTACAATAGCGTCGTAACCAAAGACAGAGAGAAGCTTGGGTGACTTCAGGGGCAGCGCGTTCTTGTTCTTGACAAGCACATGGCCTTCAACAGCTCCTTCGAAGATTGTTGGCTTTGCATCGACTGTGAGAGAATTCACAATAGTATGCGGCTCACTGACGTTGTAAGGAATGCCAACTCCAGGTGAGGGGTATGTCGATGCGTCCTGGCCCATCTGATACCAAGCGGCAATAATTCTGCTTGTGAGTCAGTAAATGTTCCTGAAGCATACTCCTGAGCCTAATTGGTCCTACCTGGTAGCCATATCATTGAGTCTGGATACTGCGACACTTCCGTTGGTGTAGGCTTCAGTGAAGTTTGCTCCCCAGAAGCTCTGCCCATCCGGCATCGCCATATCACAGCCTGCCTCTGCAGTAGCAACGCCGGAGTGTTGGCCATCCCAATCTGTGACAACGAATCCATTGAAGCCAAGCTCCGTTTTGAGTAGTCCGTTCATCATCTTGCTGTTTTGGCAAGAGTGGGATCCGTTGACACGATTGTATGAGCACCTAAAATTCAGATGTTAGTCATGGTTTCTGTGGCTGCCTCTTGATTAAGACTGACATGATATTTCCGCTACCTGCTTTGAGTGCATCTTGGAAGGGCCAGAGATACAGCTCGTGCATAGTCTTATCATCAATGTTGCTAGAAACAGAGTTGATAGTCTCGCCATTGGCATCGGTGCTGGGCATTCTGTATAGTTCTTGTTCATTTCCAATGAAGTGCTATGGCATTCAGGTCAGTCTCATTTGCTGTAGTCGGATCACACAGTGACTAACCTTCAAGCTGGTAATAACACCCTGCGCTTGAGTACCTTTGACTGTTTCCGCAGCAATCTCACCAGTGAGGTATGGGTCATTAGAAGCACCTGACAGAAGTTAGCCTTGCAACCTTGAAAGTTCAGCATGATCTTATACAAACCTTCCCAATTTCTACCACCGGTTGGAATTCTTCCCAGAGGTCCAGCAACAGGTCCCAGAGCCACCTGAACACCCTTTTTCTTGAATTCACCAGCCATGTGCCAACCACGATCATAGGCAAGAGTCTTGTTCCAGCTGTGGGAGAATCAGATCTTGGTCAAATAGGAAGGTTTCGACTCCTCTTACCTAGCACCAACATGAAGACCACTTGGATAACTGTTCACAAAGTCGACGCCCCGAACACCGTTTCCTGCATCCTGAAGACACATGCCGGTGAATCCCACACGAGAGATTTCTGGGATCCATCCAGAGCATCCATTCAGGGTTTGATCAATACCGTATGTGAGGTTATTCTGCAAGAATTAGCTCAAGTACAAAGATGGAATTGCCAGTCAAGCAAACCTTTTCTTCCAAGGTCATCTTTGCCACCATCACCTGGGCCTTCTTGTAGGCCGCAGCCCAATCACCAGTTCCCTTCGTATCGGCTGCATGATATTAGTCTCATCCATTTATCAATTCTTCAAGCTGACCTCGAAACAGGAAACAGAGAGCATACGGGAGGGATAGACAGGTGGAGAAAGGCCATAGAAGGCAGTCTCGGACGTGATGTTACTTTCGGCGTTACCAAGTCCACAGACGGCCAGAATGGCCACTGCTGCGAGTTGCGTAAACATATTGCTCGCTTTCTATGCCAGGGACTATTCAATGAAACTTGGAATGATGATCTACAGAGTGAGGTCCTGCGTCCCTCTTAAATACCTTTCCTTTCAGTCATCCAAAGAGGCGCACGGTCACACCACGTTGACCACGCTCGGAAAAAGGCGTCGTCGGCATCTGATTCTTCGTTAGCCGAGCACGGATGGTCCAGATGCTGATTCATACTAGCTTTGTAGTTCCCCTGTGGGGAAGAACCTTCCAATTTGGGAAAGTCACTATATCATCCCGGCTTTCTCGCTCTTTGTATACTAGCTTATGGCTGATTCCTTCAATCAGAAGGTTTGTTCGTTTACTAGTGCCCTTCTAAGTTTTTGGTGACTAAATGTCAGGGTAAACCTCGGTATTACTTGCTTCAGCCATCGTCGGGGGGATGGGCTGAAAGATTTCTGGAAAGTTGTCTGACCCCAAGACGGAACTAGCGGCGAAAACAAAGATGATCAGCGCAAGGATTCATAAATTTTCATTTCTTTTTTTTTTTTTTTTGGGCTAAATATCATTCCTATGGTAGATAGTGGTCAACTTAGAGTCTGAAGAGAAGCTTGAACGGTCATGGCACAAGTAAGCATCCGGGATGACAACATGGCGCGGGAGTCCATCATCGGCAATACTTGCTGGTTCTACACAAGAGGTCCAAGTCCCAGCAATTTCAACCCACACTGTTTTAGGATAGGGTTGTGGGGAGATGCGGGGTTACGAAATCCGGGGTTTCGGCACTTGTTGGTTTATTTTGGCTGGATAAATAGCGCATAAAATTGAAGTCAAGGAGCATGCCACTTACCTCAAAAAAAATTAGCCTGGGTAATCATCGGCACTTCATTCGTATTTATAATCGAGATTTCTACTCAAATAGTAATGTTTCGTTCATCGGTCCGGATTCTTTATTTGATCAAGAGTGACTTCCTTTTTTTCCTTTTCACTTTTTATTAAGGCTAGTAAATGCCGAAGAAACCGGGGAAATTGATTAGGGGAAAGAGGCGGAACAGAAGTACTCGGCCCGTGTACTTGGGCCCTAATATTCAATTCATGACATAAGTACTTCCAGGTGGCAGTCTTGACACCGTAAGTTTCTTAGTTTCATAACCCTCGGCTCGGGATTCATCCCGGTTTTCTCACTCTGTATCGGCTGATGGGTAGCTCATTTTGCACTTGACCTGTCAGACTGTTAAATCCTGTCTTTTCACAAGGATTCTCGGGGCTTACTCCGTGGGCAAAAAGCCTAGTTGGCAAAGTAGTCTCTCACCTCTGCCCATTGTCTCGGCATGAAGATGAAGAGCCGATGTGGATCTCATGAATTCCGGGAAAATACCGTTAGTCTGGTCCCTACCTATCGCGTGAACAACATCTAGTCTATACTAGAATGTTGTCCCAGCACCAATTGCCCCTGGGACAAAATCTGACCCAGTTCATCGAATGATCAAACAGATTTGGCGTGTGCTGAATTTCCCATTGAATGAATACACTGCCGAAAACAGAATTGGTGGTATCGATCCGATCAATACGCGAAGATTGTGTGGGGAAGGAATCCTTCTCCTCAGGCCACTTGATCCTACAACTGTCGATCATTCCATGACCCTGCATTGTGAGAAAATTCTAGAAGACTTGCCGTGTTCTGAGAGCATCCTCTGGATTCCGATCCATGAAGGCCTCTGTCACGTTCAAGTCGCCCAAGGTGAAGTCCGAATTGTGCTCCTTGACTTTGGTGTCAGATCTTCAAATAATAGATATCTAGAGAGCCTCCCTGTTGGGGCGTAAACTCCCAACAGGCTTCATTCTCGGGCGTGTTTGGGAGTAAATCCCACAATCGTGGCACGGCCCAAGTTGTCAGACCACATGATATTCAGTTTTCCGAGTCGGTACTTGCTGAGATTCACCACCGTAACACCCGATGCGCCACTATTTGGGCGATCTGTTGCCCATTCGTACTCTTCCCAGCGATTTGAATATCAGTAGTTTTCATACTGAGTGATGTGCGGCTCACAGAGCAACATTCTGCTCAACAAGATATTTGAGGACGACTCAATTTGCGCACATCAACTAAGTCTCTCGCGTTCAGAGTAGCCATTTTCATCATGACCATCTATTAGCTAATATCAGACAGGAACAGTAGTTCTTCACATTTCTCCTTCTAAAGCTTCTTTATCCTGGGCGGAAAAGAACCTGGTTAGTTGACATTCAAGGTTTGCTGTTCATATGTCTAGGCTGTTCATATTATCTGGATTTCTGCTAGTTTGAAGATTTTGATTGGGCTTTCTCACTAGTCTTGAGCCGAAAGAAAAGTGGTATATTCCAAAAATAAGCATAAGGAGATTAATAGAGAATATCACTGGCTCAGATTTAGATAGACAGCTGGTTTAGAGCTTAAATACTTTGAAAGTTAATTGTTAGGTGGGAGCAGTGAGATATGGATGCCTAGGTAAGAATGAGGTGACGGTATATTGAGTGAGAAACTTACGACTGAAGTAATCTTCGAATACAACTAGGTGTCAGACTTCCAAGATTTGCGTGAGATGTAGGTGATAATAACGTGACAGGATATTGAGAGAGAATTGAAGCATTAAGTCAGAATTTGTGAAATATAAGTAGGGAAATATAAGTAGGACGAATATTTAAAGGAAGATTCTTATATAACCCTGGAAGGAGAGAATAATTCAAGAGATTAATTAGAGCTAAGAGGATGCAAAAATGACTGAATAATTCCATTTTCCTATAAATTTTAGTCTGAACCAGGATCATGTCACCGCAAAACTGCCTGTTTCAAGCACCACCGAAGACTAGAAGGCTTTGGACAATGACTGCGCCAAATCCACGCTTACAATCGCGATGGGAAACCACTATTATTCTAACTTCGGGGCGCTCAACAAGCATTTCCATCGCCCGTTCGATAAACCTAGCTTTTAGTGTCATGCTGTTCATGCTATTGCAGAATAGAATAAGGTCAACCCTTTCGACCATACCGCTACCTTTGTGACTTTTCAGAGCGAATGGGATTCGTTGGATGTCGAGCAAGCTTTCAAAACAAGGCAGTGGTTTCGGGGCAGAACGAAACCATTCTTCCATCCTCGTAGCAAACTGGCTGTTAGGCTCAAATGCAACGTATCTCCTGATCTTCTTTCTCAGATCATCAGGAAGATATCTAAGTACGCTTTGCGGGCCGGGTACAACTTCTAGTATCAAAATATCGGTACATGAGTTGAAGAGAGGGCCGAGTAGCTGAGATAGTTAAGGTACAACAAATTCTTGGTACAACCTCCATTCTGAGTCTTTCAAAATATCAAAGCCAGCACTGTACTGTGTGTCTGATAACGGCTGTTTGGATGAGGACTCTGTGGCTTTTTGCCTTAGAGCCCGCTTGAGGGTGTCGAGGGTAGCCATGCCAGTTGTAGGAGTGTGAGTAGAAAGATGTTGGGAATGGTTTGGTTTAGACAATGCTATAGGTATTTATATCTTTGTTTGATGCCTATTTGGTTGATTCTATCATGTGTCTGTGCATCAGGGCCCTGGGGGTACTGCAGCAGTCCGCTCAACATTGAATGTGGGGCTTTGTTGACTACACCCCGTTGACTTATTGAAGAGCTCCTTATAAATCTTCATTTCGTTTCATTCTCTAGATTTTTGTTTCTTAAATTTACCTTTTTACCCATTTTCATTTCAAGGTCTAGAAAAGGGACATCAGTTAACTGCCATCAACAAACGATATGAAACCCGAAGCAGACCATAACGAAATGGCCTCAAATGCTGTGAAATCGCTAGATGAACAAGATGAGATAGGGAATGGGAAGATGAATTCCACAATTGACCCTAATGCAACTCCTGAAGGTATGATTTACACATTATCAACTCCAGGTTAATCTAACTCCTCAATTACTATCATAGTCAAGCCATCCAGCCAGGCACCTGAAGATAAAGAGATGCAAGTTGCAGCTGCGGTGAGGAAAATGCTGTATTGCCTCGTTGACAACCCAAACCGCCCTGAATTGCTCAAAACGCCCGAAAGATACGCTCGAGCGATGCTTTTTCACCTAAGGCTATGGTTTTGACCTCGAGAGCGTCGTCAACGACGCTATATTTGAGGTCAAAGCCGACGAATTGGTCTTCGTCAAGGACATTGAAATATACAGCCTATGTGGACATCATCTCGTGCCGTTCATGGGCAAAGTACGTCGCCTCAGCCCCTGCTTTTTCTAAGGTTCAATTCATATACTCTCGAGGGCTACCGACCAAACTTCTATCAAGATTCATATAGGATATGTTCCTCGGGGCCGTATCATTGGTTTATCCAAGCTTGCACGTATCGCTGAGATATTTTCCCGGCGGCTCCAAGTGCAAGAACAGCTTACCCAGGAGGTGGCGCAGGCGATCGATGATGTCCTCAACCCTGAAGGAGTGGCTATGGTTGTGGAATGCGTTCATATGTGTATGGCGATGAGAGGCATGCAAAAGAAGGGGACAATGACGATCACCCAGTCAAAAACTGGAGTCTTCAGGGAACATTGTGCGCTGAATGACCAATTTCATTCCTTGCTGACTTTGACCCGGCGTTGACCGAAAGCCAAAGATCTTGGAATAGTGGCTCGTTTTTCTCGTTACCACTAAAGCATTCATTGGGTAAATTTGATAGACAGACTTTGTTCTTTTCTGAGAAGAATATTGACCTCTCTTCCAAACTGAAATCGACAAATGGAATCAGATCTGGAAACTTGAAATCGTAAAGCAAGAGACACACAGCCTTATACCTGATCTAAACCAATCTGGGCGAATCAGTTCTCTGGCCAAGGAAATTTTTACTTCTAATAGAAAGCACTATCAGATAATTTCATTCAGGGCAGAAGCCAACAAGGTATCCTCGTGTACACCTGGTACTCAGGATTGGAAAAATAGAAAATAAAACAGCATCCAGATGCATAACGAAAGAATCAAAGGTAACCAGCTCCTTTCATGTAAAAAAATCATAATCGTGATGAGCCCGAGCAGGCAAGAAAAAGCAAAACTCATTTCAGGCCAAATCCTTCGCTATTCAGGACAGCGTCCCAGAGCATTTCCACGAACTTCTCCTTATTGCTGTAGCGATAAAGGCCTAGTGTGTTGAAACAGGTTCGTGCAATTGGATATCGAGGACAGTCGTCGCCAAGGCAAGCCAGACGGATTGAGAGACTTGTAGCACCCATGGCGGGAATACGGTCACTGCCAGTAATGAACAACAAGATTTTCCGTTGGTCCTGGGGGCCAGCAGATCCAAATAGTTCCCAGAACCACTGCACCACCGGGATGGATTCAGGTCGAGAACTCGACCAGTTATCGTAGGTTGCCACAGCTTGCAACGACATGACGTCAAGTGCCTCATCTGAGCCGCGTACCAGCAACTCAATTTCCTCAGGTCGGAACAATGACAAGGCATTACCTCCACAGACAGTGAAGAAACCCCGTTTGAATGGCTCAAACTGCCGAGCAACGGCAGTTTCGAGAATGTAGTAGACATATAGATCGACGAATTCGCGCCGGTTCGAGTTGGTCACTTGTCGTTTCTCGCCTCCCGGGCAGAGAGGAATTGTAATCACTTCTCCATACCTATCCACTTGGGCAACAAAGTCATAGCAAAACGTTTCGGCAACATCACCCTCGTAATCCAGTAACATCCGAAGCCCCTTGGCAAGGACAGGCCGGTATTCTGCAAGGTCTTCGAGGGTACTCTTGAATCTAACACGCTGTGTCGCGTTCAGCGTGGCATTTTGAGGGGAAGCTGCCAATAGCTTTTTGAATGCGAATGGTGGCAAGTCTATGTCAAGAATAGTGGAGTTATAAATGGCGAGCCCAAGTAGAATTCCGACCAAGAAGAATTGCTCTGATGACTCGAAGCAATACGGGTTAAAGTAGCAATAGTTTGAGTCGTCATCATATATGAAGAGCCCTGGTTTATATTAGAAACGGAAGTTGTCAAGCCTGATTCATAAATCAACGTACCGTGATCTGGCTCGAAGATCTCGCGAACTAGCAACAAGAACCACTCTTTGCGTAGACCTCCAGCATCAATTCCCTCCTCTCCAAGAAATTCGATACGAAGACCCTTCTTGATCTCCTCTTGTCCCGACCCCACAACTTCACTCACACTGCGGAGGCTATCCTCAATGATACAATCCCGTCGCACCTTTAACACAAGGTACTGGCTAGCTGGGCGTTGGCTGAGAATGCTGTTAAAAAATGCCTCGCGAGCCTTCACCTCCATTTGACGTCGGGCATCGTGCTCTAAGATGTGAATTTTTGCCCAGATACTGAGAAAGAAGGGATACTGGCAGAACGAGAACTTTGAGCTTTTGGATTCCCAAATTTCAAAGTCGGCCAAGAGGTCTGAATAATCCAGCAGGGTATTGTAGAAAGCGTTGATGGGGATGGGATTAGAATTGTTCTTGGAGTAGCTTCGCTTTAGGTTTCTGTCAATCTTTTGCCCAGAGTAGGATATATTTGCCGAGAAAAGCAAAGCCATAAACCTTGAGGCTGCCCGGATTTGCCAGTCTTCTGTATATATGATAGGCGGTTCTTTCTTCTTAATCGGCGGCTTGTTCACATTTCTTCGGTTTATAGCGGCATGTAATTCGGCAGGAGTGTTTCCTGCAGCAGTAGCAAAGCTTGGGACTAGGTCGTCTGTATCAATAATCGCATCGGGACGTTTGCGGCCATGTTGACGTGTCAAGCGATACGTGACAAACCCACCCACCAGGCTGACCAGTCGTTCAAGTTGTCCAGGCGAGAAGCGGGCAGTCCATGACACAAAATGATGGTGGCAATCATGGGGCAGATGGGACATCAGGCCTAAGATCCGCTTGAGAATACCATAGTGTTTATCGGAGCCGTTCTTACGAGTCGTCGGCACGGATGGTTCTTTGCGTGTTGACTTGCTTTCCCGGGCGGCTGGTCGCACGTTCCCTTTCGATGGCCGCCGATCGTGTCGATGAGATCCCTGGGCAATTCGACGCTGAGAATAGAATCCCGGCGACGACAGCATCGGATTCTCCAAGAGTATGAAAAGAAATCTTGTATCTTCAGGCTTTTTCAGGACTTTCCGTGGACGTTTCAGAAGATTCTCAGTGGCCTTCATCAGCGTCCGCTGAAGATGTAAACGAGCATCTGCAATTTCCTTCTCAATAAATGAAGGATCTATCGACTCCCATATTTTTCTCCGAGCTAGATCCAATTCAGAACGTGCTGAATCAGGCATCTTGTTTGTCCATTTCTCGGCCCAAGTGCTACCTGCAGTCAATATTAACTGATACCACTGAGCCAACTCGATCCAGTTGATTCGAGGACTCTTAGATGACACCAAATGAGACGGATGGCTAGGTATTTCTTTAGCAGTTGACATCTTGCCATCAGCCTGCGCCCATTCATGCATCCACCAAGATGAATTTTCGGCTAGGTCCCCCAGTAATAGAGTTTTAGCATCAGGCTCGAAGACAGGGGACAGTGGCGACGATTCTGATACTGTGGTAGTATCAAGTTTCATTCTTGGAGGGTTACCGCTGCTGGAGGATCGAATTGTTGGTTTGTAAGCGGGAAATGATAAATTGAGAGTGTCAACGCTTTTGAAAGCGGCTATTATATAGTTCTCCAGCCGCTGGAAGACTAGAGGTCGATTTTCATGAGCCTCTTTCTCGCCATTCGCGGGTGCTGTCTTCGACCCATATTGCAAATCTGAGCTGGCGCGGGGCCGAACGGGCGTATCTCTACTGTCCCAGTGACCCTTGTGAGGTGATGAAAGATGATTGTTTTCTTTGGTCACGTCTAGTCGTTCTCGGTGGGCAGATGTACTTCGGCTGCGACTGTCTCGTGGACCTGGTGGTCGTAGTGACACATGAGCGGGGCTGAGACCGCGTCCCTTTTCTGTTATTTTATCTCCATTTGATGGTTGAGATCTTCCTTGCCGACCGTCATCTTGATGAATACTTGAACGGGGTCCATCAAGAAGGCTGTCCATGTACATCGAAAGACATCCATCAAGCAAACGCCTGGTTTGACTGGCCGATAGTATTATATCTGTTTGCTAGGTCAATACAGCAAATTATCCAACAAGTCCATCCATCATGAATTACCTGGCTTTGGGTCGTCTACCGGTGGAATCGGGGGTTCTGAAGCATCCGGTTTATGCTGTCGCTCCACTGGATGATTATGTAGTTCCTTTCCATGATGGGAGGATTCAATGATGTCCGTAATCATCAAGCAAGTGCTGCATCGAAAGACCTTGAGATGCCTTGGCCACCGCACGGTCGAGTTGCAGGTCTGGCATTTTGCCTCGGCGAGATCTCCTTTGGCTGATCCCTTTGGCTGGTCTTTAACAGGGCTTATCACGGCAGAATTCCCAGTATATGTTGCCTCGTCAGAATCAGAATCGGAATCCCATTTAGCTTGCTTGCGCGCATTCTTTCCGAACTTCTTCCCAAGTGCGGAGAATGGAGGGGTGAACGGGTGGCTGATGGAGCGGGAGTGGCCGGGACGAAATGGACTCGTAGGCGAAGAGCCAATTATTTGCGCCATTGTCCGGGCATTCTGAGTATTTGAGGTGTGTCGTGAGTTGCTCTCTTGCGTTGCGGGGAAAGCAGTGATGTCGGGATTCGAGATCGGAGAGATTGGTGAATTATGTCCGAACCTGGATGGCATAGAGATTCACGTGTCCGCCCAAAGCTGAGGGAGTAGCTTTTATATCTTGGAAAACAAGTTTGGAGATGAACAGGCTACACTAAAAATTGTAGAGCTGAGGATGACGAGTAGCCGAGTGGAAGAAGATTGGCTCCGTTCACAGACACTCTCTGAAAGGCAAACTTTATTTTTGAGGAAACTAGAAATCCAAGGAACCCGAGGTTTCATTCAAATCCCAAAGCGAGTCAAAGAACGGTCACAAAGAGCGAGAGTAGTGTTGTAGCACTTCATAGTGACCTTAGACGGATTGGGAAGGCGGCGACAGGGTACCTATTTTTCTGCCTGAGGTGTGAACTTCAGGCTATTTTTGGCGTCACTAGTACGTGGTTAACTAAATGAATACGGAATAGTGAAACATTCCAAGGATTAGGTTTAATTCGAGCTGAGAAGGACATATGTCGTTAGAATTAAGAACTAATATGGCTTATATACTTACGAAATTATACAAAAATCACCGGTTTCTACCCAAGTACTTCTCATTAACCACAGCCATAGCCACCTTGGAAACCTTGAAAAGAAAAACAAAAGGCATATCCAGATGATTATGATGAACACTTGACATATTTAAGGGTATAGACAGCGACAACAGCCATATGCAGCCAGCGAGAGACCCTCGATCTTCCATTCAAATGAGCATTTGTACAACTAATCGACCGTCAGAGATCAGCACAGTCAAGATTAAAATCATCTAAAGGTCTCTACAATTGGCCGAGTATGGAGTTGAACCAGTCATACTTCGTTAATAAAAAGGGGGAATTCGAACATAAAACAAGATGGCTTTTTGGCTAAAAACAGGGCCTTTTGGTCTGCATTAAACTCAAACCCAGTCGAGTGAGAATTGTTTGAAAAGATAACCACATGCAGCCAATATTTTCCCATACTCCACCGCTCGGTGCATTAATGCACTTAACGGTAACGCCAGTAGCTCTGGGTGTTCTGGCGCTTCCAAGTGTGGCGGCGACCAGACTTGGTGTTGTTGTAGCGGTGACCCTTGTTGATACCACGGGACTTCTTTCCGGTGGCAGTAAGACCACGAGCCTCGCGGTGCTATAGAAGAAAAAATTGTCAGTACTCACGTGACACGGGAAAAATCTGCAATTATAAATATTCGTACCTTGTGGACGGGGTTGCAGATCCAGTTGATGCGGGCATCACGGCGGATAGCCTTGTGCTGGGGGTCAACAAGGATAACCTCGAAGAACTTGTAGGTGGAGTCCTGGTTGATCCAGTAGGAGTTCAGAACGCGCAAGTTAGCGCAACGGCGGCCAACACGCTCCTCAGCGGTGGCACGGAGAGCACGCTGGTACTTGAGCTGGTTGATACCCTGGTTGGTGGGCTTTCCGTAGGTGGCACCCTTGGGGGCAGGGCGCTTACGGCCTCCGCGGCGGACACGGATGCGGTAGACGACGTAACCCTGCTTGGCCTTGTAACCGAGACGGCGGGCCTTGTCGGGGCGCGAGGGGCGGGAAGCACGGTGGACGACATTCAGCTGACGGAGCTATATTGATGCACTCTCAGCAAAGTTCAACGAGTGTATAGCAAGACACAAGAACGATCAAGAATGAAAGTCTTTTTTAAGTGCCACAAAAAACCATTTCCGCCGAAAAGGTTCGTTCAAGCCGCACGGTAATACCAGATTTACAGGCATTTCCTTTGGCTATGTACATACGAGCGCTCGGCGGAGATGTTAGGCAATCGAGGGGGTCGCAGGGGTTCTATCTCACCTCCCAGCAGCGAACGCGGAGCAAGAACCGAATAACATCGGACTGCTTCTTCTTCTGGATCTCTTCGACGTACTTGAGGGCACCCATCTAGAGAGAAAGAAAAGTCGTTAACAATTGCATCGATTGATGGTGTATTGGAATGGAATAGTACCTTGTCGGCTTAGGTCGTCGGTTTTGTCGTGTCGCAACTACAAAAAGTTTCAAGGAAGAGAGGTCAAATGTCGAGGATGGATTGTGTGCGCTAGTGATTAACCGAGTGTGGGTCTTGGCATATTTCATTGGTCAATCATTTAGATCACGTGAACCGATTGGCCCACATTGTTCTGGATGGCTTATCAGTTGGTACTCGTTTTATTTAGTTATTTAACTACTTATTTAGTATTTTAGAATACATAGTCTTTGAGGATTTGGTCTTTTGAGATGTAATAAAATGTCTTCAAATAATTTAGAATAAAAAGATATTTAAATTTGCCTTCCGAAGCAATGAACATATGCGATGCACTCTAAAAAAAAGAAACAAAACACCGCTAATGTATCTACAAATATGCAAGTCGATATTCGACACAGAGTGGTCTCGTAAAATATGGCCACTTCAATATTCAATTTCCCCGTTCTCGTGAAGTGTGATGAACCATAGCATTTGTCACAGCAATGTTATGATATTCGGTCGGTAATACGCTTTTCTTGCATAGTGGGCACAGACTGCTGTTGTCTGTAAGGAATGGATCGATGCACCCAGGGTCGAATATATGGCCACACGGTAGTTCTCTGACAGTTGAACTTCCGATAACGAAGTCATCTAGGCAGATGGCGCAGGTAGTCTGAGTATGGCTCATTCGGTATGGGTTTGAGGATAGCGCCCTCTGATCGTCGGTGGCTGGGTTGATGATCGCCGCTTGGGGCTTCCTTAATCCAGTAATGCCCCGAGGCTCATTTTTCTCATCCTCAGGTAATGGCAAAGGGTGTTCGATTCTAGATTCGATCTCTTCCATGCCGGTGTTGATCTCTTCTTTGTTGAGGGAAGTATTTGACGACATATTTGGATATGTAAAGAGCGGCATCTTCTCAACAACTTCACGTGGTACCTTGACTTGGCTCAATGCCCGATATTCAATATCAATTTCACCTGAGTCAATACGCCTGCGCAGGTTTTGTCTTCTCTTCCGCTGAATCAGGCGATATATTACAAGAAGAATCAAGCTCAAGCCAACGATAGTTCCTAATATCGCAAGGACAAAACTCCAAAGACTTGGTGACGAGCTAGGAAGCGATTCTATCTCTGGTTAGAAAGATGGTCTTGTAGATGAGCATAGATATTGACATACCGGCATCAATCATTGTGAAGAGTCGCGAGCTTCCACTCTGGGGATATTTATCAGACTCCCAATTCTTTTTATAAGTGCTGCTGTTTGCTTTCCCGTCTGAAATCAAGGAGAGCTCTTTCATCAAAATCGAACCAGAGGGACCAGGGATTGCGTAGATAGGATAAGAATTCTCAATTCTCCAGCGGCCCCCGTCTTTTAAAGACCATCGTGCATCGCCAGGTGGCGGCGGCAGCTCCGTATCGTTGACTGATGGCCGAAAGAATACGAGAGCTTCCGAGCTAACATGCCGCGAGGCAGCCAAAAAAGACCTAGTGCACTCAATCGAAACCCAAGGAGCTATTCCAATCACGGGGTAGCCGAATTCCGAAACGTCTTTGTAGCGGGTCACGTTGGCTGGTATGTATGCACTTAAAATGTCATTGCATGGATCTTTTGGCTCTAGATCTGGGACAAATAGAAGACCAGATACAGTTCCAGAATCAGGAAGTCCTTTATTTGACAGTGTTTGAACTGTCCGATCGAGCACGAATCGGAATCCAACATTTTCCTACATCGAAGGTCACTAGAATCAGCTGCTGTTCCACGGTTCTTCCGACATTCCGGGGAGGTTTATTTACATTAACCGATGAAGTAATATTTGCAGCACTGCCTGGGCCCGCAAAAAGCGTGGCAACAGTAACGGCCGAATCAGGGGCTGTAGGCGACATCTTTCGGACTCTTCACATGTATCAACCTTCTAAGGTTGGGAGTATGCAAGGATCAATTTAGGTGCAGCACTGGGAAGCAATTGAAGGGAGTTGCCTCAAGTATAGGTTAACTAGAAGAGAAAAAAGGAAAGTACTTTGGAATTACAACAAGCGAGCTTTCTCATTTTGTTTGAATGTTTTTGAATTGCAATCGTAGGACCTCGCCTAACACGGCCAATTCCGCATGTTGGTGAAAGAATGCAAAGACGAATCGAGTTCGCCTACAAGAATGTAGATTCGCAGACCACGCGGCACAATTGAATTCTAGATCAAGCTCAAGATTATGCTATTATTTATTCGGCTAAAAATACATAATTACCCCGAACCCAGTCAAAAATGAATTTAATGTTGGGGGATCAAGTCTGCCGGATTAGGAAGGCCGTTTGCGGAGTGCCGAATGCGGTACCCAAAGGGCTAACAGCCGGTAAATGTCTTTCAAGGTTGGTGTGCAGAAAGACTTACTGAGTAGAACTCATGTGTCAAGGCAATAAAAACAGTTCACGAGTGCTAGATCAATTCTAAGGCTGAATTCAAAACTTCGACCCTTGGAACATTCGAGGACTTGGCCACCTACATATATTGAGCTTCCAATGTTATGTTTGAATGTAGTCGATGTGAATAAGCTCAATATTTGAACTTGAGAGAGAGAGAGAGAGAGAGAGAGATAGACCATAACATCTCAGGAATCAGTCTCAGAACATTTGATTAATTGTGAAACTTAGCCTCGCACATTTTACCTTCAATATGGAAGCTATCAAGCCTCGGCGACGCCGATCCCTTGGTATGTAACTATTCCATACTCAGCCACATTTACCACATCTGACTAGTAACTATTGTCTCGATGAGGCCGAACTGTAGGCTATTCCGGAGTCCCCTAGTCCTGAACAGAGTCTGGTCATGACTCACCAGACGCTGAAACATGTAACCTTATGTCAAATACTATCTAAGTCCCAATGAAGTCGAAGTCATAGATCAGAATCACGTGCCAAGAACGCCAGAATCACGTGTTCCTCGTTCAAGGGCACGTCAAGCTTCATGATTACACCTGACTTAATTGATTCACCGTGCCATCATCAGCATCATTCTGCTTAATCTTGACCCCAATTTTTTTTAAGTGACAGGGATATCAATGAGTAGTTGCAGGTGCTCATTCAACTGAACTGTGAGCTGGAACCAGGCCAGCATGAGCTTCCCTCCTTCGACTTTCGCGTCATAAATCATTCCATCTGCCGACTTCCCTACACTCTATACAACTTTTTTCCACTTCAGCCGGAACCAGTCCAAAATTTCAACATTCTGAAAAGCCTATCTAGCTCATAGGATGCCTTCAGCGTACAAGAGCAAGGGTAAAGGCCGTGACGCGCGCCAGTCCCGCAGTCGCAATACCACTCCGTCGAATACTGGCAGCGCTCCCACAGCCGTATTGCCTGCTTCTCTCCCCAGTTATCTCGAGAAAGATGTCGCGAAGCTTATCGAACAGGCTAATGGCCAATATGCGGAACTGCTGGACCTGGTGGCCGGGCCTAACATCCCCGATTCCAAGACTCTCGAAACCCTAGTGGAACACCTTAAGAGTCTGAGTGACATGGCAGATAACCGTGGGGACGCTTGTAATGCAGGCATGCGTGAGATGTCACAGAAGAGGAAGGAGGTATTGGAGAATCAGGATCTCAGTCGTGAGGTCTCTGTTCGCTCGAAGCTGAAGCGGGAGTCAGATGAAGAAGAAGATCCAATTCACAGAGGGAAAACCAAGAAGCGCAAGGAACGGAGTTCTAAGGAAGAAAGATCTTCGAATAATGGGACCCATGACAGCAGCCGTCAAGACGGTGCTGAAGCTAAAGTTGAAAGAGGTACGTGATGGATCATGGTTGCGTTTCCCGTTGATCGATCTTCCCACCCTCAAGTACTGCTCCGCTTTCGACACTTCCATTTGATTCTGTTGCTTTTCTTCTTTTTTTCTTGTTTGCTAACTTTATACTAGCGGCTTCTCCGCTTTCTAAGAATTTGAAGAAGGTGGCATCGGAGGGAAGCTCTTCTCTTTCACCTCCTTCAATGATGTCGCCCAATGGCGCCGCTGTGGACACTGATGGTGCTGCCGAGGTTAAATCTCCAGGTTCAGACTCGAGTGAATCCTCTCCACAGCCGGAACCCCAACCTGCCGTACCCCAGGTCCAAATATTCGGCGATAACCCCCTCAAATTCGACGATCCGACCATCTACCACATTCGTGACATTGTCCCCGGTATGACCGATGACGAGAAGAAGGAAATCTACAGTGTTACCGTCTTCCCTAAGAGCGATCTCGCCCATATGATGGCTGGCAAGCCTCCTGATCAAGACTACGTCCATGCTAAGCCGACCAACCAGGTCAGCGCCAACACTTTCCAGGCCTACATTGAGCCATTCATCCGGCCTCTTATGGAGGAGGATATCGCTTGGTTGAAAGAACGAGTAAGTTTTTAGAATGTCATTTCCACAGTTTGTTCTCGACTAACTCAGTACAGGGAGATCGCGTGACTCCGTTTATTAACCCACGCCGTGGAAAAAAACACTATCGCCAAATATGGGCAGAGGAGGACGGCATGCATTATGACCAGACGCAAGACGAAAAGGATCAACTGCCGCTGAACCAGGGCCGAGGCAGCATTGAACAGCTGACCGACGACAAGACCGAAAACAACGAAGTCTCGATTGGACCTCTACTTAGCCGCCTCTGTACTCTTCTCCGCTACGAGCACCGTACTCTCCCCGATGAGAATGCGGGCTCTTCAAACGATGATGCACCAAACGGCTCACTGGATGCAATGGACATAGACCCACCACCGGCCAGCGACGCGGACACAAAGCCGGAGGGCAAACCCCTCCCACCCGCAACAGCCTTCCGCGATGCCTCCCCCACCGGATTCAAGACCTCTGTTGCTAAACTTGACCATGCGCAATTGGACGAGCGCGCCAAGGCCGAGCTGCGATACATCGGATTCCTGGGAGCCGACGATAACCCTGACTACGATGCGCATTACGACGACGAAGTCGCTGAGCGCCTTCGACTTCTCCAAGGTGAACTGAAGAAGCAAGTCGTGACCAACAACGCGCGCAAGGCCCGCATCCTCCACACCGCGCAGGAACACATGGCCATGCAAGAATTCACAACCATCCAAGACGACCTTGACTCTCAAGTCCAGCAGGCCTATCTCAAGCGCACGCGCACCATGGGCAAGAGCAAAAAGGGTGCTCAGGCCAAAAACCGCCCCGGTGCCCCCAACGGTGTCGCCAGCGCTGGCGTCTCTCGTCCAGCTGTTGGAGACGCGGCTAAGATCGTCATGGATCGTCGCAAGCGTTGGAACGATGCTTTCCTCCCTATCTTTGAAGATATTAAAACTAGTATTCCCAAGCCGGGCGAGACTATCTTTGACCCTGATGGGATGATTGAGTACGAGAAAGCCGAACTGGAAGCCTGGGACGAAGAGTGAAACCATTGTGATACCCCCTTTTTTTTGTTTATTTCTTGCTCCAGACATGGGCTCTCTGGTTTTACCTTGATTTCGTTTGATGGATATTCTCTAATGCTCAACTAATGACTGCAATGACGGACGGGGCGTTTATTTCGAGAAACTTGAATAACATTACAAGTATATCTTCTGATATTGTAAATGATTTCACATTAAAAAGGGGTATCTATTTATCAGCTATCCATGCTACTGAGACCCTGGCCATAGACCCGATGCCTCTCACCGATGTAGAATCAACACTTCCCCAGGATATCTCTTCAACCTGGCCGTCAACTCCCGCTCCCCAATCTCGAACTCAGTACAAATCTCATCAAAGCTATGCATACCATCTAAAAATTTCCCCAAAGTCTTATCATCAATCGGATCATCCTCGTCATCCTCAAACACACCAGAAAGCGTACTTCCATTCCCAACCCCAGTACCAGTATAACTCCCGCTATTAAACGACGATGTACGCTCATGTCGCGCAGCGGCAGAATGAGATCCCTCTTCCCCAATACTCGACGTGGCATACGGCGTATTAGTCCCTGTCGTGACACGGGACGACGGTCCCGTCGACAAATTTGCATTGCGCGGAGCCGGCACTGGGGCCGGCTGGCCTGTTGCGCAGGCGTATTTGTGTACGCGGTAAAGGAAGCCTTTTATGACGCCGAATGTGATGAAGCGCCGGATGTCGATGTTGGCTAGCTCGCGGCTGTGTTGCGCGTACCACTGCTTCACGCTCTGTCCTTGCTTGAGGCTGGCGTAGAGCTCAACTATGCCCACGCCGTCGACGATGCTGGACTGGCCTATTGGTATTGAGGCCTGCGTTTTTGATTCTGCGTCGCCTAGTAATGGCCAGATCTCTTCTGCGTCGAAGCGGGACTCGTCGCGGGATATGCTTGGGACTTCGGCGAGTGAGCTGGGTAGTGGGTCTGCGCCGCCGCCGCTGCTGCTACTTGTTCCGGCTGCGGCAGCAGCAGCTGCTGCTGCTGCTGCTGCGACGGTGGCGGCGGCTGTTAGTGCTGGTAAGGCAGACTGAGGGCTTACGGCTGAGTGTGGTGCGAAACGGGTATTGACGTAACGGGCGCATTCGAGTTGCATGGCTTCGTCTGAGGCGATTGTAGAGTTGAATTGTGCTGTTGGAGCGTATATTGCTGAGAAGGAGAAGATGTCTAGTAGGAATAGACAGCCGTAGTATAGTAGATGGCGGATTGCGCGACAGGTTAAGGAGAAGTCTGTATCGGCTAAAATGGATATTATGCGGATGCTATTGATGCCATTTATGTGTGGTACGATCTAGATTTGTTAGTACATAGCTCTATACTCAAGCAGTTATATAGATCATACCCGCTGCAGTGTTAGATCCCAGTTCTCGTCCATGAAGGCTTGGTATCGCACTGTGAAAAGAGGGACATACCAGGCCTTAACAGGTGGAGGAGAGGGATAGATTGGGAAGAGCTTGATGTTCAAGGTGTTCAGTTCATCTGGTTTGCAATAGGTCAGTCATATTGCTGCAAAGCTCAACGTATAACCACTTACCAATGGGAATCATGCACTCGCAATAATTATTCAAGTCCTCCATCAACATCTCACAAAGGCTGTAGACCTTCCCCTCGCCAGTTTTCGAGAAATCCCTCGAGAGGAACCCACTTTGTTCCTCCAAGCCATGCATCAAGTCTGCCAGCTTCTGTACCACGCTCTTGTACGTGCTGAAATCGTCCTCGTCAGCCAACACGATACAGAAGTTGAAGATGAACTCATTGCGGTCGTATCGCGGCGATTTCATGCAGATCGGATATCCTAGGATACGATAGCCGTTAGTGCAGACCTGCAAGAGGTTTCCGCATAGCTCCTGGCGGGGGATCACGAAGAAGGATATGTCGGAGAAAGGTATGAAGAGCGGTTGATCGGGCGCTGTTGCTGAGGGGACGATGGCGCCATCTGGGACTTGGTGGACGACCTTTGGGCCTGGGAGAATGAGACAATGGTAAGTTTGCAGTTATCTATGCAGGATTGGTGGTCTTCGTTACCCTCTTGGGTGTCGAATTTGCTGTAGAAGATTGCTTTTATCATGGTGCTGCGCGCATGCGAGCTGAGGACAGGGGTGTAGATCGCGGGGTAAGCGACTAGGTGGTTTGAATCCAAGTCAAAGGATCATGTCATATATCTATTGATTCGTGTCCGGCTGAGAAGTTCAGTTGTCGCGATGCGTAGTTGAAGCTTGAAAGTCGAGGCTTATCGGCGGGTCCATCGCAACTCCGCATTTTTAGCCCGTCACTCTAACTCTGCTCATATGAAGCTGCTCTGTAACCACCTACCTAGAGTACTTTGTTGCTCAATTCTACGTTCCAACCTTTTAAATGGATTCCGATACCCAGGTGTTTAAATTCAGCCCCAAGAAAACTGTATGAAAAATGTGTTTGTGGAAATTCGCAAATAAACATGGCCAAATCTGTGAAAAGTAAGAACCTATGCGCTGATATCAAAAATCTTCGGGTAAACAATTAAATAAAGCCATTTTATGATGCAGCGGGAAATAATGCGCCGAAAAATGCAAATCGTAATCATCGAGTCATTTTTGGAGGTTGTCCAAAATCAACGTGCTGTCCCAGTGGAAGGGTTGGTAGCCGGTGGAAGTACCGGGTTCGGGGTGAAGGCATTGGCAGATGTCGAGTAAAGGAAGTCTTCAGCAAGGGCAGTAGTGGCCGCCAAGTTTGCTCGTGTATCGTGTCGCACTGATGCCGGGGGTTCGGCGACAGCCATCAAATTCAAGGGCTGGTTGGTTCGAATAGCCTGTACCATCTCTTCATATCCGCCGCGCTCGCCAGATTCCTTGAACCACTGTTCCCAGTCCTCATCTAGAGGCACATCGACACCCTGGTCGCGCGCGGCCATCGCAGCTAGGAGTCGGTGATTCAATTCCACACCACAGCTTTCCACCTCCTCGTCACTTGTGTCATCATCAAATTCATGAGCTCTGTAGTTGGAGAGAACACTAGAGCTGCGGGAATTACTGGCACGAACTGTATCGTCACTTCCCGTTTCGGGGATCTGGTTCAAGTCAAGCTCTTCTTCTTGCCACTCATCGTGTACTGTAATTGTAGGGATCTCAGGGATTTCTCGCTCAACGTTATCACATGTTGTGTCCTGTACGGTGATTCCACTCTCCCGTTCATACCGCATGCGCGCGGACTTGGTCCCCTCCCAACAGCAGAGCTCTGAAATCTCGTCAGCAGTTAAACCTAGCTCATTGAATGCGCGGAAGAGCCGGCGATGGTATTGGAAGCGACCTAGTCGCATGCGATGTGGAGCAAAGGAGTAGTCTAGGCCTGGATACTGCGCTTCAATGCAATCCAGAGGGCCATAGAAGCAGTGTGTTTCAATTCGCACTTCTGGTACCAGGTGACGAGTGATGTGAGATGAGAATGAAGTTGGATCATTTGATTTGGGACGAGGGTATAGTTTCTGGTAGACGAGCTGTGAGATTGAAGGTTTACGCATGGCGGATGGCTAAGAGCAGAGGATACAAGATAGAGGAGAAGAGAACTCAGAGGTAAAGAGAAAGCATAGGAAAGGGAGGAGGACCTTTGAGGAAGGAGCTCCAGAAATGGGGGGATTAATAGGGAGAATGAAGGGTAATGAAGGAAGCGGGATAAGCAATAGAAATAAAATCAAGAGGGGGAAATTTAACACTAGTTTCAGCCTCTGTGGTGTCACGCCAACGTGTTATGCTGTGTTGTCCTGCGCCTCGATTTATTCATTTTTATCTTTAATTTCGGTTTTATTTCTGGGACAACACATCCATGTCGACCTTTGATGGCATCGTGACAGGTAAACCTATTCCCTCTACATTCTTCAGGACTGACTGCCCTAGAATTCCCGGATATTCAAAGTAAGTGATTCGCTAAGTGACATGTCCATTTGATCACTAAACAAAACTCAGTTGATAACTTTCGGAAACCCCCTGATGGACGACCACCACTTGCATGCTTCCTCAGTCATGTCCACAGTGATCATCTGTTTGGACTGGAATCATTCAGAATCCCATTCATCTACTGCTCACAAGCCACGCGTGAAGTATGTTTGGGAGTTGGCCAATGGTGATACCCACTAACTAGATCTGAAACAGCTGCTACTGCGGATCGAAAAGTACCCGCATCGGATGAACTTTCAGAAAGGCATCTTGGAGTCTCGTCGATTGCATTACAAGCATCTGGCGAGATTATTGGTGTGTGCTTATTCCACTCCTCACAAGCACAATCAGCTGACTCTCCCCAGCGTCCGATTCCATTGAATACACCGACAGAAATAGAGTTGACCCCCCGGAGGAAGATCCGGGTCACTCTGTTCGATGCGAACCACTGCTGCGGGGCTGTGATGTTCCTTATTGAGGGAGATGGCAAAACAATCATCTACACGGGAGATATTCGAGGTCAGTGGTTTTGTTTCTGTTTTTATGTGATTCCAATACTAATAAGAGCCAGCGGAACCATGGTGGGTTAGTGGTTTGGTGAGACATCCCATCCTTATCCCGTACACATTGGGTCGGAAGAAGTTGGACAAGCTGTATCTGGATACCACTTTTGCAGCCTCATCAGATCCCTTTCGTCGATTTCCTTCCAAGGCCGAGGGCTTGGCAGAGCTACTACAGAAATTGGATGCTTATCCAGATGACACGATCTTCTACTTTCGAGCCTGGACATTCGGGTATGAGGAGGTATGGCTGGCAATGGCCGCAGCACTGAACACTACGGTAAGAGAATGCAAATCACTGGATTGAAATATTTGATTTGTTGAGACTCGGACTAGGTACATCTGGATCGATATCAGATGGGACTTTATCGCTCTCTTTCGGGCTCTTCTAGCGGTAGACCTGCACTCTGTGGCTTCAACATGGGTAATCGAGGTGTTGCCGGCTGCTTGAGTGACCAGGAGTCTAGCAGGATACACAGCTGTGAACCTGGTGTATCATGTCCAGTGGCTCGCAGCCCCAACACAGTCTACATCGTCCCCATCGTGAATCGCTCAATTGATGGTGCAGAAATACCGGAAGTTGGTGCTGGCGGTGGCATCGGTGATTTGTATCAGACGCACGAGCTGGAGCTGCCGAATGAAACTGCTCTGGTTGAGCTAGAGAAGCTTTGTCTTCAGCTTATCACTGACAAAAATGTCCTGTTGCAGACGCAAAAGAAAATCTCTGATGCATTCCAGTCAGGGAAAAGAACATTGTCTCTTGATAAATTCGATGTACAAGCGGAAGAAAATATCTCTCTGGAGCGCCTAGTGGCAATTCTCAGCGATAGCGATCTGAACAGTCACAGAAGGGCCGATAAGGCGGATCTTCCGAACACGATCGTGAGTTTGACCCTCCCCAGTTTTGACCTTCTATCCTAACTATCATCAGCGCTTCCCTTACTCACGACATTCATCTTATGAGGAGCTATGCGAGCTTGTCACCGCTTTGAAACCTTATGATATCCACCCTTGCACAGTGGATCAATCTTCCTGGAGCGAAAATGTATCCATGGAACGTCTGTTCGGCCATCTATGTCCTGGCGATAATTTCAGTCATGATATTCACATGCACGAGACTCTGGACGAGGATTACAATACAGAGCATACGCGTAAAAGAGCTCGCTATGCGAGAAATCGTTCGCCAAAATCGACACCATCTAGCGGTGTGGCTGAAGAGTCAGATCATAGCGTGCAGATGATTGACATAGCCAAACCAATGGAAGCAACACATGAATCCAACGCTCCTGCCCCAGAAAGAGAACACGCAAACCGTGACGACATTCGGAGGGCACACCGCTATCTGCAAGAACACGCCGATCCAGGAATATTGCAAATCGACCCTCTCCCCTCATGGACGGAAGAAGATTCAGGAACAGCCGTTACACAACGTCAGCCTGCAGTGCTTAGTTCACCAACCCTTGCCGATTTTCAGATCGAAGGAGGAGACGTAGATTCTTCGCAATCGCACAGCCAGCACTCTGCCTCTCGGTTCCAGCAAGATAGTCAGCTATCTGATACACTAACAATATCATTGTCTATGACTGAGTCTATTACTGAGTCTGATTCCCAGAAGCCTGCGCGAGGAGGTCGGGACCGTGTTATGGCTCGCTATCGTGCCCGTATGGCGGCTTTTATTGCCGCGCAACGAGGAACCTACTCTGCGTGGGAGGATGTGTCGCTCGTCTCGGCTGGTGGTCATACTCAAGAGGAACCGGAGCTGTGAGCTCTTAGCCATGATGACGATTAATCTATTTCTTGTGTACCTTGTCTTTGATGGAGTTTCGGGTTTGGCTGTATGATACCATTTCGGGGTTTTCACATCTCTACTGAGATTTAATGAGATTGGATTCAGGATTTTTGGAAGGTCTGACTGACAGTCTCCTCTTTGACAGCCATACCTTGGAAGTCGTACAACCCCATTGGAAGGGGTTAATTACGAGGTAGAGAGTCATTTCAAGAGATGTAATCACTTTCGTTGCAAACAATAGCTACACAATGTATAAACAGTAAGCGTCTTCGCTATGGCCTATTCCCAGTATGATGTCAAATGCTCGACACCCCATGGATGTGGTACATGAATCGAGACATTGCTTAACATGATAGAATCGAATCATAGAACGGCCAGAGAAAGAACTCTAGAAAATCATTGTTAAATGATAATTTCAATGATTGAGACCGTGATACAAGTGCCACAACTCGCATCACACTCTAAAAGATATAATACGCTTGTGTGAGAGGTAACTCGGTTGCAGGCTCAGCATCACACAGCATGCCATCAGCCTCGACAGTCTGACAAGGGCGTTGATATCAGCTGGCTAAATCTAATTGTCATTTGAATGGAACTGGAACTTACATAGCTTTCTGGATCAACTTTCATCTTCGGCATTGTGTCGTTGAACTTCATATCCTTCTTTCCGATATTGCGGCAGTTCTTTACTGCTTCGATGCGTTTTTGTAGACCGTATGTATGGACGATGCCTTCATCTATGGAGGCTTGCGAGACAAACATGATTGATGTTTTCGGTACACGGACCTAATTATTGTGAGTTTGAATGCGGAAGCAAATATGGGCTGGATATTACATACGCCGAACATAGGTCGCATGATCATTGGCTCGATTGTTGGGATTGAGGCGTTGGCATCACCCTATTTGAAGATCGTTAGAATTTGATAGTGAATAATGTGGCATTTTCAAACATACCATGTTTGCAACGGCTATCATGCCGCTCTTTAAGACTTGTAGTGGCTTCGTGCCGAATGCGCTAGGCTTCCAGAGGACAAGATCTGCGATCTTGCCAACCTCCACACTACCGAGCAGGTGTGCCATGCCCTGAGCTACCGCCGGGTTGATGGTGTACTTGCTGATATAGCGCTTGACTCTGAAATTATCATTATCGGTGCCCACATCCTGGGGCAGGGGACCACGCTGCATCTTGTTCTTGTGCGCGGTGTGCCAAGTGCGCAGGATAACTTCTCCGCAGCGACCCATGGCCTGCGAGTCTGAGGACATCATGCTGATAGCACCAAGATCGTGCAGCACGTCTTCAGCAGCGATGGTCTCCGCTCGAATACGGCTCTCGGCAAAGGCGACATCTTCGGGAATGTTCTTTGACAGGTGGTGGCATACCATCAACATGTCGAGATGCTCGTCTAGGGTGTTTAGCGTGAATGGTCGGGTCGGGTTCGTGCTGCTGGGGAGCACGTTGGGATGTTCCACAACCGAGATGATGTCTGGTGCGTGACCACCACCTGCGCCTTCGGTGTGGTACGTGTGGATGGTGCGGCCTTTGAATGCGCCGATGGTCTGCTCGACGAATCCAGACTCGTTCAATGTGTCGGTATGGATCAAGCACTGGATGTCATACTCGTCACAGATATCCAGGCAGTTGTCAATTGCGGCGGGTGTAGAGCCCCAATCTTCGTGCAGCTTCAGACCAACCGCACCGGCCTTGGCCTGCTCTACGAGGCTCTGGCGTCCGCAATCATTGCCTTTACCAGTGATTCCAATATTGATCGGTAGGCTGTCACACGCTTGCATCATCTGGCGTAAGTGAAGAGGTCCCGGTGTGCAAGTGGTCGCGTTAGATCCAGTGCTAGGACCAGTACCACCACCAAGGAATGTAGTAATACCTGAGGCCAGGGCTTCGTCCACCTGTTGCGGGCAGATCAAGTGGATGTGGCTGTCGAAACCACCGGCGGTGACAATCTTATTCTCGGCAGCAATCACGTCTGTAGATGAGCCAATCACCAAATCAGGGTGTACGCCGTTCATGACATCGGGGTTTCCGGCTTTGCCGATTCCGCAAATGAGGCCGTCTTTGATACCAATATCGGCCTTGTAGATACCCGTCCAGTCGATTATCAATGCGTTTATGATGACAGTATCGGCACACTCGGCGGCTGAACGTCCTGAAGCCTGACCCATACCATCACGAATACTCTTGCCACCACCGAAAGTACACTCATCGCCGTAGCTAGTCAGGTCCTTCTCCACTTTCACCCACAGGTCGGTCAGACCAAGGCGCACCAAATCGCCTGTAGTCGGGCCGAACATGCGTAAGTAGGCTTCTCTGTCCATCGAAAAGCCGGAAAGCAATGCGCTATCTGCAGTTGGTTCTGGGACATGCGCAAACCCTGCTGTCTGCAGACGAGTCACAATCTCCTCTGTACGGCTGAGGTCAATCGGCCCATGAGCCAAATTGTTGCCGCCACGGATAACGCGATTCCCAGCAATCTCCACCAATGTGACAGTCTTGGTATCACCAGGCTCGAAACGAATGGATGTGCCAGCGGGGATATCTAGCCGGAAGCCATAGGCCTGGACTCGATCAAAGTGTAACTGCGGATTGGTTTCAATGAAATGGTAGTGAGATCCCACCTGTACTGGTCGGTCACCTTTGCTCATAACCTTCAGACGAATACGCTTGCGTCCGTCATTCAATGAGATTCGAGCATGCTTCGCCGGAATCACAGCACCGGGCATCTTCTCAGGCACAAAGTCCTCTGGATCCGGATCGGGAAAGGCTTCGCGTTGGGGAACGGGCAGGAAGCTACCATATAGCGCACGCTCAAGATCTCCTTCATCACTACTGATGGGATGGTGCACTGTCACCAGGTAGGTTCCACTCAGGAAGGTACCTTCCACCTGTAATTCGACCAGGGTTGCAACGACAGAGGGTAAGACATGACGACGGCCGAGCATAGTCTTACCAATAGACATCAAATCGGCGACGGAGAATTGGCCATCACGGATAAGCTGTAGAGTCAGGATCAATTGGTGTATTAATTAAGGAAGTCTATATGTAGTTACCTCTTGTAGAACTGAAGAGATCAAGGCCTGTAGACCATTAATGGCACATTCTTCTATTATACTACATTTTCATACTTACCACCGCCTCTGCATGATTCAACCGAACACCCCTGGCAAGGCGACGCTGTGCCAGGAACCCGAGGTGTGTTATAGTGAGCTTGTCAAGCTACGTTTCTCAGCATAACTATGCGTTACACTCAAGACTTGGTTACATACCTCTTTCGGAACAAGCTGCATGATACCGGTAGAGCCCGAGCTTCAAACTGACTGAGATTACCCAGAGAGTAGAAAGAATAGGTCATGAATTGACAAGAGAAGGGAGGTTGGAATGCGGGGAGTGATTTTATTTTCCCGAAAGATAAAGAGATAACAAACCATTGGATCTGACAGTTTGCGGAGTCTTAGTCACACTCTTTATTAACTAGTTAGTTACTTCTCTACTACAGAGTATTGCACTTTTGAGATATTGATTTTGCCCTAACGAAATTGTACCCGAAGACAACTTAGAGCTTTTGACATCAAAACGAAAACCAGCGCAAGGATAACGCCTTACATAAAACATAAAAGGAAGCACAGGTCATCTCACAGAATCACCGAAGATAAAAAGAGTACACAGTTGAAACCGCTGTTGCGCCTCTTGGTCTTCACGGAACCACCGAAAATAAAAAGAGTCCATACTTTAAGCCTCGCTCTTGCGCTTCTTGCTCTTGCGCTTGGTCTCAGTCGCAGGCTTTGCGGCAGACTCGGGCACGATGGGCTCTGGGTCGGCCTTCTTGCCACGAGACTTCTTCACAGGAGAGGTTTGCTTGGCGGGGGTCTCCTTTGTGGCGGCCTTGTTCTCACTGATGCGGCGGGTGCGCTTGTTAGTGCTACGAGGAGGAGTCTTCTCCTTGACAGACTGGACGGGAGAGGGGGACTCCTCCTCCTCAGACTCTGCCTCGGAGGAAATGGAAGATTCGGCCTCAGAAGCACCGGCATCAAGCATCAGCTGATCAGCCGGGTCGGCGTCGACCTCTGCCTTGGGGCCATCCTTAGCCTTGTCGGTCTTGTACGCATCCAGAACCTCCTTGTAGTTGCGGTAGTTCTCAGCGTACTTATCCTTCCAGATCTGTTGCGGAATTAGAATACGAACGATTCAGTGAAAGAAATTGATAACTTACAGCACGGGTGACGGCGTCCATGGCCTTCCAGCGGCGAGTTCCCTCATCGGAAACATCCTTGGGCTTCGCATCGGGACCGAGCTCATCAGCGATGAGCTTGCGGGTGTGCTGCATGTACAAGAAGTATGGGGTCAAAGCGCGCTTGGGAGCATTGGGGTCAGCAGGGGCACGCTTGCGCTTTTTGCTACCCGCAGCCTGGATTACGGGGCTCACGGCATCAAATTGACCGCTCAACGCCGCTGGGACGGGAGGGAGGTCAATGACGCTGGAATCACCGCTGATGAGACGGTTAGAGTGCTCAAGGGTTGCCTTGGTCAGATCGGCAATGTAAGCCTGCAGGGCCATGAGGCGCACAAGGACCTAAAAAGTAGAATTAGCATCGCATACTTCCAGTAAGTAGTGTACCGAGGCATCTTCCAAGGTTCCGACGACTTTCGACGGTACAAAAGCCTTTGGCTGTGGAGCATATAAGATAAAAATTGAAGATGAAAAAATGCAAAGTTGTCAAGACAACCATGAAAATTAAGAAGCTTTGGTGGCATCTGTGGGGCATGGGGGTTCCAAAGCTCTCTGTGGGCTTCGGGAGTGGGAGGTTACGGGTACGCGTTTGAAGCGCGAAAAAGTGGGAGGAAAACAACAGCAAGAAAACGCGCGATGAGATGGGACCCCGGATTAGAAGGGCAAGGAAGGGAGGTTAGAGCATACCGCATCTTTTGAAGCTCGCAAGTCATTAACATTAATGGTGACGGTGGCCTCCTCGGCTTGGTTATTGGGAGAAGTCATGGTGGTACCGAACGTTAGGGAGGTGCTGGGGGGAAAATTAATTTTTCACGGGGAGAAGTAGAAGTGAAGAGTGGGCGCACATAGAGGGGGGGGGGGGGTCTCCACCTAAATATGCCCCCGTCCCCTAAACCCCCAAAATTTCCCGGCATGCTCGGCCTGAAGACTGCCCGTGCCTACTTTGGGCTACTTTAGGCTTAGGCCATATGAGTTTGTTGACCTGCCATACTTTAGGGGAGTGTTTCAGCTGTTGTACCCGGGCCTGCGGGCACTTTGGCACTAATAGGCCCTACTCTCGGGTGCAAACCTCCACGCAGCTGAGGTCTATCCATTATTCAAGCGCCGTCCAAATTGTCGTTTGTCCATTTTAAAATGAACAAGATCTAATCCAGACTCCACGTCACTTAAATTTTATTAAATTTGAATATTTCCACTTTTTGTACGAGCTAAATCTTCATAGTTGCAGGTGCCCAGGTGCGCCTACCACAATATATTTGGCGGGTCAGCACCGGGCACTGCCCCCAACCTTGGAATCCCCATGTGACTGACAGACCAACATTGAAGGTTGGGAACCCTGGCAATATCTGAACCTTAGGTCGTAGATCCATCCATACCTTAACTGCAGGTGACAGGTAAATGCAGTAGGTTTTCGAGATCTTCAAGGTTAATAGTTACAGAGTTCATTGATGCAACATGTTATACAGTTATATTCCCTCATGTTTCGGATATAGACACGCCACTTCCAACCTTCCAACCTTCCAACCTTCGAATCTAAGATGGTTTGGAGCGAACACGCTTAAAAAAAGATGCATCAATGTACACATAGATATCTGCGCTTCTGCACCCGTTCTATATTCTACATGGGTAGGTAATCTAGAACTTGAAAACCTGCTCCTTAGAGTAACCCAGCTCCTTCAGGGAACCATCGAGCTCACCCTGGTCTGTGGGGCTGACCTTACCACCGCTAATAGCCTTGTACAGAGGAGGAGGGCCACAAACAAAGATCTTGATGTTCTCCTCCTTGGGTTCAGGCAGCACAGTCTTCAGCAGCTCCTTGGTGATGTAGCCCTTGCCGCCAGTCCACTCCTTGGGAGGCTTGTCGAGCACGTAGAAAGCGCGGAATCGCTGGGGGTATGTGTTCTCCAGCTCATTGAGCTCCTTCTTCAGCAAGATGTCCTCCTCGGAAACGTTGCCGAAGACGAGAGTCACCTTGGTGCGGTCCTCAGGATTCTTGAAGATCTGACGAGCAAGCTGGTACATGGGGGTGATACCAGTACCACCGGCAATTAGGCAGATGTGGTCGTGCTTGTTGGGAGTCCAGGCGTACTTGACAATTGGGCCCTTGAGGGACAGGCGCTCGTCGATGGGCATGGAGGTAATGTGCTCGGACATGGCGCCACCGGGGTAGGACTTGACGACCAGCTCGAGGTAACCGGGAATATCTGAAGACCAAAATTAGGTATGTTAAGAGATATTCAATGCTGATAATTGCTTACCCTCATCACTGGTAGGGGTGTATGGGCGGATAACGGGCTTCTGAGCACCCTCGGGCTTGAACTTGGCCAAGATAGCAGCTGGAGATAAAAGTTAGTAGATGAACAATGCATCACCCCTCAAAATACTAACAGGCAACGGGAAGACCAGAGACAGCCTCCTTGTCATCAAACTCGTAGCGCAGCTTCTTAGAGTTGTGGCTCAGAACCTCAACGCTCGTGAGCTTGAGGTCCACCCAGTCATTGCCGTTAAAAACCTTAGGGCGGTCCTTAAGCTCAATAGCGGCAGCAGGATTGTCACCATAGTAGCGCCATAGACCAGCACCGAGGCCAGCAAGACCAACACCGACGTAGATGGGGGTCAAGTTGGACTTCTTGGGAGCTTCGGTGGAGTACTTGCGGAAGCCCTGTTGAAAAAGAGGATTAGAGGAATATAGGCAGGGATGGTGTTTTTCGGGACTCACGTGCTTGAGAGACTGCGCGCTGCGGAAAGATTGACGGGCGAACATTTTGTTATGAAGTGGAAACAAAAGAGGGCGGGGGATAAAGTGTTTTGAGGGGAGAGTAGGAGAGTTGTTTTGAGGAAGAATTCGGACCGCACAGGATTACTACTCGGCTTTAGTATCAACGAATGACGCAATAACAACCGGTACTATGATTCTTGATTGCGTCAATGTCCGTTGTATACCCATGTAAGGAATTGACCTTCAATCAAAAAAGTGCCGGGCTATTTTAGCTAAATGTTCAATTAATTATGCTTATGGAGAGACTGCGTTGCCATTATATGGATGGGCTCGAGCTTGGGTTCGGATTAAAGCTCGGGTCCGAACCTGAAAACACCGAATAATCGTGCTTTAGTTGTCAGCATCACTGGTGACTGCTACTGCTATCAGGGTCTACTGCTTGCCGCGGGGGAGCCTTTACACGCCTCTTCTCTTGGTTGTTCATGTCATAAATTTTGTTACGACTGGCATGTAAAGACAAAATGGAACCCGATAATTTTTTTAGAATTGGCCTTGAAGATGCCACTACACGGGACTAGTGACATCCCCCATTTAACTGAGTACAAAAAGGCCATATCCGTGCGACCAATTTCTTTCATGCATGCTATGGCCATAACGTAGGTATTCGTCCACACACTCCCAATCCAAAACCCAGAAACATCACATTTAAGCAAAGGTAGAGGGGCGAGAGTAGGCGTAGAGCTTCTTGCCAGGGTTGGCAGCACGGTGGGGCAAGGGGAACTTGAGGTCCTTGCTGAGGAGCTGCTTGATGTAGGGGCGGCGGATGCTGTTGACATCGGTAACCTCGACAACCTTCAGGATGTGGATAGAGCCGAAGCGAGCGCGGTGGCGGGCAGCCATGTCCTGGTAGAGAGCCTCAACGGCCTCGGTGCGGGACATCTCACGGAACTCCTTGTACATGTTGTGGGTACCGGAGCGCGAGTCGTAACGAAGCCAAATACCGAAGTTCTTGACCTTGAGAGGGCGCTTCTCAGTGATCTGATGGCGTGAATTAGTACCTGTTCGATGTCGTGTTGAAATTGATTCCTGCCACATACCACGTTCAAGCTGACGATCTCACCGTTGGACTTCTTCAGCTTGCGGAGCTGAGCCAAGAAGTACCAGAAACGGGACTTGGCGACAACAGTGTTGGGCGCAAAAATGCGCATACGGTACAGCTTGGGGGTGGGGTTAGCCTCGGTGGGCAGGTGACGCCCGATGACCTGGTACTCGTTAAGACGCCCTGAGATGAAATCGTCAGTCATTGTTTCTGCTGGTAAATTCAGCTCTTTCTCTTCTCGATCGAAACGGTGTGTGTCGGTGATGAGCGAAAATCCCTGTAGACGGAAAACGGAAGGTGTTGTGAGTAGTTCGGTTCGATATTAAAAATTTCGAGATTAGATATTATTGAAGCGTAGATCTTAATCGGCAGCAGTATCTCTTCACCAAATGGTGTTTCCAATTCACGAGACTCATTCTTGTCCTAGCCCTGTCGTACATGTCGTTACAATTGTTCCATCCTCATCGCGCCGTATAGGTATTGCGTCGTATGGGTATTTCGCCGACCGTTTGCACACACCGTTGTCGTCTCGAGAAAATTATTGGAGTATCGGGGAAAAAGAATCACTCACCCATCTAGAATAATGTTAGTAACGAGCGTAAATGTGAAATGGGGTGTACTGACTGTGATTGTCGCTGTGGTGATTGAGTCGTTAGTGTGGCCGTCGGGGGAGAGAAATCTGGAAGTGTGTTGCAATGTGCTTAGGGCTACCGCCCTTCGGTTAAGCGAGTGGAGAGGATGATTTGGAACTAAACCTATTACGGAATAGTATAGCAAGTTGATTTCACCAGCCACGCTTTGATTACATACTCAGATCTTCTCTTCCCATCAGCCACATGTGCGCCCCACTTGCTTTTGCTTCTCCAACTGAAAGTACGTACTCCGCAGATACTTCACTTCCTTCCCCAGCCTTGTAGCTTTTTGCACAATTTCCATTGTTAAGAAGTTCCAACTCAGTCGCCTGCCTATCATGACGATTGTCACTGATTTTGGAAAGGCGTATATCGCCGGCTCTGGTACCAGCCTTGCTGAGGTTCTTACCCCGATTCCGACACCCAGTGACCCCGGCCGACTGCGCAAGTTCCTCGGATTCACCACATCAACACAGCTGACCCGCGACCTGAATGCCCACCTTTTCCAGTTCTATGGCAAAATACCGAGACTACCGACTGTTGAGCAACAATCCTGGCTCGATATCTTTGCCGCATACTGGGAAGCTGTAGTAAAAATAGTGAGGTATTCAGACGGCCACCCCAGTGCAACCGCTGTCGGGATCTTCAATGCCTGGAAGAAAGTGTCCAACGCTTTGATCAAGGGATACTCTAGTGGTATCCCCGCCTGGACTTTGCCTTGCTTGTACACCGTTGGCAAGTACTTGCGTATCTATGCAATTAAGGCCGATGTTGAAGCAGCATCTCAGGGACCAACAGCATCCATGGGATACGGGGAAGATAGTGCTGAGGTTGTAAAGCACGAAAATTTAGAGGAAGCTGCTCGTGTCCTCAACCGCATGTTCACATTGTGCTTGAGTGATCGGTTAGTAGCTCCTAGGTTATTCATAAGAGGGCCATGTTACTGACAAATTTCCAGGGCACCAATTGATGAGTCCCGTAGGTGGGGTATTTACAATATTACCAATCTGTTATTGAAGACTTATTTCAAGGTATGAGACAGCCCATTGGAAACATTTTAGCACATGCTGACTCCTAATAGATCGACTCAATTGGCCTTACAAAGAACCTTCTCCGAGCTCTCAAGGCTCAGTCACACGATCTTCCAGCTCTAGGAGCCTTCCCAAAATCCCATATCGTTACTTTTGAATTCTACGTTGGTCTCATTAACTTCTTGGAGGAGAATTATGTTGAGGTAATGACAAGATCTCTTTGACTTGAAGTGAGGCCATACTGATTCAAGATTGACAGGCTGAAGAGCATCTTAGTTTTGCCTGGAAGATGTGCCCCTGGGATGCCCCTAAGAACCGAGAGTATGTCACCCAGTTTCCCGGAACAATCTGATCTAAACTGATCAATTTGCGAATTTTAGGATGATTCTTCTTTACCTCATCCCTTGCCATTTAGTCACCACGCATACACTCCCGAGTAAAGCACTTCTTGCTCCATTTCCCCGACTTGAAAAACTATTCCGTCCCCTGTCGGATTGTATCCGCAAGGGTGATTTAATCAAATTTGACGAGGCCATGGCAGCTGGCGAGGCAGAATTTGTCAAGCAACGAATTTACCTACCTCTTGAGCGAGGGCGTGATATCGCTCTTCGAAACCTATTCCGAAAGGTTTTCATTGCTGGCGGCTTTGAAGAAAACGCGCCCACAGTTCGGCGTACACGTGTGCCGGTAGCTCATTTTGCGGCTGCTCTACGGATTGGAACCCCTGATGCCAACCGAACCCCAATCGATACTGACGAGGTTGAATGTCTATTGTCTAACCTAATTTACAAGGTGAGCCATCAAAGTACCGGCGGAAATAAACAATATGCTAATGAAATTTCTGACAGGGCTTAATGAAAGGTTACATCGCTCGCGAGCGAGGTTTCCTTGTTCTGAGCAAGAATAACAGCGCATTCCCAGGGACCGGCGTGTGAAGACGAGACTTGGCATCATATTAACCAAAACATTGCATTAGCGAATCAAATTTCAAGGGCCGACGGCTGAAGAGATCCATGGATATCTCGTCGTTCTGGAGTTTCTACCTATTGATACCGATTCATCACCAGTATAGAATATAATCATCATGAACATCACGCTTTCCTTCTCTACTGTAACACTTCATAGACTTGTGTGTTGGAAACATATTTGACATCTTTTGAGAAGCTTCAATTAATACCTACACGAATAGCCGGCAACGCGGAGCAAACTACCTAACCATGGGCCACTAACCTAGAATATCCCATTTAATCCACCCAACACCTTCCAGTATGATACGAAATCCAATAAAATGTCCAAGTCACTTACACCTTATGCCGTTTAACAGTAGCAGAACTACAAACAGACGCATCGGCCGGAAAAACCTCATCCTAAAAGAATTAGCCACTTCACCAACCCAACCCTAACCAAGGCAAGGAAAGAAAGAACATACCATATAATTACACATCGCAACAAACAAGTCGAAAAACATCTTAGTACCACCCTTCTCCATCTCAGCCTGCATAGTCCCGCTACGCTTGAAAGTGTTTCGACACCGCATCATCAGCGCAAGGTAATGCGCTCGCAGTTTCGACTCGTTGTCTGGCGTGTTTGCGTATGCGTATCGCGCACTGGCTAGAATTGTATGGCATTGAATTCCTGTGTGTAAGCCTTGTTTTCGGAGGGCTAGGCGTTGGAGAGCTGGTAGTTGATATTTTTCAGCGGCGCAGCTAGATATTATTAGTATTGTTAGTATTTGTTAGAATAAGGGTTAGGGTTGGTGTTGGAATCCGACTCCGACTTACTATATGGCCGTATCTCGTAATATAACCGCTTTAGCCCCGTGATGGTATACTGTCACGCCGGGGCTTGCGCCATCGCCTTCTTTCTCGCTTTGGTTCTCTTCTAGCTCCCATGTTTGGCTGTTTGCGTTGTGACGGAGACGGGGCGAGTAGTCGCCTTTGTAGAGGAATTCAAGAATGCAGGATAGGACTTCGGGAAGTTCGTCTGGAAGGTTGAAGTATTTGCCTGAGTGGTGGATGTGTGTTGTTGGGATAGATGGGGGCTGTGCTTGGGATAGGGTTCTGAAGTAGGGCGATGCGTTGATGATGCTCTCGTGGGCCGCAAAGAGACGTTTCTCTGGACCTACACGGATCATAACGATTGTAGAGGTTGAAGGTGTCGGAGATCTACAGGGTATGGTTAGCATGGCGCATTTCTATACTAGATGTCCATAAGCGATATATGGCCGTGAACTCACGATACATCTGGCGGATGCCGAGGCCTCCGTCGTCGCTCTACAGGATGACGTCTGGAGCTGGGGCTCGCATTCGTAATGTCATGAATAGCTCTGCGTGCATTACCGGAAGAAATCTTCGAAGCGCGATACCGGGTAAAATGATCCCCTGGTGTTTGAGGTCTTTTGGAGAACATTTTAATTTTTCTTTTTCTTTATTGGTAATTATCTGAGGAGCATGAGAAGGATTGGGGATGATTGGGGATGGAGTATGAGTAGGATTCGAACATTATAGAAGCTCGGAAACATCTCAGGGGGGGGATGTGGACGCTATTTATGCTGGAGCTAGGACTAGGGTATTCAAAGCCAGTACGGAGTACTCCGTATAGACATGAACTACGGACCCACTGTCAATCTTACTTGAAATGGAAAGGGACGACTTGACGCGTCACAAAGGCTTGAAACGCGTACAGAACATGACTTTGGAAAATTCAGTCGCCAAATGAGCGCGTGGTCACGGGAATAACGGGGCCAAAAGGGAAATAAATGGATCAGTGGAGAAGATTGGGAAATTAAAAGTGATTAACTTCACTAGATCATGGTGAGATGTGGCGGTAATTTATGGAATCGAGTGGAAACCTGCATTAGTTCTGCAGAACTACAGCTGAGACGTCACAAATAAAAAGAGATGTGAAGACAGAAGATATGATATGACCGGGAACTCCCTTCCTAAACGCCGAGAATGGTCCGAATTCCCCCGCTTTAAAAATATATGATAAAAAGAAAAGAAACGCTTCAAGCTTACCCGTCACAGAAACACTTTGCGTGCATCTTTAGGGTGGCTTTCACTCGGGCAATAGGGGCACTTGAACCGATTTCCCTTACTGATACGTCGGAGAGATTCTTCGGCAATGACGTGCCCACATGGCATCATCATCGGTGGGTTGTCATCGGTCGCCTGTTCTTTGGAGACGGGACAAACAAAGATCGAATGGAATAGGTAGGAGGGTGGAAGCGAGATTTCGACCTGAAGACATTTCAGTACTAGTGGTATTAAGGATTCAGATGAGAAACCATACCGGAAGTTCGTTTTCGCTGGTCCACTCTGTGTGCTTGGCCTTCATAATCGTCTGCAGCTTCAGAAGAGTCGGCAAAGCGATAGCCCCAGCTGTTGCAGCAATATAGAGAGGTGAATCAGCAGACAGTCCCAAAAGTGAGCAGAATTCTCGAGTAAATGACTGTGCTACATCATCCCAAGCCGAGGGGTTGTTAAAGATATGGTTGTAGGGTGAGCCTTTCAGATTAGCACAAAACGCCATGGCACCTGTCAACTGCTGAATCTCGCGGAGGTAACGGGGCACCAAATGTTGGAAAGACTGTCTGGAATAATTCAAAGCAGACTGCCAATTCCGAATGTCACTGTTATGCGTTTCGCCGTGGAAGAGCCATACAAACTGCAGCCGGCATAACTCGAACTCAAGGTTGCTTCCCCGCGCCTCGAGCGCCTCCCGATTCTCTTGCGACCATTGGATGGCGGGTCGTAGGTTATTATTCTCCTTCATCTCATGCAGAACATAGTACATGGCCGCGAACTGTTTTCGAATCTCGTTGGAAGGGACCTCGTCCAGGTCGAGTAGGCTGGCGGCATGCTCCGGGGAGCGTGGGGAGAAATTGGTAGCATGCACAACAGGCTTTTGTTCAGCAATTTCGGAGATGAAGGAAGCAGCGACGGAGAACTGGCCCTCACGAAGAAGATGCATAGAAATAGCACGGTTGATGAGTTGTTCTTGCTGTGAAAGAGCATCATCCTCGGTACTGGGTAGAGGACGATCTTTAAAGAGCTAAGAAATCAGACAAAAGTCAGCTATCTGGGCTTGAAAGGATTTGATGAAAATCTAGTGTTAAGTTTTGGCGTGTGAAGTTACCTTATCAAGTGACTTGTTGTACTTGTTGAGACCGCTATGGGTCTCTTTAAGGGTATCGTTGATCGAGTTGAAGGACGCCTTGACGGGATTTTGAAGCTTGGCTAGGGTAATAGCGGCCTGGTTTGGATCTAGAGAGCACAATATCATGAGATTCAGCTGAGTCCATCTCCGAGGTACTTGGGAACATGCTGACCAGAGGCAATGGCATCACGAGCGGACTGCAACAGATCGATCGTGGCCTGGACACTATTGATGCCTGCTGAAGCCTTCAGTCGTTTATGCAGACGATCATTCTCTTTTTGCACAAGATCCATGGTGTCAGAAGCTGCAAAATATGAAGAAGAGGAGGAAGAAGAGGAGGATGAGGGGGTGCTCAGAGCTTCGGGTGCGGAGTTGAGATTACCACCCGATCAACGCAGCGGGGCCATGTAGAGGCGGTTAGAAGACTAGGTTGTGGCGCTGTCAAAGGCTTAATATTACAGATGTCTGGAAGGTGGTAGATAAGATTAATGAAAATGTTGGTGTGCAGCGTTGAGTAAATCTAGAGTGAAAGAATAGTCGCCGAGGTCATCGCCAATTCCGGGTAATCATCATATCATACGCCATTGTCATGTGACTATACATCCATATGTAGTACCTGGGTCAGTGCATAAAGTAGAGAGGCAAATCCAAAACTAGAGGATCAGAAGTATTGAGGGCTTCGGAAAGATGATCATCATTAGTTCAAATTCAAATGACATTAGATGACATTCCGATATTACGAGGTATTTGATGTTAGTGCCTTGGTGCCTTATGATACAGGGCGGTGTGATAGCCAAGAGACTAATCCTAATTCGGAAATACCTTGAATGTAAGGTTAACCAATAGATCGACGTCGCTTAACTTCGCTTGTCATTAGCGTCCTTTCCCTTCTGTATAAATGCTCCTTCTTGCCCCCAAGCTTTCCACCTCTTTTTCTTTTCTTCTTCATCCTAGTGCACGGGTTTTACGCATATCAGTGACGAGTAATCCGAGATTGTGTTTTTGCTGGTTGAAAACTATCAACTTGACTGCTTCCGGCTGTCCTAGCGGACGGTCGGGGAATTTTTGATGAAAAAAAGATCACTTCTTTAGTCTTCTTTTCACTACTGCTCAGCCCTTGTGGTTGTCTTTGGAGAAGAGAGATAAAGGTTGTCGCTGAGTAAAATAAATACTAGTGACTCGGAAATGCAACCAACGCCGTGTAATAATGCGCCTAACAGATAGTTTCTCTACTGGATTAGTCTTTTAAGTTGTGACAGTACTGAGTACTTGCAATATTGATGCTCACTGTCCGCTCATGCTCACCGCCCTATTTCAGTGACGTCGCTACCTGTGCCTCGGCTTGTTCAGTAGACATTGTTATCTCCGCAGGTCTTTACCTCTTTGTTCATACTTATATCCTTTTGTGCTTTAGAATATGCCTCAACAGCTGTTCCAATATACTGCTACCGTGGTATACCTCTAACTGTCCCACCCAAGGTGTGGTCCACCCTCAATGCTTCTCTCCCTTTTATCTACTATCTGTTCTCTTGGCCTGTCTTAAAAGAGGGTGTTGTCTATTGAACAATAGCTATGCAGGCCAGCACTCCAGCTGCATTGTTGGATCGTCGAGACTCCCAAAAGGCATCTGATCCCATCAGGGGAAGCCCTGCATCCATAAAAGGTCCTGAGCGCCCGCATCAAAGACTCGTCTTTACAGATCCCGTTGCCCTGAGATACCTGGAAGAAGACCCCTCCACAGATATCCTTCACCGCCGTTGTACCCTACAGGGCTACGAAATCTACATTGTAGAGCAATGGGCCTGCTCGCGCATTCATCCTACCTTCGTCATATCAACTTATACCGGTGATCCGTCACATACTGTTATAGTGGGTGTGTTGGTTGTTCCTACAAATGAAGAAACATGGTCGGCTCGCTTGAAGATGTACTTCAACGCTATGAAGCAGTACCACGCTCGGAAAAAGGAGACGCCTCTGGGCACAGTCATGGTGACTGACTTGGGCTCGTTTCCGTCAGCGCTGACCGTGATTCCGGTGCCCCAAGGCGATATCAAGAAACACAGAGAGGACTTCATTGTCAATGAAGACTTGAAACGGCTTGGTTGCGCTGGTCGCGCAGGCCTCAAGCTTCAAGATCCCGTGCCGGCCACCGCAGCGAAGTTCTATCAGCTATACCGAACGAGCGAACGCGTTCCCCTATACAACTCAGTCGTGGAATTGGTCAAGCAGTGTCAGATTGCCTTAATGATATTTGGCAAGCTCGCGCCGGAGTATGTAGACGGTCTCCTCTGCGATGTAACAGAGAAGGCCATCAGGGACTGGTGGACAGATATAGGTACTGATCTGTACAATATCGAACTAGGTGATGGTATCTTAGGGCCAACCACTGTCGCAGCTTTGCTAGGAACTCTTCTTGGTGCTCGAAATCGACTACATGCTTGCGGTGCCCCGGTCGGCAAGGACGCTTTTGACATTGACAACCTCAAAAGAGGCATTTCTAATTTCCAGAAAGCGCAGAGGATGCATCGGTCATGCAATCTTGATCGACAGACCTTGGATCGACTGCACCGGGCCACAGCAAGGGCTGCCAATACCGAAGGATGGACGGATGCTGTCAAGTCAACCATGACCGAGCTTAGTGGACAGGGAGGAGAGATGGTCATGAGTATGGTTCGTGGACGTGACAAAGGTGGTGTCGGAGATATTGAAACCCTGGATCTGGACATCTTTGTACAGTACGTTTATGGATCAAGGGCAAAGTGGCTATGGTTGGGGAAGTCGCGCAAGCATGGCAATGAGCAGGAATTCTCCCAGGGGCCTGGCACAGATATGATGTTCACAACCGACGATCAGGGCGGATATGTCTGGACGAGTCAGAAGAAGCACTCAACAGAGGACTTACAGGTTGAGCGAGTGCCCTCAGGCCTTAATAGGCAATGGAAGGCACCCGAATCACTACCCGCAGAAGACAAAGAACATCGGAGGAAGGGCGTAAGTGAGAGAGTCTCAGATGCACGGGCTGGCCTAGGTCGCTTCAAAGATGCAGTCGGACTACCCGGTCTTCGCTCACATCACAACAAGCACTCGCGAGAGGGTATCGAACTGACACACGATGCTGCATACAACCCTCACATCGACAGCGACACAGAGTTGTCGGCGGTTCAGTCGAGAACAGGGTCCAATCTTCCAGATGCGAAAGCGGGCGAGGAATTAGAACCCCGACCAGATGATGACCGAAAGAGTAGATCTAAACCTACTGCTGTAGTTGAATCGAGTTCGGACGCAAAGACTCCCGAGATTCACATCGAGTCCGTACCGCCAGAGGAGGACAAACTACACGTCCCGCAACAAGACCTTCTGGATATCCCGCAGTTTGACGCAGCTACAGATGACGAGTCAGATATAGAGCGAGTTATGTCCCGGTCCACCACCGGTTCGAGTGAGGGGGATCGCGATCAAACCGAGTCAGTCGCGGACCTAGCTATGCTAGCTCTTCGACGATCACAGAGCTGTGAGCAGATTGAGAACAGTGCAACCTTCTCCCAACGGAAAGATGAAATGTGCCCTCGGCACCTGTCCTTTAGCTGGGTTGAAGAAGTGGTGCTTCACTGGAATCCCATCTGTGAAAAGCCAATCATAAAAGAAACCGCAAATTTTGAGGAGGCCATAATGCAGGAGGAAATCATGGCGTCAGAATTGTGCATTTCTAGTTCCCGAATTCTCAAGATGGGTGAGCTCACTGTTCCCTGGGTTGAGCGGCAAGTGACTGCTGTGGAGGATCTCAACCAGGTGCTATACGACCGACACGAAGAACTCAGTTCTGTTTACCTGGAACGAATGAAGGACTATCAGTGCCTTCAAGATACATCTAATGATATTCTGATGGATGAGCACTCCGGCCTCAACGACAGCGTCAAACGCGTTGAACTTCTGGGGGCGAAACTCGACTATGAGTTACATGTGCTTGCATCTAAAGTGGAGGACATGGAAGAAGGCCTGTCTGACTTCGAACGACATATTGTCAACGTAGAAACCAGGTTCAAATCTTTACTGAAGGGAGAGGAAGAGCACAGTGTTTCCTGGATGACATGGGTTCGACGCAGCTTCGGCTTTGCGCAATGATATGAGAAAATTCCTGTACAATATTCATTTTGACCTTGTGGATTGTCCTTCTTTTCCCATTTTTGTTCCAGTTTTTTTCCCCTATTGTACATAGATAGATCGGCGTTCATCGCCTACTAACCAAATGTGATATAAACGTGCATCACGTTTAAAAAACCAATCAATATCCCAACAAAAAAGTGAGATTGTAGTATGCCAGCATGCTCAGTGGATGTGAGGATCATACAACGACCCTTCGTGTAATCCATTCAACAGCGCAAGCTCTCTTCGAGGTCATTGTCACTTTACATGCCAAAGCCCATACCGCCACCCTGCTTTCCGGCAGCATCGCCTTGCATCTTCTCGCTGACCTTGATATTGACATCGAAGAACTTGGACACACAGCGGTCCAGGCAGACGGACTCGCCCTTGTTGAGGTCACCTTCGCGGTAATCAGCCGGAATGCACTTCTTATTGCAGGACTCGGTCAAGCTAGTTAGAAGGACAGTTAGCTTCAAACCCCTGGTATAGTTTTAACGAGGCAGACAATAAGTCATTGCACCTCTTCAATAAGCGCCTACCGGGTGAACATGTCTGCGATCATCTCGACTTCGGTCTCAGCGGCAGCAATCTTCTGCTCCGAGGACAACTTGGGCTGGCCACCAAAGAGGAAAGACATTGTGGATGAGGTTGTACGTATTGGGGGATGGTATTGAATCTGGAATAATAAATGAGAATGAATTGTTGATGGGAGTGGATATTACTTACGATGGAGTTGCAGTATCAAGTATCAGGGCAAAGGCGGAAAGTCTTGCGGTCGGAAGCTTGGACCACCCGCACCGCACCGAGTTTTCCCTTCTTATTTTTTTCTTCCGCCCTTTCTTCTTCTTTTTCCTTCTCGTCCACGCAATGTGAATTGCGATTTCCCTCCATGCATTCAATTCGCTCTCGGTGGGCTTTGAGCCTGGAGGGCTTACGATACAGGTAGGATTCTTCCCCTTCTCACGTTATTCTCCCTTCCCATCCTCCTTTTTATGATGATTTTCCCTTCTGCTTCAGAACCGCTGCAGTTGATTCTCTTCGGAGAACATGAACGCACTGGATTTAATCACTGATCAAAACATCCTCTCATCTACCTCAATCATGATGACTTGGTCTGAATATAGCTGACCAAATCTCAAGTTCAAGAACATGCCTCCATTATTCCAATATCAAGTCCCCCCTAGGATCCCGACTAACAGTACTGAAGCAAACCAGAAATGGCAGCTCCTCTTCATCTCCTGAAAAGGCATTTCAGGAACGAGTGCTCCAGGTCAAGGATGCCCAGGCAAACCCTTACCCTCGCTTAGCCGTGGACCAGCGCACTTTGAGCTGCGCCGAGTTTAGTTCTCGGTTCGCGGGATTGGCCAACAATGAATCAGTAGAAGGCATGGTTGTCGTCTCTGGTAGGTCGCGCCTGTCGTTTCCTTCATATTCCTTGTACTTAGATTTAGTTAGGTAGGGTTCGTACCTATAGAACTGCCGGGAACAAATTGATTTTCTTCGATATCATGCAAGATGGCCATAAAATCCAAGTCATGTGCAACAAGCGCCAGCTCGATGCCGTCACTCCCGCGGAATTTAAGAGGTTATCCCGTCTACTTCGTCGCGGTGATGCATTCTGTATGTCTGCTGAGTCTTTTTCGAGACGTCTAGGGACTAACTAGCATTGACAGCTGTAATCGGTAAACCACATCGGACAGGCCGCGGTGAGCTCACTGTCGACGTGACTGAGATGCCAAAGCTGCTTGCGCCGTGTCTCCATGATGTCCCTGTTCATAATAGCACACACGAGACCTCACCGTATCCTCGCCATGTTCAGTTCCTGGCCGATCCAGTGGCGGCAAATATTGTTCGTGCTAGGGCCTCTCTGATCCAGTACCTGCGTCAATTTTTTGTAGACCGGTCCTTCATGGAGGTTAGCACTCCTATCATTGGGTCTGGGGCTGGCGGTGCCATTGCTCGTCCATTTAATACATCTGCCACCGAGTTCCCAAACCGTGAGCTGTCTCTGCGAATCGCACCAGAGCTATGGCTGAAGCGATTGGTAGTGGGTGGATTTGACAGAGTCTTTGAGATCGGTCCATCGTTCCGCAACGAGGGTATGTGACATTCAGAAATCGATTTAGTAATATAACTAACGGATTATAGGCCTGGACAAGACTCACAATCCTGAGTTCACCACCTGCGAGTTCTACCAGGCATACGCTAACCTCGAAGACCTCATGCGTACGACCGAAGACCTTCTATCCGGCATGGCTTCTCACATCGACTCCTTCAACAAAGAAGGCATCCTCCAACCCACCAAAGTGAACTTCACAGCTCCATTCCGCCGAGTCGACTTCATAACCGGCATCCAAGACCAAATCGGCCACCAAATCCCAGACCTCGCCTCCCCAGAAGCCCTCTTAAAGGTCCAACAACTCTTCCACACCCTCTCCCTCCCTCTCCCACAAGACGCCACCCTTCCCCGTCTCCTTGACGAACTATGCAGCACCTATCTCGAACCAACATGCACAGACCCAACCTTCATAATCAACCCACCAGAATGCCTCTCCCCGCTTTCAAAATCCTTCACACACCCGATAACGGGCCAGATTGTCGCTGCGCGCGGTGAGCTCTTCATCGAGGGCAAGGAAATCGTGAATACATACGAAGAGGAAAACTCGCCTTTCGAGCAACGCCGCAAGTTCGAGGATCAGCTGCGCTTTAGTCATGCTGCTGGTGAAGCGGGCGAGATCGATGAGAGTTACCTTGAAGCGCTGGAGTGGGGCTTGCCTTCTACTGGTGGTTGGGGATGTGGAATTGATCGCCTTGTTATGCTGTTTACTGGGGCTAAGCGTATTGGTGATGTATTGGCTTTTGGTAACTTGAGAGCAGTTACAAGGCCTGGTAGAGTGACTACCTCTACTATTGAGTAGAATCGGATGTACGTCTGTGTAAGATAGTGTCAGAACAATCAATTAGATCAGTCTCTTCTTATCAAAGATCTAGACGGCGAACTCCGATTTGCACTATCTCAACTAGTGGGCTTATCGTCGAACTTTTTTTTATTTGAAGTGGGGAAAATCATCTCACCTTCTAAAGCTTCTACTCGCAAATATCAAGCTATGATTACAAACGAAGCAACTGTGGCTCAAGCAGTCACTGTGAGTCTAAAAGATCTTGAAAATGGTAAAATAAAAAATAAGCCTCTATCAAGTTCTACAAAGATTAAACTAACCTACAACAGGATCCGTCTCCTTCGAGACTCTGACTGAAGCTTTCGGTCCATCTTCACTGGGAATAATCGTGGTAAAAGACCTACCTGAGCATTTCGTCCAGCTGCGTGCACAGGTTCTTTCCAATGCATCCAACCTTGCAGCTTTGTCGGACAGCGAACTCGGTATATATATCTCCTTCAATCACAACTTACGACATGGACCTAACAAGCATTAGAATCCCTAGAAAGCCCTGAATCCAAATACCTAGTCGGTTGGTCTTGTGGCAAAGAAACGCTCAAATCAGGCCAGTATGACACACTGAAAGGCTCATACTACGTCAACTGCGCCTTCTATCAAGATCCATCGCTAGACAGTGCGCCGGCAGACGGGTTTCCCGATCTGCCGCAGTATACAGCACCAAATATCTGGCCACCTCAGGAGAAGCTGCCTACATTCAGAACTAGCGTTGAGAATCTATGCTCTCTGATCATTCAGACTGCAGCTCTCGTTGCTGACGCGTGTGATCGTTATGCAGAGGCGAATATCGAGGACTACACCCCCGGTTACCTGAAACGCGTTGTGGAGGGAAGTCTCACGACAAAAGCGAGACTCCTGCATTACTTCCCTTCTGACAATGATGAAGACCCCGGAAAGAAATCTGATGATGACTGGTGCGCTACGCATCTTGACCACGGCTGTCTAACCGGTCTTACTTCGGCTATGTTCCTAGACGAAGCAGCTACACTTCCCACCCGTGACTCTTCAGACATTCTACAGGAACTGTCCCAGTCGCCTGATCCCTCGGCTGGTCTGTACATTCACTCCCGCAGTGGCGATGTTGTTAAAGTCAATATTCCAAAGGACTGTCTCGCTTTCCAGACTGGTGAGGCTTTGCAGCTTATTACTCGTGGCAAGTTCAGGGCTGTACCTCATTTCGTGAAGGGTGCTAAGGGTGCTAAGGGGTCTCGTATTGTTAGGAATACTTTGGCGGTTTTCACCCAGCCTAATTTGCATGAGGAGGTTGAGCCTGGCTTGTCTTTTGCTGAGTTTGCGAGGGCTACTGTGCAGAGGACTTATTAGTTCCAAGGTTCTTTTTACTTGTGTAGGTAGAAAATATATGATCCTGTAATGCTTTGACGAGGTTATTGAGTCTGGATCCAGGTACTTAATCCACTTGATACATGTAATAAATATTGTTGTATGGAGTGTTGTTACATAACGGTCATGAATCACAACAGATGTTAGCCATGCCAGGCTAGCCCCCTCCAGGCTCTCATCAGAATCGTTGATACTCCGTATAAGTGAATCTCGAGCTTGGCCCATTCACAGCGGCATATCATCTCATCGACACCCATCAAATATTCCCGTTTCCCTACTTGGGCTGATAGTCTCGTTGGCCATCCTCATCGACGACACCTTTGAATGGGATTGAGGCCAAAAGCTCTGACTCGGACATGTTAAAGTCTGAATCTTCACTGCCGGTTGCAGGAACCTCACCAAGACTCGAGCTAACGAGGGTGCTGGTTTTGCTGACCTCGGCAAATTGCTTCAAAGGGTGGCCCCTGCTACTGGTGTCTTTGAGGCCAGCGGTCTTCAGATCATCATTCGTAAAGGTACCATTGATGACTTTCAGGATCGCCTGCCATTTCCTGGGGTGCTCCCGCTGTTCGGCAGCTTCCCCAACTTCGACTCCGTTCATAGTTGCGAGACCCAGGGTTTCTACGCGATTGTCTCCCCAGAACCAATCGCCTTCGATCGGGATACGCTCGTCGGTCTGGTTGGAGTACAGGCGCCCACTCAAAACGCCGTTCAGGTCGTAATCGAGCCGAGCATTTCCATAGAGGAGGAGGTTGGCGGTTGGTTCGTAGCATCGACCCAGAACCATGACCTGGGAGACAGCACAGGTGCGACCACCCGCGATACGATACCAGTCTCCCTCATCAGATTGGGAGAATGCGTTGAGCAAGTCCTTGTCGGTTAATTTCTCCAGTGGGTCCTTGTCAAATGGCATCGGGCGAAGCAGGCGGTCCTTATCACGCGTGTAAACTTTGCCTGCAAGCATGGGTCGCACTTTGTCCGCCAAAAGAGGATCATAGGGATCTTCGTGACATCCTTCCATCTCTAGCCAGATTCTTTCAACGACCATGACATCAACGGGGTCGTATGTGGTCAGTGAGGCTGTCTTCAGCCCAAAGGGCTTCAAACGCACTGTATCCCTGATAGCAATTAAATCCGGACCGATGAAAATTCCGTTACTATCGATCTGAGCATTTGGCCAAGTGCCGCTGAAACGAACATGCGATAGAAGACTCCACGATGCCATGGTTCTCATGGCATGCTCAAGGGATGGATGGCGCTGTGAAGAGGGACTCTTTTGCAAGAATTTTGTAAATGAACCAAATGGCTTGATGAAGCTCAGCGGGAGGTATGTGTATTGAAGAGAGAATGACTTGTCGTCTCCGACCGGGTCTGGGAGTGTCTCGACACGATATCCCCAGGAGCTCATAGAAGAATCATTCTTTTTCGTGATACGGGCGATGTCGAAAAAATTGCTTGGCTCTTCTGGAGCCTGGGTGATTACTCCAGCGCGCCATTGAGGTAAACCCAGCCAGTCTCCGTTTTCACTGCGCATATGCCAGCAATCGGTGCCGGGTTTGATTTCCAGTGTACCAGAGAACAAGGGGACCCAGAGGACAACTTCTCCTCGGCGTGGAATAAATGCAGGTTGAACCTGCAACTTGACGAAATAATCAGCCAGGTATTCGTGGGTGAGAACCCAGTCGATGTTCATAGAATGATCGATTTTTTCGTCCAGAGTTCCCCTCTCCTTCAGCTTCATAATATGGATCTTCCAGTAGTCAGGGCCTTCATCGTCAGGAGACAACTTGGACTTCTTCGGCTTAGAGGGCAACTTCTGACGAGTGGGCACTTCCACCATTGAACGAGCCAACGTCTCAGACTTAGGGGGGCGGCCGGGCCTCCGGGGCCCAGGAGACGCTTCTGAATTGGAACTCTTTTTTAATTCCTCACTGGCCCTGAAGGCTGCCATTTCAAGTTTGGTGCGACCTTTCAGATTGTTAGATATAGTTCTATATTAAGTAAAGGTCAGACGGATACTCACGATGTCGCCGAATCTTTTCAACCGGCTTTCCAGGCTGCTCAATCTTTGCAGGAGGCCTCCCAGGAGGTTTTGCAGACCCTTTCAACGGTTTGGTACAGATATGGCAAATACAAGGCGATTCCTTTTCAGTTATCAGCCACCAAAAATGAGGGAAAAATTGTTTCCGAGACTGATAGTACACTCCGCTAGGGTGCCCAAACAGGAATGCATCACGCTATAACAGTCAGATAAATAAGAAAGAGTAGGGTGTGCAGAGAATGAAAATTTGAGATGAAATTGCGGAAGAGAGACTTACAATACCAGGATTGGTCCCTCGAGGACGATCAAAAAGGCGATAGCCATCAGGGAGCTTATTGATGGTGTACGAGACACCTATAATCAGTGTCAGCAAATTAAGTACCGACATGAGACTAGGTAAAGCTGCAGCAGTAGATAGCTCCAAAAGCCAACATATAAAGAGAGGAATACATGATGCCAGTTATAATAGGTATAGAAGTGTTGCAAAAGAGGTAGTAAATGTGTTGATATGTTCCATAAAACAGGCAGAGTGACAAGATAAGCTCAGTAAATATTCATGCAAGATCTCACCTGGTTCTCCTGCGCCAGTCTTCGCGACCCAATACTCAGCTAGCCCAATTTTCCAATTGGCATCATCTTTTTCGCGGTAATGATGTCTATCATGTTTTGAAGGCCATGAGCCTGGGTCACCATCACTGAGGGCATGATCTATAGGAATTACCACCTCATTGGCATTATCTTCAAAATCCTGTTCAGACATTGTGGGTGGTTAATGCAGCTTTGCAGAGCTCCACTCCAGGTGATCGGATTTCAGAATTGTGAGAATGTTTAGTTTCGGACGTGTAAATAATAAAAAAATAAAGGGTACTGAATCAGAGGATGTAGGAACTGAAAGCAAAAGTGCTGAATTAGGGTATCAAAAATTAACAAGATGAGAGACGCGCTAACGGGGGTATGAAAGCAAGAAGGAAACCTCATTCGATTCACATTGTAATCACGTGACTATTATCACCTCTTAACTTGAAGAGAGGAATCAACGAATGAATTGCGTGCATAAATCGGATAAAAGGGACAAAACAATCCTATCAGAATGCTGACTAGCTAGCTGAAATTAAACTAAATGCAGAGCGAATTATTACTGTCTATTCTTTAATCTACATCAACGTGGATCAATATTTATACCCAAGACTTTTATTCAATTAATGATGTCCATCTAGTAGTATGAATCCAAAAGATATAAGATTTTCTATAAAAAAACAAGCGCCTACTTACCTACTCTGTAGGTACTATTAGAGCTACCTAGGTATTTTTTTTAGAGAAAAGAATAGGGGCTAGAACTTAGTTCCTAGCCTTTGATTGAAGTTATATATAGACGGACTACTGATAAAATACACAAATGGTACCTAGGTAGGTAGGTATGGGTCCGAAGGCAATAAATTAAAGAGAAGTCGTCATAATCATTCATGGCAGGCATCATCCCTACCTAGGTATGGAATCTAAAATCTCATTCTGCACTTTGAGTAGACTCAATGACATCCTTCCTGTATATCTGCCATAGGTTTGTCTTCCATCTGATAAGGTGGAGGAGCAATCTCCCCATCAGGGCCCCAGACCTTACCAAGCTCCTTCTCAATCTCTTCACGGCGCAGCTTCCACTCATCTACTTTGTCAAGACGCGTACGAAGCTCTTGAATTTCTTTCTCAACGCCAAGTTTCTCTTTCTCGGTGCCGATTCTCTCAAACTCCCACTGCTCACCTTCTTCTCCCATGCCGAGAGTAAGATTGTAAGTGTGGTACTTCTTGAGAGACGCCCGAGTGGAGATGGTTACAAGTGTGATATCACGTTCTTTCGCTTGCTCATAGAGCAGTCCCTCTACATCAGAGGAAACTGCCGAAGTTCCTTCGTCGATAAAGGCGTAGCGGGGCTCGTGATAGAACAGTCGGGCCACTGCCATGCGTTGCTTTTCTCCGCCGCTTAGCACATCTTTCCACTCCTTGCGTGCATCCCACCCTCCTTCGCGTTGAGGCAGATAGCCAAGGTGGGCGGCGTCGAGGATCTTCTGCAACCCGGCGTCGGACTCACCAGCCTCATGCATGTCAATCTCGGTGTGAGGGTAGATCACTTGGTCCCGCAAGGTACCTACGCTCAGATATGGACGCTGTGGGAGGAACATGATACCTTCAAGGCCGAATGCTCGGGGCCGACTGACCAATCCGCGATAGACTGGCCACAGCCCTGCCACGATACGAGGGATAGCTGACTTACCGACGCCGTTTGGCCCAGAGATCAGAAGATGTTCACCCGAGTGAACGATGAACGATAATGACTCGATGAGCTCATCTCCACCTAAGGGGTAGAGGGACGGTGCAACAATGGGGACTTGCTCCAGGCGGACACCATCAAATCCATTGTGAGTCGTACCTTGCGCATCTGAAAGAGAGAAGAGCTCCGGGTAAGAGCCTTGAGGGGGATAGTATGCATTGGCGTGGACACGGTGAAGAGCGGCGATTAGGGTGTAGACACGTGAGGTGTAACCTGCGAGTTCAGAGATATCCTTGATGCTGTACATCATACGGCCTCCTGCATCAGCCAGAGAAAGCATAAGACGCTTGTTGGTGATGAAATCCTTCATGCGACCTCGCTCTCGGGTCATATTCTCTGACATATCAGCCAACTCTAAAGTACCCGCAAGGCCACCCCATGCAGGTAAGAAGACAGGCAGCGAGGTCAGCAGGTATCCAAAGGCCGACCATGAGTATTTCAAAATCATGTCTTCGAGCATGTTGTACCGAATTTTGAGGCTGTAGATGCCCTCCAACCAGCGTTGCAAATCTAAGAAGCTTTTGTTCAAAAATACTCGCTCAATATCAGCACCTCCATAGAACGATATCTCCTCGGAGTTGGCTAACAGCCTTGAGTGTAAACCCCGGAAGTCTCCTTCCTTCTTGACCTCGACAGCCTTCAATTTACCAAACGGCGGTGACATTTTCCGAAGCATCACAGCTGTACTAAAGTAGCCAGCGAGAATCCCGCTCAGAGCAAGAGGGCCAAGAGAACGATATAACTGGTAGTTGAAAACAAAAAGATCCACTAATGGCTTGCCGAGGGATGAGTAGAGGGCGGCTGCAGCTGAGCAAAACAAGGTGAGATCCTGGGTGATGAATTGATCAGGACTTTGGCCAATGCCCCCGTCAAGGTTCATCAGCTTGTAGTAAGTGTCATTGTCGGACAGATACAGGTCATGGATGTATCGTGTCAAGCGAGTCCGGAAGGAGATTGACACTTTGGATTGGAGGAATTTGATCATTGCATTGGTGTAAGAGGCAAGTGTGCCGATTCCACACCACTTCAGGATGCCAAGCATAAAGGCCCTGCCTTTACCAGCAACCAAGTCTCGAACGATTTCACCATCTAGTCGTGCAACAACCAGTGAGAGGTAGGTTCGAAGCAGGAGGAAAAGGCCATGGCTCATCAACAGTCCGGTCTCCTTGCTCCCCCATCTTGGAACCATAATACTTCCCAAGCTGAGGAACTGGTGGAGAAACGCCAGGTTTAGACCAGGTTTCGCTGTGGGTGGGGGAATCTGACTTGAGTACCCGCTCTCTATGGTGCGAGCCGAAACCGGCGGGTTCAAGAACAGACGTCGATGAGCATCGAAAGTAGTAGGCTTAGTTGGATGGATCAAGACTTTCGAGGTCCGGGATCCCTTGTAGGGTACATAGATGGTACGCGATCCATCTTTTCCTCGGATGCCTGAGTTTCGGCGAAGTAGACGGCGACCTTGTGCGCGTTCCTTTGCTCTTCCCCGAAGCCACTTGTAACCGCCATACCCCGAGCCGATGATAGAAAAAAGAAGTGAAATCACAGCGATAAGTCGAGTGGTTGATGAAGTACGCTTCAGCCGAGAGCGGATTAGACCTGAGTAATGTAAGTAGAGTGCAAGGAGAGGATCCCCCGGATGTCGAAGTGTTGACTGGGCGGCCATAGTTATACCTTGGATGAATCAAGGTAAGCCATGATGAAAGATGTGTATGAAGGAAGAAGATGATGTGGAGATAAAATAAAGTGTGGAGTAAAAGAGCAAGGGATTGTTGCATCATTGCATGTGAACCTCGGAATTGCGGAGAAAGGCACGTGCGAGACCGCGGATTTCAAGGTACTTCGAGATACTTAGGTTCACCTTTAATTTTCCAGGGGTTGAAGTATATTGAAGTATCTACTCACGTCCTTATTATATCGTTTCATCTAAGCTGATATTGTCGGCTAACAGGATGTTGGTTACTAAGACTCGTATAATACGTATTTCCGAATAGTTCCTTCTTTTGGCACCAATAATAGCAACATATTGGCAGAGCCGGCATCAGGGCCAAAGCTCTCTCTGGTGGCTGATTCTGCACATAATCAGCCAGCGCATTGGTTCAATCCACTACGATCGCCCTGAATAAGATCTTGGGCGAGATCACAAATGATGATGTTGCAGGTGGATTCTGCCACATCATTCTGGCCCCGCTAGTGAGTATTCTCGTGGGGATCCATTGTAGCTCTCGTGATGCCTAGTGGTCACTCGTCTTAACTCCTCAAAGCAGGACTAGAACTGGGGCGCCACTAACGCTAATCCCGACTTAGTATGGGCTGAATTGGCCGTAGCCGCCCAGGGCGTGCAATAGTGCCCTTGGAAAAAAAAGGGTGAAATGGGAAAATCAATCCTACCTTAGCCTAGTGGCTGTGATCAGGGAGCATAATAATGTGCATTTCACCCCGTAGTTTAAAATTGGTTTCTTTCAGAAAAAGGGAGGTTCTCAGCTAAAAAGAAAGTACGTTTGACAAGCCGGTTTGAACGGAGTAGTTACTTCGTAAGCCATTTCCCCCCCAGTCACATGACTTCCTCGACTCCTCTTTCATCTTGACTCCAACATTCTCACAACACTCCAGTTCACCTCTCTTAGGTCGCATTTCTCTATTTGTGTGTAGGCTGGCTCAGTCTGACTTGGTGTGTGGTGTCCATATCGTGGTTGGTTAATTTGGGGGCCAAAGACGGTATGTTTGACCCTACAACTTCCCCATAGCGCTCTTGATCCAGGAGGCCGTGTTGACATCGTTTCTTAGCCACGAAAAGAAACAAGCGCCCATGAATTCCTCAGAGAACCCGGACTCTACAGGTAAGCCTGGTCGCGTCTTGCCCGCAGTCTGCTTTTATCTGAAAACAATAAAAAAAATCTCGGTCGCTGACCGTCTTGTTTGTTCCAGGTCCGGACTCGCCTCCCGCCAAGCAGGCTGCAGATACTTCAGAGATTCAAGAAGCCACACCCGGCTCCCCGTCTCAGCACGATTTCTCGTCGACAATCGCATCGCCTTCCGGTCCTTCAGATGTAGTGGAAGGTGCCAATACCTCCAAAAAACACCTACTAATCCCGATTCCCTCGCGCAGGTCCTCTAAGACGGACAAACAGTCGATCAAAGGGAAGGGCGACCAGGCAGCTTCGCGGGAGCATGGTCGGAGAGGCTCAAAGGTCAGCGATATCTTGAAGGTACGCAGAGATCGTAGCCGAGCAAGTAGTCGCCGATCCCGGCGACAAGATGTGGTCAATGCGGAGAAGGGCCAAGGGACGCCGAATCCGAGTACTCCGGAGATGAGCGGCCCTAAGCCTCAGAAGAAGAGCTTCTTCTCATTTCTGAGTTGCTGCTCCCCGCCTCACGACGATGGAGATGACGCAACCCTGCCTCCGAAGCCCAGTGACAAGCTGCAATCTTCTCCGAACCGACTACCCACACCTGACAAGAGTGACGTTCATACGGGAGATTCTAGCACTGCAGAGTCTAAAGATCATCCATACTTCGAGAGCGAAAAAGCCAACATGACTATGAGCGCAGATAAGGCCCAGATCCAAGAAGATGAGCGTGCTCCCACAACTACACAAAGCGAAGAAACCACCTCAGGGCCTGCTTCAACCCAAGTCCCACCGACAAGCCCAAAAGGAGGCGAAGATGATGCCCAGTCTTCCACAAGTGCTGTGACAACAAATGGAGTTGTACTCGAGTCAGAATCCAAAAATGAAACGACGGAAGGACCTGCCGCCACCACCGATGGAACTTTTGATAAACCCCCGACGGACGAGGCTGAGGCTTCATTGCATGACGAGGAGGTGGACAACTCTACAGCTGTCCTACCACCGCCGCCACCTCCCCCAGTCCCAGAATTTCCCACAGCCTCCTCCAGAGAGGACCTGCAGGGACTTCTTCCGCCGATAGTGCCCTCACTGCAGGGTCGCAAATGTCTTGTACTGGACCTGGATGAGACGCTCGTTCACAGTAGCTTCAAGGTTCTTGAGCGGGCTGATTTCACCATCCCCGTCGAAATAGAGGGCCAGTATCATAATATTTATGTCATCAAGCGGCCTGGGGTGGACCAGTTCATGAAGCGAGTTGGTGAGCTTTATGAGGTGGTAGTATTCACTGCATCTGTATCCAAGGTAAGTGATTTACATCGATTTAGGTAACATAGTGACTAACCTAGGACTACAGTACGGTGACCCGTTGCTAGACCAACTCGATATTCATAATGTAATTCATCATCGACTTTTCCGGGAGAGTTGCTACAACCACCAGGGGAACTATGTGAAGGTTAGTGAATTCAATACCAGGAATCTGCCTTTACTAACATCGAGACAGGATCTTTCACAAGTTGGTCGAGACCTACGCGATACTATTATTATTGACAATTCCCCCACGTCTTACATCTTCCATCCCCAACACGCGATACCCATCAGCAGCTGGTTCTCTGACGCACACGACAATGAGCTGCTTGACCTAATTCCTGTTCTTGAGGATCTTGCTGGGGCCCAGGTCCAAGATGTCAGCATGGTTCTGGACATTACCTTGTGATAAAAGACTATCCCATCCGGATCTTCCTTACGCCTGAGATTCCCCCTTTAAGCGCGTCTTTCTTTTGTTTTGCAAGAAAAAGCTTCAATATTTCTTTCCGGTAAACGGCCTCCTTTTCTTCTCCTTTCCCACCTTAACTATTTCTTTTTGACCTGTGACCACTAACCCAAAATTGGAACTGGTTCCCTTCATCGGGGTCATGGTATATCTGCTTGCATTTATCTTTTCTTTTGGGAATATATCCCACATTACCCCTGTCATCTTATTTCCCCCCCTGTTCTTCCTACAGCATTGTGATTCTACGTGCTCCGAGCGAGCTACTTGCCTGCTTTCCAACCATTGTCTGCCCTCTCGCACATCTTGACTTTTCCTTTCTTGTCCTCCGCATTATTCAATGCATTCCGCAGGCGTCTGTCGATCCTCCTGTCGCCCTCTCTTCATCAAATTTTGTTTCGTTCTTGTCTTTTACATCCTTGCTACCTTGTTGGCTGTATTTAACTCGCCAATAAGGGACTATGCAAATATATATCACATTTGGCGCTGATTCAAATCACTTTATAAGTACATCTGATATTCAAAGGAGGTTATCTGAATCTCATAGATACTATGTAGTCCGGAGGTAGCCCTGAAGGTATTGCCTCTTATTACTGCATGTGATGAACCCTCGACTTTCGTAGGTAATTTTAAGTGCTGCCCGAGGATTCTGGTTATGTTATGTAAACTTGAAATAATCATCTTAAATCTCTCTCTAAAATAGAAACTGCAAATTTCATGGGTTGAAGATTGAAAATTGAAAATTTCCTACTTCCTTCACTATTCAGCCCCAACCTTGAAATCTCCCCGCAATCCTATTTGTCACCGCCCGCAACCACCTTCTTACACCACCATCATGAAGAACGCAGAAGGTTGGGACGGCAAAATGAGAGTTGAATCTAAAGCTGTCATTACGAACCCCGAGGCCTTGGAAGATTCAGACTACTCCGACCCGGATGCGCCGCCGGTCGATCAGATCGATGCCGATGAAGGTAAGCTTGCAGGTCTGTGACTGCAAGGAACGATGCTGACAGGGATGCAGACTTACTAGCAGATGAGGATTTGGAGGTAGAGGTTTGTCTTTCCGCCATTTTCTCTTACCTATACCGGTCTTTTCAAGAAGCAACTGACAGCTTCCTTCACGTGCAGGAAATCGACCTGGTACATTGTCGCATATCGTCGATCCCTCCGCTACGACTTGAACGGTTCAACAAGCTTCAGGTATTTATTCCCTTTTCATATTACGACCCACTCGCTCTCTTCAAGGAAGTAACGGCTCGAGGATTCTGAAAAAGAAAATATCAAAACCGCATATTGCGCCCAAGTCCACTTCAGCTAGCTAACAAGCGATCCTCAAACCCTCTAGAGACTATGCCTCCGTCAAAATCAAATACAACGCATCGAAATCCCACAAAATGTCGCCGTCAATCTAAATGAGCTGGATCTCTACGATAACTTAATTTCCCACATCAAGGGCTTGGAGGATTTCAAAGACATATCCACACTGGACCTTAGTTTCAACAAAATCAAGCACATCAAGAACATCTCGCATCTTGAGAAGCTTACGGATCTATTTTTAGTTCAGAATAAGGTCTCCAAGATCGAAGGGTTAGAGGGTCAGACTGTGTTGCGCAATTTGGAGCTTGGCGCAAATAGGATTAGAGTACTTAAACTCCAACGATGAGATCTCAGAAAATTATACTGACGTTGTCTCAGGAAATCGAAAATCTGGAAACTCTCATTGCCCTTGAGGAGCTTTGGCTTGGAAAGAACAAGATTACCGAGATGAAGGTGTGTATAAGATCACCGAAAAAAGAACGTCGGTAGATTCTAACTGGAGCAGAACTTGGATGCTCTCAACAATCTTCGCATCATTTCCATCCAATCTAATCGCCTCACAAGCATCACAGGCGTATCAAAACTTCCCAATCTCGAAGAACTTTACCTCTCCCATAACGCTGTAACGGAGCTGTCTGGCCTAGAGTCCAACACGACCCTGCGCATTCTCGACTTTTCCAACAACCAGGTTTCCCACCTGGAGCACCTTTCCACACTGAAGAACCTGGAAGAGCTGTGGGGGTCGAACAATCAGCTTGCCAGCTTTGAGGAAGTCGAGCGCGAGCTCAAAGATAAAGAAAAACTGCAGACCGTCTACTTTGAAGGTAACCCGTTGCAAACTAATGGACCTGCTGTTTATCGCAACAAGGTTCGGTTGACGCTGCCGCAGATTGTTCAGATCGATGCCAGTATGTTCTGTCCCCGGTTATTATCTGTTTTAATCTTTGCTAACCAAGGATTTAGCCTATGTGCGGGTCTGAACTGTATCTTTAGTCGCTTTAGTATGGCGAAAGCCTTATTGCAAATGAAAAAGAATGCCTTGCAACAACCTTAATTTGTAAAGTGTATCAACAGGATGGGGATGCATCACGAGTACTCCGAATAATTTGGACGTCTCACCGAAAAGGAATGTAGAATGACTTAGAGTCGGCTTCTTTTACCCTCGGGACTTCATCGTCGCTCATATACACCTGCTCTGAATCGGTCTCTTCATGCGAGGCAGTCGTATGAGTCTCCGGCCCCTTGATATCCTGTTTCTTCACATCCCGATCCATACCTCGTTTCCATATATCCATCAAACTAAAATTCAAACGACGACTTCTCGTCCTTGAAGGGATATACATCTTCGTGCTCTGTAGAACATCTGCCAGTTCCTTGATAGGCAATTCATTTTGTTTATTCATCATGTCTTTGAATATAGGATCATCTCGGTCCGGGTTGTGACTCCTTGAGTGCCACGGATTGCGGGTAATAGCACTTGCATGATTGTGGCGCGAGTGTTCGATAGTGAGTTGTATTGTTTCAGGTAGTAATTGTGAATTCTCTACAGAATGTGATGATTTGAAAGCTGATTTTTTAGGGACTATCGGCGACATTGACGCCGCTGTCGATGGTGTTGTTAAGGATATTGGCTGCGGGAATGGAATCGTCAGAGGTGACGATGCGATTGCACGCTCTGCGGCTTCGGGGGAGGCGAATATGGTGATTATTGAGCGGTGAATATTTGATGAGCCGTTTGAGATATCGTACTTTTATACGTTAGTAGTTGTCTGTCGTGCTTGTGGCTGAAGAGCTCACCTTGAGATTCCGGAATGTGGTTACTTCGCCGAATTTCTGGAGCGCGGCTAGGATGTGTTTGCTTTCGTGGAGGTTCCGGGGAGAGGGGATGGCCTTTATAAATACATTCGCCGAAGCGACACATCCGACAGTTGATGGTGGCATTTTCAAGGTTGGAGAGGAGATTAAGGTGGAAATAGTGAAATTCAATGTTCTCAATTCAGAAAGTGTCGAGTAGGTTCACAAAGGCTTGGCAGTATAACTTTCGGAGTAAAACCAGCGAATACTACATCACTTTTTATGAGAGCTTCAATACGTTCAATTTCCAAATATTGTCTGTAACTACGTCATTGCTCGATGCGGTTCTCAAGGTGTATCGTGAAGTTCCGAGTTTCTTCAACCATTTGACCTGCGCAAGGTAGTAATCACGAACGAAAAATTATTTTTCGGGGAATTACCTAAAGCGCCCCAATTGATGGGTAGCGCACTGCTAAATTCAGAGGTCTTTTACATTGTGACTATGAAAGGATTGATACTGCCCCCTCCAGGGCTGATATGTCAAATCTTACAGGAATTGAAATGTTGCATAAGTTATTGTAGAGTATTAAAGACAAGTCATCAGTCAGATCCTATCAAAGCATGCAGACTTTCTTCCTATTAGCCTGCTCAGAGTGGTTCACCTGATTATTCTCCCAAGATGCATGGTGGAACTTAGAAAATGGGGATATAAAGGCCGTACTATATGGGGTATTAGTGTCGAGATCATTACCTGTAGAAAGAAACGTAGACTTACAGCAATAGGGTCATTAAAGCGGAGACCCTTATCAAGGGCATTGATGGCATCGACCTCGCTGTTCTCCAGGTCAAAGTCGGTGACCTGCAGGTTTTGTGCCAGACGGGATGGGTTGTTACTCTTCGGAATAACAGCAATCTTTCGCTGAGTAGCCCAGCGCAGTAGCACCTGAGCCGGTGTACGACCATGCTTCTCAGCAATACCCTTGACAACATCGTGCTCAAACAGCAATGTAGTACTCTGTGCATCTTCGAGGCTCAACTCGATGAAGCTCAGAGGACCAAAGGACGAGTAAGCCGTCACTATGATACCTTCGCTCTGGGCATAGTCGACCAAGCGGGTCTGAGTTAGGTAGGGGTGGTGCTCAATCTGCAGAGTAGCTGGACGAATACGGGCATATCTCAATAAATCCATCAGGAGCTGGGCACTGAAGTTGCTGACACCAATGCTGCGGGCCAGCTTTAGGTCAACCAGATTCTCCATGGCTGTCCAGGTCTCTTGGATCGAGGCCTTGCCTTGCTCTACCTTGCCCTCGGCGTTTTGCCAGCTGGGTGGGTAGCGCACGCTCGGGTCGACGTACTTGAGTGAGATAGGGAAGTGGACAATGTACAAGTCGAAATAGTCAATACCCCAATCGGCTAGTTGCTTACGGCAGATCGGCTCGACTTTGTCACCGTCGTGGAAGCTGTTCCATAGCTTAGACACGATGAACAGATCCTCACGTTTGACGATGCCTTCTTCCAGAGCACGAGCTACGCCTTGTCCGCACTCGACCTCATTTCCATAGTCTGTTACTAATATCAGTGCTGTTTAAGGAAGCCCTTGACTAGAAAAGACATACCGCATGCGCCATCAAAAAGACGGTAACCTGCCTTAATGGCGTTGTAGACCTGATCAGCACAGGTATCATTGTTGACCTTCCACAGGCCAAAGCCCACAAGGGGCATGTCGAAGCCACTGCTCAGCTTAACGGTGGGGCTAGACATGTTTGGAATAGTTTATAAACGAGCAGGTTAGTTATGATGCTATACTCCGGAGCTCTATATGTTGAACTGACCAAAATCTACCAATTATTACAGGATAACTATTTAAACAGCGGAATTTCCAAAACACCTTTAAATATTCAACTGAAGGCTACAATACAGGCTAAATTCCATCCGGGGCCCCGCCTCATTTCCGGTTAAACTCTGGGCTAAATGTGAACTTATCCATATTACACGATCCTTCTACACAACCTCGGAAGCCTTGGTCACTTATTAAACAAACCATGGTTAAATATGAAAGGACTCCAAGACTTGATGAGGTTTCATCAATACCTAGATCCAATTTTGGTACGCAGTAAGTATCGAAGTAGGCAGGTCAATATAGCCAATTTTGGGCCAATATTAGCGGCTCTCCACAACCCCTTCATCATCCCACTTGACGCTGTGCACCCATCGTCAGTTTTCTCCAAGTCGGCGGCGACTTTCATAGCTCTTTTATGGAATAAGTGGAGTCGATGTGCACATGTATCCACTCAAGTGCTGAGAAAAGCGGGGGATCTGTCAAAAGCAGTAGTACTAGCATTATCAGGCCGAGACTATTCTCAGAGACTTTCCCGAATCTTGGCTTCTGTGGTCCCGTGCTGCTACTTCATACATAGAAGGAGTTTGGGCTGAGGGTATCGGTCTGAAGCGGGCACACTGTACTCCGTATATTCTAGATAATTCTGAAATCATACTTTGATCATCTTCGCAAAGCCCAAGAAGTTCTCCATCTCATTCTCCTCTAATACAGGAAAAGATCTTCCAACTTCATATCCGTCTGAGATAGATGTCTGCCTTTCGGACTTATGACTTAGCAAAATCAGACGTTGTGCAAAAGATGCTTCTGAAGTAAGATGGATCGGTCTCTCTGATGCTATTTTTTATTTTGTGTTTTCGCTAGCAAGATGATGATAAGAGTTTTGAAGAAAGGTTCATTGTAGCTACCTTCTGGAGTTTCTCTTCTGTTCTTGTTATTCTCACGAGAAGAGCATACAAAACACCCCATCCAGCCTTTGTTAAGATTCGATAGCAATCGTCGATAACATCACCGGGATCGGCTGGGTGATTATCACCTTTCCCATAAAACAGAGCAAAACTTTTGCCCATTAGCTCGTCTCGGAGTAGACCTAGTAGCCATAGTAGCCACGGCAATTGCCGTAGTCATCGCAGCCCTCGTAACCCTCATAACCGTCGTAGTCCTCTTCATAGCCACCTTGCTCTTGGAAGTCGTTGTTGTTGCATTTCTGCTTCTTTCTGTTGCGTTTACGCTTGTTATCAGACATATCCTGAGGCTGTGAGAAGATTGGGGTTTTCATGGTAGAAATTGTATCTTTATCCCAACCTTGCACGAATGGGAACGGCGGGGCAGACATGCTGATACTATCATAGATACACTCGGTGATTTTGACGTCAAGCTTCTTTTGAGCGGCTTTCGAGCTCCAATTGGCATCGTTGTGCTTGTCGTCGACAGCGTCGTCCGGTTCTAGGCCGTCCTCTTCGTCAGCGGAGTCTTTTTTGATTACTGAGCTACCACGATGCACTACATCTACCTCGGCATTTAACTCGGCGTCTAACACCTTGTTGTAGCATGCTTGTAATAGGCGCAGTACTGGACTTAATAACTGGGTCATAAGTTTGGGATTGAAGGACATCAAGCATATTTTGGTTAGTCGCGGTGACAATTGGATTATCTGACATTTTTCGTGATTGAGAAATTCGAAGATCTCACCTCATCAATGTTTTGAAATAAGGTAGTGACGTTGGGAGGTGAACGCGTGGAAAGAAAGTCCTATTGTCACACCTGCGTTGCGTATGTGAATCTACACTTCAATGTGGATTTTAGGACTTGAGTGGAATATACAAGGAATGAAAATAGATTGATATCTAAGAAAGAATATAAGCTTGGAAAAGACGGGCTCGTCACCAACTCCTGAACACCCATCGCTCCAAACCATAATACTGCAAGTAAGAGAAGAAGAAAAGAAAAGAATTAGGAAAATAAATAAAAATAGGAATCACAAAAGGTATAAAATTATCATTAGCAATAGAAGTTGAATAGAAGGTTTTATGGCGAGTGTTAAACTGCCGTGGCGTTGTCCGAGTAGGCGCCATTTGCATGCTCAGGGCCTGCCCCATGCATGCTAGATCCATTGGACATGCGCCCAACAATCTTATCCATCAAGTCTTCTGTGGGCAGGAGACCGTCAAAATGGTGTGACTGCTGCGACTCCCGCGAGACTGGAACTTGATGTTCTGTCTGGAATGGGATGTGGTGGTAACCGCTCAGGTCACCTGAGATAGAGTTGGAGTGTGTAGCCCATGGTCCCTGGTTGTGACTAAGATCATCAAGGGATTGAGTGCCTGGGCCAAAGAAACCATTCAGCACACTGTTGCTGTCGTGAACATTCACACCATGCTGTTGAGGTGGAACGTAATGACTAGTGTCATGTCCCATGGCGTAGCCCAAGTTTGGGAGGTCGTGGACGTTCAACATCACCGGTCCTCCACTGGAGACACCAAGGCTCGTTGGGTGGGATACTTCGGGAGCGAGGCTGGCAGAGAATGAGTCCAAGACTGAAGTGACGGCCGTCTTGTCGCCGAGGTCATCTTCTGGCTTCGTGATGGAGGACAGAAAGTCCAGATGTCCGGATGAATTAAACATATTAGCCACATTGTCGTGGGAAGAAGGATACAAAGGCCATTGAGATTGGGATTGGTTTTGGTGGATGAGATCGTGGGGCTGAGGTGCCTGGTAGATACTCTGTGAGTGTTTGTTGTTGAGAAGAATAGAGTCCAGAGACAGAGGCGGGAGGTCAACGCCAGAGTTGGGACGTGGGCTATTGGTTGTAGTACGATCAGGAGGTGGAATCAATCGGCGCCAGGTGGTAGTGCCAACTTCACCCGGACGGGTCTGTCGGAATTTCCATACAAGAATGGCCATGCGCTCGCTCTCTTCACCGTGATGGGGCTGGAATTGGTTTGAGAGGCGGCGCGAGCTTGGTGGAGTAGCACGAAGCTCTTGCACGGCAGAAAGAGAACGGAAGAAGTGGCGTGTTCGCTCATCGGTGGCATGAACAGAATCAGTCTGTCCTGAATCTTCAGCGATGCGCTTGTCCTGAGTCAGCTCAGTGAAGAGTCTAGCCCACCATTGTGACTCGAAAAGCGGCTTGATTTTGGTCGATTGTGGGTTGGGCAGGTCATGGTATGTCTCCCTTAGCTCGCGTCCCTCTTCATAAATACGAGTGCTACATGTCCACTTATCCATCTGATTCACCATATGAACATCTCCAGCGGTAGGATGTCCAAAGTCCAGGTCCAACTGTATGCCTAGCCGAGAACCGGGAGGGGGGAAGTCTGCCATGAGCTCTAGGTTCACTTCAAGCATGATTATATCACAATCAGGAGGACTATTCATGTCATCGATCAGAGATGACAAATAAGGGAATGAAGATCGCCATCCGCTGACATTCTCTAGTGGCATGGAAGGTGCAGGCTGGCGTAGATCTCCCTGGAGACGCGTGTAGGCGTGCAAAGCCTTGTCAATACGGTTGGCCTGTTGAGGAGTACTCACCCACATATCGAAACTGAAGCCATGGATGTTCTTGGTACCAGACTCTTGTATGTTTGAGCCAAGTGTGTAGTGGGGAGGAGGCAGGTCTCCCACGTAAGGCTGAACTGATCTCATGGGATCGTGATATGTGGGATGAACGAGATTACTGTAGGGATTCGAGGCCGTATGATCGATCGATGACCTCCATTTTGGTGCTGATGACTGCGAGTGAGACTGGGATGGTGTATGGCTGCTTGATCGCTCCGTTGACGATTCTCGGACAAGTCGCTCCCCTATGGAAGGTTATTAAAAGAGGATGATAGTAACGGTTTATGACCTTGCTTACAGTCAGGATCACCCTTCAAAAACGAGTCGAGCACCTGAAGATGACTTGAGACCTGTTTCCGAGTTCTTCTCTTGCCAGTCAACTTGAAGATGTACTCGGCGATCAGCTCATTGCGTCCATATGATTTGCCTCGTTCAGACCACTTTCGTCGACCCATAGGAGGGTTTGCTTCGAGGGCTGCATGGATAATGTTAATTGTCATGTTTTGTATTGCTGGTATCCCAACTACATACCTTGCTGGAAGGCATCCTCCAACTCGTCAGACCAGACCGGCTCCCCATCCTTCCCGGTATCACGTCGAGGACGTGCCCGATATTCCAAGTACTTTTGGGACTTCAGATAACTTCGGCCCCTTCGAGGACTAGCATTAGGTCCAACTGAATGAAGCCGACGTAGCTTGCGGGCATGGAGGCGGGCTGCTACAGCTTGATGGTGTTGCAAGCCAGGCGTCGAGCCAGGATGGGAGGAAGCAGAATGAGGGTACTTGTAGGCCAAATGCTGGTGGAGGTCATCACGACTAACATCAGTGGGAGCGAGGACATCAGAATAAGACTGGATGTTGCCAGAGGTATTCTGGAGAGCCCGATCTGAATGACCTCCAATGTCGAGGGTCGGCTGGTTCTGAGGCACAAGGCACTCGGGTTGCCAGTCAGCAGCCATGGAGACCAAGGACGGGCTTCTCGAAAAGAATGACAGATTCCAAAGAGGAAGGATGGATTGAGAGGCACCGTCAAATGCTTACTGACAGGCAAAGAACGCAGCTTGCTGAAGAGAATGTCAGAACCTGAGAAAGAGAATGTGAGAGCGAGCAAGAAGGTGTTTATAGGGGACCATAACTCCTTTTGGAGAGGGGCTCGTGTAGTCCCAGTAGCGACATTTCTCCGCCAGGTTTGCTTTGCCTGCACCACTTCCCCTCGAACGCCAACTCCATACTCCTACGCAGGTGCCAGTCCTGGGTCTTCCCGCGTCCAGGCACAGTGTGGATAAGAAAGTCAAGGACGGACCACTAGCCATCCTTGCCGCGACAAATCAGGAGTCAAGAAAGGGCAACAATATGAAGGAAGTGTTGCGGATGCAAGGGATACCTCAGCAGCACGATCCAGTGAAGAGCGAGTCGGAGATTTTGCGCTGCAGGAAGTTACCTTGAAGAGCCATCGCTTGGACAAATGTTGACAAGAGTCACCAGCGATCAGTGGCAATCGTAGGTTCATAGGAATGTTGGATAGTTAAAGACGCCTGTTGATTGCTCAAGCCAGGAATGCTCGACCACCCCAACACCACCAGCGTTGGAATGTAGGTCAAGGTGATCTCACTGATAAAACAAAAGGTAAATAGCAAGCAGAAAAAAAAAATGATAATCTTTTGATGTACAATGCTAACATGGGAGTTGAGAGAGTTCAGATTTTGGGGTTTAAGGGACATCAGGGTTTGTTAGGGTTAGATAGGGTGTCTAGCCTAGAATGGGAGCAAATGCATGCAAAGGCACACGAGAAGTTTTTTTTTTTTTTTAACTGCAGGTCAACTTGACAGCCGCAGGAACGTGTTCGGGGTATCTCTTTTTTCTTCTCAATAAGCATATGCAAGTAATCGTACATCGTTTCCCTTTTCCCCTCTATTCAGGTACGCAAGGGGTGGAAGCTCGCCAATCCACTCAACGCCCTTCTTGTAGGGAGAACAGGCACATAGGCCTTCATGCGTCCTCGTCCTGGCCCCCTACACTGAACTTCGTTCGGCCCGGTCCAGTAAGTTGTTGGATCTTGACCCTATCCACCTGCTCTCCGACCTTCTTCTCTATTCTCGCGATCTCCTCCTCGGCATCGACGGCCTCCTCGTTGACAAATTCTAGCACTAAGCGACGACCCAGTAGATGGGTGTTTTTCAATGCATCCATGGCATTTTCAGCCTCACGTGCACTGACAAAGTCTGCGAAACCGAAACCACGAGCTGTGCGGTCGAATTTCTGAGGAACACGAACGGAACGCAATTGACCATAGGCTCCGAACAGTGACCAAATGTCCTTCTTGGTGGTCTGGAACGGCAAGTTCTTGATGATGATCTTGGTTCTTTTTGCTGCGACCTTCTTGGCGGTGTCTTCGCGTCGTCGCTCTTCTGCGGCATCCATTCCCTTGTGAGAAGAGCGAATAACGAGCTCGTGCTGATCCAATTTGTAGCCATCCATGGCCGTTTGAGCTGCCTGGGCTTGAGTCTTGGACTTGAATTCCACAAAACCAAAGCCCATGCTGAGAGTCTGTCCAGGCCGCTTGGGATCGGTTTTGGTCTTGATGCGCCCGGTAATAAAGCCGTCCAGCGGCCGGAAAAGTTCCAAGAATTTTTCGTTGGTGGTTGTGAAGTTGAGATTCTTGACGAATAATGTTGAGGTAAACGCTGGAGCGTCGGTGTCCTCTGCTGCAAAAGTGTCCGAGGTAGAGAATCCATGGGACTTGCCCTTGAGCTCGGGCTCAACTACCGTCGGTACTGCATTTGGATCAAACAGGTTCTTGGGTGCTTTCTCCAGGAAGAGAATTGAGTCCCCGACCTTTTTGAAAGCAAGACCCTTGAAGGCTTTTTGCGCCTCGTCGGGCCTGGCAAACTCAACAATGGCAATGGTGCCACTCGGCGGCATCAGCAGACGAATAATCTTTCCGTAAGGTTCAAACAAGGTCTTCAAATCTCCAAATTTGACGCCATAAGAAAAGTTCTTCACCAGGATAGCCGTATTTCCACGTTCACGAGTTTTGAATGCATCAATGTTCACCCCGTTTGAGGCAAAGTATGCCTTAGTCTCTTGGATGACATGTGTTTCCGCGTGTGCTTGCTTAACGGCCGCATCGGACGAAGTAGGGTCCAGCAATTCTGCTTTGGAAACCCCAAGTCGATCAGCCACGGATGCCATGACAGCGTCGGTCTAAATCGTAATAATTAGCATACATAAATATATAAGGATTTGACAAGTAAACTTACGTTCATGTATAGAGAGTTCCAGCTGAAAGACGAAGACGAAGCTTCCTTTTTACGTTTGATTTGATTTTGTTTCTTCAATGGAAGCTTGGCTAACTCATGCTCGTCAATCTTGTAGGTCTTCTTGGCAGAAGCTGGGAGAATATGTAGAATCCGGCCCTGGAAGTGTTTGCCATCAAGAGCTCGAAAGGCCTCGACTGCTGCCTCCGCATCATGGTATTGTACATAAGCAAAGCCTTTACTGCACTCCTTGCGAGTGTCATAGGCCACATGAATCTAGAATATGTTAGCATTTGGTTCAAAAGCAAATGACAAAATATATTCGTGTAAAGATAGAATGGTTGAGTTGCTCATCAGATAGCAAGAAGCATCTACTAAAATCTCTTGTCCTGTTCACATCACATGCCTTGGCATCAGATGTCCCTATCAGGAAACTCATCATAAGAGCACTCCGCCAGCTGTGTATAATACAAAACCTGGCTCATTCTTTGGGAAGTGTGGAAATGGGAGGGGAATAATGACTAACCTCTTCTGTTTTGCCAAAGGGAGCGAAGAGAGGCTGAAGATCTGCCTCTGTCAAGTCATAGCTCAAGTTCCGTAGGAACAAGCGAGCAGACGCACGAATAAGTTCAATATTTGCCGTCTGCTCGGGCGTTGTGCCAGCCACAGTATCATCGACCTCATCTTCGCTCTCATCGACTTCTTCATTGCCATTATTAGCTGCGGGTTGAGACCGAATATTGTCAATTGCGGCACTACGGGATTCCTCCGTTACACGAGTCTGAGGCTTGGTAGGTTCAACAGCTTTGGGCTTGTCGAACTCAGCCTGCTCATCTTCGTCAAGGAGACCCAAAAGACGACTTGTCTTTGACCGTAGCCAGTCCATGTCTGATACAGGCTCGGCTTCCTTCGCAGATGCGGCCTCGTCCGGCACAGACTCTTTCTCTTCGCTCTGGTCCACAACCATTGGCTCGGGTTCTTCAGTGTTAACAATGGGAAGAGGCTCTTGTTTCCGCACTTTCTTCGGCCGGGAAGGCACTTCCTCCACGCTATTATCCTGAATAGGTTGGTTAATGACCGGCGTGGGATTCTCGGCAACTGCCGTGTTGTCATCATTTGCCCATGTTCGGGTCTTTGAGCCCTGCATCAAAGAGAGATACTCCTGGAGTTTGGGGTCTTTTTCCTTGTCGTCTCTCTTACGCTTGAGGGCATTATCTGCATCATTGGCATCACTTCTTCGTGTTGGGTGTGTTTTGTCAGCAGGTTTGGAGTCAATCTACATGGGTAAAACTCGTCAGTCTCAAGACCAACTAAATTGGTCAGCGTGCACATGAGGAAAGCAAAAAATCAAAATCAAAATCAAAATCAAAATCAAAATCAAAATCAAAAATCAAAAATCAAAAATCACAACACGAAGACCGAGGAATCCACATACCGGACGGGCAATGTCTACTGTGATCTTGGACATCTTCAAGTATGTCCTATTGAAATACTTTGCAGCTTCTTGAGCTACCTCATTGCTTTTGAAGCCGACAAAGCCCATGCGTCGTTTAGGCAAGACATGAGCATCTGTAACTTGGAAGCGACCTGCAAAATGATTGCGAAGCTGATCATTAGAGCAAGTAGGTGGCAAGCCACTGACAAACACCCGAGTGCTCTCCATCTTGGGGTTTGTTGTGGCTGGAAAGCCTCAAATCAAGTACAGAAGTAAAAAAAAGTTGTAGAGTTTTTTTTTCCGTCTTGTATCCATTCTAGGCGGTGAATAAAGGCGGTCAAATTAATTAAATCGGCAGTAACACTTGTCAAACTGAAGGCGGTCGGATTAAGCTGTTCCTCTCAATTGAGCAAGTTGTTTCCCCATCGCTCCATACACGACGACCACGGGATCAAAGTCCTTCACCCCTAAAACTCCTATTCCCTGATTGTATCAAATACCGACATAATGACTGAAACCAAGGAGAAACTTGAGCGTAAGTCTCACTACCCGGGTTTGGCAGTTTGTTTTTCCATCTGACAAGTTTCTACAGCGCAGATCAAGTCTGTTGACATGGTGAGTCTACAGACGTCAGTGCTCTGTCATACCGCTTACATTTAATGAATAGACCGAGGACATGCAACAGGAGGCTATCAACCTTGGTATGGGTCTTTGAGTGTCCCCGTCAAACAACTCGCGACTAACCCTCCGTCTAGCGATCGAGGCGATAGGAAAGCACCACGTCGAGAAGGTATGTTTAATTGGAACCAATAAAACCAGTTTTCTTAATGCTTCGAATTTCATACTAATTTTGTTCAGGACATCGCTCAGTACATCAAAAAAGAGGTTTGCAGATCTCTCGTCCTACCCCTCCTCATACCGCCGCTGACAACTCGTTTAGTTTGATGTCCGGAAGGGTGCTACCTGGCACTGTGTTGTTGGACGTAACTTCGGCAGCTTTGTCACCCACGGTCAGATCTCTCCTTATCGACGTTTATACCATATATATATATACTCATGATTACCCCTGCAGAAACGAAGCACTTCATCTACTTCTACCTCGACCACACCGCCATCCTTCTCTTCAAGACCCAGTAGTGTGGCAGTGGGAGATACGAGCTCCGAGGCTGATGGATTGCAAAATACCCTTCGAAGCGATATTTTTTGTTTGAGTTTTGTCGAATTATTCTCTTGGCCGCTTTCTCAAGAAAGCAGCTTCATTTTTATCCATTTTCATTCTTTCTGATCTTCAAAGGATATAAACACGAACGCATAATTTATATCTTAAAATCATCAAGAATATACAGTAGTTACTTTCTAACTCGTAGAGTTAATAAACTCCAATACACGGGAATCATATGGCACGTGCTGCCAAGCACAGCCACATCAACCCTTGCCGTTTACGATTACGCCGCTGCCTTGATGTGACGCAGATGCTCTCAAGATTCTCTTCTTTACTCCTCCATTCTACATCTAACGTCCTGAAGTCCAGCATTATGTGTATCACCTTTGGAGAGTATGGTAAGTCAAAACTCAATGATTTTGAAATCTGAGAAACAAACTTTGGAGCAGATCCGTGGTTGTTTATCTCAATGGATTCCTTATATATCATGTGTACTAACACCGTGCAACAGAATTTACGTCCCAGTTGGAGGGGTATGAGCAAGTCCGCGCATACTGCCAGAACTGTGAGCTACTCTTTGTTTCCTCTAATCGAGCAAGAGAATATGATTGTCCCGTGGACTCTTGACTGACGACTGTCATAGGCCGGAACTGGAACGCCCACTGTGTTACTCGCTGGTATGTGGCTGATAATTCCACCTCAAAATCACGAAAATTGAACTAACAATAATACACAGGCCATTTTTTACCATCTGTTTTCTTGTATGTAACTGCCATATGCTGTTTCAAGTTGCTTCCAAGGTTGTTGCTGCGCAGTTTCATTGACAACATTTCAGCCTCTGATCCCTCTCTCGACACACAAGTACAAGGTAAGTCATGTTCTCCGTTTCAATAAGTGGTCATTCAACATCCTGTATTGGTGAATTGCTAATGCTCAATCCAGGAGGTCACATGCCCCATCTGCCGGTTTAGTCAAGATATGCAGTATGTCCCCTTCAACAAGACTTTGACCAGAGCTAATATAAGATCTGGAAACTGACAATCTTAGGGCTCGACCTGATATCACTCCTGATACCCGGCCTCCACCTGCTAACGGCCAATGGGGTCCCGGACCGGGTCCGCAGGCACCCCCGCAGGCACCCCCGCAGGCTCCCCCACAGGCTCATGGTGGTATTCACAAACTGCCGGCTGAGCAGCAGCCACAGCCACAGGAATACATGAACTACAAATGAGTTTCAAAGTGGGTATCAACTGAAATCATCTCAAAATAAATGAAGCTACTACATTGGCGGCTGATTTATGTTGCGGGATGGACATGCTATGTAATAAGGCAACTTTTTTTTGGAGTTAGGGGTTTCTACTACGGTTACGCAATTATCATATTTTCTTTACTGTTTACACACCTCAGACATTAAATCAATCAATCGACTGAAACGTGTCAATAATCAACTCAAGTAAGGGGGAAATGGGAAGGTTCAAAAGATTCTAATAAAACATAACCATCAAGACATAAGCCATTCATCTAATAAACATTGAAACCATCTTAAATATCAAGAATAAGCTACCGCCGCTTTATCCTTCTCCGTAATCTCAGTCGGTGTAGCAGCACTAGAAGGATGCGTCTCTTCAGCACGACCATGATAAAGTGACGGCTTCTTTCCAACAGCGTCACGAGCCATCATGCGCACAACCCGCACAATACTCTTCCTACCCTCCCAAAGTGGGAAAATAACGACTCCAAAGAAAGTGCAGAAAAGCCAAATCAACCCAACAACAACCCAGCCCGTGAAGAACTTCTTGCTAAACACATACGACGAGCCATACATGGGGATCGGCCAGAGTATCATCATGGCAAGTGTCATGAAGATTGTTAGGTTTCGTGAGTAGAAAGCCGCCCGGTTGAGTAGCTTGGCTTCTTTCTCTGCTTCCGCTGGTGTGAGGTTGCTTTGTACTTCGCCGGGAATCAGCTCTATATCTACGTGCGCTGCGGTCGCAACGTCTGTGTCGTCTACTCTGCTGATTTGTTGCATCGATACGTAGTCGTAATTCTGTGGGCCAAAGGCGTAGGTGAAGACTGGGACAAAGACTATTGGGCTTAGGAGGGCGGCGACGTTGCCTGCTAGCATTGGGTAGCTATGAATTGTTAGTTTGAACTGAGATGGATCTTTTGCAATTGTGCTGGCACTTACTTGGCTCCAGTGGTTTCGACGGTGAAAGTGCCGTATTGAGTTTTCGTGGTCACAAGCCAGGCAGTAAGAGAAACAGCCATACCAAGTGGTGGAGACGCAGCAGCAGCAATCCAGTTCTGGCCCTTCCATAGAAGAGTCATAGCACCTGGGATTACGGCTGAGGAGATGATCACGCCCATGAGGAGGTAAAGGTAGCCCATTCCGACACCGGCATAGTGGAGACCAGTTGCGAAACCGGCCATGATGATCGAGTAGACGATGCAGGAAGCGTGCGAGATCCAAACGAGTTTCTTACCCTTGGCTGTGGGTTCGATATAGGCTTGGAAGATGTCGTATGTGAATACTGACGATACAGCGATTAATTGGGCAGAGAAGGCTGATGTCACGGCCATGAAGATCATTAGAGTTGTTGCTACTGCGCCGCTGTATCCTAGGAGCTTTACGGCGGCGAAGGGGAGGACGAGGCCAGCTGAGACGTCGGCATTGCTCATTCGCTCCGTGCCTTCGAGTGCTAGGGCTGCGAGACCCATTGTTGTGGCGCATAGCCAAGGAATTGCAAACCAGCAGAGGCCGCCAATCACGTAGCCTGGGAATGCATGCACTGGGCTTGCGGCGATAGCTAGTCAAGTTAGTAAGAATTGGATGAGCACAGCTGGTTTGGGATCCTTACCCTTGTTGTAGTAGCCATTGTCCAGGAACACGGTTCTAGAGATGATATTAGTTGAAATCCATATCATTAGAAGTATCTTAAGACGAACCCGAAGTTACCTATACTAAGTTAGTAAATGATTGGCTGGAAAAAGGCGATATTTGACATACCGATCAGATTGATAATCCAGAAGATAGCACCCTCCTTCGATCGCATGGTAAGATAGCTGCCTTCTGCATTTCCATCAACAGGATGTCTGTTTGCAGCAGCAACCAACGCATCATAAACTTTTCCAGGAGAACCAAGCTCGGCATTGGTAGCATAAGCAGAGAAAGCAAAGAGGAAGATAATGACCAGAATGACAACGGTGTGCATGTAGTCAGTTAGGAAGGTGGCCTTGATACCGCCGAAAACAGTATAGAGGACAACGCCAATGGGGAGGAGAAAACATCCTGCCGCAGTAGAAATGCCGGTGAGGGCTGTGAGAACTGCTGATCCACCTGTGAGCAGCATAGCTGTGACGAGGACGTTGGTCATGAGGCAGAACACGATGAAAACAACGTGCACAGTTGTTCCATAGCGGGCGCGGACTACTTCGAGAAAAGTGTGAGCATTCGGAGCCCGTCTTTTCAGCTCAATTGCCAACGTAGCGAATAGAAGGATTTGAACAGTTGCACCTGTAGAAGTAAGACAAGGGAACAAACTAGATATATTGTTCAAGCTCACCAGATGCATAATAGAATGGTCCCGAAACACCATACATGTATGCCACAGAGGAAGATTGTAAAAGTGTAGCGGCCCATGTCCAGCTACTCACCACAGCAGCAGCGACAAGTCCAGATTTGACAGAGCGACCTGCAGTCGAGAACATTTCGGAAGTTTGGACTTCATTCTGGTACCTTTTCAACGCCCAAGTGATAAAAATCATCAATAGTGCAAAGGCAAATCCAAGTCCTAGGGCAATGCCATATCCAAAGCCCTTGGACAGGGGAACTGCAAAAAATTCTGGCCCCGACATAGTTGCAGGGTGAGAAGTTTGGAATAGATCAATTGGGGTGAGGGGGAATTATAATAAATATTCCGAATTGAAGTAGATAGCGATGATGTAACCAGGTCGAGTGTTCCAAGGTTAGATAATGTTCATTCTAGAAGAACATGGAGGGGCTAGAATTCGGAGTAGAAAAGGTTCAGAGCTATAGGACATTCCAGGTTGATAAAGCAAAGCAAAGTGATACAAACATTCCAGACTTATGTACTGAAAGCTCCGACCTCGCAGATTTCGGCTCTCTTCAATTATCAATCTAACCTAAGTCAATGCGTATGATTATTTCAGAGATTAGATAGGGAGTTCATTGAGGGGTCAGATAAGAGGTTTCAATTCATCTAATACTTTATCTTTTGTAATGGGTCCAATGTCTGTGGGGAGAGGTTGGGTGGTGGAGTCCTATTGTATCACGGCAAGAAATCCCAATATCAACGAGAATAAGAAGAACAAGAAATTAAGGAAAGCGGCGTTTGATGTGAGATTTCCAATCGCCTAAATTCAAGCTCAATGTTTAATTTGGTTAATTGTCATTGGTTGTTAAAGTGTGAGATAAGATAGACGTCAAGTTCTTTGGACCCTTGATAGTCGATAGCTAATATAACCAATAAACATACACAATCTCTATCGTCATCTAAAGTTTATTACGGAGCCAATGTTATCTTCAGTGTCTAGTGACTGCGATTTATGTATATGAGTATTAGTATTTCGTTAGTGAAATACAATGACGGAGATTCCCATATAGTTAAGAGTATCTAGTGTGAAAGAATTCGAAAGATTCAATCTAGCTTATATGATAGACCTCAATTTCCGGACTGAATTTGGTAATTCAGGTTAGGAGGGATATTCGGGGACCTGCGCGGGAGAGCCTCATTGCTCTGGAACACGAGATGTCGCAGCTATAGCCTACAACAGCCAGGGCAGGGCAATGGCTTGCTCTAGCGGGTTGATGAATTTTTGGTGTTTTTCTTAACTTTCTATTTCCAAACTCCTCCACGTTCATTCCTCTGGTATAAGTACCTATAGCCTGTAAACATCATTCTCCTCCAGGGCTACCAGTATACTCAACACCAATGTACTCAATAATCCCGAGTTTCTACACCACGTGCCACACCAACCTCGGATTACTGACAAGTTTGGTGGCCTTCGATTATCTAATTTGATATAAAAGGCTAGTTACACCTGAAGTTCACTTGGTATTATCACTTCAGCCCTACAACTTTTGGTCTCATGAGCGGCATGTATGTCGTATACGGCTTTGGCTACAATCTTCAGAGAAAGCCTCGAAGGCAGCAGCGACATTCCACGGTCTAATAAAATCAAGGGCTATTAAGTACTAGCAATTCCTCCATGTTGGAAATGAACCTCGGGATACTTAGTCTCAAGGATTCGGCGTCATCCATGGAATCAGCTCTAGAGAAGTAGAAGTGATCTGGAGCATTTTGAATGCCTTTAGTGAACTTCGGGGTAACCCAAGGCTGTCTTTGCTGTGGGTATAAGCCAAGTGTCAATCCACTTGGTGGTGATGAAATGGGCGTAGGTAGTATTCCAAGTTTATTTTTTTTATAACCGGTGGCAACAATTTTCTAGATTGGAATAAAACAAATATCGAGCTCGAGATTGCATGTTAATATGAAGCAAGAAGAGTCCAGGAAAGCTAGAAAAATAAGCAGATTAATTGAGAATTGGAAACCGCTACCGTTAGATATTTCAAAATTCCATGCCCAAGTACTTCATGATTATTTCGCTGAGAACCATTCTTTGCTCTCCTTATTCAGTTTTCATTCAGCATAAAAGTTAGAAGGCTTGAATTAAGTTGATAACCTAGTTTCTCAAAATACAGTAATAGTCGAAGGAGAAATACCCGAAACCCAGGTGCTGCAGACCGTGGTATTTCTATTGAAATGACAACACCGCACATGACAAGAGAATAGGGAAGACTGAAGCATACCAACGAAAGCAAGTTTTAAGGATCTCGGCGCCTTCAACGGAAAGAACCAAATGTCACGGGGTATAGTAGAATGGGTGGTGGGGTTGAGGGTGTCAAGGTGGAAATTGCGTTGTCACAAGATCCGACTCGAGGACAAAGTGAGCGGATAATATGGAGAATGTTTGTAGAGGGTGCGCAGATCGTATTAAATCAATGGAATTGTTCAAGCGGAGAACTTGCGGGTGATCTTCGCGATGACTATTTATATAATAATTAGCTCCAGTTCAATTCTACCTCGATATAAGAGCATTATACATACCGTGTAGACCGACAACGGAGAAGATGAATCCAAGACTCAGCACCAGGACGACGACGGGATCCACCCGCAGACCGGGGCTCTCGTCAGTGTACAGCTTCAGCATGGTGCCGGACGAACCACCAGCACCAGCAGAGCGGGTTGAGCTGGGGCGGGCATTGCGAAGAGACTCCTTGTGGTCGGCTGCAGCACGGCGGCGCATAGCAGCGCGAGGACCACCGGGGGCAGTAGGGGAAGAGGTACGTCCGATAGAGGAGCCGGAGGCGGCAACAGCTCCAGCTCCAGCAGACTTGGAGTCAGGACCGGACTCGGCACCCGAAGTGAGAGGGGAGGCAGGACGGGGAGAGGCCTGTAAATATGATGGTTAGTCTATTGGAACGGGGATATTGGTGGAAAGGAGGTTTGTGCTCCCCAGTCGGGATAAGATGCTAAAGAGCTAGGCTGATGATGGCCAATTGGGTTGGGTGGTATCTTACCATTCTGATTGAGTGTGTGTAAAAATGGGAATGATAGAACGAAAGGAATGGCGAGAAGAGAAAGAAGTTGTGGAGTCGGGGATGGCGAGGTTTGCGGAGTTGAGGCCACGATCGCGGTTTCCTGATTTGACAGGGATGGTACGGGTAATGTTACGTCCACTCCTTATTTTGGTAACTTTGGTTATATAATACAGAACATTGACCAATCGGAGTCGGATCTTCATAGTCGTCACTTTACTTGTTGAGAGATGTTGTAAACTTCTCAAAATATGGTATCATTTATATGTAATCTTGAATTTTGAGATCTTCGACTATTGAGTGGTCTTTCAGAGATTGTCCGAAAGGTAAGAAACTTGTCATAAGTGACATGGAGGAAAGAAAACATCTCCGGGAATCATATCCAAAAAAACGCCACCAGTGCTCGTGAAGGTTATGTGAAAAGTGAGTCAATAGGTCAAGGAATTAAAATCACAGAAAATTTGACCCGTTCAAGCGCACCAATGCGGCAGGGGTAAATGGAGGTGGAGGTATCATATCGAGGGCCAGGGCCCAAATTGAGAAAAGGTAGTCAGGCTTAAATATCAAACCCAGCAACAAAAAGGAAAAGGCAAAGGGAAAGCATAAAAGCACGCTTATGAAAGGAATGCTGAGGGAAACATCACCCAATATGAAATAGATTGTAAGCATGATTATTTTGGGGGGATTAGTCGATCATCATTCGAGATGGTACTGGTGACAAGCCGAGGTTGGATTGAAGCTCGGTGTTTTTCTCCTCTGCTTTCGACTTCTTCCTGCTATTGATATGTGGCTTCAATCCGCGGCTGAAGTTGTTTGCACACATGCAGGCGTTGATAATGGTGGTGACGATCAAAGCAAGAGTGATGATAGCGAAGAAGGTCATTGAGGGTCGAGCGGGTAAGTATTGCGGGAAAGTCGCTGGCGCATACATACGGAATAGCTTGAAGCAGAAATAAGCCATTGCAGCGAAGAGCAGAAGCTACAAGGGAGAGTTAGAAGGTGGAGAATTCATGCACGCACTGGCTGACTTACAATGATGACGATCATCCCAACGGTGGTCTCGCGTCGAACAAACCAGGCAGCAAGGGCGAGGATAATGATTGTCACTGGGACAGCAATGATTGTGAGATAGAACTCGGCATTATGTGTGTCCGAAACCACGACTAGGAACTGCACGGTGAAGCCAAGGAAGAAGAAGAAATCGAACTTCAAAAGAGCGATGTAAATCTGTCAACAAGTCAGACACAAGTCAAAATACATCTACCACTAATTGTAAAACCCACCTGGTACGTCAGATACCGGCGTTTCATGCGCAGATCGGCACTGATATGTTTGTAGATTGTCCACGCGAACTCGTCATACAACTTCCATGCCACAAAGGTTATCAGAATACTTCCGATGGCAACAATGCAGGGAATAACGATGAGAAAAGGTTCCGACTCTGCCCAAACCTCAGGTTTGATGGCTTTGTTATCGAACAAAACAGTGACTGCAGTCCGGATTTGATTGACTTGTACTGCTCCATAGATCAAAAGACCAACGTTGCACATACACAGGCCGATAATCTGAATGGTATTTTTCATTCGAAGGGCATCGTATACCAGCACCAACTCATACAAAAATCCGAAACTGTATAGAGCCAAGAAAGTTGGGATGGTTTTAGAGGAAGGACTGTCGTTGGGGACTTCTTGGGTTTGGAAATTTACAAAAATGTAACTGTGGAATCAAATGGTTAGTGGCAGAAGCACAATTGAAGTTGGGGGTCGGGCTCATACATTTCTAGACCGAGTGTGACGACGGTCTGGACAAAAGTCACGATGGCGAATGCCCAGGTCCATTGCGTGTTTGGAAGGTAGATTCTGCGCGTAGTAATCGGACGTGCTGAAGGATTGGCATAACCTTCTCGAGGGCGGAACCCTGTAGGTTCTGGACGAAACGAAGGATCGAACGAGCCTCCCAAGAGGGAGGCGCGTGACTCGTGAGACGGAATCTTGCTGAGGGGCTCCGTAGCGGAGCTCACGGCCGCGGAGTGATGTATGGGATACACAATGGCGGTATAAACCACCTAGTGGTAAATTTCGCTAAATATATGAAGTTCCTTTGGGAAAGGGATGGCGTTATTGATAAGAAATGTTGCCCCGATAAGCTAGAACGTTCCGAGCGTGCCAGGAGGTTGTGTTTGGATGGCTTGGCGGATTTGGTCGGATAAGCAACCGGTAATTTGGTAGAAGCAGGGGGTAGGGGGGAAGAGCGAAAGAGTGATTGTTGGGATTCAGCATCCACAGAGCCTCAGGAACATCGGATGACTCGAAGTGATCATGAAAAGAAGGGAAAAGCGAGTGTTGTATTTTTTTTCTCGGGGATAATCGCTCGGTCCAGGCGGGGCGAGGCGTAATCCGAATCCGCGCCACAAGGCTGTAAAATGAGTACCCCGAAGGAAGAGTGATATCTCAAATTTGAATTCTTCAGATTTAGAGGGGGTTGGAGGGGTTGGAGTCGAAAGCGAGTGAAAGTTGGGGAAGAGAGTGTGAAGGTTGAAAAAGGGTAAAGGGTAAAGGGGGATTCCGGGGTTCGTCACATACCGGTCCCAAGTTACAGTACTCAGTACCGGAGGCTCTTACTCTGTAAACATTCCGAACTTGTAACTAAAACACATGGCTTCACCCCCTGACTCCCATTACTTCCTCTGTGGAGCCTTGCTGTCCCACCCTATTTCCCTATTCCTTATTTCCTCTAACTCAGCCGTAGCTCAGCCCTTGTCCCACTAATTATGAAACTGGAACCATGAAACCGTGGAGCACGTCAGACCCTGAAGTTTTGGCATACATCAAATAGAATTGATCCGTTATTCCGTACTCCTGCTCCTCTTCCAGGAATTCAAGGTTGTGGCGTGAAACATGCCGTGGCTGGGGGATTGTCGATCTCTCTTATAAAACATTCTATAGGGTGGCTGAGGCTGACTGACCTATTGCGTTCTATAAATGTCTGGAAATGTGTAGGAAATTGTAAATTACAAGATTTAATAGAACCGATTACTCAGTACGGAGTAGCAGTACGAGTAATGCCGGTATTAAGCCAAAGATCTAGATATCTCTGTAATGCATAAGATGAATTTGGAGAATGCATCTAATGATAGCAAACATGCATAATTCAGACCCACCTAGGCACCTTTGGGCAAATTGGGCTGGCGTCTAGCCCACTTAGGCGTCGATGGCGATTCTGAAATACGGAGTAATTCTTAAATGAGGTTTAAATTTACTACCAGAATATACTCCGTATGAATAGTTCACTTCACATTCACCCCAAGACCTATTGATCCTAAATCATAGACTTTTATTGACCCTTACACTGTAAAATATTTTGTTGTTTCTACGTTCAAGAAAATACAGTCAGCATGCTGAATAACCGGCCGCTTTCATAAGTTACCAATTTATTACGGGTGTATAACTATCCTCATCTTTGGACATTTAATCAGCACTACTATATAACAGAAGCCTCGCCATTTCTTCTTTTCCAGTTATTACTGCGTGGTGAATTGCTACCATGCCACGATATAGAACCATCACATTAGCACCACACTTCAACAGAAGCCTCATGAGTTATATATTTCCATGTTATGTGCAGAACGATGGGTAAAATAGCCCATACTCGATGTTTTTGGACTCAGCAGCGCCATTCTCCAGAAAAAAGTCATAATTCTTTCGTTCCACTACATATTGTAGAACCAAGGGGTATAGAGCCCTCACAACATCGTGCCATCATAGGCGCCGTTATCTAATAGAAGTCTCATAGCTTCTTCGCTCCCTACGAAATAAGAGGTTGTTTAGTTACCGGTCATCACATCAGCGCCATTCTCTAAAGGTTTCTCAGCTTCTTCAATTGCAATTCTTACTGCGTTATAAAGAGCTGTAGGTCTATAGTATTTATTTCTGTGTATAATATCAGCTCCTTTATTGCTGTGTAATGAAGTGGTGAACTATAGCTAATCCTATTGGAATCGGCGCCATTTTCTAGTAGCAGCTTCACAAGTTCTTCACTCCCACGCTTTACTACGAAATTGAGGGGTGAAGTGGTAATGTCCTTATTACAGGTCATCACATTAGCGTCGAAACAAGGAGATGTAATAGAAATGTGACTTACTCTTGTGCTAGCCGAAGAATTTCATCTTTAGATTATAATTTTGAGTAACCGAGAACATCCAAGTCCCTCAGTTCATTATCAAGCTGCAAGCATCAAAGCTATAAGTTTATCCAGGACCTCCATCTAAATATTTGACTATGCCTCTTGTACTGTAATAACAAGGAGATCTAGCGTATATCTAGAGAGACAGGTTCTAAACTAGGATGATCTATCGTCCCGAAAATAGGAGTATAATGGGAGCGCTGAAGAAAACTTTTAGTTTGATGAAAGTTAGTGAGAAGAACAAGAAGAAAACATTATATGCCACAGGATACTCACTCACACATGCTACAGAGGGTAAATACTACTATGCAAAATTGAATGCTGTGAGTTATTATATACCACTAAAGCTCTTCTTCATGATAGATGGAAGATTTCCCGCAGCTCGAACTACCTAGGTGGATACGAATATTGGAATTACCGGGCGAGCTGTGGTCCCGACTTGATCAGGAGAGTATCCCAGTGCACAAGGAGTACACCAATCTTTCACTTGGGTTTATTGAGAGTGCATATGATTCTTATGAGGAGATCGAAGATCTTGGGCAGATGGAGATGATGGCTAAAAAGGCCATCTTACGCCTCTGACAATCTGGTTCCGGCGAATGATTATGCAGCCAAGTACATGGATTGATCTACGGAAGCTCTGTGTCATGGATGTATAATACATTTTTACTATTAGAATTGAGGCACTTTGAGTGTAAGCCAACATGTATACCTTGACTAAGTAAAAGGACTGAGCAAACGGGAAATACAAAGTTGCCTAATAATACATGTAACACCCCTTCTAGACCGTTCGGCCAGTCAAGCAAAACCGATTCACGATAGTATGGTTATCTTGGTCAAGGATCTTAACTTCCGATAAGCTGCCAAGAAAGACCGCACGCCACAGTTTCGTGCTTGGTTGATCTATACTTGTATGAGCGACTTCAACTAATATAGGCATATCGTGTGAATACTTACTACGGTATAGCTTCGGCTGAGAAGCTCTGCAGTCGATTATCAACCAGTCTTGAAGTAAACCATTGGTAATCCACTTCATATATGAGCCATTGGCTTTAAACCTTTGGTAGTGCTCAGTGAGTCTATCACCTTCTCGGAGCAACTCAACCCCCACCTCATTATTCCTAATCAAAAATCAATTCGGTCAACGCCATCTTAAACAATCCCCCGCTGTTGACCAAGGTCAAGCCATCATTTAGTAAATGGGTCTTGTGCTTTCCCAAAGCGGGCAACGAATGAATTAGCGTCTTAATGCAGATTTGGGTGCGTTTAATGTACGTTTTGATGCTTTGAACGCCATTTTAGTAGCAATGTCAGTGAATCTAGAAATTCAAGTATCAGTAGCTAAAATTTTGATATAATTTATAGCGATTGAATGGGAAAATCAAATGAGCTAATACAACAGGAATGTGCTTATATATCGCGTCCTATAGTCCTCGTAGGATCTCAGGAACATCCCACGAAACAAAGAAAAACTATATCCCCAGAACATGTAAATTCCATACCCTTCCAAAGTTGGTAGTGCACCTAGAGATATGATTCCTGCACCCGCTCTTTTTCTCGATTCAAAAATTGAGAAAAGCTACCCAGCTCAATATTCCACTCTTTCACCCTTTCGAAATCCACCAACTAAGACATGTCACGCATAGCCCTTTGTACTTGTACCATCGGATCCAGCAACGCCAGTTTTTCGACTTCCTCCTCGGATAAAAACGTAGCCTGCTTCACCTTTCCTGTCGCAAGTGATAAGTCCCGCATCACCTCCTCCAGTGTCATCATTTGCGATACAATCTCAATTTCCTTATTGTTGAACTTGGCTTGGTCCAGAGCTGCTGCTGCTGCAAACTTCCCGATATCGTTGGGGTCTATCATAGGGATGATAGTCTCATTGGTGAAGGCGGTTACGAGGTTTCCCGTTTCAACGAAATTATGGTACAACAACTTGACGAGCGGATTCAGAAAGTTGGACATGAAGTTTCCCGGCCGCAAAATAGTCCAAGCATCAAAACCTGAATCTCTCACTTCATTCTCAATGGACTGCTTCAACAGAATACTCATACCCAAGTAACTGTCGGGATTCCAGTAGCGAAGTCGTTCGGGATCTCTGCTAACCACGGTGCTGGTATAGATGATATGCTTGACAGCAACTTGTTTGGCGATTGAGATGAGCCTTTTAGCCTGCTCAAGTTCACCAGTGGGGATTGAGTGGTTGGGTGTCAAATTGAGAAATAGAGTCGTGCAGTTGGCCATGCTCTTTTTCATGATCTCCTCGTCGTCAAAGTTTCCTTCTGTGATATGTACACCACGCTGTTGAAGATTTTGGGCCGATACAGAATTCAAATCCCGGGTGATAGTATGGACCTCAACATCCTGCTCAAGTAGATGATGAGCGAGGGCGCCGCCCTGGGTTCCTGTTGCCCCACAGACGAAGACGATTGGTAAAGACATCTTAAGTAAGAAAAAGCTGGAGCATAGACTTGGATGCTTTTTTAGACCACTCAATTCTCGGGATATTTACCATTTATATAGTTGTTCAGTCATAGTGGTGGTGGAACTCCGCTCTGTGGTGATTGATGATTGGTTAGATGGGCCCTCATTCCTGTTAGCGTGCGGAATTCCGCACGCTAAATCATAAACGGTCAGCAGCTGCGTAGATCTCAATTTTCTTCCTAATTCATCATCTCACCATGTATGAGACACCTCCACCGCGTCGCAAATCCTGTGAAGCCTGCAAGGCTGCGAAGAGGCGCTGTGACCTTGTATACCCGTGTTCAAGATGTGCGCACAAGAACCTTCCTTGCATCTATCCTGGAAGACAACCAGCATATACAGATCTCCAAGAAGCTCAATCTTTGGACTGGGCTGATACTCTGTGTCAGCCTCTCCAAGAGCCCGGTACTCTTGATAACAACCGCAATCTTTGTACAATCAATAATGACCTTTCCTTGTTCGACAGAACAGAAATGCAGTCGAGCTATGACTTTGATCGGATTCTTTACCCGATATCGCTGGAAATAGAAGCTCCACCACATCTGCTGATACAAATACCAAGGATACGATCCAATAGAACTATCCCACAGATTTTTGCGTCTCATCTGAAATTTGCTGTAGATGTCCTCGAAGATGCACCTAGAATGATGGTTCTTGAAAACCAGACCCCCTGGTGTCACCCACAACTTTATAAAAATTATATGCCTAAGGATATGCAAGGTATGCAAATTCTATCATACCTAAGTATATAACTAAACCCTTTTAACATGGCATCCTAGATGCATACGCCTGCTGTTCACTATATATGTCCAAGAATGAAATCAATGCGCCAGTCATAACGGCTCTACTTAATTCTCGCGCAAAAGACCTACTATCAACACCAGAGCCAACATCACTCCTCGAATTGGTGGCTCGAACTCAAGCTTTGATCTTTTATCAGATCATTTGTTTGTTCGATGAGGACGTCCGCTCTCAAGTAACTGCGGAACGTCTTTTTGCAGCACTCAAGTCTTCTGTCCTTTCTTATTTAAAGATTTTATATCTTCCAAGGACACAAGATTTGACTAAACTTCTTCCTCCATCTATGGAATCTATCGCCGACTTTTGGAATGCCTGGATCTTGCAAGAATCCGCGCGGCGGACGGCGCTATTCGCATTCGCATTTGTTCGAATTGATGAAATTCTGCATGGTAATATTCCTGGCTATTGTGATGGGAGACTTGGTCTTGATCACTCTTGGTATATGTCGGCCCATTTATGGAATGCACCCTGTGCATTTGATTTCTCTGTGGCGTGGGTAGGTAAGTCACATTTCATAATCGATAATTTAGAGTTGTCGTCCGCTTTGGAGTGTGCGATGCCAGAAGATATTGACTTGTTTGGGAGAATGATCTTGGTTACTATTCTTGGAATCGAAGATGCTCAGAAGTGGTTTCGAGCGAGGGGTGCTGCTCTTTAATATTTGCACAACTTAATCAATCCATGAAATACTGAAGCTTCTTTTCAAATATCCATCATACATTATTCATAATGAGGACAGACATCAGAAAGCACCTACGGCTTCATTTGAAACCTGTCCGTTGGTTTATTTATTCTTATGCTACACTAGAGCAGAAGGATGTTTTTTGACACTATGAGGCTTAGTATATCCGATCTGAAGAAAGAATTAAGTTCATCTGCGAGCTCTATAGAGGTTTTTGCGAGAAGCTCGTAGTATAAGATCGTTAATTCTTAGAAGATGCGAAATCAAAAAAAAAAAAAAAAAAAAAAATTTTTCTCAAATATTTTATAGACGGCTTAACTGAGTATGAAGGGAAAAAACGGAGGTAGCGACCCGCACATCTGTAAATCATTCTCGAAATGAAGAAACGACTACATTCTGATAGTGCTCTGAGCTTCACTTGGAGCTCCCTCATACTTTAGCTTAGCTTCTCCGAACTTCTTTATTCGCATTATGACGGTAAGATTATGATAGATATCACCTATATAGAGGTAAACGAACTTATTGAAGACCTCCAGAGGCTGCATTTTCTAAATGGCTCATTGTGCCTCTCTTCGTCCCTGCGCTCAACCTTGTATCTATAATCTTTCCCCACACTCTTAATAAGTCTCTTATCTTAAGGATAGACCGACCCCGCAGATTGCATAGAGTCACTCCGATGACACCTAGTTAACTTGTATAGCTGCTATTGTCTAGCATTAATGCCATGAGAATTTCAGACTGACGTAAAATCAATTATTGATTGATCTCAGCTGTCGTATGGATGAATTTTAGCGCATATCAAAGTGGAGATGGATATATAGATACTATTGGCTTATATTTCTGACCGCTTCTATAAACTTGTAATGGTTACCCACCCATGATAAATAGCTCTGATTAACTCTTATTTTATTTATGTAAAAGTACTCCGTACCATAAAACACGCAAATGTAGGAAGAGCTATCATAATGTTTAATTGGCTAGAATTAGTATGAATCTATTCCTTTTCGGGTGTAATTATGGAGACTGTATTGGCAGAAAAACCGCGCTAAAATTCATCCATACGACAGCTGAGGGGATAAGTTTGATTGATCTATTTATTCCATAAAGCTATGCACTTATCGTCCGTATGAGCTGTCCAATGTGTTACCCATTATGCACTGAGCAATAATCAATACTCTGAATTTCAATGCCAAGGTTCCTGACTCTTCCCGAAAACTACTGACAGAATTCAACCATCCTACCAGATACGCAGAGCTGATGTTGACCTCCATCTGACCTGCTAATAGATAGCAAGTAAACAAATCACTTGTAATTATTGGAAAAATCAGGCCTGAAGCAGCCATTGTACTTTCTTTTTTTCCTACTCTCACTTAAAGCTTATTGTCGAAGCAAGTAGGTCTCGCTACGTGGTAACCCACACAACAACCCTTATTTTCGCAGTTCTCCTCGCAACAGTCCCAAAGAAACCCCTCTGGAGAAGTTTTTCGACGCCAGTCGGTGTACGGATCGATATTCCCAATGGAATAGGCAATTTCATCATCATCAGGAAAGCATTCCTCATCGATATACAGCTCGCCTGTGTGGGGATAAATACATCAGCAGTGCATTTGGTAAGTCGGCGGGGCTCCTTAGGAAACCTACCGTCGTGGGTGCGGCAGGCCTCAGCATTGTTCATCGTGATATCAAAGGTCTCTCCACAATCCACACATTTCTCATATCTTGGCACCTCTGCTGATTTTGTCTTCTTTTGTGCAGGCGCTTCTTTCTCCGACAGGTTGTCTTCTGAATCTTCTTCTTCTGAATCTTCCTCTTCAGATCCTTCACCGTCTAGATATGATCCTTCTTTAGCTTCTTCAAATTTTTTATCTCTTATCTTGCGCTTCAGAGAATTGGACTTTGGAGAAGACTCGGTCAAGGATACAATGAGGAGCTGCGCCGCTTGCTTGCTGCTTTCTTCCGATAACTCGCATATCGACTTTAACGCTGCACGTAGAATCACCTCATTCGCGTTATCGATAGCTCTCAATAAGGTCGCATTAAGATAGCCTGTGGTCGCCATTGTGACTTATTGGATAGTAAGCCAAGCGTCAGACTCAGGACAGCATCGACATTAAGAGACTAGCTCTAAAGTGGCTAGACTGAGAAAGTGCCAAGAGCGACTCTCACTGACTCAGCGAGCATTAAGGGTGGGGCTCGGCTCGATATTTAAATACTCATTGTAAGCTTAGCTACTTTTTAAACTCTCAATTTTGACGTATAACTTATTACTCGGAAAAATGAATCCACGTAAATACCAAATTCGGCGGAAAGTGCACCTTGGTCAATACGAAGATGGATATGAATGATCAATACATTTCTGCTAAAACACCCATCAAGACCGTAACCATGGATCTGATAATAATTTTCTTGCCGGCTCATTCTTTTCTTATTGTTGAAATATGGAACAAAGCAGTCATGTGCATCGATGCGAGTATCGATGTCGTCAAGCCCCTTCGAAAGTAAATGAAATCGTCAATGCGCGGAAAAGGCACAGTCCGGACTCGTTTAACCCAAAGGAATCCAGACAAACTTCACAATCGCCATGGACGATGCGTATGCCTATGAAATCGGGCAGGATGATTTCGATCCTGGCAATGCCCTTGCGGAGATCATCACTCTCGGCAACTACTTGTCTGGGCATTTTCAAAGCCGTCTCTCGTCACAGGAAGAAGCTTCCCTTGAAGAGAAAATCCTGAGCTCTCTAGCTCTAATGGTATACGGTTCCAACATGCTTGAGCTAGCTGGATTAGAGATAGGAGTAACCCTTAAGTTGAGTATGGCGATATTCCGGGGCGAAGAGGCGCCTGAGGATATCGGGGAGACCACCAAAGAGTTCTGACTCTTAAACAGGAGCTTGTTACGAAAAGATATGCCATCCAACACGACTGCTGTCTTACAATCTCGACGCGAAATAGTTCAGCACGCGAAGGCTGCTGCCTTTAGTTTGAAGCAACTATGCTTACAGGAGAACGAGCTGACTGAAAGCATCATACTCGAAACGCACAGCATCTTGCGTCATAGGATTGATGCAGACGGAATGCCTTGGCCAATTATTCTGGATCTTATCGAAAGGCTGATGTAGCCGCTGGGCTTCACGCGTTCCCCGACCCATGCATGATCCCAATGCTGATGAGCTCCTTGATCCGTGAACTGAAGGACGACATGAATGATGCCCAGGCAAACGGGCACATTGATACTGTCGCACTTGCGTCGAAGTACACCCATGTCTTCGTGAACATTCATCCATTTGTAGATGGCAATGGCCGAATGTGCCGTTTAATTTTGAATTCATTACTGTTCAATCTCTGCATTTTTATTGTCAATATTGGCGAGAATAAGGAGAAACGGTCGCAGTACTTGGATGTTGTAGCCTACGGGCGATGGTCTTGAAGAAATGTATGTGGATGGAATGATTGAGGACATGGACGTAAAAAAAGCCTAAGCTCTTTAAAGAATTGGAAAATTTTGGAGCGTATGAAAGTAAGCATGGAAAAAATGGCCAGCTGCTGAGTTTGAAAGTGCTAAATATTCCTTTATGGGTCGGCATCATGCTCCCTTGTAGTGGTCTCAGCAATCCACACTATCTTAAAATCCTTCTTTCTTTTCTTTCTAAATTGATTGTAGTGCAGAAACACCTGTTGTGCAAAGAATTCTTCCTCAGCTTGCCATGCGAGTACATATTAGTCTTTCCTCTGTATGAAAAAAGAAGCCTTTGCTGTATATTCTTGGCAATGGTTCAAGAACTAACCGAAGAAGACGAGGTCGAGTGTTTAGAAATCTGGAACACATCTACTTCACTTCAACAGGATCTAAGTTGGCATGACTTACTCACCATGGCAAGTTCTGGACAATGGCTACGCAGCATCTGATGATCAACCGCTCCTCTTGTTTGCACAAACTATCAGCACTACGGCCGGACTCTATGTAAGGAAAGTTATTCAGGTTCAGTCAATGGCAAGCAAGGCACTTGTGGCAATAGAGAACGCGATGTATGCTACGACCAACACAGGTGGCAGTTTGGTCATGCAGCTCTGCGAGTCCAGCTACGATAGTAACCACATTTTTAGCTTTATAGCCACAAATAATAAGTCCTTCACATTAGTACAATAGGCGTTACAGTCTTGGGTTTATGTAGATTGTTTGAATTTCAGCAGTACGCAGAAGGCTCCTAGCACAGCTAGTTTTACGACGCCACTCTTAAGCACGTCGTTAAACTCCACAACTACCGCCAACGCAGCATATCTGGGCAAGATAGTGTCGCGTTTTCTTCATCATAGCCATAGCCTTTATTCTTATCCTGTTCATCTCAACCGTCATGATGAGTGCACCGCGATCTAAGTCTCGAACGGCGATACATGTGCTTTTTATAATCACAGGTGCCCATAATCTGGACGGCCATGGCCAACAAGCACCCTGCGGATTCTCAAACAAAGTTTACCGCAAGAAAGAAGGTGAGGTGTCGATTCAACTGGAGTGGAACGATGACGGAAGTGCCGTCGGCAATGTTGGCGGCTTGCAACTGTTTGTCGATGTTAAGGCCATGCAGGTCAAAATCGAGAAGTTGACCAGCGAAATGGCAACGACGATGGCAACGATGATGGCAACGATGATGACAACGACGTATTAGATCCGGCAACGGACGTTGTCTGCGAGTCCGGAATACCCTCGGAAAGGATGACCTGGCATGCCAGACCCAGATCCGCGCTCAAAACAAGAGAATTCATCACGACGATATCCGCATAGATAACTTTGTCGTGTTGAAGTACTTTAAGCCGACTAGCTCCGAGTACCTATCCTTTCTAATCCTGTATAGATGAGGAGTTGCAGACTTTCTAGGCCCCGACGAGGGGGTGAATTGCCCATAATCAAGCCGGGCCTTTAATCATATAGCGGGTCCTTTATTGGACAACAGGGCCCAAAACCTACCCCCTCTCACTGAGTAGCAACGGCAAAACCTCGTGACGAAGTTGCTTGCCCACAACTTCAACGGTGCCGAAATTTAGGCCACCAAATACCTGACAGAGGGTATTGATGATAAGGATGATTAGACTTTCTTTAATTTGTTAGCTAGCTGGATACTAACTTATAATAACCTATCTTTCATTGACCTCGTCGGAGAAGGAAGCCTCGTGGAAACTAGTGCAGTAGTTAGATATGCATTAGCTTAGTCTCGTCCCAACCTCACCCTGTCTTCACCCTGTCTCACCTGATGCCCCCCTTGTTTAATGTGCACTCACCTTACTCAACCCTAGTCGCGCAGCGCTCACCCATTTCTCACCCTGTGACACCCGACTATTTGACATGTGGACAGTTAGGTTCTTCTAAATCATCTCGATAATTCTTTTTCTCTTTTGGAACAGTACTTACGGTCACAAGGTGTGGAGAACAGGGATTCTCGTCCGCTCAGCCGTACTTAAGCCTTCTATGAAACGTGGCCAATAGTCCAAAGACCCTTAGCACCCAGCTCACCCTAAAGCAGCAATAGAACTTTCATTAGGTTAGCCCGGCAAGGGTGGGTAATTTGAATGAACTCAGGATGAGGATGGGTGAGCACGGGGTGAGCACCCTTGTTATAGAATCTTGGCTCTATGCTCTTAAGGATAAATAAATCCTCAGTAAGCCATCCTGTCACTCTAATATCTAGCATAATTTTCATCCTAAGATGTCTGATTTCGAAGATATCTAGAAGATTGCCGTTAAACGTCTGCGAAATTCATTTTTCCTTCACGGGAGAGGAGATCAAAAAAAAGTATGAAGATAAGCATCAGCGGCGACTCGGGGGTATCGGCAAATGTTGGTATTGACTGAGTTTGCATCGCATTGAATTTTCGGCCGGGCTGTTGTGCAAGGTGACGGCTGGGAAGCAGGCACGAAGTCATCCTGATTACTAGAAGACATGATGATGTCTGTGAAAAGAAATAGGGACATAGAGGGGAAACAGAGGTACACTAACCCTATTATAGACACGACGCGAACACTCTTTTCCAAACACGGTAATCTAATCTAGCCAATTATCAAGTCTTATCGATCTGATCTGATCTGATCTGATCTGACGCAAGAAATCCTTGGCTTTGGAGGATTTAGTCAGTGCTACACACAACAAAATACACCCGTGACAAGAAATGGAAACCGGTTTCTTGATACCACACCCACTCAACAGCCTGTTCACTCACATCGCCCTTACACTTCATTTCACCCTTAGCACTGACTTTGCCGCTCGTACCTTAGAAATTGGGCCAAAATAGTACCGCCCAGATGTCAAAGTTGATTAATAGTATGCCTCAGGTATGAAAACAGTAATACGGCGGTGGTAATGCCTTCTTTTTCCTTAATACAGCTCTTTGGTAGCTTCACTTACTCCTACATCAAGACTATATCCATTATCACTACAACTAGTTCATGTGGGACTCGTGCAGTGGCAAGCTCAACTATTAAGTATAATCCTCAGTTTCTCGGAGGCCCTCAAGATATCCGACGTCCTATTATTAAGTATCCTTCTCTGTCTGAAGTGAGAATCTCTTTCAGACTCTTTGATTATTTAAATCACGTTTACTTACCAATATATCTTTTTAGTTTAAGCTTCCCCCAAATTGGAGTACACCAAAGAATTTCCCCTGCACTTCCTTGCTTGAGGACTGGGATGGCCTCGATTCAGCTGGCTAGAGACTCCTGGAGGGATAAGTGTCGGAACATGGATATTGCAATCATGCAATACCATAAACCCGGAACGGAACAAACAGACCCCCGAGTCACGGGGGAACAACTATATTAGGAACTCAAGTAGCTACATGAATCGAAGACATTTCACACCACTTTGCACAACGTATATACTAAGAATCTAGGACGAACCATACCCTTTTCCAGTGTATATAGTGCAACGTGTGAACCCTGTCCTTTCAACGTAGTTGATCGACAATAAGGCCTTCCCACTTCAGGTACACCAATCCTATTCGATGAAAAGGCCGATATTTTTTTATCTTCGAAGCAGGTGGCCAATACTATACATGGTACCAAGAGCCTGAGGGTCATGAGGATTCTTCTTAATGGTCTTCGCGAGATTGTGACATTGCTCCCACATGCCCTCTTATTATGCCCCCAACACTTTCTCTGCCTATTGAATGTCTTGATTGGGCTATTCTATCACTAAGTAGCTGGGTTGCTATGAATCTTGCTATAGCCTCATAATAATTACGAAGCTGAACATATCTTTTTCTTTATCACTTTCAAGCTATTATTAGCTAGGTATATATAGATCAACTGTCAAGGGTAATTCTTGCACTTAGACATGTGCATGGGTTGGGTATGGGTCCCATATGGGTATTTTTGATGCCTTAATGCCTGATTTTCGCCTCAACCTAAACTAAATTAGGGTAATTAGTGCCTTAGTGCCTAATTTTTGCCTCAATCTAGTACTAACTAGGTGACAAATATCACGTGAAATAAAAGTCTTGGCAAAAAGATGGGTTTATGGGCTGGGTGTGGGTTTTACTTCAAACCCATACCCAACCCATATGGGTTTTGGGTAAAATTTCTGACCCATACCCAGCCCATTGTGGGTTGGGTTGGGTTGGGTATGGGTTTACCCAACCCAATGAACATGTCTACTTGCACTCATCTTCAAACGCTTCGACCAAAAGACCATTATGATTTCGCTCTCAGGAAAACATGTGCAAGCTCCACTTACATACCTTCAACCTCAATTCCACACTAAACGTTGATAAGAAGACATACATTGTATAGGGATATTCACCGGTGATACTAACTTAGGAGACTTCGCCGGCAAACCCCCTCAGAGAAAGCAAGCTAACACTAGAGAGGCGGTTAATCTGGCGAAGGGCAATCCTAAGCCCATGGAGGTACCTAGGTATTAGATGGTACTCAATTGTTTTTGTTGAATATAAAAAGTACGGGGGAATCTTGATCTGCTCTTCCTCCTAGCTAGATGACTCGTGATATACATGTAAAAGAAAAATCTAAAACGTTGTAGAAGAAGAGCCGCTACTTAGATAGCGTCCCAGGTTATCGGATACCGTGCGTAAAGCTACCGTGTGTAAATCTACCGTGCGTAAAGACCGTGCGTTAATAGTGCAGTGACTGATGTCAAGCAACCTTGGAACGTTTTTAGATAGTCGATCCGTATTCATCCACTTCCTGTTACTCATACCTCCAAGGTTCACTCTATTGTCCACTTTTTCTAAAAGCCACTATTTCCCTCAGCCCTTTTTCCCTAAACCCTTTTTTCTACCATATGGCCAGAACGAACCCCATCTAGTTTTGCTAGTTATTGAATCACGTGATCAACGCAGAATGTCAAATGGAGGTCTGACTACCAAAGGAATTGTGGATTCTAGTGGGCAAATGAGAGTGCAGTATGCGTATGTGTGTATGTGTAGCTATGGTGGGAATCCCATGGTGGGATTCCAATGCTGACTAAAAGTAGACTAACTGTAAATGGAATCGGGCCTTTGACACAGAAGGTGAAAGCTTTCGGGTCACTTTCCATTTTGGTTATCTTTTCTCTAGAAGAACTCAATTGGCGAAAACCCAAGCCACAACCACGTTGCGAACCTTATCAACCACGGGTTAGAATAAGGGGTAAATAACTCTATGTTAAATACATGATTCAAGTGAGAATGATAACAGTCCAAACCCCTTATTTCCACTAGTTTGACACGTGCAATCGCTTATAGTTCGGATATAGGCAACATAATCAATCACGGTACGAATTTACTATTTCGGCAGAAATAAAAAATATAAAAAAAAAACAAAGAAAAGGGAGCATCCAAATCGGCGGAGTGGGCCTAGACCTTCTATAGCAGCAAGGAGGGCTATTCATTCGCGCCACGCCAGCAATGCGTGGAATCTGTAGGAAATAAGGACATAGAGAAACATGCCCAAGTCGCATTTTAATTTTAATACTGTATTACAACAGTTTCGGGATGTACTAAGTACAATCGATTTTGAATTTAGTGGGGTAAGAGGGGAAAATACACTTTTGAATTAATACCATTGGCTTCATTTTACACCGCATTCTAAATTGATGCCCTAATTGGTTCTCAGATGACGCTACTCTTAGCTTGCGAGTTTATCTTGGTACTTTCTTTCCGACCGCGGTCGATTCTACTGAAACGAAAGACATCCAACATCAAAAATATCCGACATCAAGTAGCTGTAATCACATAATATCTTCTGAAAGAGTACTTCTGGGAGAAAGTACAAGTACTCGGTGGCTTATTAGGGCTAGTCAAAATTACTGCTAGCGTAGGACTCAGCTAGCCCAAGCCAAATGGATGGATCCTCTTAGCTTTCTACTTGAGGCTTATACAATGACTGGCGCCATCGTCGGGTAAAAGAGACATCGAATAATAAAAGGTTTGTAACTCAAATTTATCGGGTATTCGAGTGATAGAGATATAATCATATAAAAGGAGGGGCTCTGCTCTCCCTGGAATTCATTTTATTATTCTTGACTCTTCTTGTGATAATGGCTGAAAAATCCCTGTCAATTTATACTCCATTGGAGGCACCTGTACCTCCTCCGCCTGATGCCTCATTCTTTTCTGATGCACAATGGAAAACTCTACTTTCTCTAGCTGATGCAGTCATACCAACCATTCGCACCTCTGCCAAGTCCAGCAATGTCAAAGTGATCTCAAACACTGATTGGGATTCTGCTGTTACAAAACTGACATCTTTGATGCCCAGGCCTGATGCTGCTGAGATTGCGACGAGGTATCTTGAAGAAGATGTTTCCTCCAATCCCATCTTCCGCGCGTATCTGGAACGAATCTTGGGACACTATGTGCATAACGAAGGAAGAAAGTCACTTGGGTGGATTATGAGTGCCCTCAAGTACGAACTATCCTCAGCCCTCCGAATTCACAGCTTGAACTAACATTGCCCCACAGCTCCCCGGCCGAATCACTCGCCCTAACCGGCTCCACAACTCCAATACACCAGCAACCTCTAGAATTTCGGGAGAAGGCATTTGCCAGTTGGGACACTTCTGACACGGAGGGTCTGCGTATGGTGTACAGAGCGTTGAATGGCCTTTTCAAGAAATGCTGGGTCATGGCGAGCCCGACTATCAACGACGTTATTGGTTTCCCACAAATCCCAGTCAACGTAAAGCCTGGCAATGGGTTTCCGTACAAATTCATCCAGATTCCACCTGGAGATGCCCCAGAGATCATCGAGACCGACGTTGTCGTGGTGGGGAGCGGCTGTGGAGGTGGAGTAGCTGCAAAGAATCTTGCCGAAGCTGGCCTTCGCGTGCTGGTGGTAGAAAAAGCCTACTCATACTCGTCGAAATACTTCCCCATGCAGCCAGCTTTGGCTGGTGTCAACATGTTGGAGAATGCTGGAGCTCTCACTAGTGATGATGGTACAACTATGGTCGTTGCGGGCTCCACCTTCGGAGGCGGTGGCACTGTGAACTGGTCGGCGTCCCTCCAGACCCAGGCATATGTTCGCCGGGAGTGGGCTGAAAAAGGCTTACCATTCTTTACCTCCTCTGAATTCCAAGGAAGTCTTGATCGAGTGTGCGAGCGTATGGGCGTTAACACTGATAAGATTCGACACAATTATGGAAACGGCAACGTGATTCTGGAGGGCGCACGTAAACTTGGTTATTCCGCTAGTCCAGTCCCACAAAACACCGGACATAGTGAGCACTCTTGCGGACATTGCACCAACGGGTGCGCGTCGAATGGGAAGAAAGGTCCTACCGAGTCATTCCTGGTCGATGCCGCGAAGGCTGGGGCGGTCTTCATGGAAGGATATCAGGTCGATAAGGTTTTGTTTGAAAGGAGAGGTGATAAGCAGATTGCAGTTGGCGTGGAAGGTATCTGGAGGTCCCGAGATTCGTACTTAGGACTTACAGACACTGGATCCACACAACGCAAGGTAATAATCAAGGCACAACGGGTCATCGTATCTGGTGGAGCACTGCAAAGCCCTCTACTTCTATTGCGCAGTGGCATAAAAAATAGACACATCGGTGAGCATCTACACCTACATCCCTGTATGGTGGGTGGTGCGGTGTTTGACGAAGAAACTCGTCCATGGGAAGGAGGCGCCTTGACGTCCGTGATCAGCGAGTTCGAAAACCAGGATGGACACGGGCATGGGGTGAAGATCGAGGCCCTATCGATGATGCCTTCATGGTTCCTCCCCATCTTCCCTTGGCGGAATGGGCTGGACTATAAGCTCTGGGCCGCTGGCATGGGTCACAGCACCAGCTTCATCACCCTGACAAGGGACCGTGACGCCGGACGAGTTTATGCAGACCCAGTCGATGGACGCGTCCGTGTCGAGTACACCGTCTCTCCATTTGACCGTCGACATATCCTCGAGGCAATGATTGCCTGCGCTAGGGTTGCGTGCGTCACAGGGGCCAAGGAGTTCCACACCGCCTATCGTGATCTGTCACCATGGATTCGACCGGACAGCACAGACGTTGATATTAATGATGCTTCGCTGCAAGACTGGATTGCAGACCTGCGCAGTAAATCACCTCTCAACCCGGAACGAACTCTCTTCGCCAGTGCACACCAGATGAGCACCTGTCGTATGGGAACGTCGCCCGAGTCGAGTGTGGTGGACCCCACTTGTCAAGTGTGGGACAGAGAAGGGCTGTACGTCCTTGATACATCTGTGTTCCCAAGTGCCAGCGGCGTGAATCCGATGGTCACCAATATGGCCATCGTCGACTGGGCTAGTCGTAATATTGCTCTAGGCATGAGCAAATGCGGCGATAAACATGCTGACATGGCACGCTTATGATAATATCGGGGTTTGCACACAATTCTCAACTTTTATTTCTAGTATTTCAGTTTAGCCAGAATCGACACAGTGCCGTAATCACCCAAATCTCACGTAGCCCTCAGCACTCACTCTATTTATTATGCACTCGCCCTGCTCATCCTTTTCTCACCCGGGTGACATAATCTTTAATATGTAGACAGCTACACTCTTCTAAATCATCTCAATAACTTGAAATCTGGAAACCGTGATATGATTTATTTTGAAGAGGATGATCACTGAGTTATACTACTTGAAAGCGAAAGAATACTTCCAAGATTAAATTGAAAAAGGAAGAAAGATAGCTTCTATTGTACGTTTTAGCAAGAAGTCGAATCAATCAATACTAAGCTGAAGACATCCATGGGATGAATATGCATTATCATAAGCCGGACTATACAATGTCTATTAGATAGTATCCGAGTGTTGATAAAGTTCAGAGAAATTTGTCGACGAATCGTGCTCTGAAGAACCGGATGTAGGATATCTGAAGAGTCAAGTAGCCTTCGGATCGACATTTGGTTGCCAGAGGGCCGTCGCTTTTGATGACCTTCTATGGCTATGACAACAGAAGTACAAACGGAGCTCCAAGGGCTGAGAGCAAGAGAAATGGCTCCCATTTGTCGAATAACTATTACGTACGCTATGCAAAAACAAAAAAAAAAAAAAAGAAAAGAAAGAAAAAGCCACCCTTCAGCGCAATAATGCTCGCACCCCTGCGGATATCTTGGTGTTATACGCCATCTATTGCTTGATCCACTTGTCGAATATTGAGATTGTCTAGAGCTTCTAAAGGTTCTGGTAACGATCTATGGGGCCAACAACGCTGGCACGCCACTTCAAGGCATCCATTGCTGTTGGCGACATATTTCCCTGGTCTAGTCTGCACTGGGTGGTATTCCTCGTCACCCCATTGTATTCAAAAAATTGTAACTCAAACAGGTCGAGGTTATCAACTGCTAGTTTCTCATGCACCATTAGTTCCTACTGCGTAAGGAATTGAGGTCTAAATTAATTTCCCCTCCGTGGGCAACCTCATTTCTATATTTATTTGAGGAGGCCAAGACCGAGGTGCGTTTAGCAACCCAATTTGGGTTGATAGCCCCCTGCACTGCGGCTTCTAGCTCCTTGGAGAATTCGGCTAGTGTCTTCTCCTCGGGTACGTTCTGTGAGCCTGGTGGTTTGGTTGGCAGGATAACAGGACCGATGTTGCCTAGGATCCTATCGTTGGTTCTGGAAGTGGGCCAGGGAGAGACCACTCCAGTCGTGAAAAACTTTCTCACAGATTATAAATGTGGCGCTCTTTTAAATGCGTTACTTCGTATTCGATTTAGTGTTCGGCCTTAAGCGTGGCTTGTTCAGCCTCCAGACATATGGGTCCTCTCTCATTACCGACAACGTTCATTGGCTCGTCGATTGTGATGTCCATGCTTGACATCTCTTCCATGCAGCCGTACTCAATTTTCATGCTGATAGATTCCTCGTACTTGATTTACACGGCGATTCTTGCTAGGCGTATTGGGGGTTTGTAAACGGTCTCTTTGTGGGAGTAGTGGGGAAACCTTTTGGTGGTGAGCGCACATTGGAATCATGTGAAGCAGACCGGAGATGCACTTGTGCCTGTGTTCTTTGAGATATGGTGGCATTGGTGGGGCATACGTTATCCGATGTTGGTGGGGTGTAACTTGGAAGACTCTGCAAGAGGTTGTAGAAGAGCCCACAGAATCAAACATGGAGCGGGTGTTGGTCCGACAATACCAAGGCTCGACCCAGACACAAGCAATGTACCAGTCGATATATCTGGTTCAAACTTTGATTCAATATCTAGACCGCAAGATGTGACAGCTAGGGATGCTGGATAAAAGCAAATATAAGCGGATCTGGAGTTCAGATGTGACTAGGTTTTGTTTCTAGGTAGAAACCCCGCGGATAGATGTGATAGGGGACATATGGGAACGATGCATATTGAGGTGGCATAGGCTACCACATTGCATCCACATGCATCTCGAAAGCTGGCAAGAGGTGAGCGGTAGAGATGAAGGGAGTAGACAGATATGGATGCTCGCCCAAATCGGGACAAATAGCTATTAACTATCATCATTCTCAATTCACCTTTCACTTTCACTTCACCACGAGAAGAAGACGTAGACAACGAAAGGGAGAAATATCTCTTAGTTAGTACAAGTTAGGGAGCAGAGATTTGAAAGAGATAAGATATTGTGACTGGAATCCTTTGAGATAAATGACAGACCCCAGCCGGTTTATTAACAATACATATTCTGGTACTAATTCTAATGAAACAAATTTGAGATTGCCAACTTTTAACTTGGTGTACGTTGATTCTGAGGCCTAGACGAGGCTTGCGATAGAGGCCAATGAAATACCTCAGTAACGAAATACTTGAAGCTCACTTTTCCCTGGAGTATAACTCCTTCCTATACGGAAGACCATTTCTTTGCAAACAACTACCAACCCAATACCAATCCTCCTAAAAAAAACCTCGGAGCATGCACGATGGGACCCTAGAGAACCGAAGGGAGCATGGTCCACAACCCCACAATTAGTAAGGTTGCAAAAAAGTCCTTTTCAGGCCCCCAACCCATCGCACACAAGGCAACAGGGTTGGTAAATAAAACAGGGGGGCATTGAGTATCACTGACCTGTGGAAGAAAAAAGGGAAGCGCCATCCCCACCAGAATGATCGGAATCGAATGATACCGACTCCTCCCACTTCCCCGAAAGAAAGTAAAAGAAGACAAGTACGCTGCGTATTGCACTAAAGTGTCATCACACACAATCTTCGCACAGACTCTCCCAAGGGGGTGTTAGCCCCGATGTTTCTGATGCCAAGTGCAGGTGTGTCGAACTGGTCACACCAGGCCCTCGCGGGCAGTACCGGCCCCAGCTTCCACAAGTGGAAGATGGAGCGGGTTGGGTTTTGAAGATTCCTCCGAATTTCTCATTTGCGATGGGTCTCGGGCAATGAAGCCCGAGGACAAAGACCGAAGTCCTTGCCGTGTGTAGCAAAGAAACGCAGCATTGGTGGGGTTGGCACTTGAGGAAAGAAAAAAAATGAAGAGGTGAGTCAATTAAATAGCTGCTGTGGATAATGTTTTGACCGCTTTCCTGAAACGGTGACCGCCTTTTTCGAAAACAGCAATATCGGTTAAAATAATACAGAGCTTCTGAAATCGATGACAATATTGTTAGTATTACTAACTAAATTCTTCAAAGGCTCGGAGAATGAATGGACGTCCGTCAATATCTATCCTCTCCCCTACAGTCTCCCAAGAATCCATTCCTTGAATTCCTCTCGCCATCGAGGGTAACGAACCACCGAATCGTCCGACAGCATATCGTTCCATCCACCCATCGCTCCATTCTTCCCTCCTAGCACTAACTACACCTCCGGTCTTAGTTACAAGCCACTCCCCAGATGGGCTTCTTTGTCGAACATGAGTCAAATCCTGTTGCAGCGCCAAAAAAGTACCCCAAATCCGACCCAAAAAGATCTTTCTCACCGTAACCTCGCCTTCTATTTCGCTTAGATCACCATCATCAGACTCTAGAACCCATGATATCCCCTTTTTAGTACCCTCTGGACTCTCTCGGAATGGGAGCTCCCGCCAAACTTCCTCGTACTCGGCCACAGGTGCACCGGGAAGATCATGGCGGGGCATTTCACCCGTCTCCAGATCATCGCCGTTCGGGAGGGTGACAAAAGTGCCACAGTCGACGCTTTCAAAAGCATTATGCGAGTCGAGCTCGTGTGTAAAGGCAACCCGAACTAAACAAGTATTAGTATTCATTTGTAGACTTGTTCCAGAGATACGAACGTGGCTCTTCGCTCTCAACAACCCTTTGGCCGGCAATGGCCCAGTCTATGTCATTTGTCTTCAGGTCTATTCGTAAATCGAGGTACCAGCCATTGACGGACATGACGATTGTATCTGTTGTTTCATGTGCCGGCTCTGGGAGCCATCGTAGAGAGATACGTGTTGAGAAGCGACATGACGTTGCAGTATCAGCACTAGACATGATGGTATGAATGCCAGTTGACCTGGCTCCTAAGGTATCAACCTTGAATTCTTCGATCTGTCAGATAGCGGCGGCTGGGGATTGGGAAATTGTAAGTGAACCTTTGAAGAGATATTGATCGCGGGGTCTTATCGTTCCCCTCACGCCCCGCATGTCGACTGGAATAATCATTTTGGTCCATGGTTCGTCCAACTGAGAGTACTCTATTGTTTTGCTGTTACTTTCCTAAAGTCTAGATACAAAGCATCGATATCTCGGCGACTTGGCAGAGGTAATGATTAATTTATCTAGACTACCTTAAACACCAGCTTACACTCTTGGCCCTTCGGACGAGCAGAAATAATTTGATCATCCAGCTTCATAGAACCACGCATATCCGGAGCAACAGTAGTCTCAAATCGAGAGTAAACCTCACGCAGAAGAATCCTCATTTCAATCAAGGCGAGACTGTTAAATTTCTTTTAGAGACCACTCGGATCTGATCTGCCCAGGTAGAAACTTACTTCTTCCCCATACATCCTCGACCTCCAATCGAAAAGGCAAAGAAATGTCTATTTCGCTCTTTGGAACCCTCAGCCTCTAGCCATCTATCAGGATAGAATCGATCCGGATCAGGGAATACATCCTTATGCAATCGATGAACTGTATAAGGCTGGCAGCTAACGATGGTATGAGCTGGAATAAAAATCTTATCAATTATCCGGCCTCCAAATGGAACGTAGCGTGGTAAAGACATCGCTATGGGTGGTGAGCAACGCAGGGCTTCTTTGATCACCGCATCAAGATAGACCAAACTGTCAAGAGACACATCGGTAGGTGAAGTTATCAGCTCATGGTGAAGCCGGCGCTGAAACTCCAAGTTATGAGGCTGTGACAGCTCCCACATCATAAAACAGAGACCATCGCCGGTCGTACCAGTTCCTGCAGCCATATGATCCTTACACTCGGCAGCGGCTTGAAGAGAGTCTAGGCCGGTGTCTTTTCGATTGAGCTTCTCAAGGAGCGTAAAGTCATCTAGGTTTGATTTATTTACCATATCCAACGCATATTGGTTTGCTTGAGGAGTACTGCATGCGTTGGAACTGCTGGGAAAGTATGGCTCTAATAGCGGTAAATAGTACGCTAAGAGACTTTCTGTTCAAGTCTTTAGAAGATTGTTCTTCAATATGGGAATCAGGGGGTAGTACCGTGTAGGCTCTGGTGGTAAGTAAGTTCTTTCATCAGCTCAAAGTCCTTCGTATTATCGAGAGAATTGAGTCCACCCGGACTAAAAATGAAGTGAGTAATACAATCAAGAGCGTAGCAGTGAAGGAGCACCTATTCTTGAAATTAGCAAAAGCCTTACTCCGTAGGGACATGCGAAGTCCTTTCAATCGTACATAGACATCGACACTTTTCTTGTTTGGTCCATCACACCTAGCTACAAATTCCATAGCCCGCTCTTGGATAACAGCCAATGATTTGGCTTTCATGATATTAGACATTGCATATCGCTCCGCAAAGATGCGCTTCCTCTTAGTATGCTACATCCGTAGATGACAATTAGCAATAAAGAAATTTAGATCTGCACCCTAAGAAGTATACCTCGTCTTTGAAGAGTGTAGAAAACATAGCTCTTTTCTTGTAAGCCATAAAGTCATCGCTATGCCTAGGTTCCTCTTACCTGGTCTTGAATTGTTTAAAGAGGCTATAGAGCTCTGTTTTGTCATAACCACTTCCTCCAGAAGCGTAAATCTCCTTCATTGCGCCGAGGCTTGTAAAAGACACTTCATTTGGTCCTAGCCGAACCACAGGGCCATACAACTGGTGAAGCAGATGTATCGATTCTCGGCGGTTGGAGCTAAACTCTTGATATTTGATCCATAAACTCGTGAAACGAGTGTACCACGGGCCTGGAAGTTGGGATAAAGGTGATACTAATCCTCTAACGAGGATGTAACTCAGTAGGATGATAGTACCGGCCCAAAGTGATAGCATTTTTTGTGTAGATATCGTTAGATATTCAGAATAGAAGGTCAAGATTCAATTTCCAAGGTTATTTATCAATATTTCAGACTGCCGAGGTGCCCATGTGTCACAGGTTCACCTTAGGACTTAACCATTATCGGTTGGAGATGTGGAGCGAGGAGGGCTGGGGCTAGACGACCAAAAAGGAAGCCGGAAGAGACATTTTATCTCCATATCGCGTTGTGTATACTCCGAAGATAAATATAGAAGTTCACACTACTACTTGTATTCCATAGCTGAAATGTTGTTTAGTCTTTCCCAGTGATTATTTTCCAAATTTCCTCGTATTACCAATAACCTAGGTAATCCAGTCGAAATCACAATAGAGGAGCTTCGGTTCAACTCGACCTCCAAGGCCGTCATCTTCACTTACAACCTTCCAAGGTTGGAAGGCTCTACTGAAGACTTCCTAATAACCATCTTGCAAAACCAAATACTTAATTAAGACCTTGATGCTATCCATAGAAAGTTTAGTGGATAAACTATCTTCGAATGAGAGTGGCGATGCTGAGAAATTCAACCTTGGGATCCCTCTTCTCCGGTCATGTTCGATGTGTTTTGAACCGGCCCTGGGGATCAACTGTCTTCTCAAAACCTACCTAGCGATATAGTCTGGGTTGGTCTCTTCTTCAATCTTCTGACTATCGTTTATATCTGGATATGTGTGAATTTTGGATTGGAGAAATCAAGGGGTATTCACGGCCTGAGAAAATGAATGATATGTAAGATACCTGATTTATTTAATGGCGAAAGAAGAAAGACAACCTTGGAAGCTGTTCAACTATATATGATTGAAGGTCAGGTGATATGGATAAACTCAAGAGAAACTGAAAAATATTTGAATACATCATATTGCTAATGCCTCTATCAGGAAATATATATCAAACGACTGAATGCCTATCTATTTGAGATTGCTCTTGAACTTAATCTCAAAACAACCTTGGAAATATATAGATTTCAAAGCACAAGAAGCTCTTGAAGAGTTATCCCACGAGTTTGAAAACCAACTTCTTCGAACTGATGAGATATTAAAGAAGAGTCCTGAAATCGACTTGTGAGAAATGGAAACAGTACTACACGAAAAGTCCTCACAGTAGCTGTCGGAACATGGATATTGCAATCGTGCAATACCATAAACCCGGAACGGAACAAACAGACCCCCGAGTCACGGGGGAAACGACTATATTAGGAACTCAAGTAGCCACATGAATCGAACACATTTCACACCACTTTGCACAACGTATATACTAAGAACCTAGGACGAACCATATCCTTTTCCAGTGTATATAGTGCAACGTGTGAACCCTGTCCTTTCAACGTAGTTGATCGACAGTAGCCCAATGAATCAGCTCTCGACCTCAGAATTGTGTCTAGTTGATCGACACCTATAACCTGTGCAGTGATCTCTAGTCACCGATCATGGTAGCCTGCACGTATGCACCCGCCCAGCCGAGGGCAATGATGTAATGTTTCAAAGCCTGTGTCTCCTTTGTCGATGCACACCTTCTCACCACATGGGAAAATCTAGATATGGTAACGGATTGACGGATTGAATCCGTCAATCTGTCAATCCGTTATCATCCCTATCCGAAAATCGTTGTGATCACTATCGAACTCTACCATTCAGTGGGTGCAACATCGGCTTGTCACAAGCAGCACCGAGGGTTTAACCTCGATCTCAAACGCGGGCGAAGTCATGAGGTCAATCCCCAACATGTGCGTTGTCTTGGATGATCGGCTCTGTGACTAGATCCCCAGGATATGCCTATTATTTGCGATGCCTTTGAACCTCGAAAATTTCTCTTTTGCAGTAGAAAAATGGTTGTCAGGCTTTGGTCGGAGGACTTAAAGTCGGCCACTTCTGTCAGGGTTCGCACAGCCAAATCTGCCCATTGTGACGGAAGCTCAACCTTGAGTTCTTGCGAGACCGAACAGCCGTTCGATTCTACTTCAATAGCTTCCTAATCAGAATCGGATTTTTGGATACGATGAAGCTAGCCTCCAGATGGAAATGTTGCAGCTGAATACGACCCCCATTATGAATTCATAAACCAGAACATGCCATCGATCAGAGTTACTCCAGGCCATCTCGCCATGATATTTGGACTGATAGAGGAAGATGTGCCCAGGTGGTAAAAGAGTATCAAAAGTGGAAAACCACAGCAATATGCAAGTCAATGGATTGGTATAAGATCCATGCCTCTGCGACTGTCCATACGCTCTATATTGGCTTTGTGCTTTTTGAAATGAGCTAGTAGACTTACTAGATTGCATATGTGCCTCTCGGTCAACTCTATCTACCCCGGGCCGGTATTTGTAGATCAATCAACCATGTCCCGTTATGAGCTTGTACTCATAAATAGAGTCAAGGCTTTTTATCCCCTAACAGATATGATACTTTGCACTTGGCACATTCATAAGTATCAGAGCTAAGGCTGATTCACCAAAGCATCCATGTCTCCCTTAAACTTCCAAGATTTAAACGCGATTCTAGAGAAGGTCATCTGCACTCCAAATTCTATATATAATGACTTTTTTGCTCTTTCTAAACCTGTGGCGAACGAGAACCATACGAGATGCTACTTTCAGAAGAAAATGAACACCCGAGTGTCTAGACAAGCAGACCGCTCGGGATGAATTTGAATAAGAACAAAAATAATGAGATAAAACACTTATATCCCCTTCTATTATGGGAACATATTGCTGAACAGTTTTTTAAAAAAAGAATTTCATCGCCTCAATAAGGCATTAGGCTTCCCCCACTGCCTAGGAATCATAGGGGCATCGTTTTGCATTTCCTTCACAAGGTCATGTCATTTACTCCTCGTCACCGATCTTAGGGGCCAGGTAGAACCGCAAGTGGCCGCTTCCCAGACCGTACTCAACAAGGAGAGGCACCTCATCAGACAGGTGCAGTGTTACCTTGCTGGAAAGGTTGGAGGCCTTGCAGAAGTTGACGAGGTATTTGAGAGAGAATGTCAGAACGACGGGTTCAGACAGAGCAATGGTGACGTTCTGATCAGGCTTGTCGACGTTGGTATGCTGGCGGACGGTAACGGAGCCGTTACCAATGTCACCGGAGCAGGAGAACTTGACACCCTCCTTGCTGGCCTCAATAACAACTGAAGGAGATTGATTAGCACTTTTCTCTGATAGCCAAATTAAGAGGTTAATTGACTTACCGGATTCAGAAAGAGCATTGAGGTCTCGGCAGATACGCTGGAATTCCATAGAGGGCATCTCGATAGTAGCGTGGTACTCAGTCTCGGGAATGGCCAGGTGCTCCTGGTCGATATCCATGAGCTTGATATCATATTCACTGAGGCGGTCGGTATCTGGGCTCTCGAAGACCAGGTTCACAGCGTCGGGAGAGTCATCCGCCTTCAGAGTCAGAATATCTTCGTTCTGTGCGGCGCGGAGAACCTTGGTCAGAGAGTTCAAGTTGATGCCGAGAGCAAGGTTGCGGTCACAGCGGTATGGGGAGAAGCCCTCTGCACGGAGGAGCATGGAAACCAGAGCAACGTGGGAGTTATCCATGGCCTGGAGGGCGATACCGGAGTCATTGCAGTCGAAGTTGCAATCTTGGACAAGGTCCTTGACAGCGTCGACAACCTGAGGAAATCGCGAGTTAGAGCCTCATTTAAAAGTGTAATATTATCCGTCTGATTTTCTTACCTTCTTCAGGAGACTAGCCTGTTCCAAACGTGCCTCAAGCACTATTGTATTGCGTTAATTGACATTCGCACACACACGGAGGCGGGGGTCAGTGAACTTACTGGTGATTGTGGGTGGGGGTTTTTCTTAAAAGAGAGGAATGTGATATAAGGGAAATGAATAGAATTGGAGAGGAGATGAGTGACTTGAAAGTTGGCTTAATGGGAGGTAGAGATGAGGGGGAATATGTAGAGTATGAAAATCAAAAGAGGCGGGTCTGAGGTGAATTTACGCGTTCCGAGGATTAGTGGGTCGACGCGTGAAGGCGATTCCATCTATCCTTTTCTGGTTAGTTCAGTGCCTTACCTACAAGGTGTCACTTTCACGCGTAGATCTGATTTTAGGCTTAATTTGTGAATTCTTCTTGTATAGATTTATAATCTAGAATGAAATAGCAAGGTTCAATGAACCACAAATATTAACAAGCAAAGGAATCACAGAAGATGGACGTGTGGATGCGCCAGATGAAGGCTGTAAGGAGAGAGAGTCAATACAGGGAATGAACAAGAAGGGAATGAACAAGAAGGAAAAATATAGATAAGAGGCCAAAGATAACAATAAGCAAAACGCCGGGTCCTTCTATATGCAAATGACGGGTATCGTGAATGGTTTTCCGAAGCTGGCTATAGCTATGCTCTGAGCGAAAAGGCGAAAAGAGAGGACGAAGGGTATCTTCAGCGTCAAAACTGCCAAGCAAACATCCAATTAGATGCTTGTGACTCGTTTTGAATGAGGGTTTCGAGGGCGTTGTTTGATGACCATCTCAAGTTCTTTGAGCATGTTCGTGTTAGCATCCGCTTTTTCCCGAGTAGCGGCTTGCCGAATACGATCTTCTCGTACACGTGCTAGTCGTTCGTCTCGGGTTAAAGACGCTCTCTTATTTCTGGAGGCTGGAAGCACAACAGCTTCAAATACTTCTTCGTCGTCGAAACTGTGAATCAGGTCGGGACGAAGGTCGCCATTCAGGGCTTTAAGGGCATCGGTAGGACTGCCTTCGACTGCCGTGATACCCCCTAGGCTAGAAGTGGGTGACAGTGGCTGTATCGCACTCGATGGTCGCGAATTGATAGTACTGAGGCGGTCCTGTCTGTTCAGAATAGCAGTCTTACCTTCTTCCCATTCTTGGAGAAGGGCTTTGATATCGTTGCCAATAAGTTCATATTGTGTAGGAAGAGATCCTTCAAAGTCGCTGGAGTCTGCGCGTTCAAGGTGGGAATTTGTCTCCTCGCTGATAAGATGCATTTTGGCATGCAAGGCACGCACTCCTTGGGACAAAGAGTTGAGCCTCCGAAATTGCGCGCGAAGGTGGTCCTTACTTGGGGAGGCTGAAGGGAGTGGTGACGGAGGGATGATATTCCCTACGGAAATCAGATATGGTTATTGGCATGAGACAAAGCCGGGGAGCACTTACGATCTTCCTCATTCAGGATGTTTGCCATTCTATTCATGCTGGTTCCAGTCACTTCAGCAAGCTGGCGCATTTCTTCGACCGCGGCGCTCCATCGCGTAACATCTGAGCCACTTCCATCGGCGCGGAGTGCAAGTAAGCAGCATAAAACGCTCTTCCGCACGCTGTACAATTTCCCGAAGAGATCCCGTAAAGAACGCAGAGAGTACTGATCTTCCATGCTCCGCCGCGATAATGCTACTTCGATCGCTTCAAGGTCTTCGAGAGCAATGTCGTAAATATCGTAGTATTTTTCCAAATTTGCAGTGTTAGTGAGCGGGCGAAGGGTGTTTTGAGACTGAATGTAGCGTTCCAGCATTGACCAAAAAGAATCGGATACCGCGCGGCGGAGCCTCAGACAACGCCGAGTTTGTACCTGATCCTCAAGTCGACTGATAGGAGGTAGAGGGGTACTTCTATATGATTTTGTCAGTATATAACTTTGAATCTGACGCAAGTGAGTAATCTCACATCCGATATCCTCTGGACACAAGTTCCACCTCCTGTATAAATACCACAGAAGCCGATGCAGCAGAATCAAATCTCTGGGCATTCCCAATAAAAGTGCAGGCTGCATCTACTGCCTGGTGTCGTAAGTATTTCAACCATTGTCTCTTTGCGAAAGCATAGAAAAATATGCCAAGTATGGGGACGAGCACCAGAATAACTCCGACTTTTTTCAAGTTGAGCCCAGACCCTGTCTTTGACCTGCTCCAGTGTAATAACCAAGCAATTGAGAACGACGTAGTGAATGTGACTATAGCACCGTAGAGTCCAAAAGTTGTAGATAGGGATGGGAGGTCTGCTGTTTGCGAAGCTGTCACGACGTCGGCGGCTGATGTATAGGATGGTGCGCTGTGCTCGTTCAGTAGTTGAGAGGCGACGATGACGTAGCCAAATTGCTCTAAAAATCGTTCATTGTCGCCGCGTCCGATCCGTGCGTTCATAGCAGACTGATGAATAGCAAGTTTAGAAAGGGATTCAAATCATAGCGCGAGGAGCCATACCGAGCAAGCATTGTAGATTTTTTCGACTACCGCACCATGTCGCGAAGTGTTTAACTCAAGAGGCTTTGGTAGCTTGTTCCGGACGCGTTCCTGGAAGCGAGAAACTCCCCGGGGGGCGAAATTTGAGGACAGAATATCATCTTCATCTGTGTTGTGTATCTCCTCCACGGGCCAGCTTTCCTCGTTGCTGCCTTCTCCTAGAAGCAGATCGGTAAGTAGGTAGTTTGGGCAGTGAAAGGACGGGTTACGAACCCTCGAGATAGTCGGCCAAAGGCGAATTCTCATACACGACTGATTCCATGTCCGACAATCATTCCGCAGTGATGCGAGGAGCGGAGGGCGGGTTACAAGACTGCGATAGAATTGTGGAAATGGGTTAGGAGGCAAGGCGCGCGCCTAGGGGCATGTCGCAGATAAAGCCAGTTCGTCAATAGGTGTTCAAGCTTTAATTAAAGACAGCTTGAAACAAAGGTAAAAGTGTAGGTAAGTTGCTCTGGGGAAAGGAGAGTCACGAGTGTCTAATTTGCGGATGAGTGGATCACTTGCCTCCTTTTAGGGATCACTCCGAGTCGGCACGGGACTAGGCCGTGATGTAGCACATGGACTTTGCTCTACCTATTTACAACTTCAATTTCGTATTCCAGTATTCTTAATTCTCAAGTTTCAAGGCTAAATACGCTGTAATATAGGCTCCTAGGCTCCTAGGCTCCTAGCCGCTACTAAAGTGCTATATTATGTCAAATATTGACGAGGTTACCATTTTTCGCAGCCAACGACCTCAATATTCAAATATCCCTCTTCGATTTCTTCCCTTGACACAAATTCCAGGCAAAAGTTGCAAGAATTTTACAAGTTACACATCCTTCCATTTAAGATACCTCTATATCTTCCTTACAGAAACAAGCATAGTTGAAGAAGCGAGATTACCAAGTATAAAAATAGAAGATCATGTGACTTCGTCCCACTCTCTGATTAGATAATCATATGTTGCTCTTGACAACGGCATATGTCAATAGCCCTGGTGTTATCAGCTATTATCATTAAAACGCCTGTGCATTGAATTACGACCGCGGCATCATTAACTAATTTCAAGGATTCAAGCGACGTGATTTGTATCAGCCAAACATCAGTGACTTTTTAAATCACACTGCAGAGATTTTCCCACAGCCTTTTAACCCATCCATCCTCCATTTCTAACAACCTCATCCGCTACCGTTCAAACGCTTCAATGAACATTATGTCTGCAAATTTCAATAAACCAGAACCCCCTGATACCCCATGCCCATCTATTTGGATCAAATCCGAGATTATCGACAGCTTCATTGCTGGCTTTCCCGAGTCAACTGGGCAGATCGATCTCACTGCTGAAGTACAGATCCCAACTTTAGCCGAAAGTGAACCTATTTCTTCCTGGTTCAACGCCTACCAAGAGTTTTTGGCTAGCCTTGCTGAAAAGCGGCGACGACCCAACGAACTTGTTCCGCTGCCTTCTGGCCGAAAAGTCGCACATTTTAACCCTACTGAAATCTCACCAAGTCCAACACCAAAACTCATGAAAGCATATGTTAAAATCAATTCAAAGCCCGAATGGTACAACACAAACCCCAAGGACCCCAAAAAGCCTTTTTACAAATTCGGTAAAGCACCATTGCAGCCCAGCACTCCTGTCACGCCGCTACCCACAGTCCATGTTGACATCCCCGGAAAAGGGCCAGGAAAAGAAAACATTCCTCCTGGTGGGAAACGCCCTAAGGATATTGACAATGTATCATTGCCAAAATTCGGACCATTGACAACCACATCGCTGAATGTTCGGGTGGGAAAGCCTCGTTAACAGATGTAGGCTTCTAAGACTAGTATGCTACTCTATTGAACTGTTCCAATCCAGGGGGAAAGTGTGCTTTGATTTACTTTATCAACCAGTAAAACGAGCCTATGGTCTTGAAACAATTTAACATGGCCGGCCATATTCTTTAATGCATTATATTAAAAGCTCAAGGGCTTGGAACCTTCTATTTCTGGTGTGTAATCCCAACCATCCCAAACTCCTTGGATATCATGATTTCTCCCTGCAGCTCCAGCCCTTGGCCAATAGTAAGGTCTGAAGGTGTCGATGTCTGGCGAATGTTGAAGTTCAAGGTGTTGCTGATATTGATGTTTTTGTTCTGGCGCTGATATTGAAGTCATGTTGTCGGTTTGCTTGTCGCTATGCTTATCATGTATGTATGCTTGCTGCTATAGGCCGCTGTGGGCTGCTGTACTATCTTCAGAAGCGAGGGCCTCCACCATGATGAGGTGGGCCGCCTGGACCCCCAAAGCCTCCTGGACCCCCTGGGCCGCCATGATGAGGCGGACCACCTGGACCACCTGGACCCCCAAAGTCACCGTGATGAGGTGGGCCTCCTGGACCTCCCGGGCCACCAAAGCCACCAGGAGGACCACCATAGCCTCCGGGAGGGCCTCCTGGACCCCCTGGGCCGCCGTGATGAGGTGGGCCTCCTGGACCTCCCGGACCACCGAAGCCACCGGGGCCATCAGGACCTCTTGGTCCACCAAAGCCGCCGGGAGGACCACCAGGTCCCCCTGGCCCCCCTGGACCACCGTGATGAGGTGGGCCTCCTGGACCTCCCAGGCCACCAAAACCACCGGGAGGACCACCTGGACCCCCTGGGCCGCCGTGATGAGGTGGGCCTCCTGGACCTCCTGGACCTCCGGGGCCTCCAAAGCCTCCGGGGCCATTAGGACCCCCTGGGCCTCCGGGACCGGGAGGGGGGCCGTGATGATGATGGAAAAGACCCATTGTTATATGTGATATGTAGGAATAGACCGAAGACTGAAACGGCCAAGTTGGAAGTTGGAATTTGGATTGTGATTGTGGTTGAGATTGAGATTGAGATTGAGATTTATAGCTAAGGAACTTTCAGCTGCGAGGCGGCTGGGGTCTTTATATTGGGATGTGGAGCAAGAATTACATCTCGAAACTTGGAGTGGAGTCGTGGCCCGTTGACAATTGATGCATGATCGTCATAGCCCTATGATATCTGTTCCTCGGTGTGGCGTCAAATAAGTAGCGGCTCCGCTAGGCTATCATACAACTAGCATTGCGCCATTGTCAAAGGATTACTTGATTGAAACTACCTAGGTATATATATCTGATTGGTTCCAAGGTGCGTCACATCTTAATCTGATATCAAATCAAATCAAGCCCTCTAAATTGAGTCAAAGTGTGTACGTACAGGGTACACAGAAGGCATAGCTAGCCGTAGTACCCGGTACCGGCTACGGAGCAGTTTAGGGCTATGCTGTATCCACTGTGGCTAAACTTGGGTCAGTGACGCGTCCAGGTCCTGAACGTCCTTGGCGGATGAATACAGTTAGTCAGAAGCTATGTCTAGATATGATTCAAAGTGTTCATAATCTTATAAAATTAACCCTCGGGTACCAGTCAAGTAAGCCTAGTAAGCCGGCTAAATATACGGCTCTCACCTGTAAATAGTAGCTCTATAAAGTTCCAAGGTTATATTCCAGCATGTAACTTACCCTGTCCTTTAACATTGAAGTCAACATACTCGGAGGACTTTTGAGGGCCAATTATATTTGAACTCTACTTTTATGCTGATTGAATCTTATGGCTCAGCAGAAGGTCGTAACTAACTAACTAATTACTAACTGGGTGATAAATATATCCCAAATTTGAGTGCAGATGTGGACTGCAAGATACCTATCCCAGAAGATCTGGGTTTGCGACCACGATTCCTTTTTAAAGAATAAATGCTTCAGGTAATATCATCTAACTACAGTTTCTCAGGCTTGCTTTACCTTGCTTATGGCGGGACTAGGTAGCAGAAGACTTCCAAGTAACCTTGGAAAGGTCACACCTGATGGACTTTTTGAATACATTCTCAGATATTTTTCTTACAGGATTTTAGAGTCGGGCTCAATCAGAACAACTTTAATTGAAATAATTGTCCAACCTTGAAAGTAATGGAGTACACACTATGTCAAGCTTGTTACAAATAGTATGGGCTGCATGCACTAGTTTCACCAGTAGCATTTGACATTTGATGGTAGCTGAGTAACTAATCCAAGATCTCGGGACATCAGAGCATAATAGAGGATCACTAGCTAGGTTTCCAAGGATTGAAGCAAGTAGTATAATCCCGCAGGGGTTTATACAAGGTATACCTGCGCCACACCTGCGCCATATAAAGCCACATCTTGATCCACAGCGGTGTGTCATAGCAGAAATCGCCGAAGACGAGGTTCTACACGTCCGTACTTTCTTCCTACTTCCAGTCCCTTCAATATTCACGATGGAGCAAGACGTTGGTTTCATTGCTGCTGTAGAGGAAGCCAGGAAGGGCTATGCCGAAGGCGGCGTGCCAATTGGAGCTGCTCTTGTGGCTAAAGACGGTACTATTCTTGGCCGTGGTCATAACATGCGTTTCCAGAAGGGTAGTGCTATACTTCATGTGAGTAAATTTTCTTATTGCTGAATTGAATACTAGACTGATGCAAATCGTATTTGGTAGGCCGAAATGTCTGCTCTCGAAAACGCCGGGCGTCTCCCAGCCTCGGCCTTGGAGGGTGCTACCATGTACACTACTCTGTCGCCCTGCGATATGTGTACTGGTGCATGCTTGCTCTTTAACGTGAAACGAGTCGTGATTGGCGAGAATAAGACCTTCGTTGGCGGAGAGGAGCAATTGCGCAACCGCGGCGTAGACCTCACTGTGTTAGATTCACGAGAGTGCAAGGATTTGATGGCTAAGTTCATTAAGGAGAAGCCGGAGCTCTGGTAAGTTAATGATTTTTCATACATTTAATTTGCAATTAAGTGGGATATTGGCAAATTTAAAGTGATGCTGATTAAATGCTTATGAAGGAACGAGGACATCTCTGTCTAAACCCATAGTGGTACGGATTGGCCCATCACATGACCACATAGTTGAGGATTCCATCCAGTACATACTGTGTACAGAATACTTTGTAAATATTCCTTCGATTTATTCATTTGACAAGATTTGAATGACTACCTATCAATCAAATTCATTTTACTGGAATAATCCCAATTTCACCTATAGAGTAAGAGTCTGATGAAAAGGTTGGATTGATTACGTGGCGGTGGCAATATTATGGCCTTGGGTGCCTGAATGCGCCTTCTACTTTCACGTGATTTGAAAGTTTGTAGAACACCAAAGAATCAGATCGAAACTTATCGAAAATCATCGAAACACGCTCAGGCCTAGCTACCTGATTCATTTTCTATTATACAGTAAGTCTTTCTTTCCCTAAAGGCAAAAGCGGCCGTATTTACCTAGGTACGGAGCCTGTATTACTCAGCTCTTTTTTCTTATCCCCTCTCATCACCCACTTCACAGATACGCCAAAAACTTTGCTCCTTACCATACTCTCCTGTCGCCTTCCTCATTCTAAACGACATTATGGTCAAAGAAACCAAGTACTATGATTTCTTGGGGGTGAGTCATCAGATGAATCAAAGAGACAGAAAAAAAAAAACCTCTGGCTGACATTGTCCTTTTTTGAATATAGGTTTCCCCAGACGCGACTGAGCAGCAGTTAAAGTCTGCATACAAGAAGGGCGCTTTGAAGCACCACCCAGGTACATATTTCCAGAAGACTTGGCTTACTTTCGGATGTATCATTAACACGACTGGACTACAGATAAGAACAAGAACAACCCCGAGGCTGAAGAAAGATTCAAGGAAATCTCCCACGCTTATGAGACTTTGTCCGACTCCCAAAAACGTGCAATTTACGACCAATATGGTGAAGAGGGTTTGGAGGGCGGCGGCGGCGGTGGTGGTGCTGGTATGAATGCCGAGGACCTTTTCTCACAGTTCTTCGGCGGCGGCGGTGGTGGTTTCGGTGGAATGTTCGGTGGCGGCATGCGTGATCAGGGCCCCAAGAAGGCTCGCACTATTCACCACGTGCACAAGGTCAATTTGGAGGACATTTACCGTGGCAAGGTCTCAAAATTGGCGCTCCAAAAGTCCGTTATCTGTTCCGGCTGTGATGGCCGCGGTGGTAAGGAGGGTGCTGTTAAGGAGTGTACCGGCTGCCATGGTACCGGTATGAAGACCATGATGCGCCAGATGGGTCCCATGATCCAGCGCTTCCAGACTGTCTGCCCTGACTGCAATGGTGAGGGTGAGAATATCAAGGACAAGGACCGTTGCAAGAAGTGCAGCGGTAAGAAGACTGTTGTTGAGCGCAAGGTGTTGCACGTCCACGTCGACAAAGGTGTGCGCGATGGCCACAAGATCGAGTTCCGTGGTGAGGGTGACCAGATGCCTGGTGCCCTCCCCGGTGACGTTGTTTTTGAGATCGAACAGAAGCCCCATGACCGCTTCCAGCGTAAGAACGATGATCTTTTCTACCAGGCCGAGATCGACCTTCTGACCGCACTCGCCGGCGGTGCCATCCACATTGAGCACCTTGACGAGCGGTGGTTGACTGTCAACATCGCCCCCGGCGAGGTTATTACTCCTGGTATGTTTCGAAGTTACCCCTTTCAGTTTTATTTTTCTTTTGCTAATAGCTGTTTTCCCGCTAGGTTCTATTAAGACTATTACCGGCCAGGGTATGCCCTCATTCCGCCACCACGATCACGGCAACCTTTACATCAAGTTCGATGTCAAGTTCCCTAAGGGAGAGGAGCTGAAGAACCTCGAGCTCCTCGAGAAGGTCCTCCCTCCTCGCTTGCAGCAGAACCAGCCCCCGGCTGATGCCATGGTTGATGACTTCGAACTGGAGACTATCGACACTAACGAAAACTCCCAAGCCCGCGCTCACGGCGGTGCCGTTGATGAGGATGACGATGATGTGCCTGCCGGTGCTGAGCGTGTGCAGTGTGCCTCGCAGTAAATGAGTGACCTATCGATCAACGATCAGAAGGTGAAGCACTGGGCCTTTGATGAAACCTTGCTTATGATACCAATGAGAATGGGGGAGGCCTGGTTATTTTGATAACCGATGTCGGGCCGGTTTTTCTTTTCTTAATCAAGTCATGCGGAAATCACTTGACTTTAACGTTGGCGTTCGCTCTGAAGACTTGGAGTCAACTATACCATGAGTCTCCCTGTCTCTCTCAATCACGCCCCCTCGGGGATTTCCTCTTCATTTCCATCTGTAAACCTTCATGTTCTCGAGCCTGCTAACAACTTCCACGGCGACACGGGCTAGTCACTTTGATTAGGGCACGAGGTATCACAGTGCTAAAGTGGAACTTGAAACATGATCATTGCTTTCCTTCTGTCATCCCTATGCACTATTGACCTCGAGGCTTTAGCTGACCATGATGGCTTCTTATGTCGTTTTCTTTTTTTTATTGCATGCGCTCATGAGGACTCTGAATAGACATTGCGTGGTTTTGAATGGAATGCTGAGAGCATTCATATCCTTCATTGACTGAATGTTTTCCTGCGCTGTGTAGATCGAAAATGCCCCAGGCTTGTAGCAATGAGTAAACCCCTTCCACGTGCTGTGTACATGTAGTCAGTATCAAGGATAAATGTTAGTATGTTGAATGCGTGGAAAACCCCACGGCGTCATGGTTGCTAGTTATTTTTCTGTACGCAAAAATTGAATAAGTGAAGACTGATATATCAAGTTATCATTCTGGTATGCAGATGGGCGAATCAACAAATGCCAAGATTATTGATAATATGACACATCACGTGACGTGGGTTGTCTTATTTCATCTAGAATACGATTGGCCTCTTGCTCTAAGCTTCTTCTGGAATCTCGAGTTACTTCCATCTTGGCAGACGAAGCGATTGATATTGAAAATATAGAATTCCCAATTCAGTGGATTGATTCACAGCTGAGGACTTTCAAACCTGGAGCTCCGATGATTATAAGTGACCTGACACACTTGACCATGAGTTAAGAAATCGGAGAAATATAAGCAAGGGTCCGCGACTATGAACAGCCGATTGCGCCCTAATACTATGTACTTTATCAGTGCAGGCATGTTGTACCGAAAACAGGGCATCGGATCTATATTCCCCTTACAACTGATCCGTGGCGAGATTGCGCATCGATGAGAGACGAATAACATCAAATTAAGCCGAAGGCGAGCATGGTTGATGCAGGATTTAACATTCGTATACTCCAGATTCCATACGAGAAGTATACGGATGCAGAAATGGAGAACTCTAGACCTTACAGCTATGATAGAATCAGTACCTCGTGTAGGAAGAATGTGGTGTGGCAAAGGGTCTGTGTCAAACATTTGAACCGAGCATGGCAATTTTAAAGTTGTGGGCCCGCGTTAGGCGTGGATGTCGTGCCCAGGTGATTTAGATCTTGACCGAACTCCATACCCGAGACTAAAATTTCCATTATTTCGCCACGGACACTAGGCCTACACTAGAGGCCTACGAGTTGACATAATCTATGTGTCAGCTCATCACTTTGAAACTCGAGTTACATCCTGCGACGTCGATTCTAGACCCAAAAATAGTTCGGGGCCGAGTACTTTGGTACGTCTTACAGAGTTGCCCGTTGCCTTAAGGACCCGAGCAGAGCGTGCATGAATTTAAATTCCACTGAGGGGTCTCTGCAGGGGTTATACTGCGTAGTTGTTGGACGGAGGGTTTACCTAGTTAGGTAAGGACTGTATATAGTATGGTTCTAAAGTCCACTACAAGACGGAAGGAGTATATTAGTGTGAAGTTAGATTAGATACCATGGACGTACGGAGTAGCCCTAGATCAGGATAATGGATCTGGATAAAGTCAGGGATCAACCCTGGGGTATACTTTGAAGTCAAGTCCCAAGGAACTGAAAACGAACTAAGCGAAAACAAGCGAAAACAAGCGAAAACAAGCGAAAACAAGCGAAAACAAGAGAATTTGGCAAAGCAGGAAAGAGAAGACAGGTTCGTTTTAAGCAAATAACGACGAGAAGTGGGTAAATTGCACCATCGAAGTTGATTGTGATTGATTGGTTTGACCCCATCATTGAGACTTGGCGATTATATAATACTTCTTCATATGTAACTACAGCGTATTACTTCAACGTAGAATAATATCATGAACGAGAAAAGTGGGATAAAAGTGTTAGGAAATTATAATCAATTAAACGTGGTATATCAAGATAAATCGCATCAGCTTCATACTTAGTTCAAAGTAGCGTTATAATTGCCATAGTCAATCTCATCTCAAAGTGCTTACGACTGCCTTTCCGTCATCTAGCTCTCAGGTTCCACCTGGCTTCTCTGGATCAAGAAACGGGACATCCATGTCTTTCTTTTAACTCCTGTAATCCTCCTCCTCAAAATATATCTCTTTCCTTCTTTCATTCTCAGCCCTAGACATAATCCAGCTTTGTGGCGTCGAAAAAAAGTTTACAAGGGAGCTTAGATATTACGCCATATCATCCCGGATCACGTCCTACTCCACCTTCTCATCTTAATTCTTTTTTTTATTCTTTTCTTTTTCTTTTTTTTTAATGGTGACTATCAGGATGCAGAGCGCGTGATTATTTCTCGAAATTTATATTTATGTACTTTGGATTCCTATTCTCAATCTGAGGTTCCTCCATCCAACTCTTCCAAAAACTCCCTCCCTAGTGTCGATACCTAGGTATCTTACTTCGGCCTGATACAATCATGGCTGGTGATCGACTCACCCAGGTTGGCCACGGCTTGGCCAAAGGTCTGGGCATCAAGATTGCCTACAGAGATCCTCTAGGTGCTAACGACCCTGTCACCCGAGGCGAATCGGCCTTTTCTCAGGGTACCACCGACACATACTCTTATTTCGAACCAGAACCAACTAGTGTTGAATGGATTCGTGAGATCATACCTTCTGGACAACAATTATGGAGATACTTTATCAGCCTTTTCCCTTTCCTAAGTTGGATTGGCCATTACAACTTGCAATGGCTCTACGGTGACTTGGTCGCCGGTATCACTGTTGGTGCAGTGGTGGTCCCTCAAGGTATGGCTTATGCCAAGTTGGCCGAGCTGCCCGTGCAGTTTGGTTTGTACTCTTCCTTCATGGGAGTCTTGATCTACTGGTTCTTTGCTACATCGAAGGATATCACTATCGGCCCTGTGGCTGTCATGTCCACTCTCACCGGAACCATCGTTCTACAGGTTCAGGAGAAGTATCCTGACACTCCTGGTCATGTTATTGCTTCATCCCTGGCTATCATTCTTGGTGGTATTGTGTGCTTCCTCGGACTCTTTCGTCTGGGTTTTATTGTGGATTTCATCCCCCTCCCTGCCATTTCTGCCTTCATGACGGGATCAGCTATCAGTATCATCTCCGGTCAGGTAAAGACCTTGTTGGGTGAGACTGCTAGTTTTTCTACTCGTGGTGCCACATACAAGGTCATAATCAACACTCTGAAACATCTACCCAGTGCCAATCTCAATGCAGCCATGGGTGTCACAGCATGTGCTATGTTGTACCTCATCCGCTTTGGGTGCACCTTTGCCGCGAAGAAACAGCCCCAGCGTGCTAAGTTGTGGTTCTTCATCTCTACACTGCGTACTGTCTTTGTCATTCTATTCTACACTATGATCAGTGCTGCGTGCAACCTCCACCGCAAGGATAACCCACTGTTCAGCGTTCTGGGCAACGTCCCTCGTGGCTTCAAGAATGCTCACGTGCCTATCATGGATCGTAAGATCATTGCTGCATACGCCGACCAGCTCCCTGCTGCTTGCATCGTCCTCCTGATCGAGCATATTGCCATTTCCAAGTCATTTGGTCGTGTGAATAACTACACCATTGACCCCTCGCAAGAGTTTGTGGCTATTGGTGTGAGTAACCTCCTGGGTCCTTTCCTGGGTGGATATCCTGCCACGGGTTCATTCTCCCGAACTGCTATCAAGTCTAAGGCTGGTGTCCGCACACCCCTTGCCGGTTGCATCACCGCTGTCTTGGTGTTGCTCGCCATTTATGCTCTTCCCGCACTTTTCTTCTACATCCCGCAGGCCTCCCTGGCCGGTGTCATCATCCATGCTGTGGGTGATCTGATCACTCCTCCCAACACTGTGTACCAATTCTGGCGAGTTTCTCCCCTGGATGTGATTATTTTCTTCATTGGTGTGTTCGTCACCGTCTTCACCTCCATCGAGGACGGCATCTACTGCACAATCTGTGTCTCTATTGCTGTTCTGCTGTTCCGCATGGCCAAGGCCCGCGGTCAGTTTCTTGGCCGCGCGACTGTCCACTCCGTTGTGGGTGATCATCTGTTGGACGGCGACGGAAAGTATGGCTCCTTTGGAACCAACCAGGCCTCCTCCTCAGAAGACCACCAGGAGCGATCTATTTTCTTGCCTATCAGCCGTGCCGACGGTTCCAACCCGGATATTTCCCTAGAACAGCCTGTCCCAGGTGTTTTCATATATCGGTTCTCTGAAGGATTCAACTACCCCAACGCCAACCACTACACTGACATCTTGGTCCAAACAATCTTCAAAAACACTCGCCGGACAAACCCCAACGCCTTTGCTAGACCTGGTGACCGTCCTTGGAATGACCCAGCCCCTCGCAAGAAGGCTGAATTGGTCGAAGACACTCGCCCGTTACTGGAGGCCATCATCCTGGACTTCTCATCCGTCAACAACGTGGATACAACCTCTATTCAAAACTTGATCGATGTACGCAACCAGCTAGACATGTACGCCTCTCCCCGAGCAGTGCAGTGGCACTTCGCCCATATCAACAACCGCTGGACAAAACGTGCCCTCTCCGCCGCAGGCTTCGGCTACCCAGCCCCAGACTCGAACCACGGATTCCACCGTTGGAAGCCCATCTTCAGTGTGGCCGAGATCGAAGGTGAAGCCTCAGCTGCAGCCCACGCCGAATTGGTCAACAACGAGCGCGCAAACGACCTCGAGGCTGGCTACAAGAAGCAACTTGAAACGACGACCGAGCGCGAAGCTTCCATTGAGTCTCACTCCGAGAATGCAGATGTTATTCAAGAAGACAAGCTGCACCGTGACCTGAAAGATAGCCATGCATACCGCGGCCGACGCAGAGTTGCCATCGTGCAGGGCATGAACCGTCCTTTCTTCCACATCGACTTGACTGCCGCCCTTCAAAGTGCCGTTGCCAATATCTCGAATGAGCCTGTGGACCTATGAGTCATTTTTCATGCCCCCGTCTCATTAGCATGGATCGTCCCTGGTTTGGAATCCATTTACATGCCCTATATGACTTGTTAATCTCTGTTTCTTCCTGCTTTGTCTCACATCTTTCCCATATGTCCTATCAAAAGGGACTTTTATCTCGGGCTGATCTTCTTCTATATATTGGCGTAATGCTGTGTTTGGTTTGGGTGGTGCTATATGCGGGCTGTTGGTCGTCCAGGCCATTTTCTGGGCAGATAATTCCTTATATACCCCTTGAATACATACATATTTCTTTTAACTCAAAAAAGCGTATTTCATAGAGCCAGAACATACTATCAAGGTTGATACCTAGGGACAACTCCAGAGCTCTCCCGTGGCGGATATAGCACAAATGGGTCTTCATGGCGTCACTAGATGGGTTGAACTTATGGGCCCTAATAAAATTTGCCCGCGATCAGTTTTCTTGAAATGTTCAAGCAGCCTTAAGGTTGTCTCCAAGTCTGACAAACCGGAGCTCCGCCGGAACGACAACGCATACGGCCAAATGTTGTCAGACCCACCAACGATTACGATGAGAAGTTCCGTTAGTCATTCCTAGGTATAACTCACTAGGATAGAATAACAAGGGTGTCTAGCTCGGTGGGATGGCATATTTAATTTGCTGTACTCCCATTGCTGCGGGCATCGTCTATTTCCCTCTTCGTTTGAGACAATTCTTCTTACAATGCGACTCCTTCCTCTAGCTGGTTATCTAGGCCTCAGTCACGCTGTCTCCCAGCAGGTGCTGCAGCCTTTACAGCCCAAAAGTGCCGACGAGTTCCGCGTATTCCAAAGTCCATCGTCCGATCACTCCATTCGTATTAAGCAGCAGAATGAAACTCTCTGCGAGGCTGGCTCAGCACAGTACACGGGCTGGCTTGATATTGGACCGACTCATTTATTCTTTTGGTACTTTGAAAGCCAAAACGACCCCGGTAATGATCCACTAACTCTATGGATGAATGGTGGTCCCGGAGGATCCAGTATGATTGGTCTCTTTGAAGAGGTTGGCCCTTGTCTCGTCAATGAGCACTCGAATGGCACCAACTATAACCCGTATGGTTGGTCCCGAAACACATCTTTGCTGTTTGTCGACCAACCTGTCGGTGTTGGGTTTTCCTATTTTGACGAAGGCTATGATTTGCCGGTCGACTCGGCGGGGGCTGCTGTAGATATGCAAAGGTTCCTGCAGCTCTTTATCTCGGAGGTGTTTCCACATCACCTCAATAGCTCATTCCATCTTTCTGGCGAATCATTTGCTGTAAGCTTCTCAAGTTTTTTCTTTTCCATGGCTCACTTTAGAAGTCTAGTACTAACATTTACCAGGGAAAATATATCCCAGCCCTGGGCTCCCAGATAGTGAGACAAAACAAGCTCTATCCTAATGAGCCCCAGATAAAACTTAAATCATGCCTAGTAGGTAATGGATATATGTCGCCAAAGGACACCAACTTTGGATACTGGGAAACTTTGTGTACCACCAACCCAGGTGTTGAAGAGCCAGTGTTCAATAAGACCAGATGTGACATTATGGCTGCTAACATGCCTCGATGCATGACCGTCATGGATATCTGTGTTAATAATCCTGATCCAGCAGTGTGCAATGCAGCCAACAAGGTTTGCTACAAGGACGTCATTGGCTGGTATGATGACGAAGCAGGAGTCTCTGGTGGCCGGAATAGATTTGATAGTAAGTTAACAATGCCATGTCTTCGGACGCGCATTCTAACATTCTAAAGTCACGGCCCCTTGTGAAGTGGAAGGTGCTTGCTACATCGAAGCAATTCGCTTAACAGAATACCTGAACTCGCCCGTCGTCTGGGGTGCTCTTTCTGTTCCAAGCCAAGCCAACAAATTTAACTGGTTTTCGGCAGAAGTCTCAGCGGCGTTTGAAACTTCCTCGGATGAAGAAAGCTCAGCATCGGACCAGGTTGCCTATCTACTTGAGAATCAAGTCCATTATCTAGCTTACCAAGGTAACCTTGATCTCGCCTGCAATACAGCAGGAAACATTCGCTGGGCCAACTCGCTTGTCTGGAAGGGGCAGCCTGAGTTCTCTTCCAAGTTTTTACAGCCGTGGAAATCAGTTGTTGCTGCTACTGGTCAGAGCGAGGTTGTTGGAACGATGAAAGAGGTTCGGGTTAGGACTAGCGAGACCGCGGAAATCGAATCTCGGTTTGCTATTGTCACTGTGAATGGTGCTGGGCACTTTGTGAGTGATATTTGAATAAATGTCTGAAGCAGACACTAACTTTGTAATCAATCTAGTTACCACAATTCCGCCCTGATGTTGCTCTTGATTTGATGACTCGATGGATCTATGAGGCAGACTTTGTTTAATCTTACAAGGGTCCTATACGCTAGTCACGACCAATGAACGAAGTATCTAAGACAATATAGGTTTATCTGATACTTGAGAATTGGCCTCAGTCTAGAACGAATCGAATGAACTCCTAAGCTTCACGATGAATGGTAATAATCTATGTTGTAAATCTCAAATCAAAACAGTTAGGATGTCCTCTAACTAGTAAGTTTACCCTAATCAGGTCATTATGTAATATCGGCCCACGGAAATATGAAGTTCATGTATTTTTAGGTAGTACCGACTACCATGCCTCTTATTTCGCTCTGCTTTCTTGGTTATTATATAAGTACATTAGAGGTTGAGAATTATAATTAGTTATATAGATTGGTTTTCTGTAGAACATCACTTATTGGTCCTATAGTGTAGCGGTTAGCACGCCAGATTTTGAGAGTAATCTTAAGTCTTCTGGAGTCCTGGGATCGAATCCCAGTAGGACCTTCATTTTTTCAACTTTTCCCCCCCCCTCTTACCACTTTTTGCTCACCAAACGCGACCACCATACTGGTTATTCATCCATAGCATTTTTTTTTTTCCTAAAAAAAAATCACTAAATTCAGAGAGCAAAGCAAAGCAGAAACTTCATTGCCAATGATCGTGGCTGACAATGGTGAATTTAGCGTCAGGAACGAAAACCTACTAGACTTCGGCCCCCCGGTAACATAAGCCAAATACTACTTCAATTTGCAATTTATTATGTTTTCGGAACAAGTTGGTTTTGTGACTTTTGTCATTACTCCTTAAGTACTCTGTACTCCGTACAGTCGAAGTAACTGATCCCTGCTAGTTAATGTGTCATGTGACATTAAATCTGAAGTCTAGCGTTTTTGCGCCGTGACGTGACGCGCGCTTTGTTTCTACTTGCATCGAATGCGCATTCTCTCTGCTCTCTATCGATTATCTATACCGGTGACCAACAGACCTATTGGCCTGCCCCTAAGTTGCGTGGGTATTTTTAATCCCTCACCCTGAGAATCCAACAGTGACACCAGCAATGGCTACATCATCTGATGGGATGGTTCTGAATTTCGACGAGACCGCGCATTCAATCACACCACTTCAAGTTCAAAATATCGATTTCGTGTCGCGCGGAAGAAATAGCTTGTCAAAATTCACTACCTTCGAGCAATACAATAACACATACTGCGATCTATTGAGGACCCGTTTAGCCGAATACGAAACATTTCTGGAAAAAGATGGAAGCCTTGCGCTCCAACAATTTCCCGATGATGTTTTTGCTTTCAAGTTCAACGAGCATCATTCCCGTGGTTTCCACCGTGGTGGTCCAACCCTCGTAACCCAGGACGCGAATGTGGATGTCGATCATCCGGTGTCCTGGGTCGACACAATTATTGCGTTGAACGAAGGTAAGTTCCAGAACTATGAGAACGACGGGTCTTCGCGCGACACTGTAAAAGGCAAAAAAGTTGAAATCTCAGAATATGAGAGATGGATGTTGGAACCCCTTCGCAATATGGAGTTTCCCAGCGAGAAGGATATCAAACAGGAATACAAAGCAAGATTTGAAACATACAAGGATTTACGTGATCTCCGAGCGAGCCACATGAAAGGTTAGTTTAAAGTATTGGATTCCCTTCCACAAATACAGTCTCTAACAGCATGCGAACAGTTCTCAATGATTTATTTCGCCTCGAAAGCAGACTAAAGAATGATTGTGATGTGCTAGCGGTCCACTGTAGACCAGGCACTGTTACTCAAACTATTCCACCTGACAAGGTTGCGCAATCCTCTGAACAAGTCATTGCGAATGGCGAAAATAACAACCCGACTGCTGGCGGCGCACAACATACAGCGCCTGCCACACCTGCTACTGGAATACTCGATGCCGCGATAAACCGTCAGCCTTCCCCATCACCCATACCATCCTCGGTCCCAAGTCCTACACGTCCAATTATCGAGGACCCCGACTGGGGCCCGAGCCTGGCACATATGACACCAACGAACATGCTAAGCTCTACCCGGAAGCGTTCTGCCACCAAAAAAGAGCACACACCGGAAAAGAAGCGCAAGCGGATTCGAATAAACCAAACCGAGGAGGAAAAAGTGCATGGACCCGAATTTGTTAAGGAGTTGTTCGATGCGCAGCTCACTTTGCAAGAAATGGTCCCCAAATACGAGGCTAGGTTCGGGCTGCAACGGAGTATGGACTGGATTCGCAAATTTCACGTTCGCTCCGAAGAAAGGAGGAGTTCTGGATTTACTTTCCCACCATCAAGTTTACCACATCACAGCACCTCACCCCGTACTGCGCTTGATCAGAGCCAAGAGTCAAGGAGAAGATCCACTTCTAGTTACATTCCACCTCCTGCCGCCAGTTCCTTTTCTGAATCTGCTCAGCCCGCAGAGCAGAATGGAGGATTTACCCCGGCGAACAGAGCTGCTGCGTCTGTTAAATCGCCAGAAATAAATGGAGGATTCACGCCGACAAACAGCTTTGTTCCTATGAATCTCGTCACCTCACAAGACGCGGCTGTTAATCCATTTCAGCAGTCATAAGATTCGAACGATAAAAATGATATACTTGCAGGGTCAGATGGTAATCACCTACATGTCTTAACTAGAAATCTCCTAATTGAAACCATATTTATAATTCAAGTAGAAGAAAAACCTAGGGTATGCCATACAGAGTAGAATACACATGGCTGCATTATTAGCTTGATAGAATCGCAGGCTCGTATTTGACCTGACTAGCTGTGTAGCCCACCATCTCCCATCACGAGACAAGTTCAAAATAGAGAGATATAGAATCACCTCAAAACACCACCAACACCAGCCCAACCGAGCACAAACCCGCTGAGCGCCTCACTAACGACACCACCCCCAAACCAAACATCCTTCCAAGCACCAGCCCGCAAGACATATCTTTTCCCCGCCTTCTTTTCGCCCAAGTCCATAAGGACCGCACCAGACTTGACCAATTCTAATCTCCCCTCGATTTCTCCATTGCTGCCTGGGAAAAATACGCCGGCTCCAGCGCCACCTGAGCGCCGGATTATGAGAAGGTGAAATAGACCGGATACGAGCACGGTGCCCGTGAAGTAGAATGCAAATCCGGTTATCGATTGCAGGGCTAGGATTCCGGCTGATAGACCGAGGAGGAAGGCTGTTAGGGAGTGGAGGGATGAGAGGACCTGAAGTTTGTTAGTAAAGCTGTTGAAATGGAGAATGGCCGGTATAGGGCCAGATGATCAACGTGTGTCTCGGTACACAGAGAAAGGGGCTAGAATTGAGTTGTGACGTACTCGGTAGTTGTGCTGGACTGCCTCTGGGACGAGAGGATTGATGAGCAGGGAGAGCTCTTGCTTGGTTGGTGCCATGTTGTCTTGGCTTCTCTTGCTCTTTTGCGCTGGTTTGTCAAGTACACCAGGTGGCCACGAAGTCACGATTCAATTAAAAAATTAAAACAGATCTGTGTATTGCATCTGCCTCTCGTGGTGATGGCTATAGACCCAGCAGTATCAACTGTTGAGGAAGTACAGCGGGGGAAGGGAAGAGATGAGGTCGGTTTCTATGTGTGCACGGACCACCTTCTGGAGTAAAGCCTGCAATTAATACAATAAAAATGATACAATGATAAATAATCTCTTGGCTAGTAATTTAAAAAAACCTTGGAATTTACTTATGAGAAGATTATATATATCCACGCTTAGTTCGCTTTGTTCAGTAACCCGAAGTTTCCTTTCTCATGAGTCCGTGTCTTGACATCACTGCGCTTGATAGTTACATGCCTCCAATCACCCTCGTATTAAAATTGGACCAAAATATCATAGATAGAACGAGATAAAAAAAAAGGGGAGAAGAATATAAAGAAGAAGATGAAAGGGAAGAGAGGAAAATAAGCGGGAAAATAGCACAGATGATGCAGTATAAATGCAAGTTCCATACGATCGCTGAGCATCAAATTTTATCTTCCGCTAGGAAAGTCAGGCCATATGCAATGCCCCATGTAAATATGCACGCAATCAAGAGATGTTATCCAGTTTCCCATCGGTACGGGCTTCCTTGACCTGCTCGAATACCTGATGGCAAATATTAGTGCAAGTGAAAAGCAAAGACAGCGAGAAGGGGATAAGTACCTTGAGCATCTTGTTGCGTGCACCCAGCGCGTTGACGCCACGGTCCTCCAGGGCCTTGTCATCGAGTTCAACTAATTCGGTCCATTGCAGATCCTTCAAGTGGTCGGTGTACTTGTGTAGACGAAGGGATCGCAGCCAGCTGGGGATATCCTTCAGAAGAGTAGGGTCGGTGGGGTCCTCCGGCGGCTTAGAGCTACCACGACGACCACGAGGCGAGCGGCCACGGGTGACTTCCGAGTGATCGGACAAGTAACCTTCACTGCCCAGCCCGAACTGTCCGATTCCCAAAGAGCTTAGTCCATTACCCATCAGTGGGTTAGTCGGGTCGTAGGCTGCCAGGAAGCCATTGTTCTGTGGCGAGGTAAAGCCCATGGCGCCAAGTCCACCGCCTTGCATAGCGATACCGGGCGAATTAGGACGTGAGCGACGACCCGCCATCGCTGCCTGCTGCTGAGCCTGCAGAGCGGCCAGTTGTTGGGCATTCAAAAGCTGCCCTGACATGGAACCATGCAGACCTGGGCTAGCCAAACCTGAGGAAACAGCCGCATTCAGAGAATTCCGCCCCTGGCCATCATTGGAGCGGGCACGACGGTACTTGCGGGCATCATCAAGAGCAATGCGATTGTTAACAGTAGACAGGGCTGCCAATTTCATGGCAGTCGCATTGGCCACCATGTCAGCGTGGGAGTTTCCTTGGTTCTGAGCAAATGTCGCAGTCATGGGCGTGTTTGCCATCGATGCCCAGCTTCCACCTCCAACATTGTATGGGGAGAGCAGGGGAGGCTCAATGTCATGTTGGGGGATCGAGGCACTCTGAGGGAGAGGAGACCGCATTCCAGAGGGCTGGCTGAACTGGCCCATGGGCTGGTGGCCTGAGGAAGACTTGGGTCGGGCGATCGGGGGCTGAGTGTCTGGAAGGCCACCGCGCTGGGTCCATGGAGAGGCAGGCGGCTGGCCTAGGTTGTCGTTGTTGTCGGGCGCCGAGATGGTGGGAGCAACAAATGCACGATCACCAAAGACCGCACTATTACGATTGGATGGGGGTGGGGCATTGCCCGTTTGCTGCGTGAATTCCGCCTTCTTCTTTGCAATCGCAGCAGCGGCATCCGGGAACATGGCATTAATAGTAGAGGGATCAAGACCCGAGTTACGCTTAGCGCCGGGGGACGGTGGTGGTCGGCCGATAGAGTTCCGTGAGGCATCCATATTGAGTTTCGACATGGCATCGCTTAATCGACTAGACATGGCGTCTATGCAGGTTTGAGTAATTGTTTTCATCAAAAGTGGTTATCAGAATCGTGCCATACCTTTTTCACCAAAGTTGGCCGGTGAGAGAAGCCCGGACATTGGGTGGCTCTGGGACATTTGCTGCAATACCTGGATGAAGAATCGAATCTGCACCTGGGTCGTCTGCTGCAACAAAGCATACAAAGCCGCCGTCCGCTCTGGCTCGCTCAGGACACGGAACCATTGCTCGATAGCACTAAGTTCGTCTTTGAAGTCTTGGTCGAGCGTAGCAGCGGCCATATCTTCCAGAGTTGTCTCGTTTTGGTCAATATCCGACAGCCACTGCTGCGCTGCCCGGTCTAGCGCATCTTCTGTCGCATTTTGGCCTTGAGATGATTGGGGGTAGAAGACTTCCGATGCTGGACGGATGGTGCGGGCTGACAGTGGTGAGGGGAAACCAGACATGTCTGCCGATGCTCGCAGTTGATGCGTTCCGAGATTGCGGGCGGATGACGGAGGACGCAAGCCGGAGTTTGGCACAGCCTCTGGAGTGCTGTTGCGGTTGCCAATCATATGGCTTGTCATGGTGAACAGTTATTTTTTGGCGGGTTGAAAAGGTTGAGAAGTAGATACAGTGAGTTGGAGAAAGATTACTGCAAAACACCTGCAGGACCTGCTGAGTTTGCGTAATGGAGAATCACAAAAACCTGATCAATAAACTAGGTAGGACTTGAGGATTTCGAAAAACGATATAATACCCAAGTCTCGATTCTGGGCGACAAATTGTGGGCACAGACCAGGCCAGTGGGCTGCACGGGAGTTTTTTTTTAGGTACGGTATAGGGTGGCCGAACGAAAGACAGTCAGGACCGGAAGGCAATAGTGTGTCAAACACAGCAAGCCGACGGCCATGTACTAGAACGGAAAAAAGAAGAAAAGAAAAAGGGGGAGAGGAAAGGGGGAGTAAAGGAATCGAATGGTGGTGAGAAGAGGTGAAAGAGAAAGAAGAAGGTGCGGCAGCGGCAAAAAGAGTTCTAAAGGCGAATCACGGGTTTCCCGAATGTGGAATGGGAAACTTCAACTACATTCCTCTCTTGCTTTTTCACTTTGATCTCAGATCCACTGGACACTAAGTGGAGTCTCAAGGCCTATCGATGAATAAGCACTAGTACTTTCACTACCACTTCTACTTCCATTTTTGAAGATCAGAATCTAACTCCTATGTGATCTGGTCATGGTCAGTCTAGTTCCAACGCAAGTAACCTACGATTGGGCTTTTGTTCAAGAAAATTATCTTCAATCTTTTTCTTCTTGAAGAACTTGAAGTTTTTTTGCTCTTTTCTTTGTTTATCTCTTGCAAAGACCTTCTTTTGTATGAGATAGTCGGTTTTCTCGGCAAATCCTCGCCATGGACCAGGATTATCCAGATATCAGCCAGAACACTTATCCTGAGGAGAGCGCTTATCCAGATATCGATGAGAATGTGCATTACCCGTGGCAAGAATCTCAGCAACCTGTTTCTGGAGAGATACACGCTTCCGCTTCAGTACTTGATCCACGGCTGTTTGGTGACTCTTTCTCACAAAATTTACCGCAGGCTGCGTCCGCATACGATCAATTCGATGAGGAGCTACAGCCAGATCCCGATCACATGGATATCGGTGATTATGGTTGGGATTTAGATAGGTATGTTTGTGTTCAAGTGTTATGGCAAACAGAAATTGATAACAAATGCAGTGATGACGAGTCTGATTCAGATGACAACGAAGACGACGATGATGATAATGATGATGACGACGAGGAGGATTTTGAGAACGAGTATTATGAGGATGAGGACGATGAGGTTGATGAAGAAGATTCCAATCGTCCCCGTCCCGCTGGCCGAAGAGGTCCGTGGAAGGCGAAGGATCCTGGCCCAGAATTCAGGTTGATTCACTCACAAGCTACTGAGGCGTTCATTGACGGAAACTATGAGCTCGCCCAGGAACGTACAATGGATGCTATCCATGTCAATCCGGAGATGTTCCCAGCACATCTGTTGCTGTCGGAGATTTTCCTTGCACAAGGCCAGAAGGACAAGGCCTTGGGGGCTCTTTTCAGTGGCGCCCATACACGACCTAGGGATCGCAACGTTTGGCTTCAAATCGCAGATTTGATCTTGCAACGCGCTGGCGAGGACCGTCAACCGGCGCTCAATGATGTAGTGTATTGCTACAGCCGTGTGCTTGATATTGCACCCAAGAAGGAGATTGATGTTCGATATGCAAGAGCTGCAATCTACATGGAGCAAGGATACATCGGAAAAGCTGCTCAAGAGTATGAAAGGATTCTGCGAGCCCGACCACATAACACCAAAGCCCTTTGCCTTTTGGCAGAGGCTTTGATTCAGACGAGAGAGTTCTCCAAGGCTATCAATTACTGGTCGGAAAGCGTTGAGCATTTCATTTCCCTTGACCCAATAGACGCCCCTGAGTTCTCCTGGTCCGAGATCAATATTTACGTTGAACTTTTCGGTTACGTTGAGCAATACGAGCAAGGGCTTGTTGCTCTTAAAACACTGGCGAGATGGCTGCTAGGTCGTAAAGAAGATTATTTCTGGGAAGATTTCACTGATGATGATCGAGAATGGGATCTACAACACTCACCTCGCCGCATCAAGACTGATGGCTTTATTCCAGGCCAGTGGCCTGATGATTCATACGGTCTTGGGCTTCCGCTTGAACTTCGCATCAAAATGGGCATTTTTCGGTTGAGAATGGGTGAACACTATTACGCGGATGCATTGGTAAGTGAATCGAAGCATGGAGTTGCAGTGTCATCAAGCTAATCATAACCCCGATAGGATCATTTTGAATGGCTGAATCCTGAAGATAATGCGGAAGGTGCACGGCTATTCGATTTCGGCGATCTTTTCCGCGAAGTTGCAGATGCACTAAAGAGCACAGGGTCACTTCATGATGCCTTGCGTTTCTACAGTCCTATACAACTTACATCCGACCATGCAGATGTCGGCTACTTTATGGCTATGGCTGACTGTCTCGTGCAGTTGGAAAAGATGGAAGAGGCTGAGTCATGTTATCTCACTGTTGTAGGATACGACCCACAACATCTGGATTCAAGGGTACTTCTTGCGAAGCTGTACGAGAAGCAGGGGATGAATGACCATGCTGTGAGGTACGCTAATGAGGCCCTCAACATTGGCCGGCTCGAAAACAGATCTCAAAAGCGAAGAAAGGATACAAGACTTGAACAGCTTGCTATCGAGTTTAGACAGGCCCAAGAGCCTGACGCTCTCCGGCCGCTTGCACCCAAACCTGTTATTGTCAACCAGTGGCCTGCCTCAACTTCTAGACGAGGCCGTGGACAAATTGAAGAAGCCCAACGGATCATTGACATTCAGTTCCTGCATGCAAAACTGCTCCATCTGGAGCTTGGAGTCAAAGATGGCGTATATGAAGCTATCGAAGACTGGCTTGATATTGCTGATGCTTTGCTCCGTGACTTCCGATCAAATCGAGTCTTTTATCCAATGTCGAAGGGGATGGAATTCCAAGGATACTACCCAAAGTTAGGAAAGACAAAGACCCGAAACATGGTTACTGAAGCCAGAGAGGTAATGGAACGTATACAAAAGAGTATTAATCAGTCACTTCCGGGACCTTCGCATGCATCACTAACTTTATTACCTACTAAAGGCCTAGAAAATGAAGATGAAGAGCCGATGGAAACCATTCCGAATGAGTACCGCAGTATTCCATTTGATGAATGGCTCGACATATTTCTTCAATATGCCCTTCTTTCTACGGATCAAGGAGATCACATGGAAGCATATGAAGTACTCAATAGCGCTGCAGCCTGTAATGTTTGGCACCACAACAAGGCTAAATCGCGTTTAATCCATATCTGCTGGTTTAGTAAGTGCCATTTTTCTCCATTCCTTGTCAGGAATCTGGAAGCTAATTCTTTCTCCAGCTTGTGCGCTTCGAATCAAGGACGAAGAAACCCTTTCACATGAAGCTCGCTGGTTTATCAAAGAATACCAGTTCGTGACAGACACCTACCGACTCTTTGCAATGCTGAGCCGCCTGTGCGGCGATCCGCATAAATCTCTTTTTCACTCCTCTCCAAACATGAAATTCATGCTTCGTCAGATCAAGGCGATGGACTTCACTTTGACAGATACGAAAAAGCCCGAAATGATCCGCCATTCCATCTGGAAGGAGCGCGCTTCCCTCACAACTAAAGATGAAAATGGGCAACCGATACCTGCGTATGGACTAGATGCCGCCCTTTTGACGCTCTACGGTCATATCCTTTACTCTGGTGGAAGTTTTTTTCCTGCTCTGAACTATTTCTTTCGAGCATATGCCCTGGACGACCAGAATCCGGCCGTTCTTCTCTCGATTGGGCTTTGCTACATCCACCACTCTCTCAAACGCCAGTCTGAAAATCGACACTACCTCATCTTGCAGGGCCTCTCATTTATGAAACGCTACCGCGTTGTTCGATCAAAACCCGGGACAATCTTGCAAGAACGACAGGAAATGGAGTTTAACTGTGCACGTGTCTGGCATGGTCTTGGATTAGCACATCACGCCATTGAAGGGTACGAAAAAGTGCTGGAGCTTGGCAAACAGATCAAAGAACAGACTCAGACATCCTTAGCCCCAGATGGGGATGTAGTGATGGGCGAGGCAGGCAAAGATTCTCCGAAGTTCGTCGAAAATTTTGCAATGGAGGCTGCCTATGGATTGCAGTGTCTTCATGTCATGGGTGGCGAAGTGCAGGCTGCGAAATCCGTCACCGAGGAATGGCTTGTCATCTGATTTACCGCAATTTATCAGACAGTCGGCCTTATCTTTTTCAGTGCGATTGTATAATAATAAATTTATTTGTAAGAATAGGTAGTAAGTTGTACGAATATCAAACTTTATTCAATATTTCCCATGGCCAAAGGAGAGCTGAAAATCACCTTCCATTCTCGACCTAGATGCCCCATATATCATCTCCCATAGTTGGCATAAGAGCATCCAAATTTCGCCATCCATCAATACCAAACGCCATCTGAATCATGTCCTGCATTGAACTATCAGACCCATTAGGAAACGAGGGAGCATCAGCCATGAGATTATCCAACCAATCATTCCCCACGGGCCCCATCAAACCTGAATCCATTTTGCTCGGCGCCTCCGGATAATGTTGCAGGAGAAATTCAATCTTACAACTGAGGTTGCGCAAGATAGTGGCTGCAGTAGTTGCGACAGAGAAACATTGACCAAACATGTCAAATACACTTATAGCGGCGTCTATTGCTTTCCGCGCCTCTCCTGCTGCAGCACCCTGTGGGTAGGCGATCACAAACCCTACTATCGTCATTGATGCGTTCCACTGTAATTGAAATGCTTCATGCCAGCCCGCTAGGATTGATGTCGAGGAGAGTGCTTGATGGGTGATGTTAGTGAGTGTTATTGCATGGCGAGCACAGCGTACCGCTAATTGCTCTGCTAGACCGGTAGCTGACCCGGGATAGAATGATATGAATGGGCGGTGCAGGTTTAAACATAGATTGTGATACATCAGCTCTAGGTTTAGGCGCTGTCGCTGAACCCATATTGGTGTAAATTGCTCAATGTTCAATCTGGATCCATCTGTCGAAAACGGCGAGCCGTGATTTTGTCGGCTTGTTTTTAGAGAGGAGGGGACTTCATCTACCCATTTTTCTAGGCTCTTTGTGAGGAACTGAAGGAGCTCTGCGTGTGACTCAAGTGCTTCTGGGTCATCCCATATAGACTGGCCTTGGGAAAGGTTGATTTCCTTTGCGTAGAAATTGGTATGGATTTCGCGAGCAACTATGAATAGTTTGGCATTGTGATGGTGAAAACTAAGCCAGGTCCTGTTGCCGGTAAGAGGAGCGAAATGGGATCCGGATCGCAAAGCAGCATCGGGGTCGTCTTCCGGGAGTCCTGGTTCAGCAGCCGATCGCTCCACTAAGAACGGACGGCCGAGCTTCATTCCAATTTTGGAGTCTAGACTGTATAACGCCCACCATATGCGTTTCCGTAGCTCACTTTCGGTCACGGGGATAGTTATAGATGGTTTTATGTGTAGACCAGCGGCATATGCTGCTCTAGTGGCGGTTGCACTGGCAGAAGCCGACATATTTTGGAAAGATCCATTGCACAGGTAGATCGAGCACAACATGAGAGTTTGAACAGTTGATATAGTAGGGTTCTCGAGCTGGTATCCTACTAGCATTTGGCACCGCTGATAGTACCAGCGACCAGACACACATGCGTCTCCATCGGCGATGGGCTGTTGACTGTCGGTGGGTAGCTTTGAGACACCGAACTGCATACATATTGCGATAACAATGTCAACAAGAGCAGATGGCCTCCTTATTTCTCCGGGAACTTTCCAAAGAGATCGGTAGTGGGCCATGAACTCGGCCTCGTTAATTATAGGGAATAGACAGGTATGATAGGAGCTCCAGAATAGATCAAGGAAATATTCCTCTTGTGTGGGGCTTAGGAATTTCCCTGCTGTCAATGAGTTGTTGGCAGAAATTGCGGCTTGATGATCTATGTCCACAGTAGTCTCGCTTGCTCCGGCCCCTAGTAGTGTGATGGCAGAGCCATGGAGGGCCATCTGGTCAGTTGATTGGGTTTGCTGCAGAGTAGCACTCAGGTATCTATTCATTCGTCCGATAAAGTAGAAGAGAGAAGACGCCCCGAACCATGACAGGTTTGGAGATCGAGCAGTTCCGATCTCAATACCCTCCCATACCTTGCTCTCGTAGGTGTGAAGTCCTGGGTTAGTGGCCACCGACAAGGGCGAAGGAATTGTAGAAAAGGATGTAGCAGAACTAGATGAGTCTCGATTCATGTAGTAAAGTAGTCTATTCTCTGCATCTTGAAGTTGTGATTTGACTCGTTCTAGCTCTCTGTGACAAACACTATCAGACCAATACAGGGAAAAGATAATATCATCAAATTGAGTGAGACTGGTGCGTACCTCAACACTTGGGGTAATGTCTTTTTTTCATCAGCACCCGATGTGCAAGGCGCATTTCTCTGACGACATGCCCCACAGGGCCGTTCATCTTCACACTTAATTCTTCGTACACGGCACCAGTCACATGCGCGATACACTTGTCTCCGAATGGGTTTGATGGAGGATATCCCCATTGAAGCAGCTACTTCTTGAGATTTGGAAGCCTTAGGCATGACTGATCTATGTTCGAGTCCTTTGTCATCACGTATGTAAAAAAATAATAAGGTGGGGACGGCACCTTGTTCCAGGTGTTAGTTGAAATGTAGTTCATAGCTTGGCATTTCTGTGTGGATTACTAATCACACCAAGATAACTATCTACAGTTCCCAAGTACAATGACTAGTCTTTAAAATGGTGGAAAATGAGAAATCAGTGTTTCGAGATATAATGAGTAAATTGATCTATATTAAATATTCCATGGCGTCATATATGTACGTATGTATCATATGTACAGTAATCTCTATACAACAAACTCATTCATCCATGCGAAGCCCTCCCAAGACGAACTATACAAATTGGCAATCTCGTTATGCCACGGACCCTCGAAAACGTCATCTGAGTGGGTACTTGATTGGGCGCACGATCTATTTCTTTCCCAGCGAAGCTTCATGTTGAGACTCAGTCATTGGATGAATCTGGTCAGAATGCGCTGCAACAAACTCCGAGCTGAAAGGGTAATCATTGTAACCCTCCCATTGTTTTAGGAGATAGAAAGTCGAGCGATTGTACTTGGCGAAAGGAATACCATTCTTAACCCGGAAGACCAAGTCCGGGTTGGAAATGTAGTAGCGACCAAAGCCAATCATGACGTCCCACTTCTTGTAGTGCTCTTCCACGACATGTGCTGCTGTCTCGGGTAGATAACTTCCCGCCACAAGGACCGGAGACTGGTTATCCCACTGTTCGAGAATGAAGTCAAGGGTTTTGTGTTCGTTAATCACGGCATCGCCTCGGACGATGGCGCCCGGATCGCCTCTGGCCTCGACGAGGGAGATGTAGGCGAGCTTGAGGTCCATTTTCTTCAGCTCTCCGATAAGGTATGTGTACAGCTTAATGTAGTCTGTTTTTTCCGAGCCTTGGAAACCGGCGTAAGGAGAGAAGCGGATAGCGGTTCTTTCGGCACCGATAGCTTCAACAACGGCCTTGATGACCTCGAGGGCAAATCTAGCACGGTTCTCGATCGATCCACCCCATTTATCGGTGCGCTGATTGATACTCGCTGTGAGGAATTGGTCAATGAGGTATCCGTGTGCGCCGTGGATCTCAACTCCATCTCCACCAGCTGCAATGACCCTCTTGGCCGTTTCAGCAAAGTCCTTGATGGTATCCAGAATTTCTTCTTCGGTCATGGCTCTAGGTGCGACTTCTGAACCGGGCATGGGTACGGCACTAGAAGACCGGTATTGGAAGCCTCGCTTGGCCAGTACCTCTGGATCGGATGCTCGTCCCATAGCCCACAATTGCTGGAAGATGAATGACCCATTGGCGTGGACGGCTTCGTAAATTTTGCGCCAGCCCTCGACCTGAGCCTCACTCACGAATCCGGGATTGTTCATAGCGCCCTCTTCGGCATGGGATATGGCCGTTGCTTCGGTAACTAGTAGAGTACCAGGCGTAGATCCACGGTCTGCGTAGTATTTCTCCATTAGGGGCAGAGGAACATGGTCATCATCGTTCCTGAGACGAGTGAGAGGCGCGAAGAAGATGCGGTTGGAGAGCAGGTTGTTGCCCACTTTCAAAGGCTTGAACAGCCTGGTTTCAGCAGGGACATATTCTGAGGTGGAAACAGTCATTTCGAATGTTCAATGGAAGGCTGTTTTTATAAACGTAAGTTTCGTGTTGCTCAATGATATGACCAAGTGAATTGCGCCGTGGGATATGGCTAGGCACAGGTTTAAATATGATCGGGGAGCTCGGAGAGTTCCTTACCTGGGCAGACTATACTCCGTACACTAGTCTATTATGATGTAAAGGCGAGAGAAGTCTGCAGGGATTCTTCAAGATTCCATTAAGGAGTTCCGGAAGGACGACAACGGATAACGTGCCGCAGCCTATTAGGGTTGTTGGCTTCATCTCCACAGCTCCGCAACTCCGAAACCTGACTAGATTGCTTTGAAATGAACATGAATAACTACCTTGTATGGACAGTTGGAGCACTAAAGTTTTTTGAGAGGGTGCTTTTAGCACCTGGGCACCTTAGTGGGGGTTATCTATCGCTCTAGCTTAGCTAGCTTAGTTAGGGCGCAGCGGCGCCAACATTTCTATCTTCTCTCTCCCACACAACTTATGATCACATTAATCCTTACCCATAATTGCAGTCATCAGCCCTCTGAGGTCGACCTCATCAGTCTAAGGCTTCACTTTTCTCAACTTCTTGCTCAGCCAAAGACTTGCAGTGCTCATCACATTCATATCCCTGCCAGTCGAAGTGATTTTGACTATCTGCAGCAATTTACAACTCTCCGAATCGCAAAATCTCGGATTATCATGTCTTACAATCCACGAAGTACTATTCGGAGAAATCTCTCGTCGACATTTCAAAATCATTCGCTTCTCTGCGACAAGCGATAGCATTAGGGAACTACAAGTCCTCTCCCTCGACGAATCTAGTTTTCGGGAACGAGTTCAAGAGTTATGGATGGTCACACCTTTGGATGCTTTATCTGAATTCACTATGCTATCAGATGTTTATGCGAAAAGTCCCGCGCTAATCTTCTACAGAGCAGAATCAAAGGCTTTTAGCGCCAGTTAGATTTGAATACTGTACACTAACCTTTTTGGTTGAGCAGAAGAACAGCTTCGATTTCTCGACTTCCATTCGAGCTGCCTGATTAATTATCGGGATTTTATGTTTCTTTCTACCGGAACGGCTGTGTACAAGGTTAATTCTTCTTCATTAGGACTCTTACAAGCTCTTCATAAGACGAAACGGAAAATCAAGAATCTACGGACTTACAATCCTACACCAGAAACCCCCTCTATTGAAAACCACGCCTCTCTCGGCCTGCTCTAGATGGGCTAGAGGACTTATTGAGATGGCCTCCAACCCCCAGCCATATACATTTAATGATGTACCAACCTGGATCAACCTGCTTATCGAAGTCGCTTCCCGTCTCAAAAGACTCGCCATCTCGCAAGACTATTGAAGTGAAGAAACTTTCAGCAAAATCATTTTCATTGACTTTAAGAGCTCCATCTCCATCAAACAAATCTGAGGGACTGAGACCATTTCTCACGAAAGCCAAAGAAACCCTCGTTGGATTTACGCTTTCTGGGTTCATTATAGAGGATCCTCCAATTATATGGCTGGAGATCTGTCCATATCGGTGCCCATCAGCTTCAACAGGCAACTTTTCAGACCCATTTCCCAGCAGGATACCACCTTTTCCAGGCTATATGCAGCCCCAGCCTTTCTCTCTAACTTCAGCTATTACAATACAAGGGATCTCCTTTTTATTTCTTCGGAGAGAATCTTTCGCTTCAGAGATTTTCTATAAGTTATCGGTACCAATACCCGTGCTTTGTGTATCAGCGGCTGGAATAAACATAGCGATTCTTGTGTTTTTGATACTAAATCTGCTCAAGATTCATTCTATCGATGGATCAGCAAATTGACCCTTGTCACAGGGACACAGGGAATACTTTATAGTAACTCCAGACGTAGTTCTTTACAGTCCAACTTCAACACCCTTCTTGCAACTCTCATCGATCTTTATGACAACTCCAGCAGGTTTATTTTCATTCAGCTTAACTTCACCACCCCTTTAAGTTCTTGCCAACTTTACCGGCCTTCGATAGGTAAACTATTATTATGATGCAAAAGCGAAGGAAACCTTCTAAACAATTCCATCCTACCTATATATCTGGTTTCTAAGTAGCTAGATAAAGATTTCTGGAACGACATCGAATAGCATGCTGTAGCCTATTAGGGTTGTTGTTAGTACGACTCCAACTTCGCAACTCCGAAACTTCCTCGTGATTATATGTGAACATGGTACCTAGGTACCTAGTTAAGGAGTACTATCTCAAACTATTTACTATCTCTAAATCAGCCCTGGAGGGCATTATTGATTTCCCGAGTTTCTTGTGAACTTCCTACTTAGGCGTATATGGAATAAGGTCAAGCCTAGGGCCGATCTATATCTACCTAATTAAACATAATTAACCTTGGAAACGATCATCGGAACTAATGAACGAAAACGGAATATGAAATCAATGTTTAATTCTTATCATAAAAGACGAACATCAACTGATGTCATTTTGCCTCGTGACGCCACCCCCGCTTGTCAATGTATATCACGATCTTCAAAGCTCAGATATATAGATACATGTATTACAGCGTTTCTAGCGCTATACAACAAAGAAAGAACAGAAAATTCGTAATGGTCATATGAGAAAAGCAAAACAGAATTCAAAGGAGTACCCTGGTTCGGGCTCATGTAATACGCCCAGAAAGGGGTAGTGAACGATCAAAAGACTACGTTGCATGTCCCAGGAGCCCGGGTGTACAACATACTCGACAGATCGACAGTAGCCGCCTTTGATGTCGCGTATCGCGTCGAAACCGAAGTTGATATGGGGACGAAGCTGCAGGTGTTCAGAAAAGATAAAGAACTTTCTCGAAATTATAGATGGGCTTCCACTAGAATAGGTCGAAGCGCTGCATATACTTATGTGTCCGTGGTATCCTCGTCACCGTTAATACCCCTATCGTCAAAGAAGACGGCGGACTGATGACGTACTTCCTCGATAACGCTTCCCCTTCTTGAGGTCGGGGTCCGTGGGCGCGAGGATGCCGTTGATAGCGTGATACTGTCGGAAAGTTCCGAGTAGTGCGGCTCGTCCTTGTATATATGATCGCTGCGCTCGGGGAAGTTTTCATCCAATCGCTCGACCATAGCGTCCTCATGGTCTGAGATATCGAGCCTGCGGGATAGGATCGGCGAGAGAGAACGGCCGCCGGTGGGGGAACATCGCTTTAGTCCACTCATGATTGCGGTTTCGATTTTAAGTCGGTTTGTTATGAATTGAATTTTGGGAAACGCGCTTTGCTGACCGACGTGGATCATGCGTGCAAGCCTTTCCGGCGTGGGATCCGATAGGATATGAACAAAGTCCGAGATAATACATTTTGGCCAAATGGTCACAGTACCACTGAATTTCTGAAGCCAAATCTCGCTCCAGTCTTGACCCAACGGTCTGGGTAGGAGCTCCAGGTGTCGGAGAACCTTCAGCCATTTGTTGAGATCAAGTTTGATGTACTGTTCAATGGCAGTACCAAGAAATCCACCGCGCCAGCCGCGACCCTTGCGATGCGTCACTGGCCGGCCCACAGTTCCTCGAGAACTAAAGAAGAATAGATTGATACTGTTGAGAAGTTTAGTAAGTATCTTGACCTGTGCACATCTTGTAGAGTTGAAACTTACTGAGGGTTGACTTGCGATACGACGGTAAAGTTCACGTTGAAATGCAAATTCAAAGCCTTGATGGGTATATCGGTCCGAAGACTGCCGTCTTTCCACTTGTGTCCGAAGGAGTAAGGGGCAAGAGTGCCATCGCGCTTTTTGGTCATCAAGACCACGGGGTTCAAAATGCCGGGGACGGCAGCGGAGGCAAGTACGGCACTCCAGATGACGCAGTCCGGACAGGTGAGGTAATTGGCCAGAATGGTGGGGGAGTGAGGGTCCGAGGGCACACAGGATACATTCAGGATGCGGCCTGTTCGTTCGTAGGCTTCCCGAAATGTAGTTGAACCCCTACAAAACCAGCTGCACTGCTTGGCCCAATCTAATGTATCGAACCGAGCACCTGTCTTCCACCAACGACGCACCCACGTTGTGATCCCTTCATTACATGCGCGGATTCGATGTGCTAGCGCGGGGACCAATAGTCTTTTCAATTCCTCATCGGTTCTGGTGGCTATCAGGCCGGCAACCAGTGCCCCGCCCGATGTGCCCGTGATGATCTCCGGCAGCACATCATTCTCCAGCAGCGCTCTGACTACCCCGAAGTGGTAGTAGGCGAAGGTTGCACCGCCAGACAGACAAAGAGCGGTCCGGCCGAAGTTTGTATCGAGGTGTTTGAAAAACCGGTATTTGGTCTCCATGTCGGTCTGCTTACTGTCCAAGACCAGCTGGATGCATGCATGCACCTCATCGATATACTCCTGAACCAGTTCCTTGGTCCCGACATAAGATTCACTATAGATCCGGGGGTTCTCCACTCCAGCAAAGTTGTTTTTGACGCAAGCCTCTAGCAATGATTCAAGGTCGTCTATGGCCGAGCTGATTTCCGTGGTCGGCTCGTGTTGCGCCTCCAGTTCCACATCCTTCCGCAGCTTTCTCAGCTGACCCACGACTTTTGTGACTGTGAGGTGATCGTAGTAAGCGTACTCGTCCACTTGCTTCCATTGTTCATTCCCGAGATAGGCATCCAGGGCCTGAGCTGCCTTCAGCCAGTCCGGATAATTGGTTTGTACTCGAAGTTCTCGACGGAGGCGCTCCCTCTTACCACGCCATGTGACCCATTGCTCATAGCAGAGGACGTACATTCGAACCAGAACATAGCCAAAGGCAAGCATAGCAATCCATGCGAACACGGTCAGAAGAAACGGCCATTTCAGCAATGTGTAGAGAACGCCCTCCCTTGTTTCGTCTTTGCTCCGTTTTGGAGCTTTGCGGCGGCCTCTGGTCTTTCGAACTCGTTGGTTGATTGGACGCCAGTCGTTAATAGCGGTCAAAGGGGATGCTTCTGGGGCGTTCAACGCCTTCTCGAAACGTATCAGGTCGTCTGGATTGATGAACTCATTGTCATAATCAGGCAGACTGGCCGGATTATAGGGGTCGTATTGTAAGGGCACCTTGCTATCGTCTGGCATATTTCAATTCATGGTGTTGCTCAAAGTGGCAATTGTTCATGAACCTGGTTTGGGGGAGCTTTCCCTAGGTTCATGTCATTGTCACGTGCTACCCCACTGTTTGAGCCACATGAGCGTTCCCAATGTGGCTTGACATGTGGCTGAAATTGCCCCGCGAAAGATAAGATAAGAGAGAGGAGATAAGAGGAATGAAGGACCTACTTCGTACTCGTCTATATGATAACTACGGTGAATGATTTGAAGGAGATTTGCGTGAAATTTCTGCTTGACAGTGTGACAATAATTAGTACTTTTCCATCAAGTATGATTCGAGTATTTCTGCAATGAAGAGATTCGGGAAGTTTGCCACACACGGCACAAGCATCAGTGGAGAGAATCAGAGATTTCTAAAGATTTCCGTACAACAATGAACGTTGTAGTGGTCCGTCCCTAATCGGTAACTGGTTGGTATGCCAGCACAACGTCACTGCAGAGGTAATGCTTGAAACCGGTCAAGCACGGCATACCCTTCACCGCTAGATGCTAGCTTATTTCAATCTTAAGAATAGATTTACAGTTGGAAGTCTGATTGGTTAGTCTGTGCATAAGAATTTTATTAAAAAATCACAAATTTTCTCGGTCGTGAGCCGAAGTGGGACTGAAAGGGAGGGGCAGGAAAGCATCCTATGGGCTTCTTCTGTTAGCCGCATGGCCCACCTGAGCACCGCGATATCGGAAGTTCATACATGATTCATGCTCGGCCGTGTTACTTGATTTCTACATAACTCATACTCACAACTCTATTCACTCATGTACTTGGGGGATCATTAAAAAGGTTAATTAGCCTCATTTTCATAGTCATTCCCCCTTCGATGGTGGTCGTGTCGATCCTCCGAGTACTCCGTCTACTCCGTACAAGGGCTGGTAACTATACAGCGGGGCTTCCTATTTTGGATGCCACTAATTAAGCAGGAGTAAATCGATCTATAAAATAGAAAGGCTATGGATAAACAATCGATGAGAATCAGAGCCATTACATCATTAATTAACCCACACCGGAAGTCATGTAGCGGGTCTCAAACTCCAGTCTCCACTGAAGTTAGAATGGAGCCCACGATGTTGAAAACTCACTGAGCCTTTCCGCTGTTAATCGTAGAAGACATGATTCTCAAGCCTCACTAGGCTAAAGAATTTGCTGGATTCTTATTGAAGATCAGCTGAATGTGAATGATCACATCTGATCTTCGATCATGTCGTATAGATACAAAGTTTCAACGGCAATCTGCCACATGAGACATTATCGTTGCGGCCAGACGAGCTCGAGCCACTAGATCGAGAGGTTTCCCGAACACTTGATATTCTACCCTGTGCTCATAGATCATAACGGGATAGTATAACCGGAAAATCAGCGAGGTCATATGGAAGAAATTAAGCAGAACTCTTCAGCGAAGATATCTAGATAGACAACATAAAAGAGAAACGCATCCATATCAAGCATCTGAGTTGGTAGATATCAGGTCTGTGAATCTGCTATTACAAACGACATCATATATTCATTATAAAATAGTTACACTCTCATCTTCCAAGACTCTCGGCCTCGTGGCAGGAGTAAGATTACTGAGGGAATGACTGATCCTAAGGTCAGTAGGTGTATTGATCTCCTGTTTATTATATTGTATTAAGAGAGAGTAGTTCTTTGGGTCACGGGGTCAAGCTTGGTATTATGGAGTAAATCATCTGAGCTTAAACAATCGGAATCATGAGATCGTAGTGGATGTTTAAACTTCGATTACCAAAATCTTACTATTTTAGACTTAGACTAGGTTTAAATAAGCGAATCAGGTTATGCTGCTTATATAATACTTGATTGATACGGACTTTTACCAAAAAGCAGCCAGTACCTATGAAGAGGGAGAAATAGTACTAACAAGGAATACTATTATTGCATTCAATTTTCTATCTCAGCCCCCTCGTGTAATTTCAGAACAAGTCTCAGCCCTGAACTCAGTGTTCCTCGTTCGATTACACGATAGGCACAGAGATATTGACAATACAAATTACAGAGTATCATAAAACTATAAAAATGAAAATGAAAAAAACAAAAAAAAAAAAAGGAAAGCCTTCCTCCCTTCCAACCATCCAGGTTTGGCCTTGAAGATCCAGCGAATTTCAGTGGCGCACCGTATGCGCGGCCGAGGGGCTGTCAAAACAAAAAGCAGGACTACTACTTCAGCAAAGCCGCCATGACTTGGCAGCAAAATGACCTTGCCGTATCTCACCAATCATACTCCTCGCTGGCATATCATCGTACTTAATATCCTTGTGGATTGAAGGTGGGGTCAAACTGGCCATTGACAGTGGGCAGCCCTGTGTAAATGAAGGTGTAAAGGCGTTTAGCATACTCCATACTTCGCTATAAAACGTAGAAGGCGGGTCGATCCAGATGATCAGTTGTGGGCCTTTTCATAAGTATTCCATGTGCGAACTATACGGAGTACACATTCCTGAATTCCTTGGTGGAATGGAATACTAGAATACCTACTGGAATTGAAAAAGTTAATCAAATTCAACCCATGCCACTGATAGGGTTCTGTCGTAGCGTGATCCTAGTGCATGTGGCTGCAAGGATGTCTGCATATGAGCTCCCTTTCTCGCAGACTTCAGCTTCTCTGCGTAGGATTTGACGTTTATTCAAGCGTCAAGAGGCGTCCATAGGGATGAGGGGTAAAAAGAATGTATAGAAATTAATCCCCTTAATATACCCCGCGCTTTAAGATCTGCCCCAGGGATATGATTTCATGTATTAAGTAGATAAGTAAGTAGGTACTATGTAGGACGAATCAAGACGTAGACTCGCATTCGTATACTATACTTCGCGATATTAACTCAAATTACTCCATACAGATACGCCCATAGTCATGGCACGATCTGTCAACTGCATCTGCAATATCTATGCGTCCCGCGTCACATAGATGAAACTAATTGTAGTGGACGGGAAGATAGAGGAAACCATGGGTTTGATGACGCTAAATCGTGAGAAATGTAAGCGGTGTAGGAATAATTGGTACTGGGTACATAGTAAATATATGAGGATACATTTGTCAAGATGATGATGGAGGTGGGATGTATGGGATGTGGGTATCCAACCGTATGAAGGATTGATGTCAGTCATCAACGAGTGTACAGTGTACCGAGTACCAAGGATGCTCCACTATGCGAAATGGATCAGATGTCAGTGCGAGGTGACCCGGTTCATCCTAGATAGCACTAGTATAGTCTCCGCTCTGATTGTGCTTGATATATGTATTAAACGAGCAGAGGTGGATTTTATCTGATATATTAGAATGTAATGAATCTGATGAATAGTTGTAGTAGATATTCAGTGTGATTACTGTGTATGTCAAAAATATTGTACTTCGTAGTAATGTAAACGTTGACCAAAGCGGGCCAAGTATGGGGCAACCAAGCGTTGAACTGCGCCATATGAATTTTTCTCAGCCGGTCCTGCACGGCCTGAGATCAACATCCGTACGCCACTAAAGGATTGTGCATATGAAGCGGCTAAGTGGGTGTTTTTACTTTATTATTATTATTATTATTATTATTATTATTATCCTACTTCGTATATTACTATTTTATTATTATTATTCTCTACCTACTTATGTGGAATCTAGGAATTAAATTATACTTCCGGTACATCAGAATATGTAAGAGATCGCTAATTAACCAAGTAGAATCCATGGTTAGAAAAGAGGGGACAAAACGGTTGTGTTATTCTGTACTCTCGACTTACCTATACAGGTTTAGTGTCCCTGCAGGAATTAGTTTTAGTAACATCTCCGAGTTTCCGTATTTATGTAGGAATAGGGGTATTCCATAGATCTTACTGAGGATGAAACATTATGATGGGATCGAGTGCAAATCTTGAAAACTTGGAGTCTTGGAAGAATAGTGGAGGATTAATAGAATAAGAGAATAATTAGAAAGAGTAAGGGGAGGGAGGCCACTAGAAATGATACTAAATTTACTAAAAACAAAAATAATATGACGGATGGAATTAGCCCCGAGAAAAGAGAAATGAGAAAATAGAAAATAGAAAACAGAAAACAGAAAACAGAAAACAGATAATACTTTTTCTGTTATCTTTTGGATCAGACTCCATTCTTATTTAGCGGTTACCCCGTGCCACCAAATCTTCCCCCTTCAACCTTCTCTTACCCCATCTCGAGATCTAGGATTTCGACCTCCGATCCCTTGGGGTACATATTCTGTCTCTTCTTGTGTGTACTTATTTCTGTCTTTTCTTTGCTTCTTTCCTTTTTTTCTGTATCTCGAGGCAACCCGCTAACTCCACTTCCACATCCAGTCCCCTAGGCGACACGACGAGATCTTTTTTTTTTTTCTGGTCGCATCAGCACAATGTCGATCATTGAAAACATCTGTTAAGCGATTCATCTTCTTCGTTGGGTCCTTTCATTTCCACCCAACCCTCTTTTCTATCATGGAGAAGCCGAATGCTGAAGATGGACAACTCTTCATCAAGGTAAGTTGCCTTACCCTCCAAAAAAAAGGCCAAGTCAATGATTCAATGAGTCATGAATTGATAAGTTTGTCCATTGGTATACTGACAATACTTGAATCCTCACAGAACCTAGCCAGCTTCGTCCGTACACACGAGAAGGCGCTCGCTAACGCCCTTCAACTTCGGCGGCAATCCAATGCCGCCGCTCCGCAATCACCTACCGGCTCGTCCGCGAGTTCGGGCTTCTCTAGTTCGTTGACTCTGGCTTCAGCCTTGTCCTTTGGGTCATTAAAATTCACATCTGAAAACATCAAACCTGCAAAACTCACCCTAACCCCGCATCACCTCTTCTACCTACTTTCTCGCTTCGAGGAACTGTCTATTGCCGTGGGGCCTATGAACGTCCGGCTGGAGAATATCCAGACCGAAGTCTCCCAGTCATATGTTTCCTTCCTCAACAAACCTCAGCGCTCCAAGGGCGACCGGGACTCCATTCATTCAATTTCCAGCGTTCGGAGTGTCATGTCCGGCATGAGCGGGCTCTGGTCCTCCTTCGGCTTGGGATCAAAAGACACTCCATCTAAGTCCGAAAAAGCCAAAGTCGCCCTGGAGGCGGATATGAAGTACCTGTACTCAGCCTTCACCAAAATCCCTTGCCTACGTCTGGCCCCTGACCACCGTGCCCGCTTGATTAGCGGGTATGAAGAATTCCCATTTGACACGGCGGTGCCTTTGCATTCATTCAAAAATTTGAGCGCCTTAGAGATCATTGACATTGACTATCGTTCCTTTTTCGGCTGGGACCGATTGTCGGAGCAGCTCCGCACCCTCACCATCAAACGGGCTCATCTAGATGACCCGGCCGATCTGTTGATCAGAATCGTGTTGGACGATATCGACAAGCGTCGTCGCCGATCGGGCAAGTCGCAACATCAACATTCACCTCCCATTGGATGGACCAACAGCGCCAGTCAACCAGTCCTCAGTTCCCATTCCTCTATATCCGCCCCTGGCTCCCCTGTTGCGGAGACCGCCCTGGGAAGCAGCACAAGCCCTGGATCTGTTCCAATGATGCGAGCCGGTTCCGAGGGTACCACAATTCGCAACCGGGCCGACAGCAGCTCGCCGACTCGTCCCACCACCAAGCATAGTCACCACCGCCACAGTCGAGGACAATCGTCGCGTATCCATCGCACAGGCTCAGGCAGTTCCAACTCGAGTGATAACTCTGGCGGCTATCAACGATCGGGAAGCTCGGCGAACCTTGCGTCTGGTCTTCTATCACCCTCCAAATGGAGATTCTTGCGACACTTGGGCCTCCCAGAAAACTCTTTGACCGCAATCTCTGCTTCAAGCCTTGCACCCGTGGCTAATACTCTGAATTCATTGGATCTGTCAGCGAACCTCCTCACCGAGATTCCGGATAGCTTGTCATCCCTCATGGCGCTGCGTGCCTTGAACCTGTCGCACTGCATGATTGAGTCCCTGCACTCCCTGACTCGAAGCCCTCTGCCTGCTATTACTGCACTTAATCTCCGAGGCAACCGACTTCGCTCGCTGGCCGGCATTGAACGACTTCTCTCTCTGGAGAGACTGGATCTTCGAGACAATAATCTCATGGACCCAACAGAGATGGCCCGACTGACTAGTCTTCCTGAAATCCGAGAGATCTGGGTGACGGGAAATCCATTTGTGAAGACCCACCCAAACTACCGCGTCGTCATCATGAATCTCTTCCGCCGCACCCCTGGCTATTCCGAGGATCTGATCATTGATTGCCGCGGCCCAGGCTTCACCGAGCGAAAGCAGCTGGTTGATCGAATTGCAGAGCCCGAGAGCGCCCCGGTGGTGCGCCCAACTTTGGTCGATCAATCGGCCGTCGTCCACAAAGCTGCCAGTCCAGGTATTATCCAGGGTATTCCGCTTCTCAAACCTACAGAAAATGACCAGGAGACTGCAAAGGCTACCGCTCGAAATGAAAACGAAGGCACCAACCGTCGCAAGAGGACTCCGCGGCGCCGCATCGTGGACACATCGACGACCAACCCATTCGCCACCGACGGTCTCGGCAGTGTGACGTCCGTTGTACCGACTCAACAAGTACTGAACCCGAACCAACCGACTTTGGCACCACCATTTGAACACGCAAGTAAATCTGACAGCATTGTGCAGTCTGCCTCATCGAGCGTCCAGAGTCCACCTACTAAGCCCGTTCACTTCTCTAATCCCTCCCCTCTACAGCCTGTGGTGCCATTGACATCCGGACGGGACTGGTCATTGGATGAAGAGCTATGTCGTCAACAATTGGAGGCTCTTCGACAGGATGTGGGTCAGAATTGGATTTCTGCCCTGGGAGACCGATCATGGGACGGTTCCCCCAAACAACATCCGACTCGCCTGACAGGTCCGGGCTTAGATCACCCAGCCATCCCAACTCCGCCCTTGGCTCGTGCTTCTAGCCACGCTATTCTGAGTGGAGGACGGACCTTGACCGGATAAACACTTTTACATGCTATCCTTCGCATCATTCCACTTCATCTCATATTCTAACCCATATCCCCCTATACCGTATGTCTTACGGCAGAGGACTTTCTCTTCATATCTCCCCTCCGGAGTGTTCTTTCAGAACTACTCGTTGCATTTCTTTCTTTTCCTTTTCTGGCGTCTAATTGACTGAATGACTTACGTTGGGTGGCATGTATGACCATTTACGGCTTCTGCTTTTTGCCTTTTCCCTTTTCGCGCAGCTTTCTGGCATTTTGATTTCCATTTTTCTCATTTTTTGGAGGGTACCTTGAAGACAAATTTCTCTAGAGCGCGCGTGTATTGTATGTTGGCGTTGGCGGTTTTCCCTCTTATTCCCCTCTGTTCTTTCGTTTCTGGCCAGCGTTCCTCTGCGTTGTTTCCCGAGCCATGTGTGGCATGACGCTATGAATCTCAAAATAATACCAGTTGATCAACGATTCTGTAGAGTCTGTGTTTTACGGTAGTACGTATCAGATACTAAAACCATTCCAAGGTTTCTTAATAATCCAATGGGAAGCACGGCTATGTTCGGCAGCTCTGAACACTCCGGGTCAGTGCAGAGTGGAGATCAAACAATGATATTAACACTCAACTCGTCAATTCAAATCAAGACCGGAAGAAGATGGAAGTTGCGGGGCTTGAAGAAAGCTATAAAAAGTTGTGATCAAGGAGTGTTTATGGATGCGAGCCCCTCCATCAAGCTACCTAGGTAAGTGGCAAAGCAGTGTAGATGAACATGAATATTGGTAAGACTATGAATATGATTATCCGTACATCTTAGATATCAAGAAGCGCTTATCTATTATCTTTTATTTTGATTGAATTACCTTAGTGTAGTCGATCTATAACGAGAAACCAAACACCGCAAACACAAGCCCTGGAACTTCCCGCTTTCTCTCCCTGTGCAAGATTCTCCTCTCTTCATCTCGTCGAGACTCTCCAAACACATTTTTTTTTCTCAACGTCCAACTTTTCGCTTTGTCATCGCTTGATACAAAGCAAAGAGAGGTTTTGTTTTTTTCTCCCTGGATTGATTCCCTTTTCCTGAAAATCTCGCCAACCCCAAACTCGGTTCGCCCCCTCCCTTCCATCCTGCTCGATTTCAGGTTCTTCAACGAAGAACACACGATCAAAACTCTTGCGACCGTGCTTACGAGTCATCTCTTCTGCCCGATTTCAATAATCGAAAAAATCTCTGTTGAGAGGCGCCCCGTTCTCTTTCTCTGGCTTCTTTGCCAGATTCCAAATACTACGCGGCCGCAAGGCCTTCAGATCCTTGAGTCTCTGCTCTCATTTATTATTAATTGGTAAGTTCTTTTATTCTCTCACCTCTGATTTAATCCACTGTGTTTACATGCCAAAATTTTCAATTTGGAAAAATTCGTCATTGGAAACGCGCCTTTTACCCCCGTGGATTCTAAATCAGAATTTGCGAACTGGACTGGCGCCCCTCGTCAAATTTGTTCACATCGCTAACAACTCACTCTCATTGAAGAACATAGCCGCGTCATCGAGACTCATCCGCCCCAGAAGCCATCTCTTCCCCGCGCGTGCTTTTTTTTCCTTTTTTTTCTTTTTTCCGCTTCACTTCGTGCTTTTCTTGTTTTCTTCTTGTCCTCGTTGACTCTTCAAAATGGCCGACCAAGAAGTTGACCTCGACTCCATCATTGACCGTCTGCTGGAGGTGAGGGGCAGCCGACCCGGCAAGCAGGTTCAGCTGTTGGAATCAGAGATCCGCTTTCTCTGCACAAAGGCTCGTGAGATCTTTATCTCTCAGCCTATCCTTCTGGAACTTGAGGCTCCCATCAAGGTGCGTGAATCGCGTGGATCATTACACATTAAATCCATCAATTAACCAATTTCATCCGCAGATCTGCGGTGATATCCACGGGCAATACTACGACCTTTTGCGTTTGTTCGAATACGGTGGCTTCCCTCCAGAGGCCAACTACCTCTTCCTCGGTGATTATGTCGACCGCGGTAAGCAGTCGCTTGAGACCATCTGCCTGCTCTTGGCCTACAAGATTAAATACCCTGAAAACTTTTTTATCCTGCGTGGTAACCACGAGTGCGCCTCCATCAACCGTATTTACGGTTTCTACGACGAGTGCAAGCGCCGCTACAACATCAAGCTCTGGAAGACTTTCACTGACTGCTTCAACTGCCTGCCCATTGCGGCAATCATTGATGAGAAGATTTTCACCATGCACGGTGGACTGAGCCCCGATCTGAACTCCATGGAACAAATCCGCCGAGTTATGCGTCCCACTGATGTAAGTTTTCCATTTTCTAATACTGACTTCCCTCTGGCACGGGTTTGTCTTGGGACTGGATAAAAGTGGCCAAGCGCTGGTGCCATTGAGCTCATCCGGCTCAGATCCAAGATTACTGACTTGTCTAGATTCCTGACTGCGGTCTTCTCTGCGATCTTCTGTGGTCCGATCCCGATAAGGATATTACCGGCTGGAGCGAGAACGACCGAGGTGTCTCGTTCACATTCGGACCCGATGTGGTTTCTCGCTTCCTCCAGAAACACGATATGGACTTGATATGCCGTGCGCACCAGGTTGTGGAAGATGGATATGAGTTCTTCTCCAAGCGCCAGCTCGTCACGCTTTTCAGTGCACCAAACTACTGTGGTGAATTTGACAATGCTGGTGCTATGATGAGCGTCGACGAGAGCTTGCTCTGCTCCTTCCAGGTAAGTTTTGAGATTTCAAATCCACGTTACCCAAATTCCCATGACTAATTGCCCAATTAGATTCTCAAACCTGCCGAGAAGAAACAAAAGTACGTTAGCGTTTACGGTGGCGCGCCGGTCACTCCTCCACGCAAGCAAATGCAAATGCAAAAGAAGAAGTAAAGGATACGATACGAGCTTTCCTATGTGCAGCAGGTTCGGGCGGAGATAAGCCATCAAAATCTCATCGATAAACAACTACCACGAATGATCCCCATCCCCTTTCTTCCTACAATATCCGCGAGTTCCAATCCAATCCTACCGACCCCGACGAATCGATGAAACGACCGAAGAACCCTCATGCAACAGCAGGGCAGCCGAGTAAACAATCCCCAACTCTTCTCAATTCACGATAATTTTCTTAACCTCCCCGATCAAGCCTCCCCTCCCCCTCGTCTCTTAAACAACAGCCAGGTCTTAACCTGGTGCGACAATGCGAAAACCCGTCTATCCATTTCTGGCCGCTGGCCGACTCGTGCGAACCTGTGTTTCCGGAGCGGAAGGCTCTCTTTTTTATCTATTCCTTGAGTCTTTTTCTTCCCCTGTGTCCTTTTTTTATTTCTTTTCTTCCTTCCCCTCCATCTCTTTGTGCTGCTTCTTCCCCTGTGTGCTTTAGTTCTTTTCTTATCATCTGGAAGGAAATGTTTTAGTCTCGGCATACCTTGAAGAAAACTGGAACTTGGTCATATTATCTTTATCTGGTTTCTGTCTTACCGGTGTGTCTTGAATTGAATTGATCCTATGTCTCTCTATTGATCTTCAGAGTACGAGATGTAGATGTAGATGTAGAATTACACCGCTGTAATATGTAACATAGTACAAAGTAGATTTTTTTTTCCATACTCTATCTCAGCGAAGGAGCGCCTCGAGTTCACATTAGTAGAGCCAATCCCAGTCCATGTCTACAGCGTCTACAATCAGAAAAAAAGATACTCGGAAGCTGTTACTTTTTGATGAATATTATAGCATGAATAATGTCGGCTAATAGACACGATAAAAAATGCATTGGGTACATACAGAGTGACACATCAAACATGACCTGAGCAAGAAAAACGGGGGAGAAAAAGTTGGAGCTCACAAGAGCTCACGAGAGCTACGCAATTTGTAATTGCAGGGAATGGGGATGAGGGATGGTAGAGGTGTTGGAATGGAAGGCATGATACCACGTTCAAACAATTTGAAGAACATCTAGTTTATTCTCGGATGAATAGAATATGATGAATGACACGTGGTGGATTTGATGAAGGGGTTTCGGGTTCGAATTCGGGTTCGGGTTCGGGTTCGGGTTCGGGTGCGTTCGTATCGACTTGTCTATTTAGACATACTGGGACAACCATCTGATGCCCTCGCCGTAACCTTAACAAGACAGTCAGCACAGGAACAGGGCACAACCCAAAATACTAGATGTAAGACTCACCCTGACGCATGACAACACTGCACATGAACAGCTCGATAGGCCGAATGTCCTCAAGAGGAACCTTGCCCTTACCAGTAGTCTGGTACAGACCGAGCTGGTGGCGCAGATCATCCTCACTAACAGCATCGGGGTGATCGATCTTGTTGCCGAGAACGAGGAAGGGAACCTTGGCCAGGTCTTCCATGGCGAGGAGGGCGTCAAGCTCAGCTTTGGACTCTGGGAATCGCTCGTAGTCCTTGGCGTCGACTAGGAAGACAATGCCGCTGACTTCAGGGAAGTAATCCTTCCACAGACGACGGGCTAGATGGTTATAACATTAGCGTGCTGCTTTTTTTTTTGGGATGGATTTGATTGTGAGTGGGACTCACCCTGCTGGTGACCACCCAGGTCGAAAGTTGTGAAGCGGTTGTTGCCGATGGCCAGTTCCTCGGAGGTTGGGTGGGCGGTTGGCTGGAGGACGGCGACACGGTCGTTCTATAGATGCCGGTCAGTTTGTGTTCCTTTTCTTGTTCGTCTTTGGCACTATGCTAGGTCTTCAAGCTCACCTTCAGCATGTGCAACAGGGTGGTCTTGCCGGCATTATCGAGACCGAGGAAGAGGAGCTTGGCGTGCTTGTTAAGGAGGCCAAGAGAGGCTAGGACATCGTAGACTAAAATGTGAAACTTGTCTTAGCAAATGCTGAAATGGATTCGGACGTGAATTCGTGATCACGAGCCCGGTCATGGCGAATGTCAGCCTATACCCCGGTACCAGAAGACACTGTGAACTTCCCAGGAGAAGTGGTTCTGTGATTTAAGGAATGGACTCGTTAAGTCTGAAGCAGTTCTTCTCTCACTGTGTTTCTGGTTTGGAGGTGGTTGGCCTGGCCGATGTTGATGGGGGGAAAACTACTTACACCAGTTGATGATCCACATGGTGAAAGAGGAAAGGTTCGGATGAGTTTATGGAAGCGCAAAGATTATTATGTCGTTAGCACGATAGCGCTGAGGGAGGAGATGGTGGGATGGGAAATGGGTAAATGAAGAGTGGACAGGTTGATGTTGTTTTCGGGAATCCATTGGACGACGTTTGATGCCTGAGGCAATCAATCGGCTGTGGCGCTTTTGCAGGACGGTATTGCGACGGCTTATAGAAAGAGAACCTTATAAAACTGATCTATCGTTTACAATGGGATTACATAGGGATATCATGCTTGAGAAATTATTTGGTATTCTAGTATTTAGAACGGCGTTGGAGCCTTCTGTGCTGACTCGATCAGCCCGCTTTATCCACAATGCAGCAAATTCAGATAAGGGGTATATGCAAACCACGGCCACCAATGCAGGAAAGGAAAACGATGAAACCTCCTGAATAAATGACGGGTGAAAACGAGAGCGCAAAATGAAAACAAAGGACATATCCCCCAAGGATATATAATTATAAAAAAAGGATGAAAAGGAGAAAGGAAAAAGGAAAAAAAAAGTGAAAGTGAAACCAATCAATGGATGTCAAGTTGGTTTGACATATATATAAATATATATATGTATAAATATATATATATTTGAACGAAGGGGTAGCTGGTTTCCAAACCGGCTAAAGAGAGATGATGATGAAGAGGAAGATATAATATGTACTTTAGAGAAAGGGGGTTGGGGGATTTTGAGTCCATTGGTTATGGGAGCCTTAAACGGATAGGACGAGCTGGGTATCTTCACCGACACCATAAGCTCTGCACCTCTCTGCAACTTCGAGGCCAAGCTCCTTCATCCGTTCGGCTCCCTTGCCGGGAATCGGCCGCCGCTCCAGCTGCTCTTTGGCAGCTTTGCGGCAGTGTTGGCGCCAGAACTTTTCTTTGCGTTTCTGGCGCTTCTTTTCGAGACCCTCAACTATGTCGATGGGTCCTCGAGTGTGTAGCTCGCGTGTGCGGGAATGTTCCCGCTCCGGTGACTCAGTCAATGGTGGGATTCCAACCCACCGGTGCGACTTGTCCAAGCTTGTGAAGAATGGGTTCGGAGTCCGAGGTAGCGACTTGGTGCGGATCAAGGGGTGTCGTTGAACTAGATGACTAATGTTCACCCCTTGAGTCGACTCAACCACGGGCATATCCTCCGAAAAGTTCCACTTCTTGGGAGACGGGGACTTGGCCCGAGGACGAGGGGGAGGAGACTTGAGTCGCTTCGGCGACGTACGGCCATTCCTACGACCTGGCGGAGGGGGAGAGACCAGGCGCTTGGGCGAGTTAAGGGGGGATGCTTTGTGTACTGGTACCTCCGCGCGACCACGAGCGGGCTCTGAATCAGAGGTATCTTCTTCAGAGAGATCCTCGATATCTTCCTCGTTCTCAGGATCACTGGTTGGGAAGCTGGGGTCGATGTCCTGTGGGATCAAGACGTGCCTCGACAGACGCCGTTGCTCCAGACACGACTTATAGGCAGCCTCGAGAGGACGATCCTCGTCCAGAGTTCCACATACAAAGTCCGTGCTGTCGGGCAACTTTGGGGTCCGCGGGCGCATCTTGATCGGCTTAGAGTTGGAAATGCGACGGCCGAAACCAAAGCCAGGTATCCTTCGAACCGGTGCCGGTAGCCAATGGGTATGGTCATCAGTCATCGAGTCGACGGAGGTATTGGAAGCACGACGTCCTATGGCTGGAGCCGCGATGTCAATGGCTGGGATGTTGGAATCGGATACATTGGCTGATGGAGCCCACCACTCGTAATCGGAGCCATCGTCGTCATTATCCGATTCTGCAAATCCCTCCTCATTGTCGGACTCGTTGCCGTCGTCGGAAGAAAAATCGTGAACGGTGGAATCATCGTCCGCAATGTCTTCAATCTCATCTTCTTCCTCTTGCGCCTCTTCCTCCGCCTCTTCGCCAAGACGTCGGATTGCGTTCTCTTTCTTCATACAGTCATTAAGAGTGATTTTCTCGGCGAAATCCGTTCTTGACGTCTTGACCCACTCATCGTCCTCGTCCAAAGAGCTAGCGAACTCGTGGAAGCGAGTGGCCTCGGAGACTTCAAATTTACCCAGTCCACTCGTAGTGATGCCCAGAACCTTCTGCTTGCTCTTCTCCGAGACTTCTGCGGTAAGAGAGGTTTTGCGCGCAACAGGGGCAGGGGAGCCGCGGCACCGCGAACGGAACACGTTCTTCCGTGTGGGAGAACGCTCTCTTTGAATTGCGGGCTGACGACCGGGGCATACGAAGGTGAGAGTAGATTTGCGCGTAACGGATTGGGGGCTTTCTTTGGCGGAATTAGGTGTGGTAATAGACGCGACGGAGGGTTTTCGTGCTACGGCATCGTTGGTCTTGCGACCACAAGCGAAGCTGATGCAACGCTTACGTCCCAAGTTGGCCTCGACAGTCGTCTCACCGGTTGTGCCGACCTGGATTTTGGGAGAAACGGTGACTTCTCTTCTAAAAGAGATGTGTTTGGCCATCATCTGAGGGGGAAGGGGAGGGCTGGGAGTGTTCGACAGGGAGGGACTGGTCATGCCACCATCGCTGGTAAGCTCAGCCGTAGAAACACCACTGATGTTACTAAAAGGGTAGGAGCGGTTTGTGTAGATGGAGTCGTGGAGGGATGGGTGTGGTTCGGTTGGGGACATTTCCGGACTACTCTTCAAAGCGCGAGTGAGAAGTGATTCCTTCTTGTTAACCATTGGGGCGAAGACGACGGCGTCTTCGTGGTGAATATGTGATGAGTGTATGAGGTGGTGATCGGGGGGTTCATCCAAGTCCTCTGGCACGTCGGCCTCGTCGTGAGATGGGGTTGACGACGAGTTGGGTGAGAGAAGCATCTTTAATAGATTGTTAAATGAGAAAGGACGGTCACTACCGCGCCTTTGAGCCATATTTTAAGACAGAGATAGGTTTGACTTTTTCGAGCAAAAAGAAAAGAAGACAAAAAAAATATCGATGTAGCAATAGTAGTAGGTGGCGGACTGGTCACGAAGTATATGCTCGAATAGGACTGTCAATATCAAATGGATACAACAGTGAAGTAATCAAGCCCCGCGAAGGACGCCGGTCATGATATACAAAACATGACTTGGGATTGACGTGGGGATATTCTTGAACGTAAAAGGGTAAGAAGAATAATTGAATCCCAGAGGAATGGCAGTCGAGGGCCGGAGAGGTAGTATCGATAGTTTCTTGGCTTCTTGGCTTCTTGCCAAGAGTTAAGATTGAGGAGATTAGAAGCGAAGAATGTGAATGTGAATATTTGTAGGAGGGGAGAAATGGTGGGGGAGGAAGATATTGAAATATGGAATATGGAATATGGAAGTATAGAAGTAGAGGGGACGATACACGGGAGGACGGCATTGTCGGCTTAGGCTTAGCCTTGAAATTTATGTATTTTTGAAAATACTGAATTTTCGAAAATTGAAATTTAATAAAAATCTCTATTTCTGACTAAGTCACTCCCACTCGCCACAAGTTCACTTCTTCCATGGATTTTCCAATGACCCCACTGGGATCTGTTCCTGCGCCAATAGTAACAATACTATTTTCCCACTATTATTTTCATTATCCATTATTCATTATTTACCATAGCAACTAGATCAAGTCCAGTCTAGTGTCGTAGCGAGCTCAATCTTTTTTATCCGTACTAAGGGTTTCATTTAGTGGAGTCTTACTTACTTTTGTTATGAGGGATTTTGTTCTCCGGCTAAACTACTGTGTACATGATTGAACTTCTGTTTAATCTTCGTTATACAGATGGCTGAGCTTTCAAATCATCGGATATACTGAAGAAGAAGGAGAGCAATGGATGAAAACGAATTGTATTGGTATTGGTATTGTCATCTCACGTCAGAAAGGTGCTTCCATCCTGTAAAAATCGAGTATTTCATGTATGATCCAGTATCACACACTTCTAATCTTAGGGGTGTCCCTTGGTAGTCTTTGGAAGGGAAATTAGTAAATGAAAAGCCTTGGAAATCAAGTTAGCATAACAGGATTGAATATCAATGACCCGCCATAAACCTAGTGATGAAGGGTTTGGCCCTAACCGGAGCTAACCAGTATGGAAATCTCCTGACCGAAAACAACTTAGTACTAAGTATTATGCAGACTTAATTTGGTATAGGGTTGTATTTTATATCTTGTATTGTTACAGTATTGTTTACTATGTTCACCCCCGAGATTCAATTTCTTGGCTAACTGCCCCCCTACCGATCTACTGTCTCGTCCACATATGATCCCCCATGCATGCACTTCAAACATGCCAAGGTGAAAGGAAGACTTCTCCCCATTTTTAGAATCTATCGGGGTCATCCCTTACTCAGATACAATGTAGATGTATTTCCATACTCTTTACTCAGGATCTGCGGTGAGACCTTGAAGCCTGACTGCATCCACTCCACGCTGCCCTCTACCAAACAGTCAGACAGTTGCTCTTCATGTCGGGATAAAAGGTGGAAACCAATCATTTCCATCAATGCTGACGAATGGTACTTCCTTGGAACAGGAGGAGCGGTCAGCTGGGATCGAAATCAGAAACACCAACCCTTGGATCGGACCCATATGACGTGGGGGATTTTGGGTATAAATCTTTCTTTCTTATTCATCTTTCTCATCTTTTCCTGAATACTATGAAAAGGATGATGGATCGGATCTTTTCGAAACTCACAGATCTTAACAAGCTTCCTATTTCATCAGATCCGCACCCCACACTCTGTATGAACAGGCATCTCCCTTGTCATATTGCATTCTCAGTGGCTTATTGAAAAACCGACCGCGGGGCAAAACTTTGGATTCAGCTCAGTTCTAAATTATGAAGCTTAGTGTCAATAACTATATACTCCGTACCTATAGTACATAAAATGTGAGATTGGGAAAAAGGAGATTTTCCAAAAAAAAGAAAAAGAAAGAAAAAGAAAAGAAAAAAGTGCTGCAGCGTGACACGAGATCTCCTGTTCTTTTGAGATACGGACTCGGGGAGAATAGTCAAGTACTCCGTTATACATAGTTGTACTCCGTACACCGTAAGCATTCGATCTCCACAAAGTCCCCAACATTTTAGGACTGTACAATCTGATTACCTAACTTGTTATGGAATGACTCAAGATAGTCATACATTAAGCCTTACCAAATCGAGTATCCTGACTCTCCAAGACGGACTGATAAATCTCTCTATGAAACCCGCATAATATGCCCGTGACGGTAACGGGGGCGGCAAGCCTCATTACAATGCATAAAAGTACTCCTCTTCCCGGGCATTCAATGAAAACACGATGGACTAAGTACGGAGTAGCGCCACTAACTTTCAGCAGGGCGTAACCTGATGCATTAAGGTGTGAACTGTGCATTGTTGCATCACTCTAGTACTACTAGAGTCAAGTGCTGGCACGAGCGGCACATTCAGAACCTTTTTGAAGATGCCATTGGATATACACTGACCGACGAGACAACTGGGAATAACAACTGTGGAAGTGGAGAGGTTAAGCCATCTACCTATGTAGCCCAATTAGGGCATCAAATCCGGCTCTTTTGACTTTAGGCTCGTTTATTTGGTTAGCATGGTTAGCATGGGCTGTTAATTAGTGTGCGGAGTACTCTTGTCTAACTATGAGGCATTTTATTTTGTATGCGCTTCCACTTTCTCCACTATGCGACTGTCTCCAGAAACAGTTTAAACCGAAACTCCTCATCTAATTGACAGCGGCTGTTTCGCTTGGCTCTTTCCACATTGCATATTCTTACAATACACTATTCCCCGCTTGGATTTGACACGCCAGGAGAATACGAAATGACTATCGCTGTCGATCAATTGGTGTCTTTTCCCTTTCTGTCGGTCCTATCTTAAGTCCACGTCTCCCTATCCCTTATCCTCTTAGAGCGGACTATTCCCAGGTAGGTTGCTGGCGGACAACGTTCCACGTTGCCACCATCACTGATCAGGTATGGCACTTCCTTCAGTCTAAATGCCACTTGTCATGCAATCTTTAGAATGGCCGAGGAATGATGGCAATTGTGTCTATGGCTTCGCATCACGCTATCATTCACCGGAAGAAGGCATGTCATCATGATCTCGGGAGTAATCCGTGTAACTAAGCATAGAACTGAGTACTTACGGATGTTCGGAGGAACGGTGGAGTTTAGATCCAAAGTACGTTTCTACATTGATACTCTGTTCGGTATAAACAAGTATGAAATCAATGTTTCCAATTGTCTCACGGCTGCAGACCAAACAGACCAAACAGACCAAACAGGTCAATTGGATGAATTGACGAATACAGCGGATTCCACTCCTTCCCTCCATCCCTTCCAGCCAAGAGATTCCTCTGCACAATACTACAGTGCCACAACGCACACCCCTGATCGCCCGGACAAGGCAGGACCTGTGAACGTCGATTCCCGGCTGGGCCTTGGTGCTGGAATGCTTGGCTGATATATAAAACTGCCAAGACCTGCAACGGTCGTCAGAATGCGCGCGTTCTCGATATTCAATGTCTACGAGCTGTCATCCCTAAACAATTGAAGAAACAAGGGGGTGAAAAGCGGAACTATCTATGGGTTGGAGTGGATCTTGTTTGGAACCCCTTTAATTGCTTTTTACTACTATGTACAAAGGCTCTGACCGAAGTGATTCTCCTCAATGTACACTTCGTATGGATATTACTCCTTATATGGAGAATAGAGCATACTTGGAAAGCAAACTATCAATTCTCGGCGCCAAGTCCATCGTCGTCAGACCTAAAAAAGGAAGCATGTTACAGAGGGCTCGGCAGTGCAATTTCAATATTTATCGTCCATCATCTATTGAACGATGCCAAGGGCGATCCTGGTGATCTTAACCTCCAGATCTGCAAGGAAGGGATGACTTGGCAGCGTCCAAGGTTAGGAAATGACACTATTTAAGACTCTATCGTTTTTCCAAGGTTGGCGCCAAGCCGTCTCTCTGTCCGATATATGCACGATTACTGGATAGGGTTGAATTCACTGTGTACATAGGGGGGCCAGTGCGACGGTGCGACTATGAACTGGGTCCTGTATCGAGGTATGTTCTATTCAGGCGCGGGATCGACGTGTTACATGCAGATGCCCAGGTGGCCTTGATTCGGTCCGGTCCGATCGAGCAGATCACTGCATCATCTCCTTTCCAAGGTTGTACTTGTGGGTATTGTGATGCCTATGCCTATGCCTATGCCAAGAGCACTCATATAAATAGGACATACGCCAAGAGCTTGGGGAAGAATTGACTTACGAATACTACATGATCGATAACTACTTCCAAGCTTACTTGTTTAGGTCTACAAGTTCCAAGCTGATGATCTACTAATAATGCATATTCAGTCTCACACTAAGACCACCCGACTTCTTGGGCCTGGGAAGCCCTAAGTACCAGTTTGCAGGGAATATAGATATTTGGGACCTGGTTTTGCTATTTTATTGCTTATTGGCTGGATGATTACAATAAAACTTCGAAATTTCCAATAATCTCACTTTATTTGTATCACTTAAAATTCTCACATATATTGTTTGTATGGGGTTCAAACATAAGAGCACGTGGTTGGTCAACAATCAGTCACCGGGACACACTTCGCGGGTAATCTGTAATTCAACTTCACCAATAACAGTTCAACTTATACCCCACTGATAAGTGTAATATTCTTCGAAGATATCCCGGCTTTTTACCGTTGGGCTGCATCAGCCGCCACTCCAGCCTCCACGGGATTATCATTTTGCCATATGACGCAGCCCTCACAGTTGTCAGTGGCGGGACAAAAGGTCCAAACGAAGCACCAATGGCGAATACCAAAGTAAGTAATGACAATACGTATTTCAGCCTTGGGGCCATCATATGTAAATAACATGCTGAGATCGAGGGGCCGTGACAGGTTGATAGAGTTGACGGGGCTGAAACACGCCTGCAGGAGAGCACGAAACTCGGGCGTCACTTTATCTAATCGTCGCCACTTCTATCTATATCTAGTACCTAGGTATCAATGTAGTGATTATCTCTATTCGCTAATTTTTCTATTGGTCTCACGCTCAAGTACTTGTGATGTGTATCAGATTCATTGCCCTGTCTACATCAGGTTTCAGTATGATTGTAGAACACGGCAAAGGGATCATCGAAGCTCCTATCCCAGTAGATAAATACCTAACTAGTTAATATCCGGATAAAGTCGTCCTCGGGAGTCCTGGAGGGGTATGTGCGCTGACACTTGACAGGGGTCATGGTCTATAGTCATTTATGGATGGATCTGGCCCTATCGACCCTGCCAGGCAGATGATGATTGCTGTTTGATACCTAGGTAGCGCAGTTTCTAATTCCGGGGATCTAGACCTCAGTGGAAATCGGGGCTCATTTCTCACTTTAGAATCGAAATAGAACCTTCTAAGTTTTTCGTATAGCCAGCTGAGAGTAAAAGGACCAATCGAAGAAAGCTTACAGACGCCATGGGAAAACGTTGAGCGTCACCACCACTCGTGGGGTCAAGATTAATCAGTCATACTTGGAGGGAAACCAATACACTGCTTTGTTTAATAATTAAGAGACCAGTACGGCTGAGAGATGTGCCGATTTGTCGAATGTAATCGTTAAATAATACCGGAATGATTGAAAGGGATGCAACCTTCCAGGATTGGAAGACGGATCCATGCGAGGTCATGACTATATTGTTGGTTACATGGGTGGTTTGGATACAGTCATGCCCCCGCGAAGATTTAATTTGGAATCAGCATAGCTACCAAATGGGCCTACAACTCTCAGGAGTATGATATGGCTCCGGGGAACATGAGGTGGGTTCTTTGAGCCATAGCGTTTGACAACGGTGCCAGTGGATCAGAGGACACCGAATAATTTTTAACTGATAGCATGACTTGCGTTTCAAATATGATCCTAAGCATGAATTTTAAATTAATAGATGATCCCGATCTAGGAATACCGATCAGAGTCCTAGGAGTAAACAGGAACTCAGAATCACCAGAAACCAGAAACTTGGAAAGAGAAGTTGACTTGTGACGGATCGTGGGTGCTTAGATTAAATCAATACATATGCTTGAACCCTGACACTTGATCCTAGAGCCCTTGACCGACATACGACCACCGGGTTAGAGAACAGGGCTGTCAGTTCAGCCGTACTTAAGCCAAGTATGTAACGCAAGCGATACTTCGATGAGTCCTTAGCACCCACCTTACCTAAAGCAGCGATAGAACCTACCTTCGTTTGAGGGAGCGTGATTGGGTGGTGAAATAAGTGATATCTGGGTGAGGACAGGAACCATGACGCCGTTTTCGGCGATATAGATGACAATACTACCCGTAAAGATCGTGATAATGCACTCGATTTAACAGAGGGCTACCTTGAAATGGATGTGCATAAGCACTGGACTAATCGTGACGTCCTCTACTATGCCTGGTTTCGTGAGATGGTTGCAATTAACGAAGAAAACTCGCCCGAGCCGGTGTGGAAACTTATTGATTTGCTCGCCGATTTTCGCTCTTGTTCAATCGATAAAATAGGCATTATGCCTAGAATGAGGTCTGGATAACATATTATGGATAAGAAATGTACAATATCATGTACATAGTTGTGGGATCTCCAACCTTGTCGCTTTTTGGCCGGTAACTTCGGTGACCTCTTGAAGCTAGCCGGAGCTGAAGCTGAAGAGATGGTATTCAATGGGTCAGGTCCACTGGAGCCAGATCTTTTGGAGTCAGGTCCATCGCGCAGGGGATCTTCCGACCTCTTATTAGTGGCACTGGCCGCTACTGTGTCATCCGCATCAAAGTCTGGATCTTCATAATCATCATCCGAGAATGTGGTATGAGAGTCATCTGTATGCGTGCCGCCTTTAGTGGCATCCAAGGCAACACTATGTGGTTTTGAAGCACTGGAACTCTTCCTTGGCTTAAACATGACTTTCTTTTTGCTCTCACCAATGGCGGATGGAGGTGGTAAATCAAATATTTGGTTAAGGATATCCGTGATGCGTGGCAGCTGGTGATCTTTCATCCATTTGATAGTATTTTGAACAAAATCATGGCACTTTTGTGGATCATTTTGTTTTAAAAGTAGTAATTATCGATAAAGGACATATAAAATCGACTGTCTTTTGGATTAAATAAGTACACGTATGAGATTGCTTGTCTTTGACTTAGAGGCATCGAGAAGGTCATCGAGTCAGTTGCAGATGGGACACGGCCAGGGGTGACTTGGCGTAGTAGGTGTAGCATCGAGCTCACCCGATGTGTGCCGGCGGTTAATAGCTGGTTCTTTGCCTTATATAGCGACTCATTGCAGACTTCTGACTTTCCTTCGAATAGAAGCAATGGAAAAAAAATTCACCTGAGTTAGACTGGTATACGGTAGGAAGCTTTCCCTCTCAGCGATCAAGATTTTATTACGAGAGACCAGAGCTGGGTTATTGCGTCTAGTCGACGGCAGTGAAGCCCAGTCATAAATCCAACATGGATAGCAGCCTTTGAGGCAGGCATTTCGGCCTGGTTCTCCTGCTGAGGGGTTGGTTCCTTGCTCCAAGCAGTATCATGGCCAGATTTGAGAATTTGGTCCAAGCTCGGGAAGAGTGGAGGTTGAACTAGGGATCTAAGCACAAAGGCGTCTTTGTTATCCCATAAATTGAGTATCGTTCGCTGGATCAAGGTATATTCATCTGCTGTGAGAGGAGTTGCTGCAGGTGGAATGTGAGTGTTGATGATAGCCTCTACATCTTGAGGAATACTTAAGCCGGCATCATCAATCACAATACCATGTGCTGAAATAATTATTCGGAGCTTAATATCGTTGGAGGATTGATTGGAGTATTGCGAGGTGACTGAAGCGGCAATGGACGCCATTTCAAATGATCTTACAGGGAGTTCAATATGGGGAGGAAACGAAGATGGTAGTTCAAAGTCTTGAAGCCAGGTGGGAATGTAGTCACTTATAGGACGAGGAGTCCTAGATTCTTGTGAGAGAGAATATGAACTCGATCTCGAGGGTGAGGAGGGATTCTGGAGAGTGAGCATGATATGGAACAAGAACGGTGTTGTTTCCTAACTAGTGAAGATAGTTATTTACCAACTTAAACTCCTAAATAGGCTTCTAAATTATTACATGGTTACATAAAGCCAAACTTAAAATGGTATTCTTCCATGTACTGGAGGTATATAGCGTTCGATATCTTGAAAAATTATAACAGGCTTTTCTGCTTTCTTCAGAAGTCGGACTTCTCTTCGTCAATGGCATTCATAAGTCCATAAGGCCCCGGAAATAGACCATAAATGTTCAAGATTGTATATTTGACATTTTTTGCTTTTGTAACAGCAGACAATTCTTGTCAAGAACCCATCATTTCACTGTTATTTCAACATCTTATTTTGTGAGACGGTGAATTTCCTTAAAAAAGAAGCCCAGATCTTCTGGCTTGACAAAAGGAGTAACACCTATATGAAGAATCAGCATATTGTCAATTCCAAATACAATATCTGCAACTTACCATGTCCAAGGTTGCAAATCCAACCCTGTTTGCCTTTCTTGAATCCCTCCACCATCGGCTCGACGGTAGCAGTAATTGCCTCTGGACCACCATAGAGCATACCGGGATCGGCATTACCCTGAAGGACCACACGGCCATTGGCAATACGCATGGCCTCGGCAGAATCATGTGTCCAATCAAGGCCAACAACGTTATAGCCTGACTCGCAAAGGTCATCCAGAGCGTACCATGCACCCTTAGCAAATACAGTCATGGGAACGGGCTCCAGGCCCATTTCCTTCAGCTGCTTGGGTAGATTAGTGGAGATGTGACGCAGGTAGGGCAACGAATGCGAGGCGAACGAGGTAGGTGAAAGCTCACCAGCCCACGAGTCAAAGACCTGCACCATCTGCGCACCAGCAGCGACCTGAAGAGCCAAGTACTCAACACATATCTCTGCAATCTTCTGCAACAGCGCCTGAGCCTCCTTAGGATACTTGTAAACCCACTTCTTGGACTGGACGAAAAGCTTGGAACCGCCACCCTCGACCATGTAGCACAGCAAAGTCCATGGAGCACCGCAGAAGCCGAGGAGTGGAACCCGACCCTTGAGTTTGAACCGAGTAAGCGTGATTGCCTTATAGACATAGTCTAGCTCTGCCTTCACATCCACTTCCTTTGCCATCACCTTTTCGTACTGTCCGTCTGTTGGCGACTGGAGCGGTTCCGGAAAGTGCGGACCCTTCTTATCCAACATTTCAACCGTCATACCCATGGCCTGTGGGATAACCAGAATATCGGAGAAGATAATGGCAGCATCGATGAGGCCCTCATAGCGCTCAATGGGCTGCAGGGTCAAGGTCGATGCGATCTCTGGTGAACGGCAGCATTCGAAGAAATCGCGGCCACCCTTGGCTTCATGGTATTCGGGAAGATAGCGACCAGCTGTTACGGATAAGAAAAAATCAGTCAGATGGGCCCATGGGCAAAAATTGAGGGGAGAAAAAAACGGTGTGGAGCTCACCTTGTCGCATAACCCAGATCGGAGGACGCTCCACCTTTTCGCCTGCAATTGTCAGTACTCCTCTCAGATGTATAGATACAACAATGAATTACCCCGGGCGGCCCTCAACAACAAGTCGTTCTTCAGGGGTTCGAATTGTTCTTGCATGGTGGATGGTAATGAGTGGAAGGAGAGGAAGTGGGATGATGGTTCCCGAGGGTCTTATCCCACGATTGGATTCTATCGGGCCGGGAGAACGTTGGAGACGGCAAAGTGCAGGTACACAACGTGGAGAGCTCAGCCCAATTTGATTAATTGTATTTAATTTCAACATTTGAGTCTTGAATCAAGTTGTGCTGCAATTATTAGGTTTTTTTTTTTGGAGAGGCTTAGGTGTGAACTTGCGATTTTACAATGAAAAAGAATCGAATATTGATTACATACATATATGCCTTTGAAGCTTTTTCAGAGTTCTCAAGAAACTGGTCAGAATCACCTGTACTTAATTATTCATCCCACTTTTTCTTCTTGAGATTACCCAGAGTGTACATAGAATCATCAATCTCCTTCCGTTTCTTCGCCTCGAGACTGGCAGAGAGATCAGAGGTGCCAGATGAGTTGATACTGGATGCCACTGGGCTCTCTAGCAGAATGAATTGGAGACCATTCTGACCAGGGCGAGCCTCAAAAGTCTGGAGAAGAGCTTGGGTTGTATTGGGGCTCGACCTCCATGTGTTCGTTGAGCCTGCTTCCCGTACAGCATCCACCGAAACGATGACAGAACCACTTGCATCAGCTCCAACCACATCAAGACTGTTCCCAGAAAGCTGGACAGTGTCCTGGAATTTCAAAGCATTTCCCTCTATTGTGAAGCAAACGATTTGTGAAGACCTGTTTTGTATGTTAATTTAAGTTGGAAATTGGAGAAAGGCGATGATGCTTACCCTTCCAAGCTGACCACAATAATCCTCACAGGATCAGTCGTGCCGAGGACTACGTCCTGGATCCCACGCACCATAATGTCTGGTGTCTGCAGAATGTCCTGCAGCGAGATCTGCTGAAGGACCTGCCCCTCAGTCCAATTCCAGAGAAACAGCTGACCATCAGCGTCACCAGAAATCAGAACATTGGGTGCCCACGAAGGGATACAAAGCTTGCTAATGAGGGAAGTATGGCCCAGGCAGTACTGTTCAATGATGTGTACTTGAGGAATGCCTCGAGAGACACGAATATGCTCATCGCGGTCAGCCGTCAGAACGTAATTTCGTCCAGACAGAGACACGGAGATCAGATCCGTCAAGACCGACATATGGCCAAGAACTACCTGGTGCTCAAAGTCGAGACTAGTCTTTTCTTTGGCAGGCTCTCCAGTCGCTGACTCTCGCTTCTGTTGCTCCCGCTTTTGTTGCTCTAGGGATTCCAAGTTGCGCTTGGTGTGCACCGTGAGATTAGTAGCAGCGGGAGCTTGAAGTTTTTTCTCACTACTAGTCTTGACGTACTCTCCAGGAGTCAATGGCATAGAATAGCCATCGCCAAACTTATCCCCAACGAGGATAGTTTGATTGTCTGGAGTCAAGGCTAAGGCACTAGGCCGCTTGGGCATTGTTCTTTACGCAAATGAGTGACTGTTCACCATTTAGGGTACAAATTAACTTACCGAGAGCTCAGTTCTTGTAATTTTCCATCATTCTTCAATTCCAGAACCCGAATAGATTTGTCTTCGGCGGTTAGAATGACTACATACTTTCCGTCGGAGGAAGCCACCATAAGAGGGATATTGGACCAGGTGGGCTTATAGTTCGAGGTGTCCTTCTCCTTGTTGCCTTCAAACTCGGTTGAAAGCTTTCTTCTCTTTTCCGGGGGGCTCTGACCCTCTGAAGAGGACGCCGCAGCGGTTGTAGACTCTGCTACATGTTGGGGCCACACGTCCAGGCGCTGGCCATCGGCCGCGGCATAAGAGTACAAATACAGGCCTGCAGAGGCAACTAGTACATCAGACAAGTCCTGGGACTGACGCTTGACATATTGCAAGCGCTGGAATGGGTGTTGAAAATTCGCCATGACGACTTGGAGTTTTTGGAACGTTCAATGGATTCGGCAAAATTTTGAGGGCCGCAGACGGCGGATATGAAAGTATGAACTGCCTCCGATTTGAACCTAACAGTAAATCGTACAAGAAAAATGGAAACAAAATTTGAAAATCTGTAATTCTCAATCCAAAGACACTACTTTAACAAGATATACAGCTAGATTACATGTACTAAAGAAGCAATTCCATTTCTTCAACATCTATCCTCAACGTATTGATGTTCTGATCACGTGACCCACTAGCGAAGCCGCACCGAAAAAAGAATTTCTTCAAAATCAGCCTGCCGCTTCTCCCTTCTCTTCCTTCATCAACCACAACTTCCGACTTACCCTTAAACAACCTATCTTCAGCGAATTAAGGAGAAATGGGGGGCAAGTCCGCAACCAAGGCCGCTTACTTCGATAAGCTCAAGAGCCTTCTCGATGAGTACCGCACCATCTTCATTGTTGGTGTCGACAATGTCAGCTCTCAGCAGATGCACGAGATCCGTATCTCCCTCCGTGGAGAGGGTGTCGTCCTGATGGGAAAGAACACCATGGTTCGCCGTGCTCTTAAGGGTTTCGTCACCGAGAACCCCGAGTTCGCTTCCCTGCTGCCCCACGTCAAGGGTAAGTTTTTTTCCTCTGGATAAAATTTAGAATTGAGATCCATTGACTAACATACTCTCGTCCATAGGTAACGTTGGTTTCATTTTCACCAACGGCGACCTCAAGGCCACCAAGGAGAAGATCCTTGCCAACCGTGTCGCTGCCCCTGCTCGTGCCGGTGCCGTCGCTCCCCTCGATGTCTGGGTTCCCGCCGGTAACACCGGTATGGAGCCCGGTAAGACCTCTTTCTTCCAGGCTCTCGGTGTCCCCACCAAGATTGCTCGTGGTACCATCGAAATTGTGTCTGACCTCAAGCTCATTGAGGCCGGTAACAAGGTCGGTGCCTCCGAGGCCTCCCTGCTGAACTTGCTGAACATCTCTCCCTTCACCTACGGTATGACCATTGCCCAGGTGTACGAGAACGGTCAGACCTTCAGCGCCGATGTTCTCGACATCGACGAGGAGACTCTGTTGAAGACCTTCAGCCAGGCTATTGCTACTATCACTGCTCTGTCTCTGGCTGCCAACATTCCCACTCTCCCCGCCACTATTCACTCCATTATCAACGCCTACAAGAAGGTTCTTGCCGTTGCTATTGAGACTGACTACAGCTGGCCCGAGATTGAGGAGCTCAAGGACCGCATCGCCAACCCCGATGCTTACGCCTCCTCCGCTCCCGCTGCTGCTGCTCCTGCTGCTGGTGGTGCTGCTCCCGCTGAGGCAGCTGCCCCTGCTGAGGAGTCCGACCAGTCCGACGACGACATGGGCTTCGGTCTTTTCGACTAAGCGCATCGTCCTTGATCGGATACGACTGCCATGTATTAGATGTTATTAATTGACCAACCTGAAACGGTGCACGGAATGAATACGCTAAGACTTGGTGCCACGGATTTGATTTCTTTTTCTGTTCCACTCATAGACATATGGACGTAGTACGCTCCATTACCTGTCTCTGTCGCAAATGGTGAGTTTTATTCTTTCTCCAATTCCCATTTCCCCCAACCCATTCCACTCTTTGTTCCCAATATCCTGGCGGATGATGAAACATTTTTAACCCCGAGCATCGGCCCCGTGGCCAGCTTTGACGATTAAAAACGCAACAACAACACTCTAATTTTTTGCTGACGCCAACACCTTGATTTATACTTGCTTTTGACTACCACTTTTGTTTCTTGAGCATCTGCTAACTATCATTGAAGACTGCAGGTTTCCCATGTAAACAACTTGTCACCACGCTGTTGTAGACGATCGTAAGGCTGATGAATGAGTTGGATGATGGATGGTGTTTTGTCTTTTACAGGTAGATACCCAACGGCGTTGGAGGCTTGATGAAATTTGATTCTACTTATTGCATAAACTCAATCTATCCTATTGTAAACTTTTAATTGCCATCCCTCTCTACTTGTGTATCCTATGTTGAAGTAATTCCAAGGTTCGCTGTTTCACTCTTTTGCTTGCTGAGGTTATATTGCCCTCGTTCTAGTCATAATATTTTGCTCAAGCTTAATATTTGGTTATCATAAAATTCACAAACCCCAGAGGGAAGTAAATTAATCACGAGTTTACAACACTTCGCTACATCAATCATCATTGCCACGACCAAATCGACCTCCAAACCCACCCAAATCCCGACGGAAGAACTTGCCAATATTCTTAAGATTCTCATTGAGATTAGCAGCAGCGCTACTTTCGGATGAACCCTGGAGAAGACTGTTTGGCTGGGCAAATGATGACGGGGCAGGTGAAGATGATCCTGATATTCCCGCGACACCAGATGAAAGACTGGGATTTCCGAAGAGGTCGACACCATCTTTGGCTGCGGACATGATTGCAGAGCCGAGCATCGATGCGTCGAAGCGTGATGGCATTGACGACCCAGTACCTAGACTGCTGCCCTGTGAAGCGGGAATCGTTGTGGTAGACGGGGTTTGCAGGGCTGTTAGCATCGGGTTGTTTTGCTGGAGGCTGGAGGAGTAGCGGTCCGAGGCACGGTGTACCTGGAATAGTTCGACGAGGTGATTTTGCTCTTGTCGATTGCGGATGCCCTTCAAGTCGAGGATTTTGCGGAAATTGTTGTCGTTGCGGTCCGCGATATGAATGAGATAGGCTTGGATTAATGCTTCTGGGGGAGATGGTCGTACTTGGAGCGTCTTGAGAAGCGTCTCAATCTTGAAGAAGCTGCTGTTCACGCGTTTGACAAAGCCTGCTGGGGCCGGGGCGGGAAGAAGGGATGAGAGATTACTCTTTATGGTGTAGGAATCAAGAAGCATCTAGGCATTACAAGTTAGATCAAAGTCTCATGAGAGAATAGAAAGAAATTATACCTGTTCAGCGCCTGTCTCGGAAACAGGCTTGCATTGAAAGACGTTTGTAATGAACATACTCGACATCATCTCGACCAGATGGTCAGAAAAGGCGCGAGCGTATTGTTGCTTGTGCAGAAATTGTAGAATTTCGGATGACTTCGCTTTTGTCCGTGAGATCATCTCACCCACGTAGGAGCTCTGGTCGCTGACAGCCTCGATCTTCGCCCAGGGTGTATTGCGCATCTCTCGCCAACAGGGCTCCAGCTCAACTTCCACCTGCCGCACAAGTCCCCGAACAACAGCAGAGGCAATGCCCATGAACGAATCCGCCTGGCTCTGTAGGTCAACAGATTGTTTTAGATTCTCGTCCAGTCGACTCTTGATCTTCTCTTCCAATTGATTACATGTGGTGTAACAATAGTCGGCAGTATTGAGAACAGCGACATAATCTTCCATCGATGGTGCTTTCGACGGTGTATGCCCAGAAGGGCGTTCGCTGATGTAGCTGAGGAGGACCTGCTGCGCGTATTGGTCCAAGTATTTGGCGAACACTTTCGCCAGCTCCGCAAGACTGCCACCAGTTGAAAGCTTTGCGCATTGTTGTAAGGAGTGGCGGTAGAAAGAAAATAGTTCTGTTGAGGATGAGATCACGATATGGGAGTTGAACTCTTCCTCATCTGGAGGCTTCAGAGGTTGCTGGCGGTACTTTGGTAGCAGTGCAGCCAGCTGCTTGTCCTGCGCCTCCACCCACACACTCAGATACGGCTCAAATGCCTCAGAAATGGACTGGCCAAAAGTTGGGGTCTCGGTCGAAGCAAAAGTATCGGTGGATGGACGCGATTGAGGAGCAAATCGGCGTTCAAGGGAATGCTCAAATTCAAGCGTCTCTTGTAGACACGAAAGCAACAGGTTCACATCGAGTGTCTGTCCGCTGCGTACAGATCGTGAAAGAATACCTTTGAAATCATCCCGAGTGCCTTCACAGAAGACATTGGTCAGGATCTCATTTACTCGCCACGCTGCGGGGAAAATCGCGGCGTTCTCCTCGTCGTAGATTTTCAATATACGTCGGAACCACGAGTACCGACGAGATATGTTGTCCAAGGATCCAGCTTCCTCGCTATTCTTGAATACCTGTCGGTATTCGCGGAGCTGGGTGTTGCAGTACCAAGTGACTAGTCGAGACCGGGCATGCTCGCCTAGTGCATCAACAACAAGACAGGCCTCGGCAAGCATCACCCGCTTTTGAGCGACCTCACCCTTGGCAAATGCTATCTCAAAGTCCTCGCAGACCTGCTCCAAGAGATCTCGCTGTACATCGGCGACATTCCGGCTTAGGATTGCGATCTGGTCAATTGAGCGATATGATTTGAAGTGAGCCATCAGCTGGATCACCGCCTGAAGGAGCTGAGCGCAATCATTGTAATGCCGTGTCCGGCTTAGAGCCAGAAGCTGATCGTATGCGATGGTCAGCATCTGCAGTCGCTTGAGCGCGGTCATCGACAGGGTGAGATTCTTTTTTGCATTATCCAATTGTTTAATGTCGGCCGTCATGTCAGTAATGGCTTGCTCTGTCTTCAAAGCGCGCTCGCGCACATCGTCGATTTTCTTGAACAGCTCCGACAGGTCGGCCTGGGCTGTTTGGATGCGTTCCACGCTCTCCGCATTGGAGGTGACCTGCTCCTCCACCAGCGTACCTATGTCATAATCCAATTCATCTTCGTAGGTATGGAGGGCGGAGGAGATGTGGGATACTGAGGAGAGGGTAGAGGGATGTGAGAAAATAGCGTTCAAGTGGTCGATTGGGTCGTAGTCCACTAGGGAAATGCGGGATTAGATTGAGGTGTTGCCGGGTATATTGTTTGCCTACCTGCATCCAAGGCATCGAGAGAGGGCTCTTCATCTGTTGGCCCTGTTGGGCTTTGAACAGTCATCACAGTCATCCCATTAGTTGGACAGCATGTTGGGGACTGTGTGAAGTACTCCAATGCCAGTCAAAGGGGAGTTGGAGAGTTGAAGCGGGCCGCCCTCTAGTGCCAGCTTGGCGTTTACGCAACCTACTTACTAGCTATACATAATTGATATTCTAAAAAGATTGATTCAATTGATTTTATAAGCCATGAGCTGAGAAAAAATTAACGTCTTAATTTATATATCTGCATTTGGTCTTTAATTACTCGAATACGGTATCCATGTACTCTGTATGTGAGAGTGGTTGTCTAACTGGACCTGTGTTGCCCTCTATAGATCTGGGTTGCCATCCCAACAGCTAAAGTGAACCGGAGATATGTAGGTAAGAGTCTATCAGTCAAATACCTTTTAATAGTGGTAGAGACATAAATATATAATAGAAAGTTCTGGAAGCACTTGAGTTGAAAAACACAACCGTGCTTGAAGTCCTGGAGGTCTTGGAGAGAGACACTGTCGACTGCTGAAACGATGAGTTTTTTGAAACATGAATTTTGGAAATTTTTATGGAAATATATTTTTTTCTTTAGAAACTACATAGCATGGCTCGTCCCTCCTACTGCGCATATGCCTCAGCAGGCATTGTTCCGGCAGCCTATAAGAAGTTCAAGTTAGTATCAAGATTATATAACACTTTGAAGTCAACGGGGTTTTTTCTTACCTTAAGCTCGCACACATTCTGCCAGGCCCGCTCCGCATCCCACCCATTATCCGCGAGGGCCATCTCCGAGTAACGGAGATTCATGCCAGACTTGGCACTCATCTCCCGGATCAGGTCCTCCTGTGAGGAGCCAACAAGGGGAGCGGCAGGGGGGGCAATCGGGATAGGGGCGGCCGGAGTAGTAGGGGCAGCAATCATAGTCCAAGCCTCATGCCCTCCGAAGGCACGCAGACAGAGGATGTCGTTAATCACACGAATCCGTCCGGGCACGAGGCTTGGGCCAATGATAAAGGTTCGGTCAAATGACCGAAGCTCGGTCTTACCTCCAACATTCTCCTCGAATTTTCCATGAACAGTTATGATGAGGCCACCAACGCCCGTCTCACTCTGGCCACTCGGGTCAGGGAGGCCGGGGCATTGGTGGCACTCAACCAGATATTCTTCTGGAGAGGTCATAATGTTGGGGTGATAAGTGGCGGGAAGCATGTCCCACGCCGAACGGATTCTTTCATCCCCAACATACTCGCGGGCCATACGAGGATTCAGATGATTGACCTTATGCAAGTTACGGCTCATTTTTATGTATGGGTCCCAAGCTGCGGGCTCGGCACTGGGGGCCTTGGGAGCGGCGGTGTTGATGTCAAAAGAGAATCTCGACTCCTTGTCGTAAAAGGAGGTGATAAGGGAGGAACGGTCGTTGTCGTAAGTGGAAAAGAAAGAACGAATGAAGTTCTCGCCAATTTTATCCGAGTCCTGGAAGTACGGGGCCTGGACAGGGATGGGTGTCTTCTTTTGAGCATCGACTTCCTCTTTGGTGCGGACTTGAACGTTGTTCAAGTGTTGAAGTTTTGGGTACCACTTCATCATAGTGTTCTTGAATTCGGGATCGGTGCAGAAAGGGCTGCCGGTCAAGTCCAGAAACTCAAGCTCACGAAATTTCCAGCGCCACTGGATGAGGGCTTGCGCATCCTTGAAATTGTTGTTTGACAGATCCAAGTTTTTCAATGCAGGAATAGTCTGAGCAAGGGTAGTGACCAAAGAGATGTTCGCGAGCTGATTGTCGGCAAGACTGACACTTTCCACTGCCTGGCGCCGCAGGGCGTTGGTCTCGAAACCCATTTCCCAGACTTTCATAAGAGCGGGGAAAAACTTAGATTCGGTTGACGTAGCGGCGAAGATACCCATTGCCTGGAGATCAGGATCTCCAACAAGTTTTGATAGATTGAGAAGTTTGTTATCTGCGTAATAGCGCTTTCCCAAGATCATGGTCATCTTGGCCTTGGTATCCGCGGTCGATGCAGAATCAGTACCTCCAATCTCGTGATCAAGTGTGGCGCAATCATTGCGCTCAACTGAAATCTGAATGCCAGCAAAGGTATTATTGTTAATGCGCGACATTGTGTCGGCCAGGTTCTGGCGAACGGAAGCAACCAATGTATCACCCTCCACACGGGACTAATAGAAAACTGCTGTTAGTGAGGGCTCAAAAGATGCTGAAATTGAGTTGGCGCAAAATAGAATGTAGTTTGTACTGGGCTGAGGAGTAGTATGCATATGCTGGGCTGAGAAGGAGTATGCAGGTGCTGGGCTGGGAAGGAAATCGGAGGATCGGGAGGAAGTATGCGTACTTTTGTGATTTTAGGGCGCGGTCCTGACTTGCTCAGGGCCTTCAGACGGCGTTCGAGGAAGGCAATAAGATCGGAAACACCTCCATCGCGGTTGGTGGCAACTTTGCTATCCTTCCATCCGGTAACGTTGAAATGCGCAAGGCCTCCGGATTGTCCCTGAGCACGGATTTCGGAGCGGGTACCTGAGATGGCATTTTGAATGGCGTCGAGATTTTTAGGGCGGGCCTGCGCACGACCAGAGCCAGTACGAGCAGCCCCGCCGCGGCCTGACTTGCCAATACCACCTCCGCGAGCACCTCGTGCGCCACGTCCACCGGGGCGGTCCATGTCCATATCACCGTCGCGGTCGGTACGGAGCTTCTTGCGGGCGTCGGCGCCGTTGTGACGAGACTTCATGTTTGCCATTATGTCAGGGAGGAGGGTGAAAGGTGGGAAAAAAGAGAGAAAAAAGAAGTGTGGTGAAGATTTTGGGCTCTTCAAGCCTCGAAATCAGTTGCGCGACGCGCCTGAGTGTAAGGCACGAGAAGTATCATGCAATGGGGAAAGGTTGTAAGAGACAAAATAAATTGTCGAGAAAGGTGGGTGAACAGGCACTTGAATACCTGTGGGTGAGAGCGTGTAAAGAGTGCAAGGGTTTTGGAGTAGAAGAAGAGACTATGACTTTTAAAAAAGTGACGTGCAGGTTCAGTGTCATGTGATCGACTCAACCCACCTTAAGGGACTAGTAGCCAATGAGAGGTTACGGAACTGGAAGCCATTTGTTGACTAACCCTAATTTTGGCAGTTGCTAGGCCAAATTAGTATACTTCGACTTCCAGGCGTCAGCTGGAAAACAGGTTCATGTATTGGACTTCAGCCTGAAGCCGGATTAGTATGAATGAGGTACAACGAGCTTGAGAATCTTCTAGTCTCATGATTATTGACTCACATCGGAATGAAAGCCATGCCGACAGTTGGAAGACACAAAAGATTAATCGCTTTGTATAGGTCTATTTTCGAAACGAAATAAGGCAAGGATCTAGATTTTGGCAGATTTAGAATACTCTCAAGCACTAGTAGCCAAAAAATTACCAAAAGATATAGTGGTCATCCACAGTTTCCACATTGAGGAAGCGAGATTTGTACAAATTTGATCGAAGACTTGGCAGTAAGAACAAAAGACAAAAAAGACAAAAAAGGTGGCAAAGACCTTGAGAAGATGACAAGACAGAAAACCAAGTGCAAAATGAAGACGACACCATTGCGCGGAAACAATTCGTAACTCCATTTTTATGCGTAATGCAAAACAAGAATAAAAAAAAGTGAAGAATGAGTGCTGTGTGAACTGGAAAGAAAAGGACTGGTGGCAGTCATGGCTATGAGCTGTAATCTATAATGATAACAATGCAGAGGTGTCAGGCTGGATTGAGAAAAGAAAATGCCCAGAGAAAGTAATTTGAGAGAAGAGTGAAGTGAAGCAATGCTGTAAAAAAGGTACAATCTTAGAAATTCATGGTAAGGTGGCTGGAGTAACCCTGCTGGGGGTAGTGTTGTTGCTGGTAAGCTTGCGGTGGTGGTGTTTGCGAAGCTGGAGCAAGTTGACCGTACCAGGACTGACGGCGAGGCTCATTCGGGCGAATCGGTTGATGAAGAGCATCCAAAGTGTGGCTAGCTGTCGGGATGGTGTACATAGATTGCTGACGGGAGTGACCATGAGGTTGAGGAAGTTGGTATACTGAATTGGAGCTGGCCCCATACGGAGACGCAAATTGCTGTTGCTGCTGCCGCTGCTGTTCCTGTTGGTGCTGCTGCTGCTGCTGTTGCTGGATCAATACACTTTGTCGCTGGGCAATTGCATGCTGGACCAGATGGTTCGACATGCCCTCCTTGAATTCACGTTTTTCACGTTCACGAGCGCCGATTGCCGAGACAAGTCCTTGCTGACCAGATTCCTCTGCCTGCGCCTTCTTCTTGTCGCCTTGAATGTTGAAGAACGACGAGCCAGTCATTCGTGCAACATACTGCTGTTCACGGGCAGAGAGTTGGGTTGAGGAGTCGTTGTAGTTGAGCATTGTACTTGTACCACGCGATGAGGGACGGTTGATAGGTCCATCCTGGAGACTGTTCATACGAGATCTAGGGCGAGCCATCTGAGTCCAATCTCCTGACACCGGTCGCCTAGGGATAGCCATCTGAGTCCAATCTCCTGACACTGGTCGCTGTGTTGCCGGGGTGAAGGTGGATGTGGATACATTTCTGGTATGAGGCATGAGGACGGGCGGACTAGGCGCTGCTCGCTGCTGGACAAATTCCTCGGCAGTAAGGGTTGCACCCGGGGTGGCAGGACGACTGGAGCCCATCAAGGGCTTCCACAGCATGTTCCGCCGGAATTCATCCTGACTAGGAGACCGGCTATGTGCTCGCGGGTTGAGCGGCATTGATTCCTTGCGTTGGTGCGATGCCTTTTTCAATGCATCCCCTGTACTTGGGCGCCCGGTAGTAGGCATATACGTCAAAGTCGGTCCAAAGTCAACCATAGGAATATCCGAGTTGGTCTCAGGGGGCTTGTCAGTTGAGTAAATAGCATCACCAATGACAAGATCCTGGTTAGGAATTTGGCCCACAGTCTTCATGATGCCCATGCGTGGCTTTGTAACCGATTTCACAGACTTCCTGCTGTAGACTGATTCATGAGTACTTGCGTAATCAGGAGTGACATTGGATGCGGCGTCGTCGTAATTACTCTCCGCCTCGTACATCTCAGGGGATACAGGAGACTGGAAGCGAGGGGCAATTCGGTCCAGCGCCGCTTCGTCGACGGTGTGACGAAGATCATCGAAGCTTGGCTCTCCTGGCGAAAGAGGGCCTTCATCGTGGAAAAGCTGTCTTTGGGGAAGAGGCTTTCGCTTGATAGAAGAAGAGCCACCAAGATCTTGCTGAGGTGACGAAGCCTCAAACCGCTGCAACACAGCCTGCGACTGACTCATCGCAACTGCAAGATCAATGGACTCGTCGCTGGATGCGTGTACAAGCGGCGAGTTCTTATAAGCGGCACGTTTGGGTGAAGAGTTGTTGCTGGGGGCACGATTTTCAAATCGCTGGTCGATGCTTGGGTCAGATTTCTGATCGTGGAATGCAACAGCTGAATCAGACATGCCCATCTGCCTAACAGCGACCAATTGATCGAGAGTTCCAAGAGACATCCGGTTAAGAGCACTTCTCTGCTCGGAGCTTACCTCCGGGCGGTTCAACGGCACCTCCTTGGATCCATAGGAGAACTCAGGCGGTTTCACGACTGAGAAGGGAGGTGTGCGCGGGGGAAGCTGGTCACCATTCACATCGACCTGCCCAGCTTCAGAGTTTTCATCATTGCGCATCAAATCCCTGGGAGTCGGCGATGCAGCACGCGCGCTCTCTGATCCTCCATGCTGCACGACAACATCATCCGACATGGGGCGAGAATGATCAGTTGGAGGCTCGTTTCTAGGGACCTCCTGAATGACTGCTTCGGCCGATTGATTGAAAGCAGGCTTGCTAGCAAAGTGGCGGCGAGAGGCATCTGCTGGAACGCTAGAACGATACTGCTGCTGGCTGCTCGCAACACTACTAGTTCGACTGAAGCCCGCAGACATGCGTTTCTGTGTTGCATCCTTTAGTTGGTTCCGCCACTCAGCTTCGCTCCACCGCTGGCTACCGGGAGTTTGAAGGAGAGCAGCAATGTCCAGCACTTCCAGATAACCGTAGCGACGTTGCTTAGGGAAAGCGAACATGATGCTCTTGATGTGGTTTGTATCGGCCACGAGACGGGTAGGACGACCGTAAAGGTTGAAAGTATCAAAGACTGGGAAGAGGAATCGAAGCATCATCTCAAAGCCAGAAACCGCATTGTGCAGCTCGGGCATGACAAACACAAAGCCCTCAGTGGCAGTATGAGGGGTTGAGTTCATGGTGATTCGGCCTTCTAGCTTAACCAAGGTAGATTGATCGATCAAGGCCTTAGCTTGCGGGTAAATTGCATATGCAGAGTAGACCTGGGTAACGGTTGCAATTGGCGTTACCTTCTTTGTCTTCCTCGTCTCGTAAAATTTGATAGTGCCCGTGACCGGAATGGAAAGGCGATCATACGCAGACTTTTTCATGAGCTTCTTTGCCTTCTGAACCTCCTTCTCATCTGGCGGACTTATCACAAACCAGCAGCGCTTCCACGGAGTCCCTGCGCCGAAGCGCACACGAGCCCAATCCTCATGTTTGTACCTAATGGGTGCAAGAATTGACTGGATTCCATTGATGCTCTTGCCTTTGGCGGCAATCAAGGAACCAGTATACGCTTCATACAACGAGGTGTGTTCGTACATTGCAAGGCGAATTGCGGCGGTCCATTGGACCATTGCGCTATACGAACTAAAATGGAGTAAATATCGATTTTTTCCTGCGGAAGATAAACTGAGAACGTTCTTCAACGGTTCCGCAGTCCCATTCCTAATTGGTAATGTCTCCAGCTATACGAGTGACAAAGATTAGCTTGCAGCCGGGATTAATGGGCATAATAAAAAATAATAAAAAAAAAGCAAAAACAAGAACATACCATTTTAAGAGACGCATCAGTCAAATTTATAAAGGTAGCTGGGACCTCTTCTCCGCCAGCCGCGTCCAGCGCAGCAGCGTCCCAAAGTGAAAGAACAGTTCCAACCAGTTGCGCATAGCATTCAGCCCACCTCCGATCAGTCGAAGGTCGCCCATCTGCGCATCAATTAGTATATATTCTTTGAAATGAGAGAGTGTCACGTACGAGAATCCTGATCATTCAACTTCAAAAAATAGCCCTCTTGATAGACTTTGTTGGTGTGGATATTGAGATAAGTGAAGATCGGCGATAACTCCGGTGGGGTGCCCTCGGCGTGGGTCATTAGAGGGGGATTGTTAGAGAATAATATCATTGATGCGGGTCGAGATCCAAATCCAGATCCCCCGGCTCTTTGGTTTTCTGTCGCTGTCGACAGATCCAATTCCGAAGCTGGAGAGGGAGTATCTTGTATTGGTGTCTGCCACCGTGGGGCGCTGGCGCTGGCGGGGGCGACTTGTGTGACATTGTTCGACTTGCGCTCTTTCCCGGTATCCTTACTCTTGCCTCCAAATATAAACGAGCGGACTAAGAATTCAACAGTCAATATGGGGGGGGGGGGAGTTCATATTCCTCAGAAAGGCACGAGGGGCGACAGTATAGAGCTTACCGCGAGCACGCATGATGATCAACAGTCAAGCCAAAATCAGAATCTGGGGATTTCTTCGAGTAGAGTCTGCAAGGTGCCACGACAAGAAAGGAGAAGAGGCAAGAAATTTTAGATTATGTGGAGAGTGCACGTGAATACCAAGGTGGATCTTGATAAAATGAGAGCAAAGTCGCGGTGTATAGGGATTACCCGTACTATTCCATATAGAGCTGGCAAGAGGGAACAATTCAGCGAATCTAAATCAGTATAAGGCCGTAAAAGCTTTCAGGCAAAGAATGGGCATGAAAGTACTCCGCTGCCAAGAGATGACGTTTCCAAATGATTTGACAATGAACTACTTCAAGAGTAGTCCAAATTTGTTGATGGAAATAGTTGAAGGAAATAAAAGAAATCCAAAAAAGAAGGGGGAAAAAAACGAGGGGAGGTTGGGGAGGGAAAGAGTAAGTACGAAGTAGATTGAAAGTAATGGAGAAGGAGGAACGTGGGGGTGATAATCTGGGCACGGGAGTACGGACGGAGAACGGAACAGGAGAGAACTTTTCTTAGGGGCGGGATTTTAGTCAGTAATAATGAATGATATTAAAATATGGAGTCTAGACAGAATTGGTAGAGAGATTTTAAAAATGTACTATTGACTAACGTCATTGGAGAGATCGAGCTTGTCTCGCCAAAATTAGAAATATCTCGTGTCTCGGGAGACTAAGGATTCACTCTATACCCCACACATACTCCGTCCAAGGTAATTCAACTCCATGTGTACTCACTATTTCCAAGGTTCCAACAGAACCTACGACGTACGTCTACTAGACTGCAAATACCACACCGGTCATTTGTACCCGCCTTCCTGATTCCAGCATCCTGGTTGGCTTAGGGCTACTTGCATGCATGGCAGATCACGGTGTTGGTTTCAAACCATGTAGCCCTCTGCTTACCTTGTATTATGCTCTATTTAAGCTTTGTCAGCCATGTCAGCCATGTCAGGCGCTGGGCTTGGATGACTAACCCTAAAAGCCGGTCCTTTGTCGTTATGACCTTCAGATCTGATACATGTTACTCCTACTAATAGCTAGGTTGATAGAATCCTTCCAACCCCAGGTCAGCATCTAAATGTCTTCACTGATAGTTTCTGATTCCCTAAATTATGGGACTTCTCTTAGTGTTTATAAGACTGGGCTGAGACATAGTTTTCTACTCGGTGGGGAATTTATCTGAAGTGGCGTGTTACCTAGGTATCACGACATTCTCATTCTGATTCCAATGGAATGAATCGAATTCTCGAGGTCTCAGCACTCCCCAGATCATTAATTAACTTGGTAGGCCCTCATTATAGAGTCTTACCCCTGACAGGTTCCATGGATATACCTAGGTATCGTCTTCAGCGTGTTGATCCATAATGGGACTTAGCTTATGATTACCTAAGACACTCCAGGTTCCAAGATAACTAAAGTCCATCTGAAAGATCTCGGCCCTGTTTCAAGATCTTGTGCTCCGGGGCATTATCTCTCTTCTTACAGTTAGCAAATTGGATGAAAGATTCAATAATTTCACGCCTTAATACTTGGAAGCTTCATAGACTGGAATTTAGATTAAAACTACCGATTACACGACATTAGAATGTCATTTGAGAAATGTTAAAAATGTATCACGCTGTCCGCTAATTTATAATTGTGAATTCCTTAAAGAAACCTTCATTCCTCCATCAAGTCATATCCCAAGACTGGGTCAATCGCTATCTCGTCATGGGGTATCATAGAATCATTAACTTGAGCAGCATCCTGAAACAGAGATTGCTTCATAAAGTCCGGTTCGGGAAAAGGAAAGGGATCGTGGTGGAAATTCGGTAGCGCAGTTGATGCAAATGGCTGGGAAGATGTACCATCTTGGTCAAATTCAAGGCCATAGATACCGAAAGAATTCCCACCGGGTTCATTCTGGTCTCCAAGTAGTGCACGCTGCATGAATAGACCCTGGACTTCATCTTCTGAGCACCCATGTTTGGTAGTCATATGAACCCATAGATCGTAGTCGCGGTGGAATCTGTGTTCACAAGTTTCGTAAAGACAAGCGATGTGTCGACCTGATTCCTCAGCATAGCCATGGCCTGTCAACGCTGCCAATGTAGATATTTGCTTAATCTTTCCGGCTGATTTCTTCCCAATTCCAAGTCGTTGGCGGCGTTCTGCCTTAGCGTTTGGGAGGCCCAAATGAGCTGTACGAATATGCTCTTCGAGAGCGAGTTTGCTACCGTATCGTTTCCCACAGCCGATCCCATCCCATCCTGGCACTTTACTTGAAGAGGAGAGATCCGTTTCTCCACAGCCAAAGCGCTTTTCGCCCTCGTGAACGGTTCTAATATGGACTGAGAGATTTCCCTTTTTGGTGAAGCTTCGGTCACATTCAGGAACGGTACAGGCAAACACTTTCCGCTCCTGCAAGGTGACATCCCCGTGGGCAACATCAAGATGGCGCCGAAGTTCTCGAGAAGTCGAGCAGACAATCGGACAGTGAGGACATTGTGGAGGATGAACATTGCGAATATGGGATTGCAAAAGGGCGTAGGTGGGGAATACAACTGATGATTCATTGTTCTCGGAAGTGTCCATACTAGATCCTTGCTCTTGTTGATCCTGGGTGCATTCCGCACAGCTGAATCTTTTTTCCGTGTGGATTCTACTTTGGTGGGACCGGAGATGACCAGCAGTCTCGAAAGCCATTTGACATTGCTGTCCAGAAGTCAGATCAATATGGGGACAGGGAAAAGGCTTCTGGTGCAGATGAATTTTTGTAATGTGTTTCTGCAGGGTGGAGTGCTTTCGGAAGGTCTCCTCACAATCTGGACAGGTGAACTTGTCCCTTCCATCATGTGCAGCAAGATGGCGTCGAAGTCGAGAACCAGTTACAAAACTCTTGCCGCACCCTGGACGGTCACAGACGTAGTCTCGAACTCCTGTGTGTGCACTCTTTATATGATGATTGAGGTGTGATGCTCGTAAGAAAGTCTTGTCGCATGTCTGGAAAGTACATTTGAAAATTCGCTCGTTATTGTGAGATCGAATGTGCTCTTGTAGTCGAGCTGGACGGTTGAATGCTTTATCACACCCATCGAACGGACATCGGCGGGTCTTGAGTTCGGATGGATATCGTGCGGAGGTCGTAGAAAATGGAGTAGCTGGTGTCTCATCTATATCACCACTTGCCAAGCTAGGAGTATCTGATACTGAGTACTCGCCATCGGAGTATGTCTCTTCGTGCATCGGGTCTTCATACATACCATCAGCTATTGTAGGCTTCAAAACTTTCATAAACACTTACCATCACTGTCAACAGCACTTTGCTGGTGTCTTTTCCCTGGATCAGACCTCTCAGCAGAGGCCTTACGCTTTTGGGCCATATTTAAATGCAAATAGAGGCGCCAACAAACGGTGAGTTAAAAAGTATGATGTTGTGGAATAATTTTATTTTGCCGCACCTATCAAAAGGGCGGTCAGGACGAAAATAGCCTAGCGCTGTGGATTTTCCGCTTTTTTGCATTCGCGATTCTCCATCACTTTGATCCCGCGCAAGGCCTCTCTCTCTCTCCTTGTCTCCTCTTAGGCTGATATGATCTACATTTCATCATGTCTGACTACGGTGGTGACAATGATGCCGAGGAGAAGTAAGCATTACCCCGACAAACTGACTGATCTAAAGATTACAGATCTTTATCGCTCGCAAATCTTGTGATAAGCCTTTTTCTAACTTGATGCAGCCTCGACTACGAGCCCAATGAAGAGTTCTACGATGAGAACGACCCGGAAGATTTCATCGACCATGAGAACCCAGATGATGCTGAAGGCGTTGATTCCTACCAGCCTGCCGTAAACGGCGAACAAGTTGTTGTCTCGGGCGATTCTGGGTATGCAAGCAAAGCGCTGGAGCAGTCTCGCGAGAAGAAGGTTCCCAACGACCAACGAAGCACCACTCCGTACCTGACCAAGTACGAGCGCGCGCGTGTGCTGGGCACCCGAGCATTGCAGATCAGGTAGGATCTCAATTTTTTCATGTTGAAATGGGGGCGACAGAAAAACTGACCATCCATAGTATGAACGCTCCAGTTCTTGTTGACCTCGAGGGTGAGACCGACCCCTTGCAGATTGCCATGAAGGAATTGAACCAGAAGAAGATTCCTCTGATCGTACGGCGATATTTGCCTGGCGGATGGTAAGTTTTGATGCACGTAATGAGGGATGAACCGTCGACTAACCCGTTTCATTCAGGTACGAGGACTGGACTTGTGAGGAGCTCCTGTAGCAACTTGCTACTCAGATAATTTCCCATTTCATCTTCCATCTCAGACACCAAAATAAATTCAAGATAAATCAACAGGATAATTAGAATTTTTCACTTCTTCTATGTCATAAACAGCCACATGGCGATCCAGGTCTGGCTATTCAATAGACTTAGTTACCACTATCTCCAACTCCAACCTCGGGACTATTCATGTTTTATCTCCTTTCACTGGGTGAATGTATAGCGCCTTTCTATTAGAACTCCAAGGTCTTAATTCGGGCAAGAAGAATCAGCTAATGAAGAGGTCTGTTTAGGCGAGTATTCTTGATGGGTTTCTCTCCGGTGAGATACTTGCCATTCGCGTTATTCAAAATTGGCTAGAAGATACCTAGGTAGCGCTACAGAGAGCATACCGAAAACTTCGGACTAACTCATTTATTCCACCTGGTAGTCAAAGGAAAGACCCTGGAAGAGAAGGGAGAAGAGGATTCAAAAAATGAGGCCTGGCCCAAAATATGAACCGGGACCTCTAGGTGTGAAATACAAATACCTTTTGTGAACACGAGTTGAGAGAAGAGGCGTTTTTGATGAAAGGTTGTCCTAGATTAGATTGACCTCGATGTCAGTTGTACGAAGTAGGAAAAAGGAAAAAGGAAAAAGAAAAAAGAAAAAATGAGAATATTGAAACTGACATCAGTTCATTGAAAATAGATTGATATTCACACACAGTCAGGAATAGTGAAGTTGAAATATCAGCCATTATAAGACCCACTTTTACCCCGGATGATTCAGCGTCTCTAACTAACTAGTTATCAGACTAATAAATACTATGCCATCATTCGAAGAACTGGACTTTTGAAAATTTGATAATCTTTTACGCACTAGGTAAGTTCTATAAGATGTCCAGTTGGTGAAATTCGATGGAAATGACCAATATTCTCCGTTCAACATGGTATTTTCCTGTACTTATGCACATGAAATACAGTCACACTCGTGACTAATGATCTCACTTGGATAATCGGCACACTTATCCGTAGTAACATGACACTTGCTCTATTATTGGCTGTGAATGGCTGTTTGTACTTCGTTCTGTCCAAAATTCAAAATTGATGATCTTACTCCAATGCTCAATGCTACCTATCAGTCACTAATTTATGTGCCGGTTTCGGTGTTCGGCCCCAAACTAAGGAATGGTTTATAATCCACTTCACTTTGTCTATTGATCCTTGGATTGGACCCTGTTAAATGTAAATTCATTCCCGAGGTCCAACTTCTTAACTTTTCGGACTTTTTCCGTCTTTGGTTCTAAATTCTCAAACCTGAAATTGAATTCTTCGTCTGTCATCTACATTTCACAACATGGACTCGACTAATGAGGACACAGAGAAGAAGGTCATCGCTGATGAAGAAAAGGGTTATGAGAATGGCTCCGATTCAGTTTCACCGATCGAAATGGTGGACGAGTTGACTTACGATACAGGCTTCATCTCATGGCTACAGGTTTTGGGTTCGTTTTTCTTATTTTTTAATTCATGGTATGTAGTCCACTGCTCAAAGAAACCTTTGAGGGAAATTTGTGCTAATGCCTCTATAGGGGTATAATCAATACATGGGGAGCATATCAGACCTATTATGAGCAGACTATTCTAGCAAACACTTCATCCTCGACAATTGCCTGGATTGGATCTTTACAGTCCTTTCTACTAATGCTAGTTGGAGTCATCACTGGCCCCCTCTTTGACGCAGGCTACTTCCACGCTCTTCTTGGATTTGCCGCTTTCATGCTACCATTTGGTTTGATGATGACCAGCATTTCGACCAAGTTCTGGCAGTTGATCCTTGCACAAGGGATTTGTGTTGGCCTGGCAGCTGGTTGTCTCTTCGTGCCATCCGTGGCTCTACTGCCACAGTACTTTCGCCGCAAGAGAGGACTCGCAAATGGCATTGCGGCCAGCGGTAGCAGCATCGGTGGCGTAGTCTACCCCATCATGTTTGATCAGCTACAGCAAAAAGTCGGCTTTGCTTGGGCTACCCGGGCAATAGGCTTCATCTGTTTCGGTACTATCTGCATCTCGCTCGGCGTCATGCGCATTCGAATCACGCCAAAGGAGAAGCGTAGCCTGTACCAGCTCTCTGCTTTCAAAGAACCGGCGTTTGTTCTGTTTTCTGTCGCCATGTTTATTGGTTTCCTAGGTTTCTACAACTTCCTCTTCTACGTACAATCATATGCCATAAACACTGGTATCGTGGATAAAAACCTCGGTTTCTACCTGCTGTCAATGCTCAACGCTGCCTCAACGTTCGGACGTATCGGTCCCAACTTCCTTGCTGATCATGTTGGACCTCTCAACGTGCTCACACCGGCCGTGTCCATTACCACAATTTTGGCATTTGTATGGATTGGTGTCCATACCACTGCCGGTATGATTGTACTGAGTATTCTCTATGGATTCTTCTCGGGTGGATTTGTTTCACTTCCTCCGGTCGTCATGGCTTACATGACACCTGACGTGCGGGAACTGGGCACTCGCATGGGAATGGTTTTTGCCGTTACCTCTATTGGTGTGCTGATTGGAACCCCCATCGGTGGAGCCATTTTGAATAAATCTGGAGACTACCTTGGTGTTCAGCTTTTTACTGGCTGTTGCCTCGTCGCATCCTCTTGCCTCATGGCTATTCTGAGGTTTGTGGTCTCTGGACCAAAATTGATTTGTAAGACTTGAGCTGGACCCTTGAGATGCCAGCAGGTTGCATTTGGTATATGGAAGGAGTGGACTGGAACGTCCAAATATTTGCAAATAATCATCACTTGGGCGTTAAAAAGAGGAAATGTTCCGAAGCTAATAGATTGATTCTTCTCATCATGAAAGTTGAAAGATTTCTCTCCATTTCCCGAGGTCATGGATAGCAAAGGATTTGTACTCCTCTACGAGTGTCTCAAGGGTGCATCCACACTGCCCTATTAGGTGACATCATGGGGAGAGACTCTGAAGTTCTCGCCGTTTTCTCGAATATGTTGCAGCTTTTTGTCTCGGCTGCATGGTTTGCGCATATCAAAAGCATCTTCGCCAGACTCTGAAAGTCCCGTTGGATCATCGCTGTAATAATTGACGACTCGCCTGAATACCGAGTACCTGCCAAATATCAGCAACCAAGTCCTCGTAGATTATGTTATACTGTACTCACCCCATGCGTTTGTACATATCTACTGCGACTTTATTCCCTGCCCGAACATAAAGATCCACAAACCAGGCCTTCTTGATATCGGAACCGGCCTCTAATTGCTCGCACAACCTTTTAGCATAACCAAGTCGGCGATAGGCTGGTGCAACGGTCAGGACTGTGATATGTCCGTGCCATGGAGTATAGTGCTCAGCGGGTGTCAAGTGGACATCTTGCTCCTCAAGTTTGCCCATAACTGCGATCTTATTAATTATGGTTTATACTATATGGGCAGAATATTTGACTTACTATATCCTACCACACCAGCATTATGATCCTTCACCACGCTAAACAGAGATGGCCATTTTGTGAGGTAGTTAAGGTAGAAACCCAAGTCATAGTTCTCCGTCAATGGATCCAGATTGGTCCAATTCATGGACAATAGGTCCATCGGGGAGAATCGGGTAATTGTCGTCATCTTGAAGACCCTTAGAATGCACAGAAATGCAAGTTCGAGAAGGAATGTCGCTGTGGGGTTGTGAAAGTGAATAATATTGCCAATCGGCCTTATAGGGCGGTGAACCAATTGCAGTCATTGCTCCGCGGACGCGCTTCAGACAAAAACAATCTATTTTTTTTTGTCTACTACAAAACTAACCCAGCAGTCCTTTTCTTCGGTCTTTGCATTCTGACTTCTTGTGGATCTCTTTGTTTTTATCTCAATTCATAGTGGCATGATGCGATAGACTCCAACTGAAAACAACAAGACATCAAATCGGCTCTTCTACTATTATACTTCCACAAACACAACTCCGTTGTTGAATCATTTACTCTTCTTTATTTTCTGCTTATTTTCTACTCCTTGGCTGCCTCTTTCTTTGTATTGCTATACTTAGACCAAGTCGTTGGACCTGTCTAATTCGGAGATCATCTCCTGTCCATCCGATGCCCCTCCGTTCGTCTCCCCTGAAACTCTCTCACCGCCGCCCCTCTATGGACGACCCTCCTATCTCGCCTAGAGAGGTGCCCAATGGCTTTCCACCGAGCCCTGTATTGCCTGCAACCCCACGAATATCGGCACCATCGTCCCCATTAACGCTTCGTCAAAATACATTTACTATGAGCGGGTCTCAGCGGGAGTCGGTAGACTTTTCAGCTGACTCGGGTGGAGGTGGCCTGGGAAACTTGGCTGATGAGTTGGCTGATGCCTGGGATGAGGATGAGGGCTATGGCTACGCATCAGGACAGGATAAGAGCCCCGCAGGGTCTCAGCGAATGGATCACAGCGATAATGAAGAATACCTACTCTCGGTTCACAACATGCGGTCTCAGTCACCATCACAGGACTCGCCAACCAGGAACAGGTTGCGAGCAAACCAGATTCGACAGCAGCGTCGACAGGAAGGACGATATGACGGCTCTGACTATGGGAATGACTCCGATCTAGACGAGGTGACGGATATTCCACCTGGATTAGAGAGCCAGATGGCTGATATCGAGAGTCTTGTACGGCGGGGCATAGAGAACAACGGCAGCGAGCATGATCATGTTATCCAGCGGACTGTCGAGTCCCTCCGGGATCTGGGCGGACAAAGTGGAATTGAGAACAGTGCCACGCGGTAAGTTTATGATTTTCGCTACATACCTCTGGCACTTGAAGCTAACCTCTGATAGGCTTATCACTGCCCACTCCTCTATCACATCCCACCTCACCCACCAAACACGCACTCTCCAGTCTCTCATCCATCCACTCCTCTTCTCCCCGTTCCCTCTCCTCTCAGAAGAAGATATTGACTCCCTTGTACCTCTAATTGACGAGGAACTCTTGCCAAGTCTTCCATATCCATTCCCTGAGCAATCTCGCAGCTCAAGACCATCAACCCCATCACAAGCCTCAAGCTCAAACCCACTTGTATCCCTCCAAGCTCTCATCTCCCAAACATCTGAAATCACCCACTCACTCCGCGGCCTGAGCGACACCCTATATGAGTCCCGCCAATTGACCTCCACAGCATCACGTCGTCTCCGATCCGCTCGTGAACTCGTCGCCGAAATCAGGCGCGAAGAAGAATCCCGCGAGGAAGGCTCACGGTGGATTGAGATCGGCGAGTGGGACCGCCGATTGAAAGATCGTGAAGCCGGCAAAGAGTGCGGGGACGTCGTGCGCGGGTTTGAGGCTGTGTGTGGCGAGTGGCGCGAAAAGCTATTCGGAACAAACGCCGAGGTGGCTGCTGCTTAAATCATCATCATCACTTCGTCACTGTCATTATCTTTCCACGGTTGTTGATTTGCTTACTTCTCGGGGGAAAAACAATACATTCAGATTGTTAGACTGTTATGAGCTTTTATCCTTTCCATCAGATATCCACTTCATTTTTCGCACCCATTTTCAACTTATTTGTATCCATGGATCCCTTTTGTTGTTGGAGTTGAGCTTGTACATAGCATCTAGATAGCCCTGAGATGGCCACTCATTTGAATCTGACGACTTTGCCTTTCTTGTTCTAGCGCAATTCTATGTGCACCTAGACAGTACTCCAATAAATTGGATAATGCTCATACTTGAACATTTAGTAAAATGTTCAAGGAAAGACAGCATGGTACGGGCGACGATAAAACGATCCTTTAAGGTAAACTCAGAAATAGTATTGAGGGTCATAATGATCCTTATACACTAAATCCCAATACAGGACTTAGATACTGCTAGAGACTGCTAGAATAAAACATGAAATCGGCATCACGGATGACAGAAATAACCCATCCGGAGAACAAATAATTATGGAAACACGAACATCGAAAAGACCGCAAGGCCGTATCGGGGCCAATGTTACAGGGTCATAGGCAAAGGGGATCATGAAAAACATGCGTCGGATAAAAAACATCCGTGTCACTTTTTTTTTTTTTTTTTTGCTACCCTAGAGTACGTAGGAAGAAGAAAAATGACAGTTAGCCCTGTGGGGCAGCTTAGCTCTGTTGCTGCTTCCACTTGGGCACCCACTTGGTGCCGCTACTCTTGAGCTCCTCAGGCTTGGCAGCCGGGGTAGAAGAAGAAGAAGAGGGGGTTTTCACGGGCACTGGGGCGAGACCAGCGCTCTCCGCTGGATGGAGCATCACGGTCACGGCTGTCACGGGGGGCATCACGAGGGGAGTCACGGCTGTAAGAGGGGGCATCGCGAGAGGCTCCGGCACGCATGGCAGGTGGGACGTATCCTCCACGGCGGACAGGCTCTTCCCGAACAGGCTCACGAGGAGCAGGTTCACGAGCAGGGGGAGCAGACTCGCCACTTGCCTCCTTGTTAGCCAGACGGTCTCTCCAGCTAGAGCCACCGGCAGGACGGCTGGGAAGATTGAGACGGGGAGCAGTGCGCTCTGAAGACTCGGAAGCGGGAGGAGCATAGGCAACAGTCTTGCGCTGCGAACGGCGGGCCTCGGCTTCTTCCTCGCGCTGCTTTTGTCGTAGAGCAACCTCGTCGAGCTTGCTTCGCTCCTCCTCGCGCTTAATCTTCTCCTCAGCCAGAACACGACGGCGCTCCTCATCACGAGCAGTACGCTCCTCTTCTTCGCGAGTGACACGTTCCTCTTCCTCCTTGCGGCGGCGCTCCTCCTCCTCGTACTCCTGTTTCTCACGACGGCGGCGCTCTTGAACCTCCTTGACACGCTGCTTCTTCTTAGCCTCAAACTCGCGCTCGGCAGCCTTGCGGCGCTTCTCGAACTCTTCGTGGCGCTTCTCAGAGAGCTCCTTGCGGAAGCTAGAGAAGGCAGGCACAAGACGGCTCAGACGGTGCTTAAGGGCGAGAGCCTCGGTGTGCTTCTCCTTGGCCTCCCGCAGAGTCTCAGCCTTCTGGGCCTCGTACAGGTCCTGGTCGTGCTTCTTCTGCGACTCGTAGTCGGCAGGGATGTGCTTCAATTCCTCGCGGCGGAAAGCACGCTCCAGGTGGTCGATACGCTTGGCAGTGGTGCGAACGCGGTCGTTCAGCTCGTTCTTCTCCTTCTCCAACTGAGCAAGCTTCATGGCGCGCAGGCGGTTGGCATCAAGCTCATCAACATCCAACTCACTGATGTCAATACCCTTGATTCCGGTCTTGAGCTCCTCGATCTGCTTCTTGAGCTCCTCCTGGCGGATGCGGTCCTGTTCATCCTTGAGGCGCTTGGCCTCACGATCCCGTTGCTCATCGGCCAGACGCTGCTTCTCGGCTTCTTGCAATTGCTGGGTGCGGATGCGCTTGCGGTTCTCCTCATCACGCTGCTTACGTTGCAGGGCATCGGTGGCAGCCTCCTTCTTCTTGTCGATAACGGTACGACGAGCCAAAGTCTGCTCGTGCTCCTCCACGGCTCCAGCAAGAGCGCGGGCCTGAGCGGCTTGCTTGGCGCTGTGACGGGCCTCGTTGTAAGATGGGTCCACGTACATGCAAGTAATGTGAAGGGTCTTGGCCAGACGAGCCATCGAGAAGCGAGCAATATCGGCAGGGGTGTTCTGGAGGCGCTGCACGGAGCCAGTCTCGCTCTCGGCAGAGCCAGCGGCGCTGCCGGCATGCTGAGCCTTGGAAGAAGAGAAAACGTCGGAGTCGAAAGTCAGAACACCAGAAATGTGGTCAACACGGATGGCCAGGTCACCCTTCTTGCAACCGTTCATGATGAACTTCTCAATCATGGCGGGATTGATCTGGAAGGGATCGGGGAATTGAGCAAGCTCGTAGACGAACTTGAGCTCAACGGACTCGTAGACCTGCGAGAGCTGCTGGAACAGACGAGTGAGAATGACCTGCTGGAGGGGAACGACGTACTTCTCCATCTCAGGGTCGGCACCAATCTGCTTCAGGATGGGAGTGATCTTCTTGCAGATAGAGAGAGGATGGAAGTCAACCTCGAGGATGTTGTAGAGTTCACGGATCTCGGGGCGAACGCGCTTAAGCAGACCCTTGTTCAGAGCATCCCGGAAAAGCACAGAGCGAGATGGGGGCTGGATCATACCAAGCAGGTTGGTAAGACGGGTGTTCTTGTTCTTGCGGGCCTCGTCAACATCGATGAGAGCGCCACGCGAGCGGGTGGTGCTGATGACGGGAATGGACAGAGCGGAAAGGAGCACAAAAGAAGCGGCCTTGGTCATATCGGCCTCGGTCACGGAGGGGTTCTCCTTCTTGGTGCTCTGGCCAGAGGCAAGGGCCACAGAGGAGAGGCGGAGCAAGTTGTAGTACCGGTTCCAGGCTGCGGCATGGAAGAGGTAATTCTCGCTGACGAGGAAGATACGGGCCAGCTTCTCGTAGTAGTTTGCCATCATCACATTCTTAGCGGGACGCTTGCTTAGGTTCAGTAGGGTGTGGATATCCTCGATACTGCGGAAGGCTTCTTGCCAAAGCTCCAGCTCGACGGCAACGTTAAGCTGCTGGAAACGGGTGTCCAAGTGGCGCTGCAGGGTGTCTGCGTCGCTCAGGTTAATGGCGTGCATCTGGGAGGAGTACTTGGCGGCATTTTGGACGTGGTTACGGAGGAGCTCGCACAGGCGGCGGAACTCGGTCTTGCGGGTGTACTTGAGGCAGAACTGGAAGGCCTGCAGAGCGGTCGACTGGTACATAATCTCGAGGCGGGCATTGTTCTTCAGGATCTCGAGGACGGTACGGTAAGTCTCCCAAAGGAACTTGAGCCAAGGAGTGACGACGGCGCGGTCGGTACGGTCACGAGACTGCTCACCGGAGACGGTGGCCAACAGGATGGTCTCCGGGGTTTCGATGGCCTCAAGATCATCGATGTTCGAGGAAGGGGCAGCGGATTCGAGGGTAGACTGGATCTCGTCGGCCTTGGCCTGGGCCTCGGTGACCTTCGACTCGGCGAGTTCAATGAACTTCTTGAGGACAACTTCGATGGTGCCGACGTTGGTGTTCTGGGCGATGTTCTTATACTGGTAGAGGCCATCCTTGGCGGCCTTGCCCTTGCGCAGATCAACAGATAGTTCCACAAAGAGGAGCATCACGGGCTCCAACGAGGCGATCGGGCTGCTGCGGGTACGCTTCGACGTAACATGTTCATGGAGGACGGTCAAGGCAGCTGGGGCCTGACCGACGGCGATAAGTTCCTGGGCCCTCTAGTAGTAGTTCACCGTTAGTATATCTAAATACTAGATGTCGCGATATCTGATACGACGACGAACCTTGAGGACATTCTCAGGTTTGATATGCGGTGGTGGCGGCATGATGGGCTAAATGCGACCCCTTCGGGATGAATGAAAAAAATTTTTATCGGAAAAAAAGTCGAAAGGACCAAATTGAGATGGCGGTTTTCACACACGGGCAGTGGTCTGGGACCGGAGTTGAATAGCTGCCACGCGAAGCCCAGGACTTGAAGGTTAGTAAGTACCTGTTGTGCGTAAACCAGCGAAAATTGCCCGCCAGTGTGAGAGGTGTTCCCACTTCGGGCTTAAGCGATGGGTCAGTCACGTGAATTTGTTGATTGGCGCCTGAAGTACAAGGCATACATATCAGGCAGAGAAGAAGCACGGATCATTACTCTAACTGCTTCTAGTTAGTCCATCTTTCCATTTTAAAATACAGGGTAATATCGTATGTTACCGTATACCGTATACAACCCGCATACCAATCTACGATTCAGAGCTTTTCAAGTCCCACCACGTTGACTAAGAGTATGATTTGCATCTCATCTGAAAAAGTAAGCACGTCCACTTAATGAGACGTTGAAGTTGAGTAAAATTCCATAATTTCCATCTGGACCTTTCGTATCCGAGTCAGATTCTGCCCCCGAAGCTATCCGGGACATTTCTCCCCTAAATGTAGATTTACAGTATCAATACTCCTAAGCTAAGTTTCGTAAAACCAAAATCGAATTTCCCCCTTGGACACAGACCCAACGGGGAAAATCCATTTGATTTCGCCCCGATCTTCTTCCTCTGTGACCCTTCCCATCCCCTCGCTTTACCCTCATTTATTTCTTTATCGAGACTGTGTACTTCAGTCTCCGCGCCAAATTTAATTTCTCCACTTGTGACGACCACTTTTTTCCCTCCCCCTTTTCGACCTTCTAGTCCCCCCTCCACCCCCTACATCTTCAAACCCCCCGAAACGTCAAACGGAAGTCCACCCCTCTCGCGCAATACATTCGCCAACAGTCACAATGCCTAATTATGAACTTCGGTCTGGTGGTGATGTCAAGAACAAGAAGCAGAGTGTCGCTGATCTGAAGTATCGTCGTTTGACTGAACTCAATGCTCGTCTGAAGGAAGACCTTGACCGTCCACGTGTGAAGGTTTCCGAGGCTGCTCTTTCGTGAGTCCTTCCTCTCCAAATCAAAGAGAATCTAGAAAGAGAATTCAATTAATATTCTTTTTCTCGTCTCTAGTCTCATCAACTACTGCAGCAACACTCGCGACTTCATGGTGCCGGCCGTATGGGGAAATGTAAGTAACCAGCTCTCTTATCTTCTCTCTTTCGCGCACATCGCTAATATAGCTTCCGTCTTTCAGGTTGACAAGCGTGAGGACCCCTATGCTCCTCAGCAACAGAGCGGCTGCTGCACGGTCATGTAACGGCTTCATGACAATAATTCTCGATCGCCACGACACGATTTCTCTTTTCTTTCTTTCAACCTAATCTTTGATCTTTAATGATCCCTTCGTCTTAACCTTTTTTTAACCCAACCTCAACCACAACGCAAACCGAACTCGGCAATCGCTCGTCTGCTTATGCGCCTGAAGAATCGTCTGCTGGCCCTGCACGACCCTTGGGACGCTATATCGGACCACTGCAGGTGCGACCAAATCGCCGTGTTTCTGCCTCTTCGTTCGACCGATTCTGATCGTCTAAATTTAAATCCTTGGATGTCTCGCGGTGACATTCCATAATGCACTGCTGTGTTTTTTTTTTCTCTTTTACTTTTTCTTTCTCCTTTCCTTTTTTCCTTTCAACTTACTTTTTTCCTATTCTCTTCTACAGCATTCCCCCTTTTGTCGCCTTTGTTTTTGAAGCCAAATCTCCTTTGTCTATGGGTTCTCCAAAAAAACCTTTTTTGTTTGCATGTTTCAACAGTCAGGAGAGTCGGTTGCCATTCGTGTATCATAAATTCGATCTGCATCCATGACCAGAATTAGTATCATTGATCTACACTGGACAGTTCCTCCTTTCGCGATACATGCATGTATAGATCTCTAGTGTAACAAGTCAACATAAATGACTCCTTCGTACTCCATAGAATATACAATGAGCACGAGGAACACCGGTTAGCAGCATAGGAAATACCGAGATCAGGCAAACCCCCCACTGACATCATCCCACAAGCAACAACAACCCATCGCCACTTCCATCCGTAACACCGAAATCATTCCATAAGCCCTGCATACATCTAGCCCTCTAGGTCTGAGCTCCCTGCGGCATAATTAGCCTCGGATCCCATATCCGAAATTTCCTACTCCACACCTGGCTCTCTTTTCCCACCATGGCGGACCCAGCTTCAAATACTGGTCCTAATACAATGCTAAAGCACGCTGAATTGACCACGCACCTCCCTCGTATTGCCATCAAGTTCTGTACTCAGTGTCGATGGATGCTCCGTGCTGCATATGTACGTCATCTCGTTATCCACATTGGCTTGCTTAGCTGACCAAACCTTCTAGTTTGCGCAAGAGCTCCTCTCAACTTTTGGTACTGACCTTGGTGAGGTCGCCCTTGTACCTGTTACAGGGGGAGTTTTCACGGTTACTATCTGGCATGGACAGGTAACTGAAGGTGAGGTCTTTACGGAGGAAACTGTTCTATGGGATCGGAAGGTAGATGGCGGATTCCCCGGTATGTGATGTTCTTTCTTTCTGGCTTTAAATGTTGTACTTATATCTTTCTAGAGGTCAAGGCTCTTAAGTCTCTTGTTCGAAATGTTATTGATCCTACTCGGGATTTGGGACATACTGACCGGGCTTTGAAGAAGGCCCAAGCTGAGAAGGAAGAGAAGGAGGCACTAGTTGATCAGAAGGATGTGTGCCTTAATAAGGAAGGTTGCGAGGATTGCGCTTAGCCTGGGGTTTTCCGGCCTTGGGGAAGGTTTTAAACAATCATCCCAAGGTTCATGGATCGACCAAGTTCAGCTGAATGGTAGTAGCACTGAGGTTTAAATCAAGAGAGAAAAATTATAAGGATATATACATCAGAGAAATGAAGAGAAGTATAAAAAAATCGCCATATCCAGGTCACCTACATAACAAGTAATAATCCAACAATCAATGTCAATGATTCAGAAGGCCACCAAGAAATGGCAGAAAAAAGAAAGAAAAAACCAACGCCACCAATCCCTATTCCGAATTCTAAGATGACCGCCACCCCCGCCTCCCAAGAAACCAATGCAGCCGAGAAAATCAGGCAAACACAAACGCAAAAGAATTGCAGGAAGAAAATCAAAAAAAGAAAGCTCGAGCGTTTACATAATCGTCACACGGGGACTCTTAAGGTCCAATGCAGTAGCTGCAGCTGAGAACCAAAAGGATAATACAACTGTCTTTTTTGAGAATAAGAGATCATGTTTGTAGATATTGTTTTCATCTTGTGTGTTCGGGTGTAAGAACATAGTGACAACATCTTACATCGTTGATGTTGACATTGGCACAGACACAGACACAGACATCGATATATCGTTTGGATCGTGAGGACCGCCGAAGCTAGCCAGTTTATCGAGTATGAAATCACGTAACAACGTTCACATAATACAAGGTAGCAAAAGATCATCCAGTTCAGCTTTCGCCGTGGACCTCTTGTTGCTGGTGAGGGCGACGCTTCCAGAAAGCGAGACGTAGTCGACTCCGTCGCTTTCCCAACTTACGGAATCCAAGACCATTGCGGGAATCGTCACCCAGATGATCGTTTTTGTTATTGTCATTATTTGCAGATCGGTCTGCACTCAGAGAGCCATTGAGCCCGTTTTTCGAATAACCCCTTCCATCGTCTGACATTGGACGGCCCAAATATAGACCTGAGCCACGTCCAGAGGCACGACGAGCGTAGTATCCACCGTTGGAGTCTCGTACGTACGATGTGCTAGGGCGGGCACTGGTTCCCTCTGGCCCTAGGTCGCTTAGAGCCGCACTGTCGTTTGAAGCTCGATTCTCGTCGCTGCTATCAACGGCTAGAAGACTAGTGGCGTTGGTGGCAGGGGAAATCGGGGTCATGTTGTTGCTGTATGTGCTGATACTCTGCGTACGGGTACAGCTATTGCGGTTGGAATTTGATGGCGCGGATGTCCGCGCAGAGGAGCTGTGATGTGCGTGGTGTTGGAAGCCATGAGGAAATTGGCGGTAGCTAAATGATTTTTCGGGTGGAGAATCATTTGATTGATCTTGCGCGGTAGTCCCTCGTGAGACGCTGGAGCCTTTGGCCGAATTGGCATATAAAGCGGTTGCTAGGACAGCCGGATCGTTGGGGGACCGGTTGGGATCTGTGAAGGGGGTTTGATACTGATGGGTTGCTAATCCTCCACCTCGGTGCGGTGCAGTCGGAATAGAAAAGTAGGAGAGGTCTGGCACAGCATTAGATGACTTGCAAGACGAAACATCCGGCACCATTGAAGAGCCGGTGATTTCGATCTGAGGGCCAGGGGTGTCGACTGTTGTAACCGGCTCAATGGCGCTCCCTTGGTATGCGCCAGGTCGCGGGGTGCTCGCATCCGACCCTGTAGTCAGTGGACCTTCTCGTATGGGGGCCACGCCTTCAGGAACCGATTTCACGATCGGTCGAATCGGGCTTCGAGAGCGAGGAGAGATGGTGACGGTGTCGGGTGTCTGAACTTGCAGGGCTTGTCTTCGAAGTTGATCGTTGGCGTATTGTTGCCACTGTGCTAAGTTACGACGAATGGCATCGCAGGTAAACTGCATCTGTGGTAGAAAATCCGACACCCCCTCGAAGAGAGGAAGGGCGAAAATCGACATGAAGCCGATTTGACCTGTGGCAAGCTTGTAGACATTGCCAAGCTCTGGCGGTCCGCCGAAGAGGGCAGTTTCCATGCCCACTTCCTTCTCCATTTCACCTTGATTGGCGAACTCTTCCTGAAGAACCGTAGTCCAGCGCTCTGCGATGGTCCACGGGCGAGCGACGTTGCTGATATCGGCGCACTTGATTATCAGGCCACAGAGCAGAGACTTGTACATTTCGATGTCCTGGGGTTTCCAACCATCTAAAGACCGGTTGTTCTCGTGGTACTTTTCTTGTAGGGATCCCATACGCTGCATGAATTTCTGGTGAACGCCCATATCGGTCGCCAGAATGGTGCTGATGAGGAGCTTTCGAAGTTGTTTATCCTTGAAGGCGGCAGGCCAGTGCCGGCGAAGAATCTGGGAAAAGGCTGCGCAATGGAATGCTTCCAGGACGGAGTTGTCGTTGTAGAGCTGAGCCAAGGGAGCGTTAAGTTTGACCAAAAAAAAATTGTTGACACCAGGGTGGCCGACGTCGTGGCCGATTGCTGCGATGAGAAGTGTGAGGGAATCAAATGGGGAGAGAAGTTGGGTGATAGGGGCTTTTGACGAAACGGGGACTTGGCCAATCGGCTTGTAGTGAGGTAGAGCTCCAATATGGAGCAGAAAGACAAAGACAGACTGCAGTACGTCAATGGCATGGCGGAAGTTATGGTAGAGGACGAAGGAGTTGTAAGCTGCGCGGCAGGCTAGTAAGAATGTCCGCAGTTCGTCAAAAGTTAATTGCCAGTGCTCTAGTCCGGGGAGAGTAAACGCGTGCTGAAGCATTGCGCATGCGCCAAAGACCAGCTCGTCCTCTGATAATTCATGAGCTGAGAAATTCCACCTCCCAACCTGCGCCCTGATGTACGTCTCGCGCGCTGGCTCGATATCCAGGGCCCTGTCCTGAAAGTCGTGGATGACCTCTTCGGGATTACAGATACCATTCATGAGTTTGGAGACCATCGCCTCTCTCAGATACGCATACGGTTCCTCATCATGTACGCCAACCCAAGAATGCTTGCGCTGCTTCCTCCGTGCTAAGAAGCGCGACATCTCCCGCTGCGCCGTGCGACGAGTCCGATACGAATGAACCACTAAGCCCTGGATCCTCCCCCGATCGAGAGGGGTCGTCAAAACATCGACGGCGCCCGCATCAAGACACCGGGCAATTTGCTTGTGCTCTAAAGTTACGGGATTCCGACTAAGCCGTTCATTGGGGTCCGTAGAGTCGGGCGCGTCCGAGCCAGCGGTACGCAGGATGGCGATAGGGATAACGAGGTTGGGACAGTCTTGAACTTGTATATCGGTAGAAACTCCAGAGAGGAGTGACAGGCCAGGCGCTTCGTCGGAACGGGAAGAAAAAGTAAAGGTTCGTTGAAGTTGGAAGGAGCTGGGGGATGGAGGGCCGGTATCTCCCCACGAGGCACGACTAGCCTTTCGACGCGCGATATTTAATTCGTCAGATGAGAAGTCGATACTGAAGAAGGCAAATATTGGGATGCAATCGCTACCCGAGCGATCGCTAAGTTCGGCCAATTTGGTGGCAAAGGATGATCCGGTCTGACACAAATAGACTGGAGGTCAGTTCCGTTAGCAGGCAGTTCTCTTTTTTTTTTTTTTTTTTTTTTTTTTCTAGAAGAAAAAAAAAAATCAAATAGTTATTCAGAAAGCGAGTCATACTTTTTTTGCACACTTCAAGCAGTTGCTCTAAATCGGCGTGGAGAGCATCCGGTTCATCGGGTTGAGTGAAGGATGCGGCTGACGACGACACAGTTGATTCATCGACAGAACCTCTGCGCACCCATCTCTCCGATCGGACCCGGTCATCAATATAGACGGCCGAGCATTCCACGCGATCCACCATGATAATACAAGGGTTGGTGTCAGATCAGGCCGCGCCGGGGAAATGACGCAGCCAAGAAATTGGGGGAAGAAAAGGAGGAAGTTGGGCCCGCCCTGATTCGCATATGGCTCGAAAGGGAGGATGACGAGGTCAGGGTCGGGGATAAGGACCGAGAGAGAGAGAGTGGAAAGTGAGTGAGTGTGTGTGAGAGAGTGTGTGTTTGAGAGAGGGTAGATGGAGAGATAATCGAAGGAAATGTTTAAAATTTCAGAAGAAAAAAAAGATATGCAAGGATTGGAGTCGGCCAAACGGGCGCGAACAATGAAGTTGTTCCCGAGATGGCGGTTGCAAGGATCCGAGACAGATCCAATTGGAAATAAGTGCACGTGAGAGATAGAAAAGAGAGAAAGTAGAGTAAAGAGGAGGTTAACGTATAACGTAGGGGTGTGGGGGAGGGGAAGGAGAGAAGAGGGAAGAGGAGTTGTAAAAGGCAAGCTTCCAGAACGTTAGAAGCCTTTGGAGATCATGTGTGGCTCCACCTAAAGAAATTACGAAATTTTACGTACGAAATAGAAAAGGAAAAACACTTCTAGAAGACCCACATTGATTATTACTGCAGGATCCCGTTCGAGGCTCCGGGGAGATCTGTCTTATAGCCGAAATGTTTACTTCATTATCCCACAGTTAAGGGTCTATTCTGTAAAATATATCAGAATTGAATGAAATTTAATGTTTCCAATTTAAGCATTTTCTGCCTGGTGAAACAGGCATAAACGGATCTACTTCTCGGGTCAAGGCCCGACGTTACAGCCGGGCAACGGGGCAACAGTAGAGCATCATAACAAGATCATTTTTTTTATTTTTTTTATCTTCCTAAGCTAGTATATGATAGAAATTATGAATGGTCGGAGATTTGGCTATACGTACTTTAGTACCTGTCCCTAACTAGGAGTCTCGCACTCAAATACCTAGATGTAAAGATTGACGAGAGAGTTTAGATCCAATTGCTAGCTGGAATCTAAAAGTTTACTTGAACTACATTTATTCCTACTCCAACATGATGACCTCATCGATTCATCAGTCTGATACGCGGGAAACGGTGGGAAGCAAAAACTTATTTTTCAAGGTTTTATCCTTTCCCGTCGGTGGACCCTTCAAATCACACAGATGATTTTTCCCTTGGTAGTATTGGTCTCCATCAACTGATGCGCCTGGACAATATCCTCGAACGGAAATACTTTCTCCACAAACACCTTGAATGTGCCGTCGATGAACTTTGGTAGCGCATGCGATACAAGTGTATCCCGCAGCTTACCCTGGTACACCTCGTCTCGGCTGCGTAGAGTACTACCCTCAAATCGGATGCGCTTTGCGAGTAGCGGGGCGATGTTGACTCCGTCGGGAAGAGTGGTACCGCCCATAAGACCCAGGAGCACGACACGCCCGTCTCGAGCAGCTACGTTCAGGTCGCCCTGGAAGTAGGGCGCACCGACGAAGTCGACGGTGAGGTTTACTCCTTCGCCGCCCGTTACCTTTTGGATCTCGGCTGCCCAGTCTTGGGTCTTGTAGTTGAATGCGGCAGTCACGCCGAGCTCCTTCTCTAGGAAATCGATCTTTTCTTGCGATCCCGCGGTCGCATAGATGGCCTTTGCTCCGGCTATCTTGGCTAGCTGGATGCCGCTAATAGAGACTGACGACGCTCCTGCGTGCCATAGCACGGACTGACCAGCCTGAAAGTCACCGATCAGGAATAGAGCCTGCGATGCCGTGATCCAGGTCTGGAAATAATCAGTAGAGTACGATGTAGAACTTGTAATTTTGGTTCTTTACCTCTGGTACACCGGCAGCCTCTTCCCATGACAGCACCGCCGGCTTGTGAATCAACATCTTGGTTGAAACGACAATGTACTCAGCATAGGCACCTATAAATATCAGAAATGACTCATTTTGGGTATAAATGTGGAATACGTACCGCCATAAGCAAGTCCAAACACTTCATCTCCGATTTTAAAATCACCAGATGCATTCTCACCAAGTTTCTCCACAACGCCAGAAAACTCAACACCGAGTGTCGCTGGTGCCTGTGGGGGCACTGGGTACAGTCCTTCCCGTTGTAACAGGTCCATACGGTTCAAACCGAATGCCTTGACCTTTACTAGTGCTTGGCCTAGGGCTGGAGTGGGCTGTTCAGCTTTATCGTCGATGGATAGAGCTGTTGCAGGACCCTTGCCACCCTTAATAACTATGCTATGTCAGTATCATGTTCGATTATATGTATACTGATTCAATTAAATGGATCATTGCCATTCAATATTGCTTTTTGTGGGTGATGAAAGTGTTCTATAGGTGTGGATAGGAGGGGTAAGCGCCTTGGAAGGCGGTTTAGGTCAACATACCGACAGCACGCATAGTCAGGCTCATCTTGGGATGGAGAGCTTCAAGATATATTGTATGAATAGAGAAAGAGTCTTGAAAGTAGAAGAGAAGCTCAATTTGTTTTAAACGTAAATCTGGTATTTTGCATTAACAAGGTGGAGTGGAAGCTCGCATTTGTCATCAGTGTATCCACAGACCTTTAAGATGAGATGCTTAACCTTAACTACTAACCGGGCCTAAAGTTGTCCAATTTTCGAGAATTACGTAAAATACAATTGTGAGTGATTCAATTCTTTCGCAAAAACATAGAGGGGGAATGGTAGAAATAGACACGCCCTACTCCATGCAATCCATTTGATATCCTATAGACTGCCGTTCCCTCGAGACTCCGCTTTTCCAGTAAAAGACGCCTTAAGATGAGACAAGAGATGGAAAGAGACAAGAGATACAGAAAATTGAAACACGATAGAAAATAATATGGCTCCAAACAGATAGATTTCCGACACTTTTTTCTTCTTCTCGAGATACCTCGCATATGCATAAGACTTGAAAGAAAACAAAATAAGTAGTTGTACATTCTGCCATGAAGGAAAATCAGGACAGAAGATTCTTTAGGGAAGGGCTTGCACTGGCCCCTGAGCTGGTGCTGGTGCCGTTCACGCCCGAGTGTCGACTAGTTCCCGAGGGACCTCCTATGAGAGAAGTAGGGGTGTCTTCAAGTCGAATGGGAGGAGTAGGTCCCCGGGGATCGAGGTGTGCCTGAGTCACCGGCGGCGAGTGAGATGGTGCTCCCATGCCACGATCAATCGAGTAAATACGTGACGGGGGGCCACCATTCAGTGCACTTAGTGATGTCTGTGGGGACTGATTGGCTGTTGTCTGCAAGATTGGTGGAGATGCAGACGGCGCATACGGCCGCGGTGGGGGCCCTGCCATGTGTGGTGATGGCTGTGACATGTGGGGCGAAGGGTGTGACAGATGGGGGGAGTGACCTGGCATGGGACCATACGGGCTTTGATGAACATATGGCTGAGGCGGCGGAGGAGGAGGACCCGTGTTGGAATAATGGGGTGGAGGGGGTCCTGGGGGATGAGGAGGATAACCGCCCATGTGATGTGGATGAGCCGGGGGAGCCGGAGGGCCAGTAGGATAGACAGGTGGTGACATGCCATTTCGCATGACCACATCGTTCCCAGGAGGTCGCTGCTCATAGCTTCCAGGATATCCTGGCATCGGACCATGCGAATGATTATGAGTCAAAGGCGGTCGACCAATGATACCAGTCGGTGGAGGCTGTGGTCCTCCTGGGTGAGCATGCGGTACAAACGTATGACTAGGCATCCTGGCAGTTGACAGCGGAGGATGTTGGGGCGGATATGGCGACGGCCGTGGACCAGGCGAGGGAGCAGCTACCGGTGGGGGTGGTGGTGGTGGTGGCGGCGGAGGAGGAGGCGGTGGTGGGTTCTTCAGATGGCATTTGTGGCATTCATAGACCTGCTCACCAATATCTCCATTGGAGTGATTAAACGGGCTGGGGTTTTGTTGGTGAGGAGGATAGGGCGAAGGGCCCGAGCCAAGTCCCACTCCATTCGACAAAGATGGCCGAGATTCGCCGTGTTGTCGTGCGCGTGGCCACCATTTAGGACTGCAATCGGTCGCACATCGCACACAATGCGTCACGTTTCCAGAGACAACTTGTAGCGAAGGGCGTTCTTCGGTATCGATATCCATCTCATCTGCTGCATCTTCTATTGGGGTGGGCTGTGGCTTATGAACTGTCTCCTTGGGGGCCACCAGTGTACCATTACTTGTTGAAGTCCTTCGGTGTCCAGGGGCGAGTCCATGCTGCGGAGCGATGACCGATAGTTGCACGTATGCAGCCTTCCGAGATGTCCCCGTAAGGGCCAGGTCAGCCTGCTTGTATTTCTGGGCAAACTGTTGGAGAGCATTCAGATCATCAGAACCGGTCAGCTCGCCGATATCATGGAGAGTTTTAGACACCGAGTGATGGGGACAATAGACTGTAGGGGTAACCGCTCCAACCTCGTCACCCAAGTGAATAGTCTGCACACTGTCTCTCCGCGAAGTCTTCACTGGAGTAACATCAAACCCGAATCGGTAGCCGGCCTGGAAAGCACAGCCAATGTGGAAGTGGGCGTTACATCCAGAAAAGTTGCATGGAACGCAGGCACCCTTGGAGGACTTGCAGATCTTGCACACATGCCGCCATCGATCTTTGGGAATTGATCCGAATCCCTCGGCAGGCTCCAGTTCCTTTGCATCGCCATACTTAACTTCGGGGGTCCACATAGTACACAACACGTGGGCCCAGTTGTTACCCGCAGTGCGCTTTAGAGGCTCGCGAGGGCCAACAGGCTTACCGGCCGCTTCCTGTCTTTGACGATAGAGCTTGATGGCTTCGTGGACCATTTCTTTTTCCATTCGCTCCTTCTCCTTGTCTCTCTCTGACTTCTTGCGACTAGTGCTTTTGGTAATCTCCATGAGTTCATGCTCGGTCCACGTTACCGGGCATAGGATGCATTCATAGGTGGTTGAGATGGAAGGACTGCGGTCGTTAGAGCACATATCACATAGCCATTTGTTACCGGCCCTAGAGCCTTGCATTCCGTAGCAGTTGCGGTGGACAGTCAAGCGGCAATCACGGCACGAGAGATGCTCATCTCCCAATGGCTCGACCTTGCTGCATACAGCACAAGGTAGAGTCTTCGCCCTAGGTGGATCAGGGACGATCGGAGTTGCTTCAAAAGCAATCCTTTCAGCTGTTGCCGCAGCCGCGGCCGCCGCTACAACCTTCTTCTTTGGCATTGGTTCAACTGATGTCGCAGTTGAAGTGGTGGTAGTGCTCGGGTTTTCGGTGCGAATCGTCTTCTTCTTCGGCAGATCCAGCTTGCTCTCCTGAATTAGTTGCGGATTGCTGTCCACGGAGATTCCCATTGCGGTAGCAGTCGTGGCAGTAGTGCTGTTAATTGTGAATGGCGTTTCAGTAGCCGTGATCAACTGAGCCAGCAGTTCCTCGTCAATACGCCGCCTCCAAGACTTGTGACCACTATTCGCAATCCTCTTGCCTACTTCATCAACATCCTCGTACTGAATGCCGTACTTTCGCCATAGCAAAGCACACCGAAGACAAAGAGCAACGGCGAGCAAAACCCCCTTTTCTTTTTTCGAATTAGGTTCAGATGGAACGGTTGTGCCGGCTGGGACTGGGGCGCGCCGCCATTGTCGTGAGCTGCGTGTCGAGCAAAACTTGCACTGGAAGCCTCGTTTTTGGATTATAGCCTTTTCGGCGTCAAAAGACGAATCGTCATGGTCATCGGCTATATCATCAAGTAGTTTGGACACAGCGATACTTTGACGTCGTACTTCCTTCTTGCCACGTCTTCCCTCGAAAGCACCCCACACTTTTCGACCATTCGGAGTTTTCTTCCACATGTAGTAGAAGCGGACAATCTGTGCGTGAGGAACCGTCTTGACATGTTTGGTGATGTTGCGCCACTCGGATCCAAATTTGGCCACACCCTGTTCAAATAGTTTCAACTCCTCAGGCTTGAAGTGAGGCTCCTTAAGATCCTTGTACCTGTTAACCTTCTTCAACTTGGTAAGTGCTACTTTGACGTCGAAACTCTCGGCATACAGAAGCTGCAAAGCTTTGTCCAAAAAGTTTGTCGAGTACTTTTCGACTCCAATGTGCGGTGCAAGTTCTTTTGCCTGGCTCATATAGTCGTCAATGAAGGCTTCCCGGTCGGCAACACTCAGGTGGCTTCCCGGTGCGTCTTCCCCACCCCGGGCGGGAATTTGAGCTTCAGTAGGCATTTTGAACAGAAGTTGAGAGGTATGGACCTGTTTATTACCCAATTGAATCGGCTCATCCTCCCCACGCTTGATGTAACCTGGTGGTTCATCCTGGATCCATTTCGGTCGGGTGGCCCGATCTTGTTTCGCAGCCTCGAGCGCGGCCTGCGATTCCTTAGTGAGTTTCACAACATTTCGGCCACCAGCTACTTTCACCGCCTTCTTTTTCAACTCTGGCGGCTTGACATATTCGACTGTGCGTCCTGCCCAGGCCGGGACAATTGCCTGGTGTCTTGGACCCAAACGAGAACTCGCACGGGGGTAAATCCGATCATCGTAGTCAAGAGCATCCTCCACTCTGCAATGCACGCCGAGGTATCGATAGGGCCACATTTTCGCCTGAGCTGTCTGCTCTTCTGTTGCTGGTTGCAGCGTCTCGTCATTAGCCACCGGGGTACTGACAGATGTGTCATTAACAGCCACGTTGAGATGGGGGTCTTCCTCTTCCTCCTCCAGAATCTCATCCTCGCCCGCTGGCCGGAAATCCCCAATATTGGGTGTATTCCGAGCCTCGAGTTTTCGTTCCTGGGCGCGACTACAGGCGGCACAGGCCCAGGCAAACCCGCGTGCGGGTTTCTTGGTCAATGCAGGTCGAACACAGTACATGTGGTAAGTTGAGTTACAAACAGCACAGTCAACAGACTCATTATTTGCGGCAAAAAGGCGACATCTTTTGCATGTCTTGACGGCGCCTGTCAACTCCTTTCCCTTGCCAATTTCGACCAGAATAAACTTCCAGCGATCATCCAGGACTTTTTTGACATTGCTGGGTACATTGATGACATCTTTCGTCGGGATTACGTCGTAGAAGCGATGAATATACCTATCAAACATTTTGTCACACCAAAAGGTATTCCGAATCTTCTTATAGGCGTTCAAATCCTCAATTTCTGAAATATGCTGGATCTGACACTTGCCACGTAGGGAAGATAGAGGGCAAGTATCTGAGTGCATTGAGGCATACACATATCGGTTATCTGGGCTGTGGCGTTGAATGTCTCTTGGACGATAATACCAGTTAACTCTCAAGGCTTCGATGATGCCATCCTCTTTGGTCTTGGAGGGGATGAACTCCATGATACGTGCCAAGTAGTAAGGCTCGCCTGGTGGTTCACATATTAAGTAGATATGATCTGTGAAATTAGATTAGACGATAAGTATAAAACGAGGATACAACCATAATTAGGAGGGGGGGGGGGGGGGGGGGGGGGGAAGAAAGAAAAACAACTACCTACCATTGACGGCGAGGGTGGTACCGTCGTCGGCTGTGATTTTGCCGTCCTTCAGATACGGCTTGCTGGACTCAAAGCTGACCATATTGGTATGATAACCATGTTCGGAATCTCCCGGGGCGTTGGTAAATAGTTTCTTGGCGGCATGTTGTTCCCCATTGGAATTTGAGTTTGGTGTGCTGGCGAGTTGCTTGCGTTTCCTCAATGAGCCAGAGCCAGGAACATCCTCTGGCCGAGATGAAAATGAAGATGTGCCTGGAATAGCTTCTTTGGGCGAAGTGACTGTATTGGGAGCATTGTTGGTGCCAGTACCAGCACCATTAGGAGGACTCTTTCGAGCTTGCGTGGGCGAGGACTTCTCGCTGTCAGATTTGGAACCGTTGACGATATTTCCCAGAGCGACCCCACTATGCCGTTTGGAATTTTTGGCAGGAGCAGCATCAGTAAATTCCATTTCAATGTCACGGTCCTCAGCATAATTGGGCCGAGGGGCATTGGCATTGCGGCCTCTTGAACGCGTCCCATAAGGGGCCGCAGCGGAGGAGCTGGCCGGATCGGCAGCAGCCTCCGGGGAATTGGAAGAGGTCATCTAAACGGACACACCACCATAGAGATTTAAGATAGAAGAGATTGGAAGAGACAAAAAGGAGCAGTAAACAAAAGTGAAAAGTAAAGCACGTGCCGCTGTTTTGGATGTCAGTTCAGAACCTCGAGACAAACACAGTGGCGCGATTGCATAAACGTGGAGTGGATATGTGGACACACTAGGGCCCAGTGAGTGGGGAGGGGGGCGAAAATCTCAAAGAAACGGGTAGACGTGTATGTGGATGTGGGCAGATATGGGAAGTAGATGGAAAATAGGGAAGTTGGGGGAAGTCGGGAAGAGAGATGAGAGATAAGAAGAGAATGGGGTAAGGGAAGTGGGAATGACAAAAAGGATTGTAAAGAGTAAAGAGTGGACCGGCCCGTGTCAGATCTTCCTAACTCATTGCAGGGGTGGAAGAAGGGCGGCCGAGAGATATCAAGTGTGGACAGCAACAAATAGTTGGGAGAGTAAAGAAGGGACGATGACAGAGCAAACGCAAACAGAATAGAGGGGAAGAGAAAGGAAAACTTACTTTTGGTTTACGACAGATGTGGGAAGTGGAAAAGAGGATAAGAGGATAAGAGGAATGAGGAATGAGGAAGCAAAGAGCAAAGAGGAAAGAGGAAAGAGGAAAGAAGAAAAGAGGCGAAAGAGTTCTGTGTACTCTGGCTAAGAAGTGACCATCAGACGCGAGATGGACAAATAATAGGCGCGAAACAAAACAAGTGCGCAGCCACCCGTGGCAGAGGATCAGAACCAGATCGGGAGAGAAGTAGTAGAAGAGAGTAAGAAGTTAAGATATGAAGTAGAGAGAAGAAGGGGATACTGGAAAGTGGAAAAAGGAAAAAAGCGTCTAACCCGAGCTTGGCCCCTAGTCCCAATATGTTAATATGACGGATCCTCAGGATATTGGAACCAAGGGAAAAGGGAAAAGGCCAAAAAAATAGAGCCTCGCCGATTTCACCCCATATGATTTGTACTTCGGAAAAAATAGTAGAGATTTGGGCAGATACGCTCTCCTCGCTCGTTATCTAATTGGTATTTGATGGACTACTAGGGAAAATCTACATTTATATCAATTTATATGGGAAATCAAATAACAGTCTAGACTTGGGAGGAAAAGATATATAAGACCAGACGAAATGAGTTTCCCCCCAAAATGAGATAAACTATGGGAATGGGGGTGGGCATATATGGAATGTTAGCCAAGCGCGTTTTGGGGGGGGGGAAGAGAAGTGTGTGCGTCGTGTGGGAATGAATCTTGATAGAAGATTGGATCTCAATCAGTCCGAATATTCCAGTCATGGAAAGATTGAGGGAGAACATGTTGTGCGAGGTGAGATACATTCTATCATGTTCATTCCTAAAACATGCAATTCGAACGGGTAAGACGGGGATGTTAAACAGGTATGAATGATATGGGGGAGTTGTGGTAAAAGTAGGAAAATGGCACTAGCGACCGGACTCCACAACTTCCCATCCACGATCCCTGCTAAATTACTGTATGTATTTTACATCGACTTCACTCTGGACTCCGCGTCAATATGGTATTGTACAACCAAGCATTGAAGTTCAATTTTTACAGAGGGGTACTAGATTGGATTACCTACTTCTTCAAGTACCTGCCATCGATATTCCAAATTTTTACTTTTATGACTACTACTTACAGGACTGATATAGGGGTTGGAAAGAGTGTTACCGTACTCCGGAAATATGTATAAGGTATCAAAGCGTTGAACCGGTAGATATCAAATTTCAAACCAACGGATTATTAAAGGGGGAAGAATGGAAGTGTGTGACACAAATACAAGTGTTTTCCGATATTGTCTTTACCAAATATTACTCAACGTTCCAAGGTTAAGCAGTATATGACAGCGTTCATCGGGACTAGTTTCGAACAGTAATATGAAGTAAAGTCGAAGCAAGGGGAACCACATAGAACTGAGATAGTAAGATGATAAGATAGTATGATACTAAGATATTTAGAAACTATACTAAGCTGTTACATGTACTTGTACTGACTATTAACGAAATAACGAATTTGAAATAAACTTCTACCGCCCGCTCGGTCCAATGAAGATCCAAGACGCCGAGAACTATCCGAGGATGATTCCGCCACTTTAGGAGCTCCTCAGAACATGCCACTTGCTACTCAACATTATTACTGATACATCACTAAGCTGAATCTGAACTCCATCTTCATCAACTACATCTTATAACCTTGGAACTACTACAAAAGGAAATTGGAAACATTGGAAACATTGGAAACCTTGGAGCATCATGTGTCCTTCATGTTCCAGACAAGGCTGTCGCCTATATATACCAGGTCATAATTTTCAAGCTCTGGGCACACAGGTACCTAACATTTGATTTATCTGGCTAGTAACAGAACCATTGACTTCCCGTGGTCCCGCTCCGGAGCTGAAGGGAGTCCTGACACAAATGAGCATTAGGCAGTTCATTTCCCACCCGTGAGATTTACCCGTGGATTATGAGTATGGATATCGCCACTACCGAGATAGGTAAGTAGGTCCTTTTCTCACGGTTTCTAGGCACCCAACTAGTTTTAGATATGCGCAATTCCTCACGCCAATCTAGGAATTCGACGGCAGATACTGTAAACATATTCATGATTCCATAAATATTTACCTACGGCTTGATATTCTGAGCTGGCCATGATTTCCCAAGCCAATTGGAAAGCACCCGTCAACGCCACTTGTGCTGTCCGTATTGGTGTGGTGCTGCATATGTATAAACATAAGTACCCTGCTCCCTATTTACATAACAATGTAGACAAGGTGAATAAAATGTACCTGATGATCCAGATCACCCAAAATTGAAGGATTAGTCTTTTAAAACTAAAATTTGAAAATTGAATTGTGTGGGAGATTCCTTTAAGCTTTGTTCATCCGAATTGAAGCTAAACTCGGATTGATGGAACCATTGAATTAGGTAATCCTTTTGGCCTTGTTGCCTGAGGCATAAACCCAAAGGCAACAGTCATGAGAAACCTAAACAAACATCAAATGATATGAAAGAAACTTGAAACTTCACCTTTTCCCTCTTAATTTAGCACTCATGCCAACTGAAAGGTCCAAGGTCCAGGAATATCTCCCACTTGGAAGGTATGGGGCAGTCATTTCAATCTCGAGGATTTGAAACTTCCTTAGATGTCGCGCGAAGCAAGACATACTAAGCCGTGTCAATGGCAGGAGCCAAGAGGCCAGCAAATGCAGATCTGATTTCTGAAACCTCTAAAGAGTCAAAGCCAGGGTTAGGCCCCCATACCGTCATTCGTCTCGGGCCAAATAGAAATGCAAATGGAAGCGCAAATGGCATTCAAGAATCCATTTCTGTAGAGTCCGCACGAGCCTCATTGGCCACAGCAAATCGATTTACAGCCAGCAGGATCCTGGCTCAGGGTGCGACACCTCCGGAAGAGGAGCAACCGAAGACTGTAATCGCCCCAGTCTCTAGTCAAAATCCTCTCCTGTCACTTGCCAACCCTAAATATGGTCTGCCTGACGCGCTCACTGCTAATTTCACTTCGTTGGGTGTTTGCACTATTTATCCTTGGCAGGCGTCGTGCCTCCTGGCTAGAGGGTTGCTAAGTGGAGAACGACACTTAGTTTACACAGCCCCCACTGGTGGAGGGAAGTCCCTAGTTGCCGATGTCTTGCTGCTAAAACGCGTCATTGAGAATCCTACCCGTAAAGCTATTCTGGTTCTACCATATGTCGCTTTGGTTCAAGAGAAACTGAAATGGTTGCGTCGAATTGTTCAAGGGGTTGAAAAGGTAATTCCTGACGATGAAGATGACCACTCTTTTCCCCACAAGCGATGGAAGAAATTATCAAAGGGAATCCAGGTGACTGGGTTCTTTGGAGGAAATCGGACGAATGTGACTTGGGCAGATACTGATATCGCTTTCTGTACTATAGAGAAGGTTTGCTCTAGAATGCAGATCTATGGAATTTTTCTAATAATTATTAGGCAAACTCATTAATCAACACCGCTATTGAAGAATGTAGTATTGGTGATCTGGGTGTGGTCGTGATCGACGAGCTCCATATGCTTGATGATGAGCACCGAGGATACCTCCTTGAACTCATGGTCACCAAGCTGTTGTTGCTTCAGCAGGATATACAGATCGTGGGCATGAGCGCTACACTATCGAATACTGAGATGTTGGCGAAGTGGATGGATGCTAAGTTTTACATCTCCACTTTTCGCCCAGTGCCCATTGACGAGTATTTGGTCTATGAGGATGCATTTTATCCTGCTGCGACTTCAAGACAGCTGTTTCAGACGGCATCCAAGCTCGCAGCTTCAACTCCCATTCATGAATCAATCCCTCCTCATCGGATTGTTGAGGCGTCGGCTTTCAAGGAACTCAGCAACCCTGCCACAAACTCCATGGTGGCGTTGGCAGTTGAGACTGCCGCAGTAGGCTATGGGGCATTGGTATTCTGTGGTAGTCGGCAAGCGTGTCAAACTAATGCTGCTATTATCAGTGAAGCGATGCCTTATCTGCCTCCCGGTGAATCAGATGAATTAAGCAAGCGTCTAGATCTTCTTGCTGAGCTGCGTAGTCTCGTGTGTGGTCTAGATCCAGTCTTACAGACTACGATTATCAAGGGCGTGGGCTTTCACCGTGGGTAATCTCTTTCGGGGTAAAACCTGTTCAGACTAACGATATCTCAGATGCCGGAATGACCACAGAAGAGCGAGAGTTGATCGCTGCCGCGTACGATCAGGGTGTACTCAGAGTCCTTGTTGCCACTTGCAGTCTAGCTGCTGGAGTCAATCTCCCCGCTCGACGAGTCATTATCAATGGTGCTCGAATGGGCCGAGAACTAGTTGGACCTGCGATGCTGTAAGATCATGATTCCAAGGTTCATACATCACATACAAGATTTCTAAAATTAATAGGCGCCAGACGTGCGGACGTGCGGGGCGAAAGGGCAAGGATGATGCCGGAGAGACGTATCTCATATGTGTCAAGGCCAACATGGAAGCTGTATGCGATCTGATTGATGCTGATATGCCTTCCATTGAAAGCTGTCTAGCACCTGAGAAACGAGGACTGAAGAGGTAAGTGATTGATGGTAAGGGTTGATACTTTCGGCTAACCTGTGTCTAGGGCACTTCTTGAAGCCATCGCAACAGGCTTAGTATCAGGATGTGATGCAATAAAGGAATACGTTAGATGTACCCTTCTCTACCTTTCCCTGGACAAAAAAGCTTGCATACAAAATCATGAAATCTGCATTACAAGAGTTGGTCGATGAACATCTACTGAGATTCAACGACGATGACTCCTACGAAGCAACATCACTTGGAAAGGCATGCGTTTCGTCATCTATCAGCCCAGAAGACGGATTATTCGTCTAAGAAGAGCTCAAACGAGCACTTGAAGCCTTCGTCATGGACGGCGACATGCACGTCTTTTACATGTTCACCCCATTCCAAGTGGCCATGGATTCACCCATAGACTGGCAAATATTCCGCGATAAACTAGACCAACTGGATGAAAGTGGAATCCGAGCTCTACAATTTGTCGGCGTGCAGCCAGGTTTTGTAAATACCATGGTTCAGTCTGGAGGTTCGCTGCAAGAGACGACCCCAGCACAGATCAAACAAGCTCGTATCTACCGTCGCGCATATTCAGCCTTTCAGCTTCGCGACTTGAGCAATGAAACTCCGTTATCGACTATTGCCCACCGGTAAAAAATTCCGCGCGGTACAGTCCAGACATTGGCTCAGCAATGCCACGGCTTTGCTGCCGGTATCGTCAAGTTCTGTCAGCGCATGAACTGGGGTATGCTCGCCGCTGTGCTGGACCACATGCGTGATAAATTGGAAGCAGGCGCGCGTGCAGATCTACTCGAAATGGCCCAAGTGACGTTTGTAAAAAGTTGGACAGCTCGTTTACTGAGGGAAAATGGGTACCGTAACCTACGGGCTTTGGCTGAGGCTGATCCTAAGGATTTAGTGCCTGTGCTTATGATTGTATGATATTTTGTTTTATGTGAAAAATAGGTGATTGACTATAATTCTTTGCAGGCAAATCCTCGCAAAACACAGAAAAGTCAGCTGTATCCCACTGAAGCTGAGAGATATGAAGCTATGCTTTTGCTTAAGGCTGAGACTATTGTTTCTTCTGCAAGTATGATCTGGGGTATGTCATTCTTATTTTTTCTTTCTCATATCTACGTCGCGGACATCCACTGACATAGTTCCCTATGATATAGAACGAGAAATGCGGGTCGAGGTTGAGGAATGAACAAGCGTTTCTAGAAGCGGATTCTTATATGCGGTTTTACCCAATACTGAACATTGTCATAACGATACCTATCTAGATACCAAAGATCACAGAAACCAAATATCTAGGGGCTGTTTAGTATCGTTTATTTACAGTATTTGACTCAACCATAGCTATCTAGGTACCAAGATAGACCATGATACCTAGATGATGACTAGAACCCATTCAACTGATTCTGTGCTTCAATCACATTACCCTGATCCACAAAATCCGCAAGCACAATATTAGGCTCACGATTATAAAGCGCCTCACACTCACTTGCCTGAGCACCGATACTGCCCTCGCCAGTCGCAGCATTAGTGCTAGACGCAGCTTCGCGGGCCGGAATATCGATACCTAATATATCTATATCTAGGAAGTGATTGACGATATACATAAGACCTGAGGCTGATGCACCGGCTGGACGGTCAATACTGCAGTTTGGGAATGTGCGGTCTGTTACGTCGTAGGGTGTTTCGAAGTAATAATTAAATTCCGGGAGGATGTAGTTTACTGTGCTGGTGTCGGCGCCGTAGTCTGTACACTGTAAGAATTCGAAATGGTCTTTTGCAATTGACCAGTTGCTCGTTGTGACTGAGCGGTCTTCTATCGATTGAAGATGACTTACCCAAGAACACAATCAACCTCGTCCCGTTTGAGATCAAATCACCGAGAGTAGGCCAATCATCGATAGAAAGAGGATTGGAAGACGGTACAAACGCATAATCTGTTATTCCGCTGTTGGAAAAAGTATCCCCGAACAAGCTGACAGCGAGCGAGTCTCCATTCGTGAGGAGAAGAGTTACCACTTCATCGGGATTTGCATCCAGCCAGTTCTTAACGGTACCCAAGAAAGACTGTAGGGTTCCCGCGTCCTCCAGGAGACAGGATGTATGGCACAACTCAATGACATTCTCGTCTAAGAGAGCGTGATGCGTTTGCGCTTGCAGAAACCGAATGCCCATATTTAGTTGGGCTGTTATGTTGATATTTTGATTCTGCTGTGGTAGTTCTCCGACAAAAGCGGAGTCGTGTGAGCCGATGAAGGTTATGTTTGAGTAGGAGCGCGTGCAGTATTCTGTGCGGCCGTTACATGTCGCCGCCGCCGCCGCTGCTGCCTCTACCGTTGAAGTTGAAGTTGAGGTTGAAGTTGAAGTTGAGCGTGGAAGTAATTTCCCATGGGTTTCGCTCAACGCTGGCTGGAGTAGCAGGAAGGTTCCGAGCAGAACTCGCTTCAACAGGTGCTTAATGGAGCTCATAATGTGTGGTATGGACAGAAAGACTCGTTATGGTGCCCTCCGTCGAATGAATAGTCTCGAGCTTCGAAGTCTTGAGACTATTTTCTTTACCGTTGACTCAATCTCATCAATGGATTTATATGCCGAGTATAGATCACGGCATACTTATATACTCCAGAACGTGCCAAAAATAAACACTTGCATCGTCACGCAGGAGGTTCGAGGTGATCAGATCACGCAGCATTCCACGTGCCGATCTTTCGAAAGGAAAACAGAGAATGGACAAATGATTAACATTGTTAATACTCGTGCTCATGATAACAGGACATCGAGTTCGACATCAAGTTAGCGTATTGGAATTGATGTAACACCCCGCACATACTACGAGAAAAGGTTTGTAAGCTGCAGAAGTTGGTACTTGTCTAATTAAGTCAAGGTCCATCCATCATGCCATGTTAGCAGATAACTTCATCTAGGTCATCTCGCTGCGATACTGCAGGTCTTGCTGCGTGCTAACAGGGAGTTGAAACTGATTAGCATAGGGATGAGATGTATATGACCATCATTATAATTTATGATGCCTCATACTTAAGCGTTACCGAGCAAGCCCACCTGGGCAGTGACAACGACCAAATTAGTTCCCGAGGTGGTTGAACTTGACATCGTACTTAGTCAATACATCCTTAGATTCCAAGAAGAAAGAAAAAAAAAAAGCAAATATTGCCCAATAGTTCCATCACGTGCTTCATAATACCTTTGATATCATCCCCGCTTTTCTCGGGAGGTTCGCCATTCACAGAACCTCAATGCACACCTGACAACAATGTTGGGTGTTTTCGGACTTTAAACGGCACTGGAGGAATAGACTTCTTAATATTCCCCAACCTGAATATTTCGTCATCAGCAACAGGATGTAACTTCGGAATGGCCCGTCACATTTCACCTCTCACCCGAACACCGCGGCTGAGACCGAATCTGTCTAACAAGCTTGGCATCGGGTTATCAGAGCTTTCAACTCTCACATGCTGATGAAATTGATACCTTCTCCTAGCTCTGAAGATAGCTGAAGAAACACTCTGCTGCACATACAGTGCAGTGAGCGCATCCGTGGAACTTCAATAAGCATAAGATCCCCAAAACGAGATGAAACTTGCAGTATCCCTAAAAAGTAATCCCAAGCTGGATCTAACTGAAGGCACTAAGTTACCTGAAAACCATGGGTCGCCCACTAAATCCAAATATGGAGGGAGTTCATCGGAACAGAAGATTGGTGAGCTTCCTTAGATCTTGGCAGAACGCACACAAGGTCAAGAGTCAGATGAAGGATCATCCTAACGACCGAGCCAGTTCAGTCATATCCATGTAAGGCAGAGCGAGTAGCTATCCAAGTGGGAGCATAAACCATCAGCTGCTTAGCTGGACGATGACATGGATAGCCATGTGGAGAGTTTCTCATTGAAGGTGATCCCTCCATCATGTGCTTTATATGCTGATCTGATGTTAGAAACCTCTCAAGGTCAATGCCAATATTTGGCGTGCGATTTCCAATCGAGACTTCGGCAAATTGGATGATGCTGGACTCTTTTAATAAGCTGCCTGTTTTTGCAACCCGTGGAATCCTTCCAAGATTAGATGCCCCAGCTTGGCAATGACTCTCCCTCTCATAATGGTACTGGCATGATGGACCAGGTGGGTACCCATGTGGATTTGAGAGATGATTATATTACTCTGAAGGTTCCGATAATACGCTGGCACTGATTCTGGGTCTCTAGACTCTTGAATACGCGGTCTTGTTGCTTATCACTTCCAAGGCCGTATTTAGGAGTTCCACTTGTTTACTTCTGAATAGCTTCATAATCGCTGGGAGGTGGTTGAAGGCAAAAACTGAGAAAAAGACGCATTATCCAAAATCATCTATTAATGAACTTAACAGCAACAAATTCCCTCCTACGTACTAGTACCTTGTCTAGTACTACTATTAGTAGGAGGTAATAAAACTTGTAATCAGGTACAATCAGGTTATAAGATGCTTATATCATGCTTTTATTATGCATTACATTTACCGAAGCCGCTAAGCGTGTCTCGAGCCCCCAAACTTCTGGTGAGTATTATCTCAGGTTACTATTTACCCTATTTTGGCCCCATAACATGAATATTTCCCAATTATGCCGAAAGTCACTAACAATCAAGTTAAGTTAATTAACTCGAGTGATAGTCATTATGTATAGTATTATCAAAATTCAATCATTAAAACTACTTGATTCTGCAATAGTAGTACATTTGCTTACTAGCCACAGTGGCTGGAACTCTCAGCCCCTATAAACGGGCCCAAACATGCTCCACATTTACCAGGTACAACGAACGTCCGAGCTCGTGAGTCCCGGTCAACACATCCTGTATAATATTGAGCTCTCAATTCCGACCGCATTTCACCTCTCAGGATACCTACCAGCTAGGACACATCCTACCCCTAAAATCGCACCAGCAATGATCACTCCCCGACGCTCATGAGCTCGATGGCTGAGGGCAATGAGGGGTGGGCAGAGGATGAGCTTGATCTTGGACCGGAGGAGGATGACATTCAACAGTCCAATCAGGAAGAGCTCGATCACCCCACGCTCTCCCCAATAGAACAACTGGGAGAAGAGCTGGACTCAACAAAATACGCGCAGGATGAGGTGTCCGTGAAGACCGCGGGTCCGCTAGATACAAATCTTCCGCACACTCCGCCGCAGCAGTATACAGAGTATACAGAGCTCAATGTGACCCCAGGGAGTGTGGTCGATACAGCCTCGAACCCTGACGACTCTCCCTCATTACATGTTAGTGTGCGATTGGCGGGGATCTATGGATAGCTTATCTGATTTATATGCAGGATTCTGCACTGTCTTCTCAGGATAGTAGTGCCGCAGCATTGCGCTCCTCGCGAGTGAGCCCGAGCCCGAGCCCAGCGCGTCGTCCGTTTGACCTCCGCTTCCAGTCGCGCTTATCTTCCTCCCCATTAAGCGCATCAAGGTCTGGCTCGCCATTTCTGTCACATTTCCACTCTCGACAGTCTTCAATTACAAGTCAGGTATCGCCGAATCTAGAATCTGAACCAGAGCTCCCTCCGAACCCATGGGATGTTGTACGATGGACGAAACTGCGGAAGATCACGGGGCAAGCCTTTTCAGAGATTGGCAAGCGGAACTTTGGAAAGCCAACATGTTTGGCAGTCTCAACTCATATTGTGATCGGCACCTCGAAAGGCATAATTCTCGTATTTGACTATCAGCAGAGCCTCAAGGCCATTATTGGAACCGGTACAAATGGTTAGTGAATGGCGCAGCCTTGTTTTTCCTTTCTTGCTTTCACTCTAACAACATGCAGCGGTTGAATGCGGCCCTATTACATCTCTTGCCATATCAGCGGACCATTCCACCGTCGCAGGTGGCCATGAATCTGGCGATATTTTCACATGGGAAATATCGCGCTCAGCTCGACCTTTCCTGCATATTCCCCCACTCCCAGCGAGTCAAATCGACACTCGAATTGGCAATGGTCACATTTCCGGTTCTTCACTCATTCATCTCGGATTCCTTGGAACTCGACGGACTGCACTTGTGTCGGCCGACACAAAAGGCATGGCATTCTCGCATTTGGCAACACGAGGCATGGGGTCAGTAGGACGTACTGTCAAAACAACCAGGATTCTAGGTCGTTATCCGCAAATAATATCGCATGACACCCATCTGAGAAAGCCGAGTTCAATTTTGGCATTCTCTCCGCTTCCCCTTGGAAACGTGGAACAGAAGTCGGATTCACTAGGCCTTGTCGCAATGTTGACTCCCTATCTTCTGGTAGTTGTATCCACCACGCCTGTTGCCCAGACGCAGCACAAGGCACCGCGGCCCAGGGAAATTCCAGCTCATAGTGCACTGACTGGAGCGCTGGCCTGGTTCCCAGCAATCAAACTGAAGGGCAAGGATAGCGAACTTTCAAACACTAAACTTGTTTATTGTTGGTCAAACGTGTTGACCGTGTTGGAAGTCACGGAAGCAGAAGGGGAGTTCAACGACCGAGATAAGCCTCCTAACCTTGAATTCAAAGCCCGCAGCAGGTGGAGGGCAGATGAGGCCATTGTGGCTGTTCAATGGCTGAGTCGTTCTGTGCTTGCAGTATTCACAATCACGCAGCGAATGCTCATTCTCGAGGACTATTCCATGCATGTCACTGATTCTGTTGATCTTGTACATCGATATATCTACCATGCCGATCTCTTTTCTTCCCAGCTTCATACTTTGGTCGAGCAGCTAGATGAAGAAGACACGTCCATGCATGGAGTGGTGGCCGATGCCTTTTACATGAGCTTCCGCGCCTACAAGGGGCGGCTATTTTTGCTCGGTTATAATGAAGCACTGGTTGGTAGTCTTTCAAATTGGGCCGATCGACTCCTGGCGCTCATGGAGGCCGGCGATTTCATTGGAGCTATACGACAGGCCACATCGTACTACACTGGCTCTTCGGAGAAGCTCACAGTAGGCCTCCCAGAAGAAGGTGACTTGAGAAAACCAATAGTTCAAGAGAAACTTCTGGAGATGATCTCTGCGTCCCTCAAGTACGCCTTTGGTCGCAATGCCGAGGCAGGTAGTGGGAGATTGGACATCCAGCAACTTGCAGAGTTGGCTGAAGTCTCCATTGCTGCTTGTCTTCACATGGCGGATGAAGAGTTCCTCTGGGAGGAAGTCTTCAATTGGTATGAAGAGAACGATTCTACGGGGATCTTCCTTGATGTGCTTGAACCACGCATCATTGATGGGACTCTTCGCTCGTTACCCCCGGCCGCAGTCAAAGCTCTCATCAGCCACTTTGTCATTACTCACTCAGCTAGTCGCTTAGAGGAGATTATTTGCCTTCTCGACACCACAACAATGGATATTGATCAGGTCACGACACTGTGCAAAAATTACAATCTATACGATGCATACGTGTACATTTGGAACCGCTGCATAGCAGACTACGTGAGCCCTCTGGAGGAGCTTATGCGTCTTATACCAGACACTGAGACCTTGGATAATGGGGACTTAGCCCTGGTGGAGAACCGGCGCTCGAATGCGATGAAAATGTTTCCTTACCTGTCCTTTGTCTTCACGGGTCGTATCTACCCTACTGGAGATGACATGGAGGAAGCGGAGGCGTCGCGGGCTAAAGTCATCTTGTACCAGTATCTGTTCTCCGGCCATCTGAATAGCGCAGAATCTGGTACGGTTTCTCAGGATGCTGACTCGTTCGCTCAGCTCCGGACAATATTGAAGTTTGATGCTTGCAGTTTCATGAGCATGCTCAACGAAGCCTTTGAAGACAGTTTCTTGAATGATTCCGAGTCCGAAGAGGCTTCCACTTCGGGTATTTCGATCAATCGTCAGTACCTGATCAGCATTCTACTTCAAGTCATGGATGTTTCATCCTTCACTCCTTCCGATACTATCTACTTCGATATGTTTGTTGCACGCAACCTTCCCAAATACCCCCAGTATATTCTTCTCTCTGGCACGACTCTGCACCTGGTCCTTGTCCGCCTGTGTCAGTATCCTGACCAGGAAATGGCCGAGGATTGCGAGTTGAGTGCCGAGTACCTGCTGTCCTTCTATCACCCACCGGATATTCAGACTATGATACCCCTGTTCAAGGAAGCTCGCTTCTTCAGGATTCTCAAGTCGACATACCGCGCTGAGAAACAATACTCTCAATGGATCTTGACCTACCTTGACGACCCCAATGACAAAGTTTCAATCTTCAATGCTTTGTATGATTGCCTTCGACCAGGATCAACCGTCAGTAAGAAGCAGAGGAAAGAGGTGGTGGATGTCATCAAACAACATGCTCGAGAAATAGCTGCTATCGATGTAAACCAAACGGCACAGTCGATGCAGGCCCTGGCCCCCGAAACTCACTCGACGTTCTTACAAGTTCTTGAAGAAGATTACTTTAGTCAGTACCAGTATCTACTGATGCTTGTGGAACCCCATGGCCAGAGTGGTGATATTCGATCTGCGCCCGTCGAAAACGGGATTGTTGAACGCTACGTCCAACTCCTCTGCAAGTACAATCCATCCCATGTGGCTGAATTTGTAAATGGGCTGCGTGCTGGTGACATCCACCTCGACGCATTACTCCCGGCAATTGAGGAGAGTGGGGCGATCGATGCCGCAGTGATTTTACTTGCACGCCAGGGTCAACTGCGACCAGCATTGGATCGTCTGGTCGTGCACCTTAAAACGCTCGAGTCGGGCCTGGTGGGTATTATCCAGAGTGTAAGAGCAGCTCCCGATGCTGCTAATACGGATGAGGCGATCGATGATCTGATCGAGTCCCTGAATAAGTACACTGGTGTGGGAACTTGGCTCTGTCAGGGTCAAAGTAAAATGGCCAAGCAGAGACGAGTGAGCACCAACGGCCAGCGTGGTGTACCGCCTCTCGAACAGCAATTGGCGTTTGATGAGAGTCTTTGGCTGGATTTGATCGAAGCCGTTGTTCACATCGCAAGCAATATCTTTGCACTTTTGCGCGAGCAAAAGCCCGAGCCTGTTGTTTCTCTGACGACATCCTTCCGTATCTTAGTGCAGCAAGTCTTTACAGCTTTGCTAGCTAGCACCGTGAAAGCGGACGACTCATCATCTGGTGCACGCACTGACCTGTCCTTCCTTCGCATACTCCGCGCATTCCTTACCCGTGCCGCGACCTGGTCCCCTTCTCTCCTCGAGCTGCGAGCCGTACTGGCTTCCATCTTCTCTGCCTATTCTTACGAAAAGTCACTGCTGACGTTGGCTAACGGTATGTTGGACCGCGACCTGTTCGTCCACGTAGATGAAGTCACCCGGCTCCGGCAGCAAGGCTGGCGTCCCCGCGGACAGGTCTGTGAAATTTGCCGACGAAGGATTTGGGGGCCTAACGTGGGATCATCGTACTGGACGGCATGGGAGACTAAGCAAGCTGATGACCACCAACGTCGCATCGCCAAGCGTCTCGAAGAGGGGTATGATCCAGCTGCCGAACGGGGTAAGGGCAAAGCTGCCGCCGTTGGAGCGGATCACCCGCATCATGACGAGCATGCCGACGTGAACTCTGACCAAGAAGCAGAGACAGGAGGTGAACCTACTTCCATTGAGGACCTGTCTCTAGAACCGGCAGTTATCTTCTCCTGCCGACACCTTTACCATCGTCAGTGTGTTCTCCAAGCTATCAATGGTTTATTCCGGCCGTCCGATGGAAACAGATTCCCGCGCGAGCATCCCGACTGGCCCGGAGCTGATCTCTTCTGTCCGGCGTGTACATAAGGGTACTACATAATTAATAAAGACACTTATTTTCTTTGTCTTGATTGGAGTGATGTTATAGTGGGATCCTGCCATGAGATCTGTCATATAGTTTCTTTTCATTATTCTTTCCAGGGAAATCTCCTTGGAGTTCTCTGAGCGAATTCAACTCAATTCCCATGTACTTTGTGCCGACGTATCAGTCATTGCCCAGATGTAGAGTATGGATAGCCCCCATACCTGATACCCTTGTGATTGATGATCCTGGGGCCATCTGGTAATGTTTTGATATGACGGTCATTTCCGAGTCTCATGGCCGCAACATTAAATGTAGTATCAAACCCTGGTTTGTGGGGTAAATGTAAATGTACGAGGCCTAAAAGGAACGGATTAATATGCTGTAGGTAGTAATCACAGCTATCAAACGTTTAACTTGTAACGGCCCCCATTACCTCCGTGCGGTCACATTGATCATTCTATCATTTTATCAGTTGACATTTATGTCATCAATAGCGCGGGACTTCCGCACAGATCATCTTCTGGCTTTGGACGAACGGTCTGGAGCCCTAATATCGGCGATGCCGGTCAGACATGCCTGTAATGCAACGCCTGGAAGAGGATTTTAAATTGCGATCAACATTTATTTCTGCGGGAATCGGATTGTATCAACTTCTATCGAGATTGAATACTTTCTTAGAAGATATACGACGTAGTTGCTTTGTCCATAGTGTGTATCCGATGACTAATCATACAATCTTTGTGATATCAGCCTTAGAAATGTCAATCTTTTACCAGAAAATTCGTATATTTTTTCTAGTTACTTATGTACAGCTCGGTTAAAATGGACCAAGAGAAAGAATTACGAAAGAGCAGGGAAAAAAACTTAGAGTGCTATCGAGTGTCCGAATTAGGACTAACCAAGTGGATCTTTATTCATCCAATTATATCACTCCGCCAGACGTTGTCCACTCCCTTCATAAGAATCTGACGAGTCAGCAGCCACACCTTATGATTCCTCTTTCCTCTTCCTCCAAGCAAAGACTAGTCAAAGACCCACAGAATTTCGAAACAACCCAGTCGGATCTGCAAACTTTCTTCTTTACTCGATAAGTCCAGTGAAACTTTTGAAACCAGGGGGAAATGCTTTCCATTGGATTAATCTCTTGGCCCAAGGACACACACACAGCTGCAGGATTTTGCCGCCCATATTGATTCCTGCCCTTTTTGATCACCACTCTCGTTGTGGATTAATACGCATCACCCATTACGAATAATATAGTACTATGGATACTCGGAAGATGAAATTCCGGTCCAGGTCCAGACCCCATCGAAGGTTGTGTGGTTACTACTTGTCGATCCATGGTGCTCTTTCAGGGCCAGAAGGTTAAAGATCTACTATCAGCGGAACATGGTTTGTGGGCACGTCGAATAATGTTTCAACTTGGGGAGCCGCCGTTCAACTTGTCATATCCACTCAAGCGTATTGACTCTCACGGACCCTGTCATGCATGTTCCGGTCTCAAGATCTGGTCGGGTGGATATGCCCATACGCGTGGACCACCCGTGGACCTTTTCCCGCCCTTTTTTGTGCTTTTTAGATCTACTACGCCATATATAAGAAAATATTCATTCCCCTTGTTAACCTGCATGCTTTTTCCTCCTTCTTTATAACTTGACTCTGATAGCGCTAGCCGCTGCTTTCTCTTTTTTCTTTTTCTTTTTCTACTTTTTGCAAGTGATTTTATTACACTTCCAAACCTTCATTCCTTTTAGTGTCTTTGAGAACAGGCTCTGGTCAGTCATTCCAATACACTATCGATTTCAGCAATCATGCATGTCCTCTCGACACTTATTCCCTGTCTGGGCCTGTTCGCCCAACTGAGCACTGCCGCATACACAATCCAGGACGACTACGGCGGCAATGGAACCTTTTTCGACAAGTTTAATTTTTATACGGTAATTCTAGTCAAATTCAATCCTACTGCTAGGGAGTACTAAACAATATAACAGGATGCGGATCCTACTAATGGCTATGTTACCTACGTCGATCAGACTACCGCCGCTGCTGGCGGCTTGATCGGCTCTTATGATACAGCCACTTACATTGGTGTCGACAAAACGAACATCGCGAGCGGTTCTGGCCGTAACAGCGTGCGCCTGACTAGCATCAACTCCTACCAGCACGGTCTGGTCATCTTAGACTTGTCTCACATGCCTAGCAGTGCTTGTGGCACTTGGCCTGCTTTGTATGTCAATTTCAATTCCCTAGCCCAAAAATTCCCACTGACCTTTTGTAGCTGGATGCTTGGCCCAGATTGGCCCACCACTGGCGAGATCGATATTATAGAAGGTGTCAACCAGGCTACAGTTAACCAGATGACGCTCCATACCAGCGACGGCTGCTCGATCCAAAATTCCGGTTTCACCGGCTCTCTCTACACCGATAACTGCTATGTGGAAGCAGCGGACCAGTCCGACAACATTGGCTGCTCAATCATTGAGACCGATACCCAATCGTATGGCGATGGATTCAACAACGTTGGCGGTGGTGTTTACGCCACTGAATGGACCAGCGCTGGTATCAGCATCTATTTCTTCCCTCGATCTAGCATTCCCGCCGATATCACAGCCGGCAGCCCTGATCCCACAACCTGGGGTACCCCAGCTGCCAGTTTTGCTGGAGGCTGCGACATTGACTCACACTTCGTGAACCTGCAGATCGTATGTTCCCTTCGCTTTCTTCTATCAACCTGAATACCTGGCTGATATCTTTTCTAGGTTTTTGACCTTACCTTCTGCGGTGATTGGGCCGGTGATGCCTGGAGCTCCAGCTCCTGCGCCTCCTACGCTGACACCTGTGACAACTATGTTCAGAACAATCCTACCGCCTTTGCTGACTCCTACTGGGGCATCAACTCGCTCAAGGTCTACCAGGACAACGGTTACGCCAAGCGCGGCGCTCCCCACCCCCACGCTCGGGCCCACGCCCGCGCCGGCGAGGTTCGCTCTCCCCTCCGTCGCCACTGGAGACAGGCAGCTGGACGCAACTAGATGAACTATATATCATCGCGTCATGATATGGGGGTTGACGGAGCAATTCAAGATCTGAGATCTTGAATTTTTCTTGTGCATTATTTACTTCTTACCTTTCCCGCTGGGCTTCGGGCTTTACATATACCTATTTCATTTCTTCTGTATTATGCCTTTTCGGCGTTGCATGCAGCATTCATTGGACACAAATTTTATGATTTTTTGATTATTTTCAGGCAATCTTGATGTGATAGTGATGGTCGCTTTGGATACTCTTACACTCGCTAAAAGCAGTCATGTAATCTGCATTGTTTGTTTGTACGTCGTATGGTTTAATGTGACATTGAAATTATATCAGATATTTACACAAAGATTTCAAATTGGTAGTGTAAATAAGAATCAATAGTTCCAAGGCTCCTTAGGAAGTACATTGAATGTCGCAGTTTCTGATCTACGATTTCCTCTAGGGCTGGTACCTGCATCCCCGAGCTGCATGTTTCAACCGCAGAACGCTGTACGACGCAATATTACCGTACCTGCCTAGGTCCATGTAGGCTAGAATGGAACCAGACTTTGATTGGCCCCCATTTTGAAAATTGTCCCAAAAACGATAGACTTTTATTGAAACCATCTTGGTTTAATTGTGGATCTGTAAGCATTCTCTAAGCACTTAGGTAGTTATTAGTAAACACCCGCGGAACTTTAATCAATTCTGACCAGCTCATGAATTAGTGAGGGAACGTTTATTGACCTGTATATTGCGGGCCAAAAGAAGGGCCGCCCATGAAGTCAATGAGGTCAATGATCTAATCTCAAATCTGGCAGTATCCACGCGGCCTTGAGACTCCTACAGTTCTTCAACTTTGGGAATATCTAAATCAAGCCATCGCCTAGGTAGCTGGTTACCTCGAGAATATCTAAGTTCCAAGGGTATCTCGAGTGCTAAATTAAGTAGCTACAACGCTGAGAGAAGTTTTATTATCTACAATGCGCCCTTAGCACCCATCTCCCCCTAAAGCGGCGGTAGGAGTACCCTTGGGATGAGGGTGGGTGATTTGAGTGAGGTCGGAGTGAGGTTGGAGTGAGCATGGAAAGATCTAGGTGCCCCGCCACTCAACCTTGTAGCTATAAGTAGGGCCTTGCTTCGCTTGGGCATCATACTAGTTCCCTGATTACCAATTCCTAATTCACCATTCTAAATATATCTAATTTTGATTCAAAAACTTGCCGTCCAACGTGCTACACTTGCTGCATGGCTTTTACACAAAAGAACACGAAAGACACTATTCCACAAACAACTCGCACCAACTACAGTCAATAAATACGGTCTTACAGTACGAGACTGGGGTAAATCCTACTCGACTATCATCGTTACATATAGAAAGTCTCTAATCCAAAATAACGATTAGGTGGAATATCGTGATCCATATCTTCAGCCAAAATCTTTTGATCCAAACCAGCCCGATCCAACTCCCCGGTAACCTGAGCTTTTTTCCGAGGAATATATCGCATTAGCAAAGAAACATCCTTTTTAGAGGTCAGCCTGCGATAACCTTATTGGGTTTACCTCAAAGAGGGAACGAGAAACCTCTCGATCTATTCCTCATGAAGTGAAGAAGGATGTTCTTAATATATGTTTTGGCATTTTAAGTGAAGTTTACTAATTGTAACAGACCTCCATTCTGCTATGGGTAATAGAAAGTAACGGTGTCGTTCGAGATGGAATTTCAAGTTAAGAGAGGAAAGAGAACTAAGTGTTGCGGTTGGTGTACAAACACACGTTGTTTCTCGGCTCGTATCCGAAACCGCACTAGGCCGTATAAGGTTATTCTGTATCGCGTCTTATGCAAGTCCAAAATTAACTACCTGGTCAATTCCCAGAATTGTTCCACGATGGGTGATTTGAATTGGGCTAGGTGGACCGCTATTCACTATCTACCAAGGAACCTCGCCTCCAGGATATTGGTTGATCCCTTCTGCATACTCCCATCCCGGAACATGGATGGTCAAATACTTTCCGTTCTGCTCGGTGTTTGCCTTCTGTACGATATCCATCACCTTTTCGGCGCCAGTTTCTACAGGGAGATCTGCGTAAGAGCTACCGAGATCGGTACGTAGCCACTATTTGAGTTAGCAAGCATGGTCAGAAAGCTGCAAAAGTTCCTTTTACTCACGCCAGGACTAACAGCGAGGAAGGTAAAGCCTTCCTCCGCATATTGTTGGGCATATTGAACAGTCATCATGTTCAAAGCCGCCTTGGAAATCTTATAGGCAGGGCATGGTACCTCTGCGTAAACTTTAGTCATGGCAATAGAGCCTACAGTAGTCGAACTGGAAGATCATTAGCGAGTATAATGACCATCATGTAGTAACTGATACTCACATATTGATGACAATCTTCTTCTGCCCTCTACGAAGAAGAGGCATAAAGGCCCGCGTCACCTCATGGACTGAAGTGACATTCGTGTTGAAAATCTCATTCAGATTGTCCCTGGTTCATCCGTATTAGAGAAATACGCTGACAGGAATCATGGATTCACTTACATCCCCTCCAGTCGATCCTTCGTCCAATCCGTCACACCAGCATTGTTAATAAGATAGTCAAGTCCCTTGCCTTGTAGTTTGTGCTCAATCGACTTAACGGCCTCCTCGACGCTGGTCTTATCGGTCACGTCCAATTTAACAAACTTAATCCGTCCCGGCGATGCGCTCACAATATTTTTGAGCTGAGTCGAGTTATCTTGCCGCGCGGTGGCGATGATAGTTGCGACTTCGGCTTCGGGCAACGATGCCAGGTGGGAGACAAGTGCCAAACCTAGACCGCGCGATGAGCCGGTAACTAAATACGAAGCCATGTCTTTTTGCTTGAACTAGGTTTGTTTTGGAGTTGGAAGTTTGGAGTATGAGAGTGATGGGAGCTCCTATTTATGTAGTTACTATTAGATTTATTTATTAAATACGGAGTACGGAGTACTCTTATAGCTATCTCCGTAGGACGTAATCTCCGCGTTAAATCCGTTCATCTTAAAATTAAGACAACGAAGTCGTCGCTATTTCTAAGTTTGGTAGACGTAATTTGTAATCTGATATTGAACCCGAACATCCTCCGAAGCTTAGAAATCAATTAGCTTTGTAATAGCATACCTTTGAGGCAAAACGCAGGGTCAGTTTGTTTTCCTCGACTAGACACGCTATGACTTTTCACCGACACTAAGCATCCTCGGCTGCACCCTATTTTCCCAAATAGCCCAAACACAGATGGAAGGCGTCAGTTATGGTCTGAACGACTTTTATCATATTAGTGATTGGTAGGTTGAAGCACACCAAACCGACGTTGAATGGCTTAATCGTGAAATAAAGTATATTTCGTGCTTGGAACCTAGTCGCAGAATCGTTGTGTTCACCTATTATTGTCCGTTAATCAGCGAAACCGTCGTCGATCCGAAGCATAGACATAGCAAAATCTCCTCTGGTTTTATGTCTGATTTATCAGGCGAATTCTGCTGGAAACAGGAGGTTATCAAAATATGGGCTTTTAGTCATACCTATTTCAACTGTGACTTCCGAGGCGCAGAGATCGGAAAAAGAGTAGTTTCAAACCAAAGAGGATACTATTATTTTCAGACAGAGGGGTTTGACACTGCCAAAATCTTTGAAATATGAGCCGCTGAGAGAGGACATTATAGAAAAAGCATGATGGTAGAGGGACGACTAGTAATTATCGATTCTGTGTCGTCAAAGGCGCTCTCTAGCCAATTCACTGCGGAGATCATCTAGAAGGAGGTACATCCTGGGGAAATCTCCCTCTTTGAGTGCAAGATAGACTAATTTATAGGCTTCGCCTAGGCTGTTCTCATCAAACAAAACTGACCCGTCCACATATTCAAGAATATAGGTCAGAATCGCCATCCAGTAATTTGCAGATCTGGTGCCATGATCTCGACAGAGCAACATGATTACAGCCCCACAGTATCGAACAGGGTGAGGATTCTGTACGAAGCCAAATTCAAGTGGCAAGCGTCTTGGGCCACGGCCAGGTGCCGCTGATGGAAGCTATTTGTCTGATGCATTCAAAATGTCTAGGCTCCCTTCGGAAAAAAGATAGTTCCCATAGCACATCGGACTTCCAGTATACTGAGATTACAAATTCGTCGTCAATGTGCAAATGCTCAAAGTGGAGGCTTCCCTGACATCCATCTAGAACAGGGCAACCTAGAATTTGTGGACAAGCGGCAAAACCAGCTTTCTGAATCGAGGTCAAGGCAGTTTTCGTCGATTCGCCGGGTACAACATAAGCCACACCATATCATTAGGTCAAAAACCTTTCATTTAGAAGAAAAGAAAATCACGAACGTCAACAATAGTGGGGATACCATATATAGTCAGTAAATAGTTACCCCAAAGGGTGCTCGGAACACCATCTGAGGTAAATGTACCAGAGATCGTTGCGACAAGCCTTGCGTCTAGCTCCTGGGCTTGCGTGTGAGCGTCAGACATAGTAATAGGTACGTAGCCTATCAAACATGATAATAAAGCTTTGAATCGGTGACGTGGGTGCAGCAAGAGGGAGCAAAGAGAAAAAGATTTGGGCAGGAACAAGAAAATAACCGCTCTCGGTATAGACTGAACGTAGACTGAGTGCTTAATAGAGCGGTTAGTGAGCAGCCAATCGCAATCACTGAGTACTCACTGAGCGCTTATTAGACATCGTTAATATATCACTTGATAGTAATGAGTAGCTCCGGCGAGCCCTACTCAGAGAGCCTGACCCAAGCGCCCTCATAAAAGCGGGGGCACCTGAAATAGGAAAGCTCCACCTGGCATAGAAAAAACGGTATATAAAGCTACCTAAGTACCCAAAAATGGTTTAAATTGATAGATCATATTTTACTATGATGGCCTGAAAATACGAAGTAGAGAAATACCTGAGTAATGAGTTTCTTAATTAGCATACCCATCTTCATATTTCATAGTAGAGGCTGAAGAGTAGATGAAAAGTATCATAATACGAAGTACTATCACTAAGGTGGTATGAGCTTTCAGTCAATATCCTACTCCACTTTGGTATACGCTATCGGGCACGATACTCAGCCCAAATGCATACCCCTCCTTTTTTCGGGAAACGACTGGATCATTGGGATCCACTGCTCAGATGGATCCTGTCAAGTGATACTGTGAAGCTGAATGTAGGTACACCGATGCATTATCGGATGGACACTGGCATCCTCTTAACAGTAGTCTATTTTAGGCCTCAATGATCCCACCTGTGCAAGCAGCCTCTATTCTATCCAGGCAGTTGGCCTTTCCAAACGCATCATCCTATATAGATCACCATTCAAGAGCGCCATACACCATGTCTGTGAAAATTATAAAAGACCCTCCTGATGCTAAAGTCGATTAAGATACCAGAAGTTTTTTGAGTTGTCTCCTCCGCTAACCTAAGTGTAGCATCGTCTTCATCCATGGCCTAAGAGCCGAAGCAGATGAGATAGAGAGCGATGTCCTTTGGCCAGAAAAGCTTCTTGCCAAGCAAGTCCCCAAAGCTCGTATCCTAAGCTTTGAATATGACGACGCTGTGATCGATTCATTCTGGAGTAAAGATGATCTGATAGATGGCATCTCGGATGATCTGATCGCTGAGCTCATGAGAGAGCGGCGTGGCGACAGGGTCTGGACTCTTCGTCATGATCTTGACTTTGCAAAGATTGACTCATCACAAGCAGGCCGACCGCTAATTTTTGCAGCGCACTGTTTAGGTGGCCTGGTTTGTGAAAATGTTGGTTTGCCCCTCAATCGATATTCCAAGGGGAACTAACTGAGAGATTACAGGCTCTTGTTAGGGCTTGCCAACACGAACAGAGAAAACAGCTGGTTAGCTGTGTGCAGGGTCTCATACTTTTCGCAACACCTCACTACCAGCCAAAAACATTGAGTGAAGCGACAAAGTATTTCCTTCTCGCTGAACAGGATTTCCCGAGCGACTATAACCTAGAACTCTTGTCCAAACGGATTCTGACAATTCCGTCCCATTTTGCTCAGTTACGACAACATTATCCGGTGAAGATAGAGTGTTTCTACGAAGGCGCATCTACGCAGCTGAAGAACCAGAGTATGAAGATCGTGGACATGTCTCTGGCCCAATTCCCGGGCGGTTCGCCTGCTACCCGTCTTACTGGTAATCACCACCAAATTTACCGATTTGAAGATGAGAAAGACAAAGACTTTAAACGGGTTTCTCGAGTCTTTCAAGAATGGGTCGACGCTTTGCCTGATGCCGAGGGGAAAGGTACTACCAGCAATATATCTCACACGTCTTTCACTGGAACGAATCATGGTTATCAGCTTGGACAGAACAACGGAAACCAGACAGGTTTTGTATTTGGTGGTAAGTGAATTTTTGACGTTTTTCACTAGAATGTCTAGAAAATAAGATGGTTGTCACTGTGCACGTGTATTACCTAGGTAGACAAATGCGACCATAGTACCTACTCCGTATAACTGGGGCAGTCTTTGATACCTACTATGGTTCCCAAGTATCGGATGATTTAGAATCCAACCATCGCAAGCAAACATGTAAGCAGTGGCAAAAGCCGACCTGTAAGGCGCGCCCGGGCGGGGTTAGGGCTCTTAGCTTGGTTTTTGGCTGAGTCGGGTTGAATCTGGAAATCTCAGCGCTTCGGATTGGACGAACAAAGTCCTATTGGACAAGAGGGTCAACTCAGCCCTGTAAGATGCTGAAAGCCACGTTAGCTCACGAATCTAGACTAGTGACAATTGTGACATCCCCACCTAGGCAGAGACCACCTGGCAATCTTCTCACCTACAGAGTAGAAGTGTTTGAGCCCCTTGTCTGCTCTAGACGCTTCAACACATCTAAGTATACATTACTTCATTTTTGATATTTTGTTATGGCGGCTCAACCATCAAATGGCCCGGCTGAGGCGGGCTCTGAACTTTCCCGGTTATGGGTAGAGGCAGTAAAGTCGTACGAAAGTACCACTGGGAAAAGCCTTCAGCTTGGACAGTTCAAGAACATGGATGAGGTCATCAATAGGACACAAGACCTCTCAGATAAGTTCATGGCTTTTCGCGACAACAAGTCTAAGGTATCCAAAGTACGGACTGCCTTCAAGAACAACTTGTGGCTTATTAAGGATATTGTCAATTCCGCGAAATCAGTTGGAAATGCGGCTTCCGTGAGTCGCGACAATAATTGGTTGATGATACAGTACTGACTGGCTCAGATTTTTCCTGCTGCCATGCCGGCTAGTCTCATATTCTCGGCCCTGGACCAAGTGATGCAGGTATGGCGAGCTGTGATTTGAAATGGCTGGAAATGTCTGACTTTTCTAGTCCTTTGCCGATGTTTCTGCCGATTATGATAAAGTCATGGCATTTTTCGAATTCTCACATAGATTCTTTGATAGAATTTCTATCATTGATAAGAGGATGCCAGATTCCTCTCCTTTCCAGCGTTGTGTCATACGTGTGTTCTCAAGCTTTCTCGCTATATGCTCCATCACACAGAAATATTGTCAAGAGAAACGACTCAGTAAGATTTCTAGCCACTCGAGCTTGTAGATCGACGACTGATATTCAGCAGAAAGATGGGCTGAGAGCCTGCTAAAAGGAACTGATGATGACCTCACCAAAGCGACAACAGATATGGAGGATGCTGTGAATGAGCTGAGTCAGGCCATCGGATTGACGATCTTGAACCACATTGAGATTCTTCAAGAGGTGGCGCAAAGTATGAATGGAAATGTGGAGTTTCTTGTCTCTAACGCAAATCTTATTGCTGAGCGGACGAGTACCATAGACACCAACACGACCAAACTCATAGACCAGAACAGTGAGCTTTCATCCAAGTTAGAGACGGCGACGGACTTGCAACGTGAGACATTAGACGCAATGGCCGAGCAATCACGAACTCTTAACGAAATTGTTGCTTACCTCGGGTCTGTTCAAATGGGAGAGAAGTTTGGCGATGGCTTTCAGGCAAGTCTACTGAAGATGAATGTCCTTAGGTTGCGACTGTCGCGGTGGGCAAGATCTATTGGACTTGAAGACCTGAAAGATGTCAAGTCTTGCACAAAGTTCTCACCCGATGATTTATCACAGGTGGAGGAACTTCTCAGTGGGATCACGGGTCAATTTTCCTTTGCTGAGGGCATTTCAAAGCGGCTACAACGGCGCAACCCTTCTGTTCAATTGCTGGAACCCGCAAAAGAGCTTGACAGGGTCGGAACCTCCCTTCATCAGACAATGACTGATCTTGTGAGGCAAAGACAAGGTAATCAAGATCTGGAGACCACCACTGGGCTGACCTTATACGAAGAGAGAAACTTTACGCAACTGATTGACAGCGTCAGTGGTTTGGTCGAGGAGCTTATTCAACTATTTCCCGAGGCTAAAGAGGGTCAGCGAGCACTTTGTAAGGAAGAGGTTGCAGAAATGGGAAAGATCAATGGTGCTCTTCCTTTGCTGAAGAAGGTTGCCGGCGACGACAAATTGTTGACGGAGATGGTTGAAAAGGTCATTCAATCCACAGCCACCACTTATAATACCAATGTGGTATTTTCGGGCGATAATTCTGGATTCCAAATCGGATATAACAACGGCACCATAAGTGATTTCCGATTCAGGTGATCTACCTAATTTGACATTAGTCTCTAGGCTCTTCTGAGCTTGGCTTAGTCTGTCTCATCAGGACTGCGCAATACAACTCACTCCTTTACCGAGTACAGCGTACTTTGGATCATGCCATTTATCATTACATGATGGGAAAGGCCATAGCTACACTAAAATTAAAGATTTACATTTATTATTTACTATTTACATACACTAGATCACTAGATCCACTTGCCGCGCATTTATTAAGTCACGTGGTAAAACTTGGTTGTCAAATAGACTGTGACTGGCTGGCCAATCATTCAAATGCCACAAATGAATGAAACTGAATTACTAAACACATTTACGTAAAGTGATTCCTTTCAAAGTTGATGATGGGACAAGCTTCTCATACCGGTATTTTTGGTAGAAAAGTAGGAGATATCTAGAGGCAGAAGGATCTACATAGGTAATATCGCCTCTACATATGATGCTCTTTGAAGGCTGCTTACGTCGTAAGTTGAGGTAATATTCCCTACAGTGCCAAGGCTAACTATACTGTAGACATCGAGGAAATTCTTGGCAACAATGGCTTCAACAACATACAAAATATTCATATCTCCATCGACCCGGTCAGCGCACGAAACATACGTTACTGTTTTTGTCGACTTACCAGATGACGCGGCAGTGGGTCATGCCATTATATCCTTGAATGCAGTTATCAATAGACGGCATATCAATATGGGGTCGTGTGAACCTCAGAAGTAGCAAAATCGGTGTTTCAACACCGACGACAAGGCTTCTCTCGACCGATGGGGCGATTGGTCCCCACAAATTAGGGGTAACGGTAGCGGCAATCCAATTCGTCAGCTCAATAACAGGGGGATTGAGCAGGGTCCCCATGGGACAATAATCAATTTGGTTATATGTGGTGCAGAACTATGAGGGGCGAAGACTCTTTGTTTGGTGGCTTGGGTTAGATGATGAATTAGCCAGAGCACCAGATAGAAGTTGCTGAGCTTTCCGCTGGCTTAAACACGATTGTGGGGCTTGATCTTATATCTGGAGAGACCTTGTTAATTTGAAAATCAGGACAGCGATTGGCAAAAGAATCACACCGCACGAGAGAATGAGGGCGTTAAAGAGTAATCATCACTACTGCTTTTTTGACTTCGAGGTCAAGGAGGAAGTGAAAACTGAACACAGCGAAGAAGGCACTGAATGGTGGGACCCAGCATGCCGGAATCACTGGTAGGTCATCGTACAGATATCAATTATGGTCGTGGCGAGTCCGATGAGGGTTCTATGCGTCATCATAGCTCTCGTTCTCAAAGTATCGCTGCATCTAGGTCCATGGCAATGATGGCACCCAGCGACTGGCGCAGGAGAGACTAGATAATCACTTAACATCCCAAATCCTTTAAGTATGATTAGGGATCTATTGGAAAATCGGCGTCATTCTATACCTAAGTAGACGACGATATTACCAATACTGTGACTGTGTAAACATGTAGAGTACTTTTCTCTGCCACCGGCCAAATATAGCGCAATGCACGCGTCTATCCACAACTCGAATCAAGGTGCATAACTTCCAAGTTTCAATGTTACATGAAGTGATATCCAACGTTGTTTATCATGATAGGTTTGTTTGGACTGAACTGGGCAAATTAAGGACGATTTTTTCTGTTATGGGATCTCCAAATCTCAACTGATATAGTTTATACCATATAGATCCTCCCTTATCATTCTTATCATTATCACTGATCCACTATCTTATCCAGGAACCATCAAAGATCAGGACCCTGATCCCAAGGGAACAATATGTTGTGACAGTCCCGTGCCATCATGTGACCCCACATTTAGGATCACTCTACTGCTATCTCTCCGAGCTTATCTCGGATCACATCTCTTTCCCCACCACAAGCAGAAATCAACACTCGTTTCTCGTGTATGCAACGAGCTCTTGATAAATACCTATACATGAATTTATTGGTACTCGGTACTTGTTGACAACTTGATGTAGACTTTCTACCAGATTAAGTTGGACTTTGAGGTACTCTAAGCTACAGCCGCAGTAAGCGGGAAAGGCTCAATAGAATACGAGTAGTACGGATACAGCTAAAATTCGCGGAGTACTGACTATCTATGATCTCTGTGTCTATGGTACAGAAACAGATCTTCCACGGTTGTAGAATGCAGAGTTTGTAAGGCTTCAAAACTTGCGAAACACGAAATGCTAGAATGTCTTTAAACGGTCTTATGGTGAACAATCTTGGAATAATACCTGAATTTTTGGTTCTAATATTTGGTTCAGTCGTCAGGTACTCCATGCTCGTTGGTCAATGAGTGTAAGCGAAGGATTTGGGGCAAAACGGGGCCCGGCGCACGGCTTTCGCCGATAACGAACCAGAAGCCTGTATGCATATCGCGATATTCTCTTTATTATGGCGCCATCTGGGGCATGCATTCCAAGGTGTTTCTTCATTTTGTAGTCGAATATGGGAAGGTTTACTATTACTCAAAAAAAAGAGAAAAGAAAATACGAGTTTGTAATCGCGTGATTTTGTATTCTTCAAGCTAGGAAGTTTTTCTTTCCTTTAAATCCTGTCTTGTACCCGCCTTGAATCTGCAGGGTTTGCAGATCTGACTGAGATCTTCACTTTTTTTTCTTCTCATCTCTTAACTTTCTCACGCGATGTCTTACCCAGATCATCACGATGAGGAGAAGAAGCAGGCTACCTTCGATGTCGGTGCTGACTATGAAGGAGCGCCCTCTATTCAAGCAATTGATGCTTTGATCGCCGAAGGTGAGCTTTGTCCTAATTAGGAAATTGGTCAATATTGAATTGTCCTGACTCTTTACTCAGATCACAAACATGAAATCAAGCTACGAACCCTGTCCTGGCAGAAGACTGCCTGGATTCTCGCTGGAGAGCAGGTTTGTTTAGCTATTATGGCCCAGTCGTGGTCCCTATCGTACGTACTTCGATCCTTCATCCCATCGTGATGGAGAGCTAACCAACAATCTTAGTGTTCTCGGATGGGTTCCTGGTATGATCACTATAGGTGCCTGCTTCGTTATCTTCTGGTATACATCTATTACAATGCACCAATATATCATGAAATACCCTCATATCAAGGATATCTGTAAGTCGAGAGTGATAAGAGCTACTTCCTCTACTTCGCAGATACTAATCAGCTTTACAGGCGACTTTGGTTATCACATCTTTGGCTCAAGTCGGACGGCTTTTATTTTTTCTGGCTTCATGTTGATCGCGAATAATGTTATGCTGATCGGTTTCCACGTCCTCACCGGTGCCAAAATTCTGAATACCCTTTCTGGTCACACAGTATGCACTGCCGGTTTCTCGATCATTGTCGCCATCATGGGCATCGTACTTAGTGCGCCTCGAACTCTCCGCCACGTGAGCTTCATGTCCATCCTCTCATCCGCCTGCATGGGTGTCGCAATCCTCCTCTTCTTGGTTTTCGTCGGAATTGAAGATGCTCCTCTTTACGGATACCACGGTGACTACCCCACAGATGGACTTGTCAAGACCTACGCCTTCCCTCTTCCTGGTACTACTTGGGTGGATTGCTTGAACGCTGTTCTGAACATTACTTTCCTATGGGTTCCTCAAATTCTGTTCCCCTCCTTCATTGCCGAGATGGAACGTCCTCAGGATTTCCCCAAGGCATTGGCTGTTCTTGCTGGTATCTCTTTGATCCTGTTCACCGTGCCCCCAGCCATTGGTTTCCATTACCTTGGTCAATATGCTACTGCTCCCGCTTTTGGCAGTCTGGGCATTGTTGCGTACAAGAAGGCTTCTTTCGGTTTCGTCATCGTTCCCACTCTCCTCATCGGCGTCATCTACGCCAACGTCGTTGCCAAATTCATCTTCCTCCGCGTCCTTGGCAAGTCCAGACACGCTCACAGCAACACCATCACTGGATGGGGTGTCTGGCTTGTGATCATGGTCGCTATTTGGATCCTCGGATTCATCTTCGCCGAGGTTATTCCCAGCATGGGTGATTTCCTCTCTCTTCTCAGTGCTGCATTCGACTCCTTCTTCGGTTTCATCTACTTTGCTGTTGCATACTGGCAGTTGAACCGAGGAAATCTGTTCGGAGGAGCTGTCAGGACTGGCTTGACCTTGTTGAACATCTTGATTTTCGCCATTGGTCTGTTTGTTCTGGGCCCTGGTCTTTACGCTGCTGTCGAGGCTATTATTGCTGACTACTCTGGGAGTACGACGCCCGCCTTCACATGTGCCAACATGGCCATTTAAGGAAAAAAAACCTCTGGCAAATCAATTTGCCTCTTATCATTTATAAAATAATTTAGATTAATGAGCTAAGGATATTGAATTCGGTTTATAACTATCATAAATATTTACTGCTTTGAGTAGAAAAAGACAGGGATATCAAAAATGACAAAATGACAAACTGTCGGGCAGTTAGTTCATGACCTTTCAATTATACCCCAATACATCCCTCTTATCATCGGTAAGACGACCCCATTCAAGCAAGAGACGAAAGAAGTAAATCTCCATATCTTCCTTGCGAAGGGCAACCTCAGACCATTTGCGACCTTGCTCTGCTATCCACATCCCCTGAGCAGTGTGTGCGTCCATATTTACCGTACTCTCATTTGACACCCCCGCAAAATAAGCCAGGGTACTCCACAACCCGTGAAGACGGATGTCAACTGGTACGAAATGCAGCCAAGAAATCATGCGCTCGTCAAACCACTGCCTGAAGAGCCCAGTCCGGAAAGGCAAACTGTGGCTCTGCAGGAAAGGAAGAAAGCGGCCGCTGAACCCGGCTCCGTCGAGATCGACCAAATATCGATGCGACCAGTGTGATTGGAAATCCACTCGTGGGCCTGTACCTAGTTCGTCGCGTTGCAGGTCGCAGTCTCCGCAGCGGGCGATTGGGCCGAGGAGGTGGACGTTTGCGCGGAGGTTGAGCTGCTCTGCTGGTGCAGATCCATCCATCGTGCGGTATCTATATGCAAGGGGTCCGTCTGGTAGGAGGACTGAGACCTGGTTCTGGGTATTGTTATTTACCAGATGGGAGAGCCGCTGTCTGGGCATGCCTCTATACTCCCCAAAACGGCTGTAGCCCTCGGATGTACTTCCAACCCAGTAAAGCGAGTTTTCCTTGTCCTCGTATTTCAGGTCAGGAGTTTGATCAGAAGGTGCGTACTTCACTTTATCCATATAGTTCCAAGGGCTTGGGAATAGAATGTCGTTGAATCCGGAGATGGCGCTTTGGCTGAAAATAGGCACGAGATCCTGTGATACTTTGAATGACGATGGCGATATCAAGAGCCCATGGAGGAATGCCAAATCCGGCTGATGGCATATATCAGTGGCCACGTCAAAATTCAAAGGAAATTGACCTAGTGAATGGGGCTCTGCACAGTCGAGGCATAGATCACGGCGGTTCCAGATACGCTGCGTGCGTACCCGGGACGAAGGCGGACAGGTGAGGCTCACGCATGTGTCGTAGACACCTCTCCAGGAACCGTCTGTGAAGACTGTTTCATTCGTCTGGTGAGGAGGCGATATAGGACCCCAGCCACCTTGTCGGTTGATAGACCAATCGCCCACGACTGTCTCCTTCGGAATAGGTTGTTGCTGCTTCCCTTCCCAATTCATAGGCGTTATCCTTTCCCACGGGACTGCGACTCGCGGTTCATCGTTCAGGTTCAATACAATATCCATATCGGGAAGGTGTTCGGAGAAACTCTGTATCATTTTTGCTGCACCATGTACCATCCACGCATGGGTTGGTTTGATACCTTCTTGGACTTGAGGTGTACCGTTTCGAATGCTGATTGCTCCAAGGTCGTTAAAAGGATTTGTTGCCAGTTGATGTGTCATACTTCGAAGCTGGTCGGGACTAATTGCCCAGAATGGGAGCAGGTTATTGTAGATTGAATCAAAATCGTCGATGACGACGGAAGATCGGCTCGTGGCATATTGATACCACTTGTCAAACCCACTATACTGTTATTAGAAGGGGCCAATATTTGGGCAGGAAGTATATACATACGGTGGAGGATGTTGATTGTACCGTCTGCGATATTCCATGAGAGCATGGCCAAGATTGTCGCTGGAGGCAGCTTGCGCAATGAATTGATCATAATGGGCTCTTGCTTCATGTGTGAGTACGTCAATTGGATGTTCATAGATAAGATGGAGCTTGCTCGAGGCGAATACGAGGCCCACTCCACAAAGAATGACGAGTAATATCTGTAGGATGATGTTGGTGCGGTATAGCGATTTCGACTCTTCACCTGATACAATTCTTGAAAACAGAAATATACAAGACCCCAGTGAGGGTAATGCCAAGGTTATAGCGGCGCGACTGATTGAGATATAGGGGAAAGACATTGGTTGGGAGATCAAGATCGCCATCGAGGGAAAGTATATGAGGACGAAACTTCCCATGATTGTAATTCCCAAAATACCAACATACGACAGCTAGATCGTCAGCTTCTATCAAGAAGTAAATATAGTGGATCATTGCTTACCAGATGCCAGGATGACAGAATCAACAATACCGCTATGGAGACTTGACCTAAAGTGCTTCTGACGTACTTCATATCCAGGAATAACTGTGCACTTTGCTCAGGCCGGGTTCGTGTGACAAAACATCCTATAATAGTCCATATTACAGCAATTCCCTGGATATGTTAGAGCTAGGTCTCCAGAATTTCAGCCTTCCTACTTACAATGAGACCGACACCGAGTGATACCAGAACGCCCTTTCTTTTGACTTCTGCCTGGCGTCGATGACCCAATTCGATAAATCCAACTAAAATAGAAGAGTCCAGTATCACATTGACGAATCTAATTGTTCGCATGCTCGATGCTCCGTGAGTGGTAAGAGGGCAGATGTAAGTTGACTGGCTACTAGCCAGGAATGATGATGCTGCATATCCGCCAATTGCCACCAATAAGGCGGCAACTATACCCCTACCGCGGTATTGAGTCCGATCGTAACAGCTCTGTCGGTAGGCGGCCAGAGTATGCGAGCTCTGATGTCGTATCGGCGCAGATTCGTCTATTGGTCGTGACCTTTGATTTCGCCAATAGTCGTAAACTGAAACAAGCAATGGGATGGCGTACTGTTGCAGAATATTAGTATAGTAGAACCAGATGGATTAAGCAGTTCACTCTTACTGAATAACCAGCAGGTGTACACTCGCTGCTGAGAGAAATTCGGCGAAAAAGTTCAACTCTCAGACAACATACACTTAGTAGTAGACCAAGCTCGCACCATAATCGGTATTTCCATGTCTTAAATTCCCCGAACCCTAGAATAGGAGATACAAAGTCATTGCTGTTTGGAGATTCGATTTCTTCGAGCTGAAATAGCGGGATTTCGAGTCGCTTGTTTATCGATTTGACAGGCCGAGACGATAATGTATTATAGCGACCTATATATACGCATACTGCTCCTACAAAAAAGCAGACCAAGACTGCCGAGTCGACAGGGCGATCTTTTCATGGCTCGTTAGTTTAGTCCACGCGACATGGTTGGACATGGACACATACCGAAGGCAAATGTGGTATTATAGGATGCGGTCAGAAAGAAGGAACTCAGAAAAAAGACCCTATATTGCGACCGTCAGAGATTAAATGAGTATCGCTACCTAAGTAGCGCATGATGCAGGGGACTTACCCCACCGAGACCTTTAGCCCAGTATCAATAGATATTTGGACCATCATCCGAATAGTTTGTTGTCTACATGCACGGCATCAGAAGCCATTCTGTCCAAGCATGATACCAGACCAAAGTAAAAGGATTCGGTGAGATGAGAAGACAGACAAGCCATTCCGGATTAAGGGACAGTCACCTCTCTAAGCTCTCTCTAGGAGTACTAAGTGGAGTTACGGGTGGGGACACAAGCATTGACATAAGAATTATGGACCGTCCATAGGTCAATATCAAATTATGACGCTCAAGCAACTATGTAATCGGAGTCCGCTAAGGTGGGCCATGATGCACTTAGCCACTTCAGTCCAACAAGCCAATAATGAGTTAATCAAGTTGACGCTCTGGGCCTCAATCCTTTCCCGCCCTTGTTTATTGTGGAATGTAAATCATCCAAGACATCAAGATATGCTCGAAAGCCTGAATCAGACCTCCCGTCTGCCCCACTTACCTGCATAATCTAGCTTAGTCAAGCTTCATGTGTTATCTACAATACAATACGTAATGTAATAGTGGTTGATGGGCCCATTCTTGCGCGTTCTAGTTTGTTAGTTCGTTTAAAAATAGAGCTGAATCGTGGGAATAGGGCATCGTATTACATTTGACTAGCTTCATACGGCACTATAGCAGTGTTTAGTGTGCCACGCTCCGGCCCTCTTTTTTCCAAATCCACGCCGCAACCCTCTATGGGCAAATCGCTCGCTTAGAGAAGATCGCTTTGTTAGTAAAATGTGTGTGTATCGCTTCATTAAGCGTCTCCCTAAGGAGCTACAGCTAGCTCCTCGGAAGACTAAAGAAGATGCTGCAAAACAGAAGAAGTTAGAAAAAGAGTATAAAAAAAGATATGATCAGCTGCCGCCACGGGAGGAGACTAGGGTGCCAGTGCCACAGGAAGAGGTTGAAGTAGAAAGAGAGGAGAAATCTGATATAATGGCGGTGAAAGAGAGAGATATACTTTATTTTGAAGAGATGCGGCGTCAATGTATATAATATTTAGAAAAATAGAGGGTTGTGGGGTGGATTTGGAAAAAAGAGGGCCGGGGCGTAGCACACTAAACACCGGGAACACGTGTTTAGTGTGCACATGACACTGCTATCAGATAGATTTCAGTGCTTAATGCTGTGTTGATTCTTTCTGGCTACTCTGAGAAACAGCCTATGGTCATGTAGTATTTAGCAATATTAAAGTTGTCAAAAATGAAGCCTGAAAAACTAGGTGAGATTAGAGCGCCTGAAAAAAAAAATCATTTTCAACCTAAATGCTTTTTCCAGCACTCTTGTTATGATAAAAAAATATGTATCCAAAAAATGGACTCGCGGGGAATCGAACCCCGGACCACTCCCATGCTAAGGGAGTATTATACCACTAAACCACAAGCCCACTTCATGTTAGAATCACATGACCTTAGCATACATATCTAGTGGTGGACAGTAGTAGGCGGTGAAGGCCTGTAAAACTAGGTAGGCGGTGGGTTAATGCCGGGCGGTATAATTTTTTTTCTTCCTGTCCAGTTCTATGTGCTGACCTCGAGAGATCTTTAAGTTTTGATCCCGATCTCTGTCTTAAGCTTCTGGCAATTCTTCAAAGGATTAAAGAAGTGGAGTGTCTTTAACTATAGTCGCAAAAATATCGATACGATATTTCCCTTGATCAAATCCTGACCAACTAATTCCCCTACGTTTCTCGCGGCAGCTCCGCACCATCATCATGCCGCGCAAAGCGATTGACTCGCGTATCCCCGCTCTCATTCGAAATGGCGTACAGGAGAAGAAGCGCAGCTTTTTTGTGGTGGTCGGAGACCGTGCGAAAGATGTGATCGTTCATCTGCACTATATCATGTCAAGCGTCGATGTGAAGCAAAACAAGTCAGTGTTGTGGGCCTACAAGAAGGATCTGATTGGCTTCACCAGTCACCGGAAGAAGCGTGAGTCAAAGATCAAGAGGGAGGTCAAGCGAGGCATTCGCGAGCCCAACCAGGAGGACCCATTCGAGCTTTTCATCACCCTCAACCAGATTCGTTATGTGTACTATAAGGAAACCGAGAAAATTCTGGGTAACACATACGGCATGTGTATTCTTCAGGACTTTGAGGCCATGACACCAAACCTACTGGCACGTACAGTCGAGACGGTCGAGGGAGGTGGTATGGTAATACTGTTGCTGAAAAGCATGAACAGTCTGAAGCAGCTATATACCTTGTCCATGGATATTCACTCTCGGTACCGGACCGAGGCACATGATGATGTTGTTGCTCGCTTTAACGAGCGATTCATCCTTTCTTTGGGTAGCTGTGACTCTTGCTTGGTGGTCGATGACGAGTTGAACGTGCTCCCGATATCTGGGGGCAAGAATGTCAAACCTCTTCCTCCCCCAGAGACTGCCGATGATTCGAACATTGGCACAAAGAAGGAGCTGAAGGAAATCAAGGATAATCTGGCGGATACACAACCTATTGGTCCATTGGTCAGCCTGGCTAAAACAGTGGACCAAGCCAAAGCACTGTTGACCTTTGTGGACGCAATCGCCGAGAAGACCCTGAAGAGTACGGTTACTCTCACGGCAGGCCGTGGACGTGGAAAGTCTGCTGCCCTCGGTGTTTCCATTGCGGCCGCCATTGCCCACGGATATAGCAACATTTTCATCACCTCCCCCAGCCCTGAGAACTTGAAGACTCTGTTTGAATTCATCTTCAAGGGATTCGATGCTCTGGGCTACTTAGATCACGTTGACTACACTATCCTGCAATCGACCAACCCTGATTTCAATAAGGCTATTGTTAGAGTCAACATTCACCGCAATCACCGTCAGACTATCCAATACATCCAGCCTCAGGACGCCCACGTCCTGGGACAAGCTGAGCTGTTGGTTATTGATGAAGCTGCTGCCATCCCACTTCCGCTTGTGAGAAAGCTGATGGGTCCCTACCTGGTCTTTATGGCCTCAACCATCAACGGTTACGAGGGTACCGGTCGCTCGCTTTCCCTGAAACTGATTCAGCAACTTCGGGAGCAGTCTCGAGGAGGAATGAAGATTGATGATACCGATGTTGCGGACCGAAGCACTGGCAAGACCGCGAAGAACGCGGACAAGGGCCTCGGTGGCCGATCACTTAGAGAGATTACCCTCGCGGAGCCTATTCGTTATGCCCCCGGAGACTCGGTTGAAAAGTGGCTGAACAAGGTCTTGTGTCTTGACGCAACTTTGCCCAAGTCCAGTATGAATACTCAGGGCTGCCCGCATCCATCGAAGTGTGAGCTGCTGCAGGTCAACCGCGATACCCTTTTCTCGTTCCACCCTGTCTCTGAAAAGTTCCTTCAACAAATGATGGCTTTATACGTTGCTAGTCACTATAAGAACACACCCAATGATCTTCAGCTTATGAGTGATGCTCCCGCGCATCAGCTCTTTGTGCTCGTTCCTCCGATTGACGAGGAAGCGACAAAGCTACCGGAGCCGCTCTGTGTCATCCAAGTCGCCCTTGAAGGTCGTATCAGTAAGCAGAGTGTTCTCAACAGCCTGAGCCGTGGTCAGCGAGCCGGCGGTGACCTCATTCCCTGGTTGGTCAGCCAGCAGTTCCAGGATGAGGACTTTGCTGGTCTCTCTGGTGCCCGTGTTGTTCGCATTGCAACTAACCCGGAGTATGTTGGCATGGGATACGGCTCCCGCGCTTTGGAGCTTCTGACTGACTTCTACGAGGGCAAATTCACCAGCCTGTCAGAGGAGGCGGCCGCTCCTCAAGAGGAGATGGTCCGCGTCACAGACGAGGAGCTGGCCAACTCGAGCCTTCTGGATGACAACGTCAAAGTCCGGGACATTCGCTCTATGCCTCCATTGTTCGGTAAGCTGACGGAACGTCGTCCGGATATTCTGGACTACCTCGGTGTCAGCTACGGTCTTACCCCCACCCTTCACAAATTCTGGAAGCGCTCTTCTTTTGTCCCCGTCTATCTGCGCCAGACCCCCAACGATCTGACTGGCGAGCACTCTTGCGTGATGCTCCGCACTCTTTCAGTCGGTACCAACGATGCCAGCTGGCTAGGCGCCTTCTCTCGGGACTTCCACCGCCGATTCCTTGCCCTGCTCTCTTACCAATTCCGTGAATTCCCCTCGGTTCTCTCTCTCAGTATTTGCGAATCTGCCAACTCCGGTGCAAAACTCGACTCTTCCATCGTCCCCCGTACTTTGAAGAAGGCCGATATCGATGCTGCTTTCTCACCCTTTGATCTGAAGCGTCTGGATAGCTACGCTAACAACCTTCTGGATCATCACGTCATCCTGGACATGGTCCCCACTCTCTCCGAGTACTACTTCGCTAACCGACTGGGCGGCAAGGTTAGCCTCTCTGGCATTCAGCAGTCCATACTTCTGGCCATTGGTCTGCAGCACAAGAGCATCGATGACCTGGAGAAAGAGTTGAGTCTTCCCTCCGGTCAGCTTCTTGCCATGTTCCTCAAGATCATCCGCAAGGTCTCTACTCACTTCCGTGGTGTGATTGAGGGTGCTGTCGCAGAAACTATGCCTAATGAGCAAGTCCCAACATCTGCGCCCACTGGCGGTGCTCATGACGATGAGATCATTGACGAGCGCTTCCAACCGCTTGCTACAGGTCTGGAAAAGGAGCTGGAAGAAGGAGGCCAGCAGGTTGACAAGGAAATGCGTGAGAAGCAGCGTGCTCTCATCGACGCCCTTCCTCTAGACAAGTGAGTGGGCCCTTTAACCCTTTGATTCATATTGTCATGGTACGAATGAACAATAACTGATTTCTAGCCTCCAGATACGAAATTGATAACGGCTCCGCGTCCTGGGAGGGTGCTGAGAAGCAGATCCGCGGTGGCGGTGCTTCCACTGTCAGTGTGAAGACCAAGTCGTCGTCTAAGCGAAAGAAGGGCGAGTCCGCCCGTGAAATCTATGACAAGGAGGTTGACTCCAAGAGACAAAAGATTATCAAGAACGGTACTGAGGGTCGGAAAAAATAGACACTATCATGAGTGTCTGGCGTTTCTTTGCATCTTTTTTATGGTGTTCCTGCGGGTTTTACCTTGTTCTGTCTTGTATATGATGACTTTTTAGTTGATTAGAAACCCCAGGGTTTTGTTAAAAGATTTTCATGATGCATTACTTTTTTATAAAAACTTCAGTTCGCTACTATCAGCTATTTCTATCATGTAGTCACCTTTCATGATTCTTGATAGATTTATTTGGTAAGGATTCTGAGGTGCGAATGTAAAATGAACACACGATACAATAATAGAGACTGCTAACTAAACATAGTAGACAACTACAAACTGAACTTGACTATAAAAACACATTTTCCATACTAGTTTCCTACAGCTCATCCCGCTCTACCTGCTTAGGCTTCTCGGATTCAGAATCAACCTTGGCCTCGACAACAAGACCTTCGGGCAGCTTCTCCTTAGTTCCCTCTCCAAGACGAATAGCATCAATCCACTGCTCAACAGCGGCGATTCCAAAGTCTTCGGCATTCTCATACCGACGCCACCATCCACGGCGAGCATTGATGGCAATGATTTCTACCGACTTACTACCTTGCAAGCCCAATGCATTATATAAATTTTGAGATCCAGAGTTAATCTCGGGGACGGCATAAATGGGGAAAATGTGGGCGCCACGCTTGGAATGACGGTGTGTGATCTCTGCAAGACTTTCCAATGCGGTAGATTTGGCAGCTTCCTCACTTTGCTCTGGGAGCAAGGCGAGGAGACAGGTGTTAGACTTGGCGGCTAGGCAGGTCGATTCGAGGGATTCGGGTGTGGCTAGGGTAGGGATTGGAGGTACCCCGGCGGGCTTAGCGTCAGGCACCTCCTCGGTATCAGCATCATCGGCAACAGGGGCCGCCTTCGCAGGCTTGGAGGACTTGGGCTTAGGCTTTGACTTTGGATTTGTGGCAGGCTGTCCAGTGGCGTCTGGGTTAGGGTTGGCGAAATGGCTCAGGAACTCGGTCATGGGCTTCTTCTTCAACTCGCCCTCGTACAACTTCGGTTCAGCATCACCTCCAGGAACCACGACCAGCGTTGGGAACTTGGAGATGCCGAATTTCTCGACGGAGGCGGGCTCCTTATTGCGCACCTGGGCGATGTCAATTGCATTTAGAAAGTCGATGGCCAGAGCGCGGATGAGAGAACTGGTTGACCCCTTCTCTGTGAATAGGATAGCCTTGGGTCGTTCCTCATTTTGTCCCAGCCACTTGTCCAAGTCCTTGTCGGTTGCGCGCTTCACGTGGTTCGGAATGCGATCTACCACTGCGTTGATGATAGCATTGGCCGTACGCCCACCCTGGTAGTCCTCCACCCGTGGCTGTCCTGGTTTCTTCGAAGGTGTCACAATTTTGAGGGTCGGGAAGCCCTGGACGCCCATTTGACTGCAGAAGGGCTTGTTCTCGTCCTCGTCGCAATTAACAGCGGCGACCTTGGCCAATCCATTCAGATTTTCGGCAGCCTTTTCGTATGGACCCTTCAGATTCTGACAGTGTCCACACCAGGGTGCATAGAATCTATAGTAATTTGGTTTAGTAGAGCCGTTGGAACGGTGCGGGGAATAACTTACTCCACGATCTACAAGACTATTAGCGCAAATTGATTTCAATAAATTGTGGGGAAACCTACAGATGTATAGTTTGAGTTCGCGATAATAGACCCATAGGTCTTTTGGTTTAGCTGTAGCACTGGCGATTTCTTGGTGTAGATGCCATCTGCATTAGCAGGGATAGCTGCTAGTAGCGATGTGAGCAGGAGGAATGCTGAACTATTGGGTAGCATTTTGCTAGAATTGAGCTGTAGGATTTAAACAATTGGATATATCCCAGGATTCAGTCGCATATAGAATGTGAGAAGTGGGAAAAGAGATCAGATTAATAGTGAAAGAACAGCTTGATTACGCAAGGTGTCCTGAAGCTCTTGTGGAACTGGATCCTTGCCCCACTCACTCTTATAAGGGTAAGTGTAACTACTGTTACTCCCCTCGCCGCTTTTACCCATTAGATAACTAGAACTGAGCAGTGAACATTGCAATGATTACATATAGAAAACTCACTGTTATGCTGACTGTTACCTGATAGTTAGCTTTAGACAGATATTAATACGGATATTATGGATATCTGTGGTTTATATCACGTGTCTAATCCATAGTTCTACAGCTTATATGGCGTTCCTCGATTTGTTCCAGCAAAGTTTCCATGACGTGCACCAGTTACGCTTAGAGCTTCGATTTCAGTCGAGACCTTAGCTAAATACCATAACTATGAGAGACTGAGGACGATTTTCGAGCTACTGGAGAAACTCTCAAAAGGTCAAGAGTGGATGTAGACCTGACTCGGAATTCTTCGTCGAGAATTCTCCAAATGAACGTACTTCTCCTCTATCTCCATCTAATGTGAAGATTGTTACTTGTATCAGTTATATTCCAAGGTTGGCAGCAATGGTGCAAACTATTAAAAGGGCTTATGACGGAATATGCCAGCTGATAAGAGGCACTCTTGAGATCATGAATACCTAGGTATCAAAGAGTAGAACGAGTGAATTGCTCATGAAATTCGATGAGAGCTATCTAAGACCCTGGACAAAAGACTAGTCCTAAATAGTCGCTGCAGTGGAAGCATTAAGCGCTCTCAAAGGTAATCACACTGCTCGTAACTGCAGTCTTGAATTCCATAGTAGAAATTGGCTTCTTGCAGTGACAAGACGGATCTGCGCACCGAGAAGCAGACTGTAAGACTTGCTAGGGACATATACTTAGCTCACTGGCTTTATTTAATAATGATAGCCGACTTACACCATAACTAGGGAGCTGAGAGATAGTTGTTATGCTAGAAGTTGTAGTAGTGGCAGACCTCGGAAGGTAGTACCTAGGTACCTAAAATACACGTCTACCTACCTAAGTTACGAATTACAAGCTATGAGAGCCTTATCCATTATAAGGATAAGTGATAAGTGTTTCTTTTTAGCTGACTCTGCCAGAGATAAGATATCTTCGCTGTTGTCGATGAGATGAAATTCCGAGACCAAAGGTTACCAATGCTCCAATCCCCCAGTGGTGATCAACGGCAGTCACAAAAAATATGAGTGTCAAAGTTGAGTCGAAACGTTGGAAGTGCATAGTCCTGGAGGTTGTCCGAGAAGCCGAACGTGCGTTGTAGATGGTGTTGCTTTTTGTACAGTCTCAATACTTAAATCCAGGGATGCAAAATCCTTCGAAAACGTCTTCTAAATCGGAATTTTAATCTTTTTCCCCTTTACTTCCCGGTGCAGGCATCCAGTACATCTCGGAACAGCATTCTGTCATGGTACCGTGATCTGAATAGTAAGCACCCAGCTTCGGAGTTTCATGATAGCTCTTTTGGCAGCCAGCTTGCTTCTCCACACGGGCTCCAGTGCTCTCTTTATGTGCATCATTCTCATGGGCTTTGCTTTCTGCTGCATGCTTCCAAATTCTGTTCGGTACAGTACTCTTGGTGCCAATCTTCTAAGTCATTGTGTGGATCTTCAGAAGGTTTAAGCCACTAGTATCTCCTTCGAGCTCTAGCTTGTTCCTCCGCACTGGGTGTGTATTCAACTTCAGGTGAGTCAATATATTCGGGCATTTCTTTCGCTGCATGCATCCAGCAGTTCTTCATGCCATGTTCCCAGCAGTAAAAAGCGTCGTCTCGGGCCTTCTCTCCTGAGTCCGAACCACCCGAGTGATTATATAAATCTTCAAAACCATACCACTCCCTCGAATTTGACATTTCCGGAACTGGAGTTTGCTTGTCCTCATGGTAATTTTTTTTTTCTCTTGGCGCGATTTCTCATGCATCGCGCTGTCTGCCGTTGAGCAGTCGAAATCAACCCATCGGGCTTCCAATTCTTCTTCCACACGAATGCTAGCCATATTTCTCTTTGCTCCCTCTACACATTGATTCATGTGATCAGCTGTAAGGCCATGCATATACCACTCCCAGGGGGCATTGAAATTACACTGAGGGGAGGATTCCTCCCTTGAGGAATGTTCATCTTCTGAAGAAGGTTCCCCCCATGAAGCTTCATCACAGGGTGAAGGTTTCTCCCAAGGAGGAGGTTTACACCAGGGCTGGGGCTCCTCCTGCTGTTGCGAGTTTGTTGACTCGCTCTTTTTCCATTCACTTTTCTTGTCAAGGCTGTAGGACTCATCCCACGGTTGCGACTTAGTTGGCTCATTTTTTCCCCATTCACTTTTCTTGTTTGCGTTGTAGTATGAGGGTTCATCCCACGGTTGCGACTTAGTTGACTCGCTCTTTCTCCACTCACTTTGCGTTTCATAAGTTGAGGTGTATTTCTTTTCTGTTTCGCCTTTTCTGTGGTTGCCGCTTTTTTTGCAGGAGTCCCGCAACCACATCAGCACAGTATCGTCATGGTGAAGACGTCGAGCAGGGTCACGCAGAACATCGGCCGCAGCTTGGATCTGGAATGATTTTAGTCAGTTCTTAGTACATTTTGAGATAGACTCTAAAACTAGCAGCGGAAGAAATGAGATTTATGACTGTACCTTGTGAAACTTATCCATGGAAGATTGATCGTTACTAACTTTGTCTGGGTGAAACTTGAGAGCAAGCTTTTTATATGCGACACTGATCTCTTTCGCTGTCGCATCTGACTTCACTCCAAGTGCCAGGTAATGGTCAGGTGGTTTAGCTCCCATCTTCGAAATGTGATGAGCTGAAAGGCTGTTTTCACAGGCTGAGATATCCGAATGTCACTGATGCGTCTTAGTGTTAGGAAGAAGTTGGCGTTCAGACGATGGCGATGGGAAGAATAACCCAAGACGAATATCAGTTGTCCGGAAAATGTAAAAGCGAGCTTGGCTTGGGTGACTCGCAAAAGTGAATATAAGGTAACAGGCAGTCAAGATCCAATATGGTAAGTAAAGTAAAAGTGAGGCTACAAGACGTTCAATTACAGTTCATTTTACCTACATTAGAGAGTATAAATGGAATTGAAATGGATTGACACTGATTTTACAAACGGAGAGTCGATCTAAATATCAACCTGCACCGGGGGCAACATCGTCCTGTATAGGATGATGTTTACTGCTCGGCAGAGGCGGTGGCACCGGTGATAATCTCGACCAGCTCACCGGTAATGGCGGCTTGACGCTGACGGTTGTACAAGATCTGGAACCTGTTTCAAAAGTTAGGATCTGTCTGTGTCATGGAGGCAGTCGGGATACATACTTCTGGATCATCTCACCAGCGTTCTTGGAGGCGTTCTCCATGGCGTTGCGACGAGCCTAAAAGGGTTATTAGTACATACTGGTAGACAGCATAGATGTATAGAAACATACGGAAATCTCGCAGGCGTGGCCTTCAGCCAGGGCCCAGAAAATGTTGTTAGCGAGGGAGTACTCGCGGAGAGAAGCGAGAGCCTGGTCGTCGATCTCGTAAGCGGAGATGTTGGCTGGAGCGTCGAATCAGTATCAAAGTGCAAATATTTCCTCTAAAACAAAACAGAAAAGTTCTGATGGTTCTTAAGCATACCGGACTGGGTGATAGCCTCTTCGTTGAAAGCCTCAAGGGTCTGAGGCTCGTAAGACTGAGCGTTGACAAAGTGGTTGTAGACGATCTGAACGCTGGCGTAGTCGGTGGGCAGCTGAGCGATCTGGTCGGCGATAGCCTGAGCATCGGCGAAGGTGGGGATATCCTTGCAGACGTTGGAGAAGCTCAGGAGGATCTTCTCAGGAGCGAAACGAGACAGCTGAGCCTTAGCCTTCTCACCGAGGATGACAATGTCGGACTCAGGGTTTTCGGTAACCATACGGCGAGCGGTCTTGGCCAGGCCGGAGTGAATACCACCGCAAAGACCCTTGTCGGAGCTAGCAATGACGATCAGAGTCTTCTTGTCCTCCAGAGGCTTGGTCTCGGCCTGCTCGAAGAGGGTGTTGGAAGTCTGACCGTAACCGCGGGACTCGTCCATAGCCTTCTGGGCGCGGGTAAGACGAGTAGAGGCGACAATCTTCATGGTCTTGGTGATCTTCTCAATGTTCTTGATGGACTTGAGACGGCCCTCAATCTCACGAAGAGTCGCAAAGTTGGCGGCATTGGACGGGGCAGTGCTGGATTGACAATTAGTAATTGATCGAGTATAGAAGCAATTGGTCGAAATGATGGATTTCGATCGGAATAGAAGATGATATCACAGTCGGTAATGTCGAGTTGTCGGCGGATTAAAAAGGACCGGAGAATCGGAAGAGCATTTCTTACCGGGCAAGGGAAGCACTGCCGGCCTTGATGGCCGGGCGAACAGTACGGGAGAACATGGCGAAGGGGTGAGAGGGGGGATTAGAAGCAGAATATAGCTTCCGGGAGGAGAAGAGAGAGGAGAGTGCAGTAGCCTCGCTGATGCTTAGAGGTGCTAGGATGGCCGGGAGTGCGTTGAAACTCCCTGACCCGATAATACGCTAACCACATTCAGGTTATCTCCGGAAAATTCCGGCTTCCGGCGCACTTATTGCTCCCAAAAGGCAATGTGTCTGCCTCAGGCATAAATGTATTCCCAAATCCAACTCCATTCCATGGTTCATAGAGTTTGTTCTTCTCAGCCCCCAGCTTTTCTTCAGTTACATCCGTCCCAAGTACCACTTCCTCTTCTACTTGCATCATTGATGCATCACTCTCCCTTCTAATCGTGTCTTTACCGTCATTTTCATTGGTTAGAGTCCCTTCCATCTCACCTCGCGTTTGCTTGCGCTTTCAAGCTACTTGTTTTACTCGACTCGAGAGTTCTCACCTCTCCTACCTCTCTATCCCTTCGAGATCCATTCTCTCCCGTTCTCATCCACCACCGGCTGTCCTTCACTCCATCACAATGAGTTCAGATTCAGACGATACCCCCCTGGTCCGTTCCAATGGACGCGCCAATGGTGAGCTTTCCCCCGGGTGATTCGGCTAGCACATGAACACCCCCGACTCTTATTCCTGAAATCGCACAGTCCTTCTCTTCCTTCCCTACTGCTCTTTAATCACTATTGCGCTTGTGAAATGTGTCTAACAATGTCATCTATCTATTTAGCTGCACCCTCTTCCAACCGATCGAGCGCAAAGCTACCCTCGAATGAAGTTAACGGCGACCTGGCTACCGGTGTGTCTATTAGGTTTGGTCCCTTGGTGGGCGAGGATGCGGAGATGGAGGATATGGACGCGCAAGGCGCAAGTAAGCGCAAATCTCGGGCGAGCATTGACAAGAAAAAGTCATATGCTGAGCCAGATAGTAGCTCGGAGGAGGATCAACCTTTGGTACGCGCTCTGGATTGATGGATTTTGCGTTTCTGCGACATTTTTGTGTGTCACTCTTGGTTTCAGCGACTGACCATTCGATAGAGTAAACGTCGGCGAACAACTTCTGTGAAACAAGAAGAACTGGAGTCAGACGATGGCATCCCCCTCGCCAAAAATGGACGAAAGCTCCCTTCAGCCTCCGAAACCGCCATTGGCGAGGAGTCCGACTCCGATGTTCCAATTGAGAGGAAGCTTTCGGCGCAAAAGAAACAGATTGAGCAGAAGGCCGCGAAGGAAGCCAAGACTGCGCGCAAACTCGCTGTCCCAAAAAAGGAAACTAAGCCTGCCGCTAAGAGACAATCCAATGGTGTCAAAAAAGAAACCGTCGATGATAATAAGTCCGCCGTGAAAAAGGTAAAGGCTGAACCAGCGGCTAAGAAGGTGAAGGTCAAGGCTGAGAGCGAAAAACCTGAAGATGGTGAGTCTGACGAAGATGAGTATAAATGGTGGGAGGACCCAACCAAGGGTGACGGAACCAAGAAGTGGACGACGCTGGAGCACAACGGCGTCGTATTTCCACCCCCTACGAGCCTCTCCCAAAGAACGTCAGCATGCGATACAACGGAACTCCGATTTCTCTCCACCCAGATGCAGAGGAAGTTGCTAGTTTCTTTGGAAGCATGCTCAACTCAACCCACAACGTAGAGAACCCAGTCTTCCAGAAGAATTTCTTCAATGATTTTCAGGATATCGTCAAGAAAACTGGCGGCGCGAAGGATGTGCAAGGCAAGAAAGTCGATATTAAGGAATTTACCAAATGTGACTTCAAGCCCATCTTTGAATATTATGATGCGCAGCGTTTGGAGAAGAAAAACCAGCCCCCGGCCGAGAAGAAGAAATTGAAGGCCGAGAAAGATGAGCAAGAGGCTCCCTACCAGTTTTGTACCTGGGACGGTCGCAAACAAAAGGTTGGCAACTTCCGCGTGGAGCCTCCCTCACTTTTCCGTGGACGCGGTGAGCATCCAAAGACTGGACACGTCAAGACACGCGTGAAGCCTGAACAAATCACCATCAACATCGGCAAGGAAGCCACGGTTCCACCTCCTCCTGCTGGTCATAGATGGAAGGAGGTTAAGCATGACCAAGAAGGCACATGGTTGGCTATGTGGCAGGAAAACATCAATGGCAACTACAAGTATGTCATGCTGGCGGCCAACTCCGATGTCAAGGGACAAAGCGACTACAAGAAGTTCGAAAAGGCGCGCGAGCTGAAAAAGCATATCGACAAAATCCGCAAGGACTACCAAAAGAACCTCAAGAACGACTTGATGGTCGAACGTCAGAAGGCCACGGCAGTTTATCTCATCGATCAGTTCGCACTCCGTGCTGGAAACGAAAAGGGTGAAGACGAGGCAGAGACTGTTGGCTGCTGCTCGCTCAAATACGAGAACATCAGCCTGCAGCCACCCAATACTGTCATCTTCGATTTTCTGGGTAAAGATAGTATTCGTTTCTATGATGAAGTCAAGGTCGACCTTCAGGTGTTCAAAAACCTCAAGATCTTTAAGAAAGCACCCAAGAAGAATGGTGATGAAATCTTTGACCGATTGACTGTAGGTTTCTCTTGTCTGGTAACGTTTGTTTTGGAATCAGCTAACGTCAATAGACATCTGCCCTCAACAAACACTTGCAAAATTACATGCCTGGCCTGACAGCTAAAGTGTTTCGTACTTACAATGCCTCATTCACAATGAGCACCCTTCTGAGGGATTTGAAGGCTTCGGGTACCATCGCTGAGAAGATCAAGTCTTACAACGATGCTAACCGCAGGGTTGCTATCTTGTGTAACCACAAACGTACAGTCACTGCTGGTCATGCCGGTCAGATGGAGAAGTTGGGAGAGCGGGTAGGTTTTTGCTGAGACTATATGTCTATACAAAGCTAATCTGGATATTTCTCATAGATCAAGGGACTTCGCTATCAAAAATGGCGTTTGAAACAGCAGATGCTTGACCTGGAACCCAACCTCAAGAAGAAGAAGGGAGCCTCCTTCTTCGCGCGTGATGAAGATCTCACCGAGGAATGGGTGAAAGAACATCAGGCGTTCCTGGTGGAGGAGCAAACTCAAAAGATCAACAAAAAATTTGAGAAAGATAACGAGAAACTTCTTGCTGAGGGTGAGAAAGAGATGAAGGCATCCGAGCTCAAAGAACGCTTGGAAGTCGTTAAGGATATGGAGAAGAAGTTCGCCAAAGAGAACAAGTCCGGCAAGGTCGAAGCCGAAGGCCGGGGCCCCACTGTGGATAAAATCGAGGCCAGCATCACCAAGCTTGATCAACGTGTTGAGACTATGTCTCTTCAAGCCCAGGACAAGGAAGATAACAAGGAGGTTGCCCTGGGTACCTCGAAGATTGTGAGTCTTTTATTATCGGAAAATGACGCATACAACCACTAATTTTCTTTACAGAATTACATCGACCCTCGTCTTACTGTTGTCTTCAGCAAGAAATTTAACGTCCCTATTGAGAAGTTTTTCTCGAAGGCTTTACGCGAGAAGTTTGAATGGGCTATCAAATCCGTTGAAGAGGACTGGGAATTCTAGATCTTTTCTCTCCCGCTTTTTTGATGCCTTTCATCTTTTTGTCTATTTCTATTACACCATTCTCGCTTCCATATCAATATCTTGGATTATTCATTGCTCTTATTTTATTCTCTCTTCTTTTTACTGCGACGGCTGGCTGCAATCTGCATGAGGGCTGCGGTCCAATCTCTCCTTCATTTTTGTTACCTCTTGATATGAGCATATGGGCTAGAACTTGACTCATGCCGGCATTTTTGATAGACAGCGCCAGGCAAGAAAATACCCACACAAGCGGAACATAATCCTCGCGAAAAATAAACGAGTTGATAGTACAGTGCATCGCATTTGAACTTGGTTCAGCTCTTCCGTTTGATTCAGCTCAGCTTTACATAGGTAATCAATTGATTTTGGACACCCATGGATGATAAATTGGGAAGTAAGGCCTCGCCGAGAATTCGAATATTGTCTAAGAGAGAGGATTTTCGATGGAAATGACTACAAGCAGTCAACAGTAGAAAGCTTTCAGCAGAAAGAGACTTCCAAGGTTCGAAGGTTGATGAAAACCTGGGATTACATGGTTTAAAAAACAACAGCTCTGGGGTAGGAAACACCAAAGACGCAAAAACACACTTAATATATATGTATGTAAAAAATGTGTTGGTTGAAGAGCGTAAGCCCTAGGTTACACAACCCAATACATGGTTCCTTCCGTCCCAAAGAAAAGAACTTCTCAATTTTGCCTTTGTGGAGTATCAATCATCTTTTATTCTCCGTTCGAGAATTTCCAGTACCTTAACTCAAAGGCTGGAAGTTTACAGTCCAATCGCACATCCCACCTCCCCCAACGCCAGTAACCAGAAATTGTCGAGATAACAAAAAGAAAGATGAGCTAGAGTATTATCGGCTTGGTGCAGTAGACTGGCTTTAAAAATATTCTCCTCTTGAACCCTTTGAAACAGGCCGAGAATGGGCTGCTAAAGTTTTTGACCATCTCTATTTTGATGACGATAAAGGCTTTACAATTCCTTTCGTGCCACAGATCATAGTTACACGAATCAGCCGCCTATGAAAACTTTCAGAGTAACAAGGAACATGAATTCCTAAATTCTATGGATCCTTCTCACTTCATCTTCCATTTTTGGAAGGGGGACTTACAGTTCGTCTTATCTTCCTGGAATATATTAGTAGTATATTCATGGCACAAGACAACGCAGCAGACTACACAAGATACACGTCAACTTATCGTGAAATCTATTGTCGACCTCGATAGTGACATTCATGGATTTAAGGATATTAAATTCAATGACCTACATCCCAGAAATATCATCCTAACACCACAAAATAATGTGGTTTTTGTGGTTTTTGAAGAAACCTCATTCATTCGAAAGGCTGACGATCCGATCTTGGCAGATAAGGATTTTTTATTGGGTTAATAGATTCCTCCGCTCCTAAGATGGCACCAGGTATTAGGCCGTCATGACAATCTCATATCTCCAGATAAACATAAAAACTAGATCGACTGGGATTGGAGTCGCTGGCTTGAGACTGAATGGGCTCACAGGGCTTCGATGATTACGCCACAGATGAGAAAATTGTTCGATGTAGACTAGCATGTGCAGCGGCTTAAATCTGTTCAAGCTCTACAGCGATAGAAGTAATAGCTAGTTTCTATCTTCTTCTATTCATTTGGCAGTTTTCTTTCCAAAGGGTTGAATTCGAACTCCAGGGCTATTGTTCCATCATAGAGATTTCAAATAGCTAAGGACTCTAATATTTTCCTCCCTTGTTTTTCCTTTTCTCCCTATCGGAGTATTTCGGACTATGCACTCTTACCTTTTGGTTGGGCAGTTCTGTAGGCGTAGTTTAGGGATATTTGAAGGGCTAAGTAGCCTTCGATTGACATTAGGTCTATCTACTAAAGTAAATCCTATGAGTGGCGCACTCAGAACACCATAGTAAAATCGAAAAAATTCAATGTCATATCTCAACAACAATGACACTGATAAGATTTAAATATAAAGTCAGATATAACAATAATGATTTCTATAAAGAATCAACTCACTTTAAGTAAATTAGATAGATTAATTCTAGTGGTATCATATATTACTATAAATTATAGTATAAATTATAGTATAAATTATCTATTTTTAGCTTCACCTACACTTCACTTAATGATTTCATAATCCTTCTTTATATCTATTTATCTGATGAGCTAGAAATAATTTGAACTGGTGGTTGTTGAGATATGACATTAAATTTTTCCGATTTTAATATGGTGTTCTGAGTGCGCCACTCATAGGATTTACTTTGGTGTAATAGTGTGGGACGCTATAATTTAACAGGACCAGCCCTCAAAAATGCTAATCAAATCATTCACTAAATAATTCATCACGTTATTCATCAGATCATTCAAATTCAAACTAACCTTTACTCATCATTCAAATTCAATACCAACCCTCAAATTATTTGAACTTTGGTACTCGCATGGAATGAATGGTTCTGTTATCAGGAAAAGAGTCTGGGAATGCCAGTCGTGATTTTATGATTCATCATTCATGTATTGCTAATCATATACAAACTTGAAAGCCCCAAAAAACCCAACAATAGAAGCAGCAATAACAGCCAGCGAAACCCAGCCCAAGATATCACACAAGCCACAAGAAGCAATGATACCAATAGGCACAGCGCGAGAAGCATGCATCGCCTCCTCACTTATATGCAAAGCTATCCATGCAATAACGCTCGGGTCTGCGCTATTTCTCCCACAGAAATCTCTGTGTTATCGTCCTTCCAGTTTGCAATCCACTTGTCAAAAATCGCGAGGGACCGGAGCTTCTGCTTCTCCGATACATGGGGCCAACAACGTTAGCCCGCCAGTTGAAGACGTACATCATGCCCTGTTTAGCATACGCTGGGCGGTAACTCTTGATGCCCCATAATTTTTCTCGAAGCCACATTCAAGTCTGTTGCCTGCAATAAAGGCGAATACTGCGGTTTCACATCTGACGTCTCGACTGGCTTGCGTTTCGAACTTCTACATGTCCTGTTCCGCGCGCTCCTCTTGTTCCTGGGTCAGAAACTGGAGGTCGAGGTAGATTTCACATCCATGAGCAACATAGTTTCGTTGTTTGTTCGTGGTGGGGCTTAGTTCCATCCCGTACTACTCCGAGAACACTTTCGCTCGCATAAGGAAAACGCATTCTTGTGGTGCTTGGCCTCCGTATCTAGCGCGTTAATCCTGGCCTCCATGTATTCCAGTAGCTCGAACAGCAAAAGTCTTCAGTCAATGCCGAAAACATTCATCTTCTCGTTCAATACTAGCAACGACAGCCCATAAGTTAAAGATGGACAACTGGATCCAGCTGGACGGAAACTATGTCCAGTTCCAGTAATAACCCAATTTAGCCAGTTTTGGCCTTATCTTAGTCCTAATTAGGCACGCTAAACCTATTTAAAATAAGGTAATGCCAACCTTGGAAGGAGTTATCAATGTATTTTCCGTTATTCGCACTTTGAATTCGCTTAGCCCACTTTCATCCTAAGTCTCTTGAGTTATTTTCACAGGCGATTTTCCATGACTTCCACGATCGCTTTTTACTAACGGCGTGGAAGCCTTATAAGCTAGGAACTAGAATCTCTCAAGTACTAACACCGGAATCTAGTAATAGGGGAGTACTAGGGAACTAATAATGCCGGGAATTTCGGGTGTTTATGATACCTAAAAGATGCTAAAATTCGGCAAAAAATACTGTATCTCCGAGAAACACGTGTCGAAAAACTTTCATACCGCAACAGAAGCTAGTGATAGTGTCGTTTTACAGACTGTATCTCAGAATCAGAGTATTGTGTATGTCTTCATGAATTTGGAGGCTTGCCACTTCACCTTATGCCATAAAATCATGGCTCTCACAAAGGTATTAATATGTATTAAAGGAGATTTCCCTCACCCCAGAATACATTAATGATGGGGCATCAATGAATCTGTTATGCTATCACCTGAATTTTATTGAAAATAAAAAAAAACAATAAATTACCTAGGTAATATTTGGTTCATACATATCTACGTAGGCAGGGAGGTAACGTGCCATGTTTAACATGCAAGATATGTAGGTAGCAGCAAGTCTGCCTAGGATTTGGAACCTTCCAAGGTTCAAACTTTGCTGAAGGGATGATATTGAATTATACAAAAGTACCTAGGTAGTAAGCAAAGTCTTTCTATGCCATTGTCTAGGTATGTCCACACCCATGGACTGTTTCTCCAAAATAAGAGTTTTCTCCTAAAATACATGAATTTTCAACGAGTGAAAAACCCCTCCTAGTTTAAACACTGAGGAAAGAGGATTGAAAAGAAACCAATATAAACGGCTCAATATGCAAATGCAGACTTGGTCAACCCGAGGAAGAGACCAGCACAAGAAAGGAACTGAAGTGGATATGATATGTGCATGAAAAGAAACAAGTCCAATATAAAATAGAAAAAGGTGTTGAGAGAAAGGATTTTTGTGAAGGTTCATATGCACTAGACTGGAGAAGGGTCAGCCAGCTAGGCTATGAGCTCATGGCCACCAGCCCATACGCTTGTAGCTATCAACCATCTCAGTGATGCTACTCGCGTCGAATTTTTCATATTTTGGCTGCCACCCCGTGGTCTTTTCGAACAAGGAGCCGTCAATGGACATGTCCTTGTTCTTGAGAACATCAATCTCAAGGAAGGGTCCAATAGGCCCAGGACGTTGAATGTTGCTCTTCTCAATCAGATCTGCCCATTCCTGCAGACTAACTTCGTTCATGTCATCGACAATGTCATCTAGGTTCATCTTGGCCAACTGCGAAACAAGTGATCCAATGAACGTGACCTTCAAGTTGAACACTTCAGCCAATGCATCGGCGAGATCCCCTTGTGTTGTGTTGTTGTGGTCAACAACGTTAAAGGCAATGTGTAATTTCTTCTCTCTGAAGATGGCGGGTATATTCGGGTCATTGCAATCTCCTTGGGCGGCCCTCCACTCGGCCGTTTTCCAAAGCGCACTTGCGGCATCCTTCACGTGTAGTGTGTTCACCTTGACATCCTTGGTATGCAAAATCTCAAGATCCTGTTGCAGTTCCACGTACACTCGCGCTAGACATATGGCCACACCGAAGTAGCCAGGGTTATATCCACCATAGACGTGCGGCAGACGAAGTGCGCAGGATTTCAGGCCGGGGATCTTTTCGAACTCTTCAGCCGCCTTCATCTTCCATTTAGCCAGATTATGCCACGGGTCAATCTTGTCTGTCTCCGAGCGTGGAGATGACCCACTCTTGTACACATGGGCTGTGGAGGCTTCGACGTAGGCAGAGATGCCACGTTTAGCAGCCTCCTTTCCCAGGACCAGACTCAAGGTATAGCTGCGCGCTTCATAGACGTCATCGGGCTGGGCATGGCGGGTCTCTCCGCCACAGTTGATAACGTAGTCGAATTGCTCACCATTAGCGCGGTCAAAGATGCGCGGTATATGTTCTAAATAGAAAAAAAAAAGATTATGAGATTTTTTTCCCCCACAAACGGTTTCCCAAGTAAAACGATTATAACGAAAAAGGTGATCCGGGGGGTGATTTGGGGAAGGAGGGGGTAAAGTCACATACGTTCACGACTGGCATCAGCTTGCACGAACTTGTCCTGGGAGCATGCATCTTTGAATTCCGGAGCTAACCAGGCCAGCTGAGGAAGAACCTTGTCGACAATGCGAACCTCGGAGGCAAGATTGTTCTCATGAATATAGAGTGCCAGGTGGCGACCGATAAAGCCTATAAATAGGGTCAGCGGGTTCAATGGATATTGTACTTTAACTCACCGAGGCCACCAATAATCAAAACGGCGGGCTTCTTGGGGTCCATTGTATAGCAACAACTAAGGGGTGAAGAAAATAGGAAGAGAGGGGAAGACTAAATGCCATGTCTCACGGGCGAACTGTGTTTAATGCGGGAGGTTCCACTTTCCACTCAGAAAATTCGGGAAGCTCAATTCCGCTAACCCCTTTTCTCTAGATCCTTCGACATCAAGCTACGTCGAAATTCCGAAAATCAATTAAGGGAGATTTCTTGAATGAATATCTAATACAAATACATTAGACTGATCAGCTCTTGATTCCTCTCAAATCTCCAACATATCCTCGGTTTCACCAGACTCCAGGATACGATGTAACTAGAATTTGAGATCTCGGAGGCATCACCATCTCACGAGTTAGACATGGTGAAATTCACTCCATGTTCTGATATTCCTCTTCCATCTTGAGAACGACGTGAATTTCAAACTCAAAAACGTTCAGCTTTCCCGAATTTTGGGCCTTCCAAGCGCACTCCAAACGATCGGTCAGAGCCTGCCAGTCGGTAGCGCTGTTGGGGCGAACCACAAAGTGGACACCCGACCACATCAGGTAAACAACAGCGTAGCGAGACTTCAGCGAGGGCATTTCTGCGTGAATCTGCATGTGGACATCGGCATTGTCTGATATGCCGCAGTACTCCTCCATCTTACGAATGAAGTAGTTGGCGGAATGAAAAAAGTCGAATGGAACGCACACGCGGTCGGTGAGCCCATGTTCTTCGCAGACGATGAAGAAAGTCGATTGGATTTGATCCTGGCCAGTGACAATGGTCACTGATAATTACAGGTTAGTCAATCTTTGTCAATCCAGAGAACAAGTCGTACCATCTGGCTCCGCGTTCTCGCTTTTAATGCCTTGAGGTTGACTACTGGAAGCATCGGCCAACGGAATAGACTGCATCGCCGCCGCCATCTAAAATTGTGCGCATCAGTATATCTAGTACCTTGTCATGTTGATTAAATGAGTCCACTCGAAGATCTTACGCTGGCTCGGCGCATGCGGTCAAGGGCACGACCTCTGATCATATTCATGAGAACCAAATTCATCCTGGCTATCATCAGTAGGAATATTCTTTGAAAAAAAGACAATGGAGAACGACGTACTCATAGCCATCATCGGGGAAACGAAGAGCTCTTCCAGAGCTCACGACCTCGGGGGCCAAGTACGAAGTACGGCTCTGTTCAGTTCCCCAGAAATCTGGGCCAGCCTGGTTCAAGAAACTCTGTGAGATCGTACGAACCAACGCATCATTGTGTGATACCTCCTCCCAGGTAGAGGAGTCCTCGACAAGACGATAGAGGCGTTTGCAGAAGATTCTCCAGCCGTGGTCCTTGAGCTGAAAGTACGCACGAAACTTCGCCAAAGAGCTGCTCGGATTGAGCTCATGGTCATCGATGTGACTGGCGGGTCTTTTTCCAAGTTTGGTGGATTCATAGGATTCACTCATGGGATGATCATTGGAATCGGGGGGCTCGTGGTAATCCATATTGATGGATTGCAGTAAAATAATATTAATAGGAGCGGGGTGAAGAAATGAAACAGGAAGAAGGATGAGATTTGACGAAGACGTGAATAGAAGGGATTTGTTTGTTGGGATAGAAAACCAACAACGCTCTCAAAAAAAAAAAAAAAAAAACAGACAGAAACCGAAACACACAGCACCTCCAACTTTCACACTGTATTTGGTATTTTAAAGGACCATCATATTCTGCCGCTCTATTATCTCAATATATTGCTAGATTTTTGAATAGGGGCCTCGAATCAATTTAATTATTTAGAGATATGGTTAAAAGGAGCTAATCGTAAAATAAAAATGATTCATGTATATTGACACTATCACTCCGCCCCCAGGTATCTCAGAGAGTTTCGTAATTCCTTTACTGCAGTATCGACATCATCAAATGCCAGCGCAGAAACTGCCCAACGAGCATGCTTCTGTGCCAGAGAGATAGATTGATCGTCAATGGAACGCGATGGCTGAGTTGAAGCACTCGGGACAGGGGCAGCCGGGGGAGAGGTAGGAGTAAATGAAGGAATCCCAGCAGCTGCTGGTGGCGGGATAAAAGCACTCGCAGTTGGTGTATCATAGAATGAGGCAGGATTAGGAGTTGTAACTGATGGGCTAGCAGGCGGAGGGAAGGACTGAAAGGTGTCAGAAGGGGGCAGAGAGTGAGTAGAGCGAGTGTTGGGTTGTCCAGGGGCATCTGGCAATGTTGGAACTGTAGATCCACCTATGGTGCCGGGAGTTGAAGGAAGCTCGAGGTCCCCAGGCTGTGGCAGGTCGATGTCCATCTGCCGTCCAGGGGTACCAGGCGCATTTTGAGGGACAGAAGGAATCTCAAAAGGGGCACGCGGAAGCGAAGAATCTCTCGACGGATGAAGAGACTCATCGAGAGTAGATTGATGAGCCATATGGTGTCCAAGTCGATCAGCCTCATCGGGAATCTCCTCCACAGATGCCTGTCGGGGCTTTGATGCCTGCTCTGCCACTGATTCATCGAATGCTTGAACATCTGAATCACCAACTGGGACTTCTTCCTCCTCCTTTGGTGCAGGGTTGGAATCATTGGGGTCTTCTCCAGCTTTGATTGCCTTGACAATTCGAACTGCATGATATTTGGCAAACTTGATTCTTCCTGCAATTTCAGTGTCAATATCTCCCCAGATTGCACATAGTTCAAGAAATGTGGATGCTGCTTGAAATGTGTCTGCTGTTTGCCTAGAGAAAGGAAGATGATAAGTTTATTTTGTTATAGCCTGAGGTCGAGGACTCGAGCTTACTTGGTCACTTTATTGGCAGTCATAGCAGCCTCAGCGCGGTTAAAGACTTCCAGTCCGAATTGTTCCACATATGCATTTGCCGCGACATTGTCCGTTACAGTCTCATTGTCTGGATTCTCACTTTTGAACTATTTCACAATCATCAGTTATCGGACCTAGACAGCAGGGCGGGGTATGCGACAAACCTGTTCAAGCTTGTCCACCAGGTTGGTTGTGTATAGCTTGATCTCATCACTTGAACTGTGTAGACCTCTTTCAATAATTTGGTTCACAATATGGAAATTACCTGCGTTAGTGATTGTATTAGCTCGTGCCTCCTATCGCGTCAACGCGGGGGACGACCACTCACACCAATAGGCGACTATTGGCTTCGCTGTCTCGACCTGCGCTGCCCTCAGGGCAAAGCGACCAATGTCAATCGATCGTAGCACTGCTGGAATATTACTCGCCATTGTCAATATTTGGAGGAAGTCGGTGATTTCGCGAGATAAATGACGTGGCAGGACAATGCAATCCTACCGCCTGCACTGTGGAGATAGATAGCCTTATCTAATTCTATACAGAAATACTGAGCTCTATAACTCGACAAAATCGGGAACAAGTAGCTTTTTATTACCTCTGACTACATTAGTTATCATCGGAAACCGTAGAAAATAAATTCATGATCTGTTACGGGGTTTGTAATCATGTTATTCTATGGACACATCCATTATTGGTCTTCTACCACCCAATCGCCGATCTCCACACGTTCCTCGGCCATAGCTTCAACCTCGAAATGATCTTCAACTTGCCCGCCAGGACCTCCAATGCGTTCTATCACGATCCAAGCCTGTTTATGTGACCCGTCAAAAGGGTATAAATCAAAACCGTCCACGCGAACACCTGATGCAACATCGCAATGCGTTCCATCTTCAGAAACAGCCAGTAGCTCTTTGTATGGGCCCTGGCCCCGCTCAATCGTCATCAGCACAGGTGAAGGAGCAACGAGGCGAACGCCAATCCGCGAGGCTTTACTTCTGGCAACCAGTTTGACCTGCGTGAGTCGAGACACATTTAGAGAAGCCAGCATCCGGTCTTGACCTGGTAGGAGCTTGCCGACGCGGGATTTTGTAACTAAACGGCCCGCAGATTCCGGCGCCAATTGTTGTACCACGCTTGGAATGGTGGAAGATATCCAAAGTGTGAAGCGACCAAGTTGATTTGTCGCGAAAGTTGAGCAGACGATCGTGTACACGCCCTTGTCGAGGGATCTGGTCTCGGCTAGTGCACAACCCCGACGGTAGTCACCACTATCTGCAATGATATTTCGACTTCGCACTCTTGAGATGCGCTCGCCATTGGACCAAAACAGCTTGATGTGGGTTGCCAGCTCAGAGTCATCGGTCTCAAGGAGAATCGAAAGGTCAGTCTTCTCGGAAAGTTGAAGGCGAAATTGTGGGTTGGAAGAGTATTGGGGAGATTCTGCATTGCCCCCGGCAGTCAGGGCTGTCCAGGAGCCTTTTGCTTTATTGAAGCAGAGATACTTGTCTGTTGAAGGAGCTAGTGAGACGGGGGATGTCGAGATCGCGGAGAGGGTAAAATTTTGGCTACATGATGGTAGTGATTGTTCTGATACCACAACCGTGTAGGTGGTTCTAGGAGGCATATCGAGCCTCATAAGAGTGTTCGGTGAGTCCACATAGGGACCACGATTGAGAGCCCTATCACTCAGGAAGACCCTTTTACCATCTGCCTTGAATATGTAAATGCTTATGAAGCCAAGACTCTCGCCAGAGGGCTCATGACTCTTCAGGAAATGATGATGATCTGTCTTGAAATGCTTGCCAAGTAGCAACCATACTATTCCTCCTGTCTTACTGTATACGGAGAATTGCGGGTTCTTAATGAAACATCCGTTGATGATCCGACCATTTGAGAGATCCCAGGTGAAATGAACATCCTCTCGATACTTGAACAGGCTCGGGTTCCAGTTAAGGTAAAGATTTTCGAAATGTTGCAAAACCTGTTCGCAACCCATCCAAAACATCCCTGGAGAGAGGACTGATGATTCAGTGGGCCCAGGTTGATTGATCTGTATTGTCGGCTCTGCCCCAGCCCAAGGGTTCTTCAACAGAAACTGGCGACGCCCCTGTACTTCTTTCATATCTAGAATTGCATAATCATGCTCACTCACCAGGCTTAGTCCTTCCTCTTCCCGCTCAGTTAACTTTCCCGTTCCTATGGTCAGCAACACGTCGCCCCGGGAAAATGATTGGTATAGACGGCCCCAAATCTCGTCGGAAGTCGAATCATCGTTGTGTAGGAAGACTTGCTCGGGAATCCAACTAGTCAGTACCCACAAATCTGTCCCTGAATTACTTCCCGGGAAGTCGTAGCTGCCACGCAATTTCAAATATGCCTTCTCCACCAGAGCAGGCCACAGATGATTTGGATTATCTCGGTCAACCACATGAAGCGATCGATCTGTTCTAGAGGATGGAAGTCGGTCGTCAATGACTACCTTTCGAAAACAGCCGTTGAAGTAGAAGGAAAAGATATATTTTCCCGACGAAGATATGCTTGGCTCACAACTCTTAGAGGGAAACATCGTTGGTGATGCAAGCTGTTTTATAGGTCAGCTCATGCACTGCATTACTTTCAAGTTATTTTCAGTGAACGTACATTGCCCAGACCGCGCTCAAAGCGGGATCTTATAGCGCAAAGACTAGCAACCACCGAGCAGTCTGTCAACAAGTCTTGTACAAAATCGGTGGTGCCTGCCACCGAAATAACAGGTTCAATCGCTTGTAATAATTCATGTCCATTCATTGTGCGCAAAAGCTCCGCGGGCCGTTTCCATCCTGCAAAAATTGAACCCTGGAATTCAGAAATATGCAAGTCTGGAGCATCCCTAGACTCAAGTCAGAACCCAGAATGAAACGATTGCAAAGCCTCTACATACGTGAAAGGCTGGCCGTCGCGGGTCACGAACTCCGCAGGGGTAGGTTCGCGATCCCATGGGGGGAAGATGAAACCATTGAGCTTCGACCCTTCATAGATGATAATTTCTTCCCGAGTGGTGGGTTTTCGTCTGGATGTCGGGGGTCGGACTTCCAGACTAGGAGCTTGCAGCCGGGCGACCGACTGCCAATCTTTGGCGGCCTTTATTCTCTCTCCACGGGTTAAGAGGTCTTTGCACTTCGAGTCTAGGTCTTTTTTCTCTTCGGGGGATGCCAGACACAATGCTTTCATGTATTGCTCAGCGGCATTGATGGCGGCATCGAGTGCCGCTTTCTGAGATGTCGCAGTAGCTATGTCCCCTTCGGCTCTCTAACCATTAGTTAGCAAGTGAATTTTAGAGAGATTTTGTATCAGTATACTGTACCCGTGCTTGAGAAACATGTTGCATATACCTAGATGACATTTTGCTGGGAGCTTCAGCCAAGTGGAAGAAAAGTCAAGTGGTTAAATCTCACCCCGCATAATGGGGTAGACGAATGAATGCACTAGTCACCACTTCAGAGCATCGATACTTCATGACGATGTGGGAGATGAATAAAATGATATTAAGATGAACTAATTACATACTGTAATCTAAATACCATTACATCGCTTCTTTCAAATCTTCATTATTGCCCTATGAACATCGAAGTGCTTACCTAATACCATCATGGACCTCGGCTCCCACGCGCCGAGGCCGTTTTATCTGATCTCTGATCTCCGATCTCGTGTGGACTGCTGGACCTCTTAACTTCTCATCCTATCCAATCTACTCTCAATTTACGCTTGAAATCTTCATTCTGTTCCTATGCCCCTGTTTTGCAGATTTGTTCCTACTACTTCTACATTTTCCAAGTGAATTCGGTCCAATAACAATGGCCGGGCAATCTAAGCCTGTTCGTCTCTCTCCATGGGGCAGCGCTGTTGCCGGTGCAACGGGTGCAGTTTTGGCCAATGCCATGGTCTATCCACTTGACTTGTGAGGAACAGATCTATCATTCAACATCATGGTGTCACTCACTGATACTTTGTTCCTACAGGGTCAAGACAAAATTACAAGTCCAGGTGAAGCAAACCAAAGTCACCCAGGGAGTAGAAGAAGAACCACATTATGAATCGACTTTTCATGCCATAAACAAGATCATTGAGTCTGAGGGTGTGAGTGGTCTGTATTCCGGAATAACAGGTGCTCTCCTAGGAGTCGCCTCAACCAATTTTGCATATTTCTATTGGTACAGCATCATTCGTACCTTATACATGGTCACCAAAAAGCCAACGAACACTCCCGGAACGGCTATCGAGCTCAGCCTTGGCGCTGTCTCCGGTGCTGTCGCCCAGTTATTTACAATTCCGGTTGCTGTCATCACGACCCGGCAACAGACACAACCCAAGGGCGAACGAAAGGGTTTGATAGAGACGGGTCGAGAGGTAGTTGATAGTGAGGACGGCTGGTCCGGTCTATGGCGAGGCTTGAAGGCCAGCTTGATCCTGGTAGTCAACCCGGCTATTACCTACGGCGCATACCAGCGCCTGAAGGAGGTATTCTTCCCTGGCAAGAACAGCCTTAAGCCATGGGAGGCTTTCTGTGAGTATTATTTGCACATTATTGTCATTTTATTCTCTGTTGATAAATCAATTAGTTCTGGGTGCCATGTCCAAGGCACTAGCTACAATTGCAACCCAACCTCTCATCGTCGCCAAGGTCAGTCTTCAGTCCCGCCCGCCGCCAAGTCGACAGGGCAAGCCTTTCAAGACTTTCAGTGAAGTGATGAAGTACATTATCGACAATGAAGGTGTTCTTTCACTTTTCAAAGGCATTGGGCCGCAGATTGTCAAGGGCCTTTTGGTACAGGGTCTGTTGATGATGACAAAAGAGAGGTTTGTTAATTCTCGGAACCCTCAAATCCAAAATTACTTCTAACTATCTCTTAGGATGGAACTTCTCTTCATTGTCTTCTTTGCATATCTCCGTCGGATCAAAAAAGAAAGGCTACAAAAGATTGTGCATGCTGCTGCTTCCAAGGCGAAGTCAAGCCTACCACCGACATTAAAGTAAACTGATTAGTGTTAACAACACCTTTGATTCCTATCTTCTTTGTTCCGTTTTATTTTTGGCCCGTGATGTGGTGGTACCAGTTAGACTGTTTGCGATTTTATTTCCACCTGTAGACATATTCAGTCAGTTTAAGTCCAAATGTTATTGATATCTATACTTTCTCGATTTCATTGGGAACTTAATTCCCCACTTCAGCGGTCAACGAGGCGGTAGTTTTCCTCGCGGCAGAATCTTGCTTTATATAACCGCCAACATCCCCGACTTGTGTCTTCGGCCTCTTCTTATTCGTCTATTAATAAAATAAAGGAGTGGAGCGTCATGCGATGGCCATCATGGATATCCGAATCGACCAATGGCGATAAAGATAAAATTAAGACCAATTACCAAAGCTCGAACCCCGGCCCCGCATCGCCAACAAACAAATTTGACTTAATCGATTGGACTGCTTTCACAGAAACCCGAACCCTTGTTTCAACTGTCATCCTCACAAGCGGCATACTATTTGCAATTCGTTTTCACCGTCAATATCTACGCCGGGTCAAAGATGCGCCTAGTATATCTGCCTCCTGGCTTCGACGCCGCTCGATCTTTGGCCAAGTCACCAGTGTTGGGGATGGAGATAATTTCAGAATATACCATACGCCCGGTGGAAGGCTTGCAGGATGGGGCTGGCTCCCATGGAAGAAGGTCCCTACCAATAAAAAAGACCTAAAAGATAAAACTGTTCGTTTCGCCCGCAGCTCGTTGATACCCCGCTGTCTCTCTTCTATGCTAAATTACTATGCCTCCAGATCCACATTCGTCTTGCTGGAGTAGATGCGCCTGAAATGGCTCACTTCGGTCGTCCTGAACAACCTTTTGCCCGTGAAGCTCATATTTGGCTGACCTCATATCTCATGAACAGGCGAGTTCGCGCCTCTGTCTATCGACAGGACCAATACAATCGTGTTGTAGCGAGTGTGTCAGTTCGGCGCGCGTGGGACTTTCCGCCATTTCGTCGCAGAGATGTTTCATTTGAAATGCTGAGGCTTGGCATGGCAACAGTCTACGAAGCTAAATTTGGTTCAGAGTTCGGCGGCGAGAAGATGGAAAAGAAGTATCGTCTTGCGGAATCGCGGGCCAAGCGTTGGTCTAAGGGACTGTGGAAAGATTGCCGCCGCGTTGGGTCCGATTGGGAGACACCTAGGGAATATAAGACCCGTATGGCTTCAGGTGATGTTACAGCAAAGAAGTGACGAATTTACTTGCTCGGCATTGGTAGCATTTTGGCGATTTGTTATTTTGCATATATGCATGGAATTATACTTACGACATATTACATTATTTATGAGAGCCCTGTCCGAAATGTATGAATATTTTATACAATCAAGGACGACTATATATATGTTAAATCTGAGAGGTGAATGATAAAGAAATACTGAAAAGGCTATAGACAACCCTTCTCTTTGAAGCAGGTCTATTTGAATCGCCACTAAGAATATGCTTGCATATAGGAATCGATCTATTTACCTCTCAGCAAAATCGTCGCTCAAACTCCGCGAATAGCTGAGGTGTAATCTCGTCGCTGCTGTTTCCATTCACACGCCACAGGCAGCCAACGCGATCATAATGCTCCAGCAGAGCCTTGCTGGTCTCATCGAACTTACTCAATCGCTGCTTCCAGGTATCGATGGAGTCGTCTTGTCGCTGTGTCAATGGCTCGCCCGTGACGTCGTCCTTGCCGGGAACTTTTGGCGGTTGGAAGTCTGTATTATACACGCGTCCTGATGGCTCATGGACCCAGCGAGATGCGATACGCTTGAGAATAACTGATGGGGGGGTATTGAGGTGAACGACGAAGTTGACGGGGACTAAAGTGTCGAGGCTCGTGGCTTGAGAGGCGGTACGAGGGAACCCGTCTAGGATGAAGGATGCAGAGGATGATAATGTTGAGGATGAGTTGGAGGATAGTGGTAAAGATTCGGTCTTTTCTGAGGAAAGCAGCCAGCCCCTGGAATTTAATTCGGAGGAGATCAAGCTGAGGATCATCGAGTCCGGGACAAGATTGCCAGACTGCATTGCGGTCTGGGCTTCAAGACCTGTTGTCGCGCATAAGTATCCTGGCCTCCAGATTGTATACAGGAAAGGATGGCGATGCACTCAACTTACCTAGCGGTGTCCGTCGGCGCACATTCTCTCTCAATAGATCACCGGAGCTAATCGAGGCCAACTGTGGAAACCGAGACAACAATCGCTCCGATTGTGTACCTTTGCCTACTCCGGGCGCACCAATGAGAATAATGCGAGCGGCTCTCTGAAGCTGCTTTGTAGCGCTTGACATGGTGAAGCAAATCCGCGTTGATGCTAGCAATGGAGCTAGTCGTATACAAAATTAATATAAGCTCTTGTAAGGGACTCCTGTTACTGGAAATCTGGCGGAGAACAGGATGGGAATTGTTCTTAAACCCACAAGAATGGAAAAGCAAAAGTATTTCTGGTAATACTTTTCACACACAAGTGTCGAGGTTAAATAGTAAATAAGCGCGACGGGTCTTACGCATATGCCCACCGGGGATCTGTGGGGTTTGCGGGTGGAGTTCTGTCCTCGGCTGTCGGTGCGGCTCAAATCAATGAGCCGAGGATAAAGAAATCAATCGTAAGTGGCGAAGTACTCCGTACGACTCTTAGGATTAGTTTTCTACACCGGCTTTTCTCGGATTTGTAGATAGAAGGGAATTCGTCAGCATTCACATGGCAGTCGCGGCTATACAAGCTGCCGAATTCGGTATGGCATAGTGGCCTTGTTTATGAGGCAATAATTATCACGTGTAGATAGCATTGATTGACCGCCTTACGATAGTCACGTTCGAAAGAGGCGCGTCGCGTAATTTCACTAGGTGATTAAGAGCGACGTCCATCTATCAACTTCGGCTACACGATAACTCGCAACGTGACTGCAAGCTACAAAAACACGCACCATGATTCGACAGGATGCCCATCGTATCGATCCCAAGCGTAGGCCGGCCATCGATCCAAGGAAGAGGCAGTTCGCCGCGCCAGCCTTCAAGCAGCAGGATTACCCGTACCGTCTAAATTTGTACGATACGCCGCCAACAGCCGAAATAACTCTGGAACAATTTGAGCAGTGGGCAATTGACCGTCTCAAGGGTATGCAAACCAGAAATACTATTCTATAGTCCGCTACTAACACTTCAGAAAGTCTTGGCCGAGATCGAAGCATGCTCCTACCGCAATAAGTCTCCCGCAGAGACTGCATCACATATTACTCCTCTTTTACAGAAATTCTTGCCTCTTTCTTCGAACACGTCATCTCCAAATGGAGCTGCCGATCCCCGTTTGAAACTTGAACGTCAAAAAGACCACTACTCCCACTTTATCCTACGCCTGGCCTTCTCCGCCACGGAAGACCTCCGTAGACGATTTGCACGCTCTGAGACTATGCTTTTCCGCTTTCGTTTCCAACAGGATGACTCGAGAGAGCGACGTGCGTTTATCGACAGTTTGAGTCTAGACTGGGAACCGGTTAGCGCGGAAGAGCGAAATGAGGTTGCCGAGGGACTTATGAGCTCTACGCCTGGCTTGCGGCGATTGGATGAGGAGACCTGGTTTAAAGTGGACTGGGAAACTGTCCCCGAGCTTGTTGAGCGACGAATAGTTTTTCTCAAGAAGGGCAAAGCTTATGTTCCTGGAAGAGAACAGCTGAGCATGATCATGGCAGAGTTCACAGCACGCCTAGAACGTGCTCTCGAGGTTCGTCTCACGTATATCTTGTTCTTGCAGAGAACATTGTCTAACTTGTATTTTTTTTTCAAAATAGCTCACAGCCCGAGCCCTGCCACGATTGGATGAGGATGATCGTCTGACTCCGATTTTGAACCATCTCTCTAAGAACTTCGGCAGTGCCGAGTCGGTGTACTCTGAAGGTGAAGGACATGTTGATGGAGCAGCGATCACAGCCGGTTCTGTCGACAATCTCTCCCAGCACTTCCCACTTTGTATGCGTAGCCTACATATGAACCTTCGCAAGAACAACCACCTGAAGCACTTCGGCCGTCTCCAATACACTCTTTTCCTGAAGGGAATCGGCCTCTCGCTGGAAGAATGTATAATCTTCTGGCGTCAGTCTTTCAAGGGAAAGACGGATGACGAGTTCAACTCCCAATACAAGTATAATATTCGCCACTCCTACGGAGATGTCGGTGGTGATGTGAACCGTCGCGGTCGAGGGTATCCACCATACTCGTGCCAGAAGATCTTAGGTGACAACAATGTCGGCATTGGCCAGACACATGGATGTCCCTACCGTCATTACGCTGTCGACAACTTGGTTGGTCTACTCCAGTCCACTGGTGTCCATGACAAGGAAATACTGCGGGGGGTGCGTGAGGATGTGGGCAAGCAAAGGTATCACATTGCCTGTAATCGTGTCTTCGAATGGTCGCACAAGACCGAGATTAAGAAGGTCAAGGAAGATGGAACATGGACACAGGCAGATCTGGATACCATTGTCCATCCCAACACCTACTTCAAGCGCAGTTACTTGCTGAAGCAGCTGGCCAAGGCTCCACAGCGGGAGTGAAGTTCTCTTCTTGGAGCGAAAATTTTTCATGATTTCATGTTGGCCGTTCATCTCGAGGCTTTTCAATTGGCGTTGTGTGTAATATTTACGTTGATTTCTATGGATACAGGTAGACTATGTTATTGAAATATAATAACTATTTCATATTCATAACTATATAATTTGCAACGAGTTTGTGACCACAGCTGATTCCTAATTTATCCGAGAGGATCAGAATGACCTCTCAAAACCAGGTGCCCAGCAACGGGCCAAATCAATCTCCGCGCGACGCGAAAACAATCTTCATCATGGAATGACAGAAGCTTGTCGAAAATGTGAATTTTTTAGACGGCGTGAATAATTAAAAAGGAACGATAGGGGGGCGGCAAGCGGAGCTATTTAAGACTTAGTACTACGGGCGGTCAGAGAGACCATTCCCGTTGCAACCTGGCCTTAGCTGCGGAACCGGAACAATCACACGTAACTCTTACAACTTGTTCGAACGTTTACCTCTACAGTTGTCGTCGCGGACATTGTTTTCTAGTATCTAGGTTATGCCCTGAATTGGCCGATTGATCTAGAAAGTTCACTGGAGTCGTCCGACAGCGAGGTTTACAACACCTTTGTATAACTTATTGCCCCTCTCACCCCTGCGGTCAACACCACGAACCATAATCCTCACCATGGATTACGAGGCGCAGAAGGATTTCTGGACCGACTTGGAGGACCGCGAAGGTGTTAGACTCAGCTGGAACACTTTCCCGAGCTCTCGCATGGTGTGTTTATCTGAAATAGGTCACCAACATTGCCTTGTTACCCACTAACCCCGGATTTAGGAAGCGTCCCGGCTTGTTGTCCCCATTGCTGCAAACTACACACCTCTCAAGGAGAAGCCGGACTCTCCATTGCTTCAATATGAGCCTGTCACCTGCAAAGCGCCATGCCGATCTGTTCTCAATCCTTACTGGTATGTATCGCCTTTTTGTCGATTCACGGAGTGAGGTTAACAATTGACCTAGCAACGTCGATCCTCGCGCAAAGATCTGGATTTGCCCCTTCTGCTTGAGCCGCAATTTGCTTCCTGCTCATTACAAAGACATCACCGAGGACACAATACCCCCCGAGCTTCACCCGAGCAACAGCACGATCGAGTACCGATTGGCACGACCCGCCCCGGCTCCCCCAATCTTTGTCTATGTCGTCGATACTTGCCAGGAGGAGGATAGTCTTCAGGCCCTTAAGGACTCGCTTATCATGAGCTTGTCCCTACTACCACCCAATGCGCTCGTTGGTCTAATCACCTATGGCACCATGGTAGGCATCAATCCTTTCGGTTGAAAGAAAGCAATTTGAAATTAACCAATAATTGCAGGCTCAAGTTCATGAGATCGGCTATGGCGAATGCGCGAAGTCCTATGTGTTTCGCGGCAACAAGGACTATACTGCCAAACAAGTCCAGGAAATGCTGGGTCTTTCCCACGTCGTGCGCCCCGGCGTCCCTCAACCACAGCAGGCCCGCAACCCTCCCCTTCCTCCCGCGGCACGATTCCTCCTACCCGTCCAGCAGGCCGAGTTCCAGATTACCAATGTTCTCGAGCAATTGCAGCGTGACCCCTGGCCCGTGGCGAACGACAAGCGACCACTTCGATGCACTGGTGTAGCACTTAGTGTTGCCGTTAGTATGCTTGAGACTGCCTTCCTGAATTCCGGTGGTCGTATCATGAACTTTGTCAGCGGCCCCGCCACGGAGGGCCCTGGTCATGTCGTTTCACCCGAGCTGAAGGAGCCTATCCGTTCGCATCACGATATTGATCGTGATAATATCAAGTACTACAAGAAGGCTGTCAAGGTATGTTCCCAATATGAGCTTGGTCTATATTTTCCGACTAACGGGTCTAGTTCTATGATGCCCTTGCCAAACGCGCCGCCAACAACGGTCACATTGTTGATATCTTCGCCGGCTGTCTAGATCAGATCGGTCTTTTGGAAATGAAGAATTTATCCAACCACACCGGCGGTCATATGCTCCTTACAGACAGCTTCACCTCATCTCAATTCAAGCAATCCTTTGTCCGGATCTTCGACAAAGATGAGGATGATAATCTTCTGATGGGATTCAATGCTTCCCTGGAGGTCCTTACGACTAAGGAACTTAAGGTTACTGGTCTTATCGGCCACGCAATTTCACTGAACAAAAAGTCTTCCTCTGTTGGTGAGACTGAATGCGGTATTGGCAATACTTGCGCATGGAAGATGTGCGGCATCGACCCAGCTTCAAGTTACGGTATTTACTTCGAGATTGCCAGCCAGGGTGGCCCCGCTGTACAGCAGCCCGGCCCTCAGCTGGCCAAGATGCAATTCTTGACATACTACCAACACTCCTCCGGGTTTTACCATCTGCGTGTGACCACCGTCGCACGACCACTCAGTGGGCCCGCAGGCGACCCTACACTAGCCCAGTCATTCGACCAAGAGGCCGCTGCTGTGCTCATGGCTCGTATTGCTGTTTTCAAGGCAGAGGTGGACGATGGCCCAGATGTCCTGCGCTGGGTGGACCGAATGCTCATCCGACTTTGCTCCCGCTTTGCCGATTACCGGAAAGACGACCCAACATCATTCCGACTGGAAAAGAACTTCACTCTTTATCCCCAGTTTATGTTCCACTTGCGACGAAGCCAGTTCTTGCAGGTGTTCAACAACTCTCCTGATGAGACTGCCTTCTACCGCCATGTTCTGAATCACGAGGATACGGGCAACTCGCTCGTCATGATCCAGCCCACTCTGGACTCATATTCATTGGAAGTCGAGGGAGGCACTCCTGTGTTGCTGGACTCCGCATCCATTCAACCCGCTCACGTCCTCCTCCTTGATACATTCTTCCACATCCTAATTTTCCACGGCGAAACTATTGCTGAATGGCGGAAAGCCGGTTACCAAGACCAAGAGGGCTATGAAAATCTCAAGGCGCTATTGGAACAGCCCAAAGAGGATGCTAGGGTTCGTTATGATCTCTTTTTCTTTACTTGTTATCACAAAGCTAACCAGCCAAATCAATTTAGGAACTCATTGCCGACCGTTTCCCTCTGCCTCGATTCATCGTTTGTGATGCCGGTGGTTCTCAAGCCCGTTTCCTTCTATCTAAGCTGAACCCGTCAACTACCCACACTAGTGGTGGATACGGCGGCGGCGTTTCATCGCAGACAATCTTCACCGATGATGTCTCGCTAAACACATTCATGGAACACCTAATGAAGTTAGTGACTGACAAACTACATTTTGACCGATGCTAACGCCTTCTGCCAGACTTGCTGTATCCGGTACCAGCTAATTTACAACGCGACAATAGCCATGAGAACAAAAGGGCGGTCTTTGACTCCTCAGGTCTTGTGTAACTTTAGCGGTAATATTTGAAATGTTTATCTTTGATTCAAGCAAAGTGTAGTGGATTGAATGGATTGATACCATTTTCCGATTTGAAGCATCCCGAGGTCACCTGAGCACTAGAAATAACCTTGGGACCTTCCAAAGTTGGAAACTACGGCGTAGATATCCAAGCACGTAAGGTACCTAAGTACCTACCGAAATATACCTAAATAAATAAGTCTTTATTATTTATATACTCCGTATGTATGTATGACTTGACGTTAGACCAACCCGGGAACCGATATACAAGAGGTTTGTTTTAACTACGATGTCTCTTAGTGAGGTAGGTGAGAGAAGGGCCCTATTTTTATTTGTTTATTTTTCGATCAAACGAATGTGAATTTTGTCATCTTTAAATTCCTCGCTCTCTACCTAGGTAAACAGATAAATACTATTTACGTAGTTAGCAATACAATTTCATTGTAAAGTGGGCCCAGAGCGGAGGTCTGGTAGTCGGTCTTGTCATGTGACCCAGCATACCCTGACCTAACGCTAAAAGACGCTCGCTTACGAACAAATGTGGATCCCTGTTAATAACTTTTCTTCGTTGAAATCTTTACTCCTTTCTTCTTCATCCCACCCCTTCGACAACCAAAGGAAGATTGACTACCTTTCGCACTCGCCATGCGTAAGTATCATCTCCTTGGTCAATTTCAAATTGGCGACTAACATTGTAATCTAGCTCCCAAGTTCGATCCCAATGAGGTGAAGATCATTCACCTGCGTGTGACTGGTGGTGAGGTCGGTGCCCAGTCCGCTCTGGCTCCCAAGATCGGTCCCCTTGGTCTGTCCCCCAAGAAGATCGGTGAAGACATTGCCAAGAACACTGGTGACTGGAAGGGTCTCCGTGTGACTGTCCGCCTCACCATCCAGAACCGTCAGGCTGCTGTCTCCGTTGTTCCATCCGCCTCTTCCCTGGTCATCCAGGCCCTTAAGGAGCCTCCCCGTGACCGCAAGAAGGAGAAGAACATCAAGCACTCCAAGTCCATTCCTATTGAGGACATCATCACCATCGCTCGCACCATGCGCTCCCGCTCCATGGCCAAGTCCCTCCAGGGCACCGTTCTCGAGATCCTCGGAACCGCCTTCTCTGTCGGTTGCCAGGTCGATGGCCGTAGCCCCAAGGACGTCAGCGATGATGTCAAGGCTGGCGAGATTGACAGTATGTTTACACTTATTCACATGTTCTAGTAGCAGATTACTAACTTGATAATAGTTCCCGAGGAATAGATTATCCTCTCGAATGGGGGAGGTGGCTGACTTTTTGTAAGATACATGCTTCTTGCGTAACAGCAGAACGTGTCGCACAATACGAATGTTGCCTCAACAAAAAAACAAAACATTTCATGAGTCATGACCTGATACCTTTTATTTTTCCCTACTGCGCTTCCGTTGCGAGAGTTCGAATTAACAATTTGATCATCTCGCACTTTGGTTCCTTGTATTTTTTATCCAAAATTTCCTTGTTCTTCTATGATCCTCCCGTTTCATACCTTCATTGGCGATGAGGATACAGGAAGTCCTACTTGCGTTTCGACGCTGAAGATTTTTCATTTCCGAACCCTTCACAACACTCTGGCCCTTACCGTTCTTTCCTTACGAGGATTGGACTTTATTCCATGTGGTTTAGGCTTATTTTAAGTGAAGGAGAGCAACTGTCCCATTACTCACCGCGGTAGCCTGTGGGATCTGGCCTTGTGTCAGGTCCCAGTGGCTACCATGGTCCATTATTTGGGTCTACATATCGAGATTCAGTATAGTCTCTGGTCTCATTGTAGGTCGTAGAGCATTTATTCTGTGTCAATATCAAGTGAAATTCCGACTTGAGATTTTTTTTTTTCCCTTTTTCCTCCTTATCTAAGCATTATGATTCTCGAATATTTCTGCCAGGTGGCTCAATGCCGGTTTATGGGACAGATCATCCCTGAAACGTTGGATCAGGTACGTATGTGGAGTAACAATGTTTCCAAGAGTTCCAAGGGTTCAGCCTTGAACCTTGAAAGTTGGTCTCATAATCTGACATCGGCTACTTACTCTAAACCTTACTATAGTACCCTCGCCACATTGACATGGGTACTTTGCAGTATGTTTACCCCTCAAGCGGATTTCTTATCCAAAGACAATGGAGACGTTCAAAGTCCTATAAGGATGACCCATACCTATACCAATCATAATCCCGAAGTCCCGACACCCCCATTGCCCCATTGCCATATGGCAAGAAGCTTGTTTGCGCCTTACAAGACACCACTCTCATCTCCCTTCACAATTCCCGAAACACCAAACACGAGCGAGACAACACGACAAACAGCGAGAACCTAGGTAACGGTTGAACATTGAACACGTCTACAGTCTTCCGACTGGAGGCAATTGGATGGATATGAATCCGGCAGATTGTAGCAGAAGTACGAGGTAGAAATCTGGGCCTCTTAGATGCCGGATCGGTCAGCACACCCGAAGGTCCGCTGCAGCTACTGGCGCGCGTTGGTCCTAGCTGCTGGGACCATGCCTTAGCTCTTAGCTCCACACGATGATCGTTGTATCCACGGGCCCACTAAGTTTCCAAGGTTCCAAGGTAGGATGAGGGAAAACTTGAATGTTTCCATACCTTTCCAATGTGAAGGCTGTCAAGATATAAGTCTTTTTTGCTTTTGAAGGGCTTATATCTAGATCAGAAGTCTCGGTACTACCTGGTACCCTACCTATGTAGTATGACCATTTCGGCAGTTTATGGCGCACGGCCCCTGGGGTACTTCCTGTGGTAGTAAGCTAGGTATAGAAAAACCCTGCCCAGGTGGAAGTGGAGGAGTCGGGGGATATCGACTGGACAGATGAGAAAGCTAACGATTTCAAACTGGAGCCAGTTCTACTCAATATCCACTGTACTACCCGATGTCTGGTGAAAGTGTATAGGTTCCAGGTTGCCGTTTGCTCAGGTGATTCCATATTCTACTACCTAGGTAGGTACCTAGCCCTAGTCTATGTCCTGTGATTAGGGAGTCTACCAAGATCCAAGTCCTGCAAGACCCTTGAGGAGAGTGCAGGATATGGCTATTTATAAAGATTCATAAATAAAAGGGAAAATAAAAGGGAGAAATAAATAAAAATATCAATAATCTAATAATCCAATAATCCAAAAAGGGAAAAAGGGAAAAAGCAGAGGCAGAATGGGCTATTTTAACCCCATAATTGGATCGGATAGGAAATGATCGTTGATATAGAGAGGCAAATAGATACATCTGATTCAGTTAATAGTTAGCAAACGCGTGGAAGAGAAGCAGAAAGCAATACACAGATGAAGTATGAAATCACACCGGGGATGACTTGCCCAAATATGGAGCCAATGATCCACTGCAGTCGAAGAGGAGAGTAAGGTGGGTCACCAGGAATGAAGGAGTAGAAAGTAAACACTAGAAGTAGGAAGTAGTTGGAAGATGAGATGAAAGGTAAGAATAATAGAGTGAGGAAGACAAAGGCCCACATCACTTACTTTCCACAATTTCCCCCACTCGGCTTGGCTGGAGGCCCCGTTTTATCCCAATTCTCTCCACTTATACATTTCTGTTTTCTTAAACTGTTTCTTATTTTTCTGTCTCTTTTTCCCCCTTCTTTTTCTCATCTTTATCTTTTTTCAGCCAAGGTTGTCTTTCATTGGTTAATACGGACAACGGCATCGACTAAATCTCTTTAACATACACCCCCCTTCTCCCTTGCTTCTCTTCCCCAGATCCTTTAAAACCACTTGGCCTTTCAACTATTACTCTATCTCTTATATTCTGTGAGAGAAAGGCTGGATGTTCTCGCCTTCCTCATCCTCTATCTTCAGTCCGGCGCAAATAGACCCATAATGCGGTGTCGAAAACGATTCAAGGAGGATGCTTGCTTAATGTCCACTTAATTCTCATCTATCCATCGCTCTTGTCTTGACTTCTTGATCAAGCCCACGATCGCTACATACCCCCTTCAGAACGGTCTTCACAAGAAGACCGCACGGTGTTCAAGGCGATATGTTCCCGACCCTCACGCCATTTCCTCCGGATCAGCCGCACCAACACTATCCCGCTCATGACGTCTTGAACCAGACTCCGTACGACTTGAATGACCCAACTTTCCTTTCTCGTAACGACCCTACCCAATCATTTCCGAATCCATCCCGATCGCGCCTTCAACTGCCACATCCCGTACAACTTCTTGACCCTCGTGGAGGCTCAACCTCGATCCCTATCAACAATGCGACTGCAGAACACGCTCTACGAAGGAAGACTCCGAATGGAACATTGGCTGCCGGTTACGATGGTACCCCTGTGGATACTACAATACAACCGGCGACAAAACACCTCCTCGTATCTCCTATCGACTCGGGCATGTATCTATCGACACAGGCAGGCCGGCCGATGGAGAACTGGCACCAGCCAACGTTCGATACTACCAGCTCAAAACACATGAACTTCCCGCCAGTGTTCAAAAACGATGGAACTAATGCTTTGGCTGCGGGAGAGGTTGTTCAAGATGTGAATGGCACCAGCTGGGTTCGCACTGTCAATTACCCTCTAGGAATGGACTCTGTCTTGAATCAGAACATCTCCATGCAGGCGCATCAGCGGGTTCTTTTCCATAATGGTGCTTATATTCCCACTGTGCTTCCTGCCACTCTACAGCCTTGCGATGGACCGACCGCTTCAGCGGGCTCTGGCCCATTTGGACCGTATTGGCCCGATGGAGCGTATATACCTTATCGCCCAGTAGCCTTTCGTGACGCGCGTTTTGAATCTCCTATCCCGGCAGCTCAGCCATTTTTCGATGCCAATCAACGGGCTTTCAACCAACCTCACATTTCACTGGACAGTCGCCTGGATACCGAGATATGGACCCAAGGGCACCCAGGTATCTCACAAACCGAATCTGGCAAGACTTATTTTCCTCCTCGTCACTCTGATCAATTACCCTTCCATACTCGCATAAATCGACTTGCTTCATCTTACTCATCTAACCCTCATATCAATGAGCCCATTTCCTGGGCAGGTCACCCATATGGGCCTGGCTTCCAACCTTCAGGGTCTTCAGTAGTAGCTAATGTGGAGTTTAAGGAGAAAATATTGTCCTGGGCCCATGGCGTATACGTTGATTTACTGGCAACTATCCACCAAGCTCGCCGCAACAGCATGTCCAATGGACCGGATGGTCAAAATCCAAGATTTTTAAAGCCCAGCATCTACCCAAAGCCACCTCGACAACCAGGTCTGGATTTCTCACACACTGCTCCCAACATGCCCCGCCACAACAGCTACCCGTCCATTGATTTACAGCGCCAAAAGGTTGGCATTTCGTCAAACATCAGGATGAACGACTCATTTGATCACCAAAGTGACGTCTACGCCAAACGCCCTACTCTAAACCAGCTTTCTCATCATCACCGAGGGTCGGATTCTCAAATTCGTACTGGCCGCATCTCTCACCCCAGATCCATCTTCAATGAAGGTTCTCCCGTCGCCAGCGCTGTGTCTGCTTTGGAAATGCTATCCCACTTGTGCATGGAAAGTCGATGGGAGTGGGTTGACGGCATTCTCCTGGGAGGCTGCTTGGCGTATGGACTGGGTGACTACCATAAAGCTATGCGGTGGTATTCTCGAATTATTGCTAGAGACTCAACGTAAGTATGAAAGACAATTTGATTTCTATTTTGCTTGCATACGGTTGATAAACTGACTAAATTCAGACATGTGGAGGCTATATCTAACCTTGCCGCAACTTTATTGGCGCTTGACCGTCGTGAGGAGGCCTTACAAAATTGGCTCCGTGCCGTCAAACTACGTCCCAGCTTCTTTGAAGCCGTGGAGCATCTGATTGGGCTTCTGTGTAGCAGTCATCGTGGCAAAGAGGCCGTCAGTATCATTGATTTCGTCCAGACTTCTCTCCGTCATCCCAAAGACGGGGATTGCTTCAAGACCGATGAGCATGCTAGTGAGCCAGAGAGTGACGCTGAGAGCAACGTGTCTGATGTGTGCATGTATGACAATGCGTCTTTTGATTATGAGGACGATTTGCGGCGGGGTCCGAACTTGAACCTCGGATCGCCTGAAGCCACTACTAAATCTGCCGGATATGCGACCAGTGGCTATTCTGTCCCGGGCTCAGACAATGGCAGGATTCTGGCCCTAGTTCATGCCAAGGGGAATATGCTATACGCTCTCGGTGAAAACACTGCCGCTGCCGCTGCATTTGAGGATGCTGTTTTGATTGCGGCTGGGAGGAGGCAGCATGGGATGCAAGGTCTCATGAAGCAGATATTTGCGGCTTTCTCCCATGCCTCTGGTAACGCATACCACTCTGGCAACTTGAACGAGAGCATCCTCTTATATCCGGATAGAGCGCTGCAGACTTCGAAACTGGTCTTCCGAGACAATGGTACGCCTCCAGGGCTTAAGTACGTGGTGGAAGGAACTCCCCGAAACGCGGCAATCTCGACCACCAGCAATTCCCTCCTTTCTCTAGCAAAGATATATCAAGATGGAATGTCAACTGTTTCCTCTGGGTCAGGGGCACCGCGATCTTCACCTGGCGTTCGGGATATTCTGGCCCTCTACTACCTTTCTTTGTCTCTGCAGCCAAGTCCGTCCACGGCAAACAACGTTGGTATTCTGCTTGCTGGCATTCAGAATAACCCACCCGCCAGAGGATTGGTACGTTCGAACGGAGAAAGCCAACATCCTGAAATTCCGGGTGTTGTACCTGGCAGTGGGATCTCGTTGGCCCTTGCGTACTACAATTACGGTCTACATCTTGACTCTCGGCACGCCCACCTGTATACCAATCTTGGTAGTCTACTCAAAGATATTGGACAACTTCAGGCCGCTATCAAGATGTACGAGCAGGCCGTTCAGTGCGATGGTAATTTCGACATCGCTCTGGCAAACCTGGCCAATGCCGTAAAAGACGCTGGCAAGGTCAACGATGCTATCACCTATTACAAGCGCGCTGTCAGAGTGAATCCGGAATTCGCCGAGGCCGTTTGTGGCCTCGCCAACGCTCTGAACTCTGTCTGCAATTGGGCCGGTCGGGGAGGCATCACGAATGGTCGTGGCTTCCGCGATCGGTGGCACGTGGACGACAATGGGATGCTTCGGGATTCTCAAAGCAATGACAGTGATGCCGGCTGGATTAAACGCGTTGTGAACATAGTTGACCGTCAACTTCGCGAAGGAGAATACTGGGGTCGCGGGCTCTTGACTGCAAATACGGCTGAACAGTTGTGTGCCCAGCTGGCTCCCGCACTGGGGACTGAGACCTTTGGCCCTAATGGCCAGATGGCCCTGACCAAAGTTCTTCAGTTATGGGCAGGAAAGAAGTGGGAAGGCTCTCGTATTGTTCGACTGGTCGAGCGTGCCAATCGATCACTTACATGGCAGTGGTACCAAGACCGCTACGTTCACAGGAAGGAGTACCCTACCTCCAAGTATCGTCGCCCCCAGCTTCCTGCCTCTCTCACCGCGCCAAATGCCCCGACAGTTCTTCCCTTCCACACCTTCACATGTCCCTTATCCGCCAAGCAGATCCGCCAAATCTCTCAGCGAAATGGCCTGCGGATATCTTGTTCGACTCTTCGGGCACCCTGGCTGCCAAGTACAGTATATCGCCCGCCAGCACCGCCAAATCCTTGTCTTCGAATTGGCTATGTGTCTTCGGATTTCAACAATCATCCTTTGGCACACCTCATGCAATCGGTCTTTGGATTGCACAACCCGAACCGGGCCATGGCCTACTGCTATGCCACCACTGGAAGCGACAAATCTATACATAGACAACAGATAGAGAAGGAAGCACCAGTCTTTCACGATGCCAGTGCATGGTCCGTTGAGCGACTGGTCCAACAGATTGTAGATGACGGTATACACATCTTAATCAATCTAAATGGCTACACTCGTGGCGCTCGCAACGAAGTCTTTGCAGCTCGTCCAGCGCCTATCCACATGTCATTCATGGGATTCGCCGGCACCCTTGGTGCAGAGTGGTGTGATTACATACTAGCGGATCAAATTTCGATTCCTCAGGAAACTCTGAGCCCCTTGCAGCGTACTTCGCGCATTGAAAATCGGGTCTTCGAAGATGATAACGGCGAGGATCTTGAAAATTGGGTCTACGGTGAGAAGATCGTGTTCACTCGTGATACTTTTTTCTGCTGCGATCACCGCCAGAGCGCCCCCGACGCGGGAGAACGACTCAATTCATGGGATGAGGAGCAACTTCACCGTTGGAGAATGAGAAAAGAACTTTTCCCCAAACTCAGTGACGATACTATTATTTTGGGCAACTTCAATCAGCTTTATAAGGTGACAATTTTTTTCCTCTCCTACTTTATGCTCTCAATAACTGACTTTTTTAGATTGAACCAACTATATTTCGAACATGGTTGCGCATTTTGGCGCACATCCCAAACGCTGTTCTCTGGCTACTGCGATTCCCCGAGACAGGTGAACAGAACCTGCGGGACATTGCCAAAGCCTGGGCGGGCGATGAAACAGCATCACGAATAATTTTCACCGACGTCGCTCCAAAGAACACACATATCGCTCGAGCAAAGGTGTTGGATTTGTTCCTTGACACGCCCGAGTGTAACGCGCACACGACGGCCACTGATGTTCTCTGGAGCGGCACTCCGCTACTCACACTTCCACGCTACAGTTACAAGATGTGCTCACGAATGGCGAGCAGCATCCTCTCGAGCGCACTACCAAGCTCCGAGGCCGGCCAACAGGCTCGAAAAGAACTGATTGCCTCATCGGACGAAGATTACGAAAACAAAGCTATCCGGCTCTGCATGGACTTGCAGTATGTACCTGGTGGCGAAGGGCGGGCCAGCGGCCGCCTAGCCGAGATGCGACAGATGTTATTTCTGCATCGATACAAGAACAAACTCTTTGACACGGCGCGCTGGGTGCACAATCTGGAAGATGCTTACGACGCGGTGTGGGCGCAATGGGTCAATGGCGAAGAAGGCGATATCTGGTTATGATGTGCACAGCGATATTATACCCCTTGAGCGTTTTGTATTCAATATTTATTGATATTATTTGATTTAACTGATGATTTATTTCTGCATTTGTGGGTTGGTTTTAAGGGGCTATGAAATTCGGTTATAGATTTTCGTCAATCGACTCCCTGGTGAGGAGATTCTTTCTGTTCTTGGCAAGGACTTTGAAGATCTAGAAGCATTATCCACACCGTTTATTATGTACCATTCACCTATTTCCCCACTTCCTATCACGCAACCTTGGAAGCGATGGAATTTCAAAGCCACGGTCGGGTTCAACGTCTTCACCGCCACAATAACCATACCATGGTACGCGAGCCTAATCGGAAACTGGCAGGAATATCCAGAAACCGGTATACCGCAATGTAAATACCAAAATTAAGAGTTTCCAGCGAATTAAGTCAAAGGTAAAAAAAAAAAAATGCTAACTCCTGAGCCTCGGAGGACTAGTAAAGTTGGCCCCACGCCCCACTGATATAAAGACCGGGAGATTAACTCGGCAGAGCCACGCGAAAGAAGGTTTACTGGGAAATATTCCAAGGTTCCATACAAACTCGTTAATATTGAATATTCGTCTTGATATGTAATTTCGACTTTGTGAATTATTTTGAGATAAAAACATCGGAAGTTGAAACATGGCCCGTTAGAGAAGTGCACGGTTGCCATGGACCAACGATCTGTCATTTTTTAGATCTATCCGACATCTGGATCCGATATCCCAAAATCCCGACAGACGGGTAGCCTATATGCACTAGGCCGTTATGGGTAAATGTTTAAGGTTTTGTCGAGGTTGAACCAATTAGTATATTGAATACAGTCCGTATTGTTGATTTTTGCGATCGATCTAGAATAGAGTTTTTGCTTTCGAGCTTGTTTTATTTTGTCCTATATCGTACCTACATCGTATTCTGCATCTTATATCTCTCTTATATTTCTTTCAGTTTTCATTTCTCACTCTTTATTCTCTATTCTTTACCGTGTAAATATGACTCATCATACGAAGACCTACCTAAGTATGATACAGACCCAAAAATGGGGCGTCAATGTACCTATTTCCATTGCAGGTAAGTTTAAACGTCGATCTCTAAAGAGTGGGATCTGGTGGAGTGAGGGTCCGTATACAGACAGACCGTTTATACGTAATACGCATTTACGTATTACAGAGCATATCGCTTTGGCAGCTCTTCCCGGGCGCCAGTGCCCGGAGTTGGCCATTGCGAATACCCTGGTCTTGTTTCTTTTTTCTTTGTTCTTGTTATATAGATTTGGGTCTGATGACGGGTATACCCTTGACACATTCCCATGAGTCTGGTTTCTTTGTTCTAAACATAAACATTTGCCTCGTGTCTATCCCTGGATAATAAAGTTCGGTCGTTTAATTTCCTTTTTGAGTCTCCTTTTTTTTTTTTTTTTGTACCTAAGTTGTCCAGATCTTTGGGATCCCCGTTCTCGATTTTTCTATTTACTCTATCAGAGTATAGTAAGGGGGAGTTCCGCTAGACATTGCCTATTATGACTTAGTTGCCTTTTCAGCTGTGGAGTGCTGAGGTAAATTACTTCTCAGATTTACCGGAGTATTACCGATTACACATTTCGAACTTTGGATGAAAATCAACGGCTTGTCCTAATAAGGCTAAAGTACTCTATATTAAACGTTTCTACCTGAGAGCGAGAGCGAGACGCTAACCTGTGGATAAAACCCTGGCCATCATTTTTCATTTTCATCTTTGTGCTTCTAAGGCTTCTTTGTGCTTTGGGCATTGATTCGACGGATATCTGTCACAGCCTATAGTTCTTTGACCGTGGTTCTCGGCGTAAGCACGAAACTAGAATCGGGAAAAAGCAATTAATACAGATTACTTCATTATCGCATCGTAGTTATTTACTCTATAACTAGACACTTCTAGTATGGACAGCTTTAATGGTGGATCTCCACGACACAAAAATGATAAAAAATAAAACGCGGATTACATCCGCCAACAACTCCCGAGCTTCTAGATACCTAGGTAGGAAATACCGAGATGGATGTCTCGTAGAAGAGGAATACCAAAATCAAGTCATAGTGAAAGTATATAGTGCCCAGGCCACGAACCACGATCTTAGTGCCGTTCGATTAATCCGATTTATGGCTCGGGCCAGGCGGGAAGGGACCGTTGGAGTCCATCTTGACTTGGACGAACTGTATTAAACTTTGGCACTGCTCTCTGTTTTTTATATATTCCGTCCTGTTTTAAGTATCTCGCACATACCTTCCTAGGTAGGCGTAGTGAATGGATCTCTAGGCGCACACTTCTCCCCGGGACGTTTTTTTGCCCCCTTGCGCACTGTTGCGCGTCCTCGTGAATGTATTATGCAAGGAGGCGCATTCCTCAATGTGAACCGTGTCCGACTGTTTTGACAGGTGAAGATTCCACAGGACTATCGTTAGAACAGTAGATAAAGGTAGAAGTTTCAAGTTGATGCTTTGAAGTATTCGATGATTGAATTTGCTTGGGTATTATGATATAGTTGCCAAACTCCCAAACCTTGAAATCAAGCCCAATTAGAGCAGGCCGAAAAAGAAGATAGATAAATGTAAAAAAAGAAAAAAAAGACCCCCATTTTTTGATGATCCAGACCGTGATGATACAAATCAAAGAGAAAAAAAGAAAAAAAAGAAACCAAGTTGTTGGCACATGTACAAAATGTTGCAGGGCTCGATATATGACTGCCCACGCGAGAAGGGGAATAAATGGCAGAGAAGAAAAGGAAATAAAGAACTATAACACAAGAAAGTGGAAGTCGTACAAGTCATTAAATCGCCTAAAACCATGTTATAAGCTTTTGGTTTCAATTCAGCAAATTGTTCAAGCCCATTCGGTTGTCACGGGCAGGCTCAGCCCTTGACTCCCAAGACTTGGACGGGTCTACCGGTTGGTGCCATGAGGCTAGTGTGGGCTGGTGCTCCATCCATCGGCCTTGCTGGGTATCTGAAATTTGCTCGAGAGATCGAGGGGGATAGCTTGGTGAGTCTTCTACCACTTGCACTTGCAAGCTTGGTCGGCGAAGCTCGTATTGTGAGCGGATGTCCACTGGCAAGGGAAGTAGCTGGGGCGAAGGGATAGTGCGGGGTGATGAGGAAATGGAGTTGTGGTCGGAAACCATGGAAGGTGGCTCGGACAAAGTAGCGTTAGAAGCTTCAGAGAATGCAGGTGATGTCAAGGGTGTTTCAATGGAACGGTTGATAGTAGGAAGAGTGTAGATGGGAGAAAGCTGGCGAGTGGTGGACATTGGTTCCCGGCGAGAGTGAGAATGTGAGAAGACTTCAGACTCGACCGGTGAAGATTCCCAGTGACGGGTGGCGAAGCGAGGGCGCGAAGGGCTTGTAATAGAGGCACGGGAGTAGGGGGCCTCTATACGGCCAGTGAAAGTCCGGGAGAGAGTAGGTGTCGAAAGACCGCGGCGCTTGCGATTCATGCTGCCATTCCACCAGTTCTTGACAGCATTGTCGCTGCGGTTGCCCAGGCGGCGGGCTATTTCCGCCCATCGTTTGCCCATCTCATTAACCATGCGTTCGATCATCAGCCCCTCATCTGCTGAGATGGGCTCGCGGTTCAAAGAAGGCTTAAGGTTCTGGTGGAATCGTTCACGGCATTGCTTAGGAGAGCGATAGTGCATGTGTTGAGAGATGCGAACCCAGTTGTTAGGGCCTTGTTCACGGACAAGTTGAAGAAGCAACTGATCTTCTTCAGGGACCCAAGGTCCACGACGGTGTGAGGGAGCCATGAAGTATGTGTATAAGTGTATGGAGGGTTGGAGAAGATGGATAGAATTTAGAAGTTGGAAATTGGAACTTGGAACTTGGAACTTGGTAGTTGAAGGTTCAATGTTCAAAATCCAGAGGTCCAGGGTTGAAAAGAAAGTTGTCAAATTTAAGCCACCAAGCAGCAGCAGCAGCGAGAATTATATCTGCACCCAGGGGGACGGATCCAAGAAAAGTGACCAGCTCCACCCGCACGCTATAAAAGAAGATCACGATCGATCTCGGAGCTGACAGTTCGGAAAAACAGGGCTGTAATAATACTGTATGAAATAGTTATAAAATGTATTAATATAATATACTAGGCTTTTACGGATTTTTCCACTTGCTCCACCTTCCCTGTTTCTCCTGATTAAAATTCTTTTTTTTTTTCATCTTCTTTTTCTTTCTTTTTCATCAAGCAATAATTATAGAGAAATCCCAAATAAAAGAAGAGTCAAAGTCATGAAGATATCTTATAAAGAATAAAAAATCCTAGAATACTCCGGGGATCGTCTCGACCCGAGAATTTGGGAATTACCGTAATGATCATAGGGGATCGACCCTTACCCCCGTTTACTGGAATTCCAAATCACTAGCGCGAAAGGAAGCTCTTATATTTTTTTTTTTTTTTTTTTCTTTTTTAAATCGCCTGAGCGCAAAGGACGGTTGTGCAGGTCCCAAAGCGCCGGTTCAGATGCGGGTAGAGAAAAAATAAAATAAAATAAAATTAATCAATAACGAACATTCATTCTGGGCCCTAGTGGAGATTTCCATATACTCCATACCGTTTCCCGGTTAGAGCTTTTAGGTAAAATTAGAGTACGAGATTAAGAAATTAATAAATTAAGAAATTAAACTTGAAATATATTAGGTAGATATAGGAATAATTAGATGTTTACTTACAAAAGCCTTAGTATCATATGTAGTAAAACATCGAAATAATAATAAAATATATAAATTTAAGGTAATAATGTCCAAGCGCTCGGCCCCAACGGAACCTTAGAAGGCCCGTTCTCTTCTTCTCTCCCAGCCCAGGGGTTATGTAGTATGTAGTATATTACTATGTACTCTGTTCTAACCAGTACTCGGTACTCCGTAGATCTTAGCCTCTCATGATCAACGTTCAGCCAGCCACAAAGCCCTGCACAACACTCTACTCGATTGCTTTCGATCTACATATAATCGGTCAGTCATTCGTCCGATCGATCAGCTGGTTCTCCTTCTCCTTCAAGGGAGGGATCATGTGGGTCTGGTGGAGCTAGGATCGTGTTGGTAAATTTTTTTGGGTTTGAAGAAGCGAATAGTATTGAGAAAATGGGAGAATATGGGGAAGGTCCCTGAATTACACACCACAGCTGGATCAAAATATTGACGCTCCCCGAACATCTCCGAACTTATAGTGGGGGGAGACAGATGGTAGATCGACGGGAGTGTTGCACGTCTTGGAGTACAGAGCTTGAAGTACATAGCACAGAGCACAGAGTATAGCACAGATAACATAAGAGTAGGTACGCTATATGCAGTGCTACACATCTAAACGTCTACAATTTGTGGAAAAGGTGCCTTGCAGCTTCATCCCTAGATCCTTGGAAGTCTGAAGGTATACAAGTATACCTACCGAGTTACCTAGGAGTAGTACCCAGGTACTTTTTGCTTTTTTTGCTCTTCCCCCTTTCTCTATTTTTATGATCCCGGACATCTGGATAGATCTCAGTGCCTCTCCACTATCACGAAGTTTTCCAATAGTTTAATAAAGAAAGAAATAGAAAGCGCATAGACCACATGGCACCTGTCACGACTTTGCTGGGACGATCCCCGGAGCACAAAGAACAAAGAAGATCACTTCTACATCAACCCCTGGTAAACAATCTATAGTGGAGATGTATTCTGGTTACTCCAATCTTCAGCTGCGAACCTACTCCATTCTTCGTACTTGTATAGTGTACCTTTTCTCTATACATAGGAAGGATCGCTTGCCGGGAATTACCCGGTTTAGTCACTAGTGTTGTGCATCTACCCTTCTCCACCCTGGTGGAAACCGTTGAAAAGAAATCCATACATCGTAAGCCACACCTTTTTTGCTTATTTATGTTCGAGCAGCCCCGCTTTCTCTCGTTTTAAGTAATACGTTATTTAATAAGTCATTTCCGCTTAACAAATATTAATATGCCCAGGTGGATGCAGTCCACCATGACGAACCTCTTCCTCGTTCTCTTATTGGCCTTGTCAAGTATTTGTCAATCAGACTAGCTTTACTACTTTGGGAAAAGATGAGCGGATCCGACAGATCAGGGAGAATGTAATCATAATTAATCTAATCCAAACACTGCGTATCTGTCGTATACACAAGCGATAGAAACTTGGAATCCTGGGATCTGAGACAAATGAGGAGGCTCAGTTCAGATCCTTCAAATCTTTTTTATATCTTTTAAACCCGTGGGCCCTCTTGAGCCCTGGAGGATTATGCGTTTGAGTTTGACATTTCAAACAGGAGACAATCTGGGTCCCAGACTAGTCTAGTAGAAAAGACCATGTGGATGAGGAAAGATCCTCGTGTGTGGAAGTGGTCCTCTCTTCCATTTAGGGATGGAAAGAACAGACAAGCAACAAAATGAAGTCCTAGGATGATGCAACTTGGACTGGGGTAACCCGAGATGTGAGCTGTCATTCCATGCTCATTCCTATCCACAGCCAATCAACATCGGTGTAAGTATTTGAGATCCATCCTTGTCCCCCTGCAGGGGTCACCGCTGATCGCGCCCGTGCACGTTGAGACCAGAATCCGGAGTACAAGGATCTCCGGCTATCTTCCCTTGAAGGAACAGTGTAGAGGAAAGACGGGTAACCAGAAAGACGGGAACAAACCAAACCACCTAGATAGTTCCTTTGGTATCTTTCTTCCTTTCAACAAAGAATAAACAAGAGCCAAGTAAAAAGGGGTAGAACCCAATATTAAGTAGAAGTGGACCGAACGGCCTCGCATCCGTTGCTTTCCTGATTGCCGGGCCTGCGTGGCGTGCAGGCCTCAGATCTATCACGTGGGTGAGTACATTTTTGAAGTGTGTGTGTAGTATGTAGTATGTATGTATGTATGTACTGTACTCGAAAAAGAAGAGAAGAATCATGATGGAACATCATAGTCCGTATGGTGAGGTAAACAAACGGATTGATTGAATCGGGGAATATAATTGGCCACGGGCTTTAGATTTCGGGGACCATAGCTTTGGTAAGCTAAGAGAGTCCCCGATCTGTGGGAAACCGTTTGGCACGGGGGGTTTTACTGGGCCATAATAAAATTGTGAAACCGTGGTCATGAACCCCTGTATCCAATACTACGGGTTATACCCGCTTACTAAATACCCCCACTCTCCTTTCCGCTTCTGGTTTATTGATCAACTCCATACTTCCAGTACTTTGTCATTCTTTAAAGGGTACCTACTGATGACTGATGACTGAATGATGACTGAGAATAAATTACATTTCACTCTGTAAGCTCAGTACAAATGACACGAGGATAAAAAACAAAACAAAAAATTCATCGCAATACGGGGTGCATACGTAGTGCTTCGTCTACTCACCAGGACAACATATGACAGGTTACTCTTGCTCAACTAGGCTTTGACAAGGATTCAACGAACCGCTTCGCTTAGACGGGTATCACCGAGCGTTGATCCCATACATTCCGTAGCGTCTGTTCGTACAGAAGATGAGGCTACTACGTACGAGGTTTACCGAGCCCGACAACAAGACCGATAATTTTATTTTTTTGTTCTTTTTTCAAAAAAAAAAAAGAAAGAGAAAAAAAGCAAACTGTCTGACAGCACGATGACTTCTGTCAGAATTATCCCAGCAAACAACAGGCCGCTCATCTAGGAACCTTTTTTGCCCATTTATGAGGTTCGACATGTCCACTTTAACCAACCATATTGACTAGCTCCTGCTGGCTTAACCCTATCTACCCGGTCCAAACTCAATCGGAGTTCCAGTTCCTGATATTTACTAGTTGATATTCTCTAACTAGCTCTCAGCTTCTTTTCCTTTTTCTACCCCAACTCTTATATCATCTTTGCATATGTACATCTGTACGAGTCTTGTGCGATCGGACCCCTTTGCGCCGTTGGGAAAATAACTTGCCTACCAGGTCAGTCCCCGCTATGTGGCTTCAAATAGACGGATGAACGGATCAAATTGTGCAGTGGAGCTATGGACTTGTGGAGTTGACACGGGAAGTGTCGCTGATCAAGTTGGTTTGATCTATACCTCTCGACTGGATATTATGTACTCCATATAGTGTATAGAATAACGGAGTACTGTCATACACCTAGGTAGTGCTCGGAGTGTTACGTTTAGGTAGCAAGAGTTTGATGACTACTCCGTATTTACCTATACCTATCAGCATTGAGCACCTCACAAGGACCTCAGTATAAAGCAAATTAACGGACTTACGTACTACGCATATACCTTAACTAGTCTGGCCTATTTCAGGCCTCGCGGAACCGCCGATGATGCAAATCCGTCGATGTCTCGTATACGGAGTACGAAGTAGTAGGTTAGGTATTAAGTTCTCATTTTTGAGAACTGTGCCTTCCTGGGGTCTGCACCGGTTACCACAAAATCGGTTCATACTAGTAACAATAGTATCGGAACTATGGGTACGTGAACTTTGCCGTCAATGTTATAATTGGGATTTACTAACTAATTAGGGCTTAGATTCATCACCTGCGTATGGAGCACAATCCCTAATTAGGTATACTCCGACGTCTGGCTAGGCCTTCCAATGCAAGTCAATTCTTTATTGCCTTGAACTTCACGTATTGTGCACGTACTGCCTCATTGGCTGTGCTCTGTTGCCGGCACGGCTATATGTAGGGCATGGACCTCCAGAGCTACATCTATCAACAGCCTAGAGCACTCCAGCTTTGGACTTCATATTGGTACGAGCTTCTCATTTATCTATAACGTGCGTCTATATTCTATTCCAACCTTGATTATAGATATTGGTCCATATTTCATAACAGGTAAGTTTTAGTTTTAGTACAATATCGACTTCTCTCGGTTCCAAGGTTTTGGTATGGACAATGTCTTCCAAGCTGAGCCGAGAAAAATACATCTGGCCTCCCAATATTGGAAAAATCCCAATCAACCGGGTACCCATGCAGGTAAGCTAAGAAGAGAATCCCCACTGATGCACGTCCAAAGGTCGTCCGATTCATCGTTGAACCTTGTTGAGTGGCGCCCACCTATTCGAGCCACACCAGTGATATCTCAGCACAGCCGAACGGCGTGCTGCCACCCCTCTCTACCTTGAGTTCACTGTCCAGTCGGGTGGTAAACCAAGCTGTAGCCAAGTGACACCGCACATGGAGCAATAAAACATCCCTGTATCTTGGGGTGGTTTCTCCAAAGAGGAACTGAGACCTAAGACCCGAGATAGGAAATGAGGGCGTTGGGGCAGTAAGGGATTAAATCGAGTGGAGAGGCGATCAGAAGATCAGTGGAGGCAAGGATTCAACCTATTGGCTTTGTCTATTTGTTCTTTCCCATTCTCTTTTAAACTTCATGATCCGCTAAGAGGCCCTTTTTTGGTTGAACCGTGCCGCTGTGGATACTTTTGGATCCTTTTCCTCTACCCCTCCTCTTTCTTATGATAAGAAAAGAATCAGACTCGATGAATCTCGGATACAAGGGTATATCCCTCATGAATCTGACTCTTTGCCCCGGTCCACACTTTTAGCGCCATGTAGACCAGCAGGAAATAGAACCCATGCAACAAGAACGAGGACAAATTGACGGCTGGCATGTCTCAAGACAGGCATGTCCCTTTGCCACACACCCCATACAGCCAACGCATGAGATCATTTTACGCACTTATCGCGATACACATGCACAAGCCCAAGACATTCTCCTGTTTTATTGGATGGTGGAATCGTAACGCTGCTGGCTGATTCCTTCAATTGGGCCGTTGGACTTGATCCATCATCCCGGGTTAGTCTTATGTCTGGATTGCCGTTGAGAATGGTTGGACCTCACAGGGAACCCGAGACGATTGAAAGAGTTTGTCACGGCTCGACCGTGTACTCTGGTTACGAGTACACCATTTGTCTGGTCTCAGCCAGACTGGCCGGATGAGTATGCTGGTTCGTCATAAGTCTCCTGTTGCACTGAATATCGTTCATTCCAGAGTTTGTCTTGAGGCTTGAGTCTAAAGTGGACATATCAATCTAAGACATCAGTATCCGCTTACTGCTGCATCTACCTAAATCTAGAAGCTAACTGTGGATTATTTGTATGGATTTGTTGCCGAACACTGTCAGTACTCGACATTACGTCTTGTAAAGTACTGCGTTACAACACGAGGTGGCAAGTACTGTACAGTCCTCCTGCATGCAACTCACTGGTTAGAGTTCTCACACATACTTTACATTGATATGTAAGCTGGCTGGTGATCTGGCCCGTTCTAATCGACCTCGGGCTGTGCCCGGGTTGCACGGAGCTGGCAGTTCAAATTTTCTGGCGACCACCTGGGCACTTTCCCCAAAAGGCATAATAGTCCTGGGACTGTATGCATCGCCACGTTAGGTATTCTGGGATTGATTATATTGTCATGTCTGAGTTGAGCATGGAAGAGATTTACTTCAGGTCTCAGAGTCTACCCGGGCATGTATGCCCTACCAGGAAATACACAGTGGCTGCCCAGATAGGTATCGTGCCCAAGTGGTTTTTCTCTGCCGGATTTACCACTCATTCGGAAAATTTCAAGGTTAGGGACCTGCGTGTGTTCAATCAAATCCATCAATATGCTTCTAAACCTTCCGAGGTCTGCATGATCAGGCCCGTGGATATTTGGATCAACCCAGCCGAACTCGTATACCTAGGTACCTAGGTAGTTATTTCCAAGTCCTGGACACTTCTCCACCAGCTGCATAGGTACTCCGTAGATGAAAGCCTAGGTATCCATGTATTGATTGATCACCTGGGCGATTGATGCTTCCAACCTGGGAAGGTTCCATGGCTGAAAGTAACCTTGGAAAGCTCGAGTGCTCAGGTGCTTCTCTTCACATGCCCCGTGGGTAGGCGCCTACATAATGTTCATAGTATTTGCTACCTAGGTAGAAAGGTAATCTATTGATACCTGTGAACATACGTAATTCCGGTGTCGATACCTACCAAGGTATACCTAGCTCCAGGGCTAAAACATCCCTGTATGTAATTCTCCAAGGTTTCACCTTCGGGTTGGAAGAAGAACGGTCTCTTTCAATGTTTTAAAGGCTTCACCAAGGTGTACAGACCTTTTCCAAACTTACATAGATTATGCCCAGGTGAGCACCTGGGCGGCAATGAAAAACCACCCAGGTAGAAAAGGCACCCATGGACAGGATTTATCAATTGATTTACACGTAATGATATGTATTTGGAAATGGGAGATTGGATCCATTACATGATGTTTTTATCTAGTGACCTATTTACATCCTTGGATAATAACTTAAACATCAGAAGCAACTGCAGCATGCGTCTACTTAGGTACCTAGGTAGGTACGTCCTCTAGGTATAGAATACATATCAATGGATGTATAAATGCTGCATGGGCAATGCTGTCGAATTTCATCGCTGAGATTCCGAGGCTGGCTGATGTATTTTAACACCAAGATCTAAACCAGTCAATCAATATGATAATTTAGAAGTTCGAACGGCCTTGAAGAATGGCTATGAAGAGAATTGAAAAACAAAGAAAACAGCAATCTGCGGCTGAAAGCTATTCAGACTATCCCAAGACTGATTGAAGATAGCCAGAGACCTCACGAGTCATTGAATCTTGAGGTAGATGTTGATTTACTTATTCCAATATGATTGATCTTTAGCTAGCTTTCAGTTTGCTTTGTCTTCGCCAAACGAATATAGGATCAAGAGAGTTGACAAGCAGATCATGCCCCCACACGCTAATCCCGATAAGGAAGTGCGGAAAGCTTGATGAGCACGGGTTTTCAACGTCACATTTCTTTCATCCATTCTCCATCGTCCCAACTCTCTCAATAACCCTAGAAGCTATTTTATGGCTGTATCCGCACAACCTAGTTGGGTTGACTCTACAGCTACCATCACCATGGATATGGATATCGACCTGGGCCCGGAGCCCGACTTCGAGCCCGAAATTGAGCACGTTCAAACAATCGTTAGTCCTTCTTGGTGCGCCTTTGCTATTTCGGGCTGGTATTTATTGTTATTTAATAGGACACGATCTCACAAGGAGTTGGAACTGACCCTCTTGCTGAAGAGGCAACCTTCGAAAAAGTCCACATCCGTGGTGTGGATGAGTTGACCACCGACGATATCAAGCAATTTGCGACTAGCCACTTCCAACAAGAAGTCCCTTCTCGAGTTGAATGGATTGATGACACCTCTGCCAACCTAATTTACTCCTCCGCGGACATCGGTCTTCAGGCCTTAGCGGCGTTGACGCAGGTCAATGAAGAAGATGCCTCCTCTCTCCCACCCCTGCGTCTACGATCGGCGAAATCACTATCCACCCATCCAGACTACGTCCTCCAAGTGCGATCCGCCATTAAGACAGACCGTAAGCAGGCACGCGCATATGACAAAAGCCGCTTCTACCTCATGCACCCCGAGCACGATCCTCGTGAGCGCCTACGCCAGGAACTTTCCGATAGACGACGAAGTGGCACTGGCTCAAACGAGGGCGATTACCGGCGCCGCCGTTTTGATGATAATGAATTGCGCCGTCGTCGCGATCGTGATTATGATGAAAACCTTAGCGCCAACATGTACGATGATCCGCCGGAGCGTGGTCAAGGAGAGCGTAAAGATCGTGGACCGAGGGAATTGTTCCCAACAGAGGAGACATCAGCAGGACGCCTACGCAATCGCAGCGCTTCACCTGGTAGAGACACTCTGGATGACAAGTACCGCGTCGATCCAGGCGATGATTCTCGCAGACGATTCCGTGAGCGGTCTCCGGCCCGCCGCCGAAACGAAGGCAAGGAACTTTTTTCGACTAAGCCAGATGACGGTTCCGTCCGTGAATTGTTTCCTAACAAGACTACGTCCAGCTATCTCAAAAAGGAGCTATTCCCTAGCAAAGTCAGCAACCATCGTCGCTCCGATGCAATTGATGATGATAGGAGAGATGTTTTGGCACGAAGAATTACCGCCGCACCTGTTGAGCTATTTCCCGACAACAAGCCACAGGGAGATCAAGGTGCGGCCATGCGAGGTGGAAATGGAATATCTATCAAAGGCCGAAGCTCATCCGTTCGCGAGCTATTCCCTGCTAAGTTCAACAACGCCAATGCAGGCAAGGAGCTTTTCTCCGACAAACTGGTTGGACGTGGAGGTCGCCGTCGCAAGGCTGAGGATATGTTTAGCTAGAGCTGACTCAATGAAATGCCCAGCATAATGCCTATAGAGGTCAGCGTTTTTCGTATCTTTTATTTGCGATGAGGGGAAATTTTGGCATCGAGCATGGCGTTAAAGAGGGAAGTTTTGTATCTTAATCAACATAGCAGTACTCCCTACTCCGCAGTAGTTTCCCTATTCTCTTGCGTCATGTCTAGACTGGTTGAGTGGATCTGGGTTAATGAACATAAGATCGATCATCTGTTCAAGTGGATCTAGAACGACTAAATATGCCGAGGTACATCAGAAAAATCAAGGATTTCATTCGCCATGCTTACATCCCAACGACCCACTCACGATAGCGCCGAGATGCTCTTTTCTAAAATTCCCAACGGAATCGGACATGCCGTGAAAGGTATCTCTGCTGACTTTTATTTGTAAAGTCGGCGGATTACAGGAGTGCCAGGTTAGTTAAAACCTCAAATAGCATCCAGTCTATCACCATATATACAATGGCTACTAAACCAGTGCCATTCCCCGGCTTCACGCCAATCACTGATCGGGTTTATCTTCGCAATGATGAGAGGGTCAAGCCTGTCCCAGCAGATGAGCCAACTACTATCGTGATTCTTGGCTGGGGTGATGGCATGCCAAAGCACGTTTCCAAGTACTCGGACGGCTTCCATGAACTCTTTCCATCCTCACGGATCATCGTTGTACTATCAAGTACGATGCAAGCATCAAACCAACAGCTAGAAGCTAGGGTTGAAGCTATGAAACCCGTGATTGATCTAGTCTTCCCAACTCCAACCGGCGATGGTACCGACGAGGAGAGAGTACTTTTCCATGCCATGTCCAATACTGGCGGTATCTTCCTTGCAGCAGTGGCAGTTGCATATCAGCGACGACATGGTACTGACAAGACTCTCCCGCATCCGCTTCTCGTTTGTGATTCAACTCCTGGAGGTCTGAACTTTGCGTCCCAGGTCGGTCGCTGGTCACGAGCGATGGCAGTGGGAACAGCTAAGTTCTTCCCTTGGCCCTTTATCGTCACGCACGCCCTGTGGTATACGTTCCTCTGGGCCAATTGGGCATGGGAGCGGTTACGCGGCCTTGAGCCCTCAGGAAATTGGGCCACGCGAATCTTGAATGATCACGGCATAGCCTCGACCGATTCTACCAGGCTCTATCTCTATTCGAAGGAAGATCAGATTATCTGGTGGGAAGATCTGGAGGCCAATGCCGCTGAAGTGAAGAGACTGGGCTACCCGGTTGAGATGGAGTTGTTTGAAGGCTCTCTACACGTCGGACATGGAAGAATGCACCCTGATCAATATTGGACGAAGATTTCCAATTGTTGGAAAGCGACCCAGTCTAAATGATGGATATATGAGATAGACTTAAGGATATCTACCTGGGTAGGTACATTTGTAAATAGATTTGAAACAAGCTTGGATATCTTGTATGTTGTTTATTTCTATAGTAGACCAATATTTCAGTTATCTCAAGAAACTTCTCAGGATTGGGGCCTTCGGGCTAAGCTATCAAATAGTGTAAAGAAATGAGGAACCGAAACCTCTTTCTGGTGACGCTGGGTTACCTACCTAAACACCACTGGAGGCCTATAGGTATTGAATGCATTTGGTCAATCGTGAAGGGCACCTGCAATGCAAACTGCGCCCGAATTTTCATTGCTCTTTATGAAATCGAAGGCCTTAGAGGCCGATCACTTCAAATGCATCCTCCATCGCGAGACTTCCAGGGCTATGAACCGGCTTTTTTCATCCTAATGGAGTCTACGATGGCAATTTTACTTCTATGGTGAGTAAAGTAATTGATAATTAGGTATATTTATCTATGGATCGCAGTTGATTGTACTAAGTACCTCACCGGTCATCACAATATTGGGGGTGGAATTTGACAGATTAATTAGGTAAAAGTTTCAAAAAGGTCGCAAGTGATTGATATCAGACGGAATTGAAGTTTTTGATTTCCTAATTTTAATTAATCATGAGCTCAGGAATCAAATAATTGTAGCGGAATCAGACTGCGGAGTATGGGTAATGAGGAATCATTGAGGCTTGCCGAAGTTCAAGCCTCAACGCTAGCCGCTTAATGCTCTGACAACGTCTCGCGATACATAATGTCGTCCCCCAACACAATAGATACGCTCACAAGCGCTCTGGTCGCTAGATACCTGCGAACCAACAATTATACGGAGACTTTGCAGGCCCTTATCCGAGAGGCAGAGCTTGAACCAGACGTGGGGCAATCTTCGGGCGATGACACGAACGGCTGGACTATTCAAAATCTACTAGAGGAGAAAAGAGCCTTTGACCACAGCGTGAACTTTGAACGATATGGCCAGAGCAAAGAGCCGGATAATCTTTGGAGTACTCCAGGTAAGACCTCAGACCTCTTTGGGTCACTTTCTTCACTGGTCAATTTATCTGAGCTGATACATACTTAGCACCATCTACACCAACGATTGTAGAAACACCGACATCATCAAATCTTCTCGCTGCCTCAGTAGAGGTGTGGCAGAAGCCCCAAGATGACGAGAATAGTACAGGTCAGCCGTTCATCATCTCTACGGGTGCAGACCGACGGGTTCACCTGTTGAAAACCGAAGTTGGCAACCCAGCATTTGCCTCTTTCTCTGGGCTGTCTGACTCGCCCGTACTTTCGTATGTGATCCTCCAAGGTCGATACATTCTCATGACCAACATGTCTGGGCATTTACTGCTTCAGGATGGGGCGCATGTCCTAGATACTCGCAAAGACCATATGAAATACGCTGTAAAGGTTGTGGCCTACGAAGAACAGGGTGATTCTAATTCACCGAAGAAAATCTGGCTTGCAACTGCTGGATGGGATGCAAAAATCTTAATATATCAGATCTCTATCCCCGCTGGAGAAAGTGATACGTCCTCTATTGTGATCGGAGAACCTGTTGCATGCATCAAAACAACTACCAACCCAGAGTCCCTGCTTTTTGTACGCCATATCAATTCAGACGAGCTGCTGCTGCTTGTTTCACGTCGTGATTCAACCCATATCTACTATTACCAAGTAGAATACCCGTCAAAGACTGATAACGACTCAATCCAAGGATCATCTGTACCTGAGTGTGATCTACTCGGACGTCAGAACCTGGCACCTCACTCTAACACCTGGGTTGCTTTCTCGCCGGCGTATATGGCACTGAGCCCCCATGACCGCGGGCTACTGGCGGTTGCTACTTCCACTTTACCACACCTGAAGGTGATGATTGTGCGGCTATTATTCCCAAGCAAGACTTTGGTTACCGACGCAGTTTCAGAGCCAGTGACGCAGGCTTCGCAGGCCTTAGAGGCCTTGCAGCTACACAACCGCGAGGATGCGGCCATCTTAGTACAGGCCAATACATTTGCACCACAAACCGAGTACTCCACGCCACAGGTGGCTTGGCGGCCGGACGGATCTGGAGTTTGGGTTAATGGCGATGACGGCGTTATTCGAGGTATTGAGACCAAGACGGGCAAATTGATTGCCACGCTGAAGGATGGCCATGAGCCGGGATGTAAGGTACGGACTATCTGGGCGGGATACGTCAATGTCAATGGGAATGAAGCGGAGCAAGAGGAGTGGATGATCAGTGGTGGATTTGACAAGAAATTGATCGTTTGGAAAGTATAAATAGGAAGAAATATCTTGTCATTTGAGATATCGAACTTGAACCATGATTGAATAAGAACTAAGAACGCTACTGCTTACGGGGATGTGACCGTCCATTTTCGCACCCCCTCTTACCATCGAAAGGTATGGAGGGTGACAAATGTAAAACGGAGGGCAGTTTGATCTTGGCACGTAATAGAAAAAATCCTTCAGCAAGCGCGCATGAGAGGCACGTTGCTGTACACACATATGCCGGGAAAAGGTAAGGGAGAAATATTCGAGATATTTCTCGAAAGCGAGGCGGGCCACTGCAAGCCCAAAGAGGAACTAGAGAGTAAGAATGCAGAAAAAGGACAGACGGAGAAGAAGTTGCTGTCCCGTTCAGGGATTGGTACCGCGGCGGGATATCGAATTTAAGCCTGTTGATTTCTGAATCTCAAATCTGGAACGTTCTGCCGCATAAGGAACAAGCAGAAACCAGGCCTAATCGACACAGCGGACCATTCTTTGATCATCGCACGTTATGGTATTCGGACGTTCCATTTTCCACTCCTGTTTTCCCAATTTTCAATCTCGTCCAAAATTATGCGACCTCACGCTTACCCTCCTTGCGCTCCTTCTGTTAGGGTTGTCAGTAGACTGTTGCATGTGTCATAGGGATAGTGTCGCTGATTCACGTACGAGGGCCTTCATGGTTCCGTGGAGAGCGTGACGGTGGTTACGGCGGAACTTGGGGTCAACACCGTTGAGGGAAGGGTAACGGTTGGTCTTGGGCTTCTTGATACTATATGAATGATGAATATTAGCGATTTAGTTCCTTGCTGAGATGTATTCGAGCGATGGAGAGTATTTGGCAAAAAATCCAGAGGCTACCGTTAAACTGGGCAGATACCCTCAAGAATTTATCTTGAGAGTGAGACATCACACCCGGTTCAACCGTCGGACTGAATTCCCCGATTCCATAATATTCTCCTTGCAGTAATCGATATTTCAAGTTCGAGAGATCGAGATCGGTATTGGGGAGGATACGGACCCGTTACGGTGAGCCTTCTGGCTGCGGTGGTGCTGGGACGCGTTCTTAGACTCTGTAGAGCGCGAAGAGTGTCAGTAATTGGTTAATTTCTTCATGGCGAGTGCTGATCGAGCAATTTGCGAGAGTAGAACGTACTGGCCATCTTAACGGATTTTGTTGGACGGGATGGTGAGAGTAGGAGGAGGCTGCCGAAACGGGCCTAAATGGAGAGGTCGGCTACGGGCTTTTTTTGTGTGGGATTTCGTAAGCGAGTGCACGGACTCTATCACTTCATCTCTATCACCTGCATAGTTAATTACGGATTACTTATACAGCGTGATTCCTCTATAATTTCAATTTATAGACGCAAGTTTAAACGCGAATATTTTATTCGTCAAGTCTTCCAGTGAAATTCAACCCTTAGATTTTGAATTTTGGATTTTTTTTCAATTCTTCAAGTCTTCAATTTCCTGCTCCATACTTGGTTCAATGATGCATCGACAAGTCCACACCCTCCCTGGTTAATCTTGAATAAAAATGTACGATATCTGGGCTGTCTGAGCAGCCACAATCAATTGATAGCTATATTCGGCACTCAGAACAGAGATATCGAGGATATTACTCTGTAGTATTCTAAAAAAGAGTCTACACCGCCCTAGGTCACGGGACGTGACTCCACTCAAAGCTATTTACTACTACATAGTACATGTACAAGTCTGAAGGCCCAGTTCATTTACAGGTATGACATAGTGGGTGTTATGTGATGGAAGCTTACCATGAAAGCATTAAGAGTCAATTCAAAAGCTCTATAGGAACCCAGAGCCCGCACTATACGAACCCGACTAATTCCTAGCTCATCATTTGCTATCGCACTAAGTAAGAAACTCACACATTCGGGTTTACAATTTGGAAACAGTTCCTGTAATATTAAAGAATCACCAATTGGATAGTCTTGTCTTCTTCTAACCCAATAAAATGTTCTGTCCTGCAGTCAAGGAAGCCATAAAAATTAAACAAATGGATTATGCCGGGTAGAAGATACACGTGATCTGGACACTAGGGAACAACCCGGCGTTCCGACTTCGACCTTTGCATCGCAACCTCAAGAGGGATTACCGCAAGTCTTCGCATCTCCTCTCCTCCCACCATTGTCATCATGAACTCCTTCCGCTTTGCTCGCTCCGCCATGCGGGCTACTCCTGCCATGTTCCGCGCTCCCATCCAGCGCCGCGGATACGCTGAGGCTGTCTCCGAGAACATTAAGCTGTCCCTGACCCTGCCTCACAAGGTACGCTGAAGCCCCGCTTGATTGAACATTTTGGCTCGATGGCATCTGGACTAACATCTGCTTCTTTTATAGGTCATCTACCGCTCCACTGGCGTGTTCGTCTCCTCTCCCCGTGCCATTGCGACCGCTTACACCGATCCCTGTATACTGACAAATATTTTGCGACAACAGGACCCAGGTCAACCTCCCCGCCGCCTCCGGTGAGATGGGTGTTCTCGCCAACCACGTTCCCTCCATTGAGCAGCTGCAGCCCGGTGTTGTTGAGATCATTGAGGAGGGCGGCGCCACCAAGCAGTTCTTCCGTACGTGCCAACCTTCGTGCCCTTGAAACTTTGTTGCACGGTACCGAGTCCACAATGCGGATGGATAAATGGCTAACGACTTTTTCTTGATAGTGTCCGGTGGATTTGCTGTTGTTCAGCCCGACTCTCAGCTGAGCATCAACGCCGTCGAGGGCTACGCTCTTGAGGACTTCAGCGCTGAGGTAGGCTTCGAAAAGATCGTACTCATAATATAAAATTTTAACCCGTCCAATTGTAGGCCATCCGTTCCCAGATCGCCGAGGCCCAGAAGATTGCCAGCGGCAGCGGCAGCGAGCTTGACATTGCTGAGGCCAAGATTGAGCTTGAGGTATGACCGTTCATCTGTTTCCAACCTCCAGACCATTTACTAACCACTTTATTATGAACAGGTTCTGGAGACTCTGCAGGCCCATGTCAAATAGATGTACATATACTCGCGCACTTCAATCTCTCTTGAACCTGTAGAATTATAGCAATTTTCACTTATTGCTTCAAATCGTTCCTTCCTTGGTAGTAAATTCTGGGGTCATTACATTTGGGTCGTGATTTCCGCACTTGCTGACTGTCCTCTTTTTTGTTTTTGTTTTGTGTTTTGAGTCCGCGTTCTCGCCTTCGTTTTCTCACATATTCAATTACTTACCATCAACCATGCATTCAATGAGGTATCCTCTAGGCAGGAGTGATCCTCGTGTCTCTGAAGTTGACTCGCCTATTGATTATATTCTCAGTCCGTTCTTTTCATCTGTACTTGAAATCAGTGACCTTCCAAGCCACGAGCAACGTTTCTACGAACGTGAGTTGACTCCTCTGGAGCTTGACATGAAGCGAAAAAAGCAATCGCTGTCTGCTAGCACCAGCAAGCCGTACGCAAGTGGTCGGAATCAGTTTTCCACTCTCAAATCGAATGTCGGCATGGATAAATATTTGGATGGGACCTGCGAACCCATGAATCCGCAGAACACTCCTGCAGAATTTGACAGCCCTATTCCTGGTGAAGCGTCCTACCATTCCACAGTCCACAAGCGCATCAGCTTTGCTCCACAGATGCAGCAGTTGGATATCAACTGGTTTCACGATAAACCTGAGGAAAGCTTATTGTATGACGTTGGCGAGGGGGTCAAGAGTTCCAGTATTCGGCAACGCAGTGCCTCACTGGAGTTTTCTTCTCAGACTGGATCCTCAGAAATAGATTCTTGCGACCGACGTATCTCTCCGATGATATCATTTGGTGAATTATGTGTTCAGCTCTCTCCAGCTACCTCGCCTTTCCAGTCTTCTTCACAGCAACAACTTTTGCCTTCAGTGGAGCTGGAACAAGACTATATCAGTTCCTATCAGCAAAAGAAATACAAAGAGAATTGGAGAGACGCAATTTCATGTCCCAAACAAGGCAGTCCTCTACATAGCAGCCCCGTGAAAACTACTCAGCCCCCGATGAAAGCAATGAACCGACAGCCAGACATTTGCTTCTCACCCCTTTCTAAAATCCTTGGGCAGGATGGAGGATCTTCAATGACAAGCCAGGTCACTCCACAGCCACACGTTCCCGAGTTATCAAAGGCTCTGGTGCAAATCCCTTGTACCTGCAAAGACAAATACAGGGATTACTTTGTCAATTTCGAAGTTACACTGTACCGAGTCCAGTTTGGGTCTCATCCCCGCCCCTTGGCATATTTGCAGTTCCAATCTCCAATGATCTGTAAAGAAACTCTGCAGACTTTCCCTCGAGATAGTTATGTGGGCAATCGCCCGTTAACATCTGGTGTGTTTTTGCATATTCCTCTGCCACCCTACTTGATACGGCTTCTACTCAATGTAGTCTCTGTCATGGAGAGACTGAGTCATTCCCACGAAGGTCGAGTAACTCTCAGCATTGTTACGCTTTTTTGGTCTTGGATTACCAGACTGGTCAACTATTTGCTCAGCCTGCTTGGCCTGCGGGCTCACTACGATCACGACTTCGGTGCTTTCTGGGGTTTGCTTCTTGGTGTCTGGCCAAACCCAGATCGACAAGGACCGAAGTGGTTCTAAAAGCTCCCATTACTAACTGATACATCGACTGTATGTGTATGCCTTGGAGGACACAATAATGCCTTCTATCCAACGATCACCAACTACTCGCACGCCTGTATGCCTTATGCTGGTTTGCATACTACTAGTATACATATTATACCCACGATGCTTACACCCACGACTTATGAACCATATGTGTTACGATCAGCGTTGGGGGAGTTTGGTCTCACAGCTTGTCGTTCAACTATGAACCATATTTTATGACTCAAGAAGCAGTCCCTAGTGTTGCAAGGTTATACGGTAATTCTATACGAATATAATAAGAAATTCAGAAAAATATTTAATCGTAAGACACGTAAAACCAAAGATATCCCCCCTAGTTATTGATATTTCCATCTCCATTCAAAAAAAAAAAAAAAAAAAATCATATCCATAAAAGAAAGAAATAGACAACAATCAGACATGAGACTAATCATATCTAGGTATCAACGTAGATTCAAACCGGAAACAAGCGTTTTATACAAGGTCGTAAAGCCATCCCAATATTCCAGGACAGGTGGGCAGAAAAAAAAAGGGAAAGGGACATGAAAAAGGGAAGAAAAAAAAAAAAAAGCTCAGCAAGCCGTTCAAACCTTAAGAATTTCACTCAAACTCCACACCACGCTGTTGCTGTCTATCTTGTCGGTCCCTGGCTCGCTCTGCGCGCCGGCGCCGGCGATTATTGGCGTAGGATCCACTGCCTTCGTCGCCTGTCCATGTCGGCGACGTAATGCTACTCTGGCCATATGGCATATTCGATGGAGCGAGATGAGGGGCTGGGGGCGGTGGTGGCATGTGGAGACTGCCAGATGGAGCGGCAGATGCTGCAGCCGCGGCTTGTTGCCGTTGCATCTGTTCATGCTGTCGGCGCTCTAACTCTTCCACACGACGCCAGCGATCATTGGTGCGGTCGTCGCCAGATAGAGAGCTTGCACTGTCTGAGCGACGGCGAGAGCCTCTTCGCTCTCGCCGACGTGCCTCGCGACTTGCGGCTGCTTCTTCTTCTGTCAGTCGTCGCAGGGTCACATGGCGACCGTCGTTATGCATCTTGACTTTCAATGATACGGGTGGAGACTGGACTTGCTCTTCGCGGCGACGGCTTTCTTCGCGATGGCGGCTCTCTTCTCGGTGACGACTCTCGTCACGAATGCGGCTCTCTTCGCGGCGGCTTATGCTGCTGCTGCGACGATGACTGGTCGCGGCGCCTAGGGTTGCACCTGCAGCTGCACCTATGGCCGCATCGGAAATCATCCCCGATCCATGGCGGGAGGAGGGTCTCTCACCAGACCCATTCTGGTGGGTAGGAGGGGCGGGAGGAAGATCTGAGTGGCTATTGAGCAAAGCACCTGTTGCGACAGGATCAGCCGTCAAAGTGGAGCCATATGATGGCTGGCGAGGGGGTAGTGGAGCTAAATCGGTTGGAGTGAGGTCGCTGTCAGTGTAGGAGCTGGGTCGGCGTCGTTGAGGAATGCCTGTTGAATGTGTTCGCCGCTTGCTGTTTGCTCTTTGGAGCTGCTCGTCCTCCTCCTCACGACGGCGGATTTCTGCGATTCTGCGTTTTTCAGCATCGCCCTTGCCACCGAACAGCTTCTTCAAGCCCAGGAAAGCACCTGCACCAAGTAGGCCGTTGCGCAGGCCATGGGAGGTGCGCCGGGGCTCCGGATCAGTGAGGTATGTACTGTTGTAGTAGTAGGATGAGCCAGGGCTCTGACTTCTGCTCGGCACACGACTCGGAGGACGATTAAGTGGTGTGTGATGGGTGGGTTCTGGTGGATGATCTTCCAACCGACTAATAGACTCTTCGCTGTAGCTATCATGTCGTGAATGAGCGGGCCGATAGCGTCCTGATTCAGTATCATCTTCGCGATCTCTTCGGCGATCCCACCAACTCTTTGCAAGCATACCAGCACCGGCTAGTGCCCCCAGGCCAAGAAGCTTTTTGCCCCAGCCGTCGTGATGAGAGGACCGAGACGATGCATCCGAGTATTTTTCGTCCGAAAGGGTAACACGCGACTCTTCGTACACTTGGCTTGTGCGTCTAGATCGCCGTCGAAACATTGACGCTAATGCTGCACCCAAAGTACCTGCAGCCAGGGCCCCTCCAAGGCCACCGCCGCCTGGACGCGGGTGATCTTCACTCACTTCTGATGGACCCTCATAATGGCTGAGCCGGCTTTCACTAGCCACCTGGTATCCCTCATCATCGTAAAGATACGAGAGGATAAAGAATATTACCAAATATGCGAATGCTGCGAGAGCAAATAGAATGAACAGCACTTTTGGAGAACCATAGAGTGTCAATCCCAGTGGTATCTGAACGATCCCCAGAAGAAGCAATGCTCGACCAAGCCATCGATGGATCTACATAACCAGTGAGAATTGAGGTAGGTAGATATAATCACTAAGCGACTCACCACTAGTTTCAGCGGAACGCGATGCCGCATCTTATTCCTTTCTCTCTTGTGGACCCACCAGCCCCAGAGCACTTGGAAGATAACCATGACATAGATTGCCAGGCCAATTCCATGGTGTGGATTGGTCAGGCTTCTCTTCGGGCCAACGGCAAACCAGCCTAACATGAAAACCACAGTTGATAGGAGCAGTGTGAGCACTTGAAACCACGCGTGAAGCTTGAATGCCCAGTAAGGATTCCAGCGAGAGTAGTATCGAACGATGAGGGTCGAGATAGGGACGAGGCCCAAGAAAACAATTGTACCAATAACGGCATGTGCCACAATTATGGAATGATACCCGCTCATATCCTTGAATCTGTTACCCATGCCTTGAAGAATGTTAGTGAGGATAGGCCGGTATCAAAGAGTGAAGCAACTAACCATTGTATCGCATCGTCTCAAAGTTTATGCCCATCAAATTAGGTAGCAGGAATGTGTCACGCTGCGTGTCCCATGTTCCGTCTCCCACATGAAGAGTATTTGAAGCATATGTACTGCTCCCCGCAGCAGTCAATCCTGAATCGGCCATTTTGTCCGTACTTGTCGTAGTTCCGTGAGATCTCGAAGATATGGAATGTTGGGCTTATCGAAGGAGATCTATTCAGATCTCCGGTCCGAAGAATGCACCATGCGACGGGAACGACAAGGAGTGGAATGCGGGGTGACAGGTCTGCCCTGTCGTGTCAGTCGAGTGGTTAAGGGTTTTAATATGATTACCGGATTTTTCGATCGGAATGCTTGATCACTATGGAGGTAAGTTTTGTATAAGCGAGATATCGATCAGAAGATTTGAAGAGGGGAAAGTCGTACAATTTGCCAGCGAAATCAAAATTCCCAAGTTAAGGGGGGGGGATTGGGATTGGAAAACGGTCCAGTATGTAGAGGAAGACGAGCTCGGGAACAAGGGTACAAGGATGACAACAAGCGGCTGGAGCTGGTTACCTATGTCAACTGACTACTGCTTTGGGTTTAGCGTGCAAACACATAACCGGGACAACGGGAACTGACCGCCTTTAATATGATTATGTCATCGCTCATAGTTCTCATCGATCGCATCATCGAGCCACACGCTCTGAGTCTTTCACTCTCTATCTGAGCGTAAGACTTTCTTTGCTGAAGAGAGCGTTGCCCAAATCATGGGTCCACAACTAGAATTCTTCATCCGGGCTCTGTCTCGGTAAGTAGCCCCTTGAGAGAAGACACCCGTAGACCTCTTTTGCACAAGTACTAATATAAGCAATCACAGACTTTTGGGCTGGATATAGTATGTCAATAAATCGACAGAGGTAGAACCATTCATAGAGAACCAGCTCCTGATAAGATTTGTACAGCGTGGCTTCTTGGTCCTTATCTTTTTACCCCCAGCCCATCTCCAATTTCCGACGTGGTTCAACAGCTGGTCTATCGATCGATTTCCCTACCATCAATTGCTTGGGATTTTTTTACTACACTATATACAATGCCGCTTTTCTCTATTCGCCTGTAATTCGCAGCCAGTACGCTGCCAGACACCCTCTCTCTGCCGAACCTACAGTTCGCATAAATGATCTAGCATTTGCGGTGCATGCCGTCATCCTGAGCTTGATTGTCTACTCTCAGTTTTGGCCCTGTGTGTGGGGCCTGCAGGTCTCACGATTCCAGAGACTAAGCAAGCCTATCACACTTGTGTTTGGTGGGTGCATTTTGGCCCCCCTGTTAGTCATTTGGATGGTTATGGCGTCGAGCCCCGACAAGGGGTATGACCCTTCGTCATGGGCCTGGATCGATGTGGTGAGTACAGACTCCAGAGTAGCGTGAGGCTTTCGACGCCTCTCTCGACCTTTAAAATATTCCGAATCTAATGCAGGAACCGAAACTCTGTCTAGATCTACACGTTATCGTACGCCAAACTTGTCATCACTGTGGTCAAATACATTCCGCAGGCGTGGTTGAATTACCAGAGAAAATCCACAGTGGGTTGGAGCATCGCCCAGATTCTGATGGACCTGGTAGGAGGTGTGTTGTCACTGTTGCAGCTGATTCTCGATTCAAGTTTGCAGAATGACTGGAGTGGAATAACTGGAAACCCTGTTAAGTTGCTGCTGGGCAATATCACGATCTTTTCAGACTTGATCTTTGTGGTTCAGCACTATATTCTCTACCGGGGTACACCGGAGATCGAACGCGGAGAAGGATCAGAACATTATCAGACCACCCCATTACTTAATGATGCGGAGGCGCCGAGATGAGGAGGCTGTGGTAATCGGCATCAGGGCTGAGGCGGGGTCCAAAACGGGGAAGGGGAAGTGCTTACTGCGGAGACCAGAGAACGGTTGTTAAATCTGAAATTAAGACATGAGAATTAAAAATAAAAACAAAAACAAAAAATAAAAATGCTTAATCCAGATGTTTAGCGATCAGAAGAAAGTGCCAAGTGGTATGAAGAGAAGTCTAGAAGTGGCAATGTTTGAGAGGGCGGATGTAAGGTGGAGTTAATGCAGTAATGCGGCTCATTTTCACCGCTTGGTTTTTCTAATGCTTTGACCCATCAAGTCAACATCGACCACTCATATTCTCCATAAGCACTATTTTTTTCAGATCCGACCACTCACCGTTGAGAACAGGGATTATCCACATCTGAATGCCGGCTCAAATCGTCGGTCACTGACACCGTCACGGTCGGTCACGGATTCATCGGGAACCAGACCAAAGCTGATATTCTTGATATCCCAGATGATCCAGTTATTATCACTATGACTTACTATGACTTATTATGATATCCCTAGTCCTGGGTATCCCTGCTGGTAAATATCGTCGGTTTTAGACGTTGACTTCTAATATTCTTTACCCTCTTACGGAGTAACCTTTATGCATGGCCACAATGTGGAATACTACGTTGCGTCTGGCCTTTTGTCTGGCCTTTTTATACTACAGATCTGAGTAATACGAAGACTCGTACTATACCTATATAGGTACTTGACCCATTGATCTATGATCATATGGTATTATCTAAGGCTTCAATATGAAATGTCAAATGTCTCCGTAGTATTGTGGATCTAAGAAAGTACTTCTATTGTACCGAACTACTGTGTAATACGCGTGGCTTCATGAATGCCAGTGGATCCCGCACTATGGCCCAGTAATCTGGGCCTGCATACCATAACCTGCCAAGATAGGTTAGACGCAGCGAAGTATACGGAGTAGCCACAACTTGCTTTTTACGAAAGGGCCAAGGTACTTTGGGCTCTAGCCTTTACTGGGAGCCTATCAACATCAACATTGTTTAAGCCCCTCGGTATACCATCAGTTTGAAGGCCCGAAGCCCGCGATTCAGCTCAAGTAGGGCTGACCAATTATCTAGGTGAGTAACCAAAGCTGCAGCGTCGACGATTCTTACGTCGATCGTTTTCTTTCTTTTTCTTTCTTTTTATTTTTTCTTATTTTCCCTCTAAGGCTACCAAATCATGCATCATTATGCATATCCATTCTAAGTATATTAGACCTTTGCCCGGTCTTGGCCTAGGCAATCTGATTCATTATTCATATCTTTTCTTCTGCTTTTCCCCGTACTTAATCTTCGACGTTTCCTTTTCATTCTTATATTCTACTTCCATCCTGCCTATCTCGTCTTAGTCAACGTGAACATTGAGCCAATTTGAACGCAAGATCTGCTCACCCCCCAAACGAACATCTGGAACGCCTGGTCATGAAGCACTGCCTCAATCTTTCCAATATACAGACACGAATTTCCCCAGTTTATTGATCTGCCAGTTCCTTCAGCCTTGACTCGCCTGCAAAGGTTGAGATTAAAAATTCGGTCTTACCTGGGTTAGATTAAATCGACAAGAATCTCACATCGATCTTCCAGACTTCAATCTAAGTCTCAACCCGTTGTTCAACTCATATCAGCTGATATGCGACTTTCCTACTCTTCCACATCTCTAGACCCCAGTCCCTTCATGTACTCTGGAAAGCATCCATTCGAGAACAACGATTTGCCTGGCATGTTAAATAGACGGAGTACCGGGAGATACACGGCTCCATCCTATTCTGACAATAGTCCGATGGGGCAACCGCATCTGCCGGCGGGCCTGACGGAGATCCCTGGTCGCTCATCGTCTGGGGCTCATCCAGTCACCCTTCAATCCCCAGGGTACATCCCCACCCGTGCTGAATCTGTAACACCTATGTATCTGGCCCCGGAAACCTATCTATCAGAGCGGAACTCGTCTGTCACTTGGTCTAATACCTCGATTGACCCGGTCTACTCTACTGCTACTCATACTGCTGCTTCTACAACGCCATTTATGCATCCATACTACGACTTTGGTCCCGCCCAACCCTCCATGTCTATGCCGCAGCAATTTCAAGCATCAGGATATACTCCTCAAGAGATCGATAAATGGTGCATGGACAGTGGTCTCATCAGAGGCCTCTACCAGCCCACATCTATCCCTCAATCCAGACCACTCTCATATCCAGCGGGGATACAACCCCAAAACGCAATCTACCCAGCTCTGAGCGACATTCACGACGTAGACACTCACTACGAGACATCAGAATGGCTCCCCCAACCGATCTACAACGCTGGCGTTCCCTGTTTAAGATCCACGCAATCCCAAGAATTCTACCTGTCCCCCTCATACCCCACAACCGCAACATCCACTTCATCTGTAATGAGCACCTCGCCAGCTCCAACCACCTTTTCCGACTTCGAATCTTCCTTATCTAGCGTTGGCACGCGACAGGATTCCCCCTCTTCCAACCGGACCGATCTATCCCGCTACGGTATTCCAACCGGTGACGGTGCCTGGCGATGCGCCCACCCTGGATGTACATCACAATCCCTTTTTCGCCGCGGCTGTGATCTGAGGAAGCATTTCAACCGTCACCGCAAACATCTGTTTTGTCGACATGAGAACTGCCCGCAGTCCCGACAGGGTGGTTTCTCCAGCAAGAAGGACCGCGCACGGCACGAGGCGAAGCATAATCCTGGTATTGTCTGTGACTGGGATGGCTGCGGGCGGGTCTTCAGCCGTGTCGACAATATGAAGGACCATGTGCGTCGGATCCATCGCCGTGTTAGTAGTTGATACTGTTATACTACTCTTTTTTGGTTTCTATGTTTTTGATGAATCATGGTGATACTGTTATATGATTTTTTTTTCTGTTGCTATTTCCTATGTTTGGGATTGTATACATAGCTCATGGGGGAAGGGGAAAGGGAAAGGCGAAATAAAATGGCACAAGGTTGGTGGTTAGAGTCGGAGAAACAACAGAAAACGAGATCAAGGCCGGTTCCAGGTTTCGAACGGTTCAGTTCAGGCTCCAAGGTTATGCATTTATCTTCATTTATCCTCATTTCATGTCAATTTTATTTACTTCACTTTTTTACTTCTATCCACTTTTCCAGTAGCTCTAAAAACGATATACCGTCATTATTTCAATTCAAATGCTTATTCACGTTCTCCGGCTCTTACCTTGCTTCCATTATCGCCATTAATTTCGACATGATGAGCCTATCAGAGTGTTGGGAATCTGAAACTAACATATGCAGGCGCAATCCTAGCCATCTAGAACGAAGAAAACGAAGAAAACGGGACAAAAACCTCCGAGAACGTTAATTAGCCCATCAGCCTCAATTAAAAGCATATACTTATTTTTAAATCATCTAACAGCCTTGTGAGATTCGTATTCCTTATCATAGATCCTCGTTTTAGGGCTGATGAATTCTTAGTTTGGATTGCAAGGTTGGCCACTTTGCCTCATTCGTATAGGCTTATATTTGTTCTAGGCCATTTTTTAATTGTTTCAATTGGACTGGGATCTGTATGGACCGAGTTAGCCCTGGGGTACTCTGTATCTAGGGAGTATCTATACCCGTTAACTGTAATATCTCTCCATGGCGCTTCAAGGACTCAACCTGGGTGCAATCTGCACAATTGATGGAACGGTAACATACCATTCTAGCTTGGACGTAAACCTGAGACTTGAATCTTAGTCATTTAAGGATTCCAGGTTTCAACTTCATTTGTGACATCGACCATTTCACTTATTGTTTTGACTGGTCAACTCTGGACTACTCCGTACCTAAGTAGAATATGTTTTTGACTCCCAATGCTCATATGGTGGGATTTCCCGTTGTAGCTACCACTGTTTTTGTCAAAGCATTCATGGTCAGGCTGAGTAATTTACAAACTGGGTTCATACAGTGAACTCTCCAGGGCTGCAGTCGCGTCACGTGATCGGTGAGACCTAATCAGCGTGCAGTTAGTAAAGGCAGCTATTGCTCTTTTCATCTTGTGAATGAGGATATCGTAGCTAAAAGTTGACATGTCACTTAGTAAAATCATTACACCGGAGATCCTGTGAATCCTTTCTTTTTTTTTTTTTTCCTGAACCCATATTGAGTCATTGTGTTGGTGGCAGCTCAGTCGAGATAAGTGCCTGTAGACCGCTCTATAGCTGGACAAACTGCTTGCAATTTTATGAGCTTCCTCCTTGAAAGTCTGAAGTCATCTTCACCAAGTAGACATATACGGATCTTGGTTAAATAGGACTTGAAAGGGCCAAAAATTAGAGCTTTCCCTTGAAGATATTAGTAGGCTCACACATACGATTGAGGATATCTCGGCTGTGAATCTGTTTTATTTATGATTGCATGAAATACCGCTGGACTCACTTCACTATTTCGAGATCTGCAACCCCCGTTATTTTGAGTTTTCGCCAGTAAAAAATAGATATAGATCTTAGCATGAAAACACTTTAGTTCAAAGATGTTCTTTTTGCACCTTTAGTTGCAGCTGTTCCTAATCTCAAATCGACCTCAATATATTGATTACGCGGTCAAGGTGGATGGGGAAAAAGCAGTCTCCTTGACGGATTACTGCGTCGTGCCTCTACACCCGATATCCTATGCTGCCAAATTCTACAAAACATCAGCTTCCGCCTTGAAGATTCTCTGCCCAGGTGAGGAGTTCGCGTAGTATATGGAAGACCAATACTCCTTTCGGTTGAATATGGCTCGGAAATTACCAGCGATTAAGGCGGTTGCTTCCAAGACTGGAACTTGAACTGTCGAAGACGGACTCCCGCCTCCCCGATCTACCAACTATAGGAAACCTAGTCTTGTTCACTCTTTGGTATCTACAGAAGAGCGGTGAGCTTGGACGATTGGATCCAGATGGTGGAAATCTAGTATTATGTGTCAGTCTGATACCTCATTAAAGAATTTTCCTAGGATCAAGCGCCTGAAACCTGGGGTTTTATACTCTATGCTACTTTACTCGGGACAAAGGAGACGGTAAGGGCCGAATTAGGTGTAGAGTCCTTCAACCTTATTGACCATCTGCCTCCTACGCTTGAGACTCTCCGAATTCATGGGTGTGGACATGCTGCGGACTATTCGTATCTGATCTATGAATCTGGTTTGGATGTTATGCCTAAATTGACCCCGGTAGCAGCTAGCGCATAGAAGACATGCATTTTTTCACCTAGACTTACACTAAACCTCCAAATTCCTCATGGGGTAAATGTGGATAAGATCTCGAAATTTTTTATAAGGTCCTAGACGACAGGGGAAATGCTGGTTCGTGACACAAGCATGACTTCCGAGGTTCTCATCATTGACTCCTGTATGTGTGGTATTCCAAAGCCTGGTTAGGGGGCCCCTGAAGACGGAACGTTCTCGCCTGAACGCATGAAATATCCATGGATGACAATGTAACAATGTTATTGACCGGGTTTTGTCGAGGTCACTTTTACTCGGGAGCTTCTCAGGGTAAAATCTCCTCAGTGGGCTTATGTAATTCTATATTCACTGAAGAAAAGCAGCAAGGAAAGCCGATGAGAAAGCAAAATCTCTATTTGGCCAAGTGTAAAAATTACGCAGTACGGAATCCAACAATTCATTTAGAAAATTAGCCAAAAGTATTACCATAATGAATACACTACTGTCTACTGCCTACAGGGACTCTGCATTGAGAATGCATATGCATTTAACGGTAGATCACCATAAGTACATACAAGCTAGAATGCTAGTACGCAATCAAACCGCTTCATTTCCTTAAATGGGAGGGAAATGACTTAAAACTCGCCGGCACCACCCTGCTCAATGTTCTGGCGAGCCTGGTACTTGGCCTTCTCCTTGTCGAGGAAGTCGAGGCCCTTGGACTCAACCTCGCGGTCGATGAAGGCACCAGCGAAACCGGCGAGGAGCTCCTTGGCCTTCTGGTGGGACTCGGGCTTGCCTGTGTTGGAAAGGAGGGTTAGATTGTGTTTGTGTTATTGGAGGATTTGTTGATGTTGCTTACCGTTACGCTCGCAGTGCTCCTCGTAGGCCTTGGCAGCCTCGAAGGAAGCAGCTCCGGCAATGAGCTCGTGAGCGAAGGAGGGCTCGTGCTCGCGGGGCTCGGAGGAGTTCCACTGCTGGGCAGCCTCCTCGTGATCGTTGTCTAAGCAATAGCCAAGCTTGTTAGCCGCATCTTGGCAGGGTCCGCCCGCCGGCAGGATACATATGTATGAGTTTAAGGGCATAACTTACTGTCGAACCAACCCATTGTGAAAGATTTGTGTGTAGTAAAGAGGTGAATTGGAGAGAAGTGTGTGTAAAGAAATAAGAGAAGAGGAGGGGCAGGGCCTCTATATAGTCATGTCCCGATCCACCAGCTTCCCCTTTTACGTAGGGGAGCGGGGTTAACACAGCTTGCGCCACAACAGAGCGGGTCGGACAACGAATACAAGCCAAAGCTCGTAGTAATTTGGGTTTATTGGGTCATTCCAGCCGATTCTATGGATCTTAGAGCAGGCTGTGTGTTTATCTCTCACAGCTATTTGAGCAAATCAAAACGCGCCATGTTGACAGCGTGCCCCCATCCTATATTTGCCTCCTACTAATTCAAACTATTACATCTTGCATCCGGACAAGACCGAGGGATGTGGAACAAGGGCGAACAGATGTGGAACAGAATTATGAGAAGGGACAAGTGGCTTGAATAGAAAAAGAGCGGTGTCGATAAAGATTAACAGTGAACCAGATCATGAATTCCATTCCATATAAAATTCTTCGCTACGAACTTGAAATATATCACAAGGCAAAATTCGTAATGCGTAAATATGTGCTTCACCAGCAGAGATATATAGAGTATATAGAATAGAGAGAGAGAGAGAGAGAGAGAGAGAGTGTGTGTGTGTGTGAGAGAGTGAGAGTGAGAGAAAGAGGGGCACAGTGGCGGCATTGGCTAAAACGTATCCACTGAAGTCAACCCAAATTTAGAATATTGAGCTTCAGGCATTCATTCTCCGCCGTCGTCCTCGTGTACTGCCAATAGGGCGTTGTGCAAGAACCTGTCGAAGGATTGGATCGTCTTTATCTTTATCAACATGGTGGACCCGGACATGCCTTAGAAATATTAGTATATGACATCATATTCTACGGGGATTTGCCCATACCTTTGAAGATTATCCGGCCGTGGATACTTGTGCTGTTGATCCGGGCAGAAGGGACAGACGTAACCAGGTGAGTTGTGGACAAGGCCATGTCGCATCATCTCATTCTTTCGTTTGAAGCCCTTTCCACCCAGACCACGGGGACACCCATCTACGGGACAAAAGTGTGGTCGATCTTGAGAATGCACATTGGCATGAGAACTGTCTTCGTCAATTACCATAATACTCTGGAAAGGTGGGATGGACTTACTTGAGCAGATATTGGGTTTGGAAGGGTGCTGCGTTACACCCCAGATGCGTGCATTTATAATTGCCCGAGCATATGGTCCCATTGGGATTGATTGTAGACAGATGCGAACTAAATGAACGATCTCCAGCTTGGCCAGGGCCAGTCTGCTCTGTTGGGGTTGGATAGCTGGTGGCGGGGCTCTTGACAGTCATAGGCGACATGTCATAAGGAGCTGAAGCAATAGGGGTTGTTTCGATATGGGGCATCGGCGGTGGTAGCGACGGAACCGGGACCGAAGGTTTGGACGGGATGGCACGCCATGATGCCGGTTGTGAAGCTGGCGACGGGTGAGTGGACACATCCTTGGCGCTCACGGGGGAGAAGTGTGAAAAGGGACTGATGGGGATCTGCTGCGACAAGATCCCTGGTAGTTGGCGTTCATGCGGCGAGTCATTACGTGATGTGGCCGAGCCAGGACACGAGGGATACGAGTAGGTTGAAGTGGGAGCAGGGATGGGGACCGACGAGAACTCTGGACCGAGAGCATTGAGCGCGGAGGATATAGAGGGGAGGGACTGGGTATTGCTGGTATCAGGGGAAGTCCCTGTCACTGGGGAGGGAGGAGATTGGAAAGGCTGCAGGCATGGCAGTTTGCGATTCAGGTCGGGGGTGGAGTCGTGAAATGGCGGAGAAATTCGGATTGGCTCCGCTGAGCGATTCAAGTCAGTGATAGATTGCAGGCGGGGTCGTTGTCGGGGAGGAACAAAATCCGGCTTAATCTGGATCTTCGTGGGTACGGGCAGTGGCAGCGTCGATAGGGCATTATTCGAGTCAGTTATTGTAGTTGACTGGTCGTTGGACTCCTCATCGGTCCCTTCTATCCGTGTATTTTGATGTTGACTTTGATTTTGATTTTGATTTTCCTTCTCCTTCTCCTTCTCCTTCTCCTTCAATTTCTCCTTCAATTTTTCTCTGTCCCTCTTCCTCTCCATTTCCTTCTCCTTCAACCTCTCCTCTTTTTCTCTTTCCTTGTCCTCCCGATCCTGTGGAGACCAACCCGTCAACGGAATGGCACAGGCATGTTCTGCGATTTCCGGATGGTTTGGCGCTAGAGATTTCATCAGAACCAAGTCGCCTAAGCCGGTAGGGGCCTGGGATTCGGGCTGATTAAGCTTACGGGAACCTGAAGTTCCCAGGGGAAGATGGGGAGTGCCATCGGAGGGAGGGAGAAAGGGTGGTGGAGGCTCTTCTACAGCATAATTGATCTTTTGCGCCACCATGGGTGGGGATCGATTCGCGACATCGTCCGAGTCATAGATGTCGGGCGTCATGAAGGCAACAGAAGTACATCCGGTATGAGGCTTGGAGATGGGGAATTAAATGAGAGCTGGCATCGTAGTAAGAGTAGAATAGTAGGTAACCTTGGTTCCAGCAGTTAGAATCAAATGGGCATTATTTTAGTTCCTTAATTATGAAAATAATGAAAATAATGGATAGGAGTCATGGGGACTTACCGAGTGAGGCTCGATTTTGAGATGAAAAGGATTGAAAGGAGGGTGAAGAGTTGAAATGACCTAATGGCAGGAAGAAAGTGCGGCTCTTAAAAGAAAATGACCTGTGGGTACGGAGAACGGAGTACCTGGTAAATTCCCCGCAACTTCTTCTTTTCTTTCTGACTGAGATGAGTAGTCATGGAACAAATAAAATTATATAATTGGAAATAAAAATGAAAATAGAATATTAGCAAGAATGGATTCTAACTCTTCCAAAAGTATGTAAGATCCGTAAGGATTCCCCTGGACAACGCATAAGTATTGTATTCTGTTTCCGAGTCAAAGATGGAAACACGCGGCTCGGACCGAATCAAGTACTTGGTCATTTCCTCTCTGTTTGTTGTGGTATTTTGGCTATTATTTTAGTATGATTTATACTCGACCAAGAACCTATTATTATAGGTAGAAGAAGTACGGAGAGTATAGTGTGCGTGTATTTAAGGAGTAAGTGGAGATGTAATTTCTTCACAGCCTCATTTTGCTCTTTACGTAGAGCCGCAGAAAAGCCGCATTCCCCTCTTTTTTGTCTATTTCCGACCAATCATAGTGTCTGAACCGAGTACTTTGACTTTCCTAATTAGTACTGTAAATAGACACTACACATAGAGTAAAATAGCAACTGGCGAATAATGGTGATGATGATAATGATAATATACTAATCATCTTCTTTTCTCTGACCACACATCTCGAAACACCCTCTTCGATCAACTGCATAGTGGCGCTGGAATGTGATATAGTAGTCTCTCCCGCAGGCCTGGACCACGTACTTCCTCCGAATAGAGTCAAGTGCTTACTTTGCAGCCCAACCCCGCCCTCTCTAGTCTCAGCACAATGCCCTTTCCCATTTACTTTTTTACACTAACTTATCTAACTGACAGCATAGTTCATCCCGTAGAAGTCAGATAAAAGTTAGAATATAGATGTTAGAAATATAGGACGTAACAGCCTCAAAGCCTAAAAAAGTCTAATTTCCCTATAATTTACTACCACCGCCACGTAACCTCTGCACTCGCTTCCAGGCTCCAATCGCAAATGGTTTGGCCTGTCGACCGTAATCTCCTGCTCTTTCAGAGCTCGCTTGTCGCCTTGAAAACCGAGCCAATATCCCCTGGAAGATAACAGCCCCACGGAATGCGAAGAACGCATCACCCCATAGGATATCTTCTTGCGGGTTATATCCTGACACTGCGCTGTACCAACGTATGCAATCCTCACGAGATGGTAGTCCTGGGATCTTTCCCCCATTGAACGACTCTAGCGAGTGCTCGGTCCCTTCCATGGCCCAGGGACTGCTTAGATTGCAAAAGTCCGATAACGGGTGGCCCACTGTAGCCATCTCCCAGTCTAAGATCCCAATCACCCGCGCTTCACTGCGATGGAATATCACGTTGTCTATCTTGTAATCCCCGTGCACTAACGTTCCACGGTCTCGCGGCTGCGTCGCCTGCTGAGAAAAGAACTGCACCATGGAGTCGAAATGGGGCAACTCTCCTACCGGCTCCTGGCTATCCACATCCACCACTTGCGCCTGTGCCCGAGAGATGGTGCGAAACGTCGCTATCTGTCGGTCGTAGTAACCTTGAGGTTTGCCAAACTGCTCTAGACCAACCGATGCGGGTACGATGCGGTGGAACTTGGCTAGTGTTTCCACGGCGGACTTCCAACTGGACATAGGCTATCAGTGAGGCTTTATTTTCTTTATTGTTTTTTTTCCATCACTTACAGTGCATTTCGCTCCTCCCCACTCACCCCGGGCATCGATGGATCGGTAAAGTGTCTTCCATCCAGAAACTCCATAATGTAGAAAGGAGTGCCAATCACGCTGCTGTCCTCACAAAGACAGATAACCTCCGGGACTGGAACATCAGTGGGTCCCAACGCTTTGATAATTTGATATTCACGCTCAACTCGGTGCGCCGTCTTGGAAAGCAGCTTACCCGGAGGCTTCTTACGCAGCACGACCTTCTTTCCATCGCTGGTGGATAGCTGGTAGGTAGGATTACTTTGGCCGAAGCCAAACTGCTTCACATCAAATGGAGTCTTGAGCTCTGGCACATTCTGATCAATGTATCGCTCCAAGGAGGGGATATCTATCGGTTGGCGTACGACACTGGCCATTGTGGACTCAATGTGGAGTAAGGCAGAAGCCGGTGATCACAGTGGTTAAACTTGAGAAGATAAGTAATAATTCAAAATATTAGAATCAATGAATGCAAGCAGTGAACTCCATGAATTGACAGGACAAAGGCAAGGGCAGAATGATTATGACTTATCTACTAAAGCTCTCTCCCCCAGATTTGACCTCGGCCTTGAGAACCTCGGCCCCATTTATTAAAGTCACCTGACCCATCGCGTTTTAATTGGTAACTACGCGTCGTCCCTTACGCGAAAAAGCGAAGAGACATTCACACCGACAATTCTACTGCAATTGACTCCCACATTTCAATTTCACTTTTCCTCTTTTATCCTCAATCCGGCCATGACCCAAGAGTCTACTCCTACTGAAAAGACTACCCGTGAACCACCCTCTCTACCCACCTCCCCAGAACCTAAGCGCTCAAAGACCGACGCCATGACTACCTCTACTGTCCCCGTCACCTCCATTAATCAGTCGCTGCCCCCTCTTTTGGTGAAGAAATTGGTTGACACTGCTAGTGCCCCAACAAGGGGCTCTGCTTTTGCTGCTGGATATGATCTGTACAGTGCAAAGGAGACGGTCATTCCCGCCAAGGGTAAGGCGATGGTTGATACTGGTATCGCCATTGCAGTACCCGAGGGAACCTGTACGTAGAATCAGGCTGAGAGCTCGTATAAGTAACCTTGCTAATTTGATTTGAAAGATGGTCGTGTTGCTCCTCGCAGTGGTCTGGCTTCCAAGCACTTTATTGATACCGGTGCTGGTGTCATCGATGCCGACTACCGTGGTGAGGTGAAGGTGCTTCTGTTCAACCACTCTGACGTTGACTTCCCGGGTATGATATTCTTATTAACAAGTTGAGCTCGTCACTAATTAGATTTCTCTATATAGTCAAGCAGGGTGACCGTATTGCCCAGCTGGTTCTGGAGAGGGTGAGTGGTCTTGGTCCGAATTGCTCTGCGTATACTGACTATTGCAGATCTATACTCCTGAGGTTGAAGTTGTGGAGGTGTTGGAGGAGAGTGTGCGCGGTGCTGGTGGGTTTGGCAGTACTGGCATTTAAGTAGAAGCCAAAAAATAAAAAATAAAAATAACGATAAGAGTATCCTTAGATGGCATTAACGATCACATGTGCTAACGGCAAGTGCCGCAAAATAAACAAATTTTCCCCATTGAGTAACCTCGAACTATCAATGCTTAGTATGAACCTCCATGATCTACACTAGGGAATTTGGATGCCTGGGTGTACTACCTAGGTATGAACCCGTGGACTTAACCCGTAAGTCCATAGGAACAATTACCTTCCGGCCTTCCAAGGTTGGAGTCATCCAAGCAAGATAATGGCAACTCAGACCTCGGTACAGTCCCGATGTCTGAAGAAATCACGTTGATCATTCAATAGCCTATATCCACCTGATCTAGATGAAACAGATACAGCCGTAAAGGTGATGGCTATGACCCTAATTGGCATCTGAAGTTCTCATAACTGAGAGATCTATTTTCTTGACAGCTTATGCCCTGAATTGTGAATAATGTCTCGCTTTAGCGTGTGATTGTCCCGCATAGTGAAGATCGTGAAACTCGCAGTGTTTGAGGTCCTTGCTTTAGTGGAAGAACTCTTTCCTTTTTTCACGGACTGGAAAGCTTGTCTGATAGATTTTTGGGGGCTGATAGATAATGTTTAGTGTTGTCAGCAAAAAGTCCGCAAATAAGAAGGGAAATTGGATGCTTCTAGAATAGGAGTTGAAGGATGAGATATTTGAAGATGCAGTTGATAGAGATCCACTAAAGTAAGTCACTCATAGTCTGGGTCTTTTGACCGGGTTCAAGGAAGAGCATTCATTCTATACCCCATTCAGAGTTGTGTTGAAGTGACAGGATCCACAGACACGAAAAAAGACCGATCTAGTCCATCGTGGCTTAAATCCAGGCTTACGGCCCTACTTTTCGTATCAGCGCAGGTGTGCCCTGACTTTCAAGGCTCGTACAAGATGATTTCCATTGGCTTTCCGACTCCTTCTCGGAATTCCTTTTTCTTCCCTCGTGGATGATTACGCATAGGGCTGTCCCTTTCCCTTCCTTTAGTTCTTAGTTCTTACTGTCTGCGTCTTGCCATGTTCATTCTTTAAACATTACTTTCACTCTTTCATCCCAGCCCTTGTGGCTTGTCACTCTTTACCACTGGTGTATACCGCGTAACAATGGTTTTATCCAGCCATTCCGACTGTTCCCGTTGGATGACATTTCAGTCTTTCCACATACTACACTCATTATATTCGTCTCTATACCTAATAATCCTAATCGCTATTATCTGTCTGCCGTCGGCGCTAGCTCAGCCCACAGTGGAATCTATTCCAGAATCAGAATCAGATTTACGATCGGTATTGAGCCTAGATGGAGAAATATCAAGATCAAGATCCGACTCCCACTCGAGCAGACAGCATAGCTATTCAAGGCGAGCTTCTATTGCCACAGCCAATACTTCCGACTCGGACATGCCAACCCCGTTTGATACCCTGGCTTTCAACTTCGCTAATGCAAGTTGCGCCACTTTTTTCGATAATTTCCTCGCCAACGACACCATTGCAGATTGTCATGCTGTGTCTTTACTTCTTCAGCACTCCAATTCCTTCTTTCATATCTTGAGCTCTTCCGCTGAGACCTCGCGCGTACTTGACACTACATGCTCGGAAGAGGTCTCCGAATGCTCTGCCATCATGACTTCCCTGGCACAGGAGATGCTCAGCGACGATAATTGCGGCGCGGATTTTAATTCGGGCAACGCGTACGTCAAAGCCACTTACCAGGATCTTATGGCCTATGAGCCTGTGTATCATGCCACTTGCCTGGTCAATCCCACCACCAGCAACTATTGCTTCGCCGATGCCGCGAGCAACACTACAGCACCGGGTGATTATGCAGTCTATCTCATACCGCTCGGCACGACGTTCACCTCGACCACCCTGACTTGCAATGAATGTCTACAAGCCACTATGGATATATATGCCACTTATGCAAGGGAAAATAATCAGGCTCTTGATAGTGACTATATCGATTCTGCTAAAAGGGTCAATGAGTTCTGTGGTGCCAAATTTGCCAACACCAGTGTTACGCTCGGCTCTGAATCTGTTACGGCGGGTGGGTTGATGTCTTTGCCTAGCACTCGACTTGTCGTTACTTTTATGAGCTTGACCTTGGGCTTGCTGTTGACGGGTATATTCTAGATGATCTTTTTCGTTCTTTCATGTGGTTATATATGGGTTTCTCTCTTTCTCGGGTATTTGGAGTCACGGCCATGTCTAATAATAGCAAGCGTGTCGTTTCATTCTTTCTCATTCTCATTCTCATTCTCAATCCTGTCTACCCAGTACATTCCTGGAACTAAAAATTACTTCTATATTAATTGATTTGATTCCATTTGGAACTGCAGCCCCCAACTTTGACCCATACGTAGAAAAAGTCGCATGAACTCTTCTAGTTGAAGGATTCACTGAAGCTGATTTCGGGAATAGATCAAGGTTGTCTAGCTCCACGGATACCCTATCATGCCAGAATCTTCGTGATACTTTGGAGTGTCTCATTGCTAGGTGCCCAGGTGGCGTTTAGCCGTTCGTCAGGCTGCATGTTGCGATGGGGGCCGTCTTTCATCCTTCTACCATCCTCTCAATAAGTCTTACTTAGCTGGAAACGTGGTTAGTATCCATTTTATGCTTATCTTACTCAGCACATCTCTTTGGGGCTCTATGAAGAGTTGGTCGTAAGGCTGAAGCTTATCTAGTAATGGAATAGCCTTGGAACGGAACCTTCAGGGCTTTGTAGACACGGACTACTACTACCCATGACAGGTAGAAATCACTGGGTAAGACCTTAGGACCTCCAGGGCTCGTGGTGCGCTCACTGTAATTAGATGGTAGATTATTTGAGTCAGAAAATGCTCCATGCAAGGACCTCGGGAACATCTCTATCAAAGATAAATCCGACTCCCAAATACTCCATGCACTCATGGATAAATTGCACAAGAGTTAAAATAAGCATGAAAGTAAAACTAAAAACTGAAGTATATACAGGAAAAAAAAGTGGGTAGAATTTTAGGGAATCATGTCTCGATGAAGAGTACATCATACTCTAGACGTCATTCGTTAAAATGTAGAGAGAAAGATATATACGCGAAATGACAGATAGGAATCACCAAGGGCTAACTCCTTCTTGAAAAGCTGTTCCCAAGAGCAACACCAACCAAACTTTGAGGCTCACTGCCGCCAAAACTCGTGCCGGTCGTCATGGTAGGAGAATTGGGACTTGAGCCGGGGTTTTGGGCTGCGTCTCGCTCTCGCTTCACACGGAAATAACCCAGTTTGGTGAAGCGGCTGAGGTGGGTCCAGAAGTGGCGGCCGGCTGGATGCACAGCGATTCTTTCTAGGAGATCTACCGTTGCTTCGCGCACTACCTGGTCCGGGTGGAAGAGGCCCATGCTCAGGTAGAACAGCCCCGCTTGGTTCTCTGGCGCGACTGTCAGTAGCTGGCAAATGCCTGCATAGTCTTTGATTACGTGGGAAAGTGCCAGGTAGATGGCGCCGGCGTCGGCATGGGAGAGCTTTAGCGAGCGGAGCCGGTCGTGGTGGTGGTGCAGATCGGGTCGCTGAATTGGTCGAGCAGGATAGTACATTGCTGCGATATCCTGGATGTATGAGTAGTATGACCGGGTGTTCCGCCACCCTTCAATCCGGGACACTGAAGCGGATAGTTCACGTTGTTTGGCCACTTCGTCGACCCATACGTAGCCATGTCCCCGAAGCGAGGACGGATCCGCAGCGTCGGATTGATGACCGGTAGGACTATCCGGGGACATCTCTTCTCCAGGGCCTATTATATAAAGATTTGAAGCACCGTATACGGTTTCTTCGAACGAGGCAGACACTCGTGTAAACTTGGTGATATAAGCTCGCCACTTCGCTCGGATGGCATTCTCGCCGTGGCGGTTGCTGATGCTGCGGAGGATATCTTCCATGAACAAGTTGTCTCCAGTGGGGTCTGAATTGGCATTGGAAGAGGTGTTGGTCGGTAGCAAGGCACTTTGCTGCTGGAAGAAGAGAAGCCCCTCTGTGACAGGAGCGGCCTCAATATGCGTGGAGATCTTCATGCGACCCGTAGGCAAGTCGCAGAGAACGTCCCACCATTCTGGGTGATTAGCGAAGGTGGGATTTGTTACACCAGCGATGAAACCGGGAACTTTGAGAAGATCATCGATCTTGGTGAGATCGGTATATGGGAAAGCATGTCGAGTGAATCCGCGAAGGATCCCACCAGACGCAAGAGCACAGGCTGCGAGAACAGCCTCAGCTACTTCTCCAGATGGTCGATTGTGCCCCAAGAAAACAACACGTTTCTGCGTGAGGATGGAATTCACAAGAACGATGATTGGATGTGTGAATGGCCCGCTGGTTGTCAGATGGGCATGGGGAGGGAAAGGCTGGGGTGAGGTAGCGTGAGGTCCGGCAAACGTCTGAATCAGCTTAATTAGAGAAAAGTCGCCCACAGTCTCGGGCCAAATCACTGTGGGGATCTTGACTGGAATGGGGATATCGTTGTAAACCACTTTTGACTCGAACTCATGTGTATCCCTCGGCAGAACGTATCGACTCGGTTTCTTCGGCGAAGGTGGACCTTCATCATCGATGCCCTCCTCCTCTTCCTTCTGGCGAAGCATCTGTTCAAATTTCTCGATGAACATCTCCTTCGTATTGCTGGACTGCAGAATGTGGCGCTCGAGGATCGTCATTTTTGGCATCAACGAGAGATCCATATTATTCACTGCGTCGTAAAGTGAAGCGAGCGTTTCAGGGTAGGGTGACTTGAAGTAATCTTCTAATGCCAGAAGCAGTAGTGGCTACATTCGTTAGTCCTTGTACTTCTCACCTTGTCGAGAAACCTCACCTTGTAGATATGAAGAAACGAATGCCTCGTACAGATCGCCATTGCTTTCACGACAGCTCCTCTGCAATTGATTAGCCTGATTTTCACAAAATAAAGATGGGTTCCATACCTTCTCACCGTATTATCCTGTTTCGTGTTCACCAAATTTAACACATACATGAGTGGCGGACCTTCTCCGCCCTCTTCGTCGTCACTGCTTTCAAAATCGGAGAGCTCATCTTCCTCGCTACCTCCTAGATGGGCGGCTTCTTCGTTTGCAAGGTATTTTGACTTGCGCTTTCTCTTTTTCTTTCCGCCCTCTGTTTCATCGCCGTCAGCACTGGTGTCTTTGTGAAGGAAGAATATGGTCCAATCTTGGCTCCGCACGTGTGTTTGATCCGGAAGCATCAGCTCTGCCAGCATACTCTCATCGCCGCTAATCGTCGCCGGGTACTGATGCTCCATGATGGGTCCCCGGTCAATGTGAAAGGATGCCACCAGGATATACTCCACGTGGCGCTCCGTAGAATCTAGCGGGTACTGTGACTTGCATCTTTTTTGCTTGTACCCTGCTGGATCAACCGATGCGCGCCGAATTGAGCGATGTGAGCTACTGGGAGAGCGACCTAGGATAGAAGGAGCTGGAGAAAGTCTTGGGAGGCTATTTGTCTGAGTTGACGTCGTAAGGGAGCCATTGGATGGTCGATATGGTAGGGTTGTGGTCATCTTCCTGGGATTTGAAGAGTGAAGAGGATGGTCATGGAGAATCAAAAAGCACTGTCCTCTCTGCAGGCCTGGACTTTAAGAACGGAAGGGCAATAGGCCAATCACCGTGTAGATTGAGTGGTTCAGGGGGGTGCTTAGTACAGTACTCAGGAAAAGGGTGGATCTTCATAGCGGGGGTGATAAGCGATAACACTCGATTTAATCTTCTATTATGATACAGAAAACAGAGCAATATGGTCATAGACATTGAAAGATATAGGGGGTTTAATACAGTGACCTAGATGGTCCGATTATGCAGTAAATGTGAAAATATTATGAAATCTCTCTAGCCGTCAATACAATCTATATTTGAAGAAATGACGCGCTTAAATGCACGTGCCCCGGGCCGACTTGTTGCCGGGGCATTGTTTACTCTCAACTTGATATTGATATCTTCTCTACCACATCACCATGGTACGTCTGAGATCCCAATCAAAGGTTTCACATCTAATAATATGCAGGCTAGTAATCTATCTTTCAAGCCCTCGCCCCTTTCTTTTGGGGGGCAGCGCGCATCGCCCTTCCGCCGACCGTCTACACCCAATTCCCCACCCTCCGCTCGTGGTGTTACCCCAGCAAGCCCTTCAAGCAGAGGAGGCTACACTCCCATCCAATCGCCTAGCAAGCTCAATCAATCATACACAGTAGAGGAAGGAGAATCCATCTACCCGAAACAAAGCCCGATTCCCCAGCCAAACTTCACTCGAGAGCTTCCTCCTTCTCCAACTAAAGGTGCGCAGGCACCTGGACACACGTCACCTATTCTGAGCCGATCAAACGGAATAGTTGCTGTAAATACAGATGCGGCAGGCAATCTGCCTCCTCATCAAGTGAGAGAGATTCGCGAGGCTTTTCAAGTCCTTGATCGCGACAATGATGGATTGGTCAACAAAGATGACGTCGCGGACGTATTGATGAATTTAGGTAGGTTTTTTCCCCTCAATTTTGTCAGGACAATATTAACGATATGTGCTTCAGGCCAAGATTCATCGCCCTCTACACTTGCGCGTTTCTTCCCACCCGGAACGGGACAGACTATCAACTTTCCGAATTTCTTAAACACTTTATCTCTTCTGATGTCGCCAATGTCATCTTCGCAGGAGCTGCTCAATGCGCTCGCGGCATTTGATGATGACGATAACGGCCAAGTCGATATTGCAGAGTTACGTGATGCTCTATTGCATACCCTTCCCGAGGATGGAGATGTGCCCTTAACTGAACAACAGATTGATGAGGTTCTGAGTGGATTCAAGGGACGTCGGGCTTTTGGAGATCGCTCCAAGGCTGGAACCACAAAGCGAGGCGAGACTTTCCAATACCATGAATTTGTTCGCAGTGTTGTGGGCGGAGGTGAGGCGACCGGAAGACAGGCTGGCCCAACTCACGCTTAAATTTAACATTTCGAGGTTCGAGGTTCGAGGTTGGCGTTGGCGTTTGGCCTGTTAGGCTGTTCTTTATGATGTCCTATTTTGAAATCAATGTGTTATTGTAGACAGTGCAACAATGCAAGTGAAATATATCCAATTAGAATGTGGCTTGCTATGTTTTGGCCCGCAGTTCTCTAACGGTAGAAAATCAGTGGATAATTTTTTCCCCACTCTAGAGTCCACTCACCTTGGCAACCTTTGTTTACGTTTTGTAAATGCATTCATAGAGCAAAATATGGCCAACCTACAGCCTTCTTGGGCCTTTACTGGCCCCGAGGACCCATCCTCGCCACGGACGCTGTCCAGGCTGCGCAAGATCCGATCGCATCAAGTCCTGACAACGTCAAGTGCTCTCATTGCCCAGACTCAGTCTTCTCGTCCAGGACTTCACCGAACTGACTCTGAAAGAATTCGTACCCCCAATTCTGCTGCACGAGCGCCTATCAATCGTAGAGCACGATCGAGTAGCGATGCTTCTCGCGACTCTAATCTGGCCGCGTCTCAAAGACGCCCTGCTCGGAAGACTGGGTCTGGGGTGGGGATCAAGAGATCACTTCTGGAGAACTTCTTACGAGATGGTCCGGGCGGGAACACACAGGAGGGTCTACAGGAGCTGAAATACCTCGTCTTGACGGCTAAGGTGGAGGCGGATGGTGATGGCATGGTCAGTGTTTGTATGGTTTGTTATGGTTTGTTGCTAACTTGAAATGAAACAGTCTGCGTACCGGATCTATCTGTGGCTTGTCCTCCTTAATGTCGCTCCACTACCTACAGATGATTACCTCGGTCTAGTCCACCGGGGCCGCTCTCCCGCGTACAGCAAAATCCGCAACGACACCTTTCGCACGCTGGCAACCGATCCCCTCTTTAAGCGTCGTGTGACTGAAGCAAGCCTTATCCGACTGCTCAATGCAGTGGCATGGAAATTGCACGATTCAAAACCCAAACCCCGATCCCGGCCTTCGTCCCGTAGACGGGAGATGGAAATGATGATAAACACACCTCCGAGCATTGCAGAGGAGCCTGAAGACCCACTCAATACTCATGCTGTTGCGGAGACTGCAATCTACGTACAAGGCATGAATGTGCTCTGTGCACCGTTCTTGTATGCTGCCCGCAGTGAGGTGGAAGCCTTTGCCCTCTTTCACTACTTCGTGACCAAGGAATGCCCAGGTTACATTCGAGGTGCTATGGATGGAGTGCATAAGGGTCTTCGCTTGGTTGACAGATGTCTGGAAATAGTGGAGCCTAAGCTGGCAGCCCATCTTTTCTCGAAGGGCATGCAAGCTGAGCTCTACGCTTTTCCCTCTGTGCTAACGCTATGTGCTTGTACGCCGCCATTGCCAGAGGTACTCCATCTGTGGGATTTCCTTTTTGCTTACGGACCACACTTGAACATCCTCTGCATTGTCGCGCAGCTCATTCGCCTACGGGATACTCTCCTCGAGAGCTCAAAGTGAGTTGTTCCACGTGTTAGTGAATGAGCCTTTATATACTGACAGTTTGGATTAGCCCTAACAAGATTCTTCGATCTTTGCCTCCTCTAGAGGCGGAGAAGATCATCGAAGTAACGGTCTATCTTGTCCAATTGATTCCAGATGATCTATATGCAGAGATCATCAGTCATGCGAAATAAGCTGTGGTCTTTTCTCTATAGGCGTGGAGTTTGGAGTATTCGGGCTGGTTCGGGATATTGAAACTCCTTGCAACGAGCACTGACGGAGTGGCCTGAATGGAATAATGACGTATTGAATTGCCATGAACTGATAGGACTGTTATGAACATGTGTTGGAAGATAGGAAGAGTTCAAATGTTGTATTTCAGATTGTATTTCAAATTGGGTACCTCAAATACGCCCGATTCCCGAAAATATTGACGAAATCATGAGGACTAGAGGGGCGAAACCACCTTTATTAAATCGATCAATGCTCAATGCGTAATCATAAACGTAACAGACATAATACCTATCACCGATCTCGTTCATACCTGAGCCTAGATGATATATCTCTGCACTACAGCTCAGACTTGACAGATCGCAGAGCATAAAGCTCTTGTGGCTGGCCCTGGGAGTCACAGCTAGAGAACTTCCACCAAGAGCCATACCAGGATCCGGCAATGTTGGTAAGACCCCACTTGATAGGAGCCGGCATGGGAGGCCAGTTAGCCCACGTGCCTTCTTCGTACGTACGGTCCAGGTTCAGAAGGAAGAAGGGCACGACATCTAGCACGCCGGCCTTGGACACGGTCTTCTTGCCCCATGTCTTGAATGTTAGGGCGGCTTCAGCATGTTCGGGCGTGTCAGGGACTGGGGCTTTAGGGTGGTCTGCAAAGGCGGCTATGTGAGAGATTTCACGGTGGAAGTGGTTCTCGAAGTTGTCTTTGAAGGAGTCCATGATTCGGATGAGCTCTGTAGATGAGAATTCAGATGGGGAGGGGAGAGCAGAGAGGTAAGTGTTGAACTCGGTCAAGCCGGCGATGAATGACTCTATGTATCGTTAGTATGCCTATTTAAATAGCTCATATTGAGGCTTACCATGCTCGTCTAGTGTCTCTTTCCAGAGACCCTCGTCTCCGCCGAGGAGGTCTTGGACCTTGGGGAAGAGGTTCTCTTCCTCATCATCGTGGTGGGACTTTACAAAGCGGAACCATGTCTGGGAGTATCCAATAAAGGCATCCTTGTCGGCATCTTGAACGTGGGGAGCCTGGAGGTAAACAGTGTTGAAGCCACGGAGAATGGAGTTGTGAAGTAGGGCCATATGTGTTGCACCAGTTGTGAAGAGGTCGGTCTTCTTGGTCTCATACTGGGGAGTGACAATAAGCTTGCAAGGCCCATCGGCCCACTGCTTGGTGGGAGCTGTCGAAGCCATGAGGTACGGTGAACGTTGGAATAATTTTGCAAGTAGTAGGGCCTGGATAAAAAAGACAAAACGGAAGAAGTGAGGCATCGTGGGAGGGTGTTATGGATTAATAATAGACATATCATGTGGTTCGATTGCAGCTCAAAGCTCTGGACATTGAGCTAAACTGTACTTAGCTTGTGTGGGACGATGTACTCCATAGCTGATTAAAAAGAAGCTGGTGATTGGGTACTTTGCCTCACTTAACTATGTGCCCATAGGGAATTGATTCGTGCTCGGAGTCCATACACAGTACATTCAATATCTGTAGATTTATTTACTCGGCTTGTGAAGTATAAGCTTTTACTATTGACTGCGCACTAATAACAAGGGTGAGATAAGGGATCATTGATAAAGATGATCAGAATGTTCTGTTCTCTACTCGCAGCCAACAATAACTATATCAAGCAATGAAAAAAAAAGTATGAGAATGTAAAATTACGTGGCCGACTTCGCGGGCAGCCAGGTAGTTAGGTATAACTAATCACTTTTAATCACCAATAATAACCTCATATTCCTCCTCGCTGGTGTGTTAAAGACCCATGCATATGGATGTATGAAGAAGAAAGAAACAAAGAGGAATGGAAGTGGGAAAATCTCCCTTCTTAAAGGCCGACGAGGTTGACCATCGAGGCCAACATGGCGATGACTCGGCGAAGACACCATGCGCTTGAAGTTCAAGGATGGTCATCTATATGTTGAAAGCGAATACTTGAGCTTCATCGAACCAACATTTACATCTTGGTCCCATCTCCTCCATCATTCTCTCTCAGTCCCGCTTGGTCACCGAGTCAGAAGCTTCAACTCATAAATCTGCATGTTGAAATCGAAAAACCTACCTGATTGAGACGGCCGACAGCGAACTTCCATGTTAATCACAAACACTAGCCGTATCACCACTGTACCTTACAGCCAAGGCTGGAGTGGAATATTCATTGAGGGCTAGGTTGGCTCCGGGGATAGGACTTAGGGGGTTTGGAACTCCCCTGTTCATCTACTATGTATAGATCAAAGCAGGAAGAAGCTAGTCTAATCAGTGGAAGTATTAAACTCTTCAGATAACCTTCACCATTGAGATTGAGAGCAAAGTCCCGAGGTCATCTATTTTTGCCTCTCGAGAAGAGAGCAAGGCCACATGACTCAGACTTTGTGGATGCATCAAGCCCAGAAATGAGAGCTTTGGCAAAGATCTGTTGTTCTCGATCGATCCTTCAAGTTCTGGCCACCTTGTCTAGGTGTTTATGTGTTGTTGTATGATTTTTCGGATATTTTTTGATCGTAGCGACCCAACGTTCCACTTTGTTTCCACCTGGGCATGGAACGCTGCACTGTGTAAACAGAGTAAATATATGATATATCCATGGATGTCTTGGTCTGGGTGGATCATGGTAAGCTTACACAGTAGAATTCTGGAACTAAAGATAAAGGGTAAAAAATTTCAGTGGACCTCGGGTCCCTTCAGGCATCAACACAGCCACGATATTATTAGTCCAAGTAAGGTCTAGACCAAAGACCTCCGCATTATCTGACGCATGCGATGGGTATACTTCGTAACTAACGGGGATAACCACCTTACTGGAGTATGAAAACTCGACAGCTATTCCGCTTATCCGTAATCCACAGATAACGAAAGGATCTTCAAACGTGGCGAAGACAAAAGACGAAACTCCACACGGATAAAGAGGGTGCCCAGTTGAGAGGCTGAAACGACGACACGTAGATTTAGTCCACGCTAGTGGAAGTTTCTTTACGAGACAAATTCTGTTCAGTATGAAGTAATTTCTCAAGTATATTGGTTTCATGTTAAGGTTTTGTTCTACTATAGTAGGATGACAGGAGGATGAAATGAAAGACATTAAAAATGCTGTAATCCTTTTTCAAATCCCGAGACACCGAGTATAACAACGAATGTGACAATATTACGGAGTACAGGTCAGATAACCTCGGCTTGTCCGACCTTTCCAGATCAGGGATAATATCCTTGAGTGGCTTTGCATGAACATGCAAGGTTCGAAGTTTGAGGTTCGAAGTTCGAGGTCGAGGTTCGTTCGGGGGGTCCCCGGAATTGTCGGACCATATTTTTGCGTTATATAATAAATTTTATATTGCATGAATTCAGTCAAAGGAGCGAGTCCTTGCGTCCGAGGCTTCCGTGGTGAGAATTCGGGTGTGCCGGCACAGGGGAATTCTTCAGTGATCCAAGCGAGAATCTTGGGACAAAGAGTGTCGAAGAGTCGAGATAGATGTCTGATTGAAGAATGGGATTTCGTGGTACCAGCCCGACTGAAATGTGGTGGTCATATACAGAAGTATGGAGAGGCTTAAAAGGCCAAGGCTTTTCCTCGGTTTGTTTTTCACCGTTGAAATCCGACTTTAGAGGCACATCGGTTGCAGTAGTAAGAGTTCATGCCAAATTGAACAGGACCGGAGCCAGACTGGTTGGATGGATAGACAGATTGTTGGCAGCGAGAACATTGGACAATATTGAGGGTAGGCATGCCAGTCGGGCCTGAAGAGGCAGGCTGAGGAGAGATGTGAACCACGGGGGCATTCATCTCGATTAAAGGGAGTATACTAGAAGTAATAGAGGGAAGATGAGTTGATGTTTGAGAGGAGGAAGAAGAAGAAGAGGAAGAAAAGGAGGGAATCTTATGTGTAAATAGGTTTGGGCACGTGTGGAGAGTGATCAGCAACGGCTCCAGTAGTTTAATCCCTTTCAACCCAATTTCCAGTATTTCCAGTATTTCCGTATTTCCCTTTTTGTATTAAACGGCCGGCTCTAACCGTAATATTTCGATATGATTTAGGCCCCCTTCGATTTGGCCCCTAGCATTACCGCCCGATCAGATTCAGTTTCGACAGATGAAACTACCTACAATAGTAGGTAGAAAAATAGAAGACTGGGATGATATCATGAATAATCCCCAGATCATATGCAAAATGCCGTCATGTTACGACGTTATATGCAAGATGCTTAATAAGGAAAGACTTGAGGTGTTTAGTTGATTTGTTGTTTTTTCCGAGAGGTCGATCGTCTCCACCTTAGGCTTCATCGTTTACTCTTTGTATTGATTTTGGGTGTTGAATTACATAGTACGTCTGGTATCATCGAAAATTACATTTTATTCTTTTGGGTTTGAGATAATTCAGTGCTTTTAATCTAATACATATATTACGGCACATAGTGATTTGTGCGATACACTTTGTAGATCATCAATTATAGTTTAGTTTAAAAGTTGGCTGAAACTAGACAGTACTAGGTAATGATAAACCTGGCCTAAATAGGTAATAATAGGTAATAGGAATAAGATAATACAAGATTCAATATTGCGTGACTACTCAATACATTCACTTCTGTATGTGGGAAGATCTGCGGGAAGCTGGACCCTTGACATTGACAAGCTCTTGTTTCATGATTCCCAATGCCTATTCCGCGCTCTCTTTCGATGCGCGAGCGTAAGGTAAGACTTTCTTATTCTTCACATTCCTGTTCCTTTCTTCCGCATTCCAGCTAATAACCTTCTAGACTTCCACTGCAACCAATCCAACCACTCGATCGTCAATCCCCGATGCTACTGCAACTGTCCAAGAGGTCACTCGGAGTCGAACACTTCTACCTAAGCGCAGCTCTGACGAGAATCATGTCCCCCGGAATAATGTCCCCCGGTCGCAACCATCCAGACCGAAACTACGGGAAGCATCGCTGCAGATACACAGCCAGGGCTCGGCCGCTTCAACTACCCCTGGAACAGCTCCCACTCGCCGCTACAGCTTGATGCGCCCGGATGCTTCAAGATCTAGCAATGTCGCTGCCCCAAAGACCGCGACTTCGCGTATCCAGCCCCCATTGCAATCGAGGCAATCCTCCGTGTCCACCGTGTCCAGACCTAGACCCCATTCGCCTAAAAAGACTGAGATATCACCTACGCCCCGTTCGATCCGGTCGGCCTCCTTGAGACAGCCAGTGGTGTCGACAGTTTCCAGACCCAGACCTCCTTCACCCAAAAAGACCGAGATTTTACCTCCACCCCGTTCCGTTCGATCGGCCTCCTTGAGACAGCCAGTGACTGTCTCAGGAGGGTCAGGCATGTCAAACGTGTCAGCGACGGCACGGGGCCACACTCGACACCGGAGCCAAGTGGTTTCATCAAGGTCCATGACCGACCCCGCACCGGTCGCGAATCGGCAGTTTTCAACTTATCAACCACAATCCTCACTCAAGAATCAGATTAAGCCACCGACACCCACGGGAGATTTCCGCACGGCAAGTGGCTTGATCCCGACCTCGTGGCCCGAGATCGCAGCCCTACAGACGGAGCTCCTCCAACTCAGCCTCTTCTATTCTAGCTCACTCGAACGGCAGACAAAATTCAAAAAAGAGTCCGAGTCTCGGCTAAAGAAGAAGTATGACACTGTGGCAATTCTATATCGATCAGTACTGGGAGATGAGAAGAGACAGCAACAAGAACTAAATGGACGGGCCTTGGGCAGTTGGCTTCGGAATTGTCACGATCACCGGGGCCCCCACGAATTTACTGAACAGATTCAGATCCTGTCACAAATACTACAGGAGATATCAGATCTACTGAGCAGAGGGAAGGATGGACGATATGACTGGGTCGTGACATGTTTTAATGATTGGTTTGAGCATGCAGAGAGTGTCCGACAGCAACGAGCGTTGTCGGGGATTTTGGATGCGACTTTTATCGATCCACTCGACCGGGCATGGAAAGAGGAAGCCACAGGTTTACGAGCAAAGCTTGAACTATGCGCGCGAGAACTACAAAGCTTGGATCTCCTCGGGTTCGGAGAGTTGGAACGCCTTGAGCAGTCCGCTCTCACGAGAGTGGTCCGAGGCCTTACAGAGTCCATTCAGCTGATGATAGAAGAGATTCAGGTCATGATTACTCTGGAGACTGAGTTGATCTGTGCTGAGAGGAAGACTGTCAGTCAGCTGGCATCGCATCTGACAGCTTTCGAGAGCAATGCACGAGTAGGAGTATGGAGGACTGGACTGAGTACTTGAATAGAGTACTCCATACCCTCTGTACTTGAAGCGATAACGTTGATAACGCGTAATATGTATTTTTAGGGTTAACTCTTACAGATTAGCATGGAAAAATGGAAAAATGGAAAATAAAACCTGTTTCAATGAAAGGAGCAAAAGTACGAAAATAGAGGTATAGTAGCAAGTACTAGTAACCTTTATTTCCCCGGGTTGTGCTGTGAGTCGCTGAGTAATTTCTTTGTCGCAGTCTGGACCGCACGAACAGGTTCTCTTTCTCTACAAAAACAACAATATCCGGTTTTATCTCAATCACTTGACATTTCTCCTCCCTTGTTTTTCACCTTCTTTCAATTAACTAATCCGTTTTATTTCACTTCTCTACTACTCTCTTGACGTCATCTACTCTCTCGTTGCGACCATACACTATTCCGTTCCAAGAAGTGACTCCGCAAAATAGGAAATCGGAAACAACATGATCGCTAGTCCCTAACTGCTTTATTCCCCAGCTCAACGTCCCCGTTGTCATGAAGGATTCTCTGTACAATCTGCTTCTGCGCCGGGAATGTGGGAGTCAATCGCTTCAGGCCAGCGTGCGTGGGATTCATGGCTGTAAACAAATGCTTGATGACCTCGACATTGTCAATGAGCTTGGCGGTCATACAGGATGTGTGAATGCCCTTAGGTGCGTGTTGAATTTCCATCTTCGGGTGGGCGCACTCCCATACATACGCTGGCTGCGCGCTAACACATCGATAGTTGGTCCCGCTCTGGTAATCTCTTAGCCTCGGGTTCGGACGATCAACACCTCAATATATACTCTTATCAAGCTGATTCCTCAAATTCTCCCTTCCAATTGAACACGACCGTCCACACCGGTCATGCCGCTAATATATTCTCCGTCAAGTTCATGCCACACTCCAATGATAGAACGTTAATCACATGTGGCGGTGATTCACAGGTGCGTATCTTTGATATCGAATACTCCAGCGGTAACGCGGCCGCTGCTCCCTCGACCTCGACTCGGAGTGAACGATTCAACAAATTCTTCGATGGAGTGCAATATCTAAATGAAGAAAACACCAATGCTAGGGTCTATCGCAGTCATTCAGATCGTGTCAAACGAATCGTGACCGAGTCGTCCCCATATCTCTTTTTAACATGCTCCGAAGATGGCGAGGTTCGACAATGGGACTTGCGCCAACCATCGTCTGCATATCCGGCCCCGAGAGGTGGTCAGGGCTTCATGGCCCATCGACCAGGTATAAGACATGATTCTTCCAATGTTCCCCCGGCGTTGATCTCCTACAAACGCTACAACCTGGATCTCAACACAATCTCCTGCTCTCCTTCACAGCCACATTACATTGCGCTAGGTGGGGCCCACATGCACTGTTTCCTCCATGATCGACGCATGGCAGGTCGGGATATCTTTGCAGAGAGGGGCTCCCCGGACAAGTCCATTCCTAGCGTGGGCAGTCACGCGGATGAGCTTATGAGCCAGGCAACCCGTTGCGTGCGACGATTTGCTCCTCGCAATAGTGAGAGGCAGGACATGGACGATGGACACATCACAGCCTGCAAAATCAGCGATGCAAATCCTAACGAAATGGTGGTGAGTTGGTCGGGCGATCATATCTACAGTTTCAATCTCATTCGGAGCCCAGATGCTCGGGAACCTTCAGCGAAGTCAGCATCCAAGGGCAAGGGCAGACGTAGCAAGAGCTCTTCACACAGCAACAGCGACGGCGACAGCCACAAGCGCAAGCGCAAGCGCCAAAGTCAAACATCAAGCTCCTCTCAGGGCAGTAGCGATCGTCATTTGTCACGACGTTTTGAACTTGAAACCGATGATCTTTTGGAGAGCAATGAATCCTCAGACAATTCATCGGAAAAATTACACGCCGTAGGCGAAACCGAGTCACTAAACTTCGATATTGCGCAAGGCTTGATTAAAACTCGGCAGGCGTTGTTCTCACCGCAGGTAAATGACGCAGAGCCGAGCGAGACAGATGATGCGGCTGAATTGAACCCTTTTGCATCTGCAGTAACATTGGCAGCCATTTGTCTGGCCCAGATGGATCAAAGCATTCGGAAACTGAGCTCCCGACAAGATTCAACCGCCGAAATATCTGAATATCAACAATTGATGCATCGCCGTCGCCAAGAATCGTGGAGATTCGTTCAAGCCGCCGGCACTATTGCACAGACTTTGGCGAGGTCAACAAACCACTCATCCGACTCAGAGGAGATGGACGAGTTTGCTAGGATATCTCCCCCACCCAGAGAAGACCCTCACATCCGACGGGGTGCCCAGTTCGGCTATGATTTTATCAAGGCTATTCTTCTGTGGCTTCGGGGCGGTAGACAAGAGCTATTGGCTGGGTTCAAATGCGATTCAGGCCAGTCGAACAGATTCCCCATCCCGGTTGACGCCCCAGAGGATGCTATCGATAACATTCTCATTCCCTATTTGCTTGACTTAGCAAATGAAATGCCTATTCTCAATGTCAACACCTCGCGATTCGCGCAACATGCTATCCGGGTTGTGTTCGATACTCAACGTGAGGCCGTGGTTGCTTTTGGAGATGCTGTGAAAGTACCAGTAGTAGAAACTGCCGCTGAAATAATCACAACCCTATCTACAGATCCTACAGATCGAGTAACAATCCGGTTTTGGGTCATGAATGTATGCCGGGGGATTTTGATGACGGCAGGTACCGGTGTCAACCAACCCTATGTCAACGAAGCGTTCGGTGATGGGCCGATTAATCTTGGATCTAGTTCATACGTCGGATCCATTTCACACTCCAATGCCGGGGCACCCCGTCCCACAACTTCTGAAATCCCGGGTAACAGGGACAGTGCATCCCTTGATGCTGAGTCTAGTTCAGACAGTGAATCCAGCTCAGACTATCATTTCGGAGACCACTACTATATGGATGACTTCGAAGCGGAAGACTCAAGTGAAAATGACGACACGAGCGATGATGAGGACCCGGAGACTGGGAGTGGATATAGGCAATATCGCCCTTCTCTGCCAGTACGACTAAGCATATCGAGTGATGCGCCATGCATGCCGCACTCACAAGTCTATCGGGGACATTGCAACGTCAAGACTGTGAAAGATGTGAACTTTTTTGGGCTCAACGACGAATATGTCGTCAGTGGCAGTGATTCAGGTCATGTGTTTATCTGGGATCGCAAGACGGCCAATCTAGTAAACATCCTCAAGGGTGATAGTGACGTTGTGAATGTCATTGAAGGACATCCCAACGAGCCAATGCTTGCTGTGTCGGGAATTGATAACACAATCAAGATATTCTCTCCGGACCGCCGCGCCCAAGATCAAGCCCGTCGCGGCCAAGATATCCTTGACCCAGACTGTCCAGCAAACATGTTTGGCGTGACTAGCGAAAATTTTGGGCTTGGAAGTCGCAAGTGTCTACAAGACAGTTACCGCATCATAACCCAGAACGACGTGGACCGTCACGGGGGTATTGATGAGGCTTACATCACCGTAGGTTGAAGTAACATGACATGCTTTTCAGCACTGACCATTACATTACAAACAGAGATCTATGCTCTCTCATCTGTCTTCCGCCCTTGGCCGTCGACAGACTGGTGTTGATGAACCAGAGATTGGGCTACAATTAGGAGAAGGGGGGCCCACCATTGCTCTCAACGATGATTGCCTAGTATGTCTTAGTTTTAGTCTTATTCACGTTTCAGAGCGCTAACAGGGATAGGTGATGTGATGATGCCTGCGTTTTGATTACATTCTATTTCTTACAGGTTGCATGGGTTGCACTGGGCATGGAAAAGGGAGGTTTGAGGTTTTGATTTGCTATAATGAGCATGGTTACCTGGTTACTCATAAAATTGCTAGAGAGAGTATGAATTTTCCAGTAATACATAGAAAGCACGGAGTACTCCATACTATATACTATATACTTTCATACTCTGTACTCTGTAGTGTACGTTGCCACCGAAACGGGAAGCCCCACATTGAAAATCTGAGAATCAAAGAATCTTCTATTTCAACTTCACATCTACTTCATACCGACACGATGAGTAATAGTAGGTTTCCTCAATTACTAGAGGATCGGGATCTCAAAACCACTGAGATCTACAATGACCCCCATAACCCAAGTCTCTATCTCGATCGAGCACGCATATACGACAGCCTAGGCTTTTTCGACCTCGTTGCTGCAGACGCTTATCGCGCACTTTCCCTCCTCGAGTCTGTTATAGAGCCGGATGCATGTGAATACCATGCTAAGAAGAAGGTTCATTCTGTTGCTGGCGACAATGTGAATCCTTCCCATGTTGAATGCGACAAGAACGAAGATGACGATGACGATGACGATGAAGATGAAGATGATGGAACGGTACCTGTGACAAAAGAAGAATACGATGCCCTTATTATGAATGTCTATACCATGCTTGTGCGCGGTTTATACCAAGCTCACTGTTATCGCGATGCATATGAGTTCGGTATGCGCGGTCTCAAGGTCTTACGCGAGTATGCGCCAGAATCCGAAGAGACGACCACGGCCAAAAAACTCCTCGATAAGGAGATGGACCCATTGCGAGAGATCTACACAAAATTAAGTAAAAGCGAAACACCACTAGAATCCATGGATCCTACCTTGTTTCCAGCTCAAGGAAGAGCCCGCCGCATCGTCTATCCCTGGAACGAACATGAACCAGACCGTAGTTCTCCCGAGGAACTGAACTACCTGAACGAGAGATTGTCTGAGATCGCGCCCAAGTGTGAGGTTCGCGTTACATACCTGCCTAGGTTGTACCAGGGCTTCGACTCTACCTCTGTGCAGCTAGGTCTGTACGCTAAGGAAGATATCGCTCCCAATGAGATCATCTTGCGTGAAACTTCACTTCTCACTGCTACCAATCGCCTCCATGATGACCTGTGCGACGCGTGCCATGCCCCTCTGCCTGATCTATCCGCTGCTGAGCCCCCTGTCAGATGTGAGGGCGACTGCGACGATACCATCTTCTGCAGTCAGAAATGCCACGATAATGCGCAAGAGGTGTATCACGGTGCGACCTGTGGTCTTGAAGAGGGGCTCGATTCTATTGGGAAGGATATTCCAGACCCTAAGGATAAAGCAGATTATCTATACCTGCTTCTACTCGGACGCGCACTGGCCATGTCCGCTACACAGGATGTACATGTGCTGGACCTGCCCGAGGTGAAGTATATCTGGGGAGACTTTCGACCCTTTGATATTGAAACCGCTTCTGAAAAGGATCAGCCCGCCAATTTCTTGCCTTTCTCCTTCCAGCTGAATATCATGCAGCCTATGCGAATTCTGGACGAGATGGAAATAGATCCATACACCTCCCTCCACCTATACGATACCTGGGTCTTGAATACGCTGTATGCTAAATTCCGCGGAACTGCTTCTGGTCGTCTGTCTACTTGGGACGGCGGTCCTGAACTGTGCGCTGTGCACCCGCTCTGGTGTCTTGCAAATCACTCTTGCGATCCTAATGTCTGTTGGGAGTGGGGTAGTGAGATTACCTTCCGGGCTCGTTCGAATGAAGAGACTGCTGTTTGGGTCAGAAAGGACGAGGCTGGAGTCCCGGAAATGGTTGATCCAAAGCCCGGGGGTATTAAGAAGGATGAGGAGATCATGAATCATTACTGTGATATTGGACTGCCGGTGAACGAGCGGAGAGAGTGGGCTTCTGGTGCTTTGGGAGGAGGATGTACGTGCAAGAGGTGTATGTGGGAAATGAAGGCTGTGTCTACGTGATGTTGACCAGGAGAAATGACTTGATGAGATACCTATTTGACGTTGTTGGCATGCCATGTCTAGATGATTAGGAGGGCCGAGATGTATTTTGATAGACGATGCAAATGGGAAAAATAAAGTTTAGGGTAAATTATTGGAGTTTGAAAAGGAATTTCCACCTTACTACGAGTCCTGGAGGGTTCTAAGTGCGTCCATAGTGAACCCCTAATCAGGGTTCCAAGACTATCTGAAAGACAGCTAACTAGGCCTGGCAGAGCTCCAGAATCGACGAGTCAGCCCCGAGTCATTTGCAGTTCCTGAAGATGTTCATTTGATTTGATTTATAATGTTTTTATTTTTCATTTTTGAAACCTTCCATATGTGTGAGCTGGCCTCACTTCTTTTGATCTGATGTTCACTTGATCGATCTACTTAATTGATGATTTATTTTGAATGAAACCCGGGTTTGCTTAAATTCAAATCAACAGAAATAAAGACAATGTTATAAGGGAGATGTTTACATATAAGATGTATAGGTCTGCTATAGGTATCAATAAACTGAAAACATATCGGGAAAGGAAAAGAAAAAGTAAGCTAAAGAGAGGAAGAGATAGGAACAAAAAAGGTAGTGACCTAAATTCCAAGAGTCTTCCAAACTTCGGAGGCAAGTCTATCCATGACTTGAGCGCTGAATATGATATCTGTTTCTGGCGCAATTGGTGTTCGGAGGAAGAGTTCATCAATGTGAAAAACTAAGGGGCCATTAGTGGTGACGACGCTCCCATTGGCATCTCGCGTTTGTTCCATTTCATGACGGGTTGAACAGACATATCTAGTAATGCCAGTGTGACGAGCAAAGGTATTGGTGATGACCACGCATCGGAACGTGATATGTGGAATTTTTTGATCAACTGTCACAACAAGGACCATATTTACTAGGCCCTTACTATTTGACAGCCACCACCTGGCGTCCTTCATCAATTCATTCATGTTTTCGGAAACACCGGTCTCTAGAACAATTGATGGCCACACGCGATGGTGGCCTAGCGGGAGGGTATAAGGTCGAACAGACCAATCCGGCTCCTTCGAGATAGCGTTGCCTCGAATCCGACCATGATTCATCGGATATAGGTCTTCGCTAAGAATCTCAGACATAAGGGTGACGCGACGGATGACTTCAGCGCTGATGCCGCCCGTCACTTCTCCATGGGCTGGCCCTGTTAGTTTAACAATCATTTGTCGCGTCTTATGATTATAACTAATTCGTGCGGATTTCGGGAGCATTTTCGATGGAGTCGTCTCGATGAATTTCGGGTTCACATTAATGAATAGTACTAATAACGTCATCTTAGTTGTCTCCATCTCCCTATTAAGGATTCTCATGATAGCAGAAGGGGTTGATCCGATATATTGAGTGGCGCTAGTGAAGTTGACGAAAAAATCTGATTCCTCATCTGGCTCCATATCTAGTTCCATAGTGGTTGGTAGTTTTACAGGAGAGTGCAGATTAGCCTCCATAGCATATTCGGCCACCTTGAGCACAGGGGTGTGAAGCGAGCTTCGAGGTTCAGTGTGCTAGATGGAAGAAGGAGCTTTTAACGAAGAACCCGAAAGAAATGAGATTTCAAGTCAGAGGAAGAGAAAGAAAGACGAAGCTCTCTGAACTATCTACGCACAGCACTAGGCCCCATACGGTCTAGCCTGGTCTACATATGGACGAAAGCCTACGTGAGTTTTTGATCGTCCGTGATATGAAATCAATTTCAGAAACTTTGGCATACCTCAGTTTGACGACAGGTATTAAGAGATGTTGAAAATTATGCCAGTGTCAATAATATGATACCAGTGTTGACAATTTGCATTTGTATTTTTAGAGCATAGCATCTAGTTTCACGCAAAGGGAAAACTGGATACTTTGATATCCAGTCCCAACCCTCAAGATGATAGCTGGATGCACGACATACTTTGCCTCCATCGAGTCAATATCCCGACGTGGTGACAATTCCATAATCACTTCGTTCTCGTTCTCGCGCTCATCGTCATCGACGTCGGTAAAGTGGAAGACGCGCGGTAATCGTAGCGAAGACTATTTAGATATCGTAGGAATATTCTATGTGTCCTGTATGATAATGAAAGGACATGATAATAAGAGACATACCGACTGATGCTCCTGCTGTGGTGACGGGTGGAAAAGGGAACCACAAATTCTCAGTAGTGCTCAGCAGAAACAGAATTAGTCTCCACACGACTTTCGCTCTCTTCAAGGTGGGCTTCAATCTCGACAATCCAGCCATTAAGGGTAATTTTTAGAGCTGTTAACTGGGTAGCAAGCTCTTCGGCGGACTGGGCTTGAAGTATGGCGAGCTGGGCTATGGGGCCTGTGATCAGCTCGAATTCAGAAGCAGCGAGATTACCTTGAATTTCAGCGAGATTGGCTCGAACTGCGCCGAAATGGGGTAAATCAAGCTGGGGCTCAGCTGCGTCGAGGCGGGCTTGGACTGCGTCAACTCGGGCTTCAAATGCGGTGATACGGGCCTCCATCGCGGCGGTGTACTCTGCGACGATAGTAGTGAGTACGGCAAAGGCTTGAAATGTGGCGGGGGAAAGTGCATGATCTCGCTCGGTAATAGCTACAGCAGCTTCTACCCACCCATCAAAATCAGCACTCATCTAGTATTAGAAATCGATCATCAAATCACATACCAACTCGAAGTGCGGCCGCTCGGGCTGCGCGTCTTGCAGCTGCTGATATATCGTATTAGTAGCCTCTCCATTTGACGTGATGACAATATTACATACAAGGTCTCATAGGATGTAGCAAAGCCTGCCCCAAAAGATAGGCACCTCGCGTGATGCAGTCCCTCTCTGAATGACGTGAACTTCCACACAGGACACAGCGAATCATGATGGTTTAAACGTTGAGAGTTTGGGGAGTTGAAGAAGAAAAAAAGAATGAGTAGGGTGAAAGAAGATTCAAAAGAGAAGAAGTGGTGAAAAAACTTCGACTCTCTCTCTTTCTCTCTCTCTCTCTCTCTCTCTCTCTTGTAGCCATAAAAGTGGATTTTTCAATCTACGAATCAGAAGCAGATTTCGGATTGAAATTAGCACAGCCATTGGCCAGGTTCTATTTTGGCTATATTGGAACTAATGCCGCCATTGGTCTAATCTGATCTATAAGTCGATACAAATGTTACCATTCCTAGTATTGGCGTCATTTTTTGGTCTTTTATCTTTTCAATCTCATCTTTCATATTGTTGCCCTTGTGACCCGACAAGATAGATCTCCAAGTGAGAGCTCGTTATAGTCCGATAGTTCAGATCTTCTCCATTGCCCCGTTGATCGGGAACGTCGTCGGCACGCAATATTGAACACTACCCGGATAATATTTTGATATCGATTTTGATTGCATCGATCTGTACACTCTATGTCGAACTGTTCGAACTGTTCGAACTGTGCGGTCAGTTCCTTCTACTGGGTCAACTCCTTCGACATTTCGATGCCAGTTTGATTTACGACTAAGTTATCAGAAGTATACTCGAGGTCTATGTCCAGGACTACAGACGCTTTTTCGAGAGAGCTTTTCGAGTGGCCCCCGTAAAAGAGTAATTGATTAGTACAGTTCCTAAGTTACTCGAACTGGATCCTATCGGCCTCTGCTGGAATAATACCAGCAGCATGCTTCTTACCAGGATTCTTGGTGTGAAGCAGTGTCTTTTTCTGATTATAATATGTCAATAAATGCCTAATCCGATATTTCATGAGATTGGAGCTGGTACACATGTGGAAGTACCGCCATTCTGCCCCATTTTATATCCTAGTACTCATGGTTACCTAGGTAGGCTAGAGCTTTGTTGATTTTATTTAAGTCGACCTACTACATCTAGTAGATTTGCTACCTAGTTACCTATGTAAGGGGGGCCTCTATGAAGCAATAGGCGGATCGGATCGCTTTTGTCTGCTTCGTTGCCTTCATTGACCTTCATTCTCGATTGACATCGGTGGTAGCGGCCTTTGATATGTGAGCCTTTCAATAAAGACAGAAATATCCGGCTGTATCATATAGTCTCCGGAACGTGACTCAAACATTTAACCCTCTATAAATTAATATTTCTTTCGTCCCAATATAAGTTCCTTACCAAACAGTGATGTAGTTTTCCGTCAGCTAAAAAACGCCTAGGTAGCTAGGTACTAGCGGAAAAACCACACGGTAAGAGGAGATGGGAGTGTCGATCCAGGTTCTTGGAGTTTCCGAATTACATTGGGGGCGAGGTTGTTGCGCAAGGAATACTTTGTTATTCACTGATTTACCCAGCGAAATGGCTAGCATCCCATATTGAATAATTACAATAGTTAAAAGGCAGATAAGATGGATATGTGGTTATCGAATCTAGAGATTTCATGAAGATATGAAGCTCAAATACCTTGCATGTCTGCTTCACTACCTGGTACTTATTATACAAAATCATTACATAAGTATGGCTACGACAAACAGGAGATCTTAAACAACCTAAGATCTACTACGGCCCCGACGAACGGGAGACTGCGAGCGTGATATCTCACGAGATCGACCACGCGAGACATCACGACGGTCCTGACGAACGGGAGACCGCGAGATATCACGACGGTCCCGACGAGCGGGTGACCGCGAGCGAGAATATGACCGTGAGCGAGAATATGATCGCGATCGAGATCGAGATCGAGATCGAGAATATGTCCGCGATCGAGAATATGACCGTGATCGAGACCGCGAACGAGACTTGGAATGAGGAGTGCATGTGGAACACCCCGTCGAGTGTGACCGAACAGATGGAGAACGCGAATATGAACGGGAGCGTGACCGCAGTCGAGACCGAGACTGCGACCGAGATTTGGAACGAGGAGTGCATGTCGAACATCCTGTCGAGTGTGACCGCACAGATGAAGAACGAGATGGTGATCGAGCAGCAGGCAAGGCGGGCAAAGCGGGCTTAGGCATATTCTTAATGTGCTCGCGCATATCCTCGGTCAACGCACCCATACCAATGCTGGTAAAATAGTTGATAGAGAATCGACTGTGACGTGTGTTTTCAGTTGGGAAGAGACCCTCGAAGCTTGGTCGCAGAATCTCGTCCCGGAAGCGGGCATGAAGAGCGGGCATGCCGAGTTGCTCTGCAAGATCCTGGAAGAGGATCTTGATAAAGATACGGCTGCTTGAGGTGGTCTCTTCTTCATTAAGATGGATGACGGACAAGACATGCCATCCGAGGGCGTCGCTACAGAGCATGTGTCCGAAGAATCGAGCGATATTGCGCAGACGGTTGGTTTCATAGCGATGAATTGTATCGTAATATTTGGCAAACGAGGCCTCGAATAAATCTGACCAGAGTCGGTTGATCTTGGCAAATCGTTCTCCGATCAGACCAAAGAACTTAGTATATGTGCGTTCCTGGGAGCAACACTCGATGATCATTGACGGTAGCTCTTCTTCCAGGCCTGCGGGAAGCTTGATCTTCATCAGCTTGTGACAGCATTCCTCAAAGTCGAGACTCGACATGATTGTGAGATAAATAGTTCGGCGCAGGTTAACAAGGTCGGTGTTACTCTGATCTTTAATATCCAACTTCTTCTCTTCGGTGTCCGATTCCTCGTCGGAGCTCTCATCCTCTTCGTCCTCGTCGTCATCGTCACTGCCCTCGCCGAGGATTTCGGCCTTCAACTTCATGTATGCTTCTTCATGCTCTTCCCATTCAGGATCGAATTTGAAGATATTAAGGGTGTCTTGGGTCTCAAGGTCGTCATCCAAGCCCAGTTGATGAGTGATCTGATCTTCTTCTTCTACCAAGTCAAGCTCCTCCTTGACTGGCGGGTGGTCCTTAAACCCGTCCTTGCGCACTTGGAACAGGACTTCAATCATATATTGCGTACGCTTCTGGAGGTCGGCTTCATGGAGGATGTTTCGAAACTGGTCAAAAACCGCATTTCCAATTGGTGCATTCATTTCATGTATGTGCTGGCCAACCTCTCTTGTCAAACTAACGGCGATTTCCACGCTGTCGTCAGTCGGATTGTGAAGAAGAAGCAAAAGAATCTGGGCAGCAAGCGACTCGTGTGCCACCTGGTTGTTACAGAGATGTGCAATGAATGTCGAAGAGGAGAAACAGACTGCCTTGTCGTTTCTCTTGAATGCTTTGCGGAACTGAATGATCAAGCGGGACAACAGCAGATCTCCGACCTGCGGCAACTTGGTGTTTACAATGGCCACCATGGCGGCGTAAATGGGCGTAAAGGGCAAACTCGCGGCTTGCGCCTTCATAATGGAGCGGCAGAAGAGACCTCGTCCTCGGACTAGGTTTTCTCCGAACAGCTCTGGAACAATGTATTTGATGTTGGCGACGTTGACCTTGTTGATAAGACCGTTGATGGACTTCTTCAAAGCCTCCCAAGCCATTCGCTGGTACTCTTTGCTCGTCTTGTCCGTAATCTGGGCCTGCAGCGCGCGGAGTCGAGCTGGGGGAATGTAGGTACCGCCTGACCGCATATTAATGAGCTTGTCATATTCAGCCTTCGCAGATGCCTGTTTCTCCTCCTCTGTCATTGGCTTGCGAGCAGCCTCTTTCTTCTCATGTTCGCGCACTCGCTCAGTGAGGAGGCGCTCTCTATCAAGGGCGCGGTCCCGATCCAAACCAGATACATTCGAATCATTTCTAAGCGCATCACCTGGAGGTGAGCGACGTCGATTGGGAGAGGGTGAGCGAGAGGGAGGTGAGCGTTTTCGAGGAACAGCCGATGGTGAAAATGCGACTGGAGGGGGTGTGGGCACTCTCACCGCAGACTGCAAAGTGACCTGATCCGCCATTTTCAGGATCTCTCAAACAGGAGATGAGGGATTCAGAATGGGAGATGGAGGTTTTGTGGGGTTGAGGGTAAAGCTTGGAGAGTTCTCCAAAACTTATGGGGCAGATTGAAAGCTCTTAGCGCGTCAGTCGTCACGTGACAGAAGGCCAACTCGCGCGATGCCACAACTCCTACCTAGTCTTCTATTTCCACGCCCAGGGCCTCCTTCTCTCCTTCCCCTCGGACTCGACTGTGTTATTCCAGAGATCACTCGTTTACAGAATGGTATATAAGATCTCTGTATTTTGTGTTTGGTGACCGGACTAACTTCATTGCAGCTGGGCCAACTCGTCGGTTCCGCCATGCTCTTGGCCGCCACCGCAATCTTTCTTTACTACACCACCTGGACTTTGTTGATGGTATGAAGCATCGCCTTAACAACTTCAATACAGATCTGGATCCCAACTCATTCATATTATAGCCCTTCGTCGACCCTGGCCACCCTCTCCACGATCTCTTCCCTCCGCGTGTTTGGGCCATCCGCATCCCCGTGATCCTGACCCTTCTGGGCTCTGCTGTTGTGGGTACCTTCATAAGCATTGTTATGATTAAGAGCAACAAGAAGAAGGCAGCCAAGGCCAAGGCAGCTACAAAGAAGAAGACCTGAGTTGAAATGGATCAGGAGAAACCATACAAACACCGGCCCCACATAGAGGCCCTGTATCACCATTGTTGAACACAACTTATTCAGTTTTCATTTAATACAACAAAAACAAGGACCATTTGAATTTCAGTGTGATGTCAGAGAAAATCAAGGTTGAATGATTTCTTCGATTCTAGATCCCGAGGTCAAACCTGCCTTCAACCTCAATATCAAATGGGCATCGCGTCACAAGCCCCGTGACCCAACCCCACTAGGTCATTTATCATTTATTGGCTCTATTTTCCATCAACCATAATCTTACCCTAGCAAAGGATAACAAAGGCTAAGGACGGCTCTTTGTGTTTTATCTGGTAATGGCTCCTGGGGTTCACGGTCCACGGGGTGGCTAAGCTTAGGTAGTGACCACTTAGATAGTAGTGTACATAGTACTAGTGAGATCAAGGAAGGCTATAGAACAATCGAATGATTAGATTAGAGCTTATATTTGACTAGTCATCAATCATCAAGTCACGAGGGGGAACGTGGCCGGAGAATGACGGGGTCAGCCAACCAGGCCCCCATTCTGAGTCAGGTAAGGTACCGGTTCCCGGTATCTCCCCTCCTTTACCCCCCATCCGGGATCCCCTTATCAATATTCTTGTCTTCACATCTAAACTGAATTACTTCTCATCACTATTATACCACCGACCCTATACCTCTACACTGACTGGATCATCGCCATCCAGTTGCTGTGTTGTCGTCCTATCGCTCTTATCAAAGCTTCCCCGCGTATCGAAGAGCAACCTCCGCTCCTCAGATACGCATACCCTGTTCTTTCCAAACACCCAACCAGATTCAAATAGACTAATCTTCTTTATTATTTTTATTGTATGTGTTAAACTGCCATTTGCATCAAATCAGGGATTCATGAGAAAGAAATAAAGAGATGTATACTGACGTCGTGGCACTAGAAACCCAGAAACCCCTCCTTTTGTACTTCCAGCCTGTTATTTCGTGATCTGCGAGCAGCCTTCATACTAGCCTCCGTTCTCAGACCTAACGGGTCCTGAGAGCGGTGTTCCTGTTTCGTGCCTCTTTAATAGAGGTACCCTTTCAGTTGAATGTCCCCGGCCACACCTGCAGATCTCCTCAATCAGCACAGTCGATCTCTAGAAGACCATCCAACCTTCAACTTGGACCAGACACGTACACCCCAGGAGAATGAACCTGTTGGAAAGAGTAAAAAGAAGAAGGGCAAGAAGGCCAAGGGGACTAGAACAACTACTGAAACGCCAGATGATTTGTAAGGACAAAGCCCTAACTACATTCCCAAGGTGGCCGAAGCAGTCACTGATATAATGCAGAAACCAACCTGTTCCCCAGGCAGAGCCATCCTCTTGTCCTGATCCTTCTCTTGAACACCATGTTCAACCCACCGTAACAATGGATATACTAGGGACAATGGAGCATGAAAGAGATAATGACCTAGCTGCCCGTACTGATACATGGGCCCAGGCAGTGCCATATGGTAAAAGTCCACCAATTGATTTGATGGATGAAGATCTGCCTCAGGAAGCCCAAATCAATTTCTCGGCGCGGGAAGAGGCTAGGGGTAATGATTCTTGGTCCCAGGATACAGCAGGCGTTGAGCGTGCCAAAAGCCCGCCGACTAATCATCTGATGGATGGCGTTATTCCACATGACTCCGCAATTGATGTTCCCACCAAAGCGCATGCAGTAGGTGTACTCAACCATCCTTCCCCAGATTCCCCGCCTATCAACTTCCCAAAGATTCAGGCTCGAGGTGGTTTTAGTCCACCTTCTTCTGCATCTCCTCCTTCACGTGTTCGACCATTTAGCTATGGTAGTGGCTTCCGGAGCACCTTGAATTCACGACAGCAATCAGTGGACTGGCGCAAGAGCCACTCTTACGGAAGTCCAATGGGCAACAATATGCCTCCTCCACCCCATCTCCCCCAGGCCCATTTTTATGAAGCCCCAGACATTGATTTGCAAGGCCACACCGTGAAAGACGGATCTTATTCCTTCTACGGCTTCGATACACTCCCAAGCATGACGGCCAAAACGCCTCGGGCTGGGATGAATGTGTTGGTAGTGGGAATGGACGGCGCTGTGGAGATCCAAGCGATTGAAGATCATCAGACTCGTCTCGTTGGGCAGATCACTGGTCTCGGTGGCCGAGTTCTTGAAGCAAAGATTCTTGCCAATCATTTTGCCAATGATGCACCCGGTTCCTCGCAACCACACGTAGCCATCACTATCCATGGGCCTCTGGCACCGAATGAAGAAGAGGCGCCTTCCTCTCCAGTTATTTCGGAATTTAATGATGCTCCGCCTTCCGCTACAGGAGGCCGATCAAGAGACAGTCGCCTGGTTCGGGATAACCTTCTATCGTATCAAACTCGAGTCGAAGTATACTCACTCCGATCCGGTGAACACATTGAGACACTGTTCATGAGCAACCCAGTGTCTTCGATGGAAAATATCTTGGGTATGCCCTCTTTGGCACCGCCCCCGGTTGGTAGTTTGAAGATCTACAATAGTGGACATCATGTCGTTGTAGCCTCTGGGGTTAGCGGAGAAGTCTACATCTACCGACAAACTCCGTCCAGTGGCTATGAGTGCTTGGGAAAGACTTGGACCAATATCCAGGTCGGAGAATCCCGAAGATACTCCACTTCCTCTAGCTCTACGGATCCAGAGGGATCTCACCATGACCTACCCCACCATTCTATTCTGGACCGACCGATCTTGAGTGTTCAGGGAAGGTGGTTAGCAATTGTGCCACCATCATCTTCTACCCGGAGGTCGATACAAGGCACCGTTCCTGCGCACATCATGCATTCACGAGCTCAAGGTATCGAGTCTCGTGGCCCACCTACTGTGCCATCTGTGAATTGTGTTACAGACGTTGGTGAAGGGGAGAGCCTTTTCGACAAGGTCGCCAGAGGTGTCACGCAAGAGTTAGTGAAGGGTGCCCGCTGGATGGGGGACCAGGGCCTTCAAGCCTGGAATAGCTACTGGAATAGCCAGCAAGCTCCTCCTGGCGCACCCCCTCTACGTCCAGCTCGCACAGAAACTGGACTCTTCCCACCAACCCATGGACAGGAAACCCAATCATTGTCTACCGAGCCCGATGCAGTTTCTATCATCGATCTCAAGCCATTTGATGATAACACAGATATGAAGGCTATGTCTTTAAATCCAGTTGGCACATTTCAAGTTCCCAATGGCTGCAGTTTCCTCTCTATCTCTCCAAGTGGTCTGATGCTATTCACGGCAAGCACAAAGGGTGATGTCCAGTATGTTTGGGATCTTATGCAACTGAAATACTGTCGAGCTATGGCTTTTATGACCGACGACCAGGTGAGCAAAAGTCCCAATGTGAGGCAGGTAGCCAGATACGCGCGGTTGACCGCATCGAACATCGTCGATGTGATCTGGACCGCGCCAACAGGAGATCGCTTGGCCGTCATTACGCGCAAGGGCACTATTCATGTCTTTGACTTGCCTGGGAGTGCGTTTCAATGCCCGCCTTTCCGGCGAGCTCGACCTGCGACTAAAAGGGCACCCTCGGTTGATCCTGCTGGTGATGAAATGTCAACGCAATCGACTAGTGGAAACCCCCTGTCGGCAGCCATGAAACTGGTTGGTGGTAAAACACAGCCATTTTTCTCTGTGGTTCGGGGGCGGGTGCCGGCTTCCGGCACAGCCTTCCCTAACATGAGTGGGCTTGCGTTGACATCGGCAGCTGGTATCAAGGGTGGAAAGGTGGTGGCGGCGGGTCTGAGCAAGTCAATGGGAGCAGCGGCCTCTGGTACTGTTCACACCCTTCGACATGTGGGAGAAAACAGACTCCACCTGACAGGTCTCGCTCGCGATCCGGCACCAGCTCGTGTGATTTGGATCATCAGCAAAGGTCAGATGCACCTTGGTGTGGCGGATGGTGGCCAGATTAAACTGTATTGTCTCAAGAGAGGCCCAGTCTCTCATAAGAGTCGTCAATTCCACACTGTGATTGGTGAAAAGGTCACCCAGTACAGACTACCTGCCAACCTACAAAGCATTTGTGGATCAGCACCGCTTGTGCCATATAACCAGGATCTGACCCGTCAAGCTTATCTGCTTCTGCCATCGGTCAGCGCTCAATCGTCTAGTCCGAGTAAGCCCTTCTGCCAACCCCTCTCCAAGGCAGAGATTGAGACGAACACTCCTTACCAGCCCTTCCATACTGATCAACGCGTTGGTCTACATGTGTACTCTACCGATAATTCGGTAGGTGAACAGTGGGTCTTTGGGAATGATATACCAACCACCAAGGTTCATGTGAGATCGTACAATAACACTGGTGACGACCTGGATGATGAGTGCGACGATAATGCCGTTCATGGGCACTCCTTTGGTGCAGGTGGAGATATGGAAAACCTTATCAGCCTGACCAATAGCACTGGCAACGTCGAGGAAGTGGTCATCACCACTCGCCGCAAGAAGAAGCACACCCCTTTGAAGGCCGATGATGGCTTTTTTGAGGATGACTGTGAAGTTTTGGATTTTGCCCGCGATCGGGTCTAATCTAATTTACACTTGTTTTAGAACTGATGCTCACGCATGCTGTTTTGAGAAATGCAATCGGAGTTTGTTATTTGTTTTATTGTGCTTCTCATCCGATCCCCCCACTCAGAAACTGCATCAGATACATCCAAAGATCTCGGATTACTCTGTTGATTTGTTATCCCGTTATGCGTTTTTGAAGACTTCTTTTATTTCCCACAGAAACAACCAAATACCCAAATATCCAAGTCCGCACTTGATACTTTTGTCTTTTGCTCGCATCTCGATAGACAGGAGGCTTCGCGCTGATTTTTCATTCTTCTGGAGTTTTATCCTTACACTACACATCACTCACTATGGCGTCAATCTGGAAGAATTTCCTATTGCGCGTCCTCATGCGTTGGCAGAAGCTACCACTCTTTTTAGGCATGACTAGCTAATGACTCTATGCACATCAATATCAATATCAATATCAAGCTGGGGCTTCGAGCTCCATATTCAACATAGTTTTTTTTGTCTCCATTGTAAAGAGTAAAAAGTCTAAGAAGAATCAATCTCCTCGCGCCACCATTCTCGAAACAACTCAATTCTCTCCGTCCGAGCTCGAGCCATCTTCCTCCCTGTCTCGGTCTTCATCATACCCTCCAACTTCACCAACTTATCCCCGAAATGCTCAATGGAGTTATCCATCTCCCACTTTCCATCAACAGCGAACTTCTTCCCTTGAGAACCGAGGAATGTGAAGCAGCGTCCGATTCCAATAGCCCCCAGCGCATCGAGTCGGTCAGCATCCTGCACAATTGCAAGCTCGCTGTACCCCTCTTCGATAAGGCGCTTGATTACAGAAGGATCTTTGCACTCAGTTGTATAAGACACATGTGAGACGATCGTTTGCACCTTCGATGCCAGATCTGCTGAGGCTCCCTGGGCCAAAAGTGCTTGTTCGACCATTGTTGTTGGGTCTAGTCGGGTGTCGCTCAAGGATTCTAGACTTGGTAGATACTTCCTATCTCCGATGTCATGCAGGAGGGCGGCTAGCTTGACAATTGAGGCTGAGTATTGTTTTTCTGGGTGTAGGGCTTGCTCTGCGACTAGTATTTTGTTGGCTAGGTTCAAGACTCGGTGAACATGTGCTGGGTTGTGAGATGGGTCGTAGCCTGCCATGGCAGTGTTGACAAATTCTGACATTGCATCGTATAATTTATTGAATTGGCTGCTGGTTGGATCCATTGTAGATAAGACTGTCCAGATGCTGCAGTTGAGTTCTTCAGGTTTGATATATTGAAAAGTGCGGAAGCTTCCCCGCAGTCAAAACAGTCAAAGCATTTGGCGGTGAATAAATTGAATAAACTACATGAACATAAACTTTGCATTTTTAATCCTTGCAATATATCCGTCAACCCTATCTATTCATTTACTCAGACTTACTTATGCCAGTCATAAGAGAACAGTCACAGTGATTATCATTGTCATTCGTCTATATTTCAGTTATGAATACTATTATTACCCTGAGTTTCGGTGGCTCCTTGTCAATGGATATATATAAGGCTGCATTATTCAGATAGTCTCGAGATCAGCAATGATCAGATGCATCGATCACACTACCAAGTGTTCGTTTCATATTACAACACGTTCACTCAGGAAGCGAAGGATGCAAGCAGCAGGCCAAAGAAGCCAGTGTTTTCAGGGAAGAAATGAAAGCCTACAGGTCTTCTGGCAAGTAATTTCGGCTTTTTCAATGGCAGGACCTACGCCTGGTGGTAGTGTCTACTACGACAAGAATCAACTGGGCAGACATAGCAAGAAAGTTCAGTTACATCAAGATGCTTAAAAGGAATACGGAAACGACTGTATGGCGAGTGATGGTGGAAGGAAGAGAGTGTGCAGTTACCCCAGTACCTGTTTACTACTCGGATGTACAGGAATCAAACACTCTAGATCCTTCCCAGTTTCTCATTTGCTTTGTTTTCGTTTGTCTGCCATCAGCTAATTATAATAATCTGAAATCATATTACTCCACAACATTCCTCCATAGCAAGGACGACTGCCTTACTTTTTAAGGGGGATTACTGAGAAATACAAGATCCAGGGTTCAGTGGATCCGTCCTAAATCTGGGCATGACTTTAATTGGTGGGATATTTCAAGGGGCTCAACTTTCAATGGTTATTCACTATTATACTGTCAGACTTGAGGGTATTTATAGTAAAAAAAGACATTTTGTACTTATCTTCAACGTTTTATTCACACTTATAATCAAGATTGATGGTGACGGATGGTCTTTATATAGTTACTAAGATATCTCATAGATCGTATCGGATGTCTATCCTTACCTATATGGGTAATACTCATACTTTGTACAAGGATTTCCAGACCTTGGAAGGGGATACCAGACTCAATATTAAGCCTTGGTTCAATGACGCCCTTGAGGAGCCCAAGCTCTGTTTATGTCATGATCCCTTGTCGCGAATCATAAATGGTAACTGACCTTGGGAGTTCTTCCTTACTTTTCAAAGAGACCTTGCAAGATGTACCTAGGTAGGTAGTATGTAGATTTATATTAAAAAAGAGAGCAGTAAGTCTCTCTCTCTCTCTCTCTCTCTCTCTCTCTCTCTTTGAACGCTGGTTTTCGGCCTGGTGTTTGATAGGGCACCTGGAAATGTGTTTGACTCCTTAGCTCTCATCAACATTAGTGCACACCCTCAAGAGTTATGAGCAGTTTCCATTATATGCAGCTCTTCGACTAATGATTGCAAGGCAGTTCGAGGTTGGTCACATGTGGATCGTACTGTTTAGTATGAGCATGCGACTTGGTGGATATAACTCGTTAAATGTGGTATATGAGAGGTGAATACTCAGAGGTCATCAAATCAGTTCCTGAAGCGATCATGTATTTCCTTTTTGACGATAGGCTCATTGTACTACCTAGATAACCCAACGTGTGTTATTGCTAATAACTTATAAGATCAAATGTCGGTGAGCATCTGCTAAACAGACACCATGGACTCATTGATTGGTGGTAAACTAGCTCAGTGCTAATATGCCTGGTCTGGTTCGTACGTCCCTAGTTTTCAATCGTGATCCGTAGAATAATCAAGACTCAATGCCTAAGCCTTTAGTAGAGAGGCTCAAAGATTCAGAGTTCTGGATCTGAAGATATTGACTTTATGTTCATGGCAGTTTTATTTCCACGCTTTTACTAGTGGTTACGGCTACTACCACGCCAAGACCCACTAAAGTACACGCACCTCCATATCTAAACATTGCCAACTCCAGATCAGCAATAACTCCAAGCTACAACCCACCCCCTCTTTCACCATGGCTGATGCACAATTTGATAGCGCACTGTATGTTATCTCTCTTGAATTTCCATACCACTCTCCTTGAGATCCCTGGGAAATGCGACCCGCATGGCAATTCCAGGAGTCTCCCGTAACCCCGCTACATGTGCATGCAAGCTGATCATTCCCTCCCAGCGACCTCCTTCGGCGCCTGAATCCCCGTGATACTAAGGCTAACCTGCAAGCGATCACCACAATTGTTCCCGACCTGACCGAGGATCTCCTTTCTTCTGTTGATCAACCTCTGGAGATTCGCCGGTGCCCTCAGACCAGCCGCGACTACTTGCTCTGCGACTACAACCGTGACGGTGACAGCTACCGTTCACCATGGAGCAATGAATTTGATCCACCACTCGAGGACGGAACAGTTCCCAGTGAGCGAGTGCGCAAGCTTGAAGTTGCTGCAAATGAGGCCTTTGATGTGTATCGCGAACTCTACTATGAGGGTGGCGTAGGGAGTGTGTACTTTTGGGATTTGGACGATGGATTTGCTGGTGTTATTCTGCTCAAGAAGGGTAAGGCATTTGATAAAATCACGCCGGCATTGTGTTAAGTGTAGTGGCTGACATTTTTCTCGCCCAGGGGTTACTCCAGGCTCTCAGAGCTCCGGCGAATGGGACAGCATTCACGTATTCGAGGCCACCGATCGTGCACGCATGTCCCACTATAAATTGACCAGTACTGTGATCCTTCACCTGGCCAGCGAGAGCCAGTCTCTGGGTGAGATGGACCTAAGTGGCAACATGACCCGGCAAGTGGAGGTTGATCTGCCCGTGGAGTCCGATGCCAGCCATGTCGCCAATGTTGGTCGGCTTGTTGAAGATATGGAATTGAAGATGCGGAACTTGCTGCGTAAGATCTCTTCCCATACAAGTATTTCCCTTTGTAGTTACTTACCTGGATTATACAGAGGAGGTCTACTTTGGTAAGGCTAAGGACGTTGTGGGAGAACTTCGGAGTAAGTTATAATCATAGAATCCCGCAATCTGTGTAATTCATTACTGACTGAACCTTTAAGGTCTGGCACCACTCTCGGACGCCAACCGGGACCGCGCAACACAGCTGGAGATGATCAAGTCTATGCAGAAGTAGACTGTTTTTGTAACCACAACCCATATGAAGGAAGGCTGAATCGGCTCAGAGAGTCCAAGTTTAGATAGCCTTTAGTGTTGAAATTTCTTCTTTGCATAGCCAATATCGAACATCTGCTACTTATTTATCGACCTGTGTTGTATTTCATATAGTTCTCTGCTGTGATCCTCAAAATCACGGGGTATCAAAGGAGATGAGAAATAAAAGAATAAGAGGTATCCATCAATCAACCTGCATCTTTTCAGCCTCATTGGACTGGTTCGAGTTCATCTGTGTATACTCCTCAGTCTCGTCCAAATTCTCCACAAATTTCCGAGCTGCTGCCCACAGCTCAGCTTCTTTGTCCTGTCCAACTGTATTCTTCCGGCTATTCAACCAACTGATGTCCAGGTGGTTGGAAGCACCAGATACAACACCGGCAGCACCAGCTCCAGTGGTAATTGCATCTGTTCGAGAGTTTGAATCTGGAGCGAGGAGGGAAGCCTCCTCCAAAGCATAGACTTGGCGGCGAAGGCGTACATCAATGGAGGAGAGAAGGGCAAAATAGTGTGTGGTAGCTTCTTTAAACTGAGTCTTGTGCGATTCGAGGGAGCTGTGAGGCATTGTGGAATCTCCTGGTGTATTGGTTAAGGCCTTGATTGCTAGACCAGCAGAATTAATCAGTTTGGTAACATCCTGAAGGGGGAATAATAAATTAGCAGATGATTCCAGAATGTGAAGCTGTCGTAAGTTTACCTTGTCAATGTCATTCAATTGACGGATCCGATCGTCAGAACTGAAGCTATGTGCTGATACCTGTGGCATTTCTTCACTCATTGTTTAAAATCAGTACAGGCTTGACAATACAGGCTTGACAATTGAAGGATAAGCTCTAGTTGGGGGGTGTGAAAGAAAAGGTGATGGGCAGGCTCACGTGAAATGCAAAACCTGGGGCAGCTTACCTAAGCTGTGCATATCACGTCCGAATATCAATTGACATCCCGTGAATCCCTAATTTTGAACGTCCTTCTTCATCCTCCACAGCTTATTGATCTCTTAGAGTTGTTAGACCAATACCTGTCATTTAAGTCTCAATTAAATCTAGCCCCATCACCATGTCGGCGCCAGGTGGCGCTCCTAGTCCTGCGCCTAGGAGTGGCAGCATGGGACCTGGCGCAAGTGGTAACAGCATGCCTATGTCGCAACAACCTATATCTGGGGCTCCAGCACCTTCTCCAGGACCTGCACCACCTCAGAGTGGTGCCATGTCACAGCAAAATCTAAATCAAATAGTATGTATCCACAAGTGATAACTTCATCCTGTTTACTGCCCGTTTCTTGTTCCCTCGGCGGTGCCTTCCCTTTTGCCCAGATTTGATATCTCTGATTTTATTTCTGTTTTTTCTCTTAATATCTTACTCTCTTGCATTCAACCTGAACTGGATTTCACAATGTCTTCCCCAGAGATGGTAATTTCGAATGAAGAGTTGGTCCAAAAGGTATGTAAGAGACAAGATTGAGAACACAGACAGTTTAAACATGACGAGGAGCGCAAGGTATACTTGATTCATCATTCAAGTTCCCACTTTTCATCTTCCCCCTCTTCTTCCTACTTCTATTTCTTCCAATTTCTCTAATCCCACCTTTTTCACCTATCCTCTTTTTTTATTCAACTTTTCATCCTTTGTTGGTCCTATTTGTTTGAAGATGGATGAACCAGGTTCGACTCCCGATTCTGAAGCTGCCTCCCCTGGAAGGACATCGTCTCAAGACGTTATTCGTGCCAACGACACTCGAGTTGCACAAGCTCTTGCCCAGGAAAGATCTGCCTATGAGTCACTGAGAAGAGTGACTGCTCGTTCTGAAGAAGAGATTGCAGAAGATGCTCGTCGAGAAATCAGCATGGCCGCATATTCCCAGAACCTACGAGATCGCGCGCAGCAAGCCCGAGATCGAAATGTTATCTCCAAGGCAATTTCCGAGGAAAAACGTGCGCAAAACAGACTTCTCCGGCCAGAACGTGAACGCCTGCGGGAAGCCTGTGTTGTCCAGCGCCGTCTCCATGAAGAAATACGTCCCCAAGGACAAATCACACAGGATCCACACAATCAATCATCATATCTCCAGGGGCAGGCAGAACTTCATTCGGCAGAATATGAGCAGACAGTTGACCATATAGTTACCTCGACAGTCACTAATCAAGGCAACATTGCTGGACAAATCACTGACACTCGACAACAGGTGATCGATTATCTTGCAAAAAAAGGCTACAGCCGTACTGAGGCTATGCTTCGTATGGAATCTTCCAATCAAGAGATGGACGGTCGACCTCTTCCCCCTCTCGCAGAGGATGCACGCCCCAAGTTCAAGCAAGGATTTGGTAAGCAGACTTTCTTTTCCCGTTACTGTCGAATGCATGCTAACTAATTATCTAGGTCTCCTCAAGGCATGGGTTGAAGAGAACTTGGATCTTTACAAGGTATGAAAATCTTTGTTCCGAATCTAATCTTGGGAGCTGCTGACATACATATAGCCGGAGCTTCGCCGTGTTCTATGGCCACTGTTTGTCTATTCGTATCTTAACATGATCACCTCATTCTACCCACAGGTGGCCGCCGAATTCTTTGAAACTCACAAGAGCATGTTTCTTCCTGAGCACAGTGATGATATTCGTATATTTCAGCCGATTTCTCTCCCCGAACACGTGCAGGAAAATCACTTGTCGAAGCTGTATCGCTCAAATAAATATCGGATCACTCTCAGCGCACCCGCATACGCCAATCTTGTGCAGTTCCTTGAAAGCAAGGAAAAAGAAGGAGCGTCTCTTATGCTGGCGATTCTGAGCAGCTACTGCTCGGTAAAGACCGTAGAGCGTGCCGCTGATGACCGATTCAGCTTTGCAGCGATGCTTGGTCAGAATGACCCTAGCCAGGTACTCCCTACAGAAGATGACGGTATTCCCGGCCACCACCCCGGCTCGGCTTATACTGGTGATAACCCAGCCATGGCGGGCACCTTGACCCGACTCAAGCTTGGAAAGTTGCCAATGGAACCGGAGATGGAGGAGGATGTGCGTGAGGAGCTCACAGAAGAGGATCTCAAGGTCCCTCCTCTTCCTGGTCGTAACTCTCTCATCGAGCAGTTTGATCAAATGATCAAGAAGGAGGACGATGATGAGGCTCCCACACGTGCGGAAATTCCTTTCCCTCCCTCGACTGCACGTGATATCGCCATCGAAGTAATCAAAGTCAAAGAGACCCGTGATCGGTACAAGATGGATACTCGTACTGGAGGTGTGGCCCCCGGTGCCAGTGTGTGCATGTTTACCTTCCACAATACCTTCGACAGGTTCGTTCCCTTTTTTTTTCCCCTCGCAGCTAAGTGACCCCTTTACTAATAAATTGAACAGCATCAACTGTGTTGATTTCTCTGACGACAACGAACTGGTGGCTTGCGGATTCGCTCAATCGTACATTCGGGTTTGGACTATTGATGGCAAACCCATCGAGCCAGCCTATCCTGAAATCGATGATTTGCCTCCAACTAATTCTCGACGTCTCATTGGCCATTCTGGCCCTGTTTATGCGGTCTGCTTTCAACCTTCCGGTACTCGACCGGAGACTGATAGAGAAGATATTGTGCCGACGAATGCACGTTTCCTTCTCTCATCGTCTGATGATAAGAGTATTCGCCTCTGGTCTCTTGATAGCTGGGCATGTCTCGTCGTCTACAAAGGCCATGATCGCGTTGTGTGGGATTTGAGCTGGGGACCTTTTGGTCACTACTTTGTTTCAGGTGGAGGTGACCGCTGTGCCCGTCTCTGGGTCAGCGACAAGATCGTTCAGCAGCGCATTTTTGTTGGCCATGATCAGGATGTGGAGCTGGTCCGTTTCCATCCCAACTCTGCCTATATTTTCACCGCTGCTAGCGATAAGACCGTTCGCATGTGGGCTGTCACCACTGGAAATGCCGTGCGTATGTTCACAGGTCACACTGGTTACATCACAGCAATGGAATGCAGCAACAACGGAAAAATCCTGGCGACTGCAGATGATCAGGGTACAATTATCTTGTGGGACCTTGCGCCGGGTCGACTGCTGAAGCGTATGCGTGGCCACGGAAAGGGCGGTATCTGGTCCCTCAGCTTCAACGTTGAGTCGAATCTCTTGGTTTCTGGTGGAGCTGATGGTACTGTCCGCGTCTGGGATGTTACTGGCCCTGCAGATGGTACCCAAGGACGCGTGTTGGAGCCGAATGGTGGGGCTCCTATGGATGCTGGCAATGCCACTGCTGGTGCTACCGGTCAGGGCAAAAAGAAGAAAAAGAAGGGCAAAGATGTTGTCGTTAGCGCTGATCAGATCAGTGCCTTCCCGACCAAGAAGACCCCTGTCTACAAGGTGAAGTTCACTCGTATGAACCTGGTCGTTGCGGCTGGAGCATTTTGCCCCCAAATGGGACAATAACTTCAATGTGAGCTGGAGACTAATTACTCTGCTAAGTAGCATCAAAAATATGAATGATAATCATTATCTTCGGTCATTCTAACTTAATGACTTAATTTTTGAACCAGTGTCAACTTCTTTCGTAATTCGTGTGTAATAGAGTAGAAGATCAAGTCCCCGAAGTCTTTGTGTAAATAATTTGAAATATGATTGATATGAACAAAAGTAGTTTCCGTCAACAGAAGTCTACGTAAAGCTACGTACACAGTTAAGTAGGTCCTCTCCTGCTATGCTTCTATTTTCATTATGTAGATTCTAATGCGTACCAGATCCTTGAGTTTTATCAATATCCTCGTACGATTGATCGTTGATGACTCGCTAGCTGCTGATTAACGCAGCTCCACATCTCAAAATTAGGCGGTGTAGATCGACCCACCACGGCCGTGGTGTGGGTCGCTAAAAGGCACTAGTACTAGTCAGTACATTCCCTTCTTCTAGAAAGTAGATGTATATCCGAAGGAAAGAACCTCTCAGAAATCACGCCAAAATAGAAGCTGTTATAGAGCCCTCCATTTTTTAACAAAATGAATTTTCTCTCAAGATCCTTGCGCTGGATTAGCAGCGCCGAAATTGATGACAACAACATCATGGGTGGTTTGTTCAAATTTGCTGATCTTGTGATCTTTGATCTTGGGTTTCTAACGTGAAGGATTCCAGATAATGACCCATTACGCTCGCCCAGGGAGCACACGGTTATCGAACTTGCTCGTATACTCGATGCGCAAACTTTCATTCATGTTAGGGGTACTCCTGCGTCAGGAAAAACGACCCTCGCACGTCTCCTCGAAGCCTTTTACCGAAAGAAGAATGTCCCTGTAATCGCGTTCTACAGCTGGTCATTGACAGCTGGTCAGTCGTATAAGCAAGTTTTGATGCAAGAGGCTCGGGAACGCGGATATACGCAGTTCGACCGTCAATTCCTACAAGACGGCAGCTATGTGCTGATCATCGATGAAGGCCAATTGACCTACCAGGATGAAGCTTTTTGGATCGAAATGATCAAAATGCAGAGTCGCAGACATTGGGGGCCGCGAATTTGCATGTTCACTTGCTATGGATCCCCAACAGAAGGGTCAGAATCGATAAATATTGCAGGAAGCCCACTGGCCCACCTGGGCCCTGAACAGCGTGTTTCAATAACCGTATCTCACATCGAGTATTCACCATCGATTGCGCTTTTTTATGACGCTACAGAATTTTTTGATGTTGTTGTTCGATTCTGCGTTCAATCGCATCGGATTCCTGAACTTAGACTAGACAGCACTGCGCAGAGATACATTTTCGAGCTTACTCATGGTCATCCGGGTGCCGTTGACGCCATGCTTCAAATGTTGTGGACGTTCTATCACAGTGCCCTTAAACACCAAGGGCTGATAATTACAGATGAACACATCATTCAAAGTCTAGACAATGAAGAGAAAGCTTTCCAACTACTTATGTCAGAAAATATTCGCCGTTCGTTCCCCAGACGCGGAAAAGTCACTACAGAAGCAGTTGAAATTCTTCGTAAGACTTTATCTGACGGAAGCGTGACGAAAGATCTTGCCAACCCTGGTGTCAAGCAGTGCTACGAAAATGGCTGGCTGCACTCAGAGCCTAAAGACTTCGATGGAGATGAAATCCTTTGCGTATTCCCAACGCGCCTACATGCTAAATTCGTGGAATATTACTGGACAAGCAACAAACTGGATTTCCCGATCTGGAGGTTCCCTGACATCGGCTGTTTGGCTCGAGAGGTTCTGGCCCAATTTTCACCGAGAAACATCTCTAGTGCCATCCGTATGGGGTACGCTGCAATGGCTCGCCCATTTGAAGCTTCATACCAGGATGAGTTCTATCGAGCTAGCCATCAGGTTCTTGGTTATGCCATGAACGTCACAAGCGAGTGGTCTTCAGGAGGGCGCGGGCGAATAGATTTTCGATTTGCTCAGATAGGGTGGGGAGTAGAGCTCATCAGAGAGGGGGATCGCCTGAAAGAGCATTGTTCGAGATTTGCTCCTGGTGGCACGTACGCACCGTGGATCTCCACTGGCCTTTTAACCCAATGGTTGATTATTGATTGCAGGACAAGCTGGCCAAAACCGCTTAATCCCCCCGAACCAAAGCTCTGGCGGGCAGTTTTTTCAGAAGATTTTGGCTCAGTCCAAATTCTGGATTCATCAAATTCCCCTATTGGAGCCCCAATACCCCTAATGTCATGAAGCTCCCCCTTGAGCGTACCTTTGTCCTTTAGGAGTACAGCATCATTTCTTTCTTCTGTTTCCATGCATTGGCTCGAAGTTGTACTTTTTAATGCTTGTTTTTTTGCTTTGCGAAGTGAAAACGTTGGTGTTTCTTCGTTGCTCCTAATAGCTAGCCATCAGCTACTAATCAAACTATTTATCCATCATCCCTTTTTCAGTACATTAAAATTTAGTGAATAGGTAGCGACGCCTAGCATGACAGATCCGATCTAGAGGCGCACCGTTTAATTTTCTCTTATTGTGTGGATTAGAGGACTGATTACCACCCTGTGTACACGCTTTCTACCCAACCAGACAAGGATTACTATATAATAATATCTTTCCATATTGTTGAGTGAGTGAGTAGATTTTATGGGCGCTTTTTGTCAAGGGATCAGGAAGCACACTATAATACCTATATATCGAGAAATTGAATTCAACAGTATTGAGCGAATGATTCTTTACTCGATGAATTGAAAGTAGCTCGGCTTCAATTAGTCAATCAAATCTAGTTTTAACCTCACTCACCTCTACTCTAGACAGATAGACCTATCTCATATAATCTCAAGCTTAAACTGACTAGTATGTACGATCACGGAGTGTGGATTAAGTACGACTAAGCGAATAATAGCATTGTTATACTCGCAGCGAAGATTATAGACTCGTTTGATAATAGGCTCGTTACAATCGATAAGGATGATGGGGATGTCTGGAATGAAGGCGGATGTCGGGAAAAGTAATGTCGGGAACGTGAAAAGGCTGGTGATAGTGGTCTTGGTGGTATTGGCATGTATTGCGAGGATGGTGAGTATGATGGTGTTGCAGGTAAGATTGGTGGATAGATTATTGAATCTGGGCTATAAAGAACTGGTTCAGACCTAAGGGCTATGACACGATTCCAGAAACCTTTCACACAGGTTAAATTGCTAATCCTTTGATGGTACAAAATTTGAGTATTTCTGGCATCATAAGCACAAAAATCGCTAGATTCGTCACCCCAGCCATAAATTCGGATTAGACACATGGCAGTACTCCTCGTGGTATTAACTATGTACCCAAGTATAGGTTGAATTCGAACAGATGTATGTACAAAAGTGTCAATATTGAAGATCGGTATCGATTACAGGGAGTCGTGATGAGTCAAATTATTAAAAATCTCACCTATTCATCCATAGGTCTCACTATCTCAAGTGCGCATTCTTTTCCAAGGCACCAGATCCTTTCTTCATTGCTGTGGCAGCTTGCATATCTGCCACTTTAGGCGGAAGAACCAATGCACTCCGATCATTACGCTTGTAAAAGTCTGCTAGTACCTGAGCTGTCTTCGTCGGCTGATCTTCCTGGACAAAGTGGCCTGCTTCAGGAAACACTTGAAGCTGGTATTTCCCTGCAAACAGATTCAGGAGATAAGCTTCGGCGAAATATCTTTGGAATGCAAGTATACATACCTTGCATCTGGCCGATCATCAGTTCTTTATCCAATCTATCAGTCCCTGCGAGGAGCAATAACTTTCCGCCCCGTGCGGTGAGGAACTTTTGACTCAAGCCGATGAACCAGTTTTCCCAGAATGGCTTTGTTGCGGACAGGTTCGTGCGCCATACCCATGGGCGATTCGTATCGATTGGTAGAGATTCTTCGTAAAGTAAAGATGGAACGGAAGCACGAGCTGAGATAGTATTCCTTATTGTCCGAGAGCGAAGACTTCAAAGGGGTTATTTTTAGTACGTACAATCAATTAGAAGCGCGTGGGGGTGGTGCCTACTGCCATTCAATACCTGACTCTAGGGATGAAAATCGCATCGGTCGTGTGGAGAGGTACTTTTCCATGCTTTGAAGAGCATCCATGGCAGATCCTGGTCAGTTAATATAAGACAATCTTAGACTCCGACGATATTAAAACCTACCTTCTACGACATCCAGTACCGCATAAGCTAGAAGCTTTGAGCCCAGCTCGCCGCCCTTCGCTACGTGTGTGATAACAGCTCCACCTAAACTGTGTCCGACAAGGATGATATCTGGGAGAACTTCCCAGCCCATCCGAGATTGGGTCTGCCGAATAACATAAACCAGATCTCGGCTTAGTGTTTCTAGACTCAAATCTGGCTCTATCTGGCTTTTAGCCTCAGCCTCGGCAGCATCTGCTGCTGATGGGTTGGTAGTCTCCAGACTCTGTTCTTTAGGGACTACGGTAGTGCGGCCATGGTTCCTTGCATTGATAGACAGGATACCTGCATTGGGAAGGATCTTGCGGATCTCATCGCCACATGTTGCGAACGAAAGACCTGATGAGCCTGCACCATGGTGCATCACAAATAGTGCTCCCTTTTCACTTGGCGGTGTCAGGTACACATGGTGGATGATCTGGAGATCGTCCGTCTCTTCAGCTAGAAACAGCTCCTGTGCGAAGAAGTCTATCCAGCTTAATGATTTCGATGATTGTCTGGAGTCTGTCATTAGTACGGATATTTCAAGACTCGAACAAGTATCAATGGATCTGATGGAAGAATTTGAATATCAAAGTGGCAGTTCTACCTCTGGTTTGTACGAGCAAACAAATGCCTTGTTGGCGATGGAATCATAGTTCCAGTAGAAGATAAGGAGGAAGAAGACAAGCTATCATCCTCTCTTACCTTCGATATCTTATCAGGACTATACATATCAAATCCTGGAGCTTCAGGGGGAAATTTAGCCAATTTAGACTTGGCGAACGATTTCTGGAGTTCGCTCATGGAGTGCGGGGCAAACCGTCAGAAATTGGTCGAGATCGACAGTGGCTTGGTCTGATCTAATGGTTTAGATGGTCGATCTGGAGAGTCCCGATCAAGACTGCCCAGGCTGAGGTCTGAGCTTGACAAATTTGGTTATTCTTGTCAATTGGAATTTCATGAGAGTTGTTGACAGTTGAACTTGGATCATCAGTTTAGACAAAAAGATGCTGACTAAGGGATTTTAATTCCTAACTACTTAAAACTAGTTAACTGTCAACATCCAGTTAATAAGAAACCAGTGATTGATATGACTAACACTCACAATAACCTTTTAAATGGGTCCAAGGCTCAATTCAATAGAACATCTTGAAAGTTGCTTTTTCCAATCAATGACGTCACACATCCATCTCGTCAAACTTGGCTTTCTACTAAAACCTGCCAAACCCTTGCATTGAATTTCTGCCTACTTTCAATCTGAGAATACATTTGTTATTTATTGGATTTCTCACCTTGAAACTTCCATAATCACGGCCTGTTCCTATCACCATCACAGATGGCCTCCAAGAGGTCCGACGAACGCCTTCGTCGAGATGAGGCATATGAAGAGCCAACAGAGCGCAGTACCTTGCTGCCCAGAGATGCCAACCCATATCTGAGTCCAGATGACCCAGCTGTAAGCCTGGCTACCAAACAATGCAGCTTTAGAAGCCAAATCTAACAGAACAATATAGGTTTCGCCTTACAATCTATGGAGTGTGCGCGCCTTGCATGGACTTGCCCTCGTTGGACTGGCAATCACCTTTGTGTGGTGGACATTTCTGCTAGTTTCGACTTTCGTTAGCCCACCGAAGATCTATTCTCGAGGCTCGGGCTTCCTCCCATTTTCGTACACCATGCTCGCAAATGGATATCTACTCCTCGGTCTTTTGTTCTTTTCCGTCCCTTCAAAGGCAATGACCGTTTGGAACAGTGTTCTAGCCGTATTGATGTTGGTCAATATGTGCATCATTTTGGCTGTCCCGCGCATTCGTCTCGAAGAAGGCTGGATCGGTATCGCCTCCGTTGTCTGGATCTCTATTGTTGCTCTATACGAAATCATGCAGAATGGTGTGGTGGCTTGGGGTAAGCGTGAAGAGGAGGAACGACTTACAGGGCGCGAGGAAACTCGTCGTTCGGTACGAGAATGGCTGGCTGTGACCATCGAGATGGTTGTTATGGTCATCATGGCTATTGTGGCTATTCTCTTCACAGCGACTCTGAGTCTGCGTGCTGGCGACGCTGGTCTTGCTCCTCCTGGTCACCGCTATAATGTCCATGGCAACACCTATCAAGTCCACTTGGCTTGCGTTGGAAATCGCACCGTGGAGAATGAAAATGAGCCTACGATCTTGCTTGAAGGTGATTATGGGCCTGTGGAGCATACCTTGCAACCTTTCATTGACGACGTGTATGCGCGTGGAATCATCGGCCGATACTGCTACTGGGATAGACCTGGAATTGGGTTTTCAGATAACGCGCCATCTCCCCATTCGGCCGGCATGTCTGCAGATGTGCTCTCGGAGGCACTGGCTCTGGCCAATGAAACTGGACCTTGGATTGTAGTTTCGGCCGGAGTCGGCAGTCTTCACTCTCGTATCTTCGCTAGTCGCCATCTTCTCCAAGTCAGTGGGATTTTCTTGATAGACCCACTCCATGAGTATTATCTCGGAGATATTGGGCGATCTGGTCGAGGATTTGTGCTATGGCTTCGTGGAGTGATTTCTCCGCTTGGGCTCGATCGCCTTACTGGGGCTCTTGTCAGAGGTCGTAACTCGAAAGATCGTGTTATTGGACGTTCTGCCCATCAGTCTGACAAGTTTATCAAGGCCAAGCTGCAGGAGAATCTTGTGGCACTCACAATGACACAAGCTGAGGTCCAGTCGGCTCGTCACATCCAATTAAGCGATACTCCACTGGTTGTTGTGAGCTCTGGTACTGAGATGAAAAATTCTAAATGGAGCGAAAAGCAGGAAGATCTTACTAGCATCACTAATAATCTTCTCGCCTGGGATGTCGTTCAAGACGCTCCGCATTCCGTATGGGAAAGTCCTAAGGGTCGACAGGTTTTGGAAACACGGTTACGTGATATTGTTAAGGATTCGAAGCGGTCTTACTGAGGCTTTGCGGCATAGTTTGTTGATATTTTCTTTTACCTAGCGTGTCAAGGGGAGTTCTGTGTCGACCATTTCCTTTTGTTTTCCTCTGGTGCTTTCATAACATGTTTTCAGAATCTAATGGCAACAATTCCGGTCTCTCCTCCGGGATGAAACTACTCCGTACAGATTTTGTCTATCAATTTGGTACGATATTTAGTGAAGGACAAGTCAAATGAAATTTATTAATGGTCATCGCTGAACCATAATTGTGTCTGAAATTGATGGCCTCAAGTGTTGAATAGACATGCAAAGGGAATCCAACGAATTGCAGAACCTTCAATGCTATGCATGCTAGATCTCAATGAATTAAAAGAACAACCAACCCTTGAAAGCGAATCAAACCCACTCATAAATCTCCATCACTCATCAGTCGTCATTCAATTTCAGCGACATTGATGGAGGTAGGAAAGGTACTGGAAAAGGGTAATATGGGGTAATCGAGCGCCGAGTGAGAGTGAATCCGGAGTCATAGCATGTTTTCTGGAAAAGACAAGTGGTATGGAACGAAGACGGCCGTATGAGAATAGGAACCGAGCGGTGGATAATAGGCTGTTAATCTAAACTAGCTCCCTTAAACCTCTTAGCAAGCTGTTCGCTGTCGATATTGGAATTTCTGTTGCGGGAAAAATTGACAACAGGGCGAGGAGCGTCAGCCACGGGGGACCGGGGGCGCTTAGGGGGGCGCTCACCACTCTCATGAAGGATTGTCATCAAGGTTGCCCATCCAGACGTGTTCAGTAGTTGCATTCCATCGCCTGGGGAGTGCATGGTGGCAACTCGGCCAAGAAGCGATTCCTCGTCCTGTCATTGGCGTTAGTTGAAAGGTTCTAAGTAGTGAAATCCCTAGATATTGCTCGCGTCAGATATACCGACCTTGTTAAATGTGCCAAGTCCATGCAAGAAGCACAAAAGGTGGAAATCCGAGACTCCTAGAATGGCCTTGTCTGGGTCTCCGTGAGAAATGATTTGCCGAGCTACATGACGTAATTCCTGGCTCTCGCCGACTACCTCGCGGTTCTCGATGGGGAAGCGACTATTTGTGAAAAGAGGGTTTGAGTCGGTTGGGAAACCATGGGTAAGTGTAACAAGCAAAAAGTCAACGGGGAAGCTTGGTTTGGCGTTCTCCTGAACACTTGCGCCGTGCTCATTGATTCGGCGGAAGAAAACCTCGGGAATGTACCTTGCTCTACGACCAGTATCATCTTCTTCCTCTGACTGGACCAACATGACCGATGGGTCTGCAGAGGGCTCAACAATGTCGGCTCTAACCATTTCGACTGCTGAAACAGTGGCCTGGTATGAGCTCACTGCGATAGCTCCAGCCTCATCACCACTGAGCACACACGTTACAAAATCAGAACTAAACCGTCCAGTTCGGCTCCATTTTGTCACCTTGGGGTTTTGTGCCTGTAGACGCGAAGCAAAAGCCACCTCGAGAGAGGAGAGGTAGTAGGAGTCAATATGTCGCTTGCAAACCACAGTGCCATCACCACGACCCGCATCTAGAAGATCTGTGAAAATCACCCCGACCTTCTGCAGGCCACACAGATGTGCCACTTCATCTACCTCATTCTCATTATGCCAGTCATGAAGTGTCACGCCATCAACCTCGCCCATCTGCGGGGGTTCATAGATTGCCTGGACAACTGCTTTAATACCAAGAGGCACCTCGGTATATTCTTCGTATGTTCCGTAAAGAAATCCGATCCGTTGGGAGCCTGATTTTCGCCAAAAGTCCAACAATGAGTTGATCAGATCAGGAGACGAGAATTCCACGTGGTCCACCATACGATATTCCTGGGGCTGTAAACTGATTGCGCTGGGTTGGCACTTAGTGCATATACCCTCGGGCCACGCAGGATGACCGGCCGGACAATCACTTTTCACTCGATAAAAGGGCTCGCTGAGGGGTGGCATGTATGAGCTTCCAACTTCGGGCTTGTTAGTGGCAGCATTGATTTTTCGCAGGTAAGAATGGAAAGAAAGGTGTTTGATTTTCTTTTCCGCCAGGTAGTTCTTGTCATAGGGTTCTAGTGGCATGCAGTAATCGCACATTCCACGAGGGCCATGCTTGCACATCCGCTGATCTTGCTTCCGTTTGATCTTTCCATCTGTTTTGTCCAGAATATCGTCAAGTGGGGACTGCTTCACTACGTCCCAGGGATTCTTGATATTCAGAGGGAGCGAGGCAGGGCGTGGATGAAGGCTAACGGTCTGTTCTTGGGGTGCTACAGACCCGTTCAGTCGACGATCGGTAGTGGTTGTGGATCCGTTGGCGGAGCCATTTTGTTGAACTGCGCCTTCTTGGTACCCAACAAACAATTTATCACCATGTCTTCAATGCACGGTTAGTAAATGAGATTATCATAGCTGGAATTCCAGGGTATTCCCACTCACTTCAGGCCAACATTCTGGATGGTGACGCCCTCTAGACCCTGTAGCTCTCTTTCTTCACCGCCGGTGCCTATCGGGCGATTAGACACCACAAGGGAAGACGGTTCGATTTCTGATGGCAAATTCTCTATAATCTGTGGTAAATCGAAATTAGAGGTCGTCGTAGGTTCAGGTCAGTTGGAGTATTTACCTTCTGCTGAAGAGAAGGGAAGGAGTCTTGTGGGTTGACGGTGATACGAAATTGGCCATTTCGACTTTCAAATCGCAGAAGGATAGGCCTGGAAGCCATCTCGGGTTGAATGAATGAATAATCCAAGGATAATTCTTGGAAGGATATGGGGGTGGGGGAAAAGTGAGAAAACTGTCAGTGTCAACGAAGCTTGACGCAAGTCACGTCACAGCTGGCAGTAAATAAAGGCGGTGAGAGTAAGGCAGATCTAGATCTTTCTAGGTACACTCTTCGGTTTTGGTAGATGGATGCCTTTGAATAAGAATTTGGCATGCTTTTAATTGTAAAGTCATGTCTAATAAATCTAACGTGACTAGAGTCTATTGCATTAATCATCCATCTACCTGGGTAGTGAGTGGCTGTGACCTTTCAAGGCTTCTTCTTAGCTTAGTCATTCTCTACTGATGTCGATGAGCTTCTTGGACTGATCCTTGCAAGGTTGTGTTCATATAGAATTCGGATATATACTAGGATGTGCCGTGACAAGCTACTGGACACTCACTGGGCTTGATTTTCTTTCTAGAATTGTAGCTATATCATGTTTGAATCTCGACCTGGCTAAAGTAGTACTACACGCTTATGGTTGTACATTTAGGTACCAAGATAGCCGACCTCGATTTACCCCGAAATTAAAACTACAGTCGAGACAATGAAAAATTTGAAGTCATTATATTTATAGTCGTCTTTCTAAGTCGTAAGAAAGAAGCCTTATTTCCATATGATTATTATAATCCCAAAGCCATTGACAACTCTCAGAAGAAGATATAAAAAAAAGATAAATGAAGGTGGAGCGCAAGAGACCCAATCATTGAATGATACACTTTTTGGGTAGTCCACATGGTCCTTCACTACTCTTCTCCTTCTCTACTCTGGGGGTATCTTGGCCCTGCAAGGGCTGCGTAGCAGCCGCAGGGACCGAGGTCTCAGGCTTGGACTCAGACTTGCTATCATGCAGTCAGACTGCCTTGGCAACAGTCTCGTAGAAAGCCTTACCCTGAGCCTCAGCAATCTCGAGCTCGAGCTTGGTAGGCTGGCGAGAACCATCACCAGCCTAGAGGGTTGTTAGTATCAGACCAATCTCTTTTAAGTGTAAAAATGTGTGACTTACGGCGAAAGAACCGGCACCCCAGGGGGAACCTCCGTGGATCTCGTCGAGGTTGGCAAGCTGGGCGGAAGTGTGTTTGTAGCCCAGGGGAACGTAGATGAGACCGTGGTGAGCGAAGGTGCTCAAAGTAGCAAGAGCAGTGGACTCCTGGCCACCACCCTGGGTACCAGTGGAGATGAAGAGACCAGCGTACTTGCCCCAGTAGCCACAAGACTGCCAGATTCCACCAGTCTTGTCCCAGAACTCTCTCCACTGGGCGGGGTGGTTACCGAAGCGAGTGGGGATACCGAAAAGGATACCATCGTAATTTAGCAGATCTTTGGGGGTGACAACATCATAGGCACCAGCACCGGCGTGGGCACCGTCAATACGGAGGATGGTGGCCTTACCACCAGCGGCCTCGACACCCTTCTTCTCGGCTTCGGCGAGAGTGGCAACGTGGCCGTAAGCGGAGAACTATAAGAACGTTAGTCAAATGTCAGTTGATTCATTGATGGATTGGGAACGTACGTAGACGATAGCAATGTTGGGAGCCATTGTGGAGTATAGAATATAAAATGATATGGATTGGGGAGAGGTACAGTGGCGGGAAAGGAGTATTTATAAGTTCCCCGCACTGTAGATGATGCGATAGTAATTGCGGAATTATGGGATCATTTCAAATCCGCAATCAATCACATCAGTCATTGATGACATGAAGGAATGGAAAAAGTGATTGGATATATTGGACCCACATTGACAGGATCGAGTTTAGTTTAGTTTAGTCTACTCTGACCGATCTTTGACAAATACTCCATGAGCTTTATTAACCGCGCATTTGGTTCAAGGGTTAGTAGTCCGTAACTAAGCGATATTATCCAACTAACTACTTTACCGACATTTGATCTACCAACCACAAAATTGTTGGCAACAATGGTGCCACACTATCCAAAAGTTTAGTAACGATTAGTACCCATTTTGCCCTGCGTCTTAGCTTCTTAGCTTGCGTGATTGTATATGATGTCATCAATCTAGACTCTAAATCCGAGTATACAGAGGAACTGATACTTTGTAGTAACTCATACATAAAAGTGAAGGCATTTGCTGAAACTGAGCTAATCTATATTAGGAAAGTGGATTCGTGTGTACGTACTGGCCAATAGCTCCAGCTTCTGGACTATTGTGCTCCGTACAGAACCCAGGAGTGCACACTGTCTTTAAATATGGCCATTTTATACGGAGAAAGGGAAATAAAATAAAAGGATCAAAAGAGGTGATAGTATTTGGGTATCTCAAGACTAGTCCATTCAAGGCCAAAAATAAAATAAACAGATGAGAGATTGGAAGCTTATCCCAACGAAACACCGCAGAATATACGGTGAAAGAAGTACGTTGGGGCCTCAAATTATCCCCTGCCTCGTCCCCGATACCGTCCCCGCATGAATCCACCGCCTCTACCTCGTTCGCTCCGCCATTCGCGTTCTCTCTCCTTTTCGCGCTCTTGCTCTTCGCGAATGAGAGCACGTTCGTGTTCCAATTCCTCCTCCGTCTTTTCCGTTCGTATCGTAGGCCGCGGGAGGTTCTCAACCCACCGGGGGTGCGCGTCGGCGCACCCCTTACCTTCAGGACAGAACCCGGCAAGGTAGAATAAGCATAAACGACGACGAACATGTCGCTTTGCGCAGAGAGGGCCTAATTCGCAGAATCCTCGATCGTAGTGCTCGCATGGTGGAAGTCTGGCCTCCTCTCGAACGTGTTGATATAGACAGTCATCGCCATTGGGGCAGTATCCGGATCGGGAGAAGGACTGGCATTCAGGCATGCGACGCAGGTTGTATTCGTGCAGATACTCGCACTTCACTCCCTTCTTGCACAGTCCCTTGAGGAAATGCTTGCATACTAATGATCCGTGTGTTGTCGATGGGGCCAGACCAGAGGCTGTGGTTGTGGAGGTAGTTACACGGGAAGGTGTGGGATGTCGGTCTGGGCAGGCGGGTCCCAAGGGGCAGTGTCCCTCACTGTAAGCTTTGCAAACGGGGACATCGCTGGCGAGTCCAAAGCCAAAGCTTTTGCGGAGGAATGGCGAGAAAGAGAAGTCATTGTAGCTGGGGTCGCGTGTAGGTTCGGCGGATAGAAATTGTGTAGCAGCGCTACGAGCGTCAGCTGTCATATTGGTCTTGAAGCTGATCTGACAGCTGAATAAAGGAGATGTGCAAGAAAAATAATCTGAATTTGAAAATATCCAGGGTGGCTTTGGTGGTCCTGCCTTAGGTATTGTTGCAAAATAATATTGATGGCGCTGATTCATGGAGGTATTGTAGCCTTACAAATCAGGTGTTTGTTTTGTTTGACAAGTTTGTATAGGTTTTGCTTCAACCAGTAGGTTATTTCGTTGTACATACTGGCCAAGTATTCATCCAACCTTCATCTCTCTTTCCAAGTCTTAGATACTGAGTCAAGGAGATTTTCATTTTACATAAAATATTCGTTAGATTCTGATCAAGTTTTAGGGGGTGCATATAACATTTATTTTCCAACGGCGTCGTAATAGGAATGCAGGTGGCAGAGTACTATCCTGGGCACTGACGTGTCGATATTTATGTTTGCCTTAGCTGAGACTCCACCTCCCAACCTGACGTATGAAACATCTAACGGGATAAGGTAAACCCTAACGTAAAGCACCATGGACTGACAAATCGTGGCCAATCAACCATAATAATCATACGTAAATCTCCTGGGCAAGTGAGTTGAACTCATCGTGAAGCCGAACAAGGGTGCAGGTCTGGCCTCGGTTCATCAAGGAAGTGTCATGTTATGATGCCAACGTAAGCTCGTCACGCGTTAAGCTTCCGCTGGTTTCTAAACCTGGAGTCATGATGATTATTGACTAATTTCGATACAGTGTACAGGGATATGTGTACTTGCGAATCTCACCTCATATCAATTTGAGTATTATGGTGCTCACCCCAATGAAGTGGAGGAAAACCAAGCCTTGGAGGGCAGTGTAGGCCCAGAAATACAGGGCCCAAGACTCAGGCCAAGACTTCTCTCCTCGCCTCTCGGCTATGTAGTAACAGAATCTTCATGCCTGTTCCTTGTGTAGTTATTGGCTGAATGACACGATCTCGGCCGCATTAGCTTATGCGCCCCGCATCGTCATTGTTTGCTATATGTTTGCGTGAGAGGATGAAGTTCCCCGGGTTATTTCTCCAGGTCTCATGATGAATGCAAAATTCCAAGTTCAAACTTCAACGTCGTGGTTGAACATCCCATTTAATCTAAATCATGCCCGACACGTGACATTTGTCCAAATCAGGAAAGACGGTTTTCTTCCTTTTGGTCTTTTGTATTTTCCTCTCAATTGACTTGGTTCTCTTGTTTTTGTTAATGCCATCAGATCTGTTGAGAGGCACTGCTTCTCTTCAATTATAGATTGGCTTCTGCATTTCAAACCGAACCATGCTCTCAGCCATCTTTCGTCGGCGGCCCGCACTTGACCCCGCTACTTCCACCAACTGCTATGAAGTGCCCTTGTACACAAACGCCGCGTACTATCCGAACTGGAGGATCTATCAGAAACAGCCGCCTTCATCTCTACGATTGGGGTTTATATCCCACGTGTTTTATGCATTTGCTTGGTATGTTCACAGCCAATCACAGTACGGCCACATACATAGACCTCGCACAGACGCTGATCTTGATGTGGAATATTTTCAGGGTCAAGGAAGATGGAACGGTCTATGTAAATGCGGAATCTATCTCGATATATACAGTGACTTGACTAACAGACAACTTGGATAGTTGAGTGATGAATGGGCTGATACCCAAATGCCAGTGGATGGCACAGAGGGTTGCCTGCGAGCTTTTACTCAATTGAAACAACAATACTCGAAAATGAAAGTCATACTCTCTGTCGGTGGGGGAGGAAGTGGCAGCGAAAACTTTGCTGCTGTTGCTCACAGTCGCTCTTGTTTGGATACCTTTGTCCGGACATGTCGCGAATTAGTTGATCAATTCGGACTAGACGGGATCGATGGTAGGTTTAATTATCTTTTCTCTAATCTTTGACATTAAACTGAAATTCATGATATGATAGTGGATTGGGAACACCCGGTAGATTCCAAGGAAGGAAAAGACTATGTTCATCTTCTCGCCCGGCTGCGAGAAGCATTGCCTGCACCAAAGTACGTCTTAGCCACATGTCTTCCTGCTGGTCAGTGGGCGTTGAAGAATATCGATCTTCACGCAGCTCAAAAGTACGTTGATATGATCAACTTAATGGCTTACGACTTCGCCGGATCTTGGGGGCCTGAGACTGGTCACCACGCTCAGTTGTTTGGCTCGCCTATCTCTGGAGAGTCCGCTGTTTCCTATGTGCTATCGCAAGGAGTATCTCCGAAAAAGATCATTCTCGGTGTACCGACCTATGGTCGTTCATTTCTTGGGAGCAATGGCCCAGGTCAGCGATATACTGGTCTAGGTGGTGAAGATGGAGTCTTTGACTATCAGGCTCTCCCGCGTCCTGGAACCCAGGAGTACTTGGATCAAGAAGCATGTGCGGCATACTGTGTGGGTGCGGATGGGGGCTTTGTCACTTATGATATTCCTGCAACGGTTAAGCAGAAGGCAGAATTCGTAACTTCCGCGAAACTTGGAGGGCTGTTTTATTGGCATGTCTGTGCCGATGCCCGAGGCCCACGAAGCTTGATTGAGACTGGCTATAACACTTTACATGATATGTAACCGGGTCTCCATCAGTAAGAAAATCTCAAAGCTCCTCCTGATGCCCAGGTGTGTGTTTTTTGTTTCCAATTTTGTTTTGGTAACACCTTATGTGTGTATTATTCAAAGGTGGTGAATTCTTTTTTTGAGTGCACAATATTCCATTTGAGTTTCTTCTGGTAGTCATAGCAAGATCAAACCAGCGACTGAGATGCTCATATTTTCTAGGCATTAAGTAGCCAAGAACCACTCCAGTCAAAGTCTGACCCTTCCCAGTTGGTGCCAAATAGGTCCGAGCTATAATTATTCAAATCCCGGAGGCCGTAGTTATTCACTGTATCCTCTGCCTGTGCATCCAGGACCGGAAGTGCAACATCTGGATCTTGAAAAGATTTGCATGTAGGCATTGATTCAGACTTAGAGTTCTCTTGCTCGATCAACCGCCATTGTTTGCAAATTTCGATATCAAAGTCTTCAAAGAAAGAAGCAGTGTCCAAATCAAGAGTCGGCGGCAGACCATCAAATGGGCCCTGTTCTCGAATTTTATCAGTCAGCTTATTTAGGGCTCTCAAAGGCCCGACCGCTGAAAGCCACCTTTCTGATAATTTCTGAAGTGACAGCTTCATAACCGTGATTTCATGCTCGGCGGTACTTTGGAGTTGTCTATATCGGCAACTAGAAAGTAATGAAAGTCCGGCACAAAGCGGATAAAAGGCAAAAACCGGTCCCAAGTATCGCAGTTCATCTCGCAAGAGAAACCCTTCGTATATCCCTGCTAAGAATGAAGATGCAACTAGTGACCCGGCGTGAGGGACACTGTTTGGAGTAGGTGACCGATGCAAGATAGTCAATGTCACAAAGTACATAACCAAAAGCTGTTGGACTTCCAGATTTGAGGTAATAACATCTTCTTGGGTTGCAGCGGAGATGCGTAGCTTGGGAATGACCTGTTTCGCCCATCTGTAAACTGCATTCTCGAGATCAACCCTGCGTTGCCGGGAAATCTCATGTCGCAGATAACATTCTACAGTATCTCCAAGGTGATTTGAAATCGCGCAGTATGCCACGAAGAGCTGGCCTTGGAAGTTCTCTTTGCTTGAAAAGTCGGTCATTGAAGGGGGAGGACATCGCTATCACGCAAATTGATCGTTCGTGGCCGTCCAACCCCGACTGAAATTATATTATCTCGGATCTAATAAAACAAGTCAGAAACTCCGGCTCACCCGATAGAATAAGATTGAATCTTACCACCAAAGACCACCAGAGGCGCCGGCGAAGACCCCGATCCCTAGCGCTCGGTGGTGGCTCTTTGTGTAGGCCAATTTGGAAGGCCATCGCCCCAGCTTGCCTGATCCAAAAGCCACTCGTATCCGTAGAGACATCTTCAGGCCCTACAGGATTGTACCAGTGCAGGAGACAAGCAGCCACAATCGATATTAATGATCCATGTCCCCCGCCAAAGAAGAATAAAAGCTTGGCACGTCGATAGAAGGTTTCGCTTGATCCATAGTCCAAATGGGCTTTGGATACTCTACTTCCAGCGAGAAAAATGGACTGTAAGAGAAGCATAGATGGTGGTGCACTGTCATCGAGCCATTTAGGATCAATAACTGGGGTCCATGGCGCACAAAATCGATTGAAGCTTTTTATCAATTCTCTCTGCACCTCTATTGGAGGAAGCTCGAAGGCACCTTGTTCACGCAGCATCTGAAGGTCTGTTACAGATGCTTTGGGGCTGGTGTAGGTTGTTTCATGGCCGGGCTTTACCATGTTTTCATCAAACGGAACGCTGCCACCCACGTACTCACCACGGCCACGGTAGCTTTCCTCCTTGATAGTCGGCTCATCATCGTTTTCAAGAGACATGGGTTCATTTTGAACGGCATTCCCTCCATATAAATGATGTGGTGTTGTGACTCTGCCTTCAGGCGAGTTCGTCTCTGTTGCAGACACACTTCGCTTAGGAGACAGGCTGTTTGTGAATCTTTTACGCTTTCGTGTATATGGCCTGTTGGGGATTAGTTTCAATTTTTATTATTTAGATGTTATGAGCGCCGAGGTCTTCTCACCTGCATTCCACATTTGACAAGGTGCATTTGGTGCAAGGGTTATGGATCGCGAGATCACACCGCACCTGGTGTTGTCAGCACTGAGTAAACTGAGGCAAGATATTTCAAAATTGAATCGAGAGCTTGTTTTTACCTTTCGCTTGTGGCAAATGATACATGCGCTTGACATGATGGTGTAAATCCGTACCTATGTAGCTTTACGTACCATTTTTTCCATGCCGCCCATACCTCTAGAAGTCGACGGCTCTTGTCAGCCTGAGGCAGTTTTTCGTGCTTATGTCATTTTATTCTTGGTTAACCAACTAGTTTGAGAGATTACGTAGACTTAATTAAATCATTAACCAAATAACGCGTATTTTAATTGATCACCTAAACCTCTTAAAGTCGACATTTATGATCCGAATTGCTGTTAAAGTCGAAAGAAATCGCCGCCTTCATCAATTCTACTCTCCAATTTTACCAGCTTTAAGGTGTTTTTTGGAATATAAAATTACCCTAGTTCAAACCAGATTTCAACAACCCAATTGAGAACTGATTCTGTAATGAGTAGCGAGAAACTCAAAGATGTCGATCAATAGGTGAAATGGTTGCAAAAGTTCATTGCCCGGCCAGAAGATAAAGGAGTACTAACTTATGTCGATCTAAATCTTAGTGAAGATAAGTTAGGACCAAAATCTAAAGGCTTCCCTTCCCGCTAAAGCTACTATTATTCAAAAGTGATGACGAATAGACATATAGAAGGAAGAAACGCATATATAAAGAATAGAGAGATGACATCGACAGGTTCAAATATGAAAAGAATAAATCGAGTTAAGAGCACAGAGTGCTTAGAAAACTAAATCAATATATCATCGTATATCTTGAATCAATACCCAAAGACCTTATTTTAACTTAAAGGAGCATGTGCACCAAGCTAATGTTCTGTAATGGCGCACCAAGGAACAGGGGAAGGACCCAGTAGTCCTAGGTCAAGGAACCCACCCTGAGTTGCAGAGGGGTCCTGGAGAACGCTTGGGTATCTAGGACCAGCTCCTTCGATAGCACCCACAGGATCACAGACTTATAGGCTCCCATGCTTAAGTTAACGACACCCTATGGGTTAGCGTCAACAAAGAGGTGGATAGCGATCGAGTTATCAAGACAAATAGTCGAGCAATTATATCACTAGGCTTTCCTCACTCACTCACTATACACCGCATCAATAATGAATCCACTGGACTGGCATCATTAATAGAAGTATCATTTGATCACACTTGGCTAGTATAATTTCCTCCTGGAGGAAAAACACAGACGAAACGAAGTTAGCCACCGCGACGTTGGCACGTATATCTTTCTGTCCGAATAAATAACTGTCAGTGCATGAAAGAGGTAATAAGATAGGCCTGTAGTGATATTTGGGCAATTGAGAATATTTGGGTTAGTATAGTTGCTGATAGTTCGAGGTCCTAGGCTATCGTGATTGAGTCATATGAGCCACCAGACTTCGTGTAAATGTACCATAGAAATAGGCTGATGTAGTCACTGATACAGAAGTATTACAAACGCTCTCTGTGACATTATAATCGGTCACTGTGAGATTCCAGGTGGCTACGACGTACTCACATATTGACTAGAAGTCGGCATCATAAACGCCTGAATAAACATCATCGTGCTTTATTCAAGCTTTTTAAGATACCTAGGTAACAATATGAGCAGATATCTGATGTAGAAATATCTGTTGAAGAAGTGAAGTTATTATAAGGAAGGCGATTAGGTCTAAAAAATAGAATATGCCACCAAATTATAAATTATAGAAGAACGCCAAAAAGAGATAAAATTCCTCATGATGATAGTTTTGGCCTGTTCTTGAATCCACAGCAAGACTGATTCTAGAAACTCTAGAGTGGACCGTTAATATCCAGGTACGATAGACCAGGAATGAATTCTGCTGAGTCACCATGACTGGTTGACACAGAATTATACAAATCTGAGATAGAAGCCTCACAGTTAGCAGCACAGATCCGAGCATTCAACGTGGAGTTATCGAAGCTACCAATGTATTCACTCATCACACTCACTACCAGAGATCCAATGTTATCATCGCAGTAAACCGTCTGTTATAGTACATTTTGCAAGTTGGTGATAGGTCTAAACTAGATAAAGTCCCATGAGTGAATATTACAACTCCAGCAAAAATGCCATTGCTCGTATCTGCTGTGCATATGTGGGCTTGGTTTTTGGCATTATGAAGCCATACATAAGAAAAAGAATGGACAGGACGCCGCTGCCATAAGAAGTGCGAAACAGCTTTCCGTGTTTAAAAATCTGTGGACGAAAAAAGGTTTGGAGCGAACCAAAAAGACGTTATAGCAGTTTCAGAGCATTAAATAAAAGAAGAAATAAAGTGCTTTCGGCTTGTACAACAAACCCCGCGATATAAGTATCCTGTTGGGCCCTAGTTCAGGCTCGTCTGATATGCAATTTTCTGAGCCATAAAGCCATTCGGGTATTGAAACCTTCTGAAAAGACTGGAATAAATTAGAAGGTAATAATCTAGTAGGTATGGTATCGCCGCATTATCTTACCTAGGATGGACTCAACACTGACTGCTGGAATGGACTCGCTCCCCATTATACACTTTTATTTTATCGCTAATTGGCTACAAATACCTGATCCGCTGGGATGAACCCCTGATGATACACTAACCTAGTTGCAATCGAAATTATAATTGAGCCTTTTCTGCTTCTGCTTTGGTGGCTTCACACTGCCAGCGCTCAATGCGATGCTGGACAAATGACTGAAATGATTCTTCCCACTCCGGCTCATACTGAGGGAGCACTCTGCCTGTTGTGCCTAAAGCAGGCTCTCCTGCTATGGAGCGCAACTCTTCGAAATATCTTTCAAATTCAGGCATCAGCGTCCAAAATGGAGATCCTTCACGTTCCTCTAGTCGGTCACTCTCCCACGTTTCCATCTCCTGTCGGCTAGGTAGCTTGGCATGACCAGCAAGAACTCGAGCTGCTGCAACAGCTTGCCACTCAAAAATACGAATGCCAAATCCACCCGTAACCTAGTATCGATCCGGTTAGCCCATTCTCTTTTTCCTTTGTGAAACCGAAGATGAATGGGTGAAATACTTACCATTCCAATGAATGCCAAGCTTGGATCATCTATTTTGAATACATGTCCAAATATTCCAGGAATTCTCTTATGCACCGACTTCAAACTGGGGAGAAAAGGAAAGCTGAAATCGTAGCCAGTGGCGAATAAGATCATATCCGCACTTTTAAGCACCGATCCATCTGCAAAGTTGATCACACCAGTCTCGGCATTGATTGAAGAAATTTGAGCCCGGTTATCAATTTCGGGATGACTAAATGGCGCAAAGCCAAAAGCAGTCGATGGTCGACGCAGCGAGGAAATCACAGGGCCCTTCGCAACTTGCCGAATATCATGCAACGCGTCAAATGCAGATACTGAGCCACCGACAACAATTACTTTCTAGATAACAATTGTTAAAATATACATGGCATAGCAGCCAGAGTAAAATAGGCCTCCTTACCTTGTTTTTGACATCATCGGCGCTTGGATAATGTTTGCTGTGTCGAATTCGTCCAGGAAAATTTCGGTCATATTCCACAAGACCGGGAATGTCGGGTATATAAGGGAGATAGTAGTGACCACTAGCAACAACCAAAGCATCAAACTTTTCTTGCCACCAATAATTCTTCATTTCACTGGGAATTAGGTTGCGTAAAGTAAGAACCCATTCGTCGCCCACACGCTCTGCCAGCTCCACGGACGTCTCCAATTCAATGAGACGCCGATTATCTGCACATCCGAAAACACTCTCAACCCAATTGCGCATGACCTCTCGATGGCGAAATGGGCTACTGGGGCCATATTGAGCCAATGTCTGTTCTGAAAGAACAATGGGAATCGGCTCCTTGGTAAAGCACATGATCTCAGTTGGCAAATTGCTATGCAAGTTCTGATGAGCAGCTGTGGCTGAGAAGCGCTCTTTCTGAGAATTGATCTCTTCTGTCACTGGCGTTTTGCATGGAAAGTTGGCTGGAATTGGCACAGTTTGGTCAGCACGTCCCTGGATCAAGCTTTCTAGTGATGGTATGCCGTGATCTGCTTGAGGCTCGAATACCCTGGATCGAGGGAATTAGCCTTGTACGTAGATTGATTGAACTTGCAGAGCATAATGCTCATACCATGTTCCCCCAACTATTTTCTGCCGTTCAAAAACTCGGATGATGCCAAAAGCCTGCTCTTTCAAAAGCGCATTAGTGGCAATAGCACCTGCTGGGCCAGCTCCAATGACGGCTACCCGTCTAGAACCCTTTGCCATGATGTGGTGATAAGGTTAGCACAGACAAGAGTGAAAGCTTCCGATCATAAGAGATATTTCACTTATACAAGGAAGTAGGAAGTTTTGTTTCATCATATGACGGGGTAGTAAAATTGAAGGCCGAAAACAATTTTCTGCTTATGCTAGCCTTTGTAGTATCCGAGTGGAGCACTGGGTCGAACTTAACATACTATTCAGACGATATCTATGGAGTGATAGATGTTGACCCTGAACTCAATTAGTGGCTCCTGATGGCATCATAATCGTCATTTTCACTGCAATTGACACAATCCAACTAAGTGCCGCAGGATGAGATTCTGATCCACAACATCGGGAGTTGGGATGCAGTTACCGAAAATTAGATTCACCACCACATTTGAATCCTACACCTAATTCTATCTCTTCCAAGGTGACAACGCCTCCTAGACTTGACATTTTCTGATTTTCAACCTAGCCATTCATCCATGTCCAATTTCTCACGATGGCGGGAGGTCGAGTGATTGAATTCTACTTCTCTTTTGTTTCCCTATGGTCCTACATCGGCAGCCGTCGCTTCCAGCAGCTTGTTCAGAAGACTAATTCGCATGTCATCTTCAAGCCAGTCGATTTGATGCACATATTCTCAATATCTGGTGGCCTTCCTGTGAAGCAGCGCGCAACACAACGACAAGCCTATCGAATTATTGAAATGGAACGCTGGCGAAAGATCCACGACATTCCTCTCGTTCTGTATCCAAAGTATTATCCTGCAGACCCATCTCTTGCGCATCGCGTTCTACTTGCAGCCATAGATGAGATTGGCCATGACAGTTCTCTAGTACAAGACTTTGTACACAAAGGACTTGAAGCAGTCTGGGCTAGAGAGCTTGATATCGCTAGCCCGGAAATCATCGTTCAGCTGGCAGACGAGGCCGGTCCTGAGGGAAGTCGACTGCTAAAACGAGCTCAATCCGAAGCACACTTCGCACAGGCCGAAGAGTCCTTGACAAAGGAAGCAGAATCGAGAAAGGTTTTTGGCGCACCTTTTTATTTCTACCAAGATGAGCCCTTATGGGGTCAGGACCGCTTGGAAATGTTGGAAGATATCATTCAAAGTGGCAGAGGCCCGATTCGGTCTTCTGAGACAGAGTGAAGTTCAAAGCTCTTTTGAATGCAGATATCCATGTAATAAAGAGCGTTATATAGAAGAAGTATATAAAGATATTTTGAAAAGTTTTAAAAACACAAAATCCACTCTTTATTTGCTAGCAGAGGTCCTTCAGTGCAAACGAAAGTTAAATTGCTCTCTAATCAAAATATTTGACAGAAACACCCTTGACAATCTCGACAGTGTCAACTTCATTATCACCTTCCTCGGCTGTAGATGTTCCAAGATTCTTAATAACTCTCTGCTTGACCCATTCACCTGCTTTTATAGGCTTGCCATCAGAATCGAGAATCGTATTGGTCGTCAGGCCTTTTTCGCGGAGAACAGGAGATTCCTCAACCGGAACTAGATCGGCGTTGTCTTCAATTCTCACCATGTAAAGGACACCTAGTCGATCAATATGAGATTGATCTTTGGGTGGCGCAACTACTCGATGAATGCTCGATTTGAGATAACCATCTGCCGACGATAAGTGTCGGATCAATATGAGAGATTTGGCACTACCTAGGTAGCTATACGTACCATATTTCCTCTGCCGGGTGGGGCTTTCCTATCTTGGTTGCCGCCGCTTTTATGAGGGCGCTCAGAGTCAGGCTCACTGAGTAAATTTCAGTCTGGGCTTAGGCTCAGTGAGCTGCTCAGCGGCTCCATCAAGAACTTCAAAATCTAAATTTTTCCAGCCGATTTATAACGCCAAAAACATGAATTGAATAGCTAAATAACGTGCGCAGGACACTGTGTATATGTATGGCCTTTAGTTCCACATCCTGAACATGTGTAAATACACCGAATATTTGGCAAAACAGGCAGCGGCACTTCATCTGGAGGCTGAGTAGGAGCACCCTCTGGAGATAGATATCCCTCTTTACCATTCTTCTCAGCAACCTTCGCTTCTTGGATTTTCTCCCAACTCTGTGAACTGCCTTTATGGGCAGTATGCTTCTTACTAGCTGCCCTTTTTTTTATCTGCTTCTTCGCCGTTGTTGTCACGAATGTGAGAAATTAGTAGAAATTCTACTGATCTCGGACAATCTCGGAGTAGAGATTGTCCATCTCCGTTTGCATGTTTCGGGAATTCCTTCACCTTCCCGTCTCATGTCCTTTCCCTTCGGGCTCATGCTCCTATGTTGTCACACACGTCCGGGTTTCTCAGACATGCTTCCAGTAGGGCCCGCCTCAGTATGAAGACAGCATCTTGTATATAAGACCTCTGGGTCCCAGTCATTCTGGGGACCAGCAATTAACTTGTTTACACCCTCATACATACCTTCAGAGTATCTTGTATCTTTCACTCTTATCACCCAGTCCAAATCTCTACATATAGTTTTTTACAGTTACTCAAGCATCTACTCATCCACTCAGTGAAAGTTGTTCAACACTCCTCATCACTTTTCTGTCTCAAATTTGGTAGCCAAAGAAAGGGCGGAAACACCATCCGCCATCGCGCTGACATCCGCGGCCTGATCTATGAGTAATCGGGCAACTGCCTTGTGACCTGCCATAGAAACAGCCTGAAGAACGGTGCCGAAAAACCCGCCCCGTGCGTTGACATCAGCGCCTTTGTCTAGCAGCAATTGCACGACTTTCTTGTGGCCGTTCTCAGAAGCAGCATAGAGAGTGGTGCCGAAAAGCCCGCTCTGCGAGTTGACATCGGCTCCGTGCTCAAGGTATCGTGGGAATTCTCAATTCCAAATCCCATGCTTTTTGTACGCTGTTACAAATTTTACCGCACATCATACATAATTTGGCAGAAAGAAGACTACTGTTAGATATCCATGTAGTTATAGTACTTCGTGAAATTGATGCTACCACCTTAAATCTTTCATTGTTGTCTTAATCCCTAATGCCAAGAAATACTGGCCTATATTAGGGTAGTAACCGGAATATTCCTATTCTGGCAATAAACCACGAATAGAATTTCTTATAAGAACAAACTAGGTACAATTTAGTAAGCCTTGGAAGGTTGAGCCCTGATATTAATCGTTTTGCTGCATCATAGATATAAGCTGATCACGGGCATGATCGACTCGATTCCTCGCTTTATGCGCCTTTTCTGCAGCGCGATAGACACATTCACAATCTGACTGATCTTTAATTTGATATAAGTATGATATATGCAGTTTGATCGACAAAAGATAGCTTACCGCTATAAGGATATTGTCTTTTGTATTCGTACATACTTCCGAGTAGTAATTCTGATGCTCTATCCAACTACAATATAGTTGCAAGTAGCACTGGCTTAGTGATAGAAATACCACCGTCTCGAAAATTCCTGATGGCAGCTGCCATACCAGGGCGTAAAATAACAGATTTTTGAATGACAAGGTCTCGGAGTTCGTTTTCTGCTTGGCTCAGTTGATGGGAATATACTGGTTGGAAGCATATTCGAGATAGAAGATGAAAAACCAAGACAAACTTGGGCTTATTAAGATGCATTGAAAACTGCTTATACAGAGAAAGATTTCCGTTGCGAAGAAGCTCTATGGGTTTATGGCATTTCTAAATTAAGCTTTTATAGCATTTTTTGACAGGGCGCGTATATTGCGAGTTTATTATGCATGATGAGTCAAAAGTGCATCACTCCTTGTACTCGGTCATACTTTTCCTATTGTTTTCACTAATCAGCGTCAGTTTTAAACAGATTTTTTGGTAATTCATTTTCTCACAACCAACGCATTTCTTATAGGACCTGAACATCCCCCCAATTTTCCACCTATTATATTCTCGTCGTAGCTTTAACCATCCGCGACGCTACCAGAACAATTCTAAACGGTAAAAAGCTGGTTAGACAGAAAGTTAGGATCCTACTCGCTGTAAAAGATATCAAAAGTAGAGGACTAGTCTTATTTGCGAAGGTACACGTATATATAACATGCTACTCTTAATCCTCTATACAAACAGATTGTCTTCATGTTGATCTTATGCTTTACCGATCCCACTCCGATCACAATAACAACAACTTCTAATCGATTCTTACACTACCATAATTAATGGTATACGGGATCCTAAGGCCCAACCAACACTTCCTAAGATGGAAGGAACTCTGGTGGAGCCCTCTAGTGCTATGGCCTAACACGTCTAACTTCTAAGACTGAAGCAACCAGACGTGACCTATAGCGGCCAAACCAAACTGATCCCCTTGAATACGCGATATCAACAATATAGAAAAGTCAAAAATATTTAAAGTCTTAACGAACGTTGATAATGCTTTAGATCAAAACCAAACGTTGAAGATATATTAAACGGGATATTTTCCAATCGGTCCATGGTGAATGGATAAACTTTGACCATCGAAAGTACAGCAGGCTGCAGTTTAATCGCTCGCGGACCGTTATGATAAGACCAGTCAAATGGTCCAAAATTGATAGGTAGATCTATTAGTAAGCGCGTGCATCCTTTTAATGTATACACTGTGACCGTCATGATAATTATCAGCCCTTATGGAGGCCAACTGTCTGATTTCAGCGATACGGAAATCGGATTTTGTTACCCTGCACACGTACGGGCCGCGTCAAAACCGAGGCTTCTCCCCGTTGGATCATCTCATGTTATATAATGTGCCTGAAAATGCTCGCCATATAGGAGTCCCCGATGTTCTTCGAACGCAACTCAATCTCTTTTCTGGGCAACTATATCTTGAATCATATGTCGATTACAAGAATCTTTGCGAATTTCTTGGTGTGGCGTCCACGAAAACCCCTGAAGGTCTTGTTGTTGCAGCGGATGGTTTCATCAAGCAAGGCAGCGCGGGGGCAAAATCGACTTTCCGTGAAAGCCCGCTCAAGTTCCTCGCAATGCTCATGTCGCAGATCAGGAAAGACTGCCAAGAGATTGGAAGGACGCATATTGGTCGACTATTAAGTGGCCAATTATTGAATGTATCCGATTTCTCAGTTACCGAACCACTAACCACAGAGCTAGCCTTTCAATCACTGAAACGTTGATCTAGCTTAGTATTGAAGCATCTTACTACAGGGCTAGGGGCAAGAAAGGTTGCGTATCAAGTCAGTCATGGACTACACTTTTGGATATAGGATAACGAATGATTGAAAGTCTTTGGCGACAGAAACAGTTTCAATGCAGACACTACCTCTACTTGCCGAGCGCTTAGATGGCTGTCATTCCATATTTTCCATGTAGAAATTCACTATAGTATCCTGGGGTAGATGATCCCACATAAAAACTACAGCAAAAGAAATTTTTATCCGTCATCTAACCGTTTTAGAAACCCGGAGATCTATCTATTCTTAGGAAAAGAAGATCTACGGCTAAGTCAACTACGGATTAGGATAAAGCGGTTTTGGATTCGGGCAGAGAGAAAAATTATTAGTCACTATAGGAAACCCTGTTTTCGACTCCTATATAAACGATATAATATGGCCGCTGATGATTGTTCAACGGGCTAGTCGAGGTGATCGACGTGGAGGGTTCCTTGTTCTTGAGTAAGGGGCCGTGGCAAATGCTGATGATTGCTCAAAGGGCTAGACGCGCTGAACGGCGGGGAGGCTATAGTCGAGCTGATAGATGTGGAGATCGACGTGGAGGGATCCTTGTTATTGGGCGAGGGGCCGTAGTAAATGCTATAACAGAAGAGACTTCCTGATTGTTCTCCAGTTGAGCGTGGGCCCGGCCGGATGAAATATCTGAGTCACCTCCTGATGAGATCTCTTGTAGCCTCTCCTCATTAGCAGGCAAACTGCGGTTCAAAGATCGGAACTTGGCATCGTAAGCTCCTTCGTAGCGGCTTTGGCGGTATTAGCGACAACGATTTAAACAACAAAAGTATCCAGAAGGTTATGCGCTTACCATTGTATGCAGGAAGTATATTCCCCAGGCTGACGTGACTGGAACCATGTTTCCATGCAGTCCAAGTGGACAGTGCAAGAGCAGTTGCCACATTTCAAGGTGACAGGCTCTACCTGGTTTTCGCATAAGCAGATGCAGCATTCTACGCCTTCAGTTTCAGAAGCCTGGCTGAAAAGTCCCTCGCTAAAGCTTTTAAGCTCCAAGGTATGCGGGCCACCATAGTCATTCAGGATGGAAAGAGTGGCTAGAGCATTCTATGACACCTGCCAGGGTACTCGATTCTCCCGAAGCATATTGCCATCAACTGATCGAACAGAGCTCCGGGATGGCGCTGATACAGGAGTAGGGTAGACGAAAGAAAGACGTTCAAGGTCGGGAATTTGAACCTGGTCAGCGAGCTCCTCGCTGGTTGCGGATTGCCGAATTCTTCCCATCCCAATATTTTGTGTGGCTGTGAACTGTCGTAAAGGGTGGCCTTCTGCCCTAAGAGTCGAGGGCGATAAACTCTGAGATGTGCGTGCATTGAGCTGGTTCCGGACTGCCGCCTGATACCACTTTTGACTGACTTGATCGGCCTGGCGCTGCCGGTGCCATCTCGTGCAGAGAAATTCACTTGCAATATCGCGTAATATAGGTTGGAGGTTGGAGAGACTAAAAGGTCTCTCAGCCAAAGCGTGTAGCTTTTGACGACCCTCCTTCAACTTTTTCTGCTTTATAAAATTTTTGCACGATATTCCTGCATTTATAACTCCACAGCATTTATTTCCTTCTCCGCGGGGACCAGGTTCTAGCTCGCAGATTGATGAAGGATTCCATAAAAGCAAACGATTCATCGTGAACGCAATCTTGAATGATAATGGCACAATAGAAGTAAAAGAGGGTGATGAAGTAGGTATAGAGTAAATCAAGGGAAGAGATGTTTAGAGAACCAGACTACGGGCTGCAAACCGACTTTATAGTCAGTCAATGATCACACACCTCCGCTTGATGGATATGTGAGATAAGGAGGAATTAATGCTGGCCCAATAAACTAATGTACACGGAAACTATAGCATTGATCGAGGGGAAATTCACTTCAGTACCTTGGTGGGTACTCCTAGAATCCACCAGGCTAGCCCCGGGATTTTCGCTTTATCATCCCGCCTGAAAGCCTCTAGAAAGTAATAATGTCGTTCCCAGGAGCTTAATAGACTCTTCTAGGAGAAATTCATTATCACAGTTACTTGTAAGCTGCTCTATCATCTATATAATCTGTCAGACTTCCAATCTTATCATTTAGTGCATGTCGGTGAATCTGGATGTAGTAAAAGGATTAGGCTTTAACGGAAAGGATGGATACCACGTGGAAAGACTGGATGGGATAACTTTATCTTGTGTCTTCCGTAGTTTTAAGTAACATAGTTCCTAGGTCCTGGCAATCGGTTCCTAGGGGACGTTAGGCTCCTAGAGTCCATAAGGCCATTCCCGAGATATTATCATGGCATCCCAGGGACAATAAGCTCGCTCCCGGGAACTCTTATGAGCTTCCTAGGACATTTAGTCTGCCTTGGCGATGTTTATTCATTGTTTCCCCAGTTCTACCCGCCTGACCCACAACTATATGACAGACTAACTTTCACTATCACGATTGCGATACCAGGTGAGAGATATGGCGAGATATCACGGTTTAAAGGATTTTAGTTAGGATCGAGATCCAAGACCAATAAGGTGAGGTGAACTTATCTGCCTGCAGCCCATTACTTTAGTCTCGTTCCCGCCTTCTGTTTTCTTTCTCCCCAACTTAGAATTTCAGCAACGATTACTCTCCTCCATTCCCTTCGCTTTAGAGTATAGGCTTGTGACATTCACCACTATTCACCGCCTCTCTAAATAGTAAAAACATCATTAAAGTAGGATGGTAGCCCTGTATCTTGAATAGGAATGTTTGAAAAAGAATGTAGAGGGTGAGGTACGGTGCTAATGTCCTTAGTTCTTCAGATACATGTGATCAATTTCATACAGTAGTTAGCTTATTAAGTCATTTCGGGTCTTGTACTATATATAGAGGTAGATCCATGGATCAACTACTCCCTTCTAGTCTACTTAAACTATCACTATATCTTGATCTGACTCACTTCCAATTCGTGATAAAACCTGTACCGCTTCAGTTACTACTGCTCTCATACAATTCAACTCAGCCTCAAGGCCTCTTTCATGGGAGCTACTGGCCTAGAGCTGAGTCTGAAGCCGAGTAATTTCGATTTTTAAATTATGGCTCTCGCTTAGTGACCTCTCTAGATGGCTTCGAGTCTGATCAAGCTCAACCCCCAAATCGCAATTTATAGATTCTAAATCGCGGATCTGAGTTGTAAATGATACATTTCCCCTCTCATCCCCATATTGGGGCTGTTTTTGACTCATTAGCATTAGCAAGGACCTCAGGATCTTTTTCTCTCACCTCCTCTGCACTGCTTTTATGATCCGAAGGGGAAGTTTGTAATGTCTCTGGTGTTACAGCCTTAAGTGACCGACCGAGTTCCTCACATATAGACCGGTATAGGCGGATGTTCCCACCGCTGAGACTCGATTGCAACAGATGCTTGTTAGGTTCGGTGACAGACCAGGCGTATCCGTCCTCAGCCCGGGGTTAGAGACGGATCTGATTAGGAGTGACAACGAGACCAAGTCGCGAATCTGGTGATTGTCAGTTTTCCCCGAGGAATTGAATCATACTAGGGACTTACGGATATGCGCCGCTAAAGCTTCTCGGCATTTTTTCCTCTCTAATGCACGCTTTTCGTTGCTTGAGATAGCCATTATATCTATGAGATGAGTAGAAGACAACTATCTTTGTGACAGGACACGTAGGGCTCTGCTCTTATATGTTGAAGTTATAAAAAAATTCAATTTGGAAGAATAAGACATTATAGATCTCGGGAAAGTGCTGTGGAGAGGAGGTTGGATTCCCCGTCCACCTTGCCAAAGCTTTCATAACATTAAATGGATTGCCACTCCAGTCCCTAAATCCTTTCGTTGAATTTGAGTGTTGGTGGCCTGACTTTTCAACCCGTCATGGGGGATTCGCTCTGATTGTCGAATCAGAATTCCCTCGAATGGGCTAATATAGACATTTGACCAGTATAAGTGGTCATAACCTTTTTTTATTTTTAACCATTTTATATCAGATAAAGCAATAATATGATCAACATTCACCAACCTTGCAATTCATTTATTTATGTTCTACTCTCAGGTAATTGTTATACAGTGCTGCCGTTGATTCTTATTTAATATCACCACGTAACAACATATGGCGAATAATCTATGACACAATAAATGTACAAAATAACAATACATAGTAACAGGTGGGGAAAGCCAAAAAGTCATGGAGGAAGAAATAGATAAGGGTTTTGTTGGAACGAATATCAGCTGACATACCAAGATCATGTGATCTTGGCATGGCAGCTACTATATCTTCCTTCATCTGAGCATTTTAGAATGACACTTCACTTTTACCCAATATGCATACACCTATTATATACGTACAGAAACGATATCAATAGCTGTCTGCTTCGGTAATAACCTAGTCAACCGACAGGTTTAAAGTAAGAGAAACGTTGTAAAATTCCAAGAATCCTGGCGGCAATGGTTTAAATATGATTGGTGAGCCATCGCCATAAAATTCAGATGATCGAATGAGGGTAATTGACTAAATGTTGATAGATGTGTGGGTGGTTAAACGGGGTGGTTAAACGGAGAATTGGGTAAAGATCTAGCCCACATAAAATAGCTGTAATAGGCATAGCATGTTTTAAAAGAGGGTTCAAGAAAGAATCTCTGTGAAGTAACAAGAAAAGTGTAGTGTGATTGAAAATAGGGATTGGAGAATGTTATTCAAAGGGTATAGTGGTATAACTGTCGCTCGTTACTGAGAACAGTGCTCGAGTTCTTACTACAGTAAAAGGGAATTGGAGTTTACTGCAGTAGAAAGGAGTTGGTGAGCTTCAACAAACCACTACTCAACACCGTAGACAAACCACCAAGTGTAGTGGTCTCTACAGTACTGAATATTGTGGTTGTTGTGAAGTCTGCCTTTTCATTGATGAAAGAACTAGCTACTTATAGTATATGGGTGCCCCTCTGCCCTGGACGAATGTCAACATTCGTCCGAGACAGAAGAGACGGTGAAGACGGGACATTACTGTCGCGAATGCACATCGCTCAAGGGTGTCGTTTGCGATAAATGCATATCGTTCAAGGATGCCGTGATATACTAATCCAGTTCCGGAGTCGCTGTCTCGGCAGAAGCTTTTTCGGCCGAAATACTTTCCGTCTGTTGATGGCCTTGTTTCTCGGCTGTCGCAACAATAACTACATGAAAATCCCTTAACATAAACAGTCATTTAAACAATACCTAGGTGCAACACTTAGGTGGCTAGATATGCTCAGACCCAATTCAATCGGTGCAACCAACATATATTGATTTGAAGAATCCTCGCTAGAGTGATACTGGTATGGAAACATTTCAATACAAATATTTGTGGGAGTATACAGGCGGCGGGGTGGCGGGGTCGAACCTGCCACCCCGCCGCCTGTATACTCTATTTGTGGCTATGCAAGGTATCTGTGGCGGTATAAAAACTTTTTTCGATGACTGAATAATACCAGGTTTACAGTACAAAATTAATTAAAATACTACGATCTACTTACTCTCTGATGCAAGGTCTCGTCTACAAGTGGTTAAGTCAAAATCCATGTAAAATGGCCACTTTCATTGAATACTTGCTATGGCTGATAATTCTAAATCAGAGCAGTAGTTAGGAAAGCTACAACCTAGATTTTTATTTGATCTATGATCTATTCACTACCAATGCTGATACATCAAGTCACGTTTATTTTGGAGCTTGCACTTCGCCATAATTCACGGACTATGCAAGAAAACATCGATCATGAGGAAAACAATGGACTAGAAAAGTACACGTGATTTTGGAGCGGGTAAACCCCTTCTGTGCAGGTTCCCTTTTCTCTCCCAGAAGACCTAGCTATACACAAGGTTGATTATATTAGAGGATTGTGAATAACAACGTAGAGTAGGTCAGGTATTCTAAGGCAAAAAGGGGATAAACTATTTTACTGTACAGATGCTCGATTGGTGTAACGATTGATACTTACGCTTACCGTACCATTCCATTTGAGCCAAAAGATCATGCGCAAGCTCCATTTATATAACAACCCTATAAAGCAAGTTCCGGAGTATTGTCGGCCACGCTGTTACAATTGGAGCAAGTTCAGAAGCAACAAAGAAAAACGAACCACCTGGATAACCACCCTCACTTTAAAAACTACTGTTTATAAACAAGGCCACAAATTCTACGACTAACGCGGAATGGCGCGTCAAGTTATCCCTCCAAAGGCTAGTTTGGAATTATATTTACCAAACGAAGCAAACAGCGAACTTATTCACAGTTTGGAGTAAAATAAAAGCGGCCTGTGTATAATCCTAAACTTTCTAGCTTAGCCGATGATTGCTCGCCGGACATAAATGGCACGACTTTTAGCATGTGGGTGATTAAAGCCGACTTAACGTAAATTACGATATATAAGGGCTCGCATGATCATAAACCTTACAGAAGAGGTGAAATCCTCAAGATTAGCCTTTAAAGGCCAATGCTAAGCATTAGACATGTGCATGGGTTGGGTATGGGTCAAAATTCATACCCATACCCAACCCATCAGGGATAAGGTAAACCCATACCCATATGGGTATTTTTGATGCCTTAATGCCTGATTTTCGCCTCAACCTAAACTAAATTAGGGTAATTAGTGCCTTAGTGCCTAATTTTTGCCTCAATCTAGTACTAACTAGGTGACAAATATCACGTGAAATAAAAGTCTTGGCAAAAAGATGGGTTTATGGGCTGGGTGTGGGTTTTACTTCAAACCCATACCCAACCCATATGGGTTTTGGGTAAAATTTCTGACCCATACCCAGCCCATTGTGGGTTGGGTTGGGTTGGGTATGGGTTTACCCAACCCAATGAACATGTCTAGATGTTATCTATATACACGGAGCAGAAGTTGTCTAGGTATCCACGAAGAGCCTAGTTAATATATCTCTAGAAGGTGCTTAGTGCATTTGCCATACTAAATGGTGTCACTAGATATTCAAATAGGCTATATCTTATATAGAATACTGTCTTCCATTCATCTCCTTCTGCAATCCGTAACTTATTAAAGGCAGCGATGATATCGAGTTTGGTGAACCATTTTGCTTTTCCGATATTCTGTAGTGTCTTGTAGATCAGAGGCAGTGGGTAGCGGTCTTTCCTTGTGATCTTATTTAAGGCTTGGTAGTCTACACAGAACCATAGTCCTCCTCCTGGTTTTCGTACGAATAGTACTAGGGCTGTAGCCGGGGAATTACTAACACGAATAAATCCTTTATCGAGCTATTCGGTGAGAGTCTTGCGTAGTACGAGGAGTTCGTCCCTAGACATTTTATAGAGGGGGCCCTAGGGAACTTGCGGCTCTTTCCCATCTATAGGGTTCAGATCGATTAAGTGATCAACTCCGGTACCTCGTAGTGGTAGGAGTATATCTGCCTTAGAGCGATCGAACATATCTAAGAAGTCGTGATAATGCTCTGGCAGCTTTATATAAGGGTCTGTGGTGGTCTTTATAGCTAGAGCTTTGTTGATGTCTGCCATGCTTGCGGCGAAGATTTTGGTCGTTTTTCTGCGCTTCCTCTTCCTCGTCAGCAGCTGGAATGCGGCTATAGAGACCGGTGCTATGTCGTAGTCGCGGTCTAGTTCTGTTGCGCGGTTCTTTATCATGGTTCCTGAGGTAGTGATATAGCATCTAGAGTGTGGTGCGTCTAGTTATACATCCTGCTATATAAGCCATGGAAGACCTAGTATCATGTCGTATGATGCTAGATAGGGAATCACATAGAGGAAAACACGCTTCTGATGGTGGCCGTCTATATCCATGGATATGACAGCTACTTCTTTAATCTTGTCGTGTGAAGTTCCGTCAACACCCATAATGTTGCGGGATTTAATTGGTATACGCTGAAGGCCTTTTTCTAAGACGAAAGCCTGGTTGATGAGTCCGTACGAGAGGCACCTAGTATCTATAAGTATAGTTGCATAACATTCTTTATCTATTAAGGTAGACACTAGAAAGGGGGGTCCATCCATCGACTTCTCGAACTTCTTCCAGGCTTTAGTTATCTCTTCCGAGACCTTCTTGTGCTTCTGGCGGCGCTTTTTGCCAGAAGCTACTCTTTTCCCGAGTCGTCCGAGTCAGAGGAAGTCTCTTCATCAGAGGTTTCCACTTCCACTACCCTTGTATGACTCTTTTTCTTCTCCTGTGCTGGTGTAACGGGTTGATACCCGATGAAATGCTCAGTCTCTGGAGAGACTGCGCTCCTGGCATCTGTGTGGAGCCGAACGAGCTATAAGAACACCCGGTCCCCAGGACCCATTTCCCCCCCTTAGTTAATTCTTCTTGTTTACCAATCGGATCTTTACAGCGTACGAATTCCTGCATTCATCCCGTAACAGTAGGTATATGTGTATTGCGTGAAATCGTTAATGAAGACAAGAAAGTATCGATACCCGCCTAGAGAGGTAGGCATTAGACCACTAAGATCAGAGTTGATGAATTCAAATGGTTTCGTAGCTCTTTCCTAAGGATTTCGGTTGAACATAGCGTGCTGCTTTCCAGCCATACACGATGCACAACGAGATAGTTGTTTTGGTAATCGGATTTTGGTGATTATTGACACATCTTTGAGATTAAGGTGTCTAAGCCGTTGGTGCCAGATTGTGATTGGATGGTAGTTGTTGAATTTGGCATTAAATGCAGATGTGGGCAAATTGAGTTAGTAGAGATTCGACCGAATTTGGCTTATAGTAGCAAGAAGCTTTCTGTCGCGTCGTATCTTGTATTGGCCACTAGAAAAGATGACTTCTAGTCCCATATCGTCCAAGGAACGAACAGATATTAGGTTTATGCTAAGGTAAGGCACCCACCAGACTTCCTTTAGATCAATAGAAGCCAAGTTTATCCGAATATAGAGGATGCCGCTCCCGAGTGCTTTCATATATAACCTATCACCAATCGTGACCTAGCGTGGTTGGTGAAATCTTTTGAAATACATAAGGCTCGATTTTGTGTGGGTCATTATATGGCTTGCTCTAGAATCGAGTATCCATTCGTTTATGGATGATGCAGAGTGGATTGCCATATGCGCAAATCCGTCTTCTATGTAATTCGAATCTGACTAGGTGGCGGTTGAGATATACTTTCTGGAGCAGTTTGTACTTCTTCAGCTGAGTAGTTCGTGGCGCGTGGTATCTGAGATAGCCGTATTTTGTTTTGTTGGTCTTCTTCCTCTTGTTGTTTAAGATTTCGATAGTCTGCCTTAGTGTGACCTTTATGACCATAGTGATAGTAGTATATTATCTATCGATGTCGGTCGAAGTGTTGCCCTCGATGATGTGGTTCAGAGGACCTATATTGGTATCCTCTTCCTTGTTGCGATTGAAATAGTCTCCGAGGTCGGTTTTGAGTGATCAGTGCTATTCCAGATCTATTTACAGCGCCGACTAGTAGTTGGTTTTCAAAGTCGAGAAGCTGCTGTAGAGCGGTCTGGTAGTCGAGACTAGGAATCCGTTGGATGTGAGAGATTATGATTTCGAAATGTTTGGGAAGTGTGCTAAGTAATTTAGCGATTCTCTCTAGTTCGGAGAGCTCTGATCCAGTTCCGATCAGGCGTTGGTTGTAGGTATCAAGACGAGCGGACCATGTTTGAATTATGTCATTTTCTTTGAACGTTTCGTTACCAAGTTGTTGTCGTACAGCCCAGATGTTATAGTTATTTCTTCCTCCTAGTCGCCGTTCAAGTTCGAGCCACATATCTCGCGGGTCCCGACGTACAGCAGCGACAATACTATGAAAATCGCTATATATATGATTCCAAATCCATTATATTGCCTTTTCTCGAGCTTGCCGGTAGTCTTTAACATTCTGACCATAGTTCGTGATTTCAGCTGCTCGTGTTGTGGAGGGGATCTCGGGAATAGGTTCGGTGCCTTCGACAATGCCTAGTGCTCCCAGGCCCGTGAGTTAGACCTCGGCGTCTAGTCTCCAAGAGTGATAATTTGTTCGAATGAGTTTTGGATGTCCTGATTCACTATCCATAGTGAGCAAAGAGGGCTCATAACCTGTTGTAGCATGTGTATATTAATTGTCTATCTTGTTATATGTATGCTAGTCGCAACCCAGTCTTATATGTGTAGGTCTACCCCTCATACATGAGTAGTGCGTGTCAGGATGAAACACGGTGATATAGATGAGACAAGGTGACGTGACAATACCGTCAATACAGGGGATCCAACAGTATGTCAGCTGATATTCTTTCCAACAGCTAAATATGGTTTTAACTCTCTTGATAAATTAGATAGAGTACGGCTAGACAGCACAGTTAAATCAAGAATTTTCAGGCATGAAAATACAAGCTTTTTAATAAAAAAAACAACTAAACAAAGACTCTTAAACGAAGACGTGTTCACAAAAAAATTCAAATGAGAGTGACTAAACAAGAAAGTATAAGCGTTTAGATTGATATTCCGCCTTCGTTATACACGTTGACGATGCGTAGTTCCTCTTCCCCTTCTCTGATCCGGTACTCCTGGCAGTCGCCTGAGTGGAAATCTACACACTTCTACCACAATCTAGCAGACTACCGTAGCATTCGGAAAATCTAGTATCCTTCTCTCCCGTTTTGCAAATTCACTTTTATCAATAAATTCCATCTGAGTAATTTGATTTTTAGCCTTCTCTTTTAGCGCCTTGGTAAGACTTAAGGCTAAATCTCCAATGCCAACTAAAACCGCAACCTAGCAGAGGCTATCTTTGTCAGGGGCTATAATTTCACTGTCACAACCATGCTTGCCCTGCTCGGCCGTCCATAGACCTTTGAACCGCGATCCTACATGATTTATCAATTCCAATGGCGAGCCCTTTTCCACAAGTACACCTTCTTCCATAACCATGACCTGATCAAAGTCTTTGATCACATCAAGCAGATGACTAACCATAATCACAGTGTAACCTTCGAATTCCTGCGATATAATCTTCTGAATGGTTTTCTGCGTCTCCCGGTCTGTGCTACTACTGACCTCGTCAAGGATTAGGACACCACCACCACGTTGCGGCTGTCTTAAAGAAGATTTTAACTCCAAGTAATTTTCCCCAGCCTCAGCAATCAGTAGATGAGAACGAACTCGCCGACGCAAAACCGCTCTGGCAAGACTGAATAGCTGTTTCTGGCCTTGGCTTAATGCGTCGGCAGTGAGTCCGGCGTTAATACCTCCATGAATAGACACAGATGCCCAAATTTCTGTCATCTCGAGCACTTGCTGGCACTCATCTTCCCCGATTTCGTTGAATGGATCGAGGTTCTTTTTGAATGAAGTGCCATCAGGAAAAAATGTTGGATCCTGGGGTACTGCGATTATACGTTCGCGCAAAGTAGAGCGATCCATTCTCAGGAGGGAGACTTCATCGATGATCAAGTCGCCTTCACATATAGAAAGTGGATCTAAGAGGCGCAGAAGAAGGAGGACGATGGAAGACTTACCACTATCAATAAACATAAGTATCTAGATCAAGTCGTACCAATGTTTGAATGTCATATACAGGTTTCAAACTCACCTTCCTGTTCTTCCGCAAATTGCTACCTTCTGGCCAGCTTCGATTGTGAATGTGAGGTCCCGTAGAGCAAGATTTTCCGATTTTGCCACATCTGCAGCCAGCTCTGCACCACAGTATGATGCAGAAATCTTTTGGACTTCAATTCTGCCTTTCTCTGGCCATAAAGCTGGTGGGCGAATATCCTCACCAGGTAGATCTTCTGGAAGAGTTTGCTCACTGAAAGATTTCAAACGAGAAACGGCGCCTATTGAAGTTTCCAACAAAGTATACATTTGCACAAGACTCGACAGAGTCTTACCTAGGCTCATGATTGACACCATACTCGCACCTGTAAAGCCAGTGCTCGGGCGAAGTTGCGTAGCAAGAACAACTACTAGCAATGCAATTACTGCCACTACAGTGCCAAGTACAAAAGCAAGACATCGCTGTATCATGCTTAGTAGATAAGCAGGGCGCTGCGACGTGTCGAGTAGGTCATTATTAGCAGAAATGAAATTTTCCGTCCAATCAAAGGCTCTAATAGTAGCCAAACCCTTAATTGTATCAAGAAAATGGGTACTAAATCCCAAAAAAATTAGCAACTGACTTCATTACTCTGACCAGTGTAGATCTTACTAGAGCGGACTCTTGGCCTCCAAGTCTAAGAGTCGGATTTGACGGGACGTGCAAAGGTAGAATCTCTGAACCATATAGAGAATCAAGATGACGAAGGGATAAGTAGTGATGATATATGGAGATGGCGTTGCAGCAACTGCAGCTCCTCCTATGGTAATCCAAGTCTGCAAGGATGTATTGATTAAGGCCTGTGGAAGCTCCCCGTCGAGAAGTGTCATATCTTGGGAGAATAAATTGATCACGGTTCCGGTTTCAGTTTGAGAAAAGAATCTTAGCGGCGCGGAAACAACTGTACGCAAAGCAGTCTCATGTAGACGGAACCCGGAGTTGCGAATAATCAATATCAAGCCAATCAGTGCCTCTCCTAGTATTGCAGTCAAGGCCAGGACTTGGAAGAGGGCATATATACCAATGTAGAGAGATCTGGGTCTGTTGAAAGAGTCTGAGCTCCAATAGCTTAACCATATCATAGGGAAGTTGAAGAGGAACCCGCAAATTATACTTAAAAAGAGGAATGCAGTCAGCCAGAAAGCACCGATATTTCGGCCATAGTGTGAAAAAACGGTCAAGTCGCCCATAGCTCTGTTTGATGCACCGATTTGGGGTTCAGCCATGGATGACTCCTCGCTTTTGGCACTAAAGAGAGGTGATTCTGCTTGAATTTGAACTTCGGTCTCGATTTTGGAATGTCTAACGGCTGTTGAACTAGGAATGTGGTGGACATCAGCTCGGATGCCAAGACCAAAGACATATTGCTGATTTGCGACAAGTTCATGAAAGCGACCTTGCTCCACAACTGTGCCATTACTTCCGAGTACAACTATATGATCAGCAAATGGAAGGTACTTGACGGCATGCGTGCTAAGAAGAACAACCGTCTCTCTTCCTTTAAGTAAGCCCGAGGGGCCAAACACATTATAGAATATTTGCTCTTCGGTCTTGGCGTCTAAACCACCGAGGACATCATCAAGCACAAGCAAGTCACATTGCATATATAATGCTCTTGCAAGGGCAATACGCTTTTTCTGTCCACCACTCAGGGCAAGGCCATCACTACCAACTTTCGTTTTATCTTTCTTCGGAAAAAGAAGTAGATCTTCAGATAGCATTGTCGCTTTAAGAGACATCACATATCGGTCCTCATCAAAAGTTGAGAATGCTGTTATGATTTCCCTGATACTTTGATTAGGAAGGAACGGAAGCTGGTCGCAGTATCCAACGTGGCGAGACCTGCTACGTATCAAGATTTCGCCAGAGGAAATTGGAGTTTCTCCCAAAAATGCTTTGCACAAAGTTGACTTGCCAGAGGCGACAGGACCGATGACTATCGTCAGCCCTTTAGATATAGAGATATTGATATTTCTTAGCGCCAACCTCCCTTCTTTCCATCCAAAGTTTGCGTTTCTGATCTCCACACCAGATGGTGACTTCTCAGTTGCATGCTCTTTTTTAGGTGATTTATCAGGCCTGATAAACTGGCGGGTATCACTTCTTAGCTCTTTCATAATAAACTGCTGTATTCTTGTTAGGCATGAGAGCGCCACAAGCACATGAGGGGCAATTTGGAATAACATAGATAGTGGAGATAAGAGCAGCTGGAGATAAGAGAGTGAGGTAAAGATGGATGTGGCATTGAGTTGTCGAGACGTGAGTGCAAATGCAAAGACTGGACCCAGAAGGACCGGCGTGAATCCGATCCCTATAGAGCACACAAGAAAGACCCGAAACTTGCCACCGGCCTTCAACTCATCAATACGCAAGCTTTGGGTACTATTTTCAACAGCCTTGGTGAGCCCAGATATTTTTAAATGCTTCATATTTCCAATAATGTTTGCTGTGTGTCCAACTCGCTTCTGAATAGCCTGCATCCAAGCTGCCTGTTTTGGGCCTATCAAACGCATCAGAATACTCGAGCAGATGATACAGGCGAAGACGACAACTAGCGGCGCGGCAAAGGCTGCACCAAGCTGACGATGAAGCAGAAAGCAGACGATAGCTATTTGGACTAGGTTTGCCCAGAATTCGTGGAGTTGCATAAAACCCATTTGAACCCGTTCAACATCGGCACTCATTAGGGTAATAGCTGCAGAGTCTTCTGAAGCAGAAATAGGCCCTCGAATGGTCTGTTGATATATTGCCGAAATCAAACATGCCCGGGTCATAAATAAAGCTCGTTCATGTGAATACCAATATAGAGCAGTGGCGATTGGTATTCCTGTGTACACCAGGATGGTGGCACCAATCAATCCATAGCCTTTATTGGTAGTCAGTCGAGTGTCAGTTTCTTCGAGAAATCGTAAGATGGCCTCTATAAGAAACGGCTGGCAAAGTGTGAATCCTATGAGGACAATACGAGGAGCAACAGGCAGCAAGAAAGGAATGAATAGTGTGCGAGCAAGGGCTTTGGTCAAGCCGTGTCTTTCGTCTTGAAAGTTATGGCCCTTGCTATGCTGGGAAAAAGAGGCTTGCACGCGCTCCACAGATATACTGCTGTCAATGGGGAAAAGGTCGGATACATTCAACACCTTCTGAAAACCTAACTTGAAAAGCGGGCCAAGCCACAGGAAACTACCAAGCCCGTATAGCCCAGCAGTCTCTTCAGGACTATGTTCTCTCCAGTCCCACTTTAGCCAAATGCGTCGTTGCAGTGATTCCAGCAAGAACAAGACTGCTTTAACAGCTATGGCTGCAGTGAACAGTCTTAAGTATGTGATCTCAGGAATGGCATGGTACAAAAGCCACATCGTTCGTACTTGAGCGATATCGAACAAGACAGTCAATGAGAGAAACGCACTGAGTAGAATAGAAGGGCGAGGCGAGCGAGAATGCTCCATAAAACTTAAGATGGATATGAAAATTGCTGCAATAAAGCTGAGCACATTTGCTGTAATTGATAATGACGGCAGCTCGAAGGACTGGGAGCAGCTAAGAATGAGGATAGCCAGCTGCAAAATCGTGTAAACTGCTGCTGCCACCTTCCCGAACTCATGTTATATTAGTTTTGAGAAGTTTATGAAAGAAGGGAGGACAGACAAGCTTGATAAATTGGAACGAGACACCATCCACAAGTTTGACGTGAAGAGCGAGGAAGATGATCCTGGGCACTGAAATTCCAATGAACACAGCCGAGGGCAGTATCGATAGAATGATCTTTTCGAACTTGAGGGTGAAGTCAAAGTCACTCCGACAACCCTGAACGACAGGGCCAAAGGAGGCATCATCAACACACAATATTGCCATGTCGATGGACATATGATCCGAACGGTTTTTATATGTCTATCGATACAATGGACATTCAAGATCAAGATAGGGAATCAACGATTTATATAAACTACACGTACGGCAACATGAATTGAAAGGTTGAAATTGTTTCCAGGTTTATTCTAAGATTGAGTGTTGAGACTATCGGTAATTCGTGGGAGATAACTAGCACTAGATCAGGATTAGTATGTGAATGGCGCTGCCTAACTACCGGGGGTTTGCAACCTTAGAATGTAACCAAACTAAGTACCAAATATTTATTTCTCAAATTTGCAATGCTACTTGACACCTCTATCTAGACAAGTCACTTTCTGCCGCCATGAGAGATATTCCTTACTATTCCAAGCATACTGTCACTCCACCAGGACTTATCTTCTCCACAATCTTACATTATCTTCAGTGCTGGCTCGCGCACCTCATCGCATAAATTAATATGTCGGCCCCCGGACTATATGTCGCTAGAAATATTGATCAAATTCCATTCTCCTGAATTGCAATTTACAATAATGAAAAGAAATCGGGGTTACTCTCGGACGGGCACAGGGGATGAATTTAACGAGGGTGATGGGATCTCCGAGCTGCAAGAGATGGGCACATTTGATCACAGGTTTCGTCTCGCATGGAACTTGATCAGCATGTTGATGTTTTTATCGGGATTAGTCATGATACTAGTCGCTAAGGATAGGAAAATGTCCGACAAAGAGTGCGCTGCACAACTCAGCGTCTGGTGTGCGTAACTGGACATCCCCTCTCTCATTCTAATATGACTTCCTGTTGATCTCCCCGAAGCACCTTTGCTTGAAGCAGTTGAGTATGAGGAGCACGACTGGGTCAGCATCTTCGCCACTCAAAATTCTGGCTTCACGGGAACTCCCTCAAAGGAGATGGAGGATAAATGGAAACAGTTGGTCAATGGTATGATCGAATATTTTCTCCGAAATCTATAAACTGACTTGAGCATTTACATTACCTAGTGTCGTCGTTCCACCCGAGCGCCTTCCGTCGTTAAATCGCAGCGCCAACCAGCAATTTGTACATGTGTCTTCAACATCCTCTTTCCAAGGCTACGTCGCTGGCATCGAGGTGTTCCATCATCTTCACTGCCTCAATGTTTTGCGGCAGTACATCTGGCGGGATTCTTACGCCGACGATCTCCTCCCCATCCTATTCAAGAACCGTTCGTCTCTTATTGTAAGTGCCCATGTGGACCATTGTATTGAGACAATTAGGCTTGCCTTAATGTGTAATGCCGATGTTACACCATACCTTCTTTACGAGAAGGAGGCAGAACCTGGCTCGGATGTACCAGCTAGGGAGGATTTCCAGGCATTCCACAAATGCAAGAACTTTGATCGTCTGCTGGATTGGGTCAATACGAACGGGGTTGTTGTGCCATGGCGTCAAAAGAACCATCCGAACTAGTATTTTGTCTCTTGAATGATAAGGAATGCAATGGGGATAGGATCTAGAATTATTTCCCTCGGCATGGGATTTCGTCAACTCGCTGTGTTTATAAATAGGTTCTAGAAGCTGATAAACACTAGTTAGACTAGCTCACTCTAGGACCTTTAGATAAGCAATCCTTTCTCGGGCCGATTCCACTTCCCGCCATAGCATCTTCTCAGCCATTGGTGCCCACTCAGTCCTCTCCATATTATCACGCCTATCATTCCCTTTTCCATCCACTATGAAAACTCCCTTTGCACAAAAGATAGTCCTTTTGATGCGATTTCTCTCGATTAATTTGGTCAAAAGATAAAAGTGAGTTCTTTGTCGGCGATCCGGCAAAACTTCAATTTTGAACTCCGGAGAGACTGGGCCATTTCCAATTCGGGCCTCTTACGAGTTGAATTAAGCCAGATGCAACGCCTCCCACTAAGGTAAACCCATACCCATACCCAACCCAACCCACGTGGGTATGGGTTGGGTATGGGTCCCATATAGGTATTTTTGATGCCTTAATGCCTGATTTTCGCCTCAACCTAAACTAAATTAGGGTAATTAGTGCCTTAGTGCCTAATTTTTGCCTTAATCTAGTACTAACTAGGTGACAAATATCACGTGAAATAAAAGTCTTGGCAAAAAGATGGGTTTATGGGCTGGGTGTGGGTTTTACTTCAAACCCATACCCAACCCATATGGGTTTTGGGTAAAATTTCTGACCCATACCCAGCCCATTGTGGGTTGGGTTGGGTTGGGTATGGGTTTACCCAACCCAATGAACATGTCTAGACCCACCAACCGCATACCTCACGATTCCACCCCGAATTGTTTACGTTCTTCAAGGATTTTGTAAACAGCATGTGCCTAGCTAGTTCTGAATTCAAGATTAGCTTTAGCCCTTCACATCTTGCATATCCATAAGATCATAGTATTTCCTATACTTTTGCATTCCAACCAAGACAGCAGAAGAGATATCAGGACTAAGCCCTGTAAAGTCGCCTTCAAAAGAAGCTGCTTCTATAAGGAGGTCATGCAATTCATAGTAAATAGGAATTACTAGATTTATATGAGGTTGCCGCTGAGAGATAAGTTGGGTAAACTCATAGAATCTTGAAAGAACCATGGCAAGATCACGAAGATTAGACCAATCATCATTTGAAAATGGTATCAGCTGATTCTGAACATTATTCCAATGTTTAATCTGCTCTTGAGCAAGGATAGCATCTTGAATCATAAGATATGTCGAGTTCCAACGTGTCTCGATATCATACCTAGAACTATAAGTATATATAAGAAAGATAGAAAGGAATCTTGCTTACCGAATGAGCTTATCAGGTAATCCATGCGTCTGACAAATGATTTGCCACTGCTGCTGTCTTTAAGGACTTCCAGATACCTAAAGGGCTAAGATTCGTACACGAGCTAGCGCAGAATGCCCAGCTGGTAGGCTCTTATGGTCCTTTAGGATACCACAGGCATCTAAAGAAGATTGATAATCGCCAGATTTCAACTCTGATAGAATCTTTTGGACAATGAGATTCAGAATATGCGCCAGGCATCTAATATAGCTATCAAGACCTATCTTAAGTAAGTTTAAATAATTAAAGAGAGAGAGAGAGAGAGAGATGAAGAGAATCTCACCTTGAAACTATAGTGTAGCTAGATTTAACCCTTGAAGATTGAAGTAGAGCTCTTTAATTAGGGCACTATTATTTGTTGCATTATCAGCAGTAATAGTAAGTAGCTTGGACTCAAGTTGTAGCTCCTGAAGAGATATTTGAAGCTGGCTTGCCATATTCTCTCCAGTATGTGCTCCAATAAGCTCTATAAAATCAAGAATCCTCTCACGGTACTCAAAATCAGGGGTTATCCAATGTCCAATAACCCCTAAAATACCTTTTTGATTCTTGGATGTCCATATATCTAAAGAAAAAGCAATTGTTGAACATGTTTCCGCGAGCTCACTGACCAAATAGGCACGATACTGAGTAAACTCCATATTGATTCGTCGAGAGACTGTGCGAGCAGACGTAAAAGGTAGAGGGGTATTTAGTAATTCCTAGAATAATCAAAGTTAGTAAGAGAGAGAGAGAGAGAGAGAGAGAGAGAGAGAGAGAGAGCTTACCCTGAAGATTTGCTGGAATGCTGTAGACTGAAGAGCAGTGAAAGGGATATTCTCCAAGACTATCCATCGAAGCAAATTCTCCTCTAATGCCTCTAACATAGATTGACTAGTTTTTGTCCGAAACATAGAAACAATAGATGCTTGCTGAGTTACTGATGATATCATTGATCCATGTTTTTTCATCAGATGCGTTTTCATATTAGAAGTTGATGTATCTCTCTGGGAATCCAAGATCTTCCATTCTCCACAATGAATACATACAATCTCTCGGTCCTGTAACGGCCCTTTGCCCCGTTTAGGATGCCAGAACTTCCCTGGAAGATTGCGGATTGTAAATTGACTCCAAAGGGCTTGGTTTTTGGATTTTGGTGTCTTGGGCAAAGAAGAGTCTAAAGGAGTAGACACTATAGAAGAGGTTGTTTCAGGGAGTTGACTCGCTGAATCATTCGGAGAGATAGATTCATCTTCATCTTCATCTTCATCTAATGGGGAGTGATAACATGGTTGCTTTTTGATACGATCACTAGGATCAGCTTCCTCATCACTACCATCATTTAGAACAAGGTAATCCTGTCGTGGAGCGCGTTTAGGGCGTGGTAGGAGACTCATTCTATCAATGAATGGATAACTATTTAGATATCAAATTAGGGACTTCGGATGATAAGTTTCTATCGTAGTATCGTATGATTTATTTAGGCGGTGGCATAATATCACGGATATCCGTAATCCGTATCCGTAACCGTAGAATTTCTACGGTTACGGTTACGGATAGAAGCTCTCGACTACGGTTACGGATACGAATAATCCAAAATCTTACGGATATGTATCCGTGCCGACCTCTGCAGCAGAGTAAGACTTCCCATGTCCGAGTAACTATATATCAACAAATCATAGTTAGCAAGAAACAACTTCCAGTTTTTTTTTTGAAAAAATAACATTGAGCAATACCCTTTAAGCCAAACATTCTGCAGCTTTTTGTTCTCTTCTTCGCTTCTGGCGTAGTACTTCATATAACGAAGATGATCGCCACTTGCAGCAGTATACCGGTGCTTCTCGACAAACCATTCCTCGTCTTCAAGTCCGAGTGCAAGGGCAAAGATGATCAAGAGCTTTCGCACGATTTGATCATGGATCTGCTTTGAAAATTTCTCAATGGCTTGCAGATTTTGCTTGACAATTTCGGGGTGCTTCCTATTTGCATATTCGGGGATAAACTTTGGGATATTGTAGATCTCAAAGTTGTCTTTGATTCCAGGTATGAGAGTTCTGGTACCAGCCGGCTTCCAGCCATTGTAATCACCTTCTTCAAGAGCTGCTCGGTACTTTAGCTTTTCTTCATTTGGAAGTAGCAGAACAGAATTTGCAAGAGCGAATTGAGTGTCAACCTCCTCCCTGGTGATCCCATGGTTTTTGACATAGAAAAACCCTAATTCTTACATTTAGCAACATTTTGACGAATTAATGGATAGCAACTAGGTTTTAGGTCTGATATATGCAACATACCAACGTCGTCAATCGCTCTTATAAAATCTGCTACAAGCTCTTGTTTACCTCCTGGACGATCGAATTTTGAAAGATCCAATGTTCTCAGATCCGCCCAATCCAGACACTCTGAAGTTTCTGGTACCTGAACATAATCCAAGTTTTCTGTGCTCGTCATCGTGTAGAGTATAAGGTAGACTACCGTGAATGGACCTAGGTATTGTTGCGACAGTTGGGCAAACCCTACATTTGATAGCCCATGATCTATATGGTTGCATACTTATACTTAGGCATAAGAATCCTGCGCGTATCTAGCGTCCATGGATAATTGCTCATCCCAATCTACTATGATGCCATATATAGGCCTTGATGCCGTTCGCTCAAATAGGCGACCTCACCAACATCATCCCACTTTATTGCCGACCTTGAAATAATTAGCTTGAAGGATTCGGAATCTTGGGAATTGAATCCTCACGCGCCTACGACTCCCTTTCGCCATAGTGGCAAGGCTGTTGATTACAAATCTTCTCAAGCCGGAGTAGTTAGCTCCGTCTCGGCATCAATGTTGTCATCTTGGAGCAGTTTTGCGCAAAATTGATATTCCACTAGCTTGGTTAACAGTGAATCTTATCCAAATTAATTGGTACTTTGTGCATATATATGCCCTGGTTAAAAACTTTGTGATCTTTTCGGTTTGTACATGATACACCTGGGTAATTTGTACGACAAGGCAACTTCGGTTCCTGAATTTTTTTCAGCGCACCCAGGTTAATTCTGCGATACAGGTTGACTAGTTGAGATGTCACAGGGAGGCCTTCATTCAAGTGCTCCGGCGGGGGTTGATCAAGATCTTGTGGAGAAAGGCGATGTTTTGGTTGATGCATTCGACAAAATTGGAGAGAATGCAAGACCAACCGACCCTGTTATTGAGAGAAAAGTTCTAAGGAAGATAGATCTTTTTCTCATGCCAGCAATGATGATTGGTATTTATCCACTAATAACCTAATTTGATCTGAAGCTCATACGAAATAGGGTACGGAATGGTCTACTATGACAAAGTGAGCTTTTCCAGTTTCTTCAAAAGTTAAAAATAGCAAGACCACCAAACATTAACTAACAGATCATCTTGCATGAAGGCTCTCCTTGGAAATGCAGCTATTTTCGGCATGACGACCGATCTTCACCTCTCCGTTACTAATACGACAGTCAGCCCATCTACAACAGATACATCCAGGTTGAGTTGGGCAACTTCTTTGTTTTATTTTGGTCAATTGGCTGGGTCCTACCCGATGACATACGCTCTGCAACATTTCAATATAAGATACGTGCTTGGCCCCGTGGTCATGATCTGGGCTATAATCTGTGCAAGCACTGCAGGAGTTACTACTTGGCGGGGTCTCTTTGCACAAAGATTCTTTCTGGGTAGGTAAAAATCAAAATTCTTTGTTTCTATTTTAATCATATCAGGTTTTACCGAGTCTATCATTCCCACTTGTTTTATGGTAACTGTCAGCGGATTCTACACCCAGTCAGAACAGGCCCTACGCCAGAGTTGGTGGTGGTCCGGAACTGGTTGGTTTACGATTATAGGTGGTGCCATTAGTTACGGTTTTGCCCAGATAGAGGGGTCTCTGCATCCGTGGCAATATGTCTTTATTTTCGCCGGAACCTTGACATTCCTCTTTGGTTTCTGGTGCTTCTTCCTCCCGAACTCACCGGCCAATGCGTGGTTTCTGACAGCGGAGGAACGAATTGTGGCTGTCGAGAGGCTTCGGGCTGGACAAACAGGATTAAATAACCAAAAAATCAAGTTCCATCAGATCAAGGAAGCACTACTAGACATTAAAGTATGGCTAGTAGCTGTGGCAATGGCTTCTGCGTGAGTTTTTTTATTTATTTATTATGAATGCATGGACACTTACATTGTCGACAGATACACTGTCAATGGGGCAGTATCCGGTTTTGGGCCTTTGATTGTATCGACGTTCGGTTATTCAACTCTTGACAGTATTCTCTTTCAGTTCCCTTTGGGAGGTCTGTCTGGTGTTGGAATTGTGTTTACCGGCTGGCTATGCTCGCGATACCGCAATATTCGAATTATAAGTTTGCTTATATGCTGTCTTCCTGTCATCGCAGGTTTTGCTATGATTTGGAAATCAACCTGGGGCCATAAACCAGTCACTCCAGTTGTTGGATATTCACTACTGGGATTTTTTGGACCAGTAGTCGGGCTTATTATCTCACTTGGGGCAAGTAACGTTGCCGGCGACACCAAAAGAAGCTTTACAGCTTCTGCTGTCTTTGTTGCATACTGCGTTGGCAATATCATTGGTCCGCAGTTGATTCGCTCTCAAACAAAGTCCCAGCACTACCCAGAGCTTTGGACTGGTCTGATTATTTGGTACGAACTTTGGCATACACATGGATTGGGCACTAGTTACTAACTTATCGCAGTTATTGTATTACAATCTTATCTGCTTCTGCACTCTACTTCTTGTTGGCAAGAGAAAACAAGAGAAGAGACGCATTGAATCTAGATGAGAATGAGCGCGAGCGACTGGGATTTCAGGATTTGACTGACAAGGAAAACTTTCACTTCAGATATGAATATTAGATAATATAGCGTCGGGAAAGAAGTCAAAAAGCAAGCCCTTTTTGTTTATTACTATTTTGGCATGTATAGATTCTGCTAATACGTAGTAATCCAACCCAATTTTCAGAAATTCAATAGCCTTGGTGGTTCAAGTGCTAGATTGCAACGGAGTCTCTACTTAAGGTCTTCAAGATTTCACCACAGGAAAGGCTTGATCAGGAAATAGGGGATCAAAGCAAATACTATTATTCAAACTTTTGAAATGAAGTAACTAAGTATGCAAAACCAATCAACAAAATCAATCCCAGAGCCTAACCGGCAGTAGAAAGTATGCCCTATGTAACTAGCCAGTCACACTATTAAGTCCCGTCCTGAGACTTGACAAACTCGCACCCCGTGGTCTTTGAAAAATTATGAGTTATCCCAGATGGGCCTATGTCTATTGCTCGACTCTGATAATTTTGGGGAAAATTATTTCTGCTGATGGGTTGGACTGTTGATCTGTGGTCGCTCAAAACTCGGTGATAAGAACCGGTTATTCCAAGTAAGGACTCGTTACTTCTCTATTGTACTGTGTATTTATCTATTAGTTCCTAGGCGATAGCAGCTTTAACTTTCAAGCCTTTTTCTATTTCTGATAGCACAGCTTCGCCTTGATTATTGTATTTTAGCCTCTTATGCTAGTCCCAAGAAATTTCCAGGCCAGTTAGACTAGGAATAAGACCAGTAAGATATGCAGAGCCTTATCTGGAGCTCTGAGAAATTTTACAAGATCTTTAAGGAGCTTCATGTGTATAGTAGAACACCTTCAGCGTAAACTCTCTCTCATGCAGATAGAAGCCATTTTGGACGCGAGGATGTATTTTGTCCAACAAATTCAGCAGTTTGTTGCCGATGTTCGGACTAACGTCAGTCAAGATAAAGAAGGATTTGACAAACTAGGTGAAAAAACCGGTTCTGTTGATGATGCCCAATGCAAACTCACCGGTATAGATGTGATTCAGGGGAATTTTCCAGTCTTTGACGTCGATTTCAAGATCATCAGAGTTCACAGTGCTTAGAGTCTCGCCGGGTGAGTGATTTTATTTGTCCCTATCTGACAGCGATGACGATGATTGCCTATTGGATGAAATCATTTTGAAGAGTAGAAAGTAGCTTTCTGAAATACAATGGGAAGGTGGACGGACGTAAAATTCCCAAAGTGGAAAGAACTCAAGTGGGGAAGTGCGGCTACCTTAATCTTTAGCATTAGTTCTAATCCGGTTAGCGCACCCGCACCCGTATGCAAGATAAGATGTAATAAAAAATAGAAAATAAAACCAAAATAAGATTCAATATCAATTGGCATTTATAGCCTAATGAGGACTAGTAATAACGTAACCTAAATATGCGAAGATTTGTGAATAATTGAAAATGAGAATACGAACATTCCCCCCGTTGTCCACGGATATTCGCATATTCGTGCCGAGCTCCCCTAGTTTTATAATACTAATAATTGGCTAAAATTGTATCCACCCGCGGGGACCCACGATAGAGTTGATTTACCGAAATGTTTCTATTAGAGTGATATTAAAATTACCTATGTCATTGGATCTAATGCAGAAATAGCTTCCCGGGCCATATCAGCCTTTCTCTGTCCGTTCGATATGTGGATTCGTCTCAAGCGATACAACAGTAGTCATGCGCTGTACAATCTTGCGATCCTAAAGTCAACAGTAAAGCAAGGACAAGGCCAGCACTCTTGCCTCACTTGTTGGAACCTTTAGATATCCTAGTGTATCCTATGACACTTTGATTGTCGCCGACGGACTGCAGCCTCAGATCTGTTCATGAATAGGATGGTAGTTTTGAGCTGGAGAGTTCTCTGCTCTTAAAAAGGGTGAACGATTGGTTTACAAGGGACTCGACTCTAAAATCTTCTTGCCTTGATCAAAATCAGCGACCCTACCACCCTGGTCCCAGAGTGCAGCCAAGACTGTCCTCGTACCCACCCAGGGCGAACGTGAATGCATCACGGCAAGATTCTGTAAATTTGTCAGTATCGTCAAGATCGAATTGATTATGCGGAATAACACCCACATCTAGCAGTACAACATCACCTGGCTGCCACGAGAGGGATACTTGCGAGCTTTCAGCAAGTTTCAAAGCGAGTTCCAGATATTCGGTCGGAATGCGAGAGCCATCGCCATATGTCGGTAAAGGATGATGTGCCCCATCATTTCCCAAAAATGGAGGCTCAGTGGCGCCGTGGTGCTTGCTCCTTCCATATGCACTGGTCAGATTGCCAAACCATGTCGTTAGTCCGGTATCGGTGTGAATGCGGATTACTGCCATTGCGGTTAACTTCAAGTAATTTCGTAGCTAGTCATGAAATCATACTTGGGACAACGTGTGTCACGCTCAAACTCCCGTCCTCGTGCCACTCGAATCGATTGCTGTGTCTGCGAACCTCATGCTCGACCTTTTGCTTCACAGTCTCAGCGTCATCTCCAGGCAGCACTTCAGCACCGTATGCCGATAGCACACTTGCGCCAGTGTTTGAGCTTCGAACATCGTCGGCCCTAAGACGATCAGTCAACTCTGATACCAAGCGAAGAGCGATGTTTGCTTACCCGTAGCGATACACGTAGCGGACTCCTTTCTCGAGAAGTGTGTTGAAGAATTCGGGAGCTTGTTGTTTGACTGATGCAGCCAACTTGATACTTGAGGTGATGGGTGTCTCGCCACCTAATAACGTCAGCAGCGCCCTGCGATCCACCAGCGATAAAAGTCTTACCGCTCTCAGGAGTGACCAAAGCAGAAAATGTCAACCAAGCAGGGTTGACAGTTGACCAGCCGTATTCGTTATGCGGCCAGATCGGCATTTCTGGAGGACTGGCACCAATGTCAAACAGGCTCCCCTTCAATTTTAGAGCGATCAACATACCCTTCATTGGCAGTCTTGATATTTAGTGCTAATACGGTCCGAAGCGGCGGTCTACCAACTTCATCGTGGGCGCTGAAACCAAAAGCGTGTGCAATCTGACTGTAGTCTTGTGCTGTCTTGATGGGCAAACCACGGATCAAGACTGCGCCGCCATGCTGCTGTACGAGCTTGAAGAAATCACCAGACTTGGAGATGGTCTCGATAGCTTGGATATGGTCTGCCAGAGATGCTTGACTGTTCTCTTCTCGAGGATGTAGTCCCAACGGGAATGAAGCGACAGAAGGAAGGCCGAAGCCTGCCGTGTCTTGTTGGCCTGGGAATGAGAACTCGCGAAAAAAGTCCTGGGTCGCCATCGGAAATGGATCAAATGATAAAGTTAATAATACCTACAGTATGCCAAGTGCAGGCTTTTTGTACTATAAACGGACGACGAAATCAGGCCATTGGCTGTCGGCCCTTCTTATTTCCCGAGTATGAGATGGCAAATGAGCCCTGATGAAATGACGTGATCGGTGCTCGACGATTTGCAATTTTCTGTCTTGCACACTGATCCACTTTAGCGCCTCTCAGAAACTTTAGCTATGCCATTAGCGCCCCCGATGGCGTAATCCAGGGGTATTATGTCGTTGATCAGGCTCATTTACATAATAGGCTCACAATGATAAATCTGACTATTTAGGCATACGATGGCATGGCCCATATATAACGTTTATTGCAAAACTATCCTCCCATTTAGTAGACCTATTTTTCAAAACTACTAAATGTAATTTAACAGCTTAAAAACAGGAAAAATACATATAACATGGCGAAATCAGCCGTGACAAAAGTAAAACCCAAGCGCGAATTAATATTTGCAGGTACCATACTAGGCCAGATTAGGTAACTAGATATGACTAGTCCGCGCTAACGTTATAATGGGCCATACCTTAGTTAAGATAAAGCAAGATGGCGACGATTACGTGTTAATAGTGTCTTTGACGTGATAACCTTCTTTTCTGTCGGCCGACAGCACAAAATAATCGCGAAGGATTATGCTTAGTCACGTTCGTCAACCATGTTTATCGTTGAAATATCGCATGCTAGCAATATAAGGTTCATCTTCGGCCTTCTAGTTTAAATCTCTACTCTTTATCAAGTATTAATATTTGGCTGTGTCCTCTCAGCTAGCCCTTGTCCAAAGTCTCCCGCAACAATGGGTATTCCTGAGACAATTCCGACCAAGAGCGCTGCTGAGGTGGACGACCGAGATGTCGAGCGGGATAATGTCCCATATCATTGGTATCGAGGAGTATTCTTCCAAGCAACAATCGTCGGTCTTGCCGCTTTTGTAGCACCAGGTCTTTACAATGCCATGCAGTCTACTGGTGCGGGTGGACAACAAACGCCGTACCTTGTTATGGCCGGAAATGCAATCCTCAATTGCTGCATGGTCCTGACTTGCATCTTTGGTAGCGTCATTGCCAATCGCTTCGGTCTCAGGGCAACTTTTGTCTTTGGCACCACAGGTTATGCCATATACTCTGCCTCGCTATACGCGAACAATCGTTATGGCACAGAGTGGTTCATCTATCTTGGCAGCGCAGCATGTGGAATTACAGCCGGCGCATTCTGGGCCGCTGAAGGGGCAATCATGCTCAGCTACCCTGAACCACACCAGCGCGGACGGTATCTGGCGTACTGGCTTGCTTATCGTAACGGAGGCTCCATCATTGGCGGCATCATCAACCTGGCCTTCAACTATGCTGGTACGACGACAGGCAAGCTCAACTGGCGGACCTACATCATTTTCGTCGCACTCCAGTGCCTGGGCCCTTTTATCGCCATTTTTGTCTCACCTCCAGAAAAAGTGCAGCGAAAGAACGGCACTAAGGTCGAGATTGAAGGGCGAATCTCGACAATCACCGAACTTAAAGCATACGGTCAACTCCTGAGTCGAAAAGAAGTCCTCCTGGTCCTCCCGCTATTTCTCTACGCCACATGGCCGCTCTCTTATATCGGGTCGTACCTTTCCCTCTACTTTAGCGTGCGCTCGCGGGCGCTGGCCTCGCTCGTTAGTGCAATCGCGCAAATCATCACCAATATTGTCTTTGGCAGCTTCTTGGACTGGAAGCGCTTCTCACTGCAGCAGCGTGCCAAATGGTCCTACATCTTCATGGTCTCGCTCATCCTCGGGTGCTGGGTCTGGGGCGTCGTGGTGCAGAAGGACTACGGAGCGCACAATCCAAAGCTCGACTGGGCCAGCCATGGGTTCGGCAGAGGATGGGCGTTGTACATTCTATGGCAGGTCAACTTGTACGTATTTCTTGATATAATGCGCTTCCATGATCTTTTTCTAACTTCAAGACCTTTAGCGCAATCATCTACAACTACTGCTACTGGATGGTCGGTTTCATGGCCGAGAAGCCTAACGAGATTGTCCGCTACACCTCCATCGTCCGCGGCGTCGAGGCCGCAGGCGGCGCGATCGCGGCGGGAATCAGCTCTACTCACGCGCCTGTAAGTGCAGTTAATACCCTCTTTTTATTCGTCTCATGTCTTTTCATCTCTTGTTCTCTTGAGTCTCTCTTGCCAAGTCCCGTTGCTAATTTGTGTGTTATATAGCTCATAGCGGCACTCGGGGTAAATTTTGGCCTTATTGCTGTCGCAATCTTGCCCGCTTGGTTTGTTATTAGAAAAATTGGGACGAAAGAAACCCCAAATTTGTATGAGGATGATGAGGGCCAGGCGTAGAGAAGAAATGTGAAAAAAATATGACGGACAGTTTTACATAATAATAACTCAAACCAGCTATTCAAGCATTCGCAATCTCGAAAGCGAGGTTGATATCGGTCAACTCACGTTCAGCATCCTATCTTCTTTTCTATTGGCTCACATTATCTTATGAATGATTAAAAATTTAGACATAGGCTTTTTGGATGCCTAAGTGTCTGAGTCTAGGCCTTAGGCTAATCCTATTTGGTGTGTGGATCCCGTGATATGTACGTCTTGGCATAACCTAATCTGATCTAGAAAAAAACTACGCCGAAAATACCCAGATCAGTATGCATGTCTAAAATTGCCTCTATTGTTTTTTCCAAAAAGACATCATTAATGGGACTGTTTAACCTGGTATAACTGATGTACTTAAACGCTCCTTGATGAATCCCACTACTTGGACCTTGGTTGGCCAATCAGTAACATTCTATACACTCTATGCTCCTGGGAACGCGTCTTCTACTGAGCATTTATCCAGAATTGATATGAGAAAGATCTGTCAAAATACTGAACAATAGAGGTCGGCACGGATACATATCCGTAAGATTTTGGATTATTCGTATCCGTAACCGTAGTCAAGAGCTTATATCCGTATTCGTAACCGTAGAATTTCGACGGTTGCGGATACGGATTACGGATATTCGTGATATTATACCACTGCCTAAATAAATCCTACGATACTGCGATAAAAACTTATCATCCCAAGTCCATAATTTGACATCTAAATAATTATTCATTCATAGAATGAGTCCTACCACGTCGGGTCTGGCGACTATCAATCTTCTTTAGATGTCTGTGGTATTCTAAAGGACCATAAGAGCCTACCAGCTGGGCATTCTGCGCTAGCTCGTGTACGGATCTTAGCCCTTTGGGTATATAGGAGTCCTCAAAGATAACAGCAGTGGTAAATCATTTGTCAGACGCATGGATTACCTGATAAGCTCATTCGGTAAGCAAGATTCCTTTCTATCTTTCTTATATATACTTATAGTTCCAGGTGTTATGTCGAGACACGTTGGAACTCGACATATCTTATAATTTAAAATGCTATCCTTGCTCAAGAGCAGATTAAACATTGGAATAATTTTCAGAATCAGCTGATACCGTTTTCAAATGATGATTGGTCTAATTTTCGTGAGCTTGCTATGGTTCTTTCAAGATTCTATGAGTTTACCCAAATTATCTCTCAGCAGCAACCTCATATAAATCTAGTAATTCCTATTTACTATGAATAATAAATTGCATGACCTCCTCATAGAAGCAGCTTCTTTTGAAGGCGACTTTGCAGGGCTTAGTCCTGATATCTTTTCTGCTGTCTTGGTTGGAATGCAAAAGTATAGGAAATACTATGATCTTATGGATATGCAAGATATCTATTATATAGCTCTTGCTCTTGATCTACGTGTTAAATTTACTCTTTTAGAACAAGAGCTTGAAGATGGGGTTACCCAAGAAATCATTCAGAACATTAAGGTCTTTCTTCATAAGAAATATCCCCTTTGGCTACCTCAATCTAGTTCTGCTTCTAGAACTATGGATCCTTCTGCTCGACCAGGTATGAGAGATCGTCTTCTACAAAAAGTATATTCTCAAGTATCTCGGTCTTCTGATATTGGTCGCTATTTTGATGAACCTCCTAGTCAAGTAGAAGGATTAATAGAAGACCAAGATGACTCTAAGTGGCTGTTTTCATGGTGGAATGCTCATAAGGATCAACACCCCAGGATAGCAGCAGTTGAAAGGGACTACCTTGGTATTCCAGCAGCTGAGGTTTCAATTGAAAGACTTTTCAGTTCTGTAAGGGATATACTAGGTATTCGTCGACAATCTCTGAACAGTAAGACTATGAGAGAGTTAGTTTTGTTAAGAGATGTATATGGTTTTGATTCCTAATTGAAATTTCTTTTACTTGAGAATTATATGAGATCTACACCTCTATAAATATGGAAATATACATTAGAACTGCAAGTGGTTCTAGACACGTGATATAAGCTACGGATAACTAGAGGGCATTTATTCGTAACTGTAACCGTAGAGATTTTATTCGTAACCGTAACCGTAGAATTTCTACGGTTACGGTTACGGATACGGATATCCGTAAAACCGTGCCGACCTCTATTCAAAATTTTGCTTTTGTTTATGGTCCGGTAGATGAAGTAAATTACAATTGAAGCCTGAAATCACTGAGAGATAAAATGTGCATATATAGCCCGCGCTGGCTAGCTCACTTCCCCCATGTGGTCAATCAACGGAATTAGTCGCATTGCGGAGTTCATATTCTTCTGCCATGTATGAACTAATCCAATCTCTAGAATTGTACCTTGTCACTTGCCTAGACATCTCTGATCACTCTCTACTCCCAATGGATATGCTCTACACCTTTAGTTTGCCCGCCACAACGGTCTCCGGTGGGATGCTCAGGATGCATCCATGATTGGCATTCTACTTAGGAACCTCACAGCCGAGCATATATGGTTCGACAAATCCTTCTGTCGGTACACCTGTACCAAGTGTGGAATAGCTATTCGATAAAGGTGATGAGGCTAACGCCCACTTCTGACACCTATCACAGGTAACGCTTTACGCCCCTATGATATCTGTGTCCTTTGAAGTGGTTGTAAAGTCTGGTTTTCATTCTTAGTTTGCTATCTATTATAAAGTAACAATTTGATCACATGACTGCTTTATTCCATATTCTAACACTGGAGCCACTTTGAAAAAATGATTGGAAACGCGTGTTCGAATGCCAATTTTGATGCCAATTTGAATGCCAATTTCATTGTTCAACCCAACCTAATGTCTTTAAGTCCAACTGGTTTGTGTCGACCAGGCTCTCCAATGCTTTACAACATTTAGCCTTCGTCATCGCATCTGCAGGATTGGAATCTCCTGTAATCCACCTTAACTCCATTTGCCGTCGCTCGTATGCCTGTCTAAGAGCCATGACGTCGATCATGAGCCTCTTCTCGGATGTTGTCCCTAAACCAGTGACATAGTCATATACAGACTTTGAATCTGTGTAGAGGACTAATGGTATGACTTCTCGCAGTATTTTGTTGATAGTGGTGTTTACTGCGAAGGCGATATCCAGAGTATGCGAAGTTGCGTAGACCTCTGAAGCCAGGACGCTTCTAGTAACTCTTTTACACTTGATCGAGCTCCAGTGGATAATGTTGGCGTTGATATGACCATCTTTGGTGCTGTGGCCATCTGCGAGTGCAATAACAAAGCCAATTTAAGAGCTATTATCAGTGTTATTTACAAAGGATGCGTCTGTGAAGGCGAGTAGCTGAAGGTGTTGTCTTAATTTGACGAAGCGGAGGCCTCTGGATTTGTTCTTGATTTGCCAATTCAGCCGTTGATTTAGTCTTTTCGCGTCTTCTTTTCCAGGTTTGGTAACTTAGGCGGCGAATGAGAGGTCAAATGCAGCCTCTGGTTGACAGACTATCGCGATATAAGCTCCTCTAGCGCGCTGAGCGATGTATGAATCTTTAGAGACTGGCCCTATAGGAACTAGAGAGAGCTTTCTGCATTAAGCTTCCTGGGAAATGATGATGGCTTCTCGAGGAACTGTTTCTTTCTGAATGATGCACCCATTGAATTTGAGGGGATGCGATGTTGACAATTTTTCGCGCCCTTTGGCTACGAATTGGGCCTGTTGGAGCATTTTCTCCTCTTTATCGGCAAAAATATCGTCTCCAAGAATTAGAGTGTCATCAGTCTGGAGGCCAATGATGCCGAATGGGTCGTTCGAGGACAGTAAACAAGGGTCGAATGTGGATTGTTCTGTTCCTAGCTGATTTAGGTGGTGGGAATGGTATGTCTTGAACCAATGGTTTCCTGCTTTAGGGATGCCATAAAGTGGTTTCACTACCTTAAAGGCAGTATTCTCCTATAATCCAAATTCAGATGGTGGTCTGATATAGAACTCTCGATTCAAACTTGTCGTGGATTGAACATAAGCTTAGGAAATGTCTCTTAGGAATAAATTGTAATTGACTTCTGTTTCCGGCCAGAGTTTCATGGCGGCGATGCAGAGAATAAGTCTCTGGCTTACTCTCTGAATCGTGGGCGCCTGAGTCAGAACGGTCTCCTTTTCCTGGTCATTATAGGCTTGAACCACTAGTCTAGACTTCTCATAAGCTTTATATGTCCCTTGGTGCTTGATTTCATCAACAAAACGTGAATTAAATAGTCGTGCATTTTCAGGAATTATGGTAACAAGCTTAAAGACTCCTTTTATAAGCAAATCGTCGATCTCCTTCTATCGCGAGGCCTGAAACTATGTCTTATATTATGGTTTAGACACCTTTATAAAGGTAGTTGGGATTGGCTTTAGCTCTAAAATTGGCTCTGAAGTTGGCTCTGAAGTTGGCTCTGAAGTTGGTTCTGAAGTTGGCTCTAAAGTTAGAGTTGATGTCGAGTCTGGATGTTTTAGAGCGAATTCAGGGTGTCTCTACACGTCTAGGTATGGTTTTACCACTGTTGTTCTGAATGGTGTTGGGCCACTTGGTAAACCAATGGTGCAGGTTTCTCCTTCTACTAAGAGTAGTTTGAATGGTCTAGTCCATTGTCCTATCTTCTGAGCGTTTCCTTCTCTCTATAGTAGAACTAGAGAGTTTAGGGGTAGCCCATGAATCGCTGTTGTTATCGGCCCGTTTCGTGTATTCAGGGCATCAGAAATCGAACGTTCTGCGCGAAGTTTCTGAATCTCTGCCATAGCTTTACTAATGGCAGCTGCTCTCTGAGAAACTGAGGGCGATGGCGCATCTAGTTCGGCCATTCGAGGGTATGCTCTAAAGGTAAGAAGGGTGGGGACAAGACCATCAGGCCCAATGCTATCATTCAGGGCTTTAAAAGCCATCTAGAGGGCCATATGTTTGTCAATTCTTGATCCTAGTTCTGCGATGATAATCTGATAGACCCGCCGAAGTGGTCCGTGATATCGTTCGACCATGCCGATCGAATTATGGGCTTCCATAGGAACAGCTTTTATGGAGATTCCTAGGTTTTTGGCGTAATATTTGAACTCTCTGCTCATAAAGTTCTTGCCCTGATCATGTGTGATAACATTAGGTGGTCCTTGGTATATGTCTATCTAGCATAAGCGGATGACATCCTAGGTATGCTTTATAGAGATATTATTAAGCCATCGGCTAGCCTGGAATCTAGTAGCTTCATCAACGATATGTAAAATTGGCTCTGATCTTCCGTTGTTTTCTATATATATAATATCGATGATGATGTTATAGTTGAATCGAACATCATCATCTTGAAGCTTAAACCAGAAACGGCCTAGCGATCTACCAAATTTCTGATAGTGTTGGCAGAACTTGGTTATCTGCTCTAGAGCTTGATTTTGGATGTCGTGGCCAGATCTATAGAGGATAGACTAGAGCTTTAGAACTGATGGGTGGCTAAATCGACGATGTAGGCGGCGAAGCTCTATATCTATAAGAAGGCATTCGGTGCTGAATGATGATGTGATATAGCCTGCGACTGCTTTCTAGGGTAGAAATGGGTGGCCAAATCGATGGATAATAAGGATCTCAAGAGTTTTCGAGACTAGGCTCGAGCTATTTGAAGAGATAATGACATTCCGAAGATTATTATAGTATACTCTAAGTCGATCCATATCTACGAGGCAGAGTAGGAATAGCGTGTCTGTATCAACCACATGGAATTGTATTTCGCTAATCGGGGTGTGGATAAGAACTATGCCGACAGAAGAGGTCGCGCCAATTCTAAATTATATAGAAACTTGGCCAGCTGAGGATATATTTAGATTGATATCGATAAGCTTTTAGAGGGCTTGAAATTGGCTATATCCGGCTATAGACTTGCTTAATGCTCTAGTATCGATCATTATCCCAACAAATGTGTCTGAATTATATCTCGTGGTGGCGATGGTGGTGTATATAAATAGGTCATTTTCAGTGATTTCTGCTAGAGATTTGATAGCTAGAGACTAACTTTCTGGGATAATCGAGTAAAGATATGCCCTATCAGCTAGTTCAGATGTCATTGTTTCTGCTTTAAATAGTGTTATTTCTCTGTATAAGGTCATAAAGTTCTCTTGTTCTTCTTCTTCTTCAGACTCTCCGGAATCTCCAGAATTAGCATCATTCTAGGTATAAGGTTCAGAGATAAGAGTTTCGAATGGCTCTATATCATCTTCTCCTTCGCCATCCTCTCCTTCGCATTACACCATATATTGTCTGAATTATCTCTTAAAGTTGCCGGAGCCACCATTCCGCTCGAACGATTGTCGATATCTCTTACGAGCTTGTTCCTGTTCGCTTTTAGTATGTTTCCATGATCGATAATCTGGTTTATGGCAGACATAACATTTCTTCTTTGGATTCCATCTGCTATCGCGTTTTTGACTATAGGAGCGCTCTCGTTCACCGTTTCGGTCATTCCGATAGTATCTTTAGTTAGTATAGAACGCTTCATGGTTCTGAAGTGTCTCTTGAGGTCGTGAGTTTTCCTATGCTGTGATTGAAATTCGTATCTTAGTAATCATAGAATTTGGATCGTGGGATAGCTGGGCGATCGCATTTTCGCATGCTAGGACTCCTCTATACGCGATTATAAGCTTCGCGGAGAACTGAGTATCCGAACGCATCTCTGGGTGTAACCCTTGGCGTAGTTTCAAGAGTCTGTCGATAAGAAGCTAGAAGCACTAGTTTAATGGCTTTCTAGGGTTCTTATTGATTAGAGATTAGAGTGAGACATTGTTCCATTCGACAAGCTTCTGGGTTTGGTGTTCAGGTCCTTCAAAATAAGCTCTCATCTGGCTACAGATCTTGTTAAATGGCTTTAAGGATAAGCCACTATTATAATAATAGTTGTTGGCTTGATCTTTGAGCATAGCTGAGAATGCCTTTTTATATGCTTCTGGAGGTAGATTGGCCTGTTCGCAAATGTCGTAAAAGATGGCTAGCTTAAAGTTGAAGCTGTCTTCTGATCCACCATATTTCTGGTCCTTCTGGTAGGCTTTACGGATGTTCATAGCTTCTTTGGTGTAATCTGGTTGACGACGATCTGGCTCTCTAGGAACAGTATTGAAAGGCTGGTGACGATGATCTGGCTCTCTGCGAACAGTATTGAAAGGCTGGTGGCGATGATCTGGCTCTCTAGGAGCAGGGTAGAATGGCTGGTGATAAGGATCTGGCTCTCTAGGAGTAGTATAGAATGACTGGCGGTCGCCAGGAGGTGGGTTTTGTGGCTGCCGGGGTGCATTTCTGGCGTCGGTTGGAGCTGTGAAGGGCCTATAATAGGCTTCTTGAGACTCTGGAGTTCTGTAGCTAGCTGCAGCTTCAGCCTGTTGAGCCTGATGTTATCTCCGATTCTGTTCTTCCTGTTGTCTTAGGAACGCATCTCTCTCTGGATCTTTAAAGGAGGGCACGAAGGTGGCTCTCTTAGCACTTGGATATTGGGTGGTTTGGAATGGGTTTGATTGGTGAGGAAGTAAAGAAACAATCTGTGGAGAAACAATCTGTGGAGGGATCGGAGATTCTTGGCTATCGGTCTTTAATTTAGTTCCTGCTTCGTTAAGCCGATCACTGAGTTTAATAGAGATCACTGGTTTGACTTCTTCAAGGACTGCTTTAAGCTCTTGGTCTGTCCAGGTATGATATTGTTCGTCCTGAACAGCTTCATGCAGGATATGAGAGATTGGCATAGGAGGTGTCATACTGGTTGGTCGACGGATGAAGACTCCTCTCTGAATCAAATCTAGTCGCAGTGCTATCCTGAGGCGGTTGGGCAGACGATCCCAGGTTCGAAGAGAGAAGTCGTTAAACTCATCCTTGAACTGAAGCCAAAGTGTCTCATCAGTTAGGGACTCTTCGCTATGAACGAAAATTGCGGTTTCGACATATTCGGTAAGTTCTTCGAGCGAAGCTTCCTCTGCGTTGGCTAATCCATGATCAAACTTTTTGATTCTTTCGTTCCAGTCAATGACTCTGTATCTTATGGGGGATGAAGAAGTTGATTGGATATGGGGTTGGAGTTGGGCTTGACGGCGTATTGGAGATATGTAAGAACCAGGCATTTCAAAGCGTGTGTAGGCCATCTCTGGCGTCTCTGGAGGCTTAGGAGATGCCATTTCTGGAGGATTTGAAAAAAAAAAAAATGAAGTCAGGTGTTTTAGTGAAAAGTGTTGCTATCCTGATCTATACTAAGACTGATCAGTGTCGGTACACCTGTACCAAGTGTGGAATAGCTATTCGATAAAGGTGATGAGGCTAACGCCCACTTCTGACACCTATCACAGGTAACGCTTTACGCCCCTATGATATCTATGTGTCCTTTGAAGTGGTTGTAAAGTCTGGTTTTCATTCTTAGTTTGCTATCTATTATAAAGTAACAATTTGATCACATGACTGCTTTGTTCCATATTCCAACACCTTCAATTACAGCGATGCGGCTAAAATTCCTTGCTCTGATTGGGTCTGCTTAAGCTTTAGCCACAAAAATCTCCTGGAGGTCTCGAGATTGGCTCCAGAGTAGCTTCGGAATTCAGGTACACATTCACCTGGGCAGTCTACAGCTTCCAATAGTGTGAACATACATATGAACTGATGAATAGCAGTTTGCAGCTCACCCTCTAGAGTCTCCACTGACCCCGGAGGCAAAGTCGAGGTTTCTCCAGCGAATTTGATATAAATATCAGCTGGTATTGATCCAAAACTTTCCATTTAGGAAAGCAGCTTTGGAAAATCTCTTCCAGGAACCTTGCTCAGTTTGCCATCTTCAACATGCGTGTGCTTTCAATTTTAGCAACCCTTGCATTTGTGCAGCAGACTTTGCTACCAACAGCTCAAATGGTACAGACTCGGGTCTTTTGGAGGAGTTATTCTTGGATATTAGTGCCCAGACAGTCTTCGCCAACGCAACAAATCACTTTGTCGAACCTTAGGCCAGTCTGTACATCAAATCGATAAATGAGAAAAGGTTCGGCGACGCTATTTGGGCACGCTACCATATCTACGGAGACATGGAAGATGGCATTGTCGGTGGCTCAAACAACATGACTGTGCTTGATACTATCGAGGAAGACGCCCGCGAGTATAGAGTGAGCGAACCCGAACTTTACGCTGAAGCTCTTTCCTTCTATGTTCAAACTAGTAGCCAAGATACGCACATTGCCGATGTGCTGGATCTGATTCGCCATATTTGCCAGGAAGATGTCACCGAACTTGGAAAACGCTTGGTCTATGGGATAAGCTGCAGCTCAAACTACCTTACCACGTCCACGAGCTGTAACAGCCTCATCAGTTACATGTCCTAGGATAGTACATTGATTGGCAGTTCCAGAGCTGTTTACTCATACGGAAGTTGCCATCTCAGAGTTTGGCCATATAGAAACACTGGAACGATCCTACATACTGCACTGCCCATGCGGTGGCTAAGTTGATCCTCTCGGATTGCGAATATTATCCATCATGCTGCAACTACAAAGAAGTCTCGGGTTATTTACCGAATAACTCAGGGCATCGTAATATTTGGCTTAGCAAGAAGAACTCGGGCTGCTCCTGAGGGAGATAAATTTTCATCTCATATGCTAGACGTTCATATGCTACACATGAGGCCAAGGGTGGTGCTCTATCTACCCTGCAAATTGCTCAAGATGAAATGTTCTAGGTTCAACCTCATTCTTGCATGTGCAAGAGGGGCTGAAATTAGCAGCATTCGGCTTTCGCCTAATCTATTCATGATTTGGTCTTATCAATCTAATTCTATCTGCGGCAATTAATCTTATCAGTCAATATCACTGTAGATATCCTTTGTATTTACTTTTTACCACTCAAAATTGTCAATGGTTAGTTTAATACTGTCATTCTCTAATCAATCATTCTTCGCACTTCACTATCATTTAGTCACTTGACAATATCTTAAGTTCGTACAATTTTAGTAACTCTGAAGTTCCAAGGTTGAAAGCAAATGAAAAAAATGTAGATACCCGCCTTTAGGACCGTGAACTGGCTATATAGAAATATTTCCCTTGGCGTGAGATTACCCAGGTGGAAGCTCCCATCTAGTGGCTTTTGACAGCTATTCAGTGTACTTGAGAGGGCTTATAACAATTAAAATATGTATACAATAGCAAGAAAAACAATGAGCACGGTTCATGTAACCATAACCAGAATTTTCAGGCTGGTCATAAATAGTTCCGGTATCTAGGTAACTAGTACCCGTAGGCCAAGATGGACAATTATATATGGAATATGGAACAAAGGAGTCAAGTAATCAAATCGTTACTTTATAATAGCTAGAAAGTCAAGAATGAAATGCAGACTTTACAACCACTTCAAGAAGACACAGATACTTATAGGGGCGTAAAGCGTTACCTGTAATAAGTATCAGAAGTGGGCGTTAGCCTATCGAATAGCTATTCCACCGGTGTACCGACAATATAGTTTCGGAGATTTATATTTCGTAAGTAATATATACATTGAAAAGTAAACATTTTGAATAGAAGCCTAGAGTCAGTTGTATTTTAAATCAATTGTATATTAAAATGCTAAGCGATATTTCAATACCGGGGAAATTCGTTAAATGCAGGAGAAAAATACCTCCAATTTAAGATTGCAAGAGACTGCAAGATTAGCAGATCATCGGCTTTAGTTAGTCTTTTTTGAATTTTCGGTGCTGTCTTCCGGCGCGAATTGGATTCGTCTTCCATACACGAACGGCGTCCGGGAGATCAGCGATCCCAGTGAATAGCCCAAGTATGCACCAAGGAGAATGGTGATAGGGAAAGCTTGCCATGGACGGTCCCTGCATGTGCACGATTAGCCTGGTTTTATTTCAAGATGGATTTACATCACTGTACTCACCAATCAAGGGGAATTGGGATGGCACCAAGCCAGGCACCAAGCCCTGTGCCAAGAGCACTGCCCCAAACAGCATCAGCGGGCCGGGTAAATCCCCAGACTTCTCTCCATACTGATTTATCCAGACCCTGAGTATAAATTAGGGCCGTGGAGGAGAGGACGGCCATGTGCGCTGCACAAAGTACAGTTTCGGCATTATGTGTTGTGAGTGGTGCACCGAACAAGACGAGAAGAATAGACAAGACAGGGGTGGCTATAAAGAAAGCCAGGGTAATAGAGAGAAGGGTGGGCTATCGTTTGCGTTCCATTTTTAGCATGTTGGTCCATTGCATACATGGTGGATTTGTTCTTACCGTCAACCTGACTAGAACTCCATTCAAAATATTCTTCCAAGAGTGCTGTTTTCGCCGGTATCCTGGCTTTCCGGGACGCAACGTCACATTAGGCCCAGAGGAAGAACGAGGCGCAGACTTTCCATCTGTGGCATTCGTTTCCGAGGCAATGGAGCCGCTCGGTGGCAGACAGACTGTCGCATAGGAGATCTGGAGAAGTGCCAGCCAGGGCAAATCAGCCCGCAATTCCTGCGCAGGATTCTCAACCAGTGCCTCGAATCTAACAGCGCATAATGCCAGGAGGAGTACTGGGTGTACATATGAATAGACTTGGGCGAGCTGCGAGGGGAGAATGTGGGTAGGTGGAGTGGATGGCTTTTCGACCGGGGCGTGGGTCATATCAGATGCTTGGTTCATTGTAGTTGTAGAATTTAGGGAGGCCATCGTAGGCGCATTGAACCTCGACCCTTTTTTATTATCTCTTGGTCTTATGGCTTTCAGGAGCTACGGAATCTTAGGGAAAGGGTGCTGACTCATGTTTGTCTGTTTTGCATACATGCATGAAGGCCTGATATTTCAGGAATCTATATTGAACAAGGACAGTTCGTGATTATCGTTAACAAGGTCAAAATACTATTAGAAACGAACTCCTCCGAGTAAACTGACACTAGAAGGGCTTATTACTACTGTACAACCAATTTGGTCAACTTCATTGCAATCGATTGGGATCTAAAATCGCACAAGTCTCACAACGATCATGCCTGGTAGGCCAGTGCAGGAATAAGATAAAATAGAAAAACAAAATTAATAAAACTTCAACAAGCTAAAGTCACAGACATACAGTCATATCACATTGCAACGTGACCCATGGGGCACGGAGGCTCAGCAAAAAGCTAGTAGGCACATGAGCGAGCAAAGATTGCAAGCAAGATCTGAGTAAGAGTGTTCGTAAGATATAGAAACCCTTAACCCGCTTATCAACACAAACAAACCCGATTACTGTTGTTGCAGAGAATCGACCTCAATGGGTTAGGGCATAACGTAAATGCTCCAAGAGTTTTCATGAAAAAAAAAAAAAAAAGCTTAGGGCTGAAGAAGGCAAAAATAAAAATCAGGCGATACACCCGTAACACGAGAGTAAGACATTTTGAAGAATAAGGAGCCAAAGGTTCTAAACAATCTGGGTAGAGACTGATTCATCCGTTGATTCCTTCAAAGGTGCCGAGGTAACAGTCTCATCTGACGACGGGAGAGTATTAGCAGCCGGTGCTGACGTATCACTCGGTATCTTGGACTCAGGCACAGTGGGTGTCTCGGGGCTGTGAGGTTCCTCGGGGATTGAAGGAGGCATGCCAGCAACGGGAAGTAGAGAGGATGGAGAGCGCAAGGGCTCTTCCTTGGGCTGCTCGCTTGGAACATCAATGATCGGCATTCCATGCGAATGGCCTAGAGTTGTGGGAGATAGTGGCTGAATGTGAGCTGAAGGCTCACTGTCTGACTGATTAGGGCTCTTGGTGCGTTCACGCTCATCCTTCCCACCATCGCGCACATGCGCCACCTTAGCCTTGAATCTGCCGAACAGACTTCTCTTCTCAGGCTCGGTACTGGAGACGGAGCTGCCATGAGCACCGGCGTCCAGGCTCAACGGGCGACTGGCAGGATGTTGACCACTGCCGATAGAGCTGGTACTCTGTTGGGCAATAGGGTTGGTCGCCACAAGAGGAGGAGACCCAAGACCAAGTCCAACATTGGAACGGCTAAAGCGCCAACTACGCCGTTTACTTCGGCGCTCGGAAATGTTGTCATCATCGGGCCCATCTATATCGGAATTATCTGTGAATGAGGACCGCGAGTTAATAGACGGTGTGCGTGAGGGCTGAGGTCGCAAGGTGTTTTCGGTGTGGTGCGCACCCTCTCCGAAAGTTGGAGTCGACTCTGCCGTGGCGCTTGAAATTTCTGGGTTAGGAGGTCGTGGGGTCGTATCCCCAATTGAACCCTCTGTTGACGGCAGTTCACGATTCGCGTCCGAGGTGGTGTCATGAGCATGCTCTGAGAGGACACCATGTAAGGAGATAGAAGAACTTTGAGCGCTGATGCTTGCGCTACCCGGGATACGTTTCTTTCTCAAACGATTTGGCTGTCGATGCTCCTTCCCCTCAGCATCAGGAGATGGAGTTTTACTAAAAATGTTGGCGAGCTTCCTTTCACGAGTCGGAGTGACGACAGCAGGTGGGGGCGAGGATGGAGGCTCAAGATTTTCATGCACTCGAGTATCGACGATGCTCAGTTTCTCGGCTTCTTGGGGTGATATAGGACCATGGGTCGCAGTGTGCACAAACACGGAACCAGTTGGTGTCAAGGGCGCGACAGGCGCGGCGGGTTTCGGGTTGGAGATTGACTCTTCTGCCTCTTCACGTAGAGAAGGCGGGCGACTGGCAGATCGGCTAGCAGATCGAGAGCTGTGCGAAACCGAGACAACGGGAGGAGTTGTGGAGCTAGCTTCGTTGGCGCGTGCGGCCCGCACTGAAGTCACCACGGGGCCCATCTTCGAGGGCAGGGTATTGCTCCGGTGAACACCAGAACCACCAATCGAGTTGGGAGTAGCTGGGCTGGGAACTCTGTTGGAAGCGCGTGAACCTCGCGAGTTGCGAGACGAGACAGACGCATTTCGGCGCAAACTATCCAATTTGCGGTTATTGTCGTTGCCAACGCTAGCGTTGGATGCCGATCGCCTAACAGTGGAAGTAGGGGATCTGTTGGACCCTGTAGGTTGCTGAGAAGCCAAAGTTGGCACCTTGGGCTGGGATCCAGCTTGCACCTCCTTGATAGTCTGTTCATCCACCGCACTGCCACTCATGCCCACCAAAAAGTGATCTTGGTTCTCAATCAGGAAAATTAACACATCCTGGCTCAGCTTATATTCCTCTGGTGACATATCGTGTTGCGGATGCGACAGCAAGCCAGGCTGAAAGATGGCTGAAAGGTTGGCCGAAGTCATACGGTTCTGTTCCGATTTTGAGGCGAAAACGGCGAGAAGATCGAGGATGTAGAGAAGTAGCTGTTTGTTCAAGGGAGGAAGCTCGATGATCAAGCGCTGGTAGGTCTCAACGGCCCTTGCGTGATCGAATCTCTCCGCATCTGGCACCGGTCCCTCGGCTTGCACCTGTCTCTGATAAACGCGCAGGGGTTCGCGGAAGCGCTCGTAAAATTCCAGAGGAACAATGGGCTCCGGCAATTGGTTGAGGTATCGGCGAAGCACATTGGCAGCATCGTGTACAGTATATCCCTCCCAGTCCAGTCCTTTACCGTATCGCTCGGGGGAATCGAAAAGTTCTTGCAGATCCTTGATACGTTTCGCGGATCCATTCAGCCGAAAGATACCTTCGACGTCGGTTGCTATGTAAGATCAGGTTAGCGACAATGCAGTGATGTAGAACGGGGTCTCTTCATCTACCCTTTTCCTTAAGAAAGACACCGCACTTGGCGACGACGATTGGAACGTATCCATAGATAAAGCTTTCACCATTTTCGTTGTTCAGAGAGATCGCGACGTTGGCGTACTTGATGCTTTCATTTAGCGGAACGCCAAAGATGCCTCGGGGTGGCTCTATTTGCGACGAATTAGAATTCTAGCTCTCATGTACTCGATAACTCAGCATGGTAGAGGGGGAATTTTGGCGTGAGTGCATGTCTGGAGCTTTAGGTCAGACTCCAGGGGATTGCGAACCGATGCAGACAAATGGGGCAGTGATGTGGATAGGGAAATGTGTAGGATACTCGCGCACTCATGCTGGGGTACCACTGTACGAAGCTGTAAGAGACTGGACATACCCTTTGAATCCTCTTTCCGAGTGGTGTTCCGTTTGAACTGTCTCCACCACGAGACCAAGTCTCGCTTCGACGGTGGAGAGTTGGCGCCGACATGATCAGAGGTGGTAGGAAGCGGAGTTGGCTCCATGCCCGGCTGTGATCTGCCGGTCACCATCGTGATCGAGTGTGTAGAAAGCCTGCGGTAATGAGCGGGTACGAAGATCGAGAGGTGGAGAGGTGGAGGGGACTGAAGACTAGGCTTGGCAACTTTTGCGGAGGGGCGCTATGACTGCGTCACCGCCCGCGTACTGGGAAATCCTGGAGTGTTCAAGAGATGGAAGGATGCTGTAGGAAGGAAAATCAGTGGAACAAGATAAATGGATGATGGAAGGGGGGAGGGGGGAAGATGGGAAGAAGGGGGGGCTGGAAAGACAACAAGGTAAAGGGTGGTAAGGGAAAGATGAAAGACACGAAATGGAAGTCTTGGAATGGAATATCGGGACGAATGAAAGAACAAAGAGCCCAAGTAGTTCTAGGCGTTACTAAATATTCATAGGGTTAAATCATGACAGGTTCCAAGGTTCCTCTCTCTACAATGGGCAGATGGAAACGGGGCTGTCAGAGTATAAGTTACTTGCAGAATGTCCGGGGGAAACGGAAATGATTTCTACCCGATATTACTACTAATACCCCCCCTTCCTATATATATTATTTTCTACTCTGCATTCTATGGTATTTGGGATTCCCGATCGATATCTTCTCTATTTTAGAAATCTTGGCCGGATCCAGGTACCAAAGTGGAGTGTCGATGAAAGTAGCCGTGGAGTCCTACTCGAGAACCAATGGGAAATTTGAACTTCTTCAATTTAATTTTCATATGGATTTAACAGTATGAGACAATTGACATCAGTAGATGTATGACTTAACCAGTTTTTGATACTCCCAATGAGTCTTAGTAGTTTAATTCCATTCCATACTTCTCATAGGGGATTCGCCCGCAAACAATCGTACTAGTCACGTGTGATCACGTGTATACGGACTCCGGATAAAATTTAATGCGAAGAGAAACAGCTTCGGAGCTTCACGCTTGTTCTGTCAAGGCCATTCATAACATTACATCAACCTTCATCGAAAAAAGTTTATCACTTCTTTCAACACACAATGGACGGGTAGGTCTAATATTTTCACTCGTCTCAGTCATATGAATCTATATGATCTTCCTCGATGGTCAACCACAATGGTCATCGAAGGAAATAGTTTTCTGGATCAAAGCTGATTGAATACCTGAATAGTCTCAACCAGGCAGAGCAGCGCGAGTTCGGCGCCCGTATGGAGCGCAAACAGATGAAGGAGTTTATGACTGTACGTCCTCAGTCTCACACACATCTTGATACGAGATGGACTTGATTATTTTTTTTATTATCCCATAACGTCGATCCACGCATCATCATAACCTCGATATCTCTGGCCCGTTCACGCGACTAACTCTTGATCCTCCCCCTCCCAGATGTACTCCAAGATGGTCCAGCGCTGCTTTGATGATTGTGTCAACGACTTCACTACCAAGTCCCTCATCAACCGTGAACAGGAATGTGTCCTGCGCTGTGTTGACAAGCACCTCAAGAGTTCCGCTCGATTGAACGAGCGGTTCCAAGAACAGAACGCTGCAATGATGCAGGGTCAACTTCCCGGCCAGTAAGGGAACTTGACGATACCACGACGATGGCCAACGGTGTCTTGGCGCGTTCAAGAGGAAAGAGTTGAGCACCCTCGGTTTGATACGCATACAAAACTATCTTCGGGAACTCTTCCTTCATAAGATGTCAGCTCAATGCTTAGATAATCCTTGCGTCTTTAATACAGCCGACCAGGGTACGATTAGCACGGGCTATCTTCATGTACCATATTGATCAAGACGGGATGAACTGGGGAAAACATCCCTACTCGACCCCAAAAATAAAAAAAAAGACATGGCTTAGTTCCATTACATCGATCACCGATATTTTATAAAGCCGATCAAACATTATTGCAAACTAATCCGTACTCCGTATAACGGCTCAGACTCGAAGCCAATTGGATAAAGCTCATCCACGACCCACCATTGGATATCGGAAATCCAAACCCTTTTGGACTTAAATGAGATAAAGAGAATACGGAAAACGGACCGTTAAACCGTAGCTGGAGGTGAAATTGGGTCTCTATTGGTGGAGATAAAGAGGCATGATCGGGTCTGTATTTGGAGAGCCGGTCTTCGCTCTATCGCAGTCTATCACCTTCTCTTCTCCACTCATTTTCTCCTCATCTCCTTATCCTAAACCCCACCACCCCTCATCGGGTCCACATCGACTTCAAAACCCTCCTCTTCCCCCTCGCTTTTCTCTCATCAATTGCTGCGTCTTTTGCTTACATTCATCACTGTGGAAATTTACCATTATGGCTAGCACTGTAGGAAAGGTAATTGAATATTCCACCAATCTCTTCAATTGTGTTTACTAATGCCAACTAAATATAGACTATCACTTGCAAGGTAAGCTTTCAATTTTAGATATCCCCAGTGTCGTCACTCCTCGACATACCTACATTTCTATATTTGCAACCAAAAGTTTAACGTCTTTTTTTTTCTTAACAGGCTGCTGTCGCCTGGGCTGCTGGCGAGCCCTTGTCGATTGAGGATGTCGAGGTTCTTCCCCCTAGGGCCAATGAGGTGCGCATTGAGATTCACCACACTGGTGTCTGTCACACTGGTAAATTTCCCCGCTATTGACCTTCGCAATGTATGAAACCCGTCTAACTAACCACCAATCAGATGCCTACACACTCTCTGGCAAGGATCCTGAGGGTGCCTTCCCTGTCGTTCTGGGTCATGAGGGTGCCGGTATCGTCGAGTCTGTCGGTGAAGGTGTGACCTCCGTCAAGCCTGGCGACTACGTGGTCGCTCTTTACACCCCCGAATGCCGTGAGTGCAAGTTCTGCAAATCTGGCAAGACCAACCTGTGCGGTAAAATCCGTGCCACCCAGGGTCGTGGCGTTATGCCCGATGGTACTTCGCGCTTCAAGGCCCGTGGCAAGGACCTGCTCCACTTCATGGGTACCTCCACCTTCTCTCAGTATACTGTTGTCGCCGATATCTCCGTTGTCGCCGTCACCCCCAAGATCCCCACCGACCGCTCCTGCTTGCTGGGCTGTGGTATCACTACCGGCTACGGTGCCGCCGTCGTGACTGCAAAGGTGGAGGAAGGTTCCAACGTTGCCATTTTCGGTGCTGGCTGCGTGGGTCTATCAGTGATGCAGGGTGCCGTTAAGAACAAGGCTGCCATGATCATTGCTGTGGACGTAAACGATGACAAGGAGGAGTGGTCCCGCAAGTTTGGCGCCACTCACTTCGTCAACCCCACCAAGCTTTCTGGCAAGAGCATCCAAGAGCACCTGATTGAGATTACTGATGGTGGCTGTGACTATACCTTTGATTGCACAGGTAACGTTGGTGTCATGCGCGCTGCTCTCGAGGCCTGCCACAAGGGCTGGGGTGAGAGTATTGTCATCGGCGTGGCTGCCGCTGGCCAAGAGATTTCCACTCGACGTAAGTCAAGTCTTTCTAATTTTTGCCGGACTATAATTAACATTGATTTTAGCATTCCAACTGGTCACTGGCCGTGTATGGAAGGGATGTGCCTTCGGTGGTATTAAGGGTCGCACCCAATTGCCTGGTTTGATTGATGACTACCTGAACGGCGAGTTGAAGGTGGATGAATTCATCACCCACCGGGAGCCCCTGGACAAAATTAACACTGCCTTTGAGCAGATGAAGCAAGGTGACTGCATTCGTTGCGTCGTGGATATGAAATAGACTGTGTGATATAGTTGATGATGAAGCACTTCATGTGAAATATGACTTTCTTTCTTGCATTCCGTCTCCACAGAGCACACTTCACTGTTGTTCGGTAACTAAGGAGTTGACTGGTTTTATATGGAGGATCCTCCCAAGGTCCTCACTGTCCCAATGTATTTGTCTCTTCCAAGGTTGTGAATCCATGCTACTCGACAAACACCAACCTATCTCCCCAAGTAGAAGCGGGGGTCCTAACCTTACAAGGCTCGCTACAGTGATCTAAAGCCCGGTCTTAAAATACATTGACAGCTATGCCCGATACCTGTGCCAGATCTAAATGTCACTCTTGATATCCCAATTATCACCGCTAATGTCACTGCTAATGTCACTCCCGGAGTTCTAATGCTCCTCCTACCTTTGAACCGCTTACACTCGGCATGGATGTACACCGCCTTGAGTATATCGTACCTTTGAATGAACGATCATCGGTTTGTATCGGATAGCGCGGTCCGACTTCGGGTCTCGCTAATAAAGACGCGTTATCAAGAATAACTAGTAGCTAATAAATATTACTTATCTATAGGCGTGCTGAAGAAGGTGACACTGCCTATGGCTGCAGGTAGCATGGATAACGGATCATGACATCGGTATACTACATAAAGGCAGGCTAATACCTATAGTCTCTGAAGTGGCTTGTTCTATCCTTTCGATCTCGGAACATACTTTAAATCTTTTGATAATCCACCTTCACAATGGTTAAGGATACACTTGTTCTCCCGGAGCCCTTTGCTTCCATCCCTCGAACTTCTCTTCTTCTCGGCCCCTCGCCCATACATCGTCTTGACCGGATCAGTGCTGATCTCGCCAAAGACAGCTCCCATCCTGTAGTGAGTATCTGGGCCAAGCGCGATGACTTGAACTCTGCGTACGCATATGGAGGCAACAAGACCCGCAAGTTGGAATACTTGCTTGCTGATGCGCAGGCTCAAGGCTGTGATACTCTCGTGTCCATCGGTGGTGTGCAAAGCAACCATACGCGTCAAGTAGCAGCTGTTGCGGCACGAATGGGTCTCAAGGCTCGTCTTGTTCAGGAACATTGGGTTGATTGGGAAAGCCCTTCCTACGAAACTGTTGGAAATATTCAGTTGTCACGCTTGATGGGAGCTGACGTGCGATTGGATCCTTCTACCTTTGGTATTGAGCACAAGACTACCGCTCAGGCTGTGGTGGAGGAGTCCAAGGCTAAAGGGGAAAAGCCATACTATATTCCTGCTGGTGCTTCAGATCACCCATTGGGAGGAATGGGCTTTGCTAGATGGTAAAAAGACTTCTGGTCAGTGACCATCCAGTATGTAATGACTGACTTGATATAGGGCATTTGAAGTACGTCAGCAAGAACGGGAAGAAGGTATTTTTTTCGACACAGTCATTGTCTGTGCAGTGACAGGCTCCACTTTCGCCGGAATGATCGCCGGATTCAAACTCCTGGAGCGGCTGTACCCTGAAGAGCCCAAGCGCCGGATCATAGGTATCGACGCTTCAGCCAAGGTTGAGGCTACTCGAGCGCAGGTTTTGCGTATCGCACGCAGCACAGCTGCTAGCATTGGTCTGAAGGAGGATGATATCACCGATGCAGACGTAGAACTGGATGATCGGTACCACGCAGGTACATACGGCATTCCTGACCAACTGACTTGGGACGCCATCAATTACGCTGCTAAGCTTGAGGCTTTCATTACCGATCCAGTATATGAAGGAAAGAGCTTTGCTGGAATGATAGATATGATTCGACGTGGGGAGATTAAGGGCGGAAATGTATTGTATGCGCACTTGGGAGGGCAGTTGGCTTTGAACGCATATGAACTTGGTCGTACCGAGTAATAGCATTTATCGAACTAGGCTAGAGCTAAGGATTCAAGTCCCCGGGGACAATAAAGGACGAAAGGAAGTGGAATATAAGAAATAGGCGAATGGATATCTACATTCTGAACATTCAGGACCAGGCCCATAATATATACAATACATCTCCCGAGTTCGGGGCGAATAGAACGAGTTATTTGAGAAGCACGCCGTCAGTCAAGGTATTGAAAATGTACCATTGGAAACATGTCAACATGTCAATATATCATGTCGTGAACTAAGGGAACATCCACCCACATAGTCGCAGACGAGTAAAAATGGGGATCAAGAGAATGGAAAGTTGAAGAAAGATAATTGGAAAGAATCCCAGCACACAGGGGGATTAAAACGATCAACGCTATGTCGGCAGCAGCCGACAACGAAAGAGATGGACTAACAAAAGTCCGAGGGTATAACGCAATGCGAGCGAACGAATGGTAAATCCAGTTGAAGCCATCGCTAGCATCTTGAAGATGAAATGACATCAAAAAGCAAAACAAAGGGGAAAAACAAGTTCTCAGTGTGACGTGTGTAATTCCAATGAAAAGAGTTTATAAGTGTCCAGGCTCAGATCATCATGAGCCTAGTCGTCCGTCGCTCAGGGAAGCGCTTAGCCCCACCTGGAGGAGGATTGCGTGGACCAGGTCTGAGTCCCTGATCTGGTGCCAAAGAAGATGGATGGGGTTGTCCTTGTCCTGGAGGTGGATATCGGCGTGACTGGGACAGAGGAGAAGCGCCGATTGTAGGTCGTCGACGACCATGAGGTGGAGGACCGTATGAGGCAGCTGCAGCGCGACGGGCGTCCCTTTCACAAAAAACTTCCCCATTCCATTCAAAGTAATCACCATTGAGCAACACATGACATGTTCGACATTGCAAACATGTCGGGTGGAATCGACGACGATTCACCTGTCTGGGATCCCGTCCAACGGTTTCCAGATACTGGCCTTCAATGCCGGTATGACAGGTGGAGCATAGAGACCCGTTACGCTCGTGGTAATGCTGCGCGCAATAAGGCCGATTATTGAGAACATAGAAGTCGGCTGTGGGGAAAGAGGAATGACACTCGAAGCAGACGAAGCAGCCGCGGTGATATCGCCCCGTGAGACGACCGTCTGATGAAGAAATGGATTTGCCGGTGATCTCCTCGCCACATCCCTTGCATTGACCCTTCGACCGTGTCGTGGAACGACTTTGTGGACGAGGAATTGGTGCAGTGGCTGATCTTTGCATTGGCCGTCTTGGTGACGAGGGTTCTAGGGGCGGTTCTATCAGTGACCTTTGCTCTCGCTTTTCGACAACCAAGGACAGGCCGCCTTGGTTGATGGTCGGATCAGTCGGGGAGTCTGGACTGAAAAATACAGCCGGAATAGGTGGAACACCCGCGCTTTGTGCTTGATTGGGTACTTCCAAAACCGTCAGTCGCGTTTTTAGAGGGGCTTCTTCCGCTAAAGGACTCAAGTCAGAAGTATCCGAAGTTTTGTCTTGATTGAGGCTAAAGTCAGAGGGGAGGCTGGACATAGAGCTCCCACTGCGAGTGCGTGACGGAGACGAGTCTGATGGGGACGAGTCCGATGATATCGAGCTCTCGGTCTTGGGAATGTGATCCTCCAAGCCCAAGGTACGTGCGAAACTCGTGATTGACAATCTCTCGCTTGATGCATCCGACTCCCTTCTTGGTGCATCGATGCCAGATTCTGTGGGTGAATGGTGTAGAGAATGCTGAGACGGCGGAGAGTCATGACCCTCATCTCTGGATTGTTCTGTCAAACATTTTTCCGCCGGTGAATCATGCAAGCTGCCTAGAGGGATATCTGCCGTGATACCGAAATCAAAGCCACTGTAGGTTTCACCACGACCATTTCGGGACCCAACGGACAGATTGGAGTCTCTAGGGAAAGAGTCCTTGGGTGTTCGAAGTGGCGCAGGTGGTACTGGTGGGGTGTCATCTTCCATGATAGAACGAAATCCTCGGGAAAAGCTGGTTGTGGATGATCTCGCCGTGGAGCTGCCATGTTGAGTACTTGCCGAGGACGTACGGTAGCTGCTGTGACTGGCAAGAGAATCCGTACGTTGGTGAGGAAGACTTGACGATAGTCGCACATTTTCCGGAGGCGAATCAGAGTATAGACCCCGGGTGCCTACGAGAGTCGGTGACCTATTTCCTGGCATGGGGAAGGAAAGCACTGAATCCAAGTTGATCGCATCGGTAGCAACTTCCGAAGAGCCGGGTTGTGGTGAGATGGACAAAGGTGAGGGTATATGTGATTCAATACTGCTTGCAGGTGTAGGAACATTTGGTTGTAGGAATGGACGGTTTGCGACAGAGGGATCAATTCGATGTGGCATTGCTGAACGACCGAGCTTGGCTGGCATATATGTTTCTGATTTTTCTGGGGAGTCGAGGTCTGCAGAAAGTGGTGGTGTTGGAGGCGCAAGTACTACACTAAAATCAGTCAATTGTACACGGATGGATGTGAGACTATAGACCTACCAGGGCTGACGGCAGCACCGTCACACTCGTGCTCAGCCATGGAAACAATGTCAACATCATGCCCACAGTTAGAACACTTAATGGTGGGCAAGAAGCCCATATTCACCGCCATGTTGAATCAGCTAATAAATGACCATGGAGAGTTGAGTCAACAGGCACTTTTTTTTTTCGATGAAAACCTATGGGGTACGGAGTACTCCGTATCCGTAGTACTCCGTATAAGATTGAATATCTAGAAAGAGAGAGGGAAGAATGTTTGGAAGAAGTTTGAATTGAACAATTTCAAAAAAGGAGTTCCACTTGGAAGATCAATAGAGAAGTGGACCTTTGACTAGCGTATGTCTGTGCCGCGTCCTCACAAGATTTTCTTATTTCAGGGGTAACTGATCATCTACTTTGTACTTGTATTTCACCTGATTTATTGTGTTGGTATTTGTACAAAGTTCAAACTCTTAATCGTGATATTCGTCTATGGAGAGCACAGTCCATGCTGCGGTCATCATCTGTTTAAATCTCGCAACTCTATGGTGGAGCATCGACAAGCGAAGTCCATGTTTAGACCCACTATTGATTGAACATCCAAAGATCTGATGTGACTGAGAGCGCTGAGTCCGCTGATGTGTACAAACCGGATCCACACGATCCTCAATCTAGCCTCTTTTCGCAGCGATCTACAAGCACTACCTCGAATTATGTGGCCGGTTCTCTGCACTCCGCTTGCTTTGGTTGCTCCAGGTTGGGGGCCGCTCTCTCATGAGTCGTTCCTGTTGATATACCACGTAATCGGTCCTTCAATCACCTTCAATCAATTCCCGACACCCTTGGAACTCTCGCTGAATCGATGCAACTATGAATGAGATCATGCGTATGAGGACTTAGAACAACCATCTCTGTCTGATTGGTGAATTCACCACATCAATTCAGTTGGGAGAGTTGGATCAACGATGGAACCATGTATCTAGAATGACTTTCCAGCCCCTTGCGAAGTACGGATCTGGTAAATTACGCATTTGGACGATCTTCCTTTTTCACAATATGAGCTTATGTGCACATCTACATAGTAACTCCTCTCAAAGATCTGACCGTCAGAAAAGTGAGGCTACACACCGATAAGGAACCAAATATACCCGATTGGACGACTAGTGTGATAGGTTACTCTTTATAGCGGCCAAGCTGGGTGTCGTCGATGGGGATGTTGATCGGCCCCTTATCTTACCATGCTGGTATTTAAGTGAATGTCTGGAAACATGCCTCAGTCTCAACCTTATCGAACATAGAACCTTGGAATGTAAGGATCGACAGAGGACTAGTCGCCCCCCCCTAATAATTCTACTTATCGCATTACATAGCCATCATTTCAACATACCTTGGACAGAAGGTTCTCGCCGACGAACCCCTGAATAAAGGCCCTTACCCTGTAATAATGACACCGGCGATCAGACTCCGTAGTGGGACTACGACTATCGTCAATGCGCTTCTCGATCATCGGCGGGGAGGGATCCACTGTAAGTCAATACATCAAATAGTTCTAGCGACGAGTAAACGCTTGTAGCAGATAGAACTTCATACATGTTCATTTAAAGCAGCAATTTCACAGGGTCTATCAACATCCGCGGATAGGCCCGATACCAGTGGCCTAAAACATATTGAGTGAATCCACCGACTGTTGACCAGTCTCTAGGCTTCGCTCTGGCGTTTAGCGACGGCAGTCAGTTGACCAATAAAACTGGGATCAGAGGCGGAGATACGTCGTAGTGTCGACAGCGATGGTCATTTTGAAGATCAAATCGTAACATTCTTGCGGAGAAGAGGAGAATGTCCCTCACAAATGAAGATGATCGGTTCACAAAACGCTCCAAGAGAACCTCTCTTCGTGTCTTCAATCACCCAGAACCCTCAATCAGAGCAAAAGCTGAATTTTATGGGATAATATTGATTTCGCTTATAAAAAGGCATTGACGATCATGAATTGTGTATGGGTGATACAGTTTCCAGGATTAGGGCCCGGATAACACTTGAGAAGGGGTAGGATACTTATGTACCTACCTAAGTAGTGAGTGCTGGTATACTCGCATCATTAACTAATTCTCCACTTGTAGGGCTCTTCCTATCTTCCACTGGAGGGAGGTATTAAGTTCTAAGAAAAGGGCGAGGACAACCTTAAAACATATTTTGGCTCTTTTCAAGCTCTGGACGTTGTTTTCTTTGCAAGATTACTTTGAAATGCTTGAATTGAGAATCGATGCAGACCTCTCTCGGACTTGAGGATCTCCATCCAGAAGCCCTCTCCCCAGCCCTCCCTCTGAACCACATTCATAGATCCTGCAAATATAGTCCCATTTGAATTCTAGTATACTTTCCTCCAAGCCACCTTTTCACTTTTTCTTTCTCTAAGTTCTGTTTCTATTCACTCGACTAGCCATTCTGCATGCACAGGCATCAAATCTGCTAGCATCGCTCTTGGAAGCATCAATGAGTGGAGTAAAGTTTCTCTTAGACTAGATAGGTAGAAAATGAACCGGCAGCTTCCAAGGCTATGGTGAAGGAGTTCATACCAGCCAAGAGATATCCATGGATTACTGAGTTGAGAAGAAAATTCCAACGATGGGGGACTGTAAGGAGAGACTAGAAACATAGGTAGGTTGTCAACTCATAGCATTCCTCCTAGGCTTGCGCAAATTGATTCAGATCCAGTATTGGCCATATTTTCTCGTTCTGCTCGTTCTGCTAGTTTGATTTTTGATTGCCCGTAGTGCGTAGTGCGGGGAGATGTAGAAGGGATATCGAAGATGACCTTGGAATGACACCTGTGCACTGATTTGAATTTCAAGCTAACATTCTATTTACCAGGGCTTTTCATATCAACCTTGGAAGTCTTCCAATGCTTCCAACGTTCCAAGTCCTAAGGTTTGTGACCGTAAAGTTGAGGTGAATTCTATTTCCTGAAATACGCAGTGGTGGAAATGAAAGCCGAGTTGCTCGCCATTGACCGCCATTTCTTATGCACGGATCATCTGGTGGTTCGAACTATATAAACCAACAATACAACAGTTTATGTAGATTTCTGTGTATCAGAACCATCGATACGAATGGAGTACAGCTCGGCAAATAATTGTAGCCGAGAGATAGATATCATTGGCCAAGAGAGTAAATGCCGGGAATTAACGGTTACGAGTTATGGAGTAAATAAGCATCTTCTCTCTCAATGGACTGATATCATTGGATAAGATAGATTACACTAGTAAAATCAACTCCACATTACCCCAGGCTCCTATTCCCCCATACTACTCCGTATTCCGTTACTCCGTACTGTACTCTCCTGAAGAAATCAGGGGAGAGTCACGTGTGTACTATCATTTAATCTCTCTCCTTTCCTCATTTCTCTTCTTTACATTTCACTCATCTTTCTTTTAGTTCGTATCAGCCTTGTCAGTAGGTTTGATCGCTTCTCTTCGAGACGTGATCACATACAACCGCCACCATTTTCGGCACACAGCTAAACTCGTGAGTCTCTTCTTTCACTGTTTCATGACAATGTCCATTAATCTTTCAACTCAGTCGTCACCACCCGTTCAACGGCCGACGCTCATCTAGTCGTGGAGGAGCACCGGAGAACGCACTTTGGGTTTCTCTAAACTGTTCTCAAGATCAACGCGTTTTTTACTCTATCCCACTCCCGTCAATACTCAGTGAACGCAATGGCTCCCCACGCTAATTCTGATGCTGCCGTCGGTTCGAACGGGTCGGCTCGCCAAGAATCCACCCATCTGTTCACTGTCCAATCTCCCAACGTCGTGTATACCGCCGACGAGATCAAGACCAAGTATGCCTACCAGACCACCGAAGTGACTCGCACTGCAGATAACAAGCTTGTGGCCGTCCCTAAGACCACTGACTACCACTTCAAGGTCGACCGTAAGGTTGGCAAGGTTGGTATGATGCTGGTCGGCTGGGGTGGAAACAATGGTTCCACTGTCACTGCTGGTATCATCGCCAACCGCCACGGCCTATCCTGGGAGACTCGCGAGGGCCAGCAGTCTGCCAACTACTACGGCTCCGTTGTCATGAGCTCCACTGTCAAGTTGGGTACCGAGGCTAAGACCGGCGAGGAGATCAACATCCCGTTCCATGACCTACTCCCCATGGTCCACCCGAATGATCTCGCCATTGGCGGTTGGGACATTAGCAGCCTGGATCTTGCTGCTTCCATGGACCGCGCACAGGTGCTGGAGCCCAGTCTCAAGAGCTTAGTCCGCAAGGAAATGGCCCTGTTGAAGCCTTTGCCCAGTATCTACTACCCAGACTTCATCGCTGCCAACCAGGAGGACCGTGCCGACAATCTCATCGAGGGTTCCAAGGCCTGCTGGGAACATGTGGAAAAGATCCAGCAGGACATCCGTGACTTCAAGGCCCAGAACGAATTGGACAAAGTCATCATCATGTGGACCGCCAATACCGAGCGGTACGCGGACATCGTTCACGGCGTCAATGACACCTCCGACAACCTGATCAACTCGATCAAGGCCGGCCATGCCGAGGTTTCTCCATCTACTGTCTTCGCTGTGGCTGCTATTCTGGAGAACGCCCCGTTCATCAACGGGTCGCCTCAGAACACTTTTGTTCCAGGTGCCCTCCAACTCGCCGAGAAACACGGTGCCTTCATTGGCGGTGATGATTTCAAATCTGGCCAAACCAAGATGAAGTCCGCCCTGGTAGACTTCTTGATCAATGCTGGTATCAAGATCACCTCCATCGCCAGCTACAACCACTTGGGAAACAATGACGGCAAGAACCTGAGCTCCCAGAAGCAGTTCCGCTCCAAGGAGATCTCCAAGTCCAACGTTGTCGATGACATGGTTGCTGCTAACCACATTCTGTATGAGAAAGATGAGCATCCCGATCATACTGTCGTCATCAAGTACATGCCCGCCGTCGGAGATAACAAGCGTGCCATGGATGAATACTACGCTGAGATCTTTATGGGTGGCCATCAGACCATTAGCCTGTTCAACATCTGTGAAGACTCGCTGCTGGCTTCGCCCCTGATCATCGACCTTGTTGTTCTTGCCGAGATGATGACCAGAATTAAGTGGAAGGCTGACAGTGACGGCTCCGAGTACCAAGGCTTCCACAGCGTTCTCAGTGTGCTGAGCTACATGCTCAAGGCGCCTGTTACTCCTCCGGGAACACCCGTTGTCAACGCCTTGGGTAAACAACGCTCGGCCCTGATCAACATCTTCCGTTCCTGCGTTGGTCTCCAGCCCGAGTCGGAAATGACCCTCGAGCATAAACTGTTCTAAGTGCAGGTTTAAGTGGACTTTGATTCTTCTGACGCATTTTTAATGCCTTGGACACTCTAACTGTAGTCGCTCCTTTTCAGGCAAATTCAATATTCTTACAACGTTTGTATCTATCACTCCGTCGTATCTGTAGATGCCGAATTCTTATGCAATTCAAAATAACCTAGGTATTGGTTGATTTAAATGTTCGTTCACTGCTTCTTCTCAATGGCTGGGTCCACACACATCATGGAATTTTGATCTTCTTTCTGATATTAAATTCCTACCGATTTGAGACGCCCTTCCACAACCTTAAGAAGCCCAGCCCGAAATGCTTCCGTAATGTTAGGTCCATGTAGACATCCAGGGCAAGTCCAGTGTTTCAAGATTTTTCTTAAGGATACCTGGATATTTACTGTCCAGGTATCTACCTAGGTATATGCTCTGAAGGGCAGCTCGCAAAGAAAGTCCCAAGGAATCATTTTACCCAATGCCTGAGCCTTCCAAGCAACGGTACAGCCTTCAGCCCGAGTATACCAGTGATACGTCTATGAATTACCTGGGTACAGGTATGTAAGTATCATTCAGCTCTAGTAATTATCTGGATATCTAGGTAGGAGCACCTTGACGCCGCCATCGTCTGCCAGCTGTCTATGGCTTCAAATGATTTTGATCAAAATCTTTACACTAGCAGCAAACTGACACTTGATTAAGTATATACTCCTCTATTACATGCAGTGTCTGTTCACAGCTAGTGCCATGATGAACCTCGACATTGTAGAATCTGAGTCCCCATGTTGGGTGGCTCAATGTCCTGGTTGATGGCCTTGATAGCGCCGCGGCTGCAGTCTGCAACGATGCGGAGCACATCGCTATCCTTCTTGTTTTTCATATCGTCGTACCTAGATAGGTACTGGGGTCCTGGAGATCGGGGAGGGGGCACCGCAGTGATCTCCAGTGAGGAGATATGACGATCTAAAGTGGAGTGCAGCTCGAAGGTGGGACCTGTAGATGTTTTTCTTGGAGAGGCTAGCGAAAAGATGAAAGGATAGTACAGACTCTACTTGGGTCTTACTGGAAGAAGAAGAAGAAATGGAATGATTACTTATATTTTAATAATCGTATAGGCAAGAATCAAAACAGGGAGAACTCTCTGGATATGAAAGCCCGTTGGAGGCGGTCAGATCGTGGTATGGGCAGAACATCGTGGTCACGGATTTTGCCTCTCAGTACTTAAGATAGCTTTCGTTCCTCCACCTGAACACGCTCCACACTGGGAAGATATTTGCGCTTAAAGATCCAGCTAAAGAACACAACATACATCATTACAACATATATCTGGATATGTTGGCGCCAGGTCACTCGATCTAGTTTCGGATCTGTCAAGTGAGGCGAAGTCCCGCTTTGCCAATCCTCATGTACTTCCTTCAATAGAGCCGGGCTATCCGAAATGATGCCATCTACCTTTTGTCTAATGCCCCAACGCATCAGGTTCGGCTCATTGACAGTCCAGAGATACACTTGACGACGAGCCATCTTTGCTTCCTCTAAAAAGCCTCGGCCCAATGGACTCATAAGTATCTTTTGATTGATATTGAACGAGATCCCTGGGACATGCAAGAACTGACGGGCATATCCCAAGTCAAAGCAGATAAGTGTGATCGGATATCGAGGCAAGTGCCTTTCGCGTCCCGGTAGATACCGAGCCGACCAGCAGCCCAGTACAACCCGACGATGCCAGTCTGGCCCCACTGCGGGAATAGGTACTGATTCTATAGTTTTTGCCAGTACACTCATAATAGTCTCAGGATCGTTGGAAAGCTAATGATTTTAGTCAGAATAACGCAGCTCTGGGCCTCTTTACCAACCTTTAAATCCAAGAGGATCCAAATATCTTCTCGCCCTGGCTGTCTCATAAACTGAAGAACGTCTACAAGCCGCGGCATAGGCTCGTGCGGGACCTGCAAAGTACGAAGAGTTTTAAGGTAGTCCCAGTCACAATCGATAATCTTCTTTTTGACCCCGAAGCATCGTTGCAACGTCGCATCCTATGCACCGTAAGTTATGCTATCGCGAACAGATAGGATTTCTTTGTTCTTACATGCGATAACACGATTACTCCATCCCGGGTGAGGTGTAGGTCGATTTCTACGGCATTAGTTCCTGCTTGAATGGCTCCATCAATAGCACAAATTGTATTTTCAGGATATTTCTCTTTGTATCCTCGATGAGCGATGATCTGAGGCAAGCGCGGGGAGTCTGACTTGGGATGATGTAGGAAATGCGCTTGGAAGATCATGAGTGAAGTTTCTTGTGACTACTCAGAGAACATCAAATACCTGGAACGTTGTGGGAATTTCCCTGGTGAGAAGTGAGCTGGTCTGTCATAGTCAATGATATTGGATGTTGATGTTGTGTTTCAGAGGGCGACGAACTGCTTCCGTATTTAGCACGGAGTTTAGACCGCTCTCGGATTTAAAAGGATAAATACCCCGCCCAAAGCCTGCAGTCTCATTTGGTCTATTTTAAATCGTTCTCTCACACCAGACCTTGATTGGACAGCTCAATTGCACATTCTAGTATTGAGTTTGATGCCATGTCGGTTAAACAGTGGCTTTCACCGCTCAAGGGGCTGGATAGTCTTTACCAGACCGAAGTCCCCATGCCGTCCCCCAAAGCTGGGGAGGTGTTGGTGGGGGTAAAAACTGTGTCTCTCAACTACCGTGATGTAGAGAGTAAGCCCTTTAATTCATAGTCTACATACTGATATAAAAATTGTGAGAGTACTGTGCTAATATGCGTTGATTCCTAGTTACGAGGGGCGAGTACAAACATCATAAGACTGCCGAGCAAGAGGCCACTATTGTGCCCTGTAGTGATATGTGCGGAGTAGTAACCCAGATTGGAGAAGGAGTTACTCAATGGGCTGTTGGAGACCGTGTTTTGTCGACCTGCTTTCCGCAACACAAAACTGGTCAGATAACCCCAAAAGAGCTTGCAGGCAGCCTCGGCCATCCTCTGAATGGAGTTCTTACTACGCACCGAGTATTTCCCGCCGACACCCTGGTGAAAAAACCCAGCTATATGTCCGACGAGGAAGCATGCACACTGCCTATTGCTTCTGTCACGGCCTGGATGTCCATCAATGGAATGAGACCGATCGATCACAGTGGTGGCAAAGACGAGTATATTCTTCTACAGGGCACTGGTGGTGTGTCAATTGCGGGTTTGCAGATTGCGAAGGCATCAGGTGCCAAAGGTGAGACCTTGAAATGTACATGATACTTGGAATGCCGCTAATTTTAGTAGCTATTATCATCTCCTCGTCCGATGAAAAGCTAGAGCAGGCCAAGCAACTTGGCGCTGATCTAACAATCAATTACCGCAACACCCCCAACTGGGAAGAGAAAGTCATGGAATGGACAAATGATCACGGTGCCGATATTATCCTCGAGGTTGGCGGAGCCCAAACCTTGAGAAAGAGTTTCGATTGTATTGCATTTGGAGGATTAATTGACTGCATAGGCTATGTGTCTGGAAAGATTGACACACTAGAGTCTGGTATTAACGTTAATGTCCTCGCTTTGAGGCGCACGGTCACTCTGAAGGGAATCATCAACGGCCCTAAGGATCGCTTCGAAGAGATGATCCGATTCTACGAGACCCATCATATCCACCCGGCTGTCAACCGCGTGTTTCCTTTCGCCGAGTCTGTCGAAGCTTTCAAGTTCCTTGAGAGTGGCAGCCATTTTGGAAAGGTGGTCATCAAAGTACAGTGATAGGGGAGAGAATACGTCCTATATTTTGATTCGGATTTAGACATTTACATCTGAGCTAAAACTAGGGCTTAGAAGTCACGTTGCCGTGGAGAATTAACTGAATTGCATATATATAATTTTTCATCAATCCGGCGCTTTAATTCAATCTTCGAGTCTTTGCATCCGCTTCAATGGCCTCTGCAGCACGAGTCTTCCAGCCTTCATCCCAGCGGCTTAAAGGTGCTCTGTTCTCAATCACATCATCACTCGCCCATTTCATGCGGGCCTGATCCAAAGCATAGTCTGTATCATCATCTGGGCAGATGATATAGAAAGATCCGTTTTCTAATCCTTTTAGTAGCTCATCTGCTACTTGGCTTGGCCACCAAGCTCCGGCGGGCTTTTTCACTTCTTCCTCTTTTGTGGGACCCACGTTGCCCATCATGCCGGTCCAAGTCCATCCAGGGACCAAAAGATGAACGGAAATATGTGCCAATGCTGAGTTGGAGCGTAGGTCATGGGCAAGATGCTCGGTGAGGTTCTTAATTGCAGATTTGGATGCATTGTATGCAGGATTACCAGCACCAGGAGGGTTGGTAATTCCTTGCTTTGAACCAGTAATCACAATTGATTTAGGTGATGAACCGGAAGCGACAAGATGAGGGAGCAGAGACTCGAGTCCGTTAAGAGGACCGAAGGTATTTGTTTCAAAAGTCTAGTTCGATTATCAACTATATTTCGTAGGCATTTGTCGAGGTATTTTCTCTCACCTTTCGCCAATATTCCCCGTCAAGCCACTGCTTCAAAGGTCCCTCTTTTTCTTGAGGCTTGTACCCCTTACCTGCATTCAACACGACTAAGTCGATAGCAGGTAAGGATTTCGCGATCGCACTAGTGGTCTCTTTCCAAGCAGTCAAGTCGGCCACATCAATCACATAACTCTCTGTCTTCAGGCTTGGGTTGATATCGACTAGTACACTTTTGGCCTTTGCGAGGTTATCCTGATCAATGTCGAGAAGAGCCAGGTGCATGCCCTTATCCCTGCATAATTTTGCAATAGCAAAGCCAACTCCCGAAGCCGCACCAGTGACGAGAGCAGCCTTTCCTGATTGAATAACAGACTTTGAAATAGCAGCCATGATTATGGAAATTGCGATAGTAGGTTATTCAATGTTGAAAAATGCTGATGATCGAATATAAATAATCAGCATGGGCGGTGAAGAGGGACTCCGCTCGTTGTGTCATCGCGGAGTTAAACTATCGGAGATAAAAGCCGATGTCAGCTTCTGTCCTAGATCTACGGCCGTCTTAGCACTCGATAACATTCCAATCTGGAGGCGTTCAATGTCAAGATTTTGAAAAAATGGCTTCTAATGTTTGGATAGTCTAGATTACATTGTATTCTGGAAACTGTGCAATGACTCAAGAGTACATTACCTAGAAATTTTGGTAACTTGGGCTATCATCAGTTGCGTCTCTTGAGGCGATTGGTAAAGCTCCTCTTCTTCAAGGCACCACTGTTATCATAAGCCTCTTGAACACCGGGGCCGAAGTCGGGCTCGCCGCCCAGAGTACCGAAAATGTCTCCAATATAGTTTGTGGGCTTCACACCTGCCTCGAAAGTCGTGTGCCATCCCTCTAAAATTCCCTTCACGACTTCGATTCCGGCGTTGTAGATGTTTTCAATAGAAATAGTGAACCCACCGGTGGAGGCCTCCATCAGGTTGTATGTGGCTGAAGTTCCAGGGTAGGGTCGATCAAAGTCGGATGCAGTGCGCATGACGATGATGCGAGAGAAATCAGTCAGCTTGTGAGCTGACGACCGCAGCAGGGCTTCGAGTGTCGCATTATCCTCCTGAGCAGTGGAGCAATAATCACCAGTTCCATTTGTGAAGAGCTTAGTAGTATTGGCAAAAGCATCGCCCAAGATGTTGCCAGCGTAGTAAACATCCGAAGTGGCAACATCACATTCCACAACAGACGGAGGCAAAGAAGCTACCTTGTATTCTCCACTGGCAGTTTCATAGTGGGCGCGGTAGGCCTTAGCCTCAGTAGAATCAGACAGAGTTGCTCGGCGTGCGAATTTCACGGCGTGGCTGCGGAGATCATCATTGACTTCAAAGACCTCGGTGCCGTAGATATTGCTAGGGTACTGATCTGGGTATTCTGAGCCCAATGGGATGTATCCGGTGGAATAGCTGGCATTGAGCTCCCGGATATCAATCTCGTACTGAAGTGCCACCTGGACTGCATACCGAGCAAAGGTGGCAGAGCCAAGTGTAGCACGCTTAGGGCTGACGCCGGCAATACCAGCAATGAAGAAATAGGTATGTGTCAGGTCGAAAAGAGGAGAAAAGGCAACGGAGAAGACAGTGGTAGCGGCGTTGATCTCAGATTCACCAGTGATGAGCTGACAGACCTCGAAGTCCTTTGTACAGTGCACATCGGGGAAGATAGGCGCAAGACCGGGGAGGCTTATGTTGTGAGCAAGCAAGTCGAACTCTGGAATATTCCACCATGCCGCAGCTTCGGGTTCAAACTAGATGGCGTATGAGCATTGAAAACAGGGTATCCAAAGGGACTCAATCGCAGGCTCTCGGTTCACATACCATTGAAATGATGAACACCTTTGGGGTGATTTTATCAGCGTTAGAGCTGTGACCACCGTGAGGGTTGGCCAGGGCGGTCGCATGCACGGTGCTTCCCCCTAGCAACAGCGAGGCAAAAGTAAGGAGACCACGCATGATGTCAAAACTTCTGAAGGGCTCTATTCTCAAGCTTGGAAACTCTATTCGATGCTCGCAGGGTGGATAGGCCGTACTTAAATGTGCAAAAAGTACTGCAGGGCATGATACTAGGAGCCGACCTCGGACTTGTTGCCCTGGTGGATATCGCTTAAGACTTGATCAAGAAGTGATCGGCGTATATCGATTATGAATTCTCTGATTGGCGTCAAATCGGACAAGCTCCATTGACTCAACCACTCTTTTGATTAAGATATCAGTCAATCACCGGCGGTTGCCCGGTCGTAATCTTAACGGTTCTTGCTTATCGCGCATTGACTATCGCAAGTGGGGACTTGAATAGGTACTAGCCCTTTGATAGTTGAATGGAACCATTCGAAGATTCTTTCCCGAGTTCAGAGCAGCTGAAGCCAGGGATGAACCAGGATTTATGCATATCATGTAGGTTGTAGGTTAATAGAATTCTTCAAATGTAGAGCGTGCTATGAGAATGTGCTTGCTGGTGAGATATGCTGCAAATTTTGAACAGTTTAAGAACATTCGAAGAAAGCATAGATTGAGAGCACTTCGTAGGAAGAAGCGATAACGACCTCTTGGCCAGATCAGCAATCAAGAAGCTCCGAAGTATAGGAGTTTATGTTGCCCCGGCGATACTAGGTGGTATCCATGGATGATTGTGACGGGTAAAAGCGGCTGAATCAGTATCACCAATTCTTAGTTACTTGTAATTTGGCGAATTGGTTCAATCACAATGACACTCTTGGGTCATTGAATTCAGCCTTGAAAGAGCAGGCGTAGTTATCGGACAGGACGACCACTATAAAGTGGGTCTAGTACGAAGAGAATTTTTTCAAGTCTTATGGGCCGGAACGGTCGATCACAATGTTCCTTTCCAGTTTTCCCTTTCAAGTTTCCACTTGATTTGGAAAATATCTGAGCATTGAAGATGGATGCGGGTTCGATTCCAATTATGTTGCAAAAAAGTCGCTCGTCCATAACCGTGATTCCTGCTGGAGCTTGAAAAGTAATGACTTACTATGTCGGGCAAGTCCTAGAGGCTTGCTGCTTTGAAGCTTGGAACCCTCTAGCTAGTGTTTGCTTGCCCGTATATCCTCTTGCAACGCTAACCTTAGAAGAGTACTAGGAGAAATGATGAATTCTTAACCCACTATCAAGATTCTATTAACAGCCGTTGGACTATATCCGGGAATTATCAAAAGAATCCTTTCTATAAATAAATACTCTTGTATCTGTCACCAGTCTTGATACCGAGATATTTATGAACCTTGCATTTCACCATAGGATACCTCGGTAAAAGACCCATTTTGTTTGTTCACTAAATTGCTCTTCCTACGCCTGCTTCGAATGTGTATATTCTTCCAGTATTCCATGATTCAGGTGACTGCTAAAAAAAAATATTATGGTACCTTTGAAGCTCCTTTATTTGAACATTCATTCTATAAGTTTAGGTACTTGTTGGAACGAATATCAGCTGACATACCAAGATCATGTGATCTTGGCATGGCAGCTACTATATCTTCTTTCATCTGAGCATTTTAGAATGACACTTCACTTTTACCCAATATGCATACACCTATTATATACGTACAGAAACGATATCAATAGCTGTCTGCTTCGGTAATAACCTAGTCAACCGACAGTACTGATTTACCTACAATCCCAAAAAGGAGAAAGGAGATTTGAAAGAAGAATCTGCACTTGCTAGTCAAAGGCATAGTGGACGTGTCTAGTGAAGACAAGACGGTTTGGGATTTGACAGCCACACAATTTCATTCTAAGGTTCAATAGCGACCGTGATCTCCTTCCAACGTGGTATGATACGTCAGGAAGTTCTTCCATCAGATGATACACTAATTTGAATATATAAGAAACAGTAGTTTCCTGTATATACTGGGTAATAATTCTGGGTGTATAGCCCCGAGAGCACTGAATACAACATGGCCCCAACTTTTGACCTTCACGGGAACGGCTCTGGCGGGTACAAAGGTCGTCGCGTGATGTGAATTATGCTGTCTATGGCATTGTCGACCTTAGTCAATCGGAATCCCAATGTCGATATTGTCTTCGGCAAAAAGGTCGTGGGTGGATAAGAACTAGAAGTAAAAGCAGTGGTGAAGTTTGAAGATAAATCGAAGGTCGTTGGTGATTTGGTCATCAGCTGTGATGGAGTACAGTTGGGAGTTCGCAACCACTGGGTTGACCCAGGTTGTCCCGGAATATACTGGCATCTCATTTTTACAGGCCAACATCCAAACAGATGACTTGAAAATCCCAAATTCGTTTCCGATCATCCGCCATGAAGGTGTCGCGCCATGGATTGTTCCTCACTTCTTTCGTTGATAAAAAATATGAACAAATATTCGCTGCATCAATGGTTGAATTTAGCCAGGAAGATCTGGAATCCCACCACCTGGTGCCAGGCTAAGACTGGGTCTCTCAAAGTCTAATTTGAACCAACCTGCGAAACAAGATGCGGATCGATTTAGTAAGTCTGACATACTATGTGTTCGAGAGATGGTTGAAAACAACAACGATCGAATGCTGTATCCAGTATATCAAGCTCCATCTGGTCGCAAATGGTATGCTGATCGGGTCATATTTGCTTTTTGATGCAGCTCATGCCGTATATATACTCTAAGTTCAATTTGATACACTACTTGAGTTCATCGGAATGTGCTAGTATGATGCTTCTAGATGCCCCCTCGTGATGAGTCGGCCTCCTATGCACTAGATGACGCCATTCTATTTGCTCAAATCATGGCTCGCTACAGATCTGAGCCATTTTGTGAAATCTTTGATGCCCATGAGAATCTTCGGTGGGGTAAAATCAACCACGCCTTCAAGGAATAAGGCCGGGTTTGGGGTCAAAATCGGGATATGGGACTTTTAGAAGAAAGGCCGAAGAAGTGGATGATGCCATTCTATCTACGGGCTCACAAACATGAGCGGGAGGCAGTATGGGAATTTGATGCGACCAAGATAACTCTTCCAATTCCTGCTCTGGGTGAAGAGTGGATGAGTATAGATTCGTTTCTCAGAAAACATCTGGGTGAAGTAGAAATGGTATTCATCTGTTATGGTGTTCACAGGGGCTGGTTGGGATTAGTCTTCAAGATCTGTCATTATTTCTGATACCCTTACTAAATCTTGACTACTTTTTCACATCTGATCTATTTCTGTAACAACTTGGTCTAGGCAGGACAGATGACGCTAAAACTAAAAACCCCATTCAAATATGGGCAGAGATCCTCCTTAGGCTGACATGCATGAACTAATAATGTCGATTATACATAGAAGGAATCTGAACAAGGGTGTTTCGTGAATGCAACATGGCAGGGTCCCCTTCCAGTTACCATTCTCATATTGACTAAAGATCATACCATATTTCAATGCTCCCGAGTCATATTTTAACGGACATAGACAACTGCCTTAGTAGACTAGGACAGTAGGACTAAATAGATAAAGGCGTGACTAGTTAGTTAACTATTTTGGCTGAGTAATCCGAGTACATTGCGCCATATTGCCATTTTGTGGATAAAGTCAGCTCCGCGGGGAAACCAAACATCTTAAATTCATCCATATTTCTGTTAGAAAGAAAAGCTGGTCTGATATTACTTCATTAGTGGTTAAAGTTAATTGTTGTGTAGACTTGGCCACGGTTGAATGGCATGGCAGACACATTTTCATCAATACCGGAGGTGAATTATGCACGCCTAGTCGACCCAGCAACAAAAAGTGACGAGCTTGCGAGACTCCGAGATGCCATATTTGTTGTTGGATTTCTTTATCTGACCAATACGGGTCTTGAGGTGAGACATATATGTCTGCTGTATCGAATATTGCTGATTGCATAGGATACCATTCAATGCACTCATGAAAGGATACACCAGCTCTTTGATTTACCTATGGAAATTAAGGAGAGGTGTAACATGATACGATCACCATCATTCCTTGGATACACACGTCTTGGTGCGGAGAATACAGCAGCGAAGACTGACCTTCGTGAGGTAATTTCTTTCTACCTACTTGTATGATCGGTGCTAACAATCAAAGCAATTTGACTTTGGTACTCCTGGTCAAAGATCCTGGTCTAACGAGGACCCTTTCTGGCAAAGACTAGAGGGTGACAATCAGGTAGTCTCAATTTCAACTCCTGATACCCTGATGTTTCCATATTCTGATGTGATATAGTACCCGGAGACACCTGGCGCCCAGACACTCGTAGATGAGTACATCAATCAAATTGATCAATTGGCCCAGAGCTTCGTTCACCTGGTAGCAGAGTGCTTATCTCTTCCCAAAGATGTTTTTGATGATTTCAAGGGAAACATGAGCAGGCTGAAGTTCGTCAAGTATCCAAAGGCCCCACCAAAATCTCAGGGCGTCGGCCCCCACAAGGATTCTTCTGGTCTTTTCACATTTCTCTCGCAAGATGACACTGGTGGATTACAAGTCCTGAACAAGAATGGGGAGTGGGTTGATGTCCCCCCTGTGGAGGGGAGCTTGGTTATCAACATTCAACAGGGATTTGAAGCCATTACTGGAGGCATTTGCGCAGCAACAACGCATCGAGTTATTGTAAGATACCTATCCCAAATAAGAAGAAATGCACTGACCAGATATAACTCTAGGCACCAACTTCAAAAATTCGATACAGTATACCTTTCTTCCTTGGAGTAAGGCTGGATCTCACCCTTGACCAACTTCAAAAGTCGGCAGCTCACATTGTAAAAAATATTCCGACCTCTGATGACCGAAAGAAGCGGGCGGTTGATGTCCCAAGCGAATTCTTATCTCCTCTTTACTCCTGCGTAAGTCCTTTTTGTCTTGAATTTGCAAGTACTCAGTCTTACAAAATTTAGTTCGGTGAGGCGCACCTCAGAAATCGTATCCTGAGCCACCCCGATGTCGGACAACGCTGGTATCCGGAGCTATTTACGAAGTATTCTCAACAGAGACTAGAATAGCGAAACAGAACCTAAGCACCTAGGCACTTTCATTCTTCGCGTTTGTTGTTTTACTTTATTTGTTTTTTTAGTTATTTCAGCCATCACTATGGTTGTAGATTTCCATTATCGGACCGATCATAAGAAAAGAATATCATAGTCACTGGTCTACTGTATCAGAAAATGTAGTTTGTTTCAACCAGAATAAAGCATTCAATTTGAACTAATAATACTGCATATCAGGGTCTTCAACTCGCCGCCGACTCCGAACAGGTCTTTGGGAAGCACTCTCGGTGGAGATAAAGCGGTAAGAAAAGGGGAGTAGACACCTGATTTATAAGGCAGGAGAGAGTAGGATTAGCAGGGTAGGAATATCCCAAGTCTGTCTTGCGGAAGCGGTGAGTGGCGGCAGTATGCCGCCATCTCAACATTAAACATTAACCCATACGTAATTAGGATACACTCTCATACCTAAAGCGACAACGGAAGAACTTCAGGCCTCTGCTCCAATAAACTTAAAAAGGGGGTGAACAGCTTCCTCCCCAGTACATCCTTCCCTCCCCTCTCTATCTTCGCCCACTCGTTCAAATCATCCCAACTAATCCACTCCCACCCTTCACACTTGTCCGGCTCTAGTACCCTCGGCTCAGTAGCCTCATCCACCCGCTCACAAACCATAAACATGGTGATATAGTGCTTATTATCCGCAGGCATGTAGTCATTTGTCGCGGTGAGAAAGCGCACATTCGTAACAGCCAGTCCGGTCTCCTCGGATAATTCACGGGTCGCACATTGCTCGGGGGTTTCGCCAAATTCGAGGTGCCCTCCAGGGAGCGCGTAGGTGCCAGAGCCGTGAGCGTTGATGCGTTTACCCACGAGAAAGTGTGGATTTACCTGGGGTTCGTTGTTGGATTGGAGTATGAATGCACCGACACCAACGCGGACTTTTGGTGGGGTTGTCATCTTTGGGAGGGTAGTCAGTTTTGGTGATGGATTGATAGTAATTTGATGCTGATGTTTATGGCAGGATTAATGCTGGGGATGACTTTTGGGTGGCGAAAATGATCCAGATGAGGGGGTAGGCAGATGTGCACGGACCGGCTATAATGCGTGGAAATCCTTGCAGTTATGGCTGATTTCATTAGTTCTTATTACTTATTGGATTACATAGCTTCTATAGCCTGAGACGAGGCGAGATTGGGTATGGGTATACCCAACCCAATGAACATGTCTATATAGGAATCCTTACTAGTGCATCTACTATCTCTATGTCTGTCATACTAAGTATTATTTTCAGTACCCAGATTAATAGTTTGAATAATAGCTCAGAAAAACCCATTCACTCAAAGATGACTACCACAAATGCTCTTTCAAGCGGTGTATCTAAAAAAAGGGAAGTATTGCTACAAGTGACTGCTAGGTTCTCTGAACATCTACATGCCACATTCTACAACGCTAACCACGTAGTTCTATCTCAGAGGCTGTGAGGAGTCTGTGATCTGACTGCATAAGCTAGGCGCTGTGTGATCTGAATAAGCTAGGCGTTATGATTGAAGAAATCTCCTTTTAATTTAAGGAATTTATATGATTCGTTATAAATGCGGATCTATAGGCTACTATGCCCAGATAGGGCCGAGGCTGAGGAAATTCCTGTACTACTTAAATTCGCTATCTCTCGCCTACTTATAGCATTTGAACTGTTATATTGAAGCACTGTTCTCTTAAAATTGCTATGAGTGGGATTAGTTGCCAATCTTGCTTACTACAAGCATCGCAGTGGGGAAAAGGTTGCGTAGCCTCTGAACTCCAAAGACTAAGCTAATCAAATTTTTAGATGAAATTTGGCGAACAAGCCAGGTTTATGTCAGAGATCTCCAAGCCATAGATCCCACTGGTATACCCATATCAGCATTTCCAGAAGCTCGAGTGTGTGTTATGTTAGTCCAGCCTTCGTCTTGTATCTTGATTTTACACCACTCATGCCAACAGATTTGCAAGCACTCAGAATATTCGCAGGTGCTCTATAGGATGTCCTAAGAAATTTTTACAAGCATTTAATATGCCCGAGAATTGGTGGTCTGAATTTGCGGGAGAACCTAACGGATATTTTGGTTGCGAGACAACCCATCAAGAAGGTAATATAATGGGCTTTAGTAAGTATATAATGAGTCGTTTAATACTATACACGCTAGTTACTTTTGTGGCTAAAATACTATAGATACATGGGCATACTTTGAGACAAAACATGTTCAGACTAGTTCGGATTACGAGTGGATCATACTAAATATCTTCACTCGGTGGATTCCTTCTCTCAATCAAACATTTCTGCTTATTTTTGATCTAGCAGAATTCTACTGGGAGCCAATGCTTCAGTCAATATCGAAGCTAGTCAAATCTTACTTAAGTATTCCATTCTGGCCCTACTCACACGTGCTAGAAATCTTGGTCTCTATCGAAGCGTCCGCCATCTGGGCCATACGGGATCAAGTAAGGGCGATTGAAAAAGATATCAATTCAAACAGACCACAGCCAGATTACCGGAGAATGCATGACATTGCCCGTCACGCGATTCATGTTAGTGAGAGTCTAGATGTCTCGGTTCAAAATATCGAGACTATCATCAAAAAATATAGTCTCTATATAAAGTCACAACCAAGAAACTCATATTCAGGTGAAGATGAAGATCTCAAAAACAAGATCGAGTTTTTTGGGTGCTTTATTGCAAGTCTACGCCACCGCTCAATATCAAACGAAAAACGGCTTCAGAACGAAATCCAACTAGCTTTCAACATTGTCGCCCAGGGTAACGCAGAAACGTCTGTGCAGATAGGTCGTGCCGCACAGGTCGATAATTCGACCATGAAAACAATTGCATTTGTCACGCTAGCCTTTCTCCCGCCTACCTTCATCTCATCCATCTTCAGCATGTCGTTCTTCCAGTCTGGAAATAATGGCTGGGGTATGTCGGATAAGTTTTGGATATATTGGGCTTTTGCCATCCCAACAACCATTGCTACAGTTGTAGTCTGGCAGTACTGGCATACACTCTTACCTAAGCCAAAGGTTGCTCCTGTTATACCAAATATTTTCTAGGAACATGTTTGATTCTTTTATTACGGAAAGCACATAGTATTATATGACTGTTGTGTTATGGACCTAGTGAGGCGGATGCCGCTAGCAGGGACTGTCTACGCAAGTGATGTCCAATCAACTTGGGATCACGTTATGATATGGTTAAAGAACATGAGGGGTTACGTGAGGTACAGTAAACCTGGGTTATAACTATGTAATTCAGCTAACGAAAAACCATCGTTATAGAGAGGTATCATAAAAACGTGTCAAATGGCCAGTCCTATTTTAGTCTAGTCAGCTTCCGTACGCTCTTTAGTTACTGCAGTGAGATTTACTGCTGAAAATACACACATATTTGAGATTGTGAAGTCTTCTGATTGGTTCTTATAATCCCACTTCCTCGCCCAAGTTGACAGTTATAAGCCCGGTTCGCCGTTAATTTTACCCTGAAAACCCCCTGAAAAACGAAGAAAATTGGGTATATACCCCTGAATCGATCGACTTACCTCGTGTCCGCCATGTCTGGTGATATAAGACTGAAGAATGCTGCGCAATGGCAGCATTTGAATAAAAGGGTGAAAGCCTTGGCGACTGCTAGTGGAGTCTGGGATTACTGTAACCCAGGGCTAGGCGATGCCCTCCTGAAGCTAGGACCAGAGCCAAACGATTACCCTGCGAAGCCAGAGCTACAACCTCCTGTAGATGATGAATCGCGGAAAATTAATGAAGCTCTCCGTGGAGACTGGAGAGATGATGTAGAAGAATTCAAATACCTTAATGCTAAATGAACATCGCGCCAGAAGGCGATTGGAGATATAAATGAGTTTATTCTAAAGCATTTAGACTGTAACGGGTCGATACCCGATGAAATGCCTAGTCTCTGGAGAGACTGCGCTCCTGGCATCTGTACAGAGCCGGACGAGCCATAAGAGCATCCGGATCTTTACAGCTTACAAATTCTTGCATTCATCCCGTAACAGCAGGGATCGGAGGGATAGTGGGAGACGAAGAAGGAGACTGAGTAGAAGCTCGGAGGAGAAGAAGTCTGATGGTCTGATCTCTAAAACATAGTTATCACTTATCCTGCTTAGTCAAGTCACACTGCCACTTGTCTGCCTCCCCACTACACCAGTTATGGAATTAAATTTACCGATAGCTATACAAGGTAATCTTCTGTAGACCACTTCCAAGTACTGCTTCCAAAGGTGCTACAAATGCCATCTGGCTCCACGAAAAAACCTTGTTCTTACCACCATAGATAAATACTTCGAAACGTCCCATGAAAGTACCATCTATCCAGACTCGACTGCCACTTAGTTTATCAGTGCGTATCTGAAGATGGCCTTTGGATGGTATTTCGGCAATTTTGTGTGTCGAAGTAGTTATGTTGGCCCAAATTCGGCCCGGCGCCGCTGGATCCCATCCATCAGTCTCTGCAACTGACCGAAGAGGGTAGGTGAACCCATCAGATGAGAACACCAGCTGGCTATCTGTTGTGAAGGACAATTTTGCATCGTCGGAATCCAGAGAAAAGGGGCCGTCAAAGTCGAGCTCTAGCGTGTAATTTATGCCTTTGCTCCCCAGGCCGAGCTGGTAGTTTTTTGAGGTACTTTGGTCAGGGCGGATCCATGAAAAGGTCAATTTTGGCTGTTGAATTGCGTCTTTTGGAAGGATTCGATCCAGGTTCTGTCCCACTGCATTTGTTGTTAATAGATCAATCGATCTATCAAGGCTTGTCGTATTCAAATATGGCCCACGAGTGCCCGACCATGCCCGCGATGCCACAACGGGAATGCCATTTCGAATTGCATAAAAAGATTCCAACTGGGTTGTTGCACTGGGGCCATTATCGTTCCAAGCTGCCATAATGGCTCCTCGGACTGCTTTTGAGTCAGGTTGATTCGTGACATTGACTGGGTTGAATAGATTTGGGGCCCATTGCCATCCATCAATGTCGGCAAAATTGAGGATTCGATTTGTATTGAAGAATTGAGGGTAGGGCGCTGGGCTGATCGGCACATGATCATTTTTCAAGGATAGATAGGCCCACCAATCTTCGGAATTGATGATCTTATATCCGCTTTGTGCTAAGGCAACGGGTTCAGACTGTCCATATTGCCAGTGTTGTATTGTGATGTCCTCTGCGATACTCAGGGTGGATGAAGGTTCAAAGGTGCCCCAAATACGGATATTTTTCCCTCGGGCCTTGATGAAGGTGGAGATATCATTCACAAAGCTTATATAGTCGTTGGAGAGTGATGAATCATACTCATCAGCTCCAATGTGTACTTCCTTTGTGTAGAACCACGGCAGGAATTCCGACCAAATGGACTTTATCAAAGGAATTGTCTCGGGATGGGAAAGATTGAGTAGATCCCGACTTTCCAAAGAAAGCTCTGGTTTCCATTTTGTCACAGACAGAGAGTGCCCAGGGCTCTCAATTTCTGGCACCACTGTTACACCTCTCTGGGCGCAGTGGCGTTGAAAGTCGTCGAACTCTAGCCGGGACAGTGTCTCGTTCATACGCTGCACCAGCGGCAGTAATCCTGAATTTTCAGGCCGCAGAGTAAACTGCGAGTAAACTTGATTCCAACTCACATCTGGGCCTCGGCTGAGCGGGTAATTGTCGGTTGCATGGTAATGAAACTCTGAGAGTTTAAAGAACGATGCATAAGTGCAAAGATCTTTCAGGTAATCCAACGAGTACCACTTCCGCCCGGCATCAAGCATAAAGCCCCTTACGGGATATGCAGGAACATCAACCACACTGCCCAAAGGAAGTGACAAATTTTCACTAAGTACAATCTGCTGAAGGACTGTTCTTGTCCCCCACCACATTCCTCGAGCCCCAGATCCAAGGATGGAGATGCGATCTTTTCCGATAACAAGCTCATATCCCTCTTCTGTGGGAGTTCCATCTTCGTAGGTAAATTTCCCCGGGATTTCTGAATGACCTAAGAATATGCCTGAGTTTTTTTCTGAGAATCGATCCACAACCTTCAGCTCCCAAGGCTCATTTGTAATTTCTTGTAAATCTTCAAGAAAAGTTTGGGCAAAGTCAGATGCAGTAGGCGGAATCAAGGTAAGCCCATTGTGATCTTTCCAGGATACGAGTCTTTCTTCCAGGTAAATTATCTTATTGACAGACTCAAGGGGTAAACTTCGGGACGAGGCAAAAAGAGGTGTTGTCCAATTGACCGGTGGCAGCGTCTGCAACGCCGAAGTCACTGCCGCGAAGACGAAAGTATACCAGTACATGGCAGCATGTTACTCATATCATCATGGGAAATTTACAACTTTTATGTTCCCCCCAACCTCCTCTGGCAATGTTGCATTCATGAGGGATCGACATCAGTAGGTAGAGAAACAGTCGACGTGGGACGAAATGTGGAGAGCGGGGGAAGTCAGTGTGGGGGTAAAGTTCAATGTCAAACTACATATTAACTGGGATGTAAGTTTCCGAATTAGGTAGGTGGCACCGAAACAAAATTAATTGAGCCTTCAATAGAACGGCCCTCCAGTTCGATCAAATTTTGTCGTTTTCGGAGCGATTTGGAGGCATGGTGGTTGTTTGAAAGCAAAGGGGTACTACAGAGATTCAAAATTGTGATGGTGCGTGGTCACGGGGAATCCCGTTAGTTAGCAATCATTATAGCGACTACCACAGCATTTAAGCGATCCTTCGTACTAGTTATCGGAACGCGGAAGGTGAGCTAAGCGATATCAGAATGTTAGCCCCGCATGTGAGTCATTCAACTTTTTAAAAGGACTGTTTCCCCCTGAGTACTCTGGATAACTGACCTTGGAAATATGGCCACCAATATGACTGCCTCAATTGATCGGACTGTCGATGATAGTGCAGCTACACTTCCAGTTGGTCTGTCTTTAACTGGTCGAACTGTTAAACTCGTTCCGTTGTCACCAAGCCACGCTGAAGATCTCTATGAATGCGTGGGACATCCTGAACAAGCCCATCTATGGACCTATATGGCTAAGGGCCCCTTCTCAGACCAAGCTTCTTTTACTGAGTTCATCACGGACCTTTCAAAATCCACTGATCCTATCTTCTACGCCATCATGGACACCCACGGGAAGTCGATTGGGTTCTCAAGTTTCCTTCGGATAGATTTGCCAAATCGCGTTGTCGAGATCGGATGGCTTATGTTCTCTCCATCCCTACAGCGCACTACAGCTGCCACTGAGGCTATCTATTTGATGGCTAGGGCTGCCTTCGATGATTTGAACTTCCGAAGGCTTGAGTGGAAATGTGATAATCTGAATGTGCCCTCTCAAAAAGCTGCTGAGCGATTCATGTTCCGCCGTGAAGGACTGTTTCGACAGCATATGATTGTGAAGGGTCGGAATCGAGATACAGCTTGGTTTTCTATTCTTGATACGGAGTGGATGGTTGTGCGACGCACTCTTGAAAGGTGAGCGGCTCACTATTATCAAAATTGCTCGGACCAAGTGCGCTAACTCAGATCTAGATGGCTCGATCCAAGCAACTTTGACGAAGCAGGGAAGCAACGTCTAGCGATCAGTAATTTCAAAATTCCTGATGAGTATTTGGATGTCATCGGTCAATTAGTCGTGTGATAAAAACACAGTGCGATGCGCTCCGCCTGCACCATATGCCATACTTGTCTAGGTAAGAATTTTTGTATGACACTACTTTCTGGGTCGAAGGCCCCCATGGCCTTTTGGAAAGGCCTTTGGGGGCCGGCTACTTTGAAAGTCATTGTCTTTTCCTTACGAGTCGGTCACCGGTAAATATCACTCAATATGCCGTTCAGCCCTAATACTCATCATTTTTTGTTAAAGACCTTCATCTTCACGTGTTTACGTGGTCAAAATCCCATACCTGCCCTGACAGTGGGCTTTTTTTCTATGACTTAAGGTTGTAATTGTAGTATCTAAGGATGCTGTGCACATCGTTGATTATGTGTAAGGCTGAAACCCTGGAAGTAATTATAGAAAATTTACATGCCCGAGTGGGCTCTGCAGTGGAGCAGGAGGATTGATTCCACAAGTTCCACATTTTTTCCACATAAGTTCATGGTTGGCAAGGCTTTCTTTTCCACTTTTGAGGTCTCACGAGCCCCGACTGGGGGTTTTTTTTGCAACTGAAGGCTTACCTAAGTATATTCACTCCTTGGGCTAATTATTTGACGTTTGATTTTGATTAATACTATAAGCACTACTTAGGTAAACCCTTCTTTCGGGCTTCCGGATCCAGTCTTCGGCCCCAAAATTTTGATGTATAAAATTGTAGAGTTTTCTCAAATAGTTCTTCAATTTATTCATTGAGTTCCTGCTCCTACTACCCAGGTGTCAGCAATGACGGCTCAAAACTCCAAGATTGTGACATATCTACTTACAGTCTTTGTATTATTGCATGCGGTTCATGGGAGTGTTATTGATCGCCGTACACAGTATACATTAAACAAGAATGCCATTACCTGGAACAAAAACTGCGATGCAGCTAATCCCAAAAACAAACAAGAAACGAAACGCGCAGCCGTGGAGCGAGCTTGGGTCGGTGCACTTGAGCTAAGTAGCACGGCGTGGAACCGATTCAACACAGTGACATGGCCAAGGATAAAACAGACCCAACTGACAGAAGATGCACAACAATACATATATTTGCATGATCCAGGGTGTGTACCAGGTCTATCAAGCTCTCCAGATGTCCTTTATCTCTTTCTCTCTCTCTCTCTCTCTCTCTCTCTCTCTCTCTCTCTCTCTCTCTCTTAATCATCTTATGATAGGCCTCGTCTCTGACTGTGTACGATGAATCGATAGATATGTTCAATTCTTTGCGCTTGATTCCTCTGAAAAGGGCAGAAGCAGAATCCAGACCATATTACATCAACTTGTGCTTCGAGGAAATGCTAGTCCAGGAAAAAATGGCCGCCCCAAGGACGCCGAACTTGAGATCAGCTGCGCAGATACATGGGAAGAAGAAGATGGAAGTGACGCTTGCATGAATAGTGCTGGAACTGGTTCTGTCGCTTGGACAGATTCAGACTCCGACGAAGAAACCAGCACTATTAATTTCTGTCCATCTTTCTGGGCCCAGCCGAGGTTCGATAAATTGAAATCAGAGAGTGCTGCAAAGATTCAGAGTCGGTACCAAGATATGGACTATATGGGCACAGACGGTATGAGAAGCCTCAAACGCTAAACAAATTTTGAAAGATCATTCGGACTGACCATGTTAGCATTGGTTGTCATTCATGAGCTTACCCATCTTTGGTGGATCGGGCCCACCAACGCGGAGGTTGACGAAGTGTATGGATTCGTGCAGGGTACGGAGCTGGCATGGAACTGTGGTATGCCTGAACCCAACAACGAAGAGGTTGTTGAAAATGCGGATACTTATGCATTCTACGCTGAGTATGGGTACTGGAGAGCGAAAGGTATCGATAATCTCTGGCCCAAATCTACAGGGGATCCGGTGTATATCCCAGTCGAGAACTATTAGAAAGTCCTGGAGATGAAGAAAACACTTTGATCTGAGACCACAGACTGTATTCGCAGGAAGTTCAATCCTACTGTAACGGAGCCGATAGTTGTTGTTTGGCACATGGCACATGTGTACTGTACTCTTCACTTGACAGAGAGCTCTCCCTGGAAATCCATCCTTTTCTTTATTAGTTAAGGACGCTGTTGCATTGATCCCGTAACACCTACCTTTTGAAAGACTGTGATAACACATGATAAATGTTCATCTTATTCAAACTATGCCAAATTTCGAAGGCCTTGACATGGAACAAACCCATGGATCATACCACGATGTCATTCGTTATATGGAACTGTTTGAAACCTAATATATAGCCATATAACTGATTCATTGGCTTTTTAATAGATTTAGTAGTGGAAACAGGTGATACGTGAGTTTGAAATACAAGTATTGAGAATCCCGGGTTCTGCCCGTACTGACCGTCTCCAATACCATATGAACTTTCTTTCCTTTTGAATCTGTGTGCGAGATGGTGGGAATCATATTTCCCACCAATTTTCTGATCCCCAGAAGATTTTTGTGCAGGAATCTTACGATTTCGAGACTGTGTTCCCCCTATTCTGAGTTTCCTTCGATCGTTAACAGGAATTTCTGACTTGTCAACTTAGCGCTACAGGTCAGCCGCTACTCCACTTACTTTTTCTGAGTATCCCCTCTAGGGATTACTGTGGCGCATTCTCTTGTGCCATGGTATCCAGTAAGGAGGAAGGTCACAGCTTTTAATCTGGTTTGAAATTATATATGAATCATTGAATTTGACTATGAAAATGCCATTAAAATCATATTCATAGGTTGTGGCTAATAAACCGGGATATGAAGATAGAGAAGTAGAATCTTTGCATTTGGGTGCTCCTTCGCATGTTTAGTGCGGGTCCGAGATAATTGGTACTTATGAAAGGATCGGTTAGGATGGGTATGATAATTACCCGGTAGATAGACTATCAATTCCAAGTCTACAACTCATATTATCAGCATATCCTAGATTTTGGTCACTTTGGATAACAAGTTCAGGATTATGGAATGAGATATGCATCTATTGTGGGGTTGAGTCAAATCAAAAAGCGTTCTACCAGCCACTGTGGCGTAAAACGTGGTTGCCAAAGACATGAAATCTGGACCATGGAAATGTATCCGATTACGCCATTTCAAGGAGCCCCTTGTTCAAATCACCCCTGTAGTTGGCTTGCTACTTAGTGGAGTATTGTGCCTTGTCAGCAAATTTCTGGGCGGACTTGATTTATACTTGTCAATGGCCTTCTCGATGGCATTAACACACTCCTCAGGAGTTTGGGATTGAAGAAGTACAATAATGTGGTGGAGCGTCTTTCAGAAATAGCTATGGAGCCTGGGCTGAACTTTCTGTGAGCCCTGTTGGTTAATACAGTTGAATCGAGATGAAGACTGTTGATATGTGCGGGGTTCACCTTCCAGCCCCACTTTTATTTATATCATGTCAACCAGTTAAAGAAGTGCTGCATTCCAAGATTGCGACACGCCCAACCTCTCCTTCTTTTTAATTCGTGTTTTGCGCTCTTCACGATCCGATTCCACTTCAGCGTAGCGTGTCTTATTTTAAAAGGCTTGCGCCCTTTCTTCTATCTTATCCTTCACGCGTCTCATTTTCGTCAATATCCTTTCTGAGCGATATGGCTGTGCTACGCAAGCGCAAGACTCCTCCTCCCGCGCCTGAGCCAAAACAGAAAAAAGAACGTAAGACCAAGGTCACAAAGGCTACCGTTGTCAACACATCTGCAAAAGATGAACCTGTTCCAGAACCAGTAGCCGAATCCTCTACTGTCGCACCTGCCGAGGAGGATAAGCCTACAGCGAAGACAACGACTACGCCTCCCAAAACTGGGGATAAGGTCGATTTTGATGGATTTGGTGGCGAGGTTGAAACGAATGATGGAAAAAAGGTGTCACTCAAGTCACTTGTGGAGGAAAGTGAGGCTGGAGTTGTGCTGTTCACCTACCCCAAAGCCTCTACTCCTGGATGTAAGCTGGATCTTTTGAAAACGAGGCTTTCACTGAAAGATGATTGGGCTGACATACTTCTATCAAGGCACTACCCAGGTTTGCTTATTCCGTGACAGTTACGACTCTCTTACTGCCACTGGTTTGTCTATCTATGGTCTCAGTACCGATAGCACCAAGGCGAACACAACCTTTCAGACCAAACAATCCCTGCCTTATCCCCTTTTGTGCGATCCCTCCGCATCGTTGATTACCGCTATCGGACTCAAAAAGACCCCGAAAGGAACACAGCGAGGTGTATTCGTCGTGAAGAAGGATGGAGAGGTTCTTGCTGCTGAACCGGGCGGCCCAGCCGCTACTGTTGAAGTTGTCAAGAGGTTAGTCGCCGAGACAGGAGGCTCTGAGGAGTAGTTGAGCAGCTTTAGAAAATGACAAGAATGAAACGACAATGGGCGGGCTTGACCACTGCCAGACACTCATCCTGCATATTCACCGTTAGCCCAAAATACAAAATACAATACTTTATCAATGTACAACTTAACACAACTGAACAGCAATACGCTGACAGACACCCTCAAATTTGGCGAGATATCTTCCTAGGTTTCTTCATTATAATGTTTCAAACTTGCTTCTAACCTCTAGCCCCACTTTTTACTGCAGTTTGCATGTGAGCTTATTCGGGACATATTCCGCATGGCATCCTCTGAATCGACAGCCAACGCTAAGCATAAAGTCTTTGCAAGCATCGCATAGGAAATACTGTATTTTTAGTATTCCCAGGTTTCCATTCCTCTCTACCTATATAAATCCATCATTGTACTTTTCAGAACTAATTGACGTACTGCTGCTCTGAAATGTGCATATTAATGGTGCCAAAGGCTACACCAGTAATGCTGTTGTTATCCACACCTTCGCTCATGCCAGTTGAGTCTCCTATAGGGTAGCCCATTCCAAGATTCAGAAATGAGAATCAGTGTTCTTGACTGCTGAAGAAATTTTGTCGCTCATTTGGACCATTGATGGTGTTGCATCTCGTAGGTTTATCCGTAAGACCTTTCCATCAATATTATATCTGAGAACACCGAAGATCATGTCCCTCCTAAAAAAATGATGTCCGGTTACTGCGAACCTTGTCCGATTAAACTATAGCAAACGGTGTGGACCCTGTGGTAATTTTCTCCCCGGGCTGTAAAGACTACGGGCCTATGAGGCAGGCCTGGCTGTCTCACACTCTAGGGCTGAAGAAAAATCTCTCAATGCTACGCGGACTATTCTCAAATAATGCAACTATTACAAGAAGATATTCCAAAGATCATAACGATGTCTTCTCGTGCCGGTGCGCCCGATAAACATATTGCCAGTCAAAAAAACCACCTTATAAATGCTATAAAAGCTGACCTGTAATTCATTACATATTTTTACTTGACCTAGTCTCTTGATTGTCTTGAATCCGGGCATATCATTGGTCTGAGCAAAAAGTATTCAACTTTATCCTCTCAATTCTGAATCAAAATGCCTTGGATCTTTTTGAATCCGTTTTGCTGATAATCACTGTTATCAATTGAAAATTAGACGAACTTCTTTTCTGACAAGAGAATAAAATGAAGGGTCTGAGTTGCTCGTTGGAAATTTTAATCACACCTTTAACTATTACCTTCAGATTTAGACATGCCTAAGTGAAAATAGGATTTGGGATTTGGGATTTGCGATATCCTACCCTAATTCACAGATCTAAGAAAACGGTAGATGGCAGGAAGGTCAAAATTTGCTTTGAGAGTGATTTAGATGCGGATAATGCAAAGGTTCCAAGGTTATTAAACTGACTATGTATGTACTATATGTATCAGAATCAATTTCTGCCATAAAATACACACAAGAAGAGACATAAAGCAAGATTAACACTAACTTTCAGAATATTATGGCATTCGAGGCTACACCTCTAGGATTTCAAATCTGAAAGAGGGCGGTTCCTTAGCCGAGTCACGATAGGTGTTCCCCTCGAAGCTCAACGTACGGAGTAGAGAAGATCAGAAAGTCTAAAATATGATGAAAGCCAGATGATCTTCTAATATGCTAGAGATCTGGGGAAGTAACTAGTTAACTAACAATAGGCGGATTATCGATGCGGTAGAGAATGATAATTGTTTTAGCAATAACTTCCCAAAACCGTTAAATTCATTATATATAGCTTGGAAAATACGGAAAATTGAAGGGATTAACCAACTATCTAAGCAACAGATTACGCCAGCTGGAATATGTACCCTTCATCGAGAACGTTTTTCTAATTTGTTGAATTCAAGTTACAAAGATTAATCACTGTAATAGATTAAGATTGCTCAAGATTTCATGCAATATAACATTGCTACTGTTTTTCTTTCGACTCAGCTAGTAAACATAACGAAAATTTGGATTTTCACGATCAGTGAGATCCTCGAAAGCCAGGTCATGAGTGACTTGAGTCGTTACAGACTCTTTTGAACGGTTCCTGGACATGATAATCACACGAGTCAATATCACTAGAAAAAAGTAAACAATATAAATAACAAGATGCGCCAAAAAGCCATGTAAATAGCGAGGAGCATCTTGGTTTTGAAAAATCTGAGGCGCAATCAGGTTGCCGACAGCCCAACCAATAAAGAGCATCGCCATTGTGCAACTCTTTTTCGACTGTCCAGCAACATTGCGAGTTATGAGTGAAATGATCATGTTGCCTTCTGCAAGGAAGAACTGAGTGCAGTAGAAGGCGATCAACATTCCGCCCGCGTTGTATGGTGTTGGGGTGACGACCATAATGATGATTGTGCCGACAATTGGTGGGATTACCCATAGCTATGTCCGGTTAACTACCAAAATGATATAAATACCTTGGATACAGTACTCACAATCATGACCAAACAGGTTTGTTGGAACCGTTGCGATGCCCAAGCGGATCCAACCATGACAATAATTGTCCAAGCTCCTTGAGCAATATTGAGGAGATCAGTTTGAAGAAGCGAGAACCCAAATTCTTCAATGATGAGGTTAGAGAATACTCCCAAGCCTCCAATAACCAAGTTAGCAACAAAAATGAGTATCACTAAGCACCAAACCAGAGGATCCTGGATCGCCTCGAGCACTTGGTACCTCTTGAATTCTTTGTTTTCAATGCCAGTCTCGTTGTTTCGTACACGCTCTATCATCAGCAGTTTGTCTTCTTCAGGGAAGCATTTTGCTGATAATGGACTATCTGGAAGGAATATGCCAATAAATACGGACCAAACACATGTGAAAATACCGAGAACAAGGAACAAAAGTTGCCAACTCTTGATCGATCCGTCTGTATAATGAGAGACACCGAAAGCTAGGAGACCGCCAACCTAGGCTGGTTAATATGTGTGTTGCAGAAAGAGAAGAACAGTATGAAGACTGACAATTAACTGAACCCCAGTCATACAATACCAAATCGAGTTCAAGACGGATTGTTCTTCTCTCTTGTACCACATTGCCGTCCTTTTTGAAAATAAGTAAGGAATCACCAAAAAGGCTGCCAACTTACACTAGCATCATGGCGGGCTGAACACAGCTTTCAAAAAATCCTAATAAAAAGCGCACCGCCATTAAGGACCCAAATTTAGTCGATGCAGCTGAGCATGATACTACTGCGCCCCATATGAAAACATTAATAGCCAAGGTTTTGGCCACAGGAAACTTTTGTAGAATCAAATTTTGCGGATATTCGCCGACGAGAATACCAATGTAGAGGATTGTTCCTAGCAATGAATACTAAAATGGGTAGATGAGCAACTTGGAAAAGAAATGATCGTGCATCTTGAATTACCGACTCACCTGTTGGCCTACCAGGTGGGCATCTTGCTTGATCCCCATAATCGAGGCATAATTCAAGATCCCTTTATCCAAAGACTGACAAAAGTAAGTTATCACCTGGATAACAAGGACTCGACGAGTGATCTTCCAAAAAAGCCTTCGATCTGTGGCGGCGTCGATTTGGACTACAGAGTCATTCATATAGGGATCTATTTTCTCCTTCACTTCGAAGTTCCTGACTGTCGCATCTACGTCGGAATGCATCTCCTCATGATCAACGGTCGCTACCATCCCGCTTTCTTTCGAGGTCATAATTCGTAACAAGTTAGCGAAATTTATATCGAACTTCGACTGTCGTGTGAGTTTAAGCCAATACTGGAAGTGGCTCTTTCTTATACCATCAGCTTTTTAGCCCGGAACATCTCGTGGGTTAATTAAGATCTTTTGCTTCCCCAGAACGCACTGACGGTGTCATCCAGTGATGCTACGGACGATATACCGGCAATTTTCCCGTCACCCAATGAGCTGAAACGATACCGATGCAGAATTTTATTGGCTTGAGCATTTGTTTTACTTTTCCAGACATATGAAATCCAAGTCACGCACTATCTTTTCCTTTGTGTGATATTGGAAACGTCCCTCCTTGGACCTATCGGATCTCTTCCATTATTTCTCCAGCTCACCGTTAGGATGTTTGATTTAGTTCTAGGTTAGAAACTGCTGTTCGTCTTGAAAGTTGAGAATTGAATGGAGTGAAAAATGGATATTGGAGTTTATTTCCGTCTTCCACAGTTTTGAAGTTCGATTGTTTGAAGTTCGATTATTTGAAGTTCTATTATTTGAAGTTTGGAACTTTCAGTGTTGGAAGGATCTAATCAAGGGCGAATACCGAAATGTAAATGAACTTTTGAGAATATTCCAATTAGTGCGCTTGAATTCGACATCCCAAATACTGCGGATTTGACTTCCTAAGATCCAATGTTTGGAACAACCGAGATCTACATACTCAGATAAATTACCCTTCAGTACGCTACACGAGACCCGTCACCCAAATGAGCTATTTTTCCAAATTAATGCTTATTATCACAGTATGGGGAATGACATAGTACATATCAGCGATTGGTGGATTATTAATCCTATTTCAAGGATGTTGTTAAATCCCTATCGCGGGCGAAGTGCCGGCAAATGCTCCGGCGTCCTGTGATCAAAGAGCGGTGATCACTGATGCTGTGAGACGCGTTGGAAGTATTAAGTAGGCCTATGAGTATCTATGATGAAAAAAAATATTTTTACATCATTTTTGAGAATGCCTTTAGATACTTTACCAGTGAAACCCACTCTGGCATTCGATCAGAAACCAAGCTTCAAGCCAACTAAAGCCAGAGAACAGAACATCAGCGGCATCAACGGTTCTAGAAACACAATTACAGCTTTGTCTGAACAAATAATTGAGGCTCTATTTGCTGAGTCCGTTGAGGCCAAAATATGGAGCGTCGCTGCCCGCGCATTGGGAAGCGTAAGTATACCCTAGGAAAACATAAAGCCTGTAAGGCATTGATGCTGAGTAATGGTCAAATTTCAGGCCAAACCCCCAGTGCTTTATCCCGAGTACACCAACCAAGATGGGACATACATCTACCGAAAACTGGATTTCTGGACATCAGGGTTTTTCCCAGGGTCTATTTACCTTTTACTAGAGCGCTCGATTCGTTACAACGAAAATACATCATACCTCAGTCTTGGTTTTCGAACAAGACCTCACCAACTTCAACTGGAGTATCTCAGCCGTTGGTGGACTGCCAATTTGCACCAAAATGCGTTGAAGCGGGACACACATGATTTGGGCTTCATGATAGCTCCGTGGGCTATGAAGGCCTGGGAGCTACAGCGGGACCCAGCTGCGTTCAACACCTTGATCATGGCCGCGCACTCCCTTGCAAGTCGTTTCAGTGCGACCACACGGTGCTTGCGCAGCTGGGACGTTTGCATCACGAAAAAATACGAATTCAAAGACCCATCTTTGGATTATCTGTTCATCGTTGATAACATGTTGAACTTAGATCTCCTTTTTTGGGCAGCAAGGGAAACCTCAAATAGCACGCTATATGAGATTGCGAGATCGCATGCGTGCATGACACAGAAACATCATGTCCGCGAAGACTATAGTACATTCCATGTAGTGAACCTTGATCCGGAGACTGGTCATGTCAAGTCCAAATTTACAAATCAGGGCTATGATGATGATAGTTGCTGGGCTCGAGGACAGGCGTGGGGGATCTTGGGGTTCATGCAAACATATCAGTGGACGAAGGAAGAGACATTTTTGAACACGGCCAGGAACCTAGCGAGCTATTTCGTTGCGCAATTACCTTCAGACGGTGTGCCATACTGGGATTTAACGGCCCCAGTCACCGAAAAAAGTCCACGAGATACATCTGCCGCCATGATTGCCGCTTGTGGCTTGTTGCTGATTCATAAAGCACTCATGAATAGCCCAGATGCGGCCTGGTATCTTGAAAAATCGTTGAATCTTGTTGAAGCTGTTGTCAGCAATTTCGTGAGAGAGTCAAATCTTCGTTTTATGACTGCGCATCCCGATTTACCAGTGGCAGTTTATCCAATTAACTCTATTGATGAATTTCACGACGATGGCTTCAATATTCTACAAGTGACAAACCATTCCAAACTAAAATCAACAAACTGCGAGACAATTTTGGATGGAGCGACAATCAACAACTACGAGTTTGCGCCGAGAAAGTGGTCAAACCATGGTCTGGTATATGCAGACTATTATTTCTTATTGTTTGGCAACATGATTCTTGAAATGGGATCAAGCGGTCAATTAAACGGTGTTTAAGGGATAGAAGACGAACAAAGCTGTGTTTAGACGCTAGATATGAACTATAATACATTGAAAAATCCATCGAGGGCTTGATTGAAGATTTTGTATTTGTCAGAATCAGAAAACTAGCGCATTCATCCCGTAGATATATTCCTTGGACCTTTGTTCAAGGTTCGGTTCTCAACATGCTCTCCACCATAGCGACTTATTCTCTCGTGAGGACTGGGTGTAAGATGAAAGACATGAGACGGATTTTCATGAGAATTAGTAGTGCAATCCCCAAGTGGAGCAGTATGACCATGGCAATGATTAATTTGTTGCTCATATGACTGTATCCCTAGCGGTGATAGCGCTTGATAATCACCTGATTGTGTATATAGTGAGAGTGAGTCTGATTGGGAAAAAACAGGAAAGTCAAGACTAAAGGCTGGCGGGAGCGGTGGGAAAGCCAGACTGAATGGATCTTTTTCGTAGGTTTCTTGAAGTTGGTGTTTGCTTATGGCACGGGGATGTGCAATTGGTGTTCTTGACTGGAGAAGGATATTCCTTGGTGGTAATGTACCGATGGAAAGTCCATGCGTGTCCTGCTCCCCATATTGATCTGAGTAAACCGTCTGCCTAATATCGAGGCTTGGGCCAGGAGCAGCAGCCGAGGTATCGTGAGCCTCGATAAGCCTCTTGGCGAAAATTGAGGCGATGTTGTCGTCAGCGGAAATTGCGGTCTCCTTAAACCCGGTCCATCGCCTGGAGATCTCGAGAAGACTAGAAATTAGATCATTGAAGGCTGAAGGAACAATGACTTGATAATATCTTGCATGGGCTAGAATCACTCTTCCAGCGATGAAGAGGCAGAAAGAAAATTGAGGGTTGGTGAAGATAGAAGAGAATGCCAGAAACTGCTGTCCAATGGTGGCGATCTCGGAAGCTGCCTCCAAACACGTTTCTGCTGATGAAGTAGACGGCAATTTTATTGAGCATGTCTGCCAATGAGATGGTGGATAAGCAATTCCTTGATGTAGTAAGATAACGGCGGTGTTGTGTGTGATATGCGCCAATGTCAGATTGGGATCCATGAAACCGTCAGAATTAAGCACAGATGCCTCTTGCCATTTCGGAGGCAGAAACAATTTCCACCTAGACAATATCAGGACGTGTTAATTGCGTAAGTCGAAATAATGAAAATACTTACTGAATGAGCCGCAGATCAAGTTCTTTGAATTTCATCAACCAAATTCTAGCTTTTTCAGTGTCCGTAACCTTAATCGCATGATGAAGGAAGAATTTTGTCACCAGGGCGAGGGACTCGGTGGCTTCGATATTATAAGCAAAACCGCCGATAGAGTCCTCTGCATCCGAGTTTATCAACCCTCGACTGTCTGAAAGAAGCGAACTAGTTGACTCAGTATCCTTTGAGTCCGAGATTCCAAAAAATGGAGCTTGAACTTCTCTCTGGTTTGCCCAGATGCTTCCCTCACACGGAAGACGACGCTTCACATCAGTCATATTTAGACTCATCTTCCAGCCTGTGGATACACTGCAAAATCTATCCATTAAGAAAACTGTCCAGAACACCCGCCGGCGCTCCTCGGCTTCACTCCAAGAGCTTGATGGCGTCAAAAATACCATACGCTGTATGAGAATCTCACCAGAATTTTTTGTATTGTACAGTTCATCTTCTTCAATGCTTAGTTGCAATTGCTCAACCGTGCCAACCATACTTCCGACCATTGACCATGATGAAGGTCCACGCCCACAGGCGATCTGTAGAGGTGTTATCATTAGCTTTAAAAAAAATAGACTAGGCAGCTCACAGTATCAAACGCAATAATCACCAGAGCCTGCAAGTTTTCTATCGAAAATGTCTCCATACCATCCAAGATGGCCTTCTGTCGGCTTTTCTTAGCAATATCTACTTTTCTGGCCTCGTCGCCTAGGCTCTCACTTTGAGAAAATCGTGCGCAGACAGCAATGACGGCGTGAAGTATACAATGAATCCCCCGGCTTTCATCTAGAGATTTCACACAGGTCCGGAATCTTTCCTCATCAAGCATCGGTATCCATGGGTGGATGTTGAGGAAGTAAAAGTCCACTAGTTCTGTGACAACCTCGGTTGATATAAAATCACCGTCGATATTCATTCGTCCAGCGGATACATTAGCTGACTCGCAGCGTCGTCGCTTTGCGGGACGTGAGCCTACCCCGGCATTCGTGTCGACTCGGCTCTCGTTACTGTGACTTGAGGGCGAAGACGCACGAATTAAAGCACATTGAAGCTCATCTCGCCGCCGAGCCAAGCTTGTGATATCAGTTGGTCGCTCTTGGCTAGACTCGGAGAGGGAGCCTTTTGGATAAAATGTCTTCCATATATGTTGCCAAAGCATTTCCTGACCGAGAAACATGTTTTCTAGTGTTTCAATTCGCCGGTAAAGTTGGTCTACTGCGCCAGCACGAAGGCCGGGTTTCATTCGCCGCTCATCGTATACACAGTCAGTATTAAAGCGAATGCATTCTGAACATGGCTGAGCCCGACTGCAGCGAGCCTTTTTCTTTCGGCAAGACTGACATGCGGGGACATCCTCGTGAGATTTTGATGTATCATGTGCTTCTTGGTGATCGGTACCAACGCCATTTATATGGCTATTCTTAGAAGGCATGGATTAAATCTGAATAAGAACTTCCTTTCTTCAAGAAATGAGGATGGTGTAGAAAAACTTCCAAGAACTACCAGGGTATCTGGATTTCCGAGAATTAGAGAAGGCAGAAACCCCGCAGCCCACGTGGCATGAAATTTACCCCGCGTGTCAAAAGTACGTACACGTAGTAGATTGCCGAGCGTAACCAATTACTGGGTAACCTGATAAAGATCATTGATGCAAAGATTTACAGTCCTTCTCCAAATTATACCTCTTTCTTAGTCGGACTGAGCTGATATTTGACTCCCGTCGTGTCCTATAGCGCATAGAGCTGATCATAGCCTGCGGTGGAGATATGCGCGGCGCTAGAATCAATCATTATTCTGAAGAATTTGCTCGTCTTAGTCGGGTAGTCATCATGGCCTCGGCAACGTTTTGGGATTTAATCTTAGTTTCTTCTTCTTCTGGGGTCAAAAAGTGGATAAATGCGGCATCCATAAGCTCGTCTGTCGCAGTCTAGGTATCTTGAATCATCATATTACTAAGGTCTGCAATGAATGCTCCTCCGTTATCCTCATTAGATTCGGTATCTCCTGCATTGATGATAAGTGCTTCGAAGTCTGGCTCATCGTTGTCTCCTTCATATTCTGTGATGCATAGTGTTACGGGATGAATGCAGGAATTTGTACGCTGTAAAGATCCGATTAGTAAACAAGAAGAATTAACTAAGGGAGGGAAAGGGGTCCTGGGGACCGGGTGTTCTTGTAGCTCGTTCGGCTCCGCACAGATGCCAGGAGCGCAGTCTCTCCAGAGACTGAGCATTTCATCGGGTATCAACCCGTTACACATGCTATATAAGGGACTATGAGGCGGGGTTATCTTGTTGCCGTCTTTATCACGAATCAGTAGACATGTGCATGGGTTGGGTATGGGTCAAAATTCATACCCATACCCAACCCATCAGGGGTAAGGTAAACCCATACCCATATGGGTATTTTTGATGCCTTAATGCCTGATTTTCGCCTCAACCTAAACTAAATTAGGGTAATTAGTGCCTTAGTGCCTAATTTTTGCCTCAATCTAGTACTAACTAGGTGACAAATATCACGTGAAATAAAAGTCTTGGCAAAAAGATGGGTTTATGGGCTGGGTGTGGGTTTTACTTCAAACCCATACCCAACCCATATGGGTTTTGGGTAAAATTTCTGACCCATACCCAGCCCATTGTGGGTTGGGTTGGGTTGGGTATGGGTTTACCCAACCCAATGAACATGTCTAAATAGAGTATTGATTGATTGATCTACTAATGCTTCCATTATTTACTAGAGCTTTGGAGGATTGAATTCTATCAACTCTAGCATCAACGTAAAAGGGAACATTTTGCAGTAACTTCTTGACTCTCTCTCTCTCACTCTTGCTCGCAGTTTAGCGGAGGAGTTACTATTTTTCTGAATTATCCGTTTCTTCATATTCGCTCATCGCAGGTGTGATCTTCATATCCCGTATACGCTTCGGCTTCGAATCGCCCTTTATTATAACGGGCTGAAGCCCAGCAATGGATTATGGTTCCCATATCCGAACTATATTGCGGGACTCACGTGACCCCTCAACTCGTCCTCGAACCTCTGACGATTCCTTCATATTTCCTTAAGGACTTCGTACATAGTTTGTGCCTAGCTAGTTCTCGATCTAATAAAAATACTGTCGGTACACCGGTGGGTATAGCAAGGTTGGTGAGAGGCTAACGCCCACTTCTAACACCTATTACAGGAAACGCTTTACGCCCCTATAATATCTGTGTTTCTCTTGAAGTAGTTGTAAAATCTTGTGAAGGGATCGTGCCTGCGTCCACGTCCACCCCACTGAGCCAAAAGACTATAATGATTTCGCTCTCAAGAAATCATACGCAGGTTCTACTTATATAGTGCCACTCTTGATCCTACACTAAACATCATTTGTCAAGGTATTCTTTTAACCTATGACAAATCTGCTTTTTCATTCATGGTGAGGACTAGCTATTTATCCCACAAGTTGCTCTTCTGCCTGAGACGAATATGATCCATCGTCTAGGACAGGTGAAGACGGGGCATCCTGGTTATATGCATATTGCTCAAGGTTGTTGTTTACTCCGAACAGGGATTCGTGATGTGGTCTAAACTAGGGTGTCGTTGTCCGATATCTCAGCAAATACTTTTTAAATCTAACGATAAATAGATATAATATCTCATTGTGTTCTGTTGATACGATGGACTGAAAGTGGTTTTCAATCACGAGTGGAGCCCAGTTTTACTGCAGTAATACTGCAGTAATACTGCAGTAAATCTTTGGCACCTAATTGGTCTTGTCGGTTAATGAATGGGGAACTACTTTAGGCAGTTTTGGAGTGGACTTAAATAACACACCTCTTACAACTCGCAACGATATATTTACAAAGTAGATGTATATGCAAAAGTAAGATGCGTCAGATATTCTGACATGTTCTATTTAAGAAAATTTATTAGAATAGAAATAAGATAAATAATATATAGCATAAACGCGACTAGTCTAACTCGATCGGGTCAATCAAAATTTTAATACAAAAGTTGAATTAAATTAAATAGCTAGAGCATGTGATCTTCAGCTAAGCTCCACTTTAGGGCTACGTACAATTCCTACTCACGCAGATCAGTTAAAAGCTGCCAAGGATCACCCTACAGTTGCTCTAATCTAGCATTTAGGTGGGTTTAGATATATTTATCTTAGGCACGTACTTGAAACTAGTCTATGGTCTAATATCATACTAGGAAAACTAAATATATATATGGTAATTCCATTTTAGGCAAGCTCCGTCTCGGATAAGGAAGCGATTTCAACCGCGCTGAATCAAATAATGAAGAAACACTTTTAGCCAGTGTTGAATGGCCTATATTTGTCTTAACAGGAAAGATACTTGCCCGCCGCACACTGAACTTGAATGTGTTATATTAGCAAAAGAATTTCAAGTAAGATATCTTCTATCCAAAAGGCAGTAGTAGTAAGATGCAGTAATGCTGATGTCCATTCTGCAGCGAAGGCTTCCAAAGATTCTTACGACTAAGGACCGTCGCCCCAAACTCTAGGGCTTTCACTGTGTGTCAGGATTTCTGAACAGAGACTCCAACGGACGTTGAGAATGTTGCACTTGATAGGATTGCCTTCTCAATGTACTACGACTTAGAAAATCTAAATTGGACTACGAAGATCCATATATTGGTATCATTCCAAGCTTATATGCGCCCCCTTACAGCTCACAGAAGGCGAGTGTTACTATCCAGCGGAAAATTTTACATTGACTATTTGCTTAGGAAAGTGGATCCCAATTTTTAGGTAGAGATATCGATAGTTTGAGCTCAATGGCAAATTTTTCTGAATATCCACATGCTTGAAGAGAATCTTGAAACTATGTGATCCTGATTATGGTCTCATGGAAGGATCAGCAAATGATTCCCTCAGCTAATCCCACTCATATGAGGGTATTTCCCTGCTTTGGGCATGACTTTCAATATCTACTAACGCTAACATAACTTCCTTGACGGCATGTAGGGGCTATAGTACTTCTAGGGGCTAAGGGGCTTTTGGTTCTCAGGATTCCAGAAGAGAAAGAGACTTATTAAACCAATCGGGAATTATTTTCTCAAGAGATCTAGGGTTGCTCTTACGTGCTGCATTCTTGTTGCCAAAATAGACGAATATTTTGAAGCTTCAACACGGAAAGCCACTAGGGCACACGAGCCTGAACAGCTGGATTCTTGCTCTTAAAAGGCTTGCCTTTGCTCGTCCTGAAATCTTCTCATCACACGCTTCCATTCTCTCCACCTCTCTCTTCTTTTTTTAAGATCATAATATCTCATCGCCTCTATTTCCAAAATGCAGTTCTCTATCACCGCAATTATTCTTGCCATCTCCACTCTCACCGTCGCTCTCCCTGCTGAAAGTAGCCTCATGGAACAGGGTGATGATGTCAAGTGGAAGGTCCCTAAGGGCTTGACTGTTACTGAAGCCCAAGCTAAATGTGGTGATCAAGCTCAGCTGTCCTGTTGCAATAAGGCCACATACGCTGGCGATACCACCAATGTTAACTCCGGCCTTGGTGGTGGCCTCCTCTCCCATCTGATCGGTACCGGTTCTGGGGCTGAGGGCCTTGGTTTATTCGAGCAGTGCTCTAAACTCGATGCCCAGCGTACGATCCATAATAAATTCCCTTCAATACCCCTTATTTTAACCGTATACCAGTCCCTATCATTGGTATCCGCATCCAGGATCTCCTCGACCAGAACTGTAAGCAGAACGTTGCCTGCTGCGCCAACTCTCCCTCTACTGCCGTAAGTTTTTATGTAATTCATGGCAGTCTTAATTTTACTAATTATAACCGCAGGGCAAGGATCTTATTGGTGCTGGTCTCCCATGCGTTGCCCTTGGCTCCATCCTTTAAGGAATTCAATATTCCCCAATACTGTTTACTCCATTACAAATTTAGGGGTTCACTGATTTACCTTTGCTTATGATTTCTTATTTTTTGTTTAGAGATTGGACTGATTTTGATCTTATTCCTACACATATCTCATTTAATACATACCTCATTTTTGACTGATCTAACCTTGGGTGGTTGCTAAGGTGAACATCACAGCAATATTTTGATTACATCTTATTTACTTTTAGGGCTTGTAAGAGGCTACATGTTTCAATATTTTGAATTTAGCATTGATTGGTGATGATTATGATGATGATATTATATTAACCTGATGTTGCCTAGCTAGAGTTGTAGTGGCAATGCAGGCAGGGGCTTAGTCCGTCCGAAGCCAGAATATGCCCGTACGCTGTGCCCACGCAGTAGAGAATGACTAGACAAAAGAAGTTGGGTGTGTCCACCCGTAGAAATAAAGATGAAGTCCAAAATGAACCCGAAAATAACACTAAAGCCTATAAATTAAATAAAATTTCACTCAAAGAATGCAATCACTACGCAGTATGCAATGCAATATATATCTTGATATCTCCGATATCACTCCTGTGCATCTTCCAAATGTCTATAGTCACTCCCCCTACCCTCTGAGGTTGATACCTCCTCGCTTCCTCCGATCATGTTCATCTGTTCTTGTTGTATCGTGGTCGGTATCTCAGCTACCGCTCACTTTGTTGTTGGATACGCATCGTCTTCAACCCTTGCCCGTTTGCGTCAGTCCCGGTGTGTTGGTTCAGTGTCTTCGTCGAGCTCAGGCTCAACATCACATTGTCGAAACTGCCCAAGAAGACCAGCTGATAACATAATTTAGCGACGTAGCGAGTCGCCTGTTGATGAGACATAATGGCCTCATAATCAGTTGAGTCCTTCAGGTCTGTCCGCCTGACTTTCTCCATGAACTCTCTCCTCTTTTCTGTGTATAGCGAACACTGGAGGAGGACATGCCTCGGCATTTATGAGCTCTCCCCACAGCTGCACTAGTCCGACTCTGCTTCGCTGATCTTGTACAGGAAATGACGCAGACCGATCCGCATCGACCTAATCTGCACCAAAATTGACGTATACGGTTTTGATAATCCCTCGAATAGTTTTGGAATTTTCATGTGCGGCACACCTACTAGCCTCTGGTTTGGTTTCCCGGTATTAGGGTATTAGGGTATTAGGGTATTAGGGTATTAGGGTATTTAGGGTATTAGGGTATTAGGGTATTAGGGTATTAGGGTATTAGGGTATTAGGGTATTAGGGTATTAGGGTATTAGGGTATTAGGGTATTAGGGTATTAGGGTATTAGGGTA